TTTTTGGGCGTAGAAAGATAGTATTTTTAGGCCGCAAAAGTGACACAAAAGGATTCTCTTTTTGGCAACAAAAGCCCTCTCTTTTTCAGCTCTTTTTCAGTGGCAAAAAGACGTCTCAAAAGACTAGTCTGAGATCGATTACGCCTGCCTTGTTAGTACCCCCAGCGTGGGAACTTTCGAAGCAGCGGAAGGCGGGACGAGATTGCGATCCTTCTCGTTTTGGAGTGTCGTGGCGTAACAGCCATCGGCGTGGTTGGGTGAGGCCCCAAGACGTCCGTCCTGCAATGGGCGCGACACGGCTCGGGAATGAGGGATGCTTTCTACATTTTATGCCTGAAATCTGGAGCCAGCCTTCGAACGTATACCCCACATAAACCGGCCGTATAGCCCCGCCCTGTCGACGTTGGTTGAAATGTTAGCCGTACAGATGTGATGCAGCGCCAACATGGGCTTTGAGTACTTGGTACACCATTTTTGATAGCTCCCAGGCCATCTCACGGGGACTTGAGCAATATGCCATGGACCATAGCCTGAGGAACGGCGACAAGGGCAAGCCCTGTCACGTCCACCGATCGCATTTGCGCCACAGCAGCCCAAACCGGGACGGATCGCAATCTTCCTCCGCCTTCCGCTGCTTCGAAAGTTCCCACGGTGGGGGTACTAAGAAGGTAGGCGTAATCGATCTCAGACTCTCTTCACTTGTGAACGAGAGGCTGAACTGTGAGACTATCAAAAGACCGTCTTTTTCGACGTCTTTTTGGCCCCAAAAACATGCTCTTTTTCGACGCAGAATGACCATCTTTTTGAGCACCTTTTTGAGCGTCTTTTTAAGCATGTTTTTGCCCCCAAAAAAATCGCCTTGCCACTCGTGTAAAAAGGTCAAGCCAGGAATCGAACCTGGGTTACGGGAATGTTCAAGTCAGAATCCCGGGTGATAACCGCTACACTACTAGACCGTGCAGGCATTGCATTTGTTGAAGGCTATATCAGCATGTACAGATAGCTAAACGCTATTCTTGGAGACCACTCTAGGAGCCTAGAATGCATCCTTTCCGACGTCGACCATGCGGAAGCAATGCACTCGCTCACTTCAGTAGCTCACTCCATTGTCGATTCGCTCGCAGACAATACACGTCCAGACCCGGGGCCTGGATAAGAAGAGCACACCGCTGGGTATATATGGAGCTCGGACTTGAGTACGTTCAGAAAGTCCGCCCAACAGCACCCTGGACGGGTATTCGAGGATCGACATCCGCGCGGCGCCCCGCACTGCAGGAGGAAGGAAAGGAGCGCGATCGGTCCAAGCGGCCCCAAAGTGCCGGCGATCGAACTGAATGGCAAGCAGCCTTGGGGAACGTCCGCCACAGCCTTCCTTGCCTTCCACCATCATGTCTGACGGTGAGCAGACTGTCTAGGATGTTCCTTGATGGTGCTGATGACCCTGCGCAGAAAAGCCCCTCTCCGTCATTGCCTCGCTCTCGAGAGCTCTGCACCGTATCCGCTCGACGCCACCGCGTGTCATTGCGTCGCCCCGCACCCGTACGTGGTATTTCATGCATGGCCAGCTAGTGCTCACTGACGCACTGCCCCAGAACCTCGCAGAGCAGCGGTAGCACTCATCATTCGAATCGTACCCGCCCCGAATGCTACCCTTCCGCCCCCTTCCACCTCCCAGCCTACCATCACCGAATTCTTCGATCTCGACTGGGTAAAGGACCCCAATGCGAGGCCCGAGATCCTCTTTGTCCGCCGCGATAGCGCAGTTGCCGAAGTTGCGTCCCTGGATAATGGCAGGCCGCGCAATACGCGCGAAGCACATGTTGCCTTCCCGGGTGGTCGCACAGAAAAGGACGACGAAGGCGGTCTATACACCGGTATGTCCGGATTCTCACCTTGTGACCCTTTCTAACCCCCCAACCTTCCCAGCTATGCGCCAAACATGGGAAGAGATCGGCATTGACCTCGCGGAGCGCGAGTACACTTGCATTGGGCAGCTCGACGACCGTGAAATCACTACCTCCCTTGGCAAGCGCCTCCTCATGATTCTCTCCCCCTACGTCTTCCTCCAGCTCTGCCCTCAATCACCCACCGCCGACCCCGCCGAAGGCACTACCCTACACTGGACACCTCTTGCCTCTGTCGTCGCTCCGCCGAAATGGTCCTACGTGACCGTCGACGCCGCCTCGCGTATGGCGCCCAAACATTCCGTCGCCCTGCGCCTTCTCGTGCAAGTTCTCGTCGGCAGCATGCAGTTCCCCGCCATCGTCATCGAGCCCTCATCCACCGAACCCTCACCCGCACCAGTCAGCGACGTCAGCAAACTGGAGAAGGGAGCGACGCACGGTGGGCGGCGTCAGACGCTCAAGTTGTGGGGCCTGTCGCTCGGCATGACGCTCGACCTGCTATCGTACATGATACCGGCAGAGCCCGACTTGCAATCGGGTAGGCGGTCAGGCTACTCGACGCCTGCACCTCTGTCCCCGCTGCAGCTGCCCTACCGCGCCGGCGACGAGCTCAGGATAGAAGACCTTGCTCCTAGTCTCGCGAGCATCTTCCCCAAGTTCTCATACCCGGATGTCAACTTCTGGATCTGGTGCGTCTCTCCCTTATGGCTCATTCACCGTCTGCTTACGCCCGCCCCCCAGGGTCTTCGGCCGCCGCTACCGCGAAGTCGTCCGCGGCTGGGAGGCCAGCGTCCGCTCTGGCGGGTCCAACGACCGCAGGTGGGTTTGACATCCAGCCTCCTCGCCGATCAACAACTAACATCAGCTCGCCCTGCAGAATAAACTGGTCCGGCTCAGCTCTCAGTACGTACTACGCCGCGGTCCGGAAGGCGCTCGTTGTCGTGATCGTGGCGCGAGCCTTGGGCATCCTGTTTGGCCTGCTGTTTGCAGGGTGGTGGGTATTTGCATAGATGTGGATCGTTACACGCGGCAATAGTCCGCGTTGGCCGGATTTCGCGTTTCGTATATCACGTAGACGCGCGCCTGTCGTCCCTACATGCGCTTGTCATCTCTACGCGCTCGTCGTCCCCCTTCACCCTTCCGGAACATATGCACACCTTTACTAGTCACTAGCAGTTCAGACTTCGACGACCTCCATATTTTTTCTCGTCCTCTATAGCTTTTCCCCTATCACGGCTACCCACTCACTTGCTTCTCTTTGGGACTCCTCACTGTATCTCTTCCTTTGTATCTATTTGGTAGACAGGGACATGAACACGACGGTCACGAACACTTGTGAACGATGCTGAGTAGATTGTGCAGTCGAGCGCTGCGGGTACACTTGTGGTAGGTAAGGTTGGGGGACAGACCGGTCCGGACAAAGATCCATGAGGGTACACAAGTTGTATTGGGGAACAGAGCAATCCTTCAGCCCCGCTACAGTGGCAGCCCACAAACCTCGCAGTCCGAGCCTCCATGCGAATTCTCAAACGTGCAGTGGGGGCATATCCGGATTCCACCGCCAGACTGGGCCTCGGACGCGGCGATCTGATCGTACACTTCCGGAGGGATGTCCTCGTCCATGGCGTTCGAGCCCGAGCCAGAAGGCGGGTTTGTCTGTGGTCGGGAGGGTGCTGAAGGGAACAGATTAGCAAGCGAGGGAGTAAAGGAATAAGGGTCAGACGTACGTGCGTGTTCCCGAGTAAAGGTCATGAGCGTATGCCAGCCCTCGCACTGTAGGACGGGGTCTAGAAGCGCAGGCTCCTTGAGCAGTACGGGACTCGAGACGCTGCGCATCATGAGCTTGATGTCGTCCTATGTGTGTTCGTCAGTCAACGAAAGCCGGGCAAGCTCGCGAACAATATACGCACCACCGACATTAACTGCGTCGTCTCGAGGAAGGCGACGAGGTGCCAATCGCTCAGGAACTTTGCGAGCTCCTGCCGCTTGGGTGACTCGCCGATGGGTGCTTGCACGCTAGGCAGCACGTTCGGCGCGTCGAGGCGGGAGAGCGCGCCGAGCAAGCCTTCCACCGTCTGATCTTCTAATCCTGGACGGTTCTCGATGGGGAACTGGATAGACTGGAACATCGGCTCCGGGTTCTGGGGGAAGCCGTGCGTCACATTGACCAGGAGGTACTCGACGGGGAAGCAAGGCTTGGCGCTCTTCTTCACCTCGATATTGTACTCGTTCTTGTAGGAGAAGAAGACGTCGGGGATGTAGCGCGCGTGGTCGACGGAGCGATCCTCCTCCTTGACGCGTACGATACCGGGGTCCACGCTCGCCTCAATCATGTCCGCCTCCACCATCGCCACCGCTTGCTCAGACACCTGGTACGCAGACACGTCGATAGCGCCGTCCTCTGTACCCGTCAACACCGCAGTCACCAGCCGCGAGCCAAAGAACCCCGTCGGCGACGACTTCGACGGCGTCGGATTCGCCAGCTGCATCCGTGCCGCGAAAATCGCCTCCAGCGAGGACAGAAAGAACGAGCCCGGGTGCCGCCGATACTGCGTCTTCGTCCTATCTTCCTCGTCAGGTACCAGATCCGTGAACACATAGCCCACGATCGTCAGCGGCGTCGACGCGTTGGCGGACAGCTGGCGGATACGTGGCTCGTCCTCCCAAGGGAGGCCCAGGGTAAGCCCGTCCAGCTCGCCCTCCTGCGGGGGCTCGCAGATGGCCTCGACCACGGCCTTGATGCCCATGGGCACCTTGTCGTACGGCTCGTAGTGGCCGATCATCCACCCGAAGCGCTGGAGGCCGGTCTTGCGCCACGCTTGGAGGAAGCGGTCGACAATCTCCATGTTGGCAATCTCGAGGTGGTCGACCATGCGGAAGGCGGGGGATTGGAGGGTGATGGCGGAGGGCTGGCAGCCTGTGCAGATGCCTTCTGGCCAGTTGGGGTGGTTGCCCGTCGGACATGGGATCTTGACCTTGTAAGATAGAGGCTCGAGTGGGGGGAGGTGCGACGCGCTCGAGATGGAGGTCTTGGGCGTGAGCTTGCGGAGGTAGGCATGGTAGGAGAGGTGCTTGATGTTCTGATCGGCGTGGTACTTTGCGTCGAAGGGCTCGAGGGGCATGCAGTAATCACACATCCCCTTGGGGCCATGCTTGCAGAACTGCGGGTCGCGTTGGCGGGGGATTTTGCCATCCTGTGACCGCCAGTACGTATCCACGAGGTCCTCTCGAACGTTTTCCCAAGGACGGGGTGCTGTAGACGCGCTAAGCGACGCTGCTGGCGCCGAAGTGGACGGAATGGGCTGCTGCGGCGCTTCTTCTTGTGGCTGGTAGTTCACAAACACGAGGTCCCCGTGTCTGCAGGATAAGCATTAGACTGCACTCAGATCGCAACCCATCAGTATAGGACGCACTTCAGGCCGAGCTTCTCGAGTGATTTCCCCAAGAGTTTGGAGATGGGCGCCTCATTTCCGCGAGGCTGATTGGATATTGTAATCGTGTCGCGTTTGGCAGTGGGAGAGGTCTCGACTATCTGGTCTGACGCGTCAACGTAACCTGGAAGGACAGGATAATGTGGCACGCACCTTCTCGAGCAATTCAGCCACGTCTGCCTTGGGACTGAACTCGAATCGAAAGTTGCCATCTCGCGAGCGGATGCGGATGAGCTGCGAGCGATAAGCACTAGTAGTATCAGCGACAGCAGCACATACCATGATGAAGTACAAAGACAAGGAAAGTCGAGAACAATTAGTGACCAGGTCGTAGACGCGCGTCGCGATCGAGCACGTGGGCGGCGTCGCTACGTCACTGTCGCGTGTGAGAGCGTAGGCGCACGTGGCCGCGGCGAACTGGCTCGATGTGCGGAAATGGGTAAGACGATTTGTATTTTCCCAGCTCTCCCTTCAAATTCGCGACCGCCTCCTCATCGCGCTGCAATGGCTGAATATGTCGACTTGGCCGGGCTCTATGGCGAAAGGGCAAAGGGAGGGACCTTGTCCGGCTTCCATTCCGAACCGCGGGGCTTCGGTCATTTCCTACTTTGGATCAGCCTTATTGGGAGGCTATTCGGAATAGCTTATGGAATTCCAGATTCCTCGCCTCCAAGTGTAAACAAGCGTACTCAAAACGCGCCAACATGTCTTCTACACCTTCCTCTCATTATTTTCGCCCCGGAAAAGCGCCCACCGACGTCCCCAGACCGTCCTGAGCCTCGGATATAATTGGCCGACCCAATCCGGAAGCCCAACTGAGCCATTGGCAATAGCCCACTCTCGCTGTCGCAATCGCCTTCGTGGATGGCGAAACTCTGACTATCGTGCTTATTTACCTCTCATACCCGCAACTGAATGATGAGGCTTTCTTCCCACCCCCTCATGTCGTTGGCCGACCAAAAGGACGTGTTCTTACATGATCTCCAGTCCTCCCCTCCCCTCGCAGGTCTTAAGGCCGAACTGTCACACTGGGAGCATCTCATCTTCTCTTTTGACAACGATACTTCCTCGGGCGAGGCGATGAACCCATACAACAATAACAGCGGGAACAACAACCGTGGCGGCCGGCGCTCACGGCCCTCCGGCTCTGGTCAGTCTTCCAACACGGGACCTACGCCAGAGGTACGCGCTCTGTCGCCATCCCCTCCACGCCACACCACGTTAACCGTGTTCTCCTTCCCTCGCAGGAGGCCCTACTCTTAGCCCAGCTCTCTTCCAATCGCGCTTCCCCGCCACCATTCAGTGACGCTTCATATGCAGCGCTCATGCAGTCCCTCAGCCAACATAATCCCAATCCCTACGGCTCGTCGAACATGATGTCCCATAATTTCGACTCGCAGCTACCGGGCGTCGACCAGCTCATGAGCACGATCGCCGGGCCCTCCTGGAGTGCCCTGCCACCACCTATCGGCCATCATCAGCAGCAATCCCAACATCACCATCATAATCAGCCTCCTGGCCCGCCGTTATACGGCGCCCACGGTCCACAATTTTCTTCCCCATCGACGTCCTTCACGCCTACCATGTCCCCTCCATCCGGCAGTGCGGCCGCGCCCTCCGCCGGTTCCTCCTCGTCCGCCGGCTCGCCTGAGGCGCTCGACGATGCGGCGGAAGAGAAGCGACGGCGCAATACGGCAGCATCGGGTAAGCCACCTGACGCTACCCACGACACTATTGACCGCTCACGACGCTCCCTTTGCCAGCGCGCTTTCGTATCAAAAAGAAGCAAAAGACGCTAAATCTAGAGCGCTCGGTCGCTGACCTGACAGGACGTGCGGAGGAGCTTGAGAAGGAGGCGGCGGACCTCCGTAGAGAGAACGGCTGGCTCCGCGAGATTGTGACGATGAAGAGCACGCGGATGCAGCAGTTGAGGGAGGCGCACGCGGGCCCATCCACCGAGGCGAGGCGCAGCGCGGACGCGGGGCCGCCACCGTCGGGAAACGTCGTGCACATCGAGCCATATGACTCCGCCGGCGAGGAGAGCAGCTCGGGCGAGGAGGGGCGGCGGCGGAAAGGCAAGGGCAAGGCGACGAAGCCTCCAACGAAGAAATCCAGCAAATAGGCGCCGCGCTTCCCGCACGACCACCGCGCGCCTAGTTCCCGGACACCATGGTTGATATGTACGCAGGCATCGTGAACATTGTATTTTCCCCATACGCATCGTACTCACAGACTCGGTACACGATTCTCCTCGCTTTGAATGGCATCTGGCTCCGTCCGTACTCACCACCGTGTATCCATACCCCTCCGCAGTAACTTAGAAGCCCTGTTGTCTTTTTATTCAACTGTAGCACTTGATCGCTATTGTGCCTCATACCGTCACTCGAAGCTGGCCCGCAGTGCGACTTCGGTCCATCGCGCCATTCGTTCCCAGTCCCTCGCATGCAAGTTGAACTTGGTCCGAGGCATCTTATCACTATCACTCGGGCCGGGCGCCGGACGCGTTCACGATCGGCGATCGGTGATCCAGTTCAAGCATTCCCCCGCCATGCAGGAAATCGTCCTATGCGCCACCGCGGCCTCGTCCAGTTCGGCGTCTTCCAGTACAGGGCCTGGATGTATCGCACTGCATGACCTTCAGACGGGAAACTCCCTCGCCTCGTTCAAGCAGACCAATGCTCCACGAAACTCTACCGCCATCCTCGAATCTTCCGGCTCGGAGGGCGGCTTCATGCTCTCTTGCCAGCCGGACAAATCTATCCTCAATGTCTACAACTTCCAGAAAGTGTGTGTGAAGCACCCCTTCCACGCAGTGAAACTAATGCAAATCTAGGACCAACTAGCCATGAAGATTGTGCTTCCCGAGAAGCTTACATGCATAGCGCTTGACCCTCGGGGGCACTTTTGTGCGGGGGGAACGGCGCAGGGAAGATTATACCTCTGGGAGGCGAGTAACATGATATCATCCGTTCGATACATGTTTACGAACCACTTACCAGTATAGGTATCCTCAGGCATCCTATATAATGCGTGGGATGGCCACTACCGCCAAGTAACCGTATTACGGTTCACGCGCGATGGCGCAGCACTTATCTCGGGTAGCGATGACTCTGGAGTCAGCGTTTGGTCTGTTTCAAGGTGTGTTAAGTGCCTTATGCTCTGGGTATGGCCTAATTACGGCGTAGACTTGTGGACGATGATCTACAGAACGAGTTACCCCTCCCCTACACCACGCTTTCCGACCATACGCTACCCATCACTGACATTACCTGTGGTGTCGGTGTCTTCCCTCAACTCCGTGTTTTGACAGCATCGGTGGACTACAGTGTCAAGGTGAGCCGAGTTATCGGTCTATTTGCCTTAGAAATTGATCAATGGCCTTGAAGGTTTGGGACCTCGCTACAAAATCCCTTCTTACCACTTTTACCTTCCCTCAAGTCATCTCTTGTCTCGCTTGGGATGTGGCCGAGCGTTTCTTTTTCGCAGCGGCGCCGGATGGCTCCGTTCACCAAGTAAACTTATTCCGGGACGCAGACGAAAAGTTAGGTATTCCCGCCGAGGCAGTCGGTGGCGCGGGACTTAGCGACGTTATACGCATCGAAGATATCCCAGCTGAGGCGCGGAGAAAGCGGCTCATAATTGTGAGGTATGAAGTCGCAATCTGGCCCTTTGTACGTCCATCTGATTTTTGTTCCCAGCGAACCGGTCTCCGCCCTGTGTATCAGCGCGACCGGGGCACTCCTCCTAGTCGGTACTACCTCGGGCCCCGTACACGTCTACGACATTCCATCGCACCAGCTTCTACGGACGATCACGACGCACAAGGGCTTCACGGTCACGCACCTGGCGACGATGCTGAAGCCGCCGGATCTAGTCGGTCACGTCAGCCTCAGCATGAGCGCCGGCGACCCCAAGGACGTCGTCCCCGTACGGCCGGTCGCGGCCTTCCAGCGCATGCGCGACGCGAAAGCGCGCACCGCGCACGAGGTCGCGACGCTTCTGCCGCCGAGAGCAAGGGTGCGTCTGCGCTGCTACCCGTGCCCTCGGGCCCTGCTGACGCCCGGCCGCAGACGGCGGATATTGCGTACTCTGAGGACGAGATGCTGCGCGATCACGCCTTCTTTTTGCAACCCGCGCAGACGGGCAGCGGGCAGCAGGACGCCGTAACGCTGCAGGCGCGCGTGACGGACCTGGAGGGCGAGGTGGCCGCGCTGAGGGAGCAGCTGGGCAAAGCGAAGGGCGTGAACGACATGATGTGGGACAATATCGTGCAGAAAGTCGTGCGCAACCGGCAGACGGGCGCCCACGACGACGGCGAAGCGGACGAGGAGCGGAAGAGGAAGCGCGGGCGGACATGATCACTGTAACTCTCCAGGCTTCTTCAGGCTTCTAACACTGGTCGCGGGGAATTATGTCGCGCCACTGCATTGTTTTGGGGCGCAAGCACCTGCGCCATCAGCTTTTTCTGCGTCGGCCCAGTTCACGCGGGCCATGTCGTGCACATACGCGAGTACGTCCTCATCGCGCGGAATCTGACGACTGACCATTAGACCCGGTGCAAAGGAGCACGGGATTTCAATGAAGACGTGCGCGAGGAAATAAAGGAAATTACACGGTCGCTCATTCAAATGATATTACAATTCCGCTCTCTTTTGGTACCTTTACCACGCGTGCTCTGTACCGTCACCCCAGATGAACTTGCCCGTCGGACCGTTCTTGTCGAGCAGAGCCCAGGGCACCAGGATGGCCGCGCCCTCCTGGACCGACTTCGCACCTGCATGGATCGTCCCGAAGTTGTTCAGCTTCGTGGCCGTGTATCCTGGCGTGGCCGCGTTGACTGGTCGACATCGTCAGAAATCCCGAACTGCTCCTTTTCCGACGATTCACTCACCCTTGATGCCCTCCGCCTCGAGGACCTTGCCCAAGGAGATCGTGTACGAGTTCGCGGCGGCCTTGCTCGCGTTGTACGCGACGGCGATGTGCAAGGGGCACGATGGCAGCTTTGACAGGTAGTCCTGCGAGGCCATGTCCGTGCTGACGTTGAGGATGACCGGGTTCGAGCCCTTGCGCAGGAGTGGGAGGAAGGCGGTCGTCGCCTGGATCAGGCCGATCAGGTTGAGCTCGATGGCGTCGCGCACAGCGGAGATGTCAGTCGTGCGAGGGTCCTGGTCGCGGTCCCAGAAGCCATTACCTGGGGAGGGAAAATCAGCAAATTGAGGGAGGCGGTACGTGTCTGATTACCCACCGGCGTTGTTGACGAGGACATCGAGCTTGCCCTCCGCCTTCTCAATGGTCTCCTTGGCGGACGCAATGGTCTTCACATTGGTAATGTCGAGCACGACGCTCTTGACGTTGGTAACACCCTCCTTCTGGAGCGACGCACTGTGGAAATTTCAGTACCGAACGACGATGGGCGCCATTCTCACGTACAGCGCCTCCTTGGCCTTGTCCTCAGATCGGGCGGTGAGGTATACAGTGTAGCTCTTGTCTTTGGAAGCCACTTGCTTCACGATCTCGTAGCCGATACCAGTGTTCGATCCAGTGACGAGGAAGATGCGAGACATCGTTGATTGAGATGGGTGTTAAGAGGGCTGCTTGATGGGAAGTTGTGAAGCTCAGAGAATGGTGATCGTCGACGTCGCGCTCTGCTTTTATAGCCTTATAACCTCTGAGCGAGGTGAAAGACGACCCAGTAGATGTGCGAGCTCCAGGTCTTCTCTGTCCATGCCGTCGCAGCACGTACATCGCGTACGCGGAAGAGGACTCAACCATAAGGGCTCACGGAACCGATGCGTTTCCCAAGGGCTGCCGGACGACGCGCGTCTTCGCTGCACGACACACGCGTCCTATATATTCTCACAGATCCACCTATCCCATCCACTCAAGCACCGGACGATGCGCCATCGACCCACTGACTTTGATGGCTGACCCACTCGTGTCTATTCATCCTTTTATGGTAATCGCTCGGCCCGCAATCGGGCAAATTGCGAAATCTATTGATTTCCCACGGTTCATCTTTCGCCGTGCCCATGATTCCAACCCCAGACACCTCGCACCTCTCGGCCATAGATTTTGAGTCTGTATACGAGCCCGCAGGTGCGTGAGCATTGATTATGTCGTTAGCCTCTGCAGCTAATAGTAGTATACTGCTAGAGGATACTTTCCTACTTCTTGATGCTCTTGAAGCAGATGTAAGCGCTCTTCGAGATATGAAACCCACCGTGGCCCTAGAAATCGGGTAAGCGTACATAAAATTTTGCTCTATCTACGATTATTGAGGGTACCGAGGTAGGTCAGGCTCGGGCTGTGTATCGGCTTTCCTTGGCAAAATACTGCCTGGCGTGCGTACGTTCTGCTCCTCACTCCCTTTGCCATATACTAACGATTGCGTCGAAAGCTATCTTATCCGCCGACATAAACCTACACGCATGTAAATGCACTCGACAAACCGGATTCAAGAACGAGGTAAAGCGGTCGGATACGCGGGTGGCACGAAGCGCTGACGCTAGCGCAGGTTATGCTCGAACCTATCAACGCATCATTTGCATTCCCACTGCGCGCCCGCCTCAAGAACTCTGTCGACATCCTTCTCTTCAACCCACCTTATGTGCCAACAGATTCGGAGGAGGCGTACTACGCGCAGAGTGGGATGACTTTGCCCGGGTCCTGGGCAGGTGGCACCGACGGCATGCAAGTCACTGATCTCTTTCTACCTGACGTACCAGTAAGTCTCGCCAACTTCCTCCGTCAACTTACCTTCCGACTTCAACATCAGGACCTTCTGTCACCGCACGGTAGGTTCTACCTCGTAGCAGTGAAACAGAACAATATACAGGATATAGCCAGCCGAATGGGCGCCTTGGGTCTCGATTGCGAGGTACGTCGCCCTAGTTCTCGGACGTTTGTCGTCGCATTGACCAAGCGGCAGACCGTGCTCCAACGACGCGCAGGACGAGAGCACCTCTTTATCCTACGATTTACAAAACGACCTTCTACTCTTTGAAACTGCACGGCCGCTTCAAATCAGTCAAAGCATGCACGATTCGATTCGCAACGCAGGATGTGCAGATAATAAACAGGTGTGCTATATAGTACAATACTGTAGGCTGCGGCGACAGTGCAAAGGCAAAGAAGCAATGGAAAAAAAACAATTAACGGCGGTCCAGTCCATGGTCAGTGGTTGTCAGTTTGTGTGGTGTCCGCTTTTGGTAGGATATCATAGACGTGGGTACGCCTGAAGCCCTTTCATCCATCGTGCGCGAGAAATGGGTGAATAAAGTCGCGATAAGAGAAGCACAAGATGAGACGACCAAGCAAGGGAATAGGGAAAGAGGATGGACGACTGCGAGTGGGAGAGATAAAGGTAGTACATGTAAGGATTGTTCTGACAGTCGGACAGCATAATGATAAGTAAAGGCAGAGGAAGAGTTCGGTGTTTAGTCGCTGTCGTCGTTGTTGCCCTTTCGCCTTGCGTGGAAGCTGAAGCGGGAAGGGGACGAGAAGGAGGCGGTGCGTTGGGTGCCCTCGCCAGAGATGCTGGGCGACGAGCGGTTCGGCGCGAGATTGGAGTCAAACTCGAGGCGGAAGCGCATCAAGCCACCTCCCTGTTGGAGCTCGACCTGCACCTCAGCGGCAGAGAGACCTTCGGTTTTCAAGTGCCGCCATAGCTGTTGATATGTTAGCAGGTGAAGCTCAAAAGGCAACAGGGAGTACTCACGTCAATCTCGCCCTGGGCCAAGAGCTTGTCCTTGCCCAACGTCTTGTGGTCATGGATCCAGACATGCAGCTTCGACAGGCCCGGCTTCGCCGCGAAGGTGAAGTGCTCGTTCCTACGCGAAGGTTAGGATCTTGTATTGGTCACGGCATAACACGACTTACCACTCAGGGTTGGCTGTCTTCCCGACATGCTTTGTCTTCACCTCCTTGTCGCCGACGCGAATGACCGCATACGGCTTGTAGTCCTGCCCCGAGAGGTCCTTCGCGTCGATGACATGCACGCGCAAGGTGCCCATGCCCGTGTTCGTAGGCATACTCTCAACCGAACCCGGGAACGTCGTCGACCCGTTCATCGACCCGCCGTTCACCGACCCAGGGTTGATCGCCTGCGACACTTGCCCCGCAGGCAGATCCTGCGGAACAGCAGCCGCCTGCATGTTCTCGCCTTCGAACGAGTCGTCGTCCTTGCTGCCCTTGCCCTTGAACACGCCGGTGACACCATGGAACACGCCCTTGCCCGCCTGCACGGGCAAGCCGCCAAACTGGGTCATGGCGCGACCTGCCGACGAGAACGTGGAGGTGTTCTTGCGGCTCTTGACGATGATTTCGGGCTGGAACATCAAGCGGACTTGGATGGTGCCCTCCTCGCCGTGCTTATCGTGGACCAAAGGCAGAGTGCGCTCAGCAGCCTCGAAGGGCTCGAGGTCGCTCACGTTGATCTTCGCCTCGCCCAAGCTCTTCGCCTGCTCGATCTGGTTCCAGTCAAAGACCTCGACGGAGAAATCTGCAGCGACGCGGGATGGCTGTAGGACAGTCAGCAAGTGTCGGCGGTGCTTGCCTGATGGACACTTACGATCTGCACCATGAAGTTCTCGTTCCACTCCGGGTTGAGCGTCTTCTTCTTGGTCGCAGACTTGAACACCTTCTGGCCGTTGAGCGTGAACACGGCGTAAGGGTCCGACTTGCCTGCATAATATCGTCAGTAATTTATTCGAACAAAGAGGGTTTGCTACTCACCACCACGGTCGGCAGCACGAATCTTGTGGCCAGCAATCAAGTCAACGCGCAGGACACCTTGGTTATTGATGCTCTCGCGCGGCTCCAGCTTCACCGGCACCGGTACATATCGGCTCTCGATCGTCACGATTGACATCTTCTCGTCGTCCTGGTCCTTCAGCGTGAAGTCCTGCGGGCCCTCAAGCGTGGTCTGCAAGAATGCCTTCGCGTCACCCTTCCACTGGGCGATGATGTCGTCCTTGTCGCCCTCGTCTGCCTCGTTGAGACGCAGCCAGACCTGGCCGAAGTCAAGCTCCTTGACGAAGCCCTCGCCGACGTACTCCCACTGCGCGTGCGTACTCGTAGCACGTTGTGTGCTGAAGGCGGGCCAGTAGCCGTCGTCGAGCAAGACCTCCAAGCGTGCCTTCTTCTGCAAGCGACCGCCGATGACGTTGAAGACGATGATACCGGACTCTGAAGGGTGAGTGAGTCAGCAGTTCTGCGAAAGTAGTTGCGATATACTCACGGCGCTTCAGCAACTCGTCGACCGGTAGCTCGACGCCCGACTCTTCCTGTTGCGGCGGTGGCGACGACGGCGCGGTCGGGGAGGTGGGCGAAGTCGGCGACGGAGGTACATCGTTCGTCCGCGAAGTACTCTGAGTCGCGACCGAGGCGGCCGTCCTCGTCGTATCCGTCGACTTGGCATTCTTCTTATGCCGACCGGCCTGCTTGCCAACGTTAATTGTGATACCGTCCGGAATGGCCTGGTGCTCGATGTCCGAGGACGAGATTGATGAGCCGCCGTCGGACACGGTGCCGCCATCCTCGTCAGAGCCGGCGCCTCCGCCGGTCGAGACGCCCGAGCGCGACTCGAACTTGATGCCCTTGAGCTTGAGCGCGGGGATGAAGGATGCACGATAGTGCAGCTGGCCCTTGTAGTTGTTGCCCTTGTCGAGCTTAATGGGATCGGCAACGTCGCGGTCGCCCGTGGACTCGTAGGGGTACTCCTCGTTGTCCGACTCCTTTGCAAGATCTGCTACGCGGAGCTCGACGTGTCCGAGAGAGCGGTCTTTCGTAAGGTGTTGGTAATCCATGCACTCGAGCATGAGCGCCTCCCTTAGCGAGTGCACTGCAGCGCTGTCAGGCTTTAACAAGTGGAATGAAACAAGGTCAACTTACCAGGAATGTAGATGATCTGGTCCCAGACCGGGTTGAGGTTGTTGTTGATCACCTCCGTCCGGCCCTTCGTCACATTGTTCACCTGCACCCTCACATACGGATCACTCTTCCCGCCCAACGTCGCCTCCACATTCTTTACATCCGTCGCGCGGTCAATATGCAGCCGCACCGCGCCAATCGGCGGCATGTACTGGTCAGCGCCGTGCAGACTGCCCGCCATATTGAGTGGCTTCCACTCAGCAGACACGCGAATCTTGCCGCTCTTGCAGCCGCTGAGGTTAAACCAGTCGCGGCCGACCTCGTTCTTGGAATTCAGCAGGTCCTGCAGGCGGATGGACATGTAGCCAATGACGGGGTCCTTGAGGAAGTCGCGGTCGTCGATGACCTTGATTGCGATGACGGAGTTATGCTTGTCGGCGCAGAGGAATTCGTGTGCGGCCTCCCATACGGGTGCATTGGTGTGCTTGAATGGCTTCGTGGCAAAGACAGCGTTGCGGGTGTCGCCGTTGAGGAAGAGCTTCGCCATGGGGTTGATATCGCCGGAGAGCGACTTCGACTTGTCCAACGACTTGGCCTGGTGGATCGTGAGACGGACAATGCCAACCTCTGCGAGACTTGTGAGCAACGTCTTAAGTTTGACACAATTAGCGCTTACTCGTGTCAGTGACATCCTCGTCCTGACCCTCTTCGGGCTTGATGACAGGGAAGAACGAAAGGTCGAAGCGCATCTCGCCACGATCCTTGCCGTCCTTAAGAATCGGCACGGAAAGACCCTCAAGCGTCGCATCCTCCTGCAACTTCGCCAGCTCGAAGCTCGCGTCGCCCATATGACTGTGCTTCCGGTGGTCATTGTAGTCGTAGAGGCTGAGCGTAAGCTGGTCGGCCAACGAGTTGACCAAAATGAACTTCGTCTCCATCCATGTCGGATTGTACCTTCATAGTGCAAAATTAGCACTTTAGCGCGAGATATAGACACGAAGACGTACGTAGAGCGCTTATATTTGGTGCGTGCCAATTCAGCGCGTTGGCTGATTGAGATGGAGACGAAGGGGTCGGGCGTCCCGCCACCAATCTTGCTCGTCTTGATCCCCCTTGCGCTCTCAATGGTAACCTGGAGCACCCCGATGGCCGTGTCGAGCGGTGCGCCGGATAGCAACTGCTCCAAGTTCAGCGTGAAGACGTTCGGGTCGTACATCATAGGGCCCAAGGTCGCGTGAGTCATATCGCGAATGAACGACGAAAGACCGGGAATCTGGAACATGTCATCAGCATGCCAAGCTACCAAGACGTAGGTGACGCGTCGCCTACGTTAGCGATGTCCATGCCAAAGGTCTCGCCTCCGATGGGCTTGAGGACGTAGTCGATAGTCGGCTTCTCCAAGAAGCATAGGTCGACGATTTGGACGTGCGGAAAGTTCGACATGAGCTTCATACGGATGCGCATATGACCAGCGAAGGTAATGTCTTCGACGAGGATGGGCATGCCAGCGGTTGCGAGACCTTTGCCGACGCGGATTGTCAGGACGATCTTCGGGTTCACCTTGCCTTGCAGCTGGCGCTTCGTAAGGTCTTCAACATCATTTGGCGTGAACGAGAATTGCCAGTCCATCATGATGATGTCGTCCTCTGTTCGAGGGAAAGTCCGAACCGCCTCGATACGCGGTGCCTTGTTTCCCAGGGTGAACTGGCTGAGGCGCAGCGAGTCAAGGAATGCAGGCGTGTTGCTGGAGAGGATTTGGTCTACGCTGGACACGATCGTTTGCGAGAGGACGGGCTCGTAGATGAGCCAGAAGCGGTCGAGGAAGTTGTTGATCCAGTCGGCAGTCTCGTGCTCTGAACCAAGACGCGTCTTGGTGAGCTCGCGCTGGATGTCGTCGCGTGCCCTGCGACGTGTGCGGCGGATGGAGGTGGTGTAGTACGTGCAGCATACGGATAGCAAGATGAGCTGCCAGCCCAATCCAAAGCCGAATCGCGCGAAGAAGTGCGCAGCAAAGACGGCCTGACGACACCGATTAGCACGCGTCTGCCGTGCGTTGTGCGCCACTCACGAAGATGATGATAGCAGCGTTGTGGAACCATTCGCCGTAGTACTGCTCAGAGACGAGCTCTGCAAGAGCGGACTTGTCGCGCTGGGTCTCGTCCTCGGGGTCAACCTCGTCGATGTGCGACATCTGACGCCAGCCGACGATGTACCAGTCTGGTATTTCTGGCGCAGGCCCGCTTGGCATGTCGCCTGGCGGCTTGGGTGTGTCTGCCTCTTCTGGGTCGACGACTGTCGCCTCCTTGTCGGAATCATGGTCCTCAATCTTGATAGTCGGCACGATCTTGGAGGCACCGGCGCCAGTGTCGATGGACACTTCTGAGGCGGCGCGTGAGCGGGGCCGAGGTGCAGGCGCGCGCGATGACCCACCTTTGACGCCCTCGTCCTTGTTCTCGTCCTTGACGCTCTTCAGCTTGTCCCTTGCCTTGCCTGCGTCTGAGCCCTTCTCGGCCGGGGACGCGTCTGCGTCGAATGTGTGGACGGGGACATTGCCGGCTTTGGCGTCGCGCAGCGGGTCTACGCCCGGCGGGACAGCGTCGGTGGCCATGTCTGCGTGTGGAGATGGTGGTTTGGGATAAGATACAGGGCAAGCGAATGTGGGGCGGGTTGGACGAGCGGTGCGGACAAAAAGTTCGATTCCGGAAGTCAAAGAGGACAACCGACGAGCGTGATGTCACCACCTCAGGTTCAGGGGCCGTACCGAGCGGTCCGGTCCGCCGAGCACAGCCTTCCGCCCAAATGCGCTCCGCGGCGGCTGCGAATGACGACCAGCAGATGCTTGTCCTGTCCGCACCCTCGCTCACGACGTCAGTCTGCATGCCATCGGCCTCGACCTCAACATTATGCGCGTTAGAATCATCAACGATATGTAAATTCCACGTCCTTAGAGCTCTGCCCAGCCACTATCCCCGCCGTCGTCCCCGCTCAGAAGCGCGAGAACAAACACAATAGCGCTCGCCCCCAACCGCATGCCCAGGCCCCGGTACAGCTGACCCAGGCCCGTGTGCTTCGTCCAGTGGTCCTTCTCCTCCGAATCCTCCTCCACAACCTCGCGCTCCTTCCCCTTCAATGACGATCTTCTTCTGTTCTGCCGCGAAACGGGCAGTGGTAGGTCGGAGCGCTCCTCCGTGAGGATGTGCCAGAACGTGTCGACGACTCCAGCGTACGGCTGCGGGCGCAGCTCGACGCACCCGCGTATTGGGCGCGCCGTACCCCGAACTTGCACCTGCAAGCGACGGCGGATAGTTTCGAACGGCAGGGTGACCAGCAGCCCGAGGCAAGAACCTGCGAGCTCGGCCGCTCCCCAGGCGACGGGGTGCGAATCTTGCGAGATGCGTGCGCCAACGTAACGCACAAGGAGACCCGGCATCGCCAAGCTGACGAGCGGGCGAAGGGTGCAGTCAATGAGAGTGGGGATGAGAAGTTGGGGGTGGAAGTATATACTATGCCATCCGCCCTCTTCGCGGAGGATTTGCGAAAGAGCGTCGATGGGTCCGGTGTAGGACCGATAGTGGGGGGACGCCGACTGGACAATCAGGCGCGTGCGCACGAGGTCGAGGGGCGAGAGGAGGAAGCCCGTCAAGAGGTGCGATGTGATGGGAAGTATGAGTGGCTGTTGCTGGAATGGAGAGAGGGACGGGGCAAACAAGGCCTGCAGCATGCTGTGTATGACAGGCTGCAGGGTGGACGAGACAACCTCGCTCGCACATGAAGTCAACAACCCTGGCATGGATAATTCAGCAGCAGCATTCACCGCCACACGACTCGCTTACCCTTCCATAAGGACAGCCATCCTTCAAGACGGAAGCGCCCAACGCGCTTAATCATACCCCAGACACCGTCCGCACTTCCGACTGGGATAATATACTCCGGCCGTCCATCCTGTAGGACACCGTGTCGCGGAGGAGAGCCCTCGTCGTGCACAGGTGCATGATGTCGCCCGGGGTGTGCTGAGTTCGGATCGGCAAAGTAGGATTCCTCGTCATTCTCATCGCTGAGCTACAAGCCAAAAGTTCTGTTAGCATATATGTTCCACAGATGTACTGACTATACACACACCTCTGATGACTCTTCCTCTTCCTCTTCCAATGGAGGCACATGCTCTAGCTCTCCAGCATCCCTTGGCACCCATTGCACCTGCAGCAGCAGCTTGCCCACCTCCCAAGGCATTGCAATCGCCGTACTCGTATACTGCAGTACCGCTGACGCCACCAGCGCCTTGAACAAATCCGTCGCATTGATCCCCGTCGGCTCAGACAGGTCCAGCGATGGCGAAAGGTCGAAGATCGAGTTGTGCGCCGCCCGGTGCGTCCAGGGCGCAGGCGGCGGCGGAGGGACAGAGGAGACAGGCGGCGCAGGCGCATTCGTGCCGTTCTGCGGCTGGAATGCCCATGCTGCGCCGCCGTCGATATATAAGTCTCGCAGCGACGTTGGCGCGCTCATCGTTCGCGACAACACGCGCGTCACTGCGGCTGGCGCCCGGGGCCTTCCCGGCACTCCCGGGCGCGTGGCGACCGGCAAACCCCGTCCAGGCACGGCGCACCAACGGCGCACTCTGCCCTTTCATGGTCTATGTCGTAGTGTAGTGGTTATCACTCGGGATTCTGACGCGTTCCCTTCGATTCCTGGCTTGACCTTGTAATGTGGAGTTCTTTTTTGCGATTGCGTCCCAAGTAGATGATTCACACACCAGTACGAGGGCTTACATGCACTTACACGGTGTTACCGGGGATGCGAGAATTATTAGGGTGTTTCACGTTCAGCTTCGGGTCGTTTTTCGAGCCTTTTTCGAGCCTTTTTGGCAGTCCTTCTTCTAGGGCATTCTTCGTCAGCGTGACAGCTTACTAATAGGCTATAAGCAAAGGATGGCGAAAACGGCCTAAAAAACGACCGAAAAGGGCGCAGAAAGCGCTTGCGAGCCTTTTCTGCGCCTTTTTTGGTCCTTTTTCGAGTCTTTTTCCGCATCCCCGTCTTTGTCAGCCATGTGACGCCTTGTGACATGCCGAAAACGCGTTCGAAAAAGAGCTCAGAAAAGGACTCGAAAAAAGGCGGGCGACCTGAACGTGAAACACCCTAATACACCAAGCAACAGGGAAGAGCGAAGAACCTGCAATCCAAATCGAAACAAACCAAGACTACTGTACAGCCCTGCTGCTCAAACTCACACCTACAAAAATCCTCTAACTATCCTGGGTGCTGAACAAGCAGCAGATAGCAGACGGGGACCGACTTCTGTAAGATGACAGCGTCTGGAGAGCCGTTCACTCGACGTCTTCTTCTCCAAGGCTACCTTCCTTGTCTCAGCCGCCATGGTCGCGAGCATCTTCCTCGTCCTCTCGGGGAGCATGCACGGCGGGATCTCCGCATGCGGGAGGTCATCCCACGTGCCACATCGCCGGCTACGGCGTTGCTGACGCTCAAGCAGCTCTGCTTGTCGTTGGTACTCGCGACGCTCGGCCTGGCAGTACCCGCGTCTCGCCGCTTCACGTCGTTCTTGGAACCTGAGCCTCCTGTTTTCGGCGGGCGGAGCAAGGAGAGGATTGTCCTTGCGCGGCGGGAGACTTTGCGAGACAGGCGTGTCTGCTGTAGTGTAGTTGCGCTTGATGATCTCGTCCATGATAGGCGCTTGCGGAGGTGGGATGGATTCGTGGGCTGAGAGGCGTTGGGGACAGTGGGCTGTAGAGGTTTCACCGCCGCTGGAAGTCGCGTACTGAGCAGCCAGTGAAGCCTCTAGTCGCTGGATGAAACCTAACGTGGGCGCCTGCGTCGGCCGCGGGGGTGGTGGTGGTGGATGTAGAGGCGGGGGTACGAAGGGCTGGAATCTTCGCGCGAACTGATTCACCACAAAGCTGAAGGCAGGGGGCTTGTAGTAGATGTGCGAGTCAGGTGTTGTGTCCATCGCGTCGTCGTCGATATCGCTGTGTTTAGCGAAGGCCTTGAAGTCAGCCACAGCCCGGGTGCTCTGAGCAAGGCTCATGAGTACTGTAGCATGCAGTGCATAAAAGAATGCACACATACCGACAACCCGAACGCGCTGGCCGAAGAAGGGAAGGCGGTGGTAGTGGTGTTGCTGGCGAGCGTGGTGCCATTCGTCGCGAAAGCGCTCTTGCGGATTCCGAACGCACTTGTCGTGTTGCTCTGGAACTCTATGAGCTGATGTTCAACGGCGTAAGATGTCAATAGTCAAACCTTCATGCCAAATGCGGAGGCATCAGTGGCGAAGGCTGACTTGATGGTCGAATTCGAGTTCGTTGCGAAGGTGCTAGTCGACGACGAAGCGAAGGCACTAGTAGACGTCGAAGGGGCGGAGCTAGACGTGGTAGCTGGAGAGTTTGCGTTGGAGTTGAAAGCAGAGAAAGCTGAGGCGACGTTCGAGGTCGTGGGATGGAAGGCACTTGTGCTTGCAGACGCAGGAGAGGATGCACTTGTACTGGTACCCGAGACCGCGCTGGTTTGAGCTGGCGGGAAGGCACTGACTACGGGTGGGCGCGGTACGTCGGGATTGACCATGAATGCACTGATAGGGACGGAGGACGGTGGTGCTGAGGCGCTAAAGGCCAATTGAGGAGCGTTCACAGGCTGCGTGAGGGAGAAGGGTAGGGCAGCTGGGGCAGTATCCTCATTCATGGAAGAGGCCAGAGGGTCATCGCGTATCTACAAGGCCGTCAGCTACGCCACTCCCGCCACAACGTGAGTACACTCACGGCAATCACTTCGGGAGGAGGCTGACTGGTGGCATTGGCTCGCGTACGAGGGCCCCGTCTCCGAGTACCAAGGGACACGGAGTTGGGGCCCGTGGCAGGTTCGAGTGGCGCGGTGGTGGGGAAGTCGACGTCGAAGATGTGTCTGCGCGAGCCGGAGCTCTCTTTGGGAATGCGATCGCTAGTGTCTATGCTATCAAGGAAGGCATCCGCGGCGGCATGCCTAGCATCGTGATCGACAGGTCCGCTCGCCGGACGCCGCAGCCCAAAGGCGTCCAGGGAGGACGTGAAGGTCTTGTTGGCGAGGGCGAACGCAGGGGAGGCATGGATCGACATGGTTGGGTGATGAGGGTGGTGGATTGTCTTTGGTTGAAAGGCGCTTGTGCTCGAGATTGTGCTGGGATGTATTGGGTGAAAGAAAGGACATACTGCTCAAAGCACGGCCCTCATATACTGCCCGCATTTGGGGAACAATTGCACATTGGTCGGCAGGTCAGCGCACGATCACGGCCCAATATGGTGCTTCGGCAGCCGCAGGCAGGACCAGCGCTGATAATAAGAGTACCCTTCTATTCAATAAGTAGGAGAACGGGGGTCGATTCGTCTGCTTGAAAGGCCTGATGAGGCTATGACATTGATGCTCGCCATGAGGTAGGTAGTGTTTATGACCCGGACAGATAGACCACCGCGTCTATGTCGTGTTGGAAGACAGCATTTCCTGTTGGAGGGCATTGAGCGCTTGAGTCGCTGCTATACAGGAGGTAGTGCATCGATGAGGAAGGGAGAAAGATGCAGGACACTGGTGAGCGCGAGCAGCATGATCAAGCGCAGATCCCGAATCTGGTCCACGTGCGCTCGGGGATTACCGAATCGGCGCCCACAACGTTTGACGCGACGATTAAGAGGGCTATAGCGGTGTAGGGCCGTGGTCTTTACGAGTTTTGATAGTCAGATGAGAGAGGGAGATATAAGTGAGTATGTACTGCACAGTAGTACACAAAACGTGATCATGGTAGCGCTGCAACGACAGCAAGTACCTACACAGTAGGTGATTGTGGCACGAGAGGATGTGTGGTGATGATATTCCCTGTATATATCCAAAACCCCTTCATTCCTGATGATAGTAAAATCCTTATGATGTCGCAAGAGGAAGAGCCCAGGACAAGGCAGAGCGCAGACGGGAGCCCCACCCGGAAGCGAGCTCGCAGTCGCTAGGACCGTCTGAGCCGCCCTCCGAGCTCAAGCTCACACTGCCCACGCTTTCGTCCGATGTCGTGCTGCTCGCAGCAGAGCTCTCCTCGTCGTCTTCGTCCTCGCACCATGTTCCAGGTAGAGATGTTTCGCCCATCTCCTCGGCCGCGGCAGCCGCCTTCTTCGCCGCTCGCCGCGCCTCCTTCTCCACGCGCTTCTTCTCCCTTCGCCGCTGCTCCTCGAAGTACATGAACGCCGGGACGGGGAAGGCAGCCATCCTGCGTTCTTCTGCTTCCTCGGCCTCGCGCGCCTTAAGCTCCCGCTTGCGTTGCTTGCGAAGGGCCTCCTTCTCTGCGGCTCGCTCGATTCGCCTGAGCTCGCGCTCTTCCTCCTTACGGCGCGCACGCTCCGCCTCCTTGCGTGCCCTCCTCTTGTCGTCTTCGATCGTGAGTCGTCTTTCTTCCTCCTGTTGAATTTGAGATGAGTGGGTACGCTGCAGACGAGAATATACGTACAAAGATCTTCCGCGACGTCTCGCTCCACATCCAGGCATTCGAGCCCTCAGTCTTCAACGGACTGGATGGTCCTTCCGAACGCTGGCTCCTCGGCGAGCCGAGCGAACTGGATACAGCACCACCACGGCTGCTCGACAGTAGAGAGCTCGACGACCGCTGCGCCAAGGTCGGGACCGTTCGCGTCGAATGACGCTGAACGAGCTTCTGCACGAGACATGACTGCGGCTGGGTGGGAGGAAGCGAGACCGAGTGGCCGAGAGGTCGTACGACGGCCGTCGAGCGCGACATTGATGCCGCGGGCTGGGATGCGGACAGGACAGGTGCATGCGCGGCAGCGACGGCGTCGTCGAAGGCCTTGAGCGCACTGTAGGCGTTGGCGTGACACATCAAGGACTCTTGCATAAAGTCGCGCGGGGGTTGTTGGGGCGGCGCTGATACCGGCGACGCCGACATCATGCTGAAGTTCGTCGAGATACGCTGCAGGCTCGGTCCCGCGTGCGATGTCTGTGTTGCAGACGACGTGGGCTAGGTGCGACGATGATCAGCGCATGCACACGATAATCTACAAGGAACACATACCTGCAGGCTGGACACGGTGAGGCTCGTGTTGATGTTGTTCACGGGGTTCATGGTGCTGTTCCCGCTCTGCCCGGTGCTAGCGGGCTGAGACGGGGCGCTACGACGCATGCCAAAGGCATCAGCGGAGCTGGCGAACGCACTCGTGAACGCGTTTGGGGCAGGGGATTGGGCGGCCGACTGTGTCGTCGGTGCCGATGGCGAAGGAGTCGCTTGCGTCGCCTGGTTGTTCGCGCCGAACCACTGACTCGAGGGGGTGGGAGTGGGAGCCGCATGAGGCTGCGCTCCCGAGAATGCACCGAAGCCGCTGTTGGTGCTGCCAAATGGATTGGGCGCAGACGAGGTGCGGGTGAAGGGAGAGGGCGTAGAGGAGCTCTGCGACGATGGAGTGGTGGTTCCGAAGCCACTGCTGTTCTGGAAGAGAGTGGACGTGGTCGCATGCCTAGTGAAGCTTGAGGTAGAAGGCGCGGGAGCGGACATGGATGATTGGCGCGAGACGGGCTCGGGACCAGACATGTCCATGTCGTTACTCTTGATGCGCTTGCTCTCAGAAGTCTCCTCGAGAGGACCGTCCTGCGAGCTTCGCTTGCCCGTTAGTGGCGGGCTCTGTGTGCGACCATAGCCGATGGGGAATCGCCCGGGAAGGCCAGAAGATCGTGAGGTGCTCGCGGACGTCGAAGTCGATGCCATCGGGGGCGCATCCATGGCGTTACTCTGGGTCCCAGAGCCCGACGGCTCGTTCGCGCCACCGTTGTCCTCGGGCTCGGTAGCCACATCTTCCTCAGTGCTCTCATCCGAGGTTTCTTCATCGTCCTTCTCCTCCCCTTCTTTTGCGGGATCGTAGTCATCGTCGGTGTCGCTGTCATCACTCTCACCAACAAGGACAAGTTTCTGCTCCGGGTCCTTCATGATGAGCGGCTTGCTATGCTCGCGCTTGCCCGTGATCCTGTTAGCAGGAGTGGAGGGTTGGGGCTGGTATTGCTTAGCGATGGGCGACGACTGGAGCCCGCCGGCGAGGGGGGAGGAGTTGAGCTTCGCCTGGTTGCCACGGCTGGGAGCAGGTGGTCAGCAGACTGTACCACCACTAACCCCCAACTGGCACTTACCCAGTGGCGGCAGACGATGATGAGGACTTGGAGGGGGGTGTAACAGGTAGCGCCGAGGATATGTGCGTTCTGCTCATCTTCTGGTAGAGCGATTCGACCTGCTGGAATTCGCACTCGTCGCTGTACATTGCAGAGGACCGTCAGCGCGAACACATGGAAGCGTGCAGGTGGGGGTACATACGCCTGATTACCGATATACGCCAGCGATGCGCCCTTCTTCGGTGCGGGTGGCGGGGTCGCCAGGGATAGGCGCTGGGGCGTGCAGGCGGCTAGCATGGCTACTGCGTTAGGGATACACGTGCCCGGGTAGAGACTGAGAGGATGCGCTTCAGTGCGAAGGCAATCGGGAGATCAACCAGAGTGGCAGGGCAGGGATCCCTGCGCGCGATATGATACGCGGACGCGATGGTGGGGGGAAGAAACAAGAATCGGGACACGCGCGCCGCGCTATTATGTATAGCACGCGCTGTGGCCAACCATTCATTGATTGCTCGACAAATGGGGCATGCGATGTCGGCCTCGAGGCTACGCACTGGCCACGAGGCGGGCACGGTGCCTGTTGTTTGTGTTCGCCTTCTGACGTGCATGTCTGTCATGATGCATGCTGGGCTATGTATGTCGCTCCAGCCTTGCCACTGCGGGCTGCACCTTGCTTTGTTCTGAAGACCCGTACATGTGCGAACGTCGCGCTCGGCAATCATCGCACTGGCACCCCGGAAAGCTAGATTGTGTACTCGACGTCGTTCTCGCTGCACCCGAGTCAGCCTAACGAGCGTATTTATAGCCAAGTTAGCCTCACAAGTTGCGCCTGTTCTGCTGAGTTGGACGATCCGGATAAGCGAGCCTCACCCAAGTTCCCACGCCAATCAAACGGGCGCTTAATCGCTTTGCTCCCGCCATGACGGACCCCGCGCGCATCAGCTACATCCCCCTCGAGTCCAACCCAGACGTCTTCAACACCGTAACCCATACGCTCGGCGCTACCAATCTCGAATGGCACGACGTCCTCTCCCTCGATGAGCCAGATCTCCTTGCCCTCGTCCCGCGACCCGTCCTCGCGCTCGCCCTGATCTTCCCCACCAACAATCGTTATGAAGCCGCGAAGCGCGAGATTGAGTCTCGGAGAGAGCCGTACACAGGGACCGGCGAGGCCCAAGATCTTATTTGGTACAAGCAGACGATCTACAACGCGTGTGGCACGTACGCGATCCTGCACGCCGTCTCGAATGGCGCCGCGCGTGGGCTTGTTGGTACGCGTCATCCACACCCGATTTACTGATCTCGCGCCGATACACTGTGCAGACCCCAACTCTGCCTTCGGCCAGCTCATCGCTCGCTGCGAGGCTCTGGACGCTAGGGATCGTCCCCGTGCCCTCGAGGAATCCGCAGAGCTACGCGCTGCCCACGAGAAGGCCGCAGTGCAGGGCGATACCGCGGCCCCTGCTAACGCGGCGGACGAAGTCGATTATCACTACACTGCCTTCGCTCCCTCTCCCACTACGCACCGCGTCTACGAGCTAGACGGTGATAAGAAAGGCCCTCTTGATACTGGCCTCACCCTCGACGACGACGGAGACATGCTAAGTCCAGCCATCGTCGATCTCATCAAAGGCTACATCGCCCGCGATGGAATCAGTCCATTTTTCGGTCTCATTGCACTCGTTCAACGGCAACAATCGTAACAAACATGACAAGTACACTAGCAATGTGAAGTGAGTAGTCTGGTCATTCGGTACATGAACACGGAGGTCTTCGTTTCCTGCTTTGTCTGCGTCCGACCACCCTTTAGAATGGCCCAGCCTGCCCGATGTACAGCGCATGCGCCACAACAGCGAAGAACGCAAAGAGGTTGGCAATGGAGCTGACCCCATGGATCCAAAGGAACCTCTTCGTCAAGGCCTTGACAGCCTCATCAGTCTGCACAACGTCGTCAGCACCTGCACCTTCCCCCACTTCTCACAGACCACAACGAGCTCACCTCCGACCCCTTCTTCTCCCCCTTCTCCAGCGTATCCCGCTCATACAACAACCGGCTCGTCATCGGCCCGAGCACCAGCCAGTTCGTCGCCTGACCCACGAACACCGCAAGCAACGAGCCCACGCTGAGCAATCCGCCCGCGCGGAGGGCGAAGAGTGAGTTGAACACGCCGGGGTCTGCACGGTAGAGGAGGTAGATGCAGGAGGCGCTCAGGGCGGTGCTGAGCTGGAAGTAGACAGGCCAGGTTTTGTGCTGGAGGGTGGCGAAGGACGGCTTGTCTGGGCGGAGGGGTGTAGGGTGAGTGAAGGTTTGAGGAGAGCTTAGGGGTTGGACGCACTAAGAGCACGATGCGCGATGGTTGCGCCGAAGAAGGGCTGCCAGATCGCTGGGGATGCGTGAGTATCGGTCGGGTTGCATTGGGTAGTGAGGACAGACTCATCCCAAAGAGCCATCCGAAGAGCACAGTGTAGAGGCCATTGGTGGTACCAAGGCCGCGCAGGACGTCCAGCGACAGCGGCTTATCGAGGAGAGGAAGCGCAGACATGACGGACGGAAACAACACTCAGGGCACGACATCCGTATTCTTGAATGTGCTTCACACGCAGGCTGCATTACATCACGCGTGCTTCAAACGCGTCCTTACGCGACGAAAATCTAGGCGCCCAGCGACGCCGTTTGCATCCGACCGCATTCAGTACCGTCGAGGACTACAGACTAGAGGAAGCCCCGGCTACGCCGGCTGTGGACCTTGCCTAGCAGCAGGAGCTCGTCGACAGTCAGTCCTTGGAAGTCGCCAGTACACATCTCGCGCGGCTTGCGCACGCTTCTAAGATTCGTGCAGGTCCGTTGAAAAAAAGCTCAAGCGCTTGTCTCCGAGGCCTCGAGGTGCGCACGGCTCGTCTCAAGCTCAAGTTCACGGCACAGTGGTGGTAAGAGCAGCAGTAGTCGGGCTCTGCGACCGGCGACGCACTCTTTCATGAGATCCGGTTCTGAGTAGCTCCGGGGTCGAAGCCCGGAGCGTTCAGTCATTAGTTGGGCACTGTTGACTCTCTGATCGTGCCTGCAAAAAGTTGGGCTTCAATTAAGGGTGGCGAGAGACCTTGCTAGGCAAGGTAATTGGAGCGGGAGGCCTTCAGGTTGCTTGGCGATGTTCATAAGTTTTGTCCGACGTGAGTGAATAGATTCATTGGATAGCCCAATCCAATACCGCGGCCAGTTACTGCAGGATGCAAGTCTAGAGTATCTAACCGATGACCATCTTGCCCTCCGCCTCGTTGATCTCGTACTCGGGAATTTCGAGGTTGGTCTGCAGGAATGTGAGACGATGCTTGGTAAGAGGAAGTCAGAACATACGGGAGCAGGACCCTTGCGGGCACGACCAGCTATGAGGGAGTCAGTTATCACAGGAAGTACAAGTTACGAGGAAGACGCACAGATGTCGTAGTGGGAACCGTGGCACGGGCAGAACCTGAGAGACAGAGTGAGACCAGAGTAAAGGGGCTAAGCTCGCATACGCACCAGCCGCCATAGTCACCCGCCTCACCGATGGGGACACAACCAAGATGCGTGCAGACGCCAAGCATGACAAGCCACTCCGGCTTCTTCACGCGCGCCTCATCCGGCTCCGGGTCACGGAACGTCTTCCAGTCGGCAGAGCGCGCCTCGTCGATCTCGCTCTGAGTGCGGTGACGGATGAACACGGGCTTGCCGCGCCACTTGATGATCACGTTCTTGCCCTCCGGGATTGAGCCCATCTCGACCTCAACCTTCGCAAGCGCGAGAACGTCTGCGGACGCAGACATGGTGCGCAGGAACTCTGCGATGGAGGACTTGGCGACGCTCGCGGAGAGCAGGCCCATGGAGCCGACCATGAAGTAGGAAAGAGCGCGGTTGGAGTTCTTGTCCTTTGCGCGGTAGTGCGAGAAGTCGGGCACCTTGGGCTCAGACGCTACGGGCGCGCTCGTGTGCACCGAGCGCTGCTGGAACCGGGCCGTTGGGGGCACTGGCAGCGCGTTAGGTGGTCCGTCGCAGCTTGCAAATTTGAGAAGTACGCACCGCTCACGTACGACTTGTACGCGCCAAGGTTCATGCCGCCCGCCCACTTCGGGATGGCGTCTGTGCGAGGACCAGCCGCGCCGTGTCCGTCGTCGTGGCCATGGGCATCGGCGGGGGCGCGAGCGCGGAGGTTGAGGAGGGAAGGCGCGGCAGGGACGCCAGAAGGCAGGGTGCGCACCGTGGGCGGGACGGAGAGAGCCTTTTTGGCGGCCTGGAGGGTGGCCATCGCGAATGAGAGTGGGGATTCTAAGTTGTCGACGTCAAGCAGGCAGCAAACCCGACCGCCGCGAATTGTCGCTTGTTTGTCCCGGTCTATTCCGACAGTTTTGATTCGCTCCAGCCTCCCGCTCTCCCTTGCCGCATGGGGAAGGCCCTCACATATGTCAGTCTGTAATTCTACCTTAGTGTCCAATGCATAGTATGGGGAAAAATATGTACTGGTTGGGTATGGACTACACGAGGGCAGTCATCAAGCCTGCGCTCGACGAGTACCGCTAGCCTTGTAATATGTACAGTGCTATGCTCTCCTTGCCCAAGGTCTTGTAGTGTAGTGGTTATCACTCGGGATTTTGATTAGTAAGCTTGATGCTTACGTAAGCTTCCCGAAACCCAGGTTCGAACCCTGGCAAGACCTTTTTGAGGGTTGCTTTCTTCCTAGCATATGCTCAGAGTGTCTGTTCCAAGATATCAGAGCCGGAAAGCCAAACTTTCGACTCCTTGGTACTCAAGTTGAAGTTGAAGATTCGGTTTTGATGCCATCACGAGAACTTGCCTTTTATGGAACGACTTCCCACGCCATCGTCCATATCTCTCCCCCACGACAGCATGGTGTTGACTTTGGTACGCGCCAAAGTAAATAAGCTAGATCAATACTAATATAAGCGTGTCCCTGTATCCATAATCTGGGGCCCACATTCTTGCTAAGGCGGTGTAGACGGGCGAAACAGTGTAGAAACTAAGCTCCAACCCTAAATCACCACCACTTCTACGCCGACGCTCGTTGACCAGTTCTTCGACGACTCACCTTTGGCTCGAAGCCAAAGGTGCGAAGGGAAATCTTGTCGGACAAACTAAGATTGGAATGGCGATGACAAGACAATCACGATCGTGATTTTGTTGCCGAAGCGGCCCTCAACCTCACACATGCACAAGTCGTCTTTACGATAATGATATGCAGGTTCAGATGGTACAGACATGTATGAGGACAACTAACAATACTGGAACGAAAGCGAAGCAAGCAGGTATAGTACAGAACAGAAACACATCAAGTGCAAGCACCACTGGGCCCTACATGTACATCTCTGACGGCGTCTGCATGTCCTCGGGCGACACAGGCGTCGGCGATTGCATGATCTCCTCCATCTCCTTCTCCTGCATGATGGCCGCCTGTCGCGCGACGGACGCGTGCTCGTAGTCCTTGTCGGTCGGGATCTCTTCTGGCGCGGCCTGACCCTCCTCTTCTTCGTACGTAGCGAGAGCGGCGCGGAACTCGAGCATCCAGGCGTGATCCATCAGCTCCTGCGCGGAAGGCCGCTTCATAGGGTCGATGATAAGACATTGCTTTAAGAAGTCGATACCGAGAGGGCTGAGTTGGCCAGGCTCGGGCAATGGAGGGTGTTGCGTTGCGACACCAATATGGAACATGATTGCCCTTCGGGTGCATTAGCCAAGGTAATCTCCTTTTAGATGTGAATACGTACCATTCGTTATCCAAATTACTCCACGGCTTCTTGCCAGTCGCGCACTCGAGTACAACGCAACCCATGGACCAGATATCCATCGCACCCTGCCGCCCGCGCCGGTCGTTCTTGATGATCTCCGGCGACATGTACATCGGCGTGCCCGTCAAGCTGTTCATGCCAGGCGGCTTGCTGGCCGTGTTGATACTAGGCGTTGCCGGCTCGACGTTCGTCCCCTTCCAAGTCCGCTGGACGGTCTTCGAGTTCTTTGCGAGGATCTTCGCGGCACCGAAGTCGACGAACTTGATGACACCCAGGTGGTCGAGCAAGATATCTGGGCAATCGTCAGACGGCGCGAGTATATGAAGGATGCATCACTCACTGTCAGGCTTGACATCGCGATGCACGATATTCTGCGAGTGCAGGTACGCCAAACCCTCCAACATCTGCATAGTATACACCTGGATGATCCGTTCGTCCTCGATCCTTCCGTGTTCCAACAGCGCAGCCATGCTCCCTCCCTGGCAGTACTCCTCGAAGATGTACACCTTGTCGCGGTGCACTTCAATCCCATAGTACTCGACAATATTCGGATGGTGCAGCCGCTCCATGACGCTCAGCTCCGCCTTCACCTGCTGGTACAGATTCGGCAGACCTGTGAGCTCCTGGAACTTGATCTCCTTCACCGCCATCAGCGAGCCCGAGTCCAAGTTGACAGCCAGGTACACGCTTCCGAAGGCGCCCGAGCCGATGAAGCGGCCCTGCTGCCAGCGAATGGCGAAGTTCGAGCTGCTCGACGCGAGGAAGACAAGCGTCCGGTCCTCAAGCTTCTCCGTGTCCAGTACGCGGCCCAGCACGCGCTGCTCTGAGCCGATCTGGCTGCGCTCCGCCTCCAATTCCTGCACCGCGCGCGAGACGCGGTCCCAGAACATGCGCGTGCTCTGGTCGGTGTACGCGAGGCGCATATCGGACTGGTCGGGCGAGAAGGGCCGCTCGAGTTCGTCGGTCTCGAGCTCGCTGTCGGCAGCGAGCTGCCGCAGCTTCTCCTTCTGCATCTGCTTCTCGCGGGCGGCGACCATGGCCGAGCGCGCACCCAATAGGTCGAAGTGCGTCTGCAGGAAGCGCATGCAGATAGCCACGTTATGTCGAAGCATGCGATACTGCTCTTCCGGCAGGAGGTGGATGTATCGCCGCGTTCTGCTGTTCGTGAACTCCAGAGCATTGACGGCCCAACGGAAGGTCTTGCGGTCGTTATGGTCGCAGTCGTCGCAGATGAAGGATAGCCATGAGATCGCGAGCTTGATAAGTAGGCGGTGGAAGCGCAGCAGCTGCGAGCGGTCCATGAACTTCTGCGCATGCTGCCCGTGTTCGGACGCGAACAGATACCAGTTCTCAAGAAGCTCCTGGCAACCCTCCGTCCCGCGCAACGCTGTCCGCAGATGGTGTACAGAATCGACGATGGACTCAGCGAACTTCGTCGTCGCGCGCGAGATCTTGCGAAGCTCGCGGTTGACGGAGGGTAGGTGAGCCTGTTGCTCCGTGATAACAGACGGAGGGTCCATAACGCGCTCGAGCTCGTTGCCATCCTCGTCAACGGGGAAGAACGTCTCGAGGAAAGCCGTCTTCGCCATAGCTAGCCGAGTCTGCGGCCCATCCGCGACCAGCCGCACGCGGTCGTCCTTTATCTCCAGCTCGATCTTCGGCATGGCCAGGGCCATGTACGAGCCATTCCAGACAAAGGGAGTGCGAGGCGATAGGATGAGAAGGTACTGAGGCTCGTCCTGGACCCAAGAAGTCCGATCTTCCTCCTCGCCTGTACCTGATGGAGGGCGCGCGGCTTCCTCAGGCTGTAGCTCAGGTACGGTCCAAGCTTCTGTCAGAATCTTGCGGACGGCGTCTGGGCGGTTCGCTAGACTGCTAGAGGCGATGATGTACCGACCATCCTCCTCGAAGGAATAGGTATAGACGAGGACGTGACCGGTGGAGGTAAGACAGGAGATGAAGGCGTCCAGCTGTACACCTTCGAGCGAGTACTCTGATGAATTGCTGAAGCGCTGCGTGAGGACCCTGCAGATGCTTAGCACTGCATCCAGGACGGAACTAGAAGCAAATACCTCGTGAAGCGCTGCAGCTTACGATACCGCAGTCGTACACTATCCAACATCTTGTTGTACCAGTTTACCATCTGCTGGTCGCTCATCTTGCGATTCGCTGGCGTGACAGCGCCGCTGCCGTTCGCGCCATTCGGACCGCCCGCCTCCGAGTCTCGTCTTCGATGTGCGGCGGCGTGTCGGTGTTCGTTCGGATCCTCACCAGTCGGAACGCGGACCTGGGTATCAAAGTAGTTGGTAACTCGAATCATCAACCGATTCGTTAGCGAACTGCACTTGGAAGATGGGCATGAGCGGTTGTGCACGAAGAAGATTACTGCCATACCAAAGCTGCTCTGCCACGACACAGGAGCCTCCAGCGGCAGTCGATGCAACGTCGTTGAACGTGGCCCACTGCCCTTCCAACACGTCCGTCTCCTTGAAGTAGATGCCCTTCGCTCCGCTCTTCAGCTTCCAGTGTAATAAGCGGAAGAACGTCATGAGGCCCTCTAAGATGGTCTGGTCGTAGTCGGGGCTGATACATGGCGGCAAATTCCAGTGACCGGATGGTTCTGGTGCATTGAGCGCCTCGTACTGCCGCTTGAGCGTGCATGAAAGGCCTATGCTGACGCGCATATCCTCAATCATCTGGTCGATGATCATGTTGTCCGGGTTCTGCAGTTTTGAGACGTAATCCAGGCGCACGCGTAAGCATGCCTGCGTCAACCGGGGTGCGAAGGAGAGAAGGGGGATGAGCTCCTGCTCAAAGGTGGGTAGGTTCATCGTCGAGAAGAGCTCGGCGTAGGTTATCTGCGCGTGTCGGGCCGATCCAATGAGGGCGTGTGTCACGACGAGCGAGCCCTTCTCGAAGGTGCGCTGCATCGACTCCTCTTTCAACACGCGCTCGACGAAGCTGATGCCTTCCACCTCAGAGCCATTGGAGGGCCCGATGTGCACTTCAGCGGACGTGTAGGGCTGTGTGACATCGAGCTTCTCGCTTCCCGTCCAGCGCTGTAATCGAGCGATGTGGTCGCGGAGGGAGGTGAGGAGGGTAGACCAGGTGTTGAGCGCATCGACGCGTGTTATGAACTCGGGGCTGGCGGCGGCAGGGCGGTCAAGCTGCATCGCCTTGATGTTGGGGTAGAGGGAGACCGCGATGTCGAGGCGGTGATTGAGACGGTGAATGTCGTTAAGCGCGCATGACGCAGCGTCGCCGCCCTCTGGCGGCGGGGACGCTACGAACGTGTTGATATCGTGTATGATGGGGTCCACGTAGCGGAGGCGGCGCTCCTCCAGAATCTTCTTCTCGTCCTCTATATCTCGTGAATGGAATTTGGCGCGAATGGCGAGCCAGATGTGGACATGGGGGTTATTCGTCTCGTCGACCGAGTTCTCGAGCGCCATCGCTATGCGCGTCTTCTCCGACTTGAGCACGTTTCCAGACAAGACCGAGTTCAACCATGCGATCCAGTGCTCTCGAGGTGGCTCGCCATCTTTCTGCGTGCTTGGACTGGCGGAGACGTCGGCGTCAGCAAGTAGGCCGGCCACACGATCGAAGGCGGCATCTCCGGGGCCCAAAGGGACGTGCGCGAGGTCTTCGTCGTCACTGTCGCCCGCGTCGACTAGCTGACCAAGGCCTCGGTGGAAGTAATGACTGTCCGGATCGTTGCGTGGATCGTCCTGCTCGCCTGGCCCCGCGGACCGGTATCGTTGCATGAACTGCGCATAAAGGTCTGAGTATTTGGGAACGTATGACGGTGTCCGGGGTATGCTCAGTGGTGGGGGCTGTATTGGCGTAGGATAGTTGTGGTGAGAGCGGAAGCTGCGGTTGAGACCATTGAGGGAGCCTGTGTTGGAGAGGGAGCGGTTGGGCGCAGGGAATGGGCGGGGGTGGGAGAGACTGCCGCCGTTCCAGTCATCATCGTCGACGCCGTCCTCGACACCATCGACCTCGACGTGCGGGAAGAGAGTTGGGTGGTGGCGGCGCATGAGGGTCGCCTGCCGTTCGTCGGCGTAAGAAGAGAAAGAGTGATCTATTATAATCACACCCCGGCGATCTTGCACTGCTGGAGCCCCGGTCCGGCCAGCGCGCCACTCTCCTCACCCTCTCACTCTCGCTTACGAGCGCCTTGCAGGCAGATTTCTCACCTGTAAAGGACACCGGCATCGCGTAACAACTTCACTGATATACACTAGCTCTGCTGGCCGCACCGCATGATCATACTCATGGCAGACCAGGAACGTACGAAGACAAGCACTTTCCTCGAGTCGGATGAATGAGATGCTAGTCTACCCTCCTCCATCAAGGCGTACGCGGCGTACGTGCGAGTCCGAGTCTACACAGGAATGTCAGATGAACATATACGTCGACAAATAGCACGTCTGTCCGTCATCGTCATCTCCAGCGCAGCAGAGCTCAGGAACGCCAGAAACGGACGCCAGCTTGACGATGGTCTCGCATCTGCGCGGAAAAGGTGAAGTGGATATGACTTCGGGCAACTATATGGTATCAAGTTTCGATGGATTCCTGAAGGACTGAAGGACAAGTGGGTGCAGAGTGCAGCCAGCGTGCTAGCGAGTCGATCTTCCTCCTCGTGTTCACGGAGATCAGCCTGCGTCCTTCGCGAAGAAGGAACTCGGTGGTGGCGTAGTGGTAGCTTTGCCCAACTGCGCCGCTTGGCCCACGCAAGCGTAATCTGTATGCCTGGACGTGTCGGGAAATAGAGTCCAGCGCTCGAGCGCGCAGGAATGGAGGGCAACGAGTTGACGTGAATGAGGGTCCTCCCCGGCACCTAGATGGATGCATAGTGAGCGAGAAATGAACCACGGAAGCAAGATGAGCTTGGATAGCCATCTTGCCAAAGTTGATGAGACGGATATCGTATGCACCAAGACGAGAGGGACTGACCAACCGGCCTTCATAGTCGCAGTGCAGTGGATATCGTTGGAGGGACGAGAAGGGTAATTGCCTACTCGCGTGCACAATCTCATCATCTGGATATACCAGTAGCATCGAGATACCTATGAAGTGAACGTCTGCGAGAAAGATTAAGGGACTCACCTGGACATTTAAGGACAGCACCGGTATTCTCGTAGGCACGCACAGCGCACGTTCGTGCTGCTCAGCTTCGTTGTGATCTTCATTCTCGCCCTGTCCATGTGAGTGCACCGACATCGTCTCACCGCTGCTCAAAGTCGCTGGATGAACTTCGTGGGCAGGGAGGGAGCAGCTGACAGGTTCTGCAGGACCGCATTGCCGTTGCACTGGTCATGAGACGCTGGGGGGGATGGTGCGTCCGCAGCAAGATACGAGCTGAAGTTCGCAAGCAAGTGAGTGGGGGTGTCAGGCAATAACTTCTTATTTCGATGGTGATGCAAGGCCGCTCTCTGTTGACTCGGTACTTGCAGCAGGCTGCTCCTTCCCGGGGTCCGCCTTGAACCCCAGATTCTGCCATTCATCCTTCTCCATAAGGCCCCTACAATCACAATCGCCGTCAGCATGCCTCGTGCCACTTTGATGAACAAGCACACGCACTTGCGCATCCTGCAGTCCAGGTAGTTCTTGCTCAACGGCCTGCACGGCGTCGAGTCATTCTTGTTGGTCTTCAGGCAGCCCATGTAAGCCGTCATGTAGTCCTTGCACTCGCCTAGACGGACCGTGGGGTAAGCTTAGAGTCCTGGAGGTTACACTGTTCACGCACCATAGTGGTCGAGCGGGAATGAGCCACGGTCAGGCGGATTGGGCTTGAATCCAAGGTTCACTGAAGGAGGGCGACCGAAAGACATGACGGGACGGAGGGAGAGTTGGCGCCGCTGGAGACTCCGCCACCCGCGGCGGTGGCGATCTAGATCGAGGAGGCCCCGGAGTCGGACGCTCGTGCCGAGGCGCCGATCACGCAAAAGTCACGGGCTACCGGTTCGACTTTTCAAACGAAAGTTTCTGGCCGCTTGTTACCCCTCACGCTCGCAGCACGAACAAGGAAGTAGGCCAGTCGGCGATATTATGGACCGCAATGTATTGCCTTCGTCGAGCATTGATCAAGCATTGTCCCTTCGCTGTATCTCAAGCCGGTCGTGCTCACAAAATATACCCTCGCGCTCCCTCTGTAAACAAGTTTCCAGAAGCTTGTATTGTCTCGCAGAGACCTTATATAGCGATACAAAAAAGTAAGTAAAGTGAATCTTCCCTCAAATCAGACTAGTAAGTCAATCAGTCAATAACCCATCTCTCCTTCCTCGAGTTCGAGCTCTTCGTGCTGCTCGTGCTCTTGTAACTCCTGTGCGAACCCCGGGAATCGATACGCGCCAATGGCGGAAACATCGGCGACGTGCTCGCATTGCTGCTGGCACCGTACGCTGAGCTTGCGCTGCTCCCGTACATCGGTGGGCTCGCGTGCCCGCCGCTGCTCTGGTACGTGCTCACGCTTCCCCGGTACATGCCGCCGCTCTCCGGGTAGACACCCATGTTCGGGCTGAGGCCTTTGTAGATGCTTCCGGCGCCGGAGTAGACAGTGCCCTCGGAGCTGCCGTTCCACTGTGAGGATGCGCTGTCGAACGGCTCGGACTGGCTGAAGAAGCGCGGGCCCATGCGCCTGCCTGCAGCGGGGAACATCTGCGTGGGCACAGGCACCTGCTCGTTCTTGCCGAATGTGGCGGAGTAGGTCGGGACCGGCTGGGCGTTGGACGGGAAGGAGACCTTCTCGACGTCGTTGCGCTCGCCGTAGCTCTCGCCAGGCAGCGGCTGCTCGGCTTGGACTGAAAATGGAGGTCAGCATGAATCGAGAAGTCGAGGGCAGATGACATACGGTAGCGAAGCAACCCCTTGCCAAAGTTGCAGCGACAGACTATCCCGAGGATGAACGCCATCAGCGCCAACGCGACCGAGATGGCAGCAATGACGGCAAAGAGCGTCCAATCCTGGAAGGTCCAACGGAAGGACCGCGAGACGAACATGACGCCGAACCCGGTAAGGTACAGCGCGGCAACGACCACGAACGCGACCATGGGCCAGCGCAGCTCACGACGAGCAGAAACCCAGCCAGTGGCCAACCATGGCAAGAGAAGCTGGTGCAACTCAGCCATCGTAATGGTCATTATTTTTATTGATACTCACCACGAGAACAGCAATAAATGCAGCTTTCCATGCCGTGTTGTGCCAGGCGACTTGACCAGCGACGCCATTGAAGAGCTGGTCGATCCACAAACCAACAGCAGCCGCCATGAAGAACAGGGCGAGCTGGATGGTAATGCACAGAACTAGCACGCAACGGTAAATGCGGTTGATTTGCATCGACGCGCCGACGCGCTTGAATGTCTGCCAGCCATAGAGCTGGGCGAAGAAGGTCAATAACGGTTGCAGCCAAAGGGCGCGGGTCAACGTACCTTTATCAACTTCCAGGTCAGAATACCCGAAATGATGAGGGCAACGCCGTTCAGCGCCAAGCTAGGGAACTCCATCCTGAAGAGGTTGATCAGTCCTGCTTCACTCTATCAACACTCAATGTCCACTCACTTGGCGCGATCCTGCCAGTAGTGCAACAGCAGCGGTGCGCCGTTGCAAGCGCCATTGGTGATCACCCGGTTGAAGGTCATCCTGAAGTCGTTCGTGTGGTAGATTTGGAAGCCAGCCCAGCCCGTCGCGAGAACGTGAGTAAGCAGGGAAGTGATGATATGCGGAATGGACTCCTGCATGAGCGCCGTGAAGGACATGCCGAGAAGCCAGAACTGGAAGGCGATGAAGACGATATCCTCACGCTTGGTGTCGTGCAATCTAGGTTGGTGATGAGATGCGAAGGAGTAATAACGGGATTCGACTCACTTGTCGACAGGCCAGTTCAAGGCCCACAAGCAGCTCCTGTCGAGGGTGAAGACCTCGTTGTCGTACCCCATGCCGGTAATGGTAACGTCCACTTGGTCATTCGAGGTAGCGAACACTTTGTGCTCGACTCCTCGAGTGTGAAGCAAAGTACTTGGGTTGCCCACATGGATGTCGTCCAACGTGCTGATCGGGGAAACGCTCGAGTTGCTCGCCTTGACGGCGGCAACAGACGGAAGCTTCGCCTCGTCCTTCTCATCTTCCTCCTCTTCCTCTTCTTCGAACAGCTCCTGCTCATCGTCCGAGTCGTCAGACGCGATGGAGTCGGTGTCAGACTCATCGTCGGACTCGACACCGGACTCATCATCCGACTCCTCGCCGTCGCTCTCTGGCTCAAGGGTTCCGTTGCCAGCACCGTTGTCGATGCCAGTAGCTGAGGGCTGCGCTGCTGAGCTTGAGCTTGACAGAGCAGTCGAGGCTGCGGGGGCAGTAGTGGTGACTCCCGATGACGCAGCACCGGTGTTCGTCGCAGGAATGATGATAGTCGTCGATGATTCTGGCGAGACGGAGGTAATCGTGGCGGAGGCTGGCAAAGCGGTACCCGAGGCAGCCACAGTGCTCATGCTGACCATCGACTGATAGCTGTTGTTCTTCGGTGTGCCATCCCAGACAACCTCGCAGATCTCGGTCGGTACGTTGCCGATGGGGACGTCCGAGCATACGCGCAGGCCGTCATCACCGAGCGAGACGACTGGCATGCTGGAGTTGAAAGCTTTCCCCTCGGTGACGATCGACCACATGAAGTCCGCCGCCTCCGCGTTGATAACGAAGGCGCGACTCTGCAGCGCGACTTGAATGATGAAGTGGATGAGGGAGAAGACGGTGTAGAAGATGGTGACGCGGGAGATCACTACGCGTGCATACTGCGGGAGCGCTCATGAAGATGGGGAGATGGGGGAAGAGTATGACCACGTACAATAGTCCTGAGCTTGCCATCCTCATGGAGACCAGGCATCTTGTCCCAGAGTGTGTGTAGGCGCGCGGGGAAAGGCATATTGAGACAGAAGAAAGTCGGAAGTCGTCAGAAGATAGAAAATCCTACGATAAGGGCACGAAAGAGCGAAAAGCCTCTAGGGCAGTCGTGAAGAAGGGTTGGGCACTAGGCTGAACGGGCCCGCCGCAAAGATTGAGGGGAAGAAACGAAGAAGGTGAGCGAAAGAACAAAAAATGAACGAAATGCGGTCCCCGACCGTAAAGTGCAGAGCCAAGAAAGAGAGCAACGGGTGCGCTGATCCCCGTTGTCGCCTGCGTCTTCCCATCGCGACAGCCCGTTGTCCTCATCGCTACCAGTTCACCGGGCCTGAATCACATCACATTCAATCGATTGACCGAGGCCGTTCCGAAGGTCTTCATTCTCATACGAAGTTCGTGTATTTGCCTTGTTCCCGGGGAGGGGGGGGGGGGCAGGGAACAAGACCTTGCGGAAAGGGATGAGGGGACGAGGCAGATTTGCGAGTGTGAGGCCGACGCGACGGTCGTTTCCGCGGCCATCAACAAGGGTGAATGCGCAATACAAATATACGATAGTGATTTCTTTCGCAGAACAGGACAGCCATGCACACATAACACACAACAAAACAACGAGCAACATTAGACCTGATACCAGTGCTTTTCTCCGAGAGACCAGAACAGCCCCTTCTCTTCGTCCTCGTCGACTGGCGTGTCGTAAGTGATCGCCTCGTCAGGCCGAGACGCGATCCTTGCTTTCAGATGTCTCTCCTCCTGAAGGTGACGCAAGACCTCTGATACTTCCGCTCTGTCGTACGCGTTGCGAAGGTGCCAACGGAGTTCGCTCTGGGAGGGACGCAGTCAGTAGGCGATTTCGCCACAAATGACAAGGACCACGTACCTGCGAGATGCCTGGCCTGAACAGAACAACGCCCATCACCGCACGGAGCGCCGCCTCCCACAGATCCATCATCTTCATGCCGCGGATGTCAATCCACCTACGAGGGAAGACCCTCTTCACCGGTTCGACCGATGTAGCGACAGTCCACTCGGACAAGAACATCGAATGCACGAGCTTTGGTGGGGTGTACTCAGCCCAGAACAGAGCTGGCGTATCCATGTCGGCCATGGTCCGTATGACGCCGAAGAGAACTTCGTCAGGCGCGATGATCTTAGCCTGTTGAATGTCAGCAAATAGAATTGTCGATGAGCACCACACAAACGTACCCTCAAGGTCCTCTTCGTCAAGCCTTCTGAGCCGGCCTCTTTGGCCAGAGCCATGATGCGCTCGCCCATTCCACGCGATGACGGATCCAACACGCTACCTAGCGCCTCCCATCCAGCTCTGATGCAGACAGCACAGTCAACAACTGGAGCATCCGATGATAGACGACATGAGGCAGTCTCTCCTCGCTCTGAGAACCCGTGCGTCGTAGGTTGGTGTTCTCGCGCAGGGCCCAAAGCGGTGAAGTTCATAGCTGCTTGCTTTGAGACCTCCGGCGACATGCTCTTTTCTACAGAGGCATCCCGAATAGCCATGTCACGGAAGCGAACGCGAATAGCGGTCTCGAAGTCATCGTCGTCTGCAACCGGTCATCAGCAAGACAGTGATATGATCAGGTAGGGATACTGACCAGCCTTCTTGCTGTTCCAATCGACCTTAGGCCAGACTTCGCGTGGATGCGTGGTGTCAACCTCGAAGTCGGCCTACTCGCACGATTAGATTTCGCCCTCGACGTTGTGCCTTGGACGTACCTTGTCTTCCGATACGAGCTGAATCAATGCTGCCACATCACCATCGGTGGCAACGAGAGGCCACTCCCTCCACGTATCCTGTCCGGCAGAGATGTCCTCCAGAGCCGCAGCATCCTGGAAGATATCACGATGAACAGGGCCACCAATGATGTTCTGATTACTGTACAATAAATGAGAACTCGTTGACAGAGATGCACGTAAGAGACATACGGATCGGAGATCTTCAGCAGCCGCCCGGGCTTCGTCTTCTTGGGATCCCGAATGAGCTTGGATAGGATCCCTCGGCGCAAAAGACTGGTCGTCGCAGCCGCTACGGTATCTTCCCCGAGACCACGAAGAAGACGAGCAGCGGTCTCAGCATCGTAGTGTTCGTGTGCAGTACCCATCGTCATCTGAGAAGGGTAATCAGAACCATGTACATATACATTCAAGGAGTTACAATTACCTTTAACGCAGCTTCCGCAATCTGAACATTGGTCGGCGACTCGTCGAAGGGCGGCGCTGTCTCCGGGTTCACGGTCACAGCCGTACGAAGAAGTCGCTTCTCTCTCTCATCCTCGACAAGCGAGTTCCAGATGAAATCGAAAGCAGGCTCGGAAGGCGGCTCTTCAACAACCTCGAAAGCGCTTTCCAACTGTTCAACGGACGCCGGCAACTCTACAGCACCCTCGTCTTGATTAGCTGCAAAGCCCACGCGTCTAGAGAAGGCGATCAGGGAGGTTTGTATATGCAGAAAACTCGACCTACAGTGCATTCTTGTCGATATGTCGACGAAGGTACTCGAGGTGCTTGACCAGATCGAAGTTGGTCGCGCTCTCAAGATCGCTATCGGGAAGGTCGTCCGAACCGCGCTGTGCCGTCCAAAGCTCTGCCCAGCGGTCTTCAAGGCGCTTCAGGTAAGCCTCATTCCCAGGCGCCTCGCGGAGGGTCTGCAGACGCTGACGGACAGTGTTACGAGGAACACTTGGAAACGCCTGCTCGAATGCGCCCCAGTCGAGGCGCAGGTTGCGACACCGCACACGGATGATCGCCGAAGCGTCCATGGCAAGTTCATCGTAGTCGCGATTCCACTGGAAACGCTTGCGTCTCGTCTTCTTCTGCTTGTCTTCTACAAGTAGCGAATCGTCAGGTCGGGACACCTAGCTTCGGCGCTGACGGCACTTACCCTTCGGCTCAGCCTTCTCTCCCTTCTCGCGCTTGCGCTTCTTCTGCTGCTCTGGTAACGGAGGGCCTTGCTGTGCGATGAGTTCCCGTACTGTCTTCTCATGCCCACTAGCAGGAACGACGGGCGGTGGCGGAGGACGCGGCTTCGGCGGTGGCACTTTGCGAACCTTGATGATTGACTTGTCGGCGAGTTCTGCCTCGCGCATGGCGTCCCTCAGCTGACCTTCCCACTTCGGCGACGCTGTGCCCAGGCTGGCCAGAAACCGCTCCTTCACGGCCTTGATGCGCGCAGACTCCGAGGCCTTGAGAGGCTCTGGGTGTACGCGCTGCACGATCTCCTCCCAAGTCTGTTCCCGACGGCGCTGCTCCTCTTCGATCTTCTGGATCAGTTTTGCTCTTGCATCTTCCTCCCGCTCAGCGTCGCTCTGCTTCGCTTTACGCGCTCTGGCCTTCTCCAGTTCCCCAGCCATCTTGTCCTTCGCCTTCACGAAGAAGTCATGGATGACGTGCACAGGCGCGCTGACGATGCGCGCGATGTTGTTGAGAGCTTGAGGATCGGGATCATCCAGAGGGGTCTCAGCCGTCGCGGGATCAACCAGCTTTTGCAGGTATCGACTCTGGTGCCAAGTGAGGACATAGTCTCTTCCCCACCCTACCTTACGGCGAAGAGAACGTGCAAGGCTGGGATTGTTGGCAGCAGGCGCGCCCTGGAAGATCTCAAAAGACGAGCAGAATTCCTGATCCAAAGAGACGTTCTCCAAGGTTGCCCAAAATTGGACGGCGTCTGGGTAGGCGCGGACTGATACCGTCTTCCAGAAAGGCGGCGATGCCTCCGACAGCGCCCAAAGGTAGATGGGCGCGTAGTCGTTGAATGCCCAGTATATGGGTGCGGTCATAGGCGTGTTGACGTTCCACCCCTCCAATGGTGCTGCATCGTATGCAGTCGGGTGAAAGCCGTGAGGCGCGCAAGTGATGAAGGGAGTTGGTGACTGAGCTGGGATGAGCGGAATGACCAGCCCCAGCTGTCGCATCATCTCAAGCAAGTCCAAGAAACGCGAGCGGCACCGCGCACGGCCGACTTGCAGCGTCGTATGCAGAGCAGGTGGCAGGTTCCGCGTGAGCGTATCCCTTGCACCCTCTTGCTTCAGGAACTCCGTGAGGTCCTCATCGTAAGTGGTCTGTGCAACCACCGAAAGGTGCAAGCCAACTGAGATATCGTAGGTGAAGTAGTTTGTGTCAATGATGCGCTTCTCTTGCGACGCGATGTACGGCGAGGACGTGCTCCTCTCGAGGGCGGCCAGCAAAGCGAGATGGAAGGTGCAGATACGCGTCATCTTCGGTACGATGAAGCCGTAGCTCTGCGCGAGCGTCGTGCGCTCGGTGAGCAGGACTTCACGTATTGTCTCCGGGCTATAACCAAAGAGCTGATCTGCCCGCGCGGAGTTTTTGCGCCAACGTTCTGAAGGATCGTCTCCAGGGCGCTCCATCTGCAGCAACTGCAGCGGGAGAGGGTCGCGAGGCGCTGGCACTGACTCCACCATGCCATAGGCAGCGGTGATATAGTGAGACGGGGTCCGCGAGATGGGATGCGACGGCATCTGCATGCTACGTCCCAGTTCGGTCAGGTATTGCTTGAGTTTCTCCTCGGGAGTGCCAGCAACGTAGGCGATGCGAACGTCGCGCTGAGCGCCGGTATGTGTCCGCACACTTCCGTAGGTCGTCTTGATACGACCACGGTTTTCCAGGGTGGCTATGACTTGCTGAAGCGTGCGCTTGTCCATCCGTGTACCGCGTGGCGAACTGGTCGGTTCGCCGGCATCGTGCAAACGGTCCAGGAGAGCCGTGTGCGCGTCGTAGATGTCCTTCGTGACAACGTTCATAACGCCTCCCAGCTCTTGCAGGACCTGGTAAACTTCGTTCTCTCGGCGAAGATGTGAGAGATTGGCTCTGTTCTTTCCAGCCTGCGCCTGCGGCGTCGATGTCGAAGATGGGCCAGGCGTGGCAGAGGTTGATGCGGGTTTCGAAGGCGCAGTCGCTGCAGGAGTGGTTGAAGTCAAAAGAGCTGGATCAATGGGTATGGCTGGATTGGCAGGGGGCGGTGCTTCCCACGGAGGAGGTGCCGGAGGCCAGACAAGAGTAGGACCCGTGGCGACGTCCTTCCCAGGGGCAGATGAGGTATTTGCTTGGCTCAAATCCATTACATTGCCCGTAACGGCTTCTGCAGCAGGTGTCGCGCTTGGGGCCCCGGCAGACGCCATGCGCGCGCGCTTCCGTGGACGACTTTCTGGACTTTCGGCACCTCCGCCCGTCGCGTCTGGCTCTGGAGGGCTGACTGTCCTCCTTAGCGATGAAGAGGCCGCGGCTTGGACTCCCTCTTCGACTGCGAGTTCGTCAACCTCCACCGCCGCGCCAGCCTTCGTCTTTGGCTGACGTCCCTTCCGCTTTGGTGTCGCTGAAGTCGAAGGGGCAGCGTCTTCGGCCGGTTTGGCCTTCGATGGACGACCCCGCTTCTTCGGCTCCTTCGGAGTAGCGTCCTGCGCCTTCGCAGCCTTCGTCTTCCGTTTCTTGGCTGGCGGCAGGTGGTCCTCTGCCTCGTCGCCCTCGTTCGCAGTGTTGGCTTGCGCCTTCCGTTTTTGCGCCGTCTTCGTCGTCTTGTCTGCACCATCCGCGGCAGCCTTCTTCTTGCGGCCTGGCTTCCCTGGCGTGTCTTTCGCGGGCGGCGCCTTGGAGCCATCCTGATACTCGGCCAGCTCCTCCTCATCGTCGTAGAACAGGTCTTCGTCGATCTCAGCGAACTCCCCAACGCGAGCGAAGTCAGCGTCCGTGTATGGGTTGGACGACTGATCGAGGTTCTCGCTTTGCAGCAGCGTGCGATATGCGGAGACGGTGTAATACCGATTGCGTCGCTCTCTTCCTGAAGTCTCCATGAGCGAGACGATGCTGAGGTCCTTTATATGCGCGGGAGGAGGATCCTTCTCTGCACGGGCGATGAGTAGTTCGACTGTACGCCTATCGAATTGGTTGAGGCTGTCTGAAATATCCTGTTTGCACGTTAGCAGAAGTTGTATAGAGGGGTGCAGCAACCGTACGTTGAGAGTCAGGCCACTGGTTCCCGCTCGCGCTATCAAGTCGATGATTTGGCGATGTAGCGTGACGTTCATCTTCACGCCGTTCTCGACTGAAGGCACTGTGGGTGAGTTGTCGTTGTGGGTGATGCTAAAGCGTACCGTAAGCATCTGCCTGCTCGTCTTCATCATCTTCCGCGGTCTGTACAACGACGCCGTCCGTATTGGAGTCGGGTTTGCCGCCTTCGAGGAGGCGCAGACACTTGACGGTCCCTGCCGACTTTCCTGTGCTAGGTGCGGTGACGCGGTCGATGAGGCCCTCGGCCTCCATCTCCCGAACACGGCTTTGGAAGAAGCGACGATCCGTCTTCGTTGGATGCGCAAAGCCCTATACACAGTCAACTTGGGTCCAAGCATAAGACGAGGCAGTGCGCACAATGCGGATCAAGAGGTTGGTCGTAGGATGCATATGGTTTCTGGACGCTTTCAAGAGGCTCACGACGCGGTTGCGCACAAGCGGATAGCTTGAGAGGTGGCGGGCGTCGATTGGCGAGAAGTCCAGGTTATGCCAGTCATTCATGGCCGCATCCTCGTCAGTGGGCTGTGTCGCTTTCGCTTTCTCCCCTTCTTGTGCACGCAATTCTTCCTCACGAATAGCTTGCCAGGAAGGAGAGCGCTCGAAGAAGTACTTGTGGATTACAAAGTGGGTCCCGACGCCTCCTCGACGGACTTTGACACTGGAGGGGTGATCAGTCGCTGATGTCGGTGGCAGTGCCAAGGGCGCGCATACCATAGATCAAGGCTGAGAAGCTGTCCCACCAAGTAATGGCACGTCTTTTGATCATATCCTGTCGTTTGGCCGATTTGGACGACAGTGACACCGTTTTCTCTGCCGCGCGTGACGACTTGCAGAGTTGAGTACACCATGGGACTCAATTTGGAGGACTTCAAACCCGGTCATCAGTTGGGTCACTTCCCCAGGTACACGAACACGTACGCGTATATGAGACCCGGTTATAGCAGTGCAGATGGCATCTTGGTGAATGCCAATGCGAAGTTGGTCGCCATATTCGGCTTGCAGTTCCTCGAGGCTACGGTTCGCTGCACCTTCGATGACCTCAAGCTGTGCGGGTAGTACTTCCTCTATCTCTTCGCCCTTGGCTTTGGCCTTCCTTCGCTTGCTATTTTGAGGCGCGATCCAGACTTCCGAGGTCACACCAGCGGGGACCAGCCCTACGCGAACAGTGGGCTGCTGCGCGAGGACGGACCACACAAAGGCGCAGAAGGCATCGTCTGCGTTTTGCTGATGCGGGGCGGAGGCATGGTTGTAGAAGTCGATGATGAAGTCGCGCAACCGCGAGGCCTTGCTGCCTGATGAATGGTTAGAATGGGGCACATTTTGTGCGGGGTTCGAACCCGAGGGACGAGGGACGAAAGAACAAAGAGCGCGTCTGCCCATTGTTCTCGCGTCCCTCGCTGCCCCCGATCACACCAAACGTCCACTCGCCTAGGTCTCCGTCGAAGGAGAGCTGCCGCATGCAATGCTCTACGAGCTCGTCCATGTTGGAAGGGGCGACGTACGCGCCAACAGTGTAAAACCTGCGCTCGTCTGGTTCGAAACCTCGTCCGGTCAAAGAAGTAAGAGCAAAGCCGTCGTTCCAAGTCGGGGGCAAGTCGGGGGTTCGACCTCGCCGTGGGACGCGCTTGGGAAAAGGTCAACGACGACGATGATTCATCGATAGCGGCCGTCACGACCCGGTCACGGACGATCGGCCCGCAATTCTTTTGAGCAATCTGTGCGGAATTTCTCTCACATTCTGCAGACGGCCGGCGACGAGGGACCCAGACGCACACAGCAGTGAAGTTGAGAAACACTTCGATTCCATGTGACAGCTATCCTCTACTCGACAGTATGCCTGTCTTTTCTACCCAATGGTTAGTGCAATAAATGAAGGTCGTGATAACGTATGCGGGGGTCGTCTATGTAAAGGCGCAGGGTAACAGCAGGGGGATGATCCAAGAAGCAAGCAGGCAACTCCTCCAGCGCGACACGCTTTAGCGAGCCGCCTGCATTTGCAGCTGTTCGCGCTCCTCCCACAACCGCCGCAATACGTCCGTGAATCCAGCTTTGCCGAGATGCGCATTCTGCTCGAAGCGCTGCACAAGCCACCTCTCCAACCCATCCGCAGCGGAGCGCCAGATGGTCATGCGCGCCTGAACTTCTGCCGTCTGCTTGAAGAGAGTGTGATTGGGCTGCGCGAAGTTTGGCGAGTATCGTATCCGCTCGTAGCAGGTGGCGAATTGAGAGAGCGAGAGGTTTACGGAGGTGATCGTCGCGTTCTGTGTTGCGGGGTCGACGAACGATATCTCCCGCACGAACGCGTCTTCTGACCCGCCAAACAGCTGTAAGAGCGGGTGAGTACCAAGCACAGGGTTAGAAGTAGCGGTAGGCGCACCCGTACAACCCATGCAGGTGCCTTCTGCTTGCATCCCAGTATCCGCTCCGTCCGAATGATGCCCGTCTCCGGGTCCACTGAGCGATCGAGAACGTCTACGCTCACAACATGCGAGCAGTGTTGGTTGGGGTACTTGTGCCACATCCCAATAATGACATGGGCCCAAGGATGCCTACGATGCAGTTAGTGCCCGTACGTCCCCCGACGCGACTGAAGAGTACGCACTCGTAGTCGAAGTTCTGCGAGAAGAAGTGCATTATCGGACGAATTATAGGTCGATGATGGTATAAAGTAGAGAAAGAGGATGCGCCGGTCGTGTGCTTCGTCAACTTTCGGCAACGGCGGAGCGAGTGACGGACGCTGTGACACACAGCGCCATCGGACACACGTGATTGCGCAAATGACGCCCCGCGATTGGTCAGAGCACGCGACGGAAGATTTCGGATCGGCTTCCCGAAGGGGCTTCGCTTCGATTCCGTTTCCCCATGAGGTCATTGCTTTGAGGACCCACAACCGCAAGCCGTCGGTGCCCGGCGTCTGCAGCATCCTTGAAGCAAGGTTCCGTCTCGTACCTATCTTGAAGAATATCTGTACTGTCCTTCATGCGTATACAAAATTGTTACACGAGTCCTAGGTTTACAGAACCTACATAGAAGACGGCGCACGGCTGCTTGCAACTGCCCGAAGCTCTGCGAGACGAGCCTTCAGCTTGGGCCTATGGGAACGCAAAACCTTAGTGTATGGAACGTTTTACTGAGGGAGGCTGCACGTACACTTCTGCGAGCCTGGTCTCAAGCGACTGCTTCTCCTCTTGCAAGGCCAAGCGCTTCTCCGCATCGAGCTTAGTGCTGAAAACCATCAATGATAATGATGGTGAGAAGGACATCCAGTAGAGGAAATGACTTACAAGACATATCCACCTTGCCCGTCGTATTGCAGGATCATCTTGTGGTACTGCCAGAGGGACGGCCGGTGGGAGACGGTCAGCAAGGTGATGCCCAACTGCGCAGCTCGCTGCATCATGAGCGCCTCGATCTCCAGCGGTACTAACGAGGTCGCCTCATCGAGGATTGCATACTAGAGGATCACGATGAGCGAGGTCCTAGCTGAAGTGCGCTCTACTGACCTTCGGATGGTGATAGAACAGCCTCGCCCACGCAATCTTCTGCTTATCACCACCGCTCAGCGCATCCCTCCACTCCTTCGCCGCATCCCAGCCGCCCTCGCGCTCGACGATACTCTCCATCTGCACCTGCGCGAGGATGTTGTAGAGATCGTTGTCAGTGATCCCCCGCGCCTCCATGTCCTTCTTGGAATGCGGATAGATGACCTGGTCGCGAAGCGTGCCGAGGCAAAGATATGGTCGTTGCGGGATAAGGATGAATTGGTCTGCAGGAGGCTTACGGACGGTGCCGCCGTAGACAGGCCAGAGGCCGCCAAGGATGCGGAAGAGAGAGGACTTGCCGCATCCGTTGGGGCCGACGATGAGCAGATGTTGACCTGGCTTGACGTGGAAGCTGAGTTTCTTGACCAAGATGTCGCCGTTTGGCGTGACAACAGGGACATCGGTAAACTCGATCTCCTCTGATTCAAGGACCTGTCCTCGGCCTTTGAGGACTGGTCGGCCCGTCAGTACAGTAGAAAGTAAATCGATGACAAAACGTACTTTCTGCGTTCTCGCCTGTCAAGGCGCTCGCTACCAAGGCCTTCTTATACTTTCCATCGCGAATCTCATGCGCGACGGTCAGCAGCTCGTGTACGCGTGCCGTATAACCCGCCAACTCGGAAAGGTCCTTGTAGGAGTACAATACTCGACCGAAGGCGTCTGAAAGTGGCATGAGCGGAATCTCGCGAGGACTGGCTGTGCCGACGCACCTGACGAGGAAAGCAGCAATCTCCTATTCGTGATGAAGGACTTCGTCCTACCGCCCATATCTATGGCGAGAACACCCGGTAGCTTGAAGAAGACGGGAATCGCACAGAGTACGAGCTGTCCACATCGTCAGACGATAGACGTCGCCTCGAGCATAAGCGAGAACATACACCGAAACTACCCCATAGCCACTTGATGATGCCTTCCTCCGCTACGCCGTGCCACCATCGCTTGTCAAGGACCTTGTTCTCGTGCTTGATCAGGCCAGCGTACTCTCGTTCGACCAGCATCTTCTCCGTCTCTTCTCCGCCGAAGAATGCGATTTCTTCCGCGAACTCGGACAGCCTATGGTAGTGATGAGCGCGGTGCATTCAACGTCATGTATTCGGGACACCTACCGAGAATGCGTATGCCGTAAGGAGCCTGCTAGTTGGGCGCTAAGTGCAGCATAGGAGCCGAATGAGGGCGTCAGGTAGCGAAGCAGGGCTGCTGTGAGCTGTACCATGACGGTCAAGCCAATCATGCCTTCAGCGCCAACATTCTGGGATAGCTGGTAATTGTATATCTGCGGGTAGTCATGAGCGAAGCGAAATGACTGAATGTGCCACGACACATACTATGACGTCTAACACGGGCTTGAGCAGGTTGGAATACATTGTTGACAGATGATTGGAGAAGCGCTGGATATCGTGTGTAATCATCCTACAACCGAATTGGTTCAGATACAAAAATCCTTGAGATGGGACACCAACTGGTCTGGGTTCTTGATCCGGTCGTCCAAATTGGCTGGAGGAAAACATCTGTCACTACTTACACCTCCGACGGCCGAGATCGTACACTCACATAGCTTATAGTAGACCTTCCCTTCCGGCCCTTCGTGTGCCTGGTTCCCCAAGTACTGATCCATGACCTCCTTCGTTAGCCGCGTACGGTAGGCAATCGCGAGCTTGTTCTGCAGGAAGCTGATCCAGGAATTCGTGAGCGTCGCGGGTATGGCGACCATAAGCCACTTGAGGATGTTCAGGAAGAACAGCTTGGGCTGTCGCCGTACTAAGCTTGCGACGATGGTCCCATCTAGTGCGGCGACGTATATGGAGATGAGGGTGCGGAAGATGAGGAGACATGAGTGGCTGAAGAGCAGGAACGCCTCCTTCGAGCGAATGCTGGGGATGACGATCTTCAGGATGGAGTTCAGACGTTGATAGAAGACTGCGTCCACCTGAATTTAGAAGTGAAGTAGGTCAGAGCTATATCACCACTTCACGAGCCACAAAACGTACCGCAACACGCGGTGGTTTACCGCTGTCATCTTCCCCAGCTTTGCCCTTCCCCTTGCCTTTCCCCGCCTTCCCTCCTGATGATCGCGGGGCAGGGCGTGCAGATAGACCTTTGAAGGTCGACTGTAGTACGTAGAGGATGAAAGCCGCGTTCAGAGCCTTCTGAATGAGCGGTCGATGGGCAGAGTAGCCCTTCATGAATTGCGCTGTCCGCTGCTCCAGCTGAGCACGGAAGGCGGGTGACGATTGGCCGGCCATTCCGATGCCTATTCAGCTGGAAAAAGAGAGATGGTGTGGGAGCTTTCTGGAGGATGAGGGGAGAGTCCAAATCAGCTGCGAGGGAGAGGACGCAGGCGTCCCCATGTCTTCATGTGATTGCTGAGGTCGACCCCGCAGTGAACGGATCCGGGGAATTGATTAGATACGTCACACCCAATCAGCTTCCAGGAACCAATCAGTTGACTGCAATCACTTTCGCAACTTGCTCTCAGCCTGCAATGTCTGCGCTCCCCGCTCAACGTATAGACCTCATTCAGAGGCGATAGGTGAACTCCATACTTGGACTTCCATCACAAAATTACGGCAGATACAACGGATGGCAAAGCCTGCGATTCAAAGCGGTGGTAAACCAAGAGTCCATCGACGATGCAAGTACCAATACGATCCCTGAGTCTACCTGTCCTTCCACGAGTAGTACTGTTGTACGCAGTCCTAGAACATTATCCTATGCGGTAGAGTAGCTGAGACTGTCCAAGTGTTACATTGTTTTTGTTCCTTCAAACCAGCGCGTCCAGCTCCTCCAACGCCTCCGCGATACCAGACTTCGTGTAAGTCTTCCCCTTCACGCTCTCGAGTCCCTCCCCTGCATAGCTGACGAGCGGCGACAGCTCGATCTCAACGCCCTCCTTCACGGTCGCCCCCGCGGCCTCGAGGAAGCGCTTGTGCTGGGCAAGTAGATCCCTGCGGCTGGTCTCCGGATCGTCAGACCCAGTCCCCGGCGCGTTCTTCAGAGGGCTGAACTCCTCGTTACGCGCAACCTCCAGCACAGCGAAGTTCTTCGTGTAGGGGAACACATCGAAGACGAACATCTCGAGCTTCATGCCGTTCGGCTTCGTGGGCTTGATGATCGAGCCGGACTCGAGGTCGACATGCGCGATCTTTTTGCGCGCGATGTGGAACGCGAGGTCGTTCTCGAACTCTTCGACCCGGTTGAGGAAGGCCGTCGTGTAGAAGTGGTTGGCGATGTTGCCCGCACGGAAGGCGAGCGCGCCAGACGCGTCGCGGCGCTCAGCCTGCTCCTTCGAGATCTCCGAGTACTCGACGACAGAGTACTTGTTGCCACGCATAGCGATAACACCGACAGACTCGGTTGGAGACGCCTTCGGGACAACCTTGGCGGCACAGTCCGCTCGCTTGAGAATAGAGTAGCCGATGAAGACGGGGTCGGCGACGCGCACGAGGCAGTTGTCAACGCAGTACGCGTGCACATAGGTGATGTTGCGCGCGGCGAGATCGGAGAGGACGGTGCGTGATTTGTCCTTGGGATCCAAAGGCGCGCGCGTAGCAGCGTAGAGACCGCCGTTGCCATCAGGCGCGACAGCGACATGTCCTGGGCTATCCAGAAGAACTTTGCCATCCATGGTCAAGCAAGGCAGCGTGCCTGTTACCGTATGAGCCAATGGGTACAACATGTCGCGATGATGGACGTACCCTGCTCGAAGAAGATGACATTCTTGGGATCCAGCCCGAAGTACTTGTGCGATTTGAAAAACCGCTCCGTCTCTGGGCGAGTAGGCCCGCTCGTCATGACATACCAGGGGATGGTGACGGACCCCTTGGGCTTGCCAAATTCCTCCTCCGCGACGGTCTGCAACCGGCTGATGCGCTCTGCCTGGTACTGGAAGAGCGTCTTATGCGAGGGGAGGCCGATGTCGTAGCAGCCCTTGGGCGAGGAGCTCCCAAGACGCGTGCCCTGGCCGCCTGCCATGAGCAGCACGCCCACCGCGTTGCGCGCGATCGCCTCGAGTCCGGCGCGTCGCCATTCGGAGCTCCTCTCAGAGGACGCCGAGTCCGACGCGTCTTCGGGCAGCGGCTCGATGGTGTCGGGTTCCGACGCGGACTGGGACTCTGAGGAGACTGCCTTCTGGTAGATGCGGTTGACGCGTTCGATGTCCAGGGCATCGAGCTGCTTCGCTAGGGCGTCCCGCTCTTCAGCAGACAGCTGCTCCCAGAATTTGAGGAGATGCTCCTGCCCAGCGGCGCGGTAGCGTTGGAGGAGGGCGTCGTACGAGGCCATGGTGAACTGTAGAGAGAAATGACGGGTGCAAGAAAGAAAGGACGAGGTGATGGTCGCGGGAGCTACTTAAAGTCTATATAGAAGGCCATTTTCCGTTTCCGGCATCGCCGTTGGGCAGTGCCTGCAGTGACGTCTGAGTTCAAGGCGAGCGGGAACGCCGCCAGCATCATGCTTCATCATGTTCAACGAGCCCGAAGGCTATACGCTCGGTCCTTGTAGTATACAGTGGACTGTACACAGGAACCGAGCCCGTCCCTCACCGTTTCATGCGCAGCACTCGCCACAACGACAGAAAATGGCTAGCTCAACCAAGCGAACTGGGAATGATTGAATTTACACAACAGAGGACGTAGCGAGCCCTAGCCCCCTGTTGAATTGTCCACTGAAGCCTTCCGCGGCGCCTTCGGTCTCTTCTTCTCCAACTCATCCCGCAACGACGCGAATAATCGTTGTGTTCGTTCTGAATTGGGCTTTCGAACGACCTTCAGCTTCATGAGCACCCAGAGGCCGGTACCACGAAGCCTTGCTCACCTCTTGACAACACTGTATCAGCTTGTCGATGAGGATTGTCTGCCCGTTCTGCGCGTCTTCGAGTTCTTTTCGGAGCAAGGCGTTCTGGAGATGGAGTCAGCTTTGGAGTAGGATGAGCAATGGCCGCTTATGCGCACATCTTCCTCAACCTTCGCCCAATGCGCCTTCTCTGAATCGAGCAGCTGCTTCTGTTCAGATGCTCGCGCTCGAGACAGCAGCACCTCAAGCTCTTTCGAACGCATAACACATTCGAAATGTCTCTCGCGCAGCTCATATTGCCTGAGGACCTCCTTCAAGCGTTCTCGGACACTGCAAGGAGTAAATGTGAGTGTACATTTTGAAGTTGGCGCATATTCACTCACACGCTGTCGAAGATATCTTCAAGCGTACGTCTGGCCCTGGAAAAGAAAGATCAGGTCAACACAATGATGAGATCGAGAACTATAGAGACGAACTCCTGAGGATCAGTGGACCAGTTCTTGCGCAGAAGCTGCCTGTGAAGGATACTAGGCTCTTGCGCAGAGTCAGGACCATCATCAGCAGGAATGTTCTCCGTGAGGTCCATGATCTCGACGGCAAGGATCTCATCCCCATCCTCCATCCCCGCGTCCTCCGGCGACTGATTCGCATGTAGTTCGCGGCCCGCATGCGTGAAGATGAACTGCACGTCGCTGCGCTCCGGCCTCTCGCCACCCTTGTCCACCTGCTTGCTAGCGAACGGCTCCTTGGCAGGTGCCTTCGGTATGGTCGGCACGCCGCTGGTCACCTTCTCCATCCGGTCCGTCCAGGCGCCGAACAAGCGTGATAGCTTGGTCTTGCGCGAGATCTTGAAAAATAGCTCGGCACGGTAGCGACAGACAACTTTGACAACGATGTCGGGCTGTGTCTCGTACTTGTCCTGCTGAGCTTGCACTCGCTCATTGCGCTTGGTCAGTGTCGACTTCATTTGCATAAGCTGGAAGCCCGATCAGTCGGTGTTCGAGCGTGAAGGGCTGCGACCGCACCTCCTCCTGTGCATCGTCGACCGACTGCGCTAAGCGCTTGCCATCTTCCTAATAATGATAATCGGGTCCTGCTCAAAGCCTTGGGTTAGAAAACGTACGCGCAATCGCTTGTTGTCCTAAGATAGATGTGATATGAGCAACTGAGGGAAAGGGCCTAGGTATCTGATCGAACCTTCTGCAGCTCCCGAGCAAGGTTCTCCATCTTGGTCTTCGTCTGATTGGCTTTGGAAAGCTGGCTCTTGGCTGAAGAGAGTGATCGGTAACGGAACGTTGGCAGGTCAGACAAGCGCCGAACGCACCTGCGTCCTTATCCTTGACGAGCTTCTGCTTCTCCTTTGCATGATCTCGCTCCATACGCTTGAACTCTGCGAACTTAAGAAGCGACGGATTTAACGCAGTGAGATGATCAAGGGGCAGAGCGCGTACAAGTTCGATGTATTTCGCATGGATGGCGTTCTCCTCCATTCCTTTGACACTCTTCTGCGCTTCCTCAGCTGTGCGCGATGTAAGCGAACATCGCAGGACAGGGACGTGACACGCACCGAACCGTCGCTCCTCTTCCTCCTCCAATACTTCCTCCTCCTCTAGCGCCGCGATGCGGTTCTTGAGGCTCTCATACATTGTGGCGGGGTCTACCGGTGGCTCATTCTTTTTCTTTCCTTTATTTGCAGTCTGTGTAGCGGGGTGGGGTTGAGGATGCGGGTGTGCATGGTTTCCGTTAACGTTCGCGCCCGACCGCGGCGGTGGCGCGTGCCCATTAGCCACCGGAGGGTTCGGGGGCGCAGCTGCGGGCGCTGGTGGTGCAGGGCCTGGTGCAGGTTTGGTGGCTCGCGGCGGGGGCGCGCTGGACGCGGCGCCGTTCATGGCGGATGGCGGTCTCAAGCTGCCTGAGTCGGGCGTGCCAGCTGGATTCCGGTTTGTTTGGTCGTTCAAAATAAACGAGGAATCCGCGCGGTCGTCGCGCCCACGGGGAGAAATACAGCTGCAGAGGGCACCAATGGTGACCGTTGTACGGCCCTGTGTTTATGGTGTTTGTGGGAAAAGGAGATGATGGTCAAGACGGAAGGTGATCGCTTATTTTCCAGAAAGCGGAGGTTCTATTGCTCTCGGACCAGTAATGTGACACTGTACAACCATGCATTGTATTCGTACACAGATGACCAGTACTATACGGAGTCCGGAGACATTCTCCGAGAATCGGTGGCGAGACTACCTCAGTCTCCCTGCTGGGGGTATCAATGCGGCAGAATCTACGGCGCAACGTGGACAATAGCACTTGCGGCGGAATTGGGAAAGTATGATCATAGCAAGCCTCTGCGGGGAGCTGCAAAGGAAGGACAAGATGATTGTGCGACGCAGAGGTCTGAATGGGAGATGGAGGATGGCGCAAGTTGAGGTTCGGGACAAGGGGCTGCGCGATCCCGTGACGTGTGAGTCGGTGTGACGCGGATAACGTTTACGCGCCAATCACATCTTGCCTTTGCTCATCATGCGCCACGGTGAGCACGCGTCCGACCGCGACGAGCAGCCTCTAATAGCTCCCCTTCGTGCTTAGACGCAACCCCTCCCGCATCCCCCGCGCGCAAGCGGCAGAGACTCCTTTCATCGCCCAACTACGATGATATGCTCGGCAATATAAGCCAGGAGGAGATCGCGGTATTCGACAAGATCAACGCCGTTCATTCACGTTCTTCATCCCAAATACTCATTGCCAACGAAGGCAGCTCGGATGCGCGTCCTCACTCAGACGAGAATCCCTTTCTTGCAGGCCCAGCTACCGACGCGGGGGCGGGATCGAGCGCGAGTTCCGGCTTCCAGGCAGCGTCCCACATCCCCTCCTTCAAGCCCGCGTCCGCGTCCTTCCAGTCAGCTTCGAAACTTCCCCCTCAATCTGGTTTCACTCTAGCAACCAAGATCCCCCTTGTCGCAGGAGACACTGGATTCAGCTATGAGCGCTCCCCATCCCCCGAAGCACCACCAGAACGTGATTACTCTTCCTGGTTCAGCGCAGACGCCCCTGCTGCTGCCGTAGAAGAACCTTCATTTGTTGCCGCATCAGCCTTTACACGCGCTGGCGCCATTCCTGCCTTCCAAACCGCCTCATCTGTCGCCGCTGTCCCTGATATCCCCGTTATCGGATTCCAGAAAGCATCCAACAAGGGTGTGCTCATGCCTTCAAAGGCTGCATTGGAGAAGGCCAAGCAACGCCTGAGCGACATCTGGCAAGATGACACTGCCGATAGTGAGCAAGGCGCAGATCTATCAAGCAATGCTGCCGCGCCGCCACCTGCCATCCCCGAAACGCCAGTCCGCCCTGCACTCCGAGAGATTCCCCAGTCGGTCAACTCTGCCTCATTGACTACACCCTCATCCTCGAAACCGCCATCTATCAAGGCACCTCTACCGAATCGTCCTAAACCGTTCAAATCACCTTTGCTCGCTCCTGGCGCTGTCAAGAAGTCATATGCGAACTCGCCACTCAATCCTCAGAATCCGCATACGTCAACTTTCTCAAAGGCTAGCTCGCAACTCTCGGCTCACCCTCAAGCTACGCCACAACGACCAGTGGCCAGTACCAGCTCTTATCAGACTCCTCAAGTAAGGCGTCCGCAATCGCGTCATACCCCATCGGCCTTTAAGACGCCGTTCAAGCAGGGTATGGGACCAGGGCAAGCGGGTCGGCTCGAGCTGGAGCGGAAGCAACGCGAGGAGAAGGCGAAGCAGGCCGCCGCCGCTATGCTTTCTGCGACCCCGCAGAACAAGGGCAAGGCTCCAGAGCGCGCTGTGACTCAGAATGCCAATATGCCTACGCATACACCCAGTACACGAAGTCAGAAGAGCTTAAGTGAGTAGACGGTTTCCCATGTCTGCACACGAGAGCTGACGGCCGTCCTCAGGTGTGAGGTCTAGCAAGAAGCCTTTGTTTGAATCCGGTCTCGAGCCTCAGTCCTTCACCGCATCCGAGCTCGTCGAGATGGGAGTTACGAACCTTGCCGAACTCGAGCAAATCACCCCGGCGACCGCCATCGACTACTTCTTCTACGGACCGCCAGGACCAAGTGGTGAGCCCGTCGAGCTCGGCCCTCCGGAAGCGCTGGCCGCACTCTTGAGGAAGGGCTGCACGCTTGCGACGAAGCCGTGGGTCGACAATCACTGGTGTTTGATCTTGTGGAAGCTGGCAGCAATGGTGGCTTTGGATCCAGAGGACGAGACGCGGCCAAAGGATGCGCCGAAGCGGTGGTGTTGGGAAGAAGTGATCAATCAGCTACTCTATAGGTAGGTCCGTGCATATAGCGTCGTATATGCGAGACTGACGAAGTCGGCAGATACGAGCGCGAGCTCAACAGCCCCTCTCGCCCTGCCCTTCGTCTCATCACCACTCGCGACGCACCTTCGACATCGCCTATGGTGCTCGCTGTGACGAAGATAACGTTCAGCGAGCGCGGCGTGGATGACGAGGGCATACCGCTGGAGCCTCATCCTGAGCTGGAAGTTACCGATGGGTGGTACAGGCTGAGAGCGCAGGTCGACGAGCCTATGGCACGAGGTGTACGTCGCGGTCTCATCGGAGTCGGGCGCAAGATTGCTATGACCGGTGCTAGGGCGAGTGATCTATCTGCCTCCTCAGCGACCGGCAACTAATGTATTTCTACAGTTATCAAGCGAGAGCAAGGACCCGCAAGAGGTGCTCGAGGCGTACAACTCAACCTGCCTCATACTATCCGGCAATTCCTCTCATCTCGCCCCGTGGCATGCCAAGCTGGGCTTTCAGCCATTGGGCGGACCGTATATATGCACCCTTGGTAGCCTGACCCCGGACGGCGGAGTCGCTTGCGTGCTGGATCTCGTAGTGGAAAGGGTACGCTCCGCGCTTCCGATTCCAACTACAGGCCTCTAATGAACCCCCCTTCGACAGGCTTACCCCGTCGCCTACATCGAGTTCATCGAGCAAGAAGACGGCACAACACGTCGCGAAGGCCCTCGAACAGCGGCCGACGAAGCGCGGGAGAATGACAAGTGGCAACGCAAGCGCGATAACGAGGCGGCGAAGCTACACGCCGTATTCGAGAAGAAAGTGCATCGATATCTGGGCTATGCGGATCGGTGTGAGCAGAAGGCGGCAGCAAAGGGCTTTCAGCCGAATCCGGATGGTGAGGCTCCCTCTGATGATGTTGGTATGGAACATGCGGTCTAACGTCCGCATAGAATCACCGCCAGACTCGATAGACGGCATCTACGACCAGCTCGAGGAACCGGCAGACGCGAACGAGGCGCTCGCCAACATTTCCGTCATCGAGGCTGGCTGGCTGGCCAAGTACATCCGCGACTCCATCGAGAAAGAGAGCGAACGCGCGCGAGACGATATGGAGAAGGAGTTAGCGGTATGTAGCCTGTTTCATTCTGCGTCAAACGACTGGTGCTCTCCGAAGGATCCCTGCTCGCCGTATGACTCGTGCTCACCGTATGACCTGTGCTCATTCGTTCTTAGGAAACCTGCCCGCCACGAAATGTACGCAGCTTCCGCGTCATCGTCGGCCGGGACGCACGAACGAATCGGAAGCCTGCAAATCGGAATGCGCAGATCACCGTCTGGGACGTGATGAATCTGGCATTGTACGAAGGACGGCCAGAGGGTACTATTGAAGTCGGACATCGGTTTTTGGTGAGTTGCAAGGTCGGCGGAAGCTTGGTCGATGCTAATCGAGCCCATGATCAGATCACAAACCTCATGCCCTCAGCGCAGAGCGCCTGGATGGGCAATGAGCCCGACGCGGAGATATACCTCAGTACAAGGAGAGATACCAGGTGGACGAGATTGAAGACGATCACATAGGGCCCACCACTGCTTCATATGTTCGTTCTTGCCAGTACCTTATTGCACGTTGCTTCATATCCTGTACACTCACCCAACTGCTCTTGCTGTGCAATATCAGGCATGCTCTCGTTGAATGGTGATAAATGATACAAGTGTTCCATTAGGAGTAAGTACGATAGACAAACAGTGCATCGACGCGACAACACAGACAGGACCAAGAAAAGTCACTGAACGCGCTCAGACGGAGACACTGTACTTGCGGAACACGCTCTGCCAGTCGCCGGTGTGCTCGTGGCCCATGCACACGACGGTCGGCTTGCGCTCGGAGCCGTGGCCCCAGAAGCGGGTGGCGACGCGCTGGATGTCGGCGGGCGTGAGGCGGTCGATCTTCTCGACCATCTCCTCGATGGGCTCGCGGCGGTTGCCGACGAGAAGCTAAGAACTGATGTCAGTATGCAAAGAACAATGGAAAATTGGCACAGTACGAACCTGACGCCCAAGGTCCTCGACCTCGACGGCGCGGCTCTCGAGGGCCATCATCATGCTGGACTTGAGCTGGTTCTTGGCGCGCTCGAGCTCCTTCTCCGGTACCGCGGTATACAGGAGCAAGCTCAACTGGTGGACAAGGTGCGGCAGGATCTGCCCGGGCGTGTTCCCGCCACGGAGGCCAGACGAGGCCGGCACGAAGGACGCGAAGAGGCCGAACAACGACGAGTCGGTGTATATGTGGTGGAACGACGCGCAGTGGTCGATCTGCGGGAAGTGGTTGAGGATGTGCGTGTACAAGCGCGAGTACATGCCCTTCCCGGGGCCGCCCGCGGAGAACGAGCCGCCACCGCCGAGAAGAACCTGCATGGTCGCGAGCGCAAAGATATCCTCGTCGTTGATCCCACCGCCCTCGAACGCGATGTACAGGTGGTTGAACTCGGTCGACGTGTCGTGGATGTGCTCGTGGCCGCCAGTATATGTTGATTGAGTGGTGAGTTGGGAGGGGGCGTCGTTGACAGAATTGGGGAATAGATATGACGCCGCGCGGGTGAGCGTCTTCGTGACGGAGGGGGTATGGGGGTTGAGGAGATGTTGCGGAGTTTGCTGGGAAGCGGCGCGCGATTGTGGGGAAGGTGCAGAGGCGGTTTTGAGCGACGCGAAATGCTTGTCGACGAGCTCGACGAGTTCTTCGTGTTGCATGCCGACCCCTGCGACAACCATGCGCTCCGGCTTGTACCAGAGGTCCATGGCTCGCCGCAATGTTTCCGGGGTGATCTTGTCTATTCGCTCTGGCGGGCAAAGAAGCGAGTTCCCCAAGCCGGTGTGGTTGTATGCGACACCATGCAGGATTTCCGGGAGTATCATCTCGGGTTTGGAGGAGATCTCGCGGACCTCGTACGCTGCCGCGTCACGCTGGGCCTCTACTTCCTCTGGCGTGAACCTGGGGTTGCATACGGTGTCTGCTATCAAAGAGACCGCGAGTGGTGTGCCGTCGTGGAAGTGTGAGGACTGGTACATAAGCGCCTCCCGTGTTGATGAGCAGAGGATCTGGCTGCCGAGTGAGTGGATGGCAGCGGCCATCTCCTCTTCCGTGCGGTTCTTCGTGGACTATTGCGACGTTAGCGCGGCACCTCCTTGATCATTCTGCACTCACCTTGAACGCCATCCTGTCCAGGAAGTGACTAACTCCCAGTATGTCCGGGGTCTCATAGCGTGAACCCGCATCGACATAGAGTCCGACAGAGGAGAAGTGACCGGGTGTGCGCTCCGTTGCGACTCTGATCTTGTTGGGGAGCGTCGTCAGCTGGACTGACGGGCTCGGCGCAAGGTGCTGCAGCTGTCTGCATTGTTTGGGAAGCCTGTTCCCCCGGCGCGCAATCACTCTCGCTCTGTGCATGGCCGTCGACTCTGAGCAAGCTCTTTGAATTTTCGGTGGTGACAAAGCGGCACCCCGGTCCGCGTTCACGCAGCGCCACGAAATCCTCGGCAAGCACACATCATGTGACGAGACGTCGGCAATGCCCGAGCAAGCACTTCATCGCCGAACGTCGTCCGAACGCTCTCGTCGTTGCTGGTTGGCCCGTCGGTCGTGTCGCCAAGAGTCGATGCAGCGCGCCGTTGAGGAGCTCGGAGACGTCAGCCATGTGCAGGCCGAGCGCACGAGTGCGCGCGTCATAGGACCGCCGCCCTGACCGTTCGTCGACTTGCGGGGGCACGCCGATGACATGGGCTTGGCGCTATTTTCCACTTCACGGATTTTGAACCGCTATGTCCGTGTTCGACTTTTCTTTCGAGCCACAACACGCCCGAACGTTGCTGCTGGTGTTGCTGAGCTCTCTCCGTCGTCCTGAGCTTCCTAGCGGCCTCGAGCGCCATCTGACGGGGGCCTGACGCGAGCCTGCCGCCGGCTAATCTCTTTATCAAGGGCTCCTTCTCCAATGCGACTGCCTGCGTCATGCTCTACTTTGAGGTCTTTCCGCTCCCCCAGCGCTCCCCTCAACCGCTTGTGCTGATCTCGCTATCATGGCTGTTCGGTCGTCGATCATTGGGGAAGGTATTTTTCTCCTGCGGGGTCTGCTGCCGACGTTCTACACCCCCGCGACGGGCGGGTGCTGTACGCGCGGAATGCCGCCTGCAGCGTGTCTCCAGGTCGATACGAGGCCTCAGGCGCGCCCCGAGCATACCCCGCCCTCCCTCTGCGGCACCCGCAGTCGCATCCGCGTGGGGAGGGCGGCCACAGGCGCAAAGCTCCAAACCTTTATCCAAATCGATAGAACCTTCAGGCGAGAACCGCGGGGCTGGTGTGCCTGTCCTGGGGTTGCTGGGGCGCCTCGCCGGGGCGCGGTCCATTCCCCGTGGCGGTCTTTGGCCTCCAGCCTCGCTTGCGCACAGGACGGATCCCCTCCTCGACGCACCGCGCCGCAATATCCGCCCCTTGTTTCTCAGCATCAGCTCACGCTGATAGGCCCTTAGGTCCGTGTCGTCTTGCCCAGAACGGACCTCCTATTTTTCTTTGGGACGCGGCCTTTAGCATCCGATCGTCCGGAAGATCGGTCACCAAAGGAAATTTACAAATTATACTTCCGCCGTCCGCTATTTAAGCCGCATGCTCCTCTTCCAATCCTCGGTTTCTACCCTTCCCCCTTCCCCCCATCTTCCCCTTCACACGTATTCATCAGCCCAGCATGTCTCCAGCCGAGGCCGGGGCAATGACCACCAATATCTTCAACCCGGAGTACCGCCGGGCGATGATCTTCTGCGGCGTCGCCGTCATCGGCGCTGTCCTCTACGGGTACGATGGGACGTACTACACGTCCATCCTCGAGATGGACAAGTTCAAGCACGACTTCGGTGAACGTCAGGCGGACGGGACGTACGACATCACCAGTACCATTCGCTCGGTGGTAAGTAGACTGTCGGTGTTCCTGAACGCGAGGTGCTCATAATGTTCTCCAGACCACCTCCATCGTCCAGGCCGGTGAAGTTGTCGGTGCTCTGTTCGCTGGCCCGATCGGTGACTGGGGAGGCCGTCGCGCGGGTATCCTTGCCGCCTGCATGCTCGTCACCCTCGGTGTTGTCCTGCAAATGATCGTGGCAGGCAACGTTCCCCTCCTCGGCGTCGGTCGCGCCGTCCTTGGTATGGGTATCGGTGTCATCTCCAACTCGGTCCCTCTCTATCTGTCGGAGGTACGCGCTCTTGGTCCTTATACTTGGATCACGGCCTCATATCGTTTATTGAGCATAGATACCCCCCGTGGCCATCCGTGGTTCCGTTGTCGGTAGCTGGCAGCTGATGCTGGCTATTGGACAAGTCATCGGTGCCTGCGTCGGCCAAGGAACGCATGCTATGACCAACACGGGCGCTTATCGCATCCCTATGGGCATCAACCTCGCGTTTATCGTTGTCCTCTCTCTCGGTGTCATCTTCATTATCCCCGAGTCGCCTCGTTGGCTCATCTCGAAGAACAAGAACGGTGAAGCGCTTGCTGCTCTCCATCGCGTGCACAAGGGCCAGTCGGACGAGGATGCTCAGGTCGAGGAGCAGTACGACACGTACATGAAGGCGAAGCAGGAGGAGGCCGAGTTGACCAACTCCGAGCCGAGTCGCTGGAGGGACCTGCTCAAGGGCACCACGCGCCGCAAGTTCATCTGCGCCGTTGGTATCCTCATCAGCCAACAAATTGGCGGTGTGCAGTTCATCTTCTCGTACACGACCACCTTTCTCGGAAACGTCGGCGTCGGCTCTCCGTTCATCATCACCATCATTGTGGTACGTGTGCTTCAGCATCGCTGTGATAGCGCCATCTGACAGTATCTTCAGGATATTGTCGAAGTCCTTGGCGTCGTCGTCAGCTTCTTCCTCGTTAACCGCTTCGGACGTCGCCCACTTCTGCTCATCACCAGCGCCTTCATGACCGCCTTCCTCGTCATCGTCGGCGCCATGGGCTCCCTCAAGGGCCACCGCTCCCAGGGCGAAAACAATCTCATTGCCGCCGGCATTATCCTCTACGTGTTCTTCTTCAACTTGGCTTGGGGTCCCCTCGCGTGGGTCGTCGCCACCGAGCTCTCCGGCGGCAAGAACAGGCAGAAGATCATGTCCATCGGCACGGCGTGCTTCTGGCTCTCCGCATTCGTCGTCACGTTCACGCTTCCGTACCTGTACGACGCGACCGAGGCTGGGCTCGAGGCGCAGATCGGTTACATCTACGCCGGTGGCTCTGCGATCGCGATGGCGTTCGTCTACTTCTTCATCCCGGAGACCCTCGGACGCAGTCTCGAGGAGATCAACCGTACGTCGGACTCGTTGATTGCCCTTGACGCTTGTGCTGACTTTCCATCAGACCTCATGGACGCGCAGATCCCTGCCCGCTCATGGGCGGCGTACGACCTCGCCAAGGAGGTCGAGCGCGAGGTCAAGACGAAGGGCGACCGCCCCGAGGTCCAGCACGTCGAGAAGGTCTCCTCCAAGCAGGAGGTATAATGTCGCTTGCCTCAAGTACGCATCGTCGCTTGCTCAGCATCGCCGCATCATCTCACCTCGTCCTTATACTCACTACCATACATATATCCCATGTATATCTACGGCCTCACAAATGCTTGCCTGCCGTCTCGCTGCATAATCTGTACCATTAGCTATATTCCATAGGGTCTCCCATTCGTGTGCATACTAGTACCGTTGGGCAGTGGTGTTTACACTCTAGATATGTAGAGAAAATAGACGCCCTGTTCCTCTGAGTTCTGTGGGAAATCTTGAATATCTCAAATTCGCTGCGAACAAAACTCGGTAAGGGAGACTGTGGAGAACAATGGCTGCCTGAAAAGAACAATGGCATTCCCTTCTGGTCGATCAATTTGTGGCGACTTGTCGTAACTTGTCTCCGACTTCCCCAGCGCACAGCGCTCTCCACTGCTTTCATCTATCCTGAACCTCCGGACACGCCGAGATGGGTATCGTAGAGAAGGTTCACTAGCTTCTTCCCCGCCCCGAGCTTGAGCTAACCAGTACTCGCAGATCAAGGAGATCGAAGGTATGTGCTGGGCATACATGTTGCGACAAGTCGTATGCATATCACAACCCCACAGATGAGATGGCGAGGAGTGCGTATCTTCATCCTCTACAATGTTCCCCCCACTAACCCGTCCCGTTAGCGCAGAAGAATAAGGTGATGACCCACGTCCCCGCACGATGGACTCCCGCCCACCCCCCTCGCACAAGTAGGCCACGGAATATCACTTGGGTCTCCTCAAGGCAAAGCTCGCGCGATACCGCGCGCAACTGCTGGAACCCGCAGCCAAGTCAAGCGGCGGTGGCACTGGATTCGACGTACAGAAGTCCGGGGATGCGCGAATAGCGCTGATCGGGTTCCCCTCCGTGGGCAAAGTGTGTGGTTGTATACGATGGGTGTGCATAATGCTGATCCATCCTTCGCATAGTCTACTCTACTGTCCAAGACTACGCATACCGCGTCCGAGACTGCGGCGTATGAGTTCACTACCCTCACTGTGCGTCTTCGGTCGCATTCCCCATTCCCTCGTTCAATGACTGAGCATCGGCCACGCAGGCAATTCCCGGTGTCATCGAGTACAAGGGCGCTCGTATACAACTTCTCGATCTTCCCGGTATCGTCGAAGGAGCAGCGCAGGGTCGTGGTCGTGGGCGACAGGTCGTATCGACTGCGAAGACGGCCGATCTAATCGTCATGATGCTTGACGCGACAAAGAGTGACGAGCAGAGAAGATTACTGGAGATTGAGGTGCGGCTAGGCCCTTGGGGAATTGAAGCCGGCTGACAGAGCGAAGCTCGACGCAGTAGGAATCCGCTTGAACAAGCAGAAGCCGGATGTCGTGTTCAAGAAGAAAATGACTGGTGGCGTGAGTCTCCTGTTGTACTCTCGGTGATTACCTACTCATCGACTACGACAGATCACCGTATGTATACCGCGCAGTCACATTGGTATTGTGGACTCACCTCCGCTAGTTCACTGCTACGGTCAAGCTGACGAAGACGGACGAGAAGACCATCCGAACGATCTTGGCAAGCTACAAGTTACACAACTGCGATGTCATGATCAGGGAAGACGTCAGTATACTCTGTCGAAGGAGGTTCGCAGTGGCTGACGGATTGTGCTTAGATCACAACAGACGAGTTCATCGACGTCCTCATAGGAAACCGCAAATACGTGCCATGCCTCTGTAGGTCAACAAAGCATATGTCCTGTGCTTTATTAACCCCGTGTCCTTCAGACGTCTACAATAAGATCGACTCTATCAGCTTGGAGCAGGTAGACAAGATAGCACGCGAGCCACATACAGCGGTCATCAGTTGCGAGATGGACTTAAAGTACGCCGTCCTTTACTTCACTTTCCCCATGGCTGACCCAAGTTCGGCACAGCTTGGACTACTTGATCGAACGCATGTGGGACGATCTTGGCTTGGTCAAGATCTACACGAAGAAGCGTGGAGCGCATCCTGATCTCGACGACCCCGTTTGTCTTCACAAGGGCTCTACTATCGAGGTCTGATCGGCCTTTTCTTCTGCGTCGCCGGCCTGTGCTCATGAGTTTCGCAGACGGTTTGTAACAGCATTCATAGGTCCCTCGTACCGAGCTTCAAGTACGCCTTAGTATGGTGAGTGCTTCCACGCTTGCAAAGTTCCTTTGTCGTCTAACCTTCTAACAGGGTTCGTCATTCCCCAAATGTGATAGCGAGCATTTCCTGACCGTCTAGCAGGGCAAGTCCAGCAAGTTCAACCCGCACGCGCAGAAGGTCAGCCTGAACCACGTTGTACAAGACGAAGACGTTGTAACAAGTAAGAATTGTTGTTGACCTTGGGCTTCTTATCGTTGACGCATTCCCCAGTATTCACGAAATGAAAGCCGGCTCTCTCGTATTGCGCGTAGTCAGCAATGTATGTACCACTTACTGTAGCAATGCCAACAAGGTTCTTTGGGGAACAGACTGCGTCAGACCTAATCGGACGAGAACTACAATTACTATACATTGACTTGGAAGTTCGCCAGCGAGTCGATAGAGAGCGAGATTTCGCCTGACAGCAATTCGACCAACTCGAACTCGCCACACCTGAGCGCAGGAGAGCGCCCGCGTCCCCCAATGGCGAGATAGGCGGTCACCGCCACTCGGGTCGGTCCACCCTTCTCGATATCCTCGCTCCTCGCCGGCCACGTAGCCAACCTAATCGTCGGGCAGCAGTCATTTATTTCACTGAGCGTCGTACCAGTCAGAAGGCCCTGATTGCGCTCGGCAAAGTCGAGGAAGATCACGAGCTGCCTCCTAACCACATCAGAGTCAGGTTTAGCGTACCAGGCCTGTATCTTGCGCAGGACGCGGTCCCTCTCCTGGTTGATGACCTTCCTCGACATGATGATGGCGTATCTGTACGAGGGCACGGAGAAGCCCGGCACTATAAGGTCGTGAGTATGGGTTTGGGGTGTACGAAGCGAATGAGACGCACAAAGGCTCTTGTTAAGTACCTCGCAGTACTGTCGATGCCTCTTCCAGTCCGCTGCCTGACATCTTCTTGAGCAGTAATGGACTACTCGGCATTCGCACCTCTTCAAGGGTATATCGCCGGAGACATCAGGGCACTGGACAACAGGGTTTGAGTCGCGCGAATGGTCAATGATACCGGAACTCACCGAATCGAAGCGGCATTTCATCCAGTGCTCCTCTGCCAAAGTCCTATAGTCTTTGTCGAGCTCGGATACGGCATCCCGGTAAGCATTGATGAAAGTTGCGACATAAGAGTAATCGTCCTCCCGGATTTCCATGTCGGATCCACCGTGGGATCGCATGAGGCGCACAAAGTTTCGGTAGACCAACTGGTATCGCAGGTAGCCCAGTAGAACCGGCGGTACGCCGAAATGCTCCGTCTTCGTCTCCGGACGCGTGCGGATGAGATTTAAGAGCAGAGGAATAAGGCCTGCCCCAACGCCCCATTCCAGGTAGCGAGCGTCAGACGTGCATCGAGAATGAATCGTGGTGAAGAGATGGGCACATGCCATTCCAACGTCGTCCCCGTTGGGAAGGATCGCAGTGTCCCTCCATGCTTGGATGACGCTGTGAATGACAGACCGCGGGATTGAAACACCGAGAGTCCTGCGATTCACGAGCCCAATGACCTCCTCGACTGTGCTGATCGTTTCCATGAGCTCGTCGCATGGAACCGGGTCCCGGGTGAGAAGATAATGGGAAATTCGGGTTGACAGAGCCTTGCGATATAGTCGGCGAGGTTTGCCGCCGCATATGGCAATGAAGCCGTCCGATACACGCGCAGCATCTGGATGTGTCCACCACGTCGTCCCGGGGCACGGAAGATCGTGGAAGAAGCGCCAGACTGCGACGAGGAGCTCGTATTCGTTCTTCTCAAACTCGCCTTCCTCGATCATCTTCTTAGTCGTTGGTGTGAGAGGAAGGCGTGCCGCGTAGTCGTAGAAATTGAGCCAGAGATCCAGCACCAGGGATAGCGAGTCGCCAGTCTCGAGGACGATACGGTCTCCCTGGATTATATCGCAGGTAGTGCAGAGGAATCGGCGTATTGTCTTCAAAGCTTGCTCTTCATACAAGGGGGGGACATTTCTGAACTTGGGGTGAAAGAAGGCGGCCCATCGCATGACATTTGGCCACTCGCGAAACGCCGCCTGGCAGATGGGAGAGTCGGGTTTGTCCAGGGTGTTAGCCTCATATTGAACCAAGTGGATCAGTAGGTTATAGGTCAGGATGGCGTTGTATGCGTTGCGACAGGGGATCGTCTCGACTAAGTTGACTGGGAGCCGGATTAAGCCGTTGGCGACGAGCAGGTCGGGGTCGAGGGCAAGATCCGCAAATGGCTTGTCGTGTTCCATGATATGTAGGAGTCGACGACAATGCCGGGCCCGCCCCTCTGGCGATAGTTTGGGATATTTGGGCTGCACGTCGCTCATGGCATTCAGCAAGACAGTGTCCCTTCCTGTTCGTGGCATTTCGACTGTTCGACGTGGGATGAGCTGGATTTTATGATATGAGAAACGTCGAGTGTTCTGACCTGATCGGCTGGCAGTGTGTGGTGGATCAAACTGTGTAGAGATGAACGTTGGGAACAAGACTGCTGCAACAAACAAAGCGAACCCACACAGCGGGGAAGCCGGTCCGAGCCACTAACATACCCAGGCCTGCACGTGCAATCTTTACGACAATGGCCAGACGATTCGAATCAGCATTCGAATCGCTGAGCGCCTACTGGCTTAGGCATCCGCCAGCTATGCGACCTGGTGATTGTCAAAGACGGTAGCAATCGCTGAAGTGTACGCTTAATAGTCTTCTCGCAGACACTCTTGCGCCAGACGATAGAGGTGCACCATCTATAGCAGATGCTGGTAATAAGATATGGTATACAATACAGCTAATGTACAGAAGACCGGAATATAGATCCCAAGGAAATGCTACTACTTGGCACCCTGCGAAGAGAACTGCACAAGATCGTCAGAGGGGGCAGAGATGAAAGGGAAAGAGCGCGACGCACCTTGGTCACCGACTTGGTGCCCTCAGAGATGGCGTGCTTGGCGAGCTCACCGGGGAGAATGAGCCGCACAGACGTCTGGATTTCGCGTGATGAAATCGTCGACTTCTTCGAGTACGCGGCGAGCTCTGCACGGCGGGTCAATGGCTGGGTTCAGAGGGATGGGGGGAGGGGAGCACGCACTGGATGCCTCCGTGGCGATCCGCTCAAAGATATCGTTGACAAACGAGTTCAGGATGGCCATCGCCTTGTTCGAGATACCCGTGTCGGGGTGGACCTGCTTAAGGACTGCAGGCGTGTTAGAGAAGTGTGTGGACGTCGCCATCTCTGCCACTCACCCTTGTAGATGTAGGAAGAGTACGTCTCCTTGCGCGTCTTCTTGCGCTTCTTCTTCTCCCCGTCAGCTCCCCCGGACGGTGCAGACTTGGACGCAGTCTTCTTCGCCGCCTTCTCAGCCTTGGCTGGCGCCTTGGATGCGGTGGACGCAGGTGCCTTTCCGGCAGTCGATGCGGGCTTGGGGGCCATGGCGAAGTGTTAGAGTTTGGTAGGTGGACGAGGGGGACGCGATGGGGCGGTTGGGGGCAAAGATGGGAAGAGACGAAAACGACGGGCGGCCGGGTTATATACCGACGCGACGCGTTTGTCCTCGTTTGCGCACGGACGTGATCCTTTGTTGATGCGCATCAACAAAAGTCGATTGGCGCACGCACGTGATCGTCCCGCGGTATATATATCCGGTGCCCGCGACGATCGCTGCTTTTCCTCAACGTCCATCTCGCCCCTTGCGCCCTCAACACAACCACTTTCTCGACTTTATCCACCCACCCCCACAACACCCATCACAATGTCTGGCAAAGTCGGCGGAAAGGGCGGCAAGGCTGGTGGCAAGGCTGGCGCGGCCGATTCTGGGAAGGCGCAGTCCCGCTCGTCCAAGGCTGGTGCGTGGCTTCAACAGAAGTGGCCTGTCAATGTCTGACTCGCCCGCAGGTCTCCAGTTCCCGGTCGGTCGTGTGCACCGTCTGTTGAAGAAGGGCAACTACGCCCAGCGTGTTGGCGCCGGCGCGCCTGGTGAGTGGCTGAGCCTCCCGACACGCGTTTTTCGATCTGACTCGCGCTCCAGTCTACCTCGCGGCCGTCCTCGAGTATTTGGCTGCTGAGATCTTGGAGTTGGCGGGCAACGCGGCGCGCGACAACAAGAAGCAGCGTATCGTCCCCCGTCACTTGCAGCTCGCCATCCGGAACGACGAAGAGTGCGTGCGCGCCTCGTATTCCATTCTTCCGCCACTAACCCTGTCTCAGGCTGAACAAGCTCCTCGGCGACGTTGTCATCTCGCAGGGTGGTGTCGTCCCCCACATCCAGGCTGAGCTCCTCCCATCAAAGAGCGGCAAGGGCAAGAAGGAGGACGCCAGCCAGGAGGTCTAAACACCTCCTGTCCCTTTTTCCTGGGTTTCTGTCGCATTGCATCTATGTCTCGGATTTGTACTATACCTTGTAATGTATTCCCTCTAGCTTACGGGCATCCTAGCAGTTATTCAGCACCCTGCACCTCATGTTATGATCTCCTTGTTCCATGCCCGCCGATGTAAGTCTTGTGCTTCATTTCAAAAGCCCCTGCCAGCAGACCATGGCGTCTTCGTTTTCGGACGTCCTTGCCCAGGTGGGCTCAAATCCACCCTCAATGCGACCCTGGGCGATTTCGACTGGATTGTGCATGCTGTTTGCATGCGGCACACCTCGCGGTGAGCACTGGTCTATCATGATCACACTGACTCGGCCAGTTCTTCGACATGCCACACAGCGGAGAATCTCAGATAGAAGCACGGCCACCCATCGTCCTCCGCTAGCGGATCTCCAAGAACACTTCGAACGGGTCATCTGAGGTGCGTTCCTCACGTCGTCCTCACGCACGCATATGGACTAATTCGCAGGTATATAAGCCCAAAGACGAGGATGCATGCGTCTTGAGCCCGCACCCTCTTTGCGAACGGCTATCATGTTCGCCTGGCCCGCTCTCGCATCCCTAGTCGTATCCTGTGCGGCCCTGCAGCAAGCGGCGGACTACGCGTCTCGCTACGATGGCGTGCGCGTGCTTCGCGTACCCACCGGCGGCCAGGCGGATGCCCTGAACGCGTTGGTCGACTCGTATGGCCTGATGCGTTGGGATACGCGCGCGAGCCATATCGACGTACAGGTGCCGAAGGATGCGTATGCGGATTTCGCGAACGCGGTGGCGAGCTTGGGAGCGAATGCGACCGAGGGAATGGAGATGATGGTCATGCATGAGGATCTAGGGGCGAGTATACGCGAGGAGAGTGCGGGGCTGGCGGAGTTCAGGCGGCCTGAGGTGTCTGGTAAGTCCGAGATGGCCTACTTTGTGTGATTGTTTGCTGAAGTCGCTACAGACCAGGGTCTCGTCGGCCTCGTCAGCGACTCCTGGTTCCTCAGCTACCATTCGTATGCTGACCATCTGCAATTCCTCGATGACCTGGTATGTTTATCTGACTTGCGCATAGTGAACATGCGCTATAAATCTGGTGTCCCACAGGTCGCAACCTACCCAAACAACTCCGCCACCTTCACCAGCGGGACTAGCTACGAGGGAAACACCATCACTGGCATCAACATCTACGGCTCGGGAGGCCCGGGCAGCGCACCTGCCGTGGTCATCCACGGCACGGTGCATGCAAGGGAGTGGATTGCAACGATGGTAAGTAGAATCGTGGGTCGCGTCGTTCATCGCTCATCAGTGTTCTCTCCCTGCAGGTGACTGAGAACTTTGCGTATAGCCTGCTCGCGAACTACACTTCTGGCGACGAGGATACTATCGGCTTCCTTGAGAAATACGATATCTACATCATACCGAACGTGAACCCGGATGGTGAGTGGCGATTCACATTGCTGTAGTTGGCGTTTAAGCCTAACGAACCTTGCCAGGCTTCATCTACACGCAAGAAGAAGAGCGCCTGTGGCGCAAGACGCGCAACCCGCCGCCGAGCGGAAGCACTTGCTATGGCGTGGACATCAACCGCAACTGGCCGCACGCTAGTTGGAATCAGTCCAGTGGAGCGTCGACGAACCCTTGCGCGGAGGATTACAAGGGTCCTTCAGCCGGGAGTACTGTCGAGGTTCAAGGGCTTGCTGCATTCCTAGACGAGCGCGCCAATTCGACGGCAGGTGGCAAGATGTACATGGATGTGCACTCTTACAGCCAACTGTTCATGTCAGGTAAGCACTTCTTCTCGTCTGTAGTTATTATCCAACTGACCTAATTCTTTGTAACGCCAGCATACGGATGGACATGCAGCCAGGCGACCGTGAACGCTGACGAGCTCAACGCACTCACGTCAGGCTTTGCCGACGCTTTGGGTGAGGTCTACGGGACTGAATACGACAGCGGACCTATCTGCCAAACGATCTATCCGGTGTCCGGCGATTCGGTTGACTACGCGTATGATAACTCGTACGTGTCTCCCGTGCTTGCCGAACGAAGGGAAGGCGCGACTGACGGCAAACACAGCGGTATCGTCTACTCTTTTACGCCTGAGCTACGCGACACGGGGAGGTATGGTTTCGTCCTGCCCGCGAATCAGATCCTGCCCACGTCTATTGAGACTTACGCGGGTGCGTTGACCGCCCAAATCAACTCTGGGCCAGCGAGCTGACATTCGGATAGGCTTGCGGTACCTTCTGGCGAACATGAAGTAGAAGAATTCGAGAAGGAAATGGTTGTACTAATGGACTTTGTTGCCTGTTTTCTGAGCCATGCTGTAATATATTCGCCTGCTTGTTGCCTGCCCATTGTTCTTTTCGGGAATCGGAGAGACGGACCGTTAAAGCCGAGGTGTGATCATCACTGCGCACGGCACGATCGCTGGATTGTTCATCCCGCACCGTGTCCGCGATGGAGACCGAGTTCATCTTCCTTGGCACGGGCACCTCGTCGTCTGTGCCCGTCATTCACTGTTTGACCGACGACCCGAAAAGACCAGATTATGTCCCCTGCCGCGCCTGCTTATCCAGTCTCACGCCCGAGGGGAAGCACAACCGCAGACGTAATACAAGCGGTCTGCTGAGGATTAAGAAGCCAGGCAGAGACGCTCTGTAAGACTATAGTGCATCTAACATGCATTGACACTGACGCTCAAGACCAGCACGATTGTCATCGATGCTGGGAAGACATTCCAGGCAGCGGCGATCGAGTGGTTTCCCAAGTACGGGCTGAGGAGGATAGACGCACTGCTCATAACGCATGCGCACGCCGATGGTATGCGCCTCTCTTATGGTTCCCTTGGCGCAGCTGAAGTCTTCTTCAGCCATGAACGGGCTCGATGACCTGCGTGGTGCGTTCCCCGACCCTGTTCCGACATACTGCTTAACGAGCTTCAGGCTGGACCCTCCGTGGGCGTATACAACATCACATAGATGTCTATTGCAGCCAGGACACCTTCCGCGAGGTTGAGCGATCCTTCCCATACCTTGTGTCGAAGGCTTTTGCTTCGGGTGGCGGCGATGTGCGTGCCATGTCTTGAGAATGACGACTTCGCTGACGCTCGTGGCAGGTTCCGGAATTCGTCTGGCACATCATCGAGGACGGCGTTCCCTTCCAAATTGTGGACACGGACGTATGGATAACACCGTTCTCAGGTAGGTCTCTTTCGCCTGCTGCTTTAAACAACAACCGACTGACATCGCGCAGTGTATCACGGTCGCGTCTTCTCCAAACCTCCAGATCCCATTCCTACCCCCGGTCCCACACATCCGCCTACGCCAGTCAATAACCCACTAGAGAAATCTCCGGAGGAAGCCAGCTCCGACGCGAACAAGGAATCTGCCACGCTCTCCCGCACCCTTGACATCTCCCCAGCCCCCACGGCCTCAGGCGAAATCGCCATCGTCCAACCCCAGCCCATCACCTTGCTCAATGGCAAGGCACCGCCTCCCGACAACCGCAATGTTGTTTCGCCCCCACCCTCCACCGAGCCCGGTATCACACCCTACCTCTGCTTTGGCTTCCTCGTCCACGGCTTGCTCACTTATATCTCCGACACCAACTTTATCCCGCCGTCCGCGTGGGCCGTAATCAAGAAGCACCCAGTTTCGCCTCTCGCGGTCGTCGACACGCTCTACCTCGCCGAGCACGCATCGCACTTCGGCATCCTGAGCGCGATGAGCACGGCGGTGAAGCTTGGCGCGCGGCGGACTTATCTAGTGGGCATGGGTCACGAAGTCGCGCACGATGAGTACGAGACGTTGTGCGAGGTCGCGAGTGGGCAGCGCGCGCCGGATGGGACGGTGCTGGAGAAGGGCGCTGCGCTCGGCCTGCAGCCCAAATTGAAGGAAAACATGACGGAGAAGGAGATCAAGGGTATCGAGCTGGCGCTCGAGGCGCTGAAAGGCGCGACCCCGTGGGTACGTCCGGCGCACGATGGGCTGCACGTCATCTTAGACAGCGATGGCAATGTTCATGACGAGACGTACGAGTAACGCCGGATGTAGAAGGTCATGTAGCATACGCACTATAGAGGAAATGGAGAGGATTCTCATACCAGAAGCTTGCGAGCGGTTTTCTCGAAAGGGAACTTACTTCCTGGCATACCTCTGGTGAAGCTGCCGTAGCTATAGAATGTAGGGAAGATAATACAGCGTTATGAGATTACAGCATGACAGCAATACGAGTTGACAGCAGCGTACAGAAGGAGGAATCAGTGCATTCGGTCCCAATCCGCTAGTGCGCCCCCTTGCCTTCCCATGCGACGCCGACCAGCCGGAGGTCCGCGCTCGTCTCTGTTGCTAGCGGTGAGTAGGACGTGCTTGTCGACGAGCTGGACGATGATGATAAGTCTGATGTGCATGGCGAAGAGCTCGAATGCACTCACGTCGTTCAGGATGTTGGTCGACTTCGTCAAGGATGAGAGGTATGCTGTTAGCTGCACGTCCTCGTATTCCTACACCATACGATGAGGTAGGATCGCAGAGGAATTGGCGAGAAATTCATACCGTGTCGAACTCTTCCCTGAAATCGGGGTTCTCTGTTGCTGGTAATGACGCCACGAGAGCGGCAAGTGCGCGTAGGGTTGCGGGATCCTTCTTGGCCGTGCCTGTTGTAGTGTCAGTAGGCCTCCGCAAGTCAATGCAGACGAAGTACGCACCTGCGATGACATCCGCCACATACTTGACAAGCAGCTCGATTCGGTCATGCAACATCTTGACCGCCGCGCGCTGCGTCTGCAGGTGTGACTCCACTTGAAGAGTATTAGCTCTATAGAGAAGGTGGTCGACGATAATCACGCACGACTTGTCCCGCTTCCGCCACCCCGCGCCGTCCAGTCGACGGCGATGCGCTCGGCCTCGCCCGTTTCGACGTTGTATGGGACCTCAATGTACACAGCGCGCGCTTTCCCACCATGAAAGTCCATCGTGGGCTCGTACACTTTGATCGGTAGTGTCTGTGCGTTCACATCTGTGGACACGACCACGGTGCCTGCTGGCTGCAGTATGAGGAGTAGTGGCGTCGAACAGTAGGCGGTGAACTGAAGATATTGGTGTCAAAGGTAGATTAAATGGGATGTAGGATGTTCACGCACCTGCTCGTGCAGCGTGATGTGCCGCGCGGTGGGCGTGGCGGCGACGGTGTACCAGCCGATGAACTCGAGGGAGGGGAAGACCTGCTTGTCTGCGCGTATACCGTCAGCACGATGTGTGCAAGATGTTAGTAGAGCACGTACATTGCTCTCGTCTTGACACAAGGAAGCCGTGATCGACGCCATCGCCCTCGAGCGCTAGCTCGAACGTGTTCACGATCTCCACTTCGCGGCCGTTCTGCGTGCCCAACAGCGCGCCCAGAACTATACGAGCGTAAGCGTTTACTGTGAGGGAGAAAGCATCATACACACCAAAGGGATTGTTGGTCATCGTCTGCAGTTTGAGGCGCGTAAGATGCTCGGAGACATTGAGGATGGGAAGGGGATGTCTGCGCGATCAGCTGCGTGCCCGTCGGGCCATGGCGTGGCGCTTACAGGGACAGCGTCAGGCCAGAGACGGTCGACGAGGGGAGCACGACGGACTGCTCATCAGTGTCCATGGCGTTCATTGTTCTTCGTGACGCGCGGCGTCAATGAGTGTGGCAAGAGGCGCTCGGTCACGTGGTGATGCTTAGGCGCCCATCATTCCATTGTTCTGCTTGTGGGGTTTATTCACGCAGGTCGCAGAAATCACCCATCCTGCGAATGGAGAGGCGCAGCCAGAGATGTCATTGTGCAATATATATAGGTCGAACAGTCCATGTACAACTAGTGGTGCAATAATAAAGAGTGACAAGAACGAGACAGACTCCGTGCAACAGTAGCGATACAATGACATGAGCGAGATAGATCATCAGAGGTAGTAGTAGTGGCGACGGTGATTAGGTATCAAGATGTCAATGCATGCATTAGGCTGGAGAGTCTTCATCCTGAAGCGAGTCCGTCGTACTGAGGCTAGGAACACTAAAGAGGAGGTACATCTAGGGGTTCGTAGGCTGCGGCAAAGTAGTTATGCATGCAGTTTACAAGCCGAGCATGGAGAGGCCGGTAAGGAAGCATCCGGCAACAGCGAGAAGTGCCGTCAACGTCGCGCCAGTGCGCAGCGCGGCAGCGCCGTTGTTGTCGTCTTCGCCCTTGGAACCGCCCGTAGCTTGGGCGGACCCAGGTGCGCCGGACGACAGTGCGGTGGCAGCCGAACCTGTAAGCGATATCAGTATTCATCCTGTCAGATTCGACGTCGCTACGTACCGGAAACAACAGGCGGGTTAGTGTCGTTGTCGTTGGTCTCGACGTAAGCATCTGCCAAAGGCTTGTTCAAGCACGTAATCACAGGCTCAATCGTGAAGCTGGGATCCTTGTGCGCAATCGCGTCGGGCAGGATGTAACCCGTGGCGATGTCGACAGTCTGCTGGAAAAGATCGTGCTCCAACACGATGAAGCCGGTGTCAATTTCTGACGCGTTGCCGAGGATGTTCTGCCAGTTCTGAAGCGAGTCCTGAACGGTGTTGATGCCAGCATGCACATCGAAGTCTGCGTGGAAAGGATCAGTGACACTGTTCGTTGACTGTGACAAGCTGACGCACCGCCCGTATCGAAGGTCGCGGTCTGGCTGATGCGGGTCCACATAACCGGCGTCATGCCCAAAGCCAGCGAGATCTTACGGACACGGTCGCTGGAACGAAACCATGAGACAGTGATCATAAGGGCGCATAAGCCTGACACTTACTCAATGTCACCGTAAGGCGGGCGCATCATGCTGGGCGAGACACCGATGACATCCCTGATAGCCTGACGAGTCCAGCCGAGCTCCGCAATGATTTGTTCGTTCGTGAGCGTCGTGAGGTACGGGTGACTCCAGGTGTGCACCGCGACCTGGTGGCCAGACATGAACTCCTCCTGCAGAGTCTGCGGGAAGGAGATGACACGCGAGCCGACGACGAAGAAAGTAGACTTGATCTGCTGCTCATCGAGATACTTGAGCAGGTTCGGGGTGTAGTACGACGGGCCATCGTCGTAGGTCAAACCCCAAGTGTACTTATCGGGACACGCAACGATATCAGTCTGCAACGAGTGTTAAAAACAGCTGCATGGGAAGGAGTATGGTACGCACGTCACGCGTGCAGCCACTGCACGTCCACCAGCAGTTGGACTCGTTCTTGGCCGCCTCCACGTTGGAAGGGCATCCTCCCTCGACGGTTTGGGAGATATCGGGAATGTCGATACCAGTATCCTTCACTTCTTGGATCCACTGCTTGACCTGGTCGGAATCCGTAGGAGGGACCTTGTCCATAGTCGGATAGTTGCTAGGCACGATCGAGGCCTGCGGCAAAGCCGGCCCATTGCTCAAATACGACGCAGTCGCGCCAGGACTGGCAGTCGATGGGAGAGGGATCGTAGACTCTGTCGCCGCGGCAGCGTTGATCGACGACAAGGGGACAGCAGTCGGGTTAGATGAGAGCAACGAGAATGTGTAGGTCGTCGCAAGTGTGGCAGCGCCGGATGTGATGCCAGAGCCAGCGGCAGAGCCCGCAGCGGAGGAAGCCCCGCTGGCAGCACCTGCCGCAGCGCTGCTGGTACCAGCAGGCGCAGACGCGCTGCCAGCAGCAGAGGCCGACGATGTTTCCTGGCGGGCATCATGAGCCGCCGCCGCGAGGGCGGGGGCGGCGATAAGGGGCAGGAGCGTAAGAGCGCGCTGGAAGAACATGTCCGTCGACGGCGGGCTCGCTGGATAAAGGAAGGACAGTGAGGACGGCGTCGACGATGGCGGTTAGAGGCAAGAAAAGCTAGCGGCGAGCGCCAGTTCAAAAGTTGGATTATTTGGTTTGCCGGCTCCACTACGCCACATCAGATCGGAGTGGGATGTATAATAAGAACGAAGCCGGCATGAAACGGCCTTCATCCGCACCCCATTTCCTCGAGCTCGCGGGCACTGGTTCGACTTGCTGCGGTCATCGGGGGGTGCCGTGGGCCACCATGGGGTTAACGTCACACCAAGATATCTATATAAATTCGCACGTAGATACTGTATAACAGTTACAACACGAGACATGGTATGAGTACGCGCCTGGGCACGGTTGGCCGAAAAGCCAGAGTAGTCCAAGGAAGAATGCCTTAGACCTTTTGCTTCTTCGCGCGAGGCTTCTCTAGGTCAATCTCCTCCGCGTCGTCGTCATCGTCTTCCTCGTCCTCAGAGTCGATCTCCTCGGCCTCACCGAAGAATGCAGGGATCGGCTCCATGAAGACCTCCAAGACAGAGGCGCCAAGCTAGCGAGCAATCATCAGCATGGCTGTACTACACTCCAAAGCCAAGCGATTACTCACGTCCAGAGGGTCCGACTCAACCTCGAAAAAGTTGAAAAAGCTGCCCGGGTCGCCCGAGAGGTCGTCAGGGCCATCCTCCTCCGACACCTGACGCGGGTACTTCTTGGTGAACGCGTTCTCCGGGTCCTTCCAGTCGATCTTCGTGGCCTGCGACGACTGATCAACATCTCTGATCGAGGATGAGGCGAGGGAACGACATACCTGCGGCTTCACATCACGCTCCCAGCTGAAGTCGGCGTGGGCATCGGAGACGCCATCCTCATCGACCTTGCTCTTGTCCGCGTCACCAGCCGGCGCGTACTTGAACTCCTTCTTCAGGACCGTGTTGGAGAAGTAAGGGTTCTCCTTGAAGTACTGATCGGGTTTGAGCACGCGTGTATGTGGATGTCAGCAAAGCTACTCACGAACTCGAGGGTGAAAGCCCGCGGTTCAACCGGGTCACGAACGACCCAGAGGTCCTCCAAGTAGCTCAATGCTTGCTGATCGACATTGTGGCCAAGGTAGATGGCGATCTGAGGCATGTTCATGAGGGCGATCGGCCAGAACTTGGGGATCGACTTCAAGGTCGCGCGGCGCTTCTCGAAGTAAGGTTGAAGCAGCTTCAGGTGGTAGAACTCTGTGAACAGAAGGGGGACATGTCAGTACGCGTATTCCAGGCGGAAAGACGCGTCTGACATACCGCTGGCAAGTTGCTTCCGCTCATCCTGCTCCTGCAGGTCCTTGAGCTTGACGATATCCTCATCACGAGTCTCGTAGTCCGCAAACGGGCTCTTCTCGGTGTCTGCACCAGGGGATGCGCGCTTCGTCATTTTGAGAGGAATAGTGAGGTGGGGAATCAAGTGGAGAATGAGCGGAAGGACGTAGGGACGTGAACAAAAATTTGGCTCAGCCGAAGATCTCGCGCCTGCCGGCATGTGCCGAGCAGCATTTGGTCACGATCACGTGCTCATTGTTGAACTTCTGCGTGCCGCCAGCGAAACAGCTGCAAATCGATTTTCAGCAGCAAAGACCCCCCAAAGACTCATTTTACCTTGTTGACGGTAAAAGAGGTACGGTTGCTTGAGCCTGCGCGCGCTGAGAAGCTGTCGAGGAGACTCTTTTAGAACGAGTGGCATTTGCGCCGCTGCTAGCGGGCTATATTCAGCGATTCGCAGCCAAATCTGGCCGTCTGGTAAATACACGGCGACCTCAAAGGTCCTCAACATCCAGACTCGTGTCCGCGTATAAGTACGGCGGATGCATTGCCGCCATTCAGGGTGTAGCAACCATCACTTTCCTCTCAGGACCGTTTGCTTCAAGTTGCCAGTGGGCACAAATATGTTGTAAGGTCGTGACCCCACTCAACTCACAAACACCTCATGTTGCAGCCAGTGGTGCGCAGGAGCCTCGAGTGCAGATACTGTCATACGCTGGCCCTTACGTCGACGTACTCCTGCAAGTTTCGGCGAGATACAAGGATGAAAGCAGCACAATAATACATTTCTCGCATACCATTGTCTCGAATACTGGTTGGTATGCACTGTTGAAGTGTGCTGGTAGCATCGAGACTACTACACAATGGTATGCGCGACAAATTGGAAGGAATAGATACTATTCAAAGGAGCGTGCGGTTATAGCGAGTCTAACATAAACTACCAAGAATCTGTAGAGTTCCGTGTGTGCACAAACCCCAGACTGAGACCGAGCTCAGTCCACCCGCTTGTCCCCGTCGTTCCCTCCGCCAGCCCACTTCTCCATCATGATCATCGGCTTCGACTTGAGAAGTGCCGCCTTCTCCAGACCAGAATTGACGCCGCTCTTCGCCTTCTTCGTGTCGAGGCCCATACCGTGCCAGTACTTTCGGAAGCCGGGGCCATCGTAGAAGACGGCGTCCTTGACCGATACAAGTCGCGGCCACGATACGTAGCAGATGCCGTGGACGAAGATAAAGGTCATCGCGACCAAGAACCACGTGAACCAGAGGAGGAAGTAGTACAACAAGGAATAGTCTACGAGTAGATGAGCGGTAGTTTTCTGAGAGATTGGACCGACGCACCTGATGTCCGCGGGAGAGTCAATCCCGCACAGATCATGAAGAACGAGAATCCTGCAACGGCGGGCATCTGAAAGAAGGTTAGACAGACGTCAGTAGCATAGCTAAAGATACGCACCGAGCGCGTCACCACGTCTCTTCTATCCGTGACAAGGAACATGGCGCTAGACGGATTCTGTCGCGGCACATACACACCCGTCATGAGGTCGAAAGCGTCCTAGAAGGTAGATGTAGGTAAGCATAGGGTGCCATGTAGCAATCCGGGGCTGCCTACCTGACGAGGGCCATCAAGGAAGTTGTTCTTGACGTAGCGCAGCACGCTCTTCACGCCATCTTCAACAGCACCTTTCCTGGTCCTCTTGTTCGTGCGAGTGAAGTCACTCTTGAGCGCACCACTACCTCCATATGCGCGTGCAATCTGGTCTCCATGGTCTGCCCACATATTGCGGAAAACTGCCGAGAGCGCCTCATTGTCGTCAACGCCTGTGCGTGGTGAGCACATCACGGGTAAAGACGCAATGACTGAGGAGGAAACTACCTTCGCCCTTGACAAGACCGCCGATGTTGTAGAGCTGCTTTTGTAGCACGTACTTTGCTAATGCGGCCTGCACGACATTCGTCCTGTCCAAGTTGTCCATGCAGTTGGTTCGCAACACGCCATTTTGCAGTCTTTCGGGTACGGGCGACTTCGACGGAGGGATGTGGAAGAATCTAGTGCTTAATTAGACAGGCTACAGCTTGGACGGCAGCTAGCTTACCCAACGCGTTCGATGTCGTCCTTGATGCGGTCAATCAAGACACTTATACGATCCCAGCGCATGTTTTTGCACTCGTTGTGGAAGTCGAAGTACTCGTAGCGGACGTTAGGCAGGGTCGCCGACACCTATACATCGTTCAGACGCTGGCGCGCTCGTTGCAATTTTGGCATACCTCGGCCATAGCCTTGTCGTACGCCTCCTTGATCGGCCCCTCATGGCCTTTGTGGTTGACGAGGTTGATCAAGTCAAGGCTGCCCGTTGGAGTGCCGTCTGTATGCGGCGAGTAGAGCTTGAGTTGCTCATCGAGATGCGCACGCAGGACGCCCATCTGGACGAAGATGAGATATTTGGCCGAATGGCGCGCAACCGCCTGTGCTGACCGTCTCTTCCAATTGCATCACAACGAGGTCTGGCTTGTACCTCAGCGTGTTGATCTCTGCCCAGAAGAGTGGGATAGACCCTCGTATTTGTACGAAGGACAGCTTCGCGTACGTCGGGTCGCTGAACGGGTCTTCGCAGCGTCAGCGTGTGCAAGATGTATACTAATGAAGCCTCCAACTCACCACGCCATCCGTCATCAAAGTCGTGGGCGCCGATAAAGGGTGAGCCCGGGATGCCCCCCTCTTGTTCGTTCTTGGCCAGGAGGATTTGTTCCGACTCGACGAAGTTCGCGACATGTCCCTCGCTGTCGATACCGCGACGGAAGTATCGCGTACCAGCACGGTAGCGTGACCGTCTAGAAATCAAGGCGAGGTATGACTTCCGCGGCAAGCTCGACAGAGGAATTTCGTGGATAGAGACGGCTGTGACGGCGTCAAGACCGGAGCGAGACGCGTGTGCGTCTACTTACTGCCATAGAGAATAGGAAGCACATAAGAGCCGACCTAGGTAATTTGAACGACCAGGACCACAGTTCTGAGATGTAGACCTACATTGGCGCCGCTCTCGATGAGCTTTGAAGCGGGGAACTTGTTCCAGAAGAAGCGGTCATCCGCCTGTACGAACCTTGAGCTTGGATGTATATAGTTGCGACAATCATCTTACCACTTCATACAAGGCGCTGTGGGCACGTTGTTCTCGCGTCTCCCATTGCGCCTGTAGGCGTGTGGTGATGTCACACGTGTAGCTGGCCCAGAAGACGCCGTTCGAGAGGTGGGATTTGACGAGAGCTTGCAGGTGAGCCTCAACCGGGTGTACTTGATTGTTGTTGGTGAGGTCGGGGGACATGAGGGGGTTGATGGGGATGAGCTCGAAGTCATGGAGGCGATACACCTTGTGGCCGAGGAGGGGTGCGGGGTACAGTGTGCGACCAGTGGCAATGATCAGGTATTCTGCTGTTATACGAGAGGTGTCAGTGGACATGGGCGGGTTATAACGCGACACGTACACTGGGAGAGGGAGATAATCCCGTAAATGGCGTGCACGGTCTTGGGATGTCTTCGCGCCGTGCGGGGAATCTGAGCTGCGGGCTCTATGCGAGGGTCAGAGCAGCCTCGGCGGGGCGGAATGGCACCCACGCTCGAACGCGACTTGGCCCGTGGCGCGGGTAATGGTGAGCGAGTCGCGCCCATGGTCTGGGATGAATGTGAACGCTTCATTTGTTATGTAGCTACGAATTGTCAGCCAAGGCGTCCTCAACGTCCGTCAATGTACCCACAGCGTCAGCTTGTCGTAGACGGGCCTCATTGTGACGGACGGCGGGCGCGGCGAGGAGTGCGCGCGGACAAATACAAGATCAACCCAGTTCGGCGATCGCGCAGCCGCTTCTTGCACGCGTCCAGCCATGAAGCTGACGCCCGAACTCCTCGCTCAGGCCTCATCCCACCTCAATCCATGCAAAGAGCGTCAGCTCGACCTTCGAGGTGCGCCGGCTTGCCCTCAACTTACGTCCTGGCCTGACGTCGTTCAGGGTGCAAAATCCCTGCCATCGAAAACCTCGGTGTCACGAAGGACCAGCACGACGCGATAGATTTTACAGATAACCAGATCCTCTCCCTGTCCAACTTCCCCCTCTTGAAGCGACTTTGCTCGCTGTATCTCGCGAATAATGTCATCAGCAGCATATCCCCCTCCCTTCACCTCTCTACCCCCAACCTCACCACTCTCGTCCTTACAAACAACGCCATCCAGAACTTGGGCGATCTTGAGCCGCTGGCACAATGCTCAAAACTGGTGTATCTGTCTTTGATGGGGAATCCGGTTGCGGAGAAGAAGTATTATCGCGAGTGGTTGATCTGGAGAAACAAAAACCTGCGGGTGTTGGACTACCAACGCGTACGCGACAAAGTGCGTAAACGACCTCAAGTACTATACCTCTGCGTTGACTAGGGATCCCCAGGAGCGTGAAGCTGCCAAGAAGTTGTTCTTGACTCCTCAGGGTACACCAACCAGCCTCGCCGAATCCTTGCAAGCAGCCGTATCCGCACACGGGAAGCCTATCCCCACAGCGGAGGAGCCAAGAGCAGGACCGGCGGCAGGCTCGAAGTTCCAGGCAGGACGCCTGATGAGCAAGGAGGAGCAGGAGCGGGTGAAGAAGGCGATCGCGGAGGCGAAGAGCGTCGAGGAGATTCGGCGATTGGAGAGGAGTCTGCGCGAAGGCTACCTCCCCGAGATGGAGAGCGTCGGCGCATGATGACCCCCTCCGCTCTCTTCATCTCTTTTCGCGACGTCAGAGAAAGGGGCCGTTCCGGATGTCGATGTTGTATGCGAATTGGACAACTCGACGCATGTATCATTCATACTCTCATATTCTGCTGTATCATCTTACTTACTTTCACGAAAGCGAATATCTATATTCGCGAAAAAGCTCCCCTGGAGATTGAACGATATACATGTGAACCGACAACGATCGACTCGAAAGCAATTCGGTCGCGCTCGTGTCCAAATCATGAATGGGTTTCTTCTCAAAAAGCACTCTGTGTTTCTCTTCTGGTTCGGTCTGAATATTGCAGCGACTAGCTTGTGCCTTGTGCCTTCCGCTCATATGCGTATTCCCGCCGGCGAATTTCGAGACAAAACCTTCCATATAGGGAATTATCCCAGTTCGGGAAGGTCGCGTGCGGCGTCCGGATCAGCGGTCCAGCCCGCCTCGCTCACATGACCGTTTCTCATTATTGTCGTTCGCCAGTCAGCTTGCTCCTTACCGTCTTCATCCCCTTGCCGCCAGGGCATCCTCCCGCCGAAGCGCTGTCTGCATCGCAGCATCCGTCGCGTTACCATGTCCTCGGCAACTCTGACCGGCGTCGCACTGTTGCAGAACGCGCGCAAAGCGGACTGCTCGAGCACGATCGTAGACGCGCGCTTCCGCTTGGCGAGCAGTGCAACCTCGTCCAATGGGATGAGGGAGCTCGTAGCAGCGCTCTGCCTGACGCATGCGGACGACAAGTCCCCTGATCTGGAAGGGTTCTTCGTCGTGCGCGCAGAGGTGTGTAGTGAAATGAGGAAGGAATGCTCAGTGGGATTGACGCGTGAGAACACAGGTCAGAACTGCTGACATGACTGACCTGCCATTCCCTCCCACGCCTGGTGCTAATTATCACTTAGTGGGCGAACTAATGCAGGTAAGCGTGTCGTTGTTCATCCCATCTTGATTTCGTTTGCTCACATATGGGCGGCCAGGTCATGCCATTCCAGAGGGGTGGCTTCATGACCCAGGACGACGCCAGACCACGTTTGTTCGCTACTGGAAGCCCTTCCAACATCAATCTGGACGAACTATATTTCTCTTTCGTACCCTCTCCTCATGCTTCCTCCGCGTTACCCCTCGTTCAAGTCTTCACAACTGTTAGCAACCGCCAGCGACGGAGGGATACTCTGCTTCCCCTGCTTAGAGACTCATGCTACGTCGACGTCGAAGGCTTCATCTCCAGCATTCAAGAGGATGAGAACTTCGGCAACCTCACTCGCCTCGACTTGGAGTTCGTACGTGCAACGAAAAGTTCGGCAGCTCCTGTGGTTGCTCTTCGCACGACACGTAAGTGGAGGTCTTCCAAACCATTTGCATCGTTGTGACGCCCGTCCAAAGAAGCCAATTGGTCCGCTTGCTACTCCGCACAAGCAGCCAGGAAGGGTGTTATGTGCTGTGCTCCATTGCGCCCGGCGCAACCTGTCGTGGCGGGCAGGAAGCGTAAGCTGGCTTCAGATTAAACATATACTGCATTTTGATCCTCTCATTGGGCCTCATTCTTCCGCATCTTGCTTCTTGGGACACTCTACGAATACCCTGCGCCACCACAATCCTAATCCGACAATCTTGTTTCTTGGGCCATCGCATGCATTACCACATACTGCCAACCTGTACATCATCGCTATCACTATCTCTTGACTATGCGCTATGCTTTCTGTCTGCAATATATATTGTGGTTCTATTCGACCTTTCATCAACCTGGAGGACCGAACTTCCAAGTGATTCCAATCCGTTCAAGGACGCGCTCTTTGTCCTCCTTTAGTCATTCCTGATCATGACATGGCGTCCCCTGCCGATACGTCCGGCGCCTTCGGAACGAGCTACACGACGTTTGCCGATCCGCACAGGGCCCGCCTCTTGTCTACTCCCACCTCGATTGCGCTCTTCGTATATAAGACGTTCAGCGTCTGAAGCGGCTCCGACCGCGTTCCCCTGTAACTTGTACTCTTCACCCCGCATTCTGTGACGCATCGCATACGACGAGACCACCATCATGCTCTCGCATTATGGCTCAGTCGATCTAAGGAAGCTCGGCGCCTGGGGACCCGTCACTGCGACGCTGGACTGGTGCGAGGTGCGACGCATGCCCCCTCCCCCCTCCTGCCTTACTAACACCCAATCTCCTCCCCCAAGCCGAACCACATGTTCTCCCACTACATCGCCGAGGTCGCCAACTCCTTCTCCAACTTCTATACGATCTTCCTCGCCGTCTACGGCGCGTCAATAGCAATCCGCGAGCGCCTACCCCACCGTTTCTTGATCGGGTACTGTGTACGTCCCCCTTCCCCGCGTATGACGCGTGGGCGCTTAATTATCCCTTCCCCGCAGGGTGTCGCCATGGTGGGCATTGGCAGCTTCATCTTCCACTCTACGTTGCTTTGGGAGGCTCAGCTTGCCGATGAGCTCCCGATGATCTACGTTGCGTCTTACAGTGTCTGGTCCTTGGGCGATGACCAGCATGGCTTCAACGCCAACACGCCCCGCATACGATTGCAATCTCTTGCACTTGTAGCTTTTGACGTGCTGTTCACCTGGGGCTAGTGAGTTGATTGATCCTCCCCCTCCCCGTCGCGTTATCTAACATATGTTCCTAGCTACCTTTATCGCAATCCCGTCTACCATCAAGTAGTTTTCGCAACACTCATGATCATCGTCGGCTACCGCACTGCGTACCTGCTTTACTGGTCGCCGCGCTCACCGCAAATACCTGACAAGAAGAAGAAAGTCATCACGAGAATATATCTGACTGGCGTGCTGCAGTTTCTCTTCGGTTTCTTCGTCTGGAACCTGGATAACATATTTTGTGGCACCCTTACGAAGTGGAAATTCAACATCGGATGGCCCTTAGCCTTCTTGTTAGAAGGTAAGGCAAAGTCATGGCTCGGACATGGATATCTGGCTAACATCCGCTTCAGGTCATTCATGGTGGCATGTCTTCACTGTGAGTACAGCGCGTCCTGAGCAAGGCATGAGCTGACAACGCATTCAGGCCCTCGGCACGTACTATATGTTCGTGGGGGTCATGCGTAAGTCTCCCTTCGACTCAAGCTATATCCTCGCCTTGACGACGCCTCCTAGTTATCGCCTTGGGTATCAAGGATGACCACCGCAATTACATTCTGACTCGCAAGCTCGGCTTGCCGATGGTTGTACGCGCCCCTGCACGACAAGACTGATAGAGGTATTGTTGTACTATACTGAGTTGGGATTACAGTCGTATACGCGCAATAGATGCACTGGCAATTACAACGCGTAGGGATTTCGTCGCGTACGTGTGGTAAGGTAATGCAGATGGTAAAGACAGTCCGAAAACCTATATTGGCTCCCCAACGGACCACTTCTGATAATCGACGACGGCGACACCGTCCTCTGCACCGTCCGATAGTCCCTTCAGCTCCGCCCACTTCTGTAATGCCTGCCCGACAGGGAGCCCGGAGAGGTCTCCACCGATCATGAATGGTTGGTTGTAAAGCGCAGTCTCCTGGCCCTCGCCCCGTAGACTTGTCGTCTCGAAGCCGACAATTTGGCGCGCAACGGCGAGCTCGAGGCCCTCCAGGTCCTTCACGAAGGCCTCGTCAGCGAGAAGCTGCGCAAGCTTTGGTGACTTCAGTGCAAGAAGTGCCAATGAGCCTATCCGGCCTTGAGACTTGTCGCTGATGGAACCATGGAGGTAGGAGGCGAGGCGCATTCCGAGGTGGGTCTCCTTCGGTGCTGGGTTGTGTACAGCGGCAGCGACGCGGCGCAGTGTGATATTTTCTCCCGTCTTCGTGATGACTTCACGGATAGCCTGCGCGACAGTCTGTGTCGCCTGTGCGTTTGGGTTCGAGGGGGAGAGGATGGGGGCTTCCTGGAGAATGTCGATCGAGCATGGACGGATGAGGCTGCCGCCCTCCTCTCCGTTGGGCTCAGTAATGAAGGCAGCCGTGTGCGCAATGTCCGAGGCAAGCTTGCCAAAGAGGGGGTTGCGTCCGACGAAATCCGTCTCGCAGTTGAGCTCGATCATTGCCCCCCGCACCCCACCGCCAACGCCTGCGCCTCCCCCGCGCGACAGGATAGAGACGGAGACCAGTCCGTTTGACGCCTCGCGGTCGGCAACTTTGGCGGCCTTCTTAGCTCCGGAAACCTCGAGGTCCTTCGCGAGCCATTCGAGGGCGCCGTCCACATCGTTGCCGGCAGCGGCGAGCGCTTCACGGGCCTTCGAGATCGAGACCTCCGTACGCTTGCGAAGCTCAGCGACAAGCTGTAATGACGGCTTGCCCGGCGCAGTTGAGTAGCGCCGGAAAGCAACGGGCGTCTGGGAACGGAGGGCGCTAAGCATCGTGGACGTCGTCGGCGGCGGTGGGGAGAGCAAAAGTTCTGAGCGGGCCGGACTCCGTTCTGCACCGACGCGACGCGCGCGGTCACGCGTGACGATCGGCGCGCTAATTCCGGAAAAGGAAGGCATTATGGTTTTTGTGCTTCCGCGCCATCATGGAGTTCGCCGTGCCGTCCACCGTCCCGCAGGATCTGCAGCTCATTCAGGATATCGTGGGGGACATGCCAGAGGCCAAGGCCGCAGACTCTGCTCCTGTAGCCAAAGCCGAACATCAGGAAGACTCCATCGAAAGCTCAGGAAGCGAGGACGAGGGAGAGAAGGCAGAGAAGTCGGTCGTAGCAGAACCCAAACCAGATGCGTATGTGAACCATTCGTGCAGCGATTACGGACGCTTACCGTACGCATGCAGTCCTGACGACTCGACATCTGACTCTGACAGCGACTCGGACTCGGACACATCGTCTGAAGATGACGCGCAGATCCGAGTGCCCATCAAGGTGGAACCGAACGACGATGATGAGCTCGACGAAGAGGGGGGACCTACCGCTGGCCCTGGAAGCTATCTCACCACCAAAAACGAAGTCGTTGAAGCCGACATCTTGATCCCCTCCATCTCTGCGGTCGAGCCAGATGAACAACTTGAGAAGGTCGGCCAGATCATGAACGTACTGGAGGATGTCGCCATAGTCAGGGGAATCCCTGGAGGCCCCTTCTCGGGCGTCGATCGTGCCCTCGACGCCGACACGCTACTCGTCTTCGAAGATAGGTCTGTATTCGGTCATGTACGTACGGTCTCTCATTCAAGCCTTGCGCGAATGCTAAGCTTTCCTGCAGGTCTACGAGACGTTTGGACCGACCGCACTGCCTATGTATCAAGTCAAGTTCAACAGCAAATATCCCCTCGACCCCGAACGCGTGCGCGTGGATCGTGAAGTCTTCCACGTACCGCAACGCAGTCGCTTCATCTCCATCAGCCAAATCAAGGCCTACAAGGGCAGCGATGCCAGCAACATGCACGATGAGGAACCTGGTGAAGACGAAGTAGAGTTCTCGGATGACGAGGCGGAGGCAGCGTTCAAAGCTGCGAAGAAGAAGAAGCGGTAGGTCGGTCTTCAGCCCTGCATGAGCATGATATCTAACACCCTGTGTAGTCGTGCTTCTTCAAGGGACCCTTCCGTTGGTCCTTCACGTTATGGGACGCCGTCGTCCCGCATGGGTACGCCCGCACCTTCCATGATTCGCGACCAGGACTTAGCCGATGACGCGACATGGGGCGAACCTCTGTACACCGATCCGTACGAAGACGCTCGGGCGTCGACTTCCCGGACTGCGTCCCTCTCCTACGACGACGCGTATGCCGACTACGTACCCGCTCAGGCCGAAGAAGTTTCACGGCCTTCCGCCAGTCCCGCGCCGTCATCGTCTGGCCGCAGCGAAGCAGACGCGCTCAGGCCAGCGTATATGCCGCGACGGGGGCGCGGGCGGGGCAGAGGGGCAGGCGGGCCGCCCTCAGCTGTGCGGGGCGGGTGGTCAGGAGCGCAACAAGCGTACAGCGCCCACGACTCGCTTCAAGGTGGCTATTCCAACCCAGCTGCCTTCACACCAGGCATGGCAGGAGCGTATGCCAACGGATGGAATCCAGCTGCCTCTCCGATGCAACAGTCAGCTATGCACGCTCAGCCCATGCAAGGGCAGGCAATGTATGGGGCACCGTTCGTTCAGCCGCACATCAATCCTATGTTCTTCGCTGGAATGGGTGCTGGCTTGCCGCCTCAGCCATTCCCTCAACAAAATAATGGATACGCCTATAACGCGGCCGGCGGCGCTTACAACGGTGGCTTCAACCAGGGTCAGGCGTCGTATGGCGCGTTCGGACAACATCAACAGCAGCAACCACAGCAACAAAACCCTCCACAAAACTGGGCAGATCAATGGTCGGTCCCAATGAATGGGACGCCGCAGGGGGGTGGCGGTCAATCCTGATTCTGATTCCTGAACGTCGTCATGTCTTCTTGGCCATGTTCTTAGCACACGCCTTCACTAGGCTTCCGTCTTCCTGTCTACCCTCGTCGTCATCCTCAATATCACTTCTTTGGATGACCTTTCCATCAATGACACGGCTGCTCAGGCTGGCGCTTGAAATCGGAGTCTAGCGGGCAAGACATGGGGGGATTAGAGCGCGTCTGCCTAGGATTTTACACGAAAATTACAGAAAAAGCAATGTTTTTTCACGAAAATCCTGGAGGAAGCACAATGATATCCACGATGATCTCATAGGTATTCGGAGAATATCTTAGCGGCGAGGTCAGCGCTGAGCATGCTCTATAGCGTCTCGTATCCTTTATGCGCCCCCGAAGCGTGGTGGGATGGGTCCACACAGAGGCCGCTCACCTCCCTGAGTAATCTGGAGGACAAGAGCGCGTTTCTCGTTGCGGGGCGCGAGCGGGAGAGACCCACCGTGGGTCTTGATGTCATTTCGAGGTGGAAATTCTTTGGGGCCTTCGAAAGATTTGACGCGTTCTCAAAGATTTTATGGACAATCCTACTCGACATTGAATTTGAAATAGGGCCTAAAAATCCTAGGCAGACGCGCTCTATTGGCTGGAGGTACCATCGCGGCGCAATCCACTCGCTTGGAGTTAGCGCCGTTGCGATGCTGCATTCATTCCCCAGCCACTGTTGAGATGCCCGCAAACACCGAAGTTACGTGGGTCAAGGCGCACACGATGCGTGGCGCGTCCGCTTGTTCAGAAGGCAAATGTGCCGTAAGCTGTCTCTTCAGCGCGACGATGCTGATCTTCCATGGCCCAATCAGCTGGGATCCCTGGGAAGCTCGCCAGTTTTCAATTGATGGGTTAGGTCTCATGCGTCCCGGGGTCCGCTCTGAATACAACTTTCTCATGTGCAGGGTGTCGGCAGTGGGCGCTCGCTGCCCACCCCTAATGCAGATATATAAAGCTCGTGATCTGCGATGAGTGACTGGTTCCCCTTCCCCTTCGTCGCTTTCGCTCGCTTACATTCCCGCGCGGGGGACAGTCGAAGAACTCGTAAACCCGGTGTCTACAAGTCCTTCAATATGTCGACGCCGAATCCGGCTGAGGTCGCGTACGTATCATCCTCCTGTCCCTCTGCAGCAGGGGAACGCTCACGCCGATCGCTAGCCATGGGCCCATGATCTTGGGGACGTTCTTCAATATTCTGCTGTACGGAATCTCGATCACGCAGACGTGCGTCCTCGCCCAGCTTCGTCCCTCTCCCTTCTCATCCAGCTCAGGTACATTTACTGGAATACCTACAAGAACAAGTACGTCTCTTTGCCAAGCCTCTGTCCGCTGACACTCATGCGTGCCACAGGGACCCCCGCTTCATCCGGTTCTTTGTGAGCATTCCAGCATGCCTTTTGAGCAGGCTATTCAACTTGTCGTATAGGTCTTGTTCCTATTCGTCGGGGACACCTTGCACACAGCGTTCACGATGGCGTACATGTACATAAGTCTCATCAAGCATTTCGGTATGTCGGCCGCCCTCCAGCGCTTGGCCACCGCTCACGCGTCGTCGCAGGCGACGCGAATTACCTCGCTACTGCGACTTGGGTATTTTCGACGGGTGAGTGATTCTCTTCTCAGATCGAAGGCTTCGTCTGATTGGAACTTTCACCGCAGACCCCGCGCTCACGGGCATCATCGGTGGCTCCGTCCAGATGTTCTTCGCGTACGCACCTGCATTCTCACTTCGATGACTTCGCTCAACTGCTTCCTCACCCTTCAGCTGGCGCGTGAAGCTCGTACGCCCGGGTCGCTCGCTCAAATCGACTTGCCACTGACGCGTTCCCCTCAGCTCACCGGGAACATTATCGTTGCTTTGATCATCGCCGTCTTGTCCGTTGCGACGATTCGTGCGTCATGAGTAATCATCCCGAATACCCACCACTCACAATTTCACAGTCTGTGGTATCGCCACGTCTATCGGATGCGGGATCGTCATGTACTTCGTCGAGTTCCAGAAGTTCTCCGTCGTGGTCATTATTTGTGCGTCTATCGCGAAGTGCTGCTCGCTCTCAACGTTTGACGAGTGTACAGGGCTTGTGGGATCGTCCGTGTCGGATATTCTCATCACTGGAAGCCTGGTGTTCCACCTTGTAAGTCTATGCGTTGACTATGTTTCACGGGTATTCATCGCATACCGCAGCGCAATCACAAAACCGGCTTCAAGTCTACGGATACGCGTGTAGACAAAATCATTCGCCGTACGTACCTTGTTGCGCTTCGGTGACCTCCCTTGCTAAGACTCGATTGCAGTGACTGTGCAGACCGGTAAGCTTCTTTACTGCATCAAGTGCTATAGGGACTAAAGCGAACTTTGAAGGCATGATTACCTGCATCTGGGCGTGAGTGGTTTCATCATGTCCTCCTTCGACGTCCGTCTGACCCTCATATAGGTTTGCTGATCTGCTCGTGTACCTGCTGGACCCTGTACCATGGTAAGGGCTTCCTTTGAGGCGTTTCCGCACATGCAACTGACGTTTTCGTCTGCAGGCATCTCCTTCTCAACTTCCCGCTCTCCAAGCTGTACACGAACTCGCTCATGTCCAGCTTGAATAGCCGGAGAGGATGGAACTACAGCGAGAGCAGGAACGACACCTCCCAGCCCGTTTCAACCGGAGAGCGTGCGCGCAGGGTATGTTACGAGGACATAGTGTCTGACATGCTGCTAAATGCAATTCCAGGACGTCGTCAATCTCAGCGCTTCGAGGCCGGAGGTAAATCCCTTGCCCTCTTCGAAGCTCGTCAGGAGGTTGACGAGAATTAGGTCTTCGTCCAGGTCGAGTCGCACGAGATGGTCGACCAGACGGACACGAAGCGCGGCGAAGATTGGCAGTACGATTCACAGCACAAGCATAGCCCGGCTATCGCATAGATTTCCTTTCGTTTACCCTGTTCATTTTTATAACTGGCATACAGACTGCTGTCCATCCGTGTTAATCCGCGTTGTAATTTCAGAGGTCAAGGTTAGAGATCGCGTTTTTTGTGCTCGAGATCATCGGAAAGCGCTTGAGTACCAGATGTTGCCGGAGCAGAGCTGGTATGTAGGGCACAGGCAGTTGTGGGCGCTTGGCGGCAATTGCCGAGGATATGCTTTCCGTATCTAGGCATTCTTGTTCTTGAGCACTTATCGTCCTGTGCAAGGGCAGGTCACAATCGTGCTGTCCCGAAGTCTGGTAGCGTATTATACGTTACAATTTGAGAGCCTCGCGCCTTGGCTAAATGGCCTCCTGTGCCAATATGATGGTCGACGATCGTCCTTGCGACCTCCCCGAGTCGTCGCAAGCCCCAGAGGATCGTCAGGGTGAACCGAATCCGTACGAATGGAACGACAAGGCACACCGCGAGGCCACCGTCGTGGCAATGATTGAGATGGGCATTTCAAGCGCAGCCAGTCACATCCTATGTGTGGGTTGCCCGTAGGCCTGTAGTGTGCCGATAAATTATGGATGGCTAGAGTACATGATGATGGTACAGGTGCGAGAGAGCAAGCAACAAAGGCCCAGAAATGTCTATGACGTGCCATTTACACCTCCTGGCTGGCGTCCTCCTTCTTGCCCTTGCCGCTCTTTGATGGGAGGAGCTCGGCCTGGATGTGGGGGACGACACCACCCTGCGAGATAACGACGTCGCCGAGAAGCTTGTTCAACCTGCGACACGGTTAGAGACAGAAGAACGGGATGTGAGGGGCGCACGCACTCTTCGTCGTTCCGGATGGCGAGCTGCAAGTGACGGGGAACGATACGCTGCTTCTTGTTGTCGCGCGCTGCGTTGCCTGCCAACTCCAAGATCTCAGCAGCCAAATACTCAAGGACAGCCGCGAGGTAGACTGGGACGCCGGTCAGATCGAAAAACGCGTGTCGAGAGGCTCAGCCACTCACCAGGCGCGCCGGCGCCAACACGTTGGGCGTAGTTGCCCTTCTTCAACAGACGGTGCACACGACCGACCGGGAACTGGAGACCTGAGGGGCGAGTTAGACACTGCTAAGTCACTTGCGTCGAAGCCACACACCAGCCTTGGACGAGCGGGACTGCGCCTTGCCAGAGTCGGCCGCGCCAGCCTTGCCACCAGCCTTGCCGCCCTTTCCGCCGACTTTGCCAGACATTGTGATGGGTGTTGTGGGGGTGGGTGGGTAAAGTCGAGAAAGTGGTTGTGTTGAGGGCGCGAGGGCGAGATGGACGTTGAGGAAAAGCAGCGATCGTCGCGGGCACCGGATATATATACCGCGGGACGATCACGTGCGTGCGCCAATCGACTTTTGTTGATGCGCATCAACAAAGGATCACGTCCGTGCGCAAACGAGGACAAACGCGTCGCGTCGGTATATAACCCGGCCGCCCGTCGTTTTCGTCTCTTCCCATCTTTGCCCCCAACCGCCACATCGCGTCCCCCACGCCCACCTACCCAACTTTAACCCTTCGCCATGGCCCCCAAGCCCGCATCGACTGCCGGAAAGGCACCCGCATCCACCGCGTCCAAGGCGCCAGCCAAGGCGGAGAAGGCGGCGAAGAAGACGGCGTCCAAGTCTGCACCGTCTGGGGGAGCTGACGGGGAGAAGAAGAAGCGCAAGAAGACGCGCAAGGAGACCTACTCTTCCTACATCTACAAGGGTGAGTGGCAGTGGCTGCGATAGCTGTTTCCCATCTGACGCGCCTGCAGTCCTTAAGCAGGTCCACCCCGACACGGGTATCTCGAACAAGGCGATGGCCATCCTGAACTCGTTTGTCAACGATATCTTTGAGCGGATCGCCACCGAGGCATCCAGTGCGTGTCCCCCTCTCCTCTCCCTCTGAACCAGTCGCTGACTCGCCCTCCAGAGCTCGCCGCGTACTCGAAGAAGTCGACGATCTCATCACGCGAAATCCAGACGTCTGTGCGGCTCATCCTCCCCGGTGAGCTCGCCAAGCACGCCATCTCTGAGGGCACCAAGTCGGTGACCAAGGTGCGTCACGCTCTTTCCCTCCCGACCCTGCGCCCTCTGACGATCTTGTGCAGTTCTCTTCGCAGGGTGCCAAGTAGTGGCATTTCCTTGGGATCTATCTTCCGGTCTTCTGTACATTAGCTGTATTGTATTCCTATCTTATTGCGCCTGCCACTGCTACGCCATGCTTTATATCCCTCATCCGAGTGCGACCCCCTCCGTCTCAGTCCCCTTCTCCCTCTGAACTCAGTGACGTTGCCGGTGCTTGCAGCTCACAGGACGAAGGCTGCGCACAGCACAATGAGTATCGTGGGAACTTACCAGTCCCTTGACCTTTACCTCATGCCTACATCCGCGTTTTTGCAACGCTCACGTCGGTGTACCGACGTTCGTAGGTGCGCGATCTCGCCTTACACTTTCGTCAGAAGATGTTGCTCAATAACATGCAGCGACCGTACGATCGGCCTACGAGCCTTCACTGAGTAATCGCACAATGCCTATCGCCGCTCTCCGCAATGCCCTGTCCTCCATCGCCCAATACCCCAGCTTCACCCAGGCTCAGAAGCTGAAGGCCTGTCGTGACATGGAAAAGGTTCTCAGACAACCTCGCGTCTTCCACGATCTCGCTCGGGACCCGGAAGCATTGGTGAAGGAATACAAGATTCGGCTCCCCGTCAATATGTTGTTGTTGCCTGGACCATTTCGCGACGCGCACATAACTCTGGCGCACACGAATCTCCTGCTTATCATGGCAGCAGACTCACCTGCGATCCTCGATATAATCATTCGCGCGTACCCGAGCACTTGGCGGTGGATCGTTTTCTTCCATCCTAGGTTCGGAAACACCATCCGCAACGCGATGGAGGATGTGCAGATTGTGGAACGGGCCATCACCTCCCTGGGCGTGTTCCCGCAAGGTCGCGAAGTCATACGCAGTATGCCAGACGGCTTCTATCTCCTCTTCGACATATGGATCAACCTCTTCGACTATGCGCCCCCGTCAGCCGTCACTAAAGAGTGGCCGGAGCTGGAAGAATGCGACCGGTCCCTTGGCACCATCATTCGCTCCTTCTTCGATGACATCCCCGGCAAACCAGCAGAGAAGCGAAACAATCTCGACGCTATCATGCTCATGGAGGCCGCGCTCGCTACGACGGATGGCAACATCCGCAAACTACACCGGAAGGCCCTAAACGACAGACTACGCCCTTTCATAGCTAGAAAGCCCATCCCTATCGAAGAGCTCGGACTCGCTCTCTCCTCGACCCAAGCTATCCTCACCGGTCTCAACATAAATCGGACTGCCCCACTGCCTCGCGATGTTGTCTACACCATCGTCGACGCCTGGAAGGCCATTTCCAATGGACCCTACACCAGCCTCGTCCGCAAAGCCAGCGAGCACTTCGCGACTATATTGGTAGAATTCTACGAGCGTGCGTCTGACGTGCGGCAGCTGGCTTGGGCTGTTCGGGCGGGCGCTGTACCTCTCATTCTGCAGCTCGTTCGGACGCGGGGGCCCAGGGACGATATCAACGGCCCTTTCCTGCTGCAATACTTGCGTGCGCATATGATCTACCGTAACTTTATGCGCGTCCTTCACCGATACGCGGGACCTATCATGATCCTTAGGAAGGACGACCCGGTGCCCGTGCGCGCGTGCATTACGGAGTACCAGGAGAACGTCAAGCGGCTTGATCAAGTCAAGGCATGGATGCAGTCGCTCTCCTGCCACAATCCGGAGGTGCGTAAGAGCAATCCAGCCGCTTCGTTATCTTCGAAGCTTACACTACTCAGTGTCCTTCAACCGGCTCGCCGTCAACCCTCAAGAAGTGCGCTGACTGTCGGTCAGTGTTCTACTGCTCCGAAGAGTGTCAAGCGCAGCACTGGAAAGCTGAACATCATCGGTCCTGTGGCGCCTCAGACTGTAAGCCATCTTACTCGAGTTCCCATGGCCCGCCTTGCTAACATTATCGTAGCCAAGCCTGAATACTTCACCCCAGCGGACTTCCAGTACACGACCGCCATCACCAAGAAGTACCTCATCAAGATGCGGAACACCATCCTCGCGCAGGTCGCCAGCGTCCAGAATGCACCTTCCTTCGACCCCGCCACCGAGGCCGTCATGGTTGTGCTCGACTTCGCCAGCCTGAACCTCGGCGGCAGCTTGGAGGTTCCCCAAGAGCCGGGGATTGGGGCGACGGCCATCGCTGCCAACTTCCGGAAGTTCAACGAGCGGGAGAGGAAAGTGGGCTTCCTGCAGGTCGTGCTTCCCGATGGCTCTGGGGTTGAGGAGGGCGTTGGAATTTATATGCGAACCGCGCCCTTTGACTTCGAGCGGTTCAAGGAGGGAGAGATGCCTTCCTTCTTGCTGTATACGCCGGCATTGTACCAACATCTCAAATAGCATCGTGATCGTTACGCAGCTAATCAAGGCGCTTACTACATACCCCATTGTCCCCGTACCTGCACGATCTGCAACCCGACCGTAGAAGGGTGTCAACGTACTTAATTTCTAGTCGCGCGTTGCTCGTACGGATACCAAACAGTGAAGACGAAAAGGGCTGCTCATTGGGAGGACCCGCACACGAATGCACCATATTCCGCGCAATATGCTCAGAAGACGTTCTCAGTAGCAGGAGGTAGCTTGTCCGCTGAGATTTTTGCCCGGAGGAACGATAGTCCAATCATGAACCTATTCCTTCTATTGCTTGAGAGCGATGCAGTCTATCTATACATTGGAAAGCAAGCCGTAATGTCGTGATGTGTATTTCTACTTTGCCTCTGCCTTGATTATATCGGCAGCTGAAGCGCGAGTTAGCACAACGCAGAGTAGAACATCGTCTGACTTACCCTTCTCGGCGACAGCGTAGACAGTAGAGAGAGGGTGAGCAGCGAAGTTGATGGGGAAGATGGAGAGGTCGACGCAGCGGATGTTCGAAGTCCCGTACACCTAGGAACGTGTGAGCACAAGCTCGTCACGCCAGGTATAGACCCTACCTTCAGCGAGGTGTCGACGCAGCCACCCTTCTCCCGCGGCAGCATAGACAAGCAACTGGAGGTATGATACGTCGTAGCGGAGTACTTCTTCAGCCAGTCTGCACAATGTTTAGCAATCGAGCCGCTGAGCAAACGACCGCGATACGCACCTCCAATCTCTTCGTCGGTCTGCTTCTCAGGGCCGGGGTTGACCTCAACCAACTTGCCATCCTTCTTGGCAAGCTTGCTTCTGAGCGGCTCGCTGTTCGCGACCTTGCGCGCCCAGCGGACCATGTCGATGAAGGTCTTGGTATCGATGTCGTGCTCCCAGTAGTGCGGGTCGTACTCGGGGTGTATCTTGGGGTCGTTCGTGGTGGAGTGCTGGGACGAATGTCAGCACTGTCGCTCACGAGTAATCGAACCATTACGCACAATTGTCCCGCGCGAGAATAGGTGGTTCGTAGCCAAGACCCACGACATGTACCGCTTGCCAGGCGCCGGAGGGTCTGGATGAAGTGTTAGCTCGAGAGCTCCAACGAATCGCAGAGCCTATCACTCACTCGGGAAGCTCAAGAACCCAGGGAACACGATGAACTCGCAGCAAGGCCCCTTGCGCTCCAGACGATCCAAGTGACGCTCGTACTGATCCTCGAGGGTCTTGTTGATCTTGCCTTCCTCCTTCAGCTGCTTGATGTATGCGCGGGCGTTGTCAAAGACCTCCGGCGCACGGTCGGACAGATCGTCAAGGGGCTTGAAGACGAAGGTCGTGAAGCCCATAGTGAGGACGCCCTTGCCCTGCGCACTGAAAAGATCGTTAGCAAGCAAGATGGATAGTAGACAAAGGCAAACACACAAGAGCTCCTTGTGACGCGAGGCCTGTACCTCATCACGGAGGAGGTCGAACGTCTCGTCGGGCTCATTCTCGTCAAGTTCTGTCTCTTTGTCAGATAACTGACGCGTGTGCACAGCGAAAAATGCATACCGAAAGTGATGCCCGTGTACAGGTGCTCCTGGACATTCTCACCCACCCCCTCCAGGTCGACCTTAAGCGGAACGCCGATCTTCCGCAACACATCTCGACGTCCAATACCCGACAATTCAACTAAAAACAGGTCAGACTCACGCCACTACCCAACCTCTCTTCGCTTACGGAGTTGCGGGGACTTCAGTGCGCTTGACGAAAGGCTCAGCGACGGCGGGCGATACGCGAGGACAGGGACACATACCCTGCGGCGAGGATCACCTCCTTCTTCGCCCTCACGAGATACTTCCTATGGAAATTCTCGGGATCGCCGTGGGCAAATTCAACTGCCGTCGCGGTGACTACGCCTCCCTTCGGGTTAGTGGTGACGATCTTGGTGGCGTATGCGGTGAGGAGCACGGTCAGGTTGGGACGGTCCTTGTTGGGGTAGAAGTACTCGTTCGCGGCATACGAACGGTGGTTCTTGGCGGGGTCGAGCGCATTCGGGCCGAGATACATGCCCGACGTGTCGCCATTGCTCTGCAAGGGCGGGTCAGCATGTGGCAGTCAGCTGTTGTTACGAACGACTCACCGGGTTCCTCGAGGGCTCGATACCGAGTCTACGGTACGTCTGCGAGGGCGAGGTGAGACACGCGCTTGGATACCTTTAAACGCGTTGTTACGCACCTCGGCAACCTTGATATCAATGTCTGATAGCGTAGCCGGATGGGCAACCTTGATAGGTCCTATAGCATTGGAGTCAGCGACGATGAGTCTTACTAGCGTCGTCTACTTACCGTTGCCGAACCCTGACGCCCACAACTGCTTGTAGTGGTCGCCGCGCTTGAACAGCTCCTGATCGGAAAGCTTGGAGGGGATGAACGTCGAAGCCTTCTCGTAGTACTTCTCAAGCTCGTCCCAATTCCAGCCAGCGTTGCCAAGGACCTCCCAGTCGTCGATATCTTGCCTCGGCGGCTTCGTCCAGCAGGAGAAGTTGATGGCGGAGCTGCCACCAAGGCCTTTGCCACGGTTCCACGCGGTGACATTGTTCCCACCGTACTTTTGAGGGACCTACCAGACGATGACACGGATCAGCATCAGAATTGAGCAGTTGCAAGATCAGAACATATGATGATGGACGGATCGGCGGGAACGTGCAACGCATAGTGATGAAAGGGAGGGTGGCCATAGCTGTGGATAACGGCTAAATGGGAACGGACGTACAGTCTTGAAGCCCCAGTCGTACTTATCCTGGCCAAAGTGAGACGCGTAAAGCGCGGTCTGCAGGATGTTGGGGTCGTCGACATGGTCTTGGCCCGCCTCCAGGACGAGAATAGACTTGTTCGAATCCTCGCTCAAGCGTGTGGCGACCGTAAGACCGGCGGTCTATAGCGCGTTAGTCATGTCTTCTCTTCATGTTCTGCATCTATCGGGGCTTACCCCGCCGCCTTAGGAAGCGTGTTAGTCTATGGCTAGTGAATAGGCAACACGAACGTACCAATGATGACATAGTCAAAGGACTTGTCGGCAACCTGATCGAGCTCGACGATGGGCATGTTGGGAGTTCTTGGAGGATAGAGAAGGGCCTTGCGAGGAGGCTACTCACCTCTTATATAGTCCGTTTCGTTGAGGGGTGGGGGGCCAATCACCGTGAGCTCCCTGTGATCACTTCGCGATGGGAGAAGCACAGGGTTCGGTGCCTCGGGTCTACCTTTTTCTGTCATCTGTTGGACATGCGCAGACACGCCGGACCGCGTAGACAATGCGAAGACCGGGGTGGATTCTGTTCCGCGACGATTCAGGAGGGGATGGAATACAAAGCGGCTCAATCATTGAATAGGGCACTCTCTGATGCTTCCATCAGAGTGGCAGCTGCGTTTCTATTGCGTGCCCCTCTTTGACAGCAACAATGTCGACGGGCGGGAGAGGTCGCCGAGATCGAGACGCCACCGCTGGGCGAGTGGTGGGCTGGCGATGGTCGTTAGGGCATAGACTGGTACAGATTTCCGATTCCGAGGGGTAGATGTTGCGGCCTTCCCAGAGACCGAGGGGACGGGTCGGACTCTGTGTGTGTGTCGGTGGCGTGCCACGTGCGCAGCACGTGCTCATAGTTCAACTTCGCGCGCGCTGGCGAGCGACCGCCGTCTTGGCGATCCCTAACATTTCGCACGATCTACCGGTACACCGCAAGTGAATACGCATGTGAATATGTCCAATTTCTGCCACTGATGGGTTTTTGGAGTTCAGGTTCGCGCGCTGCGCCATCAGGAAAACAACATGCTCACCTCTTCTTCCACTCCAGCCTCGCAGGCGGCGCGAGCTTGACGTACCGATGATTGAGGCGGCGGCCTTGGCTTCGCAGCTACAACTCTTGAAACTCTGTACGACGATAGTCATTCGCAAAGTCCACGAGCTATGCGTTTTCCTGCCCGCTGGCGGCCTCGAACATGTATCCTGAAAAAGGTCGGCTATAAGGACAGGTATTTAGCTCCCAATCGTATCTCGCTTGCTCAAGACCAACACCCTGACCGCTCCGCAATCATGCCTCCGCCTTCAGATCATCCATGCCTGCACCTCCAGGCCGTTGACGTCCCTTTCTACACCGTCAAATACGACCCTGCAGACGGGGTGCCGCCCTGGGTTAGCGAGCGGCTGGTCCAGAACAGCAAGCAGTTCTTCTCCGTCACGAAAACGTATGACGAGATCTCGGTCGCGTTCGAGGACTTTGAGGGTGTGCCGGATATCAGCAAGGCGGAGGAGTGGCGGGCTATCAAGATCGCAGGCCCGATGGAGTTTGGTGAGCGTGTCTGCATCACTGTACGGCGCCCGTCCTGCGAAGGCTGATCTTGAACAATAGAGCGCGTCTGCCTAGGATTTTTAGGCCCTATTTGAAATTCAACGCTGAGTAGGATTCTCCATAAAATCTTTGGGAACGCGCGAAATCTTTTGAAGACCTCAAAGAACTTACGCCTCAGAATGACATCACGACCCGCGGTGAGTCCTTCCCGCTCGCTCTCCGCAGCGAGAAATGCGGTCTTGCCCTTTAGATCGCGCAGGGGGGTGGGTAACCCTCGTATGGACCCATCCCACCGCGCATTGGGGGCGCATGGTGTATACGAGACGCTATAGAACACATTCAGCACTGACCTCGCCACTAAGATATTCTTCAAACATTATGAGATCATTGTGGATATTATTGTGCTTCTTACAGGCTTTTCGTGAAAAATCATCGTGTAAAATCCTAGGCAGACGCGCTCTAATACGCGCAGATCTAGTGGGGGTTGTAAGTGAATTCACAGAGGCTTTGAAGAAGGCCAAGATCGGCGTCTATGTTGTGTCAACATGGTGGGTATATATGCTGGCTTACGAGAAGGCGTTGTCATGCTCATCGACGGTGCAGGAACACCGACTGGATCCTCATCCCTGCGGCGAAATTCCAAGAGGCTCAGGTCGCGTTGAAGAGCGATGGCTGGAGATTTAAGGAATAGATTGTGCTTCGGGTAGATAGGCAGCAGATCTGTCGCACTTGACATATCGAGACAATGGAGACAATGGCGGGCGCAGCTGGGTACAGACGGGCGAAGGTGTGAAAATGCCGACACGGTGGCGGCATCGGCCGGCCGGCGACCGGCCCCCAGCGCTCAGGCGTCGAGCAGCATTCCCCACCGCGCCCTCGTTGTCTGCGACGGTCGCCGGTCCTGAAAACGTTGTGCAGGCACCCCCCTCATCGTCAACCATACTGAGCCCGAAATTTGCCTGATAAACCAAGCGCGATCTGTGACGGCATGGACGCGGCCTCAGCAAGCACGAGCCGCGGTACCCACCAGACGCGCCCGACGCGCATTCAACCCACCCGCACGCGTCGCGGCGTCGTCGGCTTCGGGAACAATGAGATAGACCAGCAGATATTGGACAACATGGAGCGTCGAGGTGCGTTCATAATCATTGCCACCACCGCGTATCATTGACCCCTTGCCAGGGGACGGCGAACCACACATACCCCTCGGTACTGCCTTCTGCTTCACAACGGACGCGGACTTCGTCCCCCCTCCCGATGCGTCGACGAGCACGGGCATCAAGGTCAACTCGCTCGCCAACGAACGCTACTTTGAGCGACCGGAGGTCATCAAGGCATACCGCGAACAGCAAACCATTCAGATACCCGAGTTCGTGCGGATAGACGAGCTACCAGAGGGAAGTAGCCGCTTTCGACCCCGCGCAGATCTGGTGCGCTCAGTCCTTTGTCGTGACCCATGCTGTCCTCAATGACACCGATCCCCAGGGCGACTTCGACTCGGACGCAGTGTATGAGAAGCGACATCGCAAGTACGAAAACTTCGAGAAACGCATCCGCATGCGCGAGAAGGAGAAGCTCAAGCACGAGCAGTACAAGCTCAAGGAGCGTCTTGAGCAGATTCGGGGAATGGATCCGCAGGCCTTCCTCGCGCTCCCTCCGTCTGCATTCACCCCAATTCCGACGGAGTCGGCGGCAAGTGGTGGGGAAGAAGACGAGGAAGTCGCGATCTACGCCAGCGTGCCCGGCGCTCCCGTCAGCGGCGCGAGTCTTCACGAGGGGCAGCGCCGTCGCGCAGAGGTCGTTGCTGCCGCGGAGGAGCTGGCAGAGCGTTATCGCACTCTGCTTGCGCCCGAGAAGAAGAAACACGGCGTCAACAAGGACACACCGGAGACCCTCAGTGCTCGTCCGTCTATTGCACGCACAGAGACTGACGTTCCGCGGACGCCTGTGCCGACTCATCTTAATTGGCCCAAAACCACGCCGTCTTCGGCCAACGTTAGACGCGCCAGTGTCGCCACGGAGGCATCTGAGCCCAATGAAGGCCCTTCTCGGAAACGGCGGAAGGTCGCACCGTCTGAGGTTGCACCTCCTTCGTCACCGGTTACAATCGCTCGCACACCCTCCATCAACGATGGTGTCAGCACGTCACGACCATCGAGTTCAAATTTCTTGCAATCGACCGACTTGTCGACAGTGTCTACGTCCGTACCACCTCCCCCAGCGTCCGCGGTCATCCCCGCATCCCCATCCAATCCTGCCCCGCCTGCATCCACGTCGTCGACCACTTTCGCACCTACCCAAGCCCCACCGCCGACGCCCGTTCGGCCCGCACGTGCGAGAGACGAGGACGCAGCAGAAGGCAGTAGCGGTCGACCAGTGAAGAAGCAGCGAACGGATGCCAACGGTCCCAAGCCGACATCGCACAGAGAGGATAGTCACCCTCCTATCGCAGTCATTTCAGCCGCTCCTGAACCAGCGAAGGAGGTCACCGAGCCTCCCAAGTCTGCTCGGCCTGCATCGGGTCCTCGGCTTATATCCCAGAAGCTGCGCGACGAGAAATCACTCAGTGGGCCTTCCGCCACAGCCATATCACCTGCAGCTACGCCCCATGCTACCTCGACCACGAATGGGAAAGCATCAGCTCGTTCTGCGCACGCTGAGGCGCTCCCATCCGCGGATCTTCCATCCGTATCACGACCAACAACTCCCACCCCGGCGGACGTGCAACCAGGGCCTTCATCCCTCGCTGACGACCGACCATCTACCGACTTGCCGCCTGTCGAGTCGATTTCAGCTGCACTACCAACCACTGGGCGTGGCAGAGGCCGCGGCCGCGGCCGCGGTAGTCGTGGCGGAGGGCGTGGTGGGCGACCCCAGCAACTCACCTCTGCTTCTGCTGTAGATGGCCAGTCCGCGTCCGCCTCTGTACCTCCTGGCCCCTACCGCCCGCCCCCGACGTGCAAAATTGCGATGGCTGCCGGACGGCGCTCGCGCGGCGGGCGGCAGGTGACCGCGTTCGGGAGCAAGGTCGGCAGCACGGTGGAGGCGGACGTTGACTTCGACCTCCCGCCGTGGCTGTGGCCAAGCAAGGAAGAAGTCGACCAGCGTGTGCTTGAGGGGCATCAAGGGCTGCGGGAGTGGTTTGAGGCAAAGGAGAGGGAGGAAGAGGAGGAACGAAAGAAGAGGGAGGAGCGGGAAAGGGAGGCGGAGGACGTCGGTATCGACATTGAGGACGACGACGAGGATCAGGAGCCTGGGCAGGACGATGAAGAACCCATGCCCGTCAAGGAGCGGCAGCCATCCATACCGAGATGGGAGCTCAATCCGGAGGACGAAGGCGAGGACGAGGTGGACGAAATGGATGACGACGACGATGCAGAGACGGTCCGCATCCAGGCGAAGCCGGTGAAGAAGCGCCCCAGGAAAAACGCGAAGGCATCCGCGGCGAATGGGAAGGATCATCCGAAGACCACGAAAGCATCTGGGGCGAGGACGGGCAAGCTGGCCGTGAAAGTGGGCAAGGGCAAGGGCAGGTCGAAGCCACTCCAAAAGCGTATCAAATTGATGTTGACTGGTACGCGGTCGGAGCAGGAGGAGGAGGACGAACTCGAGTCGGAGGAGGATAAGAATCATGAGATATCGCATGATTTCTCTTGACGAGGACCCTTTCCCTCAATATACTTGCTTTCCGTCACTATTGCGAGGAGGGTGTGTATAAGGTCTTTGCACAGGTACGAGTGATTCCATTGCACTGTGCTTCGGAAAGTAAGTACTTCACTCAATGCTAGTTGCCACCGATGCTGTATGAGCCGATTGATTGAAGTGGGACAATCGATACCACATAGAGTCGCGCTGTCTATAGCTATATGAGATGCATGAGGAGGTGGTGATAAGTCGCGATTGTGACTGCAAAATAGGCAGGATCGTTTGTGGCGTACCTCGACTTTGTTCCCCAACTATCATCATCTCTTCGTGTAAGTGCCTCACTGTATGTAAATTGCGCTTCTATGTGGTTTTGCTCACGCATAAATAAGATCCTAGTATCACCCCAGCGCCTATTCCCACCATCTGACCCTCATAGTAGCCTCGCATAGGCGCCCGATGCAGAGACGCGTCGCCTTTTGAACGCCCAACACTCCTATATAAATCTCCTTACCTGCCCCGTACCCCCCATCTCACTCATCTCTATTGTCTTCACCTCATCCTCACCTAAATCATGGCCGGCCTCCCCCCACTCCCCAAGATCGAGGGCGACCTCGAGATCCTCATGGATGTCTTCACGCACGACTCGCTGAAAGAAGACGATGAGCTCACGCACATGAACGACGACTACGGGAACACTGCGCGGCTGCGCGAGATCGGCGAACGTGTCCTCGACCTCGCCGTCACCTTCCACTACTACAGTGACCGCCAGGACGGTGTGCTAGCCGCGGACCAGATCGTGGTGCGTGCGGCCTCACTCTTCGCGTCGTAGAACATGCTGACGTGAACGCGCCAGGCGCGCAGACGAGAGGCACTGTCGGATGACAGGATCAACCATTGGATGGACGCGTACGAGCTCAAGGGCAAGATCAAGGCCGCTCCTTCAGAGCGCCAGGCTGCGCGCTCGAGCCCCGTGCGCGCCCCTTTCCTCAGATCTTCGCGCTTATCCACTGACCCTTCGATCTACAGCAAGTCAACGACTTCTTCAAGAAATATGTTGGCGCCATCTATATCCGCCAGGGCATGGGCGTCATCCAGACCTGGATATCGCGCTTGCTAAACCCCGATGCCGAGCCAGTGCTTCCTCCAGAGGGCCGCGGGACGCCACAGCCCCAACGGCAGGGCTCGCTGCTGCAGGACCGGTCGATGGCTTCGCCGCCGCCGCCTCCTGGAGCCCCGCCACCGATGCCGATGGGCGCACCGCCGGGCAGCTCGCACCCCATGCACGCCAGTGGGAATGGGGTCTCGCTCTCCCTCATGAACCAGACCGCGATGCAGAAGGGCTTTGCCGTCAACTACGAAGCCTCTCAAACGGGCCCGCCACACGCGCCGACCTGGTCTGTTCGCTGTCTGCGTAAGTGCACCATTCGCCGTTACTTTCTTCCGCTCACGTCTTCATTGTAGTCAATGGGACCGAGTACGGCACTGGTACCGGAACATCGCAGAAAAAGGCCAAGGAGCTCGCTGCGCAGGAGGCTTGGGAGCGACTGGGCTGGGGCCGTAAGCTGTATTGATTTCGGGTCCGTGCCACGCACGCCTGACGCGCACCGCAGGCAGCAACTGAGCGTGTCCGTCGTCCGTGTTCCCCGTTCTGACCATCTTGTTGACAGGTTTCCGGCCCCAGTCCCAATGCTCTCATCTGCCCGGCATGTATCTTGACCTCTCGACATGTATCCTGATCTTCCTTGTATATCTCGCATCAGTTGTACCAGTATATAGCAAAACAGGTTGTATTCACAGTGAGGAATACAGGGGGGTCCTCCGTCAGTTACGACAGGTACCAGAAGAGACCATACGCAGCGATGAGGTAGAGGAAGATCTTGAGTTGGGGACTCAGCGGGTCGGATGATCCTGAGGTGGCAGGGGAATCGCCGCCGAGCGTGCGTCCCTGTCCCGCAAAGGCCCCGCCGCTCGCGCCAGCTCCAGACGAGTACTGACGTATGCCAGCCTCCAAAGCGCTGCGTGAAGACTGTCTCAGTATCGAGTAGGGAAGGAGAATGCAAGCACGCACGCTTTGTTGGCTCCCCGGACCTGGTGCACCTTCGTGTGTCCCCTCAGGAAGATGAATGTCGGCCTGAAAGCAGTGAAAGTCAGATTGTCGTACTCAAGAGAAAGTGGGGAGACGACCCACATCGCAGATATGCCATAGTGCCCAGAAACCTCGCGTGCAGCATCAACGTCGCACTTCAGGAAGTTTACGTCCTTGTACTGCTTCGACAGCGCTTCGTAGACTGGCGCAATCGCATGACACGGTCCACACCTAGCCCCGTATCAGCACGAGTGGTCTTGTGCTGAGGGGGGATGGGCAATGCACTGACCAGCTGGCATGGAAGTCGATCACCTGCAGTTCGAGGGAGCGGGGTGAGCGCCAGGCGAGTATCACAAGTTGCAAAGTCTGCGAACCGACAGCTTGTCTTTCGACTTGTCCAAGATTCCATTCAACTGAGAGAGGCTGGTTATGTGGGTGATGGACATGGTGGGGGAGGGTTGAGCGTGTGGCGCGCGCTCACTGGGAACAGATCAATGGTCTCGTCCACGTGGCGCTCGCGCCGCTCACCTCCGCTCAGCCACCCGCTCCTTTCCAGCCCCTATAGAGCTCTGTAGTAACATCATCTTGAGAGCACACATGACCGAGTCCAGCCAACCACATCGGTATACAATAACACTGACCCTCGCCAGCATCAGCATATAGCCATCACGCCTCCTCAGGCCTCTGAAGCCACCAGCGCTTCCAGTAACTTCCCACAGGGGCACAACAATGTCAACGTCAAGGCGGCATAGCCTCCATACCTTCGCCATGCACTCCCTCTCCGAACTGAAGATTCACATGCACCATCCCAGCTGACCGACAAGGGTGGGAGGCAGGAGTGGCCTAGCCCAAACCTGTCAGAGCCGCCTTTCACACGCTCACAGTTCACACTTCAAGAGCTTATAACTTAGGTTGCATGAGTGATAGACAGTAATACAAGACGATACGGGACATGGAGGAAGAGACACGGGGAACGTTGCATGAGCTTAGGCACCTGCAACAGCGAGTTAGCGAAAAGCCATCGAGGATCATTTACTTGACATACCGAAACCGTAGAGCGTCTTGCCGGAACGCTTGAGAGCGTAGACAACGTCGAGGGCAGTGACGGTCTTGCTAAGGGGACGTCAGACAACATGATACTGAGGGGATGCATACAAACTAACCGCTTAGCGTGCTCGGTGTACGTGACGGAGTCGCGAATGACGTTCTCCAAGAAGATCTTGAGGACACCGCGGGTCTCCTCGTAGATGAGACCAGAGATACGCTTCACACCACCACGGCGAGCGAGACGGCGGATAGCCTACGCAAGGCGTTAGCGAAAGGCGAAAGACACGCAAAAAGGCAGAACGCACGGGCTTGGTAATACCCTGAATGTTGTCACGAAGAATCTTGCGGTGGCGCTTGGCACCGCCCTTTCCGAGACCCTACACGACGGCGAGATAAGCTCGACGCACATCCTCAAAAACGCGTGGGGAACGCACCTTTCCACCCTTGCCACGGCCAGACATATCGAGTTTGAAAAGTGAGAGATAAAAGCCTACGCGAGGAGAGTGAGGGGTGGCGTCGACTACGTGCGGTCGAAAGCCAAGTGGTGGTCGAAGACAAGATACACTTCCTAGCGTGACATCGCGCTGGCGTCACATATATAGGCGCGTCGGGATCACGTGCCTAACAACGCGTCCACACGCGTCACGCGTCGCGTCGCGTCCTCGTCAGGCAAGGCAAAGCGTCGTTGACACAAGGATCGTGGCACAAAAGAGGGCATCATTCGACTGTTTTGTTCGTTCGCCATGTTATTGCATTCAAGACATGTGTATGTGTAGTCTTTACGAGTGAGAGGCGTTGGCTACGACTTGTAGATTCGTGCACGTAAATGCGTAGAACGAAAAGGCAACAGAAGGAACGAAGACAAGCCCCTCATGCAACATGCATGGGCTCAACCCTCCGACGCGGCTTGGGACCCAATGGCGTGATCACAACCGAGCTCGGCCGCACCCTCTTCCCATCCTGAGGCGTATGCACCTCCACAGACGCGCGCCGGTTCATGATCTCCGCAAGTTGAGCCCGAGGTATGATATGTCGAGGCATATGAATCGGTGTCGCTGTTGCCTGGTCCTTCGCGGACGACATGCCTATTGTCGCCGTTCCTGGAACAGACACCCCTCGGCGATGACGACGGATCGGCGACGACATCTCAGAGGCCTTGTTCTCCTTCTCCGGACGAGGCGAGCCCATCGTTTCTTCCCCTCGGCCCGTCTTCTTCGTCCCGTGCGACAATGTACGCTTATGCGCCATCCATCCGCCCTTGATGAAGTTGATCGGCCCAGACGGCGTACGCTTGTGTGTCTGTGGCGTCGACATGACGGGCACGACGCGAGGGGCACCAGGCATGGCCGGTACCTCCATCTTCTCTGCGATTAGCTTGGTGGCTACCGTCTTCTTCATGACCTGCATGAGGCCGACCTTCTTCCCCTGCATAGGATGGACAAGCATGGGCGAGCACGAGAACGTGATCGGCGTCAAGGTCTTCTCCCCCGCCATGATCCTCCCAGTCGCATCGTGACGACGGTCGTCGACCATGTAGTCGAAGCGCCACTTGAGCTTTAGCTGATCCCCAGAGGCACCACTGGGGTGGAAGGTCGCCGATTCGCAGCCGTGTATGGTGTAGACGCCGGTCGCCTTGAGACTGAGGTTGGCCTGCCGAGAGATGATATCCCTAGGCGTGCCGTTGTTGGTCATAACGCGGCGGACCACGGGCAGTCCATCCAGAGGCGCATAATGAAAGTGATACGCCTGCCGCTTGACTGGCATGAACTGAACGGCACCGCCTCCAGAGGTAGGGTCATCCGGATCGAGCGAGCGAGCCTGCGCAGAGTACCCTGCAAATCGGAAAGATGGTTCGGCTTCACGAAAACCTTCTTGGTCGATGACGATCTGCAACGAGACGTCTTTGAGCCAGGAGAGCGAGTCAGGCATAGGCGGACGAGGGGCAGGCGATGCCGGAGTCGGGGGCAATGAAGCTTCCGGAGGACCGCGGACAGGCGTTGACTGTGCCTTATCCGAGGGCAGCGGCGCCTCTCGATGACCAGCGACCTCCTGTGCGTCCCGCTGTTGCTTGCCCAGCGTACTGGGGCGCATGTTGTACAGAGCGACCGATCGAGAGAGCGTCGCGCGAGGTGGCGTAGGAGCGGGAGCAGGACAAGAAGACACGGAAGACGTCGACGGCGAAGGCGAGATCGGACGGCCCAGTATGAAGCTGGTCCAAGAGCTGACACGGCGAAGGGTCCCGGTGAGGCTGTCCGTGCTTCGCTGGCTCGGGAGATGCTCGCCACTACAAGCAGGCGACAGGTGACGAGGCGCCAGAGATTCGTTGCTGGGAGCGCGAGATAGCGACCGATTCAGCATATTCATGCTCGGTGTGGGCGACAGAGAACGCGGGGAGCCCGGCGCAGACATCGCCCCATCCCCTCTGGCGGTCGGGTTGTTGCGCGGGCGAGATAGAAGAGTGCCGAAGAACGAGGATTTCATAGGAGAGCTATCACAATGTCAGTCTCCACGCGGCGAGGATTCGGATGTCACTCAACGGCGAAGGTGAAGGGTTGGTGTTGTCCGATGTGAACGAAGCATCGCCGAAGGATTGGTCGAGATCCTCCTCCAGTCCTAAGAGCGACGTAGCTTGACCATATCTTGCTGAGAACGACGAGTTGCGGTGTTCACGGTGGTCTGCTAGGATATTCTGTCGAGGGCAAGGACCGAACGTGCCAACGGTCTCGACGGTCTGTACACTGTTGCTGGGGCGGAAAGTGGAAGTTGTGCTGAGACGCCGGGATACTTGAGCTACAGACGCGAGGGAGTCTTGGCTAGAAAGGTGGAATAGAATCGGGATGTCGCCGGAAGTACAGGACGGAGAGATTTGGCCATCCAGGGCGAACGAGATACTGGTGAACGACGACGAAGGGACAAGCGAGTCAAGAGCCTCCAGGTCGGAGGAAGACGGAGGGAGTCTGTGCCGGACATCTTCTGGCATAGTTTGGAACATGGCGGGGAGCTGTAGTGGATGATAGTGGATTGTGGAATGAAGGTGACGCTCATCAATTAGGCGCCTAAGTGCAGTACCCGGCAATCGGGCCGAAACACCGCAGCGCTAGGAAGAAAGCTCGAACTGCACCGGCTCCCCTGGCAATTCGTAGCAGCGACAAGGTAAACAGAAAACGAAGAGTGAAGCAACTATGATACAAAAATCCTTACAACACGACGTACTGAGCCTCAGAATATCCACCTTCGCCGTCATCAATCACGCAGGGAAGTCGCCGAACTCCCAACCATAGCATTCCTGTAGAGTTTGTTCAATGAATGGTCTGATAGCAAAGCAGGACTAGCTTACCCCTTCGCAGTCATCCTCAGCGATTGCTTCCGGAACATCCCTACCAACCTCTACACTTGGTGGCCATGGCTCGTTAAGCAGCTTCTCGATCACATTCACGATCGTATGTGTCCGTATGTCGACAGCCCATGAGAGGTTGCTGACGGTGTCGTAGACAATCGACTTCCCCAGGTGACAGCTACAACGGCATTAGTGATCGTAAAAGCAACACGCTGCAGAGATACGCACCGCGACTCCATCGCATAACCACCGAGAGCGCAGGACGACAGCACTCCATTGCAGGTCCCCATCGCTATGGGGTCGGCAGTATGGTAGACGTGCGTGATGTGATGCGTGGAGGGCTACAAAAGGAGTCAAGAGTCTGTCTTCAACAGGGCGAAGCGCAACTTACAGGCGATGGGAGATGAAGTCGGCCCGCGGCCATCTTCTCACCTGGCGACTCAAAGGCAACAACAGGAGCGCCGAAGGTCACACCTATGAGTCCAGCTAGCGCACCTACGCTAATTTGTTATCTCTCACGATAATTGAGAACCGTAAGGAGGGGCCTACCTCCAAGTGAATGTCCGACAACCCATATGTTGGAGTCAGGGTACAAGTATGTCAAGTTGTTATATAGGTTCTGCGAATGGTCAGTCAGCAAAGCATACTTCATCGCAAGACAGCTACGCACAGTGCCCACAGGATAGAACAAACTGTCTTCCGCCAAGGATTCCTGCAGACAGTTGATATCGCACTTCCCACCAGCACGATAGCAGCCGCACACAGGCGTCCACGTCCAATCAACGCGCGCGCAGCAGCAGCTGAAGAGCAAGTTGTCGTTCAGCTTGTCCTTCTTGGATGTAGGTCCCCCGCCACCAATGAAGGAGGCAGAGGTGCCTTTGATGGAAAGGACGACAGTCTTGTTGTCTGGGGTAGCAAAGACATGCCCGCGGAAACCGTCATCATCAGGCTCCCAGCCGAATGGATAGCTCTAGCAGATGCGACGGTCAGTGGACGTCGTAGACAACCGTAGAGCCACGCACCACGTTGTACTCTCCTCCCAGATCGTACCACTGCGGATCGTCCGGAGGCACGTAAGCGTTGTTCGTGATCTTGGCAAGCTGAAGGAGCGTCTCCCTGCTCTCTACATCCGGCCCCTCTACCTCGTCCTCGTCCCAGGGTATGTCTACCGTCTGCGCAAAGCGTACAGACGCCGCGCGCGCTTGCGAGAATGCGTCTAGGGATGCAGGTCTATGTCGTCGTGTCCTTCGTGATCGTAAGGTATAGGTGCTGTCCGCAAGGGAGGAGATCGGCGCGCGAACGTCAGCGAAGACGACCTGCGCGGAAGACGATACGGCGTGCAGTTGTCGTAGCTCTAGCCGCAGTACGTTGTCTGTGACCTCCTTCGGCTCATGGAGAAAGAGGGATGCGAAGGGGACAAAGAACTGGGCGAGGGTAGAGGGGAGCAGCATGTCGATTAGATACGCCGTAAGAGAGAACCTGGAGGTCGTGGCTTCGCGGGTATTGACGGGCGGAGAGTGGGGAGTATATGTGCGCCCCGAGGGAACCACCAGATGGGGACTTCGATGCCCTGGTGGAGGATGAAACTCGCGAACGGGTGGCTGATGCAAGAGCAAGATGGCAAGGCGCGACTGTTTCGGGAAGCTTGTCGGCTTGAAGCGGTCCGGTGCTTAATACGGGCTTACGTTCAGCGCCCACAACTGCTACATGCCCTCATCGCCTTTCCAAGTCTCTTTTCCAGTCCACGAGGAACGCGTACAGTCATTACTCAAGACAAGACTGCGAATGCACATTATTGTAACAGTATTATGCTGGGATAAGATACTTCAGGGCCTTTCACTTCTGCTGGCTCAAGACCGTCTCTATCTTCTTTTCCACCCGCTGACCATGCCTCAGCAGGCAGTAGTCCCCATACTCGTTCGCCCGCTGCCATACCTCGCCCGGCATCCACAACGCCCGCGTCGCCAGCGGTGAGAAGCGAGCGTCCAGGAACGGATAGCAGGCGACGCGCTCCCACTCCTCCAACAACGCGTAACGCGGCTCGAGGGGCGACTCCGATGGGTGCAGCGGGAAGTCCAGGTCTACCATGTAGTCGCATTGTTCGACGGATCCGTAATGACTGGGCTCCTCGATGTTGAGGTCGTTCTGATGGACGGGGACGAGCCGGGTGACGGGACGCGGCCAGAAGCCATCGAGGGCGCTGTTGCCATTGTAGTCCGCCTTGACCTGGTCTTCGCCAAAGTGCCCCGGAAGTAAGCCGGAGAACTCGCTCTTGACGAACTCCACGCGGACGCCGTCAGGAACGTGGTAGTGACCGGGGAAGCGGTGCCACTCCTTGCCCACGCAGAGGGTGAGGTTAAAGTCCTTGATGGGCGAGAGGTCGATACGAGGCATGTCCTTCTCGCGAGTGTGAGGCGGCAGAGGGGGAAGAATTCCGGTGACATTGAGGAGACGGGGAAGTTCCTTGTGCTCGAATTGGAAGTACGCCGACTGCGGGGCATGGTAGTAATACCAGAGCGCCATGATCCTGGAAATCGAGAGGACGCATGTAGCGAGGACGACCGAAGAGGAGAAGTTGCTGAAGATGGATGTTTGCGCGGCCTGGAAAGCGATAAGTATACGTTTGGCTCGCGAACGAGGGAACATACCCTATACGGTGAGTTCGTCGCCTTGATGAAGATGACCTCCATCCATCCCTTCACAAGATATACAGCTACGGCAGCGTTGAAGCAGAGCATCGGGTAGACCGGGTACATGAATCGCTCCTCCTTGTGCGGCTGCGCAGAAAGAATGCCGAGCCAGAGGTAGAAGGGGGCCAGACGAAGTGCCAAGCTCAGGGTCGGGTTCGCCTGGCGTTCATCGAGACGCTTGCGGTCGAAGATCTTCGTGAGGAGCAGGGCTGGCAGCGACAGCAGGGCAAACGGCAGCAGGACGTTGAAGTTGAGCAAGAGGTTGAGGATGTAGAAGCTCCACGGTTCCGTGCCGTAGAGCTCTGGGCCGCGTAGCGCGCCGCCGAATATGTTGTAGCTGATGATGTTCCAAGGGACGATCGTCAGTTTGCCATATGCCGCGGTGTCGATGGCAATGACGGGGATCTATAGACGGATGAGCGAAGTGAGTTGCGACATATTGCTTGTACGCACCGCGACAAGGCCGGCCAACAGGGTGTACGAGATAAAGCGGATCCAGCGATAGCGAAGCACGCTCGCGGTATCCTTGTGTGCTGTGTCCGATCCCACGACGAATAGCTCCTCGTACACAAAGGGTATGGCAAGCGCAAGCGAGAATGGCCATCCCACTATGGCGGCCGTTGCGAACAGCACGGTAGCAGCCAGCGTACGCCGGTTGTTCTTGATGCTACAAGGCTCCATAACGTAGGCGAATGCCAGAGTGCACGCATGCATGGCGAAGGACGAAGGCAAGAATGCTGGCGCTAAAATCAGTGCTACCCTCCACGATAACCATTGCGTACTGACCTGGAGCCGCATTCCACATTCCAGCATTGAAAGACAACATGAAGAACAGGTACCTTCCTACGCGCTCGTTGATGTGTGTGTACACAGAACGGTAGAAGTAGGACTCGATGAGGGTGGAGGCGAGGGCAAGGACTGCGCGGACTGCAAAGAATGCAGGACGCTTCGATTCTCTGTCAGCGTGCTCATAATAATTGTGAGGTTAGTCTTACCTTGTCAGGACCGATGAAGATCTTCGACAATTGGACGGGGAACCAGTGAAGGACGATGTACGCCCAACTGCGAATGGAGTATTCGGGTGAAACTTCCCAGGTCTGGAAGCCATAGCCACGGTCGAAGAGATGCAGCGGTTCCCAGAAGTTGAAGACTGCAAGGGTCCTTCAGTACAAGGGGTGGCTGCCGCGCAGTATGACACGCACCTTCGTCACAGTCAGTGATGTTCGCGTACATGGCAGCCGAGAAGCGGATGAGTAGCAGCCATCGGACTGCCCACGCAAAGTCTGGCGCCCATGGCCTTTTGGCAGATCTGCAATGGTCAAGTGAGTCTCCTCTCCCCTGCAGGTACTGTTCCGGGCGTACCTCCGGACCTGATCCTGCAAGATGCCGGTATGGCGCAGAGGACGAATGGTCGGTTTCTTGGGTTCACCTGTCTCCGGGCGACGGAAACGAAGTGTTTCTGTCCGAGGGGGACCAGCAACTCCAGAGGACGACATGGTGGTTCGTCTTCAAGCTGGCTAAGGTTCTCGCCGACGCGACCCGCGTCGGACGGCGGACGCGTCGCGCGCTCGGGTAATGCCGTCAGGCCGTGAGAATTTGGCGCGGGACCCACTTCAACTCCCGCATTCATCTTCTCGAGGTCCACTTACGACTCACGACTCATCGTCCTTCTTTGCATGCTCCCATGAAACGGCCGGTGTATATGAAGCAGAAGACATATTTCAGAGAGTGAGGAACAGGGCCAACATCGTAACACGAAATATCTCTGCGGTGAGTTCGACCCTCAATCTCCAGCGAGGGGGTTGCGTCCCATGATTAGAGCCATCTGTCAACGTCGGGCGCTTATCATCATTCAGTGGGCGACTAGTCGGCTTGAGACGTACTACTTCTATTGAGTCAAGCCGTTCTGCCGTGCATGTATAGGTCTACTTGGCTTGGCGAAGCGCCCATAATGAGTTCATGAAGACCTGCCTCATGTGTCCCGCTTTGGCACACAGTTCTCTCGTAATTGCTCATCATCGGTAACATGAATATATAGACGCCATGGACGACATCAAACGATAGCCCGTCTCACGCTTTGACAGCCGAGGGCGCTCTCTTCCTCCTGTCATCGACCGAGGCCTCGCACAGGCATGCCCCCAACCGATATCATCAGCGGCGACGATTTCCGGCAGATTTTCTCGGATGCGCTGACGTCCTTCTCGCCTCTCGCGACCCTCGTTGGCGCGGACTCCGCCAGAGCCTTCGCGCACGAGGTCACGAACAAAAAGCAGACCGTGTTCGCAACCCTCGCGCCAATCGGGGCGCTGGGCATGATGGCCACCGTCTGCAAGGCGTCCGACCTCCCTGGCGTCAAGGATCTGCTGGGTGCTGGGGACACAGACATCCTCGACGCGGCCGCAGACGTCGGGTGCTACGTGCTCTATGGGCTGGTTCCCAGAATGTCAAAACGCGGCGGCATTACCTGCAAGGGGCGCGAGGTGAACCGCGGCGTCGCAGCCTGCGCACTGGTTACTCTCGATTGGAACTTGGGAGAGAAGAAGATCGACTTCGAGCCCATGCGCGCCTTCCTGCGGGAATTCAGCGCAGCCACGGTCACCGGGCGCATTGAATGGGAATGCGACAATCTCAACGACCTACTCGCGAAGCTCAAGGATGTGCGCGACAGAATCTCTCAGTCTCTCGAGAAGGGGCCTTTCGACTCGGATAGCCATATGGCGGTCTACGAGGAATTGGAGAACGTACAAGGCGGACGTGGCTACGTGGAACTTCACTGGCCAAGTCCATCCTTACCATTGGAGACGCGACCGTACATTCTATACATATCCATCGGCGGGTTCCTCCTTATTTTCCTCGTCATCGCCGTCTTCACAGCATCACCGCTCCTCGATTGGCAGTCTCCTCAGGCGTCCGCTCTCCTCTTTGGAGGGCAACTCGTTCTGGGTCTTGCACAGACGCTGACGCACGTCATAATCAAGCGACTGCGTACGGTGAAATCTGTGAAGATACCTGCGGCGGGAGTTGTACCCGATTGGCAGCTCGTGGACAGCACCTGGTTCATCAACAGTTTGGCACGGCGCTCGCTGGGGCCATCAAGACGCGGCGATCACTTCCAACTTGGGCAGCACTACCGATTTTCGCGCCTCTTGATCACTCGATGGGAAGCTCTCTTGACCCTCTTCCTTCTCATCATCGGCTTCCTGGCATTTTACATCGGCGCGAAGTCGAGCGATGTCAGGACGGTCATCATCTTCATCTTCCTATATGTCATCGCCAACGGGAGCAAGGGGTACATCATTCACTTGGCCAACGTCTGCTACTACACGCCGCTCAACAACTTCGGGTGGCACATCATGACTCCGCCCCAGGACGAGAAATCGCAGCAAGGGCCCTGGTGGAGGTTCTGGAAGAGGTCGAGCGCGCGCAGTGACAACCGGTCTGCCGCATCCGACGGCGAGCACTCGGGATCTCCGCAAGAAGAGGAAGCTCTCGTCGACGTCCCGCCGCCAGAGCTTTCTGAAAAGGGCATGGGTCCAGCAATTCCTCTGCCAGAGCTGAAGACCGACGGCATATCCACTCATGACCGCGAAGTCACCGCGCCGCCAACAACTCCCGGCAGTATACATCACCAGCCCTTCTGGGATATGCCAAAAGACGCCCTCAACCCGATGCTCATCCCCCTGCCGCCATCGCACGACGGCACTCCGACGCCTAGCCAACGAGCAAGCGTCGTCTCGTCGATGCAGTCGAGAGCTTCGTCGAGTAGAACGCGCCATCGTGCTGGCACGCGGTCCTCGAGACATACGTCGTACACGTCCCTGAGGTCTGTTGGTGACCGCATGTATGGTGCAACCCTTCACGTCGACACCTCCAATCGTACGTGTAGTCTTCCTGGCTGTTGCTGTGACTAATCTGTGATAGCTAGACAGGCTATCTGCAATTCCATCTTCACGATCCGCATCGCACAAGTCGACCCTAACAAGCGGTTCCATCATCGTCACCGAAGAGGAAGACCTCGTTGCGGAAATCTACCCCGATCGTATACCTCTCCCTGCGTCGCGGCCTGGCTCAATAGCAGGACTCTCAGATGGCGCCAGACCTACATCACCGGTGTTCGCTGAACCCATACCCGGTATTGCCTTCGACGTCGAATATCGCCTCTACGCGAAGGTAGCCGTCCGCAACATGGAGGCCATCGGCATGTTCTACTTCTCTCGCACAGAGGAGTGGGCCATGGCTGCGCACGTCATCCATACTGTTGTCCGCCGATATCTGGGCGACATGGGATGGCAACATCCTGTGGGGAAAGAGCCTGTGTGTGAGATGGACTTCGAGGTCATGCGATCTGCCGAAGAACGTCAGCCAAAAGTTGTCCATGCCCTCCTCTTGATCCTTGTGGATGCTTTGAGGCATGAAGACGTGCGTATAGCTCCCTTGACTGTCGACCAGAGCCCATACTCATGACTTGCAGTTGTTCTGGTATACAGGGCAGGAAATATGCGCCATCATCATGGAGTGCTTTACCGACGCTCGGCATATCCCTTCCGAGCATCCCATGGCAACGGAGACCTGGGTGATCTGTGAATGGGTTTACATCGTATGTGGAATAGCGCTTCGTACTGAACCGCAAAGGCGCTAACGACCTGGACAGTTGACAAGGTTCCTCTTGACCGCCCAGGGTATGTACGGCTCCCGGAGCTTGATGCGGTCTATCGACTTGGTCATGGCAAAGCGGCCATACGATGATAGCGTTGTCTTGAATCCGATGCTGTGGGAGTCATCCGAAAGGGCTGCCGACGACTTGCGAATGGCTTTCAACCCGGAGTTCACCGCTGCTCCTCCGGAAGCGGGTCCGCCAGCGCCAGATATCATTGACGACGCTGTCGCCTCGCCTTCGTTCCCTGCGGAGCAATCACCGCCACCTATAACACCGTCTGTAGTAGTCTCTCATGACCACGATTGAAGGAATCTCTCGACTTTGTGCAAGCAAGAACCGACTCGAAATCACGGAGGTTGCTTGTCACGGTAGGGCAGTCCACTGAGGTATGTAGCGTCTTGCCGTCATGGACGGACCCAAATAAGCGTTCTCGGCGGTGATCCGACTCGACCTCTAAAAGGTTAGTCTATTGAGTCTGCCATCGAAGATCTGCCCGTCGCGGGAGGAGCTTCGCAGGCCTCGGACTACCGGTGCTTCTGCGCCTGTTTCATGCAAGGTGCGCTGAATGCGTTTGGCTCAAAACTCAGTCCTCGCAGTGTGCTCACCAGCGATACAGGGCTTCTTCCAAGAGGAAACCTGGGCAAGATATGGGTCACTTGTTACCGACCGAGATGACAGGCCTTCAGCGTAGCTTTCTGCCGCGCGGAAACTACAATTTGGGTATAAATGAACATAAAGAAACTCTCCAGATCCGCGCCAGAAGCTTCGTCCGCTGTATTGCTCTATTTGGACGTAGGTATATCCGCATTGTCGCCCGGCGTTCAACATCCTCTCCTTCTCTCCTTCCACCATCTCTGTCTCGAGCCCGCCGGCCCCAGCACCCGCCGCCATGGACAACGCTCAGCTCCAGGAAGCGAAGTACTACATCTTCGTCACTCAGGTGTACTTCTGCGGTATGTGCCAGGCGTTGCTCGAGACTGCGACGCGTCCAGGCTGACATGAGCCATAGCGATGTGTACGACCTTCTTCCCGTCTAACGCCCTTTTTGACTCACGGCGAGCTCAGATGCTGTAGTCGTCTGGGACTGGATCATCAGTTTGGGAAGAGAATATCGCTTCGTGAGTTCAAGGACGCTCGCCACGGTCTGCGCACCATTGACACGCGAGTAGATTTGGAAGACGCACTGGACGCCCGTTAAGGCTGCCTACCTCTTCTGTCGGTGAGTAAAGGGCCTTCTTGTTATTGCATCGCCTTATGTTTCCTAGGTACTGGGTCATCGCCGTCGTTCCTTACCTGCTGTTCTGTTTCGTCACGAATCATACCAAGGAGACCTGCGAAAGGATATACAAGGTGTGCCCTCCCATGAACCGCGTGCTTCCACGAGCTCATATATGCGCAGATTCCCGTCGCGCTCGCCATGTGGAATCAAGTCGGTTCCGAATGTATGTCATTACCTTTGCGCGTTCTGCAATAGCTTATTGGACCGTAGCGATCTTGCTTATCCGCACATACGCCTTCTTCAACCGCAACACGTATATCCTCATCTTCCTCATCACATCTATGGCAGGTGTGGCGGCATACCAGCTCTATGTCGACACCACCCAGATGCTCTGTATGTTGCCCCTGGCCCGGATGAAGTTGAGATATTAACGCGTCACTCTTCAGTGCTACCCTTCATTGACCCGGTAAGTCCTTCAGGCTGCATCTGTGTACTTTATGCTCATTGGCTGTGAAGGACCACGGGCCTTGTCTTCCCATGTCGAAGCCCCATTCCGCTCATCTTCTTGGTAAGCAGGCATCACATTGACCGAAGTCGTGCTCATTTTTGCTACAGGTTTCTTCGTCAGTATACATCCAGAACGTCGCACAGCGCTCTCCTCATTCTGCCCCAGATCGCCCCCTTGGGATTCGACACCATGGTCACTTTCATGACCATCATCAAGGCCATCTACATACGCAAACGCAACGGTGGTCCTAACAGTCGTCTCATCCAGACGTTCATTCGCGAAGGTACATCTTAACATACTGCTCACATAGATCCTCGCTGACTGCGAGTACATAGGTGTCTTCTACTATATCATGATCTCCATCGCGAACCTCGTCAACGGCGTCTTCTACCTGCAGTGCGTGGACTCTGTCGACCAGTCTTCGAGATGCTGACGTTGTCAGGCCGAGGCAGGTCATGTCAGCCATCAACATCCCTTTGAGCGTCATGATGGGCCCTGTACTAGCTTGCCGACTGGTACGCTACCGGCTCAAAGCAAGATACTTATACTCATGCTCGTTAGATTCTGGACCTTCGCGAACGCGGTTCGGAGACCGTGTCGCATTCCGAGGGCACCGGAATTGCTGCCTTCGCCACCAAGTCTGGCATGACACAGAACACTGGCTCGCCTTACACACCTCCCAATCGTTTCGGTACCAGGAGCAAGACCGGCGCTCGATTCAACCCTCGCATCGGTATGAGCACCGTCGATTCCACCGTTCTCAGCTCTATGGGCAGTATCCCTCCTGACTGCGCGGAGCTGGGCATCGACATCGAGCACGACGTTGTCGAGATGGACAAGATTGGGATGGGATACGACCTAGGTAGCCTCACTGCCAGCGCGGAGGACGGTGAAGGCATCATGGACGACAGCTACGAGAAGGACGGCAAGATCATTCGTGGTGGACGTATTCTCCCGGTCGAGAGACTGGAAATGGGGTTCAAGGCGGCGAGAGCGCCGAGCTTGGACCATCCGAAGGGCGACATCCGTGGCATTCGCGTTGACGTGGAGAAGTCGACGGCTACCATGTGATGCCACCGCGTCCCTCTTGCCTCTATCTTCTTTCTTATTCTCTGCCGGCTTTTCATTGTTTGTTTTCTTTGTTGTCGTCTACGCTCTCTTGTTTCTTTCTGGCTTCGCTTCGTCGTCTGGAATCGCTATCCTCGCTTTCGTCGCTATCGTCGACTTATCATAACTCGCAGTAATTCAGTGGTACCCAGTACCGTAACTTACAACCATCCTTCAGCGTCTGTATTACTCGACGTAAATCGGCAATGTACGGGCCTCACATACCTATACCTTCATTCCTTGTAGCTGTTATAGATTGGCACTGAATTTGGGGGCTTTGCGCTCCTAAGGTCTATCCCATTACGATGACCGAAATCTGTCTGCGTCTGAGCCGAGTTGAAAGTGTTGACGCCACAGCTCGCCGTCATGTGACCGTGCACTTGCCTTTTCCGGTAACCTGTTGTCCCATTACGGCGCTTCTCGCCCGGGATCAGAACCCCTCTTGCCTCCAACCGTGATGGTGGATTTGCGCGATGTACCTCCAGAGATCTTGCTGTATATATGTAAGTTATCTGCCGACTATAGGGCATCCTCTCACAGTATCTAGTTTCTTTCCTAGACATACCTGACCTTGAGACGATGGCGCGTTTGTCGCCTCTCTACGCTGCACTTGCCTCGGATCCTCTGCTACAGCGCACTCGACTTCTTGTCATTGCCCCTGCTCGCGTCGACCACTCTCTGTTTGGCGAAGGCCCGACAGGCGTCATGCTGCGGCCTACTGTATCTGATCTTGTGAACCGCGGTGTACTCCGCGGGCTGAATATCGAGCGGCGGTGGCGTATGGGCCTTTACTTTGGGTCGCAAGCGGTTCGTCAATCGATCCACCCTCTCTTCTCACTCACATCTACCCCCAGTCAGTCCGCCAATACGAGACCAGCATCGTCCTCGCGCGCAGGCACGCGTCGAACAAGCTGACCTCGCAGCTGCGGCGGCGCAGCATCGCGTCTCCCTCCGGCGACCGCGCGGCCTACTGCAAGTCCTTCCCGAAGGCGTTCCCCGATGCCGAGTCGTCCTCCCCAGCCATCTCGCGCTCGCTGCTGCCCATCATGCATCAGCTAAAGTGGTCGCTGCATCGGGATAGCCTGGCGAAGGTGGTGCGGGGCGGGAGGGTGGATGCGTCGAGTTTTGGCGACTGGCTGGAGCGGAGGGGGCGGGCGGTCGTGACTGAGACGGAGCGGGTGCGTCTGGCTATCTGCCCGGACATTCGCAGGCTCGTTGGGTTCTACGAGAGCCTTGCGCGTTGAAGTGGTTTCGGTATGATTCTTGCAGCCTGTTGAGGCAGCGAACACGGATTTTGTATACCCTGACCTACCATCGTGTAGGCTCTGTTGGCGCTTCACGAACCCAGCCACGTATCGGACTGCTACTTACGACCAAGCCTTTACCGGCTATGCCTCCTTAGTTTCTACTATCTGGATACTCATTGTCACGCCTGAGTAGTACAAGATAACAAAGCTTGTTGCTTGCTCGGCAAGAAGGACTAACACAAGAATAAGGTAAGAGTAATTTATCGGGGCCTCATCTACCCCAGCTTGGGTCTGTCGACGTACACCTTCCAAACCATCCCGTCCTTCTCCCCGATCTCCATGGTAGACAGGCCGTTCTTCAAATCCACCGTCCACTCTTTGGCTTCGAAGTGAGACCGATGAGCCCCGCCCCCGTTCATCTCCGGCGCCTTCACCTTCTCCGGGATAGCGGTACCATTCAGCTTCACGAAGATCTCCCGTGTCGTGCGCGCGCGCTTCCTCGCGCGCCGATCTACGCGATCCTGCGCTGCCTTCAGTGCTGCCGCTGCCGCCTTCGACGGCCGCCCGCGCGGCCGGCGCTTCAGGATTTCCTGGTCCTCCTCTTCATCGCCCTCCTCCTCTTCCTCGGAGCTCTCCTCTTCCTCTTCCTCCTGCCCGATGAAACGTAGGCCGCTGAAGTGCAGCGCGCGCTCGTTCGGGCCGAGGCGGATGGCCCACGACTTGACGCCTTCCCGGTGGTCGAGAATGATGCACCGGCCCCGGGGCTGCGTGCGCATGAGGATGCTGCGTATCTGGCGGCTCGGGTCCAGCGGTGGTGGATCCGGAGACTTCGCCGGAGTGACAGCAGCGATGATCGGTGGAGGCACAGGCGGAGGGGCAGGGGCAGGAAGATGGGGTGCAGGGGGTGCGGGATGCGAGGATGCTGGCGTAGACGCATTGTATCCAGAATAGTATGAGAACGTCGGCGCAGTATACTGCTGCACAAAAGGCTCAAACTTCGGTGTGCTAGTCGTCGAGCGCGGCTGCGGCACTGTCGGCACGCGCGCCTGCTGCGGCTTCGGCTGCTGGACCTTGGGCGTAGCGCGAGGGGTGGCGGTGCGGACAGGCCTGACCCCCTTCTGCACATTCGCTAGCGATGGGCTAGAGACCGACGGCGTCAGCGGCGATGCGGCTGAAGACTGGGGCACAGCTGAGAAGGTGTGGACAAGCGAACTTGGGCGAGGTGCGACTGGCGTGGCAGGTATGGGGGCAACAGTAGAAGTCGTGACTATAGGCGCTGCAGTGGGCTTCGGCTCTGCCTTCGGCGGGGGAGGTTTGGCAGCCGGGGGCACCTTGGGTGTCGCAGCCGCGGTCTTGGTAGCAGTGACTGGTGCGACAGGAAGTGTAGGCTCGGGAGCAGCTGGCTTGGCGGGTGTTTCTGGCGCGTGCGGCGCTGGCACGCGAAGCGTAAGATGCGAGGACGACGCAGAAGGCGCTTCCTGATCGGCAGCGGCTTTGCCCAGCTTCAGCTTGATCTTCGGTGCGCCTGCCGGTGTTTGCGAGTACTGGGGGAGGTTGAAGGGTGGGGGCATATCAGACATGAGCTGATGGAGATAGTCCTTCGAGGCATGTCATGTTAGCGAGGGCTTAGTGAACTAAGAGATGCTTGCTCACTCGCAGTGTCCTCGCATCCTCATGGATTACATAGCCTTCTTGATTGAACTCCATTGCATTGGTGAACACGCGTTCGACGTCCGCTGCAAAGTCGGCTGCATTTGTGTAGATCTTGTCCTTTACGCGTTTCTAGGACGGAGGTCAGGCAGGGATTATTGCGATCGGTACGAGGCAAGCGCACCCGTATGGCCTCCAGGCACTCTGGCTTCTTGATGACCTTGTAGTAGATAGGCCAGGTTTTCTTGGAGGGGAGCTCCATGAACTCGGTCGAGAGGATCCGCCCACTACGTGCGTTCAGAGGGGATAGTATCGTAGGTGAGTAGCAACACACCTATCATCCGTCTTGTCAATCAGCTTCTGTAGCCGTGACTTGAGCAGCTTGTGCAGGGTGGGGGCCTTGTCCTTCTTCTTCTCGTGAGGGTCCACACCAGAAAGCCGTGCAGCGGTTTTGTTGACCAGTTTCTACACAGAAGTCAGCGGAGCACTCAGTCGTGTGGCGTGAGCACGCACCAGCAGATCCTTCGCATCGTTGTAAATCTCGCTCCCCTTGAGATTGTAGATCTTCGCGTTCGTGAAGCAATGCTCGAAATCCTCGCGCACGGCTTCGAGCGTCGGGTACGCATTCTTGTCGAGCTTTTTGCGGATGTCGTCGAACGCGATGGGCCGCTGGATGAGCGTGTAGTAGTCCGGGTATAATTTGCGCGACGGCTTCTGGAGGAACTGGCCTGAGAGCAGTCGGCCTCTGCGCACCGGAGGTTTGCCATCAGACCTCCGCAAATCCAAAAAGGCAAAGCGAGACAGAGAGTGCTCTGCTCCTTGACTTACTCCTTGTTCACCGCGTCCCGGGCGGTCTGCCACAGCTGCAGCCCCTGCTCCTGCACGCTCGCGCCCCCCGCGTCGCCATATTCGGCGTCGCCACCCTCGTCGCCCGACGCCATCTCCACGTCTCCATCATCGTCGTACCGTCTCTGCCGCTTCGCTGGGCGCCCGCCATTTGCTTGCCCGTGCTCTCTTTTGGCCATGCTCGTAGTTCAGTTCACAGATAATGGACGATGTTCGAGGTCGCTGCGTTGCGCGACAAGCTCGGCTCAAGAAATGATGAGAACGGCAATTCGCGCCACGTGTTCCCTGATACCGTCACGTGCTTGACATTACGCGTCAACGATTGGCGCGTCGCGACGCGAATCAACTTTTGCGCATCCGTCACTGCTGTCTATGGATATGCCCCAAGTTTTTTTGCTGATAGTCAAATATACAGTCTAATCTACATTGAATTTGGCTACCCTCAGCTCCCGCATCCCTCTACGTGCAGGCCACGAGTGGTTATTCAGACCACCCTCGAAAGCCCATGTCGCATCGATGGTCTCTTCCAGTTTTGAGCTGTACGCGTATTTTCGCAGTATAGATGCGCCACCAGGCTATTGGGACATGATGAGACAGGAATCGACCGCACGAAGGAATACGACCTACGTGCTCGCCTAGATAAGCTGTCGCGTCCACCACATAGCCCTCGATAATCAACAAGCATGCCCCTTGGCTAGCCTTGGCCTTGAGCTCAGCGACACCCCAAACAGGACCAGTCCATGGCTCGTCATCTTCCTCGTCTGATGTTTCGTGGTGGTGATGTCCCTTCAACTGCATATGCGCCAGCGCCGCTCGTAGGTCTGCATCACGAGCCCGGCGCAAGCCCTTCACAAATCCGAGTCTATGCAAGGCCGCGATGATCCACTTCGTGGGATCCCAGTCCAAATACGACGGCCCGGAGCGGTAATCGTGCGGGAAGGTATGCTGCAAGAAGGTGAAGACAGGATAAGGAGCGTCCAGAATCGTAACGTACGTGCTACATCGAAGCGAGCGTCAATTGAATCCTGTTTCGGCATGGCGGAAAAGCACGCACAAAGTTATGATTACCCTCTCCTCCGGTCAGAAGGGCCAAAATTAGATTGCCTCTGGATGTGTTCTCGTCGGAATACGGCTGCAGGCCATCCCAGTGCGCCAGTCTGAAGCATCGTGACTGAAGCGCCGCCCAGCGATCATAGTCGAAATCACTTACGAGTTCACTAGGAACGTACAGTGCCATACTGCAGAGCGTAGGTCAGACAGGCGAGCTCTCGAGCAGTTTCAAGCCACGCACTGAATAGTCTTGCCACCAGCCCTGCCCAAATGTATGTGCCCACAGGATCTGACCACAGCATGCCAATCAACGATGGTGCGACGAAGCCCAATGAGACGGCTAGGGGCACTGAAGACATACAGGTAAGCATGTCTTGCTTTTAGTTGATCGATTCGAGCGCACCATAGTATTTGTGCTGAAGTCGCACGACTGCGAATGACGGTCAGTCGTTGCCCTTGAGAAATAGTGTCTGGATGCTCACCAGGATCACTATCCAGGTCTTGTCGATCTACAAGGCCTATCCTTTCGTAGACTGGCTTGTAGAATATCCAGCCCATGTGAGAATAGAACAGGCCGCGTGTGGCTGCATATCTGTATGTTACTGGCTCAGTCGTAGCGCCTATATTGACATGAGGAACACGAACGGATCTTGGACTGGATCATCCGTGAATCGCTACCAAAGAGGAGGTCAGCCTCGAGCGGGTGTGATCAGGAGAGGAACAATGCGTACGTGATGCAATCTGTGGCGGAGGCACCTGTAAGAAGGGGTGAGTTAAGTCGGATCGGATATTCATCTGCAGACGCACCACCACTTGATGGACCCCTGGAATGCGATAGTTCCGAGGAGTGCAAGAACGACGCGCACTCCCAAAGCGGCGCGGTAGGCGCGATGGCTGTACAACCGGTGGTACCCCATCGTTATGCTTGCAGGCCCGAATCAGCAAGGCAGGCGCGCATACATGCATTTCACTCACCCGAAGTCCGCCAACTGCCAGGTTAGGAATGCAAACACGAGTGTCTGCCATGGAACCGCGGTCGGAGGATAGTAGTAGACGCCAACGATAGCAGCGATGTGGGTAAGTGAGAAGAATATGGCGTTGCTCCACCATATCTCTGGTTCGCGTACTGGCGCATCCGACGCTGTCTTCGTCGTCGTCGAGGAGGACATGATGGCGAGAAGAGAAAGAGAGAGGGTGGCGTTCGCCCTCAGGCGCAGCGCCGAGCTGCTTACCCATATGAATAGGCTATGCGACAGCCGGCATCCGCGAGGATCGAAGCCGCGTCATTGTCAGTTACGCGCCGGGAGGAACGATCGAGCTTGGATCGACCAGAAATGGATCGGCTGCGAGCCGAAAACAGAGACGCGCGCCGGATGGAAGTCAGGATGCATGATAAATCGGGCCCCGGCATCCGCATTCGGTACAAAAGACAACTTGAACTTCGATGGGTCACAGACCTGTCACACGGGGCTCGCTAGCTGGTCTTCGCTCTCCCCACCCGCGCCTTCGTCTGACAGTGTCGAAGCTGGCCCCGAGTCCGCCTCTCTCCCTTCCGTGTCAGAGGCGGGATCCCAGAATTCGTCCGCTATTGCGCGCACAGCGCGAACGCGATCAGATTGCGTGCGCCACACACCCCATTCGCTTCCTGCGCCCATGCCCATGTCTGGCCGGCGGAAGTCCATCGTGCCCTCTTCCCAGACGCCGCCGCTCATGTGGAGCTCAGTGAGTCCGTGAGGGACGAGGGCTTCGAGGACAGGGCCTGCAGTCTCGGGTGAAATCCCGGAGCCAGGAAGGATGCTCAGTGCCCATGGAGTGCCGTCCGAGATGCGATCCAGGAGTTGCGTGAGGACGGGTATAGACCCTGGTGCGGTAGGACCGTGACCGCTGCAATAGATCAGAAAAGCAAGGGTGATACGAAAAATACGCTACCTGGTCAATATTCGGGTTATGCCGCCTATGGACTGAAGGGCGTCCAGTGCTAGGGGGTTTTCCAGAACTGCACGCCATGCTGTGTCGACAAACGAACCTTCCAGTGGATCTCGCGTCATGTCGAATGCCCGATGGAAACACACTGGGGCGACACAATGAGTTGAAGGATGATATACTAGAAATTGAACGCGTACCCTGCATCGGCAGCGCCTCGTCTACCAGTCTGATAGGTTCAAGACCTGTTCGTAAGTTGGACTATCATTGGACTCAGACACTCACCGTTTCGTTCGCTTAACGTCTACAGTTCCATTTGGCCGTAGAACGCCAATCACGACACCCCGAGCCCCATGCCGCTTGAATATCCGGATGTCGTCCAACATCACGTCCATGTCCTCCTCTGTGTACACGAAGTCGCCGCTACGCGGGCGCACCATAGCCTAGAGGTTCTGTCAATGGAGATCAACATTGGGAAGAGACAGACCATTCGGGACGAGGGCAGGAATCGTGCTTTCAGGAAGGGCTTGTAACAGGTATCTCGACGCCCACGCCGAACAATTATTTACGTTGAGCTGCCATACTCACCATTATAGGTACACCATTCACAGCACGTCGCACGCACTTGAGCAGTCCTAGACTCGGTGTAGTCCCACCGCCGACACCAAGGCTGCCACATAGTTCGATACGGTCGGCACCTCCATGAACTGCGCTGCAAGATAGGTGTACAGTCAGTGATGAGCACGCAGTATAAATCAGGAAACAAATCATGAGATGGATCCTCGCAACGCAGGGACAATGAGCAGGCTTGAGGACGGCTCGGCCAGTAGAGTATATTTCCATACGAAGCTGAACACTGACTTCAGAGCTGACTCTACCGAGTCTACGCAAACTTCGATTGCGATGCGCGTCCGAGACAGAGCCATTATGTTCCGAGTAGTTCCAAATTGAGGGGTATGAGGGTATCCGAGCGCGTAGAACGCGTCCAAGGCCGCGCGAGAGGTGGTGGTGAGAGCGCACAAGAGCGTTTGCAAATCTGTCAATGTCATGTGCGCGCACGTGAAAAGTTGAACATGGCTTTCGGTCCGGACGCCGCGGAAGTTGCATCTCATGACAACTCGCTCTCTGTCAATCTCAAGTTCTTGAAGCTAGGGGCAGGGAGCTGGAACGTCAAGAGACAATTGAGTCCTTGTCGCCGATTGAGAATGAAGGCGACAGTCTCTATTGGCGACATTGGCGACATGGCCACTAACAAGACGTTGGTGCCACAAAATCATAGCTTATGGGGGTCGTGCCATCCTGAGCGCTAAATCGGTACGTGAGGCTTCTTCGATGCTGCCTATCTTTCGCAATAACCTTGGATCAAGCGCGGGTACACTCTATCGCGTTCAGAGTGAACGGCAAGCCGTGCATCTACTCTGGCTATTTCAAAGCATTGGCACCGTTTCCTTTAGAGGCTGTCTGCTCATTGAGCCAAAGAAGAGTACTCGATAGCTAGATTAGTATCCGAGGTCAACCGTTGATGTCGACTGAGCACTGGAGTACCAGCTAGAACGTCGTCTTCGACTTCAAGCCCATCAGGCCGTTAGGATAAAGGCAAGAGCTTAAGACGTACTGTGACCGGGAGGGTAAGCTGGACCAGGGAGAGGGAAAGAAATTCAAAGGATTTGGTTGATGGACGAAGACGACCATAAGACACGTTGCTCCTGTGCGCAGTGCGCCTCGAAACCTCTGCAAAGAACCCGGAGTACTTGGTGCTGTCGAAGCAATTCCGAAAAAAAAGGATAGATAGTCTGGAATGCAATGTGTACCTCCTAATTGAGAGGAAGCAGGCCGCAGCGGGTCTCGACGAGATGCGGGTGATCGACGAGGTGGCGGTTCAGTCAGACTGTGGAGGTCCGAGCGCGCCACGCGACGATAGGGTCCGGCTGCTCCGGAGCGAAGCCGGGGGAATATGACGGGTGACCGGCCCACATCCCATCTTGCTCTCGACCACCACCGAGAATGGCGCGAGAGCTGCCGCTGCTCGACTCACAAGCGCCCACGTTCTCCGCTATCAACTACCTACACGTCGGCCATGTGTATGTTTCCCCCTCTACTGCTCGCCAAACACTCGCTGACAGCGCGCCAGACAACTGCGGGACATTGTCTGTTGCCCGAACGAGCGGGGAGTCGTCAACTACCTCGCCAACCGCGTCATAGTCGAGCATAACATCACGCGCCCTGACTTGGTACGTCGCCCCTTCCCTTCCCCGGCCGCGCGCTCATCGATCCCCCAGCCACCGCGCAACATCACCAGTCTCAGCTTCCGTGCTAACTGCCTGTCATCCTTGCGACTACCGGACTCGGACTCTACCATCTTCGCCGCCGGGGGTCAAAAGTCCGAATTGCACCTGTCTATCCACACTTCTGGCCACGAAACGTCGCGCTTCGAGACGAACCTGGGGTGTTCAATTAACAATTCAGTACTTCTCACTACCCTCAACCTTACCGGATCTCCCGAGGGCGCTGTAGAACCACGGATCGTCATCAGCAACAATAATCAGACCGTCAAGCTATATGATGTCGCTGTGCGGGTGTTGAACGGCACCCCCATCTCACCCTGTGGCCAACTACATCTTCCCTACTTTGTCAATCATTGTACGTCTGGGTCAAGCTAGTCCATCTTCCCCTTCTGACTCTTTATCAGCGTCAATATCGCCCGATGGTCGGACACTCCTTACCATTGGCGACTCAAATGAGGTCAACCTACACCGAATGTCCGGCGGCTCACGCGTCACATTCTCGCCTATTTCAACCCTTACCATCCCCCCCTCTCTCGATCTTCCTTCGAAATATCGCCCAAATGCGTTAACCGCCTCATTCTCGAGTGCGTTTTCCGCAGACGGATCCAAGTTTGTGGTGGCGTCACAAGAAGGCGTTGTGGCCGTCTGGGATGTACGAAGTACCCGTCCGCTGAAGGTTTTCCACACGGATAAGACGCGAGTTCCGAAGGGCACTCATAGGGGCGAATTCAATGAACGCCTATCAGATGACCCCCTTGAATGGACCTTCGACCGGTCGAAGGCCCCCGGCTGGAGCGCACGTTGCGTCAAGTTTGGTGGCGGTGGGAACGAAATCATGGCCTTCACTGAGGTGTGTGCATGCTCATTGCGCCTTTGTTTACCTGCTCACAATCTTCACAGCACCGCGACCTCGTCCATGTCGTCGATGCGCGAACGTTCGAAACAGAAGAGATCATCAGGGTTCCCTCTTATCCGTCACTTGCCTCTCCGAAGGCGCGAATGGATTTGTACTCTCGCAGAAGCACCCCGGGAAGCTCGCAATCACATACGCCACCGTACACCCATGATTCCTCATTGCGCTCTCCTCAGACATCCCCTGGACCTCACCGCCTCTCCTTTACCTCTTCGCCATACCCAAGTCCTCCCGGTCCCTCCTTCGTCACGCGTACTCGCCGACCAAACGTTCGCTCGACGCCTGTGCCCCGAGTTCGCCAAGCCCTACAGGATGGCTTCCGCGTGGCTCTCTCGCCTGACAACCCTACCCCCTTTTCGCCTCCTCGCTCGCCTCGCTCTCCTCGTTCCGCGGTGCGCAGCATACGACAAGCCCTACGAGCCTGGGATAGCGAACGTGATGACGTGGTCATCATCCCCACGCTGGGAGACAGCGAAATCGACAACCCTGTGCGCAATTTCCTGCGGTATAGCACGCAGGACCGCGCGGACGAGTTCGAGCACTACATGCAAGTTGACGAGGAAGATTGCGCGTCTAGCGACGATGGCAATGAACCCCCTGCAAGCGGCGAACGGGCGGCCGATGAGTACGACTCGCGAGACTCGTATCATGACCGTTCGCACGTCGTGTATGCACCTGTCACGTACGGCGAAGAGGGCCACGTCTATGACGAGAACTTGACTCTTCTGGACGAGCACTCGGATTTGACGCTCATGGGGGAGGAAATCGAGGACGACGACGACAATGTCGATATTACTGGGATATGCTTCGACCCCAGTGGCAAGCACATGTATGTCGCGTCGATGCACGGGGTCGGCGAGTGGTCCGTACGGGGCGCGGACAAGCACTGGTGGGGTGATGGCGCTTTCACATAACAACTTGTTCTCGATACGGACTGTCCCAGTCGCTGTCGTGATATCCTGTTGTATTTATCCATAAGGGTTGTCTGTCTTCTCTTTCTCATCCTCTTGTACTGCTATCGAATCGGGACACTGTATCGCATCGCATCTATCACTACTGTATGGTTCCAGCACTCACGACATCGGTGTATATATCACATCTTCCCTTCTCGATATCGTATGTGGATCCTCTGCAAGTTCGAGTTGAAAAGTTGCCTACAAGCGCCCACAACGCCACGCCAATACGCGCGATCACGTGTAAGAGAATATACGGAAGTCTTTGTTCGTGCAAACGAGCGCTTGTTGCCTTTCCCCTTCACGACCTTCGACATACGACACTCTTCGAAGTCCCTCACGAACCTGAAGCTACGCCCAAGACTGCTTACGGTACTCTCATAACTGTGAAAACCCAGCTGGCTGTTCGCCAGCCATGTCGGTCACCGCGAAGCCAGCGGCAGCGGAGGAGCCGTCCAACCCACGAATCCCCGAGAAATACCTCGATGTACCATCACAACGGCTATGGGCAATCAGCATAGGCTGTCTCTGCCAGGTCCGTCGTATATGAGGCGACTGAACAACCTCTGACGCGCGACCTGCAGGCCATCAAAGTCTTTGACTTCCTGCGCTCACTGGTAGGAGTGGCAGAGAGTCCAGCATTATGTAGAAAATGGCTTGTGGCGGACTTTGCCTTCTTCGCGACACTGCACTACCTGCAAATACCACGGCTGAACTACAAGAAGGCGATTGTCGCGCTGCAAATACTCTTGTTATGGTTCCTCGACGCAGCGATGTTCGGAGGGCTAACTCTACACCTCGGCTGGATGGGAGACTCAAGTGCAGGGGCACATGCAGGTGCGCTATCTGGTGCTCTTGCTACACACCCGTTAACCTCAATCAGACATACCGGCCACGGTCCAAGCCTATGGTGTCCTGGATTACCTGTCCCCCCTCACGTTCGGCCTGATCGGTTCGTCGATACCAGGTTGGCAGGATGAGCATCTCAGAGGACGTGCGTATACATACTATATGACATTGGTGCGTGCTGACACCACGCAGAACACACTGTCCGAATGTCACCCATATCCACTGCGCGCCTAAATCCCGAGGCGCAGGCCTTCTGTCTTTCGCCCCCAGACAACTACGTCCTGATCCCAGTCCTCCTGAACAACACAAATACGGCGGCACTGCGATACTCATTGACACCACTTGGCCGCACGACAAGTGCGAATCCTACCTACCACGATCTGAGCGCTCGAGATATACGCGCTATCGAGAGCGCACGCGAGGAAACACTGCAGCTCACGCGTGTCACGAAGAGCAACAAGAACGATGATGATTACGACGAATACGACGAAGAGGAAGAGCAGGACGACGAGTCGTCAAGCTCTGGTCTGCAGAAGACGCAGTCGCTCATTCACATCAAGCTGGACAAGCCCGGCACCCTGCGCATCGAGAGATTACTGGACACGTCAGGCGTCATGGCAAAAGTCTTCACTTCGGAGGTGACCGTCGCGCCTTGCCCGCGTGCCGAGTTCAAGTCATTGCCAAAGGACGGCGACGTCCAATGCGCGGCACCGGACCTGGAGATGCAAATGGAGATCGACATCTATGGTGTTCCTCCACTCAGTATGCGATACTCCAAGATCGTCAATGGTCGTCGTGAGCTGTTCACGGTCGAGGGTGTAGAAGGCGCGGACTCTGGGGAATTACCCTCGTCACAACAAGCAGCGACAAGCTCGTTGGCGGTCACTGAACGGAAATTCGTCCAGAGGGTTGCGGCACCACAAACGATCCCGGTACCGCTCGCGGCAGCATTGGACACAACAGGAACTCACACGTATGTCCTGGAAGAAGTGACCGATGCCGTCGGCAACTACGCGCGCCTTGGCCAGGATTCCCAACTGAAGACGACTTCGTCTGTTACTGTTTTGCGGAGACCGGCAATGTCATTCAAGAGATGCGGTCCAGGAAAGCCTACGCCGGTCCTCATCGGTGCAGAGACAAGCCTACCTGTCGTTGCCAGTGTTGCCGACGCCATGGACGCGCCTTATGAGGTCACGGTGAAGTACAATCCACCGACGGACGCTCCCAGGCGGTCAAGTCCCTTCACAACAAAGTACTCTACGAACGACTCGAGGCAAGATGTTTCGGTCCTCGCCAAATATCCTGGCGAGTACACTATCGTTGGAGTCCATGGAAAGGTTCGTGAAGTGTTTTCGTCCAGGTTATATGAAGATTGACCTTTTCCTAGTACTGCGAAGGCGACGTTCTGGCCCCTGATGTCTGCACGGTGTTCGAACTGCCAAAGCCGTCCGTCGGTGTTGAGTGGGAGAAGATCCATGAATGGTACGTGCGCAGGTTTGCATCCGGTACGCGTACTCATGATGTTTTACAGCTCTGGCGACACAGGTGTTCGTGCGGGCTTGTTGTTGCACGGCACACCTCCATTCCAAGTCACCTACCAAGCCCAGAAGGGCAGGGGCACACCACGAACCCATACGATGACCTTCCAATCCTCTCGAGACGAGATCATTATCCGACCTCCCGAAGAGGGTGACTACATCTTCAGCATCACGCACATCAGCGACGCGTATTACAAGAAGGAGGAAGTCAAGGCGAAGAGCATGAAGCAGACGATCCACCCAGTCGCATCTGCCGAGTTTGCTGGTTCTGGCAGGCGAAAGCAGAGAATGAGCATCTGCGAGGACCGCACTATCGATGTTGACGTGCATCTGCGGGTACGCCTTCCCTTGTCAACCTTCGAAATTGGCAAGCGCTGACGCTAATAGGGCTCGGCACCTTGGAATATCGAACTGCAGATCATCAGCCCTAGAGGCAGCATGATTCGCACATACAATGGCATTGACGTCTCGCCGAAGCGCTTGCAAATACCGATACCGGACGAAGTCGACAAGGCTGGCGGTCACCTCGAGATTGACCTAGGTAAGTTGGGTCTCACTTGCTGAACATCGTAGTCTAACGTTACGATATAGTTAGCGTGCAGGATAAGTCCGGGTGCAAGCGTTCTCTCTCTACTCAAGGCATCTCTGTGGATGTTCGGAGAGTTAAGGTTCGTTAAAAGGACGCTAGCTTACACGCGTCGCTGACTGTTTTGTTACTAGCCTACTGTCAAGTTCTACGGATCCCCGAGCCAGCGCGAGATTACCGTCCTGGAGAGGCAAAAGACGCATCTCCCATTGCGTCTGACTGGCGATGGTGTAAGTGCGTCTTTCCGTAGGCTCAATCCTTCACTCATATATCTCTCGTAGCCATGGACCGTGAAGTACAGGCGCACGGAGTCTCCCAGTTCTGTGCTCACGGCAAGGCTCAACTCGCCGAACGATGAGCTAGAGGTCGTCGAGAAGGGCACTTACGAGCTCATGGGGGTACGCTTACCCGCCTTACAACATACAACATCATACTCACCCGACTTTCAGGTGAATGATGTGATGTGCCCCGGCTCTGTTGTTGCGGACTCGTCCAGGTTCAAGGTGAACTGGATACCGCGGCCATCAGCCAAGCTCGCTGAGAACACGCCGGCAACATATGAACCATTCAATTCCTCGCATATCCTACAACCCGTATGCGCTGGAGACGACGACTTCATTGACCTTGATCTCTCTGGTGAGCCACAATTGCAAGTCCCGCACGGACCAGAAATTGACACACCTGTACAGGTCGTCCTCCCTTCCAAATTATGTACAACATCGCCAAGGCTAACAGCTACTATGGCCGCTCCGATATCATCGACCAGCCCACGTACAACAGCATTCAGACGCGGACACGCTTCCAGCTGCGCACAGATCAGCCTGGACGAATGTTGTACGAAGTCAAGCAGATTGGCGACGTGCACTACCCTCTGGAGAAACACAGGAACGCGACCATCCCGCAACGCGAGCGCCTTCTCATTGAGCAGGACGTGCTTGCGCGTCCGAGTGCGCGGTTCAAGTCGCAGGAGGCGCGCATGTCGTACTGTGTCAATGACGCGCTGACAGCACAGAGCATCGCCTCTGACGATGGGCTCGTCCTTCTCGAGGGCACGCCTCCTTTCACCCTCACCCTCGACGTCGGCAAGCTCGGCACGCTCGAGCATGAGACGGTCGAAGTGACGGTCAACGAGTACGCATGGAAGCTTAGCCTACCGGAGTATCACTTCAAGTCGGTCGGCACGCATCGGGTGTCCATCCAGTCCATCGCGGACGCGAGTGGTTGCGCGCACGTTCCGCTCGACCCCTTCCAGACCTCCCTGAACATTGACGTCGCGGAGATGGCGGCGATCGTGCTCTTCGACAAGCGCGAGGACTTGTGCGTTGGGGACATCACTCAGTTCCAACTCGAGGGCATTCCGCCGTGGAACATCGAGTCAGTACCATTCTCCGTTATGCTCTCGTCCGTCCACTGACTTAGCCTACCAGATACCGCATCAATGGTCGCACGCACACGGAGGTCGCAAAGACATCGCCCTTCGCCCTCCTGCAACAGGCAGCGGGCGAGTTCGCCGTCACCTCCATCGCACACCAGCAACAAAAGTGCAAGGCCGCGGTCACTGACCTGCGGTACCGCGTGCACGCGCTCCCGTCCGCCGAAGTCGGGCACGGCGGCGCGTACTACGACGACATCCGCGAGGGCGAGCAGGCCAACATCGTTTTCACCTTCATCGGCGAGCCGCCGTTCACGTTCACCTACCAGCGCGCTGAGCTGGGGCGTGGGGGCAGGCCAGGGCGTGTGCTGGAAACGCATACTGTTTCGAAGATCGTGGACTACGACTATAAGATCACATCGAACCAAGAGGGTACGTGGCGTCTTTGGGCTGCGGTTCTATAACTAACATGCTGGGACAGGTGTGTGGACCGTAACGTCCATCACGGACAAGTACTGTCGCTACCCGCCAGCGCAACCTGACGTATTGGACAAGAGGAGGGGATAAGAGGATTTGTAGAGTGATGAAGAGCTTTGTGCTTGCTGTCGACATGTTTGCTGTCTGATAAATGTAACTTAAAGTCGTGATGCTTGCTTCGAATCGTGAACAATGGTGCCAGCACGATACTCAATGGCGATGAGAGCGAACTCGTCAACAACGTAAATTCCCTGTTTTGTACAATTTCTAGATAATTTCGACCACGATGGTTTAGACCTGGGCAGAAGAGATGTAGAACCACTTCGACACTACGAACGAGTCAGTTGAGTGTATGCCAGACGCGCGGCATGTCAACTTACCGCTGGGGTCGATCGGCGCAGGCGGCTTGCGCGAGTCCGAGGGAAGAGAGGTGTACTCCGGGTCGTCGCGCGAGATGAAGCCAGGAGAGTTGCTGATCGTGATGTTTTTGCTACGAAAAGATTAGACCAGCACAACAGATGGCGTGTTCGACTCACATCGAGATGTCCTTGGCGGCAGCCTCACCAGTGACAAGGCGCTTCCAGGCCTCGTGGCACTCGTGGATGATCTCGGTGGCGTACTTCTTGTTCTTGGCCTCGCCAGAGAACGCGAAGGTGTTCTCGCCCTTGCCATCAGGGATCTTGTAGATGCGGAACCACTCGTTCGTCGCGCGAATGAGGCCGGGCTGGTGGCGCTCAACGTCCTCAATGTCGTTGAGCTTGGACGCGAGGGGGTCGTTCACGTCAACGACGATGACCTGGCAATCTAAATCAGCGTGTGCAAAGAAGCACGGGGCGCGGCGCCTACCTTCCAGTCGGTCTCACCCTCGTCGATCAGGGCCATGATGCCGAGGACCTTGACCTGCTTGACCTGGCCGACGTAGCCGACCTGCTCACCGATCTCGCAGACATCGAGCGGATCGTTGTCACCCTTGGCCTTCGTCTCCGGGTGAAGGGCGGAGGGGTCCTCCCAGGTCTGTGCGATGGACGATCAGGACGCGGAAAACGCGTGTCGGACGCGCGACGCACCTGAGGGAACATGCCGTAGTTCCAGATGTAGCCGTGGTGGGGGAAGCAGTTGCGGACATAGCGCAAGCGGCCCTTCTTGATGTCCTGCTTGATGGGGTTGAAGGCCTCCTCCTTGCTGGTCTCCATCTTCGCGTTCGTCCAGCGGGGGACCTCGACGATCATGTTGAAGATGCCGTTGTTCTGGTCCGCGAAAAGCGGGACGTCGTGGAAGGGCGAAATGACATTGCCGTTCTGCTCGAGGAAGGTGCGGTGCTCGAGCGTGTTGGGCGCGCCGATGATGCGGGTGCCGTACTCTGCTGGGAGTGTGAGGGGTGCATCGGGCGATTTCGGGAGACGCTGGGAACGTACGGGACATGGTGGGCGGAGCAGAAGAGGGTGAAGAGGAGAGGAGGCGAAGCTGGAGCGATAATCTGCGGTGTGCACTCGTATTTGTACCAGACGGCATCGGAGCGCCAGCGGTCCGCCGCAGAGCCGGCGCGAATTCGGGCAGGAACTGTTGGCTGCCAGGTCACCGCCGCGGTCGACTGCTCAGCTCAGCACGCACGTTACGGACAAGTGTATGCCCCCGCCGCCACACGAGCCCACTCGCTGACATCCCCGACAAATAATCCAAAGACAACCGAGCAACCCGCAGACGCTTCGGTCACCGTCTCGTCCCGGTCTCCCACGGCCCACGCCGCGTCGATCAGTCGTCCATAGTCTGGTATAGCACAAGTAGCCAGGTATAATATAGCGCAGTGTTACCCTTCAAACCACCCCGACAGCGCCATCTCCTCCCCCAGTCCAGCCCAGTCGTGCCGTCGCGCTTTGCGTCCGGATAGCTCGGTGGCGAATCTAAAAAGACATGAGTGCTAGCCAAATCACGCTCTAACTGTCGCACCTAAGGCACTCGTCCAGCCGCCACCGTCCACGCTCGGCCTCTGCCACCTCCTTTGCCGTCATATCTCCAGAGGCAGGCGAGTATGGCGCGCCAGGCATAAGCCTTCGCGTCAATGCATAAATCATGCCAGCAATGAACGCGTCGTGCGCGCCTGCCTCGTCCAGGATATCCTCTCCTTCTTCACCAGGCATTGCCGTGCCCTGCGAGTCCGCATCGCTCTCATCCCGACGTTGTCTTCTCCTCGAGGACGCTGGCGTTGTCGTGCGGTCGGAGAAGGTGTGGTCCGAATTACTGTGCCCGTCGGCCCAGAAATCGCTCGCACTTCGCACCGACTGTATGTCGAGCAGCACGTCTTCGGTAGCGAGGCTGTCAGGACGTCGTGCACCACCAGCCAATCGAGCGTCTTCCACCCAACCCGAACTCTGGAAGTATTCGCGCGTGGGCATAGATAATGCCGCAGCTCCCTCGGTACCCCAGTGTGCGACAAGGAGCGCATGCGGCGGTGCGACCGAAGTCAGCGATAGCAGAAATGCGCGCGGCGTCGCCGCGTACTGTGCCCCTGCGGCTCGTGCATAGTTCTTGCTCAAGAAGATTACATCGGCGTGAGGGATCAGCTACGATCACGTTAGCTAGCCGATAAGGGGATGGTATGCAATACGTACCGCTTCGACGCCTTGTCTACCTCGTTGACCGACATCGATGCTGAAGACGCAGTGATTGCGCCACTTGCGCTCTCGTGCAAGCCCATCGAGCCCAGTGATGTTGTTCAGTGTCGTCTTTACCGAGCGTCCCTCGAAGTGTATCCACTCAAACGGTGCAGGACTGTTCGGATTGGGTAGTGGTCCAGCGCGTGAGCTCGATGCGGACGGTCTCGGGGATGCCGGCGGAGGTGGCACATGAGAGTGCGCAACAAAGGTTGGGGACGCCGATGGTGACGGTGTCGGTGGATAGTTGTAGTTCTCTGGCGCCAGCACCGGCCCCAAGAGCGATACGAAGTCTTCGTGTGAGATCTCCGGGAGGGGATTATGATTGATCACGCTATGCGTGTCAGTGTCCGCTAGGATGCTAGTCGATCAGCTTTGCACGACCTTGAACCATCCCCCCTCAATCAACGCACCCGCATGCAGGACCCAAGCAGTGGGGACGCCCGCCGCCATCCATATCTTGCAGAATCGCGTGCCGACGCGCTCCCGCTCGAGCTCCCTCGCGATCGCGCGGCCCTCCTCGTTCCCCGAGAGCGGCGCGACGAGCTGCGCGTCGACGCCGGGGAGCTGTGCCGCGACGGCGAGAATCGAAGAAGCCGACCCGCCGCGCGATTTGCGCACCGCGTGCGCGCGGACGGCGGCGGCGGGCGCGGGGTGCGAGGGCAGCGCAAGGTGGTAGGTGAGGAAGAGTGTGCCGGACGCAACGAGGCGAAGTGGGCGGGTGGGGGCTGCGTTGGCGAAGTAGTCGCCGCCGCCATCGCGGCGGAAGGGCCTATTCATGTCCGTGGACGCGTCGGGCAAGGGGATCGTGGCACGTGGGGGCGCAGATCCGTCATCACCAACTTGGTCGAGGAGATGATTACAGCAACATCGATTATTGTATGCATTGTACGCCCAATGTCCACAAGTGTAAGTACACCACGCCATAGATACATCATGCCTCCTCCTCGCTCTCCGACGCGGGCTCTGGCACATACCGATTATACTTGTCCTGGGTCTGCTCGGCTAGATAGCGCTGGAGCATTTCTTCCCTGCTCAACTGCCGAATCTCGAACCCTTCTGATCCTCTTCTCATCATGGGCTGTCGCATCTGAAACTCCTCCGATTCCTCGCTCGACGAGTAGTCTTCCTCATACTGTGCTCCCTCCTGATAGTCTGGGTGGTATGGAGGAACAGCGGCACGTCGTCGTCGACGAGAACCTGACGAGTCTCCTCGGCGGATTTGGGCGTTCGTGGGTCGAAGTGCAGGATTGAATCCTCCGTTCTCGTATGTCCATGGTGATGAAGGCAGTCCTGCGAAATCGCCTTCGGGCTGTTCATGTGGGTCCTCGGGAGGCCAGGAGGACGCGGTAACACCTACAAAGAGCGCGTCAGCGACAGGGACCAAACTTTAGGCGCGCTGAGTATGCACATGAGTGACGTGCGCGGGTGAGGGCGCAGGCGAGCGACTTACAAAGAGCATCAGACGTAGTCCAAGCCTGCATTCCTGCGTCTGTCGCGCGCGTACACCTCACGCATCGAGAGCCCTTGCGGGCTGATGACTTCGTCGTCTCGAACGCGCTGCTCCTCGCCCCGAGCGTGCAACTGCTGCTCATAGCGTGCGTAGTCCACCATCTCTACCCACTTACCATTGTTGACGGCATCGTCCGATATACGGAAGGATAGACCGTCGCCGTGTGCGGGGAGTGGGCAGCACCATAGAAGAGGATTGTCACCGAGGACGGACTTGATGTTGTTCAAGCGACCGACATGCTGGTGAGTGCGTCAGTCGAGGTCGAGTTCGAGAAGTAGCACGAACTTACGTAGGGGAACTTGACCTCTTGAATCTTACCTCTTCGAACGAGGGTGGCAACGCGATCCTTCTCTTGGCCTTCGATGGTCGTGCTGTTGCTCATGAGGCAGTAGAAGTGATATATGCTGCAAAACATCAGACAGGGCATCAAGCGAGAGAAAGTAGGCCCTACCTGAACCCTCCGACCGCAAGTAGTACCGGTACACATGCGACAAAATTCAGGATAATGAAGATGAGCTCGTTGCTGCTTATGCGTGTCTGTCGGCGGGTTAGCCAATGTCAGAAAAAGGCAAAGGTGGGCCCACCCAGTCCCCTCGCGAGGCCGAGTCGCGACAACGTTGGACGAGCATGAAGAGGTGATAGGAGCAGCAGACATCCACGTAGAAGAGGAAACGGAGGAAGAATGGATAGTTGAAGTGACCGACACAGTTATTGATCCAAGGACAGTGATGATCTGGCATAAATGAACAAGCTGTGATACGAGACAGCGAGAATTGCGCGTACCCATGCGTAGTACACATCTACAAAGGGTAAGCATGCGAAAGAGTAGGAAACGGCGTGGCGCACCTATCGCAGTGTCGGCAATGATGGGAGCGTGGGGGCTTGTATGCATCGCATGCGCGGCAATAGCGCGGTCGTCCGCTTAGCTTCTTCACTTCAAAGCCGTCCGCGCTCGTGTCCGGTACCTACACGTCGATCAGTCAGCCTGCGCGGATCGTCCCGCCAGATCGCACGCACCCATCCGCGGGGAACCCTGCCTGGGTCTACGAGAACACATTGCGCGTAGTTGTAGAAGAGAACACCGACTAGGAAGCTACGCGCTATGAGGTACATGAACTCGAGAGAAGTAAGGGAACGCGTACTTGAACGGCAGGAGCAACTGAAGCAGCTCTACGCTAAGGACGCGGCCATACCAGGGCCATATCACAAATATTTGCAGCGTATACGCAATGAATGAGATTAGACAGACAGTGAAGAACACGACGAGCCGGCCGAGGAAGCCGCTCATAGTCGACGAGGAGGGCAAATGGTGAGTTGGGGACTCAGCCACAGCCGCCGAGCAACAAGCCCGGAACTTTCGGCCCGCAGCCGGCGCCGGCATAGACCGCTGCTGGTTTTTGCTCTTGACACCGTCGCCTGACGCCGACGCCGAGCGATGCACAGACTGAGCGCGCCCAAGGCGGCGCGGACCCTCATATGCCGCCATAACTCGACGCTGCCGCCGTCGCAGCCGCCGTCGCAGCCGGCCAAGGCAGCCCCGCGCATCGTCTCTGACTTTGGGGGCATAAATATTGGTGCGTGGGCAGTATCTAGCTTCTGTACGACGTGATAACGTGTTATGTGCTACAGACAGCGGCGCGGACATCCGCAAGAAGCAAAACGCGCCTTCAAGTCTCGCTGCGCGACTTGCAGAGGCGAGGGGCAAGACCCCGCACGTTGACGCGAAGACATGGCGCTCGAAATGGCAGACGGCGGACGGAGTGCCCCCACCATCCCAGGATGCTGCTCCACAGAAGCCGATCTCTGCCTGGCCGACAGCCAGGCCCGCGGCTCAGAAGCCCATGCCCTGGGAGAAGGCCCCCGAACGCCGGAATGCTCGGGGTCCGCAAGCTTGGGGACAGCGGGACGGACATCAGCGCGGTGGTCAGCGTCAAGGACAGCGCGCGGGCCGGCAGGACTCGCGCCCGCAGCAGCAGCAACAGCGTCGTCGTCGCCGGGATGAAGACGAAGACGAAGGCGACATGGCTGTGCCCAAGCTCGGAGGACAGGCGGCAGTTGCAAGGGTCGAGTCCTCGACCGTTGCAGATATTCAGAACCTCCTCACTCTCTCCCCTGGCCTCGCGGACACGATCAAGAATGTCCCTGAGCTCGCCCCGGCTGTCCAGAAGGCACTCACTGCTCGTACTGCGCCGACCAGGCCTAAGCCTGACACGTTCCGTGTGGTTATGAACGGCGCCGTCTTCGACTTGCCCCTCGATAGCACAACGGAGGATACTGTCGCTGCGCTCCGGAAACAGTACCAGTCCGCCATGCGCGTGATCTCGCCGCGCTCCCCTCGTATCATTGGTTTCACTGTCGATGACGTTCCCGAAGAGAAGCAGGCTGCATGCCAAGCCACGCTCCTTGAGCTTGCCGAGCGCGCCCCAGCAGAGGCGTTCGCGGCAGCAGACGAGGCCGCGCGCCTCGACCTCGCTCAGTCGGTGCGCCTGCGCGACGAGCACGCCCTTCCGCCGCCCAAGTTCGTGCAGAAGCTGCGCGAGGGCTACGTGAACGAGGATGCTCTCGACGAATACATCGAGGGCGCCGCCTGGCCGCAGGAGCGCGATGAGAACAAGCGCAACGTCCCTGACGTGGACTTCCTCGACCTGGGCAAACTGCTTGACGCGCCGGAGGGTCTGGGAGAGACGGAAGGGAAGGCGGGCAAGGTGCGCGACAGGACTGCAACGGAGGTTGCTGCGCCACCGTCGGAGCACACGCTCGAGGCGCGCGGCTATGGCAGGTTCTCTCCCGTCGCACAGGCGCCCAATGTCGCCGCTATCGCACTGGCGGGTGCGGGTGCCCGGCGGACTGTGCCTCCCAAGCAGAAGCAGGGTGTCGTCGAGACCGCGAAGGCGACACTGGCGAAGCGACCTGAGGTTACGCTGTCTCAGCGTAATACGGCCGAGGGTATCATTCGGGACAGGCTTAGCAAGGCTTGAGGTATCATAGAATCCACACTGCATAATCGCTGCTCTGGTTTGTGTGTGCCCTCAACCTGGTATAGATGCTGGTAAGCGCCAAGCCCTCTCCAAATTTCCTCGTCCCGTCTTCCGGCCCTCAGTCATACAGTTGCTCGATGAACAACCGCTCCTTGTCCCAAACCCCCTCTGTCCAATATACGTCCTCCTTGATCCTAGCCCAGCAATCTTCGAGCGACGGGAAGACGTAAACCATGAAGCTTCCGGCAATACGTGGTGTCCCTTCGGGGAGGTCAGCGTCGTGCAGACTTGTGCCCGGACGTGGGGCCAGAGGAGAGCCGTAGACTGAGGAGGAAGCAAGATCAGTTTGGGACGCTTGAATGGTCTGCACTAATACTTGCTCTGCACTTTGTTCTCCTGGTCCCCCTTCACTCGTTCTAGGTGCCTCGGACGGACAGCGAGGCGCTGCTCGAGACGGTCGGGATAGTCTGGTGCGTAGACGAGGAATCGGGGCATCGTGAAGCGGCGATTGAGTGGCTAAGAGCGAAGATGCTCTTGCGCTTATATAGGAGCGGTGGCCATTCATCTGACTCGAAGACCCGGGATTAGGGCGGTATCCGGGCCGTCCTGATGAACTTATATGTTCTTCCTATGGCGAGAGTTTATGGATATCTTCTTGAGCAGATTGACGAATGGGCGACCTACCATGCTACCATCTTAAAAATGATTATAGTATCATTGTACTTCACGGAGAATCCTGATAGTCGGAGGCTGCCAACGCACGATATATATTGTCCCCATTTGGAAGGCATTCACATCACCGTTTGGGACGTCTTGTATTATGGCGGGCCGGATCGCCGCACAGTGTTCCTGCTTCCCGTCACGACGTTGCCGATGGAATCCCCAACGCTTAGGGCAACGGACCTCGCCCACGACGTCGCTCGCCTCAACATCGACATAGACATCGACGATGCGTTCGAGGATGCCGACGAATCCCACACGTTCTCCCCAGAAGCTCTCCGCAAAGACCTTGACGCCCATCGGACATGGGTAGCCGCGGACATCAACAACGGTCTCGAGCAGGAGGGCGTGTTCACCAACGGCGCGCCCATTCAGGACGACGCGTCTGTCTCCACGCTCGCGCTCTCCGCCTCCGGCTCGCCTTCCCCAGACGAATCCTTGGCGCACTTCTCGCAGATCTCGTTATCCTCTTCCAGAAGCGCACCCTCGCAGGAGGAGGAAGTGCACGAAGAGAGCGCTCACGAATACCCGAACGTCCAGATCGACGTTCCAACCCATCAAGTCACTATGTCTGGCGGCAGCAACGGGTCGAGGGAAAGCGCCGGATCGCACAGCCCTTCCACCTCGGACGCGGGTGGAGACCTCCCCCCTCTGCCTACTATCAAGTCCGACCATACCCCCAAATCATCCATCTCTTCCATGCCGCCCACTACACCTACTGCCTCTACCTCCGTCCCCGCCGTGGCCGCAGCCGCAGCCGCGGCTACGGCAGGTCCATCTACCCTCCCCCATTCGACCTCCGTGCCGACCCGCTCCCCGGAGCCGAGCGCATCCCCTCCCAACCCTCCCAACAAGCTGCTCAAAGCCGGTCATCGCCAAACCAAAAGCACCGGCCCGAGTACGTTTGAGAAAGTCCGGAGTCGCACCCGCCCGGCGTTCCTCCCGCCCAAGCCGCGGCAGGAGGACGACAAGCACCTCGCAGACTGGCAGGCCATGATGCGCCTGTCGCGACAAGCAGGTGCGTTTATTCGCCTCGGGCACCTCATCATATATGCTGACGCATTGCAAGCGGAGAAGCGGCGCAAGGCACTGCAAGAGCGCCGCCTCGCTCGCGAGCGCGCGATTGAGGACTCTTTACACCGATGGGAGAAGGAGATCCTTCCTGACTGGCGCGTTGTGCACCGCGATCCTGCGTTACGCAAACTGTGGTGGAAAGGGATACCGACGAAGCTACGGGCGCGGATGTGGCAAGCTGCGGTAGGGAACGCTCTCGCGCTCAGCTCAGGTGTGTAGTCTCACGCCTACCCTGGCCAACAACATGCTTATGTGAAGCGTGCAGACTCGTACAACCCATGCATCGCGCGAGCGCGACGCGCATTGGCCTCGGGGACATTCCCTCAAAGTACCCTCGCCGCTATCGAAGCCGATCTCGCAACCACCTTGCCCTCATTGCACATCTTCCATCACGAGACGGGCCCGCTATACGGCGAGCTAAAGGAATTGCTCTGCGCTTGGGTAGTCGCCAGGAGCGATGAGGGTCTCGGTTATACCAAGGGCGCGTCAAGGTTGGCAGCGATGCTCCTCATCACCATGCCTGCTCAGCAGGCATTCGTGGTGATGCGGAACCTGTTAGAACGTCATTGTATGCGCAGCTTTTACGGCGGAGAGGGCGCGAAGGACGACGTGAGCTTTCAATTTCGTGCTTCTGCTACAATTACTGACGTGCTGCAGGTCGAAGCTTACTACAGGTACGCCGTCTCTCCCTTCTGGCACGGCCGACGCAGACATTCATACCGGTCAGGATATTTGACACCCTGCTTGCAGACGGCATGCCCAAAAGTACGTCGCGCTGGACAGTCATGTTGCACCATATCGCTGAACACCTATGCCAGTCTACTTCAACTTCAAGCAACACCAAATATCGCCTGCATCGTACCTACCGGATTGGCTGATCCCATTATTCCTCGACCACTTGCCTTTCGAAGCGTGCGCTCGCTTGTGGGATGTGATTCTGCTCGAGGGCGACCCATTCCTCTTCCGCGCCGCGCTCGGTATGCTAGCCGTGCTCGAGCCGCGCCTGTTCTTCCCGGACAAGAAAGAGCTGTTAGAGCTGCTCAAGTGCGTTCACATATTGTGCGTAGTTGGGTGCGTCTGACGCTTGCTGTAGGGGCGAGAACAAAGCCGCAATCGATATAGCACGTCGTGATGGGCTACCCCTGGATGGCGGGAAGTACGAGATTTACGGCGTCGATGAAGAGACGCTGTGGGAGCGCATCGACAGCATGGAGGACTGGTGGAAGGAGAGTACATGGAAGCGGCTCACTCAACGAGAGCTACCCGATATATAGAGTGCGTCCTTGGGTACGTTTTCGGGGATGACTTTGCTGACGGGGCATATAGCTGAGGCAAGCTCTCACAACACTCGGCCGAAGCATGCGCTTACAGTATACCTATTCGCATTGTACCATGACATATTTATTGACCTGGTGAAATAGAGTTTTCGAGCCATATTTCCATGTCGGAGGGGTGGGACGCCTTGGTTTTCGACTATATGCATCAAGTTTATGCTCCAAACCCCAAAGGAGCCCTCACCTGATGCGCTAGCGCTCACCTGCTACCACTGCGCCAATGCCCCTGCCCACCGTACGCTTGCATCCTCACAAGGACCACCCAGTTTCTTGCGCGAGCGGACCTCAGACAGACTAATACATTCTCGACAGCAATACAACATCCTACAAAGACAGGCGCTACTTATACCATTATACCATTATCTAGGCAACAGCTCAGTCCGGCGGCGAAGCCTATAGTCCATGTACACGCGAGTCCATATGTGGATGTCCGAATCACCCCAGGAACTCCTCGATTCCCTCCAGCACACGACGCCAGTACGCCTGCACCGTCTCCTTCTCGAACCCATTCTCGTCGTAACCAAGGCTGACCCACAGCTTGCCTGCGAAAGTGTAGCCGAAAAGCAACATCCCGCCCGCCCGCTGCCGCGAGCCTGTCGTGAGGGTGTGCATCTTGATTGACCCGAACGTCGCGTGTTTGTACATCCCGTCCAGGTTCCCGAGGAGCGAGAGACCGATGAGTGCAGTGGAAGGGATCTTGGGCGCGGTGCTGGGAGTTGGCGCAGAGGCTGGCTTGGATGCTGGCGGCGCTGCGACACCGTCATCCTCCCTCGCCCACTGCCGCGCTCGTACACCGCGTTCGCGCGCCGTCTCCCGAGCGCGAGGCACGAGCATGGGACTCTTCGCCGCGCGCGTGCTCTGCGCCTTCGCAGCGCGGGCGCGAAGCCAGAAGGTCTTCGCCGCATCCGCGGGGAGGAAAGACGGTAGAACGACGTTGAAGTAGCCGACGGCGAGGAACCAGTACGACTGGTTCAGTGCTTTCTCTGCGAGGAGGTACGGACGCATGTTGAGGGCCGAGTACATCATCCTTGAAAGATATGTGAGTAAAGCTTTTGCTTATGAGTATAGGTATTGATTCACATAGGGAGCTCCCAGTTCCCGTTGGCCGTGCGAGCCCAGGCGATGTTGCAGATCGCGAAGAGCGCGGCGGAGATGGAGACGCCGTGCTCTTTGCATCTTTTCAGCATAGCCTTCGTCCGGTCGGCAGAAAATGGCACGGTGGGAACGATGGTATGCCTTTCCTTCCCCTTCGCACGCGGAAAGGCATGACCACCCTACAAAAGGTCAGCAACACCGAGCGTATTCGACTTCAGATGTACGCACAATCTGCTTCTCCTGGTAGCGCTGGTAGTCCACACGCTCGGCGGCACGGCGCAATCTACTTTCAGGTGATGCTGGTAGTCTATCCTCCGTTGCTGCAGGCAAAGCCAATTTCTATGACACGCAGGTGAAACTTCAACATGAACGGACACGTGACCGTGCGACATACCCCGTCGGTTGCGCGTCTGACCGCCGCGCGCCACTCGTCTTCGACCAACTTGGAAAGTTCATCTTCGCTTGCACCACCACCCAAAAGCCCGAAGAAGTCGTTCGCGAACGTGTGGAGTGCCATCCCATCGCCCAAGAAGTGCGTCGCGCAGATCAGGATGTCATGGTTCGGTACGTTGTTCGGGGAGGTGTCCAGCGGTCCTGGCGAGGCCGGGGGAGTCGGAAGAGCAGTGCCAGCGGTGTCAGAAAGGATGAGGTAGGACAGGCGCTCGTTGTGTAGCGTGCGCGGGCCGTTGAGGTAGGCGTCGATCAGTGCTAATGGGGTGCGATGAGTTCGCTGCGCCGCGATCTATGCTGAGATGCGTACCGTCCTTGTCCCCCGCGCGATATTCAAGCGCCTGATCAGCGTTCCCGAGGGCGGCGGCCAGTGTAGGAGGGGGCGTATACCTATGTCTGACGTCAGATCGAATTTTGGGGACACAGTAGGCATGAAACGCACACGAAGCGAATGTCCTCGTAGTCGCGCATGTCCACCTGCGAGGCGAGAAGTGGATGCCTCAGGCGGAGAAGAGCCCAGACGAGGCGTACGCGGGAGCGGCGCATCAGCGAGGCGGGGGCATGGAACCCCAAGTGCAGGTACCTGCGGCGTTGTCAGACGTGCGCGATGAAGAGGAGGGGATCGGTACACACATGTCGTTCACGCCATTGGCTCGTGCTGGCAGAAAGTACGAGGCCTCTGTGTCGCTCAGCTGCCTGTGCACGGTCGTCACCTTCTCTAGGACTGGGGCAGTGGTCGCGAGCTCGGCAGAGACGGTCATGGCTAAAGATGGGGAACGAGAGGACGAGGAGGGATGCTGTAACCTCTAGGAGCAGGCTTTGAAGTCACGGAGGGAGCTAAAGGGCGATGGTCTGACCCGGTGAAGGATGGGGTACTCTATTGATAGTCGACAATTACAATCCTCATATGCAATCGCGATGCAATCGTCCATGCGGCGATGGCGAAGAGTGCATTCCGACCGTCGGCCCTCGGTGCGGCTGAGAATGCCCGTGGCCGTCTCCATCCCGTCGTGGTTCGGGTGGGTGCATCGCCTGGCCGTCCGAAATTCGAATTCCACGGTAGAGGGGAAACGGACGAAAAATGCGCGATGGACATGACGCGAAACGGCGCGGCACAACGCGTCGGCAGACGCGCCTGCCAGCCAGAACAATGCATTCATTCTCGAATTGGACAGTGATCGAGGAGCGGAACCAAAATTGGTCGCGAGGGGGGTCCTGTCCTGTCACTGCCGGCGGCACAACGGCGGCACCGTGATGCCGTCATACAATCACGATCAGCATGTTGAACTTCTTGTCACAGACGGTCACCTGGCCATATATTTCTTTCCGAAAATTCTGCTTTGGACAGGTCCCTTACAACGTCCTTGTTCGTCTCCATCTTCCTAACCCAGGTGACATCTTTCTTGCGTGCCAGATCTTTTCGCTGCAACCTGTCCTCACGTACAACATGCAAAACGCCTTCTGGAAGGCGCGCAACCCTCCCGGACTTTAGACCCGTTTAGACCGCCGCCGACTATCGCCACTTAGCCTGGAAATTCAGCGACAGTAGTGTATGCACCATGCTGCTGAGGCGTGTACTGGGTGTTGACGGACACGCGGCGGAGCCCCTCGTCTAGCCCTTCGTCAAGCATACGATCCTCCCCTCATCCTGAGTAGATGAATGTGTTCGCATCGTGATATCCGAGATAACTTCACTCCCCGCGCGCTCCTGAATACACCAGCACGACAGCCCGATAGTCGGCGCGACATCTGGCAGCAGGGGTACGTCTGCCACCAGCTAATTCCCGCCTAACCCTGCTATACAGAAAGGGCGCTACGCCGCCCCGTTGCTTCAGAAGCAGCAATCCATCTACCGCTAGGGACTCCCCATCCTCTAGTGAGCCCCGCATCATGATGATGTACGCCTCACGCCGTATACGGACGCGGCGTGGATAGCGCGTATCGGGGGCGCGCCATCGATTCAGACAGCAGCGCCGGTCCAAAATGGCAGGCGGCGCGTGCGAGATCTAATTCATGGGCCCTCGCTGCTTGCCTTCCAGCCTCGGCGCTTCGCGGGTACCCGGTCAGGCTGATTCGCCACCGACGAAGACGGGGTGCCTAGGAGGACCTGGGGGAGGCGCCGGGGTAGCATTGGACCCCGAGGGGGCTGCCGTATACCGCACACTGTACGTGAACTCGGGTGTATACCGAGAGCCGCTGTCCAGGGCTTGGGCGCTTGGATGAATTACTGGACGCTCGAGGGCCTTTGAACACATACATTTTACTCAGTTACACCGATGCGTCTTTCTATATGGGTCCCTTGGCGCTCATAGCGTCTCTGCGGCAGCGATACCTTCTCGAGGGATTTTCCGGCCTCGAAATTCGGACATTCCCCTCGGAAGTTCGCCGTCACCCCTCATACAGTCAACTCGCGCACGGCGCGCCGCCTCCGTCCCCTCAGCTGGGGAAACTCGATAGGCCTAATTCGCGCTATACATGTCCGTGGGCACGTAAACAATGTTGTCGCTGTATGGGATCCGCTTAAATTCGTGAGTAAGTAGTCCGACTAGTAGCTGCAGTAGTACGGAGTAGTAGTAAACATGTCCATGTTGAGCGAATGTATGGATGTCCAGAGTGTCCGACGTCCGTCGTTGATAAGTAATAAGCAAGATGGGGCGTAGCTGAGTACGACGGACAGATCAACAAACAAACAAGAAGTGTACAACAGCAGCAGGGTACAGATGCATCACATCCAAGATTAAACACGCCCGACCTTCGTATCGCGGGAGCAGCGCGCCCCCGTCGTGCCCCTTCCGAACTGCCAATTGCTAGATGCATTCGGGCGGCAGATGCATCCAGGTAGTAGCATCGGCAGAGATCCACACCGTCTCCCGCGTAAATTCGCCCTATGTTCGCAGGCCCCCATCCCGTGCCCCCCGCGTTAGTGAATTCATTACGCCCTTTCCCTTTTCTCGTCCTCGGCGCTGAGGGGCTGCAATTCCTCGCTCGTACCCGCCTCCGCCTCGACATCACGGCGCGGCGGAGGATTCTTCGGTGCCTGCGCGGCCTCGGTGTTTCTGATCCATGTGTACCACCTGTAAAAGGTTGATTTGTTAGTACGTGTTGCGTGCATATAACGATGGGCTGATGAGATGGGCTCATATCTGTGAGATCAAGCAGGGATTTTCCAGCAGCTTAACGCTCGGTAGACCAGTGAAGCCGCCGTCCCGCTGGAAAAGGTAGCCAGGCATCTCGCAGCCAAACGCACGGCATCCTCTTCTCTCCGAAGTCTGTTGCCCCTTGCACGGCCATGAGCCGCTTCGCAAGGCTTCTGCGTCCTCGAGACGCCTTCTCTCGTCTGCACGGAAGATACCTGCCACGGGGAGAGGAACAAGTAGCACTCACATCGTGCCTGCAAGGATAATGAAGATTGAACTCGCGCGGTTTCTGCAGCGGCGATGGGACGTTAGCGGGTACCCAAATACGATGGGAGTGCCTATCACATACACTGTCAGAATATCGTGGAAGATCCAGACCCCGAGGAGCGTCTGAAGGACCGAGCGGGCAGCCTGTCCATGCGAGAGCAGCATCGCGGTCAGGGACAGTCCATTGAACCGAGTTTAGGACGAATCGCAACATGGGCACACGCGGATAAAGAAAGATGAGTGAGTATGTGGCGGGGAAAAGAGCGGCGCAAAAAGACGTACAGAGGAAAACATGTGCGTGATGGGGCTCGTGACCTTTATACTGAGAAGACCGGCAACGCAGAGGAGGAAGCCAAAGAGGCCGGTGACCAGGCAACCCCACAGGAAGACACCGCCTTGCCAGGTAGAGGAGTTCGCGAGCGTGCGGAGGACACTCGGTTCTCCTGTCAGAATAACGAAGGGGAAGAGGAGTATCGCCGAGCCGGCGTTCGTCCACCAGGCGAGTTCGATGGTCGAGTTGTGGCAGTAAGGGAGGGAGGACTTGATGAGAACGGCGTGAAGTGCAATCATGAGCGAGGATAGCACTCCATAGACGAGCGAAAGCATAGAAGGTTTCGCGGTAATGGGGATATCCTTGTTGGGAGCGACGCCAACGAAGAAACCCAAAGTGACGACACCGGCTGCGGCCAAAACCTTCTTTGAAGGTGTGGACTTGGTGTGCACGCTCGACACAAATATCGTGAGAGGGAGCTGCAATCCACGGGCAATCTGGAGTGAAACATGAGTGATGCACGAGAGGACCGAGGCGAGCGCTCACTTGGAAGAAAGATGCCTCGACATCGCGCAAGCATAGGGTGTTGAAGACAAGCCCAACGATGTTGACAGTCACGACAGGAACTAGCTTCTTGGCCGTCTCAAGGTCGGGCTTGGGAAGTGCGATCTTTGAGCTGAAGAACGCAGAGACGTGGAGGAGGATGACCGCGATGAGCAGCTGGACGAGCAGGAAGAGGAGGGGAAGGTCGGGGGAGCTATTGAGGACGGCCTTATTGCTGTACGCGCGTTAGCCGAGGGCGCGATCATAGAGGGGACAACGCGTACACGAAAACCATCTAGCACGCGCCGATGAGCAGGGACAGTGGACGTAGCGAGCGCGAGACGTACCACGAGCGCGGCGGACATGTAGAAGCTGACGACGCCAGCGACCTTGAGCGATTCCGGGTTGATGGGCGCCATGATGGTTCTGGTCAAGGTGCGTCGGACGTGCGCACTGGCAGCCAGCCTGCGCTCTTGTAGACATCGCCGCTAGCCCGCGATCGGCACTCCGCGGTGGACTGCCGGTCCGCGCGCCGGAGGGGGTCCCCCGGGCGTCGGGCGCGTGCCGGGCTGATCGGGGGCCGGGAGTATCAATTGACAATCTAGATCCACGAACCAGCTTGGTGCACTCCATTATAATTCGCCTGTCCGCCTCCTCACGGCCTCTCTTCCCCGCCCATTCCCCGAGCGCGTTCCTGCCTGGCTGCCATGTCGCTTTCGCTGCATTCCCGCCACTCGAGTGTAGAGAGCAAGGCCGCGCTCCTGGGCGATGCGCCACGCTCCCCCGACGACTTCCTCCCCACCAACATCCCCCGCTCCAGCAGGTCCCGACGCGTCTTGCTACTCGCGTGCGCGGGGCTCGGCGTAACTTCGATCGTCGCGCTCGCCACTTTCGCTCTCTGGTCCTCTACGTCCTCTAGCAATGGCCAGCAGCCTCCGCTCATTGTCCACCCGACGCATGAGTTCGAATACAACCCGGAGCATTACCTGATGGGTCCCCCAACGGACAGTTTCCGAGGTGCGCATCTTGCTTGAGTGCTGAGCTCCTGCTTACCGTCACACAGAGAATCTGCGTCCCGAGCTTCAGTACATCACTTCTTGGGTGTCCGCTGGCTGGACGAACGATGTCATGACCTACGTGCGCCACATCCCTCTCACACGCCCCTCGCATCTAATCGTCCCCCAGACGAATCTCATTTATCTCGCGATTATCACTCGCCGGATCCCAATCATCGGGGCTTTCACTCCCTCTCATGTCGGCAGCGACGTCCCTCCCATTCCTTTTGGCGAGGTCTTTGACGTCCCGCGTCTCTCCGAGGAAATCGGCATCCCAGTCTTGGAGTGGCACCAGGTCAAGGATTCAGAAAGCGAGGTCATCGATCCCGTTGGTTGCTGGAATATCTGGCAAACAATGCGCCCATCGGAAACTGTCGCTCACTACAGTCGCGTCCCCCACTTAGTCGGTCTAGGTGAGGTGGTATTGATCTACACCGTCGACCTTCATTCTGATGTCGTCCACCAGACATCTCATACACGAAGGTGCCACCCTCCGTTAAGCTTCCCAACACTGGACCCAACGATCTGCACGTGTCGTATTGGGCGCTGGCATCGCTCGGTTTCCCTCAAGAATACCAGGCCAATGTCGACCGAGAAGAGCACTCGCCTTCTCCTCAGCTTGGCCTAGAGCTGTTGCCAGATGAGCAGTTGATGTGCTTCGACTTCCTCTACTACGCGTCGGCGTTGAACGTACGTGCGCCTATTCTTACTTCGCGAACCCCGGCTAATTCATCGCAGACGTATGAATACGAGCATGACTACAGCCCAGCGTGGAACGCTGTCGCCGCCCACATGCACTGGGAGCCCAAGTTGCAGGCGCTCGCGGATTCCTACCTGCGCAAGACGTTCGGTGTCAGCGAGCATGATGACGTTCCTCCGGTACGCGCATCTTTTCGCCCGGCGTGACTGATTTCAGCTGACGCCAGCGCAGTACATCTCGCTCCACATTCGGCGCGCCGACTTTGCCGTCTGGTGCCAGCTGCCGGTGGAGGAGTGCTTCCCGCCGCTCTCCGCGTACGTGGACGCCGTGCAGGCCGTCAAGGACGAGCTGCTCGAGACGCGCGGGCTGTCGATCGAGCACGTGATCGTGACTAGCGACGAGCGGGACCCCGACTGGTGGCAGGAAATTGCGGCAGTCGGCTGGTCTTTCCCCGACCACTCGCAGACGTCTGCACTCTACGGAAAGTGGTGAGTGGAGAGTCCCCTACTGCGGCCGACTGCGCCGCTACGTGCTTTGCGTCATCGGCGGCGGGAGCTTCGAAGCCCGCGAAGCTTCTTTTGCCTTTTGATGTTCTTTGAGCTGTCTGTTAACCTCTGCGCAGGTACCCCGTCCTCATCGACGCCGTCATCCAATCCGGAGGCGTTGGTTTCGTTGGGACGTGGAAGTCCACCATGTCCACCATGGCTCGCCGTCGGTCCGAAACCTGGCACGACGGTGTCTCCCGCACCGTCGCCTTCCCTGCCTGAATGCGAGGACTCTGACGACCCACAACCAACCAGGACAACTGGACTGTTAAGAATTCTAACTTGAAATGGACTGCACGGAATCTATTTGTTTACTTACACGCCTGTACGACTTACCACTACATTCTCCGTGCTATGCACGCTCCCGTCTCGCTCTCCCTACACGCTGCTGTATTCGCAGCTTTCCCTGCAGCTAGCGCGCCCGCTGGCGCTTGCTCTATCACGCTCATTTGGACGCGAGCCGGACGCTCTACACTAACCATTGTATTTATACCACCTACCTTCATAATCGCTCCATAGCCTTGTTGAAATTTGTATGTTTCTGTATTCACCATAGAGTCGGGCGCCCGGCCGGAACCTTCTCAACCTCACTTGTTCTGAAATCAGGACCTGGTAAACATTTGGGGTGAGGGGGGCAGCCATCGGGCGGCGGGCCAGTTTGAGTTATAGTCGGGTGATTCGTTATGCCACTGATATGGACCGGCTGCCCGAGAACGAGGGGGTGCTAGAAAACGTGTTGTGGCACGACTGTATGTAACATGTTTTACGCCTCAATATGCCACCGAGGCGGCTGTACCTGTCCGCTGAGGCCCCCCTCCTATAAGCGGGAAGAATTGACAATGGCCTTGTGATAGACCGCGAACAATACAATCGCTTTGTCCAATGAAGGTGTCCAAGATAAGCCTACCAGTAGTCGACAAGGAGCCCCGACCTTCGCACCCCTCGACCTCCATACCTTGCAGCCTACGTCCCACCTCGCATCTCTAGTCCGCCCAGCCGCGGCACTAATGCGCCTGCCCGCTCTTGACTATGCCAGGCCTCCTTCACTACGCTAGCCCTCCCTCGGCCAGAATGTCCGTCCGCGCCGCGCGTCGAACCTTAGCCGCCGAGAACCCGCCATTGAAGTCGAGGCGCAGAAGTAAGCGCTCAACGTGCCGGCGGACATCTCCCGCGCCACCATCCAGGGCCTTCATCGTCTTTGATGCGCTGTGCAGCGCAGAGTAATTTGCCGTGCTGACGAAGGTTGCGCCTGCTACTGTTGCATTCAAGCGAGAGCGGGATGCGTCAGCGGCTGTTCCTGTCAGCGGTTGCTGGGAGGTTGATAAGGAGAGCTGCTCGTAGAAGTTGTCGAGTAATTCGCGGAGGGTCTAGATGAAGCTTCAATCAGCGGATGATTTACGCGTGTCTGCGTTAGCGTACCTCATTGATCTCTGCTACCACGACTGACCGCTCTTTGACCATCGCGCCCACATCCTCTCCACCCTCGCGCAGGCTTCCCTCAAACAACAGCGCAGGCAACACATCACCGCCCCACCGCTCGACTTGCGCCACAAACCGCTCGCACACCTCCAGCAGCGGGCTCAAAATGGCCATCAACGCCGAATTATCGAGCAAACATCCCGTAACAAGCCTCTCCAGATACGTCCCATGCAGAACGCGCAGCGTCGTAAAGTCCAACGCCACCGGACGCGATTCCGACTTGGTCTCCTTGCGCATGGACCCCGTGCTCGTTGTCGCGGTCAGCCCTGGGTCCCCCCGCGCTAGCATGCCCTTGAGGCGCACGAATTCGGCATCCACGACGTCCGTCATGAGGTAGCCGAGCAGGGTGTCGAGGAACCAGCCCATGTCGCGCACGATGCCCCAACCGCAGCGGAGCAGGCGTCGTCGGGCGCCCTCATCCTCGGCGGTGCCTCCTTCGCCCAAGCCCGTCCATCGTCGGCGTGCGCGTTGCGCGTTAGACAGGGCGGTCCAGCACGTGTGGACACGGACGTGCGTCTTCCGCAGCGCGGTCAGATATGCGAAGAGCGCCCCGTACGCGCTCAGGTCGGCAGGCTGCAGGAAAAGGTCGAGCGGCCAGGAGACTGCATAGTGTAGGGCTAACGGCGTTCCGAGAAGGCAGGATGCGAATGGTGAGAGTTCATTCGACTGCGACGATCCCGGCTGCGATGCGAGGGAAGGAAGAAGTGGCCGGAGAGGGCCGGTCGGCAGCGAGAATCGCAAGTGGCTGAGGGTTGGGTCATGTTGAGCGGTGGTGCCCAGGGACGCGCGTAACAGTGCGAGGTTCAGGTCCTGCTCGCGAATCATGGCGGACGGTCCCGAACGAGCTGTCAATCTGGATAATTTGAGGCGCTCAATTTCTCTAATGAGCGATAGGCAGAATTCCCCGTTGCGGATGAGGAAATAGTTCGCTCTAGTTGCAAAGATATGGTCAGAAGTGGATGACCGTGGAATAAGTCTCGCTTACAGGGAGTCTACCGCCTCCTCGACGTCTTTCCGGGTCAGAACATTCAGCCACAGCCACTCGCTGATGTTCGTGCGAATCTCGGTCACGACACGGTCGAAGGCGTGCTGATCCTCCGGGAGGGCCGTCTGCAACAGCGCCGCATGGTCCGACGCCAGACTTCGCGGTAGCTGCTTCTGCCATTTCGCTGCCTTCACCGTGCCGATTGCCCGTCCGACATATGCGATGGACTCTCGCGCTTGTGCGCTGACACAGCTCGGAACCGCACCGTCAAGCAGCGTGTAGTCCTCCGAAGCGAGTGGATCTGGTTGCACCAGAGTCCCGTGTATGAGAAACGCGGTCAGCTGCGTCATCCAGACGCGCTGAACCGCGGTGCAGAGGCGCGATATGACGTCGGCGATACGGCGGATGCCGGTGTTCGAGCGTGTCTGTAGCAAGTCGATGAGAGGTCCTGGTCGCCATCGTCCCTCCCCTTCGATCTCGTCCATCAGCGAGCATAGCGCAGCGAGCGGGGCGTCCCACTCGGAGAAGATCGCCCTGATTGAGGACAATGGGACGAAAGAGCCTCGAGCGACGAGGTCTGCGTCCCGCTTGAGTATCTTCGCTTCCGTGTCGACTACTAGCGCCTCATATTCGGACTTGAGAATGAGGCTGAGAGTCGAGCAGACGGCCGAAACATATCTCGAGGTCGACGAAGAAAGCAAAGTGGCGCAAGAGGTCTTTATCCTGCGATACCGGAGTGCGATCAGCCCTAGTGCTTCGATGCATTGCTGTTCTCCAGGGTGAAGCAGAGGCACGAAAGCGGAGTGAACCTTGTGGTTTTCTGGGAAAAGAGATGATGAATGGCCGCCCAGAACGAGTAGCAGTTCGGCGATCATAATTGCGTTGTACCGAGTCAGTTGCTTTGCGCTGCAAGACTCTAAATCTGCGCGGCAAAGGCAGTCAGAACAGGTGAACGATCGTGTCTAAGTTCAAGTTGCGCAACGCCGAACGCGACAAGTCACAGACACGTGCTATGGCGCGTGCACTGGCATTTGCCGTGTCACAGTTCGACCCGTCAAGTCCGTGTGAAGAGAGACAACCTTAAGATTCTCCCTTGGGCGCTCGGCATATGCGTAGCAGCATTTGTGACCTTATGCGATGATTGCAATACCTCTGGTGGGCATACAGGTGCAATACATACACTACAACAGGTAGAAATATACCCCATAAATACTACCCCTTACACCTAATAAATAACCTTTAGATATTCAGAGCACTTCGATTGAGGCGTTTGGCGCCGTTTTCACGGAGCCCACGATGCGGGCCGTGACCGCTTAGATGAAGTGCCAGTCGACGTCAATGTTACCCTCAGCGAGAGCAGCGAGCTGCTGGAAGGCGCCGCTCGAGAGATCGAGGCCGTTGGCGCCACAGCCAGGGCAAAGGTCGCGCACGGTGACGGTGACAGACCGGCCAGCATCTGCAAGTCACCGTCAGCGGATTGTCATGGAATCAATGTCGCCGAAGCACATACGAGTGGCAACAAGCTGTCTGCCGCCTGTAGAGGGGTCAGAGATGTTGCAGGACGAGAGTTCAAAGTGAAGCACTTACAGTTGGCACCGCCGAGGTACTGGTCCGACGAGAGGGCGACGATCATGTCCCCGTTCTGAAGCGGCTGGCCGCAGGCGCCGTAGCCGCCATTGGGGTCGTAGTAGGTAGCTGATGAACTGGTCAGTGATGTCATGAGTGCGTGGATGAGGAATCATCCCATACCGCGACCGAGAGTGCGAGCCTCAAGGGTGTTGGTGGGCGCGGCAAAAGCGGCGGCACTGAGAGAGAGGAAGAGGGCGAGCTTGGCGAACATCTTTACACAGAGATTGGAAGGAAGGAAAGAAGGGAGAGTTGCTGCTTTGCCTCGTAGAAAGAGATTAGAGGAGGTGGATTGCTGAGGACTGAGGCGCTTGTCCACCACCTTTTATATCGCTAGTTGCTGCAGCATGACTCACCTTTCCTGCAGAGCGACTTGCCTCATCTCCAGTTACGGAACACGCCCGCTACATGATCAGTGAATAGGATTGACCTCACCTCACTTCTGCGACGAAGGACGTTCAGGCCCCGCAGGGACATACCTCGTGTGAACCGCAATGGTCGCCCTCGAAAGCTCCTTGGGGATAGGAAGTTCCTAGCCAGGTCACACACAATGAATTGCCGGATCGGTCAGAATGGCGTATACGGGTGTCTGGGCTACGGGTCGTTCGTCTTGGCCTCGTGCGCCCGTAGGGTAAGGATATTGATTATTCAAGCTGACGCGAGCTGAGGATGAGGGCTGTGCAGTTATGAGCGCTCATCCATTGTCTCGACCTCGTCGTTTAGCGCTCACCTAGCGTCGGTGAAGGTGCGGCCCTGCGGAGGCACAAGGTAGGAGGAGAGCGAAGGAATAGTGTAGAAGAAGCTAACTTGCGAGGTCCTCGCGATCGCTCGCAATGAATGTCTTAGAGGTCCAAAGTACCCAGGGCGCATGTCTCAAAGAGGGTATTCGACAATAATGCGTTTGAACGCGACATCAGATTCAAGGCCGGGTATGGTACAAATGAAAGCCAGATACAAAAGAGATACTGTCAGCGCCCTGGTATCACCGTGGTCAGCTTCGTATGCAGGAAGAGCAAGACAGAACACGCACCCATGAAGATTTCCTAAGGTAGCGTACGCTGACTTCGCCAACAACTGTGTATTTACTCCTTGCGTGGCCTCTTCGCGTCAGGCTCCCCGTCCTTCGGCTTGAACAAATCGTTGCGGAGCCATGAGATACAACGCGCGTCATCTTCTGGCATTTCCCTGCCGCGCTTGCCAGCAGGCCTGTCGCCATTGAGAGGGAACTCTCTCTTCAAGCGTTCCAGGTAGGCCGCTCTCTGAGCGCGTCTATGTGAATCCTCCAGGCGCCTGGCTTCCGCCGCGGCAGTGCGAGCTCTCAGCGCAGCCTCGCGATCGCCCTCAGTCAGACCAGCCCGAGGTGCAGAGGAAGACCCCTTGACGCGGCCGGCGCCCTTGCTTCCGTCAGAGCGAGTGGAGGGCGTCGTGTTCTTGGCTGCGCCAACGTTGACTTTGGCATTGGCGACCTTCGCCGCAGGGACGCCACTAGCCTTCTTCGTCTGGCGCGAGGTTGGGCGCAATACGGTGGGCGAGGGTCGGGGTTTGTTGGAGCGTGGCTGGACCTGCTTCGCGCAGACGCGTTTATGCTCCTCCTCCGCAGCGTCCTGCTTCTCCTCTATGCGGTCGATATTGCGGGTGTGCTTGCGCATGATGAAGATGGGAATGTGGGCGTGGCAGCGTGGGCATATAACGTCGTATATGCGGGGCATCTTGACGGTCACCGATCGACTCTTAGTGGGGGCTGGCACCCTGTCCGCCGCCTCGTCCTCCTGCGTCGCAGCGGCGGTAGCTGCAACAGAGCCATGAGAGGCTGTGCGCGCATCCGCGGTGTCGGTATGACGGTTGGCAGCGGAGTTGCGTTTGTTGTTCTTTGTGGTGACGACGGCCGGCGCGGGTTGGCGAGTGACGAGTGCGGGCATGTTGATAGTCGCGCCGAAAGAAGTGTACGTGTGTGTGTTGTGGAGACTGAGGCAGAATGTCCGCGGAATGCTCGCTTTTGTCAAGCCTGAACGAACGCGAGCAGCCAATTTCGTATATTGTCACGTGATTGCATACGCGTGACTGCCACGCGGCAAATACGCACTCCTGCTCGTTGTCAGCCCTATCGTTCTGTAGAATCGATCAGCGACAGGGATCTGTTCGCGAGCGACTGGTACTCACCATAATTACTGGAAGGCATGCAAGAGCATGTGAGTTGATATGGAGGGTGTATATACTGACCTTGTGTCATAAAATAGGCAACACTGACGCATGCACGAAGACTGCTCGGTGAAATGGATGCAATTCGGTGGGCAGGAGACCTACTGTCTATGCTACGAAAATGCCGCGATGATTGGGTGCCGAGCGCGAGGTGCGCGCTGCGCTTGAAAGCGCCCGGTCGGCAGTAGGGGAGGCAAGGCGCCTTCGACCTCGCCCACCGGTCCGCCCTTCGTTACTCGGAAGGACGAAGTCGCTGCAGCCTGGCAAAGAAGGCGTCGAGGACGTCCAGCCGTGCACATGAAAATATGTCAGGCGGACTGTGTCGCGCTGGTCTCGGGCCCACGTATATGCGACGCAAGGGGCCCTGTACGGAGGCACAATGCAATCATACGATGAGGTCCAATGGTATGGCAGCTCTCAATTGCATGAGATCCCACAGCGTCTTCGTCGTGGGCGTCGCGACACTGTACTGTTTCCCAAGCCGACAGATATGGCCGTTGATGAAGTCCACCTCGGTCGGCCTGGCGTGCAGCACGTCGTACAGCATCGACGACGTGTTCTTCGCCGTGACCTCAGCGATGCGCATCGTCTCCTCCATCAGCGACGACGACCAGAGCTCGCGAGGCACCTGCGGCTGCGTCCGAGGCGCCAAGCCCTGCGCGTGCATCATGCGCATCTCTTTGTCCAGCCGGCTCGCGTACATCTTGTGGAACGTCGTCCCGGCCTCGGTGCACACTTTCAGCGCGATGTTCTTCGTCGCGTTGTGCGCAAGGAGCTCGCCGTTCGGGCAGCGCAGAAGCGCGGTCAAGGGATTGATGATGGCATTCGCGACCAGCTTCTGGTACATCGCGATCTGCAGCGTCTCGATGGGCGTCCATTGTGGGTTTAGGTCCATCACGCTAAGCGCGGCGACGGTCATCAGCAGGCTCTGGTAGCGCTCCGCCTGTGGGTCGCCCTCGCTCGAGATATCGCTAAGCGAGAGCACACGCTCCTCCGGCGGCAGTTCGGGGTTGCGCAAGCTCTTCTCGAAGTCGCGGTTAATGTTGGGCATGATGCCGAACCTGAGCGCGCCGAGACCGCGGTGTATGGCATGCCGTCGCGCCTCACGCATCGTCGCGCCGTGCGTGTTCACCGTGCAGATGAAGTGCGGCCGGTTCGCGGGGTTCTTGAAGATGGTCTCGACGAGGCGCTCGTAGACGCCCATCCCGTTCTGGAGGAGGACGATGGTGCTGTTGCGGGAGAGATTGGGGAGGAGGGCTTCGACGACGCCGAAGGTCGCCTGCGCTTTGGTGGCGATGATGAGGGAGTGGATGTCGGTGAGGGGGTTCGTGGCCTCCATCGAGGTGTCCGTCTGGCTACCAGGGAAGTATTCGACGTCGAAGCCATCCTCGGTGGATACCACGCCGTCGCGCTCGACCTTCAGGACGTTCTCTTCGCGCTGTGGCTGCTGCTGCTTGCGATGAATGAGGGAGATGGGTGTGGAGCGGGGAACGGCGCGGCGTAGATGGAAAGCTGCCAGTGTCCCGATAGGGCCCAGTCCGACTACGTGAAAACGCATTTCTGGAGGAATAGTCTCAAGAGGTCGCCTTGAGGCTTGTATGTCTGCCGTTTTCTCGCTTCAGTCGACCTTCTAGGTTATTTATAAGTCGCTGGTCCATACCAGATAGAAGATGATTCTGCGCTCCGGCCCTGTCCTAAGGACGGGGAAGCATGGAAAGAGGCGGAGGACGCAGACGCGCCCGGAGAGGGAGGCGTGAGGGGGAGTGGGCTGGGAAGATCGGGAGGCGCGGCGGCTCGGCCCGAACGTCAATCTACTGCACCCACATCGTCATCTTCGTCTTCGCGAAGTTCACGGAAGAAATCGCCCATAATTTCCCCGCCACCATCCTCGACAGCCTCGCGCGATACACGACCTCCAAGAGCTCGTTCACGACCCATATACGTGACGTCAAATCAAGATGCCATTGTTCTACAATTATCGGAGGAACCTTGGGGGACCTCATATTCTAGACTGGCGAGGGACCTACCCCCTATAGATCAGCTGTCCCCCGACGTACATGCCCGAGCACTCTGGCCGAAGGCCTACCCCCCCTCGCATATGTCCGCCCATTGTCCATTGGTCCATCCTCCCCCGGCTCTTGCGCCCGGGTGAACCAAGAGACCCTCCTGCGAATCGACGCGCGCCCCGATGTTCGGGGACTCGTCCCGACAAGTAGGCAAACGGGGGCTCGCCCTGCCAGATACCGACCTGCCCTGACTTGTCCCGTCCCCAGGTAGCCCCAGGTCGGGGCTACCCCAGACAGCCCCCGCCGGGGAAAGCGTATAAAAAGCCGCGTCCGGGATGGAGGATTTCGTCAGCTTTCAGGAGCATATCCTCTATCCAAACACACTTGTATATCGAACGAACAGACAGAATGTCGACGGTGACGCTGCAGAGAACGCAGACCAAGGTGCGGATTTTCTGTTGGATTAGGGAGACGCGTCAGCAGACTGAGAGATGTACCTCCCAGATGCCCCTGGTTGGCTTTGGTCTGTGGAAGGTTCCCAATGAGACGTGCGCAGACACCGTCTACAATGCCATCAAGATGGGCTACCGTCTCTTCGACGGCGCTTGCGACTACGGGAATGAGAAGGAGGCGGGTGAAGGCGTTCGTCGCGCAATCGCAGACGGTTTGGTGAAGAGGGAAGAGCTGTGTGAGTTCGCCTATAATGGCGAACGAGCTGACGCTGATGATGTCCGTCAGTTATCACATCCAAGCTGTGGAACACATTCCATGCGCATGACCACGTACGTTCGGGTCTTTATCACGTCCAATGAGGCATCTGACGGTCCCACAGGTCAAGCAACTCGCGAAGAAGCAGCTTCAGGACTGGGGCCTCGACTATTTCGACCTCTACCTCGTCCACTTCCCCATCGCCATCCAGTACGTCGCCCCCGAGCACCGCTACCCGCCGACCTGGTGGGACGACGAAGGCAAGCTCTTGCCACCCGTCAACGTCCCCATGCAGGAGACCTGGAGCGCGATGGAAGAGCTCGCCGACGAGGGCCTCGCCCACAACATCGGCGTCAGCAACGTCTGCGGCGGCCTCCTCCTCGACATGTTCCGCTACGCACGCATCCCGCCGCAGGTTCTGCAGGTCGAGCTGCACCCATACAACAGCCAGGCGGCGCTCATCAAGGTGGCGCAGCTGCTCGGCGTCGTGGTGACGGGCTACTCGCAGTTCGGGCCGATGGGGTACAGGGAAATTGGCGCGGACAAGAACACGGGGCTGTTGTTCGACCATCCGGTGATTCAGAAGGTTGCGCAGGCGCACGGGAAGAGTACGTGGACTTGCTTGATGAGGATTGGACTGGGCAATGCTGACGCATTCACGCAGCTCCGGCGCAAGTGCTGCTGCGGTGGTTGACGCAGCGGAACATCACCGTCATGCCGAAGGCGACGAGAAACGACTTGTTGCAAGAGAACTTGCGCAGCGACGACTTCCAGCTGACGGACGAGGACTTCAAGCAGATCGCGACCTTGAACATCAATCGCAGGGTAAGCGATGGATTCATTTGAAGTCGACTAGCACTCACCTCAATCTAGTTCAACGATCCTGCCGATCTCGATACCAAGTTCTCCATCTTCGCTTGAGGGACGAGAGGGACAAAGAGCAGAAGCAATAAATCTGTACTATTAGGCTGATTAGGCTGTATACCGTATCATTTGGGGTAATAGCGATCGTGTCACGTCCTTCCTGCATTCCTTGCGCAGCCTCTCGCAGCAATTGAGACATGAACGGCAGCCTGCGGAGGGGGACGCGCGTCGTTTGCGGCTAAAGGTGACTGATGGTGAGCCATAGACTGCGAGAAGTAACGATATTCGGCCAGTCGTAGATCGTCCTGGTCCGTGAGTCTTGACAATTTTGGGTCTCGGTGAGAGGATCCGCGGCACGGCACCGCGGTCGACGGCGGTTTGCATGAGAGGAATACGCAAAGGTGGTGGCGAGAGCTGCCAAACGCGTCCATCCTGGTCCGTTCGCGCAGAGGGCAGTGTTGCCGAGATGCCGGCGGGGGAGCCAGCTGACGTTGCGCAGCTGTTTATCGCGCCTATTTAGCGCGCCGCCGCACTCGAGCTTGTCCCCAACCACCATGTCCGTCAGTATCAAGCTCTCCAGCAACGGCCTAACACGCCGCGTATCCTTCCCCAACACCCCAGCTTGGCCTGAGCTCGCCAGCAGGGCCGCCGAACTCTATGCGATCCCTCTGAGCAACGTCGCGGTATCGTATGTAGACAGCGACGGCGACGAAGTCACAGCTAGCACCCAGGGCGAACTCGACGACTTCTTCCGCCAGAATGGCAGCGCGCCGATCAAGCTCGTCGTCTTCGACATGGAGCAGGCACGCAGCGAGACTCGCTCCGTTCCCCACACTCCCCGCACGTTCAACAACATGCCATCTCGCAACACATTCGGGACGGACCCCTTCGATCTCGGTGGCCCTTGGGAGCGCATTCCATCGGGTGGCGCACCGTACCCTGCCTACCCTCTCCCTCCTCGGTCGGACTCCAACCGCTTCGAGGAGCTTGGGTCCACCGCCACCAGCCTCCGCTCGACGAGGTCCACACCGAAGCCGGCCAATATCTCTATCGAACGCGACGATGACATGTTCAGCGATGTGTCGTCGATCGCCTCGCAGAGGTCCGAGAAGTTCGACAAAGGAAAGGCTCCTGCCCGCGCGCCTAGCGTCCACACTGTCTCCTCGACGGAGTCGCTGCTCGACGGCGCTGACTCGGTCCCCAAGCCGCCATTCCATATTTATGCTGCCACGCCCGACATGCCCTCGTTCGACCTCAAGCCGGAGGGCTCTGTCCGCGACTCGCAGGCGCCTCGCGTGCCCGCGGAGAGCACCCCGAAGGCAACTCTGCAGAACTTCCCGCCTTCCAGCACGCGCAGCCGCTCTACCCGCGGTGGCTCTGTCGCAGAAACACCGCAGCACCAGCCAGAGCCGCAGCAGGCCGAGGAAGCCGAAGACCCGCCTCTCGCGGAACAGGACACCACTCCTCCTCAGGCGTCTCTCACCCACGACGTCGCCACACTTCTCGATGCGCTCTCCGCCGTGTTCTCGACGCACCCCGAGGTCACGGAGAGTCTCCGCAGCATCATGCAGAACGTGTCCAACGGCGCCTACTGGTCTGCTCATCGTGAGGCCCTCTCTCGCGCCGCGCAGGACATTGCGCAGTCTGCCACCGAAGCCGCTGGCGAAGTCAGACAGCGCGCTGAGGAGGAGGCTGGTCGTCGCGTCGCAGAGGCTCTCGGTGGTTTTTTTCGGACCATTTCTGAGGTAACGGGCATGCCGCCTCCTCCGCCCGGCGCCTTCGGTGCGCCTCCGGGTCCCCCGCCGCCCGGTATGGGTCCTCCGCCCTTCGCCCCCCCGCCGCCGTTCGGGGGATGGGGCGCTAGGGGCCGTGGCGGAGGTGGTCCGTTTGGTGGTCGCGGTGGGCATTTCGGTGGTCGCGGTGGACATGGTCACCATGGCGGTCCATTCGGTCGTGGAGGTCCATTTGGCGGTCGCGGAGGGTTCGGTGGTCGCGGCGGACATTTCCCGCCCGGAGGCCCCTTCGGAGGTCCCATGCCGCCTATGGGAGGCCCTCCGGGAGCTGGTCCGCATATGGGTGACGGCAGTCCGGACTCTGATTGCCCTGCTGGTCCTCATCCGCCGTTCCCGTACTGGCCTGGAGGCCCGACGCCTGAGGGAATGGATCCGTCTGACTTCCCGACCCATCCGTTCTCGCAGTGGGGCAGCTTCCGCGGCCATGCAGGCGGCTTCCACACCTGGCAGAACTCGCGTGAGCTACGCGCGTCGGTTGAGGCGGCGAAGTTCTTGTACCAGGCTGAGAAGCAGCGCTACCGTGAGGAGCGCGAGCGCCGCCGTCAGGCTCGTCATGCCGGACAGGAGTATATGGACGTGTAAGTGTTTCCAATCTTGCTTTTCGACGTCGTGCTAATACTTGCTTTGCAGAACTACCGAGGAAATTCACGTCCCCCCTCCGGCCCCGGTGCCGCCTCGCCCCATCGAGGTCGTGAACATCAGCAACAACTCACCCGCACCGCCACCGCCGCCTCCCATCCCTGCCCCGCCTCCTCCAATGCTCAACACGGCGGTGCCGCCTCCTCCCCCGCCTCCCGCTGCCCCGCCCGTCAACGCGCACCCCGTAAGCAGCGCTCGCGGCTCGTACCCGGCATTCGAGATGTTTAGCATGTCCTCCTCGCAGCCCAGGCGCACGGCGTCGAATAGCTCAACCCAGCCCCCGGCCCGCACCGTGTCGGGCAGCTCCACGACGCAGCCGCGCCGCTCTAGCACGCGCTCGTCGACTGCTGATGCGCAAGCGCGCGCTGTTGCAACTGTCACGAAGCGTCTTGCTGAGGTATGTTTGTCTACTTTCCCGCCATCGTTGGATGTGAATGCTGACATGGTCCTACAGATGGGCTTTACGGAGCGGAACAGCGAAGGCCTCCAGGACGTGATCAAGGAGGCGATCCCAGCCAACGGCAACCTCTCGAAGTCTCAGGAGCAGGACATTGTGACGAGCGTGCTCGAGCAGATGCTCCCGAAGTCCCCCATGGCGCAGCCCGTCGCGTCGGGTTCGGGCACCAGGACGCAGGACATTCCGGGCACCTGGCTGTAAGGTCTTGGGAGACTGCGAAGCTAGTATGAAGGAGCTATAATCGGCAGAAGATTCAGGTAGGTATGAGTATCATGTATGCGATGATCTTTGGGATATACGATGGGATGGGTTTATGATTGGTTTGGAATGCGCCTTCGCCCATATCGTTGAACGAACTCTGTAACGATGTACCTTACGCTTGACTTGTACAATAAGAGAGTGTACTGCTTGTGAACTGGACGTCTGAACAGATGCGGAAGTTCTGCAATTGGATCTGAACTATTGGAGTTGCGATACCATGTTCGTGTCAATCCCTACGCATAAGCTCTCAGAGATCGCCCCAGCTATCGACTTCGTTAAACAAGGATACACATTCGTTTGGTTACTCAAAACATTGGTAGCTGCAGCGCCGGTACATACATATCAGTACATACTTATAAGCTGTATATAGGAAGGGTCTTGGTTGGGGTTAGTTTGATAGGCATAGACATCTTTGTAAAGAGAAAGAAAAGAAACACATCTAGTTCGTTGCAGTGACCGTGCGTGAGTTGTTGAGAACGACGTTGTTCCAGCACCATTCGTCGTCGTCGTCCTCCCCTGCCAGCCGTTTGACTCAGTCGCGGTCGTCGGAAAGGGCCCAAGCCTCTTCTCTCGTCTGTTCGCTGCTCATCGGTGCGATGGCCATGATCTCCCTGGCCTCATCGAGTAGCTCCTTCGTCTCCGGGTCGTTCTTGATCTGGTCCCAGTGCGGCTGGTACGTGTACAGGTGACGCAGCGGCCTGCCCATCGCCTTGCGACGGCGCACGAAGTACGCAATGTCCTCAGCGTGGCAGTTCTCCCACTCGATGGCGAGGAGGTTCGGGAGAATGGGCTTGGGCTGGGGCCTCGCGCCGGAGAGCGGGAACGGCAGCCCGCCAGTCTGCTCGATGCCCTCGTCCATGAGGAAGAAGTCCATCGTGTCGCGGTCGACGCCGGCAAGGCGCAGGTAGCAGAGCTTGGGCATGGCCTTGAACCAGCGCGCCATGATCCTCCTGTTCTCCTGCGTGTTGCGGACCTCGCAGGAGTACCAGGTGAGGATGCGCACATTGGAGAGCGCGCCGATGGTCGTCTCGAGGAAGGTGCCGTAGTCGTCGGTGCTGAGGTTGAGCACCGTGAGCTCCTTGATCGTCGGGGCGTTGAACTGCTTGAACAATGCGATCGCGGTCGCGGGGACGAGGTCAGCGACGGTCAGACGCTTCAGGTTCGGCAGCTCGATGGGCGTAGAAGTAGCGTCCAGCTCTTCTTGGTTCTGGGCCGGAATCGGAGCAGCCGCGTCGATGGTGAGATTCTGGAGGTTGGGGCAGTTGCTGAGGATCTCGCGGAACTTGAAGATAGAGGGGCTGCGCTCGGGCGGGAAGCGACGAATGTCAAACGTGGTCAGGTTGCTGAGGTCGGTGTTCGCCCAATCGATCTGGACGCCCTTCAGGGTGAGGTGCGTCAGCGACGGGATGTCGTAGCCGCCGAACAGAGCCATCGGCTGCTGGTACTCCTTGGGCTCGAAGTCGGCGCCGGGGATGAACATGTACGGCTGTCCTCCTCCGAAGAGCTCGAGGCGCTCGAGCATCATAGGCTGGCCATTCGCAGCACGAAGCCTGTCGATGAGGTAGAACATCGACCCCATGTCCTTGACCGTGACGATGAGCATGCGGATCTGGGACAGCTTGGAGAAGAGAATGTCGATCAACGACGTCCACTTCTCGCCTGTAAGCATGGGCAGGCCTCGCTGCTCCCGCTCATCATCGTCGACGCGGATGTCGAGGAAGGTCCCGGCGGACCGCTCAACCTGCAGCGCGGTCATCGACCATGGGGGCTCCTCGAAGATGCGGATGGTGTTCCAGAGCGTCGCGTCGGCGTTGATGATCTCACGCCACGAGCGACAGACAGCCGCCAGTGTCCCGCGGGTGTTGGCCAGGTCGACGGGTCCGCGAGTGTGGTAGACGGCGAGGCGGAAGATATTCTCAAGGATATCCATAGGGAGCTCTTGAATGGGGAACGACCGCCAAACCAGAACCCACGCCTTGAGCTGGTTCGTTTTGTAGAGGCGGTTGGCTAGGTTCATCTCCTCGAGCGCCTGAGCGATGGCTGGGCCGTTAATCGCCCTCTGACGCTGGGCTTGGGCGACAGCAGAAGCAAGCTTCGCTTCGTACATGGGCATCAAGCGCCGAGCGTCCTCCAGATGTTGACGTTCCATAGCCAGCTGCTCCGGCGAGGCAGGAGGGTCGGCGAACTGACGGATCATGTAGCGCAGCATCAACTCATGTTGCTGGTCAGCCGTCATGCGCGAGAGGACCTCGCGGACAGCTTGATCCTGGACCTCGTAGAGGACCGGCTGGCGAGCACCGACGAACGCCGCAGGGGGTATCATGGCTATGCTCTGCAAGGGATCGAACTTGCGCATAGTGCGCGCCTTAGCGATCGCGTTCTCGAAGGCTGGTCGGTCCTGCTGGGGGTCCGGCCAGGACCAGGACCAGACCCCAGCCGGCTGGGGAGCGCTACCCTGTTGGATGGGCGACGAGTTGAGGGACATCTCCTGAGATGAGCGATGAGCACGACGACAACAAAAATTCCGGTGGGGCACGCACCAGAGAAAGGCGCCTGAAAGGTGTTGAAGAGTGTAGTTGTGTGCTAGCGATGTGCGGCGACGGCGGCGGCGTCGATGACGGCTGGAGCTGGGCTTCTGGCGGTAAAAGGAAGAGAGAAGGTGATGGGGGGAAGAAAAAGACGGTGGGGGCAGAGCAAATTTATAGGGCCAGACAGCGAGTGAGCGAAAGAGGAAGGACTTGTTGCCTAAAGGATCGATAGACGCCAGCCCGGCCTCGTGTTGTTTGTGGTTGTGGCCACAATGTTCGATTGCCTGACCGGCCACCAACTTGCTCCCGAACACTGTTCTTCGCCTTCTCCCGGGACACAGAAAGGCGCCTCGATGACTCGGTGAATGGAATCCTTTGGCCGTACGGGAGGCAGCACAAAGGGCCGTGCGTCGGTGTTAGCCGAAAGTGAAAGTCGGGCGAGAAGCGCGGTGCGGTTGGGAGTCGACCAAGGCAAGTGTCGTCGTCGCTTCGAGAGAAGATATACACGGCTGAACGTCGCTCGGAGCCGATGGGCGTGGCAGGGCAGAAGAAGGGAACGCAGGGAAGGGCCCAGTCGTCAAAGTCGCAAGGCCGTACATCACAGGCAGCCCTGGCACGTATCGTCCGCACATCCCCCGCCGCCAATAGCCAGCACATCGGGGTGATATAGGTGAAGTGACGGAATGGAAGGCGTATAGGCGCTGAACGCTTCCACTGCGACCGGGTGCCGCCGACGAACAAAGGAGTACCGCGCGCCATACCTGTGATGTTCCATTCAACGCTCTTCTGCGTCACATTCGGATCCTACCTGTGCAGCTTTGAGGGGCTTGATAGTACGGCTTCCCTAGGTTGCTTTGTTCTCAATCACCTCTGGCCTAATGCTGTGTGACGACTTGATTGAACCGCTGTGACTTGCCTTGTTCTTCGCCTTCACATTGCCCGCTAGTCGCGGACTTCACTGGGGTACCTTTCCGCCAGACTGCGTCCTTCTGAGCCGACCACCAAACCGGATTTTTGGTCCAAGATGATGAAGACGACGCGCCTTACTGATCACATTCAGGGATTTTGCCATTGCGCTGGGAGAAGTCAAGCGGCTCTTTCAATCACTTCAACGCACCTTCTGGCCGTTCCCTTGATGTATCGAGCTCCAGCGCTGGAACTAGGACGCTCAGAGAAAACAACTGAACGCATTGAAAGGCCTATCCCATTTCGTTGCCAGCAAGGTCTCCGCCGTTTCTGTCTTCTCTCTCCCAGCCGCATGGCAGCGCGTCATACGCATCGCTGAAGCCGCTGGAACTTCAACATGCTCGTCGACGCGCGTCAGCCTTCGCCTTTGTGTTATCCGAGCAGCAGCTGGGAAAAATAGGACGAATTTCCATTCTGGGACGTCAAAGGACGTAGCGAAGCTTTTCGCGAAGGTCGAAGTTCGCTTCGTACCTTCGGCTGAAAGGCGCGGGGCTCGAGGTCGGATGGCTTCTGTCGTTGCCTGAAAGGCGTAGGACGATGAGCGTCGGGACCAAGGCAGGGTGCTTTTGTTTCTGGTCCGCGGAATCAAATATCTCGATCGCACCTCGTCCGGCCTCCTGGCTCTCCAGACCTCGGGCGGCTGCCCTCAAAAATTATTTGGTACTTCTTGAGAGCAAGAGGATGCGCCTGGCGCAAGCTCGAAGGAGGTTTTCTTTCAGGATGGCTCTGGATGACGGCCCCTTCACTGAGGCGGCCATTCCTGCCAGCGCGGCCGTAACATGCAAGAGCCCGTCACGCCGTCACCATTTTCCTTCTCTGCTTCTGGAGAGCCCTTCTACTATTCACTGGCTTCCTGTCAACATCTTCTTTGTACGGCCTGTGGCCTGCGACTATTTCTCTCGCAAATGCGTCGCACGCCGGACGCGTTATCTCCAATGGGGAACAATAGACGAATCGCGTGCCGTAATGACACCGGCCAGGACGTATCGGACACCTTCTGATGCATATACCGAGATAAACAATGGCGCACTATATCTTGAAAGGCCTGCGACCCTATCGACTACCCTACGAGAACCATTCGCACTCGACACCGCCTTGAAAGTGCGCCAACTCGCGGCAGGACGAACCGGTCGGTTCTCCTACGCGTCTCCCCTTGGAGCCTTCCATACTGCATGGAGTAGGTGTATATAAGGTGAGTAACAGCGCTATGCAGAAAGGGCATCTGCTGAATGTCCTGTCCTTAGCGCGGTTCGTCAATTCAAGACATTCCCATGTTTCCCGGCGCCTTTGTCCATCAAGATCTTCCCTCGCGACTTGGCCGTTTACTACCCTCATTGCCTTTCTACCTCCCCATCGCAAAGCTAGTCTCTGCACGCTCGTCAATGATGACAATATACCGCCTCTCTCGTCTCGCCGCCCGCCGCACTACGCGATATCAAAGCTCCGATCGAGGCAATATTGTCTGGCATCATCTCCCCTGCGCCGCTCCGATACCTAGCATGGAAGGCACCGACGCCATTGACTCGTGCGCACCACTTATAATGGGTCGCGACTGCCGCCGCTGACGAGCCCGGATCACCCGACCCTCGACGTTCGTCCTGGTTCTCCGACATCGCCTTCGTCATCCGATGGAGCGCCCTCTCCCGGCGCTAGACCCCTATCACCCGCGGAATATAAGGACTGTCTCATCCCTCGAGCTGTATCGCGCGCCCTCCCTCCGCATACAAACTTTTTTGACGATGTCTACAGCAGAAAGTATGTCCCTATATTCCCTCGCCGTGTACTTGAGCTTACCAAAGCCTTTCTAGGCAACAAGAACGCCGCAGCTGCCGCTGAAGGGTTGAAAGCCATCCTTCGCAACAATTACATCTCGGACGAATTGAAGCAGGATGCTGCGCGGCGGCTGAGGGAAGATAAATCTAACGCCGAAAAGTTGTCTCCAAATGGTAGGTATTCACATCCGCTTCGAGAACAATAGCATGCGCTGCGTCATGACAACGTTTTCTTCTCAAACCGTTCGCTCACGTCTCCTTCTCAGATCAAGCAGAAGTCGCGAAGTGGGCCGACTTGAAGGTTCGGGACTTCGCGTATGAGACTGCACACGATTAGCGCCAAGCTGGGTTCTTCGTTCATTATATCATCGTCTTCTTCCTTTGTAGTCTACAGTGCAGGTTTGCTAGTATTTCTCGTGTATCTTACTATACCCTCTGAGGATCTATTGTATCGACCACAACCCAATTTGCGAAAGAAGCAAGACACAGAAGGAGATTACGGTGTCTTTGTCGATCGTCAATGTATGTCCCTAGTAGGCCTGCGCGCCGGTTAGCAGCGCCAGACCACAAAATGCATGGCAAGATGTCCGAGTGGTCTAAGGAGTTGGATTCAAGCGTTAGCTTGCCTGTCAAAGATGGGTTTCCCAATAGACGTTCGTCTGCGGGGGTTCGAATCCCCCTCTTGTCATACATTTTTTTGCCTTTTTCAGGCCTTGGAAAGCTCTTGCTCGCGCATAGTCTTATCTGTCGCAACGATGGAAGGGAATGCAATGCTTTCCTGTCTCACACAGTCGCAAGGGATAGGTGATGGATGGTACAACACCTGGCAATAAATAGCCCATAAATACTACAGGTACACCCAATAGATAGTTGTACAACACGAGATGCCCGACGCGATGGCACTTGTAAATGTACAGCGTGCTGATCAGCACTTAGACGAAGTGCCAGTCGACGTCAATGTTGCCCTCTCCAAGGGCTGCGAGCTGCGCGAACGCTGTGCTCGAGAGATCGAGGCCGTTGGCGGCGCAGCCAGGGCAAAGGTCGGCCACGGTAACGGTGACGGACTTGCCGGCGTCTGTGAGCGAGGGTAAGCGTCGAGTTCTTGTTTGAATAGGCGCCAATCGAAAGGTCGAATACTCACGGGTCGCAACGAGCTGCTTGCCGCAGTTAGCGCCAGCGAGGTACTGGTCAGCAGAGAGCGCGACAATCATGTCCGTGTTCTGGAGAGGGTTGCCGCAGGCGCCATAGCCGCCGTTCGGGTCGTAGTAGGTGGCTAGGGTGAGGTTAGCCAAGGTCAACGAGCATATACATTATTAGCTCACCCCGTCCGAGGTTGCGAGCCTCAAGGGTGTGAACGGGCATCGCGAAGGCGGCGCCGGAAAGGGTAAGGAAGGCGACAGCGAGCTTGGCGAACATCGTGATGGATGAAGTTGAAAGTGGGTGAAAGAAGGAGAGTGGGGAGCGAATGGAAATGCTCGAGAGTGTAGAAGGTGAAGACCAGTGAGTTGTTGGCTTCTGAGGCCCTCCCTAGCTGCCTTTTATACGCGATTCACTATAGACTCACTCAACCGTGTCGCTTACTGGTGCTCATCGCCGAACGCAGCGGAGTGCGCCCGCCACGTTGGAAACAAAACAGGATAATTGAGCCGCACCGGGTAATAAAGTAGCGCAGGCACCGCAGGTGCGGACCGTGTGTTGCCTTGGTGTTGCCCGCAATCCTCGATGTTGAGAGTTGCTCGGGGATAGCAACGTGCTTGAGATATTGAATATCCGGATCCGTCGGTTGTGCACGCATGAGAGTGCTGCACGGCGAAGGCAGTGAAGCGCCCGTCGGCTACGCGTATCGATCGAGCTGAGGCATGTTTACGATGAAGAGCGAGCACATTTTGAAGGTACAGGCGCTGCTTGCACTTGATCTAGACCTTCCGGCCGGGTATTTGCCGTACACTCCCCAGAGATGCGGCCTTGCGGAGACGAAGTCGAGAGAGAGGTTTCCTGTGGAAGATCTGTTGGCGAAAGTCACAAAGAAAGTCTCAGCAAGAGACAGAGATGCGAGTGCTGTCCATTGCAGTAGATCAGTCGTGCATTGCGAAGAGAGACGAAGACGTGAGGGATAGGTTTACACAACGCAGTGACAGCGAGGGCGGGGGCGGGAGTGGGTGAGAAACCGTGAGAGCGTGTTGCGATGTCGCGGCAGTCGCCGGTTTCCGCATTTGGCATCAAATCCGAAGGCGCAAGGAATTCGCCCGGCCGCTCGACTACCAACCGAAAGCGCGTCAGAGCCTGGCTCATCCGAGGGATCGATGAAAAGGCCATAAAACATGTAGAGAAACAAGAGCCCATGCTACATAAGACACGTACAGATGTGCTGAGATGCATGTACAGACGTACAGACGTGCGGACCATGCGTACAGGAGAAATGAACGGATGAAGACGAAACGAATTAAGACGACGCCTTCTTGCGCTTTTTGGTGTTGCCGTTCGTGGCGGGCGATTCTGGTGGGGTACGGGGGGAGGGGGTAGGGGGGTCTGCTCGTCTTGTGCGCTTTGGGGGCGGAGCGGGGAGGGTACGCCCTGCGACGAGGCCGTTGGCTTTGTGTTTGGCGTGGCCGTTGCCGTTGGTGATTGTGGGAGGGGGTGGTGCGGGTTGATTGGGTCGGGCTGGAGACGAAGTGAGCTGAGGATGAGGTACCGCAAGAGAGCACCTACGCTGTATGGTTTGTTTTCGAAAGAGGTCGATGAAGGAGGCCATTAATGCATCGTCGGGCATAAAATTGGGAGGTGGTGGCGGTAATGGTGGTGCTTCCTCCATCTCGACGTCTGCGTCTTCTTGTGGGGCGCCTTCCGCCTCCTCTTGTTGCTCCTCCGGTCGAGGGCGCACGAAGGGGCTCATCAACGTATCGAATACATCGTCCATGGAGGGCATCAGATACGCAGGCTCCTCGAACTGGACGTCGGACGCGGGAACCACTACAGGCGTCGGCGCAGTGAGCGCAGGACCCGTGGGTAACGCGGCCTCGCCAAATATCTCCTGGAAGAGCGTCCGACGGTACGGCGTGTCTTCGGTCGAGATGTTCTGCGTGCGAGCACCGGCGTCCTCGGGCGCCTTGACGCTGTCGCCAATGAACAGAACATCCCACTTGTCGGAGATACCCACGAGTGAGAAGTCGGAGGCACTTGCTGACTCGCCGTACCAGGCGACGCTCTTGAGAACCAATGGCACGCTCCGAAGTGTCGGCTTCGGCGACGACGGGCTGAAGATGGCCACGGTAGTCGACTCCAAATCGCCTGGACGGTACAGGACCGCGAACGAGTCTTCTTGCGCGTGCGGCACGATGAAGTCGACGTTAGACGGACATTGATGATGCCAACGGACTAATAATTGCGTAAGGATATGCATGGAGTGCAGTGTACAGTGAACATACCAGTCTGGAAAAGCAAGTCCCATACGACGAGATCCTTGCCGCCCGCCACGGCCATATAACGCCCAGTTATACCAAGGAAGCTGACATCCGTGGGGGCCTTGCATTCCGGAGCGGTGAGGGTCTGACGCAGCTGCGTAGTGTTTGGGTCGTACACCGCTACGGACGAGGACGTCGATACCGCCAGCAAGGACCCATCGGGTGACCACGACGCCTTTGACGGCATCTCCGTACGGAAGCGGAAGCTCGAGCGCAGGATCCAGTAATCTACACCGCTGTGAGCATACGAGAACCAGGTATGAAGATGGAATCACTGACCATCTTTTGACCCTTCCTTGCTCTTGACTGATCGGATCCGCCATAGCTTGATGAAGCCATCATCCCCAGTGGTGACAAGCTGCAACGGTTGCTCCAAGCTGGCGGCCGGGCTAAAGCGCACATCCGTAACCCGATGCTGCCCATGAGGACGGTCTATCCGCGTGTTGAGGGACCAGGACGAAGTCTTGCGATCCCAGGACCACATCTTCAGATAGACCTCGCCGCGGAAGGTGTCGTCGCCGGCGCGATTGTCGACAGTCGCCATCCAGTCGCCCGATGATGACACGACCACCTTTTCAACCCTTGCGGGCTCGAGAGGCACGTCGTCTCGGCGAGAGACGCGATTTGAGGGCGAAACCTCAAGCTCGGAGACCAGTTGCGACGAAGCGGGCGAGTAAACTTGGAGAGAGGATGGGTGGGAGGAGGGGAGGATGAGCGTGTTGGTCTGGCTGTGGACAGCGAGAGGCGCGTCGGCTGGAGATGTAGTTTGCGGTGCGGCGGGATCTATAATAAAGGATGAGGATATGTCAAGGTAGACAAGAGCGATCGACTCACCAAGCTTGATGCGAGAGTAGCTGCGGGACACTTTCAGACTATCCGCGTTCACGAAGGTGTACGTTGCGTCAGCCAAACCGAGCAGGTACTCTGGATCGCCATTGACTGGGTTCGACAGAGACACCGTACGGATGGGCGCGCCAACGCGAGGGACGAACTCCTTCCTGCCCGTGCGCAGCTGCCACACCACCAGAACCGCCTCCTCGCCACCGCTGAGCAGATATGCGCCGTTCGCCGTGAACGTGAGAGAAGAGACGGCATGAGCGTGCCAGTGCAGTGAGGTCGTGTCCGACTTCTTCTCCACTCCAGTCGCGTTGACGGGCAGGTCGCGGTTCAAGCAGTACCAAATGCGAATGTTGCCCTTGACGTCGCCAGTAGCAAAGTAATCGTCAACTGGGTGTGTGGCGAGGCAGGTGAGCTTCTCCGGGGAGACGTATTTGGTAAAGCCATCGCCAAGGGACGAAGAGTTCACCACATAAGCTTTGTGGCCCGCAGTTGCAACCAGCCAGTCGCCTGACGCCGAGAAAGCGAGGCCAGTGGGGAAACGCGTCTTGCCGATGGGTGTGATCGCCGACGTTTTCTGGAGCGAAGCCTCGACCGTATCCTCGGAGGGCTTGAGAGAGACTCGGAGCACGGCAGCATTGTCGTCTGCAGCTGGTTAGGAAGCGTCGATCGGCTGAAAGCATTTGAACGCACCTCCACGGCTTTGCTTCTTCGAAGGCTTGGAAGCAGCGACGAAGACATAGTCTTTGAACTTCTGGTGGGCGCAGATATGCCGGATGGGTTGTGCCAGGTCGATTGTCTGAAGCAATACACCATCCAGGTAGTCCCAGACCATTAAGCAGCCGTTCAGTGATCCCACGATCAGCTGGAATACATTGTGCGGGTTCAAGGTCGCGCAAGTGAGCGTATCGGCGAGCGACTCCTTCCCCGCGGGTCTTGGGGTACTCAAGGTCGAGACGACTACACCGGTAGAGGCCGAGTGAATTTTGACAGACGCCCCCACAAGGGAGAAGAAGTAGCTGAGGCGACATCAGCAGACATACAGATACATAGCACTTGCGACGTACCTCCCGTCCCTCGTGAACACTGGGGGAACGCCACAGGCAGACGAGTCCGTGATGCGCAACCAGTCCCACACCGCGGGCTCGCTCTGATCGTCTTGTACGTCCGCCTCTACCGCGACATCCTTTGCACGAGAGCTTGAGGGAGGGACCGCGTCGTGCTTCGCCTTCCCCTTGCTTTTCCGCCCTTTCTTCTGCGCCGCCACTTCCGGACTCTGGGGGAGGGGGACCTCGTGCGGTTGGCGGGAGCTCGATGCGACCATCGTGCAAGCGCCCAGTGTACCGTGAACGCTCCGGCCAAAATTTTGACGCCTGAAGAGAAGCGCACGCACGTGGGCGATCAAACGTGGAAAGTCCGCGGACTGATCGGGCCGACGATCACAACTCGTCCGTGACGTCGATGGCGCCTAACAAGCGACGGCAGCCTGGCACAGGCAAGGGCAGGAAGAACAACGCGAAGGGGAAGGGATCCCAGGAAAAGGAGATCAAGAAGAAAACACAGACAGAGCCCTGGCGCCTCGAATCGTCCTTCATCAGACTATCGCCAGAATTCCTCGAGATCACCAAGAAACGCGCGTCAGATACTCCCCTTCCTCGCCCAATACCCGCTTCGCATGCGATATTCCCATCTGAACAGAGCTCTGCCGATGGGTACGTGTCGTGTCTTAGACGCCCCAAGTGGCGCTATGACCAGACGAAGACTGAAGTCGAAAAGAACGAAGAAGCACTCTTTCGCAAATGGCTCGCAGAGGCCGACGAGAAGATCAATGGTTTCGCTGATGCCAGCGATGTGCTGAGAGCAGATGGACCCATACGCTCTCCTTGCTACTACGAACGTAATCTCGAAGTCTGGCGACAGCTATGGCGCGTCACGGAAATATCGGACATCATCCTCGTCCTCCTCGACTCGCGCTGTCCGCTCATTCACTTCCCCGACTCTCTGTCAAGATACCTTGCATCATACGAAGACAAACGGGTCATTCTCGTCCTTACGAAGGTCGACATTACTGGGACCGATAGGACTAGCGCCTGGAAGGACTACATCTCCACTAAACACCCTGGATTGCGCATAGTCGAAGTGGAATCGTACGCAGAGAAAGCCTACTCTGCGACGGGACGAAGACCTGCCTACGAACCTCACCTACCAGAAGAGTTCCGCCGAAGGCTGGTAGAGGCCATTCGCGACACGCATACAGAGCTCTTGCAACCTCCTCCGAGGGTGCGAGAGAGCGCAAAGCGACTTGCCCATTGGAAGCCATCGGTGAAGCGATCGGTCGACTGGGAGGCTGCGGCAGCTCCTCGCGAGTTTGGCGCGCCAGAGCCTGTGCGTTCCGCGCCACCAAAACCAGAGAACGACGCCGAAGGTACAGAAGAACCACCCTTCCTCACGATTGGCCTAATAGGTATGCATATAGCTCGTTCGGACGATTTGAGCTAACTTGAGAACTGCAGGCCAGCCTAACGTGGGCAAGTCGTCACTTTTGAATGCTTTGTTTGGCGCGTCCAAAGTGCGCGCCTCGAAAACGCCGGGCAAGGTCAGCTATCATCCTTTGGCCCTAACAACCCCTGCTCACCCTACGCCTCCGTTCAGACAAAACACTACCAGACCCTCTTCCTCTCCCCCGACATCCGCCTCGTTGACTGTCCTGGCCTCGTCCTCCCTTCCCACCACGAAATGGAGGCTCAAGTCCTCGCCGGCATCCTTCCGATCTCCCGCGTCTCCGCCGTCCCCGCCTGCATCCACCACGCCGCGCGCCTCCTGCCGCTCGAGCGCATACTCGATCTGAAGCACCCCAGTGCGGCGGCGCCTTTGGTCGAGGACAAGCGCACCTGGCGCGCGGGGACGGGACCGAAGGTGGAGCAGAGAACGCCGCGGTGGACGGCGATAGATATTCTGATTGCATATGCGGAGAAGAAGGGGTGGCTGACGGCGAAGGCGGGGAGGCCGGATGTGCACCGGGCGGGGAATGCGAGTGCGTAGCTATCCTTGCGTTTGTGGACGCAGTATACTGACTTACGCTGTAGTCCTCCGCATGCTTGCCGAAGGCCGCATCCGCTGGGGCTACTGGCCTCCCGGGTCCGACGAGAGCGTCATCCGTACCGTCGCTGGCGTCGAGGGCGCGGGCATATGGATCCCAGGGCAGGATGTCATCGACGAGGAAGAGGACGACGAGCCGGAGGAATTAGAAGGTGATGAGCGGGCCGGGAAGAAGCACGAGGACAGCGCGGAGGACGCGGAGAAGGCAAGAGGCGGTGTGGAGAAGGCAGAAGACGGTGCGGAGACGGCAGAGTCGGAGTCGGAGTCGGACGACGAGCCCGCGATCCAGGTCACCGGGGGCCGCTTCGGGGCCCTGAACATGCTGGACGAGGGCGGGGAGGAGGAGGAGAGCGAGTGACCAACGCGTGGTGAGGTATGCGTGGCTGGGTGTGCGCCTTCGCTGATGTTGTGCACGCGACTAGATGGATGTACTATACTGTAGTGGGATAGGTGGGATAGCGAAGACACTTCATTGAACCACTATTGCGTGTGCTAGCATGTGGCCGTATAGACGTCCTTCGCGCCGTTCCTGGTGGGCATGACCTTTCCCGCCGGTATCCTCGTAACCGTCGGCCCGTCGTCGTCGTTTCTTCGAGGGCAACTAAGACCGTGCACGCGTCCAGATTCCGGCTGGGCGCACGCCATAGCGACCGCGGGGCTGCATATAAGAACGAGACCGGCTAGATGGCAAGAAGTACTGACCGCAATGCCTTCCCTTCACCTTGCTTCCCTAGCTCTAGCGCTCATCGCCGCGGTTCCGCAGGCGGAGGCCGTGCAGGTCCTCCTGGCGGGCGACTCGACGATGGCCAACACTGGGGGCGGTGGTAACACTGGGACTGCAGGTATGTTGACGTCTCTGAGATGGCAGAAAATCCAATCTCCCAACTCACGCTAAATCCTCGGTTAGGCTGGGGCAAATATCTCGGACAATACCTCAGTATTTCCGTGACCAACAATGCCATTGGCGGTCGCTCGGCCCGCTCGTACACTGACGAGGGCCGCTTCGATACCCTGATCAGCCAGGCGGCGAAGGGCGACTACGTGGTCATCGAGTTCGGCCACAACGATGGGTCGGCGGGGTCGGTGGACAATGGGCGTCAGGATGCGCATAGCAATGGGTATGATGATACGGAGGTTGTGTATGATTCGAGGTATGCATGGCGTTCGTTGTTGAGGGTTGAGAGGAGTTCTGACGAGCAGTGCAGCGGAAATGCGATCACGATTCATTCGTATAACTACTACATCACGAACGCGGTGAAGTCGCTGCAGGCGAAGGGTAAGTCTGACGGTCCGAAGTGAAGAAGGGGGATGCTCACTGAGATGGATTGCAGGCGCGATCCCCATCGTCTCGTCCCAGACGCCAAATAACGGCTGGACTGACGGCCACATCGGTGAGCCTGGGCGCTTCGTACAGTATGCGGCGGACGTGGCAGCAAATACATCTTCGACGTACATCGACCACTACGCCTACGTCGCGCAAGCGTACAATGTAGGTCTTTCGATGTTAGCCCGCTTCAGAGGGGACTCACCTTCTTCAGGCATTGGGCGAGACCACGGTGAACGCCTTCTACCCGGTCGACCACACGCATACGTCGCCCGAAGGTGCGGACGTGGTTGCGCAGGCCTTCGTCCGTGGCTTGTTGTGCAGCGACAGCGGGCTCAAGTCATCCGTGAATAGCGCTGGGCAGGCCGTACCGAGTAGGTTGCTCTCGAACATGGCGAGCGTCATTTGGCTGACAGATGATCGTAGATGGATGCCTATGAGGACCCTGAGGACCTGGTGGGCCTGTGCCTTCGATCTGACTGCCAGCTGGGGGGTATTTGACGTGCAGCAATCAAGAAATATTCATGATTTGACGCTATTCTCGTGAGAATGAGAGACTCTTCTCTCAGCGACTTCCTTCCACGTGAAGTTCTGTTGGCAAGGCTCGTTATGCCTGGCTCACGTAGTATCGATCTGCATCCTTCCCCGGATCAGAGATTTCGGGAAACAAAGCCAGGGACCTTCGATCATGGGTTATCGGAGATCGTAATCAGCTAGCTTTAGGACCTTGATCCCGGAGGAGAAAAGCGGGCAAGGGTTCTGCGGAGAGCAGCTGACCTGCAATGTTTGTGTCCTTCGAAAATCAGCGCGAGACGTAGGCCTGTAACAGTCGACACGTTGCGCTTTCCAGTCCTTGCCATTGGCCAAGGAGGCCCTTATCTGTCGCGATTTCAGGATCGGCGGTTGCAAGGACCTGGGCCTGGCTGCCAGAGAACAGGGCGGGAGCTTTTTAGACTAAATGAGCTTGTCAATCTTCGCCAATCTTCTGCGGGCAATGGAGTCGTGGGACGCGTCCATTGTTGCGCAGAATGTAGCAGTTTGGCAGAGTGACGGAGGAGGACAAGGTGGTGCGGGGTGTCCAAGCGTTACCGGTGACCGGGAGTATATGGGGCGGGTCAAAGTTCGGCTGCCGGATATAGATGTCGTTGAACGGTCAAGAGAATCAACAGATGTCAAGCGGACGAACACGAGTACCGTAATCTTTGATGATGGGCTTCATCTCAACTGCCCCCCTTGTCCCCAACTGCCATCATCCTCGCCAGCTGGCAGGAGCAGCGCGTCCCCCAGACCGCACCGCCCCTCCTCCGTCGTGCCGCCATGTCCCGCAATGCCCAGCCAGACGTCCCTCCAGACACCCCCATCATGGTGTCACCCCCGCCGACCATCCTTACCTTCGGCCGCGACACCCCTTCCAACGTCCTCGTCTCCTCCGACCCCGCCATGTTCGGCTCAGTGCGCGCCAAGTCCGGCACCTTCTCCTCCCTCAACGCGCCCTCCGAGTTCAAGCGTCAAGGGCGCGCCGCCAAGGGTGCACAGTTCATCAACAAGCATGGGCAGCCGCACCATGCGTATGATCCCGAGAAGGCCCCGTACCCCGTATCGTATGACAGAAGTGTGCTTGAACTGTGCGTACATCCTCCTGCTTCTCTGCTCTCCCTCTGAACGTTCCTAGGGAAGCACTCGATCTCGCTCTCATCAAGCATCTCAAGGCGGGCTCAGTGACGTTCGTCAACTATGACCGCAATGACCCCGATTCCCTGCCACGCCGTGTGCTCGACCTTGGTTGCGGGGTGCGTCCCTCCACGCATGTGAATGCTTCTCACGTCCTTACCCATCGGCGTAGACAGGGACATGGGTGGTTGATGCCGCAAGGGAATGGCCACAGGCCGAATTCGTACGCGCCTACTCTCATCCGCCGCTCATCACCAGCTCACACTCCCGGCAAGGTCGGCTTTGATCTAGCAGCTATCCAAGTACCGCTGCAGTTTATGGATCCATCGCTAGCGTCGCGGATTACATGGACGCACGGAAACTTGTGAGTACCGATGCAAGTCGGAACCGCGAGCCCCACCCTCAAACTCCGCGCAGTTTGACTACGAAGTTGCCTTTCGATGATGATGAGTTCGATCATGTTCATATCAAGTCAATAGCACGAGGGGTCCCCGAGAATAAGGTGCTTACCCATACCCACATGCTTCGCCCATGGCTCATTGTCCTGTAGTGGCAGACGATTTTCGAAGAAGTGAACCGTGTACTTTGTCCTGGCGGTGTCTTGGAGCTTGTCGAAGAAGGTGAGAGCGGCGTTCTTCCCCACTTCCATACCGCTCACAATGATGACAGACATTATCTTCCCACATCTGCCGCATTGGTTCACATCCCCTCTCCGCGTCCGACCTAGAAGGACGACCTCCGTTCATTACCCTGATGGCAGCGAAGGAGGCGCATACCCAGCAAGATCTGATACCCCCGCACGAGCACCTCTGGAACACGCACTGCTTGAGTCCCTTCATCAATCCGTATATGAGCATCGCTTTATCAACATGACTCCGACCGGTGCGTATATGCGTCTCGGCACACGTCAGGCCTTGGCTGACCTTCTTGGACAGCTGTTTTGCCTAGCTATTTCGACACTTACTTCCGAAGAATTACGAGGGGACCCGTTCTCAAGTTCCCTATGCCGCCTATACCCCTTCCACCGCCACCTCCGCCGGATAGCAATGCACCAACCGCGGGTGGCATACTGGATATCGGGCTTGATATACCAGAGCTCGTCGAGCCTCGTTCTTCCCCCAAGACACGTCCCGTCTCTCTTTCGTTCTCTTCAACACGATCAACATCAACCGAAGAATCGCTTCCCATTTCCGTATTCACGGCTCGGAGCACCAGCAGTGATTCTACCCGCCTGTCTTCGCTTCACGCCTCAGAAGACTCGAACGGCGCTTCCTCGTCTTCGAAGCGGACCAGCAAATCACCCGAGGATGATGCCGATACACTGCGAGATGCGAATACTCCCATACCGATATCCGAAGTCCTGTCCAAGGCTTCAGAGGCGGGCTCGCCGGTGGATGAGGCTTCGGATACGCCCTGGCAGCCGAAGCAGCTGTTCATGATCGAGAATAGGTCGTCCAGGCGGGACTCGAACATCATACCGGAGAATTTGTTGTTCAGTGACAAGCTGCGCGAGCTTAGTGCTCGGTCGCTGGCTATGCAGCTGCATTGGTAAGCTCGTGTCGTTCCTCCTCATTCTCAATTGCTGACCGGTCTGAACAGCTCATACCGCTACGTTCTCGGATGCCAAGAGGCGATGTGGGATGAACTGAAGTACCGCATACGCAACAAATCAGAATCGCTCGCGCCTTATGGCTGGGACGACGACGAGGACTTCGAGGAGACGCATAACCGGCACAAGTTCGAGACCCTCATTCAACGTTACCAGTCGTATGTCCTTCGCTTGCTCGTGCACCGACCTCTCACTGACCAGTCACTCAGCGATATGCGCGCACGAATATCGCTCTGGTGCACGCTGAGCGAGCTTGGCTGGCAATACCCCGCTCGCGATCCTCTCACAAAGGCGCAAGCGATAGAGGAGTCCCGTCTGCGGGAGGCGTTGGCGGAAGCGCGCCGGGCTGCGCAGCAGGGCGATTTGCAGCTGCCCTCGCGGGCCCTGCGTACGATGGTAGGATATAAGGATTGAGCTGCCCAGATGCAGTTTCTCGTTTGTGGTCTGTGGATCCGTCTTGCGTCTACGGGCGCAGTTCCTCGCTTGTGAGTTCATCTTGGGACACTGGGTTCGCTACTGGTGTAGACTATGTTACTACTATCATGAACATTCGCTGTTGTATTTTAGCCAAGCTTTGACGATTTGTTACGACCTTTGCACAATATGAACCGGTAGATGGGAGACTATCTGATTGTCCGTGGGCGAACATTGTATTGTATCGAGAAGACGTGCATTGCATAGAGAAGACGTGCTAGCCCCGGGTATAGAGGGGTCTTCCAAAGGTTCCGTGAATTGAATGGTATTACAGTGTACAGTACAAGGTCCATGCATTGAGTCGACGTGCGAAGTCCTCCATGTCGTGCGGAGTCCATCATGACGTGCCCGGGAAAACGACGACGGAGCCGGAGAGCGAGAGGAGAGACAGTGCGGCCTCTGATGCGGTCTCGCTCTGCGGTGGCGGGGGCGTGGCGTAGCGCGACGGGCGCGTCTCGTACGCGTCGCCCACGCTGATCGATGAGCCCCCTACACTCCCCTCCGCATCCGAGGCGTGCGCGGCGGCGGACCATGCATCTTCGGACTGCCCCCAGCGCTGCGCCTGCTGCTCGCACGCCCACTCGAGCGTGATGCCACGCCTGCCTCCGTGCTCTGTCCGTCGTTTGTGGCGCGTGCGCGAGACGCGGATCTTCTGCGCGGACTCTGCGAGCTCGTCGATGGTGATGCTCTTTCGGCGTGGAGGGTCCTTATGGCCGGCTGGAGGAGATGTCTTCTTCCGCGGGGAAGGCGACATGGTAATAAGGGGCTTTCCATTCGAGTCGATGGGGCATCGCTTCTCAAGCGCCTTGCGCCGCTTGCGATACCAGGCTGAGATGGTATAAAGATCACTGTTGGGCGTTAGCAAGTGAAGTGGTTGAGCGGAAGGAAGAACGCACACTCCCAATTCCTGAGCGATAACCTGCTTTCGCGCAGTAGTCGGTTGAGTGTCGTAGTTGAAGAGGGTCATGAGCGTGGCGACCTGGTCGTCCTCTAGCTTCCGCTGAGCACGCGGCGTCGACTGTGTCTGAGTCCCTTCGACATCTGTCTCCAGCCCTTCTGAGTTCTCTTCATGGCGACGTGCTCTCTTACGAGGAGTGGTGCATGGCGATGGATCTGCTGAGGGCATTGCGAAAGCTGTTGAAGAGCGAGAGCGAGTGAATGGTCTTCCGGCAAGTGTCAAAGGACAATGGAGGTGAGAGACAAACTCGCGCGGCTTCCGTGGAGAACATAACCACGCAGGCGCGGAGGCAGATCGCGCGCGCGACGCGTCTGTCCAAGCGGACGCGTCGTAGCGCTTTGCGTCACGCGTCTCGCGTTTATTGGTACGCCGGCTATAGCCGACGGAACCTTTTTATTGGTATAAAAGCAAAGTAAGTACACGCTACCAGTGCATGTACAGACACACAACACGACTAGGTATATATGCAAGAAGGATAGGTAGAGCTACAGCTATAGATGGGGAGTTTGTTTGTAAAGAGACATAAGTTGTAAATGAGAGTTAAACATTAAGACACGTGAACAGAAATTTAGTCCATTCGAGGCTCGTGCGCTGAGCGCTTAGGACAGATCCATGGCGACATCGACGACGTCCTCAAGAGCCTCCTTCTCCTCCGGCGTCTTATCAGTCATCGGCGGGACGAATTGGAGGATGTTAGGGGCCTCGCGTTGGAGACTCATCAGATTCGTCGGTGCGTTCGGGGCCGCCTTTAGCTTCTCCCACCAGTCCTGGCGGACATACAGCTTCCTGAGAGGCCTCCCCTGCTCCCTGCGCCGCTTCACGAGGTACGCGATGTCGTCCGGTTCTATGTTCTCCCACTCGACGGCGAGGAGGTGCGGAAGGACAGGCTCGGGGCCCGGAATCTCGCCCGGAGCGATTCCTCCTTCCATGACGAACAGGTCGATGAGAGCGTGCCGAACACCAGAGAGGTTCAGGTAGCGCAGCTTGGGCATCGAGTTGAACCACCGCCGCATGACGATCCTGGTCTGCGGGCTCGGCCACACTTCGACGGAGTACCAGGTCAGGGTGCGGAGGTCGGGCATCCGTCCGATGAGTTGCTCGATGAACGGCGTGTAGTCGTCGCCGTAGAGGTTGAGCAGGATCAGCTCCTTGAGGTTCGGCGCGTGCAGCAGCCTCCAGATGAAGACCGCGTACTGGATGCTCTGGTCGCCGAGCGACAGCATCCGCAGCTTGGGCAGAGGGATGGGAGTGACGTCCGAGTCCGACCAGGAAGGGACGGGCATGATGGGGCCCGCGCCATCCAGGATGAGCTTCTCCAGGTGAGGAGAGGCCGTGAGGATCTCACGGAACCGCTGGAGAGGTAGGCTGCGCTCGTACGGGATCCGACGGATGTCGAATGTGGTGAGGTTCGAAGCGATTGACTGAGGCCAGTTCACAGGGATGCCCTTGAGCGTGAGCCACGACAGGGACTCCACGTTGCGCCCTCCGAACAAAGGAACCGACTTGCAGTGCGTGAGGTCCACAGCGCCGGGCATGTCGTTCCCGCTGAGGTGCATCTCCAGACGCTCCATCCTCATGGGTATGCCCGTGGCCGCAGCCTGCAGCTTCTCCGTGATGTAGATCATGCCATCCACGTCGCCGTGGCTGACGATGAGGATCCGGATCTGCGACAGCTTGGTGCAGAGGAGGTCGATCAACGACTCCCACTCCTTGCCGCGGAGAGGCGGCTTGCCCCGGCGGTTCCTCTCGTCCTCGTCGATGCGGATGTCGATGAAGCCATCGCCCGAGCGCACGATGTGCTGCTCCGTCAGCCCCCATGGGTAGTCATCGATCACGCGAACCGAGTTCCACAGTGTCACATCCGTGGTCGCGATGCCCCTCCAGAGTCGGCAGACCTGCGATATACTCGCGCGGTTCCGAATGATGTCGATGGTCGCGCCAGGCGACCAGACGACATAGCTGAAGATATCGGCAAGGACTTCGGGAGGGAGGCTGTTGATACGGAAGTTGATCCACGAGCGTACGTTGAGCTCCGTCGTCAGAGAATTGCGCAGGACCGTGACCTTGTGGGCCATATCACGAAGAGCAGCCGCATTGGGGGGCAGGGGATTCATCGAGAACGGCTTGTGCAACCCAGGAAGCTGGTTGGTACAGTGAGCAATCATGCCGGTGTTCTTTGCCAGTAACTGATTGTTTTCCGCTATCTGGGCGTCCGTTAAAGGGGGAGTGGGCAAGTTCTCAATGATATATCGTGCATAGGCATCCGCCTGGTACTGGGGAGGGTACCGCGACAGGATCTCGGAGATGTGAGGCGGGGCGGCGTAAGTGACCGGGTGGCGCTTTCCGTTCCATGTTGGGTACATGCTGACCGAGCGCATGGGGTCTATCCAGCACACCTTGTTCGCAATCGCCGTGCGCTCCTCGATCCACTGGGGAGAGAGAGGATTGTAGGGAACAGGAGCGGCGGGGCCGGGCGAAATGGGGAAGGTAGGAACGGCGGGGCCGTTGGCCATGGGGAAGACGACAGGAGCGGGGGGACGGTTGACGGGCAGAAGGCCCATGGGTGGAGGGCCCATGCGAGTTGTCGACCAGGCGTTCATCGTCTAGAAGAGGGGTTATCACCGAATCGGACGACGGGAGGACGTATCAAAGTACCAGAAGTGAAGGCGCGTAAGCTGTGAATGTGGCGCGTCTAAGGTCTTTGCGGGATTGTGTGCGTGCTAGCGCGACGTCGGGCGATCGATGGGGTGGAGGCGGTCGAGAATTTATGGGAGTGTCGATGGCAGGCGAAGACCAGATGGTGGTAGGAAGAGAGAAGGAAGGGAACAGGCGCGAAAGAAAAGGCTTGATGGAGGACAATGGTCGTTCCAAATAAGGAACGGGCACGAGTTTGCGGTGTTGGTTGTGTTTGGCAGGCCGTTGGGCGACGTTGACTTGGCTTTGGACGGCCACCACACCTTCGTACTCGCTCCCCGACCTTCCCTTGCACGCACGAGACGGCGGTTGGTGCGCAATGCACACGACCGATGGGCCCGAGCACGCCGACACCCAAAGGAATGCAACGAACAAACCCAACAACCGGACGACGTGGGCTTGACGCGTTGACCTTGGCTGCCGTGGGCGTTAGAGGGAAAGACGGACATGCTAGATGGAAGTCAAAAGAGAAGGGCCATGGAGACGCGGACGACACATCGTGCAACGTCCGAACAAGGGGAGTTGCCCATCACCAGACGAATCCACCTGGCTCATATTCCCGCAGCCTCCCGTCCCATTGTTTGCTGTCCCGCAACAAGGGAGTTCTGGTGTAATTGCCATTGTTGCTGGGAACGACCCTAGTCGGCCACCCGACCAAGAACAAAGCAAGGCCTGTCTCCTTTCGGTTTCCCCGTCAGCTTTTTGCGATACTGTCGGATCCTACCTGGGTTTCTTGACGAGCGGTCCCCCACGTCGGTGCTTTGTTGCTATCGCCTTTACTGCCTGCGCTGGACTGCGGCCGTCATAAAACGCCGTCTCTCGCTTGCACGTTCCTCGTTCGCCTGGCTGGCCATCGGTCATCTGTCATCCGAGGAAAGAAAGCAAGGCGCCAGAGGGGTAACAACGAGGGCCGTTGTGCAACGCGTTGCGGTGAGCGGCCTGCGTATCCTATGATCACAATCAAGAATGTATCCTGCTGGCTCGACGGGCGACCCTGGGGCGGGATAGTACTATTTCGTGCGCTCGGAGGAATGCTATTGTTCTTGTCAATCATTGTATATCACACGCTGGGGCTCTGACGAATAAATGTGACCTACTGCTTTCCCTCATCACCCCTGTGCGAGTTCGCCGTGCCATGATGTGCATCCTCGGTCAGTAGCTCTGGGTCTCGACAATTTCGAGGATGGACGGCGTTCGTCCTCGAAAGCTGTAGCTGCGCCTTTTCCCGGCTACGGCAAGGTACTTCCGGGTCCTTGAGTGCGTTGGCGTTCGGGGTCTTCTACGCATGAAAGCCCAATTTCCGCCGCGTCCGTAGCTGTTGGCGAGGGTATGTCCCTTATGCAAGCCTGCAACCTTGAGCGTTCAGAACAAAGTGAATGTTGTCTCCGCGGATGCAATTCTGCTTCATGAAGCTGTCGATCGGCGATTCCCTCTTCCTGCCTTTGTCCTTCTCGAATTCATTCGCAGTGGCGCAAAAGATGCCACAAAAACCACTGACCTGCGACATGGAATTCCATCTCATCTGAAGGCCATCGTGGCTGCTGAACACTCTCCGAAGAGTGTGTGGGCTCAGCGCTCAGCCCCGATGTGGAACATGCATGCTAGAGGTCACGACGTGACCCTCAATTTGGCGTGTTTCCTGCTTTTGTCGATCGTCTCTCGCCTTGCGCAACAATCCTACTATTCATTCGTGTCATTTGACAACTGCTCGTGCTGCCTGAGGCCGCGAACGCTCATGGGGAGCGCAAATATAATCAGGCGTGACATCCTTCTTTGAGGGCCAGAAAAGGCAATTCATCCGTACGTGCCGCTGGACATCTGCATTGACACGCGTATCGAGCCATGAGCGGCCTGCATGCTACTGCGTTCCATCGACACACCGGAAGACAAAGGCTCAGACAAACCAAAATATGCTCACTCGCGGTTTGCAGTGGGGTGCGCATCAGAGGGAATATGGATTGCAATGCAACAGTCGAGGTCTTGGTGAGTGCGTTTATTGTAGCTAGAAGGAGAGATGCTAATCTCCTTCTTTCTTCCCTTGCTCGCATCTCTTCTTCAATAATATCTGCTTGCGTCGATCGCCTTGCCAGCTTTCTTTCGTGAAGCCGCTGGCTCGTCCCCTGTCCCCTTCTCAAAGTCGCTCGCTCCACGAGACCCCGAGGCTCGCACCACTCATTCAGGCAAAGCATATCCCTCCCAGTAATTTAACACCTATCAGCGTCTCTCTCGAAGAGCGTCTACATGCAGTCCCTTGTGATGATTTTTGCAACCTTAATACGCCCCCGCATTCCCCCCCTTCCTGCAAAGCCCCAGCCGCCATTCTCTGCATTCGCTCATTTCAATAACATCTTCTCTTCTATTCTCTGACCTCTGTTCGTCATAAAGAAGCGAGGGGTTGGCATAGAACGGTGGTTCCTTCGAGCCGTGGCGTAACGTAACGTACGATATGAACCTTCCCCATCTGGAACAATGGCAAAGGCCGCGTGCGAGGCTTCTCTGAGTCTACTTGGTCACGATCTACGTCAGAGACGCTTCTTCATAGAAGATGACCTTGGAGTTGTTGCGCATCTGTGCGATACGCGTCTCTCGAAGTACAACTACGAATAGTTACTGCACTTCGGGTATTCCGAGCTGTTAGCATGCACGATCTCTACTACACATTACGGCGACCCGTCGTACTATACATTGACTAGACATTACACAATCAGTTGAACATGTCCGTATGCCTGGTAGGCCGGCGTCGCCGTCGCTCGATGATCAAGGCGGATAAGAGGATGTCATCTAGAAACTCTTGCCCAGCGGGAGTGATTTCTAGCATTTGCGTACGGTGTCGCGCGTCAGGAAGGCGAAGGCTGCGATTGGGCAGGAAGCGGGCAAGGACAACTCTCTCCATGACCGCCTTCTCCATTCTGAAGCACTGGATGCGACTGAGGGATAAGGCATGTTACTCGAGGGAATGCACTTACAATGTACAGTCGTGGGTCGCTGGTGATGTCCCATTGAATTTCCTAGAGAGAAAGTCAGCCCGGCCGTCCCACAGATCGCAAGAAAGACCTGACCTTGTCAGCCAGAGTCCATGTGAGTATGTCCTGCAGCGATGATGAGCCTCACTGGTGCGCAGAAATGAGAAGACGACGTACGCCTTTGAAGGTCTTGGGATGAAGCGCATCATGAACTGTGCATTCCCGATTCCGGATGAAAACGGTGCTGGCTTTGTTTGAAATTCCCATCCTATTCATGGTCAATGTATTGCTGTGTTGGCCTGAGTTCGTAACTCACTCGAAGTCGCCTACAATAGGCCCCTCTTCAGTGCCACCGCGACGAACAGCTGATGGAGGGTAAATATCAATTGTAGATGATTGGGAGGCCAGCTTACTAGTGATGAACGATGTGGGCACGAAGACGTTCATGGCCACAGATATATGGTACAATGGTCGCGAGTCTGCGGCCTGGGAAGGCGGCAATAACAAGATAGCATTCGCCCCGGAAGGGGTGAAAACATAAGTGATGGTTTCTGTTGGTCGTCGGGCGTCCACATATCTGGGACCCAGACATCAACGAGAAGCTCTGTAAATGAAAATGAACTCAACTCACGCAGGAGGGTCTTCTGATGGAGCCGACTCGTTCAAGTTCACCAACACGGGCGTCGCACTTGAGCCCTCGTCGGAGGTAAGGACGGGCACTTCGTGCGCGCCTGACGCCTGCGAAGCTTCCCTCGGCGCGTGAAGCTCATCGGAAGATGTGTTCGGTGAGTCGCCAGTAGGTGTATCGGCTTCCGGGATGGACCGAGCTCTGCTGCTTGAGCCCCGTCGGGAACCTATGTTATGGAAAAGACGGCGCGTCTTGCTCCGCAGTGACGAATCATTCTCAGGTGTACGAGCAGTATCGTTCCCACTAGACGAAGAGGGTTCGCTGGAGGAAGTTGAACATTCGTGGCCATTGTTACCCCCCTTATGAAGCAAGCTGTTGAGGGTGGCTTGGCGAAGCTCACCTAGGTTCGGTTGCGGTCATAGTAGTGAGGAAGTCCTTTGTGCAAGGCCAAGAAACAGAAAATCAATGTCGACGTAGAGGACTACTGGTGAGAGCAGAAGCAGAGGGAGGCTGTTCGGAATCATGTCCCGGGTGCCAGCGCGATCATCTGCATGTGTGCCGCCGTCGTTGCCGCGCCGAGTCGAGGCGGGGCAACGTCATGGCATATGCTGACGCCGGTGGGATGTGGAGGCCGCGCCGAGCAGCACAATGCGCACTGCTCTCTTATCGTCGGCCGAGCCCAAGACGGAAGGTTTTGTATCCGGACGGAGCCATGAATTGACCAAGACGGGAAGGGCTCGATTGGACCCATAACTTTTTCTTCCCACGCCCCTATTTGGGCTGAGCGTCGACAATCACATGCCAGAGAAGTCGAGGAGATAGCGAGAGCATCGTTGAAGATTACAAGTACAGTAAGGATACAACAGGAGTTGAAGTCCCGTATTAGTACACGCCCAGTAACCAATTAGTCTACAAGATGTTCATCTAGCAAATGCACGTCGAAAGCGCGGAGCACCCCGCGTAGTTTAAGCAGCATCTCGTCCCATTCTGCCTCGGAGTCAGAGAGGGCGGTTATCGCACCTCCGGCGCCCACGGTCCATTCTTCAAGGCCGTTGTCAGTGGTGGTGGAGTCGTGCTTGTAGCAGCTCCGGATGGTGACGGCCCAGTCGCTCGCGCCGCTGACGCACCAGTAGCCGAAGACACCAGAGTAAATGCCGCGAGGGTCGTCTTCGAGCGTTTGCAGAATCTCAACGCTCCGCTTCTTGGGCGCGCCAGTCATGCTGCCTATGAGAGTCATGAGTAATCAAGTCACCAAAGCTTCGAGAATGTACGTACCAGGTGGTAGGCTATGCCTCAACACCCGTGTGCCGAGATCCCACGTCGATGTCAACGGCGCGCCAGGAGCCAGTCGTCCCTCAATCACGCTCGTCAACTGCCACACCGTTTCATACTCCTCCACCGAGCAGAACTTCGCCACCCGCACATCCTCCCCAACAACATGGTGCAGATCGTGCGTAATCAAGTCGACGATCATCAGGTTCTCCGCCACCTCCTTCACGCTGCCCGCCAGCTCCTGCTTCGCCACCGCGCGCGTGATGCCCGGCCCCTTGCGCAGGGTGCCCTTGATGGGCCGGAGCTGGCAAACAGGGTCGGCGCCGCGCGAGCAGGAGAGGAAGCGCTCGGGGGAGGACGAGATGAAGGTGGTGGGGCTCAGGCGGATGTACGCGGCGTGCGGCGCGGGGTTGAGCTGCCGGAGCTTCTTGTAGCGCTGCCACGAGGAGCACGGTTGGGGAAGATGCGGGACGCGAATGCTGGTGCGCGCGGTGAGGCAGAGCTCGTAAGAGTCGCCGGAGTAGAGGTATTCCTTCGCACGGTCGATCCGGGAGATGTAGTCTTTCTTGCTGGGCAAGCTGAGTTGGGGTTTTGGTGATGCAGTAGAAGACGTTGAGGTCTTCCCGTTGGTGCTATGATACAGGTCTAGGAGTTGAGTTCTATGATGCTGAAGATGAAGTAAGGTATCTTTGACCCATTGATGATCGCCAGGTCGGATGGTCTGGATGTATAGTGTTTCCGTGAGGGTATCGAAGACGAGACTGCGCTCGAGGAATAAGAGGTTGACATCTGGATGTCCAGTCGTGGTCTTGCCCTTGGGTAAAGGAACGCCCAAGTCCTGGAGGCCGACCTCGTAGCTAAGGCAGCCGACTAGGCCACCCCAGAAGGGGACTTCGGGGCGTCCGCGAATAGCGCGACGCTTGCACATGTAGTTGGTAAGCCAATCCCAGATTGGTCGATCTCGCAGGCTTTCTTCGTCGGTTTTTCCGTCGCGCGTTATGCGGACGGAGGGTTGTCCAGCATAGTACTGGATGAGAGGGGACGACGGCAAGAGCGAACCAAGTATTGACCACCTCCCGGGGCGGGCGGCGGAGTCGAGCATCACGAATGGCTTTGTCTCGTCGTGAACGCCGAGGGATTCGCAAAGACGAGTGATCGACAGGCCGGGGACGTGGATGGCCTCCGTGACCACTTCCCGCTCTGCATCGGCAGTCGGAGGACGTGTTGGGGAGCGCAAGCAAGGCCAAGGGTCCCCGAGGAGGACGCGTCCGTTGAGGGAGAGCGAGGTCGGCTTACGTCCGCTACGATCATTCCATCTCTGCGCCAGCCTCCAGAAGTTCCTAACGATCTCCTGGCCTCCGCTGCTCTGACTGGACTCGGGGTGATATTGCACTGCCCAGTACGGTCTTCTTGAGTGCTTGGCCGCCATAAGGACTTGTCCGTTCTCTGCGTCGTGCGCCCAGCCGAGAGGCTCTATTGAACCTCCTTTGCGGAGCTCGACGTGCAGGGAGTGGTAGCGGACGGCATTGACGGTGCTGACGCCCTCAAAAATGTCGGTTCCCGAGTGATCGATATGGGATAACTGGCCATGCTTTACGGTGTGAAGGCGCTGGAGCGTTGCTCCGTGCTCGATGCAGAGGCTCTGCAGGCCGAGACAGACGCCGAAGATGGGTACGACGTCCGCGTTGTCGACTGCCCAGAGATGCTTGACGATGCCGATGTCTGAGTCATTATCTGGGGAGCCGGGGCCAGGACCAACTATGATCGCCGATAGTTCGTGAAGGTAAGGACGTAGTTCGGCGAAGGATAGTTGGTCGTTCTTGACGATGTGGATCGTGCAGTCAGGTATGGCTCTTGAGAAGAGGGATGCGAGACTACATGTGCTGGTATAAGACAAAGTTGCGAGGATGTGTGGTAGCACGCACTTGTAAGTGAAGGAATCATAGCAGTCTACAAGGAGGAATGTCGGCGGAGACACGGTCATAGTTCCAGGATGCGGTATGGGTCGATTAGAGGGATGACTAGGAAAGAGTGAGCATAACGCATTTCGAACGTTGGAAGGGACTACTACCTTAGTAGATAAGTTAGGAAAACATAGACGAGGAGTTCAAGGTAAGTCCTCGAAGGTCAATGGAGACTCAGATCAAACAATGACAAGGGCAAAAAACAATGGACGATGATACCGATCGACAATTGATGGCGCTAAATGGGGCGGGCCGGTCTTCCGGTGCGCCTCATTCGCGAACTTGCTTTTGGCTTCCTCCTTCACTCAGGCCGTGACGGGCACCCCCTTCCCCTCGACCAGCGGAAGAGTTCACGGACGCTCATAATAACGCTACAGCATGGCTGCCGATCCCAAGGCGCAAGCTCTCTTTCAAAGGGTGCGTGAGCGCGTTCACGATCAGCTCAAGTACCAACTGCCATATAGCTCAAGCGCGTCTGCGTGCCTCTCATGGGCACTCCCCCCCTCGCACCCTCCAACATACCAACTGCCTCCAAGCTTCTGACGGAGCTCCTCGATATACTGAAGCATAATCAGCCGAATATCCTCTCACCCAACCTCATCTCGTACATCTTCTTCCCGCTATCCACCTTACTGTCGAAGAATAACTCGGAGGCCATCCCCGATCAGATACTCGAGAAGATCTTCCTCATCCTGACTATACTCTGCGAAGACTGGTGGTGGGACTGCGACATGAAGATCTGGGAGCAGTTATTCATGCTCGCCGGAGCTGTACTTGGCGGCATCGACGTGAAGGGGAAGGGCAAAGCACGCGACGAAGAGACGAAGGAGGCGGCTATCCGCTGCATACTGTGTCTCGTGCGCCCTCGAGATGCTCAGGACGCTGCCCGACGCGGTGTACAGGTCGAAGACGCGTTCGAGAGACTGGAAGAGTTGCGATTCTACGCGCAAATGCCCAAATTCATACCGATCCTTGGACAGACAATAAATTCGCTCATCGAGACCGCGTTGACCCCAAACATATCTTTGACCCTTGCATGCCTGCAAACGCTACATGTCCTCGTCAAAGACTATATTCCGGACGATCTGGCACCATCAATCCTGCCTGGCGTCGTCAGCACCTCGACGAAACTTGCTCTAGGGATGGCCGGAAAGAAGGGATGGGTCAATGGCGATGTCGTAGCCGCGTCTCTAGAAGTCCTTACAGTCATCGTGGTACGGTCGGTGGGCGACGAGATCTGCGCACAGGAGGGCGCTATCAAGGTCTTCACAAGCTTGGACGATCTCAAGAACCTTGCAAGCGATGGGTTAACGCAAGACAGGCCCACGCGTCCCTTTGCCACGCAAAGAACACCGACATGGCTGCGAGGAACGGCGACGCAGCTGCATATTGCACTCAACTCATTGACACCTCTCATTTCACATCCAACGGCGTCTGCGCTGCTTGCACTCACGAAATGCGCGGCCACCTTGCTCGTATCCACATCGTCGACGCTACCGCAATCCCAGACCCTGTTGCTATCCCTCCTTCTGGCGCTTTCCAACTCAGACTACCCTTCAGTCTCGCAAGAGGCACGCAAGTCACTCATCTCCGCCGTCACGTCCACATCGCGAACACAGCATACAATATTGCAAACCCTCATGAACATCACCCGCGACAACCTCACCTCCCTACCGCGCCTCCTCACCTCCCAAGCGGACGCCAAAGTCGAGCACGTCGCTGGCCTCGTCGAAGCCGTTTGCCGGCTATCCTATGCGGAGGAAGCGACTGACAGTCCAGCGCTACATGCCATCTCCACCGGTGTCGGCAAGCTTCTTGGACCATCCGGAGGTATCGAGAAGTGGGGATGGAGCCTTCTCTCTGTATTGGAGTTCGTCGAGCCTGCGGTCAACGTCGCGCGCGCACCTACGACCGCGCTTCTCGAGAACGACGCCGATGCGGCGTCCTGGGTCTCCTTCCCGGAAGTGCCGTTGAAGAGCCTCACAACACGCAGCGCCGCTGATGCAGTGATGCGCATGTTTCGTGCTCTTGGCAGAGCGGCGGGCGAGCCATGCCTCTATGCCATCGAGTGGTTCGCCGGCGTGGGCCAGTCGGGCAGAGATAGCGATGCGGTTGCGGCAGTTTGGTGCGCTTCCCGGCTACTGGAGGGCGTGGCAAATATATCGTTGTCCGCGGAAGCGGCCAATGATGTGCGATTGCGACCTGTCAGTAAGCGATTGTCGAAGCTGGCGAGGTCACTCGCCACGACAGTTTCCGAGGTTTGGGATGACGGGGACGCCGACGCGGAGACAAAAACCGCGCCGGAGAAGCCAGAGAATCCGGAGGTCAACAGTACGGTGCAGCACGTACAAGGCCTATACCCACTGCAAGACAATCTCAAGATCATTAAGTCCACACCTATGCAGCAGTATCGGTCCAGCATCCAACCCATTCTCCATCGCACGCTGCTTATTCAACTCCTTGCTGTCATAGCTGGCGTACTGCAAGCCAGATTCAATCAGACGCTAATTCGGACGCTCTACCCCATTTTGCATTCGCTGGTCTCCTCAGTGCCCTTGCTGTCCGCCACCGCACATGCGGCACTGAACTTCATTGCCATCAGCGCGTCCTACGCCTCTCCGGCCAACCTGCTGCTCGCCAACTTCGACTACGCACTTGATGCGGTTGGACGGCGTCTTACAAGACGATGGCTTGATCTCGATGCGACGAAGGTGCTAGTCATTCTCGTGCGCCTTGTTGGCAGTGATGTCGTCGATCGTGCAGGGGACGTCGTCGAGGAGTGCTTCGATCGACTGGACGAGTTCCATGGGTACGATGTGCTCGTGGAGGGACTCATCCAGGTGCTTGGAGAGGTCATCAAGGTCATCGAGGTTGAGGACAACGCGATGAAGGAAGATGGGCCAAAGGCACCCAAAGCAGACGTACTGGTAGACCGTGAGCGCTTCGATGCCTTCTTCGAGTGGTACACTCGCAGGAACGATATCGATTCCGACGACGAAGACACTACCGATTACGGTCCCGCCCCTCGACACGCCTGGGGTGAACCGGAGGACGCCGATGAAGAGCCCAAGGAGGATGAAGCACCCATGGACACCTCCGACGACAACGTCCCGCCCACACCAATCCAAGCCCTCACCACCCAGATTGTCGCCCGCTCCCTCTACTTCCTCACGCACGGCGCGCCCTCCATCCGCGCGCGCATCCTCAGGCTCCTCGCCTCCGCCGTACCCGTCCTCCCTGAAAGCGCCCTGATGCCCGAGATCCACCGCGCGTGGCCATTCATCCTGAACCGCCTGTCGGATCGCGAGACGTTCGTCGTGACCGCCGCCGCGGGGCTCGTCGAAGCCCTTTCGGCACACGTAGGCGACTTCATGTTCCGCCGCATCTGGGACGATGTGTGGCCGAGGTTCCATGCGATGCTGGGACAGCTGGACCGTGCGGACTCGCAGAGTGCGCTAGCGAGACGCGGCGCAGGAATTGCGATTGGAACAGAATCCGCGTACACGCACTCCCATAGGCTGTATCGGTCGCTGCTGCGGACGATGACGGCGGCCGCGCGGGGTGTACAGCCGCAGGATTCGTCGTTGTGGGAGGTGATCGTAGACTTCCGGCGTTTCCTGCATGTAGGGGCACACGAAGAGCTGCAGCGATGCGCGAGAGACCTGTACCTCGCAATCGGCCTGCGCAACGCGGACGAGGCATGGCTCGCATTGGCTGGCACGTCAGGAGAGGTCGCGTCGACCGTAGCCTTCCTCCGCGAACCACGATGGGACATCACGGCGAACGCGGCGCTCATCTGTCAGGGCTTGGACGAGGGCGAGGGAGGAGCGAAGTGAACGCTGGATCGAATTGGTCAGGGGTTTATCATGCGTAGACCAGGAGCATCTATGGTCGGAAGATAGTGCTTGTGGTTGGGGTTGTATCGCCGCAGCTCGACGCCGGACTCCTTGAAGAGTGCAGCGGAGGCGTCATCCCTGCGTTGGGTCAGTTTACCCTCTGGTATTGGCATAGAATCAACGACTGACACTTTGTACGACAGGTTGTACACCACGGTCGACACGCCCGTCTGGATGATCTTGACGGTGCATTTGAGGCAAGGGCATCTATGGAGGTTATAAGGGAGGAGAACCCAGAGAAGTAAATCATGTACGCACGTATTGCAGTACAACACTGCGCCGGGCCCGACGCGTTCCCTTCCCGCTTCTAAGAGGGCGTTCTCTTCGGCGTGCAAGCATATGCACTCGACCGACTCCATGCCTGTGTTGCAGCGAGGACAACCGCCTGCATTGCAGTTGGTCAGACCGCGAGGTGTTCCGTTATACCTGCGATACATGAGCGACATGGCCTCGATGAACGTGGAACACTACGAACCCAGTAGCAATGATGCGGTTCCCTCCCCGCACGTCGACGAGGACTGCACCGACGCGCCTCTTCATGCAGTTTGACCGGTGCGATGCGAGGGATGCAATGGTCTGCGAGCAAGGCTTGAGTAAATGACCGTACACAAGATGACAGTGCTACTCACCATAAAGTATGCATCCCATCCTGGTCGCAAATGGCTCGGATCGAGCAAGTCCAGCTTCTCCAGATGAAAGTGCAAGTCCGGCACCGTGTCGAACGCGTTGTCGATGTGTAGATGCACGAGATCGCGTATCGCGTGCAGCGAGTCTGCCGCTGCCTGGCTGACGTGAGGTGGGGGAAGGTGTATCGAGGACGTGCTAGGATTGAAGGGCGGAACGAGGGTTTCGACTGGTGAGGCTTCGGGCTCGGTGTCAGGGAAGCCATGCACTAGCTTGTCGTGCTCTTGGATGAAGTCGAGTAGTTCGAGGCCCGGGAACTTGCTGTGGGGAGAAGTTATAATCAGCCGTAGTGCCTGAAGTAGTTGGGATGGGTCACGTACGATCTCGCTCTCCGATACCTCAGCAATATCGGCGCGTCCACACTGATCAGCATGAAGAACGGACGCCTCATGAACGGCGCGAGCAACGCGCGCGTCCCCAGGTCCATCGTCACGAAGTGGTCCGTCCAGTGTCGCGTTACGTGCGCCAGCATCTCAGAAGTCGACGAGAAACGCAACTTCTGCCTTGCTTTAACGGAAGCCGGCACCGGAGAGGAGAGGGGGCTGAGGTTCAGGAAGGACAGGCGCGCGGCGGCGAGCTCGTAAGTCGGCGCCGCGCGATCGGTGTCTGGTCCCTCAGAGGGCGCGAGGCTGAAGAAGCCGTGATCATCGCTGGTACTAGAGGACGAGGAGTATGAGTCGCCGCGCTGATGGTTGAGGTGGGAGAGCTGCAAAAGGGAGGGGGAACGAAGATCAGTTGGACGTGCAGACCGAGGGAACGGCACGATGCGCACGTTGTCTGGCTCGGCTTCGGCAAGGGCGAGGGGAGTGAAGCCCTTGTCTACTAGGTATCTGTAAACGGAGTCCTTGCCTGAGGCGCGCGTACCGACGATGGCGATCAGCATTGGGAGGGAAAGTTGAAGAGAAGGGAGCAGAAGGCGCGTCGGCGACGGGCGGACATCTACACGTTCCGCACTATTTCACCCAGGCTCGTCTCATCGGACAATCGATGGTCCCAAGGGTGCACAGCACGTCGTGAATTCAATCAGTCTAGTCGCACCATAATTTGAGGAATACTCAGGGATCGCGTCAAGCAGTTTACTACGGTACAGAGGCAGCAAGTGGATGTCTAATGGTCTACGACCACATCCCTGTCATATAAGTGAAGCTCGGTGCGAGAGCGCGACGCGTGAGCATGGCAGAGGGGTTCCTCCGCTTGTCCTTCTCCGCCGCCTCCTTCCTCCGCGCCTTGGCTTCCTTGCGCTCCGCCACTCGTCGTTCCTTCGCGGCGCGCATGTCCTTCGGAGCGGTCGTCTTCAGTTGTTTAACGTGCGTGGGTATATACGCCGGCAGCGCTGCCGTCCTTGGTGCAAGTGCGGACTTGGTAGGAAGGCTGCGTGTATGAGGCTTGCATGTAAGCCATGCAGCCGCAAGGGTCGGGACCAAGTCAAGCGTATCGGCAAGGCTAGTCAATCCTGGGGTATCTGCCTGTGATCCAATCATTTAGATGCAAAAAGTCAGAAAAAGAACTCAAACGCACATCGAATGCAAGGACCGCGACTCTTCGCAATCCAACCGCGTCGGCAAGAGTAAGCTCAGCGCCTTTCGGCAAGCATACGAGCTTGATGGGTGCGTCCGCAGCCGTGCTGGAATTGTGCGCGGCAATAAGATGCGGGATGTGGTCAATCAAGATTGGTGGATCGACATCTGCTCTGCACACGAGGACCAGGCGGATAGGCGAGGAGGACTTGTCAGGTGGTTGTGCCGAAGGCTCAGTAGACGACCCGGGTGCGCTGGTGGCCTTCACGGTGATTGGAGAAGGATAGCGTACGCGTTCGGTCTGTTTCTCCAGTCGTTTCGTAACGTTGTTGATCCCGATGACAACATGATTCTGAGCGGGAGGGGGTTCTGAGTCGTTGACCAGGTCATCTAGAGCATTCTGAACGCGCGTATCCAGACCGGAGGAAGTAGACACTGCGGGATCGGCAGAGGACATCTCAACGTCGCCTTCCTCGGTACCAGGGGCTTGCTGCACGCGCTGCTTCTTGAAGCGCTCCTCCTTCGCTGCGGCGCGTTCGACGCGCTTGCGCTTGCGGTTGTTGTACCGTATCGCGGTCGTGTATTCGCCCATTCCCTCCAACATCGACAGTGCATGAGAGAAAACAAGATTTTGGACATTTTCGGGGACCTTCGGCCTGCAATGTGTAAGTACAATGTGCCCCTCCAGATGTAGATGCACGCACCACTGGATTCGGTAAGGGTTATCGAGCACGCTCTTGAACACGACCTTCTTCTCCTGCGCTGCCTGCTGCTTCTTCCCTTGTGGTTTCTCCCTGTTCGAAATGGTCGTGTGCGTCTTCACCGTCTTGTCCGCCATGGTGGTGAGAGCGGGAGGCAAGCCGTATGATCTCGGCATCACCGGCCCGGACAGTGGCGAGATGAACATGATCGTGTCGCGGTCACCTGCTCTTGCTGCTCTCGACGACGACAAAGACGATGGCGAACGAGGGCCTCGGGCTCGGCGTCCACGTCGGTACTAAGTCCACCATTACCGTCGCCGACCACGCCTACCAGTCTCGCAACGCCCCCGGGCCTCAATCAGCACCACTCAGTCCCATCACGAACACCGTCATACCCAACTCCCTACCTGCTGGCTCCTCCAGGATGCGCGACCTCGAGAGCGCCGCGCTAGGCAGGACGATGGTCAAAATCGACAAATACGGCGGCTCAGGCTTTCTGACGGGCGACTCCATCGACACGAACTGCATCACTCCGAATGGCGGGACGGTATCGCGTGCCTTCGAGTTCGACATGGTGCAGTCCTCCCTTGCACGTAACGACACAGTACTTGCCCCGGGCGCACCCGCAAAGGAACTTAAGTCGCTGCTCGGCAAGGGCGATGGCGCACGTCTCAAGTCGGGTGCTGCGATTAACCGAGAAGAGGACCGCGTTGCACTCGAACACGCCAAATCGAAAGCGCGTGTTGAGCTCGATCTAGTGCTGGAGAACAACGTCTGCGTGCAGGGAGGTACTATAGCCGGCCATCTGTGCGTGCACGTCCGCAAGCGTACGAAACATGAGGGCGATATCATGATTTCTCGCGGCAAGCTGAGGCTCGTGGGTTTCGAGACGCTCGGCGGGCAGCACGATCGTCACGTATTCTACCAGACGGCGGTTTCGATGGCGGACGCATCCGAGCGCTCCGACGCCGTATTGGATTCTCAAGAAGACCTAGACGGCTTCGCGTGGGCGAAAACAGGCGACCACATCATACCTTTCGCCATGCAAGTGCCACTCGAAGGAGACGTTGGCAATGCAAAAGGCGTATTGGACGCCCAATCTGGTGGAGCTTCTGTGCGATATATAATCATGATGTGAGTGCTTTGTACTTCCTCCCGACTTCATCTCATACAATTGACATCCTGCTGTTAGCACCGTGAAGGTCAGGGATCCTGCCACTGATGCTCGGTCCATCGCCCACTTCTATCGCGACTGCGAGGTCTGGCCGCGCCTAAACCCTTCTGCGATCCTTGCACCTGCTCCTCGACCCATCTCAGACACCAATGCCAAAGCGTTGTTCATGGGTGGCTCCGGGAAGGTCTATCTTACAGCCCAATTACATCGCGTCCACTGGATCGCTGGCCAACAATGTTACATCCGAATAATTGTCAACAACGGATCGAAGAAGACGATGAAGCGCCTCAACATTACCCTTGTGCGCACGCTCGTGGCATACAAGCCCAACAGCAAGAAGGACGAGGACGATGACCCGGATGCGTGCTCAGCGACGACATACGAGAAGCAAGTCGCGGAGACATCGCTCGAGATGTGCGAGTCTGGGAGTCGTGGGCATGCAAGTGCAAAGGGATGGTGGACGGGCGTCATGCCAGAGGAGGACAAAGAGTTCTCGCACTTCATTCAGATACCCGTAAGTACCCCGGTATCATCTAGTACTTCGAATGTGATTAACGTTCTTACAGCCCGATGCCCTGACAATCCCTCGCGGACGACTGCTGGAAGTCGAGTATACCCTCCGCGTCTCGATTAGCTCTGGCGGTCTATCTTCCGATCTCACCGTCAAGGTTCCCCTCAGAATCATCAACTTCCTTTCAGTCGACCCTCCACCGTCAGCTCCTGCAGAGGCCGCCCCGATGTCTCGCGGGAGCACCGCGGCCTCTGGTCCGATGCTGGCTTATGACCGCGACGATAGCTACGGTCATTCACGACCTGGGTCGCGCAACGGCAATTATGCACAGGGCAGTGGCGAAGCAGAGATTCCAGCGCCTCAGCGCGCCATTCATTCTCGCCCAGCGCTCCCTGGGATGTTCCAGCTCAGTTCTCTGCCGGAGTCAGATGAACACCTGCGCACACCGGTGGCCCAAACATCTCGGACGTTCCCAGGCAATGCACCAAGCGCTCAGATGGATGCCTATGCAGACGAATATACCGACCCAGACAGCTCGGGCTACTTAGATGAGGATGGAAGCCTGCCGCCCACCGGCCTGGCCAACCTTTCCATGCGAGATGACTCTGACGACGTCGTGCAGTACGCCGTGTCGTCGGCGTCGCAGGACTACAGCAACCAGACTGACAATGGGTCGCTGGAAACCTCGACTGTGCAGGTCGAGTCCGAGGTGGACGCGCCAGTACCATACACGCGTCAAAAAACCTGCGCGCCGTCGGCAGTCACCTTCTCCGACCTGTACTATGAAGACCCCGCCCACCTTACTCTGACTGGGCATAATCGTTCGCGCCAAAACTCCCTCAACACCGCCAGTGCACCAGTACCCCAGCCCACCGCACCTGTCGCTCGTGCAGAGCCCACATCGCATCCGAACTACGCTGCGCACTCGCAAACTCTCGCTGCTCCGCCAGGTCCTCACGACTTCGACGCGCTGCAGCATGCCCGCCGCCACTCGTACTCGGACCTTCCCGCGACCTCGCAGAATGCACAGCGAGACTTCCACGATACCCCCATGGCCTTGCGACCGGGAGGCGCACGCGAGCGGGTAGGAGGCCGGTCTGCCTTCGCGCAGCGCGTGCAGGAGAAGATGCAGGCGCGCGGCAGCAGCATGGGCCCGCCCGCGGAGACGGTTGTCGCGCACGGGTTCGACGAGCTGCCTCGAATGCAGCAACAGGTCCCGATGGAGCAAGGAGCTAGTGACCCGTATTCTGCGTATGGCCAAGGCATGCCTGGCGCCTATGCATCCGCGACTTCTGTGACAGGACACGAAGAGGCCTTCGCGAGCGATGAGGCAGAAGACTTCCGACGTGGTCGTCCGGAGGCTCGTGCTCCTCTGGCACGATATGCGGACGCGGAACTCACCGCGCAGCCAACGTCGTATGCTATCCAACCGTCGCGACCCCTCGGACAGGCCACCTTCCGCGCGGAGTCCCCCAGCCCATCTTACGTGGCGGAGACACAGGTGGTGCCTGCCGGTGTTCGTGAAGCGCAAGGTCGTCCGGGGATTTATGAACTGCACGCGGAAGCGCGTGGCTCACGCCTGCTCCCTACCCCGCCCGTGTCCGCTACTCTGCCACCTGGGCCTATATCGATGGCGTCGCAGGGCTCATCGGCTTCGGCCGCCTCCGTCGAACCTCCTCGAGGGCGGACACGCAGCTTCACTACGTCAGCCGTACCGCCTCAGCCGGTGATGACCTCTCGAGGCTCTGCGTCTCCGTCAAAACCTATCCTCCCGCAGGATGGGCTGCCGACCTCGATAAGCTCCTCGCCCCAGAAAGGAGGCCTGAGCAGCGTTCAAGAGCGCATCAGACAGCTGGAGGAGAGGGCGCGAGCAGGCGCCTGAGTCAGATAATCCCTCATACATCTCGTCATGAACACGACTTTACGACCACGGATCCATCTCGTTGTACTTCATACCCGATTCTGTACGCTGCATACCACGACCTTGACGCCTCGAACGAACGACTTCCATGACACAACGCATCTCATGAGACTATCGTCAGAACTATGTACACTATCCGCTACGCTAGACTATGTAAGGGGGAAGGAGGAGGGGAGTAGAGTACATACCAGGGGATCCTACATCGTAAATTAGGAATATCACGTTAGTTAGCAGTATTCGCGCGGCGGGTTCGCGCTCGTCATCACTGGAACCCAGCCAGGAGGAGAGAGGAGAGGAGGAAGAATGAGAGTAAGCAAAAGATTATAGCGAATAATGCCGCATAGATGAGCGCAGTCACTTCGCCGCGCGACCCGTTCCAGACCGCCAGTCAGCCACCCGGCATTCCATTCATCCGCCCAGGATAGCCAGCGCAGCGCGCAGCTCCTTCTTCGCCTGCTCCGCGTCCTCGTAATCGAGTGCACTAATGGCGAAGCGACAGTGCTTCTGCGTCTTCGCGATGATTTGTGGCGTAAGTTCAACTGTCTCCGTCCCATTTGTGGCCGCCACGGACGCAGTCCGCAAATTGCTCGTCGCAAGAGGGGACGGAGCCGAAGGTGCGACGCCGGTATGAGGGGCGATTACGGTATGTTGAGGCGGGGGTACTGCTGAAGCTTGATGCGAGGGTAAGGACGATGGGCCTGGGGCGGAATCTTGCACGTAGCCCAATGGAACTTGCGCGCCCGATGAAGCACTGCCGAGGGTGTGCAGGGTTCCGGGACCATTGGGAGATGGCTGCCCGTGTGCGCCTCTCGGCGGTGATGACGCCCGTGGCGGCTGAGGCGGCACTGATGGTTCAGATGGCGCAAAGTGCACCGCCTTCGCCCCTCCGTCGCCCGAGGGCACGTGCTTCAGGATTCCAGCGTCGAGCAGCCCGCGCTCGTCGTCCGGGTGCCCTGGGCTGGTTAATCCAGGGGTGGCAGCGGTACTCCAGCTCCCGGGCGTCGGCTCGCTCTCGCCGCCCCATTTGCGAAGGCCACTGAGATGATCCTTGGGTGGCTTGCGATAGTGTTCGTCCTGGAGGTCAATCTTCGGCGGGGGAGGCGACCGTTTGGCTGGGGGTTGCGTGGAGTTAGATAGATCGGGGGAGGTGGGTGCAGTTGAGGGAGCGGATTGTGGGGTATGGTGGGCAGATTGAGGCGTCGATTCGGCAGAGGCGTCGGCGGCTGGGGCGGTGTCAGTAGGAGCTTCAGGCATGCCAAAGTCCTCTTCCTCCCCGCCAGCGGGACCAGGTGTAGGCTTGCGACCTTCGCGGATAGCCTTGGCTATATCGCTCGCCTTCCACTTGGCGTATCGGATCTTGTCTTCGTGCTGGAAGAGTATGAGCACGTAGACTTCGTCGAGCACATTGGCACGCACATAATCGACATATTCAGGCTTGAAGGTCTTGAGAATTTCGAGGAAATTGGCGGCAGCCAGGAATTTCTTCGCTGTAGATCTGGACGCAAGTCAGCATGCCGCCGATCGGGAGCTTGAGGGCACTTACCGTGTTGCATGGCCTCGACGATCCTCGTTATCTGCCATGGTGAAGACCTTGAGTGCGAAGTTTTCGACGTACGCAGAGCTGGCGGCTTCGAGGTCGATCGCATCGTTCGCGCCGATCTCTTCCTTCATCTTCTCGAGCAGCGTCAGCAGCTCAAATAGCATCGCACGCGACGCGTTATCCTTCGCTTTCAGTGCGATACCGACCTGCGCGGCGTAGTAAGCACCTGTGCGTATCTCTGTGTCAGCACCTGCGCGGTATGTAGTTCTGGCGCACATACACCAGTAGGTCATGATTGGGTCCTTTGTGCGGAGCTCCTCCGCGCGCTGGAGGTAGGGAACGATGGGCTTGAGGTTCGGGGTGACGGGCTGAAGGCCGAGGAAGCGGGGGACGGCGGCCATCGTGGCGAACGACGAGGATGGGGCGCAGCGACAAGCGCACAACTGCGGTGGCGGGATGCAAGGATCTTATACGAGCAAGTCGAAGACACAGTAGAGTTCGGGATCGGCCGGACGGTGGGCCTCGAGGCAGACGCGAGGACGAGAGACTAGGAGAGGAGCAACTCCACCTGTTGTCCAGCAAATGGTTCAGTCCAAGCCCCGACGCGTCTAGAGTACCTCCCTCCCGCCATGACGTCGCACACATACCCACGCCCACACCTGGTCTCGAGATCTCACGCGAGCTCCAATGTTCAGTGTATAGTACCTGGCCAATGGCAGGGTCCTTGTTGCATAGAATACAGTGCAGGAGGTAGAGATCCAACAACGTGTCCATAGAATCCACAAATTCGTCCTCAACATCCTCCTTCCTCTCGGTCCGCAACCCCTCTCCCCGGCGTCTAGGGTGGTGATGAACTGTCGTGCAGCGCAGAGCAACGGCGGATCCGCCCAGTGAAGGCGGACTTTGCGCACTTCCAAGGGCATCGAGAAGCGGTGGCGCGCTCCGCTGACGTACCAAGGCCTCCCGCGCCTCACAACAATCGCAGCTGGCACAAACGGAAGGCCCCAACCCACGAGTTATCAGCACGCCGGCGCCAGAGCACTATCGTACCAGTGGGTAATCGCGCACCCTGCCATCTCTGCACGGATCAGGCGACAAAAGACCAGGAACACTCGGAGGTTCGAGCGAGGCCGGCGTCGTGGCGAACTTCTCAGTTTGCCGAACTGGGGTCAGGCGACGCGCTGCTGGTCCGTCGGCGTGCGTAAAGCATCCGCGCTGTGAGGGGAGTCCGTGAAGACGTCCTGCGTTCCCAAGCCTTGCGTCACGAGCGTAGGTCGTCTCGGCCGCGCGCCAGTATCGTCCTGCAGCGCCTTCATCGCCGCCAGCCTATCCAGATCGGCAGCGGCGGACGGTCTTCGCACCTTCTGGCGTGGCGAATCCGTAGGCGCAGGCAGCGACCCATTGCGTGACGATGGGGGGAACTCTATTTTGGGCACTTGGAGTGCATGGAACTCTGTCAGCGCCTTCGACAATTCATCGAGCTGATATCATGTCAGTCAGTACGTCTCAATGAGCAATAGCTATCGACGCACCTGTCCCATGATTCCTGCTATCGCGTCCCTTCGCCCATTGAACTGCTGCGCGAGGCTGGCGAACTCAATCTCGCGCGCACGGGCTTCCGCCACACCTTCGTCCTCCCCGACTGCGTCGTCGTCTCCTGCATCGCTGACTGCGCTAGCAGCTCGGCGTCCTGAAGAGCTCATTTCGCGGCCGAGCATGCCCTCGGTGCTCTGAACCGCTGGACTGGTTGTAGTTGTTGTCGGTAGGCCGCTTAATCTAGCAGTTTCGGCACGCAGCCACGGTCGCTGCTGCGGGGGCTTCACCTCCGCCTTGGGCTTTGCTCCAAGCCCCTCCATCTCTCCATGGGCTCGCGCAACAGAGGCCTGGAGCTCGAGTACACGCGCTAGATTGTTCCACAGAGGGGTGGTATCCGCTGTTGCATTTGGTGCATGAAGTACACCGACCGCGGTGCCATCGTAGGGGTCGCGTAAGGTGTCGCGTTGGGGAGCATACTCCGTAGGGAGCGATGGCTCTGCTACGTTGTCCAAGTCCTCAAAAAGGTCTGAGAGCACCTGATCGTGTGGAGTGGTAGGAAGTTGCTTGCGAGAGCGTTCGCCGGATGCGCGTCGCTCCTGGCTAGCGCGGGGAGGGACTTGCAGCAGCCGAGTATCGTCGAAAGGGCTTCCGAGACGAGAGTCTCGCACGCTTGCCATGACGAGGGCTGAATAGCGCCTCCTTGCGACTTTGAAGGACCCTCGAGCGGGACGCTGGATGATTGTTCGACTTGTCGAAAGAAGCAGCAGCGTTGATCCTGACAGGGGTCCGGAATTACGGGCCGATTTGCATCAACGGAAACAAAACCGTCCATGTTCAAACCGTCAAGCACCTTCTCTTTCGTCTTGCCATCATGGCCGCCAGCGTGTCGTTTTATCAGAACCATTCCTGTGACATCCTCCTATGCAAGGACTGCAATTTGTCTCTCCACGTTGACTATGCTATACCGCCCACTCCAGCTGCGAACACGATCCTGCGCTCCGGGCACATGCCCTCAGATATGGAACGTCAGTCGATTCTTCGCACCATAGAGACGATGGAGGACTGCGACAATGAGTTGGAAAAGCAGCTCGCCGCGCTGGACACCCAAAGGAAACAGCTCGAACAAGCGCGCTCTACTATAAGCAGCGCTCTGATAGTACAGAAGGCATACCTAACGCCAATCCGTCGATTGCCTTTGGAGATCTTGTCGAACGTTATGGCGTGGGCGTGCGAGGGTGAAATTGATCTGGCGGTGCGCGTCTGTCCGCCTTTGGCTCTGAGCGCTGTTTGTAAAACTTGGCGAGGTGCGTCTGAATACCCCGCGGGTGAGTACAATGCTGATGGACATTCACAATATCATAGATTTGATGATTGCTTCTTCCACGTTGTGGGCAAAGTGGTCGATCAGAACGTGCTACTGCACCAATATGTCTACGGCTCGGATGGGTAACGTTGCTCGGAGGCTGCAGGCATTCGTCGAACGGTCTGGAGACGTGCCCTTCACGCAAACCGTCCAATCATTGTGTATCCTCTCGTATCTCAAACTCACCGGTGGCAAGATCTGTACCTTATCGACTCGGCGAGGTCTGTTGGCGCTGTCGAGGATTTCGTCTGGATCAAGAACAGACCCCTCCCGCTCCTGCGAAAACTCGGTGGCACAGTGCGACACTTGGAGCTGGCGGTGGAAAGTGGTGTCTTCGAGGGCTTTTCCAGCCTTCGTTGCGTCGTCATATCTAACGAGCAAAACCGGAATGCAATTCCTGCTCTGCCTTGGGGGCAGTTGGAGGTGCTCGACACTCGCTTGTGCTCAAATGCATACGCCCTGCAGGTCCTACAGCAGTGTCATCAGTTGCGAAGCTGGAATCACACTGTCTTGAGGATCGAACCTGGGCTTTGGGCGCCTCCCAGCCTCGTCCGGCTGAAGCACCTTCGGGTAATCAATATTCACATTCCATTCAACTCCGTACGCAATCCCCTCCAACACCTCATCACTCCGGCTCTCGAATCATTGTCCGTCGTGTGGGAAAATGGTGCGCGATATCCCTTCGCAACTCGCGCAATCCCAGCGTTCGTGGCCCGCTCGTCGTGCACCCTGTGCAGGCTTGAGCTCTCTGCGCCGTTCTTCATCGACTATGACTGCCTCCTTGCACTTCGCGACGTCAGGACACTCCATCTCAAGGGCTCAGACTACGCTCCGATCAATCAGCCATTCATCGATAGACTCATCACGGGCGACTTGTTCCCGTTATTGGAGACGCTCGAGTTGTCCGGGAACCTCACCTTCTCGAATGATTCCATACGGGAGTTGGTACGGGTCCGCGAATCCGCCGAATGCACATTGCAGCAGATTACTCTGGACTTCACGGAACATGACATTGCCAGACATGGGCCGTATCGGGACGTTGTGAATGGGCTACGCGAGGTCCCCCCTGTGTATGTGCGTTCGTGAGGACAATATATCTGTGATAGCTTCTTGCTGCATGTAAGGACCGTTCCATCGTCACATTGATTGTCTACAGATTTAGTTCCACACCTCAAGGACGTCCAATTCGCGTGCGCACTATGCTGAATTTCGCACTGGTGTTTGCGCATGCCATGTCTGACAAGCTCCTTGAGGTGTACGACAGCTGTTCACTGCCGCTGCCCTATCACTCGCATCGGAATCTTGTGGTGTTGCCAACCTCGCGCGGTTTGGATCAGCCCGCACAGGGAGTACACATCGGTGCCGTGCATCACTGACCTGTTGGGTTCAACTCTTCACAGCGCTCACGTTGGCGAGTGGTCGACCTTGACTTCCGTCTAGTCGTCAAGCCCGCTTCGCCTACTCGACATGTAGCCGCGTCTAACGTTGACCAGGCCACTCAGGTGAGCCCTTGAATTGTTACTCTTGTTGCCGGTACTTGAGTGCTTGTACAGCTAACATCTGAGGTCTCCGGGCCATTGCTATATCTATCGTGCCGTCAACTCCCCTTTGGTCTGTATTGTTGCGCTTTTTCGGTACACACTGTCTATCTTGTTTATGGCCAACAGCGCCGACCTACTTGCGTCTGGTCTGTCTCTGCATGTTGGCGCCTTTGGTTGGCACAGGCTCCAGCGCCCGTTGTAGCGAAGGACTCATATTATATAGTAGCATGCGTAGCGATGTGTACGATGAGTGGAAGATCTAGTAGCGTACAGCACACACCCGTCCTGCAATCAAAGAATGTGCGATGTTGGAAGGATGCGATGGTATTGTATGAAGGAAAGTGATAGGAAAACAGAGCTACAATACATCTAGAGGGTAGCCCCTCGTCGTGGCTCATCGTGATACAACGTTGTTGTACTGCTCGCCCTTGACGCTGCCACCGCGCATGGCGGTCTTGACGTTCTGGACGAAGACGTCGCGGTTCTTGACCATCTCCTGGGCCGCCTCTGAAGACGAAATGTTAGCGGCCCCATACACAAATCAGAAGTTCACGCACCCTTGTTCAACGGATCATCGGGGTTCGGCTCGAGGAAGAGGTACTGCAACCCGACCATGACGGAGTTCAAGTTCAGCACCGGCTTCCAGTCTTCTCGCAAGATGTTCAAGCAGACGTTCCCCTCGAGGTCGACGTTCGGATGGTAGATCTGTGGCGGAGTAAGACGCTGAGTAATCCGGCGCATGAAGCGTGGCGCACCTTCTGCAAGCACTTGACCTTGGGTGGGTCGTGCGGGTAGTTGGTGTTAATGGCGAAGGAGAACTGGAAGGCACCGCCCTTGTACATGCCTAAATGCTGGTCAGACAGGCGGAGGATAGGTCGCGTGCCACTTACCCTCATCGGGGGTGATGGTCAACGTGAAGTTGAGGAGATCGTTGGGATCAGGGAAGTGCGTCTTCATTGTGGATGGTAAGTCCAGCTCCGTCAGATCTGTATGTCGCACGTAAGTTGTCGTCTTCGCCTGACTTAGACTATAAACGCACCTTTCTGCACACGAATCTGCGCGGCACTGGTCTTCGGCTTCTTCTTCGCCGCCGCATCCTCGTTCTTCTTCATACTCCAGATCTGAGAGGCCTGTGAGCTACTGTGCTGGTTCACATACACATCTAGTACGCACCTTGATCATGGTTGCAGGCCGCGATGTCGCGTGTGGCGGGTGCGGGTGGTGGTAGTCGGAGGCCAAGCTGGAAACGGCAAGCGCTTCCTCTTTCAGAACCGTCACCGTGACTCGGACGCCATGCGGGGACGGCACCCGCTGCATGCGTCTCCGGCCCTAGCAGCCCTCAATCTTATCGGCCCTCTGCTGCAGACTTGTCCTCTACAACGATGAGCGGCGATCTGTCCACCGACTTACCCATCGTCGACCTCGACGTCTACCGCGCCGGGCCGCCCGACTCCGAGGCTGCGATCGCTGAGTGCAAGAAGGTGCGTCTGATTACCCAACTGCGACGCGTCGTTATTGAGAAAATATAGGCCGCAGAGGCTCTGATCACCTACGGTGCACTTCTAGTACGCGATGGACGCGTCTCCGAAGACGACAACACGGCCTTCCTCGATCTCATGGAAGATTACTTCGCGCAGCCCGATGAGGCACTCAAGAAGGACGAACGTCCTGAGGTCGGCTACCAAGTCGGCGTGACCCTCGAGAACACCGAAAAGCCCAAGTGCGCGGCCGACGAGCCTTGCCTCAATGTCATTGCACGGCTGGATCCTGCGGAGCGACCGTTAGACATCACCGCGCACTCGCCTGACCCCAAATGCCGCTTCTTCTGGCGGATGGGCGAGCGCCCTCCGTATGAGACCCAGTTCCCTGCTCTCAACACGCCGAATGTCGTCCCGGAGGCAGAGCCGCTCAAGAGTAAATGGCCTGTGACGATGGACAAGTGGGGAACGTCCATGAAGCACGCGTACGTCACTTCATACACCGTACTCTCATCTATCTGAGATTCCTGTAGAGTCGAGGGCATAGCGGAGATGACTGCCGTCGGCCTCGGCTTGTCTCCTGATGACTTCACGTCGGCCGGCAGATATGGGTTCGTTTTCTGCAATGTCCGGTCTGAACGTTTGCTGAGCCGTACGTAGGCCTCACCTCCTGGCACCGACGGCGTCAGATCTAAAGAAGTACGGCAAGAAGGACACCATCTTGGCTGGCTTCCACACAGACCTGAACTTCTTGACCATCCACGGACGGTCTCGCTACCCTGGCTTGAATATCTGGGCGCGCAACACCGGCAAACGCATCCCAGTGCGGATGCCGCCAGGCAACTATTTGCTCGTACAAGCGGGCAAGCAACTCGAGCATATCACCGGCGGCCTCGTAAAGGCAGGATATCACGAGGTCGTCGTCAACGACAACACACTTGCTGTGAGTGCATGAGCTCTCGTTTTACTGCGGTGTCGACTAAACAGCTCCAGGCCATGGAACACCGTCGTAAAGAGCATCCCGAGCGACCGCTCATCCGCATATCGTCGACATTCTTCTGGCATCTGTCTTCGGACTTTGACTTGAAGCCAATTCCAAACTTGGTGGACAAGGCACTCGCTTTGCGCGCCGACCGTGTGAATCTGGGCCTGTACGAAGGCGAGGAGCCAGCGTATCCTCCAATGAAGGTTGGACAACAGGTTCAGAAGTGCGTGCCCTGGCCATTACAGTGTCTTTGTGGCTAATCATGTGCACCTCAGCGAGCTCAAGCACATAGCGCTCATGGCGTAGTATACCATCGCGGGATTTCAAGGGCGCTAGCATTGCGACGTGTGTAGTTCCACAATTTTGTTTTTCTATATTCTACGACTCTATGGTAGATATCAGTGGTCTTGACTTCGTACATCTAGCTGCCACGGTAGGTCGTGTAGCTGTAAGGGCTGATGAGAAGAGGGATGTGGTAGTGTTGGCTGGCATCCTCGATGGTGAAGGAGATCTGCAATCAGTGCGTCAGAAACCTGCATCATCAAGCTTTGAGAAGGACCAACCTCAACCCAAGGGTAGAACGATTTACGGCCAGTCTTCTCAAAGTATTCGTTCGTCCTGAAGATCATCTTGTACGTTCCCGGGGCGAGTTCAGCTTTCTGTGCTTTCGCCTCCTCCGAGCCGCGCGGTGGGAGCAGATCTGTGCATCGTCCGTCGGCGTTGGTTGTGCTGATTGATCGTTAGCATGGGGTACACGAGAATTAGCAAGGATGCCCACCCCTTGGCTAATGGATCGAAGGCGAAGGAAGCGTTCTCGGATTGGACGTGCTTGTATTCCTGCAGCTGGATCTCGACGCCTTCTGCAGGCTTGCCAGTGGATGCATCGAGGACTGTATGGAGCTTGTGAGCTACCACCACAACACCGACATCGAGGGCACGCTACTTACCGTGGCAGGTTATGGGGGACTTGGACATGGTGAGGGTAGGAGGAAAAGGTGCGCGTGCAACGGGGCAGGAAGAGGCGCGTCAGTTCTGGTGCTAACTCGTTCATGACATCACCGGGCGCCTATAAGTTCCCATCAATCAGCGCCACATAATCACTCTGATCGGCGATCGGGGGATTGTTCGCCTGGATATCACCGTGAACAGTATGGCCACCGATACTGCTGCGCCGCCTCTGGCGAAGTACTTGGCTTCCACTGGTGTGTCTATAAGTGAATTGTTGGGGGGATGTGTACTTACGGCCTTTCAGAGAAAAAGACCCGCGATAAGGCGGTCAAAAATTTGGCGGTTTTCCTGTCGGATCCCTCACGAGATGCTCTGCCCAAGAGTGAGATGGACAAGCTTTGGAAGGGGCTATTCTACTGTGTGTCCTCATTTCATTACCTACTTGCCTTTGACTAAATCCTTCATGCCAGGTTTCTGGATGTCGGACAAGCCGTTAGTCCAACAAGCACTTGCAAGCGAGCTGGCCGAGTTGGTCCTCACGATCAAGACGACAAGTGCCGCTTTGGCATTTCTGAGGGGATTTTGGGACGCAATGTGTCGCGAATGGGCTGGCATTGATCGCTTAAGGTGCGTGACATACCTCTTCATGGTTGTACTGGGTGTCCAATGCCCTGCATAGATTGGACAAGTACTACATGCTCGTTCGGCGCTTCGTCAACGCATCATTCCGACTTCTCCTGCGCAATGATTGGAGCGAAGAAGTATGCTCGGAATACAACGAAATTCTGACAAGACCTGGGGGAGGTCCTTTGTGGTGCGTCTCTGCCTTTTGGGCCCCTCCAGATGTTAAATCCGCGACCAGTCCTTCGGACCAGAAAATACCTTCTAGCCTTGGTTATCATGTCTGCGACGTCTACCTCGAGGAACTTGAGAAGGCCGTCGCGTCCCGCGAAGACGAAATCCCATCCGTTCCCCTCGCCATACTCATATCCCCCTTCCTCAACCTCGCATCTCGCACCATCAACTCGCGGACATACGCAAGGGTGGAATCAACAGTGTTCAAGCCCTTACTATCGGCGTTGTCAGAAGATGAAGAACCCCGAGCGAAGCGCGCCAGATTGGAGACACCATCAGCGTCGACATCAGACTACCCCACTCTTGTCGACAATTCCCGCGTGGACTACTCGAGCGAGGGAAAGCTTGATCGGCCAAGCTTGAGGAGAGGATTGAAGAAGACCATCTTTCACGCTGCTAGCGCACCGGAGACGAGGGATCCCAGTAGGAAACGGATGTACGCTCTGTGGCAAGCGGACGAAGAGGATGATGAGTGATATACCTGTTCTCTGTACTCGCTGTGTGTACTTTCTACATGTTTCTGGGCTGGCTTGAGGTCTTTGCAGGTTCTCATCGTGCTTTGCCCCGTTCAAGTCGAACTTGATCTTGTCAGATGACCGTGCGCCTTTCGGTCCGTGAGCCGGTTCGTGCCATCGACGGGAAATCGTCATCTCCACTGTCTTGTTCATCATCCAGCAAGTGTATAGTCATGCCGCTGCCTTCCCTCCCCCTGGACATCTACGCGTCGATATTCCGTCACTTCCCTGCGTCTACCAACGACGATGGCAGCGTTAGTCTCGCTCGCTGCTCACAAGCCAACTCACTTCTGCGAGAGGCGGCATATCATTCCGCCCTTTGGGGGCCTCATTACCGAGCCAGATACAAACATTACTCTGGCTTCGTCGATGGCGAAGATGACCTGTCTGGCGATATACGGTCGAAATACATCGCTCGACGACATAAGGACAGCACCGCCCTCCAACTCCTCGAGAATATCATTCAGTGCGTGGGTGACCGGTGTACTACTATGAGGGAGCTAGTATCCCTCTCGTTCGATGTCTGGGATGCGCTTCAGCTGGAGCGCAAGAAACCGCTACCAAAGGTATTCCAGCCTTCTGGCGAGGAGACGGATGCTCTGGTCGCACCGCACGCGCTACCTCGACAGTACTGGGCGGGTGTCGCCTGTGACTTGATTGCCAAATCGTCTGCAACGCTGCTGTGGAGACGACTGAAGGAGGACCCTACGTCTGTGAGCTTTGAGGACGCGATGTCTGCGCTATCTTGCTTCTGCGGGCAGTCATTGCTGGAGGTGAGTCATGGTGGCATAGCGCCAGTCTACTAACTTTCCATCTATACCAGGTCAGAGAGATGTTCCACAACTTGACGTGTCGCTGTCGTATCAAACTACAAGCGGACGGCATTGGACTCGATGGGAATAAAGAGGAATGGGATGTTGTACGTATCTGCAGCGCTGTATGCGAATTCATGCGAAGCGAGGGCTTCGGCCCAGCCGAAGGTCTGATACGCTCGTCCCTCCCTCCGGTCGTATCTGAGCGTTTTTCGCAGGTGCCGACTTTCGCATCGTGCATCATCATTTTGCACACTTCTACCTGACGAGCCACAAGAAGACACTTCCACTGGCGCTCGTACACGTCTTCGTTGCCATCTGCAATAGACTTGGCTTGCAGGCGTCTCCTGTAGACTTCCCCTTCCGCGTCATTGCACACGTCTCGCACCCCAGTCCTACGGCCGACGACATTTATGTGGATGTCTACGGCTCGGACACGCGGGCCATCCTCGATATACGCACCGATGTCATGGCCCGGTGTATGGCAGCGGGCATCCCTCCGGACAAGATCTCGACACACATTGCGCCTCGTCGAGCGACACCTCTGCTCCTGCGTTCCGCGCGGAACATCATATCCTCCGAGTTCGAGGACCTTGAGTCCCCTCGGCTGCTCATACGCGACGCTGTGCATGTATCGAAATGCTTGACGACGCTTCTGTCGGGACAGCCTGGGATGGACCTGTCGGGATTGCTCTTGGGGACGGACACTATTCACTTCGATTGTGCCACCTATCTTTCCGACATCATGGCGCCTGCTCTGCAGGCTCCTCACAATCGACATCTGGCCCTGATGTGCGACAACCGAATTAGGGCGGCGAGAGATTCAGAGGGCGTGGTGACAATGCGGACGTCCTCAGATAGAGAAATCAAGTACTTCGTGGGCATGATCTTCCGGCACGTGCGATATGGATATACGGGTGTCATCACTGGATGGAGTGTATGTCGGCGACCTTCCTTCAACCTCTATCGTTTCTGACCATCCATAGAGCACATGCGAGTCTCCAGAATCGTGGATTCATCAAATGGGTGTCGACCACCTACCGAGAGGTAGGAATCAACCATTCTACCACGTCTTCGACATGTATGGCCAGCAACGCTGTAAGACAATATTCCTTACTCATCCCTATTGCGCTAATCCGCCCGCACAGACGTGGCTGAGGAGAACATCGCCGTGGACCACAGCCCTTCGACGACGATCCAGACTTTGATAGAGAACGTCCCATCACTCGGCATGTACTTCGAAGACGCAGAGATTGGGGAGGATGCGGACGGAAATGAGAAGGCGCGGCTCGTGTTGAGTCCGGAATTCCAGAAGAAATATCCTGAGGATGGGCAGGCGGGCAATGCGTGGATGGCAGAATTGGATTGATCTTGCTTGTTTTCGTGTAGAGTTATTGAACCCTATGTATACTTTGGACTCTAACTGGATGCTGACAGGTTACAAGCACGTTACAAATTACCTGGAAGGCAAGGTCAAGTTTGGCGCGCCGTGTCACGGTTCAAACTTTGGTCACAAGGCACAGCGTGACCGATCGCGTCCTCTCCCTCATCATCACATTCAGCACGTCGTCGGAGGCTCCCCTCGATCTTGACCTCCTCTTCGATGTCGACGTTCGTCAATACGGTGTCGACCCCGGTCGCGTCTACCCAGGAAGGCTACCCTTTCCAGTACCAGTTCTCCATATGGGCTCACCACCTGAACACGGCGGGGCCTAACACAGCGGACGACCACGAGCGATGGTATGCCGAGAGCTGGTCCAATAACCGCATGGTGCTAGCCATACGCTCTGGCATTGACGATGAGATACAGTGGGCGCTTGAGCGGTGCTGTCGGCTATCTCATAGCGAGTCCTTCAAGCTCAGCATCATACCTGGATTGCTAGAAGCATTCATGGAATGGCCGCAGTGGTACGCTGCTGAATGCGCGAGACAACAAGCACACGGCTCCTCCATATTTTCCCTTCCCCCCGACCTCGCCACCAAACGGCGACACGCGATCGAGTCGCTCTTCGCGCTTCGCAATGCTGCTTACACCGAAGGGGCGCCAGCCCAGCTCATCAGCAATCCGGCTACCCTCCCCCTCATCCTCGACATCCTCACCTACTGCGATCCGACGCACGACGAGAATGTGGAGCTCATATCCTATGCGATCGACATCTTCCACGTCGTCGCACCCGACTATGTCTTGCTGCCAAATCCTTGGTCCCCCCCGAGTCCCCTACCCGCTCTCATGCGCATATTCGAGAAGACGTCAATACGATCGCTACATACCACTGCTTTTCGCATGCTGAGCGCCATCTTCACGAACCCACGCAACGTGCAGTACATCCCAATCGAGTCGGAAGCGCTAGCTGTCGCTATACGATATGCGCCTCTCTTCCGCATGGATAGCGAACTTGTCGACGCTGGCCTCAACTACCTCTTTGCGTATCTGTCGCAACCGACAATGGCGAAGAGGTTCTTGCTTCATCCCTCTTTACCAAGTCTTCTTCGGGTGCTAGTAAACATCCTTTTGGTGCAACAGGCTCGGGATACCGTCTCGGACGAAGTCAGCGGGCCTGTGCATGTTATCCCTTCTACGCATTCATTGAACTCGGAGTACGAGCCAACTACGACAGAGATGCAGTCTCTGCTTGCACTGCCCGAGCCAGAAAGGAACAAGAAGTGGTATGTTTACATCTCGCTGTCTCGTGTGTATACTGCTAACTATGGCATAGGATGTCGATTATGTTCGTGCCCAGACCAGGAGGAGAGATCACCCAGGTCGACTTCTACAACCTGTACAAAATAGCGTTCGCCCCCTACGCCGCTCAAACACCCCTCCTCGACCCCGGCTATGTCATCAAGAACGTTCACGAAGTATTCCCTGCGGCATCCGCGCAGGTCGCCGGTGCCGAGGGCGCTCAGCGGTACATCATTGCTGGCATCGCGCGACGGACGAGCTTCGAGGCCGCGGACCGATTTAGGTGCAAGTGGAATAGGCTACAGTGCGATGCGCCATTCTTCTCTGGACCCGCGCCTTTGACGGAGCATGTGATGGAGCACCTCAAGCCGGGCGAGGGGGAGGACGAAAACATCGAGCTTCCGTGCTTGTGGGCGAAGTGCACTGCTGGGCCTTTCCCGCGAGCACGGCTACGCGCCCATCTGCTCACCCACATACCGACTTCGCAACGTCCGGCGAGAGATCCTTCGCAGAGCGACGACATCACCCTATCCTCCGCGACCGCACAGTATCCCATGGTGAACCCGACCCAGCGCCCTCCGCCCCCACTCCGAAGGACCGTCGTGACCTACACTGTACCCGTCGGCGAGCCCAAGACGCTCTCCCTGACCGCGCTCCTGTGCATCCGCTGCCTCTACCGCGCGTCGACGGAGACATCGGAGGGCGCGCCGCACGCGGACGACGACCACTTCGGGTTCCCGGGCGTGGTGGAGGAGGACGACGAAGACATCGCGCAGGTCAGCGAGCTCGGGCTGGAGAAGGAGAAGCAGGCGGAGGCGCGGGGGAGGAGGGCGTTCGCGGCGGTGAAGCACTTGATGGAGAATGTGCAGATCAAGGACGATGCGCTGCAGGGGTGGATTATGGAGATGGCGTACTCGGAGTAGTATACGTAGGGGACGACGGCTTGTGCATGCCTGCTGTACTGTGGTGTACTGTACGCAGAAGGGAGGTGCAGCCGACATCTTGTCATGTTCGTCATTGTGCCATGGAGCGTGGACACGTGTCGCGCGCGCTCCTTGTCCTCCACTTCCATCTTGGGCGACAATGGCCGCCTCCCTCACCTCGCAGTTCGCCTCTACGTACCTGAAGCTACTTCAAGGCCACTCCCGCGAGACCATCAGCCCCAAAGACAGCCTCGATGACTTCTACGCTAAGCTCCTCTCCCTCACTGTCGATCGCGTCGTGCTTGAAGCCGGGCTGACGCGGGTCTCGAAGGAGGCGTGCTTGACGCAGCTCAAAGTATGCTAAGCTATATCTACTTCATGTTTGAGGGTAATATACTGAGGAATCACCTCTGCAGTAGCCCTTCTTCAATGAGCTTTTCGCGTCGTGCTTGAAGTGGGCGAGGGAGGGTTCCCCCGATGATCCTCGGAAGACGAACGCTCTTCAGACGCTGTCTATCATGATAAGATGCGTGCTGGCGAAGAATCTTAGTGGATGGGAAGTGCTGGAGGTATTCGGTGGGGGAGTCAAGGCGGATGCTGTCTTCATGGTGCGGGGTTAGCTTCCTGCTTTGAATTTCCCTCTAATGCCGGTGCCCTCAGGACTTCGTAACATGCCTACAGGATCTGATGAGCAGCAAGGAAAATACACGTACGTGCTCCTTTCATGCTGTCTTTCTTCGACTGACGCAAGATTTATCGCAGCTGCTATCCGACATCAAGCCCTCCAAGTCGCGCTCACTTTCATGTGCGGCATATCCCAGCTCAGCCCTGGCGCGTACTTTCTGCGTATCGACCTCTTCCCTGCTATCACCACCGTACGTATCCTCGACGCCCACTTCCCCACGCTTGCTTGACTTCTATATAACTGAATGACATTGGAATAACGCTCAACGATACCAGATCATCACTTCCCCCGAAACCGAGCAATTCACTTTCGAAGCTGCCTTGCTGCTCGCCATCCTAGCGAACTATCACAAATCGGACGCGGCAACTCTGAATCCGTACAACCAGTCTTTCAGGAACACGAAGGATAGGAAGTTGATGGAGAAGATCTGCTGGGCGAGCAACTATGCGCTGAATACGGCTATCAAGTATGCTTGGCCCGATCGTCGTCAACAATATGCTGAAAACAAGCAGGGCTTACCAAGCCATATCGGACGATGACACGACCGCGACCCTCACCAATGCCTTTGGGTCCCTAGTGACGTCCTGGAGCCCAAATCGCGCGTTCGCGTCGAAGCAAGTCGACGCGCCCCGTGAATTGTTCAAGGATCAGTATGTCCTTCCTGCGTATTGACCTTCCAATGCTCACAGTACTACCATAGACCCATCGAAGGCAGCGTCATCCTACTCCCGGTGTACGAATTCCCGCGACAGAACTCATTGTTCCTCGACGTCCTCCTCAAAGATATTCGGCCAGAAGAAGGAGAGAAAGCCAGCGCCTCAAGCCCCCTCCTTCTCACCGTGTTGTCATTTGCATCGTACGTTCTGACACACGCGACGTCTATCGCCACCCTGCGATCCTTGGGTTACGCCAATCTCGTCATGAACGTACTCCTGAATATCGCGGAGAACGATAAGGCCGTGAAGGCGCTTTGCGAGCCGAGCTCGATGGCGGTGCGACTCTGTCGTCAACGACAGCCTCTCCTACCCGCGCCGAAGGCCGGGCGAACTCCGTTATGTGCTCTGCTCGACTGTTGTGTGCTATGGTTGCGACATAACCTGCATAAGAGGATAGAGGCCCATATGTATCGGTGTGTGCTTCTCCCAAGGCGACGATATGAAACTGAACAATGATAGAATGTGCGTCTGCATCAGGGTTTTCAGAGATTCCGCCTAATGCAGTATACGCGCATACAAGCCTTCGCAAGCTGTAGCAAGGCGGTGCAAGCTTACGTGGCTTTACGGGCCATTATGCTCCACAGCACATCCGGGTGTAATTCACAATTCTTGTAACTTTTGGCAAAGCCGTCGCACGCGTGCGAACTCCTTGCCATGAGCCTTCGATTCTCGCCTTCAACTTGCCAAAAGACCCCTCAGCCTGCTGAAAATAACGCCACTCGAACGGATCCAAAAATCAATCCATTACCACCGGTTCTCTCAGGTTTATTCGTTGTAAATGCCAAAATGGCTTTATTATTCACTTTGTAAATCTGCTACTTCTACTATGGACTATCTAATCTATTTACAACTTTTGGAGAGACCCAGCGCATTATAGGTTTCCCGAGAGAAACATCTGTCAACATGTCAATGATTCCTTCAACTACTCAGCCGCTCCGAGCTCACCTTGACAGAAAACGCAACGAGCGCGCTGTACCCAGAAGGACAGCGACTCGAGACCTGAATGCTGCGTCAGCTGGGCAGTCGAGGAAGACGAAAGCATCTCACCGGCACCAAGAAGGACTACGCGCTGTTGGCACGCCGCGCCGATATCAGTAAGTAACTGAGGCCATAAGAGCGGGCTCGATGACGTACCTGTGGCTCCCGTGTGTCAGGGCTAGAGAGGACTACGCTGGGGGAATCAGAGTCTTCTTATGTACCTGCGCCGGGCGGGACATGGGCAGGAGATACTCCTAGATCGTGAGCTGGACTTCAACCGCTCACGTGACCCGGAATTTGCCAGCGAAGTCATCGGATCAAATCCTGCCGTACGGCGCGTCCCTCGAACCGACTCAGGACGCTCGTCCGCTCGGCAATATCACTCCCAATGTAGAGAATTGCTCAACCTGACTAAATCGAAGGCTGACCGTACTGTTGTAGGTCAGCGTGATCCTTTTAGCAGTTTTTCAGGTCCTCAGACGGCCCAGATACGCTTGCCTGGGCTCTATACTGGCGCACAAGCCGGACACACGCTGACCGTCATTTGACAAGCCGTCGTAAGCGTATTCCTTGTTCGTGACTGCTCATACTCCGAACTACTCTCCCGACCAGACTGCGTGACCTCGTGAGGCCCGCACTCCAAAATGCGGAATCCGCCAATTTCCTGATGTGGATATGTCATCGGATAGTATGGGATCTGCAAGTATGGCGAACGAGGCTGGGTGGGTGCATCTCTGTCACTTCGTCCGCAGACGAGTCGCTTACCGTCCCCCAGATTACCACTGGTCCGAGCTGTGGGCTGCAACGCTGGGCTTGCTGACGTTCTTGTCCACCAAACTTGGCGATCTTGCCACTACGGGAGAAATTGAGGCGTTGATATCAGAGGCAAGTGCCAGCTCTTCGTATGGCCAATTGAAAGCATTGACCCTCGTCTGTAGACGCTTTCCTTTGTACACCTCGCTTTATGGTCATCGGAGCGGTTCTTGCCTACTCCAGAAGCGCTGCATGTCTTCATCGTCAGTATCGTTGCTACTCTACCTACAACAATGCCTGACCAACCTGCATAGTACGAGCTTGTGCGATCGGCGGACTCGCTCAAGAAACAAGCACCCTTGCTCAAAGACTTGGCCTTGCCTCCAAGAACAAGCAGTCGACGACGATCACTCAACACAGAGCTCACAGCCGCGGAGAAGCTCGCACGCATCCTGAACTGCGTTGAGTTCTATGCCACAAAGATATCCGAGGGACGCGCGCGGTCTGCCAACCAGGCGATGAGGATTGTGGCGCGGGAAGTGGACGCTGATGGCTTGCAAGGCGTGGGAGACGGTGCTGAGCTCGAACCACCGTATGTGTCCTTATCTCTATCGCTGCCGTAAACGATTCACACCTGGTTATAGACGCCGGTCGGAGGACGTACTGGGTTTTGCTCGGATAGCATGTATTGATGGGACGGTGTTGATGTCGTAAGGAATTTCTGAATCTACGACGGGAGTGTAGCAAGGCCTGTGGCTGGTGTAACCATAGCTGGTTAGCAGGGTGCCATGGGGTAGGCTGGGGATACAATGGACTCTTCACACACATCACAAGGATCGACGATCATGACGCGCTCTTCCGAGCCACCTCTTGACAAAATATTTTTTCGCGGGCGTAGGCACGCGAATTGCCTCATCTGGTCCCACACCCGAATGTTGCCTCAAACCGCGAACGACGTCGGGCGCCTCTGGACGTCAACGAGCACCTGTACGGCTTGCCGACGGTCCAGAATGGGCTCAGCGCAGCGGAGAGGGACGTATCAGGCCGCGTGGCGTCCACCGAGCCATTCACCGAGTCTTATCATCGACTTTTAAAGCAGGAGGCAATTTGTTGTGAGGGTCTATAGACTTTCGGTCTCAGCTTCTTGTTCCTTCCCGCGACGCCCTCTGCTGTCGCTCCCCTCAGCGTCGAGCATGGTCAGCTACTCTGTTTCCGGACTCCGGCGGCTTGCACTCGTCAAGCCGCGCGCCACCGTGATCGCGCGCGGGCTCGCGAGCCTGAAGCAGCCCTCCTCCCTTTTCGCGCCTCTGGATACCTTTACGGAGCGCCATGTCGGCCCGGATGACAGCGAGACGTCCGCGATGCTCTCGAAGCTGGGGTACAAGTCGATGGAGGAATTCTTGGGGGATGCCGTCCCCTCCAAGATTCGCATTGCATCTACGACCGTAGACGACTCCTCAATCCCCGCATTCAGCGAGTCAGAGCTTCTGAAGAGGGCACGGGAGCTTGCGCAGAAGAACAAGCCCATGAAGAGCTACATTGGCATGGGCTACCACAACGCAGCTGTTCCCCCTGTTATCCTCCGCAATGTACGTCCCTATCTAATCTCAACGAACATCGGCTAATTCGGCGAATCTCAGGTGCTCGAAAATCCCCAGTGGTACATGCCGTACACTCCCTACCAGCCGGAAATTGCGCAGGGACGGCTCGAGTCCCTCGTCAACTTCCAGACCATGGTCATGTCTCTCACAGGCATGGACATCGCAAATGCATCCCTACTGGATGAGGCGACTGCAGCCGCAGAAGCTATGGTTATGGCATACACCCAGTCAGGCCAGAAGAAGTCCACCTTCCTCGTTGACTCCGGCGTCTCTCCGCAGACTTTGTCGGTACTCCGAGTTCGCGCCAAGGGCTTTGGCATGCAGGTCGTGGTCGGTGACATCGATGAGCTCGTCGCGGACGAGGCTCTGCGTCCTTCCGCCTGTGGTGTTTTGGTTCAGTACCCAGACGTCAACGGCGCCGTCAAGGACTTCGAGGGTTTGACGAAGACCGTGCATGGCTTCGGTGGTCTCGTCGTGGCTGCTACCGACCTCTTGGCCCTGACGATGCTCAAGCCGCCTGGCGAATGGGGCGCTGATATCGCGCTGGGTAACTCGGCACGATTCGGTGTTCCGCCTGGATACGGTGGACCTCATGCCGCGTTCTTTGCGGTGACGGACAAACTGAAGCGCAAAATGTATGCGCTTCATTCATACCATTGGGAACTATCCTGACCATTTCGCAGGCCTGGTCGTCTTATTGGCCGTAGTCGCGATGCTACTGGAGCGCCGGCCTACCGATTGGCTTTGCAGAGTACGTCTCGGCGTATGCATCTTCGTGACCTGTGTCTGATCCCGTTCAGCGCGCGAGCAGCACATCCGTCGCGAGAAGGCGACTAGCAACATTTGCACCAGCCAGGCCCTACTCGCTAACATGGCCGCCATGTACGCTGTATACCACGGCCCAGCCGGCCTGAAGCGCATCGCGAACAAGGTCCACGGCTTCGCGCAAGTGTTCAGGGCGGCGGTTGAGTCGTACGGCTACACCTGCGTCAACGACTCGTTCTTCGACACAGTTACGATCAAGGTTGATAAGGCGGGCGATATCCTCGCGTCGGCTGAGGAGGCGGGCATCAACCTTCGCCCTGTGGACGCCACGCACGTCGGCGTTACCTTCGACGAGACGGTCAGCCCGGAGGACCTTGTCAAGCTCCTGAACCTGTTCGCCCAGTCGCCCGTGCAGCTATCGTCCCTCCAGACTCCCACCAGCCCCGCCATCCCCGACCCCCTCCGCCGCACCTCCGACTTCCTCGAGCACCCCGTCTTCAACAAGCACCACTCCGAGACCGAGATGCTCCGCTACATCACCCACCTCGCCTCCAAGGACCTCGGCCTCGCGCACAGCATGATCTCGCTCGGCAGCTGCACCATGAAGCTCAACTCGACGAGCAGCATGATCCCGCTGACGTGGCCCGAGTTCGGGAGCGTGCACCCGTTTGCGCCGTTCAGGCAGGTGGAGGGGTATCTGACGGTGATCAAGGAGCTGGAGGAGGATTTGTGCAAGATTACGGGCTTTGCGGCAGCGTCGTTGCAGCCGAACAGTGGTGCGGCGGGCGAGTATGCGGGTCTGTCGGTTATCCGGGCTTACCACGAGTCGCGCGGGGAGGGGCACCGTAACATCTGCCTTATTCCTCTGAGTGCGCACGGCACGAACCCTGCTGTGAGTATCGAGTCCATTTTGTGCAAGCACTTCACTCATGTGTCATTTAGTCCGCCGTTATGGCTGGCCTGAAGGTCGTCCCGGTCAAGGCTCTCAACGATGGCAGCCTCGACCTGGAGGACCTGAAGGAGAAGGCGGAGAAGCACAAGGACAACCTTGCCGCTTTCATGATCACCTACCCCTCCACCTTCGGTGTCTTCGAGGCCGGTGTTCAGGATGCCTGCAAAATCATCCACGACAACGGCGGTCAGGTGTACCTGGATGGTGCTAACCTGAACGCTCAAGTTGGTCTCACCAACCCGGCGACCTGCGGTGGTGACGTTTGCCACCTGAACCTCCACAAGACCTTTGCCATTCCCCACGGCGGTGGTGGTCCTGGTGTCGGGTACGTCTTGGCTATCTGGTCTTGTTCGAAAAATCTTTCTGACGTCTCTCCAGCCCCATCTGCGTTGCTGAGCACCTTGCTCCCTTCCTGCCCACCCACCACGTTCTCGACAACCCTGGCAAGCATATCGACGCCGTCGCGGCTGCGCCCTTTGGCAGCGCCTCGATTTTGTTGATCTCCTGGGCCTACATCAAGATGCTCGGCGGCAAGGGCCTCGCCAAGTCCTCCCAGATGGCCCTGCTTAACGCCAACTACATGGCCGCGCGCCTCGCCGGGCACTACAACCTGCGCTACAAGAACCACAAGGGCCGCGTCGCGCACGAGCTGCTCATCGACCTCGCGGACTTCGACAAGAGCGCGGGCCTCAAGGTCATGGACTTCGCGAAGCGGCTGCAGGACTACGGCTTCCACCCGCCGACGTGCTCGTGGCCGATCTCGACGTGCATGCTCATCGAGCCGACGGAGAGCGAGAGTCTGGAGGAGATCGATCGGTTCTGCGATGCGATGATTGAGATCAGGAAGGAGGCGGAGGAGGTGGTGAAGGGGGAGCAGCCGCGGGAGAACAATGTCCTGAAGAACGCGCCGCACCCGATGTCGGTGCTGGCGGTGTCGGACGCGGACTGGAACCGGCCGTACTCGAGGGAGAAGGCGGCGTACCCGTTGCCGTACCTTAAGGAGAAGAAGTTCTGGCCGACGGTGTCGCGCGTCGACGACGCGTACGGTGACATCAACCTTGTTGTAAGTGTCTTCAACGCATTTGGTCGCATGATTGCTCACCATTGCCTCAGTGTGACTGTCCCTCTGTAGAAGAGCTGGCCTCATAAGCGCTTGCTTGCGTGATAGATGGGTAGATGGATTGCATGGGTTCTGTACTTGGACTTTCAACACATTTTGTAGACAGCGCACGTTCAACCAGCGCCACAGGCATGTATATCATTACAGTGTAATTATTACTTTTCGAGCATTGCTTTCTACACTACGATGGGTGGGATTTAGGCTGAGAATTGCTCTGTCTTATCGGTGAGCCGCCCATGCAAACTGATTCAGTCGACGATGTATTCACCTGGTAGTATTGGCTTCTAGATAGACGAAGATAGACGAGAGTGCTATTGACGACCCCTTTCCCGCAAGAACTCTCCAAGGTCCTTCCAGTTCTGCGGTAGTTGGTCGTAGAGATGCGGCAAATGTTCTCGTATCCGATGGTAGACCTGCGCCTGCACCTCCGGCCATGGCATGGTGAACTTGAGCAGGATGAGGATGCATCCAATATCCGGCTCGACCTGCTCGCCGCCCATCTGCACGCACACCACCTCTACCGCCTCGCTAAACCTCCGCATCCGACACAAGCACTCCACCCAGCTTTGCCAGTTCTTGAGGTTCAGCCGGAAGTGCGTCCGGAACAGCTTGTCCATGATCTGCACCGCCGTCTGCCACGCCCGCGCCCGTCCACACGCATCCAGCACGATGCTCACCGCCGTCGGATTAATCTGCCCCTGTAGGTCTAGCGTCTGCCACACGCGATACGCGTCGGCGAAGCAGCCCAGTCGCTGGTACGTGTCCATCAGCGTGTTCCAGATCCCCGGGCCCGGCGTCAGCGCCGCGTCGAGCGTCAGCACGTCGTGAATCTGGCGTACCATGCCGACGAGCTCGCGGCGAAGCGCCATCGCGGCCTCGGGGTCTACATCAGAGCGCGCGTCGAGGGATATCTCCTGGATCTCGCGCAGGACGATGCCGTAGACCTCGATGGCGGTCGATGCAGCGTCCCCCCTAGCGCGCATGTCGCGCACGACGTCGAAGTAGAGCTTGAGCGGTGGCCCAGTCGACCGACGAAAGCGCAGCCGACAGATTCGCGCGAGGACGGCGGCGTAGCCGGGCGCGTCGAGCGTCGAGCGCGCGTTCTCGTACGCGGCGTAGGCGGCGTCCTCGGTCTTGGCGCAGCGCATGAAGAAGATGGCGGTGGAGGCGGCGCGCTGGCCGGGGTGGACTTCGATCTTGTGCTTGTCGATGAGGTCGAGGGCCTTTGTGAAGAAGCCGCGGTACTCCTGCGGTTCGGGGGCGCTGGCAAGGCTACGGAGGAGTGCGTCGTACATCATGCCGTAGAGGAGGGCTTGTGACTCGCTACCTGGCACATCGGTAGGCGCAACGTCGTCGTGTATGGCTACCGCACGGTCAAGGTCGTCGCGATCGAAGTTGTCAGTCCCATAGCGGCAGAGCAACTGTATGAGTGGGAAAGCCATCGCAATATTGGGGACAACGCCGCGATCCTTGGCAGTGTCGTACAGCTGTAGCGCGTCCTTCTTGCTTTTGTTCTGGCAGCAATTCTCGATGACGACGGCCCATTGCTCTGCAGTTGGTTCGACGCCGAACGTCTCTTGCAAATGCTTGAGAGCACTGACAGATTTCGATCCTCGCAACACAGCATTGAGTAACCGTGGAGTAAGGGGTCGACCCGAACTTTGCAGGACCTTCGCGGCTGAGAACAAGCCCTTGCTCGTAGCCTGGGTGGCAAGTCGTGCAGCAAACTCGGCTTCCTCTGCGTCTGCTTGCGCATCTGCAGAGGGCGCCCCGAAGTAGCTCTCGTCGTACATCCGTGCAATTTTGAGGCCGTGATGCGGGTGCCCCCGCGCGTCGTACTCTTCGCGCAAGAGGTCGGCGATCGCATGGTCGTGCGGTACGCCAAGGTCCTTGAATTCGCGCAGGATGGCTGCGAACGAAAGGGGGCGAGGGAAGTACTGCGCCGCGCTGTCCTTCATCGCCCACCGTGCGCGAATGACAAGCTCTACAGTCTCCGTCGTAGGACGTGCCGCCGGGCCACACGCGTGCATGGCGGTCACGATCGTCGAGGCAAGGGCAAAGTCCGTGCAGCCGACATTCGGGAGACCACGGATGGCTGCATGGAAGGGTTCCGTGGTGAGCTGGTCTGCACCGGGGAGCTTCGGTATGCGCGCGACGAAGCGTGCGAGCGGGTCCTTCCTCCCGGCCTGTACGAGCGTCTCCACGATCGTTGTGTATATTTCATCGTCGGGGGGCTGCCCAAGGAGCGCGGGGGTGTCCTGCAAGATGTCGATAATCCGCCGGAAATCCTGCATGCGCCCGGACTGCGCCAGGATGCGGAGGATGTGGATGAGCTGGTCCTTGGCGAGTCCGGCGGGTGCAAAGAGCGTATTCCGCGAGTACTCAAGCTCCTGCGCAACAGCAGGGTAGTACGCATGAATCTCGGACGCGCGGGAGGAGGATACGAGGGAGCGGAGGAGCTCCTTGAGGACGCCGAGGCGCGTCGTCGGCTGGCTACCGCTGCTGCTGGCATACCTGCGAGCGCCGGGCGCGGTGACGGCGAGCTGCCTGCGGAGGGCGCGGGCTACAACGGGCAGACGCGGTTGCAGCATTCATGCGTGCGCCTGCGGATAGTGAGCTTTGGTTCGCGGACTGGCTGGCTGTGCGCGCGCTTACCGGCCGATCAAGACAAGGGACACGTCGTGGGAATCACACCTCACGCTCCTTCCTCCACGCCACCATGTCCGACAAGATCAAGGAATTTATCGAGATCCCCCAGCAGTTCGTCCGTGAGGGCAACCAGGTGCGTAGTGCGCTATCTGAGTACTAGAAGGTCGCTCAACTCCAACAGTTCCTCACTCGTTGCGCAAAACCGTCCTCCAAGGGTGCGTGTCATGCGCGCGTCGTGTTCCCCCGGCCCCTCTGACTCTTCCCAGAGTACATCCAGATCTGCAGGGCAGTCGCTGTCGGCTTCGCCATCATGGGCCTCATTGGCTACTTCGTGAAGCTCATCCACATACCCATGTACGTCCCCACTCTCCTAAACTTGCCCCGTGGTACTGACGTGTTCGCCCAGCAACAATATCCTAGTGTGCGTATTTGCTGAAATTCCTTTCCCCCTCTTTGTTGACATAGAACTACAGCGGAGGAGCATAGGTGCCGCTCGTTGTACACTCTGTACCGTCTTTCTTTTTATACACTGCTGGGGGAACACATCGACGGCGGGAAACTCCATTTCCATCCGAGTGAAAGACTGCCCAAAACTACAACAAGACCCAGGCAAGCACCAATTACTATATTCATACCCTCTCCGAGCGTGTCTCCGTTGTTACCGAAATTACGGTCAAATCCCTGGGTCGCGCGCTGGGTATGGCCAACGACGCTTGCGACGACAATATGCTGTGCTTCGTGTCCACAGACAATATTCGCCACGCTTGTAACAGATCCTGCGCGCCTGGTCAGCCTTGTACAGCTCATACGTGACATTGTCTTCTCGCCTTTTGCGTCCCAAACACTACAACGGCGGCCAAAGGCACTATGATCTCGTCAGTCGACGACAGCATACTGGAATCGCTTTTCACTCACGTCCTGCTTGCACGAAGTACGGCCACGCCGAGAGCGCATCTGCCAGGAATATGGCGGACGCACTAGAGAGTACGTGAGCATCTCGCCAACCTCTGCAAATGCATACGACGCGCCTCAAGGTAATTATTGAATACACGTTGAAGATCACCACCCGCGTGAACATGTATATGGTCGTCTGCCGTCTTGCCATCGGGAACATCCGCGAGATAGACGTCCAAGATTTGTACAGTTTGATGCCGGCGAGGACTGAAAGGCGTCAGCATACGGGGCATAGGTTTCCAGGCGTTTTGCTCCTCACCCTCGAATATAATGACGAACAGCAAAGCCACCGCGGTGTACCCTGGTACAGCGTAATGTCGACTGTAAGCCTATCAGCCCCCACGTTCCCGACCATTCCAATGTGAAGCAAACTCACAAAGGATCCTTCAATATCGTACAATACAACCCATTCGACGCGTTTACGGTCTCCGGATATTTTGCGCCTAGCTATACTCACGAGGTCAGTTTCCGTTGCACTAGTCGTCAACGAGCTAATCACCCACCACAGCAGAGGCGACCGTATATGCCACAAATACAACGTATGGGAGCGCAAGACTCTATATGGGGAAGGGGTGTGAGCATGCGGTGAAGCGCGTTGGCATGAGGTGATGTGGAATGCCGTTTGATTAGGTAGAGGCTCAGTTGATGAGTTCAATCGAAAGGTCAGAGCATCGCTGATCGCGCGCGACACGCACGAATGTCAGGCCCGCCGAATGTGGCCACCAGGCATAATTGGTGATGGTAATCGGTGAGTGAGGTGTCCGAAAAGTATTCCACATCTGCGAAAGAGGAAGGTAGGCGAGGGAAGGAGCAGATATGAGCATGCGTGAAGGTGAATTGAGCTCTCACGACGCACCTGAATAACGACGATGAGACCTGCGGTAGAAGCCCTGTCGATGGGAAAGTCAGTAACTCTATCCCGATTTCCCATCGTAGTGCAGCGCTGCAGTTATACTGACATCGTCGGCGCCCCGTGAACGAGGGCCTGCTGCGCCTGGCATAGCGCAGAGGGCTTGCCGGCAGGATCGAATTGCTCGTCCTGCTGCCGCCCAAAGATCCTGTCGAGGGGTGAGCGAGAGATAGGGATAGAGAAGGGGGCGACGCGCAATAGCATATAACTCAACGAATAGATAAACAGGGAGATGAAGAGATTGATCATGGTCGGATGTCGCGATGCATGTCTAGAGAGTAGGACCTGGGAACACATACGCGCCCGCGTCAGTAACGAGCCCGAAGGGGGAGGGTGAACACAATCACGCACCGTGCCAATGATGATAGGTAACCCAACGAGTCCACCCGCGACATGGAGGAATGTGTAAAGTGCAGTCAAGTGCTGCAAGTTGGGAACCGAATCCGAGATGCTGTCTGCGTGCCACCGCTTAGTAGACGCCCCTAACTGAGAGTGGCAAGCACGACGCACCCGTCCCGGACATTCGCCTTCACCGCTCGCTGGCGCAGCCGCTATAGGTACATGTACACGCGGGAAAGAGTAGCAGTGAAGGAAGGGAAAGTTAGAAGAGAACCCACGAACGTGAAATCAGCCGGCTACAAACAGGAGTCCTGCCCACGATCCGTATGCCGCCTCAGTCGCACGCACCTAAATTGCACACCTCCCGCGCCGCCGCGCTGTCTGACATCCCGATCCCCGGGTCTGACCTGGGACCAGCATCTGGATCTGACAACCAACATGCAAATTACGAAGCGTGACACGCGACGGACATCTATCAACCCTTTTCCGGCGTCGAAGGCCTCCATCCGGTGGCAAAGGTCCCACCCGCCCCTGTCCCGCCACCGTCGTAAACGTTCTGCTCCCGCCCGCTCCCGCCGATCGATCACACCGTCCCGCCCGCGCCGCCGACGAGCAGCAGCCCGAAGCGCGCGCCAGGCTTTGCGAGCTCGAGCGCGGGCTGGAACTCCTGCCCGACCACGGGCGTGCCGTACCGCAGCAGCTCGCTCTTCGCTCCCTCACGCGCGGGCAGCAAGCCTGCGAGCAGGACCTGCACTCGCGCAAGGTACGCCGCCGCGCCGCGCTCCAGCTCGGCCGCGTCTCGTATTTCGCCCTGCGGGTTGAGCTGCGCGAGAGCCGGATGAGTATGCGTGTCGCGGGGAGGGTGGGCGAGACTCGGGCGTACCTGCTGGATTTTGTCGTCCAATACGGAGGCGATGTCGCTCCAATCTGGACCCCAAAGGCCAGTTAAGGCGCGCAGGAAACCGGCGTCGCAGAGGGCATGGAAGCCCTCGGATTTCCATCGGTCTGTTGCGAGTTGCTGGAGGAAGAGACGGAGGGTGTCGCCAGCAAGCCGTTGCTGCCGCGTCTGGTCCCGGTGGAGCCCCAGTTGCTGAACAGCGTTCGATAGTTCGCACAACGCATTAACGAGCGCAAAAGAGGGTGAGAAAGCTACAAAAATGCTCTTGAGCAATGTGCTCGAAGACGCAGAAGTGTTACTGACCTGCAGTTGATGTCCCCGTAACGCCAGGCTCATGTAGCTTGTGTTGGTGTATAACGCGGTCTACCGTGTACATTCTCCATTGATCAATAACACGGTCGTGCAGATCTCTGGTCTTCACCCGGAAATCTGGATAATTATCAAGGCACGCCCCCTCGGCAAGTGTCACAAACTCCCCGTACCTTCGCGAAATTCATCGCTGCAACTCAGGTCTCTGACGAAAGATGAACCGGTGTTGAGATTCTCTGCAAGGCGGCCGACGAAGAGAAGGCTATGAATGGAAGAATCTGCGAACGTTTGAGGATGGATGATGAGGCTGGTACAAGCACATGCATACCTGTAAGCTCTCCGCCACCTTCCACTGACGACGCCATAACGCGCAAAACGTTGGTACAGACAGCCTCGGCGTCTGGCCGACACGTCGCCCGAAGTTCATCGAGAAGGCTGAAGAACGATTAGTACCAGCCAATATCGCCATCAAGATCGCACTTACCGTGCGTCGGTCTCAGATGCGTGGCCAATTATATGCGCAAAACTCTGCTGCAATGTCCGAGCACAGTCTTCCAACGCGGATAGCACATCATTCAGCAAAGTTGTTCGACCGAGAAGCTGATATCGCAGTGATGTTTTGTACTTGTGAAACAGACCGTCGCCGTGAGTTGACCCCATTTGTGCAACGGCAGGGAGCGACGGGGCTTGGAAGAGGAACTCCAGAGGCGAGCTATCTTGATGAACGTCAGCCACATACCCGGGATGCAAGGCCATGCCTCCTCACCAATTGTGGGCTCGCCGCCAGTCTTTAGAGTCGAAACGGCAGCGGTGAGCTGCCGCTCAAAAGCCCGCTCCGCATCAAGGAATGCCGCCTTCCAGATCCCGACCAGACGTTGCCGACACAAGTCGTCGAACACGGACTCGATGTGTGTAGCTTCTCCTCCCTCTAGTCCTGATTCTCCCGCAATCCATTTCAGGATGGCCTTCCGGACGCCCCAGACCTCCTTGACCGTTTCCAGGTCCGCAAACCACCGCTCAATGGCTGTTTTGAGGTTCTTGCAGGATGTGCGGAACCAGGCATCCAAGCGCTGGGTGAAGTCGTCTTGCGAAACGGTCGAACTGGAGGAGCTGAGGTCGACATAGGGCTTGTATGCTCGTAAGGTCGGTGGCAGAAGTTGGAAGTGTGTCGAGGATGGCAACGTTGCAAGAAGGGATTGGGTTGTCAATGATAGATCCACCGGAAGGTCAGAGATCTCGTGCGAGTCTGACTGGATGAACTGAAGTACGCGAAGGGCCAGTCCCGGCGAAGTTGCGTCATCCCGGTATATGCGCCGCGCCGAAATGACCGTGTGCGCGATGAGCTGCAACGCGGCCAGTACAGCATCTCGTACTTCTTGCACGGGCTTCCTACGCGCTCCCGCACCCTTCGCATCCGTTGCGACTCCATTCGAAGTTGTTGGTGTTGAAGGAGTACCAGGCCGAGAGATCTCGCGAGGGTTCCGAGAAAGCATCGTCTGTAGCGTTCTTGACCTTTGGGATAGCAGGGTGACGAACGTATCGGTAAGTGGCCTGGCGTCCAGAAGATGCAGGGTTAGCAGTGTAGCACAAGTGTCCTGGGAGGCTTGTCAGAATGGCCTCGTTGAGCAGAGGAATTCGTCACGGACCTCGTCTGATGCATCGTGCAATCGTAAGTGGAGGGCAGCTTTGTGTATTATTTGTGACCGAAACTGCGCCACCACCTCCCACTGGCGTTGAATGAGGGGGAACTGAGCCTGTCCGTGACGTATCTTCAGCAAGCGCGTCAATTATCATAGTGCTCGCTCTCACCATCACATCTATCCCACTTCGCGACCATGTCTCTTCATCGTCGTTCTGGAGTAGTGCTTGATGTACGACTCGCGACAGGAGGAAAAGCCAGGCGGCTGAGAAGTACTTCTTGCGCTCGAGCAATCGCCACAGATGCTCGGGTGCATCAAGGAGCAACTTCAGGTGTGCGGAAAGCAATTGCAAAGCATGTAGGTCTGGTGGTTGGTTGATAGTCGGTACGGCATTGAACGAATGTCGGCAAACGCACCATCGTCGCTTCTCACGGAAGTCTCCTGCGAGACTGGAGGAGGCTCTTGCGCCTGTATCTCCGTCTTTGCCTCCTCTAGGTCCTGCAAGACGCGCTTTGACGACTGCGAGATGGCGATGATGGATGTAGACGCCTGCAGAAGGTCGCGGTACCGTTCTCTGCGCTTTCAAGCTCGGGGTCAATTATGAGATGGCACAGCGAGGTCACAGACGCACCCAACCATGAGCCGTAGCTCCTCCTGCTTCGCGTCCGCATCGGCGCTGCGGGCGAAGTGCGCATTAAGCCAAGAAGCGTAGGAGGAGCAGGAGGGGACGCGTACCGCAAGCGCGTTTGGATCGCCTTGACTTCACTGATCGTATGCTTGGTGAATAATTCATCTGGATCTAGGGCGGCGCCTTCGTGGACGGCTTTGGATATGGAAGCCGTTCGTCGAGACTCATTTATGGTCGTCCTCTGCAACAGGGATGGCTTATGGACATGCTGAGGCGTCCATGGCGGTGCAGCGTCTCCATTCTGTACGGTCGTCGTTGCCGAGCTGCTCCTCGACATCGACGCGGAGTGCTTCGACATGGTCGGGGGGGAGGACCGCGCTGTTCCGCGTTCGCCATCCCCGAGCACCGGACCGCGCCCCGCCATCACTGCGCTTGAGATTATGAATTACGTAAAGCGCATTTCTGGCCTCAGTTCAAACTACGAATCCCAACTCCAGCTGCTTTCTAGTTCGACTTGAGCGCAAGCAGTACAGCGTGTCAACATTATCGGTGGGTTAGGTATAAAGTCATATAGCTACGGAACTACGCCTTGCTTTGTTGGCTCTCCGACTCCGGCACAGAGCCATTTTCCTGCGCCGCAGTAGGCGCAGATCCATTTGCAGATGGGTTGGAGGACGACCCAGCTGCCGGGGATGCGTTCGCCACTCTCTGATCCAGGGCCTTCAAAGCCATCGCACTATGGAGCACAGGCGTTAGACGATACTCGAACGCTTTGAGCGTGTAGACGTACCGTCGTCTCTCGGCCTCCGCACGCGCACCACCCGGCACTTGTTGGTACATCCCACTCTCCAGATCGGCAACCGAGGTGGGCAAAAGATGAAGGCGGTTCGCCATACTGTACACAAAGTTTCCGAGGTGCGTAAGCGGGTAACTGTGCTCGGGTAAGCGGCAGGAACTCCCGGAACAAGAGATCAAGCAAGACGTACTGCGCGAAGGTAGGGAACCAGGAGAGCAGGGAAAAGGTTTCGCTCCTGTCGCCATAGGAGACGACACCGCCGACCGATTCACCGCTGTTCTTCTTGTAGAAGCGCAGATAGATCCAGCCCACGAACCATCCGAATTGAATGACGATCCACGGGCATTGGAATCCAACGATGCAGAGAACGGTAGAAAGCGTGAGGTAGGCCATAGGAATGTTCTGAGGACGGTCAGCCTTCCTTCTTTTGATATGCGAGCAAAACTGACCTTAACGCGCGTCTTAAGGACGCCCATAACTTGTACTTGATGTTCGGGTATGAGCTGCGTGAACGCCACTAGGATGGCGGTCTGCAGGGCCATCTGGCCGTGGTATTCCATGCCATATCTGCTTCGCGGTCAGATCCGAGTACAAGCAGGGAGGAGGCACGCACAAGAATAACTCAGCATTCGACAAGACCATGTACTCGATCCAGTTGAGACCGAAAGCGATGATATTTGAGAACCCGACGGAGACGACGATGAACTTGATAATCTCGACGCTTCCCCATAGGTTCTCCAAGTACTTCAAGGATGCCGGAACAAACACCAGAGTCGCTATGAACTGAGGGGAATGAGTATGGCGATCGGAATAAATGCGTCAGCCTGACGCGTACCTCCAGCAGGCTTGTCTCAATGAGCGCCGACGTAACAAATGTCCATGGGTAGAAAATGCTCGCGCCGGGAATCAAAGTCAAGTATGGCGTGGACTCAACACCCGACCATCGCAGCCAAGCATAGAGGGCTGATGAGAGGACGGTCGCTGCCGTAAACGCGCGCGTAACGGGTGGTATGGACTGGATGACCGCCGCGGGCGACGAGAGCAAGACCATGATGGGCTTCGGGGACGGATGGAACGAAGGGCGGTCCTTCGTGCGGGCGGGAGATCGTCGCGGGTCGTGAAGGCGCTCGACAGCGCGCAGTGGGTCACGCTGACTTCGTGACAAACGTGACGATCCATCTTGCTTTGCGCACTCATCTCGGCGGCGCTCAGACTCTGCGTGCAGCTCTGGCTCAAGCCTCACTGAGGCTTTCGCTCTTTCATCCACAATACTAGGTGGCTGCTACTTAACTGCATCGGTACCCAGAAGACTGCGGGCCAATTTGGGCTTGCTGGACCTCACCAGCGTTCAGTAATGTCGGATTATGTAGTCCCCATCGGGGGCTCCCTGAAGCTCAAAGGTGGTGTGGTTGAGGGGGGCATTGTGAAGAAGTACGTCCGCCTTATTTCTGGTGCTTCAGCAATTCACCTGCTGCAGGAAGAAGAAATCAAAGCACAAGTCGAAGTCGACAGAATCCGAGGTCGATGTTGAGCGCAAGCGGGTTAAGGAATTGTTGCTGAAGAACGATGATGATGAGCCATCGCCTGCTGGCAGCGGAAGAAATTCACCTGCTGTGGGCGGAAGCTCCAGCGTTGATCGTAGGACTGACGCGGAGAAGAGATTTGAGGAAATTCAGAGACGACGAGTGAGTGACAAGGCGGCACAAAAAATCTTCAGCAACTAAGGTGACTTCCGCAGCTCCAGCAGAAGGTCGCGAAGCTCGCGGGCAAGACACACAAGGAGCGCGTTCAGCAATTCAATGAGAAATTAGTGAGTGTACAGGACGACGCTGGATTTTCCGAGCGCGTTCTGACGTCCCTACAGGAATCTCTCAGCGAGCACCACGATATCCCCAAGGTTGGGCCGGGATAAGGCGCGCTTTTGCGAGTTTGGGCAACCGTGCTGCCCTCCGTGCTTGTAGGAAGGCATTTACTGCTTGCAGGTCCGTAATTTCTGCTTCCCGCTGGTCGAACATCAACTTACGGCCTTTTTAGCACACTATTCCGCGTCTCTCCTCGTGCGACACCCGCGGAAGTTCGACCACAGCTGTGTACGTCACCTATCTTCGTGTAGCGTACCTGTCGACCCATCTTGCGCACATTCTTGGGCGGCTCCCGCTCAAGACTGGTCCTGTAGTATCGTACGCTGGTTCAATGATCATATCTGTGTAGTCTTATAGGCGCAAGTTTGTGTATGAATGTGTGGAACCGTGACAATCGAGTGACTCCCCACGACTGGTAGCGTGCCAAAACGTTGTTGGTCCTTTGGCTCTCGACATCAACCATCCTTGTTGCGTTCCCGTTCCCCCTCTCCCCTTCATGTCTACGACTCAAACGGGCGAGAAAAAGGGACATGTGTGCCCGCCGTCCAATGCAAAGCATCCCTCCGACCGCTGGGAATCTTTGTTCGTGTATTCCTTCATCTGCAAGTTCACGAACTTGAGGGGGAAAGTCGAGGGATTGGAGACGCCCATGGAGTGCGTATCGTGTTGCTTGTGCTGTACGCTCTTAATGACATGTTTCAATTGCTACATAGCTTTGAGAACGCGCTGTTAGACAAGGAGCCCAACACCATCTTGACAGGCATCCTCACCCGCTTCATCCTCAATCTCCGTCCCCAGACGCGTAATCTGAGGTGCATAGCTCATCACGACCCTCCCACTGTTGTACAGAATTGTTAACACGCCCGCGACGCGCAGCCCCGATCAAATATCGAGCACAGTCGCCAGCGTCATGGGCGAGTACTTCAAGACCGGCGAGCGCAGCAACTTCTGGGACGAGAGCAAGCGCAAGAACATCGACCCCTTCCTCTCCATCGACGGCGGCATCTTCACGCAGGACTGGGACTTCAAGGTGCGCACTCGCGCTTGCGACCCATAATGATACTCGGACGTTGACGCCACATGACCCCGCCAGCTGAAGATCCTGCGCCAGCTCGTCGAGATGCAGCTCTCCGCGCCCAACTCGGAGATCAAGGCGATCATAGACAGGGCGTGGGGCGTGTCGGCGAGCAAGCACAAGAAGAAGAACGAGAAGGAGCCACTGCCGGGGCCGGACGACCCGCATAGCCAGGAGAACTTGCAGTTGGCGCCCATCGGTCAGGATGCGCAACGCATGCGGTACTGGGTCGCGGATGGTGCGTACCGCTCGCTCAATGCTCGATGCTTTGCGTTTCTTCCCCTGCGATCCATGATAGGCGCCGCATCTCCGTTACCGTGCCCCAATGTTCCGCCGTTGGACGGACACCTTACGCCTCTTCAATGCGACAGTACTGACCATCGGCCTCCCTCGCAGACTCCCCAAGGATATACATGTCGTCTAACCCCTGGCGGGTGACTGCCAGCTTCCAAACGGTGTCGTCAACCCGCGAGGAATACATTGCAACGATCGAGACGCTCAAAAACAATCAACCCCCTCCCCCCTCTAAGCCCAACGCCAAACCCACTAAGCAGGCTCAGGCGCACATGGCGCTCATTGCTGCGCTAGAGAGCAGGATCCCTGCGATTGATAACGAGCTGGCGGTGAGAATCAATTTGTGCTCGCGGTTGATCCGACGCGTTCTGACGCGTCATTCCAGCGGGTCGCAAGAGTACGGCGCAAACTCGAGCAGAGGCAAGCGTTGTACGCCCAGGCCGAGCTGCGGGAGACGCGCACACGGCGTCAAGTCAAGCAGAGGTATACGTACGCTGAGGTGGATAGTGATGTGCGTAACAATGATGCTTTTGTTCATTCTTGAACGTTGTCACTCATTTAGATCCAGCAGGATGATGAGGATGACTACGTCGACCGAGAAGACGAGGTTGCCGACGACGACGACTTCGGCGACGAAGAGGAAGAGACAGGCGGACGCCGCTCAGGCAGACGAGCCGTGGCCGAGTCGTCAGCAGCAGGGCGGCGTCGATCCGCGCGTACCACGGTCAATGGCAACGGCAAGGCAAATTCGAACGGCAAAAGGACAGCGTCGCCCGACTGGACGCAGTGGCGAGGCGAGCGACGCTCTCGTCGGCTGGGCGCGCCGGCCGACATCGCCGCGGAGTTCAACTTCCCTCCCACCAAGCGTGCACGAACTGCAGAAAGCGAGGCGACATCCGAGGACCAGGGTGGGACACCGCAAACGAACGGTGGGCCGATCAAACTCAAGGCCACTGGCGCCGCAGCATTGCGGGCGAACGAGCAGGCGGTGGAGGTACTTCCTGGCAAGAAGAAGTCGCGGTTCTGGGTGTACGCCGTTGAACCTGCTGATGAGCAGCAAGAAAACGGAAACGGCAGGGATCAAGGAGGTGACCTGAAGAGCGAGGAGGCGACAAGCTCAGTCCCGCCGGAGACGAACGGGAATTCTACCGCGTCAGATGGCATGGACGTGGACGTGAGGCGGCGAAGTGTGTCTCCCCTTACGCCGTAGGGTTGCTCAGAGGTTCTGCGCGTCGGTCTATTTCTTGATTCCGGTTTTGTTTGTCCTGTCGTCTTGCTGCATCTCCCTGTATCTTGCCCTACACCTACTGAGCCATGGCTAATTTACCACGGCTTGAATATAGCTGTTTGAGTACAGCTGCGTCGCACGGGAGCTTCCTTGCCAGCTCAATGGCGTCGAACCTTCGTGGTAGATCCAAGAGTAATATGCCTACAGTGTAGGAACCTCGTCGGTGGTGCTACACTTGCTAATTCGTTGCAGGCGCTCAGACAAAGGATGCGTGAATGGAGACCCTCTCGGTGACCAATGGTAGACGCCGGGTTTACGAGATAAGATAATGAAAATTCCGGAGTATTTTTGATGTGAAGGAGCTCCGAGAGTCTAGATCGCGCAAGCGGATGCGTCTCTCCTCCCACCGCCACGGCATCCTGCACCCTCTGTATGATTGCCCGCCCCGCCAGAGATGTGCTCTCCTCCGCGACGAAGAAGCAGTTTCGCTTCAGAGGTTGCCTCGCCGCCCGTCATGAGCCGTATCACACCTCGACATCCCGGGCCGGCCAGGTAGCCATACTTCCCGCCACAACGGATGACAAGACGCTCGTCTCGGTCTTCGACTCGCCTCGGAGCAATGCGAAACTATCCGGCTTCGCGACGACGGGCCTCTTCAACCATTCCATGCTCACGCACCCTCGCGCGCTGAACTCGATCGCTCAGGGGACACTCATACGCGCGCATGTCCTGACGAACCGCATTCTTCGTGCGAAGGAGTCCCGGGAGGAGCTCTTCAAGGTCGTCAAGAACCTGGACAGGCTCAGCGACATGCTCTGCAGTGTCATCGACCTCTGCGAACTCGTTCGCAACTCGCACCCCGATCGCGCCTGGGTTGAGGCAGCCAACGACGCGTACGAGGGACTTTGCCAGACCATGAACGAGCTGAACACCCATGTGGGGCTCTACGATGTGTGTGACACGCTACTCTTATACCCCTGTACTCATAGCCATGCTGTATCCATAGGTTCTGAAGATTGTGCTGTCCGACCCTGAGATCGTCAAGTCCTTAAGCCCAGAGGCTTACCGCACCGCGATGATCTTTTGGAATGACTTCGAGAAGTCGGCAATCAACCTCCCTGCGAAGGAACGCGAAGAGTTCGTCGCACTCTCCTCCGAAATCATATCCCTCGGGCGCATGTTCCTAGAGGAGACCACCGCCGCACGTCCCCCTGCCAAAATTCCCCCTTCAGACCTGGCTGGGTTGAAGGACAAGGGTATGGGCGTGCGTCTGCAGCTGCAGGCGCAATTCACGCAGCGCGATTTGCATGTCTACCCTGGGTCATTGCAAGCACAAATGATTATGCGGTCGGCCCCGGCGGAAGAGGCGCGAAGGCGTGTCTATATCGCGTCACATTCCAGCACGCCAGAGCAGATAGAGCTTTTGGAGCGCATGCTCTCCACACGCGCGAGGCTCGCCCGACTGGTCGGCCGAGAGAGCTTCGCGGCTATGGCCCTCGATGACAAGATGGCTAAGAATCCCAGTGAGTCCTTCTAAAGCCCACCAAATCTTCGTACAATGACAACTATCTAGCCAATGTCGCTCGCTTCCTCGACTCCCTTATGGATCGTTCACGACCTTACGCCCGTCGCGCGTTGAGGAACCTTAGCATGCGCAAGCAAGAGCATCTCCATACCCCGCCATTCCCCACAATCCAAGCCTGGGACCGAGATTACTACTGTCCCCCTGAACCACCAGCACCTCCCATTCCCCTTCCTAGACTCACCTTCGGCACCGTCCTGATGGGACTATCCCGCCTATTCCGTCACTTATATGGCATCCACTTGCGCCCCGTGAAGCCCATCGCTGGCGAGGTCTGGCACTCCGACGTTCACAAGCTGGAAGTGGTGGACGAGGAGAAGGGTGTCATTGGCCTCATCTACGCGGACGTCTTTGCGCGCCGAGGGAAAGCGAGCGGCGCAGCACACTACACAGTGCGGTGCTCGCGGCGAACAGACGACGACGATGTGCAGGGCGACAATGACGAGTTGACGCGGATGTACCCTGATCTAATCAAGCAGTCGGAGGAATTCGAGGCGGTCGGTCGGGGACCGATACCTGGACTGCCGGGGACGTACCAGCAGCCCTTGGTCGTCTTGCTCTGCGAGTTTGCGCGCCCTTCGCTTGGTGCGGCGGTCCTCGAATGGCACGAAGTCATGACCCTCTTCCATGAGATGGGCCATGCCATGCATTGTAAGCCTACACTGCTCACTCCTTCTTTCCGTACGCTAAACTCTCGCCTCTAGCCATGATCGGCCGCACCGAGTACCAGAACGTCTCCGGTACTCGCTGCCCCACCGACTTCGTCGAGCTTCCCTCTATCCTCATGGAGCACTTCCTCAACTCGCGCCAGGTCCTCTCCCTCTTCCACGCCGACTCCACCTCTTCTTCTTCCCAGCCCATCGGCAATCAGCACGAAGACCCATGCCACTCCATCGACACCTACGCGCAGATCATGCTCGCCGCCCTCGACCAGATCTACCACTCGCCCGCCGCGCTCGAGCCCGGGTTCGACTCGACGCGCGAGCTGGCGAGGTTGCATGATGAGAAGGGGCTGATTCCGTACGTGCCCGGGACGAGCTTCCAGACGCAGTTCGGGCACTTGTTCGGGTATGGGGCGACGTACTACTCGTACCTGTTTGACCGCGCGATCGCGTCGAGGGTGTGGAAGGACGTTTTCAGCTCCTCGCCGTTGAGTCGGGAAACGGGTGAGCGGTACAAGCAGGAGGTGCTGCGATACGGTGGTGGCAAAGACCCATGGGAGATGGTCAGCGCGTTGCTGAAGGCGCCGGAGTTGGCTAGTGGAGATGCGGAGGCGATGGCGACTGTCGGGCGGTGGAAGATTGAGGATGAGGTTGGGTTGCCTGGCAGGCACTAGACTATACTACGATACTGACGCTCACATCGGCACACTAACTACTGTACGCATAATCCGCAATGCATCTGTAGCCCACCCTCATCGCCTCTACCAGTCGCAATACATGCATCCCCCATCGGGCTTTATCAGCAACTTCGAGCTGGCCAGCGTCAATTTGTTCAAAGAGTGGTTGCCTTGGATGATGAATGTCATTGAAGAGGTGGATGTACATGTTGTACAGAGAAGTGCAAGAAAGCAAATAAGTGAGGTTGCAGAACGAAGAAAGCAAAAAAGCAAAAGGCAAATGGACAGCGACGAGAGCTATAAAAGAAGACTATCTACTGAAGGACTATCTACCGAAGGGGCTACCTACTGAAAAGACTATCTACTGAAGACAAGGCATAGACAGGAAGTGCATACTGGGCATAGGGGTGGCAGCATATGTGGCATAGAGTGGGGGGTATTGGGGCGACGGCGGCAAGGACTGCGTAGCAGACCTTCTTGTACGTCTGGGTAGGGTATCAAAAGGGGGTATCTGGTGGGTATAACAGGCGCGCAGCCGGCGTGGCCGGCAGGTCCTGTGCGAGCTCGATGCGACGACGCGGGGTATAAGGCAGCGCAAGGCCGCGAAGGGGGTATGCGCGAGCGTCGACCGAGTCGCGGAGGGCTAGGTCGTTGCAGCTACGACAAGAGGGTCCAATTGGACGCTCGTCCTGCAAGAAGCTAACCGGTGCATTTTCTGCAAAGGGTTAAGGGGGATGAACGAAGTTTGGCGTGGCGCTACGACTGCCGTCAGGAAGGTGGCTCGCAAGGAAGGCTTTGAAACTCACCGCTTAGCCACCGACGGAGGCCAGGCGTTGCAGGGATTGGCGCTCCGCCTCGAGACGAGCAGCTTCTTGCTCGATCTCAGCGAGGCGGGTGCGTACGGTATCAGCAGAGTCGACTGGACTGGACTTCGAGAGGCGTCGCTCGCGACGCTCAAGATAGCGGCGATCGTTTTTCGGCGCCTTCGCAGGCTTCGGGGCCTCTCTACAGACGTCGGCCAGGCCGCTGCTCAGAATGCCATCGACTAGACTGGAGGGCTCCGACGTCTCCTGCGCCTTCGGCGTAACACGCCTCTGGACGGGTGTGGTCCTGCGACGCGCGTTCCCTGCCTTCTGCCCCGTGGCGAGTACAGAGGTAAGCTGTCCTTCGCCGAACGCGACCTGAGCTGGGGATGCTATTGAGCCCGTAGCGTGGTGATACGACACTATGGGAGCAGCGGCGTGGCTGGCGCGGGTCGGAGAGCGCTTCGAAGCACTCCAGTGGCGAGCCGGGTTCTGCGCAAGATTGGCTACGCGCACGTCCAGCTTCGTGGGCACAAAGGCGCTCGGCCTCAGGCCGTCGCTAGGATGGAGCCGTCCGTCCGCGGGAGGGGATAGATCGTACTTGCTCCAGAGCGCGGGGTCGAAGCGAGGGTCGATAGATAGCGGGGGCATTCGTTTCTGCTGAGACGTCGTGTCACGCGAAGAGCTTGCGCTTGTCGACTGTGTCGTTGTTTCGTCTGCAGTGGTCGCCTCGTCCGGTTCGGTGATATCAGTCGCGTCGGACGTGACTGAGAACAAAGAATCCGTATCCGAGCCCGACGACGAAGTCGAGCAAGCGGAGGATATAGAGCTGATGGACGGCGAGCGTGTGAGCGAGCGCGACTTGCCTGGCAACGGAACAGCGTCGACAGAACAACCCGCTGAAGATTTTGTAGCCGCGGTGAGGTCGCGGGGGGCTTGAGTCTGCATCAAGTGTCAGTTGCAATCGATAGCATTGGACCAGCCAGATACTCACATGTGCCTCCAAATCCCAGTTGACCCACGGAGTTGGGTCACCGGTAACCTTAATGCCACCGCTGGGAACACCGCGAGAAGGCAAGGGCAAAGACACCGACACCGAAGGGGGGGAGCTAACACTTGGCGACGAACGCGAGCGTACAGTCCCAAGAGGGACACCATCCGGACCCATAAGTACAGGAGCTGAAGGCGGAGCCAACTATAGATCACATTAGCAAGGAAAGCACGCTCACTGAAAAGGATCCTCACCCCAGCCTTGCGTAACTCCTCCTGAAGCTTCTCGCGTTTCTTCATAGGATGAGACGCGAGAAGCGACGTCGCCTGAGCAGGTCGTTTAGCCTTGGGCGATGGGCTAACTGGCGATGTAGGCGTCGAGCCTCTCGATGATGGGGCGGGGGAGGGTAAAGAGACACGGATGGCCTGCGGACGCGGGCGTACTGGCGGCGAGAAGATCCTATAGGTGCGTGAGCAAGCTTTATGCGCACGAAGATGGTCCACATACCGAGGCTTCTTAGCTAGAGGCGAGACTTCTTCGTCATCGTTGCGACCGCGCTTGGCGCCGGCGATCTTCACCGGCTCCTCTTCTTCCTCGTCCTCTTCCTCCTCGTCCTCGCTGTCGCTATCGTTCTCACTGTCTGAGTCTTCGTCCTCGTCATCCGTGGACTCGTCAGTGTCATCGCTATTCGAGTCCTCGTCCTCCGTTGCGGATCCATCTTTTGAAAAGGCCGTGGCTACCAGCTGCGGACACATCTGCGCCATGAGGTCGGACGGGCGGGTGTCGAGGTCCTCTCCGTCGTCGTCTTCATCGTCCGAAGCGTCGTCTGACGCATAGAAGTCATCGAGATCTTCATCCGACTCGGTGCCAGACAATTCGTCGGCTGAAAGTGGCTCGGGGCTGGGGTAGCACTTGCGATCCTCTGCTCTTCGCTGAGCGTCCATTCTGTCCTTCTGGGCACGACGTTGCTCGCGACGCGCCTGCCGCTGCTTCGCAGCAGTCGCCGCCTCAAGAGCCGCCCTGAACGCGACGAGATCCTGGGTTGCGAATTGCCTATCAACAGCGGAGGAGTTCAAGGAGTCGGCGAGTTCGGTTGGTTCAAGCCCATACATCTCCTTCGCGTTCACTTCAAGGTGAGCGAGGGCGAATTCGACGTCGGGCTGAAGGGCGGCAAACGACTGAGGGTGTAACGGCTCCTCGCAGGCAGCTGTTGATGAGTCAGTAATGAGGAAGTACGCGAGGAACATGAGCCGTACGGGATGCCTTGGGAGGGATCTTGAACGCTACGACGTCATGTGACGAACGCAGGTGTGGTTGTACTTCTTCGCGCTTCGGTTGCGCCCCCTGAACAGATGTCAGTGTTCAGTCTTATATTAGTCGATTCAGAACGTACTTTACGCTTTGCGATGCACCCGTCCGTGAAATCCCTGGAGGTCTCTTCGGTTCCCCACATAAGGCGCGTAGATTGAAGCATGAGCGACCTGCTGCCGCCGAATAGGCGACGTCTAATGTCACCCCAACCCATCCGTGCACGGGCAGCAATGAACCAGTTGTCGATGTCACCAAGAGCGAGGTGCTGTGCGACATCAGGGGAAGTACGCTGTCGGGCTTGATCCAAGAGTTCCTCCTTGATAGCTTTTGTGGGATATGGGTTGTCGAGGTGATTGACTAACCAGCGATAGCAGGGCTCGATGTATGGTGGCAGGGGCGTAGCGCTGTGCGTACGTCAGGTCTCGGAAAGAGGGAGGTCGAGTACATACGCACCTAAGTTCTGCGCCGGTCTTCTCGTCTGCCAGCGCGGACGACGCGTCGTGGCGTTCCAAACCAGCGAGCAGATCCTTGGTCAGCTCGTCCTCGATCGTATGGTTAGTAGCCTCCTGGTCGAGCATGACTTCTGCAATTTGCGCAATGCTGATGCCGACGGCGTGGGATAGTGCAAGAGTGGAGGAAGGAAGGGTTGGGTCGCAGTCAACACAGGCGCGGACGCGATCCCACTGCGCTTGAAATTGAGCGAGGGCGTCGTCGCCCTCAGCCAGAGCCGTTAGAAATTCGGCTTGAGCGTGATGCAACCATTCTAGGATGTCCTCTGCAGAGTAGAGGGACATCGGGTATGTGGGAGGGAAATGGGCCAGCGGGCACCTGTGACGCGGGGTGTTATGCGTTTGCTCTCCGGGGCTCGGCCCGTCTGAGTTTCAAATTCCGCCGATAGCAACCATTGTTTATGTCATCGGTGGCCAGACTGTGGCCAAAACGTGGCCAAAACTCGTGGCCGTTGTCTGACTAAGCGACAATGGGGACAAACAACGGTCAACGCGTCTACTTAGGCATAGTGCCCACACAAACGCCCTCACGGATCCCTCACCCCTATCGACCGCGATGGCAGAGCTGCTCGCCTGCCTGCAGAGCATATCTGCTCATGCGAAGGACATGATGGCTCTTGCCCGCTCCAGAGGCGCCACTGGCTCTCGTCCTACTCCCACCACTCTTCCACATTTCGACGAGCTGCTTCCCCCCAATCTCGACTTCGTGCGCACTCGTCTACAGGAGGCTCGCCTCCCTCCCAAAGCCATCAAAGGGACCCTTTCTGCCTACGAATCTGCCTGCGCGCGCTGGAAGCATGATCTTGAAGAGGCGTTCGACCGCACAGCACACTCCATCTCCCCCCACAACTTCCAGCGACTTGCCCAATTACGCACTCGGCTATACGTCGAGCAGGTCCAGAAATGGCTATACGAGGTGCTTCAAGTTCCCGAGAGGTGGAAGGCGGAGATGGAGAAGCAGCGCGCGCACATCAACGCGACTATGGGCCCTGACAAGACCACGGGCCCCGGCAAGCGCTCGCGACCCAAATTCCATTCGGTATGTGTTATGGAATAGTGTTGCAGGTACATTGCTCATCCGTCTCTCAGGAGTATACTCCTGTCCTTGAGCTGTACTTCCACTTCAACGCCTATCCCACGTACGCCGACCGGCGCATTCTTGCAGAGAAGACCGGGATGTTGACCAGGCAAATCACTGTCTGGGTTGGTGTCGCATTTCTTCGATAGTGTCGTCAACGTCTAACGTCGTGTAGTTCCAGAATCATCGCCGACGGGCCAAAGGCCCCCTGCCTCGCATGTCCCCCACCGCCAAGGTACGTCTGCGACACCGTCAATAGATGCTGACATTGACACGTCTGTCAGATTCCGATGGAGGAGTTTGAGCGTCAGCTCGAGAACTTAGCTCGCAAGATTGTGCCGGTCCTCTTGCCGCCAACTCTACGACGCTTCGCACCCGGTAATGAGAACAAGTCCCTTGCTGCCGCCTCCAGGCAGAGCGCAGGGAAGTCCTCGAAGAACGCGAAACGACTCTCCGAATTGGAGAAGGCTCAACAAGTCCCACGCAAGCCCTCAGAGAATGCGGAGGCAGGCCCGTCGTCATTGGGCGCTATGCTGGCGAGGGTTATGCATAATGACAGCGTCTCCAAGAAGAAGTCGAAGAAGGCCAAGAAGGAGAAGGCCTCCCAGCAGAACGTAGTGTGCGACGTCGAGATGCGCGACGCGACAGCGACGAAGGAGAAGCGTCGCAAGATGAAGAAGCTCCCGCGCGCTGCTGGTCAGCCTTTCGACGTGCCGATGGATGTCGAGCGCGCCGACAAAGCATCGAGGAAAGCCATGAAGAAGGCGAAGAAGTCCCCTCGTGCATTCGACTCCAGGGCCGAACTTGCTTTCGCTCAGGCGGCGTACCCTTCCCCATCGCAATACGCCTACGTTCACTCGCGCAAACCCTCTGCGGTAAGTCTTGTTTGCATGGGCGCATGCAATATCTCATGTGTCTGAAGCAGCAGAAACCATCATCCGATTCTCCTCGCAAAGATTTCGGCCAGCTGGGGAAGGGAAGGCCATCCTCGAATGTGAGCGTCCCGAGGTCATCCTTTCTAGGTCGTCTTGCTCATACGTCGCTTCAGTCAACGTCCTCAACCGTACCTCCTCACCGTGTTTCGTCCCGCCTCAACGCCATGCGGCCCCCATACGCTTTCCCAGCTCCGTATAACGCAGCCGCCGTCCCGTTGACGTTCTCTGTTGCTTCATCTACCCAATTCGCCTTCGCCACCGACAACCGTTCCTTCGGGTTTGCGGAAAGGACACCGAGGAAGGCAACAGTACCTGCTGCGTGTACCCTCATCGACTACCTCATTTCCAAGTTTGCCGGCCTCCGCTTACTATGCGTTGAGGTACGTCTAATCTTCGACTTGCAGTTGTCTGTATCTGACGTGATTGCAGCAGAGCGTCTCCTCGCGGAGCATATCCTTATCGACCTCCGAAAGTGGCAAACTGGCGGGCCTCCGTACAGAGGGCCTGACCACGGGAGAGGCATCAGGAGTGCAGACTCACGTCGACTCTTACGCCGCTCGTCGCGCGATCACTTACGTGCCTCCATCTGCTCCCTTGGATTGCGTCGTGCACAACCTCGCGCGTGCTCTTCAGCTCAAGCAGGTCCGACCAATGGTTCTCGCCCAGCCTGTTGTGCAGCCAGATGCATTTGCTCCCTTCATCGCTCGGGCCGAGCGGCGTGCACGCCGCAAAGAACGGAAGCAGAGGAAGGCGCTGGAGGAGAAGCAGGCGAAGAAGGACAGGAAAGAGCGCCAGAAAGCCTCTAGGTCGCAACGCGATTCACCCTCTATGGATGCGGATGTCCAGAGCAGGGCATCATCCGTTGCCTCTACCAGCTCGCTGCCCGCGCGAAAGTCATCGAAAAAGTCCAGGAAGTCCAAGGGAGAGTCTGCCGCGTCCTCTCGCGCGACGTCGGTCGCGTCGTCCGTTCGCACGCCTTCCCTCTCCTCCACTTCTTCTCGCCGCTCCTCCGGTATGTCTATGCCTGGTACCCCGCGTCCAGAGCAAGACCTGCCGATCATGGCGACCGCCGACTTCAACTTCGCAGGCGACGAAGACGTCACGATGACCCCGGACCTCGCGGCCCAGCTGTTCGGCGAGGATGAGGATGGCGCTGCTGCACTCGGCCAGATGCAATACGAAGAATTCAGCCCGGACATGCTCACTTTCACCAGCACTGCTGGTGGCGCCCTCAGCGACATGACTGCGGACGTCAACATGCCCGACCTGGGCAACGCCTATACCAGTCAGCAAAGCGTTGACGACATGAACTGGACAGGCTTTGGGCTTGATGCACAGAACTCTGCATCGCCAGGTTTGTTCGGCGATGAGTCGAACACCGGGCTTGACTGGCTTCTCAGTCACAATCTTTTGGGCGATACCCAAATGTCCGACCTTTCTTACACCGCTCCTACATCCACCCCATCCCAGATCAACATCCTCGGCAGCACATATGCATGCGAGCTCGGCGGCTCCGACAGCCTCGGCACGCCGTTCAACATGAACGACTGGACCTTTGGGCTGGGCGCCTGCGACGATGGCTTCGCTGGCTTTGGGAACAACCTCCTCGGCGGTACGGCCGTCGCCGTATGAACCAAGCCCATCTCATCAACCGCTTCCACCACAACACCCACCTCCCCCTTTTTGGCCTCTTCGTGCGAAGCACATGGTACGTTCCTGCTGAGTATTCTCGTCAGTATAAGCGCTCACCCTTCCGCAGATACTTTCGCATCGAATGAGTGCAGCAAAGCACGGCGCCTTATCATCCGCACAAATCTCATCACCCGCCTCCCACCTTGATACCTGCCTCGCCGCCCGTCGCTCTCAGTACGTTTCTCGTATCTTTTGTCCTAAGCATGGCTAACCTCTGTAAAGCTCTCGTCGGCAACCCTCTCAATCATCTCACCACCCACTCTGCCGCTGCTTGGTCGCAGACCCACCCTCGTCGATCGCGCCGTTATTGCCTTGCCAGGTGTCCTCTCCGACACCCGCCAAGATCATCTCTTCATTTTTTCACTTGCGCATTGCTATCTTGCTTTCGATTTGCTTTCAAATAGTTGCTCTTTTCGTGGATCTCCTGCATCTCTCTTAGACCGCTCTATCTTTATCATTATGCTAATCCGCTTCTCGCATTTTTCTTTCTCTTCACTACGGAATACAATGTACTAGTAGCCAAGTCGAACCTGTGTACCATAATCAAGTTTTGGCTGCCTTTGCGCCCGTGTCTATTCGCTGTTATCCGCCTCGTGTGAAGCTGGGGCTTGTCACCGTGAGGACTGCATACAGTAGGTTGGTCTTCGCGCCTGCTTGCGCGCACCGTTCAAGATGATGCCTCTGAAAGCATGACGCTAGTGTCACATCGTTCTCCTCCTGCGACGTACATACTTCCTCAATCGTCTCGCGGATCGACATGTAGAACAACTTCATCCGACATGTCATCGCGTTCGTGCGGCCTGAGCACGAAGCGTCGCCGATATTGCACCTCCTCCCCTACCCACGACGCTTGTCTGCCCTTCCCGATCTCGCGGTCCTGTTCGCCCACGCAGATCACCAGTTTCTCCAATGGGCTCCCCTTCTTCAGCTTCTTTAGACTGTACCACAGCGTCCTCGCTAGCTGGCAGTTCCGTCTGGTATAATCCTTCAAGTCCTCCCGAACGTATACATGGAGATCCGTGAAGGCGAGAGGGATGTTCAGGGTGAGCGTGCGCAGGGCGGGGAATTGCGCAAGCGCCAAGCATATCCCATCCTCGTCAGTCGGCCATCCATCGAGGTCGAAGGTGAAGTCGGCGAGATAGGGACACGATGCGTCGATGGCGACGATCTCGTCAATGGTCAAGGCATGTCGAAGGACGACACTAGTGTAGTATGAAGGATATTCCACTTCATGAATGTCCAGCGCTCGTATCTGATGACCCTGATGTCGCAGGACACCTTCCAGCGGTCGCAAGTCATGCAGATTAAGCACAGACAGCGACTGAAGGGAGGGGAGAGCGATGAGGAAAGCTCTGACACTGTCGATAGTGCGCTCGCGCTCTGCCGATGGCAGATCCGTTTCCGTGAGTCGGTCGAAGGCCAGCTGGACGGTCGAGAGTGAGGCGAACATGCCGGCATCCCAAGGAAGGGTCTGGAGATCGTCCGGAATGCATAGCCCGCGCAGCGTCTCGACGCGAGTCCAGTCAACGATGGGCGCCAGAGTTGTGACAGTCTCCGGACTCATATTACTGATCTCCACGTCTTCAATTGCTTTCCGTATTGGTTCTACGTCAAATCGCGCGCGAAGACGCTGCTCTTTCTCTCGCTCTTCTTGGGTTAAGGTGTAGATGCAACAGCCGCCAACACTGCGACTGGTGTACCTGAAAGAGCGTAGTTCCGGCGAGCGAGCGACGATGCGTTTGAAGGCTGGCCATTGGAAGTCCCATCCCCACATCCCGTGGCCAACGCTGGCATGCAAGGTGCGAAGCAATGGTGACTCTGCAAGGGCCATCTCCGACGGGTCATCATCCAATGTCCCTGGTGTGGTTCTCGTCCAGTGACGGATATGCAGATGGACGTGTGGGTGGAATTCCTGCAGGGACGCAAGGAGTAAGAGTGGAATGGGGATTGGACAGTCGTAGGTCACGTCCGCAAGCCTGGTGAGTTTAGACAGAAGAGCGAGCAGGGGAGTCCAAGTGGTCTCTTTTTCGAGCTCCCCTTTGTTCGATTTCTTCCTCAGAACGAAGGGGAAAGCAGGCTCTGCGCGAATGGTGATAGATCGTATAGCCGTGTGGATCCACGACAAGCGTGCATCCTCCAGCCAGGCCGTGATACGGTGCTGAGTGGTCTGTAGACTGTCGGAGTTCAGGTTCAATGTGCAGTCTCGGATAGTGAACGGTCGAGCTGCCTCGTAGAGAACGGAATTGCACAGACAGATGGCGTGGACAGTGCGTGGTGAGCAATTGTGCACCTATTGAACCAGCGAACCATTCTTAGCGAGTGTACGGCAGCGATCCAGACAGTGCAGCATGCTTACCAGCTCAAAGATGAGGTCAAGAATATCCCTCCCAATCTTGTCGAGAGCTGGATCGCTGGCCATGATGGCGGTCAAAAGAGAGCTGCGGCGATGATGCATTGCTACACTCGAGCGTGGGTCATGGCCGTGCGAGCTGTAACGTGACTATGGATGAGTCAAGCGGCTCAAGACAGCTCATTGACCGAAGAACGTCTTTGATCGCTGCAGCCATTCAGGCCTCTTGATCAACACACGAATGAGGATAGACCAATCTATCTGGATCCCGCCGTCGGAAGAAGGGGGTTAGGAAAGCCCTTGAGTGCCGTATACACCCCTTCAGAGGATTGCCGTAGGCAAAAGAGATGTGTCTGACGCGACTAGAAAGTATACAAAGCTGGGTACAATGAAAGGCGAGTGAAAGGTGCGCCATGGCTCAATCTCGGCAATTGCCAGATTTGTGGCGTCGATAGATTCAGGAAAGTTCAACCGTTACGCGTGACCCTGATATCTTCTCTCCGCTGTCATCTTTTATTCCTCTGGCTCGTCTGTAGCGCGCGCTCTTCATCGTCGGCGCACCCGCTTTACATCTGACATTTTCAATATGTCACATACAATCCGTGGGTTGAAGGGCGACCTGATCACGCGCGAGTCGTCGGAGTACCGTGCCGCTATCACTCGCTGGGCTGCAACCGCAGAACGGCAGGCTGAGGTTGTCGTCTTCGTGAAAGACGCAGGCGACGTCTCTCTCGCGATCAAATATGCAAAAGACCATGAATATCCCATTGCCATTCGCGATGGGGGGTACAGCGTTTCAGGCGCCTCGTCGGCTGAGAAGGGCCTTGTCATCGACTGCTCGAGGTACCTTGATTACGCAGATGTCGACTCTGTGGGAAGTACTGTGCGTGTCGGAGGCGGAACTACGTGGGAAACTGTGAACAAAGCGACGATGGCTCACGGCCTCGCGACAGTCGGAGGGGTAAGTCTACGATAGTTTGGCCTTTCAGGCGCCTGATTCGCTTGTCAGACCATCGACAAGGTGCGCAAGGCCTTTGTATCCGTGCCATCTGCAGTGAATTATGCTCAGACACGCGTAGATTGGTGTAGCAGGGTAATCCTGCATCTATTTCATGGCTCCAGCCGCCGTTGATCTCACACAGTATGCAGGTTGACTCTGGTTGGGGGATACGGCTATCTATCAGGACTTCACGGCTTGGCTCTCGACAGTCTAGAAGAGGTATGACTATATCTGCTTCCTCATATGTCCCTAACCTCACTCCTCTAGGCGACTGTCGTCGTTGCAGATGGCTCTATACTACGCGCCAGCAAGTCAACAAATCCGGATCTCTTCTACGCCATTCGCGGTGGTGGTTCGAACTTCGGCGTCGTCACTCAGCTGACGTTCAGGCTTTACCCTCAACGTCGAACAGTATACGCTGGGAAGCTCGTCTTCGCTAGAGATGCGGCCAAAGCTGTCCTGGAGCTTACCGTGGACTGGCGAACCGGGGAGGAAGACCCGAACGCATCGATGATCCAGGTTTTCAAACCGGACTCTGAAGGAAAGGTAAGGTTTTGCCAATCTCTTGCTGCATTGGCAGGCGTCTGACTTCATCCGTGCAGCCAAAGATTCTCTGTTTCCTTTATTACAACGGGTCGGAAGCTGAAGGTCGACATCACTTCCGGCGACTACTCGAAATTGGTGCGTAATCATGTTCGTGACTTGGATAGCTCACTTCTAACCTACATAGGCCCAATAACGGATGACACGGCGGATATTCCGTACGCAAAGACAGGGGAGATGATGGTACGTGCGCTCATGACTTATTCTTGTGGGCCGTGTTGCACAGGTTACGATGACCTTCAGAATTTCCTCTTCCCTCCAGGGCGTGGGGTCTACCAAAAGGGCATCCCTCAGCGTCGGCCAGATGTCAACTCCACCCTCGAGGTCATAGATCGTCTTGCCGATGCATCCCATCCCGGTGGCCCGTCCCCCCTTGTCGTCTGCGAGTACTTCCCGCTTCAAAGGATCCTCGCCTCTGACCCGAACGACGAAACTTCGTGCCTCCGCCGGGATACGAGCATCGTCGGGATATACGCATTCTGGGACGAGCTTACGGCGGAGAACTTCAACAAAGGTCAAGCTATTGTCCGCGACATAGCGACGATCGTCCAGAAATCTCATTCATACCTGGCTGAGCCCGATGAAAGAGGGGAGAGGGGGCAGCCAGACGACAAGGCGAGAGCGACATTTGGGGCGAAGTACCCGAAGTTGCAGCATATAAAGAAAAAGTACGACCCCGAAAACATATTCAATAGATGGTGCCCTATCACACCTGCGTAGACCCGCCGTCGCTGTTGTACACATTGCTATCGATACATCGCTAATATACAAGTAAATCTCGAATGGCGCTGTTCCCCCTCGAGAGGTCGCGCAGCATGACAAGGAACCCCGGCTTTTTGGACAACGTACGCCATTCGTCACCTGCGAGGACGATCCTCCGTAGCGATGGAAAATTCTCCTTGGTGAAGATGCCTAAGTGCAAGCGGAAGTGGGTCCAAACCATTTGCCCTTCACCAATGAGCTGGTCCGCGGCGCCGTGAAGCCCCACCACCTCCAAGGCGTCATGGCGAAGGTCTGGGTCAGGAGGAGTCGTGAAGAAGACATGGTAATTGAATTCTCGAATATTTGGGCACGCGCGAAGGCAGGGTGTCACCATGTCGGTCATGACGAAGCGGGCGTGCGCGCCGAACTCGACCGTAGTGAGCTGTTGTCCGAAGGTGTCCCAAAGAGCGCGCACATCTGCACCAACAAGAGGTGAATCCAAGACGATGTGACGGAGCTGGGGTAGTGACCATCGCGTGCAAAGCTTGTTCATGAGGAGCCCATTGATGACGTTCAATCGCAGCGTCACCAGGTGAGGTAGGACGAGCTCAGGCGGCTGCATTCCAGCCGGACTGAGCCCCATAATGCCACCGATGAACAGATACCTTGCGGTAGAGATAAGCTGGGCTTAAAAGCACGAGGGCAAGCGGGTGCTACACACCGTAGGCCGGGGGCATGCGAGAGCACATTGCCCAGCGAGTTGAGGCCACCGGATCTCTCCGCCTCGCTATTCCCCCACCAGTCTAATCGGCGGAGCGTATGGAACGGCACCATATCTGCTTCGAATTCGAAACCGATGGGCCCGGAGGTGGCGTACCGCGGGCGGACGAGGACCTCGACACGGGGGCAGCGCCTGAGTATCTCTACCGCCTGCAGAGGCGCCGAGCTACGCGTGATTGTCGAGGTGTATGGGAGGACGACGCGTCGGACCTGTTCGATGGTTAGTGAACCATATGGTGATCGACAGTATACTGTGTTGGCGTACCCATTGACCATACCCTTCAGGGCCTCCGCAAGGACTCTCGCACAGCGCGTCCCTCAGAGCATGCGCACTCGAGGGAAGTATGTGCACATCACGATAGAGGATGGCGATTGTAAGTGCGCGCCACTGTCGACAGACGAGGCTGACCGCGGCCTTGGTACGAACGTGCATGCGATCATCGTGGAGGGCTTGGAATGGGGTGTATTCATCCGAGGATACATCCTGGCATGTGGGGGACGAGAAACACCATTCAAAGATCTCGAGCCAGAGTTCGGGAGGGAGAGGCCCAGAATGCGTCATCAGCGAAGGAGACAAGCGCGTCAATACCGATCGGGGATATCATCATGTTGGACTTCGACCATCACTTGGACACGGTCTCCTCGAACTTGGACTTCTATGCGTCGTTTGAAGACTCTCTTCCATCTGTGGACGCCTCTGAGATGAATACATCGCTGCATACAGCCGATGTACTCGCCTTTGAGCGCTCATATTATCAGACTTTGGTGGCGTGCTTCATTTCCGCTCGCCATAAAATAAGGTACGAGAAGTTCGATGGTTCGTGCAGTCCATGCGATCCTTGCTCCCGCGTCTAATCCTTGGGTCCCCTGCTTCGCGTGTTTCCCGCATGATCTACCATACGCCCGGACGAGCGCCAACGCGGGTCCACCCCTCGGTGATCCGCAAAGTCAGAAACAGCTGTATCACCTTGCTCGACAGCTACACGCTTCCCTTGTACGGAGCGGTCCGACTTCCTGGAGATCTATGATTCATCTCCCTCCCGTCTCCAGCAGCCGCCCGACCATCCCAGTTGCTAACTCACTTGCCTACCACCCATCCTCCGTCGGCCCTCGTTTACCTCCGAACCTACGCCGCTTCCTCGCCCGAGGCGCGTGGCAAGTCTCTTTGCGCGTGGACTCGACGCGCTCATGTGCTCTATAGCATGGAAACACTCTGATAGGACCTATCGTGTATCGAAGGGCCATATCACGACATGGGGCATACTCCGGTCGTATCAGGCTGCTGAACGGCCTCGGGCTCGAAGCACGGCATCACTACATCCGCGTATAAAAGCCAAGCCAAGCGTTCCGTTGTCTCCAGCTCTTGAGCCCTCTCACCGGTCGCACTAGCAAGGATGTTCTCCGCTTCTACCAAGGCTGCGCTCGCGTCCGTCGTCCTTTCGGCGCTTGCTGTATCTGCGACCCAGTCTGTGTCGCTCAAGGTCGCTGGTAAGTCTTACTTTGACGCGTCGCGTGCCTTTCTCTTGGCTGACTTGCTGCAGGCCCCTCGGACGTCACCGACGTCGAGAACCTCAAGGTCACGACCACGATCACGAACACGGGCGATGAGACGCTCAAGCTCTTCAACGACCCCAACTCCGCGTTGAGCACGATGCCGGCGAACACCTTCGCCATCAGCAACTCCGCTGGCGCGGTCCCGCAGTTCACTGGCATTAAGGCCAAGTACTCGATGGACACTGTCGTTGCGAAGAACATCAGTGACTTCACCGTCCTTGCTCCAGGCGAGTCCGTTGAGAAGGTTCACGACTGTAAGTATATATCGCACCTTGGTGAATACCAATCAGCTCATCGACATTTCCAGTGGCCGCTGCGTACAACTTCACCCTCTCGGGCGAGGATGCCTACACCTTCGAGGCCTCCAAGTCCTTCTTCCACCTCGCCGACGATGGCTCCATCGTCCCCATCGAGGCCGAGGCGGAGGCACACACCGCAAAGCTCGCCGGCAAGCTCGTCCTCCCCCGCAACACGATCTCCAAGCGCGCCAGCTACAAGGGTTGCTCCTCCTCGCAGCAGTCGCAGATCCAGAGCGCGATCTCCGCCGCGACGACGTACGCCGCCAACGCGTACAGCTACCTCTCCTCGCACACGAGCGCGACGACGCGCTACACGACCTGGTTCGGCACGTACTCGTCGAGCCGCCATAGCACCGTGCTCTCGCACTTCCAGCACCTGCACGAGGGCGACTACAGCAGCTTCACGTACGACTGCACGTGCACGAAGGCGGACACGTACGCGTTCGTCTACGCGGATGACTACGGCACCATCCATCTCTGCCCGGTCTTCTGGCAGGTCAGCACGACTGGCACGGACTCGCAGGGCGGCACGCTCATTCACGAGTCCACTCACTTCACCAAGGTATGTTCCCTTGCCGCAGAAACTTGTGCAGGCGCTTATGTCTACCTCAGAACGGTGGTACCGACGACATCGTCTACGGCCAGAGCTCTGCCAAGTCGCTCGCGAAGAGCAGCCCGAGCCAGGCTGTCCAGAACGCCGACAGCCACGAGTACTTCGCGGAGAACAACCCTGCGCTGTCGTAAATGATTTCATGACTTTACGAACTATGTACACTGTATACTGGTGTAGAGTATGTATCACTGGGGAGCGTTGAATCACAGTCTTGGGCTGAAACTGAAGAGATGAATGCGGCAGAGAGAACGTGTTGCCACAAATAACACCGTCGAGCTAGAAAAGATTGCCATTCTCGTCATGAGCGTGCATTCCATGGATTCCATATCCTGCATATTTCCTGGATATGCCATCATCACTACTAGTACTTGGGACAGCCCCAACGTACAACAAAAATCGTGCATGATGAGTGAGTACATAGTCTGATCATGAACAGGGGGATTTAGAGGGCGTCCAGTGCTTGGGAAGCAGTGGGACACCCTCGCCCATAACTCGTGCAGTGTATCCGACGGGTAGCGGTGCTCTGCCCAGCCCTAGGCCTCAGACGCTGTCGGAGAAATAATAGCCTCCAGCTACGAGGGGAGCTGGAAGAGCGCCGACGGCTGTGCCCGGACCGGGGAGCCGAAGCGGTGTTGGGAGACCGGAGAAGGACGAATTCTCACAACCTGGTTTCGCCACAACGGCGACCACGACGAGGACGAGGACAACATCTAGCAGCCTCCTCCCGCCCCCATAACTTATATATTCCCCCACCATGGCCATTCTTCGCCCAGCGACGCCGGGCTTCATCGTCACGCTCGTCGCCACGATCCTGCTCGCGATCGTCTCCTTCTGTGTCCCCTACTTCAAATCCGTGTACTTTTTGAAGGCCTCCATGACCGTCGACAACTATAGTGGGAGCATCACGTTTGGCACGCTTGGTTACTGCCTGGAACTGTCGAATGGCACATCATGTTCGAAGCCGTCAGTCGGCTACGAGATCGGTGAGTGCAGCGTCGGCATTCGTCCGCAAGCGACAATTTACACTACCTAGACATCAACTCCCTTGTCGGTAATAAGCTCCCCATCGAGATCCCCACAGTTGTGGTCAAGTGGATCACATACGCGCTCGTTCTCCATATCGTCGCGCTCGCCCTAGCAGCGGGCAGCGCCCTGTTCGGCCTCCTCGCCCACGTCCGCGAGATGTCCATGACGTGCTGCAGCACCTGCGTCTCCGGTTTCGCAGCCACCATTGCCCTCCTCGCCTTCATCTTTGACCTCGTCCTCTTCTTCGTTGCCAAGTCGCGCATTAACGACGTAGGCAAGGCCGAGATGGGGAACGCTATATGGCTCACACTCGCGGCCTGGGTCCTCCTCTTCTTCAGCGGCTGCTTCTACTCCATCGGACGCTGCTGCATCTCCAAGCGCCGCCCGCGCGACAAGTGGGACAAGCCCTCGAACCGGAATGACCCCGAGGAGCAGCACCGCCTCGATGCTGTCAAGGCGGAGGCGGACCGTAAGGCGGCGCAGAAGGAAAGCGGCCTCCCTGCGTTCCACGAAACGCAGCCTCTGACCGCTCGTGTGGATGGTGATCAGGTGTATGTCGACGACGACTCGCCTACTGAAGCGCACAAGACCGGCGGCAGCTACGCGTCTGGATACGTGCAGGGCGCTCATGGAACGCGCGCTGTTGATGATTACTACAACCAGCCCGCTGTGAACCAGTACCCGCCCCAGAAGCAGCCTCGCCGGCAGGGCAGCGCTAGCACCTATGCCACCTCATCAGGCTACACCACCGGCGCACCGATGACTACGTCGCCGCCGCCGATGCCAGGTAATGCTGCTGCAGCGGTGGCTGCGTACAACGCCGCGCCGTCATCTGGCTCGCGCAGCCAGTATCAGGGATCGCAGTACTCACACGACCAGTACGGCGCCCACCCGGGTCAGGAATACGGTCACGCCGCAGGTGGCACGACGTGTGAGTTTTCGTCATCAACCTCTGGCTTCTTAAACTTACAGAATCAATAGACCACTCCACGGCTTCGCATCAACAGTACGCATCCGCGTACTCCTACAATGACCCATACGGGCAGCAGCAAGCAGACCCCTATGGTCAGCAGCAACAATCGTACGGCCAACCACAGGCCAACCCTTACGTCCAGCAGCAATCCAGCCCCTACGAGCAACCACAAGCCAACCCTTACGTTGCCCAGCACCAGCCTGAGCGCAGCTACACCCTAGGTGGTGACAGTTATGGCGCCTCCAACACCTACAACAACAACGCTGCCTACAACACCAACGCCTACGCATCGACGCCCTCTCCCACCGGCTACGGCGCCAACAGCGTCCCGCCACTGCCGGACAGCATGAACCAGGCCTTCATTGGCGGCTACGGCGGCCCGCAGCACACGTCGCCGCCTGCATCGCCCATCCAGATGCCCTCGACGTCGCGCTCGCCGCCGCCCGCGCCGATGCAGCCGCACATGGGGTACTCCGTGATGAACCCCTCTGAAGGCAACGCGGGGCGCCCATTGTCGTACGAGGATGCGCCACCCGGGTACGACCAGGGGCCTGCGCAGCCGGCGGGGCAGTGGAATACCAAGCGCTAGGCCTCAGTGGGGAATGGTAGTAATGTATGACCACACTCGTCCTTCGTTCTCTTGCTTCACAGACTTTTCTCTTCCATAACCTATATAGCGATACGACGACCCGTTTGCTTGTACACCTTCGACTCCTGCCCTCGTCTGTATGAAGACAGAGCCCTCTCGTCCTTGTATAACGACAGACCCGCGTACCATATCGATATCGCTGCCTATTTATGACTTGCGGACTGCAGACGTAGTACATACAGCCATCTCTTCCTGACCGAATGTGACGACCAGTGTCTGTACGTAGGCACGACGCGAATCAATTGGCTTCTGTGATCAACCATGGACTAGCGAGAAAGAAAAAAGGCAGCAAGAAATTGCTCTCGATTTTTTGGACACTCTCGCGCCATACAGGTTCACTACCCACTTCACTACAGCGTCAACTCCTCTAACCTATACAGCCCCACGCCCGCCGACGCCGCCTCATGCGCCGCGCGCCTCCTCTGCCGCCAATCGCCCTGCGGCTCCTTCTGCCCCTTCCCCTTCACCAGTCTCTCCTTCTCCCTTTCCTTCGCCTCCTGCGCCCTTACAAACGGCTCCAGCGGGCCCCTCAACGCGCCCACCTCGTCCAGAAACTCGATCTCGGGTGCAACCTGGGCTGCCAACTTGCGCAGCGCCTTCCCCGCGGGCGCGTGCTGCAAGAGGACGGGCACGTACGTCGCGTCGAGCAGCGCGGTGAGGAAGCGGAGGAGCGAGGGGAGGTCGGGGAGGAGGGTGGCAGAGGTGGAGGTGAGTGCGGATTTTTGCTTGCGCTTGGCCTTGCTGGGCGCGGGGGCGAGGCCGGCGGAGCGCATGCCGGCGTGGCGGGCGAGCCAGCCCTGCAGAACGTCGAGTGTGGCGAGGACGGCGGGTGCGTCGGCGAGGGCGCGGCGGATGGCGACGCGGAGGGCGGATTGGGAAGAGGTGTAGGCGACGCAGAGGGCGAGGAAGGTGGGAAGGGTGGGGGTGTCGGGGGTGGTGGTGGTGGGGGTGTCGACCTGCATGGCGTTGGCGTCGGGGGCGGCGGGCTTGAGGGCTATGACGTGGGCAAGGGCCTCGATGAGCTCGGTCTCGGGGATGTCGCGGACCCGGACATTTTCGAGGGCGAGTTGGATAGAGGCCTATGTGGGCGTCAGTACCCAGCATTACTATCAAGGAGCGATATTCCTTACCCAGTCATTCCGCTTCCTCAGAGCTGTCAACAGTGCGGACCCTTCCACCATGCCTGCGCTCACCGCGCCTGCCTCTATGAGGCGCTTCACAATCTCCGGCGAGTAGGATACATTACCCTGAGCCTCCGGACGCAAAACGCGGTTCAGCACATCGCGCACGAAGGCATGACCGAGCGCCGGCGGGAGGTCACCATCCTTCTCCGCCTCGTACCACTTCCTGAAGGCCTCATCGGCAGCCTGTGGCCTGTTGCCCGCGAGCGAGCTTTCGATGGTCTTCAGCAACTTCGCGCGCTTGGCGTCGTGGATGGGGACACCGGTAGACGTAGCATCTGCCAAAGCCAGCCATGCACGGCTGGCCTCCGCACGGCCCATAGCGTGCGCAATGGTCGACGTCGGCGGGCATGTGTACGGGACAACGTACACCGTCGAGCGCGAGGACGTCGACACTGCCGAGGGCGAGAGCACCAGGACGGCCTGCGAAGCGCCAGCCGGTGATAGCGACACATTGATCTTCTTCTCATCGGCGAGCGCCGAGGGCAACGAGATCGTCTGCGAAGCCAGCAGCACCGAGAACGAGAGGTCCCAAATGTGAAGCACGACCTCTCGCGATGGTTGTGAGGTGGCGGCAAGGAGGACGTGTGAGGAGCTGAGGGCAACGAGGGAGATTTCGCGGTCTTGGGACGACTTTGAAATGGTGGCGCCGATGAAGGAGAGGGCGCGGAGTTTGAGGGTGTCGAGAGACTTCAGGCAGGGTTCCGAGGAACAGGAGATCTGGTATGCGTGCCAGGTTCCGTCTCGAGCTCGAAAAAAAGTCAGCTCAGTCATTGCGAAGACCTTCAACCCACTCACCTAGTATTGTCAAGAAACCAGTCGGGCCAATAGAGCATGATGCAATATTCTACGAAGGATTAGATCGACAAGATAGCGACGAAAGAGCAACTTACTGCAGGCGCTACGGATACTTCTAAGTCGGCGACATCTGCGATGTCCCCGTCATTGCGGACTGCAAGAATACGGGCGCGCGTCGCAGCACCGTCTCCCTCCAAGCACACCGCGATGGCATCGTTCTCATGCCTGACCTGAGATGGGACAAAGCCACACGACTTCGAGGGGAAGAGGGAAGCCTGCACCAGCGTCCGACGCTGACTTGGTGGATTCCGCGTTGTTCTGATCTTCAAGTCATTGTCGAGGAGCGAGAGATGACCGCTAGGTGACCATGCAAAGAGTGTCGAGGGGCACTCCTCGATGACGTGGAGGGTAGAGACGAGATGCGGCACCTGAAGGCTTGCATGTGAGCGGATGAGCGATTGGTGGTTCAAAGATTGTGGGACTCACCGTAGCAGATAGCTTCGTGCTGGAGGAGGATGCATCAGGGATGGAGCCAGACAGGTCGTCTTCCCATTTCCATATCGTGCGCCCGCCTTCATCCGCGGATATGTCGCTAGAGGCAGCTACCACAGTGTATGTCGAGCACGTCCCCTCTGCACATCGCGCGACAGAAGGTCCAGCAAAGAGCGTAGAGGGCCCGAAGGTATGTGATGTCACTGGATGTATCTCTGATACCTGCGAGGACTGAGTATACGAACAAGTCGCCCTCGGTGAGTACGCACATCAAGTGTATGAATCCCATCCCCCTGTCCTGTCGCGGTCACGTATCCGTCGCGCGGGCCGGGAGTGTACGTTGCGTAGACATGGGGGAGAGCCTGCCGTTGCTTTCCCTTGGATGGCTTTTGCTGTGAGGCGTAGGTGGCGAGCACGAAGGGGTCCCCTATCGACGCGTCCATCGCGTTTAGAACAACCTGCACAAAATCCCGATCGCGATCGGCGGCCCGCATCCCGGTCAGATGCGACCAGCGTCCACACCGACGCTGGTCGTCCTTGGCCTGCTGTAGCTCGAATGCTGGATTCAGCTCAATACACGGCCGTTGTCGACGGTAGATAAATTAGCAAGCAAATTAGACAAACAAAAAAAATTAGAGAACATCGCCGTTCAAAGCATTAAAAATGAGTCGGCCCAGGTTCGAACTGAGGACCTTCTGTGTGTTAGACAGATGCGATAACCAACTACGCCACCGACCCGATGGACGTCCTTGCGTCGTTGCCTTGCCGGGCCGGCGCAGGACACGAATTACCTTGCTTGCAAGGTCTCTCCCCGTCCTTATTGAAGCCTGATTTTTTGCAGGCACAATCAAAAGGTCAATAGCGCTCAATAAATGACCGAATGCCCAGTGCTAGAGCCGCAAGCAAGGTCGAGAACCGGCGTAGCCGGAGCTTCCTCTAGTCGGAAACCGGGCAAAAGAGCAGACTTCAAAGCGAGGTCGTCTCACCTTTGACGGCACACCAACGACACACTCCAACGTCGACGAAAGCAAGTGTCAAAGCGACACGAAAGTGGTTACCTAGTGTATAGAAAGTGAGTACGAAAGGCGGGCGAACCGCCAGGACTACGCTAATCGTAGAACATAAGGGCGTATGATACACTGCAAGAACTGCTCCGATACATACATGCATAGCGAGGGAAAGCGAATGAACTATCCATGATGCTGACCTGACGGTTGGTCTTCCCCTGTCACTGAGGTGGTTTGCCTGTCGTGGCCCTGCCCCCCATCTCCCGCTGCTTCTCCCGCGTCCGTACCGCCAACGTCCGGCCCTTTCCCCTCCCCGTCCGACTCCCCATACTCCAGCTCCTCTTCGTCGACCCCCACCGGTGCGGTCGCCTCTGCCAACTCTGTAGGCGGTACCTCGCTGTCATCCAGGGGTGGCGCGGAAGGCCGCAGCGATGCTTCTGGCCCTATAAGCACCTCGCCTTCCTCGCCCACATCCTCGAACAGAGGTGGCGCGCTGGGAAGTACCGAGGGACCCTCCCGCGCATCCGGAAGCTCAGCCCCAAAGTCAAACGGCGGCGCGCTGGGCCCGGGTGCCGGCATCGCGTCCAGGAAGACGTCGTGATACTCATAGTCCTGGGAGTCCATGAGCGCCGCCATCTGCCCCTTCGATGGCGGGTCGGGGAAAGCGCCCCCTGATCCCTCGGCAGCCCTGTACGAATCTGGGCTATCACGCCCTCCCGCGGGTTCCATGACGTCTGCGAGGTTCTCGAGTTCTTCGTCTACCCAGAGTGGCGCGCTGTACGGGGACGGCTCGGCCCGCTGGGCTGTCGCGGGAGGCGCGCTGGCCTGACGGGCGAGCTGCGCTAGGAGCGCCTTGTCGTCCGTAGCGACGTGGGCCGCATGCAGGGGGTTATAGTGCGAGCTGGACTCGCCGAAAGGGCTCGGTGGCGCAAGGTTGGACGGTTCATGAGTGTAGGCATGATCCTGCGACAAGACCGGCGATTTGACGTCGGAAGGGCCGCTGTCAAATTCATCGGACGTAGTGGAGATTGAGGGAGGCGGGGTGCGGCGACGGTATGCAGGGGGCAGTGCGAGCGCATCAGGTTGATGGGAAGGAAGAGGGGGAGGAGGCTGCAGGTCTACAGCAGTAGTCTGGGCTTCAGCTACCACGGAGTTGCCGTCCGATTGTATAGCTGAAGATCTGGAAGATGTCGTTGAGGTGCGGAGGGAAGACGGCGATTGCGAACGCGATCGTGGCGCCTCGTCGTCCGAGGGGGTAGAATGTGCCGTGGCGGAATTAGCGTGCAGGGCCCTGAGCACCTTCCGGCTACGTCGATATCGAGCTGAGGACCGTGCGTTGGCTTTCCAGCGAGATATGAGCCGTGTTATAGTCCGTTGCTTGACTTCAGCTTCCTGGCGTGCAGCGAGTGCTTCTTCCTCCTCTGGATCACGCCGTCGCCGTCGAAGCTTCATCTCCATGTCCTTTTCTCGCCCCTTTCGCCTGCTCCCCCGTCGCCAGAATATGCATCCTATCATGAAGACGCAGACACAGATGGCAAGAGCAAGGGATAGTGCGAGGATGAGGGTCGTCCTGCTCGATGACGCGCGTGCGGTTGGCTTCCAGCCATTCGGTAGGGTGTCCAGCAGATGGGTTGATGCCTCTGCCATGTCGGCCGATGATACTGCTGAGGACGTGGCAGATGCTGTGGAGGACGATGTGGGTGATACGGAAAACTTCGTGTCGTCGTCGAGATATGTGCTGGTAGCCGAAGAACAGCTCTGCGGGGCGTGTAAGACTTTTCTAGCGCATGACGATAGCGAGCGCGCGGACGCACCCCTCCGCCGTGAAGCGAGTAATCGACCTTTCTCCACACCCCGTCTTCGCCCTCCTCGTACTTGTCTGGGATCTTGCGGTCGACTTTTCGCTTGCTGCTGCTGCTGCGCTTGCGGTGGGGTGTGATGGGTGCGGTGCTGCTGGTCGCGCACTCGTCTGTGCCCAACCCGGGGCAGAGGAAGGAGGGGGGAGTCGGGCTTCCGTGTGCGCCGTTTGCGGAGGCGACGGCGGCTAGCAACGATAGTAGCCCCGTGGATGGTGCGGGCAGGCGCGATGGTGTATTTGCCGATAATGGCCGCCTGGTGCGGCGTCGCCCTCTGCGAGAAGCGGTCGGTGAGGAGAAACCCTCGTCGGGCATAATAAAGCTGGGCGCTGGCTCAGGCTGGGCTCAGGATTTGCTTGGCCCACGAGCAGGTCGATCAAGCACGGGACGTGTGATGACGGAGCGAATACAAGAGTGTCGCGCGCCAAGACGGGACGGGGTGGAATGTTGGAGGGGGGGGGGGGGGGGGTCGAGGTCAGCGTTCGAGGAAAGAGGCGCCGAAGCGAAGGAGGAACCGGTCCTGGAAGACTCAACAAGGCAACTTGCGCCAACGAGTGCACGCCCTGAAACTGTTGCGATCTGTTTGTTCTCTCGGCCCTATAATTACAGTCCCAACGCTATAATTGTACACTCAGACCCTGCCCCCGTCGGACCACCCGGACCTCCCGGGTCTCAGACCAGCAGCCGACACCGTCGTCGCTCCTCCTGCCGTGCTGCTGCACGCTCCCAGAGCGGCCCTGCGTCCGCCGCCGTCCGCCGCCGCGCCAGCACGTCCTCAGTGCCTGTTATGTACAGCAGCTTGTACGACGGCAGCGTAACCCGAATCGCCATGTCCGTCTCAGCGTACACCCGCCCCGCCTCCTCCTCGTGCAGTGACCTGCCGATGATAATGATCAGCAGCCGTCCGTGCGTTCCATTTTCCGGCCGTATATTTGGGGAAATTTCACACCTTTTTAGAAATACGCGGGGGGCCCCCTCGCTCTCCCGCGGGGCGTACTCGGTGCGGTGCCTCAGCACATACGAGTTCACGTACTCCCGCCACCGGCTCGTGCCACCGTTCCCGTCTACGCTCGCGTCATCCGAGCCCATGAGCTGGACTTGCAGTGTCTGCGTAGCGCGTACCTATCGCGGTCGTCCATCATTACCAATGTCCGCTAATCTTAGGAGTTACTCACCCAGCGAATGCGGTATAGGTGGTCGTCCTGGCTGACATGCAACTCCGCTTCTCTCCGGTAGCGAATCGTGTCCTGGATCGATATCCTCTCCGAGCTCTGGACGCTCTGCAGCAGTGACCAGAGCTCTTGACAGCGATGATCCTGGACGACCGTCTGCACCTAAAATTGGGCAGGCGTCAGCCCACATTAACTATATCTAGGTTCGGCCACACTCGCCTGCTTGATTAGCGCTGCGATGAGCTTGTCGAGGGTGAACAGCTGATACGCCTGCAAGTTCCGTTCTTAGGACGTAAAGGTCAACTATAGCTTTACTAGGCGCACCTTGAAACCAAAGAACCAACGCATGTGTTCCTCGAATGTCGCGTTATCCAGGCTATCCTTGTCCTGCGTCCTCTTGTCGTTGGAGAAAGACTTCTCGGCGGCGTCGAGCAAGTACATGTACATCATGTCGCGCTCGTCGCTGATGCCACGCTCGGCCAGCGCCTCACGAGTCTGCGCCAGCAAAGCGGGAGGGCCGTTGGGCTCGTCCAATCCCAGCTGAACAGCAACGGGATTTGCCAGAAGGGACTTAAAGTTCTCCGCCGCATGCCGCCGACTCGTCTGCTTGCTCGTCAACAGCCGGGCGTACAGCTCCTAAAGGTGATGGTGGATCAGATTTTCCTGCCCCTCTTCTAGTCAATCGATAATAACGGACCTGCAGCAAGCGAAGGAGCAGATAGAACGTCGTGTTGGCGAAGAAGGGCCGGTCAACGTCAGCGCCGTACGCGATGTTGTCCACGGGATTCATTGTCGTCGGGTCTCTGATCCAGACATCCGGCAGGCGGACTTCATCTTCCTGGCCAGCCGCTTTTGAGGCACTCGGCGCTGGTGAAGACGCACGAGAGTGGCTGGGTGAAGCCGCGGCGCCGTTCATCTCCTCCTCGCGTTCTTGCGCCGCCCGTATTAACCGCCGCCGTAGGTCGCCCGGTGGCACCCCCTGGTGCGAGGTATGGCTTCCGGTCGAGCGGCGACCACTGCGACCGTGGTGCTCGCCATGGCCGTTCATCTCGTGCTCGTCCTCGTAGGCGTCGAACGGCCCACATGCCGCGTTGAACTCTTGTGCGTTAAAGCCGCAGAGCACGGGGATAAAGGCGCGGAGGAACTTCTCGATGGCGCGCCGCTCGTGGAGGTTATACTGGCCTGGGCTATGGTCCAGGAACGAGTAGACGAGCTTAAGGGAATCTTGCAAGACCGCGGTGTCCTCGAACTGGTACTCGAGCTGGACCCCGATGGACCCACGCGAGCACACGGGCACCGCCTTCTCCTTGCCCTTGCCGATCTGCTCCTCCAACTGCTTAACCTGAGCCTTCCGCGCGTCGATGATCTCCCCGACAAAGTGCTTCTGCGTGATATTCTTCTTGTCGTTGTTCTTGAACGCCGGGCCCATATGGTCGATCGAGCGATAAAAGTTGGCGGAGTCTACGGCCTTCCACGTCCGTGCGTATTCCCGCTGCAAACGCCGCCACTCTTCGTCCTTCTGCTTCAATCGTGCGAGAACGACCGGGATGGCGACTGCCGGCGACTCCTGCATGGACACGAGGATCTCCTGCCCGCTGTCCCGACCGTACACCTTCTTGATGATGCGCTGGTAGATGCTCTTGCTCGGGCCTCCAAAGTCGGCATCGAGCTTGAAGTTGGCGCGCTCCTCGTGTGTCATGTCCTCAATGCGCGCATTGAGGGGGTCGAGGACGGCGATGGTCCGACGGAGGGCCTCGATGTGGACATGGTATTCGTGGCGCTCTTCCTCGCTCTTGTGCAGCGCCTCCTCGAACGAGTTCTTCTTGTGCGCGACGAAGCCCGCCTCCTCGGATGCCCATGTGGGGTGGGACACCCATTCATCGTTTAGCAGGGATCGACAGTGTTCGTCGCGTCCCGAACATGCAAGGTATATTTCCTAACGCGGAGGTCAGCACGTGGGCAATAGAGCATGAATGACCGTGACATACGCTGTCAGGAAGGCGCCTGTAGCTCGGACCCTGTCCATCATCTGTGGGTTGCGCCAATAACGCCTCGGGAGGACCCATGCGAAGGCTGCCTGGAGGTCCGTATTCGATGCTCTCGCGCCGTTCATCATAGCCAAGAAGCTCCTTGAACTCTGCCAGGAGATCGCCGTCGCCGAGGAACACCTTCGCCCTGTCAATGAGGTCTTTGACGCCGAAGATGTCCTTGGAGAAAAGCGTGAGGGTCTTCAAGAAGTCCTCGTACATCTCGCGACTCTCGAGGGCCTTCTTCGCGTGATCGAAGAACATAAGCTTGCCCTCGGGCGTCCGACCGTCTTGTAGGAGGATGGTTTGCTGCAGGTTTTGCATGGCGTAAGCCGGCTGAGACGTTGAGGGCTGGGCCTGAGACGGAGGAGGAGATGGTACAGTGGCGTAGGAGAAGGTAGGAGACGCGGGATCGGGCACATGGCGATGTTTAGGTTTCTTGTTCGCCTATACATGGTAAGTAACAAGTCTTTGAGGGGCACTGCGCACGCACCTTGGCGGGCGGAGCCTTCGCTGGTGCCGGGCCCGGGGATGCTTCTTTTTCTACAGGGCGTTTCTTGCGTTTGGGCGCCTGCTTCTTCTGTTGAGGTTTGTCTGCAATGGCGGAGAGTGATTCGGGGTTCGTCCACGCGGGGTCGTCATTCACGAGGCCTGTTTGACCGCCGCCTGGTACACCGGGGAGGCCCGTGGGGAGAAAGTCGTTGAACTCATGCAAAAGCTCGGGCGCGTCGTGGAAAAGGTCGTGCACTTGTTGTAGTACCTGAAAGTGAAATCAGCTAGGCGCTTATGCGACATGTGCGCCACACACCTCTTGCTGCATATACCGCTGCTTCTGACACGCCTGTAGAACGTCCAAGAAGAGTTTGTAGTGATGGTCCCCCTCGTAGCGCATTTTGATCTTGTTCAAGAAGTCAATGGCGCGCTGAAATTCTTCCTTGGGCATCTGCGGTTGGGCGCCGTTGCCCAAGTTTCCGAGCATGGTAGCTGCAGCGTTGGTCTGCTGGGACGCCGCGGCGGCAATGCCGGGAGAAAACATGGCGGGGTCGACGGGGAGGCCCCCCGGGGGCGCACCTCCAGGGAAGCCGTGCGGGGTCATTGAGCGCGAGCTGGGCCCGCCATTGACGGAATTGCGCATGGGAGCGAACCCTGATGAGACGAGACCGGACATAGGGGGCGCGGGCATGCCAGGTTGTTCGCGGGACTGAATGCGATGAGTGCGTCCTGGAAAAGCGCTGTGCGTTGTTACACCCGAAGGTGTTGTGACCGTGATGAGATTGGGATCGCGGGGGTCCGACGAAGGGTCGATCCGGTAGCCGTAGGGGAGAAAGGTGTTGAAGCCGGTAATCAGGTTGGGGTGGCCGTAGAAGAGTTCGGACACGCGCTGAATCACGCCGGGGGTGTCGATACTGTAACGGGAATGATCAGAAATGTTAATCGGGGCGCGAATAACAAGGCACGCACACTGAGCTCTTGAAGTCCTTCATAATGTCCAGGAACTTGTTGTACACCTCCGGCTTGTCGTGGAACTGGTTCTTGACCGCGTCGAGATAGCCGAGGGCGTCGGTGACGTTGAGAGCGCGCTCGCCGCCCGCCACTGCGGTGACTGCCGCTGGGGTGGCGGGCGCGGGGGGTGGGGCGTTTGTTGGCGCTGTGTCGGCGGTCCTGGACCGGGGAGTTGGTGGCTTTGACGCGGGGCGCATCATATTTGGCGTGCCCGGGGCAGTATGAGCGCTGGGCTGAGCGAGCGGGGTGGGATCGCGACGGGTGGAGGGCGTCTGCTTGGGCGGGGAATCGGGGCGCGTATGCATTCTGGAAGACGGCAACGGGGGAAAGCCGGGCCCAAAGTCGGCGACAGGCTTGCGCTGGGCAAGCTGTGCTTGTATCTGCTCTGCGTCGACGGGGTCCATGGCGAACGACAAGCAGACAACCAGCCAGGCTCGAAAACCCGGAGGACCGGCCCGTTCTCACGACATGGCGTGCGTTTGTGGCGCCGGCAGATAGCCCGGACACGTGGCCCGTCGGCGTCCACACCTGCCATTTGACGGACGTGTTCCGCCCCGCCATTGTCCTCGACGTCGTTAATCATGGCGAGCACGGCAGTGAAGACGGTGGGAGCGACCGAACCCGATGAATGACCCATGCTCACAAGATACATAGGCGTCTACAACGCTACAGGAGGCACAGACCCAGGCCCTGCTCACTTTGCTCAATCTCAACAACCCGCCCGAGCCCACTCAGTCCACCCCAGGCAGCGCGTCAAAGGGGACAATTACACCCTCTACTGGCCCCCCGGTATGGAAGATCCTCGTCCTCGATCAGCACACCCAGGACGTACTCGCAACCGTCCTGCGCGTCACCGATCTACGCGACGCGGGCGTAACGCTCCATGTGTACGTCTCGCGTTTATCTCTATAGACGCGTCTGATCTTGCATAGGCAATTACACTCAGCGCGGCCTGCACTACCAGACGTACCTGCTGTATACTTCGTATCGCCGACCCTCGCCAACATCAAGCGCATAGCAGAGGACCTGGACAAGTCGCTTTACGAGTCTTTCCATCTTAACTTTGTTGAGCCTCTGCCCCGCGCCTTGTTGGAGGAGCTGGCCGCCGAGGTAGCGCGGACAGGCACGGGAGATCTGGTTGAACAGGTGCTGTGGTATTGCTCATTCGATGGTCAGATGTATACTTACCATGAAATTGCAGGTCATTGACCAGTACCTGTCGTTCATCTGCCCCTCTCCTTCACTATTCTCGCTACTTCCTCCCACCCCTCCTGCACCTTCTCAACAGCAACCCGCTCCGTCCACTTCATCCGTCCCTCCATCCACGTATGCGATCCTTAACTCGCCTGCATCGACCGAACAGCAGATTGAGGAGGAAATCGAACGTATAGCAAATGGCCTCTTCAGCGCGGTCGCGACGATGGGTAGGCTGCCTAACGCCGCTCATTTGTTTGTGCTGACACCCGGGCCAGGTCAGGTCCCGTACATACGCTCTCCCAAGGGGAATGCGGCCGAGATGGTGGCGAAGAAGCTCGAGACGAAAATCAGAGACGCCTTGCTAACCGCATCTCGCTCGCACGGCACCTCCACCTCCACCCTCTTCTCTCAAGAGACTAGCGGTCTCGCCAACCTTCAACGACCACGTACGCTCCTTCTCCTTGCTCCTCACCTCCAACTGACCCATCCCCCACCCAGTCCTGCTCATCCTCGACCGCAACGTCGACCTCGTCTCCATGCTCTCGCACGGCTGGACCTACCAAGCCCTCGTCTCCGACTGCCTCGAGTTCAAGCTCAATCGCGTCACCGTGCCCCCCGCCCCGCCCGCGCAGCCAACCAAGCGCTCGTACGACCTCGACAGCAAGGACTTCTTCTGGAAGCGCAACGCGGCGAATCCGTTCCCGCAGGTGGCGGAGGACATCGATGCGGAGCTGAACAAATACAAGCAGGACGCGGCGGAGATCACGAGGACGACGGGAGTGAGCGATATGAACGATATCTCGCAACTGTAAGTGGAAGGAGATGTGCTTTGGGGAGGATGGAGAGCTGATTGGCGGTATAGGGACCCGTCGTCGAATGCGGCGCATTTGAAGGCCGCGATCACCCAATTGCCGGAGTTGACGGCAAGGAAAGCGACGCTGGATACCCACATGAATATCGCGACGTCGTTGCTAGAGCAAATCAAAGTGCGAGGCTTGGACGAGTTGTTCAGCACGGAGGAGGCTATCAACAAGCAGGTATAGCTGGCCGTACCCCCAGAGAATGACTTTTGCTAATTGACTTCACTCTGACAGACCTTGAACACCATCTTGGAAACCCTTCGCAGTCAAAGACCAGACGGCAACTTCACCGCTGAGGACAAGCTTCGACTAGTCCTCGTCTTCTACTTGTCATCCCCCGACAACGCCCTTTCCAAAGATGACCTTGCGCAGCTCGAAAAGGAACTCAGCTCAGCAGGTGCCAACACTGCCGCACTCGACTACGTTCGGAGGACAAGAGAAATCCTGCAGATGACGAGCGGTGGTGGCTTCGGGTCTGCATCCGTGCAGTCCGATGCTGGCGCGCCTGGCGGTGAGCTCTTTAAGGGCTTGGGCTTTGGTGCACTTAGCAACAGGGTGCGTGTTTTGCGGTCGAATCTGCCATCCTCTTTTTACATCTTTGCTGCAGTTTACGGACCGCCTCGGTACCGGTGGCCTGGAGAACCTGATCTCTGGCGTCAAAAACTTTCTGCCCACCAACAAGCTTATGCCCGCTACCCGCCTCGTAGAAGCACTCATGGACTCTTCTGCCGCGTCGAATCAGTCTCTTCAAGAGACTGACGAGTACCTCTTCCTCGATCCCCGCGCGCCTAAGCACGCCGCACCTGCCGCCCGTGGCAGGAGAATGGCGTTCGCCGAAAGCATGGTCTTCGTCGTCGGAGGCGCAGGCTACGTCGAGTACGGCAACCTCGAGGAGTGGGCGACGCGCACTGGGAAGCGCGTAACGTACGGGGGAACGGAGATCGTCGACCCGACGGGCTTCGTGAGGATATTGGAGGCGCTGGGGAAGGAGACGTCGTGAGTTTGAGGTGCCAGCGATTTCCTTAGCTTCTTTTTGGACTTGGATAGAGGAATGCGATGGTGTTTCGGCTTGTGAATGGCTACAGGCGGATGTTTGCATGCCCGCGGAGGCTTTCTGAAAAGGCCTCGCGGAAGTAATTATGGTTGTTGCTCTCGGCTGGTCCTCGGGTTGTCTCCTGGGAAACGAGTCTGGTCCGGGTGTCGTCACTATGATAAGTTTTGGTGGGGGGCCCAATGTTCATTGTCTTTTGTCCTTATCCTCCTCCTCGTCCTAGACAGCCCAAGTCGCCCTGCCCGTCGCGTCCCCCATCCGCGCCGCCGATCGCTGATTGTCCTCGGCATTATCCGTTACGTACCGGTTATCAGACAAACCCTTCCTTCTTTGGATTGATCCAGAACCGGTTGACGAGAACACTCACGACGGCGCGCGCGCCTCCCACGGCGCCTCTCACGACCCCCACGACGACGACAGCGACGGCCCCGGCTACCTCCATGACGACCCAACATGTAGACGCGCTCTTCCCGCGGCACACCGGCACCTGGACAGAGTCCTCGAACCTGCACTGGTGGACGACGTCGGGCGGCTCCACCTTCCTGCCCTCGGGGTCGGAGGAGCCTGCGACGTCGACGGACGGGACCTCCACCTCGAGTGCCTATACCTCAGATCCCACCGACTCCTCTACGGGCGCGGGCGGCAGCGGCACACTCACGACGTTCACGAGCTCGATACCTATATCCACCATCACACAATCTAGCACGACGCTGACGTCCTTCTCTGACTCTGTGGTGTCTTCCTACATCTCCAACACGATATCCCCCTCCTTCACGTCCTCCAGCGGCGCATCCAACCCTACCGGTCGGTTGAATTCTGCGAACTCGATACCCGTGTGTGCGGGGGACGGCTTGGACGCGTCGTCGGACGGTATTTTGGCTTCCGTAGTGTTTTCTAGTGCGGTGGGCTTGTTGATCTGGGTGCGTGCTACGTTCGATGGAAAACGCGGAACTAAATTATTTGACAGCTCTTGTTCGCGATCCTCCGTCCACGCTTCCGCCAGGTTTATGGTTTGAGGGAATGGTTCCTTTCCCAAGAGTGCGTGGCGCAAACACTATACTCACCCACCCTCTAACATGCCCGCAGCCTACGACCAAAATCCCTCGGCTCAGGCTTCTTTGCGTTCCTCCACCCACCAGTCCCCCTTGTCCCGGACGTACCGGCAAACGTCGACGACGCTGGGAAATCGCTCAAAACAGACGCCGAACTCTTCCCCTCTGACGAGCAACTCTCCCAGCGCGTGATCTGGATCAGCTTTCTCATCGTCCTGGGATGGTCGATTCTGGCGCTCGCTGGTTGCCTGCCACTATACCTCGCTAGCACCCCGTGCCTAGCCGACTACTCACAGGCGCAATATGGTGGCGCGTACTCTACGCTGCAGGATCTCAGTCTCATGCGGCTCTTGCGCATGCTGGATCAGGGGGACGTGAGCATCAAGAACCTTCTCGTTACGCGAGCGGACGACTCCGACGATCGGTACAACGTTCGACCCAGGATCATCGTGCTCACGGTCCTTGTTATCGTGCTTGCACTCCTCCCTGCCCTGTGGAAGATCATCAAGGAGTTCAACGCGCTCGTGGCCTACCGGCAACGATGGCTGAATGTCAAATGCGACAACGAAGAGCTTGCTTGGCTAAGCGTACGCGACGCACCTGGCTTCATCGGCTGGGGAGAGAAGCAGATCAAGGACTTCATCATCAAGTGTGGCCTCAGCTCTACACTGGATCGCACCTCTGCTGGCCGCCGCAACGACGACTCGCCCGAAAGCGCCAACCGCATCCGTGGAGGTCGCTCGGGACGACACCAGTCAGAAAAGCGCCGGTGGGATGCTGATGCAGAGAATACCAACATGGAGGTCGACATCAAGAGCCTCTTCTCGATAGTGTATGTTGCTTGTATCTACTGTCACTACATCGGCCATAATGACAATTTCACTTTAGGGACACGCACCAATTGGCCCTCTTGATTGAGGAGCGCGATGAGATCCTCGAGAACCTAGAGATCGCTGAGACGCGGTATATCAAGTCGTTCAGGATATCGACGCCGGATCCATCAATTGTGGACTTGCAGCCGCAGCCACCTGAGCCAGAAGGTCGTCCGTACATCTCTCGGCCGTTGCCGCTCAGGGGAAGCCAACGATATCGAGGCGCTCGTCGGCGGACCACGTCCAACAAGGCTCTCGCATCTTCCTCTCTTGCGCCGACGTCTTTCGTCGCTCCATCCCAGTACTACCGCCTTCGGAAACTATCTGGCATCAGCGGTGGCCGCTTCACCGATTCGCCTGAAGGTCGCCGGTCATTCAGCGATGCTGTTCACTCTCGCGTCATTGGGAGCCAGTTCCACGAAATCCAACCTCATTCGCCTGACTACCATGCCCTGCCACTCGGCTCCCATGTCGGGGTCGACTGCAACACGGGCGAGCTGGGCCCTCTGTCAAGCAGCTCGTACGACGATATACCCGACCCACGATACTTCGGCCCCAACCACTCCATGGAGGAGTTCGGTCAGCTGCGCGGATCTCAGGATTACGACCCCGACGAGCGGCTCGACGACATCGCTGAGCTCCAGGAGTGGGTCGACCTGGAAAGGGAGCGACCAGGCGAATACGAGAGCAGCATGAACGGGGCCACTGAGCGTGGTCAGACGCCGCGGTTCTCTGGCACGTCGTCCCGCTTCCCTCGCCGTGCGCGTCCGCGGCCTCCTCGCCAGGAAGAAACCCCTTCACCAGCCCGCCGCGAGACCTTCCCCCTCCGCAGCCGCAGCGTCTCCGACCCCGAGGCCGTCATGCCGCCCCACCTCCGCCTGCAGCCCTCCCAGCCCTTCGTCCGGCCCCTCGAAGGCGTCGACTACGAGGGCCTTGGCGAGGTGTACAACGAGATCAAGCGCTACCGCTCGCAGCTCAAGGCGATCAACACCGAGATCGCGGAGGCGCAGACGTCGTGCTACAACGACATCGCGGAGGGCGTGCGCATCAAGGGTTGGCTAATCGTGGGGAAGGGGCTGAGGTTCATTCCGGGGATGCAGCAGATTGAGGGGCGCGCGAAGGAGGATGTGAGGTGGGATATTTTGCAGGATGAGCGGTCGACGCTGGACACGATAGTGCTGTGGGTGGTGGTAACGATGATGGCGGTGACCTTGGCTGTTGCGCGTGAGTGTTCGCCCTATGCAATTGCTTCCTCATGCCCACCACGGTCATCCAGTGACTGCCACCGCCGGTTTGGCCCTTTCGACGGCACCTGACGTGGCGCATTACCTTCCTTTCCTGCAGCCCATCCTCAACGCAAACCGGCTCTCAGCAGGTATTGCTACCGTGCTTACTCCGGCTATTGCCGCTATCGCGTTCATCTCCTTTGCGCTATGGGCCATGCACTGTGAGCTACTAATTTCTGGGATGACATTGCCTTTCTTATATTCGTTCGCAGACGCCGCGAAAGTCCAGGGCTCCGTCTCAATATCCGGCGGCCAACTACTGACCTTCAAGATCACCTTCTTCGCCTTGACCGTGGTCGCCGGTCTCTTCCTCATCACAGTCGGCGCGCTCATCTTCGCATTGCATGCGTTCAGCGAAGGCTCGGGCGTGGCGTCGTCCGTCGCCAACGGCTCAATCTACATCATGGTGCTCTGCTTGGCACTCATCATCAACCTTGCTATCATTATACCCGGCCTGCTCTTGCTACAGCCTACTAGACTCTGGCGTGTCCTTCGCGCGGAAAAGCAGGCGGTGACGCCCCGCCAGCGATTCCGAGGTACGTGTAGCTCCAGAGTTCTGTGCGTCTGCAACTAACACCCTTTGCAGCTGTTTACCCTCGTACTTACAACCCTTCATTCGCGACTGGCGCATGTGTATTGGCTATTGTATTTGCTTCTACTTTCTCCCTAATCTTCCCACTTATTGCGCCGGCTGTTACCCTCTTGCTTTTGCTGACTCTTGTCGGTGAGTCAGGTTAGGTTGACAATGGAGCATCGCTGACATCTTCGTAGCGCACCGCTTTCTTGTCGGCTACGTATACGGTCGGACGCATTCACAAACGGGCGGCTTGCTCCAGATCTGGCTCCTACGCCGGTTCGGGACTGTTGTCGCCTTCCAGCCCATTCTCCTCGGTCTCATTTACCTCAGCCGGGAGCTATGGATCGAAGGCGGTATCCTTTGCGGTGTCGGCGGAGCAGTCATCCTCTTCATGGAGGGCTATGCATCCTGGAAAACACGTCTTCCGGGGCGCAAGTCTCTCAGCCATGTCACGCAAGACTCGCTCGACCGGTTCGTCGAGATCGCTCGGCCGAAGGGCCGCCGCAACGTCGACGAGGAAAGCACGAGCCTGGTTAGCGGTAGCCGGCTCGGCCAGCGCACCCGTGGCTCGCTGGCATCTGTTCTCGAGATGATGAGCTTGACGCTCGCGGTGATGCCCTCGTCGGCGGAAGTACGCGGGCCGGTCCCACTGAGTGAGTGTCGTACAACGGCGCCTTTACCGACACGGAAGCTCATCAGCGCATGACAGAGACGGAGACACTGGACGACCTGACGGCGACGGAGCGCGCGGCACGCACCCACCCGGACGCGCCGCCGCATCTGCCGCCCCTGCCGTTCGCTGACCACGCCGAGGAGATGGCGGGCATCCTGTATCCCCCCGAGCTTATTGCGCCTCCGCCGATTATATGGCTCCCGAACGACGCGGCGGGCGTTGCGCGCTCGGAGGCGGTCGACCTGCAGAAGTACCACGACCTGCGCGTGACGCTCGACGTGCGGACGAAGCGCGACGCGTCGAAGCGGTCGTCATCGTCCGCGCATGGCCACTGAATGGACCGAACAGACTTTCTGAATGTGCTATACTTACGAAGGTACCTACCGGCTTGGATGTATTGTGGTGTGTATACGGACTGGCGAGCTGCAGGACTTCCGAATATGGCAGGTTTACGATGGACAATGGGCATGTGAGCGGTGCTCCTCGTGCGCATGCGACGGCGTCCGCCATTATCGATGCGAATGTGGAGCAGGGGTTACGCGCTGGATGCCTCCGCTGGCGTACCGCCGGACGGTGGCATTTGAGCGAACTGTGGAAGGCGGGCGACATCTCGCGCTCTTCCTGCGCGCACTAAGTGGCCCCCAAAGCGCGTGACGGCGGCGGGCGACGGTGCAATGACGATGGCGATGGGATATTTGCATTCTGGCCGTTCGATTCTCGAGCGCGTGGATCAGAGATGAATCAAAGCCTAACGACGCGACTGGCGGTTGATACCATCTGCAGCCCCAAATGGGGAAAGCTGATGGTGCGTGTCCCGCCACCGCCTTGTCCTCCCTGCCGTTAGGCCTTTCATAGCGCTGGCGGAGACTTCATGTCGCGCAAAACATACACCTAATCGCGATGCCTTGACGCTTGAATGAGTCTGAGCGTATGTCGAGGCAGCAGCTCTTTTTCTGTGGAGTCGGCGGAGGTCTGATCCGAGGCTGAGGGCGTGGATATAAAATCCCGCGCCATCCGCCTGCTCCACCCTCTTGCCCGCCCGTATTTCTTTCCGCGATCTGCGTCTTTCCTCACTGTTCCCTGCTCTCTGCCACAGCTCATGCTCCTGTCCCCGATGTCCAGCGCGCACCCCCAGCCCGACCCATTCGCTCTCTACTCCCAGCAGCTGCACCAATACACGCTCCGGCTCTGGTGTGATCACTGCCGTCGGGTGGCCAAGGCGCAGGCACGCGAGGAGGCAGACAGGATCTCGCGGAGCAGCTCCCCTCTCAAGACCCCAGACGACTCCAGCGAGTCCTCTTCGTCTTCGTCGTCGTCCTCAGGCTCCCAGTCGAGTTAGCCGACCGACACACCCCATCACGCGCGGCGCGCGCACATTCCGGGAACAGATGCAGCGCGTGTGAGTCCTCGATGACCCGATGTCCGTTCTAGCCTTCTTCTGACGTCTCCCAGCTGCACTCACCCGCACCCACGAACGACCTTCGCCACGCAGCGCACCCTACTCCGCTGCGCGCGCACCCTTCCAGCATGTCACGAACGTGCCTGGCAAGCCATCCACGCCGACGACGGCGCCCACCACATTCACCTGCTACCCCTTCATGCAATCTTCTTGATCTTTTGCCACACACGACCGTCCGCCGCTGTTCGATGTACTCGTATCCGCGCTTGCCGCCATACTGTTCCCCCTCACGTTCACCACTGACCTCACCGCTGTTTGCTTTCGACCGCACATCTCACGTACATCTGTGTACATATTTAACACCCTCACGGCGCGCACGCGCGACATAGACCTACCCATACCACGACGACATCGTACATAATCCGCGGTCGCGCTTCACCTACTTCGCTCATTCATGGCTTGTATTATTACGCCCACCCCCATCCTACTACGATACCAACCTCGATCCTGGCCTTGATCGTGTATATATACCGCTATCTATGTGGTCGCTATCGCCTCCTCGCTCGATGCTGAAGAGCTGGACACGTTCGATGACGGGGCATCGCGTACTACGCAGCGGTGACGCGCGCCCTGATGATCGACAATTGACAGGCGCACTGGCAGCGGCGGCCCAACCTTGTTTTGTCGGACCCGGGCGGGTGCAACCGACAGCGCAACTGCCGCCTCCGAGACATGCGCGCCTGGCAACGGAGGCCCTCGGGCGCGCAAAACGCCTGACGGAACAAACGCCGCACGTGTAAAGGCACACAGCGGTCGCGACCAGTCCATCCTCGACGCGATAGCATTTGATCAGGGCTTGCTACCAACAGAAGCGGCGCATTTGTAGCAAGATTTGTAGATATTTGTAGCGTCTCTACCATATGCCCTCCGTCATGCGTTCACGTCTACAAATGCGCCACATCCATCGGCCTGCGTCTTGTGCTCGTCGCGCAGCTACGCGCCACCATCGTCTTGGCGAAGAGGAGCGTCGGCGGCTCGGAGGACGTTCTACAACGTCCCAACGACAAACTTCCATTCCTTCCGCCCCACCGTTCTTTCTCTTCTGTTCTTGCCTTTGCTCATCATGCAAGCATCAGAACGTATGGAGGGTCCCGGTCAGTAGAATTACAAACCACCATTCAAGAAGCCCCTTCCAGAATCTCTTTCGACCGCGCCTCTGCCACACTGCAAGCGTCGTACCCCCACACCTGCGCGCGCATCTCCTCCGCTGTCCAGCTGGTCAGAAGGCCTTCCCATCTACCGAAGAAACATCACCCACAGCGCATAAAGAGGCCCTGTTTCTCCGGGATGCTCGCCTGCTCAATCGACTCGCGTGCCACAAATTCGGCGCGCGCCTTCCTAACGTCTTGGAAAACCCGAAGCCGGCCCTCCACGTCCTCCGGGCGAGTTCCTGCCGGAAGGAGGAAGGCTAGCGCCCCTACGTCTTCCAGACCAATGGCGAAACCCTGGCCGAGAGCTTCAAGCCTTCTGAGGATGGTACGAAAGGGGCTATACGGCTGACTCACTAGCAAGAGTGGCACTGGGACAAAGGAGTCAGCGTATGCTTCTCGGACTCTTTCTCCACCGCCGACTCACTGCGCGGCGTCTCCCGCTATGCATGTGCGCCCCCGGATCCAGGTCTCGATATGCCACGGGAGCGCGCGCATCTGCCACAGCTTGACCTCGTCCGCACGCGTCAACAGCTTCTTGAACTTCGCGTCGAAGTTTGCGTATTTCTCAAGCAAAGCTTCCTTGCTTGATGGGACGTTCCAGCCTAATTCATGAAGATGAGTTTGTATCGTCATCGTAGACCGCCATACGCACCAACAGCATCCTGATCGCGCTCGTCCCCGTGCACACCGTACACGCTCACAAGTTCCTCGTTCCGAACGGGCGTGAAGAGAAGCGTGCGCCGCTCCGGGCCAAAAGCCGCGCGCATCCCCCGCGGGCCATCCGCGAAGAGCCAATCCAGCTCGTCCTTGATCCCGTCTGTCGGTATCAGTGCACGGAACGCAGCGCGCTTGCTGGCGGGTGCCCCTAGAGGGTACCCGAGGACGTGGGTGCGTATAGAGGACTGCGAATCGCGACCATATCTTCAGCTCTGCTCTCCTAGTGAAGCGACCAAAGAGTGATATACTGACCTTTATACCGTCAGCACCAATGAGCAGGTCCGCCGTGTGCGTCGTCCCGTCCTCCGTGACTAGCGAACCGGCCTCTGGATCGCACGTCGTGACGCGCGCACCGAGGTGTACGGTCACGGGTCTCCCCGGCCCCTTCGCACTCACAGCACGTTCGTACAGTGCGGTGTGCAAATCATGCCTATGGACGCTCCATGATGGCTATATGTATAGCGTCAGCTTTGTTCGTCCCCTCCGTGCCAAAGCGCACTTGATGGGGTCGCCGAGTGCACCTAACTCACCCTCTCATACTTTGAATTGAACTCCCCCAACTTCTCCCCAGTGCTCTTGTACGCCACGCTCTACACAAAATCATTGTTCAGTAACAGGTCCGAACGATTCCTGTCTGCCTTCGACGCATTTAACACGACGCACTCACCCCCTCATACCTCAACGGCCGACACGCTTCCTCGACGTCGAAGCCCAAGCGCTCGAACACGCGCGTCGCGTTGGGCGGGATGATGATGACGGCGCCTAGCGGCGCGAGCCGTGCGGCGGCTTCGAAGACCTTATCGATGACGCCGGTCAGTCGGTTACTCAATGTCTGAGGGTCACTCAACGCCAGAGTGTCATTCGACGCCAGAGTGTCGTTCGAAGCCCGAGGGTCAGTCAAACCTCGAGGGTCACTCAAAGCCCGAGCGTCACTCAAAGCCCGAAGGTTACTCCAAGCCAGAACAACGAACGCGAACTGCAATAGCACTCGACGGCCATAAAATGACTTCGGCGCACCTGCACGTCATGCCCCTGTTGTCTCAAGGCGAGCGCAGCTGACAGCCCCACGAGACCCGCGCCCACGATGTTGATCTTCAGCGGTACCGGTGTGGACATCGTGAAAGGCGAAGACGATGGAGTTGGGAAGAGAAAAGGGAACTTTACGAAACATGCGCCGGTACCGCTTCGTCAGATTTAGGAACCGCTGAGACGACTGATTTCAGTCACGGCGGTCTCCTCCCCCCGAGCCTAGCGGGGTCGCTAAACCACTGACCATTGATCACTAGACAACTGTCCATAAGAGATCGCATTGATCATTAGTACATCCATGAATACCGTTACTTTACTATACAGAGCGGGGAGGGTGCTAAAAGCCGCTTAACGGCGATTGTTCTGGTTGTTCGCCAGGATCTGGACCAAACGGATGCTGCAGGGGATGTCAGTTGAGGGTATGGGATAACAGGAGTCCTCATTGACGTACAAGATGTTGATCATGTCGAGCTCGAGTGCAATGCTCTCGCGGAGGGCTGTAGAAGGACGATCAGCATATAGATATCGGAAAGACAGAAAATGCACGTACGATCCCTCTTCATGACACCCGCCTCAGCCATCTTGGCGTGCTGGCGGATCTTCTGCGTGCTACAAGGGATCAATATAAGCTCATCAGAGGAATAGATGCTGCTTACTCGTAGAGGACCATGCCACCGAAGACAGCGAGACCACCATAAAGGGAGACGGCCTCAGTGACAGCGAGTCCGCGCACACCAAGAGGAAGGATCATGGGTGCGAGGCTGCTAAGAGCGACGATGCAAAGGCCGCCGAGCAGAGGACCACCGAGGTAAAGGAAGGTGTCGTTCCTACAGTCCGTTAGTAGATAGTTCGAAAAGAGTGTAGGATGGATTGCTTACTTCGCCGTCGCACCGACGTACGAAAGACCACCGACCAGACCCACGGTGTAGAGGGCGGCGCGCGAAAGAATGGCGGGGTTCATGAAGTACAGCGGGCTAAGAGTCGCTGCTTGGAACCCGTTGAAGCCCTATCACAAGGTAAGTCTATCGTCGGCGAGGATCGGCTAAAGATACACGCACAAGCCAGCATAAGTGCTTGACAGCCGAGTTAGATGGGTCGGTGTAGTACACCCCCATCATGGTCCCGATGCTGCCGACGAGCGAAACACCCATGACCAACCCTATCGAAGCGTCAGTCTTGGGATCAGTTCTGAGCAGCGCAAAACGTACATGGGTTGGCTGCCATGATGCGGAACGCAGCTCCTGAGGTGAAGAGAGCGCGTGCAGCCATGGCAGTGAGGGTGAGCCCTCCCCCTGTGTAGATGAAGGTCTCCTTCAAGTAGTCCCTCTCGACGGCGGAGAGGCTGTTGCCAGCTTGACCGTTGATCAGAGCATCGAGGAGTACAGTGGCACCAGCGACAGCTCCCTGCACCGTGTGTCAGCAACTTGGGGGCGGATACTACTACTATTACGCACGGCAGTCATCCCAAACCGCTTCCAGTCGAAGGGCTGAGCCCTCTGCACGACAGGCGGCTCGCGGTAGTACGTTCTCCGGAATGCAGCGCTGAACGCGGTCGAGAAGCGGTCCTTCAGCTCCGTGGCCTTCTGGTTAACATTCTGAGGGCGCTTGAAGGTGCCAAATGACCGCTGTAAAGCGAGCTGACGAGTCGCCTGCGAGCGAAGGGCGCTCGTCGGCGCCGTGAAGGCGCGCGCAGACGCGAAGGGGTGAACGGACGCAAAGCCGACGCGGAACATGGTGGTGGTAGGAAGGAAGGAAAGAGTGCTGCTTGCGGTGCGCACTTGACGGGAAATTTCTAGCACGGAACGGCAGCGCGTCCATCCGGCAATTGTATTGCGTCACTCCCTGATCCGTCAGACCGGCAACTGCCGGTACGCCTTCCCCGTCAAGAGTTCAACTCAACGTCATCCCGTCCTTGTTCTCTTCCCTTCTCTTCCTCGCTTCTGACCTCTGGAATGTCGGGAATTGTGACACCTACGCGATTTCACACCACGCATTGGCCGAGAGAGAGACCGAGAAGGTGTCGCCACTGTACAGGTGCTACCGAATAAGCTGGACTGACTGTCCTCGCAATTGGCGAGCATACGAACAGAATCAGTGAGGTCGCCTACGAGCTTCAAGATCAGTCATGGAGATATTTGACAGTAACACCAGTACTCTGTGCCTCACAGGGCGGTCAACAAGAAGACAGCACATCGACCGAGTTACATTGGATGTGTGAACCAAACAACGTTCAGGAATAAGGCTGCTTAGTATTTCGACCAACAGAAGCCCGAGGCTTTGGAATCCCACTATCACTGGTACTTGACATGAGGACCCCGGAATATACGCACATAGGCCGTCCAGCGGTGCGGATAATCGTGGGGCTTCCGGCCGGTAGGCCGGTCCAAAAAACGGTCAAATTGGGGGCCTGAGGGCTTGGAGGCCGGTCCAAAAACGCGGGTATACACAGGGGAGACAGGGAGGCCGTTCCGAAAAAGTGGATATCGGGCGGTCGATTCGAACCGCCGACCTACCCTCAGACCAGACGCACGCGATACCGGTAAGCTAAGTGACCACTTTGTTACAGCGTGCAGTAGCACCCTAGATAGCCTCCCTGTGCCCATTGGCACCTTCTACCATTGGCAGGCTCGATATTTCGAAGGACAGCGGTGCGTAGTAGCACCTCGAATGGGTATGGGAGGCAATTAGCTCTCTCTTTTGTACTTCTCAACCTTCTTTTGTTGCAGACGCTACGCGCAGAGCGCGTAGGGACCCTGGAAGAAAAAAAATCAGATTTTTCCCGATTTTATTGCCATTTTTGAGGCCGTCCCGAGAAAACGGATAAATTCTGGGGGTCCCGAGAGGCCGTTCCAGAAAACGGATAAATCTGGGGGTCGGGGACCCGAAAAAAAAGTGGATAAATGGGCGCCAGAGCCGGATTTTCCAGGACGGCCTTTGTGCGTATATTCCGGGGTCCTTTGACATGTGAGATACTGCATTTGGTAAGGATGTACAAAGCCTCCCCGATGGGGCAAGATAAGATTGGGACCGAGGACCGAGGTTGTCAGGTCCGTGTTTTCCTATTCGTCAGATAGTTCGTTTACCACTCGGGCCTCGCACAACTCTTGTGCGCGAAGAACATGATAATCGAGGACCGAGGACACCGGCCATGGCAACGCCCGCCAAGGCGCATGCCCATCAAGATGCACGGCAACCGCCGTGGGCAAAGAAAACGCTGCGCTGCCTCGGGCGCGCTCCCATTTTCCCCTCTTTCACGTCGCATCTGCTTGACAGCCAGCAAAGGCGCCCGGGAAGCGCCCATTTCCCAGTGTCTTTGCAGTCATCCGCCGCTCATTACGTGTCCTTCGAACCGTCATTCGCCGACTTCCGAGCGATCTCTGCTGCATCACCGTGTCTTTGTGAACGGCTTCACACTTGTCTCTTGCAGTCATCACCAGTTCATCGCTCTATATCGCAATGGACGCGTCTCTTCCTGCGCCAATAATTGGCGTGGCTAGGATGATCCTCGCTAGCACGGGCTTCCTCCTGGTATGTCCCGTGATCGGCGCGTACTATGCAACCTACTGACGCGCTCTGCAGAGCGTACTTTCTGCGCTGCTCAACGCGATCCTCGGCCACATCTCACCGATGCAGCTACCAGTTCCTCCCCCTGCCCTCCCTCAGACCCTTCGTCGCCGAAAGAGGCAATCACAGACTCCTCGTACCCCGTCGGTCAAGTCTGGCTCGAGCGGTTCTTCCACTGCCGTTCCCTTCACCCCTCCAGATGGACCGGCACCTCAAGTACGGATCGTCTCTGCAGATGGCTCTCTGTCCCCGGCCTCGGCGTCTTCCCCTTCCAAAATCCCTCTGTCAAGCAAGATTCTCGTGCGCCGTCGGCGCAAGGGACCTTGCTCGCCAAAGGCAATGCAGACATGCCGATCGGTGCCTACGACGCCCGTGGAGGAGCTAACGTCTCCGTTTGAGCTCACGCCGCCCACGCCACCGTCGCGCGCGGCGACCCTGACGCCAAACCTCGGAGCGCCCTCCTCACCATTCGGTTTCGATGAGAGCCTCGTGGTGGAGGTGCAGCAGACGCGCAGTTTCACTTTGAACATTCGTCGGGCACTGGGCGGGGAGAAGGGGCCTCAAAAGCCCAACTTTGCGCGTACGGCCTCGACGCCGCATGTGCCGCGGGCAGCTACGTTCGTCGGTGAGCCGGCACAGATCCCGAGACGGAAATCGTGCCCGGACAACAAGAAGGAGGCTTTGACGCGCTCGATGACCATGTCGCCCGGTATGTGTCTATTTCTCGCTCTTGCCTAATCGGACTGCCGCGCCGGCACCCGCCACATACTCCTTTGCCGTGGCTGACGCGTACTGTGCAGATTCTCCCTCGGAGCAGGCCGCACTCGACAGCCCGACCACCGCAGAGCGTCGAAGCAAGTCCCCATTCAGCGGCCGCAAGCCCCAGCAGCGGAAGCGTACACTGCCCTACGAGGCGCCTTATTTCGCGCAGACACCCGTGCCCCCGCTTCCGCGGAGCAAGACCGCTGCGTCGCCGAATGACCTTGCGCGCCGCCCACGGAGCGCCGACCCGAGCGTCTCGTCGTGAGCGTCAGCACGCCGCGCCGGTGCCTGGGCCGCGCGTCGCCTCTCATCTTGTCTTCATCTCCCGTCCCCATCTCTGGTCATGGCTCATCTGTGTTATCATTATTGGCATCTATCCCCCCATCGCGTCCTTCACGTTCCCGCATACAAACCAGACACTCATTTGGATCGCTATCTATTCATTTGCGGCGAATAATAGAGTCGCTAACTATATCCCCCACCCTATATCTCCAACATCTCCCACTACTTGTTGATAACCCCCACTGTCCTTTCTCGAATAGATGGGCGAGCGCGCATACCCCTAGACCAACTGCTCTGCGCTGCCACGATCGTGTATATCTACCTATATCTACCTAATACCCGCCTGTCGCCTGGTATACTCCCTGATCGTACTTATCGAAGGGCTTTGTCCACTCAACTGTATTATACTCTCACATCTGGTCGTATGCACTGTATATCCAGGGAGGAATTGATCACTACACATGCCTTATGGTTATACCATCTCACGAAAGATCGAGTGCTGTGCTTGTCAGTGGCAACACCTCGGTAAGGACGGTACCACCTATCGAGGCTCGCGCCGAGGTGAGGTGGGTCCTCGTTTGTATCTGCAGGCTTTCACCTACCGTATTGGGGAAGCCTTATGATCGCGCACTTTGTGGCACGGAAGGATACCCGCAATACAGCCGACTGAGGGAGTCTCGAGGGATACACATAACTATACAAGCATGACAAATATATCTACAACCCAAGCTCTCGCCTATACTCGATGAACGCAACTAGATTGTCCCGAACCTCCTCCCCATGCCTCCGCAAATCGCGCTCCTTCTTCCTATCAATTGCCTTCACCAACTTGCGCATACCCTCCACGGAATCGACCAGCCGCGCAAGGTATCCGCCTTGCCTGAAGTTCACGTCGTACGGCATGTTCTCGTCGGAGTAGATGTCGATGAGGGCCGAGGCGGCCTGTAGCGCGGGCTCTGTTCCGAGGCGCGGGGGAGATCCGCCGGATGGGAGAGCGGTGAGGAGGTATTCGGCGATGACGCGGTTCGCGTCGACGGCCTCGGGGCACTGAGCGAGGCATTCCAAAGCGCCAATGCACTTGACGCGCGTACGCTCATCCGCGGCGGAGTCGCAGTACTGCGTAAGCACCTGGACGTGCTGCTCTCCGGGAACCTGGGCGGCACATTAGCCGGTGCCACAAAAGACAAAAAAAATACACTCACTAGTGTACCCTTCCACACGATTGCCGCGCCCCATAGCACACCTACGCAAATGTCCCACATCTCGCGCCGCCTCTCCTGACCGAGGCCGCCAAATTCTGTGCCTACGGCGCCGAGGGCGGACCACAAGCCGGTCCACACCCGCCTTCCCGCATCCAGATCACTGCTGACCTGTGCGCTAGGCGAGGCAGCAAGACCAAGGAAGATATTGTTCAGACACTCGAGCGCGGAGATGTGGATTGCGCTGAGCGCAGATGTTGTAGGCGGATGCGCGGCAGGAGCAGCTAGGGGCGGGAAGGAAAGTGCAGTTGGTTGCGCGAGCGCTAGTAAGGAAGGAACCAGAGCGGGAAGGAAGCTACGGGTGGCACCGACGTCGGAAGAGACCGGCGCAGTGTCGGCAGCATCATCGACCTCGACGTCGCCGTCCTCATCCTCCTCATCCTCTTCGTCGCCTGTAGGGTGCTCTTCAGGCTCAGGATCGGGTAGCGTCGCGCAGGTGCCGGTCAAGATCTCCAGAGCGAGCTGCAGCGTGCGCAACTTCGCCTCAAGCTGGCCGAGCTCGACCTCTGCAGCCGATTGGTGATCGGATTTAGGCCCGTGCTTCATTTCGCCCTCCTTTGGTGGTTCGGCTTCCTGTATACATACGGTTAGCAACTCAATGCCCTTGATGATATGGATTGACTGACGATCTGCGCTATACACCGCTGGGCGACAGCAGCGACCTCCTGAAGATCGACAGCCGCAACAACGGGCTGCAACAATGGAAGCACGATCTCCTTGTCGATATCTACGAAGGAGGCTGCCGTCGGTGGTGGCAGAGGTGCCAAGTTGCGGAGGATGCCTATGGGACAATCAACCACTATCCTGCGTTGTTTCGAGAATTTTTCCTACCTGCAGCGAGTACGCGGAGCGTTGTTGGCCTAGTGTCTGTCTCCTCCTTGTCTTTTCCATTTCCAGAGCTCCCTGACTTGGCGATCTCAAGCAGGCAGGTAACATAGTCCGGATTTGACCTGGTCTCGAGGATCGCGGGAAAGTTGTCGTCGGTAAGGACGTATAGGCATTGCGCTGTTGGATCATCAGTATATGTAGACTCATTGACAAATGTTGAATATACCCGCAGAGGTTACAGTTCCAATGGGAAGCTTATCCCTCGCGCCTAGGAAGGACATAAGGAAGGGGACGAGGTTGATCTCGTTGATGGCGTTAAGCGCCTTGTTGTTGGTTTCTCTGATGGGTGTAAGAATTGGAAACCATATGAGTAGCTAGTAAGACGTACGATAAACACCATAGAGTCGTGATGACACTGTCTGCGAATTCGTAGACCAGTTTACGTGCATTCTCCGGCGTTGCCTTGTCGCCTGACAGATATTGCGAGAGCGTAGTGGAGATCTGCAGAGAATAAGAATGAATATAGCATACAGGTCCTGCAATACTTGCTTTAGGGACGAACGTCTTGAGGGGTGTAAGGATATTCTTGTTGTACATCTCGGCGCAGATATCGTAGCCACCGTCGATGCAGAGATTACTATATCGCCGATGAGCCAGCGTCCAGCAAGAATACGTATATGATGACATACCGCAGCGAACCCATGGCCTCCACGACAACTTCCTCCTCCGCGTCCGTCAATCTCGTGATCAGCGCGCCGACGACGTTCTTCCCCTGCAACAGTCGCCGCGTCGAGGGGTCGTTTTGTATCAAGTTTGATACCGCAACGCAAGCCCACTTGCGCTCAGCACCATCAACGCTCTCCATCTACCCATTGCGCAAGATCTATGAGTAGGGGAATGTGCGGGGGAGGGGGGGCACACACACCTTCTGTATGATCGGTAAAATTGCCTCGGTCTTGGACGACGAGGACGACGCGGAGGCCAGTCCTTTAGGCAGATGCGAGTCCGGGACGCGCACGGGGTTGTGCCGGCGCATCGACCGCTTCTTCTGTGATTTACCCATTGCGAGAGTTGAGTACGAGGAGAACAATGCGCGTGAAGTGATTGATCGACTTTCCAGGCGCGATCATCTCCTCGGTCCGAGGCCCGAACGGATCCAAAAGTTCAATTCCGCTATTTCGCAGACCCAAAGGAAAGGGAAGAAGTACACCGTGTATCTACGCCACCAGGGAGTCTACACGGCTTGCATGGCAGGAACTTTGCTGATGTCGATGACGGCGACTGCCTTGTTTTCGAGAGCCAGCGCCATACGATTGATCTTCGTACCCAGCACCTGCCACTCGATCTCGAAGATGCCCTGCTTCACAGGACCAGAGTACCAAGACCATACGCGCTTTTTCGACTATGCGAGACATGAGTGAACATCACGCCCGAGGCTGCGTCCCATACCTTGACGTTGTATATATGCACAAATCCGTCACCGCTTCCGGTGGCCAAGAATTTACCGTCGGGCCTGAAGCTGATGGCGTACACGGCGCGTTTGTTGTCCCGGAAGACAGCGTAGCTTCGTCCCGTTCTGGCGACCCACAAGCGTGCAGTACCGTCAAAGGAGGAGCTGCATAGTCGTGAATCAGAAGGTATCGACGATGAAAGCGCAAGCAACATACGTAGCCACGAGTTCTGGGCACCCGTCCACCAGAGCGGGCTGCCATGTGATCGTGCTGACGCCCTTTTCATGACCCTCCAGTACTACGGACCTCATGTCTGTACTTCCCAAGCCCGGGAAATCTTCGCCCGCCGGTGAAGATGCCCTAATTCGCGAGATATCCCACACGCGAGCAGTGCGGTCGTCCGAGCACGTAGCTAGCTTCGTGCCGTCGCGATTGGCTTTAATCTGATTAATCTCCGTACGGTGTCCTCTGCGTACGATGAGCTACCTCTCACAGCGATTATCTCAGTACCTGGAACGTACGACAACGTCTTCAGCGGTTCCCGTTGGTTCACGCTCAGGATGTTGGCACGCGCGTCGGCACCGCAGCTCGCGAATAGTTCGTCCGTTATCCAGCATACGTCTAGACAGCAATCTGCAATCGAGTTAGCCCTCTGGCTACGCAACACCGAATTGCGAGCACGTCACCTGTATGCGCCTGATATTGTCGAACAAGGGATTTGTTCGCGGGGTTCCACAAGCCAGCAGTACCGTCCAGACTTGCGGTCAAGATGTACTTTCCATTCGGCGAGTACCGAACGACGAAGATAGCCCCCTGCAGCATATTGAGGACCGTGTAGCCACCTAATAACGAACGTCCCAACCTTGTGCAGGGAGTGTTGGAAGTACAGTTTTCCTTCCACAGTAAGAATGCGGAAGACCCTGTCGTACGAACCGACCGCAAGTAGCTTGCCGTCAGGACTCCACGACATGGAAGTCAGGTCTTTGTCTGGTATAATCGACTCCGCGTTGAAGCGGATAGGTGGTGGAGGCGGCGTTGAAAAGCCGTCGGCAGGAGGGTCGTTGAGTCGCCATATATTGATATGACCGTCCTTTGATCTGATGAGAAAGACGAATGTTAGATAGTGCGTACGCGCTATACCGCTACAACCTACCCAGATGCTACGATATTCCTGTCTTGAGGATTGAAGGCGCATACGAAGACCTTGGAGACGTTTATGTTAGACATCATGGTCCGATGTACATGCGCCATGACTTACTTCTGCAGTGTGCCCAGACAGCAGCACCGCGACCCTCTTGTCGGTCACGTCGTCAACTGGACCCATTTGGGTCTCCGACCTGATCTTCTCTGCAAAATTCGCCATGATGTTGGTGATAGCAGACGCCGAAGACACGTTCTCTGGTGAGGCAGCCTCAAAGGATGCATTCCCTCCGCCATGTGACCGTGACTCACTGTCTTCGGCAGACTCCGCTACTGGGGGTGAGGCAGTCAGGCTTGCTACATTGTCCTTCTTCTGTCGCTTCGCCTCATCCACAGATCCTTCCGAAGGTGTCTCAGCTTTTCGCTTGTTGTTGGTTGTGTCAGGCTGCTTCAGGACTTCCTTGGTGGGTAAGGGCGCCCTCGGTGGCTGGGGAATGTCAACGTCCATCGGCGCAGGCTTCTCGAGTTTCTTGGCCTCCTCCGCCGCCAGCTTCTGTTTGCGCGAGCTTGGAGCACAGACGTGACGCTCGAGGAGCCGAAAGGTGTTCTTGCAACTTCTCGTCTCCGGTGTGCGTTTCCAATGATGCTCAACCTCAATGTAGAGCAAGGCCTTGCTGAGGAGCTCTATAAGCTCGCCCCTGGGTATATGAGTAGAGAAGCACGGCGATTCATCGAGTTTGGACTCGGTGCGCAGACAAAACGCCGTGTGCGATAACCCTAAAGTCATAGCAGCGCAGCGAAGCCACAATTGAGAGGCGCTGCCACTTGGTAACCGAGATACGCACCGGAGTCTTGAAGGTACGCATATATGAGGGCGTTTATCTCGTCGGAGGTGATGGAAATCGGTCTGTTGGCGCTCCCCATGGCGGTGGCAGCAGGGCCTCGTTGGCGCAGCGCTGAAGTTTGAGGACAAGTCCGAACGGGCACGTGCGCGCCACATCACGATCACGGTGACGCGCCGCGCATACCGGCGGATCCGGGCCGAGGACGCTCATTACACACCCACTGGTACCCCCGCTCCCGACATCGACAGCGACGCCCTCGACATGGCGGACAACGGACAGGGCGGCTCATTTGACGATGAGGTGCGCCTGGAGGGGCAGGCACGGCTTGTGAACTGGGAGACACTCGTCCGTGAGCCCTGATCTCATCAGTCGCTGACGAACAATGGGCTTATCGCTAAGTGCAAGGTCTCCTCGCTCGTAGCAGGGCAGGTAGTGGATCCCAGGCCTTTGATATTGCTACTCTGGCGGACATACTTGATGGAGAGAACGATGATGATGACGACGACGACTACACGCCGGACGGACGAGACGAGGAATACAGTATATCCCCTCGCCAGTCCAGAGATACCCCTCTTTTCCCTCCTGTCACCGAGCCCAAGGAAGAAGGAGTCAAGCTCCTCATGAGCGGAGAATTTGGAAGGGTCGGAAACAAGATGCGGGCAAGGCAGAACCGCTTTGATCTCCCTACGGCCATCACCAAGCAGGCTACTGCCCAACGTCCCGTTGTTTTCAAGGAGGACTATGTCAACGTACGCCTCACCAGTGATATACCTGATCTCAATCATTGATTACTCAACAATAGAGCATCATACCGAACACGAATGGGACTACGGTGGCGGAATACGCCGCCAACGTTTACACCGGACAGTACTCGCAAGGTCACCCTTTTGTGTCCCCGCATGCGCGTTGTTCTCACGTAGATCAATAGACTCATCGTTTTACTACACATGCTCGCAAGGTATGTCGATTACTACTGCTTCATCGTCGCTCGCCACTTAAGCGTGACCGCCAGATTTTGAGCTACACATCTACGACACCACCCAACCCCTGGAACCTCGTGCACAACATAATTCTTCCGACCGTAGGTCGTACAGGGGAGGGGGGAGAGACAACGTCACGACACGTATGCCTATTAAGCAAGCAATACAAGGCCAATACGGCGGCTGGACGATTACGGACGCAAACGTATCCCCTGACAACGAGAGGTAAGCCAGCTCATTCGAAAATCATCGTCAGTCCCTCACCAGCACCGCAGGATAATATACTCGTCCATCGTAAGCTCGCAGATCCTAGTCAGACACTTTACTGACGGTTCTCTAGTGTGCCGATGTTTATATGACGAAGACACGCGAACCCGATCCAGAGCAGAAGCAAATATCCTTCCGCGACCAGCATACCACTCGCCGTCATTACGACTCGCCTCGAGGGATATACAGCTGTAAGTTCTCTGCAGACGGAAACGAGGTCATCGCTGGGGGCGACGGGGACATCTTCGGTGCGCTCATTCCTCTCGGCGTCAGTGATCATCACTGACAGTCACAAAGTTTATGACCTTCTTGCCGACCGTCGAACGGTCAAGATTCGTGCGCATGAAGACGACGTGAACAGTTGCTGCTGGGCAGACACGGCGTCTGGTAACGTCTTGATCTCTGGCTCGGACGACTCCTTCATCAAAGTCTGGTAAGTTACAAAGTGTCCATACGGGTTTGATCCATCTCATTCTGTCCCAGGGACAGACGTTCTCTCGGCTTGTCGTCTAAACCGTCTGGTGTACTCGTAGGACATACCGAAGGAATCACGAATGGTGAGCACTGCTCCGTTGCTACGGAAGTTGCGCTCATGTTTGCACAGTTTCTGCGAAGGGTGACGGTCGGTATATCATATCCAACGGCAAAGACCAGGCATTGCGTCTCTGGGATCTGCGAAAAATGCATACCAGCGACGAGTTTGACACCTTCAAGCACAAGAACTACTCGACGGGATGGGATTACCGGCAAGTGTATCTGTTGGGCGTACACCTCCTCATACGCTTATATATTTTCGTAGATATGCGCAATATCCACGACCGAAGTACCTCAAGCATCCGAGAGACTGCAGTGTCATGACTTTCCACGGACACTCTGTCGTTCGGACACTCATCCGGTGTTACTTCAGTCCCGCAGAGACGACCGGACAGCAGTACATCTACTCAGGCTCCGCCGATGGCAGGATCCACGTATGCTCACCCTCCCTCTTTCATCCCAGTTCTGATGTAGCATCCACAGATCTGGTCGCTGGACGGTCAGATAGTACAGATCCTTGATCGCGGACTGACTCTGCCTATGTCTTACGATCCATCCGAGCGTGAACCACCGCGCACCCACAGGTTCGTGCTCTCCCATAATCGCTGGTATACCATGTCTTACAGTTTTTGCAGATCGCCGTGCATCGTCCGCGATGTAAGCTGGCACAGTCAGGAGCCCATCCTGATGAGCGCCGCTTGGGAGAGTCGTAGCAGCGGCAGCACGGTGGCGCAGCATCACTGGAAAGGCCTGGCGAAGATGAGGTACAACCTCGAGGACTGGACCGAGCGCGAACGGGCTGAGCGTGCGGAGCGTTCCGAAAGACCGCACCGACGCCAAAACCCTTGGATTTATGTTGATGTTGACGACGAGGACGAAGAGGACGCGGAGATGTCGGGCCCTGATCAAGACGGCTTCAGCGAGTATAGCGAGGAGGAGGTCGAGTAGGCTTTTGCTTTGTGGAATTACGTTTTTCTTTCATCACGATTTCTCCAAGCTGTATCTTCCATCCTGTACCATATGTCTCGTTGCAATGCATGCTCTTTCCGGACGACATCTGAACGCAGTGCCTTCGTCCTTCGACTTGGCCAGTTGCGAGTGCTGCTCGGTAAATTCCGAGCGCCCTGGCCGGGTTTCCCGGGTCGGCGCTTGGCGGCGCCTAGTCTCAACACCGCCTCGGTACATTCACCATGGCCGTCCGCGAGCGAATACATCGCCTTGTTTTCAACCATGACTGCCTTGATCGAAGCTCCTGAAGTGCCCGTGCCCGACTCGAATGGTTTCCCGCCGGGCTACTTTGTGATTCGTTCTATTGCGTGCAATAGGAATTGGGATGTCTCGGGGGACAGCGTTGAGGACGGCACGGATGTGATCCTCCATCCCGAGAAGGAGCCCTCGTTGGTGGAATGTGTGTATATGCTTCATTCCTTTGAGCTACGCTGAAGGGGAGTGATCATGTAGCACGACGCAACCCAGATGCGAACAATCAGGTAAGGTCGCGCAGATTGCAGGGGGTGGGCGCTTACGTTTAGCTCAGGTCTTCTACGTGGACACGTCAGGAGCGCTGTGCTCGAGGTCCTCTGGCCATGCGCTAGACATCGAGGGTGCGCCACTCATCCTTGTTTGCCTGCACAATTGCTGATCATAGACCACAGGAAACCGCGTCGTCTTACGCCACAGGCGCCCTGTCTCCCTCCCCTACCCCAATTCATACTCCCACCCCCTTCCCCGCTTCAAGTACTCCCCCGAGTCGGGCCAGATCACCGTTGAGTTCTCCTGCGACCCCGCCTACCTGCCTCCCCCTGCCCCGCACAGCGCTTGGCAAGACAAGGTCTACCTCCTCACCTCCGTCCCTAAGCGCCGCCCCCGCAATTTCCTGGACGACGCCTCCGAATTCCTCACCATGAACGTCGCCTCGCCCATCTCAACCATCTTCGGTGCTCCGCGCATCAGCAATGCTACACCAGAGGCCGTGGCGCAGGTCGACATCGACTTGAGGGAGAACGAGGTGATCGAGGAGGAGCGCGCGGAGACGGAGGAAGCGGACGACTCGACGGACAAAGATAGGGATTTGCGGATGTTGCGCCTCGATAAGGCCACGCAGAACACGGTCGGAAGCGCGGCGCGCAATCGCAGGCGGTGGGAGATTATCCAGCTGAGGAACGCGGATAGGAGAACGGGGCCAATTTGAGGCTCTGACGGCCATACTAGTAAAGCCTGCTGAAGTTGTGGATATACGGGTGCAGAAAATGTATCTGGAGTAACAATATCGTGTACAAGCTACGTGCTATAACAGTGTCTGGCGACTGGCCTTTCTCGCTCTGATCTCCGTATGTCAGTATGCAGTCACCAGTGTCACTGTTGAACTTCGTGTGACAACGCGTGCAGTCGCGCCTTCCCCGCGGCGATCACCTGAACGCGCCGCGCCGATATGCAGCTCAGACTTCGTCTATCGTCCTTGCTTCCTGCTATCATCTAGGCGACCATTTTCCGGCCATGCGTCTAGCTACGAAGCTCTCGGTGCTCGCGCTCTCCACTGCAGGGGCTCTTGCGCACCTTCATGAACAAGAACGCCTCGGTATCGAGCTCGACGAGCTGGTCAAGCTCAAGACTGAGGGTGGCCTTCTTGCCAATGTCGTCGGCGAGGATGCCAAGAGGCCGTCTCGCTGGCTAGAGAAGTATGGTCCTCAGTACGATCAGCCCTTCAGCGGCCCTTTGTCGTTCTCGCACCTGCCTTACCATACTTGCCTCGAGCAAGAGGCGCTGGACTACGATATTGCCATCATTGGCATGCCTTTCGACACTGGTCAGTACGACTCCAATATGATGACCACCTCCACCTCCTAACGAAGCTTGCAGGCGTCACCTACAGAAATGGGTTCGTCCTTCTGAATTGTGCTTCCGCAGCCTTTTGACTGAACCATTCATTTTGTAGAGCCCGCTTTGGGCCATATGCTATCCGCTCGGGCAGCCGCAGGCAGCGCGCCTCGCGGGGTAAGCGCCGATGGCAGCATCGAAGCTCACGCGTAACTGACCGCTTCAGAAGGCTATTCCATGGCATGGGGTCTGAACCCGTACGAGTCAGGATTGAAGATTATTGATTGCGGAGACGTACGCGACCTCATGTTTCTCAGCCAGAATGCCAATGCGAGCTCAATCATACAGGTCCCGGTTTCTCCATTCGACAATGCACTTGCTGTGGACCAGCTGGAGGTCGCCTATAACACTTTGGTAGGGCGGAAGACCACGCATCTCACTGGTGCGCAACCGCTCGGCAAGGATGGCGCGGAGCATCCGCGAATTGTCAGGTGAGTGGCAGGATTTCCTTGCCGCGTATCTGCTAATAGGTGCAATGCAGCTTGGGTGGCGACCACACGATCGTAAGTCGTCTGAAGATTTCCTATTACAGTGGACGTCCTACTCAATGGCCGCTGCTAGGTACTCCCCATCTTGCGATCCTTGTACAGGACGTACGGACCAATCTCCGTCATCCACTTCGACGCTCATCTGGTCAGTAAATCACTGCTTCGTCCGACATTGACTGGTTGCTGATCTGACGCAGGACACTTGGCCAGCCTATGCTGGCACGACTTCGCCTCAGTCGCGCGTCACCCACGGCACATTCTTCTACCTCGCACAGGAGGAAGGCTTGATGTCAAACACTAGCATCCACGCCGGTATCCGGTGCAAGATGAATGTGAGTCCCGCGTGTATGTGCAAGAGGCTGGTTAAATTGACGAAACCATCAGGGAATTGAGGACTTGGAGAACGACGCTTCTGTTGGCTTCAAGCTGGTCTCCGCCGACGATATTGATGACTTAGGTATCCCTGAGGTAATCAAGCGTATACGCGAGCGTGTTGGGGACTCGCCTGTGTATCTGAGGTAGGTCGAACATAGACCGGACTAGGTACATAGCTCACCAGCTGCATGCAGCCTTGACATCGACGTTATCGACCCTGGACTTGCTCCTGCAAGTGCGTTCTTTCTTCATTTCACTCACCGTTATTCAGCTGCTTATACTGTGGTAGCTGGTACGCCAGAGGCCGGGGGCTGGACGACCCGCGAGGTCAAACGTATCATTCGTGGCCTTGCTGGGCTCAACTTCGTGTATGTTACCAATTCCTCTCTCTTGTCTCGATTGCTCACTTTTCACAGCGGCGCCGACGTCGTCGAGGTTTCCCCCGCTTACGACCACGGTCAGCCAGTCTTCCGCTGTCTCCCCGAAGCATCCTGACTCAAGTTCCACAGCCGAGATCACCGGAATTGCGGCGGCAGACATTGTTCACGATTTCCTCTCGATGATGATGGCGCCTGTCGTACCGGAGGGCGGATATCCCTACGCGAGCGAACGTCAGATCTCTGACGAGTTGTGAATTGTCGTACCCGTTGATAGAGAAATTCAGACAACCCATCGAAGACAGATCACAATGACAGTGGTCTCTCGAAGGCCTGACTCTCAGCTGTCAGGATTATATTTCCGTCAGACTCAACCTGGGTCACGAAGAATCAGACGGTGTGGGTCCACTTCGGCTGTTGCCGAAGTAGCTTCAGTTGAAGTCAAGCCCGCGCTTTTTGAGTCCTTTTCATTGGAGCAGACGTCAAAGGCCTCGTCGAGGACTTGAATATGGGTCTGGGCAGCTCGCAGGGCCTAGTCAGCCTGACTTCGTTGCGGCGAGCAGGCCTTGAGGCGCCGGATCCTATCCGGATTCGGTGATGTTTTTCGGCGGCTCACGTGTGGAGCCGGGAGGCTGACCGAGATCGATAAGGGCCGTACAAAATTTGCGACGCAACCTCGACCATTCCCTTGACTTGTCCCCGACAGTCATCAGAGACTGTCGCTCTCTCCCCAAAACCTTTGCTGAAGTCGCTCCCCCGAAAAGACAGTCACCATGGTGTGAGTATTCTGCGTTCTTCCCATCGCCCGCACCCAGCTGATCGACGATGCAGCAACTTCACCGTAGGTTAGTAAACGCGTTTCGCGCTGAGGAACGACATGCAAATCTCCGATCTTCACAGACCAGATCCGTGGGCTCATGGACAAGCCCACCAACATCCGTAACATGAGTGTCATTGCCCATGGTGAGTTAAGCGCGCCCATCTCCCCACCCCTTATGCTGACTGTACACAGTCGATCACGGAAAGTCCACCCTCACGGATTCGTTGGTTTCCAAGGCCGGTATCATCGCCTCCGCCAAGGCTGGTGACATGCGCTTCACCGACACAAGAGAAGACGAGAAGGAGCGTGGTATCACGATCAAGTCCACCGCCATCTCCATGTACTTCGAGGTTGAGAAGGACGATGTATCCGCCATTAAGCAGAAGACCGTCGGTGCGTAGCTTTGTACCCATCTCTGTCCGCAATCTAACTAGCTCAAAGGCAACGAGTTCTTGATCAACCTTATCGACTCCCCGGGACACGTTGACTTCTCGTCTGAGGTCACTGCTGCTCTCCGTGTCACCGATGGTGCTCTTGTCGTCGTCGACTGCGTTGAGGGTGTCTGCGTGCAGACCGAGACTGTGCTCCGTCAGGCGCTTACTGAGCGTATCAAGCCCGTCGTTGTCATCAACAAGGTTGACCGTGCTCTTCTCGAGCTCCAGGTCAGCAAGGAGGACCTCTACCAGTCTTTCCAGCGCACGGTCGAGTCCACCAACGTCATCATCTCGACGTACCACGACGAGGCCCTCGGTGATGTCCAGGTCTACCCGGAGAAGGGTACTGTCGCGTTCGGTTCTGGTCTTCACGGCTGGGCCTTCACTCTCCGCCAGTTCGCCACCCGCTACGCGAAGAAGTTCGGTGTCGACAAGGAGAAGATGATGGGTCGTCTCTGGGGGGACAACTACTTCAACCCGGCGACCAAGAAGTGGACCACTAACGGCACCACTTCCGACGGCAAGCAGCTCGAGCGTGCCTTCAACCTCTTCGTCCTCGACCCCATCTTCCGCATCTTCGATGCCGTCATGAACTTCAAGAAGGACGCCATCGGCCCCATGCTCGACAAGCTTGACGTTAAGCTCGCCCAGGACGAGCGCGACCTCGAGGGCAAGCAGCTACTCAAGGTCGTCATGCGCAAGTTCTTGCCCGCCGGTGACTCCCTCTTGGAGATGATTGTCATCAACCTCCCCTCGCCCGCGACCGCTCAGCGCTACCGTGTCGAGACTTTGTACGAGGGCCCCCTCGACGATGAGTCCGCCATCGGTATCCGCGAGTGTGACCCGAAGGCCCCGCTTGTCCTCTACGTTTCCAAGATGGTGCCGACCTCCGATAAGGGTCGCTTCTACGCCTTCGGTCGTGTCTTCTCCGGTACCGTCCGTGCTGGCCCCAAGATCCGCATCCAGGGCCCGAACTACACCCCGGGCAAGAAGGACGACTTGTTCATTAAGTCCGTTCAGCGTACCGTCCTCATGATGGGTCGCTACATCGAGCCCATTGAGGACTGCCCGGCCGGTAACATCGTTGGTCTCGTCGGCATTGACCAGTTCTTGCTGAAGAGCGGTACCCTCACCACCTCCGAGACTGCCCACAACATGAAGGTCATGCGCTTCTCCGTCTCCCCCGTCGTCCAGGTCGCCGTCGAGGTCAAGAACGCTGCGGATCTTCCCAAGCTTGTCGAGGGTCTCAAGCGTCTCTCGAAGTCCGACCCGTGTGTTCAGGCATGGATCAACGAGACCGGTGAGCACATCGTCGCTGGTGCTGGTGAGCTCCACTTGGAGATTTGCTTGAAGGTTAGCCCATTCGCCTCGTATCTGTTGCATCATCTGACGTCGCGCAGGATCTCCAAGAGGACCACGCCGGTGTTCCCCTCAAGATCTCCGACCCCGTCGTCCCGTACCGTGAGACCGTCAAGGCCGAGTCCTCGATGGTCGCCTTGTCGAAGTCGCAAAACAAGCACAACCGTCTCTACGTCAAGGCCATGCCCATCGAGGAGGAGCTCTCGCTCGCCATCGAGTCCGGCAAGGTCAACGCCCGCGACGATTTCAAGGCTCGTGCTCGCATTCTCGCGGACGAGTTCGGCTGGGATGTCACGGACGCCCGTAAGATCTGGTGCTTCGGTCCCGACACGACCGGCCCGAACTTGCTCGTCGATGTCACGAAGGGTGTGCAGTACCTCAACGAGATCAAGGACTCCTGCGTCGCTGCCTTCCAGTGGGCAACGAAGGAGGGTGTCTGCGCTGAGGAGAACATGCGTGGTATCCGCTTCAACGTCCTCGATGTTACGGTAAGCATGATCCTTCCTCGTCGCCATCGCACCTCTGACGCCTCTTCTAGTTGCACGCCGATGCCATTCACCGTGGTGGTGGGCAGATCATCCCCACTTGCCGTCGTGTCTGCTACGCCGCCTGCTTGCTCGCCACGCCCTCTCTCCAGGAGCCGGTCTACCTCGTCGAGATTCAGTGCCCGGAGAACGCCATCGGCGGTATCTACTCGTGCTTGAACAAGCGTCGTGGCCAGGTCTTCTCCGAGGAGCAGCGTGTCGGCACGCCCATGTTCACCGTCAAGGCGTACCTGCCCGTCTCGGAGTCCTTCGGCTTCAACGGCGAGCTCCGGTCACACACCGCCGGCCAGGCCTTCCCCCAGGCCGTCTTCGACCACTGGGAGTTGATGAACGGCAGCCCGCTCGAGAAGGGCAGCAAGATGGAGGAGCTCGTCCGCCAGATCCGTACGCGCAAGGGTCTCAAGGTATGCCCCCCCCCCCGTCTTGTCAATCGTCCAACGTTTGCTAACTATCCTCTTTAGCCCGATATTCCTTCGCTCGACACCTACTACGACAAGCTGTAAAGGCCCTGCTCGCTCATTTCTCCGTGTACGAAGGGTATCATGTACTGTGCCGCGCTTGACATTTTGTTGTTTCAGTAGCTGTTGTTTCCCCTACCATTGTTTCTTTACCTCATTGTACGAATACACGTCTCGCTCCGCGAGATCATGTAACGCTCTCCATCTCGTGTACGAATAACGAAAAGTTGTGAGAGAAGTACCTGTGCCGCCGTGGATTCTGCGAATGTTGAGGTACGCGCACAAACGACATCTTGCGTGCTCGCGAAGGCGGACGCCAATATATGTCGTTCACCTGAATTGTGTTGAGGACGAAACATATATCAAGGCATAGCAGAGTAGATAGAGAGCTTGGAGGGCCTACGACCGAAGAGGTAACGCGGACAGCAAAAGCTGATGCTCTCTGTCGAAGCCACGACGAAGCGCGCGTCCACCTTCGATGCGAGCAGAAGTCGCCATATCCTTGTAAGGTTAGGGTTAGAGCATTCTCCGTTCGCCAAAAAAGCGGGACTCGCAAAGAGCGAGTCCCGCAATCGCTGCCAGGGCCGTCGCTTACGCAACTGGACCGGAGGAGAGCCTTGAAATGAGCATAAACACAAAGCTGTCCAAGCTTGCTCGCGCAAACTCAACGATGTTGACGACGGTCCGAAGAACACCTGGCTTTTGCAAGAAGCCGGTTCCGCGCGTCGACATTTTGGCCGGAGTGGCGCCATCCGACCGGTGGTAAGACCGTACAAAATCGGGCAGGCGCCACGCCCTGTAGACCGAAGGGTCAGAGACCACGACGAGCAGGACGGGCGGGCGAGCCGGGGATTACAACGTGTTCCCCTGGACCAGCAGGGAGGAACGCTACCCGGGACGGCGAAGCTGCAGTAGAGCTGGGCGAGGACAAGGTATACAAGTACCTCCTCGTCCTGCCAGATACTAGAGCTCGCCGGAACTCAACCCTATCTCCGAGAGTGGCGCCACTAGAGCAGTCCCGACCAGCGCCAGTGGCGGAAGGCTGCCTACCAGCTAGTGAAGCACCGCGTGTCCAGCACCACTGATTGCAGTAGGTGTTGACAGGGGCGGACATGGTCCTATAGCGACGACACAGGCTAAGCACGTCGCTCCCCGGGTCCCCGCGTTCCAGTTCTCGCACAGGGCGATACTGAGGGCCAAGGGACCACACGCCCACCGTCCGCCCTTACACGCGGCGCGGACGATGGCGAAGCACATCCGTCGACGAAGCCCACGCAGCAATGAGGACCACATGAGCGTCGGAAGGAAGAGTGAGGAACCGAGCAATGGCGAAGGAGCGCTGCTTTTATAGTGCTCTGAAAAGCTGTGAGGCTAGCGTCGTTCGCAGTTTTGGTCTCAGTCGCCGACCATTGGCCGAGATCGCCATGCGAGCAGCTCGACGTTTTACGAGACCCATACCAGACAGGGTTGAAGAATGAGACTAATCAGAGTCGCAGACCGTGAATCTGAGCGCCGAGCCGCCAGACAAGATATGTAGACGTCGGTGAACCTTGATTAGTCGAGTCAAGTTGTCCTGTGCCGCTATCGGTCGCCTAGTGCTCGGCCATCGCAAAGCACGAGCCATAAGCAGCATCGAGTCAAGGATCGCTAAAGGCGCGAAGGTGGGCTCGAATTCGGGTATCTGCCTGAGTGAGCGGTGACGATGAACGGAGAGGCCAGGTCGCTGAGTCCGCTTTTGATCCGCGGCCTAACGGACCGAGAAGCGATCGAAAGTGATAATCGCGTGCGGCCAATTTCTGTAAGCGCCTGCCTTCCGCCACCGTGCCCCCACACCCCGCGTGCTGTCGCCATGACGGACGTTATAGACGCAAAGCCTGAAGAGGCGAAGAAAGTGCCCCCTGAGGTGGAAGACGAAGATTCCGGGGACGAGAGCGCACCGGAAGCCTCTGCTGCTGGCGGTATGCATGTCGTGTACTTGTCGTGAGGTGGTGCATAATCTGAGACGATTGCAGGCGAGGCGACGAAGAAGAAGAAGAAAAAGAAGAAGCCTAAGAAGAAGAAAAAGGCTGCAGAGCAATCCGAGCCTCCGCGTGTTGGCCTCTCAAAGCTTTTCCCCAATGGCATCTACCCCGAAGGCGAGATCCAGCCGTACAAGGACGAGTGCGTAGCCATTGCCATGCGATGCCCTTGTGTGCTGACATGCTATCAGTAATGCCTACCGCACGACCTCCGAGGAGAAGCGTTACCTTGAGCGCATTACTTGCGAGGATCCCGACGAGACGTACCAGAACATCCGCAAGGGCGCGGAGGTACATCGCCAGGTCCGCCAGTACGCTCAGCGAACCATCAAGCCCGGAATGACCATGACGGAAATTGCGAACCTCATTGAAGACGGCACGCGTGCGCTCGTTGAGGAGAATGGGCTCGAGGCCGGCATCGGATTCCCCACCGGCCTCAGCCTGAACAACTGCGCTGCGCATTACACACCTAACGCTGGAGATACAATCGGTGAGTAGCGCATGGCATTCATAGTTTGGTTGGCTGAATCGGGTTCAGTCCTTCAGCAGGGCGACGTGATGAAGGTCGATATCGGCGTGCAAGTTAAGGGAAGGATTGTGGACTCGGCCTTCACCATGACCTTCGAGCCGACGTACGACAAGCTGCTTGAGGCAGTCAGGGCGGCGACTAACACTGGCATCCGGGTATGCGCGCTGACTCCTGCGGGGGTCCTCCAACTGACAGGGTTTTTAGGAAGCGGGCATCGATGCGCGGTTGGGTGAGATCGCGGGTGCCATTCAGGAGACGATGGAGTCCTACGAGGTCGAAGTCAACGGCAAGCTAATTCCAGGTTAGCTTCCTCTCATTCCGGGTGCATGCCCCAAGCTCATGCCTGAATCAGTGAAGCCCATCGCTAACCTCAGTGGTCACTCAATCGACCGGTACACCATCCATGCTGGGAAGTCAGTCTGCTTGGTGAAGAACGACGATCAGACCAAGATGGAGGAGGGGGAGTACTTCGCCATCGAAACCTTCGGGTCTACTGGTCGCGGGCGCGTTGTGGACGGCGTAAGTCTTGCTCAGCTGACGGGCCGTAACGTCACTCACTTCCATCTCAGGGCGAATGCTCCCACTACGCGCGCAAAGTAGATGCTCCCCATGTGCCATTGAGGTATGCCCACTGAAATTCCTCGTGCCATCGTCCTGCTGAATAGAGATCCAAGGCTTACAACGGCGAAGTCGCTACTGAAGTCGATCAACAAGAACTTCGGGACAATTCCTTTCTGCAGGCGCTATCTGGATCGCATCGGCGAGTCTAAATACCTGCTGGCGGTGAGCAGGCTTGGCTACCCGGATCTGTCGTAAACGCTGATCCTGTGAGCAGCTCAACCACTTGGTCCAGCAAGGCATTGTGGAGGATTATCCGCCCTTGTACGATCAGCAGGGGTCCATGACAGCGCAATTTGTACGTCCTGCGTGAGATCGACGCACATATCGATTCTGATCCCTCCGCAGGAGCACACGATCCTTTTGCGGCCGACTGTGAAGGAGGTGGTCAGCAGAGGCGACGATTACTGAGGCCGAGGTAGAACCCCGTCTGTACACCACTCTACGCCTATTACACGAGGCTCGGACGCACGAGCTCTCCCACGCAGACCGACCTTCTAAGCGCCTTCGTCGTACTTCCCCGCCCGAGACCGCTGTCTTCGAGTGGCTTCGGCGCGGGGACAGAACGTCAGATGCCCATGGACCAACAGATGGCCCGCGATTTGATAGTCGAACAACGGCACACGTGATAGCTGAATGTGGGGCAATAACGCCGATTACCGCATTTGGGCCCGGCCCTTGTGCTAAGATTAGTGGCTGCAGCGCCCCATGGTGACTTTCATGGCGGCCTCCGCGCTTCTTGGCTCTTACCACGACGGCACTCTGGCGATCTTGAGTGTTTCGCGATTTCGAACATAATGGTCTGGCTGCCGTGGAACGCAGGCCGAGCCCTCTGTGGCTTGCCAGCAGCGACCGAGAAAGTACCAGCCCAGCCGCAGCTCACGCAGGATCCGAAGTCGCTTGTGCATTACAAGACGCCAGGCGTTGCACCTCCCTCTGCGCGCGTCGATCATGGCCTTCGAGAGCTGGAGCGCCCCCGCCTCAGCATATGGCAGTGGTGGAGGTACCCAGCCCTAGTGGCGTACAAGAGTGCGTCACCTATGTTTGACGAGACCCACAACCCACTCATACGAGGGCAACAGCTACCGAGTTGGCGCAGGAGATGGTGCACTATACGCTGTGGGGGCCGCGCAAGCCGTCGTGGGGCATCGAGATGACGCTCATCAACGCGCTTATGCGGGGCGCGGCGCAACATAGTGCGCTGGTGGACATCGTGCGTGGCCGATCATTGACCTTACATCGAAGAGCTGACAATGTATCCTGTAGGGCGCTATCCGTATGGTCTTGAGCCTCGCTGGGATGGTCCCAATACCGTCCGACGCGATCGTGACGCCTGTCAGCTTCCGCGTCAGGCGGCGAGGCCTCCGTGGAATGCTCGCCGAGTTCGACGTCCTCGAGGACGGCTCCCGTACATTGTACGGAGAATGGGTCGTCGGACGGCGAACATGGCAACGATTGCAGACCGAATGGCACGCTGCACGGACATCCGAGAAAGCGGGTGGCGCAGCACCCTCGAAGCAGAAGAAAGAGACTGTAATACTGTATATCCACGGAGGTGTGTCCATTGCGAGCATACTTCTTCGGCGTGCTTGCTGACAGCCATATCAGGTGCATACTATCTCTCTAGCGCTGCTGGGCAGCGCCTAATCTCCATACCCCTTTCGAAGTATACCGATTGTCGGGTGTTCGGTCAGTGCCCTTCCAGCTGCATGCCGAACATCAGTCTAATGTACATTCAGCCATCGACTACAGGCTAGCACCAGAAACCAAGTTTCCTGGCCCCCTTCATGACGTTGTCTCCGCGTACTTGCGATTGGTCGAGGACCTACAAATCCCTGCAGCCAATATTGTCATCGCTGGAGACAGCGCCGGTGGCGGCCTTACGACGGCACTTCTGCTCTACTTGCGTGACAATGACTACCCTCTTCCTTCTGGCGCTATCCTCATGTCGCCTTGGGTCGGTGAGTGTATTTTGCTGGTGGTAGTTAATCATTTGTGGCAATGTACTGATTTCTGCTTTAAGACTTGACGATGAGCTGTGAATCATGGGAAACGAATGCTGTATACGACGTTGTACCGATGCCCGATCGCGAATCGCACATGCACCCCGTCGCTTTGTACCTCGGCGAGAACATTGAGCGTTATGTCACTCATCCGTATGCCAGTCCGCTATTCGGCGACTTTCATGGCATACCACCGGTCAGTCCCGCTGTACAGCGTGTGTATACCTGGATGCTGACCCCCCTTCCCCTAGCTTCTCATCCAAGCTGGCGATTCAGAGGTCCTCCGCGATGAGATCACCCTCCTCGCGCACAAAGCTACCCTCGCCGGCGTCAAGGTTCGGCACGAGCTTTACGAGGACGCCGTCCATATCTTCCAGACCTATCCCTTCCTCGAATCCGCCCACCGCGCCTTCCTCTCCATGCGTGAGTTCGTCCGCAACGCAGCGCCCGACAGCGAGAAGGGCACTATTGCGGAAAGCGCCGAGAGGGAGCTGGAGCGCGAGATGGAGACGAAGGAAACGGCGGTAGTTAGTGGGGATGGAGTGGAGGAGACGAGGGGTGTGGCTGGGTTGGAGGCCGAGGAAGCGGTGGTGCCCAGTGAAAGCGAGGATGATAGGAGCAGCTGGAGGAGGAGCGATACGCGGTGGTTGGCGGCACCGGAGAGTGATGAGGAGGGTGAGGAGGAGCCACCGGTCGTACACATCTCCCGAAAGGACAAGGGCAAGGACAAGGCGAAGAACGAATGGGTGGAGGAGACCCGGGAGATCTCGCCCGAGGAGGAAAGGACACCGACGACCCCGCCTCGTCGTCGTCGGGCGGAGACGCTGTCCAATGGTCATCTGCGCCGGCTGCAGGGTGCCTTCGCACATATGTTCCCTCAACACAACTCGCCACCGCCTGCTCGGCCGTGCTTCTCGAGAGTCAAGTCATCGTACTCGGCGCTGCCCAAGCGACCTGGGATGCCTGCATTTACGGTCGCAGACCACGAGCGCACGGAAGCGCATCACATCTCGCGACCTTCATCGCGGTTATCGAATGCTTCGCCGACGTCTTCGCCAACCATGCCTTCACCTTCTATACGGCGGAAGAAGGCGAATTCGATGTCTGCGAGCCACCCAGATATCGCGTCACTGGTAAACAGCTGGAGACATGACGGGCCAGCGAACGAGACGCTCATGTTCCAGCCGATGGGCAGGTGAGAGCGAAGAATGAGGATCTGGAAGGAAAAGAGGATAAAGGACAACGCACAACCTATCTGTACGTGTAATGCTTCAATGTATTCTCCTCAAGCACGGACTTCTGCACACATGCATACTTTGTAATATCTGTAGCACGCACGCATGCATTCTGGCACACGTACATACCAATACCATCACGGTGTATCCTGTAGTAGTCGGTGTAATACTCTATCCAGGAAGTAGCATACGAGAAGGAAATGGTGCCAGGCAAAGAATAGTGTAGTCCATTGTGGGCGAGGCTATGGATACATCCGAAAGTTGTCCGTCTGGTCGAGGAAGTATGGTCTACGCTGCGGTCGATGCCTGGGTCACAGCATGCGCCCTCTGCAGTTCGAGTCCCTTCTTGTAGATCTCCAGCTCCTCGATGACGTTCATCAATGCATTGCACTCCCATTGACCATATAGGAAGCCTTCGTAGAGCATAGTCGTGCCCGTCCAAGAGAGGAAGACGGTGAATATAATGAAGATGGGGTTGATCCAGGAATGTGGCAACCAGGATGAGCCGATGGCGAGTGCGACCAACAGAAGCAGACATAAGGCAAAGACCATCAGCTCTTGCCGTGCGCGCGCCTTAGCAAAGCGGTAGCAAGCAGCGAGAGCTTGCAGAACTCCGGTGACGGCTTGCTCCGACAACTCGGTCGGCAAAGGCGCAGGAAGCTCCTCTGGGTCGCCAATCTCGAACGTCGTCTCCACCCCAAAGTGGTCCGAATACGAGAACGCCCGCCCGGGCACGAGATCCGTCAGCACCACCCGGCACTGCGTTGCCTTCAGCCGCGGGTGCGGCCCCGCGCGCACGGGCTGGCGGTAGAGCACGTAGTCCAGGCGCTTCCCCCAGTGCGCGCGGGCGTGCGAGTCGAGGGGCTTGCCGGCGGAGTAGGTGTTGAGGGGCGAGTCGGCGGTGACTCCGAAGCGGGAGAGGGCCTCGAGGGGGGAGGCGGCGCCGGCGCCGGGGTTGGCATGTGTGATGGCCCAGGCGTCGGTGAGAGCGGCGTGATCGCGGATGACCTCCATGGGAAGGGTGGTGGGGATGCTGTTGAAGTCGCCGGCCTGGGCAAGGCTAGTATGAGTAGGTAGACTGGTGAGGGGAGTATGGGGACATACGGCGATGACATAGCGGCCGAGTTCGGCAGACTGGCGGGCGAGTTTGGCAATCTCCCAAGCATTGACAAGGCGATGTGCACGGTTGTACTCTGGACCATCCTCACCACCCTTGGCGAACAGCTGGAGGAGCCTGTGTCAGCCGGTGGCGCGCACTCGCGGCGTGATGAACGCACATGTGTGTTGAAGACCTGAACAAGTCCAAGGCGAGGGTGAAGCAGTGTTGCGCTTGCAGCCGCCTTGCCTACGAACCAGTCACCCGCCCCCACATCGATCGGCGCGCCGTTCAACGAGTATGGGTGCACTGCAGTTGCAACGATCGGGTACCTCGAGAGGATCGCAAGGCCCGCTCCGAGTGCGCCACTACCTTCCGTCAGCCTTTGAAGTACCAGTACTTAGCAGCACACGCACCTATAGTAGAACTTGGAATGTGGCAGACGAGCCGCTGCGGCATCCCGTACGCGCTCATAGTCGGAGAACACCCAGATCTCTTGCAGGCATATGACGTCGTACTCGGCATTCGCGAGCGCTGCAGCAATCGCATCGACGCGCTCCCTCCTATCCTTGCTCACGAACTTGAGCCCCCAGCAGTTGAGCGAGAACACGCGCAGCTGGCGGTCAGAGTCCGACATCTCTGCACAAGCACAAGGTGGAGGCGCGCGCCCACGTGCCCGCGCTGCTCTTGTCCTCCCCGATCATCACAGCACAAGCGCCCAACAGCACCATGTCCGCCCCCCTCCCACCAAGCGGGCCCTTCTCCAGGAGCGAGTGCGTCTCCCAGCGCAGGTAGTCGCCCCGCAAGCACCGAACCGACCGACCTCCCGCAGCATCGAAATCGCGAACCGCGCCGCAGATGGATTCGTGCGCGTCTACTATTCGGCGTACGACTCGGACACCCGCGCGACCGACGTGCCCAAGTTCTATCGCCAGGACTCGACCTTGACATGGAATGGCACCGCACTACAGGGTGCTGAGGGCATGCACCAGCTACTGCAGGGCATGCCGCCGACACAACACGAAATGCAGTCGTTCGATTGCCATCCGGTACCCGGTATGTGGACAGCGCCGGTGCAGCCGTGCGGCGCTGACATTATACATAGGCACATCACCCCCTCAGCTCCTTATCACCGTCTCGGGGAACGTAACGCACGGTGCAGGCCCCACCGCCAACCCAAAAGGCAGCAATCCGAAGGACCCGGAAGGGCATCCGCGTGTCTTCTGCCAGACCTTCATGCTCGTTGTGGACCCAACTGCACCTCCCTCCAAGCCCGGAGAGATGGCAAAATACTACGTCTGTGCAGACTCGTTCCGCTTCGTCGGCTGAGGCTCTCAGCGTATGGGGTTTATGTGTTGTATTTGTAGGTATGTCCTGCGTTCTTTGCCGTTTCCTATGGCTGAGGTATCCCCAGATTTGCTCTATGTATCATACGCTGTCAATGCCAGTCACCATACGGCACCTAATTCAGCAGAAAATTGCCCGAGGTGTCTATGTACCCTCGAAATGGACAATACTCAAGTACTTTGGCTGTTGAACTTCAGACTGCATCTTTCGAAGAAACTGCCATGTGTATTCTGCTATTGTGATCACTACTGTACACTGCAAAATAATCTTAGACATCTAACAAGTCGTAGTGCGACGTCCTCCGATTCCGCAGCGTTGCCACAAATCAGACAGCCTTCCATTCTTGGGTCTCGACATCCCTCCCTCAACGCCTCCTGCCACCCCCACCACCGAGCACCACCATCTTGTTGTTCTTCTTCTTCCGTCCACTGCTTCCCACTGACGCGCCTCGCTGCTCCATCTCATGCCAAGCCACATCGAAATCGTACTCATCCTGCATCTCCTGCGCCAACGTGCGAGACCGGCGTGGTGTTTGCGAGCTCGCAGCAGTCGACAGCGTCGACGCAAAGCTGCGCTGACCCCAAGCGCCCGACGCAGCCTGAGCAACGACAGCAGGCGAAGGCTCGACGTCCTCTGACGTCGCACCGGGCGAGACCGACCGCGGAGGGGTATATGACGCGGGCGGTGGCGGAAGCCACGACGTCGCTTGCTCGTGCTGCTGTTGCTGCGCTGCACGCTCCCTCCTACCGCGCAGGTCCCTTTCCTCGCGCCTCTCCTTCTCCCGCCTGCGCGTATTGCGTGTCTTCAACGCGCCCTCGAAGGCACGCAAGCCCTCGCGGCCAACGACACCAGCCAGACTCGCCTCCTCAACCTCGACGAAAACGACATCAGCGCCTTCGGGGACGTGCGAGAGGTACTTGCAGCGCTTGCGGAGGTCGGGGTCGAGCGTCGTCGGCGTGGCATGCGCGATAGTGAGGCGAAGGCTGTCGGGTAAGGCTGCATAGCCGGACACGTCGGGTGGCGAGGTCCGCGCGAAGTGCTGGTGCAGAATCTTGATGTCGAGCGGGTGGAGGAAGATGGGGAGACCGTTGGCGGCTTGATAGAAGTAGTAGGTGGACGTGCTTGGTGGAGGAGGGTTGAGGTTGCGACGCTGCCGAGGTGCGGGGGATGAAGGAGCAACGTTGGATGGCGTGCCCTTCACCGCGAGCAACTCGGTGGGAACCTCGTCGGCGGGCGCAGGCGCAGATCGTTGATACTGTTGCGCCTTCCGAGCAGCGGCGCGTCTCTCCAACTCTTGCTGCTCACGCTTCGTACGCTCGATAGCTTCCATCAGAGGTGGCGACTCCAACGCTCGCGCCTTCTCAATCTGCTGCCGCACCTTCGTTTCCGCGGCCTCAATGAAGCTTATGCCAAGGTCGTCGCCCGCCATCATGCGCTTCTCGCCTTCCAGTGCATCAAGGTCGTGCGCTAGATCCGCGATGAGCTGGTCCGGCGTAGCGAGCATGAACTTGGCGTAGGTGAAGACGTCGGGGAGGAAGTGGAAGGGGGCCTGGTGTAGCGGAAGCACGTCGGAGGGCCACGTCGTTGAGCGCGGGAGAGCGAGCGTAGTGATACTTGGCCGCTGCATGAGGCGGAAACGCATCGTCGTGCCCGGGTTCGGGGTGCTCTCCAGGCGAAGCGCGGAGGACGAGGACGCGGAAGCAGCCGAATCAGCAGGTGCATCCTGCGCATCCTCCTCGGGCAGCAGTGAGAACTCGTCGAACCACTTGACAGCCTTGAGCTGGCGCTCATTGAAGGTGTCGGTGCACAGCGGGCAGTGGACCCATTTGCGGTTATCGGATGTGTTCAGATAGTGGAGGATGCATGGGTAACAGAAGACCTGAAGGGGCGTTAGCTTTTGAGCAAGTTGGGAGGGAAGTGCACTTGCATGTCCACATCGGGTCATCCGGGGCGCAGTAGGGGTCGATAGGCAGATAGGGCAGGAAGTATGGCCTTCGTCCCTATCACCGCTGGAGGCGATGGCCGACGAGCGAGGTATGATGACCTGGAGTATGTCCTGCCATTGGAAGAAGCTGGAAGTGTCAGCCTAGGAGTAACGGAAGGGAGGAGGGGCATACATGTCGGGGTCCGCAAAGTGGACAGTGTAATCACCGGTAGGGTTCATCAGGAAGCGATATTGCGCATTAACAAAGCCTGCAACGGATGAGTACGAGCTCTTCCTCCCAGCAGACCATACGCACGCTCTTTGTTATAGGCAGCGCCATGCTGGGCGGTCTTGCGGCTGCGGCGCGGGAGGGCGGTGGGATGTGTCTGCCTGGGCGGAAGCGAAAAGTTGAGAAGATGATTGATAGAGGTTGTGGGCGCCGTCTTGCTAGACCGCTTGTTGTTGGGGGATGTGGCGTGCGAGACTGCGTTGCTCATAGACAGCGGGCGGGCAGGCGGGGGCACAGACAACGACCGACGTCGCTGTCGCTGGCTGACATCCTCCTCTCCGTCACACTCAATCTGAGTCGGCGCGCGCACGTGCGTTCCGGGCCGAGCCCGCCGTGTTCTATTGCTGCTTCCCTCTGACGTTCATTCAAACACGGTCATGGCCAAGGGAAAGAGCTTAAATCCAGCGGACGCGTTCCGTAAGGCGCAGCGCAAAAAGGAGCTCAAGAAGGCGAGCCTCCCGTACGTCTGCCTGGCCTTTCATGCTCATCTCGTTTACAACTAGAACAAGGACTCTCGCTCCAAGGCGCGCGACTTTGCCCTTGTAAAGAAGGATACGACAGGTGTGCGCCGCCCAGTCCCCCTCATCTACTTCCTGACCCCCTTCGCCAGAAATCGAGGAGGAGATAGCCAACCTCGAAGCCTCCAACAAGGACGCGGACAAGCGGCGCGTAGCTGAGCTCAAGACCGAGCTCGAAGCTATAAACAAAAAGAAGGAGGAATATGTCAAGGAACACCCGGAGCAACGCAAGCTTGTCTACCGCGGCAAGCGTCAAGAAGGCGAGAGTAGCAAGCCACAGGACGCACCCCTTCCCCCGCAGAAGAGGAACCTCTTCAACAAGCACGGCCTGCCGCGCCATCCGGAGCGTAGTATCTACTATGACCCTGTCATGAATCCCTATGGCGTCCCGCCACCGGGGCTGCCGTACCAAGAGCGACGTGCGTGTGCTTTACAGCGGCAAATGTGTAGCTTGCTGAATATCACGTCCAGCGCTGAAAGCAGGAGAGGTCGATAGCGAAGCAGAGGATGGTGCGTGTATGAAGCGACGGCTTCGAACCATTCACTGACTCTCCACAGATGATGACATACCCATGCCCGAAGGTCCTGCACCGGGCGAGGAACTTGTCGGGAGCGACGACGAGATCCCCATGCCAGACGACCCGCCACCAGAAGATACCTCCGCGCTAGCGCGGCCAAGCCTTCCCCCATTACCTCCCGGCTTGCCTCCTCTGCCAATTGGCCCACCACCTCTGCCAAAGGGCTTGCCGCCACTCCCGGCAGGTGTGCCTCCGCTGCCCGCGGGTGCACCACCACTCCCGCCGGGCCTGCCTCCTCTTCCAGGAGGCATCCCGCCTCTCCCGCCAGGTCCGCCACCACTCCCAGCAGGCGCAGCGCCTTTACCTGGGAAGGTACCTCCACCTCCGCCTCCCCCACCCATGGGCTTCCCGCCCTTCCCTCCCACATACCCAGGCGCGTCCGCACCACCCTTCCCGCCTACGTACACCGGCTACCCTGGTGCACCCACGCCTCCACCGCCGCCCTTTCCTCCCGGAATGCACGCAGCGCCTCATCCAGGTGCCCCGCGCCCACCGCCTGGATTCTTCCCTCGACACGCCAATGTGGGCTCCTTGCAAGACCCGCTCAGCGCAGTGCCACATACGACATACCAGGCAAGGAAAGGACCGGGCGCGCCTCCGCCGGCTTCCACGGCCAAAACTTCTCTACCACCACCGCCGCCTGGACTACCGGCCAAGCCCGGACTACCCGCGAAGCCAACTGCAGCACCAGCGCCAAAAGACGTCGCCGCTGCACGCGCCGCCGCGACCATCGTCGCGGCACCCGAATTGCGCGACCTCAAGAAAGAAGCGACCGCGTTCGTGCCGGCGAGCTTGAAGCGCAAGCGACCCGCTGGAACGGTCGCGAAGGTGAATGCAGCGCCAGAGGCAGAAGGTGGGGAAGGAGGCGAAGCGGAAGGCAGCGGAAGCGCACCAGCTGCTCCGAGAGCGGACTTGATGGACGCGCTGAAGAATGCTGGGGTGCATGTGGGGCCTAAGACGACTGAGGGGGCACCAGTGGAGAAAAAGAGGAAAGTGGAGGCGGCGAAGAGAGAGGGGCAGGGCGATGATTACAAGGCGTTTTTGGAGGAGGTCGGGGACTTGCTGTAGATGAAGAGGATAGTGTGTGTGGCGAGACGGTACTATAACGTTTGAACAAGCCGATACCCCCTCACTTCTATGGCGTATCTACACACAGCGGATCCGGAAGGGCAGAAGGGCCAGGGAACAATCGCGCCGCAGAAGGCGTCTCCCAGACGCGTCGAGGTCACTGGGGCGCGTTCGATCGAAGTAAATTTTACGGCAGCCAGACTTTGTGCTTCCGACGTGTGCTCTCTTTGAAGGTCGTTCGCAAGCGCAATTGCAGATGAAAAATCTAAATTGACTATGGAAGAGGGAGGATGTACAACGAGACATTGCGACTGAATCCACACAGCTCCGCGAAGGGTAGGCTGCAGACGAACCAACCGCACCCAAGTCCCATCGAAGATCGCTCTCCAGCCATAATGACGGGCTCGAGGTCCTCGACCCGCACACATCCCGAAGGCAGCGCAGGCTATTCGAACTGCTTTTGACAGGCTGTGAGTTTGCGTTAAGGAAAGGAAGCACGCGGACGGGCCGGCTATATACTATGCAGTCGATGCACGTGACGCCTGGGTGGCTGAAGGCCCCCATTCGCAGCGCCTGGGCCCCCAAACACAGATTCGAGGGCCCGGGCGTGGGAATCTTATCGAGGATATCGTCGTCGCCGTTAGCTGCATCGACAAACCCCCTTCGCACGCCGTCCGCTCAGTCGCACGCTGAGTAGATAACAAAACAGGGCCCCGCCAGTTGCCGGGAGCCGAACGCAAAAAAGAGATGGCCTCAAGGAACGCCTTTGCGCTGCTTGGTGCGTTGATCTGACCAAATCCCCCCGCGTCCCAGGCGCTCATCCGATCTTCAGCTGAGGACGCGGACTCGTCCCCGTCCCCCGCACCGGCGCCCAAGCCCGCCGCACCCGCTGCCCCCGCCGCGCCCGCTAATCGCGGCTCGCAAAAGACGCGCGGTGGCCCCGCGTCTCGTGGCGGCAAGTACTACCCGCGTGGTGGTGGTCGCGCCGCAACATCCGGCGGCGCCGGCGAGACCGCCGGGGACGACGCGCCCCAGGAGCGCGCCAAGTGTGAGATCAGCTGATCGCGATCCCCCGCGCCGCGCTGAACGTGTCTCCCCTTCAATGTAGTCGACAACCGTGAAGGCCGCGGACGTGGCCGTGGCCGAGGTGGCCCCCGTGGGCGTGGCCGCCAGTACGACCGTCACAGCCAGACCGGCAAGACGTACGTCCCATCATCATATGCGGTTGCTCATGGTTGCTGATCGATTGATATCGTAGGGACTCTGAGAAGAAGATCCACCAGGGCTGGGGAGGCGACGAGGCCACCTCCGAGCTCAAGGCTGAGGAAACCGGCGAGGCCGATGCTACTGCTGAGGCTGCCCCCGAGGCCGATGGCGAGGCAACCCCGGCAACGCCCGGTGGCGAGAAGGCCGAGGGCCGCCCGCGCCGCGAGCGTGAGCCCGAGGAGGACGACAACACCCTGACCCTCGATCAGTACCTTGCTCAGAAGAAGGAGAAGGAGGCCGCCGCCGTCCCCAAGCTGGAGGGTGTCCGTCAGGCCAACGAGGGCGCTGACAACAACATCTGGGAGGGTGCCGTCCCTCTCCAGAAGCCCGAGGAGGACGCCTACTTCGTGGGCAAGGTGCGTCTTACAATATCCCCCTCTTCAGCTTTGTTTGACATCCCTCGTAGAACAAGTCCTCTGCGCCCAAGTCGCGCGCCGAGAAGAAGGAGAAGGTCTTCATCGAGATCGACGCGCGCTTCGAGCGCCCGTCGCGCGGCGGTCGTGGCCGTGGCGGCTTCGAGAACCGCGGTCGCGGTGAGGGTCGTGGCGAAGGTCGCGGCCGTGGCCGTGGCGCTGGTCGTGGCCGCGGTGGCCGCGCGAACGGCGCAGAGGCGCCCTCGTTCAGCGTCGACGACGAGACCGCCTTCCCCTCCCTGTCGTAAAGGGGCAGCGTCCTTCAGGGGTCGCTAGCAGTGAAATAAACCGCATCATCTGTACTGCTTACCATGGACGCGTTGTACGCTGTGTACCCGCTACTATGTCTTTACCAGTGTACTGATACGCACGGTGTTGTGTGTTGTGTTCATATATAAACTTATCATTTCCTTCTACTCTACTCGCGCCCGCTCCTGCTGCCCGCTTCTTGCTTGGTGTTCGGGATGTCTACACGATCTGAATGACACAAACGAGCCCGAATTCTCCGCGTCTGAGGTGTGATGGTCGAATGCCAATTGCAATGCTGCTCATCGGTCAAAGCTATGGCTCGTCAGAATCTAGTCGACGCCTCGTACTCGTACACTATACATAGATGCAGCGCTGCTATAACGACATGTACAGATGAAGAAAAGGAAGTTCCAACAATGAGAAGTCGGCACTAGACTCAGTAGCTATCGCCCTCGCCTCCTTCTCGCGAAAAGCCCTGCTGCTCGAACAGGACTTTCTCCTTGATCTCTTCTTGCTTCTTCTTCTCCTCTAGCTCCTTGTGATGGTACGGCTCGAGCGCTGTGTATGGCACTTGCCGCAACGGCACATCGTCTTCGCGATCAAGGTCCTATTCGACGCGTCAGATCTCATTGCGCACACGACAAGACCCAGGATACGCACGATCTCGCCCATCAGCACGACGTTCTCGCCGCGTATCAAAAAGAGGCCAACGTGCTTCTCCGCCCAGAGGTTGGAGTGATATATCTTCTCCCAGGTGTCCTCTAAGACAAGGTTCGCTTGAGGGAGGGCCGGGTAAGCCTGCCTCGAAACAGATGGGCGGGTTGTTATTCACCGAACTGGTCATACGAGCGCAAGACGCCAACGAGTTTGCGGCCGTCCCGCAGAACGACCAACATCTTCCCTTGCTTGTGGTTCGCCCGTCAGTGGTGCGCGATCGGCGCTTGCGCGTGTAGACGTACTGTCTACGCTGTCCACAAGAGCGCCAGAGGTCGTGAAGGGTATTAGCGAGTCCATGCTCGAGATCGAGTACAACGTAGATGATGGTGGTAAGCGTGAAGCAAGGATCGTCACGTCAATACGTGACGAATCGCGAGTGCACTTCGATCGGCTATCGCCCTCCGGTCTGTATCCGAGTTTTACGGGGATTACTCCCTTCACTTCGTTCGAACGGGCCAGGTACTTAGCCCCCCGTGAAGGTGAACATCTCGGTGTATACTGTAGCGCACGCCAGCCTCTCTAGCTTCAAAGTTAGAATTCCGTGGAAAAGGGTCGCTACAAAGGTGTTGAACCTAATTGTGTCGGCCTCAACACGAACCACGATTTGAGGCCACAAAAGTGCATTCAGCTACTTACTAGAGACCTCACCAAAAATTCGACACGAGCAGGGTTCGAACCTACGTCCCGAAACGGGATGAGATATTGAAAATTCAAGTCTCACGCCTTAACCACTCGGCCATCGTGCCTCTGGTTTGATATGCAACAGGATGCTCTCGGAGAGCGCTGCGCCATGTTGACGAGTGCCTCAGTGTAAGATAAGGTATGTAGAGCAGTGAACGGCTGTAGGATGACATAGGAAAACAGATATATTGACCACAGAGGCCTCGGTGACGTTCACTGACCATTCAGTCTCGTTCACCTCATTCGAGATCTCAAGATCACATCCCTAGCAGGCGCAGTCTCTGAACGTTAGCAGCCGCACATCGAGTCCGTTCAATCCAGCCAAGAGGTTGGGAGATCCGTTCCAATATAGTGCAGTGTAGTATACAGCAGTGAATATATACAAGATGGGTCTGAGATATAGGGTTGCATTGCGTACACGCATGACTGAACAACTTGAGACTATAGGTACACTGTGAATGCAAATGGTCGTGACGGAGAAAAGTTCTGCGAGACTACTACGGTTCAGGTTCGGGCTCCTGTGCGTCCTCTTCAGCAGGAACTTCCACTACCTCGACCTTGGGGGCCTCTGCAGCGGGTTCAGACTCAGCAGCTTCCTCCTCAGAAGCGGGAGGCAGCTCTACGGTCTCGACCTCTCCTGACGGATGCTCCACTATCGGAGGAGGCTGTGATGGTGGCGTGAAATGTGGGCGCTCGTCGAAAGATCCGTCACGACTGCGTTCCGACCACGCATCGTCACCTGATGAGTGCCGCTCCCTGCCCAAAGTCGAGAACGATGTCGAGGCTGACGGCGTCGTCGGCTCAGTCGCGCCGATGTTCGGTACGCCGACGATGTAGCGCAGTACGTCGCTGAGAGTAATAATACCCAGCAAGCGGCCCTTCTTGCCTCCTCGGCGCTCCTCTTCCTCGCCCTCGACAACCACCAAACGATGTACACGTCGACGCTTGATGAGCTGCAGTAACTTGTCCAAAGAGTCGGAGGCTGTGCAGATAACGACGCCCGGGAAGTCCTTCGCGCGCTGATTGAGGGCCTCACGAACCGTCAAGCTGAGGCCCTGGAAGGCGCCGAGGCGGACGAGCGTCTGCTAGGCGTAAGTCGCGCATCTAGCTAGCTTGGAAGCCACGTACGATGACGTCCACCGTCTCGTACAGGTTAACGACGATACCATCGGCATCGACGATTGGCACGGCAGAAATGGACTTCTCCGAGAACATGTGAACAACGTCAAAGACGCTGGTATCCATATGTGCAACAGAGATGGGGTGAAAGGGGTTTTCCGCTGTCGGGTTTGTAACGTATGTTCCGATGCCCAAAGCACGGAGGGGCAGTTGTAGGTGCTGTATTTCCTTCATGCACTGGGATGGGTGTGTAAGCGATGGCTGTGACATAGTTGGACGTACGCACATTTATGGAGATGAACTTTAGCAGTCGGTATTGCGTCAAAACTGACACGATGACTTCCTGCCCGGTTTCTGTGTCATTATCGAGGAGCGGGACGCGACGTGCATGAGTTTGGATGAGAAGGGTCGCTGCCGCATATAGGGTGCTCGTGGGGTGTTCTCGTAACAAAGGGGGCTGCGCGACGCCGAGCTCCCGCTCGATATCTGCAGCACGTTTAGCGCTTGTAATTGACTATACTCTCGAGCGCACCTCTCAATTGGTCCAACTTGAAAGTCTCTACATCTTCTGCAGCATCGTCGTAGGTCGATGTATTGCGCCAATAGTACTGCATTAGGTGGATGATGTCGAGAACGGTAAGCATTCCTGCGAACTCTCCCTTCTCGCTGTCCCACAGGGGCGCAGATACGACGCCTGAGATGGCCATTAGAGTTGGACCAAGTATAGGGAGGAACGCACGCGCCATTGAGCAGGAGGCATTGCAAAGCCTTCTTCACGTTGAGCTCGACATCAAGAACGATGAGCCTGAAGGAGATAGGGAAAACGTCGTAGACGGTTCTGCCTTTGTGAAAGTGATCAGGAGTAGATCCGGGGTGCGGGGGAAGACGCGCTACTTTTGAGGAACTTTCGAATTGCCAGGAGACTCTGGTCGTGATTCTCCTTTTGCGCTGGGGCCGAGTGCGAGCCCGCCCGCTTCCTAACAGAGCCGCGACGCTTGGATCTCGGGGAGGCGGTCATGGGGGATAGGGAGGAGGCCATGGCGGTAGAACAAGAGAGGCACCTGTTGATCGGTGTTGATCATGGCCCCCAGCGTCATGTGGGGTGCCTTGGCGGCCGAGCGAGTTCCCACGGGTTTACTGCCGGATTACCTCAGCCGCGTCGAGCCGCGCCGAACATCCATCCCGACACACCAGCGTCAGAGGTCGACACGGAAGACGGTTGGCCCGCCTCTGCTGCAATCTCTGCTCCTACTCTCATGGCAAGGGCGCTCAAAGCCAGAGGGCTCTCGCAGGACGTGTTCATCCCCCCGGACGACGCCACTTGGCCGACGTTCAACGCTACAGCTGGCGATAGCCCGCATCCGTCACCACCGCAGCAGGACGCACTCATGATCCTACTCCCTCTGCTCATCGTGCTCTCAACCTTCCTCTTCCTACTCCTTGTATTCCTCATATGTGTACTGCTCGTCCGCCGTCGCAGAGGCATAGCCCTGCGAGACTCCGATGGTCCCGTGGACATGAGTCGCGAGGAGCTCATCGATGGGGAAGGCGGCTTTGAGGGCGTAGAGTCCCGCTGGCTGGAGACCGTGCCCGAGCACGTACAGCGAGATTACAGGCGGGCGAAAGGTACGTGCCACTATCAACTCAAGTCGGCGTCTGGTGACCATATATTTCCAGAGTACCAGCTGCAGTACCCGCCCAATTCCTTCCCGACAGATATCACTCTCTCGCAGTTTCTATCTATTCAGGAGAAGGGCGTGTCGGCCTGGTGCTTTGAGCCCGACTTCGAGACGGTCAACAACCTTCTTGTGCAAGCGCGCACGGAGATAACATTCCTTCCCGACCCGGCGTCGGCTTCCTGCGTTCAAAGCAACCTCCCCCTTCCGAAACTCAACGAGGTCTACTACTGGGAAGTTAAGATGTTCGACCTACCCATCACTACCAACGTCAGCGTCGGCCTCGCCACCAAGCCATACCCTCAGTTCAGCTTGCCCGGCATGAACCGCTACTCTGTCGCATACCACTCCAACGGTGACATATCATATAACTACCCCTTCACCGCGTCGTCCTTCGGACCCGGACTCAAGGAAGGCGATGTGCTTGGCGTTGGCTATAGACCTCGGTCGGGCACCGTCTTCTTCACACGGAACGGGCGAAAGATGGACGACGCGTTCATCGGCCTTAGCAGGTGGAACCTCTTCCCGAGTATTGGAGCGGATGGGCCATGCAGCGTACACGTCAACCTGGGGCAAGCAGGATTTGTCTTCATCGAGGCAAACGTGAAGAAGTGGGGATTGGCTCCAAGCGTTGGCACTCTTGCACCACCTCCGGCGTACGGCAGTGAGCGCGGCAGCATACTGCTTGATGTCGGCGGTCGCCCTCGTCCAGATGGCAGCGTGACGCCAGGTAGCACGCCCGGCGCTTCGTCGCCGACGCCGTCGCGGCGATCGCACCGCTCTCGCCGTCCAAAGCCGAGCGGTATACCCAACCCCTCGTCACCTCTGCGACCTTCAGGATTCGATGATACGCCTATGACACCCCCGCCGCCAATCACGCCCATAATCGAGGAGATCGAGACAGGTGCGGGTCCTTCGAATCGGCGATACATATCCCCTACGGATTTGCCATTCCACGCACCTCCAAATGCCAACATCCCGGCATCACCACCTGCAGGTGCACGCTCAGAGATTGATATGGAGTCTCCAGCGTCCCCGTCTTCTCCCACTGCCCGTTCGCGCTCCCCGTCCCTCGAAGGTGCGCCGAACCCCTTCATCACCCCGCGGCGTCATAATAATCAACATTCTATCTCGTCTTTCGCCGCATCCCTATCCGCCTCTCCCGAACGCCGTACTCGTGTCGACAATGAACCTGCAGAGAATGCAGCGGAACTTGTTGTCCAGGTACATCCTCCTCCGCCGGAGTCGCCGTTGAGCCCTCCGAATCCGCCAACGCCGAATATGCTTGACATTGGTCTGCAGTCGCTTCCTCAACGGCGGACGAACCGGGAGGGCACTGAGGATGCGGATGACAGTGAAGAGAGCGGCGAGGACTCTGGGACCGAGAGATTCAGTCCTGAGCCTGCTCTCTCACGGAGAACGCCGCCTGGTCAGCCGCCTGCGTACTCTCCGCTGGACGCTGTCCGGTATGCCGATGGTGTTCAGATCGATTTGCCTGCGGAGGTCATTTCTGCTGCGCTCGAGGGCAGCTCATCGCCCCCCGTTGCGCAAGGGCGGTCGAGGCATTCGGGGCGTAGCCGTCGACGTTAGATCTGTGTTATATCTGGTGGATGGTATGCATGTCTCCCTCAGATGCATTCTATTCGCTGGCTTACCAGCTTTGCAGGTCGTCGTACAGACGCTACTATAATCCTTGGAGGCGCATTATCAGTATCAGTATGTTGTAATCCATATTGCTTCCTATCCTACCTACTAGACCTCGCAAGTTCCACGGACACCTTTCTTTCGCCACGCAGTCAGGTTTCTGAATAGTCCACGGAGTTCATGACTAGCGCTTCGAAGAGCCTGTAATTTACACTTCTACTGTATCGTACACAAGTAGCCGCGCTCGCAGCGGGGTAAGAGCATATAAGACGATGAAGTACATCGTACTAGGTGGGTAAACACAAAACACGAGCGGTATAAACTGTTCAAGATAGCGAATGGGGCAGTGTTGATGATACGAGTCCGTGGGGGAATGGGCTGCGGGGGTATGTGGACGTCCCCCGTGTCGTCATAAGTAGTAGGCCTGCCGTACTTTGTGGACGGTGTCGACGGCGCGCACGGGCAGCTCGTCCTTGTCCTTTACATCCTCCTTGCCCCCCTCTTTTGCTCTCCGTCCTGTTGTTACAAGCGCGTGGAGAGGGGACGCCGCGGACAGCCGTCGATCGCTGTCTGATGGTGTTGTTGTCCCCTCCCGACTCCTCTTCCCCTTGACCTTCAAGTCCAGCTCGGCCACACTCCCTTCTTCTACAAAGGTCTCCCCACGAGCCCTGTCCATCCATTGTCGCAGTTTTCGTCTTGGATACTTGGCCAGAGTCAGCCAGAGGACCAGCCCGATCACGATGAGGCCGCAGACAACGGCGACGCCGATGTAGCCCTTCATGTCTGCGCCGAGTTCATGGCTGCCATCGTCGGAAGGTTCCCCCTTCCCCGTCGACGGGTCATTGGAGGGGGCCACACCATCCGACTCGCAGGTGTGCGCGTTTGGTGGGCAGGTGTCGCGGCGCGTGAATGTGCGCAGCACGTGGTCGCGAATGCTGCGGGCGACGACGACGAGGACCATGGCGGACGAGGAAAAGGACGCTGCTCGCTCGCCTGCCTCGCGCAGCAGCACGGGCTGAATGTAGGGGTTGCGATGAGAAGAGCGCTAGCGCGGCGCGTGTGTCACGAATTGGCTCCAGTCCACATCGCGCTCTTATTCGGAAGGTGGAGCTTCTCGTTGCTTCGCATCGGTATGATCACTTCGATGTTCGCACCGGGTTTCGGCGGGTGGAATTCTATCTAGCATATGCATACACAACAGAAACGTGTACAACCGTCTCCTCGCGCGGAGATGTCGGTAATTCGCTTTGGGAAGGGCGCAGCATCCGCTCACGGCTCGAGGCGCTTGGGGTCGCGAGGGAACAACGACGCCCGACGAATGTTGTTGAGCTTGAGGAAAAGCATCAACACGCGCTCGAGACCGATGCCTCCTCCGCCATGCGGCGGGCATCCGAGCCGGAAGGAGTTGATGTAGTCCTTCATGTCGTCCGGGTTGACGCCCTTCGCGCGCATGCTCTCGATCAGCAGGTTCGGGTCGTGAATACGCTGCGCGCCGGAGAGGATCTCCTCGCCACGCATGAAGAAGTCATATGAGTTCGACAGCGTCTACGGAAGACATATTAGCTGGCATCTTCGCACGGTGAGAACCACTTACGGGGTCATTCGGGTCAGGCATGGTGTAGAATGGCCGAAGAGCCATGGGGAACTTATCGATGATGTAGTAGTCGGTGTCGTATTTTGCCTTCACGAGACGTCCAAGCCTCTTCTCGTTCTCAGTGCTGCCGATACAGGATTAGCATAAGGGACTGCACCGTGATAATATTTATACGCACTTAATGTCATCGAGGTCCTCGCGGGGGACACCATCCTCAACCAGCATGTCCGTGGCCTCCTTGAACGAAAGGACAAGGGTCTCCTCCCTCCACTTGAACTCCTCGGCAGGGAATTGGCGGTAGACAGCATCAATCTCCGTCTTATATTGCTCCTTCAGACCAGCGAAGATGCTCTTGAAAAGCCCGTCGAGCAATTCCATGACTTCGTGGTAGTGCTCCTCAATGGTCATTTCCAGATCGAGGCCCATGAACTCCGTTAGATGGCGATGAGTGTTGGAATCCTCAGCACGGAAGACGGGACCAATCTCGTAGACCCGCTCAAAGTCAGCCGCAATGCACATCTGCTTCGCAAGTTGGGGAGACTGGGCGAGGAAAGCATTGCCTGAATATCACAGTCAGATGCCTGAATCGCACGTCAATAGTGGGTAAATACCTTTGAAGTAGCTGACTTTGAAAACGGAGGCACCCGACTCGGTGGCCTGGCCTTGCAGTTTCGGACTGTGGATCTCGGTGAAGCCTCGGGCAGACAGATAGTCACGGAACAGGCTGCCAATAGCGGCCTGCAGCTTGAAGATAGCTTGATTCGTTTGCGTCTAATGACAGTCTTAGTCGACATATTACACGACAATTTGGCAGACAGGCGTACCCGAAGATCGACAATACGGTTGTTGAGGCGAGTGTCAAGGAGGACCTTGTTGTACTGGGTGTCGGCGGCCTGCAACTCCGCTTCCGAGCGCGATGCGTCGTCGATAGTGAATGGCAAGGTCGCGGAAAGACCCGCAATGAGGTGAATCTGGCGGCCAGTGAGTAGACATACTCCTTTAAGTGCAGAAAGGACAAGCCTTGGAGATCTGGATTTCCGCGTTGTGGATGGTGGTGCTCTGAATTGGGGTAGGTACTGCTGTCACGACACCCTCGACTAGGACGATGCTCTCGTCGCTGAGACCGCTTGCCCACTTCACCATCGGCTTTGAGACCTTCTCCGGCTTGGCAGTCAAGACAGCTTGAATAGTGTCGATCCTCTGACGAAGAACAAGGAAGACGACATTGCCCTTGCCGCGAGAGGTATGCACGCGAGCGCGGAGGATCACGGTCTCGCCGACGTGTTCCTCGAGCGTAGAGATCTGGAAGCGGGGTTGCCTCGGACGCGATTGGGACTTGTTGAGGGGAAGGGGGCCGTAGTTCTCCTTCGAGAAATCCTGATAATCGGAAGTTAGGGACGCACGATCGGTTCATCAGTTCGGGACGTACACCCTGGCTGGCAGCCTGCTGCGCGGCGAGCTCCGCCTGACGAGCTGCCTTCTCAGCTGCCTTCTTCTCCTTCTCAGCCTGCTTGGCGCGTTTCTTGAGCTCGTTCTTGGATGGGCCAGTCTCCCCTTCGGCGCTACATAATTTAGTCAGTCAAGATCTCCGGTGGCTTGAAGGCTACTGACGGAGCCGCCGCGGGTGGCTGAGTCTGCTCGGCTGCTGGCTGCTGGGGGTCCGACATTATTTGACGGTTCTATACGTTCTCGTTGGGTGACGTCCGCTCTTATAGACGTGGACGTCGGCTGGAACAAGTCAAGGGGGACAAGGTCGAGTCACTGACCATCGATCGGCCCGGGGCCCCGGACCACCTTCTCGGCCTTTCAACGGTGTGCGACGCACTCAGTGCGTTGAATGGCCGTGGGTAGCCCAGGCTTTCTATACCTGGGCATCGTTGACTGTCAGATGGCCTCGACATATTCACAGTCACTGTCCAATCGAAGGCTTCGTTTAGATGTACGGTATTGAGTGAAGCTGGTAGGAAGTCATGACGTTCGTGATCCTTGAAGCCATCCTTCCTCCACCGCGCGCAGTGATGTGCTCCTTCCGACACGACGGCAGTGCAGGCACTAGCGAGCAAAACGGGTGCCCGTCGTCGCCGTTGGTGGTGCTCTCCAAGAGGCACAGGACGCCACCTCTTGACCGAAAAGGAAAATATAGATGCGCATGATTGCATCGTCATGATGCGGGGAACAAACCGGAACCCCAACCTTGCAACCACTCCGCTGTCTAGACCCTCGCTCACTGCACGCGTATTTACGCGCCTCCAACTGTAGACGCTTATCACCTTTCTTCCTCGACGTTCATCATGCTCTCCGCCGCCGCTGCTGCCCGTCGTTCTGCGTCAACGCAGCTGCGCTCCAGCGCAGTTCGTTCTGTGTCTGTCTGGGCGAACGTGCCCGCTGGTCCCCCTGACCCCATCCTCGGTGGGTCGACACGTAGTTCCCCCACGATCTACTGATGTGCTGACGCGTTAAACTAGGTGTTTCTGAGGCGTTCAAGGCAGACAAGGACCCGCGCAAGATTAACCTTGGTGTTGGCGCGTACCGCGATGAGAACGGCAAGCCTTACGTCCTCAGGAGTGTAAAGCTGGTATGTGGTGACTCACAGTCATCTGGACCGCTTGACTCACTCTAGTCGTAGGCAGAGAAGGCGATCGAGGCTGCTGAGCCTGACAAGGAGTACCTCCCGATCACCGGTCTCGCCGACTTCACCAAGAACGCTGCCCTCCTAGCGTACGGCCCCGACTCCACTCCCCTCCAGCAGGGCTCGGTAAATCAGGTCCCCTTCCAGTCGGTATGATCTTTGCTCACGCGCCCCCTTCAGATCGCTGTGACCCAGTCCATCTCGGGCACTGGTGCCCTTCGGATTGGTGGTGCGTTCCTCGGCAAGCACTACCCCAATGCCAAAGTTGTGTACCTTCCCACTCCTTCCTGGGGCAACCACACCCCCATCTTCCGCGACTCTGGGCTCGAGGTCCGTCAGTACAAGTACTTCGACAAGAGCACTGTCGGCCTCGACTTCGAGGGCATGAAGGCGGACATCAGGGTATGAGTTCCTTTCAGTTGCATGAGCTTAATTTGACACTTTCTTTAGGCAGCGCCCGAGCAATCCATTGTTCTCCTCCACGCCTGCGCGCACAACCCTACTGGTATCGATCCTACGCCGGAGCAGTGGAAGGAGATTTCCGACATCGTCAAGGAGAAGAAGCTGTTCCCCTTCTTCGACATGGCGTACCAGGGCTTCGCGTCCGGCAACATTGCGCGCGACGCCTTCGCCCCGCGCTACTTCGTCTCCCAGGGTCACCAGATCGCCCTCGCCCAGTCGTTCGCTAAGAACATGGGCCTCTACGGCGAGCGTGTTGGCGCGTTCTCGCTGGTCTGCGCGGACCCCGAGGAGAAGGCGCGCGTGGACAGCCAGCTGAAGATCGTCATCCGCCCGATGTACTCGAACCCCCCTCTGCACGGTGCTCGCATTGCGAACGCGATCTTGTCTGACAAGGAGCTGTACTCGGAGTGGGAGACGGAGGTCAAGGGCATGGCCGACCGCATCATTGGCATGCGCGAGAAGCTCTACAACTCGCTCACTCACGACCTCAAGACGCCCGGCGAGTGGGGTCACATCAAGAGCCAGATCGGCATGTTCAGGTATATGCGCCTTCGCCAATGCCCAACGAAATTTGGCTAAAGAGAAATTTTCAGCTTCACCGGCTTGACCCAGCCTATGACGAAGGCCCTCGCCGAGAAGGCCCACATCTACATGACGGCTGATGGCCGCATCTCGATGGCTGGCCTGAACAGCCACAACATCGACTACTTCGCGGAGAGCGTCAACAAGGCCGTCCGTGGCGACCTCTGAGTCGCAAAAATGGGACGCCAGTGACGGCGGCTGTAGAACTATCTTGTTACAGTAGCTTTGTACGACACGTGGTTTCGGACGGGCGGACGAGCATGTTACGATCGTCAATCACATTGCATCTTGCTTTCAACCATCATCTCGTCTGGCTGGTTGCGTGACGTCGAGGATCGCGGGTTCAGGCAGCTGCCTCTTCGGGCGTGTCGAGAAGGACGACAAGGACGGGACGCTCAAGCGGACGCGACTGACGGACGGAAATGGCGGACTCGCGCACGCACACGGCGAGGAGCCCATCACCAATGGTTCCCGGCGCCTGGCATGAAGAATTCGACAAGAACGCGTCGATGCGCAGGAGGTCGTCCACCCTTCCCGCTCCCGTCGTTCAGGCCACAAAATCGGGCACCGCGTCAACCCACGAATCCCAGCTGCACCTTGACCATGTCGTGGACTTCCAGCACCGGCTGTCACAGTCTCTTCAGTCCAACACTGCTGCTCAGAAGTTGCAGAGCTTCGTGCCAAGCGTCTTTCGACCCTTCGCTGCGCACCCGAGGGAGGACCTTGAGGCCGGCGGATCGGGGTCGAGCTCGCCCTTCCAGTCGCAGGGCTCAGATCTGACGAAGCTCAACAAGGTGAGTACTATTTGCCTCTGAACCATTTAATCTGACACGTACTATCATCAGCACGCCGGTAGTCGAGGTCTATCGGTACGCTTTCGCCCTTGCAAGTGCATATATGCGTGGTTAACACAGTCCAGGATTCGTCTGGTACTGCTTATAGTCCTCCCATGTCGCCGGCTCGGCACGCATACAAAAGACTCGAAGACTCTCCACCTAGATCGCCTGTACGCTCCTCTCGTCTATCCATGCGCGGCAGCCCAGCTTCTCGCGTACGCACAGCGACCAGCATCAGCACGCTCAATTCTTCGCCTTTCTTCTCTGGTCACGGCAATTTTTCCGGCAACTCTCCTTCAGCAACCACGCACTCGCGCCCTTCTCTATCAGTTGGGCACCCCTCCGCCTCTTCGTTTTCTTCGTCTCCGATGACTTCTTCCAACTCGCCTCTCACGCTCTCGCCTATCATGTTTTCTTCGCCTGCCTCCCAGCGCAGTCGCAATGCTATTGACCGCCTGAATGACCCACGACTCCACGATGAATCCTCTCCCACGTCGACGGATAGGCTGCACCATGGAGCCAATCGCCTCGGACCTAGTTTGCTGCCGTCCAATCATCGCAACACAACGCCCGGCAAAGAAAACCTGTCACCTTTGCGCGCTGTTAGGCACTCTCCAGGCACACCCAGTCCCTCTCCTCGTCGACCACGACCTTCGAACGATTCTTTTCTTCACGCCGATTACTTCAGCTTTGGCTCAGCACAAGGACCGTACAGCAATCAACAATCATCACTCGAAATTGAAGACGACAGCATCTACTCCACCCGTATGCTTACGACCCTCTCTCTGCCAGGCAGTCCCGACTTCAGCACGAGCATGGATCTCACTCCGTTGAGCATCGATTCGCACATGCTTATGGCGGTGCCTACGAGTACTAGCGAAGCCGTGACGCCGAACGAGACACCGTGGACGCTGTCGATGGACGCCCTCTCCGAACCTTCGCCCGCGTTGTCGCTACCACAGTCACTTGCGCTTTCGCCGTCCTCGTCGCTGCGCGTCAGGCTTGGGCTCGACAAGGATGACGACGGTCACCATGTCGTCTTCCCGTCGCCCTCGACGACCTCGCCTAATCCCGCGTCTCCAGCGAGGGCGGATCAATCCTTAGCGAATGTGGAGACGAGCATGGATGGTGTTGGCGACACTACACGCGCGTTCTTGGACTCTAGTGTCGCTCAGTTCGCTGCTACGTACCTCAACTCTACCTTTGAAGACTCCGAGGAGGGTGCTCTGCCATCGAATGGTATCCTGTCTCGTTCTCGCGAGCGGCAGACTACGCCGCACTCTCCGGTCGTCTCCAGCGTACAAACTGGCGCAGTGTCTCCGTCAGCGGCAGCCGCACGACACCAATATTTGCGGCGAGTCAGCACCACGCCAGAGCTTGTCAACCCTGGCATGCTTTCGAAGATCAAGCAACTGGGCTCTCGCATGCGCACTATGCTACTCAAGGATAAGGGTTCGTCGCACAAGCTGGATGTGCTTATGACACAGACGATCCGTCGGCGAAGTTACCATAGCCCTGCACGTCGGGAAGCGGATTACCTAGCTCCAAGGAGGCCACCTAGCCCTCCAGAGCGCGAGGTAAGTCTCGGGCGAACTTTGAGGCAGCCGTTCGCTGATGAATGCAGCAGCGCTCAAACCGCGCAAATCGCTCGAGGCCGGGGGCACCTCCTCGTCCCTCCGAACCCGCGTCAAATGTTAGCAGCGTTGGCCACTCTACACCGCTTGTCACCTCTTTGCCGCCTACGCCACCGGCTACTCAGGCTTTTCGCGCTCAGGCTGCCCCAGCTTCGCCCCCTCGTATGGCGCCAACGATTATGATGCCACTCTCGAAATCTCGACGCCGGTTCTCGCTCTCGGTCTTCGGCATGTCCTCCCAAACACAGTCAAGGACGCCTTCGTCACCCACCAATATCCAGCACAGACAGGCGCGCACTCCTTCTAGTCCCTTGCGCGTCGCCCCCGGGCGTCGGCCTCACTCGATGGCGCTCGTCTTCCCGCCTGGTGGCGAGTCTCCGCGATCGGTCCCTCAGCCTGTGGCTGAGCCAAGAGCACGGGTCAACGGTAGCCTTCGCAACTCGACGGCCAGGGAGATGGATCAGTTCATGCCGGATGTGCCCATCGAGGACATCGTGCGCGTGATGGACGAGAACGGGGAGGCCTCCGATGATAGGGAGAGGCTTCTGAGCCCTCCGGGTCTGGAGGACTTCAATCGGACGCGTCAGGTTAGTGGGGTGGAAGGTTGGATGAGGCGGGGGAAGCGCAGACGGAACTCTGTTCCTATTTTCTAGGCTTCGGACGCTGTCCACTTCGGTTTCTTGCACGTTGAACGTCCAGCTCCTCTTTGTAATTGTATCGCAGGTTGCAGCAATGATTTCTGGGTGTCACACACGTTCGCGATGTGCGGAAGGCAACGGTGACGTCACGCGTCGACTGTTGTCGCGAACGTCCACGGCGCGAAGAAATTGCATATTGCCTTCATAACCACCTGTTGTCCGCAGCGCTCACGCAAGGCAGCACATAGCCCAAGACTCGACCAGAAAATGGCCGCATCCTACATCAGCACCCTTCAGCGCAAGAAGAAGGCGGCCGAAGCTCTGGAGGACCACCTCGAGGATGATGATATCAAGCCGAAATTGCAGGAACTGCTGAACGACACTGGCGACGTCGTGCGCATTGCGTCTGGGGACGCCCAGGTCGTGGACGATATGCCAGCGATCGTAGATGCGGCATACGATACGTTGGAATTCATCCTAGGGCTCACCATCGACGGGGAGATGTCATTCATCCAGCCATATACGGAGAACGTGAATACCCCCGTGGTCAGCGATCCGGAGACGATGGAGAACATGGTGCAGTCGCTGATGAGTGAGTTATCGACTCTCAAGAATTCCTACGCGTCGCACTGACCTGAAGATAGGCCCAGAATTCATGGATCTGGTCATGCTGCTATCCGGAGGTCAAATGCCCAAGAAGAAACTGCCAAAGCCAGAGAACTTCCACAAGACCCCAAAGCCTCGCGCCAACACGAGCCCTCTTGCGCGCTACAGACATGGCGCAGCGCCTGACATCCCAGACACGGCTTCCGCAGCTCAGGCGGTTTACTACGGCTGCTGCTCGATAACGAACGACGAGGGGATCCCCATACCCCAGGAAATCGCGACGGTCCCCGGCTCGGACATCCTCCTCCTGTCTGCGCGGTCGGGGTGGAAGCAGCGCAATCCCTTCCTTCGCTACTACCGCATGGACGAGATCAGCGACTTGGACCTCATGCCGGAGCGCAAGACGATTCGCAGTGGCTTGCTGGGGTATATCGAGCAGATGACCATCGATCCGGTGAACAAGCTCATCTTCGCGGCGGACGAGGAGCGGGTGAAGAGCTTCGCGTACAGTGGGAACGAGTATCTGCCGAAGCACACTCTGAAGTCTACGCGCGGCGGACCTCTGGCCGTGGTCGACAATGGAGCCCGCCTATTCCGCGCAGGGAAAGGTGGCATCGACGTTTGGGATATTGACTCGCTGCCCACGCACGGTGACAGTGGCAAGCAGCGCATCGGCGAGGGCGCAATCAACACGGAAGAGACGTGGCGAGACGAGGGCGGCGTAGCGAAAGTGGAGACGTCCACCGGTGCCCCTCGCACGTCCTCTATCGACTTCGGCGACCCGGACATGGAGGTTGACCGGTGGCATATTCCGACGTTCTGGTCCACGAGCGGCCAGCTCAAGGCCATCGCGCATCTGAAGGACACCTACTCCTCTGTCATGGCGCTCGACCTGCGAGATAACGGCAAGATCGTGACGCGCTATCTGGGGCACACGGGCGACATCGAGGACATCTCCTCGAGCGAGGGCGATGCAAACACCTTCATCACGGCTGGCGACGACGGCGTCGTCCGCCTGTTCGATATCCGCAGTCCGCTTCCCCAGATCTCCTTCAAGAGCCCCGAGATGGACGTGGCGCACTCTGCGCTGTATGTGCACGTTGACGGGATACCTGGTTCGTTCTGTTACATTCACGTTATACACCCTCCACTCACACTCCGCAGTAATCTTCACCGGCGGCACGCGCTCGCAGGTCATCCAAGTCTGGGACCCCCGCGGCCAAAAGCTCGTCTACGAGCTCGCAACCGGCAACAACGCAGTCCAGGGCCTAGTATGGGACGCCCCACGTAACACTCTTTACGCGGCGACGGAGTGCACGTACATGGACCGCATGGGCTACACGAACGAGTACAAGCGCGCGCAGATACCGACTGGGCCGGAGGTGCAGGACCGGAGGGAGGTGGGGAAGGGGAGGCTGACGCAGAAGGTAAAGCCGTGGGATAGGAAGGTGAATGAGCGGCAGGAGATGCATCGGGATGGGGACGGGGAAGGGGATGACGAGGAAGACGAGGGAGAGGAGGACGAAGATGAGGAGGACGAAGATGAAGAAGAAGAGGAGGAAGAGCAGTTCACGACGGACCCAGAAAAGGCATGGCCAAAGCGAGCATACCACCCCGAGAACTACTTCGGGTACACTTTCGACTCTGGGGATCACCGTCTTTGTGAGTTCTCTTCCATATCAGGGGTTTCTTTGTGGACCTCGATCAATCGCTCTTCTGACGCGTATTGTAGTGCGCTACAAGTTCGGGCTCGACGCCAACCCGAAGGACGTGCCCGCGTACGGGATGGCCATGGTGGGCAGTGGGCCGTATTGGTAAATTCAGAGTGCTCCGAATGTATCAACGACCATCTACCTAGGTAATATAGTATCATGTTGTTCTTGTATCACATTGGAAGTTGCTTTTTCACGCCTGTTTGGAGATAGAGTCCATGACATAGATTTGTCAATGTTACAAGATATGCAGTCCACTATGATCGTATAGACAACATCTCGGGTCTCAATGTTGGCGCTGCCCTCGCCACCCCTCTGCCTCTCCACACCTGTTGCACGATATGCGAAGCCAGAAAAAAGGGCAGGGCCGCGATTCGAACGCGCAAGGGCTCCCGACTGAGCCACCGTGCCGGGATGGGAAAGAAAAAAGTACAGAGGTGGGTCGAAGTCGGCCGCGTCCAGGTCGAGTCCACAAGGTGTCCGTGCGAGCAGGATGACTCCACAGCGCAGTGCTCATCCCGGCTGACCAACACATCGTGCGGACCGGGGAGGATATTGTCGCTGTGGTCCTGAACCCGGACAACGCTTGCGGACGATGCCAAAGTCATAGTCGCAGCCGTGGTCGCCATTGAAGTCGTTGTCGTCGAGTCCACGAGGCGTCCGTGCGAGCAGGTTGACTCCACAGCGCAGTGCTCATCCCGGCTGACCAACACATCGAAGACATGCGGACCGGGGAGGACATTATCGCTGTGGTCCTGAACCCGGACGACGCTCGCGGGCTATGCCGATGTCGAAGTCGCAGTCGCAAGCCGCCGGGGCCGTCGTCCAGCAAGCGAGACCGAGCGGAGCAGGTGATTCACCAACGCCAGCGCTTTCCCCGGCTGATCAGTCACGGTTAGGTGCGGACCAGGGCGCCTCTGGCACGAGTGGGCCTGAACCCCGTATGTCGCTCGCTGGAATGCCGAAGTCGAAGGCCAGCGTCCACTGAGGAAGTGTGTTAGTACAAAACAAGCGTCGGATGCAAGCACTCACCTGGGAGGGAAAGGAAGGAGGAGAAGAGGATGGGGATTGAGGGAACGGTTCGGTCGTATATATACCATTGGCGGTGGTCGTATATATACCATTGGCGGTGGCTGTGTTGACTTTCCGCAGAGCTGTGCAGTAAACAAGCTAAGTGGTCGGGCAAAACAAAGACAAACAGACGCGCACCGTCGTCAACGATTAGCTCGCCCGCCTTTCTTTCCTGCCAATTGCGGCGCTCATAACCGTTCCCTCTGCTTGTAGATAACATTTTAGTCATTGCACGGTCGAAGGGGGAGACAGTCAGGCTGAAGCGGCGACGACGACACCGACAACCAAGAGCGTTCGGGACAAGATCTCTCCCCCGTGTTCTTCCTCGCCCTATAATCAAGGTTCCGTGGGGCGCGTGGCAGAACAGATCCCTATGGACGCGGCGGCGGCGGTCCAGTTTACTGGAGGATGGTTTACGAGACTAGGCGGCGGTGGCTGAGGCGGGCGCGTCGGCGAAGATCGAACACTGCGGTCAATGTGCACAAACACGCGTAACTTCCGCTTTTGCTTCCGTGGCCACATTGCCCTCGGCTCGCTCACTGCAACCTCTTTGGCCAATATGACCTGTCGCTCTTCCGAGCCTCATGTATAGAGATCAGATGTCAAGGATGAGGTTCAGCTCTGAGACGATACAGGCAGTAGCGGTGAGTCTACCAGCGTTTTCCCTCTCCCGGACGGGCATCGCCGTACTCGGGAACGACGGTCGAGTCAGCGTCAAGGCCGAACTTGTAGCGAACTGTAAGATCATCAGTTATACTCTCAACAGCGAAAGCCAAGACAACCACGTACCCAGCCGATGATCCCCACAATCCCAAGCATACCCAAAATACTTCTCATCGTGGTAAGCCCCTTTGGGCCACCCCCTTTCCTCGTCGTACTCGTCCTCCCCACCGCCCGCATCTATCCTCGCCCTCTTCTTTGGAGGCTCCTCAGCCGGCTTGCCTCGCTCGTCGTGGATGCTGTCATCGCCGTCAGGCATGCGCAATCTGCCGTAGCCATGTCGGATGCCCGCGCGGTCGAGAGCGTTGCATTCCGTTGCTGCGTAAAGCGTGGAGCGCGGCGCGTCCCAGGCGAGGCTCTGGACGGAGTTGTTTCCCGTAGCGAGTTCGTAGACGAGCTTCTTAGCGCGCGGGTCCCAGACTCGGATGCATTGAGTCTTGTTGGCGCCGCCGGTGAAGATGACTGGGGATTAAATGACGGTTCAGCATACGGATGCTCCATGCGTAGGAGGGGGGTTGGCACATACCAGGAATACCGTTTACATGGACATATAGAGCAGAGAAGCAATGCTCAGAGCGCTCGCCAGCGTCGACGGTCATCTGTGGCGTAGGCTCGCGCACGTCGAACAGCCGAACGAAGCCGTCGTTCGCAGCGGTGAGGAACGAGTTGGGGTCGTCGTCGCTGGATGTTATGTTATTGATTGTCCCGCCGTGACCCAGGTAGCGCATCGTAATTTTCCCTCCATCACGCAAGTCGCGCGCCAGTACCGTCGACTGGTTACTCTCGGCAGCAATCAGCGCTTTGAGCGTGCCGCCCGTGCTCCACGAAGGAAGGTGCCACTGGTCAATCGTACCAGTAAAGTCGATCGAGGACGTCCGAGGTGCACCAGTCGAGGGTTCGATGTAGGCCGTACCGTCTATATCGCGCCAGATGTCGTGCAACGTCTCCTTACCCTCCCCAATGCGATTCGAGCCATCTGGGCCATGCGTCGGCAATTGCTCGATATTCCATACGTCGACACCGTCTTTGCCGCCCCGTAAGACACGTGCTCCGCCATTGAGCACCGCGAGGGGGCCTGAGCGCTCGCAGCGAAGGGTATGGACGGGTAGAAGTAGGTTGTGAGCGTCGTAGCTGAAGCTCTTCACGCGATCCCTGTCCGCCGCCCACAAGAGCTTGTGCTCCGTGTCAATCGCGGTGTGGTAAGCAATGTCGTTCAGACCAATCTTCTTGATGAATTTGCCCTCTGGCATACCCTTCCCGTCCGGCGCGGTGGACAGGTCGTAGTAGTCGACGAAGGCCTCAGCCTCTTTATAGCCAGTGTGACCAGACATCAAGAGGACGTCCGAATTCGGGGCAGTAATGATGCCAACTGGAGGAGGCAATCTATCTTCGCTGCTAATGGAGCAGCATCCGTAGTACACAGCTTGCGCCACCGCGGCGGATGAGGGGATCGGAGGGATAACATTGTCCGATCTGAAGCGCGCAAGCGGGCTGGTGTTGTTGTGCGGCTTGGGTGTCTTGTTGAAGGCTGCAGGCCTGGGGAAGTCGTCTACGGGAGGAGGCGCACCTGGTGGCTGCCTGAGCATGACATGGGCTTTGTAGATTTTGAAGAATGAGTCGCCTACGAAGGGTCAGCGTGCAGTCATATTGGCACAGAGAGGTTACTCACCGATCGACATGAAGAGGTTCTCATCGTGCGCAGGGTCCTCGACCAAAGGAGCCGAGCCATCATCGGTGTGGGCGTACGAAGGCAGGAAGTCGAAGAAGTCCCATCTGAAGTCGTACGCCGTGTCGATCGCCTCGTCGAGCAGCGCGTTAGTTCTTTGTAATAGATCCTGAAGGATGCCCGACGCGCCAGGGTCTCTGGCTGCGTCCCGAGCATTCTTGCAGGCGGCGGACATTATGCCCAGTAGTTCCTTGCTGTCCTCTTCGTGTGAGTCGGAGTATCTCTTGTTGAGACGCTCCAGCTTGGCTATGAGGGTCTCATAGCGTGTCTCTAAACGTCTGAGCGCGGTCAGATAGCGAGAGGTCATGGTCGTTGGGGACAGACTGAGATATCGACAATACAGGCGCGTAATTGCCCTTGGACTCCAAAGCGCGTGTAATCACGTCACAAATGTCCGTTTCTGGCTACAAACAAGCTGCCGGCCTCTTGGAAGCTCATCAAAGCCAAGTTCCAAGTTGCAGCCCCTGAGGCGATGGCTGTAGAAGGCATTATTGGAGCAGCCTGCGATGACTGCATGAGGGAAAGTTTGACGAGGCGGAAAGCCAAAATCGTGACTGTGATGAACGCGCTCAGGTGCAATCATGGTTTTTGATGCCGCCATCACGGGCCCCCGCAGGGATAAAAGGCCCCGTTCGCGCCTCAAGGCCTTGTCCTTTCCCCTCATCGTGATTCCCGTATAGTACACTTACAGTTGCTTCGAATTGCACCTGTCCGAACGCCGAGTTGGGGACAATTCTGTAGTATATATCTTACGATGTGATTTGGCCTCCGTACGGAGAACGGTGTCGATGCGGAGGATGCAATAAACAGTAGTAGGACATCTACCAGTTGTTGTTCTCTTCTCCTGGATATGCATCACCGTACTCAGGAACGATGGTTGGGTCAGCATCAAGGCCAAATCTGTAGCGAACTACAAGATTGTCAGTCGTAGTCGCGACAGCAAGGGAGAGATCACATACTTAACCGATGGTCCCCACAATCCCAAGCATACCCAAAGTACTTCTCATCGTGGTAAGACCGTTTTGGCCAGCCCCTCTCCTCGTCGTACTCATCCTCGCTCGCGAACGAGTCGTCGGAGTCGTCCCCATCTCCCACATCCATCCTCGCTCTCTTCTTTGGAGGCTCCTCGGCCGGCTTGCCCCGCTCGTCATGAATGCCATCGTCGTCGACTGGGATGCGCGCAATGCGATACCCATGTCGAGTGCCAGCGCGGTCGAGAGCGTCGCACTCGGTGGCCGCGTACAGCGTGGAGCGCGGCGCATCCCAGGCGAGGCTCTGTACGAAGTTATTGCCAGTGGCGAGCTCGTAAACGGTTTTCTTCGCACGCGGGTCCCAGACCCGGATACATTGGGTCTTGTACGCGCCGCCGGTGAAAATGACTGGGGAGTTATAAGCATGCAGTACTACGCTGTGAGAAGTTCCGTACCTGGTATACCATTGACATGGACGTAGAGAGCCGAGAAAATGAATTCGGAACGTTCGCCGGCATCGATGGTCAACTTCGGGGTGGGCTCGCGCACGTCGAACATCCTGACGAAGCCATCGTTCGCTGCTGTGAGGAACGAGTTCGGGTCCTCGTCGCTGGAAGTGACGCTATTGATCGACCCGCCGTGTCCTAGATGGCGCATCGTGATCTTCGCCCCATCCCGCAAGTCGCGCGCCAGCACCGTCGACTGATCCTTCTCGGCGGCGGTCAATGCTTTCAGTGTACCGCCCGTATTCCACCACGAGGGTAGATGCCACTGGTCGATCGAGCCGGAGAAGTCGATGGAGGACGTTCGAGGCGTGCCGGTTGAGCGCTCGACGTAGTCGGTGTCCTCGATGTCGCGCCACGTATCCCCTAACGAGATCTTCCCCTTGCCGATGCGACTGGAGCCGTCCGGCCCGTGCGTGGGCAGCTGGTCGATATTCCAGACGTCGATGCCACCTTCTCCCCCGCGCAGGATGCGCGCTCCGCCATCAACTATAGCCAGCGGGCCGGAGCGCTCGCAGTCAAGTGTGTGTACGGGTAGAAGGAGGTTATTGGGGTCGTAACTGAAGCTTTTGGCGCGGTCCTCGTCCGCTGCCCACAAAAGCTTACGGTTCGTGTCGATTGCGATATTATGCGCGATGTCGAGAAGACCAATCTTCTTGAGGACCTTGTCCTTGGGCATGCCCTTGCCGGACGGCGCGGTAGACAGGTCATAATAGTCGACAAAGGGGTCGCGCTCCTTGTAACCGGTACTGCCGGTCATCAAGAGAACGTCCGAGTTGGGCGCTGTAATAATGCGGCCGGGAGGGGGCATGCGCTCTTCGCTACTGATGGAGCAGCAGCCGTAGTATACGGCTTGCGCCACTGAGGCGGACGAGGGAATTGCCGGGATGGCATCGTCAGACCTGAAGCGAGCAAGCGGGCTGGTGTTGCTATGGGGCTTAGGTGTCGTGTGAAACTCAGCCGGTCTCGGGACATTGAGAACTGGTGGGGCTGCACCGGGCGGTAGCCTACGCATGATGTCGGCCTTCATTATCTCAAGAAATTCATCGCCTGCGATGAATCAGCATGTAGGTGTCTTTGCCGGAGGAAACGACTAGCCAATTGAGTTAAAGAGGTTTTCTTTGCGCGCAGGATCCTCGATCAACGGGGCCGAGCCATCGTCGGCGTGGGCATACGAGGGCATGAAGTCGAAGAATTCCCATCTGAATCGTACGCTGTGTCGACCGCCTTGTCAAGCAGAGCGTTGGTTCCCTGCAAGAGATTCTGAAGAGTGTCCAACGCGTTGGGATGCTTGGCCGCGTCCCGAGCATTCTTGCAGGCGGCGGACATGATCGCCAGTAGTTCCTTGCTGTCGTCTTCGTGTGAGTCGGAGTACTTCTTGTTGACGCGCTCCAGCTTGGCTACGAGCGTCTCGTATCGCGTTTCCAGATCTCTGAGCGCGGTCAGATAGGGAGAAGTCATCTTGACACGGTGGAGGTTGGGGACAGGGATCGAGATTGGCAATCTAGACGCGCGTAATTGGGCTCCAAAGCGCGTGCAGTCACGTCACAAATAATTCCCTTAGAGGACTCCCTTGCCTTTGCATAATCATAATGTCGGTCTGACATCCGAGAGACTGGGTGTAGAGCGTGCTGTGGTCATCACAGACAGCAATGGCCGCACGAGGGAAGGAGGAAAGAGGCGGGAAGCCAGCATGACTGTGACGAACTTGATGGCATCACGGTGCCACAAAAGGCCCCGCCAGCGCCTAATGCACTTGTCCTCTTCTGCCACACGGTATGCCAACTCCTGTTTTCACGCTTTAGCTGCTTGCTCAAGCGACTCTCTAGTGCTCTGCCCTCCTTATAAAGCAGATACACATATTCATCACATCGATACACTTTCACACTAATACCTTTGTTGTTTTCAGCAGAGACGGATACTTTCACCAATCAGAGTAGCCTCCGCCTCTTGAAGGATACGCATCACCATACTCGGGGACAACAGTCGCCTCTGCGTCAAGACCGAACTTGTAGCGGACTGGTTTGAAGATGATTAGTGTGCGGTTATAATCGCAATCGAAGAATTCATCACGCACTCAACCGATGCTCCCCACAATCCCATGCGTACCCAAAGTACTTCTCGTCATGCGCACACTGCATCGGCCAGGCTTTATCGTAGAGATAGTTGTCCTCGCCAACAGGCTGGAGCGGTGGCGGCGGCTGCAGACCACGGTGGTCGTGGATACCTGCACGAGCCCGTGCCTCACGATAGCGTTCGCGCCTTCCTGTGCGATCGTTATAGCCCTCGCAGCGGGTGGCCGCATACAGCGTCGACCGGGGCGCGTCCCACACAAAGCTGACCACAGAGTTGTTGCCCGTGGCGAGCTCGTAGACGAGCTCTCGAGCCCGAGGGTCCCAGACCTTGATTCCCTGGTTCTCGCCACCGGTGACAACGACTGTAAACGGCTTGAGCATTTGTGGAATAGGAAAAGGAAACACAACAAGCGGACCTGGTAGGCCATCGACATGCATGTAATGGGCGACTATCTTGGAAATAGACGACTCTCCGCAATCAAACGTTAGCTGAGGGAGGGGCTGCCGCACATCAAAAAGCCTGACGAGGCTGTCGGTTGTGGCAGTGACGAACGCATTCGGGTCGCCATCGCTAGAAGTGATCGTGTTGAAGAAACCCCCATGGCCCGTATAGTACGCCGTGACCTTTCCATGGTCCTCCAAGTCCCTTGCCATAACCGTGGTCCTAGCTTCGTTGCCCGCCGTCAGCGCCTTCAGAGTTCCGCCCTCGCGCCACCACGAGGGAATATGCCACGTCTCGATGGAGCCGTCAAAGTCGATTGACGACGCGCGCGGGGCACCCGTAGACCGCTCGACGTAGTCGTACTCGAGATCGCGCCAGGTGTTTGCGAGAGAGATCTTCCCCTTGCCGATGCGCTGGTTGCCCTTCGGGCCGTGCGTTGGCAGGTCGTCGACTTTCCACACGTCCACGCCGCCCTTGCCCCCGCGAAGGATGCGAGAGCCGTCGTTGATGAGCGCGATAGGACCGGAACGCTTGCCGCACTTGAGAGTGTGCACTGCAAGCGTCTCGCCGTCCTCACTATACCGAAAGCTCTTCGCACGTTGATCATCCACCGCCCAGATGAGCTTGCGTGTCGGATCGACAACGATGTCGTAGCAGACGTCCAGAAGACCGTTATTGATGTAGTGCATCTTTGGCGTGCCCGCCCAACCCTCGACGCTAGCCAGGTCGTAGAAGCAGGTGAAGGGGTCCATCTGCCTGTCCCCGTCGTACGCAGCGATGGCCATAACGTCCGAGTTCGGCGCGTTGGCGATTAGGCACGGCCGGGGTCCCAGTCGATGGCTGCTGATGGAGCAGCTGCCATAGTATACGGCTTGCGCGATGGGTGCGGAGGAGGGGATGTCAGGGACAGCATCCGCATCTCTGAATCGTGCTAGCGGGCTTGTGTTATTGTGTGGCTTCGGCGTCTCGTCAAAAGCAGCGGGCCTTGGAAGTGCCTCTCGAGCGGCCCTGTCCACATCCGCGGGAAGGCCGAGCGCGCGAGACATGAGACGGAGGCACATGTCGCCTACATACAGTGTCAGATTGACTGTATCATCACCACAATAACCTGCACCTTACCGAACGTTCCCATAGAGCTCACAAGATTCGCTTCATGATCAGGATCTCTGATCAAAGGCGCCGCGTCGCCCGTATACGAAGGCAGCGAGTCGAAGAGGTCGCCGCAGGAACTCGAGTACGCCATATCGACCATCTTGGCCAGTGCTATGTGAGTGGCTGCGGCGAGCTCTGGCATAGCGTCGTTCGCAGTAGGATCGATAGACGCATCGCGTAGATTATTGCAGACGGCGGACATGAGCGCGAGTAGTTCTTTGTCTGCGCCGTCAGGTGAGTCGCCCTCCCTCAGCCGGCTGTATAGGCTGCCTCTCTGTTTGTCGAGGTCTTTGAGTGCGTCCAGATACTTCGTAGTCATCTTGCGGGGCAGACGAGATAGTAGTTCGTGAGCTGAAAGGCGCGCGGGATCTGTGTGCGAAGGCTGCTGATTAGAATGTTGAAGTCACGTCACGATCCAGTGCTTCTCTTTTGCTTTGTCGCTCTCTTGTATGCAATGAGGCGCACAGAGCCCAGCCATTCAGAGACGCAAGACGTGAGTGTATATCATACATTAGATGGTAAGTAAATTCTTCTGTGACCGTCGTACCTCCTGGGTCACAACAGTGATCTTGAGATAGTCTTTCACCAGTCGCTGTCCCCACCAGGCGGAACATCGCCGTACGCGGGCACGACCTTAGGATCAGCATCGAGGCCAAACTTGTAGCGGACTGTAGAAGGATAATCAGTCCGTCGAAGGGATTAGTAGGAGAGGAGACAACACGCACTCAAAGTATGATACCCGCAGTCCCAAGGGTAGCCAAAGTAATCTTCATTATGCGACGAGCGGTCGGGCCAGCCACGGTCGTGACCGTAGTCTTCCTCGTCCTCATCCTCATCCTCGCCATCCACTTCCATCTCATTACCCTTGCCCTCCTTGTCAGCCTCGGGTGCAGGCGGCTGCCCGCGCCTATCGTGAATCTTGAAGTCACGAACGCGCGCCTGGCGATAGTCGTGCCTGTAGCCCATACGATCCATGGCGTCGCACTCCGTCGCGGCATAGAGCGTCGCGCGTGGGGCGTCCCAGGCGAGGCTGTGGACTGCGTTGTTTCCGGTTGCGAGCTCGTAGACGAGCTTTTTGGCGCGCGGGTCCCAGACTTTGATGCTCTGGGTTTTGTGTGTGCCGCCGGTGAAGATGACTGGGGCGAGGTCAGAAGATGATCTCGGCGGCTGATGGCGGAGTATACTCACCAGGGATGCCATCGACGTGAACATACAGAGACGAGTATGTCCGCTCAGAGCCCTCTCCAGAGTCGATGGACAACTGCGGGAGCGGCTGGCGAATGTCGAAGAGGCGCACGATGCCATCGCTCGCCGAAGTCAAGAACGCGCTAACATCTGCGTCGCTCGACGTGATGGAGTGCACGTCGCCGCCATGGCCAATGTACCTCTGCGTAATTTTTCCTTGGTCTTGTAGGTCTCGCGCCACGACAGTCGATCGGGCCATGAAGCCTGAGGAGATAGCCTTCAGCGACCCGCCCGTGTTCCACCAGGACGGCAGATGCCACTTTTCAATTGAGCCATCGAAGTCGATGCTGGACGTGCGCTTCACGCCCGGAGAGCGTTCAATGGTATCCTCCAGGTCATCGGGGTCGCGCGAGGTGTTCGAGATGTTGATTTTGCCCTTCCCAATATGCTTGTCGCCTTCGGGCCCGTGCGTAGGCAGGCCGTCAAGGTTCCAGACGTCCACGCCCTTTGCGCCTGCGCGAAGGACGCGCGTGCCGTTGTCGACTACAGCGAGCGGTCCGGAACGCTGGCAGCTAAGCGTGTGCACGGGGAGGTAGCCGCTACCATCGTAGGTGTAGCTTTTCGCCCGCTTGTCATCCGCCGCCCAGATGAGCTTGCGGTTTGGGTCAAGAGCGATGTGGCGCGCAATATCCAAAAGACCGCACTCCATGACCTCGACTTCGGGCGCGCCCTCCCATTTGTTACCAATATCAGTGATCTTGAAATAAGCTAGGAATGGATCGCGTTGCTTCCAGCCGCTGCAGCCCGTCATGACGAGGACATCGGCGTTGGGATGCGTAATGATCTGGTCAGGTAGAGGGGGGACGTCGTCGCTGCTGATCGAACAGGCGCCATAGTACACGGCTTGCGCGGTCGGGGCAGACGAGGGGATCTCGGGGACGGAGTTGTCTCGAAAGCGCGCAAGGGGGCTAGTGTTTACGTGAGGCTTGGGCGTCGAGTCGAATGTGACGTGACGCGGAAGACTGCCGGGCAAGGATCCGCCTCTCTGCGGGGGCAATCCAAGTACGCGCTGCATGAGCTCGATGAGGGGGTCACCTGCCAACGATTAGCATCTAGCAAGAGCATAGAGAGTGTGCGATCACCAAGCTGGCCGATGAGATTAGCCTGCTGCGTAGGATCTTTGATCAGAGGGGCAGTGCCATCCTCGGTGTGCGCGTAAGAGGACAGAAAGTCGAAGGCATCACTGTCGTATGCCATCATAATTGTGGTATCCAGCATCTTGCTCGTCTGATCGAGGAGAGCTGGCATCCCGTCTGCTGCGCCGGGATCTTTGGACGCCGCGCGCACATTCTCGCAGACGTCCATGAGGACTTTGAGCAAGCGCTTGTCATCGTCATCCGTCGCGTTGTCCGAGTGCAGTTTCTTGACGAGTCTATCTCTTTTGCCCTTCAGGGCCTGAAGGGTCTGCAGATATGGCGAAGGGGTTGTCATGATATGCGGATGGCAAGATGACGGCGAAGCGGCGACCCAAATGGCCAAAATGAAGCGCGCGTGCTGCGGTGAACTCCGAAGCGCCGTGCCTAAAACGCGTGCTGTCACGTCACGCTATCATTGCCTGTCCCATAAACATACCCTATAGGCCGAAGGTGGTTGCTGCAGCCACAAAGCATGAGCTTCAGGCATCTTCCAAGACAAACATGAGCTTATCGTGAACCATCCGAAAGCTTCGACCGCACTGGACCGCATGGAAGACCCTCAAAGGCTGGTCAAAGCCGGGGTGCTTATGTTCTGTCACATACAATGACGCGCGTCGATCACTCAGACTGATGGGGCTAACCCCGGTCCCCGCGTCTATAAAAGGCCCACGCGTTGACTGCCACTGCACTTGTTCCCTGCCTTCATCTGCACCCCCAAGCCACCCGCCTTTCCTCGCCCTCCGCCGCCGTCCAGGATCTCAACGTCTGCTCTCCGCGGCTACGACTGCCAGTTTCTGTGAGTTCTCTCCCGATCTGCGATCACTTCGGCCACCTCTAGGCCACACGCGGCTCGACATCGTCTGCCACCGCTGCCCGCCCACTTCCAAGATTGCTCTCTGCCACTGCCCCTGCAAACGGTATCCGAACCTGGAATGACCTCGACCTCTTCAAGCCAGCACGCCACTCAACCATCGTCCGCCGATCATCCGCTTCTTCGAGACCAACGTCCACCACTGCGTTCACTCGTCACCCTCTCGCCTCGGCTGCCAGTCCTCAACGGTCAAGACTCAAGTTTCCCCACCACTTCGATCAGTTCGGCCACCTTAAAGCTGCATGTCACTCGATACCGTCCTCCGTCATCGCGCTTTTCGAGATCAACTTCCACTTGTATATATCTACGATTGCTGAACCTCGATGTCTGTGAGCCTGTTCTCCTCCGACGCTGCAACATCTTCGACTGCCTCAAGACCGCCCACACGCCCCAGCCACCCTCCATGGATCAACCACGTGCTTTCGAGACCAACGTCCCCCGTCGCGCCTGTTCTCTGTTCGTAAGTGCACCGATGGCAATTACCGCCCTCCCTTCGATTACTTTGGCTACCTGAAGATCGCTCGTCGTTCCGTCTCCGCGCCCGCAACCGCCTTCCGAGACCAACGTCCTTGCATCTAACGATGGCCTTACCTCGACTGTCTGCGAGTCTAGTATATGTCGACGCCCTGACTTGTCGATGCTGCATGCCCTCGGCCACCAACTTCGAGACCAACGTCCCCCGCCGTGTCTGTCCGCCACTTTTCAGTATCGGGTCCTCAAAGGTCTACGCAACTTCGTCCATCCTCCTCGTCGCGCTCGCTTTCGAGACCAACGTACTGCACTGCACTTGTCTTCAACTGTCCAGTTACAAGTTTCTGTCGTCGATTACTCGCTCGCCCCCGAGACCAACGTCCCCGGCCTACGAATATTCGACTGAAAGTACCTAACAGGCAAGCCTCCGCTTGTTTTCGATTGCTTCTACCCTCTGTTCCTCGCTATCCGATCCGTCGTTCTCTGCCTCCGCCGTCGAATCCTCAATTACCCTCGAGACCAACGTCCACCACGACCTGCAATCTACGCTTTCTGTGCTTCGCGTCAAGACCCGCTCGCGAATCCCTCGACGCTACGCTCTCCTCGTCAGGATGCGCTCTGACTCACTCCATCGATGCTGGCTACGCTCTTCTCCTCAGGATGCGCTCTGACTCAGGCTCTACGACGCTGCCTCAAGATTCGACGTTTTCCGTACCAATCGCTCGCTCTGCTCTGGTCTACGCTATAGCAATCTGCGCTTCTTTGTGCTGGTCTAAGCTGTCTACCGCTGTGCGCTTCACTCCGCTCTGGAAAACCTTGGCGACGACTACGACAGCCCGACCATTTCGCTCTGAGGCCTGTTCATTGATTCTCGTTCTTGGCTTAGTTCTGGCGACTACTCCGGACGACTAGTCTCGGCGACTACTTTAGGCAACAACTCTAGGCGACCCTCCTGTACGCTCAAGCCCTCGTCCTTCGACGCAGTGGCGGGCAGCAGGAGGCGAGCTGGACAGTCACGCAATAGTAAGGACATCCCCTGCATTATTATGCTGTACAGTATGGTATCGGGATAGGGTGATACAGACATCGATAGCAACTATGTGTTCTTTACACTTGGAGAACGAGGACCATGAGCGTAACCTCCAGCGCCAGGACGAGTGCAGTCACAAGGACGACGACACGACCGGCGGTGACAAAAGGCCTGCCGAAGACCCGCTTGCCGTGCTGCCCCTTCGTCTCTATCATGCGGCCTTCGTAGCGTGTATAGTCGTGGTCGGCAAAGTCGTGTTTGGAGTGCTTGGAGCGGTAGAAAGAGAGAAAAAACATGAGGACGCCGAAGACGGCGAATAGGATACCGACTGGAGGAATTGGTTCAGTCTGGATTATGCTGGGGTGAGACGAGGAAGGGGAAGAAGGCTCACTCTTGTAGAAACGGTGATCAAAGAGGCGAAGGATTGTTAGCGAGTATCCTAGGGCTGAGAGAGCGCTCCGACTATAGGCACCGTGGAAGGTGCGCTGGCGGGCGCGGAGTTCGACGAGCTCATTGACGTCGGAGGCGGTGAAAGAGTAAGAGCGGTGGCCCCTACGCGCATACATGAACAATACATGAACAACCACTCCATCCAGTGCATACTAGAGTACATACCGGTACGTATGATGATGTCGCGGCGTCGACCCCTTCTCGTCGCTCCTGACGCTCATCGTCGCGGAGGGCAAGTTGCCAAGTTCGCAGGGGCAATGTCCGAGGGGATCCGCGGCCCACGTTGCCGGCGGTCCGATCACTTTTCTCGGCCGCGTCCGCTCCGTCCTCGACACCAGCACCGGCTCGTGCGCGTTGCCTCTCTCCACGACGCGTTGAGGACAAGATGAACTTTGGCAGACTGCTGGCTGCCAACTCGGCGTGTCTGAGGGCTACGGGGCGCGGGTGAGTGCGCGTAGTGTAAGGTGCAAAGAGGAAGAAGGCTGACTTCGCCGCAGAGCATTCGCTAGTGCCGGCCCGCGGTGCTTTTCGACGGCGTTCAACGTATGTGGTTGAGCTCGTGGTCCAGAGTAAAGGCTGACCTATGTCTAGTCACAACGGCCAACATGGCTCGTTGCAAGCCGTTTACCGCCCGCGTACCAAGCGCGCAACCTGTCGCTCTGGGGCTCGTCCAAGCCAGCACCAAAGCCTGAAGAGGCAGCCGCAGAGGCGCCAGAACCTGCGCTACCAAACACACCAGCAGATGCGCAGACACCCGACGCGCTCCCTCCCACCTCGGCGACACCAGCGGACGCCGCCGCGAACGCGACCGTCACGCAGTCCGCACAGGACCCCGAGATCGTCTACGCCACTCCTTTCGACCCCTCCGCCGTCTCCGACACCGCATCCTCCGCCGCCTCCCAAGCCCTCGACGTCGCGACCACCGCCTCCACGCTCTCCCCCCTCAAATGGGGCGACCTCACCGCAATGGGCCTCACCGCCTGGTACACCCCCGCCGGCCTCGTCCGCTGGACGCTCCAGGTCTTCAACGTCACGCTCGGCCTCCCCTGGTTCTGGACGATCGTCGTCGGCACGCTCCTCTGGCGCGTCTCTATGTTCCCCTTCCACCTGCAGTCCATCCGCAACGGGCAGAAGATGCGCAAGGTCAACCCGGAGATGCAGAAGATCCGCGACGAGATCAACGAGGCGAAGAAGACGCAGGACGTGCTCGCGCTGCAGCGCGGGATCATGAAGATGCAGCAGCTGAACGCGAAGTACGATGTGAACCCGTTGAAGCTTATGGCGCCGGGCTTCATCAACCTGCCGTTTACGCTCGGTCTGTTCTTTGGTGTCAAGCGGTTGTGTGAGGAGGTTCCCCAGTTGGCTGTTAGCGGTTTCTCGCTGCTCCCAGACTTGACTGTCACGGACCCGTACTGGATTCTGCCCATGTTCTCTGTCCTGTTGATTCAGCTTCAGATTCGGGTACGTGTATTTCTGTCGCTCGTCTGCCTGTGCTGACGACATAACTATAGGCCTCTGCCGCCGATGGTAGCATCGACCTCACGACTTCTCCGGCCATGCCCCACGTCATGAACATCATGCGCCTGTTCTCCATCGTCACCATCCCTCTGCTCGCCAAGTTGCACATCGTATGTATCCTCGTCTTCCATGTTGGCGTGGATACTGATCATGTGTGCAGGGTGTCCTCGTCTCGCTCGTCACCCAGAGTTTGTTCATGACCCTTCAGAGCACCCTCCTTCGCCTCCCCCGCATCCGTCGTCGTCTCGGCCTCGAGCCCCTCGGCAAGGGCTTCCAGCTCCCAAGCATGGTCGAATCCGTCCGCTACGGGTTGAACTGGTTGAAGAGTGGCGGAAAGTGATTTGTGGGCTTCGCAGGTTGCCCTACCAGTAGCTTATCTATTGACTAACCTAGACACTCACAATAGTAATACGACGACGCATTGGGATAGTCACGCCCGCCACTCATCGCGCTTGTGTTGTGAGAATGTGTTCCATGCCAGATATGCAAGAAGTACACGTGGAGCGCAAGTATACAGATAGTGACCACAACGCAAGTTAGACTACGTTGACTCCGAAGACGAAGCACCCTCTGGCTCTTTCCCCTTTCCATTTGGCAATGGAGGGGTCGAGGACGCAGGGGAAAACGATGCCGATGGCCCTAGCTGCCAGGCGGGTATAGACGGCCTTCCTAGCGCAGGGAGAGGGGACGGCGCTGCGCTCGGTATAGTCGGTCCTCGGCTCATCAATAAGGCCTTCAGAGACTTCAACTCCTGCTGCAACTCGGCCAGCGACGCGTTCTGGCTCTCCTTGTTCTTCTCAATCATCTATGCAAACGTGTAAGCATAAGCTACTTCGAGCCAACATGTCGCGCTTACCTTCGGTAGCATGTCGCGTATCGTGCTGATTTCGTCCCGTACTTCGCGCATCTCGTCGCGATTCCGTTGTTCAGCTGCGCGCATGTCCTTGACTGCAGCGTCGACCTCTTGCGTTGTTCTGTCCACCTTCTCCTTCTGCTCGTCGACCGCCTGGCGCACAGCGGCAGTTTCCGCTTGAATCTCTTTTAAGAGCGCCTCTGCAGCATCAAATTGCGCAGTCAAAGCATCCTTGTCCTCTTCGTATGCGGTGTTGTCAGGAGGTTGCAGGTGAGGGGAGACGTATTTCTGGGGTTGGGTCAGCGTGTGGGGGAATGCACTTTAGGTAGAGCTGACCTTGAATAATGAGATAGCACCGTACATGACGGTACCAGAGGCTACTGCAGTAATCTATAGCGGTTAGTCAGAGATATTATCGGGCGCGAGCACGACGTACAAAGTAGTCCCTCCAGTCCCATTGTCGTGGCGGGGGATATGCGCCGAATCCGGCGGGCACAAAGGAAGGTTGGTATGAGGGGCCAGCAGCAGTCGAGTTCGCTTGACGCATAGCAATGTCAATCTCGGCCGGAGTCAGTCCCTTCGCCTCCAGGAATTGTATGCGCTGCGTCAAGGACGAGCTCTGTGTCTGAAGCGAGGTGAATGGGCGCTAAACGTGTCGATGGCAGGAAGTACCTTCGGGTCGGCCAAGAAAGAGACTGCATTCTGGATGAGATCTGTCCTTGGAGGGGCAGACATGGCGGCAGGAGGAGAGGGACGTACGGCGCACGGGGATCGCGTCTGCCGGAATCACGGACCAGCGACCGACGGTCTGCGGGGGTCGGGGGTGTGGCGCGATCGCGTGCGGCCGGATCAGGCCGGCCCAGTCGCCCGGGACATAAACCGCGCAAATTTGACGCTCTTCGTCTTGCACCTCACCACGATGAACAACCTCGCGGGCGCCCTCTCGCGCACCCTTTCCGTCGCTAGGCGTACGCGTTACCCGTGTCATGCTGCTCGACGCCGTTGCTGACGTGTCAACAGGGCGAGTTGCGGCCAACTCTTGCCAGTGGGCGGGAGCATGGCGCGCGCCGGCTGTTTCTTCACCGTGCGCTGCCAGTGCGTACTTCTTCTGAGCAACTGAGATAGGTTGCTAACGTGCATGGTAGTGGCAAGGCGCGGGTACGCCGAGGTGTTCAGCCGCAAGAAGCCTCACATGAACATTGGCACTGTTGGTGTGTAACCATGCATTCCCACACTACACGCGTCCTCACAAGTCCTCAGGCCACGTCGATCACGGCAAGACGACGTTGACTGCTGCCATTACCAAGGTTCAGGCTGAGCAGGGCTACGCCAGCTTCACCGACTACTCTGCTATCGACAAGGCTCCCGAAGAGAAGGCTCGTGGTATCACCATCAACTCTGCTCACGTTGAGTACGAGTCGGACAACCGTCACTATGGCCACATCGACTGCCCGGGACACGCGGATTGTGAGTGCCGACCTCTTCTTCCTCCCCACCTGCTTAACGCCGCGCAGACATCAAGAACATGATTACTGGTGCGGCTCAAATGGACGGTGCTATCATCGTTGTCTCGGCTACGGACGGTCAAATGCCCCAGACCCGTGAGCACCTGCTGCTCGCGCGTCAGGTCGGTGTCAAGAAGCTGGTCGTTTTCATCAACAAGATCGACATGATTGAGGATCCGGAAATGCTTGAGCTCGTCGAGATGGAAATGCGCGACTTGCTCTCCACCTACAACTACGACGGCGAGAACACCCCGATCATCATGGGCTCAGCTTTGGCGGCACTCGAAGGCAAGACCCCGGAGATTGGCGCTGAACGTATCAAGGCACTGGTCAAGGCTTGCGACGAATGGCTCGAGATCCCTCCCCGTGCGTTTACTGTGATCTATCTACTGCGTCCGCTGACCTTCGCTTATAGGTGACCTTGAGAAGCCCTTCTTGATGGCCGTCGAAGATGTCTTCACTATCTCTGGTCGTGGTACCGTTGCTACCGGTCGCGTTGAGCGTGGTGTTGCGAACAAGGGTTCCGAAGTTGAGATCCTCGGTTTCGGCAGCAAGCTCAAGACTGTCCTCACTGGCATTGGTGCGTTACCTCTGCCTTCCTATCCCGCCCTCTCTGACTTGCCCGCAGAGATGTTCCACAAGGAGCTCGAGCGTGCTGAGGCTGGTGACAATATGGGTGCTCTCCTCCGTGGCTTGAAGCGCGAGCAGGTCAAGCGCGGCCAGGTCATCGCTGCCCCCGGCTCCATGCAGAGCGTCAAGAAGTTCATCGCTTCCCTCTACGTTAGTATTTCGTTGCACTGCGCCCCGTTACGAATCTGACGGCCTTGCAGATTCTCACCAAGGATGAGGGTGGCCGTTACACTCCTTTCACTGCCAACTACAAGCCGCAGATTTTCCTGCGCACTGCGGACATCAGCGTGAAGCTTTCGTGGCCTGAGGGTACCGAGGACGCCGAGTCCCGCATGGTCATGCCCGGTGACAACGTCGAGATGGTTTGCGAGCTCCTCTTCGACTGCGCTGCTGATGTTGGCACCCGCTTCACGCTTCGTGAGGGTGGCAAGACTAGTAAGTCGCTTCCGACCGTCCGCGTCGACACTCGCTAACCAGTCTTCAGTTGGTACCGGTATCGTCACCAAGGTTTTGGAGACTGCTTAAGCGGATTTCGGATGCTCTCTGCCTTCGCGCAGTTTTTCCCGAGTTCCTTAGCTTTCATACGCGGACGATCTAGCATACATTGTACCATAGCTGACTAACGAAGGCCTCCCCACTCTGCACGCATCTATTCAGTGTTCCGGGGCCTCAGTGAGCTGGCGCATCGGGCGCATAGGAGCTTCCGTGGTAGACAAACACCTAACGTAGACTCATCGTATTGGAAACCAACCGTCGTTCATGGATTACACGTGTGATGTTCTGCACCCAGGTCGCGGCAACCCGCAGGCGGAGTCCGCGACCCCGACGCCGTAAAAGTTTTGTCTGCCTGCCGGTCTCAAATACAAAACGACCAAAAGGGGATGTGGGCAGTATCACTATCGAGGGCGGCCTGGCTCGGTGAATACCATTTTCTTCCCTTCCCTCCGTCCCCTTCCCCTTCCACGACACACGATGCAGGCCGTCTTCCGCAGTGCTCCCCGTTTTGCGCGCGCTTCCCTCGTCGCTGCGCGCCCGGTCGCGCCGCGCTTTGCTCGCCCGCAGTTCGTGCGGACGCTCGTGAGTGAGTGACCCCGCGCGCGCCTATAGCACCATGTGGCGGCGTGCTGACGCGTGGTTTTCCTTCGGTGCTCTTTAGCTACGAAGTACACCGCGGAGCATGAGATCGTCCGCTTCGACGATGAGACGGGTGTGGGGATTGTGGGTATCACGAACCACGCGCAGGAGGCTCTTGGGGACGTCGTGTTCGTCGAACTGCCCTCGGAGGGATCGGACGTGAAGCTGGGAGGTACGTGGTTAACTTATGCTATGGTCAGGACATTCACTGACTACATTTGCAGATCAGATTGGTGCCGTAGAGAGTGTGAAGGCAGCCTCCGACATTGCAAGTGCATTCCATCCAATGCCCTGACGCCTATCTCATGCCATGTGCAGTACGCACCCATCTCGGGTACTATCGAGGCTGTCAACGGCGAGCTCGACTCTCAGCCCAGCTTGTTGAACAAGTCCCCTGAGGACAAGGGTATGGCAGATCATTGTACGACAATGACTCGAGACTGACCATCGTGCACAGGTTGGTTGTGCAAGATCAAGCTCTCTGACCCCTCCGAGGTATGTGCACCTTCCTGATCGGCGACGCATTAATGACGTTGCGCACTCGCAGCTGGAGAAACTCTTGTCTGAGGAGCAGTACAAGAAGCACGTCGAGTCGGAGGAGTAGGGAGTTGGTAGACAATAGTTGTCTGTTGTGGCTTCAACGCCAGTCGTACCGTACCGTACCGCCTGTAGAATCACTTGGGCGGACTTTAGAGGATGTTGCATTACAGTTCCGCGATTGCATTGGCCGCGTGAGAGACCGGGAAAGACAGGGAGGATATAAGGACATAGCAGTTGCTCGCATCTACTGCGGTGGCCGAACGCCAGGCTCGTACTTGTACTGCTCGCCGCGCTCCTCCATCCGGCGCTTCGCCTCTGCGAGGGCCCATGTTTGTATGCTGCATAAAGGGTATGGGATGAGACTACTGTTGCAAGCGATCGCAACTCGGCCAGCGCACCTGGTGTCCGGCTTGTAGTAGAGACCAATCGCGGCGACGATCATGGACCCGTACATGCCAATATACCAGATATTCTCCCAGTTCTCCTTCTGTCGCTTCTGACCGGGTGCGGGGGGCTGCGGGAGAGGGCGTCGGTCGTCGAGCGTCACGGGTTGGGTAGGGTAGGAAGATGCCGAGGACTGACCTTCTCGCCGAAGAGGAAGCCGGAGGGCTCGTTGTGGACGGGGCCGTGAGAGGCGAGTCGCCGGCCATTGAGACGGGAGACCGCTCGCAACGAGCGTATAGAGGTCGACTGGAGCATGACGGTTCTGGCGGGCTTCGCGACTTGGTCGGCGGAACGGAATACGGAAGGGTGGGGTAAACATGCGCAAGCAATTTTAGGCGGTCACCCACATGGACCCACATCATTGTGGCGCGGCTGGACTTGCGCGCATCGGTAAGTACTCAGAATATGCTGCCATAAATTCGCATACTTCTGATAGCTCTACGCACACGGACAGTATAATATGCGATAGTCATCTGCCTCCTCGTCCTCATCCACCCACTCCTCGTCGGATTCACTACTCTCGTCGACGTATCCAGGAGAGGTCGGATGGAGAACAAAACTTGGAACGATGTCAATCATTGGAGGGGACAGGCACAAGTACACAGACGTACCCTAAGCTCTCGTAGAGCTTGAGCGCAGGAGTATTGGCTGTATCGTTCTCGTCAAAGGTCGTCTTGAAGACCATTACAGAGCGTCGCACCTTCGAAGACAGTTAACATGACTGAGCTCATCTTGTAGTGCGAGGCTACCCTGCGTATCTGGTCCGTCAAGATGCGACCGAGGCTTTGCCTTCGGCAGGAGCTGCAGACATGCACTTCATACCTGCTGCCGTCACTGAAAAGGGATCCGGGATTACAAGGAGGACTCACAAATATGCCACCTCCTCCCCTTCCTCCATATCGAATCGGAAGGATAAGTACGCGACGACCTCGCTCAAACCTTCATCACGCAGGCGTCGGACCAGAATGAAGCGCGCGTCCGGATGAAATAACTCGTCGAGTTTTTGTTCTGGGTGCCATCCCCAGGACGAGTTCATATACCTGGGTGATCTCAGTGACGAATGACAACGGGGGAGTGGCCAGATCGAATACGCACATATCCTTCATGTTTTGCTCAAGGAGATCCCAGCACCGATTCCGCTCAGCCTCTGTGAGGTTCGATGCATAAGCGACTGCCAGCTGGTATCTAGCATCGGTAAGCTCGCAAGTATTTTCGACCTGAGAACTTACTGTAAACCAGAAGGCGGGGCTAACAGAGAGCTCAGCTCATCTTCAGTTGCCTGCGTAGCGCATGAGAGAGACACTCTATACATCGCAGATCAGAGTAGCAACCTTATTCGCAATGCGAATATTCTTCGACAAGCGTGGCATCTCTCTCGATTTCTGACGGCTTCGATCTTCACGAGCAGTTTAGCAGCTTACTGGCATGTGGCGCGCGCTTGAGATGAGCGCATAAAGAGACGTCGAAAAAGGCAAGACACTTGCCTCTTGCGGACGGGATCCCGATCTCGATCAGCCTTGGGCGCTTGCCGTTCGCCTCAGCTCCAATCCCCCATCAACCATTTTGCACGCTCGCCTGCCATGAAGCTCGACGCGACAGACTTGAGATATGTGACCACAGAGGAGTTCAGAGTGCTGACGGCAGTGCGTGCCGCGTTTTTGCTCGTACTCGTCCTTGCCTGATTATCCGTCCTCGCAGGTCGAGATGGGCTCGAAGAATCACGAAGTCGTGCCAACGAACCTCATCGCACAGATCTCCGGCTTGAGGAGCGGAGGGACAAACAAATGCATAGGATCTCTTGCGAAACGTAACCTCGTGTCGAAGGTGCAAAACGCGAAGTGTGCGTCCTGTTCAGCAGTGGCGTCCCCCTGCATGCATGTTGATGCTGCGCTCAGACGACGGTTACCGCTTGACCTACGGTGGCTACGACTATCTCGCTATGCGCGCGCTCTCCAAGAGGGACTCTATGCACTCCGTGGGGAACCAAATCGGTGTAGGCAAGGAATCAGGTTCGTTCCTCCCAGTGCGCACGTTCTGCGCCTAGTTCCGTACTCAAAAGCTCGCAGACATCTACGTGGTCGCCGACCAGGATGGAAATGAGATGGTTCTCAAGCTACACCGGTCAGTCTCCGAGAGCACGCTCAAGCACCACAGCTAATATCAATGCTGAAGGCTAGGTCGCATATCCTTTCGCGCCATAAAGACCAAGCGAGACTACATGGGCAAGAGGAAGTCTGCGTCATGGATGTATATGTCTCGTCTTGCTGCCCAGAAGGAATGGGCTTTCATGAAGGTCGGTCGATTGACGGCGCTGACTTCGGGCTCCCTGACAGTGCTCGAAGGTCCTCCATGAGCACGACTTCCCAGTACCCAAGCCCATCGACCAAGCGAGACATTGCATCCTGATGGAGAAAATTGACGCCTACCCATTGTACGTCCATCTCTCGTCGTTCGGCGTTGGTATACTCAAGCGCCCGCAGACGACAGGTTTCCGAAGTACCGAACCCAGGAAAGCTATACTCGACTCTCATGGACCTCATCGTGCGCTTCGCTCAAGCAGGCCTGATCCACGGTGACTTTAACGAGTTCAACATTCTCATACGGAAGGAATCTGGCGAGCCCATCGTGATCGATTTCCCCCAAATGGTCAGCACAGCGCACGAGAACGCTGAATAGTACGTTTGGTTGGCTTTTCCATCGCACGTCGGTCTGATCTTCTTAATCACAGCTACTTCAATCGCGACGTGGAGTGTATAAGGACCTTCTTCCGTCGCCGTTTCCGATATGAGAGTGCCCTGTACCCTCGCTTCAAGACTACAGTGGCGAAGGATGGAGAAGGTCCAGGCTTCCAGCTTGACGTTGAGGTTGCGGCTAGTGGCTTCGGTCGGAGAGAGATGAAAGTGCTTGAGGAGGTACGGCCTACTTCAATACCCACAACTGTACATCTGCTGATAGCCAACAGTACATGAACGAGGTCCAGGGAGTAGAAGGTCCCGACGATGATGACGAGGATATGGGCAGTGAAGAAGAGGGTGAATCGAGCGAGGAAGAAGCAGAGGAGGAGACCGCAGATGAGGAGCAACACGATGATGATTCGTTGCCCGCCGAGGACGACTCAAAACCAACATCACCCGAATCCATCGCCTCGTCAAGCATGCCCGTCGACATCGATGTCGAACGGCGAGAGCGCGGGCGAGAAGTACGCTCGTCAGAGCTGTCGCCGACGTCGCCTCAGTCGCCCGTTCCCCGCAACCTGTCACGATCTCCGCCGCGCTCTCGTTCCCTGTCGCCGGACGCTATCGACAAGATGACCGCGCGCATGGAGCAGATGGACGTGAAGGACATCGCCGCAGCGGAGGTCAAGCGACAGAGGGAGCGGCAGCATCGCAAGTATCACTCGAAGCCGAGTACGAGGAGGGCGGGGCGGCCGAAGGGGAGCAAGGCAAAGCAGGATACGCGGGTAAAGATGGATTACGGGGGTGGTTGGGATTGAGCTTATGTGGCGCCCGTAATCCGTCGTCCGTTGCTTGTGTGTATCGCTCCATTGTTGTATCCCTACATCTCCTTGTTCTCGCTGTATATTACCTGCGCCGTTAGATGCACTTTTGTGGAGGAAACGCGACTGCAGACGACCGGCAGTATGTCCAAGTTCAGTGACGCATCCCCCTGAGTATTTTCCCACGACGCCTCTTGCTCTTCCCCTTCATCATGGACAAAGCCGACCTCGAACAGTACCAGCTCCAGCTCTCCCAGGTTGAGACCGCCCTCGAGGCCGACCCCTCCAACACAGAACTGTCAGAACTCCGCAATGAGCTAAAGCAGCTCATCGACCTGACAGAGCAGGCACTCGCGCAAGCCTCATCCTCCAAAGCCGCGGAAACATCACGCAAATCCGCATCCGCCACCCCTTCACATTCCTGGTCCGCCGGCGACGAGTGCTTAGCAAAGTACTCTGGTGACGGCCAGTGGTATCCCGCGCGCATCACCTCCGTCGGTGGCTCCGAGTCGAACCGCGTGTACTCCATCGTCTTCAAGGGCTACAACACCACCGAGCTCGTCAAGGCGGCGGAGATTAAGCCCCTCCCCGCAAACCACCAGAGCGCACCTATAACAGGAAAGCGCAAGCTGTCAAAGACGGAGGAGGAGGAGCGCGAGCGGAAGAAGAAGAAGAACGAGAAGAAATTGGAGGTGCGCGCACAGAAGGCCAAGGAGCAGGTCGCGAAGCAGGCTACCTGGCAGAAGTTCACGAAGAAGGCGGAGAAGAAGGGCGTCAACATTGCGGGCGTGTCGGGGACCAGTATCTTCAAGACGCCTGATAATCCTATGGGTCGCGGTGCGTGTCGTTCCAAGCCGTGGGCTGTCTATATCATCGTACTGACTTGGTTGCAGTGGGTGTGACGGGGAGCGGGAAGGGTATGACAACGGTTCATATGCCTGGCAAGCATAAGTTCGAGGTCCGGGACGAAGAGTGAGGTGCGTCCAGGTTGCGCATCATCCTCGCCACACTCTAGCTCATCGAGTTCCGTAGTCATCCGCCGCACCTGTTTATGCCGCAAGCATACAAGATTGTGGACCTGGACGGTCATGCATATGTGAAGTCCTCGTCATTCCTCTGCCCACCTACATAGTCTTAATTGTATCGAATATCTCTTGCGCAGCTGCAGACCACCCGTCACTTGCCCCGTCGGACCCACACAAGCCATACATCGGTATCGTTCCATCCATAAATGCGTGTTTGAGCCTTGGCTGACCCCCATCCCATCCTGCGTCGCAACATTGGCAATGCAGAGTATTCTCATGTCGCTTTTGCCAGTTCCCGTCGCTAATCATCGAGTCGTTATACAGAATGCACCTCGCACCGAGGGCTTTGGCTTTTCGGGAGATGCCCACCGACCTTGCACCTGCCCCTATGGTCATCATCGCCTGAGAGATTCCACCGCGCACTTCCCCCCTACGGCGAATGTTCGTACGCTCGTCATCAATCTCGTATTCATCTGAGAGGATAACAAATATATCGCAAGCCGTCCAATGACCTCCACGTCCCTTTCCAGGGCGCACATAGAGCGCCTGAATACCCCAGAAATGATATACCCCATTCAAGCGGCGGAGTCAACACTTCTCCGTCTGTCAGTGTGGCGAGTCGGAGGGACATAGTATGGCCGCCCCCTCCGTCTTCTCTTCGCCTCGGTCCTCCCCTCGAACTGGCCGGTCTCGACTTTGACATCCTACTCGACACCGACCCTCGTTTGTTGACTGGTCGATGAGCGGGTCGTGAGCCGCGCCACGGTGTCGTTTTTGGCTGATTCATGGGGCAGACATCTATACATCGCACGCCCAGGCTGTGCCACAAAATTGGTGCCACAGCAGTATTTCCTCTTCTGGGCATGCGCGTGCTATCGAGCGGGCCCGGAGAGACAGCGCTGTGAAGGCGGCTGTTCGTGCTCCATTCGCAGAAGGCCCGTCGGCCCCAAGACGGTGCCTAGTGGACCTACTGCGGTGCCTTCCTCCCTATTGTTCGCTTTCTGGTGAGCCGGCGTCTTGCTTCTCCGCGAGGGACAGGGCTCATGAGGGCATAGGGACGCGAGGTCGATGTCAATGTCGGCATACGAACTCGATGAGGGCATGCGAAGTGAATGGGTCTCGGGAGTCGTCAGGCTGCTACAAGAAGGCCATGTCACTGCAAGAAGATTGACATGGGCTTCTTGATATGGGACACCATCGGTTCAGGGTCGCCGTCGGGTGTCCGCCAGAAGACATGCGCTTGGAGGCGCTAGAAGGAGAAAGCTGCGATCGTGTGGTTCGCGGGAACGTCGGTGGCGCCTGTCGCTTGGATCCTTGTCATGATGGGGTGGTCGAACTCCCTGAGGGCTGCAGGTGCGTCGTCAGATTATATTGCAGCTGACGTGGCGGGTCCGTGGAAAAACAGTGGAAATTATTGCAAGGCATGTGCAGATAACTGGTACAGTATACTATATTGCAGGTAAGGTACGGAAATTATATGGTCGATCAATATCGTATGAGAGGTCGCCTCAGCAGCAGTGAGAATCCTTTGAGAGACAAAAAATGGCCAAGTAGCTAGTACGGTGAGCGTCTAATGGTCTTGTTGCGTGGGCGTGCCGTCTGAATTCTCTGCAGCGGTCTCGAGAATCTTGCGTAGACTTTCATTCTGCGGCAAGCAGTCAGCGAATGGTAGCGCTGCAAGGGACGAGATACACTTACAGCGCGTTCCAATTCCATGACCTTCATCTTCTCCATCACAGCGTCGTGCTGTAGTCCAGCTATCATGCTCTGCGAAGGCGCGTCAGGTTTCTGCAGTGGGCGCACAGTGAAGGTATACCTTGGCGACTTTGCCATTCAAGCCACGGAACACGTCCAGCTCCTCGAAAGCGACAGGCCAGAACCCGATGCTGCAGAGCGTCAGAATTACCAAAGAAATGACGTATTGGTGTACTGACCTTAGCAGCTGTGCGTGCAAGCGCTCTACATGGGCCTCGAGACTGGCGATGTAGATCGTCCGCCGGTGTGGCGCCCCGAGCGTACCTCTGAAGGCGAAGGTTGGTCATGTCCGCGGACGCAAAAGAGTGCTGAGACTCACAGCTCGTACGTCGAGAACAAGTGCTTCTCGAGCGCATGATTCCATATCTTCCTCGAGCTCCTCTCCTGCTTTGCAGCAAGGCGGGCATAAGGATGAACCAGGGCGAGGCGACGGGCCTTACGCGCACTCGGTGCAGCGGAGGATGCTGACATGGGAGGTCGACTACTCGTACTCGCACTCGTGCACGAGGACGATGGGGAGCAGTGCGCATCAGTCGATGAGCTCGTCGGCGATGAGCCACCGTCGGACGCCGAGGAGTTGGGCGAAGGCACGTTGAAGGCGAAGTTGGACATGCTGAGGATGCAGAAGGACGCAAGGTGCTCGAGATCCAGGTGCGAACGACGCCGCTTTATAACGTCTATATTAGGGCTCAATAATAGAAGCAAGCGGCGGGGTACCGAACGGTGGGCGGTCGGTGAAGGTACGAATAAAGTCCTGAGACACGATGAAAGGCGGAAAAAATCAATACACCGCGAGCGGAAGGTCTCACCCAGCGTTGGGAGAGATCTCGGCCGAGTGGGGAAGCTGGCGGAGCGGCGGGAGAGGTCGGGCGCCGCAGCGGCAGGCATCTGGCAGAATGGCACTGGCAGATCGTCATCGAACGCGTATCGGTTTCAGCGAACCCAATCTTGTCGAGACTGGTGTCTGGATCATGGCCGCAAAGGTTGTCCCGTAATCGGTAAAGTAGGAGAGATTTTCTTCTCCGGTGTTCATAAACATACGCGCTTGGTGTCGAAGGTACGCAGGAGAATTGCATGCGACTCTTCCTGGCAAAAAGTTCATCGCGGGTGCTGGCGAGCGGTGGCGGCGGCAGAGCGCCGTTTCTCTCCCGTTCCTCCTTCCCGCCTAGACATGATTAAGTGAAAAGAGGGTTCCGGTAACGGTGAAGCACCAGGGACAAATAGCTGCAAACAAATATCGCGGCTTCTTCCTGACGCTCATGCGGATACTTCCTTCCTTTGCGAGTCATCGAATTCCGTGCAAGGGACCGCGTCAGTTTGCTGAGCTGTGTATACTTACACGTAAACGCCAAACGGACAGCGTCGATCTGACATGAACGTCTGATCGACGACCGCCTTCGCGCCTTCTTCGCATCTCCCTCGCGTCCCTCTCAATTCATTCACCGGTTGTGTCCGATACAGCAAGGTCTCCCGGCATAGGCACACTGTTTGCGACAGATACACACGACGCTCGTATCTCCTGTTACCTCTTTTGGCGTCCCCACCGCCTCAGGATCGCTCTCACATCCGCTATTCCTCCAAGTGGCCGTTCTTCGGGCAGGACCTATGCCCGCAACTCGGCTTCTCATACCTGATGCGTATGTGGCCATTTGCTTATGCGGGGCTAGGAATACTGTCCGGAGGCCTTTCGCCGCCTTTTTGCCTCGACGGAAGAGGGTCCGTCCGGCATTTTCAAGTTCAGCGCTTAGCACACGTTACCTTCTATGGCCGGGGAAGATTCGACCATGACATCGTGCTTCTGATCATGCAAGTCACGGGCATCGCGTTTGCTCAGCTCAGTGCCCTTTATATCTCCGCCCTTGCTCTGTCGCATCTTTCATCCTGTCGCCCTTGATTCGCCTTCCTGAAGCACCATGTCCAGTTTCGGAGTACGCTCTCCTTGTTTTTTCTCCTCGTCCTTGTTCCACTGACAAGGTTCGCAGGAGAGTTTTGAGGCCCGCACCGACCTCCCAGATTTTTCTGCAGAGCAAGACACCTACGGCGCTGCTTCGGCACTTAACACGCGCGCAACATCGACTCCAACACATGCTTTTATGTCCGGTACAGCCGCTTCGTCCTTCCACTCTTCGTGGATGCAGCTTGGGGCGCCTACTTGCGGCGACGTCGCATTCTACGCGGACGATCAGCAGAAGGACAGCTCTTCGTCATATGGCACGCTATCGTCCACTGGCTACGGCGCGAGACCTGGATATATAGGACCCCCCAGCTTCGCATCCAACCGCTCGCTCGACGATAGCTCGTCTCACCCAGCTCACTCGTTCAGCCTGGGCAATGCGATGCTCAACGCCGGTGCCCCGCCGCTGGCGAACACGCCCCTCGGTCAATGGGGCCTCCACGACTCGACGTTCGACTCGCCATTCGCCCCTGTCGATCCCTCCGCGATTTTCCACAAAAATTCCTTTGCTTCTGTCGCAACGCCCACGTCGCAGGCGTGGAATTCCTGCAATTACGGTAGCGCGGCGTTTGGGGGTCTGTCGGCGTCCGAAGCTACGATTCGGGACGGTGCCATGCCCCATTCCGGACGTGTCTTCGCCGGGGGTGTCCCCAGGGAGTCCGTCGGCGGTGACACATACGCGTACCCCAGGCGCTCGCCGGCGCATCGGATGGTGTCGTCTCCTACTTGTATGACCACCGCGGGTGTTCCCAGGATTTCTGCGCCTTCGTCGAGCGTCGGTGCCGCGCAGATGGCCTATACTTCCGAGGGTCGCCGGCAGGTCGCGCCTATAGCGATTCCAGCGCCTCCCCTTGCTCACTCCTATGCGCCGTCGGGGTCGCCCACCAGCGCCTTACCCTCTCCCTCGCGACCCATGCACTCGAAGTCTTCTGAGATTTTTGGCAGCCGTCGGGACGGCGCGTCGCCACCCCAGCTTCTCCGTCGGGGGAGTGGCACGCTATCTTCGCCGTCCTCCTCGACTTCGTCTTCTCCGACATCGGCTACCTTCTCGTCGCCCTCGTTGTCGATGTCTGGCAGTGCTGGAACCGCCGCGGAGCGCAAGGCGCAGAGGAAGGCGCGTCGCGATGCCACTCAAGCGCTGAATGTCGGTCTTGCGCCCTCGAATCCGTGAGTCCTGCCTCGCTGATGATTGGATTGTCATTGATTTTTGGACAGTGAGGCGCTCTCGTCGCACGAAAAGAAGCGTTACTACCTCGAGTCGCTCGAGCAGTACGTGATGTACCTCCACGAGCAGCTCAAGCTCGTCGGGACGGACCCCGTGCCTTTGGAGAGGGTCTCCACTTACCGAGGACTGAGCAGTCGCTCTATCCGCGTAAGTCCAATCGATCTTCCTTTTGAGACGTTCGCTGACTGCTTGAGAAGACTCTCCTCGTCCACATGCGTAACGGCGTGGGCAAGCTCTCCCTTCGCACCGAGAATGAGGAACAGAAGGTTTGTTGGGCTCGTTTCCCGATACGTACAATTGCTGATTACCGTCGCAGTTCATCGAGCGCCGCGATGCTGTGTACAGCCAGGAGCTTGAGCCTCGCGCCCTACACGAGTACGAGCGGCACTTCGGCATTGCAACCGCGAGTAAAGTGACACATATGGGCGAACCGCTTGGGTCATCCCTGGGGAGCCTTGGCATAGCAGCTGTGAAAGGGGAAGATTGGTCGTCGAGCAGGTGTGCTGACGCACCGGACGCCGTAGATGCGAAGGATATCGTTGAGCAGGACAATAGTGGTACGTTGCTACAGGATGCTGGAGGTGCGGTAGTACTAGAAAGCCCTGGGGATGGGTCTAAAAAGTGAATCTAAGGTACAGGGTGGGCTGCTATGTACTTTTCGCGATATATCGATCCATCTCATGATCATCACAATATGTATCTGTTCTTCCCCAAGTCGCGCTCTGCCTGTGTGACCTTGCGATTGGGCACCATGGCTGCAGCGGTTACGGCGCGCGCCACCGTCTCTGCCTCGAGGAGGCCAGCCTCCACCGCCTTCTTCAGCACGCTTTTCAGCCAGTGCTGGCAGTTCCAGATGCCATCCGGCACCCTGACGGGTTCCCATGCTGCGATGCGCTCGAGGTGCTTTCGCTGCGGGAGGCTGAGGCGCCCGAGGAAGAAGGCATCTTGGGCCGCTGCAGTCATCATGTCTACCATGCCTGTGCGCGGGCCCCAGTTCGTGAGGTGTGTGTGTCCAGGATCTTGCTGGACCTCCAGCTTCCGGATCGCAGAGAGGCCTGCGAGCATAGGCCCGTCCGCCATCGCGCCCACCCGCCAGTCTGCAGACCAGTGATTCCCAGAGGGCCCGCCCTCGGTTGCGCGGAAGACGCGGAGGTAGACGTCTGCATCGCGATCAACGTCTTTGTGGATCCAGTCTAGGTCGGTAGGCGCGTAGCCCTCCCTGCCGAAATTGGGCAAATGGGGACCAACGATGACGGATAGTCTGAATGCGCAGGGCATGACACTGCGGCCTCTATCGGATAGTTATGGCGGCAGCTGGCGACCGCGGTCCGCGACGAATATAGGCGCTGCAGCCTTCCGGATGGACCGGGCGACGAGAGTCAGGGCAGCCTTGAACGTGAGAGACAAGAACGTATGTTTTGAATCCGCTGATCGCACGTGCAGAATCACGTTCCGCTTACTTCCGTTTGGGGAACGACAAGTGGCAGCAATCTGAGTGCGCGCCACCGCGCCCAGAGCTAGTTTAGGTTAGTGCCAAGGCCGTTATATGGCTTGTATTGTACTACTCTGACAGGGAGCAGGAAGGTCAATTCGCTCGTGATCGATTGACTTGAAAAAGGGAGACTGGGTGAAGGCCTGCGCATGGGTAAAGACCTTCTCAGTATATTTCAATCTCATACAGGAATTAAATGTCCAACTCGCATGCTCTTACTGCAAACATCGAAGGAAGTACGCCCACCTCCCCGCCGTTTGTTGTGATTTGTTTTGAGTGATGGGTCCTGTTGGACGCGGCCGTGTAATTTCATCTCTTCCTCCGCCCTTGTCTCGACCCACCGAAGCCTGCGCCGCTCGCGCGGCTCCCTGGAAACTCGCATCTTTGCGCAGACGATGGATGCGAGTAAAGCGCACGCGTGCTCGCCGGACCCGGGGACGGAATATCCGTTATGTTGCCCGGAGACCTTGTCAGAGTCAACGCATGGCAGAGAAGCTGCCGGATCGACGCGGAGTTCGATGCATGGGCACGCTACCCAGGACCCCGGAATATACGCACATAGGCCGTCCAGCGGTGCGGATAAATCGTGGGGCTTCCGGCCGGTAGGCCGGTCCAAAAAACGGTCAAATCGGGGGCCTGAGGGCTTGGAGGCCGGTCCAAAAACGCGGGTATACACAGGGGAGACAGGGAGGCCGTGCCGAAAAAGTGGATATCGGACGGTCGATTCGAACCGCCGACCTACCCTCAGACCAGACGCACGCGATACCGGTAAGCTAAGTGGCCGTTCTCTTACAGCGGGCAGTAGCACCCTAGATAGCCTCCCTGTGCCCATTGGCACCTTCTAGTAGACCATTGGCAGGCTCGATATTTCGAAGGACAGCGGTGTGTGGTAGCACCTCGAATGGGTATGGGAGGCAATAAGCTCTCTCTTTTGTACTTCTCAGCCTTCTTTTGTTGCAGACGCTACGCGCAGAGCGCGTAGGGACCCTGGAAGAAAAAAATCAGATTTTTCCCGATTTTATTGCCATTTTTGAGGCCGTCCCGAGAAAACGGATAAATTCTGGGGGTCCCGAGAGGCCGTCCCAGAAAACGGATAAATCTGGGGGTCGGGGACCCAAAAAAAAAGTGGATAAATGGGCGCCAGAGCCGGATTTTCCAGGACGGCCTTTGTGCGTATATTCCGGGGTCCTCGCTACCCTTCCTAGGAAGTCTCTCACATTCGCCTTGCTTCTTTGACTATGTTGGGCAGACGAACTCCTGAGAAGGCGCTTCATAGTCTCATATGCAGAAGCTAGGGGCAAGGGGAAGAGCCAAAGAGGCAGCGGCGGACGAGAACAAGGGTGTCTGCCCGCCTCACTAATCAGGCGACCGCGGGCAGGGTCATGCATATAAGATCTGATGGTAAGTTTACTCAACCTTCAATTGACCCATCTCACTCTCACGCTCCGTTGATACGCTTTCGTTCATAGGGCCGGCCTGCGGCCGATTGCTTCTTCCAACCCACCCTCACCTCCTCCCTCCACCATGCCCCGCCATTCCTTCACCGACCGAGACCCCCTCGATGCCGTCCTCGCCCCGCCCCCCAACGAGACCCCGGAGGAGAGAGAGAAGCGCATCGCCGCCGAAGTAGAGGCCAAGCGCGTCAGCGACGAGATCGACGCGCAGCTCAACAGGGAGCGCGAGCGCGAGAAAAAGAAGGCGCCGGCAGTCCGCGTCCTGCTCCTAGGTGCGTTCCATCGCCATCAAACGTGTTACACGACCCACTGACAAGTAAGCGTGCAGGGCAGAGCGAGTCGGGCAAGTCCACGACGCTTAAGAGTGCGTCTGCACGCATCACCCATATGTGCTGTTCCTCACTCCGCTTCAGACTTCCAGTTGATCAACTCCTCGAAGGCGTTCCAGAGGGAGCGTCCGACATGGGGCAATGTCATCCGGCTCAATGTCGTCAAGGCTATGCTGTTGATCCTGGACATCCTGAACCAGCTTCAGGCCGGTGCCGACTCGGAGGAGGAGGACTCGAAGCGAGTCGAGCTCACTCCCGATCTGCTCATGCTCAAGCAGCGGCTCGCACCCCTCTACTCACTGGAAGAGTCCTTCGCGGCACTCCTGAGCCCCGGTTTCAGGGTACGTCGAGACCCTGCCCTGCCACACGCCTCGGGCTCACCGTTGACAGGGCGAGAAGTCTCGGTCTAAATTGCGCGATAACGTGTTCAATATCAACGTCAACTCCGAAAAGTTCGGTCTGTCCCGCTTGTGGGGAGGAGGCAACATCCGGGAGAGCATCGACGGCGACCGTGATGTCGTCGACCACACAGGCGACGATGCGGCGGGCGATGCGCAGGCTGTTGCGCAACCGCGAAGATCTAACGATGACCCGGCACACGTCCTCCATATGATGGCGTCCGACATGGTCGCGCTTTGGTCCCATCCTACAGTGAAGAAACTGATGCGCGTGCGCGATCTCAAGGTCGGAGACATTGACCGAGGGGGCTAGTGAGTTTCACGATGCATCTATCTACTGCAGACGTTCTTGGCTGACTGGCTGGATTTCTTAGCTTCATGAACAAGCTGGAAACTGTCACCGACCCTGCCTACGTCCCAACTGATGGTTTGTCCCGTCTCTATCCTTTGCCTTGCATACGACTGACCGATCCCTCAGACGACATCCTCCGCGCTCGCATAAAGACCATGGGAGTCTCTGAGCATCGCTTCCGCCTGAAGACGGGTAAGCCTGATCGCCGAGAAGGTTTTGGGCAATGCATAGTGATCAAGTTTCAAAACGCCCTATAGGCCCCATGGGCAACCTGACCACCTCCGAGTGGCGTGTATTCGATGTCGGCGGCGCACGAAGCATGGTATGCCACCCATTCTAGTGCACTGCTGATGTGCTGATTAACTGCTTCCTATAGCGGGGTACGTCTATCGCCGCTGTTAGCACTGATGCGCACGGCACTAATGCCTCCCTGCAGCCGCTTGGGCGCCGTACTTCGACGACATCGTACGTATGGCGCATTGCCCCTGGCTACCACTATTGACCCGCCCGCATTTATCCAGGATGCCATAATCTTCCTCGCCCCCATTAGCTGCTACGACGAAGTGCTCGAGGAGGATCCCACGGTCAACCGCCTGGTACGTGCTATCTCGGAAATGCCCTCATCATATTTCCGGCCCACGCCGTGGCCTCCGTCGAGGCCATACCCGCCGCAGCGATCGCTGATCAAACGCACAGGAAGACTCGATGAAGCTGTGGCGAACGATATGCGAGAACCCACTTTTGAAGAACACCGACCTGATCTTGTTCCTCAACAAGTGCGACGTGATGAAGGAGAAGCTTCGCGTCGTCCCGTTCTCACAACACGTCGTCTCGTACAAAGGCCGCGATGACGACTTTGAGGGATGCGCGAACTGTATGTGGATCTCTCGGCTATGCTACCGTGTGCATACTGACCGTGCGTCCGATTCGCACAACCGCAGACCTGAAGCGCAAGTTCGGTGCGTCGCGAATACCTCGCTTGATGCGTCTCAATAACTGACATTGCTTCTCCTTGCAGGTCAAGTACACAAGTCCCACTCGCCGCAACAGCGACCATTCTACTGCCATATGACCAGCGTTACCGTCAGTGATGCTCCCTTCTTCTTCTCCTCGATATCAATCCTTGTCACAGGACACCAAATCCACACACGCTATCCTTGGCAATGGTACGTCAACTCTCATGTGTTTATGGCCTGCACTAAATGCTGATCCGCGAACTCAGTCAAGGACCTGCTTGTCCGAAAAAACCTGCTGAACAGCCATCTCGTATGATTCCTGTCCTCAGCTGTCGTGTTTTGTCATGGATGCGGACTCTAGGTACCGGTTTAGACATAGGGTTGTGGCTCCTCCCCCTCCCTCCGACTCCCTGCGACCTCCCCTCCTTCGGTTGTACGTATATAATCTTGGCGCCGTGGACGGTTGCTGTGCATGTTCTGCTGGCCACACATACACGCGTGATGTTGTTCCACTCATTCAGAGCATTGGTAGTCCTTGCAGGCAAGATAGGCGAAGTACATGGTTGCTAGACAAAGACATCGAAACAAGGTACAGTCATTAGAGTCCTTGGTACTTGAGATAGTTAGACGGTAGATCAACCTGGTGGTAGTACATTAAAGTCCAACGGTGGCAAGATCAGTCCTTTACATGTCCTGGTACGGCGGGAGCTCATCGTCGCCGTCACCGGGCTTGCGCGAAGTGCTCGGCTGGCGAGCGAGCTCCTGCTCGTGCTCCAAACGCTTACGCGCCTGCTCGGGGGTCTCGCTGGCAGCCTGCGAGTACTGCTCCGCCAGACGACGCTTCTCAGCCTCTGCGCTCTCAAAGTGCCCAGCTGCTCCCAATGCGGGCGGCGCCTCCTCGGCCACAGGCGTTGGGATGGAGGGCTTCACCGCAGGCGACGGGGACTTCAGGTCCTTCAAGGAGCCGCTCGAGGGACCGCCCGTCCCAGCAGACACGGGCATGCCCGTCTCAGCGACGGTCGGGGTCACCGGCGGCAGTTGACCGTTCTCCGACGAGACGATAGGCGGCGGGGAACCCGAGGACATGGATGGGACGTGCCCGCGGGCAGGTCCCGCGGGAATGGGCGCGGGCGACTGGTTCAGAGAAGCCGGATCGAGAGGCGGCGACTGTGCCTTGCTCGTGTCGATACGCGGGGAAGGGATGTCAACGACAGGCTTGGTGGAGGGTATCGGGACGGGCGCGGCAGCCTTCGGGGATCCTGCCACACCGGGAGGCGGGCCAGGGGGCGGCGTATACTGTCCACTGGGGTGCGGGTCCATGTTGGAGGTATCGATGCTAGACAGCTCGCTGGCGTGGCTCTCACCAAAGCTGATGGTATCGTGGCGGGAGAGGTCGCCCTGGCCGTGAATCGGAAGCTCGACCTGACCGGTCTTGTAATCATCGAGGGCGCGCTGAAGGGCGGCACGAGCAGCACCGGTGATCTTCTGACCGGTGTATGGCTGGTTCGGCGTAGGAGGGACCGAGGGGAGGGCATCGATGATGCGAGGCGCAGCCTGGGAGAGAATGACGAGCTTCTCGCCGTACTCACGCAGCGCCTCCCACTTCAATAGCTCACTTTCGCGCACTGCCTTGCGCTTGAGGAGCTCGACCTCCTTCTCGCCAGCATCGCTCTCGACCTCTACCCTCTGCAACTGCTCGCGCAGACCAGCAAGCTTCTGTTCGTACCCGCGGCTCTTCTCGGTCTCAAGGCGTCCAATTTGGTTCTCGAGGGTGGTACGGAGCTGCCGCTTCGGAGCGAGCGCCGTCTCCGCATCGCGGAGAGCCTTGAGGGGCGCACGAGCAGCCACGAGCTTCGCAGAGAGCGTGGTGGAGAGGGAGCCCTGGATGAAGTTGAGGTATGCAAGACGATCGGTTACTAGCATATGATGTCAGTCAGCAACACGGTGGCGCGGACGGTCGCGACGTCGTCACTCACCATCCTTAAGATCCTCGTCCTCGTTCTGTCCCCAAGTGTAGAGCTCCTTGCTCTGGGCTTTCGCATCCCGCGAGAGAGACTCGAAATCGAGCGCGATGCCCTTCTCGACGGTGATAATCTTCTGAACTGGGGAAGTCGATCTGAAGCTCCTGAAGTCAGCACCAGCACCGCAAACACCAAGAATTGTACTCACGCGTACTGCTGACCAAACGTCCTGAGCTGATTGTGAATCGATTCGAGGGCGAAGTTCCTGTGGCCAGTGCTATGGCCTGTGGCGGCGGTCTCAGTCTGAGCCGCCTCGGGGCTGGTAGGACGCCCAGCGTGGACACCAGCAGCGCTAATTGCAGACTGGGCCTTGTCGGCGATGGAAGATAGGAATCCTGGGACGGGCATGGTGGTTGAGAGTAAGGAACACGAGCAGCGACGATGCCAAGGTTATAAGGGCAGATCAAAGGCGATGACCTCACAGCTTTCGTACATCATGCGCAGCCAACGCGACGGAGTCTCTAAATCATGCCCTTTTCAAGAGAAATAAGCCTGATTATGCCCTGAGCGCTGCAGGACAGCCTCAATAAAACAGTAATGTAAGAAGAAACATCGTAAGCGTACAGGACAAACGCAGCTCGGTCCTAGGGACCAGCGTGAAGAAAGAGATGATAAGCAACGAGCCAGACCTAAGGTCGGCGCGAGACGTACGCACATAGGCTATCCTAGATGAAGATGTACAACCACAGCTACCAGCTCTCGAGGGCGCAAGTGAGGGGTAAGTACATTTGTGTCATTAGCGCGAGGTTCCAAAGGGATGACATCCACTAAAGCATTAGATTTACGCGATTAGCTTCTTCGCACTCTTTCCCTTCTTCTCCGAGTCCTTGTGTGACAAGAACTCGACCTCCGTCGCGAGAGGACCACCAAGCTTGGCACCGTCCGCGTAGCCAAGGACCGACGTTTTGAAGTGCTTGCCGATCTGCTCAATCCGAGTCTTGAGCTGATCCTCTGGCGAGGACGGTGCGAGCCGCGTCCATATCGAGATACGATAGAACTGCGGTCGTGTAGAGACGATGACACCCGTAATAAGAGACTCTGGCGCGGGGCTGTCGGGGCTCTCCCTGACCAAAGTGGGATCAAACGTCTCGCCGATTGCGGCCAACATCTTGCCACGGCGTTAGATGGCGCAAGAAGCAGAGAGCGAATATACTCACTGTGTAGAGCCACATTCTGTCAACAACACTCCGGTGCTTCTCCTTGGGAAGCTGGATGCTCCACTTCCCACCGTTCTTGTTGGCATCGTCCTCCCAAGCAGGGATAATCCCCTCCTGCACCAAAAATGAGATGGATCGCGAGATAAAGAACAGAGACGTACCTTGAAGAGGTAGTAATTTGCCTTTTGAGGCAATTGAGAGGGCGGTATTATGTTGTTATACAGCCTGCGCGTGTTCTGTTAACGTATGTTCCGACTTCATTTCGTTGAAACTCACCCCCAGAACTCCTCCACGCTGTCAAAACTGATTACACGCTTGATATCCTCCATCCAGCCTTGAGCAGCCGCGGGACCAGGTGTAGAAGGAGCGGGGGTTGGAGGGAACGCCGACATAGGCGTCTGAGGGAGGTTGCGCCCCTTGGTGGCAGGGGAGTCAAACCATAGGGTCCAAGGGGAGTAGAGGGGGTGCTGTGGGGAGGGATGCAGATCAGTAACCTTTCATCAAGATCACGAAATGCAGCACGCACCTTTACGTTGAAGTTGGTAGGATCGGTGAAGACGGTTCTGATGTTCTCGGCCTGTGCCTGCATGTCGACCTCTGGGAGCTCACCAGGCTCCTGGGACTCAGAGCTCTGCTCACCAGGAGCGGCCTCAGAGTCTGGTTTATCTGCCAACGCGGCCGAGAGCGCAGCTTTCGAGGCCTGTGCGGCGGGGGGAGGGAGGGAGGACGCCATCTGGGGGACTTGTGCGATATCGAAGACTGTTGATGTGCGCAGGAGATGTGGAAATACTCTATGTGCGGTCGGACGCGGGTATTGTTGCGATCGGACGAGACGAGATGGTTGTTGGAAGCAGCTTTGGAATTCGCCCGCTTTTTCGCCAACTCGAGAAAGGCAGGCTGACTAAGACGCTCGCGAGAGATAAGATCACGGTCCGGTGTCGGTCCGTTGCCGGCGATAAGCGCCGATCAGCTTCGGCCGCTCGGCGCGACGTATTTCTGACGCCGCCGAGGATCCGCGCAGGTCTCTTGCTCCCGTCCTCCACCTTCCCAGTCGCCTCGCATGGATCCCTTCAATGCAAAGCTCATCGCTGCTGCGACGGGCTCCATGGTCACCGCCCTGACCAGTACGTGCGTTGTCGAGCAGTAAGACTTTGTACTCACCGGCTCCAGTGACTCCCTTCGATGTCGTCAAGACCCGACTGCAGACACAGGCGCCAGTCCCCCGCGAACCCCTCTTCCCCAATCCCCCGCCAGACACTTGCTGTCAGCCTGCAGGGCAGCCATGCGTTAACACTAGTAACAATGGCAAGACGACCAGGATGAATACATCTCGCAGCCTATCCTCCTTGGCACGACCGGTCACGCAAGAGCTGGGAGTGTGTGTATGGCACGACGGGACGATGCAGCGGGAACGCGTCACGGGCTTCTTCGATGCTGCACGACACGTATGGCGAGCCGAAGGCATACGGGGGCTGTGGAAGGGTGCCGGAACTTCACTGTGCGTCCGCTACCCATCGGTATGCTAACTAAGATGCTGACCCGCTGACGTCGTGCAGTGCTATCGGAATGCCTTCAGCAACCGCGTACATGCTCACGTACGACCATTTGCTCCGCGTAACACTACCCCCGCTCCTACCCGCATCAATCGTTCCCCTCTTCGCTGGCGTTATTGCACGGTCATCCATTACGGCGATCGTATCACCATTAGAGCTCCTCCGCACAAACCTTCAGTCCACCCCTGTCTCCGCTGCCAACCCTCACACCCTTCGCTCCGTCACAACGTCATTAAGCCGGCTAGTGACTTCGCAAGGTGTCCATTCGCTCTGGAGAGGCCTTGTGCCAAGCTTGTGGCGAGATGTACCCTTCTCGGGAATATACTGGGCAACCTACGAGGGCCTCAAGAAGCGGATGATGCGCAGAGGACACGAAGGCGCCACCCTCGCCTTCTTCTGTGGCGCGACGAGTGGAATGACGGCCGCCCTCTTGACTTCGCCCTTCGACGTCTTGAAGACACGCCGTCAGGCCATCGTCATGTCCGAGACCGCACCAAGAGGCCTATCCACCGTGGCAGTCATGTCCAACATCATACGGACGGAGGGGACGTCGGCGCTTTTCGCAGGCCTCGCACCTCGAATGGCCAAAATTGCTCCGGCGTGCGGTATCATGATTGCATGCTTCGAAGTGAGTACAGTCACGGTTATCTGATAATCGCACGTTACTCATGGTGAATCATAGGGGATTGGCAAAGCGTTGGCAAGGCCTGAGTAGAGGCGACCGTGTACGGGTGGAGGAGCATCGGATTTCACTGTCAGCATCATAGGATTATATGGCACTATCATATTATTTACTATACACCCATCCGCGCGGAACCTAGTACTGTATCATGCATGTATATCGTGTGTAAGATGCAGGTCGTGAGCGTCGTAAGTGAAGGAACAACCGTTATCCTAGTCTAGCCATCTGCCGCCCCGCCTTCGTGAGCTTGCCGCCCACCTTGTCGACGTCCTCGGTGAGTTCGTCGAGCAAGGTGTTCTGGTAAGCGATTTCGCTACCGATAGCCTCGCCCATTTGTCGTTGACGGGCAAGGATGGTGGTCAGCTGGCTGAGCTGATCGTCTTGTCGTTGCATCTGCACTTGCTGCAGACCGAAGACACCGACGTTGTCAAGTGGTCGCGTCTCCTCCGTCTCCTGGGGCTTTGCCTTCTGCCCGAAGACACGCGCGAACGGCTTCGCAGATCCCGCACCTCCCAGCAGCGCCTCCCTATCAGAGTCGGGTGCGGGCTGCGCTGCGTATCCTCCTCGGCTCTGTGGTGAGGTGGAGGACCAGCGCGCGACAGTGAGCATCTTGCCCAGCTTCTCGCACTCGTCCTGCAGTCGCCCGACCATATCTGTTCGCCGCTGGAGCTCCCCCTCGCTCATGCCTCCCATCCCCAGTTCCTGCAGGCCGCGCGCGAGTGTGCCTATGCGAGGGATGATCTTTGCAAGCTTGGTCTTCGCGCCGACATTTGCTTTGTGCGCTGCAGGGACGTCGCCGCGATCGGTCAGCGCGTCGCGCTTATTGACGTCCGCGCGCACGTCGCGGAGATCGTTCTCGAGCTCAGTGTGTGCGTCGATCCAGGAAGAGGCACTGAAAGTCGTCGGAGCATGATTCGCCGCGCGGCTGACGGGGACTCCGAGGAACTGCTTGAACACCAAGCTGTCGCGCCAGCGATCGTCGCGTGCAGAGATGATCGCGCGAAGGTACTGCTCCAATCCAGCTTTGCGCTCTTCCAGCATAGCCTGGTCCTTCTTCGAGCGGAAGAGGGAGACGGAGAACGCGTGTTTGGGCGGCAGTTCCGCAGGCGGCGGAGCGCCTGTATCGCGCGCCAGGTCGGCGTGCAGGTCGGCGAATTCAGAGTAGCGGCGCCATATCTGCCAGGCGCGGACGTTCGCCTGGACCTCAATGCGGTAGACGATGTGCGCCTTGGGGTCGAGCCGCTCCTCGTAGCTGCGAATGTGCACGGCCTGGATGGCGGTCATGGTCAAGCCGCGCCTTGCCTCTTTTGGCGATCTCATTGTTCGTGCATGGCATTGGCATTGGAATGTGTACGTCATGCAATCAACGTGAAGAATACAGTGAATAAATAGTTCCTAGTTCCCTAAGTTACAGATCATACCCTACTGGCTCCGGAGAACCATTTCCCAAGTCCCGTCCTCAACGTTCCGCATGAGGCCCTCGAATACGGTGAGCTCGCAAAGAAAGTCCACACGCCGCAACTTGTCTGGCTGCATTGCGCCGCAACGACGCCAGCAAGCCCTGCGAATATCATCTCGGTCGTCGTCGCATAGCTCTTCGTTGTCTACATCTTCCACACGCAATGCAACACTCAGATGAGTGTGTAACTGAGTCAGAACATCATGGACGGTGACAGCTCTGCCCGCCGCCCCGACGATGTCGATATACCACGGCAAACGATAGTGGTAGAGGCGCATATGTGCCACTGGTGGCTGAGTCGCGGATCGCATCAGGTCGCTAGGCGTCAATGGACCCAGCTGCGTAGGTCGAGACAGCTGTATGCATCGGGCGTGCATGGGAGGGAAACGCAGATCATGACAGATGGGCGGATGGGGTAACTTGTGGGCAAGAATGTCTAGTAGATCCCTAGGCGTCGGGTCGTGGGCTTCGGCGAAAGGGAGGTGAGATGGCAAATGCGGTAGAGTCCTGCACACGTACTGATCGTTATGTTCCTCCCCTTCTGCGACGTTGTCGCTCCTGCATGGGCGATGAAGTCCGGCCGCCAATCGAGGGGTCGTGGGATGTATTGACGCGCTCTGGGTGGCGAGCGAGTGACACCGTAGCCGTGTACTGGGGACGAGCTCGTGCTTGCCACCGGATGATGAGGTTCGAGGGGTGCGTATGTGCTGTAGGGGCTGCTGGTGTCGCTCTGCGCCCCCGCGTCATAGGCATAGCCGTACTGCTGTAGAGAGTTTAGGTTCAGCCTGTTCCGACGGAGAGATCAGCGTCTGCAACTTCGCGAACACGACAGGCAACGCACTCAGGCTGTAGAGTGTAGTCGTAGGCGCGATTCCCTCGATGCGACATGGTTGTGGAAGAACAGCAAGTTGACTCACCTACAGCATCGCAAGCGCCGTATTTAAGGCATTCCCGGGACTGCTGTGATCAATGTTGGCGCGTTGAGAAAGGCCCACGCTGTGCACGTAGATTGGCGCCCGAGGCTGTACGATAGAAGCCGACGCTGCGTAGCTAGGTCTGCGCAAGCACCTAAAAGCTAGTCAATGACTCGATTCCTGGCACCCACGGTCGTTAAGCGCCCATATCGGCTCCCGGTTGCAGAGCTACTCAAAGCTAGTCATTAGAGAGCTGCCGCCTCTCGAGCAGAGCTGCAAGAATTCTCCCATCGCGGACCTTGGCACCTAAGTTGAGTCGAGTACGGAGCGTCCCAAATGCCGTAACAGATCCACAGGACTTACCGTGTAACTGTACATCCAGGGGGTTCAGGTTGATGATGCTCCTTGTCGTTGAGTTAGATGAATGGGCCTCGTGATCGCTCACCGCATCGATTGAGCGCTGATTGCGGTATTGATAAATTGGGAAACAGCATTGTGCAACAGCTTAAAAAGGCATCAATTGAGCAAGAAGGCCGCCACCCCGAGTCTGCGGCTGCTGACGCGTACGGCTTCCCTCGCCGTGAGCTCACTTGCGCCTTCTAGAACGATGTCAACAGTACAAACCGACTGCTGCAGGCTGACGCTGCATTGCGCCGCTCGATTGCGCGAGCGTGAATGAACACAGGCGGCGGCCAACCATAAGGACGTATTACCGAAAGCGCTGCTTGATATGGAAATCCGTTCGTTCGTGTTGACGCCGCAAACAGCTATGCACGATAGTCTGAGTACGTGGCTGAGTACCTCAGCATCATGCATTCCCTCGTTGACCGGATACAATAACGAACCGCGCACCTGCGCTGAAGTATACCTCCATCAAAGCCCCAAACGCCCACCACCCCCTCCCCCTGCTCTTGAGAAAGCGCACGAAACCTGGAAAGACCTCGTCCGTGATGTCCTCAAGCGTAACGTCGACATAGCCTATTTGTTCCATGTTCTTGACGTACGTCGTCTTGGTCCATACGTTGTCGGAAGGCATCATCCTCAAGGCCGCGCGGATCAGCTTGGAACGATGCGTATCCAGAGTAAGATCGTCGAATGCGATGTCCGCAAGTGCGATACGTCCTCCGACTGCGAGGTTGCTCAGTGCCTGCTGGAGGAAAGCTTTGCGCGTTTGGAAGTGATAGGCGCAGTCGAGCGCGAGGATAGTGTCGAAACGCAGGTCGTCCGCAGGGTTGAAGGGATGCTTGACATGTTCTGGTCTGCGGACAGCATCGGCGCAGTACAGGGTGACTGACTGCGGCCTTGCGGTCTCTGGCAGCGCCTGCACGAATCGTTCAACTCGCCGCGTCGAACGACGAGCATGCGCAGGCAGGCTGGTGATCCCGACCAAATGCGCGGGGACAGGTACGTCTGGATGTCGCAGCAGAAGTAAGAGGGATTCCCCTGTCCCATGTCCGACGTCTGATCGTCATGTCAATCAGACCCTTCCTTGATGATGTAGGAGCGTACCTAAGACCCTCCCATTCGGCCGTGGTCGTGCTGCCTGCACCATACGAAGGGCAAGAGCTTGATACACGTAGCGTCAGAGCATATACCGCGAGCATCCGGAGCTGCGCATACCTTCACAGGCAGTGGGTAAATCGCTCGTGTTTTTCCAGTAGCCCATGTTCAGCCATTCAGTCTTGGGATCGACGTTTATGGGATCACCCATGCGTCTATTTAAGGCCAGATGAAAGAGACCGTATGGGTCGTCGCCGCGCGAGCTCAGCCTCTTCAGAGCAACTCCCAAGATTGAGAGCGCGATCAGATGATGAGAGGTATAAACAAGGCCGGAAAGGACGAGGACGAGAATTGCAAGGCCAGACGTATGCACGTTTGACTGCTTGGTAGACTCGTCGACTAAGAGGACGCGGCGGCTGCCTGACCTTCAGAGATGGGCATACAGTTTGTCAAGAAGACGCAAGCATACCGTGCTTCCCCTCAAGTTGGGCCCTGATCCGCTCGTTCCCCTCACGGTGGGACTTGATCATCGTCCTCAAAATGTATGGCATGAAGAAGAAGAGCGCCTGTTCAGCGAGTTTGTAAGCGGATAAATGAGGTAGAAAGAGAGGAAAATGCACCTGAACCTCGACATCCTCCGTCATTTCCGCGCTTCCCTCGTCCTTCCCCCGCACGCGCCACCGCTGCTGCAAGCGAGTGCCCATCGGCGCGTTGACCGTCACGTCTGTGCCTTCATCCTTTGGTTCAAAGAGCGCGTCGTACGTCGTTGTGCTAGACCATAGCCCCAGTACGTCCAGCTTATCGGTTATTGTGTACTTCAGAGGATTGGACGGGTCGACCTTGCGGTCGATAACCAGGGAACCACCGCTGACCATACGGTCGGGGTCATGCAAATATTGAATGACAGCGTCGGTAGGCGCGTTGATCGGGGTAGTAGAGGAGACCGTACGCGTCAGGACGAGAGGCCATGGAAGCGGCATGGCGGTAGGGTGCAAGCTTGAAGGACCACGTGATCCACTCAAATAACAGTATCGTCGCGACCTCAAAAGCAGGGAACCCTCGCTATCTCTCGCTGCCGTACTTAGCGTACCTTGATGACCATTCAAGGACCCCCAGAATACAATTGAATGGGCTCAGGCCTTCCATTCGGTATAGACGCGTGTCAAGGATCCGCCACTAGGCGACGATGTGGTTCATGCCAGTCGTAAGCGTTGCCAAAGCGTTGCACCCAGCACGCGCAGAATTCGACGTAAGACAGGGGAACAAAGCATGATCCAGATACAGATGATATAATCATACATACAGGTTATTGCACGACGTGATATTCGTGACGGTTCTACTATGTTGACGTGTCAGACCAGCGTAGACGAAGGCAGGCTACGCGGAGGACTCACCAAGAATATGTTTACAGCACACAGGTTATCTTGACTTTGAAAGAGAGCAGCGGTGAGTGTGACAAGGGAAAGATGGTAATACAGTATTTGGTTTGCGGCTGGTATAAAGTATGTTCAGCATAAGGAGACGTCCAAGAGGTCCATGGAGCAGAGTCGATTGGCCGGTCTGAAACTCAGTGAGGATAGACGACAAGCCGTGATTTATCCGACACATACCTTCGGCGCAGAAGGGGTTCATTCGTGCTTCTTCTTCAACTTGATCTCCCAAATTCCGCCTTTCTTGTGCAGACCCTCGAAGATGACCCGCTCTCCGAGGTAGTCGACCCTCTTCACCCCCTTCCCGAGTTCTTGCTCGTCGTCCTTACATCGTTTCCGATATGCGACCGTGATCTTCTCCCGGTCGGCTTCGGTCATCTCCTCGTTCCAATAGTCCTTCGCCAGTATGCTCATGGACAACTGGGCGTACATCTGAGTGATGATATCGCCCACAGTGATACCGTTAGGCTGGCTCTGCAGAATCTCGATGTACCAAGGGAGGCGGTGATGGACGAGGCGCATGCGCTCAACGGGAGGTTCGGAGGCAATTTGAAAGAAGTCGATTTCGTTGTGTTGTCGTCTCAAGCAAGGGAAGTTCAGGCAGTTGACGTATTCGGGGTCGTAGCGGATGTCCCAGAAGACGGGTGGAGGGGACGCGTATGCGAGGAGGTACGAAAGCTTGCGCCGCACGGGATCGGTAAAGTCTATAAAGTCGTGAGAGAGCCATGTCAGCCGATCAGTGCGCGTCTGACTGCAAGGAGTGCGCACCGTCGACAACAGTATCCCGGCGGCCCCGAGGTATATACGAGGCGAAGCTGGGTCGCACAGTGTATTCGGGGCGCCATTCGCGCGGACGTCGCGCGGGTTCAAGAGGGCCATAGCCCTCTGTGGGCTTCCACCCATTCCGGTAATGCGGGAGCGCGTCGGACACGCTACGGTGTACGTCAATCGAGTTACTTCGCTTGTTATGACGTGGTTTGGGCTGGGTTTGCGAGGCTGAGCGACCTAGGCCACCGAAGAACGAACGGCCTAACGTAGGCTGGTCGAGGGCACTAGCCGGGGTTTGTGGAGTGGTTAGCCCACGCGAGGGCGGCGTCTGCGAGGAGGACCAGCTAGGGTAAGGCGAGCCCGTCCCGGGGAGGTTGCCCCATGTCGGGCCAGGCGTTTGACCAGCGCTTGGGTGCCATGGGGAGGAAGGAGGCGGCGCGTTCCGGGGAGCGAAGTAGGAGTCGGGCATGGGATCCATGTCGGGTCCTGGGGCTTGAGGAGCGTTCCAGCCACCAAAGCCTCCTGGAGGAGCGTTTGGTGGGCTTGCCGGACCTGTCGCCCATGGGTCATTATTCCCTGCACCGGTGGTCGCGTTCCAATCTTCCCAGCCGCCAGGAGCGCCGCCTTCGTCGGGAGCACCCCAGCCTCCGCCTCCTGCACCTCCTGCACCATAGGCTCCGGCCCCTGCGGGTGACCAGTCGCTCGCGGCTCCGGGAGACGCCCACGGCGGCATGTCCACGTAGGCGTTGGAAGGTCCGGGGGCTGGCGTGTTGAGATGGCGGGGCATGGATGTTGCGCGCCGATGGCGACGCGGAGAGAAACTAGAGAAAGCAAGGTGATGAGCGCGTCGCGTCGCGTGTAGTCAACGAGAGCGCTGAAGTAGTCGAGGAAGTATGAAAGATGAAGTTAAGCGTGGATAAGGAGTAGCGCAGCCGCCCTGAGGGCGCATCGCATCGTGGCCCATCTAATCACAACTCATCACAGATCTCATCACGCACCGTCGTGGACTTGGAATCGGCGTGGTCACTTCGGCAGTCGCCGGTTCGCCATCGTCGTGCTCGTCGATATAATGGGCGCCTGGGGGAGGCGGAATTATCCTCACGCTACTCGACGGACCCGCAGCTGGCCAGCTGGGACCAGAGTGCCAAGCGCCATGCTGCTGTGACGCCTGCCAGACGCTAGGGCGTCCTCGGGGAATCATGACTCGAGTGAATCTTCTCGGTGTCCTGCTGGCGCTTCTTGCTGTGTGGCGAGCTCAACGGTGTCTCTACAGGTCGAAGCTGAGGGCTGTATCGTATATATCGTATGTATAAGCCACTCACTACGCACACGCCTCGGATGGCTCCGCGAATACAGACTTTGAAACTTAGGAAGTGTGGGCGCGCAAGTCAAGCTGAACATCTCGCGCCATATACAGCAGACTGAATGTGGACAAAGAGGCCATGCGGTACCAAAGCTCCGATCCTTCTCATGATCCCATCGGCGACCACAGCTTGGGTGGTAAAACAAAGCAATGCTTAGGGTGATGACGGACTGAGGAGCACTCAGGCAGAAATTCAAGTGGCAGTGACCAGCATTCTCGATGTGAGTACGCCGCAGTACTGTATTTCCTGAAGGAGTCAAGTCGATTATATGTGCAGCGCTTACAGATCCAGCCGCCTGTCATATATCCAGGTCCTCATCAGGATCATCATCATCTATGTCGTCCGCCGAGTCTGGGTCGTATAGGATGGCACCCGTGCTCGACGTTTGCAGTTGGCCTATTCATGGCGATCAGGACAAGTCACGTAAGATCGAGGATAACGGTCATACCTTCATGGGCGTAGGGCAAGGGCACTTGCGCACGCGCCTGCTGATGAGCTTCTGAGAGGGCAAGGTTGAAGGAGACGTCCATGTCCGGTGGGAGTCCACTTGTCGGCGCCTAATTACTGATCAGCTTCAGTGTATGGCGGCCAAGAGGCTCCTCTTACTTCTTCGGGCGCCTTGCTCTTCCCACGGAGTATCCTCCTGAGACTGCGCAGCTGGACCAACTCGCGCGGCGCGCCCTCACTCCAGCCCTCAAGGCGTCGCTCCACAACTCTTCTCCGGGCGGCGCTGCGAGATAAGATCTCGACGATAATCTCGTCCTCAGCAATATCGTCCACCTCTGTTGCGAGGTCTTGCACGCGGCGTTAGAAGCGAGTCATGAGATAAAGGCATGCTATGAACGCACCTATTGTAGATTGCCTTGCGCTTACTGGTAGCCATACGCCCCAGAAGCGTTCCTCGCCACCGACAGGAGGTGGCGGCGTGCCGTACTCAGCGGCGATGTGAGCAACGAGTCCCGGAGAATGCGCCAATACGTGCACAACGTTCTTGAGATGAGGGAGAGACATGTGTAAGAGAGATGATATCAATGGTGAGGCGCTAGACTCCGTGGTATGTAAGACCAGAGTCAGCTCTGCTGCAGCGTCAGTGCATGCGCCCGAAATTCCATCTGCAGGCTTACCTCCGTTCGACAGGGCAGACTTCTTTACCAGCTCCATCAAGAAGCTGCTAGTCGAGGACACACTTCCGTTATCACCCAGCAGCGTTTCGATGGAATCGATGACAAGTGTAGTGGGACGGGTATCATGCAACGCCGCCTTGATCGCCTCTCTTGCGTCTTTGTAGTCGCCGTAGCCGGGAATATTGTCCAGTAGATCGTGCATTTCGATGTCTTCATCCATGCTTGCATCACTGAGAAGCGCGGAAGGAGAGTGCAGCAAGCAGAACACTATCGTCTTGCGCTTCGCGGACGACTTCAACGAGCCCTTGCTCTGGGCAGGCCGTAGGATGGCGCGCAGGAGAGGCAGTGCGGACGCATGCGGAGTAGATTGCAGAAGTATCAGCGGAGGTTGACTTTTCCCAGGCGCGAGGATGGTTGGAAGCAAGAGCGAAGCCATGATGTGATCGAGGCCGGATAAGGAAGGCCTTTCGTCCAACCGGGGTAACCGCCGTGATTGCATACATTTGGCGGGGCCATCAACACGTGATCGCGACTATAATACGGGGTCGCGCGCCCGGGGCACCCCAGAGAGGCTCTTGACCTCTCCCTTTCATCTCGAACACCGCTCTCGTACGTCTCACACGCTCATCCGCGATGCCCAACTCGTCGTACGGCTCGTACAACCACACCTCGAGTGGGACCAACAGCCAGGTGCGTCGCGCCTTTATCAACGTCCCCTTTGTTCATTGCTCATACTTGTCGTCGTCGTGTAGGGCAACCACTACTGCAGCCGTGACTACGGTAACGGGAGCAACTCGTACCACTACTCTAACTCGTGCGTGCTCGACGTCTTTGACGACATGAGCATCGGCTGACCTACTGTATGCAGCGATGGAAGCTACTATTACTCCAACCCCAACGGGTCCACCTACCACAGCAGCAGCACTGGGTCGTCTACGTACACGTCGCCTAGCGGCAACGTCTACAAGTCGTCCTCCAAGTAAGCGAAGAGCGCTTCGGAGTCATGGGGCCGCGATGGAATGCAGGTTGGCGAGATAAGGAACCGCGGTCCGCGTTGTACAGTACCCTGATTCACGTTTGTTTACGGCAAAGTTTCGAAGAATGACAAGCAATGTCTAAGATGGAAGCTGATTAGCATCGCGAAGGACTGACTGGCACCTTATCATGAGGCTGGCCCTATGACGCGCCTCGCCAGCTGTTCGTCTTACCAAAATTCCGTGCCGCTATCCATGCCCATGAGGATTATTGTGTAGACGAGAGACATAACTAAATCTCTATCGGTGAGGAATTCGTGGGAGAACCAGGTCGAAAACGGCGTACTCAGGCGTCCGAATCAGGTAGAACTGACGTTGATTCGTCTTCTCTTACAGATCCTCTTGTAGGGCCTCCGGGAAGCTAAAACTTTCAAAAACGAGACATTACCGTATGAGGAGTATTATGGTGTACTAATTTCCCAAGGAAGGCGATATTACACGTCTCTGGATGTGCCACAACATGGCTTTTCCGCAAAAGGAAAGACTTTATTCCCAATGGGGATGTAATCAATTGTGGGTGGCAAGGCAATCAATGCACCTGACCGGGGCATTTTCTCGAGACTTTTTCTGTATTTCAATTCAACAGCTCTTGTTCCCCAACTACCACCACCACCACATCCTACAAGAGTACAAAGATGGTCGCCAGCCAGCACGGTGATTTTGTGACCACCCACCGCGGCACGAACAGCCAGGTGAGTATCTGACCTGCCTCCTTCGCCCCAACGACGCTCAACGTTGCGCAGGGCAACAAGTACGCCAGGAAGTTTTACTTCTCGTATGGGGAGTGGGGGTACCATTACTCGAACCGGTGCGACGAGTTGTTCCCATGGAAAGAGGACTTGAGCTGACATTTCGGCACATTGACAGCGACGGCAGTTATTATTACAAGAACCCCGACGGGTCGAGTTACCACAACAACGGGAGGGGCACAATTACCTACACGTCGCCGTCGGGCCAGGTGTACAGGTGGTACTAGCCAGAGGGTGTGCGAACCTGAATTTCAACGAAGATGTACAATAGTGACCGATGTAACTGCCGTGTATATCATTAGCGTCGTGCTCGACGGCGACGAAGGAGAAAGCGGCGGCGGCTCGAGAACGTGGAAGAGCGGGTGGAAGAGGGGGGGGGGGAAGCTCACATCTTCGGTGCGCAATCGCCCTCCGAGTCAGCCTGCGAGTCTCCCCGATCGAGTGCTTTGCCTCCGCGCTCAGAATCGGCTTTTCCACGAACGTTCCCGCGCGTGTGGAGGTCGGCTATCCGTCGGCGACGTCCTGGGCGGGGAGGAGACGGTCTTCGCGTACGTGAGGAAGGATAGTACATACAGTCAGAAGGTGACCAACAGACGCCTTGAAGAGAGTCCCCAGGACGTCGGCAGGACCCGCGAGTATTCCAGGGTCACGCGAGATGAGGTCGCGTACGCTTCATGCTGCTGAAGCAGGATCGCTCCTGTTCTGCACCTGGAAGGAGGTAGCCTGCTTGTCTTTGCTTGCCAATAGCAGGTGAGCGCACATGACTGGGCCTATATAATGAGCGATGGGCGCCTTGATGCGAGAAGACGCACCTTGCCCTCTACATTGACCCTCTCGCACGTCCGAGCACCCACACAACTACAAGATGCCCAGCGACAGCAGCAGGTACGGTCCGTGGCAGACGACGTCCTCCGGTACGAACAGCCAGGTGCGTGCTTTGAAGGTGTCGTCGTCGAGCTTCTCTGATTGCCCACCACCGTCCAGGGAAACAAGTGGGACAAGCGCGACTACGGGTATGGTGACAACACGTACCACTATTCGAACAAGTACGTTCTCGCGCACTTCGCCAGCGATGCAATGGCCAACCCCACGACGCAGGGACGGGAGTTATCATTACAAGAACCCCGATAACTCGACTTACACCAACAACAGGCGAGGCTCTTCGACGTACACCGCGCCCAATGGGAACGTATACAGGAAGTAGCTTATCGACGGCGCAGTCCTTGAATCTGTAATGCTGTACAATAGTGACGGGTTCTGATTATCGTTAGCTCGTTGTTTGCGGCAGGGTTACGAGAAGGTAGACGTGGAAGAGGGGGACGAGACTCACCTCAAGCGCCCAAGAGACAGGCGAATCAACCTGCTGATCCCTTGGTAGTGTCTGCCTGCCTTCGCTCCCATTCGCTCCTTATCAAAGTGCTGTCGCGTATTTTCCATCGCATGATGCCCATGGTCCGTGTGACTTCGCCGTCAATGACGCGAAAACCTTCGTCGTGTAGAGCCTGCTGAATATATGGATGCAGCGCGTCGTCCTCGGCGTGGATCAGAGCGAGTTTGTCGTTGGCCTCAAAAGCCTTTCGGATTGTATGCTGAAGTAGGTCGCGCTGGATGTTCGCGGGACGATACGGTTCGATGACGGTAAAGTGCGTCAGGTCAGCGACGACAGAAGTCGCTTGGGTTGCCTTGGCCTCCCGAGTCTTGATTGCCGCCAGTCCAATGATCTCGCCGTCGTATTCGAGCAGCCAGAAGGAGGAGCCATCGCGTCTGTCCTCTGAGCGTAGCGACGCCTGCATTCGCTCCTCGAAATAGGGACGATTGAACCTAAGGTGATCATTAGACTCGAAGACGAACAAAAGGGATGTCGCTCACCAATCCACAGCGACTAGGAACACGACAAGGAATGGCGCATAGCCGCGGACCGGGCTGAACCAAGGCCAGAGCCCACCGAGTCCTGCAGGTTGCTGACTTGGCCACCAGTGCATGAACTCCACGAAGGCGGAGGATGCGGCAAGCCAGAGCAACACGAGCGCAGGGTTACAGTAGGCTGTAGAGAAACTAGCTGTCAGGGGACGCAATGGGAAGAGGGGTGCAGTAAGCACCTCTACGATTCGCTGTCGCGAGCGCCTCCATCTCATGCTTCGCGATGAGGCGCATCATGGTCTTGCGCTCGTTCGAGTCCGCGCCATAGTAGGGTCGTATCCGCGCAGTGGGTAGTTCGCCCGACATGGTGTCCTCTTCCAAGATCCGAATGTAGCCATCTTTTCTGTCTGTCAAGCACAAGGGACGGACGTCGGCGATCGAGGACACACGTTCGTGCAGAGATGGCGGAGGGAAACATATCCGGACCGCCGTGCCGATCTGTGATGTCACGCGTTTGTGATGCCTGATCCGCGCCTCCTGCGCGTTCCTCGACCACAACTCCTGCACTCCAGGCCTAATTCACTCTTTCATACCCTCCTTTTCACCCTCTAATTTTTGGAAACATACTACACCAGTGAGATTCTATAACGTCTATCGCTGCAAAACTTGCTAATTACCCGCACAACATAAAAAGTGGCAGTCCCCGAACACGAATTCACTAATCCCGATACCGCGTCGTTGTGCGAGGCTACTGACAGTCTAATACAACTAATCAAAGCAAGGAAGAGCAACGGTCCGCGCAATACCTCTGCAGAGACCAAACTTCGTCAACGCATCGATGACATCCTGAAGAAAAAGCCCCTCGCCGAATTGCTGGAACCCGTGCCCACAAATCACCAGGGTGCCTACACTCCTTTACACCCTCGGAAGTGGGCTGTTGTCGTCCGCTCTCTCCGAACTTACAGCGCCCTCTCCGACCCCTCGCTCGTCTCTCGTTCACGCCGGGTGTGGCAGACCATCGAGAAATACTGGACGCATGCTTGGGCTTGGGTCGACTATCTTCACCATCGTCCTAATGTCGACTCGGTGCGGCTCGTTATCCATCTCTTTATGTCTCTGTCCGAGAATATAGAGAACCGTCGCGCCGAGGTTGTCGACCTCTTACACGCGGAACCCAACAGCATCGTCTTGCTCATCGACGTTTGGTTCCGAATCCCGGAGTACATGTTCCAAATCCGGGGAAATCTAGCGCTCGTCCCGCTGGCCAAGGCCGTGGCTGCAGTATATTGCGAGTCCGACAGCGTTGAGATACGGGCCATCGTCGAACGCGAGTTGTCCCGTCGAGTGCAGGGCAGCGGCCACCGTCTCTTCCGGCACGTCGCGCGCCTCCTACGCATCCTCTTGACGCTTTCGGACAAAGAAGAGGATGGTGGCGTCCTCGCGTCACTGGAGCTGTCGTCCCAACTGCTGGTAGACCGCACGCACAGCTTGCATCCCAGCGTCCTGCCGCGCGACATGATCAATGTGTGCGTGGCTCTCGTCCGTCGGCACGCGGGGCAGCCGTACGAGGTCGTCGCTCAGGCTGCATGCTTCTTCCTCGAGCAGGCGTGGACCCTCACGGCAGATCTACGACCCATCATATGGTCGCTACAAGAGGGCCTCCTCCCGAATATATTGTGCATGAAGCAGCCGAAGCTGAGGAAGGGCGACCCCATGGTGCTGCTTAAACAGCTGCAACCCGCCTTGTCTCACAGGAGGGTCCTGAGGACGTTCTGGCATGCGTATCAGCGCGACAAGCTGTCCATTGAGAAGGCACCATGGCATCCCAAGATTCTGGACGACCTCATCGAGCGCGCGGAGAAGCACTGGGCGATCTTCGAGAAGCTGCAGAAGGAATGGGACGCCACCACGACACATTGCCATAATCCAGATGTAAGTTATGCATGCATAATGACCACCATGGCTGATAGCAACCTCCAGTGTCCCCTTCCAGCACTAGACATCTACCAATGCCCCTGTAAAACAGCGTACTACTGCTCAAGGGAGTGTCAGCGCCAGAACTGGAAGGACGACCACCGAACCAAGTGCCATTTCTTCCGCTGGGACCTAATCGAAGAGACCAAGGTGCCTCTCCCCCACCGTACGGTGCTTTCATTGTCTCGACGACGTCTATCCACTCAACGCCTTCTCAGCCCTTTACAACTCGCGGGACATCGACTTCCTAACCCAGATCAGCAAGGCCTTCATGGACGACCACCTGAACGAGGTCTTCGAGGAAGCGAAGAAACTCGACCCGACCCTGATGAAGACGTTCAACCTGACTGTGGGCTGGGGGCGCGGCGAGCCGAAGTACTGGGTTGGCGTCGCGCGGTATTTTATACAGCCGAAGATGGTGGTCTTGCAGACGGGGCTGAATATGGGGAGCGAGTTCACGTTGGTGACGCTGCCGGGGGCGACGTTGGAATTGAACGATTCGGAGGATGAGGTGGACGACGAGGATGAGGAGGCCGAGGACGAGAAGGAGGACAGCGACGGCGACGACGAGGGCACGGAGGCTCAGTCCGACGAGAGCGCCGAGCTTGAAGCGACAGATTGATAGCAGGTTGCTTTGGCGGTGGTGATGAGAGACCGAAGCCCTTCGGTGGCACACGCTGAGGGACACCGTGTGATGTCACGCGGCATCTCCTGACATCGCGCGCACCTGGCCGTGACCAAGAAGTTGAACATTTGTACTACAATTTGTAGCCACATTTGTAGAGGGGCGCAGAGCGTTCCCACCCGTGCCCTTCAAAGCAGCCCCAATCGATCTTGTCTTGTGCCCTCATCCCTCTCTGACCGCGACCACCATGTTGATCAACTCAAGCTACCAGGATGTGGACATTCCGTCCTCGAAGAACTCGGCGCGTCCCCACCAGATGCGCATCTTCGTGTTCTCGCCCAACGTCCCTGGGTATCCCAAGGCCAAGTTTCCTGGTGTCGTCGTGTTCAGGTGAGAACGATGCAGAGACAGCCGATTGAAGCATCTATGCTTCCGACTACCTGCCCCTCTCTCACCAGACGCGTGCTGACCTACGATCAGTGAGATCTACCAAGTGACTGGCCCGGTTGAGCGCTTCGCGGGTCAGATCGCTAGCCATGGATATGTTGTAGGTGAGTAACTCCATCATGCATCAACAAACGATTTATTGAGTTCGCTCTCAGCCTGCCCGTCAACGTACCACGAATTCGAGGGCCCGGAGGCACTCCCCTACGACAATGACGGTCAGTCGTTCTCATCGATATGTAAACTGTCCTGACTCAGTATACTATCTCTCGTACAGGTACTGACCGCGGCAACAAATACAAGGTATGGACTCCAATCAGTACCCATCTTCCGGTGAACTAACACCAGGATCTATAGATCGAAAAAGAGCTGGCTGCCTACGACGAGGATGCTACTCTTGCCATCGATTTGTTGACCTCCTTGCCCAACTGCAATGGCCGGATCGCATGTGAGCGACCTTGAATCTCACACCCGAAGTGGGCTCACTGGGCTCGCCACTTCTTCCAGCTACCGGCATGTGCCTCGGCGGTCATTTGGTACGCTCCCCGTTCATCAGTTGTGAATACTATAACATTGACTGACCACTCACCCAACAGTCCTTCCGCGCCGCCTTCGACCCCCGCGTCCTCGCCAGCTTCTGCTGGTTCGCGACCGACATCCACAGCGCGACGCTCGGTAAGGGCAAGAAGGACAACACCCTTGAGCGCGTGCGCAACAAGGAGGTCAAGGGCGAAGTCGTCTTGGTCTTCGGAAAGCAGGTCAGTATGCCCCCAAGCGCTCGCTCTAGCACCTACCAAAGTCCCTTCACTCGACTGACCACATATGCCCATAGGACACCCACGTCCCGCGCGAGGGCCGCGACCTCATCCGCAAGACGCTCGAGGACTCCGACGTCACGGCATCCTTCATCGAGGTTCAGGCCCAGCACGCCTTCATCCGCGACTCGGCGTCGAAGGGCCGCTGGGACGCGGCGCTCACGAAGGCGCTGTTCGGCGTGATGATGGAGGTCTTCGAGCGCACCGTCGGCAGGGACCTTGGGCCGAGGGAGGGCGAGATCCCTGCTGCTGAGCACGTCTGCTAGATGAGTGGGACGGAGAAATGTAACAAACAAAGCACAGTGTAGATGATTGTAACCTTATACTGTACGAGTATTGCAGCGGTTGCATGCTGCCCGAACCGAAGAGTCGTCTTGCCGGAGGTTGAAAGGAGTTCTATTATCATCCAGGTAGAGTGCGGTGCGTCAATAATTAGAGGGCTAGTATACACGAAGATCCCAAGAACAGAAGAGAGAAGGAAAGCCGCTAGACCTTGGCCATGAGCCGCCTCGTTTCCTGCGGCGTGAAGTGCAAAATGATGGAGAGCACCTTTACGAGATGAGGCTGCGCGGAAGGATATGAGCGACCGACCTCAAAGCCGGCATCACTATAGAGCTTACCCGCATCTCCTTGTGCTCGAGGAACTGCAAGATCACATTCCGCAAGTACTCCAAATTGACCTCTTCATCCGATGACGAGGATTGCTTCGCTGTCGGCGCTGGCGATGCTGGTCGGGAGCCGTTCTCGGAGGACATGGATGTGCGCGAGCCGTTCTCGGATGACCGTTGCCAGTACCCGACGCCGGGATTCCGCTGCTTCTCGAGTAGTGCGGCAGAGGACTGCACCTTGCGAAGTTCTTCTCGTAAGGTCTGCAAGGTGTTGCATAAGTGACGGGTTGGGGGTCCCGAGGATGGAAGTGCATACCTTGTTGTTCGCCCTCAGCTGCGCCTCTCTCGCCTTGCCCTCCTCCACTGTCCGCTCCAAGAACGATATCCTCGCCGCTACCTCCTCTTCCTGCGCCCTGGACGCACCCTCCAGCTCATCCCTCTTTGCAATCACCTCCTGCAAGTCCTTGACCTGCGCCCTCAGCGCCTTGCCCTCCTCCTTCAACTTCTCCACGACAGCACGCAGCTCCGCCGCCTCCGCCTCCCCGCGCGCCTTGACCTCCGCCGCGCCGCCCAGCGTGCCCCGAAGCGACTCAACCTCCGCTGTCTTCTCGCGCAACTTCCTACTCCACTGCGCCTCGCTCTCACTCCGTTCCCTTTCCAGCATCTCCACCGCCCTCGTCAGATCCGTCACCTTCGCCTCCAGCCTCACCGACAGATCCGACGCCGGCGGCAGCGACGCCAACGGCGCGACAGCGATCGTCGGAATCGTCGGCCCCGGCGACGACGCAACCTCCTCCGCCGCGAGCGCCAGCCTGTCCTGCAGCTCGCGGATCTGGTACTCGAGCTCCGTGTTCTGCGACCGCAGCGCCTCGAGCGCGGTCTGCGACGACTCCAGCTCCGCCTGCCTTAGCTCAGCCTGCTCGAAGAACGCGTTCTTGTCCCGGCTCAGCGCCTGCACCGACCCCTCGAGCGCGGCGATCTGCCCGTTCTTGGCTGCGAGCTCGGCGTTGTGACCGGCCTGGGCGTTGATCGCGTCGAGCTCGAATTGGGAGCGGAGGGCGGCGGTGTCGCGCTCGAAGCGCTCGCGCAGGGCGGCGGTCTCCTTGTCGAATTGTGCCTTGAGGCCCGCGACGGCCTTCTCGCGCTCGGTGTTGGCGGCCTCGAGCTCCTTTTGCAACCGCGATCGCTCGGCGGCCTCTTTCTGCGTCTGCGCGGCGGCCTCCTCGCGGTCCTTTTCCGCCTTGACGAGCTTCTGGCGCACGGATTTCAGTAGAGAAATGGCCTTGACGCGTTTCTCCTCCTCTTCCTTCACCAGACCGTTCGCCTTTGCGACGTCAGCTTTGAGCTTGTCGATCTCGGCCTTGTGCGCGGCGACGGTGGATTCGCCCTGTGAGATGGAGGACTGGGAGGCTTTGACAAGGGCTTCGGCCTCTTCTAACTGGCGCTTGAGCCGGTCAATTTGCTCAGATTGTGACGAGGACTCGAGGCGGTGAGTGTCACGAAGCTCCTCTATTCGCTCCTCCTGGGCTACAGAGACTCGTTAGATGGCAGTATGCAGCAATCAAGTATATGCGCACTTTGCAGCTTTGTGCTGAGGCGCTTAATCTCGTCCTGAGCGACCTAGTTGCTATCAGCTTCAGGCCGCCTCATAGATAGTTTATTCGTACTTCTGCCTTGAAAGACAGGTTCTTGAGGTGGGCGCGGAAAGCCTCTGCATCACTGATGGACTCGAGAGGCGTGATGTCGCGCAGGACCGCATCGGCGGCAGCCTTCTCAGCTTGCAAGCGCTTGAAGGAGGCGGATACGTCTATATGCGCCCTGAATATGGATTCGAGAGCGCTGCTGCATACGCACCAGAGAACCTCTGTTCGACCTTCTTGAGACGCTCTTGCAGTGCATCCACGTTCGTTGGCTTCGTAGTATCCTCCGGCTCAGAACTCTCGTCGGCCTCATCGACAGTTAGAGGGTCTGCTGGCGGTTCTGGTAACGGATGCTCAGCAGGTGCTTCTTCCTCTTGCGGAGGGCTTTCCGCCGGTTGCTCTTCCGAAGGGGTATCTTCGGCAGCCTTTGGTGGTGAGATGGGTTCGGATGATTCTGGCAGGGCATCTACAGCAGATTCGGCCGGCGGGGTAACCTCTTCGGCGAGGGGATGCGATGGGGAGGGGGACAGGACGTGCAACGGGTCAAGATTGAGATGTTGCGGCTGCGGATGGTCCAGCGCTGGTGACAATGCGGGCGAGTCTGGTAGGGGCGTCGACGCCGGGGACATGACGCGCTCAGGCGGTTGCTGCTGCTGTTGCGGCGGTGCTGGTGACGCTCGCGCCGACGGATCGGGGGACGTCTGGTTCGAGAGCTCGCCGATCGCGAACGACGCGCGCAGGCGCTCTTCGAGGTTCAGCTTGCGCGCGGAGCGGCTGGCTGGCGGTGGCGTGGGCGTCTGGCCCGGGGGCGGGCTGGCGGGCATGACGAGCTGGGTGAGGAAGGCGGGAGCGCGGGGCGACTGGGAGTCTGTGGAAGCGGTTCGTGTGTGATTCGCGTCCGTGCCATCGTCGTGGCGTAGCGGCCCAAGATTTTCGACCGCATGCCGCAGCTGGCTGAACATCTTTGTCCGCCCCGTTCAACGCCCGCCTGCACGGGTGACGCGCAGTGCACCAACCTCGGCCCGACCCCCCGAACCATCATTTCCCACGTGCACGCTATATTCCATGCCACAAAAGGTTGCTTCCCTTTTGTTCACCACCATCCCTTTGGCCCTCTTCACGTCTTCTCACCCACTCATAAACTGGTATGCAGATATCTAGTTCGTAAACTTCCATTGGGTAAACTATATCAGAATATCCGCCTGTTACCGATTTATTCTTCCGTCCATTTCTACCCGTCTTCTCCACTCATACCCTCGTCGTCGTCTTCGCCATCATCCTCATACCACATCGCATCCGACCACGCCTCACTATCCGACGGATCCCCTTCATCCCGCAACCTAATAGTCAACGTCGGCAGCGTCACCAGCACCAGCTCCTGCCCCATCATCACCGCCGCCGTCAGGATCACCGTCTTCCTCTTCGGTATCGTCGTCTTCAACACATGGTGCGACGGCTCGCCATGGCACCAGGAAACGGCCAGACGGACCGTACGGTCGAGACCGGGCTCGACTTCCTCGGCTTTCTCGGTGACGTCGTCTAGGGCGTCGATGTACTCTCTTGATATGGCTTGGATGTACTCCATGTCGCGCTGGTTGAACATGGCTGGGGAGTGGTCATGAGTACGTGAAGGGAATTGACGGTGGAGGCAAACGCACGCGAGGGACGGGGATGCTCCGTTTCTTCGAACTTGTACCACTGCCACATGTGGCAGTCGTCTTTGTGTATGTCCCAGTCCGCGCGCTGACATTCTATGGAGCAATAGTAGCTCGTCTTGCATGGGCATTGGTACAGAGTCTGGAGCGGGAAGGGGCACTTGATAGGAAAGGAAATGAGCACGAAATTTGCCATAATGTGGCGCGTGCCACGCACCTCTGGGTTGTGGCAGTAACCCTCGGTGCCGCGCCAAGTAGGCAGGAGCTCCTCGTAGGTCTCTCGATTCCTCTCTGCGCGCTTCAGCATCTCGGTGAACTGCTTAGGCTTCCACGGCGCGTTCTCGATCTCCTTCCTGTCACGCTCGTAGACCTTCCAAAACATGCGGAGTACTCTTCGATGCGCGAGGCCAATATGTATGAGTTTTAGCAATTCCGCCGGCTGATCTTTCCTTAGTTCGGGGTCCTTCATACGCAGGATGTGTGGCAGGAGTCCTTCTTTCAGCGACCACAGCATTGGCCGCAAGTCCATCTCCTCCCAAGTCATGTGGAGGAAGAAGCACGCAGCTTGGGCCAATATCTCGAACTTTGACCCAGCGTCCTTCCTGACGAGCTGGACTGCCGCGCGAACCATGCTCCGCGGCATAGGCTGGGGCTGGAGGTACGGGTTGTTGCCCTCGGCGAAGAGGGCGGACGCAAGCTCGACAACGGTGACGAGCGCACCATGCTCTTGCTCGAGAGGGAGGTCGATGAGGGTGCGGATTATCGTAGCGATGTGCCGGAAGAGGCGGCGCCCGGATCCTCGTGCGCCGCGGTACAATTCGCGCTCAATGATGAAGTCCATGGCCTCGTCATCGAGGTCACAGTAGATGGCTGATATCGCCTGCGTGAGAGGGATGAGGGCCATCCAGGGCTTGATGTTCAGTATGTCGGCCTGCCTGGGCAAGCGGAACCAGCAGTCTACCAGGATCGCGATGGCGTTGGGCTGGGAGAGCAGAAGTCCACGAACAGGGGGATGCTCTGTGTTCTGCGTTAAACCATCGAAGATGGCAATGACAACGCGTATTGAGTCTGGATTTGGGCGGCGGTGCAGGAAGTCGATCCATGACCAGACATGCTGCCAGTACTTTTCGACGGTTTGCCAGACGATACGCGAGCGGTTGTACTTCGAGTCAACTATGGCAGCATAGGTTCGGATGCTTCGGATGATGATCGCTCGTTCTTGGGGGCTGATAGAGGTGTAGTCCCCTCTGGAAGGAGGCGTGGGGATGAGCTCGGTAAACGGATGCTTTCTCTTCAAGATGTCATCTATGCGGTGTCGTAGGTGGGATTCCTGAGGAGTACCTTTAGCACGATCCTTGTTCTGAGGACGGAGGATGTGGTAAAGCTGGTCAGTCGCCTCGTAGAGAGTGGCGGTGTCTGGATTGCTAAATTCATGGTCGGGGACGGGGGTAGACACTGCTCACATGTTCAATCGCTTCAAGCAGCCTTGATGGAGACCGATGAGACTCACTTGTATCGTGGCGTAGTACTGTGAGGGTCAGAGCCAAGCAGAGAAGTTGCTAGTGAGCGTGCATGAAGGTCGTGAGTATGATGGCGCGCTCCAAGGCGCGTTTGATGCAGGCGTTGTGATCACCGATCGCGACTGGACGCGTCTATCACTCGAACGGGCATGTCCCTCCAGACCCTGACGCGCAACTGCTTCCAAAGTGGCCTGCCCCCACGAAAAGTATGTGCCTAGGTAATGCGGCGAATTAAGCGCTCACGAGGATGTCAGTGGTTGAACGCTTGCAAGCTCTTCCTCAAGAACAACGAGCTTATGGGAGAAAATCAGGTTACGCTCAGCAGTACGTCTCCCCTTCTACGCACGATACCTCTTGCTGATATCACCCAGATTCTGTCCTTTGCCTGTACCCATCGTACCCCGGTGATCCCGACCTCACCGAGTATCTCAAACAAGCTATCCAAGACCAGATGATTGACCTCCCCGTCTTCGTCTCGACCTTCCTCAAAGCTGCCAGGTCCCCCGACTTCCGGAATGCCGCCACGCTTGACACCCTCTGCCGCGTCGCGCTCGATGCGCACTACCTCAACGGTATCCCCCCACTCGGCTCTGTCATCGACTTCAACGTGTCCATAAATGACCACCTCGATATCCTCACCGACGCGCTCAACCTAGTGGCCATCGCACACAGCCTGCCCCTAACGCACTTCCACCAACTCACACGATCCGCGGAGGAGCTGGCGACGCTCGTTCTTGTCTGCGTCGGCGACGTGAAGCAGCTCACGGCGTCCACGGCGCGCAGCCAAGTGATGAACGCGCACGACCTGGTGATACACTGCGCTGACGCGCTAACGAACGAGTTCAAGACGCTGCTTGACCAGTGGATCTTTAATTTGCATGGAATGCTGAACGACAATGAGAAGGCGATGGAGGAGTTGATGCACTCGGCGCAGGCGGCGACGGGAAAGGGGGACATGCTTGGGCAAAGCTCAGAAATGGACATCGTGTCCTTGAGCTTGCTTCTGCAGCGCATGGTGCGCTCTATCATCAGCTTTGTGTCGTGCTCGATTGACGTCTCGACGATCAGGTCCGCTTGCGAGGTTTGGACCGCTTCGGCGCCGGAAGTGGTATGGACCCAGTAGCTCTGCTTGCCGCAATGTATCGGTGGACATCGTGGTCGCCGACTGGTGCGTGAGTCCTTTCGATGTCCCACGCGCCAGTTCCTTCTGCTAAATGCTCCATAGTCTTCTACAGACAGCTTCTGCACGCTTGCATCAGCTGCATGGCTGAGGAAAGCGGAAAGTCCATCTTGGTCTGGAAGGCGTTCTTCGTTGGACGTGTGCGTCTTTTCCAGAGAGCTTTCATTCCCCTAGCACTCACACCGTTTTAGCTCCCCGTCATCCTAACGTCGTTTGAGAAGGAAGTATCCGCAGAAGGCGTCGCCATCGACTGGGTGGGTTTGAACACCACTGAACACCCTCAACAATGACTGACCACGTATACCCCCACAGAAATCGGCCATGCACGCCGCCGCCGTATACCTCAAGCAATTAGCCAGCGTAACCAGTTGCGACGTCCACCTTGCCGGCCACGACCTCCCGAACGACAGTTCACCTACTGCTATCCCTTCGTCCATCCTCCGCGACTTTGTTCAGGAGGCAGCAGTGAACGGTTTGCTCGACAAGTCGACGGCATTGTCTATCGACCATCATCTCACAAATGAGCCGAGTACGCCGTTGCGGGTAGAGGTCAGGGATTCGGGAGGAGATGTGGAGGTAAAGACGCAACACCAATTTGCTTGAAAGGAAGGGCTAAGTGTGTTTAGGCGTATATGACTGCCAAGCTGGAGAACATCGACCTGGCTGACTTGGAGCTATGGTCCGCAAGGCTATGGAGAGACCCAGGGCTCCACCGAGCATTCGCGGATGCGTTGGCAAAGGTGAGTGAATGGACGTAGCAAAGAGATCAACATTCACAATATCTTTCCCAGCGCTTCGCCACCGCTACGTCTTCTCAGTCACCCGAGGCCGACCAGCTCGACTTGATCAGCCGGTTATGCGAGATATGCAGCTCGCAAGACGCCCTCTTGGACATCTTCGCGCTTCATAGGAGGGTGTCCGACCTGGTTGCTCAAACTGTCCTATTCGTGGACGACTACGATGTCGAGACGGTCGGCGACCCGCAGACTGCGTACGGGCATCTAGGGAAGGTCATCCTCTTCATTCAAGAAACTATTGCGAGATTCCACGTAGGTGCATCCGTCCCTTGATCACGAAGTGCTGCTCATAACCAATATAGCTTGGGACGGGACCTTGGACCATTGGCACTCGTACCGTGAACGCGGACTTCTTGCGAACCGTCAGCACGGTCTATCCCCTGGACAAGCTTTCGGAGGCAGACAGAAAAGCCTACGACGCATGGCTGCAGCCAATGTTCCGCGGCGGAGATGAGGGCATCGACGATCAAATATTGCGGTGAGCCTTGCTGCATATAATAATCGAGAGTGAGATGACATATGCAACGATAGAGCCACACCACCGAAGACTTTGCTTCGTATCACGCCGACACTATTCTACATCGCGATGCAGATGCACAGCACCAGCGAACTGACCATCGATGCCCTCGACAACGGCATCTCCTACTTCGTCGGCCCGCTTCTAAACTGGACCCTTGTTGGTGTCATGCAGACTATTCTGCGCGAGTTGATGGGTAAAATGTAAGTTGGACGAATCATCCTTTGCAGTACGCCCCTGACAACACTTCCAGCAACATGTTAAAAACGCACCTCCACGTCGTCAGCTCCATTATCCTCAAGGATACGTGCCCCCGCGCCATCCTACGCATGTGCGGGCCGGGCTTGTTGTCCATGACAAGCTTCCTCGCGAGAAGCTCCTCCTTACCCAACCAGCCCCCGATTTACACGCACTACCGCCTGGCTGATTTGCAGCATAAGGTCGTACAGGCGAGCAATGGGCGGCTTCCGGGTATGTTCGGTCTACATACAGACTCTGAACCTGCAACTTACCCGCCTGCCAGCCGCCAAAATCATACCATCCCAGAAGCCGCTGCAGCCCATGGAGGCACTGCACCGCGCCTTGAAGCGCGCGGGCGAGGGCAAAGCACCCGTCCTCGACATCGAGCGCTGCCTGATTGCCACCTCTCCCCTCGCCTTCCTCGAGGTCCTCTGGGACGCGCTCAATCACCTCGAGGCTCACATCTCGTCCGTTTCCGAAGGCTCTCGGCGCATCGCCGTCTTCGTGCTCGCCAGCCCGCCGTGCCCGGGCACGCCGCCCTTGCTGCCGATTTTCCTACACTCCTTTGTGCCGCCCTTACTGTCGCGCATCGACCACGTGCAGGTACCCGCCGAGCATATCATCCTCGTCGAGCTGCTCTCCGTCATTCTGTCCTCCGCGCTCACCGCGGCCATGCACGTCGAGTGGGCGTTTCAGACCGTCTCAAAGGGCGCGCACCCCATCGTCCTCGGGCAGTCGAGCTCGGCGATGGCGCGCAGCCTCGCGGCCGAATTGCGCAGGCACAAGAACAGCGCGTCCCGCGCCGCGGTGCTGAAGCGCTTGTGCGCCTCGCAGGCCTTCAGAACAAATTTCCCGATGATGGTCGGTGACTGAGGTATGAATGAATGCCTAGCTATATACATGGGGTGATGGAGGTACGGGTAGGGTACAGCTACTGTGCACGATGCAGCAAATTAAACAAGATTTCTTACCACAATAATGTAGAGAACCTTCGATGGACTGATTATATTCAAGCAAAAAGTCATAACGGTGCGCGAGCGTTGGCCTACGCCGAGGAGGTGGGCGGCGCTGGGCAGGAGGTCAGCGGGCGGGGTACACCCCGGAAACTGGGGAGACGTACGGCAGCAAGCATTTTCGTGAGGATCACAACCCTGGTCCTGGGGGCACATAATGAGACACGAAGTCTCTTCATGGGTCTGAACTCTCGTCAGCATGAGCCATACACCCGATTGGCCTCGGCTGACCTTCAGGTAATCCTCGGGCGGTGCCGTCCTGGGGTTGTAGTACTCGGGCTGGATGGTGCTCGAGTGAATGCCCCGCTCGTGTAAGGCCGCCCGAATCTGCGCCGCGATGGGCATGAAGTCACGGTTACGGGAGGCCGTGACGTGGACGGATGCCACCAGCTTGGTCTCCGACAGCTGCCAGACGTGAAGTTCGTGCAAGGAGAGTACGCCGTCAACATCAAGAATCGCAGCGCGTACCTCCTCCAGGGACACCGTCGCCGGTACACCCTGTAGGAGAATGAAGGACGTGCTGCGGACTGTCGGGTGTATAAGTACTACTAAAAGGGTTGACAGAAAGCGTAACGTACCCAAGGGCAAAGCGGACGAGAAGATGATGACCGTGATGACCAGACTGATTATGGGATCAAAGTAGTACTTGAAGTGCCACTCGGTCAACCAGATAATCAGACCAGTCGCAATGACGCCAACGTTGCCAAGCGCGTCACCGAGGACATGCAAAAGCAGAGCGTGCATGTTCATCGAGCCGTGCGCATGTCCGTGACTGTGCACATGACCCTGCGCAGAGTCGCTGTCGTCCTCGGTAGCCCGGCCGAGAAGAGGCGATCTCTCAGTAGGGTCTGCGACAGTCTCCCCGCCCGACTCGTTCTCAGACTCATGACTATCGTGATGATGATCGTGGATGACAGGCCTTGACCGTGACCGCCGTCGGCCAGAAGGAGAGGGTGAGCGGGCTGCGGTAGCGAGATCTTGGGCCGTCTGAATGAGAGTCGCGCGAGTAGCGGCCGGATGGCCGTACATCGAGCTGATTGATGTGGTCCTCGAGCGCATTCCCTCCGAGTTACGCGTCCGTGAACGCGAACGGCGGTTTTCAGTCGGTTTCTTGGGCGTCGGCGTGATATTCCCGGAGTCGTTGATAGTGTTCACGCTCGGCGTGCTCGACCCAGGTACGCTAGGATTAGCGCTATCGTGCGAGTGGGCATGAGAGTGACTGTGGCCATGCTCTGCACTGAAGTCAGTAAAGGGTGTCAAGATTGTGGCTGGTGATCTGACCATGGAACAGGAACAAGCCAACGATGTTCGACGCGAGGCCGAGTGAGCCGACGATGACCACAAGCTTCGCGTTCGAGATTTCTAAGAATACGGTAAGCTTCAAAGGGATTTAAACTCGATGGTCACGCACCTGGGGTGCTGAAGAACCGCTCGATGGCTTCGAGAAAGATGGACAAGCAAAGAGCGAGAAGGAAGACGCCGTTGATCAACGCCGCCAGAATTTCAGCACGATGCCACCCGTATGAATATCGCGAGTCGCTCTCTTTGGCGGAGGAAAGCTGGAGGCGAGCAAAATGGATGGTTAGCGAGGAAGCACCATAATGACGACATAACTGACCTTGATCGCATAGAGGGCGACGACGAGGGAGAGCACATCGCTGGGGAAGGAGGTTAGAGTGGGCGTACGAACGGGGACAAAGCGCGTACTTGAGCATATGAAAGGAATCTGCGACGAGCGCCAACGAGCCAACCGCATATCCTGCCGAACAATCAATGAAGCTCCTGAGTGATTTTTGTGGCTGCGCACCGACGATGAGCTCGACGAAAAAGAAGACGACGTCAATAGTGAGAAGGAGGATGATGCGCGCTGGGCGAGAAAGACCCATCTCGGGAGCAGATGGGAGTCGGGAGCAAGAGACTTCTGATCGGCGTCTGTCGAATAATGAATGACGCTTGGACAATATTGGCGGTGGCACGATAAGATAACTCGGCAGATAACGCGGTCTCGGCCTCGGTCGGCCCTCCGATCGCCGCTTGGACCTTTTTCGAGCTCATCGCTGTTCGCGTCCCCCAAGTCGCCGTCCCCGCTGTTCACGCGTCCACTTCCTCCCTCCTCGGCTTAATAAAACAAAAATGGCGACTTCTATGGCTGCTGCGCTGGCGGCGACTCTGCCGACCGCGCCTGCTGCACCTCAGCCAGTCGCGCCCACTTACGAGGCGATCCCTGCATCGATGAGCAAGCTCATTGACGTCGAGGCCGAAATACCCTTGACAGAGGTCCAGCTGGACGGTATGGTGCGTGTATATCCCCCGATCTCTCAGTCACTCGCTTAACTCTATCTTCTTCACCAGGTAGTTAGCAAAATCATGAAGCACGCTGCCGAATCTACCACTCCCAACGCGAACGGCCTACTTCTTGGCCTCGATCTTGACGGCACCCTTGAAGTCTCGAACTCTTTCGCGCTCCCCGCACACCTTGCCGACGAAGATGACAAGGCGAACAAGTCGATGGGTACGTACATCTCACATGCCACATCGACTTCGCTCATGCGACGCAGCACGCTATCAGGCATCCATGATTCGCTCCTTGAAGGAGGTGCAAGGCGACGATGGTGTCGTCGGCTTCTACCAGGCTACTACAATGGGTGCATTCTTCAATCAGACCCTCATCGAAACACAAGTCGCCAACCAAGAGCGACTTCGTCATGGTGGCGTTGTTGTCGTTCACGGTCAGCATCTCCTCAAAGCGTATTCTCCAGTGCATGCTGACCTCCTCGCAGATCTCACCCAGGCAGCTCGCGGTGTGGCCGCCTTCCGTGCCTTCCGTCTTACCCCAGCGTTTTTGGACGCGTACAAGAGCTCTAACTTCAGCTCATCAGGGTACGATAATTGTCCTGCAGAGAATGTTTTGGTTTCCTAACGCGTCTCTACTAGGCTCGCTACCCGTCGCCTTACCTTCTCTACCATACTCGAAGAGATCCCTCTCAAAATCCGCACGAACCCGCTGCTGAGCGCGTTTGTCAACTCGCTTTCCAAGTCAACACCATCCACCAGCGCCGATGCCTCGCCCGAGACCTCTGCGTCGTGCGCATTGCCGCCATCGTTCAGAGCACTCGATTTGGGCCCAACTGGCCTGACGCGCAACCTGGAGCAGATCATCGATACCGTCGATGCCTACCGTACCGAAGAGGGTAACCTCGCGTACATGTCGCGGCAAATCGCAAGGGAAAAGGCCAAGGCGGACTCCTACGTTGCGAAGCGCAAGGAGGAGAACGCAACGAGGGTGGCCCAAGGGTTGCCTCCCTTGCCCGAGGAGGACGTGTCGCGGATATTCAAGATCCCGCAGGAGCCAAGCAGGTTGGACAGCATGCTGTTGCTCGGGCAGTTGGACTCTTACGGGAACAGCCTTGGTGGGACATCGCGGACCGGGTTGGTGAAGATGTACGGCGCAAAGGCGAACAGCGCGAGCGCCTGAGGAGGGGATGTACAGTTGTATATTTGCTTGTATTCCACTGTATTTGTGGGGGACGGACATCGTCGCCCGTGCAACGAGTGTGCGATGGGGATGACTTGGCGGCATCAAGATTTCATGCGGGTGGAGCGCCGGCGGCGGACCGCGTGGTGATATGGATGGCAACGGACAGGAGAACGCGCCGGAAAAAAAGAAAAAGATCAAAACCGACATAAGGGCGTGAGAGTTGCCAGGTCAGGCCGTTGTCCAAAACCTTCGTGTTCCATCTCTCTTCGTCGAGACCGCGTCCCATTCCTTCACACTCCTCCACTCGTTTATCGTCATGAAGCCCTTCGCTGTCCTCCTTTCCGTCGTCGCCGCCGCCGCTGCGCTCAGCGTTTCCCGCGGCCCGCACGCCCACGATGCCCTCGCTGCCCGCATGGAGAGCAACGGCTCGCTCGCTCGTCGCGCCAACCTGAACAAGCGTCAGTGCCGCACGCGCACCAACACCGTCGCGCCGCCCACCAGCACGTCCAGCTCTGCCGAGCCGACGACCTCCGACACCCCCACCTCCACCCAGGAGGCCCAACCGACGACCTCGTCCTCCTCCTCTGAGGACCAGTGGTGGACTTGGCCGACCTCTTCGTCTTCCTCGACGGAGCAGGCTCAGCCTACCCAGGGCTCCGGCGGCTCGAGCGGTGGCGATTCCAGCAACCCCATCAGCTACTACTACGCTGGCACGAACCAGGGCCAGATCACCTACTACGCTAGTACGCAGATTTAATCCCCCGCCTTTCTAGGACGCGTCTAACGACCTTTCCAGCTGGCCTTGGCGCGTGTGGCTGGCAGAGCACTGACTCGGACTACATTGCTGCGATGTCCTTCACTCTGTTCTACAGCTGGCCGTGAGTTTTTTCCGCCAGTCATCATTTTCCCAGGGTACTGATATCCATCCTCCAGTGGTTCTGAGGGCGCCAACAACGGTAACGGTGTTTGCGGCCACACCCTCGAGATCAGCCGTACGTCCTGCTCGAACTAGGTCTTAGTTTCGTACTGACGCCCTTGACAGGTGGCGGCAAGAGCATCACTGTCACCGTCGTCGACAGCTGCGAGGCTTGCGGCCCGACTGACGTCGACCTCTCCCCGTCTGCCTTCCAGGCGCTCGGTAGCCTCGATGAGGGTCGTGTCCCCGTCAGCTGGAAGTGGGTGTCGTAAATGGCGTGATACCCAGCACCGCGGTCAACTACTACACTTTGCGACGACGAAAGTCAACGCATGATGACATTATATCCCATCCTTCTATTCATCGGCCCTCACCTGATATGGTTGGCGTTCACCCATCTTTATTCCCTGCTGTCCTACGGCGCCGCTTGCCCCTCGCAGCGGGCTTGTAGACTTAGGCCGCCAGCCGCAGCCCTACGCTTCATCAATTTTCTGCTTCTTACGCTTTTTCTTTGCTCCTTTTTACCTCGCCCCATGTCAACAGCGTTGTCTGTCGCTTCGTGTAGTGTGGACACTCGGTAGTTTATAAGGTCGCACTAGTACTTCATTGAGAGATGGACGGCTTTGCCTACGGTTGTAAGGGATACCTCAGTGGTTACCGCTTGGTTGTCTGTACCACTCGGTCTGTACTTCCGGTCGAAGATACACTCCTTCAACCTCTAGTGTAATATCCTTTGCATCCCTTTCTGGTCGGTCTGAGCTGGCGCGGTGATTAAAGGTGGCGTGGGGTCTGCTTCGACAGCTAGAAGCTCCTTCAGTTCATGAAGAGACTGCGATTGCATCAACTTCCGATGTCAGCGAAGACAGGGTGAAGGTAGCCTCGAGGGTTGGCGAAGGCTGCGGCGAAGCATTCATAGCGCCTGCGCGGACGATGTACGCCGCCGTCTCAGTTGCTGAATGACCGAAGTGCAGGGGATGTTTACTGCATGCCGCTTGAGCAGTGAAATCTACGAACAGCATCGTGCATTCCAGCGTACAACACTCCGTCACTGGCCTAATTTGAGGCCAACCTTCAAGTGCGCCCAATAAATAGCATCGTCCGCTCCCGCGGATGCCTCATCCACAGCTGCTAGCAACGCCAAGGCGTCCGCAGTCAGAGGGGCAGCCTGCACCGGCCGGCCTTTCGCCTTCGCGTTACCATTGCTTGCGGCTAAAGCGGCGACGGCTTCGAGCACCAGATGCCTGTGCGTCGCTGGCAATTTCGCGTATGGGCCGGGCAGCTTGCCCTTTGCCGGATGCGCGATGATGAAGAAGGGCGCGAGCTTGCTGCGGAGGGACTGCAGGAGTGCCTGTGCGAAAAGTCAGAAGGAACGCGCGGGCTAGCGAGGCCGATGAGCGCACCTCCGAGCGCGCCCACGGCCGGCGCTGTGCGAGGCGCAGTAAAATGCGAGCGATGATCTGTATGCATGCATGTTAGCGAGAATAAGCGAGCAAGCCTCACATACTAACCTCGGACAGCGTTGGATTGCTGCCGCCGACCTCCCATAGCACCCTCGGCAGCGCTTCAATCCAGTCGTTCGCCTGTTGCTCTAACCCGCGGACTCGGGTGGGTCCGTGTTCATAATCGAGCTGTAGAGAAGAAAAGTTAGGAGATCCAGGAACCCCGGACCGCCAAGCAAGGGGGCGCACCAAGACGAGGCGGCCCACGAAAGCGACCGTCGACAACTTGAGCGGCGTCTTGGAAGGGACGCTGATCGCGTGGTCGAGGAGGGCGGCGAGGACGTCGTCCGCCTCAGGGGCGTTGAGTAGGGACCAGACGGTGGGGAGGAGGGCGGTGTAAGCGGAGGGGGAGAGTGCCCGGGCGAGTTGTTGACCGGCGACGGGTTCGCCGTGTAAGAGCTGGATGATGTAGGTGCGGACGCGCTCGGTTTGGGCGGTGAGCGTGTCTTTCTTTTTAGACCGTCGGGTTTGGGAGGAGGCGTCGGGACCAGTAGCGAGGGCGATGAGGGAGGCGAGTTCGCAGTAGTATAAATTCAAGTCTTGAAAGGCCTTCTGAAGCTGGAGGGAACCTTGTATTAGTTCCATGGATGCGAGGAATGTGCGTAGCGGATCACCTTGAGATCTTTGCTTGACGCAGGGGTGAAAGGGAAGTACGGCGACATGTAGTTGAGAAGCGTCTTGAGCTCATTGGCGGACGCTTCGTGCCGACTAGTTGACTAGAACATGCCGATTAGAGGATGCTGGGCATTAGAAGAATAGTAACCTACTGCTGACTCGCTCTGGAAGATGGCACCGTACAGAGTCCTGGTGATATCGACAACTGTCATGACCAGCTGCAATTCGGTCTCCGACGGTGTGCCAGTAGGCCCGAAGACGGCGGGAGCGTAGTCCAGATAGGTTGCGACGAGGGTAGCATGCAGCGTTCTGGCCAGTCTCTGCGACAGATATCAGTCTAAGTTGCGAATATCAAGGTAGAAAAAGCTCACCGTCACGAAAGACACATCTATGGTAGATGATGCCTCTTCGGAAAGCTTCTTGACGGATTTGAGAGCCTCATCAAGATCTTGTATCGACCATCCTTGCGCGGAAGATGCGTCCAGAAGAGGATATTCGTGTACGAAGGTCTCATATTCCTTGTCCGCTTCTGGGATCCACGACCTCTTTTTGCATGACTGACCAGATGCGTCGAGCCCGGGCGCCAGAGCGGCGTCAAACTTGTGGTGTGCGTCCTCATCGCGGAAGGAGCTTGCGAGATACCAGGTCGGGAAGGGTGCGCCAGGCGCATCGGGGTCACTAGATGCTCCTAGAGAGAGAGCCCTCTTGAGGAACAGCGAGAGGGACTGAAGGATGATCAAGCGAGACTGGTACACCAATCAGCATAGCGAATACGGCTTGAATGAAGGAACTCTCACTCCTGGCGTCAGGACCACGCTCGCAGTCGACGTTGCCTGCATAGGTCCTGCAGTAACTTCAGCAATCCATTACGAATGCAGTCGAACTCAAGCCTACCCTCGTTGTCTCCGAATTTCGTGCCGGCACTCAGGATACCAAGGTATCCCTCTAGCACCCGTCCGCCAGGCTGCGACGTCCCCTGGTTCCAACCCGTCACCATAGCATCGGGGACGTACTCCAAGAAGAGATTGATGAACCGGACGGCATCGACGCGTATTTCGGGGAAGATGTGTGTTTGTGCGGATGAGGCAAACAGAATGAGGACAGACGCATGAGGTGCGAGTAAGTCCTGTATTGCAGTATGAGATGGAGTTCGTAGATCTTGTATGCGATGGACGTACGACGGGGATGAGGGGTATAAGCCAGGACATGAAGGAGAGCAATGCTTTGCGGACGCTTGCGTCCTGAGGGGACCATCAGCACGCATTTCAGCAACAAAGCAGTTATGCCTACCTCATCTGCAATAACCCTAACACATGCGTTCACCAAGCTCGTGAGGGAGGGTACTATGAGTTCCGAATGCTCATTCAGAAGTTCTCTCAGACCCATAAGCGCATCTGTCTCCCCCTCGATGTCAGAAGCAGCTTATTGTACGGTGCAGATCACTCGCCTCGCCTAGTCCCAGCATTGTAGTGCTTCAGATGGGCGAGGAGATCGTCGAGGGTATGTCTGCGCTTCGTCGTCGGTGCGTCTCCATCTTTCTCCACCGCAATACTCTGGTTTGGTAGTGCAATCGCTGTTACGCATCAAGTCAGCATTAAGGACAAGGGGGAAGCAGTACCACTTACAGCGCGCCTTGAAGGACGTGTCTACCGCATTGGTCGGAGCCTGTTTCCCCTTTCCAAGCTTGAGCTTGGCTTTCTGATACCTGCATTAGATATATGACGCGTCTTAAAGTGTTTGCTACGCACTGAGAAGTCCGCTGCCTTCTCCTTTTTCCTCTTCGTTGCTTTCGGCATGGTTGCGGGAGTAGAGGTCGACGAAGAGGGCAATCGGCGCTCGATCACGGTCCCGATCACACTCTTCATGCCATCATCAACCCATTGAACCCGCCTTCCTTCCAGGACGCTCGATCCTTCATCATTGATAATTGTCCCTCCGGAGATACTCAAGATACTAAGTGTCTCTCCCTTGAGGGCTTCCTTTACCTCCATTGTCATCCAAGTGAACTTCAAGGTCGACACTAGACAATCCGATCTCAATGCTATGATTATTTCCATCAAAGTACCTCCATCTGAAGGTTGTAGTACGTATAGGCTAGTGCATGCGAAGAGGGATATTACAGCGCAGAAAGTGCAACGCTCGTGCTGGGCTAAAGCCCGGAAGAGGCGAAAAGCACGGCGGCGAAAGGTGCGGATAATTATGTAGTGTGAGAAGGGTACTATGCGGCGAGAAGTCGAAGGGTATGTGGCGAGAAGGTCGAAAGTGCCAAGGCAGTGAGCTCTCTCAGAGAGTGAGTCGGTGCTAACTCTGCGAGAGATAGAGGTCACTCACTTTGAGAGGCGAAGGAGAGCAGGGATAAGTCAGAGGTAACTCAGCACGGTCACGCCCTGTCCTGACGGTGGTCGGCCTGATACAATAGCGCTCGCCGTGCAGCGTAAGCTCTGCCACGATCGTACACTGAAAGTCACCTTTAGCTAACGAACGCTAGAGTAGTCAAAGATACAACGTACGAAATGCGCGCCTCCTTAGCGCCCTGCTTGACCGTGTAGTAGTACGTCGAGCCCGACTCGAGGATGAGGGTAACACTCTCCCCCTCCCATAGCTCCACACCGCCCGTCGAGCACCGCGTCAGATGGAGTATTGTTGGCTGTGCCATGTCGTTCGTGAACTCGAATAAGCAGTCGTAAGTCTTCGTGCTGGCGGGCATGATGTTGTCGTTTCTTGGGGAAGACAGAGTGGACAAGAGGTCGTGAGGCGTGATGTGTGCAAGCTGCACGTTTGACGTATGCGAGAGGAGGGGTCGTGAGCAGGGGGAAGAGGTTCGTAAGGCGAGGAGGGGTCGTGAAGAGGGAGACAACAATGACGAGGGAACCTGGTCCAGGTTGTCGCACCTATTCTTGCCATCCTCCTTATATACGCGCCCTATGCGCGTGTCGTGAGCATGGAAACGCGCATATTATGAGTTGTTCTGAGCGCCGCTGCGGGTGTAGCGGCACCGGGGCGGGATCCATTGTCGTCCAAATGGGGAAAGTGCGATCGCTAGGGGCGGGGAGGCGGGAGCGCGCTCACCGAGTCACGCCCGCGCGCATACACGACCGTCGCAGTGATCAGTCGCTCATACATTTCGAGATGGGCGTATTGGGGTGCGTGGCCTGCTTGAGGGATGTGCGCAAGACATTCGTCGGGTCAGCTCGAACGCTTGCACGAAAGACATTTGGCCTGGCGTAAATTGGTTGTCAATGCATATATTGCGTGGTATGCACCGAAGGCTTTGCGGAAGCCATAGCGGAGGCGGATCAACTGTGGTTCTGATCAGCGCATTCCCGTGTTTCGATGGACGAGAACAATTGGGGGCAATATAGCCCCTGCAGCTGTGCGGGACCGAAAGGATCGTATACGCTACCAGGGCTCCTGTGTATATCAGCTCGCCGTATGAGACCGCTAAGCACTCGCCTGTTTATTTCGCATCAAGCTTCCGCACTGGGTATGTATGAAGCTTTCCACTCGCTTCTCAGCTAGATAACAGATGATATTGCGTCCACTAGATATACAAGTCAAGAGTCGTAACAGCTCGTGAAGGTCCCGGTTGCAGGGATGAAAAGGACCAAGTTGGCAGGTCACCAGCCGAAGCCGAAGAACGGCTTGCTGGTGAAGTCGACCTGCAGGTCGACGCACGCCATATCGTCGTCCTCGTGCGTGTAACCGCGCACACTGACCGTGAACTTGGCTGACAGCGTCGAATTAGTTGCGCATGATAAGGGCGCACGCTGCGGTAACACACCTTTGGGTATCTCCTTTGGCAAGTCGACCGTCTGCACGACAGTGTAGGGGCCTTTCTCCACCGGGCACTGTACATCAGCCTCTGCTTTGCGACTATGGGAGATCAACATGTGTGATTGGTGCGAGAGCGAGCGGCATGACTCACGCCTCCTCGCAGATGTCGAACGTCTTCTTGAGGAGAATGATGCGACCGAGCTTGACTACAACGTCGGCGTACGCGCCCTCCTGTAGCGGGGTCAGAGGGGGCTCGGCGCTCGACCATGAAACCAGCACACCTCAATCTGCTCCTGCACCTCCGCATTCACAGTGACCGTGAGCTGCTCGCCAGGCTTCGGGGGGTCCGGCGAGACTTCGATGGACTTGAGCTGGATGGCGTCGGTGGGCACGCCTAGGCTGGCATAAGTCCTGCTATTCAAGTCTGAGAAGCGCTTGATGACGCACCGCAATCAATGTAAGCCCAGCTCTCCATGGTGCGTACGTCGCCATCCTGGATCCGGACTTGCTCAGAGTCAACGGATGAGGCGGCGCCCAGGAGCGCAAGGGAGCTTGCAACGAGAGAAAGCAAAGAAAGACGCATGGTGGCGGTTCGATGAGAGACGCGAATAGCCTGCTGCTGCCCCCACTCCAAATACGTCCAAGTCGGTCACTGGTGCCTCCTGGCGTGACATCATTGCAATTAATGCTCATTTCCTCCCGCGTTGTGGGGAAGATTCAGACAATTGTGGTCCTGCAAAACTTCGTTTCTGGACCCTCTGTGTCACCCTCTTGTTTCCATCCTTAGCGCGACGCAATGCGGAAAGGGGAGGCCGAACTCTCGCACGCGTCCGCTGCGTTTGTGTGACCGTGACTATGACGGTAGCTGCGGGGCACCGCTTTAGCCAAGCACAAGCCGTAACGGCCACCACACGACCAGGCCGCATCTCCCTCTCTCCTTGCCCATCGTCCTCGTCAGCTCCTCTCGTAGGTCTTGTCTCTTGTCATGAAGCCCAGAGACTACTGCTGCTGCGCGATCCCTCTTGTGAATGCGGGGATCTATACGCTCCTGGTCGAGCAGTTTGTCGCCGCACTGCTGGTGGGAATTCTCTCAGTCGGGACACCTGAAAGTGAGTACCATATCTGTGTCTCTTGCTGGCTTCATACTGACCCCACGTCTAGTCGTCGGAGATGCCAGTCCATCGTTCGCTTCCATACTTCTGGGCATCGTAGCCTTCGTCGTGTGCGGTGTTCAAGTGCTTGGCTTCATTGCGGTCCGGACAGTACGTTGCATGGCTTCACATCGCTAGTACCAGCTGCTCACATCTCTCCAGGAGAAGACGGGCATGTTTCGCCAGTATCGAAATCTGCACAGCATCGGCCTTGTTGCTTTGCTGGCGATCTCCGCCGCTTGGATCATCATCTCCGCCACCAAGCATAGCACGGCGAAGACCAAATGCATCGACAAGTACTTCACAAATGAGACGCTCGATACAGAAGCCGATACCCTTTGCGACATCTTTACCTGGGCGGATGTGGGCATCATGGGCGGCCTTTGGGTTGTCCTAGCCATTTCGCACGTAAGTCGGATTCTCGGGTACAGTTTCCTGGCAGCTGCTCATTATTCGCATCCAGGCATACTACTTTGTCGTGCTCAACTCCTACGTCTCCTCCTTGAACGAGTTCCATGGCAAGTACAACGCCCTGCGTGACTCCATGAACCCCTTGACCGACATCCCGATGGATCGTCGCAACGACCCGTGGGATGCGCGCGCGTCGGTGGATTCCGTGCGCCTAGGGGAGGAGCCGAAGTATGACACGGACGAGCACGCGCCCCGCCGCGCCAGCGTCCTGTCGAAGCGCACCAGCGCCTACGATCAGAGCGCAGCACCGCGCTTCCCGGACCCATACCATAATGACGACCAGCCAGGCGCATCGCGACAGCATGCAGCTGGCGGGTACTGATGACGACCTTCCTCCTCGCTACGCGACCGTCTAATGCCCATCGTCTCCGGTAATTTACGGTAGCGATGTCGCTCTGACGGTCCACCTCTTTACGCATATCGCACTTCGATCTACACGGACTAATCAGTTGTATTCCTTGGACTTTACAGACTAGTATGTACCCTACCTAGATCGACCGCCTCGCGCGGGAATGACTAGTGCCTCATCTTCAATCGCATGGTCTTCCCAGTTCGTCCGATATCACTTTCCATGGTCCGAAGTGCAAGTGGACACGTCGCTGGCGAGCCGTGGCAAACCAACTCGAAATGCGCTCTCCCACCACCGCGTCTCGCAGATCAATAGAGATGCTACGCGGTGGTGGTACGCGCACGAGCAGGTTGACTTTGACGGCGTCGCATAATGAGCTCTCCTCCGCCTCCAATGGGATCTGGAATTTGCCTGTCCTGATAGCTATCTTGAAGACCTCCAGGGATGGCGGAAGTACGCGAATGAATGCACTATCGAGTTCCCTTGTCGTGACGAAGGATAGGGCGAAGTACTTGAGGCGTGGCAAATCGGCAAGGCAGTCGCGTAGAGCAGCAGTGGTGACTTTGTTGCAGTTTAGAAGGACGATCTGTCTGAGTGTGACGCCGTGAGGCTGGATCACTTCCTTGAGGAAGTCGTCATGCATCTCGAATGCAGGCGCGCGCGACTGGCCATAGTCGTACACGAACGACTCAAGCGGGCTCCTGCGAAAGACTCCCTCCACCTTGCGCTCGAAGAATGTACTAGTGACCTCCACGAGTGATAGGTGTCGAAGTGTCGGGAGATCAGTCGTACACAGGGAAACATTTCCCGAGAGACGCAGGAATTGTACGGCCTCAGTCTCAGCGAGTTGGAAGATACTGGCAGGCTGGAGGGATGTGATAAAGAGCTGGTAGGCAGAAAGCTGAGGAGGTGGTGGACCTGGTTCAAACAGTGCACGCTCGAAGGCCCATTGCACGCGAGATCCCAGAATGTGCGCTAAGCCGCTGCGACGATGAAGCGCAACCGCGCGATGACAGTCGAAGACACGCAGAGTTTGTAGATTGGCGAGTTCGGTGATGCATCTGTGCAGCCACGAGACATGATACTGTATATTTTCTGGTCAGAATATATTCAGACCCATGTTTGCATTGAGCTAACCTGAGCTGAAGATGAGCCAACTACACGGGCATCGTTTGCAGCATCAAGCCAGGTGATTCTCGAGTGCAGACGGGAATCCGAGCATTTGAGGAAGCTCAGGATCTGATCCTCGTGCGATAGGGACGCATACTGCTTGAATCCTACCACCTCGCATTCTGCCGCCATCTGCTTACAAACTCGCAGTAGGCGCAAGTGCGTATTGTCAGGCTGCTGGGCCCGAGCGACAACCCTATGGTCAGCAAGATAGGTCTCGTACACAGCAAGGCGTATCTCCAGAGGAAGCTCCAAGAAGGGCGGTGCCATCTTTGACCGAGCGGAGCGGATGTGGAGAGGACGAAGAACAATGCTTTCCCGATTTGGACATCACCCAGTTCATCATTTCGCCCGGGATGATCGCCGGCGCCACGAATTCCGCTCGGCCACGCCTCCTCTCAGTGTCACAGCCCACGCCCTATCGATGCCGCGCAGCTTCAGGGATGCAGGCCCCTCCCCCCGCTCGCTGTCTTCGTCGCTGCGCGAGAAGCGCTGAACTCTCCCAGAGCTGCCCACGCACCCGCGCGTGACCGGGCTTCCCGATTCGCAACAATAGGCAGGCTGGGTGATCGCACAATGCAACAAAAGCGCAACCCGTCCCATTGCGGTGCAATGCAATGGAACGCACCTGGCGACGGACCGTGTATCTCCAGGCCACGGGCCCATCCCAACCACGCGCCGGTCCCTTTCATTGTTGTGGTCGTGATCTTCTCTCCGTTGATCTGCATACATATATACGCCGCGCGCCCTGCCACCGGCACCTCTCTCCCTCCGCAGTGCACCTCAGGCTCCCCTCTCGCCTCGTCTTTCCCATAACACGCGTGCTCTGCCTCTGCCCTTGACGGGCAGGAAGTACATCGCGCGCCAATCCGCATCGTCTCCTGTCGCTGGACGTTCCCTCTCAAGCACCCCGCCATGCCCGCGCCCGTGCAGTCGTTCGATATTCTGCTTGATGTCGTGAACGATACGCAAGACAATGTGACCGTCCAGCTCGAGCGCGACTACGGCGTGTCTGGCTCTGCCGTAGCCCTCGTCCGCCCCGCCGAATCGCTCTCCCTCGTCCTCGAATCCGGGTCCGTGTACCGCTATGCGCTGAAGACGCAAACGCGCGTCGCGAATGTCACGTACGTCCCCTCCCAATCGGCCCGATGATTTTGCTGACGCTTCGCGGCAGTGCTCGAGGGTGGAGGGACATGCGCCTCGCGGTGTCCAGCGTATTTGCAAGCGTACTGCCGGAGAACAGAGCAACGCCCTCGCCGCCGTCCAACGGCGTGGTAGTGACACGTCTATGGCGAGACTACCGCTGCTCCGTGTACAACGCGCGCATAGGCGGCACCAGTGCGCCATAGCCACAGGTCGGTGTCGCGCTCCCCTGCAGCGTGCGCAAGCTGACGTCGTCCTCCCAGACGCCCTGCAGGAGTCGATGAGCCCTAGACCGCTCCCCGTATACCATCCGCCGCTGGCCACGTCGGCCAGCGCGTGCACAACATACCCTGCATATTGCATTGTCACGTCCTTCCCCAGGCCCACGTAAATGCCTCCATTCCACGGACTTACTACTGAGCATATCACTGTAAACAAGCCTGCCGCACCATATGTTGTGGCGTTAATTACCGGGCGGTCAGCTACTTCTTGTCGGACCCTTGCTTGATTTTGGGGGGCATTATGGGCGGATCGCGGGCGACGGCGGCGGGGGCTGCAAAGCAATCAGTGTAACCAATCTCTCCATTGCACATCAATCCAACGCACTTGTCTGTCTCCGGAGGTTGTTGCGGCATTAGTAGGCACGACGTTGCAAGTCAGTGCCCGCTACGCTGGTGACCAACGAACAATGGGATACTCTGTACAGGTTGACGTTACCTGTGCGACCTCATGGAAACCTCAAGGCCGACCCTTCACACGTATCGGGAGAAGCGGGAGTTCCTGAATAAGACAATGTACGATAGCAAACGGAGGGACAATGCGGTACTAAGCAGACGCAGGTGATGAGCTCGATGCCGAGGCCTTCTTCCATGCCTTCTTGTACAAGTCCACGGTGAGTGTCGGATTTGCGGGTGGAGGGACCTGCCGGCCAAGCTTGCCCCTTGCGAGCTGCAGCGCACTGCGCGTATCACCAGGGTATTGCTGGCCAGGGCGGGGTGCGGGGTCTTTGTAGTGTTGGTTCTTCTCCACCTTGGATTCCCATGTCGCACGCGCAAGAACGGGCGTAGCCAGCAATTGTGTCTGCGCGCGAGGTCAGCTGCTGGATATACTGACATTACTGACGGAACTTACCGAATACTGAGCAACCTTCTGGGAAAGGTCCTTCACGGCTTCGGGACCGCGGAACTTAAGCGCCTTCTGTAGATTCCAGCGCGTCTTTGGTCGCAGCTTGCCCGACTGGCCGTATTCGAGCTGAGCCTCCTTTTCCAACATCTCCTCTGTTCCCTTGGCAGGCTCGTTGACGATGTGCTCCAGGTTGTTGGAGCGCTGCAGACGAGTCCTGACGAGCTCGAAGCCGATCGCGCGTGCCGTCATCTCATACTTGAGGTCGCGCGGGTTGTCGACGAGTTCGAGGATGGCCACAGAAGCATTGTCGCCCTGACGGTTTCCAGCCTTGACAATGCGAGTGTAGCCTCCCGCACGCTCAGCATAGCGCGGCGCGTACTTCTCGAAGAGGTTGGAAAGAGCGGAGGGCTTGAGCAGGAAGGCGGAGGCGCGATCGAATGCTGGTCGGGTGCCCTTCTTGCCCATGGTGATTATCTGGGCAGCGGCATAAGCTACTGGAGTAGCACCGGGACATGTAGCGCACCTTCTCCGCCAGACGCGCCGTATCCCTGGCCTTGGGGAGTGTCGTCTTGATCTGTTCATGCTCGAAGAGGGAGGTGACCAAGTTCCTGTAGAAAGTAAGTTACACGCCCGAGCTCACTTCGTCGCTCGCACCTCAGCATGAGGTCCCTGTGGGACGACGTGCGCGAGAACTTTCTGAACGCGACGCCATGCTTCATGGCGGCGGGAGCGACTCTGCAAATTCCGCACGGGCGGGCTGGCGGGGCGGAACAGCCGGGGCTGATCGTGCTGACTAAGCAGTGTCGCGCCTGGAATTTCGCGTTCCCGACTGGCTCACGTCTTGCTCAGCCCGTCTTGACCTCTGCCAACCATGTCCTTCGTCCGCGCCGCCGTTCGCTCCGCCTCCACCGTTGCTGCCCGCCGTCCGTGGACTGCCGCGGCCGTCCCCCGGGCGCGCCAGATGCCCCGCTTCCCCGTCTTCCGCATCGCGCCGTACTCGTCCGGCGGTAGCCTCACCAAGGACACCATCCAGTCGCGTGTTCTCGACGTGCTCAAGAGCTTCGAGAAGGTCGACCCGGCAAAGGTGAGCAAGAAAGTCTTGCTCCACTTCCCGGACTAACGCGAATGTCAGTTGACGCCGACTGCCTCTTTCGCAAACGACCTCGGGCTGGACAGCCTGGACGCTGTCGAGGTCGTCATGTCTATTGAAGAGGTCAGTTCATGCAGTACACTTTGGGCCTCACCGCTGATTTTGCTCGCAGGAGTTCGGTATCGAAATCCCTGACGCGGAGGCTGACGCCATTACCACTGTCGGCCAAGGTACGTTCTCGCATGAAAGACTTCTAGCACGTAACTTACGAGGTCTATAGCAATTGACTACATTGCCAAGACGCCTGAGGGTATGCATAGTGCCGGTTGTGGCATATACTCATGACTGACATGTTTTGTAGCTGCATGAACGTCATGACGCGTCTATGAGTCCCCTACGGTACGTTCAGCTATACCTTGGCATGTCCCCCGTCCTCATTCGTCTTCAGAGTCTTGAATCCCTCACGCTGAAAAAGTGGTCTGGGAGGTGGCATACCTGCCGACAGTAGTTCAAGCGCGTACCTACGTAAACAGCAATATAGCACGTCCGGCTGCATGCACTCCACTCCCTCCCTCGCGCCACCACCTTTGCTCTGAGCAGTATATCGGTGCGCGTTTCGCCAGACTCGCATTGTGAGCTGTACCTTCGCGGTCACCAACGATACTCGTGACTCTCGGACGCCTCGTCTCGCTGACGCGAGTGTCAGCGGTTGTTGGCAGCGTCCCGTCATGTGAGCGTACTCCGTGGTTGCAGGACCTCGTTCACCTCTACCTTAAGCATCCTCCTCTCCTCAGTATCTGGTGGCTGCCCTGCTCCGGCCCGACTGCGTCATTCCTTCATATCGCACATGATCATTCCTTCACTGCCTCAGCTCTCCTGCTCTCCTGCCATCGATATCTTGCCCTCTCACCTCATCCCAACATCACCTCACCTTGCTACACCTCTGTCATGGTAGAAACAATCATCGTAGACGAGCCTCTCGCTCGCGTGGGTTGCATTCTGGGTGAAGGTGCGGAAGTAACTCTAGTCGGCAATCGCCGACGGGTTTGTGAAGTTCAACTTGGGCTCATCGTCAAGTGCTGTAGGTCCGGTGTGGGAGGCGGAGACGCAGACGTTGCATTTCGTGGATATATCAGCGGCGAAGGTGAGTGCGCTCCGCGCTATCTACCAGACCTACAAGGGCTTAGCGCTTATCGACCGATAGGTATACCACCTAGACGTCAATACCCTCGAATACCGAGTGGACGAATTCGACGAGAAGATTACCTCTATCGCACTACGTGCGGGTCATAAAGGCAGCGTACGTAGTAGAATGAATACATTCGTCTCGTCGACCGACACCAGTCACAGCTAGCGTGCACAACGCAACGAGGTTTCGCTCTCATCCATTCAGCCTCCGAGCTTCAGTCCAACCGCCCGCAACTGGAATACTTCGCCGAGCCATTACCGCCCGCCCTTTTGCCTTACACCCGCTTCAACGACGGAGCGTGCGACAGTCGGGGGCGCTACTTTGCCGGCAGCGTCTTCAACAAGGCGCGGGAGGAGGTTGTGGGCAAGCTTTACCGGTACGACCCTGCGAAGCGGGGTACGGAGGAGGCTTGTGTGGTCGTCGACGATGGGCCTTTCACTGTGAGCAGGACACGCGTCTTATGCTCTGCCCTTCCAAACGAAATTATTGGCAGGATTCGAACGGACTCGGCTGGTCCCCGGACGAGCGAACGTTGTAAGTTGCCAGCCTCTTCACCGAGTCGACCTTCGACGCTGATCCTACCTCCGAATATCAGTTACTTCACCGACTCCTGGAAAAGGCTTATCTATGCCTACGACTACGACGTCGAGACAGGTTCCATCTCCAACCGCCGACCCTACCTGGACGGCGCAGCGCTGAACCTGCCGGGCATCTTCGATGGCCTGTGCATAGACGACGAGGGATGTGTATGGTCGGCGATGTACGTCGGGTGGTAGAACGGTCTATGAACAACTCAGTGCTGACGCGCGTTATGCTCAGGTGGAACGGCTCGCACCTGTACAGGTTCAAGGATGGAGTCGTGGATATCGACTTGTCCTTCCCGAAAGTGTTGCGCGTAACGTCGTGCTGCTTCGGAGGTGAGTATGGGATTCGCCATCTGCACTGGCTTCAGTACTCGCCTTACTCATATCACCTACCCTAGGCCCGAACCTGGACCAGCTGTACATCACCACCGCACACTGCGCTGCAGAGGGTGGAAACGCCAACATGCAATACCAGTTCCCAGACTCGGGCCACCTCTTCAAGGTTGACTTTGCGGGTCGCTTCAGAGGAGCGAAGAGGGGGGTGTTCTTGCAGTAGCGCGTAGTTCTGAGCTGGAAGTGAATGTATCTTGAGGAGAGGAAGAGAGAAGTCTTTCAAGTACTAGTACTTATCGTAGAGTTCAAACTAATAGTGAATTCATCCCGTTCAACATTCTCAATTGCCCATGAACACCCCGGTACGCGAAGGGAGACAAGCGTTCGATCGCAGATAACTCGATAGCTATATGTACAGACATGCTTTCAAGCGAGGCAAATTATAAGTGCATTAAGTATGAGGTCGTCCCAACGTGTTTAGCCAAGATCGTAATGTACAGGTATCATAGCTTCCAGAGGTTCAAAGTCCCGTTCCGTTCCCCATCCATAGCGACGCAATATCGCCAGCGGTATTGCCTCCCATGCTAGCGGTATTACCACCCATGCTGGCGGTATGGCCGCCCATTCCCGCAGTATTGGCCCCCATCCCACCCATCCCCGCGTACGGGGAGAGGTCCGCCGTGCTGATGCTCATGGGCAGAGGTGCAGGCAATGGCTCGTTCGCCAGGGGCTGAGAGACCGCATCCTTGGCGAAGGCAGTAGAGTGCGAAAAGGGGTATAGGGGGAAGCCGACCTCGAGGGGCTGCTTCTGTGTGGTCATTCGAATGATCTCGCGCATGAGGCCTTGGAGGAGGCGCTCTTGGCGGGCTGGAGGAACTGTGAGCAGGAGTATATGCAGGTCAAAAGATGGATCTTACTGCCGATAGGTGATCGTCGCCCGTACTCCAGCATCGCGAAGCTGAGAGAAGTGATGAGCGGCAGAAACGAGTGACCTGAATGGACGAACGCACCGTAAGACGTTGATCTCTCCCCAGACATTTTGCTCGCTGTCCAGGTCGCCTATCTCAATGAAGTACTTGCAAAGTTGAACTTCGACCACAGCCGCGAGATACCAGCATATCTGTCGGAGCCTATAAGTAATCAATTAAACAGTAGGCGGAATGATACGTACCGTTGCGAACGGGTGAAGGCGGGTGATGTCCAGAGATGTCGCCGAGAGCTTGTAGTATGCCGAAAGAATGGCCCGCGCAGCATGTATGCATCGCGACGTGGAGACGCACGACCGATCGTCGAAGTCAACATACGGGTTATGCAGCGTAATCGTCGCTCTACAAAGCCATTTAGCGCAGCACAGAAAACTCCGGCCAACACCACTCACGCGTGCGGGACGATATGCACCATATACAGATCCGTGTCTATGGTGCTGCCGTCCGGCGCGTCGCTGACGCCGCAGTGACGGTATATCTGAGGTAGGTTATGCAGGAAGTCGTGTGCGACTAAGTTGTCGAGCTCGGTGAATCCTGGAATGAGGAAGGGGTTCTGGTGTCGTGTAGGGCCTGTTGGGTTGCGGAGGTTGCCCCGGACGTTGAAATCGGTGACCCGGCCGAAGAGCATGATGGCCTTCATGAATAGCAAGAACGAGTCGGTGTACATTGGCGGGTGTCGAGTGAAGATGTCTGGGGTAGCGAGGTCCTGCGGGTTGCTGGGTACCGGGTTCTGTGGTTTATTCAGTCGAATATCGGCGAAAATCAACGGGCGACAAACCTCTTCCTCGAAGTCCTGGGAACGCAGAGGAAACTCCGTTCCCAGGTCCCTTTCGTCGATAGCGTGTAGCCATCCTCCTACGCTGGCTATACGGTCGAATACTGCAAAGAGGAGTTCAATGAGAAATATGACGATATGCGCCAAGGCGACTCACATATGGTCATCCACCACGTCCGTCTCCGTGATTCCAGGTCGCGGAAGTCCTTCGGAGGAGCAAGGTAGGCGCCGGGTGAGTTGTTGCTATGCGTGCAAAAGGTACCGGGGTAGTTGAGGCGTAACGGAACGGCGACGCGAGTCTGGAAGGCCGCAAAGATCCAAACTTCCACCCAGCGGCCCTCCTGGTAGAAGTACCACGAAAGGATGATGCAGGCTTGCATGACGGCAAAGATGTCTTCGCCACTTGCCATCGTCTTGTCGATGTATTGTCGGGTTTTGGAAGCGTGATATTCGGCGAAGCTGTCGCGGCGCGAGCCGTCAGGAAGGGTAGTCACATCTTGCGACGTCCAGCGAGACGCAGATGCGCACTGCAACGAGTCAGCTTGAGCAGCGCGAGCAGATGAGGCGCTCAACTATTGCATGAAGTAGTGCAGAGTGAGGAAATCCAGGGTCTCGGGGTGAGAGATGAAGAGAAGCGAGGAAAGACGGACGATGCAGCACGCGCTGAGCGCAAGGGTCTCGCTTGAAGTATATGTCGACGCTGAGGACGGAATCCTGAGTACGGCCCGCGGGACACGAGATGGATGACGTACTAGTGATTGAGCGATCTTCTGTCCGGTAGTTGGGGATCCCAACCAGAATATAACAGCTCCATGAAGGGATCCGGGTCGGGCGATTCATGTCTAGCGATGGATACGGCAGTTCCTGAGTTGGGGCTTATCAAGGTTGTATCGTCTTTGGGACTTGCAGAGGCGGTTGTGGTAGTGGGGGTATGTGCGTTGAAGACATGTGCGCCAATTTCGTGCGTAGTAGGCCTGCTCGGAAGGTGGGAACCATTGGCGGCCGGGGGAATGCTTGCTGTATTACCCGGAGAAGAAGTAGAAGCGTTCAAGGGTGAAGGTTTATGTGATGAGGAGCCAGAGCTGGACTCAGCCGATGGCTGTTCTTGCACTTGTCGCTTGAGCTGAGCTGGGGAAGGGGGGCCCTGTTAGACGAGTTGCGGCGGCATATGCGAGGTGGCAGCTCACCAATCTGTTCTTCTAATTCTTTGATCTTGTCATATGGATCCTTGCCGGGAGTAGTAGGCGTGGGTGTCAGTCCTTCGACAGGATCGTAACAGCACTGGGGCTCAGTAGGATGCCTGCGCGACCCATGAGGTTCTGGGGAAGGACAGCTAAGACGCCACGACGTACGCGTAGCCAACGGGAGCAGGTACGCTAATGGTGACTTTCCATTGCCTGCACATGAGCTGTCAGCGCGCCATTCACATAGCGGGGGCGTTACCACACACCTCACGCAAGTGCCACAGTGTGGCCGAGCAGCGTCGCATTTCTGAAAGACGCATGATCAACTGCGTGCGCTCCCTTCAGACGATATGCGTACTAGTTTGCGCTTCCGGCACGAGCGACATGCCTGGATACGAACGGTGAGCTGGTACTTGGACGGGCGCTTAAGACCCACCTGATTGCGACGCAGCGCGGCGCGGGTGGACGACTGGGAGGGCCCGGGGGCAGCCTTGGGCATGTGAGATGGCGGTCGGGAGCAAGAGGCGGGGAGAAGTGAGCTGTGCGCGGTGGGCGTGCTGGTTCAGGAAATAATGGCGACGGCGAACTTCCTTGTTCCCGTGGGGGATCAGGTCTATCTAATTCTGATCGGAAGTGGCCTTGACGGATCTGCGGCACGCGCATATCGGCCCGGGGCAAAGTACCGCTCACGTGGCAAATGTTCGACTTCGGACTCGCGATGGGTGCATGTTAAACAGCGGATAGGAAGGCTAGCCTAGCCTAGGAAGCGCGGAGTTGATATCCCTCCGATGTAGGCACTCATGGAAAAGCCAATAATTGCATACGCCGCCTCGAAATACACCGCCTTCCGCCCCGGCCATTCGCCTGTCTCCCCCACATTACATGCATTTGCTTCTTCAGCGTCATTATCCCGCCGATCCTGCCTTCCGTGCCCTCCTGGAAGAATTGGCAGAGATTCTCCCGCCTCACGACCTGAGCTCGCCTCTCAGTTAGATGTCCAAATTCTCGACAGGAGGCTCGAATGCGCGCTTACAAAATAGTCGCCACAACGGTTCTCGTACTGACGCAAAATGTAAATTTGAGAAGAGGAAAAGGAGCTCAGAGCTTACTGTGGCATGTGGCGGAATTCGCACAAATAAATGCCTGTAATATGCTGACCAAACGCCAGGGATGGGCCAAGAAGCTCGCCCACTCACCCTGCCAAGTACCAAGGTTGAGGCGCCCGTCCGTGATTGGTACGCTGGAGCGAGGATGAGCAAGCTCCGATGTGAACACGCCCAGCTAGGTATTTTCTTACGTGACGGTAGTCCCAATCAACGCGGACTTGGTGTGCGAAACGCTGGCACGGCGCAACAAGTATTCAGCGGCGGACCTTACTATGAAGGCACAAGCTGAGCTTACGAGTCACTTATATATAGAGTCAGTATGTGGCAGGACGCTCAGAGGTATGATACTCACTCGGGGCCTTCATCTGTGTGCACCCAGTTGAGAGATTCAGGGACGACATGGTCGAGAGCCATGTCCATGTCTGTCGATTGCGTTCACTTCGACCTCGCCAGGCCATAGCCAAGAGAGCGCCACATACCTGTCCTGACATCTGAAGGCGAGCTCAGTACCCAAGCAAGCCTTGTATACTATATCGCTACTTACCGGGATCGTAGTTCTCATTCAATGTCAGGCCTAAAATCATTCACCGCGTCAAGGCGCGTATATACGGAGTAGAGAAACGACTTACCACACGACGTATGCTTGCTTAATAAAGCCAATATGTGAGCGGCGCAGGTCTAGAAGGAAGAGTCCTATTTACATGAACAAGTACAACATGCCGACCTATATGAGGACACCCTTCAGCTCGCGCGCTTGCCAGGGTATGTGTACTGACCTTGACGTCCTTGAGACCATCTTTGATTTGTGCTTGTACTTCGCTAGTAACTAGATGGCAGCCCTTCGAGCGCCTGGAGAGTGAGAAGGTCTTTTGCCAACCCATTGATTGTAGACGATGATGATGGGTGTTCGAGGGGAAGTGCTCACACTGACGTCAGACCGATCGACTGATCGCGACGCGATGTCCATCCAAAGGCCGGCTCGCGCACTATCATCCAGGTCTACTAGTTCTACAAGCCCGTGAAGGCTATCTATTCATCGTAACGCCTCATCGAACGATCTTGACCCCCACGGTTGCCCGGCACATTCCGATTGCGACAGTGGTTCGCATAATGACCCTTCTCACCACACTGTGAAGGATCATGAGCTTCGTGGACGGATATAGGACCAGCACAACGAGAACCCTCACCTTGAAGCACAGAACTTCGTCAAGATTCCTTCGCGGTGCTCCTGCCGCGGCGGCAGCGTTGTTCTGATTGTTCTGATACGAGCGGTCGAAGTCTGTGTATCTCCCATAGCCTGGCGGCGGCGGGCCTAAGTCTCGTGCTGGTGGAGGTGGCAGCTCGTACGCCTCGGGAGGCGGGAGCCCCGGCTTCGGGCTGCGATAGGCAGTCGGTCAAACGGCGCGATAGAATGGCTGAAGGCTTCCACTCACTGGCCACGGGGGCAGTCTGGTCCCATGGGACAGAAGCCGGTCAAGTACAGTTGGCAGGCTATTCTGCGGATGTGCTTCCGAGGGCACGAAGGACCTGCGAATGTCACGGACACATTAGCTTAGACCCCCAGGACGCATGCGACGTGAGACTCACCCAATTTACAGAAGCCTCGCTTGTAGTCTGGACACTCTACCTTGCGCTCCTTAGGGTGCGCGTACAGGCACTCATCGCCGGCCGAGCAGTAGCCGTACTTTGCGTACCACCAGCACTCGGGCATGCGCCGGAGGTTGTATTCATGAAGAAACTCGCATGCGTCCCCCTTCTTGCAAAGGCCACGAAGCCAGTGCTTACATACGGTGGACAGTCGCTCACGCTCACGCGGGTGTGTAGGAAGCTGCTTTGGGGGCTGGAAGTTTTGCATTGAAGGGTTTGTATGCCGTAAGTTGCAGTGTAGAGGTCCTAAGGGGCAGCCTGCCGCTGTGAGAGCGAGGCGGCAGATCTGGTCATCTGAGGGTGTCTATCAGCCGCGAGCGAAGATAGCCGCACGGATCTCCACGCGCCTTTGTCGAGTTTGACACCCAAATTGGTCTTTATGAAGTCCTCGACGACAAAGTTGTTTTGGTGGAACTGGGGCGCGACGATATCGCGCAAAGGCGAAGGCCCTGCGAGGGGGTCGGCGACGGACATGATGATTGCAGACAAGACGCCGCGGTCCAAGCACGCGCTTGTCCCCCTCGCAATTGATTTTCATTGTCCGAAGATGGAAGTCGGATGGCAATTTCCGAGAACCCATGCGATTCAACGGAGGCAATTATGGGAACCTGCTTCATACGGCCACAGAGCGGCAATCTCACAGTGGGAGCGAGCGAAGCGTGGGTGCTGAGGTAACACGGCTTGCTTATAACCACCAAGCTTGCACAAAAATGGGCGCCCTTCATGCTCTCTTTCTACGGCATCTGTGCCTGCCTCGTAGTCGCAGCTACTAGCGTGCTACTACGGCTTAGCCGTCTTCGCCGTCTGTCGCCCCTCCGGCGGCTACCTTTACCTCCTGGTCCGCCCTCGTCTTGGACAGGAAGCATTGGCCTACCTCGAGCCTATCCGTGGATCACATACCATCAGTGGAGGAAGACGTATGGTGCGTACTCGCCACGGGATCGACAACACCTGTATTTATGTGGACCTAGGCGATGTCATCTACATCAACAAGCTCGCCAACCCGATCATTATTCTCAATTCGCTAGATGCTATCCGCGACCTATTTGAGAAGAGGAGCGGAAGCTATTCTAGCCGCCCTACCAGAACCATGATGCAGCTGTACGTCCCTAATACGACCCGCAATTTTTTTTGGCCTTTATTCTGACCCCAAGCGAAGATGCGGCTTCGATTGGCTCTTTTCTTCCATGAAATACGGGAATTACCACAAGGTAAGTTGTGCCACCGCTTTGTAACACCAGGATTGCGTTCACAGCCGAACTGTAGCGCCATAGAAATATGTTCCAAAGGCATTTCCCCACTACCGGCGTTAATGAGGAGTATCAAGCTCTCCAGCTTCGTCAGACACACGTCTTCCTTCGAAATATGCTTTATCGGCCAGAGGATTTCTATTATCAAGTTCGCAGGTAGTTCACTCAGTTGGTCTCTGTGCGGCATACTGAATCGCCTACCCACAGGACTGCGACGGCCATTATCCTGGAGATTACGTGTGTACCACTTTCTCGCGTTGCAACAAAGCCGACACCACTGCAGATACGGACAAGAAGTCGCAGAGACGGGCGACCATTACGTTGGCCTGGCGGACGACGCTCTTCAGGGCGTATCGCAGGCTGGTATCTTCGGGTCCTTCTTTGTCGTGAGTCTGGATGAGCGTCCAATAGCGCACCAGAATCTGACGCGATCACAATACCAGGACTATCTTCCATGGCTGAAGTACGTCCCTGCGTGGTTCCCTGGGGCATCGTGGCAGCGTAAAGCGCAGCGGTGGCGGTCGAAGTCGCAAGAGATGGTCAGATATCCGTACGAAAAGTTACTTCAGCGTCTGGTACGTCGTCCAGATCCCTCTTGGCGTTCAATCTCATTTGGTTCGCGCGGCGTTAGAACGAAGGCACCGCGACGCCTTGTCTCGTCACCCAGGAGCTCGACTATCAGGCGAAGAATGGCGCTTCCGAGCGGGAAGACGAGCGTATCATCAAGAACGTCGCGGCGACGACATATGCTGGTCGGTGTTGTGTAGAACCTGGAGCTCACTGCTCACACCTGCCCAGGTGGCTCAGATACGGTGGTGTCGGCTATGCGCTCCTTTTTCCTGGCGATGGCTTTGCACCCGGATGTCCAGAAGAAAGCGCAAAGCGACCTTGACAGCGTCTGTACTGGGCGATTGCCCTTGTTCTCAGATAGGACAGAGCTGCCATATATCGTGCGTTGCAGAACCTTTTTACCTCCTTTATTTCGGTGGCTAATTGAGCGCTATCAGGACTGCGTCTGTTACGAGGTTCGCCATCGGACGCCCAATGGATCTCAGTCCCTGACCCGCTCGTAGCTTCTTCGCTGGCAACCAGTGACGCCGCTTGGCCTGGCGCGCGTTATCGAACACGAAGACGAGTACAGAGGATATCGTATACCCAAGGGTGCAACGGTAGGTACTCTGCTGTCCTTGTCTAGAACATCGCTAACAGCGATCAGATCATCCCCAACGTCTGGTCCATCCTACATGACGAAGAACGCTACCCTGATCCCATGGCGTTCAAGCCAGAGCGCTTCGAAGGGAAGAGCAAGAAGGACGTAGGTCAAAACGAGCTCCCGGAGATGGCTTTTGGCTTCGGGCGAAGGTCAGAAAATCTCGGGGCGCCTGATCAAGGGCTTGAGCTGATGAACGAAATAGGATATGTCCGGGTCGCTATCTCGCCTTCGACACCCTGTGGATCTTCGTCGCATCGACGCTAGCTGTATATGATATCCACAAGGCCGTCGATAAGCAGGGGAAGGTCATCGAACCGCAGGTCGTATACGAGTCTACTTTGCTATCGTAAGTGCTTTAACAACGGTCGCTGACCATGAACTGATTCAATTTCAGGCATCCGTTGCCGTTTCCTTGCGACATAGTCCCGCGATCAGCGGTCGTTGAAGCTCTGATCAGGAGTACAGCGGACGAGAGTTGACAATGTTTCACGAGAATATATGTATGGTGAATGCTCTACGTGATCCATGCAGTGAATTACTTGTGACTTTGGTTTTGGTCACCATATGCCCATGAGGCTCGCAGTCGCCCCCGACGTCCGCACACGATCCAAAGCTTGATCCAAGTGTGTTCTCCACTCAGCCGGTCCAGCACCCACGACTTCAAGAAGGTATGTGTCCTGGAAAGGTAGCGCATTGGGTGCGGGTCGCCTGTCCATGCGGATAACATCCAGGGAGAGGGCATGAAGGACCGACGATATCCTCTGCCCTGGCCCAGGCGTGATTGTCATGAGTGCATAGCTGCCGTCGTGCTGTTCTCGTTGGCCGTCTGGTAATGGTGTATCTGGCTCTTTTGTGATAGTATAAAACCGCGTGAAATTATCTGGGGGCCGATATAAGTGACGAGAACATATAGGGAACTGAGGAGAACTTACTCGATTCGGCCTGTATGCTTTGGCGCAATACAGAAAGTCCCGGAAAAGTTATTGCACATAACTTCGAGCCGATAGCGGCGGAGGTTGACGGGCCTGCGAGAACATCGCGAGCCGCAGCTGCTGTCGAAGGAGCGCCAACGAGCCGTGCTTTCGGGAGATGTGTTCGCAAAAACTCTCGACATTGGCCAAGTGCCTATGCAGTGAGGTTCGACGACGATGAGGAATTCTCAGAGCCTGTACTCACCTGTTCGTGGCTGACAACGGTGTCGATATCCTCGAGCTGCGTACCAGTTTTCGCGAGTAGACAGTGCTGTACGGCTAGCGTTACGGTACCCCGCACGAAAACCCGGTCCGCTCGAGCTGCGAGCGCATCATACGTCTCAACGACAGCCCCGAAGATCGTATTTTCTTGTGGCACAACACCGATCGCACCCGTAGAAGCGACCGCATTGAATACATCTGGCTAGTCTTCTCCGTGAGTCGAACCGGAGAGCAGAAGGGAGAGACGGACCGGCTATGGTTCTCTGTTCAACATACGCCACATTAGGGCCGAATCTCTCATAGGCCGCCTTGGAAGCATGAGCATACGCAAACCTTGTCTGCTTCGAAGTTATACCTGATGCGAGTAGGTACCGGAGGGTCCAAGGTAGGCGACTGTTGGTGTAGCTGCGTTCATGAGCGTAGGACGAGAGGTGGATGGCAGCAGTTGCGTTGGGTAATAATAGCGGCCGATAAGTCCGATCTTGTCGCTTGACGCAGACTGCACTGCTCCAGTGAATGCTACGAATTCTCCTTTTTTGTGCTACATACGTTAATCTACTAGATTACAGCCATTGGAGGCCCAAGTACAAATACATTACGACGAGTTAAGTAAGGGTCCATTACACCTAAAAGGCATTGAATCCGAGGAAAGACAGCGGGTCGTCTACGTTGTCGTTGAAGTCGAAATCCTCCATCCCCGCATATCTGCTCGAAGCGAGTTGCGTCGCTTCGATCAAGCTGAGATATGCAGTATCATCCTGTCTGTGGTAGTTGAAGACGTCGGCCTGGGGCGCCATTGACGGGCCACATCGCGAGATGATCAGTTCACCGAGCATCTTGCCGAAGCGAAATGCGAGGGGAATACGGTCGCCCATCTTCATCAGGGCCGAGCTAGCCGGATCTCTATAAGTCGTTGTCGTTGAAGAGGTATCAAGTCACTCACTAGATGAAGTCAAGCTCGTGGCGGAGCGTCTGTATCTGCTCCTCACTACGCGTGTCGACCGCGGCGTGCAAGAAGCGGACAAGTACCCGCCCTGCGGTGAGCCAAGCGAACTATCGGAGTCATAAGTGACCGTTCGGAGAGAACCGTCTCGTGGACTCACAGCAGCAAAAGTATCCAGCAGCGTAATGTCGTAGCTCGTTGACAAAACCATGTAAATCAGGTCCAACAGTGCACGCGCAGCCGTCAATATCTGTAGCGCCGATATACACCCAGACGTGCGCACGTCCGCGTGCGGATCGTGCAGGACGATAAGCGACCTGAAAGTCACTAAGTACGCCTTCCTTCGCCGATATGTTCTACTCACACATAGGGCATCATATGCGCGATGTAGAGGTGATTGTCGACCAGGTTATTTTGGATTGGATATCGAAGATGTGACGGGAACGAGTCTCGGAATGTCCTCGCGATCCGCTCGAGCTCGATGAAGGCCGGCGCCGTTCGCGGGTCCACAAAGTTTTCGTCCTGCGTGCTCTGCATGTAAGGCGAGGTACCGACTGGCATGGCCGGATTTGCAGACATTTCCGGATTGCCAGCGAAGTGCTGGCTTCGAAACCGCAGATTGAACCGCTTGACATAAGCTACCGCCCGAACGTTAGTATAGTCAGAGCTAGAGAGGCCGACGTATGGCGTACAGAGTAGAATGGCGCCCTTGATATACAAAGTGAACGAGTCCGTGACGGCTGGCGGATTCTGAAGCAGGACGCCGCGAGTATGTGCCCATTGCCTATCCGCCGGGCTCACTAGGATCTGCACGACAATGAGCGAGGGTCTTCTCATTCAAAGGATCGAACGGCTTACACTGTGTTCGAACTGCTCAGAGAGCACCGGCATCATCTGGGAAATGTCATCGTCGTCGACACTCATAGCCCAACCATTGCCGAGCCCGTGAAGACGTTCCGCGCAGTAAATGAGCCAAAACGTATTTCGTCGGGTCTCGTCTTCGATGACGTTTCGTGGTGGGGGAATAAGGGATGGCGGCCTCACGGCGGTCGATATTGACCGGAACGGTGAGCACATATTCATGCCCAGTGGGACGGCCATGCGCATCGTCTGACCGCATTCAACGAAGACCTGGCGGAAATCAGGAAGGAGGCGCCATAGAATACCCTGCCTAGCGTACCTTTACCCATCTATAGAAGGGGTCAGGCGCATGAGGGAGAGCGGAGACGGCGTACTCACTGCGAATGAGCCCAATAATACCAGCACATGATCAAGGAAGCTTTACCATGTCAGTTGCGCACAGCGTCGGATTAGACGATTATCACCTTGTAATCCCTGAAACAGGTTCTCTCCGCGTTGGCGTGACCGCTCGATGGCAAGGTTGGCAAGCTTTGCCTGCTCCTCGGCAAAAGAGTCGGGCCTTGGCTCCCGATGAAAATCGTCAAAGATTTCGTCTTGTAGAAAGGGGTACAATGAGCTACACAGCGCCTTCAGTACAATCAGGCAGACATACCAGGTGCCATTTTCGTGAGGTCCGGCAGCGGAGGGGAGGATACTGCAGCCGTGTAGAAGCTTGCTACATGACGATAACTAGGGGGCTCAAATTGATTGTTGAAAACTTACCTATGGCACATATCGCGTGAAGGAGACACGGAGGGGGGAACTTGGGGTGCGTAGCCCCCAATGATAGACAGGTCATGAACGTGGGGAAGTGGAAGAGCCGCTGAGCGTGTGGGTGGAACATGAAGAACATCTCGACTCTGATGAAAGGGTTAAGGATAGTCAAGTAGGGCGGGTAAGGGGCGACATACAGATGGCGAAGAAGCTCTGGTCGCGGCATCCCCTCAGGCCAGTTTGTCCACACAACGTCCGTGCGGGACCCATAGTCTCCCATTTCAAGAAGTCCCAGGGGTCTAGGGACCGGCGCGTCCTGGGGATTGGATCCTTGTGGGGAGGTAGAGGATGAGGGTGAAGGATATGAATTGGATGTCGGTAGTAGGGGGTTCCCATTTGGACTCGACTGTGCGGCTTTCTCTGCTTCCTCCTTCTGCCGTAGCAAAGCCTCAAGCTCATCTACAAAGAGAGGTGTCAACAGTCTAGTTGGGACGCGTGTTGAGGACGCACTGATTCTATTCTCTAGGCGCTCATAACGACTCTTGTGCCCCTCACTCACTACCTGGGTGTCTGGGACTGATGAAAAACATTAGAAATCAGAAGAACACACAAAAACGTACACGCTTACGTTCATCGTATGTGCACACGGGCTCGCTGGGGAGTCCTGAATTGGGTGGCGCATGCGAGACGGCATGTGCATGGGATCGAACGCATGTAGAGCAGGGACGCTTCGCGTCACTGAAGGTACGACTCAGCCTGCCTTCAATCCCTACGCGTAGGCGTGTATGCGTACCATTTCTGGGTGGCGAGTCAGAGGGGAACAGCAGTATGTATATTGCTAACGCACCAGCTTCCTGCGCCGACACTGATCCCGCCATTGTCAGCAGAGCATAGGGGTTGATAGGCAGGTTATATACCTGATGACAGGCCTAGATAGAATTTGTTGAGTGCTGCACCAGCACCGGAGACCATTGACTGCACACCTGATTCCTCTTGAGCATATTTGGGTTCTGTCCCGGTATAGTGGACTTGTACATGGACGAGGAGGAGCCGGAGGCCGAGCCATTGGAGGGGGACGCCTTGGGCATCGCGTTGGTCCGAGTCCGTCCACGATGGTAAGAAGCAAGCAGGATGCGCTCAGACGAAACGAATGTCGCACTCAGGCGCGTCCCGCGGCGTCCGCGCGGTGTGATGATCAGTCAGCGCGATGATCAAGGATCGGCCACTAAATCCGACCCTGCGTACAAGTCCTCCACTGACTCCGTTGCGTTCTTCACGACGTTCGAGTCAAAAGGAGGATGGGATGCAGCATGGAACATGACTTGTGGTGAGTATGTGACAGATGATAGGGTGAACGCGCATAGACGACGCAGGCAAAGGAGTCCGAAGTAAAGCAAGGCGTCGCCGGGGTGAGAAGTATATGAGTATGTAGCAGACTACGAAATACAGTATCCAATGAGATCCAAAATGTGATGCGCAAGATAACACCAAGCAAAGGGTCGAATAAAGAAGAAATAAGTCAATGCCAGCACGGGGAAGGCGTCCAGGATCCTGGAAGGCTTTAGCCCGCAGAGAACTTGCCCGTCGACTGCAGCGAAGCCACGACGTCGTCTACCCCCACTCCCTCCACGTTCTCCTCCACGGCCGTCGTCGCGGCGGCCCAGACCTCGTTGAACGTTGTGTCGTCTCCGGCATCATCAGCGACTCGGTCCGCGGAGGACGACTCCGTCCACTTGATAGGCTTCACGGCGATCGTCGTGGCCCAGTTACGAAGGACTTGCCCATGATCACTACCGAAGAACAGCCCTCCATCGGCGGTGGTGAAGGATGAATCCACGTTGTCCACGTCCGACGCGTCGACGGTCCCGAAAACAGCCACCTCCACGGTTGGGATTTTGTCCAATGTCGAGAACAAGGACGACGTGTTGGTCGGAGGGACGCCGGGCGCTGTGAGCAGAAACCGCACAAAGTCGGTGGCCACGTCAACGTCAGGTATCGACTGCAGGAACTGGAGGATGACGTGGTCGTAGTGGTTGAGGGTACCAAACTGCCGTGGGTTCAACTGCGTAGTCGACAGATCCGATGTGTTTGCCCCAGGCATGGCGCTCATGGCCTCGCCAGTGTAGATAATCGCGCGTGCGCCGACGTTGCGATTCACCTTCATCGCTTGCTTCGGCGCGCCAGTTCGTGAGTCCACGAAGGGCAGCCGCAAACGAAGGATGTTGAGAACGCCATATATCGGTCGAGCTGGGTAGCAGGACGTATCGACAGAGGTCGCAGCCGAAACGGTGGATAGACCGAAAGCAGAGCTTTCGAAGGAGTTGACGCGGTTGACGGCGTCGCTATCGAGGCTAGGATAGCATGCAAGAGGTGGAGGGAAGGGGGTGGACGAGTCCGTGTTGTTCAGCTGTGACACGATGTCTGATTCGGCGTCAAACGGCAATAGGATATCTGCGCTGAGGAAGAGCGAGATGAATGTCGGAAGGTCGTCTGCTGCCAACTGCAAGATATTCGTCCAGTACGTCTTCAAGGCGGCTGCTTGCTGGGTTGCAGATGCTACATAGGTATTAGTAATGCGACAAATTCGACTCAAGTTCTTACCCAAAGCGTAGCTGTACATGCGGTCCAACGTTGCCTTCGCGTCATCGTTCGCCTTGCTCGCCTGCTGCGTGGTCGGCTGTGCGTTGCTCACAAACGACACACTGGGTTCCGTCACCTCTTGCCGCGCAAAGTTGAACGTAAAGCCGGAGACCGTTGTCGAGAACGTGGCGTAATCCGAGTCCCTTAACGGACCATCCGCGTCAGAGAGCGAGTTCCAATCGGCACCGTTCACGAAGTCCTTCATCTCCTGAGCAGCAGAGGCGTCCTGCGATTGTACCAGATTCCACAATATGGCCATCTGCGCCCATGATGTGCGATTGGATGCCGTTACTGGGTCAAGTCCGTTCGCGACGTCGACAACAATGGCCTGGATGGCGCAGGACTCCGAAGAAGACTTGCCGAGGGCGACCCAGAACGAGTTGAAGACGGTAGCAGGGGTGAAGTCCGTCTGGAAAGCATCGTTCACCAACGGCGTCAACTTGACGATTTCCTTCGCGAGCCCATTGCAGCCAGACGTCGCGGTACATTCGCATGTCGCATCTGGTCGCGGAGTTAGCATCTACATGCATTTCGATCAAGGGAAAGCTTACCCAAATTACACGCTACGCCGGTAACGTTCGCATTACCACAATCGGGTAGCGCCTCCCCATGCTTCCGTAGGCCTAGGCCCAGTCCGAGTCCCAAAGCCAATGCTACAAGCAGGATGATTCCCCCGATAATGTACATCCGCCGCCTTCTGGGTGCTGTCAGCGCGAGCATCGGCGAGCGGACCTCCTTGCTTGGGCTTGGGAGCTGGTCCACATCATTCCCAGGTCCTCGATGGTCACCGGGCTGTGAACGCCAGTTCCCTGACGTTTGCCAGGGATTGACCGCAGTCGAATCGAAGTAATGCGACTGATAGTCGGCATGGGGCTCGAAAGAGCGCATCTCCGGAGATGTAGGCGATGTGACTAGGTCCTGCTTCCTCGTACGCGTGGTATCGTAGCTGTAGTGGGCGAGACGGCCCTTCTCCAGCATGCCGCTCAGCGTCCCCGCGCGGTTGATCAGCTGTGGGAGCGCCATGGTCGCTTCCTTGCGGTGCGTACTATCCGTATCGTGTAACTGGAACTGGCCGGGTAGCGGTGGTAACGGCTTGTTCGCGAGATAAGCGTAAAGCCTGCGAGCGGATTTCGTGGACCGTCGAGTCAAGCCCGATATGATAGAGGTCACATAGCTCTTCGTCGACGCCACCGAAGCCCCTCGGCGATGCGTCTTGGACTGCTGATAGGCGAGTGGCGGGTGATGACCTGGAGAGACAGCCCGAGGAGCAGCAGCCTGTTCATTCAGGACTGACGTCGATGAATGAGGCCCAAACGCGTCCGCCTCATCCTCGGTCACGTCCTGAGGGAGAAGAACCCCCGAGTCCCGTACGGCATTCGACGATAGGCCCGAGGATAGCTGACTAGGGCTCGACAGCAATGTCGCAGAGGCTATCCCGACCACCCTCCTTTCAGACACCCCGGGCGGCTTCGTGAAGCTTGCCTGTTTGATGACGGGAGGGTGCCCGAGAGAGGATTGGATGTCCGAGTCGTTATCCGAGGAAGGACCGCCCTCGGACGCGGGAATCTTCAGGAGAGCCGGCGGCTGTTTTGACGGCCGCGCGGTGACCAGGGGCGACGTCGGCACGGGCGGGATGGCGTCGCGCGATGTGCGGGTGCTGCGAGAGCCAGGCGGATAGGTCATTTCGGAGAGCCCGCTCTGCCGCGACCCGTTGCTCGTGCTCCTGCTATCCCTGAACTTCGGGGACGCGGGCGTCACCTCTCTAAGAAGGGATGTGATGAAGGACGTCGAGAGCAGGTTGTCCTCAGCGGCATTGACCTCCGTGCTTGACATCCCGTCGTCCCAGTCGTGGGGGGTACCGCCAGGGACCGCTCCCGCCGCTGTCAGCTCGGCATAGTAGGCATCGTTCGTCAAGCGCTTGTCTTTGTCTGTGGTCCTGGAAGCCGTGCGCGGAAGTAGCGGCCTGTCTGGAGAGTCGGGGTAGGTAGGAGTGAAGGGGGAAGCAGGGTAAGTCTTCAGCGGTGATGGCTGGACTGTCAACGCAGAGGGGCCCGCAGTTGCTCGAGAGTTGGCTCTGGCGCGCTTACCCCTGACGGGTGATGACGTGCGGTACGCATCTGTGGGAGTGGTAGGGACGCTGGGAGGGGGGAGGGGGAAGTTGTTCAAGCCAGAGAAGCTTATGGTACTCTCGGCGAGTCCTGACGCAGAGGTCTCGATAGAGGTGCTGGCCTTGTGAGTGGGGCGGCTGGGGTCCTTCCAGGAAGTAGGAGTAGACATGAAGGCTGGGTTGCGAAGCGGAGAACGACTGCGAATGCGTGAGTGACCATTCGTCAGGGGGAATGCGCTTCTGTACTCACAGAACAGGCTAGGGGTCGCACATATACATATCCCACAGTAATAACAAGAAATGAGTGGACTGCCAAGTAAGACGGCAAGGAAAGAATGGCTAGGGCTTGGATGTGGGAGCGGAAGAGGAACCCTCGGGCATGGGAAAGAGAGGAGACTGCCTACTGCCGGCGCCCGATAGAGTGATGATCAGGGGATCAGAGAACCGTCCATTGGCAGATTGTGCATCAACTCAGGGACTTCTAGTCCCGGTGGCTACAAGGACAAGGATACCGCACGTGGAAAGGTCCACCTGGTCGCGGTGCCCCCTTAGCCGCATTCCGCCGGCGCAGATCCTTCTTGCCGCAAGTGCCTGGGGGTCCGTGGTGCAGACGTGTATGCACGAGCAAAGATCGTCAAGGAGGATACAGTTCGTCACGGTGATACTATATGTACTATGTGGGCAAAGGGGAGCGAAATTCGAAGAGCAGGTCGTCGAATTAGAGAACCTGAGAGTCAAGAGAAAGGGGGTGTGAGGCAAGGGTGGTCGTGACGAGTAGCAAAATGGTCAGGATCCTCGAGTTCCACTGGTATGTGTTGGCAGGAAACCGTGCGGATATCAGCAGCTGGCGCGAAAAAGGAGATAGTACTAGAAGAAAGACATAAATGGCGTGATATAGTGCAGGGAGCGCCGCGCGCCGCGTGATGATACAGTGCGCACAACACTTCCTGTGGTTCGTCCACCCATACAGCGGCGCTGGAGTCCACTTATGCGACAATGCATGAGCGGCCCTTGCTGCGTTTGTTGTCGGACCGCGCGGACGGGTACACTAAGGCGGGCGATCAGAGCGGAAGGCGGCGGGAATGGAAGTTACAACGCACAGACAACACGGATCGCCTCGTCAAACACGGTCTTGAGCCCCTTTTGCGTCAGCGCGGAACACTCTAGGTACTTCACAGCACCGATGTCCTTCATCATCGCGACACCCTGCGAGTACTGGATGGGGGACATGCGGCTGGGTCCTGGATCAGACGTTGTTCATTCAGTGTTGCGCAAAACTCACCGGTCACGCAGTTTCTCTATCGTCGCAGGGTCCTCTCGCAAATCCAGCTTGGTGCCCACGAGCACGACGGGCGTCTGCGGTGCGTGATGCGATATTTCAGGGTACCACTGGAAAAGGTGTTAAGAGGGAACTGGCGAGCGAGTGCGGGCGATGTCTACCTTGGTCCGGACGTTCTCGAAACTTGGCGGGCTGACGAGCGAGAAACAAATCAAGAAGACATCCGTCTGAGGGTAGGAGAGCGGGCGGAGACGGTCGTAATCTTCTTGACCAGCGGTATCCCAAAGCCCGAGGGAGATAGTCTTGCCGTCGACCATGACATTGGCGGAGTAGTTATCGAACACTGAGTGAGGTATGAGTGCATCGAGTCGTCGCCAATGAGCTCTTCGTACCGGTCGGGATATATTCTCCCTAGGGCGTATGCGTCAGAACGGCGAGGTCATCGTACGACGGACAAACACGCACCGGGAACGCGTTCGTGGTATACGAGATTAGCAGGCAGGTCTGTTGTGCGCCTGTCAGTTCGGGCAGCTCGCAGCCACCGACGCGCTAGCGCACCTTTCCGACCGCACCATCTCCTACGACAACACCTAGAGCGAGCATCAGCTGCTGTTGCCACGCCGGCACGACCGCAACACGCACACTTGATGGCCTGCATACTGGGGACTGGGCAACGGAGCGACTATCGGAAACCGAGGGGAAGAAGGCAGACGACGCGACGGGGAGGCGAGGGCTGCAGGCGTAAGCTGGGGAAGGACGGGCGATAATGTGGTCGTCGGCGACCTGGAAACGGCGTGTTCAGAAGGCTGCTCGTCCTTGCCGATTGGAAATCTAGCGATACGGGGGCAGGGAAGGGAGAGCAGCAGTACCTTGGGTACGTTCAGCGACCGCGGGAGCACGGGCAAGGGGATGGACAATGGAAGAACAAGGCGAGCAGCAGAACGGTCGAAGGGCCGGGTGTCACTCACAGAAATTCGCAGGATCAAACCCGCAAGAGCGTCTCCAGATGGCCTGCTTTCCCACGCCGCTTGGTGACCGCTCTACCGTCTCGCCGACAACTCAGCACTTTGCCTTGTCTTTAGAACAAGGGATAATGGACATTCGCATCCCCAAACCCGCTATCGGCTGGAGATAGATATACACAAGAATACACAAGATCTGGCCTGTACGCAAAGCCACCCGACAAGTCCACGATATCAGAGTAACTAGATGGGAAACATAGACGACGAGAAGATACGGACTTTAGATGAGCGTAACCGTAAGTGAGGTGACGGGCGTAGTACAAGTACAGAAAAGGCAGCAAGAGCGGGAGCATAGCGATGGAAAGCACGACAAGATACTTACGATAGCGCGCAAGAAAGAGGGATAAAACATACAGCCGACAACGCATCACTCGACCACCTTGCGCTTCTTCGGCGGCGACGGCCGCTGCTCGTCCGTCGCAGTGAAGACGTCCTCCCAGCTCAGGAATCCTATGTCGCGTCCCATCGCAGGAATCTTAGATCCGCTGCTGGACGATGAGCCAGAGCTGAAGAGATCCTCGTAGGGCATCGACTGCGTCCGGCGCAGGACAGGGCTGGCCATACCAGGGCTCGGCATCATAGAGGACGTGCCCGACGACGGCATCCAGGACCCCTCCAGGATATAGTCCATGTCGCACTTCGTCAAAGGAGAGGGTACCAGTCCGGGATTCTGCCACATGTCGTCACCAGTCGTGGACGCGCTTAAGGGCGTGCTACTGGTACGGGCGATGCGGTTAGCGACAGGGAGAGGAGCCTGCATGGTCCGACGAGTGGGTGTCTGGAAGACGTTCCGTGACAGCGTCCCGAAAGGCGTGCGGTTGCCCAAGACCTGCGGGCTGGCAGCCGCGGAAGGGCTACTCAGCGCGAGCTGCAGCAATGATACGTCCCGAGAGCGGTGCATGGGATGCTCGGGGTCCATATAGCGCCAAGGCCGGTGGACAGGAGGAGAGGAGTGGCGGAAGTCTGGGGTGGCAGAGGGGTCGTAGAGCGGCGAAGGTGGAATGTTCAGCATAACGTCTTCCTCATCAGAGGGTGTCATCGATTGTGACAAGACAGGGCCACCGGGCGGCTGAGACGGCGATGGGGTCCCATCACGTTCCTCGTCCGACGCCAATTCGGTGCCATCATCATTGCCATGCTCCTCGATGGCGGAGAACGTGTTCTGGTAGGTTGTGGACGGCTGCGGCGAGGAGAGACTGACGTCGATCTCGACTACATTGCCGTGCACAATGGGCTTGGGTTTGGGGGGCGGCGGGCCACGCTTCCTGGCCTTGTTCTCCTCTGTTGTGATAGGTCAGCAAAGTACGCGTATAGTGATGATCACACTGACTGTTCGACGTAGGACGCGCGCGGGTGGTGTCCCTTCTATTGGCCATAGCAATCTTGTGCTTCTCGTATACGTGCCTCCGCCACATGCTCTTAGCATTGACGCCCAAGTACGTCCGACGGCAGAAGGTGCAGCGCAATTTGGGCTCATCGGGGTTGCCACCGTTCTGCGACTTCGCCTTGACATCCTTCTTCTTTGCAGGGCACCAGCCACGAGGGGGCTCAAGGACCACGGGGTACGCGATAGCTTTGGGGTCGTCGTTGGTCTCGGAGAGAAAGTCCCTGGCGTCGAGGAACCACTCCGGATGCTCCGCGAGGATTGAGTATGTGAGGCCGTCAGGGTGACTATCTGCACCAGGGAAATCGGTCCAGGGGGCACGGATGAAGAGGACGCCGGGCTCGTCAGGCTGTGGCTCGACGGGGATCTGCGCGACGGTAGGATCCTGCCCGCGCGACGCACGCGTCGAGCGATTGGTGTTCTTGCTAGCGTTCGATTTCTCGCCGCGGGGATGGTAGGGGCTGGGATTGAAGGCGCTATCCGCCGGTGTGAAAAATGTAAGATCCGGCTGGGAGGAAAACCGGCGCTTGGGTGGCCGCGATGGAAGTGCTGGCGCGACGAAGGATGCTGCAGATAGGAGAGGGGGTTTGCGGTCGGCCATAATGACCGCGATGGGTAGTATAGACGTGTATAGCTGGGGGACGTGTCAATTGGCGCGATGCCGGAGTCACTGATTTGGGACTCACTCGAGGTCTGTGAGCTCCCTGTATTGATACAGTCGACCGAGGGACTGCCGGGGGACGCGGAAAAACGAGTCGATTGAGGCAGATGTGCGCGCTTGAGGCTGTCTGGCAGCGGCGGTCGGGGGTGCGGGAGGCAAGAGCGACGAAATGATGTCGTTGACGGCCTCATGGGTCGGAGTTTGAATTTCTGTACGTCACATGCAGGACGCGTTTCGCGCGTCTCCACGTGATCGTTCCAGACACGCGCGACCTGCACGCGACACCATCGTGACCTACACGAGCACTTCAACCCTCGAAAGGGCGCAAGGCCAATAAGGATATAGAGCTCTGACAGCAGGGTAAGTCAGATGGTCGTGGGATCGCTTGAGAATGACTCCCGCCTGAGCCATCCTCGGTATGATCAGAGTTGTGCGCCTGGTGCATTACATAGCAGTCACAAAGCGTGCAGCCTATAGGTAATGTAAGTACAGGTGTCACTCCGCAGTGTATTCAGGCGGTATCTCGATGCCTCGCAAGCCACTGTCAGTGTGTCTTATAACGTCAATCATTTGCAGCTCTGGATCTGGCTCATGTTCTACAACGGCAGTGAGAGCCGTCCCTACCACGACGCCTTGTATATCGGTCGAGTCACCGGTCGAAGGTACCGGGTTCTGTGGTGTTACGAGCGCCGATGGCTCAGTTTCTGCAACAATGGTTTTCTTCCGTGGGCCGGGCGACTCTGTAGATGACATTATGAACGGCTGGATCACCGCATTACGGGGTAAATATAAGTAGTCTGTGCAAGTGTTAGATCAACCTGGACAGGGATGCACAGCGATGCTTACCGGGATGGAACTTCTCCTGGGCTGAAGCGGTATCCCTAGTCGGCTCCCTTTGTCCTCGTCGGGCATAATAGACTAGGACGCAGACAATCCCAAGAGAAAGGAGGAAGACGCCTCCAATAGTGCCGCCGATGATGGCGCCAGTATTCACTGCGTGTGAGCTAGTAGGTGGAACAGACGTGGAGGAAGCTGGAGTGCTGCCTGCATCTGTCCCAGTCGGCATTTCCGCGCTGTTGATGGCGTCGCCGAGATTACCGTATATCTCGAAGTAGTCGAACCAGATGGTGCCCTCGCCTTCCTCGTAGGTGGTGTTTACGTAGTCCATGGTAACAGTAAGGGTGCTACATTGGATGTCAGCAAGCCGCCAGCTGAAGGGCAGAGCGTGACGCACTGATCAGCCGCCACATCGAAGCCATCCGACGTGAAGAATATTTGTTTGTATGTATCGCCGGCGCCTGCCCGGGACGTGACAGTTGTCGCTTCGCCATTGTCAATGGAGTAGTTGGTGCGCACGCCGTCGGACGAGTAATCTAACGTCTGGGATGGTCACTTGGCGTTTATGAGGATTGCTGAAGGCCGAACGTCAAGCTCACCCCATACACGGCTATCAACCAACCTGTGGGGGGTAATCAACGATCGATGCAGGCTTGTATCGACGAAGGCGTACCGTTGAACCTCACTTCGAAACTGTCGCCTGCAGTTCGCGTGCTCGATACCGTCTCATTGTACTCGTTCGGCGCTCCTCCTACTTCCCACTGTCCGTGGAAGGTAACATTGCTGCTCTGGTCGTCGATCAGAGCCTTGCTGTTCCCCGTGTTGGACATATACAGGCCCGAAGACGAGTCAGATTCGTCAAAGTGCGCCCTACGTGGAGATTGGTCTGCGGAGTTGAACGAGATGAAGGCCGGGAGGAAGCGACGTGGCAACAGGAGTCACCGCGCTAGCGCTCGTTCCTCGTCTTCATGCATGGACCTTTACAGCGTCAACGTCACCAGCATAGCATCGGCCAGTGATGAAGGCCGCTGACCTCTCTGTACGATGGACGGGATCTACAAGCACAGCATTTATTACCACCCCCTTGACAGCGACGCTAGTAACGTACCTGTCATGTTTACTACTGCTCTTGCCATCCAGATAGCTAGGCGCCTGTCTGCGGTTGCAAGCAGACAGAGGCAACCCCGAGTCCGAAGTGTTAGAGAACAATCAGGACGCGGGCGAAGGTGATTTACGACAAGAATGAGTTCATGAATGCTTTGCTGCAGTCCGTTCGAATCGTAGATTGACGGTTTTGATCTAGTTCATTGGGATTGTATAGCCGTGCTGACCAGATCCTTGGGCATGCAAGGTGGAGCGCTTGCGATGCCCGCTTGCACATCGTCTATGCCGGGACCGGGGCGTGGGTGTAGGTTCAGCTATATGAGTCAGTGGGCCCAGCTATCCGAGTTCGCAGATCATCAGTCTTTTCGGCACAGACGGTGTGCGAAGGGATAGCTATCACCTCAATGAACGACCGCAGCGTCTTGCTGACAAGGCAAGCGCTCGTCGAATGAGAGGAGGGGCGCACCTGCACATATCCTCACCTTGGCAAGAGGACAGGCCGATTATGAGTGCACGCAGGAAAGTCGAAAACTCCGATTAGGTATGCGGCGTAGTAGCCTGACGACACGAACCAAGATGTCGTCGAAGGGTATACACATCAATAGGCAGATTCAGAGCTAATACTAAGTAAGTCCTGCAAGCTATAAGTCCAGTCGACGGCCTCCCGCGTCTTCAGCCGTCGCTCACCATCACTGCTGCCATCACAAGAGTGCGCGTTCCTTGATGTCAGTCCGCCGTGTATACAGGCGGCAACTCGAGCCCCCGTATGCCACTGTCCGTATGTCGGACGACATCAACGGCCGGGAGTGCCGTCGAATCTTCCTGACCATCGTTATGACGGAGCTGAGTTTCTTGCCCACCCTTGCGGCCGCGATAAATGTCGTGGCGATTCCGTGTACTAGGGGCGTCAAAAGTTTGACTGGTATCCGGGTATGATGCAGCGGGCCAAGGTTCATGATCTGACGAGGCGTGTTGTACCTTCCGAGGGCCTGAAGATTGCGAGGTAGACGAGACGAAGGGCACTATCTCGGCGGCAAGCGACGGGTACATATAGTCTGCAAATGAGAGAGTACTGGCTGAGCAGCATACCAGGCAGATTGACTAAGCACGCACCAATGGAATTATGGGCTTCCTCCTTGGTTCGTTTGCGTGCCTTTCGCTTTCGTGCATACAGGACTCCAAGAATGAGGGCCAGACACGCAAGCAGGACCCCTCCGACAACGCCTCCGACAATGACGCCGACATTGGGGTGCCGTCGATGTCGCTGAGAGGTTGGCTCGCTGCTGCTCCCTGTCGCAGACGAAGTGCCATTGTCGCCGCCGTATATCTCGAAGAAGTCAAACCAGATAGTGCCCTCGCCGTCTTCGTAGCCGGTGTTGACATGCTCCATGGTCACTTTGAGGGTGCTACAGAGCGCTCGCTCGTCAGTTAGTTGATGGGACGAGACGAAGATCGACGCGTACTGATCACCCTGCACGAGGTCGTCCGACTTCCAGAACAGTTGTTTGTAGGTGTCGCCAGTACCCGAATGTGAGGTGACGGTGGTTGCGTCCCCGCCGTCGGTGGCATAGCTGGTCTTTACCCAGTCTGAGGAATAATCGAACGTCTGCCTGCAGTTCAGTAGCCGTTTGCAGATCGAACGGACGACTTACCCCGTACACGGCGATTAGCCATCCTGACATGTAATTTTAGCGACGGAACAAAGCGAGAAGAAGTCATTCCGCACCGCTAAATTCCACCTCGAAATAATCGCCGTCATGCGTGCTGCTGCTCACCGTACCCGCGTACTCCTCGTCGGGCGTGCCCCCGACACGCCAGCTCCCTGTGTACGTGACATTGATGCTCTGGTCGTCGAGTAGGACTTTATTCTGTGAGGACCCGGACATTCAGCAGCGTGAGCTCGGCGCTAGAGGTTGACTATCGGGGGCGCACGCCGTCTGGAGAGCGGCAGGATGACGGCGAAGAAGAAAAGAAAGGCTGCACGTCGCGCAAACGTGCTCATTACGATACCGACATTCCTCAAACATCATCACCAGCTCGCCTCTTGGCGACGGACGCCGCCCGGTTTGATTGCGAAACGGGCCGCAAACGACTACGAGCCGCTTGCGTTGGGCGCTGCTCAATTCAGTAGAGCTATTCGAGTGGCAGTGCGAGTGGCTCACCAGTCCATCGGGCTGTCTTCGTTGTATCTGTTGGGTTGTCTTGAGGTGCGCCAGAAGAAGCGGCCATGGAGGCGTCCCCTCTTCGAGTGAACCAGGGCACCAATCTCCTCACAAGCAATGCACTACCATGTAGGTTGTCACGTGCAAGTTGACTTGAATGGTGTTAAGCGCTGCAGAAACCTTGGAATATCGCTCACCTCGACCAGGTACGTGGTCGGCTTGAAACCGCACTCTGGCGCATTGAGACGTATACGATGTCGTACAGTTGTGTACGAGCAGGGGGTTGCTCAAGACTTTAGGTTGCTGCATGATATGACAAGCGCCAGCGCAACTATAGAGGTATACTCGTCGAGCCAGTTTGCAGGAGAGGGGAGATCCACATTCAATCATTGTATGCATACAATAGGATTCGGGCGGTCGTGATCTACTCAGAACAACAAAGCAAGATATCTGGCGCTTGTCAGCTCGAACTCACCAAGACATCATGAAGACACTCACCCAGCAATCAAGATGGAGCCGCCCAGAGGCGTAATGGGACCCAGAATCCTGACTCTACGGTATGACTGTCAACACAAAGCAGTACGGGGTTTATAGAGGTATAGTTGTACGCACTTGTCCCCGAGACCCTTCATCTTCGCGACCGTGAGCGCGAAAATGCTGCCGGAGAACATGGCCGTGCCAGCGATAATGGCGGGACCCGCGAAGGCGTGGCGGGAGAAGCGAGGGTGCATGGACACGGCGAGGAGGGCTACGCCGTTGACGACCTGATTGGAAGGACGCGTTCAGCACGGTGCATGTGGTGTAGATGGTGAGCAGGGATGCAGATGAACGAATGCATATCGAATGGGAGGTGAGTGTATCGTGAAGGGGACATCGGTGCTGAATAGTGGGTAGGGGAAGGAACATACAGCGTAGTGAGCCGCCGTCTCCCATGCATGCACCGTATCCGGCGTAACATTGGGCTGCTTCTTGAGGCCATGGGCTGCACATATAGCTCCCAGTCAGATCTCATGCTTTCACCCAGTTCAGCACGTCCCCGCACCTCCGAAAGCACCCGTAACGACTCCAGTCGCCACTGTACCCGATTAGCAACTCGCATTCCCTGTGATCACCCGGCTCACTGACCAAAGGCAGCGCCAGCGCGCCAGAGCATCGAGGAGCCTTGATTCAGCATGCTGCGCGAGATGAGGGGAGTGAGCTCAGTGAAGGGGTTGCGCATTGGTGGGGATCGGACAATGGTCGGCGGCGTCAAGACGCGTCTACTCGGCACCAGGCGAATGCTTCACCCCGCAGACCATAAGGACTTCTCCATTCTGGACTTGCCGATCTCCCGCACCGTACTTCTTGGACAACGAAAGAGTGCTGTATGGATTGCGAGGAATAGGTATTTTACTGACTATACCGGAAGTAATAAGGAAGGGACTGATGTCGAGGATGGGGTGAATGATGATAACTTCTTCCCCGCACTTCATATGAGCGCAGGGCAAGGGCGCAGGGACTGTCTGCAGTGATATATACGGTAGTTGTAACGCTCTCTACTTGAAGGAGTGCTTGGCGAGCGTCTCCCAGAATTGCTGACCCTGAATCTTAGCGACTTCGAGTTCAAGTGGCGTAGGCTGGCGCGAGCCATCGCCTCCAGCAAAGGTACCTGCGCCCCAAGCCGATCCTGAAATCAAGGGTTAGCCCCCTTAGAGTTCGGGAGGATGCTAAAACCGAGCATACCTCCATGAACCTCTTCGTTGTTGCCCAATTGCTTGAACACCCTGGAGTACCCAAGCGGCACGAAGATCATGCCGTGATGGACGAACGTCGACATAGCGTTCGCTACCGTCATCTCTTGACCGCCTCCCTGGGAAGAAGTGGAGACAAAGGCGCTGCAGAACTTCCCTGACAGTGCGCCTTGAGACCAAAGCTGGCCCGTGGTGTCCCAGAAGGCCTGCGAACGATGTTCAGCGATACGTACCCGGACGCACCATCAGGCAAACGTACCTTCCACTGGCCTGGGAAGTTGCCGTAGCGAGTGGGTATGCCGAAGAGGAACCCATCGTAGTTGCGCAATGTGTCTGCACTGGCGATGGGATAGTCGGGCTTGGGAGGTGCGTGCATTCTATCGAGGACTTCTTTGGGCAGGGTCTCGGGCACTCTGACGTCGCATTAGGTACTCGAATGATACATGTAGCCTTGACACGGACTGGTAGATGCTCGTGGTGCCTCCAGCAGCATGAACACCGGACTTCACGGCTTCGGCGACTACGGACGCACGTCAGCTTGCAGGTTCTCAGTATGAGTGTGGTGATACGCACGCTTGCCAACATGACCGTACATGGTGTATATCACGACTGCGACTCGGGGCGTCATGGTGTGCAAGTGCAAGTCTGGTTTGCGTTAACGAGAGGAATCTTCGATGCCTTGCGCGTTATATTGGTCTTGCTGATGTCATTGCTTTGACAGTGTATTAGTAGGCTTGATGGCCTGCCCAATAGCGTCGACCCTCTCGTAAAGGTTCTGAGAAAACATTGCAAGACAGCACTGAGTGTACAGTCATTGTTCAGGGTGGGCAGTGAGATGGAAACTAAAGACAAGTCCACTTCCGTCTGAATGCCTCGGACCGCTTCACCGCTCGCGTGGCAAAATTTCCCATTTCGTAGATCTCGATCACCGCTGAACGGTCCCCTCCTGCTCGTCGCGGTCACTCAACATGGGGAAGGCTCAGAAGAAGACAGGAAAGGGTCGTCTCGACAAGTACTACAAGCTTGCGAAGTGCGTGCTCGACTTATCTCCCGTGTATCGCGAAGTCTGACAAAACGACAGAGAGCAGGGCTACCGCGCTCGATCTGCCTTCAAGCTCATTCAGCTTAACAAGAAGTACAACTTCCTCGAGACTGCACGATGCTGCATCGATCTTTGTGCTGCACCCGGTGGCTGGCTTCAGGTTGCTAGCAAGCACATGCCTAACAACAGTGTCATCGTCGGTGCGTGTTCCCCCACCCGTGCTATGCGACGGCTCCTCACACTTCAGCAGGTGTCGACTTGGTCCCAATCAAACCTATCCCCCGTGTCGTGACCTTTGCCGCCGATATCACTACCACGCACTGTCGGAACCTTCTGCGCGGCGAACTCAAGGACTGGAAGGCGGACGTCGTACTTCACGATGGTGCTCCCAACGTCGGAACGGCCTGGATCCAGGATGCCTACACCCAGTCTGAGCTCGTGCTCATGTCCCTCAAGCTCGCAGTCGAATTTCTCGTCAAGGGCGGTACCTTCGTCACCAAGGTCTTTCGTAGCACGGACTACAACAACCTCATCTGGGTGTTCAGCCAGCTCTTCGGGAAGGTCGAGGCGACCAAGCCGCCCTCGTCTCGTAACGTCTCCGCTGAAATCTTCGTCGTCTGCCGCGACTTCCATGCCCCCAAGCACATTGACCCCAAGTTTCTCGACCCGAAGCACGTCTTCAAGGATCTCGCCGCCTCTATCCCTGCTGACGACAAGGGTTCCAACTCTAACAACGTTCAGGCCAATGTCTTCCAGCCCGAGAAGAAGCGCCGCAAGCGTGACGGTTACGCCGACGGCGACTACACCCTTTTCCGCACGGCAACTGCCAGCGACCTCATTCGTGGTCCGGATCCCATTGCCATCCTTGGTTCGGTCAATCAGATCACCTTCACTACAGATGAGGAGAAGGAGTGCGTAAAGCTTTAACTTGACTGGCAAATTGTATCTGACCAATTCATAGATGGTTGAAGCTGGAGATCACGAAGCCGGAGATCAAGGCCAACTGCGATGATCTCAAGGTCCTAGGCAAGGGTGACTTCAAGGCGGTCCTCAAGTGGAGGACCACATTGCGGGAGGACGTGCGTCGAGGCTACTATACTACTTACATCTAACTAAATCCATCTGCAGCTTGGCTTGGACAATAAGTCGAAAGAGGCCCAAGAATTGACCGAAACCGTCGAAGTCACCGAAGAAGTCGACGAGGATACCCAAATTCAACAAGAGCTCGAGCGCCTCAACGCCGAAGCCGCCGCCCGCACCAAGCGCCAGCGCCGCCGCGCCAACGAGGTCAAGACCAAGACCATCCAGCGCATGCAGCTCCAAATGACCGCGCCCCTCGACATCGGCATGGAGCAGGCCGACGCCTCCCTCGGTGGCCAGGACGACTTCTTCGACCTCGACGAGGTCGAACGCAGCCGCAAGGGCGCGCGCCGCCTCGCCAAGGCCTCCATGGACGACGAGGACGCGGACTCGGATGAAGCGCCGGAGGAGGAAGAGGAGGAGGAAGAGCTCGTGGACTCGGAGGAGGAGCGCGAGCGGAGGACGCGCGCGCTGGAGAATGATATGGACGGGATGTATACGGCGTATCGGCAGCGGCTGCGCGAGCGGGACGCGAAGTTCAAGGCGAAGGAGGCCAGGATGAACAACCCGGATCGCGAGGAAACGTGGCAGGGTATCAAGGAGGTCGCCAGTGATGAGGAGGACGACAGTGACGCCGAGGGCGCGGGCTGGGCCGCGAGGGAGCAGCGTAAATTCGCGGATGCCGAGGATTCGTCGGACGAGAGCGACATCGATGACGACGACGAGCCATCGTCGAAGCGGAGACGGACGGAGAACGGCGCGCAGCGGGTTGGCAAGGGCAAGCTTGTCCAGTCGTTGGAGGGCCCAAAGATGCCGGAGAGTCAAGCAGCCAAGATTTGGTTCAGCCAGGATGTCTTTGCCGGTATCGACGATGATGTGGAGGACGATGAGGAGGAGAGCGCGGTGGATGAGGACGAGGATGAGGATGTTGACATGGAGGAAGGGGAGGACGAGGTTTGTGCTTCTCCGTCAACGTCGATGGTGCAGCCTACTTACACGCGCCCCAGGGCCCCGTTACTCCAGAAGACGACGATGACTTTGAGATTGTCCCATTACAAAAGGACAGCGATGACGAAGATATGTGGGACGTCGAGGATGACAATGAGGATGCTGTCAACGCAGAGAAGATACGAAGTGCGCCATTCTCCCTCGCTCAGCCCTACTCTCACTGACTTTTATCATAGAATATGGCCTCACCACCGGCGAAACCGTCACCCTCGCTCAAGCCCTCGTCAACCGCAACACCACCAAAACTCACCTCATCAACGACGGCTTCTCCCGCTACTCCCTCAACTCCAAAGACGACCTCCCCTCCTGGTTCCTCGACGACGAGCAGCAGCACTACAAGCCCAACCTCCCCGTCACCAAAGAGGCCATCGCCGCCCTCCGCGCCCGCCAACGCGCCCTCGACGCGCGCCCGATCAAGAAGATCGCCGAGGCGAAGGCGCGCAAGAAGCTCAAGGCCGCGCAGCGCCTGGAGAAGGCGATGAAGAAGGCGGAGGGCGTGAACGAGACGAGCGACCTGAGCGAGCGCGAGAAGGCGGCGCAGATCGAGAAGCTGATGCGCAAGGGCGCGAGCAAGGGGAAGCCAAAGACGGAGGTGAAGGTCGTGTTTGCGAAGGGCGCGCAGAAGGGGGTGAAGGGCCGGCCGAAGGGGGTGAAGGGGAGGTACCAGATGGTGGACGCGAGGGGGAAGAAGGAGCTGCGGGCGAAGAAGCGGGCGGAGAAGGCGAACAAAAAGAGGAAGCGGGCTTAAGCGCGTCCCTCGTCTTGTTCGTCGTGTCTACCACCTATTGCATACCATGTTGTTGTACTTGCACTCATCTTCCATCTATATTCATGTATTCCGGAGCTTACTCAGGCCTCTGTTTGTGATACAAGATTTTCATTCGACCATCTATGGAACCATCTACTCTGGCGAATGAAGTGCACCGATGAAATGCGAAACCACCTTCTTGAACTCGTTCGGCCTGTGAAGGTAGGTTGTTAGCAAAGGCGGTAGCGTGATAGATAACCTCCCACTTCTCCGCATGCACTGTTGGACCAACTTAGCAAACAGTGCACTCTGCGGCAAAGGTCATTCGAGCTCACCCCAATGACTCGTAGGCAACTCTACTAGCTCCATATTCGGGAAAAACTTCTGTGCTTCTGGCAGGTTGTTCTTGTTGATGTACCTTCGACAATCGAGTAAGCCGATAGCGCAAGTACGACAAGAATGTAGTGCGTACTTGCTTTTGCTTCCCTTGATAAAGAGGGTCCTCCCTTGGTATTGCCGTTTGGCGGAATCGTACGGGAAGTCGCCCAACGAGTCGATATATTCCTCCAGAATATGCAAGGGGATCTTGAAGTGCCCGTGCTCGACCAGCGGTGGTACTTCCAGATTAGTGAGCAGGAATTGCAAAACGGAGGGGTCCTAACACGAATCAGCAGAATTCGGGGCGTGATAGCAGAACAAGCACCTTCTCCCATTTCGACAGAATATCCCTGGCTTCCTTGCGACTCTTCACCTTCGCGGCATCAACTGCCTTCATACCCTGGATGTAGCCTTGAAATTCAGGGGATAATGCACCCTTGGAGGGTGCGATATCTTCAACGATGAGGTTCTCGAGCAGACCCTCCGGCAGCTCCGGGTCCAGAGCAACGCTCATGGCTACCTTGCCGCCCCTGGGGATGGTGAGCACTTTACGTGGGGGAGTATGGGCACGCGTACATAGAGTGCCCGAGCAGGGAGACGTTGTTGAGATTGTGTGTGCGCAGGAAGTGCAAGACGTCGCCCGCCATTGCGCTATAGGTCATCGGCTCCTTATGGGGAGAGGTTCCCTGGTTGCGGAGATCCTGCGCACGATGAGCGTGCCGTCTGGGTGCGGAACTCATACTCACCAAGGCATAGACCGGCCTATGCAGCTCATGCGCGAACGCTTTCGACAGCGACATCCAGTTCCGCTTGGATCCGCTGCAGCAAGATGAGCTAGACCCTCACGATAAATGTGCTCAACGCACAATAATCCATGGAGAATGACGAGCGGCTTGTCTGTCTCGTTGCCGGATGGGGGCACATTCTTCGAGTAGTCGAGCTCGACGACGGCCGAGGCGGACGCGTGGAGGCGGCGCGACGACGCGAGCAAGACGCGTCGGGACGCACAGGACCGTGACAGTGAAGGGAAGAGCATGGATGACGTCGATCAATTCACCCGGTCCGGCCACTACCGCGCCACGCGCCAGCCATCAATGCCACCCGACCAAAGAGCCCGCCTCTACTGTATGTGCTGGATGGCCTGTATCGACAGGAGAGGCCAAGCTTGGAATGTGCCTCATTTCTGCCTGAGATGACGGCCAAGTTTGATTTTCGGGAACCGTGTACTTGTTTTGTGCCACAAATTCAGACTACCTAAAGATATCGACGCTCGCCTAGTAGACGGCTACGCGGTGGAAATACTACTCGTAAAAAGCGTAACTACCTACGAAATCACGTTGAAGGTCAGTCGAGCAGTCTAGGAGCCCGAGAGCGGTTCCATTGGACCAATGAACTGCGAGACCACCTTCCTGAAGTCTTGAGGCCTGCGCAAAGAATTATAGCATGGAAACTTGTGTTATGCGCGAGGCTCCCTCACCTTTCCGAGTGTACTGCCGATCCAGCGCCAGCTCAAGAAAGGTAACTTGACGATATGGAGACATACTTACCCCAATGACCCGCCGGAAGTTCCGTCAATTGCATACTCGGAAACATCTTCTGTACAACCTGTATGTTGCGCTCGTTCATATACCTGGCTATTTCAGCGATCAGCGATGCCGAGGCGCACTGTAACTCACTTGCTCTTTGTGCCTCTGATAAAGAGGGTTCTTCCAGACCATTGCCGCTCGCCAGGCGCGTATGGGAAGTCGCCCATGCTGTTTGTATATCCTTCCAGGATGTCCAGGGGGATCTTGAATTGCGCATGCTCGACCCGAGGTGGCAATTCCAGATTGGTCAGTAAGAACTGTAGAATGGCGGGGTCCTGAGCCGGGGTTAGCTCAATTATTACCCTCAGCATGTCGGAGGACTACACCTTCTCCCCCTTGGCAAGTATGTCGGTAGCTTCCTTACGGGTGGTCACTTCGGCAGCGTTGACTGCCCTCATGCCCTTGATATATCCAGGAAATTCGGTCAGTTGAGCCCCCGCAGCCGGAGCAGTATCCTCGACGATGAGATTCTCCAGTAAGCCGTCCGGAAGGTTGTAATTGAGCGCGACAGTCATGGCGACCTTGCCGCCCCTGGAAGCGTTCAGAAAAGCGATCCCACGCCTCATCCTTATGCACTCACATCGAGTGCCCCAGTAGAGACACGTTCTTCAGCTGATGCTTCCGGAGAAAATGCAGAACATCCTCTGCCATTGCACTGTAGGTCATGGGTGCTTTATGAGGGGATGCACCATGGTTGCGAAGATCCTGTGGGCCGTTCGCGAGTGCACACTGTGAGAATAGACCAGGATGAAAAACATCCTACTCTAGGTTGAGTTTCGTCGAGCGGTGCCTCCAACCTGTGGTAGGTTGATTGCTAGGTTGATACGTCAACCTAGCAATCAACCTGCGCGCGTCTACTGTACAGAGCATGATATACAACCTGTCCTTCAGCCCTTTTTAGGTTGATTGCCATTGAGAAGAGATTCGTCATATTCACCATCACAAGTCTCCTTGAGTCAAGTAAAAATGAATGTATTAGGTCGGAACCTCCTCTGCGAATACAGCACGCGCGAGATCTCCACTGCGGTCGATGATGGCCCAGCGGTCGATGTCGTAGATACGTCCTACCAACGCTTGCACGGTCTTGACATCAACGAAGTCAAGCTCGCCCTCCCGCTTGTAGTACTGTATGTCGAGTCGTGCATGAGCTGTCTCAACCTTACAGCGGCGTATTGCGGCAATGACGACCTCGTTGCCGCTATCAACCCCGACCGCAGCGGCGGCAGCATCGCTCGGGAACTTGACGAGGTAGAGACACCTGAGCTGGCCATAGAATGTGCCGGATTCGAGTTCGACGGGCTTGCGACGTGCGTGTTCATCGACATCAAAATATGCCTGATACTGAAATCATATAAGCCTTCAAGCTATCATGTAGGCGCGAAGAGTAACTCACACGAACAAAAGACGCATCGCGCGAGTCGTCGCGCGTGGCTCCGAGCTCACTGGCAGATATCGTATCCCCCGCGTCCGAGTCAACCCGTCGCAGCTTGCCGTACCGCACGATTTGCGCATTGCGAAGATGCGGGGTCACATCTCGAGGGCGCAGATCAGCTCGCGTGGCCAGGGCAGACGTGATACCAGTTCGTATGCCGACTGGGATTGCAGTTCTGTCGTCTTTTGGAGGGAGGAGAATACAAGAAGGATCTACGGGTATGTTCAGCTAAAAGTTACGAGACCTGCTTGCCAGGCTCGTCTTACACCGGTGGACCTGTAGCAAGATCAGACGTCCAAGCGGTCGATCAAAAGTTAACTCCGGATGTCGACTGTTTAGTTGTTCAAATTCTTCATTCAGCTTCGTTCATTTCCTTCCGAAAAAATCTGACATAGTCCTTGGCTCATACCCTCTCGTTCATTCGAGTAACAAGCTCTAATTCGCGTTCGATGTGAAGCTTCGGAAAACGTCTGCACACGTGCGGCCCCGGCAATGTCCGTCAGCACAGCCCCATCACTCGACGCACAGCCACAACATTCGACAGGCGAGTGTTTCGTTGTCTCTTCATTGGCTCAAATCCTTCAAAATACTCTAGAGCATAGCTAGTGTATCTCTAGGTATCTCGTCTCGATTTTGTTGTGATTGACGTTGATGAACGTGCTCTGTCTCACAGATGGCACGGCTTTCTCGGGCCGATCTTCCTCGTCGATTTCTGCTTGGTCTCGTCCCGCGACGTCCAACTGTGTCCCAACTACCACAATGCCCCCTGGCTCGTCTCCCCATCCATCGCAGGTGACCCTCCGCACTCCCCCCTCTCACAAACATCTCGAAGAGGCCGCTTCCGACGCGCTCGGCCACGATTGCGTCCCATAGAACGATGACACACGATCCGGACGAGGAGGGGGGGGTTCCGGGTGCGTGAACGCCTCCCGTGCTCGATTCTATTACTAATCACTTCTTTATCGTGACGCGGAGAGGGGAGAGGGGGACGAGCGAGAGCAGGACGGGACGGAGGAAGCGGGGCTAACATTGCGCCGCGTTCCCGTTATTCTCGCCCTCAGATGCCGTCTGAGGGCGCGAGGGTCCTGCGTATGGCGCGCTATGCGTCATAGGCTAGCCCTCAATAGCCCTTTGGCTGTCGCGCGTCGACCCACGCCCCTGCTAATAGCGATCAGCGCGGGTGGCGGGCAGCGCTCATCCTTCCCCACCCCTCCCTGCGGTCGTGGACAACCGCCTCTGCTGGGATTCGCCGCGTCGCGCAGGATGCACTCGGTGCGACCGAGCGTACTGCTCAGCGTATCGGGCGCGGGGCCGACCCACAGCTTGCTCAGCACTCGCAGCGCGTTCCGCGCACCCGCCTCCTTTCCCAGGCTGTCGCCGGGGATGAGCTGAGGGGCTGGGGAGGCTGCTCACGCGATCGTATCCATGCCTTGGCAACGCGCGGATGCGGCGGGGAGGTCCAGGGCCCTAGGTGGCGGGCGAGCGCGTACTCACCGCGATCCTCGTGCCACCCCAATGGGTGCCGCTGCCTTTCACCTTCAGGTGATGCCCTCGACCTCATGTGCTTTGCGCCTTTCGCGTTTGCGGGAGCGCAGAGCAACACCCCTCCCCCTCCCTCCCCCCACCTTGCTACGTGACGACCGCGGACGCGTCCTTGGACGCGAATGGGTGCACGAAGCTTGGGCGGCTTCTCATCCCGTTCCTCACCATCCACTTGCGCTCCTGCGCACTGTGCAAGTAGCAGGAGCCCGAGTGGGCCTTTTCTTCGCTCTACTCATTGTTCTCCGTAGTCTTGCGGGTCTTGATCCTCCTCCTCCACCTCTATCCGCTCCTTCCAGAGACCACTCTGAGGCGGGCCGCTCTGCTGGTCCGGCCATCCAGCGCACCCACAGTACGTGTCTCGTCCTCAACACCACTACGTCACCCACGTCGTCTGCCCGTCCCTCCTATGCCCGTGCTGTGGTCGCCACGCGCGGGCGGCGGCGCAGCACCTCACGGCCTCAGATAGTGGATGGCTTGTCTCAACAAGGCAGGTCTCGTATATCGCCCCGGGGGCCACTTAACTAGTATTGACCCGAAGGATGTACAAGTCATAACGTACAGGCAGCTGGCGCATACGCGCCTTGCGGAATCTTGTTTCGAGGAGCACGTAGTGCCATCTCGTCTGCAGTACCGTAGATCGCGTTGATCTGCTCAAGTTGGGCGCATTCAACGACGAAGCGGTCGAGGGAGGCGTAGGGGAAGCGACGGCTCTTAATCGCAGGTTGAAGAGCACCACAATAGCGCTCCATAGGGAAGGCCCAGTAGCACCAGGCGGGACCCATATTCTCGATGCTGTCGGCGATGTGGAGCAGCGCGTGGATCGTAAGGGGGCACGCTGACAAGCGACGCGGGTCATGCTGGTAGTAGATACTGCAGATGCTCATCAGTTTGCATAGGGCTGGAGAATGAGACAACGAACCGCTCGTAGGCTACGACCCACTCCTTGAAGCCTTCTCGTACTTCGTGAATCTCATCTGTGGTGATTTCGAACTGCAGGCACTTGTTGATGAGGCAGACAAGGTCGACAAAGTGCTTGTAGTATTTGGGCTTCGAAAAGCGGCGCTTGAGGACCACAGGGCCGATGTACGACATCCAGAACGAAGCCATCTCCGCCGAGAAGTTCGACCGGTCCAGAGCGATGTTGGGCACCCGAGGACCATAGGCGGAGGGATAGTACTGGCCTGCATTGGCAGTATCGAGACCGATAGCTTCCCAGATCGCCTGCGTGAACTGGTACGCCTCCTTCCCATCGTCGAGGCCCTTGAACTCGCCTGTCCAATGCTTGATAAGGTTAGGGAGGAGGTTCTCGAAGATGAGGTGCATGAGATCGTAAGGAGCACAATCGGGTAGAGTCAGGGAGGGGAGGTGGGAGAGAGCGGGGATGCCTTTGATGCCATACTCGCGGGATAGTGCCTCTGCTTCTGCGTTTGTTGTAGCAGCCTGAACCTCCTTCGCCTGCGCCATGAAATCCGTATGCGTACGGAGGGGAAGATCCAGCGGGTCGTAAGCAGCAACATGGTCGTCAGGAGTCTCGAGGACCTTGGGATGCGACGATCGGTCCAGTGGGACGTAGAGGACACGGGACTTGTCCTCGAGACTGGGGACTCCTGTTATATGGCACATACGACATGGACTGTAGCCATTGTGCCCCTTCATGCGGAGAACGAGGGAAACGGCAGGAATATCGCCGAAGACGAGGATGAGGTAGGCTCGGAGGATGAACATCTCCTTGGCCAGTACATCGAATGCGCTCACTCCTGCGGCGAGCTCCATCATCTCCTGAATGAATGGCCACAAGAACGAGTCCATGTCGTGGGGCTTCTTCGGCCCCGGAACGACACCCAGGCTGAGGAGCATATCATCGTGGTTCCGCAGCTCGGGAGGAAGATTGTAGTTGACGGCGATGAGAGGCCATTGATGCGCCTGGCGCTGAAAAACGCATTTTTGTGCCCAATATCAGAGCGATATGGCGTCTTTAACTGGCTTGACCATAAGGACTCGTATATACCTTACGACGTCGTGACTGTACAACGGGCGCGTCGTAGGTATTTTACCGAGCTATTATCAGAGAAACACTGTTTAAAAGGGCCATTTGGGAGGCATCTGACCGAGAATATACCCAGAAGACACTTCGAGGACCACTTAGAGCTCCCTTAGCCTTTCCTACCCTGGGATGTGCGACGGGGATGACATCTATTGGCTCTTAGAAGGGGAATCATCCGGGCAGTAGGCGTACCTAGCGTGCTGCTCACCCATGTCGAACACCATCCTCGCTCGGTCTTATCGCTTGTCAATTTGGGCTACTGGACAGTTGTATCTATGAGGTAGCAAGGTGCGAGGACCTCATAGGACCGCAGCCGCGGTCCTCACCCCATCGCCGGGACGCGCACGAGTCACATGACCGTGTCAACTCGAACACTCACGTGCTTCGGACTTCGCCGACCGAACAATTGTGCGAAGTACCGCGCCTCACCGCGCGGTCTTCCACTCGGCTTCGGGCACGATACAAGCGAACACAGCTGTCTTGGCGGCAGGCAACGACTGCCGAACCTATCTATACCAGAAAGGCGTCGAAGCTTAGGCGGACCCGGACCAATATGACTCGGAATTTCAACACGCAGCGCTATCCGCCATCGGCCTCACCGGAGAACGTGCGACGGCCTCGGAACGACGGAACGCGGCAGGCCAGTTGAGGGGAGGAAGGACAGGAATTGCGAGAAGCTGCTGATGCGCCTCGCGGGAATTATCCGAGATCGGGAAGTTTTCACCAACTCGAGTCATTTTGCATCGGCCGTGCGCCGCCCTACCTACCGTATATATACCGAAACGTACCTACAGTTCGGGGACTTTCGCCCACATCAGGAGCAGAGCCCTTGCAGAGCCCACACTTTGCATACAATACCAGAACAATCAGACCAGAAAAACCTTGAGAAATCTTTGAGAAATCCCTTGAAAAGACCATCTCCTTGCGTGATTACTTCTGAGAAACACTTGTGAAAAGCCTGACGAGCTGCCGCGGTCGAGGAACTAGCGCTACTTCGCGAACTTCCAAAACTCGTCTATTTGTTGGCACTATATATTCCCTAGCAATACAAAAACACGGACTCGCTGCGCTTCTAACGAAGTAACTGTCTCGTCTTTGGGTTGTTTGTGTGGTCGTTTGGCGACTGTTGAGCGATCTCTTGCCACCTTAGGCGCGCTACTTCTCTGAAGCGTACGATCCCATCATCTGGAGCCCACCGCGAGGGAATATATTTGTGCTTGACGTGTAGTCGAGTGACAGACCGTTGGGGTGACTTCTAGCGAAGTATCCTGTGTACTTTCGAGTACCACCATCGAGACAAAGTCTTAGTAGAGAACTACAAAAACGGCTCCTGGACGAAAATCCAACCTCGAAGCCGAACAGCCTGACTGGGACAGTACCTTAACTGGCCGGTCGCAGCGAAAAGCTAGAGAAAGAGCCCGTTTAGCCGCAGTCGACGCCGCGAAGCAATCAAAGCGCGCTCAAGCTAGACAACTAGAGACACAGTCCTCTCAGACTGCCTCAACCTCGCTGCCCTTACCTGGCGCGTTCCCAGAATCCCCACCTCATCATTCTCCTGTTACTCATCCTCCTACACCTATCACAACTCCCACTCGTGGTACTTCAACCACTCCAGATCCTCATACACTCGGTGCAAATCGCACTACTTCTACCGCTTCGTCTCTTACTCCTCTTACAACTTCTCCTGCGCACTCTGTGCCAGCCTCTCCAGTTCCTAGTCTATCTGAATTGATTCCTTCGCGTCCTCTATCTGTTTCTTCCAACCACTCTCCCGATATAACTACTGAACCGACCGTCGAACCCGAAACTTCTCTCCGTACCGTTACTGTCCCGAATCCAGCTACCGAACACTCTACTATAGATACTATGACTCGTCACTACTCCCACACGGCGAGCGACGCGCCCCGCTTCGAAGAGGAGCGGGACGTGCTCAACCTCCCGACCATCCTGCGAGACCTTCTCGCGTACATGAAAGATCATGGTCTCACGACCTTCGAGCAGCAGCGTGCTAAGATAGCCCTGCACGCCAAAGATCGCCATGTACGCGCCCTTTGGGAACAACTCGGCGCTGCGCCGGAGATTACCAACTGGGAAGAGCTAGAAACAGAGATACTTGCTCGCTACCCCGAGATAGCAGGCGGCCAGACAGGTACGCTCGCGGAACTGCACAAGATCTGCGCGCAATACCGAGGCCTGACTGCCGAAGATGGGGCGCGTGGAAATGCTTTCCTCCGTCGCTTTGAGCCAACGGCTATGCTGTTGATTAGAGGGACTCATAATATCACGAACTTTGAGCTGTGTTCGAGACTCGCGTCCGTTTGCAGCTCTGAGCTTCTGAACACGCTCGACACCATCCTCACTGGGAGAGCCAGCCGGTTGCTGGTCCCGGGTGCCGCGAATGTGGAAGCGGAGGAGGGCGAGGCGGCTGTCCCGGTGGAACGCCCCATTAACACGTCCATCGTGGAGGGTGGCTACCGCTGGCAGGACGTGGCCTTGTGCATGAGAGAAATTTGGAAGCGCGCGTATACCGCGTCCGCCCATGGGCTCGGAGGCTTGTACCCTTCTAAGGGTGACAGCCGAATCGTCGAGTCCCCGGATTCCAACTCGAGAATTGTGAAACTAGAGCAAGAGCTACATGAACTGTCCGATCGCACAACAAAGCAAGGTCGCGAGACTAAGGCAGAACTTCGTAGTCTTCAGACCGAAGTGAAGGCCGAAATTTCGCAAGGCATGCAGAAGAGCGACCGCACGTTCGATATGATACAACAGACCATACAACGTCTGACCAACCAGCTCGCGCTGTCCAACCAAGGGGTTAGCGCTCCTGGACCGGCGGCGGCTGGAGCTCCACCGAATTTTGGGAATGCTCGTCCCAACTATCCCGGTTCCATGAACAGGCCGTTAAACCAGTTTGGCGGGGGCGGTCGTAATTATCAACGGCCGGCCCTCACTTGCAATTGGTGCGGACTGCCTGGACACATTATGAGCAACTGCTATGACTATCAGAACCTTGTCAAGTCGGGCGAAGTTGTAGCCGACGAGACAGGTACGATACGCGCTAAGTCGGGGGAAGTAATTCCTCGCCGCACTGGTCCGTTGGATAGCCATATGAGAGAGAAATGGCAGCAGATCAAGTCGCAGTCTACTAATACGTACGCTACCGCGTCGTATATACAGAATGCTGGACTAGCTGCTGACGATACAAACTGGAACGCTGGAGTTGCGAACCCGGAGTTCGTGCTGGACAGCGGGTATACGGGAAGCGCGTCTTATGCCCCTTACGAGCAGAGCGAGCCCTACTACCCGACGTCGCAAGCGCACCGTCCGCCTGAGCAGTACAATGTTGCTGGCTCGTCGGATCAGCCTCAGCAGGGTTTTTGAGGAGTTCAGGGATTCGCGCCCAGCATCCCTACCAGCGCTGGGGGCGCGATGAGAACCCACAGCAATCAGCGCCCGTTATGATACAAAATATGAACAATTCTTTAGCAAACAGCGCACCGCAAGGTGTGCCGGATAAAAGCTCGAACTCGCGGCCTGCCCCGCCTCGTCAGGACGGGAAGGCGCACCCTTTTAGAGATATAGCCGACGTACGCTTTGTACCACGAGATCAAAGACCTGCAGCGCTTCCGGTGAAACCGAGCTCACCTCCGCAAGGAGCCAGCAAGGATAATCAGAAGGCGGCCGCGGCCGCGAAGCCGCAGGCTCCGGTACAGCGAGCGACGGACCCCGAGAACGTACTCAATAAACTACTTGACACTCAGAGCCATACCTCCGGAATTTCGCTGCGCGATATTTTGGGGGTCAGCCCTATGCTGCAGGACCTGCTTCGGAAGGCTCTTACGCGCCGTACCGAGGTAGTGGAGAACTTTGGGCAATTGTTTTACAAGAACCTAATCAGAGAAGCCTATCAGACAAAACAGCTGGATTATTCGAACGGCATCCGACCGAACCTTGACGCAGCGTCTGACTCAAGTGAGCCAGTTGTGCCGGTGGATTGGAAGGCCTTGAGAAACGAGCTAATTACCACCACTGTGGAGCTGCCCTCGCATCATGCCGAGAAAGTCCCTATCGGTTCCTTCGTGCAAGTCGACGCTACCTTGGAGGTCTACCAAAGCCTCACTGAGCGCGAGAAAGCGGGGGTAACCTTTGCGGGAGACTCAACTGGCTCGTTGAGGACAGTGTGGCCCAATGTGAATAAAAATGGTTCAGACGAAGGCATACTGGATAGTGGCTCCCAAATCGTGTCAATGTCGAAAGACTGCGCGCGCGACAAGGGTGCTTCATACGATCCTACCGTAACTATCCGGATGCAGAGTGCCAATAACCAGATCAACTCGACGTTGGGCCTAGCGCGCAATATCCCGTTTGATTTCTCGGGCATCACGATATACCTTCAGTGCCACATTTCGGACACCAATGCGTTCAGAATATTATTAGGGCGACCTTTTGATATGCTGTGCGAGTCGGTGGTCTCGAACGACCGGTTTGGCAACCAAGAAGTGACGATTACTTGTCCGAACACGGGCAATAAAGTTACTATGCATACATATCCAAGGGGCACTGTACCCGAGCATGTACGCGCCGAGCCGGGTTTTCCGAGCGCTTCTGCGAACTGATTCCTAGTCTCGAGGATCAGGGAGAAGCGGCACTACAGATCGAGATGGACGAGAACGGCGAAATAGCGATAACGAGCGTACACTACCCAGAAAATTCAAAAACATATGATAGAACAGCGCTACAGACGGCTTTCTTGCTGGCTGCATTGGAGGCTGGGCATGGTGGCGAAGGCGAAGAGTGGGACACGCTGAGGAGCTTCCTACACGTCGAATCGCCCGGCGACGCCGAAAAGGCGGAGCACGAAGACGTCCTGAATAATCAGACTACAGAGAAAACGAGCTCAGAGAAACCAGCCAGTACCACCTTTCAGTACGATCAAGCGCTAAAGAACGCAGCGGATTCCCTGCCGCCCGCGTCAGTGCTGGCTGCGAAATACAAACCCGTCGCGCTCAAGGTGCGACCGGTATATGAGACACTGCCCCAGAAATTTAGAATAATCAGAAAAATCGTGGGCGATCCTGAAAAGGACATGCCGCCGCTACCTACTCATCCGCCGGATTTTACTCCTACCGGGAGGTACACAGCGGAGCGGAAGGCAGCGGTTGACAAAATGTATGAGGACGGCTTCTTGACCGAAGAAGAATTGAAGCTGGTTCATTATATATACATGATACACGATAAAGCTTTCGCTTGGACGGACGAAGAGCGGGGGTGCTTTCGGGAGGATTTCTTTCCGCCAGTAGACATTCCTGTGATTCCCCACAAGCCTTGGGTGGAGCGTAATATCCCCATCCCTCCTGGCTTGTACGAGCAAATTTGTGATATCATTCTGAAGAAGATTAAGGCCGGAGTTTACGAGCCTTCGAATTCTTCCTATCGCTCGAAATGGTTTTGCGTAGTAAAGAAGGATGGGACGAGTCTCCGACTTGTACACAGTCTTGAACCGCTTAACGCAGTGACTATCGCGCATTCAGGCGTGCCGCCGGCGACCGATGGCCTTGCCAATTGGTTTGCGGGGCGCGCGTGCGGTGGAATATTAGATTTATTTGTCGGGTACGACGAGCGCCTCCTCGCTGAGGACTCGCGCGACCTCACGACATTTCAAACCCCATTTGGAGCGTACCGGCTCAGGACCTTGCCCATGGGCTGGACTAACGCCGTCCCCATATTCCATGACGACGTAACCACGATCTTACAACCGCTGATACCGGACATCACGATCCCTTACATCGATGATGTGCCGATTCGCGGCCCCCGGACGCGGTACGAGCTCCCAGATGGGGGATACGAAACCATACCTGAGAATCCTGGAATAAGGCGTTTTGTGTGGGAACACCTCAACAACGCGAACCGAGTGATTCAACATATGGAATATTCAGGTGGAACCTTCTCGGGAACTAAGTCCTGGATCATAAGCCCGGAGACAGTAGTGGTCGGCCACCGCTGTACTTATGAAGGCAGGCGTCCCGAAGACAAGCGCGTAGATGTGATACAGAATTGGGGGCCGTGCAAAGACCTCTCGCAGGTCCGGAGCTTTACTGGCTTGACCGGAGTGTACCGTATGTTCATACGCGACTACGCTACGATCGCGGACCCCTTAGTGAGACTTACGAGAAAAGATGTACCTTTTGTCTGGGAGTTGCCGCAGTCTTTTGCGCAAGAAGCGCTCAAGAAGGCGCTTCTCGAAAGCCCGCCGCTACGGCCAGTTGACTATAAGATGGAATGGGACACCATACTTGGCGTCGACACCTCTTATATGGCCGTGGGGTGGTTTATACAACAGACAAACCCAGAGAACGAGAAAGAATTCTACTACTGTCGCTTTGGGTCCTTGCTATTAGACGAACGTCAGGCGCGATTTTCGCAGCCGAAGCGTGAGTTATTCGGTGTGATGCGTGCTTTACAGAGCGCGTACTACTGGCTAGCAGGATGCCGCCGACTGACAGTGGAGACTGATGCGAAGTTCATCAAAGGAATGCTCAGTAACCCGGGAAGCGGTCCCAATGCGACCGTGAACCGATGGATTGAGCAGGTCCTTTTCTTTCACTTTAAATTGAGACACGTTCCGGGACGATCCCATGCCATCGCAGACGCCTTGTCGCGCCGGCCAGGGTTTCCCGGGGACCCACCGCAAGAAAAGAGCGAAGAAGATGACGATGAGCCGCAGGGACTTGAAGGCTTCGAAGTGAAGGATGGTGGTGTCGATGACACCCTCCCTTTCGAGGAGTTCAAGGACCAGATCGATACGCGAGGAGGATACATATACTCCGAGTACGTCGGGACAGCTGCGAAGGACCTCTTCCCGAGGCAGCAGCTGGCGAAGCAGCTCTTCCTCGAATTTAAGGAAGACTGGCTCAACCCCACGATCGATCAGACGTCCCCTGGCGTCTTCGTCTTCAACCAAACCTTACTGGGAAGGAAAGCGCGCACCCGCGCTCAGATTCCCGACCCTCTCGAGAACTTGAATGACGAGGAGACGCTGGCAAAGTACCGAGAATTGCCGCGCTCCGACGAGCATATTGAGCTAGATGAAAAACTATGGGAATTACTCGACTATTTCAACTGGAACGCAGTCGATATTAATCCTATCCTCTGGGACGAGCTAGCTGTCTTAGCCGCCGACTACCGCATGACCAAAACCGGTCGTATATACAGGAAGTTGGCACATGGCGAGACTGCCTTGCTGATCTGGCCGCGCGACCGATGGTTCGTTATGGACGCGGCCCACGCAGCTGGCTTGCACAAGGGTTTTGAAGAGCTACATTCCCTCCTATCCCAGCGCATGTGGTGGCCGGGTATGGAAGAGGATATCAAGAATTACTTGGAGACCTGTGATACCTGCGGGGGAAAGGCGCCAAGACCTGAGAACCTGCCAACGCAGCTGTACCTCAGCAACGGGGTCCTCTCCGTGTCTCTGAATAACGACACCGACGCGGTCGTCGTGGCTGGGAGACACCATTTGGAGCGCGAATTAAAAGAGAAATATGATATACAGCCGGCGGATGCAAAGCGGGTGGCCGCTTTAGTGGTCGCCGACATGGCTGAACGAGCCAGGAGGCCCGCCGCAATACCCGAGGCAATTGAGCTAAACAATTCTGAGTCTTTCCCCTGGGGAATGACTCAGGAATTGCCGGCTTGGGCCGTGGAGAAACCCTTGCCTAATGGGGCAGCTCGCGATACGCGTGATTTCACGTACGAAATCGAGAATGCGCTGCGGGAAACGCACGAGTTCAACGAGTTGCGTGCCAAGCAATTGAAGGACTCGGGTGTAGAAGAATCGAGCGAGACCTACGCCATGTTTATACACACTCCGGACCCTCTGTCCTCTTTTGAAGACCGCGTGGTTGAGGCTACGCCTCCCAAACGCGATCCCAAGAAGGAGGGCTTGGACCGGGACTTAGCGAACTGGCTTGAATGGATCCGCAACCCGGACCTGCGCACCAACGAGAAAGCCTATGAGAAAGCGGTACCCATCGCGGAGCGCTTGAAGGATAAATTCTTCGCCTCCGGACGGAAACTATATAGAGAAAACAAGATAGGCGTGCCTCAGTTGTACGTGCCTAAGGATCAGAGGATGGAGATGCTGCACCAAGCCCATGACAGCTTGGGGCATCGAGGGGTATACGCCACTCAGCGTCTATTAGACCTCAGGTTCTACTGGCCCGGTCTCGAGGACGATGCCGAGTGGTTTGTGCAGACTTGTCAACCTTGTCAAGAGCGCCTTAAGGCGCTAGCACGAATTCCACCGGTAATAACCTTCACGCCGTCTCTGTTCCAAGTTATACATGTGGATACTATGCATATGACGCCGGCTTCGCGCGGTTTCAAGTATATTATTCATGCTAGAGATAGTCTTACGAACTGGGTCGAAGGGCGTGCTTTGCGCGTCGAAAACGCGGTCAGTGTCGCTAAGTTCATACTCGAAGAGATAATATGTCGATGGGGCTGTCCGGAGGAGCTGGTTACCGACAACGCTTCGCTTATGAAGTCTGCCATGCGGTGGATTTCGAGGGAGTACGGTGTAAAGCACGTCCGGATCTCAGCCTACAATTCACAAGCCAACGGCAAGGTGGAGCAGGTACACTGGGACATCCGTCAGTCGCTCGCGAAGGCGTGCGGGGGACAGTTGAACAAGTGGTTCCATTACCTCCATTTTGTATGGTGGGCGGACAGAGTGACTATCCGGAAGCGTTTGGGGGTGTCGCCTTATTTCTTAGTAACGGGTGCGCACCCCATCCTTCCGCTCGACCTAGTCGAGTCGACCTGGCTGGTTGATTACCCCGGTCGTGCCTTGTCGCTGGAAGAGCTTATTGGCTTGCGAGCGAAGGCGCTGGCAAAGCATCACGCTGATATTGATGCCGTGCGCTCGCGCATTGACAAGGAGAAGCTAGAGCGACTAAGAAAATATGAAAGAGAGTATGGAAACGTCATCAAGCTACTGGACTTTAAGCCCGGGAGCTTGGTGCTGGTCCGTAACACCAAAATCGAGAAATCACACAGCGATAAACTTGCGCCTCGATACCACGGCCCCATGGTAGTCATAAGACGCACCACCGGGGGATCGTACATCCTGGCTGAGTTGAACGGGACAGTATTCCAAAATAAAGTTGGAGCTTTCAGGGTGCTTCCCTATCGCTCGAGAACGTCGATCGTCCTGCCCGAGAACATACACGACCTCATTGACCTGTCTCCGGCTGAGCTGGACGATCTTCTGCGCTCGCAAGAGCCAGTAGACGCCGAAGCTGCCGAAGTTGGCCCGGAGGAGTTGGCAGGGATGGATGACGATGTATTGGCTGAAATCACAGAGAGAATGCCTGAGAGAATAGACCGGGATGTGTCCTTCCCAGAAGAACGCGTCCGGCCAGAGGGCGACCCGCTCGGGACAGTTGAACCTGGAGACTCGTCCTCTGTTGACGGGGACTCGGCAACGGCCGATGGCCATAATGATGGTAACCCCTTTAAGGAGGCCCTTCCGGAGGAGCCTGACAAGGAGATGTCGCCTGAGCCTGAAGCTGGCGCACCGAGGCGGTCAAGCCGGAAGGCTCGCCCTGGCGCAGAGATGAGAGAAAAAGGTGGAAGAGAAGCGATCATGAAGCGCCTGAAGTAGAGGGGAGCTTTGCTGGTCTCCTACTCGCGGACCGGAGCGTTGTTGTTCATACGCGCAACTGGTTCGTAGACTTCAAGGGGAGCGATCGCTTGCCATGCAAAACAAACATGACATTGGTCGCGTAACCGAAGCTACGCGCCTTTTCTACGAAACAACGAGAACTCGGTAATTACGCGTACGCTAATCGGTATCTAAAGGTCCGAGTACGGTAATTGCCACACAGCCAGACAACCCGCGCGCCGTGAAAACACGGATAGACTTAAACTAAAACACAGAAGGCACTCTAGTGTGCCGGAAGTAATAAAAGAGTCAGGAAGCGGGAGAAGAGAAACAAGAGAGAAGAAGCTACGCCACTTTGAGGCGATAACAGCGGAAGGTCTACTCCTCAGCCTCCTTGGCAGAGGTGCGCGTCGAGCGGCTCTTGCGAGCGCGGCTAGCAGAGCGGGACGCGGGGACCTCAACCGCGGGGACATCGACCTCCATCGCGACGGGAGCGTCGCCGGCGGTAGGCTCGACCGGGACAGCAGAGCTCGACGCCTCCGCGTTCGCAGAACCGGGCTTCTTGTCGGCCAAGAAGCGCTCCCGCTCCACGGTCTCCAAGATGTGGCGGGACTCGGGAGAAGCGCCGCGGATGTCGCGGACGCGGTCGTAGTCGGCTTGGTATGGACCTTCGTCCATCCCCTGACGGCGGGAACCCGGCACGTCAGCCTCCTCAGACTAGTGAGAATTATGAGCAATAGAGAAGACATTGAGATAAAAGCGCGCTCACCGGATCCCGACGGAGGTGCTCATCCCGGCGAATCGCCTTCCGAAGCAGACTCTGAAGGTCCTGGCGGGCGCTGTCGAGCTTCTCGTGCGAGGCGAGTAAGCACCCGATGAAGGCGGAGCTGGTGTTCAGATGGTCTGTGACCTCCCGAAGGGCGTGGTACAGGCTGTCCTGGTGGAGGTCGCCGTTGCCGTACTGGTCGGTGGAAACCACCTGAGCGCGCGCCCAGATCTCCTTCGACGTATCAAAGGAGCGCTGCGCGCCGATGCCCAACGTCTGCTCGATCAAGCGAGAACCGTTGACGCCCTCGAAAGCAAGGCCGGTGCGCCCGAAGTGCGCGACGCCGGTGTCGGAGACGTCGAAAATCTGCACCTGCGCGGACGAGTCAGTGAGACAGTTCGGCGCAGGAACTGCTTGAGATACATACCTTCGAGGGAGGTGCGTCTGTGCTGGACTCAGCCGAGCGCTTCGAAGGGACAGAGGGGGTGGAGGGGTCGTCAGCGGACACCTTCTCCTTTTTCTTGCCTCGCTTCGCCTTTGCAGCTGTCGCAGACGCGGCAGCAGCGGCAGTCGAAGAAGGTTGAGCGGCCGCGGAAGTCGCCAAGGCGGGATCTACGAAGTCCGTGGCGGCGACAGCGGGATCGGCGGGGGCAGCCATGCTGGCAGCCGGTGCCGTAGTCGCTTCGACCCCGGTCATGGCGCTACCGGATGGCCTCGAACCTGCCTGAGTCGCCTTGATCTAAGAGATACATGAGCAAAACGAGAATATAAGCGTAAGAACACCACGCACCTGCGTCATGGCGTTCTGCAGGGTCGTCAACATCGCGTCGAGACCATGATAGTATTGGTCGGTCGTCTCGTGCGGACCCACACTCCGCTTGGCGATGATAACGATGTTCATGGCCGTTGACACCACGTTATACTGGGCCAGACAGAGCGGAGACGTAGTGATGACCTGACAACGATGTCAATTGAGCGAAAGAGACAAGACAGCTGCATACGCACTCCGATATCGTCCAGTATTGCCGCGCAGGCAGCCTTGTGCATGGGGTACGACGCAGCGACGTTGACATCGTTCATGTCATACGACATGGCCTGCAGCATCTTCTGCTGGGACGAGAGAACCTCGCGATCGCAGCCGAAGAGCGCCAAGAGGCGAGGACGCATCGTGGGGCCGGCGGTGAAGGAGAGCTTCGACATCTGCTTGTTGACGTTCTGACGAGTGAACGGGAGGGCCATGGTGGGCACTTCGTTGTCGTCCGCTGCTGTCCCGTCCCCTTATAAATGAAAAAGCGAGAAAAATGAGAGATCGCCGACAGGAAAATTTCCCTGACCATATGTCAGCCTGAGACTCCGTGACCGCTGCTGGTCTCACCCGCGCATCGGCGAGGGCGCCGATTTCTTTGGTGTGGGGGAGATGCCCGGTGGTCTAGAGCATTGTCAATCGGTCGGACAGAGAGAAAACTTTTTTCGCGCTGCGCTACACGGCTAAGAGCCGCGGAAGCAAGTTGAACTTCGGCAATAGCCGGCAGTCACGTTCACGCCACGCGAGCTCGGAAGATGAACCAGCGACGAAGTAAGAGCAATTCATGAGAAGCGGGGCTTCATTTTTCGCGCTTTCAGTACGGAAATTGGGTCCTTATTCCAAGAAATAAACTACTCTAGAGTAGAAACAAGAGATAAAGCAAGAAATTTAAAAGAGATAGCTATAACGTCAAGAAAAATCAAGCCGGCGCCTCAAAGCGCTTTCCCCTTCAGTAAAGCCCCTTATCCCAAGGAGGCGTAGGAGGGCGGGTGTTCCGCGAATGCCAAACCTGGGCAGGAGTAGGACGACCTGTAAAAGAAAGCGTCAGAAAATCAAGAAGAGCCGTGGAAAATAGAGAAAGAGCATACCAAAGAGCATGGAGGAGCTCTCCGGCGATGGCGCCGGAAGCGACTGCTCCGGAACGTCGAGCGCGTCGAGCGGAAGACGACGCAGCCGGACAGGCAACGCGTCCGAAGGTCCGCTGTCCGCATGATCCAACGCCTCAGGCGCAGGGCCGGAAGCCTCGTTCCCAGACGCCTCGGGCGAGAGGGAGAACAGGCGAGACGTGTTCGCCGGGAGCGCTTGCAGCGCCTCCAGCAGCAGTTCCGGCCTGTTGAGGGGCGACCACTGGGGCGCCACCGAGGTAGCCGAGAACGGCGACGCGGAACCGACCTCGGGGAGGGTCGCGGAAACCGGAGGGGAACCCGGAGAGTCAGGAGGAGAGATAATGCGCATGCGAGCACGCTTGCGCGGCGGCAAGGGCGTGCCGAAGACGCTGTCTTCCTCCGACTCGCTCTCTGCGTCGGCGTGAGAGGGGACTGGAGCGTCGTCCTGCTCGTCCTCGCTCTCGACGTCCGCCTTGTCGATGCTGGCGGTAGGCGTAGGCGACTTACGACGACGCTGAGCCCTTGCCGCCCTCGCCGAGATACCCTAGCGAAAAATCAGTACCACAAGCGCGAATGTAGATGGAAAACTCACCTTGCGACGCGACGTCGAAGGCGGCGGCGTCTCCGCGCCGCGTCGACGAGCTTGCGACCGACGCCCGGCGAAGCCGCGCTCAGCCTCGCTGGCGGGACCGCACTCCCCCAGCGTCAGCTCGCCGTACCCTAGGCGCTCTGCGACTACCGCTACGTGGTCCGCAGGCAGCCGAGGCGCGTTGCGCAGCTTCTCGAACTGGGTCGAAGGCGTTAACAATGGAAAACAGCGAAAAACTAGAGGACTTACCATGTCCTGGTTGCTTCGACGAGCGGCGGCGATTTTCGCCTCTCCTCGAAGCTTCTCGTCCGCGTGTTGGAACGTCAGCGCGACGGGATTCAGAAGGAAACTAGAAAACTGTCAGCAGGAACAATAGCGAGAAATGCGGGGTACTTACTCGGGGCGAGGAACGCTGGCCGCGCCGTAGTACTTAGCGGCCGGGTCGGTCGCGCGAATGCAATCGTACAAGAAGTACAGGCATGCGGCAACCACCGGATCCGGCGCGAAATCGGGGTCGTCGGCCTCGGACTCGCCAGCGACAAGAATGGCGGCCAGTGCGTGCTACCACGCCGCGTGAGCGCCTAAGAGAATAAGAGAGAACAGAATCACCTACCAGCTTCTTCAGAACGAATTTTTGGCGGGAACCCTTGCGCCCCAACGCCCACACGATATTCTCAGTCGTGGGGGCGCGGTTGTTGAGCCCCGCCGCCGAGTGGAACTCCCAGTTGATGGAGTCCAGCTTGGAGCCGTATGCTTGATGGCTTTTACGCGCCGAGCGATGCGCCAGCGTGTCGGTGGGCGCCATGGCTGCTGTCTGCATCAGTAGGGGCGCGTGGCGTCGCGGAGGCACGTACGACGTACCGTGAACGTCGAGAGCAAGATGTAGAAGGCACGAGGCGCGGGAAGTCGACATATAAGCATCGCCGGCGCCGTCGATCCGATCGAGCAAGCTTAAACTACGGGAATCACCGAAAACCAGAAACACACCAACCGAGAGAGAAGAGACTGTCGTCGCAGTCGACTCTACGGCGTATGCCGTAGGGTAACAACGCCGATTCATCTCCACTGCTAAGAGAGAATGACCGGGGACGGTCAAGATCTTGGTGTGGGGGAGATGATGCGCCTGGCGCTGAAAAACGCATTTTTGTGCCCAATATCAGAGCGATATGGCGTCTTTAACTGGCTTGACCATAAGGACTCGTATATACCTTACGACGTCGTGACTGTACAACGGGCGCGTCGTAGGTATTTTACCGAGCTATTATCAGAGAAACACTGTTTAAAAGGGCCATTTGGGAGGCATCTGACCGAGAATATACCCAGAAGACACTTCGAGGACCACTTAGAGCTCCCTTAGCCTTTCCTACCCTGGGATGTGCGACGGGGATGACATCTATTGGCTCTTAGAAGGGGAATCATCCGGGCAGTAGGCGTACCTAGCGTGCTGCTCACCCATGTCGAACACCATCCTCGCTCGGTCTTATCGCTTGTCAATTTGGGCTACTGGACAGTTGTATCTATGAGGTAGCAAGGTGCGAGGACCTCATAGGACCGCAGCCGCGGTCCTCACCCCATCGCCGGGACGCGCACGAGTCACATGACCGTGTCAACTCGAACACTCACGTGCTTCGGACTTCGCCGACCGAACAATTGTGCGAAGTACCGCGCCTCACCGCGCGGTCTTCCACTCGGCTTCGGGCACGATACAAGCGAACACAGCTGTCTTGGCGGCAGGCAACGACTGCCGAACCTATCTATACCAGAAAGGCGTCGAAGCTTAGGCGGACCCGGACCAATATGACTCGGAATTTCAACACGCAGCGCTATCCGCCATCGGCCTCACCGGAGAACGTGCGACGGCCTCGGAACGACGGAACGCGGCAGGCCAGTTGAGGGGAGGAAGGACAGGAATTGCGAGAAGCTGCTGATGCGCCTCGCGGGAATTATCCGAGATCGGGAAGTTTTCACCAACTCGAGTCATTTTGCATCGGCCGTGCGCCGCCCTACCTACCGTATATATACCGAAACGTACCTACAGTTCGGGGACTTTCGCCCACATCAGGAGCAGAGCCCTTGCAGAGCCCACACTTTGCATACAATACCAGAACAATCAGACCAGAAAAACCTTGAGAAATCTTTGAGAAATCCCTTGAAAAGACCATCTCCTTGCGTGATTACTTCTGAGAAACACTTGTGAAAAGCCTGACGAGCTGCCGCGGTCGAGGAACTAGCGCTACTTCGCGAACTTCCAAAACTCGTCTATTTGTTGGCACTATATATTCCCTAGCAATACAAAAACACGGACTCGCTGCGCTTCTAACGAAGTAACTGTCTCGTCTTTGGGTTGTTTGTGTGGTCGTTTGGCGACTGTTGAGCGATCTCTTGCCACCTTAGGCGCGCTACTTCTCTGAAGCGTACGATCCCATCACCATGCAGTGTGCTTACGGCGCTTGAAAGGGGCGAAGCCATCCGTCGACAAGCCCAATGCGACGTCGCGTGTGTCGTCGAAGTATTTGTGCTCCTGCTCGCGACCACGCAGCTTGACGTGACGCTCCCGCAGCATGCGGTAGTGCCTGCCGTCGAAGACGTCCGTCATCTTCCCTGCCTCGCGCGCGTTCGGATGCTCATGGCCACGGTAGCGCATGAGTTCAGCCATGCGCTGGTTTTGCACAAAGGCACGGAGACGCGGCTTCACTGGGATGTACGTGAAGCGCTTGCGAGGCTTTCCGTTGGATCGATAACGCGGCTCGTCACAGTAGGGACAGGATTGCAAGTGAGCGTGGGGGCCAACATAACAGCAGCATGAATTGACACAGCAGTCGTAGGTCTGAGGTTGAAACTCGGCAAGCATGGACACGCGGCGTCGAATCTCGTGCAGGGAGGGGAGTTCAGGTTGCTGGGGGAAAGCATATGGAATCTGTGCAAACGCGCGGTCCGACGTCTGACTCTGTAGTTTGAACGAAAACGCGCGGCAGATCGCGCGGTCATACGCATCCAGTGTACGAGCTAGACCATCCCTTTAGCCAACAGAACCCAGAATGAGGTGGGAAGTACACACCTTGAGCTGCCATGCGCTCGTAATTAGCCCGGAGGTCGTCAAAAGCGGACGTAGCCTCCGCTCGAGCCTTGAAGGCATCCCAGTCGAAGTAATCGTCCTCGTCGTCGGAGTCCTCCGCTTCGGCCGCAACGTCAAGCTCCTCCCCTTCCGTTGATGCCCATCCCTCCACCTGTGCCCGATCTTCTTCAACTGCAATCTCCTCCTGTGCAGCAGCCAGCCCTTCACGCAGCGGATGGAGTTCCCATGTCACGTCCAGAGCCTCGAGCTCCTCGTCAACATCGTGTGACGCTTCAGGTCCATCGTTATCAACAGCCGGCGAGGGAGAATACGCGCCGCATTCCGTATACGCGGGAGTGCTTGCCCGAGCAGCCGATCCACCGTCCGATCTCGCTCTGGTGGAGTGGCCATCTTCCTCGTCGTCGGACCCTTCATCTCCTTCATAATCCTCGAACTCTTCATCTTCCGACTCGATCTCGATGATCCTGCGACGTCGCGAGGGAGAGGGCTGCGGTGGGGGATAGGGCTGGATGTTGAGGCGACGGTGCTCCCGTTCGCGCTTGCGTGGCAGTGACTGGTGACAGTGGGTGCACCAGACGTATCCTTCGCGGGCCATCTTGGACTGAGGGGAAAAGGGAGGTCGATGCGGGTGGAGGTCGATGTCGAACGGGCGAGCAGGTAAGGATCGGGATCGAGATTGGAGCTGTACACGTGACAAGTCAGTAAGAGCGAATCGGAAAGGCTCAGAGGACTTACAAATTTCGCGACCACATACGCCTCTCACATCTGTCTGTCTCTACACCCACCACCACTGCGCCGGCGCGATCTTTATTTTCCATGAGCCCTCGTAGCACACGTTCTTCTTCAAAAACCACCTCACCTACAACAAACGCGATGCCTCCTGCGCCCTCCCTAGGCGGTCGTAACCGTGCTCCGGTTGCTGCCGCTGCGGGAGGAGCGAAGTCCCCTGCCGCACAAAGGGCGAGGGCAACGGCAGGCAAGCCCAAGCCGTCGAAGGCAAAGGAGGGCCACACAGCCATCGTGAACGCGACCGACGACACTTCCTCGGCAGCCTCTAAGCACGGGAAGACCGCTGCTGGCAGTCGTGGGCGAGTTTTCACCGAAGGCGGAGGCGTGGCCGCATCCGACAAGACCTCCAGTTTGGATGCTGGCGAGGTGGAGGAGCTGGTTCGCCGCCTAGCCGCTGCTGGATGTACGTCAATTCAAGATGTCAGCCTGCCTTCCCTCGACCACAGCTCACCTCTCCCTAGTGAATGTCACGGTACAGCCTCTTGATGCGGTCCAAGAGGTGTCAGCCAATGCCAACAGCGGCATCAAGACCAACGCGTCCAGAGTCAACGCGCCCGGAGCCAACGACGGTCCGATCGAGGACGACGTCGAGATGGGGGCCCCGGACCAGCCCGGCGCATCGCGCATCCATCACTCGATGACGGCAGAGTCATCCGACGACGAGTCGGATGAGGAGATGACGCTCCTCCGCCCTGGGACCAATGTCAGCTCTATGCTCAATGCCAACGAGGACAAAGCTGGTGAGGGCGAGGATGTCGAGATGGGTGGGGATGTGCAGCTCGTTGCTCGCCCGGATGGAACTGCGGGCAACGACTACTCCATTCAAGAGGAGATGGGTCTCGCGGGGGTCAAAGGCTCGAAGAAACATCAGACTTACCTGTCCATCGTGGTGCGTTCTTTGCTTTGACCGACCTGACTGCCTACTGATGCTATCCTTCGCTTCGCAGCGGCGCATCCGGGACTACGTCATCGCAGCACAGCTCAACGTTGAGAAGGAGTGGCGCCAAATCGCGCCGGAGGACAAGGGAAAGCTCTATCGTGTGGTGAGTGTTCGAGTTCGCGCGATGCGCTGTCAACTTACCCACGCCTCGCCGCAGGCTCGCACGGACATCCCTTTTCTCCAGCGCTTCGTCAACGATTGGGCCACGGAGGAGATTGCGAAGCGGTACCTCAAGAACAAGCGTCAGCATCTTTACCGTACCGGAGAGCTCGCGCGACCTACCAAGTACGCCCACCTGAAGGCCAACGCCGCTAAACGTGACCGTGACGGATCGCGTCGCAAAAAGGCGCTCGTCAATGCGGAGGCGGCGAAGCGGGCAAAGACCAAGAAGGCGGCGACCGCGGCAAAGAAGGCGCGCAAGGTCAGCAAGAGTCGCGCTCCCCCCGAGAGTGCCATGGATGTCGAGGAAGAGGCCTGAACGGACGCGAGTAATAGTGAACATCATCTACGTACGCACGCCCACGTGCACTCATTCACTCTTTTAGGGCCTGTTCGGGAAAAAGAAACACGTCATAGTTAGCTGACGTAGGGTGACAAAGTCATGTGAAAAACAACGGCGCGAAGTTGAAGTCAGGCCCAAGTCAGGCCGTAAGTTAGACCCTGCACGCGTCGACCACCATGGTGCGCGCCTTCCCTCAGAGCACCGGCGGCGTTATCCCTGCGTCGACTCACCTCCGCCGAGACCGCCGTCGATGCGCCGTCGCAGCTGTCACCATCATCCTGACGATCGCATCCGCCCTCGCTGCCGTCGACCACGAATGGCGTCGATTCGAACCCGAGCCGTATCACACGTCCGTCCTCACTGGTCGCCTCTGGATCCAAGAGCTTCTGCATGGCCACCGTAATCGAATGTCAGACAACATCGGGACTCGCCCTTTCGTCTTCCGAGCACTCGAGCGGGAATTAATCCGACGAGGAGGACTGCGTGCACGCCGATACGTCGACACGATGGAAATGGTCGCCATCTTCCTGTACCAGGCAGTGACAAACAACAGTGTTCGGCACACGGCCGAGCGCTTTCAGCGGAGCAACGAGACAGTCTCGAGGTGTGTGGCTATCTGTCCGCTTCGATTTCCTTCTGATCAAGTTTGTACAGGTGCTTTCATCTCGTCCTCAATGCTCTCACATCGGACGGCTTTCGGAACACATACATGAAGCTGCCAGAGAGCACGGACACACCCCCACGTATCCTACATGACCCGAAGCTGTACCCCTTCTTCAAAGACTGCCTTGGCGCTATAGATGGCAGCCATTTCTTTGTCCACCCACCCGCTATGACACGTGGGCGCTGGCGCGATCGCGAAGGCAACCTCACGCAGAACGTCCTCGCTGTCTGCGACTTCGACATGTTTTTTCTCTATATACTTGTTGGTTGGGAGGGGAGTGCTGCAGACAGCACTGTGTACACGCATGCCACACATCGAGGAGGGCTGAAGCTCCCGCAAGGCAAATACTGGATTGCAGATGCGGGATTTCCGGCGTGTGACACGCTCCTTGTCCCATACCGAAGCACGCGTTATCATTTGCGGGAGTGGGAGGCCGGTAAACGACGGTGTGTATCCTACATCCTCACAAAGGTGCACGAGCTCATCAGAGAACAGACCTGAGACGAAGGAGGAGCTGTACAACTTGCGACACGCTCAGCTGCGGAACGTGATCGAACGCATCTTCGGTGTTCTCAAGCGAGAATTCAGGATGGCAGCCGAGGCGTGCGACTACCCCATCCAGACTAAGTGCCGTATCCCTCTTGGACTCGGCATATTGCACAACTTCCTCCGTGCCCATGATCCCGAGCGACAGCGTCGTGACCGTGTCAGTCTCGACGGCGAGTACGAGCATGCATCCGATCCCCATGGTGACACACAGCCTGCCTCCACGACCCGAATCCCAGAGACCGAAGACGAGAGAGCAGCCTCGCTGCGAAACCAGATTGCAGAGGCCATGTGGACTCAGTACCAGGGTGTCCTCGAGGAACGTCGGCTTCGTCGGCAGGCTGCTCACTTGCACTAGAATAGCAACAATAAATTGAACCATTTATTCAGTATTAAAAGGAGTGATATAGGTACTTTCTATGCTGAACAAGAGGTATGGAAGACAAAGGCCAGGATCACTTGAATTTAGCAGCATACAAATTATCCATCTCCTCCGCAAGCCAGAACGCGCGTGCCTCCGCCTCCTCGTCAGTATCCCCAAAGCTGAGATACTCCTTCACAGCCTCGGGTGCACGGAAGACACGACGAGCACGTGCATTCGAGCACGGTGAAAGCCCTTCCTGCCGAAGCTTCTCCCAGCACTTCCGACGAAGGGGGGAGATCGAGGATGAGGCTGGTGATGACGACGTAGGTGTGGTGGGCTCGATCAGGGATTGCATAAGCGCTTTTGCGCCCGTGCTGAGCTCCTGGATGTCATCCTTGAGTGAACGCTTGCGCTTGAGGGACGAGGGTGCGGATGCAAGCACTGTCCCAGCGGCAGGGGCAGCGTGCTTGGGAGCCGGAGCCGGAGGAGCGGGAACGGGGGATGGTGCAGGTGCAGGAGCTGCCACGGGGGACGGAGCAGGTGCGGGAGCAGGAGGCGCAGCAGCCTGGAACTCCTGTGCATTCGGCGAGTCCGTGTCTATCTATACGGTGAGGTTAGTGAGAGATATCAATATCCAGAGCAAGTACCACGCACCGGTACCTCCTCCTCGACTGGGAGATCAACAGCCTGCGTCCCTTCTAAATCGCCCGATGGCTGCTCCGCTTGGGGTGCTGGAGCTTGAGAACTGGTGGGAGCCGGGGGTGCAGCGTCTGCGCCAGCTGACGACGAGAACGCATGCTCACCCGTGGCCGCGTTCCCGCCGATCAGGTCACCGATCTCGTCGTATTCCGGGAAGGGATGGGTTCTGAAGTAGTTGTAGGCGTTGTAGTTCTTCCGCTTGTTGCCATTCTGCAGGACATGTAAGGGTAGGAACAGAGGAGAAGCAGGTGGCTACGCACCTCGTCGAACAGCAAGCCCTCCCAAACCTCCTCGGACGCCGTGACGACCTTCCGAGCATCATCCCAGCCAAAGCCCGACAGGCCACGCAAGAAATTGACGATACGGTAAGCCGACTTATACTGCACGACGTGTCAGTTGGAGGACTTATACGAGAAGCCGCCACGCACCCTATTCCAGCGGTTCCGGACTTGATCTGCATCGAGGTTGAATCCGGCAGCCTGCAGCTTAGCAGCGACGTTGTTGTACACCTCGGGCTGGAAGTTGTTGTCCCCATTCTGTGCATTGGCACGCGCGCCGCGAAGCTCTTCGAGCATGATCGCCTCTGCCGCCGCGCACCACTGGCCGCGTGAACGGCGGGCACCCGTTTGACGAGATCGAGCAGAAGTCATGAATGAAGAAAAGGAAGAAGTAGAGACAGTGGTGGGAGGGGTGGCAAGCACCGCGGCTCTGGCTGGCCACGGACGACTCGTTTCGTTATAACTACGCGGTGGGATTCCGAACAGCCGACTTACAGGAAGTTCGTGACGTGGGAAGAAATTTCGACGAACTTCGTTGACCTGCCTTACAAGGCAGGTACGTCAGCTAACTATGACGTGTTTCTTTTTCCCGAACAGGCCCTTAATCTTCTTTCTCATGGTCTTATGGACTATTTCCCCTACCGTTACTAGTACTTGTGGTACTGGTGCTGGCATCGATAGCACTGTACGTGTACCGCGCTCGCGCGCATACATGCATGCCTGCATACCCATTACTTATTATTGACGTCGTACTTCCTACGTTCACGATATCTGGCTCGTGCTCGTATAATATCAGTTGCTTCCGTGCATTTGTTGGCCTTTCCATTGAGGTTCAATCACACGAGACCAAGAAGCGTAGCGAGAGCGATCCATACATTGTAAGGAAAACAACCTATACCTAGTCGAAAATGAACTGTAGGACCACCGGCGGCGCGTAGGTTGAAGTTGGCCGTTTTCGCGTGAAAAACAACCTAACAAGAACCCGTGCACCTTAGGTTAACATTCAACCTACAGCGCTTACGATTATCCTACCCTAGGATGGAGTACAACCTGGTACAGGTTGAAAGTTAGGTTACTTTTTTCCCAAAGCGGTCACTACCGAGGCAGAAGTTCAGGTGCTGGTTGTCCTACCAGAGCATAGACCGTTCGAACGAGCTCAGTAGAGAGCGCTCTCGAGTGAGACGTCCAGTTTCGTTTAGACCCACTGTTATATGCGAGCATGAATAAGCAAGGGGAATTCGAGAGGTCCTCGCAGCGACTGACAATAAGCCATGCAAGAGAACGAGTGGTCGGTCAGTCTCATCTGCTTTTGGCGGAGCAGTCTTTGTGTAGCTGAGGTCTACCGCGGTCGACGAATGCGTGCGAACGCGACGCGACGCAAGCAGTACGCGTCGACTCGCCCGAGTGCACCATGGTGAGTGGAAGAGCATCAGTGACGTCGAGGCGAGCCGCTCCGGACAACACGGGCCGGCGACGGCGGGGGTGAACGCGACTTGGACGCGCCTACCATGACTTCCGCCCAGCTCAAGACTCTCCTCGCCCCTCCCGACAAGACAAAGTCTCAGCAAGCCGTCCTTACCTCCCTCAACTCCCGCTTCCGCTCCATCGACGACCTCGACGGCCTCGATGACGACTTCCACCAGGCGGCCCTTCGGCATGATCAGCTCCAGCGCGATGTGCGTGACCCTTCACTTCGTCTGCATAGTTGCTGAGACGCCCTAGTATAGCTAGCTGCCTCTCAGGCGAGCACGAGTGCATTGCTGCTGGATGCCCGAACGAAGATCTCTGAGCGCGCGCATACGGCGCAGGAGCTTTCCCTCCTACGGCATTCCCTCACCGACGAGTTATCTCAGCTCTCTGATGAGCTGCTATCCTCCATGTCTGCGGGGCCCGGAGAGACAACGTTGCTGGAGGATATTGAGACTCAGCATCGAAACCTGAAGGACCTCGGCAATGTGAAGGGATACATGCAGATCCTGGAAAGGGCTTTGAGTTTGAGGTGTGTTCTGGTTTGTAGTCTGGCATGCATGCTTACCTTACTTGTCAGTGAGGCAGCGATATCGCAGATCACCTCCCTCAAGCCTTCCGAGGTCATCACACCAGCGTCTCTCGAGAAGTATAGCACCCTACAGAACTATGTCGCGCAGGTCGATGAATACTGCTCTTCCGTCGAGGACGCTTCCGGCCAGCAGAAGCTCCATCTTGTGACCTTTCTGGAGGAGGTGCGCGAGAAAACTTGGTCCGACATCAAGCAAACCATGTCTACGTGCGTTGACCCATATGTTTTGCTTCATTCCCTAACAAAATACAGCGCGTTGTTGGACATCGCGGAGCAGCTGAAGTGGCCGATGGCGGTGGACTACGTTTCGGCCGACAAAGAAACCAGAAAGAAGTTCGAACACGCGTTCTACAATCTGCTTCGGCTTCAGGACATGTGAGTGTTGGCTTTCCAGCGATTCGTGTTCGTCTTTGACAACCGACAGAGGGTTGAAGATGCGGTCTTCACTTGGAGCGGAAAAGGCCGGCCTTTATCCGTTGCAGGCGCTCGTACGACCGGTCGCACTACGCTTCAAGTACCATTTCGAGGGTACCCGGCCAACAAATCGACTTGACAAGGTGTGTACTTGCCCGGCCCCAACTCAGGACAAGGACTGATTACTGGCCAGCCCGAATGGTACCTCACACATGTTGCCAACGTTGCGCACGAGCATCGGGTCTTCATGGACACGGTCATCCAAACCCTTTTGAATGCGTCCGAGCATCGGGACATCATCGCTTCGGTGAGACCTGCCTTCAGACCTTGTATACCCGCTTTCTTACCGGCTATAGCGCGAATTTACCTACTGCCTTCTGCCGCTAGCGCAGCGGAAGCTGAAGCGCACTATACCCTTACTGCTGCAGCGGCCTTCCTTACTCGCACATACCATCTATCAAACACTCAGCTTCGATGCCACACTTGTCGAGCAGGGATTCTCCCTCCTCGGGACGTCGGGCGCGTCTACTGTCGAAGACCCGGACCAGTGGGAGGGCGTGAGCGAGACGGTGCTCGGCACCAAGGAGTGGTTCGACGCCTGGATGGAAGGCGAGAAGCGCTGTATGTCTCGCGGGACTTGCATGAGTGAAGACAGGTTCTCACGTATCCTTGCAGTCGCGGAAGACCAGTATCACGACATCATCAGCGCGGCCGATGCATGGCAGATTGCGGATGACGATGGTGAGGAAGGTCCGCGGGAGCACAAGGGAACGAACGCGGCGCGCCGGGTGAAGGCTCTCGTTGAGCAGATTACCGGTACGCGGTGCTCCTTGGCTCCCCGATCCCGTTTCTGATTCCGTGCAGACCGCTACTCGCCGCTTCCCAACGCAGCACGGAAGACCCGCTTCCTAACTACGGTGCAGCTTCCCATATTGGACCACTTCCAGGGTCGGATATCTTCCTCACTGGATGCTTTTGAGACTCTCTCCTCTGCGCTTCTGCGTGCGGTTCCGGGGGCCCTCAGCTTCGGCGGCAGAGAAGATGGTGGTATGAACGTCGACACGCAACGGCTCACAGCCGGGGTCGAGGGCGTGAAGAAGCTGGCGAAAGCGTGGCTTAGTGCGCGTTACCTCGAGGCTGCCCTGCAGGGCTGGGGCGAGGACTTGGTATGTGCCTGCCGCCAGAGTTTGGGAGGAGAAGCTGACTTTGCGTAGTTTTTCTTAGAGCTCTGGGCTGAGATAAACCGTAACCCTGGACTGAAGGCTCGCGTCAAGGCCAGCACGCTGCTCCCTGAGCCAACGTCAAGCGAAGATTCTACTCCAGAGAACACCATATTCGATGCGCTCATCGACGTATACCGCAAGCTAGTGGAGCGCGCAGACGACATGATCGTGCTACAAGTCTCCAACGAAGTCCAAAACGCCCTCAAACCCCATATGCAGTGGCTGAACTCGTGCGCTTCCCTGCCTTCTACCCTTCTCCGCCGTTAAGCTGACCCACCACGTAGCCCCGAAAGCGCGCAGCAGGACGAGGATGAGATCGCCGTCTCGCAAACTTTGCTTCCCGCAATAGCCCTGCTCAGCGCCCACCTAACCTTCCTACGTACGACACTCCCAACCGCCTCCGTGGCGGCTATCTACCGGCGCATCGCGTCCTCGATTGCCGAGCACGTCCTGCAGCGCGCCATCCTGTATCGTGGCCGGCTTAGCTTGCAAGAGGGACGCCGCTGCGCCGCGGAGAATGGACTATGGCTCGAGACCTGTTTGGGCGCGCTTGGCGGGGCGCTTCCTCGTACGCGAGTGGAGGCGCCGTGGCTCAGATTGCTGCAAGGCGGGCGACTTATTGCGGCAGAGGGCCCAACGTGGGCGGAGGTCGTAGCAGCTACGTTCGGGCCGACGGACGACGTTCAGTGGCGCGAGGCTGTTGTGCATGCTGTGGGGCTCGGAGAGATGGACCGGGACGAGGTAGGAAGGGTGCTCAGACGGAGGGAGGACTTCCAAGCTTGAGAGATACATGGGTACGGTATGATCAGCATGCACTCTGTAGGTTTGCAATTGTCAACTATGTAGGGCTCATATCTGCTGCATACTAGCACGTCTGCGACCATGACCATGAGGCGTCTACTGCTCAGATTCATACCCTTGGCGAGCCTTTGGACGACAGTCTTGCTTCTGGACATGTCAAATATCAGTGGTACGTGCAGAACTAGGGGGCCGCAGGAATGAAGACCAAGACGCTCTGAGAGAGTTGTGAAGCCTTGGATATGAACGCCTGAATGTGCTAAGCGCGAACGTTCAACACGTCCTCACAGCTCCTCCGAGGGGCAAAGTGAAGGCGCAAGAGGAACGGATGGGTTCGAGGATGCCCATTGGGTATCGATACAAACCGTCGTCGACGGTTAGAAGAAGGCGGTGGCATCATTTTGACAGGTACAACAGTGGACTTGCACCACAGCTCCTGAGGCCTAAGGAACTACGATAAGTGACCCCTCCTGCGGCATCGTCGCTGATCGTCGACGAATGCGTATCGCGCGCCACATGCCTCGGCAGGGCGAACAAATAGGGAAGCCACTGCTGTCGTCGGCCTTTCACTCCAGGTAAAAGCCGCGCCGTAAGGAGGCCTTGTTTCAGAGCGAGAAGACCTTCGTCAACAGCGCTCGGGGTAGCATTGCCGGGTAAGTATTGAGGTCGACGAGAAGGAGAAGACTTCATAGCTTTCGTACAAGTGAGGTGAGCGAGCGTCTTGAAGTGCGCGCCACTCGGAGCAGCACTTGCAAGCTTGATGGGGAAGCGGCGATGGTGCGTTGATGGATAGCGTCTGATTCTGCATGACGGCATCGTCGTCGAGGAGGCTACAGGAACACCTGTAGGAGTAGCGTGAAGAAACCTCGAGTGTCGGTCGCTCAGAAGGAGGGCACTTCAGGCTCAAGCTTCTGATGGAAGACCTTCACATAGGGATGCCTTCACCATGCCAGAAGAGACGTGCAGCTGAGCTGTGGCGGAAGCGAGGACGGATGCCATACGCAAGTCGTTATGGGGGACAGTATGGACCGACAACGGACAGTAAGTAGACTCCGATAGAGGGGTAGACGGGCTAGATAAGAGTAGCGCGTCAGCTGAGCATCGAAGAGCGAGATCTGGTCTGAATATCGTCTCGATATGGCGGATAGCATGTTAATAGACGCAAACAGACTCCGGCCTGCTCACCGATGAGGGACCGGACGACAAGATTGGACGAGATAAAGGTGTATAGGCATTGGACAGTCCACCCCTTGGAGAGGCAAGTGCCGCGGCACAAGAAGATCCGGCGACAGTGATGTCGTATGTTTGCCATTCAGCGAAGAACGCCGGTGGTGGGCTGATCACTGGAAGGCTTGATGCAAGTGGCGAGATAGACCCGGTAGGACACTTTCATCCTACCTCGACTTCAATAACTCGGTCCAGGGTGCAAAGGGGTTATCATGCGCGGACAGCCTGCGATGCGGAGTGTTGAGGAGCATGTGCGCATACGCGGCGAGGTCGTGTCCAGGGCGGCCGTCCCCTGGTCGTCTGTTGTGGAGCGCGTCAGGGCAGGGGGGTACGCATTCACACATACGACTGAGGTGGTCGAGGTATGATCGAGAATTAATTCAGCAGACTAGATCTGAGCGCTAAATGCAAGCCCAAGTATAGAATACAAGGCGACAGTACAACCGGCGGGGAAGTAAACGAGTGCGAAAGGTCCGGGAGGGGAAGAGGATATTCGTGCAGTCAATAAGTTCTGTGGCGCGATTAGGGGTGGGCATGAGATCATGGGGGAGGGGACACTCACCCACAGCAATGGGCAACACCGAGTCGGAGGACGTCTTGCTACCAGTCCGAGTTGCGGATGCCCTGGCGTTTCCTCCAGTCGGACGTAGGCACACCGCGTCTCCAGTCGGATGTAGGGACATCGCGTCGCCAGTCGGAGGTCGGGACACCAGCTTCACGCTTCCAGTCGGACGTAGGGACACCAGCTTCCCGCTTCCAGTCAGACGACACGACGCCCGCGTCTGCACGTTTCAATTCTGGTAGCTCGTCGCCCTGAACGGAGTCAGCAGGGGTCGACGGCTACGGGGGAGGACGACGTACGGGCACAGGTGCGGCGGCGACGGTGGCTGCGAGCAGCAGAGCGGCGGCAGCGATAGCACGAGTGAAGTGCATAGTGGGTAGGTGGGGGGGAACGACGACAAACAGCGAAAAGTGCCTGACCTTCGCGGCCGAGAGCTTTTAAATCATGCGCATGCCGAGAAAGGGCAGACGCCACTGCGCACCGTCGCAACCCACGCGGATCGTTCTCAGCTGTCACACCAGTGACGCATCCCCCCCGAGATCGTCACCGGTATCTCGTCCCTCCTTCTCGCTTGCAGTCAGTTCTGGTCAACTTCGCTTGGCAGATGTACTTGTACGGCTAGCACTAGACGTTGCCTCTATTCACCGGCTTTCTCGAGTACACCGACAACATAGAGGAGGAGGGGAAAGCGACGATGAGGGCCTGGAGAGACAGTGCCTGTCACGCTGTGGCGTTTCCCGTGCCTGACTTGAGTGCCGTTTCTCCTCTGATTCAAATTCCGGTCTGCGGCTTTTGCGACCTGCGGGAACGTTTGTACCCCGTAGCGTGACGTGACGGCTCGTCTTCAGCGTTTCGATCCACAGGTCTTTCACTCGCTGTTAGACCGATGTCTGGCTGATGAAGGCTGTCGGACGGGGTTCTGGTCGTCGGAAAGACGGAGCTGGCCAAGGCACTTCCGCCTGAAATATGCACCAGTGGGAGATTTCCAGGGCCGATGGCGCACCCGCAAAAGCCGGTTGAATTAGCGTGACGCACGTGAGATAATGCCTTTGTTACCGAATTCGGACCCGGTCCGACCGACCGATGGCTGGGCGTTCTTCTTCCGTCAGCTGATTGCAGCGAGGATAACGACCGGGCGAGGGAGAGCTGGACTCCAGCTCGACCCCAGCTCGACTGACCGACCTTCACACACTTCCTCCAGTATCCGAGAAGTAGGTCGCTCGGCAACACCTCTGACGCCTCGCTTCTGCTTCAAGGTGGAGTCCACTTTGACGACTTGGCACGCCCGCATCTTCCGGGCAAGGCCCTACGAAAGTGCAGCAAGGATGAGCACAGCGATGCGCAGTTGGCCTCCCTCGATCAGTATAGAGTCGGACCTGGTTGACGCAGGTCAACGCATGATGGGTTCCACACCCTCGTACCGGATCACTCTCGAGGATGGGCGGAGTACCATCGACGATATTGAATACGACCTCGGGTGATACACCCTCTACCCGCGAGCTCCGGACGAGCTATGGTCTGACGACATGATCCTTGAGCCAGCGGTGAGTCCAGTCGCTTACGAGAGGTCGGTCGACATGGGCTTCGGATGTGCATCGACAAGCTGTATTGTACACGTAGAAGTATCCCTGTTGCGTAGACAGGCTGGGTACGAAGTCCAAGATGTAGGGCCCTAATCCTGCAGGAAAGCGCACGCATGTCAGATCGATGTTCTCGTAAGGCGTTATCAACCGACGTACCCATAGCTTGATGAGACCATCCCACGATGCTGTGACGACCTTGGACTACAGACCTGTCAGTCAAATATTTAGATGACGACAGCAGCACTCACAGTCTCGTGCGGCAGCCACTCGTGCGCAATGACGACCTTGGAATGTGCCTTGAGCTTCGTCTTTATCCGGCAAGTCTTCCAGTCCCAAAACACCATGTTCCCCTCGGCGTCACCGCTGCTGAGCCACTTGCCGTCGGGCGAGAAGCCCACCTGGCAGGCGTACCCCGCGACAGAGTGCCCCGCAAAGCGCTTCTTGCGGTTCTGGCGGAAATTGTCCGTACTGTAGACAAGGATTTGATTGTCGAGAGACTGTGCGGCGAAATAGCGGTCTGTTGGGCATAGGGCATGAGCACGCGCGAACCTCCCGAGTGGAGAAGACTTACTCGATGGGTGAAGAGTTACCGCGGGCATGGAGTGCATGTGCGGCTCAGCGATGTACTTGATGACCACCGGGATGTCGAAGTCCCAAGCCCTGATCGTCTTGTCGTCTGAGGTGGTCACAAACCGGCGGTTCTCGTCGACGAAGGTAATGGTGTTAACGGGCCCCAAATGCTGGTCGTATTCCTGCGTGATCTCGCCGGAATTGATGTCGTACTATAAAGGTTTTAGGCTCAATACATACGCCCTGAGGAGCAAAAGGGCTTACCTGTATAATCTTCTTGTCCGACATACCGGCGAGGAATATGTTTTGTTTGTCTTCATCGGGATGGAACTTGACGGTGTACGGGATCTTGCCATTACTGAATCGCTTGATACACTGGCCCGTTTCCGTGTCCCAGAGCTTCATCTGCCTGTCGTAGCTACACGATAGGAACCTTCGGCCGTCGTTGGAGAAGCAGATGTCCTTGACCATCTTGACGTGACCATGGAAGGTCCGTAGGCAGTTGCCATGCGTATAGACATCCCAAAGCTATACAAGCGGTCAACTGGGGTACGCGACGAAGTGTTAGAGGGATGCGTACCTTGATCTTCGTGTCCATTGAACCACTCGCCATGAGGTGTCCAGTCTGAGGGAACAGCCGAATGACGGAGACGCCCTGCGTATGCCCAGTCCATGTATGCACACAGACCTTCGGGATGAAGCAGTCCTGCGAGCCCGCCTCCTGTAGAAGGTTCGGCGCTTCTGAATACGGCGGGTGCATGTACGTGCGCCCTTGGTAGTCTGTCATGGACTTCCCGTGGAAGACTGACGACTCCTGGCCAACCGCGCCGCGTTTTGGCTTCGCCTTCTTCGGCACGTACTCTGGCTCGTCTTCCTCTGGCTCCTCCTCTTCCTCCGCCCCCTCTGCGGAAAGACCGTGCAGGAAAGTACTCTCCGGCTCGTCGCCCTCCCACGAGGCCCATGGGCCGACGTAGGCGCCTTCCCCTTCAACGACTTCGAGGTCACCCTTATCCTTGCGCTTGCGCTTGAGCTCTTTTCGCTCATTCCGCGTGGCGCGCATGGCATCGATGGTTGTAAAGCCATTCTCCCGAGCCTTTTCCAAAGAACCGACCATCGAAGGCGCATTTGGGTCGATAGAAGGGTTCGCAGAGTAGCCAAGGATAGCATGCGTGAGGTGCTGCGCCTTGAAGGCATCGTCGCTCATGACCTGCTCTTCGACATGCCCAGCAAGTGCGTTCTGATTGAGGAAGCGGTCGCGTGGGCCGAATGGGTTCTCCGGGCCCTGGATGGGGAGGGTCATGTCGCTGAAGGGGATGTTCACGTTCATCTGGGTGTCCGTTGGTCGGGTCACCAAAGATGTCATCTTGAGGGGATCCTGCTCGCTAGTTAGCACACGACGTTGTGAATGCGCAGACGCGTACGCACCTCTGACAAAACATGTGGGGCAGCCTCAACAGTAGGCTTATCCCTCGAGGGGCTCTCTGTGCGCTGCTTTTTCGTGGCATGGATGGCAGAGAGACCGAAAGCGTCGGCAGCGACCGTCGACTCGTCCTCCTCGCCGGATGAATAGCCCTGAACAAGCGTCGACATGATCGCAGCAGCCAAGTGTGTTCACGCTGGCACGTGGCGATACGCCGCAAATGCCGATGGCAAACTTCGGACCGATAGGCGCCGCCTCCATCGTCCGACTCACTGCTTGCGCTCTTGTTTCCTCCAACCCCTGACATCCATTTTTTCTCCTTCATCATGCAGTAAACTCCCCCGATACCCAGATCATGAGCACGTCCACACGAATAGCTGCGGGGCGGCCCTGGACGCCGGAGGAGGATGCGCAATTGCGCGCAGCGGTCGCTCTTCATGGCGAGAACGACAATTGGAAGACGGTCGCAGAGATGGTTCCCGGTCGCACGAACAAGGCGTGCAGAAAGGTGGGCGGTCTTGGATCTGTGCTAGAGCCGTGGTGTGAACGATCACCCAGCGGTGGCGCCACTCCCTTAGCCCAGGCGTCAAGAAGACAGCATGGACGGCCGAGGAAGACAAGCTGCTCCTCGATCTACACGAGAAGCACGGGGACAAGTGGTCGGTGATCGCGCGCGAGATTGAGGGACGAACAGACGACGCTTGCTCGAAGCGCTACCGTGAAGCGCTCGATCCCAACCTGCGTAAGGACGAGTGGACAGACGAAGACGACAATAGGCTTCGTGATCTGCATGCTCAGCTCTCAGGCCAGTGGCGCCTCATCGGTGCTGCCCTCTGCAGGGGAAGTCTTGCTTGTCGTAACAGGTGCTTGTATATCTTTATCGTCATCATTCGGTGCTGATGAGCCTCTAGGTGGAGATTATTCGAGCGCAAACAGCGCCGTCTGGCCCAACTCTCCAAGTACGAAATCCCGGACTTTAGCGCTCCCGCTACCTCGTCATCATCGGAGGGGCGCTACGAAGCGACATGGGTACAGCCTGACGTTCACGGGCAGGCCACGTATGATGCATGCGATTCTCTCATGGCATATCATCAGGAGCAAACCAGTCATTATCCTGTGCAGCCAGATCCTTTCCTCGGCTCATGGACTTGGGCCAGCCCCGAAGGATCCATTTCCACTCAGCCCTCGGGTGCTCACGGCTCCGTCAACGACGCTTCGGCAATACAGCTCGATCAAACTCCTTCTTCCGAGCAACCCTCTCACTATGGCACCCCGTCGTTTGACGGCATACCTGGAACCTCACCTTACCACGCATATTGGACCTCGTGCGCTGCAGATCACATCTACCCTCCCGTGCCACACCAGCCTACGTCGACGCTGCCGCTTGATGCGGCCGATAATTCTATTCCGTCTACACCTCATCCAGCTGCTGTTACCGACCTTGCCGCAGAACCTATGTCGCTGGAAGACACGTGCGAAACGAGTCCTTCAGCTGCACTCCCGGAGCGCTCTCCAACTTTCACTGCCAGCACGCTAGCATCGCCGTCGTCATATCATGAGACCGTATTACCCAGCTTATCACCCGAGAGCAATGCCACCGTCGACCTGCCCACCTGTGACATGTTGTGGGGCTCGCCCGTGTCAAACCCATGCCCTCTGACACCGCTATTGCCTACGCCGCAAACAGCGTCAGTCGATCTCCCTCACGTTCAAGTCGTCGGCGAGCACGAAGAGGTTATCGCAGACCATCCAACGACCGGGCTCATTGGCGTCGACGCATTGCCTGATGGAGTGGTCGCCTCGGCTGAGCAGAACCTCCCATCGGAAGCAATCTCCGGTCCAGCCGACAGCAGGAAGCGCCGACAGTCAGCAAGCGACGAGCGCACGGTTAAACGCAGAGCGACAGAGATGCGTATGGACCAAGGCCGGGTGATGCAGTAAGTTTAAAGAAATGAATTGCCTGCAATCGCTTAACGAATGATAGGCCTGGCCTTCTTCCGTACGTTTGTGGGCGTGCTTCGTGCTGGCCTGCCTCGAGCCCGGTCTCTGAGTCTCGATACGACACCGCGAGGGAGCTAGCCGAGCATATGCGGCGCAGTCATGCTGGTCAAGCGTCCGACGACGTGGAGAAGCCCTATCGTTGTGGTTTGAGTGGCTGTGGGAAGGCCTGGAAGAACCTCAACGGTCTGCAGTATCATCTCCAAGTGTGAGTGTGCATTCTAGCGCGCCGGTCCGGCATCATGCTCACGACTTTGAAGTGCGGAAGCCCACTACAAGAAGGCCATGATGTCCAAGGCGAAGGTCATTACTGCGACGTCAGGCGTTTCGGAGGCGCCCACGCAGCCTGAAGACAATGGTCGCAGAACTTATCGCTGTCTAGAACCCGACTGCGGTAAGGTTTATAGTCATGCCAGCGGTCTACGCTATCATCGTATCCACGTAAGTGCTCCTCACGCAACCCTTAGCGTTGCTCACCGGTCCAAAGGTTCACAAAGGTCCACTCCCCGAGCAACTGTCTATCCTGCCTCCCTCCGTAGAGAAGAAAGTTCCGCGAAAGGCTAGGCAGTATCGACGATCAGCGACGCGACCCTCGGATGCGAACACATGACCGGGCGCGCGCGGACGGTATCTAAGGACGCTCTCGCCTCTGCTCTGCGCCGACGGGCTGTGGTCTACAGTAACTTTGCCCTCGAGACGGACGCTTCTCCGAGCATCAGTCTTGGTTATCCTCTCTTTCAACGTGGCGCGACAACGGCTGTGGCACTCGGGGCCATGATCGGGACTCAACTCCAGCGAGGGCGTGCGTCGTCCTCCGCATGTCCGCCTTATATTCTTGTCCATATATGCTTGTGCTGCTCGTAACGGGCGGTTATTTTACTACTAACCCTGTTGTTGCACAACAATACTTCTAATGTACTGACTCTTACGAATCCATCATGTTTGTCGATGACAATGCTTCACATTTGACCTTTGCAAGCGACATTGGGGCTAGCGAGACTACATGGATGACCGAGTACGTGCATCTAGAATTGGTACTTGCTGACGATCTCCCAGAACTGCTTTCCTTGAATCTCCGCGACCTCCAGCTCCAGCGGCGAAGGCTGGCGTGAGCCGTCTCCTCCTGCGAAGGTTCCAGCACCCCAAGGCGAGCCTGCGCTCGTTAGCGAGCAACTCAATAGCACCTGTCAAGACACGTACCGCCCCGGACCTCGTTGAGGTTGCTCAGTTGCGCAAAAGTCTTCGCGTACCCGAGCGGGACGAAGATCATACCGTGGTGGACGAACGTTGACATCGCGTTCGCGACAGTCATCTCTTGTCCGCCACCAGGTGTCCCGGTCGACACGAACACGCTGCAGAACTTCTTGGATAGGCCGCCAGATGCCCACAGTCCACCTGTCGTGTCCCAGAAGGCCTATGCGCGAGTGTTAGCGGTTGGAAGGTTAGCTTACCGATATGCAGCTCACCTTCCATTGCCCAGGGAAATTACCGTAGCGTGTGGGGATGCCAAAGATGAGACCGTCGAAGGTAGCCATGGTCTTCGCATCGATGATGGGGAATTCAGGTTTGCTTGGTGCATGCATTTTGGTCAGGACTTCCTGCGGCAGTGTTTCGGGGATTCTGGCAAAGAGCGGTGGTGAGTACGAGTTCTCTATACGCTCGTTGACTGCTCACTGATAGATAGTCGCGTTACCTCCGGCAGCAGCGACGCCCGCCTTGACCGCTTCAGCCACTGGATGGAATGAAGCCTGGTCAGGAACAGCCTTAGACAACCAGCGTTGCTCACTCTTTCCGATGTGGCCGTACATGGTGTAGATGATGATCGCGACCTTGGGCGCCATGATGAACGAGCGGGGAGGAGGTGAGACTGGGTTGTGTGGTCGTGGTCGAGGTTCAAGCTTATATACGTGTCGCTGTCGCCAACTTGATAGCCTCCTAAATGCCGTTTACGCTGTCAAGCGGGTCACGATACCTCATTGGTGAAGAGATAGCATCGCGGTCCGAGATACGCTGCGAAATGGTTACTATAGGTAGCAAGACCGGCGACGACCCTGCAATGCAAGACAGGGCGCCCACTTGCATTGAACGCACTCGACAGGACCCGCGCAAGTCGGCGAGCGCGCTATGTGCCCGGCTGCCCCGAAGGAGCGGCCAGCGGCGTATGTATTCTCATCAGTGTGTATGTCGAGTTGACTCAGGGCTACGCTATAACAGAACGAACGTTGTCCAACCCTTGTGCTGGCTTAGTCAATCTGTGAAGTGGCTGAGCGTCAAGTTTCCAAGTCCAACGTTGTGGGTCCACAGCATCATTTGTGGCGTTATTTTGATGGCACTCGTATGCATCCCGATCAGTCAGCACCTTGATTGGAACGCCCATTGTTCCCCCACCCTTTACCCCCATACTTCCCTACTTTCCTCGAAGCAAGGGGCTGAAAGATGGCGTCGAATAAGCCCAACAAGCTGGCTTTCTTGTCCATGCCGGCGCCGGCGTCATATGTCGCCGGTCTTGGTCGAGGGTGCGTCCTGCACGCGTCGACGCAGTGTAGTAACTAACGAAAGCCTTGCAGAGCGTCTGGCTTCACAACGCGATCTGATATCGGTCCCGCACGAGAAGGACCGTCTGCCGAAGTCATAGCGTGAGTGGGGTCATGTGTGGCTGCTTGCTATGTCCTGACAGCAGTACAGGGAGGCGCAAGCGCGTCGCGGTGAAGAGCCTGACGTAGATCCCGAACAATTCCAGGATCCAGACAACGAATTTGGTCTCTTTGCTGGGACAACATACGAAGCCGACGATGAGGAGGCGGATAGGATCTACGAGAAGGTTGACGAGGCGATGGACGCACGGCGGCGGGCACGCAGGTGTGTGCGTACTGGTTAGTTCTTTTACCCGATACTCATGCAACTCTTATGCTCTTCATCACAGGGAGGCGCAGGAACAGGCAGAGCTTGCGAAGCAGCGCGCCGAGCGACCGAAGATTCAGCAGCAATTCGCGGACTTGAAGCGCGGCCTTTCTGCAGTCACTGATTCCGAGTGGGAGAACCTGCCTGAGGTTGGCAACCTCACACGAAAGAAGAGGCGTAGGGAAGAACGGTCGTACGTCGTACCGGACAGTGTCATTGTCGGCGACAGGACCAAGAATCAATACGAGAACGCACTCGACCCCATGCAGAATGAGGTGCGTGTTGGCATCCTTCTTCAGTCACTCCATTGTGGCTAATATGTATCCTACAGACTGGAGGCTTTGACACGGCCGCCGATCCTGGAGCCATGACCAACTTTGTCGAGATTGGACAAGCCCGTGACAAGATCCTGTCATTGAAGTTGGATCAAGTGAGTTAGAATACTGCGAGACAGTGTCGTGTTGACTCACAGTCATGTTATAGATATCTGGCACTGCAACGACATCCGGTTCAGCTACCTCGGTGGATCCGAAGGGCTACCTTACTTCACTTGACAGCGTCGTCATCAAATCCGATGCAGAAATCGGCGACATCAAGAGGGCTCGCATGCTATTCGACTCCCTGGTGAAGTCCAATCCCAAGCATGCCCCCGGGTGGATAGCAGCGGCATGTCTGGAGGAGCATGCTGGACGAATGGTGGCGGCTCGCAAGCTCATTAAACAAGGGTGCGAGATGTGCCCCAAGAGTGAGGATGTCTGGCTTGAAGCCGCGCGGTTGCATGTACGCCCCCTATTCTCTGTGCCCCAGCCGCACTCACACTTATTGATCTTGTCTTTAGAACAACGAAGACGCCAAGGTTGTGCTCGCGAATGCAGTACAACACGTCGGCCAGAGCGTCAAGATTTGGTTGGCGGCTGCTGACCTGGAGCATGATGTGAAGGCCAAGAAGCGAGTTCTGCGCAAAGGTGCGCATAGCAGAATCATCCTGGCATGACGCATGCTGATTACCCCCTAGCTCTTGAACATATACCGAACTCGGTCCGTCTGTGGAAGGAGACCGTCAGCCTCGAGACTTCCGCGGCCGACGCTCGCATCCTCTTGGCCCGTGCCGTCGAGGTTATCCCCATGTCCGTCGAGTTGTGGCTTGCGCTCGCCCGCTTGGAACCCGCAGAACGCGCGAAGGCCGTTCTCAACAAGGCTCGCAAAGCTATACCGACGAGCCACGAAATCTGGATAGCCGCAGGTCGCCTCTTGGAACAAGAAGCAGCCACCAAGCCTGAACCAGAGAGGCTTGCTCAGTACGAGTTGGTGGATAAGACGATCAGCGCCGGTGTGAAAGCACTGCGTCAGAATCAAGTTCTTCTCACTCGCGAGCAGTGGCTGAAGGAGGCCGAGAAGTGCGAGAGCGAGGGTGGCGTGCGGACGTGCGAGGCCATTGTCAAGGCAACTATTGCCATGGACGTCGAGGAGGAGGACCAGCTCGATACTTGGGAGGCCGACATCGATGGCGCCGAGGCCCGTGGACGGGTCGGCACGGCGCGCGCGATCTTGGCCTACGCTCTCAAGGTGTATCCGAACATCAAAGACCTTTGGATCCGCGCCGCAGAGCTCGAGAAAGCGCACGGTTCGCGGGAGAGCCTGGACGACATCTTGAGCCGTGCTGTGGAGCACTGCCCGCAGACCGAGGTGCTGTGGTTGATGGGGGCGAAGGAAAAGTGGCTTGCCGGCGACGTTCCTGCCGCGCGCGAGGTCCTCGAGCGCGCCTTCATCGCGAACCCGGAGAGCGAGCAGATTTGGCTGGCCGCCGTCAAGTTGGAGGCAGAGAACGGGGAGCTCGACGTTGCGAAGCAATTGCTTATTCGTGCGCGCGACGTCGCTGGCACGCAACGAGTGAGTAAAATGTCCTCCGACTGTCGACCATTCGCTGATGTCCTTCAGATCTGGATGAAGTCGGCCGTTTTCGAAAGGCAACAGGGACAACTCGACGCTGCTTTGGAGACCGTTTCCCAAGCACTAAAGAAGTTCCCGAAGTTCGCCAAGCTGTACATGATTCAAGGCCAGATTCATGCCTCGCAAAGACGATATCCCGCCGCTCGTCAGGCATACGCCGCTGGTCTCAAGGCTGTGCCAAAGGAGCCGACGTTGTGGATCCTTGCCAGCCGATTGGAGGAGGCGGATAATAAGAGCATCAAGGCTCGCGCACTCCTCGAGAAGGCGCGCATGGTCAACCCTGGTGTCGACACGCTCTGGGCGGAGGCTGTTGGCGTGGAAGAGCGTGCAGGTGGCGCCGGTCAAGCGAAGGCCATGCTCGCGCGTGCGCTGCAGGAGTGCCCGAGCTCTGGTCTTCTGTGGTCGATGGCTATATGGGCCGAGGCGCGCCCTCAGCGCAAAGCACGATCGGTCGACGCGGTGAAGAAGACCAACGACGACTCACTCGTCCTCTGCGCCATTGCACGCCTGTTTTGGAGCGAGCGCAAGGTCGAGAAGGCGCGAGAGTGGTTCGGCCGTGCGGTTGCGCGTGACGAGCACGATTACGGTGATATTTGGGGCTGGTGGTTGAAGTTCGAGCGCGAGCATGGGACCGAGGTAGGGCGCTCCTCTGACACTCAGTCTCGACATCTTACTGACGTCTATCCGTAGGAGCACCGCGAAGCTGTCAGAGTCAAGTGCGTACAGGCCGACCCGCACCATGGGCCCGTCTGGCAATCCATATCGAAGGACGACAAGAATAGAGGCAAGACTACGAAGGATGTCTTGGAGCTTGTCGCGAACGCTTTGCAGTAATCTACGGTTGTATATCTCGACGTCACCTCCTGTCAATGAACTCGCTAGCAGCGCGTGCCAAGTGCGTGCGATAGCTGCATTGTATAACCGGGTGAGGTCAGAAATGCTCAGCTGAACACCTGTAATCTCGTGGGCACACCGTTTCTATGGATGGCGATATTTTGCGCCATCGGGCGCTTACCACCGATTACATGCCCGGGAAGCGTATAAATCGACAGGTGAGGGGTTTTATCTTCTCCACTCTCACTTCTTCCGCCTGCTTCTTGCGCAATGTCTGTCCACGAGCTTTACGCCCAGAACAATGAGAAGTATGCTGCGGCGTTCGACAAGGGCTCGCTGCCCATGCCACCTGCGAAGCATGTTGCGATAGGTATGTTCGACATCTTCACGATCCCTCATAAGCTGACCGGGTCGAATTCAGTGACGTGCATGGATGCACGCGTCGAGTGCGTCCAGAGCTTTTGAACCCTTGCCGCAAAAGTGGCTGACGACAGCCCATAGGCCTGCGTCGCAGCTAGGCATCAACTTGGGCGATGCGCATGTCATTCGCAACGCAGGCGGCCGAGCGTAAGCGTGTCTTGTCTAGTCTGCGAGATACGCTGACATGCTTCGCGCAGGCAGGATGCCATCCGCAACTTGATCATATCTCAACGCTTGCTGGGAACACGAGAAATCATCGTCTTCCACCACACAGACTGCGGAATGTTGACCTTCACGACGGATCAGCTCAAGCAGATCGTGAAGGACGCCTCGCCTGGAGACTCTGCAGTGGCCTCGGCAGTCGACAAGTTCGACTCGTTCCTCGACTTCAAGGACTTGGAGGGCTCTGTGCGGGAGGACGTCGACTTCTTGAAGAGTCATCCGTTGATCCTCAAGGATACGCCGGTAACCGGCTGGATATACGACGTCAAATCAGGGAAGGTAAGCCTCTCATGTCTTTCACACGAAGAGCGCGTTGGTGACCGAGAATTCACAGATTTTGCGTGTTGTGTAGTCGAGTCGCCTTAGTCAAGATGTAGCGAATCTTGTATCATAATCAAATATCCCTAAGGATGCGTCCGTCAGTTTTCGTCAAGCCTCGAGCGCGGAACAAAGGCAAAACCATGTCACATGCGTGGTCGGGAAGTTCAACCTGGCCACGTGAAAATCACGGCTTTCGGTCTGCAGTGGGTGTCCTGGGCCAACTCGTAGGCAAGGCCGCAAAACTCAAGGAATAACTCTGAAGGGCCGTTTCACGGCAAGGCCCGCTACCATAAAACATGTAGCCTACTACTTGGACCCAGCCAACTTTGGACTCAGCCAACTTTGGACCGAGCGACTTGCGCGCCTCTCGTACCCGATCATTCCTGTATAAGTCGCGAAGGGCCGTTGCACGGCATGGCCCGCTACCATGCTGCAAAATTTGAGCATTAAGCAGTTGTATCCCTCCCGACTTGTCATCCGAAGCGGCAGCCAAACGTTGTTCGAACCGCGCCGCGGTCGGTCATACCTGTCTGAGATATATTTTTCTGTGTAATGAGAAAGCGCAGCGAGCTAGTTCTGGAGCTGCTCTTTCCAATGATCTTTGGTTCTAAAATTGAGAGATCTGAAGATTGTAATATAGGCGCAAACACCCGGCAAAGAGGGAGCGTCGGTGGCGCATGCCACGATAAAATACAGAAACAACGACCGTTGACAAGATCTGTGTCGATGCGAGCGCGGACGATCTGCCCCAGCCGCAGAGGCGAAGCAGCCTGGACAACATCTTCGGCTACAGTTGTCATGGATCGAGAGGTGTCGAGTGACGCAGGAATGAGAAGCCCAGAGAAGGCGACGAACATAGCTGACGATGCAAGCGAACGGGAGTTCGGAGAAGAGGAGAGAGCACGCCAGAGCTGCAACGTGTCCGCAACACGTGATGGCATGTGACTCTTGCCAAAGATCGTCAGACGAGGCTGAGGCCTGTTTTTCGTTCCATCCCTATAACCCACTACCATAAATGGTAGCGGGAATCATATTGATATATCGCCAGCAGCGCTGTTTATTCACTCTATGGTTCTTATGAGATACATGTCACTGTTAACCATGCCCGTCACGAGGATGAGGCATCGCCCGCCGCCGAAGCCCATTTTCAAGGTGTGGCGTTGCATTCGGCGAGTCCCAGCGCGGATTCCCACCTCCGCCCCCTGCACGGGCGCGCTTTCAAGACGTCGTTTAGTGGACCCCTACTCCCTCGTGGTTTTGCCATCACCTTCCTTCCCGGTGCTTCGGACGCCCGCCAATAGTGATCGTCCTCAACGCCATCCTGCTCAACGCGATGCACGTCATCCGAGAAAGTCAGACAGGGGGAAGCATGGACTTGCCTATACTGTGGTAAGAGCGTGCAGAGAAAACAGAACAGGACGCGAAGCGTAGGATGTCGCAGAGAAGCGGAGAAATTCAGGAAATGGCGAAGTCGGAAGAAAGGCAAACTGAGCCACCTCCCAGTCTTTGTGGAAGAGGTTCCTTCTCTTGATTTGAGGTTGGTCGGGATCTCTTCACGGCCTGAGAGGCGTGTGTTGTGTTCGCTTTCCGCGAGAGCACGACGAAAAGTAGATGAAGACAAGGGCTAATGTGCATTCGGCCGACGCCGACGAGTCGAGACCGCAAAAGACCCAGTCATGTGACAGCACGTGAGGTGTTACCAAAGTTCGCGAGACGGGGCGTTTGCGATTTTGCGCTTCATCCCTAAGACCCACTACCATAAATGGTAGCGGGAACTTTGCCTCAGCATGGACAACGGACGTTCCTGATGCGTGGTTTCTGAACGTTCTGACAGATGATATACGTGCGTACCGGCTCTGACTTTCAAGGTCAAAGGTCCACCTTATGGCTGCCTACTTGGACCTTCCGCCGGGCTGACCTCCCACTATCAACCCGATGGATGTGTTCTCACGCGGATCGTCGTTGCGGAGTGTCGCCTGTCGTCGAGGACGCGGCCTCGGGCGCCTGTAACAGGTACTTTACCAGGGGCCGACCCAGTCGACCCGAGATCCCGAGTTGCTCAGACGTCCTCGCCTGCCTTTGCGCACCGTTTGTGAGGACCTCCTCAGGCACTTACATCGGGGCGCATGGCCGGCGGCGTCGTTACTCCGCGTAGCGATCCATTATAAAAGGTCAGGGAGTCTCGTCCACTCAACCTACACCCGCCCTTCATCTCCGACCAAGAGCCTCACAGCATCCTACTCATCCACTCACTCTCTCATAATGCTCTCCGCTTTCATCCCCCTCGCTCTCGCGGCCGCCGCTAGCGCCAAGACCCTGCGCGCCTCGACGACCTCGCCCTACGGCCAGTCGTCGCTCAACCTTGAGCCCTTCAACACGACTTACGGCGTCGCGCTCTCCGGGCGCAACCCCGTCCAGACCACCATCCGAGCAGACCTCGACGACGCGGGCAACCTCGTCATGGAGTGCCCAAAGGCCGGGTACATCGCTGCCCTCATCCCCACGGACCCTGTGCAGGACCCGGCGGCGTACCACGTCCAATTCGTCGAGTCGGCGGAGGCGCTGCCGGCGGAGGCCATTGTCGGCGGCTGGGCACTGTCCGCTGACCGCTCCGGCCTCAGCAATGACAGCTACACCAAGGTCGAGAACACGCTGGTCAGTGCCCTCTTGGAAGCTCTCAATACAAAATCACTCACATACATCCGGCGACAGATAGGGCAGGGCATGTACACCGCGCTCAAGGTCGGCAACGACGAGGGCTACTTCGTACGTGCCTTCTGCTCCCTTTGCGCCGTGGCGGGACGCTCACTTTCCTCAGCTGTCGTGGCTCAACGACACGGCGGAGCACCACTTCGACACTCAGTGGTACATCGTCTTCGACAGCACTGAGGGTGTCGCTACATGCTAGAAGATTGACGCGAAGGATGCATGGGTAATCGTAATGGATGGACTTGGGCTATATTAATGGACAATGGATTTACTTGGGCGTCTCCTTGACGGCGAGAGAGGGGAACTTGCGCGCGTAGTACTTCGCCCATACTCGCTCAGCGCCTGATATAAATGGGTATCCTACGGCACTAAAAGCGGTTGAGCGATCGTGCGCCATGTCATCTCCTCCTACTCGCCGACTGCTGAGGATAGGCTACTTGCTAGCATTCAGGACATTCGGTGAGGCGGTCGATGAGTGGCATGGTCCTAGAAGACGCTGCTATATTTGCCCAAGATGGCCATCACATTCTCCTGCGCATTCATAGAAGGGACAGTCGCATCCTCATTACTAGCTCTATCTTTAATTGATTTTGCCTGTCGTTCATTGGTGTTCATGGCTATGCAGCACGCTCGAGCGACACATAGCAGCCTTACCTGGCCTTCAGATTTACACTGAATGCTTGCACGCGGACATCGACAGAAAACCACAAGAGAAGCCCATTCAACGCGATACCTACAAAACGTATGGTATAGAAGCAGAACAATGGTATAGGGCAAACAGCGACAGGGAGTGAATAAGATAGGTATGCAAGCAGCCCGCCAAGGCGCACACAAATAATGGTCCAGAGTCACAACAGAGTCAATTATGTCGCTAACACGAAGGGTCCAAACAAACAGCTGCTAATCGGAGAACAATGAATGATACAATTCGAGAGAGTCGTCGTGGGTGTCGTTGCAGGGCATCGCGTGTGTGCAATGAGGGTATGGGTAGTGAATGAAGTCCTTCCTTCCTATCATGAGCCTATCCCAGGTGTGCCGCCCAGACAGATAGTCGCTCAACCGCAGATACGGCGGTTTTGGATGTCGGTGGGGTTCCAGGGGATCCAACCGAAGTCAAGGCCCGCCTGGTACGACCACTCGTGTGCCTCCTCCGCCTTCCACGTCCACATAATCCACCCCGCGCCCTTCTCGTACGAGATGACCTGGGCCTCCCAGAACGACCGCAAGCGGCTCTTGTATTCATTGCTGAACGTATCGCCGGTGCCAGTCTTCGAGCTGCAGCTGCCGATGCGCGAACTGCCAGGGTAGCTCCCATCGTAGCGCGCGCCAATGCCACGGCCGTTGAGATACCGCGCGCAATCGGTGTATGCGGGCGTCCACTCGCCGACAATGGTCCAAAGGTCGAAGGACGACAGCGCGCCTTGCTTGTTGCAGACGGTGGACACGTGTTGGTTGAAGCTCATGGCAGCCTCCTGCAGTCAACGATGAGAACCCCAGAGAAGTTATTGAGAGGTTGAATGGCACGTACGGCGTTGGAGAAGATGGTGTAGATATGGGTATCAATCGCGACACCTTCGAAGCCAGATGTCATGAAGCCATTCCAGTAGCTTAGGTCCTGGAAAGCATCGTGGATGAGCTCGACGGTGTTGCTCTTGCGGGAGCTCCCGAAGGGATAGCGAATGTTGCCGTAGCTGTCCAACCAGAACTGGAGGACGGTGTCAAGCAAGAACCGATGCCAGCTGGGTCACGCCTACCTGCCGCGTGGCCGCGAGGACATCGCTACCGTGGAAGCCAGCGGGTCTATATCGGTCAGCGCTAAGCCTCCGATCAGATACGCTCATGTCAACTCACTCGTTCAACGGCGCGATGACAGTGACAGTGTCTGTGCGGTCCTTGAACATGTTCTCCAGCGTCTTAATGATAGCGTTGGATCGATCGATATTCGACTGCTGGGTATGCCATGTCGGGTAGTCCATTCGCTGTCCGGAGTTATCGAAGCTGTAAGTCCAGCGTCAATTGAATGTATGCGCGAAGCTCCAGAAGAGAGACCGTACCCGTTCTGGCTCCCTGGTACGCCTACAGGACGGTCAGCGCACGCTAGACACGCGTCAGGAACCACTCACCGTGTAGGTCAACGATAACTTTGAGGCCATGATTGGATGCCCACGTCACCGCGTTATTGAGGTGCTCGACTTGGCCCTGGATGTAGGGTTCGTCGCGGACGTCGAATGCCCAATAACCGATTGGCAAGCGAACATGATTGAGGCTGGGGGAATGTGAGCGCTCGGTCGATCCGCTTATGGTAGGTGCTTACCCCGCCGCAGCTATTTGCGCGAAATCGTCCTCGGTGATGAACGTGTTCCAGTGATTATAGAGCGCAGACGCGGCGACGTCGCGGCTCTGGTAGGCGCAGAAGGTGTACTCGTCGACGATCGCGTCGTTACCGGTCGCGTCAAAGAGCGAAGGCGTGATCCATGGCTATGCGGCATGAGCACAACGCGAGGCGTCGGGGCAGGACGACGACGCACCTCGAGCACGAGCCAGCCGCCAAGGTTCACACCGCGCACTTTGGTACCCCCATAGTTGAAGCCGGGGGAGATGGCGAGGGACTGGGCGAGGAGCGCCAAAGCGAGCACGGTGCGAAGGAGAGCCATGGCGGTGGAGAAGGAAGGATGCCGGGCGCCAGGCTTATATAGGATTGATGGAGCGGGACTTGTTCTTATGTGCTCACATCTTCCGTAGCCTGTTGCCTCGAGTGGCGTGTTACGCCATACAACCTAATCTTGTCACGCCGCCGCTGCGCTTGCAACCGTTGGGTCCGTCACCACCAGCAAATCAGCTGCCGCTCCGGTGCCCTGGTCCTCGCGCGTACGCCTCCATCGCACAGTCGTAAAAGCGCACTTCGGTGCTTGGCGCGCGCACGACCCCGCGTGTACGGACGGTCAGCTGCAATCACCGTCAGCGCTGCTCGGGGGACGGGGGACAGGCAGCGGTCAAGTTAGCATCGGCACGTGAAGTGATCGATCCTGAGATCACGACGATCTTCCCCGCATTTCTGCTTCCGCCGAGCCTCCTGCTGATCTTCTCACCCGCCAAGCGGCCTGTCCAATATACCGAGTCGCCCACGGGGGGACCGTGTCCTCTGCGCTTCAGGCTGAAGCCGCGGCAGGCTAGAGTGAGGGAATCCCGCGTGAACGTGGCCACGATGCACGGCCTTCATGAACACTGCAGCGGCATATCAGGCGATTCACTGTATTCGAGGGTGCGTACGGTCGCCGTTAATGCTCCACCTCGTCGTGCTCAGGGCATCATGCGGCAACCGCCCTCTCGGAGGAAAAGGCGGTCATAGATGTCGTCTATCGGTGCAGTGCAGGACGCGCTCAGCGCGCCGCCACCACGCGACTGCGACGTCGCGGTCACGCCTACGTACGCGTCAATAATTCCGGGTGCGCGCGTACCCACGCGACCACCTCCTCCCAGCTCTTCACGCGCGTCAATGGCGCGTCGGGAGGGAGACGATCCTCCAGATGCTCGTCCTTCCAAAACTCGCGACCGTTTTCCCGCTTCAAGCGCTCCTCGTAGACCATCTCCGGTTTGGCGTCGTCTGAACTCGATGTGCGCTTGTTCCACTCGTACTCCCCAAATAGCAGGACGTGTATCTTGTGCGACAGGTGGGTCGCGGTGGCGACCTGGAGCGCGTTCTCCGACGAGTCATCGATGAGCACCTTGGCCTTCAGACCGGCGCAAACCTGTGGCTTTGCTTCAACACGAGATTCACGCGCAACGGGCGGACCAACTACACTTACCTCCGCCTTGCTTAGCTTTGTGACAACTTCATGTTCGTTCTTCGTGGCGTTCTTGAACTGGCCTAGTAGGAGGCAGGTCCGCTGTAAGCGAGTAGTGCCTCGACGACCACGGACTTCGGGCATACCGGTGCAGATGATGCTCTCAAAAATCCCTACCTATCGAGTTAGCTACCTCGCGGGTGGCAGTATGACCGAGTCAGCCCACCCGGGAAATGCTCTTCCACCCATTGCCAGCTCTCGTCGGCCTGGTCAGGATTACGAGCTGTCACGATGAGCAGCCTACGTTCCATTCAGTTGAGAACATGGTGCGTGCGGTGACAACCTCACCGGAAGCCCATGTCCTTTAGCGCCCGAGTGCCCTCGACCGCGCCAGGTACAACCTCTGTGCGGAATATTCTCTTCGACTTGTAGTAGTCTGCCACCTTCTCCGCTGTCTCTTTGGGGGAACCCCAGTACTTGTTCTACTCCCTTTCAAGATACGCATATCTGCCAACAAAGCGCGTAGCTGACGTACCTTCCAGTAGTAATAGTCTTATCGTCACCTTTAGCTGCGTCTAGGATTGAATACGAGGTATTCACGCACAGAGAAAGTCATCTACGGTCATGTCCGTGCCGTAAACCTCGTTGTGCCATTCAGCTACCGAGCGATTCGTCTGTGCCAGCACGTCGTCGAGATCGACGGCGATAACGGGCGCTTGGGCAGCCTCATGCGAGATTAGGTGCAGCTTCTCCAAAGTGGGAGTCTGGCTCTGCGAGCGGTCCGCTGGAGAAGAGTGAGCGGCAGCCAGCTCAGAGGCCGGAGCGGACATTATTGCAGAGACGGATCCTAGAGAAGGTCGGTGGGGGTGGGGAGGACGAGGAATGCCGCTTGATCGCCGCCTGGTTGAGTCGAGTTGTTTCGGCGGGCCGATAGGACCGAGGTCCGACAAGGCACATTGTATCCCAGATGGGTAAGTCACTTACCTTTTTCGTCCACAATGTCCATCTTATGGCCGGGTATCCGGTTCGGATCCTCTCACATCGTATCGATGCGCGCTCGAGGTAGACCTCGACGGACTTCTCCATTCACGACGGCACTCGTAAGCTACACAATAGCAAGAGTTTATCGTCTGCATCGCCGCCTTGACCCTGGCAGTCGCGGTCATCGGACATGAAAAGCAGCTGAATACGCGGTCAAGTGCGCTTCACGTGTTCGACTTACCCTCGAACTTTCATCCTTGCATTCACGCACCGCATTGCGCACCCCGTTACCCCCGTCTTGGCGCCGGGCATGCACGGCCAATCGGCCCTATAAACGTCCATCTCCGTCCTGAGTTCCCCAACCCGCTGACCGGTCCTCCCCTCATGCTTCTCCTCGCTGCCCTCCTCGTTGTACGCCCACTCGACGCGCTAGTCTGCATATCCCACTAACAGTAGCCCAGCTCTGCGCTGGTGCTGCGGCGCTCGCGATCCCTGTCGATCCTAGGGCGGCATGCGCTCCTGTGATGCTGATCCATGCTCCGGGGACGAGTCAGCAAGGGCTCGATTCTGTTGGGGAGCCGTTGGCAGCGGGGCTCGCTAGAGAGATCCCTGGGTGAGTGACTTTTGCCTGACCTTTTCTACCGATGATCCTGACGTTACCTTCGAAGGCTGACCTCGCTGGGTTTGCCTTGTACGTGCTGATACCTGCGAACCCCGGGATTACTTTCTGACCCTCGTCGATCCACCGCCAGATAATAGTGAGTGAATCTGGGAGGCACCGCTCCGTCTTCGCCGCTCAACGTGACGACGCGCCCAGCATCTGCCGAATATCTGGTCACGCCAGCTCAAGGGGCAAGCCTCCTCGCGGACACCCTGGCATGTGCATCTCAAATCGACATTTCCTTGGATTACTCACAAGGCATCGCAGGAGACTCAAGCTGTCGCATGTCCTGATCAGCGCTTCATACTGAGCGGGTACTCAAAGTGCGTACCTTTTCTTCCCTTAATCATTACGCAAGAGGTTAACGAACTTTGTAGGGGGGCGATGGTAGTGCATCGTGAGTGGCGTCCTCAGCCGCGAAGGTTCCGCATTACACACTGAACATTCAACGATGTCTTCAGTGACCAGCCTCGACCTGTCCGACGAAGAGAAAGGCAAGGTCTGCGGCGTATCAGTCTTTGGGGTGCGCCAGGCAGATGTTCTTGCGAAATTAAGACACACTCACGATCATATAGGATCCATACGATGAGGACGGCATACTCGGTCTTCTTGGCCTAGACGATGGTGAGATGCTGTACGTCTGCAATGTCTATACAGAGGCTAAGATATCCAAAGATTGGCCAATTCAGGATCCTGTCGTCGGGGGCAATGTCATAGAGTGCGTACCTCTGAAACTGCTGTGTTTTCCCTCATCTCGACCTTCGGTCGCGCAGGTTCTGCAACAAGAACGATATCTTCTGCGACGGCGGCCTCGATGTAGACGCGCATCGAGCCTACCCCACCGACGGGTCCGTCGACAAGGCTGTCGCGTTCTTGGCGCCATTGTGTAGCTGAGTGAAGCTGCTGTCGAGCGGAGAGGAGGAAAGACGCTTTTATGACCAGAAATGCGCTGTAATTCTCGGGATATCTCACATTACTATGGTATATCGCCCAATGATCAGTCCAAACTATTCCCATGCACCTTCGTGGGTGCGCCCGATTACCATTCGAAGTACGGATGAAAGCTGGTCGTTCAGCAGTAGCCGACCTTCGATGGCTCGCAGCTGCAGAAGATGCATCAGCACATCGTCCAGGTCAAGAAGATTGAATGTACTCACTCGCCCGCGCAGCCATTGTACAGCACACACGCATGCTTCGCGTCCGTGCAGACATCCGTGATCGTGGCCTTGTCGCCGTACTTCTTGTTGATGCCCGCGAGCTCGCCGCCGTCGCGCGCCTCGACGCCCTGGATGTTGACGGTGCGCTTGCATTGCTTGCTGCAGTTGCCGCACGAGCGGTAGAGCTTGCCGTAGTCCCTGAGGATCGATGAGAGGGCCAGTCAGGGGCGGAACTGCAGAGAGGGAAGGGACAGAACGGGGGGAAAGACGTACTTGGCGTAGAAGTTGATGATGTTGACGGTGCCGCAGCCATTGTGCTGGACGATCTTGTCCTCGGCGTGGTATGCGCCACCACCGACGATCCAAGTATCCGAGCCGGCCTCTGTGAAATTGATGAGTGCGGAAGGTGCGAAGTTACTGAGCAGGGTACTGACTGTCGTTCTTGATCGTGATAGCGTCCTCGCAGACGTCCTCGAACCAAACGAACTCAAGGGTGCAGTCTGAGAACAGAGGATTAATGGACGTTCGGAACGATAGCGTCAGAGACTTACGTCCTGTGCAGTGGACACCCTCGGCCTGATTAGCGCCAATGATAACGTTCTTCAAGGTAGCGCCCTCGTGGAGGTAGAAGACTGCAACATATCCAGTGAATGTGTGCCTTCAACAGGAGTATTTTTCACTGACCTGCATCTTCCCAGTCACCCTCCTTCTGACCATTGCACGCGCCGGAGCCACGGTCGAACTTTTTCCAGCCACCTAGGACGTGTGAATCGCAAGGTGAGGCATAACCACCATTCCAACTTTACCATCGTAGACCTCGCCGGCCTTGACTTCGATGACCTTGCTGCTAGTGACATGGTCTGTCGGCGTAGGGAGGCCCTACCATACATGTTCAGCATACAGTAGTCCAGCGAGTCAATCATTATTGTTTACCTTGTTGTAGGCATCGCATGCGACTGCATACCCAGCAAGGGAGGAGATGAGAGCTGCGGTGAGGAAGAACATTGTGTGGGAAAAAAAGAGGGGAGGAAGGAGTGGGAGAGCGATTAGGGGAGCGTCAAAGACGAGTGGTTTTTTCCCGCCTTTGGAGACGAGCTTTTATACCGGCATTGAGCCTCGACGGAGAATGAGCAGGTGGTGCCAAGCCCGTGCCAAGAGCCAGACATGCAAGGGGCCGAGAAATCCATGCGGCGAGGGGTGAACCTATCTTCGGGGTGTGGACTCGAGTGGAAGACTGGGATGCGTCACCCACTTTGTTTGGACTGGCACGTGCACGCAAGCGCCTCTTAATTCCATCTTCGCGAATGCAGCGAAAGTTGCGACCTCGCAAAATGCGCAGCACCTCTGCAAAGCACCGTCGTCCTTCGAGCCAGGGCAATGGATGGTAGGCGGGTCCCGAGGGGACCATCGGGTACGGAGCACGTTGCCAGGGACTCGAAGTGGTTGACATGCAGGTTCATGGGAGCCAGCGAGGATTATCCTTCATTTGACGAGGCACATCGGCCTCGGGCGTTCTTTTGGTAAGTCGAGAAAGGGCCCGGAAGAGCGTCATGAGGTTGGCATACTGGATAAACATGCGAGAGATCCTCGTGTCATGGGAAGGAAACGACAGCGCCAGGCTATCAAAGCTCCGTTGACGACGAAGCTCACGATAAGAGATGTTGAAGCCAATAGATAGCCGACTCCGAAAAAGCTGAGCATATTCTCCTCAAGCTTGGGAATTGCACACTGGAATGGGACTATCAGCAAGTCCTGCTCAAGATTGGGCGACGAGTATATTTTCAGGAGCTACTAAGCACCGTAGTCAGTAGAGCGCGTATGAGAGACTCGCGCGACATCAGAGGCGGCCTGAAGACTGCCTTCTGCTACGCGACGAGCTTGGCTGGCACTGACAGAAGACGCACGTGCTTCCAAGAGCTGAGGTTTGCGGCAGATGCCGAGTCACTATACAGCCAGCCACAGTTACCTGATTCGGCCATGTGTTCCATGTGATCCGTAGGACCTACCGCGGCGGCGCCGTGAACAATCCCAAGTCGCTCAATCCTCAAGGTGAGAACATAGCCGCCCGTCGCTGCTCTCGTCACTGATCACCCTCTTTACCCCCAGGTTTGTGTTGCTTTTGCACCGTGTATAGCGCGAATTGCGGAACTCCAGACTGAAAGACATGCTTCTCAGACCCTCAAGATGTCGACCTTCTCCGCCACCCCCATTGTCATCGATGGCAAGGGGCACCTTCTGGGTCGGCTGGCGTCCATCATCGCCAAGCAGATTCTCTCCGGCCAGAAGATTGTGGTGGTCCGTTGCGAGGAGATCAACATCTCTGGCAGCTTCTTTAGAAACAAGGTGCGTCGTGAATATCTCCCGCATAAAGCAAGCAACTGACTTCACCCTCTCTATAGCTGCGCTACCACAACTTCCTTCACAAAAAGCACCTCGTGAACCCGAAAAAGAACGGTCCCTTCCACTTCCGCGCCCCGTCCAAGATCCTCTACCGCTCCATCCGCGGCATGATCCCCCACAAGACGGCACGAGGCGCCGCCGCTCTCGAGCGCCTGAAGCTGTTCGAGGGTGTGCCCCCGCCCTACGACCGCAAGAAGAAGATGGTTGTTCCGGACGCTCTCCGGGTGCTCAGGCTCAAGCCCGGTCGCAAGTACTGCACCGTGAAGCGCCTGTCGCACGAGGTTGGCTGGGGCTACAAGGATGTCGTTGACCGGTTGGAGGAGAAGCGCAAGATCAAGGCGCAGGCCTTCCACGAGCGGAAGGTGCGGGAAACCGTTTACTGCCATTGGGATCTATATTGACGGTCATCTACCAGGTCGCCGCCCTCAAGCTGCGCCAGAAGGCGGTCGCATCGACCTCAGGGTCGTTCGAGCAGCTCACCTCGCTCGGTTACTAGTCGCAGTCGCAGTCGCCGCTCCGTTTCGCCCACCACCCCCACGCCATATGAAACCGCCGCCGCCAGGTCCGATATGCTATACTGCCTATATGTAACCTTGACTATCGAGTCGACGTCTATGCCATGCATGAGAGAGTTTACCGATTCTGTATTTCTAAGCTTGTGTGTGCCGGCCCGAGTCAGTCGAGATGTTGAAGGAAATGGTGAGAATGTGACATAGCGACATTCGGTGAGTAGGGTGGCGCGCGGTCCGGCGTACGCTGCCCCCTCCGTGCTGCGTCCTGTGCTTGCGTGCATCTGTTTGAAGTCCGTCCCCGCCGCGGAGCTCGTTGAGCAACGTAATAAAATGGGACGCGTCGGGCGTCCGTGTCAGCGATGGCTGTCAGCGCGTCGCGTGCGCGTCACGGTCCAAAAAATTACTTGCCGAATTAGCCTCACCTTTTACCTCCCACCATCATCACCCCAGCCCCTCCGTCCCCCGCCCTCCGCCTCCCGCCCCGCCTCTTCTTTCCTTTTTCCCTCCCCGCCCCTCCCCTCCGTCCCTTGCCATGGCCGACACACAACACGGTTCCCGTATGTCCCATCCTTTTGACGCGTCTTTCTCAGCTCACCGCATACGCGCGCCTGCACAGCTTCCCCGCCACGCTCTGCGTCCCACTCCCCCGAGCCGCAGTCTCCCCCTCTCGACGGCGCGCTGCAGCTCCGTGCCCTCGTCAGCACCAAGGACGCTGGCGTCATCATCGGCAAGGGCGGGAAGAACGTGGCTGAACTGCGCGAGGTCACCGGCGTCAAAGCCGGCGTCAGCAAGGTCGTCCCCGGCGTTCACGAGCGTGTCCTCACTATCAATGGGTCTCCCGAGGGCATTGCAAAGGTGCGCAAGCTACGACAGCGCATATGCCGTATGCGTTACGTACTGACACTCGAGCGCAGGCGTACCAGCACATCATCGCCCAGCTCGTTTCGGCCAGCGCCGGCAGCCCGGAGCTCGACGCCAGCGTCGTCGCGACCAACCCGCACACCATGATCCGCCTGCTGGTGTCGCACAACCTCATGGGCACCATCATCGGTCGCGGAGGCCTCAAGATCAAGGCCATCCAGGATGCCTCGGGTGCACGTCTCGTAGCACAAAAAGACATGCTACCGCAGTCAACGGAGCGCGTCGTTGAGGTGCACGGCGTGCCCGACGAAATCGGGCGCGCTATATACGAGATCTCGAAAAGCTTGCTGGAGGATTGGGAGCGCAACACTGGGACCGTGTTGTACCATCCCCAGGCTGCAGAGGCATCTGGAGCGGCTGCACGTCGTCCCAGCACCAATGGCTTCTCCCCTGGTGCCCGCCGTCGTGCGATCTCCCCAACGCCATCTGCAGGATCGCAGTCGACACCGAATGCGCTCATCCGCACGCAGAACATATCTATCCCGTCGGACATGGTCGGCTGCATAATCGGGCGCGGCGGCACGAAGATCACCGAGATCAGGCGCCTTTCTGGATCCAAGATCTCTATTGCGAAGGCCCCGCACGATGAGACCGGCGAGCGCATGTTCACCATCGTGGGCTCTCCGGAGGCGAACGAGAAGGCGCTGTACTTGCTCTACAACCAGCTAGAGAGTGAGAAGGAGCGTCGCGTTGGACGCGAACAGAGCCAGAACGTGGCTATGCAGACGGATGACGATCAGTAGAGGCCCTCTTGTCCACGACCTCTTGTCTTGCTACCATCCCTCCCTTCCGTACCCGATCGTACAGTCAGTCATCAGTCGCCTTGGCTTCGGGACCCCTCATCCTCCCCTCTCCTCCGTTTTGAAGAATCTTATAGCCTTTTATTGACCGATTCCTCGGGTTAGTACATATGATGGTCTGTCCTTCAGCTTGCCTGAAGCCCTCTTATCGCTTATCGTACTGCTTTCATGTTTGGACTGCCCACCACCAACCGTACTCACGATATAAGTAAAAGTATGCCTATATTGCTAAACACACATACTTGGTGTCCTCTCTTGTAAGCAGCCACTGTATTCTAACATGTCATTGCTGTGTCGACCTAAAGTTGCTGGCATGCTGGAACTCGAGATGAGTGTTGAGGGCAGCTAGTTGACGCGTCTATTGTTTTCTTGAAAAGGAAAGCCGATCGGTGATCTCACTTTCCTCCGTCCCGCCATGAACAACTTCAATGGCGGGGCTTACAACTACAACTACGGCTATGGTCTCCAGAATGCTCTCGCAGGGACCCTCTCGAACCCGTATGCGACCCAGCAGAACGGCGGCCCTTCAACCGGAAACTTTCAGCAAGGCGTATACTTTTCTTCCCACTATGCGAATGCATACAACACCATGAACGCTCAAGGACTTGGATACACCAACTTGTCTTCATCTTCTTCGCATACCTCTCCCCAGCATGCTCTACCAAGGCAAAGCACGCCCGCCTCTCATGGCTCCTGGTACCGTCCAGGCTCCGACCGCTGCAGGCAGCCAGGCTGCTCGTTCACTGGCTCCGCGAAGAGTGTCGAGATACACATGATGGATCGTCACTTGATATATCCCCCTGGACACAAGAAAGAGAAGGGCGGCTGGGATGCTGATCCTAGTCTCAAAGGGTGCGTTCACGACTTACGACTTCAGACAGACCGCTCATCGTGCTTTCACCCCTCAGGAAGAAAATTACAATCATGGGCACGTCAGTCAATCTCGATGACCCAAAGGTGCTTGCCGAATGGATTGCTGAGCGCAAGCGGCGGTATCCTACGGCAGACCGTGTTGCGGAGAAGAAGCGGCAGCGTGAAGAGGCTGCAGCGCGTGGCGAGATTGGCTTCGAGGTCAACGTGAAGAAACAGCGCACAGACGGCGGGAACATGAGGGGCACTGACCGCGGCAGAGGGCGCGGAAGAGGAAGAGGCAGGGGCAGAGGAGGGTTCTCTGCGCCTGCTCCTACCGTATTCCACGCCCTACCTGCGAAACCTAGCACCCTTCCCCCTCCTGCAACTGCGAAGGCTGCATCACCGGCGAAGGACTCAGATGCGTCTTCATCAGCAGAGGACTCGGATGACGATGACGCGCCAGAGGAGGCATCGTCAAAGGTGCCAGCAGTGGAGGCACCCCTCCCTGACCCGCCACAAGAGAAACAACTTCCGCCCAAATTCAATCCTGCACCAGTGCGTCGGAAACCGGCCCCCCAGCCTAGAAAACCGCCTCCAAATCCATTCGATGTCAGCAAACGCGGTTCACTGTTGCGCAAGGTGTGTTTTATGCAGACCGCCCAAAGACTTCCGCCTAATCCCACCATGCCGCTAGCTATTGGACAAGGAGGTCGCAGTTACAACATCGAACCTTTCTCAAGCCATCCGCTTCATTGTGGACAACGACTTCTTCGACGGCGTTGAGTTATCTCCCGGTGAGGAGGAAAATCGGAAGATCAAGGTGGTCGAGGACACGCAGACAGGTGCATAGCCCTAGTCGCGTTCATCCGCATTATGTGGTTCTCGTAGTGTACATGCTCGTCGAATGTAAGTAGGGGTAATCAGCCAGTCCAGCTCTACTGGCTCTCGTCGCTATCGTCGCTGCCCGATTCTGATTCTGAGCCCTCCATCTCGCTCTCGTCGATGTGCATGGAGCGGCGCTCGACCTCGAAGCCCTCCTTCGCGAGGCCCGCAGCAACTTCATCGGCCTTGCCCGGTGCGGTAACGGCAACAACCATCGACTGCTTGGCGTCGAAGAGGGGTAGGAAGTATTTGCGGATGGATTGGAGGACGTCGTCGATGGTAACTGTCTGGGTCTTCGCGAGGATCTCAGACTGGTAATTCTGCGAAACACCCTTCAAGGACTGGTTAACGAAGGACGTCAAAGCCTGTGTCGAACATCGTATGAGCGAATAGGTTTCTCAAAATCAACAAGAGACGTACAGCGCGGGATGCGGTAGAAACGGTCTTTGTCACGCCGTAAACGATGCTGCTCTTCGCGGCGTCCATGGTCGTAGTGTCAAGCGGTATCTGAGTGTACAATCAGATATGCGGAGGTCCTTAGATCGCTGCCAACATACCGTGCCGTCGCAAAGGCCTTCGACGACCTTCTTTGCCTGTTCAAAAGCCCCAACGCTGTTCGAGCTCTGCATGTCATTTCGTCAGTACAAAGATGCAATCAGAGAAATGCGGAATACACATACCCGATACAAGGAGAAGCTTGTAAGGCCGGCTTCCAGGTCGATGGACATGTACGCGCCGTAGGCGAGGCCGGAACCACGAATGTAGCGCCACAAGTAGCTCTCTGTCGCGTTCATGACCTCAAGTGCCACGCGCATGGCCGGGTACTCTGCGTCACCGAAGCCCTGAATGCCCCTGGACGTATGAGTCACAAAGGAGCTCTCAATGGTCGGCAAGCTCATGACGATGGCCTGGATGATAGGTCAGTCCAGTCATCAGTTTGCGTGAAACTGAGACCCTCACCTTCTTGGCGGGATTCCTGCCGAGGTCGCTGAGGACGTCGCTGGTGAAAGTGACAGGTTCCAACTCAACCGAGGGGAGCTTCGTCCCGAAGTGCTTCTCGAACGTACTCCTCGGCTTGCTCAGGGCAAGGATGTTGCCAGTGACCGAGAACCTGACACCGCTCGGTTGAGCCACGGTGTCGCGCACTTCCGCCATGATCTTCGCGACTTCGTCCGGCTGCTGCTGCAACTGCTCCGCGACCTTGGGAATGAACTCGGTCTGCTGCAAGACGGTACCTGCGCGCGCAGTCGACCGCTCGCTGTACATCGCGTCGCTCCAAACTGCGCTCAACACTGTGCTTCCGTCGCGCTTGAGTTCGGGGAGCGCGCTTTGTACCTTTGCGATAGTGACCTGTAGCCGCTCGCGGTCGTAGATTGGACCGTAGAGAAGGTCATGCATCCATGCAATTGCAGTCTCGTACTGCGCTGTCTCGGCTTTGATGGAGAGGCGGAAGGACTCGGCAAAGCCGCTGGAAACGCCTTGAGAGACCTCGTAGGAAACTGTCTCGTCATCGAGGCGGTTAACGACCTCTTCGTGGGTGAGGGTTTCTCCAGAAGCGCGCTTGATGGGCAGGGAGAAGAAGGCGGAAGCATACAAGGTGGCATATCTGATTAAAATATGTCAGATGCGAATTCCAACGATTGCAGGCAAAACTTACGGGCGAAGGTGGTCAGGAAGCTTCTTGAGGTCGAAGAACGCATGGATCGTGACGAAGTCGGACTCGACGTGGTCGTATTCGACGAAGAACGGCAATTCCGAGCCATCCGCATTGATATGTGTCGACAACGCTGCGGCGTTCTGTGCAGGAGCAGGGCTTTGTCGGCCCTTGCCTTTTTGAACAACACTTTGTACCGGAATCCATGCAATGCTCTTGACGTCGGGCACCGGGAAGGTGTTGAGGACCTCCGTTGGGATGGGCTTGTCATGCTCGGCCTTCGCCTCGTTCAATTCCTGCTCGGCCTTCTTCAGGCCTTCAGGTCCGAGAGCTTCGACCTGCTTCGCAATGCGCTCCTTTTCGTCCTTCTCGAGCTTGTCAACGAGGGACGCAGAAGGCTTGCCACGGAGGACGATCGAGTGCTGATCGATGTAGTACTTCGACAACAGATCCGTCCATTGCTTGCTGTCCCAGGCCCTGAGCTGCGCGTACCAAGTGTCTTCCTCGAGCGTCCGCTTGATGTCCGAGCCGTCCTCAGCGCCGTAGAGGAAGTCCGTGATGAGGGAGTCCGAGAACGCATCGCCCTTGGAGCTCTCCAGCTTGCTCCGGAACTGCCGTTCGTCGCGATCGATGACCATGCGCATCCTGTCCATGTCGATACCGGTCTTGACGATGTTCTGGAAGCTCGCTTTGAGCTTCTCGTCAAAGGTATCGAGAAGTTCGGTGGGGACAGAGCCGATGTAGACGGGCAAGAAGATCTTGGTAGCGCGGGTGTCCTGGCCCATGTAAATGTACGTGCTGGGTCCGGGTGAGATTGACTCGCAAGGAGAAAAGCAGGTCGACGTACCACATGGGGGACTCGATCTCGATGTACTCCTTATTCAAAGGGGCCACGGTCGACGACGTGAGGTAGGTTCCCAAGATGTCCAGCGCCTGTATACCGTTTAGCAAGAGGCTGCGTACGACTTGAGCAACCACTAACCTTCCTTTCCACAAACTCATTGGGAGGAGGCCCTAGAAAGTTGATAACGAGTTCACCAACGCCTATGGGAAGCTCAGTATACGGGCTACGGCCGAGTCCATTCTACTGACTTTCATCTTTCTCCGGGAATTCAATAGTGTCCTTAATCGTCTTCTCGAAAGGAGGCCGAGGTGCACTGGGCGTCTCCAAGAAGGGACGCTTCCAACCGGTGGGCTTGATACCCTTGTTCTGACCATGTGCGACGATACTAGGTTCGATCTGCTCCTGAGCGACGCGAAGCAGAGACTCAGTACCGCCGGTGAGCTTGCCCGCCACAATGAGCGACAAGTTATGCGGGACGTAGTACTTGTGGTGGTAATCCCGGACTGGTGGATTATAAGTACGCTCGTCGATCAGACAGGGCCAGTACGCACTCTTCTCGACCGTCAGTTTGCGCAGAGCTGCCATAAGACCACCCGTTTCGCTGCGATACGCGCTACCCTCTGGTTCGGAGAGTTGATTCAGTCTATAACCAACATGATTGAGCATGCGAATGTCCAGAAGGTAATGTAAGGTGTACCGTAGAGCCATCAAGTCGCCAGAAGTGTTTTCGCGGCCTTGCATTTCGCTGTAAACGACCTGTAGCTGGTGAGTACTCAGATTTCTTACGGGGAAGCTCGACCTACACCGCTATCCTTGCCCTGTGGATCAATGTGGTGCACCTGATGAACACACGTCAATGGAGCGCCCATATGTATGGGCCTTGAGTTTGCGTACTTCCGTAACAAACCTTGACGAGAGGTTAGTCGGCGTTAGTAGGCACATGGGAAGGGGACGCACCCTGATTTGGTGAGAGTGGGGTACAGAATGTGGTCGACGTAGATAGGGAGTAATTGAAGGAAGCCCTGTGCGCCAGCAGTGGACGCGGTGTAGGCGGTGTGATCGTCGTCCGTCCAGGCGTTTGTGCCATTGGAGAATCCGCGGTTGGCAAAGTGGTCGATGATGCCCTTGTAAGGGTACTTCTCGGAGCCCATGAAAACCAAGCTGTAATGGCATTACAGCGGGCGCTGTTGGGTGGGGGAATGCGACGCACTGTTCCAAGGTGTGCGGACATCCAGAGTCGTCAAAAACTGAGTTACTGGTGAGCTTTTATCCTGATAGCCCTCCAGATAGGCCATACTCTCTGTCGCTACCACAAAGTAGCCCTTGACAATAGGTGCTGTTGATGGGTAAGCTTGTTGTGCTGGATGGACTGAAATGACACACACCCTCGTAGTCAATGTGCACGATGCTAAGCCCCGAGTCCCTACTCCTCCATTTCGAGACCTCGACCGCGGTATAGTCGAGCTTGACGCGCTTGACGAGGTCAAAGTTGCCAAAGCTCTCGCTGGTGGCCATAGTGGGTGCACTGGTCGCGTAGGCCGATCGAGCGAGAATCGGGCTGGGAGTCGTTCGATCTGGACGGAACAAAGGCTGAGCTCGACGAGAAAGACCTGTGAGCGGTCCACACTGTCGGCGCAGAAGTCCAAATCGCAGCATTCACGAATAAAATTCCAGCCCGAATCTGCCTAGGGGGAGTGACGCGGCGAAGCACGTGAGAAGCTCGGGCGCTTGTTTCGAACAAAACCACCGTCCGGCATCCGCCGGGCCACCGCCATCACCTCAGCACCCACGACGATTCTATCTTGCGCTCTCCGTCGCACGGCGTACTCTCGCCTATCTCCTCCCCTTATCAGAATCTGCACCATGTCTACGAAAAGACCATCTAAAAATCAGCTGACTCCCGAGCAAATCGAGGAGCTGCGCGAAGCTAGGAGAGCAAAGAAGCAAAAGGCTGAAGAGGAAGCAAAGGCGAATCCCAAGCTACCCACTGATGCTGCTCTGGATCCTGTGCGGTCCAAGATCCTTAATCGTCACTGGCTGAACTTGAGCGAGCCAGCTGCTGGTTCACAAACGATCAAGATCCTCTCGTGGAACGTCGGTGCCTCGTTAATCGTGATACTCAACGAAACTCACGCGTCGTGTATCTAGCTACTCGCTCAATGTCTCGTTCGTGAGCAGATTCTGTCTTTCGGTGCTTCACCATTTGATGGAGGCCGTGCGAAGGCCGCAAGCTATTCCCGACTAGCGACTGTCTGAAGGCGGCGCAGCGAGAACAGATGTGGTACAATGAACTGCTTTGCCAAAATGCCGACATAATGTGTTTACAGGTAAGACTGTCCTCCCTGGAATAATCACCTAATAAGCATTCTCTCAGGAAACAGATCGACTAGACAAGCTCGTACCTCTGCTTGAGAAGGCTGGATACGAAACTCACTATAGAGCGGGCGTGCGCAAACTCCACGGCTGCATGATCGCGTACAAGAAGGACCGCTTTTCTCTCGTGGATGAACGGCAAGTTCTCTACGACAATCAGGTCGTCAATGAGAACGAAGACCTTTCCGAGAACGCGCGCATAGGCAAGAGTTTCCGTACAAATAATACCGCACCCATCGTCGCTCTAAAGGACAAAATTGGCGACGATGGTGTTATCGTAGCCACAACGCATCTATTCTGGCATCCTCGGTATACCTATGAGCGAACCAGGTGAGTGATTCGCTTTCGTCTCAAGGGTAGCAGTCATTGAAAGCAGGACAGACAATCTGCTATCCTTGTCCGCGAAGTCCTTCGCCTAAGATCTGACCTCGGAAAAGACTGGCCTTGTATCATTAGTGGAGGTAAAGATTGTTGTTTGCTGACAAGCGTCAATCTTATTGACGTTGTCGCCATCGTAGATTTCAACTTCCAACCTGACGACCCCGCATACTCCCTTCTGGTAGGCGACGCCGTGCTCCCCACGCAAGAGGAAGCCCTCGTGGATTCTATGGTAGTGCATCGCACCATAGACCCATCAGTCCCTGCAGACCCGCCGAAGGTCGTCGAGGGGGCGAAGACCGAGGAAGAAGAGGCCGCCGAAGGGGAGGACGACGAAGAGGGGGAAGGCGCGGCCGCCACTGCCCCGGACCGCATCCCTATCAAGAGCGCCAGGCCAGCCAAACCAGACGGCTCAGACGGGCTCTTGTCCCCAGAGGCTCTTCGCGTGTTCTATAGCAAGAGCGGCACTCCGCTCAAGAGTGCCTACGACATTGGACTCGCAAGCTATAAGGCCAGGCCTGACGGCGCGTCTATTCGCACTTATGGAGATCGTGTCGCCCTCGAAGGCCGTCGAGGTGCGCATGAGCCCGAGTGGACCAGCTACGCGCACTTTTGGCATCTCGTCCTCGGTACGCTCCCTTTTTCGAGGCTGTTTTGCCCCACATCTCTGACAACGTTCACTGCAAACAGACTACATCTTCATCGTAGATCCTTCCAACCGTACATCGCAGATCACTGGTCTATTGTCAACGCCCACCACGGCCGACCTCGAGCCCAGCATCCCTCGCCTAGGGAAGTGCTCCAGCGACCACGTCTCCCTCTGCGCCGAAATTGCTTGGCCGGTAGCAGCGCCCGCTACCTAGTGATTAGCACACCCTTAGCATACATGCACCAGTCTCCCCATAGACAGCACAAACACGTATTGAAGAGATGGTAATGTAGAGATATCGTTGAGGTTGGGTATGTTCATGGTAGACGATGACAGTAGTAGTCCAGAGCGTTAGGTGAAAGAAAGGCCCCGTTGGTCTTGGAAGAGGTAGAAGAAGAATGAACACCTAGACAAAGAGGTAGAAGAAGAATGAACACCTAGAAAGTAAGGAACGTGTACTCGGAAAGCGCTTGTCGAACAGTCCTTGTCTGTCGTTGGAGAAAAAAGGGATACATGTCCCCGATTACCACCTCTAAACCCAAAAGATTGATACTGTACTATGTAGCATAAAGTTCAGCCTCCCACCATCGTCAAAAGTTCTGATCACATCCCCCTCCGGTCGGAGCCCGCCAATAGGCTATCGTATAGGCCACGCGCCGAGTTCTCGTTCCTCAGCTGGATCATGTACACGATCCCCGTCCGCCGTCCGTTGTCGCTCAGCTCGATGGCGACGCCCGTCTTGCCCACCCGCTCAACGCCGTCCGTCAGCACGATGGTCGAAATCATGACCGAGTGGTGCTTGTCCTCCGCCTCGACGACGAGCTGCTTCTTGTTCGTCGGGTCCTCGTGGTAGAGCTTCAGCTTCGCCGCACCGAGTGCCTTCCACTGCTGGTGCTGCTGCTTGAGGAACACTTTGCACTTCATCTGCGCCGAGACGGTCGTCGTGGTCGGTCCTGTATACGCGGGTGTCTCTTCGACGGGCGAGTTTGGCGGGCTTGGCTCCGCGAAAGACGCCTCGACCATCGACAACGCGCGCGGGTCCAATGCAGGCGGAGCCATGCGCGGCTGGGGCGCAGCGAAGTTACGCGGTCCTGGACCCATGGGGCCTCCCATAGGACCTCCCATTGGGCCGCCCTGCATGTGCATCGGGGGACCACCAGGATACCCATTGTGAAGCGGCGGTGGCGGCGCATGTCCATTCGATGACCAGCTCTGTCCAGTGTGCTGTGGTGACACGCCCTGAGGGAAGCCAGACTGAGGACCGGGCATTGGCGGGGCAGACTGTGGCATGGCTTGGTACTGATCGAAGCCGGCACGGAGCGAGCGAGATGACGGGGCTTTGTGGAGGTCTGCACCGGGACCAGGACCATAGCCCGGCTCTGACGGTGGTCGTTGAGGACCATAGCCACCTTGGCTCATCTGCCGCTGAGGAGGGAAGGGTGGCTGCTGGTACGGACCAGGTCCGCCATGAGGGCCGGTCAAGCTTGGGTTGCGGTTCATGGGTATGATCTCGCCTGGCTTGAAAGATACGGGAGGCGGGCTCGTGAACTGGCGCGCTTGGGGCGGTGGACCACCAAACTGCCGTTCTTCTGACATCCTCATGTTCCCCATGCCACGCGAAAGGTCATCGGCTCCGTTCTGGTATTGCGCAGGCTGCGGTGGTGGCGGAATCGGTGGTAAACCGTGACTGTCGCTCGAGGGTGAGGTGAAGTTACTGTGGTTTGACGCGACAGAAGGATAGCGCTGAGGTGCCGGTCCTGCGGGATTGGATGGTAATCCTTGACCCATCACGGCGGGGTTGATGGGAGGCACTGGTGGTGGAGGGACCTTCGATGGCGGAGGCACTGCAAAGATGTTATTTCTGAGGCTTCGCGGCAGGTCACCGAGTGCTTACGGGAGGCCGCAAACTCTATGCAATCCTTGAGCTCTGCCATAAGGGCATCGCGAGCGGACGGCGACTCGCATTCGATGATGAAGTGCTCCTTCCGCATGATCGCAACCTGCAGCGCATTCTCTTTTCGACGACTCAGTCGGACCCTGAAGTCGCGGCAGACTTTACTCACCTTGCTCGGGCACATCTGAGACGCGCAGGACCTTGCCTGCTAGAGGAGGGTAACATAACCACATGTCTGCCCCGTCAAATTCGCTTTGCTCTTCTCGCGTCATCCTCTCGCAGCAGAGGAATAGGTCGGACAACAAGAATATGTGCCCTCGGTGATGAACAACCTCTTCGCCCGTGCTTCGAGGTGTGAAACGGACTACAACATCCATAGACAATCGCAATTCACGCGTGAAGGTGAGGTGCGGGGGATTCATCTGCAACCTGACACCCTATAGAGCACTGTTAGGGCTGGAAGATTGATTGTGAAATGGCACATACTTTCGGCTGCATCGTGAACAAGTCCAAGCAGCGCCCGGCGGACAGTCGTCTTTCCAGGTCCGCGATAGGCATGGTCATGGAGTTGCCCGATGCGCGGCTGACCGAAGTCTCGCCAGTTTCCCTGGAGGAACGCTCACTATGACACTCAAAATATGGTTGCGTAACAAGTGACAGGATAACGTACCTCGAGAACGTGTTGCTGCCCCGAGCGGAGCTGCTCTCGCTACCCGGCTGACCCTCTTCGTTCCATCCGCCTTCAGGCTTGTGCGTGGCAGCAATGACGCTTTGTGTGCGCAAGTCGATCACCACGTCGTCTTCATGTTCTGCGGGAGGGGGTGGCGGAGGCGGCGGAGCAGGCTGCCCTACTTTGTAGACATCGCGTTCGTCCAACGTTTGCAGGAGTCCATCCAGCTTGTCCAATGCTGCTACCAGAAGCTTGTGATCGCTCCGGCCAGGCGCTGTGCTTTTCAGTAGGCGACCATAGAGCCGCCGGTAGTACTTCAAGCGACCCTTCGGCAGCAGGAATAGAGCATCAAGCGTCCAAAGGTCGCCTGACGGAGGGGGATGTGAGTTGGAGAACGTGGCGAGGACAGTAGGTAGGCGCGTGTTGTTTCGGACAGGATCCCAGTCGTCAAAGCCGCAGGTGTACTTGTTGGTGTAATTGGTATACGGCGCGTCCAGGTCGTCGATCTGAGAAATCCAGGTTAGATAGGCGCGAAGGGATGAATGACGACGCACCCAGCGCATCAAAAGGTCACCAAGGGCTTTTGGGGAGGAGGGATTGGAACCAATTTCCTTCAAGCGCTGCGAAGGTAATCAGCGATGCATGTGGGTAGGGTAACATACGTTCGCACCGTGTGCAGTGAGCGGTTCGTCTTGTAGATAGACTCGATGCACCGGAACATCGAGTCCAGCTCTGGCGGCGGGAGGTTCGAGCGCGACCATGCAGCTGCGACTTTCTGGTGGGTATGTGAGGAAGTGCTGAGCGGCTAGGCGGCAAGGACGGACCCGTATTATCCCCGTGAGCTGCTCTACATAGGCCTTTTCCGTGTCAATGAGGTCCGTGAGAGGATTGACCTTCTTTGGCTTCGGCTGGTCGCCTGCATCCATGCTGGCGTTGGGAGAGATGGGAGATGCGGGCTGGGATGTCATGTCGAGCCCTGCGTATTCGGACTTAGCGCGGACCGGTTCGCGAGATCAACGCGACGCACGAGAATCTATCGGGCCAAGCGATGGTGAACCAAAGGACTGCAGCTTCCCTATTTGCGGAGGGACGGGCGAGATCGGGGGAGTCCCATAGTCACTGCGAGGCTTGGGTGGAGGAGGAGGAGAAGAGTCCAAGTCGCTCGGCGGCAGGGCCGGAAGCTTGTCACTGCCCGGCGACGGAAGCGGCTTCGGAGACAGAGACATCACTGCAACTCAACGAGTGGCGCCAACACGAACTGGACGAGGTCAACTCGCAAGCACAACCTCTGCACCTCCGCCTCGCGAGAGAATTCACGACGAATGGCGACCGCTGCCGGCGCTGCCGTGACGCGGTTACTGTGACGATCCGAACATTCGGCACTTCCGGCGCAACTCAGGTTCAGCACGGTTTTCGCGCGTGTCCTGTCATTATAGCCAAGGGCCCTGGGCCTGAGCGCAACTCTGGTACATGAACTATACGGCTTGGCAGCGTATTATGCCTCCACATTTACGTGCAAGCACCCAAACCTTGGCGCCTGCGCGAAGGCCTCAATTGCGGCAACCGGCGAAAGCTTCCAAGGTGGGCCCGCGTCTCCTGCCATCTGCCGTTCGAAGCAGAAATGCGCCGATTGTCAGCAATAGTCTCCTCATCGCACCGGATATCTTCGGATAACCAGAATCGAACAAAGGATCAATGCACCTGTCATGGTCACCACCGACTCAGGACAGGTGTAATGTCCATGGCAGCGATTATATGGATCGTATTCTTACCGATTCCAACAACGATAGCGAGGAGACGATGTCTATGGTTACATGCCGTTACACGTGAATCCAAGTCCAGCGAACACGTATGAAGGATGCCAACGAGAAGGAGTCGATCAGTCCCAAGCGCCGGGAGGTCGAGGTTCGCAATCTTGTGCGTTATCGCGAGCTTGCGACTGACCACTGGACGAACCAGACCCTGAGGCCTGAGGTGTCTGTTGACCACCGATGAGCGAGGAGACCAAATTGCGCCAGCCGCCCCCTTGCCCCTGCGGCGGACTTCCACTGCCACTAGGCGGGGGCGATCCTGGACCGTGCTGTTCGGGTTGCGGCACTAATTGGTATCTGTAAACCCATCAATACCCTGCACCGATGCCCGTCAAGTACACGAAGGACACACCTGCATACAGGACAGGTACCGCTGGACTTGAGCCAGGGGATTATGCATTGCTCATGGAAGGCATGTTTGCACGGCAAGGTGACCACAATCTGGTCTTCGCATTCTTCAACATTTGTGGTGAACTGATCCTTGCACACAGCGCAATCCTTATCCAGCAACGGCGCTGAAGGTCATTAGCAATTGATGCGGCTCGAATGACCGCCAACTCACAACCATCCTCCAAGACCTCGCGTGGAAGCTTGTCCATGATTTCCTCCGAGGCCGGGACGGGGCGATGGGCATTAGAGTTCTCCATAAGTTGTGTGATGATGTTGTCGAGCGCTGAGAGGAAATCAGTAACAGTCGTGTTCATGGGATATACAAAACGACGCACCTTCTTGGTTGTACACGTAGTCCCCCATCTGGCCCGGCATGCCACCAAGATCACCGAGTCCGGGACCCGCTCTCCCTCCAAGTAAAGCCATAAGATACTGGGCGAATAGTGGTCCAGCAATACCGGGCGCATCGCCACGATCGCGTCTTTGTTCAGGAGCCGGTGCAGCGGCGAGGAAGCTGTTGAGGTGAGGATGACTGAAGTTTAATTGATCAATCGACGCACTCCGCTAAAGTGGGGACTGGCGGAGCGTCTCGCGATCCTATGCCACCGCCAAAAGATAGGGATATGTTGCCGTTTCCTGATCTGAAGTTGAAGCTCTATTCTCGAGATGAGTTGACGCAGATGTTGAAGGGGCATGGAGGTTTACTCTTGTGCGGTCATTAGACCTAGTGGTCGGACCATCTTGGGGCGAGCGCGGAGGGGCCAAGCCGGCGAGTAGATCCAGCAATGTGACTGCGTAAGTTAATCAGACTGAGCACAACACGGTAGTAAAGTTGAGTGATACCTGGGACTTCGTCCTCATCATTCGTGAACTCCCGAGGATCGTCGGTCGGATTGTCCATCTGTGATGCTTGCTAAGCGCCGAGCGATGGTGCTAATGAAGGAGCGCACCTTTTCTACGAAACTGCTGTTGCAGGATGCGCAAACAGGATGTGGCACCTTGGATTCCGTTCATCAATGGTGCGCCTTCGTTGACGATTGAGGCGTGCGTACCATCTGGGGGCGCATCTCGGCATGGCACTGTCCAGCACGTATTAGCGCCAACCTCGCTGGTAGACAAGATGAGACGAGCCTCATGACAGTACCACATAGGTTCCCTGCTCGACATGATGGTTTGTGGGAAGCTGTAGATGGAGGTAAGACGGGAGAGGGTGAGTGACCAGGCCGGTGACGGCGTCGGCGCAGGAAGCGGCGCGGAGATATCACGTGGCGCTCGGTGATCCGGGCCTTATGATCCGGGCTCCGCTGTCGACTGCCCTTGTCCCCGACCACGACCGCGTCGACGCATTTTCAGCGACGGTGAGTGCCCTTCCTCGGCTTGTTATGATGAATGCCTGTGTTCCCTATTATACGAGTGCTCTGCGTGAGATCAAAGTCGGGTTATACTGAGTTGCATGCATCTATCGCCGCGCTCCCTTGATCGCCTTTTACTGACACAACTTTTCAGCGTCGCTCAGAGCGATGGTCGTGTCCCGTGTATCGCCTGAGGTGGACTTGGACGGCCCTCTTATCCTGACGACTATTGCTCCTGCCGCAATTGTTGCCGTTGGTCTTGTCCTCGACATCTTGCGGCTGCTCCCATTCCCACAAGGCGTTCGGTCGGCCTGGCGTACCCTTTGCAGTCCTTTCGACAATTTCTTACATGTCGAGGACCTTCATGATGCCGATCCTATCCCAACAGTCCCAGCTGCTTGGAAAGGGCGAGCTCTAATTGCCCTTGCTGCCGTACAAACCGCGGCGGCCGCCGCTGTCTTCATGCACGCATACCTCGTCGGCGACGCTCGGCCCTTTATCGCTTCTTTGGTGATGTGTATATGTTGGGTACGGAAAATGTCATGGTCTGTAATGCAATATCATTCAATCATAAAATTCAGGCGTATGTGTCCCTCAGATCAGCTGTGAAGCCACCAACCAGGCCTCCCTACATTTTCCTTACCTTCGCGTTCGTTCACGTCCTGTCTGCGGTAGTGAACTTGGGCTACGATGTCCGACTTCCCTCCCGCGCGGTCAAGGACGTCTTGGGGATGATCGTCCCTGTGTTATTCATCTGGGTGGGCGGTACACTGCCCGTAACGACTGTTCGCCCCAACAGATATGTCGCAAAGCCCCATGACACGCCAACATCATCTCAGACCGTACCAGAAGACGATGTCACCCTCTGGCAATGGTTCACATTCTCCTTCGTCGAGCCCATCTTCGGCATCTCCGATAAGCGCACGCTTCAAGCCACAGATGTTTGGAACCTATCACCGTACTTTCAGCACAGAAATCTCTTCAACAAATACCTGGAGTACAGAACGGCGTAAGTGTTGAGAACACTTCCCTGACGAGTACTGAAGATTCATTAGCCATCCGAACCATACGCTTCTGCGCTTTCTCCTTGTTTCCAACTCTCTAGACCTCATTCTTGACCTCTTGCTATCCTCTTGGACCGTTTTCGTCGGTGGGTGATATTGCCACTGAAATATGCCAAATCTTGCTAACCCTTCGTCCAGGCTTTGTGCCGCCGTATGCCCTTCAGGAGATTCTGAAAGCCCTAGAGAGTGGTGCACCCGGAGCACGTACAACGGCATACAACTGGGCCCTCGTGGTTTTCCTCGCGCACCTGTCTTTTGCCCAGAAGGACCTCATACAGCGTTGGCATCAGCGACGCTGCTACGAGCGCACCCGGGGTCAGCTCTTCTGCGCCCTGCACTACAAGTCGCTCAAGCGTCAGGACGTCGTTGGCAAGGCTGGAGAACCCGGAGACGAGCAGGATAGCGCTGACCTGGGGAAGATCGTGAATTTGATGCAAGGAGACTCGTACGCGGTTGCGCAACGCTTCTGGGAGTTCAACGGGATCTTTGCATCGCCCATCCGACTCATCATCGCTCTGGTGTTCTTGCACAAGTGAGCAACCTTTTCTAGCAACGGGATTGCCTGCTGATGAAAGCCTATCAGTATTCTAGGCTGGTCGGCATTCTTTGGCGTCGGTGTCGTGTTACTGGCTTATGTCCTGAACTACCCACTCGCCAAGTACAACATCTATGTAAGCCACCTCGCCTCGCTACCTCCATCATTTACTCACGCTTGGCAGGTGACGAGGAATTCGTGGAAGGCAAAGGATAAGCGCATGAAGACAGTCAATGAGATGCTGCAAAATATCAGGTTCTTGAAGTTCTATGGTTGGGGTACGTGATCCATTTAAAGCTCTCGCTATCGCTGACTTCTATCATTTCCAGAGAGCTTCTGGGCCAAGTTATCGCTCGACGCGCGAGAGAAGGAACTATCATGGCGTGTCGAGGAGAATACTGTCGACGTTCTGATTACCTTCATATGGTGCGTTCAGCGCACGCGTCCTATCAAAGCGTCGTGTTCATGCATGCAACAGGACATGGATCCCTTCCGCGACTGCCCTCGCCGCGTTCATGTCCTACACTCTCATCGCCGGACAACCTCTCACCGTCTCAAAAGCCTTCACAGCAATCATGCTGTTTTCACAACGTAAGCCTCACGATCGTCGTTCTTCTCCCGGTGCTTATCCCTTCCCCGCAGTGCAGGAACCCATGACCGCGCTACCCGGCCAAGTCTTCGCACTTCTGCACGCATACGTGTCTATGCAACGTATCGAGAGCTTCCTCCGGGAAGACGAAGTGCCGGACTGGGCGTCAAGCTTCGCTACATCTGCCGAACCGAAGGCAGTGGACGATATAGGGTTTATGAATGCCACATTCGAGTGGTATACCCCTTCGACCCAGACGTCTGGGAACGTCCCCTTCCGACTGGGTCCGCTGGACTTGCGCTTCCCCAAGGGGCAGCTAACTCTGATAGCTGGCGCCACTGGTGTGTATCTAAGCATCGACTCGGGCGTCGTACTGACCAGCTGCAAGGATCTGGCAAAAGTGCATTGCTCGCTGCACTTCTTGGCGGTAGGTTCGCCTGCGTCACTACAGCTCCAAATCTAACATAACATTGCAGAGATGCACTGCATCTCGGGGGAAGTGCTAATGGACAAAAGCAATCACAAGGTAGCGTATTGCGCGCAGCATCCTTGTAAGTGCCGTTTCCGATATAACCCATGAGCCCGAATGCTCAGCTCCTTTCAGGGCTGGAGCATGCCACCATCCGCGACAACATCATCTTTGGCTCTGCATTCGGATTCGACGAGGCCCGATACCAAAAGGTCATCGAGGCATGCGCGCTTGTCCGTGATCTTGAAGTCTTCCCTGCTGGAGATATGACAGGTTTGTCGCCCCCTGAGTGCGCCCGAGAATGAATTGCTCACATCATATGCAGAAATTGGCGAGAAGGGCGTAACAGCCAGCGGCGGTCAACGAGCGCGCATTGCCTTGGCTCGGGCGATGTACTCGCAAGCGCAGTACATCTTACTTGACGACCCGTACGTTGTATCATGCCTTCCCGCCTGTGCTCTCCTGATCGAGAATCAGTCTTGCTGCCGTCGACATGCACACCGCGCAGCATATAGTCAAGAACTGCCTGTCTGGCGAACTCGCACAAGGCCGCACGATCATCCTTGTCACGCACCACATCGGCGTTTGCCTGCCAATCACTGCGTGTTTGGTTGAGCTATCCCGGGGTCAGGTCCTGCATCACGGTACCGTGGACGAGCTGCGTCAGAGGGGCATCTTAGACGAGGTCATCGAGACGGAGGAAGAGGCTTTCGTCGAGGAAGAGGTTGAGCAGAAGCCAGAAATCAATGAAGCCGACGACATCGTCAACGGAAAGGTCACTCCGGAAGAACCCGCCAGGACGGACGGCAAGCTCGTTGAGGAAGAGAGACGGGCAGAGGGTCGTGTCACGCTCAAAACCTACCTTACCTATGTGAAGGCGGCGGGGTACGGGGCGTGGTTCGCCGTCATATTCTTGATGCTCTTCATCCGATTCGTTACGATTTTGAACCAGGTATGTGCCTTGAGTCCACGTCTTCGTTAATGTCGTCTCTGATCATTTCATAGTTCTTCTTGGCCGCTTGGGGTGAAGCGTACGAAACCAATCACCCTGCATTACGCGCCTTCGCCAAACTGCGATATCCATGGGAAGGCCTTCCCCCACCAGCGGAAGATGTCAAACCCTGGCTCATGATCTACCTCTACATCTCCCTCATCGGCGCCTTCTCCGTCCTCATCTACATCGCCCTCGGCTACTACGCCGGCCTCCAAGCCTCCCGCGCCCTCTTCCGCGCCCTCCTCCTCCGCCTCACCCGTGCGCCCGGCCGCTTCTTCGACACCACCCCCGTCGGCCGCATCCTCAACCGCTTCACCACGGACATCAACACCATCGACGGCGCCGTCTACAACTCCGCACGCTTCTGCCTCACCGGCGTGCTCAACTTCCTCGCCTCCTTCCTCACCATCCTCATCATCGTGCCGAGCTTCGCGCCGTTCGCGCTGTTCATCGCGTGGCTGTACGTGCGGCTGGCGCCGAGGTATATACGCGCGTCGCGCGATTTGCGGAGGTTGGAGAGCGTGAGTCTGTCCCCTGCGTTTGCGGGCTTTGACGAGCTTATGCGCGGGATCACGCATGTGCGGGCGTTCGGTATGGAGAGGCGCTACCAAGAGGCGTTCTACAAGAAGGTGGACAAGTTCCAGGCGTTTGATCACGTCTATGTGCGTTGCAATTCGTTCATTGGTTCGAGCATCGTATTGACGTGTCGTGTAGTGGCTGGTCAGTATCTGGCTGAGCTGGCGCTACGACTGCCTGGGCTCCGTTGTAGTCTTCGCGACTACGCTATTCGCACTTTGGGCGGGCGTGAACGATGGGTCGACTGCGATCATAATCGTGCAAGCGACTGTCTTCGCGGAAGCGAATCGGCAGCTCGTTCGGTAGGCCGTCATTTCTCCTCTGAAGGTCCGAAGTTCATGGGCTTTGTAGCGTTGCTGCGCAACTCGAGCTCGACTTCAATAGCGTTGAGCGTGTTGTGGAGTACTTGGATGTGCCCCAAGAGGCGCCTGCGATCATCGACGACAAGCGACCTCCTGCGTATTGGCCCTCGTCAAATGGGAGCGTGGTTGTGGACAACCTGGTTCTCAGATACGCACCTCATCTACCGCCTGTGCTCAAAAACATTTCGTTCGAAGTGCATCCTTCAGAGAAGATCGGAGTGGTACGTCGTACAATTCACTTCGAGGGAGCTTCGGTCTCACCCGCGCTGCACTTCTCAGGTAGGACGCACCGGATCAGGGAAGTCCACCCTGGCTCTTTCATTGCTGCGCATGGTGGAGGCCAGTGAGGGCTGCATCATGTACGTCGACCGTCGCATCAAGACCTACTCGATCACTGACGAGCTCCCAGAATCGACGGCATCGACATCTCGCAGATTGGGCTTGAAGACCTACGTACACGAATTGTATGTCGCCGCGTATCACCGTTTGCTACCGAAGCTTACCATCCCGGGCTCCTCCAGACGATAGTCAGTCAAGACGTCTCGCTGTTTTCTGGAACCATTAGAAGCAACCTCGATCCGATGAATGAGCATTCCGACGAGGGGTGTATGGACGTGCTCCAACGCTGCCACCTGGCCTCTCTTCTACAGCATACAAACCAGGCGGGGGTGAAGGACCCGCTGGCTATGCCAGTGTCTCAAGGATCCTTAAGCGGAGGAGAGCGACAACTCCTGGCCCTCGCACGCGCGGTCCTTCGCAGGACCAACATCATCATTATGGACGAAGCAACGTCCCAAATCGATCAAAACCTAGACGACCAAGTAAGTCTGAATTCGTAGACATGGACCTCAAGTAGCTCACACATGAACTCCCCTAGATACAGGAGACCATCCGGACGGAGTTGGCAAGCTCCGTGGTGATCACCATCGCCCACCGGCTGAAGACTATAATCGACTACGACCGCATCCTCGTTCTAGATGACGGCAAAATCGTGGAGTTTGACACGCCGCGGGAGCTCCTGAAGAAGAGCGGGGGCCTTTTCAGGGAGATGTGCAAGAAGAGCCACGATTGGCCACTCTTCGCCGGCGTCATAGAGAAGGAGCGCGGGAAGACCGGTACGAGCGAGTGATTAGGTCCGGTCGTAGATGCGATCGAATTGTGCGCTATACACAAGTCCCACAGCAAAATAGAGCAATTCAATAGACTAAGGAAGTGCAATATCCGTGGGTGGAGCTTCAGCACGAAGTGCAGCGAACCGTCAGAATACTGCCACAGAAAGTATCGCCACTAGGCAGTCCGGTCAAATCTAGGCTGCATAACATAGCTGATGGGTCCGATCTCCATATCAGGCTAGTCCCTTGGACGATGGAGCGGTACTGAATAGTATGTGGACCCACAGATACCGTAGTGCATTCATCCTTTCTGGGAGGGAGAGCATGAACGCGCACAGCGCAAGATAGTAGGTGTGCGGGTCGAGCAGGAGCAGCAAGATTGACGGCTTGATAGCATGCGCACGAATCGCACTGGATCATGCGGCCCGCCTGGTCTCGGGCCGCCTTCGGGACGAAGACGGGAGAAATGAAGACGAGGGGCGCGAGCAGGACGCGTCCAGACGCGTGACGTCACAGGGAAGCGGGGAGAATGACTTCCTGATTGGGCGCCCCCAGTCGCTTCTCCTCGCGTTTCCGTCATAGCCCATGTATCAGCCGACATCGGAACCCGCGCGTATAAAAGACAGCAGAACGGAGTCTCATGACAAGCTGTCGCCCGCCTCCTTCTTGTTCCCTGCATTCACCAGGACCGCTATCTTAGACTCGCGACGCGTACGCCGAGCCCTTGTCCCTGCCGCATTGCTCTAATTCGTCCTCAGATATCGCCATGACTGAACAGCCCACGAAAGGTGCGTAATGGAGTTGCAAAACCTGTGCCGTATCTCATGTACGCATATAGTCGCCCTTCACCTCGGCCATTTGCCTTCCAAGAACACCAACATCAAAGCACCATGGCCCAGGACGCCTACGAGGGTACGGCTGCTTTGTTCCTGGTGCAAAGAGGTACTGACGCATCTCAGATTGACCCCAACAACCCGCCTTGGCCGTAAGCCTTCCCAGCTCCCATACCAAGGACGTACCTCACAATCCCACTAGAGCGTACCGTGGCTACCATGAATACAGTTTCGCTCATGCCACAATGCAGTCTCGTCTTCCGACCATTCTCGGCAAGGCGATCGACGATGTCACGGTTACGCTCAACCAGCAGAGCTCCGAGGAGATCATCGTCGACCTCGTTCACTGCATAGAGCGCATGGACGAGCTCATGCACGACCTGAGCGGGAACGCAAAGCTGCGACCCATTGTCGACGACAACGAGGGTGATGTCCCTCTGTGGAATAAGGAGATTGCGAAGTACTTCCAAGGTGCGCCTTCGCATGATACCGTCGACCACGCCATATTCATCGCACCATAGGAAAGGACTTCATGAATGCGCCATGGCTCTTCGCCGAGGCGTACAAGTACCGCCGCTTGCGGGAGTGCTTCAGCGTCAGCAAGTACTGGAAAGATTACGACGTGTTCTTCCGTCAGAAGGTGAGGAAACTTCATTGACTCTGCGTACATCTTCATCTCATGCTACCCAGTGCGATACGTTCTCTCGCTCGAATGAGGCCGTCTTCGAACTATCCACGCGTTTCGCCGAGCCCTTCAAGATTTCCGATAACTTGTCTGACGCCGAAAAGCTGGAAGCGGAGCGCTTGATGTTCCTCGAGCTCACTCAAGGTACTGTCCGTTCACAGCTTGTCTTCGTCCGCTCACATCTCGCTTAGTGTGCTTGTGGGGCAACTCTACGGATCTATCTCTTCTCGTCAACATGACCGAGGAGCAAATCAAGTCTTTGCAGGCAACTGGCGGCGAGCATCTTGCTGCTACCGAGAAGAACATCCTCGGAAACCATCTAGGCGAGCTGTGGGAGACCGTGAAGGAGCTGCGCGGCAAGACGGGTGGCCGCGTCGACTTCGTGCTCGACAACGCCGGCTTCGAGCTCTACTGCGACTGTGTGTACGCCGATTTCCTCATCCAGAGCGGCCTTGCTTCGCAAGTACGCTTCCATGGCAAGCGCTACCCGTGGTTCGTCTCGGACGTTACGCGCAAGGACTGGGAGTGGCTGCTCAACATCATGGTCTACGGTCAACTCTTCCCTAAGGCTACCGAAGCGGAGCTTGGCAGTCTTCGCAAGCTCGGGCACCGCTGGAGGGAGTACGAGAAGAGTGGCAAGTGGGTGTACGAGCAGCACCCCTTCTGGTGCACTGGGTACACGTACTGGGACCTGCACTCGGAGGCGCCCGATCTGTTCCTGCACCTCAGCAAGAGTGACCTGGTGATCTTCAAGGTTTGCTTGACCTTCGATCGCTCGTACTTGCGAGAATACTAACGTCGAATTAGGGTGATCTCAACCACCGCAAGCTCACCTACGATTGCGCTGCTCCTGCAAGCACTCCCTTCGACGTTGCTATCGGCCCAATGGCGAACTCTGCGGGCGCACCCAAGATCGCTAGCTTACGCACCATCAAGAGCGATGTTGTCGTCGGTCTCGGTGAGCAAGGTGACGAGCTCGCGGAGAAGTTGGATAAGGAGGAGCCAGGTTGGAAGATCAGCGGCAAATATGTGAGTTCTGAAGACGACTTCTACACGCAGCATGTGTATCTAACTATTTTCAGGCCGTTGTCTTGCTTTCGGAAGGACGTCCAGGGGAGAAGGTTCGCTTCGCGTAGGTAGATCGTTTGTACTATATGCGAGATCCCTATAGCCGTCGTGGCTTGGGCAGCATCCGTCGAAGTACATCCTGTAAAACCAGCCGTCTGTAGCATTGGTGTTTGTGTTTGTAATATAAGTACGTGTATAGTAGCCGCATACGGCACCCTATAAAACCCTACCCACGAGAGCATGATGCGCGTAATGGATGGGCTTTTGCGAACGGGTCTGATCAGGTGATCGCGTTTGCTTCCGTTGACCAGCGCGGGCTATCTGACCAGACTAATTGACAGCTGCAGAACGATGGACGAGGTAAATTGGACTCCTGACACATCTCTCTCTCTCCGCATACGCGTACACTCTTTTGGATTCCGGCCATGTTGTTCCGCTCTTCCTGGGTTTTCTTGTTGCTCTTCACCAGCTGGACCGCCTATGCTTCACCCATATATGACCCATTCGACGGGATACTAGACGGAGAACAGGCGAGCGCATCTGCAGTCGGAGGGCACCTACCGACGACAGCAGTGTCTGCAGTTATAGCATCAGCGCGTTCGGGGTCTGCATCTGCATCTGCTACTATCAGCGCGTCGGGCAGCTTGCACAGCGCATCCGCCTCGGCGAAAGGCACGACAGACAAAGACCAGTCGACGACGAAGTCGGAGACAGCTCCAGTTACGACCGCTATTACTGTCGATCGCGGCGGCACGACGCACACATACACCGATTACCACACATCGTACCGATCCCACTCACTTCGGGCGCCCTCGCTCACATTCACCTTCAGTGCTCCGTCGTACACCCCGACGCCCACGAAGGACGCCGGCTCGATGGCCACGGCGTCCGAGACGCGCGCGGAAGCCCAGCAGTGGAAGGCGATTGGCGTCGCCGTGCTCTCGCTCGCGGTCGTCGCGGTCATCGTCCTCGGCGTGTACTACTGGGACAAGTACCGCGTCGTGATCCGCCAGATCTTCTGCTGCGGGCGCAAGCGCGGCAACGACTGGGCGGAGCAGCTCGAGCCGGAGGGCAACAAGGCTTGGGAAGCGCGCATCGCGGGCGAGGATGGGCACCGCTACCCAACGTTGGGCAGCCTGGAGGAGATCGAGAAGGCGAGGGAGAAGGCGGGGTATGGCGAGGCGGCGGGGGAGAAGGGACAGCCGGCGCCCGCGGGCGGGCTGCCTGTGCCACTGCACCACGGATTCGAGGACTCGGAGCACCCACTGTCGCCTTTCTTCCGCCGACCGAGCCTGCGAGGGCAAGGGCAGGCGCCGTCGACGCCGCGCGCCGTGATGATGAACCCGAACACAGCTCTCCTATGAACGATTGGCCAGCACAACACGATTGCATTCACATTGTTATCCCTGCTCACACTGCACTAGCACAACATCGATACTCAGCATAACTATTGACCAAGGCACACTGTACATTACCACACGCACACACTGTATCCTTCGCTATCTGTCATCCTATGTAGGCTTCTGGCCGGTGGACGATTGTTCTTTTTGTTTGTCAACGGGGAACCTCCGGTCAACGTAGTCGGCAAGGACAAGGCCTGCGGCGGCGAAACCGCAGACAGCAAGAGAGAATTTGAGACGAGTTGTCGGAGAGAGGACTGCAGTATGTTCAGAGCCTGTCCCAGCATGATAGATACCAGTGCGCACCAAGCCAAGACTGGAGAAGGGAGCGTTCGGAGACAGTCGTCCTCTCTGCTAGACGCTCGCCGTACGTCTTGAGCTTCTGGCGATCTGATTGAACAGGTGCCATTCTGTCTGCTTGCTGCAGAGGTCCGTATGTGTGGACAAGGGCAGGACAAGCGGCCTGCCTGCAAGCTGGTGAGGGCGTAGAGTGGGCGTAAGAGCTGCGTAAGGGGTGTCCAGACAGTGATGATGAGACGCGGCGCCCTCGGTCCGATATCCGTGATCCTGCCATCCTTCCCTCTTCCAGTCATGTTCACAGGCTTAGTATGAGACCGCAGACGCCTGAAGCTCTGGAATTTACCATGCGCTCAGATCGAACATCTGGGGACCGTCTCCTCCATCGACCAGGATGACACGGGCTGCACCCTCGTTATCAGTGACTCCGCACCGATACTGGGCGACTGCCATGTCGGCGACTCGATCGCCGTGAACGGCGCCTGCCTCACCGTCACCGAATTCGACACTGAGAAGGTAGGGGGATGGTTCAAGGTATGGCTTGCAAACGAAACTCTGCAGAGGACCGATCTTGGTGAGAACGTGCTTAGTCGGCTCGCGGCTGCTTGCTCATCATCTGGGCAGGTGAGCGGATAGTCGGCGATCAGGTTAACCTCGAGCGAGCCATGGGTGCTCATGTACGCTTTGGTGGACACTTCGTCCAGGTGTGTACCCAGTCGCGAACTTCTGGGATGTCTGACCAAATGCTGTTCAGGCTCATGTCGATACAACGGCTACGCTTGTTGAGCGTACTTCAGACGGGGACTCGCAACGCCTCACCTTTGAATTGCCAGAACCGACTGCCACACGCCCATCGCTTCTACCATATCTCATCCCGAAAGGCTATGTCACTATTGATGGCGCTTCCCTCACCATCACTGGCGTAGACGACGCGACGCGCCGGTTCAGCATCATGCTTATCCAGCATACTCAGGAGAAGATCACCCTTAGCAAGAAGCCTATAGGTGCGAAGGTCAACATCGAGGTCGATATGGTTGGCAAGTACGTGGAGAAGAGCGTTGTGGCGGCACTAGGTGGAGGCGGCACTGAGGGCTTCAGATCCCTGATCGAGAAGGTTGTATCGGACGTGCTGGCGAAGAAGGGGATAGCGTAGCAGGTACCGCATGCAGTATACAATTGTATCATAGACGTTCGGGGCCCCATAGTCATCTGCTTGTTTGCGGGGGACAATGAAAAACGTTGGCTCGACAGTCCTAGATTGGCATCTGGGCCTGATGCTTGAGGTCGATGGACGGGGACCGTCGTTCGGAGTGGTACGGATAGCTCTCTCTGTCTCTACCACTGTCGGACATTTGAGCTCCTGCAAGCATCGCATAACGGGATGTTGACGAGGAGGATCGTGCCGTGCGGGAACATGGTGAGCTACGCCGCGGCATTCGCCGGATCCGCGAACTACTACTTGACCTCAACCATCTCAGACGTCGTCAGCTATGGAGGCGCCGGTGAAGCGGAAGGTCTGCCTGCTCCTTCTCGTCACTGCCGGCGACCAGGGCTGATGAACGCGCCCGTCTAGGTTACCGCGAAGGTATCATACAACGACATGAACCGGGCGCGTTCGACCCTCGCGTCGTCGCCCAATATCCCTCGCGCACCGTCGCCACTCAAGAGCTACAACTCATCTCCAGCCACGACACAACCGATACGACCCCGAGCGAAGGTGAACACCAGCGCCACGCCCATGCGCAAGACCGTCAGCGGAACGAGCAGCCTCGCATCCCCAATTGTCCGTTCAGCAACCCCTGCCCATGACAGGCCTCCTATCAGCCGCTCCTCTTCACCTGCACGGAGCGCCCTCTCTCCCAGGCTGGGCCCGGCGTCGCGCGCTCCCGGATTCACGCGCTCCCAGCCGCAATCCGTGCCGTCAACGCCAACTCTCAGGCCGACGCTGTCTCCCGATCCCAACAACAACCACCATAGAGCACATCACCAGAGTATCTCCTTCCGAACCGGTGAACTGCCGGAGGAGAGGGCGGGCTCGGACGTGGACTATCAGCCCGCACCTGCACCCGCGAGCGGCGTCATGCGCATCAAGGCGAAGCTCACGAACAGTGCCAAGGTGCAGCCAGAAGGCCTCTCCGTCTCGCCGTCATCAGCATCTGCGATCGGTCGTCGGCGCGTGCACTCGATATCGTCGAACACGTCGCAGTCGACCGTGGCCTCCCAGTCAGCCGCGTCCGCCGTCGCGTCCTCGTCTCGGCCCGATGCCCCATCATTATACCCCATCACTACCTCAGCCCCCGCGGCCAATCCGCACAGGTATGGGTCGTGGAGCAGGGCATCGGCATCCGACTACCGTCACAGCTACCAATCATTCTCGCGACCTCATGATGAGTCCTCGTCGACAGTGAATCATAACCGCAGGATCAGCGCAAGGGTTGACCCATCGCAGATTGCGAACCTCAATGCAAAGGTTGACCCTACGACTATCCCTCTCCCACCCCACTCACCACCGACGTCGGCCGTGTCATTCTCGTCCAGGTCATCTATCTCGCGCTCCTCGCTTTCAATGCGAACGGACTCGGATGACAGTGCAAGCAGTGCATCTACGCGCCACGACGGGACTAAGTCGCGAAGTTCGGGTGATAGCGGCCATGGGCATGAGTCTGATGAATCGGAACGCCAGGAGCGCAGAGAGGCGAAGTCCAATCGGAAGGTGCGTCGATACAGTTCATCACGTCCTCCCATGTTCAGTCACTTACGTCTCGCAGATTGCAGACCTTGAGATTACGAACAAGTCCCTGCTCGCAATCAACGCCTCGTTGGAGAAGACGAAGAATCGTCAGGCGAAGGAGATACGTGACCTGAGGCGCAAGCTCCGCGAGTCGCGTCTTATCCTCCCGCCACGCGCGTACCGTGCTGTCTCGAAGGATGAAGCCGCCGACGAGAAGGAGGACGAGGAGGAAGAAGACGACGAAGAAGAGGAGGAACTGGAGGAAGAAGCGAACAAGGACGAGGCGTTCATGCGCTTACGAGCCGCGATAGACGGGCTCATAGACTCGGGCAAACGTGCCCTGGAGTCCAAGCCGGAGGTGGAGCACAAGACGACGAAAGTGCTCAGCGCAGAGGAGGTGCAGAGCTGGCGAGTCGCCCATGGCGATGAAGATGGACCGGGGCCCGACGACTCGTTCGCAGACGACTCCTTCTCGGTGGCCAACGAGAGCCTGGCGAACGACAGCATCACAACGATGTCGGAGGACGAAGTCGAGGCCATGACCGCGCCGTCCAGAAGCGTGACGCCTGACACCCGTCCACCGATACTCGTGACGACCCCGCCACTATAACGAGTATGCCAGATGTCTGTCATACATGACTTCGGTCCCCTAGAGCCTCGCGCCCCGCCAGCATAAGTGCTGTGTGCCCCTGCGGCACCTTACGACCTCTCTGCCCGTCACGACCCAACATCATACTCACCTTCATTCATTCGTTTCGAGCCTGGCGCTCGCCACCCTCCTTTTGCTTTCCTATTATTTGCCTACTCCCCATTGCACCTTTCCTCCTATCATGAATGATACCAAGCTTTTTTATGCAGTATATACCATCACCCACTACCCGCTTTCCTACTACTATGGTCTGCTTCATCACATGTTCCCACATCTCGTCTCTACACTGCATGCCTTGTTATCTGCGTCTATCTGCACATACAAGCCTAATAGGATACATAAGGTCAGGAGGATGTATAGTACCGCTGAGGAAGATAGACAATCGAAATTCATGAATCTGCCTAATCTTCCAGCTCGTGCCAATGGTTTGTGGCCTTGTAGGAGTTTGCAAAGGTACTCCGACGGTCCGTACATTGACCGGTCGTAATCAGGCTATAAGCGCCTACACCGCTCGCAATTGAACTTCATATATGGTCCACTTCCCTGCGCTTCCCACGAAAAATTCTGGCAACTCGACCTTGAGCAGCTGCGCAGGGCCGCTCGCCTTCGCCGAACACTCTCTGAGCGGAGTAGAAGAGGTAGACGCATAGTCTCGGCAGCGCAACGCTGGGTCAATTCGTCGTTCAAGTGCGTTATGCTTGTCCTTCTCCCAAGTTAGCCAAGTCTGACGAAGAGACAGCATCGGGCATACCACAGATGTAGACCCGACTTTCGTCGTGAAGTGAGCTTGTGTGAGCAAGGCCTCTGTGGTCTGATCGACCACGAAGATCACTTCTGTAGAGCTAGAGATATTGTGCCACCCTAAGGCGACAAAGTCCCCAGCTCTGGCATCTGGTTTGACCTTAAAGGCCGTTCGAGAGTCCAAGAGAATGGGGGAGCGTACCGCAAAGACTCTGGAAAGCGCTTCTGGGGTCACCGTCCACAGCGAACGAGGGCGCGAAACCGAGGTAATGCTCTTTTACTTCGGCGCCTGATAAGCGGACATGAGCATCATGGAGTGGGCTCGGAGGAGATTGGGGTACCTAGAGCAGCGTCGCTGTCTTGTGCAACCTTGGCCAGCTCCGCCGCACGAGAAGCTTGCGCAGAGATCGCCGGAAGGAGCTGAATATTGGTCTGGAATAGGCAAGCCGTGTCCTTACACGGTGCGTGGCTCAGCTTTGGGGCTTGAACATCGTTCGAACAATCGACGTAGGGGACACCTCGCGCACACGGGCTCGTCTCTCCCGCGAAGAGTTGATCGAGCATCTGGGTAGCACTAGCCTAGGAGATCGCATACGGTAAGCATTGGGAATGATTGGAGACCTGGGTTCGCTTACGATGTGTCTCTGATTGCGCAGATCGCCTTCCGTACCAACCGTGAAGGGTTGCCCACCACCGAGTTCGTACCCTTGATCAAACCACTGGCCGCACGTCCATCAGCGCACGACCAGAGCAATTGCAGATCGAGCTCACCTTCTCTGTGAATGTATTGCTGAGGATCGTATAGTAGTTATCGGCCATCTTCCGTTGCTCGTCGTCCATTTTCAGGTGCTCGAGAAGCGACAGGAACTCCGTACACACAGACCTCCTGATTATGGCCCCGTGTCCCAGCCAAGCGAAGTCGGTGTGAATGTTTGGCGGCGCGACAACGGTTTGTAGCGTGGACGACAGATGTTCGTGAGGAGGGAGCAAGTGAACGCCACGAACATCTGAGTTGGCTATGCGAGCGTGTAGCGACTGGATAACCGATGGCCATACGATGTAGTCGTCGTCCTGCAACACGCATAAGGGACGAACGGCATCAGGAAGGCTACATACCTGTATGAAACAGAACTCGGTCGTTGACTGTGCGCACCACGAGAGAAGTAAGTATTTGGGACAGCATCTCCTCGCAGACCGACCTGAGCACAAGCCAGGAACCGCGCCTGGAAATAGAGATTCTCAGGCGAATTATGAATCTTCAATTTCGTAGTAGGGCATCCCGTGAAGGCAAAGTCCTGTTCAATGCGCTCAGCAAGATGTCAAGAGTGCGTAGAGCGTTCGAACTTCGTAAGTCAGCGCCTTAGGGTTATTGTTCCAGACGACTACGGATGCAATGGCATCGTCGAGGGAGTGTTCGCACAATAGCGACGCGATGCGGACGACATTAGGAAGTCGAGACCAGTTTAGTACCACAGCAGTCGTGTCCGGTTTACTTTGCCGAAAAGACGTCCAGCTGAATTTCGCGAATCCCAATCCCGACGGGACATCGAAGATCTGATGCTGCTCTCCTGACTTCCACAGGACTGCTGCAAGTACGGCGACGAGAATGGATGTCAAGGCAGCTGCGACGCGTAGGCGCGCCATGATAGCACGAAGAAACCCCGTTTGCGTGCAGCCATCGGCATCACCATGCGCGACGCGCGACGCGCATGGCCAAGGCTTATTCCCACCATGTCGACGAGTGTTGCAAACTACTTGCAGACGATAGTGTACAGGTATCTAATCCATCGTGACCTTCAATCCGCGAGTTACAACCTGAGCTTGCGTTCTGAAGAGAGGTTTAGTCACTGAGCATGAGCGTAGAAAACGTACATGACATGGGACTATGCATTCCCAGCCGTAGTACGCATCGCAATCGACGGCCTTCATGATGATTTGGGATGTGGTCACAAAGAGGTATTTCCGCTCAAGATTGGCAGTGACTTGGATGGAATATGCATCACGACAAGAAAAGTAAGAGGTCACTCCCTGAGCCTGGTTCTCAGTCGTAGATCGGAGGCTACACAATACTTCCTCACCATGCCTACGACATACTGGCCACCATTTAAATCTACGACAGACTAGACGGTGTCCGTATTTGTGCATGAGGGACATGTTCACACCGTTCTGGGCAGAGATTCACGCAGCAGCAAATGAGAGTGAAGCCTGAGGCTTGAGGTCGGACGTGTCAGATGGGCGACGCGTGCGGTGCGTGACAAATGAGCGTCACCGGTCGGCGCGACGCCACAAATGAGGCTGCATCTTGCGCCCATCCCCTTGACTCACGGGCTTCCTCGTAAGTCCAGACATGATACGCCCAGCAACATCTAGTGTGAGCCATCTACGCTTGCATGCGCAGCTTGAGGGGAGTGTCTTCCTCGCGCGTCGTACTTCCACAGCAGCGGGGGTGCGGGCGAAGGCAAAGGTACGTCGTGGATGGAGCTACTTCTCAATTTAATCTCACACATAAGCAGGCTCGTATCGCCGACTTAGATGCATCAACACGACATGTCCCTACTCTCGTTGACTCGTTCAATCGACGACACGATTATCTGCGGATATCACTCACCGAGAGATGTAACCTACGCTGTAATTCATCTCTTCTGTCGCCAGTTCTGCTGCTTTGCTGATGCATATCCAGGCTTCTACTGCATGCCAGAAGAAGGTGTCGAGTTATCACCGACCGGGAAACTGCTCACGGACGACGAGGTCGTGCGGCTAGCAGAGCTATTCGTCCGGACGGGCGTGACGAAGATTCGGCTGACGGGCGGAGAACCAACCGTCCGCAAAGGGATAACCGATATAATAGGTCTGTGACCGAAGCCATCAGGTAACGTGGAGTGATTAAAGTACCTCAGCTCGCCTCCACACTTTGCGTAAGCTTGGGTTGAAGTCCCTTGCGATGACAAGCAACGGCATCGCGCTGCATCGCAAGCTCCCATGCATGGTCGACAATGGACTTACGCATCTGAATTTAAGGTTCGCTGCTTCATCATGCATGCATACCTGGATTGCTTATACATGTCGGCTAGTCTCGATACGCTGGACCCTGACAAGTTCATGATAATGACGAGGCGCCGAGGGCACGAAGCAGTACTACGAACGCTCGATGAGGCCCTGAATAATCCCGGCCTGCGACAAGTCAAGTTGAACATCGTCGTCATCAAGGGGCTCAACGACGCTGAAGTCTTCGACTTCATCGAATTGACGAAGGATCGTCCTCTATCTGTGCGCTTCATTGAGTTCATGCCCTTTACCGGTAAGTTATCCCATCGTACAGCATTGCCAAATTGAAAACATGCAGGTAACAAGTGGGACCAACAGAAAATGCTCTCGTCGTCCGAGCTACTTGAGCGAATATCGCGAAGGCATCCGGACATTGTCCGCGTTACGGACGAGGCCAATGACACGGCGCGGTCATGGGCGCTACCAGGATACAAAGGATCCTTTGGCTTCATCAGCAGCATGTCAGACCATTTCTGCGCTTCGTGTAATCGCCTGCGAATTACAGCCGATGGGAACATCAAGGTTGATCATTCGCCTTCGGCCAGTTGCAAGTAAACATTACTAAAGCACTTGTCAGGTCTGCCTATTCGACGCCAAAGAAATCTCCTTGCGAGATCGCATGCGCGCAGGCGCGTCCGATGCTGAACTCCTCGACCTCATTCGAATTGCGGTCCTAGGGAAGCAGGAGAAACATTCTGACATGCAAGATATTGACGTGAAGACGAATCGCCCGATGATATTGATAGGTGGTTGAGTACGACTTCCTCTCGTAGTTCATTAGGCCCGTATACTTGTGCATATCTCATATAGCTTCCAGGACCGCGCAGAGCTCAGCATGCGCCCTTGAAACCGTTCAAGCCAGTATCGACGCTCTATCGCCCGACATTGAATTCTTTACTCAACGTGCAGCATGCTCGCTATGCGTCGTCCTACAGCTCGTCAAGATCCGGTGCATCGATACCCATCTCCTTGACCCATTTAGATCAGCATGGGCGTGCATCGATGGTCGACGTCGGAGACAAAGCCCCTTCATCGCGGTCCGCGACCGCCACTGGTCGCATCATCATTCCATCCTCGGCCTACGAACTGGTCACTGGCGATTATCCATCCGGTTCTGCACTGACAGACGATGTTGTGGCCTCTCAGGCGAAGGCCCGGCGCAAGGGCGATGCTCTCACCGTCGCTCAGCTGGCCGCGATCATGGCCAGCAAGAAGACCTCCGACCTCATCCCCCTCTGTCACCCCCTTCCATTGACTAAAGTCGATGTCAGGCTGACCCCACAGGGGCATACGGCATCCGCGTCCGCCGGACCTCGTTACAGCATACGATGCGAAGCTACGGTGAAGTGCGAGGGCAAGACGGGGGTGGAGATGGAAGCGCTGACTGCGGTGTCGGTCGGACTGCTGACGGTGTGGGATATGCTTAAAGCGGTCGCTGGGAAGGAGATGGAGATCACGGACATCAAGGTGACGAAGAAGTCGGGCGGACGCAGCGGGGATTTCACGAGAGGCGGATAGATTGGACACCTGTAAATCCTGGATATCAACACCTTGAATCTTGCGTAGGTCGCTCCCTACTTGAGATAACATACTCTCATATGCGCCGCCATCACCTCGTCCTCTCACACATCCTCGTCTTGCCACTACGTTGCCACCCTTACTTCGCCACCGCTTCGCCTCAGATGCTGGCTGGCAACCAGAGTATATCTCGCAAATAGCAACCGTGCTCTAGTATCTGTCCATCGCGCGTCTTCGTCTTCAGTGAACTGATCTTTTATTGAAGTCGGCCGCCATTTGCGCTTGGCCATGAGTAAATCAGCGGAAACAAAATGCGAATTACCCCGCATTATCCCCGCTGACGTCAGGTGATCACGCGTTCGACTGGGCGCACGCCGCATCACCGCGGTCTTCCTCGTTCTCCTCCCTTCTGTTCTCACTCTCACCTGGCTTGCTCTTCCACATACCTCTACGAATGATTCCCAGACTATTGCAACGCTTTGTCCGCCAGGGAGCGGCCTGCGCGTCCGGGAGACGCGCCATATCTGTCCAGGTCAGTACGCGTCACGTAGCAGCACATCAATGAAGCTCATTATCGTCAAAGAACATCCTCCATGGATCTCCCGAGGCTAAGAAGGAGGGAGAGGAGCTTGTCCAACAACACGGAAAGCTCGTCGGACGCGGCAAATATATTCATGGCTTCGAGGTTCACAAGGTCAAACCGGATAAGGTAGAGGAGTACAAGAAGGCCGCGTGCGTGGACTTGCTCTCACTTGCTTGATCGTACTGACGGCTTGCAGCGAGACGTACTACTCGGGCGTGAAAGATGATTCCAAGCTGCATGTGAAGCTCTCGGGAAAGTGAGTTCAACTGTGTCGTCCTACGGCGAGAGCCTGATCTCCAAGCTAGCTGGGAAGTCATCGTCGGCGAGCAAGACACGTTCATCCACATCCTTGAGTATGAGCACTACGGAGGATACGACAAGACCATGGACCTCGTCAGGCGCGAGCCCCACGTTCGTTGGTCCTCCGTCTTCGTGCGATGTCGTTACTGATGTCCCGAGTAGCATGTCTCGGCCAACAACGCGATGCGACCCTACTTGACCTCTCGTACCCTTCAACTGGCTTCCGAGTTTGCAATGGTGCCGACTGCACCTCCGCACATTCACGGTGGTATCTTCGAATTGCGCTCGTACCAGCTGAAGCCCGGGAGACTTCTCGAGTGGGAGAACACATGGTGCGTGGGCTCAAAATGCGTTGCGATATGAAGACTCACGACATGTCAGGCGGCGAGGTATCGAGGCGCGACGCAAGTTCGTGGCGCCGGTCGGGGCTTGGTATTCGCAGGTCAGGCGTGAACCTCTCATATTGAATTGCGCTGACAATCGATAGGTTGGACATCTTCACGAGGTGCATCATCTATGGCAATATCAGTGAGTGCCGAGGGTACGAACTGGAGGAGAGACTGACCTAGTCGCGCAGGAGCATGGAGCAGAGGAAGGAGATGCGCGAGAACGCGTGGAAAGTCGACGGATGGGCGGAGACGGTGTCCAAGGTTTGTTTACAAGGATATAAGGACGTCGAAGCGATCACTGAGCCTTTCCGCAGACCGCCGAGCTGGCCAAGTCGATGGATTCGTACATTCTGACCCCTCTGCCCTTCAGTCCGCTGAAGTGATCCTGTATCAAGAGCCATTCGTGCGCGTTCGCCATTCTCAAGGCAGAAAGACACGAAAGGAAGGCAGCCGGGGCGGGAAAGCAAGGATCAAGGAACGTCTGAGGAGGATACACCGTGCTACAAGTGTGCCCACTGTTACTATCGCATGCTCGTTTGTGATCACGTAGTCGACTACAATTTGCTGTTGCTGCGTCGGAAGACCGTGAAAGCGATGGATGAGGACTCTATAGCTCGTCCCCCGCAGTCTCGCATGGTCTGCGCCGGTGCTCCACTGCAGGTGGCATGGACGCGGCAGCATCGTAATCAATGCGTGGGCTGGGAGAGCGAAGGGTGCCTAGAATGAACCTAATGGAGATTCGGGAACGCAAGTTCGGCGAGTCCGTGTGATGTAACGTCGGGCCTGAATGCGTTCTTTTACAGACGCCTCTTCTTCCCTTCTTTCCCGCAACTTCACGCCCAGACCAGACCGTACTGCACGGGCAGGCCCCAGCGACGACTTCTGCTCATCGTTCTCCTTTCTCTTCAAACCGGAACCAACATACACGCTGCTCCGTCAGCCTCGAGGACGCCTCGAGGGCAACGATCAGCAGTTTGATCTAGTCACCCTTATTATACCGCTCTCCACCCAGGCGATCTTTCACCAGTTGACCTTGACCCCCTCCATGTCCATCATGTCTACCCCCTCCACCTCCTCACGTTCATCCTCCAGCACCCAAAGCATGACCCTCGTCGACAGTCCTCCAGCCCAGCCGCCTGCAAGGCCCAGAGAGCGCAAACTGTCCACCTCAAAGCGCCTGGCTGCCGCAGCCACCCAACATATTCGAGCCTCACACTTTGGCCCCTCCTTCTTGCAAGACCTTGCTAAGCAGGGAATGCCTCCGACGTACGATAATGCGCGCGACGGAAAGTTCAGGATTGTTACAGGACCAGAGGCGACTGAGTTGGCCCAGAACTTTTTAAAGTGCGTCTTACGCCGGCGACGATGTGCCCATTGCTAACAAGCACCTCGCAGCCGCAAAGGTTCTGGCCTCAGAAAGCCTCATCAACAGCCGGTTGTTCTTGCCTTGCCTCGTCCCGTAGAAGCAGGAAGAAAGGTGGTGGATATGTGGAGGTCGTGGAAGGGCGACGTTAAGGTGTGTCTATCGCGTCGCTCGTACTTTCTTTGTTAACCATTTACCCCCACAGACTCATCGCAAGCAAGGTTCGCCACGCCTCCGACACATCATCATATCTTCTTAGATCTTTCTAGGCACTGGTGACCTGATAGGCGATGAGTTCGACAAGTCGGATAAACTGGACAAGGCTTTCGACAAGGCCATAAAGACGCTGGAAAGGGAGTACAAACGACAGTCGTGAGTTGGCCTTGTCTCCGCTGTCGATCGTCGCTGTAACTTTGCATAGGATCACGCTGGAAGTGCCTGTCACTGAGGAAGCGCTGGCACGTACGAACTCGCGCAAGTCCAACCGCTCGGACAGGACATCTCGATCCGGTCGCTCCGATGTACCGTCCTCTCGTTCGCATCGGGGCCAGGAATCGTCAGGCATGTGTCAATTCTCGTTCATAGATAAAGCGTTTCTCATCCAGATTCAGATAAAGGCGACACTTCTCCAGCGCAGCCCCCTTCCAAGCCACTCTCCTCGTATGAACCCTTCGCCACGCCAATCGTCCACGTTACTGAGGCCTTTTCAGTTTCGGAAAGACCAACTCATCTGTCGCCTCCCTGCCCCTCCTTAATATGATGCCCAACGTACCTCTGAGCCATCAACGTATGTACATCCAGTGAAACTGAGTTCATCCATTAACAATCGATCTCTTAGCCAAATTGAGGATTGTGAATCCCGACAGCTCGTCTAAGTGCGTGTATCCGTACCTCTACAGGCACATGCATTAATCTCTACATTGCCATCGCAGGCACTCCGGGTCTGGTACGGCTTGATCAAGTTGCAGCCTGCCTCACGTTCCTGACGCTCATCCTCAGCGCACTCTCACTCATCTGGGCGCGGTAAGGATGGCCATCGTCGACGGTATAACAGTGAGAGCCCCGCACCATTGTATGTCTCAGTCCCTTGGCTTGTCAATGTCACTGAAAGCAAGACAGATCGCACAGCGCGGCGCGCAACGAGGGCGCGACTTTGCGGCGCACCTCAAGCGATAAACCCGAGAATGGCAGCGAAGAGTTACTCATCGTGTTGGTCGACGAAAATACTGCGACATGGCATGGGTGAGTTCAGTGCACTACAAAGGACTTCTCACTGAGACCTTGATGTAGTCTGGACCGGCGTGCGTCCACGCGGAGCCCTCAGACCAGGAATGCGGTCCGAGAGTCCCCGTGGAATGGGCCATTAGCTCGTAGCTCAACGCTGCCTTACGGATCTAGTCGTCGGCGATACGAAGTCCCGCTCGAGCAGCCGGGCGACGACAGTACCGATGAAGGAGAGTCTTCCGACGACGACTATCCACCGGTCGTTCCTATGCCCCAACTCCTCGAGCTCACAGGTCGGATACCGCCGTCATATCCGGCGTCATATGCGTCACCGCCGGTTGTACCTCTCAATGTCTCCCATTCGCGCGGCTCGACGCCTGCCCCAGTCATCCCGAACTATAGCCCTTACAGCACAGGGAGCTCGCTGTCGGCCGGGTCGCCCTTCATTTCGACTTACAACACTCCTCAAACTCCCCTACGGCCGCTTTCATCCACGTATCCTTATGCACATCCATACGGTGGCATTCCTCTCTAGAGGCTTTGCCCTTGTCACATACATCTGCTAATAACGGACAGACGCACTAGCCCATTCTCGCCAACTGTTTATTCGTCATGATCATCGGGGGGTGTATGTATTGTAAACTATGCAAGGTGTAATGCTATATCGACCTAATGTTGTTCCCTCAGAGCTTCGACCTCAATAGTGATTGTACTCTGGTCTGGCATTCTGTCTCGACTGCGCACCGCTGTTAGAGAGATAACGATCGCCATGTAGGCGCCGGCTACGTTTATAGTTCCTCCCTCCCTCTTATCCGAAGGCGCACTGGCCACGGGCGAGCCGTAATGCCCGCCGTCATGTGCTATCTCACCTGATAGAGGTATAGGAGATGCATATATAAGGGAGCAGAGTACCGTAGCGGACAGACGTTCAGTCCATTGCTTTCGCATCTCTGTCTGCCATGTCTGCCACAGTCGTCCCCGGTACTGCCTCTGGAATCGAGAACTCGACGAAGGACTCCACTCACGCACCTAAGCACCCGCTGGATCCGCTGACGCCAGAGGAGGTACTTTCGCTGCTCTATTGTCCGAAGCTGGCACTGATGAAGAAGATAGATCGCGGCTGTCTGCCTGGTCGTTCGCCATCATACGGCCAATATCCCGGACATCAATGCCTTGAAGTTCATTACTTGCTCTCTTCTTCCTCCGCCGAAGCGCCAGGTCCTTGCTCACCTGGGCATTCCGCTGACCCCTGGCGGTAAACCTGAACCGGCCACCCCTATCATCCGCCGGGCTGAAGTCGACTTCCTGGAACTCGCTGCGGGAACCGCTTACAACGTGGTATTGTCGCTCGGCGAGGGTCAATGGAGCGTCGATGCGCTTGATCGCCTGCCTGAGGGGACACAGCCACAGATTTCCGTTCAGGAACTTGTAGCAGCTGAGAAGACGGTTAAGGCAGACAAGAGGGTCCAGCAGTTGGCGAAGGAAGTTGGTCGGTCCAGATTCCCTTCTCAGACGTGTTTGACGGCTCAACGACGCCTCAGGCATCGAACCTGACCAGATAGTCTGCGATGGCTGGTCCATTGGTTACGATCCTCGTTTCCCTCAGCAGGAGCGCGTGCAGCAAGCTCTCGTATTCGCCAGATTTGGGGAGCACGAGAATCTTTACGCGCATCCGATGGTGAGCTCGCGGAGTCCCGAAGTTTATCTCATGACTGACAATGCCGATAAGGACTTCATACCTGTTCTAGATTCCAACGCGGAGAAGGTCCTTCATATCGATTTCCCACCGCGTTATACAGCTTCCGCCAATGGTCCTACACTTTCGGTACCCACGACTGCGCCGGGCGAACTGGGCGACGCGAGCGCAGGCCTTGCGGCCGCCAAGCGGGAACGCATCCCTCCTCCCAAGAAGGCCTTCGACTTCCTGCCAGACCTAATGGAGAAGTCAGAGCCCGACTTCAAGCCACGCGAGGGTTTGAAGCCGGTAAGTACGCAGTAACTCTTCATTACCGGCTTACACTCATCGGTGTATCGTTCATCTCCAGCTACACGTCCTCCAGCCTGAGGGCGTCAGCTTCAAAGTGAACGGACACGAACTAGAGTGGCAGAATTGGAAGATGCACATATGTAAGTTCCCGCCGAGTGCAGCATGTCCATCGCTCACCTTGGTTGTCGCTTAGCGTTCACCCACCGCGAAGGCATTGCTCTATCGACCATCACATACAATGACAATGGAGAGATCCGTCCCATTTTCTATCGCCTTTCTCTCGCCGAGATGGTTGTGCCCTATGGCGCGCCGGAGTTCCCTCATTCGCGCAAGTTCGCTTTTGACTCGTACGTGAACCTCGCAAGCGTCCGTACAACCTTACATAAAACGTGATAATAGGGGCGAATATGGGATGGGTACCATGGCCAACGAACTTTCTCTTGGCTGCGATTGCCTCGGACAGATTCATTACCTTGTACGTCTCTTCTGGTTCGATTTTAATCTCCGTCTGACCTGTTACTAGCCCGGTTCGTTCGTGGCGAACGACGGCAGCGCAATCATCATCAAGAACGTGATATGCATCCACGAAGAGGACAATGGCGTGCTCTGGAAGCACAGCGATTACAGACCCAACGGCCGGTCGCATACTGCCCGACGCCGGCGCCTTGTCGTCAGCATGGTCTGCACATTGGTATGTGATCATTCACCTTTAGTCAAATACACACTCAACGAACGTTGCTCAGGCAAATTACGGTACGCGTACCGCGGGACGCGCTTGTCCCTCACTAACGCTTGGGCAGAGTACATCTGGAATTACCATTTCTACCAGGATGGTAGCATCGAACTCGAGGTTCGACTCACCGGTATTCTGCAAGTCTATGTCGGCGCAGACGGCGAGCCGAGTCCTCACGGCACCTGGGTCGCCCCGAATGTCAACGCGCACTATCACCAACACATGTTTTCTGTCCGCGTCGATCCCATGGTGGACGGCCTGCAGAACTCCGTAGTGGAGACGGACGTCGTTATGTCCGACGCACCGACTGGGTCCGCGCAGAACTTCGCTGGCAACTCATTCACGACGAAAGAGTCTCTTATCAAGCAGGAGGGCTCCCGCCAGTACGATCTCGCCGCGGACCGTCGTTGGAGGATCGTCAACTCCGGCCGGAAACATTACAGCAGCAACGCGAACGTTGGGTACAGTATCGGCATGAAGGGCGGCGTCGTCCCATCCTTTGTACGTGATGACGGATGGTGCGCGTCTCGCGCCGGCTTCGTCAAAGCCCCGCTCTGGGTTGTGCGGGATGTGGAGGGACCGAAGGGATCCAGGATGTGGCCGTCTGGCAAGTATGTGCCGCAGACTAGGACGACACCGGAAGACTCTCTGGAGAAGTGGTCCAAAGGAGGACAGAGCGTCGAAGACGAAGACATTGTGGTCTACGTGACAATCGGTAAGCGGCAGTCCACTGTACACCCTTCACCCGCGCGTCGCTGACTTCTAATTAGGGACTACCCACATCCCGCGCCCTGAGGATTGGCCTGTGTAAGTCCACGAAGAGTCGCGCGATGCAGATACTCTGACTATGCCACAGTATGCCTGTGGACCATCTCAACGTCACCTTCAAGCCGCAGTCGTTCTTTGCGAAGAACCCCAGCATGGACGTCCCCGCCGCGAAGGACACTCACAGCGTCTCTGCTTTTTCGAATGGTAACGCCGCCTGCCATTGCTAGATATACTTCGAACACTTGTATCAACACACATCCAACTGTTGTACGCTACTGTACGTTATGCCAGACTTCTTCCCCGATATGATACAGAACGTGGTTCGCTGAGCAGCGGCAATATCGGCTCCTCGGGCCGCACTGTGATCTCGGAATTCCCTTTGTTCTTGTCCAAAACAGTCATCATGGCCGACGCATTCGATCTTGAGGCCCTCGTGCACGTCGAACAGGAGTCAGTCCTCATCAAATGCTCTACAGCAGGCGTAATCACTGAACTCAGCTCAGCTTCTACGACTCCGGCTTCAAGGATGGTTTCGATCATGGTCGGATACATGGCCTCATCGAGGGACGCGCGCTGGGCCGTGAAAAGGGCTTTGAGATGTGGGAGGAGCTAGGTTTCTACGAGGGCTTTGCTTTGATGTGGCAGGCCGTATATACACATCAGGGTCGCACCGATGAGTACGTTCCTCTCGAAGAGAAATAGACAATCCTTTCCTGACCGATGTCTTCACCAGCCGCGCGATGAACCACATCAAACATCTGCTCAATCTCATCTCGCATTTCCCTCGTGTCAACCCATCGATTTCAGACAGCCCGTCTCAGGTGGACATCCCAAAACTGTTCCGACAGATACGCTCCCGGTACAAAGCACTTTGCGCCACCCTGGGCGTCCGACCCAGTTTGCGTGCCGCGTCTACCGAGGGCACTCCTGATGGCGCGGATAGTCCTTCAGAGGACATGGAGAGTGCACCTGCGAAAGTACCTCAAGGCCCCATTTGGAGCGTCAACAGCATTGACAAGTCGTCTGCTGGCGTGGAAATCAGTCTTTAAAAGCCCCGACGCTGGGCGATTAGGATATCGTTCACATCAGCCGCCAGGACGCGTCCGGCCCTTCGAGACGCTTTCCCGGAGGAAGGCGGATGGTGCGTCTGTCTGCGGTTACTTTCCTCCTCTGCCGCTGACTTGGCTTAGCGGCCCTCGACAGTGGAGATTGCTGCATCCCCCGTTTACCAGAGACCAGAGCGCTTGCGTATGGCTTGGTACGCCTGACAGGATACAGGTTTTAAGTTCAGCGGGCAGACACGCCAGGTCTCTCGTAGGCACTAACATGTAATGTCCGCCTGTGAAGTACATGAAGACAGCTGTGTCGGACTAACAAACCTGTTGGAAAGAGAGCAAGTCACCATTCCCCACCTACCTGCCTGCTCAAATATCACCAAAAAATGAACCCTGCCCGGATCGAACGGACGACCTTATGGACGTTCCAGTAAACTGGAATCATACGCGCTACCACTGCGCCAAGGGTTCATGTGATCCCGCCTCTCTGTGTTTGTTCTCACCGCCAATTTGGCGGGATGTATCACTATAATTGAAAGGCTTAGATGAGTATGTCATCATCTCGCTGGTCGTGATTCTCGTGAGATGATCATGTCTTGCTCTGCTGATAACTTTTCACTGTCCTGCCATGTCGAGTGTGGGGGACGTCATTGGCGAGGAGCAACTCGAGCCATACGAGTTGTTGACGTCGACTCGATACGATCCCTTCCTCCGATCCTTGCGATGGAACTATGATCGGGACGGCCCTTCTGCCCTCTTCCTCCTTCCACAGCACTTTGGTCGTTTGCAGGACGCGATCGGACGCCACGGCTGGTATATACCCAGCTTCACATATGATGAACTCAAGTCGAGATGCAAGGCTGTCGTAGCGGAAGCAGCAGAGGGCCTTGCGGACCCTTCAGCTGCCATGAAGGTGTGTAGACGTGCATTCGCCCCGCATCGTGTTACTAAAGTCTTCCATGGGCTAGCTTCGAATAACCCTTTCCTCGAGCGGCGTGCTCTCGGTGACTACTTCTCCCGTGGCACCATTCCATCGGGACCCAACATTGGGGGGCGTACTTCCAGCCGACCGATGATCCTGCTCTCCTCGAGCCCTCTTACAAACTAGAGATTGACTCGCAACCGACGCCGTCTTCTATATTCACAAAAACGAAAACAACTCAGCGCTCTGTCTATGATGCCGCTCGCCAGAGGGCAGGCATCTTGCCCGGAGACTTGAAGGAGGTACTGCTCTACAACGAAAACGGGGAAATGACAGAGGCGTCTATATCGAACGTCGCTTTCTTCCGCGAGTCCTATTGGGTCACGCCGCCATCATCCACAGGATGCCTACCGGGTGTACTGCGCGCATGGCTTCTAGAGCAAGGGAGGATTCGCGAGGCTACCTCTCGTATCAAGAAGGACGATGTCCGGGAAGGGGAGTGGGTAATGCTCACAAACGGGGTCCATGGGTGTCGCTTTGGAAAGGTAGTTGGAGCGTAGGAGTTTCCAGACTGCATCGTCCGTATGGATTGCGGGTGCTCGTCGTAAGGCTTACTCTGCTCACCCCTGGCTGCAAAGTAAATGTTCACTACATGTAGAATTAGCTTGCTCGGTGCTTGCTAGACTGTGCACGTCTGGGCACCAGCCCAATTATTCCGGATGGCCGGCCCTTCGAGGACTGTTCCTCCGAAACCTTTGTTCTCAGTGACTTATTCTTGAACTTTTCCCCCTCGAGTCAAGTGCCTACCCTTTCCTATTAAGCACAGATATTGCCGGAAAGCTCTTTCGTGGATGGGCGGCCTCTGCCATGGAATACGCTGTTGAGCGGGGCTAACAGGTGCTTGCGTTGGTCCAAATTCGAACTTCATCAGACGTGACGTTTGGCACGTGACGCGTATCTACTGTTGGCTGTGGCGCCGCTGGTGCCTGCTTACATCCATACCACCACCATGCCTTTCACTGTGAAGGCCACTTTCAAAGGCGAGACGCGCAGGGTCTCGTTCCCGGAAACGGCCTTTCCTGCCTACGAGCAGGTCTGTCATGAGGTGCGTGGCTGCCTTGTCTTCAGTTTGGCGCTGGCGCTTATCTGGATTGCAGCTTTACCGTCTCTTCCCGCTCTCCAGTACTTTCCACCTCGATAGGTTACTCTTCGTTCCAGACTCCGCTCAGCCCTCTCGTATCATGCTTGCGAAGGAGGTTTCGACGGAGAGCGAGTACATGAACGCCATCGCGCCGCACAGGGCGCACGTAGGGTCGAGCTCTATGCTGACGTTCAACGTCACGGAGGACCGGCTGCGCAAGCTCCCAGCTGCGCCGGCCTTCAGTGCTGTGAGCTCTAGCGAGTACGACATGTCTGTTGATCGGCCGTCGACGACGCAGAGTCCACGACTATACTCGGGTGTCCCTGCCATGGACATGCCCCACAATCCTATATCATGCGCGGCTATTCCACCCCCTCCCATCATCTACTCGACACCGCAAGCAGGATTTGCGTCCTTCGACCAGCTATGGAGTCACCCCTCGCCGTTTGCCCATTCTGCTTCGCCGCATGGCACGGTCCCACCATCGGCCTGCTGCTCGGTTTCGCAGGGCAAAGCCGAGGTCAAGGAAATGCTTCAAAGATTCCGTCTCGATCTCGACCGCATAGTAGCCACCTCCTTCGGTGGAGAAGGGCCAGTAGAACGTGATACGGTGAAGCCGAGTGGTAATAATCCGCAGCATCCCGTATACTGCTCGGCCTGTACCTCCATATGTCAGGGGCCTTACGCTGTTTGCAAGCGTTGTCAGATCATCAAAGTACGCCACGCAATTGTTATGGCGGTCCACCCACTGATCCTTCGCAGTGCTCGGCCTGCAGCGCGAAACCTGACCACACGTTCTGCATGCTCAGCGTCGAAGGTCATGAGATGAGCCATCACGGCTTCCTCGATGCCACCAGCCTTCCTGTCCCTCCGCCTCTGGATACTCCCCGAGTCGATGTCCATCCGCCCGTGGTGCACGATGGTGTTATCTGCGACAAGTGCAATAAGACTATCGAAGGAGTCCGTCGCAAGTGTCTGGACTGCCCAGGTATTCACCAACCTTCTTTCCTCTTACATATCAGGCTAAACAATCTCTCAGATTATGACCTGTGCACTGCTTGCATGACCAGTGGAGCTGCCGAGGAACACAATCCTTTCCACGAGTTCTTCGACATCGAGGTCCCTGGGCGTGTCATTGTACATCAGGTCTTCAGCGGGCCGGACGCGCCCTCTCGCTCGACCACAGGCGCCCAGAGCGTAGTGTCAGGCTCGCCCATGATGCATGTTCATAACGCGTTCTGCGATATCTGCTCTTCCAGGATCCACGGCGATCGCTACGTGAGTACGTTCGCGCGCAAAGTACAGCTGGCTCATGCTCCGCAGAAATGTATCACTTGCCCGGATTTCGACACTTGTTCATCTTGCTATAGCAAGACCAAGGCGGAGCATCCAGGCCACGCCTTCGCCAAACTTGTAGGTCCCGGGGATGCCATAGTAAGTTCGTTTTCAAATAGCCTACGGCATTTGCTATAACACCTTGCTAGGCCGTACACCAGGCGACTTGCGATCTCTGCGACTCCAAGATTCGCGGAGACCGCTTCGTAAGTCACTCAGCCCGTCGACTGGCAGACTCACTGACTCATTCCTTCAGAAATGCGTCAATTGCCCCGATTTCGATACCTGCGCGGCATGCTTTGAGATCACTTCCGAGCAGCATCCTGGTCATGCCTTCGTCAAGGTCGCCAGGCCGGAGGATCACATCGTACGCTGTGGCTATATAGTCATACTTCGGTCTCTGACATCCTTCTCGCAGAATCGCAAGAGTATCGGCTCGTTCGCGAACCATATGGCGACCTGCGATTGTTGCAACAAGCCTATCCGTGGCGTACGCTACAAGTGCATGCATGCGGACTGCGCCGACTTCGACTTGTGCGCGAACTGTGAAGCGCTGCCAATCGCGGTACACCCAGATAATCACCCGATGCTTAAGATCAAGTCCCCGAGCGTCTCCATCCCTCGAGTGCACAGGTTGGAACAGCAAGCGTCGGCCACAGACGCGACATCTCAGGCCACCGTCGACCGGGAGATTGAAGCTTTCAACGCTGGCTACATCTTCAACCCCTTCGATTCTCGTGTCCCTTCGCCTTCCCTCGACGACAGTCATGCTGAGCCTGCTCCGCCGTCGCCGGCGGCGCCATGGCAAGCGTTGGCTGACGCTCAGACGTCCCCACCCATGCAGGTCCCTGGAGGTTACGACACCGACTATTTCCCCGCATTTGCAGCCCCGGAACTCGCCCCACCTCTCATAAGCCTGGAGCAATCTGTTTCCGCCCTCGCTACGGCGGAGCATCTCATGGCGAACCTCCGCGTTGGCGAAGAAACTAATGCAACAATTCAAGTGGATCTGCCCTCGCGGCCTGCGAGTACGACCCCCGTCAATGTCTCGCCACAGCTACCATTGAGCGGCGCGCATTCCTCGACTGACCGCAGCGGTGGAGCGCCAGACAAACGGACCCCTAACGAGTCGCTGGCTGCTTTGCTGCATGGATACACTTCCGCGGAATCGTCTGTAGTGGACGTGAAGAGGCCCTCCATGACGGAGGCAATGCTTCAGGCCGACTTCGTGGCCGACGTTACTGTTCCCGATGGTCAAGTCTTTCCGCCAGGCGCCGAATTCGTGAAGGTGTGGCGTGTGCGTAACAGTGGAGACGCTGACTGGCCATCGTCCACCTCTCTCGCTTTCGTTGCGGGGTCACCGCTGGGAGGAGCGAAGAAGGCCATACCTGTTGGTTCTGTAGCCGCAGGTTCGGAGGTGGAACTTGCGACGGACGAGCTCAAGGTCAGTTCAGGTCGTTCATGGGAGGCCCTTGTCTAATTGCTACGCAGGCTCCTGATGCTCCTGGTCGCTACCTTGGTTACTGGAGGTTGAAGGATGACAAGGAACATGTATTCGGAGCGACATTTTGGATCGAGTGAGTGAACATCTTCTAAGTTGCGTGTCTGTCCTCACGTCTGCGAAGGGTCGTCGTACAAGAGGCAAGCGGTATGCGTGAAGACAACGAAGGACTGACCTCGTCCTCCATCGTCGTAATGCCGCAAGCTGCGCCTGCTCACGAGCGCACGGCGAGCGCGGACAGCATCAGCTCGCCAGTGACCGCACCGTCGAAGCCCTCGAGCGAAAGCGGGTTCGATAGCTCGTCTATGTCCATCATTAGCGGCGACTCGGATGATGAGCTGTGGGAAGACAGTCGCGCGCAAGCACCTGCGGAGGGTACGGAATACGTTGTGCTCTACGACGAAGTGTCATCCGAGGACGATTAGTTACATGACGGAAAGTATCATCTTGCGGGATCCCCCTCCCTATCACGCTCTTTATATCTCAGTTTTGACATCTTGTTGATCGTGTCCTCCGTTCGTTGGTAGCCTTTACATATATTTATCTGGAAATGTGCCCTCTTGCTGTGTTGGCGAACGTATGCCTCGGGAGACCAAGTCACTGGCGAGCAAGTGGTGAGCGCTTGAACAATTGCGGTCAAATGAGCCCTTGCGCGACCGGCCTGTCGGACCGTCTTGCTTTCCAACCTTGTCTCCGACCACCTTCCTGCTTGCCTTGCCAATGTCACGCCGATCTCGCTCGCGTTCATACTCTCGTTCTCGCTCTCGCTCTCCTGGAAGGAGGATAACGTTGCCTTACAACGCACAGCCCATCTCTGATCGTGACTACTTCCTGAAGAGTGATGAGTTCAGGTTATGGCTCAAGGATGAGAAGCGCAAGGTGAGCCTGGTGCGTCTGCCCATGCTCCAAGCCTCTCATTCGCCATGTTATCTAGTACTTTGATGAACTGTCCGGGGACAAGGCCCGAAGGTGCGCCCAGGTTATGATTACCTGCGCGAATGCGCTAATGCGATCCCGCCCCTCAGTTACTTTCGCAAGTTTGTGAAGGTCTGCATCGTCCTCCCTTTCTCAATATGATGAACTACACATCTGAAGCTTTGCTCTTGAAGGCCTGGAATCGTGGCAAGCTCTCGCGTGCGTCAAGGACCCGTAGCCCCTGTCGCGTAGGATTGACATTTTGCAGGAGAGATATACGCGGGGGTTGATCCTTCTGCGACCTCTGCCTCTTCCCAAACTTCCTATAAATGGACATTCGCCTCGAAGGGGTCTCGGACCGACCATGAAGCTCTACGATCTGTGTGCGAAGAGATTGCTGCCGCGACGTATGCCAAAAATGGGTCCAGCTCTGAGCCATCGACATCGACCCGAGGGAAGCAAGTGGGACCCACTCTGCCTTCGAGTACCGACCTTCAGCTCGCGCGTGAGACTGAAGAAGACATGCGCGAGACTGAACGCAGATACAAGCGGAAACGTGACAAGTTGGAGACGCGCGACCGCATTGAGAACATGGTCGGCCCCAAGGAAGTTGGGCGAGAAGGGATGCTTGAGAAGAAGCGTGCCCGACGCGAGGAAGACCGGGCCTATCGCGAACGCGGAGACGAAGGATTGGAAGCTGACGAGAGCACCCTGATGGGCGGAGGGGACGATTTTCAATCTGTGTAAGTTTCGTCACCTCGTTCGTCTGGCCTTGAACCTCAATCGCTGGCTAGGCTCGCCAAACGAAAGGCGGCCACGGAGCGATACTCTCGAGCAAGGGAGATGAGAGACCAGGAGCTTAGGGAAAAGGCCGGACAAATGAAGGAGAAGGAGAAGGCCACGATGGACATGTTCAAGCAGATGGCGGCCAAGTTCGGGTAATCTACGCGCTCTCTCGCATCTCTGGAGTATGCTTCCCGTATGAATTCTGTTCAGATGCCCTTGCTGTGGACCTCGACTGCGTTGGTGGCGCCAAGGCCGCGCTGCACGTTCGTAACATGCATGACCGCATCAGTGCGCCTTCCGTAGTCCCATGTAGGTAGCAGTATACAGGCACAGTCTTTGACTTCGAGCTCCGCTTGCATTGTCAACTGAGTGTCGGTGAGCTGGCAACTGAGCGACATCACTGGCGGAGATTGAACTTACTATATATAGCACCGCTCCGGCGCTTCGCACGCTGCGCCAATTGACGATAACATGCTCACGGTAGCCGACAGAACGGCTTGTTTCCTTCTGTCATCTTCCCTCCTTCTTAGCGACCTCCCTCGAACCGCAGGGTCTCCGCCGAATCCTTCGCGCTCAGAAGGCCCCGTCTCTCTTTCTCCCGATACTGTCCTTACTTCCCTCTACTTGGTATCATGACGCTCAGGGCACGTTCAATTTTTGTGGCCGCCGCGCTGGCCAGTGTGACAAAGGCATACTTCCTCATGGGTTCCGGCGAGTGCTTTCATTCATGATTCATGAAGTCGCCACTGACAGACTGCAGATTTCCTTCTGGAGTCGGAACGCATCGACCCCGTAAATTGCATCGAATATTGTTCTCCACTGGTATTCATGTTAAACTGCTCAGATCGTCAACAAAGATGAAGTGTCTCCGCATGCGCACCGCGGTGGGTAGCCCAGCGGAATTTCCATTCCCTTTTTTTCTGAACGGAATTCAGTCCTCGGTGGCAGCAATTTCGGAATGAACACGAACACGAGCTATCTGCGAGAGAGCGAGTGCACTTCGGTGCCTATCGACGAGGACAAATCTGCGTATTGGACGGCTGTATGTACATTCGTCTTCTTCTCTTGACTCTCTGCTGATTGGCTCATAGAACCTTTGGTTCCAGTGAGTTTGCGCCTTGAGTTCATTCGTGAAGACGCGCTGATCCGTCTCAGTTGGGCCAACGGATCCATGTCCAGTGTGTCCGGCGGTAATGTCATGTGCGTGTCAACTCGATATCTGCTTTCTTTCGCTTGTTCTGAGCTTTTCTTGATCTTCACACAGCTGTGAGTCAAGTAATTCGTCCGCCAACGCGCTCTCATCGCGATGCTGTAGATTATCTGTTCTCGGACGAATCAGGAAAAACGACGGCGTTCCCGGACGGTGTAAGTTGTGACGATAGGCTACGTCCTCCCGCACATGAGCTGACACATCGACATAGTTCCAGATGATCTCTGGTGCGGTTCAAATCACCAAAAAATCTTATCCTACTAACAGTGTTGCGCTCGCAGGCAATCCTTCTTTGCGTACCTTCGACGAAAACAGCGTCGCTCAGAAGGCTATCACGTACGCACATGCTCATCATCTGCAAAGGTCGCGTACTCAGCCCCTTCTACAGCTACCTTTGCCTTGATTTCGATACCGGAGAAACTACCAAGACCTACGACTTCCCAACCACCAAGTGCAAGTCGGGTTTCCGATCGCAGATCGTAAGCGTCATCCTATGGACGGCGGACTGGGCAGTACTTACTAAATCCTCAGAATTTCCCCATGTGCTGGAATGGCGTGGTCGGTGCACAAGAATGTCGGTACACTGATCAGTACTGAGTTCGGCACTATAGGACGCGGACTCAGAGGATCATCAATCGCACGTAGCATTCGCTCCAGATGGACCAGACGGTGGCTCGTGCACAGACTCCGAATACCCCGTCACGCTGCCTCGCATATTCATGGAGGTTTGTTTCCGACCAATACGTCTACGTGTCCTTGGTCACGAACACGCTCCTCAGGTCTACTGGGATACCACCCCTTTCGACGATTACTGGGACCAAGCGGCCAACACGTCCCAGCCCTTCGTGTCAGTGCCAACAGTCTTCATATTTTCCGAACGACTGCTGACTTGCATTCAGTCTTTCCAACGGCGACTCGACGGGCTACAGCTACCACGCTGGTACGAGTGACTGGGGATCTAGACTCGCATCTTACTCAACTGCGCATTCAGATTACATCTATGGCTGGGACAGCGGCGTCTTGCAGAATGTCGTCGACAACTGCCACTGCGACCCCTCGGGTGGCACTGATTGCTGCGCAAACCAAGGGCTTTTCACGTTAACGAAGGACAAGACCTGCAAGCTCACCAAGCAGGTCGACGAAGACGGTAAGTTACTGCGATCCATTATTGCACCCAAGCCTGACAAAGAAATTCAGCTCTGGGAACCTTGACCGCTCTTCCGGGAAACAACGCCATCGTCGGCTTCGCTGGCAAAGTCGACATGTCAAACGCGAGTGCTACCCCAGCTATCTTAGCTGCATCCGTCGTCACCAGCGGTGCCGCTACCGCTACCGGCGCAGTGATAGTGCCCGCTGCTACCGGCGCCGCCTCCAGTGCCACCGATGCAGATACGTCGGCCGGCAATGTGGACCTGGCGGCTTCGACGTCCTCGGCTGCATCGTCTACCAAGACTTGCTCCAGCATCCGCAAACGCCAGCGCAGCCACAAACGTCACGCCCTACGCCGCGAGCTATCCCAAGGATCTTATGGCCTGTAACGGAAGCTGCTCATGATACGTTCCATATACTCACGACGGTTGCATGTTTTCGCCATAACCAGTCTCTTACTATCCCTGTCATCCGTAGCAGGAAACGGGTGACCAAGCTGCTAGACAGCTGATCTTTCCAGCGCGTGCGCTACGTATCTTTGTATGTTCTTCTTTGAATACACTTGTATTGTTTTGCTTCATTTCCGAATCGTGAACTACTACTCAAGCCTTATGCGAAGCCATCTGCATGCGCATCCTCCAGCAGCTCGCGCACAGTCCTGAACTTGATATCGCGGAAAAACCTACGGCGCTGAGACTCCACCTTATCCCAAGGTAAAGCAGAGGCCCCTGTGTAGTTCCATTCGTCCATGTATGCCTTCCAGAGCGCGCTTGGGTCTTCGTCATTCTTGTGTACTTCGAGTGCGGTCTTGATCTCGTCGATGGAAAGGTAGGAAACGTCAAATTTGCGCTCTGCGGCGCCGGGTAAGCCTGACGAATGGTCATCAACCGAAGTCACTTACTGTAGAATTCCTCCACATCGCGAATGAGTTTGTTCCATGTCGTATTCTCTCCGCAAACGTAGGTGATAGGATCCTATAGGTGTCTTGTGAGCATGTATGATCGCTGTGCGACAGGGGAAATTGGTACCCAGGCAGACGCATCTACAAGCTTGACTGCCGCCCGCGCAACATCCCGCGCGGCAGTCAGCCCTATGGGTTCTTCCCCCGTGCCGGGCACCAAGACCCGCCCTGTCTTGAGGTCCAACGGCCAGACCGGCACGATGGACTTCATGTACGACATCTCGGGCGGCAGGACGTAGTCCATGAACCACCCGTTATTGAGCAGCGTCCATTCAACCTCGCTCTGCGCCTTCAGCACCTCGCGGAATGCGCCGTGCGTGGGGATATAGAAACGCGGCTTGTCCGGGTGAGCGTCGAGGTCCCCGCCGCATTCAGAGGGAACAAAGCGCTTGCAGGTGCGCGAGGTACGGCAGGCGGCGAGGAAGGCCTCGTGAGTCGTGTTGTAAAAGGGCGAGTTGTCGTGGATGAAGGAGAAGAGGACCACTGCGCCGACGTCGTCGAGGATGGTGCGCACCGAATCCGCGCTGTAGTCTGTCAGGCGGACAGTGATGCCCGCACGTTCGGCGAACCAAGGACGATGTCCGCGCGTTAGGACAACGATGTTGTAGTCTTTGGCGCGCTCGAGTTCTTCGACTAGAAACCTGTTTACGAAGATCAGCAAACGACCCAATGTGTATGCAAGGGATGCCCTACTTGGCGACATCTCCTGCTCCTGCAATTGCAACTGTCTTCTTGCTGTCCATGTTTGTTCGCGGTCAGAGAGCCTAATGATGTAGCGCCCCCTGAAGTTGTTGCCCTTTATACCTGGTCGCAGAGACGTGGGCTCTCTGCTCCACCCCTCGGACCGACATGGGTCGCTTCCGTTTCGGCGGGCGTTATTGAGCGACTGGGTGGGGGAAGGAAGGTGTTGAAGAGCGCTGGTGCATCCTGGGCACATTCCAGATGAGCAAAGCGAAGTCGTTAACTCCGAAGAGCCTAGTCGGAGATACGCCCCTCGATGGCACGGCATTTGCCGGCGTCAAGCGTATGTCGATGAGGCTTGTACCATTTTATGCCCGGTCTTGTTCATCCCTAAAGCTGATTTCGACGGAGGAGGCAACAGACGAATAGACTCTGTTCAGCAGCAAGACACCCTGCCTCCACGAGGTGACTGCTTCAGGGCTTGAAGACAGCAATGACACTTGATAATGAAGTTCGATGCAGCGAATGTACGATGGCGGTGAGCACAGGAAGACACTACCCGGTAGGGGCGTAGACTACGACTAAAGGAAGATAGAGGGGCCTCATGAGGTATTCTCCAGATCCGTGAAGCATTAGAGGGGTATACATGAAGCGCAGTCGTCCGTAAGAGGGCCAAACAGAGCGCGCGAAAGGCCCGTTCATGCTCATATCTAGAAGGGAGATCATCAATGACCGGGCGAACAGTGTCGGGAAGACCACTGACCAAGCTCAGTTCCAACGTCCAGACGCGTCGGGCCCATAACTTGACGATGTTCGGAGGCGCCTTCTCGTTTGAGGAGTCTCTCAAGTCCACCTCTAGGCCGTCCCACCAACATTTACGCTATATCGAAGGTCAGATCACGAACATTAATGAGAGTGAAAAGGCCTCACAGCGGGCTTGCGCCAGAAAAGCAACAGCTTCTGCGCTGTTATCATCTGCTGGTAGTCGATATCGGCGGGCTTGTCCTCGTGATGTTTGATACCCGTCTGGAGCAAGACGAGGGCAACGGATGATATGCAGCAGCGAGAGGGCTCGAGGGCGCGGAAGCCCCACTCGTCGTTTCTGTCAAAACCACTGCACGCGCGAATATTGGTTAATCGCCTCAATCATGAAAGAACATGACTGACCTCATGCAAAGCATGTCGATGAGATGCTGCTCCGCAACATTGTTCTCCTTGTTGACGTTGCGCTGTAATGCAGTGAAAATCTTACGCTTGTCGATTAGGTGTTCGCCGCATTTGCGCTTGATGTTGAGGAGCGCCTCGTTGGCCAGACCGTTCGCGTCAGTCGCAGCGCCAACGTCCTTCGGGGGAATGGAGAAGTACTCAAGCTCTTCTCGCAGTACGATGATGGCTTGCTTGGATAGCAGAGGGTTCTGGCCACTGAAGTCGGAGGTGGGGGATCCTTCCAAAAGATGTTGTTGCGCAGCGAGAAGGCCTGGCTGATCGCCCACACCATAGAACTGCTCTGCAGCATTCCTGAAGAAGTTGAGGACATACTGGAAGCAATCTGGGTCGAACTGACAATCTTCAGAGCGATGAGCGAGGAGGTTGAAATATATAACGCACGTCGACGGGGTATACATCCTCCTCGTCCTCGCCCTCTTGCCCGTCGGCGAGAGCAACACTTTGTCGACTGAGAACCAGCCCATTAGGGAAGAGGCCGAGCAGCACCGACTCGGGCAAGCTCATAATCGTCTCTCGCTCGACCTCGAAGCGACGACCGCGCAGGTCGAGGAACAGACGCGTCAGGAGCGACGGCTGTTGCAGTCCGGCAGTAGGAGAGGGCGCATTCTGCGAGACCTGCGTGATTGGGGATGAGCTGGTCGCCATCGCCTCACAGGCCTGAAGGTACAGAGAGACAATAGGCGTGATGAGTCTGCGCCTCATTCCTCGCCAGGTCTCCGTGGGAACAATTATCCTTTTTGGTTCTTCTCAAGTGTGGCGCAACGAGCCGCTCTTTCCACCCCTGATTGTATGCATAGTTATCGACAGCCTTGTGGTTTGCCTGTACTCTAGTATTGCACAGATATGGCGAGATTTCCAATGCGAGCGTATGATACGAATGCTATAATGTATGACTGGAGTCTGCCATGGTTGAATCCGCGTCTTCTGCCTTCACCTCCGCCTCCTTTGTATTTCGTTCAGGCAGCGTAGTTTGCGATGTAGGTGCTGGTGTCGAGGTCGAGGGATATGTACCCCTGCCTTCTTCTACTGAAGGCCCTGGCGTTGTAGACGCCGATACCGAGGGATCCTCCCTTATCACGCCTACTCGAGGGCGTGCGGGTTCATCCGTCCGCGCCTTCTTGACCTTGCGCTGTCGCAGTACAACAGCGGCGGATGCATTTGGGTCGTCGTACACCTTGAGAGCATGAAAGAAGTAGCCTCCAGTACCGGAGGTGTTCATAGTTGGATGAGTTCGCCCGGGCAACACCTGGTATTGCCGCAACCATGGCTCGACGACGGTGGGCGCAAGGTAGCCAGACCTGCCACGCACGCGAGCGGCTAGGTCGACGATGACCTGAAGGTTGTCGACATTCAGCACAAGCGGCAACAAAGGGAAAAGGGGGCGCCGCACCTGGTGGTACGGGCTGTGGAATACGATAGGTGCCGAACCCGCCAAGTAGGGATACAATTTCTCCAATATGGACCACGGTTCGTAGGCACTTGCAACGATGAGACTGTATGGCTCCTTTAGCAAGAAACCAAACTCCAGCAGCTGAATGACTCACGCATCAAACTCGCCCGTGAAGAGCTCTTCCCGGAGGTTCAACAATCCTTCTCCTGTAGCTTTGCGTTTGTTGAGGCGGGCCTTCTGCCGTTCCGACCGTGCTTCGGCGTCCTCATCCGCATCCGCAGATGCAATCACTTCGATATAAGAAATAGCGCGGCGTGTTGGCAGGGAGAGAGCTCACAAGGCGAGTAATCCTCGTCCGCAGTGGCCCAATTGAGGGAAGATAGCACAGATGTGACGCCAGGTTTGAAGTTCATATTCACAATGACGGGGTAGGCGGGTGGCGAGTCCACATCGCATATAGTGATCAATCGACCCTCCCCTGAAGTACCGTGAATTCGGCTTCATCATCGGTAATATAGCAGGCGCACCTCCCATTCGCTCGAGAATGCCTGCAACGAGCATCCCCGACGCGTCGTCGACTGCGATATAGCGACCTCCAGGTCGCACATTCGCATGCGTAAGGATCTGCGCCAAAGAGTCTGGGCGTAGGTCGCGGATGCGATTTTGGTCCTTGTTGAACCAGTAATTGCATACGTTGAATAAAGTCGGCTCAACAGTGGTGAACGCCTTGGAGAACCTATGTTGTTCATCCGGCAGCGCGAGGGGTGATAAAGGACTGCTTACTTGGCCTCCTTGCGTTTCTTGTACTTCTCCTTCGAGTACTCCGTCTTGAGAGCATAGTTGGCGTGCTGCTCAATCTGCTTCTTGATGATCTCCTACTGACGCTCAGCGCGATGATCGCGAATGCACTGGACAGAGAACGCACAGACGCATGCACGCCAGACTGCCTAAGAGCATGTATCTCTTGTGCAGTCAGAGGCTGTACAAATTGTCCGTCGTTGATGAGTTCATTCGTGGCCTCGGTGTCCTCTGGGGTAATACGATCAGGGACGTGTTGTAAGGAGCACAGTACACGCACCGATCTCTTCGAAGCTCTTCGGAGGTATGACGGTCAATTTCTTCTCCTTAATCTCGTAGGTGAGGCCATACGGCTCGCCCAGCAGCTCATTGGCATGGAAAGACCCGAAGCGACCGAGGGATATGGTCCTGGGGAAACGGTGTGAAGTTAGGCCACTAGAAGACGACACGCTCGTACGTGTTCTGCTCAATCTTAATGCCGCGAATGTCACCGTTGGGAACCCTGAGTAGGACAGTGTTGCCGGACTGGATCGTGGACTCGCGGGTCTCAAGCATCGCCGATCAAGAGTACAATGGACTGTGATGCTGCTGATCGAGAACACAATGGACTTATGCCACGTGCACGCGCCGCAGGCTCTAGAGCCTAAGTTCAGTTGCCTCAAGCACATGCCTAAAAGCGTCTATCATTGGAGAGGCATCGTAGGTACCAAGCTACATGGGAAACAAGAACAGCTGTCTACTAGAATGGCCAACAATGGCTACATTACTCTGGGTTTATACTGTAGAAGGCGATAGTGTACAACATATATGGTTTAAGGATAGGGGAGTCGGACGGAAGACAAGAGAAGCTGAGATGCCTGCACAAAGACCCTAGTCATCGATCATATACCGTACTGGTTTGCGTTGGGAAAGTCGTAACCATAGCCCGAGAACACCTCCGGATTCGTACCGCCCTGCTGGATCCATCCCAACTGAGAGTTGCTGAACTGCTCTCCCCCTGCAGGTCCAGCGGCCACCCCGTTAGGCCGCGCCGACGCAGGCATCTGCTGCAGCTGAGCTGGCTGACCGAAGACGTCGCCCGTGGGTTCTTGCATCCCACGCGGCCACCACTCGTAACCCGGATAGAAGGACGTCGATGGCTCGATCCCGGGTATGTCGAGGCCCAACATGTGCGCCATGATCCTTTGACTAAGGTCGCGCATCCCATTCTGAGGGGAGGGTTCTTGACGAGTGTTTCCGTAGGTGCCGAACGCTTCCCGCTGCAGGTAGTCGGAGTTCTTCTGATCCTCGGGGCCAAACGCGTTCTCGAGGTCACGCTTGCGTTCCGTACCCTCGCCTCGGGTGTGCGGGATGGACACGGCCTTCTCGTATCCAAGCTTGACACCGTCGAGCAGATCCCACGCACGAGACGCACTCGGCCAAACGACCTGCAGCTGACGTGAGAGAATGACACCGTGAGTGTAAAGCTACGACAGACCTGCATCTCGTTCAAAGCCGTCAAACACTGTCGTAGACCGAGAGATGCTTGAAGGTTTGAAGGTCTTACAGTCACTGGTAAATGTGAGCATTTAGATCACATCGCAATGGAAGGTACTGACGCGTCAAGATGTGCATGATGCTGTTGCCAGGGTGAGCAACTCGACAAGACTCGACCACAGAGGTTACTTACCCAGACGCTAGCAAGTAAGCCGTTAGGAAGGGCGACGTTCTCCGTAACGAGTAACGTTCGCGGATGAGGTTAACTGGAAAAAGGGTAAACGAAGGCGCATTTGATGAGCAGGAAGACAGCTTACTGATAGCGCTGACATGACTCGCAGCTCCTTGCGCGAGATCGAAGGCCTTGCCACCGATCGTGGACTGACCATGCTCCGTCACTCTACTCGACGGTTAATGTGTAAAGCGCCAAAGGGATTGGGTTTGCCTACTCTTTCCAGTTCGGAATGCTGTGAGGTATTATCAGTAAAGGCGGAACCATACAACCGGAGATCACACTTACAATGCGCGATGCAATAACAGGACAGCACCCCAATAGCGCACATGCAATATCAGGACATGCGGAGGAGGAATTGGCCGGGTCGAGCTCGCGAGGTCGAACTGAAGATTGTCCGGCATGTCGAGATACCACCGATGGAGAGCGTTCTCCAATTCCTCTAAACACGCGCGCTTAGTCGCACTCGGGGGTTCGCGGACGGGGTATATATCGGTGACGATACTGCCAACGATCAGACCTGGTGTAGATGAGCAGGTGCAAGAACAAGACAGATGCTGAAGCATACAAAGGCGACACTGCGCACGGAAAGCGGCCATGCTTCGCGAGGGCATAGGCGGATAAGACACGTTCAACGGCGGGCTTGGTTGCCAGGGTTGTTCTTCATCCTGTGACATCTGTGAGGATGCGATTGCATATTTTCGAGTTTAACTCACTGAGTCGAGCTCAGGCAGGTGTGTGTCGTGGTCCGAGTCCCTGATCATGATGGGACGGCCTGTACTGACGTTAACATTCACCACGACATTAGACCTATTGCGAGACTAACCCATGTACATCGATGCATATCTGTGATGGTGTAAGCAGAGGCATAGCGATTCAGGTCGGTTCCCACCTGTCTGCGAGCATACAAGTCCACCAGATCTGTCGACGCGTTTGTATCTCTTCCGGGGCGAAGAGCATATGTCCGTGTATCTTCCAAGAACCCGGGTCGCAGTTGAGTCCCAGGTCGATGGCCTGTTCGCGTCAGTAAACCTCCGTAAACCAACCAAGAACAGGGTGCATACCATGCGTATCGCCATCCCTATACGAAGCTTTAGTATAGGCGGCACACTATCACACATGATGAGCAACGCACCAATGTACAGCCAACCGTGCTCCATACTACCGATCCCGAATTCGCGATAACCGAGGAGAAGAAGCGACTGGACCGTTGATGGTTGAGAACGGTGGAAGGTACGTGCTGCTACCTTCGTTAAAATCTGAAACTCGGTACGGTTGGAAGACTCACTGAGTATCTTCAGGGCATCGTCGCAATACTCGCATCCTGCTTCCCACATTTTGCCATTCAGACTCGACGGAGCTGGAGCGTCGTCGCGGAACCGCGCAGTGATGGCGAAGATCGACAGCAAGAGAAGGTTGTTGACCTTTTGCGACGACTCCGGCTTGGGCGTACCAGTCGAATTCTCCGAAGGGCTACCTTTGCTTGAGGCGCCGCTCTTCCTGGTATCAGATGAGCATACACGTCACAAGGAGCGGGATGACGACGTACCGCAAGTTATACTCGGAAAGAAAGCGGTCTTTGTGGATAGTAGGAAAGATAGGGTGGATATAGCTGAAGAACAGCTCCAACAACTCATCTTGTACGTCTTGCGGGGGCATAGTGACTTCAACATCATCTTCTTGTGCACTAGGTGAGGCGACGACTTGATTCTTCGCCTGCGGCCACACGCGAGCCATGGGCAGCTTCCTGTACCTTTATCAGTCTCGTCGCCTACACGTTCAGCACTTCTGAGACGTACCATATGCCCCCCTCTATCCGATCATCCGTGCGATCGTTCCGCCGAAGAAGGTGAAGACCGCTAGTTTTGCCATGAAATCGCACCTGCGACGCATCATCAGCTCCAGAACCTTATCCGTTACAGGCCGCGTACCTCCTGATGCTCGTCCAGCGACAATTCCCCCATCGCTTCCGTGCTCGGTTCGATGTTGTCTCGATCCCTGACGTCTGCAAGACGTCAGAACTCTCTGTAAAGGGGGTGCGGGGAAAGATCTACACACCTGAGTCGAAAGTATACATCTCACTCCAGTTCGGAGGCTGAGGAACGCCGGGAGATACAGGAGAGTCGCCCAATCGTCGCCTTTGTGCCAGCCTAACGCCGGAGCTTTCGAACGGCGAACTCGAGTGATACCCCGGACCACCGCTGGACGATGCCCCGTAGCCTGTCATTGAGGTGCGCGCTGAGATTGCTGCAAGTCGATCTGCGAGCCGGTCCTGCCATTCCTTAGTAGGAACGACAGAGAGGCCGCGATCTGCAAAACCTTAGTAGGTACACGAGGGACAGAGGAAAACTTCAGCACCTTTGCTGGAAGAAACGATTTCGCGGGACACGCGGGACTGCCGTCGAGATCGCGAAGAGTCACGGCTGCCCAGCGTGGATTCATTGCTTCTAAGGATAGAGGAAAAGATGTCCTCCTTCGTTGCACCGTCCGTCTGTCTACCAGAAGGGCCCTGCAGATCGGTGAGTAAGCGGCATTAGGGAGTGTGTAGGGACGCACGTAAGGGCCCATGTCCACTCTGTCGATGATCTCGCGCGCAAGTTCGTCTTGCCGCATTGTCTGTACCAGGTCCTGGACCTTGGGATCCCGACATTGAATGAGCGCGCCAAGGAGTGACTCGACTTGGTGCCATCGCTGTTCGATGGCATGTATGTAGCCCTTCGGGGGGCCCCGTTTGTAACTTGGTCCTATTGAGCCCGATGAGCAACCTTCGCCTGAGAGAGCAAGATAAGTGTCCTACCTAGAAAGGTGCATGCTGATGGGTCAAGGGACTCGAGGTCAGGCGACGGATCAAACGCTGCTTCAAAGATCTCGCACCTGTACCCGCGAGCGCACAACTTTTGCACTGAGCATCCGTAGGGCCCCGTTCGCACTTCGACTACGCAAGCGACAATGAGCGACAGCGTGGGGGCAGGGAGCACAACCAACTCACTTTCGTCTTTCTGCACTGGTCGCAGGCTGCCAGTGGGTTTCAGAGACGCACACGGACCCATTGCACTCCCCGTACCTCTACTTGATCGCTTACGGTTGCCGGTCAGTTGATCCTGACCGGTGTCTTCTTCAGAACCGTCGTCTGTGTCGTGGTAGTTCATGTCGAAAATTTTGGGGTGATGGTGGACGGACAGAAAGAGTGAATAGCTCTCGATGACGACTGGGGCAACTTCCGCGACGAGCGCACGAGCGCACGTGCTCCAATTCTTCTCACATATTCGATCTGTTGACATGTTCCCCTCAATCTCAGACATCTCCATACTATCTCGACCCCGATGGGACACCTTTCAATCTATGCGATCTTCTGAGGACAAACGACGACAAGCCCGCGAGTTCATACGTACCGATGTTGGCATGGCGATCGACCTACGCGCGAGCGAAGCAGGGGACGACTTACGGGGCCAGAGACTCATGCCTTTCCATTCCTCGTTATCTGCTCGTTGAGCACTCGCGCCAGGACTAGTTCTTTCTTCCCTTCCGCCTCGCAAGACCCCTCGGCATCAATCACCTGAGGTTGCGCTAGCGATTGTATCCTCCCAAGCCTATCGGCCTTCAACAACTCACAAGGGACTCCCATGTAAACTACTACCCTTCTTCGAACAATCGATCGCATCGTTCGCATATGACTTGACCGTCAGGCTCGCCAGGCGAAATGTACGAGCTGACGGAAGTCCAGAACGAGGAGAGGAAGATCCCTGGGTCTTCGCAGCGATCTCGTTGTGATGCATACGCCCGCTGTTCAGTTTCCTGGCGCCGTGACCGTTGTCATGTGCCGCACTGCCGATTTCGCCGTTCTTGCCAGAGCACACTGTACGTCGCCTCTTGACCTAGTCGTGGAGGACGCTGCTCAGATGCTAAGGCCTGGTCACTTCCTGCGACTGCACTCGCTACACTATCCACGTTTGCTATACCTACTTGTCCTGGCCTAGTGCTCGAACACTGTTGGCAACCCATTTACGCTTCTGATTTCGTTGACTCGCGCGTGCCTAAGCCCTGCCGCAATGCAATCCACATCGTGATCGCTACGTCTGTCGACGCTTGTCACCAACGCACTGCGGCTACTTTTCGGTGGTGGCAACTCGTCCTGTCACATACCGGATGGACCGCATAAGGGCGCAATAGAGCGTATTAGTTTCGATAATTATCAGAGAATTCCTCAACGAAAGCACAAATGAAAAATCATCAAAAAGCGTACTTCAAGTGAAAGATCGAGACGACAAAATGTAAAGAGGCAGAGGGTTCTCAAATCGATGAGCCTCCCGCGGCATTCTACGCCAACGCGCATTCCAGGATCCTGCTGATTATATCCCTCATGCGTGCACTCCTGCACAATCTCCTTCGAACGTCCTATACACATGCCTTGATGTAGGTTAGAACGGCAAGGATATCGAAGAGACCGCCCTTCTCCTGAGCGCGCACGAGGTCATCACATGGGCACGCCAGAGTTCGAATACCATTGATGCTCCTCGGTTTTCGGCCTGCACCACGAAGATATTCATTAGCCTTTTCAAGTTCTGCATTACCCACTGCATGAAGTGGAGCTGCATATTTTAAGTAAAGAACTTGATAATTATGCTAACTAATACGCTCTAATGTCAATCGCAGAGAAAATTGCCGGTGAGGACCAACATCGGATTGCTTGTACTCACGTTCGGAGGCGCTAAAGGAACTTAGGAAGGGCAGCGGCGCACAAGACGAGATACATTATGTAACAGCAGGCAATGTTGTGGCTGGAAGCACTCAGAATGCATTGGCTCATGCATCGCACCAACGAACGCGTTTACAGACGAAGAAAGCTCTTAGTATACAAGAGGACAGTAAAATACACAACATAATGATGATCTCCCTCGTCGAGTACACCACTACTACGACACATGACCGGCAAGCATCGTCTACATGATTTCAGTCGTGTTGTCCCTAGTCTCCTCAAACATCAGCGCGCCCTGCTGATCCTTCAGCCACTGCACGCTTCGTTTCTCGTCCATGAAGTAGTCATAAGCCCTTCGCACGTCCTGTGTATCAACAATCTCTGCTTTGCGCTTGCGCGCCACTACTTGCGCACATGAGATCAGATTGAGTGCGTAACGTAGCGTCGTTTCGATTGCTGTCTGGATGAGGACCTGCAGGGCGTCTTTCGAGAGCTTGACGTCCTCTTCTTGACACCTGGCGCATGCTGCGTTATTCATGGAAGCAGGCGCACGAGCGACGGAACGTACCGAATCTGGATGATTTGTTCAATGTCTTCGTCAGAGTAAGGTTTCGTGCTGACGATGAGCACTCGGTCCAAGAGATCGACCGGGAGTCCATGAGGACTTTGAAACTTAGTACCGCGGATGCGAGCCATTCCACGATTAGAGGCCATGATGACGAGAGGCGACAACTCTTGCTCGAGCGCGCGGTTCAGGAAGGAGAAGCATTCGATATCCAGCATATGTACTTCGTCAATGAAGAGGACCTAGAATTAGATCAGCTCGTCGGCTTGCGGATGGTGAAAGCGGCGAACCCCTGGGACGATCTCAGCCTTGCCTTCTTCCCTCCATTCGGCTACCTTCGTGTCGATCTGCTTGCGCAACTCTGGCTTGATCTCGCCCGTGTCGCCGGCAAAGAGAGCCAGGAAGCCTTGTGTCCTACTGTTGATGACATCGATCTCATGAAGCGACACTGTGTGTACGACCTCGCGGCGCTTTTGTATCTCGCCCTCCGGGCATTGGACGAATTTGGTCTGCATATAAAGGTCAAAGTCAAGGACATTATCAAGTCGAAGATCACTGACATCTGCGCCCATTGCGTCGTAATCCCGAGAGCGTGCGTAGGAGCGACCAATTTTGGAGATTTTGCCGGAGCTTTTGTCTATGCACACGACGTCGCCAGCAAGAACCTTCTCCTTGGAAAGTGCGTCAATCATTTTCGTGCCGAGGTCGTATATGGTCTCCATGTCCGTCGTTTTCATCGTAAGTTTGCCGGTTTTGGTAGCCTGTCAGTCATTGTCAGTGTGCATATACGACGTCGTTGACCAGAAGACGTACTCCAGTAAGACTTCGGTCAATTTGGATGTCGACGACCTCTCCTTCGATAATCTCTGTCTCTTCCTTGATTCTGATGCCAATGCTCCGACGAAAGGCTTGAGTAAGGGCCTCCGTCTTGGACATGGATAGGGAGAAGACCTCGCTCGCAGCGATCATTGTGAACGGAACATCCGAGCCAAGCGTCTGAGCCATGCCTGGTCAAGGTTAAGAAGCTGTATAAGGCTAAAGCATGTATAATCACCTAATGCGATGGCTGTCTTGCCTGTGGAAGGGGGGCCAGCAAAGAGCATGGCGCGACCGGCAATGCGCCCCTCTTGAACCATCTTGAGTATCATGCCGGCTGCCTTGCGGGCTTTGGCCTGTCCAACCATGCCTTGGGCATTCCCCCGAGGTTCCAACCGGTCATCAAGACCGAGACCACGGATATGAGAGTGGGCGCCTAGGAGGAGTGGATGATCTACTGAGTACCCTCGCGCGAACTACGCGTATGTACACACCTATGCGCTCCATTTTGGTAATGTCCCTGAGCTCTGAGGCCCCTGTGTTGATCTGCATGGCCTACGTACACGTCAGTCATGCGCGCACAAAGGGACGACGAGGGAGCTGACCATGGTTGATCGAGGTTGGGGTTCAAGACGCGTGGGCAAACAAGAGATCGGGACGGTGGCCCGCGCGCACCTGCTTTTTCCGCCCGTTCACTTCGACCCGCCGACCTTCAGCACGCGCGTCATGCTACGCACCCCCGCCCAGGGATGCGTACGCGCTTGGAGGCGCTCTCTGCTCTCTGTAGCCTCGGCTAGCCGTGCCTCAGCCCTTCCCTCGAACTCGCAGCGGACGTACGCGAGCGTCCGCAAGGTGGAGAACCAGGTCCAGCAGGCGTTCACGCGCTCCGAAGAGATCTTCAAGCGCTACAAGCCAGTCTCGCCGGGTCTGCGTCATCTCAGACGACCCCTCCATCCACATCTTTGGGAGGGCCGTCCCGTTCGCGCCCTGACCATACCGAAGCGGAAAACCGGTGGTCGCAACATCACAGGCCGCATAACCGTCCGTCACCGTGGTGGTGGTCACAAGCAGCGCATACGCACCATCGACTTCATGCGCACGACCCCGGGTCCTCACGACGTCGTCCGTATCGAATACGACCCCGGCCGCTCAGCCCACATCGCTCTGCTCATGAACCGTGACCCGAACGCGGTGGGCACGCAGAAATGGAGCTATGTCATCGCGACGGAGGGCATGCGCGCTGGAGATGAAGTGCAGAGCTTCCGGAAGGGCATCCCCGAGGGATTCATTCCAGGCTTCGACGAGCTGCGCGCGAAGGAGTTGGAAAAAGCTGCCGCTAACGCGTCGTCCCCTGACGCTTCTGCCGCTGCGGAGTCAAGCGCCGAGACCCTCGCTATGGGTATCCTGCGTACAATGACTCTCCGACCAGGCAACGTCCTCCCTCTCCGCCTCATCCCTCCCGGCACCGTCATCAACAACATCTCCCTCGACCCCAACGGACCCGCACGTCTCGTACGGTCTGCTGGCTCCTGGGGTCAGCTCGTGGCGCACGAGGAGGGCAGTAAGTACGTCCAAGTCAAGCTGCAGAGCGGTGAAGTGCGCAAAATCCTGCGCGAGTGCTCCGCAACCATCGGCAAGGTCAGCAATGCCGTATGGAAGAACAGGCAGATCGGCAAAGCTGGTCGTGCCCGCTGGCTCGGTCTGCGCCCGGAAGTGCGTGGCGTAGCTATGAATGCGTACGTGACATTATTGCCCCAAACGCTTCAAAATTCACTTATACTTCACGCAGTTGCGACCATCCTCACGGTGGTGGACGTGGAAAGTCGAAGTCTAACAAGCATCCGCGGTCTATCTGGGGCTGGGGCACGAAGGGTACCCGAACCAGGAAGCCTGGTCCCAAGGGTCCGAAGAACAGCAACAAGCTGGTCGTTCGTGAGAGGCCCCGGGGTGTCGACCTTCGTTCGACGAACTAGACGACTGTCAATGCATATACTCCTGCTCATGTTCCTTTCGCTCCATCCGAGTCTGACTACGGTACGGTATGCTTCAAGGTAATTGACCATGTCTCAAGATCTACTCCTTATGATTGTAAGTATTTGTCCAGTGGGTGCAGTGAGCTTTACCTTCCCTCCCCGCATGGCCCGACACCCTCAGGGATCGCACTTGTTCTGATCGGTCCCCGGATGATCCGGCCCGCGATCGGGTTTTGGGCAGGAAGCGGGGAGGCGGGTTTCGCTCTTTCCGCTCTCCCATCTTCTGCAGCGCCATGCCGGTTCTTGTGCAGTGACGACGGGCGTATACCCGTCGTCTCATCCTGCTTAGAAAAACTAGACTATAGAGAATACTCGTAGACCAACCCGATGTCTTCGACGCACGTCCTCGACTCTACCCCGCCTTCGACTTTCCTTCCGCCGCTCGCGCGTCTGCGTGCAACCTCGACGGAAGACATAGCCTCGGCTCTCGAGCACATCCGGCAGCTCTACTGGCCAGAGACATGCTGCAAAGCTCCTCTTCCGCCTCACTTCACGATCCCCGTTCGCCATATCTCCACGTTGATACACGACACGACCGTGCCCGATTCCGGTTACGCATCCGGCAATGAGGATGAAGGTCGATTGGAGGACGAAGTGCTGCTCGACGAGGACGACGATGCTCTCGAGGCACTGCGGGCCGATACTTTCGAGCGCTCGTTCGTGCTCAGGTGGCTGACGGGCCTAATCGCACGTGGAGATGCCTGGACGGACACAATAGACGAAGAAGGTCGACTCGAGGCAATAGACGAAGCTTCTTCGATATTGTCGGCATTCACTGGGACGGAAGAGGAGGCCGAGGTTGCCGTGACACGCGAGCTGGCGTTCCGATCCAAGAGTGGTGCTTCGGTCAGCGTCCAGCTCAACGACGCGCCGCTATCTACCAACGACCACACCTCTGTCGGCCTCCAGAGCTGGGCGAGCTCCATCGTCCTAGCCGAGCGTATGTGTACCAGTCCATCGCGCTTTGGTTTGGGAACATCGTCGCGTATACTCGAGCTTGGCGCGGGCACGGGCCTCCTCAGCATCGTTGCGGCGAAGCTGTCGCGGACGTCGACCGTTGTTGCCACGGATTACCACCCCGATGTCCTCGCCAATTGCCAGGCGAATATCCGGACGAATGCATCTGGCTCCGCACCCGTTGCCGTGAAGCGGCTGGACTGGCAATACCCGGAATACGATGATGAACTAACCATGCCGTTCGACATCGTGCTGGCGGCGGATGTCATCTATCATCCCGAACATGCTCGCTGGCTCAAGGGCTGCGTCGAGAAGACTATGCGTCCAGGTGGAGTCTTCTGGCTCATGATACCCGTCCGCGCTACCGGTCGGCATGAGGGCATGTACCGTACGGTGGAGGAGGTGTTCGCGCAGGGTGGTCCTGGGCTGGTCGTCCTCGAGGAGGAGCACGTCATGCGGCGGGATGGTGTCGGGCGCGCGGACGAGGTTGGGTACAGACTGTATAGGATAGGATGGGCTGACAATGCACTCTAATACAGAGCTCCCTCAGTCTCCAGGGCTGCTTCTTACCGCGCTGTATACCTGTCAGCACAACACGTCACCGAGATCGTGCCCAGCTCACAGGTTTCAATGTCATCGCAGTCAACTTCAGCATCCGTTACATCGTGCATTGACACCTACTGCCAGTGCGAGATGTATACTTAAAGTGGCTGACATCTCTAAGTTGTGTTAGTTCACAAGCAAACCTGAAGCAACGATGTAATACAGGCATGCGAATTGAACTACAGACCAAAATAAAACACACACCGATGTCATTCTTCGTGAAGGGGAGACATTGACAGCTGGTAGAACGTCGGAGAGTATTCGAGGCTGGTCAACATCCGAAATGCGGCAAAATACAACAATAAAGTAATGGCTATTCATACATTTTCTTCTAGCTGTGTACTGACGGGTAGCTCACGCAGTAACAACCTCCTTGAGGAATTTCTAGGGCAAGGTCAATGAAAGAGTCAGGACTGCATGATGCGACGCACCTCCAGACCGCCCGGGTTAGCACCCACGGTGGAGCCGATCTTCTCGCCATTCTTGAACGCGATGAAGGTGGGCATCTACATGAAATATGAGGGTGTATATACGTTGGCATGCGTTGTCACGTACCGCGCGAACGGCGACTTCCTGCGCGATCTGCTCCTGCGCGTCGACGTCGACCTTGTAGTACTCAATGGAAGAGAACTCCTCCTTCTGGCCGAGCTTCTCGAAGATTGGCGAGATGACCTTGCACGGGCCACACCATGTCGCCCAGAAGTCAATGACAACGACCTTGCCGTTGTTAATCTGCCATCTCGGCATCAGTAGTCTAGTCACTACGTCGCGAGCGATGTGCATACGATCTGCTTGAACTCGTCGTAGGACTCGATGCTCTTGACCATGATGTATGTGTTGCGGAAGTACAGGTAAAGTGGAATGGATCTGCTGGCACAATCGATTGAAGCGGAGACCTTTATATGCCCGCGATGATTGCGCGATTGATGATGTCCCCGCCCGCTTGGTCATCCGCGATCGCTCACGTGCCTCGAGCTCGGAATTTAATTTTCATTTTTCCTTCTTGGGCGACACATTTGCGCCGAACGATCATCATGCATCTCATGTACACGCTGGACGAGGCTGGAAACCGAGTGTATACTCTCAAAGTGCGTAGGGGACTTTCGCTCTCAGACATTTGACTGACAAACTTTGTAGAAGGTCACGGATGCGGGAAGGATTACTAAGTCCGCACACCCTGGTACTTGTCTCGTACTGCAGGTGTGATCTCGTCGTGCTCATTCGTTTTTTTCTGTCAGCGCGCTTCTCTCCTGACGACAAGTTCTCGCGCCACCGTGTCACTATCAAGAAACGCTTCGGTGTACTGCCCACCCAGCTCCCAGCCAAGCCCTTGTAGATGATCAGACCGCCTTCAAGCTCGTAGCTTCAACAAACACCATTCGACATGGTCTTGATTTTTTGGGGACACCATTGCTGCGACGATTCGCCGTACGAGGAACCTACCGCGTCGCTCACGCTTCGCCGATGTGCGCAGCATGTACAATAGGCGCGATCGGATGCCTTCTGCGCTCTGTATCATGTACCAGCTATTGTAGGACGGCTCCAGAATAGACGCGCAGCGGTTCCTGCGCTACCAGACACCTGTACACCTTTCGTGAGGCTTCGCTCAAGAAGTCGACTCAATACCCCCACCGTTCTATAGGCCTTTCTGGTAGATTGGTTGACTTCGAGTTGAGGGGTGTATAGATGAGGTCGATAATTGAGTCCCCCCGTACCCATACCAATACGTTATGTCTCTGGTCGTCGTCTGACCGGGACTGGGATGATAAGTGGACGTCGACTATTGTTCACGCTGACTCCAACAGGCATAAATACCACGTTTTTCATTATGCCCTTCATCGGAGTCAAGCTCGGGCCGAACCGCCGCCAAGAAGCAGGCATTAGTTCACGTGACCGCGTCCAACGTAAGTCCGCGGGAGTCAGCGCGCTTGATTCAGGCGTTCAAATGGCAATGCCTCCCGATTGAAAACCCCTTCCCGTGTCAGAGCGCTTTTCCTCCCGTATATCACCATGGCCGCACCCGCTTTTCCCCAGAAAACGCATAAGGTCCTCACGACTCTGCCTCCGGGGACAGTCATCGCGCCCATACATGAGTACGATGAAGACCAGAGGAAGATGATGAAGGATCTCCGGGAGGTGAGCCCCTCGTTGTTCCTCGCGGTGCTCGTATTGACCCACTGCTAGTACGCCGAGACTCTTCGTCTGCCGGACACTGATTCATATGCGCCATGGGAGCTGCGCTGGCTGAACAAGCCCGACACCATTCCTCGTTACTGCCGTGCTGCGAAGTGGAACTACCAAGACGCACAGAAGCGGCTCAAGAGCACCCTAGAATGGCGACGTGACTTCAAGCCTGATCTTATACCCCCCGATGAAGTCAAGGTTGAGAACGAGACGGGGAAGATGTGTGTACCTTTACTTGCAGCGAATGCACGAGTCGCTGATGAACTAAAGCACGATCAACGGGTTCGACAGGGATGGACGACCCATCATATACATGCGCCCTGGTTATGAGAACACCGAGCGCAGTAATCGTCAGCTCAGGAATCTTGTGTGGTGGCTGTAAATCCAACCGCCTCGCTCCTCGAGTTCTCGACTGACGAGGTGGTAGGGAACGTGGCAAAGACCTTATGCCGCCAGGCCAAGAGTCTCTTGTAATCATCGTCGACTACAAGAGCACCACTATCCGGAATAACCCCTCGGTGTCAATAGCCATCAAGGTAATCATCCCGTCGCGTCGTCCGAAAATGTACTGAAAGACATCAGGTCCTGCACATCCTACAACAGCACTATGTCGAGACGTTAGGCGTGTCTACCCTCCTCACTGGTTCTTGATCCATACTCATCAATGACTAGGTCGCGCCATGGTGGTCAACCTACCCATGCTGCTCAACTTCTTTTACAAGGGTATCTCGCCATTCCTGGATCCCGTCACGCGCGACAAGGTAAGTGTCCCTCGTAGTCTTAACCTTAGCCCTACTTAACGTTGTTCAGATGCGATTTAACCCCAATCTCCTCGACTTTATAGCTCCAGACCAACTAGACGCCCAATTCGGTGGCGAGCATCACTATGAGTTCGATTTTGAAAGCTTTTGGGCGCAAATCGTCGAGTACGTCGCTTTATGCTTTGCGAATCTTGATACGAACTCATGGGTTTCAGGGCTTGTCGTATAGCGCCTGATGGTACGCCTACCTGATGACCATCCCTTCGATAGCTCACGTTCACGCAGGATCGCGCTTACCAGATGATTTGCAACCCTCTACGTTACCCTCTGATACGGTCAAGGATGCCCGAGTTGAGACCACTGCCGTGCCGTCAGTAACATGCCTTCATCTACTGCATCGATTGTCCTTACGCCCACCTTCCGCAGAGCGCCGTCAGAGGCTACGTCTACGGCAGATCTTGTCGAGGATGCAACAATGACTCAACCTGCTCAGGTCGCTGTCTCTGCGTAGCGCGTGCTATTGCCCCACCCTGCGTTGGCAAGCGATTAAGGTGTCTATGTATCTGACTTCAGTATGCCCTGTTGTATCGCCGTCGTATTGTTGTCTTGCACTATCTAAGTCTCTTCTCGTCCATCGCGCACGCATCGCGAGACCAGACGCCGGTCCTGTGCACGCGCCAAGCGGCTTCGCATTTCGTCGCAGGTTTGCCTGGTCACTACTCTGATTCAGCGCAGCGCGAGCCAGCTGTTGGTCCGTTGCAGCGCCAATATGCGGTAAATAGTGTCATTACCCTCCGTTACAAGCATGAAGAAAAAAAAGAGCGAACAATGTGGGTAAAGGTATCCATATGGCTACTGGTACAATGGAAGAGATTACTGAGGTCCAAGCCCGAGATAAAATAGTAAATACGAGTGTTCTGCACAAGGGAGTGTCAACGTTCAATGACTGGGCTTCCAACTCGAAGGAGGTGGAGCCCTGCGTACGCCAGCGCCCGGCCTAGGGTTTGCGGGTTGGCTCGAAGTCCGTTGTCGTTGTTGCTGTTGCTGCTGCAACGAGCGGCTGCTGCCACTCTGCGGTATCGGAGGAGGGGCCGGGAACTGCTGCGAGTCGCGAGCAGCACCGCCGGAGCGACCTACACCGCTGTTCCTGCCCTTCGCTGGTCCAAACGACTCCCCATACACACTCTGGGCGGAGCTGAATCCGCCAACTCCCATGCTCCCCCCGCCGAACTCGCTCTGCGCACTGCCGAAGTACATCGAGCGTGGCGCGCCAGGAAACATCATCCCACCGGCATTCCAGTTCTGCATCATCATACTCGAGCGCATGGAATTCATGCCACCCACCCCCCCGATCACGCTTCCGCCCGACCCGAAGGCCGACGCGTTTGAGCTGCGCTCCCACTCCTCCGCCGCTGCCGCCATGGCCTGCTGCGCCGCCGCCATCTGGTAGGCCTGCTTCGCATACATCATGGCTCGCTGGTGAGCGGCGTACATGGCGGGATCCGAAGGGAGGGGGACCATAAACTGCTGAGGGTTGAGCATCTGACCGTTCTGCCACATGTTCCATGAGCCGCCAGCGGGTGTCGGGAACTGCATCGGCATGTTCATCATCATCGGGTTCATCATACTCATCCGCGGATCGAAGTTCGCCGCCTGAGGTGTCTCCTCGTCCGGCAGAACAGGTCCGCGACCGTTCATGACATTGCCCAGCTACGCGTATTGAAGTCAGACATTGCAGGATCAGCATATACGTCGAAGACGTACCTCAATGGCCGCCTTCGCCTCATTCCTCCTCCTCTCGTTACGACGGAAATCGTCGGTCTGAGTGCTTTGCTGAAGCTCGTTACGATCCTGGATGTCGCTCTCGAAGCTGACGCTGCGCGATTTTTTGTGTTTGCCCTTCGCGGCACCCATGCCCAGACCGCTGACCCCACTGCCCCAACCCTGACTGGGCCGACCGGCGGCTGGAGCAATTCCGCTGCTAACATCGCTGCCGTCCTGAGGTGTCAAGGGAGCGATACCGCTGCTGGAGTCCCCAGTGGAACTCGCGGGACTCTCTGTGCGACTGGAACTAGCGAACGGCTTGCGTGGAGGGAACGCAACGGGCGGAGCACTGGACAGCATCGCCGTCGACGGGTTTAGACTGGTGCTACGCGGGCGCACACGAACAGGACCGCCGTTGGCAGTCTGTTGTTTGCGAGGCAGCGGCATATTCGGTTTCCCCGGCGAGTCCAGGACGATCGGAGAGGGCGTCTCGTGCAAAGTGCTGCTCCGTGGACGTTGCGCGATCTGCGATTGCTCCTGAGCATGTGGTCGCGAGGTGACCCTGAACGCGGGAGGAGGCGTACGACGAGCGATGGGGATGGGGGCTGGCCTTCGCGCGTCGGAATCAGAATCCTTGTCGTCGTCATCGTCGCTCTCCGACGATGAGGTCTCCTCGTCCGAGTCTTCATCCGGTATTACGCGCCTTTTACCTGCCGCGACCCCAAAGGCTCGCGTCGCTCGCGCTGGAGCGGGCTGCGCAATGGGTGCGGCAATCGTATCAAGAGTGGGTGCTGGGACGTCTACGTCTTCACCCTCCTTCGATATAAGCCGTATACCCCCGCCCAGGAGGTTGATTAGATCTGCGTCGAGGTCGCCACCTTGTGCTGCAGCTGGCGACGTAGTAGGCACAGCACCAGATGATCCACGACGAAGATGGTTGGCCGGCGTGATGGTTCCAGTGCTCTCTCGTTTGATCTCCGCTCGCCCGGTGCCATGCTGCCCAGGGTTTCCCGCCGCCACGTCTCCAGCGCGAGGCGAGGACGAGGCGGACGATAGACTTTCTGGAGATGATGAACGAACGGCATCCTGGATGACCATACGGTGCAACCTCTCTGCAAGTGCATCTCTGGGCTTTTCACTGACAGGCGACGACGATGGCGCTGTCTCGGCGGTCGAGCGTCGCATAGGCGACATGCGCTGAAAAGACTCGTTCGGAGGTGGCGGAAGAGGGGCGTCCTTGAGCGGTGTGTGCGAAGGCTTCACAGGGGACGGTGGTGGGGAAACGAACGGAGCAGGAGGCTCGCTGGATGTCACCGGCGTCAGTGGCGAGCGCACTGGTGGTGATCGGGAGACGGCAGGCTTTGTAGACAGAAGTGTCCTTCCTTGGGTGAAGGCATCGTCGGTGTCAGACGTCTTCCGCCCGACCATCGGGGGACGTGACGTGATTTCGTTGATTTCCAAGAGAGGGCGGGGACGTCCTCCGCCGCTTCTAGAGCTAGCGCCCGATGCTGAGCTTGCCGGCCTGCGCGGGGGTACCAGGGCAGCAAGAGGCTCATCATCGGAGGAGTCCGTCTCTGAGTCGTTCGTTCTCAGAGTTCTACGGGTCACGGGCGACGGAGTCGGACGATGAGAAGCTACACACAACATGTGAGTTGACGCCGTCGGGCAGTATAGAGTTACGTACCTCGCGTAGGAGGAGATGATGCCTTCGAGGATATAACGGGCGCAACTGGACTAGGAGATGCTGAACTGCTCTGCTTGCTGTCCGCAGGGCCACGCTGAGTGACTGTACCCCCGCGACGGAGTCCAACATCTTCTCCAGAGGATTCCTCAGACGATGACTCATCAGAGTCCGTCGTAGTCGAGTACGCGGTAGACTTGCGACCAAATGCAGGATTTGAGGGCGAGATCGCTGATCGGTTAACGAATCCCCCGCGCCCTGTCTGCGGTAACGGAAGGGGAGGGCTTCGTGTATGCACCGGGCTGGGAGTGTTCATTGGTCTATGGGTAGGAAGCATGGGTCCCGGGCTTGGGGAGCGCATAGAAGGTATGGGTGACCCGGCTAAACTACGGCGAGCCTGAGCTTCGCGGAAGGCGGCGACCGAGATCCTCTGCGATGAATCGGATGCCCCGCTGTTATTCCTGATGCGCGGACGCACGGGAGGCACCAGAGACGAGGTGGATTGAGTAGGCGAAGGAGAGGGTTGTGCTTGTGATGGCGAGGGGGATGGACCGACGTGCCGGAACGCCTTGAGGTTGAACGCGCCATCTTCGGGAGCGTTGGACGTTTCCGCCTGATGCTCTGGTGGGCGTTTCTGCCGCGTATTGGGCGTCGACTTGGACCAGTGGAACAGGCCATGCTTCTTCGGCGCGGCGGATTGCGACTGTCCGTCAGAGTGCGGTGGGGAGGTGTCGTTGGGTAAGGAGCGTGTGGAGTTCGCGCTGTTCGGGTCTGCGTAGGCAGCGAATATGGCAGAACGGGAGGGCGGGGGCCCCAGCCGCTGAGAGTCAAGCTGGCTTACGTCGGTACCTGCGCTGAAACTCTTGCGGCCGGCGGGTGGGCGTGTCGGTGGGCTTAGCCCGCCATTCGTCGTCGCGAGCGATGTGGTAGAGGTGGAAGCAGCGGTGCTGGACGCTTTTTTTCGCGAGAACGGCAGCTTGAGCTTGCTCGAGGACGCGACAGCGTTCGGGTACACGCTCGACTGGGCAGGGCTTTGCCTGAGGCCGGTCCTGCCATTCGGGCTAGAGGGTAGACCCTTCTCCGCGTGCACGTATTCCAAGGTAGTCGACACGGAGACGAGATCGGCTTCTATGCTGCTGCGGGTCGCAACACGCGCGACCTCATGTCCGCTGTTGGAGGGCGCCTTGGACTTCTTGGAGAATAAGCCGAAAGGCATGGACGACGGTTGGCGAGATGAGCGAGGGAGGGAGTGCGCAAGAGAAGGTCGTGCAGGCCGCCGCAGAGCAGACCAGGCTCGCCAGTTTCGAGACAGATGACGGCGGGTGAATTCAACCACGGCCGTGCGTACAGAATGCACTCTTGGGCCTAGACCAAACAATGCCAATGACCCCCACGTGCGCCTCCTACTTCAACTTGTTCGCCGACCTTCGCCGCCACACGCTTCTAATCGTACCTGTCCCCATAGCCAAGCCGTTGAGTTCGCAAGCCTTGTGATGTACAAATCGTCATCTCTCGCGTTTCCTTGCTACATGGATGCGCGGGGTAGCAGGAAGCAGCACGACTGCCACGCTCTCTCAACGTCCCATCGCCGACGGTGCTTGCATTCAAGTGAAGCATCGCTTCAATCCCCCTGTCGGATCTCCATAGTCCACCATCTTCATGAATGCTTCGGGGCGTGCCCATGTACCGCCCGGCAATTTCAAGCTGGATGCTACCTGTGTAGAGCCTGGTTCAGGACGATGTCTGCTCTTGCTATGAGCCCTACACGCTGACCCGTTTCTCTCCTGCGCGCTGATCGTCATGAACCCTCATGGACGTCGTCCGCATGTACGCCAACAGTATCCATCGCTACCACGTGTAATCGTCACCTGCTCGCCGTCAGATCGGGACCAAACACTGCGCGATGACGAAGTCAGTGACGTCCAAAGCATTGTCTTACGGCCATTTCAACCCACTCCCTGAAAACAAGCGCTCGGCGTCCTGGGTGCCTACGCATCTTGCTACCAGCGGGCCTGACCTTGAAACCGACAAGTGCCTTCTGGTCACTCCCAACCGGCCTGACCAGAAAGAACGCTATGGAACCTTCCCTTTCGCCAACATCGACCATCCAGGGCGGCAGTTCGGACGCAGGCGCCGAACCGGGCATCGACCCTCGTCTATCCTCGGCCAACGAAAAGTACAGTCATTTCGAGGAGGACTGCGCTATAGACATCATCGACTATTCGGCGAAAGATGCGACATTCCAACGCATGCACAACTCTGAGTTCGTAGAGCTGATGTACGACACGGCGACTCAGAAGCGCGACAGTCCGCCGTCACATTGGACAGACAAGAAGGGCTCGGCACCATTCCGTTGGATCAGCATCACAGGTATCGACTGGAACGTACTGAGCTCCCTCGCGCTGAGATACGGTACGATGGCTTGCAGTGAATAGTTGCGCTGTATTGACACCAGCAGATCTGCACGCCCTTGCCCTCGAAGACGTTCTCCAAGAGCAAGGATTCACGCACTCGAAGGCAGACTACTACAATCATCATCTGCACCTGCGGGTCCTCGCTCATACGTTGGCTCCGGATGACGAGCTCGAGCACTCAAGGTGGTGGATGAACCAGGTAAGATATAGGGTGACGACCACTAGGCAAGGCTAATTTACACAGGCAGTCTTCTTCTGCAGACGTCGAGAGAGATCCAACGACCTCGCCCTATGCACACAGTCTCGCGGGAAGAGCACGCCGCGGTATTAAGAGGCGCCTGGGCCTCCTCAGCGGTTACAGAAATCATGTAAGGAAAAGTCGTCAGATGCACTCCTGTGGTACTTACGATGCCCAGGAAAGGGAGAAGCAGGTTTTGCGCTTGCAGGCCCTAACGAAGGGAGAGCGCGTAAACGTAAGACGCGAACCGCTGTTTGTCTTCCTGACGCGCGATGGTACGTTCTCATCCTTGCTGCGGTTCCCATTATTCCGTTTGCTCTAACGCACTTCACATAGGTACCGTAATCTCTATCAACCCGACCCGAAAGTTACACTTTACCCGGCCTCTGATGGAACGAATGCGACAGCCGGATTCTGTTTTGCGCACTTCTGAGGACCCTTCCATGCTCGTGGAGAGCATTATCGATCTCGGTAAGCTGATCTTCAGGGTCCTCGCCGTCCCATTTTCTTACAATCTTGCTGGCGGCAGTCGTCGACAGAATCCTCGAGTTGATGGACAGCTATCAGGACAAAATTCACCGCCTTGAGCAAGATGTCTTGCTCCGCGCCAATGGCATGTCGACGGTGCGAAGCCGTAAGTATCCAGCGAATGACTGTTGTACAGGATCGTGCGCTGATACTCGTCCAGTTCATATACTGTCTGGGGATCTGGCGATGCATAAGCGCACGCTAGAGCCCATCAAGAATCTCATATATGGGTTGCGAAGATACGATCTCGAGCGCTGCCTGGCTATCGCCAACATGGACGCCGCGCACGATGCCGAAGCAGGCGACGGCCATTCGGCGTATCCTTCCCTAAGCGTGCCCAATGGTCATACAGAGGTCACCTCACCGGGACCCATCATTCGGCCGCTCTCGCCAGCGCACACGGGCGAGAGACAACCCAAGGTGAAGGGCTACATGAGCTACAAGTCGAAAATCTATCTTGTAAGTGTCGTACTGTACGTCAGTATATTGCATGCTGACCCTTTCAACAGGCAGACGTATACGACCATGTGAGTCGCCCATTTGCGAGTCAGAGGAGCTTACTGAGCATCAGCAGATCAATTTTGCCCTCACCAGCGTCGAGATGTTCGACGGGACGACCGAAAACTTGATCAACTTCGCTTTCAACGTAAGATATGCCTCTTTCCTCCCTACAATGGTGTTCATATGAACCATCCAGAGCGCATCCTACGACATGAACAACTCTATGTAGGTGGTGCTCATCCTACAATAAACTACTTGCTGAACAGATCCACCAGGCGCCGATTGAACGTTGCCGCAACTATTTTCCTGCCTCTCACCTTGCTCACCGGCTACTTTGTGCGCGCTCATCGCTTGTGTTTTACGGAGGCCATTCTGACCGTTTTCTCAGGGAATGAACTTCGCCGACATCGCCGACTTGCAGTCTATGTCCCTGTGAGTGTCTCTATCTCATAACCGCCGACCTCAGCTAGAACGCCACTCGCACAGATTCTGGATAGTGGCCATACCAGTCATGGTCGTCCTTCTGCCAGTGTTCGCATATTCAGATATCCGAAATGCTTTCCGGTATGTGAAAAAGAGGATGGAGATGGATGAAGCCTCGAAATACGCGGGGCTCTTATGATAGACGTCGAGCTGCAGTAGTTTCTGCTCTGATTCCAGTCACATATACGGCTGTATCTACAGTCCCTGAAGCCGACCAGAGCCCTGGGCCGGGATGCGGAACGTCATCGTTGAGCGGTACTGCGGCGTGTGCATGCCACGCACCACTGGAGTCCGTCCCGAGGGCGTTGCAACGAACTGTACGCGTTGCGTCATAGCAGGACGCGACACAAGGGTGATTTGACAAAGGCCGACGCGGACAAGGAATCGTCGGGGAGCTTGAGGGCGGTTGACCGAGCTTTCGACAGCGAGGTGCCCTTGGGTATATTCTCGAAGCTCGGGTGTGTGTTTGCAGCGAGAAGCACAGCGCCTATTTTGGACGGCTCTGGTTCGAATTCCACCGGCGAAAGCCGAGATCGAACCGGACGGTCGGGATTCGGCGTGTTGGGCCTGCGGCACGCCGGCCGGAAGCGAGCCCGCTTGCAGTCTTCCTCTCAACCCCATCAGCTGCTGAGCAGAGCCCGAGGCTTTGCAGGCGCGCCGCCTTCCGCTCGCTCGCTCGCTGCGCCGGTCGTTGTCTCCTCATTTCATAGCCGTCAGCCCTCCTCACCGTCGAGGATGGATTACCGTGGCGACCTGCGCCCGCCTAGGGCCGCCCGTCCGCCCCAACAACAAACGCAACAGCAGGAGACAGACCAGCCGTTCTTCAGCAGCCGCCCTGCGTTTCCGCACACGGATGGCTCAAAAGGCAACGTCTCCTTCCAGAACACTGAGCGTGGCGACCGCCACGGCCAGCTTGACCAGCCTCGACAACGCAACATGCCATCTGCATACCAGCACCAACTTCCCCCTGATGTTGACCCAGAAACTGGCATGCCGTTCGACCAGGGCAGGGTCGGGCGCAAGAAGAGTTTGGTGCGCCCCGATCGAGAGAAGATCGCGCCTGGCCATAGGCAGTGGCACTACCGGAACCACGTCCAGCAGGCAGAGGAGGAAGGGAATGCCCGTGTTGGCGTCATGCCCTCTAGTGCGTCAATTCCAACCCTAACATTGAAGGATGATCGCTGAGATGCTTTCAGCTACTGGAAATATACCCCAGGGCCTGCGTCGGGGGAAATCGCTGCTCGGTCGCGAAGAAGACGTTCACGAATCCGGCCTCGCGTTGTTCAAGCGTGGCGCTACCCTCCGACGAAAACGGCCTGCCGCTGCAGTCCCCCTCCCACCCCTCGAGAAGAAACCTGGTGGCTTGCTAGGCGACACCCCAGGCCCGCGGGACTGCTGGATGTATTATTGCTACATATTGACTTGCTGTATCCCTCCTTTTTTGTTCAGTCTTTTCGGTGCGCACATCAGTCGCTCACAGGAATACACCGAAGCTAACAATTCTGCGTAGGTCTGAAGACTCCCGAGCAGCGTCGCGCCTGGAGAGAAAAGATGGGCCTCGTCAGCATCATCATGATCCTCATGGCGGGCGTCGGCTTCATCACCTTCGGGTTCACAGAAGCGGTGTGTGGGACGCCTGCTGACCGCTTCCACGGCGGCGCTGTTGGCGAGAGCTACATCGGCACCAGCTCCATCACCATCCATGGCTACGACTACGACATGAATGACTTCAAACACCCTCAGGCCGGCGACATGTTCGATGGCACCACAAACCCTGTTCTGACGGGTGGCTGGAACCTGGGCGGAAACGACGCCACATTCCTGTTCCAGAAGGTCAACGAGCACTGCTATGGCATGATCACCAAGGCTGCGTCGTCGAGCATCACTGGCGATGGCGACTTCCTCGACTGGTACTTCCCTTGCAACGTCTTCAACCAGGATGGGACTTCTGGCGTCAACATGACTGGTTATGAGGACGATACCAACTGCCATACTTCTTCCACCGCGAAAGATCAATTCAGCCAGCTCCAACCGCAGGGACAGGTCTACTTCACCTGGGAGGACGTTGAGAGTGACAGTCGCAACCTAGCTGTATACGAGTCGTAAGCACCCCTTATATTCTTTATGAACACACCCCTAACATTCGTACGCAGCAACGTCCTTGACCTGAACCTCCTTCAATGGCTCAGCGGCGCGCAAGTCCAGTATCCGTCGATCTGGGACGAGATGAAGTACGCGGACGGCACGTACAACAAGAAGGACCTTACGATGTACTTCAAGCGCAACCACATGGAGCAAATGGGTCATTGCTTGCAGGACATCATCTCCATTGGCTTCATCGACACCAATACCATCGGTTGTGTCGCTTCCCAGATCGTCCTCTACGTGTCCCTCATCTTCATCATCGGCGTCGTCGCCATTCGTTTTGCTATGGCCGTCATGTTCCAGTGGTTCTTCTCTTGGAAACTCGGCAACTTCCCGAAGGAGACGTACGAGGAGCGGATGCAACGTTCCCGCCAGATCGAGAACTGGAGTAACGACATCTATCGTCCCGCTCCCAGCGAGTATCGCCCAACGATGTCGAAGAACGGATTGAAGGCGAAGGTTGGAACCAGGACTTTCCTCCCGAGCACCTCGCGCTTTACGCCAGCCGAGAATGCCCTCGGGGGACGACCTACGACCGCGTATGGCATGCTGGATAGTTCCTCGAACTACACCAAGTCCGTCTACGCACCCAGTACGAAGTATGGGAAGGGAACGCCTCCCGACTCCCCCCTTCGGCAGTCGAAGGTCTTCAACGATGCCATGTCTCACCGAGGGGCGTTCTCGGACAGCCCATGCCCGTTCCCGCTGCACAACGTCGTTCCGCAACCACCACCCGATTACGAGCCGTTCAACTTCCCGCTCGTGCACACGATCTCCCTCGTTACGGCCTACTCGGAGTCTGTCGAAGGTCTACGGACAACCTTGGACTCGCTCGCGACGACGGACTATCCGAACAGCCACAAGCTCATCCTCATCATCGCCGACGGCATGGTGAAGGGGTCCGGGAACGACATGACGACGCCGGAGATCTGCTTGTCCATGATGAAGGAACTGATCATCCCGGCCAACGAGGTCGAGCCACATTCCTACGTTGCCATCGCAGATGGTCATAAGCGTCACAATATGGCGAAGGTCTACGCTGGCTTCTACGACTACGACGATGCCACGGTCGAGCGCTCTAAGCAGCAGAGAGTTCCCGTCGTCCTCGTCGCGAAGTGCGGGAATCCGCTGGAGGCCAACGACGCGAAGCCCGGCAACCGTGGCAAGCGCGACAGTCAAATCGTCCTCATGGGTTTCTTGCAGAAGGTCATGTTTGATGAGCGGATGACCACCTTTGAGTACGAGTTCTTCAACTCTATTTGGAGGGTGTCGGGTGTCAGCCCCGACCGCTACGAACTGGTGCTTTGTGTCGACGCCGACACCAAGGTCTTCCCCGATTCCTTGACGCGCATGACTTCCTGCATGGTGCACGACGAGGAGATCATGGGGCTCTGCGGCGAAACGAAGATCGCGAACAAGGCGGACTCATTTGTGACCATGATGCAAGGTGAGTATTGCCGACGTTTGTAGACTTCGTACTGACAGTTGATTGCTTAGTGTTCGAGTACTACATCTCCCACCACATGACGAAGGCCTTTGAGTCCATGTTCGGTGGTGTAACTTGTTTGCCCGGCTGCTTCAGTATGTATCGCATCAAGGCACCGAAAGGCGACACCGGCTACTGGGTACCTATCTTGGCAAACCCCGACATCGTTGAGCACTACTCGGAGAACGTCGTCGATACATTGCACAAGAAGAACCTCTTGCTCCTCGGCGAGGATCGGTACCTCACCACGCTACTCTTGAAGACGTTCCCGAAGCGCAAGAACGTGTTCTGCCCGCAAGCCATTTGCAAGACGGTTGTGCCAGACACGTTCTCCGTTCTGCTTTCCCAGCGTCGCCGGTGGATCAACTCGACCATTCACAATCTCTTTGAGCTCGTCTTCGTCCGCGACCTGTGTGGAACGTTCTGTTTCTCTATGCAGTTCGTGGTCGCCATGGAACTCGCGGGAACGCTCGTCCTTCCGGCTGCCATTGCTTTCACCCTTTACCTCATCATCGTGTCCATCATCCCAGGAGGCACCAATACCACCATCCCGCTCATCCTGCTCGCCATCGTCCTCGGTCTTCCGGGTGTGCTCATCGTCATCACGTCCCGGAAGATCGCATACGTCGGTTGGATGTTGGTATACCTCATCTCCTTACCCATCTGGAACGGTGTTCTTCCTGCGTACGCGTTCTGGCACTTCGATGACTTCTCCTGGGGCCAAACTCGTCAAATCGCCGGAGACAAGGGTGGAAATCATGGCGACAAGGAGGGCGAGTTTGATTCGAGTCATATCGTCATGAAGCGTTGGGCAGAATTCGAGCGCGATAGGCGGTGGAAGAGCGGTACTCAGTCCAGAGATTCTATGTTGTACGACCGGAAGTATGTCATTTCCTTTTGTTAACAGGCTGTCGCTAACTATGGTACCCTCAGGACGGACTCGAACCGCTATTCGATGGCGTCCAATTCGGATACATTCCATCCCCCGTCCGGTGGTTTCGATTCCAGCACGATGGAGTCCGGCCCGTATAGCACGTCTCCTCGGCCACGCCTCGACAGCAATAACTTGCTTGTCCTCCCAGCACCCCTAGCCGCGAACCGGCAACCCATGTCGTCGTCTTCGACAGTGGGAATGTCAAGGTCAAGCGACGACCACTACTATTCTGACGCCACCTCCTCCAACTTACGGCTCATCCCCAGTTCCCCGTCGGCCGAGCAATACAGCGAGTACGATTCGCCTTCCCCAGGCCAAAGGCACCAGTCGCCTGGGCGTTACGACACGCCTCCGCGCTCTGCGTCACGGCAGCGTACGAACTCGGCGGACCCTTTCCGCTCCGTCACAACATCGCCGACTAGCTACGAGGAGTCGAACTACACAACGGAGCCAGAGGAGATGAATGCAAGTCAGCGGCCTGGAGGACGGGGTGTACGGTTGACGGATGGTGGACCGGTGCCGGGTCCGGAAGGTGTACGTCGTGTCTCTCGCCCACAGGGCCGCCGACCGTCTTCGCAGGCGCCGCAGAACCGCTATTCGCGCGGCTCCGTAGCGTACTTGCCGCCTGGTGCCGCTGCGCCCCAGCAAGGCTACGGTGGCAACTAAAGACTTTACGGACAGACTTGACTCGTATATATGGACACTGTACGATGACCCTTGATGATCCAGCTTTTGCAGCCCAACGTCTTTTGGTTTTGGCCTTGGAGAAGTTGAGCATCCTAGCTCTCTACAACTGCACGGACCAACTTCAGTATGTTTTTATGATACCTACCACACGCATTCCGTCCCTACAGATACGGTACCATGTAATCATTTCCTTTATATTCTAGTACTCGAATCCGTACACGCCCGGGTCTCTTGAGGTCTGGTTACAGGCTAAGTCTGTCGCGGCTCATGCTGAGCCTCCGGGAAGAGCGCAGCGAACACTTCGTCGACGATGGTATAAACGATGTGCTGATTCAATCGACGATTCTGTAGCACTGCGAAGATGCGACGTGCACCTCGCCGCGCATTTGAGCGACCAATCATATTAGCAGCGAAGTCTGTGGGCGATGATGAGCTTGCAATCTATAACCGCTGGGGAGGGCATACCAGGAACGACAGACGATAGCTTCTTGTTAGCCTCATCGCGCGTACGCATCTTCTCTTCGGTCGTGCGAGGTATGGACGGGGACTTGAGCTTGCCGCCGGGCCACAAACTATCGCGAAAGATGTTGATGTAGGACATGACGCGACTCTCCTCTAGCAACCCCTTGACGATGTCCCGCGTTTTCCTGCAGGATGTCCAGTTGATCAGAACGACACGGACTATAGTGCAAGCACCGCACATACCGCTCAACGGTCCCTCCTAGCACCTGCTGCAGAATGATCACTATGGCCTGCCGCCTAAGCCAGTTCACATTGTTCTCCCGCTTCAGCTCAAACACCGCCAGTATGAGATCACAGATGGGCGCTGCAAATGCCGCAGAACCAGCCTCGCCCTCCGCGCCTGTGAGCTGCAGTAACGCAGCGTCGCTCCTGCCGGACGCGCGCAACGCTCGTGCGACGGCCTCCTCATCAGTCATTCCCATACCCGCGAGGCCGGCGAACTCAGCCGCCTGACGCGTCAGGCGTTGTATGAGTACATCGAGCATCGAAGGTCCGAAGATCATGTCGTCGATGCTGGTAGCGACGGAGCGATAGACGTTTCGCACCAGGTCCGAGCCTGAGAACTTGTCTTTGCCAACAACGGGCGGTGCAGACGCGACGAAGGGCGAGTCGCGAGATAGGAAAATACGCAGCTCCTCGCCTTCGCAGACAGCAGGGATCGCAATCAAACCCTGAGTGTAATGATGAGTACAGGGATCGCCCAGGGGAAGAGGAGGGCGAAACCTCACCTGAAGGTACTTCTCCAGCGCGAGTCGTCTTGACTCCAGGAAGTTTGCCGATAGTGCCGTGACCAGTCGCTTCCCGGGGAAGTCCAGCGATTTCGTCTGTGGATACTTCTCCCTGACCTTGTTGTGCATGCTCAGGAATTCGTTGTACCTCCGCGCAACGACCCACCCCGACGCAAAGCTGCCATCGAGCGCCAACTGCTGCACCTCGATCAAGTAGCGCACGACTGACTTCCCGTCCTCCTCCCCCACGGTCTGGTTGACGATGGACACCTTTGTCCGCCCTGCGAACAACCGGTTCGCGCTCTCTTGTTGCTCATATTGGTGCTTCTTGAACCGTAGCTCCGCCAGTTCACGGTTGACCGTCGTCTTGGACTGCGTGAGGATGCGTAGCTCACGCATGTCGCCCGTGAGCTCCGCTTTCTTGATGAACGCATCGAGCATCTTGTCCTGTGCTTCCAGCTTCTCCATGTGGCTAGTCAATCGAGAGATCTCGTAGGATAGCTGGAGATCACCGGGCCCGACGTGTACGACGTGGGGTGGTTCGCCCTCGTTCTCACCCTCCGCTTCGCCATCCTCAATCTTTGGGTCGGGATCTTCGGGTTCGTCCATCATGACTTCGTCCTCGAAAAGCACGCGATGCTTGCGGGTGCCGGACGAGCGAGAGACGACAGGGTACAGGACCTCGCGCTCGACAGCCACGTCCTCCTCGCTGGAGACCTTCTCGATAGGCTCCTGCTCGAAGGCCAGTATGTCCGTAAGGGCGGCCTGTATAGCATCCATCCGTTCTTCCTCATTACGCTGCTCCTCATCCTCCGGGTCGTCAAAGAGTGGTGCTCTCGACGAGCCAGATTCGGGGGTTCCCAGAAGGTCATCCATTGCAGGGTTTATGCCCTTCCGCAACGACGGGACCGACTTGGTCGACTGACTGGAGTTTGAGCGGACCATAGGAGGTGCTACAACGGGCGGAATGGGCGTCGATTCGGATCGAGGAATGGGCGCCGTAGTGTGGTGGTGCTTCGCCTTGGTGGGCATCGGAGAGGTGAGGACGCGCTCAGGATGCCGATCCTTGATGTTTGGACTCGCGTCGATCTTCTTCGAGCCTTGGTCCATGTCGGTGGTGGCTCTGAACCACAGCTCGGAGCGCTCGAAATCCTCGAAGTCTTGCTCCATGTCCATCTCCACCTGTCGCTGCGCGAGCATCACGCTGCGCCGAACGCGACGCTGGCTTTTGGCAGATGGGAGACCCTCGTCACGGGCAAACTCCCGGATATCGTCTACATACTTGCGAGATATCGAGATCAAGGCTGGATGAGGGGAGGGTCCGGAGAAGTAGAGGTCGTGTATCATCGAGATATCCTCCTTGACAGTCTGAGAAATGCCCACGTCCTCGACGCGCTCCTCATCGTCATCCGAGCCCGAATCGACATCCTCAAGGGGGTTCTTGAAGCTCTCAACAGTGAGCCAGAATTGGACTAGGAGAGAACGCTGGCGCCGATCCATGAACTCCATGAAGTATGAGAGCGAGTTGGGGTTGCGTAGAACGTCACGAAGAGTGATGCCCGACTTTGGTCCAGCTTCTTGATAGGAGGGAATCTTCTGCGACAAAGTCAGGCTAAGTGGGATGCTGTAGAGATGTACTCACGGAATCATCCTTGCCACCGAGCACGACGATGCGGTGTTCCACCTTCCGTTTAGCAGTATATAACCGGTCCAGGAAAGCGACGACATCTTCAGTCTTCTGACCATCGATCCAGTCTTCCTTCTCGTGATTGGCTAGACCGACATAAGTGAAGACCTGCGAGAGTGCGGCACATTCTCACCTAGTAGCATTCTGGTGCGACGTATTTCACCCAAAATATCATTTTTCAATCGACGCGCGTCCAAGAGTGACGAGCATCGATTTATGCTGCGAAGGAAAGACTCGAAATGACGCGGGTCGGTATGGATCGTGATGACCTCCGTAGGCGCGACTACCGACTCTTCAGAAGGATGGACAGGACGTTGCGGGGATTGGGCCTCCAAAACGTTTCGTACTTTGTTAACAAGACGCCTACCCATTTCTCAGTTCACCGGTGACAACGTGGGGTACGGCAACGTACTGTTGCTGAATTACAGCTCCAGCCTGATGAATTGTGAATACTCGTTGGACCACGATTATCACGGGCTACGCACGACTTGGTCAATGATTCGGTTCCAAAAATCAGGATCGGCAAGCATTTCCATGACGGGACATAATACGGCACAAGATGCGATTTCGCGAACAACAATAACGAGGGCATGGCTTTCCGCTTCCGTCTCCGGAAGTATGAAGGGTAGTGCACGCTCGACAAGTACCCTGAGGTGCTGCTCCTCCGTCTGCTTGGTGTATCCAGTCGACAAGTTACTGATAGCTGGATGCAGGGCCTCCTTTCCATCGGACCCATAGCGACCGGCCAACATGAGATCGAGCTCCTCGGACTGGGTAAGCTTGCGCTCTAATCCAGCCCCCCGAAGTGCGACCTCGGATTGACGGAACTGTTCGATATGGGTGGTGATCTTGGGTAATATGCGCTTGATGATGAGCGCGGCCAGGTCGATCTGACTAGCTCTAGCCAGCAGCTTGTCTAACGAGTCGTGGATGATGTTGGCGACGGCCGCGGGGAAGGAGGTTGAGGACGATATGCTTTGGTACCATGACTCGACGAAGTCCCTCAGTATGAAGTCGATGAGTTCGTTTATGGCTGCGGACACCTCAGGCGAGTCGGGTATGAGAGGTGGAAGCGCCTGCGATGTGGATTGCGACCATTGCGATCGGGTAAGGACAGCCTGCCATGCGGCAGGTGTAGAGAACGTGAAGGGTCGTGCCGCAGCCCGTAAGGCATTGCGGGTATTTCGTCGCTTCGCATCGAGGACGTGAGCGAAGTATAAAGCTCCGCCGATGGAGGAGAGTGTGCCAGAGAGAAGGATGAGAGGGAGAATTGCGAGTAAAGTGACGGGGTTCCAAACAAAGCGGAAGAGATAGGTGCCCGCGAGCAGTACGAAGCCGAGCGCGAGCACGTTGGGGACGCCGATGTTCATGACCGCCCGACGCCGCGCATGGGCGACGAGAACAAGGTGCGGGCCTCGGGCCGATGCCCAACGCCCGACGCCCGACGTAACGCGCGCTTCGGGCCACTGCGCCGAATCCGCCAGTCCACAATTGTCAGGCCCTTGCCGCCCTCCTCCCCGCCGTCCACCATGTCTTCCCCAACGGCCCCCCGCAAGCTGACGACGGCGGAGAGCTTCATCTGTGGCGGAATAGCTGCCTGCGTGGCGGTAAGAATACACATGCCAGCGCTTGTACATGCCTGATCAGAAGCACGTCTACATAGGTCACTATTTCCAACCCAGCCGAAGTCGCCAAGACTCGTATGTTCCTTCGCATTCACTCCCTCTTCTGTCGCTCATCGAAAACCAGGCCTGCAGTTGCAAGGCGAGCTCGGTGCCTCACAGCGCGTGTACAATAACGTCTTCGATGTGTTCACCAAGACATGGCGGAACGAGGGTATCCGCGGATTACAGCGAGGGCTTGGTCCTGCAGTGAGTAACGAATGCTCTTCCTTCTCGTCTGTTATTAATGCGACCTCCTAGTATGTCTATCAAGTGAGTGCATACTCGCAACTGATAACACCTGTGCTTATTCATCCTTCACCAAGATACTGCTCAATGGCTCGCGACTTGGTGCGTCAAATCCTGGTTCACTGTCCCCCCTCAGCCATTAATCATGCGTAGGCTTCTACGAGCCGTTTAGGCATAACCTGAACAAGCTCATCGGCCGTGACGCCTCTGAACAAATCCCCATAACATCAGTCATCGCTGGCGCTTCTAGCGGTGCTGTCGGCGGTGCGTCACATTCATATATTAGCTGGCGTCTGGCTAAAGACTCTGTACAGCAACATTGGGCAACTCATTATATCTTGTCAAGGCCCGCATGCAGGTGTGTGGGTGCAAACGTAGTACGCTGACGCTGGACGCTGACATGCTGGCAGGCCTATTCTCCCTCGCTTCCAGTCGGCACGCAACATCACTACAAGAATTCTTTCGACGCGCTATCTACCATAGTACGCAAGGACGGTGTTCGCGGACTTGCGCGCGGCATCGACGCTGCCATTCTACGGACATCCATGGGCTCGTCCGTCCAGCTACCAAGTTACAACTTCACGAAGACGCAGTTGGTGAAGCATGGATTGTTGCCAGCAGATAGCACCTGGACCTTTTTGGCGAGTAGTACGGTCTCTGGGATCTGTGTCGTACGTCCCTCGCAACGCTGCTGAAAACGCCGTCTCACATCGACTTCAGTGCATCGTCATGCAACCTGCCGACACTGTAAGTGCACCGTTGACTCTGTCAGTCAGTCGTCAGTTCATGCCCCCCTCAGGCTCTCACACGAGTCTACAACCAACCGACCGTGAAGCTACCCAACGGCAGATCAGTCGGCGCACTGTACAAAAATCCCATAGACTGCTTGTGGAAGACTTTCAAGGCTGAGGGCCTGAAGGGCTGGTATAAGGGTAAGTTCAAGTTCCTGGTTACCGATGATCCGCACTTACACATCGCTTTGCCAGGTTCCACTGCGCACTTCTTCCGTATAGCACCTCACACGTACGTTCTCAAGCTGGATTCGCTCGTTTGGTTCTGACACGTCGTACAGAATCGTTACGCTCACCGCAAACGACATCATACTGGGACTGTACAAGAAAGCCATACATAACGGGCCCTAAAGACTTTCTGCACGAGCAATATAGACGGTTTTGCCTTTCGAGACGACATGAGGATCTCGCACGAGCGTCCGGTCCATTTGTGTGTTAAGCTGCGGGTACTGATAGAGCTCGCAATTACAAGCGCATTATATGCTGGCTATAGGCGACAGTAGTGGGTGCTAGGTATCGGTTTACATACATCAAGAACTAAGATAAGTACAGAGATCATTGGAATCGCGGAGGTCCTTGAGGAGGCGGTCCGGACATGGGAGGACCTGACATGGGAGGCATGGGCATCGGACCGCCTGGCATGTGTGGGAGGGAGTGCGGTGGCGGCACAGGGCCCAAGTTCAGTGGTGCGTTTACTGGTTGAAAGCCCTGCAACAGTCCTGCGCGACGCAGCCCTTCGACCACACGCTCGGCATCCTTCCTTTTGCGCGACTCCTCCTCTAGCGCCGCTTGTGTCGAATTCAAAGCATCCCGAGTGCGAGTGGCATCGGCCTGCGCCTGCGTGAGCTGTTCGGAAAGGCGGGTAATCGTCTCCGCCGACTGACGTCGCAGAGCAGCGAGTTCAATCTGGAGCCTATCGACGACGGTGCCATCGACCGGTTCTCCGCCTTCTGTCGTGGAGGGAGCCGGTGGGGCCGAGACCGCAGCAGCGGCTTTGGTCCCATTCGGATATGGCTGTCGTGCACTCTGGCGCGTTCGCGTTCGCGTACGGCGCGCCGGGCCACCGTTGGTCTTTTTGTCGTCCGCAGCGTCTTCTTTCGCGTCCTTGCGCGTGTCTTCTTCGCTCTCGAAGTCGGGATCACCAGGGTGTTCTTCGTCCTTCTCACCAATTGCGTCGCCATCACCGTCGCCGTCGGCATCTGCACTGTCCCCGTTTTTTGCCGTGCCGTCTGCGCTGCCACCCATCTCAGTGTCCATGTCGGTCTCGGTGGACTTGCCCTTCGCCTTAGCAGCGCCTGGCTTCCCGCGCTTGCGTGGCCGCTTGGTTCCGGGAGGCGCAGCCAGATTCACTGTCCAGTACGAGCCAAAGCCTGGGTCGTTTGGAGCACGGGGAACACGCTCGAATAGTCGGTTGAGGGAGAGATGGTGCCGGACCGATTGCTGCGTTCGATTAATTGCCTGAACCCTCCAGATGTGGTGAGGCGTACTAACCTTCCACGTTTGACCAGCGGTCTGGAAGTATACATACTTTTCCTCCATTGCCGCGTAGATACCACGAATCGTTAGACGCTTTTGAGGACTGCCCAAGATTGCGCAGCGCAGGATCACTGGTAGAGTATGCTGAGGCCGTCCATCCGTGTCGGGCAGGCAAGCGAGCGTGTCAGGACAGTCAGGGTGAGGTTGATGATCGACGGGACCCGCTCCTTCCCGGTAGCGAGTTGTGGTTATAGGCGCGACAGGCGGGCTAGGATTTGCCGTCTGTGGCAGAGCCTGTGGCATGGGATACGGCATCTGAGTGAAATGGGTAGGCCCTGGTGCGCCGGGGGGTCCAAACAGCTGCGGCAGCGGTGGGGGTGGCATTTGTTGAGGGACCCCCGAAGGAGGTCCAAGATGAGGGGGCGGGCCCGAAGGCCCAGATGGAGGGGGCGCCGACATCGCGGGTACGGGGGACAATGATTGCAGGGGTTGCGAAGGGGCTGAAGGCAGCTGCGCCATGGATGCATCCGCGGACTCCTGGACCTGTGATCCCGTTTGCTGAGGCTGCGAGGGATCCTGGACTGGCTCGGGAGCAGGAGCAGAGGTTGCCGTAGCAGGTTGTTCCGATGGAGGGGATGGCTGAGGGGTAGTCTGTGCTCTCTCGCTGGCGGAGAGATCGAGGGGTTCGGACTCCATTGTGAGCTTTCAGCGCCGACGAATCTGGGTATATACTCGTTAAGTATCCAAGTGGCGCATGGGGGTAGCAGGGATTGCTGACTATGGAATGCCAACAGGACGTGCTGGCTTTTTACTCGCAGGAGGCCTTTCTTGATGTCAAATGGTCGTCTACAGCGAGATAAGCAGGGCGGAATGGCGCGTGAGCACAGCGTACGGAGGATAGGTTGAGTTCGCTATGGGTGTCGATGGACGTCTGTGTAAGCCTGGCCCATCGCCCCTCCTCGTCACGTGTTGTTTGACATTGTTTCTCTGCTGCAAGGTGGAAGTCACGGTTGTTCTTGAACGTGATGACCTTCTTGATTACGCTGCGAACACCATTGTCCCTTGTCCCTTCACTTCGCGACCTCTCCCAATGCAAAGAATCCGCGTCCTTGATATACTTCTGCTTAAGAGGAGAACTGCTAAAACCTCGAAGCGCCACAAGCTAGAATCCGCCTCATCGCTGCCTGAATCCGCCTGTCACACGAATTCGCCTGTCATGACTGCGGCGATCAATTTGCAGCTCGAGCATAGCCTGCAATTCTGAAAAGAATAGGCGTCAAAACCCTGCAGGATAGTATGTCAGGTCCGCTGCTTCTCCCGTCGTGTTGCTTGCTTCTGTTCGTTGGCTCGCACTGGTCTCGCCATTGCTGACGAATCATACGTCTGCGGGAAGGCCTGCCATGACTGATATGAGTATGCCGGTGCCCTCGGTCCCAGTTCAACGTAGGGCTCTCATGGGTTGGACTTTGAGGCGTGCGTACCGGTTTGCGTTCTCCTCTTGGGACGTCATGCTGATTATGCTACAGTGTACAGCTCGACTTTCAGCTCGTTGCCATCGAACCTAGTCACGACAGGCTATCTGATGGCGACCTCTTCATAGCTCTTCGAGGTCGATCTTTATTGCAACTGGTTGCTTGTTTTCCCTGAACATGGTGAACAGGTTCGGATGTGAAGCCAGCTGCCAGTCGAATGTCACCCTTGCCGATTTCCACGATGTGCGCCTGAAGGTCTCGCCGAAGCTACAGTCACTTGCAGAAAAGTTGGCAGGCCCGCGCCCGCACATTTTGCTGCACGTGGGGCGCGTCGACCAATGCCGTCGCCAGCGCAGTCTTCTGCGACGACGCCTGCGATTGGCCGCGGGCGCCTCGTGGCAGCGAAAACGCGATGCGCGGGCCTGCCAACTTTTTCTGCAAGTGACTGTATAGATCATCATGAGCTCATACATCGACAGGCACAAAGATGGGAAGGAGATGCAGCAACCATGACAGCGACAGCGAGATCTTAGCGACTACAGCGGCTTCAGCGATGGATATGTTCCTTCCGGAGTCATACAAGAGATCGACTTGAACACCAGTGCGTTCTCTTCCGAAAGGCAGTTCTCATCGCATCTTCAATCCAGACGAAGTCGTCTTGGATTTCCATTGACCACGTCGACCCGCACGACTGCTGTACCGGACCTGGCGCCAGCTCTGTCAGCCCTTGGGACTACTTCGTGCGTAGAGAAGGGTGCCGAGTTGATCCTTGGGCTGACCATGATCGCAAGGAGCATATTTTCGCCATCGACAAGGACGGCCTGGAAAATTACCTGGTCTCTTCTCGACACTGTCACGCCCTCTTTGATAACGGCCACACATCTGGCGACGTCATCTGGCGGCTTGGCGGGAAGAACTCAAGCTTTACGATGGGAGCGAACACGAGCTTCTCGTGACAACACGATAATAGATGGAGAGGCGACAACAAGATCTCGTAAGTCATGTCGCCAGGCCTTCTGAAGGCTGGAGACGCTGAAGCGTAGCCTCAGCCTATTCGGCAATGCTGCCAACGACTGGCAGCGTGACGCGGAATACGTACGAGGCATAATGCTCGAGGTCGATACGGAGGCAATGACAGTGGACCTCGAGGAAGAATGGCTACCTTGGAACAAGACGGTCTCTACATTGCAAGGAAACCATCAAATCCTGGAGAATGGCAACCCTATCATCGGGTACGTAGGGCCTCACGTCCGTTTCTGGGTTGATCACTCATGCATGCGCGCAGATGGGGCCATCAGTCGTGTTTTCAGGAGTACGACTCCAATGTCGACCTCTTTGGGCCGCTCGGTTCGGTGTCGGAGATGTGCAATACTACCGCGCATACGGATTCGAATGGATTGGGCGTCCTCGGACCCCCCCCCCCAATCCCATCGCGGTCGCCGGACAGTGTCAATGACACAGTGTACGCATCATGGAATGGGACTACCGAGGCGAAGCAGTGGAGGCTACTAGTCTCGACGTTCGACGCGCCACCAATTTCGAGACGTCCATCACCTACACGCGTGGGCAATACGACTACTTCCAGGTAGTCGCGCTGGATAGTCGTGAAGAGACGTTAGCCTTCTCGGACTTCAAGAACCTGGATGGAGATACCATCTGACGAAAGAGGTGGTGGAAGGGCTAGCTGAGCGCTGCTGGGGTCTGCGGGAGTAGCAGTCGCGCCCAAGGGAGGATCATTGCGCACCTTGCATTCAAGTTATCTCGGTTTTCGTCGTTCTGTGTCGCCAAACTCGTGAGTTGACTGCAAGCGCAGTTCGTACACAGCGATCAGCTACACAGTGCTCCGCCGCACAGCTCCGCTGCCCCTTGGATACGTAGGGCGGAAAGGGATGTTCCTGTTTAGAGACCTCGCCCGAGTACCAATCCTTCCTGAGGCCGACGACCAGACGACCATGACAGGCCCCTTGGATGACGAATCCGTGGGATCGGAGTGCTGCCATTCGACTGGTTGTAATATATGATACTAGAATCATCTACGACCATCCACTTCATTCTATCAGATTGCTGTGGTCGAATGCTCTCATATCTACAGCCAAAACTTTGAACTGACGCTTGCCACAAACTATGTGATCGAATGGATGTCATGATGTCATGTGCAATCAACGGCTTCATCCCAACTTGTTCTGATCAACTGCACTCACTGTACTAGCACCCCCAGCTTCATCAGTAGCCCTCCGGAAGATACTATGGAAAAGGCGTTGGACGCAGTTCTCAAGAAGCTGGCCTCGGATACGTCTCTCCTTCCGGACGAGATTCACTCAATCGTCCTCTCCTTCGCGTCGACTCAACCTCCCGAGACGCGATCTCGTGGCTACCTTGCACTCTCCGCGTACTGCCAGGCAATCCGAAAACAACAAAAAGTCACTGGCAAACAGCCAGATCCGGCAACAAACACCCTCGCCGATACCTTCACCCCCGAAGTTAGATCTCGGCTGCAGGAGACGGATCCATCTCCTGTGCTCACCGCGCTCAACTTCCTCACCGCTTTCTTCGCCGTCGATGCCGCTGCAGCTGCCACTATCTTCTTGGAAGATGGCATCATGGAGCTGACTATGGACGCCGTGGATGTGAATTCCTCTTCGGAGACCGCCATCGCGGTCGCGCATCTGCTGGCGCAAGCAGCTGGGGACAAGCAATGCCGCGCGCAGATGGCGGGCTCGTGCCTCGAATGGCTGGAGAGCCAGTTCCGACTCAGCCAAGACTCGGGTCTGAAGGCTGCGACGGCCGTTGCGCTGATCAAGCTCGCGAAGGGCGGCGCGGCGGATGCCGCGGACGCTCCTGGGGCTGGGCTCAACGCGGGTGCGGAACCCGAGCTCGTCGACGAGGAAGCGCTTGCAGCGGCGATGAGTGGCATGATGCTGAAGGATGGGGACAAATCGACGGCGCTCGCGGACGAGGTCGAGGTCTTAGCCTATCTCAGCTCCAACCCAGCCGTCAAGGACATGCTCTCGCGCGACGAGAAGTTCTTGAAGAAGCTGTTCGCTCTTGTGCCCCAGCGCAAGAAGCTACGCACACCCGAGGCCGACACGACGATCATATTCGGTGTCGTGGCCATCGTCGGACAGCTGTGCGCATACAAGCCGCGACTTACAGAGGAGCAGGCGCAGATGGAAAAGTTGCGGAAGATGGCACAGGAGAAACAGGGCAAGAAGCGGGACGACAATGCCTCGCTAGAGGAGGACCCCGAAGTCAAGGCGCGCGTGCGCCGACTCGTCGCCGCGGGTGTGCTGGACGTGTTTCCAGCGGCCCTTGCACTTTCGAGTACTCGGGGTATGCAAGTGAACATCTCACGCGCGCTCCTTTGCATTATCGAGGACGCGGAGAATCGGGGAAAGGTGCTGCAGAGCGGGGGCGGGAAGGTGCTTATGACCATCATCAAGCACGCGCTAAGCACGGAGGACGGAAAGGCACGCAAAGTCACGGAAGTCGACCCGGTCGATCTGGATGCGATACAAGCGCTCGCGAAGCTTGCAATAACCGCGTCGCCGGTACAGGTCTTCGGTCCCAACGAGGGTACAATGGCCGACGCGATTCGCCCTCTGTCTGCACTCCTCCAGCACGATAGCGCAAATCTTCTCCAATGCTTCGAGGCGCTCATGGCTCTCACAAATCTTGCATCGCAGAGCCCTGACATCGCGTCCCGCGTGGCGAATGCGGACGGCCTGCTGAACAAGCTGGAGATGTTGCTCTTGCAGGATCATGTTCTCGTCAGGCGCGCCGCTGTAGAGCTGCTATGCAACCTCATCGCCGGCTCAGATGCGGTGTACGAGCGCTATCAGACAAAATCGAGACTGCATGTCCTGTTGGCGTTGTCGGATGTGGAGGATCTCGCTACGCGACTTGCGTCTGCGGGCGCGCTCGCGACGCTGACTGCCTCGCAGGGTGCATGTATCGCTCTTGCACAGCTGCAGCAGGAGAAGCATAACGTTGCGAGAATATTGGCACGACTTATCGACCCATCGTCTTTGGAACCCTCCGTTGTCGATGATATGGAAAGTCCTGCACCAGAGGAGACGGACCCTGGCTTGGTACACAGGGGAGTAGTAATAGTCCGAAACTTGCTAGTGCATGCGGGCAGCGCCGAGCTTCGGAAGGCCATGGTTCAGCAGGTGAAGGCGGTTAACCTGCACTTGGCGCTCGTCCAGCTGTTGAAAGCACAGAGCCGGAATCCCAACCCGGCGCTTGTCCGGCCTTTGGCAGAGGCGATTAAATGTATAAACGATAACAGTACCTAGTATGACTGTTTAAGTACTAGACATACCGCCTGAACTCTCATGACTGCGAAATAGAATACACATGAGATGCTCGAACCATGGTTACTTCTACGCGGTTGTCGGTCCCAGCGGACCCCCGCCGGACCGGGAAAGCCGGATAAGGATTCGCCTCTCTTACCGCATCCGATGGTTCCTCCGACAACGACGTACAACGCGCAGGTTGAGGGTGCACAACACCGCCGCGGCAGCTTGACCCAGATCTTCACACCTTCTTGGACCCTCATACCGCATCCCTTCTATAGATACTCGTACACGATACCATAATGGTGAGCCTTAACTACTACGCAGTGGATGGTCTGCTTCATGACGATTTACGCACAGGCGCCCTCCAAAAAGGCGGGCAAGAAGGTGTCCGCTGCGCCCAAGAAGGCGCAGGGTGCTGGAAAGGTTGCAAAGGTGCGTATGCAATGCGCATAGTTCTCGTCGCGTCTGACGGTCTGCCAGGCGGATTGGAAGGAAGGCTTCAAGAAGAAGCAGGTCGGCGTGTCGGACATGACCCTGCTCACGACGATCAGCAACGAGGCTATCAACGACAACCTGAAGAAGAGATGGACCAATGGCGAGATCTACACCTACATCGGTGCCGTGCTCATCTCCGTGAACCCCTTCCGAGGTGCGTGCTCCCCAAGCGACCAGAGTTCGTCCCTGACATCACACGTACGAAGATCTGGGCATCTACACGGATGAGGTGCTGGACAAATACCGTGGCAAGAACAGGCTCGAGGTTCCCCCGCACGTCTTTGGAATCGCAGAGAGCGCGTACTACAACATGAATGCCTACCACGAGAACCAATGCGTCATCATCTCTGGCGAGTCCGGAGCAGGAAAGACGGAGGCTGCGAAGCGCATCATGCAATACATCGCGGCAGTCTCAGGCGGCCAGGACAGCAGTATTCAAGAGATCAAGGATATGGTGCTCGCGACGAACCCGCTCCTGGAGAGTTTCGGGTGTGCGAAGACACTCAGGAATAACAATTCAAGTCGCCATGTGCGCACTACAACTACAACGCGAAGTGCTTACTGACGCGTGCTATAGGGAAAGTACTTGGAGATCATGTTCAACGACCGCGGCGAGCCAATTGGCGCGCAGATCACGAACTACTTGCTGGAGAAAGGTCGAGTGGTCGGACAAGTGGACAACGAGCGCAATTTCCACATCTTCTATCAATTTACCAAAGCTGCCTCCGACGCTCAACGAGGTACGTTGCACGAAGCGGTACTACACAGGGTCTGAGCCCTTCGCAGAGGCGTATGGTCTGCAAGGGCCGGATGCATATGCGTATACCAGCCTGAGCAATTGTCTCGACGTTGACAGTATCGACGATCGAGACGATTTCAATGGCACATTGGTACGATCGCACTTTATACATTCACTCAGTTATTCATGCTTCCCGTAGAACGCCATGCAAGTCATCGGTCTTACGGATGAAGAGCAAGGCGAGATCTTTAAGATGCTCGCGGCGATCCTGTGGATCGGCAACGTGCAGTTCGTCGAGGACGACAGCGGGAACTCAGCGATCGCTGATACCAGCGTGTCGGATTTCGTGGCTTATCTACTAGAGGTCGACCCGGCACTCACGCAGAAAGCCCTGACACAAAGAGTCATGGAGACACAGCGAGGGGGTCGGAGAGGATCCGTATACGACGTCCCGTTGAACCCTGCTCAGGCAACCGCTGGACGCGATGCCTTGGCGAAAGCTATATACAACAACCTCTTCGAATGGATCGTCTCGCGCATCAACATGTCTATGAAGCCTCGCTATGCGAGTGCGCAGGTCATCGGTATTCTGGTATGTTTGTCAAGCATTTCAGACCCCTCACCCCGTCACCAACCAATCGTGCAGGACATCTTTGGGTTCGAAATCTTCGAAGATAATTCTTTCGAGCAACTGTGCATCAACTACGTCAACGAGAAACTACAGCAGATCTTCATCGAGCTCACTCTCAAGACGGAGCAGGAGGAGTACGTCCGCGAGCAGATCAAGTGGACGCCTATCAAGTACTTCAACAATAAGATTGTCTGCGATCTCATCGAGGAGAGGCGCCCGCCAGGCATCTTCGCTGCTCTCAATGACGCTTGCGCCACTGCGCATGCTGACCCCGCCGCCGCAGACAATAGTTTCATGCAGCGCACGTCAGCTTTATCCAACAACCCTCACTTCGAAGCGCGTGGAGCACAGTTCCTCGTTCGTCACTACGCCGGAGACGTGATGTACAACATCCAAGGCATGACCGACAAGAACAAGGACTCGCTCATCAAGGATCTGCTTGAGCTCGTCACGAGCAGCAGTGACCAGTTCTTGCAAGGTCTCTTCCCTGACCGGCCGGATCCTAATAGCAAGAAGCGTCCGCCCACGGCTGGCGACAGGATCAAGGCTTCCGCCAACGCGCTTGTAGACAATCTCATGAAGGCTCAGCCCTCGTATATCCGCACTATCAAGCCCAACCAGAATAGAAGTGCTACGGAGTACGACGAGAAAGCCATTCTACATCAGATCAAGTATCTGGGTCTGCAGGAGAATATCCGCGTTCGTCGTGCAGGCTTCGCATATCGTAATACCTTCGAGAAGATGGTAGAGCGTTTCTACTTGCTGTCCCCCAACACGTCGTACGCTGGCGAGTACACTTGGACGGGAGACTCGAAGTCTGGCTGCGAGCAGATTCTCAAGGACACGGGCATTGCAAGGGACGAGTGGCAGATGGGTGTAACGAAGGCCTTCATCAAGAATCCCGAAACGGTACATTTACTAGGGCATCCAATGGGCGGCTATGCTGATGCCCCTTCAGCTCTTTGCGCTCGAGACGATGCGCGATCGCTACTGGCACAACATGGCGGGTCGGATCCAGCGGGCATTCCGGAACTACATGCGGTACAAGCATGAATGCGCTCGTCGCATTCAACGATTCTGGAAGAATAACAAAGAGGCGCTGGCCTACGCTCAGATTCGCGATCAGGGTCACCAGCTTCTGGGTGGGCGGAAGGAGCGTCGGCGTATGAGCCTTCTCAGTTATCGTCGGTTCATGGGGGACTATCTGGACGTCAACGGCAAGAGCCCCTTGGGGGAAGACCTCGCAAATGCGGCTGGAATAGGATGTCAGCCTTTTCTTTCTCGTCGCGTGATCTGCTTGCTTATGCAGCTTTTTCAGCGGAGAACGTTGTCTTCAGTATGCGGGTCGAGGTTCTCGTTTCGAAGCTCGGAAGGTCCAGCAAACCTAGTCCTCGTTTCCTGCTCTTGGTGGGTCGCCTATGTGACGCCTAACATTCCATGGCTCACTCGGTTTAGACTGCGAAGGCGGTATACATCGTGGTCAACAGCGCCAAGGAGGGCATGACACTGGATCGCAAGGTGCCTCTCGTGACCATCAAGTCCGTTTCTATGACCAATCTACGTGACGATTGGATGGTGAGTAGTGCGTTCCCTATCTGGAACGCCTGCTCAACAATGGTTCACAGGCTCTGAACGTGAATGCTTGCGAAGAGGGCGACCCAGTGATCAGCTGCTGGTTCAAGACGGAGTTCATCACCCATCTAACGCAACTCACATCTGGCAGCGTCTCTATCAACATCGGTCCAAGGTGCGCACCATACGTTACAGGTCAGCTGTAGTGCTCAATTTCCGTAGCATTTCCTATGCGAAGAAGAAGGAAAAGATGGCCGAGATCAAGGCAGTCAAGGACGAGACTATCCCACGAGACGACGTTTACAAGAGCCATGCCATCCATGTCAAATCCGGCGAGCCGCCTAACAGCCAGTCATTCCCTGCCGCCAAGCGGAAGGCCGGTGTCGTGCGACCGATTACACAAGGCAAGTTGCTCAAAGCGGGTGGGCCGTCGGTACGTTTTCATGAATCTACTCTTGACTCGTGTTGACGAACTGAACCAGAAACCTACATCATCCTCTCGTCCCAAGCCCCAAGCTCAGCCGTTGCCCGGCAAATCTGCGGTGGCCCCTCCCCCAGCTCCGCCGGCGCCGGTCGCGAAGCAAGCACCTGCCGTTACACCCAAAGTTGCACCCCCTTCGGGAGGTGGATCACGCCTTCCCCCTGCTCCCCCGCGGCAAGCTGCGCCGCCTCCGCCTCCGCCGCCTCCTGCAGAGCCCGAGGTGCCGACGTACCGCGCCAAATACAACTTCGACGGGCAGGAGGGCGAGATGTCCCTGAAGAAAGATGATGTGGTTGAGCTTGTGGAGAAGGACGACAACGGTTGGTGGCTTGTCAAAAAGGATGGTGCCGAAGGCTGGGCGCCGCACAACTACTTGGAGCTCGTGCAACCGTCCGCCCCTGCTGCGCCCCCGCCACCTCCGTCAAGGCCACGACCAACGTCGACCGCTGCTCCATCGCCTACAGCGTCGAAGATCACGCCAGCGGCGGCAGCGATCAAGGCGGTTAGCGCCAATGCGCAGGCGAAGCCGGTGTCGGTGTTCCCTGGGATGGCACCCGCGAATGGCAGCGCTGCGCCATGGAAGAAGACACCGGCGACGTCGAGCGAGACGTCTCCCGCGTCGTCGCGTCCGTCTAGCTCCCTCAACAAAGCGCCGCCTCCTGTGGCTGCTAAGCCGAAGCCTGCGCCTCCTCCCGTTGGCGCGAAGCCTGGCGGGGGTAAGCCTCCAGTGCCCTCAGCGCCGCGTCCGAAGCCAGGCGGAGGCGCCGCGAAGCCAGCGCCTGTTGCGAAGCCTGCAGCTCCTGGTGGGCAGATGGACCTGGCCGCAGCGGTGAGTTATCTTGCTGTTTTCTGTCTTGTACCACATCTGACCACCATCCTAGCTCGCGAGGCGCGCGCAGATGATGCACGATGACGATTAGGAGTCTTGTACCTGTTGCCCTATTGTATACACGGGCAGACCATGTTGAGAATGTTACACGTGTTTAGATCTCTTCACAGAACCAATGTCATTGCATGGTTTTCTTGATGAAAGCATCCAAATGTCGTTGAGTTCTGTCCGAATCGATTCCGGCCAGTTCCTTCGCAGCGTGAGCTGGAGGTGCGGGTTGCTGGAACACCACGTACCGTGGATAGATGTTTGGCCCCTTCTGCTAATCTCTCTTTCTTGCCGCGACCAGACTGCTCGGCCGCAGAACTTGCCGCGGAAGCAGGGAAAGGCGGAGAAGTGTTGACCGGTGAGTTGGCGTACACAGCTTTCAGCAATGTATTGTGCGACGAGCGGCTGAAGTTTTGGTAAGTACAACTTCGGCTGACATTGACGAACGACCCACAAGCTCCGAAGCTCTGCTGCAAGGGTATTCGCCTTTGCTAGTTCTTGCTGTGCCGAGTCGGTGGAGGCCTTAAACCGACGTTGGATTTCTTCGAAAATATCTTGCTGATTGAGCAAGATCATGGGTGGACTTCCAGCGGGGCGATTGCCTGCAATCTGCATGATGATTGAGATCCAGGAGCGTAGACTCTTCAACGCACCTTCAGAGCTCTTGAGAGTCGCTTTCAGTCGCGACTCAAGATCGTTTGCATGTCGTAGGTCCGAGGCGCGAGTCATACATGCGACCGCCTGTTTTGCCTCCTCGCAGTCCTCCACGGCCTCTTCCAGCTCTTCGGCAAGAGCGCCAATGACGGCCTCTGCATCCGCTATGAGGGTGCTTTTGGCGACTAGCTCATCCTGAATGTCAGATAGCGGATTGAGAACCTCAGCTTCGAGAGCGTTCACTGCCTGACAGATGTAAGATGACCCCATTCGAAGCGTAAGAGATTGCCGCGTACCGAGTCAAGTGCTCCCTCGTGAGCTCGCAACGTCTCAAGCTGATCCAGATTCCAAGCCTGAGAGAGCTCACGCCGTACATGTACTTTGTCGACCTTGATCTCATACGTGTGCGTGATCTGCTTGCTGAGGGTCTGTAGCACGTCGTCCAACCTGGCAGCCTCTTCATGTAGGTCGTCCGCTGTATGTACGGACTGCCTGTTCCCAGTGGTCACGATCTGCTGAAACCGCTTGACGATGGCTGTACGCCGGCGAGTAAGCCTCGCCAAGTCGGATGTGTAGTCCACGCGGCAGCTGTCCGCAAGAGCATCGATGAGGATTGCGGCGGACTCCTTGGCCGCGAGCAGTCTGCCGTCGGTCTACGAGGGCGATTATTAGACGAACTCAGTCGAGCACTGAGATGGCACTTACTTGACTGGAGATATCGGTCAAACGTTCGTGAATGGTAGCAAGACTCTTGTCTGTTGTAATGATATTCTCCTTGCGCTGTCCAATGAGAGCAGTAGCCTTTTTGTTGGCTACCCTTCCAGGACATAAGCTGTTGTTTATGCGGTCTCATGTCCCGCCTACCTCGTTTGCTGTATTCGGCATTTCAGGACGTCCATTTCCGCCTCCAGGAGCTCCGCCTCGGTGTTCTTATAGCGACTTTGTGCCCTGAGTTTGTCAGAGTCTGTAAGCGGTGGTAATTTTATTGTAGACTTACTCGAGTCTTATTAGTGATATATATCGGTCGAGGTGTTCTTGGCTAAGTGATTCGTCGCCGTCCGAGAGATCGTTTGCCCTGAAGAAGTGTTAGAGCCGTTATGCATGTACATAGCATTTTTATCCTGACAACTTGAGCTCAGCATCGTCGAGTGCGATCGCAGTCAGGGAGGCCAATATATCATCATCATGGACCGCGTCTTCGGGCGCGCTCAGTTGACTGGCAATCCAAGCTAGCATGTCACGCCCAGAAGGCATCTCATTAGCCCACTCTATATCTTCTGGTCTGCTCGTGTCATCCCCCAGAGCTGTTATGATGCGGGCGAGCGTTTCAACGTTAGACTGTGGTGACATGGTAGGCAGATGCAGGACGCGAAGCGCGCGTTCGGACCGGACCTCCGCATTTCGATCGCGTCTTGGCACGTGATGGTACGGCTTGTGTCCTAAATGCGGAACAAGCGCCTCCTTCCTGAACCCCGCCACTAAACTTGACAAGTGCCTTTGTTCTCTCGAAAGACGGTAGTCGACTCGCTGAAGCACTGGGACTGGATTGAGACGACATGGCCGAGCTCAGGCATTGGATTGCATCGGGAGTGTTGCTCTTTCTCGGTGCGTCACAAATACACCAAGCGTTTGCAATGTGCTCACACTTCCTATAGGCTATGTCTCCCTGGTGTCTGACGACAAACTCACAAGATACTACGCGCGACATCTGGCGCTGCTCCTATTCATGGACACGCTTCTCATACCCGTCTCTGACCTCATCCTCTTCCATGTTTACCCTGCGATTGGGAAGCGCCCTCCCCACAAAGACACTCCGGCGTACAGGCGCCTTCTCGCGAATGTATACAAGCTCACCCTAATAATCTATGTCGTTGGCCTTGGTCTGTACTATCTGTACAGCGCTATGGCGCAGCGTACGATCTACGAAGACCTCGGCGTCGCGCCTTCTGCGCCGCTCGACGAGATCAGAAAGGCCTTCAAAGGCTACGCTAGGCAGCACCACCCTGACAAGGCTGGGTACGACTCGCACGCGGTCTTTATGGCGATACGAAATACGTATGAGGCTATATCTCAGCCACAAATGCGGTTCGTTTACGATCGGTGCGTCGTTCTGCTTGCTATTATGGGCATCCCACTGAACGTACATCAGCTTCGGACCTTTCATGAACCATTGCCATCACTGCAACACTGTTACGGACTACATTTACGAGCTCACCCTGTTCACGTCAGGCCCACTGTACATCATCACTTTTGTGGCCCTCCTCGTAACCTCGCTTGTTGGCTTCTCTCCACAATTCCTCTTTGTGAGTCGATCTCCTCACGTTGATATCCGTTACTCATGTTACTTACAGACCCAATGGCTGATATTCTTCGGCACAATCGCTATTGAAGGTGTCTTGCTGCTGTGCACGCCGGCGCCTGCGGGCATCTCCAACACGTATGCCGAGTCTGAGCTACCTCGGCCCTTTCGCGTCCTCGTTTACCTACGCCGGCTCTTCCCCAACATCCTCATCTTCCAATGCGTCAGTCTTCTACATAATGTCTTCGTCATCGTCCTTGGGGCCGCCGTGATCGCTGGGCGCGCCTGGCATACGATGCATCCCGAAAGTGAAAGCTTCATGGAAGAATCTCAGCGCCTTACCATCGAAAACAACCTCCTGGGTACGTGCACATGATACGTCTTCACTTTGAGGTACTCATGCATAACCTGTAGCCAACGACCTATTTCGAGCTAAATTACGCCCTTTGCGAGCGTTGCATCCCGATGCATGCGCAATACTACAGCGCGGGGGCTCCCTAGACGAACTCTCCGATGACACGCGCGCAGAGTTCGTTGACCGCGTCCTAGAAATCATCGCCGAGGGCAACATGAACGAGGACGAGAGGCGAACAATGAGACGCATCTTGCTAGGCGGCAGAGCCGACGGAGCGCTCAGGTCAGCGTTCGCTCTGGCCAACGAGTCGCCTTCGAGACGCATGCCAGGGACGTTCGATGATGACGATGATACGCTCAACGACGATGAAGACGTTCCTGGCGAGGCTGAGGAACCCCGACGTCACGCTACCCCGAGTGGCGGACCTCGAACTCATCAGGACAGAAGGTCGTCCCTCCCTGTCGCTCTGCATGCCTCTGTCGCGGGGCAACAGCGGCCAACGACGATAGTACCGATGGCCAAGGAAGAGGCGGAAGAGTTCGCGCGGCACTCTAAGCGCTTGGGACCGACGCCGGCGCGACAACTTCCGCGTTCTACACCCTTGAAGGACATGACCCGCAGGAGATGTTGTAGTACAGAACCAGACCTCGTCGGCTGGGCTTAATCTGGGGCGAACTTGGTGGCGATACGTATCTGAAGGTTTCTCGATGTGAAGGGATATACCCCCATGTACTAGCATATACCAAACTTGTGTAACATCTTAGGGAGTTGTCTAGAGTTGTCATTTACCCGTGCAGTCACCATGGTCCTGAAGAAAAACATTGTTGGCCTCGCACTTACGAGGATGCGACAAAACATGAACCCTGCCCGGATCGAACGGACGACCTTATGGAAGTTCCAGTGAACTGGAATCATACGCGCTACCACTGCGCCAAGGGTTCATTGTTTTCGCTTTCAGATTTGCGCGTGCATTTCGCATTCACCCAATGCAGCTAGATCATGACGTTCCACTTCAGCTAGACCCCTTTCTACTTCTTTCAGGCGTCGCCAACAGTGCTAGTGGTTCGAGCGGTGTGGAATCCGGCTAGATGGGCGTGCAGCCCATTGATTCCATGTTTCCACTCCCTACCGTCTTGGTGCATGGCAATCAACGACTGGATTTGACGATGAGCTTAGCGCAGTGCTGGAGCAGCCTGCTCATAGGTCCGTCATGTTGCGAACGTTGTCAATGAGCATGGCCCATCTATAGGAGGTCGAAGAAGGACATCCAAAATCCGTCTTGTCAGATATATGCCCCTCAACGACTCATCCAACTACCGTAGCACCAGCCACCCAATACCACTATCATCTCGAAGGCTTCCGGTCAGTACCACGAGCAGAAGGGCGGCATCAAGGGATCTGTGAGTACTCCCAGTGGCATACCATTTATCTCAGAGAGACTGATAGACCCTCGCTAAAGGTCGGCAAGTGACGCGTCCGGGCTCGGTGGCACACACAGCAGCGACCAGGCCTAGCGCTACGAGGGCCAGGGAGAGTACAACGCTTCACGTGCACAGGGCTACATGCAGGGAGCCGTTGACTGTGTCATTGGCAAGAAAGACCCAGTCGTCGGCTCCGCGACGGGCGACCACGGCCAGCAACATTTGGGTGAGTTGGTTCTGAGGTCGAGGGTACGTGATTGATGCGATTTTGGAGGCGAGGCCCGCGAGAACAAGGGCGACTGGAAGGAGAGCATCGACCGCAAACTGAAGAGAGGCGTTGAGATTATACCCTACCACGAAGAAGTCTTAGTAAGCTAATCAATGTGAACTGAAAAGGACGTATGTACTCGCTTACACCTGTCGTGCCATGCATGAATGTGCATTGGCTCGAACCAAGCCGTCAAATATTTCACGTTGCTTCAGACCTGAGTTGGTGGGCCCGCTGGCTCTCGGCGATCTTCTGGCCATGAGCGGCGGGTCGAACAGACGACGTCAAAAACATGCTTGCCGAACATCTGTATTTTTGTAACGAATGGGCCGTCGTAGTCCGCGAAACGCCTATGAGCATTGGTATATAAAACAACACGCGCAACGGGAATACTCTGCCTATGAGAACAGAGCCATACATGTTGCGTATACAAGTACGATCCTCTCCCGCGGCGCCGCATCAAGGGTGGTATGTAGCACCTATGCCGAACCAGAGCCCGACGCTTTGCGCCCGAAATCTCCATGTACATCCAAGAGAATCCTAAGAGCGGACCTGCACGAAGGGTCAATAGCTGTCTACCATACAAGCACCAAGCACACCTGGCGCGAATCTGGGACATGTCGTCGAGGCCATGCGACGTGAGCGCCGTCTCCACCGTCGCCGGCTTGTTTGCCCAAGGGTACTGTTCATAGCGTGAGTATGAAGACGATAGCATAAGTTCAGCGAAGCGTACCGGGAAGTGTTTGCCAAGGGTCTCGTAGGCTGGAGGGGTTGCAGTCAGCAAGTGTTATAGGTACTGACGTAGGTGTGACGCACCCAGCAACGTGAAGCCGAATTGAGGGCTACTGCGGAGGACACGAGCGGGACCACCCTTGAAGAAGGCTCGGAATCCCTCCTCCTTATCTATATTCATTGTCAGTGCGGAGACTAGGACAGATTTGCGAGAACTTACAGATCTTGGAGAAGGCGTCCTTCATGCCCTTGTAATGAGTGTCACCCTTCTTAGCCTCAGCCTGCAGACGGGTCTTAACGACGTCTATTCATGACGATCAGCCCGCGAGTCGTGCATAGAACGCGCTATGTACTTACCGGCCGGTGTCGTGAAGTAGGCCGCAGGCATACCGCTAGATTTCACGTCAATGAAGTGCGAACGTCACGGATGGCGGGAATCACTGACGCGATAGCCGCCGCTGACAAGGTTTCCAGGAAGGATAGCTGCTTGCCGTTGTAGCCCTCGTGGAAGACGTCCTTCTTCAAATGGGCGTACGCAGGGAAGTAGATAGCCGAGAACGGAATGTCGCGCAGTAGGCATGCGCTCGCGCCTTTGTACAAGCCGAGCAGACCAAGTTCGCGGATGATCAGCCCAGCACCCTTCGGTGTAGCGCCGTGGACCTTGGCATGCTCGCCCTGTATCTGTAGGCGAATCTTGCTTGAGGAGGATCTCAGTCGTAGTGCAGTGGCGACAAGACTCGTAACTTACACAATTTCCAAGGGGTTCGTGAAGACGACCTGGCATCCACCGGCCATACCACCGGCGACAAGCTCCCAACCAAGCTTGATACGGCCAGTCTCAGGATCCATAGCCTTGCCGCGAACGAGATCGTTCACGGTGAGCTTGATCGCTTTCTCCGGCGCAACTCCCTAGACGTGAGATGTGAGCGTGAAGTGTATGTTCGAGTACTTGTCACCACCGCACGTACAACAAGCTGAGGTGCAAGACCACGGTAAAAGCCAAGGAAACCCTCGTTCTTCAGAATTTTCTTGACGCAATCTATACTGTTGTTGTAGAGTATCTGGCCGACAACAGTCGTCCGTTGGTTCTGCATTCTATACTATGTTCAGATCGGGACCATAGTCGAATGAGTCGCCAGCCTTACCTAGTCTAGACGAAGACCGACCGTCATCGGTAACCATACAAAGATGTGCATGTTTCTCAACGTACCTTGACTATCAACGTCGTCAGCATGTATACCCACCGCAGGACTGGGGAACTTACCCAAATCTATAGGATACACAATAGTTGCACCGAAGCCTCCCGCAATACCCCCGAGGACGAAGTTATAGGCGGAGTGGAGAGTATCGTGCAAGATCGTCTGGACTTTGCTCCGTTTCTCGTCATGCTGCGGCTCATGTGGCGGAGTCCACCTTGGATCAAGAAGCTGTGCGAAATCCAAAAGCGCGAGCCGCGAGTCCTGGTTGCCCCGGCTCGCAAAGTGGAAGATGATAGATGCTTCCATGGGCGTAAAGAGTGAATAGCGCGAGTGTCTTGCCGCGTAGTCGAGGAAGTCGGACTGGGATATCCGGCCATCCTTACTCTCCTGTGTCGATTCCCGAATGATCCTGAACAAGGTCAATCGCGATTATGTGAGGACGACGGAGACGGCATACCTTTCTACCATGTCCATCTCCCGAATGACGTTGTGGAATGCGACGACCTGAGCGTATGATACTCGCTGACCGGGAGTCAACGTGCAGAGAGTAGGCAAACGTTCTATGACCGAATCCGATAATTTATGACCTGATACTTCCTAGAATCATCGTTAGGATCATGGCCAAGGAATCATGAGCGTCGCGCCTCACCAGGATGATTTTCTTGAACTCTTCTGGGCTGATGAACCCATCCTGGTCCGAGTCGAGGTAGCGGAACGCTTGCCGCACACGCTCTTTCTGGAGACCCTTCATCAACTGCGAGAATTCATCGTCTAAAGGCGGTGAGTATCGGGCAAGACCCAAGCACGCTAATCTCACATCCAAGGACGTGCTGGTTGTTGCGCTTGCCAAGGTAAAGCCTGACCCAGTCCCTGGAAAGGTGTCAGAGTGGCCGCCCACGTGCAAGCAGGATCGCGTACGAATTGAAATCGAAGGGTATCGCGTCACGTCCAATGTTCGCGCTGAAGACGTTCTTGAACTCGTCGAAGGAGATGGTACCGGACTGGTCGCTGCTAAGGCATTACTAATGTGAAGGGGGGAAGGTGCGCGAGAACGTACACGTCAAAGTATTGGAAGGCAATCCAGTAGTCCGCATCAGGTCGCTTCAGCAAGGTCTCGAACACCGTGAAGTCCTCCCATGATACAAGGCCGCGCCGGTTCGAATCCGCTACGCGAAATAGAAGTGCATACTGTGCACTCCCGAGCTTCGTCCCCGCAAGATCTCCCTGAGGTGCAATGGCCTTCACGAAGCTTTCCGTGTCCAAATACCTGTATTGAACCTGGTCAGAAGACACACTCGAACAGTCTGCGGGGACACGCACTTGACGCCATCGACCGTCTTTGCGTGAGCGTCGAATATGCGCCTCCAACGCTTCAACTCTGTCTCTGGTACGGCCAGCAGGTGCGCGGACACACCCATGTCGGCAGCGGCGGTCGGAAGATCTCGGGACATGCTTGATGGAGCAAGTGCTGGTTCTCAGGACGAGAGGCCGATCAGAGACAGTTGCAAACAACGCCAACAGTGCAGACTGCGGTCGTGTTTTCGCTTCAGCGGACGCGAGCGGGGGAGAGGAAGAGTCGAGGGGGAACAGGGACGGATGGTTAAATCGCGGGGTCGTCGCTTGCCTCCGCGGGGAAAGCGTCCCATGTGGATTTCCGTCGGACCGCGCGGCCGACAACCGATCAGCTCGACTTTACAATCAGGAGCTCCATGGCTTGCCTTCCCCACTGACTCTACCCTCACATCCTCCCGCGACGGTTCTGCCAGGCCACGAGCGAGACGCTTGCTACCCTCTATGACTCGCGGGATGTCTCCATACCTTTGACATACCTTCAATTGTCCTTTGAATACCGCTCGTGGACGACAGGAGCGGGCTCAACAATCGCAACGCCGCAGTTGAGGCCGACGCGGACACAGCGCAAACGCCGCAGTGAGGCTCCTGTACTACATTCTAACGGCTTCGAGCTGCTCTGGCGAAGGCCATGGCGTTAGCGGACTTTGCTCTTCGGCTGACGCAGCTTCAAACTGATACAGGTGTCGTCAGCAGAGGTCGAACTGAGTACTGTATATGATGTCCTTGTCGACATCACCACTGTTGCGCACACTGTATGCCAAATAGTATCCTATAATCCTTTGCATCGTCCGTCGACGCCCGAGTGTGGACAAGCAAGCCGGCGTATTCCGCATCGGCCGAGACGGCGCGCCGCCTCAGCGTGGGCGGCTTCCCCCGTTGCCTTGAGGTTATCTATGCCGTGAGCTCATCCTGACTGGTTTTGCCCCTCACCATCGTGCCATGTCCGCAGACAAACTCAAGGAGGAAGGGAACGCGCTTTTCGCCAAGAAGCAGTATGGGCTTGCAGCACTGAAATACACGGAAGCTATCGAGATTGACGAAGAAAATGCCGTTTTGTGGGCAAATCGGGCGGCCTGTCGACTCAACACGCGGCAGTGAGTGTCGAGCAGCTCGTCTTTGTCACTCTAGCTCACCAATGGTGAGATTTATGGATGCTGCTTCGGACTCTGAAAAGGTGTTATTCACCGTCAGTCTCGTTCTCCGATTCTGACTGGAGCACAGGCGACCAAGCTCGATCCCGGTTATGCCAAAGCATGGGCACGTCTCGCTACAGCACACGATGTGGGTCCTAATCTGTCTTTTCTTATACACGCTCCTGCCCTTTGCTATCAGGCCTTGCACGACTACAAGTACAGCGCCAAAGCTTGGCGAGCTGCGTTGGACAGTCTGCCAAAAGATTATCTCAACGCGAGTGAACAGAAGCAGAAGGAGCAGTACGCAGCTGGTCTCAAGGCTGCCGAGGCCATTGCCAACAAGCCTTTGCAACCTGCTCCCGTACTCTACATGAGCAACACAGACGACCATCCATGGGTTGCAGGCCGTCGTCTTGTCGAACAGTATCAACATACAGGATTCTTCAACTCGAGCGTAAGACTTCATTGCGCACTTTGTGGGCGTATTTTTGATCTCTGAGACAGGCGTGGCTCATCAACGAGGCCTACAATGTGAGTGGTCACTGCGGCGCTTCGCGCTTCATGCGCAGGACTGACGTCGCGCGGAATAGGATTTCAAGGAGGGCGTGGACCTTATGAAGGCCATGAAGCAGTGGAAAGATCCTCGCTCGGGTCAGACGCTGATTCAAGCTAGGTTCGGTGTAAGTCCCCAGCCCAACGCGCACCAAGTGTATGCCATCTGAATGCCTGCAGGCTCTTGAAGTTCTCGTCAACGCCATTATTCTGGATAAGCGTGTGTTCCACGCCGAAGGCAATTTCTTCGAACTTTACAAGAAGCAAGGTATGTACCGTTGTTCTTCCCGCCATTAGCGCGCTGATTGATCGTGTTGCAGTCGAATCGGAGTGCCGAACTGTGAACGCCTGGACGAAGACCGGCCCCGAAGAAATCATGCGAGAAGTACCGAGTCGGCTGGCTAGCGAAGGCTGGAAAGGTGTTCGACCCGCACTATCCGTTACCATCAGGTCTGCATGCACGTCACTGTCAGATACAAAGGTTCTGACACGGACCAGGGCCTGGATTCTGCGCGCTCACTTCGACTCCGGCATGCAGCGTCGCCATGATGTCGCTGTTGAATTCACTACTCGAGCGGTACAGCTTCTGGCGTGGGGGCGTGAGACCTACAAGAACGTCCCCAAGAGCGAGCGAGGTGCCATCTTTTCGGACACGTTCATTATAGGCGTCCGTAGGCATCTCCTTGAGGCGCTGATAGGCGTAAGCGGTCCCCTTGCCGATGCAACGGCAGCTTTACTGACGCGATGCAAAGGCCTATAGCGAAAAGTCCGATCCGCAAATTCTCGAAGATCTGTACGAAGAAGCCACGCAGGTACTGAAAGAGGCTGCCGCGCTCAAGCCCCCCACCCCTGCGGACGGTATAAGCCCGGGATTCTTCTTGGGCTTTCACCGATATCCCAAGGCTGATGCTCAAGCGTACGTCTTACTCATTCTTTGTCCTCGTCCATCGCTTACACCATGCATAGTGCTCTCGGTTTCTACCACGCAAAGCTTGCGCTTCGTTCCCGAACGAACCAGGCGGAGGCGGAGGAGTACTGGAGAAAATCCATCGCCGCCTATACCGAAGCGGCCGACATCCTGCCTGAGGACGACGAGCAGCATGCTTGTACGTACGAGGAACTTACGTGCGCTGGATAGGGTGACTGACAATACCCTCAGGGTTCCTCAATGTTGCACTCGAGTACATGGACAAAGTCACGACCCCCTTAGCCACAAAACTCAAGATGTACGAACGCCTCAGGTCCAGTATTCCCAAGACAGAGGCGATCTGGCGCATGTCCTCTTTCTCGAGAGGCGGTGTACCGCAACATTATCAGCAAGTGCTTGGCTACGAGAAGAAATTGCGCGAGGGTCTGGATTCAGGAAAGTGGTCGCTCAGCACTGATGTGCGGAGGGAGCAGCTGTCGTAAACAGGAACTACTAAACTCCAGTTTACCTTCACTTTCGTATTGCTTGCTCTCCCGGTCTGACGAATACTTATCTCACCATTTTCTCGTCGTGGTCCAGTGTCATGGTATTAGGCAGAAGCTTATGCTAGACATGATAGCGTCGCGTCATTAATGAGCACGTCAAGTGAACGTGTAGGCGTTTATGAGTTGTAAAGGTCGCGGTCGATAGTAGGATGCGGGTAGTGTAAGGGGATTAGAAAGGATGGGTATGGATATTGGACAGTGGAGGAATGCACCAGATTACGCTCGCAGAACGGCCGCGTAGGAGGCCTTGGGAACTTCGTCTGGACGGGGTATGTACTCCCAAGGTTCATCTATGGTGATGTCACGAAAGTTGGCGTCGTCGAGGGCGATGACCGGAGGAAGCGGGGATACCATCTCGTACTCGGCGTCCTTACCTGTTCGTATCGTCAGAAGAGACATTCTGTTAGGACGAAAGCAAGAACGCACGTTTGCTCTTCCTCGACTTCGCAGGCTTGGCGACGATGTCCTCGAGCCTCAGCATCGGGGGACTCTGGCCGACAGAGGGCATAGGCGTGCGCTCCCAATCGTCCAAGCGCGAGTGAGCCCAAGGCTCAGCGCCGGAACTGGTGTCGTCTGTGCTGGAGCCAGACGCCGCCTTCGCCTTCGCGCCTGGACCTGTCACGGACGAATGGTACGCGTTGCCACCGCTGACGGACCGCTCCTTGAGTGCTTTCCGGCGGGCAATCTCCTCCGCGCGCTTGACCCTCTGTCGGGCATGCTCATACGCGCGCATGTCGCGCAGCGCCTCGACCTCGGGAAGCGTAGAGGAAGAGTAGGTCTCGGTCTCGTTGCTCTTCTGCAGGGCGACGGTCGAGAGGGTAGCAGCGCGGGACACAGCGGCGAACATGGCGCTATCGAGTCGAGACAAGTCTGAATGGTAGGTGGTGGTGGTGGTTCGAGTCAAGAAGGACAAGAGGACGACACGACGCTTATATCGGACTTGGCCGGTGGCGTATGACGCTACTTCGCCTTGTCTTCCTGTCGTGGACAGCGGGGTTCAGGAGCCATAGTGATGGCTACCCTCGGTCCGATGTTCCGGTACGCGTCGCGTCGCGTACTCGCCGAAGCACGGCATCTACTTCTTGACTCGGTTCCTCATCAACGCCGGCCACCGCAGTCCAGTCGCAGTGCTGACGACGTCGATTGCTGGCTTCGCCATCCATCTTCCCAGCGCACTTGGTGGGCCGTGGTCAGCATCGGTGCGTGTGTCGACCCTCGATTGGTGCAGTCTTACAGAGTGCCGACCCATCCCGTCCATAGTCCGTCTCTATTATCTCATCGGCAGCTCATCACTGTCCTCAAGTACTCACAATTCATTGCGCCATGGCCTACTGTGAACGATGCGACCGATTCTTCGCCAGCAATCGTGCTTTAGACCAACATGAGGAGGACTCACCTCACCATAACATCTGCGATGATTGCAACGTGGACTTTCCGACTTGGTTAGGTCTGAAAGAGCACTACGTGCAGAGCCGGAAGCACGCCTACTGCCAGTACTGCGACGAGCACTTCCAGGATCGCTATGACCTCGAGGATCACTATATCGAAGACCACTTCTACTGCCAAAAGTGCCGTCGCGTCTTCATCAACGACCGCGGCTTGCAGGAGCATTATCGCCAGTCCGACGCTCATCATTACTGCGTCTCCTGCCAGCGAGACTTCCAGTCCGAAAGTAACTTGGAATCGGTGAGCTATCGTCAATTCGCACATGCTTCGTAGCTCGCCACTGATTCTCGCGACTTGCAGCATCTAAACTCGTCCATACACCGTCCAAGGAACGTCATATGCCCGTTTCGAGGCTGTGGCCAAGGCTTCGTCTCCCTCTCTGCCCTGGCGCTCCACTGCGAGTCTGGTCGCTGCCCATCTGGTGTTGATCGCCGCACTGTCGACCGCCTCGTACGCACCATCGATCGCAACAACTACATCACGGATCCCTCGCGGATGATCACCGGAGGAGAACAGGAAAGGATCGTTCGGAATATCGCGACGGAACGGTCGTGGAATGGCTATGCTTACGAGTGCTACCTGTGCAACAGGATGTACTCGACCCTGCGTGGACTCAACCAGCATCTATCGAGTTCCTACCATTCCGATAAGGTGTACAAGTGCCCTATGAAGGGTTGTAGCCATCGCTCTGCGACCGTCAGTGCTCTCTTTCAGCATGTCGAGAGCGGGAGCTGTGGCGCCAGAAGGTTCACCGCTATCGAGGGTGTCATGGATAACTTGGTCAACGGGATGGCCCGTGCGCGGATAACCGCTCAGTAATGGACAATGGGCGCGGGGTAATCGACTATGCCATGGCCTGAAGCCTCTTTTGAACCACTCCTTGTACTTGTACCTTTGACTCGGATAGATCATAGTCAAAATTTACAGACTTGAAAGTGCGCCAGCGCGTTGTCGCGAGCAGATCATCAGCGGCACTCTGCAAGATTGTGTGAATCAGTGCCGAGCACTGTCGGCGCGTGACAGGGGCGAGAATTCAACACGCGATCACGTGCGCGCGTTGATGCCGTTTCCCATTGACCTCATCGTCACTTCGACACAACCTCTTCGATTCGCGACGCGCTTCTCAATCGCTCGGCGGCTGTTGCCGAAGCTTGGCCTCTGCCATGTCTATACACACACTGGGGATGCACGATGTGTCTCCCGCCATGCAGTCCTTGAAAGACCAGCTGGCTAGCAAAGGTGTGTAAAGTCGGTTTTAGGAATGTCTTCGGGCAACTAATAATGCTTCTAGAGAGCCGCATAGCTGCACAAGACACACAACTACTGAAGCAAAATGAACGAATGAGCGATTTACAACGCAGGCTGGACGAGGCATTGCAGAACGTGCGTCTACTAGATCCTGCCACACTATTGATCTAATCGTTCGACGCAGCTTGGGAGGCAGTCCGCCAGGACAGTGAACCTCGAATCTGCACTGGATCAACGAACGGGGGAACTCGCCAGGGAACGCTTAGCGCGCGAGAATGCTCAGGTGGCGCTCGCTCATGCGCACGAGGACATCAAGTCCAAGTCGAACGAAGCACGCGAATTGCAGTCTGCTCTCGACACACTCTCCTGCCGATCCGACGTTCATAGCGCCCGAAGCTCCAACCTCGAGAGCGAACTGAAGGCTGCTCAGGCCCGTATTAAGGCGTTGGAAGCGGATCTTCGGCACCTGAGCTCGGCGCCGCCACCTCCCGTCACGCCCGGACGCAAGGCTGCTCGTCCCCGCTCCTCCTCCCTCACCAACTTTCGTATCACAACTCTGGAGCAAGAGCTCCAAGAAGCCAAGAGCACGCTCGAAACGCAAGACGCGGACCTGCGTGTCTTAACCAACAAACTCGCCAAGGCGGAAGCCGACCTCATAAGGTCGGGCAACGAGCGCATCGCTATTTCGCAGCGGCTTCAACAGGAAGTCGCAGAGCTTCAAAGCAAGTTGGACGATCAACAAGACGAGCTTGACTTCCTTCGATCGCAGCAGGGCGACGGCGGTCGGGAAGAAGAGCTGCTGAAGCGCATTGACGAGGACGACGCGAAGATAGCTACCCTCCAACTGCTCGCCGGCGATGCTCACGAGATTCCGAGGCTGAGAGACCAGCTCAAGATTTTGGAGCGCAAACTCCGCGCCGAGGAGGAACGCAACATGGACTGCGAGGGTCGTAATATCGAGCTCGTCCGGGAGAAAGAGGAGGCCCTGGACGAGCTCGATGACGTTAAAGACCGTATTGCTTCGCTGGAGGCGACCATCAAGGACAAAGACTCACAACTAGCGATGTTGCAGTATGTTCTTCCTCACTACGCTTCGTTTTCAATCTCACGCGCTCCATTAGACAAGCACGTAAGACTCGACAGAGTCTCTCCTCCAGTGCCGCATCTCGGCTCTCTGACGAGACTGCCGCGACTGTCGAGCGAATGCTTCACGCGATAGAACGGCTGCGTAACGAGCGAGACAATTTGCGGCGGGACCTCAACTTTCTCGAGACGGAGACACGGTTCACTATCGAGGCTCTGGAGGCTCGATTGCAGAGTCAAGAAGATACTCCTGATCATGGACCGCTCCACGAGGACGTTAGGCGCCTTCGCACCGCGGCCGCGGCCTTCGCCGTCGTCATAGCCAACCTGTCCGCCGATGCCAGCGCCTCGACATCCGAGCTCGAAGCTCTGCATACCCGACTGCAGGACCGCGAGGATGCCTATGCCCGCCTGGAGATGCAGTACGAGCTCACGCAGCAGTCACTCGAAGAAACGGCAGGTTATAGGGACAACTTGATCGTGGAGTTGGAGAACCTGTCCGATGTCTCTGGACAGCTGAAGGATGCGCAGGAGCGTATATCTCAGGTCACTGGCGAAAAAGCGGACCTCGAGCGGATTCTCCAATCGACTGAGGACGAATGCGCGACGCTCTCATCCCGGGTGTCCGAGCTCATGACCGAGCTGGCGGTCGTCGAGCACGCCGACCGCCACGGTTCTTCGCCGTCAGAGGAGGTTCGGGAGGCGCGCGAGGAGATTTCGCGTCTGGAGCAAGAGGTGCACGAGCTATCCAAGGCGTTAGAATCCGTGGAGTCAGAGCGGTCATCCCTCAGCGTCCAGGTCACCAACCTCACGGCCGAAGTGGAGGAGGCGCAACAAGAGCTTTCTGCCGCAGAGAACCGCTATAGCGAGCTCCAGTTTCACCAGCTGTCCGACATGACGCAGAATGAAGCTACCCTCGCTCTACGCAACCAGATCCAGGAGCTCGAAGGTCGGGTTATGCGTCGCACGGAGCAAATCGGTATCCAGCAGCACGACATTCGCAAGCTGGAGACCAACTTGACCCTTCAGGAGGAGCGGATGGCAGACGTCCTGGCAGAGCTGGAAACTATGGAGGCGCAGAAGAATGCTATGGTGGAGGATTGCGCTGACGCGCGTGAACAGCGCGACGAAGCTATCGCGCGTGCGGAGCAGCTCGAATGCGATATGGAGTCTCTGGAGGAGCAACTCGTTTCCCGCGAGGCCGAGGCCGTAGTTCTCGTTGGTCTCATCGTGCAAGGCATCAGCCATCTCCGCCGTATGCAATCTGCACCCCCCTCCCGAGGCACTCTGACGGTCACGTATGACGCACTGGAGGCCGCCCGTGGAACGACCGTCGCTCTCGCCATCTCTCAGACCTCCTTCCGTCAACAGTCCAGCGTTCTTCGCCGGCTCTACTCCGATATCGAGCTCCTGCACCTCAAGGTCGATGACCTCGAACAGGCGCTGGAGGGGAAGTCGGCCGAGCTGCAGCACCTCCAGGAAACCTCTGATACCGCTGATGCGTCAAGCTCCGCGCAGACTTTAGAACTGCAGGCGCAGGTGGCTACGCTGGAACAAACGGTAGCGCATTTGACAACCTCACATGCTGCTACGATAGCGACCCTGCAACAGTCTGAGGCTACTCTACGCCGTCAAGTGGATGAGCTCCGAGCTTCGGCGTCTGCTAGCGATGATCTGCAGGGCCAGCTTGTCCAACTCAAGATGAAGCATATCGAGGAGGTGGGACAACTTAACGCCAAGGTCGTGGAAGAGTCGAGCGCCCGCGAGGAAGCCCTTGCTCGTGTCGACTCGGCGGAACGGCGTGCTACCGAGGCCGAGCAGGCCCAGCGGGAGGCAGAGGAACGTTGGCGAGACCTCTCTGGCCACGAAAGAGAACTCCGGGCTCAATACGACGCAGCGAAGGAAGGTCTCGTCGACCTGGAGCGCAAGTTCCGTGCAGCAGACGAAGCTGCGCAGGCTGCCCAGCAAATCGTCGAGAACCTGGAGAACGAACTCGTCCGGACTCGTAACGATCACCGAGAGACGGTAGAGCAGCAAGAACGTGCCGTTGCGCAGGTGCGCATGCAGCTTGAACAGAGCTTGCAGGCTGCCCTCCGAGACACGGATGACGCACGGCAATTGCTGTCCGAGGAATGCGACAGGCGAACGCAGGCGGAGGAGACCGTTGAGAGCCTTCGACGGCAACTAGCCGATGACACGGAGCAGTGGAAGGTCGAACAGGAGCAGTCAGCACGCGAGCAAAAGGAACTCGCGGACGAGCTTACGCAAGTTAGGACTGAGCTTGCGACTTCGCGCCAGGAAATTTTGGCTTTGCAGCAGTCGAAGGAGGAGCTCGAGTTCTCCATGTCCGACTTGGAGGCCGAGGTGCAGCGATCGATATCTCTGAACAGGTATCTCGAGGGACAAATGACGGACCAGTAAGTGAATTCGCCACTGTTCAATGAATTGAAGCTTACCCGCTGTAGTGACCGCAAGCTTGATAGCCACCGACGTGAGCTTGACTCAGTGCGAGCTGCTCTTGCCGAGAAGACGAGTGAGCTCAGCAAAGTCAACATCGATTTGAACCTGGAGCGCGCCGGTTACCAGCGCGAGGTTGCCAGCTTGAAAGCGGAGGTGGATGTCTTGCGGTCCAAGCCGGATATGGAGACTGCCCTCGCCGAATTGGAGGAGCGCAATACCGAGATGGAGGAGATGTTGCGACAGAAGTGCGCAGAGATCGAGAATAACGACGATCGTGTTCTTGAGTACGTGTCTGCATTTCAGTCTGTTCCAAACATGCTCATCTTCCTTACTAGGATGATGAAAGAGAACAAGAAGTTGACAGCAAAGGTCGAATCCCTGTCGCGCAAGGTTCAGAATCTACAGGCTAAGCTGGCGGCTGCGAAGGCCGTCAAGCAAGCCACAGAAGTAGCATCAGATGCTCCCTCTGCTCCAGCTGCGCCGCCCGCATCGTCACGCTCATCGTCCATCTCGCCTCATCCAACAGCGCCACTACCACGCTCCCTAAACTCGTCATCTTCTTCGAGCCTGACGCATCGACCGCTCTCAGGAACGATCGCTGGCACAACGCATCCTCCACCCCCAGCTGTCTCCCGTTCCCGCACTTCCACGAGCACGTCTCCGGATACATTACCTACGGTCCGAGCCCAGACGTCGAGGGCTACATCTCAGCCGCCAGTCTACTCCCGACCCAAGACCCCCGAGCACCGCGCGACTGTCTTCCGCACACAAGCTCGAACGCCAGAGCCACGACCGCTTCCGGACTCAGTTCCAGTATCGACATCGCATGCAAAGAAACGTGGTGTGCCCGATGACTTCGAGAGCCACGAGTCGCACGTTCCGAGGGCAGTCGTCGCTGAGGGGGCAGCCATGACGAACGTCTCGGAAGAACGTCCAATTCGTCGTATACCGAGCCAGAATAGCTTCACCCCCGTGCGGCACCAAAGCTCGCGGCCGATGATAACGCTGTCCCCCAAGAAGACCGCAGAGAAACTCGGCGCCTATATTGCGGATGTCACGAATACCAGTCCGAATCGTCGTGCGCGGAATGTGACGGCGCCCGCCCAACCGACCTTCGAGACTACAGAGAGGCCGGTGAAGAGGGGATGGTTAGGCAAGATGCGAGGCACGACACCAGCGACTCGGCGTCCCTACGATGCGTTATGAACGTGATGAACTTCATATCTTTTTATTGACATGCTTACCACGCTCGTACTGCTATCTGTGTATCTCACTAGTGATCGCTTTCCTTCCTTCGTCGCAATGATATGTAAAGCCGTGGCACAACACACATGGGATTTAGTTCAAGTTCGGTTTTGCTCCAGTCTCGAGTTTTTACTAAATTGGGACAACGAACATGTCACAAGCAATGGCTTCACGTGACAGCTAACATCTTGGCTTCATCCAGCAATAGGGTGACAAGCTGCACCTTTGTTTTCATCGCTGCGCTCCTTAAGACATGTTCTTGAAGCGTCATAACAATGATGACTTTCCAGATTTGTCCATCGAGCTTCGCGATGAGATCAGCTGGGTGCCCGGGACTTTGCGCACCTTCGAGTATCTCCTCAACATAACAGCGCTTGCCTTTGACCCGACCAGCCGAATTCTAGCCGCAGGTTGGTCATTCGCAGAACCTCACATCCAGCTGTGGCTCTATAAACATGCATAGGCACATCCAGCGGCACCATCCATATTTTCGGCGGCGCGGGAGTTGAATCGAAACTCACCCTGCCAGAGCCGGTCTCCGTGAAGTTCCTGAGCTTCTCACAACTTACATTCACGATATTATGCATTGGTTGGCACATGTATATTCTGGTCAAATTCTACGACGACTGAAATAATCACAGACGGTAACAACTGCCTGCATGCCTGGGATCTCGCTGTCTATGGTCGCCCAAAGTTACTGACCAGTCAACGTTTCCACGATGCCGTTAGGTATGGGGGACCACCCCATATTCAACCTCCGACGCTCATATCTCAACAGCTGCCTTGCGCTGTCGCCATCACATAGTCATGTCAGTTTGTGCTCGCGGAATTTCTATTAATTCGGACGGGCTCATTCTTCTACTCACAGGCTTTCGTAACACTTGCATCTGGGGAAGTCCGTGCGTACGATGTCGAATGCTGCAGGGTGTCGCCATACAAGATACCGAACCTATGGGATCTATACGAGGAAAAACTGCGGCAAACAGGGATAGCCCATCAGGCCTCACCAGAATCGTGAGTTGCCATCTGCATGAGCGAAAACATCAACTCACATTGTACCGATGCATAGGCGGCTTCCCATCGATATCGCTGTACACCCGAGGGACCTCAATTTACTATTCATTGCGTATGAAGGTAGGTTCATGACCTCAATGGTATCGACTTATCCTAACGATGGCTGTCGTCTAGGTGGGATTATCCTATGTGATCTGGTAAGTGAGCGTCATAGACATGAGCATGACCTTACGGTCCCCGTGAAACGACAGAAAGAGCAAGCAACGATACGTACGTACGAGCTTGTTCTACGTCCGGGTGCTCCAGGAGGGGAGGGATATGGCAGCAAGGTCAGGGTCCAATTATGTTCCTTTACTGGGAAGGCTGACGCCTATCAGGATCTGCTACTGCATAGACGTGTTCCTGTAACTGCCATTGCCATCCATCCTGCCGGCCATTTCTTCGCCGTGGGTCACTTGGACGGCAGTATTGCTTTTTGGGCCGTCGAAGACGAGGATCAGCCATTAGCCGTAAGGACCTTGGACTCAAGCGACGTCAATATTGTCGATGCCGCTGTCCTGGAGCAGCATCTGGACTCTCCGCCACCCTCTGTACTTCGCGAGTCTATCTTCAAGCTCGCGTGGTGTGGGTTCAGTAACTCGACAGATCCTCGCGGTGGAGAAACGGCACTGGCTATCTTAGGCGGTACTCCCGTAGGCGACGCTCCCGGCCTCACTGTCGAATGGCTTCCTGCTTTCAATCCAGACGCTCCAGCTGCAGGACCAGGCGCCGTGGGTATACCACCTGCCCTGCGCGAGGCGATGCGCTCCAGCACTAATCCGGTCGATGCATACTTCTACGAAACGCGTGGGGTCGTACAAGATTTCTATCTGACACCGACGCGTACCCCCCACCTGTCCGGCGCCTTCGACCCTGATTCCATCGTTTTCATATTGGAAGGACCTGGGGGTTCTCGGGTGACTGAAGCGTATGAATATCCTCCTCAAGCCTTCCTCTCTCGTGGCAAGGAAGAGAAGGCCGACGCAGGAGCTGATCTCGATGTGGAAGAGGACCTTGCCAAGACGCTAGCGGATATGAAGGTCAGCGATGAGCCGGTTCGCCTGCTGTTGCCACCTGCTCTCGAATGCGGGAGCGCGGGCGTGAGCGGCGGACAACTTCTGCGGCTTGATACCCATGTGTATCAGCGACTAGTCGACTGGAAAGGATTACGAACGCCCACCCTCACCCTGAAAGGAGGTCGCGCTTGGTGTGACGAACTCGATGTCAGCGAGCTACGACTTGCAAAGGTGAGTAGTACATTTATCTACTTTCAGATACATTCTTTGTTGATGATCGTACAGTACGAGCCTCATCGCTTGCTTGTTACCTATAATCAGCGCGATGCGACTGTGCGCTTCTTCGACGTCAGTGCACAGTTACTCATTGCACAGCGACCGAATGCTCTGGAGTCAGATTATCCCGCCGCGCTGTCGCACCTCACGCTGAGCACCTCTCACGTCACCACTGACCCTGCACTTGCTGGCAGAGCGTCTGACGCTTTTTTGCGTGGGGAGGCAGCAGTGGCAAATGTCAACTTCGTTTCTGTTGGGGAGGATACAGAGGCGGCCATTACGATGTCAAGTGGCGAAGTTGTGCTCTTCCGAACGCGCCATGCACAACAAGCATCTCGCATTCTTCCTCCCCAAACAGATCAAGAACTCGTGACCGTACAGCCCAGAGTTTTGGAAGATAATCTGTTTGCGCCTTATTTGGTGATCGTGGGCAGAGCCCCTTCTACCGCATGCGCTTTGACCAGAGAAGGTGAAGCTTAACATGTTCTTTTGCAGCCGCAACTCACATCACCTTCAGGTTTTGCTGCCGTGGCTTACGCTGATGGCTCATTGGTCATTGCGAACATACGTCGCAACGCTGTTGTCCAGCGTATGCGTCCGGACAGTCGCAGACAAAGTGCTCTTGGACTGCATCGACGGGAAGACTCAAGCGCGGACGCAATCAGCGCCCTGCTCTGGGTGGTAAGCCCGCTCGCGGAGGGTGTGTATATCTAGATCCACGCTGACAATACACATTGAATGATCGACTCCCATAGAGCCCACCACAAGCCTGCGGCTCCTTGCTCTTCGGAGCTCGGGCACTGGTCGCATATACACCATAGATCGCGATGGTGGAGCTGGATCAGCAAAAGCAGCACCTCTCGCATTTGAGGGCGCATCTGAAGTACTCAACAACGGGATATTCGTTGTCGACAGCAAGACGGGAGGTACGTGGCGCGGCGGCGAGCGTCCAGGGTCGAAGCCTCTGCTCGTTAGCGTCGGCGCGCGAGGCGCACGATGCAACGTCGACATCACGGGCGAGCGCATCGGCAAGATCGACTGGAGTATTGGACCGGCAACTAGCGCTGCGGTGGTAGAAAAATTGGGTTCGCACGCACTTCTCGTGTTCAACGCTACCGGAGAGTCGGCAGCATATTCCCTGCCGCGTCTAGAGCTTATGCATACGCACCAACTGACCGCGCCTTCGACGATGTGAGTGATGCAGCCCCTTTGGTCTGATGATCGCTAACCAGGCAATATCACCCGTGGCCTGCAGCCCTCCTTCTCCTGATACTACCGGCGACTACGTGGCCTGGGCTCGGCACGCTACAGCAGGGGTAATGCGACATGCTTCATACGCCACTTTGTTTGCTGGAAGACGGCCCCACGCAGGCTTACCGGACGTCGAGTATGTAAGAGTAAGTTGCTCAAATTCCTGCTCGATCTGCCAGTTCACTCACAATGTATTCTAGGGACCACAGGTTCCGCAGCCTCAGCCTGTCAGCGCAGGTCCCGAGACATGGTCCGCCTGGCTAGGAGGCTTGACGGGGCGCGGGACGATGACAGGCGAGCAGATCGATGCAATGCGTAAGCGTTGAATACTTCTACTTCTACGTGTACTGACTGACATTGAATCCACAGTGGCTGGTCCAGATCGTCCTCCTCCTCGGCCGCGCGCACAACCGCCACGCAGTCCGGGTCTCGCAGGTGCCTTCGGTACCGGCGTGAGCGCGGCAGGCGTAGCCGACGCAGCAGAAGGAGCACGCGCTGGGCTGGCGGACAGGCTGGGCGCCGCCCTCAACGAGCGCGGACAAGCCTTGAGCGAGCTTGAACAACACTTCAACGCCCTCGAGGAGGGAAGTCGTAGTATGGTGGCCCAGGTCAGTCAAGAGAGGTTTGTGAGAGGACGACGCTGATATATGATTTACTAGGCGAAGCGCCTCGCCACTCAGCAAACAGCGAAGGGATGGTTCAATTTCTCATCGTCGTCGTAAAGGGCATAACACGCCGAGGGGAAGACGTTCACAAACTGGATCCGTCTGTAGCACTATTCAAGATCTCGCTATGTTACTTTGTACAATACATGACTCGTATGCAAGCTTCGATCAATCTATCTGTCCTCCCATAACACCGCTTGACTGAACAGAGGCTCACGAAATTTTCACCCCCGTCTCCTCGACGGACGTGTCCATCGTCCACTTCCCCGCGTCGAGCCCTTGTCGCAATTCCCGCTCCGCCTCCAGCAGCTTCGCAAAGCGCTGCCCCACACCTCCCTTCCACGTACTCGATGCCTTCCAGATACGCTCCGCACGCGGCACGCTCTGCTTGATGCTCGTGAGCAACGTGAGGGCTGTGCGCACTGGGACCGGGAATGGGCGCATCTGGTCGAAGGCGGTGGCGGTGTATACTGGGTGTCTGTGAGCTCTCAGGGTACGGGACCGGAAGAGAGAGTGGACATACGCGGGTGCAGCTCATCGTCGTCGGGCAGGGTCTCGGCCGCGTCGATGTAGGACGAGGCGGCTTTGGTGAGGTGGTCTGCGGCGTCTTGGGGCGATGTGTCTTGCAGATTGGCGAGAGCGGAGTGGTAGAAACCAAGTGCTCTGTAGCCCATGCCATCAACGACGCCTGCTCTAAGGAGTAAAAAAGACAACGCACGCTGTTGCCTCAGCTTTCGGATACACATTGAAGGCCAGGTGGAATGCTGGGTCGGGGACTGAGTTAGCGACTGGAGGAAGCTTCTCGACCTCTTTCATTGTCTCTTGCGCCGCATCGTATATCTCTTCAAGAACCTTCTGATCCTGGCTCTGCGAATACGCCTGTAGGTGTCCGCTTCAGTCTCGCGGCCGGCACATCGAAGATCAGAGCACGACGCTCACCGCTTTCAGCACGTCGAGCAGGTATCTCCTAACGCCCAGAATGAACGTGGGGTCGAAGACAGGTCCTTTGTCGCTAGCGGGGACGCTCTTGTATGTTTCGCTGCCCCAGACCAGGACCTGGACGGCATTCGAAAGCCACAAGCGCGCGTTGTCGTATTTGCCTCGCAAACCCGAGTCAAGGCATGCGTTGAGGATCCACCTCCTGTTGAAACCAGTGAGTATTTTCGTTCATTCGTGAGCACGAGCAACGCGCGGTGCGCACCTGACGGTGGTGGAGAACGCGAGCCGCGCACGCTGCCAGCCCACCTGAGAGAGGCGCGCAGGGAACTCGCGCATGAGCTCATCAGGGCCCGCATTCGGCCACGCCTCCGACATCTGTACCTCCCATTGTACTGTCATTCATCGTCAGCACGAACAGATAGATTGTGTGAACTTCACCGACACTGCATCTGACTCCGCTGCAGCCATTCCTGATCCAATGCGACGACACGCGGATCGGTGGTAATCGCGTTCGTGAGCAGCTCTAGGATCTGTGCATATTTCGTCAGACGGGCACATTAGATCGACGATGCAAGCGTACCCCGCCTTTCGTGCCGAGGAGCATCTGCCCGGACTTCGGATCGCGAGTCTGCGTCTGCTGCTTCAGCTCATCGGAGCCCATCTTGAATTGCTAACAACAGATGGTCCTGTCAGTTCGGGGCAACTGCTCACCCATTCCCCATACGCACCACATGCGCTAGGTTGACCAGCCAGGCCTGCCCAATCGTCAGCTTCCCGCACCGCCAGTACCATTCCCCATTCGAACTCACACTCGACCTCCACGTCCCGCTCCCCGCGCGCTGCATCTCTCCCAAGATCTTCTCCGCGACGACCCACGGCATCTCATCGCGCTCGTTCGTGATGTCGCGCGCCCCGTTGGCCGTAACATCCACCGGTTTCGCCAGCGCTGCTTCTGCCGCGTGCAGCCCTTTGCTCCATTCTACTTTCTGTTTCTCCTGCGTGGGCGTGAGGTTGGTGGTCGGCAGGCACTCGAGGGCGCGCCGCCAGGCGGGGACGCTGGCGAGGGGGTGGTGGAGGAGCTGGGGGTGGGGTCAGTCGGTGTGGAATTGATTATGTTAGTGGGTGAAGGGATTGTGGAGAAGAAGTGTTGGGTTAGTTTGGGGTACGAGGAGGATAGGACGAGCGAATGAAGGATGCGACTGAGATGGAGGAAATGGATGGCATGTGTGACCAAATGAAATGGAACTGTACTCACATCTTCCGCGGTGGCAAGCCGCGACCATGCCTTGCCGTAGTTGGGGTCGAGGTCGATTGCCTGTACGAGCGTTAGTGGCGCGCTCTTACTGTCTACTTTTAGTCAGAGAAATTAGGCAGACCTTTTGCGCGTCCGCGACCGCGTCCATGTACCTAAACCGCAAAAGTCAGCTCGAGTCCTTTCCACCCGACCTCCAGAATAGTCTCTTGAACCACCTTCCGAAGTCGTCTCAAAACCCCCACCCAAAACCCCCACAGAAAGTACCCCAATCAGAAAAAACCACTCACTCCTTCAACTGCAACCGACACGCCGCCCGATTCGCCCACAGCACCGCATTCCCCTCGTCCACCTCGAGCGCCTCGGTGTACTTGAGCGCCGCGAGCGCGTAGTCCTTGCGCAGGAAGAACGTGTTGCCCTCGGCCTTTAGGTACTCGGCGCGGGAGGGGGTGGATTGGTCGCCTGAAGGGGTGGATTGCTCGCCGGAGCCTGAGGGTGCGGATCCAGAGGGCACAGCTTGCTTCGCGTCGGATGCCATGAGTGCAGGTTGAGAGTCCTTGTATGACCGGTGAGTCCTTGGATGACCGGCGGGCCGCCGACATGAAATTGGGGCCTCGTCATCGTTGGCCACGGTGAGCGCGCCGCCGCCAAGCAATCCCGCGCTTGGACTTCGCGTACCAGTTACGAACTTCGTACGTTGCTCAGATTCTCATTCGCCCCCAGGATGTCCAAATATTCGCATACGACATAAGTGAATAATATACACTACAAGGGAAGCCCGTGCGGGGTATCGACAACGTCCTGAGCCTCCCTTGCCCCCGTCTCCTTCGGGTGCCTCATCAACCATGACGGGCAGATTCCATCCTCCATGACGAGCAGATCCCATCCACCATGACAAGTAGATCCCATCCACCTCTGCTTTGCTCATCAACCTCAAGCACACCTCACCGACCGGTCATAGCTCACCAACTCCACACATAGCTAACCAGCCCGATGAAGCACAACCCAATCACGACCCCGAGGATGATGGCGTCGCGTCGTCGGCGGGACTTGATCATGCCAATGACCTGGTTGATGCCCGGCATTTGGGCTGGGGGAAATAGTCAGCACAAGGTTTGGGGAAGGAGGATAGCAGGTACGGGAATTAGGATTGAAGGAAAGGATGGATGGATGAGGAGGAAATGCAGGATGAAGACGAGTACTCACATATGACGCCTTGCATACGCGAGCTGATGCCCACCAGTGATGCGCGCTGGCGAGAGAAGTCGGCACGGGTTTCGTAGGCTTGACTGTCGGATGTGAGGGCGTAAGGGTGCAGCAGTATGACCGGGGTTGGGAAACCAACGTAGGGGAAGATAGATCGTTAGTGACGTGCTTTGCAGAACAAGTCGAAGTACACGCACGCAATCAAGTCGTCCGTCATTCGATGCGAGCTATCAATGCGCCCTCGCTCCTCCAACAAAGAGTCTGCCGCGGAGGATTTGTATGCTCTGCACATCCCGTTAGCTTCCTCAACGTCCCCAAACCCCAATTCACGCTCACTGTATATCATTCCTCACCCCAGATAGCAAGTTCGCCTGATCTCGCGCAGCCTGTACATTGGCGCGAGTCCGTCGGAGGTCACGGGCGTAGTCGCGGCAGAGTTCCTGGTGGCGCTGGACGGCGCGCTGCATAGAGGGAGAGAGGGCGTCGGGGGTGGCGGCGAGGGTGGCGAGTTGGGCATTGTTATCTTCAAGCTGAGACGAGTAGAGTCAGCGAAGGATGGATTTGAGGGTGGTGAGGGTGGACAGTATGCGAGTGGGTAGACGGAAGTACAATGGGGTAATATGGAAGTATGTAGGTACCATGGGGGCTCACCTTCTCCAGGAGTTCTTCCAGCTCCATTTCAAGATCTGCACAGCGCGACGGCGCACCGTCCGCCTCTACATCGTGCCCCGGGCGCCCGATAGCAGACGCGAGTTGCGCGTAGGACGTGAGCTTCGCATCGAAGAGGTTCTCCAGCGTTCGGCACTGGCGATGGAGGGCGTCGTAAGAGGACATCGTGGGCAGAGCAGCGTGACTAGTAGGCTCCGGTGGTGGGTATAGCTATGGCTGTGGTCGCTGTCGTGGTCGTAAGCGCCAGGCACTGTTGTCGCACGCGTCGCCCCGCGCAGCCAGCGGCACATCGGGCCGACCTCCCGAGCCCGCTAGCGCTTGTCTTCGATCCTCGCGCTCGATCCCAGCACCCGCCGCGATTGTCTAGCAGCCTCGATGACGATGACCCGCCGTCAGTTGGTCTCTCTCAGCCCCATACTCTATAAAGGCTTGACAGGCTCAGCCAGCCGCCCATGTTGCTCACCCGCACCCTTTGCTTCTCCCTCCTCGCCGCGTCTGCCAGCGTCGGTGCCCCGCGCGCGCAAGCCCTCCAGATCCAGTCGCCGTTCAAGTATATACACACCACGACCGCCAACAGCATGTCTAAGGCGCTGAACTCCGCCGGCCTCGCTCCCGAGGACTCGCGCAAGCTGCCCGAGCGCGCGCCGCAGCCGCATGAGGAGAAGATTCTGCAGGCGATTAAGGAGATGTACTCGTGCAATCCGAAGGAGGTGAGTGGGATGGATGGGTGGGTGTATGCGTCTTGCTGAGCTAACCCCTGCAGACGACCTTTGATATCTATGCATCCGAAGCTATCTTCCACGACCCTGTTGGCATTGCGGAGGGTGTGCAGAGCATTCGTGCCCAGTTTGTTGGACTTGCGAAGGTATGCTGCCCGGTCGTATTCTCGTAGCAAGCCCACTCATCTTTTTGCGCAGATCTTCGCCCGCGCGGACATCCCCAAGTTCCGTGTGCTCGAGAACCCGGAGTCGGTGCCCAAGAGCACCATCCTCATCGATCAGGATGTGGCGTACTATCGTGATGACAAGGCTGACAGCCCGACCAAGGTAAGTGTACTACAGCGCCCTTTAGGTGCGCGCGCCACATCCCCGGCTGGGTGTCGGGCATCGTCGTCACCGCATCCATGCTCACAACAGACCTTCAGACCATGAATTCGCTTCTTACCATCGAGACTGACAACTCCCACCGCGTCACCCGTCACTACGAGAACTGGAACCACGAGGGCACGTCTACGAGCGAGGATGGTTTCCTTGGTGGGTACTATATCCACTACCTTGCTCATCTCAGCTGCGCCCTCTTACGTTCCTACTTACATATTCCCCCCTCCTTCTCGTTCTCATATGTTGACACAACCTCAGGCATGCTCAACGAGCAGCGCAAGCGCATCACCGCGTCGCTCACCGACGCTGTTGTCGGCAAGAAGTGAGCTTGTATGCACGCTGTTAGAAGAGAGGAAGACCAACGACCCGCAGGCGGTCGAGTAAATTGTAGATGAAGCAGTGTATGATAGTGTACAAGTTAATGAGGAATCCTTTCAATCCGAACTTCTCTATGTATCCAATCTTTTGATGAGTCTCGAGTATCCTTTCCGTCCTTTGATTCTCTCTGTTCTTCTGTTCTACTTGCTTCAAGTCCTCCTCCCCCTTCGCCCTTTCGCCCTAATCCTCCGCCCCCCTCGCCCTCTCCTCCTCCTCCCACTCATCATACCGCGCATGCCGCGCCATCCGCCGCTGCTTCCTCGACACCGGCGGCGGCACGCCGTGGTTGCCCTTCTTGAACCGTACCCAGTTCTCGTGCAGCCGGCGGACGACGTGGATGTTGGGCGCGGCGTAGCCGGGGGTGGACGCGGAGGGTACGTGCGGGACGGTGGCGAGGCCGGTGAGGGGGGTGGTGCCGTGGGTGTGGGGGTTGGAGGTGGAAGAGGACGAGGAGAGGGAGGGCGCGTGGAGGGCACCTGTGGAGGCTGTGTCAGTCACCAACGTCGATGTTAAATGATCCTTGAGAGACGACGCATCCCATCCAAAAAGAAAAACACTCACCACTCCCAACATTCACCATCGCACCCCCGGGCCCGCGCACCGCCCGTGGCACCTCGTGCGTGTCCTGCGGGACGCGGCCCTGCCGGTGCGGGTCCGCGATGCGGTGCGCGCCGGCGGCGTAGGGGTTCCCCGGGGGTCGGGTCTTTTTGGTCTTCTTGGGGAGGGGGCTGGCAGTGGGGAAGGGGCCGGCAGTGGAGAGAGAGGAGGCCGGGGTGCTGGTGCCGTGGCTCACTGAGGTGGACCCCGAGGCGGCGGCAGCGGTGGTGGAGGTGGAGGCGGAGGACGAAGTGGGGGCGGAGGCGGCAGCAGCGGCAGACGGGGCATCGGCCTCCGGCGTCGGAGAGCTGCGCGAGCGCTTGGGCGGGGACGGGCGGGACGCGCTGGGCTCGTCGTCCTCTGCGCTGCGCTTCCTGCCGCGGGAGACGCTCGGGCCGTCCGACGCAGAACCGGAGGACGATGCGTGGTCGTCATCCGAAGCAGAAGCCCCCTCCGAAGCAGATGCGCCCTCCTCCCCGCTAGATGGCTCGGCCTCTGTTCCCGGCGGCGGCGTCGGGCTCCCCGACGCCGAGGAACTGCCCCGCGAGCCCTCCGACGCCGAGGGGCTGCCCCGCGAGCGCTTTGACGGCGCCGGGCTCGACGCAGCTGGTGAATCATCCCCTCCCTCCGCCGCCTCCTCGGCGGAGCGCTTCCGGCCGCGGGAGGTGGAGCGGTCGTGGGTGGTGGTGGTGGCGTCCTTCTCCCCGGTCGTTCCCTCCGTAGAGTCGGTGTTCTTCTCCTCCTTGCCCTCCTTTGTCTCCTTCTCTTCCTTCGCGTCCTTGCCTTTCTGCACCTTCGCGTCCTTGAGAGAAGCTTTCTGGACGTTCCGCGCCCCCCGCCCACTCACGCCCTCCACGTCCCACCCCTTCACCCTTGCGATGATGTTCAGCATCTCCCACGTGCGCTGGCCCGACTCGTCCGCGCTGTGCCAGTCGCTCTCGGCCAGAAGCCGCGACGGGTGCGCGGAGAGGATGAGGGTGGAGAGGGATTTGGGGATGGGGGGTGGTGCGTTAGGATCGGCGGGTGCACTACCGTGCGGTTGACGCATGTTAATGCCGGTAGACAAGGAGAGGAAGGCGTTCGGGTGGGCGGCCTAGGATAGGTAGTCAGCGCTCGGATCGTAGTATGATGATAGAATGAATCAACGAGAAAGGGAGGAGACTGAAGACAAAGAATCATCACACCCACCTCCACACTCCTCCACACCTCCGCACTCAGCCCACAGCTATGCAAATCCACGCTGATCGCCCTCCATCGATCGCCGTACCTTTCCTTCATCCGCGCCATGAAATCTACCGTATGTTTCGGCGCCTTCACAGAATGCAGAGAAATACCCATGACCGCGGGCAGGGGCGGGGTGCCGTTCAGGACGGTGCGCCGCCGGAAGGGGTCGTCCTCGTCGCCGAGGAGGAGGGCGGGGGGGATCAGGCGCCGGAGGGCGCGCGGGAGGGTGAAGGGGAGGGCGGCGGTGGAGGGGGTGGGGGAGGTGGAGGTGGAGCCGTCCTTCTCGCCGCTAGTAGCAGCCTCCTTACCCTTCGAGTTGCCCTCTTCCCCGCCCTGCATATCCACGTCGTCGGTAGTACCCTTCTTGCTGGTCTCAGCTTGTTCATCCTCCCCCTCCCCCTCCTCCTGCTCCTCCCCCTCCTCCCCATCCTCGCTCGCCTCCCCCTCCGCCTCCCCCTCCTTCATCTCCTCCTCCCCCACCTCCCCCCTCTTACACATCCCCATCCAGATCGTCCTCACAATATCCCTCCTCGCGTGCACGCTCTCGCCCATGGCGCGCAGCGTTATGGCGAGGGCGACCTGCGCTTCGAGGATGGCGAGCTGGTGGGCGATGGGGACGGTGAAGGGGGAGAGGGTGGGGGTGGTGGGAGAAATAGAGGCAGTGGGGTTGGTGGGGTTGGCATTGGCGTCTGCTTTCGTAGCACCATCACCTTCGGAGTCGGACTTGGTTGTGGCATCGGTCTTGTTTGTGGCATCAGGCTTGTCGGTGGAAGGGTCGGCGGAGGAGGTAGTCAAATCGTTCGTGGCATCACGCTCCCCCTCCCCCTCCCCCGCATACTTCCCCGCCATCGGCACCCTAAACGCCCGGTCCAAGCCCACCTCCCCCAGTATCGCACCCGGAAACGCCTTGATATTCCTCCTCAGCTCATCCAGCACGTCCGTGAGGCAGACGGGGTCGGGCAAGCGCGCGAGCAGGTCCTGGAAGATGGCCTCCTGGTGCGGCTTGGGGTTGAAGAGGGCGCGGTAGTGGGTGGATTTGTCGGGTGGGGGGTAGGTGGGGGGAGCGGGGTTGGGGGAGGTGGTGGGGAGGAAGGTGGGGTCGGGAGCGGGGTCGGGAGCGGGGTCGGTGGAGGGGTCAAGGTTGGAGGTGTTCGCGTTTGTGGCATCAGGGTCAGCGCTTGTGGCATCCGGACCGCCAGCGTCAGACGCCTCAGCGCCCATGAGCACCTTCTTCCCCGCGAGCTTGACCCACTTCGGCGGCTTCTCCTCCTTCTTCGGCGTCGGGTCCTGGACCAGGCCCGCGCGCTCGCCAAGGTGCGCAGGGTCGACGCCCTCTGGCACGTAGATGAGATGGGTGAACCAGGGGTGGTAGCCGAAGCCGGGGACGACGCGCTTGGGGTGGGCGCGGGCGAGGGCGGCGACGCGGGCCTGGTCGTTGCGGCGCGTGGCCATGGCGCAGATGGTGTGGCCGGGGTCGTCGAGGAGGGCGTGGGGGATTAGGGAGTCGGTGGGGTGGGCGTGGACGTCGACGATGTGGGTCGCGATCTCTACGTCGGTGGGGAATGGGGGCATGGGCGCGAGCGACATGGTGTGGATGTGCTTGGGTAGGATGTTGTGGTGGTGGTGGTGGTGGTGGTGAGAGCAGAGTCGGCTTATAAGGACAAGGAGGCGTGGGGATTTATGGCGCGGCAGTGTTGTGTGCATGGACCTTTGTGACCCGCATGGTGTATGACGGCACCGCATTGGGACGAACAATAGGCGCCGGGAGCACGGGCCGACTGACATCGATCACGGCTGGATCGGGAAGCAGGGCGTCTATTTGCGGCCATGCTCCGTCAAGCTAGACGCCTTCGCCTCACTCGCCTCTCCCGTGTGTACGTCCCGCGCAGGTTGCTGACTATGGCTGCACCAGCTACGTCTTCCTCGTCGGCTGCAGTGCCACCACCGTTCAAGGCGGCCACGACTGCTGCACCCGGTCCGGTGCCCACTACCTCCCACTCGAACGCCACCCGGCTGCCTGCTATCGATGCGTCTCCACCGCGGTACACGGGCCCGCGCGACAAGCTTGACCGCTCCCTCTTCAAGCGCACAATACCACTACTAGCCGCGCGCGTGCCCGCTTCACGCACCGGCGCCGTCCTGCGCGCGCCCGAACTCCGCGGCGTGGTCGCAGACATCCCTCGCAAACGTTCAGTCGTGCACGCGCCGAGGAAGGATGCAGACGCGTCGGCGACTGACGAGGGCGGTGACCGGCTCGTACTCCTGCGTGGCAACAGCGAATACGACCTTCCTGATATCGCACGCGACCTGCTCAAGCGCGAGAATGCGACGCTCGAGACGTACAACCTCGAGCTTGGGTATGAGTACTGGAATGCTCGTGCGTGCCGTCTGCCTTCGCTATGCGCACTCGACTAATACGTGTCCAGCCGAAATCCTCTACGCCATTTTCCCTCCCGACGCCGGCTTCGACGAAGTGCCTAGCTCATTCGCCATCACCGGACACATCGCCCACCTCAACCTCATCGACGAGTACCTACCATACAAGTACCTCATTGGCGAGGTCATACTTGACGTGCGTCCCTCCACCCCTCTATCTTGCCCTTTTCTCAACCCCCTCACCCCTCGCCCCCTTCATCACAACATCCCTCACCACCTCCACCCTCTCCCCTCCAATCACCTCCGCCCCTCCCTTTTCCCCCTTCACCACCCCTGACCAATTCCCCCCAGAAAAACCGCTCCATCCGCACCGTCGTCAACAAGCTCTCCACCATCAACGCCCAGTTCCGCTTCTTCGACATGGAGCTCCTCGCCGGCGCCCCCGACTTCGAGGTCGCGCACCACGAGGCGGGGTGTGTGTTTCGATTCGACTTTAGGAAGGTGTATTGGAATTCGCGGTTGCATACGGGTGAGTGGGTATGAATGTCTGACGAGAGGGGATTGTATTTTGGTCAAGCGACTATGACTCGCCGCCTAACCCTCCCCCCATCGCTCCACCTCCACCCCTTTCTCCCTCCACCACTCCCTCCCCCCTTTCCCCTCTCCTCTCCTCCTCCCCCCTCCCCCTCCCTATCCCTTCCGTCCAACTCCCCCTACCCCAACAACTAACCCCCTCCCCCCATTGTACGCAAAACTTACGCCTACAACAGAACACGAACGCCTCGTATCCCTCTTCCACCCCACATCCCTCATTGCCGACGTCTTCGCCGGCGTCGGCCCCTTCGCGATCCCGGCCGCCAGGAAGGGCTGCGCGGTGCTCGCGAATGATCTGAATCCGGATTCATATAGTTGGTTGGGGGGGAATGTGGGGGCGAATGGGGTGAGTTTTTTGGGTGGTGGGTTTTGTGGTAGGGGGGGGAGGGGTGCTTCGCATCTCTGATAAAAGCCGCGCATGGATTTTGGTTCGTGGGGAGCACGCGCGGGCGTTGCGCTTGTACAAGCCGCGCGCGGGCACGTTACGCGCGCCGCTTTCGTTCTACGTCTGTTCTGACCCCCTCTCCCTCCCCCTTCCTGCCCTATCCCCTTCCTCCCCTCCCCCATTCCCCCTCACTCACTCACTCTCCCTCCCTCCCTCCCTTCCCCCTTAACCCCTCTTTCACCACTCACACCCCTTTCACTTCCCCCACACCAAACCCCCCTAATAAACATAAACTAAAGAAAACACAAACTAATCCCCCACCCCCAGGTCACCCCCCTCGTCCGCCCCTCCTGCGAGGATGGGCGGGAGTTTATCAGGAATGCGGTGCGCCGCGCGCGGGAGGAGCCGTTTCCGGGGTACGCGCCGCCGGTGTCGAGGACGAGGGCGAAGGCGGAGCGGAGGCGGAGGGGGGAGGGTAGCGCGACACCGCTTGGTCAAGATAAGGAGGAAGGGAAGGGGAGGGCGAATGTGGCGGAGGCGGCGGTGGCGGAGAACGCACCGCTGTCGACGGATTGTGCACCAGCAACGACAGCACCAGCGAGGACGGTAGAGGAGACAGCGCCAGCACCTCCCCCCCGCTCCCACATCGACCACTTCGTGATGAACCTGCCGGAGAGCGCGATCGAGTTCCTCGACGCCTTCCGTGGATTATACGCCGACGATTCACGGTATGCGCTGCGTGAAGACGGGACAGGGGACTCGTCCCAGACGGACAAGCCCGACGCCGATTCGGCAGGAAGAAAGACAGAGGCACTGCCCATGCCCATGATCCACGTCCACTGCTTCACGCGCGAGCCAGAGGAGGGCGCGAGGGAGGATATTATGGAGGTACGTCGCCCTCTCATTCACCCCTCATCCCTCGACCTCTTCTCCCCCTTCCCCCTCTCGTCCACCCCTTCCGCCCTTTCGCTCTTCCCCTTCCTTCCTTCCCACCCCCCTCCCTCCCTCCCCCACCTCCCCAATAAAAACCAACCCCCCCTCCCCCCTCTCCCCCCACCACTACCCTTCCCCCTCCTCCCCATTTTTCTTCAACCCCCACACCTCCCCACCACTACCCTTCTCCCCCACCTTCCCCCACCCCAACTAATACCCCCCTAATATTCCAAACCAACTAACCCACCTCGCCCCAACAGCGCGCCACCGCCCGCCTCGGCGCGCGCCCGCCCGCGGACGCGGCGCTGCACCTCGTGCGCTCGGTCGCGCCGAACAAGGATATGTACTGTTTGAGCTTTAGGCTGCCGCGGGAGGTGGGGTGTGCGAAGTGAGGGTGTAAGGGGAGGGGCGGGAGGGGAAAGGGGGAGGGGGTGGAAAGGGGGGAGGGGGAGGGGAGGGGAGAGGGGCGCACATCGGTACTCATTTTCTTGGTTGCAACCATGATTTCACGACTCTTCCTGCTGCGTCACACAATGGGCGACATGGAGAAGAGCTTGCCAGGAGAACTTTCACGTCTCCTACGACGGCGGCCTCACCCACTACACAATGCACTCGAGCGGGGCTCGATTTGTTGACCGCGAGAGTGACGGTGTTCCGGCCCGGGTTTGGGGACTGACGCCAGCGACGCTCTTCTTCACCGTGACCTTCATGTCGTCCTTCTCCCTCCCCTCAGTCTCGCTTTCGTCCCAGCAGGCTCACCGCCTACCCATCCTATCCCTCAGAATGCAATGCATTGCTTGCACAACGGTCCAGAGCCCCGTGACGGTGCCGATGCCGCTTATCGCGACGGCGAGGAGGGAGGGTCGGGATAAGATACCAGGACCCAAGACCTGCTTCGGGATGAAAGATACCGTGGTGTGGCGCACATATAACTACCCCATTGCGCGACCTCGCGATCGGTGAACTGGTCGACTACACCACCCTTCACCACTCTCCCCCACCCCACCCCACCATTCACGCCTTCTCCTCCCCCCCCCCCCCCCCCCCTCACCCACCACCCTCACCCACCACCCTCACCCCCCACCCACCTCCCCCTCCCCTCACCACCCCCATGCCCCGCCCCATCCCCAAGATCTCCCTGCGCGACTTCGCCGCCCGGCGCGCCGAGATCGGCGCGCAAATCCTCGACGCGGCCGAAAACGTCGGCTTCTTCATCCTCGTCGAGCAGGAGAGCCCGAGTAGGGGGGATATTGAGGAGATGTTTGAGTTGTCGTGAGTGTTGGGGTTGTTTGTGATGGCTGGCGGTGGACCGTGGTCGGCAGTTGAGAGCCGCTGACAGTCGAGAGAGTCGTTGGCAGTCGAGAGAGTCGTTGGCAGAGAAAAGTCAACAACTAACACATCGAGCAGAACCAAATTCTTCGCTCTACCGGACGAGATCAAAGGTCAATGGCCCTTCATCCGGGAGAATAACACCGGCTGGGAGCGCGACGCGCAGGTCCGGCCATCGACGGGTGTGGCAGGTAAGCTTCATTGAACCTCATCTACCTATTTGAAGTCCCACACTCCTACACTCACACTCACACCTCCCTCACCCCCTTTCCACCTACCCTCACCCCTCTTACCCCCTACCCTCACCCCCCTCCCTCACCTCTTACCCCCATAACCCCTCCTAACCCCCTCCCCAGACCCCAAAGAATCCCTCCAGCTCCAATGGTTCCGCCGGACCACCTACTGGCCGCACGCCCTGCCCACCCTCCCCGACTTCGAGGCGCGCGTCGCGCGGTTCCACGCCCAGGTGCACGAGCTGAGCATGCAGATCCTGGGCTTCTTCGCCGGCGCGCTGGGCTGGCCGGAGGGGTACTTCCGGGAGGCGCACGATTTGGATTACGGGGACGCGCTGTCGACGTTGAGGTTGTTGAGGTATCATGCGCAGGGGGAGGCGAAGGACGGTGCGGGTGCATCCTCGAAGGACGGCGTAGGTGCATCCAAGACAACACCGACGACGGGCCCACCGCCGATGCGCGCGGGGGCGCATGCCGACTTCGACGTCCTCACGCTGCTGTTCCAGCAGACCGGCGGCGACGGCCTCGAGGTCCTCCCCGGGCGCGAGGCGCACGGCACGTTCGACACGCTGCACAGTGCGATGGGCGGGGGTGGGAGTGGGAGTGAAGGTACGTGCGGGAGTGGGAGTACGTGCGGGTGCTGAGGCACTTGTTTGCTCGTCCTGAGGCACTTGTGTGCTCGTCCTGAGGCACCTGGCTGCTCGTCCTGAAGCACTTCGTTGCACGTCCCTCAGCGTTGTTGTTTCTGACGCGCAAAATTGCAGGCAAGGACGCCGAATGGACGCCCGTCCCCGCGCAAACGGGCGAGATCACAGTCAACATCGGCGACATGCTCATGTCGTGGAGCGACGACCGGTTCAAGAGCCTCATTCATCGCGTGCGCATGCCGACGCCTGAGGAGAGTGGCAAGGCGAGGAATAGCATGGCGTGAGTGGGCGTTGTCTGGCATCTCCTCTCCCCCTCCACCGCCACCCTTCCTCTGCGTACACAACCCGACGATTCCCTTTCTTCTCGTCCTGCTCATCTTTTTCCATCATGCTCCTCTTCTCTCTCTTCACACTCACCGTCGTCTTCACAGATACTTCACCCAGCCCCGCCCGCAGGTCATCATCCAGGGCCCGACGCGCAAGTACGCGCCCATGACCGCGCAGGAGTACATCCTCAGCGCGATGCGCAAGTACTACAAGGCTACGCAGGGGCAGAATGCGGAGGACAAGGTGCAGACTGAGGACTCGGAGAAGACATCGGAGGAAACCCAGACGACAGAGAAGGCCGCACCTTTGGTCGCGGCGGCGGCCTGAATACTGTAGACAATTAGAGGGAGTCGGTAGCTTGCAAGTTTATGGTAAAGTTCCAAATTAATGGTAAAGTTGCAGAAGCCGTCGTATAGCACGCTGTGTCATAGCCGAATGATTTTATTGAGGATCTGGCTACCACATTTAGGGGCGTACGTCTCTAAATGAATCACTCTTGAGGCTACCGGATGCGTAGACGCCAACTGGATGCGTAGACGCTCTGCTCCCTTGCGTAGGCGCCCTCGTCCCTTGAGTTACGCGGTGTCCTACAGCGTCAGCACTCTTATCTTCGGACCTTGCCAACACCCGGTAAGCGACCCGCTTGTACTCAGGTATCCAACAGCACCCATCAGCCGACCATAGCTTCGCATAGAGAGGGTCACGCAGCTTCGCAAGGCGAGGGTTACGCACCATCTCAACGAGCGCGCGTCAGTCGCGAAATAGCCGCGGCGGCGTGGCCACAAATTGTTGCAGACCTCGGCGTCGCACCCGGGGTCGTAGAAGCACGTTCAGAATTCGTGGTGGAAGCAAGCGCATTCGTCGTCGACGCAGGATCATTCGTGGTGGCGTACGCGCCCATAAGACCCGGGGCCGGGTTATGTAGGTGGTTCCCGGGTAGCGGATAATCGCACACGTCGCCGGCTGTGATCCTCCGAGGTGTTGAAGAGGCTGCGAGCGAGGGAGGTGCCACCATCATAGTGCTGCTTTCGGGCGAGTGTATTTGTGTCTTGTGGTTTGTGAGGCTGTACTTGGTGATGACTGAAGCACAGCAGAGATGAGATCCCTGCTCTCAGACGGATGGGACGCGCATCCCGCCACCGCGTTTCCTCCGATATCCGAATTTCTGACCCACGCAGAGGACCCGGGAATCTTCCTCGTCTCGGTGGGGGCCAACATTCAGCTCCTCGGCAAGCGCCGTCGATAAGGAGGGGCGACACAAGGCAAGGCGCTGAGAGGGCGGCTGTCCAGTGTGGCGTCAACCACGGCAGAATGGCATGGAAGGGCCGCGGTGGGGCAGCGAAGGGCAGGAGTATGGCATCGAAGAGGGCGCGGGGGCAGAGAAGAGCAGCGCGGCTGCACCGAAGACCTCATGGCGCGTCCGTCGAAGGCCAGCGTGGCATGTCAGGCCGGAGGTCGGCGTGGGCAGAGTGGCGTGCCACTATCATGTCGAACCGCTTGTCGGAAAGCACCGAACGACGCGATAGTTGCGCGAGAGGGTGAATAGGACCCGTGACGCGCGCGTCAATGGTCTACCATAAAAAGACAGAAGCGTTGAAACCCGACGGAGCGCGACTTGTTGTTTATGCCTCGGTTCATAGAGCGTCGACGCGCCCTCGCTCGAAGCAGCTGCACCGGACGCCTTGTTGCGACCAAACTCCGGGCACGAGTACAAGGAGGCCCCCGGGCCCGAGGTCGAGACGCGATGCCGTTGCACAAAACGCCTCGATGCGTAAGCTGCCCGGATGGCGCGGGTCGACCCCGGGTACGCAGCGGGATTTTCCTGTTCGCGCTGCAGGGGATCTGTATCGATCTACGAATTATACTCGGTGGCGATTCAGTGTGTGTGCTTCAGCAGGGAGGCCTTGATATAGACAGAGAACGTGATGGATGAGGCAGCCAATTCGTGATTTCTTTGTTGGGAGCAGCGGCATCTTGGGCGCTTGTTGCATTCAAAGGGCGTAAGTTTGAGTTTGACGTGCATGGCCGCTAAGTGGGTTGGCGTGGGCGGGAGCGGCCTATTGGGACTGTACGGGGGAAACATGTTCGGTTGAAGCGATGAAGAGAGAGATCATGCAGCTGACTGGCGTGGGGCGAGGGTGATGCGCGAGAAGGAGGCCGGGGGTAGCGCCAAAGTTGGTCTTGGAGTGGGCGAGAAGTTGACAAAGTTGGCGAGCATGAGGCGCGGACCCGCGGCGGGAGGTAGGGCGCACGAGGCGGAGATACGTCAGAGACGGGTAGGCCGACCTGCATGCAGACCGGCGTGCGCCTGCGATGTGCACCGTGAAGCGAACAGGACAGACGCGCGGGCTGAGACGCCGGGAGACGTGATGGGTGCCTAGTAGCCGTGTCACCGGCAGACAGAGTAGGACGCCGGGGATAGGGCGCGGCCAGATGGGGAGCGCAGGAGTACGGGGCTACCTCGAGTACTACACATCAGCAGGCGGCTGGAAGGATATGTAAGGGGGGCGTACGCGGTGCTGTGCTAGGCTGGGTGCAATAAATCATCGCAGCGGGCAGCATGTCATGGAGACGGACGGCAGGGATGCGATCGCCACCCGAGCTGGCGATGGGCGGACGAGGAGCGGGGAGCGGGGACAAGAGGGGAGGCCGGCAAACACCGCGGTGATCGGGATGGCGGGATTTGTAGGTTATTCAGGGTCGGGGATGGGACCTGAGTCTATCCCCGGAATAGCCTGCGCAATGCCATGTCGCACTCGCGTTATAATACCAGCCACGCCGGAACGGGCCCTATTCATCTCTCCCTCCCCCACCATCGGGAGCGCCACCGCAACTCATGGCGCTCTACATGCCCCTCGAGCTCTACGACGCGATCGTCGCCGAGCTCGCCGATGACATCCCTGCATTGCGCGCCTGCGCCCTCGTCTGTCGCGGCATGCTTCCCCTAGCGCGCAAGCACCTCTTTGCAGACGTTCGACTCGGTAAAGACGCCGCCGCTGCGTGCCGCCGTCTCGCCAGCCTCCTCTGGCCGTGCCCCCGCGTCAACGCATACGTGCGCTCAATACACATTGACGACGTCCCCGAGGGGGATGCAATCATCGGTCGGCGCTGGGTCGTCGACGAGCCCGCCCTCGCATATGTCCTTCATTGCGTCCCCGCCGCACGCGCATTCGTCCTCACATCCCGCTCCCTTCCATTCCCCGCCCATCTCGTCACACCCCTTGCCTCCCTATTCTCCTCCACCTCCCTGACTGTCATCCACTTGGCAGGCGTACGAGATATCCCTGTGGAGCTGTTCGATCGCTGCGAGGCCCTCCGCGATCTGCGACTGTCTGGCATGGGCAGTATAGCGTTTGATCGCACCTCTGGCCTCTCCCCGCGACCCCGAGGACGCCCAGCACGCCTCGAGAGCTTGGCGCTATGCGTTGGCACCTGTTCATGGACCACATATTCCTGCTTCGACGTCCTCGTCTCATGGCTTACGCATCCGCAAGCCCCCTTCGACCTGTCTACTGTCAAGCGCTTCTCCCTTCAGATGTGGGGCACAGTGGATTTCGTGCTTGCGCAGCGGCTGCTTGACGCCGTTTCGCCTTCGCTGGAATACCTTGCTCTTGACACCAGCGATCTCCGTACGTCCTGATGGCTCCTACCCGGGCCCTTGACTGACAAATAGCCTCAGGTTCGTTCGGCTACACCCAGAATATTCTTAATCTCTCCCGCTTGCCCCATCTTCGCCATCTCGTTCTCTCCCTTCCCATCACAGAAGAGGAAGAGCCCGATGATGGCAAGTTCCACCCGCTGGGCCCCCTTGCACCCCTTGCTTGGATGGACACATTGCTGCAAACATTCGCACTTGCCCCAGTGGCTGCGCTTGAGACGCTTACCGTCATCCTGCGTCTCGAAGACCAGGAGCTCGACTACACGGATGTCATCATGCACGACATATGGGCACGCATATGCGGTCTGCTCGCCCGCGAGCGCTTCCCAGCCCTTCGGAAGGTGGATTTCCAGCTCTCAAGCGCTGACGACGACGCGGATGAGGGCGCCCTCGCACAAGTCACACACCACGTCAACGACAAGTTTGCTGCGCTACTCCCGCGTGGGGTCCGGTTACGAGTCACTGAGGACTTTGGTGAGCCGCTTCTTGTCCAGTCCATCGGCGACAAAGCTGATACCGTGACAGAGGACCCTTTCGATGATATGAGCCCGTTGTGGCGGCGCGTATCCCTTGCTTAATATTGTAATCGCCTGCACCATTGCCATTACCCTACGTTCTGTATTATACTTATTTGTAATCGTCGCGCTCAGCGCTTCCTTATTGTACCTAGTCTACACGCTCTGTCGTTGTCATTGCTAACATTGCTGCTCTGTGATCCTTTCCTATTGAATGGAACCATCTAAGAGCCGTTTATCTTTCGTGCCGTGACCAAAAGTGCAGGCTTTTCCGGATCTTGGTGCAGGGCTAGCGCTGTACCCGTGTCCAGGTCGTGGCGTGTTTCTACGTTTTCGAGCACCACAGCCAAGAGGCGCGGCGCGTTGATACCGCTGCTGGACTTTTGTTCGCGAGCCTTGCGTCAGGCTGAGCAACACGGAATGAACTGTCAAACGGTCACGAGTTGCCACCGTGGTCCGATTGATAACATGGGCGATGACAGATCGCATCCACTCGCTGTTGCCTGGTTGTTGTAGCTTGAGCAGTCCTTACACGCTGTAGGCTCACAAAGCACTCGCAAGGCGATGTAGGGTCAGTCAGGTTTCCACCTCGCAGAGCCACGTTTGTTTCCCCCGACGTGATTTTATGGCCAACTGATGGTCTTCTTTCAGAGGCCTACGTGAATGTTCTGATAACTCTAACCTCTACGCGCGCCTGCGCCTCCATTATTACTTGCGGCAGGGGGCAAATGCTGCACTCCAAAGGGTCTTGCGTCTTTTGGATCTCTCCCATCGTTCGCCAGCAGCGAGAGTATGGCGTTCGGTACGGCGTCGTCGGGTCCGGCCTGCATCTGTGACGTATCCTCTACGCATAGCAGCAGACGAGCGTCCAGTAGGCGCCTGAAAATGCCAGTAAATACCCATGTTCGATGGTTGCAAATGCACTCGGGACGTACCGAAGCTGGTTCACTAGCGCGCCGATCCGTGCCCAAGCCTTGAGGCGGATGAAGCCTTCTCGGTCCCTCTCGCCCACAGTAAGTGTTCCGCGAACGGCATCCACGGACACGCTCCCGCCAAACAACAATAGCGCGTATGTCGGCGCCTGTCCACGGGTCGAGGTAAGCCGCCTTGCCTTCGTCATCTCCTAATCATCTAACCGCACTCACCTCCGTCACATCCCGCACGTAAACCTTACTGGTCTGCTGCCGCCCGAAGTACGCCGCGAACGGCGCGCCCCATCTTGCCTCGCCGAAGAGGATGCTTGATGGGTGGATCCAGACGCGGGAGTCGTGCATGTCGAAGAAGGCGAACTCGCGGGCTGCGGCTTCGCGCTGGACCGTGCCCGCCGCCACGGCATCGAACTTCGCGCGCGGGGCACGAACACGGGCGACGCGAGGATAGAGTCCAGAAAGGATGATGGCTTTCAGCAAGTTCGTATGCGTGCTGTAGGCGTTGAGCGCTGGGGCGGACGGCGGAAGGGACGGCGAAATAAATCCCATGCTGCCCAGTGCAGAATGGAATTCGAGGCGAAGGGTCGTAATGTCGCGCACTGTTGTGGGCGAGATGAAGTTCTGAACGAGACGTTAGCGTAAGGCAGGGCTCGCGATGCTCGTCGAACACACCTGTTTGCAGAAATCGACGATCTCTCGCTGAGACCTGCCTTCGGCGCGGAGGCGCATGCACTCGTCGTACGCCAGAACCGACGCCAGAAGGTCGCTGCCGTACAGAGCGAAGCGTTGACGTGCTCTAAACGCCTATGTTAGCCATGTCCCTGCGATGTGGCCAATCCTCACTCGTCGGCTTCGTTTCTCTGATCCGGAGGACTGAGAAAGATCGGCTTCGATGACAAGACCGCCGCGATTGTCAAGACAGGCCCCAAGCACCGGAAGAGCGCAGCGAGAATGAGCATCTACGACGAGTCAGAAAGAATTGAGGGGAAGGAGTACGTCTTCTCACCTTTGCAAGGCGCACATCGACGGGAAGAATAGCCTGGAAAAGTCAGTCTTCGAAGCATAGTGATATGACACAACGCATACCATATTTCGTCCTAAGGCAGTGAGAGCGCCGTCCCTGCTCAAGGCTCCCAATTCCTCCAGTGTTGCCAATGCTCTGTCCATCGTGGCCACGTCAGGAGGACTGATCATACCCGCCAGGAAATCCTGAAACTGGTGAATGTTTGGACATCTATAAGGATAGAGATAGCTACCCTGGGATCCTGATGCTCTCGGGCCGCCTTCACAGCCAGACAGACACTCTCGAGCGGTACCCGTTGAATCTCCGGTGTTGGGAAAGGAGCCATGCGCGCCTCGCGATCGCGCGTGAAGAGCTTGTAGCAGAATCCTGGACGCGTACGACCGGCTCGTCCCCTCCTCTGCCGCGCAGCCGCGCGAGTGACCCATGTCTCCTGAAGCCGTGTCATGTCCGTCGCTGGGTCGTAGCCTGTCTCCTTCACTCGGCCGCTGTCAACGACGTAGACAACATCGTCAATGGTGATAGAAGTCTGAGAATCGTCAGGTGAAGTGGAGGTGGAAGACGTATGAACCTACCTCAGCGACGTTGGTAGCCGCGATGACTTTCCACTTATTGGTCTGAGCGAAAACGCGCGATTGCTCGTCGTTGGTGAGGTTTGCGTGTAGTGGAAGGACGTCGGCTTCCTGAGAGGATACCTCACGCTGTACGGCTTCGATGCATTGCTTGATCTCTTGCACGCCGGGCAAGAATATGAGTATCCCGCTCGGCTGTTCGTCGCGTTGGCGAACAATATGTTTGACGACAGACGCTACGAGCTGGAAAATTATCAAATCAGCCGTAGCACAGATGAATAAATATGCGGTCTTACCATGTAGTCGATCCGCTCGTTTTCAGATATCACTTGTATAGCGAGAGCGTCCACGTCAGCAAGACCGCGTTGCTTCCACTTGTCTCGCTCTTGCTGCCGTGCATTCTCCACATTTGACTTCGACGGTGGCGGCGCAGGCGGACGGTAATGTACTTGAGGAATGATATCTTCTAGGTAGCTATGGTGGCGTGACGTTGATTGTCAGACATTGTCTAGAGCGTTGCAACAGACTCACAGGTCTTTAACGGGATGAGCTAGACCCGATATAGAGAGCAACGGTGCGCCATTAAAGTATTGAACAAAGCGTTCATGGTCGACCGTAGCGGACATAAGGATGACTTTGATATTCCCTTGTTGCGCGAGGATGTCCTTGAGCTCTCGTAGGAGGAAGTCGCTGTCAATTGATCGTTCGTGGACCTGAAATGAGATTAATCAAGGAAAGTCAGAAACGCCCGTGCAGCAGACAAATCTACCTCGTCCACTACGACATGCGTGACGCCGCGTAGACCCTCTTGTGAGGCCATGCGTCGCAGGATGACACCGGTGGTGCAGAAGAGCAGTTTGGTTTCTGGTGTGCTGGTCGACTCTCCGCGGATTGAATAGCCGACACTCCCATCGTTGACTCGCTCTGCAGAAACGCGCTGAGCGACTGATATAGCGGATAGCCTTCGAGGCTGCGTGATGACGATAGAGGCGTCTTGCCCTTGATTGGTCATGATCAGGGAGTCGAGGATGAATTGGGGTACTGATTGAAGTTAGCAATGAAGACGCACAGGGGCTGAAATTACGAACGCTGGGTCGTCTTGCCACTGCCAGTCTCTCCGACGACAACAACGACGCGATTCTTGTCAACAAGGTCTAAGAATGCGTCCTTCGCTTTGAAAGCAGGCAGCCGCTCGCGGGTGCTCAGCAACTTCTTAAACTGGGGAATACATCAGACACACGCTGAATCCCAGGCTAGCCACACACCTTGTCGCTTTGTCGCATCCGCTCGAAGTCAGCGAGTACTTGTTCGTTCGTTCGCTTGCGCCGCGGCCCTGACTTGCGTTGCTTCCTGGCACTAAACTCTTGGAAATCCATGTCCTTCAAGAGACTCGGCGCGGGCCCGGGTTGTATGTGCTTCAGCACGTCGCCGATTGGAGGTGGGCCTTCCTGTTGCACGCGAACCCATTCCGCATCGACGGCCTGGATGGCACCCATATAAAGCCCGCTCTCTCGAGATTCGGCGGAGCGTAAAAAGCGTAAGAGGACGGAGAGGAACTGTAGTCGCACGTAGGGCGCTAGATTGGGAGATGCGATGTATGCGGGGACGAAGTTCGTGCGCGGGCAATCGGAGGTTTCTTGAGCGACAATATGAACCTTTGTGCCCGGGTCACTGAAGAGAGGCAAGACGATTTCTTTATGGGGCTCGTCCGTTGCGTCCACGACTTCGGCGCCCAGAGCTATTGCTTCTTCTTCGTCTACCACAAGAGCGTCTAGGTCATCCAGCGGGTCAACCGTCGTACCAACGAGGCGATTGCCTAGAGTTACTAAGAGTCGCGTCCAGTCGTTGCCCAACGAGGGATCAGCAGAGAGACATGCGCTGACCAGATAGTCCGGAAATCCGGCCTCCTTGACAGCTTTGTCCTGTATCCATCTCGAACGTAGGTCGGAGGATGCAGAGTGAGTCGACGTAACGAAGGGCGCAGACGATGCGTTGCCGTGTTGGAAGCGCTTCGGTAGATCGCATTCGGGGCTTACGAGAAGCAAGTATTCGATCGCGGAATGTAGAGGATTGTCCGGAGAAGACATGGCAAGATCTGGCTTCTCGATGTATGCGAGTGCTCGCTCTATTTGATGCTTCTTGAAGCCAATATCAGAGAGTTGTTTGCGTACAATCGCTTGACTATCGTCAGAAAGGCCCTCTTCTGCGACGGTCTGTAGTTCCGGGTGCAGAGCGAACCCCTTCTTGATTGCATCTTCAACAAGTTCACGAAGAGAGGCGACCATGACCACTTCTGGTATACGGTTATCGTCGATGGCGGACGAACCACCGTGCCGAGAGTTCCCAGCATCGTCGGCCGGGTTGGCGGCGGCGGCGGCGGCGGCTCGCTTCTCGGTAGCCTTGGCTTGCCGTTCCTCGACCTCTTTCTTGGCTTTGAAAGGATCATCTGAGTACATCCATTGCTGATGCTCAGGTGCGGCCTTGTGTTCAGCAACAAGAGCGTTCCAGTAATCCCGCGGACCAGGAGGCAACACGCGGTTAAGCTGTATTCCATTGCAAAACTGCAGAGAGCATAAACATACGTACATTCGAGGCAAATTGTTGAGTAGTGACAGACCCGGTATAAAGCGTACGTCGCGCCCCAATGGCGGGCTTCAAGTGCACTCGGGCAGATGTAAGGCGGATGAGGTTCCAGTTTGACAACATCCTTCTGCGATGTCTTCTTGTTGTAGCGCGAGAGCTTGACAGAGAAGGCCCAACCGCCCTCACGCTGGAACGTATCGACGATAGGCTTGTCCCAACCTGCGAAAGTGAGTGTTTCGAGGAAGGCTTTTTAAATAAGAGCTGACCGTTCTTTTGGCATCTACGCATAGCGTTAGATTGTATGATAGCACTTTTAATCTATGGGAGTACCTTTCGTTCAATAAGCTAAGTGGAAATTTCGACCCCGGAGGAAAGAGAGACTTGGCCTCGGCTGCAGACTTCCCCGCCACAGGAGTTCCTATGGGGGTGGCATCCGCCTTCCCTCCGGGGCCGACCCTTCCAATGGAGCTTGACTTGGAAGAGTTCCCGGCATTTCCTGATTTTACTATACCTCGCTTAGGAGGCATTTTGGGTGCTGGCGAACCCAGCGCCGGCGAATGAGAGTGATGGAAGAGAACAAAAGACCGGCCCGGTATCCGATGATCTTATTCTTCTCACGCCCCAACTTGGATTACGGCGCCAAAGGTGATCGTGTATGTAGCACGTCCAGGATGTAAGACGTGCAACGCTCCCGAGCATGTACGTTGAAGGGTTCAGCACCCTCACCGATTCTGATGTTCTGTGCTTGTCGAACGAATAGAAGCCTCTGCTTTGCTCACTGCCGGCGCCATGACATTCGAGAAGCAGGTGTTGACACTGACCATGGAGACCGAGTACCCTGCGGCAACCGCGGAGCCCCACGCCGAGTACTGCGTCATCTGACCCCCAGGCGACGCCCTCCCGGTCCTGCACATCTCTTGTCCTCCCTCCGAGGTTCTGCAGCACCTTCTAGTCATTCACGCCTATCTCGTCACGCGCGTCCAGCATTGAGACTCCCGTCTTCCGAGCACACTGTTCTGCGACGGTGCCATGCGCGACAGCAAGGGTCAGTACGCGTTCGGCCTACCGTAATGGGCAGCGCGATTCATCGATCCACAATGACTGAGGGCATTTATCCCCTAGAACCGTTCTCGATGGATCACGGAGACCGGGAGAAGGAGGTAGCTTATGGTGCGTAGTATCCTCTCTGAAGTCTTCGAATCCGTCCACTCACGTACTCGTGGCTTGCTCAGGTTCGAGCACTCCTCGTGTCTCGTCTCCTGGATCATGGCGTACGTACACGCCTCACGAATACCCTCACGACCAAGGATGCCCAGAATCCTGCTATTACGAGAATAACCTCTGTGCCTTCGCTTCCTACATAAGCTGAACATCTTGCAGTTCAGCGACCGGTCTTCCAAGTCACCCTTACCCCGGCGCACGTTGGGATGGCGATGCTGTCGTTCACTTTGGCCGCTTTGTTCGCCTACATCAACCTGCTGGCGAGACCTGAGCCTACCAGCGCCCTGGATAATGGTGTCGGACGGCTCCCCTGTGAGTGTTTACTATACAGTGTACGACCCCTGGCTGAGCTTCTTCACAGTTATGGGGTATAATAGTGAGTATATGCGCTCGTCCATCACCACCTAACTAGATCTGACTTCGACCGTAGCTTGGAACGCCTATGTGGTAGGCATGACTATATCTCCCTGTGATGACTGACCTGACTTGTCGCATGCTAGTGCGACATCAACGAGACCGTCATTCGCGAGTCTGCGGACCTCCTCGTCTCACTGGGATTGAAGGTCCGTCCCAGTGCCTCTTTGGAAGTAGCCACGCCAGACGTATTGTATCACAGGACCTCGGCTACAACTACATGAACATCGATGACTGTTATGCTGAAAAGAACCGCACGGAGGACGGCGACATCGTCGAGAGTGAGTGACTAGAGGCTTCTGAACCCGCCGCATGCGTTGCTTATATTCATGCAGGTGCCGAGCGCTTCCCTTCTGGGATGCGTAACTTGACGGATTACATCCACGACCTCGGGCTGTAAGTGGCGCAGCAATTCTATCTGTACGCAAACCTGACTCTTGGTGAAGAAAGACTGGGATATACAGCGATTCTGGTTGGTTCACCTGTCAGTTATACCCCGGTTCCTTCCAGAATGAAGAGCGGTCAGTCGCACTCGCGATGCACTCAACTATATGTGTTGATTACATTCCAGTGATATCAAGCTCTTCCGTGAGACGTGGAACTTCGATTTGCTAAAGTAAGCATGCGTTCTGCTGCTTCTCTCGAACCTGTCTGACGACATTGCAGATACGACAATTGCGCCGGTCAGTTGTCGACGCCTCAGTGACTGAACGACACTGATTTATGCAGTTCCCTTCGACGAAATCATTCGTGAAGGCATGGTTGGTAAATTCACCCGCATGGCGGATGCTATTGCCGCCCAGGCGAAGTCATCAGGCAAGGATCCTATCCTCTTCTCCCTATGTCAGTGGGGAAGGGTAAGTCACCGTCCATCAGCGTGTCCGCCTTCCAGGCTCATCGTTATGCAGGAGCAGCCATGGCTTTGGGCGAAGCGCCTTGGTCAATCGTGGCGGGTAAGCTGATTCTCTCCAAACCGGCGGATTTAGTCTCACCAACGATCCTAAGACGACAGACGACATCGGTAAGGCTTCGGTCTCGTGTTCGAGCCTACTATCTGATCGTGGAACGCCGTACAGGCCCGCACTGGGACGCCATCTCGAGTATTATCAACCAGAACAGCTTCTACACTTGGAGCTCTGACTTCTATGGGCACGGCGATATGGACATCGTAAGAGTTCTTGTCGCTGGTAGCTGACTACGAGCTAACCCGCTTTCCAGCTCGAAGTGTATGCTCGTTGTTGCTGCAACCTCGATCATGTACTGACAAGGGCTCCTCAGTGGGAACGGAGACCTCACATTCGAGGAGGCCAAGTCTCACTTCACCGCTTGGGCTCTGATGAAGAGTCCTCTGCTCATCGTGCGTGTCATAGCTATCTTCTCGAACTCTTCATTGACCTTCGACTTCAGGGGACGGATGTACGACTGCGCTGCTCGCCTGTTTGATTATCACTCATCTCCGCGTCTAGCTATCCAAGATCACCAAGGAGTCGCTCACTATCTTGACGAATACGGAGATCATCGGCATTAACCAGGATTCCAAGGTCGGCACGGCCATCACACCCTTCCGCTGGGGTAAGAACGTACGCATTATACGCTTAGCCACTTGCTTGTCGATGCTGATGTGATTGCCCCAGCCTGACTGGACGAATGACTACACGTATCCGGCGCAATACTGGAGTGGCGAGAGTGAGAATGGCACGGTCGTCATGCTGGTATGTCAAGCACAAGACGAAGAGAGGGCGCAACTGATCGAACATGCAGCTCAATGTTGAGAACGAACCGGCCGACATGTTCTTCACCCTCGCGGAGTCGCCTTGGATCAGGGTAAGTGGGAGGGTGCTCACAGTGGACTTGTCGCTGACGCCGTACTTCTCAGGCTGGTCGCCAGTACTCGGTTCGGGTGCGTTTTCTGATTACTGACAAGTGAATCCTGGATCTGACTTGTCTTGCTAGGACCTCTGGTCGCACACGGACAACGGCACGGCCGTGCGCAACCTAACCGTCACGAACGTACCCGCGCATGGCGTTGTTGCTCTACTTTTGAAAGACGCCGGTGATGAACCAGCGGGTCTTCAGCCCCCGTGCTCCATTCTAGAGTGGTGCATTGACCAGAACGGCACGAGAGTCGACCAGTGAACGCGTGTCAGCCTGAGTCAGGGACAGGCAGGCCTTCCTGATCATTCAGAAGAACTCAATTTTCTTATTACCTCTGTATAACATAACACCGAATTGTGAACTCATCGAAACACGTTGCGATCTTCTTTGTCTACTCAGACGACCCTTGTTCGTGGTTCGACCGGCGTACGCGTAGCGGTGAGTCACGTGATCGCGCTAGAAATATGGAAAGTGCTAGAGCTTGATCCGAAAGAGTACAATAGCGCGTCGCTTCGCCACAAAGCATCAACCACTCTCTCTTTCTTACACAACACATCCAGTATCTCTTCATCATGACCACGCCGAGGCGCGTCGCCACCGTCGTCCAAGTCCTCATCGATCACTCATCAGCATTGCAGACACGAGTTCTACGAGTCCGACGAGAGGTTGACACTCTCCGTCTTTGACAAGGGCGCCAACCCGGATGAGGTTTCTGTGGAGTTTGAGCCACGAAAGGTGCGCATTCATGCCTTACGCACTCGGCCCATGCTCAACTGCACAATCCTCGTAGCTCACGTACAAGCACGGCGACAAGGTGCTGGAGCTGCAACCCTTAAAGGGCCAGATAGATCCTGCGCAAAGCAGCTACACCGTCGGGAAGGTTAAGGTCGAGATTCGGCTTCACAAGGTCGCCATCGGCCGGTGGGGAGCCCTCACTGGCGACAGTCCTGATCGTGCGTCCTCGGCGCTTGCTGCACGAATGACTTACTGATCGCCATCGCGCAGCCCTTGCCGCTTTCCCTTCCGCACCCCAGCCTACCGCCGAAGTCGCACGTAAGAAGGAGCGCAAGAACTGGGAGAAGCTCAGTGCGGAGGCGCTCGCTGCGGAGAAGGAGAAGTCGACGGAGGAGGATCCTAACGTCGGCGGCGATGCCACCTTGAACTCGTTCTTCCAGAAGATCTTCAAAGACGCCGATCCGGATACCCAGCGCGCTATGCTCAAGAGCTACCAGGAGTCCGGGGGTACGACGCTCAGCACGAATTGGGAGGAGGTCGGAAAGGGCAAGGTGGAAGTGAAGCCGCCTCAGGGCTCGGAGTGGAAGCGCTGGGGCTGATCGCCTCATGCGGGCTGTATATCATGTCGATCTATCGTTTGCTCTATTGTTCTCATAGTCGTGCTTGCTCTGCCTGTCTGTATCAAACAAAGGAAATCGTTCGCCAACCGTATGTCGTTCCGAGTGCCAAAGCGGAATCCGTTCTGGAGCCGCACGACCATGTCTCGTTTAACTCTCATAGTCGCCGCCACGAAGGCAAACGGCATCGGCCAGAATGGCAGCCTACCCTGGCGATTGCCCAAGGAGATGTCGTACTTCGCTAAAGTAACCTCCAATGCGCCAGAAGGCAAGCAGAATCGAGTCATCATGGGCAGGAAAACCTGGGAGAGCATTCCGGCGAAGTTCAGACCCTTGCGCGACCGACTGAACGTTGTACTCAGCCGTCGGGCAGAGTTCAAACAGTGCGTCCACACAATTCAAGTGATTTATTGGCGTCTCACGCAGACCGACAGGGCTGGAGCCGATGTCTTCCCAAGCCTGAGTGCAGCCATCGATACAGCGGCCTCAGGACAAGCCCACCGCACGTATGTCATAGGCGGAGCGACCCTATACAAGGAATCCTTGGCACTCACACCGTCGGAGACCGAACCCTTCGTCGATCGCATTATCATAACGCGCGTTCTGGACCCGGCATTCGATGCGTGCGACGCGTTCTTTCCCGACTTCACAGCAGACAGTGCGTGGAGGCAGGCGACCCACGATGAGCTTGAAGGGTGGTTGGGATTCGACGTGCCGCGAGGCGTACAGGAGGAAAAGGGTGTCATGTATGAATTCCAGATGTGGGTGCGGTAGCCGTGAATGCGAGCCCCATGTCCTGCCCGTGTTCGACTCATATGCCACCATCCCGCCATCTCCAAGAGGACATACAGCTGGGAAGCTGCATCTCTGAAGAGCCGTTCAACCTTGCCTCTGTGAATGAATTATGAGAAGACAAAAACGGAGGGGGATGGCGAGTGACGCACCTGCTTGTGCCGCGGGTTCTTCTTGCAAATTACATAGACTCTGCCCTTCCGCCTCACGACGTTGCAGCCGTCGCACATGGGCTTGACTGAAGAGCGCACTTTCATGCCGCGAGTGAGGTCGGGTGTGCGGGTTAGAACTGCTGTCGCGCGGTGTGCCGGGACCGAAGACGGTGCCAGCTTCATGAAGCGCAGCTGAGACAGCATTGGCCTGGCGGCCGTCATAAGTGAGCGCAGCATGGCGAGTATGAGCCCGCGACGAAGTGCAACAGCAGAGACTGCGAAGGTTGGAATGAAGCAGCCTCGGCTTCAACGCGTGATCGGTGGACGCCGGCTCTCAGCGGCCCGACATCCGAGCCTGTGGCGGATCCACCGTCCGTCGCGGGGCTGAGCCCGCTGGTGGGGCTAATTCGTGTCCAATTACTTCCCGGACACTCATGCCTCATCGGCCGCCCTCCCTGCCCCATCTTGGAGGCGTCACCGCGGTTATCCTCTTCGCCATCGTTCTCGCTGCCTTCGTCGTTGAGAGCGAGCTCGCGCAAGTCAGTGTCTTCTACCCATACAAGATGGCTTCTCCTGACTTCCCCGCAGTATGTGCAAACGACGCTGGAGTTTAGGCAGCCCTTCTTCATCTTGTGAGCCCTCAACTCTATTGAGAAGTGCTCAGGAACTCACCTTCGCGTCAGCTATGTCGTCCATTCGTCATTCGCCATCAGCTTCCCCTTACATGTACTCTACCTCCGGACGACAACAAAGTACACCCTGAGCGGCCTGCTCAGCGGTCTCAAGTTGGCGATCACCGACCATCTAGCACCTAAAGGGGTACAACCCTATACTGGCACTTCGTTCCCGTACCGCAAGTTCATCACGCTTGTGTTAACCTTGACTCTGGGGATGACCCTCCCTGGACTCCTATGGTTCGCTGCAGTATCTCTAGCTCCGTGAGTATATATCGCTGTATTCTTCACTTCAGCTTGGTGACGGTTCTACATAGACTCAGCGACGTGACCGGTGAGTGACACGTCTTCTGAACGCTACGGAGTTCTCAAGTCGAAGCCTTTCATTTCAGCTATCTGGAACACGAACCCTTTCTTCGCCTACATCCTCACCGTTAAGCTCTATGGACTACGCTGGGAATCTCGCAGACTCGTCGGCGTCGTCCTTGCGACAGCAGGCGTTATGGTAGTCGTCTATGGCGGCATGAAGACGGAGGACGGCAGCGGAGTAACAGCGCGCTCGCCGCGTCCATCGCGTGCCCTCGTTGGTGACGTCCTAACGCTGCTGGCCGCCTTAGTACAGGGGCTATATCAGGTCATGTACAAGCGCTATGCCGCTCTTCCCAATGACCCGGAACTGCAGGAGGACGAAGACTACGAGCGCCTCTCCGAAGAGGACCCTGACACACGGTCCGAGACGAGCAGAATTATACCTGTGCCCGATGACGATATCGTGCATCCTCCGCCCTTCGGTTTGCACCCAACCTTCTTGACATCCCTCGTTGGTCTCGCAACAGGCACTGTCCTATGGATCGCATTCCCAATCCTCGACTACCTAGACATGGAGCCCTTCAAGCTACCTCCCAACTCGCGCGTTGCTTTCGGGATTGCTGGTATCGCTTTGAGTGGCGTCGTGTTCAACTCCGGCTTCATGGTGAGTTTCTCATATATACTCCATGTGAAGGGTCAGACAGCTCATGTGTGAGCCTGACAGATTTTGCTTGGAGTATGGGGTCCCGTCATCGCAAGCGTCGGAAGCTTGCTGACCATAGTACTGGTCGTTATTTCGGATGCTCTCTGGGGAGCAGGTCTGGAAGCGTTGACTTTCTGGAGCATCTGCGGGTCAACAATCATCGTTGCCGCCTTCGGGATGCTCGCATACGACGTATACCAGAAGTCATATGCACCAAGCACGACTTCTCATGTTCACGATTAATTTAATGGCTACCATGTCCTCTGCGTCCCTTGAACGTTCCAATCGTCCGTCTTCGCCCACAGTCAAGCAATCAAGAGGGTTAAAAGCGCGTGCGCATTGAGTTCAGATTGTTTGTAAAGAGCCGCATACGCCTGTCATGACTAGAGCACAAACACTGTCGACAATATCAATGGGCGCCAATATAGATAGCGAGAGGGAGGCAGTTGACCAGATCGAGGTGGACGCCAGACAATATACTACAGTTAAACAGCGTGCGTAAAGATGTAATGAGAGGCGCAAGGTATGTGAGGGAGGCGCGGCGACTAAAAAACCGTTTAAAAGACCACTTAGCGTATGAGGCTATCCACAAGAAGATAAGAAAGGAAAGGCGTGAGTCGGACCAGTATCGTCGTACTACGCAGCAGAGCACGATGATATGTATGACGAAGCACAGCGCCGGTATCGTATGCGTCCATCCGCGAGAGGCATTGCCTCCATCATACAGAGCACCCCGAAGGAGGCACTTCGTCCATAGTCACTATGTCGCAGTGGCCATGACGCTGTAATGACATGCGTCAGTGATGAATCGGCTATTTTGTACACGCCACCTACCTTTTCCTCTTCGCCTTCGTCATCTCCTTGCGAAGCGCAGCCCCGTCCAGCGGCTTGAGCAGTTCGAAAGCGCACAGCAAGTCCTCGGACACGCTAGCAAGACAGATGAGCGGAGTAACAAGCTACGGATATGCAACTGCTTACCTCATGCACGCCCCATAGTTATCGAACTCTATGGTTATCGTGAGCAGATGAAGGGTCCTATACTTGACGACGTACCTCCGCAATAGTTCGGTGCACTGAACACCGTCACCAATGTCCTGTCATTCCAGAACTCGTACCCGTCCTCAACCACCATATGCGCGCGACAAATGAGGTCCATATCGTGTCTGACCAGGAACTCATTGATGATCGCCTTGCCGAAGCAGTAGCTGACCCCGCGCTCGTTGTCTTCCCAGTCCAACGCAGTGTCGGAAGGGTCGGACCACAGCAGATCGTTCAAGAGCCCGAAGTCCGGCACGTCCGTAGGGCGCTGAATGCGCTTGATGTCGTCCATGGAATGCAACGAAGGTGAGAGACCGCCATGTACACAGAATATCTTGGACGCGACGATGGCGGCTATTGGCAACGCGTTGAAAACGTCGATGAAGGTCTTCCACGTCTTGATATTACAGCGCCTTTTGCATTCGTCGTAGAAGCCGTAGACTGATACGTTATGAGTACGCCTGTTGTCACGCGTCGGTTGCCGACTCACCTCGTGTGACGTTGGCGCATTCGTGATTGCCCCGCAGTAGGAAGAAGTTCTCCGGATACTTGATCTTGTAACATAGTAGCAGGAGGATGGTCTCGAGGCTCTGCTTGCCACGGTCGACATAGTCGCCCAGGAACAAGTAGTTGGATGCTGGGGGAAAGCCGCACATTTCGAACAGTCGGATGAGGTCCGAATACTGTCCGTGCACGTCGCCAACGATCTTGACTGGTGGTGAGAGTTCCACAAGCGTAGGCTGCGCGAGCAGCACGTCGCGTGCAGCGAAGCAGATCGCGCTAATCTCGTTGTTCTTGAGACACAGCGACTTCGACACCTTGCCCGTATAGCCAACATCGAGCAGCCGTGATATCATGTCATCAACATCGAGCTGCTTCAGCCCGTTCGCCGCCAGATGTCCGTTCGCCTTGAGCGACTCTGGGCCTTGACTACCGCTGTTCGTGGACCCAGGGCTGAATGGGCCGGAGCTAGCGAGGATGGTGTTGGCGCTCGCATTCGCGTTGGAGGGAATGTCAACGGGTGCTGGTGATTTAGGTGAGGGTTGTGGGGAGGTAGATGTCGCAGCAGCGGGTGAAGGCGGCTGGTCCGTTGGGATGCCTTTGGGATACGGTGATCCTGGGGTGCGCGTATCCGAGGCGGCTTTGAGATCCCCTCCGCCTGCTGCTCGATCTGTCTGCGACTGTTGGTCTCCACCTTGGTTGGTACCGACTGCTGAATGCCCATTGGACTGCGAGGACGTCCCTGTAGCGCGCGAGAGCGAACTCTGCGGCGTGGCTTCGCTCGCGATGTCGTCAGATTCAGGAGAGGCACTGTCGCCGTGGCCCTCGGTTGCCCGCTCCTTTCCACTCTTCTTCGACTTCTTGGACGGCTGCTGACCCATTTGTGAGCCCTGCGAGCCTGGCGGTTGCGGCGACTGGGCTCTTGACTTGGACCGCTTCGAGAAGACGGATAGAAGTGTTGGCGCCAGCTTGGAAAGACGAGCGGAGACACCGGGTTAGCGGGGATGAGGATGGCAAGACGAACCCAGGAGGTGCAGGACGGGAGAAGTCAGGCGAGGGTGTATGAGCAAGTCAAAGTGGAGAAGCCAGCAAGCGACTCCTCCACACGCTTGGCTTTGGTCGTGTTTGCATTTAAGACGCAAGCCTAAGCCGGACGAGATATTCACGTTTATTCCTCATGCAGTGTCGAGTTCACTCGGTAATTCATCCCTTCGCGTGGGTCCATATATCAGAGTCAGACGGGACAAAGTATGCAGATCAAGCATATGTGCATGTCATGGTGGGCGGTGGCATATGGGGACATAGCAGTACAAGTACGAAGAACCTAGAACTTCTGGAAAGCCTTGGCTGCTGCCTTGTTCTTCGTTACCCGCAAGACGTTGAAACGGACCGTCTTGGACAGTGGCCGGCATTGACCTGACGCTATATGAGCACGTCAATCTCGCTGGAAGTAAGATACGTACCGACGGTCACCACATCGCCAACCTCGACACGGAAGGCCGGGGACAAGTGGGCGGCGAGGTTCTTGTGCCTCTTCTCGTAACGGTCTGGGTTTACGCGATGAGCAGGGAAGTGCATCTTGAGAACGTAGGGACGCACTGTATTTGGGGATATAGTGGAGGTAGTCGCGACGGATGATGATAGTCCGCGTCATTTTGGTGGAAACGACCTTGCCGGTCAAGATACGACCACGGATCGAGACGAGACCAGTGAAGGGGCACTTCTTGTCTATTACAGACGTTGATCAGTGTCCATCGGCAATGCAAAGTACGCGACGCACCAATGTATGACCCGTTAATCGCCTCGGTAGGCGTCTTGAAGCCAAGCCCAACATCCTTGTACCACCGCTTGTTCTTCCCGCTGACCTTCTTGTTGCCTGTGTGATATAACGCGTCAGGATAAGTTCGCAGAGTGATCATAGGCACGCACCCTTGGCCTTAGCGTTCTGGAACAGAGGCTGCTTCTGGAAAGCCTTTTCGATCTGGCGAGGGAAAGGGTTGTGAGTTACTCCATCTGCGTTGGCCCTCCTGCACGTACTTGCTCGGCCATGTTGGACTTGAGGACGGCGGCGACGGCGATGAATCGGAAACTTTGGCCACTATTGCACACTGTTTGCTGTCCCGGTATGGCACGTGATCTGACTTAAGATCAGCTGTACAGTGACTCGGCTATTTCCGAGCGCTGCTGATTGGTCGCCAGCCCGCGATTGCCTTTGCGGCTTCCCACACCGTAAATCCTCCACTATACCTTGGAGCCGCAACTTACAGCCTGAATATGCAAAATACAGTGTCCTTCTCCTTCCAGCCGATTGCGAGATTACTGTCCGCGCCTTACAAGATCGAACTTGACCTACATGGTCTGAACCAGACCTGATTGAACGTACGCCATGGCCAGAGGCGGTATTCGTTCGGGCTCTTCACTACTGATAACACGCAAAGGTTTTCTCTTCCTGTTTCTCTCTTTTCCAGAATGTCTGTCTCCCCTCCTCATGTTGTCGTTTGCGGTAGCGGCATAATAGGGTTGACCACAGCTATTCGTCTACTGGAGGCCGGTTATCAAGTCACTGTCATCGCAAAAGACTTGCCTGGAGATCCACTCCATCCTACCTACGCCTCGTCTGCCGCCGGCGCTCACCATCTCTCTTTCGCTGACGATGAAGATCTCAGGCAACAGGCCTGGGACCAGCGCACATTCGATGTCATGATGGCAGAAGAGATTGCGGAGGGAGATGCCAGTGCGATACTGAGGCTTCGCCAAGTGGAATACTATGCGACGGAAGGACAGACACACATCAAGTTCTTCGAGCAGCTACCAGACGTACGTCGATTTTTGTGCGACCCCTTCCAAAGCACTGATATTCACGCACGTCAGTTCCGCATACACGACAAGAATGAGCTGCCGCCCTTTGCGGTGCATGCCGTATCGTTCACGTCGCTCACCATGGACACCGGTCCATACCTTGCCAAACTCGTTCGCCGTTTGGAGAGCCTTGGTGGCTCTCTACGACGCGCGACATTAGCATCGCTTGCCGACGCTACAATTATCTGTGACCAGGTGTCTGCCGTCATCAATTGCACTGCACTTGGCTCTGCCTTGCTTGCAGATGTGAAAGATCCTGGCGTGCATCCACTTCGTGGGCAGGTAGTCGTGCTCAACGCCCCCTGGTGTCGGGCAGAGGGACGCACTCTGCAGGTCGGAGCGCTCTCAGCGGATGGAGGCGAGGGAGGCGAGCGTACGTATATAATACCGCGTCGGAGTGGGCAGGTTGTCATCGGTGGTACACGGGAAGCGAATGATTGGCGAGTACACCACCATACACGTTATCTACTTGGGTATTGACAACACGCTTCAGGCTCGTAGAACCTCGTCCGGAAACAACGGAAGACATCAAGCGCCGTGCGCTGATTCTCTACCCTGAGCTGGTACCCGAGAATCGTCGTATCCTCGGGAAAGATGCCGTCCCAGCTGATCTTGATGACATCGTCCTACGAGTCGTCGTAGGTTTCCGCCCTGCGAGGACAGGAGGTACAAGGCTGGAGCGCGGAGAGGACATCACGTACGGGCCGCAGGGGAGGAGGATCCCTGTTGTGCACAATTATGGACATTCGGGAGCAGGCTGGCAGAGTTGCTGGGGCTGTGCGGAGGACGCGGTTGATATTATCAAGCAAACAGTGTAATCTAGACTTGGCCTCCTTTGTCTAGACGACGGTGAGCGCGTATAGCCAAGGTCATGGTCAATGTGAGCTCATTCAAGCATAGCGCTCTTCGTCGGGTTACCACTTTATCACAGTATATATCTTGGCGTACCACCATATGCTGACGGATGTGCGGTTGCTTCGTCCGCCCACAACGCCGTCGAGGACTTACTGAGGGTTCACTCAGGCCTATGCAAAGCCTATACACTCAACTCAGTGTACCCGCGGCAAAGATAGCGGGGTCGGCATAATGATCCGCTACAAGTCGCGTGCAATTGGCTCTTAAATGGTGATCAGGTACTGTGCGAACGTTGTGCCCATTTGAAGGCGCGATTGCGCCAACGACAAGCAGATAGCACCCTTTGCAGATGACAATGACTTCCATTCGCAGATCGCGTCACCGTCCAGGAAACTGCCGAAGTCATCTGCCACCTTGACGCCAAATCTATGTGGGATGGCGACATTGAGAGCTGGCAAGATGCACAGACCTATTCCGTTCCCGGCTTATAAGAGACTGTGGTACTACATAGGCGCCGTTATCGCATCCAGATCCCCCTCAATGTCCACCACCGCTACTGTCACTGAAGCCGCCCCGGCGCCGAGCCCAGTGCTCAAGCTCAACTCTACCGCTGCCAATGAGCAGACCTCTTCTTCGCCAGCAGCCCAGCCGTACCGCTACAGTCACCTCCTTCCTCACTTCTCGCAAGACCATTACCCGCCCCTTGAGCCCTTCGAGCATGTTGACCCTGGACACCGTGCACTGGCGAGGGAGCGCGAGGCCATCGCCAATGGGACTATAGCGGAGGGATCTACACCTCTTCCGGCCTTCCTTCGCTCTCCCAACGTTACGCTTTCTGAGATCACTCCCAACCTTGGAGTGGAAGTATCAGGTGTCAGCCTCTCGCAAATCGATGATGCGGCACGGGACGACCTTGCTTTACTTGTTGCTCGCCGGGGTCTGGTCATCTTCCGGAACCAGCAGGAGTTCATTGACTCCTCGCCCGAGGCGTACAAGGAATGGGGACGGTACTTCGGACGGTTGCATATCCACCCCACATCCGGTCACCCCGAGGGTCATCCCGAGATTCATCTTGTCTACCGCGACGAGAACTCTACCTTCAACTTTGAGCGTGAGGACAGGTTCGTCATGATTTTTCAACTCTGAGCTACCAGTACTGACAATATGCCCGGCAGCATATCCACGCTATCCTGGCACAGCGACGTCTCTTATGAGCTCCAGCCTCCTGGCCTGACGACTTTCTTCCTCATCGCGCAGCCGCATGCTCGTGGCGAGGGCCTCGAGGAGTCATTCTCTGGCGGTGACACGCTCTTCACCAGCCAGGTCGCCGCACTCAAGCGGTTGTCCCCGGAGTTCGTCGAGTTCCTTCGCGGACTGAAAGCAGTCCACTCTGGCTTCGAGCAAGCCGACTACTCTCGTGCGGGTAACCGCGGTGGGATCGTACGTCGTGACCCGGTCGAGCACGTTCACCCCCTCATCCGCAGGTAAGTCGAACGTCTGATTATCTTTTCTAATTTCTCATGGACGCGATCGTGTATAGACACCCCGTCACCGGCGAGGAGGCGCTCTACGTCAACCGCCAATTCACTCGTCGCATCGTCAACCTCAAGCGCGAAGAAAGCGGTACGTTTCTAGTCCGCATGCGGTGACCTTCACGTTCTAATTTCAAACAGAGGCCATCCTTCGCTTGCTCTACGACCATATCGACAAGAGCGGCGACAACCAGGCGCGCCTCAAATGGTCACCGTACACGGTCGCACTCTGGGACAACCGCGTCACCGCGCACGTAAGTCTTCCAGCAGCAATTCCAACCAACGCTTTACTAACCGTTCTTCCCAGTCCGCCATCGTGGACTTCAAGGACGGCAAGCAGCGCCGTCACGGCTGCCGCATCACACCGCAGGCCGAGCGTCCTATCCCGGCCAAGGAAGGTCTGAAGCTGGACTGAGGAATAGGCGTCCAATATGCCGGCGAGCAAAAAATATGTACCTATATACTTATGCACTATGTTCAAGGGAATCATCGTCACATTGATACCTTGCGTGAAGAAATCTGCGTCCTCGGGCCTCAGCGCTCAGCAGTAGATTCGCTACCAGGTATGGCCCCAAAGAAGTCCGATAGCACGTTAATTTACGGATGTTGTACACATATAATTTATTATTGACCATGTCCGTGTATCTCGACGACGTGTACCCAAGCCCCCTCTCCCCTCTTCATGCCTCTAGTTGGTGGTGCTGGTGATGTGGTGGCGAGACCGGTATGCCGGTGTAGGATGCAGAACGGTTGAGGTAGGCTGCAAATCAATGAATGCTGGGCATAAACAAGCCGGCGCCTCGAAGCTACTTACGAGTTTCAAGCAGCCCTTCAGACGTGTCACTGGAACCTTTGCTGCGCTTCAGAGGAATTGGCTGTCCCATGCAGCACGCATTCGCTACAGAGCGGTGAGCTACTTCGCCGTATGTGATAACATAGAACCCACCTTCTGCGCTCGACGACCGCGCCCACGTTCCGAGGCCTAAGACCGTAATGCCCCACACACTCAAGAACAGAGACAACGTCGACGACGCGACGCTGAAGAAGAAGGTTCCCGCCTTCTTCCTCTGACTGGTGATGCACGTATACGGGATCCGGATGATGGCAGAATGCGAGGCAGTCCCGTCGCCAGACAGCGTGCCATTGACGTACGCGGCGCCGTTCTCGCCTGCAGCTTCCACGAAGGCGTTCATGGCTGGATTGTTGAAGTCCGTGTTGAGATAGGAGGGGTTGAGCGAGGTTTTGAAGGCGGTGCCGTTGACGAAGAGCTGGGTGAGGTTGCGTGAGTGAGGCGGAGAGCATCGTGGTGAATACTCACGTTGTTAGACATGTAGTGACCCACGTCGAGCTGTATGGCGGCGATGAAGACCTGGACCATGTCGTAAACGAGGTCGATGTTCCACCCAAGGTCGGCAGGGTTCCCGTTCGAATCGAAGACGATGCCCATGTCGCTGTAGCGGATACCGTTGAAGAAAGTAACGCCAACGTTGGGCCGTACTTGGCGGCATCCGTCGTTACCGTCGCACCTCGGCTGGCCGGTCATGATGAACTTCCCTAGCCTGTCGTCGTTGTACGTGTAGTTGTTATTCCAGATCGCGAAGTAGTTTGCGTCTACAGAAGGGTCAGATTGTCGTGTGCGACCACACAAGGAGCACCCGTACCTCCAAAGTAGTTCAACGCCTCGACGATAGCGCGCGGCGTGCTGTTGGGGGCAAAGAAATTGGATTGCAGAGCTCCGATGACCTTGTGGTTCGTGTAGCTCCAGCTCGTCCTTGCCTGGAAGTTCATGGGTGGAGGACAATCGACTTCAACCTAGGAAGGGTATCAAATCGGTACTACTGCGTCATGTAGCTTTGGCTCACGTCGAGGTTGATCGTGCGGTCCGCGACCTGCGTCACGAACTGGAAGTACGCGACATTGCACCCATCCAGCACATTGTTCGCGTATACTATGCCGGATTGCGAGTCATGCGAGTTCCCTTGGACGATAGACAATCCGAAGATCTCGTAGGAGAAGGTGGAGATGTTGGTGCGGAAGTTGTCGCCGAGATAAAACGTGTGTTCTTGGCATGTCTGGCCCGACTGCTTCCACCTCAAGTACCACGGCATGTTCTGGGTGGCGTTGAAGTCCGTCATCGTGACAGAGACCACGTCGTATCCTGCAGAGGTGGTCAGAGACCTGGGCCGCGTATGCTCGTACCGCCACGCACCGACATAGTAAACATTGAAGAGGATGAGCAGGCCGAGCGCGGTGGCACCAAACGCTATCAATATCCAGTCGATGTATCTCCACTTGGTCCTGAACGGCTTGGTGATGGGGTACGCCTGCGCGCTGCCTTGTCAACTCTCAGTAGAATCAAGAAGAGGAAGCAGCGCGCACGAATTCTATATACGGGGCAGGCATCTTGTCCTCGGCGCGTCGTTCGAGATGAAGCGAGGGTAAGGTCGTGAGTAGAAAGAACGGGAAAAACAGGCAATCGGACGTGATATGTGAGGCTCGTCAACGAGCCCTGGGCGCGTGAGCGCAAGAAACAAGAGTAGGGCCAGGGCGGCATTTCTGTTTCTGACAATTGCAACCTGGAGTATCACGATTGATCACTCTCACACCTCGCCCGTTGGCCTGTTGTGAGAATCGATGTGCTGCGGCAACTATGTTCAGAGAGCGCCCATGCTTGCTATCATGCAATCGCAATGCAACGACGGGCGCTTAGAGGTGAGCTGACTGCATTCATCGCGACAGAGCTGGCTTTGGGCGTAAGAGACACGCTTGATTGGCGTCAGGCGTTCCTGACCGCCCTGGCGTGACTGTCATGAGACGCGTCGGAAATCCGGCCCGGTTCCGCCAGAACGCGTAACGTCACATCATGGACGCGTTGTGGCATGTTTGCGTCGCGCGTCTCACTTTACACGAGAGCGCGCTTCCTGTTCATGGGCAGACAACAAACTCTCGGTGCGTGCTCAGCGTCTGAGGGGAGCTCGCTCTCATCCAAGGCTCAGGAACATTCTTCGCGATGCCTAAATCTGCCAAGGCGACTCCCCCTCAGCAGGCCAGCCTCAAGGAAATGTGGGGCAAGAAGAAGGCATCTACGAGCGCCAAGTCCGCCAAAGACGCGTCAGATTCCGCCAATTCCGAAGTGAAGCCTTCCAAGCCAGCCAGCGGTGCGTGTGCCTATACAGAAGATGAACTTCGCCCTGAAACCAGCACAGGCGAGAAGACGGCCAAAGCGTCCGGTATGGCGATCCACGATCTAGCACTGTAGCAGTGCTGACATACCACAGACGGAACTATCGGAAGCAAGCGCAGAAGAGACGCCGACTCTGACGATGAATCAAGCGACGCTCCTGGTCCCTCAAAGTCCGCTCGCACTGCCAGTCGTTCATCTCCGTCGACCCCAGCACCTCCCACCCCTTCATCTAATGCAACACCTAAACCTGATGCCATGGATGTCGATCCAGAAAGCGACGAAGAGGCTGCTCCCAAGGCCGTACGCAAGTCGCGCAAGCCCAGGATCGAGTCCGACGATGAAGAAGCGCCCACTTCCTCGCAGAAGGCAACTTCGAAGAAGACCTCTTTAAAGCAGACCAAGACCAAGAAAGATAAGGCTACTGCAGCAGACTCCAAATCTGAAGGTCGTCGCCGACCCAAGAAAGCGTCGGAGAAGGCTGCACCAGCGACGTCGGACGCTGAACCAGACGCCGAAGCCAGTGTACCCCCGAGCAGTGATGTTGAAGCGGCAGAGGAAGAGGAGGATGAAGACGATGAGGCTCTGCTTGAAGATGAGGAAGGCGAGGGGGCTGCTACTCGCGCGGTTGCAGCGAAAGCGTAAGCATTGACTATTATGACCATCAATCAAGCACTGACCTTCTGTAGCGCTGAAGCCGCATTAGCACGCACTTCAGATGTTGACATCAAAGGTGGCTGGAAAGTCGGAGACCCGTGAGTGAAGTAGCCATCTATTCACCGCCGAGCTGACCGCCATTTCCCTCAGAGTACCGTATGCCGCGCTCACGAAGACTTTCTCTCACATCGAGTCCACAACGAAGCGACTGGAGAAGAATGCCTTCCTCACAGCATTCCTGACCCTCGTCATACAACGCAGCGCGCCAAACGACCACAACTCGTTGCTTCAAGCCGTCTACTTGTGCATCAACAGGGTATGTGTTGTGCAACGTTCCACGCGTATCCTCATACCCTACACAGCTCAGTCCAGATTACATCGGCATCGAGCTGGGTATCGGCGAGAGTCTGCTCATCAAGGCGATCAGCGAGTCGACTGGACGAAACGCGGGCCTCATCAAGGCTGACCTAAAGAAGGAGGGTGACCTCGGGCTCGTCGCCATGAACTCGAAGAACAGTCAGCGGACGCTGTTCAAGCCGAAGCCTCTGACGCTACCTTTCGTCTTCTCGAACCTCAAGGAGATCGCGCTCTCTTCTGGTCATTCCGTACGTGCTTGTCCTAGATTAAGGCGCTCTGATGGCTTACTCCTCGTCAGTCGCAAACCAAGAAAGTATCCATCATTACGAAGCTGCTTGCTGCATGTCAGGACTTTGAGGCAAAGTACATCGTGCGTAGTCTAGAGGGCAAGCTGCGCATTGGGAATGCGGAGAGATCTGTACTTGTCGCCCTAGCGCATGCTGCAGTTTTGGCCGAGAATGCAAAGCGTAAGTCGCGCGAGCAAGTGATGGTCTCACATTTTGAATGTTCCTCCCACAGGAGATCGCAAACTACATGGCGAAAAGCTCGCTGCTCGCTTGGAAGAGAGCACGAATATAGTCAAGGCTGTATACAGGTACGCTGTGATTTCCTCTTCTGCTGCTCGCGCGACTGACCGCGCTGTCAGTGAGCTGCCCTCATACGACAAGGTCATACCTGCACTGCTCGACCACGGCATCGACGGCTTGCGAGAGCACTGCAAGCTTTCCCCGGGCGTACCCCTCAAGCCTATGTTGGCCAAGCCGACGAAGGCTATAGGCGAGGTGCTCGATCGGTTCGAGAACAAGCGCTTCACTTGCGAGTACAAGTACGACGGGGAGCGTGCGCAGGTTTGTCACATGTTAAGTCTATGCCGAACAAACTTCACTGATTGCACAAATAGGTGCACCTCATGGAAGACGGTAAGATCGCGGTGTTCAGTCGCAACTCGGAGGACATGAGCAAGAAGTATCCTGATTTAATGGAGCAGATTCCGCGGGTGAGTGCGAACGTTGAACGTGGACGATACTTAGGATCCTGACGCTCGCGTAGTGTATCAAAGACAGCACCAAGTCCTTCGTCTTGGATGCCGAAGCTGTCGCCATCGACCGCACGACTGGCAAGCTCATGCCCTTCCAAGAGCTCAGCAAGCGCAAGCGGAAGGATGTCAAGGTCGAGGACATCCAGGTCAAAGTCTGCTTGTTCGCGTTCGACTTGTTGTACCTCAACGGCGAGGTAATCTCACCCTTCATTGCATGTTTTCACTCCTGACACCTTTTCGCAGCCTTTGCTGCAAAAATCGTTGGCAGAGCGCCGCGTGCTCTTGCGCGAGTCCTTCCAGATTGTCGAGAGCGAATTTCAGTTCGCCAAGTCGACGGATAGCGAAACGGTCGAGGAGATTCAGACGTTCCTCGAAGAAAGTGTGAAGGATGGCTGCGAGGGCTTGATGGTCAAGATGCTTGAGTCAGACGCCAGCTACTACGAGCCAAGTCGACGCAGTATCAACTGGCTGAAGGTGCGCGTACTGCTCGATGCCCTAAAACATAAACCTGACTCTGAGTAGCTCAAGAAGGACTACCTCGCCGGTGTCGGCGATTCACTCGACCTTGTTGTCGTCGGCGGCTACTACGGCAAGGGCAAGCGCACGAATGTCTATGGCGCCTTCTTGCTCGCCTGCTACGACGCCGACTCCGAGGAGTACCAAACGATATGCAAAATCGGTACCGGATTCAGCGAAGAGGCGCTACAATCGCACTACAATGTACTGAAGCCCCTCGAGATGGAGAAGCCGCGCGGGGACATCAAGGTCGGAGGCGCGAAGCCAGATATCTGGTTCGAGCCCAAGGTCGTCTGGGAGGTCCTGACGGCGGACTTGAGTCTGAGTCCAGTGTACACGGCAGCGATGGGATTGGTAAGTGCTACGTCCTTTGCAGTGTGCAGCCGCTGACACACGCAGGTTGACGAGCGCGGCATATCGTTGCGCTTTCCGCGGTTCATTCGGATACGCGATGACAAGAACGCCGACAATGCGACGGGCTGTGAGCAGGTAAGGGTGTTGCGCGACATCCCAGTGGCGCGATATTGACTTCGTCCGCAGGTCGCGGAGATGTACGAGCGACAAGCGCTTGCGCAAGGGGGTGGCAAGAAGGGCAAGGTGGTTGATGACTTCTGGTAGAGCATCTCGCGTCGTGGTAACTGGTGCAGCATGGGATATATAGTATAATGGAATATCTAGGAAGAGGGTTGTGAGCGATCACTTTTGCGCAGCGTTCTTCACTTCCTCAACGGCCTGAGTAACCTTGCCCTTCGCCTCCTCCGCGGCATCTGCTATCTTGCCAGATGTTCCGAGCTTCTCCTCGCGACCGCCCCCATACCAGTACTTCACGAAGCGCGCTTCCTGGATGGACTGGGCAGTAGCGTTGGTAGCATGGCAGGCGAAGAGCAGATAATTCCGTGGCTGCACGCGCCATGCTGGAGAAGGTTGTCAGCTGGGCGAAGGATGGAATGTGCACTGATACGCACCAAAGCGCATGAAGACCATGCTGAGGCAGCAGCTGTCAGCAGGATATCATGAAGCGCGATGGATCACGCACGAGTAGGTCATGAGCGCAGTGGTCATAGTGCCCGAAATGACTTCCTCATCCTTGCGAAGGTCCGCGAGCGCGGCGAGAGGCAGCCCCCAGTTGGCAACCTATGAACCGACGCGATATGGTCAATCCCCCGCACAGTCATTGGCCAGACAAGCACCGACAGGGCCCCAGAAGTGCGTGCCTTTCCCCAGAGTCAGTCCAGATTAATGCACGAGCTCAAGCAGCACTCACTAAAGAAGTATTCCCGCGCGGCAGGGGACTTCAACCAGTTGACAAACGTGCTGGCCATTGTGGAGAGTGAGGGGAAGGTGGGGGCAGGAGCAAGGAGCGTAACGGCTTACGGCTGTCATCCTCGGTAAATTCGGGCGATCAGGCCACGTGCGCGTCGGCCCCTCGCGCGTGGCGCGTCGGGCGCGTAGACTGATCGAGAGGGCTGCCCCGCGCGGCCACCAGCGCCTCCTTCGCGCCCTCACGGCCCACGCACGACGACCCCGGCTCAGCCCGCGCACCCCCTGCCCTAGGCGCCCGCCGCTCAAAGCGCGCTCTATCAGCCACGAGGTCTTACGCCTCATGTTCGTTTTCGCCTGATCTGCTTCCTTTCCCTTAGACGCTCATAATCTTCGCCGCTCATGAGCTATCCTACGAACATCGGCCCCGCCCCCTGGCAGCAGTACACTCCCTACCAGGGGAACAGCTACCAGGTCCCTCCCTACGCCCAGCCTCAGAACAATCCCCCGCCCTTCATCCCCCGAGCTTACCCTCAGCGTACGGCGGGCGCTGGGGGTGCCACGAACGGGTACTACTCCTACGGACAAGGCCAGGCGACACCGAACTATGGACATCATGTGCCTATACAGGACAGCTTGAACCCGCCTGACCTAGACTCGCGTCCCAAGAAGTTCGAACCGCGGCATCGCAAGAACTCGTCTGCGCCCAAGTCTGCGATGAAGCGTTCAGCGACAGCTACTGCCGCGATCCCTGTTCCCGATGCAGGGAAGGAGCCATTTCCCTCATTTGCGCACGCCGGCGGTCACACACCGCAGGAGGGGGCGAACGGGAACCTGCATCGTCATCATAGCACGCCGGAGGGGACGACCAACACCTTGCACCGGCAGCGCACGCACTCCAATCCGAACAAGCCCGTGGATTTGGGTCAGCCGTACGCGCAGGGATCATCGGGCGACACGCCAGCTTGTACGTGCACCGTCATCGTCGCACACATGTACCTAATTTCTGGCGCAGACTACATGTTCGTCTCCTTCAGCGATTACGACATCTTACGCCTCGAAAACGTGCCGGACCCCGCACTCAAGGAGATCTCAAGCGTCCTGCCTAGGATGTGGTTGGATGGCATCGAGTACTCGGACATGCCATCGGACTATACCTGGCGAGCCAAGCTTCGCAATCAGCCGTTCCGCGTCCGCAAAAACGCCATCGTGAAGTCGGTGACATTGACATGTGTACCGGGACGTTACTGACACGCCACTGTAGCTGTGCAAAGCTTATCGTCGATCTATTCAGTCTGTTTGCCCGAAGGGTGGGCGCTCTTGCAATCTCGTATGTATCCGTACTCACGCTTCACCAGGGCTACCTATGCCTACAGACGCTAGACCTCTCAAGTGCTGTACGCATGTTCGCTGGCTCGTCAGTGTCATGATGCTTACGCCTTCCACAGGCTCCTCGTCTAGTCTTCCAAATCGCCCCCGTCATCGAGAACCCGATATTCTTCATCGGTTTCTTTTCCAAGAAGCAGACCCAATTCACGCTAGTACGACCGCCACAGGCTGTTGACAAGTTTCTTGGTCGGCGATTGAAAGAGCGACTGGAGAAGGGTGCCATCGCCAGTGACCAAGAACAAAATGAGACGCTCCGAATAATCGAGCTGAATAGAAACTGTCAGTATCCTTTCTCCATACGCGCGTACTTCTCGCATTACTGACTATGTGAACAGCGAGCAGGCCAGTCGAGCCTTGCCTCTTCATGATGCACGTCCTTTCGGCGCTTAACGAGATCTTCTATAATCTGGACGCGACAATTCCACTACGAGACGATCGCCTCCACCATCCGAACCACAAAAAGGAGATATTGGTCTTCCGTTACGATCACGAAACCGCCGCCAATATGGCTGGCATTCACCAACAAGCGCAGATGCAGGACGCTGCAGCTTTCGTCGCGCCGCCACCGAAGGAAAAGCACCACCGGCGGTCGCGCTGACTACTACCAACTAGTAGGTTTCTGGGTTTGCGAGTTGTCGAGCCTTCTAGGCCGTCCAACTGTCGTTGAGGCTGGTTTTCTGGTGTGCGTTCATAGCTATGGGTTCCTTCTGGTTACTTCTGCCACGGGCACGGACACGTACAGTACTTCCAAATGTTGTCGATCCCGCTTTCGCTTAGCTTGCGTGTGCTTGGACAGTGGCTTGAGTGCTCCGGTACATACCTGTTCACTGGACGATGTTCGCTTCTTGTATCATACATGTACCATTAAAGGGCTCCTCCTTCGATACCTCCGTACCATACTGTACTATATTCGTAGACAAAAGATCGTGCGATGACATTAACGGTCCTCTCGAGATGTGTGCTTGCTTCGATCCCGCGTAAATGACGAGCGTCTCAGACCTAAACCATCTTGACGACTTTGCTGCCATCGACAAGGCCTGCGAGGCTCTTCGCGACAACCTTGCCCGAAGCGTCTTTTCGAGCAAGCAACTCATCCCACCATCCAAAGAGGAAGTCGCGGGCGATGAGCTTGAACCAGGGTGTGAAGGAGTTCGCTTCAAGGGATGTTAGCGTATTCTACTAGCCTCGTCAGGGAACACGCACCTGGGTCCTCGAACATGGCCTGCAGCTCGGCCTTGCTAACATATTTGTGGTCGCGGATCTCATTGGCGTTCGGGGTCACGTCAACGTCCGCCGTCAAGAATAGAATGTAGTCCACTGTTCGTAGTCAGCTCCGACCGTAACGGCTAATGGCACCAGGCGCACCTTCGTGTTCCCCCCACGTCCCATCGGACGGTGCGAGGTAGTGGATCCGCGTCAAGTACTGGAACTCGTCCACTGGCGTCTGACTCTGGGGGATCCCCAACTCGTGCTCGAGCTTCCTGCTCGCAGCAACGCGCACGCCACGGTGCTCCTTCTCGTCCTTCTCTTCCGCGAAGTCGTCCAGTGGGTGCGAGCAGCAGGTGTTTGTCCACATGTCCGGGAACGTGATCTTCTCCGTCGCGCGCTGCTGCAGGAGAAGCTTGCCATCGCTCGGCCGGAAGACGAACGCGGAGAACGCGCGGTGCAGAAGGCCCTTGTTGATGTTCTCCATGAGATGGCCTGTAGTGCATTGGTCAATCATGCGGTGGTCGATGGATCGGCGCACGCACATGTCTTCTTGTCCATGGCACCGATCGCGTTATCCTCCTCGTCGACGAGGATGCAGCGCTCGTCCATCAGTCGGCTCTGCTCCGCATCGTAGCTGGAGAGATCTATGCTCGCAAGAGCTGCCTTGGCGGCGAGAACGGCGGGGGAGCTCATCGTGCGGATCGGCAGTCTATGGGTCCGGGAAAAGGTAGAGGTACGGAGGAAGAGGGAGGAGGGCCGGGCGCGAGCACACGGCGCCTTTAACTGTGAGAGAAAGCGATACAGATTGTGATCGGGCTACAGAGCAAGCCGAACTCACCGCAAGGCGGCGGGGGACGAAGTCGAACGATTTTTGTGGCGTCGGATTCAGAGGTCGCTCGGTCCGACGCACCCACCGTCCTTCTTCCACTCAACGTCAGCCTTTTATGAGTTACCGATGTTATGACGACAAAAAGCTCACTATTGCACTAGGATCACAGTGATATACCATTACAAGGTTTCTATAATATGGCTTCTATGCCTACAAGTGTCTTCAAGTGACGCATTCCTAACATCTATAGCAAGTACAAGCTAAATGACTTCAAGTCGTATCGATCCGTACGCCTCTTGTTGATCTATGCGCAGCAAGTTCTTCGTACCCAGCACTGTAGATCAATCAGTATCACTATCGTTCCACCATGGGCAAGTCTGACGCACCCAAGCAATGATAAAATCCAGCAGCAGCGACGTGCCTCGTACTCGTATCCTTCGGAACCACAGTATCGAAGGTGAGGCTCTTCCCCCCTCCAAGCGTCAAGCTTTGCATCCTCGCGTATCTGAATGGCCCGTCAGTATGGTGGCATCGTCGAGCAGGCCGACGCAACGCACTCCAGGAAGTTAAAGGAGTTCCTCTCCAGCGTTATCAAGTTGGCGTCCGTCAACTGCGACTCGAAGGCCTCTTTCTGCACTGCGTCGACTGTGGGACGATTCGTATCAGTCACATCCTCCCCGACAAAGTCGCAGTTCTTACCCTCAAAACGAAAATCCTCGCCGACGGGGCCGGGACTAAAAGCTATTGCACTGCCGCCAGGTCCACCGGCAACGCTGGGAGGAAGGCTGCCGCCAAGTGAGCCATCGCGAGGCCCGATAGAGCTGTTCCTTCCGCCGGGAAGTCGGATGGAAACCTGGTCGACGCTAATCCTGTCGCTGCCTTCTCCGGGGAGCATAGGAGCTCCCGAAGAGCTCATGAAGCCGGCATGGTCCCATGGAAAGAGCGAGCTGCGTTGCGAAGAGATGTTGAACTCGGCTTGCGCCCCGAGGAAGTCGAGCTGCGAGCCCGGCCTGGACGACATCCGACGCGCTTGGCCTGGGTCCTGAAATCATGCCAGTCAGTACTTCGCTATCTCAGAGTAGCGGCTCGCTGACCTCAGACGAATGCCGTTCAGAGACACCCCTGCCGAAGAATGGCTGGTCTTCCTCGTATGCACCTTCGAGAAGGTCAGCAACGGCGACCTTCACATCGTCTATCGACTCACCTTGCATAGCATCCATGTCCGCGAAGGCGCCCGGAGACCGACGGTCCTCGTCCTCCTCGTGTACGGGCGATAGACCTGTACGCCGCCGCTTCCTAGAACGACCTGCACAACCATCAGGTATCCCAACATAAGCAGGGGTTCGTTCTACTCACCGCCTGCATCCTCACTCTCCCCGGACTTCGCTTCAACCTGTACTCGGAAGGCCTCCTGCCAGAAGTCTGCGAGAGCCGGGGCTTGCACTGTGTTCGGTCAGACCGGGACCCCGAGCGAAAGAATGTTCTCCGACCGATATTGGGAGCGCCCCACACGAGTTCTTCAATCATCTTCTCGCTCGCCTTCTCCGCCTGCTTCTGGGCCTGCTCCTTCTTCAACTTGGCTTGGCCCGCGACGTACTGCTCACGAGCCATCTGTGACGTCTCTGAGCAACGTATTTGGACCCTGAGCACACCCACTTACCCGCAGTTCCTCGTCGGACAATTCTGTTCTCGCATCAAGGAGAAGCCGGCCCCTCTTTAGCTTCTTCGGCGCCTGCCCAATGACCTGCTCGTCATTCTTGCGAGTCGTCTCTAGCAAAGGGTCCGCTCCTTCCTCCTGCGACAGAAACTGACGCGAGAAGGAGGTCGCAGGGCTCACGCCGCGCGGCGTCAGCGCCCGGGAAGGCGGACGACTGCGGCGTGCGGACGATGGTGGCTGATTTTCTGGTGATGGTGAGTAACACTACGGCGGGCAATTCGTCTTCCTGCTCACCCTTGGCTCGAGCTGAAGCGCTCTGACGAAATGTTAGCTGCTATAGCGACGCGAAAAAGACCTTACGATGTACATACCCGCTTTTTACGCGGCGTCTCCGGCACTGTGATGGGTCCGAACTCGCCAACAAGATCTGGCATGCTGAAGGGCTGCGACATGTCCACATCCATGCGGAACTCATCGTCGAACTCGCCAGGCTCACTGAAACACCAGTCAGTGTACCATTAGGTGGGATACATGCGCGTCGATACGTACGTCGCACGCGCTCGAGTAGGGCTAGCCCCCCATCCTTCGCCCAGCTCGCGCGCGAGCTCATCACCCAGCCCGCCAAGATCGAAGGCATCCGGTACGTCAAAAATGTCGTCCTGGAGGATGAAGCTGTGGTCGACCTGGGATGAGGAAGGGTCCGCCCCGCTGAATGTCAAGTCGTATGAGGCCGACAGTAGGTGGTCGTGGTGCTCTCGCAGGGTGTACTTGTCTCCGCGGACGACCTCGTCTTCCAGTACAGCCGGTCCTCCCTTGGCCCTCCCCTTCCTTCCCGCCTTCGGATCGTAATCATCGTCCAGTTCCATGCGGTCATCGCTGCCGCGATCTATGGTTCTTGGTCAGTATACGTACCGTCAGGCGCGATGTATGCACTCACTAATGTTCAAGAAATCGTCCCAATCCTGTTCAAAAATTAGCCAGTGGCATAACACACTTCGAATTCAGAACGCACGGCTACGAGCGTGTCGAAGTCTACCGCATACGTGTTGGCGGGGTCGAGGGTCAAGGTGACGGCGCCAGCTCTGACCAGTATGTGAGTGGCGGACAGAGAGTATATGCTTCGCGACATTCACCTGACTGTCGGCTGAGCCATCTGCAGCTGATCGTCGTTTAGGGATCTCAGCTCGACGACGACTTTCTTCAGCGATGTGACGCAGTTCGTAATATCGGTGTATAGCATTTCTTGCTTCACTAAGGGAGTACGACGTCAGATATGGCAAAGTAGAAGACTTGGCACTCAACCTTTGTAGACGCTGCCACAACTTTAGGATGAACGAGCTACCCATGTTTATGCAGGCTTACCGGGCTACGCCCACCATTAAATTACTTGAGAGACGCAGAGCAAGGGGTTCCATAGGTTCAGCAATCAAGTCACAGAGTTGAGCAATATCAGCATTAAGAACAGAGCGCTTGGGTAATTTCTTGAAAGCAGATCTCGAGCCTAGAGTAGCAGCGAGCCTATAACGCTGTCAGCACCTTCGGACGATCAAGATGTGTGCAGCTCACCATAGCAGACCAAAGCCGCTATCGCGCTTGGAAAGAAGTTCCTGAGTGAAAAACATGACAGCAGAGGGATACAGAGAGCGAGGAGGAGGGTCAAGGTGAGAAGCAGTCAGTAAATACGATGGAACATGGGGGTAAAAAGAGAAGGGGGAAGCGAGGAAAGAAGCGGGGCTGGACAGCGCTGTCCAACGTCGAAGATGCTCGTCGGCAGTTGCCGGTGGATGTCACGGTTGACAATTCGGGGTATTCCGACAGGTTGTTCCGTTTGCCCGTCTGGCTCGGCACCGTGGCCATTGTTCCCATGCGATCTTCACTCGCTGCTTCCTACCGAGGGAAGGCTGCGACGCGTTTACGACGCGGAGGCTGCGGCTGATGCGATGGGCGCCCGTAACTCTGATTGCTGGACCGCCCCGGACCTTCTGCTAGTCCGTGTCGCGAATGATTTTGTGGGCGTGCTCACCTCGACCTCCGTTACCAGGCAGACGCCTCCACACCAACGCGGACATGGAGAAGCGTCCAGCAGCTTATCCAGCGCATGCTTGCGACTCCCGATCAGCGCGTCGGGGTCCCCCGCCCGCTTCGCTGCGATGACGGCAGTCGGGACCTTTGGTTTATGCCCATTCAGCTCAAACGGGCCATTTCATATGCCCGCAGGCTCATCATGCTGGTTGCCTGACCATCATATTTAATCAAAAGCCAGCTCTTCCTCTCTTCCTCATAACCCCCGCCCACCTGTACATTGCCCTCACCATGCCCTCCGTTTCACCTTCTCACAAGACGGATGAGCGCTCCCGCGGGCGGGGCCCGCGTCTCATGATGGCTTTATTCTCTTCATGGGTACTTCCGTCGAAAAGCTCGTCCCCATCGAGGAAGTCAAGCTCCCCCAAGCATGGGCGCTCTCCCACCTCATCCTCAGAGTCAAGCGGGTCCACAGCCGACTATGGGGGGAGAGTTCGAGCAGGGTCAGGCGCCGAGCCATCCGCCCGCGTGCCCCAACAGCTGCACAAGGCACCCGCGACGATTGCGTCTCGCGCTGGCCGCGCAGAGCAAGGTACGTTGTGCGATTGTCAGCATGCGAACATCAGCTTAATGTACTCTAGTACCGCTCAACGCAGGATTTTACAGTCCAGATTCTTCCATTCCAACGTACGGGCGGCCATCCAGCAGCCACCGACGTCCTGTACCTCCAGGCTTGTCCTCGTCGCCCCACGTTCCCTACGATGTACCACGTCATTCGTTCGATTCCCGTCCCGGAACCAAGGATGCCAGGCACCTTGATCCAGGCGTGTACCCTCCCAACCGCGCTCCACCTTCACTCTCGGCAAAGCCGATCCAGCTTGCGAAGTCTACACCCAACCTCGGGGCGGTGCAGGCGCCGACTACTGCGCCTCGTAATATCCCACGCAAAGCCCCACCGCCATATCTGCCACCCTCCTCCAACGCACATGCACCTGCTGCGAGCGAGCCATCTCCACTCCTCTTCGTGAGACCAGCAACCACTGCTCGCCCTGGCTCCAGCAATGGTAGGCTTCAGTCGGGCCCCAATGGCGACAGACCGAGCTCAGCCGGGAGGGATGGTCCGCGGCCAAGTCTCCCTGTCGGTCCGCCCCCACAGGCGCGGCTTAGGCCAGAGATACGTCACAAGAAGTCCCACTCGACCGTCCACGAGCGCGAAGTGGTCGAAGACGATGACCTTCCCCCTCTTCCTCCCCCACAACATCGCACTCTTCCCATGCCTCATCGTGAGGGCCTCCAACCTCGTCCTCGCACTTCGTCGAGAGTGGACGCGCCCACCAAGCCGCGCTCCAAGCGAAGGCATCTTGCTGTTCGCCCTGCCACCGCGGACAACGCCGACATCAGTAGGAAGAAGCAGAGCTGGCGCGGCCAGTGGAACGTGGATGACATCGAAGAAGTGCGGAGGAGGCTTCGCGAGCTTTGATGACAAGACAGTCCATGTCATTAGAGTCCGCCGGACGAGTGATAGAATAGATACATGCTATACGTGCTATTGGGTATGCCATGTCCTCCTGAGATATACAAGGAAAGCCGAAAGCCATTGGTCTACACACCAAATCTATCGCCTAAGCAACTTGTTGAGCCATGACCCGCTAACGTTACTGGGACTGCCTTGTCCGCCTCGCTGCTTTCCCTTGTCCTTCATCCGGTCCTCTGGAGCGTCGTCAGCAGGAGGTGCCGCATCATGCGCAGCATCCACAGCGCCTCCCCCTCGTGCAAGCTGATTCAGCTGGCCCTGCACATCGCCTTCGCTAACAGTCCGCCGCCGGGGTTGCTTGCTAGGGTCTGCAGTATCACCAGGTAGGCCCATGCTGACGCTCTGGCTCATCATGCCCGCAGTTCCCCCACCCAACTCTGTTTGTCGCCGCCGCTTCCCTGTATGCGTATGGGTGCGTTCGTGCGCGCTCTGTTTGGGAACAACGGAGAAGCCCGGGCTCATGGCAGAGAGACCAATCTGGAACCCGGGCACTATGGGCGGAGGAGATAGGGCCCGACTATGCGAGGACACGCGACCTTCGCGAGAAGGTCGGAATGGCGGGCTTCCGAGACCACCATAATCCAGAGAGGTTCGATGTCTTGAGCGCGAGGGGCGTTCGAGAGGTGGAGATAAGGGAGAGGGATCGTGCGTAGAGACATGGGGTGGGGCAGAAGGAGGCGGCGCCGAAGACAAGCTGGACCTTTGCTTGCGCCCAGGAATGGACAATTTGAGGCCAACCGAGCGGCGGGAAGAGAACGGAGCGGATGAGCTGGGCGACGTGTCCGCTGCGTGTGTGGAGCTTTCGTTCGCTTCGCCGGGGATGGAAGTATCGACGAGCGTGTGTGGACTTCCTGTATGTTCCAGGCGAATGCTGGTACCGCCATCGACTCCTTGTTCATCCTCATCGTTGAGGTCAATCAGCGGCTCTTCGTCCTCGTCGCTCTCGGAGCCGCTCCATATCTCGTCGACCTCGCCTTTGTCGTCGGTCTGGATGCTGACAACCCAGACGCCGCCCAAGAGTATGACCATCCCCACTGCGACAAGGGCGAGGTGCCACGGAGCGATGAGCGCGAACTGGTCGTAATAAACAAGGCCGTTCACGATGGAAGATAGGTTATAGAAGCAAAAAGCCGCTGAAAGGGGCAGTAAGCGACGTCCAGTGAATCGTGTGATGAAAGCTCTTACATGGGCACACAAGTGTTGGGTCGGCGAGAATCAAGCCCTTATGAAGGTACCAAAGCTGCAAGAGAGCGAACACGCCAAGCGCCAAAACCAGGATCCATGCCTGCCAACGCCAGAATTGGTTGTCGCCTTGTATGGTGAGCATAAGCAATTCGACGCCGCTCTTCGCGAACAGCAGGCACATCCCAGATAATATTCCCGAGATGGATGCGTAGGATATGGCGAGAAGTACGCGCATGCGGCGAGTCTTCTGGTCCACCTCGACAGATTGATGAGAGGAGATAGATTCGGCGTAAGAGGATGCAGACGACGCCTTTGGGTCTATAAGCGGGGTTCGTTCGTCTACAGCCTCGTGCGCAACATTGACCGAGAGTCCGGTGGTGAGCACAGTAGGTGGGGGATTCTCAGGGTCGCTGAGGGATTCTGGCGCGTTCGCGGCTTCACGTTTGAGTCGTCGCGAGACAGTAAACTCAAGGGCGTGTGTCTACGAAAGGTATGAGGGCTGGGCTTGGGAGAGGTAGCTGATTGACGCACCAAAATCAGAGCGATAGCCACTACAACGCCCAGGACGCTAAAGTAAGCGACGAAACCTGGTCGTCTGAATAGCTCCAGTAGGTCTTCGAGCGATCGTGTCTGCTCTGGCACTATGCCGAATATAGCTATGAGGACGGCACCTCCTGCTATGAGAACTGTACCCAGCACCATCCAGGGCGAGAAGACATCGCCAAGGATGAGCCTTGCGAAGAATGCATTCCAAAGGAGTGAGACTGCACCGAGAGGGGCGAGGATGACGACAGGGAGCGACGCGATTTGCACTAGGGAGCCGAGAATGTTGGAGGATATGAAGATTAGGAAGCCTACAATCCACATCCTATCATGTCTGTCAGCGCCGACGACGGATGATTTTGAGACGGCGCAACGTACGGCCTCCGATGTTCCACCTTGCGCTCGCCTTCAGGTAGCCCTTCATTGATGACATGGCTCTTCCGTTGTATGGTGAGGCCCAGCGACTGCACGAATGACGCCAGAAGACCGATGAAGATGCCGAGGGGGATAGATACGTGCGCATCGGTGGCGGAATAAAGATCATCGTTGCCAGAGGGAAGGTTCATGCTGTCCCAGTCGTGTTGGTCGGAAAAGGCGGTTGCACCCACGGAGAGAGTGAGCATTGAGTTGGCTAAGGATAATTGTGCAGCATGAAAGACGCCTGGCCTCATGTTGACATCGGTCGTTCCACTCGGGTTGGTCTGAGTTCAAGACCAAGCTTGTTCTCGACAGGGTGTACGCGATCGGGTCACACGTGGCCAGCACATTGCGGCGCCGGCTGTCTGAATCACAGGACCAAGGATATGGTTGCTCGCACTTTACACGCTCCTCGAGTTCCTCTCACCCTTGACTTATGCTCGAATAATGCATTCCTATTTTACAGTACAGTACAATTACACCGAATGCTTGATGATATTGCCCAATAAATTACATTACTTCGTGCGAGTCCATTTGCAAGTTGCATCCGCCTAATCCATTTCCTCAATCTCAAGGTCATCCTCCCAGTCGTCCACATCCATACCATCTGCGTCGACGTTGCTCGCTGCATGGTTCGGCACGATGACGAGCCTGTTGTGAGGCCCGTCGAAGCGGACCTGCACCGTCTCGCCGTCCCGAACCTGCTCCGACAGGAGCATGACCGACAGCGGGTTGAGCAACTCGCTCTGTATGGCGCGGTTGAGCGGCCGAGCGCCGTATTGTGGCGAGTACCCGACAGACATGAGGTACTGCTTGGCGTCGTCGGCGATGTCGAGCTTGATCTTGCGATCCGCGAGGCGTTGCTCGACTTCCGCAATGCGCAAGTCGACAATCTTGAGGATGTGCTTGCGAGCGAGAGCACGCTGCGTAAAGGTCAGTGCTAAGCTCGAACGGAAATGAGAGAATTGTACTCACGAAGATGACTATTTCGTCGATACGGTTGATGAACTCGGGCGGGAAGTGACCGGATATGGCGCCCATGACGAGCTCACGGACGGCCGGGTTCACTGGACCCTCACCAACGTCGTTGAGGTAGGCGGCACCGAGGTTGGATGTCATGATGATGACGGTATTCTTAAAGTCAACGACGCGGCCTTGGCCGTCGGTGAGACGACCGTCGTCGAGTACTTGAAGGAACAGCGTCACGAACTCCCGGCAGGCCTTCTCGATCTCGTCGATGAGGATGATTGAGTAAGGCTTACGACGGATGTATTCAGTGAGCTGCCCTCCAGAGTCGTGACCGACGTAGCCTGGCGGAGCACCGATGAGACGAGAGATCGAATGCTTCTCAGAGTACTCCGACCCATCGACTCGAATCATAGCATCCGACGAGTCAAACAGGATTTGAGCGAGCTGTCAAGACGAGTCAGGCATCGTTCTAGACTTGTGCAGAGAGCGAACTTACCGTCTTCGCCATCAGGGTCTTGCCCGTCCCGCTGGGACCTGCGAACAAGAAGCTGGCAATGGGACGGTTCTGGTTGGCCAAACCGCTCCTCGACAGGCGAATGGCGTTCGCAACCGCCTTAACGGCGTCAGCCTGTCCGACAACTTCCTTCGCGAGTATTCTCTCCATACGAAGGAGCTTCTCCTTCTCGCTCGACATGAGCCGGGTGACGGGGATGCTGGTCCAACGCGCGACAATCTCCGCAATCTGCTCGGGGGTGACGACGTCGTGACCGACGCCGGCGGCGGCGTCTTCCTCAGCCTTCTTGGCCTCAAGAGCCTCGAGCCTCTTCTGCAGATCAGGAAGAGCGTAGTACTTGATGTCGGACGCAGTCGCAAGATCATATCTGATAAACATGGTCAGTATTGACGATATTGAGAACGGATACAGATACTCACCTTCGCTCAGCATCCTCGACCTTGGCCTTAAGCTCGTCGATGCGCCGGCGAACGTTGTTGATCTCCTCGCCACGCTTCTTCTCGTTCTCGAACTGGGCCTTCAGAGGCTGGAGTTGTTCGTCGACGTCGGCGATAGCCTTGCGCGCAGCCAGGAGGCGCTCTTTGCTCTCGGCATCCTTCTCACGCTCGAGAGCGTGGATCTCAACCTCGAGCTCGAGCTTCCGACGCTGGAGTAGGTCGATAGCTTCGGGTTCCGTCTCGCGCGTTACACGCACGCTGATGGCGTTGGTCAGCAAGCAAACTCAGTGACACATAAGCAGTTGAGGGCTTACCTCGCGCAAGCCTCATCGACTAGGTCGATAGCAGCATCCGGTAGACGTCGTGATGTTAAGTATCGGTGCGCCAAAGTAGCCGCGGAGATGAGAGCGCCATCCATGATGCGGACACCGTGGTGGACCTCATACTTCTCGCGGATGCCTCGAAGGATGTTGATGGTCTCGGAGACGCTAGGTTCGTTGACGATGACCTGAGCGAAGCGACGTTCCAGGGCAGCGTCCGTCTCGATGTACTTGCGGTACTCCGCGAGAGTGGTCGCCCCGATGCAGCGCAGCTTGCCACGGGCGAGAAGAGGCTTGAAGAGGTTGCCAGCATCCATTCCACCACCCTCGCTGCCACGGCCAGCCATGATGAGGTGCAACTCGTCGATGAAGAGGATGACGCCCTGGCCACCGTTCTCCGCAGCCTTCTCGACCTCGTCGAGGACGGACTTGATGCGCTCCTCGTACTCGCCCTTGTACTTGGCGCCGGCCATCAGAGCACCCATGTCCAGTGACCATAACCGAGCGAACAGGCTAGCAGGTACGTCGCGCTTGACGATACGCTGAGCAAGACCTTCAGCAATGGACGTCTTGCCGACACCGGGTTCGCCGATTAAGACTGGGTTGTTCTTCGTCCTATAATGCAATTAGAATACGGCTACCAGACCCAGTACAGGAGACATACCTTCGGCAAAGGATGCGAATGACGCGACGAATCTCGTTGTCACGACCGATGACCGGGTCAATCTTGCCCTCCTCCGCGAGCGCGGTGAGGTCAACAGCGTACTTCTGGAGAGCGTCGAAGCCCTGCTCGGCCGTCTTCGAGTCAACGCGCCTGTTACCGCGCGTCTGCTCGACAGCGGTCTTGATGGTGGCTTCGGTGATACCGTTATCCTTGAGCAGCTGTGCGAATGACGGGTCCTTGACGAGGGCGAGAATGAGATGGTCCTGGGCGATGTACGAGTCGTGCATGGTCTTCTGCAACGACTGTGCTTCGCGAAGGACCTTGAGAGCAGCGGAGCTCAACGTCGTCTCATCGGGCGGTGGGCTTTGCGTGGGTAACCGCACGATGAGCTTCTGAACGGAGCGCTTGAAGGTCGTCTGAAAGGAATGCGTCAGAACAAGAAGACATCGATGAGACATGCATCCTACTCACCGGATCGCCTCCGGCCTTCTCGATGATTGACGTGAACAGAGAATGATTGCCAGTGTTGCCTTCACCAGCGCCTTCGTTCAGCAACGCGAACGCGATATGCGCTGGGTGGACTGTAATCGGTGTTAGCGACGTACGACAAGTGAGGGGCTTCCTTCGTACCTTGAGCGTTAGCATAGTCCTTGGCAAGCTGGATAGCAGCTGCCAGGGTCTCCTGGGTCTTGTCGGTGAATTCGAAGTTGGAAGTCATGACGGTTCGTAAGGGAGAAAGTCTATGAGAGGCTGTCTCGTTTCCCGCGGGGTTTTATACGAGCAGCCTCCCTCGAACTTTCGCGACATTTCTTAGGATGGCATGAAGCTCGAGCCCTTTGGCCGTGACGTCACAAAGGTAATTGCCTACCGGAACAACCGGGTCGGTTCTCCGAACGTTCTGGTATTTCCAAGCGCCGACGAGAGTGGTCGGGAAAGAACCGGAAACAGGACAGGGCAGCCCCCTGAGGGTCAGCTGGAAAGCATTCACGAACAATCGCGACGAGCGTAGGATAGACGAGTGGGACCTAGATGCACGCTAACTGCAACGACTGCAATGAAGGGGTGGACAGACTCAGGCGAACAACCAATTATTGGAACATGCCTCGCTGCTATTCTGCAAAATACGGCGGAAGTAGGCTTGGAAGCGCTGAATTCGCACATCTTATGAACATGTAGGCTTCCTGCCGGCGCAGCAGGACATGACCATACACGATGAGAGGCAGACCATAGCAAGGGTTGCATGCACAGTGGACTGTCGCTTGGTCATTGAGGTTCTCGAGATGATAATAGCTCTACACGGAGCGAGGTCCTCCACGTCCACGGCCGGCTGCCTCAGTGATGGTGGTGGTGGTCCGGGTCCTGCTGGAAACGGATGCCGCTGCGTAGTCCATTAGCAAAGCGAATAGACATAGACAATGATAGACGTACCAGTATCTGTGAAGAGAATGGAAAATTGACGACGATGAGCAATATTCCAAACGTCGAGACTCGAAGCAACAAACATACCCGCATGCTCTTGGACCAGGTTGATCCTGAGTTAACGTGTTAGAAGGTAGCATAGCGCCAAAGGTGAGCGACATACCAAGTTGATGAAAATCTTGGGATGACCAAGTGGGCCAGAGCCTGTACATTGATCAGTATGGGGAGCGTCTTCAGATGTCCTAATTACGCACCACCGTCGCAAACGGCCTTCCTGCCCTGTACCAGTCGAATGGGCTCCTCCGCGATCAACTGCATAGCGCTCAGAGGTGCTGGCTGTGTTTCCATAACGATCTGCTCAAAGCGAGGGCTCGAGGCTGGCTTGGGACGAGGGGCCTGACTGGTCGACCAGGTAGCGACATAGTTCGGGGCCTGAGGAGGGTGCGATGAAGCAAGACGAGCTTCCTGGACATTCGCCTTGGCCGGGGGCGCCGTCGTGGAGTTCAGGCGTGCGCCAAAGGGCTTGGGAATGCGCGACAGGGCGCGGCGGGCCAGCATCGCGAATGTGGTTGGAACTTGAAGGTCGCTTGTCACGCAGGCGTCCGCCGTCGTGTTCCACAATCGGGACGTTTTTCTCACGGTATCCTCCCGGACGAGGTCATCCTCGAGCTGAAGCGCTCGGTAGTCCGTCCAAAGTCCTTTGAATGCCTTATGTATCCTAAGATCCAGCTCCTGTACAAGTCGGTAAGCGTAAAAATACATTTAGTCTGTCTACACCTACGTCCGCTCCCGACAGGACAGTGAACTATCGACAACTAAAGCGAAGTAAAGTAAGAACAAAGAAAGAGGAAAGGACAAAATATGCGACTTGGAATGCGAGCGCACAAGAACATCATTACGAGTAACTTGGGCATTGACTCGATGCTACCACCTGGGTCCGAGGCAAAGGATGACCGTAATATGCATGCGATGGGTAATATGGGAAATAAGGGAATGAATGTGCGATGCTTGAGAAGACAGAACGAGAAAGCCAAACGAATGTGTGTATAAGCGACTAGTCCACGCATTGACATAGGTCAACAGCAATCAAGAGTTGCCGTGTGGCGATGAGAGCGACATTGGAGAGGGCGGCGCATCTCCACCGGCGACAGCTTCTAGATGCGAGAATGGCGGCAGGGGTTGTGGTGATGCGGACATGCGTTGGTCAGGCAAAGGCGACTGCGTTGTCACTTTCGTCAGCTAACATGCACTCACGATTGGCAGGCGTACTCACAACTTTGAAGATGGGATTGATCGCGGATTTGGGTGCCTCGTTCATATGCCCGTGGTACTCGTAAGGGCTGTATTGTCCGTTCGGGTGGAGGTGTGTAAAATCTGCAGGGAGGGATATGAAAGATGGTGCATGATCTCGCCGCAGCGACAGGCCGTCCTGTGGTTGCTGGACCCAAGACGCGCGAGACGGCGAAGGCGATAGCGAAGGCGACAATGAGAGCATCTGCATGGGGGGAGGGGATACCGTTCCAGGAAGTGTCGCCATGGACGCTTGCGTGCGAAAATCGTTCGCAAGTTGACCTTCCAACGATAGTGAATGGGATGACCTTGCCGATTGAGGGAAGTCGTCCGACGTCCGGACAGAAGAGGCAGTAGACTGGGTCATCTGCCGGATTTCGAACAGGCTAGGTCGATTGCGCAGCTGCGAGGGTCCCGGGTCGCTGCCCACCGAGGCAAACGATATCGCAGATACGCAACCGATGCTGTGGACGTCGGATGAAGACATCGAATGCTGATCGTCGATGTCGAATTCGCGGCGGCGAGCCTTGAAATGTCTCTCCGTCTCCCGCCGCCACTCGGGAATTTGGACCTTCTCGAAGCGACCTGCCGCAGCGTTCACTGTGCTAGGTGCCTTCGACTCGCCGGGGGTCTTCTTGCGTACCGGCCCTGCGCCCTGACGGTTCTTGTCCGCTATATTCCCGTACGCGCCAGGCTGCCAATCAATATCGGCACCGGGCTTCTGCTGGAGCGCCTGGTTTCGCTTCTGCATGACCGCGCGAGCCTGCTCCCTCTGCATCTTCTCAGCCAGGAGCCGACGTTGACGATCAGCTTCCTTCTGCAAGCGCTCCGCCTCCTTCTTGTTGATCTTCTTGACATCAGCGGGATGAAGGGAGGCCTCGCGTACGGGCGACGGCTCGCGCAGAGAGCGGCTGTCCGAGCTAGACGACTGCGTGCGCTTGAGCGATGGTGTGGACATCGACGCGATGCCTTCATCGACTGGTGGTAGCGCATGCTGATGGTGCTTGTCGCTGCCAAACATGCCGAGACCCCACTTCGAGCGCTTGCCACCGAATCCCAATGAGCCGAACTTGCCGAGCTTGTTCGCGGGCTGAGAGACGTCCTGAACCGGTATCTCCTGTTCCGCAGAGCCTCGGGCAGGGAACTCTGGCGCGACAGGAGAGCTGAGAATCTCCATAGGCTGAGCGTACTCCGCCTGCGGTGTAACGTCCATGTTGTAGTCGGAGATTCCTGGAGGGTGTATGCGCTCGCCACTCCAGACGGAAGAAGCAGCGGCAGGCCTGCCGCGGACTTCCTCTCGAATGATATCGGAGGAGTTCGAGGGCTGTTGATACATCCGTCCATCCTGTGTATAGTCGGAGGCTTTGCTCGATGATGATAGCGATGTCGAAGATGGGTAGAACGCAGAACGATGGGAAGTCGTTGCGTCGGGAATGCGGGAGGGGTGTATGCGGGTAGCGGGGTGAGAGTAAGCGCCGTTGGTAACAGGAAGCGGCGTCAGTACTTGCAAGCCTGGCGGGAAGGGGATGTTGTTTCGTGGCGTTGTCTCGAGGAGGTATGGGTGTGTAAGGCACTGGTAGCTGGTCAGGCGACGATCTGGGTCGTATCTCAAGAGGTCCCGGATGCAATCAACGAGCGACGTGGGCACGGACTTGTCGAACAACTGGCGGATGTCTCTAGGTTGTATCTGCAAACTTGCGTCAGAGCGAGCCATGGCTGCGTGAGGTATGGACGCACCTTAGGAAACATGAAGCCCACGGCCTTCGCCATCTTGATGCCGCGCGGCCACGCGCCGCCTCCGATGAGGTTCCCCGCGTTATCGACGCCGTACGAGTCGCTGGGATCGCCGAGTATCTCGCATATCCTAGCCACCTGATCGACCTGGTCCGCGCCAGGGAAGAGCGGACGTAGGTTGACTAGTTCTGTCATGATGGTCCCCAGGGCCCACATGTCGACCGGATTGGAGTAATCCCTGCTCATCAACAGCACCTCCGGCGCACGGTACCATCTAGTGGATACGTATTCCGTGTACGGGGGTTTGCTGTTGGTTTCTCTCGCCAAACCGAAATCAGCCAACTTGATGATGGCAACAACGTCCTTCTCCGGGGGTGCATTCGGCGGCGCTACGGGTGAGAGCGTGTTGTAGTCGAAGAGTCCTGTCGTCGTCACGAGGACATTCTCCGGCTTCATGTCGCGGTGGAAGTATCCCGCTGCATGGATGTGGTGCAGTCCGGCGCATATTTGCCTGAAGATGGAGGATACGAGCCCGCCAGCAAGTGCCCGCCCCTTCCTGGCCTTGATGAGATGATAGAGATTGCCCTCCATGGACTCGAACACGAAGTAGAGCTCCTTTGTGTCGGGCATGAGGAAGAAGTCGTAGAGGGGTATGATGTTCGGGTGAAAAGGTATAGCGCGCAAGGACTAAGGGTAAGGTTAGGCGCGCCATAATCGCCTTGTAGACGGAACGCACCTGCAACTCCTTCAGTCTCTGGCATTCGTCCCAGCCTCCCTCCCAGCGCTTCTTCATTCTCTTCACAGCTACCAAGCGCTTGCCATTCCACTCCGGTCTGGCTCCTCCAGCCTGCATGGGGGATAACGGCGTATTCGGGGGTAGCGTCCCATGCCAATCACACAACCAGACCGTACCAAAGGATCCGTCTCCCAGAACTTTGAGCGGTGTGTACGTCCGTATAGAGCCTGAAATCTGCTTCAGCAATGGTTTAGTCAACAACCAGGCCAATGCCATACTTGATTGGGAGGAGCCGACGACAAGGCGGTCGTTCTCAATGTGGACCGAGGGGACGCCGACGACTTTGACGGGTTGCTTGGGAGCCGCATTCGCCTGCGACGGACGTTGCTGGTGTGTTTGCGGCGGGTGCTGCTGCTGATGCTGGGGATGGGGATGCTGGTGACTCGGCTGCTGCTGCTGCTGCTGGGCGTGATGGCCATTGGGCAGTGCGTAGGTGCCATTGGGGACGACGCGAGGGTCATAGTGATTATGGCCTTGTTGGACATGAGTTGAGGTAGCGTACATGATACGCCTGGCATTGCCCAGGACCAGGAATACTGGGTTAGCGGAATTTTACAACTCGACTGGGTGGACCGGAGGCTAGAGGGTGAACATAAGATAATAAGGGCGGCAGCAGGGGGCAAGGAGCGGGAGCGAGGCAGCAAATGAGCTCGACGGCCGGGGCGGGGGCGTCGGGCGACGCGGTGAGCAGAGCAGCAGCGACAACGACTTGGTCGACGAGCGAAAGCGTCGGATGCAGAGGGGACAGATCGCGGCGAATTCGAGGAGCACGTGGCAGACCGGCTTCTTCTTCCGGCTGTAAACCAGCTCGCGCAACGCAACTTGTTCGCAAGAACAAAAGCGCTTCTCTTACGCCGGTGCCATCCAGAACGCACGCATCGTAATCGGCTACCCTATCAATTTAGCCCGCGGCGGCATGCTCGTTCTGAAACCGCCCCCGTGTCCACACCGCGCCGACTGAGGAATACTCTAGCGCCCAAGCAGCATTTCACGGGAGACGTCGACTCCCAGTAGGCCGCCCGCACGCTCCGGTCCAGCGGGCGCTCTGCCTCCCATCACAACCATTGCCGGGCTCGCAAGCCTCTCGCCTGCCTGGACTGATGAACGATAGCTTCGAAGCTTGATGCGGGTGGCTCAAACGAGACCCAGCATCAAATCCTTCATTCATCGCCCTTCTTTTCGGCCACCGACCTCAGATGGATGAATCCGCTGCGAGCCGGCCGTCGAACCGATCCACGCTAGAACCGCGCGTCGGACAAAGAAGTCTCCAGCCTGGGTTCAGGCTACATGCCCGACAGAGACCATTGAACGACCGGTATGGCTGGTACGACGGAAGCGGTTGTGCAGAGGTACAACAGCGAACAAGTACACGTACATACTACATTCACGTCCGAGTCTAATACGGTACTTCGTGGAACAACTTCGAGACACTCTCGCCGTAGTGACTCCTCCTGATCACCTCCCCCAGCACGATACCGATGTCGATGACTTCGATTTTGGAGCATTTTGCCTTGTTCTCCGCCTGTGGAAGCGTGTTCGTGACGATTAACTTCTCGAGCGTACTGTCTTGGATCGTCTGCAAAGCGTTGCCGCTGAGGATTCCGTGCGTAACAATCGCATAGCACTTCGCTGCTCCCGCTTCGGCAAGATGCTGCGCCGCCAGACACAAGGTTCCACAAGTGTCCGCCATGTCGTCCACCAGGATGGCTGTCTTGTCGCGCACATGACCTACGAGCACCATGCGCGAAACTTCATTCGCCTTCTTGCGTTCTTTATGGAAGAGCGCAAATTCGACTCCAAGTCGATCCGCGATTGACGTAGCTCTGCAAGTTGATTGAGTAGGAGACCTTCAGACTTATCCGACTGGATGTACCGCTTGGCACCTCCCGCATCCGGGGAGACAATTACAATGTCATCGAGGTTGAAGTTGGAGCGGATGTAGAGGATAGCGGACGGCTCCGCGTAGAGCTCGAAGCATGTTGGTGTTATCTCAATACGTGAAGATGCTGGCAACTTACACTGCGACGGAGTATGTCAGAGAGCGGCTGAAGCCGTGCACGCAGCACTCACTTGTCTACCGGGACATCGAAGAAACCCTGTATTTGGGACGCATGCAAATCCATGGTCTGGAGGGAATGTAAGATCAGCAAGCCTACTGAGAATATGGATACGCACGACGACGTGATCGCAGCCCGCTCTCTGGAGCATATTAGCCACCAGTTTCGCTGTGATCGGGGCGCGACTCTTGTCCTTCTTGTCTTGTCGAGCGTAAGGGAAGAGGGGGAGGACGGCGGTGATGCGCTTCGCGCTGGCAATCTTGCATGCATGGATCATGATACACATTTCCATGAGCGCAGTATTGACGGCGCCGCAGCCGGTGTTGATGATATAGACATCGTCTTCACGCACGGACTCGCCAATGTGCACTTCGGTTTCGCCGATGCCGCTGCGTGTGATCTCTGCTGTAGAGAGGGGCAAACCGAGGCTAATGGATCTTCGTCAGTGCACTGTGTAGACACGACGAACATAGACGCACCGTCGTGCAATGATTCCCGCTAGCTCTGGATGACTGGTACCTGCGAGAGGCGCTCAGAGGACCGAGTATGCGGCAGTATGAGGTGGGCTAACCAGAGAATATCTTGATTCCGCCGCCGTTCAGCATGTTGGTGAGGTATACAGCAAGAAGAGTAGGATGGGATGGTGTGAGGTGTATAGAAGAGTACTAGGGTAGGTCCATGGAAAGCGGATGGAATGAAGAGCCTGAGGTAGACAGCGACAGAGCCACAGGCGGCGATAATCAAAAATTTGTGGCGACTTCCTCCCACGATAGCGGTGGCCAATGCCGATAGTCGGTGATGTGATCCCACTGCCATTGTTCTCTGAGCATACAATGGCTTTCACTCCTCCGCCTCCTTACGACCCCACGGACAAGAACGGGTGGGAATAAACATCGCTCTTGTCCGTTCTCTTGCTGAGTTGATCAGCTTCTCTTACAAGACTGTGAATACCCGATGGCCGGTTATCCTGACGGGCATCATCGACACGCTGTGTAATGTCAACCACGAGCTGCACGTACAAGCCTCTGCTGCGAACACGAGCGAGGATGTCGCGAAGCAGGCAAAAGAAAGGATCAGTCAGGGAAAGTCCGTCATCGAGAAGATCAGCAAGTTGAAGTACGAGATGGCCCGCGACAAGGAGCTTGAGTACGTTCAGTACTGGTCACATATGCTCAATATATCTTCGCTCATATAATAACAGACTCCTTTCCGAGGATGGAGAACCTCATGTTGGGCTATACAATGCGCAACTAGAAGCGCTCAGGCAGGAGGGAAAGCACACCTGGTACACGGCACCGTGGCTCTTTGCAGAGTGCTACCTGTTCGTCCAATGATTGGCCTATGATCATACAGCTGATCGACGCTCTTGCAGATATCGTTTTCTTCGCAACTACTTCGTCACTTCGGGATTGCGTGACTATGACCCGTTCTTCAAGCAGAAGATAGATACATTCGCTAAGAGCTCAGTTGCCATCCTGCGTAAGTCTATTGGAAGGTCGGACTTGGCCGTGGACCCTCACATCTCTCTCAGAGCTCACCTCAACGCTTCACACTCTCGAGTCTTCTCCTACGACGGATTCAGCCGGTCTTGAGGTTCTCTTCAAAGAAATGATACAAATGTGTCTTTGGGGCAACGCGACCGACCTTTCCCTTCTGACCCACCTCACGGTCGAGGACATCTCGCGTCTTCAGTCTGTGGGGCGTGAGGAGCAAGAGAAGCGCTCCCAGTTCATCTTGCGCGACGATCAGCGCGCGATCTGGCGTCGACTCCAGAACATGGGTGACAAAAAACGCATTGACTTTGTCTTGGATAATGGTATGTGCTGTAGTACTTCCTGATCACCGTGCTGCTGACCTCGTCGTGATGACAGCTGGTTTCGAGGTGAGTGAGGTCAGGTCTGGCAGCACCGGTCCTAATAACTGTTTGCGCGTCGTCAGGTCTTCACTGACCTGGTTTTCGCGGACTTCCTCGTCACATACACCCCTTACGTGAACAAGGTGGTCTTCCAGTGCATACAGTCTACATCCATTCGTCACCGACTTTCTTCTTACTCGAGCGTTGCAGCCCTAAACTGATCCCTTGGTTCGTCTCTGACGTGACGCCCCCTGACTTCAATGCGGCTATCGAGGCGCTGACCCGAGCGGACTTCTTCCCCTCGTCGCAAGCTAGCGAGGTCGGAGCTGTACAGCAGGTCGTTTCACGCTGGAAGAAGTATCTGGCGGACGGTACATTCTCGCTAAGCGTCCCTTTGGACACACCCCTAGGGGGAGGCGGCGAGAAGGGGAGCAAGGCCGAATTTTGGACTTCGCCTCACCCATACTGGAATATGGTGTCAGAGGCGCCTGCACTTTGGCGGGAGCTGCACGAGGAGAGTGGAATGGTCTTCTTCAAGGTCCGTAGCTTGATTCCTGCGCATATTTATGATCTTCTTACGTGACTTCAGGGTGACCTCAAGTACGTTTCCACCTGGCACTTGGCCTGCGTGACTATCCTTACCTTCACCTCTCAGCTACCGCAAGCTTACTGGAGACGTGAAATGGCCAGCTTCCACGCCGTTCGAGACCGCCCTTGGCACGTGCAGCCCTCTGCGTTAAAGAGGCTTCAGAATGCTAAACGAGCGTTAGGACCCTTGGCCGGTACTATTCCTGTGGCCGCTTTGCGCACCAACAAGGCGGATGTAATAGTCGGTCTTCCTGAGGACGTAGCCGCCCGGCTCGACAAGGCTGAAGGTATCAAATGGCGTACAGACGGGAGGTGAGCAAACCCCATATGCAATTTTCTTCTCTCTCTGTTGAAATTGTTTTGCTTCATGATGCTCATTGCCATGCAGGTATGCAGTTGTAGAGATGTATGACCGTGTGTAATTGTGCACTTTTGCTTCGCTTAGTGCCACCATGATACGACCAAGCCTACCACGCTAAATATACAAGACCCGATCATGTACTTCTGTATAGACTGTGACGCTATTTTGCAAGACGCAAGGCGATGATTTGCGTGTCCGTGGTTAGCCACGTCTTCCGGTGGACATGAGGCAGGCCACAAGGAAGGATACGTTGCTCGCTCGACACGATCGACTACGCCACTGGGCGAAGCCGAACTCCCGTGCGGCTGGTACGATCCTGCTCATTCGCGCCACAGGGTGCACCATCACCACACCTGGGTCTCAATATTCCCTGGCGCATACTGCAGGAATATCGTAAGCCAATTTTGTATAAGCGAAGCATAAAGGCGACGCGTGGATCGTGGTCTTACGGGTGGCATATTGATCGGTACGGCCTCCGATTGGCTGGGCCTCGATATGCCCTTTCAATCGACCCGCGGTCTCTATCGAAAGCTGATTCAGAATATTCCCTCGATGAACGTGCAGTAAGCGCAGGGGAATATCGAATCCCAGGTGTGGTGCATCGCGGCCAAAAGGGACGGTCACCTCTGGCAACGGGGGAACAACATAGCACGTCTTCATATGAGGCTAGGACATGGTCGCGCCTCTTGAGCCGGCCGCATGTATTTATTGAGTATTCGCAACTCATACAGTCAATGTTCGAGTCTTCATGGAAAGATACCGTATGTCAAGGATATGCAGCGTCCATAGGAGACACTATGTACAGAACGACACAATCAACGGAAAGAGCGATGCTGAGATATTGTACGTAGTGAGGCCAAGAGTAGAAAGATATAGCACCCGACGTAGATAGCGGACTGAACAAGCACGTAGACGCATGCTGCCGCAGAGGTCTTGGCATGGCCAACAGGAGGATGCGTAATATATACCGACTTCGACAGCGATGGCTTATAACACAGAGATGGTAGAGGTGCGATAATGATAACTGACGGGGAAGAGAATGCGACTATGCAGATGATATGCCAACGAGCGAGCGACGACGGTGGCCTGATGCCGGCTGAGACGATCGTGAAGGGGATAGGTGAATGGTGACGAGTGCGTTCACAGTCCGCACCGCCTGAACAACGTCCATGTCGACATGCTCGGCTCGACCTCACCGACGGGATGAACACAAGCGGCAAGTTCATCGATCTTTGCTAGATCGCTATGCTGAATACCGCTGAGCCTCAGAGCATCCTGCTGACCGAAGGTGCAGGACCACCGTTCAGGATCGACAGCAGAGGGTTCGCCGTGCTCGGAGCGGGTGAGACCACGCTACCTGCCGCGTAGCTCATTGCCATGGGCGAAGGAAGCGTGGAGGTCGACGAAGCATGGGACGCAGGGGGAGGCGGGAACACATAAGGCTGCGCGAGGGGATGGCCTCCTTGCTGCATCGATGCCGTGGGCGGGTACGAAGGACGATGTCCGAGATACGGCGGCTGTCGCGACAAGTACGGTGTCGCCAATGATTCTGCACGAGAGGGAGGAAGCCCCCCGCTTGTGCCGTTCATGATCGACAGGAGCTGGCTCTGGCTCATGCTCTGCGTGCCAGCAGGGTGGAGAGCAGCATTGGGCGCTCCATGACGGAACGACTGGCTCGTCTGCGCGCGTACTTGCGCGAGATCCATGCTCATATCGATTGGGTGACGCGGCTGAGGCTGAACGGTGGAAACGTAGGGCGAAGCCGATCGCTGGGCTTGAGATAAAGCATAAGGATGCGCCTGGGCGTGGGCCATATAAGGCGAGTGATGTGGCGCTGGGGTAGCTGTCGGGCCGGCGGCTGACGAGTAGAGCAGTGAGCTCGCGGCGCCCATCCCAGTCATGGACGATTGCATCGAAGGACCATGCAGTGGGGCCTGCGCCGGAACTGAAGTCGAGAGAGGTGGCGGTGCTGGCGTCATGCGAGCGGCGACCATGCGAGCGGATTCGTCGGCCACGCTTTCCAGCAATGCCAATTGCTTGAGCCGTTTGGCAGTCACGACTTCAGTCGCTGAAGCCCGACTGAGATACGGAGATATGTCCGCGAGATTGTTCGTCCGACGAGGGTTCGCAGACACTGTTGTCGCGGATGTGCTGACGGCAGGAGACGCAGGCTGCGCAGGGCGCTGAGGTACTGGGGTGGGTGCGGACACTGGCAATGTCTCTGAGCGTCCAGAAGACGGCTCGGGCGAAGTCCGTGCAGTGTGTGACTCTGCGATGCGAGGCGAAGGTGTGGCGGAAGACGTCGACAAGGCTTGCGTCTTGTTCTCCGCAGACCCAAGCACGGCCGCGATGATTCCGGCTTTCCTATCGTCTGCCGTAGTCTGGCCATTTGCGGGCAACGCGGGAGCTGCCTTGGGGCTGCCATTCCCGAGCATGAGACCTTGTAGAAGACGGTTAAGGTCATTCGACTGGTCGGTGTTGGCAATCCGCGGTTCAGCGGGCGGTGGCTGTTGAGGAGGGGTTTGTGGATCGACGTATTCACCTCCCGAGTCTTGCGAGCTTGATTCGGGAGATACCTCTTTCTGAAGGCCAGCAGCAGTGGCATAGGGATAATGTGGACTGGGTTGAACGATGGGTCGTGCAGCTTTCCTTGACCGAGGTTGAGCATTGATGTACCTCTTTAAGTGACTGGCGGATTATCAGCACATGAGAGGCACAAAGAGCGGATACACGCACGAGTTGAACTGCTGCGTCAAGTAGAACTTCTTCGGATTCGCAGGCGAGTTCTTTCTCCACCCAGGGAGGTCTGTAAGTCTAAACCACTTGATATCCTATACGCGTCATTAGCATGATCGGAGGTTATGCGATAACCTGGATCATACCCCAATCTCCTTCCTTGTTCTTGTCTCGAACGGAAAGTCCTCTGGCACACCAGGCACCACGAACAATGCGACTTGCTGACCGCGGACGTTGATCTCGCAACAAGAATGTTTATCCACCTCTGACGTTATGTCGTAGCCCGTCTCTTCGAGAACCTTGATCGTCCTTTAGTCGCTGCAGGAGTCGGACAGCAGCGTGGCTCACCTCGCGTATTGCACAGTCCAGGGTGGGCTCCGTTTCGTTGATCTTGCCTTTGGGATAACTCCAAGCCGAGTTCTGCTTCCACCCTTTCACCAATACGCACTGGGGGGATGAATGTGAGGCTTGGTAACGCACGTTAGCCAAACGACGTACTTTGTCCATGCTGCTGTTGAGCATGATAGCGCCACAGACGGGGACTTGTGTCTTGTACGCCAGAAACTTCTTGTACGCCTCCTCATGTTGGCCACTCCATTGTTGCAGAGCCTCGCATTCGTGGAAGAGCATATGAGAGAACTTCTTCAGATGAAGCGAGGGAAGAGAGGGGTTCTGTTCGCGGATGAAGTCCTCATAGTACCAATGACTGTCAATGGTCAGAAAGGTGGCGATAGCTGCAATGGCCAGGACGCACGCTTGCTCCACTTGAAAGGATACCCGTTCCAAGGACTCCAGCTCATCTGGCGGCAAGTTGAGAATAAAGCGACTACAGGGATATCAGCGATCCGGAAAGGCGGTGGCAGACGACGCCCTACCTCGATAGATCTTCTATAACATCTTCGTGCGTAGCATAACGATTCGGGATGTGGGGTGCGTTGGGGGGTAAGGATGACGCCTGTGCGGCCATGACTACAGGGGAAGACGATGTCGATGAGCCTGAGCTCATAGGTATGGCGAGGGAGCGTGATAGCCGAAAGCCACAGTGAGAGAGTGAAGGCGCTGGTCAAGTTGATAAAATAGGTCCGGCCTCCGCTCTGTCCATTTCGGGCCGCAGTAAACACATACAAACAAAGACGGTCCTTGCACACTGTTCCCATGGTCAGGACCATCATCGGCTCTCTCTGCTCAGTCAAATTCACCACCTTCGCATCGACGCTACTGAACATGCAACGGTTTTGCCTCACGTCGGCTACCGCGCGCCCGGCGCCGCGTCTGGCACTTTCAGCGTCAAGTACGAAATCGACACGAATATCTGCAGCGCTAGGCATGGGTAGCCCTGATAAGGGTTCTCACATGTGCAGTGCCATGGTCGCTACCTTGTCTTCTCTATAACTTCCCCACTTTACCCCGCTCGCGCTCATTTATCGACTGTTGCTCTACGTGCGCTCCGACCTATGCATATACCTCCCTCTACTCCTGATTGTATCCACGCAGTCTGTCATCCCTTCTGTTCCTCTGCGCATGATGAACAACTTTCTCGACCTCGCCCACCATCTTACTTTGACCTCTTTAGGCTACCGGTGTTTGGCTAAACCTGGCCACCACTCGCCACACTTCCTTTCCGCGCTCAAAGCCTCCATCCCGTTTGCCTTCAGCTCGTAGGCGCACCCCATCGGTTGTACTTGAATAGCATGCGGATAAGAATATAGGAACGTCGTCGATGTCCCTGACACAGTGACAGTGCTTCACTATTTACTGGCGCGCAGTTGCGCGCACGAAGACAAGTCTGCGTCCGGTAAAATATGTCTTCAGAGGTACACTTGCGCTCTTAACTGGGCTTCAAGTCGAGCTCGAGCGATGTCGTGGCCTTGGTCCCTAAGATACAGTATAATCTAGTGTATAATCTGGTGCAGAGCGAACTTGCAGTGTGCACTCGATGTGGGGCAAATCCGGGGTTCGAACAGGCACGTCGGCTTACCCATTATGGACCGGCGTTCGGTGCGAGGCGCCGGGGCAGGCGCCGTCAGTGCGATGTTGGTGTGATGACATCGAGTTGCAGCCTGGCGCGCATCTCCCACCTTTGCACGCGCGACGATGACCACGACAGCACCAGATCTACATGTCTACTCGGCCAGCAATCCCTCTACCGTCAGTCTGGGCATACCAGCTGCGTACTCAGAGGAGGACCTGCTATACCCGGACGATCCCGCCGGCGATGAGGACACCGAGGAGAATCTCCCCGAGGAGGAGCTCCGTCGTATATACGATGACGAGGAAGTGGAAAGATTCCTGCATCTGTTCTCAACCGTAAGTGTCAGCATTCTCCGTGTGCAGGCGCCTCAATAGTAACTGTTGCTTGCAGTACGTGACCGAAGTACGCTTGACTGCGCCGCCAACGGAAGCCCTGAGTGAGGCCAACCGACAAGCTACTTCATCCTCCTTGGGGTCTGCTAGTACTACTGAGGGCGGAGAGTGGGTGGACATTCGCAATGATGTACCGCCGCCACTGCCTCCCCGCCGCCCCAAGCGAGCTGACTCATTGGCGGAAGTATACTACCAAAGTGTTTCTCTATCAGAATTCATTGCGAACGTAAGTGAATCTACATCTCAAAGACAACGCATCACTCAAATACTCTCAAGCGATATATTGTGCCTCTCTTGCCTGAGGAACCCGTCGTACCGCCTGCCTTTACTCTCGGCCGGTTCCGATTGACTGTGCAGCGCCTGTTCCTTGCGGTTCGCCCTATATATCTGCCATTCTTGACAAAATTGTACCGCCTAGCTACGTGGAAAGATCCTGGTCGAAGTCTTGCCTTTTGTCTGGTACGTGAAGCCCTTGAACGTACGTCTCGGAGGACTGATCTTCGCGACTAGCTCTTCTGGTTTCTGTGGTTACAGGATTTGCTCTTGCCCGCTCTTATCCTGCGTATCCTATACGCGCTTGTGCGGCGTCGTATCTTCCCGTACCCGACCCTCGACGAGCTACGCGAGCGCCGGCAAGAAGTCCAGCGCGCCGACATCTTCAGCGCCGAGGTATCGAAGTCTTTGACCGCGTCGTCCAGATCTGGCGTGAAGGAGGTCTGGAGGCTATTCCGCGTATACAACAAAACGCGGAAGGAGCTCTTGAAGTCGAGATCATCTTCGGGACACAGCGGGGAGGGAAAGGAGCGAGAGCATGGGAAGAGTCGAAGTGTTACCGATTTACTGGGCGAAGTCAGCGGCCGGACATCTGGTGGCGCTGCTCCTGAAGAGGTCGAGCAAGCGGATATGGCCGATGAGAATGAGATGGTGGCTGACGAGACGCCGGAGGAACAGGATCTGAAGCGTTTGGGCTTGCACATTCTCAGCGACATTGCGGACTTGCACGAACGGGTTAAGAAGTACGTGCAGCATGATACCGTCTGCGTTCCTGGTCAACTGAACGTCCGCACAGCCTCTTTATTTGGCGCAGGCCCGAAGCCTCATACAGATACGGCGTGGTGAGTACGGAGGTTTTCTGCAATTTTGCGCCATGTTAACTTGAACGTCTCCAGCTGTTAGTGCTCCTCTTCGTGTTCACCTTGGTCGTGCCTACGAAGTACATCGTCAAAGGTGTCTACGCCTGCCTGGGATTCCTGTTTTGGCATGTCATCCCTGTCATCGACGCCATGTCAATCCGGGATAGACAGCGGTAAGCTCGCGACCTATGTCACTAAGTCATAACATCTGATCAACCTACTAGGATGCCACCTATCCTCGCCGACATTCCCACAGACGCTGACTTTGCCATGGAGCTCATCTCGAAGCGCGTGGCTGCCGGTCAAGACCTGAGGAGAAGCCATCATAAGGCGAAGAAAGCGAAACACCCAGCTTACTCACGGTCAGAGGTTTCCCTCGCGTCTACGTCCCCGCGCTCGCGCGGCTCGCCGGATCCGAGCCATGACAAGGAGCAAAAGGCGTCGGGGGTGGACTGGCAGAAGTGGGGACAGCGTGCCGCTATTGGCAAGGCATGGGCAGAGGATCCTAAGCGTCTTTTCGCTAAGAAGGCGGGAGGTCTGGGCTGGCCGCCTTCACCGGCTGTCGTTCCAGGACCGCCGTTAGCAGTTGCTCAACCTGAGGCGGAGCTGGAGTCGCATGGTAAGTGTCCATCGATATACGCGTATCTTAACTCACAGTCCTCCAGCGTACCCGGCACATCACTCGACGGGGCCTGGTTTATTGACCATCTCGCCCGTTGTGCTGCAGTTTACACCGTTCCTGTCGACCACGCCGAAGCTTTCAATTGCAATGAAAGACCTGCGCGGTGTCAAGAAGACTGGGCTCCTCAAAGGGCTGACATTACGGTACAGCGATGGGTCACAAGTCAAGGAAGAGAAATTCCCTTGGGTCGGTGGTCGAGAGGAGCTGTTTGCGCGCTTGATAGGGCCTGATAGGACGAGGTGGCTGAAGCCACTACAATAGAAGATGGAGTCGCGAAGGGCGAGGTCCTATTGACCCTTTGACGCGGTGCGATTCCATTGTTGTACATTATTCGCGCTGGTTCATAGGAGTCCGCCCTCATACTGGCTCAGTCGACTCAGGTCACGACGACCATTGGGCTGATGGTGGCACCGCGCTGTGGTGGGGCGGAACGTCGGATTAGAAGGCAGGCATGTTCGCATTTCATGCGCGCCGGGACCTCCTATTCCAGTGGTGGTGGGCATCCGCGGCTTCCGAGCCGGTCAGTTTGGCTTTATTTGTTTTCCATCAAAGCTCGAATTCCATGGTCAGCTTAGCGGCGTCGGATGTCGGTCATTTTGGCTTCTCGGATGCGACGGGATGTAGGTCTGATCATGAGATCTCACTCTCGACGAGAGGGTTTGTGAAAATACGTTCTCTGGCTCGACTTAGAGTCAATAACACAAGATGTAGATGAGATATCCACTATCGCTCTCGTCAAAGGGTTCAAAGTGGGCTAAAACTAGATGCCTGAAAGCTGCAAGCCGTCGGAGGCACCCCGAAGAACGGGGCTAACTCGAGAAGGTTGGCTCGCTACCTGCCTGATCAGGCAGGTGTCACACGAATGTATCACGTGTTGAACCGTGACTCGGCTTTGGTCGTGCGCATTTCTCGCCGAGTAGAAGCTCCAATGAGCTGCTTTACTCACATAAAGTGTCTATAGACCGTAGATAAGTCATCTCAAGTATTGGCAAGATGTCCGCTCCCATATAAGGAGCTGCCCTACTTGGCCTGCACAATGATTGGGCTCTGCATTCATTTCCTCGCCTCAGAATCTGGCCAAAAGTCACAGACATGCTCAAAATGGTTGAATACATCGATTCACCGCTATACTTGGAGAATTCAGGACCCTCGCCCACTCATAGCAGACAGACCGCCTTTGCACCGGTTACTATCAAGTTACCGGTCCGATCACTGACCGGCCGGCATCCTTCGGATGCCCACCACCAATTCCAGTTCGAGCGTTCTTGCTTCAAGTGTACTGGTAGGATCGCTGTGAGTTGGGCACCAGAGTATGATGGAGGCTGTCTCGAGCGCTGTAAGATACTCATGTGAATGCGGTCTCGGGCAAAGAAACCTTGTTCGCAAAGTAGCAGGTCAAGTTGAACCTCGGTACCGACGGTGAGTTGGTTCCGCTGGCAGGATGATCGCCGACGTCTATGGCGATCACCGATCGCTGCCACTGGCGTCGGGCGGCCGGAGTTGTACTTCCGCTCTGCACCCGCGAGAGGACGAGCGAGTTCAACGACGCGACCAGGACACGACGGCGAGAGGGCATTGTACGGCGACAAGCGCGTACGCCTTCCCCACGACTGGAGAACATGACGAGCTTCTAGTGCTGGAAGCTTGGCATCGTCTATTCACTCTGTAGTTCCTTGGTGATAAGAATTTGATGATGGCAGATCCTGTGGTGTGCTCGGCTGAAATTGATGACCCTGAGGTCGGCGCAGGGCGACCGCGCTCGTGGAACCCGCCCTTTCCAATTGCTCTCCCACAGCAGCTCGGCGGGCCTTGTCGTGCGCCATCGAATCGTTCAAGGGCGGGTCGCAGCCACTCCTTTGCACTACACTCGATGAGTACCCAGCGCACCCCGTCCCAGTCGAGCGGACCGCCGTCGCCGTTGCGCTCGCGCTTCAGCGACCAGTCGCTCCGAGACAAAGTCAAGCCAAAGCGTTCGAGAGGAACGATGGGCAGCCTTCGTGGCGCGCGAAAGGACTCCATCAACCAGGGACCGCTTTCAGACAGCGCTAACACCCCCTCTTCTCCGAACATCCACGTCTCCCATTGCTTCGCCCCCGACACCGTCCGCGAAGGCGCCGACCTCGAGCTCGACGACGACGTGGACTATGCGAGCCTAGATTCGCGCGCGGACAAGGCATCGAGAGTGCTCGGAATTAGACATAGAAAGTCCATGGAGCCCATACCCGCGTCGACGCGCACGTCGCTGGTCTCCACGCGTAGTGTGCGCGACCAGCCATCCATTCCTTCCTTCCAGGCCTCCTCTCCTTTGACATCGCTCTATGTCGTGTCCGGACTGCCGAAGAGCCCTCACACATGGACGCTCGCCGACCCCGACTCCGTACTAGGCCTGCACCACAGCGAGGGGGCGGTCAACCGCTGGTGGCGCCCTGAAGTGCTCGGAAGCACCGTCAGCCCCGGTGCGGGGGGCAGCACTGGGAAGAAGAAGAAGCGCGTCAAGAATGAGGAACTATTGAAGGGTGCCGGTGTGCTTTCCAAGCAGGAAGTCGCGAAGATGTTGTCGAAAGCCCTGAAGGTATGGTTACCGCTTCGTCCGCCTGCACGCCTTGCTCATAGCACCGCAGCTTTCATTCACCCGCGAGGTTGAGGTCATAGCGTCAACGCTGCAGCCAGCTTCTACGGTCCACACGTTCACGTTCACTCTCCCTGCACCGTCTACCCCTCTCGCACCCACACCCTCAGGAGACCTCCTGCGCGCCTCAGTTCTCTCGTCCGGCGACAACCGGTCCTCCATGCTCACGCATGCGTATCCATACTCTGACGACCCATTCGCGCGCCCCTCGTCAGCTTATCTCGGCCCACCGTCCCTGCTAGGCCGCGCCGCGTCCACCTCGGCCCACGGCCCTCTTCCCACGGAGGCAACGGCTTCGCCCACAGTCACATACCACGGTGTATGCCTGACTGTGTGGTCCCACGCCGACGCTGAGCGGTCGAATGCTATCCGTCGCACGCTCGAGGCGGGGCGCTCTCGCAAAGAGTCTGCCCTCTCCTCGCGTCTCAAGAACTTACGTGCCGACATCACGCAAGACGGGGCGGACCCCCGCCTTCAGGCGAGGCGGACTCAGCGAAAGGGCTCTCGCGGTCCGTGGGGAGACGCGGAGACCGACGCCGAAACCGACGCGGATGGCGCTGTGAGCGAGTCCGACTTCGAGGTTGCGTCGACGGTCAATGGCCATGGGCCGGGCGAGAGCACATTATTCCTCCCCGGTGACACCGTTTTCTGGCTGCCGTATGCTTTGACACTGGTGTCCCGCCACCCAGTCTACGACTTGATGCGGGATTACCTGACGTTGTCGTGGGCGCGCTTCAGTAAGGATGTCCAGTCGCACACGCTCCAGATCAGCAAGATTTTGGCGCACCCTGCTCCTCGCGCTGGCGAGCTGATCAAGCTAGACGCAAGCCCTCGAGGCGGCACCGACGGCGATGGCTCCCTTGAAGTCATCGCGCGCTTCCCAGGAGGCCTGGACTTCGGCAAAGGACTGGTGGACATCAACTTCACGATGTGGCCTCTGTTCAAGTGTCTCAACATAGACAACATCCTCACTATCTGCGAGGTAAGCTTGTTTGCATGCGGCCAGCAAACGCGGTGCTGATCCCTCCGTAGATTGCTCTTTCCCCGACTGGTCGCATCCTGTTCTTCTCTCGGCATCCTGCTATGCTCGGCATTGCCGTGAACACGATTAAGTATCTCGTTGAGCTGAGAGGATGGAACGGCATCGCGTTGCCCGCTGTCCACGCCCGCGACGCCAAGATCTACATCGACGACCCCGGCCCATGGATTATGGGTCTCGCCACGGAAGCCCGCTACAGCGTCCGTCCATCCCCGGAGGTTTGTGTGTGTGACCTGGACATCAACTATCTGAACTGCGCCTCGCCGCCACCCAACTCCGTGTCGAGCAAGCAACAGCGGGAGAAGTACAGACAGAGGCTCCTCGCCGCATTCCAGGATGGCTCGGGGCAGTACAGCTACCACCCCGACCACTGCGTCCCGAGCGAGTTCAAGGAGGCGTTCCCCGCAGGCCGTTTCCGCCCGGTATGCAAGATACAGGCCAAGCGAGGCGCGTCTTCATCTGCGGTGGCGGAGCAAATCAAACCCCCCGACTGGTGGCACTCGACCAGGATCATACAGGCCTTTGACGCCGTGCTTCAAGATCGAGTGAGTCGTATAGAATTGCGCTACGATACACGCTGACAAACCATCGTAGTACAAGAAGCCGTCGCTGCTCAAGCGTCTTTCGATGTTCAACTCCGTCAAGCGTCCGCCCCAACTCACCGCTGCCGAGCAGCATATCCAGCTGTCCATCCGCAAGCGCGCGACCGCCTTTGTCGATGCTCGCGACGACCTCGAGACGAAGATCGGCCGTCTGTCACGTCGGCTGAACTTCCTCATGACGGAGAGCGACCTTTGGCGCGACAAGTTCGTGACGTTCGAGCAATACGCGGAGAAGCTCAGTGCGGAGGCCAATCAGCTTCGGGCGAAAATCAACAAGGAGCAGCGCGAAACGAAGCGGCTCAGTGGGTTGGTCAGCCTTACGGCCCAAGAAAAGGGTCGTCTGCAGTCTCGTATGTTATCTCATCTCTGGCTAGAGGCTGCAGCTCACGAGAATGTCACGCAGAGCTACGCGACACGGAGGCCGAGCACAAGAAGGCGATGGCCGAGCTGGAGGAAATGCGGGAAACCATGGAGCGCATGGAGCTCGAGCGCGCGGAGATGGTCGCCGAAGTTGAGGCACAGATCGAGCGTGCGTTGGCGAGCATGGCTGTGGATATCGACGATTCAGACTACGGTTCAGAGCGCCCTCTCAGCCGCCTATCCAGCCGCCCCGGAAGCCGGCTCAGTAGCCGGGCGCAGAGTCCCCTCAGCCCTCGCAGCAGTGGCCGGCACCTGCGCTCGTTCCCGACGGAGTCGACCCTCGCAGAACACTACGGCGAGAGCGCGTCCGACATGCGTAACAGCGTGTCGCCCATCCGGGAGGACGGCGAGGACGAGGAAGAGGCCAACGCACAAGCAGCGCGCGAGAAGGCCAAACGCTTCTCGTTGACGAAGGACGAGCTCGGCATGCAGGCTGTCGATGAAGGCATTGCCCTCAAGAGCGAAGGCATTGCGAAGAAGGTGCTCGAGATTCAGCAGAAGGTCCGTACAGCTTACTTTCGCACGCGTGACTTGTCGTTGACCATTCGTGCAGTTGGAGACTGCGCTTACGAACGAGCCTCAACGTCGCAAGCGCAGGACTACTGTCACCGACAGAACTCGATCGAGCACTAGCGAGGAAGATGAAGGGTCAACCCATGAGGCTCGGCGTACGACGAAAACAAGGCGCAGCAGAAGCGGCACGGTGTCCTCCGTCACCATACCACCGCGCAGCGGCACGGCTTCGTCAAACATGACCACCTCCACGGCCAACACGACCGCGACTTTGGACAGCAGGGCTTCTGCGGACACCTTCATGGAGGGCTCCCAGGAAGACAAGGCGCGCGAAGACGTCGACACCCCGACGCCCACCTCTGCGACCATGCCCACCATCCGGAAAATCGCCTCCGGAGCGTCCATCAGCGCTATGCGACCCCCTTCGCCTCCCCCGCCGATCCCTCGTCGCGCGGCTTCGCGTCAAGCTCCCCGCCCATTGTCTGGAACCCGGACTACGGATGAGTCTGACGACTTCCAGAGTGCATATTCCGGTAGTCCCCGCGGCAGCTACGCCAGTCTCGATGATGATGGCGGCGCGGCGGACGAGACGATGGTAAATCACGCCAATGGGCTCACGGAAGTTTAAGAAGGTTACTTCTTCCGCAATTCGAGGGTCTGTGTACGCATCCATCCACCGCCGCTGCTAGGTACTTCTTGTTTTCGTTCCGCGTAGAATGCCCGAAGCCGTTAGCCGTACGCGGTCGCTTTTTAGTTTCGTCGTCTTCGTCGCCCGCTCCTTGCTAGGTACCATCTTGCTTGATGCTGTTCGTGTGTATATTCTCTACGTTTCGTCGTAGATACTTCTAAGGCGCTGCCGACACCCACTCATTCACCTTCATCCTCACCAGCCATCCTCGGTAGTGAAAGTACATCTATAATCTTGGATATGCGTATTTGCCATTGGCTGCATCGACGGCTACACTCGAACCCATGAAAGCAACAACGGTACGGCGAGCAAAGATATCCAACAGGTCAAGTACAAATCATACACGAAGGTCCGATACCACTAACCGTCCATACGACGTCGAGCGTTGTGCGCTTTCACCACGGAAGCTATCTCGCCGAAGAACCAAGACTGCGAGGACTTGTCTGGGATGTACACGAACTTGTCTTGCTCTTTGCCAGCTTTGTGCTGAAAGCGGATCCCGTTGTCCTCGACCGTGACACCGGCGACTTGGGCGAATGGCAATTCCCAGTCGAGGCGTAATCTCTTGGCGGCGACGGATAGCACTTTGTTCGTGGTGAGTAGGATGATGGTCTCGCCTCCGGGAGACACTGTAAAGCATGAGGATATGTCTCACGACTATGAGGTCAACTCACCGATATGCGCGACATAGGATTCGTTCCGGAACATGCCATTCTCAAGATCCCTCAGCCAATACTGACCCATGGCTTCGCGCGCGGAGTATGGCTGGTCGCTTGATCAGCGCTACTCAATATACGTATCTGAGTACTCACACGTAGTACACCATCGGGTGGGATATGGCGAGGCTGAGTAGCACTGAGTATATGATATTGTGAAGGACAGTGGCCGAGACGTACTAGGCGTGCTCTATCCCTCTCGGGATTGTCGAAGACCGTGGTTGTGTTGCGTATTCCTGGCATAACTCAGTCGTCATATCTCTGCGGAAGGATGTATTCACCTTCGGAAACGTTCGAAGCCAGATCGAAGACACCTACGACAGGCTTGGTGACGGCGCTACTGGAATCAGAGTCAAGGCGAACATCGAAGTTACGCTATACTTACCCGACTATGCCCTTCCCCACACCTTTGAAAAAGCCCAATGCGCCCTCGCTTTCAGCACCTTCTATCGGTTTCATCTGCAAAATACGGTCAACGAGAGATATGACGACTGGGTTGAACGTACCACAACACCCTCCATCGCGCTAGCGACACTATTGGCCAGTGCTTCTCCACCTGCGGTAACACCATAGCTGATCGATGTCAGTATGAGGAAGCAAGGGGCAGTGACGACGCCTACATGGCATGTCGCGGCTTGTTGCGCCTCTGGTTCAACCTCCGCCGAGCCTGATACTCCGAATCGAATGTCGCGACGGATAAACCTACCCACAAATCAGTCATGCTTCTCTTGCGAACAATGTATGCGAACCTTTCCCCACACTGCTGGTGAACTTCGTGAAGCTATCGCTGACTCCAAAGACCGTCTTCTTGACGAAACTTGCAGCTCCCTATCAAAATTAGCGAGTGTCCAAAAGTTTTGCCCAACCTTACCTTGGCGATTCCAATGCCCAATTCGGAGTTGCCGTGCATGACCACCCCGTTGAAAGGCTCATAGAATATGTCCGCGACGCCAGAGCTCACATTCGTGAACAATCCAACAGGATTGCCGATGAAATCAGCGGAGCCCAGGATACGATAGAGCTGGCGGAGTACGTCCTGACGATAATGATACAAGATGCGCGAAGTCAACTCGGGTGGCGTCAGGCGCATATCCTTGATGGCTAGAGCGTTCATCTCGAGTGGGGCGTCGTTGATATTGCCGACCGCCATTGTGATTGCATTGATAACGACGGCCAAAGGATTACGAAGACTGAGCCTATAAGGAGGATCATTGATCACAGTTCGCGGAAGCGACAACATTTTCCTCACTTTTGATCGCTGCTAACTCGCTCTGTTCGCATGAACGAGAGGTACAACTTGATGGGCTGCAGCTCCAGCACCTCGAAATACAAGTTTGTCCCTTCGGCGACCTTTGTTGGCTCTGCGACGTCGTCCAAGTTGTCGATAAGGACACTAGGAGGCCGTTAAGTGATGGTGGCAAATAATTGCCTGCAACTTACTCCTGTGCATTCTCTTCCCACCAAGCGCCATTGATCTGTGTCAAATCGTATATGGAGAACAGTAGGTCCTCGTCGGCTTCGATAGTAAGCGCCTGCAGCAGCACGGAGCAGTACTTGATGAAGACAACGCCATGCTCTGGTACACCATGTGAGGATGACAGACAGTCTGATATGCCGCAAGACATACCTTGGTCTTTGAGCCACATGAGCGAACTCTGGATCGTCGGCAACCCGGCCACACCGTTGGCCTCCTTTGGTATCGGTGTAGGTTGCAAGATGACAGGGTATATTGCGTCGTGAAGCTGGTTATCCAGTTGTACACTTCCGCAGGTCAGGTTGACAGCCTGCGCAACAGGGCTGTCGCTGTACTCGAATTTGAGTTGCGTGAGCGTCATGTAAACAACCTCGGTCAGCTTCTTGTTGATGAGCGATATACCGATGCCCTCGAAGTCGATATCGAAAGTCAGGTTTGGCTTGACCTCGTCGCTGACCGCCTCGAACGCCTCGGTGCTAGATAGACTGTCTTGCCTGGTAGCGGTCGAATTACTGCGGGGCCGTGGCTTGTACACACTGAGCTCTTCGACGTAGTTGCTGATCTCGAGTATCTGTCGCGGCCCATCCGCGCGCACGTCGAGAGACACGACACGATCGTTGCGGCGACTCGGAAGGTTCTGAAGCTCGTGAATGAACGAACACTATGCTCAGAAACCAGGTAACGCTCACTAGATTCCAGGGCACTAGATCGCCTATCTCCATTACATCTACAACTCGCTCACGACCTTGATGAACTAGTACGATCTTCTTGTCCTTGGCTGCAGGATAGTCCCAGACATAGGGCTTCTGAGAGTGCGGCGCTAGCTCGTACACTTCGGCCTGCGGTATGCGGTCCTCTGGATGCGACGCCTGGACATGACGTTCAGCATAATTGGCAGTGAAGATCTTGAGGCTCCAACTTACGATCTGACGGAAAGTGAACGCATAGTCGCTCCTGTTGTCGATGACGATGGGATACCCTTCCTCTGCCGAATTGAAGGTGACGAAGATAGTCGACCCACTGACATCGACGTTGGCGCGAATCAGGATGCCTCCTGATGATTGTTCAGGCTCAGTCAGTCGTAGATACACCGACCCGATATCGCCAATGTTCAGCGGCGGGGACCTGTGTCGAACATTATTGGTCTGCCAAAATGAAAGAGACAGACGGCTTACCATTTCGCGTTAACTCCTGGATAAGCGACCGTCAGAAGCTTAGACGGTCCCTTACGCACGCTAAGCAGAGGCAAGCGCTTGCCCGGCTCAAGGATAGACTTGTCGCTCAGCCCGACCCCATGCTCCCGTACCGCCAGAGGATGCGAAAGGTTGTTCTTCACGATGAAACGGGGCGCCACAGTGATGACCTTGGTGAGCTTGTATTTGCCTGAGCCTTCCGTCCATGTGATGCCCGTCTGAACCTCTTCTCCTTTCCGCTTCTGGGACGGTATAACGAGCACACTCTCGGCCGCGGGTGCTTTGAAGCTGAGCGGCTGCACAGGACTGTGAGCGTGATCCTCTGGGTGTCTACTTGCGCACCTTTGACCACTCAGACTCCCCAAACTTGAAGGCGAATTCATGATCGCTCTCGCCACCGTGTGACAGCACTGCAACGTGAATGTGATTAGTCGAAAAACCGACAACGGCCCGATAACTTACGGAATGCAGTGCGTTGAGAGGATTTCGCTGCAGAGGCAAATGAGAGTTTACTCGGGCGCCTGAGGTTAGTGATTTACCAGGAGAGTAGTCGCCCGCCATTTCTTGCGCACCCAAGGCTCTGTTGGCGCGAACGGACTTGACCACGAAAGGCATGGAGGTCTTGTTGACCAGTAGATACGGTGCGTATATCTGTACCTTGAAAGCACCACCCGACTCGGGATAGCGACTTGGGTGATATGAGACGCCGTATGACAGCATAACCGATTGCACACACATGTAGTTCAGTCTCAACTGCAGTTTGCGATCTTGCAAGTCTCGTAGAGTCAAGTGGTCTTCGATCTCGAAATCTGAGTGCGCGTCGGTATTCACGATGGAGAATTCGGATGGCTTGAAGTCTGCCTGAAGCATCAGAACTATCCTGCGGTGTGTGAGGCCTATACTTACCCGTGTCCTGCACGTCGATATTGAGCAGTACCAGGTGTCCAAGGTCTACCGAATGCACGGGCATGACACCACCCTTTCGCAGGTAACTGCGCCAGTTCTGATCTGCATTCTTGTCGTAGACGCGATACTGAATGTTGTACGGCAGCAAATTCTCGAGTTCGATGGGTGCGCAGAGTCGCAGCGTAATCTTGGGGTACCGTCGAGCCGCAGTATCTCGAGCGTCGGTCTGCACCGATGCTTGGAAGCGGAATGCGGCTTCATGTGGGTCAGAGTGTGCGCATTTGATCGAAAAGCTTTGCCGGGCCACAAGGTCTTCCCAGCGGATGGCAGAACACCACTTGTAGCCAAAGCCCTCTGCACAGACGTTAGCGATGTATGCAGTGGGAACACCCTCGAACTCACGATCCGGCTGAATGCGAACTCGCGTCTGCATCACCGCTTCAATGGGAAGGGCGTAGTCCTCTCCGGGAGCGATTTTCTCTAATGGATAAGCAGGATGCCCAGACGCGTTGACCAGCGTGATCTCCAACGGATATAGAGTGCGATTCTCGATCTTGTAGGTGGACCGAATGGTGACGACCTTGACGTTGTCGACTACTTTGACCTCGCATAGGACGCGATTGGGGAACCTGTCTGTTCGCGGACGAAGAGAGAAGACGAATTCCCCTTCGCGATCGACGGGCACGGTTCTGACCTGCTCCCAACCTTTGCCGATAAATTGCACACCAATGCTATGTTGCGACGAGTTTGAAACGTGCTTTTGGCGTGGGTTAGCTCGCAATCAAGGCGAAAGAAGTCCAATAATTACTTCACGCATAGTTTTCCAATCGTCAAACCTCCAGTCGACAGTCTCATCGTTCTGTATCCGTACGGCGGCAACGTCCTTGGTGTCAGCGTTGGAGTCGTTGTCGGCCCAGATGAAGATCGGCGATCCGCTGCGATTGCGGATACGATATGGCGCGTAGCTTCCGCGACCACGACGCATCATGTTCTCCCCCTCCGCATTCCAGGTGTTCAAGGACGAGAGAGCAAGCTCAGCAAAGGTAGCACTTAAGTTGATGTCCAATCGTTCGCGCGAGGCCAAGCTGGCATGCAGACCACCATTCTGTAGTGGATCCTCTCGCGAGACCTTCGAAACATCAGTCGCGTGAACAAAGATAAGAGCGAGCCACGCACGGATGCTGTGAATGTCCAGGGGTCGATCACTGCAACTTGTGTTAGATGCATCCCAAGGTTGATAGATGCTGCGTACGAGGCTCCCAATGCGAGTTTGTAAGATTCCAGTAGCCTATCTGCAGGGCGATCGTTGTTTGCGCCTTTAGCTGTTCAACGTGAGTGTGGTTCGAGAGCGTCGAGAACAATACCGACCTCGCCCGTCCAATCACGAACGTTCACGTTGAACGGCTTCACCCTCAAATGAAGCATAGGTTGCTCGTGCATGTCACCAATGAGCACCAATCGGAAGCCGTCGAATGACCCTGTGAACTGAATGATGTTCGAATTATTATAGCGCGCGTGAGGACGACCAAGCATACCTGCTCTTTCGAAGTGAGCAGATGGGCCTTCCCGAGCGGCTGTCCCGAGTTCCTGCTTCTCGTGACTTTGCTGTTCCTGCCAGAGGTGCCATGGCTTTCTCTCGTCTGCATGACATCTTTGTCTCCGAGAGATGGTGGGGGCTGAGAGGCATTGTATAGTGAAATAGCTTTGTTGACTATCGAGGAGATGAGGTTGATGTCGCGATGAGAAGCTCGGAAGACGATGGGTTTGCAGGCAATCTCCAAGTTGGTCATCTGCTGCGCTGTCGTTGGTCGAGTATCCATCGTCAATGTCGCGTCGAACTCGTCCAAGAATCGCACGCTTTCAGACGGTTTGCCCATCCTAAGAAGCGACATGCCAAGCTTGCTGACCGACAAAGCGAGGATGCCCTGAAACTACTGAGCAACTAGATTTAATCAAGGGGGGACTTCGCCGACCTGCTGCGACACCTGTATCTGGTCGATGCCTAACTTGATCGCCTGTGACTCGGAGTCCGTGTCGTCTTCAAGTACCACAATGGAGACTTCATGGAGATCGAGGCGGAAATCAGTGGACGAGCCTTGCTGGGTCACCGTATGTGAATCCCGTGTTGACGCTTCGGGCTGTGTTACGACCGCGGCTTCATCGGACTTCGGTAGTCCTGACGTGAAGAACTCAGCCAAGGCGAAGACAGGGTCAATAGCGAAGATGATTTGAGGCGCGTCGATCGTCAGGACGGCGAGGGCGTTGTTGTTGGAACCACCGGAAGTCGTGTACAGAAGCATGAACTGATTCCTTTCGTGCTGAGCGGCTGGAATGAAGTCTCGGAATTTTGTGCTCCCCGGCCGCGTATTGCTCACGGTGAAAGACTTCAATACGACCTGGGCTTCGCCGGCGCCGTTCGACAGTTGCTTCATACGCAGATTGCTACCATTCAGCGCGAAGCGAGCGATGCCGTGGCCCTTCAGGTCTTGCTCGGCGAAAGCGCCACTGTCATACAGATGCAGTTTGACTGTCTCGACGTCGACGGTCAGCTCTATTGTCGTATGACTGGTTGGCGCATCTGCTTTGAGTTCGGGTTCAAGCGAAGCCGAAGGCTCAGCAGGGGACGGCAGGCTGAGGGGCGATGCGCGGACAGGAGTTGCTGGCAGGGATCCAACGTCAACTAGATCGGAAGAGGTCTCAAAGACCTTAGGAATGGCTTGAGCAAGAGAAAGTAGAACGGCATATTGCGTTTGAGTAAGATGCAGTCGCACGTCGGATATGTCCACCGCAACCTGGTGTGCATGTCAGTTTGAGAGGGGCACCGGCACCGTTATGCCTCACCTGAGTGTCGGGATGCGCACTGTCCCGAGAGCGGTCGATACCCTCAGACTGAACCACAGTTGCCGTTACTGCGATATCGTCGATGATCTTGAGAGTCGACGTGTCGTCGTCGCGGTACATGTTGGAAACCAGCTGAAGCCCGCGGAGACTAGCAGACACGGTCGTCTTGGCCTGCTCGGACTTGTTGCTCGCAGATATCTCACCGAGGCGCATCACCAGATTGTCTCGGGAATGCTCGGGATCTGTCGGGAAAACGACAATGGGAGACTTGATCGATATCTTGAACTGCATGCGCTCGACGTCCGGTGCAGATTGTACTGCAGCTTGTGTCGCTGCGTCGTAGAGACCTTTCAATTTGGCGAGCTTGACGAAGAACATGTAGATGCCGTGCAGAGGTCCCTCCAGGAATTGGAACTTGACGGACGCCGTATTCAGAGTCACCAGGGACTTGATGCCTTGGTACGACGCATCGGTCGGATCGAACGTCTGGTATTGAAAGTCGGCGAAGTCTTCGCCCTCAATGGACAGGATCTGGCTGTACTCTGGCCGAACGACAAACGACGAGTCATTGCTGAGTGAGAGGCTGCCCAATCGTCCACCGACATGCAAAGTCTGCGGCCGGACCAAAACAAAGACATCGGCAGTGGAGAGGGACAACGTCGCAAGGCTAATGCCGCCATTGCTGAAGGCAACTGCGTGTTGTTCGTCAACGCACCGTAACCAGCATCGCAGGATGAATTACCTTGGATACTGGCAAGCTTGACCAGAACACGAATCTTCTGATCTTCCGCCGGAGCCTGCACGGGCTGCTCTGATTCCTGGCCGATCTTGACGGTCGAATCCTGCTGCTCGTCATTGTTGCCCGTGTCCGGCACGAAGGTCGTCATGATGAAGTCGTAGAGCATCAGAACCGCTTCAGGCGCGGCTTTGAAGACGAAGGTGGAGATCTTGACGTCGATATTCTGGTCGATACCCTCATAGACGGTGAGGAATTCAGGTGATGCCTTCTGCGCTCGGGTGTAATCCACCGTGAGCAGATCGTCGGCCATAATGCTCTTGCTGTCGACAGACGACATAAATCGGATTGGGTTCGCACCAGCTTGGAAGACGTCCATTGCGACGGAGCTGCGCAATGATGAGTTTCGGTAGTTGACACACACGAATGGTACTTACCGTAGGCGAACGTGCACTTTCATGTCGTACTTGGCCATACCGAACTGCAGGGCAAAACGGTCGAATGTGACCTCTCCGATGCGCCGTTCGGAACCGTCAGGAGAAACCTTCGATACGACCGCCTGCAGGTTGTCGACGCTGAATTCGAGCTGGAAGACCTTCTGATGCAACTCGGGTTGTGGTATGTCGGGCTCGTGCGCCTCAAAGAATTCGTCCTGATCATCGTTTTGCTCGTCTTCGGATTCGTTGTCGTCGAAGTCGTACTCCGGATGAGATCCAAACAGGGCTAGACCCCCTGACGCGCTGCGATTCATCGAGGGAAGCGTCGGTGGAGCTGGAGCTCCTTCGTTGTCGTTGTCGTCGTCGAGATGCGGTATGCAGACGTCGATGAGACGCATCAGTGCCTTGTACTTGCTATCGGAGAAGTTCAACTTCAAGTGCGGGAGGGTTCCGCCAAGCTTGAAGCGCGCCAGGTTGAGGGCGGTCGGTGCGATGGAGTTTTGCGCCTGGAGATTGACGTTGATGCGTTCTAGGAAATGTAGCGTGTCGTGCTCCGCGGTAAGCGCCTTCTTGCAGGACTCCAAGTCGTTGCCGATGATGAACTAGCGGAGGACATTCTGAGTGTGTGCATGCGATCAGAACTGCGCCAAACGGACCTGTGCAGCCTCGAGACGAAGCATGATCTTGTCGTACATAAGCGACTCCAATCGCTTGTAGTCCTCGTCCGTGTATTGCTGCTTGCGCTTCGCGTGTATCTCCCTTTTGGCGTCCTTGTCTGCCAGCTCGCTATGGATGGCAATGTGGCCTGCATCGATCAGGAGATGTGTACACTCATGCGTCGCAACGCTGAGCAGGGGTGAGTAAAGACCAAGAACATCGCGATCGTAGGCGCACCTCTCAGGTATGATGATAATCGGGGCATTCATGTCCATCTGGATGTCGACCGTCTTGTGGTTCTGTAGGGCATATTCGAGACCCGCTCTCGTATCTTTGCGAAGACCCTCCAGAGTTTGTGAGGCAACGCTCTTGATGACGTCAGTACGCCATCTACGATGTACGAGAATGCACGACTTACCAAGAGGGCTTCGACGGACTCAAGCTGACTAGCAGGCGGCTTGAAGAACTTGTAGATCGCCTCGACGTAGCCTCTGTGGTAGATGATCTCCATATGGCGCATACGCATGGTCACGGCACTGTCTGCACGCTCGTCCAGCGGGCTGGCCTCGAACTTGACGAAAAAGAAGGGATCTTGCTCGAACAAATTGTCCAACGGTTTGCCCTCGACCTGAGTGCTCAGCATCTCGGAGCTCTCTAGCGCCGCGTGTTTGACCTGGACTATCTGGGGATAAAGAGTGCCTTCCGTCGTGCCGTCGAAGACGGCCATATTCCCAAGCGCAATGGATGCCTCGAAGTTGTCCGGGCGTTGCAGCACAGTCGCTTGAAGTACGTTAAAGACCACGGAGATGATCTCCTTGTTCTTGCCGTGAGGATCTGACCTCAAACCCAAGGAGCCCTTCTTCAGCATGGCGGCGACACGGAGCTTGAGCGAGTCGCGCGGCATCTGCAGGGACTCCGTGAGAGCGGCCTTCTCGTCGTAGTCGAGCACGTCGTAGAGCTCTTTCTTCTGCTGCTCTGTCATGGTGCCACCGAAGGCAGCATCTTCGTCCGATTGACTCGTCGATTGCTCAGAAGAGCCCCAGATCCATGAGCTCCAGGACTGTTTCTGCGGCTGCTCTTTCGCCTTCTCGGCCTCTAGCCTCTTGCGCAAGTTTTCGTCCTTCTTCATCCGAGAGCGCGCTACAGACCGGTAGAAGCGCAGGTCTTCGTACGAAAGCTTCCGTTCCAAGGCCTGGAATTCCTCGAGTCCCTATACGAGCGCACAAGTATCAGCGACCGATACGTAAGCTTGGGAGTGATCTTCACCTTATCCGCGGTCAGTGCGTTGAGTAGCTTGCGCTGGAAGAGCTCGATGTACCTGTTTCGGTCATCTCGGCGCTCGGCGAAGTACGCCCACGACCATTTGCGCTTGCGTTCGCGAACTTCTTCGAGTATAGCAGCAGCCGCAAAACGTAGGCGAGCGCGTGTGGGGTTTCGAGCGAAATCCTCAGCAGAGGGTCGGAACTTCCGATACTGTAAGGCATGTCAGTAGTGATCGACAAGTACGATTATGGGACGAACCTGGCGCTGCCTCAAATAGACGTGGTACATATCCACGAGCGAGATAGCATCCCGATACTGGTCATCGTCGAGGACGATGCCCAGTTCGTCGAAAAGCAGCTGAACGTCGAAGTGCGGGGTTTCCTTGGTGATTTGGTGGTTCATGGTGATATGCCCTTCACCGGAGACGGGCTTCAGCACGAACTGATGCTCAGGAATGTGCGTGCCAGTAGCAATCTTCGGGATCGTCAGCTTATGACAAAGGACGGACGGGCAACCGATATCAACCATCTTGCTGAAAGTGCGCGTAGACTCTTCCAGGGGCAGGCCCGCGATGCTCTCGGAGTTTGTATCGAAATAAACAGCCAGAGACTGAAGTTGAGCGAGCTATTGGTGCTTCGTCAACGATGGATAGGGGATGGTCCCTATGTGGCACTTACCTTGTGAATCGCACCTGCGGTGCTCTCGATGAACGCAGGTTCCCAGTTTCCGTTCACAGACACGGCAGTGAAACCGGCAAGAGTCAGGCCCGCAGCGAAAGGGCGCTACGAGGCTAGTGAGTACGAATTTACGCTGGCAGGATGAACGCGTACCCCTGGCATGCTGATCTTGTCCTCGTACCGTATGTGAATGTTCTTCACGGTCACCTGGACGTTGTTAATGATCTTCGCAATGAGGGACGCTATAAGCCCCTGTTGCTGGGGCGAGTCTGCTGAAATGTATTGAATACATGCTATGATTTGGATACGGTGCCGTATACCAGAGGATCCATCGCTCTGCCCCCTCATGTGCAATAGCTCCGCATTCTCGAGCCGCTCAGCTTTCGCCGCCTGTGCGCGAGCTTCTTCTTCTTTAGGATCGATGTCGGCGTTCGTTGGAACGACCAAAAGATACACGTCCTCGACCAGTATTTCGACAGGTTGGTTGCCGAGGTTCATCCAATGGAGGGAGAGCGTGAACTTGCCAAGATGACCTTAATGAGGGTACGTCAGAGAGAAAATTGCGTTCTGGCGTGCACACGCACCTTCCTGGACATCCACGGGCAGTCTGAACTTGTCCAGTGCTCCCTTCCTGAGGTGCAAGTTTCTTAACGTCAACTGGCCTGGATCCGCTGTTCAGCACGCGTTCGAGGACAGCCTGCTCACGCACGCACCTTGTCCGATACCATATCCCACTTGGTTCATATCAAGGTTTTCGACATAGGGCGCAAGGATCCTGTTGAACAGCTGCGCGCATGTCATATTAGCGAGCGCCTACGGATCTTTATGCAGGCGACGTACGACGTTCAGGACCTCCTTCCCCGGATCTAGCCACCACATGGCGCGTTATCCGTTACGGTTGTCGGCGGACGACGAAGTACAAGGGATAGAAGTACAAGGCCAACTTGAGAACAATGGGAAGTACAAGATGGGATATCGCGACGGCGGATGTGCTGCGTCACATGCTGATGACATCACTGATGACCTTCCTTGGGCTTCGGGATTCTCCGAGCCTTGGAGGCCGAACCACTTGAACGCTGCTACTACCGTCACAGCGCGACGGGTTCACCTTGACTCACGCGCGCCCCCCATCGTCCTCTATTACGCAGAGCCCTCTCCGAATCACTCTCTTCTAGCCCTTCTCTTCCCTTCGGCCATACAGATCCACCACCTCGCAGACAAACATAGATATTCTGACCGCCTCATGCACCTCTTGCGCCCGAATGAAGTGCTACCGATGAATGAACGGCGTGAAGAAGGACGCGCACAATCATGTCTTGTTCTACACTCAAAAGTGCCACGCAGTCACAGCTCCTGTCCAGTACGATCTTCCTTCCGAAGTACCAAGCGAGCGCCCTAAAGTCTGGAATATTTTTCATGACCTGGAAGGCTAGTCTAACTTTCCAGCGCCTCCACGTCCTTCCCTTTAGCTCACCCCCCTATAAGGCGAACATCCGTCGACTTCATAGACGATCTTGACGCCACCGGTCGATACGATCCTCCTCGCCCATACTTGCGGCTGTCATGCCCCGCCTAACCGACGTCGGCTTGCGTATTTGCACGCTACTTGTCACCCTTGCTATCGACGATTCACTTTGCTGACCCGCGTCGTTCGCAGCTCTTCCTTTGCCGCTGGCACGCGCTTCGCGAGCTTCGCTGCGCGTCTTACGCCGCATAGTAAGCACGACCTCACCTTCATTCCGGAATGTAGTCGGCTGATGCTACCTCTGGGTCCATCGCTCATGGCTAGAAAGGGCCTCGAGAAATCTCGGAATGACAAGGGGAGCCGAACGCAAAGCAGGTGCCATGTATTCGCTAATTTGGAGGTGTAGCGTCATGTGCGACTTTCTATGCTGGTGCGGACCGGCTAGGTTCTCGCGCAGTCAGCTGTGGCCGCCGAAGCCCAGAACGTGAACGAAGGCGTCCTGCTGGGACATCGGCTGTGAAGCAAACATCCATCTGAAGTTGACGGGGATAACGAGCTTGAGGGCGCTAGTCGTGCACATTTTCATCAATCGGCTATTTGGAACTATGCGACATGCTGGAGTAGTGCCCTTTGGCAGGCAGACTGATATAGATTGGTCTCGCCACAGAGATAGAAGCTATACAAGACTCATGCCTACACGGTGACCGTCCGCGACGGGACAAACCTCCAATAGATTGCTATTATCGGGGCAATTGGTCTTCCCCACGCCCCATTTCCCGGCGTGAGGGCGGGGGCGGGGGAGATTGACCGGCTTGGCTTTGCGGGGGGAGACCTAGGTCATCCCACGTCGTAAACGTAGGGGGTCCAGACGGTCTTCTCCTCGTATAGACCAACTCGAGGCCAAGTTGAAAGCACCCTCCCCCAGACGGACCCCAATCGTCTGCCCCTCCGCTTGATGTATAAACGCCCCCGATCACGCCGTGCCGCATTGGTGCCGCGCTGCTTCTCCGACCTCATCCGACCGCGTTGCGATATATGTAACCACGCTGCCATATAAAGGATTGCTGCGCGACCTGCTCTCTTCCGCATCCATCGAGCTTCAAGCAAGCTGGCGCACCCACCCTACACGACTTTCGACTACCACATACGATGATGTCTGTTCTCGCGCCCGGCTTGCCCCAGACTCTACCGGAGACGTCGTTGTCCGCGTCGTCGCCCTCGACGACTGTCAACGAGGTACGCCCGTCGCACTCATGGAGACGCAGTTGCTCATTCCCGCCCTTGTCAGATGGACCGTTTGGAAGAGGCCTTGGTACCGTTCACTCAGTATGTCGTATCTTTTCCAAGGATGTACGAAGATGCTGATGAGACGCCCCAGGCGTATCCTTCGCTCTGGGTATTCGTCGGTTCGCCTGCAATGCATGCTGCCCTCGTGGTGCGGATCTACTGAGAGCTGTATGTACCACGTCCTTAATGCTCAACGCTACGGCTGACATCGGTGCTCAGGCTTCGACCTTCACGACCTTCATAAGCTTCGCACTCGCTTCCTGGTCTTCATTCATGACCTTCTGCAATCTCTTCGCTCGTCTGGTGTACGTCCTGCCAAGGTCTCATCTATCGACCGATCACTGACTCGATTGCAGGTATATGCTGTGTATTCCCTCGTCCCGTTCAATGCTTCCTCGTACTGCATGATATCTGCGTTGCCCTATGGCGACTGCGGCTCCCCCTACGCCGAGTCGACTCCCGCTGCCATTGAAAAGCTTGAATTATCCAACAAGAGGTTCGCTGGTTTGCGCTGCTACTCGTGGATGCACTAACGTCGATGACAGCACCCACGTTATCCTGGCCGACCTTGAGAAGGGTCCCTGCCTCATCATCCACTAGCCGCTTTCCGCCGTCATCGCCCCAAATCTATCGTCGTATATACCATTCACTGTATCGTTATAACTTTTGGGACTTCGTGCATGCATCCGAGACTTACTATGGAATTTTCATCTTCTGCCTCCTGCTTAATCGCTATTTCGATTCGAACCAATTAATACCCGTCGGCGCAAGCTCAAGAGCACCTTCCCATATAGATAGGCTCGCACCACGGTTCACTTACGCACTTCCACCCATCCTCCTTCGCAGACATTTTCCAGTGAGCGTAGCCCTTGTCAATGTCATGCGAATACGGTCATTCTTTCGTGCGATCTATCAGCAGTGAATAGGGTGAGTCTCACATGAGTTGATGAGCGCGAAGCTCCCATTGTATGCCGGGAGTCTACAATGAGAGGTGCTTAGGGGATGTCGCGCAGGTCGACAGGCGCTGAGGACGTGTCGCGCAACGCGCGACGCGCGCTTAGCCGCCGGCATGAGCTGATACAATCACATGTCTTGGAACCCATCCGGTCACGCGACGTGACACGTCGTGAGGGTGATTTTTTGCGCCGACTCGTACCCTCCTCCTCCATCCGGTCCCCTCACTCTCGTCCACTATGGCGCTCGCCGACATCCTTCTTGCCTATGTCCCCGCCGGCATCCCCGAGCATCTCACGTCTTATGTCCATGCAAAGACCCCCATGTCGACGACGCCCGCGGTCGTCGCGGCGCTGACCTCGTATCTCGCCATTATCTTCGGAATTCAGGCCGTTATGAAAAATCAGCAGCCTCTCAAGCTCAATACGCTCTTCCGCATCCACAATGTCTTCCTCAGCTCGGGGAGCTTGTTGCTGTTGGTGCTCATGGTTGAGGAAGTTGCGCCCATCGTGTGGAAGCACGGACTCTTCTACAGTATTTGTAACGAGGGTGCTTGGACGCCGGTGAGTGCCTAAGCTGCGTAGATGTATATGTGCTAACGTCTTTGCAGCGTCTTGAATTCTACTATATGATCAACTACTACTTTAAATACATCGAGTTGCTCGACACGGTATTCCTGGCGCTCAAGAAGAAGCCTCTGCGTACGTTGTTCCCTTCGCACTGGTATCACATTTACTCACGCAGGCCTTCACTTAGAATTCCTGCACGTCTTCCATCACTCCGCCACCGCTCTCCTCACCTACTCGCAGCTGGAAGGGAAGACCAGTATCGTATGTTGTTCCGCGAGCATTTTCTTGTACATATCTAACATCCCGTCAGTCATGGGTTGTCATCTCACTTAACCTCGCGGTTCATGTCCTTATGTGTATGCTTAATCTTCCTTTGTCACGCGATTCCACTCACGTAGCTTCAGACTACTACTACTGGGCTTCGGCGGGCGGCGCCAAGATCTGGGTGAGTGCATGCGAATATTCCACCGTACGTCCTTGAGGCTGACACGTTTCTCAGTGGAAGAAGCATCTCACCACCATGCAAATCGTTCAATTTATCATCGACTTGCACTTTGTGTACTTCGGGAGTGAGTGTGGGTCTTGAATGTGTCCGCTTTGAACTTACGGGCGCGTACAGCGTATTCGCATTTCACCTACTCTTACTGGCCGAACTTGCCTAATATGGGTAACTGTGCTGGGGCGGAGTCTGCGGCACTTTTCGGTTGTGGGTTGCTTACAAGCTACCTCTTCCTCTTCATCGACTTCTACTTCCGGACGTACAAGAAGTCCCAACAGCAGAAGGGCAAGGCTGCTGCCAACGGCAAGGCGAACGGTACTGCCAACGGGTGAGTTCTTCCTTCGCCACCTTTGCGCCTAAACTTACATCGAGTGTTCCAGTAAGGCGCAGTAATACGAAGCGGCTGACGACTATGGAGATGCGGCGGGGTCGGCAACTGCGGCGAAAAGTCATGCACTCACACTCCTTTTGGTACCCGCATATTACAGGCTCATCACCTTTCATAATACAATACCACCTGGCGAGGGTCCGGAGATGCTCGTAGCTTGTGATGATCAGTATACCAATCCAGGATGCCCTTATGAGTTGAGATGTCGATTCTCGACCGGCTGGCTATTGTTCAGAAATAAGAAATCGTGTGAAGTGATCGCCGAGGCGCGGCGGGTGCGCCGATAGAGCACTGTTAGCCAGCACCGCTGATCGTCCACTTGGGACTCAATCCCTTCTCCTCACCCATGGCCGCGCCCGCCAGGTCGCCTCATCGTCGGAGGTCAGCTTCGCCAGGACGGGAGTTCACCGTTTCTGTCGAGACGTACATTCCGCCCGGGGCCACGTTACGCGCTAAGGTGATCGCTGGGTTGTCCTGCTAATCGCGCTTTGCGCTCACAACGACGGTATCAGCCCCCGCGAAAGAAATCAGAGAGTCGCGATTGGACTGCTTCCGGGAACGATGATCCTAGGAAACTGAAAGGTGCGTATACGCTCTTGAGCCTGGATGAGTCTCAACATTGACGCCGGCTTAGAGAAGTCAAGCTGGTTGGGCGCACCGCGAGGGGTCGCGACCTCTGGACATTGGCGGCAGGCGAAGTGTAGACTCACAGAAGACGGTGCTCTATGTCAGCTGAAGGTATACGTCGATGTGCGTGCTTCACTCCGGTTGTCATGATCGTGTGCTCAACAGTTCCCCCGCCTTCCAGGAATCTATACTCTACCATTCCACCGCCGTCAACCAGCTCCATCATACCGACATACGCTTGGCTGATAGCTCGCTGTTCTTTCGCAAGGATGTCATTGTGATATCCCTCCCTCCGTGCGTTGCACTGCCCTCTCGCAGCTATGTCACTCACCTACAATCAGAGGAAGGCCGGGCACTGCGCAGCCGGAGCCGCTTTACCTCAAGTTCTTCGCCACCGAACTGTGCAATGCTTGGCTCGTACTACTGCGCTCTTACGCTGTTGCGGAAGTCTATGGCAGGCATCTGTTCCCTCAAGATGGTGGTGCATACCGTATGTGGCGACAGGTCGACATGACCGTCATGCAAGGCCGCAATCTCGGGTGCTCCAAGCTTTATAATGGGGCTGGATCCGACGCCCGAAACAGTGTCGATTGTCCACCTGAGGCTGACACCCAAGAGATCGACGTAACCTGCGACATCCATATCAATGACATGCTCTGTGGGCGTACCACCGTCAAGAAGGGCGCTGTTTCTCCTGACTGGCACGAGACCTTCTTGTTATCGGACCTACCTCCCTTCGAAACGTTACGTATCGTCGTCTGGCGCGAGAAGAAGCTTTTCAAGCCGACCATTCTGGGCAGCGTACACGTCACCCTCAGCAACTTTAAGCGAGGAGAGATGGTGGAAGGTTGGTTCCCTGTCTTGGCTACCGGTCCTGTCGGTGGGGATACTCAGGTTGGCGACCTCAGGTTGAAGCTACGTGTGGATGAGTATGTTCGGTGTTGCTTCTAATTTTCCTTCGACTGAGGATAACTAGGGAGATCATACTGCCTTATTCCTGCTACTCGGGCCTTCTAACGGTGAGTACACATAACATGCCTGTGTATCTCTGCGAGGCTCATATCAGACAAGACATTAAACTCTCGCAACTTTCTCGACTGGATGGCCGATTGTGAGGCGAAGCTCAAACTCAAGGCGGTCGCTTCCCAGCTCATGTCGGTCGCCATCGCCAAGGATGTCTTTCTGGAGCAGGTGCAAGAACTCGCATCCAGAACAGTCGACGGAACACCACACTGTGTGTTACTTCTTTTACTGCGTACGAATCTGCGCTGAGTTCGCTAGCTCATTCGACGCTCTTCCGTGGCAACACTACACTCACGAAGGTCATGGAACTCTGCATGGCGTGGTACGGGAAGGCGTTCTTGGACTCCAGTATCGGTGCACCGTTGCGCCGGCTTTGCACTGAGAAAGTTGCTATTGAAGTCGACCCCGTCCGCAGCGGGAAGGGACCCAAGGACATCGAGCGGAACGTGGAGACGCTCATCTACTGGTGTCAAGAGTTCTGGAACCAGATATACTCCGTACGAGACGAGTGTCCCAGGTCCGTGAACCTTTTACCCCCGCGTCTTCCATCCATCGCTCACTTGAATAGAGAGATGCGCAGACTTTTTGAGACAATTCGGAAGCTTGTGGACCAGCGATATCGCGTCAACGCCAGCCAAAGCGAGCAGAACCGAGAACTACCTTGGCAAAGCGTCTCGGCCTTCTGCTTCTTGCGGTTCATCGTCCCCGCTATACTTCACCCACATCTGTTCGGCCTTTACGCCGGTATGATCAGTTGCTTTTCAGGCTTACACAGTGCTCATGCTTCGAAGGGCTTCCTCCCCCTCCTGTACAGAGAAGCCTCACCTTGATAGCAAAGGTCATTCAGAGTTTGGCAAACCTCAACGCGGTATGAGTTCAGTGGACGAGGTGGGGCAAATAACTAATCATGCTTTCGGCAGACGGTGCAGAAGGAAGAGTTTATGCGCGGCGTGAAGGACTTCCTGTCAGACAGTCGACCTGCCATGATCGACTACCTCCTCGTTGTTTCCGCCGCACCGGACGAATCCTACGGTCCCTCAACGTCCTCACCGGAGCGACACGCCAGACTCAACATCATGCATTGTCTGCGAACCCGTGGTGCCCATATGTCGGTCCTCCAGCGTGAGGCCATCCCTATCCTACCGCACCTCCTCGACATCCCTCGCCATCTCGCCATCATCGCCTCTTCGGTTGTTCGCCACTCACGCGAGTTCCGCGAAGCTGCTGCCCATGGCAAAGACGGAGAACGTGCTCCGCTGGACGAACTCTGTGCATGCTGTTTGCAGGTGGAGGAGACCGCCCTCCAGCGTGTCAGCCAGCTGGTCAGCCGCGTATCCGTCGAGCAACACAGCCAAGCGCGGACGCACGTCGCGATGCCCAGCGCATCGACTGTCATGAGCACCTCGTCCTCCAACGACAGCCCGCCGGCAAGCCTCAGGAGCAAGAGCAAGCAGCGAAAGATGCAGCGTCCATCAACCGCGCCGTCATCTCCGGACACTGAGGACTCCCCCAGACGACGCATGTTTTGCGATCCCTTGCCACCCTCCCCAGTGCGTAGGTATTCTCCGTCTAGCGAGGTGCACGCACGCCCTACGACGGAGAGCACACATCGCCGCCCGCCGCACATCAGGGCCACCTCGACAGACTCCATCCCGTCCAAAGCATCTCACGACGGAGCTGGCTCGCCGTCCAGAATGGACTATGCAGATGAGCTGAAGCCAAGGAGGGGTCTCTGGCGGGGTATTCTACGCCTCTGATTTCGATACCCTTTCCTCTTCGTCGACCTTTATTTTGAATGACCTCTGGCCTGCTTGGTTGCGGCTGTTCCCATGTTGTATCACCACCCTGTACATTCGGCGGGTGCTCGCATACTCGTCTGGTCCATCGAATTGAACGCTTCGGATAGTTACTTGTGTCTCCTTGACGCCGGAGGACGGGTTGTGGATTGTGGACGATGCTTGGGTGTTTATTTATGTACTTCTGCTGTCTATATGTTATACATCTAGTTCAAATGTGTGTACAAGATGGTGCGCGATCTATAGTAGCGATACAACAACCGGAGGCATCTACACAACGTGCACATCTATACGACGTGCGCAGAGGACACGCACGCCCATACATAGTCCACGCCCTCCTTCGACAGCACGCCACGCCACTGGTCCTTGAGCGTCATGCTCGCGAACGAGGCGCTGTCGCGCGAAGGCGTGCCGACTTCCTGCACGGAGAGCGCAGGCGGCGCGGCGGCTGGCGCGGAGGACCTCGAAGACGCACCCGAGCTCTGACCGCCATCCACGACCACGGCTCGCGCGGAGCTACCCTCGCTCTCGGATCCAGCATCGTTCAGCGCGCTCTCCTCCGCAACAGCCTTCAGGTGCGCCATCCGCTCCGACTCGCCAGCGGAAACGATCCTACTCCTGTTCATGTTGATCTCCACTCCGAGCCCAAGACCTAGGTTCTTCGCAGGCTCGACGCCTTTGCCCGCGTCTTGGTGCACGAATTCTACTCGCTGTTGCGTGTCTGGCACCTCGACGCCAGGTACGCCCGCGACCTGGCTGATGCTCCGGTTGAGGGAGACGGGCCCTTTCGGCCGTCCTCGCTGGGCGTTCGAGGCCGCATGCGCGCGCATTGAAGCCATGCCAGGGGCGGGTGAGGGGGACGCAAAGTAGTTGTCGTCCGCGTCATCATCCTCAGGAAGAGCGAAGGGAGGGAGGTCTTGCATGGCGAGGACGATGGCATGGATCGGAGAATGGTGGTCTTCTATGTTGAGGTCTAGCTCTGCTTGAGGCGACTTCTCGTAGCGCTGGAAGGGCGAGAGGGCAGTAGACAAAGGAAAGGAGGGCGTTGGGCGCTGCGTCGGGGGGTTTGGGGATGGAGACCGGTCTGATGACGTATGCGTAGCGGGCTCGCGTCGGTGCTCTCGAGGTGTGTCTGCCTCGCCTTCCGCGTCTCTGGGAGGAGTCCGCGCGCCGACAAAGTCCAGAAATCGCACAGCGACAGCTACCGCCATCGCATCGACCGCATGAGCTGCGTCCGGCGCTGTGACGAGCAGTTTGCGCCGTCGTGCGTCATTGTCTCTATCATCTGAACCTAGGTGAAGGTCAATACAGCGAGTACACAGATAAGATTGATGACGAACCAGTCAGGAATGCGCAAGCTTCTATAATCTGCTCGCAGGAGAGATTGGGGACGCCGTCATCGTTGCACGATGACGGAGAGATGCTCAGGACCTTGGACTTGGGAGGCTGCTCATGACTCTCGGTGACGTTCGCGCCGTCGGCGACATGGATGTGCAGGATGCGATCCCAATCGGCCAATATGACCTCCTCTGCACCATCACCACAAAACGCGACGTAGACCTGGTCTCTCTGATGCGCGTGTAGCTGCGGCGTGTGGATGCATTGCAATGCGGCCTTATCCTTGGGCTTCTGTGGCGTAGTGAGGTTCGCCGGTGGCTGCAACTGTTCGGGAGGCGGAGCGCAGGACGACGACGAAGACGACACGGCACTAGCGGCCCTAGCGACGCGTCGAGGACGTCTAGGGAGATGACTAACGTGCGGCTGAAGATAGCCGCGCGTAGATTGCTGCGGGACGCGCTGCGTAGGCTGAGGGACGCGGTGAACGAGGATAGGCGTGTGTCCTGCGTCGGTGACATCCTTCGTCAAGGGACGCGAAGAGTGGGAGGAGGGACCAGATGCCCTGGACGATTCGGAACCCGAGCTCGATAGGTTGAAAACCTGCCGACGCCGCCGCGGGAGAGCGAAGGCATGCGGTTGTAGGTTGGCCATAGCTGGTGGCGACACGTCCTTGGGGTCTGGTGTAGTATAGAGTGTCGACGAGGACATGGTCGACGAATCCGAGATGGGCGTGTATGACATACAGCGTCGTAGGGCGAATGTGATGGGAGAGCAGCGTGATTCTGGCTGACGCGGGGTGTGGGTTGGGTGTGGGGCCGGAGATGATGGAGGATCTCAACAGTAGCTGCAAGGCGCAAGATTATCAGAGAAGGCAAAGAGCGAGAGCGCGATACGCACTTGGTTCTGACTTGTAAAGGCACAGCGCGCGACTGTCGCGATAGGCAGGCGATCTGTCGCGTATTCTAGAACATCGAGCGGGACGGCGACGGGAGTATGACGGGAGAGGGTAGGACGGATAAGGGCGCGAGGGATGCGGAGAACACGCGGAGGAGAGCAGATGTGCAGCCAGCCGGCAGCCTGCTTGTTGGAGGTCGCTCTAGCACCGCGCCCCGCGGCTTCCTGCTCGGTAGGCGCGCGACTCTGATCCGTCAGAAATTATTCCCACGTGTGCCACAAAGTCCGTACCTTGGACTCTCTCCCTTTGGTCTCCCTGCGACGGACCCTAGTAATTCAGAATGCGACTTGGCAATTCTCGTTGTCTCTCGCATGTTTTCTTCGTCAGTACGCGTTACCTACAACAGACCTCAACGGCGCGGCTCTCTATGCTGGTCTTCCCGCTCTAGTTCACGTGCACGCGGTGGCGGCTCCTCCTCGGTTCCCTCTTTGAGCTTCCCTTTGTCTCTTCCCATCATCACTGTGCCTTCGTACCCTGTCCTTGTACGAGCTGGGGATGGTGCAGGGCCAGAAAAGGCCGATCCGGCCGCTGGGTCTCAGCTTCACATCCGCACTCAAAACCGTTGTTTATCCCAAGCCTGTCAGTGGGCATTTCTTGAACCGTGGTTTTCGCTGGCTCATAGATTGTGTAGTCTTTCGATGTTCCCCTCTCACTTCCAGAGCATTCCCGTCCGCGTTATCGGAGCTCTCGATCGACCAAAGGCAAGTACGGAATCAAATGCGCATATATGCACGGCTCATCCTTCGCTGCAGAGAACGACATACTGGCGTCCTCAAAATCATTGCCCGATCATAGACGAGGTGGGGCAGTTGTCAGCACCGTCGGCTCGCGAACACTCGTAGGATCTCGACCTGCAACGCTCCGACCCAAAAGCTATACGCGCCCGTTAGGCGAGTCGCGTTCGGAGGTGAGTGGCACCGGAGACGTCGATTATCGAGTGCCCCGTATACATGATCCTGGCGCAGAACCACGCTTTTGGGATGAGCAGCTCGAGCTCAAGTGTGAGTGCTCTAGTACTAGCACCCGATTCTTACCACGCATCGCCAATCACACTGTGCAGCGAGTCCAACGATGTTACGACGCCAACAGCGAGCAGACAAAGCCGAACGCTATACGCAGCAGTAGCAGTCTTCCGTCTGTGAGCTTCGGACGAACTTCTGCTTCAGCTGCGCATGAATGTTTCATTACAGACTCGTCGGCGTCGCAGCTTTCCGTCGTCCCGAAAGTCTACAGCTATCCCCGTAAACGAAGGCTCTATCTCAATTGTCAACCATCTCATCTCCGATAGACCAGCAAGTCTGCCGGCAAAGCCTCCAGAAATCTGCACACAGAGGTATGCGAGTCAGGTCAGTGAACCGCTCGCGGCACTAGATAATGTCCAGATCGTGGAAGAAATGCCCGACCTCCGGTCCGTGGACTCCTTCGGCAGAAAACGCAAGACCATAGCCCATTCGCCTTCACAGGTACGTATCTTCTCAAACGAACGTTCTCTATGTGCTCAACACCACATTGTAGGCTGGCCAGGATAGCCCCTTCTCAGTAGATCTTTCCCCGATTATCGAAGATATTGCATTGTTTCCGCCGTTAATGGCAATTGTGAGTGGCAAGTTCTGCAGTGGTCGATTCTAGATTGACCTTGGCTGACTGCTCTCTGACCCTAGCCTCAGCCCGCAGTTCCGCCCAAGTCTGGCCTGCGCCGCGTCACACCTCGTAGGCATCTCTTTTTCTGTGTCAATATCTTCAACGACGACCCGAACTATAGGTGCCAATGATAGCCCGGAATCACAGGACGAAGACCTCTTGCACGAAGACCCTAGCATCCCAGCCCTTCTCTTGACCTTTCCGACGCCAGAATTACCGCACTCACCTATTCTGGCACCTCAGCTTCCCTTCAGGCTCCCTTACGAAGATGACATCCGTCCCGACTCACAGGCACTTGCTCTCGATGACAAGCATTCCCTCGCTCACGGCAACTCCGTCCACTCTGAATGTCGAGACGAAACAGCAAACCTTTCTCCGCAACAAAGCATTTCCCAGAATATCTCGCCGCCCTCGCCTCTTAATGTTTCAGGGCGGATCAGCCCTCAAGATTCCCTGCTGGAGGAAATCGTCAGCGACTTGATCCATCGACATGCACCGAACGATTCTCCAGGCTCTCGCCATCTCCTGTCTCCATCCTCTGCCCCTCCGTCTCCTCCTCGCTGTACATACTGCGGCTTCGGCTTCGGATACTCTCTCGCTCTCGCCGACATGTCCTCAGCCTCAGTCAATCGCTCTCGCACCTCTCTCGACGTCAAACGCTCGTCCTCTCGCAGCAACCTCGCCGGTCCCGGCAATCGTCTCTACGCGTCTTCATCGTCCATCGCCTCCTTCAATAGCGCCGCGAGCTCTGTCGTGCCCCTCAAAACGGAACCCTGCGACCTGTGTGCTCCGCAGTGGTCAGCTTGCAAGGACTGGTACGCGGTGCGCGGTCGGCGCCTGCGAGACCCGGCAAGCCAGAACGCGAAAACCCGAACCATGGAGAAGAAGTCCAGGTGGAGGTGGGAGGGAAAGAAGGGGAAGCCTGCGGTGGACCAGGCGAGCGTTGAGCATAAGAGCCAGTGGTTCTCGGACAGCATGAAGAAGAGCCGCTCGGTCAACGAGTTTGGCGTCATGCGTCGTCCTTGGGGAAGCGCTGGGCAGTCAGCACCGGCGGCGTCGGGTAGGGTCGACCATGGCGCTACGCAGGGTGGCAATCTCAGTGTCAGCGGGCCGGGTGACGTCGGGCGTTCGGCGTCGATGGACTTCAAGAAGACGCAGAGGACCTCTGCACAATCAGATGCGTCTGTCCTTCGCCGCATTCGCCGTTTGTTTATTACCGAGTCTCGGTCGTCGAAGCCGAGTGGGGGATCGCCCCCACCGTAATGTCCTTCACAACCATTGTCGCGCATAGTATGATTATAAGTGTACAGGCCTTGTAATATAGGTGTGGTATACAAGAGCAGTGTCCATTGATCAAGCCGCGGGAGCGCCAGCCTTGAGCGGTTTCGAGACCAGCGCTTGCAGCTCCTTCGCTGCCTCCTCCGATGTACTGCGGATCGTCAAGCGACACAACTGGCGAATGGGGAAAGTCAGTGATGGCGCGCGCCAGGCAGTCAGGCGGCCTCACCTTGGCATCGCGATTCGGTTCCAAGCGAAGGAGACAGCCGACCTTGCCCTCCTCTGCGGTGTGAAGGACTGCAGCGCCGACGAGGTTGTTCTTGTTGGGGTCGATCTCGTCTAGCAGCTGGAAGTGGTTCCCTCCGACCACCATCCGGTTCTTCGCCAAGTCCAACTGCCCTCCAGCTGTCAGGTCGATGGGGAACACCTGCTGCGCCTCCCGCGGCGGACCGCCGATGAGCTTCCACCGCTCAAAGAAGTCGGCCTGACCGAGCGTGACCGGCTCAAGGAACTTGCTAATGACGATGGGCAAGCGGATCGCGATGGACTGCATCGACCCGGCGAGGAACGACACCTGCAGGATCGGCGGCTCCGCGAACATCTTCTTGCACTCGATGTGCAGGAGCTGCTGCACCTGCGTCTTCGGCGCGATCGTGCTCGGCGGGATCTTCGCGAATGTGACGGAGAGCGCGCTCGGGTCGGCGACGTGCACAGTCGTCGTGAAGGAGGTGAGCGGCGCAGTGACCTTGTTGCCCATGTACACCGCGAGCTGGCCGACGTGGCCCTGGAAGCGGCTCTTGATGCCGATCTGGATTTGGATGTCCTCGTAGAGGACGCCCTCGCCAGAGTACGTGAGCTTCTCGAACCAGCGCTCGATGGCGGGGCCGACGGTGAGCACTGGCTTGCCTTCTTGCGGACCCTCCCGCTTCGCATGCGGTGAGGTGAGGTCGAGGCCAGCGAGCGAGCCCAGCACGTCCTGCACGTCCTGCTGTAGCTGGCCGTTGGTCTCCTTCTCCTTCTTCTCCGCCGCCTCGCGATCGAGGTTGAGCTCCCGTCCACCGTGTACCCATGTCCGCTTGTCCTCGGTCGCGTTGAGCTTCTTGTTCAAGCGGCCGAACAACGCGCTGACACGAGGTGGGAAGGGGGGCATCTCCTCGCACACATTCTGCAGTATCTCGTCCTCCTCTGGCCGCTGCGCGAGCGCGAAGTATTCGCACGCCCGCTGCTGCAACTCAGAGTCCAGTACGTGCCGATAGCGCTCGAATATAGTGACGAGCTGGGGCTTGATCTCCGGGAAGACATTTACCCACTTGATGTATGTCGACAGCAGCAGCGACCGGGTTGGCGCCATGCAGAATTGTGACTTCATGTGCAGTAGCTGGAACTGATCGACCGGGCTGTATCCCTCCTCGTTGGCAATGAGATGTCCATATTCGCCAAGTATGTAGCCTACAACAGGATGTAAATATACGTCACCGCGAAAGCCAACGTCCTCCTCACCTCCGACCTTGACCAAACTCTCGTGGGTTGAGGGCGCCTTGAGATGCTCGAAGACAACTTTGGCGGCGTAAGATTGCAGGTCCTCGGTGTTGGTGACAATTTGCACGACACGATACCAGACCTCGTCTCCGACGTGGTCGCCGGCAGTGCTGATCAACTGCAGGATGGTGTCGACATACCACTTATACGAGTTGGCGTACTTCTCCGTAAGAATAGCGATCTTGAGCACCATCTCTTCACGAAGCGCGTAGTCTGCAACCCGGAGATATCGCAGTAGTTCGCCGACGATGACATCCGAGTTGTCGACGTCGCACATGCTGTACAGCAAATCGAGGGCGCGTCGCCGAACTGAAATATCCTTGTCACGCAACGACATAATGATCGTTCGCTGGTGCTTCTTTATTGGATCGAGAGATTCGGCGCGCGCGGCCAGATGAGCCATGGAGTCGAGTCCAAGGTATCGAACATTGGTCTCCTTGGATGAGATGAAGCGAGCAAGTAGGTGAGCGGAGATGCTGACGAGGGGAGAACGCGTATCGAGGTGGATAGCAAGAGAGATGGCCTCGAAGAGGACAGCATGCTGAGCATTGTTGTGTTGCACGTTTCTTGTTGGTTCGCCGCTGTTGTTCATGATCGTTTCCAGGACTTTGTGCAGCACACTTTGGATAGCTGGGTCCTCTAGAGGGGAATGAGTAAGGAGAGCAGGCGACGATGCGTAGCGACGGACCTGAAGGTGGATAATACTGTAGCAGACGAAGAAGCTTCACCTGCAGCCAAGGGGAGGGTACTTTATAGTACGAATAGGCAGCTGAGTACTCGTGCTCTATCACGAGCTGGAATGGCTTAGTATACCTTAGGACAAGTCTTTCATGACCACTCACCCGATGTAATCGATCCACCGCTTTGGTGTAGCAAACGGCGAGTGCATCAGGGTGATCTTGCGCAAGGGCCATGACAAGACTGGTCACAGACACAACGACACCCTACGCACATCTTAGTCAAGTCCAACGCCGTTCAGCAATGTCCGCACCAAGTTTGGGTCATCCATGATGGACACTATTCGCAGGGCCCATTCTGCCACGGGTACGACGTCTGGGTGTTTGCGATATAATCGTAGTAGCGTCAGAGCGGCCTTCTTCTTTACAAAGGGTGGCGAGGTTCTGTTGCATCGTCAGTACCGTGTTTGGCATGAATGACGAGGTGCATACGGGGATATCAGTAGGCGGTGCACATCCTCAACCAGCGCTTCCGCCATCTCGCTTCCTCCGACGTTGGCGATCGCGTGAAGTGCTAAGCAATTGTCGACTTCGTTGTTGGAATCGAGGTCTTTTCGGATGGAGTTAACAACAAGGCGGAGGAAGTCCGAATTCTCGTGCATGAGCAAGGTGACAGCCAGGTAGCCCTGTGGTCGGGGATGTGAGATACAGCTACGGCGCAGGGTACAGGCAACGCACGATCTGCTTCTCGCTGTACTTGGAGCTCGAGATGAGGTTGACCGCCTCCATATGTCCCACGTCGACCTTGTAACCCAGGATGTACGTGAAGATGATCTTGGCAACATATCTGGGGAATGCGTCTCAATCGTGGGGGGAATGAGGGCTGATCCTAGAGGAAACGCACTTCTTCTTCTGGTACCCATCCAAGTTGCCGTCTGAAGCACAATGGGTGAGCGGCTACTTGACTATCAATAGTCTACAAACCTTTGAACTTCTTCCGGATGTTGGCCATCTCCTTGTTGATGCGTTTCTCCTCCAGTTCGCGGACACGCGCGCCGCGAATGTCCGCAATGAACTGCACGGCGTTCAGAGACTTGTTCAGTAGCAGCAGACAGCCTACGCGACCTGAGTGAGACCCCTCATATTCGTCGCCATGGTGGGCAGCTGAGGCTCCGCCTACTGACAACTTCGCAGCACGGTGGACGTCGAGGGCAGAGCGAGGCCTTGATGATGTCAAAGCGCGTTACGAGATGCGTTCGGGGAACAGAAACCCGTGCTATTTTGATTTTACCCGAATTAGTGACTATGGAGTAGAGTAAACGGACGTATGCAGTCCGCGAGTGGTTGCAAGGAGAAGACGAAGTGGGGTGCTAGTGCTATGCGGTAAGTACTAAAGTAACAAAAGGCTATTCTACTAGTGAGTCTACCCATCCTAGAACAGTCTGCGTGACAAGCGACTCGGCGTGCTGGGCCGCGAGAAGGAGTTGGGGGTTGCGTACCCTGATCGTGTCTCTCCTGGCAGAGGTCTACGACCACCAAAGCTGCGAGGGGACATTGCCGGAGTACCAGGTACGGAGTTCGGTACGGACTGCACCCCGATACGCTCGCCCGCGAAGTCGTTGAGGAGACGCACGACATCGCGGGTGAGAAGATCCAACTCCTGCACCTCCAGCGGCGTCAACGCGTAGTTCTTGTCCGCGTCCTCGTCCTCGTCATCATCGTCAGACTCGCGGTCGATGTCATCGTAGTGCCGCGCAGCCTCTTGCTTAGCAATGAGCTTGCGGTTCACCCGGCGACGCATGAGGATGCCCTGATACACCCTCAACATACAACCCATGAAGAGCTCCTTCAGTCGTTGGGTGTCTTCGAGTGCATCAAGATTGCCAACGATGGGAAGCCATCCATCACACTCGAGGCCGCGAGGCGTAAGCTCCGTCTTGCTGGCGCCGAAGAGGATGTATGTCAGGAGGTCGATGCGAGTGGTGTTGACGATGGACATCTGGTTCCCTCCGGTACCCATACGCTTCTCGATGAAAGCGTAGAGCATGCGCTCGTGGGTCTCATGGTCCGTCAACCTCTTACGATCGTTGACGCTGGACGGGTGCATCAGGACGTTCTGGGATGCAAGGTTTATGAGAGCAAGGGATGCGTAGAAGACGACGCACCTTCTCCATAGCTGTGCGGTAGATCTTGTCCTTGATGCGGAGCGCGTACTTTGGCTGACAGGCTAGTGTGATCAGAGCCGTCAATAGCGGCATTGAGCCACCGTTCACATTCAGCTCCGAGGGAACATCGCCGTGGCGAGTGAACGAGGCCGAACCACCCGCGGAAACATCGAGGACACCTGCGCGCCTCATGGAGTCGTACAGATGCGTCTTCTCTTTCTGCATCTGCACCAAGGTGGGTTTCGATAGGAAGTTGTCGACGCAGAACCTGTTGGCGCGCACGTACTCGCCGTTCTTCTGGATGTCCCACCAGGCGTTGTAAGCCTTGAGAGCGGCGAGCACATCCGAGCGGAACTCGCGATCAGCCCAGCTGTCCTTGGCCTGCCGTGCTTCCTCCTTCAGATGCATGGGGGCGACGAACGGATCGCGATTGGACATGATGGCAGCGAGGGTGAGGGCCTGGTCTAGGCAACGGAAGAAGCTGCCGTACAGCAGGAGCCGACCTATTTGGACGTCGCAAGGGATCTGCAGAAGTACACGACCGAGCGCCGTTAGGTCCTTCTTCTCATCGAGTGCGCCAACTAGACGAAGGTCGTCCATAGCGGCAGCAACCCGATCCGCAGGAGGCGGCTCGATAGTGCGCTCCAGCACCTCTTCCGTCGTCATATCAGGGAAGTGGAGAGCCTTGATGTGCATGACGACGTTCGACAGGTCAACACGCTTCATCTCGACGGTCTGGTGGGTCGCGAGTCTGCTCTTGTGCGCCTCGCTGAGAATACCGTAGTATTCTCCGGGACGGTGGCGACCTGCACGACCAGCTCGTTGGTTCAGGTTGGAGAGACCGACCCAGGCATTGACCAGGCGGCTCATGTGGCGATCAGGATCATAACGGTTTTCCCTATGCCGGCCACTGTCGACGACGTAGACGACATCGGGGATGGTGACGGAAGTTTCGGCAATGTTGGTAGAGAGGATGATGCGACGCACGCCCTCTGGGGGCGGCTCGAAGATGACCTGTTGCTCGGCCAAGGGAACACTGGAGTGTAGTGCGTGGATGGTGTACTTGCTCGAGTTGCCAAAAGGTAAGCGCCAGGAGCCGTTGCGAGGGTTGGTCAGCATCCGGGTGACGCTCTGGATCTCGTCCCAACCAGGGAGGAAGACAAGGACGTGACCGTCATCCGACTTCTCCAGTACGTGTTGTATGGTCGCGCATACAACTGGTATTGGCACGTCCAAGTCGTCCTCCTTGATGTTAGACGGCTTGTTCAACGACACGCTGAACATTGCGCGAGCGCGATCCGGACCAAATTCGTGCACAAGGAACTTCTGCACCTGGTCATCCTGGAATACCCAGCGTAGGCGCGGATCACTCGCGAGCTTGGGTCCGAACTCGTCGATGAAAGTCTGCTGCACGGGGAAGGAGCGTCCGGGGATCTCAATGACCTTCGCTGGCTGTCCTGTCTGATCGGGGAGGTACGTCTGGAAGAGCGTCGGGTCGATGGTTGCGCTCATGAGGATGACCTTCATGGGCTTGCCGCGAGCGCGACGGTCAGCGAGGATGCGCTTGAGCACGACGAGCATGAGATCCGTGTCGACGTCGCGCTCGTGCACTTCATCAACGATGATGTACTGCACGGTGTCCAACCACTCCGAGCCCGCCGAGTTCCCCACCAGCCCCGACTGCAACTTCTTCAGAAATACACCGATGGTGCAGAAAGTGATGGAGCCGTTGGGTTCAGGTGCACGAGACTCGAAGCGGACGGTGTATCCGACAGATTGACCGACAGTCTCGCCGCGCTCCTTCGCGACACGGTCGGCGACGCTGATAGCGGCAAGACGACGTGGCTGCGTACAGATGATGTTGCAGCGTGCGCCCTCGCCCTTGTCGATGTGATGGTCGAGGATGAGTTGAGGGATTTGCGTCGTCTTTCCGGAACCAGTGGCAGCCATACAGATAGTTACGTCGTTCTCTTCGATGTGCTTGATGAGGTCCTCCGCCTTCGTGTAGACGGGCAGCGCTGCGCGGGTCTTGCGCATCTTGTCGAGCTTGGGGTTCTCGAGATAGGCTTGTCGTCTCTCCGACAAGAGCTTGCTCTTGGACTGTATGGTCGCATCTGATGCTGTGCGCGACGCGGACCAAGCGGGGGGTGCAGCGGGCGCGGTGACGGCAGCGACGGAAGGTCGATTACGGTACAAATTGCTCTTCTTGATGTCATGACACAAATCGCGCAGGTCGTTGTCGAGTGCGTTGCTCATGGTGAAGTAGACCTTGGGTGCTAAGCCGAGGTCAGCGCCCGTCTTCGCCGCCTGCACGTAGGTTTTCCAGAGCTCGGGATCGCACTTCTCGAGATATGCGGTGACGTCGAGGTAGCAAGCGATGGTGGCTGCCTTCCGGTTGGTGCCATGGCCTATGCCGACTTTGCTACCGTTGATGAGCATCATGGCATCCCAGCACACCATGCCGCCCTTCGTGCCTTGCTCCTCGACGATCTCGGGCTTGTCGAAGTTGTAGCGGCGGCAGTAGTAGTCGATGAAGCTGCGCGCCTTCTCGACATCGACAACGCTTCCGTCGGAAAGTGTGATCTGAGTGATATCCTCCACGAAAAGCTGCAACTCATGGTTACAGATGGACTGGGCAAAGCGCAGTCGAGTTACACACCTCCCCAAGACCGTCAGCCTGATATGCGGCACACAGCGCCGCATTATTGTGAGACTCAAGCTTTGTCGGGGCGTCGCCGACACCAACAATTTCATGCTCGGTGGGCAGTGCTACGCGAGATCTGGTAATGTGTAAGCAGTATGCGCATACATACCGGTGGCGCCACTGACCTGAAAAGCTTGGTGTTCGGGCTGTCCGCGGGCACCCATTCGATCGTCTCGTAGCGCAAGTTCTTGAAGCGATTGCCAAGATGACTTTTGGGGTTGTCGTAGTACTTGGGAGGGAGGTCCCTCGTCTTGTGATGCTTCTCGATGTACTCGCGGTTGTACACGGGCCAGCTCTGGATGTTCTGCTGCGGTCCCCGCTGCCCCCGACGGCCCCCACCGCCGCCTCCACCACCTCCTCCTCCTCGGCGATGGCGTGCGTTGTAGCCGCCAAAGGACCTGTCGTAGTGGGAGTTGGAGGGAGGCATGTGCTTTTTGCTGGCGGAGTCTTTGGGGGCGGAGGTGCGACGGTGCTTTGGAGCAGACTCGTCTGCCTGGGCTGCGTGCGCGTAGGGGCGTTTGAGGGAGGAAGAAGCAGAGGAACCGGCAGCAGCGTTTACAGTGGCCTTCTGCGCGAGGGATGATTGCATGAGGAGGCGGCGCCTGAGATGAGCGTGACAGAGTCGAGCTAAGCTCATAAGGAGGGGAATGCCGACAAATCTGGATCGGGATCGGTCAGTTGCCCGGTCTGCGCTCAGCCGTCCGTCCGCCGCACGCACCAGTGCCGACGCACTTTCCCCGTCGTCGCTCTCAGCGTCCTTCTGACCTGACCTTGAGATGACCGCACAACAGTCGTCTGCGTCTGATGCGAGCCAAAAATTGCCCCTGCGTCTCTCGGCATTTGCCGCTACGGCCCGACGCTCACAAGTCAATTCGACTTCAACTTGACAAGTCTATTCTACGTATGATTCTCCTTCCACTGCTCTGCTGCTCTCTGGATCCCCTCCCAGTACTTCAGTCGAACAGTACTATCCTTCATACCCGCCCAATCCTGCGCTGCACTTTGGATTTCGATATTCTTCAAGCACTCGCTGATTTGTTCTGGCAATCGTCAGCATGCCTGCCGCTCGGCAGAGCCACCTCACTCACCTGCTGCTTCCTCAGCAGCCGTGTTCACCTCCTCCACGCCTTGAGCGTCCTCAATGCTCTCGCGAGCCATCATAATCTGCCCAATGAACTCCATGTCATCGACATGGTCGTGCTCATCGACTTGCATGCCGTTCCTTTCGAGGATGTACTCAGCGCGAGAGAGCGGATTCAGCAGTGTTTGGTAAGCCTTGTTAATCTGGGCCGACACCGTCTGCGCCATGTCCTTCTTGTCCTAGAAGCGTAGATACATGTCAGTACTAGTAAGCCTGTGTGTTATCCACACGCACCGCTGCTTTAGACGCCCACGTATCTGGGTGACAGTTCGTTTGAGCCTCGCGGAAGCGCTGGCGTAGAGTCTTCGTATCGACCACGAAGGGGTTCGGTTCGTACGGGAGCCCAAACAGATCGTGATATGGAATGTCATGCGAGACGGGGAATATCGTCCAGCACTTTGTGCAAGCTTGCAGGGAGGTCGGTAAAGGTTCCCCGCATGATGGGCATGGCAGCCGCGATGGAGGATTGTGGACAGCACGGAAGCTAGACGGTAGGCATCTTCCGGCGTAGGCAGGCGCAGTGACAAGCGTAGGAAGAAGCCGTGGTGTAGAGCTGCGAACCACGGTGTTAGAAGCAAGGGGCAGTCTGCAGATGCGCACAAGTCTGGACATGGCGGTCGGAGGGAAGTGACGTCACGCGACGAATCAGTCTGATCGACTCTTGTCCTTCGGAGCTTGACCGACGCGTCCACCATGTCCGCCCCGTCCGCCCCATCCGCCTCGGGCTCGCAGGACCCGCGGACAACGCTGCGGGTGCGCATCAACCAAATTGACCACATCATGATCCCTCCCGGACCGCTCGACAAGTCCACCAAGCCTTGGGCGCCTATAATCCGCATCTATGGCGCGTCTTCCATTACCGGACGCAAGGCCTGTGTCCATGTCCATCAAGTGTACCCCTACTTCTTCATCGAGTACAAGGGTGACTTGGACCCCAAATGCGGTGAGTACATACTATATCATGCAGTCCTCTGCTGATCGTACCAGTCAAGCAATATATCGCCAAGCTTACGGTGCGCGCCACACCCCCTTTCCCCTCCCCAAATCTGACCCAAGGCCTAGCATTCCCTCGACCATGCGATTGCAGTCTCCTTGAAACGCGATCCTGCCTCTAACAAGGCCCAATATGTTCGTGCCATCGTACTCGTCAAGGGCATCCACTTCTACGGATATCACTCGACCTATTCGCCCTTCCTCAAGGTTCTGATGATCGACCCCAACATCGTCCGTCGCGCCGTCACCATCCTGCAGTCCCCCTCTATCATGAGCACCCAGTTCCGCGTATATGAGAGCCACCTCAGCTACTACCTCCAGTTCTTATCCGACTTCGGTCTCTACGGCTGCGGCTGGATGGACATGGCTGAAGTCTTCGAGCGCGGCAAAGAAGGCGACGAACTTGCGCTCACCGCGCCGACATTCAAGCCCTCGAGCTACTTCCGCCAAAGTCGGATGGCTCTAGAGGTGGACGTCGTCGCCCACCAGATCCTGAACCGACATCGTCTGACGGCGCGCAATATCCACCACCAAATACCGGAACCACCCTTCCCTCCCGAACCTCAGGTACCCAGTGTTCGTGAGCTGTGGGAAGACGAGCGACAACGGCGGCAGGCGCGTGGGCTTGACCCATCACCTGAAATGCCCGTGGACCCCAGTGACTCGTCGCGAGGCCCTGGTGGCGATTGGGTTTCCGAAGCGCAATTCTGGGAGGTGATGAGGAGGAGGATCGAACAAGACCGCGCAGATCCACCGCCACCAGCAGACCCGAAGGCCAAAGCTTGGGAGAAGTACGCTATGACAACATTCGAGAGTATAGAAGCACTCTGGGACGAGGAATGGCGGGTGTGGAAGCCCGACAGAACAGTTCAAGGGAGGCCATCTCGCGCGTACGAACAAGATGATGCGGCGGGGAGACCACCTGTCTCAAACGACGACGAGATTGACGTGGACATGTCCGTGTTCTTGACCCAAGGGATGCTGCGCTTCGATGACGACGAGGCTGACAAAGACGCGGACGGTTGGACTGGAGCCCAGGAGCCACAAGCAGAGGAAGACGAGAAGGACGACAATATCCTCGAAGATTTTGATGCCGACGACATCCAGGACGAATCTGGGGCTCAACCTACCGAAGAGTACGTCCAACAGCTGGTCTTCTTCGTAAAACTGACAATGCGCGCAGGGACATGAATGCTTTCTTTGCGGATGGAAAAGACGATGAAGAACACACCGAAGAGTTCGCCCTACCAAAACTATCTCCTCCGCCCGAGGAGGAGTCGCCAGAGTGAGACTTTGTCCATGTGTCAAGGCTGCTCTGACTCATCTTCTGATAGGGCTTCCGACGACGACAATCCCAGACCCAACAAACGTCGACGCGTAAGGATGAACGACGTCACCCAAATAATCCCGGAACCTGCCAGCGACCAAAGTTTCGACATCCCATCAAGCACCAGCCTCCCTCGCACTTTACCACGGACCATCTCGCGCTCGCTGTCTTTCAGAGCGACACCACAGCGAACCCGCCGATTCGTCTATGCCATCCCTCCGCCCACGACCAAGGACCTCCTCGAGACAGTTGACGACTTTCATATACCCACGAAGGTCTACCGATCGCCATACTACTCCAATCCGTCAGACGCGCCTGAACGTCCTCGCGAATTCGCAGGTCTGATGTACTACCTCAAGGGCGGTGACGGGCTTGGAACGCTAGATGAGTGGGATACCGGGCCTCCGGGCAAGCACAGTATGCGCGCTTCCTCGACCAAACCGAGCCGGCTCATTAGAGACGATATCTGGGGATGGGAGTATGCAGGCTCACCGCCGTCTCCTCGGACCTGTAAGCACTGGCTCCGGTCGCAACCCAGCAAGTCAGACGCGGACGCTGCGAAGGCCAAGAAATCCCGCTCACAGATCGAAGGGCCAACCCAGGCCGATATCTATGGACTGAAGGCGTCCCCGGGCGACGCAGGCGCTTACCGCGAGCGGCAGACGATGACAAAGTTCTCTCTCGAACTGCTCGTACCTACAAGAGGGCACCTCCTGCCCGATCCTTCCGAGGATATCATAGCGGCGGTGTTCTACTGCCATCAACAAGCAGACGGTCAGCTCCTACCGGTCCAGATCATTGCTGTGGATGGGCCTCAGCTGCGGCCTGAGCGCCTGCGTGATCTCAAGATACAATGCGTAGACACTGAGCTCGACCTGCTCAACATGGTCGTCGACACTGTTGTTGACCTGGACCCCGACATCATCGCTGGCTGGGAGGCGCAGACGCAATCCTGGGGCTACCTTGTCGCTCGAGGCAACGACTACGGTGCGTCATGAATAAAGAGAGTCACTCAACTCGTTCACGAGCATTCGCCATAGGGCTCGATATCGCCGACTTGATGGGACGAGCCCCTCCTCGGCGTGCTGCAAGTGCGCAAGGCTTGGATCGGTGGGGTCTGCGGAAGGGAACGACCATCAAAGTTCCCGGGCGACATGTCTTGAATATCTGGCGGCTTATGCGCACGGAGCTCACTCTGAGCGTCTACAGCTTCGAGAATGTGGCGTTCCACGTCTTGCGTCGCCGGTTCGTTTGCCCTCAGTAAACCTCTGAGCGCTCTCTGACCCTGTCGTAGAGTGCCCGCATATAACCATGCGACCCTCACAAGGTGGTTCAACAGCGATGTACCCCACCATACCACCCAGGCTCTGCACTACCTGGCGAACCGTACGCTCATGGACCTGGAGATCCTTGAGGGGTCGGAGGTCGTGACGAAGAACGCGTCAGTCAATGTTCTCTGGTTTGCACGGGTTCGACGCTGAGACTATATCCAGAGAATTCGCCAGAGTCTTTGGCGTCGACTTCTACTCTGTCCTCACGCGAGGATCGCAGTTCAAAGTCGAGTCTTTCATGTTCCGTCTTGCGAAGCCGGAGAGCTATGTCCTGCTGTCGCCAAGCAAGATTGATGTGGGTACTCGCGGATGGAACCCTTCCTTGCTCCTCTAATACGGGCGATCTCAGGTGGGGAAACAAAACGCGGCGGAATGCATGCCACTCATCATGGAGCCCACTTCCGCGTTCTACTCAAGCCCGCTGCTCGTTCTGGACTTTCAGGTCAGTCCGTCCTGAATACAATGCCTGCGGTCACTCATACGTCTGTTCAGAGTCTGTATCCGAGCGTTATGATTGCCTACAACTATTCTTACGACACATGTCTTGGGAGGATTACACCCTTTCAAGGACGATACAAGTTTGGCGTCACGGATCTCAATATTCCCAAGGGTACATACGAACTACTGCAAGACGATATCAACAGTGAGCTCGTCACACCGCCTGCTCGTTTCCAGATGGATGATAATCGAGTGCAGTATCACCAAATGGGATTGCCTACGTCAAACAACGCATCCGGCGCGGCCTCCTCGGACGGATGCTCACGGAGCTTCTGGATACGCGCGTGATGGTCAAGCAAGCCATGAAGGGCGTGCCAGACAAGGTCGGCCAATATCACTTGGTAAATGCACGTAAATTGAAGTCGCAGGATGGAGTAGGCGCTGCAAAGAATTTTGAATGGTGGGTGTCACCTTCGGAAGAGGCGCTTCGATCTCTGACGCCATTGTCAGCCCGCCAACTCGGCTTGAAGTACATCAGCAACGTAACGTATGGTTATACCAGCGCGACGTATTCTGGACGCATGCCAGCGGTTGAGATCGCGGACAGCATCGTGCAGACTGGACGTGAAACGCTGGAGAAGGTCATCACAGCACGGCAATGCTTGTCTTCTCACCTGGACTGACGATGGGATCAGGCCATCGACCTCATCAACTCCCACCCGAAGTGGGGCGCTCAGGTAAGCAGGCTGCTCTTTGCGGCTCTCGAGACACCGTTAACTCGCACAGGTCGTATACGGAGATACTGACAGCGTCTTCGTCTATCTCATCGGCAAGACCAAAGAACAGGCCTTCCGAATAGGCTACGATATGGCAGACACCATCACGGCGCTGAACCCGAAGCCCATCAAGCTGAAGTTTGAGAAGGTATAAATCGGCTGACTGTACTGCGTACCATGCTGATCAAAAGGTAGGTCTACTTGCCCTGCGTCCTCCTTGCGAAGAAGCGCTACGTTGGCTTCAAGTACGAATGCGTGGATGATGCGGAACCAGGCTTTGACGCCAAGGGCATCGAGACTGTTCGTCGAGATGGAGTCCCAGCCCAGCAGAAAATGACTGAGAACTGCTTGAAGTGCGCATAGTGCGTCGTCGATATATGAGTCTAATCATTACGTCAGGATCCTATTCCGAACGCAAGATCTCAGCCAAGTCAAGGACTACTGTCTACGCTCCTGGACCAAGCTTATGGAGAATCGTGCTTCGGTCCAGGATTTCGTCTTCGCGAAGGAGGTGAGGATGGGCACTTACAGGTACGTCTGCGTGTATGAGCCTAGGTGCGCTATAGGCTGACGACTCTTCAGCGACAAGGGCCCTCCACCCCCGGGTGTCACAGTCGCTGCGCGGAAGCAAGCAGCAGATCCCAACGCCGAACCCCAGTACGCCGAACGAGTGCGCTATGTCATCGCCCGTGGGCTTCCAGGGAGTAGACTCGTAGAACGCGCTTTTGACCCTCTGGAATTCCTAAACAATAGGTGCGTTTTCTCTCCCATATAACATGCGGCACTGACACAAATATGCAAGCCAATTGCGACTGGACGCGGTCTATTATATCACGCGTGTGCTTATGCCGCCATTAGAGAGAATATTCAACTTGGTCGGCGCGGATATCCAACAATGGTATGATCAGATGCCTAAGGTCAAGGACCCGACGCAAGGGTCGCCGAGGAAATGGTCCCCTAGAAAGGGGGAGCAGCCGACTATGGGGCTGCTCGACACCCTCGTGAACATCGAGGAGCATTTCCAAGACTACAGCTGCCTACGCTGCGGTGAACTCGCATACGACGGTCAGTTTAGTCCGCGCACTGACTTGTGTTGCACCCATTGACTGGAGCGGTCAGGAGTTTGCGACGACTGCCGCACCGTTCCGCAGACAACAGCCGCGGACTTGTTGACGACCATCCGCACCCACGAACTACGGTCGATGCAGATACAAACCATTTGTGCGTCGTGTAGCAAGACCCCTCAAGCCGAATCCATTGCTTGTGAATCGCTGGACTGCCCCTGGATGTACGCGAGGAAGCGAGCCGATGGGAAAGCCGAATTTTTGGCTGCATTGAGGCATGCCCTGAACGCTGTTCAAGAGGACAAGGATGACCTAGACGACTTTGATTCCAGGATCGACTGGTAGTCACCTACAATCACTGTATAATTCGGATAACATAATTTATCGGCTGTAATACCACTTTCTTTTTCTACAGTGCGACCTTTGAGGCCGCCTCATTCCATTCCACCCCTTCACACGTTCTGATAGCCCCCAGGCGCTTGAGGAGGATTCGCTCCCAGCGGCTGAACGGGTGCGGGAGGTTGCTGGGGCGCTGAGCGAGCGGGGGGCGGAGGGGGCTGATCATCGTCTACTGTCTGGTATCCCTCCCTGGCACTGCTCGTGAAACCACCGGGCATCGACCATACTTTGGGACGATGAGCGCGTGCACACTGCTACATACTTTCAGAACGCACCGGTCGGGCCAGTGATATCGCTTCCACGCAGGTTAAGGCCTGAGCCGCGCTGGCGCATGGCCAAGCCAAAGGCAGCGAACGTAGGGATCTTCACGAATTTGAGTGGGTTTGGGGAACATGGAAGACCAACGCACCTTGAGAAGGAGCAGGATCACAGTAAGGAACTTGATGAAGCCATTCTGCTCATGACGGGCTAAATCGCGTTTCAATGTGGATTTCTCGATACATTGGAGGAGTGCGCACCCATCCAGACGATATCGAAGATGGCGGACACGCCCAGCATGCCAGTGAACTGCGAACGCGTCAAGTACACCGCGATGAAGCGTAAGGGTGCGTACGTACAGTCTGCAGAGACTGCGCTGCCTCGGCATTCTCTTGCGCGTATGCTCCGAACAGGAAGATCGGGAGATTGTACGGCGGCGCGGCGAAGGGGCTGAGCAGGAACGACAGCGCCTGCAGCAACCGTCAGGCGGTTCCGACCGGGTCTATACGCGATATGTGCATACGGTCTCTGCCAGAACGAGTTTCGAGGGGTCCAGTCCTTGCACGAAGTCCATGTTGGGCGCGATAGTACTCTTCAATAAACTGGGGAACGAAGGAGGTCCAGTTCGACACGTTGCGTCAGCTCTCGCGCCAATGGTCCACGTGCATGGGCCGGCTGGCTCCATTTGGAGATCTTTGTTCTTTTCCACCATCATGCCTACTGATCCTCGCCCTGGCTACGACACCGTATGGCCAGCGGATAGTGTCGAGTTTTGCCCAGGCGGAAACTCCAACGATGTCTTTGTTTGCGGCACCTATAACCTCGAGAAGCAGACCGAGGAAGAAACGGCCCTCAACAAGCCCCAAGTCAGGCGAGGGAAATGCCTTCTCTTTGAAGTTGGATCTACCGATGCATCTCAACTGTATGTACTCATCAATTCATACAGTCATTTTTCTCGAACCTTTTTTCCAGGCAGCCTGTCCAAGAGATTGATCTCCCAGCGGTGCTCGACATGAAGTGGTATGTGCCCTTGATTGCCCATGCCTTCCGGGCTATAATTTAACTTAGGAAGGTGTAACTCGTCTCCTTCTTGCATGCTTGCAATTGCCGACTCTGAGGGGCATGTCACTATCCACCGCTATGATGCCACAGACGTAGGGCCTTCTTTGGATTTTGTGCACTGATCGTCGACTGACTGTTCTCTTAGGGAAGGCTACACCAAGAGCAGTCGATACCTTGCGCGTCCAAGGACACGCTCTGTCTCTCCCTTGATTGGTCGAATCGTCGCTTCCCTGGAAGGTACATCCATCCTTATATAGAATATGTACTGTGGCTGACATTTGAAGCCTGGGATCATTGGTTGTCTCCCTTTCCAATGGCTCTCTGGTCCTGCTGCGTCCGGGAGAGTCTGAGCTGACCATCACCGAAACTTGGCACGGCCACGACTATGAGCCCTGGATTGCCGCCTGGAATTATTGGAATTCGGATACGATCTTCTCAGGTCTGTTCTCATGGAATGCGCCGCGAGCTTGACTGAACTACGCATGTAGGCGGCGACGATTTGACACTCAAAGTATGGGACTGCAGGCAAGGCTTCACACAGCCCACCCTCGTCAATAGAAGGTGAGCCGACCCTTTTTGCTTCATCTGGCACTACGCTTCAATAAGCGCAACCTAGGTTTGACTCCGGCATTACGACGATACAGACGAACCCGCACATCGAACATATCGTTGCAGTAGGCAGGTCAGGATCTATTGGTTCTGCTCATACTCAAACTGCTTTTGTTCTCAATTGACACCTCAGCTACGACAACTCCGTCCGTATCTTCGACGCAAGAAATATGCGAACCGCCCTCTCACAGTCAGACGTCGGTGGTGGCGCTTGGCGAACCAAATGGAATCCCTCTCCTTCGAGATCAATGGACCTGGCCGTAGCGTGCATGCACGATGGTTTCAAGGTAGGGCGTACTGTTTCTCCAAGGGCGGCTTGCTCAAGTTTGTATCCCAGGTCTTGAGGTACGAAGCCGGCTTCTCTGAGAGCCTGATTATCAAGCGCTTCGACGAGCATCAGTCTCTGGCGTATGGTGTGGATTGGTCGTACAGCACGGCAGTGGACGAAACCATCGTTGCTAGCTGCTCGTTCTACGACCACACTCTACACCTGTGGCGCGCATGAGCAATGCTACTTCGTCCAGAAATTCTTCAGCAGATAGACATACAATCAAGTCGTGGATGACAACAGTCGGTAGTCGTGACAGAGATCTTGATCTGCGGTCGGGTGTCCTGCAGTCGCCCGATTTTCACGTGTCATCTGATACCTTGAGCATGTCGAGTGCAACATGAAATCCGTACAAGCCTGCTTTCCACGATGAGCTTGCCAGCTATCGTAGAGCCGGCCAGAGAAGAGGAGGACGACGTCGACGCGTCCTATTCATCCGGACAGCTCTCGACCTGGCTGCAGCGCGTCATCCGGTACTTGCCTTCTCTCTCCGATGATCCCACGCGACCTTCGCACATCGCGCTCAGAACATACGCACTCGCCCAGTTCCTGTCTCTCACACCTTCCCTGGTGCCGACAATCATTGCCGTAGTCCGTGCCAAGGATGCAGTCCAACGGTCAAGAGCGTTTGCGAGCCTTCGACGCGTTCTGGTACGCGAATTCCGCCACGACGGGTTCGCGTTCTCCATGACCCTCGCCGTCGCGGGGGGCGCAGCCCTGAACCAACTATGGGGAACATACGCATTAAAAGCGGAGTCCGACGCAAAATGGGACGCGACTGGCGCCCTCAGAACGTTGCTCACGCGCTGCACGCTTATCCAACGGGCCTTCATATCCAATGCGCTGGCATCTGCTGTAGGATACGCGCTCCTAAGGTCAGGCAGGAATAGGAACATCCATCTGAAGAAGAGGACGGCGAAGGACAGCCTTCTTCCGATGACGGTGCCCCAGGCTCAGGTGCGTGCTAGCCCATGCCAGTTGGCTAAGTACTGATCGAAGATGCACGCAGGAACGCGATCCTTCGCCCACTCTGGATCTCACCTTGCTGCTGCTCGTGCGCGCAATGGATGCTCTGGTCCAGAATGTGGTGTTTCACCGATCCGGCAGCGCCCATGTCAAGGCAGAACTCGAGCGGAAGGGGTCGAGAGACTGGGTGGGTGATGATCTGACGGAACGTCTGATCAAGGAAAAAGAGAGAGCGACTGCAGTCAAAAGGAGACGCCTGACTACAAGGATAGACGCTCTGGTATTCTGGGCGTGTAGCGCAAGGTGAGTATGTCACCTTGCACCTGGCAGAATGAGCTGACGATTTGCAGGATTATGTGGTGCTTCTTCTACGCGCCTCATAGGCTCGTCCATTCTTTCACACCTGGCGGTCTGTGTTTCTGACATATCTCCTCAGACTTCCTGGCGCGTACGTGCACTGGATCAGCAAGTTGGCGAACGTCGACCAGCGCCTTCTCGATGCCCTCAAACTTCTGGGGACCGGGGAGTGGTCGTACCTGCGTGGTACAGACCAAAACATCCTAACCTCGTATGCGAGCGACCTGGGCCTTCCCGCATCGTGGGGCGACCCACACATACTTCCAGCGTTCGGTGGACCGACTGCAGATCGCGTTTGGAGCAAGATTGGGGTTGAAGGTCGCTCTGGGATCGGTGGCCTGCCGTGCGAGCTGGTGCACGGCGATGTCGGTGTCGGCGGCAGCTGTCACGGCAACGCAGCAGTCCGCCTGATGCATGCCTTTGCTGCCGCTGTGGCCATGTACATCCCCGTCCACTTTGCTCCCATACTGCTTACGCGACCCAAGACGCTTTTGCGCCCCCAGCTCGTACTACGGGCCATCTTGGGTGCTATGCGCAGCTCGCTCTTTCTCTCATCCTTCGTTTCTCTGTTCTTCTACTCTGTATGCTTTACCCGCACGCTTGTTCTTGCCCGCGCATTACCTTTTATCAGCTTTGATTACTGGGATGGCCCCTACGGTGACATCCTTATGGGCTGCTTGATGTGCGGCAGCAGCATTTGGATCGAGCAAGGGAAGCGACGGGGTGAAATGGCGCTATACGTGCTTCCCAGAGCCCTTCGAGCATCGCTACCACATCGATGGCTTCGCAGGGGTGGCCGGAGTGTGACTCTCACCGAGGGGTAAGTCTTTCTCGTTCATGCTGTCTGGTACATACGTGCTCAGCTTCTGCAGAGCCGCCTTGATTCTGTCCATGGCGGGCCTCCTTACGGCGGGTGTACATCATCCTGACTCCCTCCGCGGGTTATCGAGATGGGCACTCGCCTTCATGCTGAACGGACCCTACGCTGGTTTCTGGAAGCGCAGACGGGAGGTGAATACTTCACCATCTACTACGCCATTGCCGAGAACGCCTCTATCCAGAGCGATGGATGGAGGAGCAGAATCACCTTCCACATAACAAACAACAATGTACTACCTCGTTGGATTGTTGTCCTGCCTATGTCAGAACCTGAGCACTGCAACTGGCCAAATGCATAAAGTGCTTCCGAACTGAGAGTGGCGTAAACAAAGGGTTGTCTAAATGGAGCTCCTTCTTGATCCAGTTAGAAGAGAAACCACGTTGTTTGATGATCACTACCACGCGGTCTCGCTTGGGCGTCTCCGTGCTTACTTCGCGCCTTGTCCTTCCGAGCCTTGGTGGCCTTCCACTCTTTCCCTTTACTTTCGCCACAGTCTAATCACCGCCTAGTCCTTGAACACGCATCCCTTTGCCAGCGTCAGATCTCACAATTGAACATGCTTTTCGATGACACCAAGCGGTGAATCGCGTGGTGACCATCCGCCCCTCGCCTCTGCCCCGCCGCTTACTTCCATGGCCTCCACTTCCAATGCAGCCCTCTCTTCTGAATCTACACCTCTCCCGGCTACCCTTACGCAGGACGACCCTCACGCGGCTGACGCAGCTCGCCAGCGGTTTGCGAAGCGATCGCACTTCCCCAGCTTGCCGAACTTCCTACGACAACGCTCGCGAGAACATGAGGCCACGCGCGCGCGGAGTGGTGCAGAAAGCGACGCGAGCGTCTCTTTCCTGTCAGAAACACCGGAGCTCGCTGGCGATGCACCCCGCACGAGGGGACTGCGTCGCGATCTCTCGGCTAGCACCCGCAGACTGCTAAAGCCGCCTGGACGTACGAAGGCAAAGCAGGATGTTCGAGAAGGGATTTCGCTCGACGATCGGCATCTAGATGGCGGAGAGGATGAGTACCGGGACAAATTCCAGTGGGCAGTGCTGTATGAGAATCAACGAGGGTGAGTGCGGCGTACGTGCATGGAAGGGTGTATTGACGAGCGCTCGTTGCAGCTTTACATTTTTCTCGATACCCTATTACTCCTCCATGGGCCTGCTGCCCTTCGACCCTGCACCCTTCACTGCACCTCAATTCCCGGCGACTGTACCGTCGAGCAGCGCTCCTGTCAACACCGCACCAAAGCGAGGCCGTGTCAGGTCACAAGGAGCATTGTCCTTCAATGAATTCCCTCTGCCGGATGGAACGTGGCGCTGGCTGTCGAAGAAATGGATGGTTGACATGAGCAGTGATACGGATAGGCAGGTAATAAGCTTTCGCTTCGTCGCCGTTTAGACGCCTTGTTCACGAACTCCACAGGTCCAGTATGACGGTTTCGAATACAACTGGGTGTTTCGCAGCCACCACTGGCGCACTCAGGCAGGCAGACTGTCCGCTGGTGGCTTCGTACGACGCCGACGCTGGATCAGGCTGATGTACCGGCCGGCAAAGGCTCGCCTTCGTGCTGAGGGATTAGGCGTCGACGAGGGTCAAGCTACTCCAGATGAATCCCCGTTGATACCGGATCTACTGAGCGCCAACTTGGCAGCAGTCGTCGGCGATACCAGCATGTACGACGACGAGAGCGAAGAGGGATCCTCCGAGTCCGTCAGAAACGGATCGTCAGACCATCGCTCATGGGCGGGGACATGGGACGACCGCACAGGCAGGAATTATCAACGCTCGGTTGCGCCATCCCTTGAGCCACCGTCTGCCATGGGTACCGTATCCGGTTCGATTCGCATCATGGATGGCAATCCTGTATTCGTCGGCGATCCGGAGAGCGACTGGGTGCGCTGCCGTGCTGCTATGCATCGTCTCAAGCGGGATGGGCGCATACTTGAGGTGTGGAGGAAATGGCTAGGACAGTCGCAACCGGCGAAGCCTCTACGAGGCAATGCTGTTGCAAGGCAACCGACTCGGTCTTCGTCTGGCATTTCCAGGCCGGGTCCTGCGAGATCAGGCCAAGTGAATTCGGATGTCGTCGAGCCCGGCGATGTACCCTTAGAGTATGTGAGAGCTGTGTTGGACGAACATGTGAGTTTTGCGTTGCCTCCGCCTACCTCATACTGATACGCGCACATTCAGATCCTCGACGTTCTGCAACTTTTCGTATATCCGGACACAAAAGCTCGCTTCCTCGACCTTCTCGCAATGGTAGGCATCTTGCCGAGACTGTCTATGAATTTGGAGAGCATTATGGATCAGACCGAATTTTGGAGCTATTCTGAAGGCCTCAATCTAGCCGGTACTTCTTCGAGTCCGGGTGGCTCGAAGTCGGCCTGAGCTACTGCGTCTTGTACGAACGGCAGTCAGCCCATACCGTTTCTGTACGCGTGTCCCTTCACCAACTGTATTCACTCTTTTGTTGCCTGCCGAGCATTCAGACCAAGGATACGTCCGGACAGCTCGTCGGCGTATGACTGCAGGGTGTTGATGCGTTTTATGACGCATTCGAGGTCCATAGAGAACCGGGTAGGTGGCTCTGTCTTTCAATCGGTCAGTAATGACACCGCCCGTGACGATGGACAGAGATTTTCGGCACAGGGTAAGCTCCAGGATGGCTCAATGTTGGTAGCAGTGCGGCGAAGTCGAATAATGGTCAAGCACGAGAACCGGCCCGAGAATTGATGACGTCATGTGCATCTCCCTTATATGCGCGCCATATCGATATGCGCTCGCGCTCGCTTACTCTTTCTGCTCGAACAGAACATCATAAATGCCGGTCGAACAAACGAACGATAGAGTAGTTCTGAAGCACCCTAAGGTGGGCTCTTCGTCCACTCTGCGAGGGTCCGGATATTGACGACTTCGTTGTTCAGGGTGCTAGCGTCGAGATTCTGCTGTACGGTGCATCCGTTATCTCATACAAGGTCGGCGGCGAGGAGCGTTTGTTCCTTTCAGCCAAGGCTGCTCTCGATGGGTCCAAAGTGCGTGCTACTATGGGTCTTGCCGCTTCCTCCAGTGCTTACTCCACACAGGCTGTTCGTGGTGGGATACCTGTCGTCTTCCCCTGCTTCGGGCCACCAAGTCACCCCGACCACCTGCGCCTCCCCCAGCATGGATTCGCGCGGTCCTCGAAGTGGACCTTCGACCACATTGTCATGGACAACGATGCCGGGGTCTCCGTGAGACTTCGTAAGCCCGGACGGTCGCAACATTAAGCAGGCGCGCTAATTGACCTATCAGGCCTTGACCCGACTCCAGAGATAAAGCGGGTGTTTGACAAGCCCTTCTCCCTGGCTTATGTCGTTACTTTGGCAGAACACCAACTCAGCACCGACTTGCACGTTACAAACACGTCGACCCGTGAGTCTTCTGACTGGCGTTCTCGGAAGAAGCTAACCGCAATTCCAGAGCCTTGGGAATTCCAAGCACTTTTCCACAACTATATACGCGCTCCTGCAGATGAAGTCACGATCTCTCCTCTCAGTGCCTTGTCATACTACGACAAGACAGAGTCCTCGGAGGAGGCCAGGAAAACGCCGAAAGTGGAGCAGCGTTACGAGGTCGACGTGAAAAAGGTTGGTCTCCGGAGGGATTGGTCGCGAACAGGTCTCTGAACTTCATTTCAGACAACCGACTCGGTGTACGAGGCTGCTCCTGGAAAGTACAAGCTGGCATGGCCTGGCGGTGGATTGGACGTGAGTACTCATCAATTGTTGGTGTCGTCTATTCACCAAGCATGTGCATTGCGCTTAGATCCGTACAACGAACCTCAAGGATGTGGTTGTCTGGAACCCACAGGAGACGGGCAGCAGCATGTCCGATATGGAGGATGGAGGATGGTATGCCTTCGAAGTCGTTCCTGAAGGCTTCGGTCTAACACTATCCATGCAGGAAGCGATACGTCTGCGTCGAGCCGGGCCATGTCCGTGGCTTCGTTCAGCTCGACGGTGAGAAGACTTGGGTGGGTCAGCAAGTCCTCGAACCGAAGCTGTAGATGGCCATGCAATCATCAAATCGAAGTTAGGCCAAATGTATTATACGCGGCTGCTCTCTGTGTTCTTGTAGCGCATATCCAGTTGCTTGTGTTCAGTGACACTCTCTTTTACTGCTGCATGATGCATCCGGTATGAAGGCGCGTTTGTGAGCTGCTAGGGGACATGTATGACCAAGTGCGCAACTGTCCGTAGAAGGCAAGCTCGTGCACGTGTCGAGTAAACAACCCGTATTTTGTGACCGACGTTCATCCCGTTCTGTCAAAACGCCCTTTCTAGTCTCAAGTGCTCTCGTGCCCCATCGTATCCTGCCCGCAGAGACTTTCTGTGGCTTGCATCCCATTAACCAGTGACCAAGAACCACGATTGAGTCATGGATCAAGGCATGAGCGCCGAAGAGGTGCGCGACGCTACCGCGGCTTCACGCTGCATGCTGACGAGCACCTCGCCCACGTCCTCAGATCGCGCCGATTGCGATTCTCATGGATGAGCTGCGCTCGGACGACGTGCAGCTGCGCCTCAACGCCATCCACAGCATCCCCACGATAGCGCTTGCCCTTGGCCCCGATCGCGCTCGCGATGAGCTCATTCCATTCCTGCAAGAGTCGATGGACGACGAGGACGAAGTACTCCTTGCTCTGGCGGAGGAGCTGGGGCGTGGGTTTGAGGAATACATTGGCGGGAAGGATTATGCGCATCTCCTCCTCGTGCCGCTCGAGACGCTGTCCTCAACCGAAGAAACGCTCGTCCGGGACAAGGTGCGTAGTCTGCTCCTGTCCTTGGAATATCTCTGAACTGTCTCTTAGGCCGCTGAGTCCATAACCCACATCGCAGACGTTATGTCCCCGGCACAGATAGAGGAACACTACATCCCCTTGCTGAAGCGCCTGTCCTCTGGAGAGTGGTTTACGTCGCGGACGACTTCGGCTGCTCTTTATCCTCCTGTATACGACAAAGTCTCGGCTCCATTGCAGGATGAGCTCAGGAAATCGTACGCGGCCCTGGGCTCGGACGACACGCCGATGGTTCGCCGCGCCGCCGCAAAATGGCTTGGTGTAAGCGCGTTAACCTCCCGACCGCCACTATCGACACTGACGCAGTCCACAGCCACTTGTCAAGCGCTTTTCTGCGCAGCACGTTGTCTCTGATGCTCTGCCTATCTACCGGCGACTTCAGTCTGACGATCAGGACTCCGTGCGCCTGCTGACCGTCGAAGATCTTATCGTTCTCGCTGGACGCATGTCTCCGGCAGACGTGAAGGACCAGCTGCTGAAGCAGATCTCGAGCAGCATCACCGACAAGAGCTGGCGCGTGAGGTACATGGCGGCCAGTCATTTCAACGAGGTGCGTCATGCCACATATCAGCTTGTATGTATGCGCTGTCACTGACTCTTGACGTACCCAACAGCTAGCAGAAGCGGTTGGCACCGACCTCGTCCGCTCCGAGCTCCTCAACCAATATGTCGCGCTGCTGAAAGACAACGAGGCCGAAGTGCGCAGCGCCGCCTCCAGCCAGATTCCAGGTATGAGGGAGAATCAGTGCCATACATCAAGCTGACTCGAGTCCAGGCTTCTCGAAGCTGCTTGACAAGGACAGTATCGTCTCGCGCATCATACCCTGCGTACAAGCACTTGCCCAGGATACATCTCAGCACGTCCGCTCAGCTCTGGCGAAAGAGATCACCGGGTTGGCTCCTCTGCTGGGCAGAGAGTCGACCATAGAGTTCCTGCTTCCTCTATTCCTCACTCTGCTCAAGGATGACTTCCCGGAGGTGCGCTTGAACATCATCAGCAAGCTCGAGGTAGTCGATTCCGGTACGTTCTTACCAATCTCTTTGAAATCTTCTGTATTGACCTTCCCCTTCGCCAGTCATCGGCATCGAGTTACTCTCCGAAAACCTCCTGCCCGCCATCATCGAACTTGCCGAAGACAAGTCGTGGCGCGTCCGGCAGGCGATCATCGAATACATCCCTCTTCTAGCAAAGCAGCTAGGCAAAGCGTTCTTCGACGAGCAACTCGGCAACCTCTGTATGTCCTGGCTCGGCGACACGGTGTACAGCATTCGCGAGTCCGCCACGCTTAACCTGAAGAAATTGACGGACGTTTTCGGCGTCGAATGGGCCCGCACGTCAATCGTTCCCAAGATCATGTCCATGGGCCAACACCCCAATTATCTCTTCCGTATGACCACTGTGCAGGCGATAACCGTGAGGGATCTCTCCAGCAATTCCTTCGCCTATTTAACAATTCAATAGACCATTGCACCGTCCCTCAGCATCGACATCATCCGTTCCGATATCATTGATCCACTGCTGCAGCGCGCCACAGACGACATCCCGAACATCCGTTTCAATGTCGCCAAAAGCTTAGAGGTCCTGGCCGCGACGTACGGTAGCGATCCGGAAGGCAAGACGCTCATCCAACAGCGCATTATCCCGGTGTTGGAGCAGATGCGGAATGATCAGGATGCGGATGTGAGATACTTTGCGTCGCGGGCTTTGCAGAAGGCGTTGTCTAGCATTTGAGAGGTTCGTCGACCTCGTTGCCTTCAATAATGCTTGCCTAAATTCCACACAGGTTATATTGTCTTTACCACGGACGCTGACAAGGTCGCCTTCCCATGTTTTATAGTCGAATACAAGATAATGGCTCTGCTGTATCATGTCGAAGTAATTTCTTTGTATCGGATCTTTCTACCTCGCGAGTTCGACGCGCTTGCTGCAGTCTCTTTTATCAAAATTGGAGCATCAAGCGCTCAGAGGCAACCATACAATGCGGCCCAATGCACGACGGGATCCGTCTCAGCCGCGTTGGTGACCTCAGGTATTGTCTTGATCGCCTTATCATTGGTTGACTGACTGAAGGTCATGCCCAGGGGTCGACGCCCGCTGGCGAAGTGGGTCCTTCTACATTTCCATCAGTGAAGCGGTAGCGTACTTAAGCGCGCGGGGGACGGCCGCGGCTCTCCTGACGTTGCGCTGGATGCGCCCGCCTGCAAACCGTTGGGCGCCGGTCCATGCGACGATGTTCACGGAGGGAGGCGGCCTTTTCTCGTCACGTATATGCGATCACCTTTCGTCGTGTCATGCCGAATACCTGCGTCCGATGTGGCTCGACATCATCGCTGGCCGCACATCGAACCGGAGATACAGCAGGGAAGCATCGTCAATCATCGCTTGCTCTTGCTGAGGTTGGCCCTCTAGACCTCTAAGTGGATTAGGGGGGTTGAGATCTCCTACAGCTCTCTACTGAAAGGGACAGAGAACACCGGTTGTTGCCAGCGCCACGAGATGCCCCTGGCGACTGACTTCGAGCAGTGAAGAATCACAAACCCCTGGGACTTCAGTAATGCACCTTCCTTTCGCATTCTGAGAAGTACTCTGACGATACGTACAGCTGGGACTGCGCTGAGGAGACGAGGCTGGTATACCCTCGACGACGAAATTATAAGCCGGCCGCCGAGGACCTCGAGGGCCATTGAATCGTTGGACTTGATGGTGCCTCGTTCTATCCCCGTCGGTGCGTGGTTACCCGGTCATGTGCATGGTTGAGTTCAGGACGCATCTGATCCTGCAGGCGTATAGCACACTATCCTGCGTCCCGGAAGGTGTACAGGATAGAAACTATGCGGCTTTGCAAGCGTTGCATCTCTGGCGCTCTCTCACTACAACGGAATGCCATCTCGAGGAAGACAGTCACGCAGCATCGCCATCCCTTTGTCCTCCCTCGGCATTTGTTAAGTTGCATCGAGGTGCCCATCAGGAGATCAATCTACACATGTTCCATCTCGATATTCGACCATTCCCAGGGCTGCCGCCCTATATAAATACGTGGCCGAGGCCGTCTGGTCAGTTTTTCCCGTGCTTTCTTGCCCCCAACCCACCACCGCGCTCGCCCGCGACTGTCACTCCTTGAACACTAGATCGTACATATAGAACAATGGCCGTCCTCGCTCGCATCGCCACATCTATCCTGTTCGTTGCCGCTGCCCTCCCGGCTGTGCTTGCCCACTCCGGAAACGGCAACGCCAGCAACTGTGCCTCGCACGAGTTCTGGTGCGCTCGCTTGTATTGTGGATGTCCTACGGTGCTGATCTCCTCACTAGGTTCTCGCGCAAGAGCTGCTGCGTGACTCGCGGCGGCGACAGCCACAACCATGGCATCCCGCCCCGCGGTAACGAGTGCCCGCGCCAGTGGTACTGGCACAACAGCATCGGATCCTGCGTCCCCACGCAGGACCACGACCAGGAGCCTGATTGCACGCACACCAGCCACGGCAGCGGCTGCAAGTGGAGCAACGACCACGGCTACTGTGTCCCCCCTACGACTACTACGTCCACGACGCCGCCCACTACCACTACCCTTACCCCGTCGGGTGGATTCAACCACGGCCACGGCAACGGTCACCACCGCGGCAGGCGCTCTCTCGCCAACCGTGAGGTCTCCAGCTGCCCCAAGGGTCTCACTGCGTGCCGCATCGCTGGCCTGACTAGCGACGACTTCGACTGCACGGACATCACGACGGACCTCACCGCTTGTGGTGGTTGCCCCTCCCAGGGAGAGGGTCAGGACTGCACGGCTATCGAGGGTGCCTGGAACGTTCAATGCTCTGCCGGCGCGTGCGAAGGTGCGGTCCACATGTATATCCTTTCGCATCAGTTTCTGATAACAATGCAGTCCTCACTTGCACGGCTGGCTACACCCGTTCGCTGGACGGCACGAGCTGTGTTGCCCTTTAAGCGGGATGATACCCAATCCCATGGACCATCTATGAAGGCCGATTACTATCCTTCTGTCTATCTTTCTCTCCCGACAATCGCCAAATTGGTTGGCTTGACTGGACTTCTGACGCCTGTACGTATGTTAGGCTAGTTTATTGGTACCTTTTGTGTCGTGGGCTGTATGTCTATTCGTGCCGTTGTGCTCTACGTTGCACCCCCTGTTGATAGCATCTGTAGCCACGGTGTTACGGGCTCCGCTAGAATCTATGCCGGTTCTCGCATGGTTTAAGCGCATTCCTTGCTGTTGTACAATATGCAGGACGGCCTTTGGCAATCACATTTCACCTTGGCGTTGCCGAACGAAGCCGGTCGCGAATACCGGTAATGCTTACAAGGTCAGCGGCATCCTCTCCAGCATCTCTTCGCCTGCTGATTTGTCGGCCTAGTAGTAACGCGTCCTTTCATGGTGCCCAGCAGGCGGTAGTACGCCTTGGGCAAGAGGCCGCGCGTGCCATGTTTGTCTGTGACGCGGTCCCGTGACCTTACGATTGGCCAATCAGGACGAGACAAACATTGGGCAACAGAGGGCGAAGTATAAGATGCCTAATAGGCTATTCCGTGGGTTCCGTCCCTCCGCCATCTGCATCAAGGTCGGTTTCCGTGTCGCCTCTGGTCCTATTTCCCCGCCAAACTCGTCCTCGCCCACCACATCGCCTCGCAATGCCGTCTGCCGCTCGCTCAATTCTCTTCGCGCTCGCCGTTCTCGGCCTTGCCGGCCGCTACGATTCGTCTGGAACGACATCCATGGTCATGGCAGCTCCTATCGCTCAGCCCAGCTTTCCTGTCGCTGACTACTCGCACAACGTCGGCCCGGCATCTACCCCAGGCAAGAGCATGCGCGTCAAGCACCACGAATCGTCTGAGCTCTCTCGCTACGCCTCATCTCGCTCTGCCGCGGCTCAGGCTACTAGCGCTGCTTCGGGATCCTCTCTCCAGCCTCGCGCTGATCAGTACACGCTGTTGGCCCAGCGCTACCAAAGCGCTCGCAAGAACGCGGCTACGTACAGTGCGCATACATCGTTTGCTCTCCAGGATCTTCCATCTGACGGGATCTACAGAGCGTCTCTCCGCGCAATCGTACTCGCCTAGCGCTGCCCAGGACGCAGACTTCCAGCAGAAGTGCGCGACTGCCCTCAACGACTTCCAGCTCGATGTGCTCGGCATCAAGGAGATACTGCAGACCGCAGGCGCTGACAGGGGCCTCGCCTTCTACGATCGTACCAACGACATTGAGACGCTGATGAAGAATGTGGTCAACCTTCACAAGGATGTCCTCAAGGCGACGACCATTCTGGTCGACAATCTCCCTATCCTTGGTCCCATCCTTGGCCCTAGTGAGTATATATTCCAAATTGTTGCTACCGGTCTCTGAAATATGTCCCAGTTGTCTACCAGATCAAGTGCCTTCTCGAGCTCACGCTGGACGCGATCGAGAACCTCACTGACGCCCTCATCAACGCCCTTGACCCCCTTATGCGGTCGCTGCTGCCGATGTTCGTCGGCGCACCGGACTGCCCCAACGGCATTTCGGTATTGGGCGTGTGCATGTAGAGACGAGAACCAGAGGCTTCCGCCACGCTGGTCACCCAGACTGGCAACACGAACTAATTTCACGTCTGCACTACATACTAGACTTACTTGGCTGCATTGTACTATACCACTCACACTCTATCGGACTGTAGGCATGCATTGTTTTCGAATTCTATGCATCGATGTTGTGCTGGAAATGGCGGCCCTTCGTGATAAGAAACATGGCGCGGGATGTATGTCGGGATTCGCGCGCCGCGGCCCACTGAAGCATGGCCATGCGCACGACGCAACGATAAGGCAGCTTGCTCCCTGACTTCGTCCACCATGTCTCCCCGCTACCTCCTCGTCGTCCATGGCGGCGCCGGAACAATGACCAAGGCTGGTTCTACGCCCGAGCAGCGTGCAGCATACAAAAGCACTTTACGTCGTGCATTGCAAGCCGGTCACGAGGTTTGTCCGCGAGGACGCGATCGTGAATGGCATGCATTGACGATGACTAGGTATTGAGCGCGGGAGGAGAGGCAATGGACGCGGTCGTGGCCTCTGTAACGGTTCTCGAGGGTCAGCTTCACCATTGCTTGACCGAGTCGAGACTGCATGCTAAGTTCCTTTAGATTGCCCCCTTTTCAACGCAGGAAAGGGAGCTGTTTTCAATACGGATGGCAGGGTGAGTGTGGCTCGAGGGACGGATCCGAACCTCTGAAAGGGCGATGCTGACAATCGCTGAAGAACGAACTTGAAGCGTCCATCACCCTATCAAAACCACCAGCTGCACATCCAGACATCCCGATTGGGCGTCGCGGCATAGGTGCCACTCTCCTTACCCACATCAAGAATCCGTGTCAGCTTGTACGAGCACTGTACCTGAACCCTTCGCTCGCGCCACATACGTTCTTGTCTGCACCGGCGGCAGAGACTCTGGGCGAGGTACTAGGGATCGAAACCGTGGACGAAGATTATTTCTGGACAGAGAAACGTTGGAAGGAACACCGGCGGGGGCTCGGGCTCCCTGAAGAAGTTCCGCCTGCTCAGAAGAAGAGGTCGGAGGCTGAAGGCGACCTTGCGCCACTCGAAGAACTCCCGAAAGGGACGGTCGGTGCCGTCGCGCTCGATATCAATGGCTGCATCGCGTCCTGCACCTCGACAGGTGGCCGAACGAACAAGCTTCCTGGTCGCATTGGAGATACCCCAATCATGGGTGCTGGGTTCTGGGCGGAGCAGTGGCAAGCGGGCGGGGGGTTCTGGACGTCGTTCGTGCGCAAGATCACCGGAAAATTAGCAAGAACGTACGCTATGGGACTCTCCGGTACTGGTGACGGCGATGTGAGTGCGTGTTCCTCAACCGGTGCACAAAAGCTGACATGCCTCGCAGTACTTCATTCGTCAAAGTACCGGCGCGACCATTTCGCACCTCGTTCGTTATGCCGGCCTCTCTCTCAAGGACGCATGCGTCAAGGCTATGCAGAGCTTGCGAAGGGACGGCGGTGACGGTGGTGTGATAGCCCTGGATTCAGAGGGAAATTGTGAGTCTTCGACATCTGGCGACCTGATGTCCCTTCCAATGACACTCTTTTCAGGGGCCATGCCGATGAACTGTGAGGGGATGTATCGTGGCGTCATCGGGGAAGACGGAGTACCGAAGGTGGCCATATTTGCGGACGAGGAGTTGGCTTGAGGCGACGGACTTTCCGTCGCGTGCGCAGTAGCACACATCTTTCTGTGCATCGTCAGTGCAACGCCTCGTTATCGTCCGACCTACGGCAGAGCTCCGCTGACGACTTCCATTGTTGATAGTAGGGAGATTGTTTAGGGGTATAAATCAGATAGGCGTTCAGGAAGCGTACGCATAGCCAGACTCTGAACTGATTACGGAGCCATTTACAAAGGAAGCTGCCTCGGACGCCAGCCAAAGACAACTCTTCGCTGGATCGTGGAGAGCGTCCAAGTGAAGCGCGAGGGATGAGTCCGTAGACGTGTGGCTGGTCAGTATCGGCGCTCTCCAGGGCTCCAGAACCACATTTATGCTGCGAAGAGCCAGGTAAGGGTTCACTTCAGAACAATGCAGAGATCTTACCGAATATTGGCTTGCTTATGAACTCTCGATGCCTTTCGTACGAGATCGATGAGGGCCCTAGCCAACACATTGAGTACACTCAGAGAATACACGTACGTCTTGCTTACTGGTCAAACTGCGGCAAGTCCGCCATAGTGTTGGATTGACGGCTATACGTATCGATGATATGTCAGTGCTAGACGCGCCCGGTCAAACAACGAGCTTACACAAAAGTGATAGAGCCGCCCTTCGTATGCTTCCTCATGTACGCCGTCTGCGTATCCAGGCAATTTCTTAGACCTCGTAGACAGGTCTCCAGGAAAGCATCGCTATCCACACGCTGGTCCAGCAGTTCGCCGTGCCAATGTGAGCCCCAGGAAACGATGTTTACGGCTGAATCAAGAGACCCAAAGCTCGCGACCGCCTCAGCCTTACACGACGTCAATCTCTTGTGAGACAAGCTATCACGAAATGGAACTCACAGTAGCCTCCCCTTCATTCTCTTCCGTCATATTACACTCTAACCAAGGAACGGTCAGTCTGACGCCTCGGAATTCTTCGAAAGTGGTAGGACTTACTTGCGAACATTACTTCACCACCGGCAGCGCGAATGCTGTTGGCGACCTTCTGACCCGATATATCGTCTGGGTCAACTGCTACGACTTTCGCGCCGGCTTGTGAGAACAGCATTGCCACTCTCCTGCCTGAGCTGCTCGCGACATTCGTGACCATAACAGTCTTGCCCTTCAGGTCTGTGTTGTTATTCTACGAAAAGATTAGTATCCTCTTTTTCAAGCACTTGCATATCTAGAAGGGGGACGTACCATTGCGAGTATTGCGCAGCTTCAGATGGAAGTGAATGGGCAGGTAGCGGATGACCTGCGCTCCCCGCGCTACTATATACCACTGAATATTGACATGGGTCCATTGCACGGAGTCCAGGCCCTAGGGATGCGACGGACGACAAGCCGTGTCGCCCGCTGTTTGTAATGGGAGCGACAAGGCGATTGGTCGACGGTTCGCCTATAACGTGAGCGAAGGCGGGCGAACTTCGATCGATGGGAAACCGAATCAAGTCGTCAATCGCATTCGCCTATAGCCGCGCAGAGGTTGGCGAAGAAGGATCTGGCAAGCTGCCAGCGGCCCTTCTGTTCACCACGGCTAGCGCACTTCGATGTCGGGTACATGGCTTGGCTCCGATTGCCATGTGCATGCGCAGTACCGTGCTGAGCCCGATGGAGGTTGCTGGATCAATGAATCTGTAAATTCTGACAAACATACCGACGCATTCTGTCGTTCGATCGACTGACGACTGAGCAAATCCTTTCGCTGAACATATGCATAAGATCATGTATGGTAGGACATACGGGACATGGGGACGAGAGTGCTGCAACAGCGGTTGTGAACGACAGCATATGCATAGCGGCGCGGATACGAGAAGTATGCCGGGGGGTAATGTACAACACAGCACGCCCGTACAAGATGGTACACTCGCGCAACCATTACTTGCCCTTCTTGGGCGGCTCCGCGGCCTTGCTCTTCTTCGTGCCGCGCAACTGAGAGAAGGTGAGAAAAGCATGGCTGTAAGCAATGTCGTGGTACGCACCTTCTTCGCACGGTTCTTACGCTCCTTGCGCAGCTTACGCGACGGCTTCTCGATCTTCTCAGCCAAACCAGACTGTGATGATAGATCAGGATGTGCAAGCGAGCGAAGGGGGAATGTACGCACCCGCACTAACCGGTAGCGGGGCTCAAACTTTTTCTGCGATGCCTCATCGTCGTAGATGAGAGCAAAGCCCGTGCTGCGACCGCCACCGAAGTGTGTCCTCAAGCCGAACGTCACGACGCGCTTCTTGTCTGTCTTGTAGACGGCAGCAAGGCGCTCGGAGAGCTCCTCCTTGGAGACGTTGGCGCGGGAAGGGTGGAGAACGTCAACGACGAATTGACGGCGAGCGAGAAGACGGTTGGTGATGAATTTGCGCGTGCGCAGGGTGACGGGGGCGTTGTTGTCGGCCTATAGAACGTCGTCAGTTATTTCTGCCAGTACGTATCGTGTGCTTGGCTGCGTGAGTCGCCCGCCACTGATCCCTCTATCATCTCGACAAGGCAGTCCAAAGGGCATATCTCCGGCTATAACTCACCATTTTGGGCAGCTGAGTGTTCCGCGCTGCTGTACACAGCGATCAGAACAGATTCAGACGACCAACCGGCAGCGCTTACCTGTCGTCCAGTGGGTCTTGAGGCTCGGGCGGCGGGACAGCTAATCGACGGCAAATCCGGGCATACCACGTGACTCTTCTTGACGTGATCGGTGGCTGCCACTCGAACTGCACAGTACTCGGCATCTGCCGATGCGCCCTCCTCCCTGCGCCTTCATCTGCGTTTGAAGCCTCGCAAATGCACCAGCTCTCTGTCGGAACGGTCAGCTATGCCATACCTATAGTACCTTGCTGTCTAAACGCTGTGCCTTCCATCAATCTCTTGGACTCCAAATTCATGGTCTCCATCGATGCTTTGAGAAAACATACTGGATGCTGAATGTCCCGAACATCTGTGGCTACTGACTATGGTTGTCTTCTACGTCGGCCCTTCCGACGGGTAGGCATATGGCCGTGCAATGATCTCCCTGTTCATCGAGCGCCACATCACTATGCATGTGGTTTCCCTCGCACGAACAACTCGTTGCCGATGTTGACCTATGACAAGTACCCCTTGAAGGGAGAGTGAACGAAAGCAAGCCGAATCAGAATCGTATTCAGAGGTCAGAGCGAAACCCGAGTGAGCCTCAGCTATTTGTGCCTTGTCGGCCAGTCGGCCCGAGGTGTCTAAACGTCATTGCAATATACTGCTGAGTCAGCAAGTGTCCTTGTTCTCCTCCTTGTCAGGTCCAGCGGTTAGGCGCTTGTTATCGGTGGTCATGTCATCTGAATTCGCGTCGTTCGCGGCATATGTGAGTGACTAGCTACATGCTCTGCCAGTACAATGCTGAGCTACTTACCCAGACCCCGCCACCCGATGACCCTGCTGCACGCGCATCAACGTCCCGAGCTTCTCGACCATGGTTTCCCAGTCACACTTCCTCCAACACCGACACCAATGTCGTCTCTCCTGTATATGGAACCACATCATATCAATCCGGCGGCATTCCTACCTTTGGTGACAGCGCGTCAGGCGGCATGGGTGCTGTAGAGGATGCAGAGAGCCAGCAGAACCAATGGAAGACGCGATATGGAATGCGCGTCGATATCTTGGCAGCATTTGCATATATACTGGGGCCGGTCTCGGGTGCGTCCTCTTCCTATTTGTCGTATATCCAGCCGCTAATCGTGACCGTAGCCCTAGTACTACTGATCATTGAGACGGAGAACGATTTCGTTCGGTTTCATGGTGCGTCTACATCACTATACTCTCGCCCTTCTTCTGACACCAACCTTCAGCATACCAGTCAGCACTTCTGACAGCCCCCCTCATACTACTGCGCATATTATTCTCCCTCTTGCATTTCTGGGGATTCTTGCGGACATTATTGACCCTATGTATTTTCGGCTCGGAACTTTTCATGGCGTACGTCCAGCGACCTGACTTCGTTCTTCAGTTTCGCTCATCCTTCGACAGATACAGAGCTTTCACCGACGCATCACAGAATGGGCTTGTTCGATTCCAGTTACCCTATATAGGGGTGCTCGCCGAGCAATGGCTAGCGGAAGAATGAGCCAACTTTACCGTTTGCATTCTGCTTCATGTATTGTCTTATCATCAATGCATCTATCCTTTGACCATCGCAGCCGTCTTCAAGTACGTTCCCACTCGAGAAGAATGCGCTTCGGGAAGCATCACAGGGCGACATACTGCTATCGCTGCCACTGAGATGTCATTGACAACGCCCAAACCCACAGCCTGCGAACGGCGCCTCTCGGGAGTGCGCCCATCGAATGTTACGCCATCTCGAATTGCACGTGCGTTTCAATCTTATGGCGAACATCATCCATGCGAGAATGCACAAGCAATACTACGGCCACTATCAGGGTACATCAGGTTGGTATCATAGCAAGCAACCCCACTAGGCCTTAGACGAAGACACGCTTGAAATACTTCTTCATGCCGTCGACGTTCTTCACGATGGCCCCAATGAATTCATCAGGTCTCACGACGACGATGGTTGGATCATCGGCGACCTCGTATGCCTTGTAGGCTACGCCATCCTTGTCCGTTACCGTGTGGGTCGCTTTCATCGTGGTCCCCTTCGCGGAACCGCGAGGCGTTATCGCTACAACGTCAACGAGGCCCTTCGGATAATGCTCGACCACAGCTGTGACTGCATCGACGAACGGCGAGTCCTTGGAGAAGACGAGCACGGTGTGGTGCGTGATCTTGAAGACGTCGAACAGCTGGACGACATCCCCATCCACGGGCGCGTCAGGAGTGCGATCACCGGCGCACACGCCATGAGCCCCAACGTACGCGCTCTCCCGCTCGTCTATGACGGGAGGCTCGCGGCGCTCGTCGATGGCGAGGGAGCTCCAGCGGTAGTGTATACCGAGCATGAAGAGCGGGCCGCCGCGGAACCAGCCCTCGTCGGGGTTCTCGCCAGGGCGCATCGTGCGGTCGAGGAGGCGCGTCGTTCGCCCGAGCATCTCGCGGATGACGGGCACACGCTCATCGCTGTAGGTTGCCAGGAGAGAGAGGGGAGCGATGCCTTTGAAGACGAGAGCCATCTTCCAGGAGAGGTTGGCCTGTGTACGTATGAGTATATGCAAGGAAAGTAGCATAGACAATCGACTGACCGCGTCCAGTACGGACGAGTTCATGCCTTGACCGCCAGTGGGGCTGTGGGTGTGCGCCGCATCTGCAACGACATCACCATGCGTTTTTGGAGGCGCCCCACTGTCATGACTGACCTCCCACCAGGAAGACGCGTCCCTCACCGAACTTGCTCACCATACGGATGTTTGGCCTCGGATAGTGGTGATGAGCTTGGGACGAGCGTTGCAAAATTTACGCAAGCTCACCTGAAGACAGACAACGATATGACTTCCCCGAACAGAACATCGGTACGCCCGGAAATATTGTAGAAAGTCTTAGCGAGTTCCTCCCCACTGGAGGCGACCTTGTCGTAATCGAGATCAGGCCCGCTCGCTATGACTGCCACCTTGTCCGAATCGACGCCTTCGCACGGGCGCAACAGGATCCTGTACTCCGTTAGCATCCAGGCTTCAATGCCGCATTGAGGTAGAGGTATAGACTTACATTTTGCTCTTCGCGTCACCCCAGCTATGCCATTTCTATAGAAGTGTATGTCGGAAGATGGCAATGGCGAAGGACGGGGAAATGATGCTCACGTCAAGTGCGAGACCGGGCTTCACGACCATGTCACCGGTCACAATCCTATCCAGTTCGCGCGTCTCGCCCTCGAAGTTGAGACCGAGAAGCTTTCGCACGCTGCTGCGACCGCCGTCCGCTCCGACGACAAAGGCAACATTGAGTTCTTCAACGGCACCATCATTGGCGATACGAGCGTGAACCGCGTCCTTGTCCTGCTTGAAGTCGAGGAGTTCGGTGCTCATCTCGACTTTGATGCCGTAGCGCTCGAGGTGCTCGCGCAGCAACTCTTCGTGACGGTCCTGACCGAGCATGAGGATGTTGGACTGCAGTGGAACAATATGTCAGAGCGGTCAAGGACGAGAGGATGAAGACATACGTATGGAGTGTCAGGCGTAGGCTCGACATAAGGTATCATGATGAACTCTCGAAGGACTTCGGTGCCACCCGGCAACTTGTAGTGAACTATGGGCTGCGGAAAGCCCGACCGCTTCTCGAGGTCATCCAGCAGCCCGAGCTCCTTGTAGAGCTCGAGTGTACGAGGCTACAGCGCGTTCAGCGATGTCTCAAGGCAGTAAATCCGTGCGGCCTACCTGGATGCCAGAACCCTTCTGCCCGCGGCGTGGGGTGGTGAGCTTGTCAATGACGCGGACACGAAGACCGTTCTGCGCCAAGCAGAGGGCGGTGACGAGGCCAGAGGGACCTCCGCCAACCTAGGTGCGGCGGAGGTCAGAAATCGTGTCTTTGCCACAAATGAGGAACGCGCACAACAAGAACGTCGGTTGAAGACATGGTTGAGCTGAGACTGCTGAGTTGTAAGACTCGAAGAGGGGATGAGGATGATAGGCAGCATAGGTAGAGGTTTATATAGTGGGACGTCGAGCGAGAATTATTGGGGCTTTTCCGCGGTCTTGCCACCGACCAAAGTGAAGCAAGTTCGGCCGTGGTTCGGCAGAGGGAATCACGTAGGAGAGGCTTAGTTCATCTGTCATATCAGATTAGATGCGCTGAGCCGGTGGACCATCCTCTCCTGTCGTTCCCAGGATATACCAGAGCACGAGCTGTGGTAGATCGCGGGCCTATACACCTCAGAGGCCGGAAACAATCGTGCGCCTCCGTTAGATGCGGCGCAGGCTGGGAGCACGGCGATGGAAGTCCCGCATAGCACAGGGTAGCCAGATGCAAATCCATAGTCGTAGCGTCCACAAGCAGAGGGCGGAGGTTTAGTAAGAGTATGTACATCGGGCTTGCGGAAGGGCGTGAACGGTGGTCGTAGTCAAGAAGTTGAACCGTGCGAGCCCTCCGGCGCTTGCCGTCGCACAAGCTTCGGTCGGTCCGGGCCGAAGACAGGTTCTCCAGTCCTTCCCCGCATTGGTTCATGTCGTTCAGGTTGCGGGTTTTCTTGTTACTTTTACCCTTCATCCATGCGGCCACACTCCCTCCTGAATTCGCAGACCCTCCGTCTCTCCAAGTTGATCATGTCAACCCTCTCATAGGGAATGGTGGCGACACGCCGAATGGCTCAGGCGGCATGATTCCTTCTACCGCGCCACCCTTCGCCATGACGCGCTGGGTCGCTCAGACGCGCGAGAACTACGTGTCTATGACCCCGTACAACTCAACGGACAGCTCGATTCATGGGTTCCAGGGTACGCATCAGCCTGCCATCTGGATGGGCGAGAGCGGGAATGTGGTCGTTGTGCCGGGCTCGGGGGATGTGAAGTCTCAATTCAAGGATCGTGGAATGGAGTTCATCGAGCGGGAAGCACGAGAAGTGCTCAGTCCGAGCTATTACGCCGCTGATCTGGACTTGAATGGGGGGACATTGAAGGCGGAACAAAGCGCAAGTAAGTACCATTGCCAGAGACCGCGTTCTCGCAAGCTAACATCAATCGTCTTTCCCAGCCTCGCGTGTCGGTCATCTACGATTCACTCTCGACAGCAAGACTGCGCGAGATCCATACGTCCTCATCGAGGCGTCGCGTCCGTCCATCATCACCTCCACACCCACGAATGTGACCTACCCAGAGGGTCAGGCGCAAGTCGATGCTTCGCGTCGCCAGATTACAGGCTACAATGCTGAGCGCCAGGACTGGATTATCGACCCGGTTTCTATTCACGAGGCCGCTAGCGGATTCAAGGGCTACTTCTGCGCGCGCTTCGATCGCGACTTCGCCTCCTACGGTCTGTTGCAGAACGGTACTACGCTACCGGCGGACACCGTGCAGGTCCAAGGACCTCTCGTCTCCGCATACGCGCGCTTTGCGCCGGAGGATAGCGACAATGGCAGCCTGACAGTGAATGTCCGCGTCGGCGTGTCATTCATCTCGACGGAGCAGGCATGCAAGAATGTCGACAACGAGATCCCAGACGGTACGACTCTGGAAGATACTGCGCGCAAGACGCGGTCTGCTTGGGCTGAGAAGCTGGGAAGGATCGACGTGGAGGGGGCGAAGAGCGATGATGATCTGGCCGTCTTCTACACGGCGGCATTCCATGCTCTGCAGGTCCGTCGCACGTGACTTTTGTGCGCGGTCACCAACATTGTGGTCAATAGTATCCATACGAGCAAGACGAGGACGGCAAGTACTACTCTGGTTACGACAATAGCGTGCATGAGGGCGTCTCGTACGATGGCTACTCTATTTGGGTAGGTCTTGCATGTTTGCTCCGGTCAATCACTGACTTGCAGTTAGGACATGTATCGCGCTCAATGGGCATGGCTCATCCTTATGGCTCCGGAGCGTGTACCGGGCATGATCACCAGCATGCTCCAGGACTACCGCGAAGTAAGCAGGGACAATTGGAGTCCGCACATCTCGCTTATCATGCACGCAGGGTGGCTGGCTCCCAATGTGGAAGAACATAGTTGGTAGGCTGTCTGAGTCTTTTCGCGCTGCGAGATGCTGATCTTTGCAGAAACGAACATCATGGTGAATTTGTGGCACTGGCCCTTCGCGTCTGGCAAGCCCGGCTAATAGTGTGCAGATCGCCACTCACGCGGACTCTATGGTTGCGGAAGCAGTTGCGAAAGGCGTGAAGGACTTTGATCTGGATCTGGCATGGGAAGCGGTGCTGAAGGACGGGACAGTCCCACCAGTGAACGACTACAATACAAAGTGAGCATACTTTGTGGAGTAACAATGCGCGACACTGATGCCCTTGCAGATATGATGATCGTCAGGAAGTACGTAGACTCATGCAGGTGTCCTCGTCTGCGGCCTGACTATTCCCCTTCAGAATGTTGACTATGAAGTGCGTGCCGGACTGTCGACTGTCTACGCAGACAAAGGATGGGTCGCCGATGACATACACTCGGAGAGCGCATCACGCACGCTAGGCTATGCTTGTGGGTTTCCCAAGACTGCCTGTGGCCGCCCTCTAACCTACCCCGTAGACGACGATTACGCCATCTACATCCTCGCAAAAGCGTTGGGCAAACCGGAGAACACGACTGACTTCTTCTATAACCGGGCGATCAGCTCATCGCTCGTGCTCTTCAATGACGAAACAAGCTATATGGAAGCCAAGAATGCGGATGGCACCTGGGCCGGCGAAGAGAATGGGTGGACCGAGGGCGATAAATGGGTGTACAGGTGAGCCGCGGGGATTGACCCCTTCGCAAACCGGTCGAGGACTGATGCGGACTTAGTTTCGACGTCGCACATAACATACCTGGCCTCATCGAGAAGCGAGGAGGCAAGGCTGCCTTCGTGAAAAGCCTGGATGAGTTCTGGGACAGTGGGCATGCTGATTTTGGTAACGAGGTCCGCGGACCGCTCGGATGATTGAAGACTCTCGCTGACGAAATTCCCCAGCCCGCCCATCACGTACCTTACCTATACGCGCTCGCGGGACCGGAATACGCGTACAAATCGCAGGAGCGAGTACGCCTGGTCGCGCGGGAGAACTACAACAACACGGACCGCGGTCTCAGCGGGGTGAGCGAAGTTCTGAATCGACTTTGCTGTGCACCCCATGCTGACTGCTCACCTCAGAACGAAGATTGCGGGCAGATGAGCGCGTGGTACATCTTTAGCGCCCTGGGCTTCTACCCTGTCGACCCCGTTTCGGCCGAATACGTCGTCGGCTCGTGAGTGTGGCACCTGTTCTCGACAGAGGGGCATTCTTGACCTGATACCCGGCAGACCCTTTTTCGACAAGGTTACGATTCGTCTGCCCTCAGCGTCCGAGCCCGCCTCAAACAGGACGCTCGTGGTTGTGGCCGAGGGCGCTGCGGACAAGCCCTATGTCAAATCCATCCTCGTGGATGGCGAAGCAGTTCCTCGGAGGGCGCTTGACCTCACCGGTGGTGAATTCACCATCAAGCACCCTTGGGTCGCTGGCGGTGCTACCATTGTCTTCGAGATGTCAGAGCAGCCACAGGGGCGCGGGGAGAACGCGACCGGGCGGGACGAGAGTGAGCTGTAAGCCTAGTGTAACTGGGGAGGTGCTGATATCGACTTTCGAGGTATGGAGCAGAAGCTATGGAAGGGTGTACGATACGTGATGCGACTGTTTAGCTTCCTCGGACTGTGAGCTATACGAGAAAGTGCGCGCTTTGCGTTGTCTGAAGGGTACGAAAGCGGGCAATATGTGTTCGTATTGATTGGCCGGCCGCGAATTGAGGACCGCTCCGGTGATGCCTATGCGGACCGAAGCTCCGAGCACCACTTGAATACTGCCCTCATCGCCGCCCAGCCTCCGTGGGCTTGCTTCTCTCTTCCATCGCCCCCTGGCTTTCTCCGGCCAGCGAAAGCGCGCGCGCTTACGACTATAAGGCTCGGGCTCAACGTTACCGACGAGAACAGCGTCTGCGCATCACATCATGGCGCCCTCTCTCCCCATCACCACCGACGACCTCAGGTCGATGTTCGTACACATCCCCGAGACACCTTTGCAGGAGCGCATCTTTGTCATCTTCCTAATACTCTCACTTTCTCTTGTTGGTACGCCTGCAAACTCAGAGCTTGCGATCGCGCCGCTGACGACGTCATGTCCTCAGCGGTGACCTTCCCAGGGGTCTCAAAACAGCTCCCCTTCTTGAGGATACCTGGGCTAGCATTCTTTATAGGAAAGCACTTCGGAACGGGCGAGTCTTCATATTGTGTTCTCTTGTCATACTTCTTATTCTATCTTAGGCGTCATACTATCCACCGCCTTCTGTCATCTCCTGCAGGACGCGTTCGAGAGCTTGACGAAGCCTGATGTGCAGAAGCGATACAATAATGTAGGACGGTGGACGGGCCTTATAATGTGCGTCCCTCGTATCTCGCATACTAACCGATCGCTCACCGTGTGGGCAATAGTCTTGGCTCGCTCATACTCATATTCCTCGTCGAATGTGCGTGTGCTCTTCTGAATCGTTGCAGTGTGTTGATAGCGCGTCGCAGATATATCGACGGCATACGTCGACTATTTGCAGAACACTCCGCCCTCTCCAACTCCCTCAGAAGAGCCATCGCCGCCACACACAAACGGCCCCATCCTCGTCACCACACTACCTCACGGGCATGGTGGAAAACTTACATCGGAGCCAGCGCCGCTGCATCCAGATGAACACTCCCCCCTGCTATCGCATTCCGACTCGCATTCTCATCACTCCTCAATGCCTGTGCGCCCCGGCTTCATCAGCGCGACGCTGAACTCCCCTCGCCTGAGCGCATGGGTCCGCCGATCGTCACATAACGTGTACTATGGTCAGCGCACGCCGCTAGACTGCATATGTCGCGTGAATGTCGACGGCTCCCAACGCAGTATCAGCGAGGGCGGAGATTCGAGACCAGCCGAATGCATATGTGTTGAGGCGGAAGCGGAGACGGAGACTGTGACGGACGCTGAGGACGAACCAGTAGTACCGCTGGGGAGGAGGCGGCAAGTCATCGGGATTCTTGTGCGTGCGCTCTGCGGTCCAAAATATACCTCAACTCACGGACAATACAGGTCCTCCAAGCAGGCATCATGATCCACTCGACTGTCATCGGCCTGACGTTGTCTATCACGTCGGGCTCCGATTTCAGTACGTCCTTTGCTGTGCTTCCAGACGTCTGCTGACTATGCGTGCAGCATCTCTTGTGACCGCTATTATATTCCACCAGATGTTCGAGGGCCTATCGTTGGGTATCCGGATATCAGCGCTACCTACGTCGCCTCACCATGACCATGATCACGGTTCGCCACAGCGCAACCACGACAAGCACGAACACCGGACAGTGCTCCAGCGCCTTGCGCAGAATTGGCTTAAGCTCGTCTTGTATGTCCTATTCGCGATCACGACACCGGCCGGTATGGCGGTCGGCATTGCCGCCTTCCGCGGTGGGAGCCATTCCGAGACTGGTGAGCTTCTGAATTCTTGGGACTCGGTTTAGAAGATAGTTGACGAACACCTTCTCTGCAGCACGCATGGACCTCATTCAAGGCGTCATGTCCGCCATTTCCGCGGGAATGCTCATCTACGCGGCGACGGTGGAGATGCTGGCAGGCGATTTCGTGTTCGGGAATATGAGTGGCACGCATGGACCGGGGCATGGCGGGCACCCCCATGCGCATGAGCACCTAGACGGCACAGACGATCCCGACGTATTGGACGGCGGCGTGCGCAAACAAGTAATCGCCGTCGTGTCCTTATTAGCGGGTGTTGCGGGTATGGCGTTAATGGGACTCATAGAGTAGGCGGGGAACGGATCATACACTGGCATAAGCAGACACTGATTCCACCATCTGTTGTACATGTCGCTCATTTATCGTACAGTCGGGGACAGCCAAAGTCGACAATTTCGGGTACTCTGCCGGAAAACTTCGGACTTTGCGGCAAACGATGCCTTTCGATGAGAGGAGTAACCTAAATAAATCTCAGACCGAACGGCTCTGCCGTTGGCCCACAAATCGCGATTTATTGGTCGAGGGGGCCCAAAATATTGGCCACCCCTCATTTCTGCCCCTAAATTCAAGGAAAAATGGTTTTTGAACGCCTTTCGCCCATGTCCGCCCGTTTATTCGGTCGTAAAGTCACTGGAGCAATGCCGAAAAGCGCTCAAAATAATAAAAATGCGTGACGTTATGCATGTCTGTCACACCATCGTTACAGTGATGGTGGCTGGCGATGGTCCGCACCTTGCTCGCGAGCTAACTTCAGCAAGCTGGCGCGGCATGGGTATAGTCCACGCTCCATATCTACGAGCTTTTCTTACTTTTAGCGCTGTCGGCACTTGCCGAACACCGTTGAAACTGGCCCAAAAATTGGCCACCCCCGAAAAGTGGTCCTAAAATCGCGGAAAAATCGTTTTTGGGGCTTTTGAGCCCTTCTGAGTTCATTTCTGAGCTCAGATTCCCGTCGGATAAATTATTTTGTGCTCCGACACGGATTGTCGACTTTGGCTGTCCCCGACTGTAGGAGCCTGGAATAATGTGTACCCTCTGCATGTATATTGCCCTCATGGCCATATCTATTGTTCTATTGTGGCGTAACACATCGTGTCCCCCCGCGTGGCCGAGAACAATAGCCGGAGGTAGGCCAGGCGGTGAGATGAGAAGGGTACGCGGCCTCGCTGGGACATAATGGAAGAGATGAGATAGGCGAATGAGATACACGCGCCGCGGTAGCGACGAGCACGCACCGGCCTCGAGGACTTCGTCTTACATATGCGCCCCAAATCGCGAGGCGGCGCCCTCGCGATGTCCGGTGTATCAGGGTACACCGACACCTTCGACCACAGACCCCACGGTGCGCTTATCCAGCTCGAGAAGCTACGCACCTATCTAGGCGGGTGGCGAAGCACCAGCGGCGACCTGCGCTCGAGGAGATCGCAATCGAGGGCATCTGTGAGACCGGCGAAGCAAGCCACCACCACATTCGGACGACGACCTAGGCGAAGGATGTCCACCAAGCTCTCGACGCAGTACCATCCCTTCCTCTTTCTCTTGCTCATGCTGTGCGCGATGGCGGAATTGGGGCTGGGGGTATTTCTGATCGTGACGGGATACGAGCACGAGTACTGGCCGAGCTCGCGATACAGGGCGCTGTGAGTCAATCACTATCTGGCTATTGGGGATGGAAGGCTAACTACCTCTACGCAGGCTAATCCTCTTCCTCTTCGACGCGGCGTGGACGATATTTTTCTCGAGCGCCTACTTGTTATATTGCCTGGAGGGCGGCCGGCGTCTCCTGGCGGACATTGCAAGCTCCGTGATATGGCTCATAATGACAACGACGCTTTGGGTACGTGCTTGTGGCAAAGTGAGGGTGAATAGGCTGATCGGCGTGGTACAGGGTGCTGCAGCGGGCCTGTGGCACAATACACGAACGGGAGGGGATTGTACGGGACAACCGGCAATTTCTGAGTTAGTGAACCTCGTCGCCGTCTTCGCAAAGGCTGATTATGACACTCACAGATGCCGGGAGACGCTGACGATAGAAGGACTGGGCTGGGCGCAATTCTCGTTATCCGCACTCACGATGCTGTCGACGATCGCTTGGATGCAGGAGTCGCGGTGGAAGAGAAGACTGGACGAGGTGCTTGAGATGCCGGTCTGACGAGATAAGAGCACGATATCTATTCGCTCGCAGCGCTGTGTAACTTAATGAAGTCCAAGTCCAAGTTGCGTGCATGGCGGTGTGAGCTGGGATCGGGCACGCACGATTTGCTTCCGCTGATGACTGACGTCAGTGATGGATGGGCTATCTGATAACCCGCACGTCTTCTCTCTAGCCATGCACCTGAGCCGAACCTGGGACCTGAGCTGCTGCACTAACGCGTCTCCTTATCAGAGGCCACCATGTCCTCTCACTCTTCTGAAGACCCGTCCTCCGCGCACGACCACCGTCGCCAGTCGTGCAACTCGATGCTCGAGTCCTATACTGCCCACGAAGACACTACCGACGAGTCGGAAGTAGAGCCTGGGTCCCCTGCAGACTCAGACGACATACTCGGCAGATGTAGAAGCCCAAGCCATGAGCTCTCTGCTCGCTCGCGCGAAGAGATCCTCGCTGCCCAGAAGCGACGTGCCACCTTCATTCGGGGGCTTGCTCTCCTCTGCGCATGCAGCCTTAGTGTTGGCTCTCATTAGTACGTCGATACTATCCGTATCAGATAACAGCGACACCTAAACAAATAACTGACAGTGCATCGTACGTCCTAGGACCACTGAAGAGTCGCTTGGCACGCGAGCTCGGAGCCAGCCACACCGAGTTCAGCCTTCTCTTCTCTGCGTATAGCTTGAATAGCACCTGGACCAGCCTTGTCGGAGGCGCTCTTGCTAGCAAGATAGGGACGACCGCGACCAGCATCATTGCTACGGGAATCATCCTCGTCGGTACGTTTACACCATCCTCTATTCTCTCCCCTCTGCCTCTAGAAGCTCTAATCATTGAATGCTCTCCAGGCCAACTTATCCTCTTGCTCGGCCATACAATTGGCAGCATACGACTCATGGCCCTCGGCATGTTTATCTTTGGTATCGCAGTCAGCCCCCTCGCCGTCGTACAAGAGACCATAATCGTCCGCTTCTTCCGCTCGCACGGTCTCGGCGTTTCCCTGGCGCTCGGCCTTCTCGCTGGCAAAGGCGCTTCCTTCTTATCGGCGCGTACGGCATACCCTCTGAGCGCGCACTTTGGCCCCAACGCACCGTTCTTCGTCGCCGCGGGGCTGGCGACGTTCTCCTTCGTGGTGAACCTGCTGTATGTCGCTGCTTCGAGGTGGCTGGTGGACGGGGCGTGCGCGGATTTGGAGGCGGCGGATGTGGAGGAGGAGGCGAAGCGGAGGTGGTCGATAGATATCACGGAAGCTCAGGCGTTGGAGAAGGTCGCGGCGAAGAAGCGCGTACGTCTGCGCTCCGTGGTAAAGCTGGGGGATGTATTCTGGGCGTGAGTACTCTTGCCATGCTGTTCGACTTTCATGCTCAATGGTCTCTGGATTCAGATATGTTTTCTTGAATGTGCTATGTGGTTCCATCTGGTCGCCCTTCGTCCATCTTGCTGCGTAAGTCTCGGGCTGAAGCATTGCACAAACCCAGTCTGACGAGGTCATAGAAATATAATCGAGACACGATACTCTCTGCCAGAGGCTTCCGCGGCGAGTCAGGCTTCGTACCTCCTTGCAGGCAGTCTTATAATGTACCCCTTGGTGAGCCTTTGTTGTGCGCTGCTATGGCCGCACGCTTACCTCCCCAGTGTGGCTTCCTGGTCGATAGGTTCAAGCATCGACCCATCGTTATCCAGCTACTTGTGTGCTCGTCCACCTTGACGCTCTTCTGCTACGCGTGGCTGGCGCTTTCGACGAATACACCAATACCCGGGATTTTGGCCTTCGCCATTGGTCATGGCTTTTCACCTTGTAAGTACTCATTTTTTGCAGCGAATTCTCCACTCACGATATACTAGTACTACTCGTCGTGTTGGTGCCCAAGATCGTGCCTCTCAAATTTGTTTCCACCGCGCTCGGTGTACATAAGAGCGTAAGCTACTTGCCTGCATTCTAGAATGACGGGAAATTTAACTCGTTTTCCAGCTTGAGAATTGCGGCTCGACGATTTTCCAGACCATTGCCGGCCTCGCTCTCGATATTCACAAGAGCAAGGCGGGCCCTTCGACCAATCCGACATCGCTGCAACGGCTGCTAAACATCTTCCTCGTACTCAACATCTTCCAGCTGGCAGCCATCGTCACCCTGGCATGGCTGCAGAAACGGCGGACGACTGCTCACGTGCACACCCATGATAGCCGATCTTCATGCACGGTGGTCGATAGCCACTCGAGCGCGTCTCCGGATGGACGCAGGTCGCCCTCATCAGAGGACGCGCGCGCCTCGCAGCTTCTGCTTCCACCTTCAGAAGGCGACTCGGGCGCTGGCTATGCGTCCATCACCCGAGCCAAACTACGCGGGGAGGCGCGCCTGCGAGCGGAGACGGCCCGAGGTCGAATCTTCGCCTCGATCTGTGGCTGCCTCGTCGTTTCTTGCTGGGTGCTGTTTATGGGGACGGCGTACTTTCGGATGGGCTTGAAGGACGTACCAGGAAAGGGGATCCAGAGATGAATGAAGGCCGAAGGTGAAATGAACTGTATCTATCTATTAGTCACCTACCCAGATCGTGCGTTGTATCGCAGGTGAAGTTTACGTCTCTGTGCATAGTATACCTGATAGGCTGCGTCTATACCATCTCGCTTGGCTGATCGATACGGGTGATGGTCGAGATACGGGTTATAAACGATGGTGGGCGAAGCGGATAGAGTTTAGGGTCCGCGCATATCCTTTTGGGATATGCCTTCGCAAGGGACACGGTGATAGTGGGATAAAACCTGGTGATAGTAAGATATAGCCTCCGATTACTCGACGAGTGATAATCCAGATGCGAAGGAGTGTCGCGGCTCACACGTTGCGGGTGTGGGTCCAGTCCGTAAGCGGCAATCAGCGGCGGGTTCTCGATCACATGATCGGGCCCGGAGGCCTCCCACGTTCCGCCACGTCGAGCTCGTCGCGCGAAGTAGCGGTGGACGGCCTGCACGTTGCTAGCGTCGATGGCGGACGAACCATGGGAGAAGGTGCTGTGGAAGAAGCAGCCATACCCGGATAACTACATTCCGGAGGGCCTATTCCTGTCGTCTCTGCGAAGAAATCGTGAGTGGAATATATCGCGTGTGGCAACGGAGGCTGACCATGGCATAGCGAACTTCCGGCCGTATACCTACTGGCAGCTCGTCTTCCTGTCGTTCGCGATAACCCAGCACCTAGCAAGCATCGCCATCTTTGTCTCCGCGTTCACGATGCTCAAGGATCATGTCCTCGACCCGCGTGTGCTGCTTTGGCTGTCCATAGCTGGCTTTTTCTTGGGACATTTCGTTTGGGAGGTGTTGGTGCGCGCAATATCCGACCGCGAAAGGCGGCGGGAGGACCGTGAGTCGCCCAGGAAATGCCGTCGCTACGAGGGTCGCTGCTAACGGAAAGTGCGGACCCAGGCATGCGTGCGGTCAAGGCCTCCATTCTGCTCTTCCTCGCGCTCATGTGCCTCGCGCCAGTGCTCCGCACGCTCACCGCTGCTACGTCTTCCGACTCCCTCTGGGCCATGGCGGCTGCGCTCTTCATTCTGAACGCGCTCCTCGCGGACTACACCCCCATGCCCGGCCACGCTCGCGAACGGTGCGTCCCCCTTTCTCCAGCGGTTAATGTCTGTCCCGCCGCTTGTCCCTACCCCTGCGCTGACACGCCCACGCCTCCAGCCTGACGTCGGTTCTGTCAACTAATGCCGCCATCTCGTCCTCCGTTGTCCTCGCCTCACGCCTGGCGCACGATCTGGCCGTGTTCGCGCTCACGCTCTTCGCGGTGGAGGTCTTCGCCCTGTTTCCGATGCTGCGCCGCCGGCTTCAGGTGGGGTTCGCTGCTCACGTTCATTCTGCCACTTTGCTCACGTTTGTTTATTTTGTTTCAGACGACTCCTGCTCCCGTGCAGGCTGGCCTCACGGTGGCGCTTGTGCTTCTCGCGCTTTCCCTCAGTGCCCGTGTCTCCGCAACAGCACCGTGGCTCTATGCCGCGATCTTCACTTTTGTCACATTTGCGGCACCAGCTATGCTTGTCTGGGCTCAGCAGTACAAGAAGTACGTTCTTTACCCCATCCGTAGTACTCGTACATCTCGACCACGGCCCCGCGTTAATGAAGACCTTTGTACAGCGAAATCCGCGGACAATGGGACGTCGCGGTGCCCAAAGTCAAGTAGTATATGGCCCCAAACCTCGAGGCCGTCCCGATCATCCCGAAGAATTATCTACAACACCAGCATCGTGCCGTCTGGGTCTGGGTCCCACACAGACCGTTCCCACTCCTTCTGCCCTCCGCCCAAGCCCTACAACCTGCCCACTCGTTCTCTTCGGTGCGCCACCAATTCTCGCACCGTTCAGGGTCCGGCTGCCTGCCAATCGACCTGAAACTATGACCGTGGCCTCAGTCGTGCTGATCGTCGTGTCCTCCACGGGGGGCTCGGATTCCCGCTCCCTCCGATGGGTGCGCCACTCGCAGGCGCGCCATTTGGGGCCACTTGGCGATAAGATACTGCCGACAAACCCCGTCGCCTGATCCCGCTTGCCAGCCGGCCTTCCTATCCTGCGTCAGCGAGATCCGCCCTGAGATGGGCAGGCCACGAGCATGCCAGAAGGGCGATTTGGGTTGCAGAAGACCGTGTCGGACGCCGAGAAGAGGAGAAGGCTGCCGGGGCCGTCAGGACTGTGACAGATGTGCCGGAAGTAGGGAGCGTCGACTGCCAGAAGCGCGCGAGGACGCCGCCTGGACGGAGATGAGATGCTTGTATCCCTCGCTAGGCGACTCTACTGCTCAATATCGCGGGCGCTGACACGCGGAAGAACGGATGAGGAGCGACGCGACAGGCGGCGAAGACAGCAGAAATTCAGCGGCACGCCCAGGATCAATAATCAGCTCATGCACACCACCACGAGCATCACAATCTTCGTCACAGGTATCAGCCAGGCCAGGTCTCGGAAGTGCGCCCTGCAGCCGCGCCTCGAGGTACCTTGGGGAGCCTCGTTGCCACCAATAGCCTGGCGCTCGATCTTCCACGGTTGCCTCGCGCCTTCCGCATCCGGTCAAAAGTCTGCCGTGCGGTAAGGTAGGTCTCGTATCCAGGATGGCCCGACGACGAATTCGCCTGCGGGACCGACGAATTCCTCTGCGAGCGTGTGCTCAAATTAAGGGTGGATGGGTGGCTCATGTGCGAGGTGGGCGCACGCCTTCCCGAGGTGGCAGCGTCTGTCCGGGAGGCCTGCGTGCGTCTCTAGGGGCGCATGCAGTCTTCCCAGAGGGGCGTGCATATGTGCGCTTGCCTTCGGCGTATGTCCAAGCCAGACGCGCAGCTGTAGGCGATACACCTGTCTGACGAGCGCGCCGACGGAGCCGGAGGGTGGGTTATCTGCCACTGCACGCCCGCCTGCAACTCCAAGGCGCCTGAGTTGCAGGCCAGGTGACCCATCCGTAGGTCCGTACATAGACCCGGGAAGGGAGCGCGAAGCCTGCAAGCCGGCACAGCGGAGACTTGCTGTATAGAAGGCTGTCACGAGCGTAGACAGGCATCGCAATAGAGTGCACTTGTAGCCTGAAAAATCCCGGCGCAAAGTTCGTTAGAAGCTGTTACCCCGGTAAGGTCAATGGGCCTTCTGCCGCCCTGGGTCAAAGCAGCAGAGGGCCGGGAACGCTCGCTGTCTCACGCAACCGAGAGAGGATTCAAAAATATTGTATTCTGTGCCAGGCTAGCGTACGTGAGTGAGAAAAATGACTGGACAACGATAAATCAAGAAGGAACATGAAGGGAATCGTCACATAGGTAGCTATCTATGCACATAGGGAGAAAGGAGAGATATAACATGGAAGGATAAGGTTATAACTGTTGCACGGAAGGAGAGTGGAAAAGGAGTTCAATAGTTCATACGTCGGATAGCAGTAGCATGAGGTGTTCTTGGACGACGACCATGGATAAGTGAAGAAGAAATTTGATAGCCAGTCTGTGATAGGAACGTCGTAAGCATTCGCGGCCTTTACCCAGTGTAGAAGGCATGCTCACCTGATAATCATGGAAGGGAAGCAAGCTTGAAGAGACTTGGCAGGTTATGTTACAGCATATGATACATACATACAGGATACACAAGAAAGCACGGACGCAAGCAAGCTGGGAGACGATACGATCCGCGGATATCGGTCTAGCAGGTGGTCCGAGACGAAGGGAGCGTTGCAATTGCAGGGAGAGCTTTGTCGTGCATGAGTTCGCAGGCGCGTCCGTTAATTATCCTTGTGGGCGATGGAAGAGGAGAGGAAGCGTAGCAAATCCGGGCTTGGGGAGTAGTCCCCGCCCGCTCAGGCTACGCCTCCCCGTCATCATCGTCCACCCGTTGTCGCTTCGCACCCTTGGGCACGCCCATACCGATTCCCCTCGCCTCGAGGACGTCCATCGCGACGCGCGCCGCGCTTTCGGACGTCTTTTTGCGCGTGCGCGTCCGGCGGAGCGCACCGAATGCCTGCGCCTTGATCACGGCCAGCGTCCCGGACATGGGGCCCGGACCAGGCGACGGCGAAAGCGACTGACGCGCCGAGTCGGGGTTGTCGGGGGCAGGACGCTTGCGCGGATTCGGTGCGGGGTCGCCGTCGCTACGCGGTGATCCCGAGCTGTGATCGCTGCCGCCGAACGGCGCTGGGAGGCCGTTCGGTGCCGAGTCACGGCGAGCGGGCGCCGGCGCGGTACCGTTGTTGCCAAAGCGCATGCGGAGCGCATCGCTGGCGGGACCACCGAGGGAGGCATCACCACCATGGAGGGCGAGATCGGCAGCGCTGGTGGGATGGGGGTAGCGGCGGTAGTAATCGTGGTCGGCGACGCCATTCGCGTCGGGGTAGAATTGGTATGAGGCAGCGAGGGATGCGGAGGAAGAAGGTGGGGTGGAGGAAGGGGAGATGGAGCGGCTGTTGGAGAAGACGTATGGCGCGGCGGAGTCGAGGGCTGCGAGGGCTGCTTTTGAGTCGTCGCCTGGGTAGCGAGGTGCGTAGGAGAGATCTTGGGAGGTGATTGTAGGCGACGTGAGTGAGGGGGACTCGGTGAACGTGGGGGATGCGGTGGATTGAATGTCTGGGGCGAAAGGTCAGCCGGAGAAGGACACGATTTCTTTGGGGAGCAGACCTTGATAGTCGTACGAGTACTTGGGTACGCGGGGCATGGATGCCGCCACTGACGCGGTGCTGGAGTCGGAGGGCGCGTACGAATTGGGGTAGGAGGGATCGGAGCTCTGGTAGGGTGCGCAGACGGCTGGATCCTGGGCGTATGGTGTGGAGGCAGACATCTGGATGGGCGAGAGGTTCGGTGGCAATGGGAGGTCATCGTGGGGGTCGTGGGGGCCCTTGCGGGCGTCAAGGAGCGAGCGCCAGATGCGATCGCGGTCCTTGAGCTCGTGGCGGAGGCGGGAGTTCTGCTGTTTGTACTCGTGGGCCTGCTGCTGGGCCTCGCGACACGAATCCTGTAGTTGAAGGACGACCTGCTCGAGGGAAGTGACTGGCGAGGTAATTGAGTACATAATGAGAGGCGAAGAGGGCGCGGGCCGGAGGCGACGTTACCTGTTTCCTCGAGAGTAGCGATGTAATTAGCGCGCCGCTGTCTGAATGCGGCCTGAGCGTCCGCATTTTTCTTCTTTCGGAGGGCGATGTCAGCCTTGCGCGCGTCGTCGTCGTTCTGGGCGGGCTTCGCCTGAGCCTGGGCGTTCGGGGGCATGGTAGGTGGCGGGGGCGGGCGATGGCGGAGAGCAAGGGCGTTCTGCGGGAAGTTTGATTTATAGATTGGGCTGAATGGAGAAGGGGCCGGGCACCCATTTTGGAAGCTGCCCACGACCAGCCCTGCCTCGCCGCAAGCCGCCTCCCGCCGCCACGCCTCCTGCCCCGGATGGCTCACATCTCCGCTCTATCATAGCACGCCAGCCGCCCGCGTGCGCCCCTCCACACAGACAAGGTTTGCCCCCAATTTCCAACCCGCACAAACCTCCCCGCAAGTCCACAACCGTCCTGCCACTTTCGGACGTCCCAAACCAGCCAAAAGGTCCGCGGACCCAAATTGCATGACCCCACATTTTATCGTACTCGACGCCGTGAGGTCCGCGATATCTACCGACTACACCGATCGGCCCGACCCCGAGATGAACGAAAGATCATGTCTCATCCCCCTCCATCATCGAGCTGGACCCCTCCTCCTCCCCCTGCCCCTCTGCCTCCTCTTCGCCTTCTTCATCTTCTTCATCCTCGTCACCCTCCACATCAATGCACTCCATCTTCGTCCCTGCCCCGTCTAGAACACACGCAACTCTCCGGTTTGGTCTTCCGTTCACCGCAAGCGATACCGCGCCAGATCGACATCCTACCAGCCGCCGACTCTTCTTGATCGGCATCTCCACCGCGGCCATCTGCGCAAGCACAACCTCAGCCCGCGTCATCCCTCGCCCTAGCTCACGCGCCCACGCACCTCTCCTGCCTCGCAGCGTCCCATCACCTCCAGCGCCAGATTTTCGCGGCTCGTAGCCCCGTGTATCGCTAGCGTTTGATAACCTAAGTCATGGTAGCCGACACTCGCTAAATAGACAGCTTCTGCTTCCCCCGATCAAGATCATACATGAGCCTGCGTCATGGCGCGATTCAAAACGCGAACGCACCTGGTGTGCGCACAACGATCAACATGTCCTGGTCGTCGAAAAAGTCCCCCTCGAGTAACTCGTATGCAGGACCGTCTGCCGTGGTGCATGACAGCACCGCGACATCGAAGTTGTATGGGGGCGCAGCGCTCCCCGCCGCGTACGGCTGCCGCACCACGCATACTGTGATCAAAGTCAGCCCGTCAGGCCAGAACACGTCCGATGGGCACGCCACATACGCGCGGACCGGTCCTCAGCACAGAGACCCATGGCCAGATACTGCACCTGCCCCCCGCCCTGCGACAAGAAGGAATACCATCAGGCACGCGCACGCGAGGCAAGAGATATGGCGACCCTCTAACCTGATCTTCTTCCCGCCTGATCACCCGCTCCTTCGTGAACGCGTGTCTCATATGCCCGGACAGCGCCGGAGTCGGCTGCGCCTCTCCGGCGTCCTGCTGTCCGCGCACGGCCACGCTTGAGCGCGAGGCGGCCCCTGCCCCAGTGGCGAAAATTTTGGAGCAGCTCGCCGCGATGTCGTCCACGAGCACGCTCACGTTGCGCTCCATCTTGCGATGGTCCAGGCGCTCGATGTGCTGCGACAAGATTAGGGTGGCCACTACCATCGCGCCGCCGGCACCACTCACCAAACCGATCGCGACGAAGTTGGGGTCGCTTGCCGCCTTGCGAGCGCGCGCCAGCACCGAGGTTAGTGACGACTGTGCTGGCATCCCGATCTCGAAAGGCGGAAAACTCGGTGCACCGCCGATAAACCATCCGTCAATGACGCTTCCTGCCAGGCTATGTTCCATGAAGTTGTTGACCTCGAGGAGGTCGTGTGTTGGGGGAGGAAGTTCGGTAGCTGCTGGGTTCCGTGCGCGCGCAGTTTCTGCAGTACTGTAAGCCGATAATACAAAAGAACCCGGGACCCTTACCATGTCGTACCCAGGAGATGAACTCCCTAAACCTCATAAGCTCCTCCCGCGCTGCAGTCGCGAGCCAGTTGAAGACGATTAGGCCTCGGCCGATCATATCCAAACACCTCTGAACCTCGATGCGATCGAGGTTGAAGAGCGCATATTGAGGCCTGCAATTACCGTCAGCTGCGTACCAGAATCCGCGGTGATAGCTTACAGGTGAGACCATCCTAGCACTTCCTCCATTATGAGATGAAGCCTTTGGCATGCCGGGGCGATACGCCTCTCGCTAGTGTCTCGCAATTTCGTGAGTGCTTCCGTCACAGCAGAATCCCAGCGCTGTAGTGCCTGCAACGTTCGTCCTGTCAGCAATATACGCCACGAAACAGGTCATGTACCTACACGGTCGCTCGTGTGCTCACTGCTCGCCAAGAAGTCCAATAGCGACTCGGTACACTTGCCCGTCACCAGCAGGTGCGTCAAGTCCAGCATGCCGGCAGCTTGGTATTCTAGAAACCATCAGTATGAGCTCGTGAGAGAACGCACGCCACAGCTCACGGCGGAACTCCTGTTGCTTCTTCTCAAACTCAGAGAGGAACTTGGGGCCCAGTAATCGCGCGCCTGTGTGGGATTCCCCTCCATACCATACGTCGCGCATGTCCTTCGTCAACCGCGTCATATAATGCACGAGCTCTCGCGCCGCGGAGGATAGCCTTGCAAAGTCCCGCACGTGCCGCTCTCGGAGTAGTCGGATGTCTAGCGTGGTAGGTAGCACGTCCGTGCATGGCCGTGAGTCCAGCACTATCATCGGATGGAGGAACAATAGCGGCTCGAGTGGATCCTTGTGCATGAAAAGGGTGGTAAACGGCGCGGGAGAAGCGTATGAGGCAGCACCCATCGGAAAGCAGCCATCGAGTAGAGTGTAGATGTGCCCCGCCTCGTCCGCGGCGGCAAGGATGCTGTCGAGATTGTCAGTGTCGACATCATCGATTTCCGCCCCCGGAGTTTTAGCCTGTGGACTGGCCGCGATTGAGGTCAAGGCAGGATCATGCGCCAAGGTCGGCCAGTTCACGAGCGCGTCGTGGACAGTCTTCTTTGGTTTTGCCTTGGTTGCGCTGCCCTGGAAGGCGAAGAGATCGGTCGCGCTATGGGACGAGCGTCAAAATCGCAAGTTTGCTTGCGCCACCAATGTGCTCACGTCAAGCTCTGCGACTCTTCCGCGAGGTGGTCTAGCAAAGGAAGGGTTCGCAACGTATACAAAGAGGATCCTGTCTTCGCGCGTCTGTTAGCCGCAACGCAGTGTCGCTCTCGGAGTACGCACGATGACCCCGTTACGCTTGAAGATATCCGGAATGATGGCCTTCTTCTGCGGTCGCTCGTCCTTGAACCACCATAGTGACGTGAGGCGAGTATCGCATTCCACGGGAAAGGAAGACTGTTCACGTCCGTCCTGGATGGAGTGTAACGTGATACGCGGTGGATCATGCGCAACCGCGATACTCTGGCCTGTTCAAAGACCTTCACAATTCAACGCACTGGATAGATGATGGAAGTCAACATACCGTCCGGACTCCAGGCTATACCGACGATATGCTCGCTGTCGGAGGCCTCCGCCCCTACATTTACATCCCATTTCTTTTGTCCCTGGACTTTCCAGAGGCTCATGCGATCCTGGCCACCGATTCGGGATATGAGTATGACGAGATCCTTGTCCGGACAGCATGATGCGTCTAGTATTCGTGACGGAGACGGCAGCTGGATCAGCGCCAGCGATGAGAACGCGTCGCCGTTCATTGTCAGCTCGGTGGCGGTCGACGCGACGCGGCGGGAGTGAACCTGAGTGATCGCGTGGGACGCGCCGTGCGTAAATCAGTCACATGACACCGGCTTCTGCCGCAGCCCCTCTAGGAACATCCCACGGTTGACTGGCTTTGATTGTTCAACACTCTCACGACGAGCCTCTTCACGAACATCGCAATCACAGCTCAATCAGACGAATGCGCGTTCACGCGCGTCATACACGGAGATGAAAAGATACAACAGAAGATCGTTTACTTCCCCTTCCCCTTTCTCTTGCCAGGCTTCTTGCCGACGCGGCCGACGGCGTCGCTCTTCTTCGCGCGTATGCCCTCACTACTTGAGCTCTTCGCCCCCTTCTGCCCCAGATCGCGGTCGAAAGTTCCACCTGCGCGCTTGCCCGTGACCTTGACAGGTTTCCCCATCTTCTTGCTCTTCCCGGACTTTGCCGTGCGAGCCTCCGGAAGACCGATCTTCGTAGGTCGACTGGCCTTCTTTGCGGAGCGGATAGCGGCAGCCACCGCCTTTGTGTCTGCCTCATCCTCCTCGTTCGCAAGCTTTCTCCGCTTGGCTTTACGGGAGAGACCTGAAAACTTATCTCTCTTGGGCTGTGGCGCCCGTCATCAGTCGGCTATCGGCGGTGAGAATCAGAGAACGGACCTTTGGTTCGTCCGCGCCCTTCTTGGACTTCGGCGCCTTGGCCATGTCAAGCCCATTCTCGTACTGCTCCTTGCTAACGGCTAGAGATGTACCGTCAAAAGCCGCATCCACCTCCGTGTCGCCGACGACGCACCTTCCGCTGACGCCTTCTCCTTTCCGGTCTGGAACCAAGTTCGCGCTGGGCGCGAGAATATCTCCTTCTCGTGCTCGATCATGTTCTGTCCTTTGCGGAGCTCCATCTCCGCTTGCTGAATCTGTGGTCACTGGTGAGAACCGTCCGACGCGGAGGATACCGTAGCCGGCGGCAATTACCTGCTTCTCCTCCTTCTCCTCCTTCAGGATCTCCGAGATTTCGTCCTTGAGGCCCTCCAATTTTTCCGTCCACTTCGCGACTACCTCCGGAGGCACAGTTCGGTGGCGGATCTGATCTTGGCCGGTGCTATGCTTAATGGCAGCTTTCAGCATCTTGCGATCGCCCTCGCCGACGAGGGTCACAGAGCGACCCTTCTTCCCGGCACGCGCCGTACGACCAACGCGATGGAGGTATTGCGCCAGCTGGCCCGGCATGTCGTAGTTAATAACGGTCTCGACGCCCTTGATATCCAGACCGCGAGAAGCGAGGTCGGTGGCCATCAAGTAATCGACGGTTCCGTCGCGGAACTGCTGCAGGGCATTCAAGCGCTGATAGGTGGTTAATCAACGTGTATACATCCACCTAAATGAAAAGCGCACCTGCTCCTGCGAAAGGTCACCGTGAAGCTCGCCGCACTTCAGGCCAACCAGGCCGAAGACGATGCGGAGCTGATGCGCCAGCTTCTTGCTCCTCACGAAGATGATGACGCGGGTCTTGAACGTCCGCGTACAAAGGGCGACAAGCAGCGGCGACCGCTCCTTCTCGCGACCGGCACGCACGCGGACGAACTCCTGGATCAGGCCTTTCGCGGTGCTTCGTTTGGGGTCCACGAAGAGACGGACGGGCTTGTCGAGTGACATCCTGACCAGCTCGTCGACGGAGTCTGTCATCGTCGCGGAGAACAGCATCGTTTGCCGAGACTTGGGGCACGCCTTGATGATCTCCGTTAGCTCGTCCGCAAAACCATCCGAGAGCATGCGGTCGGCTTCATCGAGCACCAGAACGTCGAGATTATCGAGGGTGAAGGACGGGGAATTGTGGATATGGTCGATGAGACGACCCGGCGTAGCGATTACAATATCCGGACGCGCACGTAGCGTGGCTTCTTGTGACTTCAAGGATAGACCACCTGTTCAACTTTAGCAAAAAGACGACGTATCGCGGGAGAAGTAACATACCGACGATGAGCGCGACCTCGATATCCGTGTGGGCAGCCAGCTTCTTGCCGACTTCGTAGCACTGCACAGCCAGCTCACGAGTAGGTACGAGGACCAGACACCGCGTCGCAGCAGCCTTCTTGCCCTTTTCGCGGTACAATAGACGTTCGAGCATGGGTATCGTGAACGCGGCGGTCTTTCCGGAACCAGTGACGGCGTTACCGACGACGTCCTTGCCGAGCAGCGCAACAGGGATGGTGGCAGCTTGAATAGGGGTAGGTTTGGTGAAGCCAAGGGTAGTAAGTGCCTTCAGAATGGGGCGCGAGAGGTTCATAGTAAGGAAGGACGAGTGTTCTGCTGGTGCACCAGACTCCGAGTCAAAGTAGGCTGCTTTGCGGTCCTTCTCTGCTTGCGTCTCCTCGTCAGAGTCGTCGGATGAGTCGTCGGATGCGTCCCCCTCCTCTTCCTCATCTTCCTCGTCTTCCCCGTCTGTCTCTTCATCCCCTGAGCCATCCTCTTCGTCTGATGTCGCGAGGGGATCTTCCTCAGATTCTTCTCCGTCCTCGAGGTCGGCCTCTTCATCATCATCCTCGTCCTCCTCCGAGTCGTCTTCAATGTCGCTATCTGCAGCCGCCTCGCGTTTGCGCTTCAGCTTGCGGCGAGCAATGATGTCGTCAACTGATATAGGCGCCTGCGTTGGAGTGAGCATGTCTCTATGCGCGATACATCAGCTAGCGCACGCACCGGTTTCGAGCCCTCCTTCACCACATCCTGGAATTCCGCGGCCTGACTGAGCATATCCGCATAGGAATCCCCCGTCAGGTCGAATGTGAACCCCGCGTCCAGCTGCGGTCCCTCCGCCTCGGGCTTCGAGGACTTCTGCGGGACCACCGCATCCTCGGTGTCCGAGTCAATCGTCATCAAGTAGTCCGACATGGCGGCGAAAGCAGGGGGACCAGTTGGCCCTCGAGAAGACAATGCGCGGGGCGGCGCGCGCAACGGTGATCGAGACAAGGCTTGGAAAATGTCGATCACATCAAGTCGGGACCGGATTCCGGGACAAATGCATCGTTATCCGCAAAAGGAAGCTCAACTTGGCTCATCCGGGGATCACTCCCAGGCGTAATTATCGCAGGGAAGTCGAAGGACCGCTCGCAGATAACCCTGTCCCGAGTCTCTACCATGCTCGTCGGTAGAATGCCTATCCAGAAAAGCTTTGAACCTAAACCTTGTGCAGATGAACGCATGTGGGCACATGCGTCGAACACCCTCGCCCGCCGACCGATTCATATAGTGAGCGGCTTTCATAGAACATGAGATGACCGGGGAAGTTGATTAGGTAGCTACAGAGCCAGCGAAGCTGCGATTATGCAAAAACACATATAGAGCGATATCCAGCACTGGAGGGACGCAGACGAGGGGCGTACTAGTAATGCAGGAAGGGCAAGGGTATGTCACAATTGAAGTTGAGAGGGAAAGGGGAAATGCAGCGATGTAGGACGTGAGCAGAGCGGAGCAGTAGGTAGTACTATCGTGTCAGGAGGTACGCAAGACCGTATAATAAACCATGATCTAATAAGTAAGTTGCGTAGAGGTCAAGGATATTTACCAGAAAAAGAGCTTGCGAAGCACGGCAACGTCCTTGGGCTGCCCAGACTGTGTCCGGGACATCATCGGTGCGTCGTCAAAGTCAGCGTCCGGCGGGGCGATACGCGACTTTTGCATCTGTGATTGTTATTAGAAATTGATTTTGGGAGCGAGAGAATGCACGTACATCCACATTCATCAAGAAGGGCGTATTCAGAAGCTGCTCAATGTGTTCTCGTCTCGGGAAGTTATAGTCGGCGGAGCTTTGGCACTGCGTCCGGTACTGGGTAGTCTGGCTGACGAAGCGACCCATCATGTTGAACTTGCCCCAGTGAATCTTACTAGGATCCGACTGGAAGTAATCTGGGTTGCCCTCGTTTGCGCGAATGAGATCCGAGATGTGCACTTCCCTACCACAGCTTGTTAGCGCGCGTTCCACGGGCCTATAAGATGCACTTACAGCGCCGGTATGCAAGGCCCCTTCGTGTTCCTCAGCGCCAGCCGATACGCGCGATGCGACCGGATGTGTTGCAGCAACACGTCCCATGACTGCAGGTTCTTCGCCTGCTCCGGCGACTTCGACTTGAACTGTTCCATCGTCTGGTCACCGGGGAAGGTCGAATTGTTGATCCCCGCCACGAAGGCGCGCAGCGCGGAGTAGTTATTAAGGGCACGTAGCTTCTGCGCGATGTCCACAAACTTCTCGATCTGCTTTGCCCGCGCCTTGGCACGGTCGTGGCAGAGGATGAGGGACACCACCCTACGGCATCGGTCAGCGCCCGCGCGGGTTCCTCAGTGGCGCGATAGGGCATACCAGTCTGCTAGCCGTTCGGAGATGGCGTTAAAGCGAGCGATGCTATCCACCTTGGGGTCTTTGCGCCCCGAGACGAAGGTGTATCGCAGCCAGTGGCGTGGCTGGCGGGCGCGTGTTAGTACGCATTCGCCGCGGCCATGCATAGGACTGACCTCGATCTCCAGAAACGCCTTTGCTTCTATACGAGTGATCTCCTGCGCGATCTCAGTCGAGTCGATAAGAGCCAGCTGTTGCGAGATCTTTAAGAGCTCCTTGATTTGGTGCTTTGGGACCTCTTCATCCGGCTGACCGCCCGCGGACGAGGAGTTCATCATCAGAGATCGAGTGAGAGGTAGGCTTTGTTTCCGCTCTCGCGACGCAGGTGATGTTCGCGAGGTAGATGCCGCTGCCCCTCTCGTTAGCTCGACGCTACCCGTGCTACGGGCAGGTTCGCTTGGCTCATCCACCGACGGCGTCACACTCTTCGTCGCGATCTCCTCCTCGTCCTCCAGGATGCTCATCTCGTCCTCCGTGTCGTCAAAGTCGTCCACTGGCTTAGCCCATTGCGAGTCCGTGTCCTGGTAGGTCAAGGCTTGCTCGACGAAGGGGAGGAAGTCGGATCCGTAGTGCAGCAGGTACGTCTTGGAGACGATCGAGCGCACGAGCGCGTTAAGCGCACCATACGAACCCTTCACCGCGAAGTCGTGGGGGTAGTCGTGAATCCAGGTCTCGAGTAGATGACATATCCGCATCTGCGCGAAGCACGCAAACATTGGATCGCCGCTGGGTTTGTCGAGGTCGCGCATACGCTTCTGCATTGCAAGCAAGAGCTTCCGCGGAGTACTGAAGCGCCGATACGTGAGAAGGAAGTGGGTCACGAAAACAGGGTCGTCGCCGCTGACGGAGAGGAAGAGGAGTTTGTCCAAGAGCTCGTCGATGGTTGCCCACTGGGCAGGTCGTCTACAGAGCATGGTGAACTTCATGCATATCGATGGAGCGCTGATACGCACTGATCTTTTTCCTTCTTCTCCTTCTTAGGTTGCTGTGGGCCCTCAGATGAAGGGGTCGCCTGGACCGCATCCTCCGTGCCGGATGCAACCTGCAGCGAGTTGCCGCTGTCGTTCTGCTGGCTCGTGAGGCCCGTCGACGATGGCAGGTGTGCCGGCGCCTTCTCCGTATCAGATGGTGGCTCTGCTGAACGTGGCATGGAAGAGGAAGACGAAGAGGACTGTTTCGTGGTCGGGATCGTGAGCTTCGGTCGCAGCTGACTCGTCGTCGTCAGCGATGACAACGATGGCTCGGACGGTCGGCGACTTGGCGGGTTGGAACCGTCACCCATGCCCGTTGGAGTCGACGTTCTTGAAGTATCCCAGTTGAAGCCCGAGCTGAACACATCCGGCGACGCGGGATTCCGAGTATCAGGATCGAAGCCGAGACCTATGAAGTGTCATTCTACGGCTGACATAAATGGCATCGCAACTCACGTCGTTGCTTGATGATGGTCTTGATGAGGAACTCGAACGTCCGTCGTACTTTCTCCTTGCCGACATCATCGACGCATGTCAACTCGATGAGCCCGCTATGATACCGCTCGAGTATTTTCGTGGCGACACCAGGATGAACCTTCTTGGTGAGATCGGACTTGCAGGCCATGACGATGGTAGGTATCTTCAAGTTTTGGTAACATCCTGTGTGCGCAAGGTTAGCACCCGCATGCAGAAGGATGGCGTCCGAACGCACGTAAGAGGTCTTCAACAACTTCGAAGGTTTCCTCGTCAGAAGCATCGTAACATATACAGATGCCGTCCAGCCGAGATTGAGAAGGTGCAATGGGAGCAAAGGAGTCGGAGGGGGATACGTCGGCCTCGACGACATAGAGCGGGCATTCTGGACCGAGATCGCTGTCCGTTATGCGGCCAGTTCGTCGTGTACCTGCGCAAGGTCAGAGACGAGTATGGAACGCTTCCGAGCCTTGCATACATCGTGCGCTTCGCGAAACCCCGGGGAGTGGTGATGAGGGAACATATGACGACGGATCCGAAAGACTGAAGCCTTTCAGGCCTCTTCGGATGACCGATGACTTGCCGCATCCCGAAGTGCCAAGGACAACGACATTGACAGGGGAGTTCTGCTTCATCTGCTCTCGCTGCTGTACAGGGAGTGAGCATAATTCATTGGAACGGCATACAAGCGTACTTGTGGCGTCACCAAAAGCTTGCGTGTCGTGGGGGGTACTCCGACGCTGCCGCTACGCGTCCGTCCGCTGAGCGATATTGGCGGGGCGATCTTTTGGGGGATGGATTGCAGGGAGGTTGACGACTGCAAACGCGGTGCGCCCGGTTCGCGTGCGAACTTCTCGCGCGAGGGCGCTTCCCCTTGTGTGGACGATGATAGTGACGAATTCGTGGTCATGCTGGACGCGGTGCTGAGTGTGGGTGTACGCGATGGAAGGGGGAGATCGCCGGGCCGGACGGGGCGACCATGGCCTTTGAGGGACGTGCTGCGATAGCGCTCAGCGGCGGATGGCGGGACACTGTCGGAGAACTCGACATCAGAGTCGTTCGCCAGCTGAAGGTTGCGCGTGGAGCTGATGCTTTGACCGCGGATGCGGCCGGCAGACAGCGGTTGCCTATCATCGACTGGTGGCAAGTGGTGAACGAGATCGTAGTCGGGGCGCGGGGAACGTCGGCTGGTGGGCGAGGTGCGTCCAACGAAGGAGTCAACGGAGACGGACTTGCGGAGTCCCGCGGTTGAGGAGGAGGAGGAAGCGACTGGTGCGCCGTCAAAGGTGGACTGGGCGGTCGTGTACGAGTCGCGGGACGTGACGGAGAGCGCGGGCGAGGGAGCGCCGGTGTCCGCCGTGCGGGACGTCATGAGCGGGACCGCAGCCGAAAGCTTGCGGGGCGACTGCTGGGCCATGGCGGAGGCTGATGATGGGAGCTCGTCGGGGTCGACGACGCGATATGGGGATTCCCGCCGTCGCTACCGGCAGCAACGCGGGCAGTAAAGAACGGCAGACAGACGACGGTCGACGACGGGAGCGACGACGGCGGCGCGAGGCTGAGGAGCAGAAAATTACACGCAGGCGGCGGATCGCATCAGTGAGAAAAGACGGGGGGCCGGCTGGATCTGGTCGACAACAAGCAACCAACACGCTTTCGGCAACAACAATGCCTCCCACCATCCTCCTTACGGCAAGCAGCCTCTCACCCCACTACGCACCCTCTCATAGCTACCCAGAACGACGACGGGCCCCCCAGCTCGCACGAATCGCCATACGTCTTTGGCCTCTACAAACATCTTACGAATGACTTGGGTATGCAACCCATGCAATCTCTGTCTATCCCCCTCACCCTCCCCAGGCTTCAATGTCAAAGTAGTACTCCCCAGCTCCCAGAAATCCTGGATAGGTATACATCTCTCTCCTCTCGAAGCACCCGCATCTCATCCTCTCTCACAGGGAAAGCCTTCCACATCAAGGAGATCGTGACGGGCCAATACTATTACCCCACAGAACCATGTATTCAACCTTCTGGACCACACACTAGTATCACGCTAATCTCTCGTACAGATGGCTACGGAGAAACCTCCGAAGTCTCGCGTCCGCTGAAGGAAGGTGAAGTGGTACGGTCGACGTCTTCTTGTCCTCGTGCAAGAAGACAAGAGCTAATTGTGCAACAGGCTGAATGGATATTGTTGAACGGTGTCAGTCTTGTCTGCTGTTCCTCAGGGAGTTATCTCTAATAGTTTACAGACACCGGCGGTAGGCAGAATAATTTTGGTCTTCACTGCGTCTTCTTACATACTTGTAGACCTGCGCAAACGTTGGCCTCTACAACCTCTACCGTGGCGAGATTGATTATGTGGTACGTACCCTGGCCCTTCTCGTAGCATCTCGTCGCTCCTCGTGCTCACCCTCCAACCTACTCCTCTCCCTCCTTCCTCTCTTCTATCGTCTTTTTGCATGTCTAGATCAGTGGTCCAAACCTCGGACGCAATTCATCTGCGGCCTTCGCCATGTCCTCTGGCACCATCGGAGCAGCGTTATCAGGTGCTTTGACGGGTGCGCGCGCCCTCGCGCTCTCCTACGGCACCGTCGTGCACCCGACGCCAGAGGAATGGCTTGAGCCGGCGCACCAGCTCGCCATGCAAATCATCAAGGAGCTCATCGACGGGTGGGACACGCGTCTCCCCAATAAAGCGACGCATGGAAACAGCCTCTACAATATCAACATCCCGCTCATCTCTGAGCTGCTCGCTGGGAACGGCCTGCCCGTGTACTGGACTACCCTCTGGCGCAACTCGTACAGCGCGCTGTTCAAAGCCATCCCGCCTCCCGAACCCACTGCAAATGCGCAGCCTACGGCGCGCGACGTACCCGCTGCAGGTCCCGACGCGCCTGAGGCGGATCCCAAGGGCGAGGCGAAGGATCTCGTTACTTCAATTGCGTCCCCTCTAGCCTTCAAGTGGAGCCCAGTTATGGAGGGCATCGTTCGCCCTGACCTCGCAACGGTCCCCGAGGGCACGGACGCCTGGGCAATCCACAAGGGCTACGCGAGCGTCACTCCTCTGCATGCTGCGTTTGCAGAGCCTGTGGGGAATGGCAGATTGGCTCTGGAGGATCGCAAGTGGAAGTTGTAGACGGCAAAGCGTCGGGACCAGTGAAAGTGGGAAAGGCGAAGGCGGTCTTCTCGCGCCCAACAAATATGTACAGTCTTGTAGATTCAGCAAGCGCTAGCAAATATACAGTTCGCAATCAAATATGTACGTGCACGCACGATACATTCGTTCATTTTCGCTTGAGGGTACATACGTTAGTAGGGCGTAACTATCTAGGCAAATATGATACAGGCGTCGTCTCTAGTCGTGTCCGATACACCATCCCTCCTGAGCGAGCATCGTCCGTCGCGCGGCGAACCAAGCGCCAGCGCACATTCACACATCATCTCTACCAGAGGTGCCACGATAGCACAGCAAGCCCGAAGGCGAGGAGTGTCGGAGCGACGTGCTCAGAGTACCGCGGCGGCGCGCCGTTCAGGTGGCCGTTCAATGGCTGCTTGCTGTACACCTTGAGGGAGTTGATGCTCCAGGACGCGTTCTGTGTGGCAAGTCAGCGGGCTGCTTTGCTACCTCACCGACATAGCGAAAACTTACAACGAAGTTCGCCGGGTCCTTCAGCCGGTCGGAGCACTCGCCCGGGCAGCCGGACGTCGCGTACGAGTTACCGGCCCAGTCGCCGCAGAAGGTGATGTCTGGCGATGGTGATGTATGTCAGCGACGCCGTCGTCAGTATATGGCCAGAGGCTGAACGTACCGAAGATGATAGAGTGGTTCGTGAAGTACTTGATGGGGTCGCAGGAGTCTGGCGAAAGGAATGCGACGGGCTTGCCCCAACCGGAGGGGTTCGGCGAGCCAGCGTTGATGTCGTCGGGGATGGCGGCACGGTAGAAGGAGTCTGGCAAAAGATTCCATGAGTGAGGTCGATGTGCGCAGAGTTGGAGGCGATGATGACTTACAGACAGCGATTCCGTTCTCGTCCCACTTCATCGCGAAGACGCCGCCGCCCTGCGCGTCGAAGTAGGGTCCGTAGGACGCGCGACTCCACTCTGCGATGGCACACCCTGCGTTGGAGTTGACCGAGCCATCGCAGTTGGTGTTGTTCTCTCCATTGGTTTGCTGATTAAAAGTCAATGGCTGAGCCGTATTCAGGGTACAGGACGTGACGTACGACGACAGTGCCAGTGAAGCTGGCAGTAGGATCGAGGTAGCAGCCAGACGCGGTGTGCCAGGCGACTTGGTTGTGCTCATTGTCGTGGACGCCCTCGATGATATCGATTTCACCGGTCTGGGGGACGTCAGTACAGTCCAAAGGCATGCTCCTTCTTGACTTACCTGAGGCCAAGTACCGCTGCCAAGAGTCCAGAAGGCGGGCCAAACAGCTGCGCATGCGTAAACACGATGTAGGGGGTAGTATAGCTGGCTCAGCAGGCGTACCACATCCCCAGGGTGCCTTGTTCAGATCAAGGATGAAGAGACCGGTATTGTACTGCTTGTACGAGGATATGCGGACACTAAGGGGTGCGTGAGTGAGTGTGCTAAAAGTACTGCAAATGCGGACGTACCTCTTCCGGTATTCCCCATCCCCAAGCCAGGATGTATTGTCGCCCTTCATGACGACAATGCCATCATCCTGGACGTACGACAGCCCGCTGCCGAACGCGGTGTTCGCGTCGACATAGCTGCAAGGATTAGCGCTAGTACATAGCAAGTACACTGGTGCGCTCACTCGACGTGACCACTGTAAAGCAGTCAGTCAAGCAGTAGGGGGAGAGAGGTGGGTGGCGCACTGTGTAGGGTCTTCACCGGTAAAGAAGCCGAAGTTGCTAGAAGCAGTCAGCCTACGTCCGCTCGTCCAGCAGCCCAGTCGCGTACTTGAAGAAGTCGTCCCCGCTGAAGTCGTCCTCCAGCAGCCAGAGGAACGTCGAGCCGTTCGCGTTCACGTCGAGTTGCTGCGCGTCAAACCTCCGCTCGATCGCGTTCTGCTGCCGCGGAGGTATCGGACCTGAGCCGCCCGAATAGTTTCTTATGGACCGCAGATCGTGCGGCATGTCCATGATTTGGAACGCATCTGCGAGCCGCGAACAGAGCGCGAGGAGGGCGAGGAGGCGGGGGGAGAGGTCGTGAAGCATTCGTGAGCGTCAAGAGTCAAGGGGGATGCGTACACGAGGCGGGTTCGGGTCAAGTTCAACTGTGGAGCGCCCTCAAATCTTGGCGCAGCAGGCCTCTTATAAAGCTGGCTCGTACAGCCTCTCATCTCGCAGCGATCCTCGAGGCCTTGTGTCCCCCACGCTATAAACGACCGTGCACGATACGATAATCGCATGGTAGCCTCGTGTTCAAGTACCAAAGCCGTGCCTCGACTGTGCTACTTCCCGATGCATCTGCTCATTGTCTTCTCGCTCAAGGTCTCGTGAAAGTTTCTCGATTGCATACAATGCATAGCATGGGCGCATACAGCAGCGGAACATAGTGGGAGTACAAAACAGCGTAAGGGAAATACAGGGGCGATACGCTCAGCGGTAGCGGGGCAGGCTGAGGGTGTTGTGCCTCTTCCAGGTAGAGCGGCTCGGGGTGTGATTGTGGCGGGAGCCCTTGCCGAGACCACGGTTCTGCTTGCCAATGCTGGTCAAGCCGCGCGCCTCGCGACGAGTGTGAACCGGGTTGACAATCCAGTTGATGCGGGGGTCGCGGCGGATCTGCGAATAAAGTCAGCTTCGGTAGAAAGAGACAAGATGATACTTTACGCACCGCCTTGTGGTTCGGGTCGACGAGGATGACCTCGTAGTACTTGTACACACCATCCTGGTTAATCCAGTACGAGTTGAGGACACGGAGGTTGCCGCAGCGACGACCAACACGCTCCTCAGCAACGCTACGGAGACCGCGCTGGGGCTTGAGGTGGTTGACACCCTGGCGAACGGGCTTGCCGTAGGTGGCACCTGGGATGCTTCGTGAGCACCACGATCGAGAAGAGATACGAGTGATTTGCAAGTAGATGCGAAGTAGAGATATGAGGGGTTTTGCGACTGCTGGAATGGCACACACCCTTGGGGACGGGCTTCTTGCGGTTACCACGGCGGACGCGAACACGGTAGATAACGTAGCCCTGCTTGGCCTTGTAGCCAAGACGGCGCGCCTTGTCCGGACGGGAGGGGCGCGACGCGCGGTGGATCACGTTAAGCTGACGGTACTCCCAGCACCTGAATCGCACAAGCATTCTATCAGTAAAACATCCCTTGCACAAAACGCAGCGAACGCACCGCACGCGGAGCAGGAAACGGAGGACATCCGACTGCTTCTTTTTGTACAGCTCGCCGATGTACTGTGATCATGAAGTTAACTTTGGCGGTCGGTCAGGGGGAGGGAAAAGACGTATTGTAGGCGCCCATTTTGTCTTGAGGTCGTCGGCGACGTTGGCGACGAGCTTGAGGATGTAGGCCTAGCTCCCGCTATTTCCTGATCGGATGGGCCAGTCACAGTCACGTGAAAAAGAGAGAAAGGTGGCTGCAAGTCGAACTGCATAGGTTTCGGCAAATGCCGATGAACGATGGTACATTGTCCTGACCACCTTCGACGCCGAACGCCCTGCTCAAAGGCGCTCATGTAGACTTGACGCAACACAAATGCCACTGCAAATGTTCCAGTTTCTTCATGCCACGACTCCGAACCACCGGAACTTGGCAGCGCACAAGCTTCCCCGTAAGATTTTCGTGAAACCGCTTGCCCGATGTGGGTGGGTATAATCAAGGTCGACCGCTGGTGTAGTACTGCGTCGCAACGCATCGTACCAATCGCGCAACGCAGAACGTACGGTTCCTGCATCTGGTAGTTCATATGTTTCGCAGTTGTCATGGCTCCGAGGCCGTCGACGTCCTCGAAGACCTTAGAATAAGATGTTTCATTATGGCATGACTCTAAGGACCTAGGAGAATAAGTACAGAGGGTATATCATAGAGGATGAGCGAATGAACAGCGTACAAAGCAATGAAAGTGCGGTATAACACGTGCCCCCATAGTTCAAGTCCCCAGCACCAGAGACGTGCATCAGAAGCCCGTCTTCTTGTGGATGATATCCGGGTCCTCTTGGTATTCTTCTGCTGATACCCACATCTGTCGAAGTTCGTTAGGGAGTGTGAGCGGAGAGACACCGCGACCACTGACCTTTTTGAAAGTACTCAAACCGGCAAGAATAGATCCACCTATCCATGTTGAGTACTTCCGCTCGGGTGGCGCGTAGATCTTGATCTTGATGTCCTTCAATGCCAACTTCTTGACCTCGTTAAGTAGACGATCACCGAAGCCTAAGGAGCCAGTAAGTCAACCGCGACGCAGATAGCTCGGATAACCTACCTTTTGTCAAGGTACTCCCTCCGCTCAGAACGATGTTCGAGTACAGGCTCTTCCGTAGGTCAAGGTCGACGCGTGTAATCGCATCGACGATAACCTGATGGACGCCCGCATATTCTTGGCCAATGATTTCTGGGTTGAACAAGATCTCAGGCGCGCGGAAGCGTTCAGGGCCCAGCTGTTTGCCAGATTAGTTGCAATGCATGAATAGTCAATGACGAATGCTTGCCTGTACGACGTTGCCATCCGGTAATCTGAAGTCCTCTGTCCGTCCGTTGGTATCCTTCTCCTCCTTCGCTGGACTGATAGGAATATAGCAACACTTCTCCTTGATCGTCCTGACTACCTCGCGCTCCGCTGAGGTATGTAGGTGATGGCCAGCCTTACGCAGCAGAAGTTGGAGGTGGTCGGTTACGTCGCGTCCTGCAACGTCTACTCGACGAATAGCATGTGGCATAGAGAAACCCTCGAACACCGGGACTGCATGTGTTACGCCATCGCCAGAGTCGAGCACAATGCCTGTTGTACGACCAGAAGAGTATCTGTCAAGCGCATAAGTTGAGTAACGTAGCGAAGAGATATTGGGCGTACAATGATAGCACGGCTTGCACGGAGGTGAACATTGCGGGCACGTTGAAAGTGTCGAAGAATATCTGAGCGGCAATATCTCGATTACTTCGCGGGTTCAAGGGTGCTTCCGTCAACAAGACCGGATGCTGACGCGTCGTTAGAGGCCGTTGCACGAGTTACGCGCTAGCACATACCTCCTCCGATAGCGTCCCCAGTTCCTCCGCATAGACCCAACTCCATATCCGTTCCATGTCGTCCCAGTCCGTGACGATACCGTGTTCCATGGGGTACTTGATCTTCAGCAGGCCTCGGAACTCTTGTGCGCGCTTTCCGATGAACACATCCCCTTCGAGCGCGCCCGCCATGACGCGAACATGCTTTGGCCGTCCTACACTGCACGTTCGCTCAGTATTTCACGCGTGTTCGGGGAGCGCGCCGACGTACGCACAAAGATGGGAAGAAGCATTTCGGATGATCCTGACCCGCGAAACCTGCCTTTATCGTCCCGGAGCCCTGAAGGAGGTTAAGCCCAGGTTCGCGCGCACGGTCAATGATGTTACATTGTCAATGACAACAGGTTGGTTCGTAAGGACGTCGTCGAACTCGGCGGACATGGAAGTAAGGACAAAGAGGGCGTGATGCCAAATGCGGACTCGGCGCTCTCAGCTCTTCCCATCATCATGGCGCGCTTGCTGGCTCTCTTCCTTTTCCTTGGTTGGCTCTCTGTGCGCCCGTAAACACTGCTGGTTAACTCTATCTTATGCCCCCTCCAGTCTCCCGCATTCGCCATCCTGAACAAGTGGGAGGCGACTAACTTCTGCAAATGTACGCGACTGCCAAGCGCTTAACCAAGTGCACGCGTCTGACACGCTCAGGTATCTGCTTTGGATCCAATTACACGATATTGCATCTCGACATACCGGATAATCCAGCCCAACCGTGCTTGTCATGTACGAAGCAATGGTGTTTGAACCAGAACCTCCCAATATGCGCCGGCGCGTCACTAGGCGATACCGACCCCGACACGGCAACTGGGAAGGAGGGAGACGTCGAAGCAAGATGTTTTCGTGCGTGTTCTGAACTTTGTTATGTTCGAGCGTTGGAAGCTGATGATGCTTCAGAACGTGACTCTCCTCGAGACCAGCTCGTCGTCACTCTCTTCCTCCTGACCGTGTTCGGACTGTTGCTTGGTGCAGGGATCAAGGGCCGCATGCAGAAGGCGGGGATTGATGTCACCATGCCCTGGAATTCTGGCAGGCGGTGGTGGGAAGTGAGTGCGCGCCACAAGATGACCGTTCGACACTCATCATTATCTATGCCAGGCTTGGAACCCCCTGCCCCAGGCGCAGCGGGATGACATCCATCTCAACCGCTTCTCCTTGTCTCCCAGTCCATCTCGGAGAGGGGATGGAAACTACCTTCCCGTGCACGACAGAGATTAGTCTACGCCGCATACTTACGAGGCGCCATAATTTATCGAAATGTGTACATACGTAGACCTTGGAATGCATCATCGGGGAAACTTGTGAAGTTAAAGTGCATGTGACAGTACTCAATCATGCGTCTGCAACGGGGGGGTGCGCGTTCGGCAAGGACTGAGCTGCAGAGGCTTGGCATCTGCTCCTTGACCTGAACCATCATCGTCGATGGGCTCAATATGTTCCAAATCTAGCCATACGACTGGCGAGCACCAAGTGTTGGGTTCCACGACGGGTGGAGGCGCTGCGAAGCCCTCAGATCCCCGTGCAGCTGCTCTGGCCGCTGCCGAAGCCCGGGCGAAGGCAGTAAGTACCTCGTGTACCCCGTACATTGATTCCCTCCCACAACTCATCACACAGGCAGAGCAACGTGGGGTAAACCGGAAGTAAGTCATCCTCTTCCAGCTGCCGTACGCACCGGTTGAACACAAGTCACAGTAATCCGAACGCTGGCAAGTTAGCTGCCCAAGCCAATAAGCCCGCCAAGGTTACTCCCGAGCCGCGTCAGGAGGAGCGTTTAGTGGTGCGTCATCGTACTTCCTACTTACCCTCACCTTTAACCATTCATACAGTGGGACTGATCTATTATGAATCACTGGGCTGTCTTCCCCAGCAGCAGTGACAGTACAGTAGTATTCATATCAGGGGATACCGTCTCTCAATGCATAGCTTATTCGCCGGAGGTCTTCACGAGAAGTCCCTCAATTCATTGCACGAATCCCTTTCGCCCTTACGCGCTAAGTTTGAACACAAACTCGTGTATCCATTCGTCTGTATCGTGGTACTCGTCGACATACACTTGCTCTCAGGCAACATACCTGAAGGTGTTCTGCTTTTCCGGAACGCGCTCGATGTACTCCTGTTCGACCATGGCCTCAATGCGCCCTTTCACCTTCTTGACATCCGGTATGAAGTGCTTGGCGACCGCGGCGATAACCGAACTTTGCAGCTCCTGCAGAGTCAACTGAAGAAGGGCAGAAGTCAATAAAGGGAGGACTATTGAGGCAACGCCGTACACCGACCTCCTTCTTGCCCTTCATGATGCGCACGATTGCCGCGTCCAGGATGTGCTTGCGCTCTCCTTCAATGGTGTACTGCGTCTTCTGTGATTCCTCCGCCTACAAACATGAGTCAGTAAGTCTGTCGCTGAGTAGCATGGTTCTACGCACAGAAACCTTCGCCTGAATGGAGTTGATATGCACTCTACGCTGGCTGTCCGTGAATTCTGCGTTGAATTGGAAGACGTCGCCGTTGTGGACGTCCTTGCCTGGAGGGACCTTGAGTAGAACACGCTTCTTCCCGCAGGCAAGGCTCTGAAGCGTTCGTCGAAGGTCCCCATCGTCTGTAATGGTGTCTAACCGATTGGTCCGCATAGGGCGACGAACACATACCTAGCTTGCCCGCCAGCTCCTTGACCTCCGCGAAGGTTCGCTTGGGTACGTCAACGAACATTAGGAGAACGACCGCCTGATACAGGCTGACGCTCAGCTCCTTTTCCCCAGCGTCAAATCTCGCAGTCAAGGTCGCAGTCCCCAGCGCGTGATCCCAGTCAAGTACACGACCTTGATGCTTGCCCTTGTAGTACTTCGTGAACTCGGACAGCGCGTCTTGCATCTAGAAGCTCTCGTCAGCGCGAGGACACTAGCTGCCTACTGCCAGGCATACCTTCGGCGGCAGGTCAATGGTACTCTTCGACACCGTGAACGGCCAGGCGCTACGCTGCAACACCATCACGGTAAGACGGCGAGCGAGATCGTTCGCGGGCAACTTGTCGTGAAAGTCGAGCATCATGTCGCGCGACAAGGCAAGGTCCTTGAACATTTCCTCGCCCATGCCGAACTCGGGATCATAGTCTAGATAGCGTCAAACCCTGCGACACAACGATGCATCGGCGCACTTACGCTCCTTCAGCTTCTTCAGCATGGCGATTTCGAAGTCATCGCTGGCGCTCTTCTGCAGCAGCAAGCGCTTCGCCAATGCGCGGTGATAGAAGGTACGGAAAACATCCTTGTCATCCGTATACCTGAGAAAGGGTTCAGAATGGCACCTTGATCCAGCCGACAAACTTGGCTTACTTGTATAGGCTCAAAGCAGCGTCAAGGCCGGCTTCGAATTCCTTGTCACTTTTCCCCTTCTGACCCTTCCGTAGTGTAGAGTCCAGATACCGTGCTATCATCTCGGCCGGCTATTGATGATGATGTGAGAAGGATCGCGCCAATGCCCAGAGCGGCCACGCACCTTGATCTTTCTGGCTTGGAAGCCTTTGCCAAAAGCATCCGTCAGAGCGTATACGAAGCTCTGGTTCGGTGCGCGAGCCGGTATAACAGATGATGAGGCCTCGTCCTCCTTGTCAGATGCCTCGTGTTCGTCTTCTGGATTCGCTTCTGGCACGAGCTTGTCTTCGGGATACGGCGTGAGGAAGCATTCCTCTACGATGCGATTCGCGTGGTTCTTGAATTGCAGGAGGCGGTCGACCATCTTGTCGTCGTTTGCTACGTCAGTAACGATGGCGGTGACCTTGTCCTAGAAGGGCATAAGCAAGGAGTAACCTGATACTACGGCAGTTCAATACACCTTGACGTAGTCTTTCCAAACTTCATTAAGCTTCGGCAATCCGTCGACCCGCGAAAACAGCTCGTAAACCTCTTTGAGCTTGTCCTTCTCGTCGCGGTCCACCAGCACTCCCAAAGCTACGACAGCCCGTCAGTCACTGTGAATGTCATACGGAAACCACGAACTCACCATACGCGGCAATCCATTGCAGTCGACCCTTGCAGAGTGATTCCTCAGTGGCTCTTCTAACAATGGCCCAACTTCCAACAGACAACACGGCTCGAGCACGGTCCACCTCGACCTCAATACGGTGCAAGACATGCTCAAGGAAAGCACGCGCGTCTAGTTCCTTAGCGAGCCGCTCCGACTCCGCAGTGTAGTATTCGCGAGTGAGTGCGCAGTACTCCTCTTCATAGTCAGGGTATAGTCCGTGCGCTTGGAGATGCTTGAAGAGCGCAACAAATACAGGACGTTGAGCATGGGGGACACTGTTGGAAAATGAGCAACGGCAATGGTGCCGGACCGCGTGAGACGTACTTGTCCTTGGTGCCCCTCTCTTCGGCTATCCAGCGCTTTATCGAGGCAGAGAGAGCGCGCTGTATGGACGAATCAAGCATAAGATACTGCCTGAAGTATCGGAGGCCGAAATCCCTGAGAGTGTCAACGCTGTCAGAGTCCTGTAGGACTTGTCATATTGATGATCACATACTGAGTGGACTCTTTGCCATGTGTTCTGGCATACGATTGATTCAGGTAAGTGAGCAACGACTGAACGAGCCTCTGAACGGCGGTCAGGCAGTTCTTCGGGCGCGGAGAACAGTTTCATTCATACCATGTTCTTCTCGAACCTTGCGCAGTGTTCCACGAGCTTTGCTACCCAATCGAGGTCCACATCGCCCTGGACCCGCAATTGCTTCGCTGAATCGGTGACGGATCGCTGTATCTCATCCTTGATGCGCCCGTACAGATCCTCGCCGAGCCCGCAGACCTGGACGACGTAGCGGCATTGCGAGTATATCTGCTCGTTGGTAGCGCGAATGTCGGGCTCTGGGAGCAAGAGGCCCCGAACCCATGCAGCGACCTCCTTAGATTGCAGCTGACCATGCTGGAGTCCCTTGTCCGCAACTAATAGCTTCGTCACCTATATCAAGATGGTTTTGATTGTGTCCCTACCTGGAGGCGCCCCTACGAGCTGCAATTTGACAGGACCGCTCGTCGTTGTGCGTGTCCTAGAAGGAGCATCATCAGAGTCGGGGTCCAGTCGAATTCTCTTGTGAGGAGGAGATGCCGACCCATCATTGGCATTGTCCACCACGGATGCCGTCTTCGATGCCTTGAAAGCTTCGCCATAAGTTGGCAAAGTGAGGGCGCTATGAAGGAAGCTCATGATGGTTCAGGAGAGGCGCGTTAGTACGCCGGGCCGGGGATCCGTGAAGGCGACGGCGTCACAGCGGAGCCAATTGTCACTTGAGGCTCTTCAACCGACAACAATCATTTATTTCCTTCAGTAATTTTTCATATTCAAGATGGCGATGTACAGCACTACTACCAGAATACAACACACCGAAGCCACAGCTAGTTCATCGGGCTGTACAGTCCGACGGACTGTCAGGTTGCTTTGAGCAACTTCGGGCAGGGGTCATGCCCTGCAATACCACCTTTGGTGGTATATGCTTCGACGTGAAGCATACACATCAATCCTGATGTGTAGGAAGCCTACGAACGCTGATCATTGTACTTTCTCATGGACCCGCATGCCCGTCTAAATCTCCAGGGCCGCCTTGGCCATCGCAAGGGCACCGTCGTACGTCTTGTTGCCGCCAGTAAAGCCGGACGCATGAACGAAGATGCAGCCGCCAATGCCGGAGATCTTGCTGAGCTCTTGGTCGCGTACGCCACGCCACGCCTCAGGGAGGGACTTGCGATCACCGAAGCGGTCGAGCGAGACAGGAACGGCAGAGATGCGCCAATCGTGGGACGTGTCATCCTCGTAGAGCACGTAAAGCGAGATACCAGTCGTCCCCTGCTCAGCCTCGAGCTCGAAGAGGTGCTCCTGAACGGCCGTGAGCAAGAAAGACGTAGTGCATTTGTGCAGACAGTACCTTCCAAGGAGCGAACTGGGACAGAACGATGATGCGCCCGGTAGGATCAACCTCAGCCTTGCTCTTCTTCACCGACTCGACGACGATGTCGCGCGCAGGAAGCCACGAGTTGGCATATCCCCTAAGCTTGTCGGAGAAGTCGACACCAGTCATGGCTGACGCCTTCTCGAAGAGAGCCTGCAAGTCTTTAGTTCCTAGAAACAAGTATAATGATTGACAATTCACTGACATCGACGTGCACAGGGTCGACCGACTCGTTCCACGACGGGTTGACGCTGCCAACACGGCTGCTGAGGTCGGTGCGAATCTTGTACCGAGGCTTGACGTCGGTGTCGTACTGGGAGATGCCGTTGTCAATAGCATCAATGCTCTCGATGAAGCCCTAGAGTATCTTCAACACAAGCGGGGGAAACGACGACCCGGGCATAGCTCACCTCGTAGAGCTTCAGCCACAAGGTATGGACCTTGGGGTCGTCGATGGAGAGTTGTGTGCGCGACGCGATAATCTCCTTGCCGAAATGCCTGCAGGGTTATTTCGTACTTGTGATGCTCATACACACGCCTTGAACGCACTTATAGACGAGACCGGCCGAAGACAGCTTCGTGCTGAAGCCGTGGCCAAAGACCTCGGTGAACCCGCGCTGGTGATGGTCGAAGCGCTGCTTCGCCTCATCGTAGATGCCTCCGACATCGACAACAATGTCGCATGTGTCAAGAACAGCAGGATCGCGCGAGCGCTTAAGGTCTGTGTGGATCCAATCAGGACATGCGGATTTGCGAGAAATTGTGTGCGTACTGGCGTCCTTGTATGTCGCAGTCTGGCGGAGCATGTAGACAGCGAGGGCCTCATCGCAGTGGAAGGTGCCATTATGGGTGCCAATGACCTGGACGAGAAACTCAACATCGAGTGCAGAGGCGATCGGAGCGAGGGCTTGCCTTCGTGTCCAGCTTCTGCTTTTTCAAGGCGGGAATTTCGGACGACATAGTTCTGAGTCCGCTTGGGAAGAGAAAGGGGCGAAGTGTGCGAGGAGAGGGACAGTGGTGGCGTCTGAAGAGAAACCTGAGCATGGGGAACTCGTGCGATCGATCACACACTCGAAGTCTGCCGCTCAAAGTCCATCCGACTACAAGCGTGAAAGAATGGTCCATTATACACCAGAACGTATTATGCTGAGTAGTATGTCGATGCAAAGTCCAGGAGAACATAAATCATGAAAGCTCATACAGAGTCCGTAAAGTCCCAAAAATCCAGCGATACTCCTCCCCCACCTACAGCGCTAGCCATGCCATGCCGAATGCCATGGCACCTCCCGCTACGGTCAAGCCGTTGACGGTGAGCGACATGGCGGCGTCCGTGTGGTAGCTATCGTCCGGGCTGAGACCACCGGCCGTGGGTGCGGGCGCACTGTCCGAACCGCCACCATTCAGATCGGAGGCGTCGGCTGTGGGCAAATTGCTGGGAGTTGAGGACGACTTCACGGTCGACGAGTGACCGCCGCCGGACCCGGAACCAGAGCCTGACTTTCCGCTCTGCGAGTTTGAGCCCGAGCCGCTGTTGTTGTCCCCGGAGTTCGAGTTGTTGTCATCGTTGTTGCCGGACGACTGGCTCGGGGCAGAGGTGATGGTTGAAGTGATCACCTGGGTAGACTTCCTACGGCGATCTCAGTACACGCCAGGAGAAGACAAAACGGATACGCACTGTCCATTCGACTCAATCTCACTGGATATGGTAGTGACCTGCGCATTGTCGTCGTTGTTTCCCGAACTCTGCTTCCGTCAGAAAGAGGCGCAAGCAGGGAGCAACGGGCTTCGCACCTGTGCGATCGCGAGGGCAGGGAGAAGAGACAGGAGGACGAGTGAGAGACGCATTTCTTAGAGAGCTTGAGAGGGTGCTCGACGGAGATGGGCTGACGGTCTGTGGGCAAGAGCGCGTTCCGCAAGCGGTCTGACGAGTACGCGATGACAAGAAGCTTCCCACGTGGAACGAGCCGGATCCTTTCCAAATTTGGCGCAACTGTCGTTGTCCTCCTACCGCCACCACCATGCTATGCAAGGTCACTTTCTCCGCTCGTCTTATACTGCGACCTCCTGTGTAAGCCGGCTTCATCTCTTCGAGCCACGGATTTGCTACTATCGAGGGCGTCAGGACCTCGACGAGCTCATTGCCACTGCTTGCCACACTCACACAAGCTCAAGGCCCCCATGCCGCCTTCGCGAGGCCTAGGATGACTCTGGATGAGCAAGATTGCCAAGAACACAAAGCATGCATGTCTATCTTGAGATCCGCCTATCGTTTTCTATTGTTCTCAGACGAAGGTCACAGCAGCGGCCATAGCCACCATGCTTATATCGGGTTTATGACCTGCGGCTGCGGGTATATAAACTGCATGTATGTTGCGGCCCTTGCGATCACCCTCCCTGCCGCAAAGATTCCAAAGCGTCCTACACCTAGCAAGATGATTTCCAGCTACAACGGAGGTCAAGTGCTATCTCGCTTCCCCGACGATCTTGCAGGCCCATCGTCTGGATGCTCTCCTGCCGGCTCGCAACCACACGACACTTCGGACTTGATCGACGATCTCAACGAATACTTCGCTCAATTTGGCCTGCGCGAAGAGTACGACCCCTCCGACTATCAACTTTGCCACACCGACTCAGACTACCTGATGCAATGCGACTCTGATCGCATTGGCTGCCTCGACTGCACCGACACTCCCGAAGAAGTCGCTCGCGCTATGTTTCTACATGCACTCGCAAACGACGTCAGGGAGGCTCTCGATGACGCTTGGGTTGCCGGTCGTATATGGCGCGAAGCACTGGACCGGGAACAGGCGCGTTCCGGCAGCAGGCGAAATTCAGTGGGCTCGTATGATCCACGTTCCGACCCGCAAATCCTTTTCAACGAGTACTCGCGGAAGCTCCATGAGGCGATCATGCTGTATAGGAATTCACTGGGTCTCCCTCGACTTTATGACGAACAGAAAGCATGGATGAAACGCACAATACAGGTGAGAGATATCAAGCTCGTCCGCTGAACTTTTCTAAGTGTTTTCGCAGTTACTCATCGGTATGCGTGAGGGTCGTATCACTGTCAGGGCGTAAACAACGCTCAAGAAAACAGAACAACAACGCTGGTTTGATGACCAGCAACCTCGAGCTTGTGTCTTGCGTCAGGCATAGACCATCTATAGTAGATTACAGTGATCCCCAATCGAACGTGTGTGCGCCGAGCCAGCCTTCCTTTCTTCCGAGCGCGAGTCTTCGTCATACACCGTCTGCGCCTTCTATCTAAGCACATTCAACCATCCGCCGAACGGTAAACCCATCTACCCCGTCCTGTCTTGAAGCCGCTGCGGATCTGAGCATCGAGCAGCTAGACGTATAATCGCTGGCTGCCGATTCGACACCACCCGTCGTTGAAGTTCACTGGCTCAAAGGGGATAGGGCATGTGAGGCGCCACGCCATCACCGCTGCCCCGCATGCCGCCCGGAGCTCCGCCTCGAACCGTCCATCCCGCCGCCACTACCCCGGGGTCAGCTGAACTGTGTAGCGGGGTATTTGAGAGAGGAGCGAAGAATCCCCAAGCCAATACCCATCCTCCTTGACCTTGTACTCCCATCTCTCGCTGCCATGTCCGACATCCCTCTCGAGCAGCACACTGTCAAGCTCGTTCTCAGCAGCCTCTGCGCGCCGAGCCCTTCGATCCCAGAGCACTTCGTGTCCCCTCTGCTCGCGAAGCGGCACGCATTACTCGATCTCTCTCCCGAGCAGGACGCGGAGGCCTACCTGCTCTGGCCGTCCGATGACAACGCTCGGATCATGGGCGCACTGCGCGTTCTCCAGGTCTCCGACTACGACTTCTATCCCATCCAGTACACCGCTGATCCCGAGTCTGTTTTCGCGCACGTACACGTCCGTTCTAACGCCGCCGATGAAGTGCGCGTCGTCTTCAACTGGGACGCGGAGGACGCGCAGTGGAAGTACCACAACGTTGGCCTGATGCCGTTTCCGGCGAATAGCCACACGTCGCTGGAGGATGCGCTGAAGGAGGGGACGCCGGGCCCATCGTCGGGGCATGCGCAGGCTCCGGAGCCTGTGTATCACGACGATGACGACTACTGGAATGCGTACGGGCAGGATGATGACGGTGACGAGGAGCCGTCGCACCATACCGCGCACCAGCACCAGGACGGATCCGAAGACGCCTACTGGGCTCAGTATTCTGCCATTCATGGTGCGTGATAGACTCAGATGGTGCTCCATCATACGCTAATCTCTACTATTTTCGACAGGCACGGCCGATTCGACGATCCCCTCCCCTCTGCCTGCTCAGAAGCGCCGTACACACTACTTCGAGCATGCCGACGACGAGAGCGTCCTCGCTGCCGGGTTCGCCTCCATGCGCCCTCGCCTCCCATCCGACCCACCATGCCCTGTCGATCTCAACAACAGGCTGGAGAATATCTCGCCTCGCTCAAACTCCCCCATCATGATGGCGGACGATCATGAGCTCGAGGCGCGTCGCTTTGGGGAGGATGCCGAGGAGGAGGGCGACTCAGCGTCTACTGGCACGCTTGGGGACCTATCCGCCGCACCCTCTCCGAAGGCAGGTGGAGACAAGGATGAAAGCGTCGTCGCAAGCATCGCCGTGTTCGACGAAGAGACGGAGGCTTTGAAGGACAGCATCAAGGGTCTGTATAAGCTCTGGAAGCTGAAGCGGGGTATGACGGTGAAGGGTAGCGACGATCTCGCACGTCTCGCGTTCACTGCTGTGGTCAGCGATGCAATCGCGACGGCGTGAGATGGTTCTCATGCGCGCACGTCGGCGTGGGATTGTCCGTATACGCTAGTCTACTTGACACATACACTCATCATGATTCAATTGATTCGTTTGCATGTCTGCCTGGTCCCCTTGTTCTCAATGCGTTACGCTGAGCTATGTCCATCGAGTCCGAGCTGTGGGTGGCTTGTTGCGCGATCACGTGTACGCGTCATGATCAGCGCTCTTGCCCGCTGCATTTCCTATCCTTACCGCGCCCTTCATCCCGCTCAGTCGATGCCAGCTGAAGAGAACTCTGAGAAACAGGCTGCGCACTCAGACGGAGAGCAACCAGTGCACGCGTCGCTGCCGTCGCAACAACTTGACAATTCGGGAGCCAGCTCGAGCAACCAGATCGCACCGTCCGAGGGACAGTCAGCAGAGGCCGCGCAGAACGCGGGTGAGTGGTATCGGCTGTATGATATACTTTACACGTACTCACGCTCATCAGACAAAGATTCCGAGGACGAAAGCGACGCGTCGCATACCGCTGTTCGCGCATCACCCCCTCGCTCTACGCAGCCTCAGCCATTCCCCCTCTCCCCACCTACGCCAAAGATTGAACTTCTGCCGGAACCTGAGACCGTCGAAGACGACCTATCAGACGACTCCGACGAATTCCCCGCCCTCGACGAGCTCGTCGATCAGATGCATCCGGAACGAAGCAGCCAGAGCCACACCGTAAAGGACGAATCATCGCCACCAACAAGTAGAGCTGCCGTGAAGGAGGAAGCCCCAGATGATAATATCATCTACGTCTCTTCCCGCGAACCCAGTCCCATGTCTCGGTACCCAGCAACCCAGCCTCCCCCATCCTCGAAGCGTCAGAAACCGAGGTTCTCCAGCGCCACGCAGCCATCAGCATCCCAATCCCCTCAGATCAGACCTAAGCCCGCATCTGCTCGCGTCACTAGCCACTCCAGTTTGAAGCGCAGGCTCTCGTCCGCATCTGTCTCTGGGAACGCGTCCGCCTCTCCGAAGCGCCCCCGGAAGTTCAAGAAACACGAGGATTTCTGGGCACTCGATGGCAGCGTCATCCTGCAAGTCGAGGACTATCAGTTCAAGCTGCACCGTAGCTCCCTCGCTAAGCAATCTGCGTGGATGAGCGTCTTGTTTGAGGAGGCTCCTGACGGGGAGGACGTCGGTGGCATGCCCATCTACTGCCTCGACAAGACCGGTCTACGAGCCAGCGACTTCGAAGTACTCCTCCGGACATGGGAGAACGCGATGTGAGTCATAGTGCAACTGCGGAAGTCCCTCCCTCATTGACGCATATACAGCCAATTCGCCAAAGAACCCGCGCCTTTCGCCACCATCGTGAGCGTCCTGCGCGCCTCCATGGCTCTCCACTTCCTCGACTACGAAGCATTCGCGCGCGACCAGCTCGAGAAGCTCTGGCCCGCCGGCCTCGACGACGTCACGCCCACCCGCATCCACAACGCCATCGGCACCATCGTCATCACGCGCGACGGACAGCTGCCAGCCGTTCGGAAGCGTGCGATGTACGAGCTCGTGCGCACCGAGGGCTTCGGGCAGAGCGAGGCCGGCGAGGAGAAGCTCACCGACACAGAGCACCGCGCGCTGGTGCGGGCACGCGAGAAGCTCACCTTCGCCTGGGTCATGAACTCGGGAATCATGGCGCCGAAGGTGCCGAGACCCAGCGACGGTCGGCATGGATATCTCAACTGTGTGGAAAGCACCAGGCTGGGCGATAGCAAGTACTGCGAGGTCATCCGAGAGGCGAAGATCATCGAGCAATATATGAACGACGCCATCTGCGGGTTCAAGGCTTTGATTGATATCGACTGGGAGAAACATGGATTCTGCCAGAAGTGCGCAGATGACAGGAGATCGGCCTGGAGAGAGCTCCGAGAGAAGGAGTGGCTTAACCTCGATGAATATTTGTCGGAATTGAGTTAATCGCTGTACCTGCTTTCTGTTTGTGGCTAACCGTGCTATACGATACTCGCTCTCAGCATTTGTGACCACCAATACGTATAAGTATTCTTTCCTTACCGCGTCCAGTGACCCGAACCGCTTATTGATGACTATTGTACACATTCTGCACCTCGCGCAGACGATGGTCTAATTCCACGCAGTCAGACTCCGCGGTACGACTGGAAGTGTGCACGTACTCATATACAAGTCATCGAAGGATAGCAACGCCCTGTATTTGCCGTCGAGAAGGTCAAAGTTGGTCGAGCTTAGAAGCATCAATTACACTCACATGAACGCAAATGCTTGTTCGATCAGGGCTTCGGTGTCTGCTATACTGATTCCAAGTGCGTTGGGTACGCCCTGCATAGCGCGCAATTGACTGGTACTAGAGAATAGGGCCTGGCAGATAATGGGCCACAGCGTCTGCGATGTATCTGTGAGCCTGAACGATGGCGAGCCGGCGGATACGCACGCCAATGATGGTATTGATAGGCCCAATATCATCTATGTCAACCAGGTCGAAGAGCTTGACGAAGGACCGAGCGGCCAAGGTGGTCTTGTGCCAGGAGTCCACCGACGTTGTCACAAATGTCGAATGGAGGCAAACAATCGCTGGTGAGCGCATTCAGTCGATACATATACTGCGGGCCCGTCGAGCTGACTGACCGATATAATTAAGACAGCGCACCATGATGTGCGTGCGTAGCAACGACGGTGTGCGAGCCTGTATATTCTCGATCCTTGGCAGACCCGTACGGAATCGCTCGAGAAGATTATCATATGAGGCAAAGTCGTGGTGAAAGCGGTTCAGCTCCGCTTGGCCGGCGTCTAGGTGAAGGTTAGTCATCGACGAAATGGGCTTATGCAGAGACGGACTAGGCCGATATTGCGCGGCGAGAACTACGACGCGCTCGTACAGGAAGGAGGCCTGACAGAGAAGCGCAAGAGAAGAGCACTGCTGTAGGCCTCTCTGGGCAAGCGAGCTGCAGAATGCTTGGAGGGTCCTTCCGCTGTGCATGGCTGGCGGGACGATACCCTGAATGATTGTGAGCGACTGCTAAAAGCGACACAAGGAAAGGACTCACGCGTCCGTATTGGGACATCTCCAGAGGCCACGGTGCGTCGACCTGAGCGCCATTATCCGAGGTAATTGCAGAGCCCAGGTTCGAAGACGCCGACCAGCAAGTGCTGAGGAAGAAGACCGTCCAAAACGCACGGATGCGCTCTCCTTCGTCTACTTGGCCCACGGGCTGCGTAGAGCCCGTTGAGACGCCACCGACACTGACAGGACCGACCTTATGCATGCGGACGGCCATGACGAGGGAGACGGCGATTCCCAGATGGTAATGACCCTCTGTGACCCGGTCTTGGCGGAAGAAGTATGTGCTGAGGAGGACGTGCGCTTGCGCGACCTCGACGACTTCGTTGAGATGCTCTTCCGGAGGCAATGTCGTGTATGAAAGCGCTCTTTGCAGAAAGTCCGCTTCGTGAAGAGTGGAAGAGCTGGGACCCCGAAGGTGGGCACCCCATACGTAGACGCTCATGCGGAGGACCGGTGCTGGAGGTGAAACTCCTGCAATGTGCTGGCAGAAGCGGCCCCAGTGTAAGAAGAAACCAAATTCCTCGGCGTGCGGCTGCAAAGCCTGCAGCAGGGTTTGGACCTCCTGCATAGGAGGGTCGGTCTGGACACGGGAAATCAACGCCGCGTCCGACTCTAATCAAAAGTGTTCACTCACAAGGCTCATGATGTCGGCGCGGTGCGCTGCTGGGCCTTTTCTCGATTTCTTCGACGCTCAGGGACGAAGACAGAAGGTTCGATATGTATCGAGTTGTGCTCTGCTCGACGACTTAAAAGCAAGGCAATACCCACGAGGGCTGTAGAGCTGTCCTGACCTTGGGTTATGCAGTTGCGCCTTTCGCATAATAGTCTATGCAGGTATATCGAGCTTGCTGTGACCTGTAAAGGTAGTGACTGCAGTGATACTGCTCGCTTGTCCTTCATCTCTTCCGGCGATCAAGAGATGCAGCCGTCGGCGCCGTACATCTATCTTGAACTGGAGCCGAGAGTGGGTAAGGTCATGAAACTCCCTAAGGTCCGAATCAGATATGTAGCGCGTAAGCATGAGAAGCCAGTAGGAGTCGCCACATCGAGGTATAACAGCACCGGACGAAACGCCGTCCCAGCAGTTTGTGTCGCCACAAATGTGCCTGCTCACTGTTACCAAAGAGAGGTGCACCGCAGAGTGTGGGAGAAATAGTATAGTGTCATGATTTGGCTCAGATTTGAACACAGTCACAGTGATGGTTGGGGGCAAGGTCACCGTGAGAAGAGGCGCATCAGGCTTACGAATCCGAACAAACTATCGCAAATAGATATATTGGGGCGCTCATGATCATTGTAGTACGTCTAGCGTAAGGTATGTTGTGCATGAAAGGAAGAGCTGTCGTCTTAGTCCTGACAATGGCGACGAGTCGCTTTCAGATGCAGCCATCTGTCGTCCATCTACGCGGGGAGTGAGGCCTTCAGGCGCTTGTAGTTGACCACTGCAAACAAGGTGTTTGATTAGGGTCTTGGCATCCAGGTTCGAACCGAGCACTCACGCATTGCGCCCTCCTTGGAAGCATGGGCTGCCATGGCGTTCAGTATGGCCTTCGCGCCGCTTCGATCAGTGAACGGCCCATCCGGAGTAGCCTCAGGGAACTTGAGAGATAGTTCGGCTATCAGGGGCCAAAGTGTCTTAGGGCCGGCATGAGAAAACCGAGTTTTTTGCATGGAAAAATTACACTCACCGCCATGATAGGAGAGATCCAGGCGCCATCGTGCGGCCGGAAATTGTGAGCTGCCTTCGCAACACTGTCGACAGCAGCGGCGCACTTCATGCTCGACACCTTCGCCGACTTGATCCAGGGCGCGTGAAGGCGCGCGTGACCAGCACAGATTAGCGCTGACAGGAAAGTCAGTAATTATAGCGAAGAGAAGGCGTACGCGCTGACCATCGGTCACGATGAATAGCGCATCGCGGCGGCTTCGGTCGATCTGCAGGAGCTGAGCCTTCGTTGCTTGCAGAGCATGATCCAGGGTCTGTAGCTCTGCGGCGACCGTAGGATTAGAGGGGCGCGAATTCGGTTCTGTGCTCAATTGTCAGAAGTGCCCTCAGCATGTGAAGCAGATACGAACCAATGCGGTTACGGGTAATCACCGCGGAGCTCCTCTGCATTAGGATGGTCGCCTTGGCGTTCAAAGACAGAACGGACGTCCCGCCGGGGCTCGAGCCTCTCAGCCAAGAAGTGACGGTATCTCGGCTATGCCGGGCTTGCTATAGCGATGTCAGCAATGTGGTTTACCAAGGAGATTTGCTCGACAACACCATGAAAGCCTCCTCCGGCCAGGGCGTGTCGACCTTGATGCTCTCAAGAGCCGACGGGGAGCCATGGGCAATTGACCAATAGTTGTCAAGGACGAGGCAGGTCCAGAATGCGCGAATGCGCTCCGCGTCCGTTCCGGGATCGACAGCCGAAGCCGCATTGACGTCCGGGGAGTGCACGAGATTGAGGCGCGCCCCAAGACAGAGCGAGACGGCACTGTTGCTGTGATAAGGCCCATCCACAGACTTTCCGATGTCGAGAAAATAGAAGGAGATGAGAACCTCCGCCTGAATGATGTCGAGCAGGGCGCGCTTGTTTGCTAGGTCCTTCGGAAGGTGGTGGAGAGCCGCCGCAAGGAAATGTCGCTCCTCGTACCCGTCCACACCACCGCGGCTGAACCTTGCGCCCCATAGATGGATCGCGTGAAGCAGGGACGCCGTCGGTCTATCAGGGTGCCCCATGGGGTTCGAGATCCGCGCTAAGAAGCGTTGTCTGTCCATGAAGAACCCAAGCTGGTTTGAGTAAGGCACGAATGCGTTTAGCCTATATGGAGAAGAGTGTCAAAACCGTTGCCTCGAATGGTAATTCTCAGGGACCTACAGTACGCGCGCTGTCTGAGGCGGGGGCTCCTGAGCGTCGTCTGTGGTCAGTATGGAAAAGACGTGAATTGTCCACTATACGCACGCTTATAATAGTCGCAGCTCTCGCTTCACGGGTTGAGGTAGCGTGTTGCGCGCTACGGTGGTGGGGATTGTGCAGAGTTACCGGCTCTCCGGGGCCTTGCAGCTTGGCGAGGCGGTCTTCAAGCACAGCAACTTGTGCCTCGAGCATATCCGCCTGGGACGGACCGTCATCGGGGTACTGACAATCATCGTGTCCCGACGGCGTCTTGAGGCAGTGGCCACAAATTGGCCGACCACCGTCGCATTTCTGCGTGGAATGATGAGTGGCCGATTTGTGAGGTTAGGACCTTGACTTACGACTTTGCGGCGGCTGGAGGTTCTCAATTAGCTCAGACGCGCGAGGTCAGATCTGGTAGAGTTGACTGACCGGCAGCTATAGCAAGACTTGGCTTTGGAGGCGGTCGTGGAACTCATCTGTGCGCAAGGGAATTGGCCAGTACAGTGGATAGAGCGTGGTGTAGCTTATATATCTCTTGTCCGCCATGACGCTTGCAGTGCGGGGCGCTTGGTATAGCGAGAAGAAAGGATGATGACTCTGAAGCGGCTCAGTCCTGCGCGCTTAACACCCTTACCAAATGTCACGGTCCAGAGGTCCATTGTGGCGCAACATACAAGTCGCCAGAGGGGTTCATAGCGGGGGCGACTCCAACGGCGCGGACCCATGAAACAGACGATATGGGCCGAGCCCACACACAGCGAAGGCTGAACAAGGTCGCGCGCGTGCATCCAAAATACCACGTCTGCAGCACTATGCTCGGCCTCGAGGATCGATTGCGCTCATCCGCCGCTGTCGTATTCATTCTCTCCCGGCGTTCAAGCATCGCATATCGGAGAACACATCCGAGGAAAAAATATGACGCAGGGCAACACAGGCAGTTGAGGTGGGCCGCATTGCGCTTTCCAATTCTAGACAACAAAGGCGATGATGCGGCGTGCCACAAGGTCCTATTTGGCACACCGACGAATGCCGGCTTCACTGCTGTAGATTCTGGGGAAAGCGGAGAGTGTCTTGAGCAAGTCGAGCGCTGTAGAACAAGAGCGTTGGAAAGAAGATGCAACCGCGTGTCCGTGTGAGAGCGCGAATGATCAACGGGAACAACGGGCCGAAGGAAGATCACACGTGGAATGCACGAGCCGCCCTCTTGTTTTTCTCTCCCGACGCTGTTGCCATTGTTGAATGGTCCGAATGGTCCTCGACACCCCACTCTAGGGGCAACGAACTCTCCGCCACGCACTGGTTGTGTTTCTATCTCATTCTACAGCCGCGCCGTCTCGGCACCGCTGAGAGGCTTCGACAAAGAGACGGCGCCACCACCCGCCGCCGCGCCTCCGTCACGGAGCGACATGCTCTATCTGCTTCATCTCCAACCTTGTCGGATGGCGCCAGCGCGAGACGCGTACAGAATGGGTCTCAGGCCCTGGCACACTGCCCTACCCCAGATTCGGGATCGCTACGACGCGTCCAGGCTATTGTTACTATTCCACAGCATAAAGGCGAGGCTTCCTCCAAGCTCAATGTACGATGGCTTGAGGCGCCTCAAGGGCGGCTGATGCGTCTGCGTAATTGCGTCGTGGTTGGTCATACGGCAGGTTCATCTCAGCGGAGATTCAGACCATCGCGGACTTCGCGGCTCTACGGTCATCACAATACATTGACGTTTGTATCACATTCGTGATTTACGTGTAAAGTTAAATGGTTCGACTGGATTTTGCCTAGAACAAGCGCTGCGCGCACAGAGCAGTCGGGTTTTCACAATTTCCCCTCCGCGACCGAGCATATAGGCTTCTTACGTAGCTTCCGAGAGTGAAGGATAGCACTGCCTGCAGCTAGTGCAGATTGAGGTAAAGGATGTCCGTGAATAGCAAAAAGAGATCATGCGTTCGGAAAGACGGTAAATATACAAGGGATGTGTTGGATGCCTGCCCAGTTATACAAGAAGTATCTTCAATTATCTTGTGTACTACGTTGGACTTTAGGACTATGACCGAGTCCCTTTCGCGCGACAGAGCTCTGCGCGAAGCTTGGGAGGATCTAGTCCCGAGGGAAATTCGACTTTGTTCCAAATGGAGCAACTCAATATCTCCGTCGAATGCGGAACCTAATCTCAGGAGTTCGGTCTTTGCCGAGGCACCAAGTTGACTTTTGCGAAGGCTGATGGCCTGTGCACCGACAGACTCCATCCCCTCATAGTACATGTCAGTACTTGATATTGATCCTGCCGGGCTAGTCTCCAGTACAGAAATGAAACGACCCTGCAGGCAAGAGCAAGGCGCGAGCGCCGCAGAAATCGAAGGACATCTGCAATTGAGTAGAGCCATAGAAGCCTCTCTTCCTTTCACGAGCGACCTATACATCTGGTCGGCGGTTATGTCCGCTATACTACGAACAGAGAAGATTTTGAGACCGATATAATGATGAGCAGACGACCGGAGAAGCTCAGAAGCTCCACTTGCCTCAAACCTAGAAGAGCATCGCGCAACTCAGCTGCGCCGACATCGATTCCGCTCTACGTTCCTTAGCCAAGCCTGTTAGTGCCTCGTCCTTGTTTCTTCCGCTGGCACAAGCGGAAGAGCGTAAGGCTGAGCAATCGGATCAGATAAGCACTCATCTGACCTGTGCGTGGCACCGACCACGCTCATCGCGACAGGACCGCCGCGCTCGGGGCCCACATCCTGTAACATGGGCGTCGTCCACTCAGGAGACAGCCATTTGAGTCCAGAGCCCAGGCCAATGATGGCGTTACAGTTGCCAGAAACGCGAACCGTCACGGCGGGCGTGACTGCTGGCGAGTTGACGTCGAGCCCGGATTTGGCGCGCTGCAGATAAACAAATGACATCGATATATGCAAGCAATATGTACATTAGTGAAGATACTATGGATTGATGCGGGTTAGTATCCTCAGTCACCAGTATGACAGCATAGATCCAAGAAATAGATGGGTATAGATGCGTCCTCGCGAAGTCGAGATGAGCTCAAGCCTCGTCCTCGTCGTTCTCCTTCTCTTCGTCATCCCCCGGCTCTGGCGTGTCGTCCTCCTCGTCTTTAGTCTCTTCGTCGTCCTTGATCTCGTCCTCATCCTTGCCCGACTTGCCGTCCACGTCTGAGCGAGGTAGAGGCGGTTGACCAGGCAGCCGCTTCAAAGCGAACTTGCAGACGAGGAAGCCCTGCAGTCCCCTTTCCCTCCAGGCCTGCGGGGGTCAAGATGAGTCACCCCGTGTTCGTGGACCTAGGGAGGACGAGGGCGCACCTTTTCGACGATGTACAGGCCATCGTAGCGATAGCCCTCGGCCGGAGCGTACTCTGAGCGCAACTTGAAGCCGCGGATGACGCGCACAGGTCTCTTGGTCTCGCAAGATTTCTGGGAGCAGGTTCTGGCATCAGCGCCAGTCGCAAGGCCCCTGCAGTCAAACCTGACCTTCAGCGAGGCATTGTACTGGAAAGGCGTCAGTACGCGAAGCGCAGCCAAATGAAAAGAGACGTACATAGTTGTCGAAGTCCTGGTCAGAGGATTGCGGAGCAGTACGCAGCTGAACTGATATGTAAGAATTATGCAAGCAGTGATGACACGAGGGCGACGCACGTTCTTTGGCTTGTCTTTCGTGCCCTTCAAGTCCCTGCCACCTAATCCGACGTCAGGTATCCAGACATCGCGACATAAAAGAAACTCGCCTGAACCGGTGTATGTGAAAGCCTCTCCCACGTCCACGTCGTCCTCGTAGCCGCCACTGAGTGCGATGCTGTAGGCACCTGTCTCGGCATTGCCAGATATACCAGCAACGAGGGGCGCGTGAACCGAGTCCGCATGGCAACCTATGCGGCCCTGCCACCAGGTTCCCACTTCTATACCAGGAATCGCTCCATACCGCTTTCTGGAGCAGGTTTAGCTTCAGGCATGGAAATGTAGACTGTAGCACGCACGGGTACTTGGGCTTGCCGTCCTCACTACCCAGCTTGCCAGTGTTCTTTGACGTACGACCGGTGTCGAAGGAGACAATCGTCTTCAAGGCCTTGTTGTGCTCGGCATTGTAATCGACCGACTTGCCGGCATTGCGTGCACTGCGACGCACGCCGCTAGGTGCGTCAGCTGCCTCGACGCGCTGGGTCTTGGTGTCAGGCTCTTCGTTCTCCTCGCGGGCAGGGGGCTCCTTGCGCTTCTTCGGCGCAGCCTTCTTGGGTTTAGGCTTGGGAGCAGGTTTAGGTTTGTCCTTGAAGACTTGGGTTGTCGCAGCGTCTACTCCGAGAGAGGCGAGGAGGGCTTTGTTCTGAGCTTGGGTTAGGGATTTGAGCCAGAGGGGAGAACTTCGTTGGCCTACCCTCTCAATGTTCGCAGCCTTCTGCTTCTCATATGCGGACGGCATCTCGAACGTGCACGCGCTGCTGTGATGGCGGAACCAAACAGGTCGCGTCGCGGCAACGACGCGTCCAGTCACGCGTGACACCAGCAGACGATCGCGACGCGTGACGGCCCCTGACCTCGGTCGAGAACGTCGACCAGGCCTCGAATGGCTCTCGAGCGATTTGCTGACTGCAATGCCTGCGATCCGGTAACACACGTACCCCGCCTTTAAGAGCGGAGAGGGGGCGCTCTGGAGCTGCACAGATCACCCTTACAACCATGTCCATCGACGCCAAACTCGCCGCGGTCGACCTCAACGACAAGCACCTCGAGGATGGCCAGCGCACCCCTCAGGCGGAGGGCGTCACATGCCCAGTCACCGGTCTTACCTCTAGCGGGAAGACATGCCCCTTCGCTTCCGTCGGATCGCCGGAAAACCTACAGGAAGTAGACGAGGAGGCGCTACGGAAGGACATCAATGCACGGATGGTCTATCTCAAGGACTTCGTGAACTTTACACGCCACGACGAGGACGCCATCCGGCACGTAGGCCCGCTCATCAATGACCTTATCCCCGAGGTCGTCGACGCGCTCTACTCGAAACTCTTCGAGTTCGACATCACGAAGCAGGTATGTTCGGCGCCTCCTCCCGTAGGCCCCGAGGCTAATCACTTCGCAGGTCTTTATGCAGCGGAATGACGGCTTCGACGGACCGATCCCGACGAAGCTTGATGACCTCACGCTGGACAGCGCACAGCTTGTTTACCGTAAGGTGCGTTCAAGGACCTCCTGGGCGCGAATCCTCGACACTCCGACCCTCCCTCCTCCCGTTCATGCCCGTCCGCCCTTCATTACCGCCTTCCGCGCCCGTTCTCATCGCTCACCGTCCGCCGCAGGTATTCATGAAAAACTGGTGCCGCCGCTTGCTCTCCTCCGACTTCTCCTCGCCCAAGACCTTCACCTGGATGGACAAGGTCGGCGTCATGCACACTGGCGTCAAGTCCTTCAAGCACCGGACCCATGTTTCGCCGCTTCACGTCCCCTGTGCGTCTTGGGCGCTTGTTCTAATCGAAGTAACTTGCTTATGACCTCACAGATCGCGATTGCGCGCTTACGCTTGGCTGGGTCGGCACTGTCCTCCAGACAGCGACGTTGCAGCTTCCAGAAGACAAGCTGTCTATGAAGGAGAAGATTGACGCCGTCGGTGCGATCAACAAGATCCTCTGGATACAGAACGACCTCTTTGCTCGCCACTACATCGACGAGTAGGGGTCTTGCACGAGACGTAGCCTTATTTATGCGGACACTTGGCTCGCCTTGTAATAGCCATTGTGCAATAATCTGTACCATTACCCTGCGGAACCTCTACTACGTGTGGTCATGTCTGAGTAAGGAAGGAGCGAGAGAAGAGATCGACAAGTGCGTTTTCCGATATGCGTTTTCGTGATATTCAGGGAATAAATACACAGGGAAGATGAGTCCAATCCGTCTGAGTAAAGAGCGAGCCGAGAGTGAGGGTAATGTCGATGTCGGTGAGGGTTCGGGCGGTACCATGCATGGGTCTGTTGGCCAGAGGCCCCGAGCTTACTATTCCCGAGCTTACTTGATGCGCTTGAGCTGAGGGATTGTAAGTATCGATTATCACACAATGGGCAAGGTCAGAATAACTTACACGCTCGGTGTTGGTGAATATCTTCTGGTCGAGGTTGACCGTCTTGCCCTCGATGCGGTCAATGCGCGAGTTCTGCGTGTCAAGCTCCTGTCCCATGGCCGAGCCAAGCGCCTTCAGCCTCTTCGTCATCTCGCTAATCTCATCCAGGTTGTCGTCGAGCTCGTCCTCCATCTCATCGTCGGACGCGGTGGCCTCAAACTGGTAGCGCTTGCGCTGCTCCTTGCGCGCGGCGAGCTGCGCCTCCGTCTTGTAGCGGCCGCTGCCGCCGCCGACGCCACCGCTCGTGATGTCGTCCTCGTCCTCGTACCCGCGGCCATAGGTCGCCGCGCGCCCGAGGCGGTTCTGCGTCTCACGGATGTCCATCATGCCGCGCTCGCGCTCGGAGCGTTCGTCTTCGTAGCGACGCTGGATCTCAGCCTGCTTCGCAGCACGCTTAGCATCCTTGTTGAAGGTGATGACCGGGCGGAAGATGGAGCGGTTCAGCTGCTTGAGCTCGTCCGTGCGGTCAGCGGCTGTCTGGGAGTGACCCTTGGAAACATCGAGGTGGCGCTCGGTGTTGGCGAGTTTCTCTGCGGAGGAAGACAAGATCAGAAAACTGTGATAAGGCAAGCGTTGTTAGGACGCACCTGACTGATCGCCCAAGCGACCGAGGGTGTTGCGTGCGGTCTCCTCCGCCTCGCGGGCCATGCGCAAGGCGTTGCGGGTAGAGTTCACAGATTCCTGCTTGACGAAGCGGGTCTGCTGCTTGATTCCCTCCACATCCTCGTCGTTCTCCTCGCCGGGGTTGGGCTCACGAATCTGAGGACCGTCGAAGAAACGCCCAGACCCCGTCTTCGCGGGATTGAGGCCGGAGAATAGCTCCGCACGATCGCGGTCAGCATCCCCAGCGACACCGCCGCCACGGCTGTACGCATCGCCCACGCTGGCATTGCGTGCATACTTGTCCCGGTACGACATGGCAGACGACGCCTGGTCGTTAAGCGTGGTGCCGCTCATGTTGTTGTAGTTGGGGTCGCCGTACCCCGGACGACCGCTCCCTGCGCTGTTGCTCCTGTCGCCGTAGCTGCTCCCGTAGGGATCACCATCGCGGCTGGCGACGTAGGTGCGTGCGTTGGATGGTCGATAAGCGGGCTGGGGCGAGGCGCCGCCAGACTTGCCACCTGGGGCCGGAGACGTCCTGCGCGCGGGCTCCTCCACGGGAGGAATGAGAGGCTTGTTGGGGTTTTTCTTTCGGAGGAAGGACATGATGCAGGCCCGGGACAACTTCTGGTGATTGGTCTGGCCCGGTCAGGCGGGTCAGGCGCACTGCGTGCCACTGCCCGTGCAGTGCCTTCTCTACACGTGACGCTAGGCCAGAGCACCCACAATCCTTATGGCCTCCCTAGTTAGCTTTTCTCGGGAGCGACGCCAGTTAGATGCCTGCATTTCGCTATACTCCTCGCGGTACTCAAAGTGAAGCAGATCAAACAGCAGCGAGTTTGATATCAACTTCGTTGAACTTGTAAGTGAAGGTTACTTCCTTACGCACAAAAGGACTTGCCACGCAAGCCTCCCTGTGCCTCAACGCCACCCAGATGGGCATCTGCGATACCTCAGACGCTGGCATGAGCGCGTTGACGTCGGCACAATACCCTCAAAAGGCAGAGACCTCGTCCGCAAAGCGGAAGGTATGCGTACCGTTCTGCCTTGATCAAAAGGGGAGAGACACCGAGTCGTTATCCATTGAGACGTACTGAGGGATGTGCTCGATATGCCCTGAAGCCGGGAGTAGGAAATCGCCTCAACGACCACGGTGTCTTGAGGCTTGCCCTCGTGCAAATTCGATACAGTCTTGATTCATTTAGCTTTGACAGTGTCGGTACGGTCAAGGAAGATGCGTTCGCAGTAGATTCGAAGTTCACGACGATGGTGCGATGACCGAACCGCTCTCAAGCGCACACTGGCATTAAAGGCAGTACAAAGTCTATTGCTGGCCGAAGTACTCCCATTGACCGGGTTCGGGCTTCTCCTCCAGAGGCTCCCATCTAGAACGACGTCAGAATAGATCCGAGGCTCTGTGCATGTCACTCACGCCTTCCACTCCAAGATCTTCTTCGCTAGGCTGAGCTCGTCCTGCGCAACCTTGATGCTCTCCTCGATCACGCCCTCCTCGAGCTGGCTCTCCGCCGTCGCGATGTCCCCGTTCGCGGCGTTCAGGATGCCGAGCTTCTTCTGAGTGAGCGCCTCGACGGCCTGACGGTAGACCGAGCTCTCCGGCATGTTGTTGACTACCGAGAGCGTCTCGTTATAGTAGTACTTGAGCGCGGGGATGGCATTGCGGTGGACTTCAAGCCCTGTCTGGCCAGTGGTCGCCTTCAGCGGCGTCGCTGTCGGTGTTGCCTGGAATACGCGCGCGGTGGGCCGGAGCGCCTGGGCGAGGGGGCGCGTGAGGCGGAAGGCCATGGCGGTTTGCGGAGACGCGGGTGTTTGTTCCGTAAACAACGACGGCGCGATCAAAATTGCCCGCGTCTTTGCTCCGCTCGTCGTCCACCATGGCCGCCCTCTCACTCGCGCGGCCCGCGCTCCAGCTTCCCGTCTTCCGCGCGCCGCTCTGGAGACCACTCTTTGCGTCCTGGGGACTGGCCCCTGCGGCGGCGCTGGCCCCGTGGCGCACACAATCCGCTCCTTCTCCGACTTGGGACATTCGCGCCCGCCTCCAATCACTGCTTGAGCTGCTTCCGGGAATTGTGCTCGCGGTGCCAAAGAAGAAGACTTCGCACTCGAAGAAGCGTATGCGCGCGGCTGGGAAGGGTCTAAAGGACAAGCAGAGTGCGTATCCAGACGTGTGTCCTATGGATGGCTTTCCTCATACTACACCTCTAGACATCGTATCTTGCCCTGGATGCGGGTCACCAAAGCTTGCGCACCATCTGTGCGGAAAGTGCTATGGCTTCTTGTCCAAGCTCTGGAAGGGCAAGTTCCACAGACATGGGGACATGCCCGACCTGTCATGATTTGACGCCCGTGAAGGCGGCATAGTTCCTAGTAACTGGTATGTCCAAGCATACACCTCGGGATACTTAACTTAGTCCCACACCCAGCTGCCGCCGCCCCGGTGCCCTGCGCGACGTAGTCATTGGACCTTTCCGAAGGCTGGGGAGGGAAACGTCGGCCGCATAGCATGTTGACATCACGAGCGTAGATTCCCCTGCCCATACTTGCATCTCCTCCCTCGTTAGTTCACGACCACATCACTCTTGAACCGATGCGTTCAGGCGCTGCTGGATAAATGCACAGGAGGAGATTGAACCCCCTCATCCCTCGCATGGTCTTTGCTCAAATGACTTCGACGTCGGCGTAAATGTCTAGTGCGCCCGGACTTCCATGCCAGCAAAGCTGCACCTATGAGTATTTTGTTCACATTTCTCGACAATAGAGCACGAACCATCTATTTGCAAGTCCCACGAAGATCACTGTCCTACGATCCGCATGCCGCTCAGAAGGCGGGCCTGCAGAATGCGCATTCTGAGCTCGTCGTCAATGCATGCAGTACGGTGAAGTAGTGGTAAATGGTAATGTACTATGATACAAGTGATGGAGCAGCAGAACAACAAGCAGTGCAAATCATCTGTCCGTGAGAGGGCCTTCACGCCACTGAAGCAAGCATCGCTACCGCGCCGCTTTACTGGGCGCGCCAGTGCGAGGGCCAGCCAAGTTCAGCTTGAGCGTCGGCACTCCAGGCTTAGTCTTGCGACCGAGCGGGGCGCCGAGCTTGGAGCTGTTCCCGCCAGGTGGTCCTATCCGGGGTGTCCGACCGTTGACGTGCGCGCCCGAACGGGTGATGCTAGGTGGCAGTGAGCTCGATGGCTTCTTGATCTCGTACTCCCATGTCGTGTACAACCGGGCGTCGGGCGCAATGCGTTCCTTATCCTCCTGTTTTTCAGACTTGTCGTCGTCCTTCGAAGGCGCAGACGACCACGGTGCTAGAAAGCCGGGCCCGAAGATCGCGGGGTTGCCGTTCGCCCTCGTCAACACATTTGGGTGTGCCAAATGCGTGATACGTTTGTGCACATTCGACTGCGCAAGAAAGTGAGCGAATCAGCAAAGGAGAGCATATGAGCAGACGTACGCTCAAGACATCGCTGGCGATGTTGTCCAACTTCCCCTCCAGGCTAGTCGACATCTCCGCGACGCCTCGGTCTGGAGGTAAAGTGGAACGATTCATGATGATTGGCCACTTCGGAGGTTGCGGTTTGTTCTTGTCGTTATGCCCCTTACTATGGTGCCCTTCACGCTTCGCGGGAGCGCTCATGCCACCAGCCTTCAGAGTACCAACCGGAATAGGGTACCCGCCACCCACACGACCGACGGCTGAGCCCCGCGTATCTGGCTGCACCGCGCCGTAGAGTGTGTCGGGAACGTCGAAATGCCGCATGCTGGTCGAGGGCGCATTGTTCAGAGCGGATTGCAATGTTAGCAGAACTGCATGACGACCCTGGGTAGACATGGGTATCGTATGCACGCCTGAGGACGACGTTTGCACGGTGGTGTCTGGCAGTTGTACGTCGCGCTTGTTGTTGATGACGTAGGCAGATGCCTTCATCGTCAAGAAATGCGGGTGACCAAGCAGCTTCGACCTGTTTGAGGGGCGACCATCCACTGCAGACGACAAGTCGGCGTCGGGATCGGGGGGCTGCAAAAGGTAGATGAATTAATGGCGTGAGATACTACTGATATACGAACCGCAGAAGGCAGATGCCACTCTTGAAGGGAACCAAGGGATGATTGCGAGTAGGGTATCGGGTTGAGCTCGGTATAATCCGTGCTGCTGGACATGGCAGCAGTCGGAGGGGGTAAAGGGAGAGGCAAGTTCTCGACTTTCACCGTCGGGGCAAGTTCCGGTTGCGTGGATTGCGCGCGGGAAGGCAGAGCGCTTTCTAGTTCCAGCGGGTCGACGTCCTCGTCGTTCGCGGGTTTGGGGAAGGGCGGTAGAAAAGAGGGAACATAGTCGGGCGCGTTCCAACCGTTCTTTTTATGTCGTTTGTGTGGATGGGGGGATGGTGGTGTGGGGAGCTGCAAACGTGGCGACGGTACTCTGTGCTGCGGGTCGAGGGCGGGCGGTTGGCCCTCTTCGCGCTCAGAGCCCTGGGTCGCATCCATTGGCTCAACTTCAGATCTCTGAGCGGGGATCTCTTCCTCTTCGCTCTCTGAGTCGGAAGTTGGATATTCCGCGTCCGGATCTAGTGGCGCGTAAACCAGCGGGATCGTGTCATCGTGGTCCTGCTTCAGGCCATCTGCAAGATGAGCTGGGTGGATGGGTCAAAAACGTTGTCGTGGGCGAAGGGGGGCCACGCACCATGCATTTCCGCCAGTTCTTCCATGCGCCGAGTCGAGGTCGACATTCTCGGGGTGTATCCCGCACGCGCCATATCAACCGCTTCTCCTTGCACGTAGTCCTGGAGTTCCTCCAAGCTGAATCCCAGGTCTTCTATGGCGTGTAGGGCATCGTGTACGTTGATGGACGAGCGACCGGCATGCTGGGCGTACTGGGCGCAAGTCTGCGCGAGGACGAGATAGTAGCGCGCAAAGATATCTGCGAGGATATGGGTCGCATTGGAGGAGGCTCTAGAGAACGAGTTCGCGTGCAGAACGCGGTGAACAGTCGATTCAACAAGCTTCTGCGTCGCGCCGTCCATGGCCTTGACGGTCGCGGACAACAACAGGAACACGCGGATGACGTTACGAAACACGTGCAAATATGTGTCCTTATGGACCTCACGGTTGAACATTGCTCGTCGCTTAAGCTCGTTCATCTACGAGATTACATGAGCAAGTGACGGATAGTAACTAGTGCAATCAAGCAGGGTGAAGGCCATCCCACTGGTGCGAAAGCGCCATTGGAGTTTTCTGACTCTTCATCGCCCGCTTCGTCCATGCCCTCAGTCCAGCCGATACTAACTGAGGACGTGAAGGTGTTGCCACTTGTTACCGGGTCAGACGCCGTGACCGTCTGTTTGTCCGCCAGAGGCATCCGCTCGCCAGACCCGTCCGCCGCAGTAAAGTTTGAATACGACAGATACTCGTTAGCCGAGTTCATCGCTGCCAACTGAAACCATGCCCAATCGCCGCCTTTCTCCCAAGTAATAGCCGTTTCGAAATCGGAGCGGGTGGTATTCTGCAACGAGATGACGTCCTGCGGCGCTTCACTTGTCGACCCGAAAAGCTGCCAGTAGTTCACCTCCGTTGCGCCGTTCCAGCTGGCGTATACGGTCGTCGAAGGGGACGTGGTGACATTGATGGAAGGAAGTTCCGTAGGTCGACCGGTCCAGTTGAAGCGAAATGCTCGATCTGAGTGAAGCAGTTCAGTATCTCAAGTTCATAAAATAAGTGAAAAGACGCACAGCTAGAGATTGACCCATCGTCTAACAGCCCAAATCGGGCGGCCCATATCATGTCCCCTTCGGAGGTGTATTCTGATATATACGGGACTTGCCCCCATCTGCTCTGCGTCAGCTTTTGACGGTCACACAAGTACCGGTACATACCCGACGAGAGCGTTCCCGTTCGCCAGCATCTGCACGTTACCCTGCGACTGCGATACAGTGCTGTTGTAAGGCAAAAACTCTTTGTCGAGCGTGACCTTCATATTCTGATAATCAAGCTCGAGGACGATGCCCCGGGCCGACGTTTCGTTGTCGCCTCGGTTGGTGCCACCATTGTCGAAAACGCTGTGATGACCAGGTCAGCGATGTCAAGCGTCTCATCGTAGGATGCACTCACGATATGTGGTGATTATCCAGCCACCTCGCGTCGTGTTGCCAATAGAAATTGGTGCCTTCGCCCATCTCGAAGCTTGATTTGTTGCCGCCAATTGACCATAGAATATCCCCGCCGCCGTCAATGTAGTATAGTGTATGGCAATGGCGAGAGGAGATGAGGTAGTGCCCATAGTCGTCCTTCATGATGCTATTGATATGGAAGTAGTCCCAGGGCTCGTCAAAGGTACCGCCGGCACCTTGGGAATCCCAGTAGCAGTCGTGCGCATCGACGTGCTCATGCGAGCGCCATGTAAATATCTCTTCGCCTGCAGCCAATCATGATCAGCTAGCAGTGACTTTCGAAGGTGGCATACCTGTCGTGACATTTATTTCCTGAGATCATCAGAAAGCGCCCCGTTGTATCGTATGAGTCTGCCCACCTGGAACACTCCGTCTAGCACGTATCCGTCTGGGTATCCCCAGTCCGTGAGATTATAGGGTTGCGTGACATAGGATGTCATCAACGCCGTATTGTTCGATGTTATCTGGCCCTGCGGGAAAGTCAATCTCCAAACTTTGCCCCTCTGGAATACATCATACCTCATGGATATCCGCATACGCATCACCCAGACCGCTCGTGGAGCTGTGCAAAGCTGTGAGCATTGTGAAATAAAGGCGAGCTGCCACACTTACATGTTGGCCACGACCTCATAGCGATTGTTCAGAAGGAGATAAAAGCCGTTTCCGTAGCCACCAGACTCGATTGGTCCCGTGTAGAGCATGATATGATCCTGACCCTCGTAGCTGACGACGGTAAACTGCATCGTCGTGCCATACTCGACCCCAGACCAGACGAGCTGACCCTGCTGGTTGAAGATGAGGGGACCAGCCTGCTTGGCATCCGTACCTGCCGGACCGGTCAGTCTAATGATCTCCATTCTCTCAAAGACATACCTCGGGGCGCAAAGAAAATCAGGCCGTTGGATGCGAGGGCAGCGGAGGTGTCGTTGAAGCCGACCTCGAAGTTCCACATAGCGCTGCATGAGATCGATACCTACTGCGAGGTGCGAGTTATCAATTTGGTGGACGTACGGAGTGTAGCTCGACGCATCGTAGCTCTGCGCTGGGGCAAGGCCATATGCGCCATCGTCGTATTCTTTGCTCGCGGTGTACGCGCCAGTTATGGCTGCTCGAGCGAGAAGATGTAAGTGCAATGGCGCGAGGGATAGCAAGAGACAACTCCGGGGCTGCATCTTCGTGCTAACTCGCCGCTTCTACGAGTGCAGACTAACAGTCAGACGAGAGATGGCGATTGCGGACAAACCAAGATTTAGCCGTCAGCCTGTGCGAGGTCCCGGAACACAGCAGCGTCAGCATTGGACCCCTCGCCCGCCGCGCAGGCGGCGCAGCTCGCCCATTCGGAGGCCGCTGAATTTACAATTCTGCGACGGTGCCGCGCCGTTGCGGCGAGATTAGTATGGTACAGCCTCTAGCCTTGGCAGTCATCGAGAGCGCATAATTCTTTGTCATTGTCGGATGGGTGCAGAGGATAGAGAAAGGTTTGGTCGAGTTTGTTCATGAGGTACTTGAAGAGCGATCGCGCCATGGACGACTTCGGCCAATGCCGGGCACATAAATTACTTGATTGGGATCAAGCGGAAGGTGGACCCACGCTCGGCCTGGTATCTGAGACTGGAAGGTAGCACAAGACACAAACGACATGCATTTCTTGGCCACGCTCATACAAACTATATTACACACCCTTCTTGATACATTCTTCATTCCCTTCGCCGGTGTGCTGGTAGACTACAGCTTGCTCGTCGTTGAGATTAAGGTGCTCGTGTTCGGCAAAGTGTCCAGGGCATCGCGCGTAATCTGGTCGATACTCTGGAAGCCTCCGACATTCATGAGGATATCGAAGTCAGCTAGCAGGCTCTTCATGACGTGGCGCACACCGTGCTCGCCCATGATCGACAGACCGAACACCCAGAGGCGACCGACAAAGACGAACTTCGCACCCAAGGCGAGCGCCTTGAAGACGTCGGCTGCGCCACGGATGCCGGAGTCGTACATGATGTAGATCTTGTCGCCCACAGCTGCATAGACTGAATGAGCGACGTTGCCATAAAATATTTGGAACGGGTCGCTTACCCGGGACGATCTTCTCCAGTGCATCCAAGCTCGCGATTGCACCGTCGACCTGACGGCCGGCGTGGTTGCTCACCACAATGCCGTCGATACCCAGCTCGACGCACTTCTGCGCATCAGCGACGCTCTGAATACCCTTCACCGCGAAGGGCTTGCCTCCCGATATCTTCTTCCACTCCTTCATCACCCACTCGACCTTGTCCCACGTCCAGGCGCGCCCATGCCAGACGGAGTCGATCCACATCTGGCCAGCGATCTGTGGCTGGGTCTTGGGATCGACACCCGCCTCCTTGAGGCGGCGCTGGAAGACAGGATCAGTGAGACCCAGATCCGCGCCGACACCGCGGTAGAAGGCATAGTTGGAGGTCGCGACGTCGTCGTGGCGCCAGCCCAGCTGCCAGGTGTCGACAGTGATCATGCACGCAGTGAAGCCGCTGTCGTACGCGCGCTTGAGGAGACTGAGTGTCAGCTCGTCGTCGTGCGGCATATAGAGCTGGTAGAAGCGCGGCCCGTTGCCGTTAGCAGCACCGACGCTCTCGATGGAGTTGCTTCCTGCGGTCGAGAGACAGTAAGGCAGGTTCAGCTCCTCGGCGACCTTGGCGACAGGGAGCTCTCCGAGAGGGTGGTAGATGACGTTTATGCCAATGGGAGCAAAGCCGATGGGCGCGGCGACTTTGTGGCCAAAGATAGTCGTAGCCGTATCGCGCGTGTTCGTGTCGACCAGCATCCGAGGGATTATGCGGTGGCGGTAGAAGGCCTGCCGGTTCGCCAGGTGGGTATACGACATGCCCGCGTTGGAGGACGCGTAGTACCTGCAGGTAATTAGCGATGGTGCGTTCGTCAAGGGCGATAGGTTTACCATCCCGCTTGAGTGAGCTTCTCCTTGGCGAGTTCCTCCAACTTGGCGGGGTCTGTGGGTCCAACTCAGCATCATCTCGTGACCGCGAGACAGGGGCACCCACCGGTGTTGAAAATGGGAACATCGCCTTCACGACCCTTCAGCAGGTTGTCCCGCTGGTACAGCGCGTACTGGGGCGTGGTCCTGTTGTTGATATTCGGGTTGCGAGGATCAGACATGTTGTAGGTGGTTGGGATGTGGTTAGGAGCTCGAGTCAAGGTTTTTATACCAGGCGCGTCAACGGAGAAATGATCTCATGGTCGGGTCACGTAGTTGAGCTCCATCCCATCGGAGGTAGGCAGGAGGCGCTCGCTGAGTAAACCGGATGGCGACGGGTAGAAGAGCGTGAAAGAATAGCGACGGCTTTCCGTCTTCGTGGCGGAACGTAGGAGAGACTTGAGAGTCGGTGCTGATCGGTAGGAGCACAACGGTCAAAGACGCCACAAAAGGTGTAACCGCCTACCCTGCCTACCCTCGGAGGGCCCGTTGTATTTTTGCCTTCACCGTACCCATCCGTGCACGGCGGTTCGCGGTATTTCACGGAACAGAGGCTTGCGAGTAAATGCCATAAACGGTGCTTCCACCAGATGATCATACAAGGACATACTACATATGAGCATAACGAGATCAGAACACGGGGGGCGCAGCCTCCTGGAAGGTCTGCTCCGGCTGGTACGCGGCATCCTGGGGCGGCGCGTAGGTCGCCTCGTCGGCGGGAGGTGCCGCGGCAGGGACGGAGACCGGCTCCCGCTGCTCGGACGAGGGCTCGCCAACGACCTTGTCGACGGGCGGCTCGAGGATGGTGACATTGTCGGGAAGAGGCTTCTTCGGGCCGACGAGGCCCTCCGGGTCCCAGCCCTTCATGCTAAGGATAGGTGAGTACTTGGTTATCTCACGACAAGGACCGAACTTACATCTTGACCTTGATACCGAGGACACCCTGCCTGAGCAGGACGTGGCGGACGGCAAAGTCAACGAAGTCACGGACGGGCTGACCGGAGTGGATCATGAAGCCGTCGGTGAACTTCATGGACTTCGCACGCGCGGCGCGAAGCTTGCCAGAGACGACAACCTCGCAACCCTTCGCGCCGGACTCCATGACGAAACGGAGGACACCGTAGCAAGCACTGGGTGAGTAAGATATCAATATGCGATACATGATTCCGATGAGTAGCGATACGCACCGGCGGACAGCGAGACCACCGAGGAGCTTGTATCTCAAGCTCTCGCACTGGGCGATAGCAGAGAGACCACGGTACTGGACCTTCTCGGCGTAGAGCTCAAGGGAGTTTTCAGGGAACTTGAAACGCTTCTGAACGAGCGAAGTGAGCTCGCGGATGCGGCGGCCCTTCTCGCCCAGAACTTCCTGGGTGTGGGTGGCGCGGATGATGATCTGAGATGTACATATGAGCATCTCATACTCGTTCTGAGCGCAATCCACACACCTCAGTGCGCGCGTGGGTAACGCGGACATCGCAGCCAGAGTAGCCCTCCTCGGCCAGCTCGCGGGTGAAGAAGTCGTTGAGCTCGGCGCGGAAGACACCGTCAGCCACGAACTTTCTCTTCTTGGAAATCTGGGCGGCCATTTTGGTTTTAGAGAGCTAGGGGATGGGTCTGAGCGATGTCCTGAGCGACGACGGCGAGAGCGCTTTACCTCTTGCCTGGCTTGTCCGTCGCTGTGGGCGATCGCGTACGCTGTCAGTCACCACACGTCCGTCAACTGTACAGTCGATCGGCGATCGCCGAAACGGAATCGATCATGTGGCTGCAAAAAGCGCCCACGTGTGGTTTTCCCATTTCCCCTCGGCCGCGTCTCGACTGCGTCTCCCACTCTCCTCATTCGCTTCGTCTGTCTATATCTTCAGGTGAGACTTCCTCCCGTGATTTTTTTAGAAGATGAGCGTTGTTGTTCAACCATTGGCACCTCTTAGTCGACCTTGTCCCTTCGTTGGGCGCGCTTGCGCGTCCTCGTTGGTCCAACTGACATGAATGACTTTCTGACCCCTTTCGAGATACCTCCTCATCTTAACATATACTGACTTTCCTCCAGATCTCCAGCCTCAAATGTTGTATAACGTCCAACATTGGATGGTTTACCTGTGTTCAGCTTACCCATATGTAGCATGTAGTTCATGTATTGCTGTCAATGCATCGCATGTCAATGTATGGGATTCGAAAGATCCGCCAACGCGAGGTGTTCATGCGTGTTCTTCCTCATTTCTACAACGGCACGAGACCTCTGTCATTTGCAACCAAAGTAGCTCACTAAAACTACCCCTACTTGGTGATGCAGGCGTTGACTTCCAAGGCAGACAGTGGAATCATCATAAGCGATGTAGGCACTACAGCCTACTGCGACCGACCGACTACACTCTCTCTTGGAGTCTCTTCAGTCGTGAAAGGGTTAGGCTCCGGCTCTACCCTCTTTCCGTCTTCGAACGTCCCACCGACCAGGAAGTGTTCGGGAACAACTATCTGCGCCTGCCGGCATACCTGCAGGAAGTCGGAAGGCAGAGGCGCGCAGACATTCAGCTCGTAGCGTTTGCCCTTGGTGGGCCCTTCACTGCGGTAGCGCTGGAAGAAGACGAGTAAGCACACGCTGAGGGTCAAGCAGATGATGTACGTACGTGGATGCCCAACTCTGCGGAATGCAAAAACATGCGCTCTGGGCTGTGGGTGACGACCCGTGCGAGCTCTACAGACCCGGTCTTGGGCGAGTACAAGGCATCGCCGAAGATGGGCGCTGTTAGGAAGATGAGCACGCCAGTCCTGGCAACGACAAAATTGCCTGAACGTACTCTTCAGCCTATGCGCAAGATGCACGCGCAGTTGATGCTTATAGCCCGTCAGGAGCTTGAGCTTCAGGACAGACAGCGGTGCTATACTCTGAGTGGTCTGCTCAGTCGTCCTTCCTACCTCACAAAACCGCACTTACAGATGAACCTAGCAGTTCCCAGTCGGTCGCCGCCTCCTTCATCTCGCACCGAGCGTTCGCCCGTGAGTGATGCACTGGCTGGCCATCACGCAGGAATATTGGCTCGCGTATCTGCCCAGAGATTGAGGAGAAAGCGTCGATGCCGCCGTGAACGAGGGCGAGGTACGTCTTCTTAACGGTCCGATTGCGGAACTGGGCACTGAGGTCGCGCGTACGCGCTTCGGTCAGACCAAGAAGCAGGGCACCAGTGGTATCCTGGGCAAGAAGGTCAGACTGACGAATGTTCACGATACGTAGCCTACTAGCTTACCATGTCAAGTCGGTGAACAGGGTATAGGTTGCCATTGTGGTTGAGACGTCGTCCAACCTCTGCAACGTACTTGTCAGAGAGTAAGCTATCGAATAGTAGCAGATGCATACTCTTTAAGTACTGCGTGAAGACGTCGTTCTTGACTAATTGCTTGTCAGCCTACACATGCGCCTCAAAATCAGACACGCCATGAACTGGTGAACTTTCATACCTCGTTTCTCTTGGTGTACGACTGCGTGACGAGCCCAGCGGGCTTGTTGACAACGGCGACGCCATTGTCATGATACAGGATAGTATCCTTGATGTTGAAGCGAAGCGGCCGAGGTCTTGGCTTCTCCCGAAAGCGTTGCTCAGACAGAGCAGGGCTACTTTCCCGTGGCTTCGTCTTCGAGTTCAACGGCGGCGGAGGCTTCATGGACGCCCATTTTGAAGCATTGCGAGAACCCAAGGACCTTGTCCTGCTCGCCCTCAAGCCCAACGCCTCCGCAAAAGCCGGACGAACAAGCGGCCGGAACGGCAACATCACCATCGCCGCAGTGGAAGTAAAAAGACGAACCGTGCGAAACGGCGCGCGCCGGCAGCCATCTGACCCCGGGCCGTGCGCCCCCGACCGAGCGAACCCGGCACATGTGATTGGCCGCGCCCCCATCGTCACTCTCCTTCCTCCACCTCTCCCCGCTGCGCTCCGCGATGGCCTCCTCCCAGCTCGTTCAGCGTTCCCTGCGTGCTGTGCGCTCTCAGCAGGGTGCGTGTATGTGTGGGGGTGGGTAGTGAGGTGATAGCTGATGTGACATGCAGCAGTGACCCGTCTCGCGCGCCGGACCGCGGCGACGGCGTCTACCTCTGTGCGCGAGAAGAGCAGCAAGGAGCTCTACACGCCGGACAATGGTGCGCTGTTCGCGCATATACTGAAGTGTATATGGACCCTGATCACCCTCACAGCGATCTACATCGGCACGGTGAACGACCCGGTCGAATTCCCGCCGCCATCGCGCGTACACGGCTCCTACCACTGGGCATTCGAGCGCCTGCTCTCCGCGGCCCTCATCCCGCTCACCGCTGGGGCCTTCGTCGTCAACGGCAGCGTTATCGACGGCCTCCTCGGCCTGACGCTCGTCATTCACTCGCACATCGGGGTGAGTCTCACGTAGAATTTTGGCGAAGTTCGTATATGCTGAACGTGTCTTGCCCAGTTCGATTCTTGCCGCGTGGACTACCTCCACCCGCGCAAGTTCCCTACTCTGGGACCGATCGTGACGTGGGGTCTGCGCGCCGCGACGGCCGGTGTGCTTGTGGGCGTATACCAGTTCAACACGAATGACATTGGTGAGTATGCCGTTTCCCTTCGCTAGATAACGTGCTTATCATCCTTCGCAGGCCTTACGGAGCTCATCGCCAAGGTCTGGCACGCGTGATTGTACCCTTCCTACCCTTATTGCCTGCATTATTACTCGCATGAATGTAACAAATACTTCTGCAATCTGGACGCCGGTTTCTTCATCCCTTTCAGCGCAAGCTGAACGCAGTTCAAGTTCACATCAAGAGCCGTCACGCAAGTCCAAGCCAGATAACCACTCAGCCCAGTGATATTAGTTGCAGAGGTATACGATACATCCGTTGACCCAGTCAGCGTTCTAGTGGTGGCATGTAAGCCCGTGCTATGCTACAGTAGGAGACGAAGAGGCGTGAAGTCCGTGTACAGCCGTACAACAAGACAGAGTCCGCATTCCGCGCGTGAAGGTCATGATTTACTCCTTCGCGACATTCAGCTTCGACAAGGAGAGGATGAGGGGGACGGCGTAGAAGGCGTATGCGACCCACACCACTGAAATATCTGTTAGGACAAAGGGGACAGAGAAGGACGAGGTAAACGTACTGGTGAAGCCGTTGCCCTCGACGGCCTTCAGCTCGGGTGCGTCGTTGCCGTCCATGTTGCGGATGATGGTGTTGAAGTCGCTAATGGTCTTGCCGAACCACATGCGAACGACGACGAAAGCAGTGATACCTGCGAGGAACAGTTAGAACAAGGTCGACCTAGCGAGACAAGGTGCGTACCCATCATGAAGCCGAAGAAACCAATCCAGGCGGACAAGCGCTGAATTAAGGGCTTCGCGAACATGCCCCCGGCCTTGCCCATCTTGTGTTGGAAGGAGATGAGGGTGAAGGTGAAGAAGAATACGATGGAGAAGGCAATGGAGAGGCCGATGAAGACGGGTGTCGTCGCTGCGGGGGCGGAGAGCAGCACGGTGGGCGCGTTATTCGGTAGGACCGAGACATCTGAGTGATGTGTGAGCTATGCAAAAGAGGTATGCATAACGGGACGTACCGTAGCGCGGCTCGAAGACAGGGATGGTGCAGTTGACCGCGGCGTCATTGTTCGTGCGTGAGCATGAGCCCAGTGCACCCATGAAGACACTGGGACCGTCCACGTCCGACCCGTCACCGTCGGTGAGCTTGGTAGACGGGACAACCGACATGAGCGAGACGCGGGTCTGCAGCATGAGAACGGGCGCCAGGTAGGCGAAGAGGGAGAGCAGAATAGACGTGAGCATGAGCACGGGGGCAAGGTAGAGGGTGATGGCCTTCGAGAGTCCGGCGATCATCGTGAATGAATGGTCTCGTCTAGAGTTGAGTGAATGTGCGTGAAGTAAAGAGTAGTAGGAGCAGCGCGGCTAGCGGGCTGTCGAGTGTCGTGTGCTGAAGGGTAAGAGACTGGGTCGTAAGCTGCACTGGGCAGGAAGAGGGCGAGAATGAAACTGAGGAGTGTAGGCTGGGTCTGCGTGCATTATATACCGCGACGGGCGTGGCTGATCGGTGATGGCAGCTCGGAGGGGAACAATGAGCTTGATGCACGGGCGGACCGGTGGCGGTGGACTCATTGTTCGCCTCTTCCGGGGTTCGATCGAGAAATGCGGTTGCAGGGTGTACGTTGCTGGGCCTGCTTCGGGGAAATGGACGCTGTCGCACACGTACAAGACCCCGGGCATGCGGGCATGCTGGCAGGACCATTGTCACACAAAAGGAAAATGCAGACAAAAAGGGAATTGAGACCGGGTCGTACGAGGGTTTGAGTCTTTGGGACCGGATACAGAGTGGCAATGACCTGTAGCAGGGGACAAACCCATTGATTTGCGTGGAAGTGACCGTGCAGGAAGAGAGGCGCGAAAGGGCGGCGGTGCCGCACGTGGCGCGGAGGACGCGGAGATCAGGACGACTGATCGAACTTTTTGTGAGGCGCGCGCTCAGTCACCTTCCGCCATGGACACACCCGAAGCCCACACCGGACCCCCCATCCCACCAGAGCTCTCCGCGCTCACTGCCAGCCTTGATGGAAACTTGCACACCCTCGCGACGGGGAACAATGCCATTCGTGACGCCGCTCTCAAAGCGGCGAAATGCGTCTTTGATCTCGGTATGTGGTCCCGTGAAGTACCGTGTACTGTGCTCACTGACGCGTCCGTAGCCATGAAGAGCGAGCCACAGGCAAAGCCGCATATTGACAAGCTGCTGGCGACACTAGGACCGGCGAATGCACCAGAGACCCGCTCGCAGGCGCGCAAGCGCAAGCGTAGCCCCAGCCCGGCGCCTATTCCCACTTTCCAGACCACCCCCCTCGCGGCGCTCTACACGGATGGCATGGACGATGATCAAGTGTGGAGTCAACTCGATCTGAGGAGCAAGCAGCTCTGCGACATGCTGGACTTTGTGCTTGAGGGCGAACTGCCGGACTCCGAGCTTGAGGGTGATGAACCTGACGAGGAGGACGGCATGGAAGTGGATGGGGACGAGGAACTTGACGGGCTCGAGGGATTCGACGAAGAGGACGAGAGCTTTGACGGCCAAGAAGATGAGGACGCAGACGAAGATGAAGATGTCGAAGACTCATCCTCTGTGGCGTCACAGACCGAGCGGATACAAGACCTCCGCGACGCCTCCGATGGCGAGGAGGATGAGCCCGACGCCCTATCCCTACTCGAGCGCATGGACAAGCGACCATCGCGTATACCAACCCGCCGGAAACGCGGGCACTCGGAGCTGGACGACGGCTTCTTCGATCTCGCTGCTTTCAACGCTGAGACGGAGGAGGCGGAGTCACGCCAGGTCTCGCGGGGTCACCTTAACGAAGACGACTCGGACGACGATGATAACATCTCTGTCGACCTTTTCGCACCGGTGGACGATGAGCAAGCGCTGGAGGAATCCGACGATGAGCAGACCGGTAAGTGGTCATGTCCCCCTTTGTCTACAATGGCGCTCAAGTTGCTCTGCAGAGCCTTACTACAAGGACTTCTTCGAGCCACCGAAGAAATCACCGACGAAGGGGAAGGGAAAGGGCGCTTCACCAAAGAAAGCCGGCGGCGTGCGCTTCCACGACGAAGTGCGGGTGAAGAACATCAAGAAGCGGGGCAAAGGCCTGCCCGTCAACTACGATCCCGTAGGCGACGAGGATGAGGACGAGGATGACGAGTACGACGAGGAGGGAGATGTACCTGATGACAGCGAGGATGATGAAGAGGAGGAGGACGAGGATGATGATGATGCCTCCGACGACGATGAGGACATGGAAGAGAATGAGTCAGACGCCGAATCATCACTCGACGGCCTTCGTGGCAAAGAGACCATCGACCGCTTGAAGGACGACCTATTCGCTGATGAGGAGGATCAGGAGGAAGGTATGTGTATACCCAAAACATCTGGAGACCTAGCTGACGGACCCCCAGCCGCCGACATGACCGCCCACGAACGACGCATGGCCGCCCTCCGCGAGCAGATCGCCGAGCTCGAACAGGAGAACGTCGGCGAAAAGGACTGGGTCCTCATGGGCGAAGTCGACTCGCGCAAACGCCCCCAGAACTCCCTTCTCGAGGAGGACCTCGAGTTCGAGCGCCTCTCGAAGGCCATCCCTGTGGAGACCGAGGAAGTCATCAAGTCGCTCGAGGAGCGCATCAAGGCGCGCATCCTCGCGAACGACTTCGACGACGTCGTGCGGATACGGCCGGTTGACGACAAGCCGTTCTTGCCCTCAAGGTTCTTCGAGCTCAGGGACAAGAAGTCGGAGCAGGGTCTCGCAGAGATCTACGAGGACGAGTATTTGGCAGCGCAGAGCGGTGTCGGCACGGACGATCGCGACGGCAAGCTCAAGAAGGAGCACGACGAGCTCGACAAGATGTGGGAGGGTATCTGCTACAAGCTCGACGCCCTCTCGAACGCGCACTTCACGCCGAAGCAGGTTCGTATCGGCATCTGCTCGTACAAGCTGACTATATACTGATCTACCCTTCAGCCCAAGGCCTCAATATCCACCATCTCCAACATGCCCACCGCCTCCCTCGAATCCGCCCTCCCCACTGCCGTCTCGACCACCTCCATGCTCGCCCCGCAAGAAATCCACGCCCCCAAACCGTCCGACCTCCGCGCCCGCACCGAGCTCACGCCTGCCGAGAAGCGCGCCCTGCACAACAAGGAACGCAAGGCGAAGCGCAAGATGCGCGACACGCTCGAGAAGAGCGTCGACAAGTTCGCGCGCATGAAGGGTGCGAAGGGCACGCGCAAGCAGAAGGAGGAGGCGTTGAGGAGCGTGGTGAAGAGCGGGAAGGGGGTGACGGTAGTCGGGAAGAAGAACAAAGAGATATTGGAGCAAAGGGGGAAGAAGGGGAAGAAGGTATAGGGTCCGGCGGGTTGCCGATATACGTCCGCCTAGCCAGTGTCACTGTCTGCGTATTGATTACTCTCCGCTACGGAAATTTGCCTTGTACTACTGTGTCCCCACTGTCGGGCCAGACCCGCCCGTGCTGTCGAACGGTGCCGCCGGGTCGCTGACTTGCGGCGCGCACCCAATGTCGCTGAGCGGAGGAGGCAATCTTCCGGGCCGCTGATCGTGACGCGTGACTGTGACAGCGGTGCTTAAGTATCGGTCCTTCCGCCACAATCATCATCGCTTGCCCGCCGACCTCTCTGACCTCCTTCCCTTCCTCCCTCGCCGACCCCACAACATGTTGTATGATCCAGTAGAGGCTGGCAATTATGCCAAAGAAATTCCGAGCCTGGTCAGCATGTGCCAGCGAGGTGCGCACGGGCCCGAAGCTGTATACCGAAACGGGCACTGATGGCTATTGTAGTGGCGGCGTATAATGCGGACTGTACGTGTTTGCGAGGGGGAGGACACGACCGCGCGCTTACTGATCCTCGCTCTAGGTATATTGTCCCTACGCGGTAGCTTGCCCGTAGAGTTCTTGCCCCCGATCTTAGCGCAAGCGCAGGCCGAAGACTTGGTACGGTGGGAGGAAGACTGGCCGGTGCGTACAATCTATTAGTGTCAACCACCAGCAGGCGCTTATGCCTCCTCGCCTTGGTCCAGGAAATCGCAGAGCTTACGAGACGTACGTGCTTTGCTCTCCGATCCGGAGACATGTGCTGATGCTCGGTTCACAGCCGTCTGGAAGAATGTCCTTCGGAAGAGGTTCCCCAAGGAGTGGCAGCAGCTGGAGGCAGAGAATAAGGACCCAGAATCATGGAGTGAATGCTTCACGGTACGCAGCCTCGACGCTGTCTATGATCGGTGGTACTGACTATGCTTCCTAGATGTTCAAGGAACAAGAGACCCGCAGATTCGAAGAGGCAGTGAACAAACTACGCAACGCGCGTGCGGACGAAGACCAGCGCAAGCAGCTACGCATGACGAAGGTGGACGCTAAGCTACCACCGCCGAAGCAACGCAAATGTAAGCCTCGCCAATATATAGTACCTTCACCGGTGCTAATTTGCGCAGATGGCCAATCTTGGGCACCCAAGACCGCTCTGCAGAAGACCTACACAAAAGCGTCTAGGCAACAACAAGCTACCTTTGCTCGTACCGCACCTCCCGCCTTTACCCCCAAATCCTACGCATCCCTCACACGAGGGGCAAGATTCAACGCACTTGAGGTTCAAGTGCGTTGAACGCAAATGGCGCGAAAGATCGTGACGTAACTCATCAGTTCTGCACGTGCTCCAAGGCCGTGCAACGCGTGTATCGCCGATCGTTTTTTATCATCTTACTCTCGACCACTATGATTCCAGTACCTGCTACTTCCATGCCGCCTGACGGGCCCACCACATATTCCGCAACAACGCACAGATCTCGGGAGCCTGGTACGCACATTGCTTTTTCTTACGCAAGCGAGCGTCCGTCGTGGGCTATAGTTTGCGGCACACCCAGCCTGCCACCTTGTCTGCAACCTACATCGTACATTCCCAATGAATTCTACGTTCTTCCTACGTCATAATCCTTATGTTGGTGTTTCTCAGCAAGGTGAAGGTTACTCATCGCTCAGGGTGTCCAATACCCCATCGAATAGTGTAGAGGGATGAATCTTGGGTGCTCCACGTGACAGAGCACCCAAAATCCAGCTCTCTTCGTCGAGTCCGGCTTATCGCACCGTTGACGACGTCGTGATAAGCCAGACTCAGTGACCGGATCTCGGCTCGTGATCCGAATGCCCGAAAAGCGACGGACGATTCAGATGACATCAGCGTTGCCTCAAGCTCGGCCCGGTCATCGCACCGCGTCGTCCCTCAAGGAACTGTGACGGGAGTGACAGGTCGCGCCGACTCGCCCATTGTACATCCCGCTACGGTGGCTTGAGCTGACCATCCCCATGAGATACATCCATCGGATGTATTCTAGAAGTGTGTGTATATCACGAGCTTCTTGCTCATGATTCTCCTAAAGTATACAGCACCTCTATTGATTAACTCAGACGTAGCCTTTCAGTGTCCAGTTCTCTCTTGCCACCGACAGTGGCCCACTTACTATCAAGTAATCATATCTTGCGGAATGCGTGCGCGAACCAGTCAGCAGCCATGCATGCAAACACATATATGAACACGAGGTACGCCGCCTTTGTCTTCCCTTCATCAACATCCACCGTCCCCTTCGCCCTCCGCTGACGCGCTCGCAACACCGTGACATGGCTGATTATGAGATGGGATCCTATGGCCCCAGTACGAGCCGTGGAGGTGGTGGCAGTGCCGGTGGCGCCCGTGGCCAGAAGCGACAGAGAATCGAAGGACCGGAGCAGACAGGCGGCCAACAACAGGCCGTCAAGGTCAAGGTCATGCGTGTGAAGGCGAACACTAGGACGGCGTCGAAGCCGGTCGGGCCAAGCAGTCACCACTTGACGAAGGATGAGGTTCCGGATGAGTTCAAGACGGCGAAGGTGCGTGTTTTGTTCCTTGTATCTGTGTACATGCTCATGTACTCCCTTCGCAGTTCGCATTGCAGATTCATATCCGTGTCGCTGCTTGCCTACCGAACCAAGTCTCCGTTCCGGAAGTCGTCAAGAAGGTGGACGCCGATAAGGTCCTTGCTAGTCTCAAGGTGCCGGAGCGGTCCTCGGTGAAGGATGAGCTGCTCAAGCATCACAACCTGACTGTAGACGAAGACAACACGTTCTACAGAAGGCTGTATGACAGCAGTCAGTCCTGCGTTGATGGCGATCTTGCCCCCGTCATCCGTCAAGTCCCATCGCAGGTGCTGTCTATGATTGCGGGCGCCTGCCTTGCGCTTGGTCTGCCGTCGTGGAGGCCGGACTTCCTTGGCAGTGCTGGGAGCAGGTATAATCAGATCCACGAGGACGTCGCCATCGAGACGTTCGAGCAGGTCGTCAGAGGAAAGGCCTATAACTACATGGGCATCCGGAAGGACGTGATCCTTAAGGATCTCGAGAATGGTGCCCGCGTTCTCCGCGCCTTGTACCGCAGCTTCGTATATTCGCGCCTAGGCAATCTTCTGAAGATCGAGCTTAAGGAGGCGGGGAGCATCAAGAAGTCAATCGAGAACAACAATCGGTACCGGCGGCGCAAGTCTGTAAGTACGCTTTGATTTGATCTATAACATCTCCTTAACTGCTTTCTAGCTGGCCATGGTACGCGCTGGGCTGGTGGCTGATGAGGGCGCTCATCCTCGCATTGTGAAGTTCCTCGAGCGTGCTGATCTTCAGTCGGACGACGAGTACGACAACAACACGAAGAAGTACTATATCCTGCCCAAGGAGGCGCGCTCCGAGAAGCTCAGGCACTTCTTGCGTGCACTGGACGAGGGACACGTTGCTAAGCCACGCCGCACAACAGGGAGGTCGCCGTGAGTTCTGTAATCTTCTCGTCTATCTGCTCGTTCTGATATTGTTCTAGGAAGGGAGCGACATTCCGTACCCGCGAGCATCCCCCTGCTCCTCTCGCGCAGGCTGACATCGAGGTGCTGCCACGGAAGGACATACCTATCGACTACTTCGATCCCGGGTACTTCAACAACACGCTGACTTTGCGTGAGCGGGCGGAATACACTGCGCAAGGGGTGCGCGTTGCGCTGCCTAGCATCGCTCACATTCAGAACAAGACCTGGAGCCAGCTGCGTGACACTGACTGGATGAAGATGCCGAACAGGAAGTTCCAGAAGCAGTACAGCGCAGCTGTACTGCAGGATTACAGGATACCAACTGCGCAGGACCGCGAGAACCTTAAGAACAAGTTTGCTGCCGATCCTTGGGATACATCCAGCGAAGGAGAGGATGAGGAAGGCGAAGTATCGGACTAGGTAAGCTCTCCACCACAGGCCCCTTGCTGCTACTCAATGCTTTGTAAACCCTAGGCGACAGTGGCTGACCGGTGGTATATGGACTCAATTGCATCGTTTATATTGTACTTTTCCCTCTGTTTCCTTCTCCTAAAGTATACTACGCAGGCGTGGCTATGTATCAAAGTATATTATTTTGTTGGCTGGTCTTCTTGACTGTGTTGGCTCACAAGAATACGCCGGTGCCTTGGTCGAGGGTGCTGTCAATGGAACTTTCCATATATGGAAGAACAATGGTCGTGGTCAACGCTGGGGCTCTTCACCTAAGGTTAGTAGCACTGATGTTCAAGGTGAAGTACGCTCCTCTATTCTGTACGATACCTCAAAAATTAGTTTTGTTTTGAATCTCATGGGGGATTACACCTTAAACGACAATGGACTGAATGATCGTTGATCAGCCCATACGTCCTTGTCTCCTACCATCACCTGGGTTGAACACTGCGAACAACATACTACCTGCCGAGATGGTGCACGAGATATTCTTCTGGATTGACGAGGAGGACTCAAGGATGGCGTGGGATCTGAGCACAGTTTGCCAGTTGTGGTGCGCCATAGCGCGCGGAATGCCGAGGTTGTGGTCCAAGGTGCGTGCCCAAGGCTTCTAAGTGAAGGAGGATGCTCAATCCCGTGCAGATTCACTTCTCTACCACCTAGCTTGCCTCCCCGGACATTGTGCGACCGTGGCTCGAGCGCGCCAACCTCCTCAACATCGAGATATACATTGTGTTATCTACTACCAACGTCCCCCTTCCCACTCCCAACATCTGGTCCCCTCGCACGGGGGCTGGATAGCCGCGCAACCCACACCTACCCCTTCAAGCCAACCGGCAATAATCCACTGTGCACACATCGTCGCGCACTACCTCATCCAGAGCATGGCAGCGCTTCGTCCTCCGCTTCGACCGCCACTTCCCCTCCATGGATGCTCCCCAGAGCATTTCTGGTGAGTGTCCCCTTGCTGCCGCCTCTACACGTGCTCAGCGGTTTGCGCTGCGCAGGGGATGCCCCGCTGCTCGAGGAGTTCAAGATCTGCACCGTGGACACGATGTATTCTCCCGAGTGGCGCTCCTTTCTGCTGTGCAGCCAGCGCGTGGTGAACCTGGCGAGGGTGCGCGCGGTGACGCTGCATCATATCTTGTTCGGATTGGTGGGGTCGCTGCTGGTGAAGCCGCCTGCGCCAGACGCCAGACACACCGGGGGCGCTAAGCTTGCTTACAAGCATCACGCTCCGCATGCTCGCCGGAGTGGTCATCCCTCGTGCTCTACTTCCCCGCCCTCCATCCCCCCGTCCTCCTCCTTGGCTCCTACCTGCTCATCACGCTCCCGCACCACTGCACCCTTGCGCTCGGTGGGTGCCCCATCCGCATGCACCTTGCGGACACGCTGGCAATGCCCGCGCGTGCTGCGCGCATTCTGCTTATCCCTGTGTTGCATGCTGTAAGTCCATATTATTGTCAGTACAGACATGGTGCTTACCTCATCGTCGACCTCGGTTCAGTGCCCAACAGACCGTGTAGAACTCCTTGTCGATCCCATATGCGCCACGAGGACGCTTCAACATGGTGAGTTGTGTACGCAGGTGCTGTGGCTCGACTATGACCTTCGCAGAGAGCGTGGTGCTGACGAGCCGTGTGAGGAAGCCAGGACGGTGAATGTATCCACCGCGGGCGTCGTCCGCTGCAGAGAGGGAGCTGTGGAGGCCAATGGACAAGAAGATGGCATCCGACTTGGCGCTGTCCCCAAGCTCAACTTGCCATATATCCTGTATGAGGCCAGTCTCGCATGTTCCTGTTGAAGGGTTATAGAAGTAGACCGCGCTATTGGATAGGTTTGATCGTTGACAGCTATACAAATATTTGTCTTGTCCGTGCGTCTGTATATCTTGTTTCCAAGGCGCAAGAACCAGGGCATCTTTGGGGTGGGGGAACTGCTCAAAGGCTCGGTAAGGTCGCCCAGTCCCGCGTAGGTAGCTGAGCAGGGCGGCATATTCTTCTTCCGTAAACCGCGATAGCTTTGCTGGTTCGATTGGTGCGTTCGTGATGTCGGTAGACTGGAGGATAGATCCGAATTCACGAATCACTGCGCTATCTGCTGAATTATCCTGCAAGAGGGCCTCCAGACGAGAACTGCGGCTAGATTGCTTCATCATGGTCAAGCTTAGGTCCGCTGGAACTTATATAAGTATCACAAGAATGATTAAATTGGTGCTCTCTTACCCATGTGATGATTCGTCTTCACCTTCTGAAGCATACCATTCATCCTTTCGCCCGCAAATTCACTCAATACTGGGAGTGGGCCCCAGTATCTGAGAAGATCAGCGTTGTGCATGGCGTAGTGGTGATTCGGCTTTGAGGTGCTGTCCGGGAATAGTGTCGTCGATGAGATGCGGTACTGAGTATAATGGTACGTGTACTCGTCGGCAGCCGATGCAGTCGTAGAGAAGCTGGAGACGATATTTGTTGCAGCGACAAGATGGTAGAAGTTCGACAGGAGCAATTGGTCATGGTCAGTGCTGCCCGCACGAAGCCAAAATTCTGGTAGGAAAAGGGGGAAGATTAATGTGAAGAGTGTGAGCTCGTACTCGGCTTTGAGTTTGCCATGGCTCGGCTCCCCCAAGTTCAGAGGTGGGCGCTCTACGCAGGATGGAAGTGAGATATCGCGTATGGCATCCCGGATCTGTTGTATCTGGGGATCCGTGAAGCGAAAAGCAGATGCTGCAGGAGGAATGTAATCTGTATCGTCGTCATCATCGTCATCATCATCGTAGTCGAAGAGGTAGGGATGGGCAAATTTGTGCGTAACAGCTTCTTCTGTCCGGGGGATTTGCATCTCTGGAAGGGCAGCACGAGCGGTAGGGTTTACGGCTAGTAGAGGAGATAAGCAAGCGAACAATGGAATAACAGGAGCGAGATCTTACACGGGGTTGGGGTTGTTGATCGTGTATCCATTACAGAGTCTGAGTCACTCGCAAGTGAGTGATGTGTCGACGTAGGGGATAGAGAGCCTGGTGGTTCTGAACCATCGAAGAGATCTTCAAGCTCTGCGGCTGACTCCTGGCTGGCATCCTCTGTCCAACGCTCGTCCTCGTCCACCAAGTCGCTTGTGCGGGCCTTGTCTGAGCTCTGCTCGCCGAGTTTCCAACGAGAGCGAAGATGAGTCTGGAGAAGACCCTCAAGCGTGTTATGCATGAAGCCGAGCATCACATGCTTGACAGGGTCATACGACTTGAGCATGTGAAGAGGCGTCCAGCGTACACCAGTACTCTTGAACAGAGCGTCACGGCCAGACTTCGTGGCCTCCTTCAACCACGCTTCCGCCTGACCACGCACTACAGCGCCGTCACGTTTTGGCCAAGCAGCAATGTTGGTGATCTCGATCTCATCGGCAGGGCAGAGACAGTGAGAGCATAAGTATCTATGCGCTGGTGAGCCAAAGCCGCCAAACTTTTTGCTTGCCAGAAGGTCGGCCATGAGAGGGGCGAGCTTGACACGGATGTATACACCTTCTGGGTGTTTGGAGGTGAGGACAGCAGAACCCACAGCACTGTCGTACTTGCGGATGCAGGCGACAAATGGGTGGAGGATATGTGAGATGGTAACAGCGCTAGGGGCATTTGGAGGGGGCGTGATCCCGACAATGAAAGTGTTCTCGGGACGATAGCGGAGATGAGGTGCGAGATTTAAGCAGAAGAGGATAATGACGCCGCAAGATGCGACTTTGCCTACAGATCTCGATCAGATATATGCCCGAATTTAAGGAAAACATACTCACCAGCTATCTTGTTTGTGAATGGATTGAACCAGTCAACGTATATTCCAAAAACAAGATTGTACGGCGAAGGATAGCTCGAGCCGTACAATTCTCGCCACGCGGGACTATCGTGCACATCACGCATCCAGTCGTCATGGTTCGATCCAGGTGCCCATCGCTTGGCACAATATTGCTGAGTTTCAACCAAGCTGTCTGTAATCACCTTCCGCGAGAGGAACATAGGGACCCAGGTGTCAAAGTTCTGCGTATGGTAGAGGCGGCGAGGAACCCATTTGGGGCCATGCCGAGTTTTCCGCTCGGTCCACAAGTGCTCCCCGCAGGGGCGGGATCGCGCAGACTCCCTCCACGAACACGTCCAAGGCACAGGCCGTGGGTGAAGGTAGAAGCACTTTGGACAGCAGACAGTCTGGTCGATTTCGGGCTCGACCCCATGGACGGCTCGAGCTGCCGTCCGAACATCGCGAGGGATCCTGACAGACGGAAGCTCGACAGAGATTCCAGAGGTGCGTAGAGCGGTAGAAAGCAGATCGAGGAGGGTCGTCACAATAGACTGGATCGCGCGAAGTGTCGTATTAGTGTTTTTTCGGCTGACTCCGGCTTTTGTATGCAGCCAGACAGCGAGAATGCAGACCAGGCGTTCGATAGGAGCATTATTAGGGAGTGAAATTCCTGGTCAAACAATGGTCCACATCAGAAACCGAGTCGCTGTAATGATTGAGAGCTACACACTGATGGGTTTCGGACGACTTCGGGCACCGCCTGAGGTGCCTTGTCCACCTGCTGAACTGGGTCCGGGGACAGCTTGATGAGCATATTCAGTGTCCACTGAGATATTCTCGTCCTCTTCTTCGTCGCTTTCGTCGTCTAGATCATCCTGGTGTGCGGCGGCTCGAGCAGCGACTTTAGCGGCACGCTTCTGATGGTTGCTCCGAGTATTGCGATCAACAAGGGAGCCATTCATGACTTCTCCATAAACGTCGATAGTCCGAGTACTGCACGCAGCGCACACACAGATCACTTTGTTGGACCTCATCACGATTATCAGAGGAGGAACGAATTATCGCGATCAACACCAGTCACACTTCAGGTTCATGTCATGTCACACTTTCGGACATTTCCGTTCACGTGGATGAGCGCCGGCGAAGCGCCGGCCCTTGCGCTTTGGGCGAGGTTCGGTTAGATTGCTACTAGCATTGCTACTGGCCAAAACCTGGCTTGCGTCACCAAGTTCCTCGCCTATTGCGTTCAACGCACTTGGACCTAAGTGCGTTGGATCTTGCCCCTCGTGTCAGCAAGAAGCATGATATTCTTCCCAGTCCATCTTCGAGTACCACCAATCACGTTTCCGTCTCCACCGTCCTGCATCAACGGCAAACGGCGTCTTCCTCTACAGCATCCTCATCTTCGTCTCGCGCATCCAGCTCGTCTTCCGTTGGCCCCAAAGCCCGGTACGCAGGTTCGCCCATCAAGTATCACCCTGTATCATCCCCGTCACGGCCCATTGCGCGGCTACCTCAGTCGACGCCTTCCCGAGCAGCCGAGCGCAGGTGTCCACTTGCAACGCACGCCACCTCCCGCCCATCCCTACCGGCCACCACATCATGCTATAATGCAGTGCCTTCGAATGCGTGCACACCCAAAGCGCTACCCATGATTCGAACTGCTACAGCACCGGCGGCGCCTACGCCGAAGCCCACACCATTAGACCCTCCACCGCCGTACGCGGCCGTCGACCCGTTGCAGAGACCCGCCAACGCTGCGACATCGGCCCCTCGCCCGTCCTCGCCAGACGCGATGCCCCCGCCCGCGAAGCGCTTCAAGAAGGCGAACAAGATGGCCTGCCTCTTCATGCCGAAAAACCGCGCGTACTCGCAGATAGCGGCCGCGACGAAGTAGGTTGGCGTTCTGATGCGCTGTGTCGTCGCCTGTCTCTACGCACCAGACACCGCCTCGACGTCGACAGCTGCCGCGCCACTTGCTCAGCTTCGCTTACTTCTGGCCGCCCTGTCGCGTTATTGACACATAGGTCTTGCGGCCATATCTCCTGCGTTGCATCGACCTCGTATGTATTACTGTACACCCTCGTAGTTATCACCGGTCAGGTTCTTCTCGTGTTTTATCGCTTTGTTCGCATTTTATGGATATGTACCGCATTGCCACCGCGAAGTTTGCGTTCGAACTTCAGGGACACCGGAAAGGAAGTCAATATGAGCTCTGGCAAGCAAGGCTGCAGTAGCATCTGCCTCTGTGACGTAGCTTGAAGATGTCTTCCAATTGACGAGTCTGCGCTACTTTGCACTTGCGACTGCATGCACAACGTCCCACCTATGTTTGAGGAGAGCTCGATGGCGAACTCGAAAAGGATAATCGCTACAGCACATAGAAATACATCGTCGTTCGTCCACTACTCGTGACTTTTCATTAGCGTTACAACAGACGACAGCAGGCCTGGCAGGACAAGACCCCGTCGCCTGGCATGAAATACAGAATGCGTGAAGTTATAGTGGTGACAACAATGGCTGTATGCGATGCGAGCGAGCACGAGAGGACCAGTGAAACAACAACAAGAGGAAGGAAACGGAATGAGAAAATACATATGTACATCTACATTTACTTCTTCTTGGCGGCCTTCTCGGCGGACTTGGTGACCTTGCCACCGGACTTGTCAGTCTTGTCGACCGACTTGATGATGCCGACGGCAACCGTCTGCCTCATGTCGCGGACAGCGAAACGACCAAGGGGCGGGTACTCGTTGTAGGACTCAACACACTGAGGACCAAGGTCAGAGGCATGACGGACAGTCAGATAGCGAAATCACATACCATCGGCTTGCTCGGGACGAGCTTGACGATGCAGGCGTCGCCGGACTTGACGAACTTGGGGCTCGCCTCGAGCGACTTACCCGTCCGGCGATCGATCTTCTCGAGCAGCTCGGCGAACTTGCAGGCAATGTGCGCGGTGTGGCAATCGAGAACGGGTGCGTAGCCAGCGCCGATCTGACCGGGGTGGTTGAGAACGATGACCTGGGCGTTGAAGGACGCCGCCTCCTTCGCGGGGTCGTTCTTGGAGTCAGACGCGACGTTGCCACGGCGGATGTCCTTGACGGAGACGTTCCTGAGATGATGGTCAGACACAACGATGGTCCAGAGTAGAGGAAAACGCACTTGACGTTGAACCCGACGTTGTCACCCGGCTTGCCCTCAGCGAGCTGCTCGTGGTGCATCTCGACGGACTTGACCTCAGTGGTGACGTTGGAGGGGGCGAAGGTGACGACCATGCCGGCCTTGATAATACCGGTCTCGACACGGCCGACGGGCACCGTCCCAATACCACCGATCTTGTAGACATCCTGGAGGGGGAGACGGAGGGGCTTGTCGGAGGGACGAACGGGGGGCTCGATGGCGTCGATGGCATCGAGGAGGGTCTTGCCCTTGACGACACCAGCCTTGGTCTCCTTGGTCCAGCCCTTGTACCACGGCATGCTGAAGGAAAGGTAAGCGACATGCGGGGGAAAAGTGGCATCGGGACGTACTTGGTGGACTCCTCCAGCATGTTGTCGCCGTGCCAGCCAGAGATCGGGACGAAAGCGACGGTCTTCGGGTTGTAGCCGACCTTCTTGATGAAGGTCGAGGTCTCCTTGACGATTTCGTTGAAACGGTCCTCGCTCCACTGTAGAGCATATAAGCCTGAGTCGATGACGGGGTATTTGCTGTCGTATGCTTACCTTGGTCGTGTCCATCTTGTTGACGGCGACGATGAGCTGACGGACACCGAGGGTGAAGGCAAGGAGAGCGTGCTCGCGGGTCTGGCCATCCTTGGAGATACCGGCCTCGAATTCACCAGTGCCACCGGCGATGATGAGGATAGCGCAGTCAGCCTGGGAGGTACCGGTGATCATGTTCTTGATGAAGTCACGGTGACCCGGGGCGTCGATAACCTAGCGATCGGTTAGTTTTCTGTGAGCGATCGATGAGGAAAAGGCGACGTACGGTGACCATGTACTTCGGGGTCTCGAACTTCCAGAGGGCGATATCAATGGTGATACCACGCTCACGCTCAGCCTTGAGCTTGTCAAGCACCCACGCTGAGGAAAAAGTCAGCGATGGGCATCGATGATGGGGTAAATCGGGACGTACCATACTTGAAGGAACCCTTGCCGAGCTCAGCGGCCTCCTTCTCGAACTTCTCGATCGTACGCTTGTCGATACCACCGCACTTGTAGATGAGATGGCCGGTGGTGGTCGACTTGCCGGAGTCGACGTGACCGATGACTGCGATGATCGTGAGCGCGAGTGGTGAGGAGATGGAGACGATGGTACGCACCGACGACGTTAACGTGGAGCTTCTCCTTTCCCATTTTGAGTGTTTTCTAAGTGAGATTGTCAGTAAACTAGATCGCACAAGATCTCGCGCGGGGAAGCGACGATGAGGGCGCCGTTCGCGAGGCAGATGATGAGAGATGGGGCGTAGGCGATGTGTGCAAAGGCGATGAGAGGAAGTTTGAACTTACTTGGTAGTGGTGGAGGGGGAAGAGTGAGAGACGAGAGGAAGATGAGGGTTGAGAGAAAGACGGACGCGCACCGTCGGCCCTTATTTATCGTCCTCTGAAATAAAATTTTTGATCGATGTTATCGGTCACGCTAATGGACAATCAGTCACGTCCGTGACACTGACTGTGGCACTGCCGGGTACTCGCTGTACCCCGCCATCCATTCGTTCCCGCTGCCCCTTGCCCACAACCCTGCCGGATCTTCGTGTCGCGCAAATTTCATTAGGATTACATGCATTTTATCTGGTACTTTCTACACGACGAGGGAATGATACAACGACTGGTGCAAAGATAAATAGCATAAACTACAGGCGAGCAGCGAGGGATGGGACTGCGCGAGATACAATGATGAGTCGCCGATGAGATGGACATCGAGCGCCCATCGATGGGGGTTGGAAGCGTGCCCGTCTGCGGCTTACAGTGGCGATGCGGAGATGAGATCGAAGGAAGAAACGGAGGTAAGGAAGAAACCGTGATGCGTTAGGCGCCCCAGCCGGAGCCGCCGCTTAGAAAGCGGCTTTGCAGGATTCGCTCAAAAGTTGGTCGTGCGCCTACTTCCACCTGTAGGCACTCGCGGACGAGAGCAGCTGCATCTCCAAGTGCGCCTCCACCATCCGGCTCCAGCCCCTCCTTGGCGTTGTCGTCGCCGCATCTATCCTCAAGCGCGATAGACGCCTTTGCGAACGGCGACCGGAGCCCCTCCTGCGCCTCAGCCGCATTTTCGAACGGGCATTCTCCAACAAGCAGAACGTACGCGACGACGCCGAACGCCCACACGTCTTGTTCTTTTCCGAAATATCGCTCGCCGCGAAGAATCTCGGGGCCAGCATAATCCAGACTAAAGTTGAGTCAATTCGCATGCATCTGACAGAGCGTGCGGGACTCACGTTCCACTGAAAGTGTCCCATCCGCTCTTCTTCACCAAGCCAGAGCTTCCAAAGTCGATGAGGATGCACCGTCCATGAGGACCAAGAACGACGTTCTCGTCCTTCACATCACGGTGAACTACGCGTAAGCTTGGTCAGAAATCCGTGCAAATGGTTTGGCCGTGCTCGTACCTATCCCGTGCGAGTGAAGAAATGAGAGGGCGTCCGCAATTTGACCCAAGTAAGTCCTTACAGAACTTGGAGGGAGACCCTGCGGGTAGCTCTCCACGAGGTCGAAAAGATCAGACGGTGGGTGTGGCTCTCCTGGTTTGACCGCCGGGGTCGACGAAGGTAGCAAAAGGTAGTAGTAGTGGCTGTCCTCGAAGTAGTCGAGGAGAGGACATATGTTCGGATGCCCCTTCACAACTTTCCCAGCAATCCAGTCGTCATCGAGGGCTTCTGGGTCCAATCTCCCGGGATGCCATGGACGACGAGGGGGAAGAGTGTAAGATGTGTGGGAGATGGCGGACATGACATAGATTTCGATGGGGATGGTGCCGTACTTCGGGTGCCTCTTCCAGCAGTCGGCAAGGATGCGCGACTTGATCACCTGCTTGATGACAATGGGGGGCTGCACCTGGGGTCAGCGCGGATAAGAAACGGAGTGCGTTGTACGTACACCAAGTGAACCATCAGGCAAAATCTCCCTTGCTCGCTTTACCAGACCGTACGCTCCACGCCCTATCTCGCCTTCGATGTGGAACTCATCGATAGTGCGGTTGCCGGGCGAGACCTGCTCGTCCGTTGGAGATGGTGCGCGAGTGGACGCTGCACTGAGCCGACTGGACTGACTGTCTGTACGGCGTAGACTCGGGGGAAGACTTGGCGGCGGAGATGGCGGCGGTTCGATGGGTGCGATCGACACGCGCCCGGCGATCAAGGAGACCCGCTGCTGAGAATTCCGTCGACTGTTGGGACGTGGCGTAGTCGGGGTGCGAGATAAGGGCGGTCGAGAAGGTTGGGGCATGGCGATGGCCAATGGCGATGCAGAGCGGGAGTGAGCTGGCGAGGAGAAATAGCTTTGTGGCTCCGACGAAAGCGCCATCGGCGACAAAGATATGGTGGTAGGTGAAGAGGACGTGTTGGTTACAGAGCGCATGACCTTTGAAGGATCTGGGGGAAACATGGGCGACAGCTATGGCATGCATTGGAGTACGCTACGCACCAGTCAGCTTCTGTGGCGAGGGCTCAGCGATTTTGAGCTTGGCCTCGGGAGCTCGTGCCGGGGCCGCCGCCCTTTCGTCGCCATCCTCGTTTTCGTCCCAGTCGAAGCCTCGGCCTATAGAGGTGACCTTGTAGCTGCCAACGCTCGAAGCGCGATAGAGCCTGCCGTAGGTGGGCGACTTCCAATCATCCGAATCGTCGAAAGTGAGGTCGAAGGCGGACGACGTCGAGAGCATACGAAAATTGAGGCGAAGATCTCTGACAAGGCAGGTGGCACAGGATGTCCAAACAGAGTGCCGGCGTCGAGTAGATGGTGGTTGAGACTCAGAAGAGCTGAGTGGAGCAAAGACCGTCTTTTGGTAATCTAAGCCGACATCACAAGCACGTGTGATGGACTCTGTTTCTCTCTTCCGCTCGCGTCCGCGCTCCTTGGGGTTTCCTGGTTCCGACCTGCATTCTTGCCGTTTGTTTAGCACCGTCATGGATTTTTGCTGGCGCGAGGTGCTGTAATCGACAGCGCAAGATACCATCATATAGGCTCGCTTTGTTCTGGTCCTGGTCCACGTGGCTCTAGCACATTCCAATTTCTACGCCCGCTCATTTGACCCGCCGCCTGCAATTCAAGGCACCCGCAAAACCCGCCTCGTCAAGTACGTCAAGTCGAGGCTGTGCACATAGTCCGGCCGACGGGCCGCTCAACAACGCGCGCCAAGCGTGCATTTATATCGCGAGCTGGCCGGACGCAGGCAGTAAATTCACGTACTCTAGCGGCATCGAGGGAATATGCTTGGCCCCGTGAGGATGTAGGGTCGCTCTGCGGTCAGTCCTCGATGAGCATATCGGCATGCGATAGCGCCGTCGCAAGAGCAACTGTAGGTTGTAGACGTTATAGCCAACCCGGCCACTGCCGCATACCTCCGTTGTGCCTTCGTTATGCTGTTCGCCCTTGTATCATGAATCAAGCCTCGTGCTGTGTCGTGTCGCTGAAGACATGTTCACGACGGCGCGACGCAGATTCAGAAGCAGGCGTATGTCCATAATCGCCTCATCGACCCGCTATACTTTATCGGCATAAGGGGTTGTACATTTGCGAGCCGATTGCAGTGTGCTTCTAGTGAAGAGGGTGTGAGGTCCCATGCACTCCCCTGCGCAGACCTCTCGAGTATGTATGTTTTCTGAGCTTCAGGACAAGATATTCGGGTGTCGGTCGAAGTTCAACTTTTGTCACATCCCGTGACCTGTGACTAGTGACATCTATGGAGGACCGCACCGCAAGTACGCGACAGTCGTCCGCCCTCAAGAAAACGGTGAGTACGCACGCCCCTCCGCTGTATGTACGCCGTAGCGCTGCTCCCGCGTCGTCCTACTGTCCGAATCCATGTCTTTTCGGCGTATTTGGCCCAGGAATGCGTTGGATGGACTTGACGGAGCCAGGATGACGATTGCCCCCAAAAGTTACCCAGGAATCATTTTCTGATCGTCTCTTCTCTCCAGCCTCCGCCATGGCCGTCAAGATCCCCATCGTCAAGAAGCGCACGAACAAGTTCAAGTGCGTATGGATAATGCCTTGAGAAGCGCTTTCGCTGACCATACTCAAATAGGCGCCACCAGTCGGATCGCTACCACTCGGTGAAGGAGGCATGGAGGAAGCCTAAGGGTATCGACAACAGGGTCCGGCGCCGCTTCAAGGGCCAGACGGCCATGCCCAAGGTGCGTTGCATGCTGCGTTCGCGTCTGATCAATCCTGACCTTACCCTCAGATCGGTTACGGCAGCAACAAGAAGGTACTTCACAGCTGCTTTGTCCCTTCCTCGCACACCCTCACCCTCTTTCTGTAGACCCGGCATGTGCTCCCGAACGGCCTGAAGAAGTTCCTGGTCAGCAACACCCGGGAGGTGGACCTGCTCTTGATGCACAACCAGAGCTACGCGGCCGAGATCGCCCACAACGTCTCTTCCCGCAACCGGACTGCGATCCTCGAGCGGTATGTTGCCTTCACTTCCATGTATGTATCACTGCTCAATTGATCGATAGCGCGAAGGTGCTCGGCGTCAAGGTCACCAACTCGGCTGCCCGCCTCCGGTCAGAGGAGTAAAATCGTCGCATGCTCGTATTTCTGCCGCGCTTTCCTCTCATATATCATCATGTATTGCATATGCCGGAGCAATCCACCCATGCGACTATGCCACCATCCGCATCTTTTAGCATGAACGCTGTGTGGCCCACTGGATCTTCATGTTCACAAACCCCCCATTGACCGCGAGTTTCAAGCGTGTTTAATTATGAGGTGGTCCTTCGTGGGGTAGCCCATGAGAGATAGAATAGACATCAGGGTGTCGCGTATAGTACCATCTCTGAGCATCATTGTGGCCCTATCGATGGGCCAACTCTCGCAGACGCGCTGGCAGCTCGATGATTACGGCAGACAATCAGTGACTCAGAAATGTGACTGCCCCAGCGTCACTGAGCTTGTGGTCGTCTATTTCTACCAGTCACCATCGTCTTCAGCGCTTGCATCCAGTGCCTCAATATGTCTTGGTCCAGATCTCGGTGCGTTCAGTCACACTGACAATGCTGGCATGAACTTATCCGTGACAGACAGAAGGATATTCGGGCGGCAAGCCATGCTGGATCATGGTATACGAACGATGGTAGAATCTCGTGCAAGCGCCCGAGTCACGTTCGACTACTGACGTGTACAAGGCGATGAGCTGAATGAGCGGCTCGATGCATGGCTAGCCGCAGTAGAACCAACGGAGGACGCGTATCCTATCAAGGGTTCCAAGGCCGTCATCGCACCGTACGCCTTACCCTGCTTCTCTGCGTATACTATGCATGATTAATGGTATCGAAGTCATGCTGGATACTCCTACTCAGGCCCAGCAGCAGCTTGGGCGTACAAGAGCATTGACACGACTGGAATGTCTGTGTCCGTATTCGTGGCGTTCGTCGAGTGGTCTGACGCTTTACATGACAGCAAGAGGGTCTTCGTACTTGGGCCATCGCACCATATCTACCTGGATGGATGCGCATTATCCAGGTGCAAGGAGTATGCGACACCCATCGGGAATCTTCCGCTTGATTTGGATGGTAAGTAGGCGCCGCTCGTCGCACACATTGTCTGACAGGCTGGCGAAGCTATCAAAGAATTGGGGAATACAGGAAAATTCGAGTATCTAGATATCAACGATGACGAGGCGGAACATAGTCTTGAGATGCACCTCCCCTACGTTCGCAAGATTTTCCAAGGGTGAGATTGATTTCCCTTGTCGTTATAGGTACTGAGGAGGTTTAGGGACATCCGCATCGTACCTATTATGGTCGGCGCCATCAATGAGCGCACAGAGAAGGAGTTCGGCGCCCTTCTCGCGCCGTACCTCGCGCAGCCAGACACATTCTGTGTCGTATCCAGTGATTTCTGCCACTGGTAGGTATGATACTACCGTATCTCCCGCCGTCGCTCAGAAACACCTAGGGGCACTCGCTTCCAGTACACGTTCTACTACCCTTCTCCTACCGCTGAGTCGGGCTTGAGGCTCTCGCGCAGCGAACCACCCTCTCAGGACCATCCGATTCACGAGTCAATCACTCGTCTCGATCGCGAGGCGATGGACATTCTCACCATCCCTCCTGGGAAAGCATCCACAGCGCACCCAGAATTTGCACGGTACCTCTCGCGAACCAAGAACACCATTTGTGGCCGCCATCCCATCGGTGTGCTCTTTGGCGCCATTGCTAAACTTGAGGAGACCCAAGGGACGGAAGCCACGGTCAAATGGGTCCGATACGAGCATAGCAGCGAGTGCGAAACCATACGGGACTCGAGCGTTAGCTATGCTAGCGCATGGGCTACATTTTGAGGGAAAGAGATAGAATGCTGTTATCCACAAATGTACATCTATACGTGTATTTCTAGATCTAGGCTGTTTACAGATTACTCGACTGAGATGCCTTGTCTAGCTGACAACCGACAGGGAAATCGGCATCGTTTTCGGTGCCGGGTATCCCTTGGTCGATCGTCTTAAAAAGGGTCAGCAATGGTCGGGCGTGTCTGTAGTGAGAGACCGAATCTCACCATGCCATCGCGCACTTCCACATCCTGGAAACCCCACTCACGGTCGGCACCCTTCTCCATGTGAGCGCCATCCGCCCGCTTCGTCGCCTTGAATTTTCCGACCGCACCCTGGCTAGTGTCTTCTCCAGGCTTCCTCTCCAGCTCGGACAGCGTGCAGCAGCCAACGCGGAACTCCTTGGTGCGGTCGCCCTCCAGCTCGTGAATGAGCGCGATTATAGTCGCGGCGTGGCTGACGAGGAGAATCCTCTGGTGCTTGTTTTTCCAGCGACGGTCTACCTCTGGTAGGAGCGCATTCAAGAAGCCACCACAACGGTCGTGCACTTCGGAAAGGCTTTCGCCCTTGCGCGAGGGGTACCATATTGTCTCCCAGCCTTCTGGGTCGATCTCAGGGAAATGCGCCTTCAACGACTCTGCGGAGCCGGGGCGAGGGTGCAATCCCGAGCCCGGCCTAGCGGGGGAATACCATTCAGCCAAGCCTGTTGATCTGCTTTCTCAGTATCCGTCTTCGTAATCCAAGCGTCGTCACAAAGAGACGTACCGTGTTCTACATAAATAGGCAGACCGAGTGCTTTCGCGATGGGCTGTACGGTCTGCAGGCAGCGATCTGGCGACAGCAAGTATTCAGACGATGTTCACTATTGAATGCCCTTGAGACTTACAATACGGGGACGAGAAAATGAGAGTTGGTCGCTCGTCCTCGGGGAGGCTGGCGAAGTACCTTGCGGTCTCTTCTGCCTGGGTCTAAAATACGTCGGTCAGACAAACGTTTCGGTTAATGACGTACAAGGCAAGCATACCACACCGTACGCTGCCAGAGGGGTATCTCTCGGGAGGCCAGTCTCACTCTTCCTGTTCAGTCAGTCGTATACGGCCCATTCAATAAGACGAAATAGCATACTGACCAGTTGTTAGTGATCCAACTCAATCTGAACCCTTGTGCACACTTCAGCCACAGAATATGGTCGTAAAAACATGATACTGACCATGTCGGACTATGTAGATCTTGTCGACCATGATGACGGTAGGACAAGAGAACAATGACTGGACGTTCCCACGCTAACATGAATGGGTGATTGTCTGGGTCCCTTCCGAAAAGTCCACAAGAGATTGTTGAGACGACGGAGAGCATTACTATTCACTAGTGCTGTGCAAGCTGATGTACAGTTACAAGAGGCAAGAAAGCGCAGAGGAAATTATGTATCGACAGGCAGTCGTGTACGGTATCAACAAGACGTCTAAAAGTAACGGATAAAAGTATGGAGTGTCCACAAACTAGGCAACCGATGCTTTCTTCTTGGTGGAGCGGCTGCGCGCCGCACCGCTAGAGGGGCATTCGCTAGATAGCCTCGACACGTCGCGTCCGTCCGTGCCGTTCGGTGAGTGCTGGGCCTCGAGTAGGTCTTCCAGGCGCTGACGCAGAGCTCGCTCGCGCGTTGCAAGGTTCGACAATGCGGCGCGCTTGCTGTTCTTCTCGATGAGCAGCTCCGTCTCGCGCGTGTCGGCCCAGCTACAACTGCTCAGCAAACGACGCATGGTGTCCACAAAAATATACGTACCCAGCATGGCGGGTGCACTTCTGGATGTCGCACCACCAATCCTGCTGTTGCTGGTCCCCTTCCTCGTCGTCCTCATAACTGTCCCAGACATCGTCGGCCATGGCCATCCAGTCATCATCTCCGAAGCACATCCGCATGTCCCAGCCGCAGATATGCTTGTGCTCACTCTGCAGTCGACTTTGCCGCCCGATGGCCAAGTCCAGGAGCTTCTCCCGGTACCGGACCACCTCCATGCCGCGCTCTAGATTCTCGCGAAGGTTGGCAATCTCGTCGAGAGCTTTGGTGAGGTGTTGAATGTCGCGCTCGGCCTTCGGAACGACGGGCTTGATGACCTCCGTCTTGCATAGAGGCGGCTCGGTAGGCTTCTCCTGCACCTGCTCCACCCGCATGACAACTCCCTCGCTGCGATCGGCGTGCTTCAGACTGTCCCAGAGCTTGCCAGCATTCCCGCCGCTACGCTCCCAGTTCTCGATGCGCGCCCTCATGCACTGGACACCGCATTCATCGGAACAGTATTTCGAAAAGGCGCCGCGAGCAGGCTTGTGGCATGCGGATGGTGAGTTCGGATGGGGATGTCGAAGACCGTTGAGGCATCGTTGCTTGTACGTGGTACGCAGGTTGAGTTTAGGGTGCTCTTGAAATAGATTAGTCGCCTCGCCTCGCTGAATGCGTCAAGCACTCACTTTTGATACAGAGCGGGCAGATGAATTGGTCGATCAACTCGACTTCCTGGTCTGACAGGTCCACACACATGGTATGGTACCAGTCGTCACATCTGGGGAATTAGATTCAGTTTGACACTTGCTGTAGACACGCTTCACGCACCTGTCACACGCTATCATATTCAAGGTCTCGTCGTACGTCGTCCGACAGATACAGTACAGGCGGTCATCGTCCTCCTCCTTGTGCTCTTCTTCCTTGCGACGATCCTTGGCGTCGTCGGCCTTCTTCTCCTTTTCCGCAGGCGTCGCAGAGGCCGATCGTGAATGCGCGGCCACCGCTGCAGCAGCAGCGGCAGCTGCAGCACCTGCACCCTTCTTGTGACTTTTCTTAGGAGGGGGAGGAGGAGGCGTGCCCGCGGGGGGCTCGGAAGACCGAGGCCCATCATCGACCTTGCGAGCTTTGGACTTGGAGCCAGACTTTGCTTTGGCTTTATGGGATTGCGAGGCTTCTCCCGCAGCCTTGGACCTCGACGAAGAGCCCTAGAAGAGATGAGCACTGGTATCGCACGGCAGGTAGCAGGATACGCACCTTCTTACTGCGTGACTTTGACGCCGTCGACTCTGCAGGCTTCTTCCCACCCGTCGCCTTCTTGACCGGCGGGGGCGGCATCGATGCCCGATCCTCTTCCTCCTTCGCCGTCGAAGGCAGGGACACGACTCGCGGCAAGGCCGGCGGGCGTGGTGCAGGGGAGTGAGACCGCTTTCCGTGAGATGGTTGCGTCGACGGTGCTCGCGCATGGTGAGAAGGCTTGGCGACGTCCTTGTCCTCGACCAAGCTCATCAGCTCGTCGTCAACGTCGTTCTCGGGCGTAGGGTCGGGCGCGACAAGGTCCTCCAACTCCTTGTCCACGTCCATGGCGTCTGCAATATGAACCGGAGTTGGTACGCTATCGAGCTCCCTCTCGAGATCAAGAAGCGCATCCTCTTCGTCGTCAGCGGTACGCGATCGGACGGACTCTGCGCGCTTGCTCTTGCTGCGCTTGCCGGCAGTTGACGATGCTCGCTTCGCTGACCGCGAGGGCTTATCGTCTTCCGGCGGGGAAAACTTCATCCTCTTGGCTGGTGGGCTGAGGGAGCGCTGGTGGCCTGTCGTCTCCTCCGCCTGCTCCAGCAACCACTCGTCGGCGTCGTCGGGGGACGGGCCGGTCGAACCGACGTCGCGCGAGACCGATCGGTGCTCGGTGCTCATTTGCGTGTGCGACGAGCGCGAGCGTCCAGACGAGATGAGACGCGGAGCAGACATCGTCGGTGGTGTGCCTTGCGAGATGGAGCGGCGCATAGCATCATGACCGTGGGAATGCGTCGCCGACGGCGGAGAGATCATCCTCGCTTGCGCAACGGGTGGCTTCGAGCTCGGCGGCGCGCGGCGCGTGTCGACGGGGATGGGTGACGGGTTGGGTGTTGCGGATGCGGTGACTCGTGAAAGGGTCGGGGGAGGGAGGTCCACGTCCATTGATACATCTTCGTGTTTCACAGCGCCGCGTCGGGGCGGCATGTCAGCGGCGTCGGTGCCCTCGCTCCCACCGCTGTCGCGTCGGGCGTTGGCAATCGCGCGACCTGCTTTGCTTCCGGGGGGCGGGCGCGACGCGGTCGTGAGCTGGACCGGACGAGGGTGGTCGTGAGCGTGGTGGTGGTTGTGCTGATGACTGTCGGAAGTCGACGACGGTTCAGACTGGGGCGGGTGCTGACGCGAATGATGGCGCGCATGTGGTTGATTGGGACCCTGCACGCTGGAAGATGAATGATTTTGGACAGCGTGTGGCTCTTGCCCGGAGGAAAGACGACGGTGTCCGTGCTCTTCGAGGGGACGCGGCGTTGATGAAGAAGTTTGAGGGACGACACGAGGGGCGGCGGGAGACAGGGAGTCAATATGTCGATCATGCGTGTGTCGACCGTGAGATGTCGGCCGCACACCCTCCGCCTTTAGGTTCGCCTCTGCGTTGCCGGATTGTGGCGGTACCTCGCTGGTGGACATGCGCGCTTCCCGAACTCTTTGCTCCTCCATTGCACGCAACCTCATCTCTTGTTCCTTGACTCGCGCCTCGCGTGCGGCCAATTCGCGCTCCTTCATCAGTACTTGCTCCTGCACGATCCTCTCCCTATCTCGTTCCATTGCTCGGACTCGCTCTCGTTCCATCATTTGCCTTTCCAGACGTCCTCGTTCAAGCTCGCCTTGATCGTATGCCAAGCCTCTGGACGCCGGAAGCTGGCGCGAGTTTGTGGGGGACAGGGAGAGGCGGCTTTGATGATGCAGCTCAGGCATGCGCTGGATCGTCGGTGGCGCCTCGGAATTGGCATGGGGATGACCGAGAGAAGGGTTCATGATCTGGCGTTGAATTTGCATTGGAGGGGGCTGCTGACGCATGTCGAACTCGAAGGGCTGATCTCGTCGATGCTGTCTGGAGGACGATTCGCGGCTGGCGAGCGCGTCGAGGGTAATGACCTGCTCTTCGATCAGTGACATATACCACCTAGAATACATCAGGCACACACCTTATCGCCATGCTTACTGGCCGCCAACTCCTGTGGAAGACGATGATGGGCCTGCTGCATAGCGTAGGCAGCTAGCTCCTTCTCTCGTCTCCTTTCCTCATCCATGCGGCGTCTCTCCATTCCCCTGCGTTCCGCTTCCCGCTGAATCCGCTCTTGTTCATGTTCCCGATCGTGCATGAGCAGATCAAGCCCACGGCCGGGGCCAACCGTGATAGGCGGTGGGAGAGGGGGTGAGCCATGGGAGCCATGCGAAGACACGGATTGCGAATGGCGACGCTTCTGGGGCACGCTTAGGGGGGATAGCTGCATCTCGGGGTCGCCTACGCGATAAGGCTGACCGGCATGTATTGGGTCTGAGCCGTTGGTGGTCATGGGGTAGGGCGGTGGGCCAAGGGGGACGGTCATCGTCCGCGGCGATATAGAGGCGTTCATGCTGTTCGCGTAGGCGTCGCGTGGGAAGACGTCGGTCGGGGAACGCGAGGGCGGCGATTGCGCATACGATGTCGATGAGCTGGACGAGCGTGCGCGGCTGTTGAGTTCGCGCTGCTGATGATGCCGGAAGATGGCCTGCTCTTGGCGTCGCTCCTCGCTCGAGACGTGATCGGCAAGGGCGTGCAAATGATGCGAGCGTGAGGCCCCCTCCCCAGAAGTACGCCTTCGTTGCCCGTGCGGGCCAAAATCCGACGTATCCATCCTTCTCCGCTCCTCGGACGCGGCAACAAGGGCGTCCAGACCGAATGCCTGGCCCTGAGCCATCATGACGGAGGGCGATGTTGGGCCACTCTGCGGCGGGCGCATGAAGACGGGGCTCTGTCGCTGGGAATGTTGGGACGAAGAGCTAGAGGACATTGGACGCGACAACGGCGGGCGGGTGGCTATCTCGGGAGAGCGCGTGGCGTACGGATGGGTGCTGGACGTCGAGCTCGACGAGGAGGGACGGATGGCGGCGGCATCGGAGGGGAAGTTGTGGGTCTTGCGCAGGTGGGGCGCGAGGATGACTGGTTCTGGGACGACGGGCTCCTTCGGTGGCTTGGGTATGTCCTCGGCGGGGGGATCGCTGCATAGAAGGTCGTTGATGGATATGCGTTTGTTAGACATTGTGGATGGGGGGCGGGAGCGGCGGGGGCAGCCGCAGAGATGTTCGACGTCGGCGGCGGCGTCGGTGGAGGAGACAAGGAGTGAAACAGCCGGGGGCGAGGGACGCGTGCCGGGTTGACAACGGAGGACGATCAGCGGAAGGTTCGGCGGAGGTGTGGCGAGAGATGAAATCCGCTCGCCGTCCATCTTCACATGTCTCTCGTCCGCGTTCCCACCGCTATCCTCGCCTCTCCGCCCCAGGGCGATCATCTCCTGCTGTCAGCTCTTCCATACTGCCCGCCCAGAAGCTATCTACGGCCCGGCGCCCCATCCGCGAGAAAATCCACAGAAGTCCACCAGCATCTTCCCCGCCGACGTTCGCCACGTTCCCGACGCCTCCTCGGTCCCGCCCCCAGCCAGCAGAGGCCCGCGTTCTTCCAGCCCGCTTCCGTGCCTTACACGCGGACCCACAGTCGTGCGTATGTGTCCTCTATGCAAGATCGGATGAGCCTCCCGCACCGATAGCAAGAAGTACCCATGCCTCAACGTGCCCTCCACGGGCTTCCCCCCGCCAGCCCGGTCTTCTCCACCTCCAACTGCTTCCTCCATCAGCGCCCGGCGCTCGCATCTCTCTCTCGGCCGGCTCTCCTTCACTTGCGCAGCCATACAGAGGTCATGGCGGCGTCATCTCGGATCGACACTCATGTTCTCCCTCACAACCTCTATAGCCCTATACTGCAATCACCACAACTTGAAGACAGCCCTGCGGGCACCACTTCTCAGCTCACTATCTACGCGTCGACGTCGCCCTCACACACAGTAGTCCCCTCGTCAGCGGCCCTCTGGCGATTGACTCTGGCGGCGAACGTCGGATTGACAGGGACGATCCCTCCCCCCTCCGCCCTGACAGGGTGCTTACGAAGCCCTTCATGAAGAGGTTCCTCGGCAACGTGGTGAACGGGGAACCTCTGGCGTCAACTCCATACGGCCGCGCCCGTCAATGTGCTCTACTTTTGCCTATCTTCTTCATCCACTGCCCATCGACGGCCAGGCGCAGCCGAGGGGGCTGTTGCTGTACTAGCATAACAGATGTAGGGCAGTCGTATATGGACTCTGTGCACGAAGCCATCGAGTGAAGTCGGCTAGCAGGACGCCTCGATCACACCAGTGTCAGCTGGACCGCGGACATGATGGCGGGCATTGGCCGCACGACGCAACACGTGTTCTGAGCTGCGCTTCCTTACCCCTTTCGCACCCATTTTCCCTTCCGACGGGCAGACGACGCAGGCGGCGCCATTGACGAGGATTCTGGTAGCCAACTGGTAGCTCTTCGACTGCCTCGGGCGACGGGCAGCGCATGGACATGACGTCGAGCTTACGCTTGCGCGACCGCTGCAACCTCAGAGATGATCGCATCTGGATCATCTTGTCGTGACCAACTCAGATTGCGACTGATTGCAGCCGCTGGTTGGCCGCCGGCTCAGCTCGTACTTCCCCGCCTCCGCAGAGTCCGCACCGATGGAGTCTGCATGGAGCCGCCATCGATGTTCGACTCTGATCAATACCAAACAACGCGGTCGCGCGCGACGACGGACCTCGGACCTCGGGCGATATGGGTTCAAGACTGCGCGTCACACTATCCATGAAGCATGCAAAATGTTGTGTAGGAAGCGTAGGTCAGTGCAAAGCAAGCGTATAGGTACAAGTACAATGGCGTCGTTAACGTACAAAGCGTCGTACACAGCTCGTATCCAGTAATGCAGTCGTCGTCTCTCGTCTAGCGTCATCAGGCCTTCTCGCCGATGACCACCTCCTCTTCCTGCACGCTGCCCTTCTCGTTGCTCCTCGTCGCCGGGTCCTGCGGCCGCGGCGGCACATCGTCGGCGAGCATCGCGTCGTCGCGACCGGCACCCTCCTCAAAGGCAGGCTTGTGCTGCTCGAAGTGCGATCCGTGGTTTTCGGGGCCAATGATGGTGATGAAGAGCACGAACGCGGCGACGCAGCCGATGAAGATGCCCTGCACGGTCGCGTAGTCGGGGATGTCCTTCCATTCGCCATCCACCAAGAGCGTTGTCCTCATGTTCTTGCCACCAGTCGCCTCGATCTGCGAGCTCGCAGATGAAACCATCTGTAACAACAGTCAGCATGCTTGTTGAACGAGATATATAAAGGTACGCACGTTACCGAGCTGGTAGGCAACACCGGGGAAGGTAGCACGGAACGCAGGCGGCGACATCTCCGAGAGCTGGATCGGGATGACACCCCATGCACCCTGCACACCGACTGTGAACAATATGTAAGCCCTTGAACCGATGTAGACCGCTACGGATGGACTTACACTGCATGCAGAACGCGCCAGCGGCAAGCCCGGAGAAGTTGTCAGGCAGAATCCAGACGGGAATGAAGGCTAGAGGGTCCGAGTCAGCTGCGTTCACGCCGCAGGCGAGAGTGGCGTACCTCCGATCATGAGGACGAAGATGACAATGGTCAGCCGGCGTCCAATGTACTGAGAGACATATCCAGCTAGAGCGCCACCTGCAATGGTCAAGTCAGTATGGTCTCATGCTTTGTCTACCGCACAATACGCACCTGCGATGGCACCGCAGTTGCCGATAATGGTGGCGACGGTAGCTTGGTGGGTGGTGAAGCCCTTAGAGTCCTCGAGGTACGTCGGGTACAAGTCCTGAGAGCCGTGCGAGAGGAAGTTGAAGCCTGAGGCAGTCGTCAGCGAATGTCCGGTTATATTGTCGTAGTGAACTCACCAGTCATGAGCAAGACGGCGTAGATGCAGAGGAGCCAGTGAGTCTTCAGCATCTCCCATGTCTCGTGCAGGAAGACCTTCGTCTTGTTCGTCGTCGTCTTGCCCTTCGCCCGCTCGACCTCCTTCGCGCGCAGAAAGACGGCACTCTCCGGGAGAAGGGCACGGACGGCGGCGGCGAAGAACGAGATGCCGGACGCCGTCCAGAAGAGGGCGCGCCAGCCCGCGGGAACGTCAGGGACGAGGCCGAGGTTGATACAAGCGGCGAGCAGATAACCGACAGCGTAGCCCTGCTGCAGGATACCCGACCCAAGACCACGCGCCTCGACAGGAAGGTTCTCGAGGGCGGTGGATGCTGCCAAACCCCAGATGCCACCCATGCCGATACCGAAGAGGGACCGGACACCGAGGAAGGCCTCGTAGGAGTTGACGAACCCGGCGCCCAGCTCGAGCACGGCGACGACGATGAGGTTGATGACGAGCGGCCACTTGCGACCGAAACGGTCAGAGATGATACCGAACAAGACGGCGCCGACGCTTCGCAGGAGCAACGTCAGGGTTATCGCTTGTGTCTGGAAAATCGATGGCGGTCAGGAAAATTCTGGGCGGAGGGGAGGGGGAAGGTACGCACGATATCCTCCGTGTCGCGTTCGAAAAGCTCGGACAGCGGCTTGACCGAGAGTGATACGGAGAAGAAATCTAGAGAACACAGTGAGTCCGATGGCAATCGCGCGAGGGGGGGAGCGACTAACCAATAGCGTCGCATGTCCATGCTAACCAACTGATGGGCAAGAGTCAATGACTCGGACGATCTCGACGACGAGCAGACGCACCCCGAGAAGAACATGGCCCATTGGATGGCAGTGAGCTCCGAGAGCACCTGAAGGAGCGGGCGCTGCGATTCGCGCTTTTCCCGACGGGGGACGAGGTTCCTCAGGAAGTACGGTGCCATGGTGGGGAGGCAGACAGCAGGACGGGCGCTATCACGGCACCTCCAGATGAACGAGGATATTTATACCTTCGGAGTCTCGAAATGGATTGGTCGTATTTTCGTGGGTGAGCTCGCGATGACATTTGAGCAGAACTGTGCTTCCTACCCCACATCACGATCAATCTGGCAATTCAGTAATCGCAACCGTGTGCGGCGGGCGAAGATATACCAATACCTCATCGGGGGCGCCCCGCTCCCGCAATGGAACTGCGCGCCAAAAATACGACGTCCCGAGGCGGACATAGGGACATGGTTAAGCGGCGAAACAAGGAGATGTTATCGGCCTAAACGATAGAGAAAACTGCTCCCGTCTGCCGGCTCGGGCGGCATCTGGAGACAAACCGCGAGCAAGCGCCCAGGGGAAAAGTTGGGGAAATTCAACATAGGTCCCGTGAGCGAGTGGTTGCCCGTGGGGAAACCAAATATCTGTCCTTGGCATCAACCATACCCCGCAACGCGCCGCGTCCTTTCAACGCGGTTGTATGCCTGCCAGATCCGTGCACTCCTCGCATTCATCGGTGTCTGGTGGCCATGGGCAACTGTAGGCCATGCCAAGGCGCTGTTGAGCTCTTCTTCCCATCGCCATGATGATTTCTTTCCGCTCAGAAAATCCTACTGCGAAGGACTCATCTTGGGATGTGCGACGCCAAGCCAGAAGGGATGGGCTTCGAGTATAGCGTACCCACCCCGCACGTAGAGTCCACTTATGGAAGGACTTATTGCAGAGAGACGGCTGGCAGCCTCTCAGGCCGTGCTTATATAGCGGACGACGCCACCCACATTGAAAGGCATCTGGGAAGCTAACCTGCAAAATAGCGGTTTCTTAATTGGCTTAGCGCGGTTTTTAACCCGTGTTCTAAATATAGGCCACAATACCTGCTCCGAAAACGATCAAGTGACTTGCCACTGGCCAGGAACGCTGACCCCCGCTCCAGCTCCCCGTGTGCTCGCACACTCTAATGTGGGCGGCCTTTCTTGACTCGCAACCACCCTACATCATATGGCATGCTCTTGAGGTCTGCCAAGCTCCCCATTCTACCAATGTTCAGGTCTTCTAGGTCAGGACGTCGGCGAACTGCGTCTCCAGGCTGACCCTTGCTGCTTGGAAGAGCTGAGGAGATGGCGTTGCGTCGGAGAGCCGGTCGAGCAGATGATCCGTTGACAAAGGAGCTGGCGTCGTAAATCCGCAAAAAAGGGTCTGTATTTCGTGACTGGTTTATCTGGATATGCTACATACAGACCCTCTGTGTAGCACATCTCGCCAACGACCTCCATTCCGGCGTCAATCCATACCTTTCCCGCGACCCAAATGAACAACGGATACTTCACACCTGCTACCACAATTTCGCGTATGTTCTTGCGCGCTGAGCGGCGCTAGATACCAATGTCCGTGTCGGGCTTCCGTAAGGAACGTCGCATGCGCTATCCCCTTGAGCGAGGCGGCGAAGCTCGCACTCACCTTACGTGGGGACCGCGACAGGGCGCACATCATGGTCAAGTCGCGTATTTGTGTTTGCGTTCGCACCTTGAAAGAGCCGCAAACTGGAATAGGGTGGGATCCATATAGCCTGTAAAACATAGCGCCTTCGCCAGCGCGGTTATCGCTTGTCTGGACCGACCATGCTGAGCGCCAGCTTAGCCGCACGGAACGAACACCAGAAATATCTCGATCGATGATAAACTGGCTGTTGAGGGTGAAGGCGTGTTGTTAGTGACCCTAGTCATCTTCGGGGTCGCAGTCGTCCGGCGCGTGCATCGCGCGACCGTCAGAGAAAGAACACCTTCGTTACGATGAGCGCAGCAAGTTTTGGAGCCGACCACTTGAATCGGAGAGCAGTCGGTCGAAACCGATAGCGGGCAGGGCGTTGTGAACTAGCGGAGAGTATCCGACCCCGCGCCTCTACGTGGTGTCTTGACTAAGACGATGCGGATTCATACCGAGTTGACCGAGGGGTATCTGGGGCTTGATGGCAGCCTGTAAGCTTTCCCGTATCGCTCAAGCTCCTGCCTACCATGCTTGTCAGGAAACTTCAGCCTCAAATCAAGCCTCGCCAACAGGTCACTTGTGGTAGAGAAGCGGTAGAAGGGCGGACGTAGGGTGACCGCGTGCAAACGGATCACTGCAAGGCTACGGACCTGCATGAAGAGGTGCTTCGACGCACGGCGACGTTGTTCTCGATATAGATAGTGCTCAATAGAAGCAAGGACGGACAGAGATAGAACTTCGAAAGCAGAGACGAGTATAGATCGTCTAAGTGTAGCCAGCAGCTGATGGAGTGTTGTCGGAGGAATTGCGATCCTCAAGCTGAGGACACGGCGGGGCCGAGACTTGGAAGATGCACTTCAGTGAAGAGCGCCTTGGTAAGGGAATGCATAGTAGAAGCTTGGGGAAGAGCTCGTGGCGTGCCTTCACGCATGCATGCATAGAGAGTCAAGTGTAGATGAGGCGAAAGGCAGCACAGATGGGCACGGTAGGTAGGTGGGGCAACGTGGGCAGAAGCAAGCCGGCCAAAACACAGCGATCAATGAATGAAGCGCCATCGGGATTTGCCGAGGCTGCAGTCATGCCGAAGTCACGCCGATGTTCAACTTCCTTTTCCCCTCTATCACAACATCCCATTCATCGCCTCCCCCATCGCGCTGGCTAATCCTTGCGGCGCTTCTTCCGCTGCACTCTACATGATGATGCTCCTGAGTTATACCTTTCTGCCTGCCCGGAAGGTCAGCGCCTGCCGTTGGTTCATCGAAGGCCCGAGCCCTCGTCAGGTGAGCCCTCGCGACTGATTTCGTGCCGCTCAGAGGAACCCCGTCTACGCATCTACCCTGCCAAAAAAACCCTTGTGCCGAGTATCCATGGTCTACTTGCTCTTGATCTTGCCATTTTTGATATTGTACTGGACTCGCGACGATTTTCAAGAGCGTACATGAGGACGACACTGCTCCTCTGGGAGAATGCTTATCGTCCAGAGTCTGCTGTTCGCCAGGTTTCAGACTGTCGAAGAAGCAAAGAAGATCGGGGAAAGTCATGGAATGGCAACCATGCCCCTCCGCCTAACCTATCCTCTTGACTAGACTCGTGGCTTTTGCGTGGATGCAAGACGCTCTCGCCTGTTGTCCAAGGTGGCTCTGCGTGCCTACTTCTCGCGGGGGAATCGGCCGCCGCGCTTCTCCCATGCAATCTGCCCCTCGTCTAGACGGAAGAGACTCTTCCGACGCCGTACAACCTCCCGTCCGCCTCGCTCAGCAGCGTTCTTGGCAGCTGCACCGACCGACGACAGATCGACATGACCGTGTGTACCTCTCTGAAGGCTTACTCGCCCCCGTCTTACGCCTCATTCGCACGGCCCCGTCATATCGTATACATTGCCCTACCTTGCTCGCGTCTTCCTGGGCAGCTGACGCGTCGGAACAATGCTTCAAGCTCTGATACCCCCTAGTCCAGAACCCTCTTGCCTTTGCCGTTTACCCAGCCGAACTTCAACATCTGCAGAACGCGCGCTGAATCATACCATCGATGGATGACTCCACCAATGGCGAAGTATATATAATCTGTATGCCTCGGTCCCGCCACACTTTCAGGTTCTTCTTCCTTCTCCCACTCGCAGACCCTTCTGGCAAACCGCAAGCGATGTGCGAACACGAATGGTAAGGGCGTCCGCGCTTGGAATACATGGTTCCGACCTCACGTATCTCGCTAATGCAGGATGGGAGACTATTACACGGCACAGCATTGTCATGTAGGTCGCCGCTCATATTGCGCTAGGGAATGGTGCTCATGGACACCATCTGTTTAGCACTTTCACCCGCGCCATCCGACAGGTAATGTAACCGATTGCGGCTCAGAGACGTGCTTGCGGAGCGCCAACCACAAGCACAAGAACGTACTGGATTGTGGGTGTACGGAGGTGAGGACCTCCAGCGCCTAGAAATACCAGATTATCTCAATTTTCCCCGCCCAAGGCGTACACTGTGCGCAACAGGATACAGAATACATTCCGGACGCGCTGTCCGCGCTGCGACCCACAAGCTCACCCACCAGAATTATGAGCACCAGTGCATCGCTTGCAGCACTATGCCCCTCTTATCGCTATCAGTTGTACAGCTACCATGCCGCCATACTCTCTTGTATACCCACCTAATCATGCAGCCGATGAGGCTTTCCTTCTCATATGCCACCTCACCAAGAGCACAAATAACATGGTGTCATGTTCACAAAGCCAGCTCATGAACATGGACGACACGACCTCGGTTCAATCAACACTAGGAAGTATGCGAAAGGGTATTTACGACGTGGGCAAGGCCGCTATTTGCGAGTAGTAGAACCCGTATGGCAAGCAAGCACGAAAGGTGCCTCGCGTAGACGAAAGAGTAAGTATGGTAACTGAGATCGACAGCTGAGCGTCCAGCGACGTAGGTAAGTCGACTTCCAAACGAATGTGAGACCAAGGAATGAGGACCCCCGCGACTGGGTGCGCGAATGGACCCGATCAGTAAAGTAACCAACAAGTAAAGCCGTCCGTATCGCCCTTAATTACACATCTCAACATCTCTAAAACCTGCTCCCGGCATTGTAGTCGTAGGCGGTCTGGTGGTGCAGCGGCACGTTCGCGTCGTAGCCGCGGTTGAAGCTCGGGCCACGGTGCAACGCCTCCTGCATGCTCGGTGACGGGCTCGGGCCGCGAGCGAGATCTGCGTAGCCGCCTACGGGCGCGAGGTGCGCCGCACCTGCCGTGAAGTCGTGATTCGGTACGGGCTGCAGGCCCGCGCGGCCGTGGTCGGCCATGTCGCCGTGGTCCATGCCAGAGTGGAAGGACGACGCAGAGGAGGCGGCGCGCTGGAGACCGGCGCTCGAGCTATCGTCGTTCATCGGCTGCCAGTCGATGGGCTGCATGCGCTGGTCGAACTGCTTGGAGCGGCCGAACTTCCACTTGCGGAAGACGGTCCAGATGATGAAGACACCACCGACGGACGCAGCGATAATGATCATGACCGTGACTGCGGTGCTCTTCTTAGCCGTGTTACCGGACTGCTCGAGCGGGACGGAGGCGGTCTCTTCCGAGGCAGAGGAGGTAGCAGTCTGCGTGACAGTCTTCTTGCTCGAGTTGGCCGTGTCCGTGATGATGACGACCTCATCGCTCGTCGCATCGGTCGTTTGAGGGGCTTCCGTAGTCGAAGACGAAGACGTGGTAGAGGAAGAAGTCGTAGAAGGCGAAGAGGAGGAAGACGAAGATGACGACGAGGAGGATGAGGAAGAGGAGGAGGTCGCGGATGAAGAAGTCGAAGCCGAAGTGCTGGTCGTGGAAGCGGACGTGGATGAGCTGCTCGTGGACTACAGCTCAAGTTAGTTCAGAAGTCACGAATATGCGCAGATTTGAACGTACCGTGGAAGTAGCGCTGGTAGAGGTAGACGTACTAGTCGAGGTCTTCGACGTAGATGTCGCGCTGGTGGTCGTGGCAGCTTTCGTGGTCGCCTCCTCGTCCGCCTCCGAAGTCGTCGCTGCTGCGGTCGAGACAGCCGCCTTAGTGGGGTCCTCCCCAGCCCCGAGGAGCTGAGGGGAGCGCTTCCTGAGGACCCGGTTTAGGTTCTCATGGTCCCTGCGGTGCGCGACGCCCGAGTTGGCTTCGGCCGGGTTGAAGGCGAGGAAGAGAGTGAGGATAAGAAGGAGCGTGAGGGAGACTTTGTTGGGCTTTGTGATCAACATTATGGATTTGGGTGTCGGGTCCAGAGAACGCGCAGTTGGCTTGGATGCCGGCCTCAAATGAGCAGGTCTGGGGTAGACGGTCAGTGGGATGTCCCCTCCCTCTCGCTGTCGCACTCACTGGCTTTATGCGTCCAGAAGAGGCGCCGACGGGGAAATCTAAGCGGCAGAGGAGACGGCGACGAGGAAAACCTGCGGATGATGATCTGGGCGCTGGTCAGAGTGCAACTTGACAACAAGATTGATTCCCACGCCGAGCTGCCACCCTCTTTTCCAAATTCATTCTCGCTGCCATCAATCAACATCCCCTGGAGCAGGGCGGGCGCGCAGCAGCCAAGTTCGGGCCAAGACCCATTCTGCCGGTGTCGAGCGGCTCGTATAGTTGTACAGACACTACAGGCGCGCAAATCCAGGTTGTAAACGTGAATAGAGTACTACTAGTCGTAAGAAACAAGAATAGTCCGTGGGGTCACAGTCAAAGTGTCAGCCCTGCGCCAGTAGTACTATAGTAGGTATGTGGGGGTTACTTGTGACTGTCTAGAGACCAGTCGTCCAAGTTCACGCTACTCGGCGTCACAAAGTCACTATCCGACATCCCGTCCCACTGCGGGTTCATGAGCATCTCCAGCGTGTACTGACCGGCGTCAAGCTCGACGCAAAGCACAGTGACACCCGGGTTCTCCTGGTCGGGAGCAGGAGGGGTCGGGTCCGAGTCGAGACGCTTGGCCTCCATCGTCGTGAACTTCGCACCGGATGGCGGGTTGAGCATAGAGATCTTCATCGTCTTTCCGTCGAGCTCCAAGGTCGCGGACGTGCCATCGCTGTCGATATTGACGGTGGCGTTCGTGTGCGCCCTCCACATGACGGAGCCAGAGGCATCAATCTCATCACGGATAAGCACCTGGCGACGCTTGTTCAAGAGGCGGATACCGCGCTTCATCGTCGTCCTGCGACCGAGTGAGCAGATATACAGGAAATTCCAGGAAGAACACTCACACGTCGTTGTAAGCCGAGGTCATGTCCATGGTGAAGTACGCCGTTGAGTCGTCGTCGAGCTCGAGGACGGTGCTGGAACCCTGCTTCGTGCCGGACGTGTCGTACTTGATGGTCGGCGAAGCGGTGACAAGCTGGTTCGCGGCACCAATGAGCATGGTGTTCTGACCCTCCGTCATCTTGCGGTAGTACTTCCAGCGGTCGCTATCCTGCTCGTCGTTGGAGAAGTAGTTCGGAGACAGGTAGTCGCCGGACCCGAGCTCGCCGAACCAGCGCGTGCCCAATGCATCGACGACGAAGTCACCGACGTCAAGGTCGTTGTGCGTCTGGTGACCCTGGTTCTTGCCGGCCTTCATGGCGACATACAGCGCATTGGAATCCGTCCAGCTGCTGCGCATCGACGCCCACTGATCCAGCTCGTTGTCGAAGAACATGTCGAGCGCAAGGTCGTTCCAGAACGCACCCGAGATGCTCGGGTCATACCAGAACATGCTCCACGGCTCGGCCGTATCGTGCTGGTCGCGCTGGAAGAGGGAGTAGACGGGTTGCTGGTACTTCTGAGCGTAGAAGTGCAGGGCATTCGCGGTCGCCGTGAACTTGTTCGGACCGTGATCGCCGTAGTTGAACAGCGACGTGGCACCGGTCACGTACATGTGGAAGAGACCGGTCTTGTAGTAGTCGGGGTTCGTGTCGAGCATACCGTAGTCATCACCCGTGGCGGAGATGAGGGCAGCGGTCATCTCGGCGTGGCCGGTGTTACCGAAGTACCAATAGTTGGCGGTCTCCGCCCATGTGCCATCGCTGGAGGGGGCGTTCACGCAGTTCTGTTTGGCGTTGTCGACCGTGTGACCGAGCAGGGCCTCGGCGGTACCAGTAGTGTCATCACCAAGGATGGCGAGGGAACCAAGCGTAAGACCACCGTTACAGACACAGTTCCAGTTGCCCTCCGTGTTCTTCTGCCACCAGCCGTAGTAGTTGCTTGAGTCCGTGTACGTGTCCAGACCAGGCTGCAGCCCGTACGTGATCAACCAGTCCCGGATCTGAGACTTCTGGTCGTCCGTCCACATGTCGTACATCCAGTCGTAAGCGATACCGAAGGCGGCGGACATCTCGGCCGTGTCGAGGAAATGGGAGGGATTCCACTTGCTGGAGTTGTTGCCCTCACCCCAGGTGTCGGATGCGGCGTTCTGGGGCGCAAGTCAGCTCTTATCTAACAAGGTCCTGTGATGTGCATACCTCCAGCTCAGAATAGGTGCGGTCAACCCACTTGCTGTCGCCAGACATGTGGTAGGCGTAGGCAAAGGCCTTAACCCTCATCTTCACCTCACGGTTAACATCGAGCGCACCGCTGTCACCGTCGAGGTAGTACTTGACGGGTGGGGCGTCATAGTAGTCCGAGGCATTCCCGAAGATGGTATCGTTCCAAGACTTCAGATATACATCCTGCTGAATGAGATCCGGGAGCGCATCGATCATGTACTTGGGGGCGATGAGGCGCGGGCGATCATCGCGGACGGTAGTGACAGAGGGGCTGGAAGGCTTCCAGGAGTCCTCCGGCCATTTCAACTTGCTGGACGCCTGGAAGGTGGGAGTGGTGAAGGCGGCGTCATTGGTCTGCAAAACGATGAGACATCAGCATAGCCACTTGGCATGCGCAGTGGGCATGTCGTACCGTCGATGGGTACACCGGCATCATGTACTCGCTGTTCGTCGCAGTAGCGAAGATGCCGACATCGTTCTTCGCAGAGACGGCGGCGCTCGCAGCGGCGGAGCTATCGCTGCTGGCGGCTTCGCTGTCCTTGTTGGACGCACGACTGCCGAGAACACCACCGAGGACGGCGGCGACAATGATGATGACGGCGACGGGTATGCCAATCTTGACCCATTTGCTGGTGCCCTTCTTGCTGGGGGCGTTGTGGGGGGTGATATAGCCGGTCGATTCGTTGTAGTAGGGGTCTCCGGAGCCATAGGGCGAAGCGCCTTGACCACCGCTGTGGATGGAGTCGTAATTCGCCGGCATGGCGGGCGAAGAGACGAAGAAGAACTAAACGAAGGGCGGTGACGGATCGGAGCGAGAGAGAAAAAGTGTACAAGGCGGGCGCTGCACAAGCAGCGGCGGCGGACGAAGATGGGCGTTGGGGAAGGGATTGTTTTCGCCCGCGCTGTCGTGACAACCCGTCGTCACGCGCGCCAATTATATTCACACCCTATGTTTAGCAGCCGCCTGCTCCAGCCTCCAGGCGCGGCCAGCGGTGTCCGATTATTGATTGCGACGCCTCGACATCAAGCGCAACGAGCAACGATGAGTCTCATTCACTTCAGCTATTGTCCCCCGTACAGCTAGACTGGCTACGCCTCCCTCACAAAGACCGCCGCCGCACCCATCCCCGTCCCAATGCACATCGATGTCACCAACACCCGCTGTCCCCTGCGGTCAAGCTCGTTCAGCCCGGTCGCGATTTGCCGCGCGCCTGTGCAGCCGAGCGGATGCCCGAGGGCGATAGCGCCCCCATTGACGTTCAGTTTGTCAAGCGGGATACCCAACTTCTTCTGAACGTATACGCACTGCGAAGCGAACGCCTCGTTCACCTGCGACACGTCAGCTCAAGGCCAAACCTCATGCGAAACGATTCACCTCGAACAAGTCGACATCGTTCAGGGTGATGCCCGCCTTCTCGAGAACCATCGGAATGGCAAACACGGGGCCAATGCCCATGATGCGCGGGGGAACGCCGGCCACGCTGGTCGAAATGTGCTTCGCGATGATCTTCAGCCCCAACTCCTCGGCCTTGCGCCTTGTCATGAGGAGCACAGCGGCGGCGCCATCAGTAATTTGGCTTGCTAGAAGAAGTAGGTATGAGGACAAGTGGGAAAAACCATTCGTGACACAACGCATACCATTGCCACCCGTCGTAGCGCCGTTCCCCCACTGAGGGAACGCAGACCTGATCTTGGCAAGGTTCTCCTTCGTTGTGCCATACCGAATCCCGTCATCCTGCGAGACGACCTTCTGCACGCGTGCCCCTGTCGCCGAGTCCTTGCTGAACACCGTGAAGGGCACGATCTCCTTGGCAAAGTACCCAGCCTTCTGGGCATGCTCCGCACGCTGAAAGGACAGCGCGGCGAACTCATCTTGCTCATCTCGAGTTATGTTGAACTCCGCGGCGACGTTCTCGCTCGTCCAGCCCATGGGCTTCGGGCAGTCCGCGGCCTCTGTGTTCTGCGAAATGAGCTCGCTCTGCGGCGGACCGCCCTTGTCGGGGTTGTCGGTCATGGACTCAACGCCCACAGCAAGCCCTATGTCAATCTGGCCTGCACGAATTTGGTTCGCAATGGCCGTGACTGACATGAGACCGCTGGAGCAGAAGCGGTTGACGTGCGAGATGGGGACAGTGTTGGGAATGCCTGCAGCCAGTGCGGCGGAACGCGCCTGGTACAGAGCATCTTGAGTGAGGACAGTGCCGACAGAGATGTCGCCTATGAGAGCAGGGTCGATGCCAGATTGAGCAATGGATGCCTTGGGGAGTAAAGTGAGTGCAGCCCTCCCCACGGGGAATGGGCCCGCGCACCTTGAAGATCTCAAGCATAAGCTCGTCTGTCCTGTTGCACGGTTAGCACAAGGAATGCGAGCCATATCCTGGGCACATACCGCGCGTCCTTGAAGCCCCCCTTCCTGGCCTTGCATAATGGTGACCGAATGGCCATCGTGATGCAGATATCGTCGGCGCTCTTGCGCTCGAGTGCCGTCACACCAGAGCCCACCCCAAGCTGAGCTGCAAATTGCTTGACGCGTTCCATGGCGGTCTCAGAGAGGTTGTGAGAGGCGTAGGTAATCGCGCGCGAAGCTAAGTAGCTCCGGTCCGCTTGTGAAGGAAGCCGGTGTTTGGGAATGGGCGATCATTCAGTGTTCAGGTGACCATGTTATCGACGGCCACCTGCGCGCGCGTTGTTGTCCACGTTCATTGTTGTAGGGGGGAAGTATCGGTGAGCTTGCGGACCCATCTGCAGACCGAAGTTCAAGTCCAAGTTGCAGCTCGGGACGCGTTCAATGCCATGCACGTGCTGATCACAACTTCAACTTCAACTTGAAAACAATGTTTTTCATGGTCTTCGCGGCAAGCCAAGCTCAATCTGCTACATCTCAGCACGGTAACTACGTCATCAATTCCTCCTCTGCCCTTGTCAACCGCCCTACTTCTGGCTTTGAAGGAGAACATGAGCTCCGTCACGTGGGTTGCCCCGGACGCGTCCGGCTGGAGAGTGGGAGAACCAGTGCACCGCTGTGCGCAATGGTCACGATGGTAGACGCTCCCGGTATGATGCGAGGGACGAAGGAATGGGACGTGGAAGGCACGCCAAACGGCCAAGCCGATGCGTTTCTCTGCAGGTCCGTCGTCGTCGTTGAAGCGGCTGCTCGGAATCGTCGCCATTGTCCTCAAACATTTCTGGACGGCGCTGAACATTGGACTGTCCCTGCAGACGTCACCGCTGTGGCCCGCGGACGCCCGACGGGGCCGAGTGACATACGGGGGAGGCCGACTGACCGGTCATATCGATGAAGGGCGACCCAACTACCTGGTGCTTGGGTCAGACTGCGCATTCGTGCCCGCTCATACGCCGACCATCATGCAGCAAGCGGAGGGGGCTGGCGTCGCGTTTTCCGACGACGAGCAGCACTCCGGACGACGAGAGACATCTAGGCGGGATTCATTATGGCTCGGAGGCGGAAGTGGGCCGATCCGAGGCAGCGGAACGGAGGTCGGACCCCGGAGCGCCACAATTCATGAGGGAAACCTTGCTGCGAATAAACACGCCCGCTCTTCTGGGTTCCTCTCGCTCACATCGTCCCTCACCAGATGCTTGGTACCGCCAGCGCATAGCACCCCTTGCTCCCGACCGCCATGGCCTCTGTCGACCCAGAAGCCCGTGCTTCCTCTCCCGACCAGGAATCGCGCCCACAGCAGTCAGCGTTGACCCGGAGACTGAAAACTGCCGCGGGTTTTGTGCGCGTCCACGTCAAGAAGCACGTCGGCGTTGGGACAGTCTGCGCGGTAGCCTACTTCGATCCGTGCGTGGTCTGACCGTCGTACAGCTCGAGGGATGTAGCTAACTGAATTCAGGGGCAATTGGGGCGTTGATCTTGAAGCAGGCAGCAAGTATGGCTACAGGCTGCTATTCGTCATCCTTCTCGCCGGGATATTCGCGGTGTTCCTGCAGGTGTGTAGTCCTCCAATTGCGTATCTCCATCATACTGAGCAGTTTCCAGGTTCTCGGAAGTAGGTTAGGATGCGTCACTGGCCTCGGTATGCGTATTGTTTCATCACCCTCGGCGCACTCGCTCACCCAACCCCTAGACCTGGCCGCGCACTGCCGCCTCCTGCTGTACAAACGCACGAAGCGACCGCGCCTTGTGCGATGGTTGACGCTCTACCCTCTCTACGTCATCTCAGAGGTCGCCATCATCGCTACCGACCTTGCAGAGCTGCTCGGATCAGCTATAGCCCTCTGCCTTCTGTTCCCAAAGCTCGAGCTTTGGCATGGCGTACTCATAACTGCCTTCGACGTAATCATCCTTCTCGCCTTGAAGGACCCCCTGGGTGCCAAACCTGTTCGGCCCTTCGAGCTTCTCATAGCAGCCTTGGTATGGCGCAATCACTGATCCCCTTCAATCTACTGACTCGACTCAGGTGCTTGCTGTTCTTATATGCCTTCTGATCGTCATCGCATCGGTCGAGATAAACTGGGGGACCGCCTTCAAAGGCTTCATCCCGTCCAAGTATGTCATTCAGAATGGCGCTTTATACACTTGTGAGTTAGTTTCCTCGCTTCCTAGGTGCGCAATCTTATGCCCGTCCTAGCTGTCGGTATTCTCGGCGCAACAGTCATGCCTCATAGCCTTTTCCTGGGGTCTGCACTCGCAACCCAAGACCGTGTATCGCCGCCGAAGCCAACACTCAGTACGGAATCGCTCGATGACATTGACTCCGTCACGCCTCCTTCTCAACGCCCATCTACATTACGAAGCCTATACAAGAAATCGCAACAATGGATTGTAGCGTCTTTCCGCGCGCCACCTCCGAACGCATCATCGTCCAACGCCAAATGTCATGCTGATCACGAAAATCATTCTCTCCCTTTCATCAAAGCACACCTGTATCATGGTACCGCCGACATCATTGGTAGCCTTTTGGGCTTCGCTGTATTGATAAATTCTCTGTAAGTCTTGACGGTTTACCTGACTGAATGACGATGCTAACGTTTGGATAGTATTCTCGTTCTCGCAAGCGCTGTTTTCTTCTACGGTTCAGGGAGAGACGCGACGGGCAACAAGGACCCTGCTGGTCTCTTCGACGCGTACGACCTGATTCGCGATCTTGTGGGCAAGCCTGCCGCCACTTTGTTCGCGATAGCCCTTCTTGCGGCTGGTCAGGTCAGTGGATCGCATCCTTATCAAGCTCCCTCATATTCACAAAAGCTGTGCAGAGCTCCTCAATCATCGCCACCGTCGCAGGTCAAGCCGTCTCAGAAGGTTTCCTTCGTTGGCGGGTCTCAGTAAGTTCTTCCATCCTCGGTGATCGAGAGTAAGACTGACGATCACGTCCATAGGCCGTCGTACGTCGGCTCTTGACACGGCTCATCGCCGTTATCCCCTCTATGATTGTCGCCGTCTCGCTTGGCCGGGATGGTGTTGACGATCTGCTGGTCGCCAGCCAAGTCGTCCTCTCCGTCTGCCTCCCGTTCATCTCCCTACCGCTCCTCTACCTCACCTCGTCGAAGGCTATCATGTCCATTCGCGAGCCCGTTTTACCTTCCGAGCCTGCTACGGTGACAGACGCGGAGGGTGGATTCCGCGTGGTGGACTTCAGCAACGGCATCATCGCGAAGGTCTTCGGCACGCTGGTCTGGCTCGTCGTGGTCATCGCCAACGTGTATGTGCTCGTCACTCTGTAAGGGGATGGCAGCCATGCGTCGAATCATCAGAGAAGTACGAGGGGGTGTACAAGTTGGCATCCGTGTTCTTGGACCTGAGTGTAGATGAAGGACGTTCCCGTTTCGAGTTACCCGTATCGTATCCTCGCATCCTGAGGTCACATATCCTACGCATATCTGTATCTCTTGTCGATGCTTTCCTGCACAAGCTAGTCACTATAGTACATCGTATCTCCATTGCAATCTTGGAATTATGCCTATTAGCCCTTGATCATTCGTGGCGATGGACGAGATTCCAACTTAGACGAACCGTGTGACGAGCGTGACGCACGGTACCGCTCTTCTCTTCAACTCTCATTGTGGTATGAGTCTGCGCGTACTTACATCATTGAAACCCATCCGACAGGTCGCTCGCAGTCTCCTTAGTGCTCGAAGCCGTATCCCCACAAAGCAAGGCTTTTCTGCAGTCAGGACCATGAGCTCGCAATTCAACTTCATAGGTCAGCCAATCCCGGCGCCTCTGTGATGAGCGCACCCAATGCTTATCCTGATATTGCACTAGACATTGGAGGTACACTTCAGATCGCTCAAATATACCGTCTTCGGCCCTCATTGTTTTCGTGCTACAGTAAACTTGACCGACCCGGTCTTTCGTGGACGATACCATGGCAAGCGCAAGCATGACGGTGAGCCAATTCGACGAAGACGAAGCTCCAACGCAGACTATCAACTATGTAGATGACTTCTCGTCCATGCTCGAGCGAGCTCGAGCAGCTGGTGTTCGAGGTTTGATCATCACCGGCGGCAGTTTGCACGAATCGCAGGAAGCCTTGGATCTCGCGCGAGCGCATGGTCAGTATTGTTTATTGTCCAATTATCCTTACAAATGATTCCCCCTGATCAATACAGGCTTGCATGCCACCGTGGGCTGTCACCCGACACGGTCGGCAGAGTTCGATAAATATAAGGCCGGTCCCGAGGGCTACCTGAAGGCGCTCGACGAGGTTCTGTCACAGAATACTAAGGGTAAAGGTCCTGCTGTCGCCGTAGGAGAATGTGGTTTGGGCAAGTGCATTCTTTGTTGTCAACTTGTGGGGGTGGGCACCACCCGCCACCGGATCCGGCATATTTGTACATGTTTATGCCGCGCCAACAAGTGGACTTCGGGTGTCCCCGAATCGTCGTCCGGCAGGTGCACAATGGAGGGGTCATATCGCTTACCTTTGTATGGCAAAGTTGTTCAGAATTGTATGATCTACGCTGTAATTTACTTGAACTACGCTCAGTTCATTAGAGACAGCATGCAATTACTCGACAAAATAGGTCAGACTCGTTCTTGTCTTCTCTCAGCAGTTCATAGTCAAAGTGCGCGTCGGACCGCCTTAAAAAAGTCCATGTTCCAAGATTGTGATATTTTGAAGCAGTTCTGATACTTTACCCACTGACGCGAAGCAGACTCACTCACGGGGAACCCAGAGAAGGGAGAGTCTATAGCAATATAGAACACGACAACAGCAGCCGAGGATGAGAGGTTATGAGCAGCAAACACCTTCGTGGGGTCCTTGTGATGCCTGTTTACGCGCACCGGGTGAGAAGACCTTTATATCTGATGCACGCGCCGCTGGACCGTCGAGGTCGAGGAATAGGCGGTCGTGTCACACATGTCACAGTGCTTTTTGGCCCATGCGTGACTGATCGCATTTCTCTATCTCCTCCGTCATTTCTTCGTCCCCTGGCTCGCAAAATAGCGCGTTCGGAAGCTACATAAAATATCTACATTCTGTCGTCGGATTCCAACAATAGCACTTCCAGAAGCCACAAAATTGAGAATCTAGGCTTCCTCCCAATGAAATACTAAAATTCGACGTGGGATTGTAGCTGTGATTCGCCGCTTGCCGACGCACCTTATCCGGAAGCGAGAGTCAGAGAACTGACGGAGGAGATACGGAAACACTGCGGAACGGGCGCCAAAGCGTGACCACAACATGTACAAATATGCCGGATCCGGTGGCGGGTGGTGCCCACCCCCATGTCAAGATTCCCGTCCGCTGAACGTCACCTGACGTAGACTACGACCGCCTGCACTTCGCGTCCCAGGAAGTTCAGCAGAAGCATTTCCGTGAATGATATCTTGGCATCGTTCGATGCTTTTTCCTAACTAGTTCGTCACCGTGCAGGATCCCAGCTGTCCCTCGCCAAGAAGCACGAGCTGCCGCTGTTCTTGCACTCGAGGGCTGCGCACGCCGATTTCGTTCGGATTCTTCGCGATGAAGGGTTTGGCGAGGATGGCGGAATTGCAGCGGGCGCCAGAGGAGGCGTGGTCCACAGCTTTACCGGCACCGAGCAAGAGGCGAAAGAGTTGGTGAGTGCCCCTGAGATTAAGTCAGAGTAGCGACCTTATACGGGAGTTCTGCAGATGGATATGGGATTTCACATCGGGTGCGGCACATTTGTGGCGACTGCCTGTGCGTTCTGACTGACAGTGCGGTAGTATCAATGGCTGCTCGCTGAAGACCGAGGCAAACCTGAAGGTCGCAAAATCTGTACCACTCGATAAGCTCATGCTGGAGACAGGTAAGTCTGGAGCATCAAATATGGATACCTTGCTAAGACAAAATTGTCACCACTAGATGCCCCTTGGTGCAGTTGCACATCCAGTCACGCCTCGAAAGGGCTTCTGGACACTCTTCCGACTGACCTACGCGACCTATACCTACCCGCTGCTACCAAGCCGGAGAAATTCCAAGCTGGCAAGCCAGTGAAAGGGAGGAACGAACCAACCGCCATCGGCGCGGTCGCTTGGGTGCTATGCCAGCTGCACAATGTGACCATGCAGGAGCTCAGCGAGCAGGTCTGGCAAAACACCATCAAGGTCTTCGACTTGCAAGGCCTGTAGGCCTGCGAATTCTACTTCCTTGCTATTGTACAACATATGCAAGTGGTGTACAGCAAACATACCGTGCTAGTTAGGATCCATCTCCAGTCGTTCGTAATGACGGGTGTCCTGCCATGGCCGCCACCACGATTTGTGGCGGCGCTCGCTGGTGACCTTCCGGGCCTCGCCGTTCTTGATGATTTGGTACCTGCGTCCTCTCCATTCCACCTCGCTGCCGAAGATCGCGAGGAGGTATATGGGGAAGGCGAGCGCCTCCCTCGCTACCCATCCAGCGAGGAATTCCCACCGCAACGAAGGCGGCAGCGGGTGCCCCGCTAGTGATGCGTAGACATCGAGATCGATGTATAGCCATGGCACATAATGGAAGAAGAACGTGAAGAAGGGATGTATGCCCAATAAGCGACGCAGGGTGAGGCATCCAATAAGACAGAGCATGAGCGACTCCGTTATTGGTTCGATGAGCGTCGCGGCGAAGACCATGTGCTTTCGAACACGTATCCAGCGTACGCGCCGCCAGATGTAGTCCGCGAGGGACATGTTGCCGACCACGTTCTTCGCCACGTCGCACGACATGTCGTGGCGCAGCCCCAGCTCGTGCCAAAGCGCGCTCGCGATCATGTTGTCCTCGGCGAGGAACCTGCCGAAGGCTGCTAGTCCGCATAGGCCTTGCTGACGCGCACTGGAATCCGTGTCTGCGTTCGGGATCGGACGCAGCGAGCCGTTGACGCGTTCCAGGTCGGACCGACGGTACAAGCAGGACTTTCCAACGACGCAGGAGTCTACTGCGACTGTGTTGATTGCGATGTACATTTTGGCATGGTTGGTGTTGAGGAATGCTTCCTCGATGCGCGAGCCAACGCATGATTCGGAGGAGACGGCGTAGGGGACGTGATGGACTACGCCTATGCGACGTTTTGGGACCTTGGAAGGGGGAGGTTCCAGGATATCGACAGCTCGCGCAAGGGTGCCAGGATCGGCCATAACACCTGAGTCTATGACCCACAGGATATCGTACGCGGCCTCGCGGTAGCCCTGCATGAGGTTGTTGACCTTCGGGTTGATGCCTACTTCATCATCGCTAGAGCCTGGCAAATCATGAGCGAGAGAAAGAGAGGGAAACGACAGGCGCACCGACAAGGATTCTGGCATTTACATGAGGATACTTAGAGAGCAAGTCGCGCACGACTGTCAGCGCTTGATCGTGCTCATTGTCGACGCAGAGCAGCAGCTCAAACTTCGGGTAGTCTTGCGTGAAGGTAGACTCGAGGTTTTCGTAGAGGTTTGTGTCCAGTCCCTTGAGGGGACGAAGGATGGAGACTCCGGGGACGGACGAGGTGGGAGCGGATGCTAGAGGCGAACGCGGTCGTATCCGGAAGCGCTTCCGACTGGTATAGCTCAGCGAATAGTGAAAAGGCTTGTAGAACTGACACTCACGCTGACATGCATCCCAAGACACTCAAAAACCATAGCGCGCCATACCAAACCAGTCCTACCACGGAGAGTACGGAGACCGCAAGCTCCCATTTAGACCCTTCAACTGGCAGGTCGGACATTTAGGAAGACATGGGGGAGAAGAGTTGGGTACGAGAAAGATGGCCTGTAAGCCCAGTAAGCAGGCCGTGAGTTCACGCGTCGGCGCGGTGGCGGAGAAGTCCAAATTGGGGCCGCGGCACGGCGCGGCTGGCGTGCTCGCCGCCGGCCAAGGTCGGCGAACGCCTCAAATGGCAGGCTTTTTGTGCTCATACTTCCAGGAATCCTGCACTGGCGGTTACACAAGCGTTCCGAGGGCAGCTCAACTAGGAGTATAGACAAAAAGCCGATCATCCACCCATATAGTAACCGAAACATCATACGAAAATACAACGATAGAGAGAATATACCGCTACAGAATTACATCCGACGAACCGTGGGCCATCGCTGACAGCACGTCTACTTGAGGAACGCGCCATTTGTTTCCTGCAGCAACAGCTCGTACTCTGTCTGGAACTACAGCGAAGCATAAGTCCTCTGCGTCGATGAAGACGGTAAAATTACCACTTACGTTTACATACATGTTCTCCCAATGCTGCAGCGTCTTCGCAGAAAATTCCGCGTCCTGAGGGTCGATCACCGTCTTCTTGAGCCCGCTGGCCGCGGCCGCCTCGACCATCAACTGAACCTTGCACATCCGGTCCAGTGCGGCGAACAGGTAGACAGACTCATCCACCGTCTTGCCAACTAGATAACCCGGTTCAGCGCCGGCCAACAACGTTCGTTATCTCGCGTACTTACGCGTCATGAGACCGTGGTTCTGGAGGATGCAGGTGTTGCGCTTAGGCCCGAGCGCTTGCGCGATGTTCTCTCCCTCTTCCTGCGCTAGGACGACGCCGCCAAAGTTGTTGTACACGGCCAAGTTGTCGTGGAAGAAGCAAGCGTCCTGCGTCAAGATATCGATGGGCTTCCCGAAGACGGACCACGCCTTGCCATTGACCGAGTGGCAGTGGGCAGCAGCCTTGACGTCTGGACGCGCCTTGTGTATGGCGCTGTCTACGCGACCGTCAACATTGCTTTGAACACAGGTGAGTTAGCACGTACGGATGTGGAAGCCAGAGGTGTTTATGGGAAGCTGAGCGCCATGAGGGGAGACGTAGCCGTCGGGTCCTACGAGGACGAGGTGGGATTTCTGCACAGAGGTAAGGGTACGCTACCGAGCACCTTTATGCCGCGGACTTACGGTGATAACAGAAAAGTGAACCGCGAAGGGGTTCATCCAATAATGATCAGGGAGAACCGGGTCGCGAACCGTGATATGACCAGAGACACCTTCGCCGAATCCAAGCTTGCCCCAGTAGCGGAAAGCAGCGGCCATATGAGCCTGAGCATGTAAAGTGAGTTGCCTGCGTTGAAGCTCGAGGGTGGTGACATACCTTGATCCACTCGCGCTCATCGTAGGGACTGTCGAATTTCGGCACGGACGCAAGCTCGATGGTGCCCTCCTTGTTTCCGCGCCACGCCCTGCGCAGGGGATTCTCGTCGAGACCGTTCAGGCTCTGGTGAAACTTGCTGTCGCTAACCATGACGGTGAGGACCAAGGTGCTGCTGGTCTCGAGCTCTCCATCCTCTGGCCTTATCAGCGACACTGGTCAGCGGTGTCGGCATTCTCAAAGTCGTCGAGGAGGCGCTTATCGAGGACAAGAGGCGGGCCGCTGGATTCCGACCCACTCGCTTTCCCCTTTCGGGCAAGCGCCTCGATCGTCGAGTCGGCTCGCCGCACACTCGCCGCGGCCCCGGCGCGCCCGCCGCTCGCTGCAGCACCCACAACGTCGATGCAGGCGCTTACAGGACACAACAAACGACGCGGGGATCCACAGTTTGGACGCTCTCCGTCGCCGCGACGCGCTACGATGACGGCCACACCGCTGATCCAAGCGCGGCCTCGGGCGGCAGGATCATCATATCCAGGGGGCAACCAGCTGAGGGGTTCGGAGTTCGACAAATGCCCTTTGCGTTGCAGAATCAAAGGTTGGCCCTGACTCCCTCCTGCGAGAACGTGTGGCGCTGCTGCCCGCCGATCCCCCTGTGATCATGAAGCTCTCCCGGTTGCGCATCGAGGCGGAGGATGCCCAGCTCGAGACGGGCTGCGATGGGGAGGTTATTCGATGCCAGCGGGATCTCCTTCCCGTTGCCCCCCTTCCCGATGGACCCCGCAAGTGGGGCACATTTCACCTGCTTGGGTACTGGATTGCTGAAGGCTTTGGTGCGATGGCTTTTATCAAGTCTCGTGCATGTCAAGCTGACGTTCCCCTTCTCTCTGGAACTTGACAGGCATCAGGTAAGGAGACATCGGACTCATCGTGGGTTTCCCTTTGTTCTGAACAATTTCCAGTCAATATCAGACCGCGTCCACCGCAGTAGCAAGCGGCCTCTCCCCCGGTGCTACTATTGGTGCAGTCTTCCTTGGACATGGTCTCGTCTGTAAGTCGTCGCAATCGAATCTGCTGCCAGAACTCATCCGTCGTAGCCATCGCATGCGCACTCAACGCCTGGGTGGGCGCCACATATGGCATCAATTTTCCCGTCTTCGCGCGCGCCTCCTTTGGCATCCGCGGCACCACCCTCGCCGTCCTCTGCAGAGCCGTCTCCGCTATCGTCTGGTTTGGCACCCAGAGCTATCAAGGTACGGGCGAAAACACGAGGTTCCTTCGACGCACCCATCGAATCATCTCTCTTACCCCGCTCGCAGGAGGACAATGCGTCGCGGTCATGATCTCTGCCATATGGCCCTCATTCAAGCGCTTTCCTAACCATCTGCCGGAGAGCGCACATGTCACCTCATCGCAGCTGCTGTGCTTCTTGTACGTGTGCACGAATCATAAGCGTCCCATGACGAGGCTTTGCTGACCCCGGAACGGCAGTCTATTCTATCTGATGCAGCTGCCGTGCCTCTATATCCACATCTCGAAACTGCGATACCTCTTCCTTTTCAAGGTCATGATCATGGTGCGTATGAGGGTTTTGCTATAGCTCAAGAGTTGGGATAAAGCTGTTTATAGCCAATATTTGGCCTCACGCTATGTGAGTTGTCCTCACCGTCCGAATTCCTCGCCCGCGTCTGATTTTTTTGTCAGTTGGCTGGGCTGTAGGTCGCGCGCACGGCTTTGGCCCCATCTTCAGCGAGGGAACTGCTTCGGGAAGCATACCTCCCGCAGTGATGTTCTTCTCCGCAATGACCTCTGCCATAGCCGGGAAGGCGACTTTGGCGCTCAATATCTGCGTGAGTCTAGGCCTTTCCCCCTGGCGCCTTCGATTCGTTAACTTGATGATCTTCAGGACTTTACTCGCTACGCGAAGTCGTCACGAACGGCGGCGCTGACGAACGTGTTCGCGCTCACCGTGCCTGTTACACTTTGTGTGTATGTGTTCAACAAGAAGTTCACCGCGTTACGTCGTGCTTACGCCCTCCTAGTATCCTCGGCGTTGTAGTCACCTCCGCCGCGCAAGTAATTTACGGCGTCAGCACCTGGAACCCCCTCCAAGTCTGCGAACTGTGGAACAACCGACCCGCCCAATTCTTCGCCGGCTTCTGCTGGGCCCTCTCCGTCCTCGTCACCAACATCTCGGCGAACTCGACGGCGGTGGGGAACGATCTGGCGATCCTATTCCCGAAGTACGTGAACATACGGCGCGGGCAGTATATCTGCGCGGTGCTGGCGGTTGCGACGTGCCCGTGGACTATACAGAACTCGGCGACTTCGTTTACGGCATTTCTGTGAGTGACTCGCTATCCAGGGCATCACTCAAGCTGATAATCCATGCAGCGGTGGCTATTCAATTTTCTTGGGCCCAATTTGTGGCATCATGCTCGCAGACTACGTGCGTACTACGCTTCTCCTTACGTTCATCGTACTCACACTCGATGCAGTTCATCCTTAGACGACGATATATGAATCTGACAGCTCTCTATCGCCAGGGGCCAGCGCCGTACTGGTAAGAGAGATCTAATGATGTTCGCTTCTCAGGCGCTAATACCCCTTCAGGTACTGGCACGGATTCAACTTCCGCGCCATCGCTGCCTTCGCCCTGGCCTTGATACCCAACCTACCAGGCTTCGTCGAAAAAGTGAACCATCACAACAATATACCCAAGGCGGCGACGTATATATTGTGAGTCGCGCCGCTTCGCCTGTTCACCTGTTCACCTCTTCGCCACTTCGCCGCACCTGTTACCGTCGCTTACCATGACCGTCAGTTCTTGCGTCTGGCCCGTCGGCGTGCTGGTCGGCGCCGCCTTATACCTGATCTTCAGCGCGATATGGACGCCGAGCGCGATCCCGCGACCACCGTCGCCTGCCGTGAGTCGGTGCGACTCGACGATTGTTGACGAAAAATGCGACGATGTGCACAAGTGTGTCGACGGCAGTTAGATGCACTAATTTCGCTCGGGAGGAAGTATATAGTGTACATGGTATATTGTAACGACAAGGGTATATAGGAATGGAGGGAAGAAGTCTCAATAATTGTTCGCGAGTTAGGTATGGTCTTTGGTTGGCTGGGTACCGGCTTGCTCCTTTATAGCCGCATTCCCATATTCAAAACCTTTCAATCCCAAGAGGATTGTCTGCCGGTCTCGCTCAGCCTCGACCATTTGGACAAACCGCTCAAGCGACATATCCTGGACATTCTTGACTTTGTCAGGGTATACTCCAAGGGTGCGTTCCTGAAAGAGAGTTTGGATGTCCTGAGTCACACGCTGCCTCCCATACTTGGTGCGATTCTCGCGATTGTTGCTGAACCAGACTTCAACCTGCTTGAGATTCCTGTATACATGTTTCATCTTCCGAGCAAGGGGTAGCAAGACCAGTCATCATACCTGCCGGTGGCGGCGGCAATGACCGCCATGTAAGTCCAGCATGTTTTGGGGGTGAGTCCGGAGAACACCCACTCGCAGACGTTGACTTGCAATTGGGTGGCCACGGGATTCTCTTTGGGGATCTTCGTGGCTGCCGCGATTAAGGCAGCGCCGAGGCGTTGCTGCTGCTCCCTGATGCCGTCCGGTCGCCTGCGTAATCGCGCTGAGCGTATACGGGCCAGCTGTTGTGCGGAAGGCTGGGTGTATCGTGTTCGGTGTGTGAAAGGGAAGAGGGTGCCTCTGTGACGAGGAGTTTCCTTGGTAGCTTTTGCATGAGATACACTCGCGCCCAGTGGCGTATACTGCACTGCCTGGTCCGACATCGTGAGAGGTGGGGAGATGACCGCGAGTAGGGCAGGATTAACGACGAGCGCTGCAGGTACAGTCGAGAGCGGGGTAAGGGGTAGACCCTTGATTAAAGTAGTGGCGGGGCGTGTATGGAGGAAACTGGGTGTTGAGTTCTGAGGATCGCTTTACCTGGCTATATATACGCGAGAGAATTTCTGTGGGCGTCAGTAATGAGGGCCTTTGCACGCATCGCATTGAATTGTGGGCAGTGCATAGAAGCAATGGTGGGCGCTTTTAGAAGAGAAGAATAGAAGCGTAGAAAAGGCAGTGCATGAACGAACAATTCTACCTGATTTGGCAAGAGAATGAAGTTCGTGAACAATTTGAAGTTGATTGACTGATGTGATGGGAGACACGTGGGCGACGAGTGAACGCCAGTGGCGCGAAAGCGACTTGAACCCGGACTCGACGCATCTTCGCCACGTCGGGCGTGTGAGCCATCATTACCCAGTTCTTATTCAGTAGAAGAAACGAAGCATCCCAAAAAGACTTACACCGCTCATGTCAAGGTTTGGGAAGACGTCGTACCAGAGGGTGGCGCACGGAAATTCTCCTGTGGCTAACCTCTTCCCCCTGGGTATTGGCACGAATTCACCCTCCGCATCATCGCCGCCTTCGTCCTGGAACCAATCTTAGTCCCGCAAGGCTTCGCGGAGGAGTAACGATATACCCAAGGCGGCGACATATATATTGTAAGTTGCACTAGTTCGCCTCTTTGCCACTTAACAATAGACGGCCTTGGTTTAACAATCATTCGCGCACTGATCAGCGCCGCTATACGCTTACTGTTCAGCACGGTTGAGATGTCGAGCGCGGTCCCGCGACCATCGTCGCCTGCCATGAGCCGTTCCGACTCGACGACTTGTTGACGAAATTGCGACGTGAACAAGCGTGTCGACAGCAGTCAGATGGCTCGAATCAGCGAATGACTTATAAATTGTAAGTGATATAGTGTAACTATATGTAAATAGGAGAGCAGGATAAATGAGGAAATGACACAATCAAATGTCCACGACCAGTCGAGAGTAGATGTTGAGCAGTAATATGAAAGTGAAGGAGGCCCTAAGGACGATACGCAAGGCGCTCCATGCAGTGCAGACAGCTGTTGACCGCTTGCATATCGTCAGAGTGCAAGGGTGCCGGCGGCCTCCTTTGAGGCTTTGTGATTCGGCACAAAGCCTTCCACACCCAAGAGGATCGTTTGACGGTCCCGCTCGGCTTCCACAAGCTGTATAAGCCGCTCGAGGGTCATCTCCTCAACAGCGCGAACTTTCTCGGGATATACACGGATAGCCTTTCCAGGCTCCAGAAACCAAGGCCGTGCAAGCCCGGTAACGCGCTGCTTGCCCTTGATTGTGCGAAACTCTCGATTATTATCTTTCCATGTCCAGAGTTTTCGGTAAGGCCTTTGAAAGGTTTCAGTCAAAATGGGCGAGGTATATCGTATAGCTCACGTACTGGTTGGTGGCCAAGCCCAAGATCACGACGTGAGCGTGGTCAAAGAATGGGGTGTAACCGGAGAATATGCTCTCGATGACCTTGAGATTCACCGGGCATTGGCGAAGCCCTTTGTCCTTAGTTTCTGGAATCATATTCACCGCGCGGCCCAAGCTGTTTAGCAGTTCCATCTGCTGCTGCCGTGTACAGGGCCGTCGATAAGCCAACTGCTGGCGCCGCATTTTGGCAGCGGTGATGGTCGAGCGGTGCGAAAAGCGGATCAATGTGCCCCTGGAAGAGTTATGTTCCTTGGTGGTGCCGGACAGCGACACGGAGGCACCCAGAGGTGTGTGTCGTACAGCGGGCTCAGTCGACATGGAAGATAGAATGGGGGTTGACACAACAGAGGCGTCCTTGAAAACGCCGAGAGACAACGAAGACGGTGTAGAGTGGCGAGGAGTGAGGAGCTAGTCGACGGAATCTTAGGTTTCTCTGCCTCTTTGCCCTTCCTATATATATGCGAGGAGGTTGCTGTGGGCGCAAGTGTAAAGGCCTTCACAAATAGTGGGCAGTGCATCAGGATTGCTAGAAGCCATTAGAAGAGAAGAATAGAAGCGCAGAAAAGGCAGTGAATGGACGGGCACTTCTACTTGATTTGGCAAGTGGATGGAGGTTGGGAGCAAGTTGAAGTTGATTGATCTGATGGGAAACACGTGGGTGACGAGAGAACGTCAATGGCGCGGAGGTTGTCTTGAACCTGGATTCGACGCGTCCTCGCCATGTCGGACGTGCGATCCGTCATCATCCAGTCCGTCTTCAACCGAAGGAACGCAGCAGGCAACCTAGAAGAGACCTACATCGCCCATGTCAAGGTCTGGGAAGACGCCGGACCGGAGGGTGGCGGACGGAAACCGCGATACATCTTGCTTTCCCGTACGTGAAATGGAGCGAGAGACGCGCAGCCTGAAGCTCAGAATGCAGAATCGAACAATGGGAGCGGGTTCATCCACAAGTCGAAGATGAACAACAATGGGACGTTTTCTGTGGGCAAGACATGGAGACTACCCGAGCTGCGCGGCGTCAATGTCATTAACGTGTGTATGCAACCTCATCATCCCCCACAGACATGCTGAACGGCCGTAGCCATCCAACTTCAGCATCACGCTGTCCAGAACGTATCGCTGGGAGACGGAAGATGCTCTCGAACAGCGGAACTTTGTCGAGGCGCTTGTACGGCTCTTCCACACGGTCACCAATGGACAGGCGCCTTTGCGTGTGGAGGGGATTGCTGTGCCGGAACAACCAGGTGCGCCTCTATCTTCCTCATTCTTCACGTTGATATTCACCCTTCACAGTCGCCGGACGACAACCGATCCAGAATGACTACTACATGGCACGCTCACCCTCCCCCAATGCTGTCCCGGCCCCAACACCATCTCGAAGAATGCGTGCGCCCACAGAACGTCAGCAAAGACCACAGACATCGGAACGCGATTACGATCAGGGCCAACGCATCCCCTCTCCCGCACCTCGCTCCCAATCGCGTGCCGGTCCATCCACCTCTCGACCTGCTTCTCCTGCCCAATCGAGCCGAAGTTATGGTCGACCTCCCGCTTCTTCGCGAAGACGGGACGAGTCTGTCTCACGCATGCGACCTCCCTCTCCCACCCACTCCACGACAAGTACAGCTTCGCGCCCCTCGCGTGCGCGTCCCCCGCCCGTATCGTCTTCGTCTGCTAATGCAGCGATGATGCCGCCACCACCTTCAACTACCAGAAGCACCTTCGCAACTCACCCCGCATCTTCTTCGAATTTGAGAACCTCGGACGTCACACAGCAGCGCTCTGTGAGCCAGGCTTCTTCGTTCGACGATCAGTCGATGCACAGCGTTCCGAACGGCTACCCCTCTTCCTTACGCCCGGGCGGAGGAGCGACATCACCCGCGCCAGAAACTCGTTCGCGAAAGCAGTCTAGCCGCTCAGCGGTCGACACACAGCCTCCTCCTCCACCAGCTGCTGAGCCCAGGTTACCTCCGCCACAAAAGGAGATCCAGCAAGCTGCGCCCCAACGACGAGACCAGAAAGTCCGCATCTCCTTCTTTGACCACGCGAACCAAGCGACGGTCGACAGGTTACTGGCGGAAGGAGCCGAGGATCTGGAAGGCGAGGGCGAGGATGAGAGCGCTCAGGCCACGTTGGCGAACGTTGAGGAGATGATCGAGGGTTACGAGTACGCCACGGACGATGTTATCGGCAGGAAAACCTCAAGAGGGGCCGCAGATCTCATTCAAGCACGATTGCTAGAAGAGCTGGCTGCATTGGATAAGGTGCGTGCTCGCTTCGTCGATCTCGGGCTGTCGCTCACTCGTAGCAGGCGAATATACATTCGTTCTTGGAGTCGGACGATCGTATAGGCACCGTGCTGAACTATGTCGACAAAGCTCTCGCCGAGCTCGACAACATGGACAGTATGGTGACATCGTACAAAATCCATCTCAACGTTCGTCTTCCTCTATCACATCTTCATTGAGCGTCGCTCAAATACTGCGCAGGCCGTCAGCGAGGACATATCCTTTATCCAAGGCCAGAATCGTGGCTTGCAAGTGCAGACGCAGAACCAACATGCGCTCCTTGGCGAGCTGCAGAACCTTTTGGTGCGTCTCGTCATAGCCGCGATGTACTCTCGTTCACACATGTCCTCGTAGCAAACCGTGCAAGTCAGCCAGCAGACCCTGGTCGCGCTGACACAAGAGTCGCTGGAGAAGCCCTCAGGGATACAAAACCTGGAAGAGGCTGCCGCGGAGCTGTACAAGGCACTGCAAGCTGCGAAGGACCGAGGTGCGCTTGATTGGGCTCGTGCCACAATCGATTTACTGACCCGTCCGCAGACATGGCCGCGACGATGGAGCGCCTCGAGAGCTATCATACGCACAACTCGCAGTTCTGCAAGCGTATATTGGACTATCTGACAATCATGTTCACCGCTCAGGTACGTTCTCATGCATGTGTAGACGAGTAGACTGTTGACAAGGCTTGTAGTCCAAAATGCTCTTGGGCGACTTCAACGGCGTGCTCAGGAATAATGGCCGCCTCAGTATCGTGCCGCATATTGAGATGGAGCAGTACCTTGGCAGATATGCTGGACTAATGCTCTACCTCAAGGAGATGGATGAGGCGATATATGCGAAGCTCTGCGCTGTACGTCCGCGGTGTATGGTGTCGGGACGCCGACTTATGCATATTACAGGCCTATTTCTCAGCTGCGAGCGAGCTGCACTCGACGCAGGTCCGAGCACTTCTGAATGGCTATCTTGCGACCATCAAGAAGGCGTCGGAGGATGAGCAGGATCAAGGTAAGTATCGTCTTTCAGACAACCCTTTCCTAACTGACCGATCGTCGAAGGCTTCGGCGCTCCTAACCCCTCCAGCGGCATCAACAAGTCCAACCTACGACGCGCAGGCACCGTCCTCCGCGAAGGCCGCAAAGACAAGGAGAAGCCCTCATCCGGCGACACCGCTGCCGCCGACGCCCTGTCCCGCATCCTTGAAGAGACTATGCCCATCGTCACACGCGAGAGCGAGTTCATCGCGGACTTCCTGCAGATCAACGAGGCGGGGCTGACCTTCGCCGACTATATGGGCATGGATAACTACTTCCGGAGGCAGGCGGCGAGGCAGGCAGGGTTGAGCCAGACGACGATGAAGCTTGTAAGGGGGGCGTTGGATCTGATCTTTGGGTTCTTGCCGATGGAGTTGAAGGGGTGGCTGGATGCGGCGTTGGCGAAGGATAACACGTACGTGCTCGTTGTTCGAGTCGTGACGTTCGCGGCTGAACTATCGTCGTAGGCAAATCGTCGGCATGCAGGTTGTCGTCGAACGCTTCGTGGCCGACGCCGAGGAGCGCGGACAACAATTCATGGTCAGCATCTTGAGCAAGCAGCAGCAGAGATTGAAGGGCCTGTTCGACCGCCACGTCGTAAGTAGAACAATACCTAGAGCTGCTTCGCATGCAGCTGATAAGCCCTCCCCGCAGAACGAGCAGATCAAGAACATCAGCCAGACGAAGATGACGACCAAGAAGCGGCAGGGCGTCGCGCCCTTCGTCAAGTACTTCCCTGTATACATCAGCCGTATCGAGAGCCAGCTCGTCGGGGCCGAGTCGACGGAAGTTCGCGTCAATGTGGACACGGCGTACGAACGCATCGTGCAGGGCATGTTCGACGCTCTGAAGGCGATGGCGAAGATGGACGGCGAGGACGAAGATAAGGGGCAATTGAATTACCACGTCGTTCTCATCGGTGAATATTTCGTGCATACGAACAAACGAATTTTTCTGATCTCTTTGCAGAGAATATGCACCACTTCGTGGCGGAAACATCGCAGATCTCTGTTGGTTCCGCTTCGAGCTTCCTCAAGCGTGCGAAGGGCATGTACGAAGAGAACCTGAACGCCTACGTCAAGATTGTCCTTCGGCGGCCTTTCGCGAAGATCATCGTGGGTGTCTTGCCTAATGCACATAACGCTACCTTACTAAATTCTCCCAGGACTTCTTCGAGGGCGTGGAACGCAATCTCAAGACGACCGCCCCGGCACAGATATCTAACATGCCTGGCTACGGCAAATCGGCTCTCAAGAAGGTCGTGAAGGAGTACGACGCCAAGGATATTCGCAAGCACGTCGACGCCCTGTTCAAGCGCGTGGAGAAGCACTTCGACGAGGCGTCCGAGAAGGCGATGGCGGCCGAGACGGGTGGCATTCCCCCAGGGACTGTCATGGTCGGTGTATGGAAGGCGTGCGAGGAGGAGCTGCTGCGCATCACTGAGCTCTTCAACAAGCGGCTCGCGCAATGCTACGCGGAGAGCGGCGTGTCCCTCGACTATACCCCGGCAGACGTCGAGGCGGCCTTCCGCCGCCACCGGTTGTAAGGCGCACGTTCACTGGACTGTCGATATTTTTATGTCTTGATTGGATTCTATTCTGCGCTACGCGATGCATTGACTAAGGGAACGTACGCAAGCCAAGTGTAAGCAGTACCAAACTGTATCAATGTACATGTGAGTTCTGGAGTCCGTTGGATGTCCGTACGAGGCACCGTCTATGCATGGCTCGTATGGCTAGATAATTGACGCGTTTAAATGGCTGGCTGGGGGAAGGACGGCGCGGCGCCCGAGTCGTGGGGGTTGGGCAAGTTCTCAGCGTAAGGGGTGCGGGGCTGCGCCACGCTGGCCTGCGATTGGAACGACGTCGTGGAAGCCGCGGCAGCAGGGTTTGTGGCCACCGGCTCGGCCGCCTTGTTCTTGTTCATGTACCCCATGACAGCCGGGCCATATGAGTTCCATAGGTTCATCGCGGTCTGCACGGGGGAGGTGGCAGTTGCCGGCTGAGTTTGTCCCTGCTGGGCGGCGGCCTGCTGGTTCGCTTTTGTGACGCCTCCCTGGACCAAGCCCCAGAGGGCGCCAATCTTGTCGGTCACGAACGCTACCGTGTTGCTCTGAACGGCAGCGATGCTCTTGTCGATGTCGGCCTCATTCTTGGTGAAGTAGGGCGAGATGTAGGTGTTGTACACCCAAGTCGAACCCTGGTCACACGAGTGAGATTGTTCTGCCGCGTATCGGGTGATAGGTACTCACCGAGAGTTGGGGGAGGGAAAGGAAGAGCAGGAACAGGGTTTTGAGCTCCCAGTAGAATGGACTCCTGCGTGCTGAGTGAGGGGGACGCGTGACATCTTAGTGTGCGAGACTTACCAGCTGATGAAGGACTCGAGGGTGTACTCGAACGTCATGAAGGCCCCCATGACTACCCAGTACTGCGCGTACTGGGCGACATCTTGCTCGGAGAGGGGGCGATGATTAAGCGCCCGCCACGTCCGGAAGCAGGGGAGGAGGAATGCGAACCAGGCGCTGGGGGCGACGTGTCAGGCTTTGTGGGTGGCATAAGTAGCAAAATGCGTACCAGAGAAGATGGGAGAGCAGGGACATCAACATGGTGGCAGTTGTAGGAAGAGAGGGGAAGGGGAGAAGAGAGGCTGCACTGCAGCGGACGTGGACAGGTTTAGAGGCTTGACGCTGTCCTGACGCGCCTCCCCGGCGTCCGGCGCGATCATCACGCCGGGGCCGCTTGGACAGCCGACTGATGTTGAACTTAGCCGTTACGGCGCACGAGCGGTCGCGCTTCGTCGCTCCTCCTCATCGCTTCCACGCGGGAAAATTCGTCCATACGAGGGTCCTGTATATCCTGCGTTTGGCATGCTCTATCGATGTAGCTGACTACCAGCGTCATACCACGACACGCCCCAGGCGCGCGAAGCACACCTGATTGCCAATCTCCTTTGTGCGCTCCGATGTTCGTGAACTTCTGAACGCTCACATGGGCCCGCCAATCCAGACCCTCTTCAATGCTGCTGCGTTCCGTCATGGACCGCACAAATGAAGACGCCGCAATTATCTGCGTGGATCTATCGTTTACATGCCCATCAAACACCAGGACGCCACGCCCCCTCCTCGGGCGTCTACTATATAAGAAGCAGACTCTGGACTCTACTGCTTTGCTCAACGGTTGCTTGACCTCCATCCCTGATATCTCCGCTTCTCCCGTCTTTCGCGCAGCCACATATTCACTCCCCTAGACCTCTGACATCTTACTTCTTCTCACTTGACCTCCTCTACTCCGACGCTCGGACGCGACGATGGCGCCCACCTACCTACGCCAGCTGCTGGCAGTCCTCACCGAGCAGGTCGACAAGATCGAAGGCCTTGCAGAGAAGAAGGGTCTCCAGGGGTACCCCTCCCTCGACGACCTCCCCGACGCCAAGCAGGACGAATTCACCACCGACCCAGAGGTCGTGCAGGCCGCTTATCTCGCTACCTCCGCCGCCTCGCAACTCGCCGCAACCTTGAAGCCAAGCGGGCTGCAGGCGTACGAGCGCGCTGCTGCGGTACGCATCCATCCATGCATCAGAGACAGCGGCGCTGGGTACTGAATGGCGACATCCTCTGTAGTACTATCAGTCTACTGCGATGCGTATTGTCTCCGAGGCGTGCGTGCCGGAGATTCTGAGGGAGGCGGGCCCGCAGGGGTTGCACGTAAAGGACATCGCTGCGTATACGGGGACGAACGTGAAGGTCCTGAGTACGTCCGATATCTCCATCCCTACTCATCGCTTCTTCATCTCATCGCGATCTCAGGCCGCGCTCTTCGCTGCCTCTGCACGAACTATGTCTTCAAGGAGGTGCGCTTCGTCTTGTTCTATCCATTCGACGTCACCCTGTTGACCGGCTACCAAACCTCCCAGCTTTCCCCGGATGTATTCGCCCACAATCGCCCGTCGGCCGTCGTGGACACGCAGAAGCCCGTCGACCTCGTCGTGAAGCACGCCATGTAGGTTATCTCGTCCATCTATCGGTGCCGAGTAATTCGCGATACTGACTGGCCGTACAGTGAGAAGAAGAAGACGATTGATGCCTACCCGCACGGAGTATCCGCCGTGCATGGGGAGAGGTACGAGGATACCAATGGGATCCTCGCGGTGCTGGATCACAAGTGCGTGTTTCTCCTTTGATCATTGCTACCTTGAATCTGGTCCCTTTCGAACGGAGTGAAGGCGACGGAGACTGATGTTGTCGCAGCACGGACGAGATGTACAAGGGCGCGGCGTACATGGCCGACAATGTGCTCGCGGACAACTACAAGAAGGCGCCCGTGTCGACGGCCTTCCAGACCGACGATGAGATATGGAAGTGGATGGAGCGCTACCCGGGCTTCTTGCAGCGCATCCAGATGGTCATGATGGGATGGACCAGCTTGTACCCGCACAAGAAGAACATGCATGGTGCGATCTCCCCCCCTTTAAACTTCGGTCCTATCTGACGAGTTCTACAGGCTTTGACTGGGCAGCCCTCCCGAAAGACGCATTGGTCGTCGATGTGGGCACTGGTGTTGGCACTGAGGCCGAGAGGATAGCGCGGAAGGGACCTCAACTCAAGGTCATCGGTCAGGATCGCGCACAAACCATTGACGAGGTTGCTATTCCAGTATGCCTGCTTCCGTACTCGCGTCACTGCACACGCTGACATCTTCTCAGAGATGGAAAGCGGACCCCTCGCTGAAGCCGATGTACGAGTCTGGTCAAGTTCGCCTGGAAGGTAGGGTTGTCCTCACCCGCATAAACATTCTCCTCATCTCATCACTTCAACAGCGCACAGCTTCTTCGACGACCAGCCCGCGCACGTCGCCCAACACGCCGCCGTCTTCTACCTGCGCTACATCACACACGACTGGCCGCTCGAGGAAAATCTGAAGATCCTCAAGAAGCTGCACGCCGCGGCCGCCCCCGACACGCTTCTCGTCCTCGCGGAGCAGGTCGTGCCGTACGCGTGCCCCGCACCCTCTTCGCTCGTCTTCGAGGGCATGAACAGCCTGAACCCGCCTGCGCCGCTCCTACCGAACCTGGGCCAGGCGTTCTCGGAGGTGTATCTGATGGACTTGACGATGGCGGTGCTGGCGAATGGGCAGGAGCGGACGATTGGGGAGTTGAAGGAGATGACGGAGGCGGCGGGGTGGCAGATTGTGCGGATTCATCAGACGCCCGGGTGCTGCTTTGGGGAGATTGTCTGCAAGAAGATTTAGGGAGAAACGCAGTTGAGGGTTGATGATGATGGACAGCTTCAACAGCTATGTCTGGTCATGAATTCATTGTACTCTACTACATAGCCTAGGCAGTTTGACAATCAATGCTGAGAAGACTTAAGAGGGAAACACAATGGATGTATCTGTTGGGATTTGTTTGACTTGTTGACGTCTGTCAACAAGGTCACGTTTCATCGACGAATGGAAAATTTCGGGCCGCGGGAGCGATCGGGCCGTGGGGAAGCGCGAAATGCGTGGTAGGGCGGCGTCGAGGACGGTGTCGAGGGGCCGCTTCGGACAAGTCAGACGAAGAGGAGAGATTCGAGAAGAATGTCTTGCGCCACGGCGGCTCGGGGACAGTTTTGAGGGGCAGAATGGAGGGAATCAGGGCCTAGAAATGCTGTATTTTCGCGATAGGGTCAGGCGGGTGGTGTGGTTGGCAGGGGGCTATACGTCGGAAGAAGTCGGGCTTCGTCGTTGAGGGCGACGACCAGCGATGGTGGAGGAGAGCAGGACGATGACCTCCACCGGCGTTGCGAGCCTTGAGGTCGGCAGTGAGGCCCGGTGGAGGCGATCGAGTTCGGTGTACGGACCGTACTTCATGCAATGTCGTAACTTCGAAACCCTCAGCAGCTGCTCTGGTCTCTCGTGAGGGCGCCCACCGTGCAGCGAGGGACCTGCTCGCTGTCGACGGCGACGAGGACGCGAGCTGACTAAGACACGACGCTTCTGGGGGCCGGAAGAATTAAAGCGTTGATGTGCCACATGCCAGACCTGCGAACGATCTTGTCCTCTTCCACCACGGTCGATTCGCGCTTTCTTCGTTCCCTCGGTTTGCACCCCGTAACTTCTCATCCTGGACCTCATGATGAACAACGGCGATCCGTTCGACCCGCGCCTGAGGAAGCAGGAGGAAATGCTTGTCGATGAACGGGCCAAGGAGGCGAAGCCCGCTGTGAAGACGTTGAACCGAGTTCCCCGTACGTGCCCCTCTTCCCTCTTCGGAGCCTTTTCTTACCGTTTGACTGTCCAGGTGCCTGCGTGAGCTGTTATATACTTTGAATATACCCCCAGTCGCTTATTCCCCTCGAGAATGCTTGCAGGAAGCAGAAAATGCGCTGCGAAGGCGCCGATAATCCCCCTTGTCGTCGCTGCCGCAACACCGGCCTCGAATGCCTGTTCGAGAAGCCGTCCAAGGAGGCCAGCCTGACGGGCGAGGCAGGACTTGAGTGAGTCCACCGAGCCACCCGGACCGTCGAGCCGTACATTGACTGACGCGGTGTCGCAGACGCATTCGCAGCCTCGAAGCTCATGTCGCGGACCTCAGCCGCACCCAGATGGCCATGCGCGACACTATGTACGAGCTCGTCGCGCTTCTGCGCGGCGGGGGGCAGATTGCGCGTTCCCCTTACCCGCAAGCGCCGTACCCCCAGCCGTCCCCTACGCTCTCGACGCCGACGGCAGGTCATCCGCAGCCGCCTGGTTACATGCCGCCTGTCCCTCCGACGATGGGGCCGCCCCCTGCCGGCATCCGTCCAGGGCAGTACCCTATGGTGCCCCAGGCGCCGGCGGAGTACTCGCCTCAGACGCCCGTCGGCTACGCCTTCAGCGGTCCCCAGCCGCCGCCCCAAGGTCCGGCGCACGGCCCGCCGCCTGCGGGTGTTCAAGGTTAGAGTTTGACTTTGGCTCTTAATTCGCCGGCCGAAGTGCTGACCGCACAATCCACGACAGACAATCGGCCTGTCCAGGCGGGCACAAAGAGGCCCGTCAGCGCCGACTCGAGCGACCAGGAAGACGACGCGGGTGACGAGCTGCCCGCGTCCGGGCTCGTGGCCCCGTGGGAGGTCCTGCGCGGGCTAGCGGATGTTGCCATTGAGCGCGCTGCCATCGTGAGACCCGACTAGTGCGCATATTGGCGGGGGCTGACCCGGAAGCTTCAGGAGAATGGCGATGCCTCTGATCCGCAGAATGGAGGCAAGCCGGGAGAGGGGAGTCGCCCCGCAAAGAAGCGCAAGCTGAGGCATAAGCAAGGTCCCATGTTCCCCGATGGTAGGCTCTGGTTGTCCTTCTACGCGACATGTTTCCTCACCTTCGCGTCAGTGGTTACGAAGAAGATCATTACCGAGGAAGAGGCGCGCGAGCTGTTCCAGATGTGAGCGCGAGGTCCGAGCCGTGTACGAAATGTACTCACACTCCATGCAGTTTCTATCACGGCTGCTCCACTTTCCTGTGCGTTTAGTCGACTCTATTCCGGTGATCATGAAGTACTCATCGTCCTTAGGCCGGTGTTCGACCCTCACGTTGACACCTTCGATGAACTGCACCGTCGCTCCCCCTTTGCGGTGGATGCGATCTGTATGGTCGCTGCAGGAGTTAGGGACGGCGGAGGCAAGCCCAGCGAGGTTTACCTCAGGTGCTTGGAGGAGGTTCAGTCGATCTCGTGTGCGACCCTCTTTTCGCCGGTCACTCGGTTCGAGGCCGTCCAGTCCATGAGTATGCACCAGACTCTCCTGAGCTACCGTTTTGCTGACCCATCCTAGTCTTGGTCTCTGGTTGGGCGGAGAACGGATGGCTTAGCGGGGGTCACGCTGTCAGGATGGCCATGGAATGCTGTAAGTCCATTCACCCGGCCTAAATCTGTCGATGCTAACACTCTCGTAGCCATGCACAAGGCCTGGCCGAAGCTTCTGAAGCGCATCACCGCCAACAAGGTTGATCCCGTTCAGGACAAGGACCTCGTCACGGCTACGCGTACCTGGTTTACGCTCTACCTGTTCGAGCATCAGTTGTCGTACGGCACAGGCCGTCCTGCTGTCCTGAAGGAGGACGACAGCATCCGCCACGGACGCGCATTGCTCCAGCACCCGTCCGCCATCGAGGATGACATGCGCCTCGTCTCGACCCTCGAGCTCATGGTCATCCGCGAGCGCGTGCACAACGCGCTCTCCCCTAGCGAGTCGCCCATCCGCGAGGACGACTTCGAGACCCTCCGGAAGGCCGACCTCGACTTCCGCGCCTGGTACGCCACCTGGGACCAGGCCTTCTCCCAGAAGTATGAAGATGCAGGTGAGTTGCCGCTCTCATCCCTAATACGGGAAGGCTCATCTTCCAGTAGCATTCTACAGGCAAAGCCTGCAGATCCAGCAGCTCCACGCGGAGCTGTTCCACAACGCCACGGCGCTGCGTGGCATCGATGGGCCGGAGGACGTGCGGAATATGCACCCGCTGCAGAGGGAGCTGGCTGTGCGGTCGATCAACATCGCGATTCAGATTTTGGATATCACGATCAATTCGCCGTCGTATAGGGAGGGGATGAGGTATGCGGTGCACTACACGCACGTCACAGCGACCTTTGCTGGGTCGTTCCTCCTCCGCTTGGCGCGTCTCTTGTGAGTCGCACGAATAAGTGTGCTGTGGCTCTTGCTGATTACGACGCAGCCCTAGCGAGTGCGACCCGGAGTCTATCCTCCACCAGGTCGAGCGTCTTGCTGAGCTCATGGCTCAGAGTGAGTGTGACTGTTTCCGGCGCAGGTTCGTCATACTGATGAAGCCCTCAGTTCCCGCCAAGCGCTATGCGCTCACCCTCCAGCTCATGCTCAAGAGGTCGCGCGACAAGCGCAAGTCGCTCTCGCCCTCCTCCATGCGCGAGGCCCGTCCTCTCATCGACCCAGCCCTCATGCCGCCCAGCAGCCAGCCATCCGAGGGCTCCTCGCCAACTTTCCAGAACCGCCCGCAGCAGACCGATGCGCAGATGCAAGCCGCGATGCAGCAGGGATACTATCGCTACCCGATGGACGCGGACCACATTTTGGACAGGTACCAGAGGACTGCAAACGAGCAGTTGCCGGTGTGGATCTCGGACCAGACCCTTGGGGGGCAGAGGTTCTCGCAGGAGGGCATGAACGCGTATCTGCTGCCGAACGAGTATATGCCGCCGGCGCCGCAGATCTGGTGAAGGGGAAAAAGCTGGTCGTAAGAAGATTGACATCGCATATAGGCCGTCGCGTGCTTGATGCGGTCGAACTTTGGTTCTCATAACGCCCTGTTCCTTTTTCTTGTGAAACTGTGTATTGGCTCCAGAACCTTGTCCGTATTGCCAGCCTCCTTGCCTTGCCTTCGCCTTCGCTTTGTATATAAACATATAATCTATTTTCTGGCTTGCGTTGTTCGCACTTTGTTGCAGCCCGAGCAAGCCGAGTGATCTGATGCTGAAAGGTTCCGCACAGACGATCTCACCTCCGCCGTTCATGGCCACCGCGATCGGCCCCTCCCGAGCCCAGGGTCAACTTGTCCCCAACGCTCATCTAGCTCGGGATCGACCCCCGCGTCGGGAGTGGGGCTTGCTCTGCGCGCTCGCATCCTTGGACACTGGACATGGCCTCGTCGTCGAACTTCCTGAGCACTGTCGACTTAGAATCAGGCGGACTTCGCAACAGGACTCCTTCGCGCGCGGGCTCGGTCGAATCGCTGTTGCTGGCCGAGGAACATGGCTCCGATGACAGAAACTCGACTGGGACCTCTGAGGACTGTCTGGCTGGAGGCGCGACCAGAACTGGGCATTCTAGGGCTTCGAGCAGCCAGGCTTCGACGGCATGCGGCGGCTCTGCGAGGTCTAGCGAATGCGGCGATCCAAGGCGGGTCCAGGAGGGCACTACTGGCCACGAGTCGACGTCTAGCTTCTCTTCCGACAAGACACTCGTTGGCGACGGCAGATCTCCATTTAAGCGGGGGATCCTCAAGCTTCCTCGGCGGCCCTCCTTTAGCTTGGTCAAGGCCACGACGAGCACGATTGGCTCGGCTGCTATCCAGGTCGCGAAGCCACTTGCGAAGGTGCAGAAGCCGGCTCGCTATAGGCCGTATATCGTCGACCATGTCGAAGGTGCGTGCGAGAACGCATTTGTGGCAACCTGAACCTTACCTCCGGTAGATATGGCCCACCGTCGGAAGTTCATACTCGTACTTGCGAAGGCTCTGCTCACGTTCGGCGCTCCTTCTCATCGAATCAACTCTCAGCTGGCTGCCGCCTCAGGGATCTTAGAGGCCAACGCGGGTAAGTCACCCATTCCATGCTTGCTATGCCACTCAACAATACTTCTCGACAGAGTTCATATATATACCAAACATTATTATCGTCTCGATGAAGAACGATGGCGAGAGGAACACGACTACTCGCTTCGTCCGCGTCTCTGGCCGCATAGCTCTCTCTGCTCTGCACAAGGTGCACCTCATCTACCGTAGCGTCTTACGCGACAAGGTCGGCGTCACGGAGGCAACTCATGCTCTCAACGATCTTCTACGAACCGGGCCTATCTATCCACTGTTTGTGCGCTGCGTCTTGGCTTTCTGCATGGGGACCATTCTCTGTGGGCTTTCCTTCGGTGGTTCTATTCTCGACATGATCATCAGTGGTCTCTGCGCGTGCGCTCTCCAGTACCTTGGGCTCAGCGCGGTCAATAAGAGTTCCGTGTACGCGAACGTCTACGAGTAAGAGGTCTTGGTGATGTTACGTATCTCAACTAATCACGCACGTAGGATTTCGGTGACAATTCTCGTCGCTTTCGTCGCTCGGGCTCTGGGGAGCATTCCCGGTCATCCATTTTGCTACAATGCTATATCTTCCTCTGGGATCGTCCTCGTTCTTCCGGGATTTACAGTTTGTAAGGAAGCATCATCTTCATTTGAAGCGCTGATATGAAAGATTCCAGTGATGAGCTCCCTCGAACTAATGTCAAGAAATATATTTTGCGGGTCAGTCAGGAGCGTTTACGGTGGCATATACACACTCTTTCTGGTACGTAGGTTTACCCCTCGCATTCGTCGTGTGGCTGAGGCCGGAAGGGCTTTGGGTTGTCTATAGGGTCTGACATGTTCTTGGTCATTGATCGCCATGCTCGCAAGGAATACTACGCCACCTTCATGTACAAGCTCAACCATACGCACGGCCACTTCACCATGGTGAACGGGACCGCGCCATTCATACCCATCGGTGGCGTACTATCTACAGGCAGTATGGCCAGCTATCAGCTTGAGCATCTTACGCATGGTAGGCGAATATCCTCTCTCTATACTCCATGCTGAACTTCTGTAGGCTGCTTTCGAGAACCAGACTGGCCGTGGTGGAAGCAGCCGCTCCCTTGGTGGACGGCATTCTTCCTTGTCCCGCTATACTCCACATGCTCGTCCCTCAACAACCTGCAGTCATATCGAAGTAAACAACTACCGATCATGGTCATCTTCTCCTGCTGTTCGTACACGGCAAACCGCCTAGTTTCCACCGTCCTTCCGGGCCGACCAGACTTAGTCGCTGCTACCGGATCCTTCGTGATAGGCATACTGGGAAACCTCTACTCGCGCATCGCGCATGGGACGGCCTTTACGTCGATGGTGACTGGGGTCCTTTTTCTAGTACCGGTACGTAGCGGGCTACTATGACCGCCTCGCCCACGAGAGCTCATATGCCCTTGTTAGTCTGGCATTGCGCAGTCTGGCGGGGTCGCGCAGACATATCATAGTTCTGCCGAGCAGTACAACAGCGGCTTCACGCTCGCTGTTCGCATGAGTTGCGTTTCTAGCGGGGTCACCATCGGTCTGCTGGTCAGTCAGGTTATTGGTACGCGTCCTTTTCTGAACGCGTGAGATTGAGCTGCTGATCTCCTCGCTACTCAGTATACCTCTTCGGGCGTAGGAAGAATGCGGCGCACTTCGCTTTCTGAGCACATACACTATGTTCGGCAGAGGACAATTCATAGACAATTAGAGACATGTACACGGTGGTCTCTAGCTAGGGCAAACTCCACATTCTTTTGGCGTCGAGAGCTCGTCCGCGTGTTTCTATAATGTCTGCCTATTACAGTGCCGGCACAGGTGTATACGTAAGCGAGCATAGAGTAGTAAGAATATGCAGTGGTCGTACAAGATAATGTCGATAAAGTACAGTGGCAAGAAAAAGGATATACGACAACGACGAACAAAAAGCGAAGGTGAATAGATAAGAAAGCGTCCTTTGAGTCTCAGGAGAAGAGGTCCTGGAGCTCTTCCATGCGGCGCTGCATGAGCTCGGCCTTGCTGAAACTCTGCCTGTCGAGCGTCATGTTGGCGAGGGCAGTCTTCTTCTTCTGCACCTCCAGCAGGCGCGCCTCGATTGTATTCTCGATGATGAGCTTGACGGTGGTGACGGGGCGGGTCTGACCAAGGCGATGAATACGATCGACGGCTTGGTTCTCAACGGCGGGATTCCTGCGCGGACGTCAGCAACGGAGGGGACATAGATGGTCGATACGCACCAGTAAGGGTCCATGAGGTAGACGCGCGAAGCGGCGGTAAGGTTAAGACCCACACCACCAGCCTTGAGACTGACGAGCAGGACCTCGCAGCCAGGGTCGTACTTCAGCGCATCCATGGCGCGCGTACGGTCGTCGCGCTTCATCGTACCGTCCAAGCGGTCATAGCGGATACCAGCGACATCCAACGCCTCTTCAATCTTGTCAAGCATCGTCGTCCACTGCGAGCTGCGGAGACCGTCAGCATTACACGAATGCGACAGTAAAGATACTCACAAGACCACCGTCTTTGTCACACCCTCATCGATCTCATTCCCCTGCCCGTCCGTCATCCGCACCTCAATCGACTCCGGGTCATAGTTCGCCGAGTGCGGGTTCGCCCGCGAGAACATGATCAGGTCGCCCATCAACGCGCGCACCTTCGTCGACGGTCTGAAGTTCGCCAGGTTCGAGCCCTTCTGCCTTCGCTCGCGCCTGCCCGTCTTCTTCTTCGCCGCCGCGAGGGCCGCATTCTCGTACTCCACCTTCACCTCGACGGCGTCTGCAGGACAGAGACTCGTCTGGCACACCGAGCACACGCGCCGCGTGTCAGGCGGGACGCTTGGCCAGCCGGGGCACACGGAGTGCTTGTAGCATTCGATGCAGAAAAGGTGCTGACAGCGGGTGACGATGGGTCTCGCGGACGTGGGGCTGCTGGCGCGCGTCGGGCCGCGTGAGCTGCCGGCTGGATTCTTTGGCTTGCGACCTCGCTTGGCAGGCGGCGGGTTGTCGCAGTCGAAGCCCTCCGTATTCTCACCGGCCTTGCAGAGTTCGTAGCCGCACTCGACGCACTGCGTCGTCGACGCCTCGCGGAAGAGCGTGAAGACGGCCATCGCGCGGTCGAAGGTGAGACCGTCCTTCATGATCTCGGCGACGAGGTTCTCGTACGACGCGGGGCAAATCTGCGCGGCGGCCTCCTTGTCCTGCACGAGCTCGAAATGGTCGCAGATCTGGCGCAGACGCAGGATCTTCTGCAGGATGCCGACATAGTTCTTCATGACCTCGTTGTTGTCCGACATCTCGTTAAACTCGGCCTTCGAGGACTGGAAGAACTCGTCGTAGATGGTCTGCTCCTGCTCGTCGAACTTGAGGTAGCGCAGTTCGTCGCGGCGAGGCGGCAGGTTGAGAATCTTGCGACCGTCGTCGGCTTTTGTCTCCTTAGTACGACGCAGGGTGATGCACTTCATGATCGTCTGCAGGCGAGCGATGCCGATGGGCTGCGCAAACTTGACGGGGCTGCCGACCATGTCCGTCCAGACATTCTTATCGTCCAGAGGCTCGAGTCGCAGGAACTTGATGAGCGCATACACGTCGTCCAACTTGTTCTGCACAGGCGTCCCCGTCAAGCACAGCCGACGGTCCGCCATAAGGTCGCAGCAGGCGCGGCTGGCGACGGTGCTGGTCTCCTTGATGCAGCTAAAATTATGAGCAAGCGAAATAGAAGCATACAACTAAATTTACTCACTGCGCCTCATCAAGCACGACACGGAACCAGTGTATGCTCTGCAATGGGCTGGGCTGCTCCGCCGTACCGCAGGGCTTCTTACGCTTCATGCCCGCCCTCTGCTTGGGCAGTCTGAGGGTAGGATTGCCGCGCTCGTCGTATTCAACTCCGCCGCTGTCATTGTCGCTATCCTCGTCGCACTCGGCCTCCTGATTCGCGATGCTCTTCGACTGCTTCGAGAACTCCGTAGCGAGGGTCGCGTACGTCGTGATGACTGCGTCGAAGTCGGCCAAGAAGGCGGGGTCCGGACGGCGCGCATTGCCATGGTACACGTACACCTTGAACGGGCCGCCAGGCTGATACGGAGAGACGGAGTGATCTGACGGTGTACCCGGCGCGGACTGGAGGGACATGGACGAGAAGGCGATGGGCACACAAGTCCCGCTCGCGCCTCCGGTCACGCGGACCTCACCCCGCCAATGCTCCTTGAACTGGTCCTCCCAGTTAGACACGGTCGACAGAGGGCAGATAATCAACGTTGCGCGGCTCTTCGCCTTGATGCGACAGCACCTCGCGTAGTCGGCTTGCTGTCGCTCGGTCAGGCGCTGTTGTTTCGCCTTCTCCTTCGCGGATATGCCGCCGTACTGCGTTGGCATGCCCCAAACGGAGCCAGCAAACTGCGAGCCGTCGTGGTCGTCTGCACCATTGCTACCTGGCGGTGGAGGTGCGCGTTCGAGGGGAGTATTCGCGAAAGCGTGCGCAGACTTCAGAGTATTCGCGATGAGGGAGACGCAGGTAATCGTCTTGCCAAGACCCATCTGATAATTCTGTCAGACGATTGTACGGGATAGATAGTTGAGTACGAACATCATCGGCGAGAATGGCGCTCTTGGCCTCGATCGGTTCCTCGTTGACGACCTTGTTCGTGACAGCATGGAACCAGCTCTTCTGCAGTGTGTGCACGTTGGTGCGAACTTGCCACAAAGACGAATAGCCCCCATCCTCGCATTTGATCTCGCGCTCGCGTTGGAGAAGGAAAGTAAGTGCCTGCTTCTGGTGAGGGTAGAGGGTAGTCGCGACCTCCTGGGCTGGAGGAGCACCATTGTATAAGCGATAACTGCAGATGAGTAAGTGATCGGGTACTTACCGGGCTCCGTTTCGGGAAGATTATCTCCGCCCTGTAAGCTTTTGAAGAGCTCATCCACTTGGCTTCGCTGGACCTCGACGCTTTTTCCCGATACAGCCGGAGTACTCCATCGACCGCCGCCGCCACCGTTATACGGACGCTGCGCGTGTTGCGCATAGAAGTTCGGGTTCATGGGATTATCGTGCGGGTTGTAATAGTGCATGACGGAGAGGCGCGAGAGGTCGAAGGGGGCGGACATGTGACTGAGCCAGAGGCTGCATTGGCTGAAGTAGTTTCCCACCGCGGGTATGTTTCCCTTGGGTGTATGCACCAGAAGCTGGAGATCAAGAATGGGGGCCTGGAGACAGTGAGATGGCGTCGCAATCGGGCTAAGAGAGCGGGCTCACGAGGGTATTCATTCTTTTGACGAGCGCGTCAAGGCGAATGAGACCTTTACCAAGCATCGGACCGAGCGTCGTCGCGACCTTCTGCTCGACCAAGCCAAAGTCCGTGCCTCCGGTCGTCTGCCCAGAAGCTGTTCGATGACCTGGCTCCTTGATGTGTATAGTTTCCTTGTGTTCCGCGTGGGGAGCTCGCTCGTACTGCAGTCGCACTGGAACCCATTCCGGTTCGCCTTCTTGCGGCTGTGTATATGGCGTGGGGTACAGGATGAGCGCCTTCACAGCTAGCTGGCCGATGCAAACCGGTGTCTTTGGTGGCAAAGAATCCGGCAGCTTGTTGTTGACAGCACGCGCAAGGGGCGGGGGAGAGGGCGAGCTGGTGAGGTCGATGATGGAGTTGCCGTTGGGGCGTGATGCTGGGGCGATCGGGCGAAGGGAGGACGAGGATGCCTGGGACTGGTATGACTGAGGCGCATACGGGGAGTGGTATGCGGGTTGTTCGTTGGGGACGAATGCGGACTGCTGCATGATGGGCGCAGGCGCATGAGGAGTGGCAAAATGAGAGGAAGACGCGAAAGGCGACATGGCGAACTGCGAAGATTGCGGTCCATTGTTCTGCCGCTGCACGCCGGCCGCCATGGGGCCGCGGGAGAACGCGCCCGGGGGCGGCGCGCCATCTGTCGCCTGTCGCCTCGTCGGGCTGGGTGCGGGGCGCAGCTCGGTGTCGCTGTCGTCGTCGTCGCCGGTGAGATCTATCGTGTTGGCATCGGAGCGCGATGTGCGGAACGACGGGCCGGCGAAGGGCTCCTGGACGCGACCGGTGGCGAAGGCGGCCATGTGGGCGTCGAGGTGGACGTCGAGGAAGAGGGCAAGGGGCTGCTGTGGCGCAAGCGGGACGAGATATGGGAGGAGCAGATGGCGGACATTGTTCAACGCTCCCGATCGAGTATGGCCCTGCTGACTAAGTCAGCCAACGCGACAAACCGTCAGCACGCACAAGTCTGATTCAGCAATCACTGCCTCGGGCTCCTCACAGTTTCCGCCACTTACAGTCAGCCCGAAGGTCGCTAGCTCCAGAATAAGACCTCGGCAGTCTATGCGCTGTCTATTGCCGTCCAGCTGTACCAGCGCCGTAACTGTCATAACAAGCGGAGGGCCCGCCCTACCCCGCCCTGCAGCCCCAGGCTCGCAGTCCCCCGCCTCGAGCAGAGTATGATACGTCAATAATTATTACCTATCAGAGTACAGTCGGTGTGAGTATGCGTAGGGAGGCGCCGTAGTAGAACGTGGGTCAAGCCAATAACATACTAACACGAGAAGAAAGACAGGAGAGACGGGTCAGTATGTACATTGTGTGGACTGTCAAAGAGTCCATAGTGTGGTCCCCGGACTGTCCAGAATATCAGTACCAATCGTCCCGAGAAAAGCCCAGAAGTCGTGAAGAGGTGCAGCCACACACGCCCGTTCTTACCCACCCCGAGCGCCGTCGCGTCATGAGCCATTGGTCGGCCCTGCTGACAGATGCCCTCGCGCAAAGGGGGAACACCGGCTGCGCGGCGTGGGCAGGCTTGGGCATGGTTCCTCGGCTACCGTCCCGTCGCCGAGAATTGCTCCGTATACGTGGGTGTCTCCAGCCCATACGCCGGTGGTGGCACCTCCCACTCGCCGTGACCATCGTCCGACGCCAGGTAGTACTTCCGCGCCTCCTTATCCTTACTGGATACGTGCGCAGAGGGTAGAGGAGACAGCAGCGGCGCCGGCGATGGTGAGCGTCGCGTATCGAAGGAAGAAGCATAAGGTGAAGGTCGTGGCTCGTCGAACGAAGACGCGAATGGCGAGCGTGACATCCGCAGGTCGGCGACTGAGCGTGTCGGCGTCGCTGCACCCTCTCCACGGGCGAAAGGATCCGGGTCGACGTTGAAGAACTCCCAAGTGCCGTTGTCCATACGGACAGCTGTGCGCATATTCGCGCCAGGTTCACGGTCTGCAAATACCACAACATCAGCCCCCGTACCATCTCAACAGCCCACATCCCACGCACGGAACGGTGGCAACTCCGTGCTCGCATCGCCCTTCGACGCGCCGAACGGCGTAATCCTCGCCGCGGGATGCGACTTGTCCAAAACCACCGAGCCTGACCGGCCGTGCGCGCGCACTGCGATCTCCATATCCTTGCGCTCCTTCCGTGCACGGAAGCGAGTGTACAACAGGATGGCGCCGACCGAGAGGGCAGCGAAGCAGCCGAGGACGACGCCGATTATCACCGGGCGACCGTCGGAGGCGGGCGTTGCGTCGAGAGACATGGTACGTGGATGTATTCGTGAGTGAGGGGATATGTCCGTGGGTGAATAGAGCCCTTGCGAGGAAGAGACTCGGTGAAGGGCGGAGGTCGTTAGGGGGAAGCAGATGGGGTTTCTATTACACTTCGTCAGGTTACAGGCTTGGTAGAGTGGTTCAGGTACGCACAGTTCAACTCGGCACAAATCGACAAACAGAGCCGATCGTACACGAGCTACAAGCGAATGGACGGTTGAGAGGGAAAGGTCGAGTCGGGCGAAAAGAGGGTCTTCGTGGGTCGAGTAGCGATAGGTTTACGGGTTAGAGCGCTCTAAGCGACGCGTTAGCAGTCGTGAAACGTCGTCGCACAAGATGAACCCGATGTCGCAGGAAGAGCGCACTGCTGCGGGCACTCCAACACTCACAGCGACGTTCAAAGAGCCTCACGATCAACGGCCGGTGATGAAGTGACGGTCCGGAGGGGAAGGAGAATTGCGTGAATAGAGTTGAAGAAAAGGCTAGAGGTTCGTTGAGGACGTCAGGTAGCTGGGAAAGAGGCAGGAGCAAGGCCTACAGCGACTAGTCGAAAACGACGATAACGACGAAGGTAGCCGACGCACGCGTTGAGCAGGAGACAAATCACAATTCCCGCGCCGCCGCCGGCGCGATCACCGCCTAATCACCTGACCGTCTCGAAGTTGAACTGTCGACGCGTGACTACAGGCAGTTGCAGTAGCAAAACAGTCGCAAAATGCCGTCCAACAACAGGGATGCCTGCGTAGCCAGATCTAGGAAGACAAGTTTGTATACCAGCTCTACAAGGTGACAGACTAGTAGGTACAGAAGGGCTGGCATACGACACGATGATGCAGTCCGGGGACATTGTACTTAGAAGGCAAAGTGTGCTGCGTTCTTCCTGTGCCCAAACAAATACACTGTATGCGGTCGGTCAGTAGATCCAGAGTAAGCTTGCCGAATACACGTACCAATAACCTGACTGACCAACAGCCCGATGGTGACACCGCTCGCGACAGAGATCATGCGCAAGGCCAGCGAAAACCCGCTCGAATACTGCTCCGCAGAGCTATGATAGTTCGGCGTGACACCACCAGATTGTGCGATACCGGACTAGCGAAGATAGGCCAGTCAGTATAAACCAGAGAGGGAGGTTACTGGCGTACCGGGACAAGGAAGAGCACGCCAGTCACCATGGACGTGAAAGCTGTCCCGTGCGCGACACGAGAGTACAGGTTACCCAGAATCCCAATCGTAAATGCACCAGCGGCTGATACAAGATCAGGTCGTCCAGGTAATACGAGACCGGCCAGCCGATTCGCCGTGTACGATGAACACGAGAAGATGACCATGACCGGCAGTTGGAGGCTCCTGAACGATTGGAGGTTCGACAATGACGAGAGGGTCGAGTATAGCGGCACGAGGAAGAACGCCGCCCACCAAGGGAGCGGCTGCTTCCACCACGGCCAGCTCGGCTCTCGGAAACAACCTAAGGCGGGGGAATATTCTCAGACTGGGGAGTGTACTTCGTACGAACGACCGCTTACCCTTGACTATATGTTCAAGTTGGTAACTGGCTGTACTGCCGGTGGCGAGGACTCCACCGATAGCCGAGAACGGATTCGTGCCGTTGAGCATTGTGAAATGACCGTGCGTGTAGTTGAGGTTGTTGCTGAAGCCGGCGTAGTAATTTCGGCGAGCGCGACGGTCGACTACGAGGTAGAAGTCAGAGCCGATGGTCAAGCCGAACCCCTGTTATCATCAGCAATGCGACGTGACAAGACGATAGCAAACTTACCAGGAAGAGCGTGTAGATGACCGCGTACACAATTCTGACAGAACCGCAGAAGAGATTCCTAGACATGAGCTCAAGCGAGCTGATGACTTTGGGCCTCGTCAGCGAGGCGCGCTGACCGTGATAAGAAATGACTCACGAACTGTAAACCCGGGCAGAATGAGCACGACTCCGGCAGACGATATGGCGTTATAGCAGAAGGGATTGCCGGGAATGCTGCCCAACCCGCGGGCAACGAAAGCGACGATGATTGACACAGATATTCTGGCATCGACGCTTTAACCTCACGAACTATCTTGAGGACCAAACTCACTCGTAGACGTTAGCATACAAGGAGCTCTTGTTTGCAGCATTAAGTCCAAGATACTGTAGAGCGCAAGCGCAGGCGCCGCTGACCACCATGTCGAGGATTGAGCCACCGAAGGAAAGACCACAGATGATGGTCGCGCAGCAGAAAGCGAAGATACAGCGCACAGCCAGAGGATAAATCGGTCCGCGACGAAGAAGAGCCTTGATCGCCTGGGCGCCTTCGGAAACGCCGACCTTGTCGTGGAGAACGTCGCGATAGATCAGGTGGACCTTATGTAGAGACGTAAGAGCTACGCGGCCAGTGGCACGGACGAAGTGAGTTCTAGTGTTCTTCGCGTCGGCGTTCTTGATAGAGACGATGATAATATTGGGTATATGCACGAATTCTGATGCACGTCAGAGCGATTTCGAGTGTTTGCGGGACGAGCGCACCAGCATCGGCTTCGAGGATACCAGACGCGGCAGAGAGCTGAGATTCAATTCGATGAGATGGAGCGCCGAAAGTGAGCAGAGCCTTCGCCAGGATCAGGATGAACTTCCGCCGGTTGTTGACCTCTGCAGGCAAATGAGCTTCTAGTAAGCAGCAGAGTGCTCAACGCACCTTCGGCATTGTCTACGATAAATGAGCGCCCCCGCCGGGGACCATGCACCATAGAGAGTGGTTTGACAACCGTGACGGCAGCAGTGCCGAGCGTGTTCGTCGTAGCCTTAACGGCACTGAAGGACGCCCTCCGGAGGTTCTTCAGAGCACTTTTGCTGCCGGATTTTTTGCGTTCGCCGATAAGAGTCTTCTCGGACGCGTAGCTAGAGATCGAATCTTTTGGCTGAGCGGCTTGCGAGTACGGAGCAAGATCGGCGGCAGGGTTCCCGTGTTGAGAAGGCTGCTGGGAGGTGGGTGGACCAGCGTCGGGATTGTTGATTCCATCGTCGAAGTAGCTCAGCTTCTTTTCGTCTTCTTGATCCTCAGCCTGAGATACAGATGCTTGCGAGTAGGCGCTTGCACGAGAGTCCAACCTTGGAAGATTGAAGGGATTGAGGTGGATGGGCTTTCCGTTATCTGAGGATGTCATCCTGTCGTGAGGAGTACTGAGCGTCTATATCAGACAGAGAGCGTAGCAACGAGAGCGAGATCCAGCTCAGGGTACCGGTCGACCTTGAAGACGAGATGGCGGCTGGGAGCAAGGTGTCTTCGGAAGTTGCCGAAGGTGGACCAACAGCCTTCAGCGTCCAAATGGCAACCCTCCGAGCGCTGAATGTCCTCACGAGCCATGAGACCGGATACCATGCCCTTTGGAATATTTCTACGACACCTGCTGTATGTTCTTCATGCCGCATGTTATCTGAATAATGACGATACAGAGGCTGTCGCTGCGAAGGTTAGCGGTCAGCTTTCCTCAGTTGTCTTCAAATTCCTGAACGCCATCCCCTCATTGCTGTGAATATGCCTAAGCCTTCGACGAATTTCGGAAGGTCTCTGTGGTTGCCAAGCACCTTGTGCCTTCGCAGGGAGCCAGATTCGGATACTGCCGCTTCCGCACGGTTGGTGCGCATGAACCCCGGAATTCAATTTCAAGGCCTGTGAATTGCCGCATGTTCTGTGCATACTTCCACTCAGATTGAGAGCAGGCTCATGGCAGACTTCGACAGGCCCCAGTGTTCGAGCTCGTGCGCACTGATGTCTTCCTTTCGCACGACCTCCTTTGAGGGCAATCCGTAGATGGAGATAAACTGATTTCATATCCCACTTCTATAGGACTACAGCTCGTGTGGGGAGCCTGGCCGTGGCCTCCTTGAGTAGCTGCAAGTTCTCGCGGATTACCATCTCATCCGAGGCTCCTGTCCCGCTCCTGTTTCAGCAAGCCCTTTCGCGCGCAGCGTTGTCGGAGCGCGAAGGCAGACACTTATCCTGGCGATCGTGTCGCTCCCTGAACTCTCCTCGTCCCATACCTCCTTCGACTTGACCGCTTACCATGTCTCTTCGCAAGAAGCGGAACTTCAAGGCCCTTCAGCTTCCGGGAAAGGAGGAGGCCAACGACAACGGTGGGCCGGTTGCAGCACGCCCCGCGCCCCGGAGGCGCCCGCCCCCAGTGTACGAGGACGAGAGCGCAGAGTCAAAGAGCGCGATGCACGCGACGATCACCAGCACCCTCGCCAGCCTCGACATGAACTCGAAGCGGCTCGATCTCAAGGACGAGGACCTGACGGAGCTGCACGAGCTGGGCTCGGGGAACGGGGGAAGCGTTATGAAGGTGCAGCACGTCAGCGGGACTATCATGGCAAAGAAGGTGCGTGCCCTCTTTCCTCGTGCGTGTTGGCGCTCAAGTATGCTCACAGATCGTCTTGATCGATGCAAAGCCGTCGGTTCGCAAGCAAATACTGCGCGAACTCCAGATCCTGCACGCATGTCGCTCTCCATACATCATCTCCGTATACGGCTCATACATCAAGACACCCAATCTTTGCATCTGCATGGAATTCTGCGAACACGGCTCCTTTGACAACATCTACAAGAAGCTCGGCCCCATACCCATCGACATTGTCGGCATGGTCGCGCTTGCTGTGCTTGAAGGTCTCAAATACCTCTATACCACGCACAAGATCATTCATCGAGGTACGCTGCTTACCTTCATAGTACCTTTCATGTACTGAAGCTTGGTCCCAGATATCAAGCCCTCCAACATCCTTCTCAGCGCCGCCGGGGACATCAAACTGTGCGACTTCGGCGTGTCAGGCGAGCTGGAGAACTCCATCGCGAATACGTTCGTCGGTAATGCCCTTCACGTAAATTACCACACACGCACTGACCGTTCCCGCAGGGACTTCGACCTACATGTCGCCTGAGCGCATCCAGGGAGCCGAATATTCCGTCAAATCTGATGTATGGTCATTGGGCATCACGCTCATTGAGCTAGCCGTCGGCCACTTCCCATGGTCCTCGGAGGACGACGAGCATCCGGAGGACATGGCGAAGTCGATTAATCGGCAGAACAAGGAGCTCTTGCAGCCCTCGACGCCCAACTCCGCGCGCCACAGCCGCCGGAAGAGCAAGGGTGTCTCGTTGCATGGTGGCACGATGTTGCTGTCCATCCTGGAGCTGATGCACTTGATTGTGCAGGAGCCGCCGTGAGTACCATTCTTTCTTTGTGTGGGATATCTACTGAATCACCGTGATAGTCCAAGACTGCCGGAGGGCAAGTTCTCACCAGACGTCTGCGAGTTTGTTGATGGATGCCTCGAGAAGGACATCGAGAGGCGGAAGCTGCCAGCACAGCTGCTCGTGAGTTCGAACTCAGCCCTCGTGAATTTTGCACTGACGGTCTCGGCTAGGCACAACCGTGGATGGAGCAACGAAGAACAACGCCAGTGGATATGAAGGCGTGGATAGAGGGGTTTTCTCGATAGTGCCGTATGTGGCACCTGCTACAGCATCGGGCCTACGCTCGTCCTGTACTTCTCGTGTCTGTAGGTGTAATCTTGGTGGTATATCCACAACCGCTCGCTATGCGGTATATATCTTGGAATACACAATACTTTCCGAATTGCCCGACTTCAAGTCATGGGAAACCTTGATAGGGCGCACTTGTCTGCTTTGAATGGAGCCAGTGAAGAATTGTATGTTGCATTGAACAGAACCAAGAAGCAGCAGCAATGTGCGATAACAATAACCAGAAGACATTACACAGAGCAGTACAGGTAGCAAAGCAACGTCCCAGACCAATCAGGGAAACGGGTAACAGCAATCAGACATCCGAAAATCGTATGTCAATCCATAGCATGCACTGCAACAATCCAAATCAGCGCAACGCCACAGCAGCAGTGACAGTACTCACATATCAACCACACTAATCTTCGTCTGTCCTCCCACGCTTACGGGCACCTTTCTCTTCGTCGTCCATGTCCAACGGATGCTGCCGCTTCGCACTATCCTCCCGAGACGCCGGATTCTTCGCACTCGATTGCCTTCTACGAATCGCTTTTGCCAGCCGATCAAGACCTGCACAGGGTGACGGCGTTATCAGCTCTCCGCCGCGCTTTGACGCAACTGAACGCTCACCCTTCTCATTGCGCCGATAGTACTCAGCCCAGGCTTTCGCCGAACGCATGGGATGCTGTCGCGGTCACGGGTTAGAAAGCAAACGCGCGCAGGCCAATGTTTCTTACGCGTTCATGGAAGCTGCCCCACTTCTCGGCATGTGAGACCTCTTTAAAATTGGCAAAGGTTGCTATGTGTGTCGCGACAATGCCGTAGTCCGCATCGGTGAATGGTCCACCGCTCGCACCCATGTCACTCTCCTTCCACTCGCGGATCTCGACGTCGTCCGTTGCAATGGACTCATCATCGTCGACATCCTCATCGGGCTCACCTTCGCCGTCCTGCTCGGAGTCTTCCGCTTCCGACAAGGGTGACTCTGAACTTGGCGCACGGCGGGTTGCCCTGCGGCGTCGTGGGACCGGCTCTTCATCTGAAGAACCGCGTCGCGCGGCACGCGCTGCGGCTCTTTGCCGCCGAGCTGTGGGCCTTGGGATCACCTCCTCAGACGTCTCTGTCGCGCCATCGTCCTCTTCACCCGACGCATCCTCATCCTCGTCTTCGTCAGAGGACAATCCTTCTTTGGCTGCGGCGAGGATCTTGTCGGGAAGATCATGATGGTTCGACCAATATGAGGCCCACGACTGGCTGCTATGATGCGGCGCCTGATTGGCGTTCCTAGCATGAGATGACGCGGTATGGTGACCTGAAGTCGAGAACGCACCTTCGCTGCCAACGCGTCACAGAGTTCGCCTCTGGAAAGCGTGGGATTCTCTTTCAATCGCCAGGAGATGAACTTCAGGAAGAAGTCGCGATCCTGCGGAGTGAATTTGTTCCCGCGGCCAGCTGAGACTACAAGGGTAGGCGGCGTAGGAGAGCGGGAGGGAGGCTCCGGTGTCTTCAGATCAGCATGCGGAGGTGGAAGACGATCGTCGAAGACAGCCTCAGGTCCAGTGATGCTATTGAACGTGCGACGCGACTTCTTCGCAGGTGGCTGAACGGATTGACGAGGACTGGGTCTCGAGGATTCCCGCGCGCGCGCATGACTTCGTTTCGAAGAGACAGACGAAGGGCCGGGAGAAGGTTCTGCTTTCACGGTCTTTTTCGCTGGAGTAGGTTCGGGCTTGGGTTCGACGCTCATCGATGGACGTGGGGTGACCCGGGCAGATATTTCTCGGTCGATACGTTGCTTGTGGTCCAAGTAGTAGTCCTTCCACAGGCTCGCCGAGTGGTTGCGTTTCTGTAGCCATCAATATGATGAATATGGAGAAATTGCTGCAGACGCACCCCGTGCAAGCTGTTCAATGCCTCTTTGTGCGACACACCGGCCTGTATACCATGGATCAGAGTCTCTATAATGATGCCTTCTTCACTCCGATCGATAGGTGTGGACATGGCGTAGGCATTGTTGAGGATTTGCTGCGAGATACCGAAGCCGTTCATACCGCCGAAGTTGTTCATTCCGGGCATGGCTGGCGGTGGCTGTTGACGAGCGCGCATATCGTTCCACTGGTTCTGCATGCCAAAGCCTTGCATGTGTGGCTGCTGTGGCGAGTGCTGCTGAGGGCGAAATGGGGGATGCATTGGGTTACCCGGAGGGAGCATAGGCTGACCAGTCCCCCACTGTTGATTGGGCAGCCCCATGTTCCCTTGCATGTTCTGCATGCGGAGCATCTGCATCTGGTTGCCCATACCATTGCCCATCTGTGGCACATTCCGGTCGGGAGTGGCGGCGGCGGGGAAAGGAGTCGAGCTGGAGGACGCAAACTCGTTCCCGAACGGATCAAGATCGAAGCCATTGACAGGGCTGCCGTTGAGGGCAAATTTCTGACCAGGAAAGTCCATGCTGAAGGCGCGCCCTGCGCTGAAGAACAAGATGTGAGGAGCAGGGCCAATGCACCGTCGAAAAACTTTCCAAGAGAGGAACACCGCGACCGCCGTGACCCAACGTTACCATTCGTCACGCCCACGTTCTCGCGTCGCGCCGTCATGCGGGGAACCCAACCTGAAAGGTGCCTTGACCGGGTCGATGGCCATTGTGCAAAGTACGACGTTTGAAGCGCCACAGGAACCCACAGTCACTCCCAGCCAATTTTTTGCAGTAGTATTTGTACAGTGTAAAGAGATGCAGTGCGTGTGCGCACTAGCATGTGCTATCCACTCAATCGTGCGTCGGCATAACCACAGAGGCGCGATTTCCGATAGCGTCATCCGCCCGCCACAGGCTAGTCGTGGTCTGGACAGGCTCGTATAAGACTTGCCTGATATGGCCACAATAGCACGTACCTTGTTCTGCGTATAGAAGTTAATTCCACTGCGAAACACCGAGTTAGCACACAGAGGCTCGGGAAGCGGATGCAGGATTGTGTGGACACACCTCGGCCCGTAGAAGCCAACATCTCCAAGGAACGAGCCCTTGTTTCCGCTCCACGAGAACATCGGCAGTGGAACGGGAATGGGCACATTGATCCCGATCTGCCCCACGTTGACCTCCGCCTCGAACTTGCGCCCTGTCGGGCCGGATTGAGTGAAGATGGCGGCTGCAAAACATGGTCGTTGGAGGCCTACTAGCGGCACGGCAAACCGAACGTACCGCCATTCCCGTACGGGTTCGCGTTGATGATGTCGATGGCATCGTCCAGAGTCTCCGCACGCAGCACAACGAGCACAGGACCGAAGATCTCCTGCCTGTGATCAATCGGTTAACGACATCTAACTCCGTGAGAGCAGTGCAAAGGGCAACCCACTTATAGCAAGTCATATCTGTTCCCGCTTCAATGATTGTCGGACCGACAAAGTTGCCATCCGGATACCCATTGACGGAGATGGTTCGGCCATCGAGAAGGAGCTCGCCACCCTCCGTCTCCGCAGACGTGATCAGACCCGTCACGCGCTCTTTGGCAGCAGTAGAGATGAGAGGACCGCTGGTGGATGGCTTAGCGAATATATGTGCAGCCGCAAAGAACGGACTCACAGGTCAGCGCCCTTTTCGAAGCCACCGCTGACGTTCAGTTTCTTGGAGCGTTCGACAAGCTCCGGCAGGAAGTCGGCTGCTTTGCCCACCAAAATGGCTGCCAAGAAAGCGGTCAGGCCGGTTTTTACCTTTTACTATGGCAGTGCGCATACCGACGCTGACAGCCATGCAGCGCTGACCAGCAGCTGGACCATTATGAGCAAAGGCAGAAAGACAGAAAGCAGCGACTCGCACCTCCGAAGGCAGCACCGATGACAGAGTTCTGTAAAGTGTGAGAACGTATGGTGGGAAGCAAGGGCTCTGGAACGCACAAGCGCCAGGTTCTGGTTCGCTGAACCCAATGTCAGTTCATACATCCACACGACATTCGCGGTAGCTCACCGTCGGGCATGATGATAGCGTGGTTCTTCGCGCCGAGATTGGCCTAGATACTCATGAGCAATGTCCTTCCAATCATGACGGCCTCGTGTACCTGCACGCGCTTGCCATTCTGAGTTCCCCTGACGAAGCATAAAAGAGGGGCTAGCATTGAAGATGCGAAGTCGCTTACCTGTCGTATATGTGCTTACCAGCTTTGTCACCGCCAACAAAGCTGATGGCCTTAATAGCAGGGTGATCGCACAGGCCGTTCACGGTCGGCACACCACCGTGAACGATGTTCAGAACACCGGGTGGGAGGCCTTGCGTTCGAAGGTGAGTAGTTGCCACAATCATGACCTCAAGTGATACACACCTGCGCGCTGGCAGAGCTCTGCAATAATCATAGCAGCGCCCGGATCGCGTTCTGAAGGCTTGAGAACGAGGGTGTTGCCGGTGACTGCGGCCATAGGAATGGTCCAAAGGGGAATCATGGCCGGGAAGTTGAAGGGTGCGATGCTGGCACAGACGCCGAGAGGTACCTTGCGAGCGTAGGTGTCCATGTCCTTGCTCACTGGAATGGTCGTCGTTATGCTATATAGAGCAGGATAAAGATGCAAGCCTACCTTCCAAGATGTTCCCCATCAGCGTCGTAGTCGCTGCTGCCGCGGTCTCGACGACTTGAAGCCCACGAAGGAGGTCTCCGTGCGCATCAGGGAGGGTCTTTCCTTGCTCGAGTACGATGCTATTCGCGATAGCATCCGCATTCTCCCTCAAAAGCTGCTGCAGCCTGGGGGAAGTCGGGAAGGGTGTGTCGGTCGCATGATCATGTCGTATGTAATCCTCACACACCTGAGGACAAAGTTCTGCCGCTTGAGAACGCTGGTCCGGCTCCAGGTCTTGAAAGCCTCTGACGCAGCATCGACAGCCTGCTCGAACTCGGATTGGGTAGTTTGCGGGACGCGCGAAAGCAGCGTCTGGGTAGACTGGGGAGAGGCGTGGCAAGTCAGTTGCCGATACAACATGCCGCGGCAAATCACGTACCGGATCCACCACATCTACCCATTCTGAGGCCTGGCTCTCTGCAAACTCGCCCCCGATGAAGTTCTTCGTTTTCCCTCCCGTCATGCTGGTGCCCTTCCACTCCGCGGAAAGCTTCTCGGCATGAGGCAGAGCGGTAGCGCTCAATGCGCTGCGAGATGCCGAGGTCGCAAAGAGGCGTGCGGACAGAGACGTCTGCCGCAAGAGCGCGCGGGAAGCATGCGTACGAGCTACGGCAGACATGGTTGAAGGCAAGAGACGCTTGCGCGCTTCCCCGCATTTCGGTCATTGGACGGATCGGTCCGAACAGCCGGGTTTACTTCCCGATGCCGACAAGATGCCGGGCTTTATGGACTTCAACGGTAGAAATAGGCAAGCGGCGGCAAGCTTTTTCATTGTGTTAACCATTCTACAGGACATGGTGAACTTTCTGTCTATACAAATGCAACGATGTTACTCTACAGATCATGATTGAGGTCTAGTAAAAACGGCTACTTCTTCTGAGGGCCGAACGTCTTGTCAAGGAAAGCGTGCGAGAGGGCAGTGCACTGGTTGTAGACTTGCTCAAACCCTTTCTGCTCATCGAAGAAAGCGTGGAGGTTAAGATGGGGGAGAAGCGACGCATCAAGTGGTTAATGCTAGTTGTGAACATGGAATGGGTAGGATGCTTACGACGCCACCGTAGTACGGGTCTGCAATCGGCCTGCCATCGAGGTACGATCCCCAGAGCTCTACACTAGCCTTTGCATCGCGCGGTCTCATACGCTGAAGGGCAGCCAGATTCGAGTTGTCGGCGGCAAGGATGTGCGTGAAGGTGCGGAAGTCGTCCTCGGAAACCTGTCGGGCAACGCGATCGAGGGAAATACCGTGCTGTTGGGAAGTTCGTCAGTATGAACCGCTTGCAAGAATGAACACTGGACGCGTACTTTCTTCAGAGTCGCGAGCGTCCTGCGCCACAATGTCAGCCACGGAACGCCAGCAGGGGCATGCAATGTACCTGTCATCTGGCTCGTCTCCAACATGGTAGCCACCAGTTCCGCAGCTGTCCACGTAGACCTCATTGCCACGCTGCTTTGCGACATGCCTCAAGACGGCCTCCCCCATCGGAGACCTGCAGATGTTGCCTGTAAGCGCCCGATCGGTCAGTTGATCGTACGATGACGCGGGGAACGGCCCCCTTGCCTAAACATACGACGAGAACGCGAACTTCAGGCTGAGATGAGGATGACATGGGTCTCTATACCGCACAGCGGCGTGAAGGGAGGAAAGAGGTGGGATGCACGCGGTCGAGGACAAGATGGTTGAAAGCGGGTTTCCTTTTGCGTCCGCGTCAACTGCGCGAACATTGATGGCGCATCGCTTCTCTGTCTCGTACTTCGCGCTAGTATGCCTTCGCCGCCAATACAAGTCTTTCTTACGACCATAGCGAGTCAGCCCGCGCTCCGGCAGCGCCAAGGTGCGCGCCTACTGCCCTTGCGCACTTATTGAACCTGAACATGTTCCTCATCGCGTCTGCTTCCATCCACCTTGAATCCGAACAGAGTACATCCTCCGCATCTTGCAGGTCAAGAAGATACCGTTCACTTCATATGATCTTGCCTCCGACGAGAACGCAAAGCGCTTGTGGAAGCGAAAGGCGCCACCAGGTGCGAGCATCAATCCTACATCCCTCGAGCCTTGGGTCCCGCCAGAGGTCCACCAACCTACACATCACTCGAAGGAGCTGACACGGCCCTGCAGACAAGCAGCAACTCCCTGGAATACTAGTCGGCGAGACCTGCCCTGGGGTGCGTTGTCTACTCTTCGTCTCGATCCTATCTAACTATCACATACCATCCAGAGCTTTGCCGAATTGTGAGCTCATTCCCCGTTCCCTACGGCACCTCCTTACACATCCTCAGCGAAGAAGCCGTCGAATTTGACGAACTATCCTCCTTCCTCCGCCTCGACGAAACCTGGCACGAAGATGAAGAGAGACCAACGCTCCCCCAGCAGCCGATCGGTGTACCGGGCGCCATGACGCCGCTGGAGATGACACCCGAGCGCCTCAAACCTATCATTCAACAGCGCGCTCCCTCACCACTGGGCCCAGACGCTCCGAAACCTGTACCGGTCAACAAGCGCAAGACGGTGTTGCTGGATGCCGGGGAGGTGTTCTCAGGGTTCGGCTTGCAAGGAGAGAAGGTCAGGATCCCACTTCCATGCTAATGAGCTCGTCTTGACCATTTCGTAGGTATCCGAGAACGAACTCGCAGACCTGGTGGCCGAACTGGGCTTGGACGGTGACGAAGCTGGGGATCTCATCAAAGGCCTCTCAGGCGACGACGATGTATCGAGTAAAGGGAAAATCCCCGCACTCAAGTTGGAGAAACCGACGACTGCCGAGCTCGAGGAAGAGAAGAAGCCTCCGAGCAGTGCGGCGAAGGAGCTTCCCACCGCGACGTTCGATAAGCCTACTACGAAAGTCGACAAGCCCGCGTCAGTAGCGAAGCCTGGAGCGACCTCGAAAGCGGCGGCGAAGCCTCCGACAACCACCAAAGCGACAGATACGAAGGAAGGGGAGAAGGCGAAGGCGAAGGAGGACTCCGCTCCGGCATCGTTAGAGAAACCGGCGTTGTCGAAAGCGGAGGATACGACGTCGAAGCCTGTAGAGAAGGCCGAAGTGGTCGGAGCGGAGAAGGAGCAAGAGAAGGCGGTCATGGAGGAGAAGGAGCAGGAGGACGAGGGTGGAAAGCCTTCGCAAGCAGAGGCGGCAAAGCCCAAAGCTGATGAGGTGGACAAGCCGAAGACGGCTGAGGTTGAAAAGCTCAAGGCTGCCGAGGCTGAGAAGCCCGCTGAAGCGTCTAAATCTTCGACCGAGTATGCAGAGAAGGCAGCATCACCAGGGGAGGGCGATGCGCCTGCTGCTCCTTCGAAAACGGAGACATCCTCTACGAAGGAAGCTGCGTTGCCGAGCGACTCGACACCCGCAGAGGCGGCTCCTGCGAAAGCGGAAGCACCAGCGGAAGACGCAGCGTCGAAGAAGGATGCCATGCCCGCCGAGAAGCCAGTGGCTGGGGAAGCAGCCACGACAGTGAAGGGGACATTGGCGGAGGCGACTTTGCCGTCTCAGAAAATCCTCGACGTTGGCAACGACGAGAAATCGGAGAAGCCTGCCGCAGCGGAAGAGGCGAGCGCGAAGGTTGAAGCAGCACCGGAGGCTTCAACTTCGAAGCCCTCCACCGATACGAAGAAGTCTGCCCCCATCTCCCCGTCTACCAAATCCACGGACGCCTCGTCGAGAAAGTCGGGTATCCCTAGGCTAGCTACGCCGAAGAAGAAAGCCGTCCCGCTCCCCTCTCCCGACGCCACCGACTCGCTCGACCTGCCGCCCCTCCCCACGAAAGCCTCCTCCGAGAACCTCAGTGTCAAGGGGAGCCCTCGGCCACCAAGGACGCCCTCTCCGTCATCCCGCGCAGCCGCGTCGAACCCCACCACACCCCCACCGAAGGAGAACCCTCGCTCACCGAAGTCGCCCATGAGGAGTATTCCGGGCTTGTCGGTGAAGAAGCCTTCCGCGCTCACAATAAAGAAGAAGAAATCTGCGGAGCCGCCGAAGCCCGCGGTCGAGCAGAGGCCGAGGGCGGGGTTGGATTTGGGGCACCGGGAGTAATTGGATAAAATCCAGTTCACGATGGTATTGGTCCAGCTAGAGAGTAGCAGGGTGGGTACAGGAGGATGATACCAGTACGAGGATATGTAGATAATGGAACGGAATGGTCTTGGATTTTCGCAGCGAGGGAAAAAGGATTTGTGTATAAATGCGCCACAAAAGAATCCTCTACAGCTTCGACTGCGAAGGCATGTTGACGAGGTTGCCGCCGTCGAGGGTAAGCGTCGCCCCATTAACGTACGCGCTCGCGGGGCTCGCGAGGTAGATAGCCGTACCAGCGACATCCTCGGGCGTTCCAGAGCGGCGAAGGGGGATGTTATCCAGCCAACCCTTCCCTTCTTCCGTCTGAGCGGTGTAAGCCGTCACTGAATAAATCGGTCAGCGTGCCACAAAATTTTGGATGATTTTCAGCGCACTCTTAGTGATGAAGAGGCCGCAGGCGATGGTGTTGGACGTTATGCCCTCGCGCCCGAGGCGGCCGGCGAGGTGACGGCTCAATTGGTGCAGACCGGCTTTGGCAGCGGCGTAGGCGTAGGTTTCGTGGTCGGGGACGCCTGAAAGGGGTAAGTCCGTGCTTGCAGGTGAGCGCACGCTGTACACACCGAGTCCCTCAATGGAGCCAATCTTGAGGGGTGAGCATGAGTAAGGGATGAAGGAGCGTACCAAAGGATGTACTCACGTTGATGATACGTGCCGGGTCCTTATGCGTACGGCCATCCTTGGACTTCGCGGCGGAGGCACGAAGCAAGGGAAGGAGGGCCTGGGTGAGCGTGAAGACGCGCTGAAGGTTCAGCGTAATGACTTTGGTGAATCCATCATCCTGTACATGCGTTCAGAAACGTAACACGGACGAAGGAAAGTGCTCACAGAATGCGTGTCGACGCTCTCCCCCCACGCCGCACCGGCATTGTTGATCAAGACGTCCAGAACCTGTTCCCGAGACTTAAGCTCGGAAACAAGCCTCTGGATCTCCTGCACGCTCTGAAGGTTCGCGGGAAGGGAGATACAGGTGCCAGGGCCGAGAGCAGTGAGCTCAGACGCAGTCTTGTTGCAATCCTTCGCCGATCGCGAGGAAACGTAGACCTGTGAGCAGAGGGTAAGCAGGCGCGCTGCAGAGATATTGAGAGACGCGCCTTAGCTCCGTTCCTCACGAACCCAGTGGCTATCTGAACTCAAAAGCTTGAGCTTCGGCAGTGAGTAGGTGAGGGAGCTTCCACACCATCTTGCCAATGCCCCTGCTACCACCGGTCACTAACACGACCTTCCCCTTCACGGAGAAGAGATTCGTCAATTCAAAGGAGCTCATGGTAGGCCAGTGATTAGATGGAAGTTGCTGTCAAGGGACGAACTTTGCCGACGACCGAGCATGGTTAGATGCGTCCGCCTTGTCCGGTCATGAAAGCAGCGGTCCGACCGCCGGCGCCAATTCGATTTCACGTGGGAGGACGCGTTGTGGGTCCGCGCGGATCCCGCCAAAAACGTCGGGGAAATAGACCCCTCCGCAGGGTTGTGCCAGAGTGCCCCGCCTGCCCCGCAATCCGCTTTTGTGGCCAACAAGAGGTAGACAGAACAAGGCGCCATGGAAGGACAAGGCAAGCTCGAAATGAATGGGAGACGGCTTCTGAAGGACATCGGCGATCAAGTGAAGCTGGCTAGGCCTGCTGCCTCGTGATGCCTCGTGAACGGAGAACAGTGACCGGCGACTAGCGCTGCAGGAACCAGGACGCTAAGCGCGAATGTCCACTTGTTATCAGGTCCTCGAAGCTCTCCCCCATCGACGACGAGGACGTCGACGGCCTCTGGCCCCTTCGTCGTCGTTGCCACCAAGGACCCACCGTCGCACGCCGCCGGCCGGGTGATCCGGGGAGGCTGAAGGGCTTGGGGGCTGCGCATCTGATGCCGTCACGTCTTTCCTTTTCTGCTCTTGGCTACGACCACCATGTCCGCTCCTTCTCCCTTTGGGCCCAACGCACAGCGGCGCCAGCCGTTCGACTCCCCCGCGTCCAGCACCAGCCTCCTCCCCAGCGGAAACTCTTTCCCTCATTCCACCAGCGCTCCCAGATCAGGCCCGAATGCGGTACGTATTACTTCGCGTCGCACGCCCACCAACTCACGCATAACGTCGCGCAGACTGGCTCGCCATATTCGGTTGCGAGCGGCTTTGATAGCAAGTCCACGCTTGCTGGCTCCATCTCAGATAAGGTGCGTCGTCCAGCTCATTCACCCACCGCACGTTCTGAGAAGCATCGCCCAGTTTTCCCTCCCACCGGATCCCATGATGTGGGGGGCTTCCAACTTGTCGCGCGATGTACAAGAACCCGACGATTACCTTCACAATCCCGATCCCAAGCGCGACAGAAGGCGAGACCGCGGTGGCACGATCTTCACTGCCCGTGGTTTCTACAACCTTGGCTTTTTGCTGCTTCTCGTACTTGCCATGGTTGGGCTCTTGTATGTGTTCTAATTTTCAGATCTTCCTCACCCACTGACTTTCTTCTTAGTGCCGGCTACCCTTTGGCGAGTTTCTTCACCAAGCAGACTCAGTCCAACAACGGTGGTAAGGTGTCCAGCACCCGGCCCATTGGACTCTATTTAACATATACTACAGGTTTCAACCTTGGTGGTATCAACGGCTCCGGTCAGGTCCCAGAAATGAACGGAAACTGGGGTGCCATTGACTTGGACACGCCGGAGGAAGTCAAGACGAAGAAGGGCCCGACCAACGGCGATGACATGGTTCTCGTTTTCTCGGACGAGTTCAATGTCGACGGTCGTACCTTCTACCCTGGCGATGACCCGTACTGGGAGGCCGTTGACCTGCACTACTGGGGTGTACGTGCCTCGTAACATTTTCTCTGGTATTTACTGACGGTCAACAACGCGCAGACGAACAACATGGAGTGGTACGACCCAAGCGCCATCAACACCACCGGTGGCGCTCTCCGCGTGACGCTCGATGCTAAGCCGAACCACGACCTCGACTACACTGGCGGTATGATGTCGACCTGGAACAAGTTCTGCTTCACCGGTGGTCTAGTCGAGGTCGCGGTTGAACTCCCGGGTGCGAACAACATCGTCGGCTTGTGGCCCGCCGTGTGGACGATGGGTAACCTTGGTCGCGCGGGTTACGGTGCGAGTTTAGACGGAACATGGCCGTACACTTACGGTGCGTCCATTTCTTTCATAAGAATAACCATGCGGATCCTGACATCTGTATGCAGACTCTTGCGACGTCGGTACTGTGGCCAATCAGACCAAGAACGGTCTTCCTAGGGCGGCTACTATTGATGGAGACAAGTCGTATGACGATGTCCTGTGTACGTACTACCTTCCTCTTCTATTGTACTATCACCGACCTCCCCTCCAGCGTACCAGGGTGGACAGCGTCTTTCCCGTTGCACTTGCCCTGGCGAGATTCATCCCGGACCCATGCACTCGGACGGTACCTACGTCGGCCGTGCAGCTCCCGAGATCGATATCTTCGAAGCCCAGGTCTCCCCGACTGAGGGTGGTCACGTCTCGCAGTCCTGCCAGTGGGCGCCGTACAACTACGCCTACCAGTGGTTCAACACGTCCGACAACCTCATCATCTACGACGACGAGATGACCCAGCTGAACTCGTACATGGGTGGTGTCTACCAGCAGGCCACCTCCGCCGTGTCGTTGACCAGTGAGTGGGCCGTGCATCTTATCACTACGCCCTGTCTGAACGTTCTTCAGACCAGGAGTGCTACCAGCTTGAGACCGGCTGCTACGCGGTCTACGGTTTCGAGTATGTTCCTGGCTTTGATGATGCTGTGAGTCTCGTTGCCTGTTTTGCTATGCTCGTATTGATCAAGGATTTCAGTACATCACCTGGCTCAACGAGTACGCCCCTCCTTCGTACCTGTGTTTTGTTTTACTCAATTACTATCCAGTAACCAGAAGGCGTGGACCATGAAGGCTGCTGGTATGGCCGCCGACACGCGTGTCGAGATCGGACCGCGTCCCATCCCCGAGGAACCGCTCTACCTCATTATCAACTTGGGTATGAGTAGGAATTTCGGTGATGTCGACTTGGACCATTTGACGTTCCCAGTATGTGTACCTTGTCTCGAGATCGCGATGACAGCTGACACAGTGCTTAGGCCGTCATGTCCATCGACTGGATTCGCGTGTACCAGAAGGCCGACTCGGTCAAGTGAGCCTCAATTACTGTACTCACCTTCACTCATTCTAACCGTGCCTTTCAGCATCGGCTGCGATCCGCCCGAGTTCCCGACTGCCGCGTACATTGCGCAGTTCCCGGAGGCGTACAGCGTAAGTCTTGTCGCGCCAGCCCCCATTGCCGAATACTGAGCTGTCTCGACAGAACCCCAACTTGACAACATGGGTCGACGACTACAAGCAGACCGTCCCCAAGAACAGCTTCTTGGACGAGTGCTAATGGACGCGCTGCTCACGAGTCGTTATGTCATTTATGTACGACCACCGGGCCTCGCACGGTCGAGAGTGTCCGGGGTGTTGAGCATCGGAGGGCGAGTTCCCCAGCATAGGGGGGAGTACCACTTTAGCAGGGGCGTACCCGCCCGTGGAAAGCATCGGACTTATCAAGCGATCTACTTAATCTACTATCAGCGTACGTGCGGCCAGTTTCGCATTCATAGCCTGTATACCTGGTCGCGTTGGCCTCCATAACATACCTGTCGTCCGCCAGCCCTCACCATCGTCTTTCTTTCTGGCATAGATCTACAAATTGTACTCTGCCTTGGACGCGGGCAAGTGTATAATGGAGACTGGATTTTGGATTGGACGATACAAGCTTGCGCACTGCACAAATTGTAGGACGCGCTGGGATAAGAGTGGTGGAAACCAGTCACGTGCGCGGTTGTTCTCTCGCCACGCCTTGCCCGCGTCCCTTCCCACAGCCGTCTTCCTTGCATCTTCCCTTCACGGGCGCAATCCAGGCGAGGAGAATATTTTACTGTGTGAAGCTCTCCTAACGCTCATGCGTCTACAGTACTGTAACCAGATCTAACGAGTCATTCCAAAGCCAACATCGGATTGACGCAAGTGTCTGGCGATCGCGAATTGATCACCAATCGAGCGTAGCACTGTCATGTAAGATCTCGCGAAGTGTGCATCCTCTCACATCTAATCACCTTGCAGGACACGTCGCAAAGGGAAGGGCGGCCGAAACAAACAAAAGGCTGGCCAGCCCGTCCGTCTTTCATCGAACAGATCGCCGAGTCCTATATCGAATCTACCGGTCGAGCTTCTGCTCGCGATCTTCAAAACTGGCATACCCATATCATTTGATCCAACATGGTACCTCTATGCGTCCAAACCTCTGGAGGTCGCCGTCAGCCAAGTGTGCAAGCTGTGGCGCTCGATCACCATTGACGCTGCAGAGCTTTGGACCGTCATCTGCGTCCGACCCACTAATGCGACCTCGCGACGGCGCGCCCATGAGTACGCTCACAGGTCGCGAGATCAACCGGTCACGGTCCATGTCTACTTCCAGGAGTTCGGTACCATCTTCTTCGGTCCTCCTGGTGTGGATTTACTCAAGCTTCTCGCACCACGGCTCAGGGAGCTCATCTTGACGGACCCTCAGGGCGAGTACATTGGCAGAGTTCTGGAATGCTTCGACGAAGCCCCCAACTTGCAGCGTCTGGAGTACGCTCAAACCCCTGTGCGCGGTGACCTGGTCAATCACGACCGGCATAGTCCCGCCGATGAACCTGCCTCTGATCCTGGCGCCCCCCATTTCCCATCTCTGCGACATCTCAAAGCCAATCATGTATGCCTTATCTGCCTCCCGCCACTCGTCAATCTTGTCTCTCTCCATGTCACCAACCTCTCTAGCGACAATCCCACTGTGCTCGCAGGCATCATACATGATTGTCCGGCTTTGCACACGCTTGTCCTTCCCAAGTTCCAACTGCGTTGGAAGGAGAATCCATATAATGCCACAAGGGTGCAGCCGGTGCCCATCATCGTAGCGCCGTCTATCAAGCGGTTCGCAGCGCAATTCACCAGTGTACCATACCAACCCAGGCGCCGTTCTGAGCCAACTATCCGTCTCTCCATGCCCAACCTGGAATACTTCGAGCTTTACGAGGAAGAAGGCGACGAGATCCGCTTGAGCCTCCTCTTCCCAGCCCAAGATGGCTCCTCGAGCCCCTTCCCCTCGCTTCACACACTCCGCCTACAAATAACCTCCAGCTATCGGGACTCCTCTTTTCTATCGTCACTCACGGCCATTCGCCACCTCATTTTGGTCATCCCAATGCCGCTGCCGCTGATTACAGAACATTGGTGGCCAATTCTGGAAACTCTGCACGTCAGGATCGACACAACCTCAAACGCTGATACAGACGATTCAGATGAAGAAGACCAGGAGCTCGTTGAGAGCGAACTTAAAGATGTATGTTTTGTCCTTCCATAGAAGTCCTTGAACTCATGCACGCGTTGTTTTCCACTTTTTTTGCAGTTCCTTTGCAAGTTCGCGACCAGGAGGCCAGTATGGCGTAGATTTTGATGATAAAATTACCGCGGACGCGCTTTCACGCCGCGCAATCGCGCTTTGTCTGGGGGAGGTTCCGGGCGTCCCGTGGTGTATATTGAGCCTCTCCCTCACCCTTTGCACCCTTAGATGGCCATGGAAGTGATGGTGGAGGAAGAGAAAGCGTCGTCGACGCTGTTCGGCCATTGCCGACCAGGGCGGCAAGTCGGTCCGCGATCTCCACCTCAACTGCCATCTTTCCCTTGATCTTCCCCTTCTTCCTTGCGTCGTATCGTGCAGCAAGACAGTGAATCAACCATAACCACTTATCAACCATGTGATGAATTATTACTGGATGTTCATGATCTGTCATGTCTTTACTCACTTCAACTCATGCACGCTATGCAAGGCACTACCTTGACTGGCTATTCATGGCACGGGCGACTGTATTCTCAATGTTCAGCCATCAATTGGCGCTCTAGTAACTGATTTACTCTTGCGTACTCCTGAAGGAACCGAATTTCTGAAGCTAGAGCTACCCTTGTCGAGTCGCACAAGCACCATGATTGATTGGTCATGCGGCAATTTGAAAAAGACTCACGGATTCGCTAAACGGGCTGTACTGATAAAGTACTACCTCTGTTCGACTGCTGGGTCGTGTACGACCATGAGAGGAAGAGGAAGGGATGGGTGGCAGTCGAGGCGGAGATCGCGGACCGACTTGCCGCCCTGGTCGGCAATGGCCGAACAGCGTCGACGACGCTTTCTCTTCCTCCACCATCACTTCCATGGCCATCTAAGGGTGCAAAGGGTGAGGGAGAGGCTCAATATACACCACGGGACGCCCGGAACCTCCCCCAGACAAAGCGCGATTGCGCGGCGTGAAAGCGCGTCCGCGGTAATTTTATCATCAAAATCTACGCCATAGGCCAGAGGTACAGATCACAATTTCCGACCTTGGCCCGCTTTCCAAGGACCTGCCCTTCGGTCGCGTACCATGCGGGGAGTATCATGGTCTGATCACCAAGGCTGATGCAGCGAAGCCTGAGACGTACAGGTTCTCGAGGGACCATGGAGATCAGTTCCGGTACAGAGCATCGTACCATAATTGTTTCGATGATGTCGAGTACGACAGTGACTACGGTGGTTGGTACCGTATAGATGGTTATGACTACTGAATATGCGAGGGTAGCATCGTAATTGTAGTGCCATTGAGTCATGTTTTGGGTGCGAATATCGTGATGACGCGCCAGAGTGCGTCCTTTCCTCGTTCCCAAGCCTGAGGACCGCGGGCCTCACTACCAGCAAACTCGACCATCACGCCGTCCCTTGACCACTCGCACCAGATGCCGATCGATCCATTCGTAGGTCCCGCCCCACCGCCCTTCCTGTCCGGCTCGCCGAATGCGGCAACAAATCCTTTCCCCGTAGTGGCTGGCGACACTTGGAAAGTCGCGGGCCTCTGGAGCTCTGTTCCTTCCTTGTCCTTCAAGGCCGGCGTCAAATGGAGCGTGAAGGGGTTGACGGGATACGTGCTGAACTTGACTTCAGCTGTTCGCGACGAGGTCGCTTTGTTGGTTTGCTGCGACGAGCTCGGCACGTTGTAGAGGTCGATTGAGTCGAGGGACAGCTTTTCAGGGGATATAGGGGAGGATTTAGCAGGATTGTATCCCTTCTCGGGTGCGAACATTAGGCTGATCCCGAGAGCATAGTGGTTGTAGTAAACCGCGTCTGAGTAAGCCTTGACATCGGGGGAAACCGATGCGCCCGTTTTGGCCTGTAGGTCACCCAAGAAGACCTTGAGCGCGTCAGAGTCTGGATGGTGGCCGATGAGCATTCTGAGGTCGAGCTCGGAGGACATGATGATGGTGGTCGAGAACAAGGACGCGTTTGATCGCTAACGTCGCGCCGCGATAAACACGTGCATACGCGTCTTGCCGCTCGCCACCATGAAGACGGAGAGCGGGTACAGCTCCTTCAGCCCTCAGCAACCTCCACGTCGGAGGGGGCTGATAGATATCCTGCTCGATGGTGCTCTCTCTGTAGTGCAGCTCCCAATGACCCTCGCTTCATCCCTCGTCTCGACCGGGCTCGAGACCCTCCGGCCGTTCTCCCCTCAGCTAATTCCCCTCCTCATCTGCACGCTCCTTATACCCATCGTTGTCTTCTTTTCGCTGGCTTCGGGTCTCTTGGTATGGAAGAGCCTTGCCGTCGGCTGGGAGGTGCCTCTGTATCTACAGTACGGGTGAGTGACGGGTTGTAGCAACGGCACAACCTCTTATGATCAGAATCGGTTCAGTGATGGTGTTCAGCCGTATGCTCAAGCCCAAATACCCTCCCTCGTCTCATCGCAACCCTACGATATATCTCTGCAACTTGTCGTGCCTGCATCCCCATCGAACCTTGCGCTAGGCAACTTCATGACGGAGTTGGCTCTGACTACGCCAAGCAATGGTACCGTGCTATCGGTGCGGAGGCCGGTAAGCTTCGTGCTCATCTACTCTACTACACAGCTCATTAAATGGCCCAGGCTATAGCAACACCTCCTCGATCGTTCTTTCTATTCCCAACTTCACTCACGACCGAGATCTCTGTGCCCTTGTTAGCTGCCTTCACGCCAGGCTTGACAGACCTCATAGCGTCCGTCACTATCGGTCGAAAGGATAACTGGCGATCCATCGGTGCTGGGGAAGGACGTGAGCTCAGCGTGCTCTCTGCGACCCTGAAGGGCACTGTGGTGCACCAGGGAGTTCGGTTTGTCGCTGCCTTCTCTTGTCTTGTTCGGTTATTGATGTGCGTTCACAGTGGATTGCTGACGCGCTTCCCCTTCGCTCTATCCTGTGCAGCCGCAGGCGCGTTTTTCTTGACTTGTATGGCCGTAGTTGCAGCATGCTTGCTACCCGTCGCACTTTCGGGTCCGCTCGACATCGCGCCACCGTCGCCACCAACGAAGCCTTCGCCACCTGCGAGGCCGCCTTCGCAAAAAGCGCTCCCGGACTCAGAGACAGACTCAAGCTCCGACGACGACTTCCCCTCTCCCAGACGGAGACTAAGTCGCCGGACTTCGGTACGAAATTTCTTCCCGGACGTTTGGGACATCTTACTGACGGTTCGGCAGAGAGAAGTCAAGCATGAAGCTCCAATAACCACTATCAAGGACGAGCCAGAGTCCTCGTCCACACCATTGCGCAGGCGCAGGTCGAAGATTGCAGACTTGGGGTCGCAGTCAGAAGGGTCTTCCTAGAGTACGGTTGTCCAGCCTTGAGCAATTGGATCAAGCTTTACATGCCGCAATGTTGGATTAATGCACTTGAGGCTCTGCGTGGTTATCCCGCGCCTTTTTCGGAGACAAGCACGAATGACCGCCCCACGGGGCAGCTACGGCCGTGCGGGGTCCGGTTTTGCATCCGTCCGGCGCCTGCCTTCGAGGTTGAACTTGTTTTTCGGGACGTAGGTAAGTCGCTCGCCTGGCAATAATCCTATCCCGCTTCCGGTGCATCGAGCGAGGTTGAGGATAGCTTTGGCCTGGATAAGATAGCTTTTGTGCTTTCCGATAGTCAGAAGGAAGCGAGGTGGGCATTTTTGCTACCGAATTCACGAGCGATACGACGTCCAGGTGGGGGTAAGGGGACACGCGCATGTGATTTGCCCCGCATATATATCGTCGAGTCGTGACGACACCTTCATCGCGCTCTTCGCCCACCCATCTCTTTAGCTACTGTCATCCACCTACAGCAGTCGCGAACAACGATGGCAGTCCCAGCGAGCTTCTCTGTCCAGGATATCTCGGGCAAGTTTGTGATGGTGAGGTGACTTGCCGAGCATCGTACGCGCTGATCTGACGATCGGTGGGTCGATGTAGAACAAGGGCCTCTCTGGCAACACGGATAAGATCCTCACGCTGCAGGGGATCAGTTGGGTGAAGAGGTTCGTCGGCCCCCCTCCATCTGTACTCGTCAATGTGCCGTTCCGGACGTTGTCGCTTTCGCTATACAACCAGCAACTCCCCTTCCTCGCTGCGTCTCTCGCATGAATATGCATCACTAACGCTCCCGATGAACAGGAAGATCATCGGTGCTGGTACCATCTATGTGACCATCAACCACTGGAGAGACGAGAACGGTGTCGAGCGCATCGACGCGACTCAGACTCTTAGCGGTCTGAACGAACAGACGGTATATTCTTCGGCACTCTGCACCCTGCCTCATTACTATTCTTCTCTCATATCTGCCACAATCACTTACCCTTCTCCCCCTCTCACCTCAATTATTGACCTTACCCACAGGAAGAACGCGCCCTCGACTGGAATGAGCGCAAGAAAGAGGACAACCTCTTCGGGCATGTCGTAGGCAAATCCCGCCGCGTCAAAGCCGAAGACCTCGGCATCGACTGCCCCCACCTCATCGAGGGCTGGACCGCCGACACGCTCGAGCAGGGCCTCATCGAATCCTACGTCGACACCGCGCCGGAGAACGGCACGCAGTGGACGGCGGTGCAGACGTGGGGCGTGGAGGAGATCAATGGCGAGCGGCGCTACGTGCGGCACGTAAGGCTGACGACGCCGAAGGGGGACGATGAGCAGATCAAGCTGGTGTATGATTACAGTGAGTGGGGGGTGTCTTATGGAAGAAATGAAGCTGATGGAAATATAGCTGGCCCGGTCTGAGGTCCTGGCGCCTCTACTAACCTTTGAACTGGACGAAACTGAATCGACGAGTCGTATCTTTATTGTGATGGATCGAACTGCTGTTGCTTGCCTTGCTCTTCCTAGACGCCGCGAATGCATTCGATGAGCTAAAGCCTCTCGGCAGCCTGATTTCAATGTGAGTACTGTACGGTTTCGACCATAGGTTCACGTCACATGTCACTGGGACCCATGAACTGAACCTACGGCGCAAGTGTCACAGGTCATACCAGTCGGTGAACTCCGTACCATGTAAGTCCGAAATAGCGCGTTTTGAGCCTAAATTTGCGGTTTTTTCGCCCACTGCGTACACTCCTACATATTTTCTAGTCACCTACCCATCCCATGTCATCCCATTTCGATGTCCACATCCTCCCTCGCGACGTGCGCTGGCCCCGCCTGTGTCTCCCTCCTTCCTTGGGCTGCGGCGTCTCATGAAGGCTGACAACATCGACGTCAAGGTCTTCAGCGACCTCTACACGCATGAGATTCCCCTCCTCCTGACATTATCCTGGTGGGATCTGTGAGCCCTCCGACATCACAGAATCAACGATGGTGTTAGTCGGCACGTCGATGCTGAACGGACATGGTGTTGGATACGATGGACATGGGTACGCCACCAGACGATGAATATTTTACTCGGCCCAGAGGGCCGCGCCACCCGCGAACTCAGGCGTGTGAACTTAATTATCTAGTGTCACACCCGATTTTCACCCGTGAACTTGAACTAAGGTAAGTTCACGCGGTCACAGGTCACATCCGCTGAACCTACGGTCGAAACCGTACAGTAGTCTAAGATCAGCTAATGGTACACAACTGCAATCTTCGCCCACAACCATACCCTCGTCTACGACAAGCTCGCCCCCACAAACGTCGGCGCAGCACAAACACCCTTCTCCGTCCGGATCCTATGCACCGACTTCGTCTTCGGGTCCACCCACGCTGCCTCGCGGGACTCGAGGGTGGTGAAGTCGGGCTGTATCGTCTCGAAGATCTTCTTCTTCGGGTTGAGCTGCGAGAGCGGCTGCTTGTCCTCGAAGCCCTCGAAGTAGATGCGGTCGCCGGGCTTGCTGCCCTCGGGCGGGTTGACGATCTCGATGCCAGCTTCCTTGCCGTCGGGGTGCGTGGCGCAGAGGACCATGGCGAAGCTCTTGACGCCGCGCATGGTGGCGGGCTTGAGGTTGCACTGGGGGTGGTGGGTAAGGACACGGAAGGAGGATGGAGTGGGAAAGAGAAACGCACGACAGCAACAAGCCACTTATCGCGCATCTGCTCGATTGGGATGTATTTTACGAGGCCAGAGACGACGGTGCGCGGTCCAGTTTCCTCGCCAATGTCAATTTTCTGCGAACGTGTCAGTCGTGCACAGAAACGCAAGGAAGGGTGTTATACCTCGACATACAAGCCATCCGCGTCTGGGTGCTTCTCAACTAGGTTGCATGCGTCAGTAAGGTCGCGTCGATCCAGATAGGATGCTTTACATACCCTCGACGATCCTTCCTACTCGGAGGTCAATCATGCTAGGCGCAGGCTCGGCAGGCTCCTCAGGTGCCGGTGCAGCCTTCTTCTCCTTAACCTTCTTCTCAGTGGGCTGGCCTGGTCAATCTCATCAGCTTTCTCGCAGAGACACGAACAGTGAGCAGAACACTTACCCTCCTTGGGCTTCTTCTCCTTCTTCTCTTTCTTCGCCGCCTGCTTCTCGCCTGCTGCAGGCTTATCTGCTGCTGCTGGCGCAGCCTCGGACGCTGAGGCAGCTGAAGCGGCGGGCTTCTTCTCTTTCTTCTTTGGTGCCTCCTGTACGCGCTCCTGTTTTGGTGCGTTCTCGATATCGAAGGGGACAACAGCAAAGGCAGGTGCAAGGGGGTCAGCGACAGCGCGCACAGGGGGGAGGTGCTGGATGTGATCGAAGTGGCGCGTAACAGCGGGCACAGCGTAGTACTGGGCGGGTTGGAGCTGGGAGAGGACGGGGTGGAGAGCGCCGTAGAGAGCAACGTCTGCAGCAGTAAGAGTGTTTGCGACAGCGAATGTGCGCGGGGTGAGGGTAGCGTTGAGGTCCTATAGAAGGGTAAGAGACGCGTTTGCACGATCGACGAGGATGCGCACCTTCAAGTCAGCCTCTTTGCCGACCTCACCCTTGGCGACTTTCTCGACCCACTGCGCAACCTCGGCCTTGTCCTTCTCGGTACGTCCGGCATAGTCCGGCGCGTCGACCTTGAGCACGAGATCCTTGAGGGGGGACTGCAGCGCGTCGGCGACTGCGTGGAAGGGCATCTTGCGTGCGGGGGCGGGTGTGGAGGTGAAGTTGGGAGTGAAGAGCTGGAGGAAGCTCGGGTAGAAGTAGCTGAGGGGCGGCGCGGAGATGCTCGAGTACGAATGGGCGGACGAGGACACCAATCGCGGCAGCAATCGAGTCAAGATCATCGCGATGAGATTTCTCGGGCACACGTGACTGCCGAGGGGTCCGCGGGAGGGCGTAATGAGCGAACTTGGAGGCAACAATGGCGCCTAAAGGCGTCGGCAGGCTGTACTTCCTTGTAAGCCCAGCTCTATGCACCTGCGCAATGCTCATATCAGGGGAAATCATTTTCCTGGGACTAATTCACTCACCTGTCGCCCGACCTATAAATTCCTTGGAAAACAAAAGAAAGGCGTTGAAAGCCTGCCAAAAACGGAACTCGCCACAGCCGGGCCGATCGCCGAGCTTAGCCATGCTGTTGCCTTCGACGTTCTCATCACTCTATCCGCCGCCACCTGGCGCTTATGGACGCCGCCCACCTGCGACAGAGCAGCAGCTCTGGCTCCTCCCTCACTCAGCGGAATGGCGATACCTTTTACCCTCCGCGCTCATCCAAGGCGACCCTCGAGGGAAGCTCGCGCGCCTTCGAGCCTGCCCTGAATTCCGATGCTGGCCGTCACCCTTCTGTCCCTCCTGAGGGTCCCCCCTCTCGCGTACAATTGTATCTGGAGCGCAGACTCAACTCAATAGAGTCAAGTCATCCGCGCGCCTACGCTCGATTGCGCATAGCGTTGCTGTATCTGCGTGGCCCTCGACCACCTACTATCTTGCCAGGTATGTCGCTGCATCCCTCGAGCATACCCAAGAGTAATGATTCGAATGAATACACAGATCCCAAGCCATGGCTTGACATCGATATCACCTATCGAAATCGCCGGCTCTACGTACCCATCGAGTCAACATGGATCAGGTTCACTCGTCCCTTCACCTCCCCCTTCATCTTCGCCATTCTCGTTGCCGCCTACATCATCGGATTGTCCTTCCTCACTCGAGAACAATGGTACCTCACACCTGAGGACTCATTCGTCGGGTGCACGTCGACGTTCTGGCTCGCAAATAGCGGCTGCGGACTGGACGGGGCCGACTGCGCGCCGTTTGACAACCAGACGTATGACTTCCGATGTCCAGCTTCGTGCGCGGGTACCATCTTGCAGAACCCCCGAACCATAGGCGCAGAGCAGATGGCGTACAAGCCTCTCATCGTTGGTGGTGGCGACGATAACCAAACCTACCGAGGTGATTCCTTCATATGCGCATCCGCTATACAAGCGTACGTATCGCACTCGCTTATAGGCCATTCGCATGCTTATCCCTCGTTAGCGGCCTAATCGACGACTCGAAAGGTGGTTGCGCAAGTTTATCCCTCATTGGCAACTTCACAGACTTCATCGGTACCACTGCGCACTCCCTTGAGTCCATCGGCTTCCCCACCGTCTTTCCCCTCTCCTTCCGCTTCTCCGACTCGACACCCCTTACACACTGCACCGACATCCGTTGGCCTGTACTCGCCTTCGACGTTGTCATATCCTTCCTTGTCTTCACCCTCTTCCGACCTCACCCCATCGCACGGTTCTGGACGCTCGTCTGCATCGGGTTTTGGCATGTTGGGCTATTCTCGCAACCCAACAAGGAGCCACCCGAGCTTTCGGACCTCTTCGCGACATTCTTACCCTGCCTATTCATGTGCTACGTGCTTTGGCGCCTCGCGTTTCGCTGGGTGATGCCTGCATTCGAGCGTGCACCACTGGAGGGTGCCGTGTGGTACTTGGGACCCTTCTGGGTGGGCATCCTGACGGGCTACACGACCGACCGCCTGCCGTTGCAGCGCCTATACGCGCCAGACTTGGCGAAGCGCTCCGGTGCGGTGGCGACGCTCGTCGTTATCATCATCATCGTTGTCCTCGCCGCCCTAAACCAGGTGAGGGTGATCAGAAAGACGGGATGGCTGGCGCACTACGTCAAATGGTATATCATTGGCGGGCTGGTCGTGATGGTTCTGGCGCTGCTACCGACATTGAACCTGCGGATACACCACTACTTCCTGGCGCTGGTGTTGTTGCCCGGAACGGCATGGCCTACGAGACCATCTGCTGTCTACCAGGGATTCCTGCTGGGATTGTTCCTGAATGGCGCAGCTGCGTATGGGTTTGACTCGATATTGCAGACCGCGGCAGAGGTCAGTAACGTGCACATTCGTCTTGTGGTCATTTCTCATCTCTTTCTAGCTTCGTGACGACGCAACCATCGGCTCTGATCTTCCGACATTCCTTACCAATTCGAGCACCTATAATGCCTCCATCCCATGGGACAATCAGACCATAGAATGGGCCCCGTTACCCAACAGCGACTGGGATGGCTTCGTATTGCTAGTAGACGACGTAGAACGATACGCGGGCGACGCGCTCAACTACACACTCGCGGCGCTTAATCAAAGCCTGCCGCATTTCTTCCGCCTTGCGGTACGTGTTACGCGCGATTCGCCAGTTGAAGCGACACTCACCCACCTCCCCTCAGCTGTCCTCGAGCGGGACCACGGGCGACTTTACGAACGCGGCCACGCTCTACCCCAATGGAACGTTCGTAGACCCGGAGCCTGGGGCTTCTTACTAATTTATCTGCGCGTGCTGTTGGCCAATGGGCCTGAGATTGTTCCCCAATGGACTTCGGATGGTTGGTTATTCCTGCCTGTATACAACCTATATTGTTGCACTATATACCGTTGTGGTCATGCTGAGCCGCTGTTGAGGCCCTTGCCCATCGATAGCAGATTCCCGCTACCATTTATGGTAGTGGGTTATAGGGACGGAACGAAAAACAGGCCTCAGCCTCGTCTGACGATCTTTGGCAAGAGTCACATGTCATCACGTGTTGCGGACACGTTGCAGCTCTGGCGTGCTCTCTCCTCTTCTCCGAACTCCCGTTCGCTTGCATCGTCAGCCATGTTCGTCGCCTTCTCTGGGCTTCTCATTCCTGCGTCACTCGACACCTCTCGATCCATGGCAACTGTAGCGGAAGATGTTGTCCAGGCTGCTTCGCCCTCTGCGGCTGGGGCAGATCGTCCGCGCTCGCATCGACACAGATCTTGTCGACGGTCGTTGTTTCTGTGATTTATCGTGACATGCGCCACCGACGCTCCCTCTTTGCCGGGTGTTTGCGCCTATATTACAATCTTCAGATCTCTCAATCTAAGAACCAAAGATCATTGGAAAGAGCATCTCTAGAACTAGCTCGCTGCGCTTTCTCATTACACAGAAAAATATATCTCAGACGGGTATGACCGACCACGGCGCGGTTCGAACAACGTTTAGCTGCCACTTCGGATGACAAGTTGGGAGGGATACAACTGCTTAATGCTCAGATTTTGCAGCATGGTAGCGGGCCATGCCGTGCAACGGCCCTTCGCGACTTATATGGTGGGGAAGAAGCGCTTCGGGAGGCTTGCCTTCCTAATTGCACTGGCATGGGTTATGAGCTGGTGTCGATCACGTGGTTTGATGAACGGAGGCAATCAATAACATGGGACTCGATCAGGCAGCTTGACGCGAACTCCCATCCTTTCCCACTGCTATAAAGCTGCTGTTGGGCCTGTTCATTCACTGCTCTGACTCTGACTCTGACTCGTTGCTCCTCCCGCACAATCTCTTATACTTGAGTTCACGTTGCTGTGAAGGTAGTCAGAGACAAAGGCGCACGCCAGCACAATAGCCGCAATTAGATCGTGTCATCATGGCAGCGTCGGGCAGCTGGCCAGCCTTCCAGGATTCATACCGTGCGTCTCGATGTATGCAACACGATGTGTAGCTAACCTACTACAGTCTTCAGGCTGTCCAGAGTCTCCCACAAATTCTACTGCACCCTCTGCTTCCCGCCCGGACAGGGAAAGGCGCGCCACATGACCGCGGCTGAAGCCCTCGAGCACGAACGTACCGATGTCAATCACCGCAAGCGCCTCGAAGGGCGCCCTGTCACCCCACCGCCCCCTCCCATCGTCTCACCCAACGCCCTCACTGCCGATCACCTGAAGCGTCTGGGCTCGTATTGCTCGCCGAGCGCCTTCTGCTACGCCGACGATGTCAACTACCAAGTGGCGTTCTGGAATCGCAGCTCGGCTGGTGCGCAGCGCGGAGAAATCCTGCGCTGGGAGGATTTCTTCAGCAGCCTCGACGCGCGCCGGGAGAAGGCAATGAGCTGGGAGGACCCGCCTGAGTACGAGGACGTCGACGACTATGGTGTCGTCGTTGGCCCTACACTTCCTGGCGCGGAGGTACGGAAGGTCAAGCGTCACCTTGTAGAGTGGGGCTCGTCGGGCAGCGAGGCGGAGTGGGCACAGCCGGCCCAGCCAGCCGAGAATAATTGGGGCGACGACGAGGCTCAGGGCTGGGGCGTCACCCCGGAATGGGAAGGCGCGGGCGACAATGCTTGGGATGAACGCAGGAAGGCAGATTGGGCAGAGGAACGGCGGAAGGAACTGGAGGAGAACGAAGTCGTAGATAATCTTTGGGCGGATTACGACCCGGAAGCAGCTGACAGGGCGCGGAGAGAGAAGCGCGGCGGATTTAGTGGCAAGTGGGGGAAGGACCAGGAGAAGGCAAGAGCTCGCGCGGAGAAGAAAGGGAAGGGACAACGCCAGAACAAGCAACAGCCTCAGAAGGGCGCACCTCAGGGAAACAAGCGCACGCGACCTGATAAGGCGGTGCCAGGGGAGAAGGGGTCGAAGAAGGTTCCTCCCAAGCCGCGGTGGTTCACTGAGGAGGTCGAGGCCTGAGCGCTGTGCACCATAGTTTGCTGTGCTTGCTGTCCGCGCTCACGGGTCCGTTGACTCGGACGTATCATATTCTTCTATTCATCTGGTCTTCACACACACTCTGGCTCTCTTCAGGATTTTGGATACGACCTTCATACCATACATAACTTAGCATACTAAACACCAACGGATATCTATACTGTACAAGAGCTGCTTGCTGATGCCACTTCAAAAATAAATCAAATGCTTTATGGCCAGCGCTTTCCCCTTTAGGACTTGCCTTTGTGGGGCACTTGATGGGACCAGCGACGGCTTGGTACTAGTCCTTCGCAGTTCTACGCACACCAGGCAGTGAGATACGATTGTTGCCTTGCTGTTAAAGGCACGGTCGGTTGATTTGAGGCGGTGGCGGGACCAAAGGCCGTCACTGCCTGTCAAGAGTTGGGCCGATCTCACGTGCGCGGACGATGAAGCCATGACGTGGGGGCACTGCTCATCCGTGGCGCGCAGTCGGTACAAAAAGACGGGAAGGCTTTCCGCAAAAGTCACTTTCCCGCTCTCACACTCACAATCATCATGAGCTACGACGAACACGATTTACCTGAAGGATGGACGATGCAGATGCATGAGGGGACCCCATTCTATGTGCGTATCTTCCGTTCGCCCCTGTTCCTCACATGCTGACGAACATGAACAGGTTGATACGAGAGCGAACCCTCCGCGCTCGATATGGGTACACCCCTACGAGGACGAGCAGTTTCTGCGCGAGAACCCTGGAGTACGGCCTGGAGGCGCACGGAGGCCATCAGCATCGCCAGAGCCTAGCTCGGGGGGCGACCGCGGTCTCTTCGGCAGCAGCCACAATTACCAGCCACCGATGGGCCAGCCCTCGAAGCATGGCAAGGCAGCCCTTGTGGAGAAGTTGATCAAGAAAGTGATGCACTCGAAGTCGGGGCACCACCAACAGCAGTACTACCCACCCAGCCAGGGCATGTCCTCGCATTACGGACGACCACTGCACGGCGGAATGGGAGGTCCCCCCTTCGGCGGTGGGGGCCCCGGGATGGGGATGGGGATGGGGATGGGCCACGGTCCGGGTCATCATGGACACCAGGGCTTCGGAGGAGGTGGAATGGGAGGAGGAGGTCCTATGTTTGTGCAGCAGGGCCGCCCACAACGTCGCATGGGAGGTGGCATGGGAGGCATGGGTATGCCTCTCATGGGCGGTATGGCGGGCGGATTGCTGTTGGGTGAGATGCTCGATGGGCCTGATCATTACGGTGGCGACTTCGGAGGGGGCGATTACGGCGGTGGGGGAGGCGATTGGGGAGGAGGTGGAGGTGGCGACTTTGGTGGCGGAGGCGGAGGGTTTGGTGGTGGTGACTTTGGTGGTGGGGGTGGAGGAGGGTTCTAAGCAGACACTTACCTACTGACATTTATGGACTGGGACCGAGGCCGCAACTGTATCAATAGCTCTGATATCGCGTTGCGAAAGAAAGATACGCTTTGAAGCAATACCTTATTGCTAGAATGGGTCGTGTCATGTCATGAAATATATCCCCTCATCTCAACGATGTTCTAACTCGCTGGGGACGCGCTGCGGCCCGATTACGAGCGAGTGCGAGGTTCGGGTGAGGAGAAGAGGCAAGGGCGTCCACGTGCCGAAGTTCGCGTCAGTGGGTTTACCGTACTTGGCGCTTGCCATCGCGCACGATGGCGCCGGTGATACTCTCGTCGCTCAGTCCACATATATGCGTCCTCCCATCGCAGGACCTAGAAGAGCTCCTCGAGGCCTCCGGTCTCCCGGACCTGCCATCTATCCTCCAGTCCTTCTCCCCGCTTCCCCAAGGTGCGTCCATATATTCCCCTGCGCGTTAGCGTGCAAGCTGACGGAGAACAGTGACGACGCGTACTTCTACTCTGACTTCTGTCCCCCACGCGTCCTTCGCTCTGCGATTCTCCGACTTGCGGGAGATTGAAGAGGCCTGCAAGGAAGATGAGGAGCGCCGCGCCATGCGGACATTAGACTGGATCGGAGGCCGTATAAATGCCAAGTGCAAGGCATGGGTGGACGAAGCGACGAAGAGCGCGCCTGGATCCAAGGAGCCCTGGTGGGATGAGCTCAGGCGATGTGCGGAGGGCGACAATGTGCCAGACAAGAACGAGTGTTGGAATCACCCGTCTGCGAGTGCGTACGCTTGATCGTCTATGCTTTGACACTTGCTGACGAGCCTACAGTCATGTTGGCCGTGTCTACGAACACAGCGAACCCTCTGCAGGCCATTTCAATGCTGCACTCGCGCGCGATCGACCTTCCGCAGTGGGTAGACCCCGCATGCCTGAAGTACACGCTTATCCTCCATACTCCCAACTCATCTCTATCTGACGACGAGTAAGCACATCCTGCTATTGTTCGCCTCCTCGAATAACCTTGTATCAGGGCTCAAGCGCTCTACAACGCCGTCAAGAAGCAATATGGACTTCACAGCTATCTGCTTTCCCTCACATTCCCCTCTCCGCCACCAGATCCCGTGCCGGTCCCTGCGCTCATGCCTAGATTACCACGTCCGACTGCCGAAGGATCCACGCCAGAAACACCGCCGCTCAGCTCACTGCGGTTATGTGAGGCCGACATTCAGACGACTGCGCGGTTCACTCGTGAATTTGTGGTTATGTCCCTCATCCCCTGGATGGAGCAACGCGTGATGGAGTGGAATGAGAACGTGAGGGGACTGAGCTTGATGTGTGTATTGCCTACTAATAACCTGCACTAAGTTCGTCTCTGCCAGACGGCTACCATCCCGCCTGTTCTCCTCTACGCGGCGCCTTTTCGGATCCGCATCCGCGTCACCGGCTCCTGCGACCCCACAACATCACGCTGGCTCCTCATCCGTCTCTTATACACCCCACCGCTCATCCACTTACGCCGCGCCTTCGTCGAACGCAGCAGGCGCAGTCGGTCCGCCACCACAACCACGTCGACTGGCTGAGTTCTCTACAATCCTTGGAGACTTCAAGCTCGCTGTGTCTGTATGGGAGGCAATAAGGAAGGATGGGAAGGGTGGTTGGGTGAGCTTGTGTCTGCACGACTTGGTGGTTGGCTTATGTTCTCTCAGGATATTCTGCCGCTACTGCTATCTCCATCACCGACTTTGTCGGCGTATGCGTCTGCGAGTCTCGCATCGCTGATGAACGTGCCGCATCCACCATCAGAAATCCCAGCGCACGTCCAGGTGAAGTCGCTGGTGTATGCTGTACGGTGGGCAGCAGGAATCGACCAGGCAGACTTCCTGAGCGACGAGCTGGAAGGCGAGAGGTGGTTGGCATGGGCATCTGGCGATGTACGTGTGTTCACTGCATATGACTATCGGTGCTCACGTCCCATCGACTAGGCAGAAGAAGCGCCGTCGTCATTGCTACTGGCACATGCGGCCCACCTCAGTGCATTCAGGAAGCGGGCACCCAAGCTTCGGAGAGCAGGGTTGTGGTACGTGTCCGCCGCAAAGAGGCTGGAGAAGTGCGGCATCGTGAGTTCGCGTTGTCGTATGTGATGCTTCGCCGCGCTGAGCCAAACTTGTAGCGTCCTCTGACCATCCACTTCCTCCGCGTGGCGCACGAGCTATTTTCTGCGCCGCCGCCATACGCGAATACGCTCACGCTGTCACCGTCCTTTTGGGACTCGGAGAACGTGCCTGCTCCTTCGCTCTCTGGGAAGACGGGCGACGATCAGAGGACTGGCTGGGAAGAGATGATGACGGGGATAGAGCAACCCTTGGGTATGTGAAACGATGTGTGTTGGACTATGATTATGCTGATAAATTTGGAATAGGACGGCTCTTGTATACGAACGGCGACGTTGTCGCAGCCATTGAGCTATTCCTGTCCTTGCTCCGGCTTACCGTCAAGGTCAACCTGAACACCCCAACGTGGAGGACAGCCGATGCGGCATTGACCAACGGCGCTGTCGATGGCGAGAAGGCATCTGTTCCTCCTGAGGGCAAGGACAAGCCATTCCTGGACGACTTCAGAACCGCGTACTCGGTACGTGCTTACAGTGTTGGCCGTTGTCAAATTGCAGCTTACACTCTGACAGCACTACCTTTCGACCCTCTCCTCGCCGAATGACAGCGAAGTCAAGGTTGAACTACCATTTCGGTTCTCGCAAGCGCGAGAGACGAAGGTCCGCGTACCGGGGAACACGCTGGGCGGAAAGGCGGTCAGCAATGCGTGGGCGGCGAGGGAAGATGTCTGGAAGTCTTTTGCGAAGAAGCAGGGTTTGTCGACACCGAAAGGCTACTTGGTAGACTGCGATGATAGCGCACCGATTGTGGCCGGTAAGTATGTTCCCGGCTTAGCGAGGCGAAGCTGACGGGGTCAACAGAAACTTTCTGGGTCGACGTGGCATTGCGAAATCCTCTGGAGGCTGATGTCTTTCTGAATAACTTGACGCTCAAGCTCGCGGATGAAGACGTTGGCGGAGTGGATATCGAAGTTCTTGACGATATCCAGCTTGGGCCTCGCGAGACTCGTACGGTATGTCTTACGCTGTTCATCGCACTCGCCATTTCTGATGGCACTTTAGATACCAATTGCCGTCACAGCGCATCGACCAGCCTCTCTCACCTTTGCATACGTGACCTACACCTTCCTGTCCCTTCTCCCTGCGAAGGAGCCGCTTACTTATCGAGGCACGCGACTACACGCGACGCCCGCCCAGCGACAGAATGCGACATACGCGCCTGATGTACCGCTGAAGGCCGCCGTGCGCGATCGCGCGCATCGCTTACAAGCTCGCTTCGTGGACGACACCGACGGCCACACGCTGCTGCTCAATGAGGGCGAGACGCGGAACCTCACCCTGCGTATATCGAACGACGGCTTGCGGCCAGTGGGCGAGCTGTGGATCGTGCCTAGCGAGCGAGATGAGGACGACGTCTGGTGGGCCGAGGTTGAGGTTGACGAGGCGGAGAAGGTCGAAGGCGAGCAAGAGGTCGTCCGCTCAGAGAATAGCTTGTTGCCGCCACCGCCGATGCGTATACCGCTTCGAAATTCGGCAGGGGAATCAGTGCTGCAGCCTGGGGAGTCGACAGAACTGCCGATCACTCTGCATGCCACGAATGTGGGTGAGAGGGAGCTGTCGCTGCTGTTCGTCTACCGTCAGGTATGTGTATTCACAAGGATACTCTGTCAAGCGCTAATATATTTTCTGCAGGACGGTTCTGAGTCATTCTACCCTACCCGACTGACGCGCTTCTACGATGTTCGGCAAGCGTTCGCGGCCAGCATGCGCGCACGACCTTCATTATCCTCGGATCACCTCTTCGTCGTCGATGTCGCCGTACAGAACAAGTCCCTCAGTTCCGTACAAATCACACAAGTGACAACCTTGAGCCCAACCTGGCGGCTGCAGCCTGTTGTGCAGGACATGAAGTGAGCCATTCAGCCCTTGAGCGTAGTAGAGGCATGAGCTGACAATCCACAGCATTCTCATGGCGCCTCGGCAAAATACGCGGTTCATGTTCGCTGCCGATCCATGGGATGCGCAATCTGGTTCACGGGAAACCCGCGAGTTCGTGAAGCAAAAGCTGAAGGGGATTGTCAATGGCACGGAGCTCAATGAATCATCCCCACCACCAATCGACCTCCTCTGCTGCCACACGCCGCTAGTGAGTGCTCGTTTATACACCGACAGGTGCTGAATACTAACAAGTCGCAGTCCGACCACCAGCGAACGCATCTATCTCCTGCCTTGCGCCACTTTGTCCTTGCTGGCCGGCGCAACCTTATCACACGCACCAACGCCTTTACCTTCCCCTACATCCCGCCCCAGATGCACCCATACATCTTTCCCCTCTACAACCCCGCTTCCGTCGATGCAGTCCTCTTCTGGACCATGCCCTCACAGCAACGGTCAGGTCATATCCTGGTCTCGGGCCTGCGCATGGGCGCATCACATGCGCCGCTTCGCGATATCGTCGAGGCGGCGGAGAGCGCGAAGGTGAAGCGGAGCATGTATGCGGAGACGCAGCGGGAGCGGGCGGAGGTGCTCACGGCTGTCCGGGCGAGTGAGTGGAATATGGAGATGGATCCGCTGGTGGTGCGTGCGTTGGCCGGGTCGAGGGTAGAGCATGATTTCTCGAGAGGGTAAGCGAGTGTATCCGTGACGCAGGCTGAGCTGATGGTCTGAACGCAGGCCTCTCCGAATACCTGTACCCTTCGCGGTGCGGAACTTCTCGCAATCGCATATCTGTGGCTTCGCTCTCAAGTTCTCGAGCACTACGGGCGTGTATCCGCCTTCAGCGTGAGTATATTGTCTGTTATACCTACACCCGCTCACCTTTAGCAGGCAAATACAACCGCCACCATACTCTGGTCGTCTAACATTTCGCGGTCGCCTTGCACCATGTCAAAGCACGACCATAACACCCAGCTTATGGATCACGCGACCGGGCACCTACAGCTTGGGCAACTGGAAAGCAGAAACAGAGGTGTACGAGCAAGAGACCGCGGGCGGTACCCCCGCCGTGCGCCACCGATATCTGCAGACTCCCGCCTCGGGAGACGACGTGTATATCAGCGTCAGTGATATTGTGCGTAGATAGATAGTCGCGTGTACTACAACGGGTACCATATATACCGCGTGCTGGGCATATACCATCGTTAAAGAGCCATTTCCGGATGCTTGTCGTGAGTTTGTAGTGAGACATCACGCATCATGAGAGAGGACTCGGTGGGGAAGACGGACGGCGGTTGCGCGCTTCGGCCTCTTCAATTTCGCGCTTGATGCGCTCCTTCTCCTTCGCGATGGCGGCGGCGCGAAGCTTCTTCATGTGCATGTTGAAGAAGGTCTGAAGGTGATGTCAGGGGATGCGGGGTAGGACAGAAGGGGAACGTACTCCTAGCACGAACTGGACGGCATTGAAGAAGAGAACCCAAAGCTCGACGGGAATGAATCCCTGGGCGATGGAGAGGCTGAGGGGGGAGACTACCCAAGTAATCTGGAGGGGTGTATACTTCAGTACGTAGTCGAGACGCAAGGTGTGCGCTGCGCACCCGAATGACTGAGAAGAAGCCCGTCTTCACCGTCTTCAAGACATCATCGACCGTCTTCGCGCCGTTGATCACAGCCATGCTGGCGAGGAAGGCTATATGCGCGTCAGCGACCCCGCACTCTCGACTGCTGGAATGATCACGCACCAGCCGTCTGGATTGGCGCGACTAGCAAGTTGCTCGCTAGGATCTGTCCAACCCGTGCGCCCAGCCCTGTACGTCCTCGGAAAGCTCGCTGCAGGAGCCCGACAAGGAAGTGACCGAGGGGGGCAGACACTAGGAAGCCGTAGAGCGCCATCTTGACCGCCTTGGCGTCAACATGTGCCTGCGCAAGCGTCTTCACGAGGGGGGATGTATCTGGGGACTGCTTCTTGGGTGGGACACCAGCGAGTACGCTGCCGAGAACTTCCTGGAGGAAGCAAAGGGTGGCTATGGATGCATTGTGAGGAATGCGGGGTAAAGTACCGGGTCAGGCTACGAACCGGTCGTGAGCGCCTTCGTGCGCAACGGGTTCTTCGTCAGCGCCGTCAAGTACCGCGCCAGCAGCGGGTTTATGGGCTTTCCGACCGGTGCAGCCGTCGTCGACATGATGTACCAGGGTCAAGCTGGAGGTAGGCGCGACGGGTCCATTAGCCGGCCTATAACCGGTGGATGCTCAGATGTTCATGTCATTCATTCGCTCGCGCAACACGCGACCTCGGGACTCGGCCAAGGCTCAGACTTGGCTCAGACACGTCGGGCAGATATTATCGTGACTCGTGGCTGGATTCCAAGACGTCCAAATCAATATGCGGAAGGTATAGGTACTATGGTATGTGGCAAACGTAAATAATGAGCATCGTCTATAACGTGTGCAGGCTCTACGGGCCCTTGACCCTGCGATACTCGTTAGCAGTGCTCCGAAACAGTAACAGTAGAGAACGTACCAAGCCTTGACGTAGTCGGCGAACGACACCATGCAGACTGTCTGCCAGATGCCCAAGCCGATGCGTGGCGTGACACCGCGGTAGAGACCCTTGACGCCGTTCTCCTTGTAAATGTATGCCAAAGTGTTCATGATCGTTGGCTTCGCCGGTGCGTCGGGCTTCTTGGCCAAGGATTGCATCTGAGAACGCGTTGAGTACGAGGACCACTTAGATGTGCAGTACACCTACCTCCACACGGATAACCTCAATCGGCTGGTTCCATGTCGCGAGCGCACCACCGACTGTGGACGCCGCAATCTTGTCCAGGGCGCCGAGCTTCTCATTATCACCCACTCCCCGTAACCGCCGGATAGCCGTCTCCGCGAGACGCGCAAAGCCCATCCTGATTGCCATCGCGCGTCAGTCCAGAACGATAAGTATCACATGAAGCGGCACGGCGTACCGAGAACCCCAGTTCGTGCACTGGCGGACCGCGACGGCGTTCACACCCTTGTTCACGCCGGCCAGACCCTCACGCCGGTAGATGTCGGCGAAGACAGCCCAAGTTGAGGGGGGCTTGACGCCCGAGGCCGCAGTCTTCGCGCGAGTGATCTCAGCCGTCTTCATGCATGTCGTGAAGCCTGGGGGAGGGGGAGGGAATAAACACGGGGAAGTGTGGGGGAATTTGCGCGTGATAGTGCGCACCCATGGTTGCGTATGCCTGCATGATACCGCCGCTCATACCACCGATGAGGCCCGCTGCGGCGGGGTTGATTCCCAAGTCGAGGGTTTTGCTCTCCACCTCAGAGGCGGTGAAGATGAGGACAGCGCCTTTCGTTGAGGCTTCTATCCATGCCTTGGGGATGCGTGAGTACGCGTGCTGGGGCGGGAACAGACAGGGGACACACCCAAGGAATGAGACCCTGGTAGAAGCCAACGACACCACCGCGCGACCAGACAGACTTGCACGCCTGCCACATTGTTTGCGACCGGTTGGCGGCCATCTGGGTCTTGAGGACCTCAAGGGGCTGGCCGAGCGTCGTTACTTCCTACAACCAAAGTCAATACCTGCCACGTAGCCGAATGCAACGAGCACGCACAAACTACACATTCAGAGGACACCGCGAAGGTCAGTAACGTCCAGCAGACGCGTCCAGGTCGCGCACCATGTTCATAATTGCACCTGCGCTACGTCAGACACGCGTGAAGTGCTGCGACGCACGCATACTCACCGACTGCAATGTTGGAGAAGTTGACGCCCTTCTGGCCCGGCTCCTTTGTGATGGCCATTGTGACGACGCGGGGGGTTGTGTAGGAAGGGAGGGGGAGGACGAGGGGAGGTGGTGGAGGGAAGCAAGGAGCGAATAAGCGGGCTCGACTAAATAATTTATCGCACGAGCCTGCATTTCCGGAAGTAATGCCAACTTTTTGGGGTTGCGCGCGATCAGCTCACCGGGCCTGACGGAGGCGCGGTCAGCTGTGCGGGGTCGCTCACCGCGTCGGCGCGAGGCACTCTCCTTCACAATCACACGCGAGAGGTATGCGTCCCGGACACAACATGAGTCGAAATGGAGTAGCATATAGGACCGTTATTGTAGTAATCCACAAGTTATTGCGATAGTAGTAGAGTAAGTCGTCATCATCGAGCTGCAACTGCAAACATGGCGGAGGGTAAAGTGAGCTGTGCCCGTAGGTAACAGGCGATGGTATAGTTGGGAACGAAGAGGCGGTACTTGTAGGTTCTGGTTGAGGCCGAGGCTCGAGGGATCACCGAGGCGATCCTGGAGCGTTGCGGCGCGCGAGAAGTGCGCGTCGGTTGGCAGGCCGACATGAGGGTCATCACGCCTGGCCCTTGAGCTGCTGGAGCTCCTGCGTGAGGTTATCGAGGTCGGATTTGTATCTGTAAACGCGTCAGAATCGTGTATAGCGGGCAGGAACAGGCGCGGGGGGCAAGATAGTATGAGTGTAGGATACATTAGAGGGACAGTTCATATAGATAGTAGTCGATATAGAGTAGGTGTGGCAACAGCGATGATAATAATACGATACAGGCGAATAAGATAGGTAGCAGTAATGAGATAGACGGTAATAAGATAGCAGTGAAGCACGCATAAACACGAACGAGAAGGGAAGTCCAGCAGATGAAGAAGTGAATGAATGAGGTGATGGATGGTAATCAAAGGAGAGTGGGATGGATATCAGAAAAAGCCATAAACAATGAGGAGCGCGCCCGCGCCGACGACGAAAGCCCGAAACCCAAAGAATCGCACGTACCGGGTGATCATATCCGTGCTCTCCTCCTGATCTTGCTCGAGCACGTTGATCTCCATGTCCTTGCGGTCGATGTCGGCCTGGAGGGTAGCGATGCTCTGCCGTGCCTTCTCGAGCTCCTCCTGCATCGCCCTCATGGCCTTCTCGTGCGTCGCCTGGAGGTCGCCCATCTTGAGGTTGTGCGCCTCGTGCAAGCGCGCGAGCTCCTCGCGGGTGACGCCCGGGGATGCGGGCTGAGCGGTGCCGTTGGTCTTGGGCGCCGAAGGGGTTGCAGAGGCGGCGGCCCTGAGCTGCGCTACCTCGCCCTCGAGGTCAGAGATCTGCAGAAGCAAGTCGGACTTATTGGTCGCGAGGCCGCCAATCTCTGCGTCGTGAGTCGCGCGCAGACGTGCCACCTCCTCGGTACGCGCCTTCGCGCTCTCCTCGAGCTCGATAGCGTGCTTGCTGGACATCTCCTGCAAGGACGCCTTCGTGAGAGTGAGCATCTCGTTGGCAGCGGCCAGGTCGTCCTTGTACATCGCGACCTCCTTGGTGAGACGCTCGAGCTCCTCGATGAGGACAGGGTTCGGCTCGTTCGGCGCATCACTCGCGGCCTTGGCGGCCGCGAGCTGAGTGGTCAGGGATGATACCTCACCCTTCGCAGCCTCGAGTGCGCCCTTGGCCTTCGCAAGGTCATCTTGAGTGGCCTTCAGCTCGAGATTGAGCTTGTTGACCTGCTTCTCGAGAGAAGCGACCTGCTCCTCAATCTGAGCGGCGTGCTCGGCCTTGAGGGACTCAAGAGCAGTCGCGTTAGCAGCCTGGATCTGCTGAATGGTGGCGTCGGAGGTGGAACGCAGAGACTGGAGGTCAACACCGTGCGCGGCAGCAGCTTCTTTCTGTAAGCGGGGTCAATACAGCTCCGAAGCGCTTATTACCGGTTATCATACCTTGGCCTGCTCAAAGGCCTCCTCCAAAAGCTTCTTATGCTCCTCCTTCACGGCGTCCACCTTCGCGTTGTAGTGCGCCTCTTGGTTCTGCGCTGCGTAAACATCATTGCGCCGTACTCATTCATTGCACTCACCTCGAGCTCGGTCTTGATACGCTGCATCTCAGCCTCGATCTCCTGCTGCTTCTCGAGATGCGTCTTCTCCGCCTCAGCAAGCTTCTGAGCGTGTGCTTCGGCAGCCGCAGCAGCCTCCGCCTTCGCCTCCTCGCTCGCCTTGGTGGCAGCCTCAAGCTCGGCCTTGATACTCTCGAGCTGCTCGACGAGAGCCGCGTACTCAGCGGCCTTACTTTCCAGCGCACCCGAGTGCTCGGTCTTCGCAGCCTCAGCAGCAGCATTGAGCGCCTCCTCCTTCGCCTTCGCATCCTCGACAGCCTTCTCCAGTGCAGACTTGGCCTCCTCTAGCTGTGCCTCGAGCGCCTTCAGCTTGTTCGCAGCCGTCGTGCGCTCATCCTCGAAGCCATCCTGCGCCTCCTTCAGCTCGAGAATCTCGATCTCAAGCTCGGAGATCTTGTCCGCAGTCTCCTGCTTCTCTTCTTTGAGCGCCTTCAGCTGCTGCTCGAGCTCGGTGGCCGATGCGGCCTTCTCCTCCAGCTCCTTGACCTTGGCGGCGTGGACCTCTTCGCGCTCGGCCTGGGCGGCTTTGAGAGCTTCGGCCTCCTCCTGAATAGCAGCAAGGTTCTTCTGAGCGGCGAGGAGGGCTTCGCGATCTACGGCAGCTGCAGCGGCGACGTCGCCAGAGGCGGCATCGTTGGTCGAGCGGAGCTCCTGGAGGTTCGTGCGAGCGGCGTTAACTTCCTCCTCCAGCTTGGCAAGGTTGTCCTGTAAAGTCGCAACCAGCGCTTGCTGAGCAGTTGAGGCTTCCCTCGCAGCTTCGAGCTAGGGTCAAAAGGTGAATGATTGTACGCCAATCAAGGAAGGGCCATATACCTCAGCCTTGACCGCCTCGAGAGTGGACGTCTTGGTTGCCTCAAGTTCTTGCAGGGCCTTCTCCTTCTCTTCGAGCTCTGTCTTCGTCGTTTCAAGCGTTGACTTCAGAGTCTCAACTTCAGTCTCGAGAGCGGCAACAGCATCGGTCTTCTCTTTCAGCTGAAATCACAGTGTCAGGATATTGGGGACGCAACCATGAGAGATGTTCGCACCTTATGTCGGGCATCATCCAATGCCTTAGCGTCACCTCCACTGGGAGCGGAGGAAACTGACGTAGGGGTACGCGCATGTCTTGTGGCGGTTGTCGAGGAAACGGAGGGTTTGGCGGTAGTGGCACGAGTGGCGGATCCTACGCTAGGACGACCGGCAAGCGACGTGCGCTTCGCCGGGTCTGCGGCTGCGGCCGAGGGGCGAGGCCTCGCGGTCGCAGTTGCAGGCTTGGTGGCGGTGGGAGAAGTACGCGACGTGGCTGAGGTGGGTGATGTGGCGGTAGTAGCTTTCGAGGCAGAAGCAACGCGTCCAGTGACGGCGGGCTTTGCCCCAGAAGGCGCTACAGACGCGCGACGGGCAGCAGGGGTAGGATGAGCAGTGGCAGGTGGCTTGCCGGACAGAGATGGCCGTGCTGCATGGGTAGGGCGCTTCACGGGCTCCTTCGCAGCAGACGTTGCAGTTGGCTTTGCCGCTGTCGTCGGTTTGGCCGTAGCAGGTTTCTCCGCGCCAAACTTGCCAGATGCGAGCACCTGACGCGTCCAGAGTCAGAAATACAGGACGTATCGCCAGTTCGTGGTCACGCACCTTCCTCACTGGCGCGCCAGGCTTCCTCGCGGGGGCCTTGGTAGGGGACGCCATGGGCTTCTTGACGGCAGGAACGGGCTTGGGCTCAGCCTTCTCCTTGGTGGTCTCTGCTTCGGGTTCGTGGGCAGATTCGGGGACGGACGCGACCGATTCCTTGTCCGCCTCTGAAGCGGCAGGCTCCGCTTCGGATTGCGTGGGCGTCCCATCTACGTCCGCTGCTGCTGCTTCGTGCGCGTCTTCGGCGTGGTCAGCTGGCTCTGACGTCTCGGACTTCGGTGCATCCGAGGCGGCCTCATGGTCGGTATCGTGAGGGCTATCGGCGCGCGTCGAGGCGTCCACGTCCGTGTCGATGTGCTCGTTCTCGTGCGTTGCGGGGGCGGCGACAGCCTCGGCGTCTGACATCACGGAGGTGGTGATGGTGGTGGTATAAAGGAAGGACAGATGGTTTGGCCAGATAGCACTGGTCCAGCCAACAAGGGAGAAAGCGAAGCACGAACACGACCCAAATTGTGGATGATCACGTTTCTCAGAATCTCACGCCCCGATAGGCGTCGCACGTCACACCACTCAGGCATACTCGCCAGGTCGACGTGAATAAATTAATCTTCTTCGTGACATACGGCTATCGCTAAGGAACAACAGGAAGAGAAGGCTCAGGCGTTACGCGCCTCCCACGCCTTGCTGATCGCCTCCAAATCGTCCGCGTTCACCCAGTCCGAACCAGCATCCCAGAACTTGTTCCACGTCTCCTCGTTGCTGTCCGTGTCCCAGAAGCGCGTCTTGATCTTCAGATCGTGAGCGCCCTTGACGAGCTCCTGCATCTGGTCGTCCTAGATGAAGGTCAGGCGCGTAGACAGGCAGTAAGAGGGCTTTTGCGCACCCCGTCGACCTTGCTCCACTGGCAGCTTGCAAGGGGGGCAATTTCAGGACCCCACTCCTTACCGTCAGCAGGCTTGGTGCTGTACAGTGTCAAGATGTTGGCATCGTAGAAGAAATCGCGCGGCTCTGCGGCCACGACAGACTCCAGAGGCGTGTTGCCGGTGCCAACGACAGTGACCGCGCCCTGGGTCAGGCTACCGTCCTTGAAGGTCGTAAGGTAACCGCCTGAGCGCAAGGGCTCAAGCGCGTCCAGAAGAGGCTGATAGGTACTGTCAACTAGTTTAGCGGAATCTCCAGGCGCTAGCTGGATCACTCACTCGTCACCGTCCGTCTTGAAGTCGATAAGCAGCTGTAACGGGGAGTCCTTCGAGAGCCTAGATATCTGTGAAGTAAGGGCTAGCCGTCATGTTGCGTATCACTCACGGCGTCGTGGACTCCATCGAGCCATTGACAATAGCTAAGATCGGCTGGATGTAGAGCGAATCCAGAGTCTTCGAGCTGTCAATGTCGAATACAGTGTGGGCCACCTCCGTCGCGTCAGCATTATCTATACCCGCACAACAGAAGGCCACGCTCACAAGTAGCTTGTTGTCCCTCCACCAGATGTCCGCTTCAACACTCTGGATCCCATTGTCGAGTGCAGTGAACAGCGGCTTGTCGCGGGTGTCTGGGTCCAGCGTCGGCCACCTCAGCTCGCAGGCTCCAATCTGAGGGGCTCACAATCATTGTGCGAGTGAATAGGCTTCACCGCGATGGCACCAGCAGCGAGGGACGCGAGCACAACAGCGGCCTTGGACGACATGATCGGTAGCAACGATTGGCGAAGGAGAGGAAGGTGTGGTGAAGGGAGGGAGGTCGTAGATGAAGGAGGAAAGCAAGAGAGCTACTCGACCCCGTCAGTCAGATGAGCGCAATAGAAGAACCGCGTCGATAGATGACGGCTGCGTTATGAATTCGTGCATTCAGGGCTGTTGAAACGATCCGAAAGTGGCGCATGTGCGCCCGCAAACGAACGTGCTCTGCATGATCGTTGTGCAGAAGGGGGCTGAGAAAGCACAGGGGACATATCCCGGTGGGCAGGTTGCAAAAGTATGTCTTCACGATGAACGTTCGCTCGAAGGTCGATGACGAGCAGGACGCGAAGGGGGCCCCGGCTTCCGGACCGCAATCCCGGTGCTATTGTTCAGTTTGCGGACTTCGCCAAATTCTTCGTTCTGCCTTCGACAAACCAAGAATGACAACTTGTATACCCGCTCTCCGTCTCCCCGACACCCTTCAAGTCTCCCCCAGCACCCTCTAGTGGAGCCTCCGCTCGTTGCAGGCTACTTGTAACCTCTCGCGAACAGCGGACACCAGATGGTCGCTGGTGCGAATCGCTCCGCCCCGTTTCATCAATTGCTTGATTGCATGACATGATGGGCCCGAGTGCCCACGTCCTGATCTGCCACCTGGGTGGGCCGCACGTTCAGTGCCCTTGAATAGCACGTTGCGGGTTGCGGTTGACAGTCATCATCCTGAATTCTGAGGTTGCTTGTTCTCTGCTTCCTTCATCTTTCGGCGCCTGCTAGCGCGTCATTTCCTTCACCCATCCCTCGTTGAACAGCAACGCTCGCTACAACAATGGTTGCATTCATGGCCGCACTCGCTGCTCTTGCGCTTCCTTCCGTGGCCTCTGCGCTTACCCTGGACGCGAGCAAGGTGCGTTGACGCACCTGACCACCTTGACTGCATCTCATCTCACCCGGCAATCTCGTCCCCAGTGCTACACCCTCTCCCGCGACGGCAACCAGTACCTCGACTCTACGGACAGCGTCCTGAAGATCCAACAGCACGACGAGTGAGTTGCGACCCTCATGCGATCGGGCGCTATGAACGTAGAACTCACATCACCCAGGGACCTTTCCACCGGCGACGATAAGGGCGTCCGCTTCCACTTCCCTACCCTCGAAAACGGATGGGTGGTATGTGAGGTGCGTGATTTGGTGCTCGCCGCCTTCCTTTTTGTCACTGCCCTCTTTCCCCTGCGTCTTCCTCGCTCCATTCGATCACCACCCCTCTCACTCCCAACCTACCCTCTAACTCCCTCCATCCAGGCCCACAACGACCACTTCGTCGGCACTGGCATCCCGAGCACCGATTGGAGCACGAACGACTCCGAAGGCAGCACCGTCGCGCTCGCCACCGTTCACGTCGCGGGCGAGAAGGTTTACCTGAACTCGGGCCCCAGGCGATACATTGGGAAGGATGCGGAGGGTGAGTGCAGTGTCCATGTTGTTTGGAGAGGTGAAGGTAGAGGACTCATATTTCCGCGCAGTCGCTACGGAGGAGTTCGACTGGGATGTCAAGGAGATCAACTGCCTTGTCAACAAGTCATAAGGAGGAAGAGGATACGATGAGCATTATTTATGACCATATCTATTGGTGTTTGAAACCACTGGCGTGGCGCTGTGGACCTGGGGTGCGCACATAGGCGAGTCGGACTGGCAAGGCAAAATTCTCGTAAAGGTCGTCTCTTCACTGTCTACGGTTCTATACTTCTGTCGTCTCAAATTACAGTGGCGTACAGATTGAGGGCGTTGATTGAAGGCTACGAAACGGTCAGCACCATGATCTTTCGTCCACAAAATCGAGACAACATACCTCCTCAAGACGGTGGTGGTTGTACGACAGCACAGCGATCCCTCCGGGCTCGACGTTCAGCTTCGTACCGAACGCAAGCGGCATACCCAGCCAGCGCGCGATCAAGCAGCGCGAGAAGTGGCCGTGCGCGACGATCATGACGTCGCGGGTGTTCATGCCCTCGTGGAAGTACTCGGTGTGGTAGGTACGGACGGTCTTGATCACGTCGTCGACGCGCGCGCACATCTGCTCGACGCTCTCGCCGCCGGGGCAGCCGTCGGTCCAGATGTTGAAGTCGGGTTTCCGCTGCTTGATCTCGGCGGGCTTGAGGCCCTCGTAGTCGCCTGTGGCGCAGGGGTCAGTAAAGAGGGTGAGTGAAGATAGAAGAGGTTTACCATAATCCCATTCCCTCACGGTCTCAGTGACCATGTGGGGTGGTGGGGTGACGTGCTCGAAGAGCAGGTGGAAGGTCTTGTGCGCGCGCTGGCGCGGAGATACGAGCACGGTGCAGAGGTTCTTGACATCGAGGACCTCTGTAAGTGCGAGTAAGTCTCGAATAGCAGACAAACCAGCGTGACGACGCACTTCCTTCGCCCACAAGCATCTGCGCTTTCTCTTTTATCTGCTCAATACCGCGGGCGGTCAGTGGGATATCGGTACGTCCGGTCTGAACGCAGTCAATGGATGGGTCGATGAGCGTCTGGTATGTTATCGTACATGGCGGCTGAGGTGGTACGTTAGCAGGTTGTTATGTCGATGTGTACGATAACTACGCACCCATTCAGACTCCATTCCGTCTCGCCTGGCGAGATAGATCGAGTCAGCAAGCGCTGAAGAAGACTGGCCAAGGCGATGCTCACCATGGCGAATTAGAAAGAGCCTGGGCATGGGGCGGTCGTCGGAGGAAATCATGGTGTACTGGCAGAGCGTGGTGACGGTGTGAGGATGGGAGGGAACGGGAGAAGGAACGCGCCGATCGGGCTCAGCTCGGGCTCAGCTGAAGGAGCAACGCGCCCTGTCGTCATCGGACCACCGCGTCGCCGGCCCGGCGAAGCGAACGCAGGCGTGTGACTTCGCACTCTGCGCGTCTCGCGTTCGACCTGCAGGCCATGTTCGACGACTGTGAGTGCTGGTGCGCTCCTTACTTCCCGCGCTCATCTCCTTCTAGTCGTCGAGCACGCGGCATCTCCGCCGGGGGTGGCACAGGCTGCGAGTGCTCTACCGTCGCTGCAGTATGAGGGCTTCGAGCCTTCCCCATATGCCGAAGATGATGACCGCGCGGAGATCGAGGAGACTGCTCAAGTGCGTACCCAATTCTACTCTCAAACTAGACCTCAAGCCATCCCCAGGATGCTGCCTCCGTCAATGAACCCATCTTCGAGCTCGGTCGCGTCCAGTACACGTTCCCTGCACCCCTCGTATCCTTCGCCGTATCCTCCGACATGCTCGTCATGGCGCTGGCAAACAACACCCTAGTTCTCATTGAACTCTCCCACTCTGAACAGGTAACCACACGTCCCCCTAGGGTCCGCACCCCTCACCCCCACTCACTAGGTCGTGCAAATCCCCATACCGCGCAAGCCTCAGGACATGACAATACACAAGGTCTTCATGGACCCCTCCGGCAGGCACATCATCGTCTCCTCCACCCAGGGCGAGAATTGGTACTACTTCCGCGCATGGAAGAAGACCAAGCAGCCCAAGTCCCTCAAGTGGAAGATGGTCATCGAGAGCATTGCATGGAATCGTGCGGCGTTGCTGGCCTCGGTGAACGCTACCACGACGCGGGAGATGCTCATCGGCGCGCGAAACGGGACTATCTATGAAGCAGTACTGGACGCGGAGGAGAATCTGTTCGCTTCGCTGGAACGTCATTTGGCGTCGGTGTACTCCGTCCCTGGACCCATTACGGGGATACACTTCAATGTGTTTCCCCCGCAGGATCCCAGGAAAACATGGATTGTGGTGACGACTCCCTCACGAATGTACCAGTTCATTGGCTCCCCGGATAGGCGTTCAGACGATGGCAGCCGCGCATTCGCCGCCCTCTTCAACACCTATCGGGACAACGCGCCGAGTAAGAACTCTCGTTCAGGTAGTTATCTACCAACTCACCTCGTCGTTACAGATATACGCGAACTTCCTGGCAACATCCAGCACTCCGAACTCCACCTCTTCACACCCAATTCCGGACAGGCGCAATCGCTACCCAAGACTATAGCATGGCTAACCGGTAACAATTTACTTCCACTTTCTTTCCCATCCACATCCTCAGCAATAAACCAGGTTCTGGCATCTTCCACGGCTCCGTCAACTTCGACTCCAACACCGACGACCTCGTCGACGGCGTCAAGCTCCCCGCCTACCCTATCTTCTCCGACACACCTCCAGGCCAAACCGACGTGCCGCTTTCTATGGCAGTAACAGAGTTCCACTTCGTGCTGCTTTATAAGGATAGGATAGCGGCGATATGTAGCTTGGATGAGAGGTTGGCGTATGAGGAAGTGATGCCGGTGGTAAGTAGCGGGAAAGTCCGCAATGGTAGGCGATGATCTGACGCTACGGTAGAAACCCACAGAGGAGGTCAAAGGCCTTGCCGCCGACCCCGTACGCGGCACCTACTGGGTCTACACCGATCAATCATTATTCGAGCTCGGCGTCGGCAACGACGACAGGGACGTCTGGAAGGTCTTCATGAAGCAAGGTCACTTCGATGTGGCTTTGCGGTATGTGAAGGTGCGTCTTTGGAAAGATCGAACAAGATGCCGTCTATCTAAGATGGCAACCTCAGACCGCCAGCCAACGCGACCACGTCCTCTCCGCCCAAGCAGCCGCCTACTTCGCCGAGGGAAAGTATTTCCAATCAGCTCAGTGCTATGCACAATGCTCGGTGTCCTTCGAAGAGGTCGCACTGAAATTCTTGGACGTTAATGAGCGCGATGCGCTGAGGAGTTACCTCATCTCAAGGTTGGAGCGGACGAGGAAAGGCGTGAGTGGCTCCCGAAATCTTCCATAGAGTATGGGTTTGCTAATGACTACTGGTAGGATCTTACTCAAAGATTGATGCTCTCAACTTGGCTCGTTGAGTTCTATTTGAGCAAGCTGAACGAGATGGATGACCTCATCGCGTCGGAGTCGGTCTCACAAGATGTCGAGAACCTGAAGACGGAGCGGACAATATTGGAGGACGATCTAAAGCATTTCTTCGAGACGTATAAGGTGGGACATATTCCAGAATTAATTGTGGCAAAACTGACAACCCCGCTTCAGACCGACCTCGATACCCATACCGTATACGAGCTCATTCAAGGCCATGGTCGGACAGATATGTACCTGTTTTACGCGACGACTATCGGCGACTTCGAGCGCGTCGTCCAGCACTGGACGCTCGAGGAAGAGTGGTCAAGGGCAATCGATGTTATCAGCCGACAATCAAATCTGGAGCTCTACTATCGCTTCAGCACCGTCCTCATGCGCAACGCACCCAAAGAGACCGTCGATTCCTGGCTCAAACAACCAGCCCTTGACCCCCTCCGCCTCGTTCCCGCCCTCCTCCAGGTCCAACACGCCCCGAGAGACCCCCTTACCCCCAACCAGGCCGTCCGCTACCTTACTAACCTCATATACGAGGAGCAGAACACTAACCCGACCATCCACAACCTCCTCATCACGTTCTACGTCTCGCCCACCTCCTCCGCGTCTACCTCCACCAGCGCACCGTCCGCCGAGGACGACGGTCCCTTGTTGCGCTACCTCTCCACTGCGCCCACGGACCCCATGACTGGAAAGCCCTATTACGACCTGGACTACGCGCTGCGGTTGTGCAAGCAGAGCGGGCGGACGCAGCCGTGCGTGCATATCTACAGCCAGATGGGGTTGTGGGAGAACTCGGTGGATCTAGCGCTAGAGAAGGGCGACGTCGAGCTGGCGAAGATCAATGCGGATATGCCGGAGGATGACGAGCCGTTGAGGAAGAAGCTGTGGCTGAAGATCGCGCAGTATGTGGTGCAGGATAAGAAGGATATCAAGACGTAAGTGCTTGACCTCCCCCTACAAAGAATACCTTCACGACCTCACCCTCCCAGCGCCGTCCAATTCCTCGAATCCACGAACATCCTCAAAATCGAGGACATCCTCCCCTTCTTCCCCGACTTCGTCGTCATCGACGACTTCAAGGAGGAGATCACGCACGCGCTCGAGGGCTACTCCGCACACATCGACCAGCTCAAGCAGGAGATGGACGACGCGACGGAGACGGCGGACGCGATCAAGCAGGACATCGCGAACCTGAAGAACCGGTTCGTGACGATTGGGGCTGGGGAGGCGTGCGCGCAGTGCGGGCAGCTGCTGCTGACGCGGCAATTCTATGTGTTCCCGTGCCACCATTCGTTCCATGCGGATTGTTTGATTGGGCTGGTGAGTGGGAGAGTTGAATGAGTGGGTAAGGGGGGATGCTAAGAGGATTTGCAGGCGAAAGAGTACTTGCCGGCTCATGCGCTGAGGAGAATGCTGGCGCTGCAGAACGAGCTCGTGAAGGGGAATCCGACAGCAAACGGGGCAGTGCGCGAGCGACAGAACACCGCGCCACGGACTTTGCTGTCAGCCAATTTCGCCAATGCCGTACCGAACCCTGCTCGGGCAGCCAATCTCTTGGGGCGCAATATTCTCAACGCCGGCGACAAGCTGCGCGACATGATCGTACCAGACGCGCTCGCAGCGGCTGTGACCGCACCGGTAGGCTGGATACCAGGGATGGGAGGACCGGGGAAGAAGCGCAGCGGGGCAGACAAGGTTGACGAGAACGCGAAGAAGGCGCGCGCCGAGCTTGAGGAACTCCTCGCAAGCAACTGCCCCCTCTGCGAGAGCGTCATCGTCGGCCTCGACAAGGGCTTCATCAAGGAGGGCGAGCTGGACACGTCGTGGGCGTTGTAGGATAGATACCCAACCCATATGTTTACCATGTTAACAGACAGCAGAGGATGCTAGTGCGTAATATACAGACACCGATGATGACAGGAGATAACGAGAAAGGGGAGGGGGCGCGGGCCAAAATCAGTGATTGATCTTTTTGGTGCGCCCCTGTCGGCGGCGTAGACGCGCTGCTTTCCTGGCGCCCATCTAGGATGGGGAAGTAAGCTAAGGTTGCCAAGGATGATTGTCAGGCGGCACGCACTTTCGCCTTTTCCATTTCTATCCGTTCCCTCTCCTCTGCTTTGGCTCTTCGCTCCTTAATGCGGTCTATCCGGCTATGGGGGAGGTGAGTGATGGATCAACAAGGGGACGGCATGGGGCGCACGCTTTGCGCTCTGCCTCTTGCTCCTCCTTCAGCTCGGCCTGCAGCTTCTTGATAGCCTGCGCTTTCTTTTCCTTCTCCATGCGATCTTCCCAGTTCTTGGTGCGAACGCCCTCCTGGATGTGCGATCGACTAGGGGTGCCACCATCAGCCTGAGAACATAGCGAGGGGGAAGCGCAGAACACGTACACCGTCGCTTTCTTCTGTGGCTTCCAGGCCTTCCCTGAGACCCTGCCACCAGACGAAGACGCCAGCTCGACGACTGGTGTCGCTTCTGTGGATGGCGCAGGTTCCATAGCGAGATGCGTCGTCCGCAGTGTACAGGCGAGATGGAGGCGCGATCGAACGAACAATGGACTTGCAAAATACTGTTCGGGGCTCGGTCCGGCAACCAAAAGCGTGATGGCATCACCCATGTTCGACTTGTTGTCCTCGTCAGGACCCCGGAATATACGCACATAGGCCGTCCAGCGGTGCGGATAAATCGTGGGGCTTCCGGCCGGTAGGCCGGTCCAAAAAACGGTCAAATCGGGGGCCTGAGGGCTTGGAGGCCGGTCCAAAAACGCGGGTATACACAGGGGAGACAGGGAGGCCGTGCCGAAAAAGTGGATATCGGACGGTCGATTCGAACCGCCGACCTACCCTCAGACCAGACGCACGCGATACCGGTAAGCTAAGTGGCCGTTCTCTTACAGCGGGCAGTAGCACCCTAGATAGCCTCCCTGTGCCCATTGGCACCTTCTAGTAGACCATTGGCAGGCTCGATATTTCGAAGGACAGCGGTGTGTGGTAGCACCTCGAATGGGTATGGGAGGCAATAAGCTCTCTCTTTTGTACTTCTCAGCCTTCTTTTGTTGCAGACGCTACGCGCAGAGCGCGTAGGGACCCTGGAAGAAAAAAATCAGATTTTTCCCGATTTTATTGCCATTTTTGAGGCCGTCCCGAGAAAACGGATAAATTCTGGGGGTCCCGAGAGGCCGTCCCAGAAAACGGATAAATCTGGGGGTCGGGGACCCAAAAAAAAAGTGGATAAATGGGCGCCAGAGCCGGATTTTCCAGGACGGCCTTTGTGCGTATATTCCGGGGTCCTTCCTCGTCCTTCGAGGCGACGCGTTCATGACGGGCGCCATATGTCTCCCTTCGTGACACAATGGCACTCATTTCGACACAAGCAGGCACTTTCACGCGTCTCGAGGACTTCACTTTCCTTCCCCGGTGCATTCGGTGCCCATCATCAGGCTTCTAGCGGGCGAGGGAAACAGACATCTGACGGGGATCTCAGCTGACGACGTAAAAGTCCGAGCAAAGAGAAAGTCTGCGCCGTTCCTTTCGGGTAGCTTGGGTGAGTCGCTGGCTGGCTGTGGGGGCCTCGGAATCTCTGCCAAAGCGAGGGAAGTACCACCTGGTGCTGCCAGCTGACACACGTGTTTTCGGGGCTGCCTGAAAAGGGCAAGCGTTTGTGGGAATGTGGGCCTCGCGTGGGCGGTAGACGGGGATTTGCAAATTGATGTGATAGCGGTTGACTGGTATTTGGCCTGTCCCGGCTCCCTTCCCTTCCCCCCATCCTCGTCGTCCCCGCCGTCCACGGCGATCACCAGGAGACGGTCTGACCGCGCCTCGCTCAATGGCGCACGCGACGAGCAGGACCATGACTTCCCCCCGGGACTTCAACGACGAGCACGTTCGCCATCTGCTCGACCAGCGCTTCATGCGGTCCGATCTGCACCGCGACGGCCGCTGGGATTCCGTCTCCGAGTTCTCAGATTCCCCATCAATCTACAGCCGCGCAGTCTTCTCACCGAACGCGAACGACCAAGGCGTGTCGAGTCCCGCTCTTCAGACTCCCCGCACCCACCGCGAACGCTTCGACGACCCGTCTGCGAGCATGCTCGACCTCGACGACGACCCCCGCTCTTCCCTCGACTCCTCTGTAACTTATGACGATGACGACAAGACCGTATCCGAGCATGATAGCGACGAGCCTATCCCGCGCATGAGCTATCTTGGCCCCAAGATGCGCATCCATACCCGCGCACCATGGGAAATGGAGAGTGAGACACTGGAGGAGCAAGAAGAGGAACCGGAGGAGCCGCCTAATCGCAAGGTGCTCTTTGGCGGGGGACGCCAGGAACAGCGTCGACCGAGTCTTGACTCTGTGCGCTCAGTGGGCAAAGTCAAGAAGTCGTTCGACTCGACCTCGTCTGGTTCGTCCTCGAATCAGCGAGGCGCACTACAGTGCGTGTCACCAAAAATTTGCCAGGCGTAGTGCTAATAAATTTACAGCGCCTTGGCTCAAGCTAGCATGTCCTCGACCTCACTAGTTGCCACGCACAATACGTCGGGGCCTAGTGGCTTACGGAACATGTTTGCCATCTCGCGTACCAATAGTCCTTCGTCCATCGACTCTCGCCCGAATTCTCCTCCTGCGACGCCTGCGCATCATCAGGCAGGAAGTTACGAACGCCATGGTGCACGACCCCAGGCGTCACAGCAACTTCGGCCGGATACCTTTATCTCCAATGACAGCGCCTCTTCGTACGAGTCGTTCTCGGAGGACCAGCACCCGTATGCGCATCCATACGCGCACCCGTCGGTGGTCCCGAAGTACGAGGCGGCTCAGCGACAGCCCTCTCCTCCCCGTGGCGTTCCAACTACTCCAGCAAGCGTGCAGCGCCCTGCAGTCTCTGTGGTCACTGAAACCAAAGTCATGCCGCCGGAGCGCAGTCGAACACTGACTGCCTCACCAGCAACGCCACGGTCACCCGCTATTGGACGCGCACGCTCGTCTACCTTTCAGGGCAAGGAAATATCCTCGCCTGTTCTTGTAGCCCGCGGCGAAGTACCCCCGCTTCCCAATCACACCTTCGACACGAAGCTGATGCCTATGACTTCGCACCCCTCGACCTCTACTGAGGGTAGCACCTCTGCCTGGCCCGAGCCTACTCCTGCCCCAGCGTTTAGCTTGATTTCGCTCGAGGAGGCTCAGGCCAATCAGCGCACTCGAAGCAATACTGTGCAGAGCTCTGCAGGTGGACCGGCCCTGGATACCACGTCCTTCCCGCCAGTGCCATTCCCAGACAGCGACGATACTCGCTCGCTCAATGGCGACTTTGCGAACGCTCGTAATCGGATGCGTTCAACGAGCGCAGGCGGCCGTGCGCGTCATGCGCTACACACGATGGTGGTCGGGACCCCGCCGAGGGCTGATGGGCGGGAATTGGACCCGTCAAATGCCCCGCCGGGAGGCAAGCAGCTGAAGCACAAGAGGAGCGGCTTCATGCGTATTTTCAATGGCGGAAGGGAGAAGGACGAGAAGCCGCCTCCGGTGCCTTCTCTCGCTGAAGGCTACGCGTCCTTCAATTCCCAGCAGTCGATGCAGCAACAGCAACAGCCGAAGCCAGCGCAACGGATTCCGCGAGTGCCTGTGCCGCAGCTGTCGCCGACGCTATCGAACGATTCAGCGTCGAGCAATGCGCCCACGACGCCGAGGCGTGGCTCGACGAAGCGGTCGCCTCCACTTCTGTCGATCAATACGCATCGCTCGCCCTCTGTGCATGACCAGCCCCGCTTCATTGCGCCCGCCATGCGGAACGAGTCGCCGCTTTCAGCACCAGCGCATGTGAATGAGTTCCCTTCGCCGCTAAAGCTGCGTCCGGTGTCGACGCTCTTCAGTGCCTTGGGCGACCACATCAGCCATGATGGCGAGGAGCCGGACTCGGGCAGCCTCAGCCCGAATACGATTCTCTCGCCCATCACACCCCTTTCTTGCGGCAAAGACCCTCTACCATCCGTAGCGGGCGACGACCAGTCGGCGGTCATCCGGGCTCTGCAGGAGCAGATCATCGGCGCGAAGAAGGCGTGGCAGCGGCACGTATGGGAGCTCGAAGGGCAGGTTCGCGATCTCAAGGCAGAGGTCGAGGAGCTGCGCGCCGCGGAGGCGGATGCGCAGTATTGCGAAGCCTGTGGTCGCGGGAAGCCCAAGGAGGACACCAGCCACGTGAAGACTGGCGTGGTCAACCGCCCTCGGGCCCGCACGGGCATCGCAGCCTCGCGCTTTGGCAGCCACTCGGATTATGATTGAGGTGTTGCTTCATACTCCAATCTCACTTCACCCGCCCCACGGACTCGGACTCGGACTACTCGCCATCACAACCCACTCTCCTTCTCCATCTCTCTCGCTCTCTCTTTCCCATCTCACCAGCAACCTGCACGGATGTACACTAGCTCTGTCCAAATCGTTACCCCGTCTATACCTACCTACCCATCCAACGAGTCACTCGCACACATCTCATTCGTTTCATTCCTTCGTGCCTTCCGCGTTTCCACCCACGCTCAGTCTGTCTATCCCGAATCTGTTTGCACCTTCTTATTAGCTAGATTCGTCCGTCTTTACTTCGTTAATGTGTTATAGTCCATAGTACTCGGTCCATAGGACCGCTATTGTTGTAGTTTGCTCGTTACTTCCATCCACCGCCTTCCTGTTTGTCTGTTTGTTCATCCTTCCCTGCCTTCTCTCTACCACCACTCGCCGTTTCGCTCCATTCTCTGTATTGTGGCATGTCGGCTGTTTACCCTCTCTTTTCTCGCCCTTTCTCTCCTTCGACATGTACTTTAGTGTGCGCACTCATGTGCCGATTTTATTCGTTTTGTCTCAATCTGTCACTCGCATCTGCCATTTCGTTGAAATGGATTTCTCGCTTCGTGCAGATGTGATTTCGAGGAACTGAGCGGACTGCTGCATGCATACGCTGATACGGGAATCATCACTACGTAGGACGTCCATGGGGCCGGTATGTAGGCTATAACTACTACTCCTCGTCCGCACCAATCAACCATCCGATGCCTCGCTGGAATGCACGGGATGCCTGCTCTCTGACCTCGCCCACGTCCGTCCCTGCGCGGCTGCGGCTGTCCTCGCGGTCGCCGCCGACGGAGGAGTTCGACCGCCCGCGGCTGCTGACGGAGAAGGGGAAGTTAGCGGTGACAGACTTGAATGTGCGACTGGCGAGAGCTGCTGCGTCGGGCGTGTTGAGGAGTGGCGGTGAGGGCATGTGGAAGTCGTGGAGGCGAGAGCGGAGGGAGGCGACGGGGTCAAGGACGAGGGGGGCCTTGCGGGCTTCCTGGATGTTAGCCACGGTACCGGAGCGTCGAGTCGCTAGGCGCTCCTCGCGCGCGGCGATGTCCTCTGCCTCCAGTTTTCGCCATGCTGTGAGCACGTCGTACAGCCGGTCGGGTGGACAAAGCTCCAGCGCACGACCGAGAAGCATCGCCTTCTTCCCGATGTCATTGAACTCGGGCTGCCGACCGAGTGTGAAACACGCTGCCCAAGCGACATCCCGGGCCTCGCGCGCTTCCGGCGCAGCTGCAGGGATCGGGAGGTCGAGGACCAACCGCACCATCCGCTCCGCATTCTCCGTCGCGCGGGTGAAGTCCTCGGTCTGCATCGCGCTATCCGCAAGCATCGCAAGGGTCTTCACCTCCGAGACGGGATCATTACCGAGGCCAAGCTTGCGCACGAGCTCCGTGATAACCTCCGGATGCCTGTAAGCATCCTCGTTGGTAGCAAGCACGCGCGCGACAAGCGAAAGGCGATCCTTTGTCAGGCGAATCTCAATGGGCGTGATGGGGATACCGGGGCGGGACATGATGTTGTAAGATGATAGCCGGGAAGTCGCCTCGATAAAGTCCTTCTCCTTTTGGATGCGGTCGGAGATGGGTGGTACGGAGAGGCTGTGTCGACTGTGAGATGCTATTGAGACGAATGGGGATGGACAGATACGTACCAGTCGTATGCCATCTTCATCTCGCCGTAGGTGTAGTTTCCGGAGTTGGCGTTGTCGTAGAACTCTTGGGAGCATGCCAAGCAAACGTCCTCGACGGTGTTCGAATCCAAGCGCAGCCTGTGCATCTTGTACAAGAGCGTCTTTGCCACCTCGAATTCTGTGAAGTGTCAGAAAGACAACCCACAACTAAACGGCGCTGCCCATACCTCCCGAGCTAAGAAGCCCACTCAAAAATATTCGCTTGACTTCATCCCGAGGAAGGAGCCCGAAAGCACCGCGAATGCCATTCTCACCCTTCCCAGCCAGCTTCAGCATGTCCGTAAGCAGCCACTCCCAATCGTCGACGCCAGAGATGGGGTTGACACCGCCGGCCCGTCGGGCCATCCGGTTCGCCCAAGCGCGCTGTTCATTGGCATCGCTGTTGCTGAGCAAAAACCACTGCAATGGCGCTGCGACACTCCATCGGGACAGGATCTCGCCGCCCTCCAAGTGCACGTCAAGCACGTCGAGGGCTCGTGATAAAGCGATGACGGGCAGCGGCTTGAAGAAGACGAAGAGCTCAGCAGGCGTGCTAGTGGTGTGTGACGTCGTGGGCTTCACGTAGGCCCCCAAGGACGCGATCGTCGTGTCAGCCTCGTCCTCGCCACCGGTATCGCGCGTGATGTCCCATGCCGGCATGCACTCGAATATCCTGCTCATCGTGGACCACTGGTCGATGCTGCTGTTTCCGTACAGGCATGCCAGCGCGAGTCGCACGATGTCCTCGTCGTTGGAGACAAGTCGCTGGTGGGTAGGCAATGTCGGCTTCGATGCCTCGAAGATGGCAGCAGCGACGTCGAGCGGCGCGGCGAGCACATGGTCGTAGAGCAGGCGCGTCCGTATGGTGGGATCTGGCTGGCCTGCACGCTCTGCGCGAGATTCAAGCACGTAGAGATAGGGCATGACGAAATGGGAGATGTCGTGCGCGACCGTCTCCTGGATAGAGTGCTTGAGGAAGGCAGAGATGACCTCGGGAGGTTGCATCTTCTGCCATTGCTCGAACGTCCAATCATCTTCCTCTGTCCAGTCCTCCGGACGTGGTGCATCGTAGACAAGACGGGAGAAGAGGCTGAGGTCTTCGCCGAGCTCGTCAAGGCCTGCTATACCCTGCGACGCGCCATGCTGTACGAGGTACAAAGCCATGTCGACCATGCCAGTAGATACCATGATCTTGTCGACGCGTGCTCTGAACCATTGTGCAAGCTCGGCGGAGGAATGTGGATATAAGTCGAGGGGTGTACTCGTGATAGAAGTGGACGAAGACGGTGCGGAGTCGATGAAGTCGACGGCACTGTGAACAATGGGTTGTTCGCTGACGTCCACGGTTGATCGACGTGTCTTCGCGTCTGGCTGGGTTTCTGCTTCGTCCGAGAGGCTGAACGCAGGTAGAAGATGTCGATATTCGGAAGGTTGAATATGTTCAGGTATGGCATTAAGAATGAGGAAGCGGTATGGCCACAGGTATTGTGCGTGCCATTCATTCAATATTCGCAATGCACCAAAGCGACAATGAAGCGCCAGGAGGAGTGCTGATTGCTCGAGGTCGTTGAGGAGGAATGTCGAGAGGGGAAGGAATGGGATGGAGGATGTGAGATCGGTGTTCTTGGCGCCGGAGGTGGACGACTCTGCTTCCTGCTCCGCCGCCCAAGGGTCGTCCTCCCAGTCGTCTAGAGCTTCCTCGTCAGATTCGGACTCCTCTTGTGGTTCTTCGGCACACATGTCGAGGTAGTCCTGTAGTCTGTCCTGTCGTTCGAGAAGGGACCGGCGTATAGCACATAGGCGAACGTCATTCGGCTCCTCGCGGAAGTACGCTGCAAGTGCCTCTGCATTCTCTTCTCCAGCTGGGTTTCCTTCATCGTCCCCCCTGCTCATAAGGCCCTTGACACGCTCAGCGGCGCCTTCAGTGCGCGCGAGGCCGGTCTCCAGAAGAACGCGCTGCACGTCGATATCATCGACGACGCGGTCCGCGCAAGCAGTTGCGACCCATAGGTCGTCGGGGATGACATCAAGGAGCTCGTGGATGAGGTCTTCAGTGAGGTCCGCGTCTGCGAGAGCGGTCCAGCGCTTCGCTGGTGTCTCCGCGTCGAGCTCCGTCATGGCAGTCGTGTCCGAGGTGATATTTCGCACGTGGGTGTGACTCACACCAAAGTTCGACTTGCTTCCCGCCTTCATGTCGCTCACGTCGTCGACCAGGCAAATCCTCCTTCACAATTTCTCGGAAAACTGTCTGTGGTCTCGGACTGCTGCTTCAACCCTTTCTTGGGCTCCATAGTATGGTTTGGAGCCCATACCAGCATAAATCTGAACGCGGAAGTGCACTCTTCATCTCAACCTTGGGGGCGCCTTCAATGGATCGCGGACTTGTGATCCTTCCTTCTACTCGAGCCAGAAAGGATCTGTCAATCAGGATATTGCTCGGATGCCCACCTGTCAAGCCGCGCAGCAAGTTGCCTGCAACTATCAGACTGCCATGCGCAGGCGGCCCGGTAGCAACCACTAACTGTATTCTTCATGAACTTCATTATACGGGAGACTCTCTCGTGTTCCTAGTCGGCCCGTGGGGAACAGACTCGCAAGCCATGCGCATTGGGGGACCGGAGTGCATCTGTTCTGGTCATGTTATCTGAACGCTCACGCTGGTTTAGTCTTGCGACCGTCGATCCGAGTCCTCGCTCTTCTCTTTTTGTACAGCATGAAGGATGAATGTCTAGCGCTTACATCCGCTCTGATCAACGAGAATAGCAGTGGTGCTTTGTGCAGCTCAAAGCTCCTGGTATTTCTGCACGTACATGCGCTCTCAACTTCTGGACCATGGGCGAGTATATGAAGACCATGTCCGTCGACAATTACTCTTCTCACGAGCTCTATTCCGGATCTTCGATACCTCTTCTGCTGTGCAGTCATGCTTGGCAACGATGCGGGCCGCCGTGACCTGCACTCGAGATATGGAATTTACTAGACGTGCTTCTTCCGTATCCGTATCCTGCTCAAGCTATGGTCGCCTGCGGTAGTCAATCCTGCATGTTATTTCTCCGCGGCTCCACCCACTCGCGCTGCGACGCTTCAGGCTCGGATGGTAGACCGCGTATAAAGACTGCTCTCCATCGCCTACTCAATCCTCAGCTCGTTCTCCAACACTTCTGCACTCCAACAAGTCTCCCACACGCACTCCTCTCATAATGATCCTCGCCTCCACCGTCTTCATCGCCCTCACCGCGCTCAACGCGGCTGCGAAGCCCACCACTCGCGCTGCCTCCTGCACCTTCCCCGACCCGCCCTCCACGAGCTCGCTCTCCGAGCCCATGACGGTCACGGGTGACTTTGACGGTGGCAACGTCCGCTTCGATCGCGGGACGTCGTGCACGGGGCAGGCCGAGGGCGGCGACAGTGACGCGGTGTTCCTCCTCGAGGAGGGCGCGAGCCTATCGAACGTGGTTATTGGCGCAGACCAGGCGGAGGGCGTGCACTGTTTGGGCTCCTGCACCCTCACGAATGTGTGGTTTGAGGCGGTTTGTGAGGACGTGAGTAGGGCGGCGAGTTTGACGAGTGATATTGTGACTGATGAGGGAGTACTAGGCCATCACCATCAAGCAGGACAGCGGCACCTCGACCATCACTGGCGGTGGTGCTAAGGGCGCGGACGACAAGGTCGTGCAGCACAACGGCGGTGGTACGGTCGTCATCGACAGCTTCTGCGTCCAGGACTTTGGCAAGCTCTACCGGTCGTGCGGGGTACGTATTGTTTACTTCGTCCATCGAGCCAATAAACTGACTTGCTATACTTTTGTTGACAGAACTGCGACGAGTACGTCTCTTTGAAGAGTCTCGCGCCTCAAATGACACTAACATCTCTTTCAGCATGTACGAGCGTCACGTCGAGATAAGCAACATCATCGCCTCAGACGGGTCCTCGCTCGCCGGCATCAACAGCAACTACGGCGACACTGCGAAGATTGACGTGTAAGTCGCTCTTGCCCGCATGTTCATGTTCGGACTTCGCCGTGAACGTTGTCTTCCCAATTCATCCACTCGGCCGCTCGCTCGTTCCCTTGACTCTTCCATTCACTGTCTCTTGCCTTCCCCGCTTCCCTGTTCACGGAGGTTGCGCCCGCCGTTCATAAATCACTGTCTTCCTTCGGCGCAGCGCACTAAACCTTCACATCGACCCACTCAACTCACCATGACTGACAACCCTTTCCGCAGCGCGTCCTCCCAGATCGACGACGTGGACTCGATCTGCGACACGTACGAGGGCAACGACAACGGAGACGAGCCTGAGAAGCTCACCTCCAACGAGTCGAACGAGTACTGCCAGTTCTGAGCGCCTCGTATCACCACAGCGCTGGATGGTCCCCTTGGCGCCGTCGGAATTCATCGCCTTCGCCTCACTAGGGTCTCCGGAACAGGCCAGCGCTCAGTTCCGAAAAACACATACACGGTCGACTGATTGGGTTCAGAGGTCGTCTTCCTTTCTTTCCCTTGTGAATTAGTGGCACATGTGTTCCGTAAATCTTCTCTGTAGCTTCGTTGTGTTAGCCATCTTCTGTTGTATACCATGCGTCGCTGTGTGCCACACAGCGCGCCGTTCTCGTGGCTTGATGCCTGTATGAATTCATTGTGCTGCGGTCTGACAGTCGCTCGCTTCCGCTGGTACGGCGCGATCCCAAGGAAAAATTGGAAGTGTCCGGCGTTGACGGCGAGGATGCTGTTGCTGAGTGAGGTGGCCGGAGTCGTACGAGGATGATAATTGCCCACTGAAGAAGGCAAGACAGCCAGTCCATTTCACCTAGCAAAAACTCTTCATGTACAGAGAAAATACCACGATTGTAAGATAGAGCACGACCGACCGACGATAGACCTGAACAGCATTTGACACAGAAGGAAAGCGATGACGAACGAACGGTCCCAGACAGTGCGAGGAGCGCCTGGTGACAAGGAAAGAGTAGCATGCTGTTGAGGGTGTAGCTAGAACAGGGTCTCCTCGTCCCGCAGGTACTCTCCGACGTCCCTATAATTGGGTGGTGAGCATAGTGTGGCAGCGTGCGGAGGTGAGCGGGCGGTGGCGGGGAGGATACATACGATTGATGGAAGACGATGATGGCGGTGGGATCGAGTTTGCGGGTGTCGACCGTTGAGCGCGCTGTGACGCCGAATCCCTGGACGCGCAGCAAGGATCAGTACACAAAGGGAAAGAGTGGTCCGCGCGGGGAGGTAGTACGTACCAATGGCACGTCGCTCATGCTGTACACGACGACCCCTTGGTGTTCTGGGGTGTCTTCCGTTATCCGCCCAAGGTGCGCTTTCAACACATGGTTGCCATAGAGGAAAGGCATCTCGCCGTTCGGTTTTATCCAGACCTAAGGCGAAGGGGATCGTCAGCACGTCAAGGATACAGTAAGAAAGGAAGGACGATGCACGCACCTTGTACTTGGCGTACTGTGCAAGGTGGTCGAGGGCGGTTACGTGGAGCTTGAAGGTGCCGCCCTTGCTGAACTTGCCGAAGCATGTACCAAGGGAGACGAGATTTGGGCGGGCGACGGAGACAGCAAGCTTCATGGAGGACTCTGGGACGTAGAAGACGCGGTCTTTGTGCAGGCGGAAGCAGTATGGTTCATCTTTGCGGTCAATGAGCGATATAAGATTTTTGCCCTAGAGTGCGGGGAACGCGGTGGATGGAGGGGGAAAGGTGAGGATCAGTACAAGGACGAGGAGACAGAGATTGCTACCCACGATGAAGTTGGAGAGCTTTGTGAACACTGCCTTGGACTCGTCCTCTGTGAGTGGGCGCATGGTGGACGGAGGAGGAGTGGGGAGACGAGCTGGCCTCCGATGATAGACTATTGATTTGAGATCACCCCGATCGGACGGCGCCCGGCCCGAATAACGCCGGCCTGCGCGTCGGGGAACGCGGCGACGCGTCTTGATCACCTCGTCATCAGGCATGTCGACGGCCCCCACCTTCTCCTCCTTCCCCGACCTTGACCCGCAACCCAGTCAGTCCAAAGCAAAGAACAAGCCAAAGGAGAAGGCTAAGAAGCGGCACAGGAGCAGGAGCAGGAGTAGGGACCGTGAACGGGACAAGGACAGGGACAGGGAGAGGAAGAAGGATAAGGATGGAAAGAAGAAGAAAGACAAGGATCGGCATCGGGACGACAAACGCGACAAAGTCTACGAGGAAGCCTACGACGTCCGCAAAGATGAGCGCGATGCGGGTTTGCGCTATTTCTACAGCGACCGCCGCGGAGATCCCCTGAACATCACCTATGGCCGCATTCACTCTGGCGACATTCCAAAGTACAACATCTACCACCGTGCGTCTTGGTACTTCCTCGTCTCTTGACATCTAACCAAGCGTAGGCGGTAGGAAGATACTCGGTCTCGACTCTGCGTGGGTCGCACATCGCACGGGGCACGGCGTCGAGGTGTTCCTCCGTGGGCCGCGCAAAGCGCCTGCGTTGACGGATGCTCGTACACGCGCACTGCTTGCACAACCCCCTACTCAGCATATCACTGCAAACCCGAACAAGTATCCCGAGGTTGACGGTGTCATCGTCGTGCCCCGGCGTCAACGCGCTGCCGCCGAACCAGAAGACTCCTACCGCGCCATCACTGCCGCAGACCGCGCCCGCGATGACTCTGACTCCTCGTCGGAGGAAGATGAAGGCGCCAGCGAGGAGGAAGAGGACGATGGCCGACCCACTCTGTCATACCACCAAGAGAAACTCGCGCAGCTCAACCGCCAGGTCACCGCTGAACCCGCAAACGAGCACGCCTGGCTCGAGCTCTTGCGAGAGTCCCTCATTGACGTTCCACCCGACACCAAGAATGCTTCAAAAGCTCGAGCAGAGATTACCACAGCTATACTCGGGCGCGCTCTCACACTGAACCCCCGAGCGTTGATTCTGCGGAGGGAATACGTGAAGGCGGGCGAGGAGATCTGGCATGAGAGCCGGGTGCGCGCTGAGTGGGAAGCCGCGCTGAAGGTCGGTGGGCCTGATATGTGGATGGAGTGGTTGGAATGGCGCATAGGGCAGGCGAAGGATGCTTTGGCTGGCATTGTCGAAGACGCTGGGCGCGTGCTGGCGAACACGGAAGACGACATGACAAGAGTGAGGGTTCTGTGGAGGATGGCAGAACTGCTCAAAAGCGCAGGTGAGTGCGCATATAATCGATTCCGTTCACTGCTGACAGTTTTGTCAGGCTACATCGAACGTGCTAATGCTCTGTTCCAAGCTCAAGCAGAATGGTGGGTGCAGATGTATGCATTCACCCCATCTTCTGACGTATTGCGTAGGATCACGCACCTACCTCATACTCTGAAAGACCTCCCCTTCACCCAACAGCTCGACGAACTCGAAGAATTCTGGGAATCTGAAGTCCCCCGCATCGGCGAACCCAACGCCTCCGGCTGGGCCTCATGGGTCGCATCTGGAAAGCCCGCGCCCAATCATACCCCTACCGCATCGACCTCCTCCCGCCTCCCTCGCCCACCAACTGGCGACCCCTACACCCGCTGGGCGCAGTCAGAACAGCTCGCCGATACCTACGCTTGTCTCCCCACTCGTTCCTTCGACGAGTCGGAGGACGCAGACCCGTATGCGGTGATCATGTTCTCGGATATCCGGCCCCTGTTGAGTCCTATCCGGGATGAAGTCGCAGTGGATGCATTCAGGAAGGCGTGGCTCTCAGTACTAGGCCTGTGGGTGCCGGGCAACCAGGCAAGAGGAGAGTGGGACGACCGATGGGCGTGTGCGCATCTCGGACGCACAAGCTACGTCAAGCGCATCTTCCAGCAGTACACGACGCAGACGAGCGTGAGCGCGGATGCTGTGGCGGGCGTGCTCATCGGACGGGAGCTGGCGTACGGCGACGTGTTTGGTCCGGTGAAAGGTTGGGGCGGGCGAGATGTCGTACGCGCATTGGAGGTGAATGTGAGGAGGGAGAAGGGGAAGGAGCGCGCGATGCTTTGGCGAAGTGAAGATGTGGAGGATGCACGAGAAGAGGTGGTGAGGACGGTGTTTGCGCAGATGAGGAAGGGGCAGGGGGACGAGGAATGGGATGCATTGGCGCTAAGCTTTGAGGTAGCGCTGGGGCAATGGAAGAGGTATATTGTTCATGAATACTGTCGAGAGACATATATTGACTCTATTTACAGTGCTACGAGACTCTCGCGCACCTTCCTTTCATCGGCACGAGATTCACTGCCGCACTGGTGTATGCACGCCCAGCTGGAACGCTTGCGAGGCCGGCTGGACGACGCGCGCAAGGTGTACAACACCGTCCTCATCGCCTCGCGACCCGCCAACAACGAGCCAGGCGCGGCCCAGCTGTGGTCCGACTGGGCAGAGATGGAATGGCTGGACGGCAAGCCAGAGGAGGCAATCAACATCATCATGAAGGCCGCCAACGTCGAAGGCCAGGGAGGCATCGCTATCCTTCGCGCGAGGCGCAATCTCGATGAAGCCATCAAGACCGCACCCTCTTCGGACAGATGGAAAGACCGCGAGGCGTGGGTCAAGATGCTGGCGCTCTTCGAACTGCTGTCTGCGAAGGCGCTCCCAGCCGCGCTCGCCGTGTTCGACGCCCACGCCCCCGCTTCCGGCCTCGCGCGAGAGAGCATGGCCGTAGCCGCCCTCATGGTGATCTACCGACACAGTATCGTGTTACGGACGCCCACGCCGCCAGCGATTCTTCGGGAGCGTGCGCGTGCCGCGCTAGACGAGTTCCCGAGCAACAGCGTGGTGCTCGCGATGGTGCTCGAGGCGGAGAAGGGGCAGGCGATTGCAGGGTACTTGCGGGACCTTCGTGGCGAGGGCCACCAAGCAAAGGACGTCACTCGACGTGTCATGGATGTGTGGGTGGGTGGTTGGAATGGGAGGTGGCAGCTCGAAGCCGAGCGGACACGCACTGGACTGACGATGGCGGTAGAGAGAAGTCGGTGCGTGGTTCTGTTCGTCATACGCTTGACATGTCAGCTCACTACTTGCAGGACGAAGGGCTGTGCCATGTTATGGCGCCTGTTTATTGAGCTTGAGCTGCGTTCTGGCGATTTCCAGAGTGCGAAACGCCTACTTTATCGCGCCGTACGGGAATGCCCGTTTGCTAAAGGTGAGGCTAGGCGCCGCCACATTCCAACATCGCCGCTAATGTTCTGGCTTTTCGATCTAGAGCTATACATGATGGCCTTTGACGCGCTCCGGTCGGCGTTTAGTGCGAGGGAGCTAGCCGAGCTGGGGGATCTCATGGCGGAGCGGGACATCAGGATGCGACGAGGGCTGGACGAGATTGAGGTGGTGGGCGCGGAGGAGAGCAGCAGCAGCGAGTCCGAGTCTGACGGGGGAGATCGCGAGCTAGAACAACAGGCTCGCGAGTACCGACGGCTGATGCCCTACTGACCACTCATTGTTCCGTGCCGTGCCTCGTGTTTACCCCTTCATTTATTGTCTCGGCGTGTAAACATACGTAAATAGAAGGATGTGACTATGTGACTGGACGTCACGTCAACACTTCGCTCCGCACCATCGTCCACGTTTTTCCAGCCTCTGGGCGCGAAAATTGCCGACGACGACGACGACAACCAGCGCACGGCTTAGCTGGTCCCCCCACTGATTTCGTTCTCCAATATCCCGCTTTTATCCCCTTATCCCTCGATTACCGCTACCGTCGCTTTAATTATTCCGCTGCACTCCGCAAGCCCCCGCCCTTCCTTCCCCCACCCGCCCCCGCCGCGGACAAGCAGCACTGCTCAGTACCCTACACTCGCATAACTATGTCCGCCATCCCCGCCCCCTCCCTCGTCAAGGAGGAGTGGCCGGACGCCGACTTTGATCTCCCGGAGGGCGACCACCTCCACGCCATGTCCGACAAGGAGGATGACGACGATATGGACTGGGACGCCGAGATGGACCTCGGCAAGACCGGAGGCGCGAAGGCGAACCCCGCCGCGGCCGGGATCGTCCACCGCCCCGTCGCATCCTCCTCCATCCGGGGCATGACGACAATACGTCCGCCCATATCCTCCATGCCCGACTTCGACGAAGACGAAGACGACGAAGGCGTATCCACTATCAAAGTCACCGCACTCCCGAAGCCCATCCAGCGCCAACCGTCGAAGCCGCAGGAGAGGCCGACGGTGATCGACGAGGACTTTGAGGACGCCTTTGCCCTGCCGTCGGATCTGACGCAGCTGTCGTTGGTGCCTTTGTCGTTGAATCACCGGTCGTCGAAGTCCTCTTTGGAATGGGGCGACAAAGATCACACATCTTCCTCGCAATCCTCCGATGCATACTCGACTCTCGGCTTGGCGGGCGCCTCGCCGTCGTCCAACTCGGCCAGCTCCTTGTCATTACCTGACACGGAGACCGACGAGGACGACAGCGAGAACGACCTCGACGGCCTCGTCATCCCCACAGAGCTCTTCGACTCGGGCGCGAAGAGGCTGACCAAGCTGCTCGAGCGCAAGAAAGAGGAGATGTTCGGGGTCGAACGTGTCAAGGTGGCGAGTCCGCCCGAAGAAGACTTCGAGAACGGCCTTGTCATTGACGACGACGTCGAGCTCAGCCCCAGCCGCCTGCTCGTCCAGCAACAACAAACCCGCACCGCCTACGGTCGCAGTAATAGCTTCCCCCTCCAGAAGCCATCCTCCCTCCGCCCTCCTTCGCGCACAAGGTCCGAGAACCGTGCAAAGAGCCCGGCAAATCCGCCTCCGTCATCCACGCGCCAGCTCTCGAAGATTCGGCTCTCACCATCCCCTCCATTGCGACATACCACCCGCTCACAGACCTTCGGGACTTTGGGCAATGCCAACCCTCCACCCTCACCCTTCCTCGCCCCCAAACCCGGCAGTCTTCGTGGTCAGAAGTCTGCGTCTGGGCTCAAGTCGCCACCGCCCGCAACAACATCGCGGCTCACTCGGAAGGCCTCGCTATCCTCACTCATGGATACCAACAGTCAAGCGTCAGGCTCTGGCTCGGTTTCCAGCAACAACTCAGCGAAGGCACGATACGAAGAGCCCACAGCAGCCTCGCGGGCGAAAACACACAAGCACTCGACGACCACCCGAGTAAGTGGGGCTGAGTTCAAAGTACCTCCCACGCGACCGTCCACGCCGTCATCCAACCCGTCCGCGCTACGGCTCACCATGCCTACACAGGGGAGCAGAACGGGCAAGCTGCGCCCTTCCATATCCTCGGTGTTCAGCCCCACCACCTCCGGTCCCCAATCCCCCATGTTCCGCACCAACTCCCCCGCTCCCCGTCCTCCTTCCAGCCTCTCGAAACAACAACCCCGTCCGATCGCTGCACCTCCCGCCGCGCCGCGGTTATTGCGGAAACCGAAGCGCCCACGGACGTTTGGCGATGGCACGGAGCTGGACGCATTCGAAGATCTCCCTACCGATCGTGACAAGGAAGGGCGCTTCCGCGTCCAGCCGAAGGGCTTCGGCAATCGCGTACCAGGAGGCACGTACCAGTCCAAGACGGGCACGATTCGCAGAAAAGGCCGATCGACGACGAGCAGCAGCGGTACGTTGTTACGCGTATCAGGCTCTGGCATCTGTACTCATGTTCTCGCAGAGAACCTCAATGCTGCGTATCAGGCGTCCGCGAATCAGCCGAAGCGTTCGAAGACGAGCGACAACCCTCTGAAGAAGTCGAAGAAGTCCCATGGCAATTCTCCGTCGAAGAGTGGTATACCGCGGAGGAAACCTACCCTCATCCGCAATTTGGGCGGTGTCGGCGGGCCAAAGGGTATGTTGTCGTGCTGTGGTCGTATCGCCCGGCACTCACGTCATGCAGTCGTTGGTGACATGAAATGGAACCCCCACACTCTTCGATGGGAGGGGAACGACCAGGTCCTTCGTGACTTCGATGCCGCCATGGGCACGTCGACACGACCCGCCCTCATCACACACCTCACTGGCTCCTCTGTCGGCTCTCCCGTTGGCTCGTTCGCATCTGGCGCAAGGATAGTGGGAAACATGATTTTCGATCCCCAGCGCATGTGCTGGATATCGACATTACCGCCAGAAGACGACGAGCCGGACGTCTTCGCCAACCTCGCAGATGACGAGAGCGAAGATGCATGGGAGACGAAGGGCGGCACGATCCGGGCGTCGTTGGGCAGCACGACGTCCGAGGCATCGGCGGCGTCCACCGCGACCACCAACTCGCCACCACGGAGCGCCTCGCGCAGTCACATGCGCACGGTCTCCGAGTCTGGCAGTGAGCACGAGCTTGGCTCTCGTGCATCGCTCGTCTACGACGTCGACGAGAACTTCGTCGAGAACACAAGACGAGCGGAGGAGCGGCACCGGCAGGAGATGCGCAGCTGGAGGAGCGCGCTAGCACGCCAGGACGTGTTCGATGCCCCCGATCGCAGCTACTTGTACGAAATCCGCGCACTGGCTACGCGACAGTATTGATCACGACACGGACTCATTGACGACCGTGATGGCTTTCTCTCCCTGGCTACTACACTACGCGCCTTTTATTTGGTGGATTTGGGATCCTGTTGTTCATATCGCGCTGTGCCCGACGACCCCCCTTCTTGTGTGATGCTACTGTACTGTTTGCTTTCTTGTCAATAGGCCTCTTGCTATTCGGTCATTCCTTTGTTTCTTATTTTTCGGTCTATGTCCACCTGTCTTCGCATTCACTATGTACCCCCTCATCTAGCCAGCATTATGGAGAAATATGACACGCCCTTCTTTCACTCTCGAACTTGGTGTGATGAGTGACTGCATGAGTTGACTCCGACGACGATCATGGCGGCGGCGCTTATCGGCGCAGAGCATCGACAGCGGACTTGCTTCCCGCCGCCATCTTATGGCCAAACTAGAGGCTGGCACCGGCCGGATATGCCTCTCCCTTCTTGACTCTAATGCTGTCTTCTCTGAGCTCTCGGCGACGTACCCTCTGAAGCTTTTGTCGCCTCGAACAACGCCTCCTGATGTTGCGGTCGTCTATATTCTGAGCTATGGTGGCGGTCTGGTTGGCGGCGATCGCGTCTCGTTGACCGTCGCTGTCGAACGAGATGCAGTTCTGGTGCTATTGTCACAGGTAAGCTACCCCCCTGTGCTTTGACTTTTCCAATAGTTGACTTATGATGAACAGGGATCGACGAAAGTGTTCAAGGTTCGGCCAGGAGTACGTCTGGCGAAGGTGCACGCGGACACGACGGCGCCAGTAACGGTGCAGAACTTCACCTTCACTGTCGCCGACCGCAGTTGCCTGTTCCTCCTGCCCGACCCGGTGACTTGCTTTCGAGCCGCGTCCTACAACCAGATTCAGACTTTCCACCTCGCCCGCGATGCGTCGCTTATCGTGCTCGACTGGGTTACATCGGGACGCAAGTCGCTGGGCGAGGACTGGCTCTTCGCGCGGTACTACAGCATCAACGAGATCTTCGTGGAGGGCCGGCGGGTAGCGCGGGACGCGATGCTACTCGAGGAGGAACCCAAGGACCCTCGCGTGCCCAGGCGAACGCTCGCACAGCGCCTAGCACCGTACTCCTGCTACGCAATGCTCCTACTCTTCGGCCCTGCAACGCAGGAAGTCGTGAAGGACCTAGAGGAGCAGTACGCGAAGATCACTGTCTTCAAGCGAGGGGCACCAGACGATCTGCTCTGGTCGCTGAGCCTCGTTGACTCCGGTCGTGGAGCAGTCGTGCGAGTGGCTGGGAAGGAAACGGAGGGGGTCAAGCATTGGCTGAAAGACGCGCTCCGGAAGTTGGAGAATGCTGTGGGCCCAGACGTTTACCAGAGGACGTTCGTCTGATGATGACCATATCGCACGTTTCTACATGACTGCAGCGGCAAGAACCCCTCAGGAATGGCTGTTACTGAGTTGGTGCGTGCAATAGGTCATTCGAATCGCAACTCGGGCATTCTGATCTATGCTAGGACTAGTTTTGTCCCGGTGGCGAAGGCTACTCTCAATGCGAAATCCAGAATCCTCGGAAACCTATCTGTGCAGTCGACGAATCGTACGTTACCCTCGTCGGCCCCATGACCAGCCCCAATGGTCGTGATCTGCCTGCTGTCGCCCACCCGCTGGACTGCACGAAGCCGTCCTCACCAGCTGGTCAGGGCTTCAATATGTACACTACCTGCGATGTAGTTATCTACAGCACGCCTGCGGCCCTATTTTACAGCGATGGAAGGCTACTCCAGAGCTTCCTCATTGGCGGCCGACGGCGCTCTCACGCCCCGCGGCCATGTCGAGTGCTATCATCATCACGCGGATCTGACGTCCTTTATCAAGCGCCCAAAGGCGTATAAAGAGGTGATGTCGCCTGCGGAGCTATCGACGCTCCCGAAGGTCGCGTGTAGCTCAACTAGCATCGGCCGCGCACCAACATGAAGAGCGATAGCGACCACGAGTCTACGTCGGCTGAGAAGGACGTCGTTGTGACCGCCGAGCCTCTCAGCGAGAAGGATGCGTATCGAGCGGACGCGAGCCTGGAGGCGTCTGGCATCGACGAGAAGAAGCTCATGAGGAAGGTAGACTGGCATGTTATCCCATGGCTAGCGCTTCTCTACCTCCTCAACTTCTTGGACAGAGGGAACGTTGGCAACGCGAAGGTAGGTCCAATTTACTGCACCTAGGTTGTTAGCTGAGACTCACAAAATGGGCAGCTGTACGGCCTGGAGAAGGACCTGGGCATCACTGATAGGCAATACCTTATAGCCCTGACGGTCTTCTTTTTCCCTTATGCGCTCTTGGAGGTGGGCATCGTATCGTTCATTTGCGCACTGATACTGAGTCCTTTCAGCCCGCCACAAATGTGCTCTTACGTAGGCTCAAGCCTTCTTACTTTCTGTCGTTCATGATCGTCTCATGGGGCATCGTCATGGTATGACATCGCCTGTCTCTCCATGGCACATATTCATGGCGTCCAGACGCTCCATGGAATCATACACGACTACGGAGGTCTAGTCAGTGAGTTCTTTTACTTCGACTGCGAATAAATACTCAATGAATGTCAGCATGTCGTGTCCTACTTGGACTCTTCGAGTCTGGCATGTATCCAGGCATTGTCTTCTACATATCTAGGTGAGCAATTGACGACGTTTGATTAGAGGCAATGTATGAGTGCTGATGTACACCCCAGCTGGTACAAACGCACCGAATTGGGATCTCGCGTAGCCGTCTTCTTCACGTCGGCGACTGTTGCAGGCGCTTTCAGTCAGTTGCTGCCCTACTTAGTCACCGGGCACCCGCTCAACGGCGTTGGCAGGTGGTTTGCTAGCGTCCGGAATTCAGAACATGCACGGCATCGGTGGCAAGCCAGGCTGGGCATGGATCTTCATCCTCGAGGGTCTCTTCACTGTCATCGTCGGTGTGCTTTCGCTATGGGTGATCCAGGATTTCCCGGAGACAGCGAAGTTTCTGAACGAGGACGAGCGTGCGTTCAACTTCGCTCCATCTCAGTGATGCAGAAACTTAAAGACCTCACTACAGGCGCCTTCATCATACGCAGGCTGCAGAGCGACCAGAAGATTTCTGCGTCAGGCGAGAAGTTCGACGCGAAATATATTTGGCAAAGCCTCAAGGACTGGAAGACATGGGTGGCTAGTGAGTACTTCCTTCACCGCGGATGATCAATTTCTTTACCTGGATATAGTGTGCATGTACGCTGGATTGTGAGCGCTCCCCCTCGAGTGTGGCCCGACTGAGCCTGATCCGCCTCCGAACAGCGACGGCCCTCTCTTCGCGTTTTCTCTTTTCACCCCGACTATAATCAATCAGGTTCGTCATATCATCGAAACTAAGGAACTCCAGCTTACGCTCCCTCTCCCTACCAGCTTGGCTACACGGCGACAATAGCCAACCTCTTGTCCGTCCCCGTCTACGTGTGGGCGTGTCTGGTCACTTTGGCCATCGGGTTTCTGGGAGACCGCATCGGCCACCGCGCGTACATCAATTTGTGAGTCACGAACTCGCCCAGCGATGGCAAGTCTGACATAAGTATCGTAGTGGCTTGTTTGGTACAGGTACGCTTCACCTCAAACAAGCCATGGGCCTCCTCTTACATCGAAAGCAGGTTTGGTGGGATATGTCATCCTCATCGCTTCAAGAAATGCGGCGCTTAGCTACTTTGCCGTCTATCTTGCTGCAGCGTAAGTGAACCCGCCAGACGACCCTCAAAAAGATCAGCTAACTCGTTCATCGCAGAGCAATCTATCCTACCATCCGTAAGCTCGTGGTCGCGGGCTTTCAGCATCCTACTAACCTACCTTCTCGCGTCAAGCAAACTCAGTGTAAGCGCAACATCTAGCCTGTGCAGTCCAAGGCACTTGCTGACCGATTGACAGAGCATGGGTAGCAGGCAATGTCGAAGGCGTCTACAAGCGCGGCGTCACGCTCGCAATGGCCATTGGCTTCGGCAACCTCAACGGCGCCGTCACTTCCAATGTCTACGTGCGTACTACTACGGGCATGTCCTCGCTGATCTGCTGCTTACCACATCCAGCGCGCAACGGACGCGCCATGGTACCCCCTCGGCCACGGCATCGTCCTCGCCTACATCGCCATCGGATTCATATCTTCCGCCGTCTTCCTCGTCGGCCTCAAGCGCGCGAACGCTTCCAAAGAGCGAGGCGACCACGACGAGGTCATCCATGGCGTCGAGAACAAGCACGCTCACGAAGGAAACGGGACCTACGCGTCAGTCGAGGCAGCCAGGATGGACAAGGGGGACAGATGGAGCGGGTTCAAGTATACATATTGAATAAGATACACTTGATGCGGGGGTATACACCGTGTACAATGCCCGGATACAGGATGAAATGGAAAAAAGTCTATAGGGATATCCTCTTCGACGGCCGGGCAATATCATGCCCTCCGTCCTCCGCCTTCCTCTTCCGTGACGACGCCTCTGGTGTGCGAGACCGGCTTCGCGAGCTAGCGCGTGTCTTCGTATGCAATTCAGCGTGGCAAGTCGCATGGTATAACTAGAAGAATTGATTAGCACCACGGCGTAGTTGGACGTATCTGATATCCTCACTGTCTCTCCATCCTTCACGGCATTCGTCCACACCCACTCCTCCTCATCTTCAAGGAACTCCGTCCTGAAGGGGTCGAAGCATACAGGGCAAGATAGTGGCTTCGTCTCATCTCCGATAGGTATGATTACATGGCGCGACAGCAACTCTTCCTTGCGACGAGCTGCCTCCGCTTTTGATTCACGCTCTTGCTCGAGTGCGCGTTGTTTGCCTTTGGGGTCAACCGACGTTACCCAATCCTAGGAGTGAAGGTCAGTCACGGTAAAGAACATGGAATATTAGGCAAACATACCTCACGATCAACATACAGGCTCCGACTGAACCCGCGACCCTCGTTCGACATATGCTGACGATTCTGGCGGAAATGCATGTCAAGATGCTTCTGATGCGCCTGCTTGCCTTCCGTCGAGTCCGGGAACCGCTGAGCGCACTGTCGGCACTGGACTGGTAGGTTGTCATAGAAGAGGCTTTCGAGCACATTCCGCGGTGAGCCGCTGCGTAACATGGGTAAGGCTGAGCCCGCAAGTGCCAACGACGAAACACACCTTGAATGGCCTATATCTCGCAGCGACACCTTCTGACGCATGATCTTGCGCCTATACTTTCCTGACTCGCTGACCTCCGGACCGTCGTCGACGTCCATGCGCGTACCCGTCGACTCAGGCTTCACTGAACTCGAACTACCCTGCTGATTGGACGTGCCGATCACGCCGGATCTCACAAGACCGAGCAGGGCATTCTGAAGGCTCAATGATTGAGGGGCAGGTACAGGCTGGTTAACTACAGGAGGATACTGCACAGGGACAGGAGCGGATGGGGGTGGCTGAGATGACCAAACGGGTGGGGCGGGCACGCGAGGGGCGACAAGGGTACGAAGCTGAGTGTGTATGGCCTGAAGATCACCGGGAGCGACGCCAGCTTGGACGACTGCGCGTAGCTGTCAAGAATGTCAGTCACTATCACGTAGAGAGGAACGGGGAACACATACTTGACAGAGGACATGATAATCGTTCTGAGCCTTAATATCGAATGGGTTATACTGTGCGTGAATTTGCGTCTGCTGGATAGCATGCTCAATTTCGTTCAGCACCATCCACGGGTTCAAACCAGTGGCTCGGCCACCGTGCTTGGACTTCGGATGCTTCTGCTGATGCTGCTGCTTCTGGAACTTCTGCTGTTTCCGAACGGGTCCATTGACGAAGCCAGGAGGGCGCTGATGCTTGCTGACGTGGCCTGGGCCACGTTGCGCGACGTGCTGGAAGGGTGCACTACCTGCGGGCTGACCGTATATGTAGGAAGCCATCGTTCAATCGCTTAAGGGAACTGAAGTGCGTATGGGACACTCGTATTCGAGAGGGACAACGACGCGATATTCGCGGCGATGGTGGGCGTGCGGAACAACGAAAAGTGACTGATCAAAGCGGAGCGGCCGTGCTTATATAGCCTCTCCGGCAATGGCCGGATCAGCCACGGGCTGATGCCACGATCACATGATAAGTTCATCTACGGCCTTCACCTACCGACGCGCGGCGTCTAATGGACTCTTTTTGAGAAAGCGAGTAGCCTGTAGAGCTCTTTGTCACACGTAGACAGTAAGGTTGTGCCGCCGGCCTTCGTCTCCCAGGGCAAATACTAAGGGAATTCTGCCGACGCTCTGTTATCCGCTCCTTCAGAAAGCAGAGATTATGCACCGTGTGTGTACTATACCTGCAGAGGACACATCTACTCCGCCTACGGAAGGCTACCGAGGCTTCTAAGTCGCAAGTTTAACGAGCTCTGATACGGAGGTGATTTACAAGCAAAGGACGATGGGTCGCGAGCCCTCACGGCCACGGCTTGACACGTCTATCAAAAACAACGACGACACAAAGAGCATATACCAGCGAGATGACAAAAAGTATACAATGCACAGGGACCACAGCGTCATCAAGCATTCTCTTCCTCAACCTCAAACGCACAGCAGAACGTGTCCTTATCAAGTAACACAAGCCCTTTCCCATCAGGCGCCCAATACAAGTTGCGCGTCTCAAATTTCTCTGTAGAAAACGCGCATCAGTAACGACGGACGACGGCAAGGCTCGCGCCGCTTACGCGCTGGCACCCCGACACATTCGGTCATTCCCTCCGAGTCGGCCTGCGCATCGTCGCCCACCCATTCGTCGCTCCAGTGATAGATGCTGCGCTCGCCCGTGCAGAAAGCGAGCCGGCCCGCACGGATGGGATTCCACCGCGCGTGTAGGATGGGCTTGCTGTTCATGATAACGGTCTGCAGCTTCGGCTGCAGGAGCGGCGCGCCGTCCGAGGGAAAGTCGTAGATGAAAATCACGTTCGGCACGTTTTCTGACGAGGGCTGTTCAGTGGCGTGTTGACTGAGAAGGAATGAAGTGTACGGACCGAATCGTAGCAGCAACAGCGATCCATTCTGGTTGAACTCGATCTGCACAGGCCCGCTCTTGGGCGGAGGCTTCGCATGATCAGGCCGCGCCACAGATAGAGATTGCGCGCTATGGACGCGCTCATCTACGGATCTGGCTGTCAGATTGAGTCGTGAAACAGACGAGGAAACATTACACGCCAGGAACCCACGTCCCTCCGTCGCCTCTAGCCACCTCGAGGGCTCGCGCCATATTGCCTATTTAGATTAGAACACGCTTCGTAAGTCTTACAAAGCTAATAATTCCCGACTCACGACGGAAGATGGGATCCTGGTGGAGAGGTCGAGGGCCGCAATGGGCGAAAAGCTGAGACCGTCGAGGATGTGTATCTGTCGGGCGGGACGATGAGTAAGACCGAAGCACGCGAGTAGGGATATGACTCACTCGGTCGTCCCAGCCCCCAACCAGAAGAAAAGAGCCGTCTGGGTGCCATTTTATGTGACGGATTCCTAAGCCCGGATCCGTATCCGGCGTGAACGTTGCAAGTGTCGCGCCTGTGGCAACCGAGACGATGTAGAGCTTGTACTATACGTGGATGAGTGAGCGTCGCAAACGAGCCAGCATATGTGGACGCACCTCGAGCGGCCCTTCACAGATGGCTACATGCGTTCCCCGTGGGGATAGGGCCATAAGCGACAAGGAGGAGGTGGGCAAGGGGAAGTGCTTCGTTTGCTCATGAATATGGACCGAGAGTGGACATACGCTTCACTCACACGGACCAACTTGAAGGCGTTAGAGGCATCGTAGAGGCCTAGCGTATCCTTAGACTTCAGTCGCTCGACAAGGGCGAGATATCTGCCGTCTCGGCGGAAGGCGTAACCTAAGAACGCGATCACATGTCGTCACAAAGGGAAAGCCTCGAATGGCTAACCTTTTTCAGGATGAAGGGGGTACTGGATGTAAATTGACGATCCCGTCACCAAAGACCAAATGGTTACTCTGAGCTATTCCAGAAGGCTCTAGTGAGCGCGCCACCGCGAAGCGCGTCGTGCCACCCACATTCCAGTCCGAGAAACAAAGAATATTGCGGCCATCTGGCGCCCACTCGGCCTTGACGAGACCTGTCGAGACGCGATGACAACGAGTAGCAAGTCGGCACGGTTCGCATCTACCTTCGGCGCCCGCGTCTATCCTGGCGGACCAATCCTCATCACGCAGCTTGAAGACGTGCACGACGCCCGCCTTTGCACAGGCAGCAAGTACGAATTCAGAATCGCAGGACCAGGCAACGTGCGTGATCCAGTGTGAAGGGTCCTTGCCAGGAGTATTGGTTTTGGCTTTCGCCGACGACGCGCCCGCTTTCGGCGCGAGGGCAACCTCGGTTGGTGAGGGCGACGCGTCTATCTGCCAGTTGCGGGTGATCTGAAACGAGTCTGCGCGTCGGACGACGAGTCTGTCCTGCACGCCCGTGATGATGAAGTGCGCGCCGGGGCTGAACGCAACGAGCGAGGACGTGTGCTTGTAGAGCTCTGTGAAGTCCATGATAGACGCGCCGAGCATAGCCTGGTGACCAGCCCCTCTTTGCCTCGTTTTCCTCGTCAGAGGGCCTGGTAAAATCCTCGGAAAAGTTGGCGTGGATGAACGATGTCGTCATTGCCGTTCCCAAAAGGCGAGTTTCCTTTTCCAGCGCTCTCGGAAGGCGGTCCGCCAGTTCCGACCACCCGACCGACTGCCTCAGTTCTGAGCGAAGACACCAAAGTTGGGGCATCTCTTGTATGCAGAGCTCGGGGACATAACCGAATGATGGAGTACACATCGCTTTGTATTGATGGTGCTCCAACTCAAGTGTACGGGCTTGTAGAGCGCCTTCGGCGTGCCAAAGCAGTGACCAGCAGTCTGACATGCGGTAACTCACGCCTAGGAGGCGAAGGTGTAAGTGTTGTCAGCCGTGGAATACCTGGAATCTGTTCTAGGGGTCATATATTCCCTCTGAGAAGTGCTTTCCGATGTAGATGGATGCAATACACAGGCCAAGTCGTCGACGAAGGGGCAAAAGCTCAACCGCTCGAAAAGGCAACTTCGCCATTTCGGGAAGAAAAGCGTGACCATTATGACGACATCGTTCATCCACGCCAACTTTTCCGAGGATTTTACCGGTCCCTCTGACGAGGAAAGCGAGGTAAGAGGGACCGTGTTACCGGTCTACGCCGAGCACAAGTCGTACCTCGGCAACCAGCGGTTGACAGGGACCCGTCCCACGTGGCTGTGCAAACACTCTAGCCGTCACCCGCCCTCGTGACGTTACGGGGCCTGGGTCAGCACCTCACTGCTTGCGCGTTCCTTCCATTGGACGAGTCGCCCTTCATCGCCCGAGCCAAGGAGGTCGAGAAGTCGCCACCAAACGTAGTCAGAAGGCTTGAGAGCGAGCCAGCGGTGGGCGATTGAATCGGATAGTAACCGCGGAGGCCCAAAAGGGGCAAATGTGATGATGACGCATGGTTCATGTTGACTGTTGAGAGGCTTTCCGCGACGGAGCGGACGGACGAGTTCCGGTGGATAAATTTTTGGAGCGTCCGCGGATGACTGATCAGACCTTTTGCGAACCCTACATTATATAGACCGGTGCGGCGGCAATGGCCCCCACTCTCCCCGCTTTCCCTGTTCATAGCACTCATGGAGCAGTCCTCCCACCGAACCAGCACGGAGTCGCGCACTCCCACAATTATCGAGGAGCGCGACCCCTCTATTCAGTCCCATGTCGAGCGCAGCTCCCAGACTGAGAAGACGGATTCCTTCCTCGTCCTTTTCGACGACAATGACCCCGAGAATCCGCAGGTATGTCATCAGCCTTCTTTAGCGCTTAGCGGTTCCTGACATATCGACAGAACTGGTCACGGCTCAAGAAGTGGTACTTGACAATGTTCGGGGGTGTCCTCGTCCTGAACGCGACTTTCGCCAGCTCTGCTCGTGAGTACAACGCGATAGGAGGCTAGATTCGCCTACTGACACCGCTCTGCAGCATCAGGCGTGATCGTGCAGATGATGGAGGAGTTCACATTCAGCAGGGAGGTTGCCACATTGAGTACGTCCTACCGCCAATCATTCATTCATAACCGCTAACTCGCTATTAGCGATCGCCCTCTTCGTCGCCGGATACTGCGTTGGCCCGCTCTTCTGGGGACCGCTCTCCGAGTCCTATGGCCGTCGCATTCCCTTCATCGTCGCCTTCTTCGTGTACACCTGCTTCCAAGTAGGCTGCGCGCTGTCGCCCAACACCGCGTCCATCATCATATTCCGCTTCCTTGGCGGAACCTTCGCAGCAGCGCCGCTCACCAACTCTGGCGCGCTCATCTCCGATATCTGGGATGCGCGCACCCGTGGCAAGGCTCTCGCCATGTTCACGCTCGCGCCTTTTGCCGGTCCTTCACTGGGCCCGACGGTCGCAGGCTTCATGAACGTCGCCGGCGTTTCGTGGCGCTGGCTCTTCTGGGTCCTGACAATCTTCGCTGGCGTTTGCCTGATTCTGATCGTCTTCACGGTCCCCGAGACTTACGCCCCGGTCATTCTGAAGAGGAAGGCTGAGCGTTTGCGGAAGGAGACCGGCGACGACCGGTACTACGCCTTGATTGAGACGAACAAGATCTCCTTCACCAAGCGCCTCGAGCACATTGTCGCCCGTCCCTTCCGCATCATGTTCACTGAGCCGATGCTGTTAGCGGTTACGATCTACATGAGCGTGAGTACTCCTGACATTATTCGCTATCATTGATACTGACGTTCATTTCAGTTTATTTACGGCTGCGTGTACCTGCTTTTCGAGGCGTATCCCATCGTTTTCTCGGAAGGGCACCACTTCAACACTGGTATCTCTGGTCTGATGTTCTTGCCCATCCTCGTCGGCGGTGTCGTCGCTGTGTGCTGCGTACGTCCCCTCGCCTCCTTTATCTCCCACTCGACTAACATCGCTCCCAGAACCTATTCATCTTTAACCCCCGGTACGAGCGCCAAATGGCCAAGTGCGCGCCGCATCCCGTACCCCCTGAGTTCCGTCTGGAGATGGCCGTCCTCGCCGCGCCGACCTTCACGATCGCGTTCTTCTGGTTCGGCTGGACGTCGTACTCGTCCATCTCCTTCTGGGCGCCGATGATGGCCGGCGGGCTGATGGGTTTCTCCATCTGCTGGTTGTTCATGAGCTTGTTCAACTACATCATCGACGCGTATCTGTTTGTTGCGGCCTCCGCGCTCGCGGCGAACACGGTCGTGCGGTCGTTGTTTGGTGCGGTGTTCCCGGTACGTTTGCTTTTCTGCCCATGTGCTGGCATAGCGTTTCTGACTCGCTTCCCTTAGCTCTTCGCCACGCAGATGTACGAAGCTCTCAACCCGCGGTGGGCGTCCTCGCTCATCGGCTTCATCGCCATGGCCATGATCCCCATCCCATTGGCCCTCATGAAGTACGGCCCGACGCTGCGGCTGAAGTCCAAGTATGCGCCGTCGAAGCCGCCCGCGCCGAAGCCCTCCCAGGATTCGGTTGAGCCTGAGAAGAAGGAGGATTCGCCAGTATAACGGCAGGATATCTTGGATTTCTCGCCTCTCGCATTGGACTTGGGTTGGGTTTGGATGTCTCCAACACATGACGGGGTCCCGGTACCACCGCACTAGGGTCCCCTCAACACACTAGGGTTTCTACAGCACACTAGCTCCCGCACACATACAGACTTGCACCTACTACGCACGCATCTTGATTTATTAGTCCCGCATCCCTTCACGATTTTTACTCTTCATTACGATCTTCGACGATGTTTTGGGATCCTCCTTCTCTAGTTTAGGATTTCCCTTTGTTGGATGGGGATTCTCCCTACTTTGGAGTGGGATGGTCCCCTCTGCATATATGTCCTATAATCGCGCGCACCCTAGCTAGTACTACTGTACCATAGATCCGATAGATTTTACTACTCCCCGGGGCATACTAGTCAACCAAAATACAGACGTTGGTCGTTGAAGGTTTTCCTTTGGGGGTAGAGTCACTCGATTGTTGACTTTCAGCGCGGACTGGAAAGTCAACTTGAGGACTAGTGATCCGACATGAGGTTTCCTAATTGGGAACAAAGTCTGCGCTCTGTTTGGATTTGCTTGCCCAAGTTTGACCAATTTACTTGTCACGAACCACCATCATCGCTTTGTATGTTCTCATAGCACGGTCAGTAGCCTCTTCGTACTCGTCTCATCAAACCCAAACCCGTCGTCCTGCGACCCCGACCTTACCCATCTTCACCTCTGCGAATCTGCTCCGCACACGCCTTCTCCTGCGTCCACAGCTCTAATACATCAGTTTGAGGATCGCTCGTCATACTGAGCTGCAACTACGGCTTGACAGGCGCAAGGCATGCCTCTTGCTTGGCTCTTCTATGAGCGACGTGAACGTCACGCTTGCGAGGTCACCAGGCTCGACCGCAAGCCTTGTGCGACAGAGTTCTGATATCCGCAGGAGCTTGGATTGGTACGCTGATGACGATTATAGGTGCCAGTGCCACCCTGAGGCCTCTCCACCCTCTGCCGTCTTTCACGTGTATAACCGGCTTCTGGGTCATTTCGTGCGGTGCTGTCTGCCCTATTTTACGTATGTCCCTGATTCCCTCCCGAATGCTCATCCATATCGCTACGTCGAACATCTTCTAAAGTTTTACCGTCCACATCATTCACTCAGGACAATGCGAGCACTACCTGTTTCCTGTTCTGTAGACGCCGGCCCTCGAAGGTGCGAGGAGGACCTCAACCTCAAACGCATGGAGCGTGATCGCACCCGTCTATCTTGGCACCTCCATATCGACTGCACATCTCCCGCCTGTCCGCCTAACCCCCACGGCCGCCCCATAAGACGGCCTTTGCGCAATGGGCGTCCAGACGACCCTTCACATCCCTCACCATGGCCGACAATGCGAAGTCGTACACGCCCATCGACGAGGACCCCACGTTGATGATGATGGACCGAACGAACTTCATCGGGGCAGTCCTCGGTGGAGGAGCGTGGGGTGAGTATATCGTTTACACTCACGATCTATGCCCTTAGTTCATCTGATCCATCTCACAGGTGTCCTCCTCACCGTGTCCTTCCTAACCGTGCAGGCGCTCGTCGCCTGCATGTCGTCAAAGTCGCAAGCGAGCCGCTCCTTCGCTCTACCCTTGCTCGCATTCGTCTTCCTCATCTTCACCTGTGGAACAATCAATTATGGTGCGTAAACTGTAGCGCTCAAGTCGATGTCCTTGCTTATCCTTCACCCAGCCGCAAACACGGACATCAGTCGGCGCATGTTCGTCGAGAACCGACTGTACCCCGATGGCCCATCCGCATACCTAATGGAACATTACGACGATAAGATCAACGTACTGGGCAACGCTAGTTACGTGGTAGCAAACTTCTTGGCCGATGCACTCCTGGTACGCGTTCTTGCCCTTGCTTTTGTTTACTTGTTTACATTGACTGATATTCCCCAAGCTCTATCGCTGCTATGTCGTCTGGGCCAAAAGATGGTGGATTGTCATCATCCCCGCCTGCGTCTACATTGCATCCACAAGTGAGTTTTCAGTGTATAAGCTGTCTCGCAAAGACTGACGCTGTCGCAGCGATGTCAATCTTGCTATTGTATCAGACCAGTCAGCCGACGGAGAGTCTGTGGCTTCAGGTTAACGTCGGACTCGCCTACTTTTCCCTCTCGCTAGCAGGTGAGTCGTCTCAACGTCCTATGCCACAAATTCTGACTTGCCCTCCAGTGAACCTCCTCTTGACGCTCCTCATCGTCGGCCGCCTGCTCGCCATGAGCAATCGCGTGAAGAACATGCTCGGCGCGCAACACGCGCACACCTACACCAGTATCGCCGCCCTCGTCGTTGAGAGCGCCACGCCCTACGCCCTCACAAACCTCGTCTTCATCATCACCTACGGCATCGGCAGCCCCGGCTCCAACGTCATCCTCCCCATCCTCTCGCAGATCATGTGCACGAGCTCGGTGCTCATTATCCTGCGCGTCGCCAGTGGCCGCGCGTGGAGCGCGCAGACGACGGACCTGGCGTACAACGAGAGGGGAAATCTGATGAGCAACCTTTCGTCGAGCAAGGGTAGGTCGGGCACGATGGTGGTGTCGAGCATCCATTACAAGAGCTCGGACTCGCACGAAAGGGGTGTGAGCTCAGAGATCGACATCGGAGAGGCGTAGGCCTTGGCTGTTTTCTGTATGTGGACCTGGGTTTGGGGGTGTAATGACTGGAAATTTTGCTTCTGCTTGGTGGTCGATATATCTCCGATGTAAACCTATATGTACCCATAAAATATCTGCAATTACAATGAAAGCCGCGATAACTCTGACAAATGCCCGAGACTCGGTTAACCTGGCACATGGAGTGCGACCATTACAAGATGGATTGGTGCTGGATCATACGCACGCCTGCAGAAATATCAGATCTCTGAGCGGACACGCCTGCCCCTACACATACCTTGGAATGGCTTCTCCTTATTCTGCCAAAAGTCCACTTCACAACCGTCCACCTCCGCGCACTCGAACTCGAAGGTCGAGAACTTGTCCCCCGCGCAGAGGGACTCCTCAGAGGTCTGGTTCCCCTCTGCCGACACAGCGAACGTAGCCAGCTTCCAGTAGCGACGCGGGGCGGTGCCCCACGATATCGAGGGGTGTAGCTCCGGGGCGTCGGGGTCGAGGAGCCAGACGGATATAGGGCTGCCTTCCGCGAGGCGGACGTTGGGGATGAGGTCTGGCGTTTGTTGCGGGACGGAGAGTACCAGTACGCAGCGCTCCATGCCGAAGTCGCGGTTGCGAAACTGCATCACGGTCGAAGTCTGCGGGACCAGTAAGAACGAGAAGAGGGCGAGGAGTAACTTGCAGAAACACTTACCTGGCCGTCGACCCAGAAGCGCCTATGATACGGCCAGACAAGGCCCTCGTAGGACGCCCACTCTCTGCTCGTGTCTTCAGTGAGCGCGCGAGTGGGGTCGCCTGCTCGCATCTGGAAGGACGTGGCGTAGACGTTGACAATCGGGTCGAAGGTCATATTGTGCTTGCGAATGACCTCTGACAGTCGCTCCTGGTTCACATAGGGGCTGATTCGGCGGAGGACCTTCGGCTTTGAAACGGTGTACGAAGACGAGCGGGTTTGGAGCACGAAGAGTGCGAGGGTGAGCACTGATGAGACGGTAGCGCAGATGCAGGCCCCAATGAGCAGATGGTCGGCGTAGGATCGCGCTAAGCTCGAGGAGCCTGTAAGTCAATGATGCCTAGCATGTAGAAGGCTTTGTGCTCACGGGGCTTCCTCTTCGCCTTCAACGACGTCAATGAGCGCTCGTCACTTCCGCTCGTCGAGCTCAGCAGCGCAAGCTCTTCCTCGTTGTCAGCCGCCATCACGGACGGAGCGAAGGTGCAGGCAAGGAGGAGCGCATGATACCAGTTGAGGCCAGACGGGTCCGTATCTGCGATGCAGGACACAGGTCATTGATCCTCAGTGATGCCCCTCGTATGCCCATTGACATCGAAGGCAGCATGATCATGATGGCTTTGCGCTGCTTTGTGCTCGCAGTGGTAGATGCGCCGCTGACGAGCTTGCACGTAACGGCAGCGTCAATAAGGGGGCGACGAGCCGTGATGAGCTTGAGGCAAGGTTGGGGTCCAGACGTTCGCCAGCAGCTCGACGGGGGCAAATCGGCATTCGCCGTGATTGAACTTCCAGCATCACGTGAGGGTATGTTGAACTTTCGGCACAATCCGAGGTGCTCTACATATCCCGAAGCAAATAAATCGTTACAGCTGTGAAAGGCACACGTCGAAGTCAAGTCAAGCTGAAACCCTTCAGACCTTAGTCAAGCCGTGGCAGGGATTAATGCACTCAACTACTGACGATGATCATCGGAAGCACATCTCGATGTTGGAACTACACGCCCAAAACTCTTCTGCGCTACGCGGCTCTAAAACGCCATCTACCAGAGATTTTATCCCAAGCTTACACTCATATGCGAGCTACACACCTTGTTGAGTAGGGAGGGCATGTATGAGAGAGCCTCCCCATGCGAGCAACAAGAGTGTGGTCCAGTGCATCTCGTTTCCGGTTGGCGCCTACGGTCTTACGGCAGGCCGGAGGGCAATAATTCCTTGGTTAGCTCGCCTTTATACCTCGTCTGCGCAAATTTGGAGCTTCCGCCGACCGCGCGCCAGGTACGCAGGCTCCCAGTTAGGACGAACGTACAGGCCCGACCTCCCGAGCTTCTGCTTTTCTGGCGATACTGGCCCTGCCGCGCGTATTGGAACGAAGGCGTAAGATACGCACTACGGCCCCCAAGCGCGGGATGCACACCCTTATCGATTGACCACCCCCATACTTAAGCGTAAGGGTGCAGCCGTTCGTAGGCGCTTGAACGGTCGACTATCGCTGGTAAGCGCCTGATCGCAGAAACGTCGCCGCGCTCAGCTCAATCGTGGGATTGCTCCAATAGCGAACGGCGAACGGGGGCGTGCCGCTTCCAGGCTCTGTTGAGTAGCGATGCAAGGACGGGACGGGCCAAGATTACGCCATTGACACGCAGCGTGCAAATAAAGGTATTGCACAGCAGATGGATAGTACACTTGCGATCAAAATGATTGCAAGATCGACGGACATCCAAATCAGGATATTCCCTCAGCGCTTCGTGGATGCCAGACGGCGCCCCACCGCTGTAACGCCTGCTGCACCAGCATACCATGCATGCAGTATGACTGAGCCCAGAGCCCAAGGAGGTCGAATAGAAATCAATGTTCATTCTAGAAATCTTGCAATCATTTTGATCGCAAGTGTAGTAGCGGACTCGTCCTAGAGAGCCCGGTGGTTGCCGCGTGCTTCTTGGGCGAATCCACCTCGAGACCGATCCCATATGCATACCATTGAACAAGTAACGCCTTCAACTTATACGTATAGCGTTACAAAGATTCACGCGCACGCTACAAGCCCAGAAGACTACGACCTCCTCCTGAAAATATTGTCAATAACTCGGAAGAACGAGTACAGTCAGACAAACCTCACTGACCGACGATTCATTGGGGCCGCTTAGAAGCAGCTTGTGATATCGCGTGCCACAACACCATTGGCGTCACGCTTGATCACGTCACAGTCTGTAAGGACGAGGAATGTGAGCCGCAGGTATGCATGTGCAAGGCAGTAACTCACTAATATTGTCAGTCTCCAGGCCAGTGGGGGCGGCATATGCGGCGAGAGCACCGAATGCGAGAAGCAGAACAGCAGTGTAGCGCATATTTGTCTGACCTGGAAGAGCTACGTTCGGTGAAGTAGGAACTCTGCGGTGGTACTGGCTCAATTCGCATGAGCGCTTTTATACACTCGCCCCTCCGAAAATGGTGGTTACCGCTAAGCGCGCGCGAAGGTGCTGAATCTGTGGCGATAAACAAAAAGGTAAGCCTAGGTGAGTGCACTCGGGCCCCACTTCAATGGCTCCCATCTTTGCCTCGGTTCTTTTGCGCATGAGATCCCTGGCCGGTCACGAACCGTCAACGACTCTCCCTATCGAGGGCGCTTGGCGCTCTCAGTTGAGGTAAGGTACAGCTATCCGTTCGCGACTGGTGGGGTACGGGCACCGATTCGCATGTACTTGAGGTGTGGCCACGTCCCGTCTTTGAACGTGGGGTCGCACGACTGCATGGTCGCTTCGCAGAGGGGGCGCCCTCGATGATGCGCGGTATGCAGACGAGCGGGAGCGAATCGGTTGTAGAGCCGTCCCGAGCATTCGAACAGAACGCCGAGAAGACCGTCGTGTTGATGCATCAACACAGCTCGTCTATAAAGCGGCGAACGCATTCATAGGGGAAGGGCGTCACATCCGAGATTATCTTGCCACCCACACACGCCGCCCAGAAGCATCTTGCATCACCTGTGATCGGTTAGCACTGCCGCGGTCAACGGGGGGTGGAGGGCACTGACCTTTCACCACTTCCCAGCACGTACCAGCTTGACCATGGCATCCTCCCATCCCCCGTACATCGACGGCAAAGCCCCGTACACGGTCGGCGATCGCACGTACGAGACCTATTACAAGGTTTTCGGCGACCTCTCCTCCGGCAAGCGCCCACTCATCGTTGTCCACGGTGGCCCATCCTTCACCCACGACTACCTTCTGCCCATCGGGGACCTCGCGAGCACTCATGCCATACCAGTCGTCTTCTACGACCAGGTTGGCACCGGGCTGAGCACGCACGTCCGCGAGAAGAAGGGCGACACCACCTTCTGGACTATCGACTTCTTTATCGACGAGCTGCTCAACCTCCTCTCCCACCTCAAGGTCGAGGAGTACGACTACCTCGGCCACTCGTGGGGCGGCATGCTCGGGCAGGAGGTCGTCCTGCGGCGGCACCCGCAAGGGGTGAAGCACTTCATCCTGGCGAACAGCCTGCCGAAGAGCGAGTGGTGGGGCCAGTCGTTCAAGCAGCTGCTGGAGAAGGCAGACATTCCGGAGGATGTGAAGAAGACGATCATGAGCAAGGACGCGGGTCGGGAGGAGAAGTGGGAGGCGTTCCAGGTGTTTTACGCGCAGTATGGGTGCATGGTGCAGCCGTTCCCGGAGGACTTTCTGCGGAGCATGGATGCTCGCTTCGGCGAGGACGCAGACACGACAACCCTCGATGCGATGTGAGTAGTCCTGCGGCAGACTTGTATCGTCTGCTGAACCACTACACAGGAACGCTGGCGACCTCAATGAATGGGACGTACGAGACAAGCTGGGAGAAATCGGCGTGCCTTCGCTTGCTATCAACGGTGCGAGAGACTTTTGCCAGGACTGGGTCGTCGCGCCCTTTGTCGAGAAGATACCTAACGTGAAGTGGGTGAAGCTGGAGCACTCGAGTCACTGTCCATTCTGGGAGGAGCGGGACAAGTTCAACCAGGTCGTAGCTGAGTATCTCGGGTATTGAAGGAAGCCAGTGAAACAGAAGAAACAGATGTATGCGTTTAGAATGCTATGCTCTACTATGCGATGTTGGAACGGACGTCGAGGACAAGTTGAACATGGGCGATGAGTCACGACTTCCGTGTTTGGTCAACGCGTCATCTGTGCCGATCGGCACGGGCCGGCGGTGCGTAAGCGCGCGGGAGCCGCACGTGAGGGTGCTATGAGAGACCCCTGCGAGCCGCTTGCGGGTTCTCTTCTTCACCAATGTTGCCCCGCTCGCTACGAGCAGCGCGGCTCTACGCTCCTCGCCGCATCGCCTATCCCGCACTCCGGGCGTACTCGACACCAACAAATCGCCCACCACAAAACGAGAATGAGAAGGTAGACGACAAGGCGCCGCAGGGCAAGGAGCAGCCCGCCGCAGGCGACAAGAAGGAGGTCAAGGCGGACGAGGAGAAGAAGGACGAGCCGAAGAGCAAGGACGATGAGCGATTCAGCGACTTTCCGAAGACCCTTGAGGGCTTTTTCAAGCAGCTCGAGCAGCAGGCGCGCAATAAGCCGCGCGAGGAGGGCTCATCGGGAGGTGACGGCGACCGCAAGCAACGCCCCCCACCCCCTCCGAATAACAACAACAACAATTCCCAGTGGGGTCTGATCACCGCTGCCGCTGCCGCATACCTCCTCTGGTCCTCGTCTGGCGCGACCTCCAACCGCGAGATCACTTGGCAGGAGTTCCGCTCCGCCTTCCTCGACAAGGGTCTCGTCGAGAAACTCACTGTCGTGAATGGACACGAGGTGCGGGTGCAGCTACACAACAATGCGGCGGTTGGGATGTACCCGCAAGCATCTCCTGGCGGCCAGTACTCCTTCTCGATCGGATCTGTCGAGGCCTTCGAGCGCAAGCTTGACGAGGCACAGAATGAGCTTGGCATCCCCTCCAACGAACGCATCCCTGTGCAGTACCACCAGGAGATCTCGACTGCTGGCGCCCTCCTCAACTTCGCTCCCACCCTCCTCCTCATCGCCGGTATCTGGTGGATGTCGCGCCGCGCAAGCGGTGGTGGAGGCGGCGGCGGCATCTTCAACATGGGCAAGAGTCGCGCAAAGCTCTTCAACCAGGACAATCAGGTGAAGGTCAAGTTCAAGGATGTCGCCGGCATGGACGAGGCCAAGGTGGAGATTATGGAGTTCGTCAAGTTCCTCAAGGAGCCGCAACGGTTCACGAAGCTCGGCGCGAAGATTCCACGCGGTGCCATCTTGTCCGGCCCTCCTGGTACGGGTAAGACGTTGCTCGCGAAGGCGACCGCAGGCGAGGCCTCCGTGCCGTTCCTGTCCGTCTCCGGCTCCGAGTTTGTGGAGATGTTCGTCGGTGTCGGTTCTGCACGTGTCCGCGACCTCTTCGCGTCGGCGAAGAAGCACGCGCCGTGCATCATCTTCGTCGATGAGATCGACGCCATCGGCAAGGCGCGTGGCAAGGGCAACATGGGCGGCAACGACGAGCGCGAGTCGACGCTGAACCAGCTCCTCGTCGAGATGGACGGCTTCGGCACGGACGAGCACATTGTCGTCCTCGCTGGTACCAACAGGCCCGACGTGCTCGACCCTGCGCTCATGCGTCCCGGCCGTTTCGATCGCCACATCGCCATCGACCGCCCTGACGTGTCTGGCCGCAAGGGCATCTTCCAGGTGCACTTGAAGCCGCTCCGCCTCGCCGAGGACATCAAGAAGGTCGAGGAGGACTTTGCGCACAAGCTCGCGGTGCTGACGCCCGGCTTCTCTGGCGCGGACATCGCGAACGTGTGCAATGAGGCTGCGTTGCATGCGGCGCGTCGCAGTGCCGAGTACGTCGAGAGCGTCGACTTTGACACCGCCATTGAGCGTGTGATCGTCGGCCTCGAGCGGAAGAGCCGCGTTTTGAGCCCGGATGAGAAGAAGACGGTCGCTTACCACGAAGCGGGACATGCTATCTGTGGCTGGTTCCTCGAGCACGCCGACCCTCTGCTCAAGGTCTCCATCATCCCTCGCGGCACTGGTGCTTTGGGTTACGCTCAGGTAAGGCTTCGTCCACTCCTTACATCACATCAAGTCTGACAACCCCCAGTACCTCCCCGCCGACCGCTACCTCTTCTCGACACCGCAAATGCGCGACCGGATATGCATGACGCTCGGTGGTCGCGTGTCCGAGGAGATCTTCTTCGGCGCGGACAACATCACCACCGGCGCGCAGGACGACTTGCAGAAGATCACCCGGATGGCGTTCGAGGCGTGCGCGAACTACGGCATGAACAATGTCATCGGGCCGGTCAGCTACGGTGGCGAGCGTGGGTCGACGGAGCACTGGAACAAGCCGTTTAGTGAGAAGACGGCGGAGCGTTTGGACGAGGAGGTTCGGAAGATGATTGTGTATGTGCCCTCTAACAGTCTGCGGAAGTATAATACTGACTATATCAATAGTGACTGCTACGAGCGTACCAAGAATCTTCTGACCGAGCATCGCGAGGATGTTGAGAAGGTCGCCAAGCGCTTGTTGGAGAAGGAGGTCCTGACCCGGTAAGCTTATTGCTTCGTCCCCATCCTCTACATCTGCTTACACCCCTTCAGCGAGGACATGATCGAGCTCCTCGGCAAGCGCCCCTTCGTCGGCCGGGCAGACGACATGGACAAGTGGCTGGAGAAGAACCGCGGGGAGTCGAGCGCACCGCCAAACTTCCCGGAGAACGACATCCCAACGCCGTCGCCGGCGTACAAGGAGTCGGACCCCAAGCCATAATTTATCTACACACTGTCCTTGTTGCTATCCTTGCTGTGTATCCTACAACGATGAACCTCCACTCTTTAGATCGTAGTGCAGGAGTGTAATGAGATGAGGCTGAGATATGGAAGAGGCAAGACTGAATGAAGAGAGTACTGCGCTGGGCTCCATTGAGGCACGTCGGGTAAGCGGGCCGGCGGTATCGCGTACGCGCCATACCCCGGCGATCGACGCAACTCGCTTTCTTCACGCCATCATGTCAGGACGCGAAGCTGCCGCGCCTGCTGCTGCAGGCCAGGCGGACGAGGGAGGGAACAAAGTATGGGGGATGGTAAAGGTGCGCTTAAACTTCCAAAGTCTCGTACGCAGCATGCTGACTGACACGACACAGCAAATGGTCATGGTCTACGCGTTCTCCCAGCTTGGTGCGTGCCGCCTTGTATCGTGCAGAACGGTACACGCTTACAGCACGCCTTACAGCCTCCAAATACCTTATGCCGAAGCCTGCCACCACGGCCCCTCCTGTCGCAAATGTGAACGCTCCCCCAGGCGCTAAAGTGACCACGTCCGCCCCCACCTCCGCGACCCCAGATTGGGAGCTCGGCACGCCGCTCGATATACATGTGTACTTCACTTCTGCGCCTCGGCCGGAGGTCTTCTCGAAGAAGTACGTGCAGAGCTATCGCGGGGAGGGGGACGAGGACCAGCTGCAGCGCATCGTTTGGGAGAATATCACCTACGGAAACTGGAGCGACTCGAGGGAAGCTCAGCTTGATATTCGGCTGCCAGAGGTCGTAACGCACCGCAATGGCTCGCTGTACGCCGACGTGTACCTCTTGAGGAACGGCGCGGGGCTCGATCCGGATGCGGAGGGATTCAATTTGGGGGATATCTATCACGTCCGGAAGTGTGAGTGTATTGTGGAGTGATAGGCGGGGAATGATGCTGATGAGGATCTGCAGCGCTGACCCCATATCTGCCGAAGCATCGGGTACGGAAAGAGAAGAACCTGCTCGCGTTGAAGGAGGAAGAAGAGGAAGAGGAGGAGCCGGAGGTCATCGTCCCCCATTGGCACGCAAATCACACTTTGGCAATCGTTTCGGACGCACCTGCAATAAACACGGCTCAGCTTCCTCCTCCGGCTGCCCAGCGTACGTACGCATGCATATATTGCAATCACACGGCTTACACTGCTGCAGACATCGCCTGGGCACCGTACAAGGACGCCGAAGGCCACATCTCCGTCAAGTACAAGCCCATCACCTTCTTCAACGAATTCTGGCACCTCAAATCGCACTATCACGAGCTTAACGCGACCACGCCCGTTGTCCCCCTCCACCTCGTCTTCCAGCCGATGTCGTACATGAAGTTCCAAATGTTCACGACTATGACGGCGAGCTTCAATGAGGCGGCACAGAAGCAGGGTGGCGGAGGCGCAGAGTTTGACGAGATTAAGCGGATGTTGTTGGAGACGAACCCGTACTTCCTCGCGTTGACAGCCTTCGTCACGGTGCTGCATATGCTGTGAGTGAGACAGAATACTGATAAGAACAAGACTGACTGAGCCACAGGTTTGAGATGTTGGCATTTTCGTCGGATGTGTCGCATTGGCGCAACAAGCAGGAGATGGTTGGTGTCTCCGTCCGGTGAGTGGTATCTGCCTTCAGCGGGGGTGAACAATACTCATGACGCCGCAGCACAATCATCGTCAACGTTGTCACCCAGATCATCATCCTACTATACCTCATCGACAACAACGAGGAGACGAGTTGGATGATTCTGTTTACCTCTGGCATTGGTATCGTCATTGAGGCATGGAAGATCACCAAAGCCGTCGACGTTGTCGTCAGCCCTGCGCCTGGCAAGGCCATCCCTTACAAGGTCGAGTTCAAGGACAAGCACGTGCTTAGCGAGGATGAGAAGAAGACGCAGGAGTACGATAAGCTGGCGTTCCGCTACGTCTCGTATGTGGCGATTCCGACGCTCATTGGGTACACGATGTGAGTACAATCGGTAGCAGTGCTAGGATCCATCACTGACGAGCATGTAGCTACTCCCTCATCTACGAGACCCACCGGGGATGGTACAGCTTCATCATCAGCACGCTCACGTCCTACGTGTACATGTTCGGCTTCGCGCAGCTCGTGCCGCAGGTACTTTTCTCCTTCTCCTTCATCGTCGATCCCCCTTTCTGACCCACGAATGCAGCTCATCATCAACTACAAGCTCAAGAGCGTCGCGCACATGCCCATCAAGGCCATGGTCTACAAGACCCTCTCCACCGTCGTCGACGACTTCTTCGCCTTCTGCATCAAGATGCCCATCCTGCACCGGCTCGCGTGCTTCCGCGACGACGTCGTCTTCCTCATCTTCCTCTACCAGCGCTGGATTTACCGCATCGACCCGAAGCGGGTGAATGAGTACGGACAGGTGATGGTGGAGGATGTAGATGCATTGAAGGAGGGGGAGAAGGCGGGCGAAGGCGAGAAGGAGGAGACCAAGAAGACGAGATAGGGACGCTTGTTGTATTATCTTGGTTGTAAGGAGTATTCATTGGAGTCCCTTGATATTCGACCTGCCCAATAATCATTCACAAGACGAGTAAGAGGCGTAAGCTCTCCATGTCCTCTGACAGTCGCACATCTTGCTGATCCCATAACAGGAGTATGTTTGTGTTCTGTATGCAGCTACTACGTCGTGCTTAGTAGCCTAGATACTCGGCGACAACTCGATTGAACTCGTCGCGCTCCTCCCAGAAAGGCGTGTGGCTCGAGTTCTCGAACTTCACCCACTTCACGTCCAGTATCTTCTCGACGAACGGCGCGACCACCCAATCCTGCGCAAAATCCCTCGCACCGTTGATGACTAGCGTAGGAACGTCGATCTCTCCCAGCTTGTCGCGGACATTCCAGTCGCTCAGATCGCCGGCGTTCCTACATAGTGCGGTCAGTTCAGCTGAATGGACGTTTCTGAAGGTGGGTACTCACAGTGCATCGACGGTCGTCCTATCTGCGTTCTCACCGTTGGTGTAGTCCATGCTCCGCAAGAAATCCTCCGGAAGGGGGTCCACCATGCACCCGTACACCTTATAGAACACCTTCAGCGCAGCGTATCGCTCCGCTCGGTCAGCATTCTCGTCCATGATAGTCTTCCTCGCGTCCTCAGGGACGTCGGGCGCCTGTAGCAGCTGCGCGAAGGATTTATCCCACGACGCGCCGTCCGCCAGGCTGTTCGCCAGGACGAACTTCTTCATCCCTCTCGGATGTTTCCTGAGGACGACCTCCAGCCCAAGCATACCGCCCCACGAGTGCCCGAGGTAGTCATACTCCTCAATGTGAAGGTACGTCAGGAGATTGAACAGCTCGTCGATGAAGAGGTCGATGGTCCAGAATGTGGTGTCGCCCTTCTTCTCGGGGATATGGGTGCTCAGGCCGGTGCCGACCTGGTCGTAGAAGACGATGGGTACGTCGTGGGTGGCGGCTATGTCGCTGATGGGCAGGAGGTAGTCGTGCGACAGCGATGGGCCGCCGTGCGCGACGACAAGCGGGCGCTTGTCGGAGGAGAGGTCCCCGAAGATCTTGTAGTACGTCTCGTACGTGCTCGCGCCGATGGTGTATGGCGCGAGGCCCGTGGTGGGGATGATGGCGGGCATGACGAAGGGGGAGGGGCAATGTGCGAGGGCGCAAAGGAAAACCGGGAACGACAGCTGCTTGGTGTGTGTAATGGGAGCGTAATGGATACGCAATGGTGCGATGCGATGCTAAAAGCGACAGCACTTCAGGTCAGACGCCCAACATCTGAGAAGCAACCCTTCCATCTCGTCCAGACTCCGAGGTTGAGGCAAGGGGCTTGATGCTAGAGCACGAGAAGCTGATGAGTCTACGGCAAGCTCCACGAGGAGCGGTGGCTAGTCCTCATCGACTACACGGACACCGGCCTTAGTGCGTATCTGGATGGTATCTTCGATGTGGACGGTGATGGGCTGATGGTCAAGGGCGGCATGACCTCGATCCCTATGAATGCCTCGCGCTGCGAGAACACGGCGATGGCGGTCATCCCGTCCGACTAATGATGGCGAAGCGGCGTCACTGAGGCGGAGGAGCTTTGGATGGCGTGCATCGCAGAGACGCTCTCAGATGCTCGATAGTATAACTTGGTACGCAAGTCAACCTGGTCTTGGCTCATACAAGCGTTCTCGGGACGCAGTCAACGAAGCTGGATGAAGAAACAATTCCTTCCAAGGAACTATGCAGCCCCAAAGATCCGCCTGCGCGAGGTACAGGTCGTACCTGCATCCCACTGCATAGGTCATTCTAGTATGGCTTCTCCATGCCATACATCCCATCGTCACCCTTTGAACGTCGCCATGTGCAAATGCGACCCCAATTCACTCCACAGCGGGCTCAAGTTGCTTTAAAAGCTCAACTTCGAGCCGTATTCTCTAGATCTTGCGACCTCCCACTGCCATACGTTGCATCTTTCGCTCATGCATGCTTCTATCATCATGTTCTTCCTCTTCGGCGCGCTTGCTGCGAACGCCGCTCCTCTGGCGACTCCTCCCGAGACCGGCCAGGTCGATGGTCAGCCATTCATTGCGCCTTTTGATTGTCAGCTCACAATTATACCAGGCTGCACGAGTAAGCGGGGAGTAGACGTTAATATTGAAGGGCGCGGGATCCCTACCTGCTTCTGAGGAGGTCGACTTCAACAGGGTAAGTGCGATCCGTTACCAGATGAAGAGGTTGCTGAACTGGCAGTAGGTGCATATCGTTCTCTCCTGAGTCCTTACTGTGTGATGTTATGTCTACGAATATCTTGTGTCCTACATCTTCTGCTTAACTTGTGAACGTCGAGCTGTTTCAAGGAAGTCGAGCTCGCGAAGTCGAACATGTTTGCGCCCAAGCTTTCATCGGCAAATTCCGACAGTCATATGCAAGGAGCCATCGACCAAAATTGGCCATGTGCACCTCGCAGCTTGCTTCGTATTTTCCTCGGGTACTGGCTTCTGAGCCCAGAAGACCGACTGGCGCCTCAGCGTGCCTAGAGCCACCAAGACATCGTCAGGCGCATGAGGCATATACGGGAGCGCCGCGTACGACGGACTCATAATCAGTGGATAAGAACATGGAAGCTCCAAGGGTGCACCGTGTTCGTCTTCCATCAGATGGTTCAGCAGAATGAATGAAGGATTCGGGACCGGACCTACAGCCCGATCAACGGCGTGAAATGTATGTACACAGATGAATGAGGTTCGGTCATCTGCGCAAGCTGCGTCTCATGGATGCATCAATTGAAAGTTGTAATAGGGCTCATCATAGCTAGCTTGTCATACAGCGATCACTAGCGAGGACATAAGACAGGGACCGTGCAATGCGAAACCCCATGGACCCACTGCAATTCATGGGAATCAGCGACCTGCCCTAGCTCATTTTCGTGCCCATGCTTCCTATAAAGGCGCATCTCAGGGTGGGCAAACAGCCATCCCGCCCTTACCCTGGTCCTCTAGTGCATCGTGACCATCGCAGACATGCAACGCTTCTACGCTTTCGCCCTCTCGAGCCTATACCTCCTGTCTCTTACGACCGCCGCTCCTATTACGGAGCCACCTACCCCAACCTTGCAAGGTAGGTGACGCTTGTTATTCATACCATGCGTGACCCTGATGCTACCCTGCAGACGATGTGATTATCACTATCACCAGTACCCGCACAGTTACTATTACATCGTGTCCTGCCGCATATTACGAAGGAGCTACCAAAGGCACTCGCGACCACAACATCTACGGCTGCTTCTGAGGTGAGTATTGGGCCCGAATTATTTTTTTCTCCCGCCGCTGATGCGACGCACTAAGGATTCTTCCGCAACGATTATTATTTCCTTGATTCCCGTGCTGTATGTAGAGCATACCCTTGCTCGGAGAGTATAGTAGCAGTGTAGCAAATATGTTTTCGAATATCATGTATGATACAAGCCCTTTGGTGTGCAGATGAGGCTTGGGCTGGCTGTAAGCAAAGTCGAGCGTACGAGCACGTGACCTCGGAGCCGCAAATTGAACATGCACGTGCAAAGCTTCAAGGTGCTGTTCGGCGCCATTTTGAGGTCCTATCAAGCGAATATCAGATTTGGGGCATTATGTTTCTGAAACGCATGCCTCTATCTGCAACGGATGCTGCTTTGCAAAGGTCACTGCCATCGATGTCAATGCGACTTGATGGGGTATCGGGTTGTACTTGTAAGTGGTGAGATAAACTTAAATTAAGCGAAGATGATCCGTGTATGTGTCCCACCAATGAAGTCTCCCACAGAGAGATCTATAGTGGCTGAATAGAGCTGCATCTGTTGCTCAGACGTTTCACCGAGCGTGAGGGTCCTTCGTGGAGTGGACTAGAATAAATAATCCAGCGCAGCACCTACAACTATCCTCAAGAGACTATACATCAGAAGCTCAAGCCTTAGACTCGGACTCGCTAGCCCGCGAGACCCCACTCTTGAAATGCACGTCCGACAAGACCATGGTGCCCGACTCGTTCCCGTTTGTGAAGCGGCCCCCCGAGATGCCCGCCCTATTGCGCGCGATCTCCGTCGTCTGCTGACTCCAGGCGCGGCCGTTTGCTACGCGCAAGATGATGAGCACCGAGCTCGTGCACATGATCTGCGACAGAACAGGCAAGACCACGTTCGACCCGGGACTGCCGATGCCGTAGGTGACGATGAAGATGAGATTCACCACTGCGTACGGCGCGGCGCTCTCCACAAGCAGCGCGGCAACGCTGGTATACGTGCGTGCATGTTGAGAGCCGAGCATGCGCGTCACTTGGTTGCTCAGGGACAAAAGCCGACCGACGATGAGGAGGGTCAGTAATAAATTAACTGCGTTGGAGGTCAACTCTTGATTCAGGTTGGTAACACACAACGCACCCGCCAGCGAGAGGGAGAAATATGTAAGCCCGACATCGACGTGCAACCACAGACTCTCCGTCGGCTGGCTAACCTGGTACAACAAGAAGATGGACATCGCTGGAGGTGTATTATCAGTCCTGTCTCATCCAGAACGTCGCCAAAGGACGCACTCGTAGAAGCTATGAAGACACAGCCGGGGATGACGATGATCCACCATTTCTTGGCCCATACGACGTAGCAGCGGTAGAGCTATTCCGAATAGTCATTTAGGTGACGAAAGAAAACACATTGCGATGCACACGTACCAGAAGTGCGTCGGCGAAGAAGTTCGCGATGATATAGCCCGCGTTCCCGAGCACATCCATGGGATCGTCGTAATGGTCGTTCAAGAACATGGATGGCCCGCCCGGGTACATTCGGTTCTCGACGAACATGCGGCGGCTAATGTCGGTGTTCCCGGCTGAGTATGCGTCAACGAGCTAGTCATGCACAGGACAAGCATTAGCATACCAAAGTTGAGCGTCCCGCAGGCCACGATGATAACTACAAAGGCGAGCAGGGGCATCGCCGTCCGGCTCCAATGCGGGTTCGAGCGCAAGGAGGCCAAAAGCGCCTGCACCGTCATGAAAGCGACGGTGAGCAGAATACCTATGACGCGCCATGGATCAGTCTTCATCGGCGAGGATCCGTGAGAGCGACCAATGCTTACCCCAAGCGCTTCCGCAGAGTATAGCGCCGATGAAGTTGGTACGGTCAGCCAACATCAACTCGGGCGGCTCATCCGAGGGCGCATAAGGGTTCGTGTTGTTCGACATGGCGGCGGAGGACGGTCAGGATGAGGGGGCACCGGGATGGTTGTCGGTCAGCCTGCGCTTTTGAGTGCTGCTCCTGGCGAGGCGTCCATCTTCTGGACGGAGGACATATCAGGATCAAGGGACGCCGTAATACTCACGAGCACAGCTTGTACATGTCGAGAATGAGATAAGGGCATGAATAGCGATGGAAGCTGCGATGAGGGCAGTCCTGTGAATGCATGAAAGTTCCCAACAAATTCAGAGGGCACCAGGACCGGAAGAAGACTCGGCAGGACGTGCTTCTTGAGAAAGCATCAAGACCCCAATATAGCGACGGCGTTTGAGCGCTAAAAGCAGGTCGACCTGATCAGATGCTCTCGATGGTGGCGGGCTTTATACGCTCGTGCATCTTGAGCTATACAGTGACTACGAACGGGCGTTTTCGCCTTGCCGCATGGCCTCTTGCAGGACCTCCGCCATCTTGGGCGTGCTGCTGCTCCTCGTTTCTCTGGTGAATGTCACGTTCATGCTACGGCTGTATCATCAGCATGGGAGAGCATATTACTGTGAGACGTATCCATACCATGGTGAATGACTGAATCTGACGCATTCAAGCATGGCACGGGAGCGACTACCCACAAGAGCTGCCCGCTTACCGCGGCCAGAAGGCCAAAATGACAATGCAGGAGTCCGCGGTCTACCCGCTCCTAGGCTACGATTCAGACGAGATATGGACCACCATCGCGTGCAAGAGCTTCGGGTACGCTCGCTTTGGGCCAGATGACCGGTTGCTACTGCCCTCGATGTTCCACGACGTACGTCCGTACGGTGCGTTCCGGCGTCCGCCGTCTGATCATCAGAAACACAGCTACACTGCCTGAGGATGCTCAGCTCGGCCTTTGGGCACGCGAATCCCGCCTGGGCGCACATCCACCACGTCCGTCACTGTCTTGGCTATCTCAGGACCTCAATCCTCTGCCGCCCAGACCTGACGCTCGAGCCTGGCGACTTCACTCAGCGCGACTTCGACGTGGACTGGGTAGGGGAGACGCATACCTGTCGAGATCATTCGGTAGTATACGACTTCCTGGACAAGAACTTTGACGATTGGGAGGCGCGCACGAAGGTGATTCTTGCGTCCGGCGCTGATATTGACAACGATACAGACTGACAGTCGAGCAGAACTCATCGGAGTCGGAGGCATAACTGAGTGAGAACTCTTTGCTTGTGGGGCGTACATACACAAGATGTCTAGTCACGACTGCGATGTCCATGTCAGATAAAAGTGCCCCTCCCGCAGATACAAGATACGAACTCACGATGCCTTCAACCAGGTGGACCTCTGGTACTCTCGCCAATTATCCTCCGCCGCACGGAAGACAGCTGCATGATCCTGGCAAACATGCGTAACGTCCGACACCGTCGACGTCGAGTAATTAAGCCCGCGAATGCTCTCCATCGTCAAGTCCGCGCGGCACAGAACCGTCTGCCTGATGTAATTCATGCAGTGGTTCACTAACGGCGACTGCCTCTCCGGCGGTGGCTCGTCAGCATGCTGAAACTGCACAACAAGCTCAGCGCGCAGAATGTCGAGGCAGCGCAGCTGGTGGAAGACGCTGATGCTGAAGGGCCGCTTGTCTGGGCCGAGGTACAGCATCCCGCCACCGGGAGGAAGCAGCGTCTGCCATTGTTCGATTCCAGCCGGCGTGTCGAGCGCGTAGTGGACCGTGTTCTCGTACGGCATGTGTACTTCTTCGAGCGGGCCGATGTCCCAGGTTTCGGGGTAGTCCCACCCACGGAAAGCTTATCGTCATCAGAATAGGTGTTGGAAGTTCATAATTAATGGTAGACTCACTATATACTGGATCGTCCTGGTCCTTCGTTCGCTCATGATAGCGCAGAAGCACCGCGAGAGAGAATGCGAGCGAGACGAGCAAAGCGAGGGCAAGCTTGTCGACTGGCAGCGGTCTCTTCTTAGATTCGTTTCCTGCCATCTCGACCGTCGAATGTGAGGGCGCAGATAGAGTAAGGAGAGAGCGTCAAGCGCGCTCTACCGGCGCTCGCGAAGGGCGGAAATCGAGGGAGACTCAGAGCAGGCCCCATCACTGTATAGCCATATAATGAGCTGTGTTGGCCATGATGGAGCTCACATCCCCCAAAGATCCGCAGGAGTGCTCGCGCACACGCGTCAGGCCATTGAAGTCGCTCAACATTCGAGTTCGATGAAAAGTTGATGGCGTCTTCCAATTGTCGATTTGCCCCCGCCATCAACCGTGACGCGTCACGCGTGATCCCAAATTGAACATCGAGGTTCTCTCCTCCCACCATCCCGGCTGAGGCCCTCTTCTCCCGCGTTTGGGCCTCTTTTGAGGACCCTCCGACAACTTCTCGAGATGATGCTGAAGGATGGGGCTGATGTGTTCTGTCTGAGCTGCCCAATTTGCGCGCCGGCACGAGACGCCGCCGGTACAAGGGGGGCTGTAAGGGGAATAAGATGGCCCTGGAGGTGGATGAGCGCTAGTTTCGTCCACATTCGCCTTTCCTTCCACCTTCTATATCTCTTCGACCACTCTCCGAACCACTTTCACCACCGTGAACACCATGTCCGAGATCGTCGTCCGCCATCTGAAGACCGCGACTGGTGAGTAGTCTGGAGGGTGAGTTGGATAGCGCTGACGGACGTGATTAGACGAGGAAATTGAGTGCATCGTTGCGGTCAACGTCGCTGCGTTCGCCGATGGTACGAGTCCTTCCCAGAGCCTGCTGCGCTCTCGTAGGCTTAGGATGTGCTGCAGACACCTTCAACCACGTCCTCGTCGGCGGAAATACCTCCCTCCTCCCCCTCCTCATGCGCGCGCAGATTAAGGCAGGCCTCATCGGTGGCGAGGTACGATCTCTGCTCGTGCGAGCTTATCGATGCCTCACCTTCGGTGCGCGCTGCAGGTCTACGTCGCCGGCTTTGGTCCTGACGATATCTCGGCGGCGGCGGTATGGTTTGGGCCCGACCAGGAGCTGCTAGACAGGTGAGCATTCGGCTCTAGGGCCCTGACTGGATACTGAAAGTACTGTGCAGCCCTGAGCAGGGAGCGGCTGGCTTCAATGAGTTCATGGGCTCCATCACCGAAGGCACTCGGAACTGGTGGACGTCGAAGGTATGTCTAGTTTGCCTTCTGTTGAATCTGAACAGGGCTCACACGCATTCTTGCAGTTCTTCCCCTTCTACGGCGCCACCACCACGGAGGCCTTTGGCGAGGGCTTCAAGAAGGCGAACTGGCACCTGCAGCTGCTCGCTACGGAGCCTCGTGCGCAGCGCAAGGGGCTGGCAACAGCGTTGATCAAGGCAGTGGATCAGGTGGTATGCATATGGTGGCGCTGTCTTCATCTCTTCAGGTGCTCATGGAATTCCGCAGGCAGAGGAGAAGGGCAAATCGCTCACTGTCGAGACGGAAACCGAGGGCGCAGTACGTTGAATGTTACGGGGAGGCTTGTGACTTGCTAACAGCCCACCAGTTGAAGTTCTACAAGGACACCGGCTTTGTTCTTAAGGCTGAGAAGCCCGTGCCTCTTGACGGCGCAGAGGGCGTCGAGGACCAGCCGATTCCAATGTACGTGCTGTGGAAGGAGCACACGGCGTAAAGTAAATTGCTGGTGGTGTACAGTAGTGTAGGATGTATGGAATAAAGTGCAATCGCAGACGGTTAGCTCGACGTACGGCCGGCGCTTGTGTCGATGGGCTAGATGGCTTCCACGCTGGGGCAGTCTCGGGCGTTCTATGCGGGGGTGCCGCGGGGCTCGGCGGGGCGTCGCGGGCAGCTGGTGACCTGCGTATGCGGGGATTTGTCGACGACGGGCCCTCTCACGACGAATGCGTCGTTCGAGACGATGATGAGGGGATGAACGGATGTGGCGCGCCCGCGCGTGGATCGGACCCGAGCGTTCCCGGGCGCGGGTGCTTGTTGGACGCTGCGCTCATCGCCGCGCTGGATGTGACCCGCCTATGCTGCAGTATGCCCGACTCGTGCGCGCGCCCCGCGTCGTCAACGCCGCCCGCAACCGCCTCTACCATGATTATATTCGCTACGCCACCCCAGGTGCGCCGCCCGCCCCGTGTGCACCCTCGCGCTGACTCTCATCCCCCCGCCCCCCAGGCGGCACACTCCGAATTCCGCTCACGACTTCGAAGAACATCCTCGGGGTCGCCACGTCCCGGGGTAATAGAAGGTCCGCATGCCGCTTGACGCGACGCGACGCGCTCACTGACCCACCGTGCAGTCATCAGGCGGACTACTACGCGTTTACGGCGCTTTCCCTCGATCCTGAGGAGCTCAGGCTGAGCGTCAAGAAGCAGTTTGGCTACGATTGGGACCCTGCTGCAGTAGGGGACAATTTCAATCGCCAGGTCGCTTTCGTTGGTATTTACGATGGGTGCGTGATGCATACTGCTCGTCGCCCAGGCGCTAACTTGCCCCCTCTTGCAGCCACGGAGGCTCTGCTGTCTCTCAGTACCTCCGCCAGGAGCTCCACTCCCTCTTCGAGAATGTCAACCCCTCGATCGTCCCCGAGCTCTTTCGCTGGATCCGCGAGATCGGTGGCTACTTCAAGCGCTACAATGGCGGCCCCCTCGAGCCATGGACGCACGATGATGAACTCGCGCACGGTCCTTTTGACCTCGAAGCGCGCGCCACCGCTGCCTTCTTTGAAGCGAACCGGCAACTGGCCATGGACAAGGTCGCATTCGATTGCGGTGCAGCGGCTTCAGTGGTCCTCATGCAGTCCCTCGACGCGCCCGCGACCCCCTTCTTCGCCGCCGACAAGCTTGCGGTTACTGTAGCACATGTCGGGTGCGTTTCTCCCTTTGCCTCGCTCGTACCACTATACTGAAAACTCCCTTAGCGACACCCGCGTACTTTTATGCTCTGCCAAGGACGGCACGCCTCTCGCCTTGACCGAGAACCACAGGCCAGACTCGCCAGCCGAGTCGTCCCGCCTACGCAAGCGAATGGCAGCCGTCATCACCGACTCATATGGCGAAGCTCGGTAAGGCTCACACCGTCTGTCTGCCTGGATCTACTGAACTGGATTATCGTCAGCTGGATGGGTGCACTCCAAAGCACGAGAGCGTAAGTTGGGTCTACACGCGTCCTCGTGCGCAAGCTTACCCTTCCCAGCTTTGGCGACTTGAACTTTGCGAAGTTCGGCATTACTGTCGAGCCTGATATCCGGGCTAAGCTACTTCGAGGTGTGCTACCCTCTAATCCTTGATGATGTCCTGCAGCTGACAACTATGCATCGTAGGTCGCGACTGGGGGTACATGATCTGCGTCTCCGACGGTATAACTTCAATGCTGTCCGATGCTGAGATTGTCGACCTTGCCCGGAACGCGCGCAATAGCGAGACCGCTGCCAAGCGGATTGTAAGTGTTGTTCTTCTCCACCTCCTTTCACTGCCTAACTCATCATCCACAGCTTGACTTCGCCCAAGACCTCGGCGGCGACGACAACGCAACCGCGCTCGTCCTCCCACTCGCCGGCTGGAACAAGGTCCAAGGGCCCGACCACACCAAAGAGCTCCGCGAGTACCGATACAACCAGATGGCAGGTACGTGATTGATCAGCATACATCCCGTTAGTATTCCTCTGTCCTAATCCAACATTTACATTGTACAGGTTCGAGCGAGCGGATGCGCCGCATGTAGGCTGGTTGACCAATATGCAAAGCTTGCCGGCCAACACGTCGACCCCGCCCACCCTTCGTTACAGTTCTTCATAATTGTCGTGTCCTCGAAGCACGCACGTCGGGTCCTCGGGGCGCGCACGAACCAACAAACCCAACCAACACGCGCGCAACATTATTATATCGCGCTTATATCTGCGCCGCTGCGTGCCCGTCCGAGCGAGGGTCGCAGCCGGCAGCGAAGACGGTCCTCCCGGTGGTGGCGTCGACGATCTTCTGGATGACTTGCCCGCGGCCGAACATGTTGCGTGCGACGCCAGTGACGAGGTTGGCATCGTGGCCCATGTCTGGGAGGGGAGGGGAGTCAGCATATTATTGACCGTCAAAGGGGTAAGGGGAGGGGAAGGTGATATCGAGGGGGAGAAGGGACAGGGGAAGGGGCACATCCGCTTCCAACTCTGTACACAGACAGACACTTCCGCACTTGTACACATACTCGCATGTACGCAGGATACCACATGTACTGAATATGCACATACCACGCAGCGTCTGCACCGTCTCGGGCGAGATGCCCTCCTCGAAGAAGACGGTCGAGTTTATGTCGCCCGCGGCGGTCTCCGAGTTCTTGACCGCCTCTGCGTCGGGCGAGCCTGCGGAGATGCAGAAGCGGGGCGCGTCGAGGGCGGATTGGGGCGTGAAGCCGCGGAGCATGTTAAGGAGTACTTGGACGTGGCCTTGCGGCTGTATGATGCGTTAGATGAGGAAGTGAAGGGATAAATTTGCCAAGAGGATATGCACCTGCATGTAGCCGCCCATAACACCGTAATTTATGAAAAGCTCATCGCCGCGAGTGGCGAGCGCGGGTATAATGGTGTGGTACGGGCGCTTGCCTCCCTGTCATAATGTTAAGTCGTTAAGCGCTGGCAAAATCGATGAAAGGCATAAAGCCTACCTTCAGCGCATTCGGGTGGTTCTCATCGAGGATGAAGCCGCTGCCTCTGTTCTGAAGTGTAAAGCCGCAGCCCTTGGGAATGGCGCCGGTGCCGAAGCCTAAGGATGGGATAAGGTTAAGGGCAAAGGTGGTCATCGTCCTGGTTTAGACGTACCTGCGTAATTGGACTGAATGAAGCTGATGACGATGCGTGTAAATATGAGGAGACCGTAAGCGCCGGATTCACTCACCTGCATGCATTCCCCCACTGGTCTGTGACCGAGAAGTAGACAGTATCGCTGGACGCGACGGGGTTACCCTACGGGCGAAGTGGGTCAACTGAGGCGACCGCGGGCGAGCTCGCGCGGCACGTACATGAACGACCTCCGGATTGGTATTCTTCGGGTTGAACAACTTCGCGCGCTTGGCGAGATATTCCTGTGAAAAGAAGGCATGAGAGTCCGCGAGATACCGACGGTCATGGAAAGGAAGTGCGCGCGCAGTGATCAGAATTATGTACGCACTCCGCTAAGGAGCTCTGCCACTGGGACGTGTACGACGTCGGGGTCGGTAACATACCACTGGCTGTCTGCAAGGGTGCGTCAGGCGCCGAGGGACGCTACATGGGCGGCGTTGTACGTACCGGCGAAGGCTAGACTGTAAGGGAGAGCAATTATTGGCCGCATGCATACGACGAGTCAATTCTGCGAACGTACCGTAGCGCCTCGACGAGCGTGTGTAGATACAGAGGCGAATTATGCTCCATCTGAAGGAGGTCGGGAACGATCCCTTGCTTCTGCATCTGCTCAATTATTCCCAGGGCCAGGAGCGCAGTTATTCCTGTACGCGAGCGTGGGTGAGCCAAATGGTAGGCGGCAGATACCGCCGGCTGCGGGTGGCATACTGACCTTGTCCATTTGGAGGGCACTACAAAGGAAATTGAGCCTCGGATCGGAAGCCGCGGAATAGACATAGAGCGCACCTCGTGAACGGTCACGTCGTTCAAGTACGTGTACTTGATGGGTTCAACGAAGTTGGACTCGTGCTTCGCCAAGTCAGAGAGCTCCATGACGCCTCCCTGACTCTGGATCAAGTCGACGATTGCCTGTGCCACACGGCCCTTGTAAAAGCCATCCTTGCCCTTCTCCGCGACCTCCCGGAAGGTCGCCGCCAGCGTAGGGAACGTCATGATCTCTCCGAAGCGCGGCGCACGGCCATTGAGCAGCATTTCCGCAGAATTTGGCGATGCATTCTTGATCAAGTCCTGCGCGAGAATGAGCAGTCAGAAAATTACCCAGATAGGCATTCGTGCGAGATATCTACCTCGGATCGCCTCCACTAAACAGGAAAATCAGAGAAGCCATGGACAGTTTGTAGATCTTTCTTACCGAATGGGCGTGGACCTCGGACACGGGAACACTTCCGCCCGTAAGTCCGCAGTACCGTTCTCAGAGTGGACAGACACATACCCTTCCTCTGCCAGACGGATGGCCGGGGCGAGCACGTCAGCGACTGACAGCTTCCCGCTGCCCAGTTGTTCTACTGTGTCAACCCATGCGGCGGCGGCGCCTACGAAAGTCAGTAAATATCTTACAATTTGTAGACGGCCTGAACTCACCTGGGACGGTGACCGCGTTGATATCGGTGACGTGTATCTTCTTGCTAGTGACACCACGCTGGCGCAGATAGTCGATGGACAGCTTCTCAGGCGAGCGTCCAGACCCGTTCAGTGCCTTGACTTTCTTGGTCTTGGCGTCGTAGAAGAGGCAGAACGCGTCCCCACCGATGCCACAGCAGCTGGGCTCGGTCACGTTCAGCGCAGCAGACGTCGCGACTGCCGCATCCGCTGGAAAAGTCTGAGCATTTTTGCCCCCTCGATGGCGCCTGTCACGAGTGCATACCTGCATTCCCGCCCTTCCTGAGGATCTCGAGGCCGACTTCGGTGGCAAGGGGCTGCGAGGACGCGACGACACCCTTGGTGCCGTACACGACCGAGCGTCTACCCGAAAAGGCGTAGAGCTGCTCGCTGGGGGAGTCGACCTTGGACCAATCGATGCGGGGGGAGGCCATAGGAGTCGTGGTGGACGAGGAGAAGGAGGAGGCAAGTTGAGAAATGAGCCGGCGCGGCCATGTTGTATATGATTGCGGGGAGGGGGCACGGGGGTGTCTGAGATACCGTTCAATGCCTACGGACGGCGGCATTCACGGGGGCGCGCACTCACCGTCGCCACATTGCACTGGCTCGAAGCGAATCCGGTTCCGATCACAATCACCCGCCGCGCTCGATCACTGATCCACCCGCCCCTCCCTCCGCACGCCACCGCTTGCCTTTCCGAGCTCCCATGTCTCTCGCCGTCCGTCTCGAGAGCGCGTCCACCGAGTTTCAGAAGATCCAGCTTGAGCTCCAAAATGCCGTCGAGGCCCGCCAGCGGCTAGACGCCCAGCTCAATGAGAACGAGCTCGTCAAGAAGGTGCGTCGCGTTCCCCACTGCCGATCGCGACTCGAACTGACCGCCGATGGTTCAGGAGTTTGCGCAGTTGACACCAGACAATGTCGTCTTTAAACAGATAGGCCCTGCTCTCATCAAGCAGGACCAGGCGGAGGCAAAGAGCAACGTCGATACGCGACTGTCCTTCATCCAAGCCGAGATGTACGTCGACGTTTTGCTGATACATGTTCCGTTCCCTGACGATCCTGAACAGAAAGCGCGTAGAGGGGCAGCTGAAGGATATCCAACAGAGACAAGAAAAGAAGAAGGCTGAGGTTCGTGGCTGGCTTGCGCTCCGCCAAAAATATTGCTGAATACCTGCATAGATTATCGAGATTCAGACAGCAATTCAGCAGCAGCAAGCGCAAGCACCTGCGTCGTAGGCATATCCCACATACCATGACCTTCTTGCTATACCCTGCGATCGCCGCTGGTTTGCATCGCGCGGGGACAACGTTGCTTCAAAACCCCAGCATTGGCGGCGGCACCCTATGCGCGACTACAAGACAATCCTGGTGGAGAAATGATGTCGAATCGATTATGTGCACTTGACACGGTCAGGCCATTGAGAAGGTCGTAATGCAGCGCGCCGCGGCCTGAATCGCACTGGAATTTAGCATACTCAAAACATGCATTGGTCTGCTGCATACCGGTGCATAGAAACCCAGCGCATATACCTGATGTTCAGCAAGGATGAACAACGAAAAACAGCGACGCGTAAAGCAGAGGAAAAGACGCGTCACTGACCGCAACGCACTGAAATTCGTCCGCGGTTGTGCGCGCCACTGATCTCATTTCGGCAACCCCCGATCCATAACACTGACAAACCCCCCACCGCGTCAGCCCAGGCCATAAACTGCCTTAAGCTTCCATCTTCGGGAGCATTTTCCCCGGTCCTCCCATCTGCTCCTGTCGACGGCAATCTATCCTTTGTGGATTCGAGACGGGCCCTTCCCTTCGGTATCATGCCGCACCGGGACCACAATCTCTATGCCACTTGACCCGAATCGGTCGAACCTTGAGCTACTCATCAGTGAGCGCGCTGGTTCAGGTCTGCCGTGCACGGCACTAAGGCTCAATCTAAGTGCGCTGATCCTGTAGCTGAACTGTCCAGCTCGCCATCCGGACTATCATCATGACTTCCTAAAATGAACTCGTCCACCACCACCTGAAAGAGTTAATAGTCTGGTTTATTCATACTTTACAACCACAGATACGGGAGCTCTATAGCATAGCATGTGTCTATGGTCCTTCTGCCATTTCTCGTTATTTTTACAGATCCACGGCACTGCGGAGCCCCTGCATCGACAAGGACCTCCGCGCGGCTGTCCGACCCTTTACTTGGAGGAAAGGTCCCTGCGCGACGTGCCACGACCAAAGAAGCCCCTGATGGTGATTGTCAGATGCTGCTTGTGAGCCCCCCTGCACGACTCTTCCACTCACCACTCAATCTGATGCGCGACGTAGATCTGCGTCCCCAGATCCTCGGCGAACTGCCATACCGCACCCGGGTTCTGTGATTTGAACGTGAGCACCCCCTTCAGCCAGATCGTCCAAATTCTTCTACTCACCTTCTGGAAGTGCTTGCCCACAAGCGCAACGTCCGCGCCCGTGTCGTGGAGGATGTCCTCGGCCTGCTTGCCATTGACGATCCCGCCGACGGTGCCAACAAGAATCTTGTCGCCCAACGCCGCCTTCACCTCCTTCGCGAACCGCTGCTGCGCGCCCTGCTCGCTCAGGTCCTGCTTCAACGCAACGCCGCCGCTGCTAACGTCGAGCAGGTCCACCCCGCGCTCCGCCAGCAAGCCCGCAAGCCGGATCGTATCCTCATTCGTCCAGCTCTCCGGGTACTCGTCCTTCTTCGCCTCGACGCGGTCGCTCGCGGATATGCGCAGGAACAACGGCATGCCCTCCGGGATCGCCGCGCGCACGGCATCGACGACCTCGAGCGTCAGGCGCACGCGGTTCTCGAACGAGCCGCCGTACGCGTCCGTGCGCTTGTTCGAGATGGGCGAGAGGAAGGACATGAGGAGGTACCCGTGCGCGTTGTGGATCTCGATCACATCGAAGCCGGCCTTGACCGCGCGGCGCGCGGCGGCGGCGGACTGGGCGACGATGGTCTTGATGCCGTCGAGGGTGAGCTCGTTCGGGACGGGGTTGACGCCCGGCTCGAAGGGGATGGGGGAGGGGGCGATGACGGCGTCCGGCCAGCCGCCCTGTTCCTTGGTAGCGATAGCGTTCGCGTGAAGCCAGGGAGCCACAGCGGAGGCCTTGCGACCAGCATGAGCGATCTAGAGGGTGTAAGTCGCGAAGCTGTCATCCAAGTTGCGTTACGCACCTGGATGGCGATCTTCTGGTTCTGGCCGTGCGCAAAGGCAGTGAGGCGCTTCAAGGGCTCGATCTGGGAGTCCTCCCATATGCCAACATCGTGCGGGGTGATACGCCCTTCAGGAGAGATAGCAGCAGCCTCTGCAGGAGCTAATCAGTGGACTGTTGGGAAAGGTCTACAATGGTCACTCACCGATGATGGAGAGGCCTGGTCCGCGGCTGATGATTCCACCCACTAGGGAATATGTGAGCAAGAGAAGTACGCGAGTGTGGCGCGGCGGATAGCAGGAACACGCCCTGGCAAGCGCGATAGCAGACGTAAAAGACGACTTACAATGTGCCAAGTGCCAGCCATCCGGCTGCGCGTGCCCGTTGATCGACGAATACTGGCACAGCGGGGAGAGCTATACGCGCAAGGACGATCAGCCATCGACGCGTCGAGAGCAGACGCGGTACGTCACTCACCCAAACGCGGTTCTGTAATTCCAGATCCCGAATCTTGATCGGAGTGAATAGCCTGCGCGGACTCCGTCAGTACGCGCTGCTCCGCCCTCCCGCCTAAGCGCTCGTACGCACTTCGGAATTGGCTTGCCATCGGGCTGCGGGTTGAGCGCCGTGCCCGCGGGGGGCTCCTGCGCGGGCGTGAAGAAGGGCACGCCGGGCGCGGCCTTGTTCTCGTAGGTCTTGGTGGACATGGCGGGCTCAGCGATGGGTGCTAGCTGATGGGGAGTGGGTGGATTCGATAAGATGGGATCGTGAGAGCAGGAGCAGGCACCTACTCGCTACTAAATACGTGCGTTCGACGAAGCGTGGAAGGTGCGAGAAACACACGGGGAAGGCGACGTGTGTTACTTGGAGGGTTGCGGATGGATGAGGTATAGGTGCAAGGCTCTGCAAGGGGCAACGCCTTTCTGCAATAAAGCCAAGGGAGGATGCGAAGTATGTCGGACATCGCTGCATGGAGCGGAGAGCCTATATGTAGCCTTGACGCATCCGCGCGTGAGAAGGATCAAGCGCCTCGAGCTTCAGTAAGACCTATGTCAGGATTTGTGATTTTGTAAGCCAGGTAAGCCTTCTGGTCAGCAAGGCGTCTGAGAAATACCGCACAACGCTCCCGAGATGGAACTGGTGGGACAGATGAGCATATTGCATTCGACGAGTACTTTATTCCGAGGAATCCGAGTACCAAGACGCGGTTATGCGGTTGGAGGTGGAAGCGGGGCCACCTGGCACGAGGCTCGCGCAAGGGAGTAGAAGTTGCCTTTTTGGGAATATCTCCTCAAATCAGCAATGTCTGAATCACGTGCGCTTCAGGTTGAAGTACACCGGCCCTTCTTCAAGCTGACGCTGATCCCAAACGACCCATGCATCGTTACTCCTACGACAGCGACTTACCCTCTCTTTTCCTATACATAATTACCTGAATGGGAATCACAATCCAGCCGTAGATATCCCACTCATAATTAACGGCTGCCAACAGCGATTTGTGTCGCACAACACGACCAGTAGGTAACACGCCGTGAATGTCTGTACTCTTTCCATCCCATCGTCAGCGAGTTTTTCATGGTAGGTAAATCAGAGCACGACGTAAGCGCCGAGGAGGACGCTCGCTGCGGCGGTCGCGAGACCAAAGACCAGGGACCCGGGGGCCGAAAGCGCAGAGACGGCGCCGTTGCTGCCAGCGGCCGAGGCGGCTGCGCTAGCGGAAGCGCTAATACTGGAGGCCGACTGACTCGCGCTGGAAGCGACGCTGCTCGCGTCGCTCGCCGCAGAGGACGCGGCGTCGCTGGCCGAGCTAGCAGCATCGGAGGCAGCGCTGGTGGCAGTCGATGACGCGCCGCTGACGACGCTTCCTGCTCTTGATGTCGCCGAGTTGTAGTAGGAAGAGACTGGGAGGATGGTCAGAGTTGGCCGCGGTGGAGACTCATTGGTGCTCACGGTCGCCTGTTACGCCAGAGGCCGCGGCGCTGGTGAGCGAGTTGAAGACACTGCTGACTGCGGAAGCGTGAGTTCTAGGCGGTGTGTGCGGGGGCCAGACAACACACCTTGGCGCTTCTCCTCTTCAGCAGCGACAGCGGTCGCGGCAAGGGCGGCGACGAGGATGGTCTTGGTGTTGAAGTACATGGTGTTAGGAGGGGGATACGTCGTCGAGTATTCGGTGAAGAAATAACGCCAGCCAGAGGACCTGCGCTTTTATACAGGGCGAGGGGCAGATGACGCCCTCGATGGCGTAGGCGCCGTCAGGGCGAGCGAAGAAGACTTGACGTGCGCTGCGAGTACGATGCTGGTCATCAGGCGAGCCTCGCCCCACGTTAGCTGCTGTAGCTTGACGTGCCGTGAGTTTCATTAGGCTCGAATGCTGCAGATGATGCGTCAAAGCCCGCATTGGCCCCACAAAGTGGCACATTCAGACCGACGTCCGCGAGGACGCAGAAGGTAATGTCGGTCTATTACCGCAGAAAAGGTTCGGCAGCACGAGGTGTCCAACAGCATGAGGTTAGCGGGCGGAGCGTGCCCTAAGTCCGTTGAGTAGAATCATCCCTCAGAAACGGAGGGTGAACGGAGGATTTCCAGGCCAGTACCACCTTAGAAACGAGGCGAAGATCCATACAAGCACGTCGATTATCCTACAGATAGGTCCCATATTTGCGCGCGTATGGGCGCGAGAGGCCTGCATGAAGCGCAGGCAGTCTCGTTTCCGGGGCATGTACTTCCGGACGACGAAGATACTGTATGAACAGTGTTTAGCAGACTGAGGGGAAAGAATGAAGTCACTCTCGCCTAAGGGACAGATGAATTCCGACATAAAGAAGCTTTCCATTCGAGTGATGAAGCAAGAGCGAACGAGCAGGATGTGGTTCTGCTCATAAGGTGACGAGCAAGGCGCCGAGGGAAGCTTCAAGTGCCACAGCCGACATGCCAATCAAAAACCCTGTGTATACAGAGAGCGTACTCTTCGCAAGACCATTATTCGAGGTGGCTCTCACGCCCTCTCTATACGGTCCATCGTGGCGGGTATACAAGGCGGCGCCAGAAACAGCGTCGCTGGATTTGGAGTGTATCAAAGACCGCGGCGGGGTCGTGCATGTCGTCCAAATGCAACACGCCGTTGTAGGGTTGTTGAGAACTGAGCCGCTGTGGGCGCTCAATGAAGTCGTAGAGGTTACTGGACTTTCGGCTCAATATATATTGAAGACAGCGGACCTGTTGTAATTCCAACACGCATCATCAAGGTCTACCGATACAGGCCTGGAAGCAACACAAGCAATGACCACGAGGAGGGCCATTATTATAAGCCCAAGGTTCATTCTGTTCGGCAAGCGCGAAGAGCCAAGAGTCCAGCGCTCGGCCATTAGGCACTGTCTATACCTGTGACAAGAGCAGCGAGGTGAGGTTCCATTCGAAGGGCAGAGGAGGCTATCGAGAGCTTGTATACGCTGCAAAGAACGTAGATAATATTTTGCTGTTGCCGCCAGATCCTGGATTAGCACGCCATTCATGCTGAGGGGCCATCGTTGCTGGAAGAGGTCAGGACATCGCTAAGGACAACAGAGACGATAGGGTAGAACGGGGATTAAGATGCAGAGTGCGCAGGCATCATGATGACGAGAGACGAGGAAAAACCAGGAGAGGTCCGAGCGCCGAGGGGATTCGGAACTTGCCGGATGTTCAAATCGAGGGAGTTCTGCAAGAATCTCCGTCCATTTCTGCTCTTCCCCACTCTTGCACTGCGACCATCTTCGTCCCTCGAACCTCTATTTGCGACAGCAGCGCACCTGATATTAGTCGACAATATCGATACCTAGTCAATGAGCGTCTGCATTACAAGGTGGTATGAACAGGTGCGGTACTCCGTCCACCTGTACGAGCGCCCGGCGTCGTCTGTCTATGTACATCGTAGCGGTGGCTGCATCGCTACCATGCAGCGGCGACCACGCCTCGCCTCGCCTGCTCTACCTCGTGCTCTACAGTAATCCCCCTGTGAACTTCCCTCCACAATCTGAACCGTCCACCATCCGAATGCCTGATACCCTCCTGCAGATGCCCCGATCACCACTTGAGCCACTCGCCGTACATGTTTGGCCGCTCGCCACGGATGTACGACTCGAAGGTGCGCTTGAGCACGGTTGACCAATCAAGGTCGCGCTTGTCGTCTGCGGTATGTTCTGCGCCGTCTACCGGTGCAGGCACCCCAGTCGCCCGCAGGGCCTCTCGCGCCTGCCGCTCGCCAGCGATGAACCGTTCGCCAAGGTCCGGCCAGTTCCGTGCAGGGTCAAATGGCTTCCACCTTATAAAGGTCAACACCGTCTATCAGTACGCAAAGTATCTCGCTCACCAATAATTGTGGAAGTGGTATGAGTATGCGCCCTTGTAGAAGCCATCGAAGCCCAGTGCTAATGGTGCACCACCCGACTGGGCTGGCGTCTCGAAGAACTCGGAGAAGCTGCACGATATGTCAGTCGACGTCCGTTCATCTTCGCTAGCGCACTCACTCGGTAAGATAGGGCTGTGGCGGCCGATCGCGCTGGAAGTCTTCCGTGTTCAACCACGCGGAGTCGAAGAGCGCGTCCGGTAAGCGCAGCAACAACGGCTCAAGGTACGCATCCTTGGTATATCGCGCGACCGTCATCGGGTGGAAGTCCATGTTGTTTTTCAGCGCGGTGCGGAAGAGGAACGTGCCCAGGGCGCTTTGCTTGTTCAGCTTCAGCACCGCTGTGTTATACTTCGGCAGACGCGACCAGCGGTAAGCGAACGCGCCCTTCCAGCCCCACAGCTCCTCCCAATCGCGAAGGAAGATCGTGTCTGCGTCGAGGTAGATACCGCCGAAGCGATGGCAGAGGACGAAGCGGGCCATATCCGACAAGATGACACTGAGACGGTCGTACGACGAGGCAGACTTGGAGCCCAGGCGGTTCATCATGTCGTCGTCGTCTTTCTTCGCTGCAGATGAGCTGCTCTGCTCCTCCTGCTTCTTCGGCACTTGCATGACGTGCCCGCCGGAGTTGAAGAGCGAATCTAGATGGCGCCATTCATCCTTGAGCTCGGGTACGCCGTCCAGCTGCTCCGTCGTGTTCCACATCTTGAAGTGGATCACGTCCTTGAAGCGCGGGTGCAAGAAAGGCGCCGCCCAGGGGTTGTCCTTCAACCCGTCGAACATCTCGCGCACGACATTCGGGTTAGGTACGGACGCCGCTGGTCCTGGGTTGATCCACAACCAAAACTGAGGGCGACATGCCGAACGAGAGGGGAAGTTGTCGAGGTGCAGGCCGGTGTTTTGCGTGAAGAGGAAGGAGAGGAGGGCCATGTACGGTTTATCCGTGAAGGGGCCGGTCCAGAACATGTGGAATATACGAGGGTTCTCCGGGTCGCACGGTTCCGGAAGGGCGGAGTACGGGTGCTGCTCGACTGGTGGACGAAGCTTGAGTGATGGCTCCCAGTCCACACCCCAGCGGCGGTTCAGGCCACTGTTGGGATCGCCTTCGCTCGCGAGAGCGGTGATTGGGCTTATCGAGCCGCCAGCATCTGAGCGGGAGACGTTGTAGGTGTCGGGCTGCTCCATGTAGATGTACTTCCAGTCATCCATCTCACCGCGTCGCAAGCGCTGGCCATTGTCTAGACCTGCGCCTACGCGAAGGACTTCAAGACAGTCGCGTACGTACTAAATAAAGGATGAGAGGGCGCGGTCACGGGGTTGGGGCGATGCGCACCTTGTTCTCTGAGAAATCGCAGTTGTCCATGACGATGTCAAGGTCAGCGGCACTGCCAGGGACAGGTCGTGGGGGATAGGCGACATTGGGCGGACGGCTCTGGATGTCAAGGTAGACGCGCTGCGCGCCAACGCCCTCGGAGTCGGTGGTGGGACGGATACCGGGAGGGGCCTTGAACCTGTTGGTTTTGTACGGGGGGACACCAGGATTGCGGATAGGTTTGGCGAAGCCGATCTGCTCTGGTACTAGGGGGAAGTCAGCTACACGCGACTATCGGCGTCGGAAGGCCACGTACTCGGACGACGGCTGGGATAGTGTCCGCTTGCTACCTCCCACTCCCAAATCTTCTGCAGGTCGCTGCGCGTGTAGACGAGCGTGGGCGGGTCACCCATGAAAGGAATGCGCGTCGTCGGCCATTGCTTCTCCTTACTGCCATAACGCTTGCCGAAGGCGAATGCGGTGAGGAGCAGCGATACGAGGGCGAAGAAGAGGAGGATAGTGCCCGGAACGAGTCCAAAGCGCACAACGAAGAAGTGGTGGGCCCGGAAGGGGTTCGGTATGACGAGGACTCTGCGGGGAAAGGGCAGCGGTATGCGAATGTACGGCGGAGGGGTCTGAGTGCGGCGCTTGGTGAGCTTTTCCGGGAGGGCGGAGGAGAAGAGCGGGAGCTGTGCGCGGGGCTTTGCGTGGCCATTGCCGGGGTAGTAGATGGACGAGGGCATCGCGCCGTCGCCGTCACCGAGTCTGCCGTCGTCGCCGTCCGCCGTCGTGGTGAGGTTCAAGTTCTAGCACTTCGACACGCCGCGGCACGACGATCCGATCAGCGTTGGACCCACAACTTGAGTTTCTTACTGCGCAGCACTAGCGCGGACACGTCCGCAGTTTAGTAGTTTACATGTTCACCAAACAATCCATTCGCCATACATATTGGGTCTCTCGCCGCGTACATACGACTCGAACGTACGCTTCAAGACCGCTGACCAACTCAAATCTGCTGCCGCGTCCCCATCCAGCTCACGTCCTGGCGAGATTCTAGCCGCCTGCCGCAACTGCCTCTCTCCCTTGAAGAACCGCGCCCCGAGCTCGGGCCAATTGCGGACCTTGTCGAAGGGCTTATGCCTATGTGCGGGTCAGCAGAGCCGCGGACACACCGGCCTAATAGTCACCATTGATTATGATAGTGGTGGGAGAAAGCGCCCTGGAAGAATCCCTCGAAGCCAAGTGCTTCTGACTCGCCGATCGTAGTGTCGAAGAACTCGCTATAGCTATAAGACCATGAGCGAAGTGCGCAAAACATCCTCGAGAACACCCACCTCTCGAAGTACGGTTGTGGCGGTCGATCCCTCTGGAAGCCATCCGTGTTCAGCCATGCAGAGTCGAATAGGGCATCTGGCAGCCGCGTGTACAGAGGCTCCAAGTTGGCCTCCTTCATGTACTTGCTGATCGTAATGGGGTGGAAGTCGAGCCCATTTCGCAGCGCTGTCCGAAGGATGAACGAACCAAGCTGAGTCTGCCGCCCAAGCTTCGTTACCGCCGTGTTATATCGCGGGAACCGCGACCATTGGTACGCAAACGCGCCCTTCCATCCCCACAGTTCCTCCCAGTCTCGCAGCAGCACCGAGTCCGCGTCCAGGTACACGCCACCAAAGCGGTGGCAGACGACGAAGCGCACCAGGTCCGAAAGAATCACGGACATGCCTTCGAGGGTAGCGTGGTCGCCTGACGCCACTACTTTGCCCTCCGAACGGATGACGCTAACGTCTCTCCAGCGGTCCTTCAGTTCGTCCAACGAGTCCAGCTGTTCAGCCGTTTGCCATAGCTTGAATTGGATCACGTCTCGGAAGCGAGGGTCCAGGAATGGTGCTGCCCACGGGCTGTTGCGTATATGGGCCTCCAGCTGCGCCTCATTGGAGATGTTGGGTGCGTTGACCCAAACCCACAGTCGTGGTCGGCAAGCCTCGCGGGACGTGTTCTGCGTGTAGAGAAAGGACAACAACAGCACGTAGGGCTTGTCCGTGAAGGGAAGTGCCCAGAAGACGTGAAAGAGTCGCGGGTGGTCGGAGTCGCAGCTCGGAACGGGCGACGGGTGGTCAATGGGAGGCACGATCGGCTTCGCAGACAGCCGCCTAAGCTCTTCATGCTCCAGCTCCGCACTCCGCTGCGCCTCCGCATACGTCGCGCCCGTCAGGTTCAGCACCGCCTTCCCCGTCTCCACATACACGTACTTCCACTCTTCCAGCGCGCCCTGCCGCACGCGCCGCCCGACGTCGAGGCCCGCGCCGCGCCGGAGCACCTTGAGGCAGTCGCGCACGTACTGTGTGGCTAGGTCCTAAGCACGCGCGCGGAACGGGAGGGGGGAAGGCATGGGGCGCACTTTGCCTGCGTTGTAGTCGCAGTGGGCGAGCACTGCGTCGAGGTCGGCGATCGCGCCCATTGGAGGCCGCGGGGGCCATGACGCGTTGTGCGCGAAGGCATCGAGGTAGACGCGCTCGCTGCCGATGCCTTCTGTTGGCGTTCCAAGTGACTCCTCGGTGAGGGCCTTGTATTTGCTGGGTATCCGGCTGCGCGAGGGTATACTGGGATTATGAGGGCGCGCGCTCAGCCCAACCTCCTTCGGTACTGGCATGGCGTCAGTAGTCGCTTGGAGACAAAAGCTCGCCCCCCACACGCACCTGGTCTCCTGCTCGGATAGTGACCAGCATTGACCTCCCACTGCCATAGTTCCCGCAGCTGTTCGGGAGTATAGTCGACCAAAGGTCCTGTCGAGACGAAGGGGATCGCACGCGTCCACTCATACCCCGTCTTGAGTATCGCAATAACTGCAATGCACAAGAGCGCCAGAGTCGCCAGCAACAGCATACGCGCCTTGCTCAGACGCGGCGCATTGCGCCTCGGATGAACGGCCGGCAACTGCAGCACAACTGGCTCTCGTCTGAACAAGCGCTGCGCCCAGGACGAGGAAGACTTCCACTGCCGTGAGTCCTGCCGGCTATGCGCAAACATGCCAGAGGCCACAGAGTGTGAGGGGAGATTGTCAGGGCGAGCAGTGGGGGGCAGGTTCAAGTAGGCGCGCTGCATCATTTCGATCGCGGGCGCTGTTCGCGCCACCCGCGCCTCGGCAAGATCCGTAGAGTTCAATTTCGGGCATGGGCTCAAGAACCAGAGGCGCCAGGTTTCAAGCAGCGCTTCTGCCTGATCGTTCCGTCCTCCGAGCCGACATGGCCGTGGTGGTAAATTGCTTAAGATAATGGTGACATAGTGTCAATCTTATTTATGCGCTCAAGGCGAGCAACCCAGCCAGAAACAAGCCTCCGGAAATCGAAAAGTGGTTAGCAATGGTCGCACTCCCATTTTCGTCCGACGACCTGCGAGCAACAACTCAGCGTACGTCCGAATTCCTTGTACCGACCCCACTCACGATTGAGTCGCCTGCGCAGCCCCATCTGACGCAGTCGACGAAGCATTCCCAGCCTCCCCGTTCCCAACGGACGCGCTCGAATTAAACGCGAGCGTCGTATTAGCATCGAGCGCCCACTTGATGCCTCCCATTACGTGAGCCATGAAGGTGTCGTCGTGCCATGTCTCACTAAGGTGGCCCAAGCTCGTGTAAAAGCTACGTCCTGCGGTATTGCCGTCCTGGACCCCGGCGCCCTTTTCCTGATACCAGGCTGTAAGAAGTCTGATGAGCCCCAGTAGTCAGATCAGGGACTGCAGTACTGACCCGTTGGATGCGGGGTTCCCTGGTTATATTTGCGTTCACCAGGATCTACGAGCGCACGATTAGCGCATACAGATACACCTGAGGCTGGCTCTCACCATCGTACGTGCTCTCGTCCGCAGACAGAAGGACCACAGCACCCACATCCCTAGGGTCGGACTTAAAGTTATACCTGCACGGGATGGGTGAGCATAATCCTGCATATTCATGTATTTCGTACTGACATCTCGTCCCGAACCTGCCACTGCTCAGAGAGCATCGACGTGCTTGGGTGCGAGCGGTCCAATACATCGACCGTCTACCAGGGGTTCAATGGGTACACTCCTGTCTGGAGTATGCCAGAATCACTCACTGCGTTCGTGAGCTCAGGGTGGTAGTCGAAGTATGCTCCTGGAAAAAGAGCATGAACTTAGACTACAAGGATACATACTTCTCAGCCCGCCCGCTTACCTATTTCCCGCCCATAAAACTCCGTGGTGTTCAAGCAATCCGTGGCCGAGTGGATGCCAATAAAGTTGCCGCCGAGGTTCAGGTACTTCTGGAACGCGGCTATGCCATCGTCACCCAAGACTGTAAACACATCAGCTCTTCAGCTTCTCTTCCTCGCCTAACCGCCCTCCCCCAGTCAAAACAAAAGAAAGGTCCACACACCTTCCCCCGTATTCGACAGAAACACCAGCGCATCGTACTGCTTAAGATTATCATCCGTGAACAGAGACTTGTCTTCCGTAGCATCGAAGGTAATAGAGGCAGAATTTCCAGCGTCCTTAAGCGCTTGGACGGCGGTCGGTATAGAGTCGTGGCGAAATTGTTCCGTTGCGGAGTAGATGAGGACGCGAGGGGTGCTGGCGGCAAGGTGAGGCGAGTACGGTGACGCGGAGAGCGGGCCGGGCTCGGCTCACGGAGATGATGAAGAAGATTCCCACGAGGTTACTCTGTAACGAAGTCTCGATTGAAAACCTTGCCCTCCTCCCTTGGAGGAGGGCCCTTTTATACCTACAGCTGTAAGTAGTCATAACTAGTCACGGAGTATATATACGAGTCATAAGAAACCAGGAGAACCTCAAGGAACTCCAAAGGAAATACCCCCGCGAGGGGTGAAGGCAGAGCACGTGGCGTCGGCTAAGGCCGAGGCGTCACATACCCCCCTCCAGCGCCTTCTAAGGCGCTCTGTAAGTACAGTAGCAACCAGTAAGTAGCACGTATGTATAGAATAGAAACGAGTCTTTGTTTTTGTATATATTTCGAACCTTTTCTGTAAGTAACTTTCGAGCCGTTGTTCTGATGATCTCTAGTAAGTAGTAAGTAACTACTGGTTCCCCTTGCCCTCGCGCCGCTTGGCACGGTTCGCCTCGAAGGCCTGCTGGCGGCGGGCGTTCGACAAGCGCCCCTGCATCGCCTCGATGGCCGTCACCTCACGAAGGAGGAGCTCCTCGTTGGTGGGCTCGGGCACCTTGCCCTCCACCTCGTCCATGTAGCGATGCGCGGCCGCTCCGCTGCTGATGTCGAGGATCTGACGCACCCAGAAGGTCCGATCAATGCGCTGCTCGTCGGGGATGGGTCGGACTTTGCCGGTCGCGAGGTCGATCGGGCACATGTGCTTGCCGAAGTCGGCGCGCTGGAGGATTTCCACGAACTCGGCATAGCCGGACGGGACCTCAACAACGTCGTGGCGGATTCCAGTAGCAGTGATGCCGTCGCTGAAGCGCATGTACTCGACGAGGATGGTGAGTGGGATGCGGTAACTGAAGAGGTATTCTTCAGGGTCGTTGCGCGCGTAGATAGGGATGACGAGGCGGCGTCCGCGGATCTCCCACGTCATGGGAACGATGCGGCGGTGGGCGAATTGGGCCGGGCCACGTGGCTTGGCGCGGCCGAGGAGGAAGCCGTCGTCCTCGGAGGCGCGCTTGGCGGGCGTCGTCTCAGCGGCGGCGGACGGAGGCGCGGTCTTATCCGCACCAGCGTCGGCGGCGGCGTTGACGCGCGGGATGGGTTGCTTCATGACGTCGGAGCGCGCGGCTTCCTGCTGGCGGATGCGGTCGGCGATGATACCGGCATTGTACTTGGCGCGGGCGGCCTCCTTTGCGCGGAGCGCGGCGGCGGTGTCGACAGGCGGCTCGCTGTCGATGAGAGTGGAGGCGGCAGAGCCGGCGGCGTCGAGGACGGACGACATCGTCTTGGGCGCGGGTGCCGGCGGGGCGGCCTCGGAACTGGGTGGGTCGACATCCATCGGTTGGACCGAGTCCGCCTTGTTGCCATTTTTGATCGCCGGCGCCGTTTTGGCCTTGGTGTGGGAACGGGTACCGACACGGTTGACGTTGGGCGAAGGGGAAGGAGAGTTGGGAAGCGGAGGTAAGGTAGAAGTATCCATAGTATGTATGTAGAGAGAGGAAGAGGAAATGGAGTTGGTTTGGCATACTGACTGTCCATCCCTTTTAAGGGGATCCCAGCTAAGCCCATTACCCGATTCGTCGTGAATCTCGCCATCGGGAACACGAGGCTCGATCGTGAGTTCGAGATTCCCTACATACAATTGGATATCCCCGGGGTCTGGTTCAGATCCAGCCGGGAGATCACCCGCTTTGTCAACGCCAAGCGCCTCAAGGTACTGCTTGACCTTCTCGAGGGTGGCAACATTCTTGATCGGGATCCAGGACATGTCGCCTGGCTTCCACTTCACCTTGAGTACTGCATCAGCACCCTTGCCGTGATGTCCCACAATCTCCTCAATTGCCCATTCTTTCTCCCAGGCACCGAAGTCGGCCACCTGAGTCTCAAGGCGGCCCGGAAATAGCCGATCATCATTGGGAATATGAATTCTCAATAGAGACGCGTGGAAGCGCGGGTGTATTCCCCGCTGCTTCAACTCCTTCGGGAGATCAAGAAGGAAGGCCTCATTGCCTAGATCCTTCAGGATGCGGTATGGTCCAATGAACTTGGGAAGTAGCTTACGAACGCGGCCCTTCGGGAAGTTCATGTTGGCAGTTGAGACATATACTAGATCGTTCTCGGCAAAAGGCGCGCGGATGCGGCGTCGATTGGCATCACGTGTCTGCTTGACACGCGCGGCGAGCACTGCGTCATGAGCCTGCATGATGGCCTGCTTGACGCGGCGCGCATAAGTCCGCACCCCGGGATATTCCGTCGTGGGTGCGTCCTCCCAGATCATGGCGCGGGGCATGCGACCAGTATTCAGGAAGAACGGTGCATACCCCGTGCTCTCCGAGCGCACGGAGTTGATCGCAAACTCAACCGCCGGCAATTTCAGGACCCAGTCCGATTGAGCGGGCTCGACGCATTCGCGTATCATCTGGACAACTGTCCGATTGGCCCGTTCAGTTGATCCGTCGGTCTGCGGATGGTATGCAGTTGACATGCGCAGCTCCGTTCCGATCAACTTGTGCAGGTGAGTCCAGAATATGCTCGTGAAGAGCGAATCCCGGTCACTGACTATGTACTTGGGGAGCCCATGTAGCTTATAGACTTCCGCAAAGATAATGTATGCCAGAGTCTTGGCAGTCACATTAGTACGCGTCGGAATAAGATGTACCATGCCGGTCAGCAGGCAGATCACGACGAGAAGGTAATTGAAGGTCCCATTGTGATTCTCGCTCTCGGGAAAGGGACCCGTGAAGTCTATCCCGATAGCTTCCCAAGGCGTGCCAGGCACCGGCAGGGGATTCAATAGCCCGTACGGCTTGTGATTGCTGGGCTTATTCCAAGCGCACGTGGTGCATGATGCGATGAACTTCTGCACATCAGGCACCAGCGTCTTCCACCACACCTGATCACGGAGCACGGGGATAACCTTAGCGGCACCGAGATGCGCGAGTAAGGTGTGTGCTTCCTGAATAATGAGTCCTCGCACGGAGCGACCACTTTCCTTGATGTTCGGAATGCACAGCAGACGACGAGAGTCCTGCTTCAGGAAGATGAGTCCGTCAACCACCTCAAAGTTTCGGAAGTGACTGGGTTCTTCCAATATCTTGGCAAAGAACGGATCGTCCTGATACTTATCCCGGATCAAATCTTCAATGCGTACACCCCGTGTGTGATTGGGTATAGCCGTCAAGATAGGTTCCGTGAGGCTAGGAGGTGCGATATCATTATCTTCGTCACCTTCCGCGCCGACCGAGGTCGAGACACGTGTTTCCTCTGCTGAGGCTGGTGTCTCGCCTGTCGGGTGTTCTGGTTCGGATTCCGACATCTGGACAGCACTAGGTATGTCTATATTCGCATCCTCTGTGATTGGGCTGCCGACGTCGGGCGACGACGGGCTGTCTTCGACAGCGCGCGAGTGCGCGTTCTCTCGGGTACCCGAGGGGTACTCGGAAGATGCCGAATGTGATGTTCCGCTGACATCACCTCGCGTGGCTTGATCGGAAGCAAACGCGTGATGAGCTGGCAGCGCGTTCTGCGCTGCTTCCTTCTCACTCATCTCGTCTTCAAACGCGTTCGGGTCACTTGCAAAAGGTTCGACCGGGTCGTCTCCCCCCTCCAGACGCGTCGCGCGTCTATCAGAATCGCCATCCGCCGCGTGATCGCCCACAATCAAGCGGACGGATCCTTTCTTCGCAGCGAGTCGGCGAACCCAGTCGTTGAAGGCCTTCGTCGAGCCTTTCGGACGACCGCGACCACGGCGTGGAGCTGCGTCGTCCCCGCCTTCTGGCGCAATTGCCAGGGCGCCAAGCTCGGTCACAAGCGGCCGAGTAATGTCCATACCGTCGTAATCGACAGAGCCATCCTCATCAAAGGATGTATATTCAGAGGGAGAGCGCAGTGTTCCAGGTGCGTCGCCCTCGTATATGCGTGATAGTGCATCAGCTAACACGTTATCCACGCCCGGCAGGTACACGACTTCGAAGTCAAACTCGCCCAACTTCTCAAGCCAGCGCGCTTGCCGCCCCGAAAGGTTTGGCTGCCGCAGAAGATGGACGAGACCACGATGGTCAGTCACCCACGTAAAGTGGAATCCCTGAAGTAAGTCGCGATGTCGCTGCATTGATTCCACGCCAGCTAACATCTCAATCTCATGTACAGGATAATTCTGCTGAGTCGTGCTCAGCTTCGCGGAGAAGAGCGCGATTACCGTTCCGGTACGCCAATCCTCCCCTTCAACGACTACTCCTGACAAAGACGACTTAGAGCCGTCGGTCAGAAGCCAAACGCGCGAAGTGGGCTTGCCATCCGGCCCGAGGGTGATGCCTCGGCGTGAGACGCGCTTGCTCGCGCTCACCAGCCGCTTGCAATCCTCAAACGCGCGCTGCTGCGTGAATCCCCACTCCCATCGGTGAGTTTCGCCGCACAAATCGTGCAAAATGCCCAGGGGCGCGGCGATCTCGGCGACATTGTCGGCGAGCCAGCCCACCGCGCCACAAAATGCGCGAACTAACTTCTTGTTCGTAGGCACCGGCCACTTCGCGACCTCGTCAACGCGGGCAGGATCGACACGAATGCCGTTCGCATCAACGATTCGCCCAAGTACGCGCACTTCAGGCTCGAGGAAGTGCAGCTTATTAACACCCAGATAGAACTTCTCGCGCGCCAGCACCTCAAGCACGGTTTTGACAGCGCGAACATGCTCTTCGAGCGTGTCCGTGTATATGACAATATCGTCAAGGTACACGTCCATGAAGACACCTAGGTAAGGGCGAAAAATATGCGTCATTATTGCCTGACACGTCGCGACAGCATTGCAGTCGCCCTGGAGCATAACCTTGCTCTTCACGTTACCATCAGGCGTCGCCATGATGTTAACGTCTTCGTACTCAGGTAAGACACGTATTTGCTCATAGTGGTCTTTCCCGTCGAGAATTGACCAATATTTCGCAGCGGCGACGCGACGCAAGATCGCGTTCTGGTCGGGGAGCGGGGACGACAACTTGCGCGTGTTGTCGTTGCGCTCGCGCAGGTCTACAACAGTACGTAGCTTCGTCTTCTCGCGCTGATTCTTCGCGATGAGAAGCATGGGCACCGTGTTCGTGGCGGTGGTGAATTCCCACCGCCCCGAGCGCATATATGCGTCGCGTTTCTCATTCCATTGCTCACGAAAGATTGCAGGGCAATTCGAGCGACGGAACGGGTACCGACGGTCGGGGTCTATGATGGGAATCGTGTGATTAATCGCACGCAAGGGCGGGAGCTCAGTCTCCGCGATGGTCTTGCACAAAGGTAAGGCCATTTCGACTAGATGCTTCCGAATAGCTTCTAACTCGTCCGAGCCAGGCTCGGGCTCTACGTTCGCCATGAACAAGTCGTCGACGTGTGGCCCCTCAAGCGGCAGCGCCTCAACGCTCCCAATGAGGATCTTCGGCGGGTTGATGGAGAACGAGATGGAATGCTGGTACAGGAACGGAGTCCCGAGGACGACGTCGTAAGTCGCGAGGTTCAAGACGTCAAAGACGCGCTGCTCGTGTATAGCTGACCATTCAAAATCTACAGACGTATGAAAATTACATTTCGAGCGCGACCCGCTCACTGCCATCGTCATGGACACCTGGCCATCGTGCTCAATGAGCGGAAGGCGCAGTTGAGTAGCGAGAGCCGAGCTCACGAGATCTACTGACGAACCAGAGTCTACTAACGCCTTGCAGGGATGCCCGCTTACACGAACGACGAGGACGATGGGCCTCGGGATGCGGCGGCCGCTCCCCCGCGGGAAGACGGCTGTCCGTTGCGCAACGCGTGCGGACGAGGACGCCAACGGCGCGGAGCGCCCCTTCGATACTGCGAAGACCGTCAGCTGACGCCATGGAAGACGCGAAGCTGGGAAACGTACCGGCACGTTGGACGCCATGCGCACCATCGTTGCCCACGCCTGTGCGAACACGCCGGACTCAATCAGGTCCTCCGCGGGCTCGCGAAACCAACGCGCGGGGAACGCGCCGTCGGGCTGCGTGAAGACGTCGAAGCTTCGACGCGCTGCGGCATCAGCAGGCGACTCGAACCAGCGCGACATATAGCGCTTCGGGTGAGCCGTGTTCTGATGCCCACCCACGAAGTAGCGCATGCGCTGATACATGTACCAGTACCAGACGTTGATACCGGCGTCAATGTCCTTGAGACGAAGACCCCACGACACGCCCAGGAGCGTGTCGCACACGAGGATGACCGGCGACCCAGAGTACGGCCGGAAGGCGTAGAAGCGGGAGAGGTCAGCGCGACGCTGCTCCTCGCCGACTACGCGTCTGACTGCCCAGTTGAGGGCGTAAGCGACGCTCTCGGGCACGAGATCCCCGAGGGTAGTGCCCGTGGAGTAGAGGTACGCCATGCGACGAGCCTGTGAGGTGTCCATCCCGAAGTCGACGCATATCTGACGCGCAACGTAGTCCTCCATCGAGAAGCCTTCGCGGATGAAGAACGCATTCGGGATGCGAAGCGGAGCCAGTTCGCGACGCCCAGCTTCGGCCTCAACAGTCTCGAAGAGGGAGACACAATCGTCCTGGGTCTGGACTGGCAGGAAACGGACGGGCGCGCCATCGCAAAGATACGAGAGCGGCGCGAGGTTGTGGAACATCGCATCGCGCAGCTTCTCGCCGTCGCCAGGCCAAGCGCGCACGGCGTTCAGCGCGAACGCACCACGCACCCGCCACTGCCCCAAGTCGCCAACGTATGAAGGGTCGCAGGCGCGACCGATAAAATCGGCATACTCGGGTGTCTCGCAGAGGGCGAGCAAGTCGTCGCCCGAGCAAAACTTGGGAGGCTCGCGCCTCGTGCGCAGCGCAATTCGCGTGTAGTAGTCGAAGAGCGGCTGCACGTAGAGGTGGGGGCGTCCGGGAACGTCGCCACAGACAAGCGGACAGTCCGCGAGGACGTGTGTTGCCCACGGCGGTGAGCACGTCGTGCAGCGTGTACTGTCCGGGTTAGACCCAGGTGAGTCGTGCGAGGGTTCGAACTGAACCATATTGACTGACAATGTAGTCGTGTTAGTGATGCCAGCACGTCTCTGGTCGAGCAGACGTGCCTGTTCGATTGCCACCGAGTGAATCGCGAGACCAGGAGGTCCAGAAGACGTCGAAGGTACGTGGTTCGCTTCGGGACAGTTTCGGCTTATATGGTCCTTAGACTCACAGCGGAAGCAGCGCCCCTCTTCACGGAGGCGCTTCAGGAGCTCAGGAGATTTTCCTGGCTTGCGGTTAGGAGGGGCGCGACCGTTCGCGCTCCTTCCATTCGGCGCGGAGGTACGTTGTGACCCCCTTGCCTGTCCGCTGAATTTACCTCCAGTGGTCCTCGAGCGTTCATTAGAGCTCGAGGTGCGCGTTCCAGCGGCAGCAGACGCGTTCGCTGGCGGCCTAGAGGAGGGAGCAGAAGAGCTCCCGCCTCCAGAACGTCGGGACGATGCAGATGCGCCACCCGTGCCGCTTCCGCGGTTGGGGGGCGATCCACCATGGTCGTCAGGGCGCCTGCCCTTCGCTTGGGCTCGGGCAGCGTAGCTAGCCTGCCAGAGCTGCAGAGCACGTCGGTACGTAGGCTCTAACTCATCAACTTCTTTGCTGAAGCCGTCCTCCATCAGGCGCTTCACGAGCCAGGAGTCAAGGCCTTCCCAAAACTTCAAGACCCGGTTTCGGCTGGTCTCCTCAGTCAGCACCACCCAGAAGCGCTCTAGATCGTGCATGTAGTCGCGGAGATCGCGATTGTCTTGGATACAGGACTTGTACCGAGTACGACATTTGTCTTTGTAGTTTAGACTGAAACAGTGATCGAATAAATCTCTGAAAAAGTCGTCTAGATTTGCGCTTCGAGAAGCACTAAGCATGTAGTTCTGCTTGTAGAACCTTCTGGCCTTGCCAGTGAGCCAACGCGAGACAACGTCGGCCTGCCGAGTGGCTGCCACTCGACCATCAGTGACATACTGAAGAGAATCAATGACGAAGGTCCAGAAGGCCTCATCGTCCTCCCGGCCGTCGTAGGACTCGGGAGGCTGCGGCTTAAGGCGGCTGGCCTTACCCGCGCTGTCAAACTGTCCGTCGTCATCCGAGTCTGAGCTCGGAAGGCCGACTACACGGCTTCTGATCATAGCCATGTACTTGTCCCAGTAGGACTCGCCCCCAGCTACATAGCTCGGACGAAGCTTGTCTTCGGGACTAGAAGCCTTCGAAGGACGTTCACGATGCACCGCGGGGGGCACAGAGGCCTCCGCGGTCTCGCGCTTGATTGCGCTCAGGTCACGTGTCGGTTGAACTTCGTTCGGCACCGATCGCTCACGTGCGACGCTCGCAGCGCGCGAGCGTGCGGCGCCAGACCCATCCGTGAGGAGTTCGACGAGATTGTCGTACCTCTCACTGAGCTGGCTGACCTGCCTCGCCAGTTTGGCATTGAGGGCGGCGTAGTCCGCGGCCTCAACAGTCTTGAGGTGGAGTGCATCGAACAGATCGGCGATCTGCTTGTTTTCGGCGGCGCGGGGTTCCAGATTTGCCAAAGACACCCTTGGCCCCTGATTGGGCACTTGAGCCCGCGATCCCCGAGCTCGATTTGCGGCATCCAGGATGTCCCGCTGAATCTCGGGATCGTGTTCGACCTCGTCGAAGTCGAGATTACCGAAATTGCGTAGATCCGGGCCTTTACCCTTATCCATCCGGTCCCTACTGTTTCCGGGGATAGAGCTCTCAGGTACGTTCACGCTTTCGGACTCGCGAGCCCCGTGCTCGCTGTTCTCATCATACTGAGGGAAAATTTTATTCGTAGTATTATCTACTTCCGTGGACTCTGGCGCGATAGCGCGACTGCCCACAGCACCCGGTGCACGCGGCTGAGCACCAGCTTCAGGCACGAGGCCGTCGGCGGCATGCGCGTGGGTCGGGGACTGAGCAGCGGCATCGGCCGACCACTCGCCCTCTCCAGGGTCTGCTCCGTCGAGAGCAGACACCTGGCGGGATACCCCCACCGTCGTGGCGGAAGCACCCGACGACGGCACAACGTCGTGTTGCACCGTCGCATGCTCGATGACCTGGTCATCGGCGGTGGCAGGCGGCGCATCTTGAGCGCCCGCCGTACCCGAGTCGGACTCGTTGTCCGAGAGTGCACTAGTGAAGGAGTCGTCAGTACCACGCCACGCGGTCTGAGACTCACCGGTGTCAACCGACGCTGCGCGAGGGCGGAAACGTCCGCTGGAGTCGCGCAGAGGTTGAGCTTTTGGCGCCATTGAGATTGTCGACAAGGAAGAAAGGGTAATTAAGCCGCGAAGGGTGCCGGGTTGATCAAGTCCGTTGCCTTAGCGGGGGGAATAGGGGTAGGTAGTGAAAACTTTGCTGGTTGCTGGTTGTCGAAGTCGAAGTCGATGTTTCTATCGAGGACGTCGAGCGAGAGAGTAAAAATATGAGGCGAGTACGGTGACGCGGAGAGCGGGCCGGGCTCGGCTCACGGAGATGATGAAGAAGATTCCCACGAGGTTACTCTGTAACGAAGTCTCGATTGAAAACCTTGCCCTCCTCCCTTGGAGGAGGGCCCTTTTATACCTACAGCTGTAAGTAGTCATAACTAGTCACGGAGTATATATACGAGTCATAAGAAACCAGGAGAACCTCAAGGAACTCCAAAGGAAATACCCCCGCGAGGGGTGAAGGCAGAGCACGTGGCGTCGGCTAAGGCCGAGGCGTCACACAAGGGCGAGGCCGGAGAGAGAAGAGAGGGTGAAAAGGGTAGAGGAGAACATGTTGAAGACAATGATGTGCAGGGCTTGGGGACAACCAAGAACTTTATCAAGGAGAGCGGAACAAGAAAGCTCAGTCAGGCCAGGGGAGGGCAGAGGCGGAAACAGCGTTATGCTGCGTCAGCGACTTCAAGAGCTGAAGGTTAAGGGCTATGTGCGCCTTGTAATGCAGTCTTGTCACTAAGCGGGTCAACCGGTGACCGCCTTAGCGCTCCTAAAGGGCGAGGGATGTGCTGCTAACCCAGGAGGAGCTGATGGGAAGAGCAGAGTTGAAACCTGGCGTCGTCCACGTGCGTGCCCAGCTGACGACGGGGAAGCTCGTGATGGCACGGGGTTCGCACGGGACCGAGATGTTCGACTTCGGGTACAGCCCTAGGAGAACCGCCGCGGATACGTACGAAAGAGTATTCGCGGGCTGAGGGCTGAATGGAGGGGCATACTCGCTGATACTTCGCTCCTATTTGGAGCTCGCTGTGACATTGGTATTGCTACATCTTCTACGCTACATTTCTTGCACCCTACGATTAATTTATGCGCAACTCGGTGGCATGTCCCACTTATTGGGCAGCACGAGCGGCCTCAATCTTGGCCTGTGCAGCGTTGACGGTGGCCTTGAGCACGGTAATAACGCCCTCCGGGTCAGGCGCGCCAAAAATGGCGGTACCAGCAACGATGACGTTGCTTCCTGCGTGGGATGTAAGGGCACAACTCGGAGAGAACGATCCACTGAGTTCCACGAACCTGCATGAGCGCACTTATCGATCGTCTTGGGCCCGACACCGCCATCGACCTCGATATCTTTGTTGGGATACCGCTTTCGGAGCTCTTCGACCTTGGGCACGCAGCGCTCGATGAAGCTCTGGCCACCGCGACCTGGGTATACGGTCATGACGAGCAGCATATCTGCCGCGTTCGCCATCTCGTCTGTGATCGCTGAGGCGGGGGTATCGGGAGAGATGGCAAGGCCAGCCTTCATGCCACGCTTGTGGATGTGCTCGATGATTGGTAGTGGCTCAGCTGCGAGGCGTTTCAAAGGGAGGGGAGGCAGTGAGAGAGAAGGTGCTTACGCGCAGCCTCAAGGTGGAAGCAGTAAAGCGCGCCTCCTGCGTCGGCGATATCGTCAACCCACTTACTTGAACGCGTCAGGGAATTGACTAAAGCAAAGGGCGGGACAGGGTCACCTTCTCGGGGTTTGAGACCATCATGTGGCAGTCCATGAAGATGTCAGGAATGCCCTTCTTGACGCAAGCAAGAATTGGCGCGCCTGCGGACCGCGGTGTGAGTTAAGCACTACAGACGCGAGATCGCGAAACGCTGACCCATGGTGATGTTGGGCACGAAATGACTGGGGGGCGGTGTCAATTTAAAGAGGGGCGAATACAAAAGCGGAGCACATACCCGTCCATCACATCTGTACGCAGAGGGGAACGACCCGGTGAGCTCGAGCTCGTCTCTGGATCGATAAGCCGACGCACCCATATGCAGCCATTCTGCGCCGCCCTTGATCATCCGCTGGCACTCAGCGGTGAGCTGGCCAAAGTCGGAGGCGAGGACGGAGGGGGAGATAATCGCGCGCGGCATCGAGGCGGTACTGGCAGTCAATGACAAGGTCACAAAACGCTCAGAGGCAGTGACGTCGGTCGCGCCTCGGCAGCGAGGTCCGGTGTGCCGGCGTGCCGAGCCTGCCGCGCGCCGTCACGTCACGGATCTGCCATCACCGCCTCCGGCGCTCCGGCCTGCGCAGCTTTTGGCAGGTTTGCATATAAACGCCATCGCGACTTGTCTCCTTCCCCCACCTTCGTTCTTCGTTTCCCCAGTTTTATACCGGATCTATATCATCGTCGCCATGTTCTCCAAGGCCGTCCTTGTCTCTGCCCTCGCCGCTACTGCTCTCGCTGCCCCAGGGCAGGAGAAGCGCCAGAGTAAGTCGCGTCGTCCCCCCATATCCTTGCTGTTGCTGACTTTCTGCAGTCGGTAGCGCCATCGACTCAATCACCAGCGCTGCTGGCTCCGCCATAACCGCAGGCGCTAGCGATGGTCAGTCTCCTCCAATCACGTCGCATTCCCCGTGGAGACTGACCCATTCACTCAGCTGGCTCCTACATCAGTGAGGCCACTGCTGCCGCTGGCTCTGCGTGGAGCGAGGGCTACTCTGACGCGATCAGCGTTGGCTCCGGCCTGATTGAAACTGTCACCTGTACGTCCCCATCCTAACTACCGTTTGCCTCCCGGCTGACTCGCCCTTAGCCAAGGCTGACGGCGTGTACACCATCCTCTCGTCTGTCGGCGGCGAGGCATGGACGCTCGCGACCTCGGGCGCCGGCGATGCGACGTCGATTGGTGGCTCCGTTTTCACCCTTGCCACCGGCGCCGCTGGTTCTGCAGCTAGCGAGGCTTCTGCCGCCGCTTCCTCAGCGGCGAACGACGACGACAACAACGGCGCCCTATCCACGATGGCTGCATCCAACAGCCTCGCGCTCGGTGCCATCACGGTGGTCGGCAGCACGCTCCTTGGCGCTTTCATCGTCCTATAGTCATTGACACTTGCTTGACCGCGACCTGTATACCCGGTGGATAAGTACTTATGTAGGAAGTGGTATTTAAGTACAGAAGAGCAAATAATGTTATGCCTTCTTGGCTTGTCATACACAGTTGTGCCAGTATCGAATCCGAAAGTACTGCCGGCTCTCGGTCACATTTGGAGGAAAGCAGGGAAGGGGTTTATTACGACGTCGACTGCGTGCTACAGGATATTATCAGAGTGTGCGATAGGTGAGTACAGAATGAGATGTGATTTGTGTGGCGGGTATGAAACGAGCGGTCAGGTATACGATACGGTAGGTCGAAAGCAACGTCGTAAAAGTAGGTAGGTAGTAGTAGATCATCAAGGGCGCCTTCGTTCGTCGTGGGCGACGACTGCAACGCGAGCGAGGGCTGTTGCACCGGGCTGTCACACCACGGGCAAGAACTGCCGTCCCGCGGACGACTCTGAAGCGCGTCATGGGTTGAATGGCATCCGTCTATTGCGGCCTGCACTCGGGCTCATGTTCGTCGTCTTCGTCGTCCTCCCAGTCCTCCTCGCCCTCGCCGAACTGCGCGCCGTCAAAGAAATCAGACCCGGCAGGGAATGAGCGCCCACGCACGTCGTCGATGTCGATCTCCTCGTAGGGAGCCTCATCTACGATCTCCGGCGCGGGCTCGGGGTTCGAGCGTTTGGGGGGGAGGAGGGCGGAGAGGGCCTGACAGGGGACGGTCAGTTCGATCCGCAGTGGAAGTGGTATCATGAATGATACGCACGTTGGTGTCGACTGTCTTGAGCCATTGCGCGTCAGGCATCTCGACGTCGAAGAGGATGTACAGATCGCCCTTCGTGTCTGGCCGTTTGTGCACAGGCATACCCTCCCCACGAAGCACGATCGTGTCGTCCGGCTTGATGATTTTGCCCGGAGGGGACGACACCTGGATCCCCCGGCCATCTAGATGCGTTACAAGTATGCGCGAGAAGCCCATGAGCGCCTCAGAGAGTGTGATGGTGACATGCGTGAGGAGGTCGTTGCCGGAGCGCTCGAATGAGTCGTGTGGCGCGGCTTTTAGGATGAAGATCACGTCGCCTGGGGGAACGCCGGGTTCTTGGTCTCCGGCGCCTGCGAGGACGATGCGTTGCCGGTCCGTCATTCCCTTCTCGATGTGGATCTCCTGCCGGGACTTCTCCTTCACCGTTTTCTCGCCCTTGCACTTTTTGCAGCTACGAATTGTAAGAATCGCGCGATAATGCGGAATAGCACAGACTACTCACCGATCCTTCTCACGTAACTTCTCGCCGGAGCCCTTGCAGTCAGAACACGGCGCACGCGAGGTGCCGTACTGGTTCGGTGATATCTATCGAGATGGTTAGTTTGGTATTCAGAATTCGATAGAGATCGCAACGGACCGCGGTATGCACGAAGGACCAGCCCTTTCCTTCACACTTGGTGCAAGGCTTCGGCTTCGCACTCCCTCGCGCGCCAGACCTAAAGCAATATCAGCAAACCGTACAACCAGGCCAATAGCCCACCACCACTCACCCCTTGCACACCCCGCACAGTACCTCTTTCTGGATATTCATCTGCACGGTCTTGCCATTGTACAGATCCTCTAGCGTCACGTCGTACGGGATGACCGAGTCTTCGCCCTTGCCCTTCCGCCGTCCCATCCCTGGGCCGCCGTTGAAGTCGAAGAACATGCCCGAGCCTTCGAAGAACTGGGCGAAGAGGTCCGCCGCGTCGAAGCCTGCAGGGCCGCCGGGCCCACCGTTCAGCCCGGCCATCCCGCTGCGATCATAGGCGGCGCGCGATTGGGGGTCGATCAGGATTTCGTAGCTGCAGGGTGGGGGAGGTGAGTGGGCAGAGTGGGGATTAGAGGGAGGGCACGGACGCAGCGGCGATCTCTTGGAACTTTTGGGCAGCATCAGGGTCGTCTATGTTCTGTTGGGATGGTCAGTATGGCTAGCAGGAGAGTAAGAGTGTAATCACACACCTTGTCCTAGTGATAGGTCGCCCGCATGAGTATCGCGGGAAGGGGACTGTGGGGACGACTAACCGGATGATGCTGCATGGCCTGTGCATACCATCTGTCAGCGTTCCGTATGCCTACGATACACTGTACACACACCTTCTTGCGATACGCCTTCTTGATCTCCGCTAGCGTGCAATGCTAAATAGGCTGCCGGCTGCGCCACTATACTTTACATACCTTCCCCCGCCTCCACCGACACGCCTAACAATTCATAGAGTTCCGTCTCGACAGGCACTGCGAGAAGTACGTGAGCGAAGAACGCTTATAGGTCTGAAGAGATCGACTCACTTTCGTGAAAGAATGCAGGAAGAAAAGGAACAAGAAGGGAGGACGCAAGTCGCGTCTTGGGAGACAAATTTGGCGAATTCTCGACGCGCCTGCGAACCGCGTGGCGGCGCGCCTCATTTTCCCGCTTATGGAAGGCATTGTTATCCTCGCTGATCGCGCCAAGGTTTCCCAATCAGGCAACAATTCCAGCACCCACACAAGTAGTAAATCCAACATCACAGATGACGAGTATTATTCAGTACATTGGGATTCGCCAGACTTCTAAGTTAATATACAACAGCACCAAGATCGTCCCAGTCTATGTCATGAAAGCGTGAAAGTTCGTTTAACCGTCGAGGTCCTGGAGGGTGAGGTCCGCCGCGTCGGTGGGCACGGTCAGGATACGCATGGTATTGGTGTGGCCAAGGCCGCCCTTCCAGCCCTGCACAGCGATGACCTTGACACCCGGCTTGATGATGTTGATGTCGAGCGCGGTGCGGAGGCCGTGGCGGATACGGTTGTCGACATCCGTCTGCCACTGGTGGCTCTGGATGCCACGAGGCTCGGGGTAGAAGACAGGGTAGCAGCCGCGGTGCAGGTGAAGCTGGCGTGCGGTCTGCTCGCTGCGGGTGACGGTAATGATGGGCACGCGCGGGCGGTACTTGGAGATGAGGCGGGCAGTCTCGCCGCTCGTGGTGAGGACGATGATGGCGCCAGCGTCGTTCTCCGAGGCAGCAGCGACGGTGGCAATGGCAACAGTCTCGGCAGTGGGAACCGGGCGAGGCTGCAATGAGCGGAGGTCGTCGAAGACCGGCGGGTAGCAGATAGCGTGCTCAGCGAGGAGACAGGTCTCCGCCATCATGAGGACTACGATCCGGTGAGTTTATGTGGCGCAGGGTGAAGCAAGTAACACTGACCAGCCTCAATGGGGTATGAGCCCTTCGCCGTCTCACCGGACAACATGACACAGTCGGCGCCGTCAAGGACCGCGTTCGCGACATCGCTGACCTCGGCACGGGTCGGGCGCGGGTTGTTCTGCAATGCGTGTGAGCGGAGGCGTGGCACCACATTGGAAAACATCGTACCGTCATGGACTCCAGCATCTGAGTCGCGACGATAACGGGCTTGCCAGCGATGTTGCACTTGGCAATCATCATCTTCTGAGCGAGGAACACCTGGCTGGCAGGGATCTCAATACCCAAATCACCACGGGCGACCATGACACCATCTGTCTCCTTCAGGATGGCGTCGAAGTTGGCGACACCCTGCTCGTTCTCGATCTTCGAGATGATCTTGATGTTGGCACCGTCAGGCCCGAGGACCTCACGAATGTCGCGGACATCCTCGGCGCGGCGGATGAAGGAGGCGAAGATCATGTCGACGCCGTTCTTGACACCGAACTGGAGGTCCTTCTTATCCTTCTCGGACAGAGCGGGGAGGTCGACAGCGGTCTTCGGGAGGTTGACACCCTTGTGGGAGGAAAGCACACCGTTGTTGATGGCGCGGACGCGAACGTCGGAGCCTTCGATGCCAAGGACGAGAAGGGAGAGGATACCGTCGTCGACGTAGATAAGCTTGCCCGGAGCGGTGACCTTGGGCAGGTTTTTCTGAAGACGAGATCAGAACGGTTTAGGCGACATGCAGGGGAAGTAACACACGTAGTCCATGTAAAGAACCTTGTCGTCGCACTGGTCGTAGTACTTGTCGTCGGTGCTGACGATGAACTCATGGCCAGCCTTGATAGGAATGTCCTCGCCGTTCTTCATGACACCAGTACGAATTTCGGGCCCCTTCGTGTCAAGGGCAATGGCGACGGGGCGACCCTCGGGGTTTTCTACGCATTGGGTGTGAGGAGTGTACCACGCACGCTCTCTGCCGCAAAGCTCACCTGCCACCATCTTGCGCGTGTTGTCGATGACGCTCTGGTGATACTCGTACGCCCCATGGGAGAAGTTCATGCGGACTGCGACGCGCTTGTCAGGCAATGCTCGCGATGGAAAATCGATCTACGCACCGACGTTGACACCAGCAGCGCGCAGCTCACCGAGCTTCTGCACGCTGTTCGTCTTCGGACCTGAAAACGAACGATCAGTCCATCGCTCAGCCTTCTCTTGCCTCTCGCCTCACCAATGGTCGCGATTATCGACGTCTGCACGCTCATCAGCCCGACATCGCGGTGGAGGGGACGCGCAACACACCTTGCGCCAAAACTTGGTCTCCGCGGACGGGGACGGCGCGTTCTCCGTGCTCAAGAGCGCATTCCACTCGAGCTGAGTGCGCACGTTGTCGCCGCCGAGGAACATGTTTGTTGGATGTAGATGGAGGAGGGAGGGGAAGGGGTTTGTCGAGAGATCAGCGCGTTCGGGTCTTCCGTTTTATAGGCCGCGCCCACGATCGGATTCGGGCCCAGTATGTAATCCCCAAAAAAGGTGCACTGCTCGGCCGTAGAGCGCATGCCGACGGTCCACTTGGCCAATTTCCCGTTGTCAGACTTGGCGCAAGCCCGCTCGCTACTGGCCCTTATCGCATCCTGTTGCCTGTCGACGCAGAACTCGAAAATCACTTCAGAACGCCGTCAACGCGCTCGCTGGCAAGACGATCGCGGCGGCACCCAATCAGCAGCCAGTGGCGCGCTGCAGTCACCCGCCGCGCCCAGACTGCGGCGGCGGGCGGGACCCAGGGCCACCATACGTCGGTCTTGCGTCGGTGGCGATCCGCGCACATTCCAACCCCGTCGCCCGCTCTAAGCCCACCCGGACCCAGTCTTTCGCCCTGCTGGCCGCATTTTAGGGACCTTAGAAGGCCAGGCCCCATACAGAACAGAGAGAACAGCATGGATAACACAAGAGACCAGAAGTAGATACACATAAAGGCCGACGCCGCGAACGTTCCCGATCGCGAACGTGTGCACATAAACCAGGGTGATAGGTAGAGGAGACCAGGAAGGTATACAGCTCTCGACGGACAGCAATTTCGACAACAGGGAAAGGGATATTTAGACGTAGCCAGATTTGCGAAAAGGTGAGAGAGAAGACGAACATAGTAATTAGATAGCGTCCTTGAACGCAAACTTCCAACGCAACGTCCACTGGTAGCAGAGCCCTAAAGCACTCGCAACTGCCACCCACCGTCAGTAATCGCAGCAGCGTGCGCTGCCGCCAACCAATTCGTGTCGATACCCTCCGTGGGATGCTGAGGCAGCGCATGCAAGTCAATGCCCTGAAACATGTTGTCGACAGCAATCGTCCTGCCGGAATGGTACCCTATGCCGTCGTACGCCCGAACGAAGAGCAGAGGCAAACTACGCCCGGCGATCGACGCTGGTGGAGGTGCCCTAGGAGGCGGCGTGGTGTTGGACTGACTGGCGACTGGTGTGTGAGTTCGACTGGGATCGTTCGAGCTCGCCGCGTCATCTTCGAGGGCCTTGACGATATCGCTAATCGGGGGCAAGGTAACGGTGACGATGGTGTGCACGGAATTCGTCATGAACGGGCTGCCAGAAATGTTGGGAATCAGCTCTTGCATGCCGCTAGCATCGCCAACAGTGGTGACGAACGGTGCGACATTGGTGAGAGGTCCAGTAGGCCCCATCTGATAGATGCGATGTGCGAGCGGCCCGAGATTGCCTAGGTAAACCTCCAAGGCCTTGTGGCGGCCGGTATTGGGATCCTCGTAGAAGAGATTGGAGATAGTCAAGTCGAGAGTATGGTGTTGTTGACGATAGACCGGCGCGGTGAACAATGTCGGGAAGGGGGTGATGGGTAGCTCGGGAATCTTGTTGTTGCCACCAAACGCATCGAAGAACGTATACTGGAATTTGGCTACGAAAAAGTCAGAAAGAGATTGTTTGCGAGGTAACGGGAAATGCTTACATATCCCAACAATTGTCCAGCAAAGGTAGTCGTCAACCTCATCGTTGTGATTGTCCTTGTTGCTGTCATCGCTAACACGCGGCGACTGGAAAATGAGGGGATGCGTGCCGGCCTGTGAAGCAGATCCTGAGCCGCTCGGGCTGCCCGAGCCGGGGCCAGCTGCAGACAGGTAGTGACGCGACCCATCGGGGTTCACGCGCTGTAGAACGACCTTCTGCATCTGGCTGACCGGTCCACCATCATCGGCGATAACCTTGCCTTTCTCGACCTTGCGAATGACAAGTGGTGATGTCGAGATACCGGAAGTAGTATCGGAGAGGATAATTTCGCTTCCGTACGATACGGCCTGAGGTCCCGCTGCACCTTGAGCGTGAGCAAAGTCCTACCCATATTCACATCACATGACTACTTACCCACGGGGGGCGTGTCGGTGCTGCGACGGACGACGTTCACGTTGAAGGCAGACCAAGCGATGTTGCTCGCGCACAGCTGTGCATGTTCGATGGTCATGTATTTCGTGCGTACGGTTTGGGAGTTAATGCGGTTAAAGAGCGACACAGGACCGCCAGCAAGGATGCAGGACGCGATGTTACGCGTCTTCGCGGTCTTCTTCGACGGCTTCGAGATGATCGTGACCGGCGCGGAGTCAAATGAAGCCCAGACGCGGCCCAGAGGCGCGTCCGTCGCGTCACTACCAGCAGCGGAGGGGGGCGGCTCCGCGATGTCGAGCGAAAGCTGGAAGCTCTTGGCCTTCGCAGTACTAGTGACGTGCAGAAACTTGAAGCTGCTAGTCATGTTGGTATCGAGCGCGGCCCTCTGTTCGAAGGTACGTTCCCCCGTCTCCGAGATGATGGCCATAGACAGCTGTTGCGAGCGCATGTGCCAGACAGGTCCCTCGATGTGCACAATCGGAGGGGGGCATAGGAAGCGCTTCTCCGTCCCGTACGACTTCTGGGCGACCGCGGCATGTAAACATATCACGGTAGTCATCGGCACGACCCTCGCGGGATCGTGCGAGACGTGGTCGCGTACGACGCGTCGAATCTTGGTGTGCACATCCTCTCCATCGATGTCCGCGGCATCAAGCTTGCGCTTACGAGTTGCGAGCTACCTGGACGTGAGCTATATTGGTGGTTCCCACGGATGGACAACGCACGACGGGTGGTGGAGGGACACTCCCCTGCTGCGGCTCAGATGGCTGAGCCTCACCATGGTTCGCATCTGAGGTCGCTTGCTCTGCCTGCACCGGCAGGGAAGTAGGCACGACACCACTGAATTCCAACGCCGACGCAGGAGGCGGCGCGGGAGCGTCCTTGTCGACGTTGGTTTCGTATGTTGTGCCCGCAAAGATGTACTGGGGAGCCGGAGGAGGAGGCTTGGGATCCTGCTGCGCGGGTGGGCTCGACATCTCTGCCTGCAGCTGGGGGTCGAGAAGCAACCCGGCAGATGGCGAAGCGGACATGGTGCACAGGTGGTCGTGGGAGTGAAAGAACAAAAAGGAAAAATGCGCTCAGCGTCACGTGGGACAGGGGTAGACTCCCATCACCGAACCCGCATGCCCTCTTCCCACGGTTCGCTTCTTCAAATGCAGACCTTCGCTTCTTGCCGTACCACCCTCTGCATCTAGCGTTTCCGTTGTGCGATGGTCCTCACGGTCTCCGTTACACGAACCTAAAATGCCCGTATAGAAACAAGGGTATCTGACAATCCAGTATCCTCCAAGTAGAACCCCATGAATGCCCTGCAGTCCCAGCTCAATCCTTTCCAAAGAACAGTGTGCCGAACGTAGGTCCATCTTCCGAATCCTCGGCGAACATCTTCGTTCGTGCCTCGCGGCGCGCGCACAGGGACAGATAGAGCGCCTCGTGGTCCACAGGCTCGTCATCGTTGTATGGCGATACCAGGCGCGATTCTTCCGGCGCAGTGGTCTGCTCGGGTCTTGCTTTGCTGCTGAACAGCATATCGCCTATAGCCAAATCATCAGAGAATGTTCGGTGGTCCCGCGTTCTCACTCACCCAGCGCGAGAATGCCCAGCTTATCCTCCATCGCTATCGTGTCCTTTATGGACTTCTCGTCCATTTCCCGGCCGTCCGCGGACGACTCGTCCTCCCTGTCCTCCCGAAGTTCCTCCTCCTCTTGAAGCCAACTCCACTCCTCGTGCTCGTCCGCCCGGTGGGGAAAGAAATCGACGCAATTGAACGGATTCTCGCGCTCGACCTTTGGTGTATAGTGTCGATAGACGTGCTGATGCGACCTCTGCGGGCGATCAGCAGCGCCAAACTCTATGTTCGACACCGTTCGCTGCAGATGAATCGCCGGGCGTGTTTGGGCTTTTGCTTTGAGCGCCTGAAGGGGATGCGGCGCGGACTGGGAGCGCTGGATGTTCAGCGACATGATTTTCGATGTGATGGTCGGTTATGGGTGTGGGGAAGGTGTGCAGGGCCTCCTGTCCGCGTCTATAAAGCGCACCAAGCTGTCCTAGGGGCCCCGCATCCGCGTAATGCTCCCCCGGTGCCCGCCGTTGCTCCTGCCTCGGGAGCCCCAGAACGCCCCAAGATTTCCAGGCCAGAGCAGCCCCCAAGATTCAGAAGGTCTTGTGACCGCGGTTCGAGCACGGCCTAGACACCTACATACGCCTACAGCGCCACCCAGCGTGTGCAATAGCACTTCCGGAAGACGACGCGCGCACCCGCTCGGAAGGAAGGGCAGACGCAGCATGAAGATTGTGCAAGACATATGTACTCGTGAAGAAACTGCGAACATAACTAATAGCGCTCTAATATACCACAAGGTGTATGCGAGATTGTCCCAAGGCATGATAAAAAAGGAGTGATGGGTAATGTACGATGATGGGAGAAGGGCATTGACATGCAATCCAGAGACTGTCCATGGATGTGGCGGATCGTCCAGAAGGCGGTCTGACAGACAAAGATGCAACAAGAAGCATGCGACAGGCAGGACATGACAAGGGACCGTCAAGACGGCAGATACAGTACAGCCGTAACGTCACACAACCGAAGAAGTCCATGCACTCACAAGACTACAATGGCTTTTGTATACACGAAGGAGGCGGCGGGGCGCCTAGCGTGCGCGGCGGTCGTCGCGCGGGGGACGCTTCGTGTCCGGGAAGGGGACACCAGCACGGGAGTCGCGCGTGCGACCACCGCTACCGCTCGGTCCGCGCTCGTGCTTGTAGCCGGTCTCCCCCACCTGTTGGCGCTGCTGCCAATCCTCCACCTTCATCGTCGATAAGCGCTTGGAGTGACCGGAGCCGTTGCCCAGCGCGTTCAGTTTATCGGCGCTGAGCGAGCGTTGTCGCCTGCGATCGCCGTTATCGCGACTCTCGCTGCGACCACCTTCCCTCAAACGGGCGGCCTTCTCCGCCTGCCTCTTCGCGACAGCATCGCGCTCGGCGGCCTTCGATTTCTCCCACCGCGCCTTCGCAGCGTCGAGCTCAGCCTGTTCCTTCTGGGCTTGGGTGATCGGAGCTTGCAACTGATGCAAGTGCTCGCGATGTCTTTCGTTCAGCTCCTCAAAGGTCGCGGTGCGCGGTGTTGAACTCAGTCGCTGCGGCTGCGGCGCATGGATGGCAGCCTTCGGCGGAAGGATCGTGGTGGGGATGTTACCACCAGCAGAGCGACTACGCCCGTGCTGCTGAGCGAGAGGGACGTCGTCCTCGGAGATGTTGCGCGGACCGGTGTACAGTGCGCTTTCGCGTAGCTTGCGTTCGCGCAACGCCTCGGCAACAGCGGGCGCCATGCTGATGCGTTGCGTAGGACTCAAGGGACCCGGGCTGGTCGTCGGAATAGGCGGCGTGATACCTGCAGGCGGCTGCAATAGCTTGCGCTCGGCCACGTACTGGTCCCAGTCCACGTCACGGAGTGGTGCACTCGTCGGACGTCCAATAGACTCGCCGGCTGAGCTATTCTGACCAGCTAGCGTTGACAGTTCCATGGAGTGGGTGCGCGCACGAGGGTCGCCGGTTCGTGGTGGGCGCAAGTGAGCAGCAGGAAGGAGAGCCGCGGCGGCATCTGTACTGAGCGTACGGCGAGAGGTCAGGGAGGGACGGTGAGAGGTAGAGAGGTCAGGCGTTTCCGTGCGAAGAGCATCAATGGAGCGGCGGAGGTTATCTATTTCGGCAAGCAAGTCGTCGCGCTTCTGCATTTCCTGCGGAGGTGGCTGAGGCCGACCCTGGTCCTTGGTAATGAAGTCCTTGGGTACGTCGTCTTCGATACCAAACCCGAGGTCGAGAGCGGGAAGCGCGACGGTGGGCTTGCTCCGAGCAGCTCGTTCCTTCTCTTCTTCCGGAGCTGGAGACGCCATAAGGTCGGACAGACCGGATGGTCGGCGTTTGCGGTCTTCGTTCGCAAACGAGTGCTCTGTCATCGGCGACGAGGATCCATCTTGGTACTTCATGAGGGGCACCGTCGAAAGGCCACTCTCGGCGCGGTCGTGCTTCGAGAAGGTCGGGTGCTCCCTCTCCCATTGTTCACGCTCGCGTTCGATCATGGCAAAACGATCCGCGCCATCCAGGTCCGCTTGGCGTTCGCGCTTGCGCTGCTCCTCTTGGATCTCCTTGAGCTTCACTTGTAGCGTGCTGAGGATGCGTAGCTGAACAGCTATTCCCATCAGTGCGATGGCACCAATCAGACCGAGTTCGATTTGCATGACTTGGCCGACAGGGAACTTGATGCCATTGTTCTTGAACTTCGGGAACAGACTTTCGAATCCGAGGTTCCACACGTAGAACTACCAAGGAGTTAGCGCAGATTTCTCGACGTTGGCAAGGCACTGACCTCCTTCAAGTTTGCGGTCGTGAAGCAGTCGATGCCCAGTATGGTAGCGGATGCGCCAATGAATGCGGTAGAAACCAGTAGAACGTGGTAGTGGATCTGAGGAACAGAGCGTTAGGGCGCGGGGATAAGCGATTGCGAGGAGTAAGCGGACCTTGGGAATCGTGCACAAGACGAAACCGACCACTCCAGCGCCTAAGAGCCTGTTAGTGATGTGCCACGCACGCTGATACGGTGATAACACACCGATGTAGAGAATCCACCGCAGGCCAACGTTTGAGATGAGGCCGCCATCACGGAAACACTGGATCCATAGCCCGAGCGCGAACCCGCCCCAGCCGCCAATGGCGTAGCGGGAAGCCTTCCAGAAGAATATGGCAACGCCGCCTCCGGCGATACCAGCAACGCCGCATGCTAGGACGAACATCCCGCGGACGGTCTTGGAAGGCGGGTTAATGGCAGGGAGAATGCCGAACTTCGTGATGAGCACGAAGCAGACGAGTGCGAGGGTATAGAAACCAGTGATAAAGAAGGACGTCCTGCGATCGACGCGTCAGTGGAGCTGCGCTGGCACTGAATAGGGCACGCACCATCTGTTCTTGTGTCCCCAGAACGTGCTCGGCAAGCCAGTGATGATGAGAATAGCACCGAGTGCACCAAAGGCGGGATCGATCTTTGTTTCCAAGAACGTGTTGTCCGCGGACGGCGCCTCGGTCGCGGATGCGCTAGCCGACGAAGAGGAAGAGGTAGCAGTAACGCTGACGCTGAAGACAGAGCTGGAGACGAAGGTGGTCTGAATGGTATTGTCGCCTGAGCGGGTGCGGGTGGTGATCGTAGTTACGCTGGTAGTCCGCGACAGCGAGACACCGGAAGTGTTGGACGCATCCGCGGACCGCGTGCGGGTGCCAGACTGAGAATCGCTGTTATTGTCATTGTCCTGCGCGGCGACGCCGGCGAGCAGGGCGAGGGCCGCGATGGCGACCGCTGCGAACCTCATGACGGGTGGGAGAGAGCGGTCGAAATCAAGTTGGGTGAAGTCAACAAGCGGGGGACCGGGGGAACCGTCGCGTGATGAGGCCGGACGTGGTGATTACAGCTGATTCGTCGTTGCGCACGCTGGCATGAGCCAGAAGAGCGTCGGGGGTGGGCTCGTGGAAGGAAGAGGAAAGAAGGAAAGATAGAAAGCGGACACGCGGGCAGCTAAAGTCGGAGGCAGATGCGGTCGTGACGATTTCAAATAGTCTTCTAGCTCTGCCGGTCGTGGAGTCTGACTGCGAACGGGACTGCAAGCGCGGGCCCTGCTCGGTACGCGGTCTGCGCTGCGCTAGAAACCGGGTGTGTGTAAGGAGGAGCAGAGGGGCGTGCGGCGCGCTGATGCAATGCGCAACGGGCGTTGATGGTGCGCGGACGCGGCCCAGAGCGACCGTGTGCAGATGCTCGTGCTGAACGCAGTGCTGGCATCAACAGGAACAACTACACTTCCTCCTCGTACTCTACGTCATCAAAGTGCGGGAACGCCCTCGGTCTCAGCGACAGCCGCTTCAACACCCGCTGCAGTCGCCACAGGTCTCCCTGGCGCGCAGCCGCCTTTTCCTCAGGCGCAGCGTCCGGGTCGTACGCAGCACCATCCGCCTCCGTCGTCTCGATAAACGAGACCACCTTCCCCCCTCGTCCTGAACGACCCACGCGTCCTGCAATGTGAACATACGCGTCAGTGGCGCGGGGCACAATCTCCCTCTCCAGGACGCCAAGGATGAAAACATGCGTGAGGTCGGGTAAATCGAGCCCCCGGATAGCAGAGAAAGTCGATACCAGCATCATCGGATTGCTCCTCGCTTCTTGCGTTCCTGTCAAAAGACCTCGTTGCTGGGCAAGGTCCAGCGGTCGCGCATTGACACCGAGCTCGCGAAGATCGTACACTGCGCGCTTCACGTTGGCCGATGTAGGCAGCACAAGGAGCGCCACAGAAGGGACGTCTAACGCGAATGCCGTAGCAATGGCCTCCATGACATCTGGATTGTAGGGCGACCGCTTGCCGGCAAACCCTGCATGCAATGGTCAGTATACTTTGGGGTCTTCAGAAATGAAAGCTACTCGCCTCGCTTCTCTTCTTTGCTCAAGGCATCCTCGTCGAGCGCTTGCTCGTCCTCTGACAAGACTGATGGAAGCTCGGTTGCCTGTGTCGACGGCTCTGCTCCAGGAATATTGGTCGCACTGTTCGGCCCAACAAGAATGACGGAATGCTCGACACCAGTGCCGCCAAGCCCCATAGTCTTGCTCACAGATGAACTGTCGTCCTTGCTCTTCGTTATACGCACATAATCATGCCTCGCAAACCATCCACTCTGCCCGAAGACGTACGAGCTTAGGTGGCCCGGCAGTGTCGCGCTCGCCAGCACCAACTGGGGTCCCCCGATAGTTTCCCTTTTCGATGCAACGCCAGCCTCGTCGTCGTGTTCGTACTCGCTCTCGAGGAGCTCCGCATTTCTGCGTAGGCGGTCTTCGTATATGATGTCGAGAAGTTCGCGCGTCGGGCCTGGGTGCTTGCGAATCCGACGCTCCAACGCGCGCCGCTTGTTCGATTGCTCCGGGCCAAGGTCGCGTACAGTCTCGACGAGGTAGTCGACTTCATCGACGAAGACAGTGGAAAGCGCACTGCGGCAGAAGGCGTTGGGGTCCTCGCGATAGACGTCGAGGAGGGCTTGTGGTGTGCCAATGAGAATATGGGGCGGCTCGTCGCGCAAGGTTTCAAGGCCCTCTCCGAGATGCATCTGTCCGTCGCGTACGAGAACTTGAGCGATGGAAGATAGCTCTGGAGGAGAGGCGCCGCCAAAGTTCTTGACGATACTCTCGATCCAGTTGAGGATCTGGTATGCGAGGTCGCGGTAGGGAACAATCATGAGGGAGGTGACGGTGTCCTTCTCGATGGTCCTTCCTTGAGCGTTCCTAACGCGGTACTTGGTGCGAGGTTTGCTCAGCAGGGCTAGCATAGCGCCGAAGGTTCTGTGCAAACAGGTCAGCTCGAAAGTATTACTAGGATTCATACAGCACTCACTTCCCAGTCCCTGTGTCATCCTTCAGTATGACATCCTTCCCACTGAGTATAGCAGGTATCAGACGCGTCTGCATCTCCGTGGGATGCGTAACATGAGGGAAGGCAGCATGCATCGCGTCGACTATGGGCTTGTGCAGACCCAGCACTTCGAAGTGAACCAGAGGAGCCCCATACTCCAAGTCGCGTATGGACGCAGTTCGGTCGTCTAAGAGGCCCGAGTAACGTTGCAGAAGGTTGGAGCTGGGCTTAGTGAAGGTCTGTCTACGTCCTGGGCGTTTCGCCCGTTCGTCAGACTCCTCAGTCTCGCGAGCCTTGTGCTCGTAGTAGGCCTCCGCAGCGCGGCTCATCTGACGCGCGCATATGTGCAGGAGACATGGCGAGCGAGAAGAGAGAGATGTGGGGCGTGCGCGCGGGGAGAGGGTGGACAGGCTCATCGTCGGTGCCAAGTCGAAGACAAGTCGCGAAACAACGCGATCGAATTGGTGTTACGGCCCGATCAGCCGGCGCGCTTCACGGAGGCAAAGTCAAAATGCGACTCATTTTTTCAAGTTCAGTCTACGAGACTCAAACAGCTGAAAGGGTACAAACAAAAGGTAGAATTGTATTGTGACTTCGTAGTGTGTCATGAGAAAGCGTAGATGCAAAATATGTTACAGCTGCTCCTCCACCAGCACCTTGGGGGCACTAGCGAAAGAGTGAGTACCGCGACACGGCGTCCTGGCCCACCAGGGTTCGGTGAGTCCAACCGTTACGCGGTGCGCATTGTGTTGTTTGCGCGAGTGCGCTAAGGCGGCATGGGCAAAAGAGGCCGCCGCTGTACCTACGAGTGGCACCGCTATGCCTCGTGCGACTGCCCTTGCGGGTGATTGTCCTGCACTTGATGGACGCCAGACTTGGCGCTGAGCGTGCGCGTCAGGAGCCCGCGCGACGAGCCGGGGCCGTAGATGGTGCCGTAGCCCGCGGGGACGTGCGTAAGCAGGGAGTCCGTGTCGGAGTCGGACGCATTGTCCATTATCTCCTCGTACTCTTCCTCGCCGAACACGGCGTCCATCTCTTCGAGGGGGACGCCCTTGGTTTCGGGGTACACTGGAAAGGAGGTCAAAGATGTGAGGAAAAGAGAAAATGAGAGAAAAACGTACTGAAGTACACCAGCACGAAACTGCAGACACAGAAGAAGCCGTGCATCGGGTACAGTCGCCATTCGATGAGCTCTTGCAGGACAGGGGTGGCTTCACCAACGACAAAGTTGAAGAACCAGTTCGAGGCCGTCGAGAGCGAGACACCCTTGGCGCGGAAGGTGAGAGGCATGATCTGCATTGGCATGTCAGTGTGTGCACTTCGCGATCGACAACCGCTGGACGTACCTCGGGCGGGTACAGCCAAGGAATGGGGCCCCAGCTGTAGCCGAAAGCAGCGTTGAAGATGATAACGCAGGCAACGACGGCATTGGGGGTCATGGGAACGTCTATGTACATCCACCAGCCTGTCGCACCCAGAGCGAGGGCCATCTAAAGATCGAGTGAGTAAGTTGTGCCAGCACATAATGAATACCACCACGTACGATAACGGCACCAGAAAGCAGGATCGCACGGCGTCCCCAGCGGTCGACGAGAACCCACGGAGGAAGCGTACTCAAGACGTAGATGCAGGAGTTGATACCCGTCATGAGGATGGCCTCACGGCCAATCCAACCAGCTTCCTCGAAGACACGAGCTGCCAAGGATTAGGTATCTGGACAACAGGTGAGGAGCAGGAGACCTACGGGCGTAGTACGAGATGACTGAAGGGGGTCAGCATCAGGGGAGTACACAAAACGGAGGCGGCTGACCATTAATTCCGTTCAGCTGGGCAAACGCCTGAGAGGAGCAGGCGAGAATGACACGCCGGCGGTACTTCTTCCACATGACCCCGTAGCCGCGACCCTCGCCAGAGTTGCGCTGCAGACAAGTAAAAATCATCACCTTCGTTACCGTTGAAGATACGCACCTCCTCATCGACCTTCTCTCTAATTTCCTTGTACTCAGCGATCGCAATGACATCCTCCGGATCGCCACCATGCAGGTCCGCAAGCACACGCATGCCCTGGGCGTCATTATCCGTATCTACCAGCCATCTGCAACTGATCAGATGGAAGTGCGGGGTGCGAAGCTACGAAGCACGCACCTAGGGCTCTCGGGCATGATGAGTGAGCCCAAAGCAAGAATTGTGCCTATGACGCATTGCAACAAGAGGGGTACGCGCCAGGACAAGTCGGAGTTGATGAAGGAGCAGAAGTAGCCCACCCACTAAGGCGAGCCGTGAGCACCAGCCTGTTCATAAGAGGTAATCACGGGTGCGTACCACAGATACCGAGTATCCTATGATGTTGCCGGTGAACTCCATACACGCGAGGGCGCCGCGCTTGAAGGACGTCAGCTGACAGTCTTAGACGCCACCGCGTAACATACATGATCGGGCGGCGATATTTCACTTTGGTATATGGGCACAATAGTTCTGATGCGGGGAGAGGAGATGAGCAGCAGACGAGGGGGCTATGCAAGAGAACAACGCACGAGAGCAACCCGACACCGAAGCCGGAGATTACACGACCAACGATCATGACTGAGAACCCATTCGTAAAGGTCTGAACAGCGCCTCCAGCCGTGAAGACGACGGCGCCGATGAAGAGCGTGCCCTTGCGTCCTATGAGGTCGCCGACGCGCCCGGCGGCAAGTGAGGTGACTAGATACGGGGTGAGCGATGATGTAAGTGCACGAGGTACGCGCGCGACGTACTGAACGCGCCAATCTCCAAGACGGCGACCATGGTGCCCGTCTGGAAGGCGGTCGGTGTCTGGAAGTAGTTGCGGAAGTGCGGCTGGGTGATGATCCCGCTCATCACGCTGCAGGGGGAGGTTGTGAGCGCGACGCGGGGTGAAGGCGGGGTAGGTGCACACGTACCCTTGGTCATATCCAAACTACAGACACAGACGATGGGAAGCGCGATAGTGAGTAGGGGCGCGTGGAGTCGGTCATTGTTGCACGCACCAGGAAGACGCCGAGGGAGGCGAAGATGGAGATGGCATAGAGCAGCGGTTGGCCTGTGAGCTTGAGGTACTTGCTGGGCGGCGCGGCTTGCGGGACGTCGTCCGCCATGATGCATTACTCGGCGAGGATCTCACTCGCGGGGCCGTGATGGAGGTGGGAGGCAAAAGCAGGGACCTTGGAGCTCTCGTCGGCAACTCCTTGGCACATAACAAATCCCGGCCCGCTGACCCGGTTCTTGCTCTCCCCCGCCACCGCGCCAGCTTACGTCCACGGCGTGCAGCTTCTCTTGTACCCTCTGCTTGGGTTTTTGGGTGTAATTTCGAACGCTAGAATGGCCTCAGAGCTGGACTCCCTCGACGATCTCTCGGACACGTCGTCTGTGCGCTCGGACGACAGCTACCTCCAGGCGCTCATCGAGTGGGAGGAAAACCTCGACCAGCTCCGTGACATCTTCGGCATGGTCTTCCTCCCCTTACTCGGCCGCTATCTCGGTCGTAAATGGAGTTTCTGGGGTGCGTGCCTCGTGTTTCCCTACGCGTCGCGCCCCCAACTCACACAACCCCAGCATTCGACCGCTACAAGCGGCTCGGTTTGGGCAAGGCATTCCTTCTCGGCGCGTCATGAGGAGTAGAGATTATATTATATGTCGTAACGGTCCCCCTTCCGTGTCCCCACACCATCAGGTAAACCTACGCGCTGTCGTCTCTGGATACTTTTGACCACCTGCCGAACAGACGGCAGCACCTCTACGCGCTGCACCTGCATATATCGTATCAACTCGTCCCCAACGTCCCACCGCTCCCAGTGCGCGACCCCGGAGAGTATGAGATACCATGCGTCGGACGTAACGAGTTTGCGCGCGAGCATCTCGCGGAAATACATGACAGCATCCAAAAGGCTCTCCTCTTGCTCCAGGCAGGCTTTGATCAGGATGTGGTATGTGACGCGAGTGAGTTGCAGGCCGCGGGCGGCCATGCGGTGCATGATGTCGTCCCGTCGTCTTTGCCGCTCCTCCTCGTTCAACCAGTCGCCACGATGTAGCCCTGCCAAAATGGCCGTATACGTGACGACGCTCGGCGCGAGGCCGGGCGTCGTCTCCATCAGGTGCAGCAACCTGTAAGCGGCTTCCAAGTTCGCCTCCGAGCCCTCCCTCAGCTGTCGGGTGATGAGGCTGGTGTACATGTGTGCCGACGGCTTCAGGTTCAGCGAAGTCATGATGCCATGCACCAGGTCCGCCGCGTCTTTGCGCCCGACGCGAGTCAAGGCAGTGAGGATCGAAGTATACGTGAACTCGTCCCCGTAGAGCCCCGCTCCCCTCATAGCCTGGATGGTGTTGGACACTCCCGTCATGTCTTCCCGCCGGGCATAGTACGCGAGGAATGTGTTGAAGGTGACCTGGTCAGGTTTGATACCCAGTTGAACCATGTCCTTGAACACGTCGCTGGCTACGTTAGGCGAACGCGACAACAGCAGCTCGTGCAGCATCGTGTTGAAGACGGTAATGGCGTGTTCTGGGGGAGCTTTCGGCAGCTGGGTGCGCTTGAACTCCTCATACCGCTCCAGGGCCTCCTGCAATCGCCCCGCCTTCATCAACCCATCGACGAGTGCGCGATACCCCAGCGCGTCGGGCTGCAGTTTGGCCTGGACGATGGTATTCCAGAGCTGCGTGAGATCGTCGACCGCGCCTGTGTCCGCATACGTGTCGAGCATCGCAGTGTACACGAACAACCCGGGGCGCATGCCGAGGGAAAGCATGTTCTGCCAGACACCCTGCGCCAGATCCTTCCTGCCACATCGAAGGAATGTGGTGACGAAGGAGGTCCAGAGATATTCTGTCATAGCGACTGGCCTGAGCTCGCTTATCAAGCTCTCGTCGCTGGCGATGAAGGCGTCCGGACCCGACATGCCCTCGACGATCTTGTCGTATAGGGCCTGAACCTGCTTGTAGCCCTTCGTCCTAGTGAAGCTCATTAACCGTCCAGCCATGTTTTGGGGATGCTTGATCAAGCGAGCAGCGTCGAGATTGAGCAGGACTTCGCGCATTTGGACAGATCTGGAGTTGTCGACAGTAGTTTGAAGGAAGGTGTTTACACTTTGGCGGGGGATGGAGGAGGGGTAGTTGACGTAGAGGCGGAGAGCAGCATGGAAGTCGCCGAGCATGATGTGCGCCGTCACGGCGAAGAGGAGGAACTGAACGCGATCGAAGGTAGCGGGATCCAAGGAGACACCGGCAAGGTCGACTCCATTGTGGTCCTTCAACTCCTCTCCTTCGTCCTCCAGCTGCTCGACAGGTTTGTTTGCTGCAGTTGCCGCTAGATACTGCTCGTAAACCTCTAGGATGAGTTGCGGCTGGTTGTCGCGCACGGCGTACTGCATGTAGGCCCTGAGCGCGTCCGGCGCGCCACCCGCCGCGGCGATCACAGCGACCTCCTTGAAGAGGTCGTGCCGTCGTTGTGGTTGCAAGCGCTTGGCAGTCATGTTCGTCTGGTGCATGACCAGGTACTTCGACAGTTGGTGCAGCTGTGAAGGACCAAGGTAATGAACGAGGTCATGCTCCTGCAGCTGCCGCCAGTGCTGCTCGGCGCGCTCATAGTCGTACTGCTTCAGCGCGGAGCGCATATTGGCGAGTGCATCGTTGAAGACATTTGCCTTCGCGGGGGTCGCATCGCGGGTGACTTCGTGTGACCTTGCGATGTTCTGGCGGACGCGCGAGAAGAGGTTCTTGCTCGAGGGAGACGCGAGCTCGGCGGGCGGGGCGGGGGGCGGCCCCGTGCGCGTCCTCGGGGCAATAAACGCTGCGACGGTGCTTTTCTGGCGCGCGAGGTGTGCGGGAGAGACGGCGGCCCTGGCGCGCGAGCACGGGAGCATGGGCGCGGATGAGATGAGCTGCTCGGTCAAGCGGGATGGAATGAAGTCGGCGATCGGGACCGGGCCGGAAGCCGCGCCTTGTCCTCCGCACTCATGGGTCACGGAAACTCGAACAAGCTCTACATCACCCACCAGGAGCACGCGGGCTTCTTCGGCAACCACTCGTCCTCGACAGGATACAAGAAGTGCGTGACTTGCTGAAGATGGTGGACAAAGCTGACCGAAATGCAGAAAGTCCGAAGCACCACACCCTGGGACGCGCACTCCCTTCGACTGTTGCGCGCTTTCCTTCCAACCTTTCTCGCATCCCGTATGCGCGAGGAATGCAGATGGGACGGGGACTGTCTTTGATTTGACCAACATCATCCCATGGCTCAAGTACGTCGCAATTCGTCTGTTCAAGGCCGACTTGTTGACATCACTGTAGGCAGCACAATAACACCCACCCCATCACTAAAGAACCCCTCACACCCGCTGATCTCATTCCCTTGCACTATGCGCACAAGGAGTCATCTGGCGAAACTATCGACCCCATATCCTACAAGCCCTTCAGCGAGCACTCGCACATTGTCGCAATTGCCACCACTGGCAATGTCTTTCTGGCAGACAGCATCAAGGGGAATAGGGATCTGGTGAACGACGTACCGTTCAAGAAGTAGGCCCATCCATCTATTGTCTACCTTCCGTGCTGACAGCTTGCCAGGCAGGACGTTATCACATTGCAGAACCCTCATGGATTGCCTCCTGCTTCGGTCCCCACTACAGCTGCGTCGACGTCGAAGACCGATGACAAAACCAAGGATGAGAAGGCTGTCACGAAGCCAGCGACCTCTGGGCCCGTAGCTGCGCTCAAAAAAGAGAAGGATCCTTGGAACGTTTCGCCTTACTCCAGCGGCGCGCCTGGCGCGTCCCTTACCTCTACCTCCGTCGACCCGCAAACGCAATCTTCAAAATTGCTGTGGGATGAGGAAGAGCTGATGTTCGAGGACTTCCACAATTCGGCGAAGGGCAAGGGTAAGGAGAAGGACGTTGGCAAGCGGCGCGCGTATGTGCGCGTGGTGACGAGCTTGGGTGGTGGCAGTCTGAACTTGGAGCTTTATTGTGAGAAGGTACATCCAGCGCTTTCCTGCTATGTAATGAGGTTGATCCAGGATCATCAGGCGCCGAAGACTTGCTACAACTTCTTGCAACTTGCGAAGGCTGGCAAATACAATGATGTCTTGTTCCACAGATTGGTGCCCGGATTCATGGCAAGTCTTGCCTCGACACGCGTCGTAAATGGCTGACTCAATACCGACAGATCCAAACTGGTGACCCAACTGGAACCGGCAGTGGTGGCGAGTCCTATTGGGGAACGCCCTTTCGTGACGAGTACGACCTCAAGGGCGCCGCGCGGCATGACAGCCGAGGTACCCTAGCTATGGCCAACCGCGGGAAGGACACGAATGGGTGAGCCCCTCTCGTAGACTCGTATATTCCTCGCACTGACCCGTCTTCCAGCTCCCAATGGTATATCACCTTCCGCGCCACACAACACCTCGACCACAAGCACACCGTGTTCGGCAAGCTCGTCGGTGGCGAGGATGTGCTCGACGCTCTCGAGAAGGTGCCCGTAAAGCCTGGTACGGATAGGCCAGCGCGAAGTATTCATATTAAGGAGGTTATCATGTGCGTTCGCCCTCTGCGTCGTCGTCGACTCTTCTTACTGACACCTCTCTAGCTACCAAGACCCCTTCGAAGAATACCGCACCCGCCTCGCGCGCAAACTCGCCAAGCGCGAGCAGCAACAGAACACCGGTGCCGGTGCCGACGCGCAGAAGCGCAAAGAGGCCGGCGACGATATCAACTGGTTCGGCGTGAAGGTCGGCGCAGGGCAGGGTGGGATAGGGAGCGGTGGTGGCGGGGGTGGGGTGGGGAAGTATCTGAATCTAGCAGGGGCTGGCGGTGGAGCGCCGAAGAGGTCCGCGCCAGCAGCGGCAGATGAGGACGCGAAGAAGAAGCGGAAGGTTGGGTTTGGGAACTTCGAGGCGTGGTAGATGTGTGGGGAGACGATGTCCGTACCCTCAGACTGGACACTACGAGAACGATGATGATATGGTCCAGACGTGTATACCGATACCGAGTCCGGTCATGAATACAGAAAATGGGCGAGAAACATCTCTAGCCAGGCACAGCAACCCTTGCCCGCTGCTGCTGCTGCTCCTCTTCGGCGGCTACGACACTCGCATAAGCTCGAATCTCGTTGACCTCTGGCAAAACACCTCACCTTCGACCTCTTCGGGCGCGTGCACGGGCTCCTCTGTAGGCGCAGACGGAAGACTGACTTCCTTCTGAGGCTGCGTTTCCCGAATTGCCTGTTCCTGCAGCTCCCGGAGCTCGTTCTGTACAGCGTCCTCGTCCTCGGCAGTAAGATTATTAGCGAGCATGTCGCTGATTTCCTGAAAGGGTGTCAGCCTCTGATGCGATGGGAGCTCGTTGCGAAGGAGTTGAGGCGTCCCGAAAGATACATATTCGTCCTGAGGGAATGATAAACGAACCTGCTGATACGCGCGCGCCTCCGCCGTTTCGTCGAGCAGTTTCTCCACGCTCTCAATGTTCATCTCCTTGTGTATCTCCTTCAGGACCTCATTTCCTTGCTTCAACCCGTGCAGCACCGAAACCTCGACGAGTGAGAACTCGATGGTCGATACCTGTGGCGCGCAAGCGTGTAAGTTAGCACGTACAGCACCTTAACTGCACCGAGGGTCAATTGAACGCAAAGCGAGTACATACCAGCTGCTCGAGATTCTCTAGCTGACCGTCCGTCTTGACGAGGAGGCTTTCCTGATACTTCCGTCTTCGGAGAGCAATGATGGCACGGTCCTTCTGGCCGTTTGCCAGGTGGGTCTTCGCGATGGCATGTTCGCGGTCTAGAATGGTTTGGATCTGTCCTGACAGTCTCTTCAGCAATACATCCATCTATGGGGATGGGCAAAAACATGCCTTCTTCTGATACTGCCTGAGCTTGTCACGCTGCAACTTCAGACTTGTCTCGTGTAAGCGAGCGCAACAGAGCCATCACAGCGACATGCTTACTCAAGTATAGCCTTATCCTGGGCTGTTATCTTCGGTACAGATTGGTTTCCGCCCATCCTCGCCTGTCCTCGAGCATGAACTGCTCAAGTGCGATGGTGGCGTGTAGAGAGGGGTGTTGCGGTCCGGAGTGCCGGCATGACGACGGCATTCATGACCTTCTAAATGGAGGCAACCCACAACGTTTTGCTAATTCCCGATAGGCCCTCCATTCCATTGATTCATACAGTCGTTTTCGTTGCGTTCGGTTCGCAAGTGTAGCAGTTTTCTGCCTTAAGTAACTGATAAATATAGTAGGTGGTACAGTAATTAGCAAGGGAGTGCCTGGACGGTAGAGATCGCACAGGGAACAGAGGTGGCATCGTTATGCTACAGCCAGTGTCGCTTCTAGAGCCCGATAGTTACGCAAAATACAAAGGAACGGAGTGAGTGCGGTCATGGCGTATGGTGGCATCATATCCAATAGGACGACCGCTTTGAATCTGCCCTACTGGGCGGATCTGCGGCTTGTCAGCTTCATGTACACATCGCCCAAGAAGAATCAACGCACAATCAGGCTTCGCGAATGTTACTTCATAGAAGTCATCCAGGTTTCGTTGTTGCCCGTGCATGGCAATAGGCTCTGGAAGTGGAGGTAATGGCGGAGCATCTTTCATCTGGAACGGATAGTCCGACGTCGGGAACTGGGAGAAGCGACCGCCGTAGGTGCCGGTCTGCGAGTATACGGAGGCAACGGTGTCGGTCATGGGATTGTTTGTCATTCCAGGGGAGGCGAAAGAGCTCTTTGTCCTTAATCTTGACTTGATGACATGCGAGGGATATGGGATGATTCCGCGTCTTGTGAAGCCGAAGAGAATGACGTTCAGGAAGCCGGACAACGAGAAGAGGAAGGAAGCGAAGCTACGAGGGGGTCAGCGATTGGTCTCCCGAGAATCTTGAGAGCATAAACTCACATCGTAGCGCCCGCGGGGACTGCAATTTTCCCGAAAGATATCCAACGCACGATAGCTATAGGAAATACCGTGATCGTATACACTGCAGGGTAGCTTCGCAGTGTTAGCGAGCAGTGCTGACGATGGATTCTTGGGACTCACAACATCATTTGCAGAGCCATCTGGTTCATGCGCCGCCTGTTTGTGCGGTCTTGCTGGTAGAGCCTCTGCACCGGTGGATCTCTGCTGGCGCCGAACAGCGATCTCACGTTGTAGCCTGTCATCCTGTTAGGCATATGTATCGTCGTGAGTCACGGGCGCGCGTACCCTTGACCGTCGCCGCAATGCATGCATAGCACATCAGGCTGACGAACATGGCCATATACAGCCAAACGTATTCGAGCCCTACGCGCTGGGCGTCGTACTCATCTCGGATCCAGCACCCTGTCATCAGTCTGTGTCAGTCTGTCCGTCCAAGAAGGGGGCGAGGCACGCACAGTATCCCGTATTGCCGTAGTAGTGTCCCGAATGGATGCTGGCGGGGACTGCGATGAACAGGATGGCAAGCGTCCACATGAATATGATGACGAAGGGTGCGACTATCGGAGGGAAGGAGAATTTCCAGACGATATTTAGGAACGTGTGAATGGCGATGGCCTGTTGAAAAGAGCGTAAGGGACAAGAATCGCTAGAATCCCGAAGCGCGGCTTACCATAGAACTGTGGACGGGCGAAGCTGGTACTGAGCTAAGGCGCAGAGATGGCGGAAAGAATACTTACGTGAAGGCTACGACTATGAAAAATGAGCTTTCCATCAAAGTCGATAAGGGTGTACCACCTACCGACGTCGCCAAGTTGCTTGAGCACGCCCTGCACATTGCAGGACATTCCTTCAAGCACCCTCTGAAGGGTGCGTCAGCGGGTTAGCCTATTAGTGCGACGTGCTTTCCCTCACATGTTCCCGTACCCATTCTGCTGTCATCATGCCACCTTGAGAATGTATGGTCAACCTCCTCGGCCCTCGCGGCCCAGAGACCATCACGACGCACCTAGAGCTTGGACGAATTCCGCCGCCATCAAGTTGAGGAAATAATAATGAGTGTGACCAGAGAGTGAATATGCCTGCCGAGACATCGAATACTGGAATAGACCCGTCAGTGATTCTGATTCTCCCCCGCCTGATTCGCAAGACCACCCACGAGAAGGTAAACCAAAACAGCCGCTACAGACACAGCAGAAAGCGTCCCCGCAATCACTACGAACACCAGACCCGCAATCTCCCCGGACGAGAAATCGGGACTCGCAGCGGACGATTCCATTGGAATGAAGGTCGCGCGGAGGGACGGACTGGCATGCACGACGCTCCAAAGCGAGGGCGTGCCTCTTTATGCTGGAGCGCGCCGCATCATGCTCATACACGCTCGAGCTCGCAGCGCAGTCCGCCAGGGCCGGAACACGCGCTGAAACGCAGCGACTGGGGAACAAACAAATGTTGCTGGATTCGGCGCCCAGTCAAAGGAGTGGAGGGCGGCGCGCGCATGCGGTGCGAACTGACAGCTACATCTCCTCGGGCTTCGCGAGACGATGATCATCGGTACGGTGAAGAGCAGTGGGGGGCGACGCGAGGAAGTTTACGCGTGCGATTGCGTACATCCGCCTTGCAGACGGAACAGTAGCAACGAGCTGATTGTAACCCTTGTCATCGTCGCAGTTGTTGCAGGGCGTGGCGCGCGCGTCCAAAGGGACCGCCACCGGGGCTATAGAGGCAACGCCGAGTCGCCGTATCGGCGACAATTGCGGCGCTCAAGGGCGTATTAGTGACGGCGCGCGAGAGCGTATCGGCGACAGAAATAGTCATCAAGGAACGAAGGCGAGTGCAGCACGCGAAGGTGAATGCAGCATGATTGTTGGTGGCTGCGCCTCCTGGAAACTGTTTGACGGGCGGGTATAGGCAAGGGGGATTGATAGAGGCTTGATGTCGGCGCCGATCTTTACTTGAAGAAGCCCGAGACGGTCTTCGAGAAGCCCGAGCCGCCGGCGATAGCAGTGTGGGTGCCACAAGCGTGCGAGCTCTCGAAGTCAAGCCAAGGGTTAATCCCGTCCTCCCGTCATTCTCCTGTTGGCGAGACCGCAAGCACCCAAAGAAATCGCGAGCACCCAAAGACCTAGGACCTACAATCGACAGAGATTACAGAGTACACGTAGATACGCACGTCGCTTTCCTTCCATCCCATTAATGATAAGTTACTCCTTCAGGCGGCGCGCCATAAGGTATGCGCCGCCTATTCTCGACGCCATTGCGAGTCCAGCTCCGCTTGCTTCATGCTTGGTGGGGCTACGAGGGGTGTATTAGTATACCGCATTAACTTCCGTGTCGAGAATTGGGTACGCACTATCCTCCCAGAAATGCCCTGGGTACGAGACGACCTTGACTTGGGGGGCATCGCGCGAGTCAAGGATATCATTCGGCACGGCAGGCGTGACCAAATTCGGGGGATAAGCCATATCCTTGAAATGCACAGTCGTCGGCGAGCGCAAATCAGCAGCCATCGACGTATGATGCATGTGGTAAGAGGTCGAGCCCGACCGCGAGCCGCTGACCGTAGTCGGCTTGTTCCCGGTGATGATGGATCGTCGCGTCCAGGCGTAGAGGAGGACATTGAATAGCCCCGATAGCGCGAATAGCGTATCTGCAAAAGCCTGTCACGAAGTTAGATTAGGACTATTCAATTGTTGGCGAGACGCGCCCACGCACCGTGGCCTCGAACGGGATGTCGTAGCCCGAGAATGCCATCCAGCGTACAACAGCGATAGGGAATACAGTGATGAAATATATTACAGGATAACTGGGAGTATCGTCAGTTTAGGACGACACGAGGAGCGGCAGAAGCCCGACGTACAAGAGCATCTGCATGGCCAAGTTCTTGGCTTTCCGCTGGCTGCCGCGGTCCATCGTGGACATGCTGAATCGCCTCCCTTGCGCAAACTTCGCCATACCCAGATCGTGGCCTTCGGACCATATGAGACAGAACAAACGAACGATATGGAAGATCACTAACCTCGTAGGACGAACGCCACGCACGCGTAGCAGATAATACTGATAAACGCTGCCGCCCACATCCACATGTATTCTAGCGGGATGCGCAGGTGGTCGAAGTCTTGTTGGATCCAGCACCCTGTGAAAGCGCCGTTAGGAGATGAATACCATGCACGCGCGACATGGCGCTTACAGTATCCCGTGTTCCCGTAATACCGCCCGGCATTCAGTCCTGCGGGTACGGCCACCACGAGAATGGAGAAGACCCAGATGAAGCCCATGGTGGCGACAGCAAGGCTGCGGGGTGTAATGATCTTGAAGACGATGGCGGCGAATGTATGGATGGCTATGGCCTATGGGGCGTCAGTCTTCTGGACGCGGCTCCTTGCTTGTCAACGTACGATGGATCTGTCAAGAACGACTTTCAGTTAACCCGTAGCAGAGCGCCGTAGACGTCGCTTACGTGAGCGCAACAGCTAGGAGGTATACGTCAGGATGAGATGGAAACGCAGGTAAGAGGGCGACGTACAGACATCCCCGAGCTGCTTGAAAGCCCCTTGCATCGTACAAAGGGCGCCTTCTTCTACGCTCTGGAAGGGAGTCAGCGCAGGTTCAATAGGAAGAAATCGCCACGCACCCGTCTAACAATCCATTCGACAGTCATGACGCCTCCTACAACAGCGTTTGAGTTGCCGTCGAGATGAGAGGGCTCATTGAACATACCCAACGCCTGAATGAGCTCCGCAAACATCAAGTTCACGAAGTAGTAATGGATGAGGGTGGAGATGGACCATTGGTGGCGTAAACCCAGGTACTACGTGTCGTGTATGAGTGGTAGACGCGCAAGATGGGAGGTCGTACTCACAAGAACGTACAGGAGAAGCGAAGACACAGCGGTTATAGACAGGAATCCACCAGCCGTTATGAAGACCAAGCCAACCACCTGGTCGGTGGAAAACGCCGGCATGGAGTCGGGGAGGGAAGAGGTCGCAGGGGGGAGCGCCATCCCGACGGTGACGGTACTTGTAAGAGCCTGGGTTGAATAGGCGCCCAGGGGTTATCGGGTGGAGTGGACCCGCCACACGCTGTGGGACTCGACCCCATGGTATATGAACGTTGATAAGAGTTGATGTCGGCGGGAGCTCGCAGACCCCTATAGGCAAGAGATCCAGCCGAACTTGGCAGAGTCGGCCGAGGCTGATAGCATGGAGACCGCACCTTTACGGCATATGGTGAGGCCGTTTCGAGATGACAGTACGGTAAATCCTCCGTATTTGGAACAATCGACGGCTGCTTGCGAGGAGTACGACTTGGCGCGAGCGTCTGGCAAGGCGGCACACTGGGATCTCACGCAGAACACATGCGAGGGTATACTGGGGATTAGAATGAAAAGTTTACCACCGACGGCAGAGCGAGTTCTGCTGACCGCCTGAACTGGACTGGTACAAATCTTACCACGGTAGTAGCGAGCGAATACTGAATAAGTCATTGACGATATGCACTCCAGGGTCTTCGAGGATTGCAAGGCACCCGGCGCACGCCTCCCATTGGCCGCATGTCGCCAAACGAGGAGAGGCATGGAGGGAAACGACAAGGCACTCGGACGCAAACAATAGTCACGCAGCAGGCACGGTCCGGACTCCCGTATCTTATCCCCCACGTGCCGCGTCGTCAGGCGCGCGTCTGCCGCCGGCACGGGCGCCCTCCTGTCACCGAACACCAACGCACTCGACGATGGTCAGCGTTCTGGAATTCTCGGACGTGCTCAGGTGCTCACCCTCGCCCCCCTCAGGACAACTTTGTGAACCTCGCCAAGCAGGGCATTGACGCGTACCAGCGCTCGCAGTGTGGGTGGCGCGGGTCTTCCTTCCGTCTTGCGAGATCGGTGCTGATCTGCGGCGTGTGCAGCCGATGTGAGCAAGACGGGCGGCCAGGAGCTGAACCGACCCACGTCCGAGAACAGGACCCATAGCAGCAGCGGCTACGACTGTGCGTGTGTGTTCAGTGCGCTCTGAGATTATCACTGATCGTCATCGTAGTTGATGATGACGATGTCGTTCGCAAGGCTAGCACCCAAAGCTCTGGTGAGAGCTCCCTCTTCAGCACCGCGCTGAGCTTCATCAACAACAACAAGGTGAGTATCTCGCACTAACCGCGCCTATATGCCCTCACTGGTCATCAAGAGCAAGCACGAAGAACCCATCGATGAGGAGGATGTCACCAGGACCCACAAGAAGGTCTACGACGACGACGATGCCAGCGGTGTCAACGCGAAGTCGCTGGGCAGTGCTGCCGCCCTCCAGGTATGGCACATCGTACCTCTCTGTCGTGCAGCGGACAGCGCGCTCACTCCATCGCAGGTCTTCAAGCAGTTCGTGGGTGGAGGCAAGAGCTCGAGCGCGAGCACCACCAGCTCTGGCGGCAAGAGCTCCCAGTCCGAGCTCATCGCCGCCGCCATGAGCGAGGCCGCCAAGCTCTTCGACAAGAAGGGCGCGTCGGCGTCGGGTGACAAGCAGGACGCCGTCAACGGCGCTGCCATGACGGTCGTAAAGCTGCTCGTGCAGAGCAAGCTCAGTGGAGGTGGAAGCTCGACCACCGTTGGTGGGAGCAACTCGGGCGGCCTGGGCCAGCTCCTGAGCTTGGTGCGTAGCTCATCCTCCTAAGGACATTCACGCGCTCATTGCTCTTTCCAGGCGACCCAGTTCGCCAAGTAGATCCACGAGTTTGGGGACGATGCAGAGATCTGGAAGTATAATCATGTATGTATCAATCGAAAGAACAATGCGCAACCATATCACGCAAGCCCGTCCACATCCTCGCAGACAATGCACAGGACGACTCTGCCTTCAAAGCTTCAATCTTCAGTAGAAATACAACGCCGAGAGATCAGCGACGGGGGCAAAAGCGAAGCTCCTGTGAACTTGAACGGGGAAGGCATCGCGTCTTGTATAAAGAGCAACCGGGAAGATGACCTGAGGGCAAGCGAAGGACATACTGCTCCAGTCTGACCGATGATCCAATCACGGAGGCGATAGATAGCGACCGAAGGGCAAGAGCTCATTGGCAGCCACCAGAGATGACGCTGCAACGCGTGTTAGGACGCAGACATACCTTGCAGCTTGCAGGCAGGTCGTTCTAATGTTTTGATGCTCGGCAGACGTCGGAAGGGTAGGCTCCCCGCAAGGTCATCAGACGCGGTCCAGACTATGTCTCGACCAAAACTTGTTGATTGCAAGATGAAAATGTCTACTCCTCCTCAAGGTTCTTCTGCACCTGGGGGCGGGGTCAGGAAGTGGATGGATGGTTGAAATATGTATGCTTGCCTCCGGGTTGAAGAAAAGAGAGTTCTTGCCCCAAGGGTAGGGCTTGCGGCGCATGTTAAGGTACTCGTACTCGGGAGGCTGGGGAAGGACGCCGTCGTTCTCGTGGCGGAGGTGCTCAAGATGAGCTAGGTGGTCCGTCTCCTTCTTGTAGACGTAGGCGCCGCAGACGAGCACTGGCGAGGGGGTTATGATGGATTGCGGGGCGTCTTTGCCTTCACTCACTGGCAGGAATGCAGACGTAGAAGCTAGCTTATGATCAGCACTGTAGTTCCACAAGAATGGTTGAGTTCACACACCTGACCTTGCGCCACAGGTCGGTCGTCTCTGTAGAGCGTGTAAGGAAGCGGGCATATAACGATCCTATTATCTCGTACCGGCGGCGTGCTGCTCGACGGCCTTCTGGCGGGCAACGAACTGCTCGGCAGCTTCGGGGTTGGGAGTAAGGTAGCCACGGCGGCCCATCGGGCGCGCCGCGCGGAGGGAGGAGCGGGCGACGTTGCGCGCGAGGAGCGACATGGGTGCAGTTTACAAGTTCGGGGACGTGCGGAAAACCAGAAATGGGTTCGGCGTTGGCCGAGACCCGCGCGTGGGGCACAGCCACAGCGTTACGCGTCCTTCGAGTGCGCATCAGGCCGCGTCTGCCTTGTATTGTACTCCCGCTATGGTCGCCCGCCCCCAGTCCTCTGCGGCCGGCACGCTCGCGCTGCTCAATGAGCCTGACCCAGTCTTCAAAGAGCATGCGCTCAAGGTGCTCAACACGCTTGTCCCGCAATTCTGGGCGGAAATATCAGAGCAGATCACTACAATGTGCGTGCTGACGCGTCGTGTCGCGTTTACGAACACTTACACCCCCTTTAGAGAGTCCCTCTATGAAGGCGATGAGATCTCTGCAAGTGCAAAGAATGTGGCGGCATTAGTCGCGAGCAAGGTCTACTACTTCCTCGGGGAATACGAGGAGGCGCTCTTCTTTGCACTCGGCGCGGGCAACGCGTTCGAGCAGGAGACTGCTGTCCCCGGCTCGGAGGAATACGTGGAAACCGTCGTCTGTGAGTGCACATTCTTTAGGTGCCACAAATCGCGTCTGACAGGCCGACAGCAAAGGCGATTGACCAGTACATCTCGATGAGGTCAGAGGACACTGGCAGCAAGATCGACCCGCGTCTACAGAACATCATTGAGGGTATCTTCTCTCGCTGCATCCGTGATGGGGAATACAAGCAGGTGCGCCGATCTCAGCATACGCGCGTTCACGCATCATCTCACCTACTTCCCAGGCTATTGGAATCGCACTTGAGGCGCACCGTCTGGACATCGTCTCCCAGATATATGATCAGACCAACGACCCATCCCTCCTCTCCTACGCCATGGAGGCCGTTGTTGACACGGCCTTCTCCCTCTCGTACCGTGACGAGGTTCTCAACTTCCTCTTCCCTCTATTCCCGCGACCAAAGTCTGGCGAGGCTTCTCCCTACGCGCACGCGTTGACGCGTCTCCTCATCACGCTCAGCAACTCGTCATTGACGGTCTACTTCCTTACCTCCCTTATTCCCAACGAGAAGCTCCTTGCATACCAGTTCGCATTCGACCTTGTGGAGAGCGGTGCGCAGGACTTCTTGGCTGCTATCCGGCGAGAGCTTCCTGAAGGCGATGAGGTATGTCATACTACTTGCCGTGGATCATGTACTGACTCGCGTTAGACCACGAAGGACATCTACGATAAGCTTCGTATGATCCTGACTGGGGAGGAGTCCGTGAAGCTCTACCTCGAGTTCCTGAAGAAGAACAACAAGGTCGACCTTCTCATCCTGAAGAACACCAAGGTAACGTATATGACTTCCCTGCCGAAAACAATCGCTGACACTGCCTCAGGAAGTCTTGGAAGCTCGCTCGTCCGTCTACCACACCGCCCTCACCTTCCAGAACGCATTCATGCACTCTGGCACGACATCCGACATCTTCTTGCGCGAAAACCTGGAGTGGCTTGGTGTGGCGACGAACTGGGCCAAGTTCACTGCGACCGCTGCCCTCGGTGTCATCCATAAGGGCTACTTCGAGCAGGGCATGACCATCCTCGGACCTTACCTTCCCCAAGAAGGTGGCGAAAGCACAATACAGGGCGCCGCTTACTCTGAGGGCGGTTCCCTATACGCTCTTGGCCTGATCAGCGCGGGGTGTGGTTCCGGCGTTGTGGGCTACCTACGGGACGCTCTCAAGGCTGCGCAAGGCGAGGTCGTCCAGCACGGTGCCGCACTCGGTCTTGGCGTTGCGGCTATGGGATCTAACAGCATGGACGCTTTCGAGGACCTGAAGAACGTTTTGTTCATGGACTCCGCTGTCGCCGGTGAGGCTGCCGGCTTTGCTATGGGCTTGGTCATGCTTGGTACGGCCGCGGAAGACCCGGTCAACGAGATGTTGGTCTACGCTCGCGAGACTCAGCATGAGAAGATCATCCGCTCACTAGCTATCGGTGTTGCCTTCATCTACTACGGCCAGCAGGAGAAGGCGGACGAGACCGTCAAGACGCTGCTGAAGGACAAGGTAAGGCTCTCGCCTATGACGTTCTGTACATCTGTCTGAACATCCGTAGGATCCCCTTCTCCGTTACGGTGGTGTCTACACTCTTGCCCTTGCTTACGCCGGTACCTCTAATAACAGCGCCGTTCGCCAACTGCTGCACATCGCCGTCTCCGACACGTCTGATGACGTCCGGAGAGCAGCGGTCACTGCGCTCGCGTTCTTGCTGTTCAAGAACCCGGGTCAGGTGCCGCGCATCGTGCAGTTATTGAGCGAGAGCTACAACCCGCACGTCCGTTGTGGTGCCACTCTTGCCCTCGGCCTTGCTTGCGCTGGTACTGGTCTTCAGGTACGCGTTCCTTGACAAAGGTTTCTGACTTTGCCTTGACCTTTGTCTTAGGACGCTGTCGAGATTCTCGAGCCCATGACGAAGGATGGCGTTGACTTCGTTCGCCAGGGTGCTTTCATCGCTCTCGGTATGATCCTCGTGCAGCAGTCGGAAGCCTCGTCGCCATCAATGGCCTCGACACGCGTTCTGTACACCAAGGTCGTCTCCGACAAGCACGAGGACCCGATGGCTCGCTTCGGTGCCGCCATCGGGCAGGGCTTCGTCGACGCCGGTGGCCGCAACGTCACGATCAGCTTGCAAAGCCGTGCGGGCGGGCGGAATACCAGCGCCATCGTTGGCATGGTGTTGTTCTGCCAGTTCTGGTACTGGTACCCTTTGGCACACTGCGCTTGCTTGGCTTTCGAGCCTACCGGCATCATTGGTCTGGATGGCGACTTGAAGGTATGTTCATCATTTTTCTGCGGAGAATACTGCAAGCTCAACGATTGAAGGTGCCTAAATTTGAGTTCATCTCAGACGCACGCCCGAGCCTCTTCGCATACCCGCCAGCAACGAAGCCGCCCAAGAAGGAGACTGTCACGAAAGTTGCGACCGCGGTCTTGTCGACGACGGCGAAGGCGAAGGCCAGGGAAAAGAAGAAGGCTGCTGAGGGCGAGGGCATGGACTTGGTTAGTGGTTGACACTTCCTAATAGAATAATCACTAACAAGTACACTCAGGACGAAAAGAAGGAGGGCGATGGCGACGTCGAGATGAAGCCAGAAGAAGAGGCCAAGCCCTCCACTTCCTCGACACCAAAACGCAAGGAACCGTCGTCCGAATCGTTGCCTAACTTCTCTCGCGTCACCCCCGCGCAGCTCGCCTACATCAAGTTCCCGCCCGATGGTCGTTACCAGCCCGTCCGCCCAGTGTCGATCAAGCCCCCGCCACCGCCCGCGTCGAAAAATGCGCGGAGCAAGGCGCAGGCAGCGGCGATGGGGCTGACGACGGAGGCCTACATCGGCGGCGCTGGTATACTTATCATGGACGACCGGCGACCTGGGGAGCCTGCTGAATTCGTCGAGTTCGAGGCGGTGAACTTGGCGGGGCCGCCGACGGAGGCAGCACCGGAAGCGCCAGCAGCAGGAGCTACGCACGGTGCGGGTCGGCATATTGCGTTGGACGATGGGCCGGAGGCTGAGCCGCCTGCGCCATTTGAGGTATGAGATTCCCCGACTGCAACGCAAGGTGTAGGCTGACAATCGCCTCTAGTATCCCTTCGACAACGACACGTAGATGATGGACCTTGTATTGCAACTTTACTTAATCAAATGTTCTCTAGCGACTCCTTTTTTGGCGTGAGTTCGAAGTGCTATGCCACCTGCAGACTTGCTGGAGAGACCTTCAAGTCAGCGAACCGTGATGCGTGACCAGACATCTCACTTTTTCTTCGCAAGTTATGTGTTCGGGCAGCGGGCCTGCTGAGCATGCCGGTAAAGTCAAGTCGTGAGGAACAGCCATCCACGAATTCGCCCATTCTCCAGGCTGTAAGCCTGACTCAAATATCGCGAGCAATCGTGCTGAATCGCGTCATCAGTGATTTACCCATCTCGGGATTCACCTTGACCTAAACTGTGACCAAGATGGCGGCACCTCAGCAGCGCGTACCCGTTGCCATCCTCGACGACTATCAGAACGTTGCTTTGAGCCTCGCAGACTGGTCACTCCTCGATGGCAAGGTAGACATCACCGTATACAATGATACCCTCCACGACGAGGACGCGCTGGTTGAGCGGCTGGCCAAGTACGAGATTATCTGCGCCATGCGCGAGCGGACGAAGTTCAATAGGTCTCTGATTGACCGGTTGCCGAAGCTGAAGTACGTCCTTATTCATGGTTGATACACTCGACGTTTCGAGATCTTATCGCGACTGATTAGGGCTTTGACTGACCTATTCTTTGCAGACTCATCGCCACGACGGGGTCAAGGAACCGTGGCATCGACACTGTGTATGCTGCGGAGAAGGGTATCGTGGTGTCCGGCACGAACAACAAGGGCGCTTCGACGGTCGAGCATATTTGGGCTCTCATTCTCTCGGCCGCCAGGGAGATCCCGAGGGAACACAACAGCATACGCTCGGCGAATCCTCAATGGCAGACCACGGTCCCTTTTGGACTGTATGGGAAGACGCTGGGTCTGGTGGGCCTGGGACGGCTTGGATCACGAGTAGCAGAGGTGAGAACCTCTCGCACTTTTGTGTCGTTGCATGCTCACACAAAGCCTAAATAGATTGCCAGGGTATTCGGCATGCGCGTGCAGGCATGGTCGCCACATCTGACGGAAGATCGCGCTCACGAACTCGGCGTTGACTTCGCAAACACAAAGCACGACCTGTTCAGCTCGAGCGACATCGTGTCCGTGCATATGGTCCTTTCGGACGATACGCGCGGACTGATCACGGCGGAGGATCTCTGGTCGATGAAGGCTACCGCGATCTTTGTCAACACGTCGAGAGGGCCGCTGGTTGATGAACCTGCGCTTGTGGATGTGCTTTCGAAAAGAGGAATCCGAAGCGCTGCGTTGGATGTGTACGATGTCGAGCCTCTGCCGTTGGACCACCCACTGCGAAAGCTGGATAACGTTGTCCTCAGCCCACACAATGGCTATGTCAACGATACGAGCTATGAGGTGAGTAGGGAATAATGTTTGTCGATAGCTGACTAACGGCATGCAGGGCTTCTTTGGGGAAACCGTTGAGAATATTGTGGCATTCCTGAACGGCAAGCTTCGGAATGTCCTGAAGTGATCAGACAATGGAGCTTTTGATAGACGTGTTGGATGCTTTGTAATGTATGGATGCAATGTAATATAGGACCTGGTTGTTCGTCCAAAGGGCTAAAGCAAAGGCTGCGGGTCCGTTGTTGATGTGAGTCACACCGTGACAACGATCACGTGTGGTACGTGACAAGAAAAGCCGCGTTAAAAGTGAGTGCCCATCTTGTCTTTCTGCCTCCACTTTGTGCGAGTAACAAAAGCCGAGCCACATAACTTCACCAATGGATCCCTCAGAATCTCGCACGATGAAGGCCAGGAGGGACGGTAAGCCTCTAATCCGCCGCGATCTGTCCACAACGCGTGTCTGACGCGTCTTTTTCAGCCTACAAGCCCAAAGGCGCCCTCAAGGCCGATGATCTCAGGCGTCGCCGCGAGGAGCAGCAGGTTGAGATTCGTAGACAAAAGCGCGAAGAGAACATCTCCAAGCGTCGCAACTTCCTGCCTTCCTCCGGCGCTGATTCCGACGATGAGGGAGGCGCGGGTCTCAACTGGGACACTCCCGTGCGTGCACAGTCGCGATGGCGCCCCGATTTATGCTGATAGTTCACCTAGCTCGCGGAGGATATGATTCAGGGCGTGTTCTCCGACGATCCCGACCGCCAGCTTGAGGCAACGACCAAGTTCCGGAAGCTGCTCTCCAAGGAGAAGAACCCACCCATCGAGCGTGTCATCGAGTGCGGCGTCGTCGCGCGCTTTGTTGAATTCCTCAAGACTGGCCAGCCTATGCTTCAGGTGTGTTTGATCGGGCGACTCAGTCGTGTACACACTCACTAACCGCGTTTCTCTGGAAAGTTCGAAGCTGCCTGGGCCCTCACTAACATCGCATCTGGCACCGCGGAGCACACCCAGGTTGTTATCAATGCTCAGGCAGTCCCTGAGTTCATCAAGCTGCTCTCATCGCCCGTACTTGATGTCCGGGAGCAGGCTGTTTGGGCTCTGGGCAACATTGCCGGCGACAGCCCGCAGTGCCGCGACTACGTCCTCGAACAGGGTGCTCTGCGCCCTCTGCTCACGCTTTTGAGCGAGAACCACAAGCTCAGCATGTTGCGCAATGCCACCTGGACCCTCAGCAACTTCTGCCGTGGCAAGTCGCCGCAGCCGAACTGGGACCTGGTGCGTTGTGTCTCATTACTATCTAAATAGTAAATTGACTTTCATTGTTTATAGATCTCGCCGGCTTTGACTGTGCTTACAAAGCTTATCTACTCCCTCGACGATGAGATCCTCATCGACGCCTGCTGGGCGATTTCATACCTCTCCGATGGGTCGAACGACAAGATTCAGGCTGTCATCGAGTCCGGCGTCTGCCGACGGCTCGTCGACCTCCTCATGCACAGTTCAACCTCCGTGCAGACCCCTGCTCTCCGCTCTGTCGGCAACATCGTCACCGGAGATGACCTCCAGACCCAGGTTGTCATCGCATCTGGCGCACTCCCCGCACTCCTTGCCCTCTTGTCATCGACCAAGGACGGAATCCGGAAGGAGGCGTGCTGGACTATCTCCAACATCACCGCTGGCTCGCCCCCGCAAATCCAGGCTGTCATTGACGCCAACATCATCCCACCACTCATCAACATCCTCTCCAACGCCGACTTCAAGACGCGCAAGGAGGCATGCTGGGCGATTTCCAACGCCACGTCCGGTGGTCTTCAGGAGCCGTCGCAGATCCGCTACCTTGTCCAGCAGGGCTGCATCAAGCCATTGTGCGACCTGCTCACGATGATGGACAACAAGATCATCCAGGTTGCGCTGGACGGCTTGGATAACATTCTGAAGGTCGGCGAGATGGACAAGCAGGCTGCTGGCCCGGGTGCCGTCAATCAATATGCGCTCTACGTCGAGGAGGCGGGCGGCATGGTCACCATCCACAACCTCCAGCAGCACGACAACCTCGACATCTACAAGAAGGCGTTCAACATCATGGACAAGTACTTCCCTGATGAGGAGGATGTCGACACTGGCATTGCTGCGCCGAACGTTGATGCGACGGGCGCGTTCGCGGTACGTGTCTTGGCCGACCTTCCCTCTAATCTATACTCACCTTTCTGCAGTTCCATTCGGATGTCAGTGCCCCCCAGGGCGGCTTCAACTTCGGGAGTTAGATGTGGATCCATACGACTGTCGGTTATGGGGTGTAGCTCAATTATCGCTAATTGGCTGTACTGCTTACCATCTCTTATTGTTTTCCCTCTCTGATGTCTTTGTAACGTACACTCATATCCCGTCTCTTCCTTCTCATTCTCATATAGTACAACCATTGTATGTCTACACCCGAAGTTCAGCTTTTGATGCTCGGTGTCTCTTGATAGCTCAGTCGGTGGAAGCCCTGGCAGGCCTCGCAGTGTGAAGTGTTTGCGTATGGTATCGTATGATATACCGGTCCTTGTTCGTACAATCGACTAGGCAAAGGTTATGGATGCTGTGGATCCGGAGAATTGAACAATGTATGCCCCTGCGTCCTCCGTCGCGTTCGTCGTCGGTGAAAGCGTGCCAACGCCACTGACGGACGCAGTCTGCGTGACCGCAACTCTTGCATTGGGCGCAGACGCGCCATTCCCGACCGCGTCAACAAGCGTCAGCGTGACCGAGAGTGCCTGCGGGTCGAAGCTGACGGATGCGAAGGAGCCCGCGTCGGCGGTGAACAGTGCACCCAGCGGTGCAACGAACACCCGGCGACGCGAGCTATCGAGAACGTCGACCTCAATGGTACCATCACGCGAGGTCACGACGCCGCCGTATGCCTGCCAGCCGTACGTAGGGTGCTCCATGATGTAGGTGCCCATACCCATTGCATGTCCGGAGAAGGACTGGCCGTAGTCGCCGGTGTAACCGTCCCATTTGAGCGTGTCTGGGAAAGAGTGGAAAGATGCGGCGGGGAAGCCTGCGTTGTTGATGCTAGAAAGGGCGCCGGACTGAGAATAGTGTGAGAAAGGGAGGAAGCATGGCAAGAGAGTAGAACTGACCAGGCCTCCGAAGGCAGTACGTAGCAACCAGTAGTCGCTCGGGTCAGACTCGTATGCGAACAGCAACGGCAGAGCGTTCAGCGAGCTGCCGTAGTGGTGGATCTGTCGCTCGAAGCGCTGCAGCTTTCCGCCGTAGATGTTGTCCCTGCGCCTCGTCAGCGAGCTCCTCATGGGCGACGGGGATGAGTACTCACCAGTAGCGCCGCGCATTCCCGTTGTAGCCCCAATGCGGGACGGAGGGCTGGTAGCCAAGGATGGAGTCGATGGTGTTGCTGGCGGTGGTGCTGTCGTTGAAGTATTTGCTCCAGACGTAGACGCCCTCTTGTCCGGTAGAGTCCCAGGCTTGCTCCGAGCCGAACCTTTGGACGATGTCAGTGAGTTGAACTTGGTAATAAGGACGGGACACTGGCACGTACGGATACCGCTGACGCGCCCAGGTCGCCTGACGGCTCCGCATGCCATTCTCGACCGCTGTCGCATTTGCATGACCTTCGCGCTTCAAGTCTCCAAGGATGTAGAGATACACGGTCTCGCCCATAAGGCCAACGTCTACCGTGAGGTGAGTACGGCAGTCTTGCTCAAGGAATCCGTACTCACCAACGTAGCCAACATCGCCAGCTGACATCCGGATGACTGTTGACGCTGCTTGCGAGAGGTACCTTCATGAGCTATATTAGTGCCGCACATTCTACTGATTGAGACTTATCATACCAGTCTGCTGTGTGTACGCTGACCAAGTCGGGGTAGTTCCTTGCAACCCGGTACAGTGCCCAGTGCAGCGCAGCTACATGCACATAGTCGTACGCGCGCTGGACATTGTATGAGTCGGCTGAGGGGGGTGTCAACCCTTGCGAGATCCCTAATGAATGCCGCTAAGTACCTTTGTTCCAAGACCACCATACACCCCAATCAACATTGCTCGGGTAGTCGTAGTCGACAGCACCGGGTTCGTAGAAAAACACAGACTACGAACGTTCAGCAGGCGATTGACCTGGACTAAAAGAGTCACTTACCTTCTTGACAGAGAAATCCTCATTCTGAATGTTGCCAACGACGGTTTCGGCGATGAACTGAAGCCAACATCAGCTATGATGGTCGACAGGATGTTGAGAAGGAGGTACATACCTGCTCCAGCTTGGCCACCTCATCGGCGTTGGGTTGCATGAATTGTTTCATTGCAGCGGCGAGGTAGACAGTACCACCCTCGTCGGAGAGGCCTGCACGGCGTCAGCATTCGGTTCGCTTCTCTGAGCGAAGTTCGCTTACCGGAAATCCACACCCGCGGGTCGTTCAACACGATGTCTTTCGCCTCATAGTCGTAGGTGATAATAGATGGTGCACGACCGAAGGGATCCGAGGTATCGGTAAACCACGCATCCGTCGTCAACTATGCCATATTTGCGAGGTCAGTGAAAGGCAAGGCATTGAGCAGAGAAAGCGTCACTCACAAACTCGCCCATATCCGCAATCGTCTGCACCGCGCTCTTCGTCAACCAATACGACACCGTCGCCAACGTCCCATCCTCAAACGTCACCTCCAACCTCGCCCTTCCCCACCCCTCCACCGTCAAGTCATACCCCACCACGCCCTCCTCCGTCGCGTCCTCATTCTCCTTCCAGCTCAGCGCGCCCGCCGGCTCCACGCTGATCTGCGCCACCGGCGACGCATAGCGCACGAACAGCTTCGCCGTCGCGTCGGCGGAGATGATGTACCCGGGGATGCCCTCGAGGACGGGGTGCGAGGCGGCGGCGAGGGCGTCGTTGATGGTGCGGATGCTGTCGGCGACGAGGAAGCGGAGGCCGTAGGTGCGGGATTCGCCGGGTTGCAGGGTGATGGAGGTGGGTGCGTTCCAGGGGTCGACGGAGGACCATTCGTTCTGGGCGTAGGCGAGGGTGTGGAATTGCCATTCATAGAGGCCTGTTGAAGAGGTCAGGATTGCCGGCGGACATGCAGAGTAAATTCAGTTGTACCTTCAAAGGTCTGCGACTGATAATACGGCCAAGGTGAAGTGTCCTCTTGCAAGAAACGCCAGCCCTCGAGCGGAGAGCTGTCTACTGGGATGACGACCAGTGGCGCATCGGTTCCGGAAAGCGGCGTGACCTGGACATATCCTGCGTCCGCGCCTGAGAGGAATTGCAATGTTAGTAACTCCTTGTGCGATCGTATAACTCATTACCGACCAATGTAAGGATCAAAGAATGCACACTTCGTGTTGACTTCGTCGGCGGTTTTGTCTGTCAGGATCTGTGTATACGTCAATCTTAAGAGCGCAAAGGTACTCGACGTTCTGGACGTACGCTGTTGAACTCCATAGGAGCGCCCTGCAACAAGGTCAGGATGAGCAATACGGGAGTAAGTCGTCTCTCACTAATGCACCGATCTCCACCGCAGAGCCTTGGCTGTTCACGATGTCAAACAACAGCTGCACGCTGTCCCCGTCTTGCGCCCAACGCCTCGTAATATTCAACAATGGGTTCCTTCCCAGTGTCGGGCTTAAGTTCGCTGCTGCGAGGGTATCCCCCTCCGCCTCCAGCGCGGAGACGGGCGCACGCGAAGCAGCCGTATCGCCCTCCACCCAGTCGTTGCTTCCTTCCAGACGTGCACGATAGGTGAGGTCTCCGACGTGGTACTGCCCGTTAGCGGAGCGGTTCCCCATGATGTTGCCGGGTATAAAGTCGAAGCCAGCCGGGCTGACGAGGGAATAGAGCGTCTGGGAGTCCTTCACGAGGGACAGAGTGAATCCAGACGTGCTGAAGTCGAGCGTGCCATCCTCGAGACCGAGTTGACTACGAGCAAGACCAGCCGCACCAAGCAGGAGCGCGAGCGACTTGATAGGGTGCCGCATCGTCGACGCTACGTCCCAAAAGTACGACAGTCGGACCTCAAGCAGCCCGTGAAGCCAGGCGGGGAGGATGCCCGCCGCTATATATGCAGACATCCCTCGGGCCGTCGTCGGAGGGTTGTTAGTAGGCTATACCTCGTGATAGAATGATAGAAGGTGGGGGACCATGCGATGCTGTCGCTACCGCGCTCTATGGCCTGGTCGAGCACTTGGTCTCTGCTCAGCCGGCCCGTAGGGTGTTTATGATGGTGGGAGTAGACGAGGTGAGGTCAGGAACGGAAGGGTGAGGTGATTTATCGCGATAGTGAACTCGGAGGTGAAGGTCGTTGCAAATGCCGACATGTCAACTTTCGAAGGACCCATTCCCACCTAAAACTGTTATGAGCTCCCCTGGCTGTATCATGGGCGTTCAAGTTTCCCATATATTTGGTGACATTGACATGGAGGTTGGGGATGAGTAGATGCGCTCCGACGCCACAAATGTTGATGAGATGATCACGACGCGCTTTGGCAAGCGCGTCTCTTGAACCCCTTCATGATCCATGGCTTCGCAAATCCTCCCCCTTGGTATGACCTCCCCCCTCGACTGGGATACCTTTTTGACACTTGCTTCCCAGAGCTGATCGATCGGTGCATTGGCTCGCGGATATGGGTCGTCATGAAGAACGACCATGAGTTTACGGGGACGCTCCTGGGCTTCGACGACTTCGTCAGTGCGTACACGGAAATTCCACACACAAACGAGCACGTATTCTGACACGGATAACTCGTAGACATGGTCCTTGAGGATGTGACCGAATAGTGCGCACCCCCCTTGTCCCTTCGATGCTGAATGACTGACGCCACCCCCAGCGAGACCACTGCTGCTGGAAGGAAAAAGACGCAGCTGGCACAGACCTTATTGAATGGGAATAACATCTGTATTGTGAGCCCGCCTTCCCTTCATTGTGTTTGCGCGTGCTCATGCAAGGATCTTCAGTTGATTCCGGGAAGCGCTGGTCCAGAGGATTGATCTGGCATCCCCCTGTACTTGTACCTCCTCTCGGACATCTATCTTGATGCTTTCTTCTTGTGACTGAGGTCCTTATGCGCTTCATGGAAAGTTCAGAGCCAGAGAAGGGTTAAAGCATGTGCAGAACGAAGCGCAACCGGAGCATCCCTGCCAGACGAGCCTCAAGGTCACTCCCAAAGGTCTCTGAGTATGCACAATAGAATGTCATGAGCCATGTAGGCCTGTCAGAGTAAAGGCTGAATGTCGGTGAACATGATGTTCTCGGAAATTGGCGCGCTGGGCGCCTCGATCGCGTCGCGCCCGCCACGTGCGCCTTTTCCTCGACTTCCGTCCCGCCCTCCCGACCCGCGAGCATCCACCTCCGCCGCCGGGCGCCCCACCGACCAAAATGACGATGAAAATCCGGCTGGCGATGCACGGCCACCGCAACCACCGCATCTTCCACCTCGTCGCCATCAACTCCGACAAGCGGCGGAACGCGCGCCCCACGGAGCTCCTGGGCATCTACGACCCCCACCTGAACGACCAGGGCCGCAAGACGGTCGAGTGGGCGGTGGACCGCATTCGGTACTGGCTGTCTGTGGGAGCGCAGCCGACCAAGTCGGCGGTGAAGCTGCTGGAGACGGTGCGTGGTGTGCTGGAGTGTGCGGGAAGGGGTCGCTGACGGTGTTTGTGCTGCAGGGCAACATCATCCCGCCCAACTCGCGCTGGCACCCAGCCTCGCACGCGGAGAAGAGGGAGCGGCGAAAGGTCGTCGAGTCGCAGAAGGAGGAATTCGCGCGGACAGCGGCCGACCGCTACGCCGCCGCGCAGGCAGCAGAGCTCACGAGCAAGACGCCCACGCTCGACGCCGTGCGCCAACAACTCGCGGAGAAGGCGACGCAGCGTGCGCCGGAGGATATTCCAGAGGTGCGGGAGATCCCCAAGGCAGGGGAGAAGAACCTCGAGCAGCTCTCGTCCTCCGATCCGACACATTTACCGCAGGCACAGTAGTCTGTTTGGACGCCTATATACACTAATGCTGCGCCGTAATGTCACCACTCCCTCAGGTCGATGTGAAGAGTGCCCTGATGTTTCCGTGTCCCGCCTCCTCAGCGAGCTCCACCGCCGTTAAGCCGTCAGGGTCCTGTCGATGTTCACTCTCGAGTCCACGTATATCCAGGGTCGCACACACCTTGCACTGCGCATCCGCCCCTCTTGCTAACAGCATCTTGACCGCCTCCACATTGCCCCGGTCAGTCGCCAGATGTAGTGGCGTGAACCCCTACACGCATGTTAGCGGACCCATCTTCCACACCTCACACCCCTTCACTCACATACTCATCCTTCGCATCCACCCCCTTCCCCGGATGCGCGTCAAGATACGCTGCTATCCTCCCCGCATCGTTCGCCACCGCATAGCCATGCAGATTCTCCTCCACCTCCCCCTCCGGCGCTGCCATCCGACTGACGTTCACGCCCAGCCCTCCCCCCTTCTTAGCACTCGCCTCATCGTCGCTGTCGTCCCATATATTGTCCTCGTCCTTCCTCGCCTCCTTCCCCTTAGCCTTCTCGCTCTTCTGCGTCGGCTGAGGCGCAGCCCCATCCCACCCAAGTTCCTTGGCGCGCTCTATGTATCTTGCTTCTGCTACTCCAGTAGTCGGGTACTTCTTCCCCCATTCCGCCCACGCGTCCCACTTCGCGCGCCCTGTCATGTCGAAGAGGGACGGGCGCGACGTGGTCGGTGTCGCGCCGACGGTCGCGCACTTGAACAAGCCATAGAGCTGTGCGTAAGTTGTCAGGCGCGCCGCGTCCTGAGAGGAGATGGCTTGACGGTACCTCAAGCTTCACAGCCGTCGATACTTTTGCTAAAGAGGGTGCATTGGAGAGGTAGGCGGCCGCGGCCTCGAAGTTCGCGGAGGGCATGATGACGATCGGACGCAGGCGCTGCCGGATATGGCAGGCTTTGTGATTGTCCAGAGTTGCAGACGGTCATGTGAGGAGCCGGTTGAACATCGTCGAGCGCAAATCCAAAGGAAGTGAGACGTGAAAGCGATATTCCAAAGCAAAAGATACAGTACACGAGTCATAACATACATGACTGATAGTCCAACAGTAGCTATAGGGAAATGCATAGCAAAAACAATGTCTAGATCGTAATGACCATCGCCATAGGAAAATCATCGAACGCTCATCCTTCACCAGAACGCACACCAGCCCGAGAAGCACTGGCAGAGGTTCTCCAGCGACGTCGCCTGCTGGATCAGCTTCTCCACCTGCTGCGGGACGTTCAGCGTCACCGAGGGGTTGAAGTCCCTGCCCGTAAGCTTGTGCTGGACGCGGTTGTACACCACGAGCGCCTTTTCGTTGCGCGTCTCCTGCACACCGTCGGAGAAGATGTCGCGCTCGTCGGCCATCATCTTCCTCGTCGGGCCCTGCGGGTGCGCGGCGACGCGCGCGAGCTCAACGGCGCGGTCGGGGTCTGAGAGGTTTTCGATTAGTTGAATGAAGAGGGAGATGCATTCGACCTTACCTTCGGTCCGCCGTGCCTCGACGTCGGTCTGCATCAACCTCCAGTTGATGAGCGGGTCGTACACGAACGCCTCCAGGACGGCCATGAGCGACTCCTTGTTGTCGCGCAGCACTTGCATCGTGATCTCGCACGTATTGCGGAAGCTGCCCTCGATGCCGCTGACCTACAATGCCGTCAGTATTTTATTCCCTCGCCCAAGGACAGATAAACCCACCTCCATCGCCTGCGTCAACATCCTCGTCAACCGGAACGGAATTTTCTCCGGGAACTTCTCGCGATGCATCGCAACCTCGAAACAGTCACCGAAATCGATGTGCACGATCTTGCCCGTGCTCCGCTCGAGGAGGATATTCGACGGATGCCGGTCGCCCAGACCCAGTATATGCCCCACCATGCTGTTCACCGCGAGCGAGCGCGTGTAGCATGCCCTTCGCTCCAGCCAGTGCTCCGAGTTCGTGCTCTTCAGCCAGAGGACGCGGTACAGATCCTGCCCGGTCGTGTTCTCGAGCGCGTACTCGAAGACCTCGACCTTCTGGATGAGCGTCAAGTTCTCGTAGTCGGGCGCCATCTGCAGCATGAGGCGGTACTCGATGTTGAGCAGGACTTTGCGCGAGTCGCGGTAGTCCTTGACGAGGACGTGAAGCGTGTCGCTCTCTTGGAGATGGCCGATAAGACCGGCGTTGGGGGCAAGGGGGATGACGGCGTAGCGTTGGATGTGCAATCGGCGCTTGAAGCTGCTGGTGTCGACGGAGAGGAGGGTGTTGACGAGGGTGAACAGTTGCATGACGCGCTCGTCTTGGCGGAGATCCTCGTGGCCTGGGCACGTTGCATTAGCCTAGCGCTTGCACCTAAGGTGAGAATGCTTACCCTTCAAGATGTATTGGTAGTCTCGTCCATCGCTGCCAGTCAAGGACAATCGTCTCGGGCGTTGCTTCGATGCGATGACCTGCAGCTTCGGCGCGAACTTGGCGATAGTAATGACCGGCCGGCCTGCTTGGTATGCGCCTATACGAACGTCAGTAATGCTGGCCATGATTATGAAAAAATTGACGGACCTGGCACGGACAATTGTAGATTGCGGGCTTCTAGCAACGCCGGAGAGACGTATTGCAGGTCGAGCTTGATCAACGTCGGCAAGTGCTTCTCGATCTTCTTGAAGACCGCGTAGTAGATATCCCATGCCTTCTCCAGCTCCGTAGGGTCGCCCGTCCTCCTGTACCTGTTGCATGCCTCCCGAGCTTCGTGCAGATCGCGGCCGAAAGTCTGGGCAAACGACGTTTCCCTCGCGGTCTCGGGGCCATTCTCAACCATCTCGTGCAAGGGCTCCAAGCAGGCGATCATGCCCTCGTTGTTCTTCTCCGTGAAGTATAGTCGCGAAGCCTCCTCAAGACCTTCGTGCCACCTCTCATGCCAAAGGATGGCGACGCGGATGAGCTCCTTGCTGACAAGCTTCGCCTGTTGAACGATCTCCATGCTGTGCGACTCCATCTTCTTCATGATGTCCTTAGCGATCTTTGAACGAGAAGCGCTTGAGGACGACGAAGCGACAGTGAGCGGGTAGATCAACGCCTGCGGGTGCTCCTTTCCAATGTCAGTCAGAAGATGAGTGATGTCCCTCCGGATGTTGATGTGCGGTGTCTGGATGCGCGCAATGATCTGACATGGCGGTCAGCAAAGGGAGGACAACAAGTGGCATCGAACTGACCTGCGGGATGACGTCCAGCCATGTGTCGATGGGGACTGTCCTGAAACCCTCCGCCATCTGCTCGCTGACCTTCTGGTGAGCACCAAACTTGAACCATAGGGTAAGCAGCCGCAGAGTGTCCTGCAAGGACTCCTCGTTTCGCAAGGAGATCGAACAGAAGAAGCCTGAAAGATTATTAATCGTTGGGTCCGTACGATGTAAGGCTGGATCGCGTACCTCGGATGGCCTGCATGACATGACCGGCGAGAATTTCCCCTGGGATATCCGACAATCGCGTGTCCGCTTGGCTCTCAATGTGGCCCACCACTTCAAAGTTCGCCAGAGCCCATGTGTGCCACGCCTTGTACCACTGCGGATCGCATTGCGTCGCGAATAGGTAGGCGTACATGATTTGTTGCCTTAAAGTCTGGTACGTGTCAGCAAATTGAGCAACACAGCCACGAAGAGACCTACCTCGTCGTTATGCCATTCCTCATTGCGCTGCGCTTGCCATGATGCCTGCTTGAAGTAGCAACGCGCGAGCAGCTTGGCTGAGGTGGCGTGCTTGTCTGCAGACGCAGTCGAACGTGGGTCCTTGACGTCGGCCTCCAACTTGGCAGAGAACTCGCGAAGGAACTGCAAGCTTTCGTCGTAGTTTCCACACGCCCACATATACTTGAGCTGAGCGTAAACGACATTCGGAGGTGCCTTGATGTGGTGCATGTCGTAGCCATGTCCATGCTATTCTTGAAGGTCAGAAAGAGGTAGGAGGCAATCGAGGACAAGACGCACCCTAGGGGAGAGAAGCGAACGTATGGTCTTCTCAGCAAGCGCCATGCGATCGCTCTTGCGGCATAGGTTGGCGAACTTGATCCACATATCCGGGTCGTCCTCGGGATTCAAGACGAGTGTACGGACTTGCAGTATCCTCTGCCACACTTCGACGTCGGGTTGACAACCCTGCAACCTAAGAAGACCGTGAGCGAGGGACGAGGGTCAATTGGCAAGACACTCACCTCTTCATCCAAGTCTTCCTCATGGTGGTTTGACGGTCGGGCTGATCAGCGTATTGCTTGTACATGATAATCTCTTCGAGCTCGGAGAGCATCTGTGCCCGAACCATGATCCTGACGGGTGTCAGCGATAGACCAGGGTCAGAGTTTGAGTGAGCATACCCGTATGACCGACCATAGCCTTCGCCGACGAACGACTGCAGCTCGGGATCCAAAAGATCTCGCGCGCGCGAAATGTTGACAAGGGCCTTGGGGAACTGATTGCGATGCACACAGAGGATTGCTCTGTAGAAGGAGCGATCTGGAGAATCGTTACGCATCGTGGTGATGTAGTCGTCCATGGAATCCCAATCATTCAAGGACCAGGCCGCCGCAGCTGCCATTGGCGCAATCGCACGACGCAGGTCGATGTCCGCCTTCATCCAGGACTTTTGCACTTGCATAGCCAGCTGGTCCCAGTCGCCAAGGGCATGTAGACACTTCATCCGACCAAGCTGCACTTCAGGATCGTTTGGCTGAGTTAGAGCCTTGTTGTCGTACACCGTCAAGGCTTCCTGCCATCTGCCCAGCCTCTCGTACCACTCTTCGTGCTTGGTGACATCGTATTGTTCGCGCGCTCGAAGGAGGGTACCCCATGCGGCGTCGTGCTGTTGCAAGCGAGTGTTGATAGAGATAAGGGCCTCGATGATTGACGGCGACGACCGAGAGAAGAACTCGAGCTCCTTGTAATGGAGGGCCTTTGCGTACGCGAGGTACTTCATGGAGTACTCGCCCAACGTATGATTGTCGATGGGCAGAGGCTTCTCTTCGTGCTCCATGAATTCAGCCAGATTGAGAAGGCGGTTGATCAAGTCGGACGGTGCCGATGTCGAGGTGATAGCGAACTCTATTGAACGAACCAAATCCTCCTGCAGAGCGATGTCAGACATGAGCATAAAGACACGATTGCCGCAGACTAACCTGGTACTGGTCGTACAATTCGCCCCAACACGACATGAAAGCGGCGTTGAAAAGCTCCCTGGCAAGCGGAGGGTGGGTATCGACCAGCGTCATGCAAGCGCGCAGAGCGTGCGACGGTGACTCCTTCATGAACTCGACGCTCATGCGATGCATCCATTCACCCCAGTCCTCTCGGGTTGACACGAGCGATACATCCCAAGCCGACTTCAAATGCTGTTGGTTGACAGTGAAGTTGGGCGGCTCTGCTGGCGCCGAGAATTCGGGAGGTTTACTGGTGTCACTGAGGCTGATGAACAGTCAGTCGAAGGCATGGTGCGACACACGGGGACGTACAAGGGTTCGAGATGCCCAGACCCTCGAGGGATGGGTTGACCGTTGAGAAGCTTGCTGATGAGACTCTCATAGTTCGGATGCGTTACACGGTTGCGCAACATGGCCTACAACATGGTCAAGCATTACCGCAGAGAGCCAAAACTATGCACACCTTGTTGATGGTTGGCACGAATATGGCGAAGTCCGACCATAGTTGAATGACCAGCGCGCATAGCGTGTCCATGACCGCCATCCTCAGCTCGTTGTTCGACCCCTCCAACACCCGAACCAGGGGATGAATGATTCGAGACGCCCTATCGGAGAAATTGATGCGCTTCGACAGTCCGTCGATCGTCTGCATGGCCTTCTTGCGCAACGCCGTGCTCGCATCTGGTCTCTCGAAGGTCTTGACGATCACGGGCACGACAAGGTGGAGATACTCCTCGATGTTGGCACCGAATGTCTGCAAGGCGTCGAAGACCTTCATCTGCGTGCTCATGCGCTTGTCCGTGAGCTCGCCCTCGACGACCTTGAGAAGCAAGGGTATGATATTCGGGAGGAAAGGCTTGAACTCGGCGTCCAATGCACGACCCAAAGCCTCGACGAGGGAGACGATCGGTAGTTGCAGCGATGTATTTTCCCAAAGATCCGTGATGAGGGCAAAGACGTCCGGCATGTAGTTCCGGATATGCTGCTTGATGATCCCGACCAAGATGGCGAGTTGTTGCAGGTGAAATTCTTGCAAACGCGCTATCGACGTCCTGGTCACAGCAGCGAAGGCAGGGATGATCTAAACATTTGATTAGTCTTCGTCAACGCGGAAGGGACATCGCTAGGCCAGACCTGAGGGAGAAACGCCACGCATTTGAGGCCCTGCGTCTTGAAGATCGACATAATTGCCTCTATGACCGCGTGATGCTGAGGGCTCAGCGATTGGTCACGCAAGATAGCAAGGAGCGCGTTGACGACCACTGTCTGGTAGTAGTCGTCAGACACAGCCACGATGGACTGCGTCGCAAGAGGCATCTGGTTGACGGCGGTGATCGCCTTCTCGCCCGTAGCGTCGTCATCTGGGCGACTCTGAAGATGGAAAGTGAGCCATAATGTATTCAGGAAAGAGGAGAACCATACCTTTCGGCGGTACGGGTTCATGGCGCCCATGATACCAAGAACCTTCACGACTTCACGACGTACGGTCTGCGAGGTTTCCGTCTTGAGGATCCGCGCCAGAATCTGAAGCAATTGCGGGTGGTCGATCAGAGGGCTGATAACGTAGCCGGTGCTCGTGCAGATCTGGCCGAGAGTATGCAACGCAGCATCGCGCCGGAGGAAGGAGGGGTCCGATAGTTTCCTGAGGATCACTTGCATAAGGTCGGGTACATGCGCCATCGCGTCTTCACCGCCAACACAAGCAAGCTCTCCTAGGCACATGAGGACGTTGGCCGACACGGTCGGGTTTACATCGTCAGCCTTGACCATGAGCACGCGAAGCATTGGCAAGGCGTACGGCTTGATGAGCCGCTGCGTCGCCCCGACGAGGAGAGTCAGGAGCCGAGTGCATTCTTCCCTGCTTCGGACGACGGTCGAATATTCCAACTCGGTCAATAGCTGGATGAGAGCTTTGCGCAGAGACGGCATTACGTAGGCGGGGTTGTGCTTGGCTAGACGTCCAATGAGAGTCACAGCGGTGACGCGATTGTCGAACACCTCGTCGTTGAGCGCGATGAAGATGGAGCGCACGTTCTCCGCTTGAGCCAAATGCTTGTCGAAGCGCTCGTGCAGGGACGATAAGACCGTTTGGCGTATGGATGCATCTACCGCTCATCAATATGCGTCTTCTCGTACTACGGGAGGGTCACTAACCAGGATCTGCGATGCCGACAGTCAACAGCTTATCCAGAACGTCGCTGATGACCTCGATGGCGTGGCTGCTAGCTTGATAGCAGATGGGGTCGCGGACGAAGAGCCTGCAACACGTCGTAGCCGCCGCACGCCGCACTTCCGGGTGGTCGTCTTCGAGATATGGCAAGGCGCATTGCCGCACGAATTCGTTCAGAATATGCCCTGCCCAAGCTGAATATCTTTGCCACTTTATAATCATGAGCACGTACCGCTGAAGTCAAAGGAACCCAAGGTTGTCAAGGCAAGCGTGATGACCTCCGGTGTCTTCTCCCCAACTATCGACGCCTGAGAGGTGTTGATATCTCGCGACATTGCGCTTGCGTCCGCCCGTTCCAATGCCGGAGGCGCGCCCAATGGCTTGTATGGCTGACCGCTCAGGATCATTGACAGAAGATCAAGCAAACGGTCTACATTGGTTTGTTAGTCCGAGAACAGAACGGGTTGATCGTCGGTAGACGCCTTACCTTGGATCGTCTTGAGAAGGGGAGGGATATGCTTCGCAATAGCGACCAGCGCGTTACGCAGCGGCTCACTAAGCCCACACGCAAAGATCAGGTCAAGCTGATCGTGCAACAACTTCGTCAGATTCGGCCCAACGGCAGACGCCAGCATGCCCAAGCATTGGAACATCGGTTCCTCGGGTGGCGCATTCCTTCTTCCTCGCGCCTGCAGCCCCGCCTTGATCTGCCCCATTATGGGCTCCAAGAACGGCTTCATGTCGCTGCCCACTGCCGCCGCGGTATGCCCGATGGCAACAAAAGCTGTCGATCGTGAGCGGATATGCAAGTCAGCGAGACAGAGACGTACCGAAGGGTCTATCCGCGGGCTTCTCGAGCTGCGTGAGGAGCTGTGCCATGGACTTGTGCAGGAAGTGTTCCGTGAATGTGGTCGTGTCGTACGCCGCCAAAGACGGGACGAGGGTGATGACGGTCTTGCGGATAAGCCCGTCGCGATGCGACTTGAAGCGAAGGATCTGCTCCGCCGAATCGAGGAACGTTTCTCGCATGAACTGTGGTTCACGCATATCAGTACATACAGCACATATTCAAGATGGAAAGTATTCACCATGCCACCGTGCAGCAAAAGCTCGCGATAGGTGAGCAGAGACCCGTGGATCACTTCAGGCTGGGCTTGCTTCAGCCCCATCTGCGCGTCCTGGAGGATCTTGAGGAGGAAAGGGCTATTGCGCGTGTTCCGCTCGCGCTGTGTAATGATTTCGAGGCATGCAGCCAGAAGCTCCGCCGCCCCCTCGCGCACGATGAGGCGCTGATCCCTTAGCGGCACCAGGATGTTGTCAAAGACCATGCCGATGTGGGAATAAAAGTAGTTCGAGGAGTTGCGCGCCAGTTCCTTCAGGATAAGCACGCCAGCGTACCGCGGGGCCTCTGGCTTCTCTGGCTGCATCAGGTCCACCGCCGCTGGCACCTCCTTCTCCATGAAGCCCTCCCCGAAGGCGGACCCGCCGATCTCAGCAATCTTGCCGAGGGTTTTCGACGCCTGGAGCATGAGGTGGAAGTCATGGTGCGGAAGGAGGTGCTTGACGTAGTTGTAGAAGCGGAAGAGATTCCTCTTGGACTCAATGGTTTCCTCTCTGTCGACGTCGAGGAGGTGATCTGCGCATGTCAGGGCGTAGTATGTGAGGGGGGACGCGTGCACGCACCTATAGCCAGCAAACCCCCCGTCTGGTCGACGATGTTCGTGCTGTGGATGAGATCGAAGAGCCGTTTCGTCAGATTCTCGTCCCAGAGCTTCGCTGCAGCATCCGAAGACATCTCCGCTACCGTACTTGCGACCTTCATACGGATGAGTACACGCTGACCTAGCGCGCTTAGCAGAACGCACATAGTTCCGTAGCTCCTGCGCAGATTGTAGCCGCACATCGGGATTCTTGTTAACCAGTCCCTGGAATATGTGATTCAAAACCTCTATCTGTGAGGCCTGCAGAGTCGTCGCCATCCCGGCGACCCCAGATGATGGCAGGCAAAGGGATGGAGAACAAATGGAGAACAATGGTTTTGAGTTGTTACCTGACGTCCTCCGCTTAGGCGGGCACGTGTCAACTTCAAGGTCCTCGTCGGTCTAATCGCAAGAATTCCTTGCGCACATATCCAGGGAGCATTGTTCGCCAAGAGGTATAGGATTTATCATATGCTCTAGTACGCTCGATTGATTCGATGTGGTATGATTACAGAGGCGTTAAGGAGCAGTAGTGTACGGAGAGACCATATGCTCCCTCGACAGATAAATCCACACATCTATCAAAGCAGGTATATGTACTCAGACCAAGCCCGCCGCCTTCATGGCCTAAGTAGACAATCAGCGTACGTCGCGCAAGAGCGAAAAGGTTGGCCTACCTTCAACATCTCGGAACCAATCTTGGCCGGGCTGTCGGTGACGATGGCACCAGCGGCCTCCAGGGCCTTGACCTTGTCAGAAGCAGCACCTGAGATTCGTTAGCAAACAGTCGGAGTCGGAGTGCTCAGTGGGAAGTACGCACCCTTGCCACCAGCAATGATAGCACCCGCGTGGCCCATACGACGGCCCGGAGGAGCCGTACGGCCAGCAATGAAGCCAACAACCGGCTTAGGGACTGCGCGCGTCTTGTTGTATTTCTCGAGGTACTCAGCCGCGTCCTCCTCCATGGAGCCACCGATCTCGCCAATGATGACGATACCTGTACAGAGATTCAGCGATGGCCGCACTGAAGCGCGCGAATTCACTTACCCTCAGTGTTCGGGTCCTCGAGGAATACCTTGACGACGTCAAGGTGGGTAGTGCCGGGGAAGGGGTCACCACCAATGCCGACACACAACGTCTGGCCAAGGCCGACGTCGGTCGTCTGCGCGACAGCCTCGTACGTGAGGGTACCCGAACGCGAGACGATACCTGGCACGTTCGTCAGATAGGCATTCGCGCCACTGCGCTGACGTGCACGCACCGATTTTGCCGGGTGTGTGGATGTGGCCCGGCTGGATGCCCATCTTGCAGCCAAGAGGGTTGATGATACCAGGGCAGTTGGGGCCGACAAGACGGCTCTTCGACTGGTTCTTGAGCGCGTTCGCGACCTGAAGCGGCGGTCAGAGAAGTACCAATCGCGCGTTGCGCAGCACGTACGCGGATCTCGTCCTGCTGGGGGATGCCCTCCGTGATGCAGACAATCAGGCCAATCTCGTTCTCGATAGCGTCAATGATCGCGTCGGCAGCGCTGGGAGGGGGAACATAGAGGACAGTCGCGTCGGGGTGCGTCTCGCGAACAGCCTATGGAGAGCGCGTCAGGAAGCGCTCAGTAGCCAGAGTGCCCTATCGCACCTCCTTGACAGAGCCGAATACAGGGAGACCCAGATGGGTCTGGCCAGCCTTCTTCGGGGAGACACCGCCAACCATGTTCGTGCCATACTTCAAGGCCTCAGCAGCATGGAAAGTCGCCTGGATAGTGGTCGCTCAGTATCACAGCCTACGGGTAGATACATTCCTCGTACCGTCTTTCCAGTGACGCCCTGAACGAGGACCTTCGTGTCCTTGTGGATCCTCAGGTTGTGGATCGTGTCCGCATAGCCCTGGCGAGAGGCGGACTGGGAGAACGCCCGGCGTCCGGCTGGTGCACGTCAGAAAATGCATGGGGACCGTAGAATATTTTCGTTACCGAGGCCGAGCAGCGTACGCGAGCGGGGGAACATGGATGGAGTGTAAAGGCGAAAATGTTCTGAGCGCCTCTTCGAGACACGACCTCTGGCTTTGAGCGTGTTTACGTCGCGGGCGAGATCGGTCCGGATGTCGTTCCGGTCCTCCGAGCGAACTTCACCGCGGCTGGCCGTCCGCCAGCGGCGACCCGCCCCCAGCAGCGGGTAGCCGTCAGCCTCGCTGTTCTCGGGTCTAGATGTAAGAGGCGCGCTCAGAAGGTCCGCTCAACGGCACAGACATCTACCAGCCCTGCCGAACGAAAATCTGAGTGGGGTCCGCTCGCACTCTCAACCACGACCGCTCACAAGACCAAGCCCCGTCATTACAAGGTCTTCCGTTCAATCACAAACAGTATACGGCGGTACGTACCTATGATATAGACTATGACTACTACAAGCTGGCGGCTACATGCTCTACTCGGGAAGATCAGACTATAAGACTCCTCACTTCAACTCGAAATCCCTGCGGCGATCCCGTACCTTGCGCGACGCGCGGTGGAACGAGATGATCGCGTACTTCGCTTTGTCGTACTGCCCGCTGTTGATGGCACTGGACGAACGCAAGTCAGCAAAGATGGTCAGGAGGCACAGGACAGCACGCACGTCGTGATTTCCGTGACGAACTGCTGCCTTGCCGGTACAAGACCTGCCGACAGTGGCAGCGTTGGTGCCACGTTCTGCACCCAGGCGGACATCTGCGTAGGGGATACGGACGCTAGCATGCGGAAGATGACAATGATACTCGACAAGCAGTCCTCGGGGAAGTCGCCGATCATGCCGCTGAGCACGCAGGCCACGAAAGCCTGCCCGTTCTTCTCCAAGACGTCCTGGATCGCTGCAGCGTATACCGGGAAGTCGGATGTCGGGACTGCTGTGGGCCGTGTGGACAAACAGTCGTGGGACAGAATGTCCTTGACAACCTCTAGGGCTGCCACCAGGACCTCCGTGTGCACGACGGTCAGACTCGCCATGCATATCTGGAAAGCTAGCGGGAATGCACTGGATCGGAAGAAGACGTCGGGTGTGCGGTCGAGTAGAGGTAGCACCAAGTGCAAGTAATCTTCGAGGACTACCAAGGCCGATTAAACCATGTGAAGGTTTGTGAGGTCAGAAGGACGCACCATCCGGATGAGCCCCAGGAGACGAAGCCTGTAACATAGCGCCAATCTTGGTCGTCGAGCGTTCGTACGCGTCCCGGAAAGTCGCCAGTATCGTTGCATCCGCATTGTCGCCATATGAGTGCACAACCTTGCCAATGATCCAGAGATTGCTAGCAAAGCCAGCGGCATCGAAGCTCTGAGTTAGACGTGCAACGACCGACGCTATAACAGGGAGCGCCGAACGGTCGAAAAACGTGATGCAGTGCCGAAGGACCCGGTTTGCGCGCTCGGCGATGTCGTACGTCGTGCCGTACTTGGCGAGGAAGGGGTCGAGGACAGACCAGCCTTCTTCGGGCACCTTCTGACAAGCGGGCGGGAGCTCCTCACCGAAGCTCCCGACAACGGACAACATAGTCTCCAGGTTTTCCAGACCGTCTGAAAAGTATCTTCAGTTTTGCGTCAAGGTGAAGGATGGAGATGTCACGAACCGCAAACTTCCTGCATCTCGTCCTTCGTGACGGCCTGCTTAGCTGTGACCGCATGCACCTTCGCCAGAATGTCGAAGGAGAACGTCCGGAGTGACTCGCCCGCGCTTGCCATGGGCATCGCAGATATGACGAAGGCGATGGCGCGGTACACCTCCGAACGATCTTCCTGCATAAGCCTGCTTCCAGTGGTAGTGACGAAAGTATGAAGAGTGGGAAGGAAGTCGACCAAGTGCTGTACAGTAGGTTAGACACGTACATCAACGGCAATACTGGTGACATACCTGCTTGCAGTCGCAGCAAATATACTTTAGTGCATGACCAGCGGCGCTGCAGACCTCCAGGTCAGGATCCTCGAAGCCCGCCGAAATGTACTGCAACTGAGGTGGCAGGTACGTGGGGTGTTCGCTTGTCCATTGGGAGTAGCGACCAATTATGAGCAAGGCGGCATAGCGAATTCGAGGGTGAGTGGGGAGAGAGGGTATGAGCTCGAGGATCTTCGGGACGGCGTTGTCGTCGTTGGGGTCGATCTCGGCGCCCATAGACCGCATAGCAAACAGCGGCGCCTCGATCTCCTGCCATGCCACATTGGAGCCCTGCGCAAGAGCGGTGGTGATCATGTTGTATGCGGCCATGAGACAGGTCTCCGCCTTCAAGACGTAGCAGCAATCCTTGAGCGTGTCGCCCATGACATGGCGGAATGACCGGAAGTCATCAGCCTCCTGGCCTTTGAGGGGAGCTGAATCAGGAGGGAAGTGGAGGTGGCGGATGATGACAGTCATAAGCGAGCGGTAGGCGTCGAGGAAGGGAGGAGGGACAGACGAGCGCTTGCCAATGGCCTGGGCAAGACGCATCCAGAATGGGAAGGTAATAGGCACGATGTCGAGGTCGGGGAACGCAGAGCACTCGCCGAGAGCCTCGACGATGGGGAAGAACGTCTCGGGGTGCTGAAGTATGAGGGCGCGGTAACATTCGCCAGCCTCTGCGAATATGCGCGCGTATCCACGGATCCTGTCCGTGTCCTCGCTGTGCTTCGCGAGCATGGGCTTGAGTGATATAACGAGAGGCACGATCTGCTCTATCGCAGTCATGTTGTCGTTGATTTCTTGCGTCTCGTGGATGATCTCGCAAATGGCGTCGGCGGCCGTGTCGAAGAGCTGGTCCGAGTTCAGCGCCTCGAACACGGCGGGGAATAAAGGCGTTAGGATGAAGTCCTCGATGGAGATCTCGCCTGCCATCAGCCAACTGCGAAGGCAGGTGAAGACTGCATTTTGGATCTCGGCAGTGATCCCTGACAATGAGTCAGTAAAAGGACTTCAGGAGAGTAAGGCGACACACCAGTGGCCGAGATGTACATCGACAGTAGCTCTAGCACACGCGTCGAATTGTCCGTGAGGATCTTGCGCGATCGTTCGCGATACTCGTCGTCCTAGGCTTCGTGTCAGTAAATAGGCGCGCCATGCAGGGGCACACGCACCGTCACTGGGATGCGTGTATTGGTCATCAACTCCTCTGGCAGAACGGTCAAGAACTGGAGGAGAGCGGGCACGGTGGCTGGGTTGGCGCCGAACATGTCTGCCATTGACTGGATGGGATTCTCCCAGGACGGCATCTGCAGAGCGAGCCCGGAGACCGCCAGGCAAAGCTGCGTGAGGATGTTCCGTGGCCCAGCATTGTATCGAGTGATAGCCTCGAGCAGCCTATCTCTCAAGGGAGAGAGGTCTGCTCCAACCTGATTGAGATCGTATGTGACCTGCCCATCTCCGATGAGTCTCGATCACTTGCATGGTAACAGATGGGCGCGTACCTTGGTACGAAATGTCTGCGCCGCGAACAGCTTCGCCGCAATTGGCGCGTCTGGGGAGAGAAGGAGGGTGTTTGCAGTGGTCCACGCTTCAGGCTACGGCAGTCGATGGGATCACTGTCAGGTCGGTCGCGTACTGGCCAGGCGAAAGGACAATTACTGAGTGTTGGAAGTCTTGCAGCCATGCGTTGGCGCGTTCTAGCTGTTCCTTGTCTGGAGCGCGGCTGAACACGTCGAGCGCAGCCAGGAGAGCCGTGATGTTAGGGTCGGCCATGAGGGTATGGTTCAAGTTGCGCAAAGAATTCCGTTGCCCGAAACGGAAGGCGCTTTGCCTAGCCACACGAAGAACAATAGACTCATTCACATCGCGCATGCGTCTGCACATCTCTTTGTACACTATCCAGCAGAATAGCCTTGGTATATTGCCGTGACACTCCGTAGAGACCAAACATAATCATCAGGGTAAAGGAGCAACTAAGAAAGATAGTTCAAGGGAGTGTGATGGGGTAGGCACCCCGAGGCAAGAGACAGGCATGGTGAACACGATGTACAGAAGAAAGTACGAAAGACTAGGGTAGCACTATACGGTGGGGGGTCAACAACATATGATATCCAGACGAACAAGAGAGAAGCGGGGCGAAGCTGCACTGCAGCCGGATGTTTATGCGCGCAAGAAGCCCTTGCGGACCTTGCTCTGCGAATAAGGGTCAGCAAAATTCGCGACTGGAAAGCGGAATGGCTTACGGAGCCCTTTTCGGGAGTAAGAGGACGACCGCTCTCGATGCGGCGCTTCTTCTCCTCCAGATCGGCACGCTGCCTCTCGAGGGCGTCCTTCATCTCCTTGTGGCGCGCGTAGAGCTCCTCCTCGGACTGCTTCAATTTCGCCTCCTTCTCCTGCACCTTCTGCTGGAACACCATCTTCATCTCGGCCTCCATCTTGGCGAGTTTGGCCTCGTGAAGAACACGCTCCTCCTGGAGACGTGCAGCAGGGCTGGAGAAAGGGTCAGCAATCTGTATCGTGTCGGCAAAGCTCATGTGTACTTACTTGACCTCCTTGAACACAGAAGAGTCCTGAGCAACACCCATGCTCAAGAGCTTCTCCGTGCGCCAGTTCTCGTAGAGCACGTCGTTGGTGTACTCGCGGAGCTCCTCCCATGTAGGTGCGCACAAGCATTTGGCGCAGCTTCACGAAGTCGCAGTGCTCCTCGTTGTCGACCTCAACGACACCCCAGGGGTAGGCGCGACCGCGGACCTCGCGGCCATCAGGCGTCTTGACGAGCTGGTCGGAGCCCACGACAGCGAAGGGGATCTTGCTGGCGATCTCCTCGGCCTCCATGATAGTCTCCTCGTCTTCGTTCTCATACGTCGGCGCCTGGAAAATGTGGATGTTATGGTAGGCAATGTCCGAAAGAATCTGCGCAGCAAGTCAGAAAACACCGTCAACCGAGCACGAGGCCGAAAGACGTACGCGAGCTTTGAAGTCCGCGGTTTCCTCCTCGGTCATAGTGTCCGCCTTGGCAATGACGGGAATTAGGTTGACCTTCGTGTGCAGCCGGCGCATGAACTCGATGTCGAGTTGTTTGAGCCTATAGGAGGTTCAGAAGCGCCCTATGGGACAAAGCGACGCGTCTTACGAGTGTCCAGTGGGCTGAATGAAGTAAAGACACGCGTGTACGCGGTTATCAACAATCTTCTGGCGGTTGACGCGGTTCTCCTGCTCGAGGTACGAGTCGAACCGGGATTCGATGTTTTCGACGATAGGCCTCCAGCTAGACCGACAGTCAGAGGGATCGCGCGGTTTTCAGGGGCGCGCACCTCTCGTCGTTGTTCACGAAGTCGCCAAACCCGGGCGTGTCAACCACCGTGAGGTGCAGGCGAACACCGTTCTCTTCAATGTCTACGCGCGGGAAAATTAGCGCGTCGCAGATGGCAACTGGGAAGTATCTCGTACCAGCACCAATGCTCTCAATGGCAACCGTCTTGGGACGCTCCGCCGCGGGCGGCAGAGGCTCCTTGGGAGGGTAAAGGGTCGTGTTGAAGAGGGTGTTGATCAACGTCGACTTGCCCAAGCCCGACTCGCCTATGTACGCGTAAATTTGTGGATATTCAGTAACCATCAAAGTACGCACCGACGACCATGGCGGTGAACTGGAAGCCCTTCCGCACGCTCTTCCTGTGGACCTGGTTCGGCAGGTTGGCGAATCCAACGTAGCCCGTCAGCTTTTTGCGGATAACAGCAGGGGCCGGGCTGGCGACGCCATCGGGCGTGCCGTTCGTGGGGACGTCGCCATTGCGCGAGGAAGCATACGAGTCCGTCATCTGGTGTATATTCTGAGTGAAATGCGCTGTGGGACGCGACGACAACGCTTACTGTGGGCCGAAAAGAGGACGAGGTTGTGGAAGAGCGACCGCTGTGGTCTGTTTGCAATTCCACGGTAGCGTGAGAGTATTCGGTGGTCGCCGGCCTTCCAGGCGGGCTTGCCGGCCGGCTTCCGGTCGAGAAGATGCTTAGGCGCGGATGTGGCGTCAACAACGTCTTGCAAGCGACGCCCATGAGTTGATACCCGGTCGCATCTCTGACGGACCTACAAGAGGGAAAAGCTTCCATCTCGGGCTCTCTGGTCTCTCCATTGTGGTTGTTCTCAAGCGCCATCCATTCTTCCCCCACCCATATATATGCGCCGTACATGAGGCCTCAGCGAGGCACGGGTCGTTCATCTATCATCGATAGAGCAGAGAATACACGACAAGAACTAGGGCTACATCATCCAGTAAAATTAGGCAAGGTCCGCGGGGCATATAATGTATGTGATCCACCAAGGAATCGTCTACTCGTTCAAGCAAAGCTCCGCGTTGATGTACATGCTGAACATCTTTTCTATTTCGTCGGCGGGCACTTCGACGACGTCCACATCGTCGGACCCCCAATCGTCCAACGAGAAAATATCACTGTCTGTATCAGTGTCCGTGGACCATCCTGAAGGCGACAGCAAAGGCATTTGAGGGGATGATGCAGTCGACGGGGTCGTTGGCCTGCTGCGCAATGACTCTGCCGACACCCACGGCGCAAGAGTGGCGGTAGAAAGCCAGGAAGGTGGATACTCGTCATGGGTGTGGTGGCAAGCCGTTTCTGACCCCCTTCTACGTCCGCGAGTCTGCGGAAAAGATAAGGATACCACCCCACAGTCGGAGGGTTCGACACGTACCATGTCGTCTCGGGATGCTTTTTTCGAGGAGCTTGATACCGTGTCGTGGTTCACCACTGGTGACCGCCGCACGCGAGCGCCAGTTGCGGAGCGGGGGGATGGGTCCTTGACGAAAGCCTGTTTCCCCGTCACCTCCCTCGTCGATCGACGGTGACAAGAGGGCTTTATGCGCCGCGAGGGCCCAGGCTGACCAGCAGTGGGCGTCGGCAAATCGTCGTAAGTCGTAAGATGCCCACGGTCGCGCATGAGGACAGCCAAGAATGCGGCATTGGCATCAGAGGACTCAGTCATGGTGGTTGCGGCGGCGGTGGCGGGTATGTGAGTGGGAGGGAGAAAAGTGATGATTAGAGGCACGCCGCACCGCATGCTTCTATATAACCAACTTTGCAACCGCTTTGTGTCTCTTTGAAGCGAACAGATGTTTGTTAATTCCGAAGGGTACAAAGGCATAACCGTAAAGAGGACATGGCCTGCCTATTCGAACACAGCTCCATGACATGTGTCAACACATGCCTGGCCATGTGTGCGATAGGCCCGAGCCTCCGTTGCCTTCCCCCGCCGCCTCATCCCGACGTGTTGGCGGTGAACTTGAAGACTAGGGTACTCATCAGAAACGTGCCAGGGCGTGGACGGACAACATACCGTCAGGCCTAGCATAGTGACCAGCCACATCTAGGTCGAATTTGCCCCGAACACAATCATTCAAGTCAAGGGTGGCGGTCAATACACCCTCCTCGCCGCGCAGCGGTCCAGCCAGAATTTCACCCAGAGGGTTGACGATCATGCTACCGCCCGCAATCATGACATTGTCCTCATGCCGCTGGTCCGCATTGCGGACAGCGTGGTCGGACGGGTAATGCCTCTCTGGGGTACAAGGAACGTATATCACATTACAAGCACGTTTGCCTCGTTGCAAACCTTGACATACCTTGAGCAAACTGGTTGGCGGAGAGGACGAAGCACCGCCCTTCTAGAGCAATGTGGACCATCGTGTTCTGCCACACGGGCCTTGCATCAACGGTGGGCGCGGTGTAGATAGACACGCCTTGATTGTAGTAATACTGCCTGACTTGAGGGGGTTTTCAGCGAGGGCCTAGTGAGGGCGAGGGAGGGTCGACTTACGCAAGGGAACGTAGTTCTCCCTTCTCTGGATCAGCGCAAGCCAGGGTACGACGACTACAGAACATACCAGCAAATGGTGGCCGATATCTTTGCGGTAACTTCGCCCTTCTCGCCGCTGGGGAAGGCCTTCTCGACCACGGGCAAGGTCGTGCCATCACCTTGGCCCCAGATGAGTCTCTCACAAGCTGTGGGAACCAGCTTCCGGTGCTTCGACAAGTATCCTTGTTGAGGATCGACGAAGATCGCAGTGCAGTACAGCGTCCCTCCGTCGCGTTCGATGACCCCAACGACGAGAAAGACACCCGTCTCTCGACTGATACTCTCGATGCGAGTGACAGCTAACCCAGGTACTTCGATGGCTGCAGCGTGGTATCGCACGTATTCGTCTCGGCCTTCGGGAGAGCGCTCGCCTACTACAGCACCGAAGGTGGAGTGCTTGGGATAGCCTAAACGACCAGGAGGAAGGTTAAGATCTTTAGCGAACGAATAACTGCCTACCACCGATACTGGGAGCACTGATCAGTACGGATGCAGCACAATCTCTGTGGGAAACCTACAATGCCTCTGGAAAGACAGCCAACTGCGAGCCGTCTCTATCCTTGGCTAGGCGTACGAGCTCCTCGAGCTTGTCAAGCGTCTTGTCAAGGGAGTACTCCTGGCAGCATGTCTGAACAACCGAGGCGCGGAGGAGCTTGCTATCGACGGACATGATGAGGAAAGGAGACGAGTCAGAAGAAGCGCAGGGGCTTGGCCGTGTTTGAATTCCTAAGTTCAACCGTGACCGGCACGCTTCGGGCCAATCGGACCGCGGTGGCGAAACCCAGCAATCGACCACCATGTTGCGCCAGGCCGAGGGAGTCTTGAAGGGCATTCCAATCGTCTCGCCTCTGCAAGCCTTGCATAGGGCTATCCCATCCGTTCCCCATGACAGAGCTTTCCAGGTATTTGCTTGTGCGTCGCAACTACGTCGCCGCGGCGGGGAGGAGTAAATGCACGCCGAAGACGCCTTCGATCTACTTGAAGACGAAAGAAGCATCCAAGATATACCGGCGAAGCAAGTGGGCTTGTATCATCTCTTGCGGCGAAGGAGGATTGACAAGTTGACACTGGATGGGATATTGAGCAATATCGAACAGGCTATGCTTAACGACCATCCTGCTCATGATTCTTCGCCTCAAAATCCTATTGAGTAGGAGAGGATCAGACATAGAATCCATGTGTAGTAGCTCTTCTCTTCAGTCAGCCCACGAGTGCCACAAAAGTCCCTAAATTACCCAAATTGCTTCGACGTACACAACGACAAACAACATCAACCTTTGTTCTCGCCACCATGGTTGTACGTACTCAGCAAATGCTATACCCTCGAAGCTTCTGCTTACTCGAGCCGCTCAGAAACTCCTCCTTTCTATCAAGGCCGAGCTCGAGAATGTCACCGATCTCGCCCCTGCCTCGGACGACTTTGAGTATTTCTTCCAGGTGAGATCAGCCACTACACGCGCCTCGAATGTGTTGCCAACACAAGCACAACAAAAAGGTCCAATGCAACAGCTGCCACGAGACGCATCCAAAGTTTGTCGGCATGAACATGAAGGTACGGCGGCCGTGATCTGCACCGCATCAGTTGTTGTTTATGACCTTCTCAGGACGAGCGCGAAGTCTCCGGAGGCAAAAACGCGACTGCGAACTTTGTTTGGCGATGCGGGATGTGTGAGGATACTTGGTGTTGTTGACCACACTGCGTTCCTGACAAAAACTTCGCGCAGGCAAACGAGAAAGCTCGGCCAAGTTCGATACGGCGTATGGTGTGAAGCCATATAGCGCTGAGAATGGCCAGTTTGGGCCTCTGCTGACCATCGAGTGCCGTGGCCTGGAGTTTGTTGGCTTCGACATGACTAGGGTTTGCCATACCCCTTTCTGTAGCGAATTTTGTGACTGATTTGCCCTTTGCTCAGGGCGCGTGGAAATGCAAGGGTGTGGATTCCGGCACCGTCTTCTCCGAGGTTGACCTGAGCGACGGAGAGTGGACGGACTACGACGAGAAGGTAAGCCTTTTCAACGCTCGTCAAAGCCTCGCTCACGTCTGCCCAGGCCTCCCAACCTGTAGGCATATCCGAGCTGGGCAGCAAATGGAGCCGCGCTTGAGTTTTCGCACTTCATCATGTACGCAAGCAATACAACGATGTTAACGAGTCCGTCAATACAAAAAGATATGCAGTCAGATATTTGGGTATATATCTAGCACGTCCGTGTCCGTCCTATCCACTCTCCGGCTGTTCAGTAAGTTCAGCATCCGCTTTGGACCCCTGCTGTGGTCGAGGAGTACGATTGTCTGTCGCCTCGCCCTCGGACGCAGCGCCGGTCGAATCCGCGGCTGGCGCATCTGACTTCGTGTGCTCCTGCTCCTTCGCAGACTCCGCGCCACTGGCGTTCTCGGTGGGCGAATCAGCCGGAGGCGTCGATTTCTCCTGCTGCGCTGGCTGCTCCTCCGAAATGGAGTTTCCTTTCTTCGTCGCTGGCGCAGCTTCTGCCTGCTTGCCCTTCTCGTCAGAGCCTGATGTCTTGTTCTTCTCCTCAAAAACCCGGCGGATGCCCATTCTGCTGAGCCGCCGCCACTTCCTCCTCCTTCTTCCTGCCCTCCAGAACTTCCTTCTTCCACGAGTCATCCGTAGTGACCGCCATCTTGACCTTCGTCGCGGCGTCCTTCACTTCCTCCTTGCCCTTCTTCTGCAGGCCCTTCTGTTTCTTCTGCCATTTACCGAGGTGTTCGATCCTAGAGCGGAGGTCAGTGCGCGTGCGGTGGGGAAGAGAGCGATGCATCGTACCCCCAGAGCGCAGCCTCTGCCTTAGTGACCTTGACCTTCTTCATGTTGACGCCTCGCTTCTCTAGCTCGTGAAGGAAATGGTGGAAACTCTATCGTGCGGTCAGTTGAAGGATTGGCAAGACATGTCACTGTCGTACCCCGATTCTTGTCCTATACGCGATGTCAGCTTATACTCGAGCATCGCGAGCGTGAGCCGTACCTATAATGTCCACTCAGAGGCGAGAGCGTCTTGATAAGACCTTGATCCACGCTAATCAAACCTGCAGACATCACAGGTCCGCCGCCTACGAGAGAGCTATGCTGGAACTCTCCGGTCGCTACAACAATTTGAGCAAGCGAAACATGCCCGAGACTGAAAGGCGTACTCTTGATCCCGATGAATATGTTACCTGTGGATAGTCAGGCTACTGACGCAAAAGGGAGAGTGAGGCGACGCACATTGGGCATCCGCGACGTAAACCCACGTGTTTCGGGCAACTAGACGGTGGTCAGCGGCAAGTGTAGAGACGCGACGACGTAAACATACCTGTCTTCCTAAGTAGCTTCTGCACCCAACCGCTACGCCGCAGCGTCAGTCAAACCCACAGACATCACACGTCACTCCTCACCTGGGCGTAAACTTCCTCCGAATCGACCGCGTAAATCGATTGCTACCTTTCACCTCCCCGACATAGTGCGTAATGGCCTCATCAGACGACACCGACGAGGACGATAGAGATGAAGAGAAGCTCCCTCTGCCGCCGTTGAGTGGGGGCCGCTCGGGGACGTCGAGAGGGACGATGCCCGCGCCACCGCCAGCGTCCTTCCATCGACCTGCGGTGGTGTCGACCAGGGTGTTGTTTCGAGCCCATCTCAGTTTCCCCTGCTCATCGATTTTGACGAGGTAGTTCATGCCTACAAAGTCAGATGAGGCATCATGCGATGAAAGAGAAAAGTAACATACGCTGTTCGGCGGACAGGTATCTTTAGAAGTGCTCGTGAGTTCGTGTTCGACGGTCGAGTCCAGATTCTACGCACATGATCCTCTGCGACTGGTCAGCCCTGTTCAATAGCGATAGGCGAAGAAAGCGCACACACCTCTTTCTCGAGCTGCTCGCGGGAGCATTCAGGTAACGAGAGGTCCTTGCCCTCTCCCTTGTCCAACCTACGCGACGTGAGCACTCCTGCGTTTACAGATGGATTGATACCCACCATTTGAAGAAGTTGTCCTTTGTGTCCTGCAATCTCGTATTAGATAGGCGTCTGCGAAGCGAAGGGCTTTCATACCGATTGCTTCCATTTCGCGAAGTAGTACTGGATAGCATCGAGATTAGTTCCGCAGCGGGCGAGTTCTCGCGCCACTAACCTTCACTGAGCATGGAGTGAGTGGCCATACGTAGGACGCAGCAAGCTAAGACCTACGGTTGGACCCGTAACGATGCTTTCCATCGACCAGTTCAAGCCAGTGTTGCGTCTGTAAAGCGGTATTTAGACCAGAAGATAGCGCTATGTACGAGCGCACTGCCGAACCTCCAGATTCTTCAGCTGTGGATCCGCAGGCTGCTTGTTTGCATCGCCCGTGATCTCATCCCTATCTCCAGCCAACCGCGAGGCAAAGAAGGCCGTCCTCTGCCATCGTTCCTGCAGAGGTGTAGGTCCAACCGCGTTACTGATACGTACCAAAGAGCGTTACCTTTGGACTGTTATGGCCCTTGTCAGCTGACATTCTTCCCAGCTACCACCGTGTTAGCCTTCAGCATCACCACGTTCACACTCCTTTCGTACCTTCAGCTTCGCGTGCACAGCAGCTTGTTGCCAGCGCGCGTCAGGGCTGAGCGCGTCGGCCGCGAATCTATTGCGCTGGCTGGCGCGCCACCGCCGCTGGATCTTCACTGCGGCTTCATTCCGGTGCTTGTCTTCATCAGAATGCAGTACGTCTGGCAGCTTCTCCTCGACTTGGGCACGCATAGCGACGGGTGAGGACAAGGACCGAAGAGGCTGTAACCGTCCGCTTATGGCGGCTAAGTTTGGAGAAAAAGGTCATGACGTCACAGTGTTCATTGCGGTAGGCTACGGGAACCAGGTCTTGAGAGATGCATTAGATGGCTACAGATGGAAATGTGGCTACTGCACAAATGCAAGGGGACAAAGAGGAGCAGCAGATGCAAGGATACTAATGAGGGTAAAGTCTGCGGTGTTCATACCAGCACGCAAGGGGGTAACTAAATGATGATGAAGTGAAAATTGGGAAACCATGAGTCGATGGTAGGGTTTGGATATCTAGCTTCGTCCGTCTACTTGAAGCCGTTGAAAACCCAACCAGGAGGAAGGGTCAAATAGGGATGCCTGCGTAGCTCTGACGCAGGAGGTCTGTCATCAGGATTTCTGTCGCGGGGCTTGAGTCGACGATCATGAAAGAGCAGAGAAAGGTGCTTACATGGCGAAACATTTCCGCCTAAAGTCGTCAGCAAGTTCGGAAAGGTGTACATCGTCAGGTACAGGAGGCGGCTGTTTGCTCTGGTAAAGCTACAAAACAGTCAGTTGGCCGTACAGTACGCAGGGCAGACGGGCGTACCTTGAACATAACCGCCACCGCCTCATCACCCAACCACGGTCGCGAACCGGCCCACATCTCCAACACCACGCAGCCGACACTCCAAATATCAACCTTGAAGTTGTACCCCTTCTTCTGCGTGTTGATAACCTCCGGCGCCATCCAAAAGACGGTGCCCTGCATGGCGGTCATCGCGGCCTGGTCGTTGTCCGTCCGCTTCGAGATGCCGAAGTCGGATATCTTACAGATGCCGGTCGTCTCCACGAGGATATTGTCCGCCTTCAGATCACGATGGAGGATACCCTTGGAGTGAAGATATTCCAGGCCACTGAGGATCTGGCCTGTGAAGGACTTGGTAACGTCCTCGTCGAACTTGCCGTGCTTGAGCAAGCAGCTCCCGATCGATCCACCAGGGACGTATTCGAGGAAGCTGCGAAGTCAATGTCAGATGGTGCATCCACAGACAGCCGCGGGCGACGTACATGCTCAGATTCGTAGGCGTCTCCTCGAAGCCAAGGTACTGCACGATATGCGGATGGTCCAAGTCCTTCAGCGTCTCGCTCTCTGACTTCAACGCCTGTACGACTGTGACCTGGCGCGAATCGTTCTTGTCGCTCGCAGTCTGAGGAATCTCGACCTGCTTGACTGCAATCATCTCGCCCGTCGTGGCATTGAGGGCAAGATATACACGGCCATACGTCCCGCGACCGATGAGTTCGCCGCGCACCCACTTGAAGGTCGCTAAAGATACAGTCAGCGACGGTCGGGACAATCGTGCAAACCAACTTACCCGCTCCAGACGGGGACTCCGGCAAGGGAGGTTGCAAGCTAATCCTCGCCTGGCTCGAAGTCACTTCCTCCAGCCTGCTCCCCCACAATTTCGTGCTCCTCTTCCTCTGAATCGCATCCGACACACGCCTGTTCCCCTCCTCAACCACCTTCCTAATCGACTTCTTGTTCTTACGCCTATGGTCAGAGACCATCGGGGGTGCCGGCGCTTGCGGAATCGGCGCCGCCGTAATCTCGGCCGTCGGCGAAGACCCGCCCGACACCGCTTCGATGACGGGCTTGTCCAAGTCGTGCTCGGGGAAGAACTCCTCGAGCCGCTCGTTGATCATCTCGGGCGGCGGGCGCGGCGCCCATGTCTCCTTCCGCATGTCCGTAAAGGTGCTACCCCGCGCCTGTCGCCGATGCGAGTCGTGGTATAGTGGCGATGGCGGAGGCTGGTCGCTGCGCGACGAGGGCGGCGTGGACGACCTTGCGCTGGGTATCTGCAGCGGCCTGACCTCGCCGCCCCCGTCAATCTGCACCTTCAGCGGGGGCCCGCGAGAGACTGACTTGGGCCGGTTCCCGGACGGTGGCTTCTGCCACATCGACATGCAGGTGCCCGACTCCGAAGCACCGTCATCAGAGTACCCGTCGCTGGAGATGAGCGTAGCTGACGAAGACTGCACCGTCGCCGACGAATTATACGACGTCGTCGAATTGAAGGATGTCGTCGAGTTATAGGACGTCGTCGACGCGAGAGATGCATTTGAATTATGCGATGCACTCGACTGCTGCGATGCGTTGGAGTTGTGCGACGCGCTATGCGCCATCGGCGGCATCACAGTGCTCTCGCTGGCATGATTAACCATGTCCAGCAAGCAGGACGGCATGAGAGTGGACGTCGAAGAGTCCTCCGCAAAGTCTGCGCCATGAGAATTACGCGGGCTCGTCGGGCTCATGGGCGGGCTTTGCGGGAGCGGCGTCCGCGGCGGTGCGACGACGGCCTCCATTGGCTGGAATAGCCGGCCGTTGGTGCCTCCGGGTAGAGGCAACTGGCGGATGGGCGACATTGCGCGCGGCGAGCGTGTTGAGTCCGAAGACTCGGAGCGACCATAGGCGGAAGAGTTCGTGAGGCGAGAGGTGGGCGAGATGACATGGTCGCCGGTAGCGGATGACGGTCTGGGGAAAGGCTCCGGCGGGGACGATAAACCACCGGACTGGACAGGCAAGCGCGTCGGGGACGGCTCGTAGCTGGTCGAGTGCTGGAAGGGCCGCCCCTGACTGGGCAGCGCCCGAATAGGCGGCCTCGAGGCATGCGCCGTCGGGTTCTGCCCCGGCGAAGAAGACGCAAAAGCGAGGTCGCGCGTGGACGGATTCGACGGCCGGCTCACGGGGAGCTGGCCATTGGTCCGTCTAGCGCCAGGCTGCAACGTTGCAGGGTGGTTAAAGCTGCTTCGCAAGTTGTCCATGCTCTTCGCAGTCTTCGTCAGTCTGCTCCATTGCGGCTGCGAGGGAGGCAGCGGCTTCTGGCCACCCTTCTCCTCGCCTTTCCACGTAACTGGCCATTGCGCCGGTACGTGCTGCCTCGAGGCCGACGTGCGTACATCACCCGAGGAAGGGGGGACGGGTGCGGCGACGCGCGGCGCCGGCGGAAGGTTCAGTCCCAATCCTCTGCTAGCATACGAGGTTGGCTTGTACCGTTGCGGATGCAGGTAATTGCGGCTTGTGCGACTGGATGAAGGTGACTGCTTCGGAGATGCTGGATCCGAAAACTGCGAAGCCTCTACGAGTACCCACGATTCCGACCTGTTCGACTCTTCCTTGTCGTGCAAGTGCCGTTTAATCCGGCGAATGGGACTGTTCTCTTTCCAATCGTGCCGGGCCCGACCCCCTTGTGATGCCTTGTTACGTGAATGGCGACCTTCGTCATCGCCATTATGCGGCGAGGGCGAGGGTGGAGTGGGGTTCATCGACATGAGTTGCTCGAGCTGGGCGGTCGCGTCGGATGCAGAGCGTACGTGAGGCATGCGCGTCGCCGGGGGTGTGATATTGCTATCCTCGTCCAAGACTTCGAAAGACGTTTTTCGAGGTGATAACGGTGGCGGCGGAGGTGGTATGGGTACCTCTTTGCCGTATCGATCGATCGTCGTGGACGGAGAAGTGAGTGCCTCGGGACGCGCGTGCGGCGGAGATGAAGGCCGCGAGGGCAGAGGGGATGTTGAGGGGTTACCGTAGCGCTGCCCGTTTACAGCCGGAGGGGACAGAATACTCGACACCGGTAGAGACGAGGATAAAGTTGGCAAGGGGCGTACGGGGCGGCGGTCGTGGTTAGACTCGTTGTTATCAACGTCCGCCTCGTACCCTGCAGCAACCTCTGGAGGATGTTCGCTAGCGGAGGAGACACTGCCGTGCCGAGACCGCGAGCGACGCAATGGCTGCAGTGGCGCGTAGCTGGGAACAGTCGCTTGAGGTAGCACGGGAGGTGGGATAGTTGCGGGAGGTGAGACTGCTGACTGTGGCGTCGGAGGTTCGTGCACTGGCGCACTTGCGTGGCTCACGAAGAACTTCAGGCCACCCTTGGAGTCGCCCTCTCTCCGACAAAGGTCGAACAATTGATCATCCGGAAGAGCATCGCCAAGGGCGTACGCGCCAATCTCGGTGCGATAGATGGCATAGTGTTGCTGTTCGCTATCATCATAGATGTTCAACTGCCAATCATCAGTTTTTAGCACGCGTTCAATGGCGTGCACACGCACCTTCGTGAAGATGCACTCCTTAATGAATGCCGCATCCTTCGCCCCGCTAATGTCCACCGTCACGTAGCGTTCGGAGTCCAGGGTAACCAGGATGGAGACCTTGCTAGCGACCGTGGTGCTGGATGACGCGTAGCTCGAATTTGAACCATATGAATCAGGCGTTGTAGGCGACTGCAACGCATGAGCACGAGAGCGCAAGCCGGAAAACTGAGCACGCACCATGCTATCCCTTTGCGACGAGCCTTGCGACGGCAACCTGGGAGTGCTATTGTACGCAGGATAATGTGGCCTGTAGTAGTTCTGCGGATGCCCATCGTTACGTTCGACTCGATCAGCATGCGCTACCACGACAGGGTCCAGATTGGACTGTCCCTCTCCCTTGAGATCAAATGGAGGCTGGAGGACATTGGGGGTGGTTGGTGGCGGAGTGGACTCGTCCGCTGCGTGCGAGCTAGTGCTCGAGGGCGAGGAGAGGGATAGATGGGAGGTTTGATAGGCCGCAGAGCTGGGCGGCATCATCGCGGTCGTGATCTGCGGGAGGGGCTTTGGGTTCGGCGGGCTTGGTTGCGGCGGAAGCGGCGGTGGCTGGTACGAATACTGAGCTTGATAATGGCTGGTGCTGGGGAGGCGTCGGCCATAGGGCTGGTCGTCATCGCTCTCTGAGTCTGAGCCGCGGTTGGCGACGTATAGAATCCTGTTGCGAGCCTTCGAGGCACGAACGTCGTCTGCCATGGCGGAGAGGGCGTGCGCGACGCCGTTGGCGACGATGATGGGGGTTGAGGAGAAGGGACGAGGAAGAACACGCGGATTTTGCGAGGATCTCGGCGCCGACTGGAGACAACGGCCCACCCGCCACGCTCGCCCGGAGACGAGCCTTCTGACTTCCCAGATTCAAAGTCGACGCCCAACCAGATTACCTAATGCGGTCTAAGCTCGGTCCGCTCGCTCCTCATCCTTTCTGCGCAAACCACGCAGCAAACTCGCCACAAACGGGCCCAAGACAATAGCTACGCGTACGCTAGAAATATAGCTAGGCTGGTATGCTAGAATAAGGTTCCCAGTCGCCACCCCCCAATTCGAAATCGAGCAGGTTCTGGAGGGCGTTTGCAGCCACTACATGTTCATCCCGGATCCCGATGTCCTCGCTATCCCACGCAGGCGGCGGCACACTCGAGTCGCGCGTCCATTGGATCGACGTAATCGGCGCATCGTCCTCTGCTTCCTCCTCGTCCGCAGGGACAATCGGACGCATCAGGTTCGTCCGATTCCCAACATACAGGTGCGCCCCCGTCGAGATCTCCCTGTCGCCCCTGCCGCCCTGTCCGTCCGCAAATGTGATCTTTCGCTTGTCGATACGCCCCCATGACTTCTGCACGGCGCCGATGAACATGCGCCTCCCCGTGGCGCGCCTCGCATGCGCAGCCTGCGGGGCATCCGGCCTCGAGACGACCGCATTTCCAGGGTCCTCGTCGGCCACTTCCCGCCCGTAAGCCTTGCCCACGAGTACGCCCTCCAGGTCGTACATTGTTCCCCAGAAAGTCACAGGTCCACCACGACGTTGAACCACAAAAGGGCGACGGGTGGCCCGTCGGCGTGCAGGGGAATACGAACGGCTGGGCCCGTCCATATGATTCATCTCGATAGTGGCGTCCATTTCCGGCGGTGGAGAAGCATGGAGCACGGACGTGGACGCGCCATCTACCGCCCGGCTATCCATGAAGTCCTTCAAGGAGATGAAGGCCTCACCCCGGTCCCTGCAGCAAAGGTCGCACGAGCAATATTTCTCGCAGTGAGGACAGGTGAAATCGGCCTTCGGGTCGAAGTCAATGACTCCATGATACCTGACAAATGACAATGAGCACAGAGCAACAAACGCTGATATCCAGGACACCCACCGGAGGATGATGCAGCGGCTACAATAATGCTTACCGCATGCACACACCATCGCCAGCCTTGAAGTGGACCCGGCCTGTCGACACTGATGGCACAACTTTGTGTATGGGATCCCTGCCTTCATTGGCCACTTGAAGGTCTTGTAGTTGACCTTCGCGTCCGGTCCAGCCATGTCCGGAGGCGGGTGCACGCCCGCGCGTCGCTTCCGCTTCCGAGACTGGGTAGCGAGAGGGACCGACGGTGAGCGGTCGCGCGAGGAGCCGGCACGCGAGGACGCAGGGGAGCTGGGACGGGATGACACGACGGAATATCCAGGAGAGCGAGACCGTCCCCGCGCGGAACATGACGGCGCGAACGGGGCAGCGGGAACTTCTAGCAGGGCGCCGGCAACATTTTGTGGCTCCGCGCTGGTAGATGCAGGCGCGGACGGGGCAAGCCCGTGCAGGTCCTGAGATGGCGGCTCCGCAGCGAGCCCAGCGCCATGCATCCAATTGTCCACCCGACCCTGCAAATCATCTTCGAGACCATACAGTGGAGCCTCTTCCGTGCCGCCAAATGGTATGTGCAGGATATTGTAGGTAGATGGTTCCGTCGAGAAGGGGACAGGAGACGCAGCACGCGTCGGACGGCCGTGCGTACCCGTGGCGGAGAGATGATCATCGGTGACGGACAGGAAGTCGGTGTTGAAGACATCATGGGGGTCGACCACCGGTAATTCGGTCGTACTCGTCCCGGCAGCACTGACATGTGGGGAAGGCGGTGCGATAGTCTGTGGAGGGTCGGATGGCGCTATTGCAGCGATTTCATAGGAGTGTATGCTAGGCGCAGTCACGGTGAACCGAAAGCTCAAATCTTGAAGCTCGGCTGGCGTCGCGCATGTGGGCATTTGGGAGTAGTGAAGTGGCGGCGGCGTGAAATGGTCGTTGGATTGCGTCGTTGGCGATATGGAGAAGTCGTCCGGATATAGCAAGGTGAGCGCTGGATTCATCTGGTCGTCCAACGGCTCAGAGTGTGCACCGTCATCCTCAGGTGGTTGGAGGGGAGGCATGATGCCCTGAAAACCGGTATAGGACGTGGCGCTCGACTCTGCCTCGACCCTGTCTGAGGTTTCCCTCACATGTTGAGGGTTCTGACGCTCAAGTATGGGTGGGATCTCCTCGCCATTCGGCTCCTCCTTCGCGACCTTAACCCATTGCTTGTCGGATGTAGGTGGCCTGACGGTGAGATCGAATACGATAGGTTCCTCTTCCCATGCTTGCCGTAAGGCTTGCGCGTGCCGACTTTGCCTGGCGCTGTCATCCCAAGAAATATGACGAGAGTTCAATAGTACCGCTGCCCGCGACCTAAGCGATGATGTTGCGATAGGCAAGATGATGGGAGGTGGAGGTCCGACATCTTCTGGTGGGCTTGACGAGGGTAGAAGGCTTTCTACCTGCTCTGACCACTCGGATGGCCGACGCTCCGGGGAAAGGGAATGATGCGGTGATGGGGTATCCTTTGGTGTCGCGCTCAAACTTGAAAGGGTATGCTTGGGTGTCGGGTGTCGGGTTGAGCAAGAGAGTTCACGTTTATCTGCCGTCTTCTTCCGCCTCACACCACTTGTGCGTGGATTGTACGCGTCGGCGTCAGAAGGTCTTTTGCGAGGCCGCTTGGCTGGACTTCGAGCGGCCCTGGTCGGTCGGGAACCCGACGGACGGCGGCGTCGATCTAAGGTGGCGATGCCTTCCTCCTCCTCCTCCTCATCGTCAGAGCTGCTGACATCTTCGTTGAGGTTGTTGAGTGCATCCGCGAGGCTGTCGAACGTTCGGCGCGTTGACGCTGCACGAGGCGCGCGAAGCGGAGCGGGTGAAGAGAGGCGCATACGCTCGGGTGGCGGCGACATGACTGTGTCTATGATCAGGTCGAAGATTGAGTCATGGCTCTCCCTCGCAGTAGATACGGAAGCAGCGCGCGAGCGAGTTGGCGTCGTTACTCGCGAGGAGCTACTCGAGGACGTGATATCGATTACCTCTGGTGATGGTGCTGGTCGCTGGCGCAAGCCTGAAGAGGTGGAGGGCTCGTAGTCATCTCGCGACACGCCAGCTGGGAAGGAAGGAACAGCGACATAGTCCAATGTCATGCGAGCGCGCTTGCGAGTGCGTCCCTCTGCGAGTCCGCCAGCAGGCTTGCGCTTGGACGGTAGAGGTATTCGCGGCGCACGGTGGATTACGACAGTTCCAGGCGAAATATTGCCGTTGAGGACTAAAGGGGCTTCACGCGGCGCAGGGGTCGATCTTGAGCTACTAGCCACTGTCAGAGGTGTAGTTTCCCCAGAAGATGAGATAGAAAAGAGATCGTGGACGGAGCGTGGTCCTCGCTCCTTCGGCACTGACGGTGGGTTTATTGTGCCATCTGGGCCGCAGTCGTCCGTCGTGGGTGTCGACGAGAACGGTGGATGCTGCGCCAGCTATGAAGCGCTCAGTAAAGCAATATCAGAGGAGGTCATATAGCTATCTACCTTCTTGGAAACATGGTTAAGCCCCATACTGACAAGGGTAGAGTCATTGGAGATGTCACGGGATGTTGAGGCCTGCAAGCGGTTGTGAGTCGCCTGCTACAGGTACCATGAGACGATCTCCATCGACGTACACTTGGGAAAGGTATTTCGGGGCTATTGTGGGCGGATTGGTACAAGAGAAACTATAGGCGCCGATCCATCAGAGTGCGACACGGCATGATCGACGCGCCCCGACACGCACCTCCTCGCATTCGTCGATGTCATCCTCCCCGGCAGCGTCCGCCTCACTATCATCGCTCCCGTCTGCATCTGCACTGTAGATGGAGATGTGATCGGCCTCGCGACTAGAGCCTTGTGGCAGGGGGAATGACGGCATAACGCGGCGTGACAGCCGCTGGTGGGAGCGCGTCGAGAGGGGATGGGTGGTTCGTTGGTGGCGTCCGGTGCTGGAGGGGCAGTAGGAGCACGTTTGACGCGTCCAGTGGGTGCAGATGAGTTGTTTGGCCGGTGGTGGGCTCTAGGGACTTGATGGTAGACAATACTTCTCCCAGGATCGAGACTCCCGTGACATGGAAAGCAATCAAGAAGGGGCGCAGTTTGGCGACTCCAGCTACGCGTCGAGAGTACAGAAAGTGATCAGAAGAGCAAGCCCAGCAAGGGATTCCGAGGAAGACGCCCAGAATCCAGTCAAAAGACAAGTCTGTTCGTGACTGTGTTGGTATGTGTTGAGTGCTTGCTGGAGGAAGCCGACATCACACCCGGACCGACACCGGCGCCTGGCCGGACCCCTCATCATCACTCTCGTCAGGCGCCCACCCGTCACGCTCACCCCACGATGAAGCTGCTCGCCTTCCTTGCTGCGCTCCCCCTCATCAGCGCCTTTCAGACCGAACAAGTCCCCCTGAACGACCCAGCAGTCATGGCCACCGACGACTACACTCCCCAGCTCGCCCAGGGCGGTCCCTCTCTCGCCGACCTTCTCACCATCACCCCATCCGTCTCCATATTCTACTCCTATGCGCGCGAGCTCCAGCTCAGCGCCATGTTTGCGGACCCGTCTCGCCAACTCACCCTCTTTGCGCCTACCAACAAGGCTGTCGTGAGCCTGCCTCGGAAGCCGTGCGTCTTCCGTCTCAGCTGGATGGTTAGGATGCTAATGAGCCCTCATAGACACGAAGATCCCAAGATCAAAGAGGGAGTGATCACAGAGCAGGAGTACGACACCCGCTCAAAGCACAACATCGAGCGCTGGGTTGAGGCCCATATCATACCCGTCAGTGTCGCACGAATCCCTGCCTGACGCGACTGACATCCTGCAGACAGCCGACCTTGCTCTCACTCCTGGCAAGACCGTTGAGACCATGCTCTCCGGCAAGTCCATCACCTTCGAGAAGCTCGAGCAGCCAGGGAATGAGGACTGGCAGCGAGTGTCCCTGGAGGACGACGTCAAGGTCATCGAGAAGAAGCAGGTGCGTCTTCTGCTATCTTGTTTTTGCATCTCACCAACGCGCATGCAGGGTTCCAATGGTATCCTATACATGATCGACGGCACAGTATCGCCCAATTAGGGCGCGCCCTTGACCTCTTACTTTTCCTCTTCGCCCTTGTATCATCAAGCTATCGCTGTACAGTAGATCTCTCTTCATATAGGATATCCAACAATAATATTCCGACGATGGTATGGTTCATTACAATGAATGCGATGCGGTGCTATGATACAGAGTAAATGCGAAACTCAAATCTTCATGCCATTGCCATCGTCCTCGTCGGACGTGACAGTTCCCTCCTGAAGATTCAACTGTATGCTAGGTCAGCCACACGAACTATCCCCCAGAGACGAAGGGACGTACCTTCGGGAACTCAGCCCTCTCCTCCAGCATCGACTCGCCCCAGCTGAGCAGCTTGAGCAGGCCGACAAGCTTAACCTCCTTGCCTTGGCTCAAGCTCTCAAGGATGGCAGCATTCACCTCACCAGCAGTCTTCTGACGCTGGCCAGAGGAAAGCAACTCCGAGACGGCAGGAGGTGCCGCCGGCGACGACTCGAAGGCCAGTAACGTCATAGTCTTCTCGAGGTCGGCGAGGAACTCAGGGTTCTCCTCGCCGCGAGGCGCCAGCTCATTCTGCGCAAACTGCAGCGCCTCGTCAATGCGGTTGTCGCGGATGAGCTCAATCAGGCGTTGCTGTTGAAGGTGGAAGTAAAGGGCGGGATTCGTATCTAAGATCTGGGGGTGAGGTTAGTGATCGAAGAGCATAGACAGCATAGGGGGATGAGAAGATCATATTGAAGACTGAAGTTTTGGTGTAAAGAGTATCATCACCGACCCGAAGGGTCTGAGCGTGGTGCATGAAGGTTGTAATCCTTTGAACGTAGTCAGATATGGTACGTACATCAGGATTGAGGTCATTGACGCGCGTGATCGCGTCCTCCACGTCGCCGCGCTGCAGCGCCTCGCGTATGTTCATCCTGTTCTCGATGCTGTCGAAGTCCACTGGCGCAGCGAGGCTGGCCTCCTGGCTGAACTCCACCGCCGCGGACTTGTAACCCTCAATGACGAGGTAGTCCATGATGAGGCGGTTCAGGTCACTGGGGATGACATGTCAGTATCAAGCGCGAGATGGCCATGATTGATGGGTAGATGGATCAGATAATACATGCAATTTTTGGTCTCAGCATCGTTGTTCAGCGAGATTCCCATTTATTTTTCTCATCTTGTCGAGGGGGAGGTATTGTGGCTGGAAGGAAGTACTCACTCTTTCGTGACCTGCACTTCGTGTAAGCGCCTATCCCACTCCTCCTTGCGTATCGAGATTCGTGAAGCCTGGGCGAAGATCAGCAAGGTAACATCGTGGCAGACGCGTCGAGCTACGAACCATGAAGGAAATTTTTGAACGGGTAGCTCGTTTTATTCGCTTGATGGGTCACTTGAGGGCAGGCTTTTGACACGATCACGTGTATTCACGGTTGAACTTCAGGATGCACTATCTTACCGACTATGGCTCGGTCGATTGGCTTGAAGATACCTCACCGACGTGTTCATTGCAGTAACATTGTTGTGACCCTGCAGCAAGCGCGGAAGTCACCTTCAGTTGGATTTCATCCCACAATGAGCCTATCCGATCGCTTCCCTAAAGTTGCTTGATGACCGAGTTCAGAGCGGATACGCCACATTGTTTGGCAGGTATGCTGTCACTCCCCGATGCCCTCCTATAAAGAAGGACGACTGGGTGGCGGTGTCGCGCTATACGTTTTTCATTCCGCCCCTCATCTTCAATACCTTTCACGCCTTCATCATGGGCAAGTCCGATGCCTCAGTCGTCGAGTGCGCGCATCCTCTCCCATAATCTATGTATTGTGACAAGACCATGCCCAGAGAGTTCCACTCTTTAGTTAACATGACGCCGAATGAGTTGAAGGAATGGCTTGAGACCGACGAGTCAACGCAATGCGGCCAGATCAAGGGCGATGGCTACCCCACTACGATCTCTTCCATCGCAACCCTCTTCGCTAACCTCGCCTTTCGTAGTTCTGGGGAATCAGTGGGGCACGAGAGCGGGCGGAAAATAGTCGCGATTTTGGAGAAGAGTCCCGAGAAGGATGTCGACCAGTACGACGAGGAAGACCTCGCCCACATGCGTAAAGTCGTAGCTTACTGCAAGCGCCACTTGGCGCAAGAGGAACCAAAGGCGCAGGCGGACTCGGATAGCAAGGCCTACAAGTGAGTCTGCCCGGTTTGCGAAGCTCGGCTGCTCACACGGGCATAGGAGCCTGAAGAATTGGGGGCATGACGCGCAAAAGGCGTAGAGTGGACAGAGAAGTACATGTATACATTGCAGCAGCTCATGCCTTCGACACAGTACCCCCAGACCTGATGAGATCGAAGAACTTGTCCTTTTCGACGGCAGCTGTGTACGGTTTAAGTAGGGATCAGGTCACGCGTTGAAGGTACTTACCATCCTTGCCCCGTCCGATGATGTTGTCCTTGTTTTTGGCTTTCGTCTTCCCCTTCGCCGGGATCGGCTCCGCGGGCGCTGCTAACGTCTGCTTGCCCGTCCCGCGTTGCGCCTTTTTCTGTTCCGTGACAGCTTCTGATTGCGCTTGAGCCTGTTGTATGGCGTTGAACAGCTTTACGACTGGAGGGGGCACCTCAGTATTTTGCTTGGGACAGACGTACGCATACGTACCTCCGCGCTGGGCGACTTTGCGCAATGCGCGCTCCCCCTCCGCTCCCCATCCACCTATCACGTCGGAGATGTGGTTCTTGTCCTCCTTCTCCTTCCGTTCGAAGAGCAGGGCCTTCTTGGCGCGTTGTTCCAGTTTTTCGTCATTCTTCTTGCGCGCCACAGACGGTTTGAGCGAGAGAGGAAGAGTGGATGGTGTCTCCGTGTCTAGCAAGGACTGCAGAGTCGCACCAAATGCGGCTGGCCCAGTCGCGCGGATCTTTCGTTTCGAGGTTTGACGAGATTTCTGGCGCTTGATGTCCTCGATCTCGTCTGCAGTATCAGGCTCGTCAGAGCCAGAGTCGGCGTCGCTCCCATCGGAGTTTGAGGGTGCTTCATATCCCTCTTCCCCCTCCGAGGCAGAGAGTGCGACCTCAGTGTCCTCCGTGAGTTTTCGGCGCTTCTGCGCTGGCTGAGGCGAGGACGGCATGGGGGAAAACAAGGTGCGATGAGCCGCTTTGATCGTCCCGACGGGGAAGTCGGCGGCCCGCGTGGGTGGAGGCAAACTCCTGGACGACGATCACGAACGGCCGTGTCGCCGCCGAACGCGGCTTCCTCCTCCCGCTCATCGTCGGGGAGCTCAGCGCACGCCATGGCCTCCACGTCGTCGGAAGAGAAGAAGGCAGAGCCTGATCTCCACCCCCTCTACCCGACCACCGGCCAAATCACCCTCCATCTCTCCTCGCATGCGGGCCTCACGCACGAGCAGAAGCAGGAGCTCGTCACTCACTGCCTGATGCGCGCCTGTATCTTTGGAGATCTCCAGATCTTGCAGTTTCTGCTCACAGACCCGCATGCGCGCGCGCATGTCGACGTTGCAGCGCGCGACGACGAGGGCATCGGCCTCGTGAGCACCACCATCCACGGATTTGGCTCGGATTCGGAGCGCGAGGTGGAACGGGAAGAGTGTGTGCGCTTTCTTGTCGGGCAAGGGGCAGATTTGAGTGCAGACAACGGTGTGTTATGTATACCGTCCGTCCCAATACGCGTACTGACAGTCGCCCGCAGTCGGTTGGACACCTCTTCACCATGCCGCGTTGCTCTCTCCGCCTACCCTTATATCCTTCCTGATGACCCATGGTTGCTCTCCGTTTGCGAAGACGCGGAGGAATCTCACGCCGCTTGACATCGTCACCGCGCATACCGTTATGCCGGGCCGGGAAGATGTCGCCACTCTGCTCGAGCAGGCCATGCGTGGTGAGGGATGGGAGGGTGGACGCATGGAAGAACGCCGACGGTCACTCGATGCCCATATGAAGCGCCGACAAGTGCAGCTCGATATCCGCACCGACATCGGCAAGCTTCTCGACCTTAATCCCAAGTGGTGGGGGCCACAGAATGATCTCGAGTACTCCTCATCCGAATCGGACGACGAAGACGAGGAGGAAGAGAGTCTATACGTACGTAGCCCACGATTGCATGATTTGCCTTCATCTCAGGCTGCCGTCGCAGACACCACCGGCGGATTATGCTTCCATGCTCGTTTTCTCCCCGGACCACCTGCCGCAAATCTTTGATTCCCTCATTACCAACTTCCCTGTGACATTGCGGAACTCGCAGCCCGCGAATACCCTATACCTCCTGGCCAGATTTGCGTGCCTAACGTGCGACCATACCTGGCTAGAAGACCTTATAATAGGCGCCACCGACACTATTGAGGATAGCGTCTTTGTGAGTGCTTCCTGAGCCTAAGAACGCGACTATGGCTCGACTAAACATGGGTCAGAATCACGGCGAAGAGATCACTACACTGGTCTTCTGGCTGTACAACCTGACCGTCTGGTTGCACCTTATGGAGTGCGACAAAGCGATCAGTGAGGCGTGTGAGATGCTGGGCTCCTTCGAGATCATCGAGGAAGTTATCAACTCCGTCTTTGGTATGTCGGTCCTGACAATTATCTCACTGAGTTGGCTCACCTCTCGTCCAAGTCTTCATCATTCGCTTCGCCGAGCGCAAGATCGACGAGCTCATGGATGCTGCATTGCTCGACCACTCACCGCTTGCCTCGGAGTTCGAGTCTGTGCAGTTCGAGTCGGACCAGTGGTCTTTCTTCCGCTCTTTTGGCTCGAAGAAGAGGGGCGCTCCCAACAACGTGCACTCGAGTGCATCGTCCATTCGCAGCAACGGTCCTTCCGCTCCGCCCAGTCCGCGCCAGCCACCGATGTCCCCCACCTCTGCCACGACAACACTCACGCCGTCGTCTTCACGAGGATTCCAGTCGCTGCGTCAAACCATTGGACGTGGTCGAGCCAACTCGAGTACCCCGTTGCACTTGCTCTTTGCCGAGAGCCAGTCGACGCCGACGCCAGAGTCGATCACCGCTTTCCTCACCGCGCTGCACACATTACTGGTATTGTCCGGCGTGAACCCAGCGCTTACGACGCAGCTCTGGTCACAGATCATGTACTGGACGTCATGTACGTTTCCTTTTCTGAAGTTAAGTTTCTTTTCCCTTACACGCATCTTCAGGCGAGGTCTTCAATCGGATTATCACACGAAAGAAGTATCTGTGCAGGTCCCGCGCAGTGCAGATGGGCATGAACATCAGTGTCATTGAGGAGTGGGTCGGGCAAATGGGCCTTCCGCGTGGCGTTCAATCGCACTTTGCGCCGGTGCGAGATCTGCTCAACTGGCTTCAGGTACGTCGCATGCATAGCGCTATCCCTTTTCGGCAGCTCACAGGACCTAGTGCTTGTCTTCCATAACGGAGTTCCCGAACCTCATCGCCACCATACAAACGTTGAAGGCCATCAATCCTCTGCAAATGCGACGAGCAGTACGAGACTACAAGTACGAAGTCAACGAAGGCCACATGACGGACGAATGTATACAATATTTGACCCAGCTGCAGAAGGACTGGGAGCGACATAGGGTGAAGCTCGGCGTCGAGGCACTACGCAAGGAGGTGCGTTCATTCCTTATAACGGACTACTATGTGCTGAATTGCGTAGCAAATGAACGCACGCGACGGCGATGACAGCGTGTCTCTTCAGGACACCGATTCGGCGAGTATATCTAGCATGTCCATCAACAACCCTTCGGACGACATCGCGTCCGCTCAACAATATCTGGATATGCTCTTTGACCGCAGTCAGGATAAGACGATCTGGGAGCCAGCCAAGCCGCCGCAGGCGCTCGGCGAGCTTCTCGACTCGCGCTACATGCTGCCTCTCCTGCTTCCTTCGGACCCCCGACTACTCGCTGCTCAGACGAACAAGCTTCCGTTCCTCGACGACAAGAAGAGCAGTCTCCCGGAATCGCGGAGTGCGAGCAGGGCCAGTACGTCGAGTCGCGGGTCTATGTCATGGGCAAAGCGTCACCGCAAAGTCCGTGAACTGCCTGTTGGTTCGCTGCAGTTCGTGGATGGCGCCGTGTCTGCGTCGCGATGGACGCGAGCCCCGCCACCTGTGGAGGATGTGGAGGAGGACGAGGACAGCGACAACGAAGACGCCCAGTCGAGCGTCTCTGCAGATCAGACGCTGCGCATTGACACGCACATAACGCCCCTGACACGGAAACCGTCTGCGCGGAAAGGGAGGGTGAGCGCGGTGGCCGAGGAACCAGGTACCCCTACGCGTCGCTGAGCCCTAGTTATGCGGACGGCGCTTCATGATACCTTATACATTGCAGTGGAAGTCGCGCAAGTATACCAGACAGACATCTACCTACTTTAGATAATTACATTGCAAGTCCCCGGTGCTATCATCACATTGCTGCGCATGTACAGTATTGTTATCCTCCACATCGAATGTCTCATTGCACTGGACGGAAGAGCAGGCGAGAGATTGTCGGGACAAACACGTGAATTTATGCCATTGTACCTGCGCGCGTGGTGGGTGACATCAGTGATTATCGTCGCGCGTTGTCTCCGCTTCCACCAGGCAACGACCAGCACCCTGTTGCTCGTCCCCTCCGTTGATCCTTATCCCCAGCGCTGAACGAAGTCGTGCAGCCTACCCCTAAACTCCCTTTCTGACTTGCTGCCCTCCACACAGCCACTCTGGAAGCTTGAAGTCTCGAGATGATCAACACACCAATAAGCGCTGCGCGCGTTCTGAACGAGGTGGCCTCGCCGGCGGACACGCGCAACGGCGGGAACGACAGTGGTCAAGCTGGCCTACGCACCGATCCTCAGAGTCTGGCTCGTAGTTCTGTGCCACCCGCGGACGTGGACGTCCTAGCAGGAAACTTGGATCGCCTATCCTTGCAAGCTTCAGAGGGTGCGTGCTGATCCTTGTGAGCCGGTTTCGTAGCTAACCTGCAAGCAACTTAGATCTGGTATACAATTTACTGTTGTCCCTACCACGGAATCGACTAGCATCGTTACAACGTCGTATCCTACCCTTGCTCCAATTCGATCTAGTCGCGGTATGTACTTGGCCCTGCTTGCAACTGTAACTGCGTGCTCAATAGTCACCTAGTCTCTTCCAACCGAGATCGCTCTGCAAATATTCGCACTCCTTCCCGCTGAGGCGCTCGACAGTTGCTCTCGCGTCTCTCGTCGATGGCGCGCTCTAGCCTGCGACCAGACGATCTGGAAGAACCTTTGCGACGAGCGTGACTGGAAATGGTGCACACCTACAACAAACGAGATACCACCACAGCGCTGTGTGGAACAAGATGACGAGGGCATGGGCGACGAGGAAGACGAGGGCGCCGTCGCGCATGAAAGTGTAGGAAGCGCAGTGGATACGAGCGTAGTCGCCGAACGCAGTTATCTCGAGCTTGACTCCGGATACGTGTCATTTTCGACTGGAGACATAGCGTCCACCCGGATTGCAGGCGACCCCAACGACGGTTCTAGCAACAGAACCCGTACAGATAATCCACCGTCTACGCCACCCGTAGCCTCATTCCAGCCTACCCACTTGGCATGCGCTCCCCCATCCCTAGCGCCCGATTACAGACTACTTCATCGCACTCACACGAAGCTCATCAAGCGCTTCAGAGCTGGCTCTTACCGCCGAACCGTCCTCCAGGGTCCTCAAGGCCACTCTAACACTATCTACTGTCTCCAACTTCACACTTACCCGGCTACCAGCTCGATAGGCAGTCGACAGGTCCTCTTCACCGGCTCACGAGACCGCACGGTGCGAGAATGGGACCTTGCTTCTGGGTCCGTCACTCGTGTCATCAGCGGTGTGCACACCTCATCCGTTCTATCTCTTTGCGTCCGCGAAGTGAAAGTCGATGGACAATCCATCACGTACCTGGCTACTGCTGGCAGTGACTGTCGCGTAGCGCTCTACAACCTGTCGGAGGACCGTGATGTATGTCAGATACAGGATCACGAAGACAGCGTCCTCTGCGTGCGCTTCGATGACAAGAGACTGGTGACATGCTCGAAAGGTCCGTCCCTTACCCTGCTCAAGTATAGTAGTACTCATCCACCCGCAGATCATACAATTCGAACGTACAGCTTTCCTGACCTACAACCTCTATATACCCTTCTCGACCATCGTGCCGCCGTGAACGCCGTAGCACTCTGTGGCAACCTCATTGTCTCTGGCTCCGGCGACCGCTCGGTCAGAGTACGTCCTGTTGCATGATTGCCTGAATATTTCTAACGGCTTTGTGAAGCTATGGAACGCGGAGTCCGGGCAGCTGCTGCGGACCTTCGAGAACCACCATCACCGCGGGTCTGTCAACTGTCTTCTCGACCGCATGTAATCACTGACTTTCAGGACAGAATCGCGTCAATCGACTTCAAGCTTCCTTACGTGCTGTCCGGGTCCTCCGACAAACACCTGAGGTTGTTCGACGTCTTGAACGCATCGGGTTGGTCGACGTGCCCCCCGGAACCCGCGGGCACATCGCTGACAGCCGAGACGCCTGGGATCCCATCGCCCGATACGCCCACCACCACGTCCATGCGTCAGGTCGCTTGCCCTACGTGCGGCGCGACGGTGGCTCTGCGCGGAGGTCAACATGACGATCTTGTGCGAAGTGTTGCGCTTGGCAGCGAATTTGTGGTGAGCGGGAGCTATGACTTGACTATCAAGGTGCGCGATGACCCCAGCGTCGTCCTAAACAGGGTGCTAACTCCCCACCAGGTCTGGGAAAGAGCCACGGGCACGCTCGTGGCCGACCTCAAGGGTGGTCACACCGGACGTATATTCTGCGTCGCTTTCGATCCCACCAAGGTATTTATGACATCGTCCTTCACCGGATCGGGAGCTGATTTGCGACTTGGCGTAGATCGTGTCATGCGGGGAAGATCAGGTGCGTATCGACCTGCCCCATTTGGAAGTTCATTATACTGATTTTGCTCCCGAAGCGGATATGCATCTGGAATTTCTCCCACGGCATCGATACGAGCTTCATACAAATTTAAACCGTGGAATTACTGCTGTGTGCTCTTAGAACCTCCATAAATAACGCTTTTGTTGCTTAGATGAACAAGGTCACACTCTGTTGGGCTGAGATATAGGGTACGACTTACCGCAAACCGATAGCTTGAAACAGTTGCTCGAGGCGCCGGCGATGTCAGTATACCAGACAGTGAGAATAGGGCTTGGTACCACACTCGCACGCGAGTGTTAGCTGGTGCAGGCTTTTGGGGTGTGATCGTCGCTTGAAGTCATCAGGTGAGGACGATACAGACAGACTGAACACCATTTAGCGCGATCCTCAACCCAGTTTCAGGATTGTCCGGAATTCTGCGTCATTCCGCCCTATGAGATCATGTCGCAGGCCTCTCTCGTATCGTCCAAGTCAGCCTATGCCAGCCACGACACGGGTATATAAGGACCAACGCAGACCGCTCAAAACATCAGCTCACCACTCGACAACTCAGCAACTTCAGCTTCTTTCCCACCCAACTTTCAATCAATTAACATGTCTGCCTCTGGTGAGTCGCTCGGTTGGCTGCGACGAAGTGCCCGCTCATCGTTTTTTTCAGAGGGAAAGAACTCCAACCGTGTTGCCGGCGGCCTCAAGGCTACCCTCCACAACCCCACCATCGGCGAGGACACCAAGCAGAGCGCCGCTCAGCGCCTCGAGGAGATGGGCGTTGACGCCGACTCCAAGGCCCCGTCCTCGCAGCCCGCCACCTCGGGCCAGGAGCACCACAACCAGCGCATGGGCGGCTTCAAGGCCACCCTCCACAGTGAGCTACTTTGTTCTCTTTTCTCTACGCCGTTTAACACGCCGCAGACGACAACGTCTCCGAGGAGGCCAAGTCCCACGCCCGTGACGTCCTCCAGGAGAACAACGTCGACTTCCAGGAGTAGATGCGCAGTATACGCGCCATTGTAGCGAACTCATGTATTTGTATCCGTAAATGAACGAGGTTGAGAGAATTGATGAGCGAGAAGAGTGGCTATTATACATGATGTGGTTGAACATAAGTTACATGTCAAGAGCAGTGGCTTGCAAGCGTGCTCAGTTGGCCGAGGCCGAATTCGCCACGCGTTGAGCGGTGCGGGCACGCCCGCTTTGGAGACTGTTGGAGTTTAGTTGCAGTTTTCCGATGCGGTAACGGCAGACGTACGCTGTTCGCCCGTACATGGTGAAAATACCTCCAGCTACAAGGGACTCCATGAGAACCCAAATGCCGAACGACTGGACAGGGTATCAGTGAGCGGTTTACTTCGTCCATTGACTGGCACGGACCTTAGAACGGCCGACGAAGGCATTGGCCCAGGTAGAGGTCAGGCTGTGGCCGAACATATCGATGAAATGGGAAGCGATGGGTGTCTGCGCGACAGGCGTTTGCAGGACGAGGTCAAGTGTGGGTGCACACATCCGTCTCACATTGAGGCCTCAATAAATATATTTCCCCGCCCCCACCCCCCATTCCCGCCTCCGTCCGAAGTTGGGAGGAAATTCGTCTTGCGTGAGACCCAGTCAAATCTCGCCCTGGCGTGGGCGTCAAAGGACTTGATGGCCATTTTCCAGAATATAGTCGAGGCCTTGCACTCAATCGGCGAGCGGCGGGACGCCTCGGATGCCATTGATATTCGCCCACACGCATGATGGACATTCACGCAGGGTGCATGTACGCATCGTTGCTGGAGAGCAAAGTCGGCTGTGCACGCTGCTCTTTGGGCGCCTATCGAGGTAGAGGCGGAGTGGGCGCCGGCGTTATGTAACGGCTAGTTCTCACGTGGGTGCGATGTTGGACGGCCGTTGCCGTACCCCCTGCCCACGTCAACGTCGACCATGTCGAACACGGATGTGCCGCCCGAGGCGCGCAACAGACTGGTCGGCGGACTTGCTGGTGTAGGAAGCGGTAAGAAACTCTACGTGTTCGTATCTCGCTCCATACTGAACGAACCTTGTCTCCTCCAGGTCTGACGAAGGCAAGTTTGTGAAGCGAGCACGTTGCCACTAATGTTGCTGACATATTGCATGCCAGGTTGCTGTTGGGCATGGGTATGTGCCACAAAAGACGGTAGGCATTTCGATCTGTAAGTTCACTACAGGCGGCTGACGAGTGATACAGCAGATAGAGTGAATTATCTGATAACTTGCACTCTCGTCCTGCAGGTTCGATACCATCAAGACGCGCGTACAAGTCGGGCATTATAATAGCGCTTGGGAGGCTTTGCTCAAGACAGTAAAGAATGAAGGCGTACTTGCGCTGTACAAGGGCGCGTCTCCGCCTGCGGTCGGGTGGTCTATCATTGACTCCGTGTTGATGGGTAGTTTGCACGTGTACCGTCTTCACCTGCGCGATGCCGGCTTTTCTGAACCTACACCGGGGTCTGGTATCCCGCGCCTGACACTCTTCGGACATGGCCTCGCAGGCCTATTGGCCGGTACGTACGATACGCCTGAACGATTGGATTTGACGTGGTAATGTGGCTTGCAGGTACTACAAGGTAGGTTTGGCTTCCGCAGCTGCCTAGGACACAGCCCTAACGATTGTAGTACTGTCGTTGCAACGCCAATGGAGCATATCAAGGGTATGGTCCGTTACATTCTTTGAGACAGGCTCATTCAGTCGTGCAGTCAAGCTACAGCTACAGCAAGAGCGGCGCGTGGCGGACAGGCAGTTCAAGGGCCCCATCGATTGTATACGACAGATCGTGCGTATGCAGGGTATCACTGGGCTCTGGTCGGGCTTCACGGGGACAGTTGTGATGCGCACAAACTTTTTCTGGATGTTCCTGTCCGTAGAAGCTTTCATGCGCACGTTCTCGCGGTTTGAGGTGAGTTTTTTTCAGGTGCTTGTCACGGTTGAAAGCCTGCTGATGTCGAGCCCAGCAAATCAGCACGCCGACAGCAAACTTTTTGTCCGGTGGATTCGCTTCCCTTGTTTTCTGGACACTGGGTATTCCCGCGGACACTGTCAAGAAGTGCGTGCAGATTCTGTGCCTGTGGACTGGCGGTCGATCTGACTTCTCTTCTTTTCCCTGCCACATAGTCGTATGATGGCGTACCCTTACCCCGAACCATACCCCACCTCTGCTTCTGCCGCGCTCAGGCGCCCTTCCTTCCTCTCCGTGGCACGGGACATCTGGCGCAATGACGGCCCTCGAGGCTTCTACCGCGGCTTGGGTCCCTGCATCATTCGCGCCTTTCCCGTCAATGCATGCGCCCTTCTGGTGTACGAGTCCATATTGCGCGGACTTGATGCTGAGAAGGTCAGTACGGACGTGTAACTCCCGCTCTCCGTCGTGAGTGTTGACATGACGACACAGACGCGGCATTGAGCCTAGCACGGCGTAAACACTCGTGAAAGGTCGCTAGCGATCTTTGCTTGGGAAAGTGCGAAGGGAGGGCTCACACAGCCGCATGTCGCGGTTGTAGCAGCAACATAGATTGACTAACTCATCTGATTATCATCATTCAATGCGGTATCGAAATTATACAGTTACTGAATATGCTCTATGCGGAATTATGGGTTCTAGTGTAAGGTGAGGACGATGGAAACAGACGGATTATACGGGGTACGGAGGGCCGATACAGTAAAGACATGAGAGCATGTGAGAGTGGCAGATGTGACAGCGATAGTCTCGATACAATACAGTGACACTGACAGCGACGCGGGGTCGACAACTAGACCCAAACCAGTGGGCCGGAAGGATAAGCTACATGGGAGAGATCAAGAAAAGCATCGCGGGAGGGATTAAAGCCAGACGTAGGGGCGCAGTGTATGATAAATCTAGGTGGTGAGGGCGGCGTCTAGTTGTAGTTGGTGGAGTAACGGCCGGGGGGAAGGTCGCAAGGCCAGTTGCGAGAGGACACGGCAGCCTCCCAGTTGGCGGCATAACTGCGGTAGAGGTTGAGGGCGACGCGGGCGTTCTCCAACGGGTCAACATATGGCTCGGAGCACCGTAGCCCGAGCAGGCGATAGTTGAGGGTCTGCAGGCCGACCTGCTGTTGCGTGCGAAGGGTGGTGCGAAAAGGCTGCGGAGGGAGTGAGAGGGCGAATGGGAGGATAGCTCTACACGTACAAGGTAGAGGGCGGTGTCACGGGTGTCCTTAGCGGGATGTGCGACGCCGAGAACATTGAAGTCCTGCCAGAGACAGTGACCGACGACGACCTTGTTACGTAGAATGCTGCAGACGGTCTGGTACACGACTCGGATGTTCTGCGCCCGTGCTGTCGAGGGCGGATCAGCTGCGCCACAAAAGATGAGAGCGGGTGCTTCACTCACAGGAGTAGAGGTTGGCGGACTTGATGCCGGTCTTCGCCTCACGAAAATCGGTGACCGTGTGTGTCGGCGCGACATAGACGTCGAGAAGCGTGTTCCCGGCGAAGTCGACGATGGCCACTCGCGCGAGCATGTCCGTGTCTCCGCGAGGGCCTATCCCGACGCTGATACCTGCGAGAAGCACGTCAGGTGCGCCGTGATCTGCATGGGATCCGCGGGACTTACAAGAAATCGCGACGATGCGTTCTGCGGCTGGTGCCATGGCTGCTGGTCTGCTGGTCGTGCTGATCCATCTCTCATCCTGCCCCTGCCTTTATATTCGTCGCTGTCCCCGGGGACGGACGTCTGTCGAGAGCCCGGCAAGTGGCGACAGTGTCACTCGTCAATATGCCACCACGCATTGTGGCAGCGTCGCTCGGATAGATGCATAATAGATGCACGATCGACACCTGAATCACGACGCGCGCGGCCGATGCACATTGCCCCCGCTCCCCCCATGGACGCATGCACGACGGCGATCCCAAACAGCTACGGCAGGAGAAAGTGTTTTATTAACGACACTAATAATCCCTCTCACTTTGTCTTTCATTATATCCGACATTCCTCGGCTCGCTGCGTCACCTCTCCCCGAGAGCTACACACGCACACCTCCGCGTCGCAGTGCCCGGACGTGCAGTCGGTGCCACAGACTCCGCTCCCGGCCTGGCCCGGTTTCAAACGCCTTGCGCGCTGGTGCCGCCCCCCGCCGCCTCCCTCGCCGATGCTCGCTGAGCGTACGACCCAGTATTTCCTCGTCAGATAGGCCGCGCGCGCGTTGCTCAGTGAGGAGAGCGCGCGCCAGGTCCCATCGCTTCTCCTTGATGCAGAGGGATATAGCTCGCCGCCGTACTCGCGGATCGATTACGCCGTCACCCCAACGCCGAGCGTAGAACTGAAGAGCGCTCATCGCTATCGTCCCGCATCGCTTGGCCTGCTTCAAGGATCGCAAAAGGAGGAATAGAGTCGATGAGGTCGGCCGTAAAGATGGATGTAGCGATACCAGCAGCTGCGCAGCAGTATTGGCCTGATGGAACTGTCGCAACCCACGCCAGGGAAATGCGAAGGCGACAATGAGGTTGACAATGTCTATGCAGTGGCGAACGCGTGACGGGGCGAGGTCTGGACCAAGGCTCTTGAAGTAGGCAATCGCGAGCTGGACACCATGTCGGCGCCGGTCTGCCAGGATCAGCGCCTGCACAAGCCGATAGGTGTCGACGGGATGGAGGCGCGACAGGTTGTGCGGGATATACGCCGGCACGTGCTCCAGCCATTGACGCGCTTGTAGAGGCGGCGGGTCTGCCATGTCGCGTCTTTGCAGGCGTCGCCGTACGCGGAGGCGCAATGAGTCGATATGCAGAGCACGCAAGAACTCCCGCCAGATTTCCGGGGGCACCTCTGCTTGCGTGAGCGCGTCCTCGTCCGGCGGGCGCCCCGCATGCTCTTGGGCGAGCGCCCAGGCGCGCTCCCAGTAGCCTGACTTGACAAGTGCACGCACTGCAAGATGGGGGTCGACTGGTATTCCCGCGTTGCGCATGGCGCGTACAAGCCATATAACGGAGCCGAAAGCGCGCTCGCGGATGGCCTTCTGCAGCAGTATGTGCAGCGACGCGCGCGACTGGTAGAGCTTGTACGCGTCGTGGTAGTCCAGGAGGGAGGGGAGGGGGGTTCCGCGAGCACATAGGGTGTATATGTTCTCAAGGAAGGACTGCCGGTTTGTGGGAGGGGGGAGTGGGTCGAGGGAGTCTGCGTGAGTGGTGTGTTGATTACTACGACCGCCTCGACGTCGGTGGAACCGAGCAAGGGGGAGAGCAGCTGGGGGGAGGCTAGCAGAAACGTTCTCCACATCCTGCACCTCGACAGGAGGTTGTTGACCTTTACTGGGCTCGCCTCTACGCCGGGCAATGATGTGGTCCGGCAACTTGCGCGGCATTCGCCCCCGCAGTTGCGTCGTCTTCGACGTACTGCTTTGAGCATCATTAGCACGCTTCAACTCTCGCGAGATAGCTCACTCACTCGTCCCTGCCATTGCCGTGCGCTGTAGACGCCGTGCGTCGCGCGGCGGCAGTCCTATGCCAGGCGCGGCCAGCGGCGGCGCGGAAGACGGAGTGCAATGGGCTATTGGCGGAGGATACTGCGCGGGAGCACCCTGCAAGCATGCATGGGCGCGAGCTGCTGTCTCGCCTCCCAGGACTGTCCTCAATCGGTCGGGCGCGCCACGGAGCGCGACGGGCGGGAATGGAGATTTTTCCGAAAATCACAGCACGTGGCTTGTCGTGTTGGATTTGTGGCGTGGACGGCCCGATGCTCCGAGGCCATCGATTATACCAGCGCAGTAACTGCTATGCAACCGGTCTCTGCCAGTCTCCTTTGGTCGCCCGTGAAGCCCCTTGAGTGCTAATTGCCGGAACAAGCATTGCATGAACGATCGAGTACTTACACAAGATGAAGACAACAAATGAGCAGGTTATCGTGAGGCATGGAATGCATAATGACCGGTAGCGGGGTAGCAAGTGTGCATCTACAAGTCCATCATGGGGTGCGAAGGCGTGCGTCCAACGAGCCATCCAACCTTACCTACCCATCGGTCCCGTACGCCGCGCATGCCTTGCGACCACTCTCCATCCCGACCAGCAAAGTAGTCCAGTCCACGCTCCCATGAGCGCACCGCATCGCTCCCGTACATCCCTCCCTGCCGATTCACGACTTCGTCTACACCATCCACCCAAGCTGTCCACTCCTCGACCAGCCGTTGCAAGAACACCTGCGCGAGCGACGACTGAGCGAGCGGTTGCTGCGCGTACACGTGCTGCGTCAAAGCCTCGAGGAAGAGGTATGTCTCCATGGCGTGCGGCTTTTCCTTGGGCTTGCCCGGCGCAGGTGCAGCCGTATACGAGAAGTAAGGAAGATACGATGTGCACGCGGACACGAACTCGGCTACGTGCGGCCGGAGACGGTCCGTGATGTACGATTCCCGCATAGGCTGGTGTTGTTGCGGCTGGGCGAAGGGTGAGGGAGCAGAGGCACCGAAGGCGAAGGTAGGGGCGGGAGCCTGGGGGCCAGAGTACGGGTACGCTTCGCTAAGCTTCTTCGCCGCAGTGGCAAGGGTCTGCAACGCGCTCTCGAGCGTGGGTCGTGGGATCAGGTTCAGGATCGTGCGCTTGAGTTGTGGTTGTTGGGTAACGAGGGCAGTGAGCATTGGCAGAAGCGATTGCGGCGGCAGGTTTGCTGTCCGTGCATGAGTTGATTGTGCATTATGGAGCCAACAGTGAGGACTTACCCAACAGAACCCCCACGTCCACGTCATGCTCCTCCTCCCCATCGGGCGTCTTATTCTCCTTGGTCTGCGAGCGACCCGACGGCTCCGCCGGAACCATCCGCGCACGCTTGGCGAGACCCTTGCGAGGCCGCTCGGGTGGCGGGGAGCGGTCCATTGAGGCATCGCGCGATAGCGGACGACGGGATTGCTGCTCTTCGTCACCTTCGTGGCGGCGCTTCTGGGCGCGAGGTGTGTTGTTCATGAGTGGCGCTAGCGTTGCTTGGGTCCCAAACGGATGCGCCGCCTGCATCCCGAAGTTATGCGACGGCTGCATAGCGCTGGACCCCAGGCCGAAGCCGAAGCCAAAGGGGGAGGGTCCATGGGCAACGGAGTGCGGGTGGAAGTCCGGCGCTGGTGGCAAAACGTTGGCCATGAGGGTCGTAATAGCTCCTGTGTCGTGAACGAAGACGAAAAGTGGGAAAGACGATGCAGAAAATTAGAGCGTGGTTGGTGTGTGAAAGAGCGGTGGAGAAAGGTCCATCCGTATTTGGCATCGCGACTAGCGACGGTCACAACACATGATTTACGCGTGGCGTCGCCCATCAGCGCCATCAGCCTGCCCTAAAGCAGAGCAATAGACGTTCAAAAATTTCGCGTCCTTTGTACTCGTTCGCTGTTCTCTCCTCTTGTCTGCATCCTTGTTATCTTCCTTGACAAGGTGACCTGTACTTGGTGAGCCATCCTCTCCTCTATGGGCGATGACGAGAGTAATAAGAATCGCTACTTCGAAGCCTTCGGGCTGATGAACGTTACACTTATACCCAAATTTCCGAGCCCTTTCTGCATCGACACCGCAGCCCTCTAATCAGCTTAACAGTTTTCCTCACCATCGATGGTTCTGTAGATCTCTCTCGTGAAACTGGGCCAGCACTGCCTGCTGGAGATCCTCTGTTTCTGAATGGTGAGTGCGCGTCCTTTCTCCCACATGATGACCCTATAGAAGTCAAGCACTTACGCATCGTCCAAAGGGCGATGTGTTTGATGATCATCCATGCTAATACTGATGCTACCTGCTACTCTTCTGTCTCGCAACATCAGACTGACTGTCTTTCAGGTCTTTAATGTCGGCCTTCTTGTCAACAATCTGACGAAGTCTCTCTCCTCACCTTCCTCTCCCCGCTTACCTTCCCTTCACACACTCATATCTGCGCCATACATGCTTCAACGAAGGTAGGTCGCGAAGTCCTATCTACGAAATGATTATATTCTTGTCCGCGACGTACACGTATGACGATAACTATCTTCAATTCAATGTCTTCAACCAAATGATTTCCCTGTCCCGTCCCTGTCCAATGCCTGCAGCCCGCTGACTTATTCAAGAAATCCGTCAAAAATGTCCGCTATGCATCTGTACGGCTGTAAGGACCTGAGAATGTGTAGAAGGAAGATTGCGCTTGGGAAGGTCTGTATCTGTACAGCATATGACTGTAGGTTTCCCTTGTACTGTAGACAGGTGTATCAGAGGCGTAACGCTTGCATGACCTCTTCCGAACGACGACGCCAGGGCCAGTTGAAGCGTTGTTCTGAATTTGGGACTGCGTGTGATGGGTTTGTCCAAGTTCGGCGCGCGACGCGCCGCTTCGTCTGATCCCACATCTTGACCGTCCCTTCCACTTGCTGCCGCTCCCCTTCGCCGTCGCAGCCGCCCTACTTTCGCTCACCGGGCGCACACCAATCGTTCCTGACCTTGTCTTGGAGCTAATTGTCCCTGGCGCGCTTTCCTCGCGCGCCAACCTAGTTTCGGCATGGCGCCATCCCTCTCGCTCAATCCTTCTTGGCCGCACTACGCGGGGATTGTTGTAACTATTCTCAGTGTGATTCTTGGAGCGGGACGGTATCTTCTAGGTGCGTGGTTGAGAACGACACGACAGATCCAGGCTGACGAGCCATCCCACGTCGCAGACTGGCAAGATCCATACCGCTGCGATGCACTTCTGCAGCGCGGTAGCTGGCTTGACTCGTCGTTCAAGAACTGGCAGCCAGATGGTGCGTGCTCGCGTTCCCCCTATGTATTCTTGCGTTGACGCTGTCGCAGGATGCATGATGCATCAGTACAAACCAGCCGACGCAGCAACATGTTTCGCGTCGCGCGACGTCCTCTTCATTGGCGATTCCATCACCCGCAACCTCTTCTTCGCGTTTGCGCATCTCTTGGACCCATCTATCCCTGCGACAACGCCTACCACTGGTGAGAAGCATGCAGACTACACGGCGCGCACACCATCGGGCATGGAGCTCTCCTTTCGCTGGGACCCATACCTCAACTCGTCTGCAACCACAGACGCCGTACGCGCTCGCACTCGTGGCGCGCCGCGGCCTGCGCTACTCGCTCTGGGAAGTGGTCTCTGGTACCTGCGCTACGCGGACTCGACGGGTGGACTTCCCGCCTGGGAAGCTAACACCGAGGCCCTTCTTGCGGAACTCGCTACCCCCGGACGCTCGGCAGCAGACGCCGTGGTCATCCTGCCTGTCGAAGAAGTCGTGCCAGACAAACTCAGCCCCGAACGCGGTGCGACGATGCGTTTGGCGGACATCGACGCGATGAATTCGGACTTGTACCACCGGATCGTCCCTGTGGGATCGTATGCTCTACCACCGACCGCGCGAGGTCCTGCCCCAATTGCATTGCCGCTGGTGTTCAATCGGCTCTTGGACAATGCCGCGACTGAGGATGGACTGCACTTCGGCCCGGACATGGTGCGCACGCAGGCCCAGATACTGTTGAACATGCGATGCAACGACGTGCTAGACAAGACATTCCCCATAGGTGCGATGACATGCATTTACCCCAGCAGATGACTGAGTTGTTTATTGTTGCAGACAAGACATGTTGTCGCAGCTACCCGACGCCGTCGTTCTTGCAGCTGCTCTTCATCGTATCGCTAGTGGCCTGGGGTCCGTTCAAGTTATGGGGCGCTTTCCGCGGCGGTACGTTACTTGCCTTCTTAGCTTGAAGAAGTCGCGTCTGACGCGCATTCAGGCCACCTTTCTTTGCCCATTGTACTGCGTTCAGAAGACATCCCACCACTCGTTATCTCAATCTCTACCTTACTGATCTTCCTGGCGGATCGCACGCATTTCTACTTGAAGGAGCAAAAACAATACGAGCCATGGAGCTTCGGTGAGTGAAGGCATGTGTCCGGCCACGCGCAGCTCCTAAAGGTTCTCTTAGCGTTCCTCAACCTACTGACTCTCGGCGTCGGGCTGGCAACGGTGAAGCGAGGTGACAAGGACATGGGCTTCCTGAATCGCGACCAGACGGATGAGTGGAAGGGTTGGATGCAAAGTAAGCGATCGCAATTTTCTATTGTTTCGTCACTCATTGTGGATATCAGTCGCTATTCTCATATACCACTACACCGGCGCGTCGAAGATCTCTGGGATCTACAATCCCATTCGCGTGCTTGTGGCATCGTACCTCTTCATGACTGGGTACGGACACGCCACGTTCTACATCAAGAAGGCAGACTTTGGATTCTTGCGCATCGCGCAGGTGAGCTGATTTCTTGTAAGCCAGCAATGCCATACTCATCTGATGCAGGTCTTGGTCCGCATTAACCTCTTCACCTGCATCCTCGCCTACATCATGAACACGAACTACATCGTGTACTACTTCTCGCCCTTGGTATCTTTCTGGTTCCTTATCATATACGCGACCATGGCGATTGGCGCGCGGTACAACGACCGCGCCCCGCTGTTGGCCGGCAAATTTGTGACTAGTGCCGCAATCGTGACTGTTGTCATGAAGGGTGTGTTGCCAACTTTGTCCTTGCCGCAAATCTTTGTCTGATACTTTCTCACAGCTGGATGGCCTATGCAGAGCCTTTTCGACCTCCTCGAGATGCTTTGCAACATCCATTGGTCGGCAAAAGAATGGTCCTTCCGAGTAACCCTCGACCTGTGGATCGTCTATGCTGGCATGTTCGCTGCATTGGCATTCATCAAGATCAAGGACCATCGGCTGACCGAGCATCCCTACTGGCCTCACGCTCATCGCGCGGCTGTGTCATTGGGAGGGATGGTCCTGGTCTGGTTCTTCGTCTTCGAGCTGGGCCAGGAATCTAAATTCACCTATAACGCATGGCACCCATACGTCTCGTGGGCGCCTGTGCTCGGCTTCGTCGCGCTGCGCAACGCGAGTAGCGTGCTGCGGTCTAGCACTAGCCGAGCGTTCGCATTCATCGGACGCTGTAGCCTGGAGACGTTCGTGATCCAGTACCACTACTGGCTCGCGGCGGACACCAAGGGCATCCTCCGCGTCGTCGGCTGGCGACCAGCAAACTTCGTGCTGACCAGCGCGGCGTTCATCTACCTCAGCTGGGTGGTTGCGGACGCGACGGGTATCTTGACCGCGTGGATCTGCGGTGGCGCCAAGGGGAAGGGAGGATTACCTGCGCCGGGAGGACGACAACAACAACAGGCACAGCAAGCACAAGGCCAGGAGGCGATCCCGCTTGTGCAGCAAAATGGGAGCAGCGCGGAGGAGCCGAAGGAGGGCGAGCAACCGCGGCGAGCGCTTGATCGTCTGGCGGAGAGCACGGCGCAGTCAGCTTCGCAGCGAGGCTTCCGCGTGTGGGAGGGCGATGATGGGTGGAAACCCGGGCTAAAGGCGAAGCTAGGTGTGTGGCTTGGCGCGATGTGGCTTGCGAATGTTTTGTGGGAGTACGTGTAGAGGCGGTGGGCGCGAGGACGCTTTGAACGGACTGTAGCTATCGTAAATTATTCTAATCGAGAGAGGGGCATGCTGGACTGTCGCTGCGCCGCCTGCGGACGCTGCGCTCGGACTCGAAACTTCAACATGCAGAATTGGATTTCCCGCGGGGAAGACAAGACCGTGACATCACGGAGGCCGTGCCACCGCCTCGCCACCGCCAAGGCGCCGGCGCGGACCCGACAACAAGCACCTTTTCTTTCTGACGACCACGACGGCGAGCACGAGAGGATCGCCAGCCAGCACACATATCATGACCACGCGACTGAGTACGGATCACTTTGGCGACGGCGCCCAGCACACATCGTTCGGCGAGAGCAGCGCGACGCTCGCACGCGCGCCATCCTATGAGACGCACGGGAAGGCGCCCAGCTACGACTACGACGATGCCTTCAATCCGTACTCTGACGACAAGCAGCCGCATCCGCAACAACACCCAGAGGACGAAGCCTTCGATCACACCAAGCTCGATGGCGCGGGCGCCAACGTGTATCGCTCCGCGTCGACAAGGAGCGCCACAAGTTACACGCCGAGCCGCCCCCTCACGTCCTACGTTGATGAGAACTTCAACTACTACAACACGAAGCCCGACCCCCAGTCCGAGGACGCGGACGCGAGCTTGATGCAGAACGCGGCGGGCATGCCAGGCAAGCGCGGCTCGCGGATGGAGGGCATGGGCTACCAGGACGCGCCGCGTGGCATGGATCCTGAGGAGAAGCGCGGGCCCTTTGCGCGCTTCCTCTCGAGTGGCAAATACCCCTTGGACCAGCGCATCGAGGACAAGAAGCGCGGGATCGGGCGCCAGCGGTATCCCTTCGTCGTCTGGGGCTTGACTGCGGCAATGGTCGGTGTCATGATCTACGAGTGCGTCGTGAACTACCGCGAGCAGCACAATCCGGTCTCGTTCAAGCCGACTGTGAACCCCATGCTTGGCCCCTCCTCGTCGGCATTGATCAACGTCGGCGCTCGGTTCCCCCCATGCATGAAGCTGGTCGACGATATACCACCCTCCTTTGAGTTGCCCTGCATGAACACGACGGATCTCAATGACGCTACCTACTGCACAATAGAGGAGCTCTGCGGGTTCGGTGGCTTCCACGACAAGGAGCCCAACCAGTGGTTCCGCTTCATCACCCCCATCTTCTTGCACGCCGGTATTGTGCACTTGATCCTCAACATGTTTGCGCAGGTTACGGTTAGCGCGCAGGTAGGTTATGATCCTCTGAGTGATAATTAGTACTGATCCATGGACCAGATTGAGAGGGAAATGGGATCTGGAGGGTTCTTCTTGACCTACTTTGCGGCAGGAATCTTCGGGTGGGCAATGGCAATTACTTGCAACGGGCGCAAGCTGATTTCGTATGTAGTAACATCCTCGGCGGCAACTTCGCCCTTGTGGGCATCCCGTCCGTTGGCGCATCTGGTGCCATCTTTGGTACTATCGCCGTTACATGGGTCGACTTGTTCGCGCATTGGAAGTATCAATACAGGCCAGTGCGAAAGGTAAGGCTGCGACGATTTCATATAGGCCTCGCCAAAGCTCATGCATGACTTTCTAGCTCATCTTCATGATAATCGAGCTTGCCATCGGTATCGCCATTGGTTTCATCCCATATGTCGACAACTTCGGTGAGTATTCATCAAACGAGCAGCTTGAAGCCTACGCTGACCGTACGCAGCACATCTGGGTGGCTTCTTGCTTGGTCTCTTGGTCGGGACGATCTTTTACCCAGTCATCTCGGAGACGAAGCGGCACAAGGTACGGATGGAGTCCCGCCCTTCGCCAGGCCTTTCTCATGCGCTCTATAGTTCATCATGTGGATCTTCCGCTTGGCTGCTATTCCTCTTGCGATCGTCCTGTTTGTGGTGCTGACGAGGTACGGAGACGACTCGCGTATTCCAAAAGCACCAAGGCTGAGCTATTGCAGGAACTTCTACACCTCAGACCCGTACGCTTCATGCCCTGGTTGTCGGTACTTGTCTTGCTGGCCGACGGACGCGAACAATCACTGCAAGGGGTCAGTGCAGCTCCCAGCCTTGGCCTTCATTCACTTACATCGCTCCCAGGACTGGCTTGACGAACACAACTGTGACCACCAAGACGACCCGTGACCTCGGCCTTACCCTCCTTGACGGCCTTCTGCTATGAGCTTCCAACCTCCCAGCTGCCACCTTGCCCCCCAGTCATGTCCATGTTACCCCCCAAGCTGCCGCGCAACATCAACCCCATCATGTTCGCCAGGAATGTATCCACTACTATCTATTACTTGCACTTCAGACGATGGACTTGTTTGCAACATCATTCCCTTGTTTTCAGCACTCACGCCACTACATCTTCTTGTCTAGTACTCACTAATTATTTACCGATGTCGGTACGCTCGCTCGGACGATTCTAGCTACTTGAATGCTTTGACGAATTATTGCCTGGAGAATAGGCCCTCGTATACCGGACACGCGGACCGATGCTACACGTCCCGACGATCACGCGGGGTACCGCCTCGAACGTTCCCTGCTGCTTACTGTCATGTCCGACGCTGCCGCCGACAGCGACAACGGCCCTCAGAAGCAATGCCGTATCTGCCTGGATGGCGCTGAAGTTGAGGGCGAGCTTGGTCGTCTAATACGCCCTTGCCTATGCAGGGGCTCCATCTCAGTTGAGCATCCGCCTTGTTCCCGTGTGTCGCGGTCGCTGAGCCCGCCCCCAAGCGCAGTATGTGCATGTTGAGTGTCTGAAGCGCTGGCGTTTCTCCTCCACATCGTCGAAGGCCTTTTATGAGTGCCCACAATGTCACTATCAGTACCGCGTCGCGCGGACACGCGCCGTGGGTATAGCCACAAATCCAGGTGCGTCTCCCTAGTATTGTATGCTCCCAGTGTCTTGATCCATCCCTAGTAATCATCGGCGCAATATCTGGCATTCTCTTTGTATCCCTCGTCATGCTCTCTAGCGTCGTAACGAACTACCTGATGGGTAGACTGGACGAAGACTCCGGCTACAGCATCTGGTACTACGGCGGCCCCTTCTACGTCGCCCCATACGACCTCATGCGCGATCTCATACGCGCAGCTCTCCGTATTCTGCAAGACGGAGACGTCACCACCCTCCTTGACCAAGCTGCCTACGGAAGACCTACCCGTACACGGGATCCACGCATGCCGCCGCTGAAGGTGCCGACCCCGCGGGGTAAGCCCGGCTTGGTCATGCGGTTATTGCGGCGGTTTGTCCTCGGGCTGCCTGTCGTCGGCGCGGGGTCGCTCATACAGATGCTCTTTACCGTGGGCTACCTTGCGCCTGTACACTGGCTGGCGCGGTACCGAGCACGCAGGAGGACAAGGGGAGGCGGAGGCGATATAGCAGCACTCTTGATCATTGGACTCTTGCTGGTGGGCGCTTTCAGGTGAGCTTCTTACTTCCTCCTGAGTGTCGCCGGCCTTGCTGACCCAGGCGAAGGGCGCTATACGCCGTATACCAGTTCACGCGCCGCCAGACAACTCGCTTGCTTTCACGGGCAGAGGACGCGATCTTGGAAGTGAATACCTGAAGTGCTTTTAGGCTCAATCGCGGACATTGGAATGTAATACTAATAGGATCTCAATCATTATGGCTCGTGCTTCTCTCTCCTTTCTTCGAAGACCAGATACATTGGGCGGTGCTGCAACCGCAAGTTGAACCGTGACATTACATATGACCATACACCCATATGCATCCACACGTCTTCCCTGCCCCGCGTGCGTCAGAAACAATACCAAGCCTATTGGACTCTGACCCCAATTACAGTAACCGCCTGTGTGGATACTTCAAGGCTTCTCGCGCCCCGGGTCTCATCACGGAACAACCATTGTCTAAGTTGGTCCGTATGCGTGCCACAAATCCAAGCACCGTTTGGCCGCGTATTCAAGACATATTTGCCACATCCTTCAGAGCGAGCGGATGACGCCATTGATGTCCGCCCATCGGTAGACAACGTGCTAGAGGACGCGTCTGTGTCACTCACGATACTCTGCCAACCGTGGTAGCTATCCCCTGAACTCTGCACGGGCAGGATCGTCTTGCCTTGGGCACATGAGCCACGGCAGCAGACGAAGATCTCACTCACTGATAGACGTCATTTACGGTCCAACCGCGCGCTCTATGGCTGGTCTACGAGGTATATAAACAGACGACGTTCACCGAGGAAATCATCATCCACCACTCAACACTCTCAGCACTCCGAGTTCTCATCAACCTTCAGGCAACATGTCTCGTGAGTGTATACGATGCCGACCATGCCACATCGTCGCTGACGATGTACGCAGAGAACAACACCCACAAGAACCCGGAGCGCGTCGCCGCCGGCTACAAGGGCACTCTCAACAACCCGAACGCCGGGCAGGAGGCCAAGGAGAACGCGTCCCAGCGTCTCCGCGAGCACGGCGAGGACCAGCCGCGCGCCTCCATCGGCCGCTCGTCCAGCGGACTTGGTAGATTATCTCGCTCGCTCTATCAAAGCCACAACACTTACCACGTTCGCAGCCGACGATATCGACTCGGACGACGAGTACGTCCCGGGCCGCGACGAGGAGCGCACCGGCCTTGGTGATTACATCGGCGGCATCGACGCTGGCATGGCGAACAGCAACGAGCACACCAACAAGAACAAGGGCAACGTCATCGGCGGGTACAAGGCCACCCTCAGCAGTAAGTTTGCAAGTTCAAATCTCCTCAGCGGTATACTCATCTCCCTGCTAGACCCGAACGCTGGTGAGGAGGCGAAGCAGAACGCGCGCGAGTTCCTCGACAAGCAGGGAGTTGAGCACAAGTGAGAAGTACGCCTGTACAGTGTAGCATAGGAATGGAACATGAAGCAGACGTTGCGAACTTTTGAGGCGCATGTCAGGGAATCTCGAGGGTCATGATCCTTGAGCTTGCCGTCACTGTGCCAGCATGATGCAATCTATAGCTCAAACCCTCGTTGTGTATGTGGTGTATTCCGGAAAACAAAGCGCATGTACAAGTTACATCGACAGCATATGCAAATTACACCTATCAACCCTTACCAACTTCTCCGTAGCTGCCTCCGCACCTCCTCGTACAACTGCCGTGTCGCCGTCCTATCTGGAGCCACTTCGCGCAGGTATTGCTCGACGACCTCGTCAAGGCGAGCAACCGGTACCTCACCGCGCGCTTGAGCGTTGGGTTGTGGGCGCCGCGCCTCCTGTATCCAGGCGTTGAGCAAGACAGCGATGTCGCTGGACACCGTCTGAACGTTGTCCTGCGTGTTGAACGGCGGAATCTGCGAGGTTGGTTAGCCTGGTATTACCCTCGACTTGCGCACAATACGTACCTGCGATTCATACATCTCATGGAAGATGTCCCATATCTCTGCGTATGGGACGCCGCAGTCGATGAGAATGCGTGCAGGCCATCCGTCCTCAAGCTGTCCCTTGTGGTTTAGTCTGAATCGCACGAGCAGCTGCGCGACGATCCCTGCATGCGGGTCAGTGAAGAGACATGGACCGCTGAGAAAGCACCCACGCAGCGGGAATGCGCTATCAGACGGGTAGAAGCGCTGTCCCAGTGGAACCACTCGTGCCCGTATCTGATCCGCTTGCGCTATGGCATCCTCAGCCACCTCGACGGCTACATGCAATGGTTAGAGGTTGGTACTGAGTGCGACCAGGCGGACTTACCCTCGCGGAAGAGCCCATCCCATATGCCTCGCACCATCCCCTCATCGCGTACATCCCCTATGTGCAAGCACAAGAGCTGTATAGGACGCAGCTGGAACCTAATTGCATAGTTGTCCCATAACTGACAATCTGTGAGCACCGGTCTAAGTGGAAGGAGAGGTTGACGCACTGAGTTAAGGTCATACAACTTGCCATTGAGGTCGTCAACGAGTTTCTGTGCCTCGGGAGGCCACTCTGCTTTCTGCGCGTTCAAGTACGCGTAAATATCCAGTTGCACCTGGGCGACCTCAAGCTTTTCCTCCAAGTCAGTCAAAAACGCGATGCCGGAGTCGACAGCCGTATTTGGGGTGATCGGGTGAGACTTGGCATTACCGACAGCGAGTGTGAGCCACGCGACCCTCTCATTCAATTCGACCTCGAACCTTGGACTCGTCAGCAGAAGGGTGTGCTATTGGAAAGAGCGGGCTTACTTGTCGTTGTCGGCCATGCATGCGAGGATTTGCGCTGCGTGCAAATTCTGTCCATTCTTGATGTAGAACCGCCAGAGTAGGTCGTATCGCTCTTGATCGGCAGGCTCCCTAGACAGGTACGCTTCCAAGAACGGCGGTCGTTGCTGAGGATGTCGTTAGCTAGGTGCTTCGTGAGCATCAAGGTCAGGACTTACATCCAACAGGTCTTCCCAGAGCCCGCGTCCAATCAGCCATTGATAGAGATGAGCATGGAATAGCTCGTCGTCACTGTCGAACGCAATTTGGTAGGCGATCAGATTCAGCCGCTGCTCAGGCGGCGTTCCCTGTTGTTCCTGTTGGGCAGCTCTCTCCTCAAACTCCTCCAAGCAGCCCGCGATGAGATCGTAGCATGCTTTCCGCTGCTGGAATTGGGCTTGACCAGGGTCACCTGGAAGACAGCCATTCCTCCAGAATTGGCGTCCACGCTCTTCCTGATCAAGTGCCTTCGCGCAGGCCAAGGGCAGTTCGATGGCGCCTAAGGATGCCATGCAAAGGTTAGGACTGGCTTCTAGGTGATACTCGACACTTACCTTTAGGATAATCGAGGTCTCTGAATTCGCCGACAGCTTTCCTGAGCTTTTGGAACTCAAGCGTGCGAGCACCCTTTACGTAGAGCCTGCTTGGTGTCAAATACTGGATAGGGACGGCCGTAACGAGTGCGCGTACATCAGGGACTCGTTGCACCAGTGCTGGCGCTCAGCAGGTGTCTTGGCGTCGGCGGCTTTGTTCATGCTCTCCGCGGCCTACCAAGCGTCAGCACGGTTATAACAACGAGCGGCAGGGAGGTATACCTTGTACAGCATGACATCCTCAGCGCTGCAGAATGACGGACACTTGCGCTGCAGCGTCTCGCTGACGGTGTCGATCTATAGACCTCGTTCGTTAACCTTTCCTCCGTGCTTTTTACACACTCGCTCACCTCCATCTGGCCGGTCATCTGCTGGTCGATAAGCACATTGATGAGGGCGCGCGACACCGACATCCCGGCCTCGGTCGTGATAAGACCCTCGAACGTCAGCCCCGCCAACTCCTTCCGTAGTTCTGCACTGCATCTGATTGGAAAAAGCAATCATCGTCAGTCGACTGAACATACGATGAGAGGACATGATCATACCGAGGAACGAGGTTGCTCAGTTGGTTCAAGTTCATGAAAGAGACGAACTCCAAGGCCTCGATGGTACGCCCGAGAAGGCTGATCAGTTGCTCGACGGACCGCTGCTCTTCCTACACGGTCGTCGGTTGGACTGCGCAGATGCAAGAGGCGAACCGACTCACCTTGATGGCCTGCTGGTCCGGAATATTGGCGCCAGAACGAGAGCTCGAAGCGTCCAAGGGTACACCGTGGAACAGGGAAGGGTTCTGGTCAAGGAAAGACTTCAACGACATGAGATTAGTTTGAATAGTATTCAGCACGTCCGTCGACACGGAGAAGGCGGTCCCTCTGCATGAAGGTCAGTTATAGGCATCGCATGGGAAGAACCAAGGCATACGTTACGTCCAACAACCTGGCCTTCCAGAAAGGGCGAAGTAATCTTGCAAGGTAGACCGCAAGGCCTTCCCGCTTGCCACTGTAGGTCGTTGTTCCCTGGCTCTCTCCTTACATCGGTCAGCCGATATTTGGGTACCAGTATGCAGAAAGCTCACCAGTCGTAGGCGCTCCATACGTAATCCTCTCGGTGAATGTCGGGCGCTCGCCAAGCTCAAAGAACGCCTGCTTGACGGTCGCACCCATGTTCGATGCGGGGTTGAAGTCGACGAAAGAGTTTCCAGCCGCAAGAGCCAGCAACATAGCGCACGTCTGGTCGCGGCCAAATCTGCAAGAAGGCTCCTGTCAACTGGGGATATCTTATGGTTGACGGCGAAACATACCCGTCCCGGAAAAGCAGCATTGGCTGAATATCCCGATCCGACTCGTAGTCCTCGATAATCGCCTTCAGGTAGTCGATGGCGCGCCGCTTCGCGATGAAGACCAAGCCCTCACTGGTCATGATGATGAACTGAGGCGGGCTCTCGCCAGTTTGGCTCGCCAACTCGTTGATGACGACAGGTGTGGGTGTGTCGTTGGGCGTTGGCGGCGCGAAGGTCTTCGGGGCCGGCGCAATGGCCCAAGTCCCCAGTGGTATGTCCAGAAGCACAGCTTGTTCTGTAAGTGGCGGACGAGGTGGTCCGCCCGCGGTGAGTGCGCCAGAGTAGGTCGACTGAGGTGGTGCTTGCGCGGGGACTTGTCCAAGATTGCCTATCCTGGTGAGGTCGGGCGAGAGACAGAGGATGAAGTCGTTCATGTCGCTTGCGGGTTGCGAGGCGACAAGCAAGCCGTTCGAATATGCCGCGTTTTCGACCGCGGAGACAACAAATGTTGGTACATTGCCACCGGCAGCTGGAGGCTGACCGCGGAAGCCAGGGCGTAACGACTGTGCTTGACGGAGAGGATGAGGCAGATTGACGGGCGGCAGGCGGACGTGTATCAATTGCAGCGCACGACCGCCAGAGTTATAGCCGTACGCATAGTTGTAGGGGGAGGCTGCAGCAAAGTACAAACGCACAGCGTTCTTGGTGACTGCCATGAGCTGCACGCCCAGACGAGACTCCTTAGGCTCGATGACGTGCAGAGTAGATATCTCGAAGTTATTTGGTGTCAAGGCTGGGGCCGCGGGAGCTTTGTCTTGGGCTTGTTTGAAGACGCTGGACAAAGTCTGAACATGGTCGAGTTTCTTTTCGGCGCCCAGGCGGTAGACGCCTATAGAGTTGCTCGCAGTCAAGGTATAGATCATATTCCTGTCGGGGTCGGACACGACGGAGCGAATCTGATCTGTTGCGTGTGAGCATAAATGGGGGTCAATGCTACTGTCCTCGCACCTGTGGCTGCTGAAGTCGTGAACCGGGGCAAGAACGATTGCACACCGCCAGCGGAGTGGTTGATCAGCTGTATGCGCTTCCCAAACCAGCCTTCGCTCTCCTGGTAGTGCAGTTCGTAGAGGTTCCCGTCGTCCGCGCCGCACATGAATATTCGACCGTCATTCGTCCCAACAACGGACGTCATTTGGACCTCGTCCGTGGGCACACTCAGGTCCGTCGCGTACATGCTGAGGTCTTTGCGGCCCCCTTCTCCTGGCGCGAGGGAGACCGCGATGAGTAGCACGGACAACTTCGTGCAGATGACGAGCAGGTGTTGTATGGCTTCGATGAACAGCCCCCGCTTGGGCTTCACGACCGCGACCGCGCGTATAACGTCTGGCTGGTCCACGAACGAGTTGATCTCCTGCCTAGAAGTCATGAGTGGTGGTTATAAGGCATGGTAGAGGGAAATAGTGTACCCTTCGTTGTAGTCCCAGAGGAATAGCTGGTGGTCAATCGCGATCCATGCGCGCTCGATCTCGGGGAGAAGCCCCATAGCCATGTTGACCTTGGTCGCTGCATGACATTAGCATACACTCCACTAGTAGCACTGATAACGCACTTGTAGCATACTGAACCAACGCATCCGGTATACGCAGAAGAGCGCGCTTTTGGTACGGCATGCGCGCGTCGTCGGCCGCCACGCTGTACGACGCACTCGCCTGCTGACCCGCTACATACTAGTCAGAATTCATTGAGAGTGGCATTCCAAGTAGACGCACGAATGCTCAGGGTGTCCCCCAGGTCCGGGATCGCCTGCGAGTCTTTCACGAGTTGCTCCTGTAGAACGCGGCTGGCGCCCTGAAGTGAAGAGAGGTCGACCTGGGCAGACTTGGGGGAGGGGCTGGGACGCATGATGGACGAGGAGGGATCCCCCGCGCCGAGAGCGCTGAGCGAGAGGGCCGACATTTGGGCGCGGTCGTGCAGGACCTGAACAAGGACGCGTTTTGTGAAGTTCGCACGCGACGCGTGAAGCGATCAGTCACACTGACCGTCAGTATGGACCCACAAGCGCGGACCCATAGGTTCAGCTGGTACGCCGACAATGGTCAGAACCAAACACAACGTTGCATGCAAGTGTATAGGCTACTAGTACATCACAAGAATATGCTGACGACTTCACAGGTCGTCGTAAACATCATCATCGTCTTCTTCCTCATCTTCATAATCATCCCAGTCCGACTCAAAGTCATGGTCGATCTCGAACATGCCCTCCATCTCGTCCGAGAAGAACCCATCATCTTCCTCTGCGACATCGTCGGACGATATGAGGCCATACTCGCCGTGTGGTACGCGACGGAAAGGAAGATCTACCGACACAGTTTCGTGGTCGGGGACGATAATCTCCACCGCAGGCCGTGCCCCCGCAAAAGCCTTCAGGTCCTCCGATGTCAGGAAAAGTCCCGTCCGCGGCTCTCCGGTGTAAAGCACGGTGTTGACGTGCATGCTCTGTAGGCCAGACCAAGATTTCTCGGATACCGGAAGCGTGTCCGGATTTGTGAGCAGCAGGTGGCGAACGGTGGAGAGCGACCGGAGGAAGGGCATGCACAAGGATCGCTCGAAATCGTACCCATTATGCAAATGCAGAGTGTGCAGTTTCGGGAATGGGTTTGTCGATTTCGGCGCGCCCTTCGGAGGCGGGAATAATTGGGAGTAGCCCTCACTGGAGTACCCGCGATCATCAGATAGCTCAAGGTATTCGAGGTTGGGCAGGGAAATGGGGACGCATGGCCCACGCGCAAGGCTATCTATCGCATCCACCGCGAAACGCTTGATTGACGGCGCCTCTACGAGTGAAGGCGCTTCTGCATCGCTGCCTGCGACAAATGGATCATAGAGAGGAAGCGCAAGACTCTCCAGAGATGGGCAATCGCGGATGATATTCGCCAACGCGAGCGGAGGAAGGTGAGTGATATTGAGGGATACGAGGCCAGCCAGGCGCGGGGCGCATTGTTCGCACCCGCGAATTGCCTTCAGATGCCGGAGCATTGGAAGCCGGACCACAGGATGCTCCGAAAGCCCCCAGAACTCGTGTTGGCGAGGGTGGTCGTTCTGGTAGACCGAGTACTCCAAGCGCCGCAGCAGAGGGGCGCCCTCTACCGTCGCGAGGATCTGCTCGACCGTCGACATCGCCCGTCCCCGGATGATGAGCCATGTGATGCGCGGAACAAGCCCAGCGATGAAGTCGAGATGCGGTATTTCGTCGCTCTCCGGGACGCAGTTGACATGGATAGCCAACGCATGGTCCCGCGAGCGTGAGACGTATGTGCTCGCCCGCGCGTACGATTGCGCATCGCAGAGGTCCACGGAGATGTCAGACCATAGTTCCGAGGTGTCGAGAGCGAGGGAACGCCATAAACGGCAGACTTGAATGATGATGGGAAGGGTCTCAGAGGTCGTGCCTTTAGACGCCCATTCTGAGTCCGCGGAAACGCAGGCTCTGAAAATCGCCACCAGAAGCTCGTTTGGCAGTTCAGAGAGCTGCAAAACCATAGTGTGGATTCCGTTCCTCCTTCCGTCTCTTCGGCAGTACAGGCAGCCTCGATTATGCGCTTAGGGGCAGACAATTGGGGTCTCGTGCTCCCCTTAATTACTGCAGATGATATGAGCGAAAGCCCTAGCTACGAGTATATGTGTTACTCGTACTTGCTGACTAGCCCGTGCCAAATCGAGAAGTTCTAAGCGCTGGGAGATGATGGTGGGTAATGAGCAAGACAAAACGCCTGAGTATGACCTCACGTGGTAAATGTGGCGGGGGCCAAAACCACGTGATACAGTATGTTCGACTTCGTATTTTGGTGAAGCCGTTTGAACAGTACCATGTATCTCTCCCGTATATATGTACTAAAGCTACCTGGCTCTACATACACTTTATGTAGCTACACGAATGATTGCCTGGCTGTTTACGACCGAAACGATTATAAATACCCGAGCATGTTTTGTTTACCACCTATCCTTCAAGCGGCGTGTAGTAGGCAGACACACAATACGGCCATGTGTATACTACTACCACGCATAATCATAATCATATCCGTAACCGCTGTTGTAGTCAGCATAGCCATATGCATCGCTGTTGTCAGCATCACCGCTATGTCCATGTCTGTACATGGGAGTTGGTAGGAACGAAGTGTGGTCATTCCCTAACTGCTCTGTGTCCGAGTCTTCCCCCCAAAATTCCCCCCAGTCTTCACCATCGCCCCAGCGATCATCGTCGAAATCGCCTGGATCGGGGTACTCGTCGCTCCATTCCTCTTCTTCAGGATCCTCGAGCTCCGCTTCTTCGGCAGTGATGAGTCTATAGCCTCCGCCAGGGGTTCGATGAAGCGGAATATTTTCAGCCAAAGTATCAGCATCGGAAAGGATGAGCCGGACTTTGGTTGTCGCCTCAGTTTCAACTTTGCGCACCATCGAGGGGAACACGCTCGATTTGGTCAGAGATCCGGAGACGTGAAGGCTCTGCAGGTCTGGCCAATGCCGAAGGGATGGAAGGGAATTTCCATTTGTGAGCGCAATATGGCGCAAAGACCCAAGTGACCGAAGGAAAGGCATCGTGGGGGAGTGCTCGAAGTCGAAGGGTTTCTGTAGATGAAGACTAACGAGGCAGGGAAAGGGTCCCGATGATGAACCTTCGCTGGGAAACACGCTGGCTAGGTCAACCCCGTGCTCCCCGCAATCATCATAGAGCTCCAAGTATTGTAGGCGGGGCATATGCAGATGCGTCACCGAAGCGTCGGGAGTCAGCTGCTGGAAGCTCGCCGCAAAGCGCTTCACAGAAATCGCCTCAACGCTAGAAATGACCCCTGTGCTGTGGTCCTTCACTTGGGCGACCTTGAAACGGGGAAGGGCAAGCGTTTCCAATGCCGGGCAGTCCTGAATGACGACGGCCAGCTCAGCCGCAGAAAGATCTGTGATGTGTAGATGTACGAGCTTTGCCAATCGCGGATGGCACGAACTACATCCATGGACCGCCTTCAGATGCCGCAGAGCAGGGAGGTAGTCGAATTGCTCGACGGCAACCAAGGGATGATCATGGCTGTCGAGCTCGGCGTAGTATTCCAGACGCTGCAAAGAAGGAGCCCTGGTGCGTAGACAACGCAGTATGTCATCGATTTCTGACATCCGTCGACCTCTGATATTCAGTTCGGCAAGACGGGGGCTGAGGACCGTCAAGAGAAAGCTCTCGTGCCGGGTGAGGCCTCTGGAGGCGAACATGCTCCCCTCTATGGTGTCGATATGCACTTGTATCTCCCTGGACCGCGCGCGAGAGACGTATAAGCGAGCACGGGCACGAGACTCGAGTGAGAAGAGATGCACGCATATGGTTGTCCAGAGTTCTGCAGCATCGATCGCAATCGCGCGCCAGAGCTGGCATACGTGGCTGACAAGGACTGGGAAAGACCCGGATCCTTCATAGATCCACTCGGATTCGAGGTCGATCCCAGCTGTGAAGACCGCCAGCAGGAGCTCGTTCGCCAAATTCGAAATCGGGCACGCCAAGGGAGGTGTGTTGTAGAGCGCGACGGTGTTCTGAGGACTGCCCATTGTTTGTTTTACTGTACTGGCACGTTATATCATATGGGAAAGAACGAAGGGCATGTAATACTCACGAGGTAGACAGAGGCCTGATGAGAGTGGGAGAGCAGATGCGCTGGGGCGAAAACCTCGTGGGTCACGATGACGCATACTGTCACAGCTGCGTCGTTCCTAGTAAGTGCGATTTCCGAGTAGGCAGTCACCAACTCGCTGTCAGCAAGTAGTGTCCGAGTAGCGCAGCCTGTACGTAGGCCACTGCGGCTCGGGCGAAATGAGGGCGATGTCTTTCGAACGAGGAATTCCTGATTGTCAAGCGGGAGATGTCAGTAGCTGGGATCTACATATACATTACATGAGCTCGTAGCATAGTGAAGCGATCATAGCACTTAGGAACAGTATCTCTCAAAAAGGCGGAGCAACAGTCATCAATACCTCGCTTTCTTGTACCCATTCCCCCCACCCCTGTACCCTCCGCCTCCGCCCCTACCCCTCCCACCACCTCTCCCCCCTCCACCATAACCCTTCGACCCGCCCCCAATAATCCCCCGGTTCCCTCCCGTCGCCTTCCTCTTCCCACCCACCACCTCCTCCGGCGCATCCGCCCTCTCATACCCCACCTTCTTGCACTCCACATCAAACGCCTCCACAATGATCCCAAAGTCCGCCGTGCACATGCTGCCGAACAAGGGATGGTACGTCGAGCACTTGAGCGCGGTGAGGCGGGGGGAGGTGATGCCGAAGGCCATGCGGGCGAGGAGGCGGGGGTCGTCGCGCTCGGGGCAGGCGTTGAGGATGGCTTGGATCTGCGAGGGGTCGATGGGCGTGGGCGGCGCGGGGGTGAAGTCGAGGCCGGAGCCGGTGACGCAGAAACTGGAATGCGACTCGGAGTGAGTACATGGTCGTAAAAAGAGTCCATTTTCGAAGGACCAGGACTCCGTCACTTACGTGCACTTTCCGCACATCCCACCCGGCACAGCGTCAGGGTCGCCAAAGTACTTCGCGACGTTGTGCGCAAGGCCTGGATCCAGCGTCGCGGTCAGCAACCATACCCAGGTAATGCACCCAACCTCGCCACGCACAATCATCATCCTTCGCAAAATCCAACACCTGGTGGATCTTCGCAATATCGTCCTCTTCTTTTTTCAACAGCCGGGCGTACAGCTCCTCCGTCAGTTGCTTCAGCTCTTCCGGTTTCGTCGGCCGGGGGTTGTCCAAGAACGTCCTGTACCGCTGGGCGTACAAGTCAGTCGGTTGCCTCAAAGTTTCACCGTAACAATGACTCACCGCGCGCACTTGCGATGCCTTCACGTTGACATTCCCTGTACGCAGCCCACCGACAATCAATCCCCGACTGCTGCCATTACATCGAAAGAGCGCCCACCGTCCATTTCCCAGGCGCCTATCTGCCGGACCATGTCGGTACGATCAACGCCGGACACGGAGGCTGTTTCGACGACGTCGAGCTGTGGAGTGGCGGTGATTAGTGGAAGGGCGATGGGAAGTGGAAGGGCGATGGCCAGTGGAAAGGCCTGAGTTGTAAAGGGAAGCCGCAAATGCTTGCCTCATGCGCGAACCGCAATAACCTACGCACCTCGTACTTCTTGTCGCCCGTGCGCGTATTCTTCGTCCGCCAATGCGTCTTGATCGCGGTGGCGGGTATGCTGGAGTCTTTCAAAACCTGAAAGTGATGCGGTAAACGTGTGTGCGCGCAAGGAGAAGCGTTGAGAAAGCCGACGTACCCTCCCGAAGTTCACTGCTGGCGTCAACTCGTACGTCGTATACATCGGCGTAATGGCACGCATGTAATTGTAGTCCAGCTCGAGTTGCGCATATAGCAGGCCGAGAGCGTTGCTCTATCATACGTCAGCAAACTGACCTGGCAACATTTTCACGGAAACTCACTCGAATATCATAGCTGGGGATGAGAGAGACACGGTCAGTGCCACAAATTACACAATTAAATCAGACGTACTCCTTGGCTTGCTGATAGTGATTAAAGTCCAGCGTGCCGTCCTTGGCGGTCGGTTTCGACATGACCTCCTGCAAGAATTTCTCGAGGTCCTTCTTGTTGCATGTATCTCCCCGCGCGAACCCCTCCAGCGTCGGCAAATCAGGGGGAGAGATGACTAGGAGGACAGGGTCAGAACTCGTATTGACTCAAACCACCGATACCACTCACACATCAAGCACTCCGACTCGAGCCCGTCTCGACCCGCGCGACCGACCTCTTGACTGTAGTTCTCCAGCGTCTTCGGCATATACAAGTGGAACACCTGCCGAATATCCGCCTTGTCGATGCCCATCCCAAACGCGATAGTACACGCGACGATGTCCTTTTCCGATTCCATGAACTTGTTCTGGATGGCCGTGCGCTCGTCGGACGAGATGCCCGCGTGGTAGGCGGTGGCATGGATGTTGTGGCGCTCGAGGTAGGAGACGACATCCTGGGTTTGTTGCTGAAGGGTAACGTAAATGATGGCCGGACCTGTGCGGCGCTCGAGCATGGGCATGATGCGGGACATCTTTTCATCGAGATTGTTGGCGTGGGCGACTTGTAAAGCGAGACTGGAATTTTGTCAATGTCGTTGGATACACAGCACGTCGAATTGCTTACTTTGGACGGAACACGGGCGCGGAGAAGACTCCATCTGGTTTCTCGATATCAAAGGACGTGCAGATGTCTTCCACGACTTTTGGCGTGGCAGTTGCAGTAAGGCAGAGCACGCGCTCCACCATATTCTCCTCGGCGAACCGCGCGATTTTGAGGTACTCGGGACGGAAGCTGGCGCCCCACTACATACATGTCAGGTAGAAGTCGGCGCAATGACACGACAAGCACCGACCTGAGATATGCAGTGCGCCTCGTCGACAGCGAGAAGCGCGATCTTGACGTCGGCCATCATGTTCATGAAGCCCTCGTTGTTAAGGCTGAGTGCCATTCAGTAGCGGTCTGAGATGAGTCTGCGAGCACATACCGTTCTGGCGCGACATAGAGTATCTTGAGAGATCCGTCCTTGACGCCTAGTGGAAGTCAGCAAGGCATAGAACTCGACAAGCACTGTCCTTACGCGACTTGACGTCACGCGACTGCTCGAGAGTGAGAGTGCTATCGAGACTCGCGGCGCTGACACCCCGGCGGACCAGTGCGTCCACCTGGTCCTTCATCAAAGCGATGAGAGGGGAGATGACAAGTGTGAGCCCCTGGCGATTTGTTAGGGACTAATTGGCAGGTAGTCGCGCGACGCACAGGGAGACACATTCCAGGGATTTGAAACGTGAGGCTCTTGCCACCTGTGCGCGTGTAAGTGTCAAGGATGGTGTGTGGGACGCGGGTGCTCGCCTCCGGTGGGAAACACGACCAGCGCGTTCTTGTTGTCCTCGAGGAGGCGCGCGATGACCTGGGGGTTGTGAGTTGAGGGAAATACAGCATAGGAATGCCCACACCTTCTCCTGTGAGAGACGGAAGGATTCATAGCCGAAAACCTCGTTGAGGACGCGGTGGGCCTCCTGCATGGTGGCGGGGAGAGGGACGCGTTGTTTGCGGCTGTTGACCGGGCGCCTAAGTGATATCGGCGGGCGGACGAGGGCCGGTTTGGCGCCGGTGATCATGCGCTTGATCACGGTCATCACGTCGCGCGCTGATCTCCCTCCGCTCGCTCGCCCAGCCGTCGATTGGCACGAACGTCGACGACGACGACGAGCCCGCACACGCCGGCGACATGCAGACCCAGCAGTCCCCGTCAACCCCCCTCGCACGCTCGGCGACGCGCACCCGCGCGCTCCCCATGCTCCCCCAGCCGACGTCGACGATGACCGCGCCCCCACAGCGCATGCCGAGCCAGCGCCAGCCTCCCGGTCCCCGCCCCATCCCAAGGCAAGCATCTGAGTCTGCTCTCCGCCAGCGTGTCAGCCAGCGCACTACCGGACGCCGCCGCACTTCGAGCTCCCTCGCCAAAGGTACGTCCGTATTCACATGTGTTCCCCCCTCCTGCTCATGCCCACTCAGCAACCTTCCTATGGATCCGCGGTGAACTCATAGGCAAAGGGAGCTACGGCCGTGTATACATGGGCATGAATGTCACCACGGGGGATATCATGGCAGTCAAGCAAGTGGAGATCCCCCGCTCCGCATTCGGATCGCACGACGCGCGCCAGCAAGAGGTCTTGGATGCCCTGCGATCCGAGAACGAGACCCTCAAACACCTCGACCACCCCAACATCGTGCAATACCTCGGGATCGAGGAGACGGCTGAGTTCCTCTCGATGTACGTCCTGAGTCGGCCGGACTGCACACGTTCGTGTACTCACGCTGCACTGCCCGCAGCTTCCTCGAGTACGTCCCCGGAGGAACAATTAAGGCCTGCCTGAATAATCACGGCCCCTTCCCTGAGGAGATTACGAAGTCGTTCGGCAAGCAGATCCTCACTGGCCTCGAATACCTGCACTCGCGCGGCATCATCCATCGCGACCTCAAATCCGAGAACATCCTCGTCGAGCCGACCGGCGAATGCAAGATATCCGATTTTGGAATTTCCAAGACCGCTAACACGCCCGATATCGACAAGCACACCGCACTCAAAGGTACTATCTTCTGGATGGCTCCAGAAGTCGTCAAAGGCAACCGCGGCTACAACTCCAAGGCTGATATTTGGAGCGTGGGCTGCATCGTGCTAGGTGCGTATCTTCTACAGCACCCCGATCTTGAACCGCCTTGCTGCACCTGCGCGTCACGACCACCCCATGGCACCCGACTAGGCGCCGACGACATGGGCGCATGTTTACTTTCCCAGCGCTTGACGGTAGAGTTTCCGAGACATCCGTGCTCATCGCTTTGCAGAAATGTGGACTGGCGCTCGCCCGTGGCAGGGAGAAGAGATGGTCCCAGTGATGCTTAAGGTTCGCAACTCCCCTGTGATCTACGCTTCTCAACTCACATCCGCCCGCCTCCAGTTATACGATGGCAAGGTACCACCGATGCCTTCGGACTCCAAGCTATCGTCCGCTGCCCGTGACTTCCGTGCTCGATGCTTTACCCTGTACGTCTACATGCTGCTCTGGCAGGATCCGTAGAGCTCACGATTACGATGATAGGGATCCCATCGAACGACCAGCCGCTGCCGATCTCAAGCGCCATCCCTACCTTCGCCTGCCCAATAACTGGGTCTTCCCCGGGTTTGGCAACGACAGACGGAGCACCGCTGAGGAGACGTCCGAGACACTCAGGCCACCAGATGAACGGACCGTCCGCCCCTTCGTCGCCTCCCCCGAGGATGACCACACGCATATCCATTTCCGACGTCCCACCATCGACTCCGTCGCCGACGACACATTTTTCCAGCACCGGAGCACCCCGCCGCCCATGCCACCCGTTCCGAACGACGCAGGACCATCGCGACCGCGCAATGAGGGGCCTCCGATCGTCGTCGTGGAGCCCTCCCGCACCCCAGATAGCAATCGCTCGAGCGACTATGACTCCCTTCACCGCTATCGAACCCCGAGCGAATCGTCCTCAACTAGCACCCGCCGGCGCCGGCGCCGGAAATGGGTCGTTGCGAACCCAGATCCGGAAGGTCCTGCACCGGCGTTCACCTACACGCCGCCACCACTGCCAGAAAGCCCGCCACCGCGTCGTACGCCCTCCGCCCCGCCACGAACACCTACACCCTCTCCACCGCCTCCACCCGACGATGACGGCGCCCTTACCTTTCGCGCCTTCTCTGACCGGCTCGGGATGCGCTTTCGGGACGCCCCGGCGAGCGCGCAGTCCACCATGCTCTCCAGCGAGGCCGACGACGAGGGGACGGACGCGAGCATGTGGCAGGTGCGCCCCGCTGCCTCTCCCGCCCCTGCCGCGTCCCCCATCCCCGCGGCGTCCCCCGCTCCCGCCGAGCCCGCCCTCGCGCGCAGCGCGTCCACCTGGGCACGTCCGACCTCGCAGGCCGTATACCAAGACCTCAACCGCTTCTTCCCCGACCACGACCTCGACCAGCCACTCGACGTCGTGCCGGAGGTCGCCTCGACGGAGGACCTCGCGGGGCGCAACATGCGCGTGCGCAAGAGCATCCGTGTTATCGCCGCCGAGCATAGCAAGGCAGACCGCCTGAATCGGCGGCGCACGCAGTTGTGGGGGAGCAACATCCACGAGCTGCCGAGTCATTGACGCTGTCAACTGTGAAGGAGGGCGTGCTTGTAAGTTGCTCATGTATAGATGGATCTTCTGTGTATATCTCTTTGGGAGACGGACGGACGGACGGACTGCCCCGTTGTACCTGTACTCGCATATATAATGCTTATTGTACCGCTAGAACCCTTGTACCACTAATTGCTTTGCTGCTCACTCGAATTGGATCAGTCGAATCGCTACACATTTCCCCATCAGCTATCTACCGTAAACGACGACGACCTCGAGCACAAGCTCGGTAAGTAACCAACGAGCGATAACATTGTCCATGAGCAACAAAAGGAGAAAAAAGACGAGAAAGGGGAGTGTGTTCTGCTGCTTCCAATATCTACATACCGCTTTAGAAATGCTCCTTCGCGAAAGAAAACTCGATGTCCTTGCACGTGTTCGCCAGCGTGGCCTCCTTAAGGGCCTTCGCAATCGGGCCCGGCCCGCAGAAGTACGTCTGTAAAAACCGGTCAGAAGGGTGGCTACAGGCGGTAACCATGAATACGCACGGCAACCCTGGTTCTGAGCTGCGACCTGCTGCCAGGCAAGTACCGTCCGGCCTCGATCGACTGCTTGAGCGTCGAGTAAATGTTCTTCCAGTCTGGGCGGCCGAAGAGCGTCCGCGAACGCAGGAGCGTGAGCGGATCGTACTTCGAGCCGGCATCATTGACCGCGATGTTGTACGCCATGTCCTCCGTGATCTTCTGCGTCAGGTAGATGTTGATGCGCAGGAAGTTCGCTGGAAAAAATGAATGAGTGAGCCAGAATATTGGTATGGCGCAAGTCGAGACTTACGATCGGCTTGTGCCGCCTCAACCTCTTGGAGGAGGCTCTGGAACCAGCCGAACGACGCAGTGTCACGGCAAACCCAGAAGAACTCGACGCGGCGCAGGGAACCAAGGTTCCCGCGCTGTTGACGCCACCAGATGTGCTTGAGGATGGACGCGAAGGGCGTCACACCGATACCCGCACCGACCAGTACAGCAACCTCCGCATTGAACACGTCCTCGGCAGGGGCACCGAAAGGACCATCGATACGGACGGAGGGAAGACCCATAGAAGCACCGGTGGCGTCGATCTCGACGAAGTTACCGCGCGTCCCTGACATCTCGTCCTTCTCCAAGCCAGCCATCGCGGCCTTGGTCATGGCCTGAACGGCTGACGGGCCGACACCGAGGCGCTCGCCGAGGGCTTGCGTCCAGTCGCCGACCTGGCGAATGTGCACGGAAACGTATGGGTCCTCGGGCGCAGACGTGATGGTGAACTGCATACGGGTCAACTGCGAGGTAGATGCGCCGAGTCCCAAGGACGTACCGGGTGCCATTGATAGCTAGAGATCTCGGGAACCTGGATGAATAGCCATTGACCAGCCGTGTACTTGAAACTGGGCTTCACGATGCGCAACTCCATGGCACCTTGATGTTGTGAGCTAGCATCGCGCCTGAGAACGCAAATACATACCACTGGGGTGCACGAGGACCTTAGAGAGACGAGTCGCACGCCTCGCACGCACTTCTCGCAGGATGCGCTCGCCAAAGTACAGGATACCGGGCCAGATCGTAAAGCGCCAGCTGTTGTACCCCAGGCAGTGCTCGGTCGAGTAGAAGGGGAACACCGGGATACGGTCGGGGTCGACTGAGTCGCGCACGAAGCAGCCCGTCGCATGTGTGTACAAGCCCAGCATGAAGAAGAACGCCAGGTGGTGCGTGTACCAGAAAACCTCAAAGCACTGGTGGCGGATCTTCTGGTGCGCGGTGGTGTACATGAGGACCATGATGAGCAACATGAAGTGACCGGTGATGCCTCCAGGCTGGGTGTAGTGGATGTCCAGGGCAATCTGCTTCCGCACCTCTGGAAGTGAGATGTCAGTGGGGGATCGCGGACATCGCTGACGGGGGACGTACGGGTGCGCTCGACGTTGAAGAAGTTCACGTAGTGCGCGGTGGTGTGCACCATGGTCCAGAAGGCCATGGAGTATGCGACTTGTCGGTGGAACCAGATGTTCTCATCGGCGGGGAACAGCCAGGTGAGCTTGGGGCGGACGACACGAATGATGTTCCTCAGCATGGGGACGAGGATGAGGCCGCCATCGAATGCCAAGACGAGACCTGCGCCGCGAGACGTCCAGACGGACCAGGTGAGCGCGTTCAGCGCGGCAAGCTTGGTGTTAGTCGCCTGCGGTGGTCGCCGTCAGAAATTGCACGCACGAGACAGGGGGACTGGACGAACCTGACTGTGCCAGCCATAGCCAAAGAAGAAGAAGTGAAGGCCGTAAAAGATGACGTTGAAGAGGAGGCGCTTGGGCGTGCAGAACTCCCTCCGGAACCAGGATTCGTCGCTCATCGTGTGCGAAGTCAGTTGCTAGGCGAGTGGGAGTCGAGGATTATTATCGCGTGGACTGGGCCAGCCAGGGGAAGGAGGCAGCGGGTAGAGTAGAAACAGCAGCGAAACGACAGGAAGTGGGCGAAAGGATCGGCAGCCACAGGCTGGAAAAAGCAACCAGGCTATAAGTAAGAAAGAAGAAGGAAAGGACGAAGACGGTGATCGCGCCCGACCTCAGCGAGCGCACATGGTAACATACCCACAACAATGGTTCGCATGTATTATAGGCCCGGATCAGGCGTTCAATCACGTCGTCGCCAGCGGCCCCCGCTATATTCAGCCATCTCGACAGGTCCTCGCTCTCCCCGAGTCCTTGGAACCGGAACGGGCATCTGCCCATCGATGTTATTACGGACGGGGACGGGTACAACTACAGCGGAAAGCAAGAAAGCAGAGAGAAATCAACCTTCGTAACGGTAGGCCACCATAGCCTCGATACGATGCACATCCGTGCTGAAGCTCCGCATCTTCACCTGCTGGCTCTTGCTCGCCTCAATCGCCAGGGGATCCGTATCTACCCACTCGCCAGCGGGGATTTCTGCCGAGTCCGAGGTGTATGCGAGGATATTGAACACCGTGGGTTCTTGGATGACGGGAAGGTACGTGACCATGGAGATGATCTGCTTGAGGATAGCGCGTATTTCGGACTGTATCTCGGAATCAGGCTTGGGTGGGCGCCTGCACGTCACCATTAGCGATGTGTCAGTGACCGAGACGCCCGACTCACGGTGCAGAAGGGTCCGCCGGCGGTTCGACGAGCTTGATGTCAAAGACCCATCGCTCCAGGGGCGTTCGTGTGTCTTTGGAGATGATCGCAAGCACTAACTGGGTCACGGTCCCCGCGAGGAGCCAGTCTTTTGGGTGGCTGAGCTGGCGTCTCATGCGCATCAAGTGGTACACGTACTCTGCACTTGGGCCAATATCCTGCGACCCGGTCAACATTATAGCATGCTATCAATCCGAGAGGACGCGCCTTTCAAGGTAGTTTTCCAGAGCAAGGTCCTGAGTCACAAGCAGTGTTTGCCCATATTTCTTGACCATCTGGAAGTCATCCGATGGGTACACTTCGCGCTGGAAGAGGATGCTGGGTCGCGTCTCATGAGTGACCTGCTTGGCGCGAAAGGTGGGCGCACGCACGTGTTGACAGCATACTTGAAGAACTCGGTGACAAGCGCCGTAGAGCCCTTGAGCGTAATCGACTGCTTTTGCGCCTGCTTAGAAGCCATCGCGGTGTCACTGAGCGTCGAGAAGAGGAAAAGACGAAGACTGAAAGCAACGCGCGCCAGACGCGTTTTGCCCAAGTTGTCACGTGATGGAATATGCGGGGCCGGTCCGAAGCCCCGGGACGAGGAACGCGTTCTTGTTCTCATCAACTCACCAGCTTTTCCCAACTCTTGCTCTACGCTACCATGTCGTCCCCCGGTACACCAGATGCTGGGGCAACGTCCCCCTCTGCTAGCTCTACCGATGGCATCCCTCCGATGGATCGCATCATCATCGAATACCTGAAAGCCCGTGGGCATAAGCAAGCGAGCGAGACGCTTCTGAAGGAACTGCAGGAGGGGGGCTCCTCGGCGGACAAGGGAGCGCTGCCAGAAACTCTGTCTGCAGATGATCTGCTCAAAGCGATTGCTGTCTACGCACACAACCCCGCACGACCTAACGATAATGTGATGAACTCAAGCGCGACTGTACTGCAGGAACTGTCCAGAATGTCGAACCCAGCGAGCATACAGAACCTGATCGCAAGTCTGGGATCAGTGGGGGCGGAAGAGATCCTGTCGCATGAGCCCTCCGACAAGGAGGAAGGCTTCAGGGAGTTGCAAAGCTGGGTTGATGGATCGCTGGACATGTATCGAGTACGTCTACCCATACACTGAGCAGGACCCCGACTAATTCTCATTCAGCCGCAATTCAGACCCATCCTCTTCCCTATCTTCTGCCACTTCTATCTTGACCTCATCCAACATGGCTTCAAGGACTCTGGTGCGCCACAGCTCCCTTCAGCATAAGCGCTGTACTCACCCTTCCTCCCCAGCCCAGCGCTTCTTCCAAAAGTACTCACCCAGCTTTCAACAAACCCATCACACCACACTACACCATTTCTCTACCCTCCTACTCCCCGCCCATGTTCAAAAGGATGAGTTGGCCCAGCAATTTCGGAACGTCAAATACGTTATCCGGATGAGCAACACTGCGTTCGGTCTCCTCTTGGGATGGCTTACGGATGGAGTAAGCGGAGAGGCTTTTGGGAGCGGTGCTGGCTTCAATGGGGAGAAGGGGAAGCGCGGACGGTCAGCGGTCATGCGCGTGGTAAACAACCACTTGAAGTTTGACGGTAAGTCCAACCTTTCGCGAAGCAGCCCTCAGAGCTCATGGCTCTTTCAGTGACCCAATCCAACAACACCGCAATATCTTGGGAAGAGAACACCGGCCTCCTATCCTCCTTCATTCCCCAACAGCGCGGCGCCGCCGTAGTTTACAACCCCCAAGCCTTCAACGCCTCAAAAGGACAACTCAAACTCGGCCCCGCCCCCATGCCCGAGGCCCAGCGCGCCGAAGTGCAGCGCACCCTCCAAGAGAAGGCCATCGTGGATCCGTCCGCGCAGGCTGAGCTGCAACTCTTGAATCAGGCGCCCCCGCCGGGGTTGATTGCGCCCACGGAGGCGGATCTGCCGCCGAGGCCGCCGAACTTCAAGACGATTGATGTCGAGAGGGAGGTGCATCGGGTGCAGGATCAGAGGAGAAGGATACGGTTGGAGCCGTCGACGCTGGGGACGATGGATGTGCATTCGCCGCAAGCGAATGCGGTGAGGGCGAGGGTGTTGCCGAGTATATGTTGTTATACGCTGCATGATGTGCCGGAGGGGTAGGTATCTCTCCATAACCGTAGTGTTGTTTCTGACTGTTATTCCAGCGCGCCGTGTGCAACCTTCTCGCAGGATACATCGTTGATGGCAGCTGGTTTTGCTGAGAGCTACGTGCGGCTGTGGTCCTTGAACGGTGAGAAGCTACGAGGTCTACGGAATGACATACCTTCGCATGTCAAAGACTGTAAGTCCACAATATCTATCTATAGTCATGCCATCCTAACCCATCCAAGCTGCTGGCCTTAAGCGCGCGAAAGAGAAGAAAGGCAGCACGACTCGAAAACTCATCGGACACAGTGGGCCTGTATACTCCGTCGACTTCGACCCACTATCTGGCTCTGCTGCGCCACCAAAATACCTGCTCTCGTGTTCTGCGGATGCTACAACGAGATTATGGTCCATGGATACCCTAACGAACGTCGTGGCATATCGAGGGCATGAGAATCCAATATGGGACGTGAAGTGGAGTCCGATGGGGATCTACTTCGCAACAGGCAGCCGCGACCGAACTGCACGTCTATGGTCAACGGACCGGGTGTCATGTCTCCGAATATACGCGGGGCATCTCAGCGATGTCGATGTAAGTTTGGTGCTTTTGATCCTGTTATAGCCACTGATCTATCTTCAGTGCGTCCAATTCCACCCCAACGGCCTCTATCTCGCCACCGGCTCGAGCGACTGGACCGCCCGCCTCTGGGACGTTCAAAAAGGCAGCACCGTCCGCGTCTTCATCGGCCACCAGGGCAATCTCTCCGCCCTGGCTATGAGCCCCGATGGCCGCTACCTCGCCTCCGCCGGCGAGGACCTCGCGATCAACCTCTGGGACCTCGGCTCGGGCAAGCGCATAAAGAAGATGACCGGGCACACGTCGTCGATATACTCGCTGGCGTTCAGCGGGGAGTCGTCGATGCTAGTTAGTGGTGGGGCGGATTGGACGGTGAGGTGCTGGGATGTGAAGGCGCCGGGTGGGTATGCGCCGAAGATGGCCAATGGGATTGCGGAGGGGGAGAAAAGGGGGCATGGGGAAGAGCAGAGTATCGAGACGTGAGTTGGGATGTGTTGGGAAGTCGACTTGGGCTGACCACAATTCCAGGACGGACTTGCTGTCGACGTTCCCGACGAAGAGGACACCTATCACAAACGTTCAATTCACGCCGAGGAATTTGTGTTTGGTGGCTGGCAATTACATGTCTCCGGATACCAGATAAATAAGTAACGATACAGTGCGATATGTATAGTAAGTTTCTTGACCTCGAGGTCAGTAATGTATAGTAAGATGACAAGCAGTACAGGAAACAGCAGAATAAGTAAACAGTGACCGTCATGTTCCGTTCCTATTGACGGTGCTCAAGAAGGGTGGATGCTCACTCCATTAGTCGGACTCCTCGTCATTCGAGTCTGAGTCCTCAGAGGAGTCAAACTCCTTCTCCTCGTCCGAGTTTCCTGAGGAGTCAGACTCCTCCTCGTCGTCGGAGTCCTCAGAGGCATCGGACTTGCCGTTGTCGTACCCGGAATCGACATTACACCGGCTATGCACACTGGGGGCGGCGTACTTCGGGGTGTCGTAGCCAGAATCATCGTCGTCGGAAGAGTTGACCACGTCCGACGTTGGATCGTTATCGACATCCTCGAGGGTGCCCGAAAGCGAGGGCGCACGGCGGTGCACGTCAGTGACAGTATCGTCACTGCCTGGCAGAGCGGTGTCTTCGAGGTCGCTGCTCTGATCACAATCGCCTTCTATGTCGTTCCCGAGTCCCTCAGTGTCCTCCTCCTTGTTGGAAGTGGGCTCGACCCTTCCGAGTTCGTTCGAGTTCGTGTCAACGTTTGAGACAATCCGCTGCCCGAAACGCTGTTCGAACCAAGCTTTGTGCTCAGCGTATTCGCCGATACGTTTCCTGGGTGCGGCATTGTTCTTCTTCTTAGGTTTCTCTGGGGATATGAGACGTCTCCACATATCGATCTCCCGTCCGACGGGTGTGTTGTCAGGACCGAGGCTGTAGGGCTGAGACTTGGTAGGTGAAGAAAAAGCCATGTTTTTAGAGGAGGAAGACGCAGAAATCGCATCTTATATCCCGGTGCCAAGGTACAGCTCTTTGAGGAATGCCATCTTTCGCTCGAGCCACTGAAAGGGTCGACTTTGAGGAAGACGTGTCTATAAGCCTGCATTCAGGAAGCAGGGTATGCAGATCCTCAAAGACAACTGGGGCTGTGTGCGACGCTTTAGCCACGAGTAGTGAGATACTTGTGGGACCCATGAGTGGCGACGCGCTGTGGCTCTTGCCAAGTGCTTTGTGCCGAAAATGGCAAGGTCCGAAGCCCCACGTGACCGTACGCAATTAGAGGACCGCGTCAAGGCAGCAGGTCTTGTTCAGAGCCCGCCACCATCCCCCCAAGTACAGCGCCTCAGAACGCACCAAAGCACGCGAAGCTCTGCCTCAGTGCACACTCATAGCGACATTAGCCTCATATAATCCCCCACTTGACGCATCGACCTCATTAAGCCATGGACGAGAGCATGCAAGTCGACTCTGCGCCAGTAGCCGCGCCTGTCCCAGAGCCACCAACAACGCAGCCGACCGAGGTTACGAATCCCCAACGTGAGGATGCGCGTGCGATGTCGCAGAACGATGCTGACCTGCAGTGCTTGCAGCCCCACCCCAGCAGGCCGCACCGCAGCCGCGAGAATCATTCCGCGAAATCCAAGTCAAAGTGGTGAGTAACAACCACACGGTGGCGAATCACCTACCTAACGTCGCGCGTCTAGCACGTCCGACGACCCGACCGCGATAACTGGACATACCTGGGCAAGGGCCTGGTGACGCAGGAGCTGAACGGCCATTCCTCCCGTGTCGGTGCGTCACCCATCCCATGTCGATCTCTGCATTTCCTAACGTTCTCCCCTCGGCTAGTTGTGCGATCTCTCAGTACCGGCAAGATCCTGTCTGTCTTCGGCGAGGTGCGCGCCACACTTTCAGCGCTGGCACACGACACTGACGCGCGCCTCTCCTCACAGGGCGTCGACCTCCAAGCAGAGAAGCGCGGCAACTTTGTCGTTATCAGCTGCGTCGATGGAAATCGCGTCGTCTCCTGGTCTCTGAATGTGCGTGTCCAGTCCCCCACATGCTATCTCAATGCTCATCTTGATCATGTACACAGGCCCTCAACAACACCGACACCGTGCGCCTGATGGCAAGCATCGAACTTGCCTGCTATAAAGTCAAGCAAGCCGTGGCAGATCCCCGCTTCCACAACAAGTCCCGGCGCCGCATCGAGCGCGTCATCAAGGACGACCGCCGCAAGCGCCACCGCCGGAGGAAAGAGGCCGACGCCATGGTCGACGCGTTCGCGAAATCCACCATAGCCGACGGCGACACCCCGTCTATGGAGACGACGCCCACAGCGTGAATCACCATCATAGTAGCATTGTGTGCGCTGGTACAAGTGAAGAGAGGTATGTGCCAGAAGGCGAGTATGCTGCCTCGGCGCGCTTGTTACCAGGAGGACACTGTCTGACCGTCTATGTAGCCCAAGTCCAACCCATCTGTAGAAATCATCGCGCGACTCTTGACCTTCCTATTGTTCTTGCTATCGTCCTTGCCATTATCTATACCTCATTGTACCCGTCGTTGGTTAGTAGTTGGAAACACGAACATGATCATCTTGAATTTGTAGAGCGACTTCCCCGCGTGTAGGTTGACTTCACTACTCAGCGCTTCCGTGCAAGAGAAGTTCGGCTTACCCTACAACCTGCTACAACTGTGGGATCTCCCTCCATTCAACACCCATGAGAACCAGCGGCTATGCGCAACCCATTAAGTAGTCAACCAACAACCTTTAGTATATCGCAAGCGGAACGCCGTTTACATTCGAGCCTGCAGCGCGTCAGCAGGTGCAATGAGGGTAGCGAATCAGTACTGTATAGATAATTACACTCAGGACAGGTAAGCTGGTGGACACGAAGGATGAAGGGATATTATACAAATGTCCGTCGCGCGCACCGGTATACTAGATGCACGCACGTATGTCTAGTGGTGCCCGTGCCCGTCCGGCGCTGGCCAGCCTGAGCCCCCCGCCGTCGACGGCGTGTTCATCTCGTAGCTGCCGTCCTTCTCGTTCCGCCCGAGCAGGTCAGTGCTCGAGTTCGCGTTCGCGTCCGACGGCCGCCTGCGGCGCTCCGTGTATTGCGGCGGGAGCTCGATGATGCCCTCCGCGTCCGGCATCGGCTCGACGTCCTCGACGTCGGTGTGCAGGATGAAGCGCGAGTGGGCGTAGCGGGAGGTGGTGGGCGTCTGCATGCCCTTGCTGGTCGAGGAGGAGAGCGCGCCGGAGTTCATGGACATTGTGCGTGAGCGCGCTTGAGCTGCGGCGTGGTCGGAGTCGCTAAGGACGGCGCTGTCGCGGGGTTGATAGGTTACTGGTGGGGGTACGACGAAGGGGTCGGCGTCGTACTGCCCGCCAGGGGGCATAAATTCTCCTTGGTGGCGATCGTACGAGGGCGGGTCGACCTCGAGCACGGCGAGCGACTGTCTGCGCTTCTGCTCCCATGGTTGTCTGTCGCCCCCGCGTTTGCGAAGCCAGAACAATCCGAGGGTGACCACGGCTGCTAAGAACACTAGCGCACCGAGTACCGTACCAGCTGTGAGACATGGTAAGCATCCCGATGGACTAGCATGTGGCAGTTCGTACCAATTGCCCCGATGGAGACCTTGTTTCCCGAATCGCTACCCGAAGAGGCGGTGGGGGTTGCTGTGGTTGTCGGGGAGCTGTCGTTCAGGCAGGAAGAATCATCGGAAGCTCCCACAAGCTTCGTGTCGGAGGCACCGCCTTGGCCCCCTTGGCTATCGACCATGGTGAAAATGATGGAAGTCCCTTCTGCAGCATTTGCCATCCACTCGTACGAGTCGCTGTTGTCATTTGGATGCAGGGTGATGAAGTCCCCCAGGGGTATAATGCCCTGTAGGAAGTTAGAAGTTGTCAAAACTCCGAGGAGAAGCACGCACGTATGCTGTCACGGGCTTGCTAGCCTCGCCGTAGCCGCTGAAGACGTATGGTCTACACTGCTGTAGTGCCGAGTTTAGCTATGATGGAATTGATGGTTAGCCTCGTCTTGGTTACAGGAAGCACGTTGACGTGCCTCGAATTCGAAGCTCGTCTTCGGGTCGTCGGTATCGCACGACGAGCTCGAGTCGCCAGCCGTTAGGACGTCGGAGGAGACACCCTTGCCGGTGCTATCCACCATCGTGGCTACGAACTTCTTGGACTTCGCGATGGGTAGTTGGGTGGTAAATGACGTCTGGCCATCGTCGAGCGAGAAGTTTCGCGGTACGCCGAAGGGCTAGCAAAGAGGGAGTGAGCGCCCGCCGCAGCGACGACGAGCAGGAGGGAAGGGGGCTCATACCGGCGTGAGGAGTAGGTAATAGGGCGCCTGAGCATCTGCGGGGTATATCAACCGAATGAACACGGGGAGGACGGGCACGACGCACCGCTCCAGGATACGGTGAAGTCCTCGCAAGACTTTGGGGACTTGGTGTCGATGTTGAAGGAAAAGGCGCGGGCGGACGAGACGGCGGCCAGCGCGATGGCGACGCCGCGGATGCCGACGGACGCTGGTGCGACCATGGGCAAAGGAGAGAAGCAGGAGCAAGCAAAGAAGCAGGGGAGGAGCGAAGGAAGGAACGTACTGTGGTCAGCGATTGCCGACCGAGATGGTCACCGGAGTGAAACTCTGAGCCGAGGCGCTTGCGGCCCCATATGATCAGTGTGGCGCTGCTCCCACAGCCTCCTCCGTCCCCCCACGTGGTGCGCACACCCAAGTTCGACAACAAGGCGCTGCACAACCGAGCTGCGAGCGCGTAATTTGGAGTCGCTTGTTTTCCACCGAGCAAGTTGCTATATCCTTGCTACACCCATAGGCTTCCTTACCTCAATCTCACTTCGTGATTGTGTCCGTCTTGACAGGCTGCTTTGCGAATCACCCTCGTATTTTTCCCCTTCTGCGGGAAGGGCGGCCATAACTGCGCGCCCGTCCGACGTCGCGCATTGAATGCGGCAGCTGTATACTGACAGTTCAGCTGTATGTTTCTATTCAAGATCAGCCCTATCACCACAGTATCGCCTCTCCAGCGCCGTCCAGAACGCCAAACATTGATGCCTCTATGGCGCCCGTGGCTTCTCTGACGCGGATACTTCGCGCGAACGCAGCAGCTTGGTCGGTTATCAGACGCTTGATTGCGCGATGAGCTTCGCAGTTGCCCAATCGAGGCGTAAACAAGGGATTGGGTAAGACATGGCATTGCAAACGACAAAAAAAGAAAAGAAGGTAGCTAGCATAAGCACAGTTTGGTGGATGGATGGGCCAGAGGAAGGAGGGGCCACACTCTCAGGGAACGGCGAATGAGGGCTAAATTGGAAGCCTGGGAAAGTTGAACTTCGCGTCCCGCTCGGTATTTGCCGGCTGGTCTATACAGCTGTGACCGGTGGCTTTGGCCGCATTCGGCAGGTGCTTCTCACGTATTGCGCTGAGCAGGCAGCATCGCGATCTCGAGGCACCCGTCAACGCCCTCAAGACTAAGCCGTGAGTATCGCCCGTTGCTGGAGGCTGCTGCTCGACACCTCCATCGCATTATCGTCTTGCTGATACGTCGCTCAGGGCTGCAAGATGGGTTTCGGCAAAAACGTGAGTGCCATTGAGCTCTTGATCGTGCATCTATATTGACTTGCCTTCGTAGAACGGTTAGATCGCCTTCATCCCTCCCCCAAGTCTCCATGCTAAACCACCCCACCAGTCCTTCACGACAACCATTTCCGCAAGGACTGGCAGCGCCGCGTCAAGACCTGGTTTGACCAGCCGGGCCGCAAGCAGCGCCGCCGCATCGCGCGCAAAAAGAAGGCTGCTGCCCTTGGCGTTCGCCCCCTTGATGTCCTCCGCCCGGCTGTCCGCGGCCAGACCGTGCGTTACAACCGCAAGCTCCGTGAGGGCCGTGGCTTCACGCTCGCCGAGCTGAAGGAGGCTGGTGTCGGCCGCAAGGAGGCGCTCAGCATCGGCATTGCCGTTGACCACCGCAGGCGGAACCTGAGCGAGGAGGGCAAGAAGCTCAACGTGGAGCGCTTGCAGGCGTACAAGGCGCGCCTGATCGTCTTCCCCCGCAAGGCTGGCAAGCCCAAGAAGGGTGACACCACTGTACGTGACAGACTTGCCAACTACTGGACCTATCATTCACCTCAACTTCAGGGCGATGACCTCAAGGCCGCCACTGTCCGCTCGACTCTTGCCGCCATCCCCATCCCCGACGGTCAGCCGATCGAGGGCCCCCGCAAGATCACCGACGAGGAGCGCAACTTTGAGGCGTTCCGCTCTCTCCGCATTGCTCGTGCCAACGCCCGGCACGAGGGTGCCCGCAAGGCGCGCCAGGCCAAGGTCTGCATTTCTATCGTGATGGCTGTCCGCGGTGAGCTTACTCCTTATGCAGAAGGAGGAAGAGGAGGCCGCGAAGAAGAAGTAAACGTCTTGTTCGCTCTTTTTACCCGCCTTGCCGCCGCCTACACCATATGTATCTGTGCATTGTACCCTGAAAACTCGCACGATATGCCCCACTACGTCTTATGCAGCCAATATGACCATCCACTGCCGCGCTTCCTTGATACTGGAGTGAATTGAGCGGAGATAGGAAGTTAGAGCAAGAGAATCAACGTCCACCACCTCGTCCCCGCAAGCTACTGTAAAATCAGGGTATATAGCAATGGGGTGTTCGCGAGTCGCCGCCCCCAGCTGACATATTTGCAAACGCTCGCAGGAGGCTTGTCCAGAACGGTGGCCAGTACATGGAATCGCGCTGAGAATCGCCTGACCAGAAATCCCACCTCGCGCACCCTCCTTTGCGCTTACGATCATGGTCGTCGTGCGCTCCGCAGCCCAGTCGTTGCCTACCATCCGCCGCGCGGACATCGGCGCTCGCATCCTCGCCGGCGAGCACCTCCTCATCTACCACGGCCTCGTCCTCCGCGTCCCCCAGTCGTGGCTCGCGGCGCACCCCGGTGGCGAGACCGCGATCCTGCACTACGTCGGACGTGACTGCACGGACGAGGTCGACGCGTTCCACCCGGACGATGTGTGCGAGACGATACGGAAGTACGCAGTCGGCGCGCTCGACGCGAGCGCGTTGCCGTGGCACCCGTACGTGCCGCCCGTGATGACGGGCTGGGTGCGGAAGCAGGGGCCTGACGGCGCATGGGGCTGGTTCAAGGAGGCCGACGCGTTGATTGGCGAGGGCGACGCGGATTCGCTGTTCCCCTCCTCGCAGATTCTACTAGTCGAGCGCGACACGCTAGACGCAGCGCATGCCGCGTACCCGAACGAGAAGGGTCCTATTGACGCGAAGGACGGTCCGACGCTCGCACTTATCACCCCCGGCCCTGCTAGTGGTCTGTCCCCCGAGATCCAGGCGCGCCACTCTCAGGCCTGGCATGAGCTACGCAAGCGCATCGAGGACGCCGGGCTCTTCCAATGCAAGTACATCCGCGGGTACGGTCCGGAGGTCGTCCGCTACACGATGCTCGCCGCGACCTCGATCTGGTGCTTTAAGCACGACTACATCTTCTTCAGCGCACTATGCCTTGGCTTGTTCTGGCAGCAGCTGGTGTTCACTGCGCACGACCTGGGGCATGTGGGGGTTACGCACATATGGGAGATTGACAGGCTGATTTCCATCATCATCGCGGACTTCATTGGCGGGCTGAGTATCGGGTGGTGGGTCGATGTGAGTGGTATGCGCTTGGTCTAGAACTGTGCAAGGTGCTAATGCGATGTATAGAACCACAACATCCATCACCTCGTCACGAACCATCCTTCTCAGTACGTGGTACGCTGCGTGAAGCCATGGATCTCGCTGACCCTCCCCCAGTGACCCCGACATTCAACACCTTCCCTTCTTCGCCATCTCCCCCGTCTTCTTCAAGAACCTCTTTTCCTCATACTACAAGCGCACGCTCTACTTCGACATGTTCGCCGACATCTTCATCCGCATCCAGCATAAGCTCTTCTACATCGTCATGGCGTTCGCCCGATTCAACCTCTACGCGCTCTCATACGGCCACCTCTTCAAGCGGGCATTCGACACTCGCCGCACGAAGGGTGGTCGCTGGGCTTGGTGGCTCGAAGTCATTGGCCTCGTCGTCTTCTGGTATTGGTACGGAAACGTGCTTGCGAATTGCGGCTCGTGGCAGAAGGCTCTCATGTTCCTGCTCGTCAGCCATGCGGCGACGAGCCCGCTGCATATTCAGGTGGGCTTCATCCGCCGCATGCGTTGTAGGCGTTTGCTCACCTTCCGTAGATCGTCCTCTCTCACTTCTCAATGTCTTCCGCCGACCTAGGTCCCCTCGAGTCGTTCGCCGCGCGCCAGATGCGTACGACGACCGACGTGATTTGCCCGCGCAAAATCGGCTTCATCCACGGCGGCCTCCATCTACAGGTCACGCACCACCTCTTCCCGCGTCTACCTCGCCACAACCTGGACGACGCTGCCCTCATGGTCAAGGAATTCGCCAAGGAGCAAGGCCTAGTGTATGCCGAATTCGGGTTCATTGCAGGCAACCAGGATGTGTTGGGCACGCTGAGGAACGTAGCGGAGCAGGTCCGTGTCATTGGGCATGTCGCGGCGGAAGAGGCGAAGGAGGCATTCGACAAAAAACTGAAGGACAGCGAAAAGCAATGTGAGCAAATCGAAAAGACGATCTGACCGGTTCAGACTGTCTTCTAGTGGGTGGGGGTTCGCGTAAATGTAGGTATCATAGAGGTACTTCCCCACTCGCAACAAAGCTTTCAACATTTGAACCCTGTTGCGCGTCGAGGTGATTCCTGGAGCCCGATCGATGCGAGGGCTTGGCTTTTTGCTGGCACTTTAGGGAACGATCAAACAGGTTGTGGGTGTGGATCCGGGATCCGGGCATGGATTGCGGCATAAACTCGTTCATATGCATAGAAGGGAGTGCAGTATGGAGAGCATGAAAGAGAAACAGGAAGTATGGATACAAGCAAGCCGCACGCGAGCCGCTTAACGGTAACTGAAGGAAGAAATCAGTATACGGGACTGAACCAGCTCTGTCTGTCACGTACCTCTTCTGTCTCCGGGCACGGGCACCGTGACCACCGAACTTCTTCGGCTCTGCCCGACGAGGGTCGGCGATGAGGAGGGTGCGGTCGTAGGCGACGAGCTTCTTCTTGAGCTCCATCGCGCTGTACGCGTCGACGTACTTGGCGTAGTACGCAACGAGCGCCTTCGCGATCGCCTGGCGGATGGCGTACACCTGGGAGGTGTGCCCACCACCCTTGACGCGCACGCGGATGTCAACGATGGAGAACGCCTCCTCGGATGCGACGAGGACCGGCTCGTAGACCTTCAAGCGGAGGATCTCGGGCTGAACGAGGTTGATGGGCTGGCCGTTGATGCGGATAAGACCGCGGCCCTCCTTGGCGTGAGCGACGGCAGTCGCGGTCTATACGATTCATTAGCAGGGGAACGCGAGCAAGGATATGGGCACGCACCTTCTTCTTACCAAAGGTCTGCACGGCTTTTGCGGTCGACGCCATTTTTGCAGACGGCTATAATCTTGGTAAGGATGGGCTCAACGGCGGCGGCAACGGGCGTACTCACGGGCTACGCTGTCTTGAGATCGTCGGGGGCGGCGTACACGAACCGATGGCGATCAACGAAGGGGAGACTGTACAGTTTGAGTCGGATGTTGCCGAAGGCCATGTGCTTTGCGGCCGTTGCCGGCGTGATTGCCGCTGACTAAGCAGAGTGCCGGCTCCTGCTTCCATCTCGTGTCAGTCCCGCGCCGGAGACCGTCAGCGATGTTGAAGGGAGCATTCAAGGTGCGTTGCAAGCTGCTGCATATTTGATGTGTACTTAACTGCACTAGAGGGGTATTCCGACCCGCGTGTCGCCGTCGTCAGTGGTGAAGAGCAGCGTTGTCGGTGCGTGTCGCGCACCATGATCGGCGCACTTCGGACTTACATGTTCTGCAGCGCTCCCCGCGGCGCAGCCGGTATGCGTCCAGCTCACGCCCTCCCTACACAGGACGGCGCAGGACAAGCGCAGCCCGCCGGCTAGCGAGCTCGCCGTCCTCCACCCCTCCGTCTTCAACCACCCCATCCGTCGTGACATCCTCCACCTCTGCGTCGTCCACTACCGCGACAGCCTCCGCCAGGGCAGCGCCAACACCAAGAACCGCGCCGAAGTTCGCGGCTCGACGCGCAAGATCATGCGCCAGAAGGGCACCGGCAACGCCCGCGTCGGCGACGCGCAGAGCCCCATCCGCCGCGGCGGAGGCGTCGTCTTCGGTCCGAAGCCGCGCGACTTCAGCACGAAGCTGCCGCGCAAGGTCATCGAGATGGGCATGCGCGTTGCGCTTAGTGCGAAGGTCAAGGAGCAGAACTTCGGGATCATGCGCCGGTTAGAATGGCCGGAGGGCAAGACGCGCACGTTGGCGGAGCGGATTGAGACCCTGGGCTTGCGGAAAACACTGTTCGTGACAGGGAGCGAGCAACTGCCGGAAACACTGGAGCGCGCGTTCCGCAATATACCCATGGTCAAGCTCGTTCACGCCTCGGAGTTGAACGTCTACGAGACGCTCAAGTGGCCGCGCATCGTCGCGGACTTGGATGCCGTCAAGTACTTCGAGGAGTCCTTGAAGAAGGATATACCTGTCGCTCAGATCCCTCTGGTCGCATTCGAGGCTGAGGCTGAGGCCGACTTTCTGGCTCAGGTAAGCAGGCAATATACCTGAGATAGTCTTGTCGCTGACAAGTCGATAGACGACGATACCTGAGCCACCAGCTGCTGAGCCTTCACCAGCACCTCAAGCAGCATGAGATACAGTGTTCGTAGATGTACACACTTACTCGCTACTTGAGTGCCTTTGCGCACGTCTCGATGATATTTTTTGGGCGTCACACACCCTCACCTCTGGAACAATGTGTCTGATCTCACTTGCGAGGACTGCCTAGAGAAGTATATTGCGCGCTTATACATTGTTAAACACCGTTCAGGTGCTATCAGTACTCCCCTCCCTCAATCAGCCTTCCACTGTTTCGCATGGCGCCTTCATGTCCTCTCGCGTGAGCAACTTAAACTCGCCGGGAGGTAATGGAAGCATCCCAGGTACCTGTGCTATGGCCGAATGCTCCGTAGCGCGGACGTGAACCTTGTCGCACAGTTCTTCCAAGCCGAGGAAGGGTTGATCCTGGCGTATGTGCGAGGCGAGCCCGCGAGCAGACAGTTGCCCATGAGCGAGAGTGTAGTTGATATGAAGGCTCTGCAGCTTGTCGAGGCACTTCACAATGGTATCAACACGACCATAACGATCTGTCAGGACGAGATGGCGGAGGCTGGCGATGGACTGCAAGAAAGGCGGCACATGCTCGTCCATGCTTTCGGTCGTGTTCTGCAAGTGGACCGTCTCCAGTCGCGGGAAGAGTGTGTTGCAACCGTCCGGAATCGAGAACATGTCGAGAATCTTTGGATGGCTGATGAAGTCGCCGAAGATTTCGAGGTATTCCAGGCTGGGCAAGTACAGTTGAATATTTGCTAGGTCCTGAGGGGGCGGCATCCCCTTGAAGCCGAATGCTAACTTCTTCAGAGATGGCAACCGTACGAGCTTGAGGTCTTCCGAGCTATGCGTCATCGTAGCAGGTCCTAAGCGAGGGAGAGCGAGTGTGATTAGGTTGGGACATTTGCGTGTGACGATGTTCAACAGGCCACCGTCAAGAGAGAGATTCGCGAGGGAGAGATGAACCAAGCCGTCCATCGAGGGGAGGCAGCGCCAGCATGTGAAGTCCGCCTTCAGGCACTGAAGAGTGGGTAGAATGGCCGCTCGATAGGTTGAGTTGTGAGCAAGCCACTGATGTGCCGAGGGAGAGCTCTCTGGGACGCGGTACTCGAACCTGCGCAGACAAGGCGCGGTCTCCATATATCGCTGCATACGGTGGACGAAGATGATATCACACGCCTCCATTGTGACTTCAATTATGCGTGGCGAAACGTTGATGAGAAGCGCAGCCTGGTTGGGCGTGAGCTCTTCCCTGGTACAGTCAAGATGAACCTCCAAGGGAAGACTCTTTGACCGCATGCCGTGCGTGACGCTGACTGACATATCCTTGCGTGCCGTCATGCATATTCTGGTCCAGAGCCCGGCGGAGTCGAGCGAGATGGCGCGCCACAGTCGGCAGACATGACTGAAGCGCACAGGAGGAGACAGAGCGTTCTTCCACTGTTCTTCGAGAGTGTTACCGGCCTTGAATATGGCCAGAATCAGTTCGTTTGGAAGCCTGTTGATGGGGCAGGGCTGGGAGTCACGTAGATCCTGGGCTTGAAGGAGGCGGTGATCGACGCGCTGCACACGCGTCAGACAAGGTAACAGTGTGCATCGTAGATACACATACAGCTATACTACATGGAATGACACCGTTCTTCTGTTCTTCTTCAGTAAGGACCTCGGCGAATTCAGACGCCTGTGGAGGCGGTCCGATTAGTTTGCGTACGATGTCTGGATGAAGGGTGGCTTACTATACATGCGGCTATAATATGAGCATGAGAGGGGCCATAACCAAACGACATCTCGGTGTGAGGAACGGGAAGAGACCAGTGGCTAGAGGTACGTGGTGGGCAGAGGCAAGAGATCGATGTGGCGTCGGACCCGTACATGAGCACGCGGTCACATGAGATGACTGCGTGCGTGCATCGTGGGAATATTCGTCCCTCGCGTCTTTGTCCGTTCCCTTACTCATCGACGACCACCGCGTCCGCACCATGTCCCAGCCATCCCAGGAAGAAGAGGCCGGCGAGGACTACCAGCTTGCAGGCCCTCTGCTGGTCTCGAAGCTGCAGGAGGCAGGCATCCACGCCAATGACATTAAGAAGCTCGCGGAGGCGGGACTGAACACGGTTGAGGCTGTCGCGTTCACGCCCAAGAAGAACCTGGTCACTATAAAGGGCATCTCTGACCAGAAGGCGGACAAGATCCTGGCCGAAGGTGCGTATTCCGACCGCTGGCACTGGGTATATGCGCGATCCTAACGATGTGCTGCAGCCCAGAAGATCGTCCCCCTTGGCTTTCAAAGCGCTACAGAGGTGCATGCACGACGATCCGAGCTCGTACACATTACGACAGGCTCTAAGCAGCTCGATGCGCTCCTTGGCGGTGCGTCATCTTCATATATGCGCGCGATATGCAATCACTGACGCGCTCGCAGGCGGCATCGAAACGGGTGCGATTACCGAATTGTTTGGCGAGTTCAGGACTGGCAAGTCTCAGCTATGCCATACGCTGGCCGTGACCTGCCAGCTTCCTGTCAGCATGGGCGGAGGGGAGGGAAAGTGCTTGTACATCGATACCGAGGGCACCTTCCGTCCTGTCCGGCTGCTAGCCGTAGCAGAGCGCTTCGGCCTGAACGGAGAGGAGGTGCTGGACAACGTTGCATACGCACGCGCGTACAACGCGGACCATCAGAACTCCCTCCTAACCAGCGCTAGCGCGCTCATGTCCGAGTCTCGGTATGTGCCTCAATTTCTACCCCCTGTACGCCTCGAGCTGATGGTTCATCTCCAGGTTCTGCTTGTTGATCGTGGATTCCTGCACGGCCCTCTATCGGACGGATTTTAGCGGCCGTGGGGAGCTCTCCTCACGGCAGAACCACTTGGGCAAGTTCCTGCGGACCCTTCAGCGTCTGGCGGATGAGGTAAAGACACGCTATTCCCCTCAAACGTGCTGAGGCTCATGGTCGTTTTCAGTTTGGAATTGCGGTTGTCGTAACGAACCAGGTTATGTCCAACCCCGACGCAGCCGCCGGACCCTATGCGGGCAACGAGAAGAAACCCATCGGTGGGAATATCATGGCGCACGCCTCCACGACTCGGTATGTGCACCCTCATAGACCTGGGCTAGCCTCGGAACTAACTGTGCGTGTTCTCAGTTTGCAACTCAAAAAGGCGCGCGGCAACACACGTTCATGCAAGATTTACGATTCGCCATGTCTGCCGGAGATGGAGACGCACTTCGCTATATTGCAGAGTGGTATAGGCGACCCCGAGGAAGAGCCTTGATGCGTTCAGACTCGCACTTGCCCGCACGCGCTTTTCTTGTACACGGATCTTGCGTGCTCAACTTGCTGTATGTATTGTAGAACATCCCGCTGACTGTGACTTCGTCATTCAATGGCTTCATTCGACTCCGAGTCCAACAGTGCTAAGCATAAAGCTACTCCTCCTTTTTGGTGCCCTGTACGTAGAGCTGGTATTACATCGTTTAGTAGTACTTTCCAGTTGAATGATGTCTAAGGCGCTACAGAGTCAGAAGACACGCTAATGTACAATAGTAAGCATTAAATATGGTCAGCAACGAAGATCTATGCGAGGAAACGGGTGACAATGTTGGCCTCCGTCGCGTTGATGCGGTCGCGGAGGGTTTTGAGGTCGTCGGGGCCGACATCAGCGATGTCTGCCAACAGGTATGCGATGTCGCCCTTGGAGTCGGAGTACTGCTTCTCGACGTTGAAGGACGCGAGGGCGTCGTTGACCTGGCGCAGCACACCGGGCACGTTCTTGTGCGCGTAGCACATGCGCACGCGGTCGTTCTCGTCCGCGGAGATCGCGCGCAGGTCGACCTCGGGGAAGTTGACCGCGCCGACGGTCGAGCCGTACCAGAGGCAGCGGGTAAGCGCGGCGGAGACCTCCTCGCCGATCGAGCGCTGCGCCTCCTCCGTCGAGCCGCCGATGTGCGGGGTGAGGATGACGTTGGGGAGCGCGCGGAGGGTGGAGGCCCAGCTGTTGAGCTCGTCGTCGAAGGGCGCGCCGTTCGCGCCGGGCTCGCGGGGGAAGACGTCGATGGCGGCACCGGCGACGTGACCCGCCTTGAGCGCGTCGATGAGCGCGGGGATGTCGACGACCTTGCCGCGCGCGTTGTTCAGGAGGTACGCGCCCTTCTTCATCTGCGCGAACTGCTCGCGGCCCATCATGTTGATCGTCTCCGGCGTCTCGGGGACGTGCAGCGTCACGTAGTCCGCCTCGTTTAGCAGCGCGTTCAGGTTCTCGACCTGGCGCGCCGAGCCGAGGGGCATGAGGTTGACGATGTCGTGGAAGAGGACGCGCATGCCGAAGGACTCGGCGAGCACGGAGAGCTGCGAGCCGATGTGGCCGTAGCCGACGATGCCCAGGGTCTTGCCACGGATCTCCCAGCAGCCCTTGGACTGCTTGTTCCAGATGCCGGCCTTGAGCTCGCCCGAGCGGTCGAAGAGCTGGCGGGAGAGAACGACGAGCTCGCCCATAACAAGCTCGGCGACGGAGCGGGAGTTGGAGAAGGGGGAGTTGAAGACGGGGATGCCTGCGCGGGCGGCGGTCTCGAGGTCGACCTGGTTCGTGCCGATGCAGAAGCAGCCGATGACGATCAGCTAGGGGAATGTGAGTGGGGAAACTCGGTGCAGAGGGTAGGAGGGAACGTACCTTGGTCGCAGCCTTGATCACCTTCGCAGTGATCTTAGTCTTGCTGCGAATGCCAATGGCGTGGTACTGGGGGATCTTCTCGAGGAGCTCCTCCTCGGACATGGCCTTGGTGTGGTGATCGACATGGAAGCCCTCCGAGCGGAAACGCTTGACGGCCTCCTGGGAGATGTTCTCGAGGAGGAGCAGGCGCAGGTTTTCGTTCTCTACCGGGTGGAGGACCTTTGGCTGCCGCACGTTCCCGGACGCGGCCTGGGCCATGCGCTCGTGGAGGCTGGCGCCGGTGGTGGGGGAGACGGAGGCGGCCACGACGGCGTTGGGGATGGCGATGGGCGGGCTCATTGTTACGAATGACATGGTGGGCGTGTGTTGTGCTTTTATATGGGCGACACGAGTTGGAATCACGTCAAGAAGGCGACAAGGGCGGTGGGGGACTTGTTGTCTGCGTGTTGCGGTTCGTCTGCGGATGGTGACTTGTCCGGATGGGCCGATGCCCAATCGAGCGCTGATCCTGCACTGATCTTGATCGCACTCGGTTCTTCCCCGTTGACTCAGCCCTGACTCGGCTGGGCCCCGTCCTTGTTCTCTCCTTGTCCATTCCCTTGTTCTTTACTCTCTACACTCGCCATGGGACTATATCTGCTCGACTACGGCGCGGGCAACGTCCAGAGTCTCGCCAACTCCCTCACAAAGCTCGGCCACACCTTCACCTGGATCGCCACCCCGGAGGACTTCGACAAGGCTACCGTCAGTCTTTCCCCCCAACGCGCGGCCGTACGTCCCATTCATCCCCTTCTCAGAGCCTCATATTCCCGGGAGTCGGCGCCTTCGAGACCGCCATAGATGGACTCGCCTCCCGCGGTCTGCTCGAACCTCTGCGCGCATACCTCCGATCCGGCCGTCCGTATTTCGGAATATGCATTGGAATGCAGGTTCTCTTCGCCAGTTCGGCCGAATGCCCTGGGTCTGCCGGCCTGAACCTCATCCCCTCCCCCATAACCGAGTTCGATTCCTCGGACAAATCCGTGCCGCACATGGGATGGAATTCGACTACCCGCGTGTTTCCCCAGCAGGGGATGGACGCGCAGGACTACTACTATTTCGTCCATTCGTATTGCGCAAAGTACGACCCCGTTGCGTACCCCGAAGCCGCGACCTGGGCGCACACTGTCACGCAGTATGGCCAGGAGCTCTTCATGTCGACCGTGCAGAAGGGGAACGTCTTTGGCGTCCAGTTCCACCCTGAGAAGTCGGGAGCAGCAGGGCTTGCGCTCCTGGACGAGTGGCTTCGCAAGAGCGAGACGGAGCGCTCATCACTCTCGGCGACTTCTTGTACGGGATCAGCGCCGGTCCTAAAGCCAAGTTCGAAACAGACGCTCACCAAGCGCATCATCGCATGCATGGACGTACGCGCGAACGACCAGGGCGACCTGGTAGTTACCAAAGGCGACCAGTACGACGTCCGGGAAAAGTCTGACATCAAGACCGACTCCGCTGGCGCAGTACGCAACCTCGGCAAGCCTGTCGCGCTCACAGCCCGCTACTACGAGGCAGGAGCGGATGAAATCTGCCTGCTGAACATCACATCCTTCCGCCACTCACCTCTACGAGATCAGCCGATGCTTGCAGTCGTCCGCGCCGCCGCAGAGACCGTCTTCGTACCGCTCACAATTGGTGGCGGGATCAAGGACAGCGTCGATCCCGATGGCACCAAACGCACTGCCCTCGAAGTCGCTGGCGTCTACTTCCGCGCTGGCGCAGATAAGGTCAGCATCGGGAGCGAGGCAGTCTATGCTGTGGAGCGCTTGCGGGAACGAGGCGGCCAAGGAGACGGGACGAGCGCAATAGAGACGATCGCGAAGGCGTACGGCAGACAAGCGGTCGTCGTCTCCATCGACCCCAAACGAGCTTACGTGGCCGCGAGCTACGATGGGCCGCGGAGAGACGAGATTGTGCGCGGAGAGGACGGCAAGGCGTGGTGGTATCAGTGCACGGTGTCGGGAGGACGCGAGACAAGAGATCTGTCAGTCGTCGAACTTGCTCAGGGCGTGGAGAAGCTAGGAGCAGGGGAACTGCTCGTCAACAGCATCGACCGAGACGGTACCGGAAAAGGCTTCGACCTCGATTTGCTATCACTGGTCAAGAAGTCTGTTCACATACCAGTGGTCGCGAGTAGCGGAGCAGGCGCACCAGGACACTTTGTAGACGTATTCCGGAAGACGAGTGTAGAGTCCGCGCTCGCCGCAGGTATTTTCCACCGGGAGGAGGTGCGGATAGAGGACGTAAAGGCGGCGCTAGCAGCAGAGGGGATCCCTGTACGACGAGGGTAGATATAGAGAATTGGAAAGAGCTGTCTGATTTGCACTGGCGCCGCATGGGGGACTGATCCCCCACGGAGGCCAGTACTCACGGAGGCGAAAGAGGGCTGCGGGGGATGTGTCAGCGAGGGTGCAGAAAACGAGTCTTAGACGAGGGGCGGCGGGAGATTGGCGGGATGCTCCAAGACGACGTCTCGCCTAGATGCAGAGGCGGCGCCTATGACGCGCAGTCGGCTGACTCCGGTTATCCGCCCCGCTGGAATCGCCTCGAAGCAGACTCGATTTACTCGCCCTTTGCTTCAGACCACCACCGTCGACACGCTACCCTCCTCCTCGTCGCCCGCCCCGCCGCTCGCGACAGCAGCAAGCAGCCGCATCAGGCCTTCGCCATCAGCTCCACCCCGAGCACGTGAGACCCAGCCAAGCCTCGAGAAGACCACATTGGCTTTTGATTCAAATGGCAGCCGTCGCCCCTCCTCCTCCTGGCAACCACCGCTCCCACCACAGCAGGTTGCGCTCCGGCTCAGATCCCTTCACGGATCCCACAAAGGCTCCCAAATCCAAGTCCTCCCATCGCGCAGTGCCCCCGCCTCCGCCCCCCAAGGCCTCTCCCCGCATGACACACGGCGCCCCGCCGAGGCCGCCCAAGGACGTCACCGACGCCGTACGCGAGACAGTGCAGGTTCGTGGCCAGGATCAACGCCACCGCATTGGTAGGAGCCAGAGCTCAATGTAAGCGGTTCGGTTTGTGCGTCGCCTGACCTCGTTTATCTGATCGTGCGTATGTCAGCCCACCTCAGGCCACTTCTCGCCCTCAAGCTGCCAGCCACCGCTCCCAATCTCAAGACTCGGTTCTTCGCACCGCCAACGCCATGGAAAAGTCCAAGACCAGAGGCCATCGCCCCAAGAAGGGTTCCCAGCACGCGGATGTCATCGACCGCCTAGACTTTACTGGCGTGGGCCCCAGTGAGTTTCGCGCTTATCGCAGGGCGAATGGTATGCTCATCGTTTACTAGTGTTCCACCACGATGGTCCGTTCGACGCTTGTGCCCCTTCGCGCAACCGCCAGCGCAACAAGGCGCCTATGCTAGCATGGAGCGGCAGCGGTGCCCCGCCGGGCGCCGATCCGGGGTCGCCCTACGAAGAGCCCTACCCCGAGCCTCCCAAGAAGAAGGTCGACGCGATCGCGGAGGCATGGGGCATACACGAGCCCGAGCCGTTCGAGGAGTTCTTCGCGGGTGGCAACAACGACAGCAACACGCCGACGAGCTCCATATACAACGGCCGTGCTAGCGCTGTACCCAAGTACCGCCGCGACGGTCGTCTCGATGATGGAACGCCTCCTCGCCGCAGTGGCCAGCGCACCCGTGGCGCCATCCCACCCCCTCAGCCCATCTTCGTTCCCGACTCTTCCTCCGTTGAACAGCAGTACCCCGCCGACTTCACGCCGCCGGCCGTCTCCCCCAGCAACGCGCCCAAACGCTCCAAGTCGCTCATGCAGCGCATCCGCAAGATGCGCGAGACGCCCAACGTGCCCGTTGACAACGAGGGCGGCAACAGCTCGCCAGGTGGCGACCCGCAAGCGCGGCCGGCGCACCGTCACCAGAACTCGCATGCGGGCCACTTTGGTGGCGGGCATCATCGGGACCGGAACGCGGAGACCCGTGAGGCCAGCGAGCCGTTTGTGTTCATCGAGAACAGCGCGCCCGCGCACAAGGACCTGCCCGCCACGCCCGGCAGCCGTGGCACGCCCGAGAGCCCGCCTGACGCGCAGACGGGGTATTTCGATGGCTACACCAGCCCGGGTGGGGGTGGATTGGGCAGGAAGACTAGCCTGATGAAGAAAGTCGGCCGCGTCGTGCGGGGCAGGGACCGATAAAGTGCCGGGCTTGGAAAGCCAGACTTAGACGTTACCGTACCACAGTGGCGAAATGGGCCCTAGCAGGGATGTATCTTTAATTTACTTGGTCGAGTGTTGGGCGGGCCTTGGTACCTACCACCTTACTCTTCTGTTTCCGTTTCTACTCGTTCTAGTATGCAGCTGGGTTGGGCCGTGTCTGAACTTCGGCGATATCTGTTGGCCTTGTGATGACCGTCCTTCTGGCTCCTTTTCTTTGACTTCGTTCGACGTGTCCCGTTACTACTCTACCTGACCCTTGGGACGTTTCCACGCTGTATCTTCCGGTGTTCAATATGTGTACATATGCCTATACGAGACGAATTTGATGATGAGAACAATAGCCTGGAGGTCGTGTGGGCGAAGTGAATCACCCGCGCCTTTCCGCACCTCTTCCGTGAGCCCTTGGCATGATGGTGCGGCGATAGGAGAACATTGGTTAGGGACCGAGGTCTGTATTGACGTGGCCTCATCATACTGAATCAAGACCAACGATAGTCTAGTAAGTATACACTTTGCACCTAAAGATCGCCGGTGGTCTCCGTGATTGCCTTTGTTTCCTGTCGGTTTACACTCCTGGCATCTTCTGGCTCCTTATCGACGCCGTCGAGCTCCTCAATTCGAGGTCAGCTTGGATTTTGACGCTAGAAGACCAACGCGAGGGTATGGACCTACAAATGTCCATCCTAATCACATGATGATGCAAACAGCCACAAGCATTGCCAAAGCGCCCAACGCATCATCTGTACCCTCGTCGTCTCTCCAAAGTTGAGCATAGGTACTTCCCCCTTAGTCCCTCCTCTCTCTCTGTAGCTGAATTACAGACATCACCCACCTCTTCAGACGCTATCGAAGTCTACTGAACCTGATCCTCATATTACGCCCGTGGTTCGCGCTTGGTAAACCTTCTGTGTATGACGGTCTCATCTAACTTCAATGATTGCAGCATAACTTGCCAACGCCTTCATGTCGTCGTTCGACAAAAGGGATTCACAGTACAGTGAATGGCAGTCGACGTCTGGTGAAGGGATGGCGCCAAACGACGCGCGATTAGTGCCCTCCTCCAGCATTCCCATCGATTCCCTACCGAATGAGCTCCTCGTTCTGGCTTTTAAATATGCGATACCGGAGGTTTCCAAATGGATAGGGTCCAGGCTTCTCACTATCTTCACCATGGTGGCGAGCCACGTCTGTCGGCGGTGGCGCAACCTTGACCTGCAGACTCCCAGCTTATGGACTCTCATCTGCTTTCGAACTTGGAAGCGGCTGCCTCTGCCTGTCGTGAAGCTCTACGAGTCGCGGTCCCAAAACCTCGACCTGCGTCTACATGTCCACATGGACTCCTTCGATGAACTGTCGGACGCGCAGATCCAGTGAGCGCAGAGATTGGCGTCACGCACATCCCATCTTTACATCAGCTACATGCACACCACCCCACGAACTTTGCTGCAGCAATCCATCGGCGCGTGCCGCTTGCAGTGGCTATCCTACGGCCCCTTCCATCTCCATCATCGCAACGTCGAACATAAGGACTTCGATTTCCCCTCTTTTCGGCATTTCCAACTGCGAGACGGGTGTCTGGAATGCGTGCCCCACTCTCGCAAGCTTACCTTTGCTGAGCTGCCCAATGCCCCCTCCGACGGCGAGGACTTGCGCACTGTCCTCGCTCGATCTCCCCACCTCCACACTCTGGTCCTTCCGGATTACACGGCCGATCTGCTTCCCGATGAGGCTACACCATGGCCTGCGATACACGCAGAAACTATCAGGCGGCTTGCAGAGTCTGTCTACTGCCAAAGGCAACGCCTTGTGCGGCGTCGACCTGATAGCGACTTCCACTTTGCGCCTCTGGCCTTCCACGGATTGGAATACCTCGAACTGGGCAGCACGGTGACTGCTATTCTGGCGCGACTTATCAGCGCCCCATTGGAATTCTTGAACACTCTGCACACTTTGCACTTGGTCGAGACAGGATGTGACGAAGTCATGCCATTCATGCTGTCCTTGGAGAGACTGCGCTGTGTGGTCTTAACTGATGCGCTTTCTCTGGACGTCTGGCCGACGGAACCTGAGGCATGGCCTTTCTTGGAGAAGATAGAGATACGAACCTTTGACCCAGAAGAAGAGGACCCCAGTCATTTGGCCGAATTCACTATGCGCCGCCAGACGATCTATAAATCGTTTCGCACGATGGTCGATGTTCCCCAATGGTGCCGCATATATCCTGAGGCTTTCCAGCATTGCGACGAGGCCTTCATGCATCATTCACTTCTTCAACAAAGACGGCGATGATTGTGCGTCTTAATCAATACGCGCTTGATAGGCTGGCTTTCAGAATCGTACTAATATCCAGTAGGTTACACGGGAAACAATATTGTTGGAAATGGTAGAGCTGTAGTGCTGTAGTGCGGTGGAGAGGACCTTTGGCAGTGCGTTCTCTGGCATTGAGTGAGGATTTTAGGTGCAAGGTAGAAAGAGGAGGGAACAATGCAGCCGTACGAATGGAGATACCCGAGTGATCTCCAATCAACATCATGTCCAGTTCCCGAAGTCCGCGTCTTCATCAACGTTCACGGTCTCCATTGTTCTCGACCGCTTAAGTCGACGGTGCAGGCGGTCACGCCTGTCATTATGAAGCTACCTCGCTCACTCCTTTCACGCGGGGCGCGTCGAACCAACTATCGCACCTCTTCGCGCGCGTTCTCCCTTGCTACTGCTCGTGAGCGTGGCGCACCCGTAGACCTGCACCCCGAGGTGGAGGACGCACTTAATGCTGGACGACCCGTCGTTGCTCTCGAGACTGCAGTCATTACGCACGGCTTCCCGGCACCGCGCTGTCTCGAGCTCGGTCGCGATCTAGAGGGGCTCGTACGCGCAGGCGGCGCCGTCCCGGCGACGATCGGGTTCGTTGGAGGGCGCGTGAAGGTTGGCCTGACGTCCTCTGAGCTGGAGCGACTGGCATACCGCACGGAGAACCCGGCGAAGGTGTCGCGCCGTGATGTGGCTGCAGCGATCACGGCTGGGGCGGACGGAGGTGCGTTGAGCGAAGGAAGTTACGGGAATCTATGCTGAGGGCCTACAGGGACGACATGTAGCACTACGCTCATATTCGCGGCGCTGGCCGGGATCAAGGTACGTTGTCTGTACAAGGTTGGAATTTATAGCTCATGGGTCTCTAGGTCTTCGCTACTGGCGGGTGAGCCCCTATCCTCTGAACTCCTTCATCCACTCATATTGACGATCATGCAGTCTCGGTGGCGTACATCGAGGGGCAGAGACCAGTACGTCTTTGCTGGCATTGAGACTCTCCTCACTCTAAAATAGCATCAGCTATGGATATCTCAGCCGACCTTCACGAACTGACTCGTTGTCCGGTGGGACTGGTATCCGCCGGTGTCAAGTCGATCTTGGATATTGGAAGGTAGGTCATCCTGTGATATGATGCAGTAGTATGCTGATAGCCGTCGTTCTCTAGGACATTGGAGTACCTGGTCAGCTCTTTGATCCCATCGACATGCGGGTCAAGCTTAAGAATGCTCGCAGGAAACTCTTGGAGTACCCGTCATATCCTACTCGAAGACGCGCGACTTTCCCGCCTTCTTCTCTCCGCGCAGCGGATTTGAGGTAAATCAATCGATGATTCAGCTCTACTGTGCTAGTACTCACTACCTTCGCAGGTACCTTGGAACGTGAACGACCCAGCCAGCGCGGCAAAGATCCTGCGTGCGTTCCTCAAACTCTCATTTTCGAATTGACTAATCGTGTCTCTGCAGATACCCACTGGCAACTAGGCATGCAGAACGGCGCCATCTTCGCCGCGCCGATACCAGAAGAGTACGAGGCGGCAGGTCACAAGATTCAAGCTGCTGTAGACCAGGCCGTTGCCGAGTCTGAAGCGAATGGCGTTGCCAGACGCGGCAAGGAGGCCACTCCTTGGTTGCTCAAGCGCGTCAGCGAGCTCACTGGTGGCTCGTCGGAGGCATCCAATGTCGCACTCCTCAAGAACACTGCGTTCATTGGTGCGTAGTGGTTCGGCGTTAGGTTCATCTATACAAATGGCTGATCATCTTCAAGGTGGCCAAATTTCGGCCGAGTACGCGAAGCTTGTAAGGAATACATAACCTACGTTCTGGGTTGAAAGGTGTATCTAAAATGAATGTACGACAGACAAATGGGAATGACATTACAACTACCTTTACACCACCGCCAACTTCCTCGACCATCCGGCAGCATGCTCCCCTGAAGCTCGAGCCATCGCCTGCAACACTGGTTCGTACTTTGCATGCAACTACAGGCTGCAGTCGGTAACACAATCACCAGCCACCTGCAAAGCTCCTGGTTGTTGGTTCTGCAGCCGTCGACCTGACCTCTCAAGCCGCACCTTCTTCGAATGACCAGCTTGCCGCTCACTCTACCGTTCCCGGCACAGTCGTATCCTCCCTCGGCGGCGTCGCGCGCAATATCGCTGAAGCTGCGCACCGCTGCTCTGCAGACCCTCAGTCGACCTTGCTCGTCGCGCCGCACGGCGCAGATCCTTTCGGAACGCTTCTGAAGGACGGTACGCAGAGTGTCGGTATGCGCTCCGACGGACTCATGCAGACTACGGGCTCGACGGCCGTTTGCAGCTTGATGCTGGATGGCACGGGCAATCTAGTGAGCGGTGTTGCGGCCATGGATATTACGCGGGACTTCGAAGCGGATACGGTGAGGACAGAAACAATACAAAGGCTGTCTGGCTTGCTGAACGTGTCAGTAGGTTGTCGAGCAAATTGAAAAGCACAAGCCCAACGTCGTAGCTCTGGATGGAAACCTGTCACCAGAAACGCTGACAGCAGTCGTTCGCTACTGCTACAAGCACGGCATCAAGAGTACGTACGCCATGCATTCCACTAATGCTCTTCACTGATCCTCTTCCAGCCCTCTTGTAAGTTAGATGTACTTTCGTACCTGTAACCTCCCTCTCACCATACGCAGCGAGCCCACCTCCCTCACCAAGAGCACCGCCATCCTCTCTGCTGCGTTCGACTGCCTCCCGCCCACCGGCGGCGTCGCTCCAGTCACCTTCGCCACTCCAAACCTCATCGAGCTCGAGCACATGTATCGCACCGCCGTTGCCGGCGACCCCTTCGACGCCATGTCTCACAAGGGCTGGTGGGCCACGCTCGACACTCTTGCTCTGAACGACGCCTTCCGCATGGATATCGAGCAGCTTTCTCGGCAGCCCGCCTTCGATGCGGGTGGCGATGAGAGCTTGGGCAAGCTCACTTTCCTCCGCGAGCGTGGCGTTGCGCAGATGGCCATTAACCTCCTACCTTTCTTCGAGCACCTGATCGTCAAGTTGGGCCCGCGAGGCGCACTTGTTGCGATGCGTTTGGATGACAAGATGGGCACGTCGGGCTGGGCGAATGAGCGGAGCAATCCTCGCGGACGCTATATTGTGGCGCACGGACGGGACAGCGCGAAGGTCGTTCTGATGCACTTCCCCGCTTTGCCTGCTCCAGGGATTGTCAACACCACTGGCGCAGGGGATACCTTCGTGGGAAGCTTCCTGAGCGGCATAGTGGTCAAGCCGGACGCAACGCGCGATGTGGACACCTTGAAGATGCTCATCAATGCCTCGCAAAGGGCAGCGGTCATGACAATGCAGAGCCAGGCTGCCGTCTCGCCCCTGTTGAAACCGACGGTTATATCATAGGGGAGGGATAACAGGATGGCATTAATATGATCTAGAGTACGCTCAAGTAATCTATTCCACTGTCAGAGTTCCCACCTTCACGTCCTCACGAGCTCGTCTGCGGCGCTCCTTCTCGGCTGTCGCAAGCGCCTTTGCGAGATCCTTCGCCTTCTTCTCGTACCGAGCCTGTGCGCCATGCCGCAAGCGAGTGATGATGTTGGCCGCCTCACCCTTCGTTAGCTCGGCAATACGCCTCTGCTGCGCCACCGCCTCCCCTTCGCCATCGAGCGCCGAAAGGGCCTTCTTCCACCGCTTCTTGATGAACTCCTTCTGCCCTGGAGTGGCAGGTGCCTTCCTCCAGTTCGCGGTTCGCAGGAAGCTAACAACCATCAATGCCCGAAGAGGTGAAAAGTGACAAGGAAGACAGCTCACCCGAGTGCCAACTTCTTCAAGTTTGGCTTGGAGTTGACGTACGTGTCGCATCCGCGTACGGCGTCTGGTAGGTTTTCTGCCTTCAAGACGGGGCGAGCGCGCATATAAGGAGACATCTTCAGCTCCTTCATGGTGATCCTGTCCATGGCGGGCGTAAACCAGGCCTCAAAGATCTCTCGTTTCTCTTCCTCATCTGTAACATTACTGAGCTTCACTGCCAGAAGGGGGAAAAGACTAGAGCTGACCATAGCCCTTGGTAATCCGGATATGCCCATGTCCCATGCAATCAAGCACGTAGACGTCGTTGCCGCAAGAGACCCAAGCATAGCGGGAGAGAGCCGCTATATGCGGGTCGCCTGTCGCGCCATGCACTGTCGAGAAGGGGTTCTCGTGATCGCGGAAGGTGATGGACTCTGGTTCCTCGACGTCTTCCACGACCTGAGGTAGCTCGTCTCCGTCGGCGCCCGCCAGAGACTGTGGCAAGCCATCCTGCTCCGCAGCACGCTCTTCCAGTGACTTCAGGTCGGCGTCTAGATACAATGGTAAGAAAACCTCAAATTTGCGCAGGGTGCAGGTCAACACGAACCTTCGATGACTTCGTTGGGGTCAAGACCGAAGAGCGTCGGCGTCGACATAACGCCCTGCACGCGTGTTTGCGTATCGACGAAGTCGATGATATGGCAGTCAGTCTTGCCCGTCGACGGAGACAAGCGCATTCCGCGGCCAATCTGACCCCGTCAGCGCATTTCCTTTGAACAAAAAAATGCGGGCTCACCATCTGAGCGAAGACGTTCCGCGACCTTGTCGGCCGGGCGACGACAACGCAATCGATGTTGGGAATGTCCGCACCTTCAGTCAGGATGGCTGTAAGGCAGGATAAGTACACGCCGACGACTTGGACAGCGCATATACCCACCACAGTTGATCAACACCGGGAACTCCCCAGCTCGGAACTGCGCAATGAGCTCCCTACGCTCAGCGGCAGGTGTCCCAGAGTAGACGTATCGCGCATCAACGCCATAGCTGCGAAAGGCCTGCGTCAAACTCTCGACGTGTGCGATGCTAACGCAGAAGACGAGGGTGGACTTGCGCTTCGCTGAAAGGAGTGAGCCAGGTACATCGAAGGGAAATTGAGATGGAGGGGCTCACCTGCGCGATGCAGCCAAGTCTTCACCACCAGATCGTTCACCGTCGGCGTGTTGATGACACGAGCTAGGCTCGCCGCATTGAAGTCCCCCGTCTTCGTGTTCACGGTGACCTCATTCAACTTAAGCCTCGCATGGACAGACGTGAAGCGGACGTCGCAGAGCCTGACCCCATCATCAGCCTCCCCTCATCAGCATCTGCACCGACAGACGCACGCACCACTCCTCCTTGATCATCTCCAAGAAGCTCCGGTGGTACACAATGCGCTCGAAGACCGAGCCCAACGCTAGCCCATCGTGGCGGCTGAAGGTGGCCGAAAAGCCAATGATGGGAATCTTGTGAGGGGCAGGGGTATGAGGCACGAAGTCCTTGTCGGGATGTTGTACGCCCGGGTCGAAGTGTGCGAGGATTCGGCGGTAGCTTGGCGGGTATGAGTGAGGAAGCTGGAGGGTAAGCTGAGGTGGACGTACGAAGGGGCGGCGGCATGATGTGCTTCATCTACGACGATGGCTTTGAGTCGGACGGGGTCGATCTTTCTTAGACGCTCTTCCCTCAAGAGGGTCTGGTACGTAGCCACGGTCCTGTCTTGCGCGTCAACTTCGATACATTGCAAAGACGCAGACCACGTACACGTCCGCATTCCCCGTCGCCTGATGCTTTGCTCCCTGCTCGATCTCGACAGACCAACTCGGGAAGAGCCTCGTAACCTGCTCAGCAGACTGCCGCGCGAGCTCGACACTGTTGACGATGATGAGGGACCGCGTCGCCTGTTCATTGTCCTTCGGTGGATGCAATCGCGAGAGTAGCGAGATGAAGACGGTGGTCTTTCCTGCGCCAGTAGGTAGTGAGACGCCGATCCGCGTGCTGCCCGCGTTGAGCGCGTCAGTACATGCTTGCAGACAATGCTCTTGGTAAGGCCGGAGCGCAATAGTAGTAGTTGCCGAATGTGTTGAGCGTCGTCCAATGGCAAGGCTAGCCTGCAGCACCCCTCGCATGCACAACCATCTCATGTGTGGGGGAAGAGAAACACGAAACCAACATCTTGACAGACACCCTCGCTTTCAGTGAGTACTCCATTCACAAGCCAACAGTCTTCACTTCACAAGCTCACACGCCCCACAAAAGAATGAGTGCCCCTCGAACGGCGGTAAGATTTTAGGCAAGCTATGTAGGGTATTCCTAAGTACCGGGAAGTGTCTAAAGATCGCAAAGCACGGTGAATAACGATTATGAGCCCCGACTCGTGTCCAAGTCTCGAGACGCTTAACCGGAGCCACCAGCGTAGACCTTGCCGAAGGCGAGCTCCTGGAACTTGTCGTACAAGGACAGCACACCGGCACCAGCGATACCACGGAGAATGTTGGCACCAGCGCCCTTGAAGAGCGACGGGACACCCTCCTTGGCGATGATCTGGGAACCACAGTCGAACATGGACTTGTAGTGGGTAGCAGAGCCGGAGGTCATCATCATGCGACGACTATATGCATGTCAGTGATGAATAGCTTTATGACCCAGGGATGAACGTACCGAATGGTGTCGAGCGGGTACGACGCAAGACCGGAACCAGTCGTGACACACCAACCCAGAAGGAAGGAAGCGAGGAAGGAACCCTCGAGCGAGCCGACGAGGACAACCGGCTCTGAGGAAGAGGTCAGCAAAGCGTTAGAAGCAGCAAGCGTGGTAACTCACTGAGCGAGTCGTAGAGACCGAAGTAGAGACCACGGTACACAATGATACCCGCGACGGACGGGACGAAGCCACGGTAGAGACCGGCGATACCGTCAGACGCGAGCGTCTTCTTGTAGACGTCGATGAGGCCGTTGAACTGACGCTCCCCTCCACCCTTGGTGGACTTGGCGTCGTTCGCGAGACGCGTACGAGCGTAGTCGAGGGAGTAGACGAAGAGGAGGGAAGAGGCACCAGCGCCGGCACCGGAGGCAATGTTACCACCGAACCACTTCCAGTAGCCCTCAGACTTCTTGAAGCCGAACAGGGACTTGAAGTAGTCCTCTGCGCATGACGTCAGAGATACGAACAGCTTCGATAGCAAGCACACGCACTGAAGGCAAAGTTGAGCGCCTGGGTCGGGAAGTAACGGATGACGTTGGCAGTGTTGCCACGCCACAACGAAACGAGACCCTCGTCGCGGTAGGTGCGGACGAAGGCGTCACCGATACCCTTGTACGGGCGGTCGAGGCGGCCCTGCTTGATCTGGTAACGAACGCGTCAGAGTCTGATCGGGAGCAGAAAATTTGCGAATGCGCGCACCATCTCGCCCTGGTTCTGAACCAAGAGCTTGATACGCTCAATGGGCGCAGCAGCAGTTTTTGAGACGGCCTGTGAGGGGAATGAGGTTGAATGTACAACATATATGCGGGTAACCACGTACGGCAGAGACACCACCCATCATGAAGTCGGCTACGGAACATGGTCAGCTACGCGTTCTGTGCAGACGCGACTGCTTTGAGACGCACTGGCGAACTCCGCGGGACTATAAAACAAATGTGAGCCAAAGTGCTAGACATGTCGAAAATGGACACGTACGTCTTGCCCTTCGATGCCATCTTGGACTGCAAAGAGAACAGCACCGCGTTAGCGTCTGCGAAAACACGGGAAAGAACCGTCGAAGGCGGTTGCGCCGACGGCGACGCACCTGTGGAGGAGAACGGGGAACTGAGTGGGGAGAAGGAGACCGTCGAGGTTAAGGAAAGAAGCTGAAAACTGGACCGTAATATACTCGTCGGAAGGAGCCGGAGCCGGACGCACGTGACTTCGGCGCGGACGGGCATGGCGCTGCAGCCAATACGGGCGCTCGCTCGCGCCATGAGGCACACGACTCCCGGCGTTCGGCGGACCGAGCAGGTTAGAAACCCGTTTTATCATCCTTCTCGGAGTGCAATTAAAATCGGACACGTATCCGCGACCTCCTCGCGCCCGTCCATCACGTTCAAAAGGCGAGTACCATTACACGAGATACAATAGACAGCGTACGACAGAGGAATAAGATAAGAGCAGTCCACGAAATCACCAACGCCCACTCCCACTACCACGCTGATACGAACTCCCGCCATACGATGGATAAGACGGGGAAGATAAGCCATTCGCGGGGTAGGAGGCGCTGGTCCCGTAAGACCCTGCGCCATTCGTAGTGCCGTTAGGCGGGGCGCGAGAGGACGTATAGGTCGCAGCAGGGCGTATCGGTGGTGGATAGTCGCCTCCCCCATTTATGTTGTTGGAGGAGGCCGAGCGTAACACACCACCGCCGCCCAACTCCGTTCGACTCCTCTTCCAAATCACTTCGCTGGGCGACGATCCTCGTAAGCCAGCATCGTCGGCTTTCCTCTTCGTCGCGGGGTGAGAAGCCGCCAGAGGCGGTCCGTCATCCTCCTCGTCCGAGTCGAGGGTCAAGTCGATGACATTGCTCTGTGGTCGTCTTGGCTCGACGGACTGGCTGGACTGCGTCAAAGGCGGCGACAGCTCGCGCTTGACCCGTCCCTCGTCCTCTTCGTCGTCCGAGTCCAAGACGAACACTTCGACCTTGTTCTTGCCCTTGTCGTTCGCACCGGAGGTGAGCTTGGAAGGCGAAAACGTCGGCTTCGGTGGTGGCGGCTTCGAAGTCGTGGCTACAGGATGTGTAGCCTTCCACTCTTCGGAGCCGTACTTGTTGTCTGTCGTATGCCACTCCCCGTCAGCTTCCACTATAACATCCTCTACGCTATCTGGTGTCGCCTTGAGAATGTCGTCGAAGTATCTGGCGGGAAGAGAGCGGTAAGACAAGTGACTACACTTCATTACGGCGGGAACTTACCCGTCTATTATGAGCTCCTTTGGGTCCAGCTGACGCTCGCATACAGGACACAGCCACGTTGTCGTTTGCTCCATGACGGAAAACCACATGAAGGCGTCGAAGCATTGTGGATGGACGCATCGAGTCGACCTTGATGGTGTCCCCACTCGCATGAAGCTCAGCTGCGCAATTTGTGAGCTAAAGCACGACGTTGCGGGGCTGAGCACATACCGGGCACTTCAAGGACATCTTCGACGCTCCTGCCACGATGTCGTCGTCGTCGGACATCTGCGCTTTCACTGCGGACGAAAGATGAGAGGCGTACGGCATGCACATGATGATGATGCCTTACTCTGCTGTTGTATTGTTGCGCTGGATCGATAGCCCGTCTTCTTCAGATTGTCCACGAGCGTGTTCACAGTCGTCGCCTCGACAAGCATGACAACCATGTAGAATTTCTGTGCGTCAAGTCAGAGGCGAAGTTCACGAGGATTGCGTCGCACGTACCCTGGGCGCTGTAGGCTGCTGGCTGTTGACGTAGACCATCTCTACACGATTTTGGTGACCGTTCAGTTTGACGTGCTTGGTAATATCGGGAGGTGGGGCGGTTCCAGGTTTCTTCTTGAGACCCTTGAGGTTTGCAGTGATCTGCACGCCATTTACTCGGACTTCGCATGTAGGAGGAAATTCTATGAGACAGGGTGGAGGGTTCGACCGGAAACCGGGGGCATTAGAATAGAATAGTGATGATGTGCAGAATAGGCGCAGTTGATGTCTGGAATGACGGTCAGCACGTACGAAACCCTAGTACAGGCGACATGCACGCACCCTGGGGCTTTCACTTTCGCCGACATGTCGCTCGGAACCGCGAAAGATAGAGTCTGCTGCCGACGATCTGTGGCGCTAGCCGATTCTGCATACAATGTCAGCGAAGCTGCCTTAGACGACCCGAGCACAAACGCACCTGGGCACTCTGCGATGGTAGAGAGGACTTCGAGGACTTGAAAGAAAGGAGATTCCTTGAATCGTATCCCTTGTTCCACATCAGCCTGCAGAGTCGACGCCCTCTGGGCTCCGATCACACCTTTGGGTTTCGTGGGAGATGCGAGGCTACTAGGGATGGTAGTAGGCCGTCGAGGCGGAGCATATGGGTTGTATGGAGGGACAGAGGATGGCACGGTGGGAGGAGCGGCCTTGTGATAAGACCCGTACGAGCTGCTGGCGCCGGCGCTTGACTGAGCGGTGTAACTTGGTACAGTGCGGGGCGCATAACTGCTAATGGTGCATATGAGCGGCGTCGACTGAAAGAGAGGGCTGGCCACGCACTGTCCATGACTTCGAACTTGATTAATGACTCCTTTCGCCCTCGTCCACTGGTCCGTCATGTTATTGTCTCGATAACTGCGTAGTAGGCTGGTGATCCGTGTCAGGATTTCGTTCTTCTTGCCCGACTTGACGAGATTCGTGCGGCACTCGTCGTTGATGCCGGTCAGCGTCTGCTTGAGCCTGTCTACGGTGAAGTGCCTCAGGTAGCTGTCCACAAGCTGGGAGGTGGCACCGGTCAGTCAGGAGAAGGGATCAATGACTGGGATGGAGTGCGGACCTCGAAGTCTGACCAGGCCTCGTTATTCGCCATGAATCAGCTGGAGCGTCCAATTTGCCGCCAGTTTCCCGACAGGCGTTCGCGCGGATGGCGTATGAGTTTGGCGTCGCGTCGGTACAACGGAGAGAAGAGCGAGGACCGGGCCAAACAGTCGCAAATCATGCTCGAGCTCTCCCACGCCTCAACTTCAACCAGTCACTGATCGATCGCACATGGACGACTACGATAAACTGACCCCCGAGGAACGCGAGAAGAAGGACAGGGAGGACAGGGAGAGGGAGCGGCAGGAGCAAGCGAGTAGGTATAATTTTGCGCCTCAAATAAATGTCGCTCAGCTAGCGCCCTCTAGCGCTTCCTTACTCGTGGACCCAGGAGCTTTCTGACGTCGATGTGACCGTCCCTGTGCCCCCGGGCACGCGAGGCAGGGACCTCGTCGTCGAGATCAAGAAGAAGCGTTTGAGTGTCGGACTCAAAGGTCAACCCAAGATCTTGGAAGGCGAACTCTGCAAGGAGATCAAGGTCGAAGACAGCACTTGGACGCTAGGTGGGAAACGTGCTTCCGCCACATACACGCGGTATAGCTGACCATACTAAGAGGACAACAAGCTCGTTCTCATCCATCTTGAGAAGCTGAACAAGCAGACTTGGTGGGAGAATGTCCTGACGCATCACCCGAAGATCGACACTACCAAGATTGTGCCACCCAACAGTTCATTGAGTGAACTTGACGGCGAAACAAGGCAAGTGCTTTCTATATTGTCTTTCTGTTGATTACTGACGATGCATTGCAGAGGGATGGTCGAGAAGATGATGGTGCGTAGCCATTCATTGACCAAAGGTCGGCATCCATCTGACGCCACCCGCACAGTACGACAACCAGCAGAAGGTCAGTAAGTCGTCTCTTCCCACATCGCCATCTCACATCCCCGTAGCAAATGGGCAAGCCCACGTCAGACGAGCAGAAGAAGGCGGAGGTGCGTTCGTCTTCGTTGCAGTCGCTTACCATCTCCTGACCTTCGACAGGCTCTCGCGAAATTCCAAGCCGCACACCCAGAGCTCGACTTCTCGAATGCGAAGATCTCGTAGAAAATATAACTCCAAGCACAATTGTACTACCACTACCACAGCAAATGACACGGCTTTCGGAAATCGTGCCGCAATCTAATTCGTCGTGTCTGCAAGTATCACCTCATTAGCCCATGCTCATGCAAAGGTAAGCTTTGCTCACAAGGCGCGCACCGCTCCTCCTTTACCGCGTCCGCGGCCTCGTGGTCCTCGCAGTTCATCTGCGCATGGCCCCAGAAGGCGAGGAAGTTGCCGTTCGTGCAGAGGCACTCGTAGTCGTCGCTGTAGTCGACACGGTCAGCAAGGTAAAGGGATTGAAGTACAATGCGCTGGGGTTCAGAAGCAGAATAATACTCACGCGCTGCACTCCGGGGTATTCTGCGCGGACACATCCCACGCAGTCTCGCCGCACTCCCGCTGGGCGGCGACGAGGCCGAGCAGGCCGCTGAAGAGGAGGGTGGCGACGGTGAGCTTGAACTGCATGTTCGTTTGCGAGGCTTGAACGATGAACTTGGGTGGGGTTGTTTCGCTGTTGCACGATCTCACTGCCAGGCTTATATATTGATCGTCTGACGGTAACACGGACAGCCTTGTGTCCCATCCGCAATTAACCGTCAACAGAGTCGCAGTACGACCTCGCGTCCTACTATTCAAGACGAAGACAGACCATCTGGAAAAGGCGGTGAATCCCCGCAACTTGTATTCCAACCCGCTGATCCCATGCTCTTTGAAACATTACACTCCAAGTGGAGAGCCCGTCTACAGCCCGTCTTGGGCATTACAGTACGACCAACAACATGACAGTACGGCCTACAACAGCCTACAACATATTAGAGAGCACAGCTATCGATCCATAACATCCCGAACGTCGCGCATCTGCATCGTCTGTAACAAGCCGCTGCATCATGCAGCCTTTTTCCTCTTCTGAGGCCGCGGCTCGGCACCGCCGCTCGACGACGCGCTCTTCCGCTTGACCGACTCCACAAGGTTCTGCAAGCTACGCGCCCCGTCGTCCGCGGAGGGCGAGGCCGCGCGCTTGTGGCTGCTCTTGCGGGCGTCCTGCCCGTCCCCGACCGCTGACTTGCGGCGCTTGATGCGCTCTTCGAGCAGCGCGGACATCGCCTTCGTTTTCTTGAATCTGGTGAGGGTGGTCAGCGTCGCCTTCGACTCTACCTCCGAAAGCAACGACTCACTGAGGATTCGTCGGGTCGATCGCGAAGCTCGGGTCCTCGTGCAGGACCTTGAACCGCTCGTCGTTCACGTCGAGCGTGAAGTCCTCCTGCAGGTCCTTCTCCTCCTCGCCGCCCTTGCCCCTGCGTTTCTTCTTGTTCTTCTTTTTCTCCGCCTTCAGGATCGCCTTCATGTCGAAGTGGGCCGGCTCTGCGTTCGGGTTGTCCGAGGTGGCGACGAGGGCGAGTTCTTCGGCCGTGCTCTCCACGCGGGGGGTGGTGTCGTCCGCGTTACTCTTCGCCCCCTTCCTATCCTTCTTGCCATCCTTCTTCCCGTGCTTGCTGGATTTCTTCGCCGATGTCTCCTCCTCATCCACCTCGAAGAAATCGTCCCCATCCGCTGCAGGGGCTTCCTTCCCCGCATGCCGCTCCTTCATCTCCTCCTTCCGCTTCCTCCGCTTCTCGCGCATCTTCCGCTGGTACTTGTCCAGCGTCGTCTCCTCCCCGTCGCCCTTCTTCTCGCTCAGGCCGGGCGTGAACGTGATCTCCATGTCCACGTCGTCGTCGTCCGCGTCTCCCCACGCCCCCATCCCCCCATCACCCTTGCTACCGCCACCCTTCGCCCCCCACCCCTCCGGCAACTCACTATCGCCCCCGCCAAGCAACAATGCCCTCAGCTTATCCCGGGAGGCCTTCTTCTTCCCCGTCCCATCACCATCCCCCTCCTCCCCCTCCCCCTCATCCTCGGACCCCGACGAGGCGATGTACTGCCGGAAGTCGGCCTCCTCGATCTCCTTTTTGGTGAAGGCGCGGCGGGTGACCTTGGCGCGCTCGGGGTCGTCTTCGTCCCAGGTGAGCTTGACTTTGGAGTGGCGGAGGGCCTGGGGAGGGGTTAGTGGGTAGGTAGAGGGGGAAAAGGGGGAAAGGGGAGAGGGAAGGAATAAAGGGAAAGGGCTACTTACATCGGTGACGAAGTCGACGGCTTTGTAAGGCGCGTCTGGGGCGTCGGTTTCGTTTGTGGCCTCGTCTCTGAAAGGATGTCAGATCCAAGTTGGGTATGCTTGAAAGAGTAATCTTACCTGGGCTCCTCGTCGAAAGTCATACCATCGGGTACGAAGCTGAGGTCGAAGACATTCGCTGACCGCTCGAGCTCTGTGCCCTCGAGTTCGGCGTAGATATGTGATGCAGCGTCGACGGTGTCGCATTCGACGATAGCGTAGTAGTATCTATCAGGAGGTTAACCGAGAAAATGGTGGGGGATGCATACGCTGCTCACCTTAACCGTTCCAACTGGTACTTGCGAAGCGCGTCCTCGTCGTACTTGCCCTCCTCTCCTACCTCGTACACCGTGCGCTCGTTGATATCCTCCTCATCAACCTCGTTCTTCTTCCCGAAGATCTCAGCAGGCGGACCCTCCACCTCCTCCCGCGCCATCCTCTCCTTGCCGAACGAGCTCGGGTACACACGCACGCTAAGCACCTTGCCGCGCGCTATAGGATGTGAGCCCCCCACCGCGCCCTTGGCCGTCTTCCCTTGCGCCTTGACTTTCCCTGAGGACAGAGTAGGAGCAGTCGGTGACACGAGGGACGAGAAGATCTTGTATAGATGTATCGCACGGACATGGTCCCAGTCGAGGTTCACCACAGCCAGGCGGTTGGTGCGGGAGCCCTCGGCGACGGCCTGGAGGGGGTTGGTCTTCTCGTAGGCGGCGACCTGAGCGTCGAGGACGGCGACGGTGTCCTCGTCAAGGTCGATCTCGGCGTCCTCGTCATCGCGGGGGACGGCGATCGGGCGAGAGGAGTCCTGCCCTAGCACTACCTCCCCCTCTTCGTCGCTATCGTCCGCCCCCTTGTCCTCCTCATCTTCCTCCTCATCCGAAGACTCCATAAGCACCGCTCCGCGCGCATAGTCCGGGCCGGGCTTCGAGCCAACGAGGATCTCATCGTCCTCGCCCCTCTCGAGACGGTAGTAGCGATTCAAGTCATCCTGGTCCTTCTTGCTCGACACCGACCGACCATACTTGTCCACTCGCTCTAATCCTACAGTCAGCTCGACGATCGGTGGGGCCTGAACGTGGGGGAACGCACTTGATTTCCCCTTCTCCTGCGCGAAGAGCCCCTTAAAGCGCTCGTCGACGACAACCTTGTCCTCCTTGCGCTTGACCTTGCGGAAGCGCGGGTCCGTGCGCAGCCTGGCGAATCGCGGGTCGGACATCGTGCAGTCTGCTCTGCTTTCCAGAAGCTGGCGCACGATCGAGAGGGGAAGCGCCCAAAACTGCGGGTGCGGTCACGTGGCGGTCATTGTCCAATCGCATCCTTGGCGACCAAGTTCCTCAATCTCGGGTTGTGATGGGGACACGGCTATAAATGCTCAACTGACGGCTGGCAAACGCATTCACCTTCTTCCCCCCAACTCGTCCTTTCCTTTTCTCTTCCCTTCTGGTGCGTCTGCGGCGACAACCCTGCAGCCCACACTAACCTCGCCTCCAGTCCTTTCACCGGCGCCAGGCTGCGTCCCAGATCTTTCAGCCTCACTTCGATCCTTCACTTCACACCCCTTCCACGACACGCACTACCCCCTCAAGATGCTGCCCATCTCGTTGTTCGCCATGATCGCGCTTGCTATGAGCAGCCTGGTTGCTGCCGCGCCCATGCCCATGCCGCTGGCGAACATGGTACGTCTCCCCACTTCCCTCCCCCATCGATTCCCATATACTTAGCGCGTTCCCACAGCAGCGTGCCAACGTGGAACGCTCTTACGAACCATTGAATGTCATCCCTGCCTACCGACGCGCCGACGCGCCGACCCCCGTCGCGAAGCGCCAGTCCGTGCCCTTGCAGAACGCCGCCATGGCGCCTGAGGGCAGCGTCATCCCGTACGGGCCGCAGAAGCGCGCGCCCCAGGCGTCCGCCGTGCCCGTTCAGAACGCGGCGATGGCCCCGGACGGTGTAGTCAAGCCCTACACCAATACTCCTGCGAAGCGAGACAGTGTGCCCGTCCAGAACGCCGCAATGGCCCCGGACGGCGTGGTACAACCCTACACCAACACGCCGGCGAAGCGCGACGAAGTGCCCGTTCAGAACGCCGCTATGGCGCCTGACGGCGTGGTCAAGCCCTACACCAATGCCCCGGCGAAGCGAGACAGCGTGCCCGTCCAAAACGCCGCGATGGCCCCCGACGGCAACGTGATCCCCTACGGCCCTACGAAGCGCGACACGCCCATTGTGAGGCGCCAGACCGTGCCTCTGCAGAATGCGGCGATGGCGCCTGACGGTGTGGTCAAGCCGTACAGCGGCCAGCAGTGATTTGCTTGTCGTTCAGGCGCACGCACGCTCACATACTCGTCGGGCCCGGCGTACCTACCCACTACTCGGACCTGGCACACCTACCTACCCGTCGGACCAGGCATACTTACGTTGGATACATTCCGGACATTATGGACCTCGTAGAGCCCGAAGGACATTATAGTAGCTGATAGATTGCTGGACAATGCATCGGTGTTCGTATATATATGGAAGACTTGTGATTTGACGATGTCGAAGCTATGCTGAGGGTTCTGAAGACTGAAGCTTTCCAAGTTGGGTGTGCAAGCCGGACACTGGGTTGAACCAAGAAGAAAACAACGACCCCCTGCCTATCGCTCCCTCCTTCTCCATATCCACACACTTCCCACGTCGCTCACCACCGCCAGCGCCTGCCCTCCCATCCCCATCGCGCACGCGGCCGCCTTCTCCTCCCCCACCCCATTCGCCTGCAACCTCACTTCCCACGTCGGCGGTGGATTGGGCTGGGAGTCGGGGACTTCCTCTCCTGCTGCTGCGTTCGCAGTCCCGCTTCCGCCCTTCCCTCCTTCCCGAGCACCAGTGCTAGGACCTGCCTGAGTACTCTCGCCATTGCTTCGACCAACCTCATCCCCAATCCTCAACCGCTTCGCCGCCAACTCCGCCACCTCCGCGTCCTCCCGCACCCACTCCAGCGGCTCGACCTCGAACACGTCCATGTGCGCGGGGTTGAAGAACTGCACGGAGGAGGCGCCCGGGAGGAGGTGGAAGGCGAGCCAGGCGGAGCGGGGCGCGGTTTGGGATGTGGATCGGTACGAGGATTGGGAATTAGATTGGTACGAGGCTTGCGGAGGTGAAGGAGATGCATCATGTAGAGTGAAGACATGCGCCCTGTGACCTTGCCAGACGTGCTCGGGGCCGTCGACGAAGGGGCGGGTGGCGAGGATGCGGAAGGAGGCTGCGAGGTGGGGAGTAAGCTGATAGGCTGGAAAGGCAAGGGAGCGCGGGCAAAGCCAGCAACATACCACTCTCTCGATAATCCTGTCACAAATACGTCAGCCTTCCCTCTCGCACACGACGGCAAACATACTCACCGTCGCCGGCACCACCATCCTCTCCGGCGGCTCGTGCTGGAAGTACATCGGCGGAAAGAACCTGTCGATCGACAGCCACTGCCAGAGCTTGAAGTCGCCCGGCATGGTGTCGTAGTCGTATTCGATTTCCTTCGTACCCTCTTGCAACTGCGTCTGTGCTTGCGTCTGAGTTGGTTCTTGCTCGTTCTCGTCCTCGTCTTCTCTGCGAAAGAGGGCAGGTCCGCCGTGTGTGAGAAGGACGTCGCGACTGAGCCTGCATGGAGGGAGAGAGGTGAGCGCAGGGGTTGAAGAGGGGGATAAATCGAAACCGACTGACCAGGCTATGGACATAACTCGTCCGGTATGCAGCATCGAAGTGGAGAATATCGGCTGATCCAGACGTCGTATTCTCATACCGTCTTTGCACGGTGGGATATACCAGAGCTTGGCGCAGCGGTCGATCTATATTGGCCGTGTCAGCAAGGTACCTCGGTGAGCGCTACGGAGGCGACTCACACCGCAGGTCGCCAGTACCGGAAGGTCGGGATGCCACGCCTTGAAGGGAGGGGAGTAAGCTTACGACGTCGAGCTAACGAAGGTTTTCTACCGCATGCAACACAGCAGCCCGATGCCCTCCCGACCTCTGCGCACCCGTCACCGCTATACACCGACCAATCCCATCCGCTGGACCCTCGTTGTCCGTCATGTGTAGGCCAAACGCCGGCCCCGCTTTATTTGGGTCCTCATAAGGTGGCCAGTGGACGTTCGCAGGCTCTTGTTGAGGTCGCAGCGTTAAGTCGTATATCCTCGCAGTGAAGTCCCTTGACGTAGAGCAGAATATATGAGGCTGGTCTGGGCGGACAGTGATGGACGTAATTTCCTGTCAAAGTTCAGATGACGAACAACACTGGGAAGATACAGTAAACTCACGCCGCCGTGTCCACGTAGACAACCCACGAATTTTTGCGCTTTGACGTCGAAGATGTATAGTAAGTTGCGATGCGAGCAGACCAGCAAGGGGTGCCACGGTTTGGTCTTTTGCAGCGCCCAAGCAACGCACAAAGCGTCAGCGTCTAGTAAAGTCATGTCGTCGAAGTCCTTGTACTGCGAGCCTACGTTTGTCAGACATATTGCAGCGAGAGGTCACACATACATGTGGAAATCTCAAAGTAATCGGTTGTCTCATGCGCTGAATGAAGAATATATGCAGAGATCCGGAACGAGTGTCGCCGACAGCGAGGGCATCTTGAAACTCATCGACGACTTGGTGCCACTCAAAGACGTCAGCCGCGCTTTTGGGAGCTCCCCAGAACCTTTGAATGTCATGGCGACCCCAGGGAAAGAACGCGAGCCCTCTGCATAGCGAAGAATCCCTGGGCGCCGACTAGACGAGCATGAGTTGACGCTTGCGAGTCCGTGTGCCGATTCACCGACTTGAATAACGCGCAAGAGTCTATACGGATGCGCAGCCTTCGGGTCTTTCGGCCACACACCAGCCAAAGTCGCACCAGAATCCATAGAATATACGAGGGTGATGCCGCGTTAACGCGGTTGAGGACAAGTTGAACTTCCGCCTCGCCGGCCCGCGCTCCGGGCGACATCCCGGCATTGTCCAATCGGCAGGTGCCGATTCCAATTTCGTACCCGTCCACCAACCACCATGACAGGCTCGGCCGGCGATGGCTTCGAGCCAAAGAGCACGCTCGAATACGCGGGCAAGGCCGCCCTCCAAGGCGCCGCCATAGGCACCGTCATGTCCGGCGTCCAGAACGCACTGCAGCACCACTCCCACGGCGCCCTGGGTATCTTCACCCGCACCGGCAGCACCATTGGCTTCTTCGGTGCGTTCCTGCGCGTCTCGGAAGAGGACGAGGTTACTGAGGTGATGCGCAGCGGCGATGGGAGCGACATTTGCAGCGACGGAGGCGTACGTGGGGAACATCCGGAAACGGAGCGACTACTGGAACGGCGTCGCGGGCGGATGCGCGGCTGGTTTCCTCGCAGGCGTGAGGGGTGCGTGAACAGCTGGCTGCTCATCCTCGACGCGCGCTAACAGACATATAGCACGCTCAATTCCCCTTGCACTCGCTTCCAGCGCTGGTCTTGGCGCCATGATCGGTCTGTTCGACTACACCGCGGGCGTCACCGGGGAGCCAACCCTCACAGCGGAAGAAAAGCGGAGACGGTTCTTCAAGCAGCCTCCTCAACCCATTGTAGCAGCAGAATGATTACTCTCGCTTGGTACACCTGCCGTATAGACCAGCATAATCTCAACATCCTCGCCGGACCCGTCCGTTCTTTCGAGCGCGAATATGCACGGGGTGCACCCAAGTCACCGCCCTTCAAGGCTCTGAGCAGGTCTCGTTGCTCAGGCATATCGCAAAATGCATAATAAGGCATACAAGTAAAGTAATAAACTATCAGGCACTAGGCAGCCTCACGCATTTACGCGTCGTCTGCCTGCCCGGTCTCCGCTTCATATCTTTGATTGACTTGTTCCCCATATTTATCCCAGAAAGCCGACCACGACGGCTCTGACTTGCACTTGACCTGGGTTATCTTCAGTAACACGATACTCCCTCCGAAATGGGGATACACACCCGCTGGTCCAACCGCTTCCAAACCTCGTCAGGATCCTCTCCTGAATTGTCGTCACCACCCTCGTGTATGAAGAACCGCAGGACGGCGGCCATGTCATCGTCCCAGTCTGTCTTCCCTTTTTCACCGGAAGCGCTGTCTGCTACTACAGGAGCGGGGGCAGGCGCCACAGCCGCAGCTTCGCTCGAAGCTGCTTTCGACTGCGTATTCGCAGGCGCTGGCTTGGACGACGCACTACGCCCTTCTGCTGCAAGCTTGCGGTGGTATATGGCCGCCCGCTTGCTCGCCTCGTCGTACTGGCGAGCCAACTTCGAGGCCATCGCGTTAATCCAGGCTCCTCGAGTGTGATTTGGCATCTATCACCCAAGGTCAGTGAATGAACCATCGGGCTCGGGAAAGAGTGTACGCACCTTCTCTTCCAGCTTCTTCGCTATCGCTTGCTTGCTCATTTCTGGGTCGTACTTGCGCAGGTGGAAGATATACTCTTCCATGTACTTTTGTTCTTCAGGCGTGTACCGGTACTTGATCAGCCCCGTGCGGGTCGGCGCAGCCTCCAGCAGCTTCCAGGAGCTACGTGGCGGTGGGTCTGGGGAAGGCGAACGGTCGGCGGCGTCATACACGGCGGTATTTGCAGGTAGCCGGCCGCGCCGCGACGGAGGGATGACTATAGGGGGCCCATCGTCGTCAGAGTCTGAAGATGGCGGAGGCTTGTGAGCTTGCTTGGTCACCGTTGGTGACACTTTCGTTGTCGTGTGCGCACCCCGTGCACCCTTGAAGGGGCCTGGTGCTATCGCGGTGGTTTTCGCTTTGGGCGCAATGCCGGCCTGGGTCTTCTTTTCTGGAGATGCTGCCTCGACCTTGACTTTCTTCTTGACACCACCATCCTTTGCAACGTCGCTCTTCCTCTTCTTCGCTCGCGGGCGCTGGGCTAACGGCTTCTCATCTTCGTCCGACCCCTCAGCTTCGTCGTCTGCCGTATCCATGCTCTCGTCACTGTCCACAGAATCAAGGTGTATAGCGTAATTCGTCGGGGGGAGCAGCCTGCCCTTCTGCATGCAGTCGCCGACGAAGTTGACACTGACGACTGTCCGCTGCGCTGCGTGCGCGGCCTTCAGCATCCGCTTGAAATCCTTGACTCGGTCGGACAAGATGACGAAATCTGCCGTCTCTGGGTCCTTTGACACCTTGCCACCCATCGCCTAAAATGTGCTGATTTAGCATAACAGCCCCAAAAGCTTCGTATTCACTCGCCTTGATGTCCTGCACAAGCTTTTTACGCATGAGTAGCATGTGCTGTACATAGAAAGTGATGTCTTTGAGGATGCTGCTTGTGTCGACCGGACCATGTGGCGTGACTGGCATAGACGCGGACTGGGCGAGGCCGGTGTCTACCGACGCGGACCGTGCATGCTGGCCAGCGTTCATCTGAGGTGCCGATGCCGACGACGGGAACGCGGGATTCGGGCCATGGCCAGGGATGCCAAAACCGCCGTTGGTCGCCGTGCCTATCGTAAGCATGTCATAGATGAGGCCCGAAAGCTGGGGATCTGCTGATGAGCATGAGATCATCAGCTTATATAGACGATGCAATCAGCGTGAGAGCTCACCGGGATTGGCAAATTGCATGCCATTGTTCATGGCCATCATCGGCATACTCTGCCCATTCATATACGATGTGTTCGGTCCGCCGGCGAAATGATGAGGGTATGGTATCATGTTGGCGGAGGTGCTCGCGGTGGCTGAGTTTGGGGATGACTGCCCAGGGCCATATTGATCGGGCGTGATTCTAGGCGTGGGGACCTGACGACTGAGCACACACGAGCGATTAGCACACAAATTCATGCTTTACATCGCCTAACGCACTTCGCTTCGTTGTCTGAGCTAGGGGTAACCAAGCATCCAGCCCAGTTGTCCTCTTCCATGAGAGCGCGACCGGCTTTGATGCACTTGTTGACCCAGCGTGGGTCGAGTAGGGGCGTCTTGCGAAGTTCTGCTGGTACTGACTCGACCTGATCCGGGTTGACCAATATCACGTCGGCAAAGCGGGCTTTGGCGCATATGGACCCTCCGTGGGACTGTAGTGGCAAGGCTTGTTGATAGGGTATGCGACTCGCCAAAAGGGACATACCTTGACGCGGTCGGCGACCTTGTCTGCGTTGTCCACGCAGCCCTCCAGGAGGTGCACACGCATCGACGTGTCTTCCTCGATGTAAAATATTTCTGAGGCCATGATGATGGAGTGAGGCAAGACGATCGTTGTCGAGGCCGCGTCGGGACGTCGTCCAAAGTGGCGTGTCAGGCGTAGAGATCGAGCTAGGAGCTTCTAGAGTTCGAGATCCCGCAGCGCCAAAAAGACAGGGCAGAATTTCTCCAGTTGCCGAACGCGAGATGGGAGATGAGAGTAAAAAGAAAGAAAGGCACGAGAGGACCTGCAGGTCAGATTCAAGAGGGAGATTCAGATTCGGCAATCCGGCGCTTGGACCGCAGCCAATCATTTCCTCTCGCTCTCATCTTGTTCCCTGACCTCAGACGACAAAAACCAAGTGGCAGCCGGTGAGCAGACCCTCAGCAGGTGGGAGTGTTGAGCAAAGGTACATATCTCCACTCCTTGCAGCCGTCACGGTATATTAGACGCCCGAGATCCTAGTATCCCAAGGGCACGCGCCGGAGGTAACGGCATCGGTTGATGAAGACGCTGGTATTGGACATCCGATCTCTCTCGCGCCCATCGATAGCAGGTCTTCTACTCTCACGCAAACATAGTCGCCAGCGCTAACCTCGAGTAAACCACGCGCTACAAGGAAGGCAGCAGACACCAAGTCGCTTGCACTCAACACACTTGCAAACCGCTCCAGCCTGGGCGGCGCTTTGCTTCCCATATAACGGCACGGCCAGGAAATTAACGGCAAAGCCGCCAGGACCTACCAAAGACCGTGTACATTCATGGCAGACATAGCCCACTCTGCGTCCACGGACGCCGTCATCGAAGACGACGAAGGGATCTGCGTCCTCACACACAACGACCTCGAGGTGCAAGACATCCTCGCGTGCGTACAAGACGACCGCGCTGGCGCCATCGCGTCCTTCATCGGTACGACCGCAACTACCTAAGCAATGTTGGCTGGAACTCGACCGCGCAGGCACGACACGCAACTCGTTCAAAGGTGCACAGGATTCGACGGGCACGTTCTCTTTGCCTTCGTTGTTGACAAGCGGACGTCTACCAGGCAAGGTGGTCACACGCCTCGAGTATCAGGCCTACTCGAAGGTCGCTATCAAGACGATGCTAAGCATAATCAAATCGGCCTCTACTTTGTCGACAAGGTCAGAACATAGCGCGGACGGACAAGAGGTCACACCCATCATACGGTGTGCCGTGTATCATAGACTGGGCACGGTACCCGTCGGCGAGCCTTCCATTGGTGCGCTTCCATAGAACGGACGAGTCCAGAAGCTCATATGAACGTGTTGCTAGTCATCGCCGTCTCGTCACCTCACAGGAAAGAAGCATTCGTGGCGTGCGAGTATATTTTAGAGGAGGTCAAGCGCAAAGCACAGATATGGAAGCGGGAATACTACGAGGGAGAGCCTGAGGAAACAGCACAGTGGAAAGCAAATCACTAGCATACTGGAACTCATGTCCGTGTACATTATAGGTAGGATTGTTTTGCAATTGATACCACCCAAATTGAATCGCCTTCCAGATAGCCTCGCACAATGCGCGCGACCATTAGTCCACCTTCCATCCTTTGGCGTCGTCGTCGGGACTGACGAGGAGCTCGACTGCCCACATGATGAGCGTGAAGAATATGTTGAGCCACCGCCACCATATTTGTGACGAGTTGTCGAGGACTAATGAAGAGATCAGCAAGAAAAGTCAGTGGGCCGTAGCACAAAAACTCACGCAACAAGTGCGTATAGACAGTGACGAAGATGAACTGCCGATACGTCAACAGTATCCGCGTCAGGGTGGAGGTCTGTGGCGACGTTAGCCAGGGGCACGCTGAACGTGGTCGAGATGCGTACCGGTCGTCCGTCCCACCCATTGTCAACGCCTTCGACGGCATCCCAGCTGTCCGCGCCAATTGTGGGCAATATCCGCGAAGCCAAGTGCAGTATCGTCAGTCGGTACAACAGCGCGACGAGCACAGGCTTAGGCAGCGTATTCATGACGAAGTTGATCAGGGCATCAAACCACGGCAGGTAGACGCTGGGCACGACGTCAATCAAAAAGAACGGTGAAATAATTGAGACAGACTCACGGGAATGAGGAGGCCGTGGACGCACTCTCCCCTGACTGGTCGAAACCGCATAGCCAGACGTTGTAGGCAAGGAACAGAGCCATCCCCGCGGACTCGATGATGTTTGTTCTTCTCAGGGTGAAGCCGATGAATGTGAGGAAGAATAAGGACGCGGGTGCGACGCCCAGTAGAGTCGCAGCGAGGGGGGATGTCGCAGCAGCGGGGTACGACTAGGGAATGCGTTAGAATACATACTAAATGGGAACGATAATACGCACGCTAACATACCACCACGCCGACGCGACGTACGTGCTCGCACTCGCAATCAGCAGCGTGAGCTGATACCCGTCTGTCTCGCTAACGAGCCGCTTCCCCTCTTGCCCGAGCTTCTGCGCGACCAACAAGCTCGACACGCTCTCCAAAATCCAGAACCCCGGCCCGAAGTACGTGAGGATCGTCCCCCACCACTCCGCCGCGGACTCCAGCCACGGCGGCGCCGGCGACGAGAACACGTTGAAGCACACGAGCAGGAGGAAGGGGTGCATCGGCACCTGCAGCAGCGACAGCGCCTCCGAGCCCCAGAACGCGATGAGGGTGCCGTGGATGAGGGAGTGGCATGTGAGGAGGAGGGAGAGGAGGAGGAAGGCGGACTTGGAGAGCGTGACGAGGGTGAGGGGGAGGAAGATGAGGATCTGGAGGACGGTGGACAGTCTGGTGGCGCGTGTCAGATGCGCCCTTTCTTTCCCGCGGGGGGCGCGACGTACCGTGATATGTGGGAGACGCCGCTCCAGAGGATCCAGTACTTGTTCATCGCGGCCGTGAGGGTCGTTACAACGGAATTTTGGGAGGCCGGACGCGTCTTACAGGCGCCGTGACGCCAGCCTCATGAATGCAAGTGGACAAGAACGGAAACCATTGTCTGCAGGTATCCGCGCCTCGGGCCGAGCATCCGAGCCAGGAAGTAGCGCAAACTCAGGGATACAGCAAAAAGCATTGCAACTATTTCATAGCAGACATTATAGCGCGATTAGACTACAGAGCTAACACTAAGCAAGACAGCAAGATATACGGTAAGATCCAGGAGCACCCGTGCACAACCCTCAAGCAACAAAAATCACCCTCATCAGTGGACAGCAACGGCTTGCGCAGACTGATGCGGGTTGAGATACCCCTTCTCCTGCGCAAAGTCCGAGTTCCTGAGCGCCGCGTCCGGGTGAGAGGGCTGCACGTAGTACTTGTCGATGATGGGGATCTGCAGGACATTCATCTTCGGCGTGATGACAATCATGTTGTTCGTCTTGATTTCCATCCAGTCGGCTGGCAAGGCAAGGTGGTCAGCTGGCGGATACATTGACGGGTTCATCTCGGGTGCATACCTCGTTCGAAGGTCAGAGGCTCGCTGGCGACCATGATGATGTTTTCCCGCTTGTCCTCCTTGGCCATCTTGTAGTGTCCACCATCGGCGTATTCGCTAAAAGTTGTACCCGAAGAGAACCACTGATCATGGAGATCAGCATCTGAGTAGGAGGAAATAGAAACTTCCACTCACCAACGAAGCGGCCTCGTCAGTCCGCGACGATACGTATCGCGTAGCGATAACGCTCTCGCCATCGGTTACGCAGAAGTTCATCAGGCTCGGCTACGAAAGGCGTCAGCTTGCGCCTTCCGAACCATAGTTTCGTCGAGCATACTTCGGTGCTGCCAGCCTCCTCTGTTAATCGGTTGATGTGCGCGATGGTCTCGGTCATGGCCTGACGCAGTTCGGCCGTCTTGAACGACTTCGCGTTCGGGTCGGGGAGCTTGGAGAGGAAGACGGCGAAGGCCCACTCCGAGTCTACCAAGATCTGTAAGTAAACTTGAAAGTGTATTAGGCTAGCGAACAAACATACCGGTGTTGCCCTGCACCATGTTGAACGCTACGTCCGGGAGCTCAGTCTGCAACCTGCGCTTGATGCGCGGGAAGTCGGCGATGCCGCCGTTGTGCATCCACTATGGACGGTGATCAGCATAGTGCCCGGAGCAGTCACTCGACCCTGCGCACCATGAGCTTCCCATGTGTGAACGGGTGGCAGTTGTCCAGAGATAGCGAGCCGGCGGTCGTCGCCCTAACGTGACCACTACGCGAAGCGCGTCAGCATCGTGGTACGCGACGAAGTCGATCTAAGCGCTACGCACAAGACGAGGGGAGACTTGATCTTCTCCGCGAGACGCTGGAGGTTGACGTTGTTCCATGCCTGGGGGAGGGCGATGGTGAGCGGGGGAACACTCATGAGCAGAAACAGAGCTCACGGGTGTGACGGAGGTGAAGATGCAGGGTTGGTGTCCGAGCTCGTCGTCGGCCTGGCAGTCATACCAGCCTAAGAAGTAGGTGAGTTGGGATCCTCTCTGAGCATGACACGTCTACGCACCGACGCCGAAGCCGTCTCCGTTCATGGGTCTCCGATGGTCGAGCCGCAAGCGCGAGTCGAATGCCTGGTTGATGATGGAGTGGCATGGTCGTGTGAGGAGCTGGAGGTAGGGTCAATTACGCTGCGCCCTTTGTCCATTTCGCACATACGCACATGAGATAGCTGGACGGGCGAGGTGCCCTTGTAGATCACGAAGCGGCACATAGTCGAGGGATGGAAAGAGGGTCACTCGCACGCAAGCCGTCCTTCTAGATAAAGGCTGGAAACGAGAAGAGTCTAGCTCTGCATTCCTGTGCGGCGCGCCACCAGCGTGCCCTGAAGCGAGTCATGGCTGGAACGTAAACAGCGACAAGGATGGCGCGTGTGGCGCGATCGCGGGCACGTGCCCTCCTCATTCTGTCGACTTCCCCGCGTTTTCCCGCGCAATCCCGACGCGTCCTGACGCCATCCCGACGCTTCTCGTGCCATCCCGCCGCGCGATGGCGCCATCCACGGAGCTGGATATATCGAGAACAATGGCTTTATGGCCGTAAGTACATGCACCCGAAAGTACGCTACTTTATCTTCGTTATCGGTCTACTTCATCGTCTATGATCACCGCACACCCTGCCGTCGGTTCAAAGGAATTCCTTCGGCCGCTTCGCAGGATCGCCGCCTGCGGTGTCGTACACGAGCCCCGCCACCCGGAATGCCAGCTCTGCGGGGACGTGTTAGACACGTATGTGGAGGTAACAGTGATGGAGAAAGGTAATGCAGAGCGGAAGGTGATGCAAACGCACCGTCAGCTTGCGCCCTGATGACCGCCTCCGCGTACACTCGGACAACGTCCTCCGTGCCACTCGGCCGCACAAACGAGCGGCCGCCCTCGTATCGGTGCACCAATTCATCGATCCGGGCCTGCAACCCCTCGGGCATCACCAATCGCCTCTCCGCATCCTCCGTCTGGAACGCGTTACGGTCCCCAACGACGACCTTGACGAGACGGTTCGGCAAGTCGGTGTAGAGCGAGTCCCACTCGACGCCGCTGTAGTTCTTGTGCGCGAGAACAACCTCCACGAGGAGCATGTCGGACAGTGCGTCGCCGACGGCCTGGTTGATGAGGAGTGTGAGGTTGAGAAGGTGTTCGTGAGCGGTGGCTTGAGCAGGTGTCGTTGGCTGATACTCTCGGAGTCTGTCCATAGTGGCGGGCGAGAAGAGTACGGTTCCATGGCCGTTGGCCTCAAAGTAGACGCCGACATCGAAGTTCTCAGCTGCGTGGTGCAAGTGCTTGACGCCAGTAGCGACGCAGCGGACGGGGAGACGCTGTCGAAGTGAGCCTAACTTCATCACTGAGTCTAATGCAGACCAACCTCTGACAAGTACTTCGTCGATGCACCGTTCGCATATGCCGTCTGCACGCTGCCGACCTTGACATGGTCCTCCAGGCCTGCCGACTTGACGAGCTCGCCAATGAAGCTAGCAACAAGCGTAGCGATCTTGTCACCGTCGAGCATCTTGAAATGACCCTGCTCATCGAGGTAGAAGTACATCAAGCGGTCCGCATCGCCGTCAAGGCTGCAGCCCCTTTGGCCTGGCTTGAGCTTGTTGGCGAGTGAAGGAGGCAACTTCTGGGTGGTCTTGACGAAGTCCGCGCCGCACATGTTATTCAACACGCCTGGCGTCGTCGTGTCGGTGTTCTCGAGGATAAGAGGCAGCGAGTCGCCGAGGTAGGTGATGAGCTCCTCAGCGGCCTTCGCGCCGACACCGTTTGCACAGTCGATGAGCAGAGGTTCCCTCGGCGGACGCCCGGCCTGCAAGCGCATTCAGTCACCTTGTGGTAGTCAGTATGACAAGTCAACTGACCACAAGCTTCTTAAACGCCCCAGTCATCTTCTCGAAGTATCCTTGTTCAGAATCGACACCATAGCTGTTCTTCGTGCCCTTCGTGTTGATAGCGCGGACGAGGTAATGGAGGATCGGCGTGGTGGTTACGCCGGCGTTGCGAGCCTCTGCGCCGACTGCCTTGAAGCCATCCTCCAATGCAGCAACGAGGGAAGCACCAGATGGACGCGTGTCGCGGGCATACACCACGCGGGAAGGTTTAGAGAGGTCGATCTCTGCATCGCGGACTACTTCCTCGAGTGCGGCGATGAGATCGGGTGCATTGGCGAGTTTCGTGGCGTAGACTTCCCAAGACGCCTCGAGCATCTCGCCGTACGGGTCTACCAGCTTGACGCCGTTGTCCTGAGTCGTGTTAGCATAATTGCCTCGGAGAAGTAACGCAGCACGCACGGCTTCTGGGTTGTGAGACGCGGTGACCATGACACCGATGGTCTGGCCGTCAAGTTTCTTGCTCCTCAGGCCGGCCAGTATACCGACGCGGTATACGACCGAGTCCAAGAGCGATCCTCTGGACGATCGTCAAGATCTCACTGCTGGGTGGCAACCGCGGCGACATACAGAGTCCGAAAGCCAGCGGTGCCGTACTGAAAGTGTCTATTGTCCGGCTTGGGGTGCGCATCGGAGAGCTGCTGGATGGTCTGCGTGTGGAGGGACATGGTCGGGGTGGTGGTAGATGGAAAGAGATGGAAGGAAGCGCCCAGTCGCGCCTCGGCAGCCCGACGCGCTGCTGCACCGCCACGGTCGCGTGTACGTCACTAGCCCCGGACGGAAATCAGCAGGCACTGGCTGCGCCCCGCCTCGAGTCGCGCCTTGTCAACAGCAGCCATGCCCGCCAAGTCCCCCGCGCAGACGCTCGTCGAGAAAGCAGACAAGAAGGCGAACTCATCCACAGGATGGTTCTCCTCGTCGACCACCAAGTTCGAGGAGGCGGGCGATCTGTACCAGCAGGCCGCGAATGCGTTCAAGATGGACAAGCAGTTCAAGGAGGCGGGCGACTGCCACGCCCGGGAGGCGGAGTGTCGCGAGAAGTGCAAGGAGATTAACGATGCGGCGAACGCGTGGTGGAACGCTGCCAAGGCGTACAAGCGCGGCTATCCCGACTGTGAGTGCTCACCGGACATTTCTGATGCGTTACTGATCCCTCGCAGTGGCCGTGCAGGCACTCGCGCAGACGATTGTGCACTTGACTGCTAGTGGTCGCTTCCGCCAGGCTGCGGACAGGGAGAAGGAGATTGGCCAAATTCACCTGCAAGAGGCTAACGATATACGGAAGGCGTGTGAGAGCTTCGAGCGAGCAGCCGAGTGGTATGCTCAGGAGGATGCTACTGCGTAAGTGATGCATAGCTTTTGTCGGGCTATCACTCACTCCCTGTAGCACTGCTATGGGCTGCTTCAAGGACGCTGCCGACCTTTACGCCGAGCTCGAGGACTACCCTCGGGCCATCGCTCGCTACGAGCAGGTCGCAGATCACTCCTTGACGTCCGCTTTGACCAAGTACAGCGTCAAGGAGTACTGGCTGAGGTCTACGCTTTGTGCGCTTGCCATGAACGTGCGTATATCACGCTGTCTCCGTAGCATTCGCTGACAAGCATACAGGACCCCGTCACTGCTCGCCGCAACCTCACTAAGTACGAGCGACAGGACGTGACGTTCGAATCTACACGAGAGGCCAAGTTTGCCAAGGCCCTCATCGAGGCTATCGAGGCCGGTGACACCGAAGCCTTTACTGGCGCCGTCTTCGAGTACGACCGTATCAGCAAGCTCGACAACTGGAAGACGGCCATCTTGCTGAAGATCAAGAGGACGATCCAGGAGGAGCCGGGATTGCTGTAAACGCTAGGCGCGTCATGCGCGATGTATCTATTGTTGTGAACCGGATATCTGTAATCACTATACCTTCTTCGTCCCCGCGCGCAGCGTTGGCGTACATGCTGCACATGGATAGGAAGCGAGGTGCGTGATCGATACCGAGGGTAGTGCTGGTTGACCATAGCTGTCATCGTTGACCATGTCCAAAGACTGGACCGCGAAGGACCTGGTGTCCTACAGCATTACTATGGTGGATGTTGCTGCACCCGAATTCTTCAAGGGTCTCACCGTCTCGATATTCGAAGAACTCGACGTTGATCCTCTCGTGGTCAACGGGACCTTGCAATCCCCCGATCTCGACATCACCCTCTACAGATACTTCAAAAGCATCTCCACCCTCCCCTCCTCCCCACATACCGTCACCACCGAGTTCTGCCGGCGCACCCTCGAGCTGCTCAACTACCCCGATCGCGGGTCCGATCTCTTCATCCACTACTCCCTCCCCTTCACCTGCTGCGGCAAGCGCGCCCTTGCCGAGCCCGACCTATGCCTCGTCGGCCCCGCCAACATGGTCCTCCTCGTCCTCGTGCACGACAAGCCGCTCGCGAACGGCCTCTCCCAGGACCCCGAGCCCGCGCTAATGGCCTGCGCCATCGCCGCCTTCCAGCACAACAACCACATGCGCACGTCGCACGGCGCGCCCCCGCTCGACATCATGACCATCCCCTGCGTCGCGTTCGTCGGCACGCGGCCTGTGTTCTACCTCGTGCCCGTGACGCTCATGCTGAGCAAGGCGGCGATGCTGGGGCTGAGCCCGGTGCCGAATAAGACGGAGGTGAGGAGGTGCGTGACGGTGATGCCGGAGAGGAACGGGAGGCTGCAGTTGCAAGCGGATATGGACAGGTTGGAGTTCAGGAAGGCGGCGATGTTGAGGTTGGCGCAGTTTCATGCGGTGGCGAAGGCGCATTGGGCGGCGTATGCGATATGAAGTATGACAGGAAGCTCGAGGCTTCTCCCCTTGTACACGACATGAGATGACATGCAACGAGAGAGAACCATGATACACGTCCGTGACCGATAGTACAATGGTACAAAGCAAATATAGTATACAAGGCAAGGGATAATCCCCTCGACCGAATCCTCGCAGAGGTACTGGTGTGCATATTTCTCAATCCTTAGAAAGGTGGCGATCTATTCTGTGCATGGATCTGCAGTATGGTGAGCATTCAAAGCGTTCCTGAACTGCAGCTGACCAATGACTCACTCGAGGCTGCTGCGAATGATCTGGCGACGCAGAGGGCGAATGTCCGTTCATCGAATCCGGCGGAGTCAAAGGCAAGGGCGTCGACATAATCTTCGACGACTCGCGCCTGAGGTGCGAACGCGCAGGGCGTGGTGGCGCTTGGACGACATACGACAATATCTTTGGCTGGTCGTCGAAGGGGTTCCCATATCCCTGCCCTTCTGCGCCTGAGTCGTGATGCTCATCGTCCTCGGGAGACAGACTGTCAGGGTAGATCGACGGGCTCGAGGGCGCCAGCGAGTTGTTCTCCGACTCTGCTTGCGGGACGTGTGCATAGCGCGGCGTCACGTTCAACGGTTGAACCGACACCATCTGTGGGACCGACACCATCTGCGTTACCGGTGGGTCCTCGAACGGCGAGCCCTCGGAGCGCTCCAGGTCGGTCATGCGCTGGCCCGGGTTCACATACGGGGGCCTCACGAACGGCGGTGGTCCTGGGAGTAGCGGGCTCGGATTCGGGCGGCTAGGTCCCTCGTCAGTGAACCGCACACTGGCAGCCCGCGACGCAGTAAGCGGCGTCAACGGTGGCAGCACCTCCTCCGTCTGCGGCGCCGGGTCCTCGAAGGGGCTGTTGGGGTTCGACGTGCCATACGGCAGCCTGTCGTTCGGCGTGTACGGTGGCTGGTCAACGGTGGCCATCCACCGGCGGCGCCTTTGAACGCGCCTGCGCTTGCGGCAGAGCCAGAAGAGGAGGAAGGCGGCCGCGGCCGCGACGAGGCCGACAACGGTGAAGGTGCCCGCGACGGCGCCGGTGTTGTGGAAGAAGCTGGGAGGAGGTCAGATTGATTAATTGGCTCGCCAATGGAGGGGAGATTACCACCTACCCCTTTTCACTGATTGCACCCGACCCTCCAAAGCCCGTCGGGTTCGCCACAACGTGCGTAGAGTAGACGAAACCGCCATCCTCACCCGTAGACGTGCTGGTGATGGTGATGACGCTGGGAGTATCGACGGTGGTGACGAGGCGGCCTTGGGCATTCGTGAACGTTGAAGTGACTGAGAGGACCTGCGAGAGCGTGCTGTCTGGGGCGTCGGTGATGGTGCGCGTGGCGGTGGCGGAGGAGGCTGGGGTAGATCGTTAGGTTAAGGACAAGATGAGGTTGTGTCGGGCAGTTCGAGAGACGTACAATGCCCAGACACCGTCGTATCAACCATCGAGGTGACCGTCTTCTCCGCCTTTTCTGCCGTGCCGGTTTCCGAGGCTCCTGAATCGCTGTCAGAGGCTGGCGTTGACTCCAATGTTGCAGACGCAGTGGTAGAGCTAGACTCGGTGGCAGAGCTGGACTCATTGTCCGCAGAAGAAGTGTTCGTGACCTGCTCCTTACCAGCTACGGTCTCCGGAGATGATGATGCGGAACTCGATGCAGTCGTTTTCGCCTCATCGGTGGTGCTGGTAGCCTCGTTGGAATTGCTCGTGGGTTCTGAGCTCGATGTACTGTCGCTCGTGGGCTCTGAGTCTGTGCTCGTAGGCTCTGAGTTGCCGCTCGTCGACTCTGCAGTAGTCGAAGGAGCCTCTGTCGAAGTCGAGGCAGGCTCCTCCGACTCCGTCGAGGTGACGGACTCGGTCGACGACGACTCGGGCTCGGACGCAGTATCGGATGGCATCTCGGGCGGCGGAGCAGAGGCCGTGGTCGAGCTACTATCTTCGGAGGTCGATGCGCTGCTTCTGATGCACGTCAGTACCTCCGTCCTCCAGGTAGAAAAGAATATACTAACTTTCCTGAAGCAGACGAGCTCTCCTCGGTTTTGGCGAACGCAACCAGGCTTGATGGACTCGGCGCCGTGGTCGAAAGCGGGGCCGTCGTGAGGGATGCAGGCGCAGAGGGTGGAGAGGAAGGGTACACCACGCGTGTTGAGGCGAACGTGCTCTCACTTATAGACGTACTCGCCAAAACCTCGGTCAACGAGGATCCGGGGTCGGATGATCCTGCTATGATCGTCGACTGAATGGCAGAGCTTGCGAGGGAGCCAGAGGTACTAGAGGAGTCCGTCGATAGGGCGGAGGTCGTTATGATCTCGGAGGCGGAGGTTGATGTGGGGGAGGCGCTTGTGGAAGCACTGGCACCCGTGCTTGTGGCCGTACCGTCACTCCGCGTGGAAGCACTATCGCCTGACGCGGGCCCGCTTGTTGCCGTGACAGTGGCTGACACGCCGCTGGATTCCTCGCCCGGAGCAGCCGGCCAGGTCGTAGTGCTCGGAGCCTCCGATCGAGTGGTAGTGCCCGACGCGTTCAATGTGTTTGACGATGGGACTATGCTTGACTATGGTGGATGTGAGGAGCTAAATCTGACTGAGGTATGCAGACTCACCGACGAGGAGGACTCCAGAGTGGGCGAAATGAATGTGGATGGAGAGGTAGGCGATGGGAATTGACCTAGGGAGGCAGAAAATTAGCAAAGCTCTTCGACGGCGGCTCTTATACGACGAGTTAAATGAAGCGCAGGGGGTACGGCACCAAGACTGGCGGGAAGCCCTCAGATGAGTGCGCCCGTCCGACGATCGCATGCAGCATATAGAGGTGGATGTTCGAGGGTCGGATATGGGAGTAGCGAGGGTCGGGTATACAGGGACAGGGCACTCACCCGTCATGAACTCTATCCACCCAGCCCGTCGACCGGACGAGAGGCTTGAGACCGGACAAGAGAGCTGAGGAAGGAGGAGGGGATCCGAATCGACCGCAGCACCATCTTAAAGCTCGCGGATATACCTCGACACAATGGCCTCCCGAAGTAAGGCGAGTGCGTGTGTCATCTGATGTGCGAAGCTAGGGAGAAGCGCGCTCGCGCCTAGTTCCCGCGTGCGTAGCAGCGACTCCGAGCGTGGACCACTGCTAGGCCATAGGTCGTCTCTAGGAGGCTGTCCAATAGAACAGAACCGGGTGCGGCCGCCATCCGAGGGCCGCCTGCGCCCCGCCTGGTCTGCAGGCGTGGGACATGCAGAAGGCCAGAAGCGATGCAGCTTGTATGTGAGCTGAGCTGGATGACGGAGATGTCCATGTTGGCGAAAGTCGCTGCATCGATGCCTTTCATTGACCAAGCTTATGACGTTCGTCAAGTAAACGTTCGATGGCACCGGGATTGGACTTCCACACGTCTGATCCCTTCGTACATGAAGCCCCGGGCAGAGTGCAGGATAATTTCCCGCAGTGACACTCACTCTCCGCAACTAGTATTCCCGTTGTTCAATTGCAAGTTGTCAAGCAAGAGCCAAAGTCCTCGAAAACGCCGCCAGGATCAACAGTCGCCTGACCATGGCTCGGAGTGCACACTTCATCGATTGATCATGACAGAGTTTGTTCCGGAAGGCAGAGGAAGATCTTGAGATACAGGGCAGCTGGCCAGGATGACCGGAGTGCACGATGAGGGTGAGAAGCAACAAGTCGAAATTGCCTGATTTGGGAAGGCGGCAAGGTGCGGGGATGCGACCACGGTCGCGTGACTCCATTGTTTGCTTCTTGCCACAATGTTTGCTCGTTTCGCCAGGAACTGCCCTTGTATTCGAGTCGCGCGCCGGACCTGAACACCTCAAGCGGGCGATCTATCTCTGAAGAGGTTGAATGCCCTCTCCGTGGCCCGCAGCGTCCGTCGCGGAACCTGGCGGCTGCTTATCTCGACGTAACTCGGCCCCGGCCTCAGCCAGCCAGCTTTATCTCTCGTTTCGGCGCCGAAGAGCATGCCAAAAGAGAACCGTCCCAGCGATCTCCGTGTTCGATTGCCACGATGAAGACTGCCCGCTCCGTATCATCATGTGCGCCTATCTCGTCTGGTTATCCATTCAATGGGGCACCCACCCCGGCGCGCCCCTTTGCAAAGCCAGCCTCAATGGGGCTCCAAGGTACAAGTGTTCAGCCCGCACGGTCCGCACCTGGCCCGCATTCACGAGACGCTGGCGCTTGATGCCAATGCTGAGCTTGCTTTATATACGGCGCGGGATGGAGTAAGGACCGGTGCTCTTTCTCTGCCAGACCGCCGCCATGTCCGCGATCGACGCGCCCTCGCTCTCCAAGCTCGAGCGCAGCCCCTCCATGGAGAAGGCTGCGGCGTCCGAAGTGCAGAGCTCGCAGCCGCTCGAGTTCACCAGGGCGGAGGAGAAGAAGCTGACGAGGAAGTACGACTTCTACCTACTTCCGCCATTGACCATTATGTGCGTGCTGCGTTCTTCTCTGGTCGTGCCGTGTATTGACTTGTATGCAGGTACTTGTGCAATGCACTGGACAAGGGCAACGTAAGGAAACGAGCTACACTCCACACGCGTCGGCTGACCAGGCTACTGCCACCCGTGTCACGCCGCTATCATCGCTATCACGCGCCCTCCCCGCACACCGTCCGCATACATCGGCACCACTCCGCACCCACCAGGTCGGCAATGCGAAGACGGACGGCTGGGACAAGGACCTCGGTCTGCACGGGAACCAGGTGCGTTCGATGCAGCGTTCCTCAGTCCGGTGTGCAGGTTGCTGACATGAACACAGTACTACCTCCTCGTCATGATTTTCTACGTCCCCTTCTGCATGCAAGTATCGTCCCTCAAATCCTATCACCTTCCATACTCATACCCCTCTGCAGATTCGGCACACCAATCAGTCTCCTGGTCAAGCGCTACAGCGCGGCAAGGGTGCTCCCGTGTCTGATGGTCGGATTTGTGAGTAGTTCATTCGTGTACTGCATTCGCCTATCGGCACTAGCTGCATCCAATGCATTCACTGAATTCTCTGATACTGACGATACGCGCAGGGCAGCATGTGTGTGGCGGCTTATCGAGCCCTTGCGTTGTGTATTCATGATAGCCCAGGTCCATCTTCGCGGCTATAGCCAAGAACTTCAGCCGTAAGCTCCCCTACTGTTTACAATCCATTGAACCAACGCTGATCCTCCCGCAGAGATCTTCGCCATCCGTTTCTTCCTGGGAATCTTCGAGTCCCCAATGCTTCCTGGTGTGGTAAGCCAAAACTAAGGTCTATGGATATGACCATTGCTTACCATCGCTATAGATCTACTACCTCTCGACGTTCTACAAGCGCGATGAGCTTGCGTCGCGCGTGGGGTTGTTCTACGCCGCCGCTTCCATCTCCGGAGCCTTCTCCGGCCTCATCGCCTACGGGACCTTCCAGATCCCGCCGACGAAGTTCCACAACTGGCAGTACCTCTTCTGGATTGAGGGTGGTGCAACGATCGTCTTCGCCATCCTCGCGTTCATCCTCCTCCCGCTCTCGCCCGCCAAGTTCTTTTTGCTCACGGACCGCGAGAAGGAAATCGCGCGGGCGAGGATCATGGCGGACTCGTCGGCGGTGGTGGGGGAGAAGCTGAATATTCGGGATGCGTTCAGGCCGTTTAAGGATCCGATGTATTGGTGAGTCACGCTCCTTTGCATGCCCTTGCCTCAGCATCGCGTGTCCGGTCCCTCGTAACAGTCTATTTACAAACACACTAGGGTCTGGGCCCTCATCTGCCTGTCCTTCGGCGTGCCTCTGGCCTCCGTCAACAACTTCCTCCCGCAGATCGTGGCGAGCTTGGGGTACAGCCCGGTGAAGACGAACCTATACACCGTGGCGCCGAATATCGTGGGCACGGTCGCGCTTATCATCCTGACGCAGTCGTCGGACTACTTCCGGGAGCGGTCGATCCATATGTGAGTGCGATTTGACGAGTTCTTTAGGCTGTATCAAAACCATGATACGCCCATCCATCCTCGATGAACACTGAACTAATCAAACCTCATTAGCTGCATCCCGCTCGTCGTCGCCATTGTCGGCTTTATCGTCCTCGGCGCCATCGATCCGCTCGCGCACAAGAGCACCGCGTACTTTGCGTGCTTCCTGCTGACGATGGGCGCGTTCAGCCCGAGTGTGCTGGTCGCGGCTTGGTATTCGAATAATACGCCGAGCGAGTCGCGGCGTGCGGTGGTGGCGGCTGTCATGGGTGAGTGTTGCTTGATCTAAGTTCCGTCTCTCGTTGAGGGGGGCCATGTCTGCGCATGAGGGTGAAGACTGACGCTTTCGGCTAGTCGCCATCGCCAACTCCAGCGGCCTCATCTCCACGAACGTCTTCCGCGAGAAGGACGAGCCGAAGTACGTGCTCGCGCTCGCGGTGTCGGCTGCGTTTGGCGGGCTGTGCGTTATTCTCGTCGCTGGCGTGGGCATCTGGATGCGCTGGGAGAACGCAAGGAGGAACCGGGAGCAGGGCGTCAACATCACGTCGAAGGACGTCGACACGAGCGAGGTGCACGGGCCTTCGCATCCGAGCTGGCGCTATGTCGTCTAGGCTGGTGCGATGCCCGCTGATCCCTCTCTGAACCTACAGTCTCTTTGCACGACTAGCCTTCTCGCATGCGCTATACTTATTGGAAGGCTGGGTACGCCTTGTATGTTTTACGGCAATTTACGGGTCATGGGTATGGCATTACTGTAACGATAGGTATAATCTGAATACCACTATACCGCTAAGGATGCCTTCGATGATCTGCTGCTCCCTCGGGTCAACACTCCCTCGAGAACGGTCGAGAGGGCTCGAATAGATTTCGTTCGACAGACGACACTTTGCATTGATTGACGGCACCGAACGAACAAACAACGGGATCTGAAGAACAAACAACGGCACGTGCTGATGGCGGTTGAAGTTGATCTCTGCTGCGCTCCTTCCGTTGATCTGCATCTCTGATCTGCCGCCTCCGGGCTGAGTTGCCCATGTCACTTTGGCACCCGTCGTGGACTGAGGCTACTCTTGAGACTACTTTCCTGCGAATGAACACATTGTCCTGCCTAACACCTGGCTTTGCTCGTCTCTGCAATGTTGCAACCGAAGGACTTGCCTATCGATTGCAGTCAGCTGGCCAGCCTGAAGAACCTTTCTGCTCGCCGGAGATCGTCGCCAAGTAATCGTCAAGTCCGATGATAGGCGCCGCGATGCCAACCGGTCGTCGTCAGGTTCTCGACGACACGGCTCAGAATTATGCGATTTATTGGGGTGGAAGTGGAGCGCAGCCCCGGAGGCTGGAGCCTTGCTTGCCTCGCTTGGAGCTTCGCTACCCGCACATGGAGCTTCCCCACGACTCGACTCAGGGTGCAGCCCAATTACGATTCCTTACGCGCTCGTATAAATGCTGCGGTCGGCAAGGTAGAGCTTCACACCCTTCGTTCCCCTCTCGCCTCCCTTTGACCGACACACTCGGTCGACCACTCTCTTCGACGCTTTTTCAAGCTCATCGCTCTCGCTACCTTCCCTCGTCTGTCCCTATATCCTTAGTCGGTCCGGCACCTACTTCCCCTCCGATTCAGAAGACGTCCATATCCCCCAAATCACCCATCATGTTCTTCTCTCGTGCTGCTGTTTTCGTTGCGCTCGCTGCGACCTTCGCGTCCGCTGCTCCCTTCCCGAGGGATGCTGCCCGCGCTTTGGTGAGTTCCTTTGCGCCGGTTGCCTTACCTACCAAATGCTCATGACTTCGCAGGCGAGTGCTCGCGGTGTCTACGCGAGGCAGGATGCTGCTGCTAGCGCTTCTGCCGTACGTCCACTACTCCTTCTTTGCTTCCCGTACTCACGTCGTGGACAGGCTGCTCCCGCGACCTCTCCCGCTGCTGACTCCGGTAACGGCGGTCTCTTGGGCGGCGATGGCCTTGTGGGTGGTCTCGTTGGCGGTGTGACTGGCGCTGTTGGCGACGTTGTTGGTGCCGTGGGCGATGTTGCATCTCCCGTGCGTAAAATCGTGATCTGTCCCCCACGCCTCGTTCTCATCCAAGAGTAGGTCCTCGGTGCTGTTGGCGATGTCACCAGCGGCCTCGGCGTCCGCCAGGACTCTGGCCTCGTCGGCGGTGTTGTGAACGGTGCGACCAACGCTGTCGGCGACGTCGTAGGCGCTGTTGGCGATGTCGCGTCTCCCGTGAGTTCATGATCTTTTGTGGGGGACTTCTCGTTCTCATTCCTCTCTAGGTTCTTGGCGCTGTCGGTGACCTCACCAGCGGCCTCGGTGTCCGTCAGGAGGACTCCGGCCTCGTTGGTGGCCTTGTTGGCGGCGTGACCAACGCGGTTGGTGATGTCGTCGGCGCTGTCGGCGATGTTGCCTCTCCCGTTCTCGGCGCTGTCGGTGGCCTGACTGGCCGTGACGACCTCGTCGGCGGTGTTGTCAACGGTGCCACCAACGCTGTTGGTGACGTTGTCTCCGCTGTCGGTGATGTTGCCTCGCCCGTGAGTAAATCGTTTCGGGCAATGTGGTCTTCGTCTAATCTTTTGCTACAGGTCCTCGGTGCCGTCGGTGTCAAGCGTCAGGAGGACTCTGGTCTCGTCGGTGGCCTCGTTGGCGGTGTCACCAATGCTGTCGGTGATGTTGTTGGCGCTGTCGGCGACGTCGCATCCCCCGTTCTCGGTGCTGTCGGCGGCCTCACTGGCCGTGATGACCTCGTCGGTGGTGTCGTCAGCGGCGCTGGCAAGGCTGTCGGCGACGTCGTCAACGCTGTCGACGATGCTACCGCACCCGTCCTCGGCGCCGTTGGCTTGTAAGCCTGCTTCGAGTCCCCGCTAGGCTCTCGCCAGCTGCCCGCCAGGCCACCTGCTTCTGGCAGCTCCCTCCGTATACTGCATGCACTCTCCCCCCGCGAGTTGGCTGTACACATACCCGCCCTCCCTTCGTCTTCTGCATCCCCTCCTGTATTTGTTGTGACTGACTGTACTGCATTCGCTTTGCTTTCTGACCCTGTCGATACTTACTAGACTTTACATGCAATAAGGAGCACATGGTCTTCGTTATGCCTTCTTTCTCGTCTTCGCTCGTAACCTGTCTGTCAGGATAAGGAAAGGGCGAGTCGACGATCCTTCTCTTCGACTGTGAGCTTGATGGCGCGATGGCGGCCGCACTTCATGTCATGGCTTCCTGCCTCAGAAGGATACCGCGTTGATTCGTTCCCTCTCATTCGGCAAGTCCCGAACGAACGTCTTGCTTGGTCTCAGCGTTCAGTACGCTCGGACATGCTACTTCTTGCTTACAACAATCATGCTTGACAACAGCAGGTTATTCGGCTTTCTACAACTCTCAGGACTTGCCCGCGAGCTTGAGCAGCTTGACGCCCGCATTCCGGCGTCAGGAACAAGGCAGCCTCGGCGTCGACTTCTGGTTACGGTCGCTATGTGCAACCGTCTTCCTCGCCATCACCGTATGGCGACTTCACGCGGAACACCCTGGGTATATAACCGCGCGCTATGCGATCGAAGCCCTCGGTTCCCCCCACCGTTCATCTTCGACCTTCCAACGCGTCCGGGCTGCGCCCAACCCTTTCGTTCTTCCCCAGCCTTTCGTTTGCTCGCCAGTTTAGCCTCTTCGTCTTCACGTCTTTCTTCGACCACTGTTCGATAACTCACGCCCACTCTCGTTGAAAGTCAAGTCGTTCAGGCAACACTTTACTTCCCCTCCATCTATCAACCATGCGTTTCTTCCAACTTGCTGCTCTTTGCACTATTGCCGTCGGCTCTACGTCGACTTTGGCGGCGCCGATGCCTCTGCATGCGCGGAGTGTGAGTAGAGGGCGTTCCCGTCTCCCATCAAAGCTGATCAGTTCCTCAAAGGCCGTCGTCGCGCACCCCGTGTACATGAAGCGGGACCCTGCGCCTGCCCTCGCCGCCGAAACTGCCGCTGCGGCGACGGACGCTGCTGCCTCTGATGCAGCCGCCGCGACTGCTACTGCCGCAGATGCCACTGTACGTCCGAATACTTTCCGGCCGATGAGAACATCACTCACCTCATGATAGGCTGCTGCCTCTGCGACCGCCGCCGCAGGTGCTTCCAACGACGGTGGTGATGGTGGCCTTCTCGACGGCCTCCAGGGCATCGGCGATCTCATTGGTTCCCTCCTTGGCGGCGGGGACGACGCCGCTGCTGCCTCTGCCAGCGGCACCGCGAGCGCGAGCAGCGGTGCCGATTCCGGTCTCTCTGGCCTCCTCGGCGGGGACGCTCTCGGTGGTCTGGGTGACCTCCTCGGTGGCGGAGGCAGCGGTGGCGGTCTCGGTGACCTGACCGGCGGCCTCACCGACCTCCTCGGCGGTGGCGGCAGCAGCAGCAGCAGCGGTGGTCTCGGCGGCCTAGGTGACCTCCTCGGTGGTGGTAGCAGTGGTGGAAGCGGTGGTGGGCTTGGTGGCCTCCTCGGCGGCCTCCTCATCGACGACACCGACAAGACCAGCACCCAGGAAGACGATGAGGATGTGCTCCTCAACTCCCTCTTCGAGCGCGACGGCCTCGGTGACCTCCTGGGCGCGCTCCTCGGCGGCGACAACAAGGCCGCTGCCGGTGCCAACGCCGATGCCAGCGCACAAGGTGGCTTCGACCTCTCGTCGCTCATCGACCAGGGCGGCGCCGGCCTTGCCGATCTCCTCAAAGCTCTCGGCCTCGACAAGGCTGCCACCAAGGTGGACCAGGTCGTCGGCGACATCGACGGTGTCCTGGGTGGCGGCTCAGCAGCAGCGAGCAGCGCAGCCGCGGCGACCACCGCTGCTGCTGACACCTCCGCTGCCGCCGCTACCACCGCCGCATCTTCATCAGCGGCGGCCAGCGCAGCAGCAACGAACGCAGCGTCGGCAGTGAGTGCATCGAGTGGAGACAAGCAGATCGGGGCCTAACTGGTGTTGTAGTCTGCAGCGCCCACAGCTGCCGCAGCGGCGAGCACAGCATCTGCCTGAGCAGATAATTTGTACTTTGGCTGGTATATGTACTATTCGATAGGGTGATCAAGTCGCTTTTGAACGGTCTGTGGGTGTGAACGGAGTGAAGTAACTGAGAGAAGACTCAACTTCGGTCGGGAGCAAGTGGTAAAATGCTTCTCAGCAGTATCGGCACGTTCATCATGAAGGCGTTTGCTTGTCCTGCGCTCTGGGGTGCGGTATGCTTGAGGTATAATTTATTGTTGCAGGATATCACTGGCATTGCTACAAAACCAAGCACTTCTCCCTCATCAGTGTAGATCATCCTCCACCTAGAAGAGCTTGTCAAGGAGTTGCCTGGAGTACTCTACACCAAGGAAGGTGGCCGCGTTGGCGGGGAAAGCCTGTTACGATTGATGTCAGTCAGCTGCCGCGTTCACCACATTCAGGAGGCAATAGACGCCGCACGCACCCTCGCCATCGCCGGTCCGAAGCCCTTCCACAGCGCTGCCACACCATCCTGCGCTATCGTCTTGCGCGCGCAGTCCAAGATACCGTTATACGTCCCCGTTGGCGCGGACTGTATACGCGACTTCAACACCTATAACAGCGGCGTTAGCATCAATCCCGCTCTATGCAAATCAACAGGAGAGCCAACGTACGTCTGGCGGGATCGCGATTGCCCACATCGCCACACCAGCCATACCGCCCGCGGTGATGATGGAGCCGAGGTGCAGCTCAGCCGGGGTGTGGCCGGCGGGTGTCAGTGCCTTCTTGGTCACCTCGTAGGCGGCGAAGTACCTGGGACATGTCAGCCAAGAGGTCTTGATCGTGGACGCATGACCTCGCGGAGCGCCGTCGGTACCCCGGGCTATGGCGTACGCAGCGCAGAGCACTGCTGCGAAGGGGGGAAGGGAATGGAGGACAATCATACTCACGCTGCACTGCCAGGCCCGTCGCGCGCAATGGTCGCTGCTGAGCCGCGGAAGATGCTCTTCAGGCCGCCCTCCTTGTACAGCTGCCCGATCACGTCGAAGACGCCCTTGTATTTCTGCTCTGCGCCACCTTGCCCCTGCACCTGGAGCAGCACCTTCGCGCGCTCGACGGGCGCGGTGACTAGGGTGGTGGGGATCGCGGAGAGGAAGCCAGCAGTGGCGAGTTCGGCAGTTGACAAGGATTCAGATTTGCGATTCGGTGTGAGGGCGAAGACGACCTTCTTGGACGCATCGTAGGCCTATCTCAGATGCGTTAGAGAGATTGTTTAACTTATAATGAAGCAATCCACGCACCCAGAAGGACACTGCAAAGATCGGGGTGACACCAAGGAGTGGGGGAACGACACCGCGGTACAATCTGCGCTCATGAACGCGTCAGAGATGAGGAAGATGTTCACAAGGGATTACAGAACGCGCACCCAGTGACACCATCCTTGGCAAGCGTCTTGCGAACGACGTCAACCGCGCCCTTGTACGTCCCCTCCGTCGCGGTCTGCAGTCGCGTCTTCGTGAGATCGAAGGGATGACCTAGACCATACGCACGTTAGCCTACGCCCGACGAGTCAGAACCAATGTACCTACCGACAAGTACCGCGCACACGCCGCCAACCCCACCGGCAATGAACGCCTTAATCTGCTCAGCAGTCGCTCGCTTCGCCGTCTCGGTGCTCTACGCTCATTGTAAGCACCGTTCTAGCATAGAATTACGCTTTCTACCATCTCGTCTGTCGCTCGTCTGTATCGCGCGGTCGATGGGGGTTGGGAGGGAGAACGAGAGCCGGATGGCTGATTTGCAGAGACGACATGTCCTTGATGGCGGCTATAACGGAGAGGAATCACATGCCCATGACGCCGAGCGCACGTGGCTCCCCGCGGTCTTTGCCGGCGGTCCCCCGCATTTTCTCCGCACGGCGCTCGCTCGTCCGCTCATCGTCAGAGGCGGCGCCGTCCAACGTGCAGCAGACCTGCCTTAGACATTGAAAATCACTCGCAATATGCATATACATAATTCACGGTTATATTATATTGCTACAAGGTCAGTTGTCTGCCAGAAAATAATCAAAGGATGGTGCGAGGATATGTAAATTGTACGTAGGATATGGATGATTCAGACCGAGACGTTGAGAACTTCGAGAAGAAAGTATACATGTTCATTGTCTATGCTTCCTCGTCCGACCTGTCAAATCCACCAACAGGCTCGTATGTCGCCTCAGTCACGTCGCGTTGCCAAACCCAACGGACACCCAAGAAGAAAGCACAGATTGCAGCCTATAGAAGCGCATCAATCAAACGGCCTGGAAACCAGCGAGCGCCAGCCACTCACCACACCCAGCACGCCCACAAATACCGGCGGACCGTACTTCAGCAGCCACGGCACCTCGCACGGCTCGAGCAAGCGATTGATCTGTATAACACCGCCGCCCAGCCCGCCAGTTGTCCTTCCCCACGCCAGGACGCGCGCAGAGTCCGTCCCCTGGCAAGCTCTTGCGCCCAGAATGCCGACGTCGTACCCAGTGCCTTCGTCGTCGTCGCCCTGCTTCTTGAACGTGATTCCACCCTCCTCAAAGTCAGAGTCGCGCCCACGAAGGGTGGGGTATTCGGGATCGTCATCGAGTGAGATGGGGCGGTTCTCAATGGGTGGGGCATCAGCTAAAGGTAGATCAGTATTGGATGAGGATTGAAGGGGAAGTATACTGACCATCGAGCTTGGAGGTAGGTATCCAGATGAGGTGCTGCTCGACGGTCTTCTGGAGGTCCTCAATATTCGCATACCGCTCTGTGAGGTTGACCGACTTGAAGGCGTCGTCGGTCGGACAGAGGATTGTCCAAGTCGCACCCTCGGGAACCTCCACGCCGAATCAGTACTCTATCCCTGCCTCGAACCCGCGCACGCACCCTATCTGCCCAAGGGCTACCCTCCGGGGGCGCAGTGCCATTGAGGACCCAGTCCATGCCAGCCTTGCTGATCAGCGTGCTCATCGTGCTTCCTTGAGCCGCCTTGATGAGCTTGGGTAGCGTCAAGTGCACCGACCGCGGGAATAACAAGTCGCCTGAATATCGCACGTCAGCTACCGCCACCCTCGTCACCTTGCAGAAATCAACTCACTCAATTCATGTACAACACCCGTCTTGGTCAGCGTGTCCTTGGGATACACCGTCGCCCGCATCCCAGGCCACCCGCCGCTTGGCCTCAGACTCAAAGTCCCATTCTCCTCCCTCACCAAATCCACATCCGACCCCTGCAGCGTCGAGTACGTGTGCTGCGCCCCCTTGTCCAGATCGCCCGCGTATTGCACGCTATCCAGCGTATGATGCAATATGATCTGCTCGAGGTCGGCCTTGGAAGCAGCGCCTTGGGAGAGGAGATGCGCAGAGACGAGGGCGCCGAGGCGCTTGAAGGCAGCGTTGTGCGGCATGAGGATGGTGGTGCGCGGCGTGGCCTTGAGGACGTCGGCAAGGTTGGTGGAGAAGACGGCGGCGAGGAAGCTGCTGAGGTCGAGGGAGGGTAGGGCGGCGGAAAGCGCGTCGACGGGCGGGGTGACGGGGCGAGAGACGAAGTAGATGAGGGTGTTGTTGACTTCGACTGGAAGGAGGGGGATGAGTTTCGTTTCCACAGCCAGACATACGAAGTTAGCACGTACTGTATTCTCCAAGCACCTTTGCACCGCCGAAGCGGATGCTCTGGTGCTTGTCGGCCTGGATGTCGTCCTCGCTGACTTCGACGCTCAGCACCTGCCGACCGCCGTCCAGACCCTCCTCCTCGAGCGCAGTCTCCAGAAGCATGCCGTCCTTGAGCTTCTTCGGGGTCCAACGGCCGGGGAGGAAGTGATATCTCAACATGTTCTTCAGCTCCTCCGTACCAGGCTCAGGAAGCTCATCATCGTCCTTCAAAAGGGAGATGACATCGTCCTGTGGTGCAAGAATGGTGTACTTGGCTTCCGTGTCATTAACTAGGCCAGTCAGGTTGACAGAATGAAGGAGCGAGATGAATTTGCTGCAGTTGAGTGCGAGCAAGTACTTCTCAGGGGTGATCTGCAGGGAGTTTGGCGGGATGAGCAGGCCGTCAACGATGTGGGCGACACCATTTGCGGCGTAGATGTCAGGGTGGACAAGTTGTGCGGAGCCAACCATCGTCTTCTCGGGTGCGACGACGATTTCGAGTGTGGATCCGTCGAGGGTGGTGACTGGTGAATGGTTAGTGTGTAGCAACTAGCGCAAGCGTGAAACGCACGGTTTGTCGCAGGCTCGAACGAGTCGGACCACTTCACACCATCCTGGACTACAGCGTGCATGTTCAGGATCCTGTAAGTGTCGTTAGCAGCTAGCCTAATCCAGCTATGCCGTACATCCACGCACCTCAGTAGGTCATCGGTCGCGTACTCGCTCTCGAGGTATAGCCTCTCCAGCTTGTCGAGGGAATCCCATGCATCATCGCGCGGCAGGAAGACCGTCAGCTCGTCGGTGTTGTTAAGCAGCACAGTGATCTCGGGCGTCATTATCTTGTTCCAGTACGATATAGAATCCTTAGTGGGGATGACGTCGGCTAAGGCGCATATGCTTTCAGTAGAGTGTCAGCAGGTCGGAGGGAAGTACGCACCTAAGCGCTTCGGTGGCTCGAGGACGTCGTCGATGCCGAGCAGTATGCCGTTCCCTGCGTCGACCCTGCCCTTGACTACGGAGGCACCACCCTTTCCAGACGCGTCAACGCCAACAAGCGCCTCTTCGCCGTGGGCCGCGAGGCGCAGGCGCTGCGGCTCGTGGCCCAGGGTGCCGTTAGGGACAGGCATCCAGGGCGGACTTGGGGGTGGTTGTGGCGTGGGGTGCTCAGTGGGGGAGTGAGGGTAGTGCAGGGTCTTCATGACGAGTATCCGGTCTTCCTCTGGCACAGGGAGCGAGTAGTTCAGCAGGTGGTAGAACAGCTGCTGGCGTAGTTCCTCCCTGACGTTGTCTACCAGATCGTCTCCGTTGTCCAGGTACGTATTCCATAGCCTGTGCTTCTCAATGGCATCGTTCGTCGGTGCGAAGAGGGTACTGCCATTGAGGCGGTTGAGCGTCGGGATGAGGCGCGCGCGCTGGAGGAGCTTGAGGAGGGAAGTATAGTCCGGATCAGCGTTAAGTGCGTCGACGAGGGTCGTCGCTGTGGCGTGGGGACTTAGTGGCGCTTGCTGCGCGTCGATGAACGGCGCAACGAGCGCGACGATGGTGAGGGGTAAGAGTGAGAAGCGCATGGGCTCATGCTTAGGGTCGGTGCAGTCATCATCTAGCAGTCATTGACCAGCGCCACGTGGGCCTGGCTGCTGCGCCACGCGATTCGCGCATGATCTCTGAATCACAGCCGCCCCACGATCCGCGCTTGTTGCAGGCGGAGAAGGAGGATCATGTACGTGGTTGCAACTCCCGACTCACCCAGGCAGCGGGGCCAACTTTGGTTGGACTTAAGCTTGAAGAGGGACGGTTGGATCACACGTGGCAGCGGAATCATAACATCGGAAGATGCCGAAGCATAGTTGAACTGGGCGTAAGCCCCAACGCACCTTGATAGACGCTTTCATGAGTGCCCGGATGCGCTCAAAGCCTTCCTTATGTAGCTCGCCTCATCTGGCAGCAGCTCTTTCACGTCTTCGCCACCTTCACCGCGGCAGCCGTTTCCTATTCATGTCTTGCCCGGAATTGACGCCATCCTTCACCCCGGCGAAGGTCAGTAGGCCGCCCCATTGTTCTTTCCCCTCCGTCCACGACACGTGCTCTCGGTGGCCATATCCTCCCACCGGTATGTTCGACTTTTGGGCCCTTATCACCGTGAACCCGGACCTCGCCACGATAAGTACCACGCCCATTCAGCCGGCCGCGGGGAGCGCACTTACCACATACCGCTGCACTCTTGCCTACCTCGGATGCCCGGGGCCAGGGCGTCGAAGAAGGACCCACATACTTAAGCAGCAAGTAGGCAGCAGGCTTCATATCTGCGTCGACGGGGCGAACGCTCGAGAGCTGCTTTCTTAGCTACAGCGTCGCGGCCCACAATAGGTCGGCGTGCACTGCAGACAGGCGGCGGCCGCGAGGAGCGCGTGAACAGCGCACGAAGCCAGAGGGTATATAAACCTGCAGGTGTCCTCCGACACGAAACGGCCATTACCCAGGCCATGACGAGTATGGACGACCCTGAGAAGACGTTCTCCGTCAAGGACTCTGAGGTGCAGCTGCAGTCGACGACTGGCGCAACGCCCTCAGTGCAGTCGGACGTTACGGTAGGCGTTTCAAATGCTGAGGAAGAATTTCCGGAGGGTGGTTTAGAGGCATGGCTGACGGTGCTGGGCGCGTACGTCTTTTCATCTGTTTTGTCTCAGTTTGCGGGAACGGCTGAACTCACGCACAGGTTCTTGGTTCAAGTATGTGGCTTTGGGTACGTTCAGGCCGTCCGATTCCCTGTATGGAACACTAAGGAGCGTCCTGATTGGCAGATACACCATGTCGTTCGGAGTCTTCCAAGGTGAGCTATCTCTCCTCGGACTTCCTCGAAGCAGCACAGACACTTACCGACTGTTCTCCGTACCCTTCAGACTATTACGTTCGCGTCTATCTACCGAACGTGTCCACATCTGCCATATCGTATGTCCGACGGCGCTCGCGTAGCGCATACCCGTCGCTTACGACACGAATGTCAGCTGGATAGGTAGCGTCGCTTCCTTCCTTGTCATGGCGTGCGGATTACCAGCAGGCCGTGTCTACGACCATGGCTATTTGTGAGTAGAAGTCCATGAACTCTGCATACATCGCGATTAACACAGTTTCCATCTTCAGCCGCTATCAATTATGGGGCGGGTTCTTCCTCATATCCTTCGCGCTCTTCATGCTGTCTCTCGCGAAGGAAGGGCAGTTCTACCAGGTGCGTAACCGTCTCACAGCCTCCCCACTCGCCTCTCGACCCTGACCCCACCCTGCCGCCCAGATCTTCCTCGCACAAGGCGTCGCCGTCGGCCTCGGCGTAGGCATGCTCTACGTGCCCTCCATGGCCGCGCTCTCGCACTACTTCCGCCGCCGGCAGAGCCTCGCGATGTCCATCGCCGCCTCGGGCTCGTCTCTTGGTGCCATCATCCACACCATCATGCTCAATAATACGCTCGACAAGATCGGCTTCGCGCGTGCCACCCGGGCGCATGCTGGACTCGTCTCCGTTCTTCTGTTGTGCGCTGTGGGCCTGATGCGCACAAGGTTACCGCCGCCAAAGACAAGGCCCAATCTGCTGAAGGCGGTGAGGCGGTTCGCGAAGGATGTGCCGTATGTGTGTGCGGCAGTGGGGTGAGTGAGGGAATTTGTGGCACGCGGGAATTTTTTGCTGATACGGCTGGAGATGTTCGATGTTCATTGTGGGGATGTACTATCCGCTCTTCTACCTGCAGCTGGACGCGACCCAACATGGGATCAACAAGAAGGTTGCGTTCTATGTGGTATGTCCAGACGCAGATTAGTCCTAGCTCATTACCGAAAAAGATTCACAGCTGGTCGTCATGAACGTCTGCTCGTTCGTCGGGCGGTTTTCCTCCGGCTTTCTCATCGCGCCGCTAGGCCTCTGGAATCTCATCGTCGCGTCATCTGGATGCTGCGCAATTATCATGTTCTGCATGACCGCCGCCCACAATTTAGCAGGCGTTATGTCCATCGGCGCAACCTTTGGCCTATTTTCTGGGATATGTGAGCACCGTTATACCTTGTCCGTGAATCCGAAAGCTGACGCGTTTGTAGACATTGCATTGGTGGCACCGATGATGGCATCTCTGGCGAGCGATAGGTCGGAAATCGGCATACGAATGGGTGTCGGGTTCACTCTCGCAGGTAGATGGCTTACTCTGAAACGTCCGCGGGTACTAAGCAGGTACAATCGCAGGATTTGGTGGCTTATGTGGCTCCCCGATAGAGGGCGCTTTGCTCACCAAGGAATATCATTGGTGGCGACCGTCTGTGTTTGCTGGGGTGAGTGGGCTTTGTTTGGGTGGTGTGAATTTGCGCTGACTTCTGGCACAGTTGATGGCCACAATCGGAAGTGGCTTCTACACCACGATGCTGCTGTTACTCCGTCGGAGAGAAAAGACGGCGGCGCAAAGCCAGGAAAAATCTGAGCAGCCATAGCGGTTTAGATACTTACAGAGTTTGGATGTGCATCCGGAGTCCAATAGAAGTGTTTGAGAGCTTGCTGCCTCGTAACGTCTTTCCATCTCACACTTCATCTTCACTTCCCTGCTCCCAACTCTAGTATATGGACTACCCAGCCCATCCTTCTAGACCTTTCATTTATGGCCAGAGTGCCGCACATGGGCCCACACGCGCTGCGCACGCGTTTGTTTGATCGGGTCGGGATTCCATTGATTACTTGTCCTTGAAGCCAACCATTAACGTTAGCGGCACCCTACTACGACCTGCCTGTGAACCATCCTCTCCTCTTCCCCCCACCTCCCACGAGTGTCTGCCGCATGTCCGAGTCGAAGGGAACGTCGAATATCAAGGCAAGGATGCTGGCTGGGCGCATCTGACCCCGTCTAATCAGCCACCTGCAGTTATATTCGCAGGACATCGTCTATTCGAAGGTGAACCCTGCGGCGGTTGCCCTCGTTTCGGTGCGTCCCCTGCGCTCACCTCCCGTGCTGGCCACTAATCACCCACTCCAGCGATGCTGGCACGATTCCGAGGAGAACGCGCCGGACCCCGGGAGCCTTGACCCCATCCTCCGGCCACTGAAGCGTGGCGAGGTCGGTGTGACCTGGCTGAGCACCGGCGAGCACGAGATCCTCCCAGAGACCGACTTCGTCCTTTCCGACCGCCTCTTTCAGCTCGGGGAGTTCTGCAAGGCGAGCATCAACGACGTGGCGTCGGCCGTGGTCACCAACGTGAACATGCGCATTCGCGTCGCGCATGCGGTCAGCGGGGAAGAGCTCCCGGGGTGGCACACACTAGACGAGTTCGCGCCGAGGCCGGCGGATGTGGGGGAATACCTGGTGTACAACGATTGGGTGGGACAGGTGCGAACTCCGATCTCTTTCATTCCCTCGTCCGCTCAATATAATTATAGGTACTTGAGGTAATGAAAAGTGCTGCTTGTGCGCGTTCCGACGCTCACGAAGATACAGACTTTCGATGAGACCCTGGTGGAGGCCGCGGGGCACCTCATACGCGTTCCCGAACTCAGCACGCGCCTGGTAGTGGGGGATAAGGGCCGAGTGCGTACATCCCCTTACAGAAGCCGGCATGCGACTGACCGTGCTTCAGCATATCCTCCCCCCACCACAGGGCAACCTCTCTGGCATCCTGAGCTACATCATGGGCCAGAATCGACCATCAGAAGGCGACACCGTTGTCGCCGTCCGGCACACGGTTTACGCCATCGCCTGGTTCGGCATCAGCCAGAAAGTCCGTTTCTGCGATTATGGCAGGCGATCGCAAGCTAACGCACCTACTCCTACAGCTGGATCCCCGCGAAGCCGAGAAACGGGAGCGGCCAAAGAAGTTCTGGTACGGCGAAGACGTCGCGAAACTGACCGTCATCCGCGGGGTAGCGGAAAGGCAGCTGCACGTTGGCGAGCGCGTCTTCTTCCGCAAGTTCGACAGCGCGCGGCCACATACGAGGCATGGACGCGACCAGGATCCGGGAGGGATCTTCGTCTGCTCTGCCTTCAAGATCATCGAAAGCGAGACGATAATCGACTTGTTGTGGCAGGACGGTACCAGAGATCAGCGGAAAGCTACCGACGTCATACCATATTTGAATCCCGACGATCTGGATTGTTGGTATGTTTTGACTACACTTTGCGATAGCTTTTACCGACAGAATCTTAGGCCAGGGAACCATGTTCTCTACAAAGGAGAAGACGGCAACAAACGCGTCGCGGTTGTGCAGTCCGTCGATGCCAAGGAGCGCATCGCGAAGGTGCTCTTCCTCGATACCCAGAAGATCGAACTCGTACCCCTGCTCGACATCGACCCTCACGGCGGAACAACTGGCGAGATTACGTCCGAGTTGGGCGTACAGCTCGGCGATTTCGTATTCATCTGTGACGACAACGGCTTCACGGACTCCCGTGTACCCGTCCTCGGCGAGGTCGAGCCCTGGGTACGAGAAGTGCCCCTCACGGAAGGCGAGCCTTTGGGCTGGAGGAAAGAGCTTACGGAGCTCGGCGCCGAAGTCACGAGTGGGCACGACAGCCGCCTCGGTAATGTTCGATTACCAAGACCTGACGACAATTCGTTGAACTGGATAGGAGAGGTCACTGCTGTAAGTGACTGTTTTTGTATCCTTGTCGCTGAAGCTGACGCATCTGCAGTTGAACCTGGACGGGACCGTAGAGGTCACTTACCCCAATACGAAGAAGGATACCTTCAATCTTAAGCAGCTGAACAAACTGCAAGATGGTGTCACGCAGCTGCAGGAGGACATGTGGAATAACGGCTCTGAGATGGGCGGCTCCGATGAGGATATGGAGGACGTTTGGGAGGACATACCCGATACGGAGGGCGTGCCCAACGGCGACTGGGAATGGTACGACGACCAAGAGCCGCCTAATGGCGTCATGGACGATAACGAGGTTGTGGAAGACGGCGCGGACGCGGAGATGGGGTCAGCTGCTTCTGATGTCGCGGAGGAGGATATGTCCTCAACGGTGGTGGACGAGACAGCGCAGTCTTTGCCAATATTGAAGGACAAGGAGCCTGTCTCGTCAGACGACGTTTCGCCGTCTGCCGGCCCATCCAGCGAGCCAGACGCATGGACACGATTCGAGATACTACCCGAAGCCCCACACGACCACGCATTCTACGACAGTGCCGTCGAGCCGCGCTCCAAGGCCTTCTTCTCGCGATTGAATCGGGAATATCGTGCACTACAGGCCAACCTTCCCGGTAAGTCGTCCCTTCATACACTGTCCAGTGTTCACGTACTGACCAACCACCACCCCAGACACAATCATCGTAAGAACGTATGAAGATCGCTCCGATCTTCTGCGCAGCCTGATCATCGGCCCAGACAACACGCCTTACGCGGACTGTCCGTTCGTTGTTGACTGGGTGCTCGACGCCGAATTCCCGCAGAAACCGCCCCGCGCGCATTTCCACTCGTGGACGCGGTCAAACGGGCGCGTTAATCCGAATCTGTACGAGGAGGGCAAGATCTGCCTGAGTATTCTGGGGACGTGGCAAGGGGATAAGAGCGAGAGCTGGACGCCGAGGTCAAGCTCGTTGTTGCAGGTGCTAGTGTCGATACAGGGCCTGGTTCTTGTGAAGGAGCCGTGGTTCTGCGAGCCTGCGTATGAGAAGTTGAGAGGGACGGAGGAGGGGAAGGTTAACAGGTAAGGGCTTAACGTCCGTATCACGGCTTTGCTCATACTGATGCGTCCTTTCAGTCGACTATACTCCGAGAAGGCCTACGTCCTATCTCGCGGCTTCGTACTGCGCGCCTTCGAACTGTCACTGGAGGACATCACCCCCGCCATCCGCGATTTTTACATACGGCGAGGAAACCTCAAGAAAGTCATCGACGACGCACGAGCGCTTATTCAGAGCAGCTCTGCGCCGGAGGGCGACGGGGAGGATGCGCATAGGGCAGACGGCGAGGACGCCCACCGCTCAGACGGCCGGGACGCTCACAGAGCAGACGGCGAGGAACCTGCCGTGCCACGACTGACAGGCGGAGGGATCATCGCGCTGACTGCGACTCTGAACAAGTTGCAAGCACTCCTGGACAGGAGTACTGCAACACCATAGCGAAAGGGGCAGGGGAGAAGAGGGAGATATAGGATGCCTGTATACTACTTACACTACTCACACTGGTAATGACGCACATAGAGGAACGCTTCAAACGGTTCAAAAACTGCTCGCACTGAAGACAACAGTAACACCATTGCAGGCAAAACAACAGCCATTCATTGATAAGTCATACAAGCAATAACAACACAGCAGAACGACACGCGATGGACAGCGAAAGCAAGGACAGAAAGAATAAGTACGTTACACTTTCCACACAATATCACCGGCACGCATAACTTCGTCGTCGGCACCCATCCTGTCGAGAACCTCCGTGCCCTCTTCCTTACTCAGCGCAAGTCTCGCCATGACGCCGTCGTTGCCAACCTTGATGAGGTCCTCGACCTGCAGCACGCGTTAGCGAAGAGAAGGATGTGTTCAGGCAAGAGACGTACCAAAATGGACTCCTCTGCAGCATAGGGCCCGTTGATCGCCGCACGTATACGCTGTCGGAAGAAGAAGAATCTGACGCAGTGTCAGCAAATCGAACACCTTCCACAAAAGTGCAGGGACCGTACCTCTCATCCGTCAACGAACCATCCGACGCCGGCGGTGGTGGCATGCCCAACGCCTCCGCCGGGTTCGCCGCCGGCCCATCAGCCATCTGCGTATCCTGCGACTCGCCCCACACATTGTCAGGCTGCGGCGCGGCGCTCGCAGCGCGCGAGGGCATCTGCATGCGCTGGGGCGCCGGCTCCTCGTCCGAGCCATCCGCGTCCGAGTCGTCGCCTGACGAGTCGTCCGACCCTGGGCCACCTCTCCGAGCAGCGCCGCCGGTGTTGAGTTTGCGCTTTTTGCGACGTTCGCGTTTGGGGACTTCTTTGAAGAGCGCGAAGCGCATGATGGTCTCTGCTTGTTGAGCGTCTGCTTCTTCGACCTTGGTGGACAGCCGTGCTTTTGCGTGCGCTGTTGCAAGACGAATGAGGGTTTCGAGCGTACGTGCAGTCAGAGGTGAAGTCTATAAAGCAGGTCAGCCAATTATTGATTGCATACAGCGATAGAAACACCTTCTTGCGGTTGCCCTCCAAATCTTCATTACGCAGAGACGCGTACACCTGCACTATATGGTCGGCAGCGCCCTTTGACAATGCAGGTGCTGGCTTGCTTTTCGCATACTGGATATACTTCTTGACGAAGGGTATGCTGAGGATCTCCTTCGGCTTTTCCTTCTTCGTTGTCGCGCGCGTCTTCCGTCCAGTAGACGTGCTGCCGACCCCCATATGCAGCAACGGATCGTACTTCTCCCAAGGGCTTTCTGGCTCCGCCTGAGTCGGTGCAGCCGCGGGACCGTCGATAGACAGAGGTTGCGAGAGGATGTCGTGCACGGGTGTGCCCTCTTCGACTCCAGGCGGGAGGTATCGATGCATGCGCAAGACGTGGTCCGCAATCATGCGGTCTCTGGTCTCATCTACGTCGTCCGTTACGACGAAGAGCAGATCGAAACGAGACAGCAATGAGTCCGGCAGCGCGATATTGCGGTGAGGATCCTTGTGGATATCGTACTACAGCGACAGATCAGTATCCAGCTTTAGCGCCTCGAAAATATCTTCTCACCTGGCCGTATATAGGATTGGCAGCGGCGATAACACTACACCGCGCGTTCAGACTGGTGTGAATACCCGCCTTTGCGATGGTCACTGTCTGCTGCTCCATGACTTCGTGAATAGCGACGCGATCGATATCCGACATCTTGTCGAACTCGTCGATGCAGACCACCCCACGATCGGCCAACACCATCGCGCCTGCCTCGAGCCTACGCTCGCCCGTGTCCTTGTCGGAGGTGACTGCCGCCGTCAGACCGACACCGGAGCTTCCTCTGCCCGTGGTCGCAATTGCGAGAGGTGCCGTACCCAAAACGAAGCGCAGGAGCTGCGACTTGGCAGTAGAGGGATCACCGACCATGAGGATGTTGATGTCTCCTCGAATATGGGTACCGTTGGGCAGGTTCTTTTCAGCGCCCCCGAGAAGCATCAACAAGATGGCCCTCTTGATATATTCGTGACCGCATATGGAGGGTGCGAGGGATTCAGCGAGGAGGTTGAAGATGTTCGAACGCTTAGCCAGCTGGTTGATTGTACGAATGTCCGTGTCCGTCAGGGACGTTTGTGCGATACCCCCACCAATCTTGCTGGAGAGAAGATTGAGGTTGTTGGCAAGGATGAGGGACCTGAGGAAAATCGCAAATTAGGGCAAAGCCACGCATGGCTCTGTAGAAGAGACGCACTTGAATGCACCACTGGCACCTCCACCAACACTGCGATACACGCCCACAAGTTGTATGCGATCGCCGGGCTTGCACTTGTCTACCAGATCATCGTCCAGGATGACATCTGTACTGCGAGGAAGTTGGCCTGGCGGTGCGCGCTCGGGCATCTCTTGGATAGATATACGCTGGTGATCGCGGAACGTGCAGAAGCCAAACTCCGTCGTGAGGAAGCGCCCCTCATCATCGGTAGTGGGTATGATGGAGGAAGTGGGGGGAAGGGCGCTGTTGTCGGTGGCGTCGCGATACACCGCACGGTAGAACTGTCGCGTCTCCTCGCAGTAGTGTACAGACTTCGCGAGCTTCGGTCGGACGAGGGAGCAGCGCGTTATGATCCCCTCAAGCGAGATCATCTTGTTGAGATGTGAGGCATGCAGCGTCCGCGGGCTGACATGATGATCGCCGAACGAGCCGCTGAAGCCAACATGGTATGTCTGCGACTCGTCGACCTTGCTATCCCCCGACGCGGCGGCGCGCTTCACAACCTCCAACAGCGCGGCATCAAACGCGGGGAGGTACTCCGTGGGATTCTTGAGCAGGCCGTCCGCGTATTCTCGGTTGTGGCTCCGGAGATCATCGATGTTGACTATGAGGCGATTTTGACCCTGGCGGAGCATGCGCGCCACGGTCTCGCGGTAGTTGTAGAGGTCGGTCTCCTCATCGAGGAACTCCTCGAAGGTGCGCGTGCGGTCGGTGATGAGGGCATCGCCCGTGTTGGGCTCGTCGGAAAACATGGCGGGAGGAGGCAAGGGTAATTGACGCGTCCGGTCACGCGTGTGACGGGTCGTGTCGAGACGCGCCGGGCGCCGGGCATGATATTCGTGAAAACAAAAACAGAAATCCATACAGTCATCGTCTATGTCAGTATGCTACATGTACCTATGGTGTTCCCTACAAATCCCGATTCTATAGTCTAATGTGAGTGTGTCTAGTGTGTGCGGCGTGCCGTGTTGAACAGGCTCCGTAAAGTGAAGAGGCCTGGATCCAATACTTAGACCTTTTCCAGAGTCTCCTCTTTAGCTCCAGAGACCGTGCTGTTGGCGGCAGTCCTCTCAGGGTCGCCGTCCGCCAACTTGTTCTTTTTGACGTGCCCTACTATGCCGACACCGCGGAGGGAAATGATCGTAACGCAGCAAGCTGGAATGCATGTCAGAATAAGGCTTGCTGTCTCGGTTGTAGAGCACCCACCAACGATGCCGAGTGCGAAGGCAGTGAAGTGAGCCGAATGAAATGATTTGAGGTGATAGGTGTCCTCGCCTAGGTTGTTTTGGATGCGATTATACACGACCGTAGTGATTGCCAGACCGAAGGCGGACCCAAGCTATCAAAAGGTCAGCTTACCGAACCAGGTATACGACCTTAAGCAGCTCACCTGCGTCATGGTCGAAAACAGCGCTCCAGTGACACTCTGCTCATGTGGATGCGACAGCTTCTGCACGAAGATCGTGCCAGCCGAGAAGACGAAATCAGTCCCGAACACAGCGATGATCGCGGGTACGAAGCCGTAGGCCCAATAGGGCCGTTCCGCGTTCGAGATAGTTGCGAAGAGCAGACTAGCGAGGGTGGTTGCCATAGTGCCGGTACCTACAGGCGTTGTTGTTTCAGATGGGATGCACCACAGCGGGGACGGACGCGACGCACCCATAAGCACCACAACTGGTACCCGGCCGACCAGAAGGGCAACAAGCATATTGCAGATGACACCCGTGATTGGCATGGGGATGAGACGAATGGCCGCCGCCAGAGGTGATAGGCCAAGGTAGTCTTGGTAGAAAAGCTGCGAAGGGGGTAAGCTCAACTGCAACCTTGTCCTGCACCCATACACGCACCATCTGCCAGAAAGTATACCCAATAAACGACGACCACGTAGTAAACACGATGAGCATCTGCGCGCCATACCGCCAATGGCCCCTCGACAGCAAGGTCATCCTCATGACCGGAGGCGGCGTCCACACGGAGTACGTCGCGTTCGGGTCGTCCTGCACTCGCTCAAGGTACAGCTGCCAGAAGGAGAAGATGACGAGCAGGAGGACACCGAGGATGAGCAGGACGATGATATCTAACAGTGTATGAGTACGCCGCCGTGCTACATCGAGTGGATACAAGTACTCACAAGGCGTAGCCCACTTATTCGGCGCCTCCTCGCCATCGGACAAAACGAAGACAATAAGGACTAGTCCTGCAGTCGACAACAGAGCCCCGAGCCAATCCACTCGCCGATCCTTCTCCGTCGAAGGAGGATCGGGCGGCATGACAAGGACTCCGCCTGCAAAACAGGCGAACGCGAGGCATGAGGTAAAGTAGAAGATGGACCTCCACCCCGTCCTGTCATCGAAGGTCAGCGCTGAAGAATCTGGGGCAGGAGAGAACACCTACTTTGTCAACTGCGTAAGCGCACCTCCGATGAGCAGACTGAGCACTCCTCCGATGGGAGCTCCGGCGCCGAACGTGGCGAAAGCAATAGATCGTGAGCGACTGCCTGGAGGGAAGGCCCGAGCCAGGATGCCAATCTGTAAGACGTCAGTACTTGGCAGACAGTTCCCTGCATCCAGGACGCACCGCTGAGGGGACGATAGCCGCCCCGCCGATACCCTGAATCCCACGTAAGATCATGAGCGTCAAAGGGTCTGGTGAAAAGCGTCAGAACCCGTCAACGACAAGTAAGAGAGTTTTCCTGACCATCAACGAAGGAACACCCCAAGCTGAGTGCAAACAGCCAGAAGGAGCCCATCGTGAACAATTTTTTCCTGCCATATAGATCGGCAAGCCTGCCCAGCACGAGGAGCAGGCATCCCTGGAATAGATGTAAGTGAGTCTCTGCTTTTCTGCCACGCCACGTATCGACGACGCACCGAGCTCAACGAGTACGCCGACACAAGCCACTGTAACTTGCTCTCGTCAAAGTCCAACTCTTTCCCAATCGAGGGCAGAGCAATGGTGACCCCGTTATTCGTGGCGACCTGCAAGCAAGATAAGATATGCGCCCGACATGCCTATCATCAAGCAATTTTCTCAACGCACATTCATGAGCATCGCCGTCGCACAGACCGCGGTCAAGCATATCCCCTTCACCTTCCCAATCCTTGGCTCGGCCTCCTCAGCATGCGAGGACGTAGGTGCAGGCACTGGCATTTCCTGATCGAGCACGCCATCCTTCTCCGCATGCGACGGATCAGTCTGCTGAGCGGAGAACGGGGGCGGGGATGCGGATGCGGAGGTGGGGGTGGCCATCGCGTCCTTCATCGGTCCAGTCACCAGTGGCGGGAGGAAGAGAACCTCTCGCCGCAAGCTACCGCCAGGGTGCTTTCTTATGAGGGAGGGGCATGATGTGCCCCCGGCGTCCGTGTTATCGGAGTTCGGAAATAGATTTAAACGTGCTGGGACACGGGCTCACTGATAGTTCGAATCGTAACCCCGAGAGTCAAACTAGAGGACAAGGCAGACAAGGGGATTCAACCCGGGAGTAGGTGGACCCGGTTCGAAAGGTGAAGCAATACTGCAAGGTAAGCCTTGAAAGACTCGAAGATTTTTTTCACCTGCAAGTTCCGCGAAAACTCACGAATATGCACCCGGAGAGTGGTATTGGATCAATGTCGGCGGCCTGCGGCCCGACAAGAGGGGACCTCGCTGAGGGTTGAGACGGTTCATTTCCTTCCTCATAGAAGGCCTACCACGTAAGCAGCGCGACGTTTGCAGGCGATAGTCGACGCAGAAGGCGCGCAGGATTACAAGAGAAGACAGCAGGAGAAGGTGCGTGAGTCATTTCAGTCCGTCGCAGCGGGATCCAACAGGGGACCTTGTTCGTGGTCGGCCCTTCGAGTCCGCCGACCATTTGATTTTGTTTGTTTGTTCCTTGGTCGGGCGGTCATGTGACAGGTGGCTGACCGGTTCAACTTCTGGTCAGACTGGGGGCTGCATTATGAGAACGAGTGCAATACAATAGAGAGTGAGATCAGTGCGATATAATAACACGATAACAATGGCTAGAGATACAGTGCGGGTATATACAGTGAGTAGGCGGGAATCTAGTTCACATCCATGCAGAACTCGTCAGGGTGCTCGAGCATCTCCTTCACGTCCTCCCCACCGACGACGCTGGCGCGACGGTACAGCTCCTCCCTGGTCTCGTCGTCAGGCGTGATGTTAGCGAGCGTGAGCAACGCCTCGGCCAACAGCGAAGTGAGCGCCATCTCCTCGTGCTCCTCGTCCTTCCCGGCACGCCCAGAGCACATCGAGTAGGCAGACGACGCTGAAGACATCTGATGCGCGATGGCCTTGTCAAGGAACTCGATGGCGAAGTCAAGCGCTTCGCGAGCCTGCTGCGTATCATCGGCGGCGAGCGCCTCCTCGACCTTCATCGCATCGTCCGCGTCGGCCTCGAGCACCTTCTCCGCGGTCTCCGCGAGAGCGCTCCCGACGATGAGCCAGCAGCGACCGCGCTCGCGCAGGATCGCCGTCCTCCACCGGTCCATGTCAACCTCCATGCGCATCTGGTTGAACACCGAGTCCGCCCATGTCGCCCAGATCCTGCGCTCTGACGGAAGCGCCAGCTTTTCAGCGAGGTGCACCACCTCGGCTGCGATGGTGTAGAGATGCGTCGCGCGAGATTTTGGCGGGATGGGCGAGTAGTGGTGGTTCTCGAGCGAGAGGATGGGGGCGGGCGGGGGCGGGGACATTCGAGGCCCGGCCTCGAACTCGCCACTGTCGTGTTCGTGCTGGGAAAAGTGGATGTTGTTGACCATGGGGCAAGACAGGGTCGAGAGCATGATAGGCGGCTCGGGCAGGTGAGGCATGCCGTGGTGATGCTGTGGGTGCGGCATATGGAAGATACCGCGCGAGAACTGGTCCATGGCGAGCTCCATCAAGTCGTTCGGTGTCGGGGAGCACAAGGCTGTCCGACGGGTCACCGGGGGGCGATGGGACATGATAGCGGCTAGGGGTGAATTCGCTGGCCAGGCGTAGTCGGTCGAGAACAGGTCGGCCCCCTTGGCGTTGTCTGCAGAGCGATTGAGGGTCTCCTGGGCCAGGCGGACCCATGTCCGGCCCCAGACCACGGCCATGTGCCAGTCCTCGGGGGCATGGAAGCCAAATCGTCCGTCTGTGCGAGTGGGCAGACTTTCGGCTGTCTCGAAGACATCGAGTGCAGCAAGCCAGTACGGCACGCCAATCGTCGGTTCCCCTGGCAGCGCACGCTTCGGGAAGAGGGATATGATGTTCCCAAAGAGGAAGAGCGCGGTACCGAGAATGTTATGAAAGGCCGTAGGCAACTCGGGGTGCTTTGGCTTCGGATGTGCGGGCTGGAGAAGACGCGTGCGCGAAGGCGGGGTAATGAAAATCACGGATGGGTCGTCGTATCGCAGCAGGAACCGATGACACTCGTGAACGACACCGCGTAGCAGTGGCAGAGCTTCGCTGGGATCATCGTCGCCTGGTCCGAGATTAGTGACTGAAAATTCGGAGGAATGTAGCGTACCTTCAAGCTGATCGAGAGCGCTCTTATACAAGTCTTTTAGGTCCTCCCAGTCCTCGTAGTCGCACTCGGATAGTGTGGTGTGTGTACCGCGAGATGCGAGTGAGCAGGAGTCCATAATCTTCGTGCGTCGAAGCCACCCGCTAACGCGCGGTGGCTCCTTCTCGGTCGGAGCTTCATCGTAGCCCGCCTCGTCGTAGACAGAAGTGTTCGAGGTCGAAGAGCGTAGTCTTTTCGAGGAGCGCGACGAGTCGAGCGCGCTCTCGTACTCGTCATCGCTATCATCAGAGTAGGCCGGGGTAGACGCTGGGACGCGCGCCCGGGGCGGCTGGGGCTGCTTTGCGGCGCGGACATTGGACCCATGAGTCACGCGCGCTTGCCAAAGGCCCTGGGGGCGGCGTCTCTTGCGCGGGTTAGGTAGGCGGGACGGCGAGGAGCGTTGCTGGCAGCCAAACATGTCGCTCGCGGGTGCACACAGCGGGGAAGGGGCAACACATCTCGGCGCTCACTGGTTTTATATTCTTGAGCAAGTGGTGGTCTAGAGCAGCCAGGCCTGATCGGGCCCAAGGACTCGATCTGATAATTGACTGATTTCGCCCGACCTCATTCCGATGTGTGGCGCCTGGCGTCGCTGGCTGCCGCCCTCCGGTATAGATGGTAGATGATAGAAGGCGCGTACGAAGGTGACTTAGACAGTGGAACGACGAAGTCGGAGGTGTGCTCGTCGCGAGACAAGGAATCTCATTTTTGGCAGCCAGGCCGAGATTCGACCACGTGCGCGCCACGCAATCCCGGCAATGATGGAGTTTGACACGCTCTGGACTCCCTCAACAGCAAGCGCAGGCCGAGCCACTGCCGGCCACAGCCGTCAGCGTGGGGGAACGCGCAGCCCGCGCGAGGTCGGCAGCCTCGTTCCCCAGTATGGACTGGGCAAGCGGAGTCAACGGCTATCTTTGCAGGCCACACCAGGAAGAGGCTTGTTGGCACCGAATCACACCGGCTGTACGGATAAGTGCACAGAAAGCACAGCATGGCAGTCTCTAGCAGTAATTACAAGAACGAGCGCCAATCAAGTGAAGTATAAATTACAATGCTTTTGAATATGAAGCCTCGCCTACCGACAGCGCGAGCTACTACACCTCCATAAATCTCCCCAAAGCAACGCCCCCCCCCCCCCAACTAGCACTCCTACGCTGAAGTTCATGCCCAAGCAACAACAGCGTCAATAGCGTTATCTTGACCTCCGACGGTGTATACTGCTCCAACTGCTTCCCGGGACCTGTGTCTCTGTCCTCTGGAACTTCTCCGCATCCGAGTACTCGTCTCCTTCTAATAGGGCGATAGCGGCCTCCAAAAACCACATGTGCTTCTTGATGTAGTGCACGACCACGGTACCGCCGACGCGTTTGTCCTCGAAGCGCTTTCGTCGTCCTTCGCGGCGCATCCATGCGTACTCAGGCGTCTTCGGATCGCCTGCACGTTTGTGAGCAGGCTGGACGGGGCAAAGTACGGCAGCTACATACCTTCTTTCAACGTGGACATCTCACTACCCTCGACCATGGCCTCGACAGCTTGCTCTGCCGTTAAGTTCGGCAACGGCGGGGCGTACCGCACGCCGAAGGTCGACACGGTCGAGCGTGCCCACGAAGGCGGCGTCGACAACTGATTACCACCCGTCGCAAGGGTCGGCGCATCGAGAACGTCCTCTGGCGTATGTTCCGGGAAGTCCATGATACTGCGCTTCACCCGAGAGACTTCGGAGGGGAAGAGGAATCCATGCGCGTAGCTGCGGCATTATTAGTACCCGATGCGCCCCATAAGATACGAAAAGACCTACACAGTACCGGCTCGCGGGTGATCATACATGTAGCACCGTTCGCTCGCCCAGCGAATCTCGTCCGCCTGAGGGTGCGACTTGATCCACTTCGCCGTCTGTTTGTCCTCCGCCCCGCGCGTCATCGTCTTCACCGTCGGGTCCTTCGCAACCCAATCGACAAGCGCCCACGTGAGCGCGTACAGCTCCCCTGCCATGAACTGGTGCAGCCGGTTCTTCACGAGGTAGCCCCAGTAGATCAACGGATCCTGTGAGTGGCTGGCGAAGCGCCAGTTCGATGGCATCCGATGCGCCAAATTGAGATCGCGTTTCGATAGGGTGGTCGCGGTGGACGCGTTGGTTGGAGCGCCGGTGGAAGGGGCGTAGGGTGACGAAGATGACGAGGAGGAAGCGGTGTCGTTGTCGTGTGTGTGATCAATTTCCGCTTTGGCGTGCAGCTCAACTCGCAAGCGCGACTCCAGCTCTGCGAGCATGACGAAGGAATCGTCATCGACCTTGACAACATAGTCCGGGCGGACCCATGGCCGGAATTCGCCCGAGGTCAACGACTGATCTCGCCAGGCCTGGGGGGAGTCATGGGGCGCAAGTGGTGGTGGCGGCGCGGTGTAGTTCGCATAGGAGAAGTATGGTCGAGCAACAGAGTAGTTTGAGTTGTACAGGGGTGGCACCCACGCGTTGATCGCCGCCCACGAGAAGTAGACATGGCTCTTGCCAGAGTTCATGTTCTCAGCCATGGGAAGGATGACGATGTCGTTGTACATTTCCATTTCCAATCGGATTTGCTGTTCCCAGTCCTTGCGCGGTTGGCCGAGGATGAAGCGTACGACGGTACGCGAGGTGCCTTCGCCGCCGTCTCCCTCGCCAGCGCCTTCCCTACTCGACGGATGACTGGCCCATGTCGTCCGTACGAGCATTCGTCGCTCGAAAGCAGAGTCGACGGAGAAGACACCAACGAAGACGCCGACAGGTGGTATGTCATCGAGGTTGTCAGGAGGGAAGACGTAGCCGTGGCCCAGGGGCAAGTGCGCGGGCGAGGTGTCGGACGGAAAGTACTGCGGAGGGGGGACGGAGCAATATGCGCGCCAAGGCAAGGGCTCCTTGTCGGGGTTTAAAATATACATGATTAGCAGTGTGAGGAAGATGGCGAAGGCGGAAAGGAGGATCAGTGCGAGAATCTGGGCGGGCGTTCAGCAAGGGCAATAAAAGATGTGCAGAGCACGCACTATGGTCAAGGGCTGCTTGGGGAAACATGGGTGCCTGTATATCCAGCGGACCCACTTCTTGCTAACGCGCAGGAGGCAGCCGTCGCGCTTCCGCCGACGTCGCGATAGTGACCACCATCGTCTCCTGTCTTGGTCCCTCCACGACGCATGGCGTTGGCGGAGCCCGTACGAGCTGCTGGGCTCGCTGTCCGTATCAGACGTGCACGACGAGGTCGTGAGCGCGTTGGGTGCATAGAACTGCGGAAGCGGCGACGTCGATCGGGAGGGTATGGGCGACGGCGCGTTCGAGGAATAGTTTGAATGGCCACCGGCGATGGATGGTATGAGGAATTGTTGGGGTGGCGAGGGAGTAGAGTCGGGAGCGAGGAAGGGACGCCGCTCGATGCTGTGGTGGAGGTCGCGCGGCGCGTGCTTGACCTCGCTGTCGGTGTCGGGGCTGTCGTAGCCGTCCAGATTGGGAGAGTCCGGGGGCGACGCGCTGAAGAGGTTGATGGAGAATGACATAGCGGCTTCAATGAATGTGTGCAGGCCCGAGTCCGCGCTACGGCAGCTGGGTCTGTGCGCGGATCCGAAGTCCGGATTAGGTCTACGACTCGGTGCGTGTGGCGACCCGCAGAATCGTCTATGGCAGCCAGATAATCAGTCGCGACTGGCTGGGCGCTGCGCAGAGAGGAGCACGGCTTGCTCTCTTCGCTGTGATGGTCGGCTATAAGGGTGGCGACCTAATCAAAGCGGTGCTACTTCGAACGCGGCCGGATGTCCACGTGCACCCCTAATTCCTTCAACCCACCGAGCTGCACAAACCTATCCAAAACTCCCAGCCGCGTCCTCAACCCCGTCAGGTCCCAACCTGATTAACCGACTCGACGAGCGATGCTTGCATTTCGTCCTTGTATTCGAACTTGTCACTGCTATCTACACCAAACCGTCGCCGTATACTTTCTTCCAGCTCGCCCGCTCCCTCATCGAATCCCAAAAGGCTGCGAGCTTGCTAATCGTCTCGTCCTCCGCAGTCTTGAATTCCTTCGGCAGTGTAAAGCCCCCACCAACGTGCTGCTCCAGCTTCGACACGGCAGCCTTGCCGTCCAAGCCGTTCGTGCCGCCTGCAAGCCTGATCAGAGTAGCCAACCAGCCCGCAATGTGGAGGTCAGCAATCGATAATTGATCGCCTACAATTACAGGTCCATCAGCATAACGTTAGACGGACATACAACACCGCCTACGCACCACCAGACAGCGGCCCAGTAATCTCCTTGTCCAGCCGGGTCAGCAAACTTGCGACACTCTTGCTCCAGAGGTTCTCCGCCGTCTTGAGGAACTCTTCTCTCTTCGCACGGCTGTCCGCGTCAAGGTCTGCTGAAGGTGTTTCGGCCTTGAGGAAGATGTCGAGCAGCACGCTAGTTGCCAGTAGCTTCGCCTGCCAGAAAGCCTTGGTCTTCTCAGACGCGTGGTAGGTCTCTGATCGCGCATCTGCCAGGTATTTCTCGAGAGCCGCTTTACGCCCTTGCAAGGTTGGGACCAGTTCCTTTGCCGTCGTCTTCAATGAGGCCTCGTCTCGCGCATTTGCGTACGTCAGGTTGTCGGGGGACGCGTCCTCAGCATACACGATTTCGTCAAGAATCGTACGGCTGAGGGACGAGAACGCGACCGTGGCAGGAGCGAGAGCGGGTGCGGGCGCGCTCGATGTTGTGTTCGTGGTGGACATCGGCGAGCGAGACTTGTCCATAAACTCGACGAGTTTCTGCAGGCGCATGGTGTTGATTAGCGCCCATCTCATGAAGGCGGCGAGCGCTTACGCGAATATCAACGATGGCCTTGAAACGACTGTCGACATCCGATGAGAGGGTCTTGGCCAGCGGTACGATCAAGGTCGGGACAGTGGCTGTTGTTGTGAGTCACCTCAGCATCCAGTCGCGCATAGGATGTAGCACACACCTTTCGGGTTGAGCCGCAGGTAGGACGGTGAGTAATTCTCTCCCTTCGCTAATTGACGCGTCAATAATGATCGCCGCGCGGGATGGTCGCGCACGTACCCAGGTCAACGATCTTCAGATCAACTTCATCATCGCCATAGCCCTTCTCAATTCTACAGATCAGTCAGATAAGCCCTCGAGCGCGCGATGGTGGGACTCACAGTGTTAGGCGAGCTACATACGAACGGCGCGTCAAGTGTGTTCAAGCGCTGGCGCCCGCAGGAAACTTCTCACCCACACATGACTCTGTAGAGTCCCGGGCGTAGTAGAGCACAGCTTTGGGGACTGAGGATGCTGGAGGGGATTCTGCCATGATGAGCTGAGGACAAGGTTCGACCTGGAGCTGCCCAGGGCGAGGCACTCGAGTTGAAGATGGGGTTGATGACGTCCAGTTTGATGCAATCAACAACCCCACGGGGCTCCGGCTTATGCCGACCAAGTTCAACTTGCTTGCGCTCGCTCAGGCTGTCTCTGCGCTCTACGCACAGGTGCAAGTCCTTGTCAAGGTCCCATGCATACCACGAAGTTCGAAAAAGCTTCATTGCTACCAAAAGAACGCCAATCCCAGTACTGATGTTACACAAAATCAGAGGTGGCTAGCACCATCATATCCTTTTCTGCAAGATATAACAATCACAAAGTTCAAGCGATGGAGGCGCTGTACGAGGACCTGGAATGGATCGTCAGACGCGTCTTTTTCACTCAAATGGGCTCCTTACGTGGTCAGCGTGCCCGAGCCGAGCGTCTGCTCAGTACCGGCCTGGAAGGTTGTGAGGTACTGGGACGTGCTGAAGCTCTGGTCCGAGACGAGATACTGCCCTCCAAGCGTCAGCGGCACACATAAGACTGGAAAATAAGTAGATACACACGCTGAAGAAATCATACGCATCCCCATCGAAGCTCGTCACCTCAGACCCATCCGACGTGAGGAACGAGTACACCTCGTTCGACCCATTGCTGCCGTGGTACACATCCCACGTCTTGCCAGCGATGCTGACAGACTCAGCCACGGGCGTCGGGTTGCCCTGCGCGTCGTAGGTGTACGAGATCGGGCCGGCGCCGTGGTTGGACATCCAGATCATGATCTCGTACTCGTTGGAGCCACCGGCGGTGGAGGAGGTGAAGATGTCGTAGGCGATGTTGACGACGGCGTCGGAGGAGAGGTCGGTGAGGGACCAGGACCATGAGGTCTGAAGTCATCACAGGTCAGCATTGATCCAGTCTAACATAACAGAGTGCACGCACGGGCATGGAAGAAATGGAGCCAATCTGGCCACCAAGACCCTCGTCAAGCTGAAGGTTGGGGTAGGCCTTGACACCGCTGTCCGACGTGCCCTTCCACTCGAAGGTCGTCGTCCACTACATTACAGGTCAGGCTCTCTGTGTTAGCTCTATAGCAATTGTGCTTACCGCAATGGTATCGCCGTTAGCGGACGTGATGCTCGCGCAGGTCTGGCCAGACTCCGCGTTGTCCTTGCCCCACTGGTCAAGCAGAAGCGAGTACTGGTTGTAGGTCACCACATCCCACTGCCCGCAGTGCTCGGTAGTGTCTACCTATCGTGAGCACTCCTTTCCATTCAGGCCCTTCGCGAAGACTCACCCAGCTGACGCTTCTCACTCACGACCGGCTTCGCGCTCACAAGCAGCGCCGCGGTCGCCAGAACAGAGGTAAGCTTGACCCAGGAAGACATTGCGAGTGAGTGAGGCTTTGTGTGGGTGTCGACAGATACACAAAAAACGAAAGTGGGAGAAAACAGAACGGTTACCACCACCGCATCGTCCTCACCACCTTATATGCCTCCCAGAGGTCGAGATTCCGCCGAAGGTCAGCATTCCGCCGAGGATCATGCACTCTCACCTGCGCTTACCCTCATTCGCGGCCCTTCGGGCGTCGCATGCGCAGACATCTGGCCCTCGCGCGGGCAAAATACAGCACCCGTCATGTGTGTTGCCAGCGCGGGCCGCGACAGTCCGCGTCGTTCATGGCGACGAGGCTTCTTCTGTCTTCTTCCGCTGGAGACGCGAGGGAGACGTATGTTCGGCGTGCCTGATTCATTATGCGCTAATCAAGTGGAAGGTCAGCATTGCATTGAACGTACACGGAGTTCGGCAGGCGGAGATCCGGCAGGTGAAGACAGGGAGGAGCAGATGTCAAAGAGGCATGCGGTAAGAAAGTCAGCCACCTCCAACTTTTCCGATGTTTATGCTGGGTTTTAGGCGCGCGACACGCTACGTATAGATGTCATCGTCGCAGTTCTGCAGTCGTCAATAGGCTTTTGTACCTCCAAAGAAATCCAAATTATACATTGCGCACAGATCAAGATGAGCTTTCTAACCCATCCTCGTCGTACACCACATCTTCCACGTACTCGACAAAAGTCGATTCTGAGGGCCGAACGTGTCGTACCACGACACTTGAGGTAGAGGCAGGAGCCGGTACCTCAACATACACCACCCTCTCCACCTTCGCCGCCTCCCGCATCACCCACATCCTCCATCCCATCGCCAACAATATCGGCACGCCCAACACCAACAAACACACCTGCCAATTCGCCGCCACTCCGTGCGCCAGCCGCCGTATCCCCTGCCTCACATTCGCCACATGGTCGCTAGAGTCGATCTCCATCGGCACGTCGTCAATGCGCGTCTTCTCCAGCAAACCTTCCAACCCGGTAGGTTGTTCGGGAGCGAAGAAGCGCTGGGGGCGGATGTACGACCCGTCGTCCTCGTCGCGGCGTTGGCGGCGGGCGGCGGCGGGGTCGGTGGGCGTCCAGTCCATCGCCATCTCGTCTTCGTCCATGATGGGAGTGCGTTGGGGACCGAGGGAGGGCTGGCCGAAGATATGGGAGGCGTTGGGTCGTGGTGCGGACATGGGGGGAGGCATGGAGGGTCCGCCGAGGGAGAGGGAGGCGATGAGGTCGGGCTCGGAGAATGTTTCCGCAGGTTGGGCGGGATGTGTGGACGGCGGAGCCATGGACGATGCGCGTGAGAGGGGCGCTTTGGTGTCGATCAGGCGTATTGTGGGCGGGCGAGTAAGTCGTGGCACGAAGCAAGACGCCACTAAGACCTGGAAAGGTACGTCAATACGCGACGCACGCGCTCGAGATGAGAGAATTCCGAGCTTACGATGACTTCGATGGCAGCAAGGACCCGAAAGTAGATGAGAGAATGCGACCATTGTGGATGGTCGAGCAGATGCAGGTAATCACGCTGCGGCTTGAAGTATGCCACAGCAAGTAAGCAGGAAGAGATTAGTCTTGAGAGCCAGGCGAAGAGTTGTAGGGCCTGCGCAGGTGTCAGGACTTGTAAGCGCCGAAGGACACTACGGACGTACTATGTGCGTTCCCCTGCCTCGGAGTCGGACTTCCTGACCCTGCACTTGCGCTCGCCGTAAGGTCGCATATGTGGGGTCCCAAGCGGTATACCATATGGAAAGCAGAACAAGGATAGGTAGAGCAGGCCACAGGATAGGAAGCTTATGGTATGGCGCGTACCCCATCGCAGCTGGACTTATGTTAGCGAATACACATAGGGAAATGCAATTCTGCTCACCCGAAGTATTTGCAACGATGAAAGCAAGCGTAGTCGCGCCATATAACATGCCTCGTAATCGCCAGAGGGCGAGCTGCTTGTTTAGGCCCTTCTGCGCTGATGTCGGACGCGACGTCTTCTGCAGCACGCGTTGTTTCCCCTTGCTCTCCTTGGCCCAGACAGATAATGCATGACTTCGCGCCATTTGTTCCTTCTGTCTGATCAACTCTTCGACGGCAGGGGCACAAGACGCGCATAGCGGGGGGAACTTGCGTTCGGCGTAAGCCTTGTAATCGGGTAGCGCGGCGAGCTTCTCCTTGTAGTCAGGACTCTGTGAGGAGGGTCAGACAAGGAATCTCTACAAAAAGATGGTGACGCACATCTTCGCTGGGGAGGTAATTGGATAGCATCCGGTTCAGTAGCGTCTGGTTCGTCTGACACGTATGGCAGAACTGTCCAGCACTATATTGTGTAGGTAAGCGGTCCTTGCTGGGAGATGCTGGCATGCTGTGAGTGTTCATCACTGATTCTACATCTTCGCCACGCACCTCGTTTAGAGAACGATCTTGCGTTCATCGACTCCTCGTGCATGGCGGGCTCCGATGAGAGGATTTCCCCGTGAGCGTCGAATCTGTTCCAGCATGTGCAGTTCCTGCATCTAAAGTCCTTTGTGTTCCTTTGGGTGGTATCCTGTGGCTGGCCGCAGAAATGGCAGGTCCTTGGCTTCTGAGCGCGAAACATAATGGCGGGTGGAAGGCAAAGCGACCGGTCCGAGCGCCGTACGCTCCCGATCGTGAACGCGTCTCGCACGTGAGCCCGTTGATTACCGGCGGCGCTCGGGCCGGGCCTGCGAGCACTCCTTCCTTTTTGCCACAATGCGCGCAGCTCCGACGGTGACAAGTCGCGCGGACGTTATGCTCCAGCCAAACTACTTCACATCCAATATTTATGTCACTCAGCTAGAGGAGGACCTGAAGAACCTCGTCCAGGTCTTTGAGGAAGAACGCAAAGCACAACCCAACGCCAGCCCTTTCCGCGTGTTCAGGGAAGTATGGTCTGCAGAAGGGTGGCCTTTTTTGCACTACCGCGTCTTCGACGCTCGATCCAGAGAGGTATCCCTCAAAACAACTCTACGAATATTCCTTCGTTAGTCCCTTTGAATCTTAGTTCAGTGAAGCCAAGTCTCTGACTTGTTGCAGAGGATGCAATTGACGCGAAGAAAGACCTGACAGAGCGCGCAGTCGCTTGTTTTGCGCTCTTCACCTTCTTTGAGACGCAGCCGACAGACTGCTCCCCTCGGCTGCTCTTCGTCGATCGAATACCAGTCGCCAAAGGTGATGCATTCTTCTTACAGCTCGCTCCTTTTGCCTTACGTGCGTCTATTACAGACCAATACACGACCTTGGTTGAGTTGCCCCGCTTACTGACTGGCACTCACCAATCGCTACAACCGCCCACGGCGTTTATACTGGCGAACCTCGTTCGACAGCAAGTATTCCACATCTTGCCACACTCAAACCTCGGGCCACACAACCCGAGGAATCTGCCTCGGGAGGTTTATGCGGATTCTTCCACCTTCGTTGATCTCAAAGAAGTTGCTGTCCAACGCAAGCCTGGCCGTCCATCAAAACGCGACCAGAGCCAACGAGCGAAGGCGGGCTGGCAAACCCTGGTCACTTGCTTGAACAGAACAACCGGGCCATCAGTCCTCTCCGCGACATCCACGCACGAAGAAGCCATGGCACGTCCTTCCGGGTCCAGCACCCAGTATCATGCGGACAAGACGGCCCTGCTCAGGGCGCTCGACGACGACAGCGACGCGATGTCCCTGGTCGCCGAGGCCTCCCGAGAGGCGCTCTCGCGGATGGAGCAGATCCGGGACGGCGCGAAGGCATCGGTGCAAGAAGGCGGGCTCCGCCGCGCGCGGGATGCTTTGCAGACATCCAGCGGTCTCCTCGACCTTCGACGCACCGCGTCCCCGACCGCGAGCACGTAAAATAAAATCTAATTTTGGTTTGATGTCACGCCCATGGCGCCGGTGCCTGGTCCGAAATCGAAGTCGCCGCTCGTCTGCGAACCACGCTGCCGGTCAGTGGCTATACTTGCGCCGGACGCCGTTATTACTCGCCTGCTAATAGCCAGCGGGCTGTCCCTGCAGGCCGTTCCTTCCTTCCTCCCACATTCCTTATAAGCCTCACCCTTCCACTCGTTCCAGCTTTTGGCTTGCGCCATGGCTGCCTCTCCCTTTGGTCCGAACGCGCCGAAGCGCGACTACTTGCCACCGGGTCCAGGAGGACCATCCTCGCAGAACCTACTCTCGTCACCGTCGGCGAGCTCGCTTGCCAGCGGGGTGACCGCAGGCAGCAGTGTCTATGGAACCTCGGTACGTTGCACAACCTATACTACTTACTAATATGCTGACTAGCAACTGCCTGGTAGTCCATGCCGCGACTATCGAGCACCTCGTCTATAGGAGACAAGGTGCGCTCTCCTCGTTGCTCTCCGTGATCTCCTCCCTCACGTCATATCGTCGAACAGTACTCCCTTGCGCCAGATCCTGCAGCCTGGGGCTCCGATCTGAACAACCAAGACCCCGATGATTTCCTCCATAATCCCGACCCGAAACGCGACATGCGCGTCGATATGGGAGGGACCATCTGCACACTGCGTGGACTGGAGAACCTCGGCTGCCTCATTTTCTTGCTTTCGGCAATGATCACATTATTGTGCGTGCGGTTGCCTTCGTCACTTCCTCCCTTCGGTACTCATCAAAACCGAAATATACAGCGCTGGCTACCCCATCATCTCGCACTTCATGGGTAGTGATATGTCTACACAAGGAGGCTTCAATTTGGTGTGTATGCAATCTCTTTGAACGTTGCCTCGTACTGAAGCAATCATCTGTATAGGGTGGCATCAATGGTTCAGGGCAGGTGCGAGCCGAACCGATCTACACCTCGCTTGCGCGCACTAACAAACTGCATAGGTCCCCGAGATGCACGGCTCCTTCGGCCTCATCGACCCCGACACCCCCGCCGACGCCCGCACGCGCAAGAGCTACACCAACGACGGCGAGCTCCAGCTCATCTTCTCCGACGAGTTCAACGTCGACGGGCGCACCTTCTACCCGGGCGACGACCCGTACTGGGAGGCCGTCGACCTGCACTATTGGCAGACGAACAACATGGAGTGGTACGACCCGAGCGCGGTGACGACGGAGAACGGCTCGCTCGCGATCACGCTCAATGACACGCCGACGAAGGGGATGGACTACGTGGGCGGGATGGTGCAGACGTGGAATAAGTTCTGCTTTACGGGGGGCTTGATTGAGGCGGCGGTGATGTTGCCGGGGACGAATGATGTGCTGGGGTTGTGGCCTGCCGTTTGGGCGATGGGGAACCTTGGCCGTGCAGGGTTTGGTGCGAGCTTGGATGGCATGTGGCCGTAAGTGAACAAGTACCGAGCTTGCGCAGAGTCACTTACAGCCTCCAGGTATACGTATGATGCGTGCGATGTCGGTACCGTGGCCAATCAGACCAAAAACGGTCGCCCAATCGCTGCTACGCGGAACGGTGATCCCGGCCACGACAACGTTCTTTCGTACCTCCCCGGTCAGCGTCTTTCCAGGTGTACGTGCCCGGGCGAGGAGCACCCTGGCCCCATGCACTCCGATGGGACGTACGTCGGCCGCGCCGCCCCTGAGATTGATATCTTCGAGGCAACGGTCTCCGACGGTACTGGTTTCGTGTCGCAGTCTGGTCAATGGGCACCCTTCAACGAGAGTGCGTAAATCTCTGACCTCTGCGTATCTTCCAGGTGGCTTACATTCGCGCAGAGTACGTCTGGAAGAACACCAGCGACACCCTCAAGATCTACGACAAGAAAGTCAGCTCGCTGAACACATACTTGGGTGGCGCCTACCAGATGGCCACCTCCGTCATCTCGCAGACGAACCAGGAGTGCTACTACGATGGCCCCGACCCGTGCTTCGCTATCTACGGGTTCGAGTATAAGGAGGGCTTCGACGATGGGGTGAGTGCGCTTTCGGAGTTATGTAGTCGGTCTATGCTATTTGGGACGAGGCTAACGATGGTGATAGTACATCACCTGGATCAATGACGGGAAGGCGGCGTGGACTATCACCTCGGAGGGCATGGGTGCGGATACGGCAGTGGAGATTTCGGCGCGTCCAGTACCCCAAGAGCCGCTCTATTTGCTTGCGAACTTGGGCATGAGTACGTAGTCACCTCACAGGAGTCTCATCTTCTGCGTCTAACGATGTGCAGGTCAAAACTTCGGTTTCGTCGATGTCGAGCATCTGCAGTTCCCGACCAAGATGCTGGTAGAGTGCGTGCAGTTGCCATCGTCGTCAAGCATTCACTGACGTTATCCTCAGCTACATCCGCGTGTACCAGAGGAGCGACGCTATCAAGTAAGTGCGGCCCCCTGCCGTGATGGCACTCAGCTGACTTTGCCACAAAAGCATTGGCTGCGACCCAGAAAACTTCCCGACCGCCGCGTACATCGCGAAGTTCCCGGAGGCGTACACAGTACGTTTAGCAGCTATATATGAAGGCGAGGCGCTGACTGGATTGCACAGAACCCTAACTTGACGACATGGCACGACGACTATGGACAGGTTATCCCCAAGAACAGGTGCGCCTCCCAATCCCTACCACGTTGCGATGTCTGACCTCGTGCAGTTTCCTCGACGAGTGCTAGACTGCTTGCTGCCATCGCTAGAGTGTGAATATGGATATTTGGATATTCTGGATCAGGATTAGAAGGACGGGGGCTATGGGCCTTTGGCGGTGCCGGCTTTAAGCCTGCGACTGCGTATTGCGCAGCTACTGTAAAGCACTTCACTGACCTAATCGTAGATGCTAGCGCTCCTTACATTAATAAAGTATAAACAGCCAGCTACACATGGAGTCGTCGAACCGGAATCACCGTCGCAAGTCCGTGATGAGGAGCAGCTATAGTGCCGTGGGAAATGTGACTGGCAAAGTGATTTGCTTCCGGCCCTGTGTGACGTCATTCTGTCATTGCCAAGCACATGCGCGCCTATCATTCTTCCGATCACACGCGATCTACCCGCGTTCAACATCCGCTTTTCCATGCAGCGCGACCTTCCGTCCCTGGGCTCGGACTTGCGGTCGCTGGGGGACACGTTCAGCAGCGAGCATCTACAGCCTGCTATGTAGCGACTCCACTCTAAGAGCGTCTCTTACGCACAGATAACGCCGAGCTTCGACAACTCCCGCTTCCGCGCCGCCGTACCATCGGCGACGCAGCACTTTCGCGTCCGAATTGCAAAGCGTGCGCGGATATACTATAGCATGGCACTGCGATCGAAAGGGAACCTTTTCTTCTCGTAACTCTGCTCCATTCCAGTTCTTTCCTCCCTCCGCCATCTTCACCTCCCCCAACGTCGCGCGCAGGCGCAGCCCTCCCCTTCGTTTTCTATAATTTCGAGCCCACGGGTCCCCCCACTCGCCGCGATGTCCCCTTCAATGGAGTCGACATCGACGAGGCAGCATATGAGGCCGAGTCGAGAAACTTCGACCGCGAGCCTCATACCTCCCAACGCGCAGTTCTCGCAACGACCAACATCCATCAGCTCGTTCAACAGCGTGGCAAATCTAGTGAGAGATACCTGGCTGCTCGTCGTCGTACTCCCCCACTGAACGCTCCTCCCGCTCTAGGACCATGCCTACCAGATTGCCGGCACCGTCCGCTCAACACCCAGCGCAGCTTCCCTCGCGAAGGTTCGTCGCATCCTTCTCGGTCCTTCCGTTGTCACTCACGAAAAGGTACACAGCTCAACGCGTTTACCCTGTCCCCCGACCCCTCGCAATGGGGCTCGCGCGTCGCCATGCACGAGACCGAGCCGGATGACGACCTCCAGTGCGTCACGACACATGCGCAGCGTTCACGTACGCGCTCCCTCCGAAGTCCACACTCGCTGACACCGCCCCCGCAGCAACCCAGACCCCGGACGCGACCGCCATACCGACCTGCGCTGGGGCATGATCACTAAACGAGGGCTCGCGAACATCGGCTGTCTGGCAATCCTCCTGGCCGCGATAATGACGCTGTTGTGCGTAGCGCCGATTAGCCTTCCTTCGCGCGCCACCCGCGGCGGGGGATGTTTGGCAGCGTACTTACTGCGTATCTTACTTGCAGCGCCGGCTACCCCATCATTTCCTACGTCCGGTCGCACACGCAGTCGACGAACGGCGGCTTTAATCTGGGTGGCGTGAATGCGTCAGGCCAGATCCCCGAGATGACAGGCAATTTCGGGCTGATCGACAACGACACACCGGACGACGTGAAGACGAAGACCGGGTACACGTACGGCGAAACCTATGAATTGGTGTTCAGCGACGAGTTCAACCAGGACGGACGTACCTTCTACCCCGGTGATGACCCATATTGGTACGTCCCTCCCGCTCCAAAATTACTTCTATACTTACCCCTCTTCGCAGGGAGGCCGTCGACTTGCACTACTGGGTCGTACGTACTCTCCCATAATTTTACTTGCGTTCCTAGCCCTGACGACTGCGCCGCAGACGAACAACATGGAGTGGTATGACCCCGAGGCGGTCACGACATCCGATGGCTCGCTCGTCATTACCCTTTCGAAGAAGGAGACGCACGATTTGGATTATCAGGGTGGGATGTTGTCGACGTGGAATAAGTTCTGCTTCACGGGTGGCATTCTTGAGGCGTCCGTGTCGTTGCCAGGCTACAATAATATCCTTGGGTTGTGGCCGGCTGTTTGGGCTGTAAGTGCGTGTCATTCGAGTGTATACACACACTAACCACCTTGTAGATGGGGAATCTTGGACGTGCGGGCTATGGTGCGACGCTGGACGGCATGGCGAGTGATATTGGACTGGTACTCTGAGAGTCGCACACTAACCTTCATGACAGTGGCCGTACACCTACGACGCCTGCGACGTCGGGACCGTGGAAAATCAGACAGTCAATGGCGAGCCGTACGCCGCCACTGTCAACGGTGACGAGGACTACGGCGGCGTCCTGTCCTACCTGCCCGGCCAGCGACTCTCCCGCTGCACCTGCGACGGCGAGGACCACCCCGGCCCAAAGCACAGCGACGGCACCTACGTCGGTCGCTCCGCGCCCGAAATTGACGTCTTTGAGGCGCAGATCACCGACGACACCGGCTACGTCTCGCAGTCCGCGCAGTGGGCGCCGTTCAACGAGGCGTACGTGTGGAAGAACACGAGCGACAACTTCATCATCTACGACGAGAGCGTGAGCTCGTTGAACAGTTATATTGGTGGGAGGTACCAGCAGGCGACGTCGGTGGTGTCGATGACGGATCAGAATTGCTACACGAATGAGACGGGGTGCTTTTCGGTGTATGCGTTCGAGTATAAGCCGGGCTTTGATGATGGGTATATCACCTGGGTGTAAGTGGTTTGGTTTGGTTGGCTGAGGAGGAAAGGCTGATTTTTGGGATACAGAAACAATGGCGCGGCGGCTTGGACGATCAAGGCGGCAGGTATGGGAGCGGACGATGCTGTTGAGATTTCGGCTCGTCCAGTACCGCAGGAGCCCATGTATTGTGCGTGCTGATCTTCACCTTGCTGCGTCTCCTCTGACTGACGAGCTTCTAGTGATTGCCAACTTGGGTATGAGTACGAACTTCGGCTACGTCGATGAGGACCACCTACCGTTCCCGACTAGCATGTACATCGAGTACGCTGCCTCTAACTTCTCTACATGGACGTCAGCTAATTCTGTGACAGCTGGATACGGGTTTACCAGAGATCGGACTCTATCAAGTACGTCTCCCCAATGTCGTCTACTTCGATTCACTCACCTGCTCTACAGCATTGGCTGCGATCCTGATGACTTCCCGACCGCATCCTACATTGAGAAGTACAGCGAGGCGTACAACAACCCGAATCTCACGACGTGGGTGGACGACTATGGACAGACGATACCGAAGAACAGGTGCGAGCTAGTCTTGCCTTCGATGTCGAAATAACTGACAGAACGCCCGGTAGTTTCCTTGGGGAGTGCTAGGTGTATACCACGGGACGATAGAGGGTGTCCCCGTGGCGCGTCGAGTGTCTCGCGCCGCCTAATCTTGTGTATTGCGGTATACGGACTGTCGCTTGAACTAGACCCAGATAGCGTATGTATACTGACTGTAGCCTGTACTAACACCTTTGGCTATCGTTGCGGCGGATTCTTCGGGAGAAGCAGGCTGGCGATTGAAGAGGTAGGAAGTACGAGGTGGGGCGTGTTCGGATTTAGTCGCGAGCATGAGGCTCGCATCGGGTGGTCGGGCCGGGTGGGGTATGTATGGGGCCGCCGGGCTCGGAAACGCGTCGAGGTCGCCGTTCGTCGTTGCTGACGGTGCTGCAGGTGCGGGCGAGTGGACATGCGCGGGCGCGAGCGGGGAGTCGAGTGTGGTGCGAAGTGGGCGGCCAGCATGTTCCAGAACCCCGGAGCGGAACCAGAACGTCCGGGGGCCCTGGGAGAATGACGGGGGGCCCGCACGCCAATTCGTGCGAACGTCGGTCTGATGTCTGTTGCGCCCTTGGATTTCCGATTTGTCCACATGTCCTCTTTCCATCCCCGCCGACCAGAGGAACAGTACACTGCGCTTCCTCCCAGCAGCATGTCCTCTCTCGGCAGCCCCAGGGCCGCGCAGGGGCATCCCAACCGCGACACGATCACCTCTGTCGCCAATGGCCATCTCGGCGGCGACTACGGGCCCTACTCGGTGCGTCCGCGCACGCTCCCCGCCCCGCCAGCCTGCTGATGTGCGCCCCACAGTACGCCCCCTCCCCTGAGGCCGGCAACCTGCGGTACAGCGCAGCCATGTCCGACCGCCAGTTCCCCACCTCCGAAGCCCCCTCCTCCCGCCGCCTCGTTGACCGCAGTAGCACCGTCCCGTCATACCAGTGGAACAAGGAACCCGAGATCGACGACGCCCTGCACGACCCGCGCGCCAAGCTCGACCCCCGGTTCACCCTCTTCTCGCTAAGAGGGTGGCTGAACGGGCTCACCCTCTTCATCCTCGCCCTGGGCATCCTGATGTTGTTCTTGGGGTACCCGCTCTACGATGCATTCGGACGCCATGTCACTAGGATCAGTGGATATAACCTCGTGCGTCTGCCCCCCTTCGTGGCGACTCGCTATTACTTACCCTTTCGCAGGGTGGGATCAATGGCTCCGGCCAAATCCCCGATCTGGCCATCCCGCTACTCATCGACAAAGATACCCCGTCCAACGTCTACTCGCGAACAGGCCACGATGGGCGGAAATATGCGCTCATCTTCAGTGACGAGTTCGAGCAGGAGCAACGGACATTCTATCCGGGAGATGACCCGTACTGGGAGGCGGTGGACTTCCACTACTGGTGCGTGTTCGCCTCCATCTCTCTTCCCCATTGATCTCACAGCATTCCTTAGGCCAACAGGCGATCTCGAGTGGTATGACCCTCAAGTACGTCCTCACGATCGCGTTCTATAACATACGCTTATGGCGTACACGTACAGGCCATCACGACAGAAGGCGGCCGTCTCAAGATCACCATGACCGAGCAGGAGACCCACAATTTAAACTTCCAGAGCGGCATGCTGCAATCCTGGAATAAGTTCTGCTTCACGACTGGCTACATCGAGGCGAAGGTCAGCCTACCGGGCTCGTCAACTTCGCCAGGGTATTGGCCAGGTGTCTGGACCATGGGAAACTTGGTGCGTTAGGCCCGTTCTAGTGTCAACGCTCACTCAATTATGATCTTAGGGACGCGCTGGTTATGGAGCCACGACGGAGGGAATGTGGCCGTAAGTCGTCTTTCGCACGCGGATCCTTCCCCTATTCACTCGGTGCAGGTATTCATACGACGCATGCGACACGGGCACTTTCCCCAACCAGACGAGCAAGGACGGCGTTCCTGACCTTCGCCATGCCTCTACGTGGGGCGGCAAGCTGAGCTATTTGCCCGGCCAGCGCACATCTGCATGCACTTGCAAAGGCGAGGATCATCCTGGTCCTGACGTCAGCATGGGACGTGCCGTCCCTGAAATGGACTTGATCGAAGCCCAAATCGACGTGTCGAACTTCCGTGGACAGGCCTCCCAGTCCTTCCAGCTGGCGCCCTTCGACTACCAATACTACATCGACAACACTACGATCACGCTATACGATGAAGACGTCACCGTCGTCAACTCGTACCACGGTAGCGAATGGCAGGAGGCGGCTAGTGCTCTTACCTACTTCGACGACTCGGCGTATGGCGAGAATGGCGAGCTCACCGTTGGGCTGGAGTACTGGTCGAACCCGGACAATCGCCAGGAGGGGTACATCACATGGTATATCAATGGCAAGGAGACTTGGACACTACCAGCAGCTGCCCTGCCAGCGCGGTCGAACCTCGACATATCTGAGCGGCTGATACCTGAGGAGCCGATGGTACGAAGTGCCCGGGGTTCGTATCCTCTTCACTGTACACTGACGTTCGTCTAGTATCTCATCATGAACCTGGGCATGTCGCCTGGTTTCCAGCAGCAGGATTACGAGCATATGACCTTCCCGGCGTACATGTATGTCGACTACGTGCGCGTATACCAGCGGGAAGGCCTCGATACCGACCAGTCGATTGGCTGCGACCCGTCAAAGCGACCGACAGCAGACTACATCGCAAAGTGAGTTACAGCCTTGTTCTGTCTTGACGACTAGACTGACGACCCTCCTCAGCCACGCACCAGCGTACAACAACCCAAATTACACAACATGGGCGCAGGCCGGATATAATTTCCCGCTAAACTCCCTGTACGACGGTTGTTAGGGTCGTCGCGGACAATAGCGGCTATTTATTAGACGAGGGGCGCGTGGGACTACGTGCATGGGCATTTCGACTCTCGAGACTCGAAGGACAACGCTTTGCGGCCACAGTGTAAACATTTATATTATCGCTTTCGTTCTGGGTTTGTTGCATGGACACACTGCACATTTGTACATGTATAGGCTTATTCTTAATTGTCCTGTGTCACCGGGTGTGTGCTTTGGGGCATGCGCTCGCTGTTTGCTACACGCTCTTTACTACTCGCCGCTCATTTGTCGCCTTCGGTTCGTCCGCCCGTGCCCGGGACCCATACTTCCTTCCATTCGACGGATTATTGTGCTTTCGTCATGTACTGGTACCGATAGGCGTTCCCCGAATCCGATGCACGGTTCTCGAAGCGCTAGTAGGCGAGCCCCAGAATCGATAGCGCCCTGTGGATCATGGCCATGACCGCCCTCCGCTGAACTTTATGACCGCCTTTTTGTTTTCTGCGGTCGTGGGAACGCTCACGTGGGGAACAATGTACGAGGACGTGTGACTGCACGGTTGAAGTTGTGATATGACCGGAGCCGCCATCACCGCCGGGGCCGAAGACAAAGAAGTAGACAAAGAGCGTCCGGAGAACAATTGCTACGCGCTCTGGGTTTGATGACTAGTGGCGCCATGAGGCCAGCCGCGGGAGCGCGTATAAAGGCTCCCCATCTGCGCTGCGCGGGTCCGCTATCGACGCCCTTTCAACACCCGCGCGTCTGACGATCCGATTCTCAAGACTACATCCAGGATGGTGTACTCCGCTGCGCTCTTTCTCTTGACGATTCTCCAGGTCGCATACGCCGAACACAATTCGACGACGCTCGCCGCGGACCAGTCCCACGGCGGCCCCAGCCACGGGGTGCGCGCGGGAGTCATCGCCGCCATCGTCGTTTCCTGCACGCTCCTCGTCGCCGTCGTCGCCTGCCTCTTGCGCGCTGTGATCCTTCGCTATGGGCTCTGCCGGCGCGGGTCAAAGGCGCTCAAGGCCTGGCCACATACGCCCGCGCTCGGTCTGCAGTCAGACGAGGAAAAGAAATATGCCACTAAAGACCACACACGCTCCCTTCACGATACCCTCGACCGCCTCTCCACTACCAAATCGGGCGCGCCTGCCACCCGCGCCGTCGTCGTCGACATGTCAAACGGCTTGCACGACGAGAAGGCGGACAGCCCTTTCTTCAGCGTGCCCGTCGACCTGCCCGAGACCGACTACGCGTCCGTGCGCGAGCAGAACAACCGCATGGTCGAGCTGCGCAAGCAGGCCAGCACCTCGTCCGTCAACGTCCTCGCGCGCGTCATGTACGACGGCAGCCCGCAGGCGCCCGCGCGCTCTGACTCACCGACGGTGCCGCCCGGGCTGCAGTCCCCCAGCCCGCCGAGCTACAAGTCTGGTGCTGAGAGCCCCGTCACCATGACGCACAAGCGCTCGATGAGCTCGCGCAGCCGGATGCCGCCCGCGGTCGAGCACGTCGCGAAGAAGCCCAGCGTGGACGCGGAGGACAAGCCGCGCAGCATCCGCTGGGAGGACGGGACGCTGTACCGCAGCCCGTCCACCCGCGCGCGCATGCAGCTTCCCGAGGTCTCCCCGGTGCAGTGGGCGACCTCGGACCCCTTTGCGAGCGCGAGCACGGCTGCCAGCCCTGTGCCCGCAAGCCCCCCGCCGGTCGACGAACTGAAGCGGTACCTCCAGAGCGCGGAGACGGTGCAGAAAGAGGTGTGGACGGAGGTGAAGGAGCAGATCTCGCGCAACAACTCGATAACGGAGGAGTGGCGCGACGTCCCTCTCGACAAGACCCCTCGCTAATAGAAGATAATCAGTATGAATCTCTGAAGGACACGGGTAGCCGTCGTACTTCGTTCAGGAAGTAGAGCCTGGTGCTCTCACCCACTATGATCTTTGCATGTTTCCTACCGACGACTTGATGTCCCTTGACGCTGTAGCCATTATATGACCTGTATTTGTGTCGAACGCCCTATTGGATTGCCTATATAATCGCTGGAGTTGTCTTGGCCCGTCTGTCCCTTTCCGCAAAAAGTTGAACCTCGTTGGCTATTCTTCTCTTGTCTCAGTCTGGAGGGTGCGCACGAGTAAAAGTAGAAGTGAGTGAATTGAAGGTGGCCGGATGAAGAGTGACGCGGAGATCCGCGGGGCTGAAGCTGGCCCGGTCCAGCTGCCGGTCTTGGACTGCATCAACTCCAGAACCGTTTGTTATGCACGGCGGACGCTCACGGCGCCGTGGGGGATCCTGGCGGGAATCCTCCGCCCCCTTGACATCGACGGTCTCATGGCCCTATAGCCATCTCTATCCTCATTTTCACTGACCGACCATGTCGCTCTCGTACTTCCCGCCGGGGGTCATATACCTCCAGGCGTCGTCGAAGGAAGGTTGGACACGGGCTCCCCTCCCCTTCCTTTCCCCCGCACCGATCGTTCATTCTGACAAGGCACCGATAGGGAGCTCGCAAGAGCGCAGCGTGAAGCTCACGAACCATGGCCAGAGCACCGTCGTGTTCATGGTACTCAACAACAACCGGACGGACTCTGCGTCGTATGTCGTCCCCGGAGCAGGCAGCGTCGACCCCGGACGCAGCACAGAAGTGAAGAGTGCGTGCTTCATTTCCCCCACACGTACCCCCGAACTCATGTTTGCCTCCCCTCAGTCGTTCTCCGCCCAGGGGCCGTCATGGAGTCCCATCAGCAGCAATTCATGTTCATGTCCTCCGCCGTGCAGGCTGGGTACACCGATCGCCCAGCATTGGACCTCGTACGTTCGCCTTGCCGATCATCTTCGTTCCCCCCGATCTGAGCTTCATTGATAGTGGGCACACAAAGCCCATCTCGAAGGCGAAATACATACCCACATCGTCAAGGTGCGATGTGACCCGACCGCGGACGACATGGAGGACCGCAGCGACCGTCTCGTCTCGTCCCCCTCACATCATGTCGCCTTCCGTGAAGGCGGGACAAGCTCGATGAAACTGTCGTTGACGAACAAGGCGCCGGATCCAGTTGTCTTCCAGGTGCTCATCACCGATTCGACTGTGCGTACACAAGCTGGTCTTCGTGGACTGTCACTAATCGTCCCAGATTGTTTCTGCGAAACCCAACGCAGGCATGATAGGCTCGGGATGGACTACCAAGGTCACCCGTGAGTCAAGCAGTTTACATGTTATGAAGGTTGGCTCACCGCTGTTCAGTTAGTTGTGTTCGGTGGGAGCGCTTGACAGAGATATCTCGACGGCAACTGGACACTGTCAAGCTGCGAATTGTCTTCACCGTCCTACCCCGCGACAAGATCATACGGCGCGACGATAAGAAGGCCATCCGCGCATTCGTACGTCCCCTCTTCCTCCATCCCCTATGACCTCCCCACTCAACCCACCCCCTAGATCGCCCTCCAATCCCTCGGTGTGCAGTACAAGACCCTCACCCTGAGCACGGACCCCCTCGCGGGCAAGCCAGCAGTGGCGCACATCGAGGAGGCCGCAGCTGACGCAGCAGCAGACAACTCCGACGAGGACGAAGAGGAGGAGACCTTCGTCCTCTGCCCTGAGAAGCTCAAGCGGGAGGACAACAGCGCGGACGAGGCGACGCTCGTCAACTTCGACAGTCAAGCACCCCCGCGGCGCAGCAGCAGCGGCGGCCTGATGCGCAGATTCACGGCGTGTTTCTGCAGGCCGTGCGCGTGTCCGAGTTGACCATGATTGGAGAGCGCCACCGACGCGTCTGATGTCGAAGACACGGGTGGCATAGATGTGATGCTCTGTATTTTTTCCTTTTCCGTGATCCCTCCCTCCTTGTTTTTGTCAGGACCCAGATACCATTCATGTTGTACAACAGTAATAATCGGGATCGGCTTTTCTTCGCATTATGCATGGGTCGATGATATAGCCACTTCGCGGATCTGGCGCTCATGCATTATAGCATCTGCGTTTCCGAAGATCCCATCCGCCGTCTCGATGTCGTCGAACCAATTGTCCAGGGCAACGTAGTCGTGGAGTGCGACGTACACGATGCGCCTCAATACATGCGACGGTAGTCCAGGGTATACTCTCGTGGCAGCGTTGGGGTCGACACTCTGTGAGGCGACATCGAAATCAAGCAATTCCGCGAGAACCAGCACGCTCAGGCGGTGATGAATTTCGAAGAGTCTGAGGATGTCGTCCTCGACCCAGCGCGTACGATCGATGTGGAATGCTAGGTGGGTGAGGTTGCGACAAGTAGAAAGGCCGAGAAGCATGGCGCTGTCGCAATCAAACGCGAGGACACTGAGGTGAGTTAGGGTATTGAAAAGGGGCAGTTGGCCAGTTGAAGACAAGACAGGCCGCAGAGCGTCCAGCGATAATACCGATAAAGAACGTATGGGAAGATGAGAGACGAAGGTAGGCACACGGTTATTTCTGAGCTCGCCGGGATTGAGTTCGGGCTGCCAGAGGGCTACCTCCTCCAGCTGCGTGGCGTACTGGCAGAACGCGTCTTCGTCGTCATCCTCAGGGAGGTCCCAGATAAGTACTGCGCGAGCGTCCGAGTATCTGTGTGGGCGAGTTTGCAGAGCATCCCCGGCCTTGAACGGAAATCCATGCCGGAGAGCGCTATCGTATCCAACGGCATGGCGGATGATGGCGACGCGGTATAGCTCAACTTCGACCCTTCGTAGATGTGTCAGTACCATGCATCTGCTGGGCTAGGAAGACAGGCGCACCATTCCTTCACTCGCGACGCAACACATGCTAGAGTCGCTGCAAGAGGCCGATGGAGCTGCACGGCTAGCTCGAAGATGATGCGCTCAAGCTCTGGTGGCAGGCGAGGACTATCGCGATTCATCGAGCGCGCTTGCGCGCTTGTCGATGGATTGGTGATGAGTGCAGGAAGATGGATTGGTGATGAGTGCAGGAAGAGAACGTGTCGAAGACGTGAGGGTCTGCCGTTACCGAAGTCACGATGGTCCCTTGTACGCAGGTGCTCATGACGGAGGGTGATCGGGGAGGGTAGGAAGAGATACAGTCCTCCGCAGCCGGCATGCACCAACGATTGAGGGCATGAAGGGAAGGAAGGAGGGGCCTCTGAATCTGATGGTTGTACTTGAACTTTCCACTGAATGATCACGTGAAAAGTTGAACTTCGACAACCTGCTCCGAGTTGACTGGTACCACTGCGTCTGAGATCTGAGGCCGAAGCGCCGAAGTTTAGGGAGATAGAAGCTACTCGTTCGTACAGCAGTGGTAACTCGGGATCCGTCTTTCCTTGGTGTCAGGCATCACTGTTCTTCGTCGCCAGCGATGCCGCCACCTCGCGATCCTGGCGCTGTCGCATAATAGCATCTGCGCGCCCGAAGATCCCCTGGGACCCCTCAACGTCGTCAGTCCAGGCATCAAAATTGAAGAAGTCGGCGAGCGCGATGCGGACGATGCGCTGCAGAATATGCGAGGGTAGGCCGGGGTACAACAGCGCAGCAACGTCTGGGTCAACGGCTGGCGAGGTGGGATCCGATGGAGTGAATCCGCCGTCTGCAAGGACCAGTACTTGCAGGCAGCGGTGAGCTTCGAAGATGTCGACGAAGTCGTTCTCGGAAAAGAGAGCAGGGTCGAAACTGAACGCGAGGTGGGTAAGGTTGCGACAGGAGGAAAGGCCGAGTAAGATGGATTTGCCACAGCTATTCACGAGCACGCTCAAATGGGTCAGGGTATCGAAGACCGGAAGGTTGTTGGCGGTGTGTAGCAGAGGTTCCAGCGCCACTCGCGTCATGACCGATAGTTTGCGTACGTTTGCAAGACGGTAGACGAAGGAAGTCAAGACGTCCTCTGCATCGTCATCTCTGGGCTCAGGATGCCATAGGGCGACCTCCTCTAATTGAGTTGCATGCTGCATGAAGGCGTCCTGATTCGAAGGAGGGTCCCAGATGAGTATTGCGCGGGCATCCGAATATCTATGTGGGCGAGTTTGCAATGCGAATCCAGCTTTCATGGGGAATTGATGTATGAAGGGCACCTGCAAACTGCCATCGCGGAGGACTGCGACGCGGTACAACTCGGCTTCGACCCTTGCTGAACGTCAATAAACTGTGATACTTATGCAAAAGTATACTGACCAGTCCTTCACCCGCGAGGCAACACGAGCCAGAGTCGCCGCAAGGGGTCGATGTAGCTGGACGGCGACTTCGAAGATGATGCGCTCGAGCTCTGGCGGTAGGCGAGGGCTATCGGGGTCCATCGCGAGCGCAGTTGATAAGTGATGATGAGCGCAGGAGGAAAGTGCGAACACGCGTCGAAAACGTGAAGGCCTGCCATCACCAGAGGCCGTGAGTGGTGCCCATTCCTTGTACTCGAGTGCCCATGATGGCGAGTGTCCGAGGAAAGAAAAGAGAATGGCCCTCCATATTGGCTATCCACCAATGATTGGGGGCACGAAAGGAGGCGTCTTTGAGTGTTGGACTGTCCAGAGTAACGATCACGTGAGGGTTGGGTACCAACCGAGACCTTGTGCAACGCGATCGCGAAGACTTGGCATGAACGACCAATGGGAGGGAGAAAGCTACGTGCAGAGGTTCGAGAACACTGACGGAAGCTTCTTCGCATTATGCGCCCGCCCCTTCTCCGCGTACCTTTTCCGTTATCTTCGGGAGATGAAAGTACGGCAAGCTGTCCGACATGAGTGGAAGACTTCGAGCCTCGTGTAAGTCGAAGACCTAGGTTGGAACGAATAGCTAGCTCGTCGCCGGCCTCGCTTCGCCGTCACCGCGTATGGCTGTAAGGAGGCCAACGCGTTGCCTCATTCTGCCTGTGCGGTAGTGATCATCGGCGAATAGCAGTCAATTGAAGGGAAGAGGAGGCGAGGGAGAACGAGACTCAGAAAGCACTCGAATACGCCGGCCGGATGGGCCCGCATGGGCGCGGCGTGAGCGAAAATGTCACAGGCCCAATTGTTGGCCGCCGACTCTGTGACGAGATCACTGCCACTGATCAGCGCAACACGGCGCGTGCGACGACCTTAACCAAAACCTTCATAGGCTGCAATCCGCAAGACGGCGGCGCCTTTCATCGAGCCCGTAGCGACCGACGTCGACGGCGATCTGTGCGAGGCCAGGAACTGCGCGAGGGTGATGACGTTTGCGTGAGGTGAGCTCCAATTCGCAATACCCGCTCGCTTTCTTCCGGCTGTGCAGGTCGTGCAAGCGGCGCTCGACGCGGCCCGTATTCCATTCTCGATCTTCCCTTTCGCTCTCTTCCCTTTCTGTCTGGGTTGCTTAGCATTGTATCACTAGCTGACCGTGCTTGATGTCTTCCACTGGCGATTCGACACCCACCACCGACCCTACCTCGACGCCCGCACCCACCGACACTAACTCTGATACGCAAACCGCCTCTGCGACGGAAACATCATCCGAATCCGACTCTCCCACCGCCACCACTACCGACTCCCCTACTGACTCCCCCACCGACACCTTCACCGCATCTCCCACTGAAACGACCTCTGACACGGGCACTATGTCATCCACCGACGACGCATCCACAACAGAGGCCACAGAGACCAGCACCTCACCGTGAGTCGCCTGCGATAGGGCATCTGCCGGTGCTGATGTGTGCCCAGAACCCAGACAACCTCCGAGGCGGAGACAACAAGCATGTCGGAGACCTCCACTGAGTCCCAGACGGAGACAGAGACGTCGCCGACGAGGACGTCAGAAGACGCGACGACCACAGACGCGACTACCACCGATGCAACGACCACGGACGCGACTACTACGGACGCTACCACCACGGACCAAACCACCACAGAACCGACCACTACCACAGATCCCCCCACGACCACCACAGACCCTCCCACCACAACCACAGAGCAGACGACCACAGAGCAGACCACGACTGAAGAGCCTACCACCACTGACGATTCTACGACCACCGACCCAACCACCACTGAGGGCACTACCACCACCGAGGATACTACCACGACGGATGGCGCCACTACCACCCAGGATCCCGTCACTACAACTCGTCGCACGACCGTCACCGACTCAAACGGCCAGACCACGACGTCGGCCGCTGATGATGATGGGACAACGATGACCGCGACCCGCACTGAGACGACGGCGACGCCCCAGTTGACTGGCTCTAATGTTATTACCACAACACTGCAGACCACAGTCGTTGTCGTCACCACCAACTCGGAAGGGTCAGTCACAACATCGACGCCGTCATTCGTGACCTCCACTGCAACCACGACGAACTCTCAGGGCGAGGTTCTCACCGTCACCCAGATTGGAGCAAATCCTCCATTGAATACGGGTTCGGGTGGGGGCAGTGGTAATGCATTCTTCCGCAATACGGGTGCGGTGGCTGGTGTCTTCGTCTGCGTTGGCTTAGTGGTGGCCGCCATGGTGCTCTTCCTTATCTTCTTCATCCGCAAGCGGAGACGTACGCGGCGTCTCGAGCACGATACTGCCGTGCAGGCGACGCTCGCTGCCGCTGGTCTAAAGCGGCAGCCGCTCGATGACGATGACGAGGAGAACATGCACCAGAGCTCGGGCTTCGGCGCGTCTACGCAAAACTCGCAGTTGCGGAACGACTCGCGCACATCTGCCTCGCTCCTCGGTGGTGGCCTTGGTTCCGAGCCAAGGGATTCGTTCTATAACGCCTTCGATAACACTGCCTACGCCGTTCCACCGCAGAATAGGGTTCCCAGCCCTCCTCCGGGTGCAATGCGCGGCGCGTCGCCGTCAGCAGCATACAACGAGCCGGTCGGACCACAGCACGAGCGCGGCCAGAGCTCGGGCGACTTCATGGCTGGTCATTCGGCGAGTGGGAGCTACGAGCCGCTGATGGCCAGCTACTGGCGTCAGCAGGACCGCGAGGCAGACGACGAGCCGCTGGCAGGGGCGACCTCATTGGCAGTACCGGGCACCAGTACGCCGCCTCGTTTGAATGTCCCTTCACCTGGTACACCGCCTCCGCCAATTCCTGCCCGCAATCCGCGGCGAAAGACGGAGACCGGCACCCCTGGAGAGGACGAGCCAGCAGATGACGCGAGCAGGTACTCGACGGATAGCACGGACGATCGGTAAGTTTCATTCTGGCGGCGAGAAATATATGTTTGAGCTCACTGGATCCCTGTAGTCTCAACCCTGCTCGCAGGGCGTCGCAAGACTTGCGTGATGAGGCGGACTACTCACGTCCGGTGCTTGCTGTTCGGAACGCGTCTATACGGTCCTCCAAAGAAGAGGGCGAGTAGCCGCTGCCCTCAGTGGTTAACGGTTCTACATGCACGTGTATAACGACTCCAGGTCGGGCACTCAAGCGGGAAGGGACGGACCAAAAGCTTTGATAGTCGCTATTGTTATCCGGTTTCCTTGGACTCTTTCTCGACCGGGGCGGCCTTGGTCCCGGTCATGCACATATGTTGACGGTCTTGGACTCCCTACCCTTGTGTATTCTTCACCAGCTCTCGCTTGGCGTGCCCACTGTACGATTGCTTTCTAGTATACAATTATCTATGGTTTTCTTCGGCACTCACTCACGCATCACTCATCCCACTCCTTTACATCCTCCCACTGACGGTTCATCACACCTGGCTGGGCGGCAGGCATGCTATGTCCGGCGGCCCAGCCAGTACTTACACACACGGCATACTTGCTTCAGTTATTTGGTAGTTGTAGTAGTATACTTGGCTCGCGCGCATTGCTCGCCCTAGACATTGTTATGTAGATTGTGGCTGTCACCTAGTGGCAGTAATGCGTTCTTCGTATCTGCTGAATGCTATACCCTCCATCGTCTGCGCTGTCCCCCGCGTGGAACAATGGACTTGTGGGTGCGCAGTTGTGGGTCCATCTGCGTCACTTGCCCGGAATAGACAACCGAGCATGAACGCGTCCGACGCTCGGGGAACAAGCGACGTGTTCTGGCCTCATCTTCGACACCCTTTCACCGCCTAGGCTCGCTTCCCCTCTGTCTCCCCTCGAAGCTCTGAGAGCGCGGTCATCACCTTCACGTACTTGCCGTGCGCAATAACGCTCGTTTGCTTCGAACCACGTACGCATCGTCCACGACACACCGGTCCTGATCGACTGCGCTCGACTTCCGGGTCTCTCCTCGACGATGCTCTCGTACCTCCTCCTGCGCCTGGTGCACTTCGTCTACTTTATTTGCTTGATAGTCAAGAGTAGATGGAGGCATTTCCGAAGGCGCATCCCCCTACCACTGCAGGCACCTAGGGATCGGCTTCCTAAGCATCTTGCTGTACTGCTGACCGTGGATCCCTCTGCTTCGGAAAAGCTCGCGGACGACCCGCGCGCTAAGGAGAGACTCGAGGAGGCGATCATAGAGACCGTCGAGAGCACCGTCAAGTGGTGTAGGATGCTTGGCGTCCCTCGCTTGACGATCTACGACCGTGAAGGTGCGAGGTTGCTTTCCTGCATGGGGGCCTATACTCATTCATGCTCAGGAAGAGTGCAAGATATGTCCTCTGAATTGCAGAAGCGCATCCTCTCCGTGCATACCCTCCCAGAAAACTCGTCGAGTGAGACGGAAGCGGACTACCTGCTTACTCCCCCACTATCCGAGCATGACGACTCTCGGCCTATATCTCCCATAGAAGAGATCACCTCTGGTGCCGTGCATGTTACGAAGTTCCGCATCCCTGAGATTCAGAAGCCCCGACCTTCCACCAAGGGCCTGAAGCATCGTCAGCAGTCCAGTAAGTGGGCTGTTGATGACTGCGTCTGAAGCTAATAAAGCATAACTTCTTCCCAGGTGATGGGGACAAGCGCTCGCTGCAGCAGCTGCAGGATCTGCCCGCCCTCGATATCTGTATCGTAGACCGTCGCGTTTCGAAGGCCATGCTCGCAGAAACAGCCACAGAACTCGCCGTCAATGCACGGACGTCTGCGCACGAATCTTCCAGCACATCGCTCGACCTATCTATAGCGGAGCTGAATACCATGATTGAGGGTAAGGGGAGAACTCGCCGTGAATCCGCGTATCTGACACGCTTGTTCTATAGGGAAGTACGGCCTCTCAGAGCCGGACTTCATGATTGTGCACCCGCTCACGCCACCGAAGAGTAGGGCGGAGCCGTTAGAGCTACACGGATTTCCCCCGTGGCAGATACGCCTGACAGAAATATAGTGAGTTCGCGTCCCTCGTGAGCTCGGCGAGTGGGCTCTGCGGCTATACTTCAGTGACTGACCAATACGTACAGCTACGACCGCTATCGTGTACGCAGGACGATACGCGATTGGGGGGAGGCTCGCTTCATACCCTTAGATGAGAACACTTTCCGGAGCGCCCTCGACCAGTTTGCGGGGGCTCAGATGCGGTTTGGCAAGTAAGGACGCTGGATCATGGACATTGCATAGTACAACAAGTGTATGGATGGACGCTACGCATATCACTAATATCCCCGGACTCCTCATCTCGCGCCTACTGGGTAGGATTGTGAAGGACGCCATGTCTCATACTGTTAAGCTGTCCGAAATGGACCTTCTCTAATGAATAGACGGTCGATGAAGCTGATCTGCGCGATTCTCGGTGGTAGAAGTTGCTATAGTGGGTAAGTCGGTATTGAGTAAAGGACGCGCCCCCTTCAGTCAGCATACGCGATCGGCGGGCCGAGAGGTATTGCTCCCTGTTGCTCTGAACCTCCATCTCCGTGAACGAACCGCAAACTATCCATTCGATTGCTTCGCGAGGCCTCTCGAGATTAAGCACGCATAGGAAAAAGTAACTGAGGGATTCTCTAGAGGATCTCTTCACACGGATCGAGGCGCATATAACGAGAGACCATGAAGGTTACGGACAAGGAGTCGGACAAGAAGAAGAGCAGCCTTTCCTGCGCAGAATGTAGGAGATCAAAGATAGCGGTGCGTATCTCAGCTTATGGAAACATACGTCTGGCTCACAGAACGTGTATCTTGCAGTGTGACAGGTGAGCTGCGCGCCACACGCGGTTCATTCAAAAGTAGATCCTCACCTGGGTACTAGGGTATTCCCTTGCCAGTCGTGCATTAAGTGCGTTCATAACCCACTGTCCTTGCACATCGCTAAGCTTACTTAGACGAGGATGCGCCTCCCTATGCCCTAATGGTGAGTTGCACTGCCGATCGTTGATGAAGGAGATGTATACGAGCTCTAGCGCCCAGGCACCATGCCAGCGACGAAGGGCAATAAGTGCGTCGTCTTCCTCTGCTCATCGCCGCCGCAGTCTGACGCTGATCCCATAGAGTCCTCCTCGCTCACTCGCAGAAGCTTGGGGAACACGTCAAGTCCCTTCAGAACCGCGTCCGCGAACTCGAAGCCGCCCTCGCCGCTTCTCGCGATGATCACCCCCTCCTTCAACCCGAGCAGCTGCCAGGGACGTCTACGGATGACGACGTCCAGCGCGTGACAAATGCTATAGGAATGCTTTCCATCGGCGCAGATGGGCAAGCACGATACCAGGGTGATAGCGCGCAGTCGGAGTTCATCTCGGGCATTCTCAATGAAGATGACTACGATACCGTCAACATATATTCGTTGGGCCTACCCGCAGAGATCATCGACCTCGTCAATACCTTCCCTTTCGGCCAGAAGACCCCGTCATGCACGAAAGACGTGTTCTTGCCGTGGTTGCCACCGCGAGAGCGCGCGGTTCAGATGGCTCACCTGTTTTACCAAAGGGAGGCCTGGATGTACGTCCTCCATCCTCCACTGACTATGCTCATGCCAAATACGATTCTCATAATCTTCCAGGTTCTGCCCTATAACGGAGAAGGACTTCCATGCGTCCGTGCTACAACCCCTATACGAAAACGCCGGGAAGAAGTCCCTGTGCTCCTTCCACGCCCACAAACTAGCGCTCTTCTTCGCACTCATCGGAATTGGCGCGCTGTTTGACAAGGGTGACAACGCCGCAGGACCACGAGCGCATCAGTACATTTACCTCAGCCGCGCGGCGGTTGCCTTCCACTCAATGTTGCAGGAGGCCACCTGCGCGACGGTACAGACTATCTTTTTGCTGGTTCGGTTCATATATCGGGCGGAGCAACAGAGGAAGAACGAAGAGCGATGGGTTCTTTGTGGCTTGTGCTCGAGGTTGGCGTCTATTGTGAGCGATTCCTAACTTCTGAGTAAACGAAAAAACTGACTTGAACTTAGATTGGACTGCGTGAGTCGCACGAAAATTCTAAGCCCTTCCTTCTCACCGCTGACCATACGAAGAACGAGACTCCGCGGGGTGGGAGCTTGATCCAGAAGAGGTTGAGCGTCGAAGGTTGATGTTCTGGGAATTGTACATCTACGAGACGTCGGCAGTAGGTCTAGTTGTAAGATATACGAACGCGTGCTAACTCCTTCTGTGCAGGCTCTGGCATACGGACGACCACCAGCTCTCATGATACAGCACGCCGACACCAAATTCCCTGCCGACTGGGAACGAGAATCAACTCCCGATGGCAGTGCCACGCCGGACAAGGACGCGCAGAACATCAGCTTCCATGCCTGGAAGCACCGATGGGCTGCAACTGTCTTGTCCCATGTTGCCATGCATATCTTCTCGACGCGTTCTCCGTCGTACAAGGCGGTCCTCGAGCTCGACAAGCGGATCCGCAACTTTCCGATACCACCGCATTTGCGTTCGCCCGCTGTGTATCCTGTACCGGCTGGGTGTGCATGGGCGGAGGATGGGACGAAGGCGATGCAGCAATTCTGTGTTGTGACAATGCTGCAAGGGCGTGAGTAGTCGTTCGGACCCTATTTGCGACCGCACACTGATAACATACACAGACTTGTTGTACATACACAGAAGCTACGCTGGGGCTGCGTTACGAGCAGAAGGGGATCCTCTGGCACATGCCTTCGCGCCCTCGGTTCTGGCTGTGTACCGGTCTTCCTGTCAGATAGTAACCGGCATAAAGGATTTAATGGGGAAGCACCAGGAAATGCTGGCTGAGTGCTGGTTTTTCTGGAGTCTGCTCTTTTCCTCATGCGTGCGTTCTGTCTTCTATGGCATCAAGCCGAGGCTGACGAAGTGTGCATAGATGGTCTTGGCGACTATTGTCATCGAGGCTCGCGAGAGCTCTCTAGCCGCGGAAGCGCTGAAGTATCTGGAGACTGCCGCCCCACTATTTGAGAAGGGTTCATTGATGTGCAGACCACCGGCTACCGAGGTGAGCCTTCCGACTTATTGTCTTTGACTCGCGCTCATATAGTTTTCGACAGTTGGTCACCGGGAAGATGCTGAGCGTCGCGCGACGGTACTACAATCGCGAGCTGGAGTCTGTGGACGAGTCGACGAAACAGGAGCTTTGCTTGCTAGGCTTACCGCCTTCCATGCGGGTTGTGCGAAAGGACGGCAATAGCTCCGGAAATTCATCTTCACGAGGATCGTCACAAGAGGCGGAATTGTATGCAGCCTTCGCAGGCACAACGAACGGGCAGGGCAAGTTTCAACATGATTTGTCGAATGTCAACCTCGATCAGTCAACAAACTTCGACCAGTCGGCAAACTTCTTCGCTGGGATGGACCTCAGCATGGACATGGCGAACTGGCAGATTCCGGACGCGACGTTGCGCCAGGAGGGGAACCCAAACTTTGACCTGTCGGCCGCGGGCAATGGGCTCAACAACTACGGCAGCAACATGCCACCTGGTATCGACCAGCTCATGTTCGGCCAGCAGGGGTGGAATGGCGCGTCGTCCGACGCTAGGACCTTCCACCAGGGCCCGACGGATGTGGGTTCGTTGGCGGGGATGGGTAGCGGGCTGGGCATGTTCTCGGATATGCCGCTAGGCATCGATCTGGTCATGGGGATGGGGTCGGGGAGCAGCATGGGCTCAGGCAATCCCTCGAGTAGGGATAGTCCTGGCTCGATGGGCTCTGGGTCCTCGCCATATGGTGGGTTAGGCAGTGGTGGGACGCCGTCAAGTGGGTCGTCGTCCTCCGGGCAACAGCACTACGACCCGAGGATGGCGCAGTACGATGTTCAAGGACTGTATAACATTTCTCCCGCGGCTGGCTCGCACGATAATATCGCCTGGGGTGCTCAGACCGGGAGGCAGGGGCAAGGACAAGGACCCTCGGGATTTATGTAGAAAAAGTCACTTACCGTGTATTATATGAAGAAGGAGTCCTCGGTGCATGGTGAAGGACGAAGGAATAATGAGGAGATGAATGTTGATCGCTCACTTATATGCACTCAAGTGTCCTGCAGGGAGCGCGCGAGGTCCGACTCGGAAACCAGATTAGCCTGTCCGAAGCGCATTCGGGCAGTCCGATTCGGACATCCCTTGCCAATGCTATGGCCTTTTGTGGCTTGTCTGGATTCGGTCCACGGGACGCACGCGGCAGTACCTGCCTTATAAAGAAGACCAAACAGCGTTCGCGAGCTCTTGCGGAGGACGCGGCACGCCGCGTGTCGGAGCGCAGGCTTGCTCAGAACCTATCGCTTGTCGCGTCAGCTGCTACCTAGGGTATCGTAGACAAGCCGGCCCAGAGCACCGTGGGCAAGCCCCCTGACCGTGCGACCTTGCAGGAACAATGGACTCCTGATAAGGCAAAATGTGGCGTCGAGTGCTAATTGATGGGGTACTGACGAGGAGCCATTGTCGTCACCGCCATCGCGTCGACAACGGCGAGCGCGTTCCCCTCGTTCCCCCGGCGCTGTTCATGCCTAGTGCTCACCAATGACCGTACGGGATCTTGTCCAGCAGTACGAGCGCGCCTCGACGCTCGAGAGGCCGCCTACATCATCCCGTACGATGTCCAGCACTCGTTCATCCAGCCTGGCATCAAGCAGCCGATCCGCTAACTTATCCCCACCTCCTCCCTCTCCCGCTCGCTTTATACGACAACCTAATGCTTCCCGTAATCCTCATCGCAATTCCAGTGCTTCTGGATCTACCTTGCTTTCATCTGCTACGACGCTCACGACCTCTCACGACAATAACGACAACTCTCGTTTAGCACCGGAACACACTGCTGACATTGCGGACACCAACACTGAAAGCTCAATCACGCTACGAGATACCGTTCCAAGGACGACCTCACCGCCTCCGTATTGGGACGAGGAGGCGGAGAAGGATGAACTGCTCGAGAAGTCATCCCCCATCCTCGAAGACGTCAAGTCCCCCCTCTCCCCTCCCTCGACCAGCCGACGCGTCACCTACCCTCACTTTCCACCTCACACCCCCGTGCCCTCGTCCCAGCTCTTCGCCGAGGATGCTGCACCGCTGCACCTTCCCCGACTGGATCAGTACCTGACCACGCTCCAACCACCCACGTTCGTGAACATGAAGGGAAAGGAAGATTCCATGTTTCCACCCATGGACAAGCTGGCTGCTTCGGAGCGAACTCTAGAAGATCTCGAAACCAATACGACCGTGGCACCGTTCTGGAGGAATCGCACGACCATTCTGGGTGCCGCGCTCAACATCATCGTTGGGTTCACTGTGCGCTTATGCTTCATGTTCTGTCGCTCTTCAGTTACTGAAAATATCTGTAGGGCTCTAGCGCCCTCGCGTCGTACTATAGCTTGCAGGGACTCATCAATACGGCCCAGATCTTCGCCTTGATCCTCAACACCATAGGTATGTTTTCGCGATGAACGTCAAATTCTTACTGACTCTCCGAAGCTCCCGTCGGAGGTTATGACCGTGTTGGGGAGAAATGGAAGGGCCTCTTTCTGGGTACTATGTACGTCCTGGCCACTCCTTGTTTACCCTTTCGCTCTGCTCACGACACGTAGACCCAACTTCCTCGCCCTCAACTTTGCCTCGACGCTCACCGAGTCCATCATATTCCTGCTCGCCTTCATGGTCATAACTTCCATCCTACTCTTCTACTTTCACCGACAGACCCGATGCTGTGATCGCTATGTCGCTCTCGAAGGTCTCCAGTCAGAGGATCCAGGAAGTCGCTGGGGCGTTCTGATCGTGTCCTTTCTGCTCACGGTTATCTATCTTCCTCTCAGCACCATCGCCGTTCACGTTCTGATTTGGTCCGATGACCTCTGGGTCAATGGGAACCCATATGGCAACGTTACCGGGACACCTCTGGAGCTGCCGTCACTGGGTCCAGCTAGCGAGTTCCGGGAACCGCTGGACTTCTGCTGGACGACGACGATGAAGAAGAACGAGATCAACTATGCGCCTGTTGTCATCATCTTGGCGTTGATTGTGGTTGTCTTTGTACGTCTGACTTCGTGAGCCAGGACTTACATCTGCTGATCTGTGTTGCAGTTAACCATCTGGTTCCCGATATCCTTGCGGCGCGTCATAAAGCAGTCGGTACCAAAGGTCGATCATTACACCGAACTGGGCCGCAAGCGCAACTCCGTCGAGATGGACAGCGAATACAGGCGCCTCCTCGCCCGCGACAACAACCCCTTTGCATTCCTTTACTCTGGTAAGTCTCCCTCTCTCCATCCCACCCTCCGCCTTTTCCACTTAACCCCGTATCTAGCTTTCCGCCGCAACTGGGGCACCTACCACGCCATGTACCACTTCGCCAAGCTTAGCACGCTCGTCATCACCGCAGTCTTCGCCAATGACAACTGCCTCTTCCGCTCCGTCTCGCACACGACGATCCCCATCGTGCGACAAGTCTTATTGCTATCGACGACGGTGGCGTTCTTTGGCGCGCAGTGCCTGTACGCTCCGTTCTTGGACCCGGTGAACAATGCGAGCGAGTGGATCTCGAGGTTGAACTATATCACGACGAGTGCGGTGGCGCTTGCAATTCGGCTCGATGCTCCGGGGAAGGAATTTTTGAACAGCTATGTACTTTACGCGTAAGTTAACTCGGTTGTTGCTTAACTGTAGGGCTAACTAACGGGCCTTCGACAGGATTTACATCCTAACTTATGGCCTAAGCATCTGTGAGTCGAAAGTACCCCTTGAAATGTGAAAGCGCTAACGTTCTTGCAGATTTCACGTTGATCAGCTTCCCCTTCGTCCAGACATGGGTCAAGCGCTGGACTCGCCGCATCGACTTCAGTGAGTTCCTCCGCATGTTGAATCCTTCTTTTCGCTGAACATACCTTCTAGGTATCGATATCTTCTCCCCTCAGTATGTCCTCTGTCGCCACGTACTACTATATATTGACCCATACTCCAGTCTGGACCTCACGCCCTTCTCCTTGCATGCGAAGAGGAGGATCTGGCAAGAGTCGATCTCCACCTTGCTCCTCACCAACCCGCAATGCCGGATCCCGGCGAAGCAAAGGATGATGTTTGCTGAGGGCCGAAACTCGGAATACCCGCCATACCTGCTGGACTTCGAGGGTACACCAGGCGAACGGCATGTGGAGAACTTGAAGGCATGCACTAGTGATGAGCGCCTCTCGTCGGTGATACTGACACCAGCCATGCAGATCCTTCGCGAAGAGGGCATAATGGCCTACCGTCGCGCCGTCACACTCACCACCGGACCCGACAGCCCTCGATTCTTACACCTGCGCGACCTCATCCAGCAGTACTTCGTCGGGCCCGACTGCTACTGGAAACCCTCAAGCAAGAACCAGATCGTCAACTGCAAAGCGCACTTCGGCAACGCGTGGTGGATACCCTTCCCGCCGACGCTGGTTATTCGCTACGATGAGGGCCCGCTGGCCGTCATTCGCGAGCTGGCCGACTTCGAGGAGTATATTCAACAGAATTCGAGCCCGGATATCAGGCGGAGGAGGCATGTGCGGTTGTGTTTGCGTGCGCTGGAGGGGCAGACTGTCCGGTGGCCGTACGAGTATGTTACGGTGAGCGCTTCCCCGAATCACTGTGAGCTTTCAACTGATTGCGTCCATCTAGCCCATCGGCTCTGCCGGCTACTGGTGTTGCTCAAGCACTCGCTACAAAGCACAACACACGCAGCACTTCCATCAATGCCAGCTGCAAATTGGCCATCACGGCCATCTCAAGTTCAAGAAGCACCAGCTCGGCAGCGGGTTCGACGTCAAGCTCAAGTTCTCCAAGAAGGTACAAACCACCGGTGCAGTCATCGGGCTGGACGAGGACTTCGACTTGACCCCGTCCCTCGCGCGCTTTCTCGCGATGAACGAGGACAAGATCGACCTTCGGCTGCGCGAACTGGAGAGCACGATCGAGGAGTACCGACAGCATGCGCGTGCGGAGTGCAGGTGGAAGGAGGAGGTGCTGACGTACCGATTCCTTGCGTTTGTGTATGATCGGCCGCAGGACCCGTCAAGGTTGGCGGAGAGCTCGATATTGCATGAGCGGGATTTGAGGGTGCGGCAGTTGATGGCGGGGAGCGAGGGTGTGTTTGAGACGGCGTATGAACGCTTGGAAATCGTCACCTCCAGCGAGGCTGCGTGCTGGTGGTACATCTTTTGGGTGCGTTCATAAAGCTTGCTGCATCAGGTGCATCATGCTCATGCCAAGCAGGATGACTTCTGGAGACGAAACCGGGACGCGGTCAAGGCGCTCAACACACACTCGAAGGATTTCAACCCTCATTACCCGACGTGTGTGGCGTACACGCCGCTCGCACGACCGGTGCTGGAGTCTTTCCTCATCCAGAGGGGGTTGATGTCGAAGCCAAGACGTCGGAGCGACCTCTTTCATTCTGGGTTCCTCAATAAGTTATATTTGCGGCTGAACGAGACCGTCTTCCACGATACGAATAGGGTACGTACCCCACCTTGATTTGTTCGCCCTCTATACTGACATTCATCTGCAGGCAATCATGTTCCACTATGGCCATGGCGGGCATGAACTCGAGATGACCGATGTCGACCTGGAGACCCAGGGGAAGCCTTCCACCATTGGCACAGGTGGCGGAACGGACCACGACCTGGCAGACATCCGTGTGCGACCTGCGTACCGGTGGGAGGAGCTTCTCGGTGACCCAGTGCGCGCCGACGGGAGATGGCGGCGCCGCTGGGTGTCCAGAATCGGTGCTTGGCTGGGTTTGACGCCGTTGTGGCTCGCCGAGTCACAGTCGGAAGGACTTTCGGTGGACGTAAAGTTGGAGGAGGGACGCTACGTGCTCGTCGAGCCGGACAATCGGACAAGTAAGGAGCGTAGTCGGACTGTGTACTAGCGTGTAGGACCTTCCAGTAAATACGGTGTTCCGATTTGCTGCCTTCCTCGCGCACATGCGCGCCACGCGGGGGTGATAGATGGCGGGGGTTGATGAAAGCGGCTGTTTGCTTGTTGCCAAACGCCTTTATGTCGCCCGCCTGCCTTCGCCGCCCCTGCCTGCGCTGCTGCTCGCTGTCACCCATTCTGGCTTGCGACCCTTAGACTGCGACCGCCATGTCGGCTAGCGAAGACAGCCCGAAGCCTCGGCCCATCCTCGCTCCCCTGCAGCCTGTCGATCGAGAGGACCCCATCGAGCGACCGCAGTGGACAGACGACGAGGACGGGAGTGATGAGGATGATATCTATCGCGGATCCCGGCCCCCCTCACCGACGGGTAGTGCGAAGAGCTCGAGCTCGTCGTCTTCGTCGTCATCTTCATCCTCGTCTTCCTCAAGTTCCTTCTTTGGAGGCGGTCGTCTCGGTACCCTCGCTGCTGTCCTTGAGCACTCTATTGCTCGATGGGCACGCAGAGGGACGGGCGGCGGCTCTGATACGTCGTCGTCGGGGAGTTCCTCGTCCTCATCTTCCTCCTCCTCCGACGGCCGATCACACCGTACTCGCCGCCGGCGACGCCGTGGGCGCTCCTCGTCCACACTCACGCTCAGCCGGGCGACGTCCGAACAGGACATCCTCACCCGTATAACCCAGATTAAGGCGCGAGAGGAAGCGCGCCAGATACCCCGTGCATTCTCATTATACCTCCCCCCTTCGCTCGCGGATCCCCCTTCGCGGCGCAAGGCCGCTACGACGACGCCCGCGCCACGAATTACGACGACATCCTCATTGCAGACCATTCTCGGACAACTTGACGTTGCGATCAAGCGCTCGGGCAAGGCTCGTAGGCGCGCGCGCAGGCCGGATGGATACCAGGACTACATGATGCCGGAGAGCAGTGCAAGTCGCACACATTCGCCTTCCCCTCGGCCGTTCAAGGGCAAGGGCAAACAGAAGCAGTCAGCAGCGGCATCGGCGGCAGCATCAGCAGCAGCGGATTCTCCCCTCCCCTTGCCACTTACGGCGCCGCCTAAAGCTTGGTTTCTGGACGTTGCTTCCCCCACCTGGCGAGACCTTCAGGCTATAGGAAAGGTGCGTGCGAAACTTCCGTCAAATCGAAAAGCTTTTGACCCCTGCGCACAGCTCCTCCACCTTCACCCTCTCACGCTCGAGGATATCCTGCAACAAGACCCGCGCGAGAAGTTCGAGCTCTACTCCAAGCTCGGCTACCACTTCATCTCCTTACGCACGATTGAGACGAAAGCCCAACGCCAGGACAGGCGAAAGAAGGCTCCCTACTTCGCGCACCTGGACGAAGAGACGGACGGAAGCATCATTGGCGAATCCAATATCTATCTCGTTGTATTTAATGAAGGAAAGGCGCGCTCCTTCTATCGTCATAGACGGAGAAGTTAACCTTCCTGCAGGGATCTGCTTGGTGAGGATGGAGGTCGACATGATGTGGTCCCGATGCTAACATGGGCTATGGTAGTTTCATTATACGGATATTTCAGGTGTGTAGGAAGCCACCAATGGTGTGGCCATCGTGCTGACAAACTATAGAACACACGGACAGGATAAGGAACCGCATTCTCAAGCTAGAAGATATCGTGGACATGACGTCTGGTACACAAACATGTTCACCTCGCTCCCTCATTTCTCACACGTTCTCACAGAATGGATCGAGCACGGCATCCTCGACTCCATTGTCGATTCCTTCTTCCCCTTTCTGGAGGAGATTGAGCAGGAATGTCTCGTTATCGAAGACATCGTCTTCGGTGGCAAGGCCTACGAGGAGCCAGCGGCGACTCCGTCTTCGACCGAGACGCTTTTGGCTTCGGAGGACGAGAAGAGGTCCGAGGAACAGAAGTCATCCGAGGACCAGAAGTCGTTCACGCACAAGCCCGAGGAAATCGAGATGGAGAAGTTACCCGTCACGAAGCCTGGTCCGACACAAACCCGCTTCGCCGTACCGCCGCCCATGCCCTTCCTCCGCCGCGTCCGCCGCTTCGTCCACAAGCGCTGGCGGAGGTTTATCACCTCAACCATGTCCCGCGACGCTGGCAACGATGCGCTGACGCCTGGGAACGTCAATCTGCTCGACGCGAACGTGAACCTCACGAACGCGAACGTCAACAATGCCAGCCACACGAACCTGAGCAATACGCCGCTGCGGCGAATGGCCAGGACGCGGCGGTTGGTGACGCAGCTGGTGCGGTTGCTGGCGAGCAAGTCGGAGGTTATCACGCAGATCACGAAGCGGTTGCTGTCGACTACGGGGATTTCGAGGCGGGGCAATGGGGAGGAGAGGTTGGAGGTGGCGATTTACATGGGGGATGTTCAAGGTCAGGAGTCGCGTCTATACTGAGCACGAAATGCTGATGTTGGGTACAGACCATATCCTCACTCTGCACCATGCGTTGGCACATTACGAGCGCATGCTGAGCCAGTCTCACCCCGCGTACCTCAGCCAGCTTCGGCACACGGTCAACGTTTCGAGGCAGGGCAGCGACAAAGCGCTCATCGTCCTTACCGTCGTCTCCATCGCGGTGCTCACCTGCCAGGCCGTCATTGGTACGTCGATCTTTCCTCTCTCCCTCCTCGCCCAATGTTAACGAACTCCTTTCACAGGCATGTTCTCCCAAAACATCCCCGTCCCCAACAACCGCGACTCTGGCAAGTACAACGTCTTCGGCATTGTCATAGCCATCGCGGTCTTCACGCTCTTTTTGTATCTGAATCTCGTGCGCTACTGGTGGCGGAAGGCGAAGCGGCGACACGCGGCAGCGGCATTGTAAGAAGATCAGCGCAAGGGATAGACGGACGGTGTTGTGCAGATACGATATCATACCTTACTCGCTGGATGGTAATCAGGACTGTAGTTTGGCTGCCTGTGCCCACTGAATATACCGTAGAGCACTGTTGGGTTTCACGAATCCTCGACGGGGCTTAGTGCCGGATGTTCCCCTATGAAGACGAACTGCCAAAGCCTTCCATTGCAGCTTCACATGAGCGCAGCGCTCACGAGGAGGGAAAGCAGTGAGCCCAAGCAAAAAGGCACAAGGTGCCTTTAGGGAATTTAAACCCGATTTCTCACTCAGAAACTCAACTCAACTCAGCTCAAAGTCTTCGGCAGGGGCGTATCTCCTCCCTCGGTTCCAAGTTGCAGAACCTATCCATTTGCACAGACCCAAGTGGGGGGAGGACCGCTCTACTGCTGTTGGACTGTAAAGGAACGCATCAGGTCATTGTCAGAATCTTGGGTTAAATTTGACCCCGCGGGTACGGTGGGCCGGCCCGGGATGCCGATTTTGAGCGGGAGCTTTTGAGTGTGGGCTTATAAAGGGTTTAAGAGGTCAGAACAAGGTGCAAAAAATGTGTCCCTCATAGCCAAGCCCCAGAGATGTTCAGAGAAAGGTGAGGCTCGGTCGCAAGAGGTAAATGCTGCAGTCATCACGTGATATGTTTGAGCTCGGCAAACTCCGCAATGTCGGTAGACTCATGCGACCTTCCGTCGCTTCACCGTACGGTCGCCTCCCTGCCCTTTCGCAAAGGGCCGTGCCTTCTTCTCCTTCTGCGCGATCTTTTTCCGCTTCTTGTCGATGGCCTTCGACACCGCGGACTTGCCACCCTCTTTCGCGAGCGCGTCGTACCGTGCCTTGGCCAGCATCTCCCGCTTCTCACCTGTAGGAAGCCTGCATCAGTCCTCCTGCCCTTCGCTAGATTGACGAAAACCCACTCACCCTTCTTCATATACCACTCGCCCTTCCCCTTGGCCCGCCTCTCCCTCTCCTCCTTCGCCGCCCTCTCCAGCGCCTGCTGCTCGATCGCCTCCCGCTTATCCCTCTGCACTTGACTCTCCGCCTTCTTCAACGCCCTCTCCAGCGTCTCCACCTCCCTCGCCCGCTCCTCGCGGAGGTGCCGTGGCGAGTTGGCGAGCAGCTTGCGCGCGCGGGACAGGTTCTCGCGCAGCGTGGTGAACTCGTTGCGGTGCATGTCGGCGAGGAAGGAGTAGGATTGCTTGAATTTGTCGGGTTTGAGCTCGCCGGTGACGGGGAGGAAGCGGGGATCGCGAGGGGTCTGGGGAGGCGTCTTAGTAAAAGTTGAACGGTTGAGGGAGATAAGAGCGTACCAGATTGGGGACGTCGACGACTTGTCTTCTTCTGGTAACGGGCTTTTTCGAGGACATTTCAGCAGGTCTGGGAGGGGATGAGCTGGATTCAGCCACGCGAGTAGGCGGACGAGGCGTACGCATGTTTGCTAGAGCGCTTCGCGATGTCCTTCTTGGGATGGGCAGACCACTCAACCCTCTCGGGTTCCTTCCCCTTAGTGTTGGTGGTCTCGGGGGAGGAGTCGTTGTCGGAATCATCATCTGAGCCAGACCCTGCCTTGGATTCGGACACGCTCTCATCGACTTCTGCTTGTGCGAGGGAGCGTTGTGCTTTCCGCAATGCGCCTAATGGGAGATCGGAAAGGTCTTAAAGCTAGCGTCAGATGCGTCAAAATGACGTTGAAGGACTGGCCGACCATTCATCAGTAGTTTCTGCAGGCGAGGGTAAGTATGAACGAATGGAAGTCGGGGGGACCACGTACAATATCCTTTGGCTTCTTCGACGAAGGAACTTCTTCATCTTCTTCCTCATCCTCCTCACTGCTGTCCTCCATATCCGGGTCGACCGTCTCCTCCTCGTCATCTCCCCAAAGCACGGCACGATCTGCATCTATATCCGCGTCACTGTCGTCGTCCTCTTCGGGCTCTGTCCCACTCCCATCAAACAAGTCCGCGTCATCTTCATCTTCTATCTCCCCCTGAGAGTTGAACCTGTCCTCGCTGCTGTACCCCTCATCTTCCTCGGAGGGACGAAACCGCTTCTTGGAGGATGTAGAGGCACCTGCCGGTGCCCTCTTGTCCGCTATATGAGGAGCGGAGGCTTTGTTTGTGTCGTTCCCCTTCCCCGTCACCGTAGCAGGAGGCGCGCGAGTGGTAGGACGCGGTCGGCGAGGCATCGTGGATGGTGGCGGTGAGGAAAGTGAGATCCCCGATCGAATAGCACGGCTGATCGGACCGGGGACGGAAGTATTGCTGCCTGGCCGTTGCCGAGGGCAAGTTGAACTTGTTCACGACCACCATGTCGCTCAACTCTGAAAATCTGATCGTCTATCGCTTCACCCTCTCTCATGGCCACGCGCCTTGCTGTTATTCAGGCGCTCCTCACATGCGCAGGCACGACGCGTCAGACGTCGTGTACCGGCCCGCTCACCTCTCTCGCGCCTGCGGCGGATTTTCCATTCCAAGGCCCAAGGCCATACACAAACTCTCGTGGTGGCTAGCGGGTATCTCGGGCATCTTTTTGCGCGCTGAGGTCTTCGGATACTCACGCACACTCAATCACCAGACCCCGAGAAAAGAGACATCCGTTAATTTTCCGGCAGAGGGTACATAGAATATCGGCGCAACGTCGGTTTGGACCACTGAACCTGTAGGAGGACTCGGTGCGGAGCGTGTAGAAAAGCTCAGCGGATTGCGCCTTAGCCCCCAAACTCACTTCTTCAGGCCCTCGACGGACCCGTCGTGGTCCGGGGCCGCTGAGAAATGCCCTATATGAGGCCGCTCGACCCTCGCGCTTCTGCACATTGCTTCGTGCGTAATTCCCTGCTGAAAAGCGCCGCAATGGGACCTAGCCTACGGTCAGCCGCCATAGCGCTACTGACGTCTACTGCTGGCGCCGCCGCACAGGCGTGTGACCTGCCGTCGTCGTATACCTGGACGTCGAGCGAGGCGCTCGCCACCCCGTCATCCGGATGGGTCTCTCTCAAAGACTTCACCGTCGCGCCCTACAACGGGCAGCACCTCGTCTATGCCACCACGCACGACAACGGGTCGAAATGGGGTTCCATGAACTTCGACCCCTTCGACGACTTCTCCGCCATGTCCACCGTCGCGCAGCACGGCATGTCCTCGGGCACCGTCGCGCCCACGCTCTTCCACTTCGCGCCCAAGGACGTCTGGGTGCTCGCCTATCAGTGGGGCGCGACCGCCTTCTCTTACCGCACGTCGAGCGACCCGGCGGACGCGAACAGCTGGTCGGGCGCGCAGCCGCTCTTCAACGGTAGCATCAGTGACTCGAGCACAGGACCCATCGATCAGACGGTCATCGGCGACGACACGACGATGTACCTGTTCTTCTGCGGGGATAATGGGAAGATCTACCGCGCGAGCATGCCTATTGGCGATTTCCCGGGGAACTTCGGCGCGCAGTACGAGACCATCCTGAGCGATACGAAGAACAACCTTTTCGAGGCCGTGCAGGTGTACTCGCTGAAGGGGCAGAAGAAGTACCTGATGACCGTCGAGTCCATCGGCTCGCAGGGGCGGTACTTCCGTTCTTATACGGCCACCGACCTGGGTGGGGAGTGGACGCCGCAGGCAACGAGCGAGTCTACTCCCTTCGCCGGGAAAGCGAACAGTGGGGCGAGCTGGACGAATGATATCAGCCATGGGGAGTTGATTCGCGACAGTGCCGACCAGACCTTCACCATCGATCCATGCCAGCCCCTGCAGCTGCTGTACCAGGGTCGCGACCCCAGCTCCGGAGGCGACTACGGTCTCTTGCCTTACCGACCCGGCTTGCTTACCCAGGCGTGAAATAGGACTTCAGTGAGTAGAATCTGTCAACAATATCTACTGTACTTGGTCTAATATGTCGCCCGCAGCTCTAGCGCAGATGTAGCTTGCGGGCCTCATTCTTGTATACAAAGGGGGCTTATTTCGTGTTATGTCCAAATCTCATATTCTATGCGGTAGCCCTATTCTGTGGGGCTTGTCCGACACCCAACAAGATTCGAGGCAATGTCTCCTCGCACGGTCCGATAAAGAGAAAGTCGGATGCCTCGTCACCGTCGCTTCGCGCAATGTTGAACACCGCAGAAGCCCCGCCGCGATCTACCACCTCGTATGCGAAGCTCGCTGCTGGCTGGACCTGTGAAGGTGTGAGCTATGGGGCGAGTGCTCCAGCAGACTCAAGGCTTACAGTGGACGACGTCCCAACAACAATGCATAAATCCGCTTGGGCGACCAGTGCATCAATTGTGGGGAGATCATGAGGAACCTCCTCAAACCACACTACGTCGGGTCGTAACAAACCCTTGCAACGTGCGCACCGCGGGAGTTCATCCAGTGCGATGCTCGCCGGGTCCCGCGTTTCGTCACTAAGCGCAGGGCATGCTAGATCCATCACGTTGTGCTCTCTATAGCCGCACACCGTGCACAGCGTGTCCAGCACCCTGCCGTGCATCTCAAAAAGTGGGTGAGGGACTTCCGCGCCCGGCGCCCTCCCCATCGGCCACACATGCCTGCCCACCACCTCCCTCGCCCTCGTACTCAGCCCGTCAATATTCTGCGTGAACAATGAGAGCGACCGCGCCCGCGGCGCTACCGCCCTCAAGTGCACCGGCTCACACATCATCGCCAGCGCATAGTGCCCCGCATTCGGCTGTGCCCTCTTCGCCTCCTCCCTCCGTTTATGGTAGAACTGCCACACCATGGCTGGGTCCTTTGCGAACGCGCCGGGCGTTGCGACCTCGTCGGGGTCCCGCCCGTGCCAGAGGCCGCCGGTGTCGCGGAAGGTGGGGATGCCAGAGGCGGCGGAGAGGCCGGCGCCGGCGACGACGATGATGTGCGTGGACGAGGCGAGGACGCGGCGGAAGTCGTCGACGGAGGTGGAGGGGACCCATTCGGACTCGGGTTCTGAGCCGGAGTTGGACATGGCGGCGGGGGAAGACGAACCGTGGGATGTCCGCGGAGGGCCGCGGAAAACTTCGGGTCCGAGTCAGGTGACATTTGGGCTTAGATAAGCAGACATGTTGGACTTCGATTTCCTACTTTCAGACCTTCACGCCCTCCGCTGTGGCTTTGAGCCCTTCGAGGCCCTCTAGTACTGTCCTCTCCTCACTGTGCGCTGTGTTTCCATCCTCCTTCCTCACCCACTTCCCCTCTCGTTGCTCGATCTCATACGCCTCTGTCGCCAACTCCTTCCCACCCACCACCGCCGGCGCCCCGCCCATTAGCACTGACACCCACCGCGCCCACTTGTCTGGTGAGGGGTTGTACTAGGCGTGCATGGCGCCGCGCTGGATGACGGTGTCGCCGGGGTTGTTGAGGTAGGTTTCCGAGCCGTCGTCCATGAGGAGGATGACTTCGCCGGCGACTGCGGGCCGCGGGCCGGTGGGGCAGGAGGAAAGGAGGGGATGTGGGGAAGGTAAGGGGAATGCGGAGATGGAAGCAAGTGCGGGGAACAATGGAGGGGCTGGGGTCAGCTCGGGAGGAGAGAAGAGGGGACTGCTGCTCACCAAGAATGTTGTAGTCGACGGACGATGTGCGGTGCTGTTGTTATAAGCCATGCTCTTTGGGCACTCCAGAAGCAGAACGTACCATAGGCGTGACGGCGCCGGGCGCCAGGTCCGTCGAGCGCAGGCTTGCGCCTTGCGGGTGGGTCATCCCCAGAGCGTAGTCGTTGGATAGTGATCGTTGAGCGCCGTCTTCACTGTGTTGATTCAGTATACCCTCTAGGCCGCAGCTGAGTGTAAGCGCGCCGAAAGCACACGCACGTAGAGTTGTTATCATTCGTTGGTAGCCCGTCCGTCGTCACCCACAGCGTCGTGCCCCGTGCACCCTTCGCAATAGCCATCGTCTGAGCGGGCGCCAGCGAGTTATGCGTAACGATACCCTCCGCGCGCTCGTTATTCCCGGTCACGACGCGGCGGAGGTCGGGAAGGTTGTAGGGAGCAGGGTCGGCCATGGTATAGAGGGGACGAAGGAGGTATGAAAGGGACGGGGAAGTAGTGGTCGTGGTTTGAGATAGAAAAGAATGGAAGGCACTCAAGACGAGATCCGGGGATCATGATCACGGACTGCTTGAGCTTCCCCCCTCACCCATCTCACAAGACGCTCAGCGCCTAACATACGGCGGACTACCCGGCCCGGGCGATAGAGCGTCGATATCGATTGGGCTTGCTCACGCGGACATCCGGGCAAGCAGAGTGATGACGTAGACTGCATGGAGAGAAGATAGAGACAAGCAAGGCATGCAGAGACAAGCCAGGGATGCAGAACAGCGTACAGTATCCCCAAGAGTATAATTTACGGAGCGGTATCTGGGTAATCAACAGGTTAGAGGGGAAAAGTAGCAGGAGAGGAACGCACAATAGTAGTACTCATCAATCAAGGGCACCCAATCCCTCACGAACGAACCAACGAGGCCGAGTACTGGGCGATGAGCTGTCGCATCTGCGAATGCCTCGAGCTTGGGGCTATAGAGGGTAAGGGAAGGCCACAGGAAGTACAAGAAAGCCACATACCGGGTATATGACTGCCACAACGTTCCTCGGAAAAGGTACCACAGCATATCGCGATCCCGCCTCGCGTACTCCTCGCGCTCAAGGGCTGCGGAAGGAGGTGGTGCGCGGCGCAAATTGCGGGACAGCAGCTCGAGCATGAGCGCGGTCACAAGAGGTCGCGACGACTTCCTGTCCCTCATCATCATAGAAGCTATTGGTGTCGAATAAGCGCCGGTATGGTCAGTCCTACAGTAGGACACGCACCATAGATGAGAGGTCGCAAGACGTATATGATCTCCGCGAGCCACTCGGTCGGCGACGTGAACGGTCGCACAAGTGCCAGAGGCGGCTTGACTGCCGAAGGCGTGAGCGCTTTGGGAAGTAGGAAGTCCTCGACATCGTTACGCGAGCGCGAGTTCGGTGGCGCGGTGAGGAGTGGATGTGGGGGCAGGGGAACCTGATTGTTCTTGAGGTGCTCCGGAGTAGCGGGCCGGGATGAGGAAGGAGAAGATGGTGCCAGCGTGGGGGATGATGAGACCGAGGCCGATGCTTGGGGAACGGACAACGACTCCGGGTCGAACTCGCGCTCGGGAATGGGAGGGGAGAGGATTGGTCGGCGTGTGATCTTCAGGAGCAAGAATCGCAAGATGGCCCTAAGTGGTGTTCAGCAACAGTCAAGTGCAAAGGAGACTGCACACGCACTTGATAGCCTCCAGGAAGACAATCCCCCGCCAGCGAGTCTTCTCAGACGTCTTGCGCTTGAGTATCATCTCCAGCATCAGCTCCGTAAACTTGATGAGCTCGAGGCTGCGCGCCAACCACTTGTACTGCGCATTCCTGTCGGACCAGGCGCGCGTGAAGCGCGTATGGAGCGAGGTGGGGATAAGCGGACGGTACTTGGGGTCCGCGGCGACGACGCGCGAGAGGAGGGTATCATGGTACAGGCTCAGCGCATTGAGGGACGCGGACACTGGCGGAATACATCAACACACGCGCGGGGGAGGACCGAAAGGGCAGCTGACGCGCTTCAGAGACGAGCTCTGCATCCTTGAACCTGCCGGGGAGGAACCAGGTGAGGGAGCGGAGGGAGGACTCGAGCGTCGAGATCGTCGAGACGTTGCTGATCAGGAACGCCTCGTACTTGTCCAGCGCAGACGCCGCTTTCATGACGGCCCAAGTGAGGGGGGAAACAGACACACAGAGCCTCGTGCACGCCCCGGAGTCCGCTTGCCGGTGCCGATTCGCACGTGATATGCATTCGCATCTGTGTGGACCTGTTTGTCTGCCACTCAACTTGTCTTTTACTCTCACGCGACAGTCTCCTCTCGACGACCTTAGACGATGTCAGCTCCTGCTCCAAGACAGAAGCGGTTAGGCAGGCTATATAGACACTGTCAGCGTCACTCACCCATCATCCCCAGCGCTACCAAGGCATGGCTCATACACGGGTACTGGGTGTCGAATCAACAACGCACTGAAATACAGCATCATCGCCAGACGTATGTCACCTTACTGGAATACTTACTTGTGTGAACTTCACGTCGAAACAGAAACAACCTTCCCGCTTTGGAGATATCGACCTCGTCCGACGATCCCCTATGCAAGATAACCTCGCGCGAGATCGTCGAGATGCTGAAAACCATGCAAGTAAACGCAAAGAAGACGCGAACACCAGTGACGGAGAGGGTACTGCTTGAGACAGACGATGAGGACGATGGTCAGGAGACATGCGTTTCTGGCGGGCATACAACGCCCTCTCCTCCGGATCCGCCACCCAAGGCATCCAGTACCATCGAACCACGGCCAGTTCCGCAGGAAGTGGTCGAAAAGATATCTGCTATGGCTAAACTGCAACCTCCATTCTGGTACAATCCCAGTAATCCCAGTAATTCCGTTCCTTTGGCGCCCTTCGAGCACGAACACGTCTGTGTTCACTGCGGTGAAGTCCTGGTCTCCGAGTCCGATCCCTGTGCTACCCCGAAGCCTCGTACTGCTGCGCTGCCCGCTCCAGCCCCCTCTCTACAGACTCGCGATGAGAATCGACAGCCGGCGATGCTCCATTCACCGTTGGGGTCTTCTGTCGATCCACCTCTCGCTTCGACCAATTCTGCGAGCCATCCTCATCTACAGTCGGCATCGGCAGACAACCCCCCAACTACTGTTGGCTCCGAGGGACCCGCATCGCCTGTGAAGGGCGCCCAGTGCGCCTCTCTCTCACGACCTTCTTCGCTACAGCCGAACCACTCGAACGAGGTCACAGACAGCGCACAGAACGACTCGTCCTCTGACACGACATCGTCCCCTTCTTCCCTCTCAGACGAAAAGCAGAATGCAGTCACCCCTGACGCTAAGTGCGCATCTATGATCGAGCGTGACTATCAAGAGACTTCGGGCCTTCCGCCGCGTCTTCGACGTAAATTTGCTCTGGTCTGTCCGTGAAGCGCTGCTCGTAATCCCTCCTCGAGACGAATGCTTCTCCTAGATCAGGACGTGCTCCATCGGTCAAGACAGCGCGTTCTCCGCACCTTGTCTCGTTCTGCCGCCATTACCGTCGTATCCACTCCAGCCCTGTATTTCTAGCAAACCTGCATCCTTGACTGTGCAATGCACCGCTACTCTAGCAAACTTGCTCCCGCATCGTCTCTCGCGATTGAATCTGCCAACGAAATGCTTAGCATATGCACTAATATAATATACAAGATGTCTGTCTGTCAGTCGTGATACGGCGCGCCAGTAAGTAGGGAATGTGTAAGTATGTGGCAGTAGAATATGTGGTCGCGGGTCTGATGAGTAGGTGAGTAGGTGAGATGAGTAGGTGAATAACAGGCGTATAAAGCCCCAGGGAAAAGCAGACCACAGAATATAAGTTAGTCCCAGTCTAGTTTGTACGTAGCGAAGCCACCTCTATGATCGTAACCCTTCTAACCCATGCATAGACGTGGCGGGAGACTTTAAATGAATATTTAGACCTCTTGCGTCTTTTCCTGCGGCTGCTCCTTGGTGTCCTGGATCTTCTGCGCGGCCGCGGCGTTGTCAGCGATCTCCTTAGCGATCTTGAGGTCCTGAACAGGTGGATTAGCATGCGGTCAACAACATCACACTGTAGGATACGTACGATGCAAGGAGCATAACCGCTGGACGTCCTGATCCTCGGGCCGTACTTGTAGAACAAAAATGGCACGGGTACGAGGACAAGGCAGACGAGGCCGATGAGCGTGCCGGCCCAGTTGACGCCCAGCTCGGTGAACATCTGCGTCGTGAACAGCGGGAAGGCGGCCGCGACGAGCGACCGGATCGTGGTGTTGACGCTGAACGCAGACGCGCTGTAGTGCAGGTAGGTGTCGACCAGGTAGGACTACAGATCTGTCAGCTCTTGCTTCCCTTGCAGTAATCAGGAATTTACTCACCAAAAAGCTCATAAACACCAAGCTGATACTCGCGCCAATCAAGATCAAGCTCCCCGCGGGCGCCGCCCAGTGCACGTCCGCGTACTCGCCCGTCCACCCGAGCCAAAACGCGCCGACGACCATGAGCGGCCCGCCGACCATCGCACCGAGCAGCCGCTGCTCCGGCGGCGGGAACCCGCGCCACTCGCGGATGAGGCGCGGGTAGTGCGCGGAGAGCACGATGTTGATGAACGCGCCGAGCGTGGTGCCGATGCTGACGGCGATGAAAATGAGGCCCATGTGCGAGATGCTGAAGTTCCGCCGGGTGACGAAGACGACGGGGATGGCGGAGAAGACTAGGGGGGGATGAGTAAGGAGGAGGGGGGGGTGGGAGAAAGGGAAGAAACGCACGTGCGTAGAGGATACCGTAGACGAGGGAGACGTAGACGGTGACGAGGAGGAGGATGGGCTCGGTGAAGAACATGTGGAAGGGCCGGTAGATGGTGCTATGGAAGACACCTGCCGGCGACCAGTCCTCGCGCTCGTTGGGGGCGTAGAGCCTAGCATTGCCCTGCGGGTCGGCCTTGCGCAAGCGGCGAGCCTATGCGAAAGATGTCAGGACCGAAAATATCTTGAACGAGATTCAACCGTACCTTCCACTTCAACAACGTCGGCTCATACGTCTCGGGCACAAAGAGGAAGAGCATCGCGACGCAGAAACCGGAGAAAATCAGGAGGAGCCAGAAAATCCACCTCCAGCTCACGGCGTTGTCGAGCATGTAGCCGGCGATGATGGGGCCGACGGACGGTCCCAAGAAGACGCCGACAGTGAAGAGCGATGCAGCGAGCCCACGGCCCTCAGCGGGAAACATGTCGGCGATGACACCACCCACGAGGGCGAGTGGCGCGCAGCCAAAGAAACCGGTGAGGAACCGCGAGACGAGGAGCGTTGCGGTGTTCTTGGCGAGTGCGCTCGGGATGATGAAGATGAGGTAGAGGACCATGGAGACGTAAAACATGGCCTTCCGCCCGACCAGCTCGCTTCCTGGACCCCATACGAATGGCTGAAATTCGAGAGATCAGCCAGATAGAAAGTCGGGCTCGAGGAAGTCACGTACACCGAAGACGTAACCCAAAAGGAACATGGTGGTGATGAGATACGACACTTCCTTCTCCATGCCCATGTATATCCGAATAAATGGTGTTGCGGATGTGGGTAACGTCGAGGCAAGGGCACTGCATCAAAGTTAGCGATTCGCAGGGCTTTTCTGGCATATCTCGAAAGTACGCACATGTTGAAGGTTATCAGCGAGCAGATACATGTTATTCGCCACTTCTTCGCAAGCGACCAGTTGCGTGGGTTTGCTGGATCGTCGGGGCCGTCCCAATCGACGCAAATGCCGTCGTCGGCAGGTGGCTTAGCGGCGACATCCTGAGTGGCGTCAGAAAAAGCTCCGTACAAATTGTAAGACAATACTCACCTCACGAGACTGCGAGACCTCGTCTCGCTGCTCAGGTACGATGGTCGAGCTCAAAGACGCTCGTCCGGACATAGCGGTCGTGATAGGCGTGAATAGGGTAAGGTCCCGCGGAGGGGCAGCAAAGTGCAGCAGGATAGATGAGGGCGCACCCGCGCGCCACCCGGCGCATATTTATACGAGTATCGCGTACCTTCCAGCAGTACTTGTGATTGTCCATGCGAGGCAGCGCAGCGCTCGGGGCCGACGCTTCTGCCCGCCCAGCCCATGGAGCTGGACGCAGTAATTCAACGCCGAATCGCCGGCAGACCTCACGCCGAGCAAGTTTCACTGGATAATGAACGCGCTGAGGGTCTGTATCGGGTAGGGGCTGCCTCCAGCCTTTCTTCTAGGCACGGACGCACATCGATAGGTCAAGCGCCCGTAGCTTGTGATTCTGCTTCAGGGAGCGTGCAGGGATCGCGCTGGTGCCTCTGTAGTGTCCCAGATTATTTTCTGGGTTGCAGAGGGCGTTGTTTGACGTTGCTATGGCTTGTGGGCGGTCCCATAAGGGCGAAGGGAAGAGTTGAACATCGAGGCTGGTCAGACGACCTCTCCCAAGCCCTTCGGAATGTTCCGAGCTAGATCCATCGGGCTCGGGAACTCCCATCAAGGATACCCGGAATCGGTCAATCACATGCGCGGGAGCAAGCCAACCTGCCGTCGACACCGACGAGCTGACGCTCTGCAAGGAACAGATTCCGACTGCCAGGGCTCGCTTGTCGGTCCAGGACTTTGCAGAACGCCTGAGAATCCACGGTGATAAGATGTGGGCGCCCGTGGATGACGTTACAGCTCGCCTTCGCTTCAGCCACCATCATCTTCACGCGCGTATGGCAAGTCCGCTCATCCTTTTTTGGACAATGGCGCCTTGCATCGCGATGCCATCTCGCCTCAGCACTCCTGAAGATCCAATATCTTGCACGTTGCAAGGAGAGTTTTCGCGTACTCATCTGAGCTCGCCTCCCGCCACCTAAGACTGATCGTCGCAACGCCGACGTGCACACCGAGCACCGACGCGCTCAAGGATCGACAAAAAGGATAGCTGTGTGCGTGTAGTATGTATCACTGTCCACAAGACGTCAGTAAATAAGTATGTGCACGTAACTTATGCGCATAATTTATAGTATTTTCCAAAGCCCCGTCAGTAGATTTACAGCCCCAAGGAACGTGTAACGAGCTCGCAGCGAGCCTAGTCCATATCGTATCACTCTCACCCCTCAGCGCCTGGGTTTGTGGAATTCGCCCGGTCTTCGTGGTGGGCTCACAAGCGCACTCGTCTCGACCACATGTGGCGGCTCCGCATAGGTTTCGTGCGTCGAATACTGCGTCGGTGGTCGCGAGTGGTCCGAAGGTATTCTCAACCCCATCTCAGAGGCCTCTGATGCCCCTCTCGCCGACCCCGACGTGCCGTGATGCGACGCTGCCTCCCCCTCCTGCCCCGCCGGATACATCGGCGGCAACTCCACCACCTGCGTATCATCCCCATGGTACACTGTCACCGGCGCCCTTCCCCCATCATGGTGCACCACATACACGTTCGACTGCGCCCCTCCCCCAGGCGACCGCGGGCCCGTCGCACCATCCCTGTCCTCCTGCGGCAGCAAGAAGGGTTCGACCTGATATCGACTGCCGGGTGTGTTGAGCGGGGGAAGGAGGTGCTGCGAAGAGCCGTAGCTCCCGCGCTCGTGCGCGCCGAGCATCGGGGATGCGAAGGGGTCGGAGTCGGCGTAGGAGGGGTGCCGGGCGCGGGGGTCGCGCTGCTTACGGCGGAGGAAGAGCCAGGAGGCGAGACCGCCGACGAGGAGTCCGAGGACGAGACCTCCAATACCGGCGCCGGAGGCGATGGCGGGGAGCTTGTTGCTGGAGGAGACGTCGAGGCAGGAAGAGGTAGTGCCTTCGCCGGCGTGGAGGGGGCCGTAGGACTAGCGCGCAGGTTAGTGAATTTCGTATCGAGTTGGGCTAAGCACGCACCCAGCTATTGTGGTCTGAGTCGGCAAGGGAGATGAAGAATGGACTTGCCCAGGACATCGACACTGCAACACGAGTGAGCAAACCTCCTCCAAAGTACCGCACTGCACTAACCAGTCCAGTTGATCGCGCTCATGTCGTCCACGGTCATATTGAATGGTGGATGCGATGCAGGCGCCACCGTAAGAGTGTACGGCCCCGTGCCGTTCTTTGGCGTCACCTGTATGTCTGTGCATTGCGCTGGCCAGCCGTACTGTGACAGCGGACCGTCGTAAGTCTGTGCGTCGACGTCTAGTGGGCCGTCGGGGAAGCTGAGTGTCGAATTCGAGCATGATAGCTTCTCGTCGTCTGAGGGGATGACGCTGTATACGGCTTGGCAACCGCCGGAGTAGCCTTTCGAGTCGAACTTGGGGGGGGGGGCAGTCAGAAGAGATGATGAGGACGTCTAGTGGGTGAACTGACCATGCATATTTGGTACTGAGGAAAGCAGGTAAGCAAATGAAACGAGGCAAGGAGAGGTGCACGCACTAAAGTTGAAGGCGGGAAGGGTATCTCGAAGTCCTGCGAGATTGTCAGTTGTATCCGCGTGGGAAGGAATGAGCACGCACGAAGCTGGACCCGCTGCCAGCGTCGACGATGAAGGGGAAGATATAGTAACTGGCGCACGGTCAGAGAGGCAGGGGGAACGCGTGGCGGGCCGCGTACGATGAGTAGATCTGGAGGAAGTATGGCGCTGTTGCGCTCGGACTGTAGACGTACGAGGGTCAGCAATAGTACACCCATAATGAAGCATACACACGCACCCCGTAGCCGGCTCTCGTCTCCATTTAATATTGATCGTCTCGCATTGTTCTACGCGTAGCATCAGTACGCGTCGCGCCACATTCTCAACAACCACGCACTCGTCACTGGTACAGGCGCAGGCTCCAAGTCCGTCGAGCGAAAGTAGTCAAAGTAGAAGGACTGCTCCATAGGCTCGACGATCGCGGCTTGCGCGCCGGTCAGGGCGCAAGCTGCCGCGGCAGCAATTATCCAGCAGCGCCGACAGGAGGGTGACATGGAGGGGCTCGTATGTTCAGGCAAGGTTCACGGAGCGGCAGCTCAACGAGGGGGGGCGAATTAGGGATAGGAGGAAGGGGAACAACACAGCGTATGTCGCCGTTGTCGTCGGGCGGGTCGCAAGGGGCGCGGGGCAGTGAGGCCGGCGCGTGTAATGACAGTGCAAATTCTTTTGTCTTGATCGAGCGCGGGCTGGGCAGATGGCAGATGCAATTGAGTGAGCCTGGCGGCTTCGGACCCCGAAGAAGAACTGCCTGTTCGGGGAGGGAAGAAGGGAGGGCGAGGTGGGTGGAGGGGGGGAGGCGGATCCGCAGGCGCGTGGGGAATGAGAACAAGAACAAGGAGAGACCTCGGGAAGAAGTATGACTGTGGGCGCTGCGATGCGTCGCGCGACGCTGTGTTCTCACGAACACCCGGGCTTGCGAGGGCTGTAGCCAAGACGTTCCCGACGTGCTTCAGAGGCTTTCAGGCTGTGATCGTCGCCGTACCTCGCTACATAAGGACAGTTCCGATTCACAAGACTGAACCGGACGTGCAAAGCAAGAGACAAAGGGAGCGTAATGACATCGATAGCAACGACTACTCCGAGTACGTATATCGAGCACCTAGTGAAAGAGAAACTCAGTAAAGAGCGGGGGGAAATGTCAGAGCTACATAGTCGAACACTCTTCCTTCCGTAGCAATAACGGTCGCGTGAGCCGGAAGGCGCTCCGGCTTAATTGAGCCCTAGTCCACTCTTCCCTCTCCTCAGTTACCCCAATTCGACACACGAAAAAGAGTTGCCCAGCGACAAGCACTGGGCGGAGGAAAGGGATGAAGGAAAAATCAATCGCGTTCCCCCGCGCATTTTATCCCCGGATCTCGGGCCGCGTCCTCCGCATCAGTGCATAGTGACGTCACAGGACGCGATCTGAGAACCTCCTCGAAATCGACGTCCAGGTCGGCATGCTCTCCCGCCTTCGTCTCATCTCTCACCAGCTCATAAAGTCACGCACGATGTCCACGACTGTTCACAACACCAACAAGGCCTGCTGCTCCATTCCGCCCGTCGCGTCGGACTACCAGCCCAAGGGCACCATCAAGCCGTACGCGCAGTTCAAGAATGTCTACGTGACGGGCCCGGAGGACTCGCAGAACGCGATCGTCTGCGTGTTCGATATCTTTGGGTGCGTGCGGATAAGGGCAGCGAACTGTGCATTGTACTGAGGATGCACGCAGGTTCTTCCCCCAGACGCAGCAGGGCGCCGATCTGCTGTCGTCCACGCTGAAGACTGTGGTCTACATGCCCGACTTCTTCGAGCCTGACGCGCCCTACCCAATTTCCGAGTTCCCGCCCAAGGACGAGGCAGGGCAGAAGAAGCTGCAAGCATTCTTTGGCTCAACAGCTGCGCCGCCGAAGGCGACGGCTAACCTGATTGAGTTTGCGAAGACGCTCAAGCAGGAGGGCAAACAGAAGGTGTTCGCGTATGGGTTCTGCTGGGGTAAGTTCGCATCCGAGCATGGTCGGGCTGATGACTGAAATGCGGTGTAGGTGGCAAGGTTGTCATCTCAGCTGGTGGTGAGGGAACACCGCTGGACGCGGTATCCATCGTACATCCTGCGTAAGTGACCGTGTGTTCTTCACGAGTGCATAGTGGTACTGAGATCTTGTCAGCATGTTGAGCGCGGATGACGCGAGCAAGCTCACCGTCCCATTGGGAATCTATCCGTCCAAGGACGAACCGAAGGAGGAGGTATGCGTCAGGTAGTTATCCACAATAATCATACGCTGACCCCGTCTTTAGTACGAGAAGATCCTCGAAGTCCTCTCCAAGAAGCCCTTCGCCTCGAAGGTCGATGGCAAGTACTACCCCAACATGTTCCACGGCTGGGCAGCCGCCCGGGGTGACCTTAAGAACGAGGAGAACAAGAAGGAGTACGAGGACGTGTACAACCGTCTCGCGCAGTTCTTCTGCAGTGTGTAGAGTTGTGGTTGTTGATGTCGTGAAAGCAGAAAAACAAAATGCAATGTATTACCATCTGTATACCACGAAACCAAGAGTGAAGATGACGGACGATATCAACAAGCGGGTACGTATACCCCGATGGGTGCCGGATGCCACTTGGCAGGGTTCGCGCGTTGCCAGCCGGGTGGCAGCGAAGAAGTTGACTCTGGCTCAGGAGGGGGCATAATGGCGTCCTCCATGACAGGCGCTGCATCCTGATCATCCAATATTTCGTCCGCCATCAGGGTTGCAAGGCGTTCCTCCATGACCGCGGTAAAGTCGGGTCCCCAGGGCGATGACTTCCCCGACTTGTGTTCTGCTTGGAGGATCGCGGAGACTTCCGCGAGCTCCGGGTCAGAGTCGCAGATGAAGCGTAGGAGTTCGGAAGCGCTGACAGGGTTGTGAGCCATGATTCAGAGAGCGAAAAAGTAGGAAGACTTACGCAGGAAGTCGGTCGCGAGACTCAGGGCCCAGGCCTATGAAAAGTGCTGCGACAACGTCTGCATTTACATCCTCTCGCTCGGCTTTCTCGGTCGAAGAAACGAACCACGCTGCCCATCGTGCAAGGCAAGCGTCGTAAGAGGGATCCTCGTTCGTCGAGTTGACAAGCTTCTGCGCGAACCGCAAGGCTGCGACGGCGTAGAAGGATGGATGTAGTCCCTGCACATGCGCAAGCAGGTCTTGCCAAATTGCCACAGAGAGAGCAGGAGGCGCGAACCCCTCCTCGTCATGCGTGCGCTTCTTCTTGGCTAGCGGGACCAGGGCGCCCGGCTCGAGGAGGGCATCGGAGAGCTGGTCAAGGGCCCACCGCGTGCGTGCCGCAGGGTCGGTGGACCAGTCATGAGCAGCAGCGGCGACTGCTGCTTCGGCGAGCCAGCGCTCGACGTCTCGGAGGGCACCAGCTAGTATAGGCCGCTGCTTGACGCGCAAGGATGCATCGCGAGCGACTGCTTTTGCTGCCGTGCGATATTGCTTGAGGGTAGGTGCGAGGGGGCGAAGAGAAGGGGCGGTATCGGTGGTGGGTGCAGGGGTGATGGTGGGGAGGAAGTAATTGTCAAGGAGCCATCGCATGGATTGGTTGGCGCCCTCTCGCAGCAATTCGAGGCTCGGAAGGTCTTCATGTGTCGCGGCATGTCGGAGCTCGACCAGCCAGGCAGGTAGCCCAATTTGCGCGGCGATGGCAGCGATCGAGCGCGCGTATACGCCAGATTGGAGGGGGTCGACGAGGCCGTTTACTAGTCGGATGAGCGCGGCCGCGTACGCATGACGGAGAGTAAGGGAGTTCGTCGCCGTCGCTTCATCCTGTACTATGGTCGTGAGGAGGGCCGCAGTAGACTCTAGAGCGTGAGGGAGTGCAGTGATCGCACGCCAGGCAGCTAAGCGAGCCAAAGCCATCCTATGCGCATCGACGTCGTTCCGGTCGTTGTATATCCACCCACACAGCTGCTCCAGCTCCCCCACCGACGCCCAGGGCACTCTTCGCGGCAGCCTCATCGTCGTCGCAGGTAACCTTCGAGTGAGAACAATACAATGCCCAGCGGAGGGAAATCGAAGCGCACGCCCGATCGCTACGTCGATCGCGTTCTCCCCTGGCACAGCCACGGCCGAACACGCTGTTGTTGAACTTTCCCCACGATCCACGACTCTGTGACGTCCTGTGCACGCCCCTCCCCTCACGACTACGCCCTTACGCCCTGCCTCACGATTTCTACTGCCATCTACACGAGTTACGATATCGATATCTACTACGCCCCGTCGACATGCCTGATCTCGACGCGCGCGGGAAGATTGCGGCTGCCGAGCTCGCGTTCTACGTCCCGATTGCGATCGTCAGTCTCCTGCTGGTTATCCGGTATGCGTTCAGGCGCGATTCCGGGTGGTTCTTCCTTCTCTGGTTTGCCCTCGGTGCGTTCCCCTCCCTCCGTATCGCATTCCGTGTTGATTTTTGGCAGTCCGAGTGACGGCTGGGGCGCTTCTCATCGCCGCTGAGCTCGTCACGCCGTATGACGAGGGTATTTGGACGGCGGCATGGGTCCTCAACGACGCCGGCCTGGGCTTCCTGTTGTTGTCTACCATCGGCTTCCTCGGTCTCGCGTACGTCCCCCTTCCCTCTCCGCCAAATCCCCTCATTAATCCTTCGCAGAGGTCAGCACACTTACAGCGAAATGATCAAGACCATGCACATGTACCGCTCCCTCGCCCTCGTCATTCTCGCCGCCATGGCCATCACCGCGGCAGGCGGGGGCGTCCAAGCCCACGCCGACCAGGATACCATTCGCACTGGAAAGATCCTCCGCCGCGTCAGCGCGGTGTTGTTTGGCGTCATTTGGGGACTCCTGGCCATGCTGCACGTCCACGCAATGCGCAGCCACCACCTCATGCGCACCTGTGAGTCGAACGATTTGGTATACGACCTGAGCTAACGCATCCTGTAGACCGCAAGCGGGTATGTGCTAAGCCCGCCTACCCTTGGCACGTTACTGACCCCTTGCAGCTCCTCTTCACCCTCTGGGTCGCGCTGCCCGTCCTCGGTGTCCGTGTTGCGTGCTCCATCCTCAACGCATTCGGTTCGGCCGACGTCTTCGGGTACCAGCTCTCGCCGAACGCGACCCTCCGACCGTTCGCCTACACGCAAGACTGGGTTCGCTGGCTCGTCATGGGCCTCGTCATGGAGTACGCGGTCGTGCTCATCTACCTGGTCTCGAGCACTGGTGTCTCGAGAAGAAACAGACTGGGCTACTAGATGCGCGCTCGCCGAGCACGTCTGTTGCCACCAGCTCTCGGAAGCGTATGGGATGCCTACCCGACGGCGCGACGACTAGAACCAATATACTGACATCTTTATTTTCTGTACTTGTATCTGTACTCGGTAATCTCTTTTATCTACCTACTCACCTGGGACGTTGCTTCACCTTCACCTCGGGACGGTGCCACGTACTGGTTTAGGCGATACCACATACCGCTTGACGATAGTTCTACGTCCCGTTGGGAACAATCCTACGTACAGCTATGGACAATGTCACCACGTACGATTCTACGCGCTCGACCACTACTTACTATATATACGTAGAATGCCATGTTTGTACCCTGTCGACACTGCTTGAGCTTGACAGCTCTCCGCTGGTATGGGCGGACATGAAGGGTTTTTCGGGCTGTCCAGGGTCGCCGATAAGCATGGCAATTTCCTCCCGCAGCCGCAGCTCGTTGTAGATCTACTGGCTCTGAACCGGGCCTCCCGTCCTGCGCAAGTTCTGCACCCACCCAGCGAACAAACACCCGCGGATCAAACGGACAAGCAAACCCGGAGGCAAAGACGGTAATGATCGGCCCGAGCCGCCCGGCTCCGCTATCTGTCCAGCGATCCCGCCTTGCAGATATGGCGAATTGACTTGTAGCAAGCGCTGACCTGAATTGTTGCGAGCATCTACTACTTAGCGCGCGCCCGCCACGATCGAAGACCCATTCAACTGACCTCTGGCGCTCCGCGCTTCCCACAGAGATTCCTACATATACCGCCCCAAACCTGACCAGACTCTCCTTTTCCCGAACGACGATCCTCACGACAAGCCCACGCACCAGCAACATGTTCGACACGACGCCCCGGCCTGAGGTCGATGTGCACTCGAAGGCGGAGGAGGCGGGCCTTGTCAGGAAGGAGCTCTCTGAGACGACGCCGCTCCTTCCCAACGCTCGACCGCGCACGAACTGGGCGAAGGTGACGCTGGCCGTCACCCTGGTGGCCGCGTACTATGCCTCACTCCCCTTCATATGGCGCTACCTAGATAGGGGAGACGCTGAGGGAACGACGTATGCGGTGTGCACGAGGGAAGCGGATGGTGTATATACTGTGGACGCGCAGAACACGGCGACGCAGTGCGTGGTTGTGAGCGATGAGGTGGTCGCTGATACGGGGTCTTTGGGTGCGTCCGCTCTTTCTTTCACATCGCGAACGGAGGAGCTTACTTCCTTACCAGACTTTGTCAAGTCCACCTATGTTGACATACATGTACACTTCGCACCTGAAGGCGCCACAATCATACCCGGAATGACCGGTGCGCCTGGTTCTATATCCAACATACCCCTCCCGTCTCATAGTAGTTGAATGAAGAGTCACATATGCATACCCTGTTACATGGAAACTACCGCATGCTCCCACTTGAAGAAGCGAAGAATATATCTGGTACGTCGCAGGAGGACGGCGCTCTTTGACTCCAGCGTCTGAACATGCGGCAGCCGCGGTCGCCCTCGTCCGCAACTACATCCTCAATGACCCGGCCGTGTACAATAACAAGTCAAAAGTCATTGAAGGCTTCGGCTGGGATGGCACGATATGGCCAGAGAAGCGATGGCCGACTGCCGTACGTTGTGGACATCCCTCAGTGCTCGATGGTCGTGGGATGCTGATGAACACTCAGGCCGATCTCGACGCAGACGACGTTGTCCGCGGCCGCCAGGTCGTCCTGCGAAGCAAGGACGCGCACTCGTATTGGGTCTCAGGCAAGACGATGGAGGTAAATGCGCCGTTCCCGGACGAGGTCGAAGGCGGCAAGATAGTGAGGGATGAGGATGGGAAGCCAGTAGGTCCGTCGCGAACTTCGGTCTCTGAGTCGTGGCTACACACGCTTACATGGAAACCTGATAGGCGTCTTCGTCGATAACGCCCAGAACCTCATCGCGTACCCGGCCTACACGGACGAGGATCTCCTGAAGAAATTCAGCTATACTGCGAACGACGCGCTGTCGTATGGGATTACGACGGTTCATGACGCGAAGCTGGACCCGAAGGAAATAGACTTCTTCCATAGGTGCGCGGATTCTTTCACTGAATGTGCCTTTCACTGACGAGCTATCCCTATCCCTGAAGACAAGCACTAGCTGGTAATCTCAAGGTAAATAGTGCCGTTCTCGGTGATGCATGTCAACTCACCATCACCAGGTTCGCGTCTACGGCATGCACTTCTTCGACGAAGACGAGGGGTACTTCGGCAACACCAGCAAGCCTGTCATCGGTGCTGGAAATGGCTTCTGGACGCAGCGCAGCGTGAAGATCGTTGCTGATGGTGCGTACAACATCATTTGCCTATGCACATGTCGAGACTATATCCTTAAATGTAGGTTCTCTGCGAAGCCGGAGCTCCTGCGTATGTCGCGCGCAAGGATAGCTATGAATGCTGATTTGACTGATGAGTTACAGCTCTACGAAGACTATTCCGACGAAGCTGGTAACCGGGGCTTCATGCGCGTCCCCGCTGAGGTGCTCGAGGAAGTCATTCCGGCGTTCTTGAGGGACGGCTGGCAAGTTGTTAGTAATCTGTCACAATCCTTTCTCCGCGCTTTCGCAACTGACTGCCTTCGCAGAACGTTCACGGCATTGGCGACCGCGCCAATGGCTATGTCGTGTCTGCGCTGGAGAAGGCACTCGCCGGCGTCAACGTGACTGCAGCGCGTCCGCGAATTGAGCATGCGCAGATCATGACGGACGAGGATATCGAAAGGTTGGGAAAGCTTGGTGGTTAGTGAACAATCGTATTGCAAGTATACATAACTCACAGAAGCTCGCAGTCATCGCAAGCATCCAGCCAACACATGTGTAAGGGATCTGCGCTGGAGGATTCTCAAGCTGCAGGCTTACAAGGGACTTCAGGACCGACGATATGTGGTACGCGCAGGATCGCCTGGTGAGCCCAAATTTCCATCCTCATTTGCCTTTCGTCTGACCGTACTCAGGGCCCCAAGCGAGTTGAAGGCCTCTACGCCTTCCGAAAAATCATGGATGCCGGCTCGCGCATTACACTTGGCTCCGACTCTCCCGTCGAAACCATGAACCCTATCGCAGGCATCTACGCAGCGATAACGCGCCTCACCGCAGACGGACGATCGCCTCATGGGCCGGAAGGCTGGTGAGTGCTGCGCACGTCCTCCTCTTCCGTCCCGCCTCGCTGACCTTCCCGCCCATCGACAGGTTCCCGAAGCAGCGCCTCACGCGGCTGGAGGCTTTGCGTGGTGAGTGCGCGGAGCGCAGTCGATGGCTGAGAATAATGTCTGATTGCGGGTCTTTTTGTCTAGGATACACGATCGACGCCGCGTATGCCGCGTTCACGGAGGATCGCTTGGGCTCGTTGGAGCGCGGGAAACGGGCCGACTACGTGGTGCTTTCGCAGGATGTGATGAAGGTGCCGGTGGAGGACATGTTGAAGACGAAGGTGCTTGCGACGGCGATTGACGGCAAGGTAGTATATGGCGCGCTGTAAAGCGCTGCTGCAGATATAACTGTTCTCCGGGATACTATCATTTCATGTAGGATATACAGCATAGTCCATAAAGGAGTACACTCGCTCGGAATGCAATTGTCATTTTTTTTGCCGTCTCTGCTCGATTTAGTGCTGCTTTACGCCCGAGCCGAAACCTGCAGAGAAGGTCCGCTCCGTGCATTCGGACTTCCTTTTGTGGGCACTTCCTCACCTTCTCCTCGAGGACGAGCAAGCGTTGCAGGCTGCTTCACTCCAATGACTGGCTTCCTTCGCAAGGCAGCAAGTCGACAAGTTGTGGGTCCGAGGCGCTGATCGCCCGTGGGGTAGCCAATAATGGCCCGATTTGGACACCCCTGGACCTGAATAATTCAATAGCTTCCGCGCGGCGCCCAAGGAATCTCGGCCCTCGCGGCGCTCGCTAGCCGGCTTGGATGGAAATAAATAATGCCAGGCATCGCCCGTGCCGCGAGGACACTTCTCTCCTCCCACCATCACCTCCTAATACCCTCCCTTCCCCTCACTTGAGCTATGCGCGTCACCCGCGCAGCAGCGGTGCTCGCCCTCGCGGCCTCCGTCCAGGCGATCTCGAAAATTAGCCGGAAAGGCCGCTACCTGTACGATGACAGCGGTTCCCGCTTCTACATCAAGGGCGTCGCCTACCAGGAGCAGGGTGCGTAGCGCGCAGGGCGAAGGGGGAGAGCCGGACTGACGTATACGCGTAGGCACCGTCGTACAGAGCAGCGACAACAGCTTCGGCGAGCCGTCGACGTTCATCGACCCGCTGTCTTCGGGGAGCGCCTGCAAGCGCGATGTTTCGTACCTGCAGGACCTTGGCGTGAACACCATCCGCGTGTACAGCGTCAACTCCTCCCTCGATCATGATGACTGCATGAAGACGTTCAGTGATGCAGGGATCTACACTATGTGCGCTTGGCTGCCTTGGCCTCCTTTGCCGCCTCCTGCTGACCGTCCGCCCAGAATCGACCTGTCCTTACCTTTGAACGGGTCTATTGACCGCGCTTCCCCTTCATGGTCCACAAACCTACTCAACCAGTACCTCACGACTATCGACGTATTCTCCGGTTATGACAATGTTCTCGCGTACAATGTTGGAAACGAGGTCGTTATTGGCGTCAACACGACCGTCGCCGCGCCCTTCATCAAGGGAGCCGCGCGCGACGTCAAGGCTTACTTGTGAGTACTTGGAGTTTCGCCAAGGGTCCTCTTTCCTTACAGTATGCAGGAAATCCAAGAGCTCCGACGTCTTGGTCGGCTACGCAGCCATCGACGGCACACCAAATTGGCGCGACCCGCTTGCGAACTACCTGACGTGCGACCCGAACGGCAAAGGTTCCGGCGACTATGCTATCGATCTTTACGGCCTCAACAACTAGTGAGCTGGCATCTTATCCACGCGTCCTCGTTGTTTCTCACACATACATAGTGAATGGTGCGGTGACTCCACCTACGAGGAAGCATATGCGGGCACGAACGGCGATTACGCCGGCCTCAGCATCCCGGCGTACTTCTCCGAGTTCGGCTGTGTCGAGTCTGGTCAGACGCGCACCTGGAGCGAAGTCGAGGCGCTGTACAGCGATGACATGACCGATATCTGGTCCGGCGGCCTGGCGTTCTCCTACTTCCCTGCGGAGAGTGCGGCTGGTCAGTTCGGCATGGTCACTGTCTCCGATGACGGCAACAGCATCACGACCAGCGATGACTTCAACAACCTGAAGGAGCAGTACAATAAGGTCTCTCCCTCGAACGACCCGTCTTCCAGCTCGGATAACTACATCAACTGCTTCGCCACCAACGACACTTGGCTTGCCTCGAACACGCTCCCTCCCACGCCAAATGAGAAGCAATGCGAATGCTTGGAGTCGAACCTCAGCTGTCAGTTCACACCTGCGACGGCCAACTACAGCACCGTCGTTGGCGAGTTGTTGAACTATGCCTGCAGCACCCTTGGCTCGCAGGGTGCCAGCTGCGATGACATTGGTGCCGACGGCGGCACGGGCACGTACGGTATTGTGTCCGGCTGTGACTCCAGTATGTCCCTTTCCCCCCGAAAGTGATCAATTTTTGCTGACAATGTTGCAGCGATCAAGCTCTCCTACGTGATGAGCCTGTTCTACGAGGCGAACGACAACAACGCGCAGGCATGCAGCTTCAACGGCAACGGCACTGTCAACTCGCAGTCCACCGAGTCTGCGGCCTCTGGCGCCAGCGCATGTGTCTCGCCGTCCGTTTTCACGCCGACCGCACCCGCCAACGAGCCAAGCTCGACTGGAGGCTCTGGCAGCGGTGGTAGCAGCAGCAGTGGGTCGAGCGGCTCGGACGAGAACGCCGCCGCGGATATTTGGGCCGACAAGCGCGCTTTCGCCGGCATGGGCGTCGCTGTTGCTGTCTCCATGGTCAGCGCCGTCTGGACGCTTCTCTAGGCGTATACCAGAGATGGATTTTCGTGATCACGTTCAAGTTCGTGTAATGCAGACTTTGACCACCGCTATGGACTATCAGGCTAGTAATCTTCAAGTGTACCTACTTCACGGCTGTATGTACTGCGCCTTGTACCCTCGTACTCTATACCTTATTGTGCAGATACTATTGAGACTTTGTTTGGAACTTTTGTTGCTGTGTTGTGTTGTCAGTTGCTTGCGTCGAATTGACTCTACGCCACAAAGGTGATGGCCACCGCGTGACGGCCGACGCGAACGTGACGGGCAATTATCGAACACCTTGCACACTTGCCTTGTTCCCCTACCATGAGTGTACGCGCTTCCCCTTCCCCCGCTGCCGTCCCTGACTCCCTCGCACAGTCCGCTGGCCCAGCACCCATGGAGGAAGATATGCTCAGCGACGCGGTTCCCAGCAACATCGTCTCGCGGCAGGTGCGCGTCTGGCGCATTGATGGACATGGGCATATACTGACAACGATGCAGCCCAGCAACGGCGCGAGCGAGGAGCCCGAAGAGGCCCCGGAGAAGGATGAGCTGGAGAGCGAGGGCGGTCAAGACGTGCGTCGCATAATCTCCATACAGATGCACCGACTGACGCGACCCATCCAGGATGCTGACTATGCTGCCCCCAATTCCACACCTAGGAGACGGGGAAGGAAGACGGATAAGCAGAAGGCCGCCGACTCGAGTTTGCAGAAGAAGCGGGAGGAGATGGACAAGAACAAGGTGTGTGGGCATACTGTCAATATGCGCGCCTATGCTAACCTCGCGTATCACAGATCACCGACGCAGTGAAGCGCTATTCCTACCTGCTCGGGCAGACAGATTTGTTCAAGCACTTCGTAGACATTAGGGTACGATCATTTTCGCCACCAAAGACGCGCTGCTCACTTCCCCCAAGCGCGCTCAAGATCCCGAGTATGCTGCCATGATGGACGCACAACCCAAGCCGAAGGGTAGGGGACGCAAGAAGACGATGTTGGTGCCCTTTTCTCCCGCCTATATCCCTGCTGACAAAGCATGTTCGCAGCGATGCCAGCACGCGCCATCGCAAGTCTGAAAAGGAAGAAGATGAGGAGCTCCTGAAAGAGGGCGAGCGCGCCGTTGATGGCAGCGACCAACCCTACGTGTTCGAAGAGTCTCCAAGCTGTGCGTACCTCGGCGAATGCGTTGTGTGCAGCGACTGATCATTTTCACCAGTCATCAACGGAACTATGCGAGCATACCAATTGCAGGGTCTCAACTGGATGGTGTCGCTGCATCACAATGGGTTGAACGGTATCCTTGCAGACGAGATGGTGTGTAGCCCATTTGGTCACTCATAGGCTATTGCCTAACTCTTCCTCAGGGTCTTGGAAAGACGCTGCAGACCATCTCGTTTCTCGCATACCTCAAGCACCACCATGGCATCAAGGGACCTCACCTCATTATTGTCCCCAAGTCTACTCTGCGCAACTGGGAGCGCGAATTCGAGAAGTGGACGCCCGACTTCAAGGCCGTCGTCCTCACTGGGTCCAAAGAGGAACGTGCGGAGATTGTGGCGAGCCGCCTCATCACCGAGGACTTCGAAGTCTGCATCACGTCCTACGAAATCTGCCTCATCGAGAAGAGCGCTCTCAAGAAGTTCTCGTTCGAGTACATCGTCATCGACGAGGCTCACCGCATCAAGAACGTCGACTCCATCCTCTCCGAAGTCGTCCGCTCGTTCATCTCGCGTGGAAGGCTGCTCATCACCGGCACGCCGCTGCAAAACAACTTGCAGGAGCTGTTCGCCTTGTTGAACTTCATCTGCCCTGAAATCTTCCGGGACTACAAGGATTTGGACAGCTTCTTGCACAAGGACACAGGCGATGGTGTGGACGAAGAGGAGAAGAGCAAGCGGGTTGTAGAGGCATTACACAAGATCTTGCGGCCCTTCCTCCTGCGTCGTGTCAAGTCCGACGTCGAGAAGAACTTGTTGCCGAGTAAGTGTTGTCCTTAGCTTAGGAGAAGCACTACTAAGTCGCCACATAGAGAAGGAGATCAACATCTATGTCGGCTTGAGTGACATGCAGCGGAAATGGTATCGCTCAGTCCTCGAGAAGGACATCGACGCTGTCAACGGTCTTACCGGCAAGAAGGAGGGCAAGACGCGGCTGATGAACATGGTCATGCAGCTGCGCAAAGTGACTTGCCATCCGTACTTGTTTGACGGTGCTGAGCCGGGCCCACCATACACGACCGACGAGCACCTCGTTGAGAACTGTGGCAAGATGCTCATTCTCGACAAGCTCCTCAAGTCGATGAAGGAGAAGGGCTCCCGCGTGCTCATCTTCAGTCAGATGAGCCGTATGCTCGACATCCTCGAGGATTACTGCCTCTTCCGTGGCTACAGTACGTTTACCCCTGATCGGGCTCGATTGCTTAGCTGACGCGTGCTGCAGAGTACTGTCGCATCGACGGTGGAACGGCCCACGACGACCGTATCACCGCCATTGACGAGTACAATAAGCCCGACAGCGACAAGTTTATCTTCCTGCTCACCACGCGTGCCGGTGGTCTTGGTATCAACTTGACTACTGCTGACATTGTCGTCCTGTACGACAGCGATTGGAACCCTCAGGCGGATCTGCAGGCTATGGACCGTGCGCATCGTATCGGTCAGACCAAGCAGGTCTATGTCTTCCGCTTCATCACGGAAGGCAGTGTTGAGGAACGCATGTTAGAGAGGGCTGCACAGAAGTTGCGGCTTGACCAGCTCGTCATCCAGCAAGGAAGGCAACAGCAGTCGAAAGGTCAGTGACCTTGAATACCAGTCTAGTACTCGAATTGACATTTTTACAGCTGCCAACAAGGAAGAGTTGCTCGACATGATCACTCACGGCGCTGAGAAGATTATGAACGCCACTGACGAGCTGCTCATCAACGACGACATCGACGAGATCATCCATCGCGGCGAGCAGCGCACACACGAGCTGAACAGCAAGTACGAAGGCCTCAACCTCGAGGACCTGAGCAACTTCAAGTCCGATGCGTCCGTGCAGCAGTGGGAGGGCGAGGACTTCCGGAGCAAGAAGAACTTAAACTTCAACATGATCTCTCTGGCGAAGCGCGAGCGCAAGTCGAACTACTCCGTCGACAATTACTTCAAGGATACGCTGCGCGCAGGCCCTGCGAAGGTGGATAAGGCGCCGAAGTTGCCCAAAGCACCGAAGCAGGTTACTGTGTAAGTCCTGGCCGTCGCGTCGTCGGTCATATGTTGCTCACAGTCTTCGCAGTCAGGACTTCCAGTTCTTCCCTCCGGAGCTTACGCAGCTGCAAGAGCGCGAGCTTGCGGTGCACAAGCGCCTAAACGACATCAAGGCGACGACGCGGGAGCCTGCAGGCCCGGAGGATACGCCAGAGAAACTCGAGGAAGAGCGACAAGCTGCGCAGGAGTTCATCGACACGGCCGAGCCTCTGACCGAGGAAGAGATCGCGCAGAAGGACGCATATATCAGCAAGGGCTTCGGCGATTGGACCCGCCGCGACTTCCAGCAGTTCGTGCGTGGGCTGGAGACCTACGGATGGTGAGTTCACCGGGCCCGCATTGTGTAAGGAGGCTGACAGCGGTGCAGGGGTGCGAGCTTCGACCTCTATGCCTCAGAAATCCCCGACAAGACTGCGGGCGAGGTGGCCCAGTACTACAAGGTCTTCAAGGAGAGGTGGACGACTCTGGCAGGTATGCGCATGCATCTTGTTGGCCTGGCAGACCGAGTACTGACCATATTCCAGACCACCCCAGGATAGCCGCCCGCATCGCCGAGGGCGAGCAGAAGCGCAACAAGCGCCAAAACCTCGAGCAGCTCCTCGAGGAAAAGATCAACTCCGTCAACTACCCCATGCAGGAGCTTGAGCTGAACTACCCGACCACGAAGGGCAAGGTCTACAGCGAGGAGGAAGACCGGTACCTGCTCTGCCGGCTCTACCACTACGGGATGCAGACGGAGGATGTGTACGAGCGCATCAAGAAGGATATTACGGAGTTCCCTGTGTTCCGCTTCGACTGGTTCTTCAAGAGCCGGTCCGCGATTGAGCTGAACAGGCGGTGTAACACGCTGCTGGGCATGATTGAGAAGGAGGCGGAGCAGCAGGCGGCGGAGCAGAAGGCGCAGAGCAGTAGTAGTACGAGGGGAAAGGTGAGCCATTCGCTCATACTCTATCTGGTGTCATGCTGACTGGATTGCAGAAACGGGGCATCGACGAGGTCAAGAAGCAGGACTCGCGCGCGCCGACGCCGACAGGCTCCGCCGCAGGTTCGACAGCCAAGCGGGCGACGAAGAAAAAGAAGACATGAGCGGCATGTCATCTCTTCGTTTGGTACCTCCGCTCGTTTGGTCTGTGTTGTCTTCCTGCTGTCCTACGTACTATTTTCTTGATATATATGTCGTCGTCTGTCCCGCTCATCTACGCATAGATCCATGTAATTCTACAGCCCGTGTACAGGATAATATAGAAATGTGACAACAACCAGGTGTCATGGAGGGTTACAAACAACAGTCGTGAAGGCGAAAGAGGAAAAGAGAATGGTCCGTGCGGTGTATGTGTGAGTTCTTGAGGTGTGTATGGTGCTGAGTGTATTGAAGGGCTTGCAGAAGAGGTGGTTCAAGCGTAGGTGATCTTGAGGAGGCCGCCCTTGCCACTGTCGAAGGTGGCGAGGAGGCCGTCGTCGGTGAGGGTCGTGATCGTATCGTGAATCGGCTTTCCGTCGATCTCGTACGTGACATGCTCGTCGAGCGTGGAATCATAAGGGTGGAGGAGGATGGCTGTCTTCCCCGGCGCGACGTTGGCGTGGAGGATGTGCGTTGGCGCGGCGGTCACGGTGGGCGGCCGCGTGGACTCCTGGCGGACCACCGCGGGAGGAGCTGAGGCTTGGGTGGGGGCCTGCTGCTCAGGAGGCACGGCGGACACTACGGAGCGCGGGCTCGACGGCGTCTTGAGCATCGCCTTTCGCCCGCGGCGCTTGATGACGACGCGGTAGAAGACGACGGCGAAGACGAAGGGGAGGAGGAACATGAACTTGAGGCAGCGGAAGAGGAAGCTGCGGCGCTTGGGAGGTGGCGGGGCGATGGAGCTGGCCGACGACTTGGTCTTAGGCGAAGCGGTTGAGTGCTGCGAGCGCTGGGGGCTGACGGGCGAGGGGCCCGGGGTCTCGGCAGCGGTCTTGGGCGCGGGAGCCTCGGCGACGACCTGCGCGAGGGAGGGCAGGGGCGTGATGACCTGGGGAGGCGAAGGAGGCGGAGTAGGCAGCGCTGAGTCCGCCAACGCAACATGTGGTACAAGGATGGCGGTCTCCACAGGCGGGCCCAGGGTGCGAAGCGGTGCAATCGCGAACGAGCCACCAGATGGCGGTATGGTGAGCTTCACGGTGGGCTCCATGCTCTCGGCGAGCGCGGTGCGCGTCTGCCCGCTCAGCGGACAGTGCACGACGTATCGCATGCCCTCCTTGATACCGAATGGTGCCAACGCCATCTTCACCGTGCGCAGGCCCTGCGAGAGCACGCCGGGGAGGGGCACCAAAACGCCTTGCACCAGGTCGGAATGTTTGGCCCAGAGTACAGCGAAGCCTGGGACCTCGGGTGACATCTCGCTAGTGTGCGAGGCGGGGATCCCAGCGTCGAGGCGGACGACTGCCTTGCCATGTAGCTGGATGGAGCCCGAGGTCTCATCGTAGAGAAGGGACGCGTCGTGCGGGATGGTACTGATGACGATAGGATGAGGGCGCGTGAGGGATGCTGGCGAAGACTTTGGCAGTAAGGCCACGGTCGGCGATCCAACGACACTATACACAGTGATCAGTACTTCCCCTCCCTTCAGAGAATGGACACGCACCCAGGACGCCCCCCAATCCCACAGACCTCGTACTCACTCTGCCTCCGCACTCGCGCGATCACCGACCCCGCATCTTCCCCACCCGTCCGATCCAGCACGCTCTCGCTCCCCACATCGCCCTCCCAAGCACCTTCCAAGTCGACCGGCGGCACCTCGCGCTCGACGACCAGCCTTCCGTTGTTCCCAAACTGTCCGAGCCACCGCACCTGCCCCGATGGGTACAGCAGGCGATATGTGAACGCAAACTCCACCGCGCGTCCCGCCAGCGGGACCACGAGAGGGAGGGCCAAAATGTGCTGCGTCGAGTCCACTATTGCAGATGGCTCGTCATCGAGGGGACCGAGGCTCAATGCACTCTCATCGTCGCCCGCAGCACCCGCCGCATCGATCTCGACAAAGTCCAGCTCGCCCCACTGCCCCGCGCACCTCCCCCCGCCAGGCATATCGGACCACGCCTGCACGATCGCGCCCGCCTTCTTCAGCTCTGCGTACTCCTTCTCATTGAGCACCGCAAGCAGGCGCATATGCGCCTCGCCATCGAGCGAGGGCACCGCGACGCGGGTAGTCGTTCCAAGCGCGGGGTTGAACGCGATCCGCATGGTCGAAGCAGCGGGGAGGGCGATCAGCAGGGAGGGAGGTCACCGGCAACGAAGACGATGAGGGGGAAGAGAAAGGAGCAGAATGCGGGCGAGATCGTCGCCAGGCCGTTTTGCCCTCGGGCAACGAGTGTGCGGCGTGTTCTGCATCGTGCTCGACAAATCAGGCAGGATACAATGGGCGATTGTCATTGTCTGATGGTGATCATCGTCAGCGGCGCGGTCGCGGTCGTTGCATGACATCACATACAGGCATAATCCAGCCGAGGCGTCTATGGTGAGCACTGTACTAGCGTCCGGGAATATACACATAGCAAAGCAGTATACACAGCATACGACAGGGAAAGTAGGGGGAAAGCAAAGCACGGCGACGGGTAAGCAGGAGCAAACGGAAGAATGCAATAGGAAGATGAACGTGATTAACGAGCACGTCGGTCTCGCCGGCGAGGCAACTGAGCAATGAGCTCGAGGCCATCGTCTTCGTATGTGGGATCCCCCTCTTCATCATCAAGATCGGCCCAAAGTTCCAGCATGTCGATCATGGTTGGACGCCTCACAGGCGTGGCCGGCAAAGCAGGAGCTTTCTGTTTCTTCGAGGTGGCCTGCTCCGTCTTGATCTTCTTCCAACGTCTAAGGAAGTATCGTCAGTGGCAGACTTAGACGACTTGGTGAGCAGCTTACTCTTGCCTCGAGACGAACTCGGCGAACTTCGCGCCGCCAGAAGCCCATTCCGCGTTACCGTTATTGGCCAAGGACGAGACGTAGACAGATATAGCGTGGTCGAGAGCAATGTTGGGTATCATGGGCGCTTTACGGTGCACCGCGGTCCGGCAATTGGGACAAACAGTCTTCTTCTACAGTCCGAAGTCAGCCTCGCATCCAAGCAACCAAATCGCGAGGGAAAATCGATGCCTACATTAATCTTCAACCACTGGTTCCCGCACTCCCCACAGAAGCTATGGCCACAGGGGTTCGTTACGTGCGCGGCCACACTGCAAAAAAGAGAAGGGTCAGTGAGTCACTCGACCTTGGGTACCTCCCAAGACGACGCATACATTAGGTCACAGCATCTATTCCCGCCCGTCAGAAATAACCCTCGTCGAAGCGCGCGAAAAGGACTCACATGGGGCAGCTAAGCTCGTCCTCAAACTTCGCGAGAACCTCGTTGACTGGGTCTGGCTTGGCCGTGGACGCAGAGGGCACGAAGCGACCACGTTCGTCCACCCGGGTCCTCTTCTGTGTGTTCTCGCTGGAACCGCTGGGGCCTTCACAGGCTTTGCGTTTGCGGGACGCGGAGGGGCTGGCTATATGCGTGGTTATGGTGTCAGCGCCATTCAGGCAAGGCGTGATTGATGTTTCCACTTACCAGTGATGACATTAGCAGAGGTAGAAGCCTCGCTAGGGCCATTCTCCTGCCGCGTAGCAGTACGCACTGCTGCAAAGGCGAGATAAGCTGTCTGCAACCCCGCTTAGTTTGAAGGCGCATATATGCGTACTCGACTCTGCTTGTGTCAAACCCCGCTCAAGAGCGTCTACGGCTTGTAAAAAGGTGCTATCGAAGATATCATCGTCGCCGTAATCCGTCGATTCGGTGTCGCTAGCGGCCTCATCTTGAACAGTCTGCGGCGGCGGCTCGGGAGGGGCCCCTGAAGTGTTCGCGTTCAGATCATTATGAGTACCCGGACCCGTCGACGAGGGTTCTGCCCGCGTAGTCGTCGATGTCGCCGTCGTTGTGCTGCCCGCCGCCCCCGACAGCAGCGCACCCCACTCATCATCGCCTAGCACGGGGAGCTCGTCCACAAAATCATCGTAATCCGACGACATGGTGGCCACAAGCAAGCAGGATGGGGAATGATGCCTCCGCGTCGGATCACGGGCCGAGGACGCGTTAATCGTGTTACATCACGTGCAGGCCATGTTCATCTTTTTCCGCCTTTTCCCGCGCGGCCGCTCTCCCCTCGCACGCCAAGGGCAGGGTGACAGTAGCCAAGGCGCGCACAAGCCTCCCGCCTTCACGTCGGGCCTATCTCGCGCGCCAAGGGCTTGCTTGGCCGAACACTCCGTTCCGGTTACAGTACGCTGTTCATACGTGTCAAGCGCGATATGTTCACTGAGGACACTGCTTGGATTCCATTGATTACAACTTCGACACGGTAGTTGACGTGAGTATGTTATGTACGATAGGCAGAATAGTAGTACAACAGCTGCTCGAGAGCGTGCAAGACAGGAGATAATTATAGGGGTTCCATGAGGGGTGGGCGGCTGCCACTCGGCGCACGATAGGCGGTGAGTAGAAGCGAAGGATGACTCCACGGCACCGGGCTGCCGTAGTGTGGCGCGGCGGCGGCTACGACCACTAGGTCGCGCGGACGATGGCGGGATGCGAGCTAGTGAGAATAGGCTTTTGGTCGTCTGAGCTCGCGTTGTGCGGGGCCGAGGTGAGGAGGTTGTCGATGGCCATAGAACGCGGGCTAGCACGGGGGGAGCCCTCTGACGAGTTGCTCCGCGAGGAGGACGTGCGGGGCGATAATGGCGCCTGCCCCCGGGAGGTGTGGCGCGGCACGTCGATGGGCGATGGAGCGGGAGCACGACGTCTCCGTTCAACATCTGGGAAGGTGTGCAGCTCACGGTCCGTGGGCTTGGCGTGGGGTGAACGCCCTCGTCGGTCAGAGGTGGGCGCGTAGCGGTACGGGTGATGTCGGCTGTGTGCGTCGCGAGTACGAGACATGGAGGCGGGCGGCGATTCGGGCGTGCGCATGGGATTTGACAGCGAGGCGCGCTCGCGCTCTAGTTCGGTCTGGCTGCCGTGCGATGTGGAGTGATACACGTCGAGCAGGCCCTTCTGCAAGTTGGCGACGGAAGCCAAGCGCTGAGAAGGTATCGTATCAGCTTGAGAATATCACAGATGAGAGATAGATACTAACCTGGTCCTCCGCACTCTTCGCATTAAGCATAGCAAGGAGCATCTCGCGGTCACCGTCCCCTCGGGTGGTATAAGCAGCGAGTATCTCGCGCACTGAAGGTGGTGGTGGCTGTACAACGATGTCAGCGATGAGGTGGTCTCAAAGACGATGCCACTGACCTGCTCGAGAAGGGTAGAGGCAGTCATAATAGCACTATGCAGCTGGAGAGAGATTGCATGCATAACGTCCGTAGACGACTCCCCATACGAAGCCTGAGAGTAGTGCGCGTTCATTGTGGTGGCAGAGAGGCAGTGGGGGAGGACAAGCTGAGGCTGAATGGCGTACCTCCCGTCGCTTTATGCATCTATTTCTGGGGCGCCAAGCCAAGGCTCTAAAAGTAACCTGACTGGCGCGACGCGGATATTGAGATTTCCACTAAAATTAGTCGTTTACCGCAACAGGCCGAGAGCCGCGCAGCAGTCTTGGGCACGTCTTGGGCTTGGCGTCGCAAAAAAGGATGGGGGGCCTCGGAAGACCCGCTCAGAAGATCCAGCAGGCGTGGGGGTCGCGGGCTGTGGAAGACGGAGCAGCGCGCCTGATGGTGGTTGCTCCACCGCAGAGGTTCCCGATGCGAAGACAGATATGTGCGCCATTGAGCGAAGCGGGGCGTGGGGCGCAGGCAGGCGCTCAGACGACGTCTTGGCCGAGATGATGAGGAGGCAAGCGAAGAACATTGGGAAAACTATGTTTAGAAATTGTGCTTGGCGTGACATCCAACTTTGGCAGTCTTTGGCGGATGTCACGCTTCCCCAGGGCACCGCCGACCCATCTCCGCGTTCCTCAACCACCAACACCCTGTCGACGCAGAGTTCACTACATCTGGAGTGCAGGTCGCACAAGCTCAGGATACCTTGACTGCACGGACGTCACCGTTATACGCGCACAGCTTCTGATTTGGACCGGCTTCCGCTGACTAGTAGGCGCCCAACAAGCGCCACACTTCGCACCATCCTATACCTCTTTTAACCGCTCGGCTACTGCTCGGTCAGGCCAATTGAGACTCAGGAATAGGTCCTTCCCTCTTGTCCACCCCCACATCTGTCATGGCCTCCGTCGCAGGCACGTCCTTGGCTGCCCCCGCCGAGTCCGAGTCCGATGCACCGTCTCAGCCACTCCCCCTATACACTTGGCGCGAGTTCAGTCCTGACGCACGCCTTTGGTACTGCAAGACAGTATCCGAGGCCAATAATGCAGTGAACAGGATACGCTCTGACAGCGTAGGCTTTGACATGGAGTGGAAGCCCGTCTACGTCTCTGGTCAGGCGGAGAACCGCGTCGCGCTCGTTCAGGTCGCCGATGGTGATCATATCGTTCTCGTACAAGTCAGTCAGATGCAACGTACGTCAATGACTCCCTAATCACCTCCTGACCCTTGTCTTTTCATGTAAGGATCGTCGCCTGAGCTCACGCGACTTTTTTGACCAGTCTTTCCTGAACAATTGCGTCTGCTGCTTGAGGACCCTTCTGTTGCTAAAACGGGCGTCGGCATAAGTGGTCAGTGAACGCTTATCTCGCTATTGCAAGTCCTCACCTTCTCGTTTAGGAGACGCCCAAAAACTTTACAGAGACCACGGCATCTCAATGTCGAACGTAGTCGACCTTGGTCTTATGACCCGCTCGGTGGACAATGCGAACTGGAAAGGTCCTTACAGCAGCCCTATTGGGCTCGCGAGGCTCATCGACTTCTACGAGAAGCGCGAGCTGCGCAAGGGGAGGATCTCGCGCAGCAACTGGGAGAAGGTACCTCTGAGCGATGAGCAGAAACAATGTCACTTGATTCTTGATATCTGTCATTACCCTTTCCCTGACCCCCTACAGACGCCGCGAACGACGCGCACTGCGCCTGGGTGCTTTACGGTCGCTTGCGGACGTTGCTATCGGTCATGGCGAAGCAGCCGAAGCCCGTGTGCTACACGTTCGATGCCGTGCGCGGTCGGTTGTGCGAGCCCAAAACGACGGCTGAATGGAAGCCTGCTAATCCGGACTACGATCCCGGCCCTCCGCCGCCGAAGCTTGAGCCGTACTTGTGGAGCAAGTTCAGCCCGAACGCGCAGCTGAAGTACTGCAAGACGGTCGAGGAGGCGGACGCGGCGATTTCTGCGATTTCTTCGCCGGCGGTCGGATTCGATATCGTGCTTCGCAGGCCAAAGAAGGATGATGAGTTACCGGTCAAGCACGTCGCGATGATTCTTTTGGCTGACGAGCACTGGGTCATTTTGATCCACCTTGAGAGGATGCACGAAGGTGCGCCGACTATGCTCAGTAATGGAAGGCTCGCTCAGCTCATTACATCGCTCAGCCTTCCCCGACAAGCTACGCGAGCTTCTTCAGAACACTCTGGTCGTTAAAGCCGGTATGGTTCGAGGTGAGGCTTCGTCCATGAGTGATTTGTAAATCGCAATGTTGACGTACGCACCAGGATCCAGCCTACAACTTTACATGCAATACGGCGTGCCCACAGCAAACATCATCGACCTTTCCTTGTTTGCTCGCTCCGTGGACAGCAATCGCTGGAAAAAGGGCAGCTACGAGGACTTACTAACGCTTCGAGAGCTCATTGTTGCATATGATGAACACACCTTCCCGAAAAACTCGGATGGCTTTCCGAAGGACCTAGACTGGCGATTACCGTTGACTCCAGAGCTCATGCTATGTGAACATCCTTGTCGCTGTTATTGTACTCGACCAAACTGACTCATATGCAGACGCTGCTAACTCTGCGCACGGCCGGTGGCACGTGTACACCAAGCTTGCCACGCTCCTGAGCAAGATGGTCAAGCAGCCGTTGGCGGCGTACTACACCTACGATGTGAGCTCGGGCGCGCTATGCCACCCCTGCACGAGCACACCCTGGGTGCCACATAACCCGGATTACAAGCGAAGCGCGCCCGCCGGTAAGGGCAAAGGGAAGGGCGGCCAACAAAAGAAGCCCCCGCTCAAGGGCGCACAACAGCGTCCTGTGCCCACGACCGCTCCCCCTGGCGGGTATGGCAGAGGAAGCGTGCCTCACAGCGGCAGAGACGCACCATCGACAAGCACCGTCCCACCAATAGTTCACACAACTGGGTATATTGAACCCGTGTCTGATGCTATTGCTGCCATCCGAGCTCGCACGGCTGTGCGCCAGGTTTGTCTTGCTGCCTTTCTCTGCGTGCCCTTCGCTGAAATCTTGCATAGGCTCGCCCGCGGCCCTCCAACCCAGGCTCTGTCAATACGATGCGCGAGAAGGCGCAAGCTCGCCAGCAACCGGACCCCTCGTACCTCGCGCAACGCGGCGTTGCTACCGCGTCGCCACCGCAAACTCATCAAGAATCAGCGCCCTCCACCTCGGGCTCGACTGGCCCCCCGAAGCGAGGTGGGAAGGGAAACAACAAAAGGCGGAAGTAATACAATGAAGGAATCCAGTACCTCGCTATGCGCACGTACTGTTTTGTAACGCACTCACATGTCCAGTATCCGCCGGCGGATACCTCTTGCTGATCTACCTACGATGATTCGTGCTACTGTCGCCGCTGTCCAATCCGTCGCTGTAATTGCTGTTACATATGCACGCCTCTGTATACATGTAGTAAGACACTCCTCTGTACTCTTTGGTCTGTACTCTTTGATATCTTGGCTATATAGTGCACTCTACCCTTGGAAACGCTTGAGGGACGAGAGAGATAGATTTGCCACAATATCCAACCGTGACCGTGACACTTGTCACTTTGCCCCTTTCTTTCCCTCTCTTCCGACAACCACTAGGTTTCGCCATCGGATCAGCTGTCTCTCTTGCCCCGAATCTCTCCTCCCTGCTACTTATACCCTAATGCTGCTGCGACACAATTATCTGTTCACTGGAACACTTTTCAGTTCCAGTGGCGTCTACACTAAACCAGTGCCAATAAGCGCCGCGCTACACAATCTGGCTAGCAACCTCGCTCAAACCTAATTATCACTGAGCAGGAACAGAAAGGAGCACCGCTGACCGTCGCCTACGCATAACATATGTATGTCGCTCGATGTCATAGATACATACCTCAAGCTGAACCATATCGGTCGACGAAAACGGAATAACACCGCCCGTACACATTCGATGCCATCGCGGGCCACTTGCGCGAGGCGAAAGCGGGCGCGTTGTGGGTCCCGCCAGACTTCGCTCGCGTATGATGCTGCCCACGCTCTTCCACATATGTATCAATATTTCCACCCGCTTTGCTCTCATTCTCCAGTCGAACAGTCGCTCAAGCCTTACTCAAGGTCACTGTCATGGCAAGTCAAGTCAATGCTAAGAAACGCAAACTGATCAGTACGACCACCACGCAAGCGACGCCGTCACAGACCGACCGAAGTCAGGTGGCCATCTGGGACCACCGGCTTTTAGCTCAATCCAGTCGACGTGACCACCCACTGTGACGATCGTTACTTTCCCACTGCGTCCTTACTTCCTTCCTACCTCCACGTTCTGACAACCGTGATCGCAGTACTCAATCTCCTCGCAAAACGACATCTCTGCTGCTTGAAAGGAACAGATTCTGGAGCTCGACCACAGATCAGGCATCCCGCAAACACCCAGCTGTTCGCGATATCTTCGACTCTTCTCATTGCTAGCTGACATCTATTACGGTAATAGGGCGCTCGTACTCCTTGTACATCGAATATCACGGCATTCGACGTCGACAGGTCTCGCGAAGGGTTTATGGCGTCTCCGTCGCTCCCACCATATAGCTGGCGCGAATACAGCCCTGACGCACGCCTCACATACTGTGCGACAGTTCACGAGGCGGAGGACGCTGTGAAAGGTATCAATCCTCGCGTAGTCGGCTTCGACATGGAGTGGAAGCCCAGCAAGAAACTCAATCGTGTCGGGTTGTCGAATCATGTCGCGCTCATCCAGATCGCGACTGATCATGAAATCATACTCATTCAACTGAGCAATATGTACAGTGCGCACCTAAAGGAACCCTTTTGACCGCTGCGCCTCACTGACCACTTGTACAAAGCACAATGTCGCCACAAAAGAGCCGAAAATCGTTGGTGTGGCCGCTCCGGATGCCGCAGATTTCCTCGACGCCTCAAGATGCTGTTGGAAGACCCAGGCGTCATCAAGGCTGGCGCAGGTATCAGTGGTCAGTCCTTTTTCACACCGGACCTCTTGCATACCCACGTGCCACCACAGGCGATGCGCAAAAATTGTTCAGTGATTGGCGGGTTCAAATGTATGGCTGCGTCGACCTTTCTCTATTGACACGGACGATGGACAACCCCAACTGGGGAGGAAGCTATACTGCTCAAATAGGCTTAGCCGAGCTCGTCGCTTTTTACGCTGGGCACGAACTGCAGAAAGGATTGGTCAGGCTAAGCAACTGGGAGGCCAATCCGCTGACTCTCGAGCAGCGAGAATGTAATATAAAGTTCCATTCGGTTCAGTCGTCCACTGAAACACCTTTCAGATGCTGCGAACGATGCACATGCCGGCCTATTCCTCTTTTATTACCACATGCCTTCGCTGTTGTCATCCTGGTTCACGCGTCCATGGAACGGGTACTTCATGTTCGACGCAGTCGGTGGTCAACTATACCATCCTGGCACCTCGACACCCTGGGTTCCACTCAACCCATTTTACAACCCGCGCCCACAGAATTTACAAGCAGGCTCGTATTCATGGTCAGAACTCAGTCCCAATGCCCAGATTCGATACTGTTGGACGGCGGAAGATGCGAACAGTTGCATATCGTGCATTTCCTCCGGCGTCGTGGGCTTTGACTTCGTGATCTTCCAGCTCCCTGATCACCCTCGGCCCCACATTCCTCTGATACTTCTGGCGAACGACGACTGGATCATTGTGATCCAGATCGGTGATTTGCACCGAAGTACGTGAAGTCCCACCATCTTGGCTCGGTCACATGGCTCACGACCTTCCTACATCAGCCTTTCCACAAGAATTGCGTCGACTGCTTCAAAGCCGGCGTGTCATCAAAGCGGGGTCTGTTGGAGGTAGGTCACTCGTTCTGAACTGCCGGTAATGGACTGCTGATTCGCTGTAGCGAGCGTACAGAAGCTATGCGAAGCGTATTCCCTTTCTGTCACAAACCTCGTCGACTTGCCCCTAATGGCTCGCTCCGTGGACGAAGCACGCTGCGCTTCCGGCAGATATGAAGACATCTCTGCCTTGGTCGCTGCCTACGAAGATCGCTCGTATCCGGATGATACCAGCGCTCTCGCCGGCGAAACTTGGGCGGATGTCAATTGGGATGCGGCATTGACGGAGGATTTGATGTCTTGTAAGCCTTGCAATGCTGTACCACCCGCCTCCTCTCATCACCTCGGCAGACGTCGCAAACGCGGCGCACAGTCGCTGGCACCTGCACACCAAGCTAGCGGGGCTGCGATCGGCTATGAAGAAGCCACCACAGCCAGCCTGTTACACGTATGACGCGACTGCCGAATATATTTGCGACCCGGGTACAGACACGCGTCGAAATGTGCGTTCTGGCGAGGCCAACGACCTCACAAATCGCTCGCCTATCATCCAGACGGTCACTAAGAAAGATCTGCAAGACGAAGCAAACGCTCGTGGGACGCCATCCACGCCTGCGGTCAAGCTTGCCAGGACAGGATCCGAACCTTCGAAAGCAACGTTCTACGAAACATCAGCGCAGGAGAGATGTTCTGTCCAGGCCCCATCCATCAACAGCGACGTCCTTCGCGCCCTTCGCGAGAAAGCTGTGACCCAGAAGGTGTGTTGGCTCCCCACGCTAGGCTGAGCATACATTTGTTCACCCTGGCATGTTATAGGGTCGCGTGCCGAAATCTCAAGCGCCGGCAAGTGTTGCGATCCCAGGCAAGAAGCGCTCCAAACAGAACAAGGTAGGTGTACTTACGTGTCGCACGCACTGCGCTCGGGGAGAGCTAACATGTCAAATAGAAAAATGAACAGAAACGGTCGGGGCCGCCCCCTGTCTACCCGCCACCAAACGAGGAGACCGCCCCGTCGCGCCGTAAAGCACGCAAAGCCTTCTTCACATCCAGGGCCACCTCTATCCCCAATGTCGCACCCTCACGGGTGATTAATTTTGTGAAAGAATCTGGGACTCCTACTGTATCTTATGACAGCTTTCGCTTCTGATTTTTCGCCATCTCTGTACTTCTACGCTCCTCGATTGCTATGGTTCTTGCTTGTACTTACGACCTCTTTGTACGAATATAGCTGTGATTGACGAATTGAATCGTATGATCCTCGGGACACAGATTCAAGGCACCTCATAAGCAAGGTTGCATAATGATGGCGCAGCCTTTGTTTGTTCGCTTTGTTTGGCCCTTTCGCCAACCTTCTCCAGCTGCATCCCTCGCTCACACGCCCATTTCAAGATCAGGAGCATTGATAGCTCTCTACTTCTATCAGTATATATGTTGCTACAAGTTGTTTTCGCACTTCTCGTGCGCTAGGCACATTATTAGAACTACAATACTTCGCTCGTGTCATGGACAGCGCCCTGTGTGCATCAGCCACGGCCCTTGCTCAACGCTCAACAGCCACGACCCGTGCTCAACAGCGGCGCCCCCATCCATCGTCAGCGAAGACCCATCGGCAGCACCCTTCCAGCTGCCTTCCACATCCTGCGCATCAAGGCGCATGTATACAACCCACTGCCTCGCATGGGGTGCTTACGACGCGAGCGTCGCCTGCTGGAGGACAGCAGCGCGTCTTGCATCGCGCTCGGCCTTGATCTCCGCCGCGAGGATTTCGTCCGGGTCGCGACCCTTCACCTCGGGCAAGAGCAGCGTGAAGCCCGCGCCAGCGATGCAGCAGCCGAAGAAGACTGTCGAGACCGTCAGCATCCCTTCTTGGACCTACGTCGAAAGGATAAAGAACTCACTCCACAAAACCGCCGGCGTGCCAATATCATCTTTCAGCTTGTTGAAGGCGAGCGCGCTGATGATGGCGCCGGCCTTGCCCGCAGCGGCAGACGCGCCATGCGCGAAGGCGCGGAAGCGGGTGGGGAAGACCTCGGCGGGGTAGCAATACGTGGTCGTGTTGGCGCCGAAGTTGAAGAAGAACTGGAGGAAGGCGAAGCAGACGATGAAGCCCGCGGTCGGGAGGGTGTTGAAGGCGCCGGCGAGGATGCCCACTGCGAAGGGATTGTGGTCAGATCGAGATCATGAAAGCGAGAGTAATGAGACAACGCACAGAACAACGCCGCGAGCAAGAAGCCCTGTATCTGTATCCATTTACGGCCGAGCTTCTCGATGGTGAAAACGGTGGCGTAGTACCCAGGGACAAAGCCGAGCGCAGTGATGATGATGTTGCCAGTGCCGATCTTGATGAGGCGCTGGTACGGCGTGCCGTCCTTGCCATCGAACCCGATCTCCTGAAGGACGACGTTCTGGTTGAGGTTGATGCCGTAGAAGGCAACGTCGAGGAGGAACCAGCACGAGCAGGTGCCGATGAGCAGCTTCGCGTGCTCCCACTTGGAGAAGTAGTGGATGAACTCTGCGACTTTGATTAGTATATGCGCAGATTGTGGAGGCGAACATGCGTACCCTTGAAGTGGGCGGGCTTCTTCGCGACCTCCTCGGCCTCAGGCTCCTCGGAGTTCGTTGTCGTGGTGGTAGTCTCGGGGGTCTTCGACAAGTCCTTCATCTCCGCCTCCTCCGACGCGCGCTGTTGACGCTTCAACTTGTCGATATCATCTTCCTCCTCCTCGACAGCATTCTGCTTCTGCGCGTTGATGAAGCGCGAGGACTCGCGTAGGGTGAGGCGCTGGTAGAGGGTGCCAAATGCGGGGACGAGGGACAGGGCGATAACGATACGCCAAACTGAATCACCTGTTAGCGATGATGATCTGCAGGACATGCGCGATCGGACGCACCTCCGTCGATGCCACTCGTCCCGTCGCCGAGCTTGTGCTTGTAGCACGCGAGGACGACCAAGAAGACGATGCTGCCAACCAAGCTACCCCAGCCCTGGTTGCTGAAGATGTAGCTGAGCATGGTACCCCGCTTGCGCAGGTTGGACCGATCGCTGGTGACACTGGCCGACATCGGGTAGTCGCCGCCGACACCGACACCGAGAACGATACGCCATATTGCCAGGTAAATGAGGGAGCTCTCGGGGGAGAGCGCGCCAGTGGGGGTGGTGATGCTCATGATCGTCGCGAAGATAATGAGCATGAGCTCCTTGCCGTAGATGGCCTTGCGCCCGAGCGCGTCCGCCATGTAGCCGAACGCGAATTGGCCGATGACGGAGCCAATGTTGGCACCAGCCTTGACGAAGCCCTCGAGATCGGCGGGGAGCTGGCCACCCTCGTAGAGGCGGAACTGGAGCATGGTGGCGACGGGGTTGATGATGAAGAGGTCGTACGCATCGAGGAAGAAGCCGACGCCGGCGATGCCCAAGAGCTTGAGCTCGGTCTTCGTGAGGATGTAGGGCGGCCTGGTCGAGTTCTCGCGCTCGAACTCTTCGAGCGTGGATCGGTTGGGCATGGTGGCGGCGGTGGTGGGGGTAAAGAGTGAAGTGGAGTGCGCCGGCGGTTTCGTCAGTACTTATCGTCGGAGCGCGCACGTTCGTCGTGTCGAGTTGTTAGCGAGCTGGACGTCGGCGGCGACGTCGTCGGGTGATGCGGCCGTGGAGAGCCCGTGGAGTCTCGTTCTCCCTCGATCCATCTCCCGCTTTTTGTGTCGTGTGCACAAAAATCCATTTCAAAACGGAACTCGGCGGTCGGCCGGGACCAGCTCGGCTCGGAGACACATATACCGGCCCCTTCCCCGCGCCCTCTGGGCCCGCCGCCGTGCTCAACGACGCCCCCTTACTCGGTCGTAGCTTCTTTGTTCAGTAGAGATGGCGTATCCTATGCGCTCACGCCCCACAACCAAAGACTGGAGCCACTAGAGCGCCTCCTAGTCGCTCAACTGACACTGTTGAACACCGGCGCTGCACACGATCACCTACGCACGTTCGTCGGATGCTATATCTGGACAGCGCTTTATGCCCTCTCCCAGCACCAGGCGATCGTCCTCGTATGGCCCGCATTGAAAGCAGAAAACCCCAGTTCCTTACGGCCAATAGGGAGGGGAACGAAGTCCAGGCTCCGGCGCGACATAGCCAAGATGCCCCCGCGTGCACCGCAAACGCTTGGCTCACAAAAGGTTCCGAGCACGACTTCAACAAAACTGGATTCCATCGCAATCGTTGTCCAGTGAACTTGCCTTCACGATGCTATAGTACATACGCCTGTTCCCCTAGTCCTCAAACAATAGCGACCGCCTACAGAATATTCTTCACCCTGCTAACCATTGCCTGATCTACCTTCCCGCTGTCAAACTCCTCCCTTGCCTCCAATGCAAGCCCGACCAATTCCTTCAACACAACAGGAAGCTCTTCATGACCCTCGACCGGGCGCTTCAGCGGCATCGCCTCCTCTGCGCTGCCCGCCCAGCCACTAACACTGATTTCGGCGTTGCCCCCACCTTCCTTGGGGACGATGATGCGGTCGATCGGCTGCCCTGTCGTCGGGCGCGCGACTTGCCATAGGTTGCGGAACATGCCCGTCTCGGGAAGCGCCGTCGCGTCCGTCGCGTGCGCAACCAAGGCGTCGTGGTCACCCTTGGGCACCAGGACGACGCGGCCGAGTGAGTCGACTGCGACGTGCTTGTCTTCCACCTTGTCCGAGAACAGCGCGAGCGTGAAGCCCTCGGGCTCGACCTTCGTGCTCCGGAGGACCGCGAGCGCGAGCGCCTCCCTGCGCGGCGTCCAGTGCTCGGGCGCGGGGTGCGGCGCGATGCGCTTGTACCAGCCCTTAGGTGTAGCAACTGTGCTCATAGTAGCGCCCGTGTACCAGGATAGCGACGAGGGGATGTAGGCGGGGATATCGATCGCGGAGGACGTGAGGAGGTAGTAGAACGCGACGGCGCCAAAGAAGAGGCTGACGAGGACGGAGGTCGACGCGCGTACGGTGGGCATTTAAGTAGCGGTGGGTGCTGGGGCGGTGGTCCGCAGCGATGAAGTCAGGAGGAAGGTGCGGAGGCCTTATAAGGCTGTGGATTGTGAGCACGGCGCCATGTGCTTCGCTTCGTCACCGCGTGCTCTATCAAGGCCATTCAGACGCGATGGGCGATGACGACGTTAGGTGGCGTGTGCGGTCGTGTACTGTCGTGTCCTTCTGAGAGCGTACGAGATTCGCATACGTCGAGAGTCGTCTGAAGAGCTGAATGCATCTAGGCATGCCAGAGAGCACAGTAGAGCCCGATCACGAGAATGCATCGGGAGTGCTAGAAGGTGCTAGGCAGCCGCATTCGAGGTGGGAAACGATGCCAAGACGAAGTGAAGGAGCGCAAACATTGTTTCAGACCTTTCAAAGGGAGCGAAGAAACACGACAGGCGTTGGGAGAACAGAAGATTGCCGGCATCCTCCGAAAGCAAACTGTGACCGTTACGTTACGATGAACCTCTCCTCGCATCATTCAAAGTTCGTGTACGATGATCCATATTCGAGTCTAAAACAAGGCGGTAGTGTCTATGGGAAGGTGCGTACTGTACGCGAGCCTAGACTAGGTAAGTACGAGAGTAAGGTATTGTGATATCCCATGATTCCAGATTGCATCCGCCACCACCGTCTATCCGTCGTGCGCAACGCGAACCCTCCGAGAGGACGTGCTGCCCCTTCAGGGCTGCGCATCTGCCCTTTGGAAAAATTTGCATGTCCCTCGAGGGAATGAGGCTGCCCGCGAAGGGCCTGCACATGCGCACCGAGGCACAACAACTGTTGAGAGCTGTAGTCCTCTCCATCTCTAGCCGTCTACAGGATCCCTAACGCCCGCAACTCTCGCCGGAAACCTTCCATCCGACAGCGCGCATAGCCAATGTAGTCGAACTCAGGCTCCTCAACGGCCGCCTCGATATCGTCGCGCGCCTGGACGATGCCCCAAATAGCCCACATCGCATGCGACGCCGGGCTCCAGGCGCGTACCTGATCCTCGAGCACGCCGAGCCAGTGGTCGGAGACGCCGACGATGCCTGAGTGGTCCGCGTACGCTTTGTACATGTTTCGGCGCTCGTCGGCGGTGGGGTAGCGGGTGGGGTCGAGGAGGTGGGGAGTGTCGCTGTGGTAGTTGGCTGTCCACTCGTGGAAGTGGTTGGCGATGTCGAAGGCAGCAGGGTTTGGTGCTGCGTACTCGAAGTCGACGACGATGATCTGGGGAGTATGTATTAGCTATGAAATTGGATCGATGATGGACCACACACCTGTCGATGCTTGGGCACACCAGGGCTGAGAGCCTTCAGCCGGAGAAGGTTGCCGTACTGTGTATCGTTGTGCGCGAATACACGTCGGTTGCCCGCCTGCTCGTCGTCCACCGTAGCTAACCACTCGGTGTACTTCCGGAACTCGACCTCGAATGCGTCAATGTCGATCTCTCGCCGTGCGGCTTCCAGTATCGCAGGAAGCGAGAGCACATCCCGCGCATGCCCGAGCCACGACTTGACGTTCGCCGTAGCTGCTATCTCCCACTCTGCGCCGTCCTCCACGATGTCGATGTCGACCGAGTGCAGTTCGGCCATGCGTGCACCAATCCATCGGCTGATCTCGGGGTTGCGCAAGTCCTCCGCCGAGAGCGTGGTGGACTCGAAGTACTCCTCGACGCGTCCATTTGCAAAGGTGCCGTATACACGGGGACCAATGTGGTAGCGGGAGGAGAGGATGTGAAGGGTGTGGAGTTCGCGCGGGCGGGAGATAAGCTCGCCCGAGGACGGGCCATAGACGCGGAGTAGCAGGGTGTGTGCGGAGGGTATCGATGGGCATGAGATGAAGAATACGGCATTCGTCATCGAACCGGAGACCTTGAAGACCTTGATGTCCTCAGGCGCGATCGACGCGTGATCCCATGTCGGCACATTGATCGTGTGGATGATGTCAAGGACGTTTGCCGCGAAGGATGCGTGCTTGTAGTGCCTGGGACGGACAGAGTCAGCGAAGTCGACTAGTGCACAAGGGTAAGGCAATGCAAACCGTGGCAGCGATGGTCACACTGTCTATCCTTGGCATGAGATGCGGACGGTGGGGGAAAGGGCACTCACTTTGCTTTCAACGCGACGGAGGAGTGTGCCAACTCTTCTTCCTTGACAACTTCGGGTAGGATGGAAGATCCGGTGGAGGACGAGGAAGTCGTGCTAAGCGACGACTGATGGAGGGGCCTAACGGGGCGAACGGGTGGTAGGGGCACTGCGGAGGCGTCCGGTCCGACTACAGGTGCGGCCATGTTAGACCCGAGCATCTTGGATGGTCGCTTGTGGAAGTGCACGCGGTGGGGATGGTGAGGGATGCGGTGCAAGAAAGCCTTCACGTCTCGCGTGACAGGTTGCTGGTGTGACTGCATTTTTTTATTTGTTCTCCTGTGTTTGTTCGCTGACCTTCTTATCGTGTGCTCATCAACGGGCCCGGCCTCGGGGTAAAGGGCTGGGCAGAGTCGATTTAGGCGAGGCAAAGGGTGTATCTGAGGACGATGGCGGTAGGTCCGAAGCTGTTTCTTGTCTTTTGTAGACCCGAGCTCGACTTTTGGCTCCCGGGATGACGTCGGTCTTCCTTCACACCATTTCCGGCGTTCCTAGTTCCATTCGGAAGGTTTTATGGCCCAAAGAGATTGCCAATTCTGGCAGCACCTCCGACGCCACAATGTGTCCAACTTGCCTCCCGCAACCACCCTCAGCGTGAAGCGAAATAAACCAACATCTGCGCAACCTCGCCATGAACGTGCCTTCATCTTCCAGGACTACCTCAAGGTGACGGGCAGGCCTAATGACGTACGGAGAGATAGCGTTGGCTGATACTGCAGATGCATCGCCATCTGCGTACCTGGCTCTGCCCCACGCTGCATTGACTGTCCAACATCGCAGGGCCTAGGGGACCTTTGTGTGTCCGTCAGAGTCGGTGATGATCCAAGAGGAACGTCCTACACATCTTTGGGCGTGGGTCCAGAAGAAGGGTTGCGCTCAAACAGACATCAGCAAGTCAGCTGCCTGCGAGCTGTAGGAGGTGCATTGTACCCGTATCCATCGGATCTGAGGGCAACAATGGCTGCTCTTCTCAGTCGAGTCGAATGAATGCAGATCTAGATCGAAGCAAGTCATATTCTGGAATAATAAAACGGGAGAAATACAAAACTACATGAGTACAGAGTTCATTACAGACGAATTAGAGGATAGTGGTAAGGTAAAGTGTTCTACATTGCTTCATTGGTAGTCCTTTTCATACTGCTGTCGAGGAGCTCTCGGGTGTGGACGAGTGCTTCTCGTCCAACTCCTCGCTCGGCGTGGGGATGGTGCGCAATGCAAGGGAGGCCTGCAACATATCAGCGGGACAGTCGTCGGGCAGAAGACGTACAAGCTCACCACGAGGGCCAAGCCGATAGCGGGAGCACACACCACCCAAACCGTCTGCAAAGCCACGTTTCCATGTCAGCCACCTGCCCGAGCCGCAGAATACGAAGCGCCGCACCCGGATCGCGATCGCGACGACGTGCGAGACCTCACGGAGCGCGTCCGGCGCGAGGCTGTTCAGCCTTGAGAAATCGATGGACGAGTCCCAGCGGAGAATTGAAATGTCGGGCGGGAGGAGGTCGGATAGACGCCCATAGAATATAGCACCCGCGACGGCCTGGACATGCACATTGAGCGGCTAAGCAGCGCAAAGCGGTGCGCGAAGAGCACTAGAAGGAGCGACATACCAGCCCGATTGTCGCGCCGGTGAAGCGCACGAGGAAGAAGGCACTGGTTGCGGTTGCGAGATGCTCCGGCCCTAGCGCAGCTTGGAACACCTGGTAGGGTGCGTGGAAATTCATCCCGAGGCCACAACCGGCCAGAAGGGGAAATATAATTTGTGCCGCGCTCTTCGACCGCTCGTCCAGCAAAATCATGAGCCCTGCGAAAGGAGCGGAAGGGAAGATGAATGGGTTGAACGTCAGAATTTTCTGTCGGCCGAGCGAGGGCGGAAGGGCGCACCAAACCCGAGGGTCGAAAGCGTCAGTCCTGCCCAGATAACGCAGTTCTGTCCGCCTGTATCCTGGCGGCGCTTTTGCCAGGCCGTTATGAAGGCAGTGGGCGGCATTGACGCCACGGACGCGCCGAGCGAGTAAGGGAGCATGCGAACCCCAGCCTCGAGTGGGGTCATCCGGTTTACTACCTGTAGCCGGTGAGCGACGAAATCTCCCCGTGAAGCCGAGGAAGACGCACCTGATAGTAGAGCGCCAGGTAGAAGGTTCCGGCGCTGAAGACGACATTGTGTAGGAAAGTCACAAGAAGGAGGGAGGCTGTAGCACATGAGATCGGTATGGCCGATTCGGGTTCGACTAGAGCACTAACGTACCGGTCATTCGCTGCTTAAAAATCACAGCGGGGAAGAGGCAATTTGCTGTCCGTATGTAACCCTCATAAATCGCGCCGACGAGGAGGACTACAGCGCCAACAATTATGAAGGCAAGCGTGGAAGGTGCGGTCCCTGGCAAAGCGTGGGGTCAGCTAGGGTCCTCCATGAGGCAGGAGATAGCGCTTACAACCATGAGGGGCTGCGAAGCTGAAGCCAATCAGGACACCGATGGTGCCGCAAATAAAAAGAACCCTTCGGAACAGCGTCAGAAGGACATACCGGAGTACTCAGATGAAGAGCGCCCTTACAGCCCAGGGAAGTCAAAGGTCTTCCAGATGCTCTTCCACGTGGTCGGCGACTTCGCGAGGACGGGTACGTGGCGGAGAGAAAGTACAAGGATGGTCACGGATAAAGCGCAGACCGGGCCATTGAGATAAACTGCCAGAAGCACGGAGTCGCATCAGCTAGCGGTTAGGGTAGAGTGCATAAGACGTACAAGCCCAGCGCCAGGACGCGCTGCTTCCTGCTCAGGGTATGAGTGAGACAACGAGGTAAAGGGCGAGTAATGCGCACCGCTGAAAACGCCTCCGAGCAATGGCCCTGCCACTGCCGAGCAGGCCCATGTGACGCTCAGAGCTAGGGACCAGTTTGTGCGAGAGCGCACAGGGACGACGTCGCTGTTGATGACCCAAACCGAGTTGACTATCCCCCCGCCACCCGCTCCCGCGAGAGCTCGCGCGGCGATCAGCATGCGGGTATTCTAAACCTGCTCAATCACTGGGTCCGGGTCGAACGGGTGGGCGTACCTGGGCAGCGCCACAGAGCATAGACCCGACGGTGAAAGCACTCATCGCGCTGAAGAGCAACGTCTTCGGAGCGGGGAGGTGAGCGGGTTGCATCGATGCGGGTACGCGTGACGAACCTTGCGTCCTACAACATCGGAGATCTGGCCGTAGAATGGCTGGAAGGCGGTCTGCGTGAGCAGATACGCTGCGGCGTCGTCAGACCCGACGAGCGGCGTGCTGTGCGAAGAAGGCTAACCGACGGTGATCCAGGTATATTCATCTTCGGTTGCGCCGAGCTCAGAAGTAAGGGTCGGCAGGATTGTGGAGACGATGTTCTAGGGTAGGGTGAGAAGGACAGGTGACATGGAGGGTGTGGGCACGCACTGCATCCGTCGTAGCCAGGAACAAGGCGAGTACAAGGCTGTTGAACGATGGGCTCAGGGTCTGTCAAGTTCCGCCGGGAGGTTGGCGTACCCTAGATGGATCACCAGCAGGTGGCTAAGGGACAGCTCCTTCCGGCGGTGTGGCGTTGGCGTCTCCTCGTGCAGGGTGTACGAAGAAGTCGCTGAGAAGGGTCGCTCCAGACTGGAGGCCTTCTCACTGTCCTCTACGCAAGTCGTCATTGACATGGAAGAAGCGTCTTCGCGGGGAAGAGTAGGAAGAGCAGGGGTGGCACCGGGTAGGTCTTGACCAGACATCTCGCCGTCAGCTGGTAGTCGAGGAGGGGAACTCGTCAGTGCCATTGCAGCCCAACCGCGCCCTCATATATAGGACACCGTGGTTCATATCTCCCCCATCTTCATCGGAAGGAAGGCATTCGTCCGCGAGGCTGAATAATCTCGACACACCACCTGCAGCCCTGGGGAAGTGAATACTGGCGCGAAGACGATGCTCGGTGACCGCGCGTCCAAAGGGACCGTTATGGCGGGTTTGACTCGCCAGTTTGGTCCAGCCGCAGGCGCCGACACGCACGTAGCGCTGAAGCACGGAGCAGCAAATCGCGCTCGAGCATTGACCAGAGGGGAAACCGGGCAGCCAATCTTGAGATGCAAGTTGAAATGTATGGGGTCGGAAGCGTCGGATCGGACGTGTGTAGTGCGAGCGCGCCTGTAGGCCTTTCAAGTCCTCCGGTTGATGTTGATGCGTGAAGGAGCGCGTAAAGTGGGGTAAGCTCAGCTGACCCAAAGGCAGGTTGATATGATTGCCGCGAGTGAAGGATTGCCGTCCAGGGAATTTGAGTCTCTTGTCATATCTTCCCATCTATGAGTACAGCGTGCCAGAAACCTACTCCACGCTCGGCAGAATGAATACCGAGCATGACGACTGACGAGCTGGACGGTCGAGAACCCGCCTGCACCGACGCAAGCTCGTCATGCGGAGATGGCTGAAGCGCACTCAATGTCCGATGCACCCACATAAAGAGTTTAACGACAACACGTCCTTATTGAGGCACGGCCCCACGCTGTTATGAGAGGAGGAAGGCTAGCATTGAATGCTGAATGCAATCAGTTGCCTGAGCGAAGCCCACACAAAATGATACACATGCCTTGTAGCCAGAAGGAGTTGAGGCTAGCTGTACGTTTCGCTGTAATTACAATGGTCCTAAGTTATCGATATGATAGTATGAGATCGCCGGTCTCTCCATGGCTGATACGACCCGCCCGTCAGCCGGTAGCTCGCTTCTTCTCAGCCTCGTCATCCGCGGGTGGTTCGTTACTCTTCGTATCCTGCGCGTCTTTAGGGCCTGTCAATAAATGAGCCATGAGATACTGCCTCAAACGCGGGTAGACATGCCGGTCATGAGCGGAGCACTTCTTTGAATTTCTGCCAGGCGCTCGAAAGCGAGCCCGCCAACTTCGACGTCCATGACCGTTCAAGAGAATAAACCGTACCGTTGTCCGTAGTCCGATCATCAGATGCCGTTGATGAACTTGAACGGGTCCGGCCCTCTATGTCATCAGCGTAAAGTTGGATGAGTTCCCGTTGGCGCTGGGTGAGGGACCTGAGGAGTGATCAGCGTGCGCAACACGAGTGTGTCCAAGGGGCCGCTTACCTCGGGAGTTGGACTGAGAATTTGACGAATAGGCTGCCGGTTTCGCCGGTGAAGGTGGGCGCCACCCCACGGCCCTTCAACACCATCTCCTCGCCCTGCTGGGTACAGCTTGGCACACGCACGTCCACGTCGCCTTCGAGCGTCGGAATGCGAACTTTGCCGCCCAATAATGCAACGTGCATTGGCACCTTGGCTTCATGGTACAGGTTGACCCCTTGACGCGTGAAGACCTTGGACGGTGCCACCTTGATGCGCACGAGGAGGTCGCCCGTTGGGCCCTTGCCGGAAATAGGTGAATCGCCAGCCCCGGGAACCCGTACCGTCATCCCGTCCTCGACGCCTGTCAATAGGATCAGCGTGTGCCCGGTGATAACTTCGGGCTCAATAGACACTGACCTCTAGGTATGTCGACGACGACAGTCTTCTTGATCCTCACTTTCCCGACGCCACCGCAGGAGTTGCACTCTCCATTCCGCGGGATCGTGCTCCCTGCACCCTTGCACACATTGCAGGTGGTGGCCATCTGGAATCCCGAGTCGATCACGAATGTCCGCTGTCCGGTCCCTGAGCAGGCGGAACAGGTCGTCTTCTTCATTCCCGCTTTCAACCCACTGCCGGAACAGCTGGCGCAATCGACGATCGGCTGGACGGAGACGTTACGACGCGTCCCTTTGCATGACTCGAGGAAGGAAATGGTGATGGATGAGGTGAGGTCCTCGCCCCGCATGTTGGCGCGACGGCCCGCTCCTGCGCCCCCAAACGAGGAGAATAGCTCCTCGAATAGTGAGCCACCGCCCCGAGCGCCTGCTTGGGCGCCAAACGCCTGGGCAAAGTCGTGGAAGCCGCCGAAACCGCCGAAGCCCCCACCGCCTTGGCTGAACATATTGGGGTCGAAGCCAGGCTGCTGAGACGCTGACCCGAACTGGTCGTACGCAGCGCGCTTCTTCTCATCCTTCAAAGTCTGTCATGGTGTACAGGTAAGGAGGGGTGTAGACGCCGGAATTGAGTAGGGGAACGCACGTCATACGCTTCCTGTATCTCTACGAACTTCTCCTGCGCAGACTTGTCCTTGTTGGTGTCCGGGTGAAACTTTCGTGCAAGCTAACGGCATATGAGACAAAAGCAGGGACGGAGATGAGGAAGGGGCGCACAGCGAAGTAGGCCTTCTTAATGTCCGCGGCGGACGCTTTGCTGTCGACTCCCAGGATTTTGTATGGATCCTTGGGAGCTCCTAAGGGAGAAGTAGCGTGCAGGTACCGCTGCAGCAGGGTTAGTTACGAAGTCCGCATTGGAGTGCATAATAGACGCACCCGGTTCGTGGGATAACGCCTGGCATGGCGGAGGGAACCGCGGCTAGGCGCCTCTAGCCATTGATTCCGGACAAAAGAGAAGGCGCGGCGACACTGTCGCGAGTGGGATGCGCCGCAGTATGTGAACGAGAGTGCTGAGGCAAGCGACTGGGACGGAACGCGCGGAGCCATGAGGGATGACCAAAACGGTGAGCGAGCCGCGGTGCGCGTCGCCGCGATCAAAATTTATGTTGACGCGTATTTGTGCCGCGATGTCGAGAATATTCGACAATGCGCGACGCGTCTTGCTTGCTCCTACCATGTCCAGACTATCCAACTTGCTTGCAGACTCCCTCATGTCCGTCCCTACCATCCCCTGGATCCACCGCTGATCTCAGGGCACCTCCGTTCTCTGGCGGACTATCAAGCAATGACCAGCGCTTTGGCGGCGCAGACTACTCAGGCTCATCTCGGCTGGAACGGCTTTCTGCACTTTACGTCGTCTTCTGCACCCACTCTGCGCCTACAAGAAGCCCTCCGCATGTGTGTATCGCGCGCTCGAAATGCTGATCCTAGTGCCGTCATCGCGTCGCAGGCAGGCAAGCAGTTATTGGGTATGAATCCCGCTCCGTTCGTTATTCATGTCAACAGACGCGCCAGTAGCAGCGTGCAAGGCAAACGAATGACGACCTCGCTCGCTAGTGCTATGCAATTCGACGGCTTCACGACGGCGGCTCCTCGCCATGCTGGGTCCTTGCAGTCCACCATCCTTTGCCGTACGACACCAGGATCTCCTCCCCCTTTTTTATGCACTCCGTTCCACTCCATATCGCAATCCGTAACTCCCCCGATGCCGCATGCCTCTCGTCCTTGAAGACTGCGTTGGGCTTCTGCCGTACTCCCCGGTAATCGTTCACAAATCGCCCCTCATTGCCGACCGTACTAGCATCGATACCGATGCTCACACCGCCAGGAAATCGGTGCAGACAGAGGTCATAGTCCGACTCGAGGCGCTCGTCGGCGTGCACCTCCCCTACGGGGTTCCATTCAGTAGGCTGCCTTTCAGGCTAGAGCAGATAGGTCGGCGGACCGATGTAGTAGACAATACGGGTTCTCGGCGGAATCTTCTTTGTGGCGAAGAGGCCCAGCTGGCCTGCTGCCGGATGCCCAGCCTCACTTATGCGCCTGATTCCGACAGAGTGCCGGGATGCATCATCAGCTGCAGCGTGGGACGAGGTGGTAGCAGTGCCACGTATAAAAGCGCGTGCGTCAGCGGGGACCGATGTATGATACGTATACACCTCTGTATAGCGCAATCCAGCCGGCCAGTGTGGCGGAACTTTGGGACCCATCGGGTAGCAGCTAACGACGACACGGGGGGCGAAAGTCAAACCTGGGCTTTGGCTTAGGCGTGAAGAAAGCGTGGGAAACATGGTCGCGCGCGATCATCAGCAAACAACGAGGGCGCGGGTGGGCCGTCTCCTTTCGCAGCTCTTCTTGCGAAGCCGCCATCGTCCCACTCGCCCGAAATCGATGGGACGCTCAGCACCGCCCAAGTCCGTCGCCCGCGTGTATGCGGACGTGAACCAGCGGCTGGGCCCGTCATGGCACGAATATGGTGGGCTTTCTGTCCCTCCGGACCCCATGCGCGTGGCTTATCATGCTATTCTCCCTCCCCAGACAACCTCCAGGTCCAGTGGGGACTGCAGGATCACTACGAGATCGTCCGCAAGGTCGGAAGGGGAAAGTACTCTGAGGTGCGTGTGCGAGTTCTGTGGCGACGCAAGCGACTCAATATATCCCTTCCTGCAGGTCTTCGAGGGCATAAACATCGTGACCGAGGAGAAGTGTATCATCAAGGTCCTCAAGCCGGTCAAGAAGAAGAAGATCAAGCGCGAAATCAAGATCTTGCAAAACCTTGCTGGCGGCCCGAACATCGTCGCGCTGCTCGATGTTGTGCGCGATCAGACGTCGAAGATCCCGAGCCTGATCACGGAGTACGTGCACAACGTGGACTTCAAGGTCCTCTACCCCCGCTTCACCGACTACGACGTGCGCTTCTATATGCTCGAGCTGCTCAAGGTGCGGCGACGTGACGATCGCGGAGATGCAACTGCCTCGACACTTACACGTCAATAGGCGCTCGACTTCTGCCACTCGAAGGGCATCATGCATAGAGATGTCAAGCCGCACAATGTCATGATAGACCACGAACGCCGAAAGGTCCGTATGCCCTAAGTGCGAGATGGATGAGACGGGCTTAGGCTAACCGCGCGCCAGCTCCGCCTCATCGACTGGGGTCTAGCCGAGTTCTACCACCCGAAAACGGAGTACAATGTCCGCGTAGCATCGCGCTACTTCAAGGGCCCCGAGCTGCTCGTCGACTTCCAGGAATACGACTACAGCCTTGACATGTGGAGTTATGGATGCATGTTTGCCTCCATGGTCAGTAATGATAGGCGCAATTCGCTCATGAGGGATCCGCTAACCTCTGCACTCGCAGATCTTCCGCAAGGAGCCGTTCTTCCATGGGCACGATAACTACGACCAGCTGGTGAAGATTACCAAGGTTCTCGGCACGGAGGAGTTCTACGCGTACATTGACAAGTACAACATCCGCCTCGACTCGCAGTTTGATGAGCTGCTCGGCCGGTACGGCAGGCTTATTCCTGTCAAGTTGATCTCCGTCTGACTGGCTCGTCCCTAGCTATCCTCGTAAACCGTGGACGCGCTTCATCACGTCGGAAAACCAACGCTATATCTCCAATGAAGCGATTGACCTGCTTGACAAGCTGCTGCGTTACGACCACCAGGAGCGCCTAACAGCCCGCGAGGCGCAAGGGCAGCCCTACTTCGGTACGCACTAGCCCAACTGCATGACGGCAAGCACCCTGATCTGTAACCCCGCAGATCCCGTACGGAATGCAACTCCAGCCGACGGTGTCGAGTCGGACTCTGTGTCCTCGGGTTGAAAGCGCGCCCTCTGGCTGAAACGAGGGTACCATCGCCTAGCCCGGTGCGCGTGTGTGAAAGTGGTCCTTTGCTATACCGGCAGCGCTAGCTGGACTTGACGGTCACCCCCGTCCTACGCTGCCTCTTGTTGTGATTGCCGTCGTGTGCTGAGTTGGGTGACCATATAGTCGTGCTGTCTTTGTACTCGTAGAGCTGTCTTTCTGATGTATGTATAATTTTTTAGCGAACACCAAGCTTTCTGAGCACACACCAGGCCAACATCGAACTTCAACGCTGTGCCTCTGCTACACGCAGCGGTGGCGTGAGAACCGGTATGGGTCCGCCTCCTCGATCACGTGTGGAAGAGCCTGCTGAACACGAACCGTCGTGAGCGCATGATGGATGTCCACCAGTGGAGACGGGTTGCTGCTTCTTCAGGCTTCCTCTGCTCTGCTGCGCTCCTTGTCTCCTCTCCTCATCTCTCAGCTAGTCTGTGCGCCTCCTTTTCCAGTACGAATATATCGTCGACGCCCGCAAGATAGAGGGCTGCTTCTTCATTGACCGGAACTTCCCAACGCGCACTCCCGAAGTTGAGCCCCTTGGTTGAACTACCGCGCGCCATATCTTCACTGAGCGGTACTGAACGGTAAGCACACGCTCGACGAAAATAAGGAGAGGTCAATGCTGAACAAGCCCTGCTCTTATCGCCAGCACTAGCCCTCTGCCTCCTTGAGTACCTTGGAAAGGCACAAACCGCTTTCAAGCCAGATGGGGTCCTCTATTGAGAAGCGCCCTGCGCTGGACGGGCGCCGTCGTACGACGCGCTGCACAAAGGCTCTCATTGTCCTCTCCACATGGTACGCCCTGAGCATGGATAGACGGGCTGGGCCAGGAGACTGACTCGTTGTGCTTATAAGCGCGGGCGCCCTGTTGCTGCTTCTCTGCAAAACGCAGGGCTGTCAGGCGATTTCTGAACTCGCGAATTATCTCGCCGAGCAAGTGTCGACCATGATGTGGGGACTGAAGACTCTTGCGCTGCTCGCGTTCGGCGCTGGACCGGTCATGCGGACTGCTGCATTCGACAACTCGCGGTATGATAATGTGGGTATATGCGCATTTTTGGTTGCATTTTCCCACTGACTGGATGGTCGTAGCTCGTCGTGTGAGTTTTGAAAGGAATTGCCGCGGTCAGGTGCTCAATCGGCATAGCTACTGGGGCCAGAACTCGCGCGGTGCTGTGGATGGTACGGACACGGCCAACTTCCAGAAGGACATCAGTTACTACTGCAACGTGAGTTTTCTCCTTGTTGCTGCGCATTGTTCGACCTTTTGGCTGATATTCTCGAAGGACGACAACATCAATGTGCTGCCGGTCTCGTTCGTCAATGTATTCTTTGGCACGGGTGGCGCGCCAGAGATGAACCTGGCCAACTCGTGCAACAACGTAGATAATGCGACATTTCCTGGGACCAAGCTCCCGAACTGCGCTGCGCTTGCCGACGACATACAGTACTGCCAGAGCAAGGGGAAGCTTGTTACTCTCAGGTAAGCCTCGCGTTATTTGCGACTTTTGGACCTCTGCTTATACGATGGTTTTGTAGCCTCGGTGGTGCCACGGGTAGCGTGGGATTCGAATCGGACGACCAAGCGACTACCTTCGCACAGACGATATGGTACGCCAAGAAGCCCACGCCTGCAAGGGTTATGTGCTCACACACGCTTTAGGAACTTGTTTCTGGGGGGCTCGTCGTCTACGCGGCCCTTCGGTGCTGCCGTCCTCGACGGTAAGTCTATCCACCCGGCAAGCGAGGGAAGACTCCTGTACTCATGCACCACCTTACCTTACCTTCAGGCGTCGACCTAGACATCGAAGGCGGCTCTTCAGCGCACTACAGCGTGTTCGTCAATGAGATTCGCTCGTTGGCAAGCGGAGCTAGCAAGAAGTGAATACCCGTCCTCGAGTCGTACATGCGAACGCTGACAGCCTCTTCCCAAGGTATTACGTGACTGCTGCACCCCAGTGCGTGTACCCCGACGCCTCGCTGGGCGGAGTCCTCAACGCAGTGGGATTTGATGCAATTTATGGTGCGTCGGGCTTTACACTTTGAGGCGCGACTCTACTTGACCGAACGCATCCAGTGCAATTCTACAACAACCAGTGCGGGTTGCCCAACTATGGGCAGGTTAGCGTGAGTGAATATCACCAGATATTCAAATGGCGGTGATTGACGCTTCGTCACAGAACTGGAACTTTGGGACTTGGGATTACTGGGCGCGTCACGTCAGTCCGAACCCGGACGTGAAGGTCTACATCGGCGCGCCGGCTAGCTCTGGCGCAGCTGGCTCGGGCTACGTCTCGAGCTCGACCCTGAACAACATCGCGACGACGATGAGGAAGAGCTTCCCGTCTTTTGGAGGGGTTATGCTTTGTGGGTGTTGCCCTTTCACTGTATACTCCCCTTCTGACGTTTTACGCAGGGGACGCTTCGCAAGCTGTTTGTAAGTGGCATCTTTTCTGCAAGACTTCCTCCAAGACCTGACGAGTCTCGTAGACAACGGCAATTACCAGAACTCTATCAAGGCAGCTCTGGTAGCGGCCGGCGGCACGGGCTTCACATACCCTGCGTGCTCTGCGCCCACGTACACCCAGGGGACGTCCTATTCGGCGGGCCAGCAGGTATCTTACGACGGGTAAGTGCAAGGTTATAACCTGACTCGGTTGTCAATTCTCATACTGTTCGTCAGGTATATCTGGCAAGTGCGTGCGCGGGCGATGTCTTTGGTTAGTCTAAGGACTGACCACTACGTTCCAGGCCAAATGGTACGCCGACCAGACGCCATCGGCGGATTCTGCTAGTTCTTGGAGCCCCAGTAAGTCCATCATCATCTTCGCAGCTTGGACGCACTGAAATCTTACTCTTCGTAGTCAGCGCATGCTCCGGTTCCGGCTCCGGCGGCACGACGACTACGACCTCGCCGACGACGACGCCTACGGCCGGTCAGTGCTCTGGTGTAGCGGGCTGGGATAGTACCGTCGCGTATAACGGGGGTGCTACGGTGGTTTACAAGTACGTCTTCCGAGTCTCTCATAAATCGCTTGATTCTCGTTACTGAACAATGCATTCAGTGGACACCTCTGGTCTGCGAAGTGGTGGACGCAGGGGGACACGCCGGGCGGTGCGTAGACAATCCGGGCATCTAATCGATAGCGCGCTCATTCACACCTGCAGGCTCTACCAATGATGGTGTATGGGTTGACAAGGGTGCTTGTTAGGATACTACTCACCCGAGAGTATATCCACTTTTTGCATATTCCCTCGCGTCTCTTCAACGATCATGACGACCGCGCACTTCTTTCTCTTTGCTTTCGTTGCTTTGAACACACGATTAAATATGTATACTTACGGGAATGACACGACCTTTGATATCGCTCACTGTCGAACTGGCAGCAAAGCGAACAAACAAAGGGGACAAACAAAGCAGCAATCGGATCGAGGCCTATACCAGTCTTCAGACACTTCGCAACTTCTTCGTCCGAGGGTCCCGACACGGGCTCAGGAGGATCTCTACAATGACGATCTACAACGCGAAACTGGCATCAACCCCATGGGACTCTGGCGCCAACCATTGCATCCGCCAAACGACTCGGCGCGAGCCATTGGAATTCAGTGGCTGAAACTCTGGTGATCACTAGTGCGGCCGCTGCTCCCTTGAGTCTTGACCCACAAAGAAAAGCCGCGACCCTTCAACAGACTGATGTCCCCTCGTCTCTATCGTTGCGCTGAGACAGACCTGCCTCAACGTCGTGAATGATCCCACCCAGATCCTCCACGCCGAACACACGGCATCTTCGTCAACAAATCGTTAGTCATATATTGCACCCCTTCCGACATGCTTGTGAAGAATAAGGATACTTCGTTGTATAGCAGAGGTAGAGGATATAGGAAAGACAGAACACAGGCAAAATATGTATTGAAGTGGAATAAAAACATTGTTGCAGATGGGTGAGAGACGATGGATGCGATGAGAGAACACAGAACCGAGGCAGCAGTAGTAGTAATAAACAATCAAGACCGCCGGCGTGCGCGTCGCCTTCGCCCGTTTTGCGCGAGCGGCTGGCGCGCAGGGACCGGCGTAGTCGGGATATTCCTACAATCAAAAGAGATACGAGTCGTGTCATCGTTTCGTTCAGCAGGGCAAGCGGGGAGTGGCGAGGGGGAGGGAGCAAGGAATGAGATGGAGAAAAAGACGATGTCCGTCCGACCGCGCGGCCCGGGCAAGGCAACCAAGAGACAAAGAGGATAATGACAGATCAAAATAACATGCTCCCCGCGGACCGTGGCGTGATCAAGGCCAGGCCGTCTTCTTGCCCCCGCCGGGGACGAGCTCGGTCGTCGTCCAGGGCGAGTTCATCGGGCGCTCGCCAACGGGGCTCGCGCTGCTCTGGTACTGCGCCGGGGACGGGGCCATGGCGCGGGCGATGGCACCCCAGTTGCCGGCGCTGCTGCCGCGGACGTGACCGTTGATGCGCCCACCGTCGCCCGAGAGCGAATACTGGTGACCCTGGTTCGCAGGCGTGAGACCTTCGGTACCCTGCTGGCTCGAGTTGGACGGCGTGTGGCGGTGGCCGGGACGCTGCTGCACGACTGTTGGCACGATGTATAGATCTAATACTCGATCAACTTACCTCATTCGAGCCGACGATGTTCAAGCGCGCGCTGAGGTGGCGGCCAAAGTCCGGACCAGCAGTCACGGGGCCCTGCGCCGGAGCGGGAGAGCTACGCTTGTTCACGGGCTCCGGCTGGGAGAACATGATGTTGTTCCCGGGGAACGTCGGGTAGGCGGACTTGTTTTGCTTGTTGATCTCCGGGTTGAGGGCCGAGGTGTCGACGCGCAGCGCACCGGGGCGCAGGAGGCCACTGGCGGAATTGACGTCCACGGGCGTGGTCGGGGCGTTCTCGCGCTTGATGCGCGCAAGGAGGGACACCGGTGCGTCCGAGGGATCGCTGTTCGTGCTGCCCGAGCGCGCCCGTGCATCCGGGCGCTGGGCGGCGCCATTCGCATTGCCGTCCGCACCTGCGGGGGGTGGAGCACCTGCGGCGCCCTGCGGCAGCTCCGTGTGGATGAAACAGCAACGCTTGCCATACGGGCACGACCCCGACACCCAGAACGTCTGTCGATCCGTTAGCATCAGAACGATAAGCAGCACGTGTCACGTACGCGACAGATCTCCGTCTTGTACTTGGGGTGCCGCTGCACGGTCCTCAGCTCTTCCTCGCCGTGCGCGAACTGGCACTTGGCGCCGTAGCGGCACGTCCCCTTCTCCTCCCAGCTGCGGCACAGCTCTGTCTTGTAGAGACCCAACTTGCGGTTGTTCGCGGATGGACCGTTAGAGCTAGCGTTGGACCGTCTGTCATCGCCCACGGGACTAGGGCCAACGCTAAGAGGGACGTACGACTGTTGAGCATTGTAGCTCTGCTGAAGCCTGGCTGCGGCAGCCAGCGCCTGTGCCTCCGTGACACGACCGTAAGGGTCTGCCCCCGGTCCGTAAGGAGGCGCAGGCCAGACGGGGTGCCCCAGGCCGGGGTAGATGATGGGGATGTTACCCGTCATGAGCGCGAGGGTGGCCTGGTCGGGGACGTTGGACGAGTCCGAGATCGAACGCTGGTGAGAGCGAGGGTAGACGTTGTGCTGCTGTTGAAGACGGGCGATCGCAGGGTGGTTCTCGGGTGCTCCAGGCAACATCATGTCATATATCTGCTGGCCGTTACCGAGTGATGAAGAACTTTGATGGCTGCCCAGATAAGTCATCATGCCCGTCGACGCTGGGATCATCCCGTGCGCCGCATAGCCTCGGGGCGGCGGAGGCTGCCGATACGCGGGCGGAACGTTTGCAGGAGCGGGGCGGCCGTTGGCGAAGTTGGGCGAGCCCTGGGGGATCGGGTTGTAGTTGCGGTGGGGCAAGCTGTAGTCAATCTGGAGGTCGTCGCCGTTGGCGGCCTCGGTACCCTGGACTGGAGAACGGTAGTCACCCTGCTGACGCGGGGCGGCCTGCGCCATTAGCGAGGGGTAGGATGGCTGATCGACGGGGCTCATGGCGTCCCACTGTTGAGAGCGCCCGTTGTCGTTGCTCTGGTCCTTGGGCGGCGAACCAGCGGCCTCGTCGTCGCCAGACGTCTCACGCGAGTGAGGGATGGTCTTGGCGCGCGTGGACCCATCGGGTGAAGAGTCAACGCTAGGAGCAGACGATGAGTCGAGCGGGCTGGACTCAGTCATCTGGGCGACAGCATTGCTCGCGGCAACAGACTTGGGGGGAGTGCGCGTCCGACCGTTGTCGTTTTGGCCGGTCACGTCGCCGATCTTGAGCCGCACGATCTCGTCAGCGAGGTCCCAGCCGGGCTCGGAGGAAACCAGCTGGCCACTGCTGTTGACGCGCCAGCGGCTGGCGTTGAGCGGCTCGGCGCTGCCGCTGTTGTCAGTGCGGGACGGCATCTTGGTTGAGTTTTTGTGAGGAATCGGACGGTAGACGGTCAGATGGGGGTGCCAATTCTTTGGGGTGAAGATGGTCAGCGGAGGGTCGTACATCGATGGGTGGCACCAACGCACCTCTAGGTTAGATTCCTTGGTGTTGGTGAGATGGAGGGGCGAAAGAAGAGAGTCTTGCGTGCCAAATAACGTCGGGGTTGAGATCGTGACTGCGTCGTTCATTTAACTGAGTGTGAATGGGTTCATGAGCAGGACACGAGGGGCCAAGAAGCGTACCAGTAAGTTAGGGCCTTGTTCTGTGTTGCAGAGACAAGAATAAAGAGAGCAATAAAGCAGTCCCGATAGATAGCACCGTCGGAGGGTGGGCGGACGGTGGGATACGGGCAGATATATAGGCGGATCGTGAGTCGTAAGCTGGCTTTTGGGGCCTGGTGCGCCGAATCTGCGCCGGGTGGACGACAGAAGACGACTGGAGATGGTGGAGGGAGAGAAAAGAGGCCGTGCGCAAGGCGAGCTTTTTGATGGCAACGTGCCCGGCGTTTGCCAAAATCACCCCCTCCCTGTTTCGAATAATTTACCCAATAATTCTAGTGCTTCCACGATCGCGGTTGTTCTGGCGAGGGGACCCTGGGGTCGAGTGCGTCGCTTGCTGGCAGGAGGCAAGGAGTATTTCCTACCAATAATTCCCTTTCGCGAGTCCGGGCTCACGTCACCGCTACCGCTCGCCCGGCCGGCAAACTTCCGTTTTGGGACGTTGAAGACCGCGTTGGAAATTCAACCACAAGTTGAGCAGTCCTGAGGCGAGTACGGTGACGCGGAGAGCGGGCCGGGCTCGGCTCACGGAGATGATGAAGAAGATTCCCACGAGGTTACTCTGTAACGAAGTCTCGATTGAAAACCCTTGCCCTCCTCCCTTGGAGGAGGGCCCTTTTATACCTACAGCTGTAAGTAGTCATAACTAGTCACGGAGTATATATACGAGTCATAAGAAACCAGGAGAACCTCAAGGAACTCCAAAGGAAATACCCCCGCGAGGGGTGAAGGCAGAGCACGTGGCGTCGGCTAAGGCCGAGGCGTCACATACCCCCCTCCAGCGCCTTCTAAGGCGCTCTGTAAGTACAGTAGCAACCAGTAAGTAGCACGTATGTATAGAATAGAAACGAGTCTTTGTTTTTGTATATATTTCGAACCTTTTCTGTAAGTAACTTTCGAGCCGTTGTTCTGATGATCTCTAGTAAGTAGTAAGTAACTACTGGTTCCCCTTGCCCTCGCGCCGCTTGGCACGGTTCGCCTCGAAGGCCTGCTGGCGGCGGGCGTTCGACAAGCGCCCCTGCATCGCCTCGATGGCCGTCACCTCACGAAGGAGGAGCTCCTCGTTGGTGGGCTCGGGCACCTTGCCCTCCACCTCGTCCATGTAGCGATGCGCGGCCGCTCCGCTGCTGATGTCGAGGATCTGACGCACCCAGAAGGTCCGATCAATGCGCTGCTCGTCGGGGATGGGTCGGACTTTGCCGGTCGCGAGGTCGATCGGGCACATGTGCTTGCCGAAGTCGGCGCGCTGGAGGATTTCCACGAACTCGGCATAGCCGGACGGGACCTCAACAACGTCGTGGCGGATTCCAGTAGCAGTGATGCCGTCGCTGAAGCGCATGTACTCGACGAGGATGGTGAGTGGGATGCGGTAACTGAAGAGGTATTCTTCAGGGTCGTTGCGCGCGTAGATAGGGATGACGAGGCGGCGTCCGCGGATCTCCCACGTCATGGGAACGATGCGGCGGTGGGCGAATTGGGCCGGGCCACGTGGCTTGGCGCGGCCGAGGAGGAAGCCGTCGTCCTCGGAGGCGCGCTTGGCGGGCGTCGTCTCAGCGGCGGCGGACGGAGGCGCGGTCTTATCCGCACCAGCGTCGGCGGCGGCGTTGACGCGCGGGATGGGTTGCTTCATGACGTCGGAGCGCGCGGCTTCCTGCTGGCGGATGCGGTCGGCGATGATACCGGCATTGTACTTGGCGCGGGCGGCCTCCTTTGCGCGGAGCGCGGCGGCGGTGTCGACAGGCGGCTCGCTGTCGATGAGAGTGGAGGCGGCAGAGCCGGCGGCGTCGAGGACGGACGACATCGTCTTGGGCGCGGGTGCCGGCGGGGCGGCCTCGGAACTGGGTGGGTCGACATCCATCGGTTGGACCGAGTCCGCCTTGTTGCCATTTTTGATCGCCGGCGCCGTTTTGGCCTTGGTGTGGGAACGGGTACCGACACGGTTGACGTTGGGCGAAGGGGAAGGAGAGTTGGGAAGCGGAGGTAAGGTAGAAGTATCCATAGTATGTATGTAGAGAGAGGAAGAGGAAATGGAGTTGGTTTGGCATACTGACTGTCCATCCCTTTTAAGGGGATCCCAGCTAAGCCCATTACCCGATTCGTCGTGAATCTCGCCATCGGGAACACGAGGCTCGATCGTGAGTTCGAGATTCCCTACATACAATTGGATATCCCCGGGGTCTGGTTCAGATCCAGCCGGGAGATCACCCGCTTTGTCAACGCCAAGCGCCTCAAGGTACTGCTTGACCTTCTCGAGGGTGGCAACATTCTTGATCGGGATCCAGGACATGTCGCCTGGCTTCCACTTCACCTTGAGTACTGCATCAGCACCCTTGCCGTGATGTCCCACAATCTCCTCAATTGCCCATTCTTTCTCCCAGGCACCGAAGTCGGCCACCTGAGTCTCAAGGCGGCCCGGAAATAGCCGATCATCATTGGGAATATGAATTCTCAATAGAGACGCGTGGAAGCGCGGGTGTATTCCCCGCTGCTTCAACTCCTTCGGGAGATCAAGAAGGAAGGCCTCATTGCCTAGATCCTTCAGGATGCGGTATGGTCCAATGAACTTGGGAAGTAGCTTACGAACGCGGCCCTTCGGGAAGTTCATGTTGGCAGTTGAGACATATACTAGATCGTTCTCGGCAAAAGGCGCGCGGATGCGGCGTCGATTGGCATCACGTGTCTGCTTGACACGCGCGGCGAGCACTGCGTCATGAGCCTGCATGATGGCCTGCTTGACGCGGCGCGCATAAGTCCGCACCCCGGGATATTCCGTCGTGGGTGCGTCCTCCCAGATCATGGCGCGGGGCATGCGACCAGTATTCAGGAAGAACGGTGCATACCCCGTGCTCTCCGAGCGCACGGAGTTGATCGCAAACTCAACCGCCGGCAATTTCAGGACCCAGTCCGATTGAGCGGGCTCGACGCATTCGCGTATCATCTGGACAACTGTCCGATTGGCCCGTTCAGTTGATCCGTCGGTCTGCGGATGGTATGCAGTTGACATGCGCAGCTCCGTTCCGATCAACTTGTGCAGGTGAGTCCAGAATATGCTCGTGAAGAGCGAATCCCGGTCACTGACTATGTACTTGGGGAGCCCATGTAGCTTATAGACTTCCGCAAAGATAATGTATGCCAGAGTCTTGGCAGTCACATTAGTACGCGTCGGAATAAGATGTACCATGCCGGTCAGCAGGCAGATCACGACGAGAAGGTAATTGAAGGTCCCATTGTGATTCTCGCTCTCGGGAAAGGGACCCGTGAAGTCTATCCCGATAGCTTCCCAAGGCGTGCCAGGCACCGGCAGGGGATTCAATAGCCCGTACGGCTTGTGATTGCTGGGCTTATTCCAAGCGCACGTGGTGCATGATGCGATGAACTTCTGCACATCAGGCACCAGCGTCTTCCACCACACCTGATCACGGAGCACGGGGATAACCTTAGCGGCACCGAGATGCGCGAGTAAGGTGTGTGCTTCCTGAATAATGAGTCCTCGCACGGAGCGACCACTTTCCTTGATGTTCGGAATGCACAGCAGACGACGAGAGTCCTGCTTCAGGAAGATGAGTCCGTCAACCACCTCAAAGTTTCGGAAGTGACTGGGTTCTTCCAATATCTTGGCAAAGAACGGATCGTCCTGATACTTATCCCGGATCAAATCTTCAATGCGTACACCCCGTGTGTGATTGGGTATAGCCGTCAAGATAGGTTCCGTGAGGCTAGGAGGTGCGATATCATTATCTTCGTCACCTTCCGCGCCGACCGAGGTCGAGACACGTGTTTCCTCTGCTGAGGCTGGTGTCTCGCCTGTCGGGTGTTCTGGTTCGGATTCCGACATCTGGACAGCACTAGGTATGTCTATATTCGCATCCTCTGTGATTGGGCTGCCGACGTCGGGCGACGACGGGCTGTCTTCGACAGCGCGCGAGTGCGCGTTCTCTCGGGTACCCGAGGGGTACTCGGAAGATGCCGAATGTGATGTTCCGCTGACATCACCTCGCGTGGCTTGATCGGAAGCAAACGCGTGATGAGCTGGCAGCGCGTTCTGCGCTGCTTCCTTCTCACTCATCTCGTCTTCAAACGCGTTCGGGTCACTTGCAAAAGGTTCGACCGGGTCGTCTCCCCCCTCCAGACGCGTCGCGCGTCTATCAGAATCGCCATCCGCCGCGTGATCGCCCACAATCAAGCGGACGGATCCTTTCTTCGCAGCGAGTCGGCGAACCCAGTCGTTGAAGGCCTTCGTCGAGCCTTTCGGACGACCGCGACCACGGCGTGGAGCTGCGTCGTCCCCGCCTTCTGGCGCAATTGCCAGGGCGCCAAGCTCGGTCACAAGCGGCCGAGTAATGTCCATACCGTCGTAATCGACAGAGCCATCCTCATCAAAGGATGTATATTCAGAGGGAGAGCGCAGTGTTCCAGGTGCGTCGCCCTCGTATATGCGTGATAGTGCATCAGCTAACACGTTATCCACGCCCGGCAGGTACACGACCTCGAAGTCAAACTCGCCCAACTTCTCAAGCCAGCGCGCTTGCCGCCCCGAAAGGTTTGGCTGCCGCAGAAGATGGACGAGACCACGATGGTCAGTCACCCACGTAAAGTGGAATCCCTGAAGTAAGTCGCGATGTCGCTGCATTGATTCCACGCCAGCTAACATCTCAATCTCATGTACAGGATAATTCTGCTGAGTCGTGCTCAGCTTCGCGGAGAAGAGCGCGATTACCGTTCCGGTACGCCAATCCTCCCCTTCAACGACTACTCCTGACAAAGACGACTTAGAGCCGTCGGTCAGAAGCCAAACGCGCGAAGTGGGCTTGCCATCCGGCCCGAGGGTGATGCCTCGGCGTGAGACGCGCTTGCTCGCGCTCACCAGCCGCTTGCAATCCTCAAACGCGCGCTGCTGCGTGAATCCCCACTCCCATCGGTGAGTTTCGCCGCACAAATCGTGCAAAATGCCCAGGGGCGCGGCGATCTCGGCGACATTGTCGGCGAGCCAGCCCACCGCGCCACAAAATGCGCGAACTAACTTCTTGTTCGTAGGCACCGGCCACTTCGCGACCTCGTCAACGCGGGCAGGATCGACACGAATGCCGTTCGCATCAACGATTCGCCCAAGTACGCGCACTTCAGGCTCGAGGAAGTGCAGCTTATTAACACCCAGATAGAACTTCTCGCGCGCCAGCACCTCAAGCACGGTTTTGACAGCGCGAACATGCTCTTCGAGCGTGTCCGTGTATATGACAATATCGTCAAGGTACACGTCCATGAAGACACCTAGGTAAGGGCGAAAAATATGCGTCATTATTGCCTGACACGTCGCGACAGCATTGCAGTCGCCCTGGAGCATAACCTTGCTCTTCACGTTACCATCAGGCGTCGCCATGATGTTAACGTCTTCGTACTCAGGTAAGACACGTATTTGCTCATAGTGGTCTTTCCCGTCGAGAATTGACCAATATTTCGCAGCGGCGACGCGACGCAAGATCGCGTTCTGGTCGGGGAGCGGGGACGACAACTTGCGCGTGTTGTCGTTGCGCTCGCGCAGGTCTACAACAGTACGTAGCTTCGTCTTCTCGCGCTGATTCTTCGCGATGAGAAGCATGGGCACCGTGTTCGTGGCGGTGGTGAATTCCCACCGCCCCGAGCGCATATATGCGTCGCGTTTCTCATTCCATTGCTCACGAAAGATTGCAGGGCAATTCGAGCGACGGAACGGGTACCGACGGTCGGGGTCTATGATGGGAATCGTGTGATTAATCGCACGCAAGGGCGGGAGCTCAGTCTCCGCGATGGTCTTGCACAAAGGTAAGGCCATTTCGACTAGATGCTTCCGAATAGCTTCTAACTCGTCCGAGCCAGGCTCGGGCTCTACGTTCGCCATGAACAAGTCGTCGACGTGTGGCCCCTCAAGCGGCAGCGCCTCAACGCTCCCAATGAGGATCTTCGGCGGGTTGATGGAGAACGAGATGGAATGCTGGTACAGGAACGGAGTCCCGAGGACGACGTCGTAAGTCGCGAGGTTCAAGACGTCAAAGACGCGCTGCTCGTGTATAGCTGACCATTCAAAATCTACAGACGTATGAAAATTACATTTCGAGCGCGACCCGCTCACTGCCATCGTCATGGACACCTGGCCATCGTGCTCAATGAGCGGAAGGCGCAGTTGAGTAGCGAGAGCCGAGCTCACGAGATCTACTGACGAACCAGAGTCTACTAACGCCTTGCAGGGATGCCCGCTTACACGAACGACGAGGACGATGGGCCTCGGGATGCGGCGGCCGCTCCCCCGCGGGAAGACGGCTGTCCGTTGCGCAACGCGTGCGGACGAGGACGCCAACGGCGCGGAGCGCCCCTTCGATACTGCGAAGACCGTCAGCTGACGCCATGGAAGACGCGAAGCTGGGAAACGTACCGGCACGTTGGACGCCATGCGCACCATCGTTGCCCACGCCTGTGCGAACACGCCGGACTCAATCAGGTCCTCCGCGGGCTCGCGAAACCAACGCGCGGGGAACGCGCCGTCGGGCTGCGTGAAGACGTCGAAGCTTCGACGCGCTGCGGCATCAGCAGGCGACTCGAACCAGCGCGACATATAGCGCTTCGGGTGAGCCGTGTTCTGATGCCCACCCACGAAGTAGCGCATGCGCTGATACATGTACCAGTACCAGACGTTGATACCGGCGTCAATGTCCTTGAGACGAAGACCCCACGACACGCCCAGGAGCGTGTCGCACACGAGGATGACCGGCGACCCAGAGTACGGCCGGAAGGCGTAGAAGCGGGAGAGGTCAGCGCGACGCTGCTCCTCGCCGACTACGCGTCTGACTGCCCAGTTGAGGGCGTAAGCGACGCTCTCGGGCACGAGATCCCCGAGGGTAGTGCCCGTGGAGTAGAGGTACGCCATGCGACGAGCCTGTGAGGTGTCCATCCCGAAGTCGACGCATATCTGACGCGCAACGTAGTCCTCCATCGAGAAGCCTTCGCGGATGAAGAACGCATTCGGGATGCGAAGCGGAGCCAGTTCGCGACGCCCAGCTTCGGCCTCAACAGTCTCGAAGAGGGAGACACAATCGTCCTGGGTCTGGACTGGCAGGAAACGGACGGGCGCGCCATCGCAAAGATACGAGAGCGGCGCGAGGTTGTGGAACATCGCATCGCGCAGCTTCTCGCCGTCGCCAGGCCAAGCGCGCACGGCGTTCAGCGCGAACGCACCACGCACCCGCCACTGCCCCAAGTCGCCAACGTATGAAGGGTCGCAGGCGCGACCGATAAAATCGGCATACTCGGGTGTCTCGCAGAGGGCGAGCAAGTCGTCGCCCGAGCAAAACTTGGGAGGCTCGCGCCTCGTGCGCAGCGCAATTCGCGTGTAGTAGTCGAAGAGCGGCTGCACGTAGAGGTGGGGGCGTCCGGGAACGTCGCCACAGACAAGCGGACAGTCCGCGAGGACGTGTGTTGCCCACGGCGGTGAGCACGTCGTGCAGCGTGTACTGTCCGGGTTAGACCCAGGTGAGTCGTGCGAGGGTTCGAACTGAACCATATTGACTGACAATGTAGTCGTGTTAGTGATGCCAGCACGTCTCTGGTCGAGCAGACGTGCCTGTTCGATTGCCACCGAGTGAATCGCGAGACCAGGAGGTCCAGAAGACGTCGAAGGTACGTGGTTCGCTTCGGGACAGTTTCGGCTTATATGGTCCTTAGACTCACAGCGGAAGCAGCGCCCCTCTTCACGGAGGCGCTTCAGGAGCTCAGGAGATTTTCCTGGCTTGCGGTTAGGAGGGGCGCGACCGTTCGCGCTCCTTCCATTCGGCGCGGAGGTACGTTGTGACCCCCTTGCCTGTCCGCTGAATTTACCTCCAGTGGTCCTCGAGCGTTCATTAGAGCTCGAGGTGCGCGTTCCAGCGGCAGCAGACGCGTTCGCTGGCGGCCTAGAGGAGGGAGCAGAAGAGCTCCCGCCTCCAGAACGTCGGGACGATGCAGATGCGCCACCCGTGCCGCTTCCGCGGTTGGGGGGCGATCCACCATGGTCGTCAGGGCGCCTGCCCTTCGCTTGGGCTCGGGCAGCGTAGCTAGCCTGCCAGAGCTGCAGAGCACGTCGGTACGTAGGCTCTAACTCATCAACTTCTTTGCTGAAGCCGTCCTCCATCAGGCGCTTCACGAGCCAGGAGTCAAGGCCTTCCCAAAACTTCAAGACCCGGTTTCGGCTGGTCTCCTCAGTCAGCACCACCCAGAAGCGCTCTAGATCGTGCATGTAGTCGCGGAGATCGCGATTGTCTTGGATACAGGACTTGTACCGAGTACGACATTTGTCTTTGTAGTTTAGACTGAAACAGTGATCGAATAAATCTCTGAAAAAGTCGTCTAGATTTGCGCTTCGAGAAGCACTAAGCATGTAGTTCTGCTTGTAGAACCTTCTGGCCTTGCCAGTGAGCCAACGCGAGACAACGTCGGCCTGCCGAGTGGCTGCCACTCGACCATCAGTGACATACTGAAGAGAATCAATGACGAAGGTCCAGAAGGCCTCATCGTCCTCCCGGCCGTCGTAGGACTCGGGAGGCTGCGGCTTAAGGCGGCTGGCCTTACCCGCGCTGTCAAACTGTCCGTCGTCATCCGAGTCTGAGCTCGGAAGGCCGACTACACGGCTTCTGATCATAGCCATGTACTTGTCCCAGTAGGACTCGCCCCCAGCTACATAGCTCGGACGAAGCTTGTCTTCGGGACTAGAAGCCTTCGAAGGACGTTCACGATGCACCGCGGGGGGCACAGAGGCCTCCGCGGTCTCGCGCTTGATTGCGCTCAGGTCACGTGTCGGTTGAACTTCGTTCGGCACCGATCGCTCACGTGCGACGCTCGCAGCGCGCGAGCGTGCGGCGCCAGACCCATCCGTGAGGAGTTCGACGAGATTGTCGTACCTCTCACTGAGCTGGCTGACCTGCCTCGCCAGTTTGGCATTGAGGGCGGCGTAGTCCGCGGCCTCAACAGTCTTGAGGTGGAGTGCATCGAACAGATCGGCGATCTGCTTGTTTTCGGCGGCGCGGGGTTCCAGATTTGCCAAAGACACCCTTGGCCCCTGATTGGGCACTTGAGCCCGCGATCCCCGAGCTCGATTTGCGGCATCCAGGATGTCCCGCTGAATCTCGGGATCGTGTTCGACCTCGTCGAAGTCGAGATTACCGAAATTGCGTAGATCCGGGCCTTTACCCTTATCCATCCGGTCCCTACTGTTTCCGGGGATAGAGCTCTCAGGTACGTTCACGCTTTCGGACTCGCGAGCCCCGTGCTCGCTGTTCTCATCATACTGAGGGAAAATTTTATTCGTAGTATTATCTACTTCCGTGGACTCTGGCGCGATAGCGCGACTGCCCACAGCACCCGGTGCACGCGGCTGAGCACCAGCTTCAGGCACGAGGCCGTCGGCGGCATGCGCGTGGGTCGGGGACTGAGCAGCGGCATCGGCCGACCACTCGCCCTCTCCAGGGTCTGCTCCGTCGAGAGCAGACACCTGGCGGGATACCCCCACCGTCGTGGCGGAAGCACCCGACGACGGCACAACGTCGTGTTGCACCGTCGCATGCTCGATGACCTGGTCATCGGCGGTGGCAGGCGGCGCATCTTGAGCGCCCGCCGTACCCGAGTCGGACTCGTTGTCCGAGAGTGCACTAGTGAAGGAGTCGTCAGTACCACGCCACGCGGTCTGAGACTCACCGGTGTCAACCGACGCTGCGCGAGGGCGGAAACGTCCGCTGGAGTCGCGCAGAGGTTGAGCTTTTGGCGCCATTGAGATTGTCGACAAGGAAGAAAGGGTAATTAAGCCGCGAAGGGTGCCGGGTTGATCAAGTCCGTTGCCTTAGCGGGGGGAATAGGGGTAGGTAGTGAAAACTTTGCTGGTTGCTGGTTGTCGAAGTCGAAGTCGATGTTTCTATCGAGGACGTCGAGCGAGAGAGTAAAAATATGAGGCGAGTACGGTGACGCGGAGAGCGGGCCGGGCTCGGCTCACGGAGATGATGAAGAAGATTCCCACGAGGTTACTCTGTAACGAAGTCTCGATTGAAAACCCTTGCCCTCCTCCCTTGGAGGAGGGCCCTTTTATACCTACAGCTGTAAGTAGTCATAACTAGTCACGGAGTATATATACGAGTCATAAGAAACCAGGAGAACCTCAAGGAACTCCAAAGGAAATACCCCCGCGAGGGGTGAAGGCAGAGCACGTGGCGTCGGCTAAGGCCGAGGCGTCACAAGTCCCCCGTCTCCTGCGGTTCATTTATCGCAGTCTGCATTGTGGTTGGGGGTGCGAGGGTGCCTGTACTATACGCCTGCGCTCGCACACGTCCGTCGATCCCCTGCATTGAAGCCAAGGTCGCAAGGTCGCAGCTCTGCGCCGCCTCATGCACAAGGCGTGTATCAGCGCCCTGATCCTGCCTGACATGTCGCGAAGCCGAGCATCGATCCTTCCATTCGCCCCCTGGCCTCGCTTCCGCGTCCAGAAACCGTGCCGCGGACGAACCGTCTGCACGCCCGCAAGCGCGAAGTTCGAACGTTCCTACCCCGGCATCAGCGCCCCCATCGGTGACTCATCGCGGGAAATCGCTGTCCTTATCCTCTGTCAACAACCGGCTTTACGCCCGACGACATGTCCGCCGTTTACCTTCTGGTGTTCTGTTGACATTTTGTGCTACGGCAGCCTTTCATCTCTCAGTCGTCAGCTGAGCATCCGGCGCCTCCGTCGCTAATGGGCCCGATTATCTGTACGTCCATCGCTCACACGCCCGCGAAAACGAACATGACAGAACGAGCGTAAGGACCTCTCTACTTCCATCCTTCTCCATATCGCCGGGGCCCAGTGCGTCATAAGCCTGCGCGTCTTGAACTGCAGCAAGGCAGGCGGACGCCAGCCTTGCGGTAGGCTCCCGTGCTCGCCTGCGAAGCGCCGGGCGCGCCACCGACTTTGGCGAAGCAATTCTTCGAAGCGACTGACCGCGTAAGGCCAAGTGACCCCGGCGCAAATTCATCCAAGCTTTGGGACCCACATCACCGGGCCTCTGAACCCATCTCGCCACGCCTCTGCGTCAGCCTCGCCGGCCTGAGTCCGTATCACCGGGCCACCCAGTCTACATCGTGCTCAAATCTGCGCTGTTTACTTACGTGACGAGCGACGGCCGCCCTACGCTCCTTCGTGTACCCCACCCAATTGCTGTCTCTTTGCTCCGCATTTGTGGCCTATTTGCTCCGTGAAATTCAACTTCACCTACACCCTCTTGAAATCAACTCCGTACTAGCGGGATCAGCTCTTCGCCTCGAGGAATCAACTCATGGTGAACACGCCTCAAAGCCTGCTAATTTACCACACGGTCTACTATTTTTTCCACCTCGCTCTCAACGTTCTCGGACCATCGTCATCGCGCAGTCGGGTGGACCAACACACGCAATTGCATACAACCGGTTGAACCGCCATCTCACAACACAGTCGCGGTTAACTATATCTCCACGCAGTCGTTCATCTTCCCGCAGGCGTTTATCTTCCCGCCCCCTAGGCTCCGTCATCCCTCTCGCGCCGGTCACGGCGCAATTCTGCCTCCCGTCCACCACGCTCCCGACCGCCTGACGATCCGGGCACCATCGATGGGACCTCAGCAGTGTCTCGTACGTTCTCGAGGAAATGCTCGTATGCTCTCGATGGCACCTACAAGGCTTGAGCAATATCGGCTCGTCCGCGGCGGTCTGCACGCCCTGTCGGGTTTTCCGAAAATTCACATCGGTTCTCAAGACGCCTGCGCCGCTTCTTGCCATCTTCCGACGCAGCCCAGCGACGTCAGCTTGCTACATGCCTATAGCTACCAGCTCCTTCCACTCAGTCGACGACCGCGACAAGTAAGAAAGCAAGCAACGATAGCAGTGACATTCTTGGCGTATATACTACTCGTACAGATTTCTTTCGTCCGCTTCGTGTACTCAAAACATATCGATACTATGGCCGTAGATCCAAAGCAAGTACGGGTTGTCTTCGTGTGCGTCTTTGAGCATACCATCGACATACTCCTCAAGCATACCATCAACGCACTCAAGCGCCCAAACAACGCACTCCTCAAGCATCTGAACGACGTCGTCAGCACACCGTGCCACAAATACTCCCCCACAAGAAAGGGGCAAACGAGACAGAAAGAAAACACTCACAATACGACGTCCCGACCAACATAGTTGACAAGTTCTGCAGCTGGTCCTCGTCGAAGGCTTTCTGGTCGGTGTGCCAGGTGTCTTGGTGGGTCTGGGAGGTGCTGGCGTAAGCATATGATTTTTGGAAGTACGGGAGCTCGTAGAGTAAAGAAGAATTTTTCTCGATGAAGACAAGCTCGTACCTTCTTGAAATCACCCGCCGTCTTGCGAATCGTTGTCGAGATGGGTGGTGGGTCCGTGGCGTGCGACGCGAGGACTAGAATTGTCGTTAGCGATCGAAGCTCACAAGCAACTCCCACCACTCGGGCAAGGACGATGCAACGATCCGAAAACAAATCATGACAAAAAGCGCAAGGAGATTTGTGCCAACTCACCATCGGTCAGAGGCGGCATCCAGGGCTCAACCGTATACGGTGCGCTCTGAATGAGTGCACACAAGCCCAAAATCGCCGAGTGCAGCTTCCTCAGCGCCTCCGCATATCCGGGATCCTGCCGCGAGGGCAAGTCGGTCGACTTAGCAAGGATGATGAAGCGGTTCTTCAGCGGGATGATGCTCTGCCTCTGCGACGAGCGCACGATGCCGGAGAGCGCCTTGCTCGCCATCTCCCGCACCTCCACGTTCTCGTCCGCGAGGCAGTCGAGGACAGCGGACATGGTGCGCTTGACGCCCGCGGGCGAGATGGACATCATGTTGCGGTAGAAGTAGACGACGAGGGTGGGCATGGCGGATTGGCGGATGCGCCAGGACTGGAGGAAGGTCATGAACGAAACATACTCTCTTGGAGCCATACGAAAGGAGGCGTGGGCTTACCGTAGACGACTTGATCGCGGTGACGAAGTTGTCAAGGATGATCTCGACTTGCTCGGCAGGTGGGACGTTTCCGGCGAGGACGAAGAGGACGGCGTTGCTGTATCGCTGTAGCTCGGGGTTGTCCTGCAATTCCGCCATGCTGATGATCTCGGGCCTAACAAAATCGAAGTCAGCGTTTGCGAATGGCGGTACAGAATGGAGGCTTACATCATGCTGACCGCGTATGGGTACAGCAGCGGCGCATTGCTGCTGTGTGCAACGATCCATGCCCACGATAGCACTGTACGGAATATAAGTAAGTGCGAACATGACGAATGAGCAGTGTCACCCACAGGTCAGGCTGACTCGGTCATACTGTAGAGGCCTTAGAATGCTGATGGTAGAAAATGGTGTATGCATACCTCTGACAGACTCGTCCGTGGAGGTGGTAACCGCTCTTGCCTCCATTGAGGTAATTTGTCGAGAATCGCCTGGATGTAGGGCATGAACCCGGCGTTGCGGGTCTGCAGCGGATCTTGCTGGGTCCTACAGCTCTCTAGAAGTGCATGGATAGAGGGATGGTACGGTTGCCACTGGTTCTTCATAAACGAATACAGTGTTTGCGTGAGGTGGTTCCGAATCTACGTGCTTTCAATACAACTCACATGTTGTGAAAGGGATGGGTACGTACCTCTGCATACGCGGTGCCCGAGTTCTGGAAGAATAGCTCGACGTACTTGTCCGCCCAGGGGTTCGAGCGGACGCCCAACGAGGCTACCAGAATGCCGAACATCGACAGCGACTTGCTCACTACACCAATCACATGAGCGTGCGAAAACCAAGTTGAACTTCGCCCTGCTTACTCTGGAACGCCGAATCCCCATTAAACTCGAGCGGAAGGTCGAGTATCCACTGGATGAGCCGCCCATGCCTCCTTGGATCACAATCAGATAGCTGGAACTGCGGGGAAATACGCGTAAGCCAAGGGGTGGCGGAATATGAACGTGAGAGCGGGCATACGGAAATCAGGGTCTCCCAAGTTATCACTGTGTCGGGCTTGATCTGGGCGAAGATCTTGTCCATACGAGCGAGGACCCAGTCCCATATCTGATTGGTGATGGGGAGGGGCCAGTTCTTTGAGCCTGTGGGGTGTATGAGTACAGTGTGGGCGTCGCGGGTGGACGTAAAATACTGTACCTCTGAGAAGACCAGATAACATCTCTGCCCCAGCACGCTGCTTGAACTTGTCCGCGTCTGTGACGAGTGGGTCCACGACGTCAAAGAAGTCGTCAAGGAAAGCGTGCTGAAGGACCTTCGCTGCATGGCAAAGTAAGCATCTAGTAGGGGATAGTGGAATATACGCGTACCGATACTACGAATATACGAGAAGTTATCCGAGCGGAATTCCGTCAGCACGTTCGTACGGCTGCTTTCTTGGCTCCAAAGCGCCGCAAGCCTGGACAAATAACCCTTCGCAGTGACGACGTCCCTGATGGCCTGCAAGCACGGTTGTGACGCCTCCTCCCATTGTGGTACGTAGTTAGGGTCCAAGATAGGCTTGTAACCCTTCACCGTCGGCGTCCATAGTAAGAATCCAGTGTCCAGCTTGTCGACGAAGTATGAACTCCTGCGGTGGTATGAGGTACTGTAAGACAAACACGAGCCATGGACGCACTCGCTGAACTGCTCTAATGGCACTTGCAGATCTCTCAGAAGAACTTGGGGGTCCTTGACCGGAATCTGGGTTGTAAGAGGGTTCCGTACATCCTCCATCCAGAGCGCCTCACGGGACGCGCAGTATGTACGCATCTTGATGAACGTCGCGCATCGTATTATACCGCTGTACGACATTCCGTTAGCGCACTGTACGACCCAATGCAGCGAATACTTACCGCTGCGCAACCGTTCGTATGGTCGGCTGAGGACTCAAGGTCTCCCGCGCGAAGAAAGCAGCCAATTCGGGTGCAGTAGCTACATCACGGCGAATGAGGTTGAAAAGGAATCGTGCCGCCAGTAACACGTATCGCCACTGTAGAATCAGTCAGCACCTCAGAGTAATGTACCAATAAAAAGGCCACTTACGTGTGTCGTGGGCTTGCCTGCGATGCTTAAGATCGACGTGACCTGCTCAAGGTCAGCATTGATGTTGCGCGCCCACACAGGATCCTCTCACCAACTCGTCATGCATCTTCTGCCATCGCTTGACACGACCGCCGGCCTTCTCGCGCGCAAGACGGCTCAGCCCCTCGTCCACGCACCCGGAAGAGAATTCCGACACAAGTTCATTGACCGCGCCATCCACCCCGAGAACATCGCAGACGTCCCAGGCCGGGGTGACTTCCTCGGAGATGTAAGGCAAGAAGTCAGATGCAATTTGTGTTACCAGCTTCTGAACCGAGGGCTGTTAATCGATTAGCTATCGCTCGGCGAATCGTGCGACCCGTATACATACCTTCTCCTCGTGTTGGCAGTCGAGGAGCGACAAAATGAACTTGGGGTAATAGACGGGGTCTGAGGCCGGGTAAGTCGCTAGCGTAGGGGTCAAACAGAGTGGGGCATACCGATGAAGGCAAATGCAGCTGCAACCAGGTCAGGACTACGGCCCGGGAATAGGTTATGAGAACTCACCAGTTGACTTGTTGGACAGGCTGTATAGTGCGCCCTTCATTCGGTCAGGATCGTTGCCCTTCCCAAGTGCGTCGAAGAGCGGTCCGAGAGCGATACGCGTCGATCGGACGAAGTACTGAGGGCACGGTCAGAAAACAGTCATGAAGCGAGCTCAGTCACGAACCCCGAAGGCGCTGTGCAACACGGATTGTGCATGCCTCCTGATGCGAGTATACGGAGACAGTGATAGTTGGACCAGTTCCAGGAGGACCTTGTCATCCAATGCAGACCGCCGACGGTAGAGGGAGTTGAGATATACGCGTCCACTGTGGTAGACATGCGCCCTCTTCACGAACACGACGCGGGAGTTCTTCCTCTCCTTTGGCCACGAGCGGTTGACGCTGAGGTTCCATGTCAGCATCTCGAAGAAGTGTAGCAACGCCAAAGCACTTACTTCCTCGCCTGCACGAAGTTCTTCTCGAGCGAGTCAAAAGAGCGACGCAAAATACCGTAGTCCAACAAGTACACGTCCATCGCCGAGACCACACCCAACATCGCGTCAATATGGTCCTCACCCTCCTTGTTCTGCTTCAACACCGTCGACGCGCGAGCACACAATTCGCCGAAGCGCTCGCGCGCAGCCGCGGCCTTCTGGTAGCGCGGGTCCTTTGGATCCGACAGCGTGAAGCCCGCCTCGACCTCGATGGGCTTGACGATGAGGTCCATGCTTTCCATGTCCTCTAAAATGCAAGGGTTGGGCACGGTCTTGGGTTGCTCCTTCAAAAAGGTAGGGAGACCAGACCAGACGGACCGAACAGCGATGAGGTAGCGGCAGAAGTCGTTGCGGTCGGCGCTGTCCCAGTGGGGTTTGTCGAGGAGAGCCTCCAGGCGCGCCATGGTCGGTACGGCGATTTCGTCGATTATCTCGAGAACGAAGTCGATCTCTTCCGCCGTTGGCACTGCATGTCTAGTAGTTAGCGAGGAATGGCGTATGAGCGCTAGCAAATATACTGACCGTGCCAATCGAGCTTGACGTCTTCCACCTCATATGATTTGCCCCAATACTGGTCGTGGTTGCGCTCGAACTCTGGGATCGTTTCGGTTGTCTGCTTTGTGACCTCGCAGCTCTCTCTCACCTTCACTATCCCACAGGTCCTGATTGACGAAGCGACTGTCGTAGGGGTACACGGCGCTGACGGTATGAAGGATGCGGGAGATGAGGCGACCTGTGCCAGTGTAGCCTCGCTCACTGAAGGTCCTGTCAATCAAGACCTTGAGTAGCTGCACGATGTCCTTGCGGTATGGAAGCATCGCGGGACCGCCGTAGCCAAGGCATCCTCGCAATATGCTGATGTCTAGACGAAGCTGGTCAGCACGCATCTTCGAAGCCTTGACCAATTACTCACTCCAGTGCAACGTCGTGTCGCTCGGCACCGCCGCATGCGAGCTCGTCGTCCGCACACTGCTCGCCCCATGCTCCAGCTCTTCCACAATCTGCTCACTACAGTGCGCAAAGAACTTCTTGATCGTCTTATTCGGATGTGCCCGCGCCAGACTCGCCACCAACTGCCCAAACGCGCGCACTGCGTTCGACTTCGCATTCGTCACCCCGTACTCGTGCACGATGCGCAGCACGAGGTCGAAGAGCTCGTCCGAGAGGTGCAGCGCAACGATGTCCATCATCGACTTCACGGACTTGATCACGCTCTCCTCGGACTTGCCGCCGGTGGTGTTTCCGCGGCCGCCCTCCTCGGGCAGGTTCTCGAAGAGGGAGAGCACGCGCCGGAGGAGGGAGGTGACCCAGTCGGCGAAGTTGGCGGTGCTGTCGCGTACGAGGGAGCGCTCTTCTTCGCGGCTGAAGGAGGGCGTGTCGCCGGGCTCGGTGCCTTCGGGGAGTTCAATGGTGTCGACGTCCATCATGCCATCGGCAGGACCATCGCCTACGAGCGGGTTCACGCTGCCCGAGTGCTGGCCGGACAAATCACCGATCTTGATGTGCTGGACAACCGATACTATGAACAAGGCGGCGGTGACCGTCTTCGCTGGGTCATTCTGAGAAAAGAAATACATGAGCGGTCACGCTTGGAGATAATTGGAGAGGCGTACCAAATCGATACCCGGCACCGACAACTCCAACAATGGCACCAGATGCCTCACCGCCGGTGGCCAAATCGTAGGCGACACCAAAGGCACCGCCATCCCCGACAGCATACTCAGCACTGCCGTCGTCCGATGCGTCTCGTTCACCACCTCCAGACCGCTGTACGCGCGTTCCAGCAGTTCCGGCATGATAATTCCAGGCTCCAGCAGCGCCATCGTGCGCAATGAACCCTGCGCGTGGCTCATCGAGCCCGAGTCCTTGGAGAACATGCCGAGGAGTGCGGGCGTGCGGAGGATCTGGACGAAGGACTTGCGGATGGCAGGCGTGAGGCGCTGCCCGACGGGCGTGTCGCATTCGGGGAGCTCCTCTTCCTTCCAGCGTTGGATGAACTCAGTGGTGAGGTGGTGCAGAAGGGTGGCAAGCTGAATCGGGTAAGTACAGTTTCTTTCTAGTTGACGGAATGAACTCACGACTGGCGTCCACGGCCCAGTGTTCGACGGATGGAAGAAGGTTTCCGTGCAGGTTACCAGACGTTCGAGAGTCTCAAGGGCCTTACAGCCCGCAGGATACCCTTGCTGCTGAGCACCTCTGACGGGCGTGTTCGGTCTCACAGGACCGTCGACGGCCATGGAGTACACAAGCAGCTTCGCCAGGGCGGTAGGTCGACTGATAGTCTTCTTGATCCGCGAAGGCCTAGTCAGTATATCGGCGTGGGTGGAAGTGGCGAGTGTGAACTGCTCAAGGGTTAGCAGTGGTGGAAAAGGCCTGTAGCATGAGTAACAACCTTCCCAGTGCCGACGGGCACATCTGCGAAAAGAATAAGCATGACGACCGATGCACGAGCACATAATGCTTACTCAAGGACCCAAATCCCTTTCCGATGAGCAAGTTCCATTCATCCTCGGTCCAGATGCCGATGTCCTTCCAAGGAGCGCCGCCTTCTGGACCTGCCGACCCAGCGACGTGGCGCTCAGACAGCTCGCTCGCTAACTCGAGGAAGCGATCGTCCAATACGGATGAATTGAACGCTTCCCAAAGCTTGAAGATCAATGGCATATACTGCTCAATGTGCCTCCGCGGCAGGAAGGAGGTGATAACGGGCACGATGGTGAGGATGGACTGGACAAATCGAGCGTCAGTCTAACTCAAGGAAAGTGAAGTCTCCTCGTCTTCGACTTGCCTCAGAAGTGATGCGCGAGAGGAACTCCTCAAGCATCGCAGGGATCTCATTGGGATCATAGTATGCATTGCATTTCTCGGCGACGTACAACAGTATGTTGATAAGATTCCGACTGTATAACAACGATTACTTCCCTGCATGCAAATAAACCACCCTACGTACTTGGGATCCTGCGTCCGCTCCTGCGGCCAGATCTCCTTCTTTAGGCAGAGCCAGAGCGGCTTCCAGGGGAGCTGCAGATCCTCGGGGCTGAGCTTGGGCTTGACGGACGACTTGCCGAGGATGCGGGAGAGCATGTCAGCCCAGCTACGGATGGTGCGAGCGTCGATTCCTGGGACGAGGCATAGTTCAAAGTAGAGCTTGACGAGCTTAGCGCGTATGCTCTTTGAGAGAGGGTAGCGCAGCAACATCCAACTATGCGCTTCATCAGACGGGAAGATGGGTGATTCAAAGGTTGACGCACCACTGCAGTAGTCCATCCCACGAGGAGAGGTTGTTCCAGCTGCGCGACTTGATGCAGATGGCAAGCATGCCAACGATCTTCTCCAGCGCTTCATGTATATCCTCGGGAGGTTCGCAGTCGTAGGGGACACTGTCCAGGTAGCTCTTCAGCTTGCGCAGAGTCGCTTCTTGCTCATCGACGCCAGGAGGGGACGGATCGCCGGGGGTGTCGACCACCGACATCCGCGAGCCGGTGTTCATGCTGTCAGGGCGCTCTTGCGCGAAAGACCACTGATCTTGATCCAGGTAAGCCATGAGAGTCTGTGGGATACCTTTGAGACCCTGCCCGCGTACCTTTTATACGTGCGCCGTTCTGGAACACTGCTTTGTGAGCGCGTACGCGTACAATGGACGCGTAAGGCGGACGCGTAAGACAGGAGGTGTGGCGTTCTGCTGTCCCACGTGCATTTACAGCCGCCCATTGACCATCGGACCGAGCTGCCGGAACCTGTCCCCGACCATGTCCTCCCTCAGAACTCTGACGCGCGCGCTCCCGCGGACAACCTGCCGCTCGTATGCTCCCCGAGTCCGGCTCATCCAAACGTCTGCCAAGGCAGCAGCTGGTTTTGCTGCGAAGGAGACGCGCCTAGCTCTGCTGGGAGGCACGGCGATCGGTCTCTTCGCCACATCCCTCCTGTGGAACTCCCAGCAGCCTATTCATCTCGATGCGCCGCCAGCTGAGAAGGAGGAGGATGTCGTCGGTATGTAAACCTTACTGAGCTTGCTTACCGTATGCTGACCGTCATGAGGCAGTCGATCCGGAGACCAACATCGCGTTCCCCAAGACGATGCACATCGAGTCGAAAGTCAGGATCCCTGACATGACACTTCTGGGAGTAGGGGTCCGCAAGGTCTCCTTCCTCAAGGTCAAAGTCTACTCGATCGGCTTCTACGCCGACTTGAGCAACCCCAACCTCAAGGTATGTAGACTGCATACTTCTCTGACTCTTCGGCGATTTATGGTCTCCAGATCCCGGAGGGTGCTACCCCGGAGGAGAAGCTCGAATACCTCGTCCACAACACCACTTGCTGCGTCCGCATCAGTATGTACGCTGCTCCCTACCCGTCTCCCCCGTTCTGACCCGCTTTAGTCCCTTACCGCAACACCAACTACCATCACCTGCGTGACGCCTTCGTCCGCGCCCTTCAGTTGCGGCTGAACGAAGCTATCCGAGACAAGGCTCTCGACGAGGACGCCGGCTTGAACGCGTCGGCGAACATCCGCAAGGTCAAGACCATGTTCCCGAATGTGTCTTTGAACGCAGGGAGCCCTTTGGACGTTTTGCTTGCACCGCCAGTGCCGGGCAAGCCGCGCGTCGCCATCTTCCGGGACTTGGGAACGGTGGAGGATGAGTTTACCTCCACCGAGTTCTTCATGCAGTACTTCAGGGAAAGGGATGCGCTACCTAGCCCTCCGGTAAGCCTCCCCGTTGATTATGACCATCACCCTTTGCTGATCTTGGCTCGTAGCTCAAGGAGAGGGTCATCGCATCTTTGCCAGCTTGAGTCTGCGGGAGCTAGACTGCGTCAGTTTGTCTGCTAGCGTATTTCTATCGCCTAGTTAGACGAATGAAACCTCCACTCCCACGTCCGAGTGTGCTTCAGGGCGTGGCGTAGTCCATCCCTCACATTGTTAGCTCAGTGACAGTGAGACCCATTTGAGACGAGGCTTTCGGTGCGTGGCGCTCGGCAGGCTCGAACTCCCGCCAGGGTCCAAGCTACCCCCATCCGGCATAACAACGTGTCAATGCGTCAGAGCCGTCGGCGAAGTTCAACTTCACATCTTGTCCTGTTCCCTTCCACTCCTCCTCGCAGCCCTCAAAAGCTTTCGACGCCATGCGCGTCCTCGCACTCGCTTCTGTATTACTATTTGCCCTCCGGGCGTATGCGGATGCGTCTGCAGGCGGCCTCTACCCGCCTGGGCTTGCGCCGCTCATCAATCGGGCGAACGTCCTGCTGTCCTCGGGCCAGTTCAATGATGCGGCCAAGTTGTACTCGGAGGCGATAGGTGAGTGCTCATTGGGGTGCCCGAAAAGGACAGTGTCTGATAGCCCCCACCAGACCAATCCCCTGCGGACTACCTCCTTTACTGGAAGCGCGCCACCGCCTACTACTCCCTGAACCGCTACAACTCTGCCCTCGACGACTTCGACAAGGTCCTCTCCCTCACCTCCAACACCTTCGACAACGCGCACCTCATGAAAGCGCGCATTTTCGCGAAGGAGGGCAAGTTCGCGGAGGCGCGCGACGAGGTCGAGAAGTACCAGAAGCGCAACAAGTCGGACCAGGGGGCGGCGGAGCTGCTCGCGGAGATCGCGCTGGCTGAGAAGCATGCGAAGAAGGCGCGCACGGAGCACAAGGCGCAGCTGTGGACGGCGTGCGTGGAGGATGCCAGCGCAGCACTTCGTACGGCAGGCTACTCCACTGAGATCCGTTCACTGCGCGCCGAATGTGCGTTGGCGGCTGAGGATATCGAGGGCGCTGTCGCAGACATGACGTGCGTAGGCATTAGGTTCACACTTTGCGAAGTACTAACCTGTTACTAGGCGCCTCTCTCACCTCCTGCCCCCGTCTACCGACCTCTTTGTGCGCATCTTCCGCCTGTCCTACTTCTTCCTCCCACCCTCCCCCATGCCCTCAAACACCCTCAAACAATGCCTCTACCAAGACCCCGACTCCAAGCTCTGCGGCAAGCTCCACAAGCTCGCCAAGCAGCTCGACAAGGCCTTCACCAAGCTTGACGAGCTCCTCGAGGCTGGCAACTGGCGCGCGGTCATCAAGCTCCTCACGGAGAGCGGCAAGAACAACGACCTGATGAACAAGTTCGACGCGGCGATCAAGGAGCATGCGCAGCGGGAGATGCTGCTACCGCCGAAGCTCGAGGAGGGCCCGAGCAAGCACGAGCAGCCGATACCCTTGCCGGACCCGATGTACTTCTCGCCGAGGCGGCAAACGTTGGTGCGCTCGCTGTGCAGGGCTTACACCAAGACCGGCCAGAACAAGAAGGCGGAGCCGTGGTGCGAACAACTGCTCGGCATGTCTGGCTGCTCGGAGGACGTCGATGGCCTGGTTGGTCGCGGTGAGGCCCTCCTATCGAAGGAAGAATACCAAGAGGCTATCCGCGTGTTCGAGAAGGCATTCGAGGCAAGCGGTCGTAGCGACCGTGATGTAAGTAAAGATGTCTAGAGAGCTGGGATTCAGACGCTGACATTTGCGTTCCAGATCCACCAGCGGATGCAGAAGGCTCAGAAGCTGCTCAAACAGAGCAAGCAGAAGGATTACTACAAGATCTTGGGTGTTCCCCGCGATGCCGACGACCGCACGATCAAGAAGGCCTTGTGCGTATGATCATATTGCCTCCTCTGCTATCCACTAACCCTCCTCTCAGCCGTCAAGCAGCCAAATCTGCTCACCCCGACAAGGGCGGCAGCGAGGCCAAAATGGCCGCCCTCAACGAAGCCTACGAGACCCTCTCCAACCCCGAGCTTCGCGCACGCTTCGACGCCGGCGACGACCCGAACGACCCGCAGGGCAGCCAGCAGCACCCCTTCACTGGGTACGGCGGCGGTGGGCACCCCTTCGCGCAGTTCTTCCAGCAGGGTGGATTCCCTGGCGGTGGGCACTTCGGTGGACCGGGTGGCGGGTCGTTCCAGTTCCACTTCGGGCACTAAGGTGGAGTGGTGGCTTGCTGCTCTATCTCTATCGTATGTGCTCAGTACTATCTGCATACAACCCGGGAGGCTGGCGGATCTATGGACATGGCATCTTTGTATAATACATTCCCCTTGCATGCTGTACTTTATCCACGATACCTCATCGACACCGGTGCGCTCTGGTGGCGCTGGAGTGCCGTGGATGAGTACGCCTACTACTGTTAGCTACGATACCGTTACGCATCGCTTATCTATGGGATTCGTGTTGACTACTCTACTTGGTTGGCCAGGAATGACTTCAACGATTTGCAGAATGGCACTCAAACACTGCAGATAATGGCAGACCAAGACGCCGCGCGTCGAGCTCTATTATGGCGAGAAAAGGTGACAAAACGAGCTACTTGTACAACTAATAGTACAGTGTGAGGATGAGTAGAGTGCGACAGCCTATGAGCGCTCTCCGCGCAGACGGCGGGCAAGGGCGAGATCCTTCGGTTGGATGGTAACGCGCTTGGCGTGAATAGCAGCCAAGTTGGTGTCTTCGAAGAGGGACACGAGGTATGCCTCAGCGGCTTCCTGGAGAGCCATCACGGCGCTCGACTGGAAGCGGAGGTCGGTCTTGAAGTCCTGAGCGATTTCGCGAACAAGCCTGAGGGGATCGTTAGAGGGCATCAGAAGTGGGGCATGGCCACACACCTCTGGAAGGGGAGTTTGCGGATGAGGAGCTCGGTGGACTTTTGGTAACGGCGGATCTCGCGCAAGGCCACGGTACCGGGCCTGAAGCGATGGGGCTTCTTGACACCGCCAGTGGCGTTCTGAGGGGATGTAAGCGGGGGAACATGCAAAAGCGCGTTCAGCACGTACGGCGGCAGTCTTGCGAGCGGACTTGGCGGCGAGCTGCTTACGCGGGGCCTTGCCTGAACGACGGTGAGCATGCGTAAAGCACGATGAGGGGGGAATACGTACCACCAGTGCTCTTACGCGCGGTCTGCTTGGTGCGGGCCATGTCTTCTTGTCTTAGGGTGGCAAGTTGTAGTGGGCGAGGTCGTGGTTTGTAACAAATCAAGGGCGCCTGGCTTTCCTCCGTGACCGACGGTTTATATACCCCGCCAAACAAACGCGCCCCGCGTCACGTCACGCTGGACGCGTCGGGTCCCGTGACCTGCGTGGTCGCGTCGCCCGGTGATGTCACGCGGCGAGCGCCGAATTCCCCTCCGAGTCCGATTCCGATCGCCGAGCATGAGCCAGCGTCTTTGCAGCGGCCATCATCACTATGCGGGGCACACTCAGGTTGCCCGCGCGCTCGCTCCTGGCGGCGACGTGCAGACGGTGCAGCGCCCCCAATAATTCCCAGAAATTTGCGCTCGCTTTTCGCCGGTATGCGACCCACAGGGATGGGCTTAACACCTCGAACCCGGATGGGTTGAACATGAGCACCGCCCACACATTCTCGCAGACGCTCGATCAGCGCCAGCGCGCGCGGACGCGCAAGGACACTGTCGGCCCCTTCCAGCTGGGTCTATCCCAGCCAGCTGCGCAGGAGGGCGTAAGGCCTTGGTCACAACTGAGTGTTGGTGGTAAAGGTATGTCCAGTGTATGTTGGACTGCTTCCCCGGATTTGACTGGTTGTAGCTATGCGCACTACCGCGCGGACTGCCAACCTCGGTGTTATTCTTGTTGGTGCTGGGCTTTCGGCGATCCTGCTATACTGCTTGACCACGGAATTGTTCTCGACGAACTCGCCCACGGTGCTCTACAATGATGCGTGTGAAAGGATCACTTCATCCCCTCGGGTAAGCGCCTACTTGACATCCGCTTCGTCGTGTTCACCGTATGCCTGACTGCAGGTAGCGCAATATCTATCCGGGCCCTTGGAGTTCCACAATACCCCTCCCTCTGCTTTACGTCCCAAACACCGTAACCGGCACGTCTCCTCTCAGGTCGTTTTCGACCAGGCCGGCAGGGAACACATGATTCTCAACTTCTACGTGGAGGGCAAACCACCAGGGTATCAACCTGTGGACTCTTCGTATCTGGGGCAAATCTCGACATGGTTCAACGAGTCGATGACCACGCTAGCAGACATGTCGCTTGAGCAGTTGCAAGCGAGCCTCAAACAACATGCGGAAGATATTAAGGACGGCACACGGAATATCGCGCGGTACTTGAGCGGCAAGCCAGCGATCCCTGAACGGTCATCAGCGCAAGCGTCGGAGGTACCTGCACCAACTGAGGAGAAGAAGAGCTCTTGGAGCTTTGGAAGTCTCTTCTCTTCATTAACACCGTTCAAGGGCACCAGCACTTTGGGAACCTCGCACGCTGGTGGCCCGGTTTACACGGAGGGTGAGGTACACGCGGACCTGGTCAAAGTATGTCAAAGAATTGCGCCAAATTCCTCCAGCTGACCGGTCTTCAGAACAACGATGGATACTTCGTTTGGCGCTACCTTCTCATCGACATTCCCAGTAAGTATCAGACATGTGGTTGTATCACACGCGCTCATACGTTTGACAGATACCGCCTCTCGCAACCACGTCCGCATCTTCGTCGAGCGGGGACCTGGTGTTCGGGAGAGCGAGCCCGTCATGAAGTTCAACCAGTACTAATGCATTAAAACACCCCACTCCCTCACGATAACTTATCACGCCGCCCAGTATATCGTATATGTACCATATATCTCCAGTACCCAGCTCAATCCCAGGCCTCACTATTCCCTGCGACTCCTGCGTGAACCTGCGAGAACAATGGAACAACGCGGATGTGATGATGGCAAGGTGATCGCAAGTGATCGAGCGGGCGAGCGCCTACCGCTCCTTGTCCCCCACCATGATGGATATCTTCAATCGCCCACCGTCTATTGCGGAAGACACGCTTCACTACACGATCTATCCCCCACCTGGGAGTACGGATAAAGCCGCGGCGACGACGTTCGCGGCGTGTATACAGGAGCTCGTCGACCAACTACTTCCAGACTACTTCCTATGGCACAGGGATCCGTTTGAGGTCAAAGTTGCTGCGAATCCCGATGTCTCGGGGAGCTGGATGCTGGAGGGGCGCATGCGCGTCGGGGACAGCGTCGACGACGAATGGTGCACCGTCTGGCTGCTTCGCGAGATCACCGCGAGATGGGATGTGGCCATTAGGTGAGTATGTCCAGCGAGAACGGCACCATTTTATGCTGACATTAACAGTGTCTATGACTCTGACGGAGAGTTCCTTCTCATTGAGGCCGCTGAGGCGCTACCTGCGTGGGTCAAGCCCTCTAACACCGAGAACAGGGCGAGTCTACTTTACCGCCTACTTTCCTTCGCATCTTACGCCCCTCTTCCAGGTCTGGCTCTACGAATCCCATCTCCACTTCATCCCCCTCGCACACGTCTCCCCACCTTCCAAACACCGCCGCAGGCGCAAGCTCCCTGGCGCCCCCGACAGCGACGACGAAGGCGACCTAAACACCGGTCTCGAAGAAGACGACTGGATTGCCGTCGACGACGCCCTCGCTACCCTCAGAGATCCCGCTCTCGATACGCTCGCCCCTCCTGAGGTAGAAAGCATCGTCTGGCAGCGAATATCAGGGTAAGCTGCGCTGCATGGCATCTAATGCAGGAACGCTGAGGGCTTACACATCAGGTATCCAGCCGCATTTCGACAGCATGTGCAGTTTACGAAGGCCTATCTGCCTCAAGATGTAGCGCGTGCGCTCGCGGTGAACCCGGTGTTGGTTCAGCGCGCAGTGGAGACGTTCTATACGCGTGATGCGATACAGTTGCGAGTGAGTGAATATGGTCTGCGTTCGGAGGTTTGGACTGACTTCAACATAGTACGCGCACAAGATGGCACGGTTCCCGCCTCAAACCTCCGTCATGACGACCGTTCGGATGACACGGACAGCCTACGCCCAGCTTGTCGGTCAGCAGTTCTTCCCTCCGAAGGTGTTTGGACAATGGAAAGAGCCAGAAGGCAGCAACGAGCTGAGGTGGAAGGACGTTGGGATGAAGATCGTATGTACATATTCTTCCCGTTCATGCGCTTTCGCTGACCAGCGAATCCAGGCAGTCGGCTTTGAGATCCTCTTCCAGGAGAGCAAAGCGCGCTTGAACCACGTCAAGCAGAAGGGCGAGACATCAGTCAGTTCCATTAGTCAGAGACATATGCTTGCGTGCTAACATTGTCCAGCTTGAAGCTAGCAAGGATGCACTGCGTCGCACGCCGGACTACGTCAAGTACATTCAGAACTTGACGTCTGCTGGATACTTCAGAGGCGAGCTTGAGGGATCGCAGCTGTGGAAGGACTTGGAAAGCAAAGCAGCTGCTGTTTACCTGGAAGCGCGACGCGATGAGTAAGTGGCTTCAAACGACCATGTCTGTCGTCTGAACTCCCTGTCAGCAGTGCTGCTGGCCGCCAGTCATTCGCAGAACAGGTTCAAGCGGCGCTGGAAGCGGCTCCGGAGGGTGCTGTCCCTAGCGCCGATGCACCGGAGGACAGCGACGACTGGCTGAATGTCAACGCAGATAGCTTTGATGCAATGCTGGAGGAGCGCATGGGCAAGCCGTCACAGCAGATGAAAGATCCGAATGCCATGGATGTCGACCCGAAGGACGGCCAGGCAGCCCAGCAGAAAGCCATGGAAGACAAGGTCGCAAATGACGAGGCGAAGAAGCTGCAGGACTTGGCAAACAAGGTCGAGAACTTTGTGGAGGGCGAAGGTGATCTCGAGGGTGCTCGCTTCGAAGAGTGAGTCGTGCCATTCTTCCGACATTGCTTTAAACCCAATTCATCGACAGCGAAGCATTCTCGGATGAGGACTTCGACGACAACGACTCGGACGAGGAGATGCCACCCGACCCTCGTTCCGCAGAAGAGAAGCGCGCCTTCATGGATAACCTCGTTGCACCGCTCGAGCAAGCCGACTACGGCAAGATGCCCGCCTCTTTCCACGCCAACTCCCAACGCGTCGCCCCCAACAAAGAAGACTCACCTGAAGAAATCCAAACCGAGGGCGCCGCCCAGGCGAAGGCATCCGAGAAGAAGGTCCCCGAACGCGTCCCGCGTCCGCCAATCATCATGCGTAACACCTATGAGGGTGTTGACTCAGATGACGAGACGGACTCGGATGAGGATATGCGTCCGGATTCTGAGGACGAGGAAGACCAGCCGCAGGTGGTGGGCGATGTGGAGATTGATATGGGCGAGGAGGAGGATGAGTTCCTCGAGTTCGCGCGGAATGCTTTGGGGATTTCGGGCGAGCATTGGGATAGTATCATCGAGGATAGGAAAGCAAGAGGAGGTAAGCACCAATAACGTTCTTGAAGTTTTGTGCTTACGGTCTGCAGCCTTCGTTCCTTCAAGCGAAAAGTCGAAGACTGCGCGCAAGGAGAAACGCGAAGACGTTCCTCGCAATGTCCCAGAAGGCCACGAACCACGCCAGCCTGAGCCCGGCCCTCGACCCAACACCAACCCGAACCTCGACTCGTTCGAAGCCGTCATGCAAGCGATGGACGCCGAACTGGCCAAGAAGCGCACCGCACAGGGCGCCAAGCCGCCGCCAACTACGGAGGACCTGGCTCAGAAGGCCAAGGAGAAGGGCAAGGCGCGAGCGGATGCCACTATGGCGAGCGAGAGCCAACCACCGCCACGCGATAAAGGCAAGGGCAAAGCGAAGGCTGTCGAGTCGGAGGACGAGGACGAGAATATCGAGGCGGAGATGGACGCGGAGCTCAAGGCGTTGTTGGAGAGCGCGGAGGGCGAGGAAGGGGAGAACATGCCGATGGACTACAATCTGATCAAGAACTTCTTGGAAAGCTTCAAGAACCAGGCGGGGCTGTCGGGGCCAGTGAGCAATCTGGCGGGGAGATTGCAGCCTGGGTGGAAGCTACCAAGAGACGAGGCGTAGAGACCATTGCACTACTCTATCTCAAGAATGTATCGCGAACATGTACTTGTAAGACCTTATCGATTTATCTTGTTGACCACGCCCATTCATCTGCGAGACTCTCAGTCGTCGCAAAAGGACTCTGAATACTGGCCGCGAATGAACAGTCACAGCGTGACGTCACCTAGTTCATGTTGGCAGAAACGCTCACTGTCAACCCACCCATTGCTCTTCCTGCGTGGATGTGAAGGCCCTACGCCCATCTCAACACCATCTCGTCTTTCCTCACGATGATTCATGCAGTGCTAATCTGTCTGGCCTTTCCCCTCCTCACCCTCCCGCACGTGTAACTCACGCCTAACTCAGTCAACACCTCCGGCCTTCCTCGACTCACCAAATTCTATACACCATTGCACCAATCCAGCCAAACCATCGTGCAGAAGATCTTCTCATTAATCAGCACACGACCCGCTGGTCTCTGCAACTTCCTCGACGCCCCCGAATTAGAGGACATCCTCGGGACGAAGGGTGACTCGGACGATAGGCGGAAGATCGTGTATAGGAATTATGCGACGCTATATTTTGTTTTTGTTGTGGACGGCGCGGAGAGCGAGTTGGGAATATTGGATTTGATACAGGTATGTGGGATGGGATGGAGTATGGGAAGACAATCGACATGTTTGGGTAGGTCCTCGTCGAGTCGCTCGACAGAGCATTTGAGAATGTTTGCGAGCTGGACCTGGTCTTCCACTTTGATGAGGTAAGCCTACATCTTCTGAGGTGGAATTTGGCAGGCGGCTGATGATGCGGTAGGTTCACCACATCTTGAGCGAAATTATACAAGGCGGGCTCGTCCTTGAGACGAACGTAGAAGAAATCGATGCGAATGGTTAGCTCCGCTCGCTCTCACATTCATATGTATCGCTCTGACATCGTCCTATTATCCAGTCCGACTAGCAGCAAGACTCCGGAAAGAGTCGTTCGCGTCATCAAATCCTTTAGCTGGTGGTATTGGGGGCAGTATCATCGGTCAGAAGAGTGGCATACCGACACCTCTTGGTTGGTTAACGGGAAAGCTGACCGGAGGTGGCATGCGATAAGTTGTACATCTAGCTACGGCTATACGAATGAGGTTGCCCGCGGGGCCTTCAAACTATGTAGCGCTGGATCCTGCAAGCCCCTTCGCCTCGCCTCTCCTTCAAATGTGTCTCCAGCCATTTCAAGCATCTCAAGAATGATGTAAGCGAATTACGAGGGCCCCGGAGTCGGGTGTGAAGGCCCGGGAGTGGGCTGCGAAGCGGCGGGCGTAGGCGCATCTCGCAAGGTTCCCTGCCCTGTATACTACATTAGCCTTTGAGTTAGATCCCAATCGCTAGGTCACACGTACGTTTCTTTTTCTTCTTCCCCGCCCCCGGCTGTCCCTTTGCGGGAGGCTCAGGCGGTCCAGAGGGCGCAGGCGTCGGCGCAGCATTCGTTGCGGCCCCAGACCCTGCACCCTGAGCGCTCGCCTGCGCCCCAACCACCGGCGGCGGCTGTGGCGCAGGCGTAGGCGCAGGTTGCGGCGGCGGCGCCCGGCTCTTTTCCAGATGCCTGCTCGCGGTGAACATCGAGTGGAAGAGCAGCTGCGTGTTCTGGACCTTGCGCGTCGAGCCGTGCAGAGGGTCTGTCTTGCCCGCGGGTTGACCGGCGAGAGGCGGGGCTTCTCCCTCGATGGGCGTGCCCGGGGCTTGCGTCGCGAGGCGGGTATTTGCGGCGGTGGCGCGCTTTAGTTTATCTTCTCCGAGCACAGGATTGGTGACGGGCCAGACGAAGCCAGTTCGTGGCGTGTAGTCCGGCCGGTGTTTTCGCAAGATATCCATCGTGTTTTGGAGAGAGTGTAGGGTCGTTAACTATGTGGCAATCAGCGTGCAGATGATGCGATGGCTTCTATGCGGCATACTTACCAGGCGATTCGACAGCACGGTATGGACATCTGGAGCCTGGTAGACGTTGCCGTTGATGATGAAGTATACTTGAAGCGGTTTGACTGGAGATAATTATAAATCAGCCATTTGAGGCAATTACTTCTAGACTGACCTTCCTCTTCGGACAGGCGTTCTTGCTTGTGAATGATGAACAAAGACGGCGGCTCAGAGCGCACGAGCATGTATTCAACACCCTTCAGATTCCTACGAGTGATGTCGTCAGTCGAGATCGAACGACATGACAGTAGTTCTTTGCCTACCTCAGCTTGTCAGTCCGTAGAAGGTCGATTTGTTCACCTGTCGCGAACGTTTGCATGCGCAGAATTTCATTGTTGCATCCTCTATCGTAGAAGCCAGAGTGCTCGAAGTACATGAACAGATTTTCCTCGGACAGCCCGCCCCATGCCTGCCGTCAAGGGTAAGCATCCCAAACTCGTTCGCTAAACCGAAACACGCGTTACGCACTTCAAGAAACATGGGGTCGACGAAGTACCGATGGCTCATGTCATCTATCGGGTGCAGATCGTTGAAGTCCATCCTGCAAGATACTCGGACGCGTCAGAGGCAACTTCAGCCCAGCGCTTGTTGGTGGTTGTGGACAAGTCTGGTTCCGGGCCACGTGATGCCCACTCAGCAAACCCAAAACGCGCCGGCGATACACAAGGCTTGCCTAACGCGGATATCCCTGATGGACTGGCTCGGCTCGGGTGCCCAGGCACAGGTTCAGATTCGTCAAGTCAGATGGCGCGATTGGCGCGCCAATCGTCGCGTGGCAGCGACAATGTTCGAACTGCTCGGAGACCGGAAAGATACTGATAACGGGTGGACCCACACCATCTCCCCGCTGCAGTACAGACGTAACCAGGGCGCGACGATCCCAACAGCCGTTCATGTAAACAGACTCGCAGACTCGACTCGACACCTGTCTGGGCAACAAGTCCGATAAATCCTTTGCTGGCCTCTATTCATGGCTAGACATGCACTCGAACGGAAATACCTCGCTGCAGGCGGGGAGGCGTTCTGTCAAGATATCCCCTGGCCCTCAACTGCGATTCCACTGCATGCCTTGGAGCGCTGTCGTATGTGGCCTCAACGCCAGCGGTTCCTGCTCTACTCTGCTCACGACGTAACCCATTCACTCAACGCAGGTTCTCTACAGCAAACATATAGGCCAGACAAACCGACCAAAGCCGTCCTTTCTCATCGGGACGAGCAGCAGCTGTATGGCCGCAGCGGCGAACATGCAAAATACATCCGCCCCGCGCGTCAGTGATACGCGCATGACCTGCATTCGGACCCACGCAGGTCGCATGGAGGATTGCATTGAATAGGACATCATCTAGTAGACAGCCGTAAGTAAAGTGTATGTATTCAGTGAATGGACATTAGTGAGTAAGGTATATAATCCACGACATCGACAACTACCAAGAAAGCAAGAAAGCCAGGTCAGATCCTCTACTGATACAACGACGAAGCACACCCTCGTCGATCGGGGTCTCGAGCACATTATAGTCAACAGCAACGGCCACAGGCCCTCTCCTCACACCGCATAGCGGAAGCTAAAAGAAACAGGGTTAGAGACGGGAGAAAACGCAGAAAGGGTGGCGATACGCACTGAACGTTCTCCACATCCGTCATATCGTTCTCCGCATTGATCATTCCCAAACGCTCGCGTTCCTCCGGGGAAATTCCAGCAGCCTCGGCCGCCCTGTCCCGACGGCGATTCTCCCAGACGTAGTAGGAGCGCCAGACTGCCAAGAAAGCATTAGCGTCGAGGGAGGAGAAATCAGCAGTCCATGCTGCTCCGTCAGTCCGAGCTGGCAACGTCTGGCTATTCAAGATATCATCCCGAGAGTCATCGGCTCGGGCCGACAGAGCAGCATGCCCCTCACTAGAAGACCACTCACGGAACATGAGCACAAACTGAACGCAGTAGAGCACGCCACACGAGATGATAGCGGGCACATATCGCGGCGCGTCCTCCGCGCGGAAGATTTGCGCGCCGATGGCATTACCCACGCAGTACGCGACGAACATGATCGACTGAATGGGTGAATGTGAGCAGCAGTAGAAGCGAACGGTTCGCGAAACGGCAACACACGCTCATGACAGTCTTCTTCGTCCGGCCGGCGACGTTGGACGGCACCATCGTCCACATCACTGAGTGAACGAGGGAACGGCGATTAGCGAAAGTCCATAAAGGCGCAGCAGGGGACCACTCACAGGGACCAGAGACATTACCCGTTACGGTCATAAAGTACATGCCTGCATGACGATGATGAGCGCTAGATAATCATGCAGTGAACGCTGATAAGCGTACCCCACTTGGTCCAGCGGATGGAGGGATCGTCGGGTAGCAGTGCCGTCGCCAACATGCCGACCAGAGAAGGAACGACGCTAGGGAGATAGGGCTGGTCAGCAGGAGGGCCACAAGACGTGGTGCTGCGCGCACCTGGCCATCATAATCCAGAAGCGAAGACCGGTCCATTTGAGGTTTACCCAGCCGACGAAGAGGAAGAATACGATGGAGAATGCGCTGCGAGGGATGTTGCCTTTGACAAGGACCTAATTGTTTGTTGAGCTACAATTGATTTACGGAGGCGGCATGAAGCTTACCTCGAGGTTCGAGAAGCCAAAGGAGACGTAGACTAGGTTTCCAAAACTTGTCGTCCCGCCGTTCGGCAGGTTGTTGACGAAGTTCACAACGAAAAAGAAAATAGTCTGGCAGGTGTGAGAACGAACGTTCGAAAGAACAAGCCGAAGCACACGCACCTGCGGGTCGCGGAACACACTCAATGCCTGAGATGTATTCCAGTACCTCTTGAGCCTATCGCTCCCCGTCTTATTTGCGGCAACTCGCGCAGCAGCCATCCGCTTCTGCTCCGGCGAGAGCCATAGGACCTCGCGGGGCGTGCCGAGCAGGAAGAACGCGAAGAAGGAGAGCACGATAGTCATGCCACCGAGGAAGAACGAGATGCTATTAGGAACTGTCAGTCGGAGGGTGCTCGGCATGGCTGCTTCACACGTACGCCTTCCACGGGGCCAGGCCGCCTGCCTCCTGCGCATGCTTGGCGATAAAATACATGCATAAGTCAGTGATGATGCCGAACCCGGCGTTTGCGGTGCCCCAAATGAGGGCGCGGAGGGTGTGCTGAAAAGGGTCAGAAAGGAACGAGAAGACGAAGAGGGAGGCGTACTTCACGCCGTGTGTAGAAAGCACCCACGATGAGGAGAAAAGCGGGTCTGTGTGAATGAGTAAAAGGTACAAATGCGTCTGGACATGACCCTTACGAAATGGTGCACTCAGCGGCGCCTTGGAGCGTTCGCAGGACCATGAGGTGGGCCCAGTTCTCTGCGAAAGCCGTGCAGAGAACGATGACACCCCATATCAGCATGAGGACGGACAGCGTGCGGCCGATATTGATACGTTGCATGACCCAGTTGGAGGGCTGGACCAGAGGTCAACGAGGGGAACGAAGGGGAGTGGCATGCACATACGAATTCGCAGCATAGGTACGAGATGTACTGGGAAGTAGGATGAGTTGTCATCGTTGCCAACTCACAAAAAGCTTACAAAGATCGTCGACAACCAGGAGTATTGCTGGCCACGGAGATGCGTATCCTCCTTGATGCCTGGGGGAGGGGGATGAGGGGGAATGACTTGGCGAGTGCGGGGTCACGAACCGAAGGTAGCCTGCAGTCCTGTCAGCACTGTCGATCGTGGGGCATGCTGGCACACACCTGAGTAGACAGTCCCGTCTTGTCCGCTTGCTGTACGCTGGCCGGCCACGTCGGTAAAGCCACATGAGCCCGAGTCGGGGGAAGGCGCACCCGTAACATATCCACATTATGGGGAGCAGGAACCGATCGAACCGTCGGACCAGTGCTGCGTACTGTTCCTCGCTTGGGAGTGTGTTAGGAGGGGGGAAGAGGAAGTATGACGACCACGAACGTGTACTGGGTGGTCGCTTCGGCCGTGTCCTCTGCGACGTGCTTCTCGCTGTTGAGGGCCTCGTCCGCGATGCCGTTCACGTCGGATTTGGACATCTTCTCGTCGAGGGACGACGAGTCCGAGCGGGCTGGGGAGTCTGCAGCCATGGCGGGGGACGCAGAGGTGTCCTGGTGCCGCGGTGGGTTTATCTACAGCTGGAGGCGCGGGCTGATCCTGGGCAATTGGAATTTGTGCATCCGCGTACTTAGCGTCAGGCCCAGGACTGTGGAGAGCAGCAAGCCTTCATGGCGTCCATCACCGGGGCCCGGACCACTCGACAAAACTCTCTGCCCCTTATCACCCGCCCGCCGAGCCGGCTCGCCGCACCATCGGCCCGCACGCCCGCTTGATTGCCGGCCTGCGACCGTCCGACTGCCTTTTCCGTCCATCGAAGCACGCTGTGCTCGACGCCGGCGACGCCCCTTGCTTCCGTCCGCCATGTCCGACCAAGCGACCAGCCCGGTGAGGCGAAACTCAAAGACAGACGACAACGGGAACGCCCGCCAGAAGCGTCGTTATGGCGCGTCCTGCGAAGCCTGCCGTCGCAGGAAGAGGTATGTGCTCGTGCCACCTTCCCCAGCTGTCCCCTCACGCGACGTTCCCCCAGGCGCTGCGACGGCAAAGGCCCAGATGGGCGCTCCCTCTGCAAATATTGCCCACAAGCTGGCATCCCCTGCGTCTTCCCTGCGTGCGCATCCGCCCAAGAAGTACCTGCAAACGGTTCACTGATTCCCCGCTCGATAGATCTGGGGAAGCATCCAAGATAGACAAGGCATACTCAGAGCTCTCAACCTGCAAGGCTCTGCTATTTGCCCTCGCAAAGGCAGGCGATGACGAGCGCGAACGCTTATTGGCAGAGTGGATCGCGACTCAGGACGGACGGTACAATGGCGACACTGGCTCTCCCGAGACATACTCCGAGAGCTCCAAGGAACCTGCCGCAAAGCGCCCGAAGCATTTCAACCCGGTCAAATTGGACGAGGCGCACGACGTGCACGACGTACGTGATCCATCCTCCGCCCGACGCGTACTTCTGACTCAGCTATACAGTCCAAGTCCCCCCTTCGTGTCGTAACAGAGGGCGTAACTCCCCACGCTATCGTCGACAAGAAAGTCCGGCACCCATCCCCCGCCTCCTGGGGCAGGAACCTGCGCTACACCTACGAAAGCACCCTTCGGTCACTGATTGGACATGCCTGCGCATACGAGCCCAAGTTCGCCCCACCTACTGCCGAAGAGCAGCAAATGCTACTAGATGGCTACTTTTCCTGGCAGAACCCTCGCTACGAGATACTATCTCGCCCCGTCTTCGAGAGTGCGTCTCCTCGGCACTTCTAGCCTCCTCACAGATTGATGATAGTCGAGCAGATGCCATGCGAACAGGGGACTCTCAGTTCTACTCGGAGTTCTTGCTTTACGCTCTGTTCTCCGGTGCTTCACGATGTCTTCCGGAGATGAAGGATCGCGTAGCAGACTTTGCCGTACGCCAATCTGTCTTCGACTCGCGTGCATCCATCATCTGACGAGCGCAACAGATGAAGGCGCACGTGCTGTTGGCTGCAGAACTCTGTAAACCCAGCTGCTTCGCGACGGTCTACGGTGCGAGCCTTCTAGCTTTGCGCCGCCCGTTCATCATGTGCTGATCTCAACGTACAGGTTGTCTATTGCTGTCTGCAAATTTAGCCGCAACGGGATGGTATTCACAAGCCTGGAACATGGCTGGACTTGCAATCCGCATCTTCAATGGTAGGAAGGACCTCGCATCTCACTTCCTTGGCTAACGCACTATCAGACATGGGCTGCGATGCGGACTCCTCGCACTCGGTAGTATACGACCAGGAGATGGACCAAGCTCAGCGCTATGCGCGGCAGCGGGTATTCTGGTCGGCTTATATCTGGGACAAGTCAGTACAATTGCAACGCCTGTGCGGAAGGTTATTTACCATATACAGGTCCTTGTCTCTTTCTCTGAGCCGTAAACCGTCCCTACGAACGAAGATCAACCCGCCAAACTTCTCCAGTACGTGCATACACATGGTGGTTTACCCCAGCCTCGCTTAAACGGATGCATAGTCCAAGACTCGGAACAGATGAAGTGGGCGCCGTTTTGGTCCCCCTCCCAGGCCAACGATTGGTCTGCGCAACACCAAATACAACAGCCTCCTCAGACTAGCTGGGAGATGACTTGTTTCTATCAGTGAGTATTGCTTCAATTCCTCTCCTTACCTGCAGTCGCTGACGTCCTTCTAGTACGTGTACTGTGTATCAGGTACGGTAGTATTCTCCGCTGGTGGACGTCTCTGACTTGCGTAGTTCCTGGACGAGGTCATAGAGAATATATATGAACATAAGGTTCGCTGTCGCTCGCTAGTTGACGCTCTGAATATTGACCCTGTCTTCAGGATCAGCGACCGACGCAGATGCGCGACTTTGTGTTAGACCTCAAGGACCGGATGACGGCATGGCAAGCACAAGTACCGGATACTGTGTATGTCAACCCGGACAAACTACCGCTGGTGTCGCCACCTCCACATATCATTCAGTTCAAGTAAGGATAAACCCTATCGTTGCGTTAGTAATCGCTCACAAATCGATCAGCCTGCTTATCCATACGACCCTAATCCTAATGTATCGACCTTTCTATCAGGAAGATGCGAGCACTTCCGCGCTTCCTTGGACAATACCTGCCTGCCACAAGGCCGCTCAGGCTATCCATTCCCTACTGAGCCTCCACGAACGGGCATACCCGCTCAACCGCGTCATCTACCTCACCATCTACGCCGCCTTTTGCTCTGCCACTATCGACATGGGCCTCATCTCGAACCCCAGCCCGCAAGTCGCCGCCGCCGCGCGCTACCGCCTCGAGCTCACGCTCAAGGTCCTCGCTATCGGCTGCGAGACGGACGTGCCCGGTATCCGGCGCTCCGTCATAGCCCTGCGACACTACATGGACCATCACAGCTCCACGCCCTCCTCGCGGCGCTCCTCGCAGACTAACCTCTCCGCGCGCCTCCCGCACGACGGCCAGCCCGTGCACGAGCCGCCGATCCCGGAGGAGCACCTACGCGCGCAACACCAGCTCCAGCACCACCACGGGCACGGGCAGCACCATGGCATCCGCTCGCCGCACGACATGCACGCGCCGGAGGGGCTCATGCCCGTGTCCTCCGTGCGCCTTGACCCGCACTACATGCCGCCAAACCAGGAGCCGGTGTACGGGTACGCGGACCACCCGCCGGCATACGAGTTCCACCAGCAGGCGGCGCCCCCGCCGCAGGCCGCGGACTTCCCGGCGACGGACTTCGACCCGACGTCGTACTTGAACTCGATATACATGGGGCTGCCGCAGCCGATGCCGGTGAGTACTTATACGCGCCAATTGCTTCATGTCTCTGTATGCTAATTTCCAAACTAGCAATGGGAGAACGTGCAATGGCAGCAGCCCGCGCATGGCGCGGTCGACTTCTTCGGGCTCGGCAACTATTAGACGTCCCTCGGAAATGAGCCAGGTCCGCGTCCCTCTGTCATATAGATATGGCCGGCTACGCTCTGCGACATGGGCGGTTATGCCCTGCAGTATGTCCTCCAGCTACTTTTTGGGTGCCTTCCAGCTTCCGCGCCTCGCCTCCTGTATTGCCGCTTGCGTCGATCCGCGTACCTACCCCTACCTAACCTTAATCCCTGACTCCCGCCCACCTAACCGACCTCACGAGGCGCCCGGACCCCGTGCTTGTTGTACTATCTCCCTCACCCGACTGTCTCACCCCCTACGCGATTATTCCTTCATCGTACGCGACGCTCGGTACTTCTTGCCCGCCTGCTGGCAGCTGTAGCGGACGCCCCGCCCCGCGCGGTGTGCACAATTCCTAACCTCTTTTTCTCACTTCTTTCCTCCCTTGCGCGTTCTCTTTTCCACACTCTACCTCCTCTTGATTATAGCATATTCTCCTTCTTTTCCCCTCTCCCCTTCCCGGAAACTGATCGCGCTATCGTATCGTCTGTACAACCTGCTCTCCGCGTATGTAAGAATTTTATCGGTCTCTATCTATCCTTCTTCTGGGTTGGGTTGTACGTGTGTGCAACATTACATAAATGTCGGTGAACGACAACGTAGCACGATGTGCACCTCCTGGAAGACGTTGAATCTGATCGGTTGCGAAGGCAACTGGCAACTCCTTGCACTCCAACGCAGTCAAGAGGACGCACCAGTGAGTGGCTACCTCGCTCTAGTTCATGGATAACAGCCAGGAAAGTGAAAGATCATTCATGTCCCATGTATTCAAGAGCTTAGACACATAGATACGAGAGATGAGCAACATAGGTAAAGCAAGCAAGACGGAGAGTAGACGCAGAGAGATTACGAATCAACGAGCGTGGAGGTACGGTACGGCAGCAGCACAATAAATATTTGGACAAGTGAAAAAGGGAAAGAACAGAAACAGCCGACCACCACAAAGTCAGTAGGGTAGGACTATAGATATTCGACTCGGGTCACGTCCGTCGCGGGGCCATGTCATCCAGACAGAGCGGTACGGTACGGGACACACGAGCGACGCCTTGGCGTGATATCGCTTGACAATCGTCACAAGGATGCATAGGCAATACGGGGTCAGCGACACAGCCAAAGGAGGGTGGGTGGGTGGGTTGACTGCGACGACAGTCAGCAAAAGGCTGCGCAGGATATTCACGAGATGACTCACGAGGTACGAGAGGCTAACGTGTTGTGGCTCCGTATTCACTTGGCGTCGTCGTGGCACTCGCAGGTGGACGCGCTGCCAACCCAGCCCTTGCCGCAGTCGTCGCACCAGCCGCGGGGGCCCTTGTCGACGCCGATGGCCTTCTTCGCTACCGCACTCGGACCCTCGCTGCCGTTCTGGCGATGGATGGACACCAGGTGGCGGCCTAGGTCGTGCTTGCGACTGAAGGATCGACCGCAATTGTGGTGAGGGCATACATGGGGCTTGAGCCTGTTCGGGTCGTGGGTCGCCATGTGCGTCTTTAGGTTGTAGGCGCGGGCAAAGCCTGTGAAATTCGGTTAGCTAGGCGCTAGGGACAAACACGACATACACATACCTCGAGGGCAGGCCGGGCACTTGTACTTCTTGCGAGGATCGCTGTGGTTCCCCATGTCCTCGACGTGCTGGTTGAGCATCGGAATTTGCGGGACTATAGGCAGTTGGGATGACAGGTTGGACGGGGAAATGGAATGACCCGTGCCATTATATGCCATCTGCTGTTGCTGAGCATAGTACTCCGGGTGCATGCTGCTGCGGCGAGGCGACCCGTAGTCGGAGAAGCTCGTGCGCGTCTCGAACCCCTTCGTATAGCGCCTCTCCAGTTGGCCCCCTGAGCCGCGCTGCGGACCGTTGGGGAGCGCAGCAAGCGAGGCTGCGGGGTCCATTGTACCCGAATTGGCATGCATTTGAGCGCCCGTATATTCCGACATGGCATCAACCTGCATGCGCTGGTCGTACTCGAGGGAGTGGTCGGTGCGGAACGAGTAGTTCGACCCGTAGTTAGAGTGGGGGGATTCGTACGCGGAGTGCGCGCCGTAGTAGACGGACTCTGAGCGCGAGGAGAGCGAGTCGTAGCCGGACTCGGAGGAGACTGTTATGGCGGAGGGCGGGCCACACGTGGGGGTATCCGACCTGAGAATATTGAAGGCATCGTTGGAGTCGACTGCGAGGAGCTGCAGCTGAACCTCGTTGACGCCTGCGAGGCTCGAGTCTAGCTCGAGTTCAAACAGGTCCGGGTGTGGGGCGAGGATGTCGGAGGGCGACTGGAATGAAAAGAAGTCAAAGCCAGGCTGCTGCTGCTTGGCGAAGGGGCCGTCGAAGGTGTCGAAGGGGGTGTTGTGCTGGCTGGACATGGCTGGGAGACGGCTGGGGCGCTGGCTGTCCTGCTCTGGCGGATATGAACGCTCTGGTGCTGATGGTGGTGGGAGGAGGGAAGAGGCGATAGCCACCACGTCACACGGGTCACGAACCCCTGCTGCGCATCTATTTCGGGGTCTTCGGCGTTCCCCTGTCAACAATTGCTCGTGACGGCCTGCCAACCCTGTGTAACCCTTTTTCCCGAGCCGCATTCCGAGGCCCCGACTCCACGCACAACGACTTTCAGCCCTTTGGCTGGCCATCTCTTCGCTCGAAATTGCTTGCTTTCTCTGCTGGGACCCACGAACGAGTCACTACACCTGATACCCATCCGCAGCCAGCTACGGATAGCCACCCATCGCCGCTCAGGACCTCGCGCTCAGGCCAAGCAAGTCCCGAGGGCGTCCATGGCCATATCATCCCCGTATCCGCAGCCGCATGGCGAGGCCCGAGGACCAGCTTCGGCCCTGACCAAGGTGATGATGCCATAGCCGCTCGAAAACTTGCTCGAAAGGCGATGCCACCCTGTCTTCCTCGTCCGTGCGCACGCACTAGGCAGTTCTCTATCTGTTCTTCTACACGCAAGAACATCTGTTCAATCCTCAAAGAGGCCTCAAGAAACTCAACGATTGCTACCTTCATTGAAATCCGTCAAAAATGTTTATGGCCTCGCACTTGGCAAATGCATTGCCTCTCCATAGCCCGCCTAGCTCAATCGGATAGAGCGTCAGACTCTTATGACATCCATTGCATAGGCGGAATCTGAAGGCTGCGAGTTCGACCCTCGCGGTGGGCTACTTACCTTTTTTGCAACTCTATACGCAAGCGGGAAGTACGCCCAAGCGAGGCTGGGAAACCTTTTGTGACCATACGTATGTCTATCGACCTCAATTCCACTGAACTTTAACTTTTCAGAGGCACGAAGCCGGCCAGCATGACGTCGAACTCGTACTTCTCGGTCGTCGCAACATAATAAAAGTCCGGTAAGATGGGATTCGACTATACGCCAAAGCACTAGGTGTCGCGGGCGGGGTTTTGCGTGCTCCGCGTATAGAAGAGCATAAGAACGCGATGATACAATATGTAAGAGGCGTCAAGACGTGGTGCCGATCAGCGACTATGGCGCCGAAACGACGACAACGTCGAAACGGCGACCATGGCGTCGAGACGACAGCGTTCGTCTATGAACGGGTCGGGCAGGTCAGTAAATATACTACAGTACACATGAGACTCATTATTGTTCGTGGCTTTCTATAATTTGGTCGTGACAAGAGAGGGGATGTCCAGCATCACCAAATTCTTCATCCTCGGTACGTGCAGCAGCTGGTGACGGTGGTCAGCATAGGCCGAGAGCACGATCATAGTATGTACGCACCTAAGCATGTAAGGAATCACCGAGACGAAGGTCAACACAAAGGCAGCCCAGATCAGGTAGATTCCCTCTCCGACGGAGACGACGAGGCCTAATGGCGTGTCCTCCCCTGTCGACTGGCTCTCGATGGTGAAGTCGTTGATGATCTGCGACTTCTTCACTGCGACGGTATACACAGTGCATCCGATGAGCAGGAGCAGCGCGCTGATGATTGACATCGCCGTCGAGAAGAAGAACAGGTAGCTGCGTTTGATCACGCCGCTGCAGCAAATGTCAATAGGAAGTATCGACCCAAGGACATGATGGCATACGTGACCGCGGCGAGGAAGGTCGTGATCGTGGCGAGCAGCAGCATCCAGTACGCTGCCTTGGTCATGGAGCCGAGGTAGCTCGAGTCCGTGAAGGACATGTCGGTGATAATGGCGTCGGTGATGACCCGGTAGTGCTCGGGCATGTCGCTCAGCAGTGCGTCGTATGGACGGTACTGGTACCCCGCGGTCTTGTTCGATATCGTTCCGTTGTGGGTGGTCTCGTTGATGTTGATGAAGCCGCCGTATGAGTACATGCCCCATCGGTAGAGCTCGCGGAGGCCCTGCTGCTCGCCAAGCGGTGCGCTGGCATTGGATGCGTACAGTCCCTCCACGGGATCGAGGAGCGCGACTTCGAGCGTATCTCTGTTAGACTGTCAGTAAACGTACTGCGCAAGCAGAAAGTACACGACGCACGCATAGCCCGACGTATTAAGTTGTGCCTGCGGGAGTAGAGGGATGAGCTGTCATGTTCCCTCCCGAGGGGGCAGTACCGTACCATGGACACTTTGTTGGGGACCTTGTCGGTGTTGATTTGACCACACTGACAGGCGAGATTAGCATGCAATCGGATTCCGAGGCGAGATTACTTACATGGGTAACGATAAGAAGACATAGGGAGGCAACGCTAGACGGGGGATCGGGATCAGAACTCGCCGGACGTGCGGGGAGGGAGGCGGGGGACTGACGAGAGGACGAAGCCGAAGCTAACGCAGATTTCGCCGCGCATGGTCAGGAAGTGTTCGTGAGGTGGGGGATCGTAAGAGAAGTGCGTTGTCAGACAGCCGGTCGTCCCAGACGCGTCGTCTTATGGGAACATGAACAAAATGCACCGTCAACACGAGGCGCGCTGCGCTGAGCCCCACGTGTTGGCGGCGTAAGCGGCGATGACGGCATACTGCCGAAACGATACTTCTCGTTCAGCTCTTTGTCCACCGCTGCCATTGTCGCCGACGACGAGGACATCGTTATTCTTCATGCTCGAGTTCAGTCGTGTATGTTTCTCTGGTCTGTACTGAGGTTTGATCCTTTCGTCGCCTACATCGACACTTCACCTGTCTGCTGGACCACCTTGGCCTTGAAGGGTCCGTCCGTCAACGAGGCGAGGACTCCGATCCAGATGGTCGTCGCCTGGGCTGTACCGCCTCCTTTCAGGACTCAGCAGCTGCGCATATTGAGTAGCAGAAATACAGCGCCATCTCGGTGGCCCTCTACTGCTCCATTCAGCCCAAGCGCTTCTACTCACCCAGCGTGTTTGCAAGAGACGCACCATCTAGCGTCCAGCAAGCAATATGGTGGTCACCGCTTCCCTAGATATCTATCTCATTGCATTCGAGTGACAGACCGGTCGAGAGAAAGCCATACACGAGGTGCTTTCTCGCGGCGGTACGATACCGACCGACCACGCCTCGTGTGGCTGCATAATCTTCATAACCGGGAGACAGCGGGTTTCCCCCTCTTTGTGTTTGTATACTGTCCGGTCAGCCCAATTTGTGGATTGCACCTTATTGTACTTCGAAATGGTAGCCTGCTTTGGTTTTCCAAACAAGCTCATCTACGGTGGCCTCGACCTGGTCGCCACGCTTGTATGTTTGCGATCGCGCCGCGTGTTCACTATACACACGCGCCTCTTCAAGCCGTTCATGTGAAAGTCCAAGTTGAACTTCGGGCCCGAAATCGAGCTTGTCACGTGACAAAGCCGAATATCTGGATAAACTGAAAGACGGCATACCAGCGTTAGAGAGCGGCATATACCGGGAGTATGATGACGGAGAGATATGTGCCTTGTGGTGAGGATATGTTACGGCTCCCCACGCATCCTTGGATATGCCTTTGGGAGATTAATCGTGGCGCGTTGTCGATTGAAGAGTGGGTCGGTTTTTGGCGGGCTTGTGTAAAATCATCATGACAAGCAATAGGTATCAAGTACCGGAGGATACTGCCGAGAGTGAGTTTTGGATATGGCTGAGGCGTAAGTGCCACAAATTCCGCAGGCCGAGAGGATATTCTAGCCGTTGTCGTTATTTCAAGTCTTGGTGCTGCACATGCATATCCTGTCATGAATACCTAGATTTGAGGAAAGAGTAATGGGGCAAGTTGACAGAAGCGGAAAGAGACAACAGGCGACAGTTATAGACCAGTCCACAGAATGTGACGCGGCGTGACACATTGTTTAGAATCCCTAACCTTGGCCTACCGCGGCTGATGACGGGTGACAATTCGTGCTTGGATATGCTGAGTGAGCCGTAGGATCCCTAACTGTAGGGATAGGATAGGCGCTATCGGAATGACATTCCTACCGCTAATTACCTACCGTTCCAGCAGAGCCATTTCCACGTGTTTACGGAGTAAGCGGATATGACGGTACGCATTCGGCGGCTGCCGAGATGGGAGGCGCGCGGCTCTGCGTACTCGTCGAACAGTTGTGAACTGCCGTCACTGTCGCCAACGACGAGGACGACCATGTCCGTCCCGTCCAAGCCGAGCCATCTCATACCTGCACAACAGACTCTCCACGATCCGGCCGTGGCGCCGATGGTCGAGACCTCGCCACAGTCCCTTGGCCTTGAAGGGTCTGAACACCAGGACCACGATAACAACCTCTCGGAAAGCGGTCGCCGTCGTCGTCTGTCGAGCGTGGTAGAGAAGACCACAGAGAAGCTCGCACGCAGCCTCAGCGCCAAGTCGCGTCCCTCGAGCAGCCATGGCGGCAGCGGGCACCGTAGTCTCTTCAGCATGAGCAGGAAAGGGCGCAAGTCCGGTGGCGGAGACGACGGTGAGCGCGGCGCTGAGGAGGCCAGGGCGTATGCTGACAGTAGATTCCGCAGGCGCCGTCACCCCTGCCAGCTCGCGCTCAAGCATTTCAGGCGCAGCCGATAGATCAGTCCCATCGACCCCCGCTTCCGCGCCTGATGACTCCCCATTCATCCGCCCTCCCTCGCCGACACAGCCCGCGCGTGCCTCCTTCCTCCACAGGTCGCTTACGTCCTTTCTGGGCGAGGGATCTGTGCGTCTTGCCTCCTCCCACCATGCTCTCAATCATTGACCGCTATGTGCAGATGCGCCTGGGTACTCAAACTCTCATTCAAGCATTGCAGTCGGTGCCGTGGGCAGAAGAAGCAGACGGTGATGACGATCCGCAGACACCGAGTGCGATGAGTGAGGATGAGGACGCAAGCCACGAAGGTGTGTGGCGCCTAATGATAGCATGCTATGCAGCGCGTCTAACACACTGTTCAGGTGTGCAACCGCTCGCATCCTCCATACACACGATACATCGCCCTGTGGTTCTCTCGCGACGCAAAGGTGCACCTACGACACAACGCAAAGGTGGTGCTGCACAGGCAGGCGAGACCGGGACAATCACCGAAGACGACGGCGAGGGGGAGGACTTTGAAGAGACCACGCCGCGGCTGTCGCATGCGTCCCCGCCACCCCTGATAGACCCTAGGGCAAGCGTATCGTCTCGACGAACCAGTGGACAATCAACTATCCGGAGCACGCCATCGAGGACAGGCAGCATGGCCACCGTTCGCGTACAAAGACGCAATCGTTTAGCCAGCAAATTGAAGGAAGTGTTCGAGCTGGAAGGTATTGACGAAGTAGTCGCAGAAATGCCTTGCTGGCTACTGCGGTCTGTCTGTGAGTTCAGGTCTCTGGTTTCCATTCGTTATATTCAATATCCTCTAGTGCTGCAGGGTTACATGTACTTGACGAATTCTTACCTCTGCTTCTTCGCGCACATGCCGTCAAGAGAGGTGCGTATGTCAATACAACGTTCGACCGCTGCTAATGCATGGAACAGGATCAAGTGCTCAAGAGTGGTCTACTGCATAAGAAGTCGCAGCGCACGAAACGATGGATCAAGCATTGGTTTGTCCTCAAGAACGACGCGCTCTCTTGGTTCAATTCATCCTCGGTTGGCATTTTTGTTGTTTCACCGGGAAGTGCACCTTCTGACCGTCGCCATAGGACCCATACTTCCCGCACGGCATTGTCGACCTTCGCTATGCCATCTCGTGTGAGCCTGTAGGCGAGAAGGAGTTCCGCGTGCGAACGAACCAGAAGGTTGTGCACCTGCAAGCCGACTCTGTACCGAGTCGCGATGAATGGGTTAAGGCCGTGCGCAAAGTCATCTTCAAGGCGCAGAACATGGGCGATAGTGTGAAGGTATGTACACCACAGCTCACGGTGGAATGTGAACTTATCCCTGCTAGATTGCCATCCCTTATTCCGCGATTCTTGACGTCGAGAAGTCGTCCGCGATGGACTTCAGCGAGACCATAGAAGTCAAGGTCGTCGACAAGGATGACAGCTACTCTGTCGACTCGTACTTCTTCGCCTACTTCCACGACCTGCCAGCCGCACTCGACCAAATTCGTGACGCTGTGCGCGTGTACCGCAGCCTTCCCGAGCCACCAAGCCCATACTCGGTTATGGACACGACAGCCGGGACGCGCACACCCGTGGCGCCTCAGGCCATGGATCGCGCTGTCAGCGCGCCAGCGTCAGACACGGCGTCTCGGACTTTGTCAGCCTTCCGCCTGCCGTCCCTCTTCCGGACCGTCCCATCGACGCCCGAGAAGGCCAACTTTTCCTCACCCGACGTGACCGACAACGAAGAGTTTACGCACATCTCGCGCCGGCCGAACTCGTTTGTGCCCATCACCGCATCGCCGAAGCAAATGACGAGCAGCGAGCTGCCCTCGGAGGCCGCGACGCCGACGCAGTCGACCATTGAGCACACGTACCCGCCGTCCACTTCATCGTCATCTACCCAGCCTGACTCTTCCCTGCATAGCGCGACTTCAGGTGGCAGTGGCTGGACCGTGGGTGTGCCGTCGTGGTTGAAGGGGCGGCCCCGGTTGCTTGGTGGTGGCATCCCGCGGGTGAAGGAGATGTACACGCCACCGACAACGACGCCAAGTGCGGGGTCGGGTTCGTCGATGGGTGATATGGCGTTCAGCGTGCTGGAGACGCCGGAGGCCACACTGGATGTAGAGACGACGGAGAAGTTCCGCGCGGCGTTTGCGTACGACGAGAAGGAGATGCTCTTGGGATGTGAGTGCTCTGCGAATGTAATGATAAGCAGACTAACACAGCGAAGACTTCCCTGGGTTTCTTTTCCGCCTACTACCCATCAATGGGCGGCTGTACATCTCGACCAACTTCTTCTGCTTCAAGTCGAGCGGACCGTTGGCAACACGGACAAGGGTCAGTACTTTGCGCAGGGAGGCATCCGGTTACTTACATATTTGCAGATGGCAATCCCCATCCGCGACATCTTAGCCACGGAGAAGTCGAAAGGCACTCGGTTCGGACACCATGGCGTCATTGTCATCATCAAGGGCCACGAAGAGCTATTCTTCGAGTTCTGGGGCGAAGACAAGCGGGACTCCTTCATGCGCCTCCTTGGGAAGCAGATGGAGGACGTGCATCGCCGACTAGCCTCGGGTGAATCCAACAACGTGCCGTCGCAGGGCAACCGCGACGCGCTCATCCTGGAGGAGTTCGAGCCTCCTAGCGCAGACGACCCAGATGCGCCGGCGCCAGATACCAGCATGACCGACTCGTTGCCCGCCGTGATGTTCACCTCAGCTTCGTCGACCTTCCTGACCTTCAAGCCCAACAAGTCGATGCACTTCACGTGTCTGACGATTGGCTCGCGCGGCGACGTGCAGCCGTACATCGCGCTGGCGAAGGGACTCATGGCCGATGGGCATCGCGTGCGCATTGCAACGCATGTGGAGTTCAAGGACTGGATTGAATCGCATGGGATTGAGTACGGCTACGTTGGCGGAGATCCTGCTGAGCTCATGAGGATTTGCGTGGAGAACGGCATGTTTACGGTTTCGTTCCTGAAGGAAGGGCTTCAGAAGGTACGACTTGAGTGTCGAAAGTAGGGCGTGGACTGACTTTTTTCCAGTTCCGTGGGTGGCTCGACGACCTATTGAAGACCTCCTGGGACGCATGCCAGGGCACTGATGTTCTCATCGAGAGTCCGAGTGCTATGGGCGGCCTTCACATAGCAGAGGCGCTGAGGATACCCTACTTCCGAGCCTTCACCATGACTTGGACGAGGACAAGGTACGGTCACCACGCATACAACATCTGCACGAACTGACACGCGATCAGAGCCTATCCGCACGCCTTTGCTGTACCCGAGCGAAAGGTTAGCAGACTTATCGGCTATGCGATAGAAACCACTTAGCTGACCGTATGCAGATGGGCGGAGGCTACAACTACATGTCTTATGTCATGTTCGACCAGGTCTTCTGGCGCGCCATCGCTGGACAGGTTAACCGGTGGAGGCGGAAGTCCTTGAACCTCGATAGCACAAATCTTGACAGGATGGAGCCGCACAAGATCCCCTTCCTGTACAACTTCAGCCCTACCGTTGTGCCGCCACCTCTCGACTGGCCGGAATGGATTCGCATCACCGGTGAGCTACGTCCGTATCATCTCGTTGTATCTCCTTGCTGAACTTATACAGGCTACTGGTTCCTCGATGATGCCGACGCGAGTGGCAAGAAATGGTCACCGCCTGACAGCTTGAACAAGTTCATACACAAGGCGCGCAAGGAGCACAAGAAGATCGTCTACATCGGCTTTGGCAGCATCGTGGTGTCTGACCCGAAGGCGATGACGCGCTGCGTGATCGAGGCCGTCGTCAACAGCGGCGTTCGCGCCATTCTGTCCAAGGGGTGGTCGGATAGATTGTCGGTCAAGACGACGGAGGCGAGCGATATTGAGGAGCCCCTACCGTCGTCGATATACCCGATTGCCTCCATCCCTCATGACTGGCTATTCCAGCGGATAGACGCAGCTTGCCATCATGGAGGTGCTGGTACTACGGGAGCTAGCTTACGGGGTAAGTTACCTCTCAGGAGGGGAAGGTTGATCAATTGACATCATTTGCAGCTGGCATTCCGACCATCATCCATCCCTTCTTCGGTGACCAGTTCTTCTGGGCTGACCGAGTCGAAGCGCTTGGCGTTGGGTCTGGTGTGCGCAGGCTGACCGTTGAGAGCCTGACGGATGCCCTGCGAGCCGCCACCACGGATGTCAAGCAAATCGAGAAGGCCAAGGCCGTTGGGGAGAAGATCCGCTCCGTAAGCACAGTGACTTTGTCCTTCGGCGTAGTAGCTGATATTCCTGGTATAGGAGGATGGCGTGGCCACTGCCATCGAATCTATCTATCGCGACCTCGAATACGCACGCTCCTTGATTAAGGCCCCTCCATCACAGCCACGCCCTCTTCCTCCTCATGATGACTCCGATGAGGATCTGGTCCTCGAGAATTCGACCATCCGGGACAGTGTGACTACCAACAACTCGGAGCACAACTCTGGGTACAACAGTTCCAGCGGTGGTGGCGCGCCGAGCGAGGACTGGAGTATGGTCTCCGCGGATGGAGAGGAACGTAGGCCTTCCACGTCCGGCTCCCGTCCGCCCGTCCAGCGGCGGTGCTCGAGCACCGACCGGATAGTCAACAAGCGCAACAGCATCGCTGCCGCTATGCTCGCCGTTCTTCCTGACTCCCTTGCCTCACCTCGTCGCGCCGCGTCGCCTGGCGCCTGATATGCCTCCTTGCAACTGTAGCTGTACTACCTCTCTTGCTTGTCTGACCTGTGTATATGTGTATCCTATATCCCCCATCTACAGCACCCTATCTATCCTAGACTTTGCACATAGAAGTAATATTATCCGTGTCTAGCTTCCTGTTGCCTTCCTCTGATCCTACATCGTCGCATCCTCGTAGTGCTCGCTGAACACAGCCTTGCTGAACTGCCCGAAGTTCTGCGTGGGCGACAGCTGCTCGTTGACGTTGGGCTGCATGAACAAAGCGAACGTCTCGCGCGAGATCTTCGGACCGTTGGGCGTGGAGGGGACTTGGCCGACGCGCACACAGTGAGGGGTGGCGCGCAATTTTTTGCCTGTGGCGACTTCAAGGGCTTCGCCGGTCTGGAAAGCCAGACAATCGGAGGGGATGGCGACCTTCGTGAGGTCGCCGCCGCGGGTGCGGATGTACAGACCGGAGTCAGGCGAGGGCGAGGAGGTCACTGTGACCTCGCCTGTCGTGGGGTCCTCGGCGAGGTACATGGCCTGTGGATATACACTAGTTCGAATGAAAGTTGACATATACGGGCAGAAGGCAGCTTACCGAGCAGAGACCAGTCAGAAGTGAGTGGTCAAGATGCATGCCGCAGTAGCTGTCGATAGCCTCATCCTCCGCGGGCACAGCGTCGGGCGAGGGCGGGAAATAATGAAGCAGCCGCGCCTTCGTCGTTTGCGAGGTACTGATGAGCTTCGGCAGCGACATGTCCGAGTTGTTGAGGTGCGAGAGTGCTGGCGGGAAAGTCAATCCCGGGTGAGGCCCTGCAAGGATGTGCCCAACTTACCGAATGGCTGGCAAGCGGCAGCCAGTTCGCATCCAACATTGAAGATGAACCTGAAAGGGTAGGCATGTGAGCTCGAAGTTACCAATCCTTGTAACGAGCATGTCCGTACCTGCCTAGGTCTTTGAACGCTTCCTCGAAGCCCTCGACGCCTTTCTCGTCGGCGGCGGGCCCTGTAAGGGAGCGTTTGCCATCGCGATTAGAAATTGAATGATGTACGAACATATGTTGGAGCCATGGTACTCTGGGTAAGCCTTCCTATCCTCGTCTGAGACGTCAGGCGTATCGATAATTGGGTTTGCGTAGTAGGATCCCTTCAGGACATCTAAGCTGGCGTCACGACGAATTTAGCGGATACAAAGAATTGAGAGAATACCTGGCTTCCCGTTCATGATTTCCTAGAAATCAATCAGCGGTCGTTTCCTTATCTTGGCTTGGATTGTCTACCTTGCCGTGAGACCAACCGAAGCTGCAAGAGGAATCAGTAGGCTAATGTATACATCAAGTACATAGGCCTACCTATAGCTACTAGCAGCATCAGTATACTTCTCGCGGCGCTCTTCATCCAGCTTTGCGAATTTATGGGCAAGCTTGAGCAGCCGTTCGCGTTTTCTGACGTATTCCTGCGGAAGACCCCGAACGACGATCAGCCCCAGGCTCTTGGGATCCGAGCCAAATGCTTCCTCTATAACACCGCGTAAGTATCACCTCTCACGCATTTATGGAGTCCATTGATTGTTAGCGCACCAATGGCCTGCGTCAGAGATAACGGCGAAGAAACAAGGTCACTGTAGTTGATGACGACAGCCCCCTCAGGTGTTCGTGTCGGCGCCGCCTGCGAGAGTCAGGGATATCTGCAGGACAATTGCTGGCCTCTTTACCATAATTCCTCCAATGTTAAGCTCAAGATCTGGAGATCAACGCCACGCGCGACGGAGGAAGATGAACCACAAGGGTTGCCTGATTCGGACATCACCCTTCGATTCGGCAGTTTCCGTGGTCACGCTTCGGTTCGACTCCTGTTGTACTCAACGACGATGACGGCGAAGGGGCTTCGTGAAGCACTGCTGATTCGCTGAATACCTGCTTTCTCACTGACTAATTGTGTTATGAGTAACATGCCCTCTATCATAGGTCGCCACATCGTCAGCTGAACCGCTGCTACAAATCTGCTGACGCGGTCCAGACTGCCCTAGACGTCCACCTGAACCCATCCTGACCTGACTCTTCCCGCCGTCCAACGGTCACAAGCGTCCTCCTGCGGTCGTTTTGGAGCGACTTTCTGCTCTCCGGCTCTCTCCTTGGCTGCTCAAGTCACCGCAAACCCCACGAATGAAATGCGGGGCGGGCGGTACGCTGGGCCCGTCCAGCCAGCAAGCTAGACCGGGGGTCGTCGATGTTTTACAAAAAACTCCACGGCCCCTCCCGCTCAATCAAAGACCATTCATTATCGGCTCTGGCTAGGCGCTTCTTGCCGTTCCAGACCGCGTGCGGAGATGCTAGCTCATATAAAAGGTTAACCGCCCTCCGTTATTCCTCATCCAGCGAACAGCTACTCCTCCCAACGCAAGAGTCCTCTCTCGACCACCACACCCTACACACACGCTTTGAGATGATCCCTCAAATGTCCCGCCAGGCCATGCGCCCCGCCTTCCGCGCCATCCAGCGCCGTACTCTCATGGGCGGCCACCCGACGGGTCCTACGTACAGCGAGGAGAGCTTGGTGAGTAGCCTTTAGCCTTTGCAGAAGCATCGAAGACTTATCTAGCTTCTCTTCCTCAGCGCACTGTGCCTTTCTCGTTCAAGAACAAGAAGGTGTTCGCTACCACCCTGGTCTCCTTCCTCGGCCTCGGCTTCGTTGGCCTCCCCACCATCGCCTGGGCATGGACTTGGTACGTCCGCTGTCCTCACTTTTCGATCACACGCTGATCAGCTACGCAGGTACAAGCCCGGCGGCTTCAAGAACGCCTCTGGTTGAACGGCTCACCCAATTCACGCCTCCCGTATCACTAGCCTAACGCTAATGCTTTCGACACACACATGTACCATAACTTATTGAGCTTTGGACAATCGGGGGCTTCTGTAATATACCATTTTTGAAGACATCATCCACTGCATGATTGAGGCGCGTCAATGAGAAAAAACGGGGAGATGATCGCACATGAGCAGTTTGCGGATTCGACGTCAAGGTCACCTAGCTCTTCACTGACGTGGCCTAGCTGGCCTTGGTGGCGACCCACGGCGGGATAGACAGCTAGCTGGGGTTTTGAAACAAGCAAACGATGGCACAGCTATGAAAGACGTTCAAAGTCATGATGATTATAGCGCGTTGTTGTACAGAAATTCCACAGGTCGTCCGGGTATCCTCAAAGCTCATGCAGCGTCCTCCTTATCCACCTTAACCGCATCCTCAGACGTCTCGCTCGACACCCGTTGCTGTCCATGACCCGCCTCCTCTGGCACCTTGAGGTCCTTCTGTTCCGTCCAGCCCATGCGCTCCACCACATAGCCCTGCCCGAGCACCTCGACACCGATACGCAGCGCCTCGGCCATCAGGTCCTCCACCCACTCATACTTCTCAGCGTCACCGTTCCAAAGGTCGATCCAGTCCGCGGGCACAGCCTGCGTGACGGTGGTGTGCGTGAGCGAGTGACTGGGGTCCGAAAGGTAGAGCAGGAAGTGGATGTCCTGGTGGACGGGCGGAGCGGAGGGGGTAGTTGCCTGAGAGTCGGGCTCGATTATTTGCGTAGGGAGATGGCGCGTAGCAGTGTAGGCCTGGATACGGAGGTAGACGTCGGAGTAGGTGAGCGGGACAGTGATGTTGGATTGCGTGGTCTTCTTCTCATGCGAGGCAGAGAGTTTGATGAGTTCTTCAAGGTTTGCCTGCAATGGCGCGTCACTTAGGGCCCAATGAACGGGATGGAGTGGGACCCACTTGAGAAAGCTTCAGTGCGGTCTCGTAGCCGTCAACCACAGCGAGATCGCGGACGCCCTCTTCGTCTGATGAGGGTTCCTTCGGGCGAATCTCCTTGCCACTGTTGACGATGAGATCACCGCCCTCGACTTGCTCGAGTATCTGAGACAGTCAGTTGCGGTTATAGAGGAAAGAAGGTAGACCATACCCTGATGAGCGCGCGGTAGACCAAACTCTGAATGCCGTCATAACCTCGCAGATCGTGACTGAGCCAGACGCGAATCACTTCGTGCTCAGAGATGGGAGGGGCGACGACGTTGAGAATGTCGGTGAGAGTAGATAATCCGACACGCTTGAAGTCGGCACCTATAGCACCTCCAAGATCATCAGCGTCCTTGATCTATCATCTTGGTAGAGTGAACGCACCAAGTTTGTTGATATCAACGGGGAGGTTCGCCTTGTTCGCATATGCTATGACTCCCTCACCCCACTTGCGCGCCTGCTCGTTCTGAGGGAGGTTCTTGGCCTGCTCCTCCACGACATGGCGCGCTTGCTGAACCGCATTCCATACAGAGCCAGTATTCCACGAGCCCCAGCCCCACCCACCACCGCTTCCCCCTTCAGCTTGAGGGGCCTCCTGAGGCTCAGACGATCCAGACGACTTCTCCGAAGCTGCCGCTGTGGGCGCGGGGGGCGTTGCACGCCCCTGCGAGCTAAGCTTGAAGCGCTCGGTGCTCTTGCGCACTGTAGGCGTTCCACTCCTCGAGAGCGTCGCGGCCGGACTGCGCGTCTTCACCTGCGGCACCGGCTCCGCGCTCTTCTGCGTGATCTCGTCGATGAACGCTAGAAACTCCGCCTCGCCCTCGCCAGGCTTGGGGGCAGCCGCAGCGGGAGGGGCACCAGAGCCGGTGGACGCCTCGGGGGGAGGAGGCGCAATGTTGTCAAGGTCGTCGAGGAATGCGAGGGCCTCCTCCTGCTTGGACTTGGATTTGGTCGTCATCGCGGCTGGGGAAGAAGTGCGTATGTGATGTGGCTGTGCTGCATTGTTCTCCACTTGCTCTCAGCGCTCACTAGACGCGATACGACTTGGCGCCATGGCTACCTCCACGACACCTTACGCTTATGAGATCTTTGACTCGCTGCCATACTTTGACAAGGACCTGGAGACCTTGCCCGAGTTGCGGGACAAGGTCGACTCTGAGATCGCAAAAGAAATGGGCAAGAGGGATGTCATCCACCCCAAAGTACCGCCTGAATTCGAACTTTTCAAGGTGTGTGCCCACTATCCGCATGCATATAGTCTACTCACACTGTGTAATAGGGGAAGCCTTTGCTGAAGGCAGAACTTACGCGCATAGAATCCCACAAACCGTTCCCCTCCCTCGACACGCTGCGTTATCAACTTCCTGCACCAACATCCATGCCTGCTACCGATGAGGAGTGGAAGAAGGCCCTTGACAATGCTCACGCACAACTTGAACACCAACGAACGCGGTTTGTCTGCTTGACTTATGCTCTTGATCGACGCGCTCATTTGTGTATAGGCAAACAAACGTTTCGTTGTTACAGACGTACGGCGCAAACGCATGGAGAATACACAACTACCTTCTTGAGACTACGGCAAAGAACGCTGAGAAGGCTTTGGAGGAGTTGAAGGAGCAGATCACTGAGGTGAACCGCGAGCGCAAGAACACACAGGTATGTTCTTCCCTTTGAGTGGTATGTGTCACAGACTCACCGATGCTCGCAGACCAAGCTTGGAGAACAAATCACATCTCTAGAGCATCGCTACGTCGAGTTAATCTCGAGTGTGTTGCAGATCGAGATGGCAAACGTCGCGCTCGAGGCGGAAATCGAGCGGTTAACGACCCGGGAAATCGAGCTTAGCGGCGGTGCTTGATAGCGTTGTGGCGCTACTGTTTTTTCCTTGCCATATTCTAGCCACATCTTGGCGCACATGCTAGCTTGCCTGCCAGGCTATATTGCAATGCATCCACAGCACCTGGCATATGTTACTTCGGTATCCCTCTTCATATGGCTGGACGGGTGTATAGCAAGAATCAGATGCCCAGTGATACTCAGATACTTGGCCCGTATCTGAACGTTACTTGCTCATCTAACAAGGGCACGGTCAAGTTGATGTTTAGCTGTGGGCGTATATTGTTCGATTTCCACGTGCCCAGCTTAATGAAGCCAGAAATCACGCGCTTCTTCTCCTCGGAACCCCCGCCATCACCGAGGCCTTACAGCGACATTCATAATGATGCGGAATTCGCGCGGATTGCGAGCGGCGTGTCATGTTTGGCTGCGCCCCTCCGGCAACGACCGCGAAGGGCTGGAAGCCAACTGGAAGCACCATTCTCTGAAGTTTTTGTCAAGTTCTTGTACCCTTTAAGCCCTCTGTATTTCACGGCAGAGTCCTATTGGTAGATCCACCTATGTTTTCGGGCGGAACAAGGATAGTATATGCCTCTCTCGGAGGAGCTCGTGCCCACGCGCCATACGCGCGTGGTGCTCGGAAAAGTCCGAGATCCCAGCCGGTCTTGTTCTTTTCCTCAGGCGAGCCTCCGTCCGCAAGTAAGGGTGCACGGAAGGGTAATCCTGAGTGAGTATCACACAAAGAAGGCCCCGAAATGTGCATCCCGAACACTCAAATGCTCCACAATCGCTCAGCGGTAATTGCCGGGAGGGCGCGGCCAAACATGGCACGCCGCGTGCAACTCGCGCGAATTCCGCATCATTATGAATGTCGCTGTAACCGGAACGCGAACGCGCACCGGATAGCCGGTCGTCGCGCGCATCGTCGGCTGTTGCTCAAATGCTCTCATAACCTTGACCTATCCCCTTGCCCATATATCGCACACACATCGCTAGCCTTCGTTTTCCCTTCACCTACCAGCCCGCGCATTCCCGCCACAATGACGACCGCACCCATCAAGGAGGCTGAACATGAGCTCATTTCGACTGCACTGGAGGTGGAACAGATTGATGTGAACCTGTACCGCTCAAAGTCCCTCTGGATGCCTGCGTATGCGCGGGGTGTCTTCGGCGGGTGCGCTTTCAATACTTCGCTCTCATGCCACGAAGTCTCACCCACAAGCAGTCAGGTCATCTCCCAGGCGCTCGTGTCTGCCACGAACTCCGTCGATCCTGCCTTCGGCCTACACTCCCTACACGTGAGTATGCATAATACTCAATCCTTCCCATCCTCACCAGTATCTCCCCCAGTGCTACTTCCTCACCAGCGCCTCCCCCGCTACCCCCGTTCTCTACACTGTTGAGCGCGTCCGGCAAGGCCGCTCCTATGTCACCCGCGTCGTGAAGGCTTCGCAGAAGGGACATATCGTCTTCGTCATGATGTGCTCGTTCCAGAAACCCGAGCCGTGGCAGCCGCAGTACCAATGGACCATGCCGGAGGTACCGCCGCCTGAGCAGTGCGTGCTCGAGGAGGAGCGCTATCGCCAGAGGGCGAATGACCCGGGCTTGAATGCCAAGGCAAGAGCGTACTTGAGCGATCTCGCGGTGGTAAGTGGACTTCAGCACCTACGGAATCTGCGCACCTGAAAGTCCTGCAGGAACGCGAACATAGCCCGATAGCTATCAAGATCGCGAAGGAGCGTATCATGAGGGAAGACGGCTCATCACAGTATGCGTACTGGTTCCAAGCACGGAATATACCGGACTACGAGACAGCGTACCAGAAGGTGCGTATTGCATGCACTCGCTGCGCTTCCTTCACTTACCCCGCAAACACCCAGTGCATCCTCGGATATCTCTCTGACTTGAGATTGTGCGTATACATGCTTAGTCAGCGCAGAACCTGGCGACTGATCGCTTCTTAGAATTGGCACAGTCGCTCAGACTCTGGGACTGAAGGGCTATGCGATGGCTACCGGCGCACAGGCGCTTGGAATGTCTTCCACCATCGACCACTCCATCTACTACTACAGCGACTCCCTCGACTGCGGCGACTGGCTGCTTTACGTCGTGCGTATTCTCCTCCCATACCCTCATTGACTCCGATTCATCGCTCCATAGATGACTGCCTCGCGTGCTGCGTCGGGTCGCGGGGTGGCGCACGGACAGCTGTACACTAGGGATGGAACTTTGGTGGCAATAACGGCTCAAGAAGGCGTGGTGCGCGCGGATGTGCGGGGTCCGAATGCGAAGTTGTAAGGGGAATTCAGAAGTGGAACATTTACTCACCTAGATCTTTGGCTACTGTCCATCTTGAATAATATACCTGTAGGCTAGACATACTCTTTAGCAACTAAGCACTTATTTGTGACCCGCTCTTTGCCATGGCAGGCAACTACTGCCACTCACAGCGAGTCCGCACTGCCGTAGGACCCTGGGAGCAACGCTCCTATTTGTCGCGCATGTGACCGTGCGACTCCTGCGCGCCCTCAAATTTCGGCGCGATCACGTTTTGTTCTTTCTTCAAGTGTCCTCTCGACCGTCGGAAGCGCCCCGCCTTCGGGCACTCTGGCGTTATGCATTCTGGTCGGAGGAGCGAGGCGTCCTTCGGGATGCTCACGAGAACGAGCGTTCGCGCAGCGCGGCTCGATTCCACTTCAGTGTCGAGTCGAGTCGTCTGCGTGGATGCGGCGCTATATTCCTGTACCTGCCGTACCCGCCCTCTTCGGAGGGTTGCCACTATGTGGCCTTGACGGTTTGGTCAAACCATAGCTCAGACATACCTTCCACCCCCTCCCTATTCTTTGCACGCGTTGCGATCGCTTAGCACAGTACTTGTACGCGTCGATGCTTTGACTTTGCCAATGAATACCCCTTTGCAGTTCACTTGCGCTTGTGCGCCCACTGCTTCGCATCTATTGATCCTGGTCAGATGAGGTGCATATACGACGCTTCTTCGTCCCCGTGAACAACTTTCGGGGTCGGGAGACGCGTCTGAGTTCGCGTGAGCTGGCCAGAGTCAGACGCGATCGAGCGACACGACGCCACATTTGCAGTCGGAGTTCCAATGTCCAAACTCTAATTTTTGGTTTCTCACGGCCGACAACCCATCTTTCGGCGGTCTCGCTCGCTCGTTCATCAGCGCTACGCCCAGCAAAAGGCAGCCGTCCCCGTCCAGCCACCAAAACCTCCACCATGGTCAGTTCTGCCGCCCCGCGCAGAGACGCGATCGCTGCACCGATGCTGATGTGATCGCCGTCTCTGGCTCCGTAGACGCTCGCTGTCGACCTCCTCAACCCCTCTGCCGAGCAGGAGAAGCGCAAGCACAAGCTCAAGCGTCTTGTGCCCTCCCCCAACTCGTACTTCATGGACGTCAAGTGCCCTGGTGCGTTGGACTTATGCTCGTATATTGAGGGCACGCGCTGACATATCGTGTCTCATCGCAGGCTGCTTCGCGATCACCACTGTCTTCTCGCACGCGCAGACCGTCGTCATGTGCGGCTCGTGCGCCAGCGTTCTTTGCCAGCCGACAGGTGGTAAGGCTCGGCTAACGGAGGGTACGCTTCGCGTTTATGCCTGACAGAAATCTCGCTTACTGACATCGCGTTTGTGCAGGCTGCTCTTTCCGCAAAAAGAACTAAAGGGTTCCTTGCGATGTTGTATCCTTAGCTGTGCTTATACGCATTCCCCTTCATCTTGCATCCGTCGCTTTCCGCTCGGCACACGCCTTATGTCCATGCTGCCTATGCAATACTACATGCATCGCTTTCGAATCACGGTTTTATCAGGCCAAGTTGGAGGAGATAGGACGTGTGATGAGGAAAACAATGCACCTTGGGAATGCAACGATCACAGACAAACGAGTGATCAGTTGCAGGGAAGTACAATAGTTAGTCAAGCGCTCTTGACAATAAGGCCTCTGTCTGACAGTGAGAACCGAAGTCAGTGATGCCAGCCGGTTGACGGTCAGGACAATAAACGTGATGGAGGACGTACAAGATGTCGAGCGCATCTGCCGCATCTCCGTCCTGACGGTGCCATTGGCTGCGTGACTTGAATGCTTTGTCTGTCTTCGCACACATGACTCGCCGTTACGGTTCCGGCGGAGGTACACGCAAGGTGACAATGTTCTGCGTTCTCGAAGCTCTATGTCCCGGCAAAGTGGAAGACTTTGCTGTGCGCACGGCAACCGGAGCCCTCGCCAAAAGAGGGCATAATGGCAGTCCGAGCTGCCCGTAACACGAGGGGGGACATGCATCCTATCTCCGGTCAAAGTACAACGGGGATCCCAAAGAGGAACAAGGGCATGTAATTTCGAACCCCCACGTGTGAGACCCACGAGCTGATGCTGGGAAATTACACGGCATCGCGCCGGAGAAATATACTTGCCGGCCGCTTGCTATTGTTCTGAAGAACGCAAGCCGCATGGGTCGGCTTATGTGAGCATGCAGGCGCAGCGAGTACAAAAGGCTGCGGTCAGGAGGGGGAGACCCAAGCGCCCACTCCCAGTCACTCGTCGGCTCACGTTTCTTTTCCTTTTCTCTTCGTTTCCGCTCTCGTCCGACGGCACGCCCCCGACACGCTAGTCTCTACATAGATCTCTCACTCCAGCCCCTCTTTCATTGACGAGGTACGTCGCCACCATCGATCCCCCTTGTCTTCATCGCTGATAACACCTATCCAGCCCCGCCTCGCCTCTTATCCACGTCGTTAACGTCCTTCTTACACGTGTTCTCTGCTTGAATCGCCGGTCGGTTCAGCACTTTCGACTTTGTTCACACTCTCGCCACCCACAACCACTCGTAAACTTCATCCACACTTGCATTCACCTCTATCCACAATGGCCTCCAACACCTCGATCGCCATCACCGTCGCCCAGGCTGTTGCCTTCCTCACGCGCCCCCTCACGGCCACGTACCCGCAGGCGACTGTAGCCCGTCTGCAGACCGTCCTCGAGGCTAGCCTCACGGCGTACTACGCCCCGACGTGGAATCCCTCGGAGCCGCGCAGCGGTAGCGGTCGTCGCTCCCTCACGCTCTCCCCGGGCTGCCTCCCGCCTCGTTGCATCTACCAGGCGTGCCTTGACTCGGGCGTCCAGTGGTTCGATTGGGTCGGCCTCCTCGGCGGTCGCGAGTTCGACCTCTTCGTCGACCCCGGCCTCGTGTCCCTCTCCTTCGGCAAGCGTGGCACCCCAGGCGCCCAGCTCGTCACCGTCTGGGCCGATCAGCCTACCCTCGCTACCCACCACCGAAAGACGTCCTCCATGGACTCCGTCCGCCTGCACGCCGCCAACATGCAGGCCGCGATTGACGCCCAGCGCAAGACCTTTGCGCAGCGTGTCTCGGAGCGCGACGCGCACGAGGACGAGGAACTGTTCGCGATGATCGCGGGCGAGGTCGCTGCCCCCTCGTGGGAGCTGCCCCTCCCGCGCCCGCAGGCTCGCTCGAGCTCGCCGCTCTCGACCCACTCCCGCAGCAGCTCGCGCTCCTCCAACTCGAGCTCTGGCTTCTCCGCTGCATCTGCAGTTTCGTCCGCGACGAGCTACATTTCCAGCGCGGCCAGCGGTCGCTCGCAGACCATGTCTCGCCGCGAGCGTGCCCGCCAGGCGCGTGTCTACGTGGACCACAGCAAGAAGGATGTTACCCCTTACGATGGTGGCAAGACCACTGTTCTCACCGGTGGTGTCATGCTCGGCGGCGGCCCCCGTGCTGCCCGCGCCTGAGTGTTCACAACCGCACACCATTCGACATTGACGATGACTCAAAACGCGCTTCCCAAACGCCTCACTCACGACCAAACGACACTACTCATACGCTCTACTAATCTTCTGCATTCTCATTGACGCTCACATTGACACTCGTACTCAACAACTGTAGCCTTAGGTTTCTTATGGGTTTTGGCCTCTCGTATACTATGACTGTATTTAATACCCCCTGCTTCGCCGCATCCCCTACAATGGAGGCGCTTAGCTGTGTAATGTACCTGCTTCATGACCTCCAGTGCTGGCATTGCTTCACTGTCGTTACCTACTACCCCCACAAACCCAATATATGGCATGCTTATTGCCGTCCTTGGACAAAGTTCAGCTGTGTGTTATACTCCGCGCCTAGCGACTCAATTGAAGGGGAGTTCACTAAAGCATTAGGTTCTCGGAAGAAGAGGTGTGGGGCGCCTTTGGGCCGGAGCTCCCAGACATCAGTCTTCTTGGCTGTTGGTGCTGGGGCCTCTGCACTCAAGCGACGACGCCCAGCGTCAGCAAAATTACTGTCGTCATCCCCTGACGATGAAGGGAGTTCGTTTTTTCCTCGCTTACGCTGACGGACCATCGCAACGGGATTTGGTGAGACCTTCGGCGACGAAGCGGTGACCCAGAGTGCGTCGAAGACAGCCGCTGGACAATGGGTGGGTATGAACAGGAGCTTGGTCATAAAATAGGACCCAGTCGAGGCCATGGAATCGCCTTTCGGAGGTTGCTCAAAAGCTCCCGCTCCGTGCCACGTGGCGGTATGATGCCGAGATCCCCAATTGGACACGCTCGAGGCGCCACCACAGACGCGGATTGGAGCCCTCTTACGCACCGGATTGTCGTCAGTCAGGCGCTTCGCGGCCTATATAAGCATATGGCCAGAATGTTGTTTTCCCCACATACAACGACACTCATCGTCGTACGCCCCCGCCCGTACTTCCTGCACACCACCATCCCCTGCCACCCGACATGTCCGCCCTCTCAGACTCTGGCAGCTACGAGGACCCGACGGCATACGAGGTTCGGCTGCGCAAATATTCCCAGGAGATTGCCGAGCACACGATACGCCAATGGAACGTTATGCGCGCGAAGCAGGAGCAGCTAGACGCCGATACGACAGAGCTAGAGAAGAAGATGGCGAGGACGAAGCTATCGTCGGAGAGCGCGCAGTCTCCTCAACGACGCGGCCGGAGCGACGCAGAAGACGGTAAGTGTCATTCCCACACCCATCATCCGCAGACATTCATGTTCCCTCGTTCTTCGCTTTGCGTTTAACAAGGCCAACAGGGTCAGGCGTCTGGGAAAGGGCATCGCGCTCACTACGGAGAAAGCTCTGAGCAGTCACGGAATAAGTCGCAGTCGGGGCAGCAGAAGAGTGAGTCCTACCTTTGTTTTCTGCACCGCCGCCGTACTTATCGACCACCTGAGCAGTCCGACGCTTCATAAACCCGCGCCGTTCGTCGGCGAATCATCATCGGACGTTCTGAAGACTGGGACGCCATTGTATCATCACCTATATCCGCGCACGACGTCAGCTCTGCGCGAGAGACGAGCATCAGACGAGTCGCATCACAAATAATTGTAGGACCCGCATCTCAGCCTACCCATGACCTTGCCCATAGGCGAGCATCATACGTTACCTCTGCATGCCTTGTATCATAGTTCCATACACTCAATGATTTATTTACCGCGTACGCGGCATCACTGAACTTGTGAGAGATTGGCGAGAAAGTTGAGCGATGTACAATCGTGTCTGTCGGCCGTCCTGAATTTCGAGGAGCAGTGGCAGGCGCGAAGGGAGTCAAAACGAATCTGACGTCAGAATGGACCGTGGAAAAAATCAATGACGGCGCCCGAGGTCGTGCCGCGTGTAATCGCGAGGGGCTGGGTGACGCGCTGAGGGGCGGCGGAAGGGGGCGCTAGCATGCAGTCGTCATCATGACTGAGGGAATTTGAGGCAACGTCAAGTTCAACTTCGTCCCTTGTGATCGTGGTAAACGGATTTCGGGCCGTTTCCCGAATACTTGATAGCCGCTGGCATTGGCTGACAAGGTGCACGCAACGATGGGGAGGTTGCCTGAGCTGACTGTGTTCCCCAATCGCGCCTCGAGCTGAAGAAGCACCAGTTCGGATCGATCGTCGGGCTGACCGTTGTAGACAGGGGTGGAGGAAGAGGAGCTCTTGTCGTATGGACTCGTTGGCGCCAAGAGTTTGTACACAGCGCTCGCGCGGACGCTATGATAGGCAGACGGAATAATTCAACGTTGCGGCGATAGCGCGTAACTGCACGAATTCCGGGTAGAGGTCGATGGAAGGAGCGCGAGGACGGCCAAGGACGATGGTAACCCAAGAGACATGAGTGGACACGACGCGATGCGGACAGGTCGCCCGATCAGTGGGCGATCAGATCTACGCCATGAACTTTGGGGCGCTTCAACTTCAGAGGAAGGAAGTCGGCCCGCAGCCCTACCCGCACCTCTTGGCTCCTGAACCCATCCACCTTCCATCCCCACTTCATGCTCGCCGTCTCGCGCTCTTTCCGCGCTGTGCGCGTCGCCAGTCGCGGCCTGGCTACGCACGCGTCGACGGCTCCCCCAACCCCCAAGACCGTGACGCGCCACGACTGGACGAAGCAGGAGATCCAGAGCATATATGACTCCCCCCTCCTCGATCTCGTCTTTCGCGCGGCTGCGGTGCACCGCGAGCACAACGATCCGCGTAAGGTGCAGCTATGCACCCTCATGAATATCAAGAGTGCGTTCCCCAAACCGATGTGGCACCCTATGGTACTGACGTTACTCAAGCTGGTGGATGCTCCGAGAACTGTACGTCGAGTCAGCACTGGTGAATGCGACGAAGCTGAGAAGCGCATCAGGCTCCTACTGCTCCCAGTCGTCCCGGTACTCCACTTCAACGAAGGCATCCCCCTTGCTGGAAGTGGAGCCTGTCCTTGAGGCTGCGCGGAAAGCGAAGGCGAACGGCAGCACGCGCTTCTGCATGGGTGCCGCCTGGCGCGACCTCGCAGGCCGCAAGCGCGGCTTCGAGCGCATCCTCACCATGGTGCGCGAGGTCCGCGGCATGGGGATGGAGGTCTGCACTACCTTGGGCATGTTGAGCCCGGAGCAGGCGAGGAAGCTGAAGGAAGCGTGCGTCAACAGTAAAGTTACAATCGACACAAGCTGAGAAATGACGACAGGGGCTTGACGGCGTACAACCACAACTTGGACACATCGCGCGAGTTCTACCCTGAGGTGCGTGCCATTACTTGCTGTTACTTCCTATCATTGACCGTCATCAGGTTATCACCTCTCGCTCGTACGATGACCGGCTGGACACGATCTCCGCCGTCCGCGATGCGGGTATCAGCGTCTGCTCGGGTGGTATCCTGGGTCTTGGCGAGAGCGACAAGGACCGCGTCGGTCTGATCTGGGAGGTCGCGAAGTGAGCAACATTCGCCCGTGCGCAACTCCCGCAAGAGCTCACCATCTATCCAGCATGCCCGAGCACCCAGAGTCATTCCCCGTCAATGCTCTCATCCCCATACCTGGTACTCCCTTGGAGAAGAACGAGGTTCGTATACCCCACTCTCTATCCACTCCGATCGCGACTGACGATCCCCAGATGGTCCCCTACCACACCCTCGCGCGGACGATCGCGACGGCCAGGATAGTCATGCCCACGACGATCATCCGCATTGCCGCTGGCCGGAATGTGATGCCGGAGTCCGAGCAGATGATGTGCTTTATGGCCGGCGCCAATGCGATCTTCACCGGGGAGCAGATGTTGACCACGCCTTGTACGTCCCCCTTTTCTATTTCCCCCTCCCGCCTCCTTCACATTACTCACGCCTGTACAGGCTCGCCTTGGGATCAGGACAAGGCCATGATGGACCGCTGGGGCCTCGAGGGCATGGAGAGTTTCAAGCAGGAGCGCGTCGCGAGGAAGGAGCTGCCGCAATTTATGAACGCGGAGACGGAGGTTTCCCCTTCCTCGACGGAGGTGTCCCCACCCCCGGTGGAGCAGGCAAAACCGCTGGAGACTCCGACGCTCAACATCGCTTGAGATGCATCCCAGTTTCGTGGAAGATGTATCTCAGCATCGCCTGCGACCTATCCATCCATACTGACATAACTCATTGTAAAGCTAGTGTATAACAACAGTACTAGAGGACGCATATCCGTGTACGTGGGTGCAGGTATACCGAGCGATGCCTATCCGGTGTTCTAACGCAGATAAGTTGATCATGAGCAGGTGAGTTGAGTATAGCCTATGAGCAGGTGAGCCCTGATGAGCGCGATGGAAGATCAGATTGCACGCGCACGGGCCGAGCGTAGGACCCCGCACCGACCCCGCCGTACCCCAGACATATTGTGCGGCCTATGCATCCGTCGGACGATCGCAGCGGCCCATTCATCGACGATCTTAAGGGCTCTTATCGCCTTCGCCGCTTGCGTGCTCGTTGATTCAGGTCGCGCATCGTACACGTTACAGTCCTTGTCTATCCTTACCTCTCCCCGTCACTTACTCAGCGCGACGACCCCTGCTTCGCTTATAGAACCCAGACGACCAGCAAACTACAGCGACGACACCCCGCACTCACGCACCAATCAATAACTCACCAACAACTGAGCAGACGACGACCCGATGTCCTCCTTCCACTTCCCCGAGAAGACGCAACCTCCCCAGGTTACCGCGCTCAACCTCCCGCCCAACACGTCCTGCGTGCTGCTCAAGAAGCAGTCGATCTCCGTCGAGCCCAAGCCGCTGCCGATCCTTCAGCCCGATGGCGTTTTAGTGAAGGTGATGGCGACAGATGAGTACTTTTCACGACGATGGGGGATGGGCGGGGGTATGAGAGTGGTAAGAATGCTTACCTCCCTCTCCAGCACGCATCTGCGGCTCCGACCTGCACAACTACTTAGCGGGGGGCGTTGGCGGGCGGCCGGTAACCGAGCCCTTGGTGATGGGCCATGAGAGCGCGGGGGAGGTTATTGCGGTCGGGGATCGGGTTACGACACATAAGGTGGGGGATAGGGTCGCGGGTGAGTAGGGTCGTTTCTCCGGGAGGGGGGGGGGTAGGATTAAGGAGGAAGCTGATGGGAGGTATTTGCAGTCGAACCCGGTCTACCATGCCGTCGCTGCATTAACTGCAAGAATGGGCGGATGAATATCTGTACTGGTGAGCTCTGTTTCCTGCTAGGGGCGAAGCAGCAGACTCAGTTACCTTGACAGACCAGCACTACTGCGGTGCTCCGGGTTCTGTCGGTTCGCTATCCAGGTCAGCCGACTACGATAGAGGTGTGAGACCGACCGCTAACGCTGCTTCGCCAGGTACTTCGCCCTTCCCGCGGACATGGCGCCGCACATACCAGCGCACGTATCGTGGGATGAGGCGGGATGTATACAGCCGCTGGCGATTGGCGTGCAGATAGGGAAACGGGTCGACCTGCGAGCGCATCAGACGGTGGCTATCTTGTGAGTTCTCCCTCTTCCGAGTCGTCAGCTCCTCGACCAACCCGTGATTGACCCCTCGCGCAGTGGTTGCGGACCCATCGGGCTCATCGCTGGGGCGGTCGCGCACGCTTACAGTGCGCGTCGAATCATCGCCTGCGACATCAACCCCTCGCGTGTCGAGTTCGCGCGCAAGTACATCTCGCCACTCACTGGGAAGCCCATCTTCGACCACGTCTTCGTGAACACGAAGCTATCCGACAAGCCTGTCAAGCAGGGCGCGCCGCCCCACCCGCAGGGCTCGGACCCTACACCGGCCGGCGTGGCGGATGGTGAGGTCGGAGAGGTGGAGGACCACGAGCAGACGCTGGGTGATATCAAGTGGACGCATGCGCAGGCTAGAGCGGCAGAGGTTTTGGAGCAGGCGGGATTAGCTGGTGAAGGAGGCGTGGACCGTGTCATTGAGGCGAGCGGAGCAGAGGATTGCGGGCTTATTGGCGTGGCGATTGCGAAGCAGGGCGCAACTTGTAAGTGGCTACCGAGAGTCTGAGAACCGATTTTCCTGATACTTTGTTTAGACATCGCAGTCGGGTTGGGCCATGTTGAGACGAGCATCTTCCCCATGATCGCGGTAACAGCCAAGGAGCTGGACGTGAAGGGTGCGTGGTCCTTTGTTGTTGAATGAGAGCCAAAGCTAACCGGTCTCAGGCATTACACGGTACACTGCGTCCTGCTTCCCAAATGCCATCGACATGCTCGCCCGCGGTGTCGTGGACGTGAAGCCGTTGATCACGAAGAAATACACGCTGGGGGAGAGTCGCGACGCGTTCGAGGCAGTTCGGAGCGGGAGGGAAATCAAGGTCATCATCAGAAACCAGGAGTAGACAGTAGGAAAAAGTGTAGTATAGCAAGCAAGCCCTTGAGACGGGTCGAGAGAGAAACCGCGAGGATCATGGGAGTTTGAGAAAGAAAGGGAAAGAACGTTCGCCTACCACGTGATCGCGTTCTGCCGTGAGAATTTCTGGTTCGGCGGTCGGGCCGCCGCAATCCGAGCGCGCCGATGCTGGAGTTTGGAGGTCACCTCCACTTTCCCCAAGTCCTTCCTGCATATGGTCGCCCAAGGCCCTGAATCTCGGTCAGGGAGTCGTATGAGCATGGCTGGTCAGAAGAGACGTGCAGCAGCCCAGGATGACCCTCTGTACGCCTCTATACTCCCTTCGTCGGCGCCACCCTCACCTAGCTTCACAGGGCCACCTTGCCTTTGAGCGACTCGAATTCATGGTACTACCCGTCGTACGGATACGACACGGAGGATGAAGAGGAGACGATTATGCCTGGGTCGTCTCTGGGGAACTGGGGAAACAAGTCGACTCGCGGGGCGCGCTGGGTTAGGCGAGGGAAGATTGCAGCATGGGGACCAGAAATGGACGATTGGCAGGTGCGTGGCATGCGCTCGAGCGTGTTGTCGCTGCTTACAATGCCTAGACTGAGGAGCGCGCAAGGAAACGCATCAAGACGCTTATGCAGCAAAACCCGCGCCCATCATCGCCGCCCCCTTCCCTGGAGCACCTCTCCCGCACGCCCTCCCCACCTCTGGTGGCACCCTACGACCAGCCGCTGGCTGACCATGTCACCTACACCTCGTTCGTCATGGACAAGGCTGTGACCCACACCTTCCGGTCCGGCCTCGTCGAAGAACTTGAGAACGTCACGAATGGCCTAATCGAAGGAGAAGCAACAATGAAGCGGGCACTGGGCCGCCTGTGGCAGGTCATCAGTGAGGACCCTGATCGACTGCAAGGCAGCTCCCTACCCGTGACGAAGTTGGAGGAAGAAGACACCGAAGGCGTACCCGAGTACCAGATCGACCGAGCGAAGCGGTACGGGCGCGCTCCCGACCTCACCCCCACGACACACAAGCTCTTCCTGGTCGGGTCGCAACCGGGCGTTGTCGAGCCTTCGCACTTCACCAGTCTAGACACTCAGCGGGACACGCTAGAGAAGAGTCTAGCAACTCTGCGCGAGTTGCAGGACGACAACCGAGAATACGCAGAACGGTTGGCGGAGATCAGGGAAGGGCTCGGGGAGATTAAGGCGCAGAGGAACATCATCTGGCAGGATGTTCGCCAACGGGCTGTCTCTGAGTTGCAGGACGCGGCGGTAGCGTATGCCTCGTCGTCTATGTAGATCACCATCTGTATGCGTCTGGATTCGGTTACTGTATTGTACTTAGTTTTCGCTGATTTCCTACACTCTTGCTCTCGCTGTGCTCCGTGCTCTCTGCGACGAAGTCGGTGTCTGACGCGAGGCCAGGTGGTGGCGGAGGTTGCGGTTCCCGAGACTTTGTGGCGCGTCTCCTCGCTGCCGTCATCAATCACTGTGCGGGTTGGCTAACACACGACAAGCTTGTTTCCCGCCATGACCCCGCCCATACCAGAAGTCTTGGGGCTCACGCTCCGAGATCGTCTGCACATAAATGTCGAGCGTCCCCATATCCCTGTCGACCGACCGACACCCAATGGTCAGCCCAACGGGAACACGCGTATGGACGGGGAGCTTCCCCCAGCTACTCCTCCCGAAGAGGGGGAGGACCGCTATATCCGCAAGCTGAAGATCTATGCAAAGAATCTACCCTATTCCATTGAACCTGAGTCGAAGATGATGGAGATTCTCGACTTCATCCTGCTCCGCCTCACCCAGTGCGTGGAGGCGAAAGACTATGATGTCGGTCTTGTGCAGTGGGATTCACTTCTGTCCTAGTACGTGGTTCCCCCCTTCCTGCGTACCGGTATACTCACATTCCGAAGCTGGATGATGCTCAAGTACCCCATCCCGAAGGAGAAGCGCATCCGCCTCGCGAAGCTATACTACCACCTGTGCACCGTGCCGGGCATGTCCACAAGCAACATCGCGCTTTGCGCGGACGCGTTCAAGGCATTAACACGGTCCAAGAAGAAGCTTTCGATCGAGGACATGCGGCTACCGTGGAAGCCCGTATACGACCTACTAAGTAAAGACCTGTTCTTGGCGAGGCGCCAATTCGAGTATACGTGCGTGAATAGGCTTGAGGACCATGAGAACGAACTCTAACGCTTGTTCAGGCAACTCTCATGGTGCATGGGGTACCTTGCCAGTCATGCCCGCCGCTTTTACCATCCAGGGGCAATTGAGGAGATGCTAAACACATTCGTCCCGCTCATCAACAACACGAGCTTGAATAGCGTCCTATGGTCGCAATATGCGCTCCTCACTTTCCTTCCCGAGTCGCACCCTCAAGCGTACCTTCCCATGCTCTTCCGTCATTGGCAATCCGTCAATTCATACCTCTACGATGAGCGGATGCTAGACTTCGTGTCGAGATTGACCGTGCTGCACGTCGACCCGAGCGTCAGTGACCCTCGGAAGATCACAGACGTACCAGACGACGCGCTCTCTGAGGGCGAGGGGCGACCGAAGTGGGCGCATGAAGAACCCGAAGACAACTTCGTGTGGTCCGGCATCTACAAGGACGTGGGTATTTTCACAGAGCAGCAGTGGTCGTGGGTGATGTGCAAAACACTTGTGTCGATGGGTGAGTTTGGTGGTCGTCCCTTATCTACATGCGTTGACAAGCGCCGCAGAAATCCCACTAGCGGACGCAGGCTCCCTCACCACAGGCCCGCAAGCCGACAATCAAGCAGCGTTCGAGATTGACCGCTTGCCGAAGGCAGCTTGGCGCATCCCGTCGCTCGCTCGCATCCTGGTGTACTCCATGGCGCCAGATAGCATGCCCTCACCTGCATCGAACGCGCCTACACCAATGTTCACGCCAACGCCCTCCGGCATGAACACGCCGATGGTACAATCGAGTTCGCTGAAGGAGTTCCTTGCTGCGCCACTTGGTAGAGGTCACTCCGTCTCCCGTGGCAGGACGTATCTTGCGGGCTCGAAAGCGCTTGACTCGCTCGTGACGCTGATCGCGTCGGTGGAGAGCTTCTTCCACCCCACAAACTCGGGAGCGTGGACTGTAGACGTGAGTGTACTTGCTTTTCACCTTGAAGCTCCCCTGAACTTCTTGCAGTTGAGCGCCTTCGTAAAGTATATCGCGTATGAGTTCAACAAGAGTAAGCTGTCTATCCCGTGTCATCAGAGCTTGCTCATCACACACAACCAGGATGGCATGAGGAGCACCAGCCTGACTGCAAAACGCCCACGAATCGGCGTCTCACGCGCACTATGAAGCGCGAGCTCGTCAAGAGCATCCGCACCGTGGCACTGCTTGCCATGTTTTCGCACGACCCTAAGGTCGTCGTCAATATCCAGAGTTGCTTGAAGTCAATGAGCGTGATGGAACCTGATCTTATTTTGCACCCGATCTTGGACCGTGCGGTGCCGTCATTGGAAGCGGTCGTTGAGGCAAGTCTACCCCCGAACTGTAGGGAACAGAGGGCTGACCTGCTGCATAGACGCAACGCACGATCAGCATCATCAAAGCACTTGGCGCTATTGCTCCTGCTATTGTCTGTCGCGACGTTTATTACCCCGGCGCGAAGTTCCTTGTCCCCCTTCTGCAGTTGCTTATTCCAGGAATCGACCTGGTAAGCTCAGTCGCTCTTCGGCGTCAATGGCTACTTACATCCTCGCAGAACGATCCCTCCAAGACCCTATGCACCACAGGCTTCCTCATGGAGATCGCGCAGTACATCAAGATCGCAGACCTCACTGCTGGCGAGCCCAAAGCCACCGACGACACAGTTCCTGCTATGCCGAGCAACGCCTACGCCAACCTCGCCCTGCCTGCTTTTACCTCCGATATGGGCATCGCGGATATCACTTCACGATTATCCGACGAGGAGGAAGATGAGTTGCTAAAGGCATCGACGCAGGACTTCGCCGATTGGATCGCGAACCTGGTCCGCCGGGTTATTCAATTGCTTGAGAATCTGCCGGAGGAGGGCGCGAACGGCTCAGCAGGCGGGGAGCTGGAAGGTGGATCCATTCACGTTGTGAATTAGGGCTTGGCTGATGCGCTTCTACCAGTGCAAGTCGTCGACGCAGTCGCCGGCGCCTTCAGCCAGATCTGCGTGCACCTGTCCGAGCCGCTATTCGACATGGTTCTGGGCATGGTCTACGACTATGCCTCGCAGAACGTGCGCTCGAACGCAGTTCGCGCTGTCCACCAACTCGTCGAGTGTGTCGCGAATGCCGATCCGGAGAAGACGATCAAGCGCTTCTTGCCGTTGTGCGAACGCAATATCCGGATGGAGTTGGATAATGGTGCTGGATCCTTGCGTACAACGAACTCGAGCCGGCCATTGCCGTCTGACACGACGCTGCATTGGAGTAAGTGACTATCGACCGTTCTCTTCAGCGTTGCTGACCAGGTTAGATTTGGCTATGCTCAGAGGCACTGTTTACAAGTAGGTCCTTCGAAAAGTCTGCCAAACTCCGTGTGCTCAATAGTTTCCTCAGCGACGGTTCCGTCATAGTCAAGCACCGCGAAGCTCTGCTTAACATCGTCAAGCTGCTGAGCAGCCGCTGCTACTCGAAGCGCGCATACTCGTGGACGGGCAAGTTCCTGACGAGCATGTTGATCACCCTGTCGCATACGTACCCGCTTGAGAATAAGTTTGTCAACCCCGACGAATGGAATAGCGAGGGTAAGTACCGACGAAAATGCCGCCAAGACTAGTCTGACACCCCAGTAGAGTTTAACAAGGACCACTACAAGCACTGGGGCAAGATGTACACGTCGGAAGATGTGTCGGTGTCTTGGCATGTGCCAAATGAGCAAGAGATCGACTTTGTGCTCCAGATCTTCCGCGAGCTGGTCGAGCCAACGCTGGCCACTTTAGAAGGATTGCTACAACCGGGTATGTTCGCTTGCTATAGACTGGCTCAGCCTCTGACGAACGACAGGCGTCGTACGGGATGCCATCTGGCGCAACGACTTTTGCCGCCATCTTAGTCTGGTCCGCAGTGCATTCTCGGGTACGCCTACATTGCTACAAGAATTCCTGACGGAAGAAGAGGCGCTCAACGAGAAGCTGGATACCGACATCCTCAACGAGATACCCGAGATGATCGCCAACATCGCGCCGTGCACGGCTGGTTTCTGCTTGACCGACCCCGCTGATCCGCGGTATCAGTACGTGGTGTCCTTGAAGCGGCGATTTGGGAGCCTGCTGCACCATGCTTCGACATCATTGCGACAGCAGGGCGAAGAGAACACGGTTGACGCTGTGCTCATCCTCGTGCGGTCCATACGCTCTTACATGCTGGAATACGGCGACTCTCGCGATAGGTGCGTGTGCAATCTACATGCAGATATACCCTTGTCGACCTGTATACAGCTTCTACGTGAACGAGGACCAGTATGCGTCTGAGCAGAATGTTGCACGTCAATACGCGAACCAGAAGGTCTGGCCCCGCGCGGTCTTCGTGCGCAGGGCAAGATACTACCACTCGGCGCGATTGAGGTGGAATTCCATCGAGCGAGCGCGCAGAAATACCGAGAACGCTCTCATTGACGACCTGGTGGTAAGCTCGGATCCCTGTGTGAGGCCGTTTACGAGAGCTCACTTCACGCCAGGAATGGTCGCTTTGGCACTACCCTATCATCCGACAGTAAGATCATGCAAACCAATGAGTCGCATAGAGATTAATGCTTCCCAGAGCCGCACAGGGTGTTCTCGATGCTGTCAATGGTGTAGGTGTATCTGATCTAGTATCCCGCCGCGTTGACTGACCGTTATGCCAGACATACGACGGCGTAAGGAAGCGTGCTCTTCCCGTACTGTTCAAGGCCTTGGAGCCTGGTACAGATGATGATCGCATGAAGGGTGCGTTGTGGACGCTGAACATGTCGGCTTTCGGCAAGTACGCGGTGGGTGAGCCGACCCTCTGCGCCGACTTCTGGAACGCCATCTTTCGCAGCCAGTGGAACGAGAAGGTGCTTCGACCATCCTGACCTTGCACAACATTGTCTCAATGCTCCTTGCAGCCATCGATTCAAGAGGCCGTCTCTGTCGTTGCCGACAATGGTAAGGCATCTGGGCGGATGAAGGGCGGGACCGGCATCAAGGCTAACGATACTGTGAAGCCCTCAATAGCTTCGTCGAACCGTGCTACCTGGTCTACGACGTGCCGACGCCGGATGTAGACGAAGCTGTCAAGGACATCAAGGCGATACTGGACAACATGCCGAAGGACGCTGCTTTGACCATCCGCTGTAAGGAAAACAGGATGAGGCGGGTCAGCTTGCAAGAGCGGTCAGCGGAGCGCATCGTAAGCAAACATTTACCATGATTGCGAATGCCGGCTGACGATGCTAGACGAACATGGTGCTAGAGATTGGACATGCAGACAAGACGCATTGGCGCTACCTCATCGTGGCTATGCGTGTTCTGCGCACGCTGGTCAGGCGAGATGTCCCCTTGACGAAGGCGCAGATCACGTTCTTCCTCGAGAAGTGTCACGACGAGCATCCTACGGTCGTGAGTACGAGATGCCATTGCGCAACTACCATGTCTAACTGATGTTTTCCAGCGATACGTAAGGGCTCATACGTGCTATGTCACCTCCAAAGCTAACATCGCTATGGCTTAGTATGCCCAACGCGCGGTGATGAAGGGCCTCCGCAACATCAAGCTTCGCACACTCTGCAAGTCTTCCGCTGACCTCGTGCAGTACCGTCCACGGAATCCTTTGAAGGAAGACGTGAAGATACAGCAACTTCCCATCGTCAAGCGGCAGCTTCTGGACGCATATCGCGACAAGCGTGTAGACCTTACGAAAGGCAGCGACCAGCCGTGTGTAACATGTTTTCCTTGCAAGCTTGTGCCTCACCCTTTCGTAGCATGCTCCTGGATCAAGACCCATTCTGGCTAGCCTGGCACGATCATATTACCATGACTCATGTACCGGATGTAGTCAAGTCGACGTACCAGCCATGGGAGCCAGTTAGTCAAGAAGCAATTAAAGCAGTCCGCGAGCTGGCAACGACGAAGCAATTTTGGGAGGACCTCGTTACGTATTACGGAGAGGAGAACCACGAGTCTACGGTTGTCCAAGATAACATCGCCACGGTGAAGAGCATTTGTGAGTTCATCCGCTTTCGATAACGAATAGCGAGCTAACGATTCGCATACAGTCCAATTGCTAGAAGACGAGCCGTTCCCGTATGTCAAGCCTATCCTTACCGACCTTCTCTCCAAAAAGGACAAGAACAAGCAACGAGCTGGCGCTGAGCTCCTTGCGGGTGTCATCGGAGGGTCGAAGAACTGGCCCGGGGAGAAGCAGAAGGTGCTTTGGGACTGGCTCACGCCTCAAGTGCCGTCGCTACTCGGTGGTAATGTTCAGACCGACACAATCATGGTGTGGACTACCTTCTTGGAGTACATATGTGCGTTCTCCCATTTCTACCGAGAGCTAGATGCTGAACTGGGATCAGTCTACAAGAAGGATCCTCGTCGCCTACAACCGTTCGTAGACTTCCTCATGAAGGAGTTCAAGATGGTCGACTTCCACGCCGAAATGTCGCTCGATGCGCTCAAGGTCCTGTCGATGTTCCGCGCGCTCTACGAGGAGTTGAACTGGAAGTTCTCGCCCTGGACAAATGAGGTTCTCAACCGCTGCTGGGCGGAAATCCACAGTGAGCACGACGATATCCGCGCGTACTTTGGCGAGATTGTGGCCTTTGCTGGCAAGATCAAGGTATTGACTCGCTACCTTGTTTGGACCTCCTACTAATGGAACTTTATAGCTTTCCGCTCGTCCGTCCATCCCCTCCGTCGAGGTCTTCGTCAAGGAATGTCGCCGAGTACCAGAAGAGTTCGACATCATGGGCACGCGTGGGGTATACCATAAGAAGAAGGTCGTCGAGCTTGTGCAGAAGTTCGCCGTATGGCGTCAAGAGCGGCAACCGGGCGTTCGCGCGTTTCAGTCGACGTACGACAGGGTCGGGATCACCGTGTGCAAGTGGCTGTTCCAGAGCGTGCACGATACGAATGCAGCGTCGGTGTTCGACTATATCTTGCCTCTGATGGTGAGTATTCCCTACGTCGTCATGCGCGCGTCAATTGACAGTTGGTGACTGTAGCCTGAGCTCTTCCGCTTCACGGAAGGTACGTCTGATGTACTTGCATGAAAGTTACCATGCTAACACGCTGATAGTACCCGATAACGACGAGCTTGCGCAGCGCGCCAACCTTCTACTCGTCCGGATGTGCGGTGTAACGCCACCGGCGTCGCTCGTGAACCCCATCCTCGACGCAATTTTCGATGCGATCCAGAACTCACCGGTATGCCTCAAAAGCCCACATACTTGCAACGCGCGTTGACGCTGCTCCTAGTCGTGGAGAGTGCGGTTGAAGGCTCTACCGCTCGTGCAGGTCTTTTACTTCCGTCAAGTGCCGCTCATCGGCGAGCAAAAGATGGTCGAGATCATGGAGGTCCTCTGCAAATGCCTTGACGATGAGGTCGTAGAGGTGCGCGAGATGGCTGCGACGACTTTGTCGGGTATCCTTCGCCTGTCCCCGCGGCGCAGTGTCATGACGCTCAAGGTCTGTACCTCCTTTCCCTCTCTCTTCCTCACATCCGTGTGCTCACGATTCACTCCTCCAGGACCGCTTCGTCCGCCTAGCGAAGAACAGCCACATACCTCCACGCTCCGATCCCGGCTACAGCGCCGCCATCCGACGTCGACATGCGGCGATCCTGGGTATCTGCGCGTTGGTGGACAGCTACCCGTATACAGTGGAGAAGTGGATGCCGGATTTGTTGGCGAATATCTTGGCGGAGCATACGTATGACCCGGTGAGCATTGATCTGCGATGATGAGTGGGAATGGCGTATAGTGCGAGGATGAAGAATGGGGCGAGGATGAAGGATGATGAGACGAGACGGAGTGCAGCGGAGGACGAGATGCTGACAAGCGACGCAGATACCCATCTCGACCGCGGTGCGGAACTGTGCGAGCAACTTCAAGAAGACGCACCAGGATACGTGGCACGAGGACTGCAAGAGGTTCAACGAGGACCAGATGGTGGCGTTGTCGACGCTGTTGACGGGATCGTCGTACTGTGAGTTGGTCTACACGTTGGGTGGCGGGCGCGTTGCTGATGCACTGGTAGACGCGTAAATGAACTTCAACTTGAACGAATTGATACGAATGGACAGAACAACGAAGAGATTTGAATTGCATGTATCCCAGATCCAACGGACAAGTAGTAGGTGGAACAACAGAACGTAGAGGGTGCCAAAGAACGTAGAGGAGACAAAGTCCGCAAGGGAACGAGAACCAGAAGATCTACGATACGACCATGTGAGGGTGAGTAATGCTACAGTAGGTAGAGGCGCAGTGTAATAGCACGAAATGTATCATGGAACAACAACAATTTCTTGAGGATACAGCTCGTGTGCGCGGGAAGTCGAGAGTGAACGTAGTGAAGACTCAGAGGTTCATGGGCTTGAAGCGGACGGCGAAGGAGCAGAAGGTGTGGCGGATTCGATATCGGTCTCGGGGAGAACGACGGGTGGTGGGGTCGTGTCCTTGCCGTCCGCAGTGCCTTGTCGTGCGCCTGCTGAAGGGACTTTGTCGATAGGAGCATGACGGCGATCTTGGTAGCCGGACTTGACGCGGTTGTTGGAGACGGACTCCCTTGAAGATGGTCAGCTTCCAAGCGATAACATATGCATCCCACATACCGTATTTCAGCAATAAGATCGTCAATGGCATACCACGCAATCGAGCTGAAGGCCACCCCGCGCCACCAGCCCAGTTGATCTGCCGGCTCGACGTATGCGTGCGCATGAAGGTGGTCAGTTACGGGGATCTTCGTGTCCTTGAAAGGCGGGGTGATGAAGCCTATCCGGAAGGGTTGGGTATTGCCTGGGGCAAGGTCTTTCAGGAGCCGGTTGGCGATGTTACGGAGGTTGACGAGGAGGGGGAGGTCGCTTGAGGACTGGCGTGAGGTCAGGGAGGACTCTGGAGGGAGCCAGCGGGCGTACGAGCATGTAGATTGAGGGGACATGCAGGCTATGGTGATTTGAACAATTGGACTCAGCAAGGACGAAGAGTACACACTTGAACGCAAAGACGATGTGCCCTGTGCTTGATACCGGGTACGCCGTCTCACGGTACGCAGTGAAAGTCCCATCTCGCCACACGACATCCTTGTTCGACGTTCCTGCGGCGACGATACTACAGAGTGGGCAGCCAGGTCGCGGGGCGAAGGCCATGATGAGAGCAGGAGGCAAGGTGGTTACTGACCACTTGTCGACTTGCGGGGAAGGTCCTTGATGAGTGCAGATCATTGACATCACACCATCACGCGCGCCTATCTCTTGAATCCAGCCGTCATGTCAGCTGCAACCGCCACTCCCGCTCTCCGTGGCAGAGACGACGTCCTCGGCGCATTCGATGGCTTCAGACAACATCTTGACGAACACCACGACCGGAGAGAGAGGCTGATTAAGGTCCTACCTTATTCCGCCCTCGTGCCACAAATTCACCACTGAAGCGCGACCTATGTAGTCCAGCCGAGATGCTACCAATCTCTCCAAGAAGGTCATATTTTTGCTGCATCGCCTCATGACTGAAGATACTTCCGACCCGCGCAAGGCCGCGCGGCGAGGACACGAGAAGCTGAAGGAGGTGCAGCAAATATACGCCGGGATGGCCGACAAGGGCGAGCTTGAAGGGGACCGATTCTGGCGGTATCAGCACCAAGTATCGCCAGGATTGCAAGAATACATCGAAGCACTGTCATACGCGCATTATCTCGAGCACGAGACCCTAATCTCTTTTGAGGAAGTACAACGGTCCTTATGTAGGGAGGATGGGACGCCGGTATGTTGCTGCGCTCCACGCAGAGAATAGTTCTGATTGCTGATACACCCATCCCAAGTACTTCCCACTCACAACATCAGACTACTTGCTCGGTATATCTGATTTGACGGGAGAGCTTATGCGCTTCGCAATATCGAGCATCTCACGTCGAGGCGGCAGGACGAAGGCCGCCGAGATCTGCGCATTCGTGAGGGATTGCAAAGCCGGCATGCCACTTTCTCCTTCAAATCAAAAGGCACTCATCGTATCTTGCAGACTTCGAGCGCCTTACACCATACGTCCGCGAGCTACACAAGAAGCAAGCGGTGACCTCACAGTCGCTGCAGAAAATCGAAGACGGTCAGTACTTTGGCCAAAGAGGGTTAGGTCAACGTCGATCTAACCCCACTACAGCCGCCTACACCATCGCTGTCCGCTTCTCGGAGTACGACGTACCACCAGAGATGATGGAGGATATTGTATCGAGTACGGTAGCCAATTTCAGTGCCGATCCCCGAGACTCAAGAGCCGGTAGGGGAAGGAGGGACGACTACGATGATGAGGGGCGGGATGAATATGATTGAACAATTGTGGTATTCAACATATTTCTGCGACGTGGTATGGCAGACACAAGTCAAACCAGCTTGGCCTTTTTGGTCGGGAGTGGCGATGGTGATGGCGGCGGCCGTGGTGTTTTATGCGTACCAGCCAGCATCACCTCACGCACGAATCCGTCCCGCTTTTCCCTTGCTTTTCGCGTCCGCTCCACATCCTCCGGCGAGTCCTTGGCCGGAAGCTCGCGCAAGGCCCTCTCCAAAAGCGCAATCACAAATTTGTGGATCCCATGCCACTCATACCCCTCGAACTCGTACGCAAGGAGCAAAAGGTCCCACCACTGTCGCAGCAGCGGCTTCAGCGGCTCGAAATACGGATGAACATGACCGAGTATACCCTCCTCGAACAGTTCAGGCTCACTAAAGAGCTGCGCCTTGTTCATCGCGATCGTCTCCGTCTCGTCGCCGAAGAAGCAGAACACGATGCGGCGCAGTTCCGTTATTTTTTCCACGTCCGACGAGTCGTCAGGGATGTCACCGTCGAGCTCCTCCCGCCTGTCGCCGCCTGGCCCCGAGCGGGTTACGCACAGGTAGAGAAGGGTCCAGAAGAAGGACTCCATGTCTTGAATGGCGTCGTGGACCACCCCGTTGTAGCGAAAACCGGAGAAGTGCATGTTCACGCTCACATGCGCTGTGTTGAGTATTTGCGCACTCGCGAACGGTGGACTGCCCTGTGTAATGGCAGTCAGTCAACGCATTCAACAAAGCATCGTCGAACTCACAACTCGAGGCGCACGCAACGCTTGGTCTTCTGTACAATTCAAAGGTATGGGACGCTGCTGCGACGGGATAAATCTAGTTCTCCGAGCAATGCACCACGAACATACCAGCAACGGTACGGCATCCCAGCCAAACATGGCCGGTTCGATGGCCACATTTGAGGATAGTGACCCGTTCCACTTCTCGTAATAATCGAGAGCAGCAGAAATATATGTGACGCCCAGAGACCTCGGAGATCGAGCTTCAGGTGCTCTGAAGCGAATGAAATGATAGGCGCGCTGTGCGAGAGTCTCGGTGATGTTTTGTATCTCGCGAGCCATGGAGGGTAGAAGAGGTTCGGCGGTGGTCTCGGGAGGGGGGGAGATGCGTGCGGATATCTTGGGAATTCTGCTGGCGTGGCCGAAGTCGATGAGGCAGCATTCTGGGTCCTTCACTCGGATGGTCGAACCATTGGACGTGCGTAGCAAGGTGATCAGCAGGTTGGCGGGGCTGACGTCTCGTTGCAGGACACCGTTATTGTAAGCGTATTGGTGGCCTTATGCTTATTATTTAGATATGCGCAGAGCGGGAGGAGTCAACGTACCACGGACGCCTTGCAGCAGAAGCGTCAACAGCTCTCGCAAAGATGCGAAGTACTTGATTGAGCAACCGAACACATTCATGACAAGCCGCTTGCGAGTTCGGCTTGCCAGCGCTTTGGCCTGTTCTCCAGCATAATACCGCGCGAGCTTGTCGTGATCGGTCTTGAAGGTCATCCACCCGCTAGCTGCTGCTTCATTCAGCCGACGCATTCGTTTACTGGCGGGCGACTCGTCTGGTGGGGGTGGCGCGGATGGTAGGCCATGCTGAATCAGCCCGCCAGTGCTGTCGACCTCCCCACCAACTTCGGCGGTCTCATAGCACTCCATTGTGCCAACGTACCGTGAAGCAGGGTTTGGCGGAGTCGAGGTCGAGTTCAGTCCGCCAAGATATTGGTATATGGCCCCTTCGTCCGCCTGTTCATCAGATTGCCACCATTGCTTGATAACAAAGACCTGTCAAGGAGTGGGCTGTGCGGTACGTAGAAGGCCCCAAGCCAGATTTACTTACCGGACGCCAGTCTGCCTCCAGACAGCGATCCTCATAGCGGATGGCCGCCCAAACCATCGAAGAAGCCCCCACAATGGCGTCGACCTGAAGGTCTCTGAGCGCCTTCACAGTCATATACGTATCGTTCTTCATCGATATCACCCATTGCAGCTCGCAGGAGTTCTTCTCGTATAACTCAACGCTGAAGCTGTCTGGTCCTCGGGAAGAAAGCCGATACGTATGGATAGGCGGGAGCGGCTCGCGCACCAGCTTCATAGTGGTGTCGAAGCCAAGGCGATACGCGGGCAAAGTAGCCAAGGCAGTGATGACGTGAACGAAGGCCTTTGGGTCCTGCAAGCAATAATCAGACCGGGTACACAAGACGAGGAGAGAGGTGTACCTCATGTATACCGATGGGCGCGTCCATGCCAACGGCCCCGGACCTATCCTGTAGCCACACGGCCACGTGCGAGCGACTGAGGGCGAGACCAAATACGAACCGCCGGTCCTTCTGCTCGGCCATAATCGAGCGAAGGTACTTGAGCAGTTGGCGGACGAGGGATTCGTCTGTCTGACTCGGGTTGGTTCTGCTCGCAACCGGAGCTATAAGTTGCAGCCACCAGAGCTTCTCTCTCTTGTCTGCCTGTCGAAGCTGGTTAGTCGGAATTCTCCTTCTACATATCGAATGTGACCCACCGGTAACGAGGGATCGTCGAGGATGGGCTCCATTACAGGCATAGCTAGAGCGCATTCAGGCCAAGGCCCGACCAGTGCCGTCTCTTCGTCAAGACATGTAGGGGGATGCGCATAATAGTCCATCCACGCGACTTCGCAAGCGACACCCTCATACTCCGGAGTACTTTTGGCCACCTCTCGAGCTGTGGTCGCTATACAGTTCGCAATCCTAACGAACGGTATGTAGAGTTCGCCCCTCTTGAACTCCTCTTGATTTTCTTGCGGAGGCCAAAGAGACCATCCCTCGCGCTTCTTGTCAAGCAGCTGGTCTGTGACTCGATGGTAAACAGCATCCAGGACATGTGCATCGACCGGGAGAAGGGAGTCTAGGAAATCTCTGCGAGTCACTAGCCGAGAGTCAGGAATTTCCTCCATAGGACAACACGCGTTGTAGCCTTGTCGAGCGCCGGCAGCAAGTGCCGCGGCTACTAGAGTTCAGTTCGTATAAGCACGGCCGCGCAATCCGGGAAGACTAGTGTATGCTGGTGATGGTATGAAGCAAGAGCGCGTACCGCGCGGGTCCGGTACTTACCTATCATACACGTGATCGTTATGTCCCAGCTATTAACGCTGCATGATTGTCCACTCCACATCCTACTCAAGCGAGAGGTACTTGTGAGGGTTCAAGCACGATCGATAGCTAGTAAACACAAGTAAAAGCACAAGACAAACAAATGGAAAACTACATATCACTTCAACTATCCACCGCCATGCTATCATCACCTCCTTCCTTCCCTGCAGGGGCTGGTGCCGCCGGTTTCTCCGCCTCCTTGGGAACCTCCTCCGACCCCTTACTAGGCTCCCCCGCAGGCGTCGACGCCGCTGGCGAGTCCACATCCATCTCCCCACTCCCACTCCCGCTGAGGATCTGCGCTGCCGTGGTATGACTGCTCGGGCCAATCCCTTGGGCGGCCGTGCCACCACTGCCGCTGAAGATGCCCACGCCGATGCCGAATTTGTGGTCCGCGTGGTCGCGTCGGCCGCCCTCTCCTTCGTCGTCGGAGTCGGAGAGCTCGCCGTCGTTTTGGGTGCGCGTGTCGAGGAGGCGGGTGTGGCGGCGCTCGTCGGGTGGGATGAGATCGGCGTCTTTGCTGGAGTCGGCGAGGTCCTCGTCGTGGGGGCCAATGGGGACGTCTGTGAGGATTAATTAGTGGATAAGCGAGAAGAGAAAGTGAGTGAGGGGCGCTGACCCTGCATCTGTACACTAGGCGGGCCACCTGTGTGTCGGAGGTTCTCCAACACAATCCGACGTACGCGGTCAAGATATGCGGGCGTGTTAAGATCCTCGGCATTTGAGGACTTCACATCGAGTTGATAATCAGGACCAAAGTACTCGTAGTACTCGTTCACGGGGATTTCTGCGAGGTTCCATTTAGCAAGCTGAATAATCAGGCAAGGCGTATGAATACTCACCAGGCTGCAATTCCACACCCGCCGCCAAACCAGTCTCATACGCCCACGCGCGACTGACATTGCGCATCGTGTATCCACCACCGCCAAGCAACAACAACGGCTTGTTGAACGACTTAACGAACTTGACGCAGTTGGCGTGCCCTCGCATCGACAAGTTGAAGCACCCCAGCTTATCTCCTGACAATGAGTCCGTCCCGCACTGCAGTACCACAGCCGAGGGGTCGTAGGTCTCCATCACCGACCGGATGACAGGCTCGAAGACGGACTTGTAGTTGTCGTCGGTGATACCGTCTCGGAGGGGAAAGTTGAGCGCGTAGTATTTGCCTTTGACGACGCCAACGTCCTAGGATGAGTGAAATTCGATTAGAAATAGGAATAGTGCGAGGGTAGGCAAGTCAACGCACCCTCAACTCGCCCGTCCCAGGGAAGTACTCGCCGTACTTGTGGAAGCTGACGGTCATGACTCGATCCGTCGTATAGAACGCTTCCTCGACACCATCACCGTGGTGGACGTCGATGTCGATGTATAGTACACGTTGGTGGTAGCGGAGAAGTTCGAGAATACCCAAGACGATGTCTATAAACAGTCATAATTAGTATGCTTCGTGCAGCTGAACGGGAGAAGTACAGACGGACCGTTCACATAGCAGAACCCGCTTGCCTCGCTCTTCTTCGCGTGATGCAGACCACCGGCCCAGTTGACGGCAATGTCGCATTTGTCCCGGCTCAACCGAGCAGCACCCTCTGTTTTTGCTCGTCAGTTCTGCCGCCGTAACCCAAGTTTGACAAGCACTGTACCCATCGAGCCTCCCGCAGATATTGAACAATACTCAAAGAGACCGTCAAATATAGGACAATCGTCTCCGACATTGTCTGTGAATAAACGGAGTGTAAGCAATGCGGCCATGCATAGGTGGCAGGAGTAAGGAAAGAGAAGACATAAAGGCAAGCCAGACGCACACTTGTGTTGCTCCCGTACATGCGAGTTCATGTTCACCGGCGTAATCTTGCTCAGGAAGTCGACGTACTCGTCGGAGTGGAACTGGGTCATCTCGCGCTTCGTCGCGGGTTTTGCACGCTGGGGTAAGAGAACATGGTTGGTTGGCCACAATGATATTCGGGGGAGGGGAAGCCAGGGAAGGGGATCAAGGACATAAATATCAGTCAGGGTGAATCGAAGATAAATACAAGACGACGCACAAAGATCTCCATCTTCTTATACAGCCCATAATTCATGACGAGGGAATGGCACATCCGTATGCGCGTCGGCTTCATCCTGCGCGAGTAAACCCCTTCACATCAGTACACACTTCGGAGTACCCATAGTAGAGCACGCACGGATGTCCCGGACCATAATGAAAGCCACCAATGTCCGAGTCGAAGAAGTAGCACTATAGAGGGAGGCGCTTAGTTCAGTGGGTTGGGCGAAGACGGTAGATTGGGGGAAGTTGAGGTTGGCGATGACACGCACGACGCGCTTCTTCTGGTTCTCCCCGTCCAGGGGAACCATCTTGCCTGCCATGGTTGGATGGGTGGGGGTGCGCGGATGGGTGGTGGAGGACAAGGGCTATTTGTGATTTGATCATCTGCGCGCACGTGGGAAGCGCGGCCATTGTTCTTGGACAATGGGCCTGAGAGCGTCAAGGTTGTCAATGCTTTAGCCAAAAGGTGACGTGCAAGCAGAGCCATTCTGACCGAATCTTGGGCTTGGGGGTTCAAGGCAGGTCATCACTGAGCACGGTCAGTAAGCTAGTGCGGCACACAAACTTCAAGCAGGCCAATGCGTGTGGTGCAGTAGATATTAATCCACGTATACATTGTCTATCCTACAGTAGTGCGCGACGGGTTTTGTCTATCTGCGTTCTACGCGGACAACAGGATATCATATGCCCTCTCCGCGGGCGGGCGACCGGCCTGTCAGTAGGTGTGGCAGCTAGCGAGCCTTCGCTTCCTGCCAGCCGTAAAGCATCTAGTTCGCGAGCTGGACAGCGCGCTCAGCAGCGTCGTCGAGGCCGTCGAAGGCGATGATCTTGAGACCGGACTCCTTGATCATGGCCTTAGCCTCCGCCTCCTTCGTGCCCTTCAAGCGGACGACGAGGGGGATGGTCATCTGGAGCTCCTTCGTCGCCTTGATGACACCCTCTGCGATGTAGTCGCAGCGCATGATACCTGAGAAGATGCTCAACACTTGCGCTCGAGAGAAATGGATGTATACGTACCACCGAAGATGTTGATGAAGATGCTCTTGACCTTCGGGTCAGAGAGCAGAAGCTCGAACGCCTTCTTCACGGTGTCGGGAGTAGCACCTCCACCGACGTCAAGGAAGTTAGCGGGGTTGCCGCCGTGGAGCGCAAGGACGTCCATGGTGGCCATCGCCAAACCGGCACCGTTGACCAGGCAGCCAATCGACCCGTCGAGCTTGATGAAGTTCAAGCCCGCCTTCGCGGCCTCGACCTCCGACGGCTCCTCCTGCGAGATATCGCGCAGCGCGAAAATGTCCTTCTGCCTGAACTCTGCGTTCTCGTCGAACCCGAACTTCGCGTCCATGCACAGCACCGCGCCGTCCTTCGTCTCCGCGAGCGGGTTGATCTCGATCTGCGTCGCGTCCTTCTCCTTGAAGATCTTTACGAGGTTGCTGAAGATGCCCGCGGCCTCAGCCTGCAGCTCCGGCTTAAAGCCGAGCTTCGCGGCGATGGCCTTGCCCTCCTCGATGCTCAGGCCCTTGTCGAAGTCGATGGGCGTGGTGATGATTGCGTCCGGGTCCTTCGCGGCGACCTCCTCGATGTTCATGCCGCCCTGGGCGGAGGCGACGAGGACAATGCCCTGCGTGACGCGGTCGTTGAGCACGGCGACGTAGTACTCGTGCGCAGGCTCGCGGGCCTCGGCGATCATGACGGTGTTGCAGGGGCGGCCGCGCTCGCCGGTTTGCTTGGTGATGAGCTTCGCGCCGAGCATCTTGCCCGCGAGGTTCTCGACTTCGTTGGCGCTGGGGAGGGGATGAGGGAGGGGGATGTCGAGTAGGACGTATGTGCTGACCTGGACGCCATGTGCACACCGCCCTTGAAGCCGTTGTCGAACATGCCCTTACCACGGCCACCAGCGAGGACCTGCGCCTTGACGACGACAGAGTCCTTGCCCTCAGATTCTGCAAGGCATTTAGCCACGTTCGGGTATCTCTGACGCGTTGGCACTCACGGAACTGCTTCAACGCAGCAACAGCCTCCTCCTTCGTCTTCGCCGGGACGCCCTTGGGCGTGGGGATACCATACTGCAGGAGGTCGGCGACTTCCTAGGAATTTGTTGGCCCGCACTCACCGAGTTCAGCAGCTGAACCGACTGGTATTCATGGATGGACAAGAAGCGCTTCTGCGCGGACTGGCCGGCAGCGGAAGCGGTCTGTAGTCACCGTCAGCGCCGTCAGATATTATTCTCGCCGCCGTCGTTCGCACCTTGAGGAGCGGGCGGCGCGCGACGCGCAGGGAGGAGAGCATCGTTGAGAGAGAGGTAGGAAACGTGCGCTCTCTTGAGATGGCGGACGCGCTATCGGGACTCCGCGACCGGCGCAGCCCGGACCGGCCCGGACGCCCGCGCTCGCTCCAGGCGATTCAATTTTTTCTCGCCGGAGCGCCGGCCGCGGACGCCGTAAACATGCGCGCTCGCGCTTTTCTCTCCTTGTCCAGAGCGACGACGACGGAGGACCCTCTGGGCGCACCCCCCTCTTGTCTCTCACCCCCTAGATGGGCTGTGCTCTGGCAGAGGGACGTTCTCGCCTTGAGTTCGGGCCGTTCTGTATGGTGGACTGTCCGAAATTAGGCTGTAGCGACATACTTCCAGCTAGCCAGGCTACCAGCGATTATTTTGCAGCGATGAGCGTACGGTACAAGGATAACTACGAGCCGCTCCTCCCCCCTCACATCTTCCCCTTCGTGGTCCCGAGCGGGGCCTCGCGATCTGGAAAGCGGGGTAAGCCTAGGCGATCCGAGATCTGGCGAGAGAAGCCTCACTTTGGTACACCAATGTCGACGGCGCAAACCCAAAGTCCGAAGGCGTCTGAATACCCTGCGGACCTCCGTCAGCCATCTCTGCCGGTCTTCAACATCTTTCACCCCTCTCGGCCGCATCTGCTTCCCATCCCACATCTCCCCTCTCGTCCCGCATCTCCTCCATCTCTTTCTACCCCACTTGACTCTCGCACTCACCATCTCCCCCGCAATCACGCGCACCATCGACCAGTGATGCACGGCATGTAGCGCACAGAACCACAGCTCCCTTCCAAAGCTTGTCGGGAACGACTGCATATAAGGTGTGATCGCGTCTAACTGCATTATCGCGTCCGCCTTCGCGCGCGGTACCACCGCCTCGAGCTGCTGCACCGTCGCCAGGAGCGCTTCGCGGGCGGACTTGCGACTTGTCTCCATCGGCGTGTTGCGCACGCGCACGTCGTAGGAGAACTGGTAGGGTGCCGCGCTGGGGGTGGAGGTAGGCGCTATGGCATGCGCGGGGGGTTGAGGGGAGACGTCGTTGTTGGCGGGAGCGCCAACGGTGTTGAGCAACAGGACGAAGTGGTCGCGCGCGTGGCGGAGGTGCTTGCCTGAAGTTCGGCGGGTGCGTGTGTGGTTGCGTATGAGCGAACAGACGTGCGCGATGAACAGCCGATGCGTAGAACTCCTCATTAGCACACATCCCTCCCCTCTGACCCACCCCACGCACCGATCGTCGACCCCGGCAAGAACTTGCTATTCATCGTGAGCTGCGCGTCCTCCGTCAGCTGCTTGTCCAGCAGGTCCACACCCTGCTGCAGCACGGTCTTGCACACGAGCAGCAGCTCGGACAGATCGGACGTGGTGGCATGAGAGCCTAGCAGCTGTCCCTCCGAATCCTGAATGCCGTTCACCAATGTCGACATGTCGGCCTCCTGCGACGCAGTGCTCGTCTGTTGGCCCCCATTCGCTTGCTGTCCGCCCATCGTACGTTCGTCAGTGAGTGTAGAAGTGGTGGTTTCGGTCAAAGTGGCCATCGTTCCGCGGACTCAGGTGAATGCTTGGGTGTCGGGGCCGAGGACGACGTATGGAGCGAGGAAGGACGTCAGCTGCCCCCAGCTCCTGAATTTTATGCAGAGGGCAGGCCTTCACGTGTACTTCGCATCGTGGGCTGGGCGGCTGTATCTCGCAGCGTGTACGCTTCCTGTATGGTCTGACTTTGCGCTATGGCTGGCATCGTGCAGGGCTACCAGTGATACTGCCGCCCACGACGCGAATAGGCTGTGAAGACTCGGTCGTTCTAGGTTCGCTGGTGAAGGGCATGCACGACGTAAATGACCAGCAGACATTGAGACAGAGGGTAGTGCGGACGCGCGGCGGCGCAATTGACGATGCTGAGATGACGCCGCTGACGCTGAAGGTATAGGGTTGCTGGAGGTTCGCATACACCGAGATGTCTGACAGGGAAGAAGGACATACCTCTAGGCAACGCTTAGGAGACGACATGTGTTGGCGCGAGGATCGCGCCGATGAAGAAAGTCCATGCATCGAGAGAAGGAGGATCGCAAAGGCTGAAGGAGAGAAAGAGAATGCATCGTGTTCGAGAGCTGAAGCGAGCGAAGCGAAAGAATAATGAGATCAAAAGCTATGTACGAATCGAACAGGATAAAGAAACACGAACGAAGAGAAACTTCCAACTGTCCGTCGATGAATGAACAAAACGCGACAGGAAGGCAACATTGAGACGCCGCGAAGGCTGCGAGCAAACGAGCAGCAACGAGCTGCTGTGTTGCCACAAATGCACTTGGGTAGCACAGACACCCAGAGCCTACCACCCCGCCCGCTGGAAGGCCTGCGGCGGCGGGTACGGCTGCCCCGGCGGAAGGTGTCCTCCCCTCCCTGGTGGCCCTGGCGCAGGTGCCATTGACATGTACGGGCTCCCCGGCATCTGCATCACCGGCTGCGCGTGCATCATGACCGGGCTCGCTTGATACATCCCACTGGGTGGCATCCCGTTAGGAGGCATCCCATTTGGAGGAGGCATCCCATTCGGTGGCATGCTGTTTGGCGGCGGTGGCGGGCCCATCATCCCACGCCCACGGCCCGCACCGACAGGCTGAGGCGGCGGACCAGCAGGCTGCATCTGCGCGGGGTACATCTGGGGTGTACCGGGTGTGGGCGCGGGTCCGTAGGTCATCATCTGTGGGTAGGGAGAGGCCATGGGACGCATCATGGGCGACGCGGCGCCAGGAGGACCCATGGGCATCCACACCGGCTGACCGTACATGGGCTGGGGCGGAGGCGCGGGAGTCCCGTTGGGCATGCGAGGCGGCAAATACATCATCGGCGCGGGCGAGGGGCTCATCATGGGTGAAGGGTACGGGCCGTAGCTTTGGCGCATCTGTTGCTGCTGCTGAGCCTGCTGTTGGTGAGCTTGTTGCTGTTGCTGCTGCTGATGCGCTTGCTGCTGCTGCTGATGTTGTTGCTGCTGCTGACTCTGCTGCTGTGGGCCTGGCGTGAAGGATGAAAATGATGAAGAAGGCGCGCGAGCCATCGGTGGCGACGTCGTCGGAGGCGGAGACTTTTGCTGCGACGTCGAGCCCGACGAGGGTACTGTTTGGAAAGCGCGCGTCACGTCAGACAGTGACATCCGCGAAGGCTGAGGTGGCATAGACGGTGGTGGCGTTGCGCCATCCTCCGACTTGACCTCCTGCAATGTGAAGCCCAGCTGTAAGTCATCCGCGATACCCTCCAGCGAATTGACAGGGTGAAGTCCATTATTCGCCGTCTGCGACCATACAGCCTTCAGATGCTCCGGATCGGGCGCACGCGCGGGCGATTCCTTGACCGGTAACCTCGATTTTCCGCTATGCCACGGAGAAGATTGAGGAGGCGTGACAGGTCCGCGGTCAGTCTGAGTCAGATATTAGCGACTGAAGTGTTTATAAGCTCTTGTGGTGCTTACCGACTCGGGAGAGTTCTTGTTGTCCCCTTTCGAAGGCGCAATCAACGACGGCAAGGAGAACTCGGGAGAGGCTGACGCTCCATTGACTATCGAAGGCGGTGGTAACGGACTCGACTTCGACCCCGACACTGCAGACGCAGCGCCTGGTGTCCTTGACCGTGAACTCTGCTCACTCTCAAGCTCGCTCGTCACCGTAAAAGTGACGCCCGATGCCGGTGCACTTTGCGGCTCGCTCCCAGAATAGAACGCGACACCGGATCCAAAGGGCATTCTCGGTTGCCGCAAGTGTGCCGCACCGTGTTCCCCTCTCGTAGCAGACGCAGGTAACGACGCAACGGCCTCATTCGCAGACGTCTGAGGTGGCGGTGACCGACTAGTCGTGTCCAGCTGCGCTGGTGCTTGCGCGGGTGTCGAAGGGCCTGATCTGCGCCAGGTAGGTGCGTTGTCCGGTTCACTAGGCTTCAGAGTGCGAGACTTGACCTGCGGTGTCCTGATGATGGGCACACCACCCAGCAGCGACGCCCTCGGCAGGTACACCGTAGGCTTGGGTGGCTTCCCCTTCATGAATGGCTGCTTGAAAAGCGCCTCCTCCACAAGGAACTCTCTTCGTGGTATACCATCCGCCCGAGGATCGAGCGAGAAGATCTCAAGGCGACCAGCGAATGTTCGCGAGGGCACCTTGGGCAATGGCGGCAAGGGCTGCGACTGCTTCGGGAGCTTCACCGGGGCAACATTCCACGCGGGTTTGGGCGACCGCGGCGGCTCTGTTGCTGTCACATCAAACACCTCCCGCGGCTCATGATGATCATGATCGAACTGCCGTGGCCTCAACGGAGGTGGGACGAACCGATCCTTCGGTGGAGGCTTGAGGATTTGCGGCGTAGCAGGCGCACGATGGGGTGATTGCTGATACGAATGCTGTGGCTCGCCTTGACTCGACTGCCTATGATGCGCGCCAGTGGCAGGCTGCGCACCATTATGCATACCGTCGAGGGCACCCTTGATACGCGACATGGCGTCGTTCAGGGACGACATCGGCGCCTCGTGGAACTGTCTATACCGCGCCTGCTGCGATGGCGTCCTCAACATCGGATGATTCGGAGGGTGAGCACCACTGCCCTCCGGCTGCACCGTCAAGCGGGGCGGTGACCTGTCGGCACTGATCTGCGGCTGAGGTGGCGTAGAATGTTCTTGCCGCTGCTCCTTGACCTCAGGTTCCGGTGTTGGCGGCTTCTCGATCGGCGTCGCTGGCTGACCGGCTCGTCTCCAGGTATCAACCGTGTCACTTTTGGTCGGAGGTAAAGGCGGGCGCTCTATTGGGCGTCGAGGCGGCTCTTCGCGTTCTTCCCTCTCTTCAGGAATGGGTTCGGGTATTGGCTCGGGTGCACCAACAAATTTACCCATATCTGAGAAGTCCAACTCCTCGACGATCTCCCCCGGCTGAGTTGCAAGCTGCGCATGATCCAACACAACGGGCGGGAGTTGAGGTGGGGGTGGCTTGGGTGGAGGCGGCGTGAAGTCAGGGATTGGCGGGCGGGCATGAGCATGCGCATGAGGCGGAGACACTGCTGGGGTAGCGTCTGCTTTTCTTCTCCATGTATCGGCCTTCTCAGCAGGCGTATCTGGGATCGAAGGCGGGATAGATGACGAGGTCGAAGTTCGACGAATGCTCCCTGGCCGCAAGATATCTGGTCGACCGGGGCCTCGGAAGGATGGTGGCCGTTGCAGACCACGTCTGCCTGCCAATGGTGATCTGGGAGACATCTCAGGCGATTTTCCCGGCGGAGTGTCATTGACAGAATTGCGGATGAAAGCTTCGGCTTCAGCCTGAGAAGTCACTGTCAGTGAATGCACACCAAGCTTTAGCGACGCGACTTACATCTGCTTTAGCCCTCGCTTCTTGCTCCGCCTTCTCCTTGGCCTCCTGCGCCGCCTTAGTCTTTGCCTCGTCTGCAGCCTTCATCCGCGCCTCCAACTCAGCTGCCTTCTGCCTGGCGCGCTCCTTCTCGCGCTCGCGCTCCGCCTCCTCCTGGAGTCTTCGCTGCCTTGCACGCTCAGCTGCACTGTGCATCAAGTCCTTGCGCACGTCCTCCAGTTCGACTGGAGATGCTGCAGCAATCGCGGCTGAAAGCTCAGGGGAAGTTGCAACAGCGGACGTGTGCGAGAGCGCTGGAGAGACAAGCAACGAGTCTCGCGTTGGACGGGTTGAAGCTTGAGAGGACGGTCTGCGCGATGAAGGTGCCCTGCGCGGAGTAGACGTGTCTGTGGCGCCAGCCAGCATGTGAGGAGGCAGTTGGCGGCCTTCACGCGAAGGTCGTCGGTCAGAAGGTAGAGGTGGAGGTCCCATATTGCTCGAGAAGCGCCTCCCTCGGTCTTGGTTCCCGTGAGGAGGGAAGCCATCGCCCAAGTGCGATCTGTCGTGGCCCCATGCGCCAGTCGATGGTGACACCGGTGGCTGATGCTGTCTACCGCCAAAATGCGAAGAAGAATCGCTCCTATGAAGAACTTGAACGTTATCCCTCGAGCCAAACTTGTTCAACGGAGGGCGTGCACTGTGATTTCCGCGATCGTAAGGCTCCAAGCGATTCGAGCGCTCGTTGAACAATACGCGTGACGAATCTGTCGGCGACTGCGGGGTCGGCGCAGGCGGCGAGGCAACGGATCCGGTTGCTGATCGCGGCCAGCTGCGGTCAAAGTCGTCCGCGAAACGCTCCTCTTTGCTCACCGCCGGAAGGCCAGCGACGGCCGCCTTTTCCGATGCCGTATCGACCTTGTACTGCCGTCCGTCGCCGAACTCAATGACGCCCCCTAGGAAATCATCGTCGCCCTCTTCCATCTACAATCGTACTTGAGCTTGCGCATGAAGACTTGGATTGCATGACCTACCTCGTCCCAATGGTGCGACTTGGGATTGAGGTGCACACCGCGGAATGTATCTGCCTCCGCGGCTGCCGCCGCTTCCGCTGCAGACGGGGTAGTCGACTTCTTGTCCCTAGAAGGTGCTCGCACGGCCGGCTTCGCTGCTACGGACCCGATTAGCGTCAGATCGTTGAGCAACAACCAACGAGCACACCTTGCGCAACCTCTGCTGCTGTAGGAAAGTCGCTTGTGCCGAATGTCGCCTCGCTCGGGCGTTTGACGGCACCCCATACGGGACCCTTGCCAACCGCTGGGCCGTCCTTCGAGGCGACAGCAGATCGGGGTTGCGGTTGGATGACCTTGCCGGCATGTGGTAACGCTGGTGCCGCGCTCGAACCGGTGGTTGGCGCGCCCGGTGCAGGCTGTGACTGGGGATTGGGGGAAGGGGCAGAAGAGGCGTGCGATGGTGCTGCGGAGCCAGGGCGCGACCATCCAGGTCCGGTGGTGGTGGAGGGTTGGGGAGTAGCAGTCAGCTTCGCAGTGACGAGCCTGGAGTGCGATGTAGTGGTCTGCACCGCCGGTCGGGCTGAATGAGAGGGTGAGAACGCGTATCGCGCCGTATTTCGTCGCGATCGCACCTATAGTACTTGCACCACCGTTCGAGGGTTTGCTTGCTGATGAGGGAGATGATGTGGACGGCGCGCCGGGCCCGGTAGCGGTCTGCTTCCAGAACTTCTTGTTGATGTCCACGGTGCTGAACTTCTTGTGCTGGGGAGTGGATGAAGCATGGCTTCCACCACCCAGCGGGACGAGGCTGGGACGAGCAGGTGTCGCTGGCGATGGTGCAGCACCATCTGGGGGATTCGTGGTAGACTTCTCGGTCGTTGTGGCGCTTGAGGAAGGCGCGGGGGCTGCTGCAGGTCCATCTGTCGTGGCGAGGGTCTTGATGTCCTCCCCTTGTGCGGCAGATGTCGATTCCTTCGAGAGTGCTGTTACTAGAGCAGGCTCATTGTTCGCAGCGGCAGTCGATGGGCTCGTAACTGATGCTTGGGTGTCGGTACTGGCCATAGACGCGTCGGACGACGCCAGCTAAGTTCCGCGTCGAATCGAATCCGGAAAAATGGAGTAGGACGAGATAGAGTATCTGTCCCTTCAGGTAAACGCCTGGGATACAGGCGGCGGAGCTACTGCACCAGCGGGGTGAAGGATTGAAACAAGTTCGAGTCCAAGCAGAGTCCAAGCCTCTCCTTCATGCTCGGGGCTCCCCGATGACTTACGTAAGCCGATATACGTCCGTCCTAAATCAGCCTTTCCTTTCTCCTCCCGCCAGATGCCTTGAAGGGTCTGCAATGAGAACTCATTCTATGCTACCCTCCGAAGAGCAGATCAAGCGAATTGAAATGTACAATCGCGACATGGATATGCCTCCGATGTTTCTTGACGTATCATTCCGGTTTCGGTAGACAAAGACAACTCCATTTTCATGCAATCGCGCGGGGTTCATATCTGCTTGACGGGAGTCCTGCTGTGATGATCAAATACGTTCATGACCAGGGAAGGTCGGACTTATCGAAGAAAAGGTGGAGGAGCTTCACAATCACAGAAGTACGACCGCCTCAGTCCTGGGTCGAAAGAAAGTACGTTTCTGGTCCCGGAGGGCGTACTGACGATGGCATTATTATCCGAATACCACGAGGTAGAGCGCGCGCCGAGTAATGGAGATCAATTGACCCGACAAAATGGTTACTGCAATGATAATACACGGCATAGCATGTTAGTTGTACAAGCAAACGAGGCTTGGGAGCCTACTACAGATCGAATACCTCTCCATGGTATCCCACCTCTACAACCGGTCCCGCGGCTCGGAGTCTGGCGACCGCATTCCCCGCCTCCGCCACCAATGACCTCGGCCCAGCAGCTAATATAGCCACACTCGTCTCCCCTTCCTTGCCATCCACCTCCCCCACAAACTGCTTCACCAAGCTTCCCACCGATGGCCTTCCGCTATCCCCAATGCCGTCCCACAGAACGACGTCGCAGTTGGGAATGTGCGGAATGAGCTCGGGCTGGCACAAACACGTCACGTAGATCGTGATGTGCACGTTCGCGCCACCTTGTGTGAGCCGCGCAAGGTAGGGCGCGAGTGGGATGATGCTTCCGAAGGAGCGCACGCACCAAACGACTTCCGCGCGTCGCGCGCTACGCAGCGAACGCGCGAGAGACAACGCGAAGCTCGCGCCGCTACCACCCGTCATACAGAAGACGTCCGTATACGAGGCGAAGGGCCGCGGGAGCGCAACGCCGCCCGTTGGATGCGCAGAGAGCAGGGCGAGGACGGTCATCCGAGATGCGGTCTGCCCTTGGGGTTTATCGACGCAATCCTCCTCAATATCGGGCACGGGCTTAGGCTCAGAGGGTGGTGAGACAAAACGAGCGTAGTCCGAGACGGCGCGCGTCCAGCCACCAGTGCCCTTCATGGAGAGCACAGCGCCGCGAGCGGTGGGGATTACAGTAACAGGATGTCCTGGCGTATACCATGCATCACGGAAGCCGAGCGTAGGTATGAAGAGGGAGACGCGGACGTGCTGGCCAGGTTGGATAGGGCGAGTAAAGGTTGGCATGTTGACCTGTTGCATTAAATTGTGAGAGGGAAGATGCATTGTTCAGGGTGATGGTGACTTACGACAGTGATATCTCCCTGCACACTGAGCTCGACCTGTCCGACCCAGGTACCGCGGACCATGCGCAGAACAAGATCGCCGAGCCAGAAGGCGGCGGGAGGGTAGACCCAAGGGCGAGCATACGGCGTGTGGTAGCTGATCGTGACGAGGAACGCTGGGACGGACAGAATACTGCACACCCGATCGGTCATCTCCCAGCTACTAGTTGACAAGCAACACTCACTGGATGATATAGAACACCTCATACGCCCATTTCCGCACTGGCTTCACGCTTGACAGGAGCAGCACACATACCAGCCCAAAGGCCGCTACTCCCGTCGTCTCCTTCCCTGCCCCCAGAATTTGCTGGTCGTACTTTAGGTGATTGTTGATCCACATTCCCCCGTGGATTGCTGCACACAGGAAGAACACACGCCCAGCATAGCGGTGGTAGGGTGACAGCTTCTCATAGGTAAAGTGCGCGAGGAAGCTCGCGGCATGCTTTCCAGGGGGCGCAAGCGCGGTGGGGGCGGACTTAAATGCGCCGAGGACAAAGATGGGTGGGAGCTGCGCGAGAGCAAGGAAGCCAGCCCGGTTGGGGTTCTCTTCGAGCTTGGCGCGAGTGGTGAGGCAAGCAAGGACTCCGACGGTGTAGAGGATGATGACAAGTACTAAAGGGAAGGTTAAATCAATGGGCTGTGGGAACGGGGAGAAGTATGCCAGCAACGCACGCTGTCCAACGGTCAAGCTCAGTCCCGGTAGACTCCAGAGCCCAACAGAAGAAATAAAGGCCCAGATCTTGCTCCTGCGACGTATGAAGAGGCCGGCTAGCTTGAAGAGGAGGAAGGCTCCGAGGGCGGATGTCCACCCGATGGTAAAGTACTTCTGGTACTTGGGGTCCGTGGCGTACGAGCTGTGAGGGAGGCAGAGCTTGAGACTTGTCATTGGATATCATAGCAGAGCCACGCACTCATACTGTTGCAGACCCGCTGGGATCTCGGGGGCCTTCCCAGTGTCCGCCATGGTGACGGCTGAGATCAAGATGTGGCGGCGACGCGGGAACGTCGGCCCGACGAAGGAACAAACAAGACTCTTAGGTGGACAAATAAAGCTTCATCCAGGACTCCCAAGGTCACCCAATGCGTATCGGAGGTAAAAAGGCAACGTGGAAGCTACAATCTCCCCAACTATTGTCCTGTCTCTACGAAGAAGTATATGACTTATGAGAGTAACAGCGCTGCCCTCCTAAGCCTCAGCCGCGATGTTTCCAGAACCCAGAGGTGAGATAGATTGTCCACATATGGCGGTATAGACGATGTGTGCAGGATACAGACAACTGGCAGCTACAAGTACAGAAGAACATACACAAGGCGAAGATAGGATAAAGTAGCGTGGGCGGATCGTGATCACAGGGACGGGCCTGCGTGGGACTGGGGTGGCGCGCGCCAAGGCTTCTGCAGCACGCCCAGCTGATACTCGTCCAGTCCACGCTCGTCGTCCGGCGTGGTGTCGTTTGGTGGTCGTGGCGGGGTGGGCATAGCGATCATCATGGTGATCTGCAGCGTCTCGTCCGGCGGCGGGGGCGAGGGCGTTCGCGGCCGACGCGCTTTCCGCTCGATGTCCTCGGATGGGCGGGCAACGCGGACGTTAGGAGGGGGTGTAGCGCGCCGACGCAGTCTGTCGAGCCAGGTTCTCCGAGCTGGAGGTTGTGACTCGCTTGATGAGGACGAGACCGGCTCGTCTGCCTTTGATCGCAGGATGGTCGCTGAGACCGGCTAGACCGCGATCAGTACCACCGCCGTAGCGCCTCGGGGTGCACACGCACCATAACGTCCACCCATGCAAGATCCCCCTGCGCCTTCTCCAGATACCCCTCGTACAGCCGGGGCTCCTCCTTGGGAACCTCAGCCGGCGTATTCCAATCGAACATGAACCCAGTCCCCCCGCGCATCCTCCTATGCCTCGTCCCGACCCCACAGCCCACAAAGATGAGAAGCAGCGCGACGAAGGTGATCAGGAATCCGAAGAAATAGTTGGCGCCGCGGGCCATGCCGCCATCGTCAGAGGAAGACATGGCGCTGGCAGCGGTCGCGGCGGTTGTAGAGCTTGTTGACGAGGGATATGCGGAGGAAGCGGTGGTTGCGGCGTTGGTCACGGCCATGAATGCCAGAGACGATGTCTGGAAGGGCATTGGGCGGCGTCAAGCAGGGACGCAGGCGCCGAGGGGGCGCGATGACATGGACGTCAGAGACAGACCCTGAGGCTTTTGACCCCATGGGGTTCAGCTTTACTGACTTCCTAATTCGAACGTACACTCCACTTCACTGAAAGTACTAGACTTCACTACAGTCTGAGGTGGCAACTGATTGTGGTCCTCCGGATCCGAGCACGTCCTGCAATACTGCTTACTGGTGTCCCGCACTGGCTGATAATTACTGTACGATAATTAAGCTACACAATAGAGTACTTCTCTACTCCCTGTCCACAAACCCGAAGTCGACTGCATGCAGCTCGCACGGAAAGTCCCCAATCGCAATCCCCTCCCCCGCCGCTAAACATCGCGCCTCCCTAAACCCTCGCTCACCCCCCGGTCCCTCCTCTGGCCCCCTCGGATCTGGAACCCAGACATAGGCTATGCGTTCACCCGTGACGGAGTCCCGCCGGTGCAAGTCAGCGCAGACGCCCTCCCCGTACCGATGTGGCGCGAACTCGCCGTCGCTTGGCTCGTCTGGATCGCGGAGGAATGGGTGGTCCAGAGCCTGGGCCGGTGTGATGCGCTCTGTTGATAATGGCTTGAGCAGCTGCTCAAGTAGGTCAAGAGCGTTGTCAATATCCTCGTCGTGGCTCGTCTTCTCGATATCCGGCATCTCTGACTCTGGTGCGTCCGCACGAATATCGTCGTCATCAACGTTGTCGTCAGAGGCGGGGTGAGAGGAGGAGCGTGGAGGTGGTGAAGACGAGGAAGAAGGAGGCTGGTGAGAGTTCTCCCTCTCTTGTCGGTAGTATTCCAGAGGTGACTTGTAGTAGGGGTAGTAGCGCCGGTCGGGTGGTCGCGGTATACGGTAGTCCGGGTTGTTGAGCTCGACGAATCTCGCCCACGACATGCCCTCCGTTGTTATCGACGGGACGTTCGTTGCGAAGGTCCGACCTACAACTTATCAGTTTCGGCCCCGCGCGTTTTTGGTGTGACCACTGACTATGCAACGCCGCGACCTTCTCCATCTTCTGCTTCCCGATAACCGCCGCAATCTCCATCAGCGCCTCCGTGTCGTCGCTCGACTGAAAGATAGGGAATTTGCCGGTCAGGAAGAACAGCAAGATCGTGCCGACCGACCAAACGTCTATAGCTGATGCATATACTCAGCCAATCCTTCGGAAGGTGAAAGGCAGCATACCCCCAGTCTGATCAGTGCATTTCAGGAGCACTTCTGGTGCGCGAAATCCTCTTGTTCCCGCGCGGTTAGCTTTGGAGACGGGTCTGACGCATGTACTTGGTTAGATCGAGTCAATAGGGTTACGGGCAAGCTGACCTGGTATCGTGCGCTGGGTATCCTACCGTCTCTGACGGCGCTGCGCTTTTCTCTCTCGCCTGACGTTGCATGCGCTTGTACGACTCGATGTCCATGTTCATCGTAGATCGCGTGAGCATCCGGCCGTGTGGGTATTCTGGAGTTGCTCGCGAGTGGAAGCATCGCCCAAAGGTGGATGTTGGCCCTTCCATCTTCTGAAGTAGACGTCAACGAATGGACATGCAGAATAAGCGCGCATACATACGCATGCTAGGCCGAAATCGCAGAGTGTACCCGTTCCTGTGCGAGGGTCGAACAGGAAGTTTGCAGGCTTAACGTCTCGGTGGATAACATTGCGGGAGTGGATGTCGCGTAAGGCGCGGAGGAGGCATTGGAAGTAGCGCTTGACGCCCAGCATGGGTAGATAGCGGAAGAAGTCCTGCTCGTTTACTATTAGCCGCTCTCTCCCGTAGTGTAAATGCACGAACACACACCCGAAAGTCCTCATTCCTGTGGTAGGGCATGATCGCCACCACCTGGTCCTGATGGCGGAATGCCGTGATGAGCTGCGAGACGTGCCTGCACCCTCTGCACTCCTCCATGATCGCAATCTCATTCCGTATCCGCTCCGGGCCACTGGTCACATATATGCGCTTGATCGCAACATAGACGCGCCCCTCTCGTCGCACGCTCTGGTAGTGCGCGCTCGAAGCGGGCGGATGGTGCCCATGCCATGCGCGGTTGTCCCACTTGCTGTGGTAGTGCTTGTCGAGCGCCTTGTACACGCTCGAGAACGTGCCCGTGCCGAGGCGGTCCAGCAGCTCGTAGTCTTCCGCCAGTGCGGGCACGTTCCGCGTAAGGTCCTCGATCTCGGCCACGATGTCGGCGCGCTCGGCGGGGGGCTTGGAGAGGATGGTCGTCTCCTCGTCGGTGCCGTGGATGAGATCGGTGTAGTTGCTCTGGTGATCTTCGTCTTCTCCACCCTCTTCGTTGACCTCCTGCGTCTCGTCGTCCTCGTACATTGCTATGTCCTCCTCCCCCACGGCGTCTACATCGTCCCCGAGCCTCGGTGGCTCCTGCATCGTGGTGTCCGCCAGAGCAAGTTCATCATCACTAGACATGGACATGTCGTGCGCTGCCCGATAGTTTTGGGTGACCTGACTGACGTGCTTTTCATACGCGAACTGGTCGAGGGGATCATCTGAAGACTCCTCGATTTCGCCGTCGTGTTCAAGCTTTCGTACGAAGTTGCGAGCGCGAGGATCCGAGCCCAAGTCCAGGGGATTTGACGAGTGACACGAGAATATAGCGGTGGCCATCAGGAGCGTTGAACTCAAGGCGTTGAAGACAAGAGCGGAGACAAATCGGCGGCGCTGATGGACGCGTCTAAGTGAACAAGCCACGTGATTGCGTCGCGTCTGCGCGCCACAGCGACGATCGACCATGCATATGCTCACCCAGTGTTTGTCCAGACTCTGTTCCATGCACATCTTCATTGTCCTCCAAAAAGTGCCTTGTATAATCATAGGCTAATCCCGAATTAGACACACCGCGACATCATCGCAGGCTATAGCTCCTCTACCTCCATCGTAAACCCACAATTGGTGCACATCTGCTTGCCGTTGTGTACGGGTGAGTACGTGTGGACGTGGTCCTCATCTCGTCTCCTCTGCCATACAGTACCCTTCGTCCGCCGTCTGAGCTCCCGCAATCCCTCCTCGAACTTCTTGTTCTTCTTTTTCTTCTTCTCCTTCTGACGCCGCTCCCATTCGGCGTCGAGAGCTTCAGCAGAGCCCCACTTCTTCCAGGCGAAGGCTTCAACCTGACATCGGAGGAAGAGCATCATGTTCGCATAGGTTGAGTGATGTGGGTTTGCCTTCAATAGATGTGGCATGGCTTCATGGTCACGTAGCTCAGCTGATGGGTGGTCAGAAAGAAGAAGCAGCAAAGTAAGGGGCAGACACGCACGATCAGTCAAGAGGTAGTCCTGAGTAAAGGTCAGCAATTGTGTTCCGTTTCCTCGCGAATCCGCAACTCACCTCCTTGCACTCTGTCTTCGTCAGCAAACTGTACTTCTCCGGCTTCTCATTCTGGCACTTCTTGCATACCAAGCACCCAAACACCTTCCTGAATGTCTGGTCCACATCGATCGACCCGCACTCCCCGCACTGGGGATTCTTCCCCTTATCCAAAAACACCGGCGGCTCGAGCGCCTGCTGCATCCGCTCGCGCTCGCGTTGCTTCTCTCGGCGCACCGCGTCCTCGTCTACCTCGGTGTCATCTTGGAGGAGGAAACCACCTTTGGTGTTGGCCATCTTCGAGAGGTCATATTCGATGTAGGTGCCAAGGCGGCGGTCGCGGGCGAGCTTCTGGGGACCCTTCGGCTTGCCAGGGGCAGTGGGGGAGGTGTTTGTAGCGGTCAGAGGCCGCTTGTTGTTGCCATTGACGGCGGTGGAGGTCGATGCGGATGCTTCCTTCTCGCGTTGTGCAGCTTTGGCTGTGAGGTATCGACATCAGCATGGTATATCGCGCAGGGAGATTCAGATACACACCTCGTAGTCTGTTGAGCTCAAACTGCTTGACCTGCTGGGGAGTAAGGTCGAGGTTTGCTGAAGGGGCAAGCTGCGTGGACCCGCTAGTTGAGCCTGACGCGGAGTCAGTCATGGTGGCGTTCGTCAAGGGGGATGATGAAGCGTGACCACGATTAGCGCCCGTGACATCAGCGTTCGCCACGTGGAATGTATGCTGAACCGCGTCCCTTGAGCGAACGTCAACATTTCTGAGCCTCATAGCCTGACCTCGGAGTTCTGAATCTTTCAATTACGTCGCAGACCTAACCTTCTGCGTGAATGGAATGTTTGGGAGTGTGCAGCAGGTGGAATGAACACATAAACGCGACGCTCAAATAGCAGGAAACTGATTGGATGTACGCTACAAGCAATCCATCTACTTCTTCTGCGGGGTCTCCTCCTTCGGTGGTGGGGGAGGGGGGAGGTGCTTGAATTCCGGAGGCGTCGCAGGCTCGGTGCCGTGACCGACCTGTTCCCAGGGTGATTGGGCCTCGAAGTTGCTACGGACACTGTCAGAACGGAACCACGCGCATATAGATGATAGACTCACCGGAAGGCCTGAGTGAGCTGTAAGGGTTCGTAGACGACGCGCTTGCGCTCCTCATCGTAGCGAAGCTCAGTGTAGCCCTGGTTAGAGGCGTGAGTAGGGAGTGAAGTGGACATGCCAAAGCTTCACGCACAGAGATCGGGAAGTCTTTGCGAAGGGGGTGGCCCTCGAAGCCGTAGTCGGTCAGGATACGGCGCCTGATATACAGGGTAAGTGTATAGTCAAGAGTTAGAGGATGACGCACAAATCAGGGTGACCGCTGTAGAAGATGCCGTAGAGGTCCCAGGCTTCACGCTCGTACCTAGCACCAAAGTAAGCATATGTTTTTCCTGAGATATAGAGACGCACCAGTTCGCCCCAGGGTACACGCCCACCGCGCTCGGAATGGGATCGGCTTCGCCCGCGTACGTCTTGACCCTGATGCGCCCGCCCGACCGATAGCTCAGCAGGTGGTACACCGACTCAAACCGCTTCTCGCGCTCGGGGTAGTCCGCCCCGCTAACATCCATGCAGCTCTTGAACTGGCACTGGCCATGGTCGCGCAGGAAGGTGAGCACCGGGATGAGCCCCGACGGCGCGGTGTAGATCGTGAGTTCGTCCCGGAGGACGGAGAACTGCTGGATAAACTTGGGCATGCACTGCATGAGGTAGGCGCCATAGGTGTGCAGCGCCTCGGTCGTCTTCGCGTGCTTCTCGATCGCCGGGTTGGGAGAGGTCGGCTCGGTGAAGGGGGCGGCGGAGGCTGGGAGGGAGTCAATAGCTGGAAGGTGATTTTAATGGTGTGACGCACGTCTAAGTACCCTGGGCGACGTTGAGAAGCGTCGCCCAGCACCCGCGCGCAGGAGCTGCCGGGCGACGGCCTGGCTGGCGACTCGGAAGGACATGGTGGAAAGAGCGTCGGTGTGGCACGTGACGATCCCTCCCTCCGACCATGACCGCTTTCGGACTTCAACCAATTCAGTCCAACTTACGTTCGACCCCCACGCACGATGGCCGTAGAAGCGCCGCTGCCGCGAGGCTGCTCTTATCCTGATCCATCATCGCGGCTGAACAAAGAGTGCAGTAGCCTTGTAATCAAACTTACCTTCGAGTAATCGGTCTGACAGTTGGACGCGGACAACATCGACCTTCTCATGTGAGCAATTATGGGACGAAAGCGTAGTCGCCAACTATATGAAGTCGGTACGCGCTCTTTCGGTCTCCCATCTCTTCAGCAGTAAGTAATGACACGGTTGAATCTCCTCTCGTAGAATGTATCACGAGAGCGACATACAGACGAGCAGCCAAACAGTGGGTGAGCCAGTTGCATCCGCACGACGGTATCACTTGTTAACAATACCTCCCAGAACTATGAAGTGAAAGTACGCAACTACGTATAACAAATCATATACCAGCAGAGCAAGTTAACGCGTGCATGGCAGTGGAAGGGATACCCAGACAGCGCGAATACGTACGTGATTCTGGAAAGCTGCCCGGACGAGAAGATCTTACACGCAATCCAGGCTAGAGACAGAACGGAGTTTCAAGACCTGCGAGGCCCTGCTCGAACGGTTCTGGGTAGAGATAGGGTCGGACTTACGCCACGAACCATTCAAGCCGGGCACAAAGGTCTACAAGGACGGAATCGTAGGCAGGACCGGCAACGGAACGGTCACTCCGAGCCCCCAATGGATTGGTGAGTCCAAACTCTGCCTTACCATCCTTGCGACTGAACCCGCTGTATAGAAGCAGAGCTGCAACGATTCCGCGAAACGTACGAAATGCTTCAACCGACTGTTGTGCCGAAGACATATCCAATGACTGAGATGGTGCGTTGATTCCTACAGTTGTAACAGCCTCTCGGCTCATTCGTCGTTATCCAGGCCTCGACATCGCTTGATTTGGAGGATGCGCAAGAGCGAAGCGACCCGCCGCCGCCTCCCACGACAAAGAGACGACGGGTGGACCCTACGGCATCGTGCAGCTCGAATAACGACTTCCTGTCGCCTGTGTCTGAGAGACATCCCGTCGAACATGCACTCGTAGAACCGCAATCTAATCCTTCGTTCCCGTTAAGTGGTTCAAACCAACCGATGGATCCTCTTGCGGACCACGACAGAGAATGGGTCGTCGGGATGGACTCGGGGACCGATGAGGACACCGCCGTTCCTTATGTTGAACGAGCGCCCTCTCAGATCCCTGCTGACGATGATGCGGGCGACGGAATGGCGCAAGAACAATCGCTGACTTCGCGCCAATCCCCTCTCTTCACGCCTGGGCCCGAAGAACGCACGACCAGTCCGCCGGGCACGCGGAGTCCTGTCGGCCGTGTGCACACGCCCAGCGCCCTCGACCGAACAGTGGAGCCCCTTCAGGCGTCGCCGATTGCTGTCCGTGGTTCGATACAGTTCCTCCCGCTCGCCGGCACGTATTCGAGTGTCAATGGCGCGCGCAACAAGGTCGCGCAGCGATGCGGACTGTCCATAAGGCCTGCACGACACAACTCTACGCGAGAGGCTCCTGCTGAGGCGCCGGTCCCCGAAGAAGTCTCAACCATCTCAGACCGCAACGTCGACGTCCGCGGCAGTTCCTCGAATATTCTTGTGGACGATGCAAGCGCCAGGTTCTCCGACGGTCCTGACAGAGGTGCCCAGTAAGTACTCCTCTTCCTTGAGTGCTCAATAAGCGCTTGACTCTATTCAAGAGTCAAGGACACAGCGCAAGACTTCGCTGGTACTACGGATTGGGGATCGGCGTCGACTTCTGGTTGGTCTGACCAATCCACGCTTTGGCAACCTGCCCCAAGTACATCGAGCGCTCATCCTGGACCTAAAGTGACGCAAGAACATGCGATTCTCATTGGATCTCTAGACCTACCTTCTCTCGACCCTCTCTCGGTCGGCGGCCACGATGACATCGACTGCCAGGGGTAAGCTTCATTCTACAGGATGGAGAACCTGCTGACCACCGTCCAGCGAGCTCGCCTACCCGGACGACTTCCATGAAGGCTCCGAGGGCAATTCCGTGGCTGGATTTTCGCCCGCCATAGGTCCTGGCGCGCTGAAAGGTGGCTGGGAAGTACACCACCAGTCAGTACGCTGATCTTGTATGTGCCGAGCTGAAGCTGATCTGGCCCGAAGGACGCCCCCCATCCAGAGCATTGAGTCGCTGCCTGCGGCACGGCCCATTCCAAATGCCCCGAAGACGTCCACCAACGTATGGCGAGGGTCCCTGAGCATCAAGGTCGGAAAGTTCGCCATCGCCCTGGCCGACATCGTCTGCACCATCGCCACCTCCGCCCCCGAATTGAATTTTGACCTCGCCGACCAGCTCAGCGCGCGTCCGACCCTGCTGCAGCTTGACAAGTTCCATACCTCAAGCGAGACCAGTCATTTGTTCGCCCTCGCGGGCCCGGTAGCACAACGGGCTACGATATCACCAGCGAGAACAGAGGAGGAGAGCGGTTTGCAACTGTTCACAGATTTTCTACGCTCGACGTCGCAAGCAGTCGTGCTGCCGTACGTCGGGCAGGAGGGCGAGTGGACCGGTCATATCATCGTCTATCCAACCAGTCGTAAAGTCGTTGGCACGAGCTTCGGGCCACCCGCGGATGGATCTAAGCATGGGCCCCTGGCTGTCAAGGTCGTGCCGCTAGGAGGCGTTCTGGCGGGGACGCCAATGGTGCTGTCGACGAAGGGCAATGTTTCGGGGACAGACGAAATCAAGCCTCCGCCTCGCGATAAGCGCTCGTTCGTCGCCTACGCTGCTAACCTCTTGGGTTTCGACAACGATCTCTTGACTCTACTCCGCAACGCGGGGAATGGACCTCGATATCACTTGGTTGATGCACCGGCGGTGTTGCAGACTCATTGTCTTCAGCCGTCTGGCCTCATCCGTTTCGTCCTTGACTGTTTCGGTGCGGTAGAGACTCGGGCGCAAGCTGCGCGGCTGGTCTTCGTCCCGCGCCACCTACCTTCGCGCCAAGATCATCTACCAGCCGGACTTCCCGCGATGCTGAGGAAGCCCGAAGTGCGCATTTACGCTTATGAGGCGTCGACGCGACGGTGCAAAGACGTAGCGCTCCAGGAGATCTTCATCATTGGTGCGTCCGGTATCATCATTACCTGTAATGCTAAATCGCTGACAAAGCTCGCAGGAGGCATCTTGACTACCACACCTATGGCTCTCGTCTGTGACCTTGCGTCCTCCGCCAAGCGATTGGAACAGGCGGCGGAACATCCGCTCTGGTCATCATACGTCCTGCCCTTCGTCCTCGGCATGGCGCTCACGTTGTACTACAACGGTAAGGACCCGCTGGTCGTGTACAAGTCGTAAGTTCCATCCTTTCGCGCTCCCCATGCTGCCCACTGACAATATGTAGTAATCCGCAGGCTTGCGTGTTTAGGCTCCTTCTGGAGGCCATCGTCGACAGAAGATGCCACTTCGTCGCGCCGCCAGCAACACCGCTCAACGCTCCGTTAGGCCTCGCATTTCCGCATAGCGCTGAGCATGTCATCCAAATCGCCCTGCAAGACTTCCGATCCACGTTTGTCGGCATTTCCAAGGAACACTGGGAGACGAAGGCGAAGGCGCTTCTCGTCCAAGATGTGAATTCATGGCGGACCGATTCCGAACATGTGCGTATCAGGCATGCTTGTGTCCTCGTACATCCACGGGATCCTGCATTGTCCGACAACGCTCATACGAAGGTACGTTCGAGACGCGTGTCTACCAAGCTTGCTGAATCTTCATCAGATCGAATGGCTACCACCCTCTGGCGAATTTGTTTGGGATGGGTTCTTCGACGACGACGGAACTTTGTAATGTGCTGCGTATCTCTTGATTTTGGAGCTCGACTGTACTTCTACATTTCTGACAAACACCTGAATGCACATAGCGTTTCCCAGCGCCTCAGCGCGTCAGTTGCCCAAGAGGCAAGGCGAGCGCAGCACGTGGCCGTGCCACCCGTCGGCCCGTTTCCGGGCTGGCACCCCAATCAATTCATTCTTTACCTTCAAGCTTGACCGTTGCAAGTCGCGATGCACGATGACGGTGAAAATGCCGCAGACCTCCAACTTTGCGTCTTTCCTTCGTCCACCATCTCAGACCCAGTGTATCAGTTGAGCCTTTTAGTCTGACCTTTCTTGCCTTCGCACTGTCTTGTTCTTTGAGCTTAGGCTCCTGATCTCGAGGCGTCCGTTCGGCTTCAAGGGCCTCCCTCTCCTCCCAAGTTACTATGGGGCAAAAGAGGAAGGAAGCGAAGCATTGGGAGGCGGGAAATTATGAGATTGGTGGGCGTGTGTTCGATCTTTCGGCCTTCTGTGACTAACGAGGCTTCGCAGAATACATAGTGCGCGCCAGCTATGTTATTAAGCACAGATGCTGGGTGAGTACCCGATACCGCACCATACATAATGACTATGACGACCAACTAATCATGGCCTTGGCAGATCTACAGAGTCAAGGTAATCTCCATTTGAATAACATCCTGGCGCATGCATTCTCAGTTCTGAAAATTAGTGGGCTGGAGAAGAATGGAAGGACCCGATGTGGGACGAGTATGTCCAATAATGCAATGTTGAAACTGCGCTGACGACGTGTAGGTGGAAGACCTTAGATGAACTCACCGGATGCGAAGAACTCCTGCGTCGATTTTGGCGAGAAATCGGGGTCGACCTGCTGCACCACCCCTATATTCAAGGGACCAGGATGTTCAAACACAGGATTATGGGCAACCGACACGAGGTGGCGCCCAGTGCAAAGTGGATTAGTGCGTTGCTTACCGAATAGTCTTATATACTTGCCACTGACGAACGATCACAGAGGAGGAGAAGGCGCGCTTTCACAAATCGCATGAATCATCGGGCGCAACCATCACAATTGCCGTGAGGAAGTCATCGAATGCTGTAGGTCTTCGACATATTGCAACCAGCAGGGCTTGACAGATACTCAGAAACGAAAGCGGAACGTGGGAACGGGTAATGCGACCCATGCAGCCATTGAGAGTAGCGCAAGCGATAGCGACGACGAACCCCGGACTCCCAAGCGTCGGGCACTCAACAAGAGAATTTCCACGAAGAGGATGCGCCCGACCTCGAGGCGCGTTATAGCGTCGCCGTCGAGCTCAACATGCTCCGACTCGTCCTCGAACAGTGACTCGGAATCAGCAGCCTCAGAAGACGGGCATCAATCTGAGTACGAGGTAGTGACGATCCCTCTTCCTGCGGGTGGCAGAGACACGCCCACTCCAGCTTTCCCTGCCATGGGTTTCGACGATGACGACCTATCGGACGGGACAGACTCAGCGACCGAGTTGGGTAGCGCCTTTACCCCGGACGACACCGAGCCAGAATCGAGCGACGTAATTTCAGAGCTCTCGTCTGTAACGGAGAGCGACACGGAAGACGAGAGGGTTCCGGAGCGAAGTGTCACGCCTCGGCAGCGATCTTCGTTGTTCACGCCCGCCCCTGGTGAGGATACCATCAGCCCTCCTCGCACGCCCAGTCCCGTCGAACGGCTCTCGGCCCTCCCACAAGCACCAGCGACTGTGGCGCACGGGCCTATTCAGATGCTGCCGGTGAAGGGCACGTACTCGAGTCTCAACTCCACGCGGAACAAGGTCGCACAGCAGTACGGTCTGTCCATTACGCCTTACCGCCCTCGAGACGAATCGTCGCCAGAGCCTCCGGCCATGGATCCTGCTGCTCCAGAAGATGGATCGGCTCCATTGAACGCCGATGTGGACTCAGACGAAGAAAACGATATCTCGGACATGCTAGTGCAAGTCACGAACGTTGGGCTATACGACAAGCCGGATGCTCGGGATGAGTGAGTTGCTCCTTTGTCTGAGAAACATACGTGCCTCTTATCGTTTCTCAAGGCCGCGAGATGTCTACCTGGATTTCGCTGCTGCTGAGTGGGCGTCAGCACCAACTTCCTGGCCTCGGACGCCACGCAAGGAACCGAACTGCACCGCACAGAGGCAGCCCGTCCCAAGCACGCCGACCACTAGTAATTCTGCTTGGACTCAGAGTCCGTCTGCTGCCGCTTGGGATCCATGGGGGCAAAATTCCGCTACTATAGGATGGGGCTCCATGTCTTCGGCTCGACCGCAAACGCCGCAGAGGGTTCCTGACCTCAGTGCGCAGTCCCAAGGCGTTGCGATTACGCCGTCCACAGTTCCTATGTCACAAGATTCGCAGCTTTGGCACTCGCAGTTCCACGGGGACCTCAAGACTCTTCCGAGTCTATCCCCTCTAGATGCCATGTCCGCGCTCTCCCTTTCGGACGGTAACGATGACATGAGTCTGGACTAGTAAGTACCCACTAATGTGTAGTGCCCTTGTAACGCGCTGACCGCCTTCTAGCGAACTCGCCTACCCGGACGACTCCCCCGGAACTCCAGATGGCAATCGTCAGAACTCAGACGACGCACCCGAGGCTCCGGCTGCGGCAGCAGACCCCCTCGACGAATTTTTGCGTTTCCCTGCGGAAACGGCGGCGACTCATGAAAGTTCTGACCAGACACCCGTGCCCGCGCTCTCGCCTGCGGCATTTGGCGACGCGAATGTAATCGAAGGCCAGCCGACGCAAGTTCAACATCAAGAATCGGATGCGAGCGATGAGCGTACCATGACAGCCGACGAGAACCGCTCCGATAGGCCTTTACCAGTAGTGGACGCAGACGATGCGAACTCAGCCACAATCGACGACGACGCCTCGGCTGTCGCTATCGAGGGATTTATCGACGTCGGATCGCGAGTCGCTATCCACGAATCGCGTGTACCTGTGGACGAATCGTCTAGTACCCCTCCTTCGGCCTTTAGCGCGATGGAAGTCGATGCGGAGGCTGATAATAGGTAATTGGCCCGTTTTCTCTATGCGCTGGGTCTGGACTAATGACCATTTCACTAGACACCATTCCTCTGTTCTTGCCGTATCTGGTCCTGTGGCGGCGTCTGCTCCGCACAATCCGAAGACGAGTACCAGACAATGGCGCGGTCCCATCAGTGTTAAGGTCGGGAGACGCACCATCAATCTTGCCGACGTCGTCTGCACCGTCGCCGCCCCGAGCCCTGGCTCGAAGCTCGACCTCGCCGACCAGCTTATTGCGCACCGAACATGCCTCCGATTTGCTACCTTCCACTCCTCGGACGAAATAATCAAACTCTGCGAGATATCCGGTCCAACGGCTCAACGAGCCACGATCTCGGCGGCCGCCAAGGAGGATGAGGAGGGTGTCGACATCCTGGTCGAGTTCTTGCGCACGACGCAAAGGGGCGCCGTGCTACCGTACGTCGGAAAGAAGGGCGATTGGCAGGGCAATATCATCGTGCATGCGACGAGTCGAAAGGAAGTCGGCACGGCTTTTGGGGCTCCCTCGGATGATTACAAGCAAGGTCCCTTGAAAGTCAAGATCTTCCCCTTGGGAGGTGTACTTGCTGGGACGCCCATGGTCCTCTCGGCGAAGGGAAGCTCGGACGATGACGAGGCAACCGCCGCTGCATGCCTCGACGAGCATTCTTTCCTCCTATTCGCTGCCAAGTCCTGCGGTTTCAAAGACGACCTTTTGAACCTACTCCGTAACGCGGGCCACGGACTACGGTACCACTTGGTCGACGCCCCGGCGTCGTTAGAGTCTGCTCCCTCTTTGTCTGCCAGCCTCGTTCGTTTTGTGCTCGAGTACTTCGGCGCGACAGAAACTCGAGCTCAGGCCGCTCGCATCGTCTTTGTACCTCGCCATGGTTCGTCGCAGCCATGGCACCTGCCGGTGGGCCTCCCTGCGCTGCTGAGGAATCCCGAGTTGCATGTGTACGCGTACGAGGCGTCGGCTGGACCCTCCAAGGGCCCCCGCACACAAGAAATTTTTGTCGCCCGTACGTTCACTCTGAATCACTGTACGCACGTAGCTAATTATGTTCACAGGAGGCATCTTGACTACCACACCACACGCCCTTGTTTCTGACTTGTTCCTCGCCACGTCGCGGCTGGAGCAGGGTGCGGCACACCCAATGTGGTCGTCGTATATCTTGCCTTCGATCCTCGGCATGGCGCTTACGATGTACTACGAAGGGAAGGACCCGATGGAGGTCTACAAAGCGTACGTTCTTCCTCAGAACTTCTGTGTATGTCGCTCAATGTCGAGGCAGGAATCCCAGGGCCTTCGAGTTCAGGTTCCTCTTAATGTCCATTATTACAAGAAGATGTCACCTGGCTGTGCCACCGTCGTCTAAGACAAACGCACCTCAAAGGTTCATAGGCCCTCAAACCGCTGAAGACCTCATTCAACTCGCTCTGGACGAATTTCGGTCTCACTTCGACGACATTCCGAGGGAACTTTGGGAATCCAGGGCCAAGGCGCTTCTCGTCCAGGATATTGATACCTGGAGGATGGACCCGGAACATGTGCTGATCAGGCATTGCTGTGTCCTGGTACATCCCAGGGACCCTGCGCTGTCCGACGACATCGAGACGAAGGTGCGTCTGAGCGCTGAGCAGGGCTTACCGATCCTGATTTTTCCCGATCAATACAGATCGACTGGATGGTACCCTCTCGGGAGATCGTTTGCGATGGATTCTTTGACGACGAGGACTTGATCTAGCGTACCTCATAAACCGATTTCTTGGGCATAGCTGTTTTGTGTATCGTACTTTGTACTTGTAGGTCCACGCCACACGCCACATATCTTGCATGTGATTTTCGCGCAACTCCCGGCCCGAGGCTCCCTGCCATGGCTACTTCTGCTCTCCTCCGCTACTGGCGCCGGCGCCGTCGACATAGACTTGCTCTCCACCGTCACGAACGCCGACCATGTCCTCCATAATTCAGGACATCATTACCAACCCCGCCTATCATGACCTCTTTGCGATCCTTAAGGGCGCGCGCAATGGCTTCGTGTACGGCGTGAAGGTCAGGTTCCCCCATGCACTGGTCATGTCTATACTGTTCGGTCGGGGAGAGTGAGTATCAAGTTCGCTATTAGGGCTACTTACTGATCTGATTCCAGTTGGCAAACGCGCGCACGCGTTATCTATCGCGCGACGAAGCAGCACGCTCTGAACCTCGCGAAATTCGTGTCTATCTACAAGGTCATGCTGCTCCTACAGCGCAAGCTGAATGGGAACAAGCAACGCGACGCAGATACGTTCCTCGCGGGCCTCATTGGGGGCTGGTATGTCTTCGGCAACCGGACAGCAGTGAACGAGCAGGTGCGCGTTCCTCCCAATCTTTCACATGCTTAGCTGATTCATGAACCTCCCCAGATCGTCCTATATGTTGTATCCCGCGTAGTCGCATCCTTCCTTCCGCGCGCACAGAACCCTTACTCGTCTGCTCCCGCCGCGCCGGGTACTGTCAAGCCCCTCCCTCCCGACTCGAAAGCATTCACGCTCTTCGCCGCGTTCGCGTGGGGCGCGGTCATGTGGCTTTTCGAACACCGTGGAGAGACCATCCAGCCCGGAATGTTCAACTCGATGACATACCTGTACCGCGACTCGGAAAGGTGGAAAGACCTGAAGACGTTGCTGTGGCACAACACATAGGCCGGTGTACTTTTACCATTATGGATAGACAATTCGCGACAATCACCATATTCTCATTTGGATCTTTTGTTTGCTGCCCTAGTGTTCACCGTGTGTCAAGGTCCGCAATACCCTCCTCCTACACGCTATTGTCGCCCAAAAAGGTATGGATGAGGCTCATCATCATTTTCATGAGTTCACAAAGCTGACCTCGAATTCCCGATGCCTACGTCCAACATTACATTGCAATCTCACCTATCTTGAGCACGATAGAGTTACATGGCCTTCCCTACTAGACAATGAGCAATCATCAGTAGGGCGCGGTCGGTGAACTAGATGTGCCGGATGTATGCTAATTCGCCAATCATTCGGCGTCGTGCAAGCAGCTTCGCCATCTACCTGACGCCATGGTGCTTCCACAGGTCAGCTGGGCTAACCAGTGAGAACCCATTGAAAGATTCCGACATCGTCGCGTCCCAGCTGCCTAAACTTGCTCTTGTCGTCGCCCATCAGGGGCTTGCCCATTCACTCTTGTGCTTGACCATCATGTTCGTCCTGTTCGTCCGTCAAGACCGCAGTCCCGTCGCCTCCGGTGAAGCGACCTTCAGGCATACTCCAACGCTTGGCTAGGTGATAGCAGTTCAGACTCTCCGTGCCTCGCGGGAAGCTCGTTGTTTACAAACGCGCGACTATGGTGGATCCTTACCCTTTCCTCTCGCCATGTCTCTTCCCGACGCCGTGCACTCCTTCGTGACCAATCCGGCGTACAGTGACTATCTTGCCATCCTCAAGGGCGCCCGGAACGGCTTCGTCTCTGGGGTCAAGATCAGGCTACCTCATGCCTTGGTCATATCGGCGCTATACGGACGAGGGAGGTGCGTACGATTGCCTCATACCAGGCCAATCGTCCAGAACTGACGTCTATCTGCAGCTGGCGGACCCGGGCGAAGTGGATCCTGGACGCGACGAGGCAACACGCCACCACTCTTGCGACATTCGCCACCCTGTACAAGTCCTTGCTGCTCCTCTTACGCAAGGTGCGCGGTGGCAAGCAAGGCAACCCGGATAGCCTTATCGCGGGGCTCATCGCGAGCTGGGCGGTATTCAAGGATCGGACGTCCGTAAATGAGCAGGTGCGTGGACTGGAGCACGGTGTGGCGGGGACTGGACTTACTAACATGACTGTATCGTAGATCGTACTTTACGTGCTGGCGCGCGCGGTGATGTCCTTCCTGCCTCGCGCTGGAGGAGACACCACATCCGCCACTCCTGGTATCGTCAAGGCGCAGCCGCCAAATCCGCGATATTACACCGTCCTGGCCACCATCGTTATGGGTGGCAGCATGTGGCTGTTCGAGAACCGCGGAGAGACCCTGCAGCGAGGCATGTTTAACCAGATGGTCTACATCTACCACGACTCCGACCGATGGAAGGATCTCAAGACCCTCCTCTGGCACAACACCTAGCGCAGGCGCTTCTGTACATTCCTAACCACCTTCCTGTATTTTCTAGTCTTGCTTCAACTGATCGATGCGACTGATGGCCTTGCGCGACTTGTACTGTGGCGCGTCAATTCCCAAAAGCAAGCCTTCAAAAATAGGACCGGGCCTACCGCAAGCATAGCAACAGCCCGACTCCAGGCCAGATCGCAGGCAGCACACCCGATACTCCCTTCCGAGTCCATCTCCCATGCGACATCGGTGTCTGTCAGGAACCCACCATCAGCGCGGCCAATCACCCTCGTTTGCAGCACGACGCACCAGCGTCAACAGACGCGGACAGCCGCTTTCGTCTGTTGTCCCACCGTTCGAGCGTCTGATCCTGGTGCGTCCCGCAGATGCCATACCCTGATACCATGCTGTGAGATCAGGCCCCTGGTCCTGCAGGCATCGGCACGGGCCGCTGACTGACGCACCGTGGGGGAAGATGTCCTCCGTCAGGACGAGATGGGTGAGCGCGCGCCGCCGTTGGTCCTGCAGAACCGCAAGCCGATGGACCGACCGCGCATCGGGCAGGGCAGCGATCTCGTCCGAACTGTACGACGCGATAGGGCGTAGAAATTGGCTCGCTTCCGCCGCGATGTCGTCTTCGCCAGCCCTTAGCGCTAGCGCATATACCCGTACCGCGTCCTCCGCGCAATGCGCGCGGAGATGTGGTCCGAGGGCCCTTTCCGTGTCGATGATGTACTTGTCAGCGAGGCCGTACATGAGCTGTAGCATCGGGAACGGGATTATCGTGTCCGGGTTGTAGAGCTTTTTCGGGAACTTGCTACTGTGTTGTGAGGCCTCCTCCTGCTCAAAGGACGTAGGAGGCGGTGGCGGGCCATTCAATAGACGCAACAGCAGCTCCAGATGTGCGCCACTTTCGTCTAGCTCAAGGACCGGGGGTGCCGCGGGGCCGCAGACGGTGAGCATGCCATCTGCGTGCGGGTCAGCATCACGAATTCAGTGGCTTGCGGACGCTCTTGACCGAAAACTTCGCTTTTCTGTAGGGCGGCACGCTTGACGGAGAGACGCGTATCGTCCTGAGTCGATCGCACGACAATCTCGCCTTCGGTAGACGTGTAAGAAGAGTTCGTGTCGCTCCCGACCATCGCGCGCGTGCAGGTAAGATAGTAAGAGAGATAGATGAGTAGGTACAGCAGAACGCTAATCTGCGAGTCCGCCTCTTCATATACGCATACGATCGACCTCCTGAGGGTGCTTGGTCGTACGTGGCCCGACGTGTAGCTAGTAGTAGTACGCGTAACGCGAGCGCCACGTAGCGAAAGAGAGCATGATAAGACACGACTCCATTGCAACGAAAACAACCTATGAGTGATATAGAACTCGAGAGACCGCACAGAAATGTCAGAGAAGGGATATGCATGCAACATAATGGACAGTAGAGCTGAAGCAAGACAGCGAGGGCAGAAAACGAAGCGCAAGGCCGTGGTATCATCAAATGAGGTAAATGGGGGAGGGAATCTATAACGCCAGTAAATCCCAGAAGAAATTCCCTACATGATAATACACTTCCTCTTCTCCTTTTCTTTCGGCTTGGTTGGACCACCGCCCGGTCCCGCCTCTATTTGTTTCGTCTGTCGTAATGCGCGGACGAGTGTCGTGAATAATCGCTCGACGTTCTGGGCGGTCTTTGCCGACGTCTCGATGAACTCGCAGCCAAACTGTCTGGCGAGCTGCGCTCCCTCCTCCTTTGACACTTCCCGCTCGTAGGTCTTGTCGCACTTGTTCCCCACGAGCATAAATATGGGGTCGCCTCGCTTCACGCGCCGCATCGATTGCCGGAAGACCTCCAGCCGGTCGAATGTGGAGCGGGATGCTATGGAGTACACAAGGATGAAACCTTGGCCCTCTCTGTGGGAGATGAGTGGGGGTATGGTTGGGGCGGCGTCGTGGTACGCACCGTACCCACTGATCGCGAAGCGTCGCGTACTCCTCTGGAATGGGGGTGAGTAAGCGTCGAGGTGCGGGTGCAAGCACGCACCCTGTCCGGCAGTGTCTATGACCTCCACGAAGCACATTTTATTGTCAACCACTAGCTGCTTGCGATACGCGTCCTCGATTGTGGGATCATAAGTCTGGAGGATGTCAGACGATGCGGGGCGCAGACCGGAAGCAGACGGACCTCTGTGGGGCGAAGAAGACGGGCGGCGGTCAGCGCGCCATGACGCCGTCTGAGGAGGAGGCCGCTTACCAACGAAGCAATTTAGCGTAAACTGGCGTGAGATCAGCGCGAGCAGACGACTCGGGAGCGGCGGACTGACCTGGACTGCGAGAGCGGTTTTGCCCACCCCACCATCGCCTAGTACTGCAACTCTCCAGTTGTCCATATCTGCGAGGGCGTGAGCGTCGTGAGTGCACGGGCGAGCTCGTCGCGGACCTCAGAAGGGGGAGAGCCGGTAATCGTAAACGAAAGACGTGTGGGAGAGAAGGAGGGGGCTGCGGTCGATGCGGTCGGTCGTAATAGCGTGCGTTGCGCCGCCGGGTTTGTCGTGCGGGTCGTGAATGGCGATGAGCAGACAGTCGAGTCGCGCGTCGGGTTTGCGGACGAGCGCAGCGGATGGATGAGGTGAGGGAGAAATGAAGGCACATGCAGCATGTGTTGCCTGCCCACTTTCCCACGCCGCTGCATGATTTTCTTTTATTCGTCCCGCCCCGCGCCACAGTCCCAGCAGTACCCTCCGCCGTATTTTCTACCTTTTCCCGCGCGAGCCCCTGGCCTGGACACCTCCTGCTCAATCGCGTACCACGCGCGGAGATCCATCTACATATCTCGACCATCTGCTCCCCCTCCCGGGCATCGCCGCAATCATCCCAGTAGCCTCCCCGTAGCGAGCTATTGTCACCGTCACTGTCCTACTCAATGCGCTCGAGTCACAATATACCCATATCTCCCCGCAGTGTCTATCACGGACCCGTCACGGCCCGCCTATCGCCCGCTCGCCCGAGCCAGCAATCTTCAGAGACAGAACCCGATATTTACGGGGTCAGCGCCCTCTGCTTTCTTCCATTTTTTCTCTGGCGGGCTCTAGGCACGATCGGTATTGCTTTCCCTCGCCAGACGTGGGCGCGCGGTGCGGCGGTGTGTACAGCCGGGAGCACCCCCACTTTCGTACCCCCGCCCTCTCGCGCGTGCGCCGTCCGGTGGCATCCGGACCCCGACTGCGCCCGCGTTCGAACACCGCGCAGGAGGCCGCCCGCCAAGCCCTGGCACTGCTGACGCGCCTGCCAGCTCCGTCAGCCTGCCAATGCCACCGCCCGCCCGATCCACTGTCGGCGCCTGCGCGCCCTCCCCCAGATCGGGCCGAAGTGAATGAGGAGCGTCACAATAGCGTCGCGCCGCTAGCGCGGTCGTGTGCCTCCCATTCAGTGCTGCAAACTCAAAGGTAGCTATATGTGGCAGGCGTGGTACTCCCTCGTCGGTGCCGCCGCCCTACGCACCGGGTTCGTGGCCACCTGCCGCTGCCGCCCGCCCTCGCCGCCGCGTTGGGTGCCGCTGCCGCACCGAGCCGCCGGAGTCGACTGCACGACCGGCCCGTCCCTCGGACTCCCCTCGGGCATCACTCAGCCCGGATACCCCCCACAGCTGCTGTCCACCCGCCCGCCAGCGTCCATCGCGCTTACGCAACGTCGACGGTCGGCTGACAGCACCCCCTCCAGCCCCTCTCGCACCCATCGATACGCGCACATGCGCGGCAACTCTATCGACGCGGTGCGCAGCAGCCTCTGTGAGACTGCCCTCGCGGCCTCTGTTGCGGGTGGGTGTATTTCGCATACAGTGCGTGGCGTCTATATCTCGGCATCGCTCCTCCCTTGGCCGCCTGCAGTCTATAAACCCACCCAAGCCGCGGTGGGTCCATTGAAGGGCACGGCGCGCTGGCGCTGACAGCTTATCCGAGCAGTACGCGTCCCGCGCACGTCTACAGTACCTGTGCCCTCATCCGCTACAGTATCTGTATCCTCATCGCCCACCGGTGACCTGCTACCCCGCGCCCAAGTCCTGTCCCCCATCTATCCGCTTCTGCTTTGTTCAAACCGCAAGCCACACATACATCTCGCCCCGGAAACACCAGCTGGGCAGCGGTGTTGCCTTTCCCGACTCCATCATTGCCTTCCTCGACTTCATCAACGCCGTACCGTTCATTGACTGCTGACGGAGGCTAGCCGTACCGACACCTATGACCACCTGAAAGGTACCGACCGCGTCTTTGGGCGTCCTCAGCCTTCCATCTCCGTTTAGCTGCTGTGTCCTTTCAGATTCCTTACTTGGTCTGTCCCGTTCATAAGCCTACTATGCATTCGCTCAGTGTTTACTTACGGCTACTTCCCGGCCGCTCTATTGTGTTTCCTCATACGGGGTCGTTGCAGCGCGCTTAACAGCCTACAACGGTGTATAACGCGCTGTCACGAACCTTTTCTCATCATAATTCTGACAGAGAGAAACTGAACAGCGTGACGCTACCCTCTTCAACTATCGAACCCGGCCGTTATCTTGGAGATAGCGACCCTCAAGTCCGAAGGCTTCTGCCCGATACTAGCCTACCGCGTTGCCTTGACGTTGCCCGCCTCGAGCACCTTCCAACGGTCTTCAGGGAACGACATCTTTCCCGACCTTCAGGGAAACCCGTCTTCTTTCACCCGCAAGGTTCCGCTGCACGCCGAAGAACACCTTCGTTTCCTACCACTCGTCGACCCAGGTCACAAAGCTATGTCGCAACGTCGCGCTGGTTGCCGAGCAGACATTGCTCGCGATCCTTCCTGTGTTCGTTGCTCGCACGCCTGCGACCTTTCCAGAAATCGACGAAGTTCGCTTCCGGTCGCCACTCGCCCACCTTCTCGTCCTTTCCTCGTCATTTCAATCTCTTCATCCCAAACCTTTCTCATTCCAGTCCTTTCTCTTCATTCTCGGTCTCTCGGCCTTGCAAGGACGTCAAGCTCACCCTACTACGAACGTCAACCTCCCACACGGACATGCCAATCTCTGTCAAACTACCGCTGTCAGCACAGCCCTCGCCAACGTCCCCGGTAGCGCTGCCGTCTGATACCATAGCGTATGCCACCCGTACGAATCTATCCAAAATGTACCGCTCACCCACGTCAACCGGCTCTACAAACCACGTCTTCCGACTGGCTGCCACTGCCACCGCTCGTAGTGATCACGTCGTGCTCGTATACACATCACAGTCGTCCACGTCAACCCGGCGTCTGCGCTACGTACGGCGCGGAGCGCGCACTCGCCGCCGGGAACACTCGTTGATGCAGCCCTTGTAACGCACGCTGATGAACTGGCACTCTGGCACGCAGCTCGCATTCATCGGGACTATATCTTTCCGCGCGCAGGTCAGCTGGCCGTTGTCTAAAGAGACGAGCGGCTGCATCGCGCGTAGGATGCGGTCTAGCGACGTCGGTATGTGCACTTACTAGTCTACTTATGACCATCAGGACGTTTGACTATGCCCCGTATGGCCGTCTTGCTAGGCCCCCATTGAACGCCCTACCATACCCGTTTCGGACGTCTGAGAAGCCCGCTTCATTCACCAAAAGACAATAAGGTCAGGGTGCTTCGCGTTGTCGGCCTATTACGCACAGGGACCTGCCAGCGAATTCAGCGAGCTTGAATGGTGCCCGGAACAAGCTCCTTCACTCCCAAGGGACTTGAATACATACATTGTTCCGAGTGTGAGCTCTGATCCTGTATGCGCATACCTCTTGATCCTGGGCTTCTACCTGACATTAACCGTATACAGATAGCGACTTCTGGCTGGTTTCTAGCTGTCTTCCCTCGTTCTTCTGCGCACTTCGTAATGTCCCCGTCCTCCCCTTTTCTCAGCTACTTATTTGTCCCCTTTACAGCTACTTTCTCTCGCCGATAATGACGATAGGGGGGAGGTCAACCGGTCACGGTTGGTTTTGGGTCACGGTTCTCCTACACGTAATCTCTCATCTCTCTGAACAGCCGCTCTTGTGGATTGTATACACGTTCCAGCAGTTTGGAAGCGACGTTACCCGCCCGCCCGCAAGACACGGTATCAGCCCTCGGCAGCGTCGGCTAACACGACGGGTGAATTTCCTACTACCAAAGCTTCGCTTCAACTGACTGGGCCTCCTTACCACGGTGGACCCTTTCTTCTCGACTGAGATATTTTCTAGAAAGCCAGCCTCGACCACGCGACTGTGAGCTCGTGATATCGCCTCCCTCCTTTTTTCCTGCCGTCGTCACACCCAGACCCCTTCCTCACATTGCGTCAGGCTGTGCCTCGCCGCTGCTCTCCGTCGTCCACGCGTGCCTCCTTCCTCTCCGTGTGCCCCCATCCTCGGCACGTCGTGCCTCGAGAGTTTCCCGAGTATATGTGTTTACGCGTACCCATCTGACCCCCACCGCGTACTGCTCAGGAACCCGTCCCATGCTTGGACTTCCGTCTCCCGACTGGACTGACCCCGGTTCTTCATCAGCGTACACACATCGAACGGAGACAACACAACATTCAGCGTACTCGCTTGGGATCAGACTCGCCGGCAGCCATCGATAGGTCGGGATAGGCATTCATGGACCCCGCGATGAATGGTGTACCAGGCCGCCACAGCTGTCCGTGGAAGGTGTGTTGAGTTGCACGGTCTGTTTTGCTCACCCATCGTAAGCATCGCGCCAGCGCGAGATCAGGCCATAGGACGGGCTTCTCACTGACGGCAGGATAGCCATCCTACTTGGACACAGCCTTCTTACGACCAGGACACAGCTGCTTATAAGGACCCAAGTCAAGGTCCGACCGCTCCTCACCGCCTTCCTTCCTCACCGACTGGTTGGCGCCCGGCGTCTCCAAAAGGCGCCTGCGGTTTGAGCAAATGTGGCTGTCGGCCTTTATATCTGCTGATCCTTGTTCCAGGAAAGAACACGACAGACACAGCTGTTCAGCCTCCGTCGGTCATCCCTACGCTCCCTTAGGGGTCTTCCCGCGATATAATTGCTCCCCTCTCGCGATACGATGGGCTTCCGACGTCCGCCCTACCTTCCGCCCTTATCCGATGCCTGTTCTCGTCAACAAGCAAAGGAGCTCTACATCCGGGCGCTCCCTTGTCTCGAACTCTTTGGGGAGAGTTCACACGCTATCTAGGGCTACTTCGAATGGCACCGAAGGCAGCCTTCGTTCGCTTGGGCAACCTTTAAGTTTTCGGAACCGAAAACGAACATGGTCGACCCCGTGATCGTGGGATGTTGATGTTCGACTTCACGGTAACTTCAACTTGTGCTCGAAATCTGCGATTGTTCTTGGGCCTTTCCCCTCGTCCTCAATTCCTCGTTATCGCCTCCTTGCTGGCATGATGTCCATCATCGCCAACTGCACCTTTGCCACCTCACGTCATACGCCAGTCTCATAATCGTGATAGTCAACGCGGGCGCCGGCGAGCAACTCTCGGCTGCCACGCCCCCAACTGCAACTTCCATTCCGCACTATCTGTCGCCGGTCGGTATCGACGCGCTCGCAGTCGCCTCGTTGCCCTCAAGCGCAGGGCTCAATCGTCGTCGGCGCATCGGCCTCACTGTTGTTGAGGGCATTTTCATCAGGCGTCGAGGGCATTATTGGGCATTATCATCAATGGTCCAACGCATCGTCATCCACCTCGAAAGTAAGGATCGACACCCTGTCTAGCGCCTCATGCATCATTTCACAGAACATCCGCGACAACGTCGGTCTCAGCGAGCTCGAACCGCCCCCTCTCGCTAGGTTATAGAGTACGATTTCCTCGCCCCCTGCGCGCGCAAGGAGGCAGGACAGTGCTCTGCGCCTGACGTCGTCGACGAGCTCGAGATGAACTCCAAACCTTGCGTATGCTGCTCCCGGCCGAGGCGACTTCTTCGCTAGCGTCCGTCGAGATGAACCTCTCCCCAAAGCTCGCAGGCCTACTGGCTTTCGTCACCTCGCTGTAATGCCCAGCCCGAGCTGCCTATCAGGCTGTATTGTTAGGCGTTACCGCGCCGGTCGGCGATAGGTATGGGATCTCCTGCGTCAGCTACGGAATATATGCGTCAAACATGGGGATCTACGCGCCAAGTACGGAATATGTGCGTCAAGTTGGGGTATCTTGGGGTAGGATTAGCGCATACGGAGCGCATACAACCCCGCACCTTGCGCACTTTGCATACAGCCATTCACCGGCATCTCACCTCACCTCGCATGAGGAACTTGCGAACATTGGGGCGGAGGGGCTGCGGGGCTCCTTACCTGCTCTTCGGCGGCGTGTTTCGTGGCGACCAGCTCGCGGTTAGCACCTCGCTGGGCTGCGCTCACCGTCCTCGAAGTTGCTGGACTCGTCCTGGCTACGCTCGTCGCTCTCGCTCTGCGCGCCGGAAGGTTTTTGCTGTCGCTCGCACCAAAAGATATTTCGTTTCGTCCCAGAACTGTATTCTATCTAATACAACAGTTCAAACCCATGAAGCCGGTCCATACAATAAAGCATTCGATGATTCTGAAGTGCGAGGGGTGCGAGATCGGGTGAGGGTTCGAGCTCGAGTGTGAGCCAGTAGAGGGGGATGGTATACGTATGGGCCCGGCCAATGTCACCAGGGGATAAGGGCAAGAATAACGTACGCTGCCTATAACGTATGCCCGCCATGGCTGCGAATAAGTAGGATAGTCATAAAAATTCGTGCGCGACATGGTATGGGGGTGGTCGTGTGCCCGCGAGCGAGCAGAGCGACGCACAGTGCATTATGGCAAGCCAGGCGGGTCGGCGGGACGCCCGCGAGGTGCGCGTAGTCCCGAGGGGCCGCGGCACCTGGGCGGGTGCGCGAATGGGGGGATAGGAGTGCTGGTGCGGGTATGGGCGACAGCGGGTAACGAGTCACGGAGAGGGAATGGAGCCTTTCGTGGACGGGCGTCCACGTCCGCGCGATGTTATACGTCCGTTTTTGGGTGCGAGCTCGGTGTGGTGGGTGGTGGTGGTAGACTTCTCTTCCTCTGCTTTCCCTCTTCATGTCCTAGCGCGGCGCGACTCGCTCACTCCTGCCGGTTGAATTCGGCTTGGGTGAGGTCGAGCGTGAACTGGTTGCGCTGGTTCTTCGGCGGCTGAATGAGCTTTACGCTCGGCTTCTTGACCGCGGTCGAGATGGATGGGAATGGCCGCAATGGACGCGACGTGCCGAACGAGCTGTTGCGTTTCGGCGTCGGGCGACCAGAGGGGAGCGCGCCCTGTGACGGCGGGGCGGCGAGGGGAGAGGACACGAGCGGGCGGGAGATGGTCATGGTGGCTGAGGGCGCGTTAGCTGAGTGAGCAGCAGGACCAGGCCGACCGCGACCTACCCATTGTATTGTACGGACTGCGCGGAGACGAAAGGCGGGGAAGTTGGCGGGGGCGGGGGGTCGAGACGGCGGTGACGGAGAGGAATGAGCGACCGTTTATAAACGATTGGGGGAGGTTGAGCAACTTGGCTTTGGGGAAGTTACTGCTGGGGTTCGGCAACTCGGCGCGCGCCCGATCCAAGGGGCGGCAAGTCCCGGGTCGGTCATTACGCGCCACTCATGACGCGCGGGACACCGACCGGGCGCGACGTTGTTCGTCCGGGCGAGGCTGAAGGCATGCAGCCTTCCGTAGGCGCCCGCCACTCTACTCATCAATTCCATAGAATACCGAACTTGAGTCTGTCGGCTGACCGCAGGGAACCGCTCGACTCTCGTGGCAGCTTTCCTGCTGACCCCATTGTCTCACAATCACGTTGCGCATGGTTGATGTTCGGAATTGCTGCTCTGCTTGACCGTGCGGTCTTGGTCTGAGAGGACTTTCATTTGTCTGCACTTGCGCTACGGTGTACACGATAGGCATGGATGAGGTAGACATGATGGTGATCGGCATGTTCAACATTGGGAGCATCAGCGTCTGCATGGCTCAGTTGGTTAGAGCGCCGGTCTCATACTTACGTATGAACTTGACGTCGTCGAGTGTAATCCGGAGATCGCCAGTTCGATCCTGGCTGCGGACACTGCCAATTCACCAGATTTTTTGTGCGCCCTGTCCATCTAGAAGCCCCTTCACTTCAGAACTCCTCACTGCGTCCTGGACAGTAGGTACCGTCGAATCGGACGATCTGACTGTTAGTTATACTTTCTTTATTCTTTTCAGTTACAAGGACATTCGGAACGTTTGATAAGTACATGAACGATAAGCACCTTACGTTTGGGTGCGCAAGGGAGGCAGCATGGTGTACATGGAGGGTGCATGCCTGAGGTAGTCCGATGGCAATTAGTGATTCGATAGATAATGAATCGATGAGCGCGAACGAAGCGCGCTGGAGGGCGTCAGCAGCACGGAAGCAGCAGCGAAGACTGACGATGGGCAGCGGGCGTCGGGCGACACGACGGGGGTGCGGCGGGCTGGCTAGCGCTGTGCAGCGGGCCGCTCTAGTGTTACAGATGATGCAACGAGGCATGCGTGATGCGAGGGATTGATGCAGGCTGAGGCAGGGCGCTGCGCCACCGCCGAGGGTGGGTGGCGCGCGCACGAGCGAGCGAGCAAGCGGGGTGCGGTGGGGGCCGACGGAGTGGGTGACCAACACGGGGGAACAAGGAGACCTGCCGGGGCGCGGCATACCGCGGAGGGCTACTGGACGTCGGTGAGCAGGTTGCGCTCGAGGATGTACTTCCCCTCTTTGTACTTCTGCGACGCTTCGAAGGCCCGTTCCTGGATGGATGTAGGGGCGGAGGTCAGTAAGGGCTCGGGCATAGGCTGCAGGAGAACGCACATATTTCCAGCCGAGTACCTGATTGCACTTGACGCAGTAGATGTCGCGCACGGTGTGCGTCCCGGTCGTCATCGCGCGGTCGCAAGATTCGCCCTCCTTGACGTTTACGCTAAGCGACAAGTCAGCCGAGCCCCCAGATCGACAAGCAAAAGCCCACTCACACAACATCAAAGAGGTACGCACGCCCATGTTGGCCGTTGAACGCCTGCGCCGGGGATCGTCAGCACGGCCCTATGGCGACGGTGGCGCGGGATCGGACTCACCCTGGAGCGCATAGCATGGATAGTGGCGAGATGCGTCTTACATGTCGAGCAGCCATAGATGCGCTCTCCAGCAAGGTAGCGGCGATATCGCATGCCCATCGTGGCGCAGATACGTGCTACGGGCAGGGGATGGAATGAAGCGGAAGGGCGAGAGCAGACGCAGGCGGGGGCCTTTATATGGCCGTCCGATGTGGTTCGCGGCCGGCCGGCAATTTCCAATTTCCGCGCTCGGGCTCTTGCCTCCTGCCATCACAGCGGCACTTTCAGCCGCCAGCCAGCTGCGCTCGTCCCTCTCTCGATATTGTCGCGGGAAAGAGCCTGCCTCTCGCACGATGGCCTTGGCGCGCGAAATTGCTGTCTAGCTAGCGGACTGCGCATTTGTGCGCCGCTCTATCGCCACTGAATGTGGCACGTCGAGTGGTCTGTCGCCGCTGAATGTGGCCAGACGGCCCTCTGTGTGATACGGCGGCGCTCGATGTGGCCCGGCGCGTGCTACACCTTACACGGTACTACGAACAGACAAATAGTGGCTATCGTAACTGATCCTCAAAGCCAGAATCGCCAAATAGCGTGCCGATCTATGCAACATCTGTCGTCATATCGGAGGTAGCGCGCGAGGCGAGACTCAAGAGTGCAAAGTTTACTAGACTACATGAGCGAGTGGTAAGTGCGCACGACGTGTAAGGGCGTGTTCCCCGCAGGGCGTCCGCTTAACGCTGAGCTTGGTGGCATAGAGCGCGGCAATACTATGGATGTCAGACTGCTACGTTGGTGTGAGCACGCACATCTGACTGTCATGAAGACAACGCACCCAGGTAAACGATGACCACGAGACCCCGAACTCGACATGCTCGAAGTTTCCTCGCCGGCGGAGAGACGGAGGAGAACAAGGCACATGGCATCCTCCTTGCGAAGACGCAGCGTATTGTTTGCGGAATACTTGTAATCAGAAGTACCCGTCGAACGCGCCGTACTCAACCCCGCCCTCCGAATCGCTCTTGTCATCCCAGTCCGAGTCCGAGCCATACTCGCGCGACTCGTATAGAAGCATCTCGCTGAGGGTCCTAGCTGTAACGGACATATTGTGAGCAATCTCGACATACCATAACACAAAAGGGGGGTGTAGATGCGTAACGATGAGAAAAGAGGCAAACTCACGTTCTCCCACCACAATGGGCGGTCCAGCTAGCTCAAACGAATCATGCACGCCATACAGCTCGACCCTCTCCATCAGCTCCGGCAGCAGCTCCTCCCAAATCCTTTCCGACTTGAGCGGCGTCTCGATCCAGAACTGCCGCAGCGGTGGCTCCTCCCTCACGAACGCCGGTATAAGGTGCGTCAGGACGTGCTGCTCGTAAAAGTCCGGGCTCGCGAACTTGAGGACCTGCAGGTGCGATAGCCGGCCGGAGCGCCGCAGCCTGCAGAGCGTCTCGAGGAGCGCGCGCCCGCGGTGGCGGTCCGCGACCTCGATGACCTGCCAGTCGTCGCCGAGGCGGAGCTGGAGGTATTGTAGACGCGGGGTGTAGGCGAGGAGGGCCTCCAGGTCGGCTGTTGAGGGGTGCGGGGAGGAGGTCAGGAGCTCCAGGTGCGTCACGCTGCATTGCGAGCGCTCGAAGAAGTTGAGGAGGGACTTGAGCTCCTTGCCTTTGAAGGGAGAGAAGGTGAAGTGCGTGATGGAGGGCGCGGTGAGGGCGTTGAGGAAGGGGGCGGCGTTGTTCAAATCTCCGACCTCGATAGCGAGGTGGGTGCCGTGGAAGACGCAGGTTTTCGTCGTGGCTGGCGGCGTTAGGTACCATCCGCTCCTCTTTGGATTGTCGCGAAGTGCGAATTTTTGCAGGGAGGTGCATTGGTTGAGGGTGTCCACACAGAGTTCGGCGGCGATGTGAGGGTTGACAGAGAGCTCGGTGAGCTGCTGCCAGGGAAGGGAGAAGGGCAGCTTTGTGATGGCTTTACCCATGCGATTGTATAATCCCAGCGAACGTAGCGCCGGGGCATTCCCGAATAAGCATGGGTTATCGGAGGCATTCGCGTCGTCCCACCAGCTTCTCTGTTGCCCTTGTTCGAAACTGTAATATGGCATGGACGAGCCGGTGTTGGGGAGTGACAGATTCAGCTTCTCGAGCTGGGGGAGTGGTAGACGCGTGCCGATGTGCTCGATGACGTGCCATGAGGGATAGGACAGGTCCAGCTCTTGCCAACGTGTGGAGTGTGTGCGAAGGGAGGCGAGGGCCTCTGGGCAAGGGGGTGCATTGGTGCGGTCGAGAATGTTGCACATGCGCAAGCGAAGGTGCGCGTACGGCAGTCTGGCCACACCACCGTCGACACCGACGTATTTTCGAGGCATTGCCTGGTTCGCCAGGTCGAACTCGATCAGCGGTTGCATCTTGGGCGTGCGAGTAGCGACATCGCGCCACCAGGAACAGACGTATGGTGGTGCAAAGTAGGTGGGACGCAGGAACGTCGGGAAGGGTGGATGACCACTGAACTTGAGAGTGGTTGGGAAGGGGAAAATGTGGAGGAATATCTCGGAGAGCAGTTCGTCTGGGAGGCGCCGAATGGGCGAGAGCAGATACGACGAACGGCGCTCAATGTCGCGTTCGGCTTTCTCGCGCATGGATTGCAGATCCGCAAGGCGTTGCTGGGCTTTGATTTCCTCCGCCTGAATTTGTTTGACATAGTCCTTGAGCATGCGCGTCTCGTCTTCGAGCGTAGCGCTTTCGCTAGGCGAAGGATGGTTGCCGGCGCGGAGGGAGGGCAACCATGCGTGGTCGTCAAACTGCAGCGGCCTGACGGTCGTCTGCCCGCACTGGGTGCAGTTGCTGATGCAGCCCGTGGTGGGGGACATGGTCGCGGAGGCAGAGTGAGACCGTCGATCAGGACGGACGGACGGTGACGACACGAGTCCGGAGATCGGGCCGGGGCCGGCGCGTTCTTTGTCTGTGTGTGGCACGGACGTTGGCTGTGTGATCGCGTGGCCGGGCGCCTTGTTCGCCATTTGTTTTCTCGAACCCGACGAGCCGGTAATCGCGCCCTCCCAGTGAGCACGACCGCGCACGGACACCGCCCCCGCATTCGATGAGCCATCTGAAGCGCAAGGCAGACGGCCCGCTCCTCCCCCTGCGCGCCCCGAAGCAGCCCAGAACCGCCTTCCTCGGCTACGACGGCGCCAACGCGGGGCCCTCCAACCTCATGGGTGTCCTCTCCAAGTGGATGGCGTCCGTCGGCGAGATCATGGAGTCGGGGCTGAACGCCGTCCGAGGTGCGCGAGCGGCACGCGCAGGGCGCGTCATCACATACTAACCTGCTTCGCGACAGACCTGTCTCTCCTGCCCCCCGAGGAATCACAGCCTGTTCGGCAGGCAAATGGCGACGCGCGCGTGCCACAGGCGAATGGGCATGCGACGCGCCCCTCCGCTCCCGGCCCCTCGCGCCAAGCGGCACCAACACGTCCTGTACAAATACCCCCGCCTCCCTGCGCGCCGCCTAAATCCCTCAGGCCGCTTCCTGCCTCTTCCTCCCAACGCGACGCCGCCCGCATGCCACCACCACCCGTCCCAAACGGTCTCCGGCCCTCTACCTCTCTGCCATCTTCTTCCTCTGGCTCATCCTCTACCTCCTCGAGCCTCAGCAGCAACCCAGCCCCTGCGGACGTGCGCATTGCGAAAGCGCTCGAGGAGAGGAGGAGAAGGAATGAGCTGGAGAAGCAGGGTGTTGCACGCTTGTATGAGGATAGACCACACATATATGCGAAACAAGTAATTGTATCCATTCCCGCATTGCGCCCTAAAAACTGACCCCGCGCCTTAGCACAAGCAGCGCGTAAGGGAGGCCACACAACTCGATTTTGAGAAGACGAGGAAAGAGATCTTCGACATCAAGCGGAGGTCCGGTGCGTGAAGTTGCAGTTCTTGAAGCGAATAGCAGGTCTGATCGGCAGATAGGGTACAGCTCAAGCGAAGAGGAGTTCAAGAAATACCTTGACTATAAGGAAGCAGTCAATCGCATATACAATCGTGACCTGCTTGCGCGTACGTGGCACCAGCGTACCACTTGATCTCGGTGTTTACCCATTTCTCAGCTTCACCCTCGGTACCCAATCTCAGAGCTTACTACGCCAAGGACGAGGCAAGAAGACGCTCAGATACATTCTCTGTATGTGGCTTCTCGTGCCACATATGCGTAACCAACTTATTCCTCCTGCAGGAAGACTTCCTCCGCCGCGAACTCCAACGTGCCCGTGCGGCCCTCGCCGAGTGCGTATGCCCCTTCCTTCCCTTTCCCCTCACTAACTCCCACCCAGACCCAAACCCATCCCCTTCACCCCCTCCTACGAACAACAAGAGCGCTGGAAGCGCGAGCGCGACGAGCGCATCAACGCCCGCCTCCGCCCCAAGCGCCCGCCCCTCCCCGCCGCGCTCCCGCCCGAGGACGAGGCGCTCGTCGACCAGCTGCTCCGCAAGCGCGGCGTCGTCGCCAAGTTCGCCAGGGAGCAGGTCAGCGACACGGATCTCTCGCGCCTGCGCCCGGGGCAGTGGCTGAACGACGAGGTGATCAACTTTTATGGGGCGATGATCTTGGGGAGGGCGGAGGCGGCGAGTAAGGGGAAGGAGAAGGAGAATGAGAGAAGGGAGGGGAAGGGGAAGCGGCCGTTGGATATTCATTATTTCAACTCGTTCTTTTGGAGCAAGTTGGTGAATGAGGGGTATGAGAAGGGGCGGTTGGCGAGGTGGACGAAGAAGGTCAGCAATTCGGGTTCGCTACTGCATATCTGGCTGACGATGTCTCTAGATCGACATCTTCTCCAAAGATGCTATCATCTTGCCCGTCAACCACTCGAATACGCATTGGACGAGCGCGGCGATCAACTTCAGGAAAAAGCGCATCGAGTACTACGATTCGCTGGGGTCGAAGAGTCCGATGGTATATAGGGTATGCTGACTATGCTCGCAAGTGCAGTATCGTCAAGGCTAACGCTTGTATCCCAGCACCTCCGCGCCTACCTAGACGCCGAGTCGCGGAATAAGAAGAAAAAGCCATTCGACTTTACCGGGTGGGAGGACTACTTTGATGAGGTGCGTCTCATCTCCCAATATTGACCTCCCTTCCTTACCTTCCTCGCGCCTTTCCCTCTCCTCGCATCCTCGTTTGCATGCAACTCAACCTAACCCCCACCCCAGAACGCCCCCCAACAAGAGAATGCGTTTGACTGCGGCGTGTTCTCATGCCAGTTCATGGAGGCCATCTCGCGCGGCGAAGAGACGTTCAACTTCGAGCAGAAGAACATGCCGTACTTGCGCCGGCGGATGGTGTGGGAGATTGGGAATGGGAGGTTTAAGGATGATCATTGAGGGGGGTGGTTCAGGTTAGCCTGGGGGGCGGGATGTTCTCGCTCAGCCTTCCTGGTGCTTGTAACGCGAGAGGTCAAATGCTTGATCTCTCGGTCGTGTTCTTGTCTCGATATCCTTTACTACTTGACGTCTTGGCCTTGCCAGTAATCCACACACGCACGCGAGTTCGGGGCAGGGCACACTGGGTACGGAGGCGCACGAAAGACCATGTATTACCGGCGAAACCACCATACGATGATGAAGAACCAGAACACGATGATGAGGAAGACAATGTACCACAGCCAGCGGCAGCCCTGGCGCTCTGCCATGTTGTTCATGCGCCGGAAGGTACCTGAGAGGATGCCGGAGGTCTCTGCGAAGGCGTCGTTCTGCAAGAACAGTGATTAGACAGGACTCAGGGAGGAGGTATCGCGCGGCGCACCATTTCGCTGAGCTGTATGGTAGACTCCTTGACTTCCTTTCCTATGCCTACTGTGATCTGGAAGGAAAAAGCCAAAGTCAGAATAGGCAAGTAACGCTGCAAACCACCATACGCACATTCTTCAGCATCTGCACCTTCGCGCTCAGACCCTCCAAGTGTTCGTCATTCTGCCCCTCCAGGTCGTCTGCGTAGCGATATCCCGCGGGACTGTGGTCACTACCGAAAGGTGAAGAACGACCGGATGCCGGTGGGGTCACGCCGAGCAGGGCAGACCGGTCGCGTAGTGTGGGTGCCGCGCGCACACTGTGGACACCTTGTCTTAGTCACAGGCCTGTCTTTATGATGACGCTCTACTCACCGTTGTGTCATGGCTTTGGGTATGGGGAGGGGAAAGGCAGCGACCGGCGCTCAACGTGAAGTTCAAGACATGCAATGCACTCTGACGTGTTCGCGGACGGGAGGGACGATCGCGTGGCTGTGCTGCCTGTCAATGACATGCCGGTCTCCGTTGGGCAAGCTCCAAGTTGAACTTCACGACCTCGCTACCATTGTACCAAAGTCTCCCGCGCACTCAGTCCAGCTGGGTCCTGTTCTATTTACTACGTACGAAAGGAATAAGGATACATTCTCGAAAATAGCCATGCGACTCGCGGTCGAGGACGAAAGATGGTTGGCTTGCGAGTCCACACGCTTCAAAAGGAATGTTATGTACACCTGGATCTACAGATGCCGCGAAACGAACGGGTACCGGGTCCTCCGAGTCTCTGGGTTCCTCTCCACAAAACGGAATGCGGCTGGCCCCTGCCTGTCATTCAGATCAACAGCGCAAATATATGGTATAGGTAAGATAGATACGCGGGGCGGTAGCCTTAGGTGCGGTGGTGGTGCTGGCGCGAGAGCTAGTAATACGACGTGGGCGCGGGCGCGATTCTCGAGTCCGTAGGTGCGGTGCGATAGGGAGGACAGTATAATCAGTACAAGTTTGCGAGTGTGGATGGGGCGTGTGCGTGGCGGGGGTCGTGCAGTCATTTAGTCGATGCTCATGCGGTTCGGGTTTAGGCTTGCTGCCCGCCCGTGGCTCTTGGACACGCCACGGACATGGTACGTGTTGTTTCGACGGGCTACTGTAAGAGGCGTCAGCGTAGCTTCGCGAGACGTCGGACATTTGGACTTACATGCGTCCTTCAACCCCCGACCGAAGTTCTGCATAACCACAATGGACATGGCAAAGGTGAACACGAGCAATATGATCGCACCCCCGGCTGCATATTCATGTCAGCAAAAGTCAGGGATGCACATGGAAACAACGAACAGAAGATGACTAGTGACTTCCAGATGTTCGCAAACTGGTCATCCATGTACATGAAGACCTTCGTGAGCTGCGCAACGTGAGTACTTCGATTCCGGTGACGAGCTTGGCAACGTACCTTATACACGAAGTACACCATCGCTCCCACGCAGCCGGACATGAAAGTAGCCATCATCCACTTGTTCTCGTGTCGTGCTGCCAAGTGCCCCTCCACCAAGAGCAGGACCGACAGTGGCAAGGCCGCGCAAGTCACATAGTACTCCCAGTCGTCCTTTGACAGCACTAGCCAGATGAACTGCACCGAGAAGCCCGCCCAGAAGAACACGTCGAACTTGACCAGGCACTCGTAAATCTGGAAGTTCGCGTACATCTTCTTGATTCGCCGGTCCGCGCCCAGGAACTTGTACACCTTCCAGCCAAATTCGTGATAGATCTTCCATCCCAGCAAGATGTACGCGAGCTCGGCAACGGCGACGACAATGGGGATAATGGTCGTGAGGACGCTCACGGAAACATTGATGAGGCCGTCGCTGTCGTCGCTGCTGAGGATGGTTTGTCGAATTTCGGCGATTTGGATAACGGAGTAGATGAGGAGGGCAAGGTTGAAACCACTGATGAACTGTTAGGGAGACTCTATGTGGCGGTGGTGGGAACGCACGTGAGGAAGAGGAATTGCAGCGTATTCCGCGCATACACAGCGTCGATAGCCATTGCGAACTGGAAGACGCTGGTGCATGTCAGTAGATAATTTGCTGGACGTATAGGTGAGGACGCACTGTGCCATGGCGAATATGCTGAGGTACACCGGCATCTTCTTCGAGGCAGCGCTTGATGAGTAGGTGAGGTCCAGCCGAGTATACAGCTCGCCCTCTATCACCAAGTCGACTATCGTCTCGAGGAGTACAGTGAGCAAGTACAGTCGACACGCCAACGATTCTGGGATAAGCTACGCGACTGATGAGCGAGGTCCGCATATGAGCCCACACGACAACGCACCTTCCGCCAGAACGGCTGCGTATCCTTCATGCCCGTTGTTATTGGCGGATACGCGCCTATCGTCGAGTGGTCGTGCGTGTCGTCCGACATCGCCTTGGTGCCCTCGGCGATCGTGACTTTCTGCCCCAGCGGGAACGATGGCCCTCTCCGATGGTCGGGGCCCCGCGACTCCATGGCGGGTGCGGTGACGGCGAAGGTTTGGTGGTTGGCGTTGGCGGCATATGGCCTGGAGTACTCGTCAATGAGGTCGTCGAAGCCGACCTTGACGTCGTCCTGCGAGTGCGACGAGTAGTTGATGTGATGGGTGTTCGGGTAGGCGTCGTAGCCGTAGGGCGCGGACATTGTTGGCGCTGATTCCGACCAGGAGTCGGCCTGCGAGGGAGGGCTAAATGATCGTGGGGCGCAAGAGCGAGCAGGGAAAGGAGCGGAGAGGCAGGCGGGACTGGGTCAATGGAGTTCAGGAAAAGCGGGGAGGACTTCATTTACCGGTTTCAGCGGCTTCCGAATTCGTCAACGTAGTGATGCGCCCACACGCCTTCGTCGGTGTCCGAGGTATGCGCTCGACTGCTTGCGAGGTCTCAGAAATAAGCGGAAGAACGGCAGGAAAGTGCGAAGGGAGAAGGGACGTAAAGACCGGTGGGGGAGAGCGTCAACGCGTGCGCTATCGCCACCCAACTCGAACTTTGATCTGGACTGCTGCGGCGGCTCTTTCCACGCGCTTTCGGCGTCGTCACCATGGACAGTTGCATTTGGCTGATCATCGTCTACAGAGGCTATGTCTACTATCCCATGTCCATCCACCAAGGCGGCGCGCGCGCGGCCTGATAATTCGCCCGCCGTGCCACTCCCATGCCACCACCATCCGGGGCTAGAGGAAGCCCGCCTTACAGCAGACGAAGCTTCCCCGTGACCTGGTTGACGAGTCGTGCGGGCCCTGCGGTACCAGGATCAGTCGAGCCTCGGGAGATGAGACGAGGAAGCGTACCGATGATGCCCAGCACGGTCCTCGACCCGGCGGCGATTTGTGTCCGGCCTCTACCAAGTGCATTAGCTAACCCCACGCCAAGCAGGTCAGAAATATCCTCACGCATCCTGGATGGAGCGCGCGCATAGGTTCAGGCTCTGCGCCTGCGCCTGCAGAGTCAACAGCTCCTCCTCGTCCGAGCAACGCAAGGCAATCTTTGTTTGTCTGCGGCCGTTAGCAGGAGTAGCGAGCTGGCGAGCTCTACTTACCCTGCGCGTTCCCATTGCCTTAGAAGCTGTGATGCAAAGTTGGTGGCCATTAGCTAACGCTTCTAATGCACGCACCAATGGGTTGGCCGAAGCCAAAGTCTTGTAGCAAGCTAGCGTCGCATGTCTGCCACGGCCATGATCACTCCGTTCTCTGCTACAGGTAGGAGCAACACGTACGAACACCTATCACGGGTCTCCGTCAGTAGAGCCTTGCGAACTTCGATGGAAGGCCAACGTACTGAGCCGCAATTTTGCCGGAGCTCATTCCGAGGTCCTGGCGCACCACAAGCACCTGAGAAAGCGATGCATGAGGGCATGGGAGGCAGTTCATTGCGCGAGGAAATATACCATTTTGCACTGATCACCGGGGTCAACCTTTACAGAGGCGAGGTCCCCATCAGCGAATTCCTCGTCGCTGTCACTGTCGCTCTCATCTTCACTGGTGGGCTCTTTCCGTGGATTTTGGCAAGGTGCCTCCGCCGCGACGCGAGCGAGTTGTCGACGTGCGCTTTCAGCACCAACCCAGTAGCCCGCAGAAAGTGAGGCGGCGGCCAGCGCCACACAAGTACCTATTGTTGCGAGAGCTATGCAAGATAAATAACCCAAGTTCTTGAATGGAGGGAAGAGACTCACATGGGGTAGAGGAGATAGCCATAGTCCAATACACGTCGTGGTAGTCGACAGACAAATGTCGCCGCCATCGTTGGCGGTCACCGGATGCACGGTCCGATCGCCGAGTTCGAGCCGAAGTAAGCGCCCTTTCGACGTTGACCGTCATTGTCAACACTCTCTAAGGCGCCGTGATCATGTCCAAGTCCGAGAACGACGAGCTGCTCAACTCCCTGGTATGTCCTCGCAGTCACACACAGAATCACCATACCCAATGGAACAGAGCTCGCGCATATTCTCCTTGCTGGTCGATGATCTCGTCATGGACGCCGCCCTCCAGGCTCACCGCGACGCCGCGAAGAGCAGGGCGGTGTGCGTGAATTGTGGTACCTGGTACGTCGCATTCCCCTCTACATCGTGCACCTCATCTAACGCCCCTCTAGCTGTAGCGCCGGTGAACTACATTTGCTTCCGTGCACGATCATGCCCCCGCTGACCATGACGTTCCCCCACCCCTGCTAGTACGCACGCCTGGGCAGTCTGGATCGGCCTCCCCATGCAAGGCGTCCATGCTCTCGCGCTCAGGGACCCCCTCCATGTCTGACAGCCGAGGGGGAAACGGCACGCTGGGCAAGGAAGGTGTGCTATACCTGGAGTGCGTGAACTGCCAGCGACAGGTGTGTTTGTATGTTGTGTGTATCATGGACTCGCTAACATATGAGATTAGATCGCCTCGAGTAGGTATGCGCCGCATCTCAGCTCGTGTATGGGCCTCAGCTCGTCGAGGCGGGCAGCGGTCCGCGGGTCCGCGAAAGCGAAGTAAGTGGCACATGTACTTCACGCGTCGCGCGCCACTCATGCAGGTTCAGGCAATCGGCAGAGCGGGAACGCTCGCTCTCGCCAGGGTCAGACGCTGCTGCATTGTCGGAGGACAGCCAGCCGCTGAAGAACAAAGCAAAGTCGAAGAGCAAGAAGAAAGGCAAGTGCGGATCTCATTTATGACGGCTTGCCTCTAATTCCTATCTACAGATGAAGCCGAGTTCAGCCTAAAGCGCAAGCGTGTAAGTCGCACTTTGCTTCTATACATACCCATGCTCACAAGTCTCATCAGCCGACCTCACCCCAACCATCCCCCAAGAAGCCCAAACCAAAGCCCGCTGCATCTTCTGCAACCAACTCTCCCCGCTTCAAGAACCCTACTATCCCCCCACCGGTGAGCCGCCCCGCTTCTTCTGCGCGCCTAGGCCCTCACTCACGCCGCCCTTCCACTCAACCCGTCCCCTTCGCTTCCCCCGCCCAGCAATCCCACGCTTTTAAGAAATCACAATCCAAAGTCCCGTCCAAGCTCCGCGAGTCGTCCACCGTGTCCTTCGAGCGATCGTCGTCGCCCGAGACCTCCTTGGGCTCGTTCAGGAGCCCGCCAATGGCACATCAGACGGTCGGCGGGACGTGGGGTGCGGCGGTGAATGGGGGTAAGGGGCCGGGGAATGCGGGTAAGCTGGCAGGGAACGGGGGTAGGGTCGCGGCGAACGGTAGTAAGATGGCGGCGAGTGGGAAGTTGGCTCCGGGGACGAAGGCGGGAGCTGCGGGGGGCAGGCCAGCGGGCTCAGGACCGCCAAAGGCGGCGGGGACGGGGCCGCCGAAGAGGATGAATGCGACGCAGGTGAGGCAGCAGGTGCCGGTGCCGGTGCCAGTACCCATGCCCGCGCCCGCGCCTAAACCGCACTTCGCATTTGGTGAGTCATTGCTACCATCTGAGAAGGTCAATGTATGTGTGGCTCATGGTGATTTCCCGCAGATGAGGACGAAGGGGACGAGACGGGCTCGTCGACAGACTCGAGCAGCAGTTCGTGATAGTGCCACTGGGTGCACACGATGCTGCTCAGTCGAGCATCTTGGACGACCCGTCACTCCTTTGTGGAAGGACATCGGACAATCTAGTACGGAGATCTTCACCAGGTCATCGAGGACTGGACTATTGAACAAAGCTATCCGCTATCTATTCATCGCATCTCTGTACTGTTCTGTATTATATCTATTCGAAGCATTGTTCTCGCGCATCTCACCTTGACGGCAAGTTGCGGACTCTGGTTGGCACTGAGCTGTACTCAAGGTGTCGTTCCGACGAGGGCATGGAATAGCAGCATAGTGGCAAGAGGATTGGCCAAGCTGATGATACAAGGGGGAAAGACATAACAAGCTACAAGTACATGTGAAGTTCCGTGAAGTCCACTGTGAAGGGGGCGTCCTCCCAGCTTGGCCAAGAGCCCGACGCGTTGACTAGCAGACTACGCTGTCGGCGAAGAGCCTGGTTCGGCGTCGTAACGTCCAAGCTTTGCGTTACCAGTGGTCAGGATGCTGGTCGTCGGAAAGCCAGCAATATTGACCAAGGACCGAGACGGTCCTAGGGGAGCCTTTCCCGCCCTCTGACCAGAGGCAACACCGACCCTGCCCTTGGTGGCGGGTGAATGGGCGTGACTAGTGAAGGAGTTCTCCCGAGGAGGCCTGCGCGGCGCTGCGTGACAGGGTCAGCAGGGGAAGCTGTTAGAGAGAAGTCACTCACTCCTTGGCGTCTTGCGCACGCTGTCCAGGGATGCGTCTGAGGACTTGTACTCAGGCGGAGGACCTTCCTCGACCATTGTAGTGATCTGGACCTGGGCGTCTCGGCTCTCCCTTTGAAGACGCTTGCGAGTGGGCTCACAGGTTGGCCCTTCTCTAGACGCTCCCGAAAGAGCATCCGACGCACCGTCCTCTTCTTTGGCCGCGGGATGACAGGTAGACAAGTGTCGCTCCCAGTCTGTCTTCGAGTAGTGCGCCTCCATGGGAACGTCTTTCTCGCAGAGTGTGCAGTAGGCGAGATGTGCGCTCACAACGAACGCGGTTGGGTCCTTCTCGAGGTCGGCCTTGAGCGAGGCTTCGTGCGCCGCCTGGGCATCAATTGCATCCTTGGTCTGATCGTCGAGGTCAGCCTGCGGCAGAAGCTTCAGGATAGCCAGAGCACAGCTGCAGGCCGTGGAAGAGCGGTCGACGGCGGGAAGACCGAGAGCAGTCAGGCGGTCCTTGAAGTTGGTGGACGGCATGCTGAGAATGGCGTTGCGAAGCGGAAGGGGAAAACAGAGGGACAGAAAAGCAGAGACTAGCGAGATTATATGTGGCAGGCACTGAAAGACGTCGCTTATTACAGTTACATTTCACCAACATACAGACCATTGTAGGACATTACTGGTGTTTGTGAAAGGGTGGGGAACCTCTGAATGTCACTGCTGGTCCGTGTCCTGGCCATGCGAATGGCTGACAGAGCCACTCAACGTGTGCTTTGAGGATGGAGGTCAATGCATGAGCGCGCAGGTCATGCACCGTAGCTTTTAGGGTGGCAGGTGGGCGTCAGATCAAAGGAAGACCGGCAAACGCCGACGGACGTCCGAGGGGAAGTCACGACTCCGGCGTTTGCCGAAGCACCTTTGTGCACAACGGCCATGGGCACCCTCCGAGGTCGCTCTGCTCTCGTATAACGATGCTCATGTATAGATCTTCAGCAGCAAACATAGACGCGTTGCTGGCGGCGCCATCGATAACGACACATCGCGCCCTTCAGGCAACCTGGCATTGGCAAGCAGCCCGGATTCGAAGCGCGTGACTTACGGCCGGTGCGACGCAAAGTCCTATAAAGCGGTCTGCGAATCTGCACCGCGTTCTTCGTGCCTTTACGTCCCTTTTATTTGGCTTCCATGGTCACCCTCAGCGCTGCAGCTCTCCTTGCCCATGCAGCCCTCGTTTTCGCAGCTCGACTGGAGCAGGGAGTTCTCTCTGTTCGGGAACGTAACGACGGGATACATCTGGCTGTTGGACCGTCTTGCGGGTCGCTAACTGGCACGGTCTCCGATGTCAACGCCGGCATCGATACCAGCAAGATCAAGACCATTGTGGCCTTCGGGGTACGTATCCCTTCTGCGTTCTGAAATCCAATCAAAGATTACGTTGCCTCGTAGGATTCGTACACCGATGGTGGCAAGGACGACGGTTCCCCTCTCGACCCGCCTGTTCTTGTGCCACCAAATACGGAAGCCGGAGGTGTACGTGCTTCGTTAGGTAATCATGTTGCTATAGCTTGATTTTGGCCACAAAAGCGGTCGACGGACGGCCCTACCTGGGTAGAGTACGTCGCGCAAGACCTGGGGGGTGCGACGTTGAAGGACTACGCCGTATGTATCCTATAATTCTGCGCAGATCACGCCTCCTCACGTTGTCATTGTAGCAATGGGGCGCCTGCATAGACCTAAGTATATGGCCCAGCAATCCCCGCAAGGTTGACTTTCTGGGGCAAAGTGCGTTGTCTTGCTCAGAAGTGGCCCAAGCTGCACAAGTCATCATCACAGTGGACACATTCCTTGGTCAATCGAACATGTTAGATTCAGATTCAACGCTCTACGTTGTCTTCTTCGGAATTAAGTACGCTCGCTCTCACTCAGCGCCTTCGTCGGCTGCATTGACCATATTCGCAGTGACTACGAAGCGTCAAAGAGTCGGTCTTACGGCCGTTTGCATATTGAGCTTTCTGACTTGTTTCTCATTCAGTCGACGGTGACCATATGCAAGAAGCCGCAAACGTGCTACTGGACCAGCTACACATTCTGGCCTCGGCGCCAACTTCTGCTCGCAATTTCCTAGTTGCTGATGTCTATGGACGTGGGGTGCATACATCGTCGGGTGAGGCTTTTAAGCAGACCATATACGACGGACTGGCGGCCATGCATGGCGAGGAGGGCACGTCGGTGGCTTATGTCGATTTTTCTGCTATATGGGACGGTGAGCGACAGTCCGTAACAGGCCGTCGACGAACTGATTACTCCGCTCTCAGGCGTCCTCGGCAGCGACCCTGGCTACGCCGCCTTCGGCTACACTAGCACAGACGCGTGCACGGAATGCACGACCGATTGTGACCAGTATGGCTGGTGTAAAGATTGGGCGCATTGGTTCTACTGGATCGGAGGGTGCGTACCACCTCCACATCGTGGCTCACTGGACACTGTAAGAGAAGCTTATGCCGACGAGTAGCCATCCGTCAACTCAAACGATGAGGATCATGGCCGACTTGGTTTCCGAAGTCCTGAAGTCTTGCGTCATGGGATGAAGGAGGCAGAGGTGAGTGATCATACGAGAGGATGCGACGTCGCTGATGCACTTCAAGGGTACTTAAACTGGGCTAGAATTACTTGAGGCCACGAGACGTAAAGACGAAATGACAATGCGGAAATGAACATCAGGCACGACCGCGAACAAAGCAAATTTGCAGGAGGAACGGAACATGGATTATCATCTTGATTTGCATGATTTTTTATCTAGCTTCGCAGTCCATCTCGCCCTCTTCCCTTCCTCTTCCGCTTGCCTTCGCCTCCATCATCCTCTGGCTCCGTTGGCGCATCTTCCTCCTCACCGCTGTCATAGTAAGGGCCGTACCGCCAGCCCGTCACCGGGATTCGCTGCGCAGCCCCCGTCTCTTCTTCGGACTCGGCGTCGGTCTCCTCATCCGCCTGCGTGTCCTTCTCGCCGTCGGCTTCGTAGGCCTCGTCTACGTCCATGTCGTCCTCCGGTGCTTGGTTTCGGTCGTTCGCTATCGATTTGAGAGGTGACGCTGGGATTGAGGGCGCGGAGTCTTCCTCCTTAATCTTCTGTGGCGCGGTGCCAGCAGTGACCGCAGCACTCGCTTCCTGGTTATTGATTTTCGACCCGTTTGGTCGTCCAGTCCCGCTCAGCAGGGCCATCGCGTCGGCCGCGACCATCCTGTCCCTCTCCAGCTCTACACCCTCCGCCGCGACATTCTTCACCCACTCATTCACCCTCTCGTTCCTGGCCCCTCTGGGCACCCTCCTCTTCTCCCTCTCCGCCCTCTCCATCGCCTCCCGCTTCATGTCCTCAATTCTCTTCCTTTGTTCCTCTTCCTTCCTTTTCTCCGCGTCCCTCTGTATTTCTTCCGCCCGCCCCTTGTTCTTCTCCTTGCAGATCTTTTTGTGCTTCGCCCAGCTCCCCAGTAAATTGAGCTCGTCCTGCGGCCGCACCTCCGTGCTGCAGACTTTGCAGACCAGACGCTGTTGCTCCGTGGGGAGCTCGGGGCCAGTCAAGGGAGGCTCATCTGGGCTGATGCGGGCCATGGATGCCTGAACATCGGATGCACGCGCGGGGACCGTATAAGCCAGCTCGCTCACGAGCGGGTCCTGACCGAGGATGTAGTTGATGCTAGCCTGCGCGCGGAGGGCGCGTTTATCGAGCTTGGCGCGCTTGTTGGTGGATGTACTGGGTGGGGGAGGGGAAGTCTGGATGGCGGTGGAGCGCTTGATGCCACCCGTCTTTCTGGTGATACTGGCAGAAGCGCGGCGTGAAGGACGAGGCACCGGCGTCGGGGGCGGAGACGGAGAACGCGGAGGCTCGTCCGCGATGGATAGCAGGGAGGGGCTCATCGACGCAGGACGCTTGGGTGGCATATTCTCCTGGTGATACTCGCGCGAGCGGTGCGAAGGGAGAACGGCTGATTGGCGCGGGAAGAAAGGCTCGCTCACGCTCGACTATACATAGGTGGGCGCTAAGACCAGGAGTCCACGATGATTGGCCTTTGAGGGAGAGTGCGAAGACCGCTAGAGGGTGAGCGAGAAGACCAACTGAGGGCAAGTGCGAGGACCATCTGGCGTGTGCAAGGGACACCCGGGGACACATGGTCGGTGCAAGGACCATCAGGTCCTATTTTGTGGCAACTATGACTGAGTCATTCACGGTGATCTCTTTCACGGCGATCCCTTACACGTGTTCCCTCATTCCTCATTCGGAGGATACTGGTCTGAGCGCAGGCTCTTTGAGCGCGACGGTCACCTCGTGGCGACGGGGATCTACATTTCGCCGTTGTGCGGAGCAAATTACTAGTTCGCGGTATTCCAACCCTCTAGATTGAACCGTATATGAGTATATTACCTCCGATGCGACGGTCGTGCCGCCAAATCCTACGGGTCAATCCACCAAAATAAACCCATCCGGCTGCCACTCCAGATCCTCCGCCTTGAAGTCGAAGAGCTTGCCGAAGCACTTGCTCATGGGGTTCGCTGAGAAATGTTCGTAGGGGTTTTCGGGGCGCAGGCGCGCGCCGCACCGATAGCAGAAGTGCTGTGAGCATTTGGAGCAGGTCATCTAGAGAGGATATTGTAAGTTCATCGAGCAAGGAAGCAGGACGACGATGAGCAGGAAGCAAAGGAGACGGAGAGCACTTGTACGGGGAGCACTTAAGCGGTGAGCACAACAAACCATCGCCACTCACATGATTACACCCCAAGCTCTTCTCCACATTCACCCTGCACCCCGGGCACGCCATCGTCGAGTCCTGTATCCACTTCTGGTTCGCGAGCTCGTTCTCCCACGTCGCCACCAACTTTGTGATCGTGCCCTTGCCGTACTTGCGCTCGAGGGCGGTGCGTTCGGGAGAGCCCTCCGGAAGCTCGAGGTACTCGCGTACGATCTTTTCGGAGACGGAGATGGGGCAGTGAGAGATGGGGCCGTGCCAGGTGCGTTTGCCTGGGTGGAGGTCAGATGGATTGATGTTTGAAGTGCATGAAGAGGGGGGAGGGGGACGCGACGTACAGAAAGCGCAGAAGCAAAAGGAACAGGAAGGGCAGCTGCGAAAGCGATCCCAGCCTGAGGACGGGTCCAGGATGTCCTTCGGTTTTGGAATGGCGCGCTGACAGGTGGCGATTGGGCAGTGAATGATAGTTGGGTCTATCATTAGAGGTCAGCAATTCGCACACCGATGACAATCACCTAAACTCACCCTTCTCCAGATCCCTCTTCTCTCTCAACCACCGCCATCGCGCCAGCTCCTCCGCGGTCACCACCCTCGCCACCTCCTCTTCCTCCGCCTCTCTATTGTCTTTCACGCACGCCGGGTCCGGGCAGCCCACACGTCCTACGTCGCCCTCCGCTATGCAGAGCTTCCAGAAGTCCTCTAGGCAGGCGCGACAGAAGATGTGATCACAAGCAAGACGGAGGCATTTCGCGCCCTTGAGGGACGTAAGGCAGACGGCGCAGGGGTAGGAGTTCGAGGAGAATTGGGAGGTGAGGGCGGCGGATTGGTAGGCTTGTAGCTGGGCGAGGAGGGTCGGGGGTGCGTGGTGGGTGAGTCTGGGTAAGATATGAGATCAACATGGGTTCGGGAGTAAAAGGAGACCTACTCAATATCATCGTCACTGGAGGAAGAGGGTATGTAATCGAGAAACTGACCGCTCTTGATGTGATCGACCCAGTTGTATAGCACGCCTTCCTCGGGTTGCCACATGCTCATGAGGGTTTCGTGAAGGGATTTGAGGTGCGGAAACCACATATGTGTGGAGTGAAGGAAATTAATCTCCGGGGGGCTTGAAGCCGGGTAGGTCGGGGGTAACATGATGTGAAGGAGGATGGGCGGGAGCATAGAGAGCGAGGTAGCGAGCTTTGGTGCGCTGGTACCCGAGGCGACTTCGGGTGGTGCAGATATGGTGAAGATGCGTGCTGCGGGTAGCTCGACGGGTATCTCGAGCTTGAGGGTCGCGCCCTCAACAAAGTCCGTGGTCGTGCATTCGGGGTAGATGGACTGGGACGTATGAGCTGAAGTGGTAACTCCTAAACCGCCAGACGCACCTCAAGCACCTCCCACTCCTCCCTTTGCTGCGCCAGACAGCCCTCCGCATCCTCCTGCAACATGACGGTCGAGGGAAAAGGTAGAATACAGCCGCCGCCAACGGGTGCAAGAGCACCGACCTGATTGGTCATGACGGAGGATGATCATGATTGACGCCGTCCGGATCTCGGGCCGGCGTTCCGCTGCTTGATCGCTGTTCGAAAACTCTTGCTAGGCGCGTCGGCGAGCGGAGAACGGGCTCTAGCATGAGCGCAATCAAGACGGCGCAGGATTTCGTGCGCGCATTGAAGGCACCGAATGACCCCCCTTCTGCTGTGCTGCCGAGGAAAGTGCAGATTGCGAGGGAGGGGTGGGATGATCAGGCTTTCCATGTTCCCAACAAGGCGGAACTTATTGTGGACTGGCTGCTGGGGCGGTTCCAGAAGGAGAGAAACCAGCAGAGGTGAGTGGGGGCGCGAGCGCGGAAGAGCTTTGCTTATTTCTGCAGTGTCATCCTGGACGTCGAAGCATGGCGCCTCTTGCACGACGTTTGCGCGGGAACACCGAAGTCGGCTCTCGTCCCCGTCCTTGGACGCGCTAACACGGCCTCTGTCCTTCAGTCAACACTTAAGGCTCTCTGCGATTGTTCTTCCGAAACTCGCACAAGTGTGCTTGCCATCCTCCGCCCCACACTCTCAGCGATATGGCCGATCGTCTCCGCAAAGCTCTCCTACGAAGCGTTGTTGGACCTCTTCGGTCACACTCTTCGTACCACGTCTGTAGCCGCCTCCGAGGATGTGGACGCCATCCTTGCACAGATATCAGCCACATTCACCGCATCCCTCGTTCACGCGTCGAACAAGAAAAAGGTCAGTCGTGCGAAAGTACATCCCCCCCTCTCGCACTCACCACTCTGCAGGTCTATACCACTTTCCTCGATACTTACCTGGCGGATTGGCTTCAGCGCGTAGTACCCCTCCACGACGCGGACACTAACGTCGCCTTCACCGCCGGCATCGACATCCTCTTCAACTCCGATATACTCAAGCAAGCCACTGCGGACTCTGAACCTGCTGCTCCTCTCTTTGCTGCCTTAGCGAAGCAGAGCAGGGACCTCGTCCTGATGGCGTTACCTGCGCTATTCTCTGCCTTCACCTCCGCCGTCAACGACAATCGGCATGCTATCTTCAGTCAAGCCTCAAACGCACCAGCCAGCGCGACGGCGGAGAAAGTCCGCGCCGTGAGCATTGGATTCTACGTCGCTTGCGAGGGGTTGCTGAAGGATGCAAATGATGTGGCTCTGGCGTGGCACACGAGGAAGGCCTTGCTAGCAATTGTCGAGAAGGAGAGGCTGCTTACGCCGGACACGGAACCTGTGCTACATCAAATTGCCGACGCGGCAATTCTGGCAGTGTCGAACAGACGTGGCGGCGCCTGGACGGACGACGTGGTTGAGGTGCTGTCGACCATCTGCCGCATCGACTACGAGTTACTGGGTCCGTATGTGGGCCGGCTGCTGCCTTTGCTGGTTACGGTGAGCTCTCATCCATACTTTTTCTGTGCTATCATAGTTACTGACAGTATTCATAGCTGCCTGCATTGCCAGCCACCGCGACATTGCTTACGATTCTCCTCAACTATTACTCCAAAACGCGAACGCTGGACGCATACGTTGACGCCCTTGCCACCGCTATCCTCGGCGCAGACCTGACGGACTCTACCTCAACCGAAACCTACCGCGCCTGCTACTCCTCCCCCATCTTTCAAGCCGCCCACCTCGACCGCCTCGCCGACGCCATCTCGAGCTTCCTCACCCCCAGTCAGATCGTGCCCCAAGTCGAGGCCGCGGTGGCGCGCTTGAATTCGCTGTGGGAAGAGTATCACTCGACGGCGACTGAGCGAAAAGAGCCAGCGTCACCCGACAGTCCGCGCAAGCGTCGGAAGGTCGAGGCGCCGGCGTCGTCCGAAAAAGCCATCCGCCTTTCTCTCCTGTGCGCGCTGCTCTCAGTGGTCGTTACCGCGGTGCCTACCCGGCTTCTATCCGCGGACCAGCAGGAGGAATCCAGGATTCATGTGGAGAGCCTGCGCTCGCTACTAAACGCTATCATCAAGAAAACATCCAAGGAAATACGCAAAGGCGAGGGCGCTGTGCGAAGGGGAGCTGAAATTATTCTTACTGCGGCGCTGCGGTTCGTATATGCTTCAGCGGTTGTCCAGACGGACGGCCAGGACGAAACTGTTGCAGACGAAGGGCCTCTGAAGGTCAAGGTTGCGACAGATCTGCTAAGCATTGCCGGGGATGCACGCACGCAGGCGGAGTTGGTGTTGGAGATTGTGCGTATCGGGCTTTTTTCTCCTTTGCAATTCTCCTTTGCTCGATGCTGACTTTCTAATACAGTTCCGCATCCTCCTCCTCTCCATATCCCTTGGTTCGCCGATCGATGCGAATTCTGTCCACGAGTCCATCCTGACCTATCTCGACGCTCGCCTTTCAAGCTCAGTCGCCTCCTGGGACGGCCACTACCACCACCTCGACTCGAGCAATGCCCACCTGGCGGTCCTGCACGTGCTCCTGCAAAGGTGGATACATGTCGTTGATTCTACAGCGTCGACGCAGCAGCTCGAGCGCTTCGCGGCGATGCTCATGAGCATGGATCTGGATGTTAAGGGCGCGGACAATGGATCTGGTATAACGGCGCAAAGTCTGGTCCTTCAGGCAATGCGCTCGGCGCAGTTTTGGGAGATGGGGAAACTGAGGCGTGCGTGCTCAGTATGTTCCCCATTCGCAACGGCACTGACACGACTGGAACCTTTTCAGCTGCCATCTTCGCCTACCTCAGCTCTACCCTATCCTCTAACACCGACCAGGCTGCGATCACTCGCTGCTTCCACAAGCTCCTGTACTTCCCAACGGACTACCTTACGCGGGCATTCCGTACAGAGGCTATCTCGACGGCGGTGCAGATGGACGTGGCGATCTGCGAAGGACGAACGGCCGGAGATGGAGACACTAGAACGCGGGACCTGACTATAACCCGCGTCTTCCTCGGCCGGACATTCGCGAGCTTGGGTTCGATAGACCTGCCGGTATGTGCCCCTTCTTGGCGGATAACACTGGAGTTCACTAATGATAATGTAAACCAGCTCGACACCCTCACCGACCATCTGTACAAACTGTTCACCGCGCGCGTGTCCTGTGAGGACTCGACCTACGCGGATGCGTCACTGGACCTGGTAGAGGTGTATTTGAGCACCCTTCTCAAGTCGACAGACGCCGTAGCGGCCACAGGCTGCGCGAAGGTCGTACAGGCGTTGGGGAAATTCAGGGCAGCGGATCCGACGCGCGATTTGCTGGGTTTGGCCTTGATCCGGGCGGTCGATGTGTTGAAGCGAGGATTCACTCCGATGAGGTAAGATATATTCGGCATCCTACGTGTGCCCCTGCTGAACACGAAATATTCAGCGTACACAAAGACGTTCAAGAAGGGCTGCAGCTGCTGTTCAACAAGCTGCAATCGTTGCTGCAGAAGCATGTCACCGAGGCGATCAAGTCTGTCCCCGAATCCGCGTCGATCCGTGTCATGGCAGTTTGGACGTCAGTTATCTCCCTTGGAAAGTGGTTGGAGGTGAACCTTCGTGCGTCTGTCTACTTTGACTAGCTGGTTGCCGTGCTAAGTTTCCCTGCAGCTGAGCAAACGATGATCTTCGCCCAGCCATTAACGAGGAAGGTTGCTTCCTTATCCTCTGACTCGGCAGATTGGACACTCGCTGCCTCAGCGTCGTTGTCGCTCATGTGGGTCGAGTTATCCTGTGTATCAAGCGAGGGCAAGCGAGAACGACTGGACATAGCGTTCGCAAGTTATGTGCTATACGTGTCGAAGAGTGCGGAGTCAGGTTCGTACGGTCGCAATGAGCATGAAGTGTTTGCTGAGTTCCTGCAGGCGTTGCTGAGTTAGACCACTGCATCTCCGCTGCAGTGAAGACACTTTCTCCCGAGGACTACGGCTATGTGCTAGAGCTGCTCATAGAGGCTCTGAGGGGCAAGCAGCCTGGGTTACCTCTGACGCTACCTTTGCTACATGCGGCCAGGGTTCTGCTCAATAACTACCCCCAAAGTGAGCTTGCTTGCTATCCTATTGCTGAGCTTGTGACTGACAACACCGACAGACTCCCTAAAGCACACCCAGACCTTCGCCAGCGAGTGCATCTCCATCTTCAATAACTACGCTGCGTACATCAGCGGTGGGTCGGACGTTATTGTCGAGGTACTCCGCTTCGTCGCCAGCTACTGCACAGACAGGGTACGTCTCCGCCTGCATTTGACCTCGCTCGCTCCTCACCGACTCGCCCAGCCCGCCGCCCTTCGCCAATCCGACCTCCCCCTCATCTTCGCCCTTCTCTCCAACTACCTCCGCCCCATCCGCCCCATCCGCTCACAAGCCCCCACCACTTCCACCGCCGTCTTCCACGCGATCACCACCATCACCGGCGCGCTTATCCGTCTGCGCCGCGATCTCCTCAGTGCCACGCTTCCGCACCTCTCCCTCGTCCTGCGGCAGTTGCTTTTCGCTCTACGGCGGCCGCGACCGCAACTGGGCCGGAGGCAGCTCGATGCACTGGCGAAGACATTCCCGAGTTGGATCGACCCGAGGAATCCATTAGGCGCCGAGGAGGCCGCCGCGCTGGCGAGAGTGCTGGAGGCGCTGACGACGAAGACTATTCCGCGGACGCACAAATCCGGTGGCGCAGCTTCAGCAGGTGACGCTTCAGCCGCAAAAGCCACCTCCCTCGCGCCCGTCTTCTCTCGTCACGCCGCGCCCGTGCTCGCTGCGTACGCCGATGCCGCGAACGATCCCCTGTGCATCACGCCCGCGGAGGTGCGCAAAGCGCTGCAGCCGGGGCTGTTCGCGCTATGCGGGATGTTGAACGAGCATACGCGGGATGCGATGATGGTGGCAAGCCTGGATGCGGCGGGCAAGGTCACGATGAAGTCGTTATGGCGGGAGTTCGAAAGGCAGAGGTATGTCGGGAAGGGTTAAGAGGAAGGCGGGTTCAGAGAGTGGGACTGCGAGCAACTCCTCGTGAAGCGGTGCAAAGCAATCGGAGCATGTGAATGGATAGCAAGGATAGCGATGTGGCTGCTTCTATTGTACTATGTGTACGCAGCGTGATGTTGTACAACCAGTAGTGGATGCTTTCTAACTTCTAAATCCCTGTAAATGTACACCCATCTAGATGCGCCCTTTATATCGCGACATCGTTAGTTTACTTGGTGAGGTTCTACCCAAGAATTCAGTTCCAATCTCTTTGCTACAACCCCTCACAACCAACTCACCTTCGGCAGTCTCCTCACATACACATCCGTTGGCGCCGACGCCAGGATATCCGCCGAGGGGACGAAGCCGGCCTGCGCCTTTTCCTCCTTTAGCGAGCGCACGATCGACAGGAAGTCCTGCACGGCCTCCGGCGTAGTCTGGATGTGCACGACCAAACGGGAGCCGCCCAGGACCAAGGGCTCCTCAAGCTCGCTCGCGCGGTCCGCAATCTCGTCGTACGTCGTACCAATGGGCGCCGGGTCGTAGAACACCATGCACGTCTCCGCGCCGCTCATAATCCTCACGCCGATCTCCCGCAGCCCCTCCTCGAGCGTGCGTGCCAGGGCGTGCACCTGCGCGAGCTTGGGGAAGTTGTGCGTGAGGGCGTAGGCGGCGGCGCCGGCGAGGATTCCCGTCTGGCGCATGCCGCCCCCGAATAGCTTGCGGAACCAGCGCGCCTTGCGGATGAAGGGCGCGGGGCCGACGAGACAGGAGCCAATGGGAGCGCCTGGGGAGGGGTTGGTGAGTACCGAGCTGGTTGAGACCGTGGAGAAAGAGAGGTAACGCGCTAGAGGAGGGCCACAAAACAGGGACGAAGAACGAAAAAGTAGAAGAGAACTCGACTCACCGAGACCCTTGCTAAAGCACAAGCTTACGGTGTCAAACGGCGCGCAGAGCTCGGAGACCGTGGACCCCGTCTCGGCGGCGACGTGCCATATGCGCGCGCCGTCGAGATGCATCTTCAGGTCGTTCGCGCGTGCCCACTCGGAGATGGCGATGATGTCTTCCTGCGGAAAAATGGTGCCATTGAGCGTGTTCTCGAGCGAGATGACTTTCGTCGGGGCACTGTATAGAGCAGGCAGTCAGTAAGTACGTACCGCAGGCAGGAAATAGTTTCACTCACATGTGTATGTCGTCTGACAGAATAGAATGCGCCTGAACGTCGGGTAGCGTAAGGTGGTGGCCTGACGGGACGTGTAAGCCGGGGCGAGTTGAAACACAGTCGCAATTCGCTCGTACCGTTCGCGGGAATAACAGGCGTAACTGCAGCGCCAGAGTGGAAGCCAGCACCACCGGCCTCGTGCCTGCAGGCGTTCGCGCGTTAGAAGAGACGAAGCGCAAGACCCGACCGAAGACGTACTTGTAGATATGCGCGCGGTGGTCACAGAGGATCGTGTACGGGGGCTGGTGCAGGTGCGTGCGGAGCGCAATCTGGTTGGACATGGTCCCGGAGGGCATGAAGAGCGCGGCCTCCTTCCCGGTGACCTTCGCCATATGCGCCTCTAATGCTCTGGGACATCAAGGGCACTCTACACGCGACGGGAAGGGTCTCACAACATGGTAGGCTCGCTGTAGACGTCGTCCCCAAGCGTCGCGTTCACCGCGTAGGTGTACATCTCCGAGGTGGGAACTGGGCGCGGTGAGTGGCGGCATATGAGGCGCGTACTATCTGCTATCACCTGATATGGTGTCCGCTGGGTGGGCCGTCAGGAGGGGGGCGGGAGAGCGTACCGAGTCACTCACAAATGAAGGTGCGGCCAATTTCGCGCAACTTTGCGGCATTGTCCTCGAGGTAGCTGGGGGAGATGAGGTCAACCTTGAGTTGGGCGGCGACGCGGTCGCGCGCGGCGTCGATAGACATGGCGCGAAGGAGTGCTGGTGGTGGTAGGAGACAAGGTGCCTTGCTCCTGAGGGCCGCTAGCCGGAAAGTGGACAAATAAAATCGCGGAGGCATTGGCAAGCACGATCGGAATGAGCAAGAGCAGAGTCAGAAATAGCACCACGCTTTTATCTTATCGCCCTCCGATCTAGACTGCCTCTGATCATGTTCCGGTCGCCGTGCCGGCGCAGGTAATACAGCGCTTGACCTTGCATTTTTCTTCTCTCTACTCGACTCGACGGGATCAGACACGATGGGCAACGTACGCGACCGGCTGGCTGGCGAGATCGACTGGGTTGCTGACGGCGGTGTCTAGGGTGCGAAGGCTCAGCAGAAGCGCGAGAGGAACGCGGCGAAAAACGAACCCAAGGGCTCCAAGTCGCAGGCAAAGGTCAACGAGGCGGCGAAGAACATCATCTGCCAAAAGTGCCGCCATGCTTTCGTATGTGCATTCCTCCCCTCTTTTGCACGTGTACTGACCGCCGATAGCTCGTTACCACCCGTGCGCCTGCGTACGTCCGCTTGTCCTTGTGTCTCTCCCGATCCCTTACTGACTACCCGCAGCCTCGAGGAACACTCACAGAACAAGCACAGCCTGAGTATGGCCGAGTGCTTCCCCAACTACAAGTGACAATGCGCCCCTCAACCGCCCACTCACCTACGGACATTGCTCACTTTTCTCTCCCTATCGCTCTCGTTACTGCATGACTTGGGATTGTTGTATTATGCTGGTGGATATGGTACGATGCGTCGTGAATGCATGGCATGCCCCGTCTATGAGAAGCCACCGAGGCCGCCCTTGTTGGCCGCCTGTCGCTGCTGCAGCGCCTCCCCGACCTTCTTCTGCACCTCCGTGAACTTGTACACACAGCGGTCGATGCACACGCTCTCGCCTGTGTTGAGCTCGCCGTCCGTGTAGCGCTGGCCGATGCACTTGTTGTGGCAGGCCCTGCGAGGGGGTCAGTGACGTGTCGGAAGCATTTCGCGGCTACTGACGCGACCATCCGGTTGTAAAAGTCGGTGATGGTGTCCAGCCTGCGCGCCGTTAGCTTAAGCATAGAGTGAGCTCGTCGCCACGCACTCGGTCAAGGCGGCGTCAATTTTGTCTGGGTTTACACCGCCCGCAGGAGCCCGAGACGCGCCGCCAGTGAAGAAGGACATGTTGGCAGTCGGCTGAAGAGTGCTGAATTCAAATGTCACGCCCGATCGACAATTTTGGTCAGACGCGTCGCCGCTTGGACGCCCATTGTACTTTTTGCCAGCATTGTTCTCCGCCATGGCGGACCCTGTGCAGCTCAAGGTCCACCGCTGTAGATTCGTGGACTATACGCCGTCCCCAGTGACCGCGCTCGCATTTCCACCACTCCCCCTCCCCAACCCAAAAGGCAAGAAGACCGCATCAAGGCACCCCACGACGTTTGGCGCCCTCGTTGTCGGGCACTCCAATGGAAACATCGATATCTGCGAGTGGACTGGGCGAGATGAGCAGACACAGTCCCCCCAAGCATGGGTGGTCAGAAAAGTATGTTAACGTCACTTTATCCCGAGGACACTGATCGACCTTCGTAGACCATAGTAGGCACCTACCCCTCTAAGGTCGACTCGCTTGCCCTTGTCATCCGTCATCCCGATCTTCTTGAGGATGACCAGGTACCATCCATCTCCGACCTCCGTCTCTTCAGCTCTGGAGGGGGGAACGAACTGGTCGAATGGGACATGAACCGAGGCTGCATTAGGGTACGATCACCATACTTCCTCCCCCTTCGCTATCCTCATGACGTACATAGCGCACGATAAACTCACAAGGCGGAGCCATTTGGTCCATCGCAGCCAACCCTTCCTCATCGCAGCTTGCCCTCGCATGCGAGGACGGTACCGTCCGCATCCTCTCCCTCGCGCACGACACCCTTACCCATCACCGCCGCTTCGACCGCGTCAAGTCTCGCATCCTCTCCCTCGCCTGGGGTCCCCCCATTCCCCGGAAACCCACACCCAAGAAAGCCGCAGCCTCATCTTCTAACTCGGACTCTGACGACTCAAGCGACGAAGAGGAAGAGGATGCTTGGTCCGACTCCTGGCTCATCACCGGCTGCTCCGACAGCAGCCTCCGCAAATGGGATCTAAAGACCGGCCGTGTCATCGACCGCATGGGCGTCGATCGCCTCCGCGGCGAGCGGACGCTCGTCTGGACCGTTGGCGTCCTGGGCGACGGCACAATCATCTCTGGGGACTCCCTCGGCGCGGTCAAGTTCTGGGATTCCCGGACATGCACGCAGTTGCAGTCGTTCCGCGCGCATGGTGCGGACGTGCTCTGCCACGCAATCGGGCCCAACGGGACGACCGTCTTCACCTCTGGCGTCGATCAGAAGGTTGCGCAGTTCACGCTCGTGCGCGCCTCCGCACCCGGGAAGGACGCGGAAGTGCAGTCGCAATGGGTGCAGACGCGCGCACGCAGGCTACACTCACACGACGTGCGCGCCCTCGCGATGTGGCCGCCGCATGTGTGCTTGCCGCCCGCGCTGCGGCGTCCCCAGCCCTCGGGCATTGCCCCCGTCCTCGCCTCTGGTGGCCTTGACATGAACGTCGTCCTCACGCCCGCCGCTACTGCGTCCGCCACCGTCACGAAGGTCGTCAACCCGCTCGCCACCAGCGTCGACGTCACCTTCGAAGAAGCCTACCAGCGTCGGCTCGCCTACCCTGCCACCGCCGCCGTGCGCGTCGCACCCCAAGCACGACTCGTCGCTTGCATGCGCGACGCCGCGCTCACACTCTGGCGCATCCTCAACAAGCAGGATGTGCCCGCGGACGAGCTTCCCGTCCCTCCAGACTCAGACGCCGACAACTGGGAGAAGGTCCTCGAGATGGACTTCAACGTCGAGACCAACCTTCTCGCGCACGCCGTGTCCAGCGACGGCCGGTGGCTCGCCGTATCTGACCTTTACGAGACCAAGCTTTTCCGGCTACAAGAAGGCGAGAAGGGCGCCGTCACCCCGCGCCGGGTGCGCGACTTCGCTACTATGCTCGCGGGGCATTTGCCGCCTTCGCACGGCTCGACGGGCGCGCAGGCGCTCGTGTTCACCCCGGACTCATCGAAGCTGGTGCTCAGCTCCGCGCTGGGGTCGTACGTGCTCGTCGTCGACCTGGGTGGGCAGGACGGGGTGCCGCGCGTGCTGCGGCGCTTCGACCACCATGTATCGCGGACGTACGCATTGAGAGATGCGGTGAAGCGACAGGGTGCGGAGGAGGACGTTGATATGGCGGATGGCGACAACGATAGCGGCATCGAGCTGCCGTCGACTTCGTCTACCACCGTACCTTCTGTTCACCGCCTTGCCGTCAGCCCTGATGGACAATGGCTCGCTACCTCCGACGACCATGCGCAAACACACATCTTCAACCTCGACTCCCTTCATGTAGGTTCTCTTGTGAGCGTTCAGCAATCTTGTTGCTAACCTAAACTCCAGCATCACTGCACCCTCCCCTCCTTCCCCCACCCCGCTCAGTCCATCGCCTTCTCCCACGCGCACCCAGCCCTCCTCCTCCTCGCCTTCCCCGACAATACCCTCGAGTTCTTCGACGCCGAAGCCCGGGCGTTCCCCGGCTGGGCTCAGGACCTCGCCGCACACATCCCCCGCCGCCTCGCCGGCGCGCACGACCCCGTCCTCGGCGTCACCTTCCCGCCCCAGGGCAAGGATCAATATGCGCTCCTCTGGGGCTCGACGTGGTTGGCGAAGCTCGATCTCGGCGCCGCGCGGCCGCGTGTTAGGAGGAAGAGGAGACGGGAGAGTCGAGGTGCAGCGAAGGCGGAGCAAGAGGCGAAGGAGAAGGGCGACAGGACCGATATCGCGGCTGAGGCAGCAGGCGCGGAACCGGAGGAGGAAGACGAACGCCGAGAGCGCGATTTCCGGATGATCACGCACTATCGGCCAGTGTTGCACGTCGACTTTTTGGACTCAGGCGAGTTGGTGGTGGTGGAGAGGCCGCTGGTGGACGTGCTAGCGTTGCTGCCTCCTGCGTACTACAAGTCCAAGTACGGCGCTTCATAGCGATGGCATGGGTTTTCCTCGGTCTTTGTTTCTCTTTACTGCAAAAAGGACTTATTGAAGCATTGTCGAAGACGCCATCCTGATCCGCGAGTGTACAGCGACTCGAAGTCCGCCCTTGACAGTGCGGACCCGAGGGGGGATCTTCCGGTGGGGAAGATGAATGACGGACAGCATCGGGGTTCCGCCTGGTTGCGCCATCTGCGCCCTCGATCCATTGCTTTAGGCTGCTAAGGCGCCGATTTGCGTCCAGCTCAGTGAAGTTCAATTATCCGTTTGATCGTCGGTGGGATGCCGGAGATCACCTACCCACACGTCGATCCCCGTCCGCTTGCTTGGCTTCGCACTTCCACATGCCATGTCTCTTCTTTGCTTCAGCGCTCTATGCTGATTTGTACCTCGCCTTCCGAATTTCGAGCATGTGAGGACTAGCATACTCATCCTCGGATAAAGTAGAAGACTCCTGCGGTCCTCGTCGGCCGCCTGATCAAGGCAAGCTTGTAACTCGTGAGCTCCCTCGACGTCGTCTGTGCCTGGACCCGCCGATGCTCCCAGCATGCGGTGCATTCCTTCGCTACGGACGACCGCAAAAACCTCTGATCAACCCTACATGCGAAGGTATATAAAGACGGAGCTAGCTTGCTCCAGCCAAAGTACTCCGCCGCCATGTTCGCCAAGCTCATCGCCTTCGTCGCTGCTGTCGCTACCGTCTCCGCCTCGCCGCTCAATGCGACGGACATTGTCGACGTCTCCGCTCGTTCCGGTACCCCGAGCTCGACTGGTACCGATGGTGGCTACTACTATTCTTGGTATGTTGTCGCGCATCCTCTGCACTGCAACCGTGTACTCATCAGAACGCAGGTGGACGGACGGCGCTGGTGACGCCACCTACCAGAACAACGGTGGTGGATCGTACACCTTGACCTGGTCTGGCAACAACGGCAACCTCGTCGGCGGCAAGGGATGGAACCCAGGAGCCGCGTCCCGGTTCGACGTCTCATCCTCCTCCTACCTCATACGCTTACTAACCTGACTTCTCTTCAAATGTAGGTCCATCTCCTACTCCGGCACCTACCAGCCCAACGGCAACAGCTACCTCTCCGTCTACGGCTGGACGCGCAGTTCGCTCATCGAGTACTACATCGTCGAGTCCTACGGCTCCTACGACCCGTCCTCCGCCGCCAGCCACAAGGGCTCCGTCACCTGCAACGGCGCCACGTACGACATCCTCTCCACCTGGCGCTACAACGCGCCCTCCATCGACGGCACGCAGACCTTCGAGCAGTTCTGGAGCGTCCGGAACCCGAAGAAGGCGCCGGGCGGGTCGATCAGCGGGACCGTCGATGTCCAGTGCCACTTCGATGCTTGGAAGGGGCTCGGGATGAACCTGGGTAGCGAGCACAACTACCAGATCGTAGCCACCGAGGGCTACCAGAGCAGCGGCACTGCGACCATCACGGTCACGTAAATATCGCGAAAGCAGTTCATGGGCTCGAATGTGGCTTCAAATGTGTTTTGGTATACGGCTGTACGGGTTATCGAATGGGCTACTGGTGTTCAAATGAAACTGGTTTGTACGGGACGTCGTTTGTGAATTCGAACATGCCTTGGTCTGTAGTTCGCTCTAGCGTCTGAAAGGAGCTGACAATGGACCCGCGGCTTTGAGGAACAGCATGAAAGGCATGCCACAAAATAGGTTCAGCTGGTCCTTGCGCCAGCTTTCTGCCTTTATACGATCGTCGAAGAGAACCTCTCAAAGGACTGCTGGTCTTGACACCTGTCTACTTATATCATGAACAGTCAGAGCTAAACCAGCGTCTCTTTCCAAGTCACCCAACTGCGTCGGCTACCTACTGAGTGGCGAGATGGAAATCATGCCACCGACGCATCCCGCCTCAGAGCACCCTCCTCCAAACTCGCACCCACTTACCCCAGCTTCCGGCTACCCTCCACCTCCAACCCCGCCTCCGCCTCCCCCACCGGGACCTGTCCGCAGAGATACGCGGGTCCCCTTGTACACCGTCCCTGCGCACAAACGCTTCAAGCTCATCGAGCGCTCGTCCCGCGCACAGTCCGCTACGTATGCGATCCTGAGCCAGGACCCATCCGTGAAGGATCTGGCTTACACGGCTCCGCCATACTACTACCCGTCCGGAATCAAGGGCTATGTACCTGCTCTCAATTGCCACGGACTGCCCTATACCGGCCCTGAGCTCCCCGTCGAGGAACAGCGGCTGTTCTGCAAGCTGTGCAGCGCGGAGGTGCGACCGCGCGACGGGTTCACTTTGCTCGGAAGCTGGGTGAAGCATAAGAAGAGATGTGGGGAGAGGGCCAGTCGGAGGGAGAAGGCGTGGTTGGAGGACAGGCAACGGGCGGCTAGGCAGGCGATGGAGAGCATCAAGAAGACAATGAGGGTGAAGCAGGGGAAGATTCGGAAGACGACGAAGAATGGGGACGTGCCGGAGAAGAAGGCAGAGAAGAAGAAGACGAACGCGCAGGAGAAGAAGGGGAACAGCCCGCACATGGAGACACCGAAGAAGGAGGAAAGTGAGCAGGCGGGGGACGTGAGCGTAGCTCACTGGGCCGACAAGGTGGGAATGACTGAAATAACGGAGGAATTCACGCGTTTTAATATGAGGGTCGTGAAGAAGCGAAGGGAGGAGAGAGATAGGATGTTGACGGTGGCGGCGGCGACGGGCCTACTGAGTAGAGTTGATGGATGGTTCGCACAAGTTGGGGAGGGTAGCGCTGCTGCGAGTGCTCCCTAGAAGTAGAAATCCAATGAACCAATCAGTATCTTTCAGGCACCTCGGACGTTACCTATGGTCGTCGTGCACAAGACGCATCGGGAAATGCCGAAAGGTCTCTTCGACGCTGTCCAGCCACACAATTTGCATACGATAACCTCCGTGTCGATGTTTGGTTCTGTTCCAGCATCACCATACGCGAAAGGGAGGAAACCACCTTACTGGTACAGCATGTATTCACGAACAGCGCCTGGCCTCTACGGATGCACAACAACTAGGCCAGCCCTCTTCAAGCTTCCTACTCCGAAACCAGTTACGGGGGATGCCATTCGTAGAAATACATGGTGCGTACGGTAGATACAGATTATGGACGTGCATGAGGTAGGTATATCGTGCATGATGGGGCGAGGGTGCGGAGGTGTATCAAGGGGATTGTCGGGGGTGTATTCGTGTGTTGAGAAGTACGGGAAGAATGACCCAAAATATGAATGAATAACTACATGCGAAGGCCAGAATGCAACCAGAATCCCAAAAGGTGCTCTCTATGAGAAGGGAGGGGAGCGAGTCCGATCCGAATATATCCACTGAGCTCGAGGAGGAACAGTCGCCGAGGTATTATTCCTTGGTGATCGTCTCGTGCATAAGCTGCCCTCGGTGCTGCTTTTGGTCCTCCCTAGAACGTGGGTCAGATAAGAAAGATAGGAAGAGACATGAGGGGACGTACTTGGCGTTCAGGAGGGAAAGGTAGAGCGTCCAGAAGACGCCGCAGGTCGACTGGAACGGCACCCTGTACGCTATCGGCATGAAGCGGAAGTTGATGACCTGGGGACGGGGTCAGCGGCCGTGTTCGTACTCTGGAATAAGATACGCACCTGCGCCAGCGGCCAGACCTGCCAGTTCGTGATGAGCAGAGGCTTGTACAGGTCGCTGAACTTCTCGCGTATTTGCGCGGATGTGCAGCCCTCCATGATGCTCATGCCGCCGAGGAAAGCGCCGAGCTTCAGTGGAAATGAGGTAAAGTAGAATGAGGATGATGAACAGGACGTACACCTATCGGAGCCCTGAGCGGAGGTCAGCGAGAGGGGGGCGCCGCGAACACCACTTCACGCACCAAACGATCTGATCACAAGCGACGCGCTTGCCGAGGCTCTTGAAGCTTACTTTCTGGTGTACATGGGTCTTAAGAGGGAACTTGCGCTCGAGGAACACGTTCCATTTGCCGATGAGGGGGCCTTGGCGAGAAATGAGCCTTGCGCTTCCACGGATAAGACAGTGTACGCACTGGTCGCAAACCCGAACACGAAGAACCTCAAGGTTCGCAGCGGGTCGTACGGCAGTCGCTCTTCATGCGGCTTGCGGGTGACCTAAAGAGCGTCAGCCCATGTCCGCTGCCCGCCCTGTTCCACCCACATTCTGCGTAATCTGCGCTACTGCATCGCCCAGGGCCTGCAAGCAGCCGCCTGTAAAGGCGAGAGTAACGTTCGGGCGAGCTTCGAAGGACCTGAGATACACTTGGGAAAGCGACAATGACGCGGCCATTCAACGGGGGAGGTGATGAACGGGAAATGGCAACTCGTTCAGGCGCGCATTCTACTTATCGGGCACCCATTGAGCGGGGCGAATGCGATCACTGCTGACGCGACGCGCCAGCCCCGGCATGACGCGCGCGCTGGCGGGAGCGTTCTGGACACTTCGATGACGCCGGCACCAATTCATCTTCGGCATTTCCCGAAGCTGGACCCACAACGTTGGCTTCACATGTTGATGGTGGTGTTCAGATAGGGTGTAGCCCTCTTAGGCTCGCTCTGGACATGGAGACGCTCAAGATTCTTCGCGCGTTTTGCTTGTCTTTTTCGAGAATTCAGCAGGATTCCTCGACGCCGATCCCCGGGAAGAACGAGCGGAAAGCTAAATAGACTTCCGCTCGAATGAGAAGCGCGGTCACGTTCTCGATTCCTTGACGTGCTCGCACACACCACCAAATAGCGCCGGGGATTCAAAAGCGCGTCCGTGCGTCTTCTGCTCTTTGTCCCGAACCGCCATCATCTATCCCAGCCATCCACTTCCTTTCCCGCCTTTCTAACACATCTTCGTCGCCATGTACGCCACTATCAACCGCCTTTTCCTCCTCGTCGCGGCTGCGCTGTTCGCTGCACCTGCGCTTGCTGCGCCGGCTCCCCATGCCACCATGGAGGCGAGCAACGCCTACAGCGGCGCGGGAGGTCTGGCACCTGGCGGGTCGTAAGTCATCCCATCCTGCTCGCTGACACCTATGCCGTTGCTGACAGCGTCCTCAGCGTTAACCACGCCCAGACGGACAAGCAGCCGGGGATTCTTGGCCTCGGACAGGGCGGGCCTCTCCTTAATGCGTTCTCAGGTATGTTTCTTTGCCACTGTCGCTCGTACATCATCTGACACTCTTGAAAGGCAACGCCGGCAACGGCGGTGACAGCTCGTCCGGATCCAGTGGCGTCAGCCGACTCACTGGGGCGAAGGCGCACTGCACTCGCGACAACGCCAAAGAACACTGGCGGCGTAGCATCACGCAAACCGGCAACGCCTACTCGGGCGCTGGCGGCAATGCAGCGGGCGGTGCTACCGACGGAGAGTCGGGCTTGATTAACTTGTGGTCTGGTACGTCGTGATCCTTCTCGCCCATCCACGCACTAACCTTCTCTCGCAGACAATGCTGGGGACGGCGGCAACGGAGGCTCTGGCACGAGCGGTTGCTGAGAAGGAGGTTTCGTGACCACAGACTAGGAGCATTCTTGGGACATTTACTATAGAGGAACATTATTGACTATCACTCCATGGACAGCTGTACCATACACACACCTGTACTATTAGCTCACACACCACTATCTGCGCGCGCAACGTTGTCCCGTCGGGTCGCTCTCAATTGGCTAGGTGCATTGCGTTCTACTGAACGCATATATGCGCACAGATAACAATGAAGGCGTAGGGATCTGCAACTACAGAAGGCGCAATTTTCCTGTAACACGATTTACGAGGTCCACAGGAGCCGGCCCTATGGCGAGTATTACGGTCGCTGGACCGTCCTTCGCGGTGCTGAAGACGTGATCAGGATTTTTTGAGTGTAGAATGACACTCGTCGTACTCGTCCTGAATTGCCCGCGCACATAGGTTCAGGCCCTTGGCGGTGCGTTCCAGTTCTTCAAGCTGCTTCTGAGATGATCCTTTCAGCGCGATTTTGGCCTGTCTGTTTGATTGAGTATTCGTGTCATGTACTACAGCGTGATGGACTCACCCTGTCCGCTCCCAGTGCTTGACGAGCTATCGAAAGATCAGACACCAAATACGAGTGTGGTTGTACGGTACAATTACCTGGGGATTACGAGCTATCAAAGTCTTGTAGGAAGCCAAAGTCGCGTCCCTGACAGGCAGAGCATACGCATTGAGTGCTCACAAAGGCAACGTAGGCGTATCCTAGCTTACCCGCATCTGTGGGTATACGGTCAGCTCCAAGTACACGTTAGAACCGCGGAAAAGGGCTTACCTCTCTGCGATTTTTCCGGCGGGAAGTTTGAGGTCGGTACGGACGACGAGCACCTGGACATTGAGCTATCAACGCCGTAAAGACAAGGCGAAAAGCAGGAATACGGTTGCTCATATGAAAGTCACTCACTAGCTTGCATGGCTCGACATACCCAGCCTTTACGGCCGCGAGATCGCCGTCGGGTATGGCCTGTGGGGCTTCTGTTTCTGCAGCAGCGGACCCCGAGGCTAAGTTGGAAGAGCCCGGGATCACCTCCCGCGCAATTTCCGCCTCCGTCTCTGACTTCCCGACGACGAAGCCGAGAGCCAAGGATGCGACGGTGATAGCGGCAGCGAGGGAGACTGGATGAGATTGGTGAGTGGGAAGGCGCCCCAAAAAAAGCAAAGGGAGCGGATGAGGAAGAGAGAAGAGAAGATAGCTTACGCTGAGTAGTTGTGTAGCTCATCTTCTGCGCACTTCAAGGTGTAGAAGAGGGGGTCACAGTCACTGGCAGTCGACGAAGGGCGTGTTGAACTCGAGGATGGACGTTTATGGCAAGGCCCGGGCGGACAGGTCTTTCTCACGCTTTCTTGCGCTTGCCATCACCTCGTTTATGGCTGCCCAGCCCCCTCAGTGGGCTACTGCGTTGTTCGAATGATCACAAAAAAACAGACCTTTCTCCGACTTCTCGAATGCTAGCTCGTGGTCGTATAGACCATCAGTCATCTGGCAGCGCATCTGGTGAGTCACTCAGTTGCTACTCATCACGCCCCAGTTCCTCATCAAGTTCGTCTTCGCAGCTATTCTGCAGCTCATGGCTGTTGCTATTCTTTATTCTATCCCCAGCGATATCACTCTCGTGAATTGTGTAGCGTCTTTTTATGCATCATATTCACAGAAGACCGCGTTTGCGATGTGACAGTCGGCTTTCCCAACCCATCCGACGGTCTTTCTCTGCTTTCTTCGACAAAATTCCTCTTTATGGTCTTGAAAACTCACCTAGTCTACAGCATTTTTATCGATAGCGTGTATCCCCAACGACGTGCAGCGCCTTCGACTTGGCTATGACCAGTTGTTGATTAGCATCACTTGCGGTCTCGCGCCGCCGCGGCCTCAATGTAAGGTCTTCCCAGGTTGCCCATTGATTCCCGGGACCTTGCATTGATTTACGATGTCCTGCATTGACTTCTAGGGCCTTGCATTGTTCTATCCCCGAACGCCCCATATTGCGGGCCGAGGCCTGGGGGTTTATAAAGTCAAAACCTGTGATCACTTCCCCTCCCACACCCGCCACCCACACTCGCCAGCCACTCTCATCTCGCATTTGCTATCAGCAATCATCCAATAACCATCCCCAGCCCCGTTCTATGATGCCCAAGGCCAACAAGACGGAAGAGTCCCCCTCGAAGAAGTTCGGTTTCTCGTCGTCATTCGCGAAGTGGACAGCGTTAGAGGACCAGATGAGCGCCCTTAACCCCTTCAACAAAGACCGTCGTCCCAAAGTCATCAGAGGTAGGCAAGAGTAGTGGCAATGCTTAAGATGGGTCTGGCTGACGTCTGGGCAGCCGTGAAGGACGTGGATACCCTGACGAAAGCCGTCAGGAGGATGCGCATTACACAACCGGCAAAACACAGGGCAGGTTTATCTACCTGCGTTAGACGCAGCCAGCCTGCAGCTAGCCTGCAGTTAGATCTAATCAAAGTGCTGAGCGAGGCCACAGCGAGGCGAGGGGCGTGCCGAAGTTGCCGGGCTGCCGGCGGAGCCCATGATATGTCACGGCCATGTCACAATCCACCGCTCTTCCCTCTAACTACGATCTCTGGCCGTTATGCCACAGTCTCCCCTTCGACAAGATCATATGATGCACTATAGATCACAGTCATCTTCTCTTCAATTCTGATGGCCGAAGAATTGATCCTAATCCCTCTTGGTAGCAGGCCATGCCAACGCGTGTGACTAGCTCTCCCCGACCCCCTTCGACTCGTCTCTATCCGGAAGCACAGAGTCATTTCTCAGACTTTGGTACGTGATGAGGAGATTACTTTCAGTGCACCCGCGCGCAGACCCGCGCTCTCTCCATTGACACGATGTCAAAATACCATGCTTCGGTGAATTGCGCAGAGTAGTCGAATCTCCGCACAAAACAAGTCAGAGATCAGACATGGGATATATGTACGACCCAGCCAATTTATATTGATGGGTGGGTACATGTTGATGCTGGGTAAGCTGACTCGCAGTGGGGGATCTTCGATAGCGGTTTTTTGGGCTTACCCCGCCAGCTGCTTCAACCTAGGTCACGCTCTACACGCAGCTACATTTACCTCTCTACATACCAAGCCAATCATTGAGCCCTTTTGGATTGTACCTACCACAGTAATCTTCATGCGTTGCACCCTCAAGGTGACTAGAATATTCTCACCATACTTCTCGCCGCCTGTTCGAGTCCCTCCCGCCTCGCCATTCACTCACAGAAAGACAAAGTGTCAATTCCTCGCTGTGCTCAATGATTTGCTCACCACACTCAACCACTGACACCCCGACGTCCGTCGTGATTCCGAACATATTCGACTATTTGCCTCCATATCTGTAGGGACGGGATCGACTTCGTAGCTTAGAGCTTACACCAAGCCAGTAATGTCCTCATCTGCCTTTAGTTACCCCAGGAGATCTTGCGACGTTGAGCCGCAGGAGGGACTGATAGAGCTTCATGTTCAACCGTGACATTGTTGTGACATGTCGTGAATTGCGGCGTCGGCCCGGCGAGTTCGACACGCCTAACGCCTCGTTGCAACCTCGCTAACCATTTCGATTAGATCGACCGAGGGACTAGCTGCGTCTAACGCAGGTAGATAACCCTGCGCCGGCTTTTGCCGGTTGTGTTAGGAACAAGCGCCGTGATAAGAGGTCGAGCGATGCGCCGACCGTCGATCTTGCCACGGACTTCGAGAGTCCCGTTGTAAATCTCACCTTCCCCGACTCCGACTCCGCCTCAAGCTCATCGCTGGAGGGTAAGTGTGGACGTTGACGAGCTTGCGCGTTGCATCTGGTGCTTACTATCGGACAGATCACTTCGCGGTCGACGAGCCTGAGAAGTTCGATCTGTCTGTGGCTACCGATGAGCAACCGCCCATCTACATCGAGAACGGCGACCAGGACGTGTTTCCTGGTGTCGACTACATCGAGCCTTCGCCACTCGGTGATCCGCAGCGCCCAATCCCCGCCGACGAACCCGTAGAAGCCGTCGACATCCTACAAGCACTCCATGCCGAAGAGGAGAACAAGTAAGCACATCACCCATCCTAATCTGATTCTAACTGACATCGAACTAGCGATACGGAGGTCGTGACGGACATCCTGGTCGAAGATCCACCTTCGCAAGACCAGGCGCCGACCGTCGTCGCGCGCCCCACCATCCGTCGCAAGCCTCACAGGCACACCCGCCGCGACGACGACGCTCTTGCTTTGCCTGAACTGCCCGCCATCTATCTAGAGGGCCTCGACGCTCGCCAGGCATCTCAGCTTCTCGACTTGCGAATAGAGGAGCACGACGCCGGCGGTGCTGTCCGTAACCGCTCTGCAAGACATCGAACACAAGGGACGCCAGCTTACAAGCAAAGCCGTCCTGTTCGTCGCACAATGCCACGTTTGCACGACGCGCAACCGGAAGGCTTCACATCCATCCCATCTCGCTCAGACCTCACTCAGTGCACGGACCAGACTGCTGGCCCTTCGTACGAACAGGCTGTGCGAATGGAAGTGTGTGCGAATTGACCGCGACCTTTCCACCCACGCTGTTTCCCCTCTCCCGTCTTCTCCCGTTCATCACGAAGGTTTGTACGCGTGTTTGGAATACCCAATGTATCTTCTTCTGTGTATATTCTCGTGTTTGCTGTACTGTATGTCGGAAGCGAGTCCTCAATTCACTCGAGGACTTCGCCGTGTTTAGTTGTGTTTGTACCTGTGGGTGCTTCGATCGCCTGTATTTATTCACTTGCCTCCGTTCTGCCTCCGCCTCCCATCTCTATAGTGAAGTTTGCGATACCTCGTACTCGAATGAACGGTTTCTGTCCCAGCTCAACGACGCGTGTATGGTGTACCTATATCCCGGAGTTCTCGTCCTCATGGCTCAAATCGGCGGGCGGCCTCCTTGCCACGTATTTCGCCATACAGATTCTTCCTCTCCGAGGACAGGCGCTCTCCAAAGAAACCCCGCTGCTCTCTTGACACTTTCCACGTCCCACGAGCTTCCATTGCGATGCTCAGCCCTTCGGGTGATCACGGGCGCCGCCACCATTCCCGACCTTATTGTTCTCGCTGTTCGTGATTGATCTTTCCTTTCAGCGGTGTTTCCAGGCCTTTCGGCGGCGGAAGCGTGCGGATTATCGATGGTGAACCGCTTGATTCGACGCTTTCCGAGTCACGGTGCGTCCTTGATTCCTTTGTTCGCCTCAAAGGAGCTAAAGCGATGCAGGCATCTACCCCGTCACGGCGACCCACGTAAAAGGTGCGCTTCTGCAGCATGACTTGGAACTGACCCGCCTGTACCGGTGGCGTACGAGTCGACTGCATCTCGTCAACGGAGAACGTGTTTCCTTGCACCGTCGAGTCTCTGGATGAAGTGCTTCGATTGTGTCGACCTCTGGCCAGTGAGCAGACGGGTACTGTTCGCTAACCCCCCTTTCTTTCGGCAGGCGTATCTGATGCCTTTGAGCCCAATTCACGTTTCTCAATGACAATGAACGCGAACCGAGGGGGGGAACGTGATCAGCGGCGAACCGGGCGGGTCATGCACGGCAAGTGAACCGACGGGTCCCTGCGCGGACTGATGAGCGGCCAAATATTTGGCCGAACCGCGTGCATTTGTAGATAGACGCCGTTGTTCCTCTTTCTAGTTCAGCAACCACCACCACCATCACCACCACCAGTAACCTCGAATTCGCGATCCAATATGCCCAAGGACATCGCTACACCGTCTACGAAGAAGACGCGCACGGCCGTATCCATCCTTAACAAGAGTATGAAGACGTTCAGGAAGACCGTGAAGGACAAGTTCCGCCACGACAACTTCAACGTCGGCAAGAACTCGCGCTTCGCCGCGTCTGCTGTCAACGCTCGCCTCAAGGAGGCTGAAGACGAGCTTGCCAGATTCACCCTCTCCCCAGACGCAGCCGGCGCGAAGGTCGCGGATGGTGAGTCGAGGTTCACGATTAGTGGCGCGAGGGTGCAAGCTTAGCGTGACTCATCGGCAGAGCCAACCTCGTCTGCGTTTGCCACCACGGAGCTCGTCGAGGCTCTTCCCGTCATCGCGACTGCCGCTGCCGACAATGAGATTACTATCCGGAACCCAGAGCTCGTGAAGCCTGGTTCCAAGGACGACGCGAACATCGTCCCCCCTCCCGCGATTAGCGCCGACGCCAATGCCGCGTCGGAAACCTCTGCCACGGTCTACCACACCTCCTCCACTGTCTCTGATGGGCCCATTGAAGGTTAGCTATTCTTGCCACAATGACTTTTGCCTCGAGTTGACCCATCTGAGCAGGCACGAACGCAGCGCCCATCATCGAGACCTTCCCTACCATCGCGACCCTTCTGGACACCCTCATCGCGTCCGGGACCATCATCGCCAACGTGCAGGCTGCAGCCGGCGACAACGAGACCGAGTCCCCGGCATCCCTCTCCTCCTTCCCCTGCGCCGAGGCCATCGAGGATCCTCATCATCAGGAGCAGCGTCGCGACGAACTCGCCAACCCTCAACTGCAGGTATCCGCCATGGGCAACTCCGACATGGCCTACTCGGACCTGGCCTACACCAACCCCGCCACCATCGATTCCCCTCAACATGCCTCCTCATCCATCACCGACCGGTAGGTCATCTTCCTGATAGTAGATAAAACCACGCTGATGTCTTATCCAGATCCACCACGCTGTTCAACAACCTCGAGGCCCCCGTTCAGGGTGCCCTCGAGGTGCTCTCCGTCAACGACGCGTCCGCTCGCCGCGCGCGGCGCAACGCTCTCCGCAAAGCGGGCTCGGCCGCGAACTTCGGCGACATCCCTTCCAGCATCGTCGCCACCGAGAAGAGGACCTCGGAGGACTTCGACACCTTCCAGGAGTCTGGCAGCGCCGTGCGCAACCGCGCTTGCCAGCAGGCGCGCCGTCATCATGCCGGTCCGGGCTACAAGCTTGCGAGCGCCCGGCGCCGTCGCGCGGGGGAGATCGACCGGACCAACCACTTCCAGGTCTGCCTCAACCCCGTGAACGTGCCCATCATCTCGCCGTTCGCGCTCGCTGTCGCCCGCGAGTCTCCTTCGGCGATGGAGGCGCTCGAGCGCTACCGGAGGTCCGTTGCACGTGAGGCGCCTGTCCACCCCGTGTACGACTCCGGGGATAGCTCAAGCTATACGTCGGACGAGGAGTCTGTGGAGACCCGCTACGGGATGTACGCTGGGTCGTCAGCGACCTCGGCGTCTTCGTACGACTCCGACGACTCCATGGACTATTGCTAAGCAGCACGTCGCGCAGCTCCTTTCCATCTCTCTCGTACTCGACTCGCCCCCAACCCGCTATCTCGCTGTCGATACTGCAGAAGGCCTTTGCTCTCGACGAACTCCCCACCAGCATCATCGACCAAATCGAAATGAATTGTATCGTTACCGACTTGTTACCCACCGTGTTTATCTGTAGCTTAAACGGACTCATACGTAGTTTCCCCCTCATCTTGCCCGCTATCGCGCTTTTGTATCGTCTCGTCAATGGACCATCGGAATACCTTGATTCTATCCTTGCCCGAAGAGTCGTCGACATCGCGAACAAGCACCCAAAAAGCGCCGAGGAGCCCCGCGGACATGCCGGTCCAAGCACTTGCTTTTTTCGTCCTTCCTCACTTTCTCATCCTCCGATCACTGTCCATTGTACTCCCTTCCCCTCCCCTCCCCTCCCCTCCCCTCCCGCACACAAAATGGCCGCCGAAGGCTCCTCCCAACCCGAGGAGCGGGTTCCCTTCTCCACCCTCGAACTCTCCGAGCCCACTATGAGGGGCCTCACCGACATGGGCTTCTCGACGATGACCCCGGTGCAGGCCAAGTCCATCCCCGTGCTCCTGGCCGGCAAGGACGTGCTGGGCGCGGCGCGCACGGGGTCGGGGAAGACGCTTGCCTTCCTCATCCCGGCGATTGAGATGCTGCACCGACTGAAGTTCAAGCCGATGAATGGTGCGTCGAGGTGATCGGTTTGTGGGGGATTGGGCTAGCTGACGAGGTTGTAGGGACGGGGATCATTATCATCACGCCGACGAGAGAGTTGGCGCTGCAGATCTTTGGCGTGGCGAAGGACTTGATGGCGCACCATTCGCAGACGTATGGAATCGTGATGGGGGGCGCGAACCGGAGAGCAGAGATGGAGAAGTTGCAGAAGGGCGTGAATCTACTTATTGCGACTCCTGGAAGGCTTCTCGATCATCTTCAGGTGTGTAGTACGCTTATGAAGGCGCACTCAGACTGACCAGATCTGCAGAATAGCAAGGGCTTCGTTTTCCGCAACCTGAAGGCGCTTGTGATCGACGAGGCTGACCGGATATTGGAGGTTGGCTTCGAGGAGGAGATGAAGAGGATTATCTCCATACTTCCCAATGGTACGACATACTACATTACTATAATCAGAGGGGGGTGGCTGACATGATTATTTGCGCAGAAAATCGCCAATCCATGCTCTTCTCCGCCACCCAGACCACCAAAGTCCAGGACCTCGCACGAATATCCCTCCGCCCCGGCCCCGTCTCCATAGACGTCGACAAGGAGGAGGCTACCAGCACTGTCTCCACCTTGTCCCAGGGCTACGTCGTCTGCCCCTCCGACCGCCGCTTCCTCCTTCTCTTCACCTTCCTCAAAAAGCACCTCAAGAAGAAGATCATCGTTTTCTTCTCCAGCTGCAATTCTGTCAAATACCACGCGGAGCTGCTGAATTATATTGACACGCCGGTTCTGGACTTGCATGTGCGTGCGCCTCTTCGTCTTTAGTAGGAGCCAAGCTAACGAACAATACAGGGCAAGCAAAAGCAGCAGAAGCGCACAAATACCTTCTTCGAGTTCATCAACGCCGAGTCTGGGATCCTGCTCTGCACTGACGTCGCCGCCCGTGGGCTCGACATCCCGCGAGTAGACTGGATCATCCAGTACGACCCGCCAGATGACCCTCGCGATTACATCCACCGTGTCGGCCGTACTGCGCGTGCAGGGAAGGTCGGCAAGAGTCTGCTGTTCTTGCTACCCAGCGAGCTTGGGTTTCTGCGCTTCCTGAAGGAGTCGAAGGTGCCGTTGAATGAGTATAGCTTCCCTGCGAACAAGATTGCGAATGTGCAGAGCCAGGTACGCCGCAGTGGTCCCTTGATTTCCGAGGCAGCCGCTGACCTTCTGTTGCAGCTCGAGAAGTTGCTGCAGAAGAACTACTTCTTGCACCAGTCCGCAAAGGACGGCTACCGGTCATACTTGCAGGCGTACGCCTCATATTCGCTCAAGAAGATCTTCGACGTCAATGCGCTTGATCTGGCCAAGGTCGGGAAGGCGTTCGGCTTCACGGTGCCACCACGGGTGAACGTGAACATCGGGGAGGGCAAGGGGAACGCGACGAAGAAGCGGAAACGTGCAGAGGGTGAAGAGTTTGAGCCAGAACTCGAGCCAGTGGAGACGGTTGGGGCGGACGAGGATGAGGCGCCGGAGGAGGACGAGGAGACTGCACGGAAGAGCAGCTGGAGACAGTCGAAGGAGCGCAGGGTTGAGACGTTGGGCAGGAAGAAGGTGGAGAAGGAGGTGTACAAGAAGAACAAGGAGAGGCAAAAGATGGGCGCTAATGGTCAGTGGAGTAGATGACCGTAGGGTTTCTGTGTATCGTTCTGTTGTTGTTCTTGCGTATCTCTCCTGTACCCTCTGTACCTTTCAGGCTGTCTACACCACATTTTGTGCCACCTTGGGTCCATTTTGGCCGCCGCGCAGTTCATTATCGCAAGCGAGGCACCCGCGCCGTGACGTAAGGGCGGGCGGGGAGCAAGTACGTCGACGTGGCCACACACGTGCAAACAGTCACGTCAGTCTTCAACTGGCCGATTATCGTGCTTGCCTTCCGATTTTCCTCGACTGACCGAATCCCTCACGAACAATGGCGACGACGCAGGCACGCAGGCGCTCCTTCTGCGTATCTGCATGGTGTGCTGACGCCCTCCCCCTTTGCAGCACTACGTGTGGGCCAGCGGCCACTTCGTCCTCCTCCTGGCTGCCGCGATATACATGCCCGCGGGCATCCTGTTCAGCAACTCAAAAAACAAGTTCTATAGTCGTGCGTACTGCATGGGTCGTCTGTAGGGCTGAGGGGATGCTGATAAAGGCCACAGTCGCACTGCTTGGAGCGCTGACGAGCTATGCTATCGTTTGCTAGTGCGCGTTCTGCTTTACGCCCGCGTGCCTCGTGTCCTGACCTGGGCGCGTTCGCAGTAAATCGCTCGGCGCCCCGCAGCCAAACATCAACTACATCCGGCGCGCGCTGATGGACGAGGTGTGTGGTGTGCCGCTCGTGTTGAACCCCCTCTGACGCGCGCCTAGAATGTTCAATACTTCATCCTCGCCTTCCACTGGTGGTCCGCGAAGCCCGTCACTTGTGCGTAGTCCCCTGGTTCATTGTGGGCTAGCTCGCTCACGCATGACGCGCCTGACCAGTGGCCCTTGTGCCGTACATCATCTTCTCGACGTTCCATGCGCTTACCTTCACTCGCACGACCATCTTGCCTCGTGTCCTGCCGCCTGGCCCACCTGCTACCGCTGGGGGCCCGCCCACGCCCCATCCCCTCGCTAAGTCCCTTCAGGCATGGGTGAAGGGTGCGTCCTCCGCGTGTCTCGCACGCCGAATCCTACTAACCTGCACGCAGCCAACTATGACAAGGCCATGCGCATCGTGGCGCTGACCGAGATCGCGATCATGGCGCGCCTGGTTATTGGCGCAGTCCTCCGCGCGAACTCGCTCATGTCGATCATCCTCTACGCCGTGTTCCTGCGCTCGCGCTACTACCAGTCTGCGTTCACGCGGGAGGCTTTCTCGATCGCGAACCGCAAGCTGGACGAGTTCGCGACGCGCGACGGTGTGCCGCCGGTCGCAAAGACCGTGCTCGACCAGGCGCGCTTCTACATCGCAAAGTACGCTGGTGGCCCGGTTGCTGCTCAGGCCGTTCCGCCGCAGGGTGCGGCGCGTCGCTGAGGGAGGGGAGAGGATACGAGAAGAACAAGGACAGGCGGCGATTGGGAAGACCGTTTCTAAGTATTTGTTGCTCTGAGTAGATACTGTTGCTTACCAGCTCATTGGACTTTCCCTCAGCCTGCGTCCATTCAATTCAAAGTTCAAACAGACCGTTTTGGGCATGTACACTGATGACGGCGGCGCGTCAGGCGTCCTCGCTGTCTTAGATGACACGGAGTATGACGCGCTGTCGGTGGTGGAGCGCCTCAGCATTCTTGGGCTTATATACCCCGCGAGCAGGTATAGGAGCTTCACTACTCTACCAGCCACACCATGTCGCCAACAGTCGCATCCGCTGGCTCGAACTTTGTGAACTCCATCGTGGCGATATTCTCGTCGCTCGTGCACTCCGTGCTCGCCGTGTTTGAGGCGATATTCGCGTTGGGGAAGGGAATCATCAGCGCCGTCATCCAGATTGTGCAGGAGGTGGTCTCGCTCGGCGTGCAAGTATGCGGGGGAGTTATCCATTTCGTAACAGGTGAGTGGGCCTCGGCGTCGCAACTATCGGCAATACACGGATGTTGACTGGCTACAGCGAATTTCTTCGTACTTCTTGTGCTCGGAGGAGGGTACTACCTGTATACCCAGAAGCAGCAGGGGAGGCCATTGACCGGAAAGAGGCTGCAGTAGGGAGGGGAATTTATTGGGGAATATCCGTGTCCAGCCGTGTACTATAGCCGAACAAACATGTGCTCACAAATCTCCATGAAATTGATGGGTCCATAAACGTGTCTCCCGCGTCGACTGTCTCTTCCATTTAAACCGTCTCCTCCTGCGCGCGCATGTCGCGGATCCCGGTGCCGAGCAGTTCTTCGCAGAGGCACCTCAGTTCGTCGCCTATCCCAGACCGCTCGTCGTCGCCAGTCCCCGGCGCGCGTCCAACCCACTCCTCCAACCGCTCGACCTCCGTATCCATGTCCTCGCTCTCCTTCCCCGGCGGCGGCTCCGCGTCCGACACGCGCAAGAAACAGAGCCGTCGTGATGAGGTGCGTTGCCGTACTTCCTCGGGCGGAAACGGGCGTCCCGAACTAACCCGCGCGCCAGGCCATTCGCAAGAAAATCGAGTCCGAGTTGTCGCGAAAGCGCACGATCTCGACGACGCACCAGCAGTCAAAGAGCACCTCGAAGCGCAAGCAGCGCTCCGCGCCCAAGGGCACGGTCGCCGCGCTCAAGCCGTCGCCCGCGCTGACCGTCCCGGAGAACATCACGGTCGCGGAGGCGAGCCAGCTGTGCGCGGCCAAGCGTACTGACTGCGTGCTCGTAGTCGACGATGAGGAGGGCCTGAGTGGTATCTTCACCGCCAAGGACCTGGCGTACCGCGTACGTGAACCTCTCATCAACCGTTCGCGCCCGCTAACCGCGTCCAGGTCACCGCGGAGGGACTCGACCCGCACACCACGCCCGTGCACGCCATCATGACGCGCAACCCGATGGTCACCCGCGACACAACCAGCGCGACCGAGGCGCTCGAGCTCATGGTCACTCGTCACTTCCGCCACCTCCCCGTGTGCAACGAGGACGGGAATGTCGTCGGGCTGCTCGATATTGCTAAAGTCTTCCAGGAGGCGCTTGGCAAGGTCGAACGTAGCTCGACCGCATCGGAGCAGCTCATGAGCGCCATGGCGGGCGTGCAGTCTGAGATGGGGAACATCGGGCACAACCCGCAGGCGGCGGCGATGCTGGCGTGGGTGGAGAAGTTGCGCGAGAAGACGGCGCTGCCGGACCTGACGACGCTCATGGACGCGCGTACGCTGCCCGCGACGGTCGGCCCGAAGACGACTGTCCGCGACGCGGCGCGTCTGATGAAGGAGCACCGCACGACCGCGGTTTGTGTCATGGAGGGCCTGCCCGCGTCGCCTGGGATGCACCCCAACTCCGCCAAAATTGCGGGTATCTTCACCAGCAAGGACGTCGTCCTTCGCGTCGTCGCGGCCGGCCTGGATGCCGGTCGTTGCAGCGTTGTGCGCGTTATGACGCCTCATCCGGATACGGCTCCGCCGAACATGAGCATTCACGACGCGCTCAAGAAGATGCATAGTATGTGCCCTTGTGTAAATTGACATCCTCTCACTAATGTCTGCCAGCCGGTCACTATCTCAACCTCCCTGTCGTGGAGGCAGACGGTACCTTGGTCGCGATCATCGACGTCCTGACGTTGACCTACGCGACTCTGGAGCAGGTAAGGAGATTGGACTCGCACTAGGGAGGATGCTCATCAGGTTCTAGATGAACGCAGTCAGCCAAGAAGCTGCGCCTGCTGCCGATAATGAAGGTGGGCCGATGTGGGGTCGCTTCTTCGACTCTATCGGCAATGAAGATACGGAATCGTACATTTCTGGCTCGCACGGGATGCCCGAGTTCGGTTCCATGCGCTCGCTCTCCCAGATTCAGCAGTCGCCCCATTCCGAGGTTCACCCCAACGACTCGGCGTCCGTCATGGACGATGCTCCCTCACAGATCTCCGGCTACAACCGCCACGGTGCCGCCGCCCCGCCCCCGGAGCTTCCTGTCGACGATGGCACGTACGTGTTCAAGTTCCGCACGCCGTCTGGCCGTACGCACCGCTTCCAGTCGCGCCACGACGATGTCGAGCATCTGCGCGAGATTGTCATGGGCAAGCTCGCGACGGATCCTTTCTTCACGGAATACCGCCCCGAGGACGGCGGCCCGCGTCCCGACCCGATCGACTTTGTCCTGTCTTACACGGACGCGGACGGGGACACGGTACTCATCACGAGCGACCACGACGTCGCCGAGGCCGTGAAGATTGCGCGCGAGACTGGCGAGGATCGTGTTGTGCTGTTTGTCCAGGGCGGCAAGGGCTGGGAGCGCGCTGCTCCGGCTGCTGAGGCAAAGGCTGCCGAGGTCGCCGAGGCCGCGCACAAGGCGAAGAGTGAGGTTGAGCACTCGGAGAAGGTGGGCGCCGAAGCGCCGCCGCACCACACGCCGGCGCATCGCGGGAAGTACGACGATGTGGACGAGGTGATGGGTATACCGAGGGACCTGCTGCTGCCGGCGAGTATTGGTGCGCTGGCTGTGGTCATCGTTGGGATCTTCACGATCTCGCGCCTGACGCAGCCCAGCTACTAAGCAGTTTACGGAAGTGGTGGTGAGGGAGGAACGATGTTGAATAATGCGTCGAGTCGAGCCGATGCCGTTCACTATGCTAATTCCTATATCTTGGATGCCGATATCTATTGGAATGTTTACGACCCTTTCACGAAGCCCTTTTTCCAGTAGATATCCTATCTAATTCGTTCGTCTCTGGACAGCGTTGCCGTGCCGTACATGTACACGCCTCTACTCAGCTAGTACCGTGAAAGTCAGTCGTTCTCTGCTCTGCGCGGTCGGAGGTTTGAGGGACGGCGTGCCGCAGCAGCGGGTGTCATCTGCAAGTCAGTCGTCGTGCCGGCGGCGGTTGGACTTTGGGCCTCGACGATTGCGAATTGGGTCGGCGAACGCCGAGAGGGGACGGACGGCTCGTGCTCGACTTGTTCTTCACGGCGACGGCGACAGTTGAATTTTCTCGCGGAGCCGCCCTTGCGTCCCCCATAATTATTCTGCGTGCGCGTCTTTGCTCTGTTTTGTTTGTGCGCGCCGCGGTCTTTTTTCTCGACGATTGATACCAATTTTGTGTCAATACCCTCCTACTATCCGCATACCCGCCGCGACAGCAGACGGCGCCCCCGCCCCCGCCGTCGCCGAGCCCGTGTTGTACACTAGGACCCCCGCCGACGCCGCCATGGATGTCTACACTACCTCCTTCACCTACCCGCGCCGCGCCCGCCAGACCCCCGCGGACACCGAAAGGCAGACGGATCCGTTCGCCCTCCCGCACGCGTCCCAGGGCCTCGCCGATGTCTCCGTCGCCGACAATGCTGCCATCGAGAAGCTCGCGATGATGGCCATGTCCCTCCACGGCTGCCACGTCTCGTACATGCTCGCAGACCACGGGAGAGGCTGGAACTTTCTTGTCACTGGAGCGTACCAGCAGGTCATGATCACCCGTGGAATGATCCTCAAGGACTGTCCCATCCAGGTGCGTCGCCTGCCCCCGCCTGCGCGCCGTTGCTAACCGCACTCCGTAGCATCGCGCAACCATCAAGGTCGCGCGGTCCGAGATCCTCGACTCGCCCACGAGCAAGCCGCAGCTGAAGGCTGATGTCCGTCTCCGCCTCGATGAAATCGCGTCGCAGACCATGGCGCACATCGCCGTCGTCAACAGCCCGAACAACAATCGCACGCCCCCCGACGGCATCTCCGCGGCCGCGGGGTGGTCCGGTCTCGAGACGGAGCGCGTCTGCGAGCTCGTCATCACCGGCCAGGGCGATTCCGTGGATCTCGCACGCGTCAGGCTGCTTGTCATGCTCGATGAACTCGTGCGTACGCCTCGTTACCGACCCGTTCATCCAGCTGACGCGTCCGCAGAGCGGTCTACACTCCGAGGCCTGCGAGATCGAGTATAACCTTCATCCTATCGTCGCCGGGCGCAAGCGCAGCATGCTACAATCTATTCAAGAAGAAACGGCAACCAACATCTATCTTCCGTCTCCCCTCCAGGGTCTTGTCGGTCCGGACCTCCTCAACCCTGCGAGCCCCTCCAGCGCGCTGAGGAATAACAATGTGATCTGGATCACGGGCGAGTTCTTTGGCGTCCAGAGGGCGCGAGACATGCTTCTCCAAGTCGCTGCTTCGAAGGTAGGAGGGAAATCACATGTTCTTTTGGTGGTCGACACTGACCTAGCCCCAGTCTATCATCTCGCGCGACACTGCCATCCTCCCTCGCAAGCTGGATTGGATGGTCACCGACCGCGCTGAAGATTTGAAGGCAATTATGAGCGACAATGGCACCTTCATTCAGTTCCCGGCTCTGGGTAGCTCGACCAGTCTCATCACCGTTTACGGTGATCACAGGGTCAGCGTGCAGCGCACCATTCGTTCTATCATGCAGCTGGTAAGTGTAGCGAACTGTTGTGGACCCGCTTCTGAATGCTCATCATGATCCCAGGCATGCCAGTATTACGTTGGATCATTTTGGTTGCTGCCGGTGCAATTCAACGCCTTACTGCCTCCGACCTTAAACGCGTCGCAAGTGTCGTCTATTTTGAAGCAGATATCGATGGCGACTGGCGCGGAAGTTGTTTTCAAGGGCATGTGCTTCGAGGTTCATGGACTCGAGTTTGAGGTCCGCCAGGGTATCTCGATGATCATGGAGTTAGAGCTCGTCAAGGTACTATCGTTCTCGTCTAGTGCTGAGAACATACGCTAATGTCTCGACAGGCTTTCCACCACGAGATACGCTTCCAGATTGAACTTGCCAACGAGCACCGCGAGTTCATTAGCGGCAAAAAGAACGGCAAGATCAACAAGATCATGCAGTCGGCCAACGTGAAAATCAAGTTTGAAACGTTCAATGATCACAACTTCCTTATCGACATCGCTGGTCCGGATGGCTCAATTCTCAAGGGCTTGACGTTGCTGCAGGAGGAACTGCCTGCAGAAATCTCCTTCCACGTTCCTGAAGGCTACCACAAGCGCATTATCGGCGTTGGTGGACGGAGTATACAGCGTATCATGAAGAAGTACGGCGTCTATGTCAAGTTCTCGAACGCCGAGGAGTTCGCTGCTCTGGGCGGCTACAACGACAACGAGGATAACGTCGTGGCGCGTACGCCTGCGAAGAATGCAAACAACCTGGAGCACCTCAAGCAATCCGTCATGGAACTCGTCAATCCCAAGGTACGCATGTTTTTCCTGCGATCATTATTCATAGCCGATGCTAACATGGCCTTGTAGGATAAGGACTACGTAAATGAGACGGTGTCCGTTCCGCGTCGGTACCATCGCACGCTCCTCGGCGAGAAGAGCATCTTCATCCATGACATCGAGGCGAAGACCAACTCGCGGTTCCGCTTCCCGGACAAGGAGACTGCGTCAGACGTCATCACAATCTTCGGCCCAGAGAGCCAGGTGCAGATCGCCAGCGCAATGCTTTTCGTGAGCTTTTCCCTGTAATCGTGCCGAGTACAATCACTGACTGTCGCCTTCAGGATCATGTACCCTTCGAAGCCGACATGGCTGTCCCGCCCAGTCCGGATCTGTATCTTGTCGTTCAGTCGCCCGACTTTGCTGCCCTCGTCGAGCGCATCAAGCGCGACTTCCAGGTGGCCATCACGCCCAACGTCAAGCCATGGTCGAACGGCGTTTCGGAGGCGTCCGGCGACAACACGTTCAAGTTCCGCTGTCAACGCAGCAACAGCGACTTCCTTGCGGCGGCGCGCGAAATGCTAGAGCAGTTCCTGCTCAACCACAACGTGCACATCTACCCTTCCGCCACGGCGCATACGCACAAGCGCGGCGACTCGTTCGCGGAGGCGTTCCCGCACTTTGACAGCAAGCTGCTTTCGGCGCATAGGACGAGGCATACTGGTGGGTCCTTCATGTCATCGTAGGTGATAACAAGTTGACTCAACCACAGTCGCAGAGTCGGCAGATCTCGGTCGGCCGTCTGAGCTGCAGGCCCAAGATCGTAGATTACGGATGGCGAGCTCGTCGCCGGATGTGAAGGCTGCGTTCAAGGGCATGGGCCACGCGACGCATGTCTCCTCGGCTTCGCACCATTATAGCTCGCCATCGTACATCTACAGCATAGATGCTGGCGACGAGTCGGTCGATTATGGTGTACCGCTCGACTATAGCGGTGTACGCAATTCGCTGGAGTATTGGACGCCATTGCCACCCATTGTACGTGTTGCCGCAATGTCAGACCTATTATAAAGCTGACCATCCTAACCAGGTTCCCGGCATGGCACCCCCACGCACTCGCCACATTGAGGACCCCGCAAAACGCGGTTCCGACTCCCTCCTCGACGCGAAGATCAAGGACCACATCAGCCAGCAACCGCGCAACACGCCGCAGAACCGCGCCCAGTCGCTCGACCTCAGCATCTCGCTGTCGCGCATCACTGAGTCCGGCAACGCCGCGCACGCGCAGATAGAGTCGCCGACGCACTCGGTGAACGGGGACGAGTCCGACCCGGCCTCCGCGACGGCGCCGTCCTTCCCGAGCGTGTACGGCCCTCCGGGCTCGGCGACGCGCTCGGCGGTCATTGGGCACCCCAACGAGCGCTCCGATTTCGATGAGGACACCGCGGACGAGGTCGCGCGCGTCATCTCGAACCTGGGGCTGTAAGCAGACGATGAAGAAAGAGCAGGAAGACAGGCGTTCGCCTTCTCTCGCCCGCGCGGGGCACGCGGGCCCTTTGCGGTAGAGTTTCCTCATCCTGCGGTAGAGTCGTCCCTATCTATCCTGCACACAACACAACAAGAACAACCAATCCCCTTTTTGGCATATTCGACTTTCTCCAGACGATGGACATAGACAAGCAGCTGTTTTTTCTGTCGCAATTTCCTCCTCCCTCCCCTCCCATGTACCACCAACATACTCGCACCACTCCAATCCCTATAAAAGCTACCGCGGCGTGTCTTTGCTAGCCCTATCTATCCGCTTTCTTTACCTGCCTGCCTGTACGCCCCCGTCTGGCCCTTACCGGGCGCGTCGTCGGGGTCTTACATGGCCCTTCGCGTAGCCTCACCTGGCACCGGGTCGCGCCATTACCTGGCCAGGCGCAGGCAGGCAGGGCCGTCTATCCCCCCACCCTTCGTCGTCGCGATATGTTCGATATGTGGCACACATGTACAATACGTTTCTTCCTACGATAGTGGGCTGGTATTCTTATGCATCACTAGTAATAGACAAAATTATTTCTGCTACATGACATTGAAAGTGTCCGGATGCATGACGGTGGCCTCTCAGGGGCATGAAGGGCGGGCGGTGAGTTTGCAGCGTCGCCTCGCTCGTTGTAAATTGAAACGATGGCGGAGGGTTCGGCGGTTAAGTTACGGGTATGCATGGGGGCGGCGACCTAGACAATGATCCAGGGAACCTCGAAGAGGACAAAATCGAAGAACTCCTGCTCCATGAGCGTCTGGTATTCGCCGACGAATTCGGTGTCGCCGCCTCGGGTCTTGTCCGCCGACTTGCGGTGCAGGTAGGACAGGTGCTGTTGTAGCGTTGTGAATGTCTTCTTCGCGGTCTTGGGGTCGGGCTGAGCGATGAGGGTGAGTTGTATGTTGAGGGAAAAAGCGGGTAGACGAACCTTGACAGCGATGCCCAAGTAGTTCGCAGGTAGACCGTATCGTAGGACGCTCTCGATGAAGAGGCGCAGCACCTTCAGGTGGACAAGTATTTGGAAAGCCTCGGAGAAGTTGGTTCGGGACAGGCGTAACAGCTCAGTCTGGTGATCATCAGTCAGCGTGCAGAGCTATCGAGCGCGAGCCAACGCGTACCCAAAGCTCCTTCTCAGTCATGTCGGCAGTGTCCAATTCTTGACGTGCCTTCTCTATCTCCTCGTCAGAGTACACAAAGTCGCGGACGATGAACCTATCGATGTCAGGTAAAGGGCGTGATGAGCAATGTGTGGACACACTTGTTCTCGCGGCATTTCTGCACGAACTCGTCGTGAATTCGTCGGAAGATGACGACGCTGAACAGGGTGTACTCGTCGTCTGATGCCAAAGCCTTGCTCGACCGCGGTACGATCATGCTAGTTAGTCGCTCGTATTGCTGATTCCACGACTTGGTCAAAGTCCTGTGGAAGTGAGTGTGTGTCGCCTGGCGTGGGCAGAAGGTACATACTTGGGTACGGCGACAAGGACCGTCTCAAGGTACTCCGAGTCAAGGACGAAATCCTCCTTGTGTACTACATCCGCCAGCGTGCGCACAGAAAGATTACCGCTACTCATCGCGTTAGGACCAAGCCAGTTCATCAAGGAGTACCACGCACGTCTTCTTGCGCTGCATCTGGGTCAGGGAGCCCTTGACGAGGTTGTAGTTCTGCAGCTTCGCCTTCATGGTGTTGTCGATCGACGTCATCTCCTGCTCTGACGGTCAATCACTGTTTCGCGCCGATAGACAGACGCGCACCTTGTTTAGCGCGTCTACCGTCTCGCGCAGGCTGCGCTGCGTGCCGTAGCGTCCCTCATTCCAGGCCCAGTCCGCCAGGTAGTCGTCCACACTGGTCTCGTTAACGAGGATATGTTGCGAAAGCTTGTTGGGGTCATTGTTCAGTAGGTTCCGGAGGGTGTCCACCGTCTTGGCGACGACCGCGGTGAAGGATGCATCCTGCTTGGGCAGCTCCTCGGATAGGGTAATGAGGGAGTCAAGGGTGCCAGTCTGGGATGGGTAAGTTCGTATCGTGATCCATCTCGGAAGTAGGCGCAGTGATTGACCTTGAAGGAGGGAATGCCGAGCTGGCTGACGGCACGCGAGGGCGCCTTGAGCTTGTGCTGGAGTTCCTGGACGATCCCCTCGGCGTCGCCGTCGTTGGGGACGGCGATGAGCCAGGTAGCCTGGTCGGACGGCATTTGCGGAACGCGAGCACGGGCGGCGTGATGAGCAGAAGGGTCTAATGCGTTGATGGTTGTTGTGCTGCAGCCCCTGACAGTCAATGACCGCGACGCGTGCGAAGTTCAACTTCGGTCCGCCTTCGAACCTCCTTCCGTCCGCCCACCATGTCCTTTGCGCGTCAGTTCGCCTCCAAAATATTCTCGGGGCGCACAGTTCTGAGACGCTATTCTTCTCATGCAGCCAACAAGTATCTCGTCACCCCCAAGGAGGCGAACGAGCTCGTCCAGAGCCAGGGCGCCGTGATCCTCGACTCGACGTGGTTCATGCCCAACTCGCCGCGCAATGCGGCCAAGGAGTTCCAGTCGAAGCGTATCCCTCAAGCCCGTTTCTTTGACCTCGATGCAGTCGCGAGCCCTCACGAGCTTGGCCTCAAACATATGATTCCTCCGCCTCGCGTATTCGCGGATGCGTGTGGTAGGTCTACGCGACCTGACAGTCGCTATCGCATCTCATCAGCGATGCAGAGAAATTCGGCATCTCTCCTGCCACGCCTGTCATCATGTAGGTGGGCTCTCAACGCTGTGTTGAAGGTGCTGAGTGTCGGCTAGCTACGATGTGCATGGCGTTTTCTCTTCGCCGAGAGGGCTCTTCACGTTCCGTACTTTCAACCATGACAAGTCGGTCATCCTCGACGGCGGTCTCCCTCGCTGGGAGGCGGAAGGTCTGCCTGTGGAGACCTCTGAGCCAGTGACGCCCACCGCTGTCGACTACCCGACTCCGGAATTCAATGCGAAGGCCATCAGGAGTGAGTCTTCCTCAGAAGTTCGATTTACGTGCCTATACGTCCATTAGGCTACGAGCAGATGCTCGCCAACTTTACTGGTAAGGATACCCCCGACGAGCTCGTCCTCGACGCTCGTCCCAAGAGTCGGTAAGCAACATCTAGTCGCAACTATCGTAGGTGCACTCCGAGGTGACCATGATCTACAGCTGGCTGGGTGCTGACCCGGAGCCTCGTCCTGAGATACGCGCGGGTCATATGCCCGGGTCCGTCTCGCTGCAGTTTAGCCTGTTCCTGCAGAAGAACAACGTGAACGGCAAAGAGTTCACGACCTACCTCCCGCCGGATAAGATTCGCGAGGCGCTCATTGGCGCTGTCGGCGAGGAGCGCGCCCAGGCCATCATCGACGGCAAGCTTCCTGTTATCACGAGCTGTGGGAGCGGGATGACCGCCGCTATTGTGTGGCTGGGCCTCAGGCAGCTTGGTGTGAAGGACATCTCGCTCTATGATGAGGTGCGTGCGCTTTTTCTCGCCTTCGAGCCCTGGTAAGGCTGACATTGGTCGGACAGTCGTGGACGGGCTACGCCATGAGGGAGTCCAGCCCTGTTGTTACTGGAGAGTAGAGCTTGATTGATGGCGCTCTATACGACCGGTCACTAGGATAAACAAACATAAGGAAGGATCTAGTGCAAATCTACTGGCTGCTTGTACAAGTACAAAGAGTGCAAGGCAATCGAGAAGTGGTGTGTGAGTCCGTAATGTATACCCATTGCTGCGTTCGCCGCGCTGATACGATATAGATAATGTGTACAGTTAGTTGATGTTGTGTACTCGAAAGAGGTGCCGCACGCGCAGCGTGGCGCTCAGTTGCGCAAGACTTCCAAGTATGGCGGTGGCCGGGAGTGCACGTCGTCAGCACCTTCGGCAAGGGCACCTGAGAGTGTGTCAGCAAGGACATTCATGCCAATCCGGATGACAGCCGACGTACCCCGACCACTGTACCGAACCTGTACGCGATCCCGGTCGCCTCTTCGCAAGAGGGTCGCAGTCCAGCTACGAACGCTTCGTCAGCATGTCGGAAAACAATGGCTTACGCAGCAAATGTCCTCACCTTTCATGCAATAGCATGTTGAAGCCCCGTTTCTCCGTCTCTCGCAAGAGTTCTCGCCGCGCGAAAATGATAGCTTTCTCGAAGCTTTCTCGCCGACTACGACGCGTATGGGGGTCGACCTCGAAGAGGTACGTGCCGACAATGTCTGCGTCTGCCACGTCCTGGATGTCTACGTCTGGTAGGTCCCTGTTAGCAACACGCCCCATCCTCGAGGACACAATGCACCGCGTACCTTCATAGATCATTGGCACGGCCTCCACAGACTGGCTGTCGACGACCTCCCACGCCTCGTCCGAATCCCTTCTGCGAGGACGACGGAAAAACATATGGATCACGATTTTTTTGAGTAGACGCGTATTGTTTTCTGTCCGGGTAGTGGTGGTGGGAGGGGGCGCAAATAGGAAGCGTTTGGGCACGCCCTCCGCGCTCCCTCGAGGGCTTTATACGCGTTAAACACATGCCCATGATCAACGGAGATAGCCATCTCTAGCCCACCGCCCAGCGAATGACAGTGATTGAGGCCCGCCGATCTCAGATCGTTTAGCTCACCGGTACGCGTCGCCCGTGGAACCTGCCCGACCCCGACAGCCGCGGTCCAGGCGCGGATACTCTGCACTTGATTTTAAACCAGCGATTTACATGCGCTATCTCTCCCTTGAGGCCGTCGTTCGCATCCGAGGGCGCTCTGCTTGAAGGAGAGCTGGCTCTGCGCAAATTATCTGAGACGGTAGACATTGAACAGGGGCTGACAAGGCGTCTCGGCAGGCGATGACTGGGGTGGCAATGGTCGGGGAGCCACCTGTGGGCGCTAAATGAGACTCGGTCATTTCGCGTGTGTCAGCACCTATTCGGAGTCCCATTCCGGTACTTCCGGTAGGAAGGCGTCCGCGGCAAGGCAGTCTTGAGGTGCGTCGTGGACGGTGCCGTTCTCCCTTTAGCGGCTTGTTGGGGATGCGTACTCCAATGGGTCATCTCATCGGGCTGACATGTAGAGTGCCGCGATCCGTGAGGTGGGTGGCACGGGTAGAAGGACCGATTTTGGGGCAACGTCACTCTAATGCAGAGGCGGCACGATTGCATGGAAGTCGAACACGTTGGGAGCGGGGAGGTTACCTCGAGGAGAGTGGGCTGTACGACAACATCAGCAGGCACCCGCACGCGCCAACGACTGAGACTCATCCCAAGTCACGCAGCCATGTCAAACGCTCACTTGGAGGGTCTTCGCCGCATTGATGCCACCCGATACGGATGCAGACAAGTTCACTCCAAGGAAGCTCCAAACCAAGCATTTCTCTCCAAATTGTATTCTATACAGCCAAATACTCCGCAGAGCCGACCTTGTCCACTAGCCAGCCATTCCAAGCCGAGGAGGGCTACAAGCAGGCCAGAGGACTTCCGACCCCAATTCGGGTATTCACAGAGTCGATACACCCAAGAGAGCGAGCGCACCGGCCGCGACAGCAAAGCCGAAGGGTGCAGCAGCGTCCGCACCGTTGTTGTTAGAGCCCTCATCGTTGGCGTCGTCGCCATCGTTGTCATCATCGTCGTTGTCCTCGGAGTCAGAGTCGTCATCGTCCTCGTCGCCATCACCGTTGTCGGCAGTCGACGACGAGTTGGAGCACGTCACGTCGATTTTGTAGTTTTCGTCGAGGGTGAGGTCGGCGCACTGAAGGTATTGGTGAGTAACAACAACAAGAAATCGGCGCGCATATCCTACCTGGAAGAGGTCGCCGTCACCGCCGTTGAATTGAATCTGAAGTCAAAGGTCAGTCAGCGGAAGATAGCAACATTGATAAAACAGATACTGACCTGGATAGTGATGTTCTGGCCGTTCGAGTACTTGCTCGTGTCCAAGTCGAACGGAATACAATACGTCCCCTGACCCTCCGCGGACGCAAACGGCCTCTCCGTCGTGAAATTATCGAACGAAGTAGGGTCGTCCGCGGTAGATGCAAGAATGCCCACTACCGCATCCCGTCAATACACCAACACGCAAATGGGGAAACTCGCTAGCAGCCAACTCACACGTCCACGAAGGGTGCGCCGCAATAAGCGTCACATAGCCCCCGGTAAGAGGGTACCGCTCCCTATCGTCGTCCACGTTCATGTACCCATCTGCAAAATTTCCCGAGGTCAACGCGCCGCTTAAACTCCCTCGTGAGCAACTATACGAACCGCAGAACTTGTCCTCCGAATCCTCGTTAAAGTCCCCGCGCGGCTCCGGGAACTGCAGCTTGAAGTGCGCGGCGGCGAAGGAGGAGAGCCCGAGCACAGTGAAGAGGGAGGAGGCGCGCATCGTGGTGTCTTCGCGGTGGGGTGAAAGGCTAAGCGTAACGTGGGGAAAGGAGCGTTTTATACGATCACCTGCCGGGTTACAAAGATTTTTTTCGGGCGGTTTACGCTTGTTGAATTTGAGTGAACCTCCCCGGTTGTGCTTGGCGCGGCCAGACATCAGGGCAGGGCAAGACGACGACAGTACGGCCTGGTTGCCTTGAGGACAAGAGCAGACTTGGCGGTCATCTGCGCCTATATTTTGCAAGGCCACCATAGCGGCGTAGCGCGAACTGTTCCTTGCATTTCACGATTTGATGGGCGAGGCAAAGATGATTTCTTCCATGATAGTTGGTGTCCCATCCACATCGTACAAGTACAAAAACATAGCAAGAGAGCAAGACGGTCAATGTACAGAGGCATGCGCGCCTACTCCTTTCCATCGCCCGAAGATGGCTTCCCCGATACCTAAACCAGCCAAGATGGAGATGAGATAGGCAGCGTTGAACGTCCTATACACGAGTCAGACTTATAGGTTTGATATCCTGAGGATAAGAACGTACATGACCGCCAACATGAGCACATAGCTCATGAGCGCTTGCAGTGCGAACATGGCTCCGCGCGACAAGTCATGGCTGAGAACGAACGGGGGGATGAATTGAGGCGATGGTGCAGGCGTCGTCGTGGTCGATGTCTCCGGCATTTTGCCCTTCTCGTCCTCATCAGTCGATATCTCGCTGGACGAGGCGACATGATTCAATAGATGATGTGTTCTGCGGGTCCATCTCAGGTACGTTGCATATCATGTATGGTAGTCTCCACGCACCGAGCAGCCCATGAGTCCTCTAGTCGTGACCTCCACGCCGTTACAAGGCGTTCCATAATCGCAAACACTACGAGCCCGATACAAGCGCCAGCAATCGCGCCTGACGACCGGGGAACCCACGCCTTGAAAAGCAGGAAGTCGCCGCCCTGGAAGTGCAGATATGGCAGCATCTGGATGTCCATGTCCATGGAGGACGAAGAGCCATTGTCGGACGAGGGCATATCCATGGTGGGCGGGGCGAGCGAGTGACGGGGGCTGGCGGGATGAGCGACGAGCGGAGTGATCGGCGAAGGTCCAGGCTGAGCGTGAGAAAAACAGCAGAATCGGGAAGGTGACAAAAGATTTTGCCCGGCGCGTCGCGGGAGGCAACAGATCACAAACACGCAGCAACAAGGCACCGTCATCGGCGGACCCCAGACACCCTTGCTCGTTGCTGACGACGGCGAAGCGATAGAGGACCCCGGAATATACGCATATAGGCCGTCCAGCGGTGCGGATAAATCGTGGGGCTCCCGGCCGGTAGGCCGGTCCAAAAAACGGTCAAATTGGGGGCCTGAGGGCTCGAAGGCCAGTTCAAGAACGCGGATATATACAGGGGAGACGGGGAGGCCGTTCCGAAAAAGTGGATATCGGGCGGTCGATTCGAACCTCCGACCTACCCTCAAACCAGACGCACGCGATACCGGTACACTAATTGACCACTTTGTTTCGGTGGGCAGTAGCACCCTACACAACCTCTCGTGCCCATTGGCACCTTCCACCATTGGCAGGCTCGATATTCGAAGGACAGCGGTGCGTGGTGGCACCTCGAATGGCTATGGGAGGCAATTAACTTTCTCATTCGTACGTCTCAACCTTCTTTCGTTGCAGAGGCTACGCGCAAAGCGCGTAGGGACCCTGTGAGAAAAAATCAGATTTTTCCCGATTTTATTGCCATTTTTGAAGGCCGTCCCGAGAAAACGGATAAATCCTGGGGGTCCCTGGAGGCCGTTCCGGAAAACGGATAAATCTGGGGGTCGAGGGCCCAAGAAAAAAGCGGATAAATAGGCGCTAGAGCCGGATTTTCCAGGACGGCCTATGTGCGTATATTCCGGGGTCCTAGCGATAGCCGGCGTGTCCAGATGGCGATGCCGGAGAGAAGGCTTGATGAGGGACACACTCCCGCCTTCTCCTGTATACGGCTTCATGGGCAGGTCAACAGGAACTCCCTCGTCGTCTTTGGCGAAGGGCAATGGCTTGAGGCAGCGCTGGCGCGACGTTGTCAATCTTGCCCGTCAAGTACGAGAGGATCGGCTTGGGGGTTGAGGGTCGCTGTGATACTGAGCTGGGCGACATGTTCGTAGGTCTTCCAAGATCGTTGCCTCGCTTCGTTCGAATGAAGCTGCTGGTATTGTAGGAAAAGCCGTTGTGTGATCTTGCGAGCAAGGGCGTGAATTATCGTGCATGAAGCTTGCGTCCAGGAATCGAGATGCAAATGTTGATGAACGAATGTCGTTCATCCACGGTGTTGAGGTCGAAAAAGAGCAGACCGGTCGCCAGGCAAAAGAGACTGCGCGCAAACTTGCCATTGCAGATCGCCCGGAGGGGAACAGCATTCAGCTCTTGTCAGGGATGTTGAGGTAGCCCTCCACCCTGACAAGTCGAGAGAGAGAGAGGAAAACAGAATGAGAGGCGCCGGTGAGAGCGAGAGTGCATCGCGAGCGACGGCGGCTGGGGCGAAGGGGGGAAAGCAAAATTGCCTCATCGCGCCTCAGGCCCGCACAATTGCCTCAACCCACTGCCACACAAAGCCAAATACGCTGCCGCGTGCACAGCGTGACGAGCATGTTCGTCGCGTGGGCGTTATGATCGCTAGCTTGGACCTCGGAGCCGGTCAATAACCAGCCTCGTCTTGTCGTTCACCTCCACCCGCCGCCGTCGAGGTAGTCACAAAGCCAGCCTCTCGTCTTCGCCGCACTGGAGCCAGTCATGCTGAAGCGCCGGCGTGCCCAGTCCCCTCCACCGCCAGCACAGCACGAGGTCCCGCTGCTGCCCCCATCGCCACCGCGCGATCTGAAGCGTCGGCGAACCCAACCGCCCGTCCTTGACGGCCAACAGCGAAACGGCGCCGTGGCCTTCCTCCCGCACAATGACTTGGACGATGACATGGGCGAGGAACCTTGGGATGAGGAGGATGACGAAGACGACAGAGACGGCCAGCAGACCGTCGATTGCACCGAGTACAAGTCGGCGAACGGCGTCCTGTACGAGCTACACGCTCTCCAGAGACATCGGCTACTTTTCTCCCCATCGAACACACCATCTCAGGCCACATCTTCCTACGCGCATCATCAACAGCAGATGTCGCAGAGCCACCTGGCCCTCCACCATCCGACAATACCGGCCGGGAAGGGCATCGACCTGCTGGTGCCAGAACATCGGGCACGCACACAACAATACAATGCCACCACTGAGCCCGTGCACAAATATGGCGTGGGGCAAGCCGAGCTCTCGATCGAAGAGCAGCGCGTTAAAGAGCGTTACGAAGGGGCAAACAGGTGCGTCATGTTCGTCTATGACCCTAAACATGTCGCTGAACCCCTCTGCAGAGCCCTTGGTGAACTCTTCCTATCTCGTAGACGCCAGGCAGGCGCAGAAGGATACCCAGGCAGGTAGCCAGCGGGCTGGGGGTAGTGTGGCGCATTGGCTTCGGCAGTTATCTGCATTCCTACATGGTCTCGGCGGAACACCTCATCTTCATGGTCATACTCGCATTGTTATCTACGCATCGCACTGGCATCACTTCTGGCATTGGGTCCCACATACTGTAGTCGCTGGACATCTATAATCGACCGACCTTATAGCCTGGATCATGTTGTTTGGAATGCCGAGTTCCAGCAAGTTCGAACAAAACTTCTGAGTAGAGATTGCAAGAACTCACAAAGTGTAAAAGCATACCCTTCCCTAGGTTTATAACGAGGATACATCCGACAGTCCCAAGTCCACCTTTCGATCGAGAGCTTTGCTCAACTCCTCGTTCAGGAGATCACCCAATGCGCGCCCGTCGCGAGCGTAGTACCAATTGTCCTTCTCAGGTTCGTAGTCGTATCGTTTGGGACCGCTGATAATATGCATGAGCACATTCTCCCAAGCCTAAGTCGAATGTGATGCGCACCTGAAGGGAGAGGACAACCATATCTGCTTGTTCGGCGGCTGCTTATTGATCACATATGTTCCGTGTTCCCCCAATATCAGTGTTAGCACACCGCTCTGTGGGAAGGAATTAGGGGAAGCAGTGGTATATAGCAAGGGGACGCACGCTGTATTCGACCTCAAATTCCGACTTCCCGAGGTCGTCTAGCAGGTTCTCGAGGTTGTCCAGCATGGTGTCCATGGTTGCATCCGAGATGGCGTGGTAGCGCTCTATAGGCAGCTCACTGTACATATCATAGCACATATATTCGTAAGAGGCTTGGATATAGCCAATGCAGAGGACCGAACCTGACGTTCACTTGTGGTGGCGGGGTGCTCATCCACCGCTTCCGGCACGGCGCGGGATAGGGCGCGGGACGAGATACACGGACTGCGGTAGAGGCACGTCTTGCAAGGATAGGAGTCAGACGTGAGAGACGCTGCAGTCGGTTCATGATTGAGTGGTCTGGCGACGCTCGCCGGCGTCGTGCGCGAGGGACGGGGTCAAGTACACTCGATCGCGTCGCCTGCCGGTTCGATCACGCTACGGGCGCTTGTGCTGACGACATGTGGCGTTCTTGCTCGACGATATCAGATACAGGGAAGATTCTTTGGACGCCTGCTCGAGTATAGAACGGCAGTGTAGACGCAACACAAACATGCTGCATCTCAAGGAAGCGAAGATGCGTCGCAAGCGAGATCGTCAGCATAGGACGGGACGTGTCTACATTGTCCAAGGTATCCATATATTACAGCCAATAATCTAGTTCGAGTGCTTCGACACCCACTCAAGCCAGGAGCCCTTATAGTTGAGCAGACTGTAGGAATAGTGAGTAAACATCGGCGAGGGAAGAATCGCGTCTACTCACTTGTTGTAGCCGTTCTGCGCTGCAATCTCGCAGGCAGTCGTGCTACGCTTGCCGCTGCGGCAGTAGAAAGTGATCTCTTGGTCCTTCCTGGGCTTCTCGTAGCCGTACTTGGCCTTGAAGTCGGTGGAGCCAAGGTGCAAGGAGTTGGGGAGCTCGGAGAGAGGGAGGTTGACGGCGGACGGGATCATGCCCTGCTCGGTCTCATTCGGTTCACGAACGTCGATCAGGTACGCGTCCTACACAGCTGAAGTGAGCATACGCGTCTGGCAGGCATGTCACTGAGACGTACCAGGCTCGGGCTCGTTGTCTTCGGGAGCAACTCATCGTAGGAAATTTCCTTCGCTTCGGGGGTATGCGCCGCGGTCTCCTTCGCAGGTGCAGCCGACGAGTTCCATCTCGCGACTGTTACAGGAGACCGGAGGTTGTGGGGAGCCTGCGCGATCGAAGGCCTGAGGACCTGCATGGAGGCAGAAGCGACGGCGGGGCGGAAGCGCGAGGCGCGTGCTGCAACTCTGCGGAGCATTTCGTCGTTTTATAGGGGGACGCTTTCGCTTTTCGTAAAGGCTGGGGAGGGAACAAGTTCAAAGCTGCCAGCGGGCGCTAGCGAACTGATATAGGTATTCGGAATTAGGATGATTGGGATGAATGGCGTGCTGAAGACGACGCAGGTGCCTCCTTCTGGGGGTTTGCGGCGGTGAATAAGCGCTGGAGGCCTGGATGAGGTTTTCACACGTTTCGCGGTGGCAGCAGTGCTTATCGGCCCCACTATTCGGATGGTAATGGACGAGTCGACGGCGGTGGATGTGGGGAACGAAGTCCAGAAGACGCTGGCCAGCTGGCGGACGCGCCGCGCCGCGGGCGAACGCCACGCGAGCAAGCGTGGGAAATTGGCTCATTACGTCAAACACGTCGGTGGGGGGTTGGGCGCTTTCTAGCTTCGCCGACGAGCAGAACGACGTATTGCAACGATGTCCGACGATGTGTTCGCTGCAATGGGTATCTCGGGCTTTGGCAAGGCGTCGAAGAAGAAACAGCTCGACCCCTCGAGATTTGACAAGAATAAGGTGCGCTGCACCTCGGGTCCCGATTGACGCAACTGCTAACGAAGTGAACAGCGAGATGATACCGTCATGGCAGAGCCAGTGAAGCAGGCCGCAGAGGCTGCCGCACCTACTCAAGGTCTCTCTGCGGCGCCACAGTCCGCTAGCGCATCTCCCACCCCTGGCCCCTCCGCACAACTAGACAACGATCACCAGGAAAATGTCGACGAACCGGAATACGATCCTGAAGAGGAATACGCCGACGACGCACCTCAGTTCCCCATCACCCACGAAGTCATCTTGAAGGACCACACGAAGGTCGTCTCAGCCTTGGCGCTCGATCCCTCTGGCGCCCGTGTCCTGTCCGGTTCGCATGACTACGATTGCAAGCTATGGGATTTCGGTGGAATGGATTTGCGCTGTAAGCCCTTCAAAAGCTGGGAACCAGCAGGCACTTATTATGTGCGTCCTTTTGCAGAGCAGAGCAGTGCGGAAAGTGGCTAAGCCGTATGTCAGGTCCACGACGTCAAGTATTCCAACGATGGACAGCGCTTCCTGGTTGCGTCGGGCACGATGCAGGCACGCCTCTTCGACAGGGAGGGCGAGGAGCTGTGCGTGTTTTGCTTTTCTGTTGTGCTGCTGTACTGACCTGCATTGAAGCGCTGCATTCATCAAGGGGGATCCTTACATCCGCGATATGAAGAACACATCGTGAGTCGTCGTCTCCCTCCTTCAGTCGGTGCACCTTATAATATCGCACAGTGGACATGTCAGCGAAATCTACAACGTCGTCTGGCACCCGAAGGAGCCGAATACTTTCATCACCAGCTCCGCCGACTCGACAATCAGGTAAGCCCCTTTACGAGTGTGTTTGAGGTCCATTGGCTGATGGACCTTTGCAGGATATGGGATACCGAAAACAAGCGCAAGCAGAAGGCCGTCATCGTTGTCAAGTCTAAGGAGCGCGGCGCACGTACAAAGGTAACTGCTTGCTGTTACTCGCCAGACGGCAAGCAAATTGGCGGAGGTGCGTCTGTTGTATTCGATTCGATGGAACGCAATTGCTCATGTTGTGCTCGCAGCTTGTTACGACGGCGCCATTCACATATGGAACGCCAACTCCAACTTTGTACGGCCGAACTTGTCGGTTGAGGGAGCCCATGCGAAGGGCGTCGAAATATGCTCCATGGTGTTCTCCGTCGACGGTCGGACAGTCTTGACTCGCGGAATGGATGACACCGTCAAACGTGAGCACCGTCGGGCTCTCCACATCTTCGTCCTGCTGACCATGCGCAGTGTGGGACACTCGGGATTTCAAGAAGCCCATAGCGACGAGGAGCGGCGTAACAACTCTGTACCCGCAAACCAACGCGATTTTCAGCCCGGACGACAAGTACGTTGTGACGGGCGCAGCGGCCTCAACAAAAGGCGGTAAAGGTCAACTCTTGTTCTTGTCCAAGGCAAACCTCGAGATCGTCAAGACGCTCGAAGTGAACTCGACGCCGGTCAAGGTCGTCTGGCACTCGAAGATCAACCAGGTGCGTTGATGGAACTGTTGCAATCACTGTTATCTGACCTAGGGGTGCGTAGATTCTAGTCGGCTTATCGAGTGGCGAGATACAGGTGCTGTACTCGCCCACGACCTCGCTCAATGGCGCGAAGCTGCTGTTGAACAAGGGCCTGCCGCGCAAGGTGACGGTGGAGGACATGTCCGACATGGCCACGGCGCCGACCATCCTCACGCCGCATGCGTTGCCGATGTTCCGCGATGGTGATGGGATCATCCGCGGGACCAAGAGGAAAGCGGAGAAAGACAGACAGGATCCAAGGAAGAGCAGGCGTCCTGAGCTCCCCATTACGGGGCCCGGAAAGGGTGGGCGCGTGGGCGCAAGCGCGACGCAACACGTGGTCCAGAACCTCATTCGGGACAGCACCCGAGACGAAGACGTAAGCACACCGTTCTTTTTCGTGGGCGCGATGCTGATTCGCGCCGTCCCTAGCCTCGCGAAGCCCTCCTCAAGTACGCGGAAGCTGGCGCGAAGGATCCCAAGTGGACTGCAGGTGCGCGTCGCATTCCCGGCCGATCGCGTCCCCGACTGACGTGGCGCCTTCCTTTTCTGTCCAAATTCAAACTCCGCTCCGGCTTTGTCCCTGTTTTCGCCGCCAGCCTGGTCGGTCAACCAGCCCAAGCCTGTGTTTGCGGACGTCCCGGAGGAGGAAGACGAGGAAGAAAAGTAGATATATGTGTGTATTTCTTAGCACGCCCTGGGGAGGGCAGCCTGGGCAGCGAGCAGGCAGCCGCAAACGCGCCTTGGTCGCAAAGCCGAGATCTGAACTTAAATTTATTTGGATCCCGTATAAAAGGAGCCGGCGTCCCGTTTCAGACCTTTTTCACTTGACGCCCCTTCCCCCCCTTCCCGGTGAAATCCCACCCACCCGCTCATTACGTAATGTCCACCGCGCCGAATGATGTTCCGCTCGACGTTGTCCACGACGGCGACCACATCAACGGCGACACCGCGCCGAACGGCGTCAACGGTCACAAGCCGAACGGCACCGCCGACGTGGACAGTCCCGTCACCGCCGTTGACCCTGCTGATGCGCCGAACCACAAGATCGACATAGACTGTCCTGAGCCTGAGTCGGACGTTCGTAGCGAGCCATACATTGCGAAGCCCACATCTATGCCCCCGCCCTTGCCGGTGGTTGAACCTGTGCCCCTGGACGGCGTGAATAAGGTGGAGGAGCCTCTCGACCGCGCCCAAGACGCGTCGACTATGCCCCAGGTTGGTTCCCCTCATGAGCCTGGTGCGTGCCATACATCCTTTCGACGCGTCTTCCACTAATGCATGCCCCAGCCGACATCGATGAACCCATGGAGCCCCAAGTTGACACGGAAATGACATCCGTCGTCGTGAATGACGCGCCTGACGCCCCCCATCCTGCCCCCGCTGTCGACGATGCTCAGCCCGACGCTCCACTTCCCGACGAGCACGCCGTAGACACATCGCCTGTAGACGCGCCTGGTGAAGGAGACGGGGACGTCAAGATGGAGGATAGCGTGCCGCCCGATAGCACCCCTGCTCCGACACCAGGCCCTGCCAATGAAAACATTGCCACCAACGACGACGATCACGCGAAGCCACCTCCTGCGAAGCGCGCGCGCGTGCATTCGGACGCGGACCAAGCATCTTTCACACATGTGAGTAGCTCTCTTCTCATCGTGCGCCGCTACTGGCGTGCTAATCGCCACCGCGTCCTTTCAAGTCCGTAACACCTCCTCCAGCGTCGGCCACCGCGTCTCACGCGCAGACGCCCACCCCCGCCCCGCAGACGCCTGTCTCAGCATACCCTCCGCCAACTCATTCGTCGCCACAGGGTCCCACCACTATCACCCGCGACCAATTTCGCTTCATGCAGTCGACTGTGCGCTCGCTCAAAAAGCTGAAGGATTCCGGACCCTTCCTTCGTCCCGTTGACCCCGTCGCTGAGAATGTTCCCCACTACCCCAGCATCATCAAGAACCCCATGGACTTCGGGACCATCGAGCGCAAGCTGTCGTCGTCAAACCCGCAAAAGCCCGACCCCATCCCCACGAATCCACGCTACCGCACCGCCGAGGACTTTATCGCCGACGTTCGCCTCATCTTCCACAACTGTTATACCTTCAATGGGCCGAACCATGTGATCTCTGCTATGGGTAAGCGCGTCGAGGAAGTCTTCGACAAGCAGATCAAGAACATGCCTCCGCCCGGCGACTCTATGGTGAGTGCTTTCGTTTACGCCTTCTGTCGCGGCGATGCTTACCGCGCGCCAAGCCTACGAAGCTGCCACCCGTGAAGAAGCAGTCCACGCCCCAGCCCGTCGCACATCACATATCGGCTCCGCCTGCTGCGCGCAAGAAGCAGCAGCCTGTAGCACGGCGTCCATCGACGGCAGGTGTGCCCGCGATACGACGTAACGAGAGCGACGCGGCGATCAGCGGGCGGCCGAAGCGCGAGATTCACCCTCCTCCGCCCAAGGATCTGCCACACGCGGAAGCGAAGCGGCCGAGGAGAATTCGGGCAGGGAAGGACGATGGCACCTCGGAACAGTTGAAATTCTGCCACAAGCTTTTGACAGAGTTGTTCAAGCGGCAATACTACGATGCAGCGCAACCGTTTTACGAGCCCGTTGGTGCGTGTATCGTCTTCCTAACACAGATGTATATTCATCAACCTTGTAGACCACGTACTCATGAATATTCCTACGTATCCGAAGATCATCAAGAGTCCCATGGACATGAGCACCATGCGTCGAAAGCTTGCCAATGATCAGTATCCGACCGCGCACCACTTCCGCGACGACTTCAAGCTCATGATACGCAACTGCTTCACGTTCAACCCGAAGGGGACACCGGTCAACCAGGCGGGTGTCGAGCTGCAGCGTATCTTCGACGAGAAGTGGAAGAACCTGCCGCCTCTGCGCACCGGTAGCGATCGCGATGACGACGACGAGGACTTCGACGAGGACATGGACGACGACACTGGCGTGGATGGTGAGCATACTATACCTGCTCTGCACTTTTACTTCGTCTGACGCATGCCAAGGTCGCCTATCTGAGATGGAGCGCGAGATGCAGGAGCTTCAGCACAAGATGGAGGCGCTGAAGAGAAAGAAGCAGCAGGAGGAGGCGGCGAAGAAGAAGAAACAGCAGCAGGAGAGAAAGGCTGCAAGAGAAGCAGCCGCGGCAGGACCGTCCGCGCCCGCCCGTCCTCCCAAACCCGTGAAGAGCAGCGCACCGCCTCCGAAGAAGAAGGCGAAGAAGGAGAAGGAAGACGACTCGCTCACGTTCGACCAGAAGAAGGAGCTGAGCGAGGTGATCAGCACGCTCGAGGGTCCCAAGCTCGAGCGCGTCATCAAGATCATTCACGAAGGCGTCCCTGAGATTGCTGCTGTACGTGCCTTGGCCCTGGGTCGAAACAGGGTGCTTACGATCCACAGAGCAATGAAGAGATCGAGCTCGAGATTGACTTGCTGCCGTCGCATGTCCTCACTAAGCTTTACAACTTCGTCGTGCGCCCGACCAAGGTCCAGCCGCCAAAGCGCACTCGGCCAGGCGGCGGCAAGGGTACGGGCACGGGCGGGTTGAAGCGCAAGAGCATGGACGAGGACGCCGAAGCGGAGAAGATTCGCGTACTGGAGCAGCGGATGGCGCTGTTCAACGGCGGCGGGGCGGACCCTGGGTCGGCCTCTGCGCCTGCGATCGGCGGCAACCCAGAGTTATCGGACTCGAGCTCGGACTCGGACAGTTCTGGCAGCGAGTCTGAGTAAGCTACTTACTTGCCTACCTATCCGCAGCGGCGCGCGTCGTACTTTTTTGTCCCTCTTGATCGCGTTACACCTCCCCGTTCGTCGTTTGTCGCATTCGAATCCCGCTTGTCCTCGTAGGTAGCTTTTACTTATGCTCATGCTCGTGCCGTATCTTCTTTGCCGTATGGTCCTATGGGTATGGCCCTTCTTGCCTCACCTCTCCTCTCGTCGTACATAGTGCTCTTTATTACTTACTTGGTCGAGGTCGAATAAACTGTAGCGTACAAGCCCAATGCATTTCTTATGCTTAGTTTCGTTCTCGAAGAGCGAGGGTCCGTTCCTTAATATATGCGATAGTCAACGTCGATAGGTATGCGAAAGCAATGGGATAGCGAGTTCAGTATGACAGTCCGATATGTGTGGACAATAGGTGGATAGGCAGATGGAAAGGCTCAGCGTCGCCCGCGTCCCGCCTTGAAGCTCTGCCATGAGTTGCGACTAGCAGCCGATTTCGATTCGGCCTGGATAGACGCAGCTTGCTTAGCCTTCGTCGGCGTCGGCGCTGGTGCTGCAACGGCAGGAGGTACGACGGACGGTGTCATATCCATGGGCTGATGCGGTGCGATGGAAACCTGTGCCCATCCTCCTCGCGCGGTGGGAAGAGGTTGAGGCGACGGTGTAACGTCGCCAGAGGCCGCTATCTGTCCTCCTGCACGGAAGGCAGGGTGTGCCGCCGCACTACTTGTTGTCGAAGGACCTTGCGCAGGTGATGGGTCACCTCCAACCGTAGCCCAGCCCCCCTTCTTGAAGCCTTGCGCAGGCGGAGGGTTGCTAGGCGCAACCGTCGCCCAACCCGCTGCCTTGAAGCCGCCTTCCGCTGGTGTCGTATCCATCGGGGCATGGCCCGCAGGCTCCGCGACCGAGGGCTGACCTGGAGCTGACGCGACCACCGCAGGAGCCACCGCCGGCTTCGCCATCTTGATGCCCTGGGCCTTCGCGAGCTTGCGCAGCTCCTTCTCCTCGCGGCGGCGCTCCTTCTCCTTGCGGCGCTCGACCTCGTCCGCAGCCTGCATGCGCACGCTCGCCTGCAGGTCCTTCGCGCGCGCCTTGTGGTGGTGCGCGTACGAGTTGGTGTGCTCGTCGTACTGGGCAACGTTCTTGAACTGCTTGTCGCAAAGGGCGCAGTAGAAGGCTTTGAGAGTTTCGGCGATCTCCATTTGGACGGCGGTGCGTTTGGCGATGGAATTCTGGGGGAGGGGGATCAGCATGTTAGGAAGGGGCGCGGGTATAGAGGGTAGTGGCGTACCTCACGGCTTTCGCGTTCTTCGACGGTCTCCTTGCGCATGCGCTCGGAAGTGAGCTCGCGGCGTTGGGAAACGGTGGTCTCGATCATGCGGACGTCCTGACTGATTTTGCCGACGCCCGTCAAATCCTGCTTGAGGTTGAACGGAATGGGATCGACTCTGGCTAAAGGACGGTCAGCGGAGCGCGTCGGGAAATAGAGAAGCCTACTCGCCATCTTCCTGAAGTCCCAGAGGTTGACCCTCGGACCATCCCAGTTTCCTCAACATGGCAAAACCAACGTTGGTGGGCTTGATCTTCGTTTCAACGGTGACTTCCTCGTGGGCTGGGCCTGACGGATATTCGTGATATCCCAAGCCAGAGTCTACATCCATGGCATCTGGACGAGGGGAAGGGGACCTGGAAGCGATCGACACATCGTCGTCTTCGTCGTCGGGACGGGGACGCTAGTGACGATTGCGGCAAAAGGGCAGTACACTGCAAGTTTCCGGAGGGGTTTCAGAGTACCTTCTGTGCGTTCGGATGTTCGGGCTGGCGCTCGAGGGGGATAGCGTTCCAGCGTGCGATGGTGCTGGCAGACATGATGATGGTTCAGGACGAGCAGGCGGAGGTGAGCCTGAGGCTCGCATGACGCCCGGTTACGCCACATGGGTTCACGTGATCGTTTCAATCGAGACGCGTCGGTGCAGCGCTTGGCCACCCTGTTCGCTCCTTCGCGCGCCATGAGCTCCGATGACCTGTTCAGCGACATCGACGACGCCGCTCTTGCTGAGATAGACCGCATAGAGGCGGAGGCGACCCATAAATCCAAGGCCCCTCCCCCGCCTAAGCCATCGGTCCCGGACCCAGACGACTCATACTTTGACGACGATCTGGACATACCGACAGAGGAGCTTGAACGCCTGGATCAGTTCGTCGAAGACGCGTATGCTGGCAAGGCGAAACCCACCTCCAAGCCGGCTACGGCCTCTCGTCAGACTACCCTCTTCGGCGATGTACTCTCAGACGGCGCGTCGCGACCTAAACCTTTGTCACGCGCTTCCTCCTCGACCATTCAGCGCAGTGGGTCTTTCTCGCGAAGGGGAAGTGGCCGAGGACCTGTGAAGACGAAGCAATGGGACCATACGCAGTTTGCGAAGACTGGTCTGAAGCATGGCAAATCGAAAGGGAAGGGCAAGGCGCGCGACGAAGACGAGGAGGAGGACGAGGAAGAGGAAACCGTGGAGTTTGAGCAGTTTCCTGCTCCGTTCGTATCAGGTGCGTGAATAGGGCTTACAGATTGATCAATTACTGACAAGGCCATAGTCGGGTGAGTGAAGTGGAATACGGTACTTGTATGCGTGCTTACGGGAACCTTTGCTACGTCCCAGCGGTGTATGTCCCCCTCCATTCCCGCTCATATACTGTATCTCAACATTAATAGCCCCCTCCAATGAAACTCAAACCCGACCTACTCGAGGCTAAGCACTGGATCTATCCCCTCAATCGCCCCAAACGCGACTACCAATTCAATATAGTCAAACACTGTTTGTTCGACAACACCATAGTCGCCCTACCCACCGGTCTAGGGAAGACATTCATTGCTGGCGTCGTGATGCTCAATTGTGCGTGCCCCGTCCTTGTCCAGTACGGCAAGCCTGGACTGACGTCGGTGCAGTCTACCGATGGTTTCCCGAAGGCAAAGTTGTCTTCGTAGCGCCAACTAAACCCCTAGTCGCGCAACAGATTGAAGCTAGTCACAAGACGTGTGGTATCCCCGGTAGTGACGCAGTTGAGCTTACGGGGAACGTCCCAAAGGCAGCGCGCGAAAGAGCAGTACGTCCATCACGCCCTGCACGCTGATGTGTGCTAACGTTCACAGTGGTGCGAGAAGCGAGTGTTCTACATGACACCGCAGACGCTGCTCAACGACCTCACAAAGGGGACCTGTGAGGCCTTGGATATTGTACTCATTGTCGTTGGTATGTGATGCGGATGTATGCGTGATCTATTGACATTGACAGCCGCGCAGACGAAGCTCACCGAGCCACCGGCGACTACGCATACAACCAGGTTGTGCGCTACATGATGGCGAAGAACCCCCATTTCCGCTTACTGGCGTTGACCGCGACGCCGGGGAGCACACCGGAAGCCGTCCAGAATCTCATCGACGGGCTGCATATTAGCAACATCGAGATTCGTGATGAGAATAGCATCGATTTGAGACAGTACATCCACGAAAAGGTATGCGTAGAGGCGCACGCTATCTCTGGTCGCTCACGAAGCTACGACAGAAAATCGAGCAACATATTATACAGATGGACGCCAACATTAGGAAGATTAGAGACCCGCTTGCCAGGCTTATGACGGTGGGCGATCTGCGAGGATGTTGTAAAGCGCAAGCTGACGGTGAACACAGGAAATCGTCAAGCCGATTGAGAACATACTGCGCGGCACGAAGGACCCGTGCCGCATCAACTCGTTTACACCGCAAGCTCAGCAGCGCGAGCTGAAGAGTCACCAGAACTGGGCGCGCGTGCCTCTGATGCACACGTCCAGGCTTGCGCGGATTATGGGGTATCTGGTGAGTTTTACACTTCCATCATTGTTCCATTTTCACCCTCATGTACTCTCTATTCTTCGTTTATTAACCAACAAAACAAAGCTCGAAGGCACCATCGGCATGTGTTACAACAGCGTCAAGGAGATCGAGCAGGACGTCGACGACCCAAAGAAGAAGGGCGGGAAGAAGCTCGCGTCGAACCCGCTTTTCAAGGAAGTCGCGAAAGCCCTCGAGCAGCAGCGCCGGCCGCAGCCCGACCCCGAGCACCCGGGCGGCTTCAGCATGCACCCGAAGATGGAGAAGGTGAAGAGCATCATCATCGACCACTTTGCGCAGGAGATGGCGGAGAATGAGGGGAGGGACGTCGAGAATGAAGCGCACAACGCCGCGAAAATTGAATCACGAGTGATGGTGTTCGTGACGTTCCGCGAGGCGGTGGAGGAGATTGTGGATGCGCTAAACTTTGAGCGGCCGTTGATTCGGGCGACGAAGTTTGTGGGGCAGGGGCTGGATAAGAAGGGCGGGAAGGGGTTGGCGCAGAAGGAGCAGTTGGCGGTGAGTGGTTTTTTGTCTCTGCCGACTGGATGAGGGACTGATGTTTGGAAAAGACGGTCGAGAAGTTCAAGGCGGGGGAGTATAATGTGTTGGTGGCGACGTCGATTGGCGAGGAGGGGTTGGATATCGGGGAGGTCGACCTGATTGTGTGTTATGACGCACAGAAGACGCCGATTCGTATGGTGAGCTATCCCCTTCACGCTTATCATTGGATTATGGCCAACATCGCATACAGCTGCAACGCCTCGGTCGTACCGGTCGCAAGCGCGCTGGCGTCGTCCATGTCCTACTTGCCGAAGGTCGTGAGGAGCTCAATCTCGAGAAGGCCAAGGAAGCCTACAAGCACGTCCAGCAGAGCATCACCCGCGGCGAATCACTCGAGCTCTACGCTGACGTCGACCGTATGCTGCCCGACCACATCAAGCCCGAGTGCCTTGAAAAGGTCATGGAGATCCAGGAGTACGTTCGCGAGGAGCCCCGCTCCAGGTCTGCTGCCTCGCGCTCGAACTCGAACTCGACCTCGACGGCGTCGAAGAAGCGCAAGCGCAATGACGACCCTGGGCGGAACATCCCAGCAGGCGCCAGCAACACCTTCGTGAGCGTGAAGGACCTGATCGTGGCGGGCGCGAAGAAGCGGAAGACGTCGATCAAGGAGCGGGACTTCAGCGATGCTGGGACAGACGATGAGGACGACCTGGCAATTGAAGCGGGCTTGGACGTCAATCCCTCGTCTTTCCGTCGTACGGCGTCGGAGAAAGCGCCGGCCAAGCGCAAGTCGGGCGAGGCGGGGAAGCTGAAGCGGGCGGCGACGACGGCTGGGACGACGCAGGGGAGGAAGAAGAAGGCGGAGGATGAGGATGGCAAAACTAAGGGGAAGGGGAAGGGGAGGAAGAAGCAAGAGGAGAAGAAGGAGTGGACTGCGAGTCAGTTTGAGAGGGCGGGGGCCAGCGACTCCGATGATATGGAGGTTGAGGCAGAAGCCGTGCCTATGATGGGCTTCCAGAGTGCGGCGGCGCTGCATAATCGTCGACGGAAAGCGACGAGCTCTACGTCGAGGTCGAGCTCGCCTGAGGTGCCTATTGCCAATACATCTACGACGCTGGCTTCTTCACCTTGTGAGTGCGCAAGCTTGGAATTGAGGCCGTGCACTCACATTATCGACAGCCGTTTCGCCAAGGAAGAGGAAGAAACGTGTCTCTCTGTCCTCATCACCCGAGCGACCTATACGGGCACCGATTGACATCGAGTCCTCACCAGAACCTGACACGCCCTCGCCCCGACGCTCGCCTTCGGTCCATTCGTCACCTGCCCCGCTTGTTGACCACAAGGACGATAGTATGGCGTGGCTCGTCGACGATGACGACGATAGCAATGGGGACATTGAGATCGTCAAATCACCTTCACTGGATTCCTCTCCACCTCCACCTCCCGCTCCGCGACGTTCAACATCACGGGCACCTCAAAGGAAACCAACTTCGCCTGCACCTCCTACTGACGACAGTGACATTGAGGTCGTTGACGCGATCCCAGCGTCTCTACCGCCGCCTCGCGCCACGAGTAGAACGCAAGGCGAACGGTCACGGAAGCTTGCTCGGATCCGAACACCGTCACCGCTGGCAGACGTCTCCATGGACGTGTCAATGGAAGTCGATGGAGAGCGAGTGATGTGGCCGAGGCAGTCTACCCCTGCGCACCGTGCGGCAGGCCCTTCTGGTGCCCACATCTCCGCAGATGTAGGATGCAGCCGCCCTTCCAAGTTCAAGCCTGCAGGAGCCCTGCACAAGCAGTTGTCCACCGCCGAGGAGGACTCACGTGCGATGCCTCCACCTCCCATTCCGTCGGCCAGGTCGAATCCGCAATCGTCGCCTTTGGGGCCTCCGCCTTCGCAGCCTGTGCGCGTACCGAGTAGGAAGAGGGCTCGTGTCATCGACATACCTTCAGACTCTCCGGACCAGCATAATTCACCACCGCGTCGTCGTCTCTTTCGCCGTGAGGATTCGCCGTCGGAAGAGATGCGCAGGAAGCAGAAGGGCAAGGGGAAGGCACCGCTCGCGCCGCGCAAGCATAACCCTCTCTTTGACTATGCGGCGGATCACTCGGGCGACGAGGTCAGCGAGGGCGAGTCTGGGAGCGAGGAAGAGGAGACGGAGGAGGACCGTCGATTCCTCACGGAGGTGCCGTCGACGCAAGCTTCGCCCTCGTACCAGCAGACCCAAGCGTATATGCAGGGCCTCATGACGCAGGCGCCGAACGGCCTAGCGTTTGGGGGGCGACCAGTACGACGGGGGAAGTTCGGTCGCGCGGAGGTCCTCACCAACAGGAGACGAGAGGGTGTCTCGAGCTCGCCACCCCCAGAGGAGGACAGCGAGCCTGACGAGTATGTACACGGAAGCTTCGTGGTGGACGACGACGCTGAGATTTCCTACCTCACCTCGAGCGAGTCGTAGCAGGATGGGACAAAGGTTTCGTGTAGACGGTGTGCTGTTATCGTATTGCTTTGCTGTACTCTCTCCTCGGTCAATTTTGGACAATTTATCTGTAGCTTATCGAATTTCTCTGGACCTACCACGACTGCAGCAGTCATCGACGTTGTGGGTGCACCTCATCGCACGCCATCAAAACGCGACAGCCAATCGCAATTTGGCGCGCCGCTAAACATGCTCACGCGCCAATCGGAGTTGCCGTGGACCCGGCCAGTCGCGTTTATAAACGCGGGGGAACCCTGCAGTATATCAGGACCCCGGAATATACGCACAAAGGCCGTCCTGGAAAATCCGGCTCTGGCGCCCATTTATCCACTTTTTTTTTGGGTCCCCGACCCCCAGATTTATCCGTTTTCTGGGACGGCCTCTCGGGACCCCCAGAATTTATCCGTTTTCTCGGGACGGCCTCAAAAATGGCAATAAAATCGGGAAAAATCTGATTTTTTTCTTCCAGGGTCCCTACGCGCTCTGCGCGTAGCGTCTGCAACAAAAGAAGGCTGAGAAGTACAAAAGAGAGAGCTTATTGCCTCCCATACCCATTCGAGGTGCTACCACACACCGCTGTCCTTCGAAATATCGAGCCTGCCAATGGTCTACTAGAAGGTGCCAATGGGCACAGGGAGGCTATCTAGGGTGCTACTGCCCGCTGTAAGAGAACGGCCACTTAGCTTACCGGTATCGCGTGCGTCTGGTCTGAGGGTAGGTCGGCGGTTCGAATCGACCGTCCGATATCCACTTTTTCGGCACGGCCTCCCTGTCTCCCCTGTGTATACCCGCGTTTTTGGACCGGCCTCCAAGCCCTCAGGCCCCCGATTTGACCGTTTTTTGGACCGGCCTACCGGCCGGAAGCCCCACGATTTATCCGCACCGCTGGACGGCCTATGTGCGTATATTCCGGGGTCCTAGTATATCTGATCTTTCCCTTTCCCCCTCTTCATCTTTCGACCTGCAGATTGCACCTATCACCTCTTTGTTGTGATGCTCTGATTCGTGTGCGCTCACAAGAGGCGAAGAAAGCAATGACTGGACGCGTTTTGTACTGGTTACGGCAAGCAACGCGACACGTCCACGTCCACTCACTGTCAATGTATCGAGGTTGACGTCCTCCGAATTGCAAAGGGTCGGCGCTGTCTTAAGGTGAGTGTCCTACTTACCCACCTGCTCTGTACTGACAGTAATTTAGGCACTTCAGATGCCCGTGATCCTCGCAAAGTCGGCTTGCTGTCCAGTTGACGTTGAAGGGGATTGTTGATGCCCCTCCAACTCGTGCCGTCGCCTTGGTCTTTCCTCCGACCGTTCGAGCCACCCAGTCTTCGTCCCCCTTCCCTCAGTCCTCTGAACTACGCGATCGTCCCTCTTACATGGAACCAACGGCTGTCAACTGTGTGATAGCTGCGGTCAATGGCTCACCCCGGTCTCCCGCGCTGTCGTCCATGGGCACCTTCCCCCTGCCGACGTCGACCTTCCGACAGCCATCTACTACCCCTGGCCATCATTCCCCGAGCCAGCTCTTGACTCGGGAACCTTCTGGGCGACGTTTCCATCGGTTACGAGCATTCCGTATCGTATGGGACCGCGACGAACGCTGGCTCGGTGAACGCCCTTTGGGAAGTTTCGTGCGCCTACGTCGGGCTTCGACGTGGACTCCAGGACACCGTTACGACGAGCCTGACATGTGGTTTGCACCATGAGAATTTCCAGCTCAGTGGAAGACGTGGCATGCCGCCTCCATTCCCGGCTCCGACCCCACTTTCCCTTAGGGAATTTGGCTTGTTCAATTGAACGTAGCGCGATGCCAGCTCTGACCATCCTTTTCCTCGTCGCGTATAGCTCCGTTTGAGAGCTAGCGGTCCACTAGCGGCAGACGGTTGGCCGCTGCCTACCTCTCAGTCAATTCACGCTTTCGAGTGGATTACCCCATCCACCTTCTCCTCCTTGCGCTGCATCGCAAGACCAACCGCATTCTGTTGCCGCTGCAAATACACCAACGTTGCCGTCCAGGACTCCGTGCCTATCGAGACTCGAGAGCACAATGGATACGCCCGTGCGGCAAGGCGATGTGCAATCTCTCCATCTGCGCTCAAGATAGGGGCCTGCCGGCAATCGATGAGATCATCCGGCGCCTGGGGTATATAAGGCCGCACGAGGTTCTGGGCAGCCTCAACCACGTCTTCCATCCACAAGGTCGAATTCAACATGTACTCCGTGCGTTTCTGCCTTGCCTCTGCTCGTGTTAGACGTGCGTACTGACGAGGCCCTGCAGACTGAGATCCCCAAGAACCAGGCCTGCGGCAACTCGACTTGCTCGTGCGGCGACAAGTGCGTTGCTCTCTGTCTTGCCATGTTCCGGCCATTCTGACGGTCTTTCAGGTGCTCCTGCGCTCAGGGCCAGTGCCAGTGCGGCAGCAGCAAGTAAAGCGCTCGCGCTCGCCATCATCATGCTTCCACCCCACGAACTCGGCAATGGGACTGTAGCTGTAGCCTGAAGAAAACGTCTTTAAACCCAATAAATGTATTGTAGCCCGGTAACATGGGATCTTTGCACCAGCATCTGCTTGTCTGAACGTTGTGAGAGGAGTCGAAGTTTGGCATGAGACCTGGAGTCGTCCGCAACCCTCGTGTCAAGGTCACCGCGCAACTCTGCCCATTGGAGCCCAATGAAGCTCTGAAGCATATGTCTTTCTGTTGTCACTGTAAAGCTGCTATATGGGACCGCGCAATGCGCCATAAGTGAGGCGCGTCAGAGTCTCCGCCACAACGACGCTGCAATGGTGATGATGTGCCCCGGCGTCATGTAATCGACGACTTGTTCCGAACGTCGAGGTTGTCCTTCCCGGCCATGCACCCCAGTCAAGTCTAAGCTCGACTTGGGTACTGCTCTTACTCACCGACATGCCCTCCGACTCCTCGAGGAACTCAGTGGACTATGTGATCCGCTCGGTCATCGCAGGCGGTGTTGCTGGCGGCGCTGTGCGTGCCCTCACCTGCCTCGCACTCCTTGCAGTCTGACTGATCGTCGTGCTGCTCCTGCTAGGCCAAGACGGCGGTCGCGCCACTAGAGCGCATCAAGATCCTCTTCCAGACGCATCATAAGGAATTCGTTGCTTATTCCGGTGCGTAGAAGGGCTTCGCGCCGAGGAGAGACCGTTGCTGACGCCCGGTCCATCAGGCAACTGGAAGGGAGTATGGCTATCGCTGAGGCATATCTTGCGAACGCAAGGAGTGTCTGGGCTGTATAGAGGGCATTCACTGACGCTCGCAAGAGCTGTGCCGCATGCGGCGGTGGGATATACCCTGTATGAAGGCGCGAAGAAGGTACGTAGCCCTTGTCCAACGGTCTATGATCGTGCTGACTGGTCTGTGCTTCGCAAGGTCGTAATGCCTACGCGTGAGTTGGAGACACCATTCAGGAGGACGCTTGTTGGCGCTGTAGCTGGTACGTGAAGCTTTAGCGCCCGTCCAAACCTGCCGATCATCCATCTCCCTCTGTACCATTCTCTCCTTTCCCATCATTCTCCCTTCTCTCGAGCCTCCACGTCTGCGCTCCTTCTTGACGGGCGATTCACTGCACATTATGTTCGCTAACACGTATTCAGGCGTGTCTGTACTACCCATCACATACCCCTTTGAGCTCATCCGCGTCCGGATGGCCATGGAAGCAGACCCTACCGTCAAGCCCGACCTACGCGCCGTCCTCCGTTCCATCTACTCGTACGAAGCCTCATTGAATCCCGTCTCCTCTCGCGGCACCATCCTGCACTTCTACCGTGGTTTCATGGTCACGGCTATCGGCACTGTCCCATATCGAGGTGGTATATTCTTGGTATGGGAGACCATGAATGCTTGGGCAAGGGACAAGTCATCACCTGAGTTTCGTGCTCAGAACCAGCACAAGATACACCTGGCTATCGGCGCTATTGCTGGGACGACCGCGCAGGTCGTGACCTATCCTTTGGAAGTGATCCGGCGAATGCAGCAGGCGAGTGGATATTGGCTGGCTGCTGCAGGTGTACAACCCATGAAGGACCAGTACGCCTTCAAGAGCACCGTGCAGAAGATCTGGCGGACGAGTGGATGGCGGGGATATTACGCAGGGCTGGGTATTGGACTGGTGAAGCAGGTTCCGATGAACAGTATATCTCTGTCGGTATGGCAGGCAATGAAGAGTGTTTTGGATATATAATTGCGTTAGCACGGTATTCCATAGCGGCCATAAAGTCAGAGCTCACGTCGAACTTGAAGTTCGCCTGGTCACGACGTCCCGCCGGGGTTTGCCGGCGCCATGTGCGATTCAACTTCCGGAAATGTCAACGCGTTTGTTGCTTTTTGACCTCATCATCGACCGCTGGCCTGGGATTTCGTGCCGCTCGCTCTCTCATCCGTACTGCCCATCCGCCAACTTCCCCCACGACGCCCCTTCTCGTACATTCATGCTGTACGACCCCTCCACCGCAAAGCAATTGAAACCATGGCTTGTCCGGACGCTTGAGCCAATGTGCGTGGTCCTGCGGCTGACTGATGGAACGCAGCTAATGAACTGCCATAGCTGCGATGCTGAACCAGGTGCTTTGGCGGAGTACATTCTGGCCTTGTTGAAGCACAATGGCCCTGAGAGCGATCTGCGGAAGGAGTTGACCGTGCAGCTGGAAGAGTTCCTAGAAAAAGGTGCGTAGTAAGACCATGTTCCGAGGAACACCGGCTGACGCCACGATGCAGAGTGCTCTCGCTTCATTGACTCCCTCTTTGGCGTGCTCCGCTCCAAATCTTACCTTCCCTACGACGCGCAAGGCCCCGGAGATGCCGGGATCCCCATTCCTCTCGATGCGCTGGTCCCCTCCATCCCGGACGGCCCCAATCGTAATCGCAGGAAGCGCGACCTGGACGATGTCGACGACCGCGCACATCCCCCGAAGGGCCCGCGATTATCCCATGAGGCTGCACGCTACCGCGATCGTGACGCTGGAGGCGGCGCTTATGACCAACGGAACGGTCGCGGCAACTGGGCAGGACCAAGCAATCAGCCAATGAACGGCCCGGGTGGACCTATGGGCATGAACATGAACGGAGGGATGGGAATGAACCCGATGATGCAGGCGCAGATGCAGCAGGGCCGTGTGAGCTACCAGCCGCCGGATGCAGCGCGGAGAGGGCTTTGCAGGGATTACCACAGTCAGTCTTCTCGTATCCTTCCACCTGCTCTCGAGCTGACTGGCATCAGACCATGGCTACTGCTCAAGAGGCGACATGTGCAAGTACAGCCACGGAAACGAAGCCTTCGTCCCGGGAATGGCCATGGGCTTCCCAATGGGCGCCGCCGGCAATGGGTTCATGCCTATGATGATGAATGCCGCTGGCTTCACAGGTGATAACGCTGCATACGACCCGAATGATCCTGCTCTCGACATCCGCGTGCCAACTGCCCCTGCTGCTCTCCGCAATGGCGTCAATAACTCTCGCGCTCCCTACCTTCGCCGCGAACAACCGAACCAACGCATCCTGAACTCCTCCGGCGAGCTCCCCGTCATCCAAGATCTGACGCCTCAGAAAAAGCAGATGCAGCAGGCGGCACAGCAAAACGGCAACGGCGGGGGTTCGATGGACGAGTCGGCGAACGACGGGAGACCAAAACGCGGCAAGCGGGGGAGCGGTGCGACCAAGAAGGGCGCCAACTCCGCGGCCGAGCACTCAGCTGCTCTACGTCCTCCTCGAGGAAGCACGAAAACGCTCGTCGTGGAGAAGATACCCATGGAGCACCTCACAGTGGACGCGATCACGACGTGGTTTGCGCGTTTCGGCACCGTTACGCACGTCGCGATTGATCCCAACTCACGGCGAGTAGGCAACGGAAAGGCTCTGGTGTCTTTCGCCGACGTCCCGGATGCACAGAAGGCATGGAAATGCGAGGACGCCATTTTCGGGAACCGCTTCGTACGTGTGTTCTGGCATCGGCCCATGGAGGGGCATGGTCAGCGCGGTCTGCAGGCTCTGGAGAAGAGCGCGGACCAGGTTGCCCGCGTCAATGACATGGAGGACGTGAAGGCGACCCCGGCTGAAGCTACGAAGCCTCAACCTGCAGCTGCTCCCGCGAAGAAGCCGACAGGAGCCGCTGCAGCACTCGCCGCTCGCCAGGCTCTGCTTGAGAAGCAGATCGCCGAGCAGAAGGAGCTCATGGGCAAGCTCACTGCCCCGGGCACAACGACAGAGGAGAAGAAAGAGCTTATGGCGCGGCTTCGGACTCTCGGCGAGGAGATGAAGAAGCCCGCCGCGACGCCGGACGACGACCGCGAAAAGCAGGAACGCGAGCGGCTCGATAAGGAGCTCGAGCTCCACCATGCCGGCGGCGACGAGATGGAGGGGGTCAAGGAGGGTAGCGCCGACGGCGAGACGGCGGAGACGTTGAAGGCGAAGCTCGAGCGTCTGCGGTCGGAGGCAGCGAGCTTGGGCATCAACCCGGATGCACCGCTGTCGGCGCCGGCGCCGAGCTATCGCGGTGCTTACCGCGGGCGGGGACGTGGTAGGGGACGTGGGACGTTCTTCCGCGGAGGCGCACCTGGCAGCATGAAGCTGGACAATCGTCCAAAGAAGCTGGTGCTGAAGGGTGTTGGCGCGGATGGACTGGAGCATGCCAAGAACTGGTACCAGGTTGGTTATCTAGTTCTGTCGCCATACATTTGCTCATGTGTATGCAGTCTACTGGCCAGCTCGACACGATCGAGAAGAGGGACAATGGCGATGTGGTCGTTGGCTTCAAGTCGCGAGCTGCTGCTGAACAGGTCCGTCTTTAGTCCACTAATTGGAGATAGCATACTGATGATTCCTCAGGCGCTTGCTAAAGGCAACGACGTCCCATCTTTGGGCCACGTTACCATCGTCTGGCATGGTGCATCCGCGCCGACTGCAACGCAATCATCAGCGTCCGCCGCAACGTCCAAGGGTGCTACGCCAGCGCCCGACCACGCTTCTCAGCCTACGGAGCAAGGAGAAACCGGTCATTCGTACTCGCCAGGACCAGAAGCGTCCTACTCGGGCGGAGCTGATTGGCATGACGATGTCGACGAAGCTGACATGGGGATGTGAATGTAGAGTGCCCCGTACGATGATCACGCAGCAGTTCCTCGAAGGAAGGAGAATAATAGTCATGCATGCATCGTTTACTTATTTTATTGCTGTACTACCTTACGCCGCCTTCGCAAAGAATCGTGCTCGGGTTCCCCGTGCGTCTGGAACCCGTAGCTTGTAGGCACCTATCCGTTTGAGAAGGTATCTCAAGTCTTGCACGAGAGTCAGGCAGGCTATCGCCCCTGGCGATAATCGCGTGCGGGCATGTGTGGCGCACGCGATTCGGCAAGCCCCGCACGGAAGCAAACGGCTCACGGAAGCAAATGCTCCTTGCTCGCGATCATGGTCTCGATTTCGCGCAACGCCCGCCGCCACGGCAGCAAGCCTCAGGACCGCCGAAGCATGAGGATTGCGACCCCATTTCTCCTCTCTCATCAGCCCATTGAGGCCCGATATGGATTTTTCGACGATCTCCGTCGACCAGCGGACACCGCTTAGCGCGCTCCTTGCGATGCGTTCCCAGCGTTGCTTTGTTCGATGCCGCGCCCTTGCGGTCCCTGCTTCCCATGACTCAGAAATCAGACATATTCTGCTCACTTTTCAACATCTACGCACAACCTTTCGACACCATACGGGGTAGCGTCGAGCCCAGCAACGTCGCGGAGTCAGGTGCGTGATGCATCGATGAGGACTGTGGCAGCAGGCTTCCATTTTCTCCCAGAGCTGCGTCCCCGCCGCGCCGATGAGCCACTCACGGCCTGCGGTAGCCGCGCGTAGGCCGCGAGGTATAGCGGGCGATAACGGTGTGGCGCCGATGTCGCCTGCTCGCGAACGCAGAGTACGCAGGGGACCCTGCACGCTCCTCCCACGCGAACGAGGGCTAATTGTTTTTCGTGTCCCGCTAGCGCCCGTACGGTGCGCCGGGTCGGAGATAATTACCCTTGGTCCAGCCGTGGTGGGAACGGTGCAGCAATTTCGCGAGCATGCCCGCTGCAGTCTGCGAGCGCTGTAGCACGTTTGGCGTCCCCCTCAAAGCTAGCACGCTATCAGACTACATAGGCATGTATGGGCAGCCTTCTACTACTCACGAATGAAAGCTATCTATCCATCGCGGGCCCACTGTCTGCAATACACCTGCTGTCAGGTGGCGATGGCTGCATCCCACGGTAGCACGCTGGGCGGTCTTCGCACTGATATCCTGGGGTCCCCGCCGGGAACTCGGCCGGCCCACCTGCTGCCGGTCCTCCACACAATTGCAATTTGAACGCCCTATAAAGGGCGCCTTTCCTTGCTTTCTTCCCCCTCTCACCGAACCCCCATCAGCCAACGAGCGCCGAAGTCGAACTACCCCTCATCCTACTCTGAACTTTGGCCCATCCTACCTTTCGTCGCGATGATCAGCACTCCGAAGCCCTTGGGCGTCAGCGCCTCCAACATAAAGAAGAGGGTCGTCGCGAAGCTTGCCACGACCTTCAAAGTCAAGCCCCGCTTCTCGAGCAACCAGTCGCCCGACGATGTGGCAGACAGCTTCGAGGAGTGTAGCTTCGACAGCCGCGGTCGCATCAGCGAGGGTAGGTTGCATTCGCTAATGTGGCGCGGACATCCATTGACGCCTACCATTACCAGTCGTCCAGAATGTGAAGGACACCTCCACGCTGACCACCGCGATGGCCAACATCGGCCTGCAACCACCCACGGACAATGTCCAGGCCTCCGAGCCCACCACCGACGCCGTTTCCTCTACGGAGGGCGGCCCATCCACCCCTATTCCAACCCCCGCTACCGCCATCGGCAACACTGCCTCAGGTGGGTTAGATCATCTAACGTCAGCGCTTCGTTATGCTTATCATCTATCGCAGCCGATGTTATCGATGATGCCCAGGCTTCGTCGGCCCCCGTCCCATCTACCACTACTATTGCTACCACTACCACCACTACCACCACCACCCCAACTACCCCTTGCATCGTCAAGCCTGTGCCGGTGACGCGTGAGTACCACGTCCCTCTTCGACATGATTCCTCGCTAACGCCCATCTAGCCGTCCCCTACTCAGTCTTCCAGGAAGGCTGCAGGATCGCCGCCGACCAGCTTCGCGACCGCGCGTCCCCGCGCCGCGACACCCGCCGCTACAGCCCGCTCTCCTCGCGCAGCGGCAAGACCACCACGAGGGACCGCGTCCGCGCCATACGCGGCCTGTCCGACGACGAGTCCGACGACAGCGCCTACAGCGTCCGGTCCCCGTCGCCCAAGCACGCCCTCGGGCACCTGCTCAACGAGCAGGACATCGCGCCCGTCTCGCGCGAGGCCTCGCCTTCGCCGGCCTACGCCGCTGTCGCCGCCGCCGCCGCCGCTGCCGTTCAGCCTGAGGCTGTTGACGACGCTACCCACCACGAGGCCGCGCGCGCCGAGCTCGCCGATGACGAGGGCGACGAGTCGAGCGTCAAGAAGACCAAGGTCACCACCGCTCGCACCACCAGCCTTGACACGCGCAAGGTCCGCCAGAAGGCCTCCGCGATGGTTCGCAAGCTGGACAACGGCAGCCGCCACGCCGTGCAGAAGAGGAAGAAGGCCTCTGCCAGGCGCCCGGTCAAGAAGAATATCCACCCACCCGCCTGCTTCTTGTGGGCCCTTTATTTCAACCGGGTTGCCGATGGCACCGCGACGGAGGAGGACAGGAAGTATGTTGAGCAGCAGGAGCGAGAGCAGTACGGGGCGATGAGCGATGAGGAGGAGGAGGAAAGCGAGGAGGAGAGGTGCGAGGAGGAGGCGAGAGGTGTTACGGGGGAGAGGATGGGCGAGGAGGAGAGTGACGAGGAGGAGTCGGAGATGGAGGAGGTCATGGGCGCCGACGACTCGTTCGTCGTGTGTTTCAGCCTCTCGCCCGCGTCGTTTTCGGACGACGAGGAGATGGACAGCTCGGAGGACGAGTTCCTGGGCGCCGTGCCCGGGTACGTCGACTTCGGCCACGGAGACGCCGCCTACCCTGCCTTCAGCTACCTCGCCCCGGGCGAGTACGCGAAGGGCGGCTACGGCCCCTGGGAGGCGCGCGAGGACACGTACATGGACGGCAGCGACTACGCCTACCCCTACACCTACCCCCACTCGAACGGCGGCATGGACAGCGGCGACCGCGGCGACTTCGAGGAGGACGCGGCGATGGACGACGCGGACGGCGAGGCGGGCTACGCGGCGGCGGCGGGGGGTAAGTACGCGGCGTACCAACCCATGCTGGTGGGGCGGGGCGCGATGTACGGCGGCTGGTGCGGAGCCGCGATCGAGCTCGCCTAGATGGCCCCTTATGAGGGCCCGGCTTGGGGCCGGGCTGTAGCACTCGCGGTGAGGATGCGCTCGCTGGCTCGCTTAGGCTGAGCGTCCCTGACCATTCGGCCTCTGGGTTCTGCGTTGCGCTCGAGCTTCCTGCCAATGCTTAGTGCCCAATTCAATGTCATGTCTGATATCGTCGGCTAACGTCCAGATTCCTTGTTCTCGTCAACGTCTTCTGCAACAACATCCATCGTCACCTTCACCATCCACCACCACCACTATTCTCATCGCTGCGCCGTCCTCGTGTCCCAACTCCATGTCCATCTCCCCCGGCCTCGGTACTGTTACTTATAGGTAAGTTTCCTATCCTCTCTCGCCTCGGCCTCTTTGCTGACCATCTCCCCAGATTACTTACTGTCGTGTTATCAACCAAGAGCGCTCAATCATCGCTTTCAAGCTCTGTATCACTAGCTACCCGGTCTCGCTATCACCAACCGTGCTCCCAAGGGACACGAGTATATCTCATTGTTTTCTTTTCTCTGCTTTCCCGTCTCTCTCATCTCGCTATCCTCACAAACACCCACAAATCTCACAAAAACAGTTCTCGAGTTCCGATATATACAGGACGGACGGTCGCTGCACTGCAGCGCATATACCTACTTACATACAGGACACGGTCTTGGACCGTCGTCACCGCCGCCTCTCGAAGTCTCCGAAGTCTGCCGATTGCTTTCTACTACTATACTTATCTTGTTTTCGTGCTCGTCTGCTTACTGCATAATCAATTGCGCTGCTCTGGTCTCCTCTGCCTTGCGTGTGACGAGTGAAGCAACTGAACTTGGAGACCTTCAGTACCTGGGAATAGACTTGACCTTCGACTTCTCTGCCTCAATTGGCTTCGATCGAGTCAATCACCCCTTCTGGCTGATAGACGAAGGTAGGAAACGAAGGTGTTCTTCTATTGAATGACTGCTAGTGCTGCAAGGTAGTGTGTCGTGCGTGCGCATACAAGACTATGTACAAGAAACGTTGTCCTGCGTCGGATTAGATGGGTGCGTATGTTACAACCTCGGCGCCCATGATGCGTCTCGCGCACGTACGACGGACCTCGCCGCGTCCAGTGGGGTTCTCCGGGTTCGTCTGGGGCACTTAACGCGCCTGGTGCATCTGGTGCTCTATTCGGGTGCGTCTAGTCGCCTTCGCTGTCGTGCCAGCACTTTCGCCTTTTCTTCTCCTTCTACCCTAGTTGCGACCGCGCTTGTGGCGGTCCTGCGTCCCCGGGAGGCAAGGTGGCGGCGCGTCGAGGATCGTCGCGTCGTAAATCCTCGCCAGGGACCGTGAGCGGGGGATATGTACCCGAGCGGACGTACATAGACGGTACGCGCGGTACTGGCGGCAGATCTGGAGATGGAGAAGAGTACGGAGATGCCTCGGTGGAATTCGACAGCGAGGAGGGACCAGGGGAACGAGAGCGGGATGGCGAGCGGCGGGTGCTGGACGTCGAGCGGTGGGATGCGGAAGGTGCCAAATGCGACATGGTCGACATCGAACCTGCATGTGGCGTTAGCAAACGTGTACGAGATGACGAGGGTACGAGAAGCCTGTCAGACTCAATTTGATGGCGCCGACAGACAGGGGCGGATAATAATGAACGCGACTCACCGACGCTGCTGGACGACTGGCGCGAGGGCTCGACGCCGTCGTGTCGGTACGGCGCGGGCACCCACTTGTCGGCGATGCTGGCATCGCTCACCGAGTACATCGAGCCGCGGAGTTCGGCGGGATATGCGCCGGGGGCAAGGGGCGCGGGGAGTACGATCTGTATCTGCGAGCCTCGGGGGCCCATCGCCCGGCTGGTGCGGGAGAAGGTCGTGCTCCCACTCGCCGTGGACGTAGGTCGGGTGTGCGAGATGAAGCGAGGGCGGGGGCGTGCGGAGTACGTCGACGAGGGAGAGGGGGACGGCGGAGTGTCATGGCCGGACGAGCTCTGGCCAGAGCTGAATGGCGGGTGCGGCGGCAGCGTGGTATCATTCGCGTCCATCGGCGGCTGGTAGAGCGAGCCCTCATCCGAGCTCGCCCCGCTCTCCGACGGCCCGAGCGAGTCGTGCCGAGACGGCGACGGCGGTGCGAGCAGGCTCGCGTCGCTCACGCTCACCGTGTACTGGCTGGCGATCCGGGCAGCTACCAAGGTGTCCTTGCGCTGCCGATGGTGCGCGAGCGGCTGCGGCGGGGGGAGCGGCGCCTTGTTGCGGCGGGCGCGCTGGCGGGCGAGTTGGATGCAGCGGACGAGGCCGGCGAGGAGGATGAGCCCGCCCACGGCGCCGCAGGACGCGGCGATGATGAGGTTGTCGCGCGAGAGCCCGGTCGTGGCGCGCGCGTAGACGGGCATGGCGGGGCAGGAGGGGCAGGGAGCGTGTGGGGGCAACGAGCGGTAGGTGGCGGTCTGGAGGGGGAGCGGACAGAACGATGTCCTTGACAAGTCCGCAAATGGCGATGATCGCAGCAGGACCCCGGAATATACGCACAAAGGCCGTCCTGGAAAATCCGGCTCTGGCGCCCATTTATCCACTTTTTTTTTGGGTCCCCGACCCCCAGATTTATCCGTTTTCTGGGACGGCCTCTCGGGACCCCCAGAATTTATCCGTTTTCTCGGGACGGCCTCAAAAATGGCAATAAAATCGGGAAAAATCTGATTTTTTTCTTCCAGGGTCCCTACGCGCTCTGCGCGTAGCGTCTGCAACAAAAGAAGGCTGAGAAGTACAAAAGAGAGAGCTTATTGCCTCCCATACCCATTCGAGGTGCTACCACACACCGCTGTCCTTCGAAATATCGAGCCTGCCAATGGTCTACTAGAAGGTGCCAATGGGCACAGGGAGGCTATCTAGGGTGCTACTGCCCGCTGTAAGAGAACGGCCACTTAGCTTACCGGTATCGCGTGCGTCTGGTCTGAGGGTAGGTCGGCGGTTCGAATCGACCGTCCGATATCCACTTTTTCGGCACGGCCTCCCTGTCTCCCCTGTGTATACCCGCGTTTTTGGACCGGCCTCCAAGCCCTCAGGCCCCCGATTTGACCGTTTTTTGGACCGGCCTACCGGCCGGAAGCCCCACGATTTATCCGCACCGCTGGACGGCCTATGTGCGTATATTCCGGGGTCCTATCGCAGCGAACCGGCCGAGCGAGCACGTGGCTTAGGTGGCTTATCCCCGTTTGCGTCTTCCCTTGCGTCAATAGGGCCGACCTGAAGTTCAACTTCGCGCTGCACCGTCTACGGGCAGGGCTTGCAGCAGTGAAAGCGTTAGACAACCAGTGCAGGGAATAATGATGGGCTAGGCCTAATTCTGCATCATATTCACGGATTTCCCCACCTGACGACGAGCGCGCTTCCTGCATGGGCTTGATGTGCGTACGCAGCATTTTCTCCCATGCCTTCGCAAGCGACCGGACGAATATGAGCACCAAATATACCGTGCCATCGTTGGGCATCGTGTTACACATTGCACAACGACCTGCTACACTCAATCGACGTCAACTTGTCCTTCCTTCTTCCTTCCCCTCCTGCGCATCCTGCTGAACAGGCGCAGACCCTCCTACCAATTCCGGGAACAGCTCACACAGTACTCTCTCCAGAATCATCACCACCAAATGCATATTACATGCTGCGTCTGAGAACGGGTCGAGCGCAGCGCCAATGATTGCTGGCGGGTCCGGACCCAGGAAGTAGGGCAATATTCGAGCAGCAGAACCATTAGGGGGCTGCCACTGCGTTATACGCTCGCGCGTGCGTGCTTGCTCCTCAGGCGTCGGATCCGGGGGAGACGGCTGTGGGTAGCCGTTGGGGAAGAGCAGGCGTTTGCCCGTGCGTACGAGGGTGAGGACAAGATCGCCGGAAAGAGACTGAGAAAGCGTGTGGCGGAGGAATCTGGGAACTTTGTCAGCATGATGCATGTATAACGTTTCCGAAAGGCGCTTACTTGTCGAGGAATGGCTGCGCCGCGCTCGCGCTCAGGTGCGCGGAGGACATGATGGTGCGCGCCGCAAGACGGTCGTCGGTCATGAACAGCTCTTCGACCAAGTTCAGCGCCGGTGACGCGTAGTCGCCCACTCCATCCCCCGTCTCCGCATCCGCCGGCTCCCCCGGTGTTGGCGCAGAAGATGCCACGGACGAAACCGAGGGCGTTGGCGAGATGATTGGCGTCACCGAGATTGACGCGGGTATAGATGTCGGAGGCGAGAGCTGGGGTATTCGAGGAGAGGAGGATAAAGACGGAGATGGATGAGGGGAATTAGCGGCGGACTCATTGACGAGCTTGACAGTATGGGCGACGCGCTTGTAGGCATGGGTGAGGGCGAGGCAGGCGGTGGAGATGGCCTGAATGGTGGAGAGAAAGAGAACGATGAGGCGGTGGAAAGAGAAGCCTTGGCTTTCGGGAGTGGTCTGCGCGCGAGGCGAGGGAGGCTAGGTAAAAGAGCAGTACTATATCAGCATGGTGCAGCGCAGATACCAGACGAGTAGCGCACCTGAGCAGCCTCATCCAGCTTCAACTGGTCAAGGATGACCTTGTTGATGAACCAAGGCTGCGTGACCCTCGGCAGTATATCATTCGCGACGATCTTCACGATGATCTCGCGCACAATGAAGCGCTCCGCCTCCGGCGCATAGTCCTTCGCAGGTAGCACAGCCTTCAAGATCTGGTCCACCACCTGCCTGAAGTACTCGTCGTGCACCCCGCCCTCCGGCGTCACAGCGAGATGTGGCTGCAGCTGGTGAAAGAGCTGCGAGAGGCCCAGGGCGCCGCCCGACGCGTACGCGGAGCGTGCTTTGCGTTCGGCGTCCCGGTAGTCGCGTATGTGTTGTGTTACAAGGATGGGGAGGTCGTGCAGCAAGAGGGGCGCGGCATCGGCAGCCAACAATCGTGCTTCCAGCGCGCGCAGAACATGGGTCAGAATCCTGGTAATATCCGGCAGAAACTCCTTGTCATAGCGCGTAATCTTCGTCCACCAGGGGTTCACAAAGGCTCTCAAGGCCAGTGCAATAAAGTCGTACAGTTCGTCATCAAGTTCGGGGGGTCGTGAGGGCGTGAGCAGTAATGGAGGCAGGGCATTCGTGGTGAGGTGGGGGAAGAGCAGGCGTTTGGCGAGGGGGACGGGTCCAGCGGAAGCCTTTGTTCGTGATCGCTTGTCGCTGGCGCCGGATGCGATAGAGCGCGCGTTCGGAGGACGGCGGGCCTCCAGCGCCATGGTGGCGGCACGGCGGGGGAGCGGGGAGGTGATCAGGTTCAGGCGCGTCGGCCCGGAAGCCGGCCGCGGGGGCGCTTTGTGGCGCCGCCGAGCCGCTTGTGGCTCGATACCATCGCTGACATCAGGATGGCGAACCATGTCTCTTCGTGCGCTACCACCACTGTCTGCCCTCGCAAGGGGGGCAAGGTCATCACTCAGATCGTCTACGAGGCCGCTGTGTGCTAAGAATGCCCATAATCGCCGTGGATATGCGACCATTACCCCCTCGATCCTGGAGCCGCGCCCACCGCCAGAGCCCCCGCTGAACCCTCATGCACTCCTCAGCGAGCACGGTACTCCAGGACCTAGCCAAACACCCAATCTCAATCCCTCCGATTCTCCCCCCATTCCTCAAGACACCCTCTCCGACCTCGACGCGCGCATCCTCCAAATCGTCCGCGACGAGCGCACGGGTATCTCCCTTCCCTCCCTCCTGGCCCAGTTCGACGACCGGGTGGGTGATGTGCTGCCTACCGCGCTCAAGTACGAGCCGAGTCCCGCCGCGGATAGAAGAGTATGGTTCAGCGAGCGCGGCGCCCCCGGCGTGGTCGCGATCGCGCACGCGACGGGGGAGGGGACCGTGAGGGTGTGCTCGGGGTTTGCGCTCGAGCAGACGCGGCCGGATGAGAGCGGACAACTGTTCGTGACGTGCGCGCATACGTTGGAGGAGGTGGGAGGACGAATCAACGAGCTTGGTATGGAGATACTGACCGTATCGCAGATGCGCCGCGCTGCCGCCGAGTCGCAGTCGGGGAGCGGGACGTTCGTGGTCGCGAAGCGCGGGGACGACGATATGGTCGTCTACCGCGCAATCGCGATCCCCTCGGCTCTCCCGCGCTCGGATGTGATGCTCCTGCGCGCGATCCCGCTGAAGGACGCCCCGCGCCGCGTTGCCGCCAGTTCCTTCCAGACGGGAGCGCAGTCGACAGTGACGCTGCATGGCACATCTGCGTCTGGAGAGCAGATCTACTCGGGTACTCCTCTGCCGCATCAGTCTGGCCCGCTCTTCCGGAACAGCGCGTCATCTTCCAATGCATCTCCGCCTTGGGTCAATACCACTTCTCCATCACTGGCCGCATCCACTACGTCCTCACTCCTTTCCACTCTTCCCGTGAGTCCCTATCCCGTACACCCTGGCACGCGTATCCGCGCACATTTCGTGCGTCACACGCCGCCTGTCCTAGGTGAGGAGGGCTGGGTGCCTTGGGTGGGCGGCATGTGGAGCAAGTGGGTCAGTGGGCAGGTGGTCGGGTACAGGGACTTTGCAGGGAAGGAGGCTAAGGTGAGTGGAGGTCGATTCATTCCTTTAGTCATCTCTGACTCCGTCTTCCCTTCAAAGCCCGGCACCTACGACTCCCTCTCGCACCTCCTCTTCGAGCCTATCCCATCCCCGGGATCGAGCGGCGGCCCGATCGTAGACGAGGAGACAGGCGCGGTGGTAGGCATAGTGCTCGGTGCGCGCATGGACAGTACCAGGATCGATGGAATGAGGGGCTGGGGTGTACCCGCGGAGACGGTTCTGGAGGTGAGTTGGGACCGTATTCTCCTTGTGCACGGGGAGTTCTCTTTGTAGACGATATGATACTGATATGCGTTCGCAGATGTTCAGCTTGCCAGGGCTGGAGGGCAAGCAGTGAGTGTAGACGATTCATCGCGGACGACTGTAGACTATACATATATCCCGTCGACCTTGTACAATATTGCCATTGGATTCTCGTTCCTTTCCCCTTCGTGCGGTCGGTTGTAGTCGAGTCAGTCTGTACTATCAGTCAGTAGACCGGTACAGGATCCGACTAAATGGCCTTACAACCTCGCTACGCCCACGGGCGCCTAAGTTCAGCTTCGGCCCTCGATAAGCACGACGGCCGACGCGCCGACGACGCCGACCAACAGTGATCGGCGGCGAATCCGCTGACCGTCGGACGGAGTCAGACTCGAGTGTACTGTCATACATGTCCTCCTTTTCTCTCTTTATCTTGACGTTGTAGTGACTCGAGATTGGGTCCTTATATACAGCGGTCTATCCAGTCGGCGACTTGTCCTCACCGACTTCACTTGACTCTACCCCCCACACGTTCCCTCCTCCTACCACCATGTCTCGCCTCGCCGCGCCCCTGCGCGCATCGTCCCGCGCACTCGGCGCTTCCTCAAAAGTCGTTGCCTCTTCTACTTCGCGCGCCCTCCTCCGTCCCGCTGCAAGGAATGCGACCCGCGCGCTCAGCACGACCCCTGCGAGGAGAGGTGCCGCGCCGGACCCCATGACCGGCGAGCTGTTCACGCTCCCGGATATCAACGTGCGTGAAGTACTGGTTGAGCAGTAAAGGGGTATAATCCTGACGAAGGAGTATAACACACCTCATAGCCCAACAACCTGGTGATCAAGAAGAACCCGAACCCGAAGGCGCCCCCTCCGTCGAATCAGCTCGCGTTCGGCCACACTTTTGTACGTGCTATGCGGGCTACTGGGAGGAGTGTATGCTGACGGGGCTTTGTACACAGACTGACCATATGTTGACGGTCCCCTGGGACGCTACCAAGGGCTGGGGCACGCCGACGATCGAGCCTTGTGCGTATGTTCCCCCCTTGCCTTTTCTCCATCATCGCTCTCCTTCCCCCTCCCCTCATTACCTCACCTTCCGTCTCTACTTCTTAGACACGTCTCCCTCGTACCTACGCCGACTATCGAGCTAACTCCTACCTTCAGATGGCCCCTTCCACCTCGAGCCCTCCTCTACCGTGCTTCACTACGCGCAGACGCTCTTCGAGGGCATGAAGGCGTACCGGGATGACAACGGCAAGGTCACGCTCTTCCGTCCGGACATGAACATGAAGCGGATGAACAACAGCGCGCAGAGGTTGGCGCTGCCGGTGCGTGTATACTCGTTCCGATGATCTTGAGCAGTATTAACTGAGATATACCACAGACTTTCAGCGGCGACGCCGTTCTCGAGCTCATCAAGAAGCTCGTTGCGCTTGACAAGCACTGGATCCCACAGGAGCCAGGCCACAGCTTGTACATACGCCCTACTCTGAGTACGCCCTCTTCGGTTCTCGTTATCTAACTCGATTAAACACTCTTCTAGTTGGCAACCAAAAGTCCATCGGCGTCGGTCCCCCGAACGAGGCTCTCCTCTTCGTCATCTGCAGTCCCGTTGGTCCGTACTATGCACAGGGCTTCAAGCCCGTAGCCCTCTACGGCACCACGGAGTTCTCGCGCGCGTACCCGGGAGGTGTGTGCCCCCTTGATTCCAGGAGTGACTTGAGCGCTGACCGTGGGCCCTCCTCATAGGTACCGGCGCGTACAAGCTCGGCGCCAACTACGCCCCAGGCGTCCTCGCTCAGAAGTTCGCCGCGACAAAGGGCTACGCGCAGAACTTGTGGTTGTTCGGCGAGGAGAACTACCTGACGGAGGTCGGGACGATGAACTTGTTCGTGGTACTGAAGAAGCCTGATGGCAGTGAGTATTCTCTCCTTCCAATCTGCAGCAACGGCTGACCACCTTATCCTCCAGCCACCGAACTCGTCACCCCGCCCCTCGACGGCATGATCCTCCCCGGCGTGACGCGCGACTCCGTGCTCGCGCTCGCCCGCGAGCACGTCGCTGGCCAGAAGATCCCCGACCTCCCGGACAACCTCGTCGTGTCTGAGCGCCCGATCAAGATGGCGGAGGTGCAGCAGGCGGCGAGGGACGGGACGCTTGTGGAAATGTTTGGTGCGGGTGAGTAGATGTTTTCCTTTACGCTGTCTTCCGACGCCTCGAGGGGGATCCTTCGACTGTTGAGCGGAATCCACCAACTATCTGAGCGGAATCCTTCAACTCTTTGAGCGGGAGATAGCGGTGATCTAGGACATTGCTGACAATACTTCCTCGCAGGTACCGCCGCAGTCATTAGCCCCGTGAACAAGGTCGGCTTCAAGGGCGAGGACATCCACATCCCGACCGGCGAGGACGGCATGGGCCCGCTCTCGCGCCCGATCTGGAAGCACCTCACCGGCATCCAGCGCGGCGCGATCCCGAGCTTGTGGTCGGTGGAGGTCGCGTGAGGAAGTCGTTCGCTAAAAGGACGCTCTCGCGAAAATATAAGACGATTTGCTGTATCTAGGGGTATGTGGAACAGGACTTGGTTTTGCTTAAGTGCATGTGCGTGCGGACGAAGCACAAGACAAGACCGTTCTCTACGCAAATTATAGTGTACGACAGCTCAAGAGGATGACATCGCGTTGGTCTGGTAAGCTTTCCATCTGAAGGTTGACCTTGGTGTCCTGCTCACTTTACAGCCGCCCGCTCTCGACCTCGCGCTCACCATGACTGATGTCAATTCAACCACGCTGGCGGCTGCAGTCACCCTTCAGTTCCACGCATTCTGATCCTCCGTGTCACCCTCTTTCCACCCATGTTCAGTCGAAGGTCTTCGCGCCTTACACTGCTGCACGAGGTGCTCTCACGCAAGTCGAGGCTGCCTAAAGCTTGAACTATCCCAGGTATGTATGTGTTACGTGGGCTCACCTGCTGCTCGCTTCGTGAGTCCCACGTTCTGTCGAGCACCCACATTCTGATCCCCGCGCTCTCAAGGGCGCGGGAGCTTGCGGTTTCGTCCTAGGCTCAGGCCACAATGTCATAGGCTGAGGCTAGCAGCGGCGTGTGTGCTAGGCTATCACATTATTTTGTGGCGGCGGCAGACTCGGGGTTGCCTCCCGTTTGCATCGGCGAGATACGTAGGATTCGCAGCCGCCCTCTCGACGGTCGTCTTGAAGGAATGTGGCACGACATTCCACAGAGACTAAGTACTGGCGAGATCGGGTAGCCAGGCATCCTATCGTTTGCTGAAGCGAAGGGCATTATCACTATGGCCAACAAGCCCTGAATTATGCGACCGATCTACAATGATTGCCTGGTAAGCAGCTATTCTCTACGCTATGATAGATGCTGAGGGAAAGGGACAGATCCTGTAGGGTAACGGGCTAGGTGAGCCTCACTAATTGTGTTTGAGGTGGGTTGGCGCCCATGGGTAGCCACCCTACATACCTGCTCCTTCGTCCACTCTCACCCTTTTTCGCCAGCTTGAAGAGTCCGCGACAGGCAAACGTATGTGCGTACTGAGCAATGTCATACCCCCGTTGATCGCACATTCAGACACACCGCATGGGCCCTTCTGACATGCTTCTCACTTTCGCCTTTTCCCGTTGGATTCGACCACTCGATTACCTGAAGGCGGCCGATGGTATCTCAGCGCCGAGGACCGTATCTAGGCGTTGGCCGATTCAAGGGAGTTACTTCACGGGCCATCATTTGACAATCGCTGGGCAACTCGGGCCTGCGTTAGATGAGGTGGTGGGGTTTATCGAATCCACTGGGGATCGACGAATGCTCCAGCGTCGGTGAAAGACCGAAAGCTGAAGCTGTGCTCTGAGGTCCAGTGAGGATCATTGACAAGCGTGCTGCCTTTCTTCTTTCGTGAACGACGAGTTGTGCAGCCGAAGGCCCCGACGTCCGGTAACCGGCTACTTGGTCCCTATTACCGCAGAAGCGATTGATAATGTCTTCTACCAGCTCGACGCTAGTACAGTTGCGGGTCGCAAATGTGATACCTCCGTGGTGAATCCCTCATCTTACACACTCATGGTCCCACCTCCAACAGCAAGCACACGACATACGAGCCCCGCCTGTCTACCGCCACTGCCAGCGATTATTCTGGTAGACGCATGGGAGCACCTATCGTCAAAACCTGATCCCCGGTGACCCCGTTGTCACCTTCCTATGCCTTCCATCCTTCACGTTAACATGATACCCGGCCGAATGCCCTTGATTCCATTCATCCACTTGAAGGCATATGATCGGAGCCTTCCCTTCATCCCGTTAGGAACTTACCATTCCCTGTCTCTTTCCCTTAGCATGTACGCGCCCGTCGCTACCGGCCTTGACGGACAAGCTCCCCTCGCGTCCACCCCGCCTCCAAAAAGAACAAGCCAGCATTCGTGGCGCCATCCGCACACGACAACCATTCGCGCATCCTTACTCGATAGCCTGCGCCAGTCCATGGAATCCCCTTCCGGGGCGCGGGAAGACCGTGGGGTCGCCCATGCTAGCCCGCTGCCGTCATCGGTGCCCTACACCACCCGCGCCCTTAATTCGACCCGTCCGCCCGCCGCCAACGTGGCTTTCATGTCGACGGTCTTTATGAGGGTGGGTGACTCGAAGAAGGGCGATCGCGCTGCCCCTTCCTCCTCCGGTACCGCCATCCTTGCCAGACCATTCATTTCACCCCTGCTCGCTGCACTGACTCGCGATGCTGACTCCGACGATTCATAACACGTACGTGCTAGGTGATGCATGGAATATGGGACCTTGGCACTGACATGATGCCAGGCTCGGGATGCTCTTTGATTCCCTGGTCGTGTCTACGGCGTGAGTACAATATTCTCCGCTGGTTCACACTCCACTCATTGGGATTAACAGACTGTATGGCGGTACGTTCGATGTCTTGCTGCGCCTTCTCGGCTTCAGACGACTGAATGGCCAACTAGCCGGGATGCTGCAGGGCTGGTACTACTACCGTCGCTACTCGCAGAAGGACCACTGGGCGGTTAAGTCGGTGGTAAGTCGCCAATTCCCCTGGCCTGCCTGTCCCTCACGACCCTTCCATAGATCGGCCTTGTCCTACTTTTGGACACCCTGCAGCAGGGCATGTTCGCGGGTAAGCCGTCATAAAGCCATGGTTAATTCCTTCCTTGCTCATCATTGTTGCTTCTGCAGCTTCTGGTACGTCGGAGAGATGAGGTTCGTGCGGGTGATTTACACCGTGCCCCAGTATACCGTTATTGCGTCTCGAACTTGGGGAATCCCGCCTTCCTCGGCGTGTTGGACGAGTAAGAAGCGTTGTTGCACTTCTTCTATTTTTTTTCTGACCGTCCACACAGAGTCCTGATCATCCAAATATTCTTCGTCGCCGCTATAGCGCTGGCTGTGCAGCTGTGCGTGCCAGCCGCACCATCGCTGTTCCAATGACTGACTTCTTTTCTTGCAGCTTTTACTGCTATCGCGTGCTTATGCGTAGGTTTGATTTTTGCGAGAATGATCTGGAGTCTGATTACCCGTAGTGAGCAAGAAGAATTGGTTTGTTACTCTCTTCCTAGTCTTGATGGCTACGAGCGCATTTGGTGAGTGGTCATTCCCTTCAAATAAATTGCAAGTCGCTCATAAGTCTGTCCACAGCCACCGTCTTCAGTACGCCCTCCGCTTACTATGCCTTCCTGACCTGCCAAGCTAACCTCTCCCTACAGCCTACTGCGGTTTCGCCGTCCGCTACGAGATGTTCGCCGACCTCGCTCGATTAAAAGTACGTCTTCGCCTAGTTCATTATGGCGCCACGATGTTTACCCCTCTGCTCGCAGAGCATCTCGATTGCAGTCAATGTTACGTCGGCTGCGACGGACGTAGGCATCTCCCTGGCCATGATATGGTATTTGCGAAGGGCCAGGACGGGCTTCAAGCGGTCGTAAGTGTCCTCCGAATTATGCGTTCCCGATGCTTGTCGCTGACCGCTTCGCCTGCAGGAACGACTTGATCAAGCGACTTGTGGGTTTAAATGGCGAGGCGATGTTGGCGGCCATCTCATGCCTTAATAGATCATGTTCACATTCAATACCGGCCTTCCGACAAGCGCTGTGGCTATTTTCGCTTGCATCGCCGTGAGTGGTACCGGCTTTATCCCTCGCTTTAATTTTGCTGAACAGTGCCACAGATTAACGTGTGGCCCAACACCTTCATTTATATGTTCTTCTTCTTCCTCGGTACGTATTCACCTTGACTATTCGCGAGCGCTCGCTGATACTAGCTCTGTCAGAGGGGCGCCTCTGTAAGTCCTGTTTATCGCAGTACACCTCAAGCACGATGGCCTAATGTCTACCAGACACCAACAGTCTGCTCGTTACACTCAACAGTCGCTCGTACATCCGCAATCCGGTGCCGGAAACCAGCGAAAGCTTTGGTCTTAGCACAGGACCCAGCCGTAGTCGCAGCCAATACAACAGCAGCAGCCGCGTATGTCCATGCTTCATCTCGGCGCCTCTCAGTGCTCATATGCGCAGCCTGCGCCGGATGCAATTACTATCAAGATTGACACCGTTCAGCACTGCGACTACCAGCAGTCTTCTGAGTACTCGAAAGAGGTTAGCACGGCGTCCCACGTCTCCCTTCATGGCAGTTGCTGACATCGCCTTCAGTCCACCTCTCCGGTCGATGGCGATAGTGACAAGAATGTACTGCACTGAAAAGCTCTTGGGGACTGTACATAGCCATATACACGTACATTTTCTTGATTGACCTCGCTGTTGTATTGCCGTGTTTGTATGGATGGGTCCAGGTTCAATTGCGTTGCTGATGGTGCGGATGTTGCGACGGAACAGAATCAGTCCGGACATCGGACTCCGTAAATTGTACGCGCCCAGTACGCGCTCCCTTCAGGCGCCCTCAGACCGGCGCGTAGGCTCCCGAGACATACGAGAATAGGTGGACCGACCTTGATAGCGGTCAGAAAGTCACATCCGCAGGCGGCGGAGAGAGGGCGAAATGAATGAGGACGAGACAGAAATACACTGCCAGGCGACATGTTTCCAATGTTTTGATCCAGCCTATAATTTACACCTTGCCTCCTACCTCCACCGTTCTTTTGACCTCCCATCCCCCGCGTAAAATCATGAACGCGAACCTCGGCCCCAGCCTCTTCTCCAATGCTGCGCCTAGCGAGCCAGCGGCTCCGGTCCCTCTCGGTATCGAGAGCATGTTCCAGCAGATCATGCAGGCCGTTCAGAAGTCGGTACGTGTATGCAGGTTCCACGTAGCAGAACACGCGACTGAAGACGAGGTGTAGAACGCAGAGATCTCGGACCTCAAGAATGAGTGCGCTGAGCTCCGTCTCGCGAACGCGAGCCTGGAGCGCCAGATTCGGGAGGGGCAGGTAAGTGGCGGCGTTCGTGGGCCGCGCCTCGTGTTTTCATACTCTCGCTTTGCAGAATGGACAGTCCCATACACCGGGGACTCTTACGCCTCGTCGCTCTAGCCCTCAGCTGCGCCCCAAGTCGCCATTCCTTTCTGCCAGCGCGATCCCCCCGACGAGCGTCCCCCCACTCCCTACTTCCCTCGCGTATCACCCTTCGCCTCTGGGCGATAATGGGCTCTCCGCCTACCCGTTAGACGCGCGCGATATCCCCGGGTTCTATGTTGTTATCCCCGCAGGTGGCGCGGGTAAGTACAAGTCATCTCAGCAAAGGCGTATCTTGACGTCTTGCAGGTACTCGTCTCTGGCCTCTCAGTCGCGAGAACCACCCCAAGTTCCTTCTCGACTTGACTCTTTCTGGTCGTTCCCTCATCCAGGCGACCTGGGACCGTCTCATTCCTCTCGCCTCGCCCGAGCGCACCACGGTCGTCGCCGGACCCGCCCATGTTAGCGCCATCTCGAGCCAGCTGCCCGACCTCAAGCCGGAGAACGTATTCTGCGAGCCCTCCGCGAAGGACTCTATGGCTGCCATCGGCCTTGCTGCGGCTGTGCTCGCAAAACGCGACCCGGACGCGGTGATCGGGTCCTTCGCTGCGGACCACATGATCTCGGGCGACGACGCATTCCTCGCAGCTGTTGCAGAGGCGGTCCAGGTCGCAAAGCGCGATTACCTTGTTACAATTGGTATCGCGCCCGTCGCGCCCTCCACCGGTTTCGGCTATATTCGCCTGGGAGACCGCCTGGAGTTCAACAACGCGCCGAACGCACGTTTGGTCAAGGACTTCAAGGAGAAGCCAGGTATGTTTTCTCTAGCTGCGCCGCAGTCTGAAGCTGAATCCCTGTGCAGATGCTCGCACCGCCGCTGCGTACCTCGCCACTGGTAACTACCGCTGGAACGCGGGTATGTTCGTGACAAAGGCGTCCTTCCTCATGCAGCTCGTTCGCGAGCACAAGCCCACTATGGCAGCTAGCCTCGAGAAGATTGCCGAGGTCTGGGACGAGCCCAGCAAGCGTGACTCTGTCCTCTCCGAGATCTGGCCGACGCTCGAGAAGATCCCCATTGACAATGCCATCGCGGAGCCGGCGGCGCGGGAGGGCAAGGTCGCGGTCGTGCCTGCCACGTTCGGTGAGTTGCATTGAGTACAGTCAAGCACGTTCATCCATATTCACCGGTGCATAGGTTGGGACGATGTCGGTGACTTCTCATCTGTTGCGGACCGTCTGCCGTCCGAGTACAACCAGCCTCGCATTCTTGGTGATGGCCACCTCGTCGTCACTGAGCAGGTTGCTGGCGGTATCATCGTCCCCGGCTCAGGCCGTCTCGTTACTTGCCTCGGCGTCGACGACCTTGTCATTGTCGACATGCCCGACGCACTGCTCGTCACCACCCGTGCTCGCTCTCAGGTGCGTTATAGTCATCGTCCACTTATCTTCTCGTTCACATTGCTGCAGGAGGTCAAGAACATCGTCAAGAAGACGAAGAGCGCCGGCTGGAACCAGCTTCTGTAACCCATGTTATTGAAGAGCATCGTCACTGGAAGTATATCGCTACGGGAAGTATATCGTTGCGTGAAGTACATACCTAGGTAATAGGCGTCGACGCACTGGACGCGGCGCTCGTCTTGCGGCGCGCGGCTCGCCGCTTGGACAAAGATAATCCCCCGACTCTCCTTCATACCCTCGTTCGTCTGCTGCGAATCTATCTATCGTATCGTTTCCTCCCCTCGTTGTCTGTCCAACTACCAACAAAGATGTACACATAATGGGTGTTTACATTAATACTACCTCGGGATCGTGGAATATACGCGGGTTCGAAATCATTGTGGCGAAAGATGACAAGGTTCAGGGAATTTGAGGCAAATGAGAGCAAACACGCGCAGACAAAAGTCGATGGTGGCTCCTTTCCTGGGCCGAATTATTCATTACGCATTTATATGTACAGATCCCCAGCATGAGTGGATGAGTCGAGTAAATAGCTAACAGACGCTATAGCGTACACCTACATAGATCAAAGACATCTCAACCCTAAGCCCGGAATGCTACAGACAAGAGAGCACTCCTTAGTTTTTCTTCTCCTTCAGGAAAACACTCCTCGACCAGCCGTCGCTGCTGATGAAGGTCTCCTTCTTGAGCGTGTAGCCGCCCCACCACGGGAGGAGCTTCGCCCATATTAACCAGTACACACCGCCGGCAAGGATAATACCGGTGCCGACGACGCAGTGCAGCCAATATGGCAAGCTCTCGTAGATGTTCTGGTCGGGCGTTTCGGGAGGCACGTACGGCGCGACGACGAGGTAGATGTTGGAGAGGAGGAAGAAGATGGTGACGGGGAGGGTCGCGCGCGTCGGCGGATTCCAATTGTACTCGTCGCGGTGGAGGTAGAGGTGCACCAGACCGCCGGCGACGAACACGTTGACGATGGCGAGCGGGTAGGAGATGACGTTGAGGACTAGGCAGGTGATGGGTTAGCGAGCGGGCGCAAGGTATGGCGGGGATGGCGACTTACTGAAGTTGTAGGCGTCACCTGGTGGCGGCGCCAGCATGATGATAACGGAGACGATCCAGTGCTCGAAGAGGCCCGTGAACGGAGCGTCGAACGGCTTGTTGCTAGCGAAGAAGCTCGACCAGGGGAGGATGCCCTCGCGGCCGAGCTCCTGCACCAGACGGCCCTGCGAAAAGATGACGGACATGACGTTGCCGAACGCGGACAGCGCGACGAAGACGCTGAGCGCGCGCTCCGCCTTGGGGCCAAAGACGTTGCGGAAGAAGGACGCGGCGAGGATACGGCCGCTGCTCGCGATCTCCTCGTGCGGGACGGCGGCGAAGTACGCGATGTTCGCGAGCATGTACATGATGCCCACGCAGATGATGGCTATGGGCGCGGCGAGCTTGATCGTGCGTACCGGGTCCTTCATCTCGGACATGGCGTAGTTCGCGTTGCTGTAACCGATGTAGCTCCAGATGACATTGTACAGCGCGGTGACGACGCCGTACGCGGATCCGGTCGTGCCAGAGAAGGCGTTGTCGAAGTTGTTGGGCTTGTCGATCTTGAGGTGGCCACCAAGGGCAGCGAAACCGGCGATGATGATGATGAGCAGGATGATGAGCTTGATCACGCCCAGAATGTTCTGCAGACGCAGGCCCCACTTCAAGGCCAAGCCGTGAATGAGGAAGGCGACGGTGATGCAGGCGAGGCCAATTCCACGCTGGTTCCACCGATTGACCTCAACGTTCGCGGCGTGCAAGATGTACTCGCCGAACGCGACGGAATTTGAGCCGGCCCAACCAAGCAGAATGACATAGCCAGTCTGAAGAAATTGTGAGACGGTCAAACGGAGAGTAGGTAAAGCATTCACTCACGTAGAGGCCAGTGACAAGGAACTTGGGCTTGGTATAGACGTACTCAAGGTAGTTCTTCTCACCGCCGTTCCGGGGCAGCCCTGTTCCGAACTCGAGGTATACGGCCATGCCGGCGGCAGCAATGAGCATGCCGGCGACCCAGATGAACAGCGCCAACCCCACACTTCCGCTGAGCAATAATATGCTGCTCGGCGTGGTGAAGATACCAGTGCCAATCATACGGTTGAAGATGCTAGGGATTCATCAGTACCAATCAATGAACAAGGGGGAGGTCGACTTACAGGAAGATCGCGCTAACCAGGCCAATTTGGCGTCTAGAATCGCTGGTCTGGTAGATGGCGTCCCCATACTCGATGCTACCTTGTTTTGACTCAGCATAGCCAGCCGAAGGTGCGTCGACGGGATCAGCTCCATCTTTGCTCTTCAAGCTGGAGGACATGATGGCGACGGGGGAGGGAACTCAACAAGCCAAAAGTGGCTAGCAAGTACGTTTTTAGCAGAGCGACGGGCTGCGAGGGGATGACGGGCAAGAGCAAGCGAGGCATGGCATTTTTCTCTGCTGTGATGATTGTGCAATACGACTAACGAAGGCGTCATCGGCCGTCGTTGAAGCGGAAGTTGGAAGACGAGCTCTAGGTTCGGAACAAGCCCCCTTCTCCACGCGCGCCATATGGCTTTTCCCGCGGCTACGGTTCCACTTCAAAAAGCTTCCGCGAGCCTCGGAGGACGTAGACGGCGACGACGAAGGCTCACTGGGCTTGTACTTCGATTTTTCTTCGCCTTCTCCAAGTTCCACTAAACGTCGGCGTGCTATGTGCCTCAAAGTGCGTCTCTTTCACCACGGATCATGTTCGTGGGACGTTCTGGAGGCAGTGGCACCCAACCATGCTGGCGCCGTGGCGCGAGCGTCATCTCGTCAACAGATGTTGTGAAGGCCGCGACAGGGACGGCGATGAAAGACAGGCCCTCACTGGGCCTATTGGCCTCACAATAGGCAACTTCAGTTGCGTGCTCGACGGCGCGCTCCCTTCCGTATGGTGGACCTTGCGTTCCCTCTGTCTGGGAGCCACCTCGAGCCGCGGGGGCGTATGCAGACGTCGAGAGCCAAGGTGAGGTGCACGGGTGCCTGGCTTTGAGAATACAAAGGGCAGATCGCGCCTGCGAAGCGCAGCAACTGATGCGCCCCGCTGTCAGAAAAAATGAACGATCGCAAGCGGGACTTGCCGAACGTGTCAGTCACGTGGGACAAGTTGAACTTTCGGTTGGGCCCGAGAAATACGCAAGCGCACATTTGTTCCGAATTCGCCTGGATGTTGCTTTTCTTGTGGCTGATTCGGATGAAAAGGAGAATTTATCCGAATGTCTGGTATTCTATTCCCAGCTGGTGTACCATCCCGCGGGCCGAGGGCGCTCAGCGTTGCTTACAGTGTTTAGCGTAGTGGGGCTGAAGTTCTTGGCACCGTACTGTAGACTTGTTCTTCTCAGGGTCGTAAGGAAGTCACATGTTGCAGAAGCACTCCCAATGCTCCTTCTGCATATATGCTAAGCGAGGACACCTCGGTTTCCTGTTTCTGCGACCATATATCCGTTCTTACCCATCCCCCTCATCCCCGACGATGACCAGAAGCTGCTCACCAACCGCATCCCCGAAGCACAGCATCGAAGATGCAGATAGTGTGCAGCCTCAGAAAGATTCTCATGCTCTCATCGACACTTTCCTGCCCTCCGCAATTGATGCAGCGTCACCGAAGGGCTCACTTACCGTTCCCTTCTGCTTGCCTCAAATCCTGTCCGGCGAGCGCACTCCATTCGCCCGCGGTTACAGCGACGCTCTACTGGAGACGGCCAACCTACCCATGGATGAGTTCTTGTCCTTCGTCGATGGGCTCAACCTGGCTATCGTCGACAGCCCACCATTGAGGTAAGTGGCATTCCTCGACTACAACATCGAAGCACGCTCACATCCCGCAGGGTCATCGACCTGGTAGGCAATATTCTCGGCTTCATGTAAGTGCATTTTACCGCCAGCGTGCCCAGCAAATTCATCCTCACTTTCCAGACCTCTTGACTGGGCCGTCATCGCTAGCATCGTCCTTCCCCTCGGTGCCCAGCTCGGTATGTTCGCCCTCTCCAAGTCCCTCACAGACCGCTACCTCGGCGCCGCCAATGACCGCATCTTCCGCCCACGTGAACTCGTGGCGCGGATTTGCACCACTGCGGCGACGCAGAAGTTGCTCGGTCTATCCAACGTACCGGAGGAAGAGGGGGGCTGGAAGGGCGCGCTGAACTCCGTGGGCCGCGAAGTCGGCAAATTGGTCCTGAAGGTGCCGATCCCGGCGACGAGCCGCTACATTCACAAACTGGCGAAGACGGAGCCGGGAGCCCAGTATGCCGGACGACCCTAATGCTGGGGCGACAGAAGAGGACAAGACCAAGCGCCGTATCACGCGCCGGCTGGAGGCACTGGAGGGCGCGGCGTTGCCCGTCTCCCTAGATGTGCCGCCGCCGGCCAAGGTCGAGGGCTTCGCGAACAAGATGCAAGCGCATGGCGTCAAATTCGACGAGGGCGTCGCAAAGGACAAGGAGAAGCGACGGGCGGCGCGACTAAAGACGCTAGCAGAAGTCGAGGCGAAGCTGGCTGAATTGGAGGCGAAAGACCAAAGCAAGGCCGGCTTTGTCGATCACTTGGCAGCGAAGAGGGCAAAGGACCAGCGAGAACTGCTGCAGCGGAGAATAGCGAACGCGCAATTGAGGGAAAAGTGGGAGACGGACGAGGTGCTGTGGCTGGTCATCGTGGATGCTGCCAAAGGTAAGTCCTTTGGGGAGATGGGATTGATGGGGGGACGTTGCGAAATCAGGCATCTTGCCAGACAAAAAGATATTCGGAATCGACGAGGCGGAGAACGAGGCGGACGTCGCGGTCATATCGGAGGAGGCTTTCAGGCGCGAAATCGAGCTAGAGGAAAAGAGGCTCGGGCTGAACGCATCGATGCATGAGGCGCAAGTCGCTCAGGTGCATAATTGAGTCGGGCGCTGTCTCATCGATACCACACCTGCCTTAGAACTACCAGGGGGCCCGAGGCCTGACGCCCCATCGTCTCCATACTCAATTCGGGTCTTCGGTAGTGGCTGAAACCTATCTGACATGCTTTGGGAGGACGCTGAGGAAAGAGGAGGGCTTCTTGAACTGCTGCAGTGTGAGGCGGGTCAAGTCGAACAGGATGCCTAACACGAGGTCCGACGGCAGCCCGCTGACAGGTACATGCCCAAGTCGCGTGAAGGTACCCGACAGCAGTGTGCCGATGGCGCGGCGATAGAGACAGATACGTTCACCTGCGCCGAACAAAGCCAACCACTCGCACAGGGTGGCGCTGCAGAACAAGACAGAACAATGGCTTGTCCTCATCCGGCCGAATTCTCACGGTAAAGGCCTCGAGATTTCGAGTTACCTCCGGCGTACTGCCTCCAATGCGCTTGTAGTAATCGGGCCGACACCCAACGCTTCGCTACCAGAGTATGCGTGAATTCATTCCTGTGATACAGCTCGACGTATAACCAAGCAGGGTATAGTACTAGCGAGCTCGTTCTGTATAATATCTACGACGAAGATACTGGGTCCGTATATAGAGGCCCAACCTCTGCCCTGGTGGCGTACGACAGCCTGCCGAAACATGCAATGCGTCTATGTGCTGGCGACTGTGTGGTGTACACGAGGCCCGGTGCGTGGTGATGTACAGTGATGATGACGGTGTCCATGATGAAAAGAAAACCCAGATGACCCGAAACATAACGTCTGTGGCGAGCGCGTGTCAGCGGAGTCGGGACGGAGGAGTGCTGCGGAGCGCGCACCAGAAGGAAGAATCTAGGGAGACCGCGCCGCCGCTCGCGCCTGCGGTCCAGGCGACGCGGCGCGCTCGGTCGCTGGGCAACCTGTGTCGCTCAGCGGACGGCGAGCGTGGAGTTGACGCGTTGCGCCATGGCCTTGTTCTCGGCGATGAAGTTTTTGACGAAGAGGCATTGGGGGCCGGTCTCCGGGGAGTGGGGGAAGCGGCGGCACTTCTCGACGGTGGCCCATTCGCGGGCGATGATCTCGAGCGCCTCCTCGCCGTCCTTTGCAAGTCCACTCTCAACGAGCCAGCAGCCAATAACCATGCCGGTACGGCCTATGCCGCCGCGACAGTGGACAGCAGTGATTCGTCGCCGACGCTCGTTGTCACGTAGTATGTGCAGCACGCCGTACATGTACTCGACGCAGGGCGGTAGCGAGCGGTCGCGAATGGGGAAGCGGTGGTACTCGAGCGTGGAGGGGTCGATGCCAAGAAGCTCGGCGCGTGCATTCAGGATACCGCACTGCACGTAGGACCGCAGCTCGCCGTCTTCGGTGAGGTCGATGAAGGTACGGACACCAGCTTTGAGCAGAGCATCCAGCTTGGGCCGGTAGGGGTCCTTCGGTGTCCAGGGGTACTCGCAGGCGAGCAGTAGTGGGGTAGCCCAGTAGGAGTTCGGGATGGGGCGCGGGCAGTGGGCCGAGAGAGGAGCTGGCCGATCTGCGGGGTGCAGGTCCTGCAGCTGCCGCTGGTCCTCAACGAGGGAGGAAGAGGTAGTCATGTAATTCTTGGACAAGGTCATGATGCGTGCGTTTCTATGGAGGGTGCGTATATGGGTGGTGGTGGACGCGATGATGGTCGTTAAAAGCCAAGAGGGACTTCCGGCCCGTTTATATCTCAGGGGGTTGCACAGCCACTGTGACGCGCGATCACGGACCAATGAACGACGCCCATTTCTGGACGATCAGTCGTACTCAATTCGACGTCTGAAAACGCCCGTCTGAAATCCTGCGCGTTGCTGTCGCTGTGCTGCCTCGACGACGGTTGCCAGAGAGCGACGGCGGCGTGCCTGGCGGGCGGGGCACGCGATAGCTCGGCAAGTGCCGACGTGGGGGCGGGAGGCGGCGAGCAGCGACAACATCGACGTCAATGAACAGGGCGTCGTCTACCCTATCGAAGGTGCTCTCATGGAATTCCTCGCCGCATACGTCGAGAATCGCCCCAGAATTTGGTCCATGCAAGGGATTATGCCAAAAAATGAAAAATCGGAGGAAAAATGCGTTATCAGTGCTTGTGCTTATGCAGACTCACTCATACAGACCTTCAACTCTAATCTAAAGCTTTTGAAAGTCTTGCACGCCGCTTTACCGCTACAATTCCCATCTACGCGCTGCTGTGAGGGCGAGCACACAAGTTGAACATATCACGTGACAATATTCGGCAAATTCCGTAGATTGTACCCGCATACGACGGGCCTCCGGGATTGAAGGAAGGGGTATGAGTTCTTCACGAGCACGCGTCATGACTTAGAAGGGATGGAAAGGACGACGCTCTGCTCCCAGACGTCGAGGTTGTCGCTGCTCGCCGCCTCCCGCCCCCACGTCGGCACTTGCCGAGCTATCGCGTGCCCCGCCCGCCAGGCACGCCGCCGTCGCTCTCTGGCAACCGTCGTCGAGGCAGCACAGCGACAGCAACGCGCAGGATTTCAGACGGGCGTTTTCAGACGTCGAATTGAGTACGACTATCATGAGTGGGATCGGAACCCCGCGCAGAGACCTCCCGGGAGGTCCGGGAACTGCGGGGAAGCAATGCAGTAGCGGGGGACAGCCAAGAGCGCAGATGACCCCCCAGCTCCCAGCATCTACTCGTCTTTCCCGTCGCTGCCACACCTTGGCGTCTCGCCTAGACTCTGTATCCAGCACACGCTGAATTGACTCCGGCGCGCATGTTTAGGGCGACATTTCGGCCCCCCTTTCGGGCGGGATACACCTGGACTCGACCAAGCTATCGCGCTTGCCGCTCTATGCCCGATAGATTCTGTCCCGAGCGCTCCACCTCCTCGTCTCGGTTGCTGCACGTTCGCCGAGAGCAGAATAGCCTCCCATACACGTCTACTGCTCACCTCACGCATGCAGCGATATAGGTCCCGGACGTACGCCAGGCTCCTATGCCCAGCATTCATTGCGGTCCGCGGAGTTTGGGCGTCACCCGGTCCACCGTTATATCATCTATTGCATCGATGCCTCGCGACTGTCTCGCCTGCGGCGCAAGCATCAGTTCACGAGCTCTATCATCTGCCTTGAGCGACGCCGACTGCCAGTGATACTGGACATGCCCATGCGCCGGATCCTCCCTTGGTACGTGCATCGAACAGCTCATGAACAGTTCACCCCCTCTTACCATCGCGCGCTCCCGGAGGCTGGCGCTTCTCGGTCTTCTCCGCACGAAGCACTGTCGACTGTACGCACCGAAGTCCTTCCCGTCGATACAGCCCTCAAGAGGTCATCAAAGGTCCACTCAATAGTCATAGCAAGGCGCGGCCTAATCGCTGATAGGTCATATCGGGCGGTCATCTGTGCCCTCCATACGTCTCCCGCGTCGCTAGCTCATCTGCCAACTCTTCCTGCTCGATCTCTATCTCCTCCCGCCAAGCCTGCTCCGTGACGATCTCGACGTCCCGCTCACTTTCCGCCTCACCGATACCCAGAATTTCCCGATCTGGGAAACCGTCAGCAATCGAACTCGACCTTCGGAAATCTCGCGAAATCTAGACGTACCTCGCGCAGCGTCGACAATCACCAGCCAGAGGGTGTCATCTGTTTCCCACTTGTCGACGACCTCGGCGTTCGCCACCCGAGTCTCCAGTATGGTTTGCCTCGGCCCGAGCACACCTCCAATGAGCCCCTGCCCGCGCCTCTCCCGACGCGCTGCCCTCCGGTACCCGAACTGATCACGAAGCGTTGCATCGTTGTAATCACCCGCCTCCATCGCCTCCTGCCGCGCCCGCTTCTCTGCTAGCTCTTCTCTTCGACCCGCCCGCCGCCTCTCCTGCCGCGCCAGCACACCCTCGTCGAACTTCACGCCCCACGCCTGCATCGTATCCATCGCACCCTTGGCCTTCGCCGGCGGTGGTACGTCGAACGACACCGGTAGTGCCGCATCGCCCAGCGCGTCCAATCTCCGCTGTATCCGCAGCAGGCCCTCGTCACCGTCTTGCACAGTGTACTCCAGTGGCTCCGCCCCACTCGAAGACGACGTCGCCCCCGCCACTGCCCGCACCACCCGACTGGTAATCGGCAGCGGCACCTTCAGCAGCACCTTCCCCACGCCCCTGCCAAACTTGTTCAGCGCGCTCTTCGCAGCGCCGGAAGTGGTGGAAGTTGCGCCGAGCAGCTGCATCGCCGCGGCGGTGGTGCAAATACGCGCGGCGAGGCCTCGGGGACGGAAGATGCGGAGGTTGGCGGCGCGCATATAGCGGTCGGTGAGCGTCTTCGAGAGCGCGCGCATTCCTGCTTGCGCTCCGGCCTGAATGGCCATGGACGCGATCATCGTCCAATGATATGGTCTATGAAGATTCGCGTCAATCTAGCGTAGGCATACAACGCGTTGATTGCACTCACACTAGCCCGATGATCTTCCCCGCCAGGTCCACCACCCTCAACGGTGGACTGGCCACGATCGCTAGGTTCAGCCCGTCCACGAAGGCGAGAAAGTCCTCCATGGGCAGGTCGACCGCTTCGTGGAGGATTGTGTTGTAGCCTCTTGCAAAGGGTGCCCCATCGCCTGTGGCGATTTGAGGAAGGCAGAAGGGGAGGGGGAGCGCATCGTGTCTGGAGGATGTGTAGGCGGAAGAGGGAAGGAAGCTGTCGATCAGGAACTGGGAGTCGCGCACAAGCTGAACGCCGTTGGGAGCGTTGTCGTTGGCTTGTTGAGGCGCAGAGGTCGAGGTACTGTGGTAGTTGTTGTACGCCATCGTGCTTAGAGGTGAGGGAAGTGCTGCTGATAGCTGGTCCGTCGAAGGTCGTATATATAGGAGCAGACGACGAATGCCTTCCTCGGGCCTCAGAATGAGACTTGTCGCGGAAGTCGGTGGGAAGTGGGTAGGAAGCGTTTGATCCCTAACTGTTGCTGTGCCCCATACGCGCGACGAAAGGAGCAGGGATGCAAGGGATCGTCAGGACGCTGATCGAAACAAGGGGACGCACGAATATAGATCTTGTGCCGCAGCGAAAGAGCATGTCAATGGTCAAGATAGACCGATCAACGCAATAGACAGGCGGAAATCACGACAGTGTATTCTCGTTATTGCAAAGTCCATAACGATGTTGGATATTTCTGGTTATCTGGGCACTGGGGGAAACGATGGCGATTGAGGTCAGGAAGCGACGTCGACGCCACCGGCCGGCGGCAGTCGCGTCGGCCGGACTGACACGTGACCGTATCCCCTTGCGTCGACGAACCACGCGTCTCATCAACAACCGCCTGCTTCGCACCGCCGCCACCTTTTGGGTCCGCGAGCAATATATAACCCAGCTTCGCTCTTCCTTTCAAACCGTGAATGTGAGGCAAGCTCCCCCGTCTAGGGCGTCCTTTGGGGCGTTCCCAAGCGGGGTCGGGTACGTGTGGATTGGGTTTGCGGACATGGCTGGTCGACTTGGGGGTTGGGGGCAACCTCAGTCCAAGGAGGCACGTCACCCGCATGGCCCTGTTATCTCACACCCGGTGCGTTCTGGCCCACAAGTAGGGCTGGGGCGCGGAAAGTGAGGCGGCGTTTCGGACTCGATCTGGACGTGCGTCGACGCGCATTATGTTAACCATCCTGAACCCTTTGACATGTTCGCTCTCAATCCTCAAGGTCAGCATCTTTCTGATATTTGTAGGCCCGTTGACTGACACGCTCACAGAAACTACCACTCGAATCACTGGCCGACGACGGACTCGGCGGTTCATCTTACCTTCAAGGTAAGCGTGTGGTAGTAGTCGTAGCTTCCCTATCCTGACATTTGAATCCTATAGCTTCGCCTCGGATCGTCCCTTGGAGAACTTCCGCGCCTCTGCTGTTGGCCTCGTTCTCACTTGATCTCTACGGCTCAGGCGCTCGTGTATCGTTGCTCCCTGCGCTCGCTTGTTTCTCTGTTGTCTCACTGCCCGCGCTCGCTATTGAAATGTCTCTTGTGAAGGGCGCTACGTCCATAATGCCACGCCTTCTATCTATGTGCGCTGACTAATATTTGTGTGCGCCATACGCCTCCGGAACGGCCTTCTCGTCGGCATACTCGAGTTCTTCATCCTCCGAGAGCTCATGGTCAACTTCCTGTCGCCAGGCCTGCTCCGTGACGACCTCCACATCTCGCTCGTTATCCGCCTCTGAGATCCCCATGATCTCCCTATCTGACAAAAAGTCAGCAGTGGACATCGTGATCGAATGAAGACCGCTCACCTCTCGCCGCGTCCACAATCACCAGCCACAGGATAGCATTCCTGGCGCGCCGCTCCCGCTTCTCTTCCTTCTCCGCCCGCTTCTCCATGCGCCTCTCCTCTTTGTCCTCACGTTTCTCAGCGCGCCGCTCGTCCTTCAAGGCATGTTTCTCGTCTTTGCGCTCTCGCTTGTCCGCCTTCCGTTGCTCCTTTTCAACGCGTTTGTCCATCTTATCGGGGTGCTTCTCCGCTTTCCTCTCATGCTTCTCTGCCCGCTTCTCCTGCTTTTCCATCTGCTTCTCTGCTTTCCTCTCGTACTTGCTCGCGTCCTTCTCCTCTCGCCGCTCCTGCTTACCAGCCCGCTTGTCCATCTTCCGCGCGCGCTTTTCCTGCTGGCGCATGCGCTTCCGCTCCTGGCGCGCCGCAGCCATCTCGTCGAACTTGACGCCCCACGACTGCATCGTGTCCATCGCGCCCTTGGCCTTGGCTGGCTGCGGGACGTCGAAGGAGACAGGGAGCGCGGCGTTACCGAGCATGGCTAGCCGCCGCTGAATACCCGCCATCGTGTAGTCGACCTTCACCTGCGTCACCCCCCTCGACGTTGCCGTTCGCGACACCGGCTGCGGGCTGACCAGCGTGCTCAGCGAGCTCGTCGACGCGTTCGGGTCCATGCCAAGCAGGAGCATCATCGCGTCGGTCGTGCAGATGCGCGCGGCGAGCCCGCGGGGGCGGAAGACGCGCAGATTGGCGGCGCGCAGGTAGCGGTCGGTGAGCGTCTTGGAGAGGATGCGCATGCCCGCCTGCGCGCCCACGTCTATCGCCGTCGACGCGATCATGGCCCAGTGGTGGGGGCTGGGACGGACGTCAGCATCTCCAGTACGCCCTCCCTCGAGAAAAAAATCGCGCTCACATCAGCCCAAGAACCTTGCCCGCCAGCGATACCACCCTGTGCGACAACGACCGTCAGCACTAGCTGTGCGCGTCGAGCGCCCATCCTCACCTCAACGATGGGCTCGCCACTATCGCTAAATTTAGACCGTCAAGAAACGCGATGAACTCCTCCATCGGCAGATCGACGGCCTGGTGGAGGATCGGGTTGTATCCTCTGGCGAAGGGGGAGCCGGTGGCGATTTGTGGAAGGCATAGGGGGAGGGGAAGCCTATAGAGTTTGGATGGGTGGGAGACGGTAGGGGGCAGGAAGCTGTCGATGAGGAATTGCGAGTCGCGCGCGAGCTGGACGCCGTTGTCGCCGTTGTTTTGTGCAGCCATAGTGTCGCCGTAGACTGGGGAGACAAGAGGGAAAGACGATATAGTTCACTGAAGGAATATAGGCCAATAAATAGCTTCCAAGGATTGTCTACCTCGGACCCCAGACTGAGACTCGTCACGCGAGTCGGCGCATAGGCTTCCGTTGAAGCTGTGCGCCGCATAGAAAGGCCTCTGACGAGTCAGGCGATCAGGATCCAGGAAGTTGCATATAGCACTGTACATTACGTCGAGGTATACTTGTACAAATTCCTGTCAGAACGGCATCGACAGGGTATCACATACGAAATTCGAATCTAGACTCTGCTCTTCTCTTCTCATCCCCCTCTCATCTGCGCAAGATCCTTTCCACCTGCTAGAGCTTGAACTCCGATCGCGGGTACTGAACTAGCCGTGCTGCGGGCTCGTCGACGAACCAGTACAGCTGGCCGGGGAAGACGGGCTGTACGCGCGATGCGGGCAGACCCTTTTCGGGCTGATCGAGCACCTGCTGCAACACCTCCGCCTTCCCCTCGCCGGTAGCGATGAATGCGACGCGCGCGGCGTGGTTGATGACCGGGTAGGTGAAGGTGACACGCTTTGGCGGTGGCTTGGGGCTGTCCTCGAGATATGCGACCCAGCGATCGTCCTCGAGCAGGAGCTCGTGACCGGGGAAGAGCGACGCGGTGTGCCCATCGGGTCCCATGCCGAGGAGAATGAGATCGAATACGGGGAAGCGCGCGGCGTCCTTTTGTGCGAACTCGCGGATGAGCTCCTTCTCGTACGCGTCGCAGAGCTCTTCGAGGTCCCCGAGTAGGGACTCGTCGAGGTGGTGGATGTTCTCCTTCGGGATGGGCACCTTGTTGAAGAGCGCCTCCATGCAGGCGAGGTGATTGCACTCCGGGTCATTCAGCGGAACGACGCGCTCGTCGACGTAGTACACCTGCCTGAGTATGAGGTCAGCATTGTGGCGCCCACTCGTTCGATCGGACGCACCACTTGTCCCACTTGGCCCCGGGGTGGTCGATGAGGCCGCCCAGATGCTTGGGCTGCGAGCCCCCGGAAAGCGCGATGGTGAAGCGACCCTTCTTCTCGATAGCCTCCTTCTGCGCCTTGATGACGAAGTCGGCAAGCGACTTGACGAGCGCATCATCCGACACGAACGCGTTGAGGATGGGAGGGTTGGGTGGGTGGTGAACAGCGGCCATGGTGTGCTGGTTTGGTGTAGATGTGATGGTGGTTGAAGCCAAGATACGGAGATTGCTGGGGCGCGTGTACCAGTGTCCAGAGCACCCGCCACTTCCAGCACATATCGATGTCGCGAGCGTGACGTCACAATCAGCGCAAGGGCGCCGCGCCGTAACTCGCTTGCGTCCTGCCTCTGCCGCTCATCTCCAGGATTCCAGTTCGGCCGTGAACGCGTGATCTCACGACTCGACAAACATGGCGCTCCAGTCCAGTGGTTGTAGCTCGCTCGGCTGCAACGGTGATCGTCAGCCTCCCGCGGCCACATTGTCGTATCCTGTCTTCGAAGACCTTCGTTGGCGTTCAGGCCTCAGGTCCGGCGAGCAGCTCTCCAACGCAGACCGCGCTCTGTTAGAAGCAGAACTGGAGGCCCTTCGAGCGGCAGCGGACGCGCACACGCAGGCGCTTCAGAAATTGAAGAAGCAAATCGACAGACGCTCCTATCTCCTGTCACCCATCCGTCGTCTACCCGACGAGGTCATGGAAGCGATCTTGGTCCTGCTTTGGAAATCTTACGGCGTATCGCAGGCAGACGGTATACCGCTCAAAGCGACCGGAACTGCCGACTCGCTACCAATCCTCCTTCCTTCTCGCCGATTCGCTCCCCCTCACGTCTGCTCCTGGTGGCGACGTCTCACTTTGCAAGGCCTTGCGCTACGGCCTCATTTCGTCATCAACATCCCGAAGATGATGCATATAAAGTCAGCACCAGCAGGCGGCTTGCCGAAGGAAATAAGACTCAGTCTTACGCAAATTCCTTATCCCTATATTCGCGTCCATCTGATCGGTCCCGATTCCGAGCGTGCGTTTCCCTCCTCCATCACAGACGAATGCACCATGCAATTCGGCCGATGGCAATACGCCTGTCTCGAGCATCTTCCGTGGCAAAACCTCATCAGCGTGACGCGCGCAGACCTTCCGCGGCTTGAACACGCGGAAATCATACTGGGGCTATATGGTTGGCAGAATGTATGGGAAGGACCCGGTGACGGCTATCGTATCAAAATCTTCGACACCGCACGCCAGCTTCGCAGTGTCACATTGCAGAATGACTTCGTTGTAACCTCCAGGCTCCCATTCACTCTACCCTGGTCTCAACTACGACGCGTCGTTGTCAAGAAATGCTCTCTGGGAGTATCACTGGAGATCCTATCCGAGTGCAAGTCGCTGCAGTCATTTGACTATAACGACGAGCGAGAAGAGGAGGAAATCGTGCGGGAAGATGACGACATACCACCCAGCTGGAGGGTGACCACATCCGTGGAAGACTTTGCCTGGAAGACCCAGGGACTGTCGTCCATCGGAATGCGCAGCCTTGTCGAACGAACGACTATGCCATTCCTCAGGAGATTAGAAACGTGGCGTCTACCCCCAGCTCTCCTATCGCTCGTCGAAGCCCCTCAACATCTCACAACGCTGCATCTCACCGCGTCCATCTGTTGGGTATCCGGGGCAGAAGTATTCAACATCCTTCGCTCACTGCCAGGCCTGGTGTCCCTATCCTTCGAATACATCACGAGGGTTGAGGACGAGTGCAGGCCGTACCGCGAGGGCGAGACGATGAATGATGTCTTGCACCAACTCTCTGCCGGCGTCCGGTTTCTTCGCGAACTCCAGAGATTCTCCTTCCGCTGCAAAGAGCTATGCAATTCCGATTGCATCCACGACTTTCTGGCACGCCAGGCCGGCAGACCGCGATATCCTTCTACTCCAGGAGTTTTACGAGAAGTGCGTGTCGAGACGCCACTCACGGGGAACACCGTTAACCTGTACTCTGCGCTGGCCGAGGGGGGCGGCGTCGAAATATATGGCCTCGATAGATGTGCTGAGATGTACAAGGCGCTTTGAACCCCCTATCGCGAATCGCTGGCCCTCGCGATGCTGGCTTCATGGCAGGTACTGGTGCTGTTTTCCTGTTCCACAACAGTGGGCTGAACTATTTCTCTTCCAGGCGGCGCACCTCTGCGTACGATTATGTATGAAAGGCCTGTAAGACACTCGCAGACGTCATGCGGCGAGCGACGCGGTCGAGGACAATGGGATTGTCGATTACTTGCGTACGGGAAGGGTTTGCCGCATGAAGAATTTGGGGCCATGCTCGGAACGCGCTTCGTGCAGCGATGAACGGCCGTCACTGTCAGGAGAGAGTAGGGCGCGTAGAATATGTAGTAAGAAAATGGCGATATCGTCAATATATCGGTTCCGCCGCTCCTAGGATGGCGCTATGCAGGCCTGATCTTCCTTAGCCCGTCTTCATGCGCGCGCCCGATCCTACTCGAATATAATACTCGCTGTTCCCAGCGTGACATGGCGTAATGCCCCTTGTCTGCAACGCTCACCCGTGCACATCGATCAACGGACATCGGTCTACGGACCTCCCACGCATCATGATGAACGAACGTTGCGGGCATACCGATGTCTGCAGTAATTGTGGCCATTCAACGACTGAGAGCAATAGCAATTTAGTATGTCCCACCTTCGACGATACGAAATGGCGCTACTTTCCCAGATCTAGAGGAGAGCTTTCTGACGCGGAACGCCTTGTGCTAAAAACTGAGCTCGAGACTTTGCAAGCAGTATCGAACGCGCACGCCGAAGAAGTGGACGTGCGCGCGAAAGAGCTCGACAAATTGCGCGCAAGGCTGGCTTTGCTCCGAGGGCAGATCGACCAACGTACCTCTCTCTTGCATTGTCCTATTCGTCGTCTACCGGACGAGGTGATGACAGACATTCTCGTCCTACTCTGGAATACCACCGCAGTGCTCCAATGTTGTCATATCACACTCAAAAAGGCGAGCGCTACGGAGGCGCCTTCCTTCCTTCCATCTTTACAATATAGCCCTCCTCACGTATGTCATTGGTGGCGTCGCCTGGTCTTTCAACATTATCTCCTGCGACCATACTTCGACGTGCACATTCAACCACTGATGAAGTATTCGACGAGATACGCAGACGAGCTTTGGGAGAAGCTGAGGCTGAACTTCGCCCGCTTGCCGTACTCGGAGATGCACGTTCGCATCACGAACCACCATGGTCGTTCTTGCCCCAATCTCGATCACCAAACAGTGCGTTGTGATCGATGGAGACGTGCAGGCTTTATCAACCTGCAGTGGGGCGCACTACTGGACATAGCTTCTGCGCACCTGCCACGGCTCATACACGCGAAAATCACCCTGGGCTCAGCGCACGGCGACTGGGGTCGGGAGGTTGAGCTTGCACCCAATGTGTACGGCCGGCCATCCTTCTTCATAAACGCGCCTTGCCTCAAAAGCATCACTCTAGACCGGAAGGGCCGTCCTGATCTCGCCGGGGGCAGGCTACCGTTCGCGCTGCCGTGGCTGCAACTGCAGTTCGTCAAGCTCTTCCAATTTCCCCTCCAGCCATGCCTGGAGATCCTTTCCGAGTGCCAGTCGCTGCGCTCGCTCTACTGGTGGGACGATGAGGACGACGAGGAAGATGTGGCCAGTCGCGCGGACGACTACGTGCCTCCCCACCGGGTCGTCAACTCTTCCTTGACGGAGCTGTTACTGGTGGTCTTCGGGTTCGGGACATCTAATGTGCGGCGCCTGCTGGACTGGTCGACGACACCCTGCCTGACGAAACTCGAGATCTGGGCCATTCCGTTGCCGTCGCTTTCGCCCTTCTTAGAGCGCTCCCAATGTCGCCTCACCTCCCTATCCCTGACCGTGTCCGTGTTCTGGGTATCCGCATCAGAGATCCGTACCCTGCTCGGTGCATTACAGGATCTGGAGGCTCTCACCTTCGACTACTGCACCGAGACCGACGAGAGCTGGGAGCCTCACACAGAAGGCGAGACAATGAATGGTATTCTCGAAATCCTGGGCGCTGTACTCTTCGACTTCGGTCCCGCCGAATCATACATGGAACGCATGCCCTTGTCCCGCCTTGCCGTGTTCCATTTCCTCTGCAAAGAGCGGTGCAATATCCGATGCGTCCACGACTTCCTGTATCGCTGCGGTGTGATACAGTTGCAGCGCACGAAAGAGCTCTGGGTGGAGACACCACTGAAGCCGGCGGATGTAGCAGATCTTCGCGACTCTGCCGACAGAAACCGCGTCGAGATCTACGGACTGGACAAGTGCACCGCAATGTACGAGGCGCTGCCGGCCTGGGACTGGCAGCCACCGGTCGTTCCGTCTTCTCGGTATGTCATTCTCTTTTTCGATGAGAAGCGCAATCCTGATTGACATTTGCGTGCAGGAGGGACGACGACGACGATCCTGACGATTGGTGATGCATGTCTGGGACGGAGCACGGTCAGCCGGAGTGCAGGACACTCACTTCAACTGCCGCAGATAATCAAAGACTTCAGTCACCATACAAACGCGCACGGGCGCCGCTGAACATGGAAAGATGAATATATATGTACGACAGAGGAAAGGCGGTAGAATGATGCTACACAGGAATATTATGAGCATGGGTCAGAATCAGGAATGATGAACGGTGCATGTCCGAGCGGTACGACATCCGATGACCGTTGGAAGCGCAGTCTGCAGTAAGGGTGTGCCCCTACTGTAGTAGCGCACGTCCCAGACACTGCCATAGAGTGCGTCGTAGCCCGACTGTGTAAAGAGGCGTCACAAGGAATATATCAACATATCGGCATACTTCGGCCCTCCGCCAGCAGTACTGGTCCAGCTCAGCAGTTGCAGCCGTAGCTTTGTGAGCTCTCGGAGTCGAGCTGGATCGGATCCGGGTAGTCGACATATCTGTTAAGCGGAGGATGGTGAGTCATGGGTAGTCGGCTATCAACAAGCGCGCAGACGCACAATTGCTCTTCTGCCTCCTGCTGCAGCGCGTTCTTCGCGACTGTCTGGAAGGCCTGCTCGACGTTGATAGCCTCCTTGGCAGAGGTCTCAAAGTAGGGGATGTTCCCCTTGCTCTGGCACCACGTCATCGCACGCTTCTGTGTTACCTGTAGAATGAAGGGGGTCAGCATAAGCGAGGCGGCGAAAGATGGGAGTGCGAGTGCAGGGGAGGGCGTGTTGGGGAGTATCATGAGGGCAAGCAGCGATGACGCACCTGCCGCTTGTTCTCCTCCACATCAATCTTGTTGCCGAGGACGACGAATGGGAAGTTCTCGGGGTCGTGCGGGCTGGCTTGGATGAGGAATTCGTCGCGCCAGCTGTCGAGCGTCTCAAAGGACTTGGCGCTGTTCACGTCGTATACGAGCACGCAGCAGTCTGCACCACGGTAGAAGGCGACACCGAGCGACTGGAAGCGCTCCTGACCAGCCGTGTCCCACAACTAGAGGCGAGATAAGGCGTGGTCAGCGACTGTAGCGCGTGTACAGGGATGAGAGGCACTTCGCACGCACCTGCATAGTCACCAGCCGGTCGTCAACCATGACCTCCTTCGTGAGGCTGTGGCGTACATCCGTCGTCAGTCATACCGATCGAGTCAACCTCCCAAGCGCCCGCCCACTCACAAGTCCGCGCCGATAGTGGCCTTGTACTGATTGCTGAAGCGTTTGTTGACATACTGGTTCATGAGCGACGTCTTGCCGACGCTGAGGGCGATAAGCACAGCGAACGCGGGAAGAGCATGATGATGCGCACCCGCTGTCGCCGAGGATGATGACCTGCACAAAGAGGGCTATAGTTAGCGCGCTGCTTTACGTCGAGTGGGGTGGCGGCGCGCACCTTGAGGAGGACGCGGCCCATGGTGCGAGGAAGCAGGCAGGCGGAGACGGGGTGAGGTGATGGGCGAGGGAGTGTAAGCCGTTCGCCGGTCTCTGCGGCCCCAGCGCCGGCGGTTCGGCATCCAAATTGGGCAATTTCGCGGCCGGAGGCGCGGCGCGGCGCTCACCACTGCAGTCAGCCCGAGCCTGCTGCTCAGCGCATGTAAGTCGACGATGGGGGAACCGGCTTGGCAGGTGCGTAGGCGGCGACGGCGAGGGGACGATGGACAAGCTGACCTTTGCGGCAGGAAACACTACGCCTGCGGCTGGCTGAGCGCAATGTTCGCGAATCATCCTACGCGCCGATAATCGAGCAATGTGCGTATGTCACCCCACATCCCGACAGCTTTACTTACTGCTCCCCCTCCAGATCGAAGATTAGCACAGCAGACGAAGCTCCTGAAGGAGCGGAACGCGTCTCTGCTACGTGCTGTCAACTCGGTCAAGCAGAATCCGAGCAGCTCAACAGTCTACGTCCCTGGCACCAGCGATGGGTGCGTGCGACTGTCATTCCCCTCTACCTACTCTATCATACTCACAGATGCCCCAGAAACCCAGTACAAGCTGCCTATGTTGCCTCTCTCGAATCCCAGATCTCCTCCCTTCGTGATGAGCTAGCAACCGTCTACAAGACTCAGGGCCAGAATGCCCAGCGCTTGCTCGCGATGAATGAGACCCTGCGCGAGAAGGAGGAGTTATCACGCATCGATAGCGAGCACCTACGCAAGACGCGAGACGAGATCGCCGTCCTACGGCGGAAGGTGGATCAGCACAACGAGCTCATGGCGGAGAAGGATAGGACAGTGCAGGTGCGTGCTAGGTCTTAGAGATCTGCTCTGTACTGACGGTCTGTGAACACTATCTCAGATCCTCCACGACGAGATTAGCACCCTCCAGCTCGAGCTTGGCCAGATCGAGGAGCGCAACCAGATCCTCACGAAGGACAATGCCAAGCTTCTCCAACGCTGGCTCGACGCGAAGCAGGCCGAGGCGAACAAGCTCAACGAGGCGAACGAGTTCTACGAGGACATGAAGTCGCGCCGCGCCAACATCCACGCATGGCAGAACGGGGCGGAAAGCGGCAGTCAGGTAAGTCTGTATCTCATGTTTATATGGTGGGAAGTAAGACAGTACTTCAGTGGAATGGTCGAGCGGAGGGAGAATCGCTTGCTGACAGCCATCGTAGGCATCCTCGGTTTCGGGAAAAGAGGACGCCCCCGATGCGCCGGGCCTGGGACAGACGACGGGTGGGAACGCATCGGGGACGACGAGCGAGCCGGATCAGACGCCGAATGGTTAATTGTGGACAGCGACGAGGAAGAAGCGGACGACGTCGATAAGGAGAAGCATGCTGGGGAGGAGGCGAAGGCCGTTAACGGGATGGCAAAGGTCGAGCGGGTTTGGGAGCACGTCGATCCAAGGATCGCGGCGAAAGACGACGAGATAGATGCTGAGCGCGAGAAGGAGGAGGACGCAAGGCTGATCGCTACGTACTCACAGTTCGCCGCGTTGCTCAGCGTAGGCTGAGTACACAATGGTGGATGGGTACTGTAGGCTGGGTGCTTACACGTTGCTTCGGTTTGGTCTGTATAAATTATTCTATGTAGTTACTTCCCGGCATAATACCCTGCGTTCTTTTTCTCATGTCCCGCAGCGTTGTCGAGCAGAAGCGCATAGGCCGCGGCTGCTGTCCCTCGCGACAAAAGCAGGGATGTCTGTATAATATGTGTAACCGCCCCTCTTCTCAGTCATCCTTGTCCCTCCTGCAGACGCACGTCAGTCGGGTCTGCTATTCTCAACAATCTGAGCAAAAAATTACCGCGAAGACGGCGCCTTGAAGGCCGGCAACGACTTGTACATTGCGGCGCACTTTTCCAGACCATAGACTTCGACATGGCTTGCCTCGGCCAATTCCCGAAGACTCGCTACAGCCGCTGGATTCAACGGTGTCTCCAACCAAAGCTCCTTCGCAACCTTGGATTCGACGCGCCGCCAACGATGTAGAAAGTCGTAGGCGAAGTTGATCTCGCACCGCTCGTTGCAGAGAAAATGTAGGACGGCTAAGCGAGGCCAGCATCCCTCGCATCCGATGCCTTGCCTTAGGCTTTGCAGAATATCGTCCATCGTCTCGCCTTCTGCATGGGGGACCCAGCCTTCTTTGATTTCCGGAGTGTATTCGAAGGTAAGGGATTCTAGATCCGGCAACGCGTCGAAGAGCGTACTGATTTCGGATGCTGACACCCAGAATACGGACATGTAGAGGTAAAGCGATGTGATATGGCATTCAGATCGTTCGAGGAAAGGCAAGAGGCTATCCAGTGGGATGCACCACAGTTCGAGAGTTGTCAGGCGAGGGGTTGTTATTCGCTCCAATAGGCGTTGTGCACTGAACGTTCCGAAGCCGTGGACGATCAGAGCCAGCTCTGTCAGCGAGGCGTTGACGATGTGACCGGCGGGCATGCCCTCCTCCTCGTGCTCTCTGTTATCCTCGTCATCGTCCTCTTCGTTCCACCAATAGAGGTACCGTAGCGCTTTGCACTCGGCTAAGAGCTCGAGGCAGGCCTGCAGAGGACAATCGTAAACCTTGAGCAATTGCAATTGAAGCCAGGGTAAAGAGAACGGCAGCCTCCGCACTGTGAAGTCGATATGGCTTTCTATGGTCAGACAAAAACTGTGGAGAATTGGTGCATCGGTGAATAGGGATCGCCGATCGTCCGCAGTGGGTGCGAACTGAAGCTCTCGACCCCAAGTATCGAGTGTCGGCTTCACGAATATGTTTGCGTGAATAAGTCGCGGTAGGTGGGCAGAAGCAAGATCCTGCATTGTTTCCACAGGAAGATACTGCATGACCGCTCGCCTCCATCGGCTGCAAAGCAGTGTCTGCTCATTCAACCCAGCGCAAGGGGGGCCGTCTTCTCGCTGCATGAGGCGAATATGCATCTCCGGATACGGCAGGCGCGCGAGACCGAGCGCCACATCCTCGCGCAGGATGTCTCCGTCAATCAGTGTATGCTTTGTCAGGGATTGTACATGAATTTCGATGTATGGCCGCAGGGAAGGATGAGAGAAGACGAGGCCACGCCACCACGCGCATACGTGAGGGGGAGGATATTTCGACGAAGGGAGCAGCGCCGGCAGGTCGTCTGCAGGTGCTTCGCCTTTGACGATGACCTCGGCGTCGGAAAGTACACCAGAGGAGCTCCACAGTAGTACCAGGATATCCGTCATCACATCGTCGGGTAGACGGCGAATGGGACAGTGCAGGAAGGAAGAACGCCGATCGATCTGCGCTTGTATGTTGGCCAATCTCGAGGTGAGCTTGTCTAGCTCCTTCTGATGTGCATCCGCCACGGCTTCTAGCGCATCTATCTCGACGCTTAGCATCGCGCGTTGCTCGTCAGAGGGCTCTGCTCCAGATCTGAGGCTCGAGCGCCAGTTGGTGTCCGAGACGTTGAAGAGAGGACAAGGTGGGATGTCGGCGCTCGTGGGGTGTCCGCAATTGTAGCATAACGCAGGGTGATTGCAGGATCCAGTGGCCATGTCTGGATCGCTCGTGCAGACTCCGAGTCCAATTAACGCGCTGCAGATGAGAGGCGGAGACAGAAGCCGCGAAGCAGTCGATACGGCCCGGAGCATCCGGACATGTACAAACAAGCGCCGCCAAAGCGACACCGACAGAAATATCCGAAGGACAGTCTCCCTGTACCTCACCTTCGAAAGAAAATCTTGAATCCGAAAGACAAAGTAGGCTCAAGGGACCGTGACGCTGTTCTTTGCTTCAAGATCGGAAAGAGTTTTGGATAAAAAAAGGAACAGAATAAAAAGGATAAGGAAGTGGAAAGAGGAGGGTATACACAGAACTTTGTACGCTGTACTTTGCTATGTGCAACAGGGGTCGTACTTTGTACAAGGGGAGGCACGGTGTGCTGTGTACGAGGGAGGCGGAAAAGAGGAGGAAATATGTGCAAGAGGAAAGGCGGACGATATGTTCGAAAAGAAAAGGCAATATGTTCAGTAGCAGAAGCGATATGTTCAGAAGAAACGGAACAGAACGGAGAACAGATGAGAGGGGAGGAAGGGAGGGCGGCTAGGTACAGGCTGGCTATAGAACACTTGGGTGAGGAATCAAACACTTGGATGGGGAGCCAATGCTACATTCGGGGCTGATGAGAGCAGAGACATGAAGATGGGAAGCGGCGTTGAGAGACATCATCAGTATCTTTGAAAGCGTCGATGGTGGAAGAAATGGAATCGTGCGATAAATCATTACAGGATTTACGAGGGCGGCATCACGTCGCCCGTAGCGCCGGGGGCAGTCTGTCCGTAGTAGCCTGAAAAAAAATCAGTACGTCGCATTGTACACTCGGTATATGTGAACGTACTCCAGTAGTTCTGGTAGTAGGAAGTCGGGTCCGCGCCCCAAGCAGCTGCGCTAGCAGCCGCTGTAGGATCCGCACCCGCCGTCGCGCCTGCAGCCCCGAGACCAAGGCCAGCAGCGGCTGCCGCTTGTGGCATGCTGGGCGAGCTGGGGCTGGCATACCCGCCAAAGCTATATTGGCCGTACTGGCTCGGCTGAGGCATGCCATACATCGGCTGCAGAAAAATCGTTAGCACTCGTATATATCGTATGCGACGGAAAGTATCGCATACCATATTGCCGTAGGGCGAACCCGCGGTCGGGCTCATCGGGGTCGCCGTGACTGCCGCGGCACCCGCAGCCGCCGCGTTCGGGTCCGCGCGGTCCTTCCCCCAGCTGCACTTGATCGGGCGGCCGTGGACCATCTGCCCCTGCAACTGCACGATCGCCATCGCGGCATGCTCGTGCGTGTCGAGCTTGACGAACGCGAAGCCACGGTCGGCCTGCATGCGGATCTCAGACAGGTAGCCGATGGTTTGAAAGAGCGGGATAAGGTCGGCCTGCGTGCAGTACGGGACGAGGTTCCCGACGTAGACGGTGGTGTTGTAGGCGGGGGTCTGCGTGAGGACCTGCTCGTATGAGAGCGGGCCGCCAGCCAGGTTCATGGGCGCAGGCGCGCCACCAGCACCCATGGGACGCGCCATCGCGGGCGGGCCGCCAATGGGGCTACCAACGGGGCCCCCGCCGCCGCCCCCACCGCCGAGGCTGCCCTGCGTCTTCTGGTTCGCCCAGTTGACGCGAATCGCGCGCGAGCCGAGCCATTCGCCGTTCATCGTCGCGATCGCCTGCTCCGCGTCCGTCTTGTCGCGGAACGCGAGGAAGCCGTACCCGCGCGACTTGCCCGAGTTCATGTCCCACATGACACGCGCGTCCGAGAGCGTGCCGAACGCGCTGAACGCCTTCGCGAGGACATCGTCGTTCACCTCAGGGGAGAGGTCGCCGACGAAGACGTGGTAGTGGTTCGTCGTATCTTCCTTGTTCTGTTGCCCCTGGTACGCCCAATTGACGCGGATCTCAGTGTCGAATATCCTGCGCCCGTTGAGCGTCTGGAGGGCCGTCTCCGCCGCGCGCATGTCGAGGTATTCGACAAAGCCATAGTTAAGGCCACCGTGCTGGTAGTTGCGGTCTGGGATTATTTTTACGTGCTGGACGGGTCCCGCGACGGCAAAGATCTCGGTGAGCATGTACTCGGTAACCCGAGGGCTCAGATTGCCGACGTAGAGGTGAGCGCGCCGCTGGAGGGATATTAGGTCAAGTTGTCTTATGATAAGTGATCGCAGACGCACCGGGGCCTCCGCTGGTGCCGCCATCGCCATGGGGTTCATGATGAGAAGTAAAAAGCGGAGAGCGAGAGAGATCTGTGCGGCGATGTGAGAGGCGGGCGGGGAGGTGATCGGCGGAAGTATGCGCACGGGAGACAAGAACTAGGGGAGTATACGGGAGTATACAATAGAGAGTCCTTGAACTTGAACAGAGAGAGAGAAGAGACGAGAGAGAAACGGGAAACGAAACCGGGCTCAAGACGAGACTGATGACGGTCGAAAGCAAACTGGCACTCGACTCGCTGATCAAAATTGTCACGTTCCTGCCGCGGCGCGCCAGGGCGGAGCTCGGCCCACGCGGCTTGTATACCCGCTCGATCCCGCGTACATAAACACACAGACGGAGCGGGGGGCGATCTCAGTTGCACGAAGGCTACACATCCTACGCTATTATCTACTTCGTCGGCACGTTCAGCAGCAAGTTCCCCCCGCTGCTTGGCACGTAGGTCACATTCGGGTTCGACGTCAGCGACTGCACAATGGCCTTGCTCGCCTCGATCTTCCGGAACGCGATGAACGCCTCTCCAGCCTTCTGCAACGCAGCAGAGATGGTCGCGGCGGCCTCGGACTCGCCCTCCGCGCGGATAACCGCCGCCTGGCGCTCTTGCTCCGCCTGCGAGTCGTTAGCGGCGTGCGGGATCCACAATGCTATGCGCCTCTTACCTTCTCGACGATGAACTTCGCGCGTTCGGCGTCTGCGTATCAGAGTTAGCGCAACACGACGGCGCATATGTGGTAAAATAACAAACCTTGCTGTGCTATTTGCTTCGCCTCGACGGCTTGCGTGAATTCCTAAGCTGCTTTTAGATTCCGCTCTCGCAGGACATGAACGCCACCGCGCACCTTGCCGAACGTAAGGTGGGTAATGGACACATCCTCGAGGATGATATTGAACTCGCCCGCGCGAGCGAGGAGCTCTTGACGTATCCTTGAGGACACCTTCGGCCTGCATCAGCACCGCACAGTACAGCCGAAGATGCACGAGCCCGCACCACTTCACGCTGGGTGATGAGTTCCGCCGCGTCAAATTGCGCCACGATGGCCTTGAGGACTTCGTTTCCGATGGACGGCAGCACCCTCTCATCGTAATCCTGCCCGAGACTTTGGTAGATTTTGGGGAGCTGGTCCACGTCTGGGCGGGACAGCACGCGCAGCGTTATGGTCACCATCTGCATGTCCTTGGACCCGGTGGTGGTTGCGATATTCTGGCAGCGCAGATGAATACATGAGGGGTATAAGGCGTAACAGGGTGCGCACCCGCGGCTTGATGCGGACGTCGTACAGGATCGCGCGCTGCAGCCAAGGTACAAGCAAATGGGTTCCCTCGCCGCTTGCCTATGTTCGTGAGCATCTGAGAGTACGTCCAACGAGTACGATCACGCACCTGAGCCTTTACACCGGAGAACCTGTCGAACATAACCGCCCGGTACCCTCCTGGGACATCATAGATGCTCGAGCGCAAGCCAATATAGGCTAGACCCAAGGGAACTGGAAATTGCGTTGAGAGAAGCTCCGAGATCCAATGAGCGCTTGCGTACTAAGAACTCTGGTGAAGGCGGCCTGGGATGCGGCCATGTTGGGAGGTGGATGGCTGAGAAACGGAACCCGTGTGCGGAGTCCAAGACGCGTTCGTGCCGGCCGAGCGCATGACACTTCTGACAAATCGGGAAGGTCATTCTCACGCCATCCTCTGCGGGTTGTCTTGGACGATCACATCACTCTTCTCCGCCATCGCCATTTCCGAAGATGGTCGAATACTGTGGCCATAACTCATACTACAGCAACTGCGGAAACTCTACTTCAAATTCTATACTGTACCCACAGCTCGATGACTCCGTCTGGCGTGAACGCCTCAGATCTGGAGGGCAACCATCTGACGCCGCCTCCGCTACACCTTCCGCTGACCTTCTACGCTGAAGGCAGCAGCGAAAAGATGAAGGAAAGAGCTAGACAGGCATTTGAGAGCGGATGAAACTCCTGCTGGAGCAGATAGCGCGTCGAGCTTGCTTCCTACACTCCCGCATTCGCCGCTTGCCAAATAAGTCATGGAGGAGATCCTACGTTCGGCGTGGCATTCGTAAGGAAGTGCTGAAGTGCCACACAAACCCACTTTTGTCCTCAGAACGGATAACCTACAGACCCTCCAGCTTGGCTATCATCTCGCGATTGCCCACCGCCCCATGTCGGCTCGTGGTGGCGACATCTCATCTGGCAAAGGTCAGCGGCACGACCATTCTTCTCACTCAACATCGACAACATCATCACAGCGATGTGTTCCGAGCCCAGTGCAATATCTATGGGGCCCGAATCGAACTGACCCCCCAAGGCAGGGAGAACGCTCCTGAAGTCGACTAACGAGGTGTATGCACACATATAACCAATACCACGTCATATCAGTTAGTCCAACAACAAATCCCCCTTCTTCGCACTGTCAACGTGCATCCTCGCAGAATGACTCCCAAACTGCATCGCCCGCTTGGGCCGGGTACTCGCCTCTACGAGCCCCAGGCGCCACGCTACGATGCGGAGCAGCAGCTTGTCGCCCAAGCCCTGCCCAAGGCGAGGGTCGGTCTTCGCGTGCACGGGGAGCGCGGCGAGGAAGCGCACGACGTCGAGCGAGAGAAAGGGGTGGCGGGCCTCCTTGCCGTGCGCGGAGATGATGCGGTCGTCTCGGCCGAGGTTGCGCGTTGGGAGGCGGTCAAGCTCGAGTTGAAGCTGGAGGGATAAGTCAGCCGAGATGCATGGCAAGGAAAGGTTCAGGCGCCCTACCTCTCTGATGAGTGCAGTCCAGCCTCCTGCGTTGTATGCGGTTCGATGCCGGCCATAGCCGCCGAGCAGTTCGTCAGATCCAAGTCCGTTCAGCAGGACGCGAGCGCGGCTGGTGTATGGCTGAGGTTCGGCATCCTTATGTTCTCGTATTTGTCCGACACCTCTGGCGGCGAAGTAGAGGGCTTGCGCGAGACTCTGTACGGGAATCTTAGGGCTGAAGAGTACGCTCACAGAGATATGCTATACCAGATCCATGACCGTCCGACACGGGTACATGATAGCCTCGATCGTGGTCCGAGTGATTTGTGTCTCCTGCGCGCAAGGTAAGCCCTGTCAGAGGGACTGGGGAAAGAGCGGCATACCTCGAACGGAACGTTGACCTCGACAAAATTCCATATCCGATGAGGACGTAGCCGTCTGAGCTCCTCTACTTCCTCCAGCCCAGTGACGCGGTCGGGGACCATGTACGCTGGCCTCTGTGGTGGCGGACCGATGGCCTTATTGGGTCTTGGTTTTGACCCTGTCTTCGCATTTTGATCTGCACCAACACCCATTTTTCGTGGGTTCTCGAACGCGACGTTGAGCAAGTCGATAGGTTCGCCAGGAGGAGTATATCTGGAGGTGAGGTCAGCGCACATAACAGCAGCGTAATAGACCCGTCCACTAACTTGTCCGCGAGTAGAGCCAAAACGGTGCAATCAATGCCGCCGCTGAATAAAACTCCTACACGAGCCGCGCCTGTAACTCTTGGTCCATTAGCAAGGTGTTGCATGTCGATTAGAAGTGATGCTCACGGGGGCGGCGGGATATCGTATACTCGCCGGCGGACGCTGTCCTCCAGATGGAGCAGTAGGCCGTCCGCAGCCTCCGACAAATAGGGCGGCACGTCAGACTCTAGGCCGTCCATTCGTACGAGATTGTCCGGTGGCAGGGTAGGGTTAACGGGTGGCAAGGCGGCCTGTGTCGGCAGGGATGAATTTGTGTTCATTTTTGGAGGAAAGTCAGCACTCACATAAGGTGCGGCTTCGCCCACCGTCCGAGAAATTACTGATATTGCATCGTTGACTTCGTGGTCTGTCTGATCAGTGTGAACAGAGATCACGGATGATATAACAGCCGCATACGCTGCCGTGTCCATCTTTCAAGCTGTCAAGGCTCAGGCAGAAGAAACCTTGCGTGGGCAGCTCTTCAAACTGAATGTCGGGGTGTGCACCCGCCGAGGTAGATGTTAGGATGAAGTACGGGTGCTTTTCCGATGGCGCATGAATAAGCAAAGAGCGGCGCCCAAGCGGATCCCGACCGTATATTATGCATCGCGTCCGATGCTGGTAATAGACGAATGCATATCTGAAGTCCCAATGGATAAGCGACGAATGAAAATGCACTGTTGCTACTCACGGTCCTTCCAGAATGCTAAACAGAGCTGCGACCTCTTCCGCTGCAGTCAGTGATCCTAGTGCCTCAAATAATCTGACGCCATCGTTCTCGGTGGCTGAAATCTACATACATCATCAGATCGATTGACACCAAGCATTACCGCCTGGACATACGTTTAGACCATCGAAAATCTCATAGGATGGTGAGTATAGTGGCAACTCAATTTGTGATTTGCATGCTTACTTCGCCGTTCCAACACAGGATGTTGCCCTCGCCCTCGTGAGGTTGTACTACTGGAGCTTCACCTCTGAGTCTGAGCTCGGAAGAGAAGAAACTAAGGTCTATATGGTCGGCTCGAACTTTGCGGGTCCTCTGCGCGTCGGGGCCTGCTCAATCTCAGGATTTTCAGATCGCAGATGGGGCTATCACACATACCTCTAGTTGCATTTGCCTGTTCTAGCAGAGGATAGAGCATTCTGAGGTCACCATCCTCGCCTGTAGTATTCCTACGAAGTACAAAGCAGATACCGCACATGTCGGAGCAAAAGAAAAAGAACAATGAAGTTTCCCTTTTTGGACTGGACTGATAAAAGGAGGCATTTCTTTCCACGGGTGGCGGACCGGAATTTTGACCGGTAAAAAGGTGCGGGAAAAGGCGCGGAAAAACAAGTGTAAAAGGGAGTAGTTTTAGCGTGTCAATAGAAAGCTCTTTGACTTGTAAAATCGGATGTAAGAACAATTGTGAAGATGAATGTGAAACCGAGCGCTTTTGGCAGGTCAAAAGGTGCGTCAAATGGGCGCCTATTTGCGCGCGTTTTTCCGTGTAAAAAGATGGCTAAAAAGAAGCCGTTTTCACGTGGCTATTCACGTGCAAAGAGGGCGCTTTTTTACAAGGAAAAATAGGCCCTTTCTACAAGCCTTTTTGCGGAT